CTGTCTCGCCTTGTTCCTCAAGTCAAACCCGCCAAGAAAGGTCCAAGAACCTTTTTTTCTGCAAATTTTCTTTAAAAATTTTCATTGTTGAACATTCCGAAAAATCTCTTCAATGAAATTTATCTCCATTTTTTGGGATTCTCAATAAATAAGACTATTCATTCATTTATATTATAAATATATATTTATTGATAAATCGGTTGAACTGAAGATTGTCTCAAGAAGTTCGGTTTTTTCTCGGTTTTCAAAAAAAATTAATTTTTTTTGAGGTTTAGACGAGTGAACCACACAACCCTTCATAGTTTTAATATTATTTTTATTTTATCATATATGGAACATTGATCAAACATCGACTGACAATGATTGTTTTATTTAATAAAAGTTGGGTTATTCTTGGGGCATATCAACAAAGTTAAAAAAAGGTAAACTAGACCTGTCTCCTGAAATGGTTGAGTGGTCACTTGCTGACATCCAATGAAGAGTTCGAATCTTGAAAGGGAGGTATTTTATTTTTTGGACAAAAGATCAGATTAGGCTCGGTTTATTCGAATCCATAACCGGTCGATTAGTTCGGTTATCTGATCTGAATAGTCTTGTTAAAGAAACCGAGTTAAATCAGACAAGACATCAGTTTGGGCAAAACCCCAACCGAACCGAACGGTTCGGAGCCCTGCACTAGCTTTTTCTCGGACCCCTAGCCCTAGCACTATTTTATAGATTAGTAGTTTTCAAAGATATTTTTAGTCAAACTCGTTAAATTAGGGGTAAATGTATAACTTTCATCTGGAATGATCTTTTAAATTTAAATTATTGATCTGAAATTTTGTAATATTTTTCAAAAATATGAGATTAGTTATTTAATTAATAGATTTTATAACGTTACATAAAACTATTTAAAAATTGAAAAATTGGTAATAGAGAGTGCCTAGTTTAACATATTTAATTGGAGAAAAATCAATGAAAAATCAGAAAGTTATTAAGATTCCAACTTTTATGGAACCAAGAAAAACAAAAAAAGCAAAAATTTTAATATTTTTTTTTTTGGCAACATATATAATTTTTTTTAAACCTATTAAATATTTTTAATTTTGAACATTATATATTTATTTATTGTATTTTTGATTCGTCTAAAAAAAGTAAAAACTACTATAAATACATGCCAACTTTTTCCCTATTTTGAACTTTTTTTGATTTTGGATTGATTCATGCCACTTTTTTTCAAAAAATAAGCTCATAAATCACAATTTTTTGTTTTCATAATAATAGACAATTGATACTATTGAAAAATGATATTGTAATTTTAAAATATTTATATATTTTTGATAATTTTACCTTTAAAGATTTAATTATTTTTCGAATGAATTTTATTTAATCTTTTAATTAAATGATTCCATATTGTTTGATATCATAATATATAGATAATATTAAACTTTCATATCAATTGAGTTAAATTAAAAGTTTTGGAAAAATTATCACAAAAACTTTAAAATTTGAGATAAAGGTTATTTTGGGGAATACTTTCAACTCCATATTATTTAATACCAATTTTAAAAATAGAATTTAAGTTTCAAGTAAAATGAGTTAAATAATATTACTTGTAATGTTTTTTTAAAAATTTAAAAAAACACCAAGTGGATACACATAAAATATTGAAAAAGTTTTTTTTATAAAATCAAAATAATACATTTACTTACAAAAACAATGTCCAATGGTGAATATTAAAGTTTGAAGTTAATTGAGCTAAACTATAAAAATTTGAAAATCTAAAACCAAACAACCAAATCACTAATTTTTTCATAAAAAATGTTAGTTTTTTGAGCAAGTTTGATGTCTGCACAAAATTTAGATCATTTCCTAAGATATAGTAAAGGTTTCAAGTCACGAGACCTAAACTATTAAATTCACAAAAAAAACAAGCAATCTGGTGATTAAAAAAACTTTTCCATCTATTGTCCCAGACTTCACACCATATTCATCATTTCTTGTTTTAATTAATAATACATTAGATCCAAGAAAAACAAAAAAAAATGAAACATAATAAAAAAGGCTTAAAAAAAGAAAAAAAACAAAACATTGATACTGATGTAAATTGGTATCTTTAAAAAATGGGTCTTAAATCGGGGCAAATTCCCACATTCGAAAAGTGACTTTTTTCACAGTGTTTTTTAATGAACAACTCAAACAAGTCATGTTCATTAAATAGAAAATAGATAGACAACAAACAGATCAAATAGTAATAATTTGATACAATAGATACTTGTTTAATTCAAAAAAACCAATCATTAATGATCTTTATAATTCCTCCAATCTTGCTCATCCCTTCATGAAGTGCAAGACTATTAATCAAGCAAATAGTAGATATATCTGGTCGCTTGGAAGTGGGCCATCTGCAAGTTTAACAACCTATGAGAATATAATTACAAAATTAGCTGAATAATATTATTATTTGAAAAGGTAAACAATAATTAAATACATATTTATATATATTTTCAAACTGTATACATTATTAACAAATTTGTTGTTTTATTATTATTAGTATTATAAAAAAACAAGAGAGAGATGGATTACTCTGAACTAGACTATTTAATGTCAATGATGGGGATGAATAGTCCGATTGCTATGATTCAACGAGCAAAGAGCGGACGAGTTGATGAAATGCAACACGAGTTAAAAGGAAAGAGAAACCCTTTGGACACTAGCCGATCAGAATTCATCAAGAAACACCGAGATGCCATGGCAAATCGATGAGTATGCTTTCAACCTCAACCACAAAGAGCAGCTTGACCAAGGAACCATCGACGATGCAATCATCTACATTGGAGCCAATCAAGATTCGAGATTTATTTGTCGAACACACTCACACTGGTAGAGTGTTGATAGTCAAAAGCATGGTAGAGTCGTACAAGATGAATGCAATTCATCTACTCGTCGAAGACCAATATGCCGATACCTATCAACCAGATACATCTGCATTGGTCGTCTCCCTTACAACTATGTATTACAGCAGGGAAACGGATCCATCCAAACCAAAGTCAATGAAGTCTTCCCAGTTGGAGTCATACTTGCCATCAAGGAGCCCTATTTCAAGGTTACTGTTGCTGGTAACTTGGCAGTTCGTATTGATGATCATCCCCATCCCGAGAATCAAATGTGGAAAGATTCTCTCTTTTCAAAGTTACCAAAGGATATTGAAGGATGGCGTACCAGAGGAAACGATTACTATACCAAAGGAAACTATGAATGTGCTCTTGGTTGTTATAATTCTGCTCTCCAACTCGACCAACAACATGCCATTATGTTGCTCAACAAACTTGCAGCAATATTGGCACTTAAGAGATACCACGAATGTATTCCGCTTGGTCATGTACTCTTGTCAAAGTTACCCAAAGAACCAAAGGTCTATGCAAGAATGGTAAATCGTATTACTGTCACAGTAACATTCGACAAGAAGGTGTCTGTCACCACCAATGGTGCATCAGCCACCGTGACTTTTAGAACGATCAAGTACAAGCCTGGGAACAAACCCAACAAGCTGTACAACAAGCAAGTTGCAATGGAGAAAGAATTTGCTGGAAAGTCTTTGAAGGATGTCATTGCCATTGGTATCGATCCCAACACGTGCTCAATTACTGTCGTTAACAATCACGATGACAAGGTTCTGGACATGAGAATGGATACTCTTATGGTTAAAAGAAACACCAAGTTTCTTTTAGAGAAAATCTCTTGTCATATGGGAAAGGCCATCAAAAGTTTTGAATCCTGTTTACCATCTCTCAAGTGTATGTATACATTTTATAATATTTGTTTTATTTTAATTATTAAATAATTATTAATTCATTATTTTTTTATTTATATATTTATATATTTATATATAGTCAATGTCCTTAACCCTCAAACATTCCAATCTAGGCTGGACTATTATGAAAAGTATTGTGATTATTTCGATATCTATTTCGAAGCCATCAATGATCCAATCGTACTATCTTGGAAGAGGAACTTTGCTTTCAAAAAGCAAAAGTTGAACAAAGAGTTTTACCAACAATTTGACAACTACATTCTTGATCTCTTTAAAGATCATTTCCCAACCAAGTATGCAAGTATGAACGATTCTGAAAGGAATCAGTACATTCAAGACAATACAATCATATGTATGTATTTATAAATCATTTTCAAAAAGAATATTAATGTATTAAAAAGTGTATATATATTAATATGTATTTTTTTTTCCTTTTTTCCTTTTCCTTTTTTTTTAAAATAGTTTTTGGAAATGCCAAATTTGGACACAACACTCGTGGCAAGGTAACAACATTTGCAGCCAAGACTGTTGCCAACAAGTTAAAGTCCAAACAATATTCCGTTGTCTATATTAATGAATACAACACGTCAAGAGTAAGTTTCTTAATTAAAATTATCATTTTATTTAAACATTTAATTAAATTTATTAATTCTCTTTAAACTTTTTAGCAACATTTTGATTGTTTTTTCCACCAAGAGGAGGAAAACTTGATCCATCATGACCTCAACGAACCTCATGAGGATCCAAAGGATGATTTTCATCTGGAGAAATGCCATCTCAAGCTTGGTAAAGAAAAGGATGGAGGCCAACCGACCAATGTCCAACAGTGCTCACCTATCAGCGAAGCATGTCAATCCGCTGCTAAAGGTAATAGTTTCCTTCGATGCAGTGACCACCGGCATCGTTTAGCACTCGTCAAGCAAGACACACTTTCAAAAGAATACAAAGAGTCGTTGGGGTTCCTCAAATCCATCGATGATTTGGACAAGAAACTCCAATCACACAATCTTTTGAATGTGGCAGGTCAATGTCGAACAAGGAAGGTGACACCGTCAGATGTTGCCGGTTCGGAGACTGAATCGCGTCAGGACTCTCAAAAAGTTGCCTCGACCCAATCGTCTTCGTCATCAACAAAAAAGTTCGACTATCGACACGGACAGAATAAATATGGTCCAGAGATTAGAAAAGCAAGTAAGTCCCTACACAACAAGCACAGAATGGCTGTGTCCTGGAAACGTGTTTTGTGCACTGGTTGTGGAAAAAGTTTCAACCGGGATGTTAATGCAGCACGTAATATGCTGCTACTTGGTATTTTTAAAGTTTGGAAAAATGGTCACCGTCCGTCAAGATATGGAAAGACAAATTAATTGCCAGGGTAAAAACCGAGGCATCAACACAATTTGGGCTCTTAAAGGTATGATTATATTTATTTATTTCATTTTTTGAGTCATACTAACTCTCTTTTTTTTTCAAATCTCTTTTGTAAAAATTTTCAATTTTTTCTCCTCATTTTGAAATAAAGGCTCAAATTATTATCTTTTTTCGTTTTCATCAGATCACCCTCTTTGTCCATTATTTTTGTTTCCTTTTTCTTTTTTATAAATAGAAAAGTAATAATTAATCTATAGTCAATCATGATGAGTACACAGAGATATAAAGTAAATAAAAGAATATCAGTATCATATGAATCATCATCATCAACAATATTAGCAACAACAATAGAAAATGATCAAATAACGAGTTCAAATAATAGTAGTTGCATTTCTTCAACTTCAAATACTACACGCACAACACCTCTATCAATGTCATCTTTATTGATGCTACCCCAAATGTCTCCCTTTATTCTTGGGTACGCTCTCGAGGATATGGATTCATTAGATGAGATTGCTACAATCCCCTCTTCCACTTCATTCCCGTTACATCCTTTTGTAGACTATTCATCTTTTTCTTTTTTGGCTTTATATTTTAATCAAAATAACAATAATCAAAATGATAATAATAATAATATTGATTCATCATTAAATTTATCAAAATCTTTGGTTAATCTTTACAATAGATTACAATCCAACAACGTATTGGATATTACAATGGAACAATTGGTTTGGATAATTTACTTGGTATTGGATTATTATCACAAGACATTTGCAAAGTCGACACCAAAAATGACAACACCCCATGTTGATGTATTATCGAGTTTTATTCCATTACATACACCATATTCTGAAATGGGTGGAGACGAGACGATACTCAATGCTATCCAATCAATGTCGTCGGATGAACAACGAGAAGAGTCATATAATGATTGTATGAAAATATTTACCAAAAGATATAAATCTTTAGATCAATTGGTTCAATGGACAGTCAAAGAATTCATTGGCAATGATATTGCTTTGCCAATATTTAAAAATTTATTTGCAATGACCTTTAGAGTATATAATCTGGTAAAGGTTGCGGCTATGGTTCCTATTAGTATTGGCCCCAACATTACATTTAATGGATTCTTGCCAATTCCTCATCATCTTCTTCACACAATTGTTCATTATTCATCAAAAACTAAAAATAATAATAATAATAATAATAATAATTTACAACAAAATCTATTTAAAGTTGCAATTGAAAATCAACACAATGAAAACAAAAACAATGTAGAGATGGTAGCATCCCTTAAAAGAAAAATTTACAAGGATTCACCAATCTATTTAGATTCAATTGAAATAATGACTTTAAAAGAATACAACGCATCAATACTCAACAATGGACAAAAAATAGCTACCGATTCCTCCTCTTTTATTGGTGGTACCACCGACCAAGATGAATATAGTTTTGAATTAATTTCAAATGAAGACTTGCTACTCTTTTATGGTTACACTTTGGACGACTATGATAATATCTCATTTAATATCGATGCGTTCAAACCACAATCTCAACTAATGTCAGAATACAATGGTGACGAATTGGAAAGAGAAATTAAATTAATGAATGCCAAGTTGAAGATTCTAAAAGAGATTGGAGTTTACAAACAAGAAGAAAAGGACCAAGACAATTCCTCTGACAAACAAAAAAACCAAGACCAATCCCCTCACAACAACTCATTCTCGTATTTGGATATCAAAACAGGCAACTATAGAGATATATTGACCAGAGATAAACAACTTGGAATTAATTTATTAGAAGTAACAAGAATCTCAAAGCTTCGAGAGATGGAAAGTTATTTTTATGAAAAGGGGCAGTGCCATACCTTGATTTGTAATCGAAATGAATTAGAGACTTTGGTTTACCTCTCGAGGCACTTGGGCACTGTTCAACGTAATATTACAACAAAGATTAGCATTATCAACAAAGCAATATCCGACACACCTTCCTATTCCCTTAGTTCATCCAATACCCAAGGTTCTCCATCCATACTATTGACTGAAATGGAGAAATACTATAAAAACCACCAATCAATCATAGAGCACTCTCTTCAGTTTATTTCAACATTGAAAACCCAACATTGTAGAAATGCCTGTAAACAAGTATCGTTTGTCAAACCAACAGATGTTGTTTATAGGAAATTTGAAAAATGGCTCACTGATGGAGGTGTTCATTTCCCAAAGGTATAAACAAACATTAAAATAATTTATTCCTTTCCAATTCTAATACCTTTTTTTAAAGTTACAAATAGCAAATTTTAATGATTCAACAGGTAGAGGCGTGGTAACAACAAAAAAAGTTGAAGAAAACGAATGTGTAGTTTCAGTACCAAGAAAATTTTTAATCAACGTAGATTGTGCAAGAAAACATCCAGTCTTGAACAGTATACTTTTCGAAGAGGCAACTGGATTAAATGACGATACTATTCTTTTCCTTTTTGTTATTTATGAAAAAGAAAATCCAAACTCTTTTTGGAGACCATTTTTTGATACTCTACCTTCTTACTTTCCTACTTCAATTCATTATACGTATGTAAAAAAAAAAGAAAAAAAAGAAAAAAGAAAAAGAAATTAATAACTCACTCATTTTTTATATTTTAAAAAGTACAACTGAACTATTAGAATTGGAAGGAACAAATTTATTTGAAGAAACAATTCAAATTAAAGAACATTTGGAATCAATTAGAGAATTATTATTCCCAGAGTAAATTTTTAAAAAACAAATATATATTTATCATTCATCATTAACTTTTTATTTTTTTCATTTTTTTTTTTAGATTATCAAATCAATATCCAGATGTATTTCCAGAATCATTATTTACAATGGAAAACTTTTTATGGGCTAGATCATTATTTGATAGCAGGGCAATACAATTAAAAATAGATGGAAGAATCGTAAATTGTTTGGTACCAATGGCCGATATGATAAATCATCATGACCAAGCTCAAATATCACAACGATACTTTGACCAAGAAAACGATTGCTTTAGAATGATTTCATGTTGCAACATCCCAGCCACATCTCAAATATTTCTTCAGTATGGAGCGCTACAAAGTTGGGAATTGGCATTGTACTATGGGTTTGTAATATCAAACAACCACTATGACAGTGTTCATATCGGTTTTGATATGCCAGAGGAAGACACCCCCGAACTGAGGGAAGAGAAACAAAAGCTACTTGACAGACACTTGCTGACAGTCGATCACCACTACCTCCATCGATCCAATATACCAAGCAAACTATTGGCATCCCTCCGAGTTGCCCTGCTAGCAGAGGATGAATTCAATCCCCACGTAGATGTTTGGAATCCTATTTCTAGAAGTAACGAAGAAGTAGTATTATATACTCTCTATAGCACAGTGTTGATGCTCCTCAAACAATTTTCCTCAACTTGCGATGAAGACCAACAACTTTTGGAACAACTAATGACAATTACAAAATCGATAAAAGAAAAAAAAAAAGAACAAGAGCAAGGCGGAAATGAAGATGAAGAGGAAGAAGAAGAGGAAGAAGAAGAAGAAGAGGAAGACAATCAAACCGATGAAGAATCAACTGAGCAAATGAAAATAGTATTACAGTATAGAATAGAACAAAAACAAATTTTGGTTTCCACTTTGGAAAGTATCATCACCTCTATGAAAGAAATTGGAATGGAAATACCTCAATCACCATCATCCTATGATCAAGATGAAGATCAAGATGACGATGACTATGATAGTTTTGAAAATGATAGTAGTAGTAGTGATGAAAATGATGATAACAATAATAAATAATTATTTAATTTATTAAAGTAAAGGAGGATAGCAAGGTAATACTAAAAGAGGGATATTTATAAAACATTCTTTTACCTTTGTTGTGATGTAGAGACTGTACAGATTTTGTAGGCTACCCAAAATAATCGAAGGTGACAAGGATTTATCCAAAGTAAAACAGATATTTGTTTGTAGTTTTTGTCCAACTTGGATGTGATAGTCTTTGGATTTATATTTGACAGATGTAAGTGTCATCTCATTCATTGTTCCAAATATTTCATTATTAATGTTATTATTATTATTATTATTACTATTATTATTAAATACATGATTTACAGATTGTTGTTTGTTTATAAACGATAATTTAAATCCCTTTACTTTGGTTTTTCCGCGTCTGTTGTCTATTTTTAACATGATTGATACCTAAAAAGAAAAGGATGATTAAAAAAGAGGTTTTTGGCATTTTTTTTTTGGTTGAATTTTATATTTACAGATGACCCAATAATGCCAAAATTTCGAATTAATAATCTAGCTTTGATTGATGGTGCTTGTTTATCTTGATAATTTAATGATACAAAAGAGTCTGATGGTCCAAATAAACGTGCGTTGTTGTACAGTACTTGTTTTGGTAAGTAATGGCATGATGGATTCCAAATTCTTATGGGGACTGATGTCTCTAGACCTTTTAAAAAAAGTCTAGAGTCTTTTTTTGACAAGACTTTATTACTCGTATAGCAATCACCTAGTCCAGTAAAGTGTAGTCGATAAAAAACCCCAGTTTTGCTGTCTTTTTTAAAAGATAATGAAGGTGGCAAATTTTGTGGAAGGTTTACTTCAAATTTAAATTTATGAAGTTTGCTTGATGGATGATGGTATTGGTGTTCACAGCTAGGAACGATCGTTATCACCGATGATGACCGGCTGTGTCCACTATTGGAGGAGGATTTAATTAATTCTGTTGGAAAATGCTTCGGCATTTCTGCCCCCTCTACAGAGTCACCGTTACTTGTGGTAATTGATGTTGTTGAGTTGCTATTTCTAGTATCGATTTGTAAAGGTTCTAAATATTCACACATTTGCTTATAAATGTCATCGTCATAATAAGTAGAATAATCCTCCACATAATCATTTAAAAATGGTAATGATCCAGATGACTTTGATCTTCGAATATTTGAAAAATTATTATCACCAAGATCTTGTTGAGGTTGTTGTTGTAAATTACTGTTATTATTATTATTACAAAAAAGGATATTTGTTTTAAGCAGGGGATTTGTTTCTTTATACATTTGTGGTCGTTCAACATGTTTTAATAAATGATCAAACAGTTTTGTAGTAACTGGAATGGGTAGACTACCATATGATCTTGGTCTTGTTTGCTCGTTTGTAAAATGTTGAGAGTCTACTTGGTTTGATGAAGCTGAAAGTGGTGACGATGAAGGTGTAATTGGATTGGAGGATGACAATGGTGATACCGTAGATGATGGGTACAAATGATAATCTGAGGAAACTATAGTTTCCCTTAAATAGCCATCACCAACTGATAGACCCATATTTCCAATACCACCAATTGATGATGCTACACTAGATGAGAAACTAATTTCATCATCTTGATCAATTGTTTGTAGATTAATGATATTATTATTGGTATTATTATTATTTTGATTATTATTATTGTTATTATTACTATTATTATTATTATTTTGATTATTATTATTGGTAGAACTAGTTTGATTGAGTTCTTGGTGTCCTTGATGGTCCCTACAATTTGCAACACCTTGGAGTGTGGCATTTAGAATTTGTAGCTTCTTTACATAGACCTCAACTTCAACCTCTATAGTTTCACCTGCCAAATAAATCGATTTGTGTGGATAGAGTTTGATATTAAAGTGATGAGTGTCTAAGGATTCTTCTTCAAACCAACCAATCTTGGATGAATTAACCATGTCATTATTTTTGTTGGAAATAGAACCAGAACTTGTCAATGTTTGATGCAAAGAAGAAGAAGAAGAGGAAGAAAAGGAGGAAAAAGAAGAAGAAGAAGCGGCAGAGGAAGAAAATGAAGAAGAAGAAGAAGAAGAAGAAACACTATCCTTTTTCTTTTGTCCTTTTAACTTTTTCTTTTTTGGTTTGATATTGTTGCTTTTGTTACTTCCATTGTTGTTGCCACCCTGAACAGATAGATGATTTTGTGAAATACCCTCTTGGCTTGCTTTAAATGCATTTGGATATGAAAAGGGTGAAGGTGATATTGATATCTGATTAATAAATGTAGTGTTGTTGTTGTTGTTGTCTGATTGGTTGTTTTCATTTATAGTAGTGGCAGTAGTAGTAGTAGTAGTAGTAGAGAGATGAGGTATGTGATGTCTGTTGTTTAGTGAATTGCGAAGTTTATCTTGTGTCTTTGAGGACGAGGATGGTGGAACTGAAAAATCATCATGATTGTTGTCTAGACATTGAAATGAAGGAAAATGTTGTAGAACCTCTTCATCTTGATCTGAGAATACTATCATTCTTTTTCAACTAGTTGCTAGTTGTTTTGTATATTCTTTCTAATATAATATATATTGTTGTTGTTGTTGAGGAAAAAGAAATGAAAGGAATGGATGGTTTGTTTTTTTTTTGAACCGTTTTTTACTATTTTTAAATTAATAAAAAAAATCAAGAAATCCCTTTTTTTTTTTTTAGATTTATTTGTTTATTATTACTTTACTTTAATAATAATAATAGTATTCTACATATATAATATTGGTACGCAGCAGCAGCAGCAGCAGCAAATTTAAAATTTAAATTTAAATATCAATATTATGAATAATTTTTTTCATTTTACTGAGCGCTCTTGCTATTATTACACCTTCGACTATATTAAATTTAGTATCTCTTTCCACCTTTTTGGTTAGATGAGATATTCCATTTAAAATTTCTTGTAGTGATCGATCCATTGATTTTAAAAATATGCTAACCCTATTTTGTGGTTGTCCATTATTAAAAGAGGATGATGGAGAAGGTGACGTTTTCTTTGGTGTAAGTGGTGGTTGCACTTCATCCTCTACAACCTCTCCTAATATTTTTTTAATTTCAATCACTTTTCTACATTCGTCATAACGCTCTGTGATCTCTTCTTCTTTTGTGATGGACATTAAATCCCTTGATAGTGGTTTAATATAGTCGTCCAATTCTCCAAGTACTGTTAACATTCTTTCCTTTAAACTAATAAATCTCTTGGCTGTCTCTTCATCATCGAAATCTAAATCCTCTTCTGATGCAATACGTCTATTATCATCATCATACTGATATTGTTCATTATTATTATTATTATTATTGGGATCGTCAATTAACAATGATTTATCATTAATAGAAAGAGTTGGAATTAATGGTAAAAGCAATGATCTCTCGAGTGGCGATTGTTCTTGTTCTTGTTGTTGTTGTTGTTGTTGTTGTTGTTGGAGTTGTTGGAGTTGTTGGAGTTGTTGGGGAGCACTATTTTTTCTGGATATTTGTGGAGATGATTTTGGTGATAATGGATTTTCCATTGAGAAATTATCTGTCAGTGGATAGAGAGAAACCAATTGTTTGAGAGTGTATATAATATGAGAAAAGGTTGGTCTTTCTAATGGTTGATATCGTAGACAATCAATGACCAATTCTGTAAAAAGAGGTGGTATATCTTCTGGAATCAAATCACGTGCTGTATCTTCTGGAATTTCAAAGGCATTCATTGGTCCTCTTTCGATTTCTTTAGATATTTTCTTTCTTGTTGCCATTTCCAATAATACTACTCCAAATGAAAAGATATCAGCTGATTCATCATCTAATAAATAAATAAATAAATAAATAAATAAATAAATAAATAAATAAATAAATAAATAAATAAATAAATAAAAATAAAATGAATGGTCAGAGAATCAACAAATATTAATATAGTTTGGGGTTTTTTTGAACTTACAATCCATTCCAAGTATAACTTCTGGTGCCATGAATTCATCGGTACCACAAATAGAGAGATGTCTATTTTTGCTAGTTGATAAACTAGACGACATAGAGTTATTAATTTTAATACGAGCAAAACCAAAATCACAAATCTTGGCTCTAATGAGTGTAGATGTAGTATCTATAAGAATATTCTTTGACTTTAAGTCTCTGAATAAAATATCTCTGCTATGAAGATAGGCCATGGCAAGTGCCATATCCAAAGCTAATTTAAATCTAACAGACATTGGAAACTCTTTTGATTGATCTTTAATCAATTGTGACAATGTACCACCTCCAATAAATTGTGTCACTATCCATGTAGAATTTGATTGAAGATGAATAGGAAGACATTGTTGCGTAGTTGATGTTGGTTCATAATAAACACCTATAAACTGAACAATATTTGGATGTTGAATATTTCTTTAAATAAATAAATAAATTAATAAATTTTGAATCGTATTGTTGTTGTTGTTGTTATTATTATTGTTTAACATACTTTAATACAGAAACTTCACGTTTTAAATACTTTTTAAACTCTCTTTGATGTGAAGTAATCTTTTTAATTGCAACTTCAGATTTAAAGTAAGATCCTTTATAAACCATTCCATATGAACCAGCACCTATTTGTTGTCCAATTACCAATGCATTGATATCGATATCAGAAGAGTTTGGATCTTGATCAAGATTTCTTGTTTCATCGTCGTCATCCTCTTCTTCCTCTTCTATTGTTGTAATATTGCTGGTTGTTGGACTGTTATTGTCTGTTGCTGCTGCTGCTGCTGTTTGTTGACTGTGGTTACTGCCATGAATAATGTTATTCATCTCTTGTTTAAAAATGATAAACAAACTTTTGTGGGCAATCGTAGTCTTCGTGAGATGTTATTATTATTATTATTATTATTATTTTATTATTATTATTTATATTATTATTATTATTGTTGCATGAGATACAATGACGTTGTTGATCACCATTTTAATTGTTGTTTGTTGACAACAAAAAAAAAAACAAAAAAACAATTATATTATTTTTCGTGTGTGGTTGGGGAAGACGAATGGAGTATAAAACTGTTTCGTCAGTTCAATAAGAGTAACAAACCTCAAAACATGAGTAACAACTCTCAAAGTAGTAGTAGTAATAATAATAATAAGAATGCTCAAGTCAAAGCACCACATCCAATGCTAGACCCCTCAGCTTGCAAGGAACTAAAAGATCGTCATGATGCATGTTTTTATAAGTGGTATGGTGGTAGTTTCCTCAAAGGCAATGTATCACAAGACTGTCAAGAAGAGTGGGAAGAGTACCAAGTTTGTATAAAAGTAATTGTGATTCATAGTATTTGAATAGATTCATTCGTTTTCAGTTGATCATTGACCATCGTCGTTCTCCTCCTCCCTCTCTTATAGGATAAATTAAAAGCTTGGAACTTGGAATATTTGTTGGACGACAATAAAAAGAACGAATAATGATAATGAACAATATATATATATATATATATATATATATATTATATATGTTTTATGTAAATAATGACAATACAAAGAGTGTTTAAAGTTCACCTCTTCCTCTATTAAGATATATGGATCTTAAATTTTAATTTACAATGATTTTTCGTATTCTGATAATATCATATCCCAATATGCAAATCTTGTTGACAATGCTTCAACCTATCGATGATGATGATAATAATAATAATATATCATATTAATATACATTTGAGAGATGACTTTATATATATATATATATTATATATTACTACTACTTACTATATCATTGTATGATTGTATTTTTTGTTCCAACTTTTTGTTTAAAGCCACCGTGATGGCTTGTTGTTCATTATGAAAACTTTGCAAAGGTTTGAGAGCTGTTATGGATGAAGGGATAGATGAGACAGAGTTACTGTTGATAAACTTTTCCAACTCTGACAAAAGTTGAAGATATCGTGCCGTTTGTTTAATATCATCTTCGCTGGATAAAATGATTGCCAACTTTTCGACAGATGTTATCAATCCTCCATTCCCAATTGCATCATTATCCATTACTGTATTAAATAATGTTTCATTATCTTTGTCTAAAAAAATAATAAGAGAGAGAGAGAATATGTTAATCAATCACTTGTTGTTGTTGTTTCTCTGTTACTTTCTCTTACATAAATTAAGAAAACTATTGATTGTATCATTATCTGTTTTGATATTATTGATTTGTGATCTATATCTATCTAATTGCTCTGAAATACAAGATCCTGATTGAAGTGTAGTGTCTACTAGATTAGTGTTGCTTATGATTGTGGTGGTGGATGAGGATGAGGAGGAGGTGCTAGGAGATGTTTGACGTCTCAGTGTACTGGGTGATGAAGAATTGGTGGTTGTAGTGATATAGGGAAGAGGAGTACGTAGTAAATCATCGAGCGACAATACTTGATGACCCATCAAACAATTCTCTAGTTCTATTATTCTTTGTTCAATATCATTGATTGCATCATCATCATAATCATCATCATTATTAGATGATGATGATGGTTTAATTGGTGTATTAATGTCAATGTTGGTAGACATAATGTTAATGGTGTTGTGAGGTGGCAAACAAAATATCATAGTAGTGTCTAGAAATTTGATCCAAAAAGGAGTTTTTTTTTTTTTAATATTTTAATTTTATTTATTTAAAACATAATTTCTAGCAGAATTATAAACTAAATTTGTATTATTATTATTATTATTATTATTGTTTTCTAAAATATTTGATTTACTATTGATTTCTCTAGAACCACATCTCAATGATTGTAGATATAATTTGTTTTGTTGTTTTTTACTTTTTAATTTCTTTGACAATTTGTTTTCCTTTTTTGTTAATTTCTTTTCTTCTTTTGAGGCTATGATGAATTGCTTATACTCTGAAATCTTATCAATAGATACTGCTTTAATGTGAGATGGATTTTCTCTTTTTCTCTTGGTCTCTCTCTTGAGTTTACGTTTCTCCTCCATTAATCTCTCTTCTTGTTGGTCTTGCTTTCTCTTTTTATCCAATTTAATCTTTTCTTGTTCATTCTTTATCTTTTCACTGAGAGAGAGAGAGAGAGAGAGAGAGAGAGAGAGTTAGTATTACTAGTTTCTTTTTTTTTTTTTGGATATTCTACAAAGTATTTTCGTACTTTTGTTTTGCAATTTGTTGTAAAACATTAAAAATCCAAGGCACCATCAACTTGGTTCATTTCCTCTTCCTCTTCTTCTTCTTCTTCATCTTCTTCCTCCTCTTGTTCTTCAATTTTGTAGTTTTGTAGATTATTCTTTGTCTTGTTTGATAAGGGAGTTGTTTGAAGTTGTTGCTTTTGTTTTTGTGGAGTTGTTTCCTTTACAATGGATTGTAATTTGCCAATTAAATTTCCACTTGTTTCATTGTCAAGGATAACTTGACCATCTTCAAAATCTTGGTCCTCTAATTCTTCATCATCATCTTCTTCTTCTTCTTCATCATCATCCAATTCCAACTCCAATTCCTCATCCTCCTCATCATCATCTTCTTCTTCTTCTTCCTCATCATCATCTTGCTCCAATTCCTCCTCTTCTTCTTCCTCATCTTCTTGCTCCAATTCTTGTGTAACCTTTTGACTCTTGGATGAGGGAACATTAAAGAGGGGTGGCGGAGGAATAACTTTTCCACTTTTGTTGGTGATCATCGTAGTATTGTTGGTGATGATTTTTTTGTCTGGATGTGGGGTATCTGGTCGGTTGATGCTTTGTAAACTTTGATTCATCTTTTTGTTGTTGTTGTTGTTGTTGTCGTTGGTCTTTTTTGGTGTAACATATAACTCTCCATCTTGATAATCTTCACTATCTTGTTGAGTAAAGGTTGGTGTTTGTGGATAGGCCGACGACGACGACGACGATGATGATGTAGGAGTTGATGTAGATTTCTTTGATGATGATTTTGGAGTACTCAACTTTTTAGGTTCCTCCTCTTGCTCTTTCTCTTTTTGATTCTTTTCCTCCTCTTGTTTCTTCTTTTTTGCTGGAGTTGAACCTGTCTTTTTTGAAGGTGTTTGCATCTTTAAGATTGCCTTTAGATCCAAAGTTTCACTTCTTCTACTACTCTTCTTCATCGACTCTAATATCGAACCTAAATCTCCTTTATCCAATGCTGCCTTTGATGGTGTTACCACTCTTCTTGGTGTTGAAAGAGGCATTTTTTAGAGATAATTTATTTATTTACAAATATAATTTGTAGCTTTTGCTTTGTGACACTTTGACCTCAAATAGACGAAACATTACAAAAAAAAAAAAAAAAAGAATCCTTTGAAAAAACGAAACAAAGATTAATTTTTTTTTTTTGTATATTGCTTTCCAAAAATAATATACCTCGTCGTATGCATAAATATATAAATAAGTCCTAACCCAAAGTAACACAATACATTATCAAATAATTTCAATGATGAATGATTTAAATCGCAAATGGTTTTGAAAAGAGTCCAAGTATCTCGTCGAAATTGAAACTTTAGATTATCTATGAATTTTTCTTCAAAGAGCTTTGGACTCCACTCCTTGTATAGAATACAAATAACGTATCTATTGTTGTGATACATTGGTGTTGACGTTGTGTTTACATGTTTGGAGATTGATGATGGCGAACCAGGTCACGTTTTTTTTTTTTCTTTTTTTTTTTTTTTTTTTTTTCTTTTCTCCTCTTCATTCTACCCGTATTTGGGTGTGAAATGAGTGAGCAGCAAGCTCAAGTTTTTTTTTTTTTCCAAGCGATCAAGTCAACAGATAAGATAGAAGTAGTGGTAGTAGTAGTTATTTTATTATTATTATCATTAAGCGACTTCATCATCATCATCAAACCAACAAATTAAACAAAAGATTAATCTTCTGAAAAGAGAGAGAGAGTTTATTAACAGGAGGACACCCTACAATCCATCTGATTGATGAATTTGGTATTAAAGACGACGACACGACAACAAAAACAACAAACAAACAAACAACAACAACAACAACAGACAACAACTATCGATATTTAAAAAAATGATATCTTTACAAAGTGCTATCAAAAGGTCATCAAATGTTGTAGTTCAACACGGCCTTCGATCATACAGCAAAAAGAGTTCAACCATACAAACACTCTTTACTACTACTACTAGTAGCAGCAACAATATTAATGTTCAATCTTCCACATCACTCATTGGTCGTTTTGTTCAAAATAATAGTTCATCCAACAACACTAGCATTCAATATTTCAGTACATCTTCATCATCACTATCAAATGTCAATGCCCCAAAGTCACGTAAAGAGTTATCAGAATCTTTCCTTGATGGTACCTCGTTGGTCTACATTGAAGACATGTACAATGCATGGAAGAGTGATCCAAATGCTGTTCATCCAAGCTGGAACTCGTTCTTTCAAAGTGCTGATTTTGGTGCCCCAGCTGGCGAAGCCTATATGTCTCCACCAACTTTGGGAACATCATCTGCTACCAAGGCCGGACCATCATCTGCCTCTGCCGTAAACCTCAGTCAAGTAAGTGATTCCATGAGATTATTATTACTCGTTCGTGCCTATCAAGTTAGAGGTCATTCCATTGCTACTCTTGATCCACTTGGTTTAGATATCCGTCCTGAACCTGCTGAATTAAATCCTCAAAGGTATATATATTATATAATATAATAATAATAATAATAATATAATTATAATCATCTGATACTAATCAATTGTTTTTTTATTTATTTTTTATTTCTAAAGATATGGATTTACAGATGCAGATATGGATAAACCAATCTATGTAGGAGAAGGATTAATATCAGGATTTTTATCAAACAATGCACCACAAACAACATTACGTCAAGTGTTGACACGTTTACGTGAGACCTATTGTTCAAACATTGGCGTCGAATATATGCATATTCAAGACAGAGAAATGTGTGATTGGTTAAGAGAAAAGTTTGAGACTCCAAAATCACATCAATTCAACAATGATGAAAAGATAAAGATTCTCGAACGTTTGGCTTGGGCCGATCTCTTTGAAAACTTCCTTGGTCTCAAATACAAGACTCAAAAGCGTTTTGGTCTTGACGGTTGTGAGTCACTCATTCCAGGTATGAAGGCATTGATCGATGACTCTGCCCAATTGGGTGTTAACCAAATCGTTATTGGTATGCCACATCGTGGTCGTCTCAATGTTCTCGCCAACGTAGTTCGTAAACCACTTCAAGCCATCTTTAACGAATTCAATGGTGGTGTTGTTTCACTCGAAGGTGAATACTCTGGCACTGGTGATGTAAAGTACCATTTGGGTACTTCTTACGATCGTGTAACTGGTCGTGGAAACAATGTTCATCTTTCCTTGGTTGCTAATCCATCTCATCTCGAAGCCGTAAATCCTGTTGTCGAAGGTAAGGTTCGTGCCAAGCAACACTACTCTGGTGATCAAGAGAGATCAAAGGCTTTGGCTATCGTTCTCCATGGTGATGCTTCCATGGCCGGTCAAGGTGTTGTCTATGAAACTTTACATTTGTCAAATTTAACTCATTATAGTACTGGTGGTACTGTTCATATCGTAGTAAATAATCAAATTGGGTAAGAGCAAAAAAAAAAAAACAAACAAAATATTATTAAACAATCATCTTATAAATCTTTTTTTTTTTCTATTTTTTTAGTTTTACAACTAATCCATCATCATCAAGATCATCTCAATATTGTACAGATGTTGGTAAAGCTATCGATATTCCAATTTTCCATGTCAATGGTGATGATACCGAATCAGTTGTTCATGTTTGTAAATTGGCTGCCGAATGGAGACAAAAATTCAAACGTGATGTTATCGTTGATATCGTTTGTTATAGAAGGTAAAAAAAACAAAAAATATATATATATATATACATATGTACAAACAGGTATTAACTTTTTCTATTATTATTATTATTATTTTTTTCTAGATTTGGACATAATGAAACTGATCAACCAAAATTCACTCAACCATTAATGTATAACAAGATTTCACAACAAGTCCCAGTTATTGAAAAGTATTCACAACAATTAATAGGAGAGGGAATTTTAACTGGTGATCAATTCAATCAAGTCAAGGCAGTAATCCGTGAAGCCTATGAAAAGGGATACCAAGAAGGTATTAAATACACACCCAAAGCATCTGACTGGTTCGATTCACATTGGGAGGGTATCAGAAACCCATTACAAACTGCCGAAATCAAGCAAACCAATATTTCACCAAAGACTGTTGAAATCTTGGCCAAGGCACTCTGTTCATTGCCAGAGGGATTCGAAGCCCACGCTACACTCAAGAGATTGATGAAGGAGAAACAAGAAGTGTTCAACAATGGACAAGGATTTGATTGGGCCACCGCCGAAGCAATGGCATTTGGTTCATTACTCATGGAAGGTAACCATGTTCGTCTATCTGGCCAAGATGTTGAGCGTGGAACATTTAGTCATCGTCACTCTGTGTTGCATGATCAAAACACTGGTGACACTTATTCACCACTTCAAAATATTACAAAGGTAACCGGTCAACCATCTGCCGAAATTACAATTAGCAACAGTTCCTTGTCAGAATTTGCTGTACTTGGTTTTGAATTGGGTTACTCACTCGAGAGTCCCAAATCACTTGTACTCTGGGAAGCTCAATTTGGTGATTTCTCAAACAGTGCTCAAGTCATTATCGATCAATTCATCTCTAGTGGTGAACAAAAATGGATGAGACAAAGCGGTCTAGTCATGTTGTTGCCACACGGTTACGATGGTGCCGGTCCAGAACACTCTAGTTGTCGTATCGAACGTTACCTCCAATTGTGTGATAGCGATCCAAACAAGATCCCAGCCAAGGAAGAAGCCGAACGTAAACAATTACAACACTGCAACATGCAAGTACTCAACTGTTCTACTCCAGCCAACTATTTCCACGCTCTTCGTCGTCAATTGTTGCGTGACTTTAGAAAGCCATTGGTAATTTCTACTCCAAAGTGGTTATTACGTCTCACTCAATCCTTTTCATCGCTCAAGGACTTTACCGAAACTACCTCATTCACCAGAGTCTATGGTGAATCTCAACCAAACGAAATTGTAGCCCCAGAAAAGGTTCAACGTGTAGTATTCTGCTCTGGTCAAGTATACTATCTTTTACGTGCTGCTCGTGAACAATCAAAGGTAAAGGATGTTGCCATCATTCGTGTTGAACAACTTCATCCATTCCCATTTGATTTGGTACAAGAACAACTTCAACTTTACCCCAATGCTCGTGCCATCTGGTGTCAAGAGGAACCAATGAACATGGGTGCTTGGAATTACATCTACCATTTCTTTGTCTCTACCTTTAAAAGTATCAATCGTCCATTCGACCTTACCTACGCTGGTAGACCAACAAGTGCTTCACCTGCTGTCGCATCTCATTCTTTACATAAACTTCAAGAAGAAACATTCTTGTCAGAGGCTCTTGGTACAAAGAAAAAATAATCAAACAAAAATAAATAAAAAAGAAAAAAGATACATTAATTATTATTATAACTTTAGAGGATAGTTTTATTTATTTATTTTGGGGGGGGGGGGGGGGGTTTATTGTGATTTCTTTTTTGAAAGAGCTCTCTTTCTTTGTGAAGCATGCATATCGTACATTACTTTGTCAGAGACAATAGAGGGAAGTGAAGTGATAAGATAGGTTTGAATCTTGTGAGCCCAATAACCAGATGTAGTTCTTTCGTAGCCAATGGTAGAGATGGCAGAACGAGCATAAGCTTCTGGGAGTGGAACAAATAGTGATGGCTTGCGAACCTTTGACATGTTGGAAACAACGATACCTGGTGCAACACATTGTACAAAGATACCCTTGTCAGCAAGTTCAACACTCAAAGAGTTGGAGAAACGATGTACAAAAGCTTTGGTACCACTGTAAACAGAGAGGAATGGGATTGGTGACATTCCAGAGATGGATGAAAGATTAATGATGGCACCACGCTTCTTGGTGATCATTGATGGAACGACGAGACGAGTGAGAGCAATCATAGACTTTACATTCATGTTGACGAGTGCATTAATACGATCGACTGATAACTCTTCGAGATACATTGGATGATCGTAAGAGATACCGACATTATTGACTAGTACACCAATATCTACTTGAGAGAGATGTTGTTTGTAGAGTGATTCATACTTGCTGTCATCTGATGTGTTGAAATCAAAAGCAACAGTCTTGGTTTGAATCTTTGGATACTTTGATTGGATCTTTTGAGCTTCATCATTTAATTTATCTTGGCTTCTAGAGATTAATACAATGTTCATTCCTCTTTTGGCAAATTCATAGGCATAAGCTTTACCAATACCATCTGTAGCTCCAGTAACAACTAATTGTCAAAAAGAAGAAGAAGAAATAGAAAAAGAAAAAGAAAGAGGGGACAAAAAGGAAGGAAGTTGTTATGATGATGACAATGGATATATATATAGATGGGTATCAATAATATGATAATATATATGTATACATACCAGCCCAGTCACCATACTTTTTCAAGTTGGTAGATGGTCTAATGGTTGAAGCATAGACAAAGTTTAGAAACTTGTAAAGGTGAACAGCAATAAATGCAAGTCCAATCAATGTACCAATATCAATAATTGAAATCATCGTCGTCGTTTATCTATATAAGTATCTTTTGTTGTTTGAAATTAATTTGTATGGTGGTGTGATCATCAGCTTGATTAAAAATTTTGATACAAAAAAAAAAAAAGAAAAGAAAAAAAGAAAAAAAAAAAAAAGTCGACGTTTTGAAGGAAAGATCCTCTCAATGATCTCTTCAACAAGAATCATCTTGCTAGTTACTAATAGACTGACCCCCCCTACATACACTTTGTAGTATATTTATATATTTATATTTATATAATATCTTTTTTATTCAATTTCCTAGATAGTAGTAGTAGTATTGGTAGTAGGAAGCAGCAGTTCTTCTTCATAAAAGCAAACAACAAAAAATGAGTATCGTTCAAAAGATTAAAGAAATTGAAGATGAGGTATGTCAAGAATCTGCTGATTTGGCACAGGCAACATGTTGTATATACAGTATTACATACTAATCATACATATCAATGTACATTTATTTTTTGATTAGATGGCAAGAACTCAAAAGAATAAGGCAACTAGTTTTCATTTGGGTGTGTTGAAAGCCAAGCTTGCAAAATATAAGAGAGAATTACTTTTGGGACCATCAAAAGGACCAGCTGGAGCAGGTGAAGGTTTTGATGTATCTAAAGCAGGTGATGCACGTGTTGGTTTGATTGGATTTCCTTCAGTAGGAAAGAGTACTCTTTTGACCAAGTTGACTGGTACACGATCAGAAGTAGCTTCATACGAATTCACAACACTCACTTGTATTCCAGGTGTAATTCAATATAATGGTGCCAAGATTCAATTGCTCGATCTTCCAGGTATCATTGAAGGTGCCAAGGATGGTAAGGGTAGAGGTCGTCAAGTAATTGCTGTTGGTCGTACATGTAATCTCATTCTTATTGTACTCGATGCAATGAAACCATTGGTACACAAAAAGATCATTGAAAGAGAGTTGGAAGGTTTTGGTATTCGTCTCAATCGTCAACCACCAAGTATTGCATTCAAGAGAAAGGAAAAGGGTGGTATCAACTTTACATATACCGTACCACCAACTCATCTCGATGCTGACCTTGTCAAGGCTATCTGTTCTGAATACAAGATTCATAACGCCGATATCATCTTGAGATGTGATGCCACCGCCGATGATCTCATCGATGTCATTGAAGGAAATAGAATCTATCTTCCTTGCATCTATGTCTTGAACAAGATTGATGCCATCTCTATCGAAGAATTGGACTTGTTGGACAAGATCCCTCATTATGTACCAATTTCTAGTCATTTGGAATGGAATCTTGATGCTCTATTGGATAAAATTTGGGAATATTTGAATTTAATTAGATTGTAAGTCATAAATATATATATATATATACAAACAAAGGGGTTATCTTTTTTTTATTCTCTCTTATATTAATATTGACTATTTTTATTTTATTTTATTTTAAAATATTATAGGTATACCAAACCAAAGGGACAAATTCCAGATTATTCTTCACCTGTCGTCATTAGAGGAGGTGATTCATCTTCTGTTGAAAACTTTTGTAATCTCATTCACAAGTCTATCATGAGACAATTTAAATACGCTATGGTTTGGGGTTCTTCAGTTAAACATAACCCACAAAGAGTAGGAAAGGATCATGTTTTGGCCGATGAAGATATTATTCAAGTTGTCAAGAAATAAGCGCGCATTTATTTATTATTATTATTATTATTGATTACAGTAACAATCGAATTGATAATCTTTTATTATTATTATTAAATAAATAAAGCTCCAAACACTACATAATAACATACTTCACAATTACAAAGATCCAATCCATGTTGAATTTCCATTTTTTCAAGGGAGGGGGATCACATGTGCAACTCATTTAATTAATAAAACTGATAGATGGATAGATAGATAGATAGATAGATAGATAGATAGATAGATAGATAGATAGATTGATAAAGATATTAGAATTGTGTATATATATAAAATATACAAAAGACTATATACCAGCTTCTTGCTCTTGTTCCTCTTCTTCTTCTACTTTTATTATTTTCTTATTCTTATTCTTATTCTTCTTCTTCTTCTTCTTCGTAATATTATAATATTCTTGAAATGATTCCATCAAACAGAAATAGTAATAATAACAATAACAACAACAACAACAATAACAACAAGGAGAATATACAAAAACGACAGATGAGCAACAAAGATGAAAGAGGAAATGGTGATGTAGTTTTGGATTATAACAGTAGCAGTAGAGATGATAATCATGAGAATGGACAAGGTGGTTTAGTCATATCAGAGGAAGAAATGTCAATGAATACAATATCATCAACTATAAATAACAACAACAACAACAACAACAAAGACGACAAAGTTTATGATAAAGAACAGAAACATACAATTAAAAGTACTACGACATTGTTGTACAACAACCAAGATTATCATGATATTAATACAAATCAAGTTGAATTAACGACCACCAATAAGAATCATTCAAGTAGATTAGGAAAGGTTGCCAAATTACCTTTTCATTGGATTTATATGGTAATATTATATTTCTATTGGCTCTTTTCGATCACCTTTACTTCATTGACTGGTAAAACATTGTCATATAAAACAAAAAACAACAACAACAACAACAACAACAACAACAACAACAATGCCTACTTTATCTTCTACCTCTTTGACATCTGAGAACAACAGTACTGTTGATGGTTACAATAACAACCAAGTTGGTGGATTTAGACATAAAACTTTGATTGTATTCATTAATCCAGTTAGCGGAACTGGAAAAGGTCCATCAATTTTTGAATCAGTCCGACATTTATTTCAAGATAGAAACTATACTTTACATGTTACAGGTATGGTCATAAAAATAACTTAATCAATCCATCCATCCATCATTACTTACTTTTTCATTTTGATTTGTTAAAGAGACAAAATATAAAGGAGATGCAGGAAGAATAACATCACAATTATCGCAAAAAGATTGTGATGGTATTGTTTGTGTTGGAGGTGATGGTCTTATCAATGAAGTAGTAAACGGACTATTAAATAGAGATGATCAGTCTATTAGCAGACATATTCCTATTGGCATACTTCCTGCCGGTACAAGAAACGGTTTGTCAAATAGTTTGGGGATAACCAACGTTTATGATGCCGTTAATATAATTCTTCGTTCACAAATTCATTATATAGATGTAATGTCAATTTCACCATTACCAAATCACAATCATTTTATTTTCCCTACTACGACGAATCAAAATAATCAAAATAATCAAAATAATCAAAATAATCATAATAATAATAATAATATACCTAGATTCTTTGATTTTTTAACTAAAAAAAAACAATCTCCAACACCAACGACGAAAACCAACAACAACAACAGGAACAACCTCAACCAGAGAATTTTAACTACAATATAGATATATACAACGGCGCAAGTGGTGGAAATTATAATGGTTTTCATATGAAACAAATTTATAGTGTAGTGTATACTGGATGGGGAATAATCAGTTACAGAGATAAAATACAAGAAAATATGAAATGGACAAGACAACTCAAGCCATACATATCGAACCTCTACTCTCTCTTTGTTTCACTGCCACTAAAACAACTCAATTCAACATTATACTACCAACCATCATTATATCATCATAATTCATCACCCTTTTCGTTTTTAGTTCCTCTTCTCTATTCACAACAACAACAACAACAACAACAACAACAACAACAATAATTTAGAAAGTAACACTACAAATTCTTCAAACAACATTCTACCAAAATTGAATTTATCAAACCAACAAGAAAAACAACAACAATATTTTGAAAATCATGATTCACCTTTATCCCCATCTACCAACAATAATAATAATAATAACCATCAAAAACAAACAACAAATGTAAATTGTATAAAGAATGATTTTTGTCAAGGATGCAAACAACAATATAAAACAACTTTTGGAGGTAAAAAGTCGATGAATGATATTACAGACTGGATTACAGTCGAAGGTTCCTCGACAAACACACCTTTTGGACTCACATTCTTTGTGGCAGGTAATTGTTCTCATATTTCAAAAGATTTTAATCTTTTCCCTGGATCTCACCTTTCTGATGGTTTCATAGATCTTGTCATATCTACTGAAAATGACAAGAAAAAATTGGTACCTTGGTTGTTTAGTGATTCAATACCAACACCAAATCAACCTTTTAAATAATAATCAAAATAATAATCTAGATAACATTGGGTATTGTAAGACAAAAGAATTTATTTTTAATATTAAATCCAAAGGGGATAGAAACAAACAACACTCACAAACAATACCATTGACTGTTGATGGAGAACTATTTCAAATTCAAGATGTATTTGGTTATTCATGTGAGACGATAAAGGTTGAATCACAAAGATCAATGTGCTCAATCTTTTTATGATACTACGTATTAATAAAACATATATATAAATATTATACATATTCAAGTATAATTTTATAAAACTTTATAATAATATTAATTTATTATTTATTATTTATTTTTTTATCCAGACTCTCTTTTTTTTTTTTTCAAACAAGAAAACGAGTTTTTGGGACCGATTTGTCATTGATTTGGTCAAACCAAAAGAGAGAAAAGAGAGATGATGCTATATGGAAGTTCTCGTCTAAACACATTTATTCCTCTTTTCAATAAACAGATTAGTGGGCTATCTAGGTGTTACTATTCAGCTTATACTTTGGAAAAGTACAGTCTTTCAAACATTAAAGAAGTTTTATATAGCACAACAAAAGGATCTCGTAGTAATGACAATAATAACGCATCAGACATGATATCATTAACAACAAATGTTGTTGGTGAAAATCATAATAATATTAATAATAGTAATAATAATAATAATAATTATAATAATAATAATAATAATAATCAATCATTAAATGGTCGTCTTTCACCTATCAACAAATATTCACTAGCCAACATTAGAGAAGAGTTGCATACGAATAACAATAACTTTTCATCTTTTCCTTCCCCTTTGAATAATACTGCCGCTACTACTACTATCACTACTACAAATGATAACATATCAAAGGAACTAGATCTAGTTTATAGGAAGATGGAAACTAATCCAATCAAGTATCCATCTCATTATGCAATAGAAAATCGTAAACCTACTATATGTGTTGGTTTATCGGGTGGTGTCGACTCTGCCATCGTTTCATATCTACTTGGAAAGCAAGATTTTAAAGTAAAGTGTGTATATATCAAGAGTTGGGATGAAAAGGATGAACTGGGATATTGCTCTGGAGAGCGGGATTACAAAGATGCATGCGACATTGCACAATCACTTGGAGTTACACTGTTTCATAGAGACTTTACAAAAGAATATTGGAATAGAGTATTTCATTCTTTCTTGAAAGATTATCAACAAGGTTATACTCCCAATCCCGATGTATTTTGCAATAGAGAGATTAAATTTGATGTATTTACAGAACACGCAAAACAATTGGGTGCTGATATGATAGCAACTGGTCATTATGCAACTATACTTCATAATCAACAACAACCTCAACATCAACACCAACAACAACAACAAAACAATAATATTATATTAAAAAGAGGAAAAGATAGAAACAAAGATCAATCATATTTTTTATGTATGACTGAAGGACACAAACTTGCTGAAGCAATATTTCCTCTGGGAGAATACTTAAAAAATGATGTCATTGCAATGGCAAACAAAATTGGATTCAACAATATAACATCAAAGAGATCTAGTAGAGGTATTTGTTTTGTTGGAAAGAGACCTTTACCAGAGTTTTTGGAACAATATATACCATTGGTTCGTGGAGCCTTTGTTGATGACAAAGGAAGTATAATCGGAGAACATAAAGGTGCAGTGTGTTATACTATCGGTCAAAAAGCAAATATATCTGGAAGACAAGAAAGATACTTTATCTACAAGGTAGATGTTATCAATAATCAAGTACATGTCTGTCCAGAATCAGTGTCTGATCAATATTTACTATCAAATGCTTGTGTCATCTCTCATTTAAATTGGATCAATGGCACCCCCTTGGCTCTTCAATCTGGGTTACCAATCAGAGCAATGTGTCAAATAAGATATAGAGCTGATTTAACAGAATGTTTAATTGAACCTATAAATCATAATCAACAACATAGTCTACAACAACAACAACAACAACAACAACAACAGAGTCAACAACAACAATACCGCGTAACATTTGTAGGAAAACAAGAGAGAGCTGCAACACCAGGCCAGATTGTTTGTATATATGAATTAGAAAGTGATATTTGCCTTGGAGGAGGTGTTGTACAACATGTAGAAACTATAAATGGTACTATTTTATCTCCTTCAAAGAAATAAACTTTAATATAAAAAAAAAAAAAAAAAAACAAAAAACATCCAAATCAAACTTGATCGTGTTGAATCCCTATCTATATCATGTTGCAAAGTTCTCTTTAACTTACAACAACAACAATAATAATAATAATGTCAACAAAGAACAAAGAACAACTATTAAAATGGTGTAACGATACGATTAAACAAGTTTCACAAACACAATCATCATCATCATCGATAGCAGTTAATGATTTTTCAGTATCATGGAAAGATGGTGCAGCATTTTTAACAATACTTTATGCCATCTATCCAAAAGAGTTTAATCTAGAGGAACAACTAAACAAGCCAATTTCAGAGAGACTACAGTTTGCATTTGACTTTGCAGACGAAAGAGGAATAGTTGGAAGATTATTAGAAGTTGATGACTTGATCGGAGAGAGTACAATACCAGAGAAACTTACAATTGAGACTTATTTATCATGCATCTATCACTTTTACAAAAAGAAACAAGGTGAATCAAAATTGGATAGTCAACTTAAATCACTCTTGGCAAATATTGATGGTTTAGATACAAACTCCTCTTCCCCCTCCTCCTCCTCCTCTTCCTCTTCTAGTTTCTTACCATCATCTTCCTCCTCCTCATCATCATCTTCTTCATCAAATATGAATGGTGCAAGTGGAACATGGAACTTGCAAGCAATGGACAAAGAAATTGAAACTCTCAACAGCAAGATGAAAATATTGAATGAATCATCAAAAGTTGTGGAAAGCAGAAGAAATCAAAGTGCTCAAAGCAAAGAGATATTAAAGAATCTAGAGAAACTCACCTTTTCAATTGAACAAGAGTTAAAAGACAATGAAATAACTTCTGTATGTAGAAAAGATTTTTTTTTTTTTTGCTTTCTTTATTATTATTAATTCAAAGAGTTTTGTATATAGAAAAAATTTAGAGAAGAAATTGAAAAAAAAGAAGCAGATTTAAAGAACAAGATTGAAAGGGAAAAGGAACAATATGACAAACATATTCAAGAATTACAAAAAAAGATTGAATTGTTAAAGAATTCATCGGCTGTTGGAGGAGAACAAGAGTTGCTTAAAAAGAAATTGGACCAAGAGAAGCAAGCCAAAGAGGAATTACTAAAGAAAAAATCAGAGATTGAACAAGAGACGGAAATGTTGAAAAAGAAACTACACCAAGAGGAAGAGACAAAGAAAAAGTTGGAAATTGAAAAGAAGCAATTGGAAGATGAAAAAGAGATTGCCAAACAAAAACACACAGAAGAGATAAAAAAACTAAAGAGATGTTCTAATCAATTCTTCGGCAAAACAAGAAATGATGGAAATGGAGCTTCGTTCAGAGCTCAGCATCAAAGGAGATTTGGTTGTCTCTGAAAAAAAGTTTAAAGACAATGTACAACAACTTGAACAAAGTATCGATGCTGAAAACAAAGAAAAGGCAGAGATTAAAAAGACAAAAGAAAAGTTGACAAGCTCTCTCAAAAAGGCATTGATGACATTGGAGGAGGAAACCAAAACCTATTCTCTTCGCGACAAGTCCAAAAAAGAGATTGAAGCCGAGAAACAAAAGCTTCGACAAGAACGAGAGGCAGAAGCTCTCACAAAGGTTCAAGCAGAAAAGGACAAGAGAGTCACACAAAACGAATTGGATGACAAGAGAAATAGCTATGACACAGAGTTGGTTCGTCTTCGAGATGCAAGATTTACCAACCGCGATATTCAATCAAAGATTGAAATGGTCGATGATGAAATCGATGATGAAAAGCAAAGAACAGAAAAATTGGTTGGCATTGAGCAAGATAAATTCAATACTGACAAGGAAAAGAATAGCAAGCGCCACGAAAATGTATTAAAGAAACTTGAAGAATCAAAGCAAAAGCTCTCAAAAAAAAAGAAACAAGTCAGTGAAACGACACAATTGGAACGTATCAAAAAGGTGGAATTGGACAAAGAAATTTCTAAACTAAATGAAACAGATGGAGACCTGAAGGAAAAATATCAAGAGGAGCGATCTGAAAAGAAAAAAGCAGGACGATCAAAAAAGGACCTCGAGGATCAAATCAACAAGGCCAAGTTGTTTTTAGATGTAGAAACCAAAGGCAGGGGTATGCGCGAAAAGCTTAAAACAAAATTAGAGATTGATAACAAACAAATGCAGTCAACACTTGGAGATGATCTCCTCAAAAAGAATAACCTCGACGATGAAATTGAGACTCTCTACAAAGATACGAGTCAATTATCAAAAAAATTGGAGCATTCAAAACTAAATGCAAACGAGTTGTGTGAAACAGGAAGAGATATTAGAGAAAGATCATCTCAAATTGACAAGGACATTGTTTCAATGAACCAACAAAGACAAGAAATGTCAACTCAAGTAGACATTTCTCTATTGCAAACTATTCAAAGTCACAATGAACAAGTAAAGAATCGACTCAAATCACTCCAAGAAACCAATCAAGAACTAGACATTACACTTGGTAATCAACAAAAACTGGCACAACAATTGGAAAATGTCAACCAAGAAACAACGCTTTTATCACAAGACACAAGGGCAAAAGATATGGAATTAAAGATAGAGGAAATACAAAAGATAAAGTCAATCAATGAATCAAAACGCAAAAAATTAAAACAAGATTTGGAAAAGGTAAAAGATGGTAAAAACGCTGAAAAAAGTGTAGACAGAGATTTTGAAAAGTTGGACGCCATGAAAAGAGAGATTGATGCATTGAAAAGAGAAAATCAACAAGATGACAGTGAAAGTAGATCAAACTCTGATCAAGCTTTGTTGTTGGCTCAAAGATTGGAAGAAACTGAAAGACAATTAAAACAAAAACAATACTCTTTGGATCTTAAAAAAGATGAACATCAAAGAAAATTGGAAAAAGAATTAAAAAAATTGGAAAAAGATCGTTCATAAAATTTACTATTAAATGTATAATATAATAAAAATCTGTATATAACAATATAATATATATATAAATATATATAAATGTAATTATAATTTAATTGTATGGAGAGAGACTGAATAAAAATGAGTGAATTTTTTTTTTTTTTTTTTTTTTTTTTTTTTTTTTTGAACCTGACCTTCGTTTTTCTTTTGCACCACATAATTTTATGTGTGAGTTATTGAATCTGATTGTTCAGTGATCGTTTTAGTAGATAGATATCTTTCTTTAGTAGAGCAGAGCAAGATGATTACAGGAGCATCTAAAAAAGCATTTATGACATTGTCATCTAGATCATTGTCACAATACTTTTCAGCAGCAACAACAAATCAAAAATTATCGATTAATAGACAATCATCATCGTCATCGTCATCGTCATCGTCATCTTACTCAACATCATCATCTTATTCGTTTTTACAACAATCAACAAGATTCAACAACAATGACAATAGTATTTATCAAAGACATTTCTCTACTGCTGCCACTGTAAAAGAAGAAACAGCAACAACAACATCAGAAGACTCTCAAAATTCATCTATCCCTTATCAAATCTTATCAATTTCTAAAGAACAATGGGAGTATGTAATAACAATCAATCAATATATATATAATGTCACTAGAGACTAACGAATTTTTCTTTCTTTTGATTCCTACTACTATTACTACTACTACCAACACTACTAGTAAATGTATTGGATCTGATAATATTTCAAAAGAGTTACAAAGTCATTTCGATAGAGTAGGTGTAAACAAGGATAGATCTACATTACTCAGACAACCAACATTCCAAGTTATTGAATGGTTAAATAGAATGAAATCACAAAACTTTATCAAACAATCCAAATCAGATTATGCTATGCTTGTCGACGGAAAGAAAGGTTCTGGAAAGTCGGTTGTACTCAGTCAATTGGCTTTTTGGGCAAAGCAACAAGGTTGGTTTGTATTCTATATTCCAAGTTGTATGTATACACATAATCAAAATATTTTGATAGATAAATCGTCATCAGATGACTAAACTATTTAGATATTGATAAATCAACTGGCTAATTTATATATCTATCTTTAAAGGTTATAAATTTATTCACACTGGAACACTTTCACCATTCCCCGAGAATCCAATGTTGTTTGAACAAAATGAACTTTCAACTGAAGTACTCAACAGAATGTTGACTGTCAATGGAGAAATGATGAAGAAAATTAATTTAAAAACAAAGTTTAGAGTATTTATCAACTCAATTTTTAAAAAAAGTTATGATGATAGTTACTGTACTTGATTATTTATACTATTATTTATACACTATTATAGATTCAATTAAATAATTTTAGATCAACTCCAGATAAAACATTGTATGATCTGGCCTCTTCTTCTCTTGAAGAATGTTCAAGTGAAGTATTGTATCATTTCAAGCGCGAACTTGATTGTGTAACTGAATTCCCAGTTCTCATTTTACTTGATGGATACAATCATTTCGATAGAGTATCTGAATATGGTGACATGTACGATGTTGGTACAAACTTTTATACTCTTCCAACCGATAGACTATTGGCATCAAATTTGTTCAAACCATTACACAATCATACATTGGTAAGTTTAAATCATTCTATCAATCAATCAATCAATCAGTCAGTCCAGTCAGTCATTCCAGTCTGTGCATATCTCTAAACTTTCTTTTCTCCCCCAACTATATATAGTCCAATGGTGTTGTAGTTGCATCGTCTACCGATGATGTATCAAAAGAACAATTATTATCAGAGTTTGAGCAAGATCAAACTATTGCAGTAAATAAGATGACCTTGTATGAAATGAGATTACTTTTGAATTATTTGGTTGATATTAATTATTTAGATAGAGGCAAGTATTGTTGGATTCATTCTACAAGTGCTTTTTTCTTTATTTCATTCTATTAACCATAATAAATATTATTTTTCTTTTTTATCTAAAATAGTCCCATCACAAGAAACCGTTCAATATTTATACCAAATGTCAAGTGGAAATGCCAGAGATTTATGGAAATTCGTTTCGTTGCTTTAAATCCATATTAATAAAGAAAGCCAAAAAAATGTGAATCGGCGCAACTCAACCCACACCCCGATGGATTTTTTCTTTTTGGGTTTTTTTTTTTTTTTTTTTTTTTTTTTTTTGGCTTTTTGCTTCACTATTTTTAAAAATAATCATCAATTTAGATCATTGACACTTTAGATATCAAAATTAGATAAACAAACAAACAAACAAAGCAAACAACAAAATATCAACAATATCACAACATCAACAACATCAACATCAACAACATCACTTTAGCTAAAGTAGTATCAAACAACAAACGACAATGGATGTTGTTCATCTCCGAGAAGATGAGGTAATTAAGCATTTTAACAACAACATTCTTGTGAGCTAGCTACTACTTTAATACTAGTAGTAGTTGTAATCACATATGACTGACTTGTCTTTTTTTTTTCCTTTTTTTTTTATTTATTTTACCTCTCATTCATTAGGTTGAGATATTAGAAACAAAATTAAGAGATACAACAACAGGAATTATTCCAAAATTAAGAGGTGATGATTACATCAAAGCATCAGAACTAATTGATTGGCTAGTATCTGCCTTTCCAATTACTCGAATCAAAGCAGAAGAGTATGGTCAAATGCTTTGGAATCGTGGTGTATTTGATCATATTGCCCCACATCCCTTTAGAGATGATGATCAATTATTTAGATTGAAGCAAGTTGAAAACTCAAACAGAAAGTCGGTTGATGAGCAACAGTGGAATCAATTAAAGCAAGATGCTGCCAACAAAGATATTTCAAATGCTGACCCAATTGCAAAGTATGTAAACAACTTGATTCAACATCATCATTTCTTTAAATCTAACCTCTTTCTCTCTTTTTATTTTTATTTTTTTTGCTATAGGTTACACAAATCAATCGAAAATGCAACCAAAGTATATCAAAGATTACTAAGAGAAAAGAATCAAGCATCTTCTCCAAATACTCTTTTGGGTCTCAAGTTATTAGATCAAACATTAAATCTTATTACTTCAAATCACAAGCCACATCAAAACTATGGCCAAATTCTTGGTTTATTGCAGAATACTACCTCTGATGAAAACGAAAGTGTATACCTGAGACAACCATCAGACAGTAATTTGAATCAAAATAAGAAACCAACAACAACAACAACATCTTCCTCCACCACCATTCCAAATCAAGATCAATTAGATTTTACTTCGTTGGCATCAAATGATATTGATGAAATTATAACTTCAACCGAAAGACTAGAAAGTTCTTTGGCCGAACAACTAAATTTAGCTCACCAAAATACATTAAGAATTTTAAAGCTTTTAAAGAGAACCAACAACAACAATAATAATAATAGTATTATTAATACCTTGAACAACAACAAAGGAGGATCTTCTTTAACATCATCATCATCAACATCTCCATCTTCTTCAGCTTTTGTTACAAAGCAACCAAGGGCATTGTCTCCTTCAATACAATCATCTCCTATTGCCAATCCACCTCCACCTTCAAATATTGATGAATCACCAATTTCACTCCAACGCCAACGTTCATCGAGTCATTTTGGATCACTTAAAGGGATTGATCTAACACCGGTATCTATTGGCAGTGTTGAAAACAAATTCCCAAAGTTTTTAATATCAGAGCCAAAGTCTGACTCTTTTGTATTTACTGTAAATGGACCATCACACGATTTGTTGGAATCTGCTGTTCACTCTTGTTTCAACAATAATTTCTATGCCAAAACTGTTTCAACCTATCCTCATTTACCTGGACACCCTAAACGTGAAGGAGACCCAATTTGTGACCACTACTGCGTACAGGTACAGAGTAGTAGAATTATTAGTGCTGTTGCAGACGGTTGCAACTGGGGAACCAGACCAGCCGAAGCAGCCGCCAAAGCTTCAACAGCTTTTGTGGATTTCATGAGCAAGGCTCTATCGAGTGAAATTCAAACAGTACAAGATGCAGGAAATCATATTCTCTCGTCTTTCAACTATGCACACAACAAGATCATCGAAGGAAAGTCTGATATTTGGGAAGCTGGTACTACAACACTTCTTGGAGGTGTTATGGTTGAATTGGTCGGTGGAGGTATATCAAACCATCTTGGTGGCGCTAATAATGATTTGTCACAGTCATCGGCAGCCAACCAAGGTAATGGTGGATCAAGTGCAAGCAGTATTCTTTCTAGATCAGTACCTGCTATTGCCATTGGACAAAAAGATGGATCAGGTAAAGGTGGTGGTGCACCAAGAGACCCAAATTCACCTCCATCAAAATGGGGATTCATTTGTGCAAGTGTTGGTGATTGCAAGGCATTCCATTACAATCATACCTCTAAAAAGTTTACAGACATCACCAAAAACAATAGAGGCAACGTTGACGATCCCAAAGATCCAGGAGGAAGACTTGGTCCCTATGTTGCCAATGGACACCCTGACCTCAGAAATCTCTGTCTTCATTTTATGCCATGCAACGAAGGTGACATTATCATCTTAATGTCTGATGGACTTCATGATAATCTCGATCCACAAACAATTGGTGTCTCTCCCAAAGAGTGTCTATTGCCTCACGATAATTGGTCCGATATGGAGTTTGAAAAGATACAGGACAACAAGGGCAAATACATGCAAGAATTCCTCAAAAAGAAATTGAGGGTCGCCGAAGGAGAGGATCCTATTTGTCCAAAAATGATAACAGATAAACTCATTGAACATTGTGTAGAGACAACTAGATCCAGCAGAGAATTTATGGTTAATTTCCCAAACAAGCCTTTACCTGACGATCTAAAGGCTTACCCAGGTAAAATGGATCACACTACTTGTGTTGCATTTAGAGTTGGTAAACAACAATTTTAAAAATATTTATAAACAAAAAAAAAAACCTTATGTAATAAATAAATAATCCTTAAATATATATGGAAAGAGAATTAGTTCCTATATATTTATTTAATTAAACTTTAAGATTTATGCCAATTCCCATTGGGTGCATAGTCCAATTATTATTATTTTTAAATTTATTTTATTATATTACATTGTTCCTATTCCTCAGTGTAGCATCGGTGGCTCTCCTACCACTACTACTACTACTACAAGATAATTTCTGTTGCTGCTGATATTGATCCTGAGGATTAAATCCACTTTGATGAGATAAAGTTGGTATTAATAAAATTTTTCCAGAATCTATACAATAATATATATTGTACAAGGAAAGTATCTTATTGCATCGATAAATAAACCTAAAATAAAAAAAATGATTAATATAGAAAGTACCAACCAGACTTTATACACATACAATAGAGGATCTCCAATGTTTAAATAAATAATAGTGCTCCATGTCAAAAAAACCAAAGAAAGTATAAATATAATTATGCTGAAAAAATAAATCTATAATCATAATATATTAGTTGTGTGTTTTAACAATAATAGTAGTAGGTAGAAACAGGTGGGGGCAATCGTGTTAAATCAACCTACAAAAGAATAATGCAATTGAAAACTATCTCCATTGTTATTGTTGCTATTAATATGAATATTAATAGTCTCTGCATTACTGTACATCTTTGTTTCTTCAGCTCTTATTCTCTCACCCATTGTACTAAATTGATAGGATTTATAAAGAGAAAAGATAAAAGTTGTAAAGAAAAACAATATTTGTAACTGGTATCTTTGTCTTTGTTTTGTTTGCGATTCCAGAGTCTTTACTATTGCATTTTCAAAGATATATATATCTAAATGATAGGAGGAGGAGGAGGAGGAGGTATAATGAGTAGTAAGAATCATCATGTCAGTCAGAAGCAGCTGCAGTAGTAGTCAACTTATGATGTAAAAATGAAGAAATGCCAACCTTTTAGTTGAGTTTTAATATCAAACATGTTTAAATAGAATATAAAAGACTAACAATGTTAACTCCATCAGTATTATTAATAATAAAATCTATACACACAAAATGTAGTTGTTTTGATGATGGCTGGGTGAAAAAAAATTAAAAAAAAAGCATAGGTTGATTGACAATGGTGATGTTCTTTGTGTTCTGTTAGCTTTATTCTAGTTATCACTTACTTTTTGTTTGTTGTTTGTTGTTATTGTTGTTGACAACCAACATTATAAAACTACTACAGCACAAGAATGCCACTTCTGGGCAAACAACCATATGAGCTCAACAAAACCAAACCAAAGGTAGGAGGTGAATACTTTGTTGTAAGATTCACCAATGAACACTTTAAAACCTATTCGTATGTACACCCTTAATCGTTGCCTTTTATATCACAAATACTCACCTATCTCTCATTCCTCTTTCAAATCTCCTGCTGCACCCATATATCTATATATTTATATATAGTGAATACATTGAAGCACTAGAAAGGTATAGACAAAGAATATGGTCATGTTCATTGACAGGTAAAGCTAACCTCACCTATGAAGAGGCGTTACTATCTGAAAAGACTGCACTAGACAAGGGTTCAAAGTTTTCCGATTTACTATTACCACATTGTCTCCGTTTGATTCAATATCGTATGTACATACATAGATAGATAGAGTATTATTATGTCTCATGTTATATCAACACTTTTCTTCACCTAAACTCTCTCTCTTTCTCCCTTTATAGAGGAAATGAATGTTGATGACCTAAGGGATATAATATCTGAATACTTTTCAAACAATTACTTTGCTGGTGAACATGTTACTTTTAAGATATCAGAGACTAAAAAGTAAGACAACAACACCAGTTTCCATTAAAAAAAAAAATGATTACTAACATCACGAAATATCAATCAATGAAAGGTTTACAGGAAAAGTATTATGTCGTATAAAAGATCCAATGATCACGACAGCAACTGATTCAAATGGAAAAACACCATCATCATCTTCTTCATCAACATCATCAAAAGACAAAACATCAAAGAAATCAAAATTAAATAGTAAAAACCTTAGCGAATCGGAATCTAGCGATAGTGATGACTCTTCCTCTTCAAGATCTTCTTCTTCATCATCAACTTCAACCTCTAGTAGCAGTAGTGGTTCGTCCAACAACAACAAGAAAAAAGAAATCAAAGTTTACAAGATCTTGATTGATGAAAAGACAGGCAAGACATATGATGTACCAATCAGTGATATTATTAGAAGAGTTCCACCAATCAACAAACAAATGATCAAGGATACTATAAAGTTGGTAGCAAAGAGAGCCAAAAAGGGATACTGGTTGGTCGAAGAATCACTCATTCAGAAATATGGAGTTAGTGTCCCAATTCCTCACCATCTGCGTGGTGACAGTGAACTCAAGCGCAAGGCCGAGGAAATGGAAAACAAAAAAGACGACCAAGAAGAGGAACAAGAAGAAGTTAGAAAAAGAAAAAAATCTGTCTATCCAATGGAGGATTTGGAAATAGAAAGAGGAGTAGACACTGATGGTGCTGTTGTTACTCGTCCCATAGCATCTAATAATTTTGTTTGCTCACAAAATGTATTTGGAGACCTACTAATGGTGTGGTTTTTCCTCAATCGCTTCGAATACGTCATTCATCTTTCGCCATTTTCACTGGAGGACTTTGAATCTGCCCTTTCACATCCATCCGACACTACTTTACTTTCAGAGACTCATATGCGCCTTCTTAGAATGATCTTTTCTCTGCCCATCTACAACCAAGGAACTCCAAAAAAGACATTCTCTGCCAAAATGCTTACAGAAAGAAACTGGCTCCCAACTCTCAAGGCTTATTTCCAATATGAAACAAGAAGATTGGACATTGAAGAAAAGAGAAAACAAGAAAAGAAAAAACAAATCGAAATTCAAAATAATCAAATGATAGATTTAGCAAACGATTTACAAGATGACGAAATGAAAGATGAAAAAGATGAAGAAAAAGATGATGAAAAAGATGGAAAAGGATCACAACAGGATGAAGATGAAGATATTTCAATGGAAGATTCTTCAGATGAAGAATCAGAGTCTGAAGATGACTCTTCAGAAGAAGATTTGCAAATAGTATCAACAGATCCAAAATTAATTAGCAAATCACTCAAGAAAAACAATTACTATCGATTGGATATTGAAGAAAAAATATTTATTTTATCTTATCTGTGCCAACAATCGATTGCATCTGACAAGATTAGAAAACACATTGATGAAAATGAAGAAACATCTAATGAAATACGACAAGAAAAAAGAGAGTTGGTAGCCGAGGAAAGAAAGATCAAAAGAGAAGGAGAAGAGGAAAAAGAAAAGGAAAAAGAAAAAGAAAAAAAAAAGAAAGCATCATCTCCACCCCTCCCTTTAAATACCGAACAACTTGACAAGATACAAAAAAAGGAAGAGAATTTGGAGGTCAAATTGGATCAGTACTCTTCAAGATATGAAGCTCTTGGAAAAGATCGTGACTACAACAAATATTGGTATTGGTCTCAACTCCCAGGAAGACTGTTTATCGAAACAACCAATGGAGATTGGTCCTTTTACACATCGAGACAGGAATTGGAGGATTTAATGCAATACCTCGATCATCGTGGTGTAAGAGAAAGAAAACTCATCAATGTTATCAAGGCAAAATATGATAACATTGCAAATTCAATGGATTCAAGAACTCTACAAATCACCAACCAATTAAACTATGAACAAAAGAGATCGGCTAGAATCAAAATGATCTATGGTGAGAAAACTTTTATGACTTGGGAAAATGATTATGAATAAATATTGAATATAAAAAAGTAGTCGTATTAATAGTAGCAGTAGAAGTAGTAGTTTTTATTTTTATTTCTTTTTTTACCAACCAGTTTGGTACCCAATTTGATCATACAAGTCACAATATGAAGATCTCAAACCTTGTTGAACAAAAGAAGGAATATCCAATATAAAACTTTGGTCGCTAGTTGATGAAGTGTACATTGGCCATGCTGGAAGAGATGGATCACTAACTGGTACTGGACCATTTGGATTGCCACTCTTTGCAAAGTTTGTCCAATAGTCAATTAGATCGTATGATAGTTGTTGTTCTTGAGGAGTGAATTCAAAGCTTCCAGATGATGTCACTGTATCAAAAACATATGGCAATTCGAGACCATGACACACACTATTGGCACATTGGGGAAAGACATTTCCATAGACGTTAAACGATGATACATGTTGGAATTGATATTGGAAAACTGGTACTGATTCTGCTGCAATTGACCGTACCGCATTTCTAGTTGGACAAACAAAGATATAATCGGTTCCTATTGTACTCAACAATAACATATAGTCGGTTGAAGAGTTGATATAACTGCTATATTGTTTTGCAATATCTATAGAATTTCCAAGTCCAAAGATATCTACCAATCCAGCTCTAAACTCTAATTCACTTATATGTTCTGATATCTTTTAAAATAAAAAATGATCATTAATATCTTTCTCTTCTCCATCCCTCTTCATTTTTTTTTTTTTTTATATTTACAGATGCAACAAATATTAAAGCTTCATCATGAACAGTACCAATCATTGTTGGGACCTTATTGAATTGACCCTTTTCAAGAAGGGCAAGGGGTTGGTCTGGAATAATATCACCATCTACTACTGGTGTCCATGGTAGGAATGTTAAAAGAGGATGGAAAACATTAAAACTATTTTCACTTGTATTTTGAGCGACGAGAATAGAGTCAACAGACTGAGAAAGGAGACATGAAGTGTCATCAACATTGCATCCAATATCTTTGGCAAATTTCTCTGCCAAATCAATTGATTCATCAACTGTTTTCACTGGCAATGACCAAGGGTTTGATTCAATAATAATTTTTGATAAAAGATTGGTTGATTTTGGTGATACAAGATGAATTGCTGAAGATGTTCCTAAATTAAAAAAAAAAAAAAAAAAGAGAGAGTGAATAAATGTGATGATCAAAAGAAGTGAGAGAGTGTTTTTAAATTATTTTACCTCCAGCACTTTGACCAAAAACAGTGACTTGACTTGGATCACCTCCAAAAGATTTTATGTTATCTTGAACCCATTGTAAAGCGACCAATTGATCTTGGAAACCATAGTTTCCTTTTAATTGTGGTGTAACCAAAAAACCCAAAACACCAAGTCTATAGTTGATGGTCACCAGAATGACATTGGTTCTGTTGACAAATACTGCTCCATCATATAGTGGTGTTGATCCTCCACCCATTTCAAATCTTCCTCCTGGAATAAATACCATCACTGGTAAGGGTGTAGGATTATTACCATTGCTATTGTCAAAAGGTGGTGTGTACACATTCAAATACAAACAATCTTCTGTTTGAAATTCAGGGCATACACCAGATGGAAGATTACATTGTTGAGGACATCCTGGTCTTTCATAGGTTGCATTCCAAACACCACCTTGTGGTCCCCATGATGTTTTTGGAACAGGTGAGGCCCATCTTAAATTTCCAATAGGTGGTTCTGTAAATGGAATCTAGAAAAGAGATTAGAGATGAATTGTAGAAAAGATAAGATTGTTAAAGAGAGTAATGGTAATAGATATATTTTTGTTTGTACATACTCCGTAAAAAGCATTGTGTGTTGGGAATTCAAGACCCAAAAGAGGTCCATCATCGATTTGAACTTGAATGGTAGACTGGGCATTGAGAACCGATGCTACTATTAAAGATAAAAGTAAAAGTATTTTCATCTTTTTAAAGAGAGAGAGAGAGGGAGAGAGAGGAGAGGAGATAAATATATGTTGTGATTGAAATTTACTCTTGTAGATGTTGATGTAGAATTGTAGAAAAAAAAAAAAAATTTTTAATCAGATATTTTTGTGTAGAAATATCTTTGACAAATTCGGATTCCGAAGGTTTAAGTTTAGTTTAGTTTTTATTACCTTTTTTATTAAGATAAATCAGTAATATTATCTGGATCCTTTTGAGATCTACTTCTCTTTCTAAGTTCTCTCTTTACAGTGGATTCCATGTCTACAGAACGTTCCAATTGAGATTTTGAAAATGCCTTTGAACAACCTATTTGTGGACATTGTGTTTGGGCATTATTTCTAAACATTGAATAGATTGCATCCCTAGAGAACATATGTCCACAGACTGACGATTTTACTGGATGTTCAAATGGTTTCTTGGTGAGTGGGCATATAATATTTACAGATTGAGATGAAAGAACGATATCTTCTTCATCGTCTCCATTTTGGTCACCACCTTCTTGGTCTTGATATGGTTCATCGTGATTTACTTTCTAATAAAGAAAAGGAAAAAGAAGAAGAAAAAGTAGAGATTGCTTGAGAGTTAGTTTGGTGAAAATATGAATAATAATAATAATAATAATAATAATAATAATAATAATAATAATAATAATTGATTGTGTCTTTTTTGAGAAAAGATTACCTACCCATATTTGATGTTTAAGTTCTTTAAACTCTCTATTTTTTCTCAAATTAGCTAATTGTTGAGGTGTAATCTTGCTTTTAATCATTTCAGAATGGGTTATAAACTCTTGAAAGTCTCTCATTTGTGCTACTGCTGCTTGTTGAGCTTGTCCTCTCTTTAGAGATCGAGAGTAGAAATAGATAGAGATGGTATTAGTTATTACTATTTTGTTCTAGTGTTTAATTGATTGTGCGATGTAGTATTTAATAATCTTAAATACATACAATTGCAGCATTTCTACTTTCTATATATTGTCTGAGTGACTGCAAATCAGCTTTGTATGCAGTAATAAAACTATCAATATAAAGTGTCTCTAAAAATGATGTATCTAATTGAGCCATCTATATATATATATATATGATTTGTCAATATTAGCATATAGTAGTAGTTACTAGTCGATTATTAGTCCATATTATTATTATTTACCATATCAGAGGTTTCATCAAATTCAGCAAGAGACAAAGCAGACTGAAGTATATTATATCTCTGATTTTGACTTAGTTGTGCTAATTTATCATAATTTCTTATAAGTTGATCTAGATCTGCTGTGTAAACTTCTCCCATCTTATATTATTGTTGTTATTGTTGTTGAGATCAATCATACGTAAATGAACTCGTTTGGAGGGAAAAAATTTTAAAATACTATTATGATTTTTTTGAATATTTTTACAAACGAACTTCCTTCAATCAGCTGAGAGATGATGATCACACAGATTCACTTCATTTCTTCTATCCTATCTTTCGAAATATAGAGAATAGAGAAGAATGTCATCTTCACCACCAGTTACTGGTAACTTTATCAATAACATGGTAATCGATACTACTCATGCTGCTCCCTTTAATAATAGTGGTGGTCTACCCAACGCTTCTTCCACATCTACATCAACATCAACAAACAACACTAGTTATTTATATCATAAACAACTACACATGCCAACAGGAATAGAGTTTTGTATAAAAGGAAATGTAACTTCAAAAGATACTGTAAACCTCATCGTTGCTAAAACTACCGTCATTCAAATATATTCTATAAAATATGTATGTTAGATATCTATCTATCTATCTATCTATTACTCATCAATATTAATATCATTATTATTTTAAAAAGGAAAAGAATGAACAAACAGAACATCAACAACAACAGAAACAACATAATAGTGAAGAGTCTGATATGTCTTTTCTTGATTCCTCTGATGATGATGATGATAATCAAAAAGATAATAGTAACAATAACAATAATAATAATAATAATAATAATAATATGACGGATCAACAAAAACCATGGTTAGAATTAAATTATGAAAAGAATCTATTTGGAGTGATTGAATCATTGAATTGTGTTAGATTTCCAAATGAAGATAGAGATTGTATTATTCTTACATTTAAAGATGCAAAGTTGTCTATATTGTCATTTAATCAAAACACTCAACAATTGGATATTCATTCGATGCACTATTACGAAAGAAACGAATTCAAGAGTGGAAGAGAGACATTTAGATCTCCTCCCATTCTTAAAATGGACTATCAACAAAGATGTGCTGTCATGTTGTTGTATGATAGACATTTAGTTGTACTACCATTTAGACATACAATGTCTTCTATTTTGGATGAAGAAGACGAATATGAAGAAGAACACATGACCAAGGATAGTAATAATAATAATAATAATAATAATGTCAACGGTAAATCAACAGAATCTTCATCTTCTTCGTTTACTTCAAAAGGAAATCTTAAAGATTCCTATATTATATCATTAAAATCTATTGGTGTTGAAAATGTTAAAGATTTGACATTTCTTCATGGATACTATGAACCTACTCTACTCATTTTACATGAGCCTTCACAAACTTGGACAGCCAGAATTGCCGTTAAAAAGTTGACATCTTGTTTGACTGCTGTCACTCTTAATCTCTCTCAAAAGCAACAATCTATTATTTGGAGTTTTGACCATATGCCCTACAATTGTGAAAAGTTATTATCCGTTCCAGAACCACTTGGAGGATCATTGGTTATAACTCCAAATATAATGTTTTATGTATCACAATCGTCTCGATACGCCCTGGCAACCAATTCCTATGCTCTCATTGACACTACCTCTCCAACTGGTGAACCATTTGCCATACCAATCGATAACTCGTCAACCAATCTTGTTTTTACAATGGATTGTGCAGTCTATTCATTCCTCGAAAAAGATCGTCTCCTTGTTTCTCTTAAAAATGGTGATCTTTTAATCTTTCACCTCATATCTGATGGTAGAAGTGTTCAACGTATCAACATTACAAAGGCTGGTAAAAGTGTTTTATCTTCAAATGTATGTTATCAAAAAAAAAAACCCCCACATTGAACTTATCTTTTTAACTCTTTTTTTTTTTTATTTATTTATTAGATATGTGTTTTATCATCAACATTATTATTTTTAGGATCAAGATTGGGTGATTCTCTATTATTGGAATATACAGAAAAAGTTATTGATGTTGATACAAATAATGTTACCGAAAATTTAGTAAGTTTTAATATATATACCTTGGTTTGTTAACAACCTTTGAGCTAACCAATTCTTTTTTTTTTCTCCTCTTTTTAGAGTAATCCATATAAAAAACAAAAAACATCAGAAGTATTATTTGGAGAGGATGATAATCCGTCAACAAGTATTGCTGAAGAAGAAGATGATGAGGCAGATGCAATTTTTAATAGAAGCAGATACCAAACAAAGTCCTATCAACTCACCATTCGTGATCATATTACCAATATTGGACCAATCAGCGATATGATCACTGGTATCTCTTATGAATCAAACAAGGGAGAAAATGAAGAAAATGAGGTAGATCATACTAGCAGCAGAAATGGTAAATCCTCTGGTAACGCAGTCAACTTGGCATCAATTGCAGATCGCGATTATGAATTGGTTACCTGTTCTGGTCATGGTAAAAATGGAGCCATTACAATTCTTCAGAAAAATGTTCGTCCCGATATGATCATCTCTTTTGAATTGTCTGGTGTCAAACAAGCATGGACTTTGTACTATGATCCTGAACAATCATCTTCAAAGAACAAAAAGAGACATCTGGAAATAGGACAAGAACAAGAAAACGAGGAGGAGGAGGAAGATATAAACTGGCACAGTTATCTTGTTTTGTCACAAGAAAAAAATACTTTAATCTTCCACACTGCTCAAGAATTAAAAGAGGTTGCTACCCTTTCAAACCCCACAGTTTTGGCTGCCAACCTGTTTAACAACAAACGATTGGTATTCATTCACCCCACTAGTATCAAGGTGATGAATGGACATTCATCTGTCACTCAAGAGATCAAACAATCACCAATTAAATATGCCTATGTTTGTGACCCCTACATTTTGCTCCACCACCAAGACGGAAATATATCCTTGTACAAGGGTAACCCAAAGGATCTCACAATCTCCAAATTAGATATACCATTCAATTCAAGCAAAACAACATCAATTATGACTTGCTCATTATTTATTGATCTTAACCCAATTAGCAATTGGTGGACATTCAAAAAATCAAACAATCAAGCAGGTGACATTTATCTTTTGATATTGGATAGCAATTATACTTTAAATATTTATCTAGCAAGTGACCCAACAACACCCATATTTACAACCAATCATTTTAATAAGGAATTGGATATTCTTTTAAATTATAATAATAATCAACAACAACAACAACAACAAAATATTCAAACTAATAATTTAAATTTTAAAGAGATATCAATCCATTATTTAAGTGATTCTATTTGGTCAGTTCCATATTTGGTAGCAATTAATGAATATGATCAAATTTATTTGTACAGAGGTTTCAAAAATGAAAAAAATGAAATTAGTTTTAAGAAAATTGTCAATGATGTTTATCAAGAACTACCTCTTGAACAACCAATGCCAACAACAACAACTAGTAACAACAACAATGTTAAAGAAAAAAAGAAATCATCCTCATCTTCTTCATCCTCCTCTACAGCAACTTCTTCATCGACACCATCTTCAACAACAATCATTAATTTCAATGTTGAAATGAACAGAAGAAGAATCATTCCATTTTCAAATATAGGAAACAAGAGAGGTATTTTTGTTTCTGGTGTCAGTACTCCGATTTGGATATTCAGTGAAAAGAACTTCCCTCGTATTCACCCAATGAAACAACAACAACAAACTACTTCCTCTTCTTCTTCCTCTTCCTCTTCATCTAAAAGACCAATTACAACATTTACTACCTTTCATAATATAAACTGTAAACATGGTTTTATCTATTTTGATCATACTGGTATGTTGTGTATTTGTAGATTACCAGATGGTACAAACTATGAAAATGAATGGCCTATTCGCAAATTGGCCATTCGTATGACTTGTCACAAGATATCATACCATCCCGTCCAAAAATGTTATGTATTGGTACTCAGTTATCCACAAGCACCACAAAGCGATGAAGATGAACAAGAGGAACAAGAAAGAGAACTTTTAAAGAAACCATTGGTGCTAGAGGAAAAGTATCAGTTGAAATTGATCGATCCTGCAAACAATTGGAATATTATCGATTCATTTTCACTTGCCGAAAAGGAAACCGTTTTATGTTCCAAGATTATCTATCTACGTCATGCCGATGAAAGTGATATTATCCCTAAACTTAAACCTTTTGTTATTGTAGGCACTGCTTACACTCATGGTGAGGATACAGTTTGTAAAGGTCGTATTTTAATTTTCGAAATCGTATCTCATCGTAATCAATTCAATACGGCAACTTCAAAATCTACAACAACAACAACAACAACAACAACAGCTACAACAAATACAGAAGAGAATAATAATCAAGAACAACAACAAGATAAAGAAGAACAAGATGAAGAAGGAAAACCAAAAAAAGATACCGAATCAGCTGATGAAAAACCAAAGGTAGAAGAGGAAGAAGAAGAAGAAGAAAAAGAACAAGATGAATCACCAGACCAGAAGATAGAAACAGAGGAATTACAACCACAACTACAAAAACGTCTCAATTTATTATATGAAAAGGACCAAAAAGGACCAGTTACATCGATAGCTGGTTTGAACGGTTTATTGATCATGTCAATTGGCCCAAAGATGATTGTAAATAACTTTTCAAGTGGATCACTCATTGGTTTGGCTTTTTATGATACACAAATTTTCATTGTCAGTTTAAATACTGTCAAGAATTATATTCTAGTTGGCGATATGTTTAAGAGTATTAGTTTCTTTAAATTAAAAGTTTGTATTATTGTATAAAAATAATCGTAAAGTTATCAATGAATCAATTCTAATCCATCATTCTAATTCATTCATTTCTCAATATACATATTTAGCAAAAGAAAAATATTATTTTATTGGGTAAAGACTATGAAGAAGTTTCAACATATTCAAGTGATTTTATTGTTGATGAAAAGAAACTATCGATGGTCTTGTCAGATGCAAACAGAAATATTAGAATGTTTTCATTTGATCCAAGTGACCCAGAGAGTAGAGCCGGTCAAATGCTCCTGGCAAAATCATCATTCCACATTGGTGAACTCAACAACAAGTTTGTTAGAATTCCAATGAAAAATACAAACTATGATAATAATAGTAGTAGTAGTAGTATCATTGTAAATGATAAACATTTACTTTTCTATGGTACACTTGGAGGAGGGATCAATCTATTGATGCCAATCAACAAGAGATTCCATGAAATTCTACATGCTCTAGAGACAAAGTTAATGCATAGAGGACAAACTGCTGGTTTGAATCCACGAGGTTTCAGATACGGACATCATGTCAACAACACATTGGGACATCTTCACAATCAATATGTTGTCGACGGAGATTTACTCACTAAATTCCAATCATTATCACCAGATGATGCCAAACAATTGGCAACCTCTATTGGATCAACTACACCCATCATATTGGATCTATTAAATCAATTACATCAATCCTATAATTGGTTCTAGAGAGAATTAAATCAAAATAAATTAAATTAAATTAAATTAAAAAGATCATTATCTCGGTATAGGGTTTTCAAAATATTTTTTTTTGTAAACATCACCATCATTGTTTATTATCAGTTTCGGTTGAGTGATGCAATGGATCTATTAACACAATTACAAGATAAATTAGATCATCTATTTTTAGTATTCGGTACATGTATAGGTGTTCTTCAAAGAGATGCACCTCCATCCTCTTTTAGTGAAGTTATGAACAATCAACCACCACAACTTACACAAGAACAATTAACAAATGCTGATAATTGGAATAGTCAAACAAAACATATGGCTCTACAAGTATGCTATAGATAGATAGATAGATAGAAAGAAAGAGAAAGAGATAGAGAGAGAGATAGAGAGAGAACATTATTAACAATAGAGATCTCTATTAGGTAATTGAAACAACAAAATTGATTGAGTCAATCATAGAATCACTACCAGGATTTCAGAGAACAGAGAATGAACAATATCAAAGACTAAAGGCTCTCAATCATGAATCAAAACTATTACAACAACAGTTACAAGATAAAGAGAATGAAAATGGTAGGTGGAATCTTTCTATTTTGAAAAGAAAAAAAAGAAAAAGATCAACTTACTTTTCACTTTTCAATCTCTATCACACACATACATACACAGTTATCATGTTACAACAAGTAAAAGAGGCGATAAGAATGCTTTCAGATGAAACAAACAGCAGATCTTCAACAAACAACAACAAAGACCACGACAAAATGGATTTATAGACACCATGTGGGAATTCCTTTTTGATCAGATCTGTTTGTAGATCAATCACCAAAACAAGTAAACCCTCTAACCACCAACCAGAGTACATAGAACTATGTGGCCATTCACTAGATTGAGGGCCACATCCGACAGCAGTGCGCACTGAAACAAGTTGTACAACTTTTCGTTGGAATCGGGCGTTGATGTTGTGGATCTGTTGGAGAATCTGGCACAACCGACACATAAATAAAAAAAAGTTTTGTTTCGAAGCCTCCACTTTGCGCCTCTCGAATCATCACAAACAGATAATCTTGTAGCAGTATTAGTTGTAGTATTAGTAGTTTGTTTGTAGTATTAGTATTCCAAGTAGTTAGTAATAGTAATAAAATAGAATGGGATGGGACAAATTCCAACAACAACGAACAACAACAAAGTGGAACCACCATGGTAGTAGTGGTAATAGTGGTGGTGGTTACTTTTCACAAAGTAAATCGATTCTTTATCAACTATTTAAACACTTTTACATGGACACTAGATCGATGGCATTGTTGAGAGTACTCATGTCATTCATATTGTTGATAGATTTAAAGAGAAGAGCTACTGAAGCATCACTGCACTATAGTACATGGGGTGAATATCCTGTACAACTGTCATTGATAGAAAGTAGATTCTCTCTTTACAACTTTAATCAATCTACTATATTTGTATTAGTAATGATGACATTGAATGCAATCACTGTCATTTCAATGTTGATTGGCTACAAAACAAGATTGTCTACCTTTTTGTCATACATCCTTCTCACTTCGGTTCAAAATAGAAATTATTTCCTACTCGATGGTTCAGATGATTACACTAGATGTATGCTTATTTGGTGTATCTTTCTTCCATGGGGTAATCAATATTCAATCGATTCAATTCTATTAAAATTATCAAACAACAAATTAAATCATCAAAATAATTTAAACTCTTTATCAATCGTAGAGATTATCATTGATGATAATAATAATAATAATAATAATAATAACATTGATAACAACAACAACAATAATAATAATGATACTACCATTCAAAAACAACAACAACAAAAACAAAAACAACAACAACAATATCAATATGTATCAATTGCAACTGTTGGTTTTTTAGTACAATTTACCTGTATATATTTATTCACTGCAATACTAAAAGATGGAGTAGAATGGCATGTTACCTATGACTCTGTCTACTATGCCGTCAGTCTAAAAGAGTTTTCTCATGGAATATCTGCTTTTTTGATTCAATTTCCAAACTTTATGAGATTTCTATCAAGAGTATGTTTAATAGATATATGCATATATAAATATATTAATACTAACATTTCAATATATATATATATTGTTTTAGTTTACATTAATATTTGAATACGTAGGACCTATTCTAATGGTTTGTCCATTATTTAATTCATTTTTTAGAATGGTATCTATACTAGGATTCATTGGAATGCACATTGGATTTGGTATTTGTCTCAATTTATTCCTATTTATTTTTATACCAATCGTCTGTGTTGCTGCAATGTTACCATCAATCTTTTGGGATATTGTATTCAAATATTTAAATTCAAAAAACAATAATGATAGACATTCTCTAAAGGTATAAAAAATATTTATTTATTATTTTATTTGGTCCACTAATTATTATTATTATTATTATTATTATTATTATTATTATTTTCAACAACATAGATCTATTATGACAATGCACAAAAAGGAACAGAATTTAGTTTGAATTGTTTCAAAGAATTCTTTTTATTACCTCAAACGCCTATCATTTCATATGGAGGCACCACTACAACAACAACAACAACGACAACATTGTCATCAATTGCTCAACAAAATAAGAATAGTTATTATGTAGAGTTGCAAGGTGATAAATATTATGAATACGATGCATTTATCGTTCTTTGTTCACAATCTCCTCTGTTATGGCCATTGGAGAGATTATTAAATAATAGATTATCGGAAAGAATACTTTCTAAACTTTTATTATCATTTATTGTATGTAATATATATAAAACCAATCCAATTTATTGTGATTATTATTGGTTTACTAATTAATTTAAAAGTTTATAATTAAATTGATAGGAATTGATTTTAACAAAGTAAAAGAAAAAGAATTAATAGATGGATCATCATCATCATCAACCACAACAACAACAACAACAACAACTATCAACCAAAAGACTAATAATAATAATAATAATATATATGAATGGTTATTGATATTATTTTCATTGTGGTTATTAATATTTACACCATTGGTCAATATACTAAAGATGCAAAAGACAGCTATTCCATTTCACCCGTTGGTCATATTTGTTGGTATAGATCAAAATTGGAGTATGTTTGCACCTAATCCTCCTAAATATAGTAATTGGATGGCGGTAGATGCATCTTTTCAACATCAAGAGGAATATGATTTCTTTAATGATCGTGATTTTAAAGATTACAAAGAGAATCCAATCTATCCATTTGTGACAACACAAAGACAAAGAAACTTTATGATGGGTGTATTGTATCAAGAAGAACTTAGACTAAGCTTTGGAAGATATCAATGCAGGAAATACAATATCTATGAACCATCTAAAGAGTTGGGAAGATTAAAATCATTCAAGATTCATGCCATACAACATACTACTCCTTCATTGGGTTCTGACATTCAAAATGAATTTAGAACTCAAATGATTTGGGCTCATACTTGTTGACACAATACCTTATCTTTATTTATAATAATAAATAATATTAATAATATTAATAATAATAATCACCACACAAGCTCGTAAATTTTTATTTAATATTTAATTTAATTTATTTTTTTTTGTGTTCGCATTAACTTTAATGCATTGAAGTTCTTGGGTAGCTCATCTTTTTTTTTTTTTAGATTAGATATATATTATATTATATTATTTATCAAATAATGTCAACAACAGGAAAGACTATTACATGTAAAGCAGCAGTTTGTTGGGAAGCAAAGAAACCATTTGTGATTGAAGATGTAGAGGTTGAAGCACCAAAGGCTGGTGAAGTTCGTGTAAAGATATTGGCATCTGGTGTATGTCATACCGATGCTTACACTCACGGTGGATTAGACCCAGAAGGTATATTCCCTGTCATCTTTGGACACGAAGGTGGAGGTATCGTTGAGAGTGTAGGTGAAGGTGTCACTAGTGTAAAGGTTGGTGATCACGTCATTCCACTCTACATACCAGAGTGCGGTAAATGTAAATTCTGTACAAGTGGAAAGACAAACTTGTGTTCTGTCATTAGAATCTCTCAAGGAAAGGGTCTCATGCCAGATGGAACAAGCAGATTCAAATGTAAAGGTCAAACTATCTATCATTTTATGGGTACCTCTACCTTTTCAGAGTACACTGTACTTCCAGAGATCTCGGTCGCTGTCATTCGTCAAGATGCACCATTGGAAAAGGTCTGTCTATTGGGTTGTGGTATCACTACTGGTTATGGTGCCGTATTAAATACTGCAAAGGTTGAAGAGGGTAGCACTGTTGCTGTATTTGGTTTGGGTGCTGTTGGTTTGGCTGTATGTAACAAAACAAATTTAAAACAAACAAATACAAATTAATAATCTAATAATTTAATGCTATTTGTAGGCTATTCTTGGTTGTGTTGAAGCAAAGGCAAAAAGAATTATTGGTATTGATATTAATGAAGACAAATTTGAAAAAGGTGAATATCAAGAAAGAAGAAGAAGAAGAAAAGGAAGAAGAAAATTGAAGAAGAGAAATCGTCAACGGTGAACTTACTTTTTTGTTGTTATATTTCTAGCAAAGGAATTTGGATGTACTGAATTTATCAACCCAACCAAATTGGAAAAACCAGTTCAACAATACTTGGTAGATGTTACAGATGGAGGTGTTGACTTTTCATTTGAATGTATTGGTAATGTTGATGTGATGAGAGCAGCATTAGAGTGCTGTCACAAGGGTTGGGGTGTAAGTACCATTATTGGTGTTGCCCCAGCTGGAAAAGAAATTTCAACTCGTCCATTCCAATTGGTCACTGGACGTGTATGGAAGGGTTCTGCTTTTGGTGGTTGCAAAGGAAAGAGTCAATTACCAGGTATCGTAGACAAGTACATGAACAAGTCACTCAAGGTCGACGAATTCATCACTCATCAATTTGAATTAAAGGATATAAATGAAGCTTTCCATGCACTACATGAAGGAAAGACTATTAGATCAATCATTAATTTTAAACACCAATAAATCAAATCAACCAACCAAAACCAACTCTAAAGGTTTGGGTTTATTGTTTTTAAATTAAGTAAACGTTTATTATTATTAGTGGTTTAGACTACTTTTAATGCTACATGTGGTTCTGGAGGTGATTGAACGATAATCTTGTCCGAAGCTTTGATACTACCACCCTTGAGTACTATAGCCATGATACCAGACTTTCTTACAATGATCTCACCTTGTTCATCACGAAGACGACATGCCTCTAATAAATCACTTTCCAATTTCGATAGTTGAGGGCATGGATTACGAAGTCCAGTAATTTCCAATACAACATCATTTATAGTTAATGTAGTACCGAGTGGGAGATTGATTAGATCGATACCAACCGTTGTAATGTTCTCACCCATTTGACCAGGTAAACAACCCTTTACAAAACCTTTCCCTTTGAGTTCTTGTTGGAATTCTTGTGAAATGAGATGTACCTGTCTAAGATTAGGTTGATTTGGGTTTACTTTGACTCTTGAAAGATGTTGAACATTCTAATTAAAAGAAAAATAAATATATAAGCAAGGAGGAGGAGGAATAGGAAGAGAGAAGAAGAAGAAAGTTGTATGCTATTTAGAACAATATACCTCACCAAAATGACAATCACCTAGTACACCTCTACCCTCGATCAATGTGATCGAGTCTACAACATCTTTACTAAAGTGATGTTCTTTACTCTGACTGACTGCTACAACTGACATTTCTCAAATACTAACAACTATATATAGTGTTTATTAGTTTTGATGGACCGATCGACTTGGTATAATTAATCATTGTTTTAGAGAACTTGTTGCAAAAAAAAAAAAAAAAATCAAATAATTACATGATCAACTTGTTCTTATATTAATATCTAAACACATCTGAATACATTTTAAGTTTAAAGTGTAGAGATATTCTTTGGTCCTTGAATTTCTCAAAAAAATAAGATTGTAATTTTTTTTTTTTTTTTTTTTTTAATTTTTAATAAATTTTATTTTTGGGTTGGTTCAAAAAAAAAAAGTATACTTTTTTTATTATCACACTTTTATTATTATCGAGTAATACAAAAATGTATCGAAATTTATTTGTTGGAAGGAATACAGTACCTGCACCTGCTCCTTTTCAGCAGCAGCAACAGCAACAGCAACAACAACAGCAGCTGCAACAGCAACAATCACCACATGAACAGTTTCATCATTTATATCAGCAACAACATCAATACTATCAACAACAGCAACAACAGCAGCAACATCAACAACAACAACAACAACAACAACAACAACAACAACAATCACCTCCCCCACCTACTACATACCAACAACAACAACAACAACAACAACAACCAAATGTAAACAACAGAGGTCATAATACATTAGACTCTAACATTTATTGCAAGAATAATCCACCACAAAAAGATGATAATATTTATAGAAAGGCAGAACAATTGGGCCATGGTAGCTTTGGTGCAGTCTATGCAGTCAATGACCAAAAAGGAAACAAATATGCTGCAAAGATATTGAATCTTTCATCATACACTAAATATTCTGGTGCCACAAAGTACATCACTGGAGAATTTGAGATATTGGTACGTCTGCAACAGTATCAACATCCATACATTGTAAACCTACACGAAGTACTCGATATCTATGCCTACATATTTGAGTATTGTAATCGTGGTACACTAGAACAGTATCTTGGTCACAATCCATTCCTAAGTGAAGGTGTATTAAAGGTTATCTTTTCTCAGATGGTGAGTGCCATTCAATTCCTACACAAGTTTCCAATTGTTCATCGTGACATTAAACTTTCAAATGTTTTGGTTCATGAAAGAAATGGTAAAATTGTTTTTAAATGTATGTTTAAAAAAAAAATATATATATATATCAAATTGGTACTAAATATTATCTCTTTTACCATATTATTAGTATCTGATTTTGGATTCAGTAAATTATTAACAATGCAAGAGAATGCAATGTCAAGAGTTGGTACTCAACTTTATATGGCTCCAGAAATAACCAAGGGTAGATACGATGAAAGTGTAGATATCTATTCTCTCGGTGTATTATTCTATATGCTCGCTAAAAAGAGATCTGAAAACATTGATCAACAAATTCAAGCTTCTCAAGTGTATGTTACAATGAAACCAATTATTATCAAGGATCTTAAATTAATCGATTAACCCATTTTATTTTATTTTATTTCATTTACTATTCTAGTGATGCATTAGAATTTGTTTCAAATGATTTTAAAACATTGATCAAGAGTATGATTGAAAAAGATCACACAAAGCGTATCAGTCTACAAGATATTATCAATGGTGATTGGTTAATGAGCAGAATCGTTCCATTAGACTTTTTCTCATCAAATCAAGAACAAAAGTTTAAATCTCATTCAATTCTTATCAGAGATTTATATACATTATGGTATGATAATAATCAATCCAAAATATCGATAGTTTTATTAATTTGTTTTTTTTTTAATAGTCACGAAAGATATGATAGTTTTGAACAAAAGTATGGTTATTCATTAAAGGGTAAAATACTATTTGTAACCTATATGGATTCCTCTGATCTTCATCCATTCCCAAGAGGTCTCGTTGATAAACATATTAGATCAATCTATACTATTGAAAAGGTTTATTGTTTCGATATCAATAATATTTCTACTCTTCAATTGCCACCATACCGATCTTTGACTAAATTCTCTACAAAAGATGTCATGGAATTAAAAGATTATGGTGATTTACAAGGAATATCTGATCAAATCAAAGAAGAACATGTATGTTTATTATTAAATATATATATATATATATATATATTAATTCTCTCTCTATTTTTAATTAACAAATTATTTATTTAACAAAACAGAACAAAATCCAAGATATTAGTAATATTATTGAAACTGTTAAAAGTATTTTATTTAGAGCAGATGAATATTCTTTGGTATATAGTTCACTTAAATCCTATTACCAATCTAGAATGTAAATATCATTATTATTATTTTTAATCCAAAAACATTGTTAACATTTATTTTTATTTTTTATTTTTAGTGAAAGTAACGAAGTTAAATCTACCATTGCAAAGTTAAAGAATTATTCAGAAAAGTATAAACCAAATTCAAAGTTGTATGACCAAATCAAGGAGCTTAAAATGGTTTCAATTGAATCTGGTGAAGATAGTAAAGAACTATTCATTGATCATCTTCCCCCTTTTATCAAAGGTTTCTTAAACAATGATATGAACTCTCTCTATAGTATGTTTTTAAACAAAAACAAAAACAAAGAATTGATTGTAAACCTTTTCCAACTCACACATCCCCCTTTTTTATTTTTTAGATGAATTCAAGAATAGTGAAACTGTATTACAAGGTTCCAAGAAATATTTTGAAGATTTTAGAAAATTGTAAGCAACTTTTTTAAATACAACTATAGTATAGATTATATTAATTATCCCTTTTTTTTTTTTTTTTTTTAGGTTATCACATTCTTTTGAAGATTTAAAGAGAATCCAAGAAAACCATGACAATGTCAAGTTAATGTTGGAAACCAATTTGAAAACCATTGATCCAACCTCTTCTTTTTGTCTTATTTTCAACAGTGAACAATTGTTTAAAGAATCCAACCAATCATTTAATGCAACCTGTAAATTATATGAAAAACTTGGACATGCACTCAATGGTGATCTCAAACAGATAGATGGTCATTTGTCACATATTCTAAGACTATTGTCATCGTTGGACAGCATGGTCAAGATTCCTTCCCAAATGTTTGAATCTGTCGATTTGATGGACGAGATTGCCAAGATCCCAGAGTACCACCAAGCCTATCAAAATGAAGTAAAAAGAAGATGTCAGTTTAGTCAATCATTTGGTCAACATCGTGAAAAGGTTGCCCTAGAGTTTCACTCTCTCCTCAAGGGCGAACTTGAACAACAAACTAGCTTTGATTCAATCAAACGTCCACAGTATTTTGTACAGAGATTTGCAGAATTCTCTTTTGACAATCCCCTCGCTCGATTCTTGCCTCAAGGTGATGAACTCAATGTCACCGAGCTCATCATTCGCGAAGGATTTGTCAACATTATCGAGAATGATATTGTCTCTCAACTATCAACAGATAAAATGGATCTCATTCGTCGCAATGATACTCTTTACAATGAAAATCAATCTCTCAAATCAAGTTTGATACAACAACAACAACAACAACAACAACAACACAAAGATAGTGGAACTGTAATTCATAACAACACAGGTGCTGCTGTAGATGTTGCCACCTCCACCAACTCTACCGGAACAGGAATATTCCTTGGCCAAAAACAAGAATCTTCTTCTTCTTCTTCTTCTTTAGAGATTCAAAATCTTAGACAAGAGATTGAAAAGTTGAACCAAGAGAAAAAGCAGCTTGGTGATCGTCTGACTAAAAAGAAGACCAAATCATCTGCACTTAAAAGTTATACGACAGAATTAAACAAGTACGTTGACCAACTTGAAGTCAGTGGCAAAGAAAAAGATGAAAAGGTTTTAAAATTGGAAGAGCAATGGGATCACGAGAAAAAAGAGAGAGAGGTTAACTTTAACAGCCAAAGTAGTTTCAAGACTGCTGAAATTAGTGAACTAGTTTTGAAACTTGAAATGATGAACAGAAGAGTTCAAGATCGTGAACAAAGTATCGTTGAACATCAAGACACTATGCAAAAACAAAAGCACGAAATTCAAAGTCTTGAAGCAATGTTACATATGTTGACAGCAGAACAACACCTACTTCAACAACAATTACAAAGACAACAAAATAATTAATTAATTAACCATTATATCATAGACCTTCATTTCTTGTAAAATATATCTTTTAATGTCTGTGCAAAAAAATAAAATAAAATAATTTGTTTTTAACTTCACCATGAGTTGATCTTTTTCAGGTGCTGGTATATCTATTTCATCTAAATAATTATCTATAAAGACATATACACTATTATTGTATATTATATAATGTCTGACGATGATAAGAAACCAACAACAGTAACTAACAAGAAGCCACACCCAGAAATGGGCACATTAGGTTGGACCAAATATACAGGTTATCCTATATGGCCTTGTAGAGTAGCAAAGGATTCAGAGGTAAATCCTGATGTATTATCACAAAAAAAGGAAGGAAAGAGTTTACTTGTTTACTTTTTTGGTAGTCATGATTAGTATGTAGTAGCAGTAGTAGTAATGAACAAATAACACTCTCTTTCTGACCTATTTGTTTTATCCTCCTACTCAAGTGCACTTGTTACAGATAATAACTTTTTAAACTTTGACGACAACTATGCTGCTTATTCAAAATCAAAGAAAAAACAATTCTTGGATGGACTTGAAGAGGCAAAGAAATGGAGAGACACTAAAGATAAACTCTATCCAGTCTATAGAAATCCAAATGATTCATCATCTGACGATGATGATGATGATGATGATGAATCATCTACATCCTCTCATGAAGATGATAGTGGTAGTAGTCAAGATGAGTCTGAACCATCGAAAAAGATGGACATTGAACCAAAGAAAAATACAAACAATAATAACAAATCGCCTACTTTGTCCGCTACATCAAAATCAAAAGGCTTTGTTCCTCTTTCAAATCAAAAAAAAAAATGGTACAAACAGCACAAAATATAGTGACGATGAAGATGACAGCAGTAGCGATGATGTTGACATGAAAGACAAAACAACAACAACATCAACAACAACAACAAACAAGAATATACCTTTGTCGACAAAGAAAAGTGCATCATCAACGATCATCAACAACAAAAGGTCCAACTCGAATGAAGCCAACAAGAATATTAGTGTAAAAATTAAGATACCAACCATGCACAATGATTCCAAAATAATAACGATTGTAAAACCAAAACTATCAAAAGACCAACTATTGAAAAGGAAAACTTTTAGACAAAAGATAATGAGAAGGCTGGCTCTTTCAGCTCCAACATCTGTTCCGACTATTGCAACACCAAAGGCAAAGCCCTCATCTAAATCATCAACATCATCCTCTTCCTCCTCCTCCTCCTCCTCCTCTTCTAAACCATCATCCAATTCTCCTTCATCCTCGTCCTCGTCTAAATCTAAACAGGAACCATCCAAGAACGGTTCTTCACCATCAGTCGTTTCTTCATCCTCTTCTTCTTCTTCTTCTTTGAAAAAATAATAATCTAAAGGAAATTGAACGAGACCAAGAATAAGAAGGAATTGTCAATGATTTCCACTGTAGAATGCAAAAAAAGAATAGAGATCTGTTTGCTTGTTCGTTCCATTCCAAAGTTTGAGAAATTGAATTAAAAAAATCTATTTTCAATAATGAAAAAAAGACAAAGAATCAATCGAAACATTATATAAATTTTGTACAAATAAAATAGAAATAGAGATAACCACAACAACAGATAATGGAAAACAACAAAGAACTTGAACAACTTATTGATGCTGCATGCGATGCAAAGACAAAGGCTTATTGTCCATACTCTAATTTTAGAGTAGGTGCTGCTCTTCTTGGTGAAGACGGTAAGATTTATACTGGTTGTAATGTTGAAAATGGTTCTTATGGTTTAACTATCTGTGCTGAACGTACTGCCTACACTAAAGCTGTCTCTGAAGGTTGCAAAAAGTTTAAGACTTTGGTTGTTACAACGTATATATTTATTCTCTGATTGAATTCATGATTACTTTAAAATCAACTAAACTAATCTCTCTCTCTCTCTCTTTCTCTCTCATCTCTAGTGATGTAACAGATAGATTCATTACCCCTTGCGGTGCTTGCAGACAATTTGGTGTAGAGGTATGCATTCTTGTTGAAGAAACAATCTATCTATCATTTGTTATCCAACTCACTTCTTATTCTCTCTCTTTCTCTCTCTTTTTTTAAATATAGTTTGGAAATTTTGATGTATATTGTGTTAAACCAAACAAGACTGATAAGTTCCAAACAACCTCTCTAAATCTCCTTCCAGGTTCCTTCACACCAAATGATCTCGAAGCTCCAAAAACCAATCAATAAATATTTATATATGTATTTATGTATAATATATAACCCCCATCAAGTTCAACTTCAAAACAAGATGATCACAACAACAATATTAAAATATAGTCATCACTTTAGGTACATATAATAATAACATCATATTATTTTTTAATTAAATTAAATTCTAACTTTAGTTTGTTCACACCTCTCTAAACCAAACCATCACATTTTAACAACACTTTGTTGTTGTTGGTCATCACTATCAACCCATCCATTGCAAATTGATCGACCATAGAATACATCCATCTAGTTATCTTAATACTTTTTCCCCCAACCACAAACGTTGATGAACGAAGTTTTAGATGAAGTGAGAGGGTGAGGGAAAGCCCCATCACCTTTCATCAATCTAAACGACTTGCATCACCCTTTACCACCATCACCCACCACCACCACTTCTTTTATGATAAGTATTTAGTAGTCTCAAAATTGCAATAGAAGAATTATATATATTGTTTTCATCATTTATCTATTTCATTTATATTAAAACAAAAAAGAGGATAAGATTTTGTAAAGGTATCTGTTCAAATGATTCCATCTTTAAATTTAAAAAATATTTCAAATCTAAATAATAATAATAATGACCAAAATACAAGCAGTGGTGGTGGTGGTGGTAATAATGAAGATCATGGTACATTGTCTCCAAGATCCAGATCAGTTCCATACATTTCAAATGTAGCAGCTCTACAATTGTTGGACGATCCAAAGGGAACGATTGGAAGAAATGCTACCAATGTTGCCATTTCATTTCTCGATGAAATGAATTCTCATTCACTCGAATCACCTCGTCTCAAACAACAACAACAACAACGAATCAAGATCTCTCAAATGGATAGATATTTGGAACTTACTCGTGGAAGTAATAGTAGACCCAATCAAACCGTTACCATTGAATCATTATCCTATTCTGTCATGGAACGTGACTCATTATTCTCTAAAAAGACTTTGAAGCCAATCTTATCAAATATTTCTTTCTATTTAAAGGTATAGACGATTAATTAATAATAATATTAATAATAATAATAATATATATTTCACTTTTAAATTAATTATTAATTTCTTTTTTTTTTTCAGCCAGGAATGATGGTTTTATTATTAGCAGGACCAGGTTCTGGAAAAACAAGTTTATTTAAATGTTTGGTTAATAGAGTACCAAAAAGAGGAATTGTCGATGGAAGACTATTATTTGAAGGTCAATTTATCGATCCAAAGTCTCACCATAATGAATTTATTTATGTTTCTCAATCTGATAATCATATTCGTATGTATTTCAAATAATATTAATAATAATATATAGAATCTTCTTTTCCAATTCTAATCTATATTCTTTTTATTGATTTAGCAACTCTTACTGTTGCAGAGACTTTAGATTTTAGTATTGAATGTCAATCAAATTTGGATCAAGAAAAGAAAAAAGAATTGCGAGATATCATTTTAAAGATGCTTGGTATGGAACATTCACAAGATACAATTATCGGAAATAATGTGCTTCGTGGTATTTCTGGTGGTCAAAAGAAACGTATGACTATTGCTGTTGAATTGGTAAAAGGTGCCAAAACTATTATAATGTAAGGAAAAAAGAAAAAAAATATTCATTCAATATTCAAATCCCAATCGCGAATTAATATTCATTGAACTTACTTTTCTTTCTTCTTCTTCTTTACCTTTATTCTTTTTAAGGGATGAACCAACTTCAGGATTAGATTCGACAACATCATTTGAATTGTTGAATAACATCAAAATGATATCACAAAATGCAAATGTTCCAGCAATGGTTTCCCTTCTCCAACCGTCACCAGAGATATTTTCACTCTTTACACATGTTATGATGATGAATAATGGAATGTTGACCTATTTTGGAACAAAGGAACAAGTTTTACCCTATTTTGAATCATTTGGTTTAAGATGTCCTCTTACAGTGAATCCAGCAGAGTATCTTGCAAATATTTATGAATTGGCAAAATTAAATCCAACAAATGAAACCTTATTACTACGATCAAATGATGATTTTGTAAACGCCTATCTAGAGTCAAATGGTATGTTTTAGAGAGGAGATTGTAGAAATTATTATTATAATTATTATTATTATTATTATTAGAGCTGTTGTTTATCTATTAATTCATTTCAATTTATAGTTTTTAGAGATACAATGGATTCATTAAGAGCTGAAAAGTTACAACTTAGACATAGAAGAAGAACCATTCAGATTGTACAATCATCTTCGCCAAAAGGAAATGAAATTTCTCTTCAAGAATTTCATGCTGCCACCAATGGTCAAACTTCTCCACCACCTCTATCACTGGTTGAACAACCAACATCATCATCATCATCATTTCAACTACCATTGCACAGACAAATTGCATTGTGTCTTAAACGTGCATTTGTTATGACTTCAAGAGATAGACCAGCATTGACGTCTCGTATTATCAAAAGTTTGATTTTAGGTCTCTTGATTGGTAGTTTGTTCTTTAGACTTGGTAAAAATCAAACTGCAACTCAACTTTTACCATCTCTCACCTTTTTCCTCATGACATTTGTCGTGTTTGGTTCATTATCTGGTGTTCAACAATTATTTTTAGAAAGACCTATTTATTATGATCAAAAATATGTATGTAAAAAGTAAAATGATTTTTTTGAAAAATAGTAGTAACCTCATTATTAATAATAATATTTCATTTTCCTATACTAAAAAGGGAAAGTATTATAAAACAATTTCATATTTTATTGCAGGACTTGTTTCAGATTTGGTTTGGAACTTTATGGATGTTATGATTTTCGGTGCTACAACCTATTGGATGGTTGGACTATCAGCAACAGTTGATAGGTTCTTATTTTTTATTTTATTGGTTTATTTGTATGTAGATGATGAAAATATATTGAAACCTAACAACTACGTCAAACAATATTATTCTAACTTTCAACTTTTTTATTTAATTTTTTTTAGATTAGATTCATTGGTGATTAGAGTATCAAAAACAGTTAGTATTTTTTCACCAAGTCCAGTAATAGCCAGTACTATTGCACCAATGTATTTCTCACTCTTTCTATTGATGGCTGGATATATGATTCCTACTCAGAGTATTCCACCATATTGGAGATGGATGCACTATTTGTCGCCATTCAAGTACACCTATGAAAGTTTACTCATCAATGAGGTAATGGGTCAAACCTATGAATGTACATTTTCAGAGTTGATGCCTCCTATTCAAGATCCTCGTCTTTATCTACCATTTCCTCAAGGTTTCAATGGTTCTCGTATTTGTCCCACCACAACAGGTGAACAGATCCTAGTTTTCAAAGGAATCGAAACCACCATCGATCAAAAGTTCAATTCAATCTACATTCTCTTGGCAATGTATTTTGTATTTTGTGTCGTTTCATTTATTGGTCTCTTTTTTATTGTTCATGACTCCATCTCTTCAAAGCCAGTCAACGAAGAGCTCAAATCAAGTATCGAAAACAGTCGTGCCAGATCCAATAGTTTGATTTACCAACATCAACACCACAAACTTCCTGGTAGAGATAGATCAACTAGTGGTGCTGGCGGCATAGATCTCGAAGCTGGATTGGGCAAGGTAGAATCGAGAAGAGAAAAGTTTAGACGTAGAACAACTTCTGGTGTCATCACAATGAAAAAGAAACTGTCAGATGGTTGTTATTTGACCTTTAAGAACCTATCATACACTGTAAAGGTTCAAAAAGTAAATAATGGAATGGTCAAGAGAACCTTGTTGGATAATGTTAGTGGTTTTGTTGCACCTGGTACCCTTTTGGCTTTAATGGGAAGCTCTGGTGCAGGAAAATCAACTTTACTCGATCTACTTGCAGATAGAAAGACAGGAGGTGATATATCTGGCGAAATATTACTTAATGGAAGAAAGATTGATAGATTCTACAATAGATACATTGCCTATGTCGAACAGGAAGATTTATTGCCAGATTGCCAAACAGTACAAGAAGCCATCACATTTTCAGCCACTCTTCGTCTCCCTTCAGATGTTACACCAGAAGAAAAGAATGATGTAGTAATGTACATTCTCGATGTTTTGGAACTTGTCAGTATTCGTCATATTCAAATTGGAAAGGCTGGATTTGGTCTTTCAACTGAACAAAGAAAACGTGTCAATATTGGTATCGAATTGGCTTCAAACCCTGATATTCTTTTCTTGTAAGTAAAAAAAAAATCAATAGATAATATAATATTGAAACTAACCAAACTACTTTTTCTTTGTGTCTTTATTTATTTCAGGGATGAACCAACATCAGGATTAGATTCTGCTCATGCACACAAAATTATGACTCTTATCAAAAAGATTACAACTCATGGTCGTTCAGTCATTTGTACTCTTCATCAGCCATCGGAAAGTATCTTTAAGATGTTTGATTCCATCTTACTTTTGACCCAAGGAGGATACACAGCCTACTTTGGACCTGTTGGTATTAATTCACAGACCATTCTAAAGTACTGTCGTGATAATGGCCATCATTGTCCAAAGGATAAAAACCCTGCAGACTTTTTATTAGACTATTCATCGTCTATTAATGTGCAACAACGACTTTTGGCTCACGATCAAACCATTCCACCTAGTTTTATTCGCAAGCTTTTAAACTCTTTGAAAAGTTTGGTTGGAAAATCATCGACTCCAACAACAACAACAATCGATATTCAACAACCAGAGTTATCCTCCAATTCACATAAACCAAATAATGATCAACCCAACAACAATAACAATAATAATAATAATAATAATAATAATAATAATAATAATAATAATAATAATAATAATAATAATAATATTCACCAAGACACAAAATCAATGATTATTCCAATGACTGAATTGTCAACCAGTCTCCATCATCAACAACAACAACAACAACAACAACAACAACAACAACAAAAGAAAGATGTGGTTGATTATTATCTCGAGTCAAGATTGTCAATTGAAAATACTCAAACCATTGATGATGGATTGCCAATTGGATTTGTTTCGAAAAGATTTCAAGAAAGATTTGCCTCTTCTATTTGGTTACAATTTGGAGAACTATTCAAGAGATCTTTCCGCAGCGCCTTTCGTAGACAAAACCTTCTCTTTGCTCGTGTACTTAGATCGTTGGTGTTGGCAATTGTAATTGGAACACTCTATTTGAACATGGGATTCGATCAAGAAGGTGTTCAAAACCGTATATCGTTTATCTTTTTCACCTCGACCTTTGCCTCCATTTCTTGCCTGTCCAACATTCCTTCCATCTTTGAAGAACGTGTTCTTGCCTATAGGGAATTGGACTCAAGTTTCTATCGTCACTTTGTCTTTGGTGTGACACTGGTGATATCTGATCTCCCTTTTACACTCGTCTACTCACTGCTATTTAGTGCACCCATCTACTGGATGTCAGGACTGCAAAGAGAGTTTCTAGCTTTTCTTTTGTTTGCCTCTATCTACTACCTCTACTTTCAAATACTCATTTTCGTCTCTATCCTCTTGGGTTTGGTAAGCCCAAATCTCAGTGTGGCTAATGAAATTAGTGGTATTCTATTTAGTATCTTTTGTCTGTTTGCTGGATTCATCATTCGTCCTCAGCTCATTCCAAAATACTTTATATTCCTCTATCACTTTTCGTTTACAAAGTACTTGGTGGAATTGTTGACCATCATCGAGATGACATTTAAACCTATTCAATTCCATTGCACAGATTCACAAATGGTTCAAGTACCAGTCATCAACGCTGACAATTCTACTACCTACAAAGAATTCTGCGCAATTGTCAATGGAGATATTGTTTTGGAAATATTCGATTTAAATCACCCTAATCGTAAACGTGATGATATTCTCATTCTATCATCTTTTCTTGTTTTCTTAATCATCTTTATCATTGCTTCAACTAAATTATTTAAATTTAAAAAGAGTTAGAGTTAATAAATAATATTATTTATTCCCGTTTATATTTTCCAGTTTCTTTTTTTTTGATGATAAATATTTGAAGTTTTATTTAAATTATTTTGATTATTATTATTGTTTACATGATTAAGCAATTTGATTGTTTGTCATCCTTGTGGTATAGTCCGTTTGATGGTAAAGTCACGTTGGCAAGTACCTCATCAGTTGGGGTAAGCAGTTTGACGATAGTTCCTTCTGGGGATTCCCAAATGTTTGGACGAGACCAATAGAATTCATTTGGTGGTGTGGTGCCTGGACGAGTCTTGCCAGTGAAAAGGTTGATAATATTAAGTCCCTTGAATGGAACAATGTTTTCTGGGAATGAGAAACCAATACGGCTCGAGTCTGGCTTGGTAACCACAATCTTGTATCCGCTGATTGAAACACCATCCTCAAAATCACCACTAACGGTAAGACGGATACATTCACTAATGGCGTCGATTGATAGTAAAGATATAGTATTTACTTGGAAATCTTCAGATTGTTGTTTTTGTTGTTGGTCATGTTGTTGTTGATGTTGTTGGTTTTGTTGTTGTTGTTGACCACCATTCATTTGTTCATCTTGGTTGGACTCTTCGTCTTCATCTTCTTCTCTCTTGCGTTTGACACGTCTCTCAAAGTTATTAACCAATGACTTGAGTTGTTCGATTTCTCTTGTGAGTGGAATATCTTGTTCTGGAGAGGCATTGGTGAACATGATAAGTTCCTTACGCAACTTGCCCATTTCGCTTTGGAGGCTATTGCATTTGACATCCTTTCCGTTGATTTCATCTTGTAACATGGCAATGGCAATGTCCTTCTTCTTGGAATCGGCTTGTACCTTTCTGGCTGCCTTTTTGACTTCATCAATTTCCTTGGCCAATTGTGAAATGGTATCGTCCTTGGTATCTAGATCCTTTTGGAGTGAAATAATCCTGTCCTCAAATTCGTGGTTCTTGATATTGAGATCATCGATTTGTCCTTGGTAGACTTGTAGTTGCGACTTGTAGATTTCTTTTTCATCCTCAAAACTATTGGCAGAAATCTCGAGTTGAGTAATCTTTGCATTTTGTTCTTCAACCAATTGTACACACTTGATTTCCCATTCTCTATTGACACTATCTCTCATATCTTCTGCTTGTCTTTCATATCCTTCAATTGTTTGTTGTAATTGTGATTCCTTTCTTGAATATTCAACTTGTAATTTTTCCTATAAAAAATAAATAATAAATAAATAAACTAATCCTAATCATTTTGTTTAATATCTTATCTTTTCTCTCCTCTCTTACCTTTTCTTTTAATTCAGTCTTTAATTTTTTAATTTCAGCATCTTTTTGGTTGATATGATTACGAAGTTCTTCTTCCTTTAACTTTGTACGATTATATTCACTTTCGAGGATACGATGAGCCTTTTCCTCTGCCTCTTTGGAACGGGTGAGTAACTCTGCTTGTAATTGTCTAACATCACTCTTGAGTGATTCAATTTCCATAACCTTTTTACTATTGTCATTACGTAAAGCTACGACGAGTTGACTGTTTTCTTCGGTGATCTTTTTGATGGTTTCGTCCATCTTGTTTTGGAAGTTTTGAATTTCAGCTTGGTGACCTTGTTCCTTGGAACGAGCATCTTGGTGGGCAAGTTGTAATTGAGATGATAATTCAACGGTGAGTTTGGATTCATTTCCCAACCTAGCTTCAATGTCTTCCAATTTCTTTTCCAAATTGGAAATTTGATCTGTAGATTGACGTGAAGTAGTAATGTACTCGTCACGAAGACGTCTGATTTCATTGTCCTTTTGTTCACTTGATGCCAACAAATCTCTCAATCTACTGTTTAATTGAATGAGATCTTCTCTCTCTTTGAGACGTGCAGCCGTTGAAGAACGACCACCTGGTGAGGCCAATGGAGTGGTCATCGACAATAACTTTTGGAATGATGGTGTTTGAATTGGTGTTGAAATGTTGTGACTTATGCTACCATTGTGTTGAGGTGTCTTGGTTACATTTGATGTGGTGGTGGTAGAAGAGGTAGAAGAGGTAGAGGTCACTGTTGTGCTGCTGCGTGGTGATTCATTTGGTTCGTCGATGGCCATTGATGGTGAATTGGCATCAGCTTGGTCTACTTGAGAGGAGGAGGAGGAAGAAGAAGCAGCTGTATCTTTTGGAACAGCTGTTGATTTCTTTTTCTTTCTCTTGTCTTTAACTTGAACATCACTTTCTTCATGTGCAGATTCTTCAGCTGCTACATCACGCTTCTCTGTCTTTTTTGTCTTTTTTACAGAAGATGCTGAACTAGATTTTGATTTTGTTGGTTCCATCTCTTCTTCTTCTTCTTTTTGTTATATTATTTATATATATATATATCTTTAAAAACTAGATTTATTTATAGGTATAAATATAAAAGAGTGTTATTAGTTTTCAATTATAAATATTCCGATGATGAGAATGATTGAAGGTGATGATGGACCGTATATATATATATATCGTTTCGTTTTAATTTTGATAATGAAAAGAAAGAAGAAGAGGAAGAAGTTCTCTGCTGCTACTGCTGCTGTGCATCACATTGTTTCTTTCCCTTTTGATATATATTTAAAATGTGATTTGGCACGCGGGTGGTATATTTTGCATCCAACCAACCAACCCCTTTTGGCGCCTCGTAATTTGTCTCTCCTCCTTGTTCTTCTTATTCTTTCTATCATTTTTAAAAATGATGGATCAATCGCAAGTGTGTTGTTTGACGAGATTAAAGATCTTTACCAATTATCCAATTTTATAGATGAATCTTTTCCTTGTTGTTGTTGTGCTTTATATAAAATAAAAATAAAATAAAATAGAAATAAATTAACAAAGGACTCTTTCTCTCTCGTAACTATCTAGTGAGGAAGCACATTCAAACACAGCAGCAGTGAACTCGACCGTTGAACATTGAGGTGCCAAACCAAAAAAAAATCAAAAAAAAAAAAAACTTCATTTTGGCGCCTCCCTCTGTTTTCGAAAAGTTTATAGGAATTATTTCGCCGTTGCACTCTCTCTTTCCCAATTAATTAATTGAAGTTGACTTTATTTTGACCTTTATCCGATTCATCATCATATGACAGATCCCGACGCTACCTCTCACTCTCTTATAACTTAATATACTTTGTACTATGATCATGTTGAATCGAATAATAGTATGAACGTTCATCTTCTTCTTGTGAAAAAAAGTTGATGTGATGACGATGCTTGATGGAAAAAATAAAATAAAATTAAATAAAATAAAAAAGGGGGGTGGTGCTGAGAAAAGAGGAAAAACATAATTAATGAAAATTTAGTTTTATAATATTATATAATTAGTTACATTAGGTTGCACAACCAAACAAGTGAATCGATCGATTATAGATTACTTGTTTATACTCTTCAAGACTATCACTACACAACTATAAACAAACAAACAAACAAAACAAACAACAAAATGGATGAAGTTAAAAGATGGTGGGGAGATGTACCTCCAATAACCAAGTTGGTTTGGGGATCTTCTGTTGGATTTACATTGTTGGTCAACTTTGGTTTAATATCTGGTTCCTATGTTGCTTGGGACTTTGAATTGGTATACAAAAAGTTTCAAATATATAGATTGATCACTCCTTTTTTGTATATATTTCCTTTTCACTTTAATCTTCTTATTCGTGTTTATCTTTTGTATGTATATTCAAAGAGATCTATCTCTATCTCTATCTCTATATATAGTTTAATACTAATATTAATCCTTTATCTATCTATCTATCTATCTATGTAGATATAACTATCTATCGACTTTGGAGAGAGGATTCTTTATGGGTAGAGCTGCTGATTTATTATACATGTTTTTGGCATCGTTTGTTGTATTCTTGGTATGTTTTTCTTTTTAGAATGGTTATGATTCGCATCCCATTTAACAAATCTTTATTATCATTTTTATTATTTTTTCAATTTCAAAAAGGTGGCAGCCACCTTTATTCGAGAGTTGTCAGTTCTTTCATATGCATTGTTGATGCTTGTCATTTATGTTTGGTCAAGAATGAACCCAACAGCAGAGGTATCATTTATGTTTGGATTGAAATTTAAAGCTGTTTTCCTTCCTTGGGTATTACTCATCTTTGATACACTTACTGGACATAGTTTTGTGCCAGGTATTACTGGTATTACTATTGGTCATATTTATTATTATCTCACTGCAATCTATCCAGTTGCCTACAACAAACCAAATTATCTTGCAACTCCATATTGGGTGTATGTATCAAGCAAATATATATATATATATATTCATAATAATGGTTGATATTAACAATTCTCAATTTCATTAAACCACCTATAATAGTAATAAGCTTCTTCCGCAACACCTAAGACAAAGACCAGGTCCAGCTGGAGGAAGAGCACCTGCTTGGGGAGATAGAGCTCAACAACCAGGTGATGCACCAGGAGAATACCATTGGGGTAGAGGAAGAGCTCTTGGCTAATAATAATAATAATAATAATAATAATAATAATAATAATAATAATAATAATAATAATAATAATAATAATAATACTATTTTTTATAAAGTTACCTATTTGTTTAATTTTTTCAAAAAAGGAGAATATCCAAACCACCACGGTTAGTTGTGTTTATTGGTTGCATTATTTTTTGTTGGTTTGCTTCTTTGTTGTTCAAAACATTTACCTTTTCAAAATCATATATGATTACCAGATGATTTTTTGGTTGGTTATGTTGGGGTTTGCTTGTTGCGCTCGTGAAAGAGAAAAAGGAGGAGAGGTAAAGAAGAATATACATTTTTTTTTTGTTGGTTTGGAGGTAGTATTTGTATATACAATGTTGAATGTTGGCGATGATGATTAGGATTACAGTAAACAACTTGGAACAAAAAGATGAATACTGGTTTCCAAAAAAAAAATAAGGTTTAATGGTATGTTGGTTGTTGATGTGTTGTGTTTTTTGGATTGGGCATTTATATATATATAAAAAAAAAAAAAGGTGGTTCTGTGTGTCTGGTAAATGATTACTTTTATATTATTATTTGGTTGGTTTACTCGGTTGTTATTGTTGTTGGATGTTGGATATTGTTGATTAATATTTGATTAATATTTGGGTTATATATATATTTCTAATATTTGTTTATACCAAATAATCTAACTCTATCCATTCTTGGCATTTTTGAAAGAACTACAATAAAACTTGCAAGTGCATTCAAATAGAAAGGTGCACCTAATATTCCATTAGAATGTAAAGTAATCATAAATCTAATAATAAATCATAAAAGTATGGTTGGTTAGTTAGTTGACAACAGTAGTGGTAGTATTAAAGGGTACATACAAAAAGATTGGAACAAGAGTCAAGAACTTTCTTGTTGGAGTGTATTGTTGTCCCTTGTCTATTTGTTCCCAAAGTGTAAGTCTATTATATTTTCCTTGATCTGATAAATCGAATGGTATACCCTTTTGCCAGTGGAATGCAAACCATGTAATCTAGAATAAATAGATAGATTAGAGTAGTTGTTGATTAGTATTATTGATATTTCTTATAATAGTAGAAGTAATATAGTAGTAGCAGTGCTACTAATACTGCTGCTACTACTACTACTACTACTTGAGTACAATGATATATCGAGGACAACATACGATTGCATGTATTACTGTTACAACCAACCATCCATATTGATAATCTGGAAAGACAATACTTATAATCAACTTGAATAGTAAAAGACCTATTATATAAACGACCCAAAAGCTTTGGGAATGCATCCAAGACTCATTCCTGTTGATTTGAAAGTCGTCTGTTGTGCTATTTCTTCTCATATGTGTCATCTCTGAGATGATGATTATGATATTATTTTAGAGAGATATATATGTATAGATAGATAGATATAGAGATATGTTTAAAGTTTTGATGTTGCAATATGTTAAAGAGATATATATTTATATGTTTGGAAAAGATTGTAATTGCTATTGGGAATGACTTCTCACCTTCACAACAAAGTTTTCTTTTTTTTTATTTTTCATTAAAGAAAAAGTTTTCTTTGTTGTGCTTTTTACTAATTAATTGTCTCTGTTTAACCTCTTAATATTAATGACGACGTCTAGAGACAAGTGGGTCAATTCACCAGTATAATTACTTACCTAACAACAACCTCTTTGCAACAGTTATTATGAGCAATAGCAGTGGCAGTAGCAACACTTATACAAGATTATCAAATAATAATAATAATAATGAGATAATGAAAGAAGATGATGATGAAAGAGATAATATAATTATTACATCTCCTATTGATGATGATGATGATGATGAGATTGGAGGTTCACCAGATACAATAATCAACCAAAATCTAATACAGTCTTCTTCATCTCCAATCAATGACAATAATAATATTCTTTCAGAGAGCAATAATAGTGTAGTAATCGATAGTAATAATGATAATAATGATAATGATAATAATAATAATGATATATCTAGAGCAAAACAAGTAAAGAGACATATTATTGGAACTATTTGTGTTTTAATAGTTGTATTCTTATGGGTATCATCTTCAATTGTCATTCAAGTATGTTACATTGTAATGGCAATCAATCATCAAAACCGCTCTTGTATAAGTTACTAATACCTCTATTCTATTGCTCTTTAAAAGATTATATTTACTGATGGTGGCTTTGAGAAACCATTCTTTTTAACTTATTACTCTACTTCTATATTTTCATTTTATCTATTTGGTTATCTCTTTCAATGGAAGAAATGGTCAAACATACCATTTGAAGATAATGGTAGACACTCTGGAAAGAGTTTACATTCTATTACACATAATCTATTACATTGTAATAATAATAATAATAATACAAAGAGAAGAACTTCACTACCAACATCATCATCATCTGATGATACGACAACAACCATTAGAAATAAGAAAAGGGATTTAGTATTAAATATAAATCAAATGGATGAAGAAGAAGAGCCAGGAGGAGCAATGATGGTTGAAGAAATAATACAAGAGGAAGATCAAATAGGATTATCATCAAACATTAAAAAGAATCGATACAAGCATTCAATGAAATCGATATGTAAAATTAGTCTAATACTTTGTCCAATTTGGTTTGTGGCAAATTATACATTCAATCTATCACTGGGTATGACAAGCGTGTCTACCAATACAATTCTATCAACATTGTCTGGTGTATTTTCACTCTTTTTGAGTGTACTATTAAAGGTTGATAAATTCTCTTTTGAAAAGTTGGCTGCAACTTTGATTTCGTATGTACCACATATCTACATATCCATTCATCACCTACCAACAAATTTATTTATTTACCAATATTTTTTATTATTTTAGACTTGTTGGAATAGTGATGGTTAGTTATAGTGACATTGCAGATAGTTCTCAAGGTGATACATTTATTGGAGATTTGTTGGCAATTACAGGAGCAGCTTTTTATGGGTTATATTGTACATTGATGAAAAAGATGATAAAGGATGAGGAAGAGTTACCCATACCTCTTATGTTTGGATTGTTGGGATTTTTCAATATAATCCTAATGTGGCCATTCTTTTTGGTATTAAACTATGCGCAATGGGAAGTATTTGAATGGCCAAGTGGCAAAGTATTCCTTTATTTATTTGCCAATGGATTGTTTGGAACGTTTATATCGGATTTGATTGAATCCTATTCAGTCGTTTTGACTAGTCCAGTCATTAATACTATTGGTCTGTCACTAACCATTCCATTGGCAATGTTATCAGATTTCGTAAGAGGCAAAGAATTCTTTGGTTGGCTCTATGTTGGTGGATCAATATGTGTCATATTTGGTTTTCTACTGGCAAACCTTGCTAGTAAACTATTCGAAGATCGTTTAAAAAGAATTGAACTTTCAATCATCAATTTATTCAAAAGACCTAAACTACAACAATAAATTTATATATTGAAAAAATAATAATAATAATTTTTTTTTAATTTTTTAATTTTTCATGTGATTGATTGATCAATGGTCGATTCAAAACAGATTTCACATCACCATTCACATACATAATACATACTTTGATAGACAAGAAGAATAAAGAGAGGAGGAATAAGAAAAAGAAAAAGAAGAAGAAGAAGAAAGAACAGAGAGAGAGAGAAATCAACAATACCACTAGTTACAACTATATTAGTATAGAGTTTAATCTTTTTATCTATCTATCTATATATAAATATATAAATATATATATTCACTCACTCACTCACTCACCCACCCACGACAATCGATCACATCACAGGTACCTGTCTCAACACCAACAAAGAAACAAAGAAAGAAAGAAAGAAAGAAAGAAAGAAAGAAAGAAAGAAAGAAAGAAACAAACAAACAAACAAACAATTAGCATTGTAATAGTAATATTATTGTATAGTCAAACACACCTGATCATAAACAAAGGATCATTCATTTCTATTGTATAGAGTTGTGACACTATAGAAGAAGGATTTTTATCGTTCATTGTTGTTACTAAGTGGATGGTTAAAATAGTCTTGTAAAAAAAAAAAAACAAACCCTCAACTGCAGTTACACATTGTGTTGTATCAAAAAAAAAAATTCGGATAATTGTATAAATCAATCAAGAGTGAAAAAGTACACATATATATATAATCCATAAGATAACAACAATCAACAACAATCAACAACAACAACAACAACAACAACAACAACAACAACAACAACAAACAACAACAACCATGACAACTTTTAAAGCATGGTTTCAATATGAAGATGAAGAGGTTGAACTTTCAGATTTAGAATATGAAACAACTATATCAGCCATTAGAAAGATCATACATGAAGGAAAGATATTTCACTTTCCTTATGGTACTTCACAAACAGATATACAAATAGGTGTATTTGCACCAACAGGCACAACTGATAAGTTTGAAAAATATAAAGCAAGAAGTACTCTTGGAGATATTCAATATAAAGTTGGTGATACATTACAAGTTAGAGTAAAAAAGAGTAAGTTGTAGTTTAAATCAATTTAATCACCTCTAGATATTAATAGTCATCATCATCATCATCATCATCATCATCATCATCATCATCATCATCATATTTTAGATAAAGTTACATCAGACAATGCATCGATACCAACTTTGAATGTATCAATTTTAGACAACTCTGAAAGAGTTGTAAAATGGGATTATAATCCATTCACCACTACTGGACAATGGACATGTACTGCTATTCTTGTTAAAATGGAGTCTGTACCATTTGCCGAGGGATCTTTTCGAAAGGCATATTATTTACATGATCTAAGTAAAGAAGAAAGTTCAAGGTAAATTTATTATTCATTTGATCTTTCTATTCTTTTTTATTGACTCTCTTTTTCTTTTTCTTTCTCTTTCTCTCTCTCTCTCTCTCTCACTAAGTCTCTCTCTCTTTCTAGACATGTAGCAAAAATAGGTAAAAAGCCAACACCAAGAGCAAATTATTTTGAAGATGTAAAGATGCAAGCAATAGCGAGAAGATGGTCTCAGAGATACAATGATCGAAAGCCACCAAAAAAGATTGACTTTTTACCATCATGTGTGTTGGAGTTTGTTGATCGTGGATCACATGACAATATCTGTGGTGTTGAACCGTACGTCGAAGGACAATACAGAAAATATAACAATAACAGTGGTTTTGTGAGTAATGACGATCGTAACACTCCACAAGCATTTAGTCACTTTTCATACGAACACTCCAACAATCAACTATTGATCATTGATATTCAAGGTGTTGGTGATCATTACACAGACCCACAAATTCATACCTATGACGGTGTTGGTTATGGTATTGGAAATCTTGGAAAGAAAGGTTTTGAAAAATTCATAGACACTCACAAATGTAATGCCATTTGTCAATATCTCAATCTCTCAATGATCAATCCAAAGAGCGAAAAAAGTGATTGTGGAACTGTCCCACGACCAGATTTATTCTTACCAGATACTTCTGAACGTGATCAAGTTAATAATCAAAATAATAATAATAATAATAATAACAATAATACTACGACTACATCAATTAGTGTAAGTGTTCAACCACATCAAGATATATCTCCACCATCAACTACAACATCAACATCGATAAAAGTACAACCATCATCACAACCTCCACCACAACAACAACAACCCCAAAATGATTCAAGAGAAAAAGAAAAAGCAATTGAAAGAAAAAATAGAGAAGATAGAAAAAAGGACCAATTAAATGTAAGTTGAAACCAATTTTAAAAAAAGAGTCCATTTACTAATTTGATTCTCTATAGTGGGATATAAATGGTGTTAAAATTGTAGACACTGTCAAAGGGTACCACAATACCATATCATTGTGTATATGTGAAAATTATTTATTTACTGGTTACTCTGATAATACGATTAGGGTAAGAATTAAATTCAATATTGTTAAAGTAGTTACTACTCGATCTAACATTTTTTTTTAATATATTTTTAGGTATTTGAATTTAAAAATGATAATAATAACTTGGAATTATTCCAAACATTAAAAGGACACGAAGGGCCAGTAGAGGCAATGTGTTTTAATGATCAATATATATTTTCCGGATCAGGAGATCATTCAATTAAAGTTTGGGACAAAAAGAAACTTAGATGTATTTTTACTTTGGAAGGACATGACAAGCCAATTCATTGTCTTGCCATCAACGACAAATTTTTATTTAGTGGGTCTAGCGACAAGACCATCAAGGTTTGGGACCTAAAGACTCTAGAATGTAAAGTTACGCTGGAGGGTCATCAGAGAGCAGTGAAATCAATCACACTCTCTGGCCATTATCTCTTTAGTGGTAGTTCGGACAAGACCATCAAGATTTGGGATTTCAAGGAACCAAAGACAATCAGATGCAACTATACTCTAAAGGGTCACAGCAAATGGGTTACGGCTGTTTGCATAGTTGGTTCAACACTCTACAGTGGATCATATGACAAGACTATAAGACTTTGGTCACTCAAATCACTAGAATGTATCGCCACACTTCGAGGTCACGAGGGCTGGGTCGAAAATATGACGGCAACAGATAAATATCTTTTTAGTGCCTCTGATGATAATTCAATCAAAGTTTGGGATTTGGAAACTCAAAGATGTATATCTACACTCGAAGGACACAATGCATCGGTTCAATCCCTTGCTTTGTTGGATAATTGTCGTCGTTTGGTTTCAACTAGTCACGATCAAACTATAAAACTTTGGTCTTGGGATTTAAAAGAAAATTAAATCGAAGCAAAATAGTAATAATAATAGTAATAGTAATAGTATTAATAGTAGTAGATAGTATTATTAAATAATAATAATAATAATAATCAATAATTTATGTATTTATTTAAAAAAGGCATGGCGATATAACAATAATAATTAAAATAAGTAATAGTAAAAATATTCCAGATATAAAAAACACCAACAAACCTTGTTTAGTTTTGTTTTAAATTGATTTCTTTATTTTTTTTTTTTAGATAATAAAAAGAATGAAAGTTAAAGAAAGATGTATTATTATTATTATTAATTATTTTTTTTTGTTATTCTTTGTTTTGTTTTATCTAAACTCTCTGACAAAGAATCTAAGAGATAAATAGGCAAGTAATAAATAGCCACCAATCATACCACACAAGACATACATGTCCAAAAAGAGTCTCTTTGGATCGGCGCCAATCGTTTCGAGGAACTCTAAACCGTCGGCATAGGTTCCTTGAGTATTGGGTGGATTGTAAAAGATCCAACTGCCAGCAAATTCATTGACTACTGGAATCTCTAATCCATAGGACATAAAGGACATCCACACCAACCAAACCAAATACTTGGGAATCGATTGTCTAGCCAACAAGAAACCATCAAATAATAAAAATACAAACAATAAGAGAATGGATAGCATATTGGCAGTACCAAACGTTGGGGAGATTGTGCTAATGGCCATACACATTGACGATGCTGTACTACTTGTCAACACAAGAGAAATTAAAAAGTAGATGAAATGATTGATTCCTGATCTAAATCCAATCATATAATAACAAATTGAACCAAGGATAATAGGTGGAATAACTCTCATTGGTATTAAATCTGTTAGGACCTTTGCTAAAAAGTATGACGATGTTCTATAATATCCATTAGCTCTTTCTCTAATAAATATAATTCTATCATGATAGACTAAAAAGATAAAAAATAAAAAAAAGATAAAATGTTAATATTATTATTCTTTTTTTTTTTTGTTTTTTTCAACATACATAAATCTAAAGAAGTAATTGAACCAAAAGATAATAAAGCAATCATAAAGAACATTGATCCAAATCTATTTTGAGCACCTGGTTCAAGGTTACTTGGTAATTGCCAGAAAAGATATCCAAGAATTAATCCGACCGTAATATGTACAAAGTAGGTGGTACGAAGTAAAAATGGATTTCTAATATAATTGAGAAGAGATCTGTGGGATACAACAAAGAATTGTGTCCAAAACGATGTTGCATACTCTTCAACGTTGATCATTTTTTGATCTTCCAACAGATGGTGACGACGAGGTGGCTCTCCTACATGATTTAAAAGATGAGATTCACCTTCTAAATCACTTTGAATGGCTTCATCATTGTTGATGTCGCCATTGGCATTCAAACCATTGTATGATTCCTCCTTTGGTTGATCGACTCTAATATCTGGTTTGTTTGGATAGTTGAGTTGGAAACATGGTTTGACAACATTGTCGTTCAAGGCAGAGATGATAAAATCAGCTGGATTGACACGCATCAAGAATCTTTGATGTTCATCGTCCTTGCTTCTTTGTTCCTGGAAGAATGGAACGGCTTCCGATGCCTTGCCAGAATAGTATGGATTACCTTTGTGGAGTAGGATGAGGTTATCAAATTGTTCAAATATTTCGGCGGATGGTTGATGAATAGAAAAGATAATGGTTCTATTTCTATTCTTGGCTAGTTGTTTAAGGCTGTAAATTAGTTCAGACGCACTATGAGAATCTAATCCTGATGTTGGTTCATCCCTGAAATAAATAAAGACACAAAGAAAAAGTAGTTTGGTTAGTTTCAATTTTATATTATCTATTGATTTTTTTTTACTTACAAGAAAAGAATACTTGGATCAACCAATAATTCAGCAGCAATAGAGAGTCTTCTTCTTTCACCACCAGAGATACCTCTCTTTTCAGGTGTACCAATACGATTCTCGCAGATGTGCATGAGATTGAGTTCGGTTAAAACGCTATTGACACGAGCCATCTTTTGAGCCTTTGGCATACCCTCTGGAAGCTTTAACATAGCAGTATAGTTGAGGTGTTCACGACAGGTTAGAGTACCAATCATGATATCCTCTTGAGTAACATAACCAGAAATTCTCTTAAAGTTCTTGAGACGAGGATAACCATTGATGAGGACTTCACCGGTAATGTCACCGACGTTCTTTCTTCCAGACAGGATATCCAAAAGACTTGTCTTACCAGACCCAGAAAGACCCATTAGTGCAGTCAGTTGACCTGGATAACAAATACCAGAGACATTATTGAGAATGACCTTGTTACCTGTCGCTCCACCGCCACCACTAAACAGACTAAATACTTTTCTTTCATTGACAATACAAGATACGTCATCGAAACGAAGTTCACAACTAATGTGCACATCCTCTGCCGGTTTTTTTCTTTCCTCTTGTTTTACATACACCCAAGATATCAAACCGAGCAGTATAGCAAAACCGACTACACCACCACCAGCACCCAGGCACATAAGAATGAATTTGGTATAAAGCACGGGTACTGGGTAGATGATTGGTGGACTATAGTCACATTCACCAGCAATGCATTGAAGTGGGATGGCTGGAAGCATGGCAAGGAAAACCTCTTGTGAAAATACGCATGCCAAGGTAGTGTCACAACTAAATTTGGCGTAACCAGTGACAGCAGAAACAAGACCATTTAGAATGGCACCACAATAGGTAGTACAGTTGCACATACTTGTTGAACAATAAATCTCTTGTCCCTGTCCGGGTAAAATCTCTCTTGTGCAGTTTGTAAAAGTACAATTAAAATACAAAGGATCTCCAGTCAATCTATAGTAAAGGTTCATACTACATACTCCCTCTCCACTAGTGTAATCAGCAGTTGGGAAATCACAATCAAGTGAAGTAGAGGCTGTAGAGTTTTGTAAATCTCCATTTACTTCTGGACCTAAAAAAAAATAATAAAAAATAAAATAAAATATTAAGTAAAATACTATAGATTGGTATATTTTTGTTTTCACATACTTGTAACATAACAACTATAAGCTTTATGATGATCAATATAGATAGATTGGTCACATATAGTTGAACTATTGGAAGCTTTACAATAACTATCATTGGTGCAGACTAGTTATAGATAGATAGATAGATAGTTAGTTATTGTTGTGGTTTTTGGTCTGTATATATTTTCTACTTTTTACTTACCACTACATTCAATACCACCAGTACCTGGTGGACAATAACATTGTCTGTAGAGACCAGGAACACCATAGACAGGAGGACAGAATCTACCACCGTGACAATCCATTAAATCCCAATTATGATCTGGATTTAAATTGAATTCACAGTTTGGACCATAGTAGAGTGGATTACAAGCACATACATATGAGTTCCCATTGGCTATACATGTACCTTGATCCCAAGCACTATGACAATCTTGCAAACCACATTGACTGGCAGTATTGTTGAATACAAATGAAGTAGCGTTACACGATTCTCCTGGCCACGGTTGATAGGATGTGGAACCGACCAAATCGTTGTCGGTATTTTGTAAATGGGAGGGTGTCCATTTGGCACGAATATTATCCAACTGTTGTTGTTTGGACAAAAAGATATCGATTCCCTCTAAACCTTCACCAGAGGCAGATGATCCTTGAAGTATTTCTTTTGATTGTTGATCAATGTCTAGTAAATGATTCATGTCATCATACTTTGATGGAACTCTAAGTGAATTTGCATCGACTGTTAAGATGTAAATTGTCACTACAAATATGATGATTTTCATTATCGTCATCATCATCCTCATTTCTATTTGTAAGGATGATTTATATCTATTTAAAAAAATAGATATATTATTATTATTACTATATTCTATTAAACTATTTAATTATTATTACTATATGTATGTATGTATGTTTGTAGTGAAGGGAAGAAAAGTAAAAAAAAAAAAGAAGATAAAAAAAGATCTAGTAATAATCAACTCTTTTATCTTGTTTTTTTTGTAATAAACAAATAAGTCTGATTATAAGATTTGAATGCTAGATGTTTAATGATGATAGTACTACTACTCTACTTGCTAGCTTTGTGTTAATTAATGCTATCCTCTCTCTACTCTTATCTGTCTAATTGGTGTGCTCCTCTCACAAAAATGTTCAAAAAAAAAAAAAAAAACAAAAATTAATTAAAAATTTTAATGCGATCGCCCAAAAAGGAATAATTAGACTACGAATAGCTCGTGAATAGCCGAGAATAATTCATTAAAAAAGTAGTAGTTTTAAGTTTTTATTTTATCTAGAGTGCGTATCATGATGAGGCATACACTATAATTTTACAACGATAACAGTAACATTATCTTTGCAGTCATGCATTTGCAAAGCATTTTGTAATAAAGTTGAAGCTACTGATTGTGCACCTCTACTCTCGATTAAATCTTGACCAATTTCACATGCTTGTTCACCACTAATAACATCCCATAGCTAAAATAGATAGATAGATTCGATTAGTTGATTGAATATATATATCTATTATATTGTTTAAGTACTTACACCATCAGAAGCAATAATTAAAAATGAATCAGTTGGTAATAATTTAATTGGTTGTGATAGATGAGGAATACCAATCATTCCAATATTTTGATCTTTGATAAAATGATTGCCTAGTGATCGACTGACTGCAATTCCATTGATTCTAGTTTGATTGTCAGATACTGGAATACCACTATCAATCATTCTCTTTTTCTCTAATGGATCGTTTGCCTTGTGGTCAAATGTCATTGCCACTGCCTTTCCATTTCTACAGAGATAGGCAGATGAATCTCCGACATTGGCCACTTGTAAATATTTACATTCCTCACCATTAGACGACGAGTTTGTTGGTGACCAAATAAAAGCAACTGTTGCCGTACATCCTACGTATTGCATGTCTTCGTCTTGTTTCATTAAATCATCAACAGAAGCAAATGCAGCGTTTAACATATCGCTCATATCGGTTGAGCTCTCTGGGTCGTATTGTGGGTTTTCTATTTTTTGTTGTTCTATATACTTGGTTACTTGTAGTGGTAAGAGTGTACAAGCTTGGTCGGCTGCCTCTCTACCTGCATGTCCATCAAATACTCCAAATAATGCCATCTCTGGATTATCGTTGAATGGATGAGATGCAAATGATACATCCTCCATCATATTTTGTCCTGGCATGCCTGACAATGGTTTCTTTTTTGCTCTTCTTAATCCTGCCTTATTTTCTGATTCTTTTACACTAAATTCTTTTATACATGTTTGTTGTAATGTTGTTGATACTAAAAAAAAAAAATAGAAATAAAAAAAAAGTTAGAATCTATTTATAAATATTGGGTTTTTTTTTTTTTTTTACATTTAACAGTATCTTGTGATCGGTCAACAAATGATGTTAAGGTTATTTTAAGATCATTACTATCCAATTGTAATAGATCAGAGAGTGAAGAATCTAAATCGTGTTTTAGATTCAAACCACCATTGGGTTCATCCTCAAATGTAAATATATCTGGTAATGAACTGGTATCAATCTTTTTACTATTTGCTTGTTCAATCATTATCGACAATGATGTAGCCTCTTCATGAGAACTATTGTCACTAGAGGTGATGACAACCTTTTGAACATCGATTTGTTGTTTTTGTGGACTATTTGTAAAGATGGTTTGAAGAGATGGTGGCATGTTGGCGGGATGACCTGTACCGTTTGGAGGAGGTGTGAAAAAGTCGGTATTGAGATGTTTGTTGAGTTGGTTTTGTGCTTTGTTGATGATTTTAGATGAACCATTCTTGACCTTTTTCATTAGACTTTTGAATGGTTTTGGTGAATCGCTACTGTTACCACTATAGTTGCTGTAACTGCTACCGGTTCCTTCATCATCAGACGATGATGGATGAATGAATTGATATGAAGAAGGTGATGTACCTGGTGATGGAATTGGTGAAGAAGATGAGGTAGTTCCTTGTAGAACTGGAATGTGAAGATGTTGTGTAGTTGTAGCTGTTTGTTGAGTGATTGGTATATTTGAAGAAGGTGATGATGATATAGCTGCAGTAGAAGCTGTATTTCCTTGAACAACATTATTATTATATTATTATATTATTATATTATTAATATTATTATTATTATTTGAAGATGAAGCAATACTATTAATATTACCATTAATTCCAATGTTTGAGGTGACAGGAGTAACAGGTAGAGGACGTGTAAACTTGGCAAGTTGATCTTCCAACTTTACGATTCTCTTTGACTTTTCGTCACTATCCTTTCGTAGAGAGTTGCTGTTGTCTTTGAGTTCGCTTATCTTTTTTTGGAGTACCTTTTCATTCTCTTGGTTGACACGGTCCCGTTTCTCATAGTCTGATAGTTTGAGTAATAGCTTTTGTTCGTTGTTGCTTACAGAGTCTTTTTCCTTGGTCAACTCTGTCACTCTCTTTTTCGATTGTTGTAGGTCGTCACGCAACTTGTTTCGTTCGGCACTAGTGTCCGTAATGTTTTGTTCCAACACTTTGATCTTGTTTGATAGATTAATCTTGTCACGGTCATGTGATAATTTCTCATTAAAGAATGAAAGATTCAATTCTCTAATTTGATCGTACAATTGTACCATTATCTCTTTATCTGATTTTTGTCCATTATTAGTGGTTGTAGCTTTTATGGTTGTTGGTGACGATGATGATTCAGCATTATTAAATTGAGATAATTTCGATGAAGAAGAGGAAGATGAAGATTTATTATCATGATATTCTATATTTAATAAAAAGTAGATAATAGATAATGCTTGTTCTCTGTTTTGATAAAAGAATGCAATGATAATCGATAGTATGACAGTATAAAGTATATTTGTCAACAATTCGATAAACTCATATGACATTAAACATGCAAACAATAAACATCCTCCTATACCAACTAATCCAATAGTTGTTTTTAATGATACCATATCTTAGTTGCGTGTTTGATATATGAATATATGAATATATGAAATATGTATATTATTACAAGTAAGTAAGGAACAGAAGAGCTTATACAATGAGTGATTGAGTTATTAATATATAAAGATATATATATATATAAAGCAAATAAAACAATAGTGTTATAGAATAAATAATAATATAAAATGGGGTTTATGAATGAATATAGACTATTATTACAAGTTATTATTACTACTACTACTACTTCTATTTATCTATTGAATTATTTGATAGCTAGCTAACCAACTACTACTACTATCAATTATAATTATAGCGTTATCTTTGAGAGAGTCTCTAGTTGTTGTTTGATCGATCCTGTCAGACTAGTGTGAAAACTCAAGACTGTGAGAAAGCAACCCCCCCCTCTAATTTCAAATAAATTTTTTTAAATATTTTATAAAAATTTAATAAATAAAGTACCCGTCGCGGGTGGATCGATCGTTTTATTGTTTTAAATTTTAATAAGTATTATTATTATTATTAGGTATTAAGTTTAGAGTTGGGTTTGATGATTATTATTATTACTATTATTATTATTATTATTATTACACTTTGGTATTGTTATTATAATATTATTTGTTGTTGTTGTTGTTTAAATATAACCATTTGGATTTTTAGATTGCCAATTCCAAGAGTCAATACACATATCCTCTTGATTGTAATTAGCCTTCCAACCCAACTCTCTAAATGCTTTACTTGCATCGGCATATGATGTGGCTACATCACCTTTTCTTCTATCGACAAATTTATATGCAATCTTTTTAGATGATGCCTTTTCGACGGCTGACAACATTTCCAATACAGAGTATCCTCTACCTGTTCCAAGATTATATGCAACGCATCTTGGTTTCTTTACAATATGACTAAAAGAAAGAAAGAGAGAGAGAGAGAAAGGAGTTTAGGTTAGTTATCAATTGCTTATAATTAATTATTATTAAAATATCATTACTACTACATACTTTAAAGCAGCAATATGACCTTTAGCAAGATCTACAACATGAATATAGTCACGAACACCAGTACCATCGACGGTATTGTAATCATTTCCATAGATACTGAGATGATCTCTCTTACCGACGGCTGTTTGTGTAATGTAGGGCATTAGATTGTTTGGAATATCTTTTGGATCTTCACCGATGAGTCCGGAAGGATGGGCACCGACTGGATTAAAGTAACGCAATAGAATGCAATTCCATTCTGGGTCACTGGCAGAGAGGTCTCTGAGTATTTCTTCGATAAATAATTTGGTACGTCCGTATGGGTTGACGGCAGACAATGGTGTATCTTCCTTGATGGGAGTGGTCTTGGCGTCACCATAGACAGTGGCACTCGATGAAAACACTATATTCTTGCAACCATGTTTGGCCATAACCTTGAGAAGTGTAACTGTTCCACTGACATTGTTGTCATGATACTTGAGAGGGAATGCCGATGACTCTCCAACAGCCTTTAATCCAGCAAAATGAACTACCTTTGCAATGGGTCTACTTTCGAATATTTGGTCGAGTGCTCTTTCGTCACGGATATCGGCGTTGTGGAATTCAATTTGCTTTCCAGTGATGGATTCGACACGACGAACAGCCTCTTGAGATGAGTTTGACAAGTTGTCAACGATAATTGGTGTGTATCCAGATTCTATCATTTCAATGACTGTATGACTACCAATATAACCAGCTCCTCCTGTAACTAATACAATATCATCTGTTGGTTCCATTTTTTTTTATCTAAGCAAGCAGAAGAAAATTAAATAATTAATTATATTTTCATTTATAAAACATTTCAGAGGTAACCATATATTTATATGTATGTATAGAAAGATAACTTGATATGACTCAAACTACAATATGTATAAATATATTTAAATATAGTTTAGATTTTTTTATAAAAAACAAGATTTTGAAAAGATAGTATTACAACCACCTAATTTTTAAAGTTGTGACTATAGTCGTACAACATGAAATTCATTGCATTGTGTGTTGTGTGCCAAAGAGATAGATTTTTTATAGAAACACACACATATTTGTATAAACAAGAGAGAGAGAGAAGAGATTTTACTTACGAGATTTGTTTTATTATAGTATTCTTTAAAAGATAATAAGAGAGATTTGATAAGATAAGATAGATATATGTTTTTTAAAAGATTATGTATATAAAAGTATATTTTAATTTAATTTAATTTAATTTGAATATTCTTGTTGTTGAAATGTTAGATGTTTAAATAGCTATTGGTATCGACTATGATCAGACATTGTTGTAATAGGTGTGTGAGACGGTACAACAGAGCAAGTGCCTGCCTTGTGTTACTTGCAGATCTCTTGTGTTGACGGGAAATCATGGAGTAAATCTCTTAAAACCCAATAGATTTGCTTGAATTAATTTGGTTTTTATTGGCCGAACGCTACATAAAATAGTGGCGCCACCCCCTCAACCATTGTCAGTTTTATATTTCTACCTTTTTAGAAAATTTAATTTATCTACAGATTTCACATAGAGAGAGAGAGAACAAAAAAGAGAGAGATAGGGTTGTTTCATTGCTAGCTACACTTAAACAACAACCTATTAGTACTACTACAGCTGTGTTGAGACTCCCCTCCATCCCCCACCCTACCTTTACTTGTACCCAACCAACCAACCAACCAACCAACCAAGCAACTCTATTCTCTCTCTCTACACTTTGAGAATGAATGAAATCTTTCCATACCTTGTACCAACTGATAATAGTTTTACAGAGTATTGTGGCTATATAGTTTGGAATGTGAGTAAATTCTAAAGTACTTAAAGTGTGCAATGAGTCTACTACTTACTACTTATTTGTAGAATAAACAATATCCTGTAGAGATTGGATTTGCAAAGGAAAAGACGACGATTGAAGAATGTAAATTTAATTGTTCCGAAGAGTTGAGTGAAATACTATCACCTTTTTTACCAACTATCAAGAATAGATTACAACAATCAAATGATACTCAATCTTTTTTATTAGAATTTAAAGATATATTGGTATGAAACTAAAAGATATGATATTTATTTTAACCCTTATCGTTTACTTTGATTTATTTATTTTTTTATTTAAACTCTCTCTCTTTTTTATAGAATAGAATAAAAACACAAAAAGAAAATGAAAAAGAATCATTAAAGAATGTATTACCATTTGAAGTATATACATTGGTATTAAGAGAGATTGATCAAATAGGATGGAACAGAGTATTATCGATTGACAAGTCATTTTGTAATATGGAGATTGTCATTAGAGATCAAGCAAACAGAGATGTATTGGTAGATATAGCCGTACCAAGTAATTATCCAGTTGGTATGCCATTGGTTAAATGTCTTTTACCGTGTAACATTGTTCCACCAATGATGGAGAGAGATTCAAAGTATAGTTTACCAAATATCATAGACTACATTCAAGCAATCGTAGTCAAACATCAAACATTCTTTGACGTGATGGATGAGATTGACAAGTCTGTTTGGGTCATTGAACCAGAGAAACCGAATCGATCACATATCACTCGTAGAATTGTTGTAGCAAACAACTGCACACTGCTCATCAACATCAACCCAATCAACCCTCGTTCATTCCCAGATTGTAAGTTTTTAGGTCCCGACCAAGAGACAAAGTCTCTTCTTCAACTGACCAACCAAAATCTTCATCAATGGCGTGGCAATGATACAGTGGTCAACAACTTTGAAAGAATGGGAATTAAATTCCCTCAGCGATCAGAAAGCAAAGAAGAAGATTTTATAGTTCAATGTGCGATTTGTTATTCTCATCGATTAGTGTCAGAAGATATCAACAACAACAACGCTTCATCCACATCATCCTCTGGTACGATACCTGATAAAACATGTAACAATATCCAATGCAATCGACAATTCCATCGAGTTTGTCTTTTGGAATACTTTAAGACTTTACCAAATTCTAGAAGTGCATTCAATTCAACAGTGGGCGATTGTCCTTATTGCCAAACTCAATTATCTTGTCAAACAAATTAATTGGAGTGAGAGAGGACCCCCATCCATCTGCAAAACACCCCCCCCCTTATATCAAACAGTACCAATCAATAAAAAAGCTGATTGATAGTTTTGTATGGTGGATCCATGGATCTCGGGTTTTAGCATCCCCTGATCGAGCAAAAGACCTCCCAACAAAATTTTTTTTGAATTTTGTCAAAAAATGTGAGGATCAACGCGCGTGGCCCCACTGCCAACCCTTGGATTACGATAATCTCCTCCCTTTTAAGCTATTGGGCACTTTTGCATAACACAAAACGATGTTCTTTTTTGATCGTATCGTACAATCTCTGAATCTTTTATCTCTCCTTTTTTAACGTTTTGTTTGTCCTCATGACCTTTCAATGTTTTTTCTTTTTTTGTACAAAAGAGACTTGGTGTTGGTAACCATTCTAATTCTTATCTCTCTCCCCACAATATAACCAAAAACCTATAGATAGATAATACCATCATCATACATAGAGAAAGAAAAAGAAAAGAGAAAAAGAGAATATGTGTTGAATAGGATAGATAATAATATAATATATAAATATATAAATATAGCATCATAGTTTTAAAAAAAACATGGCAGAAGGCTCTTTTACAGGAGACCCACTTTACGACAAGTTGGTGGCAGCATTTTTAGTGATAAGAATTCTCGTTTCGACTCTTATGACTGCAACTTGCTCAGTTCAATTAGTCTATGAATACCGATATCAAAGACAAAATCCAAATGTTTTCAGTCCTAAATTGTTAACTTTGGTTGGTTGTACATTTTTCCCTTTTTGTATGTATAAATCAAATATCAAAGTTGAAAAAGTGATGCATTTTGGCATAAGATTTGAATAGTGCACAATAAATAATTAATTAAAGAGTTTGAATTATTAATTAATTACTTTTTACTTTTTTCCATTTTTAAATAGTCAGAATTATATATTGTGCAGTATTATTTAAAACATATAATTTTAATTATGGTTCTGGTAAAGATTTATATTATTTTTTCAAAAAATATCTTGATCCTTTATTTTCTTATCTATTCATTCAATATTTTTTTCTTTGTTTATTTAATATTTAGCTGTTGCCTTGATTGGTATGTGGACGACATTTTTTATCTTTGTTGCCTGGGTGTTTGTCGGTTGCTTTTGTAAGTATTAATAAATAATGGTTAGATTAATAATTATAACCAATACTCATCAAAACTATTATTAACACACAAAACATTTATATGTATATTTACAGGGTTACAATTATTATTTATTTTATTCCTTTCATCAAAAATTAAATTAAATTATATTGGAAGAATATGGAAGATATCATGGGCAGTTTTAGGAATATCATTATTATATACACTAGGATATACTTTGATTAGTAAATTTGCAGTAAAATATTCAGATTTATTTTACATGGTTGGATTTCTTAGTATACTTGGCATTTTTGGCACCATCATTTTAATCTTTGGTGTTTTATTGGCTAGACAAATGAAAAAACATCAAAAGATATCAATGTCTCTGCGAACATTCAAGACGGTTAAAAAGATAAAGATTCTTTCTATTTGTCTATTTTTCATTATCGTTTCGGCATTGGCAAGAGATTTGATATTAAATGTTATCATTAAAGGTATACCACCTGATTCAAATATTAGATATCTATCTCATTTTATAACATTCTTTTTAGAAACTTTACAAGGGTAAATATTAAATTAAAATTAAATAATAATAATAATAGTAATAATTTATTTATTAATACTTTTATTTATTTATTTATTTATACTTTTATTTAGTATTGTAATGATGGTAGCAATTGCAGATGTACCAATAAATTATTTATTGTTAAAAGGTATAAATCCAACTAGAAATCATACAATTCCATCTAGTCAATCACCCAATTCAAAGATATCTATTGGTGGATTCCGTAATAGAAATAATAATAATAATACTAGTACAATGTCTTCAAGTTCTTCAATTGAAATGAAATTAAACAAAAAGATAAAGAAAAAGAAATCAAATAGTGACAATTCAGAGACATCAACCTCTTCATTATCAATGACTGCGTCATCAATGAAAATGAATTCAGATAGTATGATACAATCTTTTTCCTCTTCTTCAGTGGCTACAATAGGTTCATCTTCAGAATTGGCTCCTGTAACAATTATAGATATAAATCAAAATAATCAAAATAATCAAAATAATAATAATCAAACTAATAATAAAGAAGAGGGAGGAGGAGGAGGAGGATCATTAAATTGCTAACATTAAAATATTGTAAATTCTTTATTATTTAAAATAAGAACTAATTTGAATATCTTTACTTTTCTTTTTACCATTCTTTTTAGAATTATTGGTTGTTGTTGATGTTGTTTGAGAGTCAGCGATTAAAAGATAGTCATTTTGTTTTTCAAATGTTTGAATGACCAGTGTCTGGTTTGTTATACCTTGACCTTCAAATTCACCTCCATGATATTCTTGATCGCTTCCACTGTCATCTGCATCTCCATTATTGCTATCGTCCAATGCAATTGGAACAGATGGAATAATTAACTTTGCCTTTGGTTTGGCAACATTCTTTGTGGCAATACTTTCTATTGTCTCATCACCATCAATTTCAATGATTTCCTCTGCTATTAATCTTTTTGGTGGTGATGCTATAGAAGTGGAGGTATTGTTTGATGATGATGATGATTTTGCAGGTGATTTTCTTGGTGGTGTTTGTGTATCTGTACTCTTTCTTTTTTTGGCTGTTAACTTTTGTTGTTGTTGTTGTTGTTTAGGTTGTCGTTGATCACCATCAACATCTATAATATTTGCATCATTATCATCATTATCACTATCATCGCTTATTGTTGTTGCATCGTCATGATTATTATTACTATCAGTATTGTCATTCAATAAAGGTGAATCTACCAATGTATTATTTGAACCAACGTAAAGTACAACTCTCTTGGGAGGTGGTAGAGGTAAAGTGAAACCTTGCTTTTTAATGACAACAGCATATCTTGGAAAGGTTGGTACAAACTTGTAGGTGTAGTTGAAATGTGGTAAAGAGAATAACTTTGGTCTCTCTACGATTCTATCGGTAGACATTGAATCATAAAACATTGAAAATAGTGCATCATTCTTTCTTAAATGATTCAATACTAATTCTTGAATGCTAATGATCAACTCCTATATATAGCCAACAACAAACATAGAACATTAGAAATCACATTACTGACAATACCAAATACTTATACTTTTACTTACTTGAAAATGATATTCTGTAAATGTAGAGTATCTATGCAGTATCAAGAGTAATGGTATGACATGATGTTTACCAATCTTTATATAATAGTTATTTCTTTCTTTAAATTGTCTATCTTCTTTGGTTGTTGTTGTTGTTGTTGACAATGTTGTATTTGTTGTTGTAGTAGTTGTTGTAGTGGAAGTTGTATTATCTTGATTTATATCGTTCATCTATAAAAGATCTATCTATCTGATGTATGTGTGCTTGTTTGTGTAGACAAAGCAAATTGAGAACATAATACCTCGAAGTTCATCATCCAGAATGATGGATAAAAGCTCTTGAATTGTTCATTCCCATTTTTTTCTTAGAATGCATGCAGCTTCAATTCCCTTCGATCATCCGATGTATGTCATCTGACAGTTACGATACCTATATAATATCGATATGTAATACATATCATAAATCATAATAAACAGTAACATTAATAATCAAAAACAGTAACATAAACAGTAACAGTAACAGCAACAAAGAATCATGCAAAACAACAAACCATCAACATTTAAATACAGCAAAGATTCCTCTTCTTCTTCAGGCAGTGGTGGTCACAAACCAACATATTACAAAAAGAAGCCAACAACATCTTCAGCACATTCAGAATCATCACCATGGGATAGTTCACCAATCGATGCCAATGGTTATTTGCTGTACAATCAAGACTTTACACATTTTGTAGTTCATTGTCTCAAGAAAAAGAACTCTTATGATGTCTATGTTGGAAGAAAGAATCCACTCATCGAATCGACTGTCTCTATTAAATGGGGTAATCCATTCAAAGTTGGAAAGGATGGTAATAGAAATGAATGTATGAAACAGTACAGAGATTGGATATTCCATAAAGATCAAAATGATCTATTCCTTCAAGCCAAAAGGGAACTAAAAGGAAAGATTTTGGCTTGTTGGTGTTCTCCTTTAAATTGTCATGCAATGGTGTATGTTTAGAACAATATTATAATCATAATATATATTTATATATTTATCAAATATTAAATATTTATTGACACTATCTATTTATCTAGTCTTGCTGAAATTGCCAACTCGAGTGTATCAAACCAAGGATATGATCCAACCCAAAAGGCATCATCTTCTTCATTGGCACCTACAACAACAACAACTACTACTACTACTACAACTTCTGCTATTGCTCCAGTTGGAGTAACACAACCAACAACCATGGAAAAAGATTTTCCTCCATCTTTAACTTCAACTTCTTCTACTTCCTCAACATCTGTTGCTACCACTACAACCAAACCATCATCATCATCAGTATCATGGGCAAATCAAGTATCTCATTCATCTGCTCCTCCTCCTCCTACTATCAAACAACAACAACCAACTGCAGGATTCAACAAACCCAAAGCTCCTCCATCTTTGGATTCAGAACTTGATTTCCCTTCACTATGGAATAACAACAATACAAAGATGTCAAAGAAAAAGTAGTAGTAATCTATTTATATAATAGTAATTATAAATGGTTTTGATTTATTTCTTGACCCTTCTAATTGATCCAACTCCAATGGCAAAGTCATGTGGAAGATCGAAATGTGCACTTGAATAGAATAAAATAATAGTCATCATTAATATTAATAATATTAATGTTTTCGGTCGGTAATTCATTATTATTAAATTATTATTATTATTATTATTATTATTATTATTATTATTATTGGTTGTCATTAAATATATTTATAATTTTGTCACAAAAAACAATATTGTAATTCTATAAATAGAAATAAATAGGTAACGTTGTTTTGAATTTAGAATTGTTATTATTATTATTATTATTATTATTATTATTGTTATTATTGTTGTACACTCTGCAGGATAATATTAATAATGTTGGTTAAAGTCAAATAGTTTGTTGACAGTTTAGTTTGATTTAAAGTAAAGTTGTTGGAATATATGACTGCTGTTGTTGTCGGTTTCTTTCCCTTTTCTTTTTTGACAAGTGACTAGAAATTGGATGAATTAACAATGTTAATGATATATATATATATATATTACCGCTCAAAAATCCATCTTACAAAATACCATCCTCACTCCACTCACACTCACATCACACACACACAACACAACACACAGCGCTCAAAACTAAAAAAAGAAGGGAAGTATCAACCATGGTTTTAATTGTTGTTCATTGATTATTATTAATCAATATTGCAATGGTTTTAAATTAATTGAAATAAATTCGGAGGAGGAGGAGTCATTCCCCGCCCCTTGCTATGCGTGTGTCGTTTATTGTATCAAGAGGAATGATGATTGTGAGAATGATGATTGATGATTTGTGGGGCTCTGTTGGGAATTCATCGATTGGGATTGATGATGTGTGTGTCTAATAATAAAGTTTAATTAATTCATCTGAAACTGCTGATGGTGTCAATACTCCCAATTCTGTAAATAAAAGTGTAATATAGGATGGTGGAGTATAATCGAGTGTTGGAGAATCAATCTAGAGAAAAGAAAGAGAGAAAGAGAGAAAAGAAGAATAAAATAGTAAATATTAACTATAATTAAAAGCCAACTCTAGATTAATTGTGTGTGTGTGTGTGTTAACACATACGGTTAATGATTCTGGATGTTCACACTTTGAACATGATTTACAAGCTTGGAATGTATCTTTTTCTTCCTTTAGGAATTCAATATCCGATTGATTGAGTGGATAGGATCTAGTGAATTTAAATGATTCGGCAGCAACGTAGAATGGTTTCTTGAATGCCTTGGCAACGATACTAATTTGATAGGTTCCAATTTTATTTACAATACCTCCATTCTCTACGATGGCCTCTGCTCCACATAATACATAATCTACCTTGTCAATGATTCTTGATACTCCACCATCCATAATCAATTTAACTGGTATTTTGGCTGCTTGTAATCTTTCTGCTAATTTATATCTACAAACAAACAAATCAAACAATATATATATAAGTATCATAGATGATCTCTATTGCAATCTTGATTCAAAAGTTAATTTACCCTGATGAATCTGGTCTCGATTCAGTGACAATGACAGAGAATCTCTTTCCTTGTGCAGAAGCATTCAAAAGTACACTCAAAACAACACGAGAGAATCCATGAACCAAAATAGTTACACCATCACGAATGAATCTATCAGCAAGCTTTGCAATCTTTGTTCTACTATTTGCCGACTTCTTTGATAATTGTTCACCTCTTTCAATTAGAGTAATCTTGCATTGATCGAAATTCTAGAAAACCAATAATAATAATAATTATTAGTAAGATAGACGACGATGTCTTGTATAGATGTAATAGGAAACGACTTACTGGGAAATCAAATGAAGTTCTAGTAACGAATCTAATGAATAACTCACAGACAGAGTTGAGAGAGATAGATGTATTGAATGAACATTGTTTGAGATTATGTGTAGCATGTTCCAAATCCTTTTGTAAACCCATAATAGTTGCTGCTTGACTCTTTCGGATTACTTCTATCAATACTCTAATCACTGGTATAGCTAGAGCTGCTTCTTGTTCCTTTTTTATATATTCTTCAAATAGTTCAACAACTATACACAACACACACACATTACATAATATTGTAACAAACATTTAGGAAAGAGGTGATTAGTAGACTATAACTACTACTAGTGCTATGATGATGATCATGATGACGATGATCATTAATTAATTAATTGTTAATAATTACCCCAAGCAAAAGCAGCATTTTCTTGTGTATTTGGTGTAGATGCTCCTGTTGTTGTCGTTGTTGCTGTTACAGCTGATGTTGGTGTGATATTCATTATTACTATTATTCTTGTTAATCTATCTATCTGAGACTACATCCAATATCCGAGTCACTCAATTTCGTTTTATCTCTTCAAAGCAACCACGAGCTTGGGAATGCTCTCAGAATGATGATTTAAAAATAAAAAATAGTTATTAAATAGATAGATAGATAGATAGATATTGGTTTCAATCAATCAATCAAGAATTAATTACTTAATCATCATGTTGTCTCAACTACTCTCCTCCTCTCTCTCTCTCTCCCTCTCCTTAGAAGGAGTATAAACGATTGCTGCTGTTAAATCGATATCATCATCAACATTATTCAACAACTTTGACTCTATCCTATCAACTTTGACTCTATCCTATCAACTCAACACCACTCAACAACAACAACAACAACAACAGCAACTCTTTGATAATAGAGCACTGTATCGATAACTATATATCACAATGATACCTAATAATGAAAGATACATCTTTGTCAAAGCAACCCACATATAGCTTCCTTCTTTTCCTTTCTTTTCTTTTAAAAATCGAACTGTAACCTCATCATCTTTGGAGTGCACTAGCTTTGTACGGCACCCTCATAAATCATTGATTAGTAATAATAATAGATTAGATTATATATATCTATAAATATAAGTTATCATTATCATCATTTAGTTCACTCAAACAAAACAAAATAGAGGTACAACTATTTAATCCAAGTCAATCAATCAAACATGTTATCTCAACTGCTCTCTCCTTCAAAACTAAAAACACTTACTTTTAAATCGATATCATCGAGATCATCAATATCATCAACATTATTCACAAACCAACTATCATCATCACTATCAACTTTGACTCTATCCTATCAACTCAACACCACTCAACAACAACAACAACAACAACTCAAAGACCATCATCATCGATGGTTCTCTACATCAAATAGAAATAGTACATTTGATGATAATATCTGTTTGGTTCAAGTGAATAACCATTCAATTACATCATCACCATCACCAACAACGGTAGATCAAATAGATAAATGTATTAACAATTTAAATACACCTAGTAAGTATAAGATTATATAATCGTCAACATTATCTATGTCTTTCCCTTTCTAACACCCGCTCTTTTTTTACCTCCCAACTAGTTGTATTCTCTGAAACTAATCAAGATGATATCATTGATTGGTTTATCAATACTTATGGTATGCCAAAGTCATCATCACCATCTAAACTCGTCGATACCACCTTGCCTCTCAGAGGAAGAGATTTTGTGCTTGAATGGGTATATGATTACATCAAGGCTGCCTATACTGCCGATCGTGACCCCAGACAACCAATTATCGTAATTGTTGGTGCACCTGGAATGGGAAAGACCAGACTAATGGAATCTATCGGTGATTACATCTCAACCAGAGATAATAGTACTCTTCCAAAACACCATCTAGATTTGTCAATATCATTTGGTAGTCGTACACCCTATTGTCCATCACTAGACAGTGATCCCAGTCTATCAATTTGCTCCAGAATACTTTATCGATACTTTGTTGAAGGATCTGGTGTCTCATTCCAATCATTTGTTGAAACAATCAAAAGTTGTATTGATCTGACAGAAATGACGACGTCAAGTTGCTTTTCAATGATCAAAAGACATATGGTCCGTACAAATCAAACTCGACCAGACTCAAAATCCATACGAAAGATCATCAAACCTCGAAGCCATTGTCAAATCTATATCAAACAATCTATTAAATAGAGACCAATCTAGTCCCATATTTTGCAATGTCATAATGACTGGATCGATATCACATGGTGATTTATGTATGGCTGTTCCGGCTACACGCAGTTTATATGTTACTATATCCAGCACTCTCAGCCAAAAAGAGTATATGTACATTGCAAGGAAAATGATTGGAAGAAAGAAATCCAATCTACCTCAAGTCAAAAGAGCATTAAGGTTCATGGGTGGATGGCCAAGTGCTCTCGATATTTTTTTCAAATCAATTCCAAGTGACTTGGATAGTGTCAATACATCGCAGTTGTTAGAACTATGTGATGGTCCATTGAACAAACTGTACCCAAATCAAATGGATCAAACAATGACTGATATCATTACACACTCTATTGCTGGTATTATACACGATGGGTTCGAAGAACATGAAATCAAATCACCACCATTTTTCAGCCTCAAACACTCATACTGCTTCACATTCTCTTGTTTCGAATCGATTTCCGTTCCACTCAACTTTATCAGAAGACACCTAAATACATTTGATGGAAATCAAACACGTCCAGCATTTATGGTGCCACTTGGCAAAGTCATTAAACTATTAGAGACTGAAGATATGAATGATAGATCGTGGCAAGAACTGAATGAACATTTTTTGTCAAGCAAACTCTCGGCTCTCAAAGAGGTTGAATTGGAGTATGTCACACTGAAAGATATCTATGGTGATGCAGTCTATTTCTATCCGGAAATGAAAGATATGTGCTATACTACTCGAGATGATGTTGTTTATCTTGGAGATTCAAAACTTTTAAAAGGTAAAGACCCCAAATTTACAACACAGGATTTAAAAGGTGTATTGGAAAACATTCAAAAAGCAGCCACTAAAATGGGAAACAGTCAATATATAGTTGTAATCTATACAAATGGATACATCACTCAAAGAATGCTCAACTATGATTTCCCAAATGTACTTGGAGACCAAAGGGCTATTGTCATTTGTAACAGATTCATAAGACCAAGGAGAATAACCGAACATACCATCGACAAGATGTATAATTTCCAACATGTAGACTCTTTCTACTCTCTTTTTTCAGACTTTATTCAGATTTGATAACAGATTTGATATTACATTATTACCTCTTCAATAAATTTAAAAGATATTTATTATCAGTAGGTCGAGTGAGAATCCTTTCAAAGTCACCATCAAATTTTATATAACAATAACTATATCCCAATGATACCTAATAATGAAGAATATCGATGGTGATCAATACATACATCAAAGAGCATATAGCTTCCTTTCTTTTCTTTTAAAAATCGAACTGTAACCTCATCATCTTTGGAGTGCACTAGCTTGTGCTAGTTGCTTTATAATCAATGATTGGTCATATTAATAATCATCAAAAAAAAATAGAGGTACAACTATTATCAACTACCATGTTGTCTCAGCTACTCTCTCCTTTAAAACTAAAATCACCTTCTATTAAATCAATATCAACAACAACAACAACATCACTATCATCAACATTATTCACAAACCAATTATCATTATCGTCATCTCAACCACCTTTGACTCTATCCTATCAACTCAACGCCCAACAACAACTCAAAGATCACCATCATCGATGGTTCTCTACATCAAATAGAAATAGTACATTTGATGATAATATCTGTTTGGTTCAAGTGAATAACCATTCTATTACAACATCACTGCCAGCGATAGATCAAATAGATAAATGTGTTAACCCATTCAAGAATAACCCAAGTAAGTATAAGATTACATAATCATCAACATTATCTATGTCTTCCCTTTCTAACACCTCCTCTCTTTTCCTTCCCAACTAGTTGTATTCTCTGACACTAAACAAGATGATATCATTGATTGGTTTATCAATACTTATGGTATGCCAAAGTCATCATCACCATCTAAACTCGTTGATACCACTATGCCTCTCAGAGGAAGAGATTTTGTGCTTGAATGGGTATATGAATCTGTCATGGAAACCTATACTACTGCCAACCATGAGACGGGTCCCAGACAACCAATTTTAATTTCAGGAGCATCTGGTATCGGTAAGACTAGACTAATGGAATCTATTGGTGATTACATCTCAACCAGAGATGATAGTCCTCTTCCAAAACACCATCTAGATTTGTCAATATCATTTGGTAGTCGTACACCCTATTGTCCATCACTAGACAGTGATCCCAGTCTATCAATTTGCTCCAGAATACTTTATCGTTACTTTGTTGAAGGATCTGGTGTCTCATTCCAATCGTTTGTTGAAACAATCAAAAGTTGTATTGATCTGACAGAAATGACAGCATCAAGTTGCTTTTCAATGATCAAAAGACATATGGTCCGTACAAATCAAATTAAAGAGGATCTGAAAATGTTAGTCAACTTTGGTATTGATGATGTTCAACATACAATCAACGAGACTACTCAAAATCCATACGAAAGATCATCAACCCTCAAAGATATGGTCAAATCTACAGACAATCTATTAAATAGAGACCAATTTAGTCCCATATTTTACAATGTCGTAATGACTGGATCGATATTGGATGATGATTTACAATCGGCTGTTCGCCAAACATCATCTGACTATAGTGTTCCTATATCCAACACTCTCAACCAAGAAGAGTATATGGATATTGCAAGGAAAATGATTGGCAAGGACAAATCCAATCTACCTCAAGTAAAAAGAGCATTAAAGTTTATGGGTGGATGGCCAAGTGCTCTCGATATTTTTTTCAAATCAATTCCCAGTGACTTGGATGCTCTCAATACCTCGCAGTTGTTAGAACTATGTGATGGTCCATTGAACAAACTGTACCCAAATCAAATGGATCAAACAATGACTGATATCATTGCATACTCTATTGCTGGTATTGAAATGCTCTATCCAAACTATACACATAATGCCAAATCACCACCATTTGAAGACATCCAACCCTTTTGCTGCTACACATTCTCTCAAGTTTACTCGATGATTTCCGTTCCACTCAACTTTATCAGAAGACATTTAAATACATTTGATGGAAACCCAAACCGTCCAGCATTTATGTCACCACTTGGAAAAGTCATTAAACTATTAGAGACTGAAGATATGAATGATAGATCGTGGCAAGAACTGAATCAACATTTTTTATCAAGCAAACTCTTAGCCATCAAAGAGGTCGAATTGGAAGATATCACACTGAAAGATATCTATGGTGATGCAGTCTATTTCCCTCCAACCATTAAAGATATGGATTATGATACTCGATATGGTGATTATGTTTGTCTTGGAGAGTCAAAACTTTTAAAAGGTAAAGACCCCAAGTTTACAATAAACCATTTCAGAGGTGTATTGGAAAACATTCAAAAAGTAGCCACTAAAATGGGAAAGAGTAAATATATAGTTGTAGTCTATACAAATGGATACATCACTCAAACATCAATGAATGAGTTCCAAAAAGTAGTTGGAAACCAAAAAGCTATAATAATTTGTCAAGGTGTCAAAAACAAAGATGATCAAGTACTTCGAACAGCTAAATCTTTCTATTCTCCTTTTCCAGACTTTATCTAAATAGATTCTACACATTATTTTATTTCAATAAATTAGAGAAATTTAAAAATACAATTAGTCTTATCCATCTTTCAATCCGATATCAATTTGATTTCATTGAAAAAAAAATCGAGATTTTTTTAACAAAAGTAGTTAGATAAGAGTGAGACTCTTTGAAAGTCCATCATTTTATCTATCTTTCTATACTTACCTACTTAGATATATATATATAGTTAACAATGCAAGTAAGTGTAACAGTTTAGATACTATAGATAGATAGCAACACCATAGTTAAGTTACTCACTCATATCTTATTCTTTCTAGAACTTTGCCGAAAAGGAAGAATACAAGAACTACTTGGAAAAGAGTGGTGTTATCGATGCTTTAACAAAGGGTTGGTGTTTAAATCATTTTAAAAGAATAAGATTAGTCATGATAGATAGAGTAGATCAAGTTATTAACATTGATTGATTGATTAAAAAACAAACAAACACTATAGTACTCGTAGGTTTATATGAAGAGACTGAAAAGCCATCAGATGCTTTAGAATTCATCAAGAAACATTTGGGTAACTCTTTGGGTATCGATGTTGAAGCTTTGAAGCAAGAAAATGTTGAATTAAAGGCTGAAGTCGTTGCTTTGACTCAACGTGTTGAAGATCTTTCAAAAAAGGTAAGCAACAACAATCTGAACCTCCATCATCATCATCATTTAGATAGTAGTAGTAGTAGGAATAACAACTATTAACACAATTCAATTCTTTCATATATATATATATAGCTTGAAGCAGCTCAAAAAGCAACAATCTAATTCTATAAATGCTTTCGAAATCACTTTTAAACTCATCATCTTTTATTCATAACATGTCACCACAACCAACAACAACAACAACAACAACAATAATCAATATATAAATATCTACTACGACCAAAAAGAAAGACTAAGAACGAGAAATGGAATGGGAATGGGAATGGAGATGATAATAATCAACAATATTACATACATATATATAAATATCTATCTATCTATCTATTTTAAATCAAACATTGTTTAATCAATGAATTCACCATGTATCATAATTAACAACGACACAAGTAATAATAATAATAAAACAAAAACATCAAATATAAATACATAAATATATATTATTATTATTATTATTATTATATTTTAATTATTATTGTCTAATATTTAAAGTTTTGGAAATGAAACTGGAAGTAAAGTTTTACTTTCCATGTTATCGAGAAGTGGCATAGTGTCGGTAACAGTTTGTCTCCAAGTATCATTCTTTAAAGCTTCATCTCTAACATTGGTACGATGTTCAAAGTTATCATATGGCCATAGATGAACTAAAACATTGAGTTTACCAACTTCACTAAAGAATACTCCACTTGGTGATGAATATTTACTTCTTTCTCCAAATCCTTTTTGGAATGTTTCTGACCCTAAACACGACGACGACACATATAGTAAAATGTTCATTAATATCAATAATATATCTATCTATCATTCATTATTTATATTTCCTGGATGATATATACATTTTCCAACCAAACCAGGTTTAGTTTGATAAGTTCTTAATTCCCAAACTTGTTTGTTTTCAAAATGATCTTGTGGAAGGTTGAGTTTACTCCATGGGAATTGTTTTAAAATGATCGACTCTGGAGTGATGATCATTGGACGAGCTTGTTTCAAGTATTGAGTCCATTCCTTGTCACTGTCCAATTGCTTACGAATAGCAGCACGTTTATCCAAACTTTCAAACTCCCACAATTGAACAAATTGGTTAGTTGGACCCAACTCTGACACCCAAGCACCACGTAACTTTGCATCATACTTTGTCTTGTGCTGCATGTTCTCTTTGGTCAATGCAACAAACTCTGACAATTGCTCTGGTTTGATACTGTAGGTACGTAATTCAAACACATGATTCTTGTCTGCTACAATGTTGTTTGGTCCTCCTCCAAAGTATATCTTTGGTGATGATGAAGCAGTTGAATACAATGATGACATTGTTCTCTTTGTCAATTGACTAACCAACGTTGTTTTACTTATAAACATTTGTGGTTATGATGATTGGGTGTATCGTTGTATGTGTGTGGGGGGTCAACGATGAAATAGAATCGACTTGATTGGTGAATATTGGGGTCGACCATCCAATACAAAAAAAAAAAAAAAAAAAAAAGAGGTGGTTTCTTTGATGAAAGTTTAAAAAAGCTTTAAATTTAAATTGTTGTATTCCTTTCATTTATTTATTTATTTATCTATCTACTTGCCTGTATATATCCTCATTCAGTATCATATCATTTAAAAATGGACTCTACAAATCAAATTAATCTTGCTTTAGGTAATACCCTTCTCTCTTAATCATCATCATCGTCATCATCATGATATAACCAATAATCAATACAATAATAAGAATAGTAACAAAGAATTAGAAATGATGGATTTCAAATCAAACTACAAATATAATGGACATACTCTATAGAAAAGATATTCTATATCTCTCTCTCTCTTTTTTTCTCTCTTTTTCTTAATGATGTAGCTACATAATAGACCTTTCAAATCAAAGATGGTAATTTGATATTGAACATTTGTTCTAGACAAAGCTCTATTTCATCTAGAATGTGATGATGATGATCAAATTTGGTAGTATCATTGGTCATATGATGTATTCTTCTTGCACTAGTAGTGGTTTGTTACCCCCCATCTTTACATTTTCTTCTCATACAAACAAACAAACTTCACATATGGTTTGGTCATCCCTCTACAACGAGGATATTGTATAGATATAGATATAGATACCTTTTCAATATCTATACCCAACACCTTTTGAAAATTGAATCTTTCTATAGATTGATGGTTATTTATAATCAAAGTCAAATTTACACATCAACATTGAATCAAACACAAACAACAACATCCTCAACAACAATAATTAATAATCATAATCAACAACAACAACAACAATAATAATAATAACAATAATAATAATAATGTACCTTTCAAATGTATCTATGTATTAATTCAATTTTTATCTGTTTTATTACACACCAACCCCTCAATAACACCAACCACACACACACAAAAAATAATTGATAATAATATTATAATCAATCTCGAAATATTAGATGACATTATCAAGAATGCCAAGAAGAATGTGAGTATAATCAATCATGACCAAGATTATTTCTACATATAACTAATAATAATATTATTCCTTTTTTAAAGAAAAAAATTGCTCAAAAGAAAACTGGTCCAACTAGCAGACTTGGACGCAAGCCAGCCTTAAGAAAGGCTGGAGGAGGTTCAAATACCACTACCACCACTACATCAAATACCAACGCTGCAAAGAAAAAGGTTAACCTTACTCCTGTCAAGAAAGCACCAACCGCTACCAAATTCATCAGTCCAGATAAAATCAAGATCCAAATCCAAAAGTATGTTTACACAACTTTCAATAACCCCTCGAAAACATACCAATTTATTTACCACAACATTTAATTATTATTATTATTATTAGTAACAAGGCTAGCACTGGTGGTGGAAGAAAACCTATTACTTCCTCTGTAACTGCCCGTCAATCACCAAAGAAAATAATTGCAGCCAAGAAACCAACAACAGGTCGTATTGTTGAAGTTGTAAAGGTAGGAGGAGGTGGTAGAAGAGTTGGTGGCAGTGGTGCTGGAGCACAAAGAGGTGGAAAACGTGGTGGGGCATCAAGAGGTGGACAACAAACTGGAGATGGTCGTGGATTGACCCTTAGTGATAGATTCTCAAGATAAAACATATATATCCAGTCTCCCAACTCCAAATGGATTAATTCCAACAAACACCATCCAACCAGGAAGAAAAAAAGAAAGAACAAACCAATCAACCAACCAAAGACGCCAGTTATTTAAATAAATTGTAAACTTATTATACACCCCCAATTCATCATCTAATGATTATTATTCATCATATCATATTATTAATATAATCTGAACCAATTATTAGTACTACTTTCGTCATCTTTCTTTTTAGAAATAAGTTTGATTACTTTTAGTTGTTGTATACTTTTATATAATATTTAAAAGATGCTTTTAACCCCTTTTATTCAAATTTAGTTGGAGTCAGAGGATGAAGATTGGACTGGGAACTCAAAGACGACTTCCTTACCAGTCAAACGGTGGTATACAGCAGTGAAGGAGTCAAGCTTGTGTTCGGTGAGAGTCATTTCCTTACGGTCAAGGTAGATCTTGTGCAACTTGCTACCGTCTTGTCTGTATCTCAATCTACGACCAACGATGTTATTTGGGAAAACGAGGTCTTCCAAGATAGCGTCATGGACGGCCTTGACAGTACGGGAACGTGGGATCTTTTGTTGCTTGACTGGACGAGCAGCGGTAGCCTTGTGGAGGACTCTACGTTGGGCGATGAACATAACGGTCTTACCACCGAACTTCTTTTCCAATTCCCAAACCAACTTTTGTTGGATCTAAAAAAATATGAATGATGATGAGGGGAGTGATGGGGGATGATTAGATATTTGCTCTTCTTCTATTATTCCTTTCTATCTATCTATTTCAATTCATACCTTGTTGTAGGCCTTGAGTTGACGGTATGGAACGAAGACGACGACAGCCTTCTTTCCGTCAGAGACATCGTAGTCCTTGGCAGCGACGATGCTGAGGTCCTTCAAGTCCTTGAAGTCACTGCTGTTGTTTTCCAAGTCCAAGAGGGCTTGAGCAACAGTGTTCTCAAATTCGGTAATTTGCTTACCGTTGGCCTTAACGATCTTCTTGTTGGTAGTTAACATTTTCCTGTAGTAGATAGATGTAGTATTGTATGTTGTAGATGGATGAAATGGTTAGTGTCTCTTTTCAATCTCTGTGTGGCTACTGTGCTTCTGTAAAGTTATAGAGTATCACATACAACTAGTCCTCTAAGCGCTGGGTGACAAAAAAGGGTCTTCTCAATGTAGGGATGACCGCGACAAAGCCAGCTGCAACACGTCTCTGCGAAACTCTATCGAAAAAAAAAGCAAAAATATTTATTAATCAAAAATTCAAAACAAACTCGAAATTTTTTGCCTTGTGTGGTGCGTGACAATGAGGGAGGGAAGATTTTCACAGGGATGGTGAAGTTGAGCTAGCTAGTTTTATCATTAATGATTATATTGATTCTTATTTTATAAATTATATATATTTTAATCATCATCATTCACTTACTCTATTGAAAAGAGTAGTATAATTGTATCATCATCTATATTTGTAAATTATATATATAAAAAGACAAAGTCAATCATTCTTTTGGATTAGTATTAGCTATTAGAGATAGAAGAAATGAGTAGAAACCAAGTAGAGTTTTCAAATCAACCTGTCGTTATCGATAATGTATGTTGTTAAGAGATATGTGAGTAATTATGGTATAAACACTCCACTAACACCTTTTGAATAATCAAATTACATTTAACTTGTATTTAGGGTTCAGGTTTCATTAAAGCAGGTTTTGCAGGACAAGATCAACCTTCTTCTATATTTTCATCATTGTAAGAAGGAGAAGAACAAAGAGGAGATTTGTTTTTTAAAAAAAGATGAACTAATGATAATAATTAATATCTTTTATACTTTTTGTATAGGATTGGTCACCCAAAGTATAAAAAGGTGATGGGATCAAATGTAGATGGGGATTCATCATTTTTCGTTGGAGACAAGGTCACAGAGATGAGAGGAGTATTAAAATTGAGACATCCAATGGATCATGGTGTTGTAATGAATTGGGAGAATATGGAACGTATTTGGAATCATACATATGAATTGTTAAAGATTCAATCATCTGAAGTATGGATAAAACACACATTATTAAAATAGATATCAAATTCTAATCTTTATTTTCTATTATTATTATTATTAGCATCCAGTATTAGTTACAGATGTACCACATAATCCAAGATTACATAGAGAAAGAGCAGCAGAATTATTCTTTGAAACCTATAATACACCTGCTTTATATTTCTCGATACCAGCAGTACTCAGTCTATATGCAAGTGGTCGTACTACTGGTGTGGTTTTAGATTCTGGTGATGGTGTTACTCACACTGTTCCAGTGTTTGAAGGTTTTGCCTTGCCACACGCCATCACACGTATAGATATAGGAGGTAGAGATATTACCAATCATTTGCAATACCTACTAAGAAGAGCAGGTTACAACTTTAGAACAAGTGCCGAGCTCGAAGTGGTTCGTATCATAAAGGAAAAGAACTGTTATGTTGCATTTGATCCTGCCAAAGAGGAAGAGTTGTTGGAACCAGAGGCCGGCACTAGTCGTCCCGTTCAAACAACATACACATTGCCCGATGGCCAAACTATCGATTTGGGTGCCGAAAAGTTCCGTGCACCAGAACTTTTATTCCATCCAGACATTATTGGCGACGAATCACCAGGTATTCATCAATGTCTTGACACTTCAATCAGAAAGAGTGATATGGATCTTAGAAAGACTTTGTACTCTAATATTATCCTAGGTGGTGGCTCTACTCTGTTCCACGGATTTGGTGAACGTCTTCTCAACGAAGTCAAGAAATTGGCGCCCAAAGACGTTAAAATCAAAATCTCGGCTCCTCTTGAAAGAAAATATTCTGCTTGGATTGGTGGTTCTATCATGGCTTCCTTGTCGACATTCAAAGATTTATGGGTTACTCATCAAGAATATGAAGAAGAGGGTGCTGCTATTTTACATAGAAAGATTCTTTAAAAGACAATGACATAAATATTTATTTTACACACAATAAAAGAAAAAGGATTTAAATATTTAACTATTTAAAGTTTCAGTGATTGTTCTTTGACCTCTTTGTGGAGGTCTAACTCTATGAATATAAATAAATGGACTTGGTGTAATTGAACTAAAATAATAAAAAGTGTTAATATAAGTTTGTTTTGTTTTGTTTGTTTTTTTGTTCTATTTACTTTAAAGATAAAGGAGTGACAAAAATAAATTGTCTTGTTGGAGTTTGCCTTGCTTTTGATAGAAGGAGTTCAATACTGATACGTCTATTGACTTCATCCATGAAAACATCAAATTCATCCATAGCTCTAAAGGGACATTCCATAGCTTCCCAAAGTGACAAGAGAAGGGCAACCGTAGAGAATGAACGTTCACCACCCGACAGTGATTTAGTGTCACCTTTGCCTGTTACATTTTCAGATGGACGCATTTTATCCAATTGTACACTGACCTCGAGTTTTTTATCCTCGTGATCAAAATCTATCTTGCCAGAGTAACCCTTTCTTGAAAGGAAGATGTTAAAGTATTGAGAGACACGAAGTGAGATCTTTCTCTGGAACTTGACCCAATTTTTTTGACGAAAGTTGAGATGAATCTTTAGTTTGTTGTTGAATTTTGTCATTTCATCACGTGTTCTTAAAATCTCTACCAGTTTGTCACGACATTCCTTGAAATGGACGTGAACCTCTGCACGACTTCTTTTACCCTTGCTCTCTTTTCTAATGAGTTCCTCTGTCTTTTGAATCTTTTGAGACAATGTAGAAGGGTTTTCATTTGCTGCAACCTCGACACGATCACAAAATTCCTGAGCCTTTTGCATAGATTCTTGGTGGAGAAGTTGATCGTTTGTGAGTTCGTCTTCCAAATGCAACTTTTTCTTGTCATATTCTCCAACGTTGCTAATGACTTTACCTTCTTTCATACGAAGATCACGCTCCGAACGAGAGAGATTCTTGATCTCATTGTCGAGTTTACCAACGATTCTTTGAATTTTATCGGCTTCATGATCAATTTGACGCATCTGTTCGACAAACGGTCTTTTAGAATCGTCAAACTTTTGGCGATCATGTTCGATTGATTGTAACTCTTGTTGGATCTCTTCCATTTCCTTGTTGATCGTTTCCATACCCTGTTCGAGTTCATCGGTTGGTTCGTCGGTTGGTTCTACCAATTGTTCTTCGAGTGTTTTGAGATCAGTCTTGACACGGTAGAGTTCACGAGTCAATCTTTGGTATTCTTGATCCTTTTGTTTGAATGCCTGTTGGAATGCACTATCCTTTTGAGCGGCATCTCTTTCTTCTCTTTCACATTGGTCGATTTGTGGTCTGTATCCTTTGATTTGTCCATCGAGTTCGCGTACCAATTGTTCGACACTGGCACGAAGAATTTGTGATCTACCAGAACTGTCACCAGTAGTCAATTTTTGAGAGTCTCTAGAACCAAAGATTCTATCTGCGATTGGGGTGTAGGCCTCCCTGATAATATGTGGTTTTTGACCATAAATGATATTCTTTCCTTCCTCTACATTATTAACCAAAACATATGTTTCAAGTCCTCTTGTATCGATGAGATAATTTCTAACAATGACATTATCACATTGAATGGCACGGAGAACGGTATGATATGATGGATCGAGTCTGTCATGTTCGGCTGTTTTGTAGGGTTCAACATTGTTCATCTTGACGACAGTGTAGTCAAGGTTGTGAATACCAACCGACTTGGCCATTTCAAAGAGGAGGTTGCCATCTTTGTAACTTCCAACCAAAAAACTACCAAGTAGACCTCTTTTAATGATCGACTCTATAGCATATGACCATCTTTCATCGTTGATCTTGATCATTGTGCCGAGTGGTCCAATGGGTTGCACAGAGAACTTTCGAGAATTATCTTGAATTTTCTTTACCAAAGTAGGGAATCTATCACCATAGATACGAAGGTTATCAGTCAATGCACTCTTGAGTTGTATCAATTGTTTTTCGAGCTTGCTGACTTGGTTTTGTACATTGGAGACTGCCATTTGCTTTTCTTGACGTATCGATTGCAATTTTTGACCCTCTGTCTTGATTTCAGATATCTCTTGTGTGATGATGGTTGATTTTTTTTCCAATTCCTCCAATTGTTGACGTTTACGATCGACATCACTCTGTTTACTCTGATTACGACGTTGAGCTTCATTTTTTCTCTTGATTTCTTGAATGGATCGATGTTGATTTTCTCTACGTTGTTTGAGATGATTCATACGCTTTCTCTTGTCGTCTGATCTTGCAACAAATCTACTTTCCTCTTTTGCAACTTCCAATAATTGAACTTCGACCTGTTGTTTCTCTTCTTGCTTTTTTGAAATCTCTGAAGAAAGTTCTTCAATCTTTTTTCTTTTATCGGCCATGTCATTGGTGATTGCATTGATCTGTTGCCCAATACCTTGCGTTTCATTTTGGATATTATTCTTTTCTTGAATGATTTGGGCGAGTGCAGCCTTTTTTTTGACAATAGTTTGTTCAACACCAAACACATAGGACCATGCCAATTGCTCTTTCAAGTGTTGAACCTTTTGTTCCAAATCAACAACAGCTTGTAAATCTTTAAACTCTTTACTCAATGCTTCAACTTTCTTTTCCATCTCTTTAATAATGATTCCTTTTTTATCCAATTCTTGTTCTGATCCTTTGATTTGATCATTTATAAATAAATAATCTTTTTTCATTTGATCTAATTGTGTTGCTGTTAAAAATAACTAAAAACAAAAACATAAAAAGTATATATAAGTAACAAGTAAATCAAAATATTTTGGTTCCCTTTTACATACATTATATTTATCTTGAGGTCTTGAAGTATTTAAAAATTCTCTACTTGTATCTTGCATTAAAATGGCCATAGGGTTTTCAATTTGAATGTTGAACAATTCCAAAATGACAGCTAGATCTGAAAACTTTGTAGAGATTACTTTTTTACCTGTATGATCCTTTAATTTATAACCCCCACCACCAGATCTACTAATCTTTCTTTCTATAATAATCGATGGTCCAAATTCTTCTGGTAAATGTGCTTCTGGTCCCTTATTTCTTAACTTTACTGTAATGATTGCTTGACTAAAGAAAGATGAATATATAAAAATTAGAAATGAATGACTTTTATACTACTACTACTGCTCTTATGATATATCATACTTTGCATCATTTTTAACCAAATCAGCCAATTTATGGCCACGATTAGTGGTACCAGACTTTGCACCTAAACAAATGATCAATGCCACCAATAGAGCACTCTTTCCACTACCATTTTCTCCACTGATAAAGTTAACATTGGGACCAAACTTTATTTCAAAATGACGATGACACATGAAATTCTCTACCGATATACTTTCAATGATACCCAACTCTGATTCACCTGCAACTCCATCTTCATCTTCATCCATCTCTTCATCTTCTGATTCTGAAGAATCTACACTCTTTGTCCTATGTCCATTTCCATTGGTACTGTGACCGTTTCCATTATGTACTGCTTTTGTTGCTCTTGCTGTTGTTGACGAAGATTGTGGTTGTGAATCTTCAAACTCTTCATCTGAATCTTCTTCTTGTTGAACTATTCTTCTTTGTTGTTGTTGTTGTTGTTGTTGTTGTGTTTTTATTCTCTTTATATCTTGAGAAACAATGATTTCATCGTCATCACTTTCCTCTTCTACTTCTTTTCTTTTACCAACCATCTCTCTCTCTAGATAAATCTATATGTAAAGTTTAGTTTACACACAAAGAGGGAGAGATATAAATATATATAACAACACTAAAGTATTTCTACTATTATTATTTATACTGTTGTTGGGTTTATTATTGGTTGTTATTTTACACCCCCTATCTTTATCTATTTTATTTGTTACACAAAAAATACTATGAACTAGCATGCGAGTAGTGAGTTGGCGCCTCTTTTTTTTTCGAAATATGTCTGTGCGAAAAAATAGATTATTTTTCCTTTTTCTCTCTAACGGTTAAATCAATATATATTTATAGTGCGCATATATATATTAATGGAAGCCAATTTAAACGATGAACTGTTATTACAGTTTTATGATGAATCATTACAATACTTTAAGAAACATAGTTTGGAGACACACCAAACTTTAGATAATTTATATGAAGAATGTCATGTTGTAAGCAAGAAGAAGAAAGATAGAATAGATCGATAGACTAGTCCATCTATTAGATTATTAACGACGATACATGTTGACATGTTAACAGAGCAAAGGAATACAACAACGATCATCTATTATTAGTTTTATCAAGAACACCAATTTTCAAGACACAGTTGGTTTGCTGGCAGAAATAGAGTTTATACTATCGGAAATACAAAATAGATTAGATAATATTCCTACTTTTGAAAAAGAGGTATGAATTCAATCTAATAATAGATTCATAAACACTATAATGATGATGATGATGATTATTTTTTAACCAAGTTCTTCAAGTTTATTACACATTTGGACAATAAAGATCATGAATACGATGATGTAGTAGAACAGGTCAATAAGATTACCAAAAAAATAGTTATAGAATTAGAATTGATAAAGAAAGAATGTCATAATGTAAGTAAATAATAAATAATTAATCAATTCATTAAATTAAATTAAATTAAATTAATAATATTAATATTAAATTATTCCCTTAAAGTGTAAAGAGATACTGGAAAAAAAGAAAAGAGAGCAAAGACTTGCAAATTCAAGAGATAGATCCCCTTTATCCTATTTTATTTATATTATATTTCCACTCTTTTCTTTCCTGGTCTATTATTTCTATAGTAGTGGTACATATTCCAGTACTTCTACTTCTACTCAGATGTCGGGGTAGAATAGAATTGGTGTGGTGTGTTCAAAAACGACATCAAAACCAAAATAGTACAATGAACGCGATGTCACTACTACTTCACACACACACACACAATCAAAGTAATAAAAAGAAAAAAGATATCTTTTTTTAAAAGGTGAAGCCGAAGAGCAGGAACTGGAACTGGAAAATAATCGTCGATAATGGGGCAACACATTGAGTATTGGGGTGAATTGTCAAATGACGTCGTTCAGTGATACCCCACCAACCAACCGATTGGATTGTATCCATTCATCTGTTTAATGCAAAGATGATATCAGTTCTTGGTTGGTTTCATACTGTCTCTGTCGGTGTCTCCCCACCAATAAGTAGAAACTTGAATAATAGTATCAAATCAATCTTCGTTCGGTCGTCATTAAAAGTTAGAACAATAACAAGTTATCTTTAAAGTATTTTTAGTGTGAGTAAAGAAGCTCATTCTTTTTTTTTTTTGGATCTTGGCATTGAATCTATCATTATCGCCAACCACTTCCAAAAACAGATTTTTTTACAACCGACCAACGAAATTTGATTGAGTGTTTTTCAAGTTTTTGCCAACTGAACACTGAATATTCGCCAGGGCTCTCCTAACCGATTGACTTTGCTGTTCTGTTTCAACCTCATAGGTGCCTACCAAAAGATATGTCGAGCGATAGAGAGAGCAGTTTCCAGATCCAAAAGATTGAAGATACCTTATCGTCCAATGAAAACAAGCTTGTAAGATAAATCTGTGGCTCATGGTACCATCCCTAATCACTGTTCTCTTTTATCAAAAGTATATAAGACTCCTCAAGCAAACAACTTTTAATTAATTCATTTACAACTTCACACTATTTCAAGTTAATCTTTTTATCTTTACTACTACTATATAATAATAATCTTAGGCACCACCCAACAATTTTTCTAAAATTACCAACAATCAACCAATTTTTTTGTAATTATAGATTGCAATCGTCGATAAAAATCTACACAATCCCCCCACAAACAACACTACTCAACAACGCCCTACTGTATTTTCAAGATATTTTTATGTACAAGAGACATCAACAACAACAAACCTTTTAGTTCTCCATCTCCCAATCACAAAGGTAATTTAAAAAATCTAAAATTACCCTCCAATAGAATCACTTTTCCTTATCGCTTATTCATTATAGTAGCAGTACTAGTAGTATCTTAATTATTATTATATTCGAATTATATTAAAAGTATCCAAACCAAACCAACCAGTTCCTTCCTACATAAAACCTTTTTTTTTTGAATGATCATTTCTTTTAATATCAATCAATCATAGTTGTAATCTTTTAACAAAAAAAATATCAAAACTGTAAATACACACACATATATCTATCTATCAACTAAATACAACAACATAATAATAATCAAATTTACTTATATCTTTTTTTTTTTTTTCTTCCTTTTTCTTTTTTTGTTTTAGCCTCTTTGTAAAATATTATTATTATTTTTCCCATCTATCCGTTACCTCTTTTACGCCGCCGCATTCATTCTAGTTCTAGTTACCACCAACCACGACAAGTACTAGTCTAGATTTTTTTTCCCGATTCACAAAACAACTAGGATTTCACAAAGGTATGTTTTCAACTCAAACATCTGCAAACACAACGTGCCGTTTCAAACCGAATTGTCGTGACTTTAAAAAATTTGTTTACAAGATCTCATCGCACCCCCTATTTCTTTTGTGTTTCATTGTTGCCAACAATCTTAGTGATCCGATGCACCCCATTGTGTGCGTACGACACCATTGTTTTGTTGTCCGTCACACAGAAAGCGGAGTATTGTTTTTTGTTCAAATCTCATCATGCTGCTTGTTGGTAAGTTTTTTTTTTTTTTTTTGTCGGTTGCCTCGCCATTCTCAAGTTTTTTACGAGCTTGGTTAGATTTTTTAATTTTTTTTTAGCAACCCTCGCCCTCATCGTGGTCGGGTTGGCCGACTTTTTTTTGTTTTTTTTTTTTTCTCGATCTCCACCCACACACGATCCAATCAAAGGGCAACCCCACACACAGCAAGATTCATCAACTGCTGCAAACCTACTTTCCCTATTGCTCTTTTGTGACGGTTCTCTCTCTCTTGCTCCTCGTTGCATAAGTGTTTCGAGTGGCAAATGCATCCATCGTTTGTTGATCTCAAGGCTAACAATAGGTGGTGATGAAACCTTCTCTTTGCCAAACCGAAGAAGGTTTCACCCACAGGATTTTTCGCTCAGACACATTTTGCAGGTTGACTCTTTTTTTCTTTCTCCTTCTCCCTCTGCCCCACCCCCCCTACACCCGCACTATCTTTTAAATTTTTTGGCTCTTGCCCACCTCCGGCAAAATATCCCACTGCAAGACTTGCTGTATTGCATCATTTATTTTAGTTGTTGCATCCAACAAGATAGATATTTCCCCTTTGCCCTTGGTCTTGCTTTATTTATTTTTTGTTCCAATCAAATATTTATTTTATTAGTTAGTTTGTTGTCATATAACAATACAAATATTTATCTTATTATTTGTTATCTCTTTAATTGTCCAGCCCTCCCCCACATACAATCCAACCAACCAAACTCAAACAAACAAATCAACTTTTAAATTCTTTTTTTAACAAAAGCAACCAACAAACAAAATCACCTGATACATTTTTCTCCTATATATATATATGTTTTACTAATCTCCAAATAACTATTTATCAATTACCTCCCTGTCAAACAGCTTAATTACAAGCTTTTTTTTTTTCCCCAACACCCCCCTTTTCAATAGTCGAATCACAGTCAGATATACTGAGAATATCAAAATAATAACAGTCTTCGTATTTTTCCGCCCCACCCCAAACAACCAATCAAATATAATATATACACACATTAAAAATGTCCAACGAACATCAACAAGCTCAACAACCATCCGTCGCTGTTGTACAACAACAACAACAACAACAAGCTCAACAAGTTCAACAACAACAAGCTCAACAACAAGCCCAACAACAAGTTCAACAATCTGCAAGATCACATGGATACCAAAGAATGTTCAAGAGATTGCTCCAAACCCGTTCACTCCAACAAAAGCCACTCATTCCAGAAAGAATCGTCGCCTCTTACAAGGTCTATGGTTGGTTAATCCAACATGACCCAGCATACGAATCGACAGCCTTCCGTCGTGAAGTACTTGTTGCCATTGACGAGATCTTTGATATTGTTTTGGCCATTTTGGAGATGATGAAGTGCTCATCAAATCTATTGGTTCCAATCATTATCTATGCCGACAAGTTTGTAAATAGAAGTGGTATTAAACATAATCAACTTTTTAATTTATTGTTAACAAGGTATGTAAAAGAAATAAGTAAAAAAAAAAAGTAGTAAATAATAATAATTTATTAATTTTTCTTTTTCTTTTTTTTTTTTTTTCTCTTTTCTCTAGCACTGTTGTTACACTTAAATTCTGGTCTGAATCAACTCAAGTAAATAATGCCATTATTGCAGAGATTTTCAACTTTTCATTAAAGGATATGAATTTAATGGAGAGAAGATTCCTCATTGGCGTTGATTACAACCTCTGTTTGACCAGCGAGACTGTTACCATGTACCTTTTACAACTCTATGAAAACCAACAAATCTTTTTGTCCTCTTTCAAACACCCATTCGACAACCCACCACAACTTGTTCGCAAGCCATTCGAATTGATCCAATTCCAACACCACCAACAACTCTTGCTCCAAGAGAGACTTTACCAACAACAATCCCAATCTCAACAATCATCACCACAGGCCTCACCATCATCCTCCCAGGAATCCTCACCTCAACAATCTGTTTTCTACACCACCACCAATCAACCATCACCAGCCGTATATACTGCTGTTCAACAATATGCCTCTCAACAAATCTACATGCCAAACCAAATGGTTTCACCAATGTGTTGATCATCCTTTTTTTCCAAACATATATATTCATATACTCTCAAACACCATATACCCACCCCCCTTTTTTTTTCTTTTCCCAAAAGACCTCATTTCCATTTTAATGGTTTCAAAAATAGGTACTTTGACTATTACAACAACAACAACAACAACAAACAACATAATTGTAAACAAGTAAATAATAATAGTAAATAATAACAAACAAACAAACAACATATAACATTTTTTAAAACAATCAAAAACCAACATGTTTCACATAATAGTCAAATCTACTACTATATATACCTACCATTCAAAACACGGTTGTGGCTAGTACAATATATACATAATATATTATATAGAACAATTCCAGTTTTTTTTTCCCCGCCCTCACCCTCAAACCAACATCAATCAACCAACCAACCAAATCAAATCATACATATATATATAACGAACCAATTGGATAACATTCACGAAATGGTTTTTACCATTTTTTTCCCTCTCCAACAACAATAATATCTTATTTTTTTTTTCAACCAAAATTTGTTATCATATAAAGTAACATTATATGTAACGCGGATCTTCTTCACCAACCTTACCTACTCCCCTCCTTCCCCCCAATATTTAAATACCTCTAATCATATTGCCAATTAAAGTAATATACATGTATTTGTGTATAGTTAAAAATTTTAAATAAATAAAATTCAATTTTCAAAAAAAATATATATAACAATACTTTAGTATTTGTATTTGTATAAAGACTTTAGTTAAATTGATTGTAATATGACTTGTTTTTATTTATCTTGAAACAAAGGCCTTAATTTTTAATATTATATTGGAAACCATTGATGGCATCCATGGCTTTCTTGTCAACTCTTCAACACGATTACCATATTCATTCCAAATGAGTTGACTCAAGTTATTGGTATTATATCTTAATTTTAGGAATTTATAATAAACAAAGATTATAATGATTGATGATCCTCTATATTGAATTGGATAAATAAATAAATAGGAAGGAATAGAATATTAGTATCCAAGATAGATTTTAAATTACTTATATTTTATATATATATATGACATACCCAGTAAATAAACCAAAAATTAAACCAAGCATAATCATTGCTTCAGTTGAAACAGCCAATTGAATTGCAGTTTGTTTCTTGGTTTGAGCAAGATCGAGATACTTTAGTACGAATGGGATTCGAATGTATGGACGAGCAATTGGAACAATATGAAAGAAAGAGTAGATAAGGTTTGGTGCAAGGTTTACTATTGAAGGTTGTCCACTTAGGATATAGAATATCAAACAAAATCCAAGAAAGTGTGTATTCTCATTCTTTAATATAACATCAATTTGTGATCTATTGAATCTTCCCTATTGAATTGGAAAGAAATAAAGAATGATTAGTCAAATTTGGATTATATATAATTGAAACAATGATGACGATGATGATGATGGACATTGTTAATTACATACCTCAAATGTTTGAAATAATGGGATGGAGTAACCGATAATACCAGCCAAGAATGCTCTATAATAAAATACTGGTCTACCAAGTATAAGGAATGCCAAACTAAATACAAATGTTGATATTTGAGCAACTACCCATGCAATGTAAAGTATTTTTGTAAACTTTGATTGTGTTGCTGGTGGTGGTGGTGGTGCAGATGCTGATGGTGCTGGTGATGGTCTGCTACTGTTAGAGTTTGTATTTTGTCTTGTTGATGAAGTATTTGATGATGAGGATGAAGAAGTAGTACTTGGTCTTTGTGAAGTAGATGATGAATTAGATGTAGATGAAGAAGAAGAAGAAGAAGAAGAAGATTTCTTAAACTCTTTGATAATGTAATCACTATCAACATTATTCTTGTAGTATTTTTGTTTAAATTTAAATAAAATAGCATCACTATCTGCATTAACAGGGATGAGTAAGTTATTTAAATAACTTTTCCATCCTTGATCATTTTCCCAATCAAATGTATCAAATGTCATTCTTTTATATATCTATCTATTTGCTGTGCGTTGTAATTATTAATTAATTGAACTAAAAACTGTTAGTTTGATGACTCGTCAACTTCATTCTCTGTTCATCAAAAAAAATAATTAAAAAATAAATTAAAGCAAATAGGGGTGAGTCAGAGGTTGTATAACATTATTATTGATACAAGTACAAGTACAGTGTATCTGTACACAGAGAGATTTATTACTTTTTAAAATTCACTTTCTAAATCAGGGAATAATTTAAAAGCTCTTTTATAAAGAGATACGGCAATGTTTGGATCAGTTTTCTCCATTTCACCTGCTTCTCTTGCTAGTTCTCTTGCCAATCGCTCATTTTCCAACATTTCCTTTGAGCTACTTGGGTTTACTCTAGTATACATTACATCGGTACGCATGATGTACTTTTGATTGCCACCAGGTAGTACTGTTTCACCGTCATGCCAAATGTTGTGTGTAAAGACAAGTATTCTTCCTTCTTTTGGTTCTACCGATGCCAATACGGTCTTGTCATCTTTTGGATCTAAAAATCTTGTACATCCACCTGCAATACCACCTGATAGATAAATCATAAAGGTGAGATATGATCTATTATCTGCATCTCTCTCGTAGAATCCATCATAGTGACTTGCAAATGCACCTCCATCTTGGTATTTACACAATCTCCACAATTCATTGACTTGATTGAGTTTCCACTTTCCATGCAAATGTTTTCTAGCTCTTCTACCATCATCCAAGTAAGGTGTTGAATCTGAAATATCCAATTCCGATGGTAGAAATTGTTTGATTCTTTCAAATATCAATGAACTCAGCGAATAGCTCTTTACCAATACTCTCGAATTATTACGATACTTTTTTATATAATGTGCCAATTCATCAAATCCCATCTCTTCTCCTCTATCAATAATATATCTACAAATGAAATTAATAAGAGTAATGATCCTTTTTCTTATTCTTTATTCATTCAATCTTACTTGCACTCTGTTGGTGATAGAACATTATCTAATATGAATGCAGATTTTGGTGTTAAAGCATCAATGTTTGTCTTTGTTATTGGTTTTACATCATCTCCTTTTGAATCCAAATCAAATGGGAATATAATATTTCTAACCTTTTGTCCTTCTATTACTAATGTTTGTTCCATTTTATCGATATATATATATAATTTATATGTATGTATTATTCTATATATTCTGTTAATACAAAAAAAAACAGTTATTAAACATTGATTATAAAAGAATCATCGCTTTGTAAATTTAGGAAAAACAAAAGAATCTAGATCCTCGAGATTTCTTTGATATAATTTGTATAATATATTTTTATTCATCAAATAACATTTTAAGTTCTTCAATTCTAATTTGTTTCTTCATTTGAAGAGTATCTTGAGCCAAATTCTTTTTGTTTTGTTGTAGTTTAAGTATTCTTTCCTCGATAGAGTTTTTAATAACAAATCGAGTGACGTTGACATTTTTGTTTTGTCCGATTCTGTAGACACGATCGATTGCTTGTTCCTCGGTTGCAGGATTCCACCAAGGATCTAATAAAAAGACATGAGAGGCAACTACTAGATTAAGACCAAGTCCTCCAGCTTTCATCGATATCAAAAATACTTTGATCGATCCTTCCTCTTTGAATTTTTTAATATTTGCTTCTCTTTGTTTTTGTGCCAATTTACCATCCAATCTGACATACCCAATGCCTGCTTGTTGAAGTGGTATCTCTATGAGATCCAACATACTAGTCCATTGTGAAAATACCAATGATTTGGCATCTGAATCTTTTCTATGAACTTTATCCAATTCACTCATCAATGAATCTACCTTTGTACTACTCTTCCAATTATCTGTTGTCATTTTTGTTAGCGAATATGATGATCTTAATATAAAATTATCTGATGGTGATGATGTAGATGATGAAGATGAAGATGAAGAAGAGGAAGAAGAAGTTGATTCTAAAAAGTTGTTTTGTTGAGATGTTGATTTAAATGAAACCGATTTTAAATTCTCTTGTATTATTATTTGTTTGCATGTTGGACATTTTGTACCATTATTATTATTATTATTATTATTATTATTATTATTATTATTATTATTATTATTATTATTATTTGTTGTCGTTATTGTCGTAGTTGAAGTTGTAATAGTTGTTAAACTGTTATTATTATTAATATTTTGTTGTTGATTATTTTGTTCAATTCTTGGTGAAATTGGAACCATAAGCATTGATTCTTTTAAATTAATTGATGGTGGTAAATAGTTTTGATCAGTTATCGATCCATTTTCTTCAAAATGTTTAGTTATACAACCATGACAAAATATATGACCACAGGAGGTTAAACAAGGATTATCTAATGATTCCATACACAATATACATTCTTGATCTTCAATATCCTTGCCAAAGATTGTTTTAAGTTTCTCACCAATTTCTGTTGGTAGGATATAGTTTTCCGATTTTAACATTTCCAAAACCAATTGATGATTTGCGTCGTCGATGATTGACTTTTGTTCATCGTCGTCAAATAGATTCTTTTGCATAATATTTTTGATGAGCGATGGATGATCACAAACTTGTCTAAGACGCAATAGCAACTCTAAAATGTGAGCATAGTTTTTCATGAGTGTTCCATTTTTATAATAGTTTATAAACTTTCTCTTTGATGCATTCCAAAGTTGTTTATAAATTTGTTGTTCTTCTTCACCAAATTCATCTTCCTTTACTGTTATTACCTTGTCTGGTAAATTCAAAATTGGTTGATTATTTAATTTTTGATCTTTTACTCTTCTTAATAATATTTTTGATAATAATATCTAAAAAATAAAAATGATGATTAGAATTATAAATAGTTTGTACTTTTTTTTTCTATTTCTTTTTCTTTTTTTCTTACTCTTAATCTTGAAAAACCCTTTTCATCACGATTTTTACTTGGTTTCATAATATATTGATTCCACCAATAATAATTTGAATATGGTTCAACTCGGAGGAATTGAATAAGTGAGAAAAGATCATCCAATTTGTTTTGGATTGGTGTGCCAGTAACACACCATCTAATTTGACTTTCAAGTGCACAAGCTGCTTTTGAGGTACGTGTCAATCTTTCTTTGATTGTATGAGCTTCATCCAATACAACTCTAAACCATCTAACATTTAATAATCCATTTTGATCCTGTTTTTTAATTCTTTTACGTTTCTTTTGTACAGAAACTGGAGACGTATTGGTTTGTTGTTGCGGTTGTTGTTGTTGCGGTTGTTGGATGGTGGGAGACAAAGATGATGATGAATTGGGAGGCATTAGAGGTGATAGTGAAAAACTTGATGGTGATATAATGGTAGACGATGAAGTGTCGTCATCTTGTTCATCTGGATACTCTGCAGATAGAGTAGTGTATGTTGAAATGACAACATCAAATGTCGATAGGAATCTTGTATCTCTATTACGACCAGGTCCATGATATATATAAACATTTAATGATGGTTCTGTATGTGAGGTTATTTCATTGTACCATTGTTGTAAAACTGATACTGGACATATAATTAATGTTGTCTTTGTTTGATATGTCAAACATAAATCTTTTTGTTGTTGTTGTTCTTGTTGATCTGAAACAATAAGAGGAGGAGGAGGAGGAGAAGGAGGAATATACCTATTTGATAAGATGATTGATAAAATTTCAATTGTTTTACCCATACCCATATCATCACATAGTAATCCACCCCAAACAAATGTAAGGTCATTCCTCATAGAGTCTAGATCGGCCAGCGTGGGTGGATCAGACAATTCTGCTCTCTCTCTAGTATTCATCCAATGAAGCGCCTGTTTTTGGTAGTTTCGTAGTTGTAGTTTGAGTCCAACAGGAGTGTCCATTTCTTCGGTCAATATATTATTTAAAAAGTCTTCAATCTTTTGTTTAAAGATAGAATCCATTGATTTGTTTAATACATCGCCACCAGACGATCTATTCAATGTGTTTGGTTGTTGACCTGTTGATGTTGTTGATGACGATGGATTAAGTAATCTTGATGATGATAAAAAATCTAGATTACTCATTGTTGCATTGGTTGATGTATTCAATGGTGATGAAACATTTATAAAATCCATACTATTATTAAATGATGTATTTAATTTTATATTTGTTGTTGACGATGATGAATTTAATATAATATTATTATTTTGATTATTATTATTATTATGAATATTTTGATTATTATTAGTTTGTTGATTTTCAATTATAGAAATATTAATACCAATATCAATTGCCATTTGACACCAAGATTTAACTAAAATATGATCTTTGTTTGAGACAAGATCCTTTTCAACTAGTTGAGAATTGTAAATTTTACAATAGGCAATATTTGATAGATGATCAATCTCTCCTTTTACAGTGATATATCTTTTTTCGAGTAGAATGGCAAGCCAACTTGGTGCATCATGTATTGATGCAATCATTTGATCACTACCATTATCTTGAACCATCATTATAACCTCTTCTTCATGTAATGCTATTCGTATCGGTGTTTTTGCATACAATGGGAAAAACAATTCCAACTCTTTAAATGAATAATCACCAAGAAACATATCAGTGGAATATGACTGTTGTTGTGGAAATGGTTGTTTTTTAAGAAAAGAGTAGTATTCAGATGCCCATACACTTGTTGATGGAGGGTATAAAAGAGAATCTTGAGAGGTTTGTTGTAATATTTGGTGATTTAAATTATTAAATTGTTGTTGTAAAGATTGAAATGGTGAGATGGTTGATGATGAATTGGATAGTTGAAATAGAGTAGATGAAGATGAAGAAATATTTGGAATAAATGGTGTACTTCCACTATTACTCATATCAATAACTGGAAACCTTTTTTCATTCTCTAAACTATTTTGATTATTTTGATTATTATTAAAGTTGTTTGATAAAATATTTGATGTCCTTATATTAATCAATTCATTGTATAAATTATTTAAATTATTATTATTATTTGTTTCAAATGGTGTATATGAACCAACTCCAACTCCTACTCCTACTCCACCACCACCAGCAGAGTTTGAAAGTGGAATAGAACATTGATGATAAGAAGTAGGAATAATGGGATCAGTTATTTTTGTTGGTTGTTGTTGATGATGATGGTGATGATGATGATTATGATGATCGAAATGAAAAGATTGTGTCTTTTTAGATTCAATAATAATTTCTTGTCCAAAGATGGATGGTCTATCACATAGTACAGGAGATGATAAAGGTGATGTTGGTCCACCAACACCACCGCCACCACCAACAACACATCCAAGAACTGGTGAAATAGTTTGTGAAATATTATTATTATTATTATTATTATTAATTGATCTTGTTGGAGGTGATATCACTAGACCAGTGACTACAGTATTATTATTATTAATATTGTTATTTTGATTATCATTAAATAGTTGAGATGAAGAAGAGGTCAATGAGACAGAACTACCACTAGATGATAGATGTTTGATATTAGTGCCACTACCACTCTTTTTGAATCGTTTAGTTGGTTCCTTTTCATTATGAGAATTATTTGTCAAAGGCAGAGGAATGGCTGTGTTATGTTGGGTCGTTGCCGTCGTCGTCGATGATGATGAAGATGATACAAATAGAGATGATGATTGCGTTGATAAACTACCAAATGAGTTATTAATCAATATAGATGGCAACGTGTATGACGATGATGGCAATAATGAATTATTAGTTGGAGAGGTTAATGAAGTGATTGAAGGAGATGATGAATTAGAATTGATTTGTTGACTCAACTGAGCCAGTTGTGATATTAATAGTGGTGACTGTTGTGTTGTCGAAGAGGAGGAAGAAGAAGAAGATGATGGTGGCGGTGAAAGTGAACTTGGTTGCAAAGTAGTTGGAGAATAAAGTTGCTCAAAATTACTTGCAAGTCTAGGACTTGATTGATTGATCAAACCATTTGTGTTATTATAGAATTGAGATTGTAGTTGTTGATATATTGTTTCATTTTGATGAAACTGTTGTTGTTGTTGTTGTTGTTGTTGAAAAGTGTATAGATGTTGTTGTTGTTGTTGTTGTTGCTGACTACCATTATCACCCATTTATTGTCTATTGCGTCAAAAGATTAGATAAAGATAGATTGGTGTGAGTGAGTAATGATTGAGCCAGTAGAAAAGGATATAGATCTAAAATACATACCCTATTATCGATGACTTTAACTCTCTCTCTTAAATGTAAAATTAAAAAAAATAGGTAGCGGTACTATTATTTCTAACAACCAGCAAGCAGAAAAGAATCAAAAGAATAATAATAATAATAATAAATATGGTTGGTATGATGATGGATGGTTAGTTTTGTTGTTATTAATTGCCAACCGCGATAATATAAATTTATTAGTCCACTTCAGAGTTGCAAAGAAAGCTGTCGATCTCAAGACGATATCAGTTTTTATTTTTAACGAAAACCATTAAATTCAAAGTTTGTCTCGATTTTAATCGAATGTCCTTATGCGCAGACGTCCCCCATTCCTTGCTAAAAGCAACACAAACGGAAAATGCAAAGCCTAAATGGCCAACATTCAATGTGGATGTTTCGACGAACGATGCAAATCTGCTTTGGCTATGGCTCTATCTATCTAGTCTATTTGTCTTTCATTCACATGTAGTTCGATGAATCTTTCTTTACATTCTCAACCCCCCCATCATTTTGATTGTAGGTAACCCCCAACACACACACAAAATCCCCTCCTTTTTGATAAGTGTGATTGAGTGAGTGGGTAATCAGTGAGTGATGATTTAGAGAAAGGGGTTTTCATACACACACATAACATAACATACACACAGACAGGCATGAGTAATAATAACCGTACAATTTGTATATATCGCCTTTTTTTTCAATTTTTTTTTTTTGAAACCAAGATGAAAGAGAGGGAGGGAAGCAAATAAGCCAAGCCAAGCTTACGTAAATTATTTTAAATATATATTCAGTCAGTATTATTATCATTATCATTATTATTATTATTATTATTATTATTTTAGTTTAAGTTTAGTTTGATTGATTGAATGATTTATCACTACGATAAATGATCAATCATCAACAACATCAAGAGAGAGTTTAGAAAAGAATGAGTTGGAATTGTCACAAGTTATCAAACAAACAAGATGTTAACCTACCGTTACAGGGACACACAACAACACTATCAGGAGATAATATAGTTATATTTGGTGGATATGATCATCAAAATGAGAAACTTTCAAATGCAGTATATCTTTTAAATAATAGTATGATCAAATCAATCAATCAATCAAATCAAACAAACAAATCAATCTTTATGGTTAAATCTAACAATGATGACATTATTATTATATCTGTCAATTTAAGTTCAACAACAATCAAATTTATTAAAGCCACATATTAGTGGTACCACGCCACCACCATGTCTAGGTCACACTGCAACACAAGTTGGTAGAAAAATGTTTGTTTTTGGAGGAACTCAACAATCGTCTTTAGCGTCATCGGATCAAGCAGCAATCGATCATCATCTATCACAGTCTAATGAAATGTATCAATTCAACACTGTCAATCATACATGGTCCAAACCAAAGATCGTTGGAGACTTGCCACTCCCTCGAAGTGGCCATACTGCCTCTCTGATTGGAAGCAATTGTATTTTAATATTTGGTGGTATTTGTAAATCTCAACTACTTGGCGATGTTCATATATTTCAAACAGAGCGTAATTGTTGGGCAAAGTTGGATGATAACCATGATGGTTATCATGATGATGATGATATTAAACAACAACAACAACAACCGACTACTATGTCATCACCATCAACACGTGGAACAACATCAAACTCTATGATGAATCAATCACCAACAAATACATTTTTAGCACATTCATCACCATCAATTGCAATGCCAACATCATTCTTTTCATCGCCAATATCTCGAGGTCGTTCAGCTACTATATCTCATGCATCACCTCTAATTGCAGGTAATGAGGTCATTACACCAACAAAGAATAGTCAATCTTCATCTTCATCATCACAATATCCATCATTACCACCACACATTAATTTATCTGTATATAATAATCCACAAAGTCCAACTCAATCCAATATCAACAACAAATTAAAACAAGTAAATATCTCTTCTACTACTACTACTACTATCACTTCTTCTTCATCACCACCACCACCAAGATTTAATCATACTTGTAGTATAATTGGAAATAGAGCATTTATATTTGGTGGTTGTGGAGAAGGTATGGAACTATTAAATGATCTATATATCTTAAACACCAATACAATGGAATGGACATTGGAAGATCATAAAGGTGATATTCCATCACCTAGAAGTGGTCATTCATCGGTAGTGATTGGTTTTAAAATATATATTTTTGGTGGTGTAGTGTCATTGGATCAACAACAACAACAAAATCAAGTACATCCTCTTATCTATAATAATAATAATAATACATCTGCAACATTTAGTAATGAACTCTATGTACTCGATACGGAAACAATGTCATGGTCATTGATTACTCAAAATCCACCTCAACTACCAGCACCAAGATTCAGACACTCTTGTATATCATTTTCAAGTAAAATCATTGTAGTTGGAGGTTTTGAGAGTGGTAAATCATCATCATCATCCAACTTGCTGCCATCAAGTCAACAACATTATTACGCATTGGAAACTCTTAGATTAGAGTTTAAAAGCTCAAGACAGCGAAGAAATACAGCATTTATATCAACCTCTTCTTTAAAAGTATCAATAGACAGCAACAATCAACCATTTAGAAAAACCGACGTCGATCTTCCAACCACACCGAAAAGTACTACTTCTATTGTTTCTTCTCCATTGGTAGTGTCAGAGTCTAGCGAAATGAAAGATGAAAGAGATAAAAAGACCTCAAATTTAATTACCAATAATCGACCACCCATTGGTGGACAAAATGGTTCAACATCTCATCATCATCAGCATCAACACCAATCCAATAATAATATGACTCTGGATACTTTTAAAATTGGAGAAAGTTGTTCATCATCTTGTAATTTAAAATATAATATACTTGCAAGTCATTACAAGGAATTGAAACAACAATTAAAAGAAGAAGTTGAAAAGAGAAAAATTGTTGAAAAGGAATTGGAAGATTTGAAATCAAGTAGAGGAGGAGGAAACAATACCATCAACAATAATAATAATCAAAACCTTGGCAGTAGCTCTGGTAATGTACAAATATCTAAAAATACAATGGATGTCATTGAAGAAATGATGAATGCATGGAATGCTTATGAAAAAAGACTTAGATGGAAAGAATTACTTGAAAAGGATACAAATACTCAATTGGATGAATTAAAACTTAAATTGGATCACTTTGCCGATATCTTTATGTTTACATCTGATAGTGCAAGTGATTTTAGTGATGTTAAAAGTAGATCTTCAATGATGGACGATATGGAAGATCTAAGTGAAGCAAGTAATCACACAACAGATTCAAAGTCAACCTCGTCTCTAAATACATCACACTATAGATCATCTTCCTATCCATTACCAATATTTAATTTCAAGAAAAAGGAAAGAGAAAAGGAAAAGGAAAAGGATAAAGAAAGATCTCTTTCTTCAAGTTTGGAAAAGGAAACAAACAACAATACTGGTAGTAAAGAAAAATCAACAAACAATATTTTTAAATTTATGAAATCTAAAAAAGTAAATCGTTCTTCAGCTCAATTTCAACCAATGAATGGAGTTGAAGAAGATATTAGTGGTAGTGATAATCAAATTTTACCAAGATCACCATTAAAATCAAATACAGATTTATCCACCTCTATTTCATCAGCAAACTCTACACCAACCATTTCAACTGTAGGAATATTACAACAACAAACAAGCACAACCGAATTAGGCAATGATAATAATTTAAGTAAAAGTAATGATAAATCAGAACAACAACAACAACAACAACAAACCGAAGATTTGGAAAAGAAATCAAAATCAAAGTTGAGTTCTAAATTTATGAACATTTTATCAAAAGAAAAGGATAAAGAAAAGGAAAAGGAAAAAGAAAAAGAAAAGGAAAAGGAAAAGAAACCAAAAAAGATTAAAATATTTGGAAAGAGCAACAAGGAATCAGTTCCATTTAAAAGAGAAATTATCGAAAAGGTGATTGAACATTTGGAAAGTAGTGGATTAGAGACGGAAGGATTATTTAGACTGTCAGGAAATATTGATACAGTTAGAACAATAACAAAATCATTTACACATGGAGAAATTAATTTAAATTTTGAAATTCATAATGTTTCAAATGCTCTAAAACTTTACCTAAGATCTCTTGATCCTCCTTTAATTCCATATGAATATTTCTTACCTTTATTAGATTCTAGAAGTATGTAAAAAAACAAAAAAAAAAAAAAAAAAAAAAAAAAAGTAATAGTAAAAGAACTAATATTTATTTACTTATTTTTAATTTTTAGAAAATGAAGATGTTGAAACAATTAGAAATATGATTTGGAGAATTCCAAGTGATAATAGAGTTGTATTGGCAAGTTTAGTTCATCTTTTGGTCAAAGTTACAGAAAAGAGTGAAATCAACAAGATGAATTCAAAGAATTTGAGTATTGTATTTGGACCAACCATATTAAAACCAAAGACACCAACCATGGACAGAATGGCACTAATGAGTGAAACTCAGTTACAGTGCGGTATCATGCAAACCTTTATCGAAGATTTTGATTTTATATTCTCAGAACACCCAACAACTCAACCCAAATCATTCCAACGATCAGATAGTGATGATGAAGGTGTAGATGAAGAACCAATATCACTCTCTGCATTATCAACTCCTTCTTCTCAATCACCAAGTCAACTTTCTCCTCTTCCTCCATCGACCCCATAAATCCAAAAATAAATAAATAAAATGTTACATATATAATATATAGTATAATAAATAATCATCAATCAACATTTTTTTATTTACTTTCTTGTTCATCTTCATCATATTCTTCAATTGTTGGTTCTTCTTCTTCAATATCAAATAATGATGATGATGATTTCATTGGTTGTGGAGAATTATCAAGTGATGGATTACCAGTGCTAGATGCCAAAGAAGGTCTTCTCCTAGAATTATTGATATTTGATTGATTTCTAGTAACATTTAATACATTGTCTTCCATAAAATCGCTTAAAGCTATTTCTTCTTGATGTAGATTTGTCAGCTCCTTTGAAAACATTTGTTCTTCGATAAAGAGAGGTTTTTGAATTTGAATATCACGTTCCTCTAGTTCTTTGGCAAGAAATTCATCAACGTCTTGATGTATACTATCGCCAACTTGAGAATGTTTACTATTGGTGGTTTGTGACATATTAGAAGTGGATCTGTTGAGTGAGATGGTATCTGGGTTGGTTAAATTTTGAGCATCTTGACTTCTCTTTAGATCATTTAATTGATCCAATAAATAATCTTGTGGACGTTCAACACTGTCTAGTAACGATGAATCACTAGTATTGTTATGAATACTATTATGGTGATGGTGTTCTTCAACACCAACACCTCTAAAGAATTCTTTTTTACCATAATTTAATATTCTTCTTCTACGACTACCAGAACGATGTGCATGAGAACTATGTTTTTTCTTGCTATTGTGGTGATGTCTTGGTTGGTAATAAAAGTTGCTTGTAAAATTGACAGCTTCAATGAGAAAGGCAACCACCAAATTGATAATGCAAACCACCGATATAAAATAAAATGTACAAAAGTAAATGATTGCCCAATTGTTGGTGACATCTACCACTGCAAAAAAGGTGACAAACCAATTGTTTAAAACCGTTAAATGAAATAGTGTAAACATGGCTGAATTAAAACTATTAAAATTGGCAAATCCATAATAATTGCCCAAATCATAGGCAGTTCCAATCAGTGCCGGGTTTCCACGTACCAAATCTCCATTAAAACACCAAATACCAATCACTGCATAAAAATAATATAAAACAAATATAATTCCTGCAAAATTTAAAAAAATAAATACCAATTGAAACATTGATTGAATAAAATGTCTCATTCTAAAAAATAAAATAAAAGAAATATAAATAAAATATTAATATTAATATTTCTTTTGTAATATTAGATTGTTTCAATTTTTTTGTTTACCTTCTAACAGATGCAAACAATCTAAAAATTCTAATAAATCTAAAAGCACAAGCCAATCTTAACATTTCAATTTCATTACCAACTCCTCTTAGAGCATATTCAATCAAAATTTTACCAAATAATGATATTGATAAAATTACTATACTGAACCTAGGTTTAATTTAATTTAAATAAATAAAAAGGTTAATAAAAAAGGATTCATTAATTTTTTTAATTTTTTTTAAATATTTACATTAACCAAAACTTTCTTACTGAACGATAAGCAATTCCTTTTAATAAAACTTCTAAAAATCCAAGACCAATTAATATATCATCAACTATAATTGTCCAAGAAGGATTATAAAGGTTTCGAGTTGTAACCATGACATGTGTAATGATAAATGCATTGAAATAAAGTAATAGAGAAACCATAACCTCGAAACTCCAATGTTTTGTAATTTTTTTCATCCTTCCACTTTTTAAATAAGTTATTATTTTGTCTATCAATGTAGGTTTCTCTTCTATATCTGTATCGTCGATTCGAGTTGAAGGAGTACTTGTAGTTGTTTGATCTAGTTGTTTTTTCTTTTTTATGAAATCTAAAACTTCATCATCTAGATGAGGATTTGGTGGAAGAGTAAAATGATGATCTTGATGAGACAACTTTGGAGAAGGACAAGGTGTAATGACTTTGATGTGAATTTTGTTTGATGGGGAAGATGTAGAAGACGAAGGAGACGAAGAAGAGTTGTTGGGAGGAGAATAGGGAGATTTTAATGCACTTTTAATAGTACTACCATTACTATCAATCATCCTATTTGTATTATCAATATGATCACCACTACTAAATAAATTTCGATTATTTAACATTTTTGTTACACTTGAAGCTTCATGTTTTTTGAATCGATTAAATTCATCCATCTCTGTTGCCTCTTCTTCTTCTTGCTCTATATCCTCTTTTACATTAGCTTTTGGAGCATGTAAATGAGATGAAATTTTTGGAATCACTTTTAAATCTGGTAGTGATGATAGATCTGAACAGACTTGTGAATCTAGACGAGGAATTCTTGATAAATCTTTGGCCAATGGTAATGCACTAGTACCATGATCTTTGATTGAATCTGATAGAGATGATGAACTAGTCCCAGTCTCTGATTCTATTCTTTCTTTAATGATTTTTCTTTTTGTTAGGATTTGTACAGTCTTTCTTTGAAGTAGGAAAACATCACACATGGCAAAGAATTCACGAATGTTGAGATATCCATTTGCATCTGTATCGACCACTTCAAATGCAGCTTCAGCTTCTTGTGAACTTGATTTTGGTTTTAGCAATTTATAGATATGTTCCCATTGATCCAAACCAATGACACCAGTCTTGTCATAATCGAGAATGATAAAGGCAGCTAAAAGAGCACTTCTTCTAGTCCGGAAATTATTTCTTGTTTCATTGAGCACAGCCTTTCGAAAAGACTGATGCACAAATGCAATGACAAAGTTGAGACCTAGCAACCAACCAAACGACAAATAGGCAATGAAAAAGGCAGAGTACCACCGATTCTTGTAATAGGCCGGCAACATGATATCGGGAAAGTTGCACGTTGTAATGAGAATCATCATGTCCAAGAATGATCGTGCCGTCGAGTTGAAATATTCGGGGTCGGTCGTCTCGTCGTTTGAAAAGATTATTGAAAACAATACACTCGATAGGAATATATAGGAAAAGAGAACGACGGCCACTGGTATCATTCTAATGAGTGTGTAGGATACTTGTAGGAAGAGATCTCGCGTCAGCCGATCGAAGTCTATGAGATAGTAGACTCTAAACACCCTTGACACTCTCACACTTTGTATTCCATTGGCTGCCAGAATGAATGCAACCAACAAATCGATGAGGTTTGTCAGAAGAAAAACAAACTTTACAATATTCCATTTGTTTCGAATGGCATTGGGTCCATAAAAGTAGTATTTGGCAAACAACTCGAAAAAGAGAACCAATACCAACGCCAATTCAATGTAGAGAGTGATAAACTTGTTACTCGGTAGATCGTCACTTGGATACTCGAAATAGGCCAACAATAGGTCACAAATCGTTACGACAAACAGTAGAGTTCTCGTTATCGGACTGAAATAGATACCGTAAAAGTACAAGTGTCTTAGATTGAGTACATGATTGGGATTACGATAGTGGATGGCATCTTTGATGAGATAGTAGGCTATATAGTTTCTTCTAAACTTTTCCTCTTCTGTCAGGTCCTCTGGTTGAATCGGTTTGTTTTTAGAATACTCTGCATAGGCATAGTCACCACGTGGACTAATCGTTGCCTTTTGGTGAATAAAGTCTTCATCCATCTCTTCAAGTGGACGCTTATGATGGCCACTAATCTCATCACGAAACTTTACAATCTTTAATGTACGTCTATGTTGTGCCGGTTGTTTTACTTGTGGAGGTGGTAAAGGTGGTGGAGACGGTGCTGCAAATGGTGGAGTCATTGGTGAGATCTCTATCTTTTCTTCATCATTTATACTTTTTCTTCTATGATGATGATGGGGATTAAATATTCTTTCTAATGATCCTTTTGGTTTACGTCGATTATTTATATTATTATTATTACTATTATTATTGTTATTATTATTATTATTATTATTATTATTACTGTTATTGTTAATTCTTGATTGATTTCTTTTAATTGGTGATTCTAATTTGAATACTGAAGAGAATTGACTTGTAACAGTAGGTTCATTGTGATCATATTCATTGTCTTCTTCTTCTTCCTCTTCTTCATCATTACTGCTACTTGATTCATCATCACCATCATCCTCTCCATCACTATTCCGATAAGATCTAATTGGTTCGATTGTATATCTATATTGTTGATCTGGATCCAGATCCAATGTATGTTCTACGACATGATCTTCAATTACTCTATTGATATTATTGTTATTGTTGTTATTGTTATTATTATTATTGTTATTACTATCAGTATTTGAATATCGTATTCTTTTCATCTAACTAATTTGAAGAGATAAGAATTATAGAAATTTGAAGAAAAAAAAAAAAAGATAATAATAGATTTACTTGTTCACCCATTTAATATAATATAAATATATTAGTATTTTGAATTAATTTAATAAGAAATTTATTTATTTTATTATTTAGTTGTCATCTTCATCATCGTCATCACCATCGTCATATCCATCATCATCACCATCATCATCATCATCATCACTATCATGGTCATGTTGTGATCTAGAATGACATTGTCTTACAGACAATGGATCAAGTGTAGGTTTGACCACTTTCTTCTTCTTTTTTCTAACACCAATTGAGTAGTGGAAATGGCATTTACTCTTGTGGCGTGCATATACTACAATGCCATTGCCACATAATTTTCCGTTATCTTGCTTTGCTTTGCACTTATTTTTGTGCAAGTATTGCAATTGTCCGGATCGCAAGATACATTCATCTGATGGCAGAGACAAGTACCTATACTTTTTCTCGACACTGAATGGCTCAATCATATGAAGCACTTGGATGCTATAGAAAGAATAAAGAATTAATAATTAGTTGGTTGGTTGGTTGGTAATATATATATATATATATGTATAATATTATATATTTACTCGTTCACTAGTCTTCTGTCACTTCTCAATACAGTGCAATCCGAGTTGCTATTAATAGTCTTGTCATGATACTCATACTCGACGCGATGAATAGCGTTTTCTAGAATCGAGGAACCATCTGGTAGGATGATGTCATTGAACTTTATACGATCAGCAAGCATTCTTATGATATCACCAGCAGGCTCACTTTGAGTCCATGAAGGCTTGGTTCCTTGGTTGTTTTGGAGAATTCCGGCCATTTCCTCAGTGACGGGTCCAATTGGATAGGGATAATCATTGATATTGATGTCGTTATTATTATTATTATTATTATTATTATTATTATTATTATTATTATTATTATTGGTGGGGTTTGTGTTTTCGAGATACACTCTCTTGTTTTTGAGTTTTGAGAGTACCTGAGCTTCAGTATCTATAGACCACACATACTTTACGAAATAACGAAAGAGACGAGCACGTTTGGCACTTTCGAGGAATATATGGAGGTTTTTATCGGTAACGACTGTTGGGAACCAGAACAGTGGAGAGAACGTGTTGAATGTCTTCTCTTCCTCGATGAAACGATCGATTTTCTCTGGGTTGTCTCCGATAGAGGCCATCATATATTCGACGTAGCATTCGAATACAAGAGGATGTTCTATGAGGAACGAGACTGGATGGGGTTCCAACCCACAATGCACTCGCATCAAGTTGGTATCACGTAGTAAATGTGCCAACAATAGTTTTTTACTCGCGAGTAAGACTACCAGTTCAGCTGGAGGAAACAGTGTCACAATTGTGCATTTGGCTTCTTTGGCGCGATGGTGTACTCTTTCCAGTATTCTTTCATCTCGAATAGCACGATCAATGCCAGTTAATACTATCATAAATGGTTGTCCATTGAATAGGATTCTATATTTGTTGATAGCAGACATGATAATTATTTCTATATAGAGCAGGTGATAGGTAGGAAGGAAGAAAGGATTGTGTGAATGTTAGTTTAATTATTATCTATATATAGAATCCTTAAGATCAAGATATGTATATATTTTTAGGCTTACCATTTTCCTCTGTACTATTTTCATCACCAACTTCTTCTTCTGTCAATGTGGTTACGAGTTGAGGAGCATCCATGTCCACTGGAAGCGTGCTATCGGTTGATGGGGTTGGATTTTCACCATACATTGCGGCCTCGATTTCCTCCTCGTTTTGGTAAACTGGATGGGCTGGCATGCTCTTGCACACATAAGAATGTCTAGCTCCGGAAAAGGTGAGTGATCCTAGAACTTGATCATTGATACTGCTGCCACAATTATTATTACTAGCTGATGTCCTAGAGAAGAGAACGACATTGGGAATGTCCCCATAGATGGCTTTGATCGATTGGCGCCAAGACAGGTACCTAAACACATTCTCGATCATGTGTTTGGTCACTTGGTATCTGATGCGATAGAGGCCATGGTCAGCAGACAAGAAGTAGAATGTGTCTGATATCTCTACGATTCCATTGACGACAGTATCATAATCAACCACTTGATACCTTGTCGATCCATCTGGTAGGTAGACAACTCGAAATCGATATAGTACGATCCCTTTGCCAGGGTCTCTGTGTGAAGATGGCAGAGGTGGACTTTGATGCCCAATTGACAGAATCGAGCGATCATATCTTTGACCTCGGTCGGGTGTCTTGACAGCCTTTCCATGCTAATGAGGATCAGCAAGTCATTGGGACTCATGCCAGACAAGAGATGTAGCAACTGAATTCTCATACTCTCGGGGAACCAATAGGTGCTTACAATCTCGATGATCAGCCTTAATTCATAATCTGGGGTTGAATCGAGCAGAGGTTGGGAGGAGATGATCATTGGCAACCAGGTGGTCGTTGACAAGTATTGAGAGAGTTGCCAGAAGCTTGGTGAGTTGCTTCTCGAGACCAGCGGAAACGGTGCCTCCGTCATCTCCATGACTCTGCCTTGCAAACATCCATACTCTTTCAATGTCATGGTAGTCATACATTTTGAATATATTTTGGATGCCCTCCAACGACAACAGTGATGAATCATTCTCGGCGGCCAATTTATCGACGATCTTTTTGGGGGTCGTTTCTTTTCCCCCTCGCGACGTTCCTGCTCTTTGATTTGTCTCACTCCTTCAAGAACTATATCATCCAACATTGCACCGTTTGGCATAACGTCTCGCCCAATATTGAATAATGATTTTTTTCCATTCTGGCTCATTACAGAGTCAACCCATTCTTGTATCTCCACATAGTATACTCTTGTTCCATCTACCTTTTGGAATCGAGTATTCATGATATCTAATATGTGCGGGTAAGGAAGGAAGGAAGGAAGGAAGGAAGGAAGGAAGGAAGGAAGGAAGGAAGTAGGTTAGTGGTGTTTGAATTTATCGTATCATATCAGATATCTAAGAATATACATACTTCCAATATCTTTGATATCTTTTGAGAATGATATGATATAACAACCCGTTTTACTAGCGATTGAGGCATCTCTCACATCATATATCGCATCAATAGAATCTTTATACTCGTTGATTATATTGCAGGGAATCGCCAGATAGTGAGGACCTGGTTGCTTTCTCGTGATGAATCACCACTATCCATATTATAGCCGCCATCTCTGTCTCGAGGATGAATTGAAGAATGACTCGTCGTTGTAGTGGTGGTGGACGAGGAAGACGAGGATATTGGTCCAGATACATTGGTGGCGGGTGGAGCTTGGGTAATGGATCTTTGTGTTGGGATCTTTGATTGTACCCATTTGAGAAGTGGTGCATTTCTTTCCAAGCCTGGATCATTCTTGACTACAATTGAATATTTGATTGATCGATACCACATAAATATACCTTGAGCAGAATCGAATAATTTGACCGGCTCTGGGGTACGAACAATTACGGTCTCATGGAACCATGATAATGATGAGAACCCTTTGTAGTATTGTTGGTATACCCATCTCTGTATAGGAATAATAATTAATTGGTTAGTACTAACTAAATTTTGTTAGTGCTACTATATAATATTTTAACTTACCCTTTCCTGTATTATTCTTTACATATATAAGATTTGGAAGTGGATCTATGGTATATCCCTGGAAGTGGTTGTGACTGACTACTTTCTCGAATACATAGCCATTGAATCTTTTGTCTTGTAGTAGATCCATTACTGTATCATAATGGTATGTGGCTATTTCCTCTCTCTCATCTACACGAGAACTTTCCTCTCTTGCCGATCTCTTGAATGTGCTTCTGTATCTTGTAGCTAGTCTGTTGGTTATATCAACTATAGAAGACATAATTTATATATGGATATATAAGTTTAACTTTGTTGGTGTATGTATAGAACTTGTAGAATACATACCAATTACCAAGTTGATAGGGGAAGAATTATTGTTGATAGGGCACCACTGTTGTTCTGGCACTTGATAGATGTTAGAGTCTACAAGGAATCACTGGCTGAATAGAGTAGTATTAGACACTTGTCATTGTTGATTGACTTGTTGTTCGGGCTGATTAGAGTTGTATTAGACACTTGTCATTGTTGAATGAATAGAGTTATTGCAACCGCTTGCTGAATATCACCTTGTTGTTCGGGCTGTATTAGGCTTGTCATTGTTGAATGAATAGAGTTGTTGCAACCACTATCACCTTTTTGTTCGGGCTGTATTAGACAGTTGTAATTGTTCAATAGAGCTGTATTTGACACTTGTCATAGATCAGACTTGTATTCACTGGATGTCTCTGTTGCCTTTAATTAATATTTTTTTTTTTGGTGAACTTTTTTATTGTAGTACAACAGGAACAGATAGAGTAATTTATTATCATAAATCTTATTATTATTATTATTTTAAGTCCAATTGGAATTTATAGAGATTTAATTTAATAATAATAAATTATGATAGATTTATTTTATATCTGCTAATTCGAAGAGAAGAGTTCCACTACAGAAAAAAAAAAGTTAATAATAGATTTACTTGTTTCCCCCATTTAATATAATATAAATATATTAGTATTTTGAATTAATTTAATAAGAAATTTATTTTATTATTTAGTTGTCATCTTCATCATCGTCATATCCATCATCATCACCATCATCATTACCATCATCATCATCATCATCACTATCATGGTCATGTTGTGATCTAGAATGACATTGTCTTACAGACAATGGATCAAGTGTAGGTTTGACCACCTTCTTCTTCTTTTTTCTAACGCCAATTGAGTAGTGGAAATGGCATTTACTCTTGTGGCGTGCATATACTACAATGCCATTGCCACATAATTTTCCGTTATCTTGCTTTGCTTTGCACTTATTTTTGTGCAAGTATTGCAATTGTCCGGATCGCAAGATACAGGCAACACCACAATAAGGAGTTTCTCCTTCCCACGACGCTTTATCAATATTGGATACCAGTTTTCCACATACTCGTCCATCTTGGTATGTGTATTGACAGTATACTGGTCCACATTTTCTTCCAGACTCTCTTTCTCTTTTCTACTTCAGTCTTGGTTGGTTGCTTTTTGGCGACTGGTCTGGTTGGTACAACTTTACGTTTGTTATTATTATTATTATTATTATTATTATTATTATTATTATTATTATTATTATTATTATTGTTGTTGTTGTCGTAGTTGTTGCCATCATCGTCATCATCATGCTATCTGTTGATGGGGTTGGACCTTCACCATACATTGCGGCCTCGATTTCCTCCTCGTTTTGGTAAACTGGATGGGCTGGCTTGCTCTTGCACATTCTTATGTGTAGCTCCGGAAAAGGTAAGTGATCCTCGTAGAATCTGATCATTGATACTGCTGCCACAATCTAGCCGATGTCCTAGAGAATATACATTGGGGATGTACCTGTCTTGGCGCCAATCAATGGAGTACTGAATCTTTTGTCTTGTAGTAGATTTAGTACTTGCCAATCTTTTTTGTTGTAGCACAGACAGATAGAGAGACATTATAATAATAAATCCAATTATTATTATTTTGTGAGTAATTTGTCGATTTAATTTAATAATAATAAATTAATTTGATTTTATTATAATAAATTAACAGGTGATGTTGTAAACACGGATGATGTTATCAGTGTAACCGGCATAGAGGGTAGTACCATCTGGAGCCCAGGCGAGGGAGATACATGAAGCTGGCTTGGTCTCTCTCTTCTTGGCTTCTGGGTTGGCAGACTTCTTTGGAAGAACGATTTCGAGGAGGATGGACTTGGAGAGGAGATCCCAGATGAGGATCTTGTCATCAGTGGCAGCACACAACCAATACTTGTTTGGTGAGAAAGCGAGGGCATTGATGGTACCACGGGCATCCAACTTGTACAATGGTTGACCCTTTTGGAGTTCCCAGAGACAAGCCATTTGGTCCTTGCCACCAGAGGCACACAATGAACCATCTGGGGAGATCGTGACGGTGTTAATGTAACCAGTGTGACCTTCGAGGGTGAACTTGCAGGTGTAGGTCTTCATGTCCCAAACCTTGACGTTCTTGTCCCAACCACCAGAGACGACGATTTGTTCGTTTGGTGAGTAACGGACGCAAGATACCCATTCAGTGTGGCTTTGGTTTTGCTTCTCAGACAAGTCGTACTTGAGCTCACCGATGGTGTTCCAGACGCAAATTCTCTTGTCACGGGAACCAGAGATAATTTGACGGTGGTCAAATGAGAAACAGACAGACATGACATCCTTGGTGTGTCCTTGGAAACGACGGGTGGTGAGACCAGAGTTGATGTCCCAGAGACGGAGGGTACCATCCCATGAACCAGAGAGGGCAAATTGACCGTCGTGTGAGATGACGACATCTTGGACAAAGTGAGAGTGACCGTGGAGTGAACGCAATGGGTAACCATAGTTGTCTTGTTCACGAACCAACTTCCAGACCATGACGGTGTGATCACGGGATGATGAAAGGATGGTATCTGGGTGTTCAGATGAGACGGCAATGGCGGTGACTTGACCGTTGTGTCCCTTTAACTCACCACGGAGTGAGTACTTGGCAGCTGGTACTTGTTGTTCCATTTTTCTCTCTAATTTGTTATGATATAAGATCTGTAAAGAAGAGGGTCAAAAAAAAATATGATGATAATCGAGCGCGTGTGGCAGAGCATACCAAAAAAAAAAAAAAAAAAAAAATTTGCAATCGAAAAAAATTAATCAAAAATCGATTAAAATATTCACTCTCATTGATTTTCTGCCCGTCCCCTCATTTCTATTCTCAGACCTCATCGACCCAATTCATATAATTTAATTTTTTATAAAACCACAACATCTCCCAATAATATATATTTTAGATTAAGATTAGATATTGTATTGTATTTATAAACACACCACCGCGGCCACATATATTTATTTGTATTATTATTATTATTATTATTATTATTTATAACAAGCAAGTTCAAAGTAGTTTAGTTTAGTTTGTCAGTTTAAGTGTATCATATTTATCATCAAAATTTAAAAAGAAAAGAAAAGAAAAGAAGAAAGACTATAAAATGAAGTCATTAAGGAAAAAGAATACTCCTTTGGATGATATGTATAGTGTATGAAGGATTGATTGATTGATTGATTGATTTAGTTGATTGATATTAATATATTGATTTCTAGAAAATAACAGAAAATGCAGATTTAATGGATGATTTACAAAAGAATTTAGAGAAACAACAACAACATTTCTTTACAACATCACTTCATTCAAAACTTATTGCTGAATCCCTCAAAAAATATTCAGATACTACTTCAACTTATAATACTAGAATCCCTCTAAGTATGTTAATCAAAATTGATATATATATAGATATCTGTATTAGTATTTGTATTGATCAAAAAATTTGTTTACTTTTTAATTTTTAATTTTAGGTGATTGTATGCAAAGAGCATCAGAATGGCAAGCAATTGTAGGTGATGTATTTAGTCATCTTGGAAATGTATTATATGATAGAACAACTCAACCATTAAAAGAAACGGTTAGAATTCAATTGGAAATGGCAAAGGATGGAAAAAAGAGAGTTAAAAAGGCTGGTGGAGAGACATCGACAGATTCTAAATCTTCTTTTTCATCTTCTTCATCGTCATCATCATCATCATTTTCATCTGGACGTCCAAATGAATTTAAAAAGGAACAAGAAAGTTTTGAAAAGGTTTCAAAAGAAACTTTACAACTATACAATGATTCTGAATTTGCATTGGAAAATTCAGCTGTACAAACAGTTCTCTCTGCCTATGAAGCATACTATGATTTCTTTCAAAAAGGTGCTTTTCAAATGGCAAGAATTAAAGCAGATATTGATAATTATAGAAAAATCATTCTTGAAACTGTAAATATTAAAAAAAAAAAAAAAGAAAAAGAAAAAGAAAAAAAAAGAATCCTGATGATTAATTAATTATCCTTTCCTTTTTTAGAATAAAGTAGCAGCTAAATTAAGAAATTATATCCCAAGAAAAACATTTGGAATTAAATTGGAGGAAGTGTTTGCAAGAGAGGCACATAGACCCATTCCAATGTTTTTAGAGGAGATATTTAAATATTTGGAAAAGGTGTCACCAACAGTCGAGGGTATATTTCGTGTTAGTGCTGGTAAATCTGCTATCGATGCTCTTCAACAAAAGATTGAAACAAATCAACCTTTGGAACTACAAAATATTCCAGACCCTCATGCAGTTTCAAGTGTACTCAAATCATTCTTTCGTTCTCTACCCGAACCTCTCATTTATCATTCAAATTATCAAAAATATCTTTCTCTTTCAAGTATGTTAAAATTATTAATAATAATTAATATAAATATACATTTATTAATTTTTTTTTTAATTTATTTATTTTTTAGGTCAAGAACAAAATAAACATATTCCAGAATTGAAAAGATTGATTTCATCATTACCAGTTAGTAATCAAGTTGTATTAAGAAATGTATTGGCACTTTGTAGTTTAATCAAACAACACAAAGAGGTTACAAAGATGGATTCAAACAATCTAGCAGTGGTGATTGGACCAAATATCATGGAGTCAATCCCTGGTTTAAAGGCAGAGGATATCCAAAAAGCAGAGACATTTGCCGAATTTAATTCATTGTTTATTTTACTCATTGAAAACTACCAATTCATCTTTCCATCTCAAAGTGGTGTTGACTTTGCTAGAAATCGTTCTCAAACTGAACCAAATATCCTCCCCAACAACAACAACAACAACCTTTCAACTGGTGGTACTGGTCATAGTTCTCCTTCTTCTTCATCGGGTCCACATGTAAAAGAAAAGCCATTACCTCCACCACCCATCCCTACACCCATCCCCACACCAGTCGTCACCACCGCTACCACCACCACCACCACCACGACTACAGTCTCTTCATCACCTTCATCTAAACTTCCAACACCTCAACCAAATGAATTATCTCTTTCCTCTATTTCTCTATCTGACCCCAACGACATTCAAGAAACAAAAGATTTGGATGGTGGTCCCCAAGAGAATAACAATAACAATAACAATAACAATAACAATAACAATAACAATAACAATAACAATATCAACAATGAACCGATCAAGGAACCATCAACACAACCACCAACCTCACCTCCTCTTCCACCAACAGGGTCATTGTCACCTCTTGCATTTGACCAACAACGAAAAAAGAGTGTATCAATTGTAATGGAGAGAGGAGACTTGCTCAAGCCTATTGACATGGAGATACATTTTATTACCATTCATTCAAGTCTTGAAAAGTTAAAAAACATTGTAGTGGAGAACAAGTCAACAGAATTTGGAATAGAACTCATTAAATCATTCAAAAAGATATCAGAGATTTCAGTTTCCATACAAAAGATTACAAAGTTTACCTTTAATCGAGACAAGCCAGTTGTTGCCGTCGAGGATGACAAGATCACCAAGGTTCAAAAGACACTCGTTTATACCTATGAAAATAATGTCGACCTCCTTTTAGATGCCAAGCGACTGTACGAATCGTCAGAGGATAACATTGAATTGTCAAAAGAAATTGAAGACGCCATTTCAACTATGGATAGGGTTTTGGTTGAAGAGCTCACTTCCCTTCAAAATAAACATTAATTATGAGATTATTTCTTATTAATATATGAGTTTTCACTTTTTTGTTTTCAGCAAAACATAGTGGTGTTCAAAAAAAAATTTGATCATTTTTTTAATCTCAACTCAATAAAACAGATAGACATGTCAAATACAAATACAGATACAGATACGGATACAGATACAGATACAACAATGGACGAATTTGAGTTCAGGATGCAAATTCACGGTCCGTTTGACGATTTGCTCACAGGAACCGCATTAAATCAAGACCATCAAACACCGCCATTTGCTGACAAAGATATGTCCTTCACTCCTCAATCAGATATGTTATTGGTCACCACACCCCTGGGATCATTAGATGTCAACCAACAAGGACCATTACCAAACGATCAGTTTATACCGGTTGGCATTTTCCCACAGATATCAATAGACAACATTTATCAAGATAGTGGGATGGAACCAACCAGCGCTTATCAAGACAACCAAATGGCATTCGCTGGCTGCTATCAAGACTCCCGTTTGTTAGGCACCGATCTAGTTAGCCAAGCCCCATTGGCCCCTTACCAAGATAATGAAGTTCAGACCCCAGAAATTAAGGTTACAAAAGCATTAAGATGGTTTAAACTAATAGTGGATGCACAATGTTTTTATGGCATCGATCCAAATGAACAGTTTCCAAAACCCACTTTAGAGACGATCTGTTCCTTGATCAAGCAATTTGAAGATTTCCAGCTTCTATTAGAATCCTCAAAAGCTTTTATTAGTGAGGAATCTTATAAAAGCAGAAAAACCAGAAATGAGAATATTCTTTTGGCCAAGATACTTGTTAATCTCAAGGCTCTCAAGCCAGCACCTCTTGACAGCCCAACCAGAGAGTCTATAAAAAAGGAATTGATAGAGCTGAGAGCCACCACCCCACAATTGGCCACCACTGTTAAAAGGGAGATAGCCAAAAAATATAATATTTCTTTGAGTGTTGTTCTCAATTTATACAAGAATACCTTTAATACAAGCAGAAAAGTAAGTAAAATATTCATCTCAAGATTTACCTTTGGCCTTCACTAATAGTTCGTTTTGTTTAGGCCAATCCCCAAAATGCTCCGAAAGCCGTCAAAGTATTGAATAAATAACATTGTTTCCCATTGTGATTCAAGAACTTTTCTCCAATCATACTACCCACTATTAAAAAATACTATTTTGTACATTTGCAATGCTCTAGAATAAAATTTTTTTGCATATGAACAACCCAAATGGTGTTCTTAATTTTATTGAACAAGAGAAATGATATCATTAAATTTGAAGGCTAAAGCAAGTACCAATAAAACAGCAACAATGGCGACAACGGTCTTGGTAGATGAAGAGGAAGATGATGATTGTTGGATTTGTTTGGAGCTGCTGGATTTCTTTTTGTTGTTGGAGGTCTGGGTAGTGGTGGCAGTAGCAGTGGTAGCAGGTTTGGATGTCTTTTTCTTTTTGATCTCTGGTTGTTCATTCTTTTTGGCAGGTTCAACGACTGGGGTTGCTTGTGCTTTTGGTGTTGGTACAGGTGCAACTGGCGTCTTTTCTTTTTGTTGTTTGGAGGCGGTGGCAGTTGATTGTTGTGGCTTGGTATCCTTTTGTTTGGATGGTTCGGCTTGTGGTTTTGGTTGTTGCTTGGTTTGGGCTGGAGCTGGAGCTGGAACTGGTGTTGGGGTTGGAGTTGGAGTTGATTGCTTTGGTGTTGATTTGTCATTCTTTTTCTTTTGTTGAGATGATTGAGTAGTTACTGCTGAAGAGGTGGAGGCCTTGACCTTCTCTTCATGATCGTCATCATCGAATTTCAAGTTTGAATATTGATTGGTATGCAACAATGCCTTTTTCTTTTCGTGAGAAATTGGTGCTGATGCACTCTTTTTCTTTGTGGCAGCTCCTGAAGCAGTGGTGGTGTTGGTGTTGTTGTTGTTGTTGTTAATTGACGAGGTTGATTCTGTCTTTGTAGCTATATTCTTTGATGTAAGAGGTTGATAGAAGGTTGGAGCGGTTTGCTTTGCTTGGATCTTGAGTGGAGCAGACAAGGTTTCCTCGTGAGTATCCTTTTCTTCATTGTCGGCAGCATTTTGTGTTGCTATTTGTTCAGCTGGGAAGTTTTCTTCTTCCTCCTTCATTTCGAGCAACAATTCACTGAGCTTGAGATGTGCCTTGTTGGAAGGTGGCAATCTGTAGGTGGCTTGTTGTTGTTGTTGTACAACTTGTTGTTGTTGTTGTTGTTGATGGTGAGCAATAGCATTGCTGTTGTCTTCTTGGTAATCCAAACCCAATGATTGACTCTTCTTTCTCTCGAATGGATCGATACCCCAACCAGAGGTCAAATCTCCTTGGTTATCCCAACCAACAACATGAGACTTTGAGTTGTTTGCAAAGGAAGCTCCATCGTCATCGATAAAGTTGGTAGTCTTTATGGCTGTTTTATAGGTTTCATCGTTTGCCTTTTCCTCTTCTTCTTCCCAAAATTGCTTGTTGTTGGTGTTGTTGGTGTTGGTTGCTGCTTTAATAGACATTGTTGTAATACTACGACTCTCTCTTAGTTGATGATAATCTACAGATAAAAGAACAAGGAGATGAATTATATGATCAAAAAAGATGCAAGAAAAGGTTGCATGTGGTTTGACAAAGTTGGTTTTTTTAATTAAAAAAAAAGTTGGAAGTTCACATATGAAAGACTTTTGCAAAAGTCAACACAAAAATAAAGTTTATTTTTTATGTGAGCGTTTGTTATTACTATTATTATTATTATTATTATTATTTTTTCTATGGCTATTATCATGATCATCATTAATATTATCATTATTATTATTAATATTATTATTATTATTATTATTATTTTGTTTTGATTTTTGTTTTTTCTTTTTGGGTGGTTTTGGTAAAGGGTTTACAATGAGGGCTATAGACATGACAGTCATCAATGCCAATAGAATTATTTGTGATCTAGTCATTTGGCCGGTTTTATCCACTATCCAGAGATATGACTGCTTTATATATTTGTTTTTGAGAAGAATTTGACTCCAAGACGGAGATGTTGGCCCAAGATTTTTAGATATGGTTTCTTCTTCCTCTTCTTCCTCTTGTTTTGTTACTTCATTTTCTTTTTGTTTGAATTCTGATATCTGAGAATCACCATTTGGATGATAGTGACGGTGAACATCAAAGTCTGAGTTTTTAGTCAGTTCTTTGATAAATGTAATAGAGTTTGAGAGTTGGCGGAGAGTATTGATGAGTGCAATAATTTCATTTCTCTGTAGTGATGATTGATCTTCATCAAATAGGATCTTTAATGCAGTTCCCAATCCCAACGTTTGCATCTTTCCATATAGTTTACATTTTTCGCATGTTACGCAGTTCAAGATGGAACTAATATTTTGAAAATGACCTTTAAATTGTGTAATTAAATTCTCCTGTAAGATTAAATAAAGATATATTAGATTAGAGAATAAGATAGGGTAATCATTCTTAATAATCATAATTACCTTATCATATGTATCTTTAAATAATAAAGTTTCATCAAAACTTGGATTGCACAATAAATTTGTTTTGAGCAACTGTTGTACCAAGGCATATGTGGTTCCATCATCAACTTCGTGTCCAGTATTAAATTTATAATCTGTGAGGAATGGACCAATCTTACCAACAGCCCTGTTTTTGTTTGTTAGTAAGAAATATAACCTATTTGTTTTACAATCGATAACTTACCTTAGAACAAAGAGAAAAGTAAAATATAAATTATCTATTCTGTCTGGATGGTTTTCAAATCTATTCTTGAATAGTATTGGATTGTTTTTCCATTCTCCAGTCTTTTTATCTACTTCATAGTTGTGTGTGAGGTGGGTTGTAATCGAAGAATGTAAACCAGATATCAATTTGTAAAACACTCTTTCCTCAAAACACATATCCTCCAAAGGTCCTTAAAGAAGAAGCAATGTTAATAATAATTGTAGTTTAGATTAATTAAAATTATGTTACAACATACTTGTAAAACAATTTTCATTATAAATAGATCTCCAAACAGAACTTCCATCATAACCTGTGAAAGATTCTGGAGTATCATCCAGATTAACATAACTTGTATCTGAGTCAGGTCCGTAAGGAATGACCCACATATCCTCTTTTCTGTCCTTCCATCTTGTGAAACCTTGTGGTGGAGGAGATAGATTGACACGATCACTAGAATGATCTTCGATTCTCCAAGGCAATGGTATTTCATTGTCGTCACATTCGCATACACCACATCCACCATCCATACCACATAATGTTGTTACTACCCAAAATGGACATTCTGCAAATAGATTTACTCTAAAATATTTAAAGAATCTTGTTTTCTTTATTATTGTATTAGTACTAGTGTAATGTTTTTTTAGAGTTGCAACAACTTACAACGACTTGATTCAACACAGAGTTTAGATCCAAGTTTGCTTTGTCGATCATTGTTATTTCACAACAACAATCATCTACTGTTTCTGCATGATGTTCTTTAAACTATGAATATGTAATATTAGTACTACTAGCTTGTTTGTTGAATCACTGATGATCATTTAAACATACCCCTGATAATACACTGATGGTTGATGGTAGAGCCGATGAAGACAAAGGCGGTGCAGATACTACCAAGTTTGTAAACAACAACAACAACAACAATAGTGATATTATTGGTAACAACAAAATGTTTCTTTTCATTTGTTTGTCTAAATAGAGATACTATTTATTCTAATATATATTCATTGAATGTGATTACTAATAGTCTATTAGTAAAATGAGATTATAAAATATGTAAAACTAGAAATTCACAAACCGATTTTTATTTGCAGTGCTTTGTCATCACAATATACGTTTATGAAAGTAGAAGTAAGACGAATTGGCCTTTTCAACTTCTTTGCCGTTTATTTGAGATGTTTTGTCACCACTGATGGCTCCAAAGAGGCAGAATGAATAGAATTTTCAACTACTCTATTTTTTACTTAAATAAATAAGTCTAGTAACAGGAATGTTTATTAAATTAATTGCCCCAATGAAATTCGATATTCCCAGATACTTTAAGAACATCAGAATCGCCCCATCTCCAAATATAATCAAATCATTTTGTTGATTGATTCAATGCTTGCGATGAACCTTGAGAATGTTTTGAATTAATTAATTCATCCACTCGAACCATGGAAGTGGATGAAACTTGGATGCTTCCCATTTTTGAAAATGTTCCTTTAAAAAAGTAAGTATGGATTGTTAATAGAGAATTTAAAAAATATATCTATTCTATATATGTACCTATAATAGTCATGTTAAATAAATATTTATTTACCTATTTTTAATTAAAAAACAATGACAATACATTATTTCATTCCTTTGGTATCAAAAAATCCACTCTATCATGGGTAAACGTCGATATTATCTTAATAAAACACACACCCCACAATCGAATGATGATAATGATAATAGAATAAATCTAGATGAATGATTAATTATTTATTTATATTAATTGTCCATATTATTAATAATATATATGTACATATTGTATGCTATTGATCCATTCAAAAAAGTGATTTAAATTTTGACAATAATCCTTTTTTTTTTTTCTATTCCTCTTGTTATTATTATTATTATTATTATTATTATCTATACCATTATTATTATTATTACTTTCAATCGTATTAATATTAATCTTTTTTTGTTGTTGATGATTTGAAAAAATAATTAAAGGATTATTATGATCTATTAAATCCATAATATGAAAATTACCATTTGAAAATGCAATCATTGTACAGTCGATTAGATTACATTCGTGTCTGAAATGATCCAAAATATATTGTGAAGTTTGTTTGTGACCAGACCTAACTGCGCCCTGCAATGCATCGTCAGACATGAGGTCTGCAATAGTCCTGCTCGGTGTTTGTAGACACAACCTTGTATGTCTTTTGTGTAAAAAGTCCAACACTGCAAGACGGTTATTACCGCTAGCCCAATTAAAAGCCTGTTGTGTTGCACCCTCTGTCCTGTTTTGATCGAGAAAGTCTAAAATCTTGACATGGCCTCTTGAGCTGGCAAACGTCATGGCTCGCATGGTGCAACCTTCTGTTCGAGATTCGTGCAAAAACATCAGTGTTTTGAAATGGGCGTGTGAAGCTGCAAAGTCCATGGCATTGGTTGAACAGCCCTTGTCAGAGTGTTTGTGCAGGTATTCTACAATTTGTTGGAAACCATTCGATGCAGCCCAGTCCATGGCATCGGTACTGCACCCCTCCTTTCTGTGTGACAGCAAAAACTCTACCACATGATAGTGACCGTTTGCAGAGGCATTGTCGACCGCTTCATAGGTCGCACCCTCTGTTCTATGCTGATGCAGATACATGACAACCGAGAGATGCCCGTGGGTCGCGGCAGAGTTGAGTGCTAGCGGTGACGCACTGTACCCACTCTCTGTGAGGAATTTGACAATTGCCAAACTACCATGTGCCGCGGCGCCATCGACCAACATGGACATGTTGAACGGTTGAATACGTTGATGAAGGTATCGAACAATCTCTTCATGTCCGTGTTCGGCAGCCAACGCCATAGCATTGTCCGACAACTGACACCCATTGTCAACGAGATAGTTTAAAATGTCAAACATTCCCTTGGAGGCAGATACGGTCGATGCAGAGTGTGGTATAATAAACTCGGGCAGCACTCTACGAATTATATTAAATACCAACTGAACAATGGTCATTGATCCAGTTCTAACTGCCGAATCCATTGAATAATCTAGATGATTGTTTGGTGGTTGGTCGCTGGCCAATGCCTGGTCAATCAGATATTGAATACATGCAATATTCTGACTAGAGATGGAGGAAGCAACCATACGCCACATATTGGGGGGTTGGGGGACCGATGCAACCAAGTATTCGAGTAATGACAGCTTGGCAGCGTGACAAGCATGTTCGTACAAATCAACGACCGACAATGTATTGGGAGCAGTATCATTCTTTTCAAACTTTGGTTTATAATACTCTAATAGATACTTTAGTATATCCAAATATCCACCTTTGGCACACATATAATATGCCAATGAACTACATCCGTTATCCAATTTAATATTCTCTACTAAATATTCAACCATTTCAAAGTATCCAGAGTTTGCTGCACTACAAGTAAAATAGTTAATAAGTATGATTATAGAGTATTTAATATATCTTTCTTTTGTTTACCTAGCAATAGTAGAAGGACCAATATCAATAAAGTTTTGAGGTTTTCTTGTATGTACTTCATTTGCTTTAGAGGTTAGATCTTTTAGATAGGCTGTTGATTTCTTGATCCATAGTTGGTATGGTTGTGATGGTAGGATATCATTGAATATGTATTTAACAATATCCAATGAACCAGTTGACACTGCTCTGTCCATTAATAACCCGGTCGAATAGATTGCCCGAGGGTCATGTTCAAGCACCCTTTTAAACCTATCGAGTGATGTATTATCAGCCATAAACAAAATAACTTCATCACGAGACAAATAGAAATGAGGATCATTTCTAATCTTTTCATCAAAGATATGATACAATCTCTTATTGATCAACCATCTTGCATTGAGTTCACTGTATCTAAATATTCTTCTTCTACCCAATTCCAGATGTATCTTGTGTACTTGTTGTATAATACATTTAAATAAATAAGTATTATTAATTATTTGTTTTAATAATATTGTTGTTGTTGAAAGTGTTGTTGAAGATGATGAAGTTGTTACAACACTCATTATTATTCTTATTACTATAGTTAACTAATTGAAAACTAAACTAACATTCTTGATATCTCTATCTGTCTCTCTCTCTAGTTTCTAAATATTTAAAAAGAGGTGACTTAATGGTTTTACCGTGTCTTTGAAAGAAAAAAAATCAAAGAATTAGAAGAGAGAGATCGATTTCAGGAAATTAATTATTAATTATTTATTTGTTTATTATGTTTATTTAACATGGTGGCCAGTTAAGTTGTCTACCACCTAAGATATGAATATGTAACCAACGAACCGATTGTTGACCGTGAATACCTTCATTGACAACAAGACGGTATCCAGAATGATCGATATCCTTGAGTTTAGCAATCTTTGGTACCTTTGTCATCAATTTACCCAATACGGTAGCATGTTCTTCAGTGGCATCGTTGATACCTCCGATTGGATGCTTTGGAATCAATAGTACATGAACTGGTGCTTGTGGACTGATATCATCAAATGCAAGACAATCATCATCTTCATACACCTTTTTACATGGAATACTACCTTCAACAATCTTTGCAAAGATTGTATCACGTGGATCTTGTTTAACCTAAAACAGTAACAATAATCAATCAATCAATATTAAAGTATATGTATATATGATTGATTTGATGATAACATACAGCAGCTTCAGTTACACCTGGTTTAGACATTTTAGTAGAGGAGTAATATGAAAGTTGTGAATACTTATTATTATTATTCTGATTATTATTGAATGTTGAAATAAATGATGTTGATGATGTTGTTAATGCTACTTTACAACTACTACTACTAATATTGATTATTTGTTGTTTTGATGATAGATAGATTAAACTTCTTGTTCCTCTAACCAACAACATAATTATTTTAAATTAAATTAAATTCTATTTTTTTGTGATGATGATCTTCACTGGTTTGACAATGAAATTTAATTATTATTTAATAATACTATTTACTATTTTAAGATGATGTCACAATAGAGAGAGAATAGTTAATTCATTCGTCATCTCATTCCTCTTTTATAAACTTATAAAGGATAATGAGCAAGATGAATAGTTTGATAACAAATGAGTAATTACTAAATTAAGAAAATAGTGATGAAAAAGAACATCGGGAAATCCCAACCAACATCAAAGTGTCTTTTCTTTCTCTCTTTCCGAAATTTCATTATAATATTGTTTAAAACTTAGCTTATAAATAATAAGTTTTACTACTACTCTTTTATTATTATTATTATTATTATTATTATTATTATTATTATTATTATTATTATTATTATTATTATTATTATTATTATTATTATTATTATTATTATTATTATTATTATTATTATTATTATTTGTTTAGAGAGGAGGAATGGTTATTAAAATTTGTGAAACTATACAATCAATTAGAGATGAAATAAAGAATAGAAAAAGAAAAGATATAGATGCTTTGGTTACATTTGTACCTACGATGGGATACTTGCATCGTGGTCATATAACATTGGTAGATGTTGCAAAGAGAGATGGTCAGATTGTGGTAGTATCGATCTTTGTCAATCCAACTCAATTTGGACCTACCGAAGATTTGGCAGCTTACCCAAGAGACATTGAAAATGACGTAAGACTATTAAATGAAGCGTGTCCCAATGCCATCCTATTCCTACCATCATCTAAAGAGATGTATCCTAGCGGTGTAGTTAATCTATCCGATGCTACCACCGCCACCTATGTAGACGTTGGATCAATGACAACTGTAAGAGAGGGTATTGCAAGACCTGGTCATTTCAGAGGTGTAGCAACCGTCGTCACTAAACTAGTCAATATTGTACAACCAGATATAATGTATCTCGGTCAAAAGGATGCAATGCAATGTGTATGTCTCAAAAAATGTTTCCAAGATTTAAATAATCCTACTCGAGTGGTCATTGTCGATACGGTCAGAGAACCAAGTGGTCTGGCAATGTCTAGTCGTAATAGTTATCTAACGGAATCTGAAAGATTGGATGCATCTCTTATCTACAGATCAATGAAAGAGGTTGCAAGTGTATATCGTACTCTATCGGTCGAACAACTTCAAGAACAACTCACAACCAAGATAACAAGTAATCCAAAAATGGTGGTTGAATATATTTCTGTTGCCAACGGATCAACCGGGTCAGAATTATCACCATCTCTAGATTCTATACCTCCACAATCAATCATTTCATTGGCTGTGTTTTTTAATGGTCAAAATAGAAAAACTAGATTAATTGATGTATTAATATTATAAAACAAATGTAAATTAAATTAAATCAAATAAATTAAATAAATATTTTGATTAAATTAAATTGATTGATTTATTAAACTGATTCCTTTTCCAATGGAGTAAAACTCCAATGAGGTGTTTGATTAGCATGTGTATAATGAAGATATAATGGTTTATATATATTATTATTTTGATTATTATTATTTTGATTTTGATTTAATTGTTGTTGAGTTATAATACCACCAAATAAAGAATCATTATCAACCAATAATACATTTAAATTGTTTTCATCTAATCTTTTAATATTAAATTGACAGTATCTAAATCCTGAAAAATAGATTGTAAAATCTTCAACATTGGTTTGATTGATGATTTCATCTAATCTAAAACTTAGTGATTCATAAGAATCATAATGTGCAAGTCTACAATATAGTTTGGTAATATTTGATGGTAAACGACTTGGTTGTGTTTGGTTAGGGTTGTTAAAGATTGAAAAGATTGAAATTGAATTAATTATTTCTTTTCTATGTATTATCATTGATAGTGATGTGAGGGATGATGGGAAATCCAATAGATTATAGGATCCAACTAGATTTGAATAATCTATTGATTTTAAAGTTGATGGGTATTTTGGAGGAGGATGGGTAATGAAGATATCTTCATTTTTAGATGACCAAGTTAATTTCTCTAAACCCTCTGGTAGGTTTAGTTGTAGTAAATGATCTGATACATCTCTACTCCAATCTAAACTTTTTAATGACTCTGGAAAGTAATCAACTGGACCATCGTATTGTCCAATTACAAGATGTTTGACAGTCGATGGGAATGACCGAAGTGTCACATCCTTTACAACCGGTCTACCTTTAATTATAATCTTGGTGACACCATTTGGAATTAAACCGATTGGTATAGGTAACTTGCAATCACGTAGTACTAGTTTCTTGAGTGTTGGTGCAAGTTGGCTACTATTACATTCTATCAACATCTTTTGTGATATTTCCAATTTAATCAATCGATTGGGTAAGAAACCATGATACCCAATTAAATCCTCTTTAATGATTAAGTTGACCAATGATGACGACTGTGAAGATGGTAATAAAACTTTAAGGTTTGGATTAAAATGACCTGTTACATGTGTATTGTAATTAAATGTTTCTAGTTTGTCAAGTGCTTGTAAATCCAAAGTATCAACAACAATACCGTCGTTATCAAGACTGTCACAACTTGAAACAAGGTATAATGACTTTAAAGACTTGCAAGTGAGGAAGAAATCAAATGGTGGATTTCTTTCGGCGTACTTTAATCTGATAAAAGTCAATGTGGTTGGTAACATTCCAGTGACTAGGTTTGATACTGTCCCAACGTGTAAATAGGTGAGACTGGTGAGTCGGTTGAGATGAAGACGGTTCATTGGAATGATGTCCTTGTCATAGTGCCAAGTGACAGTCAATGATTCTAACCCTCTCGGTAAACTATTGTCATTGTCACCTTCAAACACCTTTGATGATTGTAATTGAATTGATTTCAAAGTCTCTGGTAATACACCAATTGGTATTTTTGTCTTGTAAAATGATATAACCAACATTTCTAGAAATGGTGGTATCAACGATGATGACGACGATGACGACGACAACGACGAAGACGATGATTGTGTGATCAAACTATTCATTTGATGATACATTGAATCTATAAACAAAGTTTTAGTTGATGATGGTAAACATTTGATACAATCGAATGGGATGGTATTTGGAATGAGTAGAACTGATTGAATGGTATCTTGATTGACGAGACTATGATTTTGAATGATTGAACCATCACTATCAATAAGAACAACATTACTACTCAATCGTAGTATAGTCGAATTATGATTACGTTTATCAATGACAATTAATTGATTCGATAGACTGTTGTTAAATATATTCCTAAAGGAACGTAAACTAAAACAATCTAGTGTATCAAATAGTGGAGCGTACAGTGATAGATGATCATCTTGATCAATCGATCTAATATTATCTTTAAACCTGATATAGTTGTCATGTTGTACTCTAATCTGAGAGAACATCTTTTTACAAGTCAATAGTAGACATAGTATATCTACATTGTCTTTAATCTCTTCTATTATCTTTAATATTATTATATTTGGTATATTTGTTAAATAACTTATAGATTGTTGATTATTATTATTATTATTATTATTATTCATCTTTCTTTCTTTCTTTCTTTCTTTCTTAACTACATTATAGATGTGATGAGAGGTTTTTAAAAGTGATTTAACAAATAATATTGTATACTTGCGTCAAAATATTTGACAGACTCTTTGAACTGAAGCTTGTTGGAAGGAAGATGGAAAATTTCTTTATCAATAAACTATTAACAATAAAATAGGTATGAAAAAGATAAAGAGATTTTCCATCAATATCTTGATACAAATAAAAGGCAAAGAGATCAAAACTAGTTTACCTATATATAGTAGAATGAAACAGATAGTAATATTATTTGATAGTTTTAATTACTGTTACCTGTTTGAATAGAAAATAATTAAAATTTCTAGAGAGGAAAATAATGATGAGTGATTTTGATGGGTTTGTGACAAAACTAATATAATTATAATAATCCAGCCAAGAAGAACATGAAGTATTTATCACTTGTGAAAAGATTTAACAACATAAAATTGGGATCGCTAAGAATAGTGGTCGAACAAGCAAAGAAGAAATATTGGGAATGTTTGTATGTTTGTATGGTTGTTGTTTCAAACTTCAACAAAAACCCCATTTTATATCAGCAGCTCTAAAATGAATAAAAAAAAAAAATAAAAATTTTATCAAGGCATCCAACCATTCTTTTTTTCTTTTTTTTTAATTTGTTTGACTTTAATAATTATTTATATATATTTATTATATTATTTTTATTTATTTATTTGTATTTGTATTTGTATTAACTTGATACCAATCATATGGACCACCATACCAATAAGATTTATGATGAGAGAATATATAATCATGACCTCTATGTTCTTGATAGGAATCGATTATTTTAATGGAACCAACTGGTATAAACTCTCTACTTCTAAGACTGGTAGTATTGAGTTTAATGACACGTACCGATGGTGGAAGTGATGATGGAGGTATCGGTTGATTATAGTCTAACCCAAACTCTATAAATTGACAATTCCTAGGTATATACTTGTGTGGTAGTATCTTTGTAAACTTGTTTCCAAATCGTATATGTGTCAGTGTCGATGGGAAATCTCCGCTCTCTGTTTCTTGATCCAATATCATCATTTTAATATTATTACTATTCATATGATTATTACTGTTACTACTATTGTTATTGTCATGACTTGTTGGATCACTTATACTATAATCAAAATACTTTATACCTTCTGGTAATATACCTTTAATTGAATATGGGTATCTACCTTCAATACCAATATATTTTAATGATGATTTAATTCCAAGTGTATTTTGATTATTATTATTTTGTTGATTTTGTTGAGTTTGAAGATTAAATAAGATATCAGAAGTTAATTGAAATCTAATATCTTGAAGATAAAGTTGAGTTACTGAAGATGGGATATTGGTTGGTCGGAATAACCCTTTGAGGGATAGAGTTTCAATGGTTGGTGGTAGGACATCTGATACATAGTCGACATGTAGACACAGATGTTTGACAGATGGTGGTATAAACGTTGATTGTCTTAGACATTCTCCAACTACTAATAGACGTGTAACTCTATCGGGTACGACAACATCACATAAAACATTTTGTAGACACATTGTTTTAATGGATCTAGGTAGTGCATTAGAGTCGATGATTTTAAAGTTACCAACCAATCTGAGGTACTCTAATGACCCCTCATCAGAGGGTAATGACCCAACACCTAAAATGACCGGTGTCGAAGTTGAATAAGATTCAACTGTCAGTCTCCTAACACTTGGTGGTATCTTTGTATGTCCAGGTTTAAATATAACATCTACTCCCGATCTCCTACCATTTACACACAAGTATAAACTAGTCAATTGATTCATCATAGGTGGTATTTTAATTTCATTTCCTAGTGATAATGATGAAAAGAATAATGTATGTAATGACGCCAATATATCTTCATTATTATTATTAAAAGTAGAAGATGATGATTGTTGTTGATTTGTTGTTGTTATGGTTGTTGATGGAAAATTCCTTGACTCTTCATATCTAATATGAGTTAGAGAAAGTGGAAGTATATCATCAACCAATTGATCGATATAATAACCAAAATAGAGATGAGTAAAGTGGTCTGGGATATCACCCTTGTTGAGTTGTCCATGATCAGACATTAAAAAGAGTCGAGTTGTATAGAGAGATATCAAACCATCTGGATTCTCTTTAAAGTATTTCCACATTTTAATATTGTCAATACAGACTATATGGAATCTCTTTGGAATCAAATGTATCCGATTATCAACTTTATATCTCTCTATCGTTGAAATGGAAGGTAGTCTTGGAAACACCACCGAATACTTCCAATTCAATGCATCTTTACAAGTTGTCAGTAAATTCATTATCGATAAATTACAATCTTCCATTTTAAATATTTCAATCAATGATATTCTAAGTAATGTATTATTGACTAAAAGATTGAAGGAAAGAAAGATAGAAAGAGAGAGAGAGAGAGAGAGGGAAACAATCGATAAAGTTAGTCCAAATTCAATGATTGCAATTAAATTAATAATGTATATTAATCAACACTTACAAAAATGATTTGTTGATTTAGTTGTATTACTACTACTTGGTAATTGTATTTTACTACTACTATTGTCATCTACTATATAGTCCCTACTAATATTAATATTACTACTACGATGTTTATAATCATGTTGTTGAATACTAATACTATTAATATTATTATTATCATCATCATGATAATTACTATTAATATTAGATATAGTTGATTCTACACATTTAGAGTAATGTTCAATCAATAGAGTAGTTGTTGCAATACTATCTCGATGTGATTTGTTGTTATAGTCATTATGAAGTTGGTTACCACTACGACTAATAACCTGTCTACAAATTAAACATTTATCGATACCATTCTCAGCTAATCTTTGAATTAATGATGGTGATAGCGGAGACGATGATAACTGTTGTTGTTGTTGTTGTGATACAGATAATTGCAATGGCAATGCTGGAACTTCATTTTCCAAAAGCATTTGTTTCTTTTTTTTCCAAAAGTAATTTAAATAAATAAATTAACTTAATTCTATTCTATTCTCTAGTTCAATACTTCTCCTTCCTTCTTTTAGTGTAGAATATATAATGTAATGTATGTCACTCAACAAATAATAATATAATGGTATCATCATGCTTGCTCAACGATCATCAAAAGTATGATAATGATTGGGGGTTGAGTGAGTGGTAATCATTGTTGAACAAGGGTTGTTTGCTGCTCTCACCGTCATTAATCAAATTTCCCCCACCTTTATTAAATCTAATCTACTCACAATCAGTTTGATGATAATTAAGAGAGAGAGTGAGAGATAGAGTGAAGTGATATCTTTAGAATAGATTAGATTTAGTAAAAAGTCTTTTTTTACTTTATTTATTTATTTATTTTTATAGGAGTTGTTTTATAATAGAGATTAGGGGAGGAGAGTAGGTTGTTAATTGTGATGTTCAAATGCAGATTTACAATCGACAGAACATTTAAAATACTGAGTGTATTTCTCAATGTTGCATTGAATCAATGTAAATATGTTGGTGCCTATAAATTATGTAAGGGAGGGAGGGGAAAAAGAGAGAGATGGATTAATAATTATTTTGAAACTTCTTCCTTCTTCTTTTGAATTAGATTGAGTTGACTTACAAGGATAAAGTAGGTTAATGTGAGCTTCACAAGTGCTGACACATTCAGTTAATGGATCGGCTCTACTATATCTACTGTATCTATTGTTATATCTATTGTTATTACTACAATGAACCATTGAAATGGAAATGGCTAATACCAATAGAATGGAAATTAATTTATTCATCATCATCATTCTAGATATCTCTATAGCAATTAATAAATAACTAAATAAATAATGGAAGGGTAATAATAATATTATTATATACTTGGTTTGTTGGCAAACATTAATGTACCATACCAACCTATCCTACCGACCTACCTTTTTTCAATTTGATAATGATGTCAATTCTTCATATATATGTTCATTCTTTTATTACAATGTATGCTATGCTTTCTTTGATTGCATATGCAATGGTATATACCATTGTTACTTTGGAGAGGAGAGTGCAGATTTATGCATTCTCTCTCTCTCTCGAAGCACCCTTCTAAAATTGATAGTCGTCATACGATGTTTTGATCAAAGTTCATTGCCCATAAAAATGATAACAAAAATCAATGGTAATGTGTGGTTGAACTACTACAGTAGAGTAGTGGGTGTAGCTGTAGCTGTATTGGTATCTTATCATGTCAATCGATTGATCATCTTTGCTTGCTTGATTGTTGTTAGTTTGCTTGTCTGTTGAATTGTTCTTATTATCAATTATTATTATTATTATTATTTTTTGTTTGTTGGAAATATTTTTTCTAATATTATTATTATTATTTATATTTATTATTTAGGTTTGATTAAAAAAGTTAATCTGTGAATATAAAATTATTAACAATAAAATCAAACCATAATGATATGATTAACAATCTTAATGGAAAGTAAAGTAATCTTGCTAGGAATCCATTCCATCTATTCTTTTTAAATTGGTGTACAAATTTCTTTGGAAATGTCATGAGTTGTTCTTCATCGATATACGATACTCTATCAACCAATTTCTCTTGTAAATGTTTAAATGCATATTGATAACAAATAAATTGTGTTTGAAATATATTTATATATTGTGTCATTGTTACTGCTATTATACCTTGAAAAATTAAAATTAAAATTAAATTAAATTAATTAATTAATAAATATTAATATATTTAAATATCATACTTGAAAATAATAAAGGTAAAATAGGTGATCTATAAATTACATATTCAAATATATATTCAAAAATGTATCCTGCCAATGCTTGATTGCTAGTTATGCTTGATGGCATACTTGATCGTTTGAATAGTATTCGGTATTGTGATTGTTGTACATTACACACTACCAAAAACAATGGAATAAATAGTAGATGAAAGATGATACTTTCAATCAATGCCATCACTCTTTGTGATCCTATCATCTCTACGAATCGTTTAGGTAACATCCATCCATACACTTGATCTAATCCATCTTTTAATACTGGTGTTTTATAAATACTATTATTATCTTGATCATCTTCATCCTTTTCCTTTTTCTTGTTTTTTGATGATGATGATGGTTGTTGTTTACGTCTTGATTGATCATCTTGAAATTGTAATTTAATCTTTATCTCTTGAGTTTGATAAGTTATAAAGTAATTCAATATACCAATTATCAATGATACTATAATCGTTTTGATAGAGAATGGACTGTTATTGGCAGGTGTAGATGACGATGACAATTGTCTAATGGATCTTGCACTGATGAGTTCTTGATACGATCCACATGTCACCAAGATAACTACTAGTGTGTATAATAGAGTAGATATAATCTCTACAGCTACACCACGAATAAAGACAGACCATCCAAACTCATCTATAAAACATTCTTCAGCATGATGTTTCTTTGCAAGTTTGGCACCTTGACTACCACCACTACCTCCACCACTTGAGGAGGTTCTCTGTTGTTGTAATGAATAAAAGAAACTATTGAATCTCTTGATGATTGAGAATACCTGTCTTCTAACCCTCCACAATTCAATAGGGTATACTGCAAATGAAGATACTATACAACAAGGTATCAACACTACAACTATCATCCACACCGATAGTTGTTGTTGTGATTCCAACAGATGTTGTTGTGCTGCTAAATCTTTTTGAAAATTATTTCCTCCAAACATCCCTTCCTTCTTCCTTCTTCCTCTATCTCCTTCTTCTTCTATCTTTCTTATTAACAAATAATTTAAAAAAAAATAGATATAAATATTTGTGAAGTTCACTCACTCTTCTGCTTAGTTTGTTTTTTTTTTTTCCATTTATTTATTAAGTTTTCTAAAAGGTTGAGTCACCTTGAATAGAAAAGTTTTGATTAAAGTATTGTTGAGCTTGAATGTTTGAATTCTTGTAGATTACATTAAAGAAATCGGGTAGATAGAGTTCGTGGTAGTTGGAGTGGGTGTTGCTAGATCTCCAAGTATGACCTTTGTGTTCTTGCCAATCGGCGATGATAGGATCTTGACTAAAGTACATTACTTCAAACTCTGGTTTAATGACTTCAACCTCTTCATATTCCTCGTTGACATCGGCCTCTTGGAATGTTTTGTGGTTGAGGTAGCAGATGTTGATCCACTTTGGTCCTTGGTCACTCAAATGTATGGGCATGACTAGACAATTGTTGTTCTTGTCGATAAAGACATCGTCACATGTCTCTTGCTTTTTAAACAACATTCCATATTCATTCTTTTGTATGCGTAGTTGTATTAAATCTCTTTTCCATCTAAAATAGATATAGGTCTGTGAAGTGTATGGTGCATTCAATATAACTAGATAGAAGAAAGAGATATGTGTTGATGGTTAGTAAGTACTGACACTAACCCATGGGAATTGAATTTAATTTATTCTCTCTCTCTCTCATTGCTTAATGAAAGAACCACCACTTTCATTCATTACCACGACCTTCCACCCTCTTCAACACTTTTGGTGGTCTCTTACCATTATCCATTTTTAAATTTCTTTTGGTTTAACAATAACAATATTTAATATTTGTTGGTTTATATATCTCCATGTTGTTCAACGAAATGACTATGTTCAAGAGATGAGTTTGGTGAGAGGGGTGGTGGGAACTGCAATGAGTGTGTCCAAAAAAGGAAATTATCTAAACTATTTTCGAAATTTAATATATATTTAAATTTTTTTTTTAACAACAAAAATGTTTTTGAAAGAGTGACAATGATCATCAGCTTGAGAGAACATGCTCCACACATTTTGATCAAACTACGAGCTTCAATATATATATTCATATATTTAAAACTATACAGTACTGTACATACATTTTTACTACAAACAACATACATTTATATTTATATATATTTAAACTATTACTTTTTCAAGTCTATAATTGCTTTTTTTTTTATTTATTTTACTTAAGTCATCAATTACATTTCATTACATCTCATTTCGTTCTCAGCTTTACTCAACTCGACTCTGTTGATCTAGATCAGTGTTTGTGAAATGGGAAAATCAAACAAGTTGCATCTTAAATTTAATGTTACTATTTCAGCTCAGTTTGGTAACTCTCCTATCAAGGAAGATGACTGGAACATTGAACTGAAACTAAAGAGTGGTGAAAGAAATAATGAACTAAAAGATGATACAAATAGATTGTTTTTTACAAACAAAAACAAACATGATATTAATTCATTTCATTTCACACCAAACAAGTTACATTCAATCGAGTAAGTACCTCTCCTATTCAAAAAAAAAAAAAAAAAAAAAAAAAAAAAAAAGACTTTTTGGGTAAAATTTAATGTTAACATAAATAATTATTAGAGTCACAATGTTAGGTACAGATTCAAAACTACATCAAATCAAATTGTGTTATTCAACACCAAACTTTGCAAAAGGAGGGGACAATACACCCACCGATTTCACAGGATTTGTGTCACAATGTGAATCAATTACTCTTTTGGTCAAGGACAAAAAGGTCATCCCTTTTTTCGATGCTATGCTTTTGTTCAATCCTGAACTCAAGGGTATTTATGATTGTTATAATGCGTTTCAAAAGAAGGGTCCTCCTAAAGAACCGTCCAAGAGTTCCCTTGGATCACTTTTAAAGAGTGCTTACCACTCTGTCAAGGATGCTTTGGTTGGAAAATCATGGGATCTTGAGAGACTCCATGACGTATTACTATTTATTCAAGAAAAGACCTCTATTAGTCATTTGGATTTAAAAACCATTCATCTTCCAATGGTAGCTGAGTCAAAAATCATTTTCCCAGATGATGCCAAATTATACCAAGAGGATTTTATTAAAAAGGCAATTATATCTATTGCCGGAAAACACGATATGCTCGCAGTATATATTGTTATGAAATTGGATTTGTATGTATCAATCAACAAAACATTTAAAAAATAAGATTGACAAAATCATTTAACATTTTTTTTTTTTTTATAATTTCTGTAGATATCAACCAATCGATGCATTTAAAGTTTGTAATTTATTGGGAGACATTAAAAATGTAAAGCCTGCCTCTATTTCCAAACAATTCATGTACCAAGACTATGCAGACTCTGTCAAAGAATTATATTTCAAGTTTTTACAAAAGAATATGGAAAACGAAATGTTACTCGAGGATTACATCATTCCTTTTGTTTTCAAATCTTATCAGTTAGGGTTGGTACCAGATGGAATAATGAACCATTTTTTCAAGATGGCTATTGGCATCAATTTGTTTCAAAACTCAAGATCAAATGTTTTGGATTCATTCAGCGACATGACAAACCCAAACAAATTAAAATTCCTTCAAGAATTAATCAAATCGACCAAATTTACAGTAGAAATGACTTTGGAGGAATTATCATATGGTTTGGATAATATATATGTTTTGATGAAAAAATATAGCAATCCAGATGCTTTATTAAATTTAATCAAATGTATGTATTCTCTTGTACTTGCAAATAATTAATTATTTATTAATTTCATTTTTTTTAAGCCGTTGATTTTACAACTGAGCAATTAGTTTGTATATATGGAAAAGTAAAAGATATTTCTCCTGAAGCAAAAAAGTATTTATTAGGTATATTTTTAACCCAATATCCATCTTTATTGGTTGATATTCTCTTGGAACCAATCATCAAACAGAATGATGATAATACATCCTCATCGCAGAGTGACATTCAAACTACTAGTACATCTAGTACTAGTACAAGTACTACGACTACCACTACTAGTACGGCTACTACCACTTCGACCATGCAAAACAATGACAATAATGAGAACATTAAGAAAATTGGAAAAGAATTCTCATCTCTGTTGGTTTCATCGATTCAAAAGAATGGATTACTTAAATACAAAATGTAAGTATTTAATTTTATTTTATCAAAACATTGTACGGTAATTTAACCTTTTTTGTACAATATATTAGTTTATTTGAAAACAATAGTATAAAACCATTTTTTGAAGGTGCAATGGCCTCAATTAAAGATTTGAAGCTCAAGGAAGAAGATATCAAATATCTATTTTCTCAACACACCGATTCTAGTTCAATTCTTGTACAACTCCAAAAAATTTATTTGAAATCAACCGATGTGATGGATTTTGTAAAGTTGTCGCTATGTGTCCCAGAGTTTGATGACATCAATGTACAAACTGTAAGTTTATAAAAAAAAAGAAGTTTTCTTTATAGATTGTATATCTTATATATATTTTTTTTGTTTAGTGCATTACCAAAGCAAAATCATACAAAAAGACATATGATATATCAAATTATGAATTTGATTTTGTAAACAAATATCCAAATGTTAGACTGGATATAGATGGCTTTAAGAAATATTATGAAATTGTAAAAAAGATTCATGATTGGGAGGAATATGATATCAAAAATGCAGAGCCACCATACCCTCTGACTCTTATTTTTATAATGATATCAAATTATCGATTAAAAAAACAATTTGAGTCAAGAGATATGAAATACATCGATATTAGAGAACTTAAAAAGGGACTCTCCCTTTTGAACCAATCATATATCCCAACAAATAATCAAGGAAACAGTTTATCACAAATTCTTCAAGGTGGATTGTTGGACAACAATTTCAGACACTGGCCAGAAGAAACTCTTTCATACAAGGAATCTTCTAAAAAGGTAAATAGTCATACTATTATTAATTATCATCCAAAATATATATATCTCTAATTTATTCAAATTTGTATAGATCCAAATCAAATGTGAAGAATATATCAAAGGATTTAGAGATTCATATGACCAAACCGATAAAAATAATAATAATAATTATGTCGAACTTGTAAAGATTTGTAATGTGGTTTTTGGAACATCTTACTCGGATGAAACTCAATCAATTCTCCAAGAATCTTTAGATGTTCAACATAGTGTTAGTATGCTAAGAGTAGCAGTATCGGTATTAACAAAGAAATTTGGGTTTGAATTCTACCGAAACGATCCAACTGACCAGAGACTTGAAACATTACGTCGTTTCAAAACAAAATTAATTGAACAAATACACACAAATAGTGGTAAAAAAGAAAATTACAAAGTCAAGGATGCTACAACAATCGAATTGATTGGTACTTTTGGCAACAACAAATTCTTTGAAATTGTATTGGATCATTTTTTAGAGCCAAAACAAGTCCGTGAGAACCAATACCAATCAATCGACTCTATCATCCAATTTGTTTTCAATTATTTGGAGCAAATAATGAAACAAGATTCAACCATCAAGATCAATACAATCTTTTCAAACATTTTGGAACTCAAAAAGTCACAACCACTTGCATTCAATAATGATATCCGATCAATTTATCATCATTTCTTTAAAGATGACAAGATAATGGATAATAATAATAATATCCATTCAGTATTTGAATTTTTGGACAAGGCTGCAACCATTTATGGTTTCAACAAAAACATCAATCATCTTTATACATTTTTCGAAGAAAATGATTATGTTGTTGTAAATGGATTGGATAAATTCAAAGATCACATCCAAGCTCTCTTGGCCAACAACAACAATGCCACCAATGATTTATCCAAAACAGCTGCATTATATGCTCAACTCTCACAACTTACAGGTGGACTCAAATATGGCCAATTAGAGTTTTTTGGTTGTATCCACAAGGATGTAATCGAGTTTTATGCTGCTTTTGGTGATAAAAAGGCATTTGATCAAAAGAATGGAATTATTACATCAAATCTTATTGATAATTCTGTCAGTTCAGATCTACACAGCAGGGTCATCAATGCCTATGACCATTTAGCTCCATTTATTACATTATACCAAAAAAAGAATATTTCTTTTAACTCGCCAACTGATTTTTGTAGAGAGATTGGTAAATCAATTTCACTCTTGACAGATGCTAAATTAAAAAATATTATTGATATTATTATCAATGTTAAAGATAAAATTGATCCAATTAGAGGTAAGCAAAAAAAAAAAAGAGAGAAAAGAAATTAATAATAATATTTATTTTATTTTATTTAAATTAATTTTTTTTTTTTTTTTTTTTTTTTTAGGATTATATACAGCAAATAGTGGAACATATAGTTCAGAATCAATTTTACCAACTGTTTCATTGATATTAAAAGATTCAATATTTAAATCAAGATCATCAAAATGTGAATCTGGATCGATTGGTTGGGAAGTAGAATTACCAAATTCAAATACTATATTTGGTTCCTCAAACATTGTCGATTTTGATCAAGGTTTATCATTTTTTGTCACTCAGAAACTTGACAAGGATAAAGAACTTACTATTGAATTGTTTACGGATCTAGTTACTAGATTTAAAGAAATTCATGATCTTCATTTAGAATTGGATAGGTATGCAAAAAAAAAAAAAAAAAAGAAAAAGAAACAAATCAAAATAATAATAATATTAATTAATTTTTTTTATTTATTTTAATTTTTAGAATTTATCATCCAGATTATTTTGATGGTAAAATTGAACAAGATATAAAAAATTATGTAGCCTATGATTTGGAAGAATTATTGGGTCGATTAACAAATGATTTCCATAACTGGAAGAGTTCAATCAATCGATTACCAAATGAACTCTTATTATTAAGAGCTCATGGGTTATCATCACTTATCCAAGTCTACAAGGATATTACATCGTATGATTATACAATCCCCAAGTTGGCCACTGCCATCTCTCCATACCTCATTTATTGTTTCCCAAAACTATCAACAAGTGCAATCATTCAAATCTTGGGTGCAAACGATCAAATTACTCGTGGTATGAACTATGAAGATTTCTTTGTCGCCTTTGTAGAGATGATTAAAGAAAAGGATTTCTCTGATGTTTTTGACTATGTTGGAAGTCGTTATGAAAGAGGTGTACAATACTTGTCGTTGGCCAATACCCCAGACCAATTATTTAATGTATTGTTACAATTAAATAATAATGTATTGCCACATCCATCACAAATCTTTTATGGATCACGATTCAGTCAAGATCACGAGTACTTTAAGTCATTGGCCACCAAAGTACCAGAGTCTACCTTGTTTTTGGTTGGCATGCCAGATCAAATGTCCAAACTCATTCAATGGTTGTCTGACCATTACGAAGAACAAACAAATGATGGACTTGGTCGAGTTTACATCATATCGATGGAACAAAACGATGGTGGTGAACAATTCAACTTTTTGCCAACCTATGATCAAAAGTTGGACGGTTCTTGGACAAACTTTAAAAAGTCTTGGACCACCACACATACCGGTCCAAAGGGTATTAGTGGTGTAACCTCTTTAAACTTGGTATATGGTCATAGTGGTAGTGGAAAGACACACTATGTTCGTAAATGGGCATCTCGTGCAAGACCCGATCAACTCTGTACCCTTTACATGAGACCAAATTTCGAAACTAGTACTTTGATTGATTTCTTTCAATCTAGAATCGAGACTGGTCAAAAAACAGAGTCAATGTTACATATCAAACTATCACCATATTGTAATTTCTCTGATTTTTCTCAATTCATCTACCCAATCATTACACATGGATTCGTTATTGGTGATCAAGTTGGATCGATTGTCAATATTAGTGAAAACTTTTCACTTCATATTTTCGTCGAGATTGGTGATGCCAATACAGACTCTGATCTAAAGTTTAATGATTATTTGCCATATGTTCAGAATTCAATCCCACTCGTCTGGCAATTGGCTACCCATCATGCACATAATCTAGAATGGGAGGTTGGAGTTGAAGAGGCCAAGTGTATTCGTTACTGCAATGCTCAAAACATGGCAACTCTCCTCCCCATTTTATCACAAATTGCTCGTGGTGTTGGAGGTCAAAATTATACACCAGACTATCTGTCACACCCTGGATACTACTCTCAAATCAGAAACATGTTTTTGTTGTTGAACGATCGAATCAACTATCATGAAAAGATTTATACTCCCTATTATGCAGAGTTGAGAGCTCAGTATCCAGCCGCTTGTAATAGTCTCTTGTCACCACAAGATCTTCTTAGAATATTCGTTTATGAAGCTGTCAAATTGTCAGACCCTCAATTCTCATCACTCAAGATGCTTTATGAAGCACCTCCCATCCTAACAAGTTTTTCCAAAGTCATGAACGAGTCAAATGCCGAAGAATTGAAAGCTCAAATTGAATTCTTGGACTTTACCAAACCATCTAGTCCTCTAGCTATGAATATCAAGCATCTAGATGCTAGATTTGATCATGAAAAATGTGTTTCCGAGCCACACCATTTCCTAACTGCAATTGCAAATGCTTTTGATATTTCTTATGAAACTTCAATCATTAATAATTTATGTCAACAAGTAAGTATAAAATAGAAACAAAAAATAAGAAAAAAAAGAAATAATAATATTAATTTTATTTATTTTTTAATTTTAGTTTACATTTGTAATGACAGCAGATTTTGCATCAAGATTAATTATTTTACATCAAAAAGTAAAGAATCAATCTGGTATTATTCTATGTGGTGATACAGGTACTGGTAAATCCTATCTCTTGTTGTTTTATTCATTATTGGTCAATGCTAGAAACAATCAATTACCAGATATCCTATTTTCATTGGTCGAAAGAATCAATACTTTTATTACAAGTTATAGTCGAACCACTGTCGACAAAATTCCAAAGGATAATATTACAAAGGAAATAATATTCTCTACATTGTTGGCATTGGAACAAGGAAACGCTGTACCAAGAGGTTTGGGTGACATGCAAAATCAAATGTTGCAACAACAAAATGAATTGGAAAAGACAAACCTGTACTCTTCCATTGAAGAGGAAATTAGAAAGTTGTTGAAAAAGTATGAATTGATTGAAATACCAGACAACAATAGTATACTTGCCAATATCAAGAAACAAGGAAAGAACATCATCGATAGAGATACTCTACTTGGAGCGGTCAAGGAACTTGCCAATGTCAAATTCTCGAGTCTCTACACTCGTACAGTCATGCATCAAAAATTCTCTAGTGATATGTTTATCAAATTTGTAAACGATATTATAGATGAAGCAAAGAGATTGGCAAAGATTGATAAGAATCTCAAAAAGGTTGTCTTTATCGATGAATTCAATACTTGTCCAAGTGATACCTTGTCTCTTATATCAGAGGTATTTTGTGAAAACAGTTTAGATGGTACTCCATTACCAAAGAATATATTCTTTGTTGGTGCCATGAATCCTAAGCATATTATTCGTCATCAAGACAACAACAACAATAATAATAATAATAATAATAATAATAATAATAATAATAATAATAATAATAATAATAATAATATAGTTTATAAACCAATATTTGCTCCAAAAAGTCAACAACCTCTAGAACAATCACAACCAAAACAACAACAACCAAAGATTATAACATCAATTGATTTTACAGGACAATTAACAGTTACAAGTCATATGGATTTTGTTGTTAGTAATGAACCACCATCAATGACTAATCTTATTATGAATTTTGGTACATTCTCTGAAGAACAAGAACCAGAGTTTATTAGAAGCTTATTCCGACTCAAACCTATTGGTAATGATCAAGAATCACTCATTGAATTCTTGTTACTTGGTCAAAAGGAATTACGTGCTGTTGGTGAAATGCGTGTACATGTCTCTATTAGAGATATATTTAGAGCTATTGGTACATACCGATTTTTCATGTATGACCCGGCTGGTCAAGCCATCCTCAAGTGTGCCATCACCAAACCTAAAAACGACAAGGAGTTTGGTGATATGGAAGACACTGATGCTATTAGACATTGGATGGCAATTATTTGTAGCATGTCTATGAACTATTTGTTTAGAGTCGGTCCGAGCAAGAGACAAAGAATGTTGCTCGCCTTTAACGCTTTTATCAAGAAAAAGGTGGGTCAAGATATTAAATGTGATTCCATGTTTAAACATATCTATAACAATTTTTGTATCAGTTCAACGTTGCCTGTTGGTATTGCTCTGACAGATGCATTACAACTCAACATGTTTTTCATGGTTGTTTGTCTATGCTGTAATATACCCACTTGTATTGTCGGTCCGCCAGGTTGCTCAAAGACTCTTTCATTTAGTTTGGTTGTTGACAATATGACTATTAGCAACAAGCATGCCTCTGACGACGCTTCTCCTTGGACGAAAATGCCAAATATCCAACCATTCCGTTCACAGTGCACCCAACATACCACCGATTCGGAAATTCAAAAGAGATTTGAACAAGCACTTCAAAGACAACGATCGTACAAGGCTAGTGGAAACACTAATCAAACCAAATGTTGTGCATTCTTTGATGAAGCTGGTCTCGTCGATGAATCATCAAAACCAATGAAAGTGATGCACGATTATTTGGATAAATATACCAGTTCCTCCTGTTCGTCTGAAAAGGATGAAGCCAGCATTGGTATTATTATTCTAAGTAACAAAGTACTTGATGCTGCCAAGACCAACAGAATGATGCTGCTTATTCATCATGACCAAATCACAGCAGAAGATGAAAAGGCATTGGTCGCAGGTTGTTTGTACAACAATGAAAAGTTGTCGGCTAGTCGTGTAAAGATATGTGACGCACTGTGTCGCGGCTACCATCAAGTAAATGAATTTTCAAAGTCTACCAAAAACCAACTCTACCACCAAAGAGACTTTGTCTTCTTCCTTCGTCATTTGGCTCGTGGTATTGAAAAAGAAGGTCTCACTCCCAAGGTACTGTTAAAATCGTTGGAGAGACATTTCAATGGTGTGCCATTACCTGAATTCAAGAAATTGGCAACCATGTTCTTTACCGAGATGAGTAAAGAGGAATCTCATTTTGCAATCAACGCGACCACTATGGCATTGATTGAAAAGGACAATACCATTGCTCGAATCAAAGAATCATTGACCGAGAAATTTACAGTTGATGATGATCCAAGTACTTGTGTATTTAGATATATGATGTTGATTGATCCAACTGAAAATGAAGCATCATTATCTCTTCTCAAGGAAATGGGTATTAAACACAAGATTATTAGGGTTGGTGGTTTCGCTGAAGACGTTGATCCTGAATCTCTTGTAAAGGTGGTCACTCAAATCAAGAATGAAATGTCGGTTGGTGGTGTGGTTGTATTGGTCAATACACAATTGATTGATGCTTGTTTCTATGATGTCATCAATCGCTACTTTCAATCATCACCCAAAAACAATGGAGACAAAGAGTTTGTGGCAAATGTTAGTTTTGGTACACATGCAACACTTTGTAGTGTTCATCCAGACTTTAGAATCATTGTTCATATTCCACAATCACGTCTCTCTCAAACTCCTCTACCATGGTTTAATCGTTTTGAAAAGTATCAATTGTCAATCGACAATATGATGAATCATTATTTGGATGAACAAAATCATAAACCAAACAACTATACAGGTGATCTGTTAAAACTTGCGGCCAACCTCAAACAATCGGCCAATCATTTTGTCGATACATTCCACACTAAAAACTCCAATTCAACACTCTTGTCTGGTTTCTCAAACGAGACTGTATCATCATTGGTCTATACATTTATTAAAGAGGTGGTTGAAAAGGGTAGACCATACAATGTATTGCCGTATCGTACAGATGATCAAGATTTCTTGGTTAAGGAAAGATCAAGAGTATCGGCAGCCACTTATCGTGAATTAAATTGGAAACTATTACAAATTGCAAGACCTGAAATCATATTCCATTCTCCAAATCATGGTATGGATATCAGTTATATGGAAGAATATATCAATAGACAGGAACATTTCAATACTCTACGTTTTCTTCATCATTTATTTGATCAATTTTCAAATAGAATAGAAATTGATAATGTACCTCAACCAATCGCACCAAATAACAAGTGGGTCATTTATACTCGTACCACCCAAACTCTTACACAAACCCTCAAAGATAGTATCAATTTGGATAGATTAAAAGAAATTTTATTATATCCCATTCAAATTGATGCAAAGATTAAAAAGAGTTCAATGTTGGAAATTATTCAACTTGGTAGTTTCAAATCATCATTACAATGTAGTCAAATGGTTCAAGAGATGAAACAAAACACAAAGACAAAGATATTTATTGGTGTTGCTGATTGTTCAATTGTCAATCAACATCAAATCAATTTCTTTATGGATCATTTCTCTGACTTGAAATCAGACAAGTTATTTGTACTATTATGTCACTATCCACCAGAATCATCTGTATCAAATAGTAATAGATTGAACAGTATATTCTTGAATGGTTTTGAATATGTATACATTGACTCGCTGGGTATTAGAATTGATCGATCTCTATTGGAACACTCACCAATGAAAGAATTAGAGACAGACTTTAGATCACTGATTTCAAAGTCTTATGGTTTGAATGTACCAATTGATCCAAATCATGTTGGTGAAATATTCAAAACTCTCTTTTTCAAACATCTTGCAAACTCTGCCACTCAAATGTTGACTGGTAACAATAATCTCAATATCAATCGTCTACCAACTAGAGAAGAGAGAGAATTTTATCACAAAAAGTCAACTCGTTCAGACTATATTATTCAACTGTTTGAACGTCATCCAGATTGGTATAATCCCATCATTGCTATATTTATAGATAAATGGGATAGAGAGGATATATTTAAAGACATTATTTTAAATATTTCAAATTTAATAGCAACTGGTAAATTGGTAGCATCCTTTATTGATGCCATTCGTTCATCGATTGATACATTCCTCTATCCAGTTGTATCACAAATTCTCAAGATTATTTTGAATCATCTTGCTTTTGGTACCGTCTATCATCACGTTGAACCAAAATCACCAACCGAAAAAATTGTTACTCTATTCTTACACTCTGTAAAGATCCCAAGTTTATCAAAGGATATTGAAGAGAGATTAGAACCAATTCAATTGACAATGACTGGTCCCAAATTTAAACCAAGTCAATTCCCACTGTTTGACTCTATTTGGTCAGTCTTGACATCGGCTTTTGATTTTGTCAATTCTGATAATCAAAAAGATCGTACCCAAACAAATTTAATGGCTGAATATATGAAACATATTAAAGGTCATCAAATTGGAAAACTCGTAGATTATATCAACGATGATACGACCTTGTCAAGATCATTCAAATCTGATTTTGTGACAAGAAGTTTAATGTTTGCACCAGAATGGACAGAGTTTATCATTGGTGTTATCGATCATCTTTCACCGATCCGAACAAACTCTATTTTGAAATATGTTACACTTAAACAATACCATTCTGATCTTTTGGTATTTTTAATGCACATGATTCAACCAATCACAAATCTTCAAGGCGTCGATATCAACCAATTGATCAATTCTTTTATTGAAAAGTTTGATGAAAATCAAACACCAGAATTGGTAAAGACTGTAAATATCAAGAAAACAATCACTCAAACAAGTCTTGATATTTTAATGGAAGAGATTAGACAATTGTATAATAATGTTAATAGTCCAATGAGAACAACTCAAGATGATATTACTATTACGAGTCGTACAGTTGATGATGAATTTTTAGATATCATGGTATCATGGTCATCAGTGGTAAAAGAAATTCTAAATAGAATTCATATTCAAGATATTATTAAAGAGAGTAGTGGTAGTACAGGTGGTGGTGTATTCAGAAAGAAAGTTGATAATAATAATAGTAATATTGCAAATGCTATTGTTATTCATATTCATTATCAATTATTTATGAATATTTCAATCAATGTCAAAGATATTGGTATTGTAAAGAAAATGTTGGCCATTATATTTTCACAAACCCCCATTCAATCAACTACATTGGCACCGATTTTTGAATGGTTGGCAATTGTAAACGCAAGATTACACGAAAGAGAATTACCAATCATTCCAATCAATTGTATTTTGGATATTATTGAACCAGTGATTTCAAGTTCACAAAACAATACTATAGAGTTTATTCATCTATTGGCAGGAGATAAAAATAGATTCCCAAGATTAGATCATTTTATGATTCCATTTGGATGGTCTTGTGAAATGATGAAACTTTTACTCGTTTCCAATACAACACAACTAATAGTTAAAACAACAACCAACCAACTATTGACCAATGGTAATGATTTTATCAACCCAACACTTGTTACAATGCATGATAAACCAAATACCAAGTTGGCAGAGTTTTACAAATTGACAAGAATCCCAGAGAATAATCAATTGTTTAATATTGTTTATTTTGGACTTTTGGCACAACCAATTGGAAAGAATCTTAAAAGAGATCAATTATTCCATACTCTTCGTAATCAACAAGATGTATACTCTAAAATCGAATATTTTGTAATGTCTAGACAATATCTCGATGAGATTCTCATCCCAATTCTCAATCAAGATCAACTTGAACTCATTGTTGAAACTCATCCTCAACTACCAATACTACAGTCCATACTTTCAATACAAACTGGTACAGTTCACGGTGGTGAAAGAGAGATTTGCAATCGTCGTGCAAATCATGCATACCTCTTTAACAAAATTCAAAACGAACAAGTATTGACCAAGTTTTTAAAGTCGAATCATTGTTTGACTCTTCTGGGAATTAAAGAGTATCTTGTAAAGGATGATAATATATCAGTGAATCTTTCACAATTTTCATTTGTAGTGGATAGAGAAACAACAGATGGACAATTCTATCAAACTTTGGAGAACATTGTCAAAACAAATGACGCTCCATCATTGGAAGGATTGGTTAATAGAATTTTGGCACACCAACATAGACCTCGATATATTGGTTTCTTTAGAATGTCATTGTTCCTCATTACCTATTCAGTCTATATTGAAGGAAATACAAATGCACTAAAATTTGTAAAGATAATTTTATCAGACATTAATATAGTCAATGCCTTGGGATTCCAACCATATATTGTCTACTTTAATTTCATTCTCAATGGCACCTTTAACAGAGTCAATAGAGATTTTGATAATATATTGGTTGCTAGAAACGACAAGTGTCTAGAGGATAGATCAGCAGCCCAAACATTGGTAAATGTTGCAGCCGTTGCCATTGGATGTTCACCCAACCATTACCTTTTTAATATAATGATCAATCCAGGAATGGTGTGCCTTCGTCCATACATTGCAAACGAGACTATTTTCAAGGATTGTGGTATGAAATATAGAGACCACGACTCTCAGGAAATTATCCCAACAACAAATAGTATGGGAGGAAATATCCTCAACAAGTTTATTGTAACGACAACATCATGGGGTGCCATGGCATGGAGTACGATAAACCCAAATCATCTTGGAACCATACAACAAATCATGTCATATTATCGTGCAGATGATGTCTCTCCAAGAAATTTTGTCTCACTCCGAAGTCTCACATCCTTTGGTGAAATCGTCAAGAACCAAATGATTCAAAACCAACATATCGATGCTTCTCACTTGGTCAATGAATTCTTGTATCGAGTTTGGGATCAATCCTATGTTAATCCAAACGCTTCTATGAGATCGTCATTCCTTGAACCTCAGATTCGTCCATGTGAAGAATATTTAACCAGTATCATCAATGGAATCAATCAGCAATACCAACCACTCAAACAACATCGAATCGATTTGGTAAAGAATCAAGATTCGACCCTCAAAAGGATTCAATCGTTGAGAATGAAATACTCTCTCTATTTCAACTCACCATTCTTTGGTTTAGAGGACATTCACCATCTTATTAGTAGTGGACCACTGGACAATTCAAATCCTCTCTTGTTGTTCTTCTCTGCCAACATTGCCCAACTATGTTTGTCATCGGATATACCAACATTGATCAACTTTTTAAATATTCTGTTCTCAAGTTTTAATAGAAGATTACCACAAGACTATGCAAATTACTCTATTCCTCAATGTATAGACTTTTTGGCAAAAGTAGAATCATTTGAAACGATTGCATCGATACGATGTGCTTGGGACAATGTTAAACAAGCTTGGGTTCGCATTTTAAAGCATCTCAATACAATGGAAGGTGGATGTCAAGAAAGACCAGATTACGAAAAGATTATTCAAACCATTGACGATCAAACACCACTTCAAGCTTTAATCTATACAAAAGATAATGGTGATGGTATCATCATTACTCTTATTAGTAATTGGTTAGAACAATATCAATCCAAAACAATAGATCTTCGTAATCAAATGGTCAAAACCAAATTGTTTGGTGATATTATTCAACCATTGGTTCAGAGTCAATTAGATTCAAAGGTTCTAACAACAATTCCTTATGATTATGGTGAGAATTATTTATTGGTTGGTTCAAATCTCAAGGTTCAAGAATTTATCCAATTCTTGTCAAGTTCAGCTTCTCAATACCTCTGCTCTAGTGATAGAAACAAGTTTTCACCAGACTTTGGTTCCATTCAAAACAAATTGGTATGTCACTTTTTATGTGGCAAAACGGAACAATACTCTATGAATATGTATAGAATTGATTTCCCATTTATCCATACCGATGTACATCATCATCATATGTACAATAATAATGAAAAGTCAACTATTCCTTTGATTCATGATCCACTCAAGACTCAATCAATCAAGGATCTACAATTACTCAAAGATAAATTGGACAATACCTATTTTGGAGAGAGAATCAAAGAAGATGTCAAGATTAAATTGATGACCTATTGTAAATCTAATCATATTGAACAAGTTGCAAGATATCTCATTTCAATTATCACATTGATTAAAAGTGACTCTAAGCAACAAAAAAAAGATTTATTCAAGAATAGTCTTGAATTACCAATATTTGGATATGGAGATATGAAGGGAATTAAATTGGTATTGGATGACAAGGCAAAAAAATTATTGGATTCAATAACAGTCTCACGTCTTATTAGCGTGATTGATATTGTGGTTGATGGATACTTTGGATGTGGTTATCTTTACTCGACTGTTGTCAATGAACCACCAAAACCAGATCTTGTCATTATGGAATCACTCGGTCACATTAAAGATATTGTCTCTCAAAATGTTCAAGGTAATAATCTATTGGCAAAAGATTGGCTCAACTATCTAAAGAGTGTATTGGATCAATTAAACTCTGTAGGATGTAGAAGAACCGTTTCAACCACCAAACCAAATGACCCATTATCACCATACATCTTCCCATACGTTGAATCTATTCAACTACCAAATGGCCTTCATTCTTTTAAACAATTGGTACCGACAAACATGGTTATTTCATATTATCCCATCTTTATGAGAACGATTCACGAGAATATTTCTCTTGTCTATATTTCATTACAAGAGATGCACAAGAACCAGAATCAATATCAAGAACCATTTGCTAGGGAAGAAGATCAAAATTTAGACGATTTTGATATGAATTCATCATCATCGGACGACACAATTACAGCCCAGTTAACTTCTGATTCCGAATCTTTCCAAGATGATTATAGTTATCAAGATGAATCATTTGGATCAGATACAGATGATGACTACGACGATGACTCTGACGACGAAACAAGTGATGACATGGATCAAGAGAACAGCTATGATGACATGGACCACCAGATTAACCTTGTAACTATTCAATACCACGACGATACCAAACCTTTTGTTCCTCTTTTATGGACTTGGATTGGATTTAATAATAGTGTCATCAATAATGTTTCAGGAACATACAACAAGGACAAACAAAAACTATGCAATCTACTTGGTCGATTCTACAAAAAGTCAACCCTATTTGGAAAGAGACATTGTCAACCAATCAATGTAGATGGTATAATGGGTGAACTTTGTAAAATAATCAACCCACAAATGTTAAATGATCCTTCCTCTTGTTTGACCGAGATCTTATTGAATATTGACAAGGAATCAAAAAATTTGATCTACAAAACAGAGTATTGTTGTCCAAAATGTCAATCCCCACTCTCTACTATCAGAAATGAATCAATTTTTGTCTATAATCAAGAAAGAGATACAAATGTCCTTTCAATCATTAAGCATTCAATTAAAGATTCTTTCTATTCTTTACCTGTTAAAACGTAAGATATCAAACAAAACAAAACAAAATATAGAATAGCATATTAATATTTAATTAATTTAATTATTTATTTAGATGTAACAAATGTCAAAATGTCTCTATTCCAATGGTAAGATTGGCTGAATTCCCAACTTATATTATTATTAGAGTCGAGAGAACACAAGATTATAGAGTAGAAGCATTTGATGTACAAGTAAACCTTGGTGAAATTTACAATGATTCAAGAGACTTTATTTATGGTCTCAATTCTATAATGGTAACTATCGATTGAATCATCAAACATTCATAATGTTTATCTCTAACAAACACCTATATTATTTTTTATGATTTAGTATCAAGATGGAAGTAGTTTAGAGATGATGTATGATGATACTGTATTTGGAAGAGTTCTTTCAAATGGATTCAAAACAAAAGTATTATCACAAGACCAAGAAATCAACCAACAAGTCAAAGAGATGAATTCTCTCATGATGATATTCAAGCTACATACAAATAGACCAAGAATTCAAGAACCCTTGTTTGATTCTTCTATTCCATCATCAGACCCAATGAGTTCTGAATAATAAACTTTAATAATATATTAATTTAATTTAAATTTAATATAAATATCTTTCAAGAAATAAATTTATTGAAGAGTAATAAGAAGGAATAATGTGAAATTAAACCCGTGGTTGGACCAAATCTGAATAAAGAGAGTAGAAAGAGTAAACATAATCTTGTTTCCTAAACTTGTGGTAAGGTATCTTTCATTATTAGGTATCATTGTGTGATACAGTTATTGTTATAGAGGGAGGTTTGATTATCTAAATTAAATAATAATTTAGATTAATTTAGTTTTGATGCATCAACTAAAATTATGAATAACTTTTTAACTAGTTGTTGCTCACACATTCACCTTTTGTAGTCAACAACCAAATTAATTAATGCAAGCAATAACATCAGTTAATAGTAGTAGTAGTAATCTTACAATCTACAATAGTAAGAATCTAGGAGTATCTTTTGATGATATCAAACAAGCCCATGATAGAATTAAACCACACATCCACAAAACACCCATCATGACTAGCTCTGTTATCAATGATATGTCTGGTTTTGAATTATACTTTAAATGGTAAAGAGAGTAAACCTATTTAATCAATCAACACCTCACTCATCTTTCAAATATATATCTATCTATCTAGTGAGAACCTTCAAAAAGTAGGAGCATTCAAATATAGAGGAGCTTGCAATTCTATTCTAAAGCTTGATGAACAAGATGCAAAAAAGGGTGTTGTTACTCATAGCAGTATGTTAGATAAGATAGATAGATAGATAGATAGATAGATAGATAGATAGATAGATAGATAGAGATATCAAACAAAAACAAAAAGGTTTCTAATCAACTAACTTTATTCATATGATTGAAGGTGGTAATCATGGACAAGCAATAGCAAAAGCAGCACAACTAAGAGGTATACCTGCTTATATCGTAGTACCAAATAATGCACCAAAAGTAAAGTTGGATGCTATTAGAGGATACGCTGGTGAATCAAATGTTGTCCTTTGTCAACCAAATTTACAATCTCGCGAGAGTACTTGCAACGACCTCATAACCAAGACTGGTTGTACATTGATTCATCCATTTGATAATGCTGATGTAATTGCTGGTCAAGGTACTGTTGCAATCGAATTATTATCTCAAGTTGATAATTTAGATGTTATTATTTGTCCAATTGGTGGTGGTGGTGTTGTATGTAATAATAATAATTATAAATATTTATTTAATTTAATTTATTTATTTTCTCTTTCTTTTTAATAGTTATCAGGAGTTTGTATTGCAGCCAAAACATTAAATCCTGATATTAAGATTATTGGAGTAGAACCATTGGGAGCTGATGATGCAGCACGTTCATTGGAAGCAGGTGAAGCATTACCACATCTTCCAGGTAAACCAAATACAATTGCTGATGGTTTACTGACATGTGTCGGCAAATTGAATTTCCCAATCGTTCAATCTTTGTGCGATGGTATCATTACTGTTGATGATGAAGAGATCAAATATGCTCTCAAGACTATATGGGAGAGAATGAAGATTATTGTAGAACCTTCATCTGCAACCGTTCTAGCTGCAGTAAATAGTCAACAATTTAAAAAGTATTCAAGTGGTGTCAAAAAGATTGGACTCATTGTCACTGGAGGTAATGTAGATATGGTTCAATGTGCAAGTTATTTTGCTTCTTCAAAGTAAACATAAATAAAATTTATTATTATTATTTCTTTAATGGAAGTAATGATGTTAATTTTGATTTAGTTGTTGAAGGTGAAGGTATTGTTGATGATGATGGAGTAGTTGTTGTTGATGTTGATGATGATGATTTAGTAGGAGTTATAGGTGAAGGAGAAGATTTTGGTTTTGCTCCCAAAGTGAATGGTGCAGATACTGTAGCTGTTAATTTAGTTCCTGGTACTGGTGATTTGGTTGGTGTAGATGGTGCCGATTTTGTTGTTGTTGTTGGTAATTTAGAAGTATTTGATAATGGCGTAGTTGATGATTTGGTTGGTGTTGTTGGAGCCGATGAGGTACTTGTAGTAGTAGTTGGTTTACTCGCAGATCTACTAACGGGAGTTGGTAATCTTGAAGGTGGTCTAGCTGGAATATTTGATTTGGTAGGAGTGACTTGTCTCAATGTACCACTAGCAACACTGGTTCGATGAGTACCCATTTTATATTGAATATCACCTGCACCAATATCATCTTGTGGGTTTGGTGGAAGTGGAGTACCTGATCTTAGTTGTTGTTGCTGTTGTCTTGAACTAGTACTTCCAGGGAGTGGAGTACCTGCACGAAGTATAGTCTTGGTTGCCTTTATGACATTGGCATTACTACTGCCACTACGAAGATTTTGGGTGGTTTTAGAGACTCCAGAAGACTTGTCAGTGGCAGTAGTTTGAATTTGAAGTTTTTGCATTTCACCCGAGTGTTCAGAAGCAACATCACCAACCTTGTCTAGATCGGCAGCTTGAATAACCGAGTTGTAACGAATCAAAAAGTCTTTCAATGTCATCCATCCACCACCTACACGAACCACAATGATATTGTTGACACAACGCATATTGACTATAGTGTCACCCCATTTGTATTTGTTTGGTCCAACTCTTTCGATTCTGTCGGGCAATACAATCGATGGTGGAAGAATCTTTTTCATGGTGACATTGAGGAATTCGGCAAAGATACGATCAGTAGTATCACTAACCACTGGTTTGTATGGTGGATGATTTTGAACGGTACGATAGGTTCTATGGAATGTATAATCCTTCTTTTGTGCTCTACTGTCACTTCTATTCTCCAAGTTTTCATTTTCATGATTATTAATATTAACATCATTTGATAAATCCAAATCTACATCTACATCTTGAATGACAATATCCAATGGATCCTGTTCAACATGATTTAATTTAATTGATCCAATAGGTGGCATTGGTAATGGTAATGGTTTTTGGTTCTTTGTTGGTGATGGTGAAGGTGGTGGTAAAACTGTTGTTGCTTGTTGTTGTTCTTCTTGTTGATGAACAGTTATAATAGTTGTAACCTTTGTAATTACCTCAACCTTTTCATCGTATGATTTTGTTTCTCCTCCAGTTTTGATTGTTGGATAGTTGGTTTCAATCTTTTCCAATTTTAGAGGTGATCTTAATTTACTTTGACTTGGAGGTCTAGCAATTTGTGATACTCTATCTTTGGATGGTGATGAGAATGGTGAATTTAATGGTGATCCTGATGGTGATGATACTGGTGTAATAACATGTGAGAATACTGTCTTTTCTATTGGTCTTTTTAATGATCCTTGAACCACTGTAGGTGATGATTTAATCTTTTGATTATTATTATTAAGTACCAATGTTGAACTGTCTGGTGAGATATTATTTTTATCTATTAAACTACTATCATTTAATGTTTGATTAATCTCGTTGATAGTTGTAACACTTTCTACTAATGTTATATTTTGTTCTGTCTTTTCAACTTTGTTGTTATTATTTTGTAGTTGTTGTTCAGCCATGAATGATTTCTCCAAATTAATTCCAAATGTTTCTCCTCTTTTCTCTTGAACTGAACGATCTGAGTCAGTTGATATGATTTCTGCAGTATTTGATGTATTGGATGTTGTTTCACCAAAAGATGGTTCCATTTCATCAATATCTGAAGATTCCAATGAACTGGTAGCTGATTCTAGTGACTCTAGTGATTCATCCTCTTCCTCTTCCTCTTCTTGCTCTTTCTCTTCTTGATTTAATTGTTCAAGAATTAGATCAGTTTCATCAGAGGCAACAATAATATCAGAATATTCTTCATCATGATGATTGTTTGATATCAAGTTCATAATATCCATAACTTGTGATTCCAATAATGATGGTGTTTCTATATCTTCTACATATTCATATTCATCCTCATCTTCATCTTCATCTTGAATAGATGATTGTAGTTGTTGGTCAAGTTGTTGTTGTAATTGTAATTGTTCATCTGATTTGAATATATCTTCTGACAAACTACTTGGAATTTGTTGATCTAATGTTTGACTGCTAGTAGTTGTAGTTGTGGTGGTTTGGATGATATTATTATTATTTTGTTGTTGTTGTTGTTGTTGTTGATTATTTACAATATTTTGAAGTGATAATATATCATCCTTGGTAATAACTCCACTTTCCAAACTATTACTATTATTAAGATTATTATTTCTTCTAATATTTACTATATCTAGACTCTTTCTTTGATGAGAGAGAATAGATGATCTAGGTGATTGAGATTGCTTTTGAGATTCATCAAATTGATTCTTTGATTTCAAAAATGATGTTATCGATACTCCTCTTGATTTTGGTGGTATTGAATCTGATTCTACATTGTTATTATTATTATCCTTTGAAGAAGGTGAAGATCTATCTGCTATAGTAGTTGTAGTAGTTGTAGTTGTCTGATTATTATTTGATACTTGTTGTTTACTATCATTGATATTTATATTGTTGGTATTTAATGATTGAATTTCATCAGCAGTTACCAAAACTGAACGTCTTTTACCAATTACAAATCTCGATCCAGATCCAGACCTAGTTCTATGTGCCGATACGAATTCTTGGCCTTGAACTTTATCTGTAGAAGTAGTGGTGGTCGTGATCGTAGCTTCAACTACTACTGTCTGTGTCTCTTTTTGGACTATTTCTTCATTTGCTTGAGTTGATGACGATTGTTTGACAGTACTACTGTCCTTTTCAATCATTAAGGAATTGAAGTGAACATTTTCAATATTAGAATCGAATTTTTTTTCTTGACTATAATTATTATTATTATTTGATGAGCTGATAGTTGGGTTTTCATGTTTCATCGCTTCGTCAATTTGGATAAAAGTAGTTTCAACCACATTCACTTGAACTTGTTGTTGTTGTTGTTGTTGTTGTTCTTGGATAACAGTATTAGGATTGATCAGTTCTTTAGTGACTTGACTTGGCTTGACATTTTCAAGATGAATATCCGATTTAACAGACTCACTTGATAATTTGTCAATTTGACAAGGTATGGTTGTTTCACTATGGTTGATAGTGTGAATATTATTGTTGTTGGTATCATTTAAACTATTATCAATGTAGTTGTTGTTGTTGTTGTTGTTGTTGTTGTTGGTTGTTCCATCAATCAAAGGAATGGTTGTGGGGGTGGTGGTGGTGGTGGTAATATTTGATTCACCTTGTCTAATTGAAGTTAAGGCTTTGGTTGATTCTTCTACTTCTACTTCTCCTCCTTGCTCCTCGACTATAGTTGTAGACGATACAACAACTACAGACGATTCAATTGTAGTAGTAGTAGTAGTAATTTCTTCAATCTCTTTTGCAATGACCTCATTTGAGATTGATAGTTGAGTTGATTGATCTTGATTGATAACCTTTTCCGGTAAAGATGAGATCAATGATGATGATGAATCATCTTTCTTTTCTTTAGGTACCTCTTTGAGAGGTTGTGAGGAGCCAGTACTATTAGTTGAATTATTATTATTATTATTATTTACACTTGAACTATGGTTGGAGATAGTTTCATCAGTAGAAGAAGTTGTGGTGGTGTTGGTGGTGTTAGAGTTAGTGACGGTAGTATTGGTATTGGTATTGACAATGACAGTAGCTGTCATTTCCAAAGAGGATTCAGATGGTGTTGAAGGTGTTGGTGTAGTTGGTTGTGGTTGAGATTGCGGTTGAGATTGTAATGGTCTCTGAGCAGCAGGTTTCTTCTTCTTTCTTCTCATCATTTTAAGTGGAGGTGGTAATGGGATATCTTCCAATGTTGCATAATTGGAATTATTATTATTGGTATCATCGGTAGAAGATGAGGATGAGGATGATGAAGAAGAAGAAGAAGAAGAAGTAGAAGTTGATTGATTATTATTATTATTATTATTATTACCAACACTCATAATATTGAATACAGTTGTACCTTCTTGAGGTGAAGATGATGAGGTACTTGATGATGATGAAGAAGAAGAAGAGGATGAAGATGAAGTATTTGATGATGAAGACGGTCTAATTCTATCATGATTGAATAAAGTGATACATAATTTATGTTTTAGACCATGACATCTACCACCTTGAATTGATAGAGCCAATAGACAATAGATAACCTTTTTAAGATTCTTTCTCTCATATAGATCAGTTGGTAAAAAGAGATAATCTGATTTGACACCCAACTCTAAACATGCACACAAGAAGAAGTTTATATTCTCTAGTCTCATAAAAGGTGGTGAATTCTTTTTGTGAATTCTCTTGATGATACCTGGTTTTATCAAATTTGCTAGTTTACATAACCATTGCTAAAAGGATGAGTTGGTTATTAATATACATATTTTTAGAGAGATATTTGATACATACACCATCCATTAAAGCTTGGAATAAATCTTCTTCTTCAAAAGGTTGTTCAAAACATTCTTCAAGCCAACCTCTAACTTCTTCTCGATTATACAAGAATGCATAATCATCCCATGCCTGTCTCTTTGCAGTCAATCTATTCGTATTTACTTTTGGTCTAAATATAATTATATCTTCTTCTTCTTCTTCTACTTTACTAGTGTCATTATTACTACTACTATTATTATTATTATTTAATAATGATGATAATTCAGGTGCTGATTGTTGCTGTTGATATATTGGTACAACTTTGTTTGATGGTGATTGAGATGGAGAAGGTTGTGATGATGGTTGTTTGTTCAAATGTTTAGTTAGATCAGTTTCAGAGTTTTGTTTGAGTACAACCTTGGTGACCATTGCAGTTGGTGGTGCCTCGGGTGGGAATTCCGAAAGACTCATCATTGATCGATCATTCCTCATTCTTTCAAAGAAGCCAATCGGTGTAGCTGGCAGTGATGAGTCTTTAACTATTGCATCTGGTATTCTTGACATTCTCTCTCTCTATATATATATCTCTATCTTCTAACTAAATATAATACAACAACTAGTATAGTATAGTATAGAATAGAGCTGATTAATAATTAATGTATCATTACTAAACTTTTGTTTCAAATACAAACATTGTGATTGATTGATTGATTGATTGATTGATTGATTGATTGATTGATTGATTGATTGATTGATTGATTGATTGATTGATTGATTGATTGATTGAGTTGATTATCAACAACGTTTATTCATCTTTATCAATAATGATAATGAGTGAATGATGATAGGTAGATAAGATGATAGGGACGGAGCAAACGATTATTGTTGTTTGACGGCAAAACCAAGCAACACACGACACCTCACTCTTTTCGGGACTACAGATAAAAGATTTGATTGGTTTGATTGGTTGATTGATGAATGGGTGATATATTTAACAATACAATTTAGTTTATTTTAAGTTATAATTTGGTGGGGGGTGGAACTTCAAACCGTTGTTGTTATCTTTTTGATTTTACAAGTACAATAATAATAATATTATTATTTTGGTTTAACAACATGAACCAGTATATCCACCATCAACAAATTTCTTTAATCGTTTGGACATGAAATAGGGACGTTCAGCAGATCCATCATTCTTGCTACTATCTTCACAGAAACATAATAACATTGTATCAATTGTCATATCATATACTGACATGAATCCAGTTGCAATTGCATATGCAATTACTCCAATTAACTAGATATTATAAACAAACAAAAATAGAATTAAGAATTAGAATTAATTTTAATTTTCTCTTTTCTCTATTTTCTATTTTCTCTATTTTCTCTATTTTCTATTTTCTCTATTTTCTCTATTACTTACAATAACAGGAATAACATAAAAGGTTAAATCATCAACACGTTGAAGAGCATAGAATGCAATACCAACAGTCATGACAGTGATTAATACACGACCAAGGAACAAGAGGAATCCAGATATCATATTGACGGCGGCGACTCTTAGGACGTTTGATAGAATCAATTCAAAACCACGTTTGGCACCTTTACAGAATGAGTAACCATAGATTGATATCATAATATAGGCATTCTTGTCTAGGAATTTAATGAATTTTTCAAAACACCAAAATAGACATTGAAGACACTTTACAATGAATCGAGCCAAAAATGCTTCCTTGCCCTTGAACTTTTTCTCTACATATTGCAAAACGTATCGGATGAATTTGATAATGGCCAAGATCAGCGAACCCAAAGCCAACGATCCCAAATGATAACGGAGTACACGTCCAAATGACTTCCAAACTGGGAAATAGGGTGTATCCTTTTTATCCATCACCCAATACCAAAGAGCTATCGATCCTGCAATAGTACATTGATTCACTGCCAAAATAAAAGTAATCGTCCACAATAAACCAAAAAAGTGATAGATTTGCATATATCTAATGGTATCATTTGCAATATATCCCAAAAATACTCCATTTTCATCATATTCTGGTGTTCCTGCTGTTCCCAAGTAACTAGAAATAGAAAGATTGAAATAATACATAATTAATAATCAAATAACTAATAACTATTATTATTATTATTTTACTATACATACAATCCAATGATTACCCAATAGATGACAAAAGCACAAATCCAAGCAAAAATGAATAATGGGAAGAAGAAGATGGATGGCATGGTACCAACGGCACGACTACTTTCCTTGATGATTGCAATAGACAACATGATACGACGCCAGAGTGCGAGGATGATAAATGCCAAGATACCACCAATGACGCAAATGATGATAAAGATGACTTTGAGAGCTTGAACATTATCGTATTGGAGTGATAGACGTTGAGCTGGTGGAATGGAATAGTACTCGTCTTCAGCATCTTGCCATTGATAGTAAACTTGAATGGCGAGTAATGATAGACATCCAAGTACACCAAGTACAGTTGACCAAGTAATGAGACCGGCAAAATAACGTAGCAAAAAGATCCAAAGGAATCCAAGACCCAATGCAACAAATGCACCCATAATCAAGTATTTCCATGATTCTACCATATCCGACAGCAGTTTGACCGAAGTGTCTTGATCGATCTTTGAATTGATCATCTTGAATACTTCATCCAACAAGGTGTCGGTAGCGTTTACTAAAACGGTTGGAATACAACGATTGAATATTGGACGTGATGCATAGGTACCGGCACAAGTACCATTTGGATAGAGTTGGTCCATTGCAGGAGTGACATTATACGAACACACCAATTGCGATGCATTGTCTGGTATCAAGTGCGTCTCGTTGGGGCATTGCGATACACACACTGGACGTGCACTGATCAAGTTACCAGTATATACTATATAGTATACATATTTGTTGTCTACAAAATTGGCTGATTTATTGGCTGGCAATACTCCATCTGCAATATTATCTACACCACAAATATTTCCATTTTCATCAGTTCCATAAATTAATCTAACAAATAACAAATAATAATTGATTAATACAAAAAGTTTAGTTGTTGATTGATTTCAATCTATTTATTTTAACATACCTAAGTGGATTACCTTCTTTAACGGCAATGACAGCAACAGCAATCATACCACCCCAAAATGCCAAGAATAATAACAAGAACAAACAATCATGACATTTTCTCTTATCATAGACACCTTTGTTCTTGATTACTTCGTGTCCTCTTGGATCATGTCCCTTACCCATTTTTCTCTAATAAATATTTAATATATCTATCTCTTAATAATTTAATACAAATTTAGCGTTGATTTGAGATATAAATAAATAAATAAATGATATTTGATAGTTGATTAATGATTGATAGTTGATTGATGATAGTTGATAGTTGATAGTTGATTGATGATGCGCGTAGTCGTTTCGTTTCGTCTGAGTTTGTTCGTTCTACAGTGAGTGGTGAGTGGAGTGAGTGAGTGATTGCTAACCCTCACACTTTCAATTTCCCCTTTAGTGATTGATAGTAGTAGTACAAGAGAGAGAGATATAGATAAAGATATAGAGAGTAAGAGAGAGTTTTGATGATGAAAGCAGAGTTGTCTCCTCACTGCGACAACCAAGAAGGAGGAGGTTGGGGCCGTGTAGCTACAAACAAACAAACAAATTATTTTTAATCATTCATCATCGATCGTACATGTCAACCGATATTTTTACATAGATTTTCGATTCAGATCCACCTGACACCATTTATTTTTATACCTGCAAGTAGGGAGGGAGTGCTCTGCTAAAGGTGAGACAAAGATAGATTTCATAGTAATAAACAAAATATAGAGAACTGAACAAAATATAGAGAATTGATCATGATTTTGGATACCTGACAAGTATCTCTCTACTATTGTTGTTGATAACAATACCTATCATCTACATTGCGTGCAAGAGAGATTTTAGTAGTAGTAGTAGTATCAAAGAATAATAATAACAACTAATTAGTTATTCAAAACCTCTGTCTTTGAGTAAGGGAATCAAAAAGTCTCTCATTCACACATAAATTAATTTTCAATAATAATAATATTTTTTGGTGGGTTGGGAGGGGTTGTTGTTCAAAAAATTTTCACAAACATCTCTTATTGTTATCTCTTCACAACTTTCCTCTATAACAACTAATTATTTCAGGACTCACTTGCAGCTTATTCATCATCATAATCATCATAATCATCATCATCGCCATCGTCGTCCGGGCAGGTAGGAGAGGTGAGAGGATAGAGGAGAGTGATACGTTTCATGGCTAGGAGAGAGAGAGAGATCATATGGCTGCTTCTCACCTCTCATTACAACTAATTTCAGGACTACTTGCAGCTGCAGTTTATTCATCATCATCATCATAATCATCACGTCCGGGCAGGTAGGGGAGAGGTGCTAGGAGAGAGGATAGAGGAAAGTGATGCGTCTCATGGCTAGGAGAGAGAGAGAGAGAGATCATACGGCTGCTTCTCACCTCTTCACAACTTTCCTCTATAACAACTAATTATTTCAGGACTCACTTGCAGGAGGGGAGAGGGAAGAGTTGTACCACCCTTGGCTAGGAGGTGGTGCATCTCAGGGGAATTGTACCTCTCCATGGCTGGGAGGTTGAGAGAAGTGCCTCTCTTGGCTCATGACTGGGAGAGGTGTGCCTCTCTTGGCTGGGAGGTTGAGAGGTGCCCTCAATGGCTGGGAGAGGGAGGTGCCCCTGCTGGCTGGGTAGAGGTGCTCCATGGCTTGGAGAGGGAGGTACCTCTCTTGGCTGGGTGGAGCCCATAGCTGGTAGAGGCTGATGGCTGGGGAACGAGGCACTTCTCAATGGCTGGGAGGAGAGGAGAGGAGAGGGAGGTACTCTCAATGGCTGGGATAGGGTACCTCCTCTCTTGGCGGGAGGAGAGGCACCGCACCTCTCTTGGCTGGGAGAGGGAGGTGCCTCTCATGGCTAGGAGAGAGGGTCGTACCTCTCAAGGCGGAGAGTGTGGTGCCCTCTCAATGGCTGGGATAGGAGAGGAGGGTGCCTCTCTTGGCCAAGGCTGGGAGGATAGGGAGGTGCCTCTCATGGCCAAGGCTGTGAGGAGAGGGAGGTGCCTCTCATGGCCAAGGCTGGGAGGAGTGGGAGGTGCCTCTCATGGCTGGGAGAGGAGAGGGTGGTACTCTCAATGGCCGGGAGGAGAGGAGAGAGGTGCCTCTCTTGGCTTGAGAAGCACCTCCTCCCAAGACCAAGGTGAACCTCGAGAGAGAGGGGTGCCTCTCTTGGCTAGGAGAGGAGAGAGGGAGAGGGTGGAGGGTGCCTCTCTGGGCTAGGAGAGAGGGTACCTCCTCTCTTGGCGGGAGGAGAGGCACCGCGGCTGGGAGGGGAGGGAGAGAGAGTGGTACCTCTCAATGGCCGGAGAGGGTGGTACCCTCTATTGGCTGGGAGAGGAGAGAGGTGGAGGGTGCCTCTCTTGGCCAAGGCTGGGAGGAGAGGGAGGCGCCTCTCATGGCTGGGATAGGAGAGGGTGGTACCTCTCAATGGCCGGGAGAGGGTGGTACTCTGGCACTTCATCATTTGCTCCTGGCATTGACTAGACTAAGGTTACTACTTGTAGCTAGAGACACCTCTATAGTGCGTCTCTACCTACAAGTAGTAGCCTACTCCTATTCATCATCATCACCACCACCATTCTTAGTCATCACAAACCACCCAGCATCTTCATCCACCATCCACAATTCAGAGAGAGAGAGAGAGAGCACCCCACAACACAAATAATTCAACAATTCTCGAGGGGGGGGGGGGGGGGGGTAGAGAGAGGTGTCTCATGGCTGGAATTCACACAAAGAGATAATTGGGACCATATAACAAAGCAATACAAATTAATACAAATAATAAAGAGAATAAATTGGATCAACAAAACAATACAAATAATAAAGACTGAGAGAATTGAGTTGGGAGTGATAGAGATGATCAAATATCAAATCTATTGGGGTGGAGATTTATTTTGAGTGATCTAGTTACCACCACGGAGACGGAGGACAAGATGGAGAGTGGATTCCTTTTGAATGTTGTAATCCGAGAGGGTTCTGCCATCCTCTAATTGTTTACCGGCAAAGATAAGACGTTGTTGATCAGGTGGGATACCTTCCTTGTCTTGAATCTTGGTCTTAACGTTTTCAATGGTGTCGGATCCTTCGACTTCAAGAGTGATGGTCTTACCAGTCAATGTCTTGACAAAGATCTGCATACCACCACGGAGACGGAGGACGAGATGGAGAGTGGATTCCTTTTGGATGTTGTAATCCGAGAGGGTTCTACCATCCTCTAATTGTTTACCGGCGAAAATGAGACGTTGTTGATCAGGTGGGATACCTTCCCTTGTCTTGGATCTTGGTCTTGACATTTTCAATGGTGTCAGATCCCTCGACTTCAAGAGTGATGGTCTTACCAGTGAGGGTCTTGACAAAGATTTGCATACCACCACGGAGACGAAGGACAAGATGGAGAGTAGATTCCTTTTGGATGTTGTAATCGGAAAGAGTTCGGCCGTCTTCTAATTGTTTACCGGCAAAGATGAGACGTTGTTGATCAGGTGGGATACCTTCCTTGTCTTGAATCTTGGTCTTGACATTTTCGATAGTGTCAGAACCTTCGACTTCCAAGGTGATGGTCTTGCCGGTCAATGTCTTGACAAAGATTTGCATACCACCACGGAGACGGAGGACGAGATGGAGAGTGGATTCCTTTTGGATGTTGTAGTCCGACAAAGTTCTGCCGTCTTCTAATTGTTTACCGGCAAAGATAAGACGTTGTTGATCAGGTGGGATACCTTCCTTGTCTTGAATCTTGGTCTTGACATTTTCGATAGTGTCGGATCCTTCGACTTCGAGGGTGATGGTCTTACCAGTGAGGGTCTTGACAAAAATTTGCATACCACCACGGAGACGGAGGACGAGATGGAGAGTGGATTCCTTTTGGATGTTGTAATCCGAGAGGGTTCTACCATCCTCTAATTGTTTACCGGCGAAAATGAGACGTTGTTGATCAGGTGGGATACCTTCCTTGTCTTGAATCTTGGTCTTGACATTTTCGATAGTGTCAGAGCCTTCTACTTCCAAGGTAATGGTTTTACCTGTTAATGTTTTAACAAAGATTTGCATTGTTTTTTTTGTTGTTGTTTGTTTTGTACAGTAATGCTATAATATATAAAGGTAATGGTAATTTAAAATAAAAACTTATAATAATAATAATTGGGTGTAAATAATTTAATTTATAAAATAGTATGTTGTTGTTAGATAAATAATTAACTCTATACCTTTTTGAAAATTATGAATTGAAAGAGTGCAAAGTGACTAATTAAATAGTTTACTGTACTGTCTTGAGAGTTGAAAATTCAATTTTAATTAAATTTTTAATAAATTTAATGTGGTGGTTAGGTGGAGTCACCATGACTCAAAAGGAAAAAAGAGAGGAATTGAAATAGATTAAAATTTATACTCGAAAATTATTCAACAACAATCTGGTGGGGTGCACAAAAAAAGAAGAAGAAAAATAGAGAACACCGAGTACTCACCCACCACGAGATGAATAATACAAAAATAGTAGTTGTAAAAAAAAACAAACACAATATTACAAATAGGGAGAGAGAGAGAGAAAAAGGTTGCACATAATAATTTAAAGAGAGAATGAATATTATGTGTTGCAAACTTGAACTACAGGAGAGGATGTTGTGTGAATGAATGTATGATGTGATATAAATCTATTTGGATTCATGACGAGTACTGAACAGCATGTTGCAAGAGCGGTGCAATCAGATAGATGAAATGTAATGTATGATTGAATGTTTTTTGAGAGATTTAGATTAATATTAAGGAGGAGACAAGATATATAATATGAATAATAACTTTTGGAAGGCAAACAAGTTGGCACATTCAAATCCTGGCGAAGATGAAGATGATATTGGTAGCAGTAGTAATAGTAGTCATATTAGTTATGAAGAAGATTTAAATCAAAATAATAATAATCAAAATAGAAATATTAAATCACCAAAAGAAAGTAGAATAAATATAGAAGATGAAGATGATCAATATCTAAGTGATTTAGATAGTACAATAGATCCAGATAAACTCAATAATAATAATAATAAGATAGATGAACCAATAGATAGATTTTTTCTAACAAAGAGTGCACCGGCACCTGGAGATTTAATGGTACCATCACCTATTCGGGAAAGAGAGGAGAAATTGAAAAGGAGACCCAAAGTATTACATATAAAGTTGCAACATACAAGAGGTTCAAACTTTCCAGGTTCATTGATCAAATATCGTCATTTACCAGATACCAATATTAGAGTTCACAGACAACATGTATTTAGATCATTTAAAGAATGTAAAGATATTTGGATGGATTGGCAACAACTTTCATCGCCAACACTCTATAAAGAAGCATTGGTAGAGTTTGTCGGTACAATGATACTAGTATTTTTCGCTTTATCCATCATTATTACAATGACCAATTATTTCAATTATTCCGTTGTCTATAATCCATCCAACCAACCAGCACCAACAGTCAACCTAGTCCCATCATTTCGAACACCCATAGCAGTTGGTATCCTCCACGTATTTATGATTGCCATTCTCATTCTCTCAACTGCTCCTGCTTCTGGTGCTCATTTAAATCCAACTATTACTCTAACTACACTTATTAGTGGTTATATTCCAAGTAACTAAGAAAAACAAAACAAAACAAAAGAAATACTTTATACTTCTTATTAATTTAATTTATTTATAGTTGGAAAGGAATAATTTATATTATATCACAATTTGCAGGAGGAATAGTTGGAGCAGGATTTGTAAAGGCTATATTACCAGAGGTTATAGTCAATCAGACTACATTGGCAGTTTGTTCATTTGGTGCAGATATGAACCGTGGTCATGCACTGGCAGCCGAGTTTATGTTGACATTTATCAATGTTTATGTTGCATTTGCAACAGCACTCGATCCAAGACAATACGAAGTTCTAGGTCCCATACTACCATCATTTTTAATTGGTGCAACTCTAGGACTAACACAAATCATTGCAGGTGGTTATGCAAATTATTTTAATGGTCCAGGTTATAATATGGCTAGATGTTTAGGTCCTGCGGTTATTATTGGTTATTGGCACGGTAAATGAATGAATACATCAATTTAAAAAAGACCTATCATCATGATTATATTAAACTATTTTCTATTTCATTTAGATTTATGGTTATTTTTACTTGCACAAGCATTATCATCATTGGCAGTTGGATTATTATTATTGGTGAATCCACCATTCAAAACAATTGCAACTCATGTTGAAGATGAAGAACCTATATTGGGTGAAAATGTAATTGAAAAGGGTGCATGTGATAGAAAAGTACCTGATGAAGATAGTATTGATCCATTAGTAAATGATCATGATAATATGGGTATGGGTAGTGGTAGTACACGTGGTAAATTAACACCTGGAACACCAACAGGATTCTATAAACGAAATCGATCAAAAAACCGTCATGGTGATCATCACCACAACAATCATCTTCATAATCTATTACATAAAAATAAAGACCTTAGTAGTATTAATAATACTGCTCAGTGGTCATAGTAAATATATAAATAATCAAATCTAAATCTCGATCAAATAATAAATAAATAACAATCACATTATTATTTTCATAGCACACCAAGGTGGTGAGGGAGGGGGTGAGTGACTGATCAGTCAAAACCATCAATGATCATATGATTTGATTGATCACTACTAGGATAGATAGATTTATAATTGACTATATAGTATATTATTATTATTATTTAAATATCCAAAGCAAAAAAAAAAAGATGAAGACCTTTATCTTTGTCATTTTGGTCATTTCAATTTATTATATATCAACAATCAATACATATCAATTAAAAGAAGATAATAATAATGAAAACAATGTAATAGCTAGTAGTAATAAGACATTACTACCTTATAGGGACCATTATGGTATGATTCGAGTTCAATTGGATTGTGAACACATAGCAATGGAAGATTGCTTGTTGACGAATGGATGTGTACCATTCCGCTATAGAACTTGTTGTGGTAGAACTGGTGTATACTGTGCAGCATACGAAGAATATAAATGTAGAGAGGCACTGTATTGTATGATCAAGACAGACACTGGAGAGATTTGTGAAATGCAGAACGAATGTATACCAACGACTGGCTTTGAATACTACCTCGTCAGAAACTTTTCATGTGAAGATCTAGACTGTGAATCAAAAGGTGAGAAATGTGCATATGTACAAAATTCTTGTGAATCTACTACATGTTGTCTATTTCCAACTGCTACTTGTTTCCCTAAATCTCCTCCTTCTTCTACTCCTCCTCCATATCCATCTCTATTACACCCTTCAACACCATCTCCACCTCCTCTTATTGAAAAACAACAACAACAACAACAACAACAACAATCAACAAATAATAATAATAATAATAATAATCAAAATAATAATAATTATCTAAGTAATCTATTTAAAATAATTCGTCACAATATTGGTTTATTACAATCAAAAGATAATAATAATAATATTAATCAAAAAGAAGATAATCAATATAATAATCAAAATAATAATCAAAATAATAATAATAATAATATTGATCAACTTGATAGTTATATTCTAAATGAAGACGAAAATATTTATGAAATTAATAATCATTTTTTTAATCTAAATGATGAAAGTAATTATGACCAATTTATTAATCAAAATAATAATCAAAATAATAATAATAATCAAATTAATAATAATAATAATAATAATAATAATATTATTAATCCAAGTATTGATGATCATCTGGGTAATCAACAACAACAACAACAAGTTGAACAAACTAAAATTATTCAAACATCAGGATGTGGAACAACAGTTTGTCCACCATCATTTACAGAGTGTATAGAGATTGAAGGAATACCTGTATGTTATTCACTCTCTGAACGACCAGATGAAACGACACCTAATCAATTCCTAAGTGACCATGGTTTTCTTGAAAAGAAATATCAACAAATTGAACAACAACATCAACAACAACAATTAAGATATAAATGCTCAGATGATGTTTGTAGTGAAGGATATGGATGTAGAGAATATGAAAACAAATTTGTTTGTTTATCATTTGATTATATTGAATCTATCAAAGAATCCATTTAAAACAAAACAAACAAACAAAATAATAATTATCAACAACAACAACAACAACAACAGCAACTAATCACAACAACTCCGACAAATTAAAATTAAAACATATATGTATATATATATAGATTATTAATAAATATATTTATATTTATTTATTTATTAAAAACAAAAATAGATATTTCTATGGTTTACATCATATTTTGTTTTCCTTCAGGGTTTGGGTTGGCAATATCATCTTTGATACCACTGGTTCCACCACGAACATCTTCTTCACAATGTTTGGCCATTGATCCTCCAGATCTAATTGATAATAATAATAATTATTATTAGAAAGTGTTTATTATTAATTTTAGGTTATTTATTTATTTATACATACTGTTTCTTGTCACCAATATTTCCATGAGTCTTTGAGTCATGACCACCACCAATACCACCAATTCCCTTTCCACCTTCTTTGTTGTCCTTGTCACCTAGACCAAAAATATCTTTTGCCTTGGTTTCAATTTCACTTTTTGTTCTGTTATCCATTCTATATTTAGTTTAATTTAATTTAATTAATTCTTGTCTAATTGTCTCAATTCACAACCACAGAGACTATCTATTTATAAGACTCTCATATTCCCAATTAATTCAATAAAAATAAAATTTAGCTTGTATTATTAATTTCATTTGAAAATCATTTTAAATTATCATATCAATACTCCAATTATAGATATTTATTATCATAACAATTAGAGAAATTCCCTAATCCAAAAAAATAGAATACCTTATTTTTTATTATTATTATTATTAATATAATTATTTTTCTAGATTTATAGAAAACTATTTTACAACAACAAGCTTGTTATTATTTTCATTCAAAATCTTCGTAACAATAATCGATGACGACAACAAACAAGCCATTGACACATTGAATGTAATTGTGGTATTGTGGTTGAATCTGATCAAACCATACCAACCAAGTGGTTCATCACGCAATACAAATAATTCATTCAACATGAATGACAGCTAGGGGTAGTAGCACTCAGCTGTGAACTCATTGTCATTTCTACCATTCTACCTTACTCCCCCCACTATTGCATGTGATGATCATCGGATTCATTCATTCATTCATTCGATTCCATCCATCCAACAAACATTGCTTCATTGTTGTTGGGGGTGTGTGATGTGCATTCTGGTTTTTCATCGTAACAGAGAGATGAATGAATCAACACACTTCAATATGATCATCATTGATATTGTTATTATTATTATTTTGGCTAACTTGGATGGTAAGTTATAATAGTGCGCACTATGAATGATTCTTCTTATTGACAGACACTGTTATTTCTTGACAGAATCATGCAAGCTAGCTAGCCAGCTACTTAGTCAGAAATAACAATAAGTATGGTTGAATAAGAAGCTACTGCTGCTGGCTGCATGGCAACAAAGTGATGATGATGATGATGATGATGACGGTTTAAACAACATTATTGGAAAGTGATGACAAGAACTACTCAACTACTACTACACTGCAATGATGATAGTCGACACTGATCACTCGAGTCGAGTTAACCAGACATCTCTGTCTGTCTGTCTCAATGAGATTGTTAAAACAACAAGAGAGGAGGAGTAGCATTAACAATGAAAATGTCAACAGTGAATGATGCCCAACAAATGGATTAAAAGGTTGTAATACAACATTTGATGATTACCAAAACAATTGTTTGAGCAACTTGCCATTTTGGAGTACTCTTCTTCTCTATATAGTGTATACCCTACCCTACCCTACTCTACCCTACCCTACCTACCACCTATTATTTTTATTTTACCAATTCATCATCCATCCTTCAATCACTCCAACTCTATTCCAAAATCCCAATAGTTGTTGATTTATTTATTTTTGTTTTTAATATAAATTCAAATATTGTTAAATCTTCCTACCATCACAACAATAACTATAATTAATAATAATAATAACAACAATGCAAAAACTATTAGTAGTATTCCTAATACTGGGTGTATTATTACCCCTGACACAATCATCAAACTTTGATCTCCAAGAAAGATATTGGACCGAACAAGAGACGGAAGCACTCCTCCGTAGAAGTAGAATCATGGAAAGCCAATACTCTGAGGAAATCATACTTGGTCTCATTGGTAACATTGTCAAGCCATTGATTGCTGCCATCAACAAGATTAGTCATTTCGGAATGAGAGAATTGGCTGCTGGTGTCCATGGTGTTATTGATGGTTACGAAGTATGTAAATTTAATATTGAACAATTTATAGATTAATTATATAATTAATTAATTATTTTCTTTTTTTTTCTTTTTTTTTCTTTTTTTTCTCTTTTTTTTTAGTTACGTACCAATCCATCAATGGCTCGTCTTTGTATGAATGATACTAGAAATGGTGAGAATATTTTAAACAAGATTTTAACCGACTCTGACACCATCTCTGAATTTGCCATCAAGAATGTTCTTCGTCTTCCAGAAATGGCCAATGTCATTGCTTCCATTGGTATTCATTGCAGAATCGATCAATTAATTGCTAGAATTACTTCTTTGATTGTAAAGATTGGTGCTTCATTTACGTAAGTTATCAACTCTATCAACTCTATCAATCAATCAATCAATCTTCTATCAGTCATTCATTTCCAATTCTTAACCTTATATTTCTTTCTTTTTTCAATTTTTACTTTAGTATTATTGGTATTCCATTTGTACTTATTCATGATGTTCCATTGATTCTTACAAATTCTCCAGCTCTTATCAAGGATGCTTTGGTATGTATTTCCATTACATTATTTATTCAATCTATATACCTTATTCTAAAATATTAATATTTCCTTTTCATTTAGAATATGACATTGGCAGTTGGTAGATTGGACTTTTACACTTTTGGTCTGGGTGCCGGTGATATCATTGGTATCCTCCTTCGTTAAAGACGACGAGCGAGCGAGTGAGGAGAGTGTATGTTTTGTGCATTAGTTTGTCAAGCGACACACACACAAATAGTACAATGGCTCCAAAAGCAAAGATGCAGTGTAAACTGACCCCCAATGAGCACATGTACTTCGCATACATGTACCAATAGGGGGAATATTAAAAAAAAAAAAGAAAAATAAATTAAATATAAAAAATATCTGTTCAGAAAGACACAATGGTGTGTCCCCCACCCCTTTTTTTTTTTGATTGATCATGTTTCTTCATCTTTGCTTTTTCTTATCAGATCGATATTGGGCCACACACACAATCAGTCGATAAACACCTATCGACATTCTTTGTTGTATCACGTGCTCGTGTTCAATCACAGATTAGAAACGACTTTATAGTCAAAAGTCATTTGCCTGTTTGTGACAATCGATTCGATATCCAAACCCATCAAACAACAATGATCAACATGTTGGGTTATCAGAGGCGGCACTGATCAGTATCGATACCCACATTCGCACCGATGAGCTGCTTGGTGTCAATCAAATAATGCTAATATCAACAACAAGCCTGCTGCTCACGTTAGGTTGGTTGGTGGTACACCCACTTCTTCTTTGGGATTTAAAGAAGACCGACTTTCGATGATTATTCGGAACCGATTGTCGACAATAATCAATCAATCAACCGTTCAACAAACAACAGTTTTAAATATCAACTCTTTTTCAAACCACAATAGTAATTTTACAAATCAAATCAAAAAAAAAAACAAATAATTATAATTAGATAATAGATAATAGATAATATATATTTATACAATGAAACCAACTAGTATTATACAGCTGGCATTGGTATTAGTGACAGTATTTATTATAAATAATAGTCAAGCATTTAAATCTGATACACAGGTCATCACAGATTTACAATATTACATATGGGCTCATTCAGCTGGTAACAATGATTTTATTCATGGACAATATGGTATATGTCAAATTTAAAAATATTTAAAGTCTAAAGTCTTTTATTTATTTACTAATCTTAATATATTTATTTATTTATTTTCCTTTATTAATTTTCTATTTTTTAAAGGATTTACATTTTATGGAGAACTTAGTGGTGATTATTCACCAGCCAAATTTTCAGGAGTTCCATTGGTAGCACCAGCCAATTCATATCTTACATTTGATGCATACCAATTCAAGTACTTTTATATTAACCAGAAAGCCACTGCACAACCCAATAATATCTTTATCGATCTTTTACCAAATCAAGCCAACAAAGGTGCCAACACGTATGCTCCAACCATGGTACTACAGACCATGTTCAAAGAGTATGATACTCCATTCCACTCGGAGAGTATGGGTATAAAGTCATTGTTTTATTTCACAACCGGAGGCTTTAAACCCACCGTTGCTCCACAACCTATACGTTACTTGTACACTCTTCATCATCCATGTTCCATCTGTTCCTCCAAGATCAAGTCACCCAATTTCATAAATAGTCGTGCAAGTGATGCTATTCGTGCCGATATTATCAATGGAAAGGGTGGTACGTATCCACCACCAACCACCGATGTAACCTATTGGATTGATAGTGGTGAAAGTGTAAATAATTTATTATATCCTGCTAATCCTGTAAATGATCATCTTTATATGGTTTTTTCAAGGTAACCTTCTAGAAAAACATATAGAAAAAATAGAAATAGAAAACAATAATAATATTAATTAATATTTATTTATTATTTATTTGTTATAGACAATGGGATAGTGATTATTGTCATTATTTTAATGTTAGACAACTTGTATCACAACCAGGTATTCAGGTGGTTGCAGCAGCAACCAATAGATTCAAAGTACTCAAAGACAATTATCAAAATATTTTGGTAGATTCACTTCTTGGCAACTCGATGGTATTGAATAGAAACCCAGTCAAGGGAGGTAACCCAGTCAGTGTAATGTTCACATTTGGAACGACTTCTACCGACGAGTATGTATGGCAATACGTAGTTGACCAAGCCTACAATTATTTCACAGTCAACAAGATGAAGAATTTCAAATCAACTAGTAACTGGATCCAATTCCTAAAGGCTGGTGGTTACCCTGAAGAATCAATTCAAACGGTTATTTTAGCTTTAAATGCTGCGAGAGAAGAAGATTGGTATGAAACAAAAAATATTATTAAAATAATCAATAATATTAATAATATTTATTTATTAATTTATTTATTTTCTATTTAGTTGGTGGAGTCAGACAATATTTAGAATGGTATCAGGATTTGATACAAGTGGACAAAAGATTAAAAAACCAATGCAAATTAAACGTACATTGATTCCAATTACTCATCCATTTGGCAATACAGTGCCAACGTGCAAGGTTGCAACCAACAAGTTCCCATGTGTCTCTACGTCACCCAACTTTATACCAGAAAAGTTATCGTTCCCTCCAGCTTGTGAAATTCAAGTACCCGATGCATGGGCCAACGTAATCTTCCAATCTGGCCTAACACCAGACGAACAAAAAACAACCAACAAGGATGACTATGTCAACAAAATCACTGCCATCTATATCAAAAACTTTGATAGACATTATGCCAATAGAGATGCTGGTGATCAAGTTGCTCAATGTGCAAGTGTTAATCAATAAGATGATAGAGAGAGAGAGAGAGAGAGAGAGAGAGAGAGAAAAAAAGAAAGATAGGAAGAAGAATGAAGTAATCTCATGGTTGACTTTGTTCAATTTACAAATTAACAAAATAAATAAATAAATAATTTTTTGTAATCATTTGTGGTTGGTGTTGTTGGTTGTTGTTTAAGTTCATTGTGGGTCAGAAAGGGTAGTCTACCCTCTTTAGATTAATCTTAAGATGTCGATACCAAACCCACCATTGCGTGGTAATCACCCAAAATCAGGCTAATTTGTAAATTGGTCAGATGATTTTTTGTTTTGAGTGAATTGATGATCAAACTGATTTAATTTAATTTACCAACCAAACCCTTGATAAATACAACAACTCCTCCTCCTCCTTCATTCCATTCATTTAAATCAATATATTTATATAGTATAGTATTATTTAAAATATGAGTGGAATTCAAACAGAGCTAATTGGATCACTACCAAGACCAATAGGAACAACAAGTCAAGAACAATATTTAAAAGTTATAGTCGATGAACTTGCAAAGACTGGTTCACCAATCATTACAGATGGAGAAATTTGGAAGCCATCGTTTGCAACCTATCCACTTGACATGAACCAATTCAAACCTGATGGAGCCGTTATCCTCTTTGCTGATGGTCATACTCGAAGATTACCTGTGTTTAGTGCAAATCGGTTGGTATTTGGTCAATACTCTGGTAGCTATGTTAAAAAGTTACGTAATTGTTGTCAAGACACCCCCATCAAACAAGCTGTTATTTCGCCAAGTGCTATTAGTTTAATGTATCCAACTGCTGGAATCCCAGGTTACTCTCGTGAAAAATTCTTGGATGAAGTCATCGATGAATGTGAAAAGGATATTCAAAGTGCATTTAAAGAAGGTGCATCGGTCGTTCAAGTAGATGCCACCGAGTTACGTCTATCTTTAATGTTGGATCCATCGGGTGCTCTTTTGGATCAAATGGTTAAATTAAACAACCGATTGTTTGATCGATTCACTGACGAGGAAAGAAAAAAGATTGGTATTCATACCTGTCCGGGATCCGACCAAGACAGTACTCACAGTATAATAGTTGATTATGGCTTGTTGTTACCTAAATTCTTCAAACACAATTGCGGAAGATTCTACTTGGAGCTTGCTGCCGAACCAGATAGAGAAAGAGTACTCGAAATTGTATCAGAAAACCTGCCAGCCACTGGAATTGTTTTCTTTGGTGTAATTGATCCCATTGAGCCTAGAGTAGAGACACCCGAAGAAGTCCGTGATCTTGTGCTCCAGATCGCCAGAAAGATACCCGTTGGCCGATTTGGTACATGTGACGACTGTGGATTCTCTCCTTTTGCCGACGACAAATCAACATCTTTCGATTTATGTATGGCCAAGATTCAATCAAGAGTAGATGGTACTAAAATGGCTTCAAGTCAACTTGGTGCTAAATAAAGTAAACATCATACATTTAAATAAAAATAATGCAATCATTAATAAACTTTTCTTTTTTTTTGTTTATTTATTTAATAAATTTGATAATGTATTTGCAAAGTATTGATTGTCTCTTATATGTGATAGAGATTTAAGTCTTGTGTTTGTAAAATTTAAACCAAGTTTTGTTACGAGATAGATCAACATTGCTAGAATGGGTATTTGATTATTTGTGACTGTTAGGGCTAGAGCAAAAGAAGGAGAGTTGATATCAATTAGCTTGATCAATGTTTCTTTGTTGTTATTTGTTTGTTTGTCTGAAATTGATAGATAATGACAAAGAAGTGAAATGTTTCCAAGCTCTATTATTTTTTGTAAACACTGACTCTTGTTGAGCCATGAACCATCGTCATTGGGACCTTCAAGATAATTTAAATTATCGAAAAGTAGTTTGTTCAACACTGATACACTTCCATTTGTCACTGATGAATTGATGATTTGAACATTGCGACCTTGACATAGGTACTCTATCAACTCTAGGTCACCAGAAATAAATGGGTCATGTTGGAAATAGGATATTCTACTTTTGAATAATTTGTATGCATCCAATGTCAATCGACTACTACACAAATCACTACTGACTTGTAAATGATGCTTTAAACCAAACATAAATTTGTTTAGTTTTGATCCAAATGGTAATTGTACATGATACCCACAATATGAAAAGAATTGATCATTTTGCGTAAGTTTAACCAATAAATCCTTGTCTTGTGTTATTTCAAGAATATAATTGATCATTTCCAAATATGTCTCTCTTGCAAATCTAATTGTTTTTGAGTATTTACCAGTTCTGTCATCATTAAAAACAAATGATATGTTTTGAGATGTAATATCTTTTGCAAGATCGATATTTTTAATCAATATCTTTCCTGGGAATTTATCTCTAAATTCATTTGCAACTTTGAAAGATGATGTTGTTAGATTATCCATACGAAGATACCAATCACTATTTGAGTTGAGGAAATCTAATTGTATAGTTTCAGGTGCCGCAGATAATGTATTTCTAAAACAAGATCCAAATCCAAATACTTTGAATACTTCTTGAAACCATTCTTTTTTTGAGCCCAATACCTTGAATATTGTAGAGTTGACAGCAGCACTAGTAGACACCAAACACAATACATTTGAGAAAAAGTAATGTCGATCTTTTGGGTGTTGGAGTAGTTGCATAATGTTATGTATAGCCTTTTCTGCCTTTTGATGCATTGTTGCATAGACGATGATGAATAAACTTGCAACCAATTGATCTCTGTCAGAGTGATGTCTATAATGTTTGGCAATTCCTTTGAATTGACTGTACTCTTGTGGTAGATCCAAAAGTATCCACTTGTCAATTGTATCTTCAAACAGAGTGAATATAGTTGTAAAGTCGTCATGTTCGATTATATATTGTAATGACATTTTAAACTCTTGTTTGACATCTTTCTCTTTCAACGATGATAGAGACTGTTGAAACTCTGGCAAATAGATATCACCACAACAATAAAAGTATCTTGGTTCTATTTGTGACAGATATGGACTGAGTTCTTGATTATCTTTGAATTGACCTTGTACCCAACGAAGACAATTGACGTCACCTTGATGTGACATGGATGCTGTCAACAAGTCGAATATAAATTGATCATTCTTCCTATCAAATGGTACCATCTTTTCGAGGAGATGATCTAATACATGAATATGGTTACCCATTGCAGCACCAATATAAGATCGAGATTGTGGCAGTACGATTGGGTATGTTTGATTTAATAGAATATCGATGATTTCTATATTACCTCCACGACAAGCCAATTCCAAGAGTGATGGGTCGACAAAGTAATCACGAAACTTGTTATAAAGTATTGAAAAGTGATTTGTATTTGTAATTCTTTGACATATGGTAGCAGCATCACGTACAGTAAAGCTGCATACTGTATCTGGTATACCTCGCTGAACCTTGTCAATCAACAGTCCATAATAACCATTCTTTAGAATATCAGATACTTTATTCCAATGATCGTAAGACCATTTAAACAAACAATATTGTCTCTCTTCTTCATGAACCAATTTAAACTTTACATTATTAAATATTATATTTTGAAGATATCTATTTCTAATTATAAATATAAATATATTATTATTACTATTGTTCATTTCAAAGATTGTAAAATTGATTAAAACAAAAAAAAAAAAAGGAAACTTTTTGTAAAGCAAAAAAAGAAAAAAATATGTCTATTTAATTTATTTAATTTATAATATTACTTCTTCTTCTTCTTTAATAGGATTATTATTATTATTATTATTAATTGAAGATGAAGATGAAGATAATATAGTAGAGGATGATGATGAACTAAAAACAGATGAAGAGGAAGATGATAAGATTGATGAAGATGTAGTTGGGGTATTTGATGATAATTCTTTAGACAAATGAGGTATGATACATTTGATATTGGTAACCATATACTTTAATGCTTTTGTCCAATTTACTTCTGTGTTTCCACTGACTCTTATCGATTGATGTCCATTCTTTCCTCCAATTTTGTCACGATCAATCTTGAATGCAAACTGTAAATTGTATTTGGTGAATGCCAAACTGCACAATTCATTGACACAAGACAACAGAGCCTCCAGTCCAACATCGAATTTATGTTCAGTTCTTCCCCACAACATAAACGTTGTTTTGAAATAAACATCGTCTCCACCATACAATGGGTATGCTTCTTTATCAAATTTCGATTGAATAATAGGTTTGTTACCCATTGGTATTAATTTATATCTACGAAAATAAAAAGAATAAAAGAAAATTTTCTAAATTAATACATTATTTATCTAATTTTTATATTATATTATTTTACTTTTGTTTCATACTTTATAAAATTATAATTTAATTGTTTTGCAATGATATGTACAAGTAATACAATTAAACCCATGGCACCATTAATTTCATCCCATTCAACCTTGTGTTTTGGAGGTAGTGTACCAAGATGTAGATCGTTGATTTTAACGATAGTATGTTCATCGACCTTTTCAAAACTGATTTGAAACAATTCACGCAATAGATTGATTTCAGAGAGGCTTTCAATATCCTCCCGAGTCGATGCTATTTGTCTTTCCATCAATAGCTTCTCGTCAATCATTGAAAAGTAACCTTGATAGAATTGATTGACTTCACTATAATGTTTCTTCTCTTCTTCTCTAATCTCTTTATGTATTCCATCCAATTTAATTCTCATTTCTACAATATCATCCATTTGATCTTCTAATCCCATATATTCTTTCATTAATTCTTTTTCAATTTCTTCCATCTAAGAAAAATAAATAAATAAAAAGAAAATGTTAGAATCATTATTATTAAAAAATATGTATGTATCCTTTACATACAGCAGCCATTTCTTCATCAAGAGCTTGATAAGTATATTGTGCCCATTTTCTATCTTGTTCTTTAATAATTGATAAATCTACAGAGGTTATCAAACTACTACCACCACCACTAGCACTACTACTACTATTTTGTGAAAATGTTGAAGCAAATGTTAAAGGAGATGATTTAATGGTTGGTATGACTGGTGTAGTTGTTGTCAATATAGTATTAATATCAATACTATTATCCTTTAAAAATTGAATATAGGTTGCATTTTCACTTTGAGTTTCTATATTTAATTTCTCTAAAAACTCTCTAATCAACGATATACAAGGTCCACATAATGTTATTGATTTATCATTTGTTGTAGTCGTAGATTTTAAATGATTACTATCTCTTGGAGATTGTTGAATAGTAACAAGTGATGAATTTTGTTGTTCTACAGTTGTTACTGATAATGGGATGATAGTATTAAAATAACTAATTGGTTGAACATCATTCTCCTTGGCGTAAATGATAATTGAAATGAATTGATTGGATTGAATAAATGTTATCAATGCTTGAATCGTTGTAAATAGTTCAGTGTGTATGGTTTGAGAAATGCCTCTTGTAAAATATACAATGAAATTCTTCTCGTCAAATGATATTAAAAAGGAAAATTTGTTTGATATTAATCTACCTAAAAATTCATTTGGAACTATTGATTCTTTCATTGAAACAAAATGTATACATCTAAAAAAAAAAATAAAAAAAGAATAAGTTAATTAATTTCAAAAACAATGCCACTTCTTTTTTACATACCTTTCATTCCAAAGATGAAAGAATAATGGATCATAATATAAATGTTTTATAAAATTTGGTATAACTTCTTTTAAATAATTTGGATTTCCTAAAAATTAAAAATAAAAAGGTTAATATTACTATAAAAATAATAATGTATTTTTTTTACTTGCTTTTAAATAATAAACATAATCTATCAACTTCAAATTTTGAAAATTCTCTTGTTTGTTTTGGAATACATGATACTAGATATTTTAAATTATTTACAAGATAGGTCATGTAGAATCCTCCCAAAGAAGATGTAAGGGATCCATCAACCTTTTGAAGTAGTGGTATCAATTCAACACAAAAATGTGATACTGATCCAATAAATTGTTTCTCTTCACTAATAATAATCGGTTTGTTTTTAACATGGAAATATTGTGGTGTTTGTGATGATGAATGATATACAAGAATAGTGATAGATTTAATTGGATCACAATATTTAATTACATCTAAAAATAAAATAAAATTAAAATATTAATATTATTAAGTCTGATATTAATTGATGATTACTATTATTCTATTAGTTACCCATAAAATTTCTTTCAAATTGTAAAGTAATATTCCATTCACATCCAAGAGGTGTAAGTTTATGTTTGGTGATCGTAATTTTTGCGTATTTCTTGAGTGTATCATTAAATAATACAGCTGGTACTGACATGAATGGTGTAATTGAATGTAAAAACTTTAAAGTAAATTGTTGAGTTGATTTATCTAAATTATTTAATGTATGATTTGTAATTGTTAAATATCCTCTAAAATAATAATAATAAATTATGGTTAATACTAGAAGAATGATTGTTTTTGTTTTATATATATTTTTTGTTTTGCATACTTGAATTGTACAGATGAAATATTATTTCTTTGAATATCAATTAAATCATTTTTAATCAAGGTAAGATGATCATAGATGAGTTTAATATTATCACCAAGTCTATTAAATATTTGAATGTTTAAACCTTGAGAAAACTTTTCCAATTGTTGAAGAAAATTATCAATCTCGTTGAGATGGCTTTGGTATTGACTAGGCCGTTGATCGACGAGATCCAATTGTGTCAAAATATTGTAATAGACTGATGAATAGTGTTCTGAAGAGTTGTATGCCGAAATGAGCGATTCTTGTGATACATCGAGACTGTTGAGAGGTTGCTGACTCACCGACACTACATGTTGTTGCATTTTATATTGTTGCAACATTTCAACATTCATTGCCAGCTCGACAATTGCAGGATGATGATGTAAATGTCTTTGAATCAATTGTTGTTTTTGTCCTGATAATACAGCAGATGTAGTTGGTGAAGTTGAAAGTATTGTCGATGATCCATTTAAATTACCAAAACCATTATTATTATCAATATTATTATTATTGAAACCTTGATTAGCAAAACCTTGAATAGCGTTTGTAGTTGATGGTGAAAAGGCTATATTATTTAGATTATTTGTTATTACATTATTGTGATCGTTTACAACGACTCGAGATGATTGGCAATAATTACATCTCTTTTCTTGACTTGAACTCAGCGATGTAGTAGTAGTAGTATTGAGAGATGCCGGTGATGGATGTGGATGCTCTAGTGTCACTACACTATTGAGTTGTTGTTGATACGCTGCTTCCTTGTCAATAGGTGATGGTGTAGGTGATGATGATGACGGTGATCCAATATGATGATGTATTCCCATTAAAAATGAGTCCAATTTAAAACTACTTCCACTATTCTTTCTCAGCGATGGTATTGGTATTGGATTCGATGATGATGACGAAGACGAAGATGTATTCGTCGTCGTTGGTATTCGAGTAGATGCCAATATAGGACTAGTATTGGTTGATGTATTCTTATTGGTATGTTCAAGATTCTGTTGAATTGTATTAAATCCGACGGTTGTATGATTCGGAGGTGATGAAGACGATGAAAATGTCTTTTGTATAAACGTAGTAATAGATGATGTTGATGACGGAGTAGTTGAGAATATATTGGTATGATTGTTATTATTTACAGTTGGGATTGGTATAGATTTACTTGTTGTATGTGTCGTCGGAGTAGAGGTAGTAGTAGTCTGTTGCTGCCTATACTGATCATTTACCATCACCCAATCAGATGATGGTTGTAATGGTTGTTGTTGTTGTTGTTGTTGTTGATCATCATTCTTGTTCTTTATATTAATATTCTTACTACTATTATTATTATTATTATTATTGTTATTGTTACTATTTATATTATACATCTCAAATATTAGTACTATGAGTGGAGAAGAAGAAGAAGATGATGATAAAGAAGAGGTTGTAATAATCAAAGACCTAGAAGTGTAGTGTTATTATTATTCTTAGTAATATTAAATATTTAATGTAGTTTTGAAAAGGGTATCAAACTAAGAACCACCTCTGATTATTATAATGATAAATTAATTAATTATTTAATTTTTATTAATAATCTCGTTCAGCTGTAGTGTCCCTTCCCTTGCCCTCATTAATTTTTAAAGGTTTGTGCAACCAATGTTAACAAACAGATAAAGGAAGGAAATATAGTCATCAATGAATAGTAAGTTATTATTACAAAGTAATTTGAATTAATGAACCGTTGATAATTAGAACAAAATCTAATTTGTTCTAAAAAAGGAAAATTATAGTGCCTATTTATTTGGTGGGTTCAAATTCATTGTCATAATTGTTGTTATTAAATGTAATTTAAATGGTTCAGCCAACAAGCAAGCAAACAAACAAACAAATCATTCTATGACATTGGTTTTAATTGATTATAGATAGCAGTAATAGCAATAGTAATAGTAATAATTAACAACAACAATGCCTAATAGTAAAGCATCTAAAAAGTATTTCTTTTATTCACCTGCAACCAATGCATCACCAATACCTCCAATTACTACAAGTAGATCTGATAACAAGGAATTGGTATTACTGAATGATGCAAGACCAACAATAGTATTATTAGGTTGGGTATGTTCACTTTAAAAATACATCTTCTCTCTCTTTCACCTTTGGCACAAGTCACAAGTAGTGGTAGTATCAAATCTAATTTATTCTAAAATTATTATATATTGTAGGTTGGAGGACATGCTAAACATCTATTAAAATATGTAGAGTTATGGAATAACAAAGGTTTCAATTGTTTATATTATCCTGTACCATTAATTGAATTGTATGAATATTTATATACTTAAGTTTTCTGAACCTTTCTTTTCTTTCTTTACTGACATTTGTTTTTTTATATGTAGTTTATTTCCATATTTAACATTATTAGTAAAAGCAACCAAAGTATTGAGAGAACTTCAAAGTTATATTCAAGAGAGCAATTGTAAATCTATCATTTTTAATGTATTTAGTAATGGTGGAGGTTTCATGTATGGACATTTTATTCGAATCTTGTATAGTAATGCAGGACAAAAAGAATTCCAAGTGATTCGTAATGCTATTTGTGGAACTGTTTTTGATAGTGCTCCAGGTGTATCTTGGGGTGCTGGAATACATGTCATTCGAGCAGCTGCCCAAACCAAACTACAATCTTTTCTTGCTCTGCTCATTCTACCACTTGCAATGTCACAATGGATTCCATATTGTGCTAGTTATCAAGGTGTATTGGCAGACTCTCGTAATAGATGGAATCATCTTGTACTGTACTCTAAAAAAGATAATTTTGTTCCATATCAACAAGTTAATATTTTTATTCAATTACTTAAAAAGAATATCTTGAAACCAACAATTAAATCATCCAGTACTGGTGGATCATCGTCCACGTCCTCTTCCTCAACAGATTTAGTTCAAACACAATGTTTTGAAAACTCACCTCATGTAATGCATCTAAAAGTAAATCCAAAAGAATATAGTTTAAAAATTGATCAATTCATTAAATCAATCATAAATAATAATAATAATAATAATCAATCATCTAAATTGTAAAACAAATGCGACAAATATTAATAAAAAGATAATTAATTAAAATATATATATATATTATTATTTAGTAGTATTACAAGTATTGTATGATATTATTTATTATTTATCGTTATTATAGTTATTAATTAATTATCTGTTGTGTATTATTATTATTATTATTATTTAAATATATAAATATATATATATTATTCTGTTTGTTTTATTATTATTATTATTAAATATTTAATATTTGTTTGTGTGTGTAAACTCTTTGAGTTACATCGTAATGTTACAACCATTTATCTTCTGTAATTAAAATGATACGTGAAGTAGAGTAGGCCATGCCTAAAAAGAAAGTGTAGCAAATCATAAAATAGAAACCTTTTGGTAATTTCTCAATCTTGAGTACTTCCATCTTGTGTACTCTTGATTCAATGTACAATGAGAGTGCATCGGTTGACCACTCTAGTGCCAATTGAATTGCCATACTTGATAATACTCTTGCGTAATTTCCTCCAAGATCATCTTGGAATACAGAATAGAATGCTAAATAAATGGCGCATGCAGTTAAAATTGCTAAGTTTTAAAAAAGAAAAAAAAAGTATTAATATTTTTGGAACTATTATTATTATTATATTTTGTTTTTGTTTGTTTGCTTACAAGTATTTTCATATAATTGTTCATGTCTTAAAAAGTCTCTATAGATTTTGGCAAAGTCGTTACTGTGCGTCAATTCCTTTTTGAAACAATAACCGCAGATGGCGTTCATGATTCTCTTGTCACGTGGACGGAGGGTGGTACGCCACACCAACTCGAGCAACGAGACGATCACCATGGTACCGGTCATGAAACCGAGCGACATGACGCTGTTAAAGAAGCGACCATAGTACGTCGAGAACCACATGAAAATGAGTACGGGGAAGACATTAGTGCCTGGAACATCGGGCTTGATACGACTCGAGCAGGCACGCGACACAAAGAGGGCGGCGGCACAGAGACCGGGATGGATGACGATACGCACCACCGACTTGTTGATCGACGTGGTCGTAATGTAAAAGGGAACCAAGAGGAAATCATAGATGATGAGAATAATGGCAGCCAAAACAAACTGGCCGAGGAACAAGTGACGGAAAGTAGGCGACCCTATCTTTCGACTAAGATAACTCGTACTACCCAACAATGCAACGACAAAGAAGAAATAGGAAGGTAGCAGTGCAACGGTCTGATTTAAAACGGGATTGACAACATTGTATGTCGACCATACCGACGCGCCAATACTTGCTCCAAGACTTATCCATAAACATACCATAGTCTTTTTAAATCCAAAAAACATTGTCAATAATAAATATGGATACATACATAATGCAGTCTAAAAAAATCAAAATCAAAATCAAAAAAATAAACAAAAATATTAATATTTCACTTTCTATTTCTATTTTTCTATTTCTATTTCTATTTCTATTTTGACTTACATTCAAGACAATACGAGAAATTGAATGAGTTACAACACCCCAAAATGGCCATGTGCTATATTCAGTATTATCAACAAATCTACAACCTGCATAAATTTCAAAGAGACCGTATGCAACGGCTACACAAGACACCAAGATAACCATACCCAACATGGAACCAAAGTATTTACCAATATTGATGAAAAATGATTTGTGTGTGAATATCATTGGCTTTTCTTCCTCTACTTCTTCTTCTTCTCCATCTCCTTTGGTAGCCATTTCCAAATCTTCTTCAGTGGCAAATTCTCCGGCGGTTGGAATATCGGGGTCATAGTCATCGTACGAGTATTGGTCATCTTCTGTATTATCATCATCTCCCATTGTAGTCATTTCAATACCATGTTCTCCATTTGAGTTTGGTTGAAGATCAAGTGGTGGTACAAATGGTACAAGTGGATCATTTGATTGTGTCATAGTTTCCGGTGAATTGGGTGTACTATTAACTACTATCGCTTCAAAATCATTTGTTGATCCAACTACAATATTTGGTACTCTTAAAACTAATGAATCTGTCATTATTATTGGTGAAGTTGTAGTTGGAGTAGTAGTAGTAGTAGTTTGTTGTTGAGTATCTTTTGGGATTGTTAATGTTACAATTTCTTCATTATTATTATTATTCGTTGAAGTTGTGGTGGTAGTTGTGGTGGTGGATGTACTATTATTATTATTATTATTATTATTTATATTATTATTGTTTAAAGGTAAATTTACATTGGATGGTGGTCTAACAACTGTTGATCTTCTTTTATGTTGTGGTGATACTTTGAGTCCTGGTGGACCATTTGGTACTTGTAGAGTGGTAGTAGTAGTAGTAGTAGTATTTCCATTTTGATCAACAACTGTTCCTCTTCTTGGCATGTTTGTACTACGTCTATTTGGATTTCTTGGTGGTTGTCCTGGAACTGTCAATGTATTCTGATTATTCTGATTATTATTATTATTTTGATTTCCAGTTTGTGGTGGTGGAAGAGAAGGATCATATTGAGTTGTCATTGATCTATTTTGTCTTGATTGTATTGGTGATCTATTTGGTAGTGGTAGGTTGGATGGTCTGACAGTCTCTGTATGTGATCTTGATCTTGGTTGAGAGTGTCCCGACAGATCAGATGATTCGGACTGATCGCCAACTTGAACACTCATACCACCCTGTCCATTGTTTTCACCACCAGAATCTGATCTGAATCTTGATGCCAACAAATCAAACAATGATAAGAATGTTGATGACATTTTGTTATATTACAAAAATATATTATTATATTATGATTATGATACAAAAAAGTTTTAAAAAAAGGATTTTAGGAAAAAAAAAGAAAAAAGATGTGGACCTTCAAGGAAAAAGAAAGTAGGAGCCCCAAAGTAGTACTTTAGTTTGTTGTGTGAAGTTGAATAAATAAATAAATAAATAAATAAATTGGTGATTATGTGTATGTATGTATGGTTGAGTATGTGAGGTACTGATTGGTTGATGGCGAGCCTAAAGTAGTGAGTCGGTTTTGTACTTGTCGACAAAACAAATCCTGATGTTGGGTGAAGAGGAAGTAGTACTACGCGTGTTGTTTGAGAGGATGAGAAGGTGAGGAAAAAAGCTAAAATCAATCCAGGTTGGTTGGTTGATGGATTGGTGGATGGCAAAGATGGATCAAGTAAAGTGAATTTCGTAGCTGGTGCTGATTACGCGTGGTGTGTTGATCAGGTGATGTTGGAAAAAAAAAAAAAAAAAAAAAAGTCACAGATGGTCTCTCTTTTCTTGATTATTATTACTATTAATACTATAGTGTGTGGGTTAGGGTTGTGTTGTTGGTAGGTACTGGTTGATCGACAAGTAAATTTGAGTAACCACAACGAGATTGATTTAATTGTGTGATGGTGATGTTATTTTTAAAAATTGTTGTGTACTCTAATGATATGATCATTAAAAGTCAAACTGATAAATAACTGTTTCTACTTTCTGTCTGTCGTTGTTGAATTATAGTACTACGCTGAACAAACTGAATACAATAAAATGATGTCGATGATCAGTTGCCGTGGGTAGGTGGTTATAATAGATCACTTCTTTTGTCTCTTGTTCTTCTGCCGTCGGATGTAACGAACGGGTTGAGTCGCGAGTAAAAGTAGATATATGTATATGTATAAATAAAAAAATAAAAAAGAAATAGATAATGGATGGTTGTTTGCTGGATTTCCTTTGGAAGGAGCTGTCTCTCTGTCTCTCTGTCTCTGTCGATTTAATGGTGGTATGGAAGAAAAAAAAATAAATAAATAAAGGTGCAAGGTGGTTCTCTCTTCTCCTCTTCTTGTTACTCTATCATCATAGCAACAAGGGATCTTTCATCAAGATAAACTTAAATCAAGCTTGTATACTCAAACAAAACATGTTGCTTCAGAGTTTTTCATCAACCGTGTTGGGGAGGGCATCGACCTGCTTTAATGGGGGTGTTTATTCGTTTGATGAAACCATTGTATGTGGGGTTGCTGGTTTAAAAGAGCAGGATATTTGAAGTGATGAAAGAGCAAAGCGGAACAAAAGATAAAAATATCTTTTGGCTCGATTATTTTTGTTTTTGTTGCGCACGAAGGTCATGATGAGGAGGTGGGCTGCGATTTTTGATGGGTGGAGGCTTTGGGCTTATTCTTGACACACCCCCGCAAAGATCAAACGGGATTTGTTTTTTTATCGAAGATCACAAACAGGCCAATGAAAACTGTTTGTTGCAAAGCCCATTGTTGGATATTTTATGTGAAACAATTACTTTCCCCGCTACTCTCAAAGTGACAAGTAATGCAGAGGTCTCGTTTTTTAAATTAGTGCAGAGCTTCCTCATAGCACACCACATAATATTATCGTCCAATGGATGGGTTGGTAATTGACCATGGTTACGGTATACAAGATAAATGTGGATGACTTGGATTTAGGATATACCCAGTCAGAAAGAGTGAGGTTTATCCGTTCGAATTTAACCCTCTTTTTTTGTGTGATTGTCAAGATCAACAGATCATCATCATGATGGTCGTCATTACCTGTTAAAGAGTTATTAATATCGCCATTACTATGTAGCGGTTTGGAAGATATATTTATACCTACTCTACAGTTAACAATACATCTTTTGACTATCTCATTGACGTCATGACAGCATTACAGGTTCTGCGCAACATCAAGGGTTATATATATATAAATATGGTTACATGATGCACATGTAACTAACGATTACAAGTTGGTTGTCTTGATAGAGCTCTACAGATTGTTTGTGGTTGCAACACTATAGAGAGAATAAAGAGGAGGTTAGGGGTAAGGGTTGAAATGGTTGTAGTCAAGGAGTATGCGAGTACACAAACGATCAGCGTGATCTATTAGATCCTATCAATCATTCTCTCTAATAATAATAATAATAATAATAGTAGTTGGCAATAATAAGGCATTTGAATGTAAGTATTGAATACTAAACTTAAATATACACTATGTTAAGGGAGTTTTAAAAATAAAAAAATAATAGCATTTTATTTATTTATTTATTTATTTATTTTATTTATAATGGACGACCAATAGAATCTAAGCCCTTTCCATTGTCTTCAAAATTAGAGGCGATCATTGGATTAGAAGATTCATCAGAGTTGGAATAACAATTGGAGAATACATAGTATTCAGTGGAACCTGGGTAGTATGGGTTTGAATTGCTGGCATAGACAGCGACCAAACTGAATGCGTTGATGAGTTGGCCCTTGACATTGGTGTATCCAGAGATCGAGTAGGTGCCTGGGATGTAGAGTGTTCCCAATCCAGTAAAAGTATTGTCAGAATAGATTGTACAGTTTACGAGAAGGGTGTAGGATTGGCTATTTCCAAAACTGGCAAATTTGTTGCTAATTGTGGTCACATTGACATAGGAGGTTGTTCCACATGGCTGATTAATGTTTTGGTGCCAAATCCAGTTACCAGGGAGAATTCCTAAATTGATTAAGAATGAAGAACAAAGAGGAAGGAGATTGATTAGTTAAATGAATCTGTGATTGTCAGTGTAATATTACAACATACCAGCACTAGAAATTGCAAAAATGGCAAAGAGTAAAGAGACAATAGTAATGATTTTGTACATCTTTTATAATATATATATATATGTTGTGTGTGATTGTTTTTAAAATGAAATGAATAAAAGTGATCTGAATTGGTTCATATTTATATCAATAAAAGATTGCCATTTTATCAATCTATCTTTAAATATCCAAGTGGAAAAAAATCTGATCACGTGTCTTGCGATTTTTTTATTCTTTCTGACGTCATCATAAAGGTTCCACATCTCAAAGTATAGTTCCAAATCCCAGTTCATGGTTTTGTATAGATCTGTGGCCAAGAAAAGCTTGTAAAACAAAGTAATAAAGGTCGACAATTACGATATCAAGGTTAAAATCTACTTTCACCCAGAGGAAACAAAGTATCTTGTCAGGATACTATCCTACTCGACTTCAAATATTTACACAATTTATTAAATGATGATAGGTATTATCTAGGGGTGGAAATTAAAGTTGATACTTTTTTTTGGCAAAAGAAATGACATTATCACGTGGATACTCTTTGATTGATGAAACTTCAAATTCTTTCATTGGATGAGGGTACCAATACAACAAAATGATGGCACCTGCTGGAATGACTATATTCCAAATAGACAATTCTTTAATAGACTTTTTAAATTTTTCTAAAATAAAATAAAATATTATTTAACACCTTGTTTACTGAGATCATCATGATTTCGGTTTTTATTTTTTGAAATTTTTTACTTTTCCAAATAAGGAAACAACCTCTCTTGTGATATAGGTATGAGAAGAGTCTTAATATTATAACATTTAATAATAAAAAAATTTTTATGCATACATATACATATAAATATATATATAAATACAGATACAGAACAGATAGATGTGTATTACATTACAATGTCTATCAAACAAACGACGAATAGTTGTAATATAAATGTTTTCAAGAATCAAAAAGGTTGTCAAGACTGGTCTGTTGGGTTCCTTGTTCAATGGAGGACCCTTTGAAGACGAGATAGAGGAGGATATTGGTGATGATCAACTAGTGGATGACGAGGAGGTGGAGGTGGAAGAAGAAGTAGACGAGGAAGAGGAAGAGGAGGAGGGCGAGGTAGACAGCAACAATAACAACAATAACAACAATAACAACAACAACACAGCCTCTCAAAACAATAGCTCATCTTCATCTACTGTCGTTGGAGGCACTAACCCATCTAAAAAAAGGAGAACAAAACTGGTTGTGAATCAACAAGCTTACAAGCAAGAAGAAGAATGGTTCAAAAGAGAGTTCAAAAGGGATTTGAATAAAGATTTGTTCAAAATGTTCGAGAGCCCTGAATCAATCTCTACCCTTGCAACTCCACAACATATATCCATGCACGAAAGATTCAATAGATTCCTCCAAATGAGGATGATAAATCGAAAGGTGAACGGAGGACCTGTCAATCCTTTCGATTTATCAGATTTGGATCCCAATGCTTCCAAGTCATATGCCTACACACAAATCATTGATCCAAATGCAAAAGGATATGTCGACTGTGCCTGTACAGGCAAGCAATGTGCCACCGACTATTGTCGTTGTCATTATGGGAACAAGGGATGTAACAAGACTTGCAAGTGCAAATGCTTTAAAGGTGTGTAACATTAAAAGCATCAAATATAAAATATTTATAATAACAACTGTTTCTTTTTATAGTCAACGATCTGGGTCAACAATGGGAAATGTTAGATAATGATAATTTTGATAAACTAAGAAGTCGTATCTCGTACAAAATGGACGAAAACAACAAGGCCTTTTCAAAAAATGTTCCACAAAACGCCACACCCCAAGATGTTATCAGTCTCATCCTCAGCCCCAGCTTAATCCGTTATATTCAAGAAGAATCAACACTATATATGATATATAGGGTTGAGTATAAAACAGATTACGCATTCTTATCAAGTTATTATACAAATTTACGTAAAGGAACAGGAGGAGGAGGGGGTACTTCAACTCAAAACAAACGTAAACAGAAGAAGATTAAAAAAAATCAACAAGTTGTGGAACCAATTAGTGCAGAAGGGCCTATTGATATCAGTTGGTTTCAAGGCACCCCAATTGCTCATGCGACAAATATCTCAACAACAAATCCTTCATCTACTCCTTCAACCTCTTCCTCCACCCCAGAAGAAGAAGAAGAAGAAGAAGAAGAAGAAGAAGAAGAAGTAGAAGTAGAAGCTGAAGAAGGAGAAGAGGAAGCTACAAAAACTTTCAATCAAATGACCAGTAGAGAAAGAAAAAATGAATATAAAAGGATATCAGATTCGATGCCAACATTTGAAGATTGGAAAAAAGGTTTCTTTGTGTGTCCATTTGAAGTTGCTCACACCAATGAAGCAAGAGCAGAATACATTCGTCGTATTGGAGCACATGCTATTGCCAAACCATTCACATTTCAAGAGATAGAATCTTTTATATATATGGGGTTTTTTATGGGAATAATCAAACTTCCTAGAGTATTCCAACATTGGTCCACAACTAACATGAATATGCCAACTCCCATCTCAGACAAGATGACAAGAAATAGATTTCAAGACATTCTCAAGTACCTTCATTTTGATGAGGAAACTCTAGTATCAATGATAGAGGACAATTCGAATAGATACTACTCTCCCTCTCTGCGTCTCTCTGTGGACGAGTTCATGGCTCCCTTTAAAGGATTGGTCAGATTCAGACAATATGAACCGGACAAACCCCATAAGTTTGGACTCAAATACTTTGTCCTATCTGATAACAATGGATTTATCTTGACTCAATGGCTTTATAAAGGGTCAAGTGAAGAGACCACAAAGACTGCAAAGCTTGGTATGTTCATACATCATTTAGCATATATCATATGGCGGCTATATTTATTAACTTTTATTTATTTATTATTTCAAGATCAACCTGATCTATCTTTTAAGGGAAACAGTCCATTACGAATTCCTCTTGAATTTGCACAATGGGTAAAGGAAAACGTTGCCAATGAATCCAGACCACTTGAAAACTATCTATTTGCAATGGATAACTTCTATACATCATTAGAAGTTGCCACTAGACTATCCGACTTTAGATCCAACTATGGAGACGAAGTAGATGAAGAAGATTTGGATAGTGGTGGTGTTGGTAGCAGTAGCAGTAGTTTGACACATGACAAAGTACACTTTGTTATGACGGTCAGAGCAAATAGACCTTCATATCTATTCCAAAATGGTCTTAAGCCCCATGTAGAATCCAACACCAAAAAACTAGCAGCATTTGCTTTCCCAAAACAAGAATCTGGACTTCCACAAGACATATGTGCCGTTGCAATCAATGATAGCAAAATCACGTACTTTTTGACCAATGCTGTCGAACCAACGGTTAGTGAAGGAGGCAAAAAGCTATCAGTCCAAAGCGAGTACAACAACACCACACATGGAGTTGACCTATCAGGTCAATTTGCCTCCTCTTGTAGATCATATCCTCACCGAAAGTTCAAATACACGCATGTCAACTTCTTTTCTCAGTTAGATAGGGCCATGATCAATGCCTACTGTATTTACAAGGCCCTTACAACCGAAATACGACTCCAGTTTTCAGAATTTGTATCACATGTTGTCCAAACCAAACTCAATCTACCTCTACCCGCAACTAGCAGGAAGAGGAAACCCATCCCCGATCAACAACAAGAACTATCATCTATCGTGGTTGAAGGAAGAATCGGCGGCGACGAGGGCGAACAAGAAAGACTACCTCCAATCATGGAGTTACTCCCACAAGATCCATCAGACAATCACAGAGTGGATCATATACTTTGTACAAGTGATTCCCGTTCTAAATGCTTTTGGTGTGAAGCAAATCAACCAGTGAATAATGGACCAAAGAAACGCGGTCGTGCTCTCACCTATAAAACAAAAACAAGAGTAAAAACTATGTGTAATTCCTGTGGTGTTCATATGCACACTCATTGTTATGTAGATTCACACCTGAGTCTAACACAAAATGGTGATTTTGACCGGCTAAAGGCATTAGTCAAGCGATACCACCTCCAACAACAACAAAAACAACAACAACAACAACAACAACAACAACAACAACAACAACAACAACAACAACAACAACAACAACAACAACAACAACAATAGCAAAAGTGTTACCTAAAATTGTAAATAAAAGAACAATAGCTTCTACATATAAACCTATCTTTATATATATAATATATATACCGTTAGATGCGGGATAATAGCGCAGCTCCTAATAGGTAGGAACCATTTCAAGACCATTAAGCCTCTGCCCGGGTGATCGTTATCATCTTTTCAAGAAGAAAAGATATAATCGATACTTTTAATGAATAGACAAAGGACAGTTGGGATGTTTACACATGTTATAAGTTATCTAGCGAGTCGTGAGACCTAGATCGAGCTTATCCCATGGTAGTAACTTGCATTTGTTTGTTGTTGGTTCTACACATTAAATACCCATTCTCCCTTTTTGGAACAGATAATATGTGCAAGTTGAGAGATATTTATAGTCTCGCGGGTCAAGTACTATTCTATCCTTTATATATATATATACATATTCAAATATAGGTAATATATTATCTCTTTAATAACTACAATGTTTGTTATTATTGACCTTTGTACTCTGAAGACATTGAAACTTGAAATCTCCAACCGAAACCCTTATTTGGTAATTGTTTTTTTTATTTTTGGGTTTGCTGTCTTGAAATGGGGAGCAAGTAGCAGGCGCACCGCGTCATTAATTAGTGCAAGCTCTTGCACTCATTTCGCTTTCAAAGTGTTAATTATTTTAATAATTAGTCAATTTAGATATATATTTAATTGATTTCATATACAAATATATATTTTAGATAATACCCCATTCAGTTTCTAAAAAATCTTTTAATGTCATTATATTTATCTCTATCACTAATAAATAAATAAATATAACTACAAAACAAAAAGTACAAAAGAAATGATGTTTGTTCAAAACTAATCTATCCTATTCACACCCCCTTTTACAAAAAATAATAATATAAAAAAAAGAAGCTTGCTTTATAAAACCCATCAAAGTGGGTCTTGATTTCAAATGGTTTTAAAGAGATAGATTCTATAAAAGATAAAAAATAATAAAATAATAAAAAAATAAAAAATTAATTACCTTGTTTTTCTCAAAAACTCTTTATCATGATCCTCATGATTAGTTTAATTATTTTTTTTTATTTATCAATCTTTCATTCATCATCCATATATATATTTATAAAAGAGAGAGATAGAGAATGAAAACTAGATTTTCATCTATTGATATTAGAACAACAGTTCATAATCTTCAAAAGAATGTTATAGGATTACGTCTTGCCAATATCTATGATCTCAGTCCACGTGTCTTTTTGTTTAAACTATCAAGACCTGATTTCAAAAAGACATTGATCATTGAAAGTGGGATTAGAATTCATAGCACAAACTTTATTAGAGATAAAGGTGATCATACTCCTGCTCCCTTTTCAATCACTGTAAGAAATTATTAAAAGATTAAAAGAGAAAATGTTAATTATCTAATCGATTGATCTAATCTAATCTATCTAATCTAATCTCTATCTATATTTTTGTAGTTAAGAAAATATTTAAAAACTAAAAGATTAGAGAGTGTAAGACAATTGGGTGTTGATAGAATTGTAGACTTTACATTTGGGTCTGGTGTAGCAACACAACATGTCATTGTAGAGTTGTTTTCAATTGGTAACATTATATTGACCGATGGTGATTACAAGGTATTGGCTATTCTTCGTACACATCAATACACTGAAAACGACAATATTGCCGTGGGAGATGTCTATCCGGTGGACAAGGCCAGACCACCCTCTGTATTCACAGAGGCACTCGTCGACAATATCATCCAACAAGCTGCCGACAAAAAGGATACTCTCAAGCAGGTATTCAACAAGTCGTTGGATTTTGGTCCTGAACTCATCGAACATTGTATCTTGATGGCCGGTCTTTCACCAAGTCTCAAGATTGAGAGTTACAATCACGAGGAGCATGCATCCAAGCTAATCGAAGCATTCAAAGAAGGACAAAAGATATTTGATGTGGCTGTTCAATCCAAAGGTTTCATCGTATTGAAACCACCCAAAGTAGAATCAAAACAACAACAACAACAAAAGAAAAAGGCTGCCGAACAACAACAATTGAAAAAGGATGCCATTGCTGGAAGTGGTGAAGAGGCTGCTACAGAGGAAAAGAAAGAATTGGTAGTTTATGAAGAATTTGTACCATATCTTTATAAACAATATCAAGATAAAAAGTATTTAGAGTATGATTCATTTGATTTGGCTGTCGATCAATTCTTTTCAGAGATTGAATCTCAAAAGGTTGAACAACAACGTATGTCTCAAGAACAGACTGTATTGAAAAAGTTGGACAAGGTACGTGAAGATCAACAACGTAGAATCGACAGTCTCTATGCTTCAGAGGGTGAAAACATCAAAAAGGCTCAATTGATTGAATCCAATCTTCAAGATGTCGATCAATGTATTCTTATCATTAGAAGTGGTGTTGCTGCTTCAATGGATTGGGGTAACCTTAATCAATTATTAAAAGAAGAAAAGAAAAAGAATCCTTATTCTGTTGCAAACAAAATTCATAAATTAAAATTAGATACAAATCAAGTAAGTTGTAAAAAACAAAAATATAAAAAATAATCAATATTAATATTTTTTTTTTTGTTTCTTTTTATTTTTTTTAGATTACATTATCATTAACAGATTTACATTTAGATGATGATGAGGATGAAGAAGATGAAGATGAAAATAGTGATGATGACTCGGAAGATGAAGAGAAAAAGAAAAAGAACCAAAAAAAGAATGCAAAAAAGCCAGTATTTATAGATGTTGATATTTCATTGTCGGCCTATGCCAATGCAAGAAACTTTTACGATTCAAAGAAACAATCTCATGAAAAGGCAGAGAAAACCATTCAACAAGCAGACTTTGCTTTAAAGGCTGCCGAGAAAAAGGCTAGACAACAATTGTCAGAAGTAAAGACCAAATCATCAATGCAACAAATGAGAAAGGTATTTTGGTTTGAAAAGTTCCATTGGTTTATTAGTAGTGACAATTATATCGTCATCAGTGGTAAAGATGCTCAACAAAACGAATTACTCTTTAAAAAGTATTTGGACAAGGACGACGTCTATGTTCATGCCGACATTTTTGGTAGTACCAGTTGTGTCATCAAGAATCCAAAGGGTGGTGAAATCCCACCCAACACACTCATTCAAGCTGGTACCATGACCATGTGTTACAGTAATGCTTGGAGTGCCAAGGTTGTCACCTCTGCCTACTGGGTCTACTCTCACCAAGTCTCCAAGACGGCTCCATCTGGTGAATTCTTGACAACTGGTAGTTTTATGATCCGTGGTAAAAAGAACTACCTTCCACACAGCCAGCTCGTCATGGGTTTTGGATTTATGTTCAAGATTGATGACAGTTGCATTGCCAACCATCTCGGAGAGCGATCAAGTGGATCTTCACTTCTCAGAGACAGCATGGATGGTGATCACGATGAAGATATGAGAATGGAGGAATTGCCAGACGACAGTAAACATTTACGTAAATTTGAAAGAACAAAATTAAAAAGAGAAAAGGAAGAAGAAAAGTTTATGGAAATGGATGGTATGCAAGTTTCTGAAGATTTGGCAAAGACCAGTAGTACCACAACTACTACTACATCCTCTACTACGACCTCTACTACTTCTACCAATACACAAAAGGATGATAAATATAAAATTAAATTGGTCAGTAGTTACAAGGATGATGAAGATGATGATGATGAAGAAGAAGAAGAGGAAGGACAAGGAGGAGACGATGATGACAAGAGTGGCAAAAAGACCAAATACATTACTGCTGCTGAAAGACGTAAAATGAAAAAAGAAAAGGAAAAGGCTACTAAAAAGGATGGTGATGAAGAGTTTACAATCACCAATCAAGCTCCACCACCAAAACCAGTCGTCACACCAAAAGAGGAAATCGTTGCTCCAGTTTTAGCAGAAAAACCACAAAAGAAATCAACAGTTGTAAGTATAAAAAAAATATAAATTATATAAAAATATTCTTTTTTTAATTAATTTTTTTTTTTTTTTATTGTTTTAGGAACCTCAAAAACATATGACAATGAGTCAAAAGAATAAACTTAAAAAGATTCAAGAAAGATATGGTCATCAAGACGAAGAAGAAAGAAAGTTGGCAATGGAATTGTTGGGTTCGGCTGGTGCCAAAAAGGAAAAGAGAAAGGATAAGAAAAAGGACAAGAAAAATAACAAAAACCAACCACAACCAACAAAGGGTGGTAAACAACCAGCAGCTACAGTTGCTAAAAAGGAAGAAAAGAAACCAATCATTGTTGTTGAAGAAAAGAAGGAAACTCAAGTTGAAAAGGTTATTGAAACTCCAATCTTGGTCCAAGAACCACAAAAAGTAGAAGAAGAAGAAGAAGAAGAATCATCAAGTGAAGAAGATGATGACAATGAAGAAGAAGAAGAAGGTATTGAAGACAAGGAAAAAAAGAGAAAGTCAAGAAAAGAAAAAAGAGAAGACAAGATAAAGGAACAAGAAGAAATCAAGAAATTATTGGAAGAAGAAAATGAATCAACTGTAAAGGTTGATGACAATATCTTTAGTAATATTGATACATTGACTGGTAACCCATTGGAGAATGATATCCTTCACTTTGCCATCCCAGTGGTTGGTCCATACACCATCTTTAACAACTACAAGTACAAGGTCAAGTTGACACCAGGTCATCAAAAGAGAGGAAAGGCTGCCAAGCAAGCTGCAGCCACCCTTCTCGGTCTCAAAAACATCACTGCTCGTGAAAAAGAATTGATCAAGATCATCAAGGATGAAGATATCTCTGCCAACATGTTGGCAGATGTTCGTCTCCATGCTCCCAACCTTTTGGCCACCAAAAAGAAAGAAAAGGCTGAAAAGAAGGCCAAGGCCACCGAGAAATTCAATGAAGAGGCACAAGCTAAAAAAGAAAAGGAACAACAAAAGAAACCTGAAACTACTACTACTACTACTACTACAACAACAAATAATACAAAAGAAAAGAAATAAATAAACTAATTATTTTAAAAAAGTACTTTTCAATTTTGATATTTATTTTATTTTAAATAACAATGAATGGGTCTTTGTAGGAATGTAAATCTCTATCTATATAACCATGTGAATTTTTTAATCCATCTTTATCATAAACTACAATTAAACAATTTCTATTTGGTATTTGTTTGAATTGGTCAATGAAATCTTGTTGACTTGATGATAAGCCAATATCCAACCATCTGAGTGTTTTGTTGGTTGAGTGATTTACAAATTGACGATACACTTTGTTTTATATATTGATCTATATATTGATCTATATCTTCATATAGACAACCCTCCAAATAAAATCTTAGTTGGAGTGATTCCAAAGAAGTATTTTTTGTTGGACAATAATAGATTTGAAAAACAATCCATTACCATTTGACTTGATCTTTTTGCCAATTGGTTTCTGACCATTTGTATTGGAATTTCATCAGACTCGTAACTATCACAAATGGTTAGTGAAGTTAGTGTTTTGTTGTTTTGAAAATGGTGTGTCAATTCTTGAATCAAAGGAACTGTAGCAGGGTCGTTGGTATCGATAAGAGAAGGTTCAAATGATTTAAAATCTGGTTTAGGAGCGTACCAAATTTCTTGTAGTTGTGGATAAAGATCGAATTCATTGTGTCATTGAAATCTAATTCCCAATGATTCAATTGTCTTTGATTGCAACAAGAAATTGATATCCCTAATCTTGACAAGTAATCTTGAAATGACTATTTTCAATTGATCGACTCGCGAGTTGAACAATTTACAAGTAGTATAGGGAACGTTTAATTGATAGAAAATGCTATTATATGAAGAATATTGAATAGCCACTTTCTTTGGTCTTAGACTTGACATAGTCATTGAATAGTGTCTCAAAGACACTATCACCACCATCACTATTATTTTCTAAAACAATTCCAAAACGATGACGATGTATTAAGTTTAATTTGGTAATCTACATGATTGTTGTCAGAGAGTTTACCAATATCAAAAACACCTAGGTCCGGTAAATTATATATTTCCAACTCTATCTTTGCTTGTATCTTGATCTGATCAAGACGATGATTATGATTAATATATTGCCACTCTATTGATTCTACCAAATCAATTAATCTATTTTCAAAGTCTTTTGTTTTATAATTTGAAATTGACAATCTAAATACAACTCTTTCCAATGATGTCATTTTATCTATCATCGATAGTATATCTTGATTGATATACTTTAATTCACCTTTTCTTATATGAAAATCGATAATGCATGTCTTTACATGAGCCAATGAGAGTGGTAAATGTTGATTTATAGGCTCGCTGTTGTAAGTATTCTTGTCTACAACGTGATAGATTGACTTTGACTGATTGATACATTCCATCCATGTATTGTATTTTGATAAGATATAGTGTTGTATAACTACTGATAGTTCTTGCATCTTAATACATTCAATTAAATAAAATAAATTTAAAAGAGTTCTGTAAATTATGCTTTCGCACCTAGAACACTGGCGCCTTCCTCGGAGGAAGTTGAAGAAAAACATCTTCTTCTTTCTGATCTATCATTTGTTTGTTGTTTTATTTATAAAGTAATATTGAATGCAAGAAATACCAGCAGTCGTACAACACTATATCTTATCAAGATATAATACAAACAAGGATTGGCGTAATAACATCTATCACTTTGTAGACAAGTACGGTTACAACAAGCAGTGTATCAATCATCTAGCATTGGTTTGTAAGAGATGGTTTCGTATTCTATCAATATCGGCTGCTCAATACAGTAAGGGTATATTGATAGGCAATGTAGCACCTTGTAAGGTACCACGAGGAAGTGACCGGTACCAACAAACACGCTTGTCACAATATTCACCAATCTCATTGGCTCATGTACACACATTAATCATCGACCATTATGCTGGGAATCTATCATTTATCGACTTTATATATAGCAATCAAACCATTCTATCAATGATCAGTAAAATGACATCTTTGGAAAGAGTCGTATTGAAACTATCTATTAATGACCAATTCAATGCTGTAAAAGTACATGAAAAGAGAATCATTGGTTTGGTGGAATCAATCAATCGGTTAGAATGGAACGATGATCATCATGTAAAAGTTCAAGCAAAGATATCTTTGAAAACAAATGGCAATCAAGTACCTGCCGGTGGTGACCTTGGTCAAAAGTTGTTCGACAGTGGAGTGGAGATTACCAAAATAGACTCTCTTTGGTTGTTATAAACCAGCAATGGAGGACCTATTATTCTTTGAAGAAGAAGAAGAAGAAAAGAATATATATGTTGGTATTTGTGAAACTCTAAAAACGAAAATTCTTTTTTCTTTTCGAGTGTTCCATTGCGGGCGAGGGGGGCGCTCTACTCTTTTCGTTCACATCTCGAGACTAGCAAAAAGGTTTCTTTTGTATTATTAACTAAACTTTTTAAACTATATTTTATTTATCACCATATCACAACAATTGTTGTTCACGTGATCACATTCGAAAAGAGACTTTATGCAATTGTGGGGATCAGTCTTCCAATGGGAGGTAGGGACTGATCACCTCTGGGCAACACGAGTAATCTATTGTTCAGAACTTTGGTCGCCCCCTTTTCCTTTGTATAGTCTTTCGAGTATTGGGTCAGTATACTTCCTGTGGTAAGCAAAAGTAGTGAAAGGATGAGATGGCGTGACTAATAGTTGCTTGGCGGATCTCGCAGCGGGTAGTATCCACAGACTGACCATTGTCTCTCTTTCTCTGTTGGACAGTTGTGGTTCCAATTTGGTGGCAGTATCTTTTGGTGGTCTGCTTCGTTGCTTGGAATAGGAGGAGAGACTCTAGGATACTGGCCTCGTCCTTGCAGACTTGACCGGGTAATGCCCTTGTCTCTCCCCCTCGCTTTGACGATTGTAATTACAGGTGCGAGTTCAGGTATCGGTGAATCATTGGCAAAGATATACGCCAAGCAAGGTAATGTCAATCTTGTACTAGCTAGTAGAACCATATCAAAGTTGACAGAGTTGGCTACCGATTGTTCTAAACTATCGACTACAACTAAATGTCTAGTTGTTAAATACGATGCTTCAAATGAAAAGGATTGTCAGTATGTATATGATATACATACATATATATAATGTATACTAAAATGAGTTTAGTTAACTAACTATATTGTATTATCAAGAAAATTAATAGAGAATGTAATTAAAGAATTTTCAAGAATTGATATATTGTTGTTATGTGCAGGTGTATCTTATCATAACCAATTCAAAGATACAAAGGATTTGAATGTCTATCGACAAATGATGGATATTAACTATTTTGGATACATGTATACTACCTTTTATGCATTGCCTCATCTCGTCGACCAATACAACCGTGAAAAGAAAAAGGCACAGATCGCAGTCGTCTCGTCCATCTCTGGAGAGTTGGGACTGCCTCTGAGGGCAGGGTATTGCGCCTCCAAGTTTGCAGTCAATGGATTCTTTGAGTCGCTGCGTATGGAGGTGCCTCAGGTCGATATCACCATGTTGAATCCAACATCGGTCGAGACACCAATGAGAAACCATGGCCTTGGCACTGCAGAGGAGAGAAAGGCAATACAATTCAACGAATCAAAGAGAATGTCTCTACAAGACTGCTGTGCGGTAATGATACACTCGATCGAATCAAGAAAGAAAAAGGTTGTCTTTCCATTTAGCAATTATATGGCTTCGCTATTGAAACCATTCTTTCCATCACTCATTGAAAAGATTCTATTAAAAAAGGCTGGTGGTGGTAGTAGTAGTCATCATAATAATCATTCATCAGAACCATCACCACCAACTGAACCAAAGATCAAATCAAAGTTATAAACAAACCTAGATGGATTGATCGATTGATTGATGGATGTATAGATAGATGATAGATAATCATTTATCACATCCTTCACCATGGTTCACTTCACAGGCATACTATATAATGTTAAAAAAAAAAAACTCTTTTGGTCATTCTGCCATACCATCATCTTTGTTTTTTTGATGTTGACTTTTAAAAAAAACACAGAAATAAAACAAACCAGTAATAATAAAATCGTCATCAAAAGCAAAGGGTCCCTTTGACCTTGTTAATGTTAACATTAAACATGTTAAATATGTTTATATTATTATTTTATTATTTTTTAAAAAGTAGATTAATTAATTATATTTTTTTTGTTTTGTTGGTTGGTTGACTATGGAGCATAGATTGATCTGATAATTTTACCAGAGGAGGTTGCGAGGACGACTGAACCATAACTTGGCAAGACTACAAGGTAAAGTGGTACGTTTTGAGCCTCTGAGCTGGCATCAGCACACCAATTTGCATAGCTATTTACATCCCAGACACAAAATGTATTTTGGATTATATTGTTGGAGGAAAAGGCGGCATTGACTCCAGTTAAAGGAGTTCCAGTTGGTAGTTGCCAAAGCACAACACTATCTTTGTTTTGGGTGAATTTGAGATCACCAGAGACCAAACTTGCAGTCATTAGAGAGTTTGAGATAATATTGGTTTTGATGCCTTCAGAAGAAGGGTTACTTGGTTTGGGTGCTGGTCCGACATAGTTGTTATAATTAGAGTCTAAACAGAGAAAATGAAATAGTATATATTATATTAATATATTATATTTTTTAATTAACTTTTTTTTAAAAGGGGGAGGGGGACACTTACTTGGAATGCTCATATAACCACCGACAATATTGACCCAATCTGCTTTAAATACAACCATTAAAAATTCGGTTTTGGGACGAGCCATTGCAGTGCCGGTGAGAAGAACCAAAAATCTTCCTTCAAAGACTTCTCCAAGAGATGTACTGCCTCTGTATAGACAGGTCAATGTTCCTGACTGTGGACAAAGTTTCCAAGAGAATGATCCAGTACTTGTAGATGGGATAGTGATAGTATCCTTCCATACCGAGGTTCTAACAAATCCAAATGTTGTAAAGAGTTCTAGATGACCATCTGTTCCAAATAGCAGTGTTTGGAAACCGTTTGAGATTGATTTACCTGGGACAATTGGGTCAGCACCTTGAAGATCGATCCAGTTTCCATAGATGGGTCCTTCATTTCTGAAGTTCCAAACTGGGATGTTGGGAAGGTTGTCATATCTTGCCCATACCGTTTGCATATAGGTAGAAATAACAATGGCATAGGTCGACGCTGGGAAATAGCCCTTTTGTGCAACTCCAAAGTACTCTCCATTGAGTTGATTGACCATCATGCACCAGAAAGCTTGGCCATTTGCACCTTTGACACAGATGTTATGGTCTATTTGGAAATTGAGAGTGTATGGGCCTTGCACTGCAGTGTTACGTGTGCCCTCGCCTGCAGAAGTCCAAAGTACGGGGTGATCAAAATCGACACAGGGTCCACCTGAACATAATTTCAACTCTCCAGTAGATGCGAGAATGAGATATTGTTCACCATTGGTCAAATAGCGATTTAATCCAACGGCGAGTGACTCTCCTCTTTGTAAAAAGTTGCCTCGATACAATTTGAGGGAACGGACATCATCGAATTGAGTTGCAGAGGGTGCGAATCGACCCCAAAGCATACGTCCAGTTGAATCTTGTACAATGATTGCAGGCTCTTCAGAGGGGAGTGTGAGATATGTGGGGCCTCCAAAAAAGAACTCGCACCATGGGTCATTTGTCAAACAGATCGATGAACTTTGAAGACGAAGAGTGTCGCTTGGATAGAGGTTGCATGGGCTACTATAAAATGCACTTTCATTTCCAGCCTTGGCAATGTACTGGCAGCTATTCCATTGGAAATAGGTACCAATTTCAAAGTTTTGAAGTGGCGATCCTGAACCTACGGTCTCTGCAGGGAGCATACCAAATCTTCTAAAAGTGAGAGGATTGGTTGGCACTGGGAAATCGATAATTTCTACAGTGGTTTCGGATGGACAAATTGGTTGAGTGGTGGTGGTGGTGGTAACTTGAATGGATGGGGATTGTACTGGGAGATTGGTACATCCGAATTTAGGAGCGGGACAGTAGTTTGGTGGACAGGTGATTTCGATTGTAGTTGAACCATCCATTACAAAGATGGCTGTATTTGGAGGACAATCCTGGAAAGATGTCATTTTTGCCGTTTTGACTTGTAAAACACCTCGAGCTGTGTCACATTGTTCTTGATAACAGGCACTTTGGACGACACCGCCAGTTTTCATTTTATAACATTTGCTTGTTTCTCCAAAAACCTCTCCAGCCAACTTTGTTTTGCCATCAGTAGTATCAAAGCAAAAATCGTCTTTGGCTTCATTAAAGGGACAATAGCTAAAAAACTCTAACCCAGCAAACCTTGTTAAAAGTTTCATTGTGGGTGGAAAAGGTCGTCGCTCAAGTGGTAGGCGTGCATTTCCATAATTTTTCAAGTTACATACACCTCTTCCAAGTCTATCTGGGGAGCACGATGCTATAAAATTAATTGAAGAATTAAAGATTAATATTTGAATAAATAAATAATGAGCGCATTTAATTTAATTTTTCTTACATTTTGACATGTCTACACAAAAATAATCCTTCCAACCAGTCTTTCGTTCTTTGGCACCACAGGAATAAACAAAATCACATCCTTTGTCCTTTCCCCATAGTAATGGTTCGGCTGCATCGTAATGAATATAGTAGAAGCCTAACGAATCCAAAATAGTAAGAGTGATGACAGAAAGAACTGGAGAAACATGAGACAGCGGGGTCATGATTTCGTTTCCATAGGCTCGGGCGCTCAAATGTGCGGGGTCAGAGAACTCTATAAGCTTCACCGAATCACATTTAAAATGTTTGATAGCTTGGAGTAGGCAAAATTCATCGACAATTCCCATTGGTCTATCTTCAAATGTAACCCCATTACCTTGAGACCAAGGAACCAATTCGGTTATTTGTTTCACTTTCGGGGCCAAATAACTTGTAAAGAATCCAAGCCCATGAATTATCTCGTGAATCTAAATAAGAGTTAATCAGAGGATAGTTTATAACATAATTTAGTTGTTTTGGTTGGTTTTAAAACATACTAATGCATAATATGCTCGTCTAGCTAAAGTATTAGGTGTAACAGAAGGTGGGAAGGTTCCAGTGAATACAAAATCATTCCATTTTAAAGGAGTGAGTTGAACAAATATAGCTAGTGGTCTTTGTTTGGTATTGCCATTTGAAAAATAGTTGCAAGGTGCTGCAGATGCAAATACGGCTTAAAATAAATAAATGAATAAAAGTTAGATTTCAAAGTTTGAAGGATGATGTAAATGGTTCGAGATAATTACTATCATCTAATTTTGGTCTCATTGTAACGAAAACAACCACATCTGCGTTGGGAATGGGGACACCTGCGCCAGAGCTGATATAAGAAGAAGGAATAGGATAGTTGTAGCAACTTGGCATTTGAGGGTTAAGAGCTAGAAGGTTGGCCGATGCATGAGGGATGGAGATTACTCTTTGAAAGTATTGTTGGATTGAAGTCAAAAAAGCTGGAAGTTGAGCATTGTTCTTCATTTGTTGACTGGGAATATCAGATGGTAGACATGTGTATGGTTTGGGATAGTTATCGGCGTTTAGAATAGTCACGACATCACCTACTTGCATACATCTATATCCCTGATCATTGTTGCCTTGAATAGAAGAGAAATCAAATTTAAATCTAATAGGCTCATAGTCTATTGTATCTATAATAAAGATAAAGATTATTATATTATTTGTTAGTTTAGTTTGTTTGTTTGTTATTCTATTTTAACTATTTTATTTTTTTTCATACTCGAAAGGTTTTGTGATGAAGTTGGCGTATAAAAAAATGTCAAAAAAACAAATATTAATAAAAATTTTAACATTATTTGTTGTTGTTTTAACATTTTAAAGTTACTTGAATGACTCATCATACTCAACTCAACTCTTTCGGGTTTTTATTTACTCATTTATTATTATTACCTACAAAAACAAAAACAATTACTTATTGTCTATGTGGCAATCAGAAGGTATGTAATCATGATGATGACATACAAGATACTAACCTAAGATTTCGGTTAGAGAGAGAAGAGTAATAGGTAATTAATCAACATAGGTAGTCAGGCCTTGAGCATGCTCTGACAACACTCTTTAACAGAAAGTCAAAAAATGATGGTTTATTAATAGTTTTGGTAAAATGTAGCCGACAAAAACACATATATTTATATGTGGGCTACCGATTATGCACCCCCAATAGTTGTGTTTGAAAGGCTTGTTCAACTTATCTTCATTTTTACAGGTCTTGGAACCTTGAAAGATAGGGACGAATGAGCTCATTATTTTTGAAATTTTTTTTTTTTGTGGCCATAAACTATAAGTTTTTTTTTTTTTTACTAGCTATCTCGTTGGATTCATATTTATCAAGAAGTTGTATTATACAACAAATTTGATAACATGATGAAACTTATAATCTTTTTTTTCACCATTATTTTATCGGTTGTTCTAGGAGGAAGTAAGTTTTTAAATATTTAATAACAGCCAGTAAATAATTAAATTAATTTTACATTGACCAATTTTTTTTTTTTTTTTTTTTATAAAAAGATGCAAAGCTTGACTTGACACCTGGAAGTTATCTCACAAACACCGATCCGACAAAGAGCACATTGCAACAAGGACAATCTATCTCATCTGGAGGCTTGTACCTCACATTAGGCTCGGATGGTCATCTTTACATGACCACAGTTGCAGTATATGGCCAACCAGGTGCCATTCAGAGATGGACAACCAAAGGAGAGGTTGCATATTTTTATGTGCCTAATCAGGGTGGACCATTCGAATTTATATTCCAAAATGATGGAAACTTATGTGCCTACGACAAAAGCAACAATATCAATGCGATCTGGTGTTATTATACCAAAGGTAGTGGTGGTATCTATTTAGGTATTTCATCGACCTACATGCCACTTCCAGCCTATGCATTGGTCATGACTACAGAAACAGATATGGTTTGGGCTCGTTACGCCAATATTGCACCCGTGACTCAAAGAAACTTTGGAACTAGTCTCATTCCTGGATCGTGGTTGTCCCTCAATCAAACAATCTACCCAGGAACTTCAATTACAAATGGTTATCAAACTTTAAAGTTCCAATCAAGCGGCAGTATCCAATTGTATTCAAACTATGGAGAATTAGGTCCTAATGGCCGCACCGCTATTTGGACACACCCGGTAATGCTTCCATGGGACGGCGATTACATTTGGGCCCAATGCAGTGACCCAATTTCCGATCAATTGTGCGCTTACTCTGATGGTCAATCGTATGGACCTGTATTCCAAGGAACATACTTGTCTATGTTGCCTAATGATGCCGATCCTGGCCATGACTTTTCAATTCTTTCTTTTGACGACCAATGGAGGGTATTCATGGGATTCACAAGGGTTCCAGGTCAATACACAAACTATTATTCAAATTCTACCAATGGATTTTTACAAGGAGCTTTGATTTCAAACTCTGTGGTCAACCTTCAACTAACCTCAACCGATTTGGTTCTAAAAAATACAAACACCCAACAAGTTTTGTGGAAGACGAATACGGGATGCACTGGTATCACCTATGGAAATTGGAATACAAAAAGATGGCCAACTCCTACATATCCCAATGCATTCTGTATCTATCAACCTGAAGGCACTGTTGATCAAGCTTGTTGGTGTGCTAATAACATGTTTGGTGGCAATGGAAGACAAAGAGCCGACACTTTGGTTATTCCACCTGGTCATGCTTGTTTGTTACAAATATCATCAACTGGAAAGGTTCTAAACACTATCTACTCTATTTAAAAAAATAAATTAATAAATTAATATGTTATTTCAAAAAGTTTCCAATTAATCGTTTGGTCTTTTTCTAGTTTGATTACCTGTTATTATAATATGATTATTATTATTATTACTACTATTCTTGCTATTATTATTATTATTATTATTATTTATTTAAAGAATTGTAAACAATCAGTTGATATAACTTCCATGAGTAGTTTTCTAGTTCTCTCACAGCTAGTTTCAATGGTTGCACCTTGATTGTTTAATTTGATTGTAGCCATTTCCTTTTCCTTGTAAATATTAATTGTTGCGTTTTGTACATTATCTAATCGACTAAACACATCATTTCCACTGCCCACATTATCATTTATAATCGTATCAATATTATTAAATCCTCTCTATCATAAATAAATAAATAAGATTAATTGTTAGTAGAGGTTATCTGATATATCACATTTAGATGATTATACATACTTTTGATAATTCTTCCAAAATTGATTTTAAAGATAAACTTCCCCAAAGATAATTACATATTGTATTGGATGATTGTTGGGGTGGCGATGAAGAAGAGAATGCCAATTTTTGTGAACCACCTGGCGAGTTATGATCATTACTAGTATTCTTTAGTAATGATAGATTGAATTGATGGTCTTTAAGTGATAGAGATGCATGGAGATGAGCAACCGTTATACTTGAACCGGTTCCATTATTTGAATCGATAGACTTTGTTTGAATTTGTTGTGCAAGATGTTGATCCAAGTATGCACTCTCGTATTGACATGTGGTATCCTTTCCTGCACCATTCTTTAATATTTTAATATTCAATACATCTGTTGGATTAATAAACATTGTCTTTCCAATACTTTGATTCACTTTATCTTTTTTAAAAAAAATAAATATTAAATTAATACATTTTTAGAAATATAAATCTATCTATCTCTCTCTCTCTTTGTTGTTTCTTTCTTACTTTGATATTGAAATGGTAAAATAATGGTTGAAGGAGATATTTTTGAAACAAGAGTATTTAAATCATGAGTATGAATTCTTGGATCGATTGGAATGTATTGAGTTTTACATTTCATCTCTCCAAATGGTTCGAGTAATTTTTGAGCTTGATAGTAATCAGACTCGACGAGGATGATTGCATTTTTTGGTTTGTCTTTGAACTGATGTTGTATGAGATGGACGACATCACCCATTCGACAGGATGGATGTCCGGCAAATATAATACAAGGCTCTTTGAGCGACGATACATTGTTGAGATGTTGGAGGGGTGTGAGATGGTTGTTTCGGATCATCTCTGTGAAGAAAGGGTGATTCGGGCATCAAAGACCGTTCCTTTTTGTAATTACTGAGCCACTCTGCATAGATGTCGGCATAGGATAGGACGGCCTTGCCAATCGACGAAACATAGTATATGTGGGTATACCCTAACCCAAGTTTGTTTACATAGTCGTACAGTAATTCAAATAGATCCAATACAGTACCACACGAATACACCGGTATTAAAACACTACCTCCATTTGATATAGTATTACCAATACAATGGAATAGCTCATTGATATTTTCCATGTATGGGTTAAATGATTGTTGCTGCTGCTGCTGACCAATTGTAGAAGGTGGTTGTTGAAGTGGATGGTTAATCTTGGAGGCATAAATAAATACATCTGGTGATTGAATCGATTGCAAGTCTATTGGTTCTGGGTATCTTTCATAGACTGATGAATCTGATAAATAAACAATCTTTTCATTCATACTTTCAATCACCCAATTACAGGATCCCAAACAATATCCTGAACTTGTTGCTCTAATTGTAAATGAATATAAATTCTAAAACAAAAAAAAGAATAAGAATAAGAAAAGGAATAATACTATCTATTATGTATGTTATGTTATACTCTTTATACCTACAATAAATTCATTATATCTAACAGCTTGAATCTTTTCAAAACACTTTTCAGTATCGAATCGAGAATAAAGAGTCTTCCAACCCTTTGCATGTTTGAAGGCACTATTTGCTTGTTCAGCTCCAATCAATTTTAACAATTCAGTACTTTGCCAATACTGATTAATATTACTCTTTTGGTTTGAATTCATATCATATTGTACCAATTCAAGTAATAGTAGTCTAAAAACAATAACAAGTAAAAAAAGGTTTAGAGTCACTATTATCTACTATATAATGGTTCTGGTTGATTTCATTTACAAACATACCTTCCAATTTGAATAGTTGGTTCTGTAGCATATATTTTACCATTGAATGATGTATGTTCGGTGATGTAGGGTAGACTGATAAGATTGTTGTAATTTGATATGACGATAATGTCAATGGTCGACATATCACTAATCAATTGCTGAACGTTATCAAATATCATTGGTGTATGATACTTTACATTACTATCGATAAATATATGATTACCAATACTTTTGAAACATGCACTATTCTTAATTTCATTCGAGGTAGATGTACCATTATTGTTAATTTGTTGTGATGATGATGAAGGAGTAGATGAGCTCAATACTGATGTATTTGGTAAAAAGTATAATAAAGATGTCCACTCTACTCCACAATCAAATAGAATTCTATGATTCTTGTATTCCAACAAGTAACATGACGCTGAAGGTGATAGACCTAAACAATGCTACAATGTCATAGCACACCCAAATAATAAGATATTAGATATACTGTTTCATCATCATGAATGATCACACGATCATTTAATAAATACCAATTTCATTGTAAGTGTATGTATCTATCTATCTATCTATCCACATCTCTTGGCAAAGGGAGAGGTGATCAAAGGAGTACAATTACAAGAGTTTAAGGATCGTAGAAAGAGATTCATTTCAGCATTTGCCGATGGCTCGATAGTGATACTCTTTACACCACCCGAGCCAATGATGTCGTACGACATACCATTCTCATTACGTCAAAACACCAACTTTTTCTACTATACCGGATTCAATGACCCCGAGGGCATATTGGTGATGGAAAAGATATCAGACAACCTTCACACCGAGACCATGTTTGTGAGAGAAAAGATACCTGAAAAGGAACTATGGGAAGGTCCACGATGCGGACCAAGTAATGCAGTCTCTAAATTTGGTGTCAACAATGCCTATACATTGGACCAACTTCACATATTGAATGATATCATTCGTAAATCCTCAAGTAGAGGTATATTTATTAATAGCGTACGTTGGGATAGTTTAAAAATTGATTGTATGTATATCAAATTGTAAAAAAAAATATTAATAATGAATGAATGAATGGTTTATTAACAAAATATAATTAATACTATCTATAGATAATAACAAAACATTATATGATGTTGAACCATACTTGCAAATGTCAAGATTAGTAAAATCACAATCGGAAATTAAAATGATGATGGAGAGTGGATCGATTGCAGGTCAGTCGTTTCAAGACATGATGAAGTTTGTCAAGCCTGGCATGAACGACTATCAAGCCAGTGCATTCTTTGAATTTAGTGTAAAGAATCGTGGTGCACAACGCATGTCGTATCCACCGGTTGTCGCAGGCGGCAACAATGCAAACACACTCCATTACATCTCCAACAACATGTTGCTAAAAAGTGGTGACTTGCTGCTCATGGATGCAGGTTGCGAATTTTGGGGGTTCACATTACTCGAACGTTCCCAGTCAATGGAAAATTCACAGACGCCCAAAAACAACTGTACGAGGCAGTGTTGGACGTTAACAAAAAATGTATCGAGATGTGTCGTGCTGGCGAGACAATCAACACTATCCACAGATACTCTGTCGAGTTGATCATTGGTCATTTGTTGCGTCTTGGTATTCTCGATAGACAACCTGGTACTTTATCCAGTACACCAGTAAGCAAACAAGAGATTGAGGATAATGTCAGAAGTGGCAAATACCACAAATACTATCCACACTCGATCGGACATTACTTGGGTATGGACACACACGACACCATGTCTATTCCCTATGGAGAGATACTCAAACCAGGTATGATCATTACCATCGAGCCTGGAATATACATAAATGAATACGACCATGAAGTGTCAGAACAATGGCGTGGAATCAATATACGTGTCGAAGACGATGTCGTCATCACTGACACCGATCCCATTAATCTAACTATCGATGCTCCCAAAGAAGTTGACCATATTGAATCCATAATGAATACTAGTAATAGTATGTCTGGATAAATAAATCGATTACATGACATGTGCAACAACAAACAATATTAGATATTATTATTATTATTATTATTTTAGTCTGCCATGTCCATGTGTCAGATTCCCAAAGATTTAAATTATATTTTGTGTTAAATTTTAATTTAAAGTGAGGAAGAAATCGTTCTCGACGAGGACGACGACATGGATGAAGACGAAGATGACGAAGACGAATACTTTGACGAAGATGAGGATCAAGACAAGGACGAGGAAGACCAAGACGAGGACGAGGACCATGAAGACGACGAGGACCACGAAGAACACCGAGACCAAGACTTTGAGGAAGACGATGAACTTTTGGACCAATACTTTGAGAAAAAGACCGACAAGGCCCAATATTTGGAACAATTAGAATACAACAACATTATTCGTGGTGAACTCGAAACACGCGAGTCCTTTACCGACCTTGGTGACGACTACTCGCCTCAAGAAGTCGCTCAGTTTGAAAAACTCCAAGACGAGATTCTACCTGCGACCTATTGGTTCGTAGCCAATCGCTCTTCCAGCTGAGCTAAACATCCAGAGTATCATTTTATTTTTTTTAATTTTTTTTTTCGCATCATCATATGAAAGGACATAGTACCTCCAACTTTTGATCATGCTATAGTCGATACGACTAGTAACACAATTGGAGTTGATTTTGGTAAAAGGTTGATTGACAGTGGAGTGGAGTTTACCAAAATAGTCTCTCGCTTTGGTTGTGATCAAGAAATGGAAGGTATACATGTTGGTATAGGTGAAGTACTATTCAACAAATTGGAGTTGTTAAAACCAAAGAATGTAGTCATTGGATACACTTATGAATATCAATCAATTATTCCCAACTTTTCCAAGATGCTCAATATGATTGATCATTTGGAAACGGTAAATATCAAAAGGGATTGTCAAGATTAGAGATATCAATGTATTGTTGCAATCAAAGACAATTAAATCATTAAAGATACGATTTCAATGGCACAATGAATTCGACCTATTTAATTATGATAGTTATGATAAAGATTACCAGAATTATCGTGTTGCCAACGATTTAGTAATTTCTCCATTACTCGAAGAAATGTCACAACGCCTTCAAAACAACAACACACTAACATCACTAACCATTAGAGATGGTTACCAAGAGAATCAAATTTATGAACAAAATCAATTGATAAAGGATTGTTTTGCCAATCTATTATTAAACAATCAAACCAGTTTAAAACACTTGGAGTTTGAAAGAGGTGAGGAATATTTAGATCAAAGATTCTATCAATCCATTGCCAATAATACTTGTTTGGAATCACTTAAAATTGAATTTTACTATGATTATCAAGAATACCAAAAACAAAGCGTAATATCAATTTGTAAATCGCTATCTATCAATAGATCACTTAAACAATTGGATATTGGATTGGTATCAGATATAGACCAAGATTTAATTGACCAATTCAAACAAATACCAAATAGAAATTGTTTAATAGTAGTTTATAAAGATAAAGAAGCATTGGAAGCAGGTCGTTGGCCTTTGGACCACAGTTATTCGTTTATTTAATAAATTAATTAATTGTTCATATACGAGTATAGTTTGATTTATTTTGTTGTTGTTGTGTTAATTTAAAAATCTGGTGATACATTGAGGTCGACCATTAACAATGACACAATTCATATTGTTTGGACATTGAGGGTCGCATAGAGAGGATAGATGGTTGTGGTCTGGTGGAGGATGGTCGATACCAATACAGGCGGGATACCCATCTTTGGTGACATGACAATAAGTGTCCGAGGGACAATACACCAATGAACAAGGGTCCTTGTGATGGATAGGTCTGTTTGGAATACAGGTTGCAAACCCACCAACATTATGGCAGTGAGTGTGTGTAGGACATAGCACCTCGTTACACATCTTTAGTTTCTTGGGTGTGGGAGGTGGTGGTGGGTGTGGACGAGGACGGGCGTCATTACCAAGAGACATCTCGCATATCGACTGGGTATCGTCGTATGGCAGACAAACTGGTGATGGTTGGCAACATGAAGTGCCCGAGCATTCGGTGGTCGATAGTACAACACATCGCATACCCATTTGCTCGCATCCCAGAGTACTGCAGTTTCCAGCAAATGGAACGTACGGTTCCCAACCGGTTTGCGGACGACAGTTTCCTGAATCTATCTCGTAGATGTGTCCCGTGCCACTATACACCATACAACTAGTTGTATTGTCACAGTCACTCCATGGGTCTGGGTTGGTAACACATACAGATCTCGACTCTATTCCACAACACCCTTGATAGGTACGCCATTCGCATACTGGTCGTCTAGCTTCACACTGATGCGATGTAAATACCTCTTCGCAAGGACCTGTTTCAATGATCACTGATTCTGAATCTGGTGGTTCTGAATCTGTTGGTTCCGAATCTGGTGGGGGTACTGGATTGATTCCTGTCGAATCACCACTAGTTATTCTAGTGGGTGCTATACCAGTAGTTGTATCATTTTTAATTGCATAAATGCTCATATCGTTGGCAAAGTCTGTAATAATCTCTCCACCATAGTTTTTGACGCAGACTGGATGTTGAGAACAACAAGTCGTTCCAAGACAAGGAACTGTCTGTCTCCATTCACAAATGAGTCCTCTGGCTGTACATTGTAGATCGTTACATGACTTTTTAGGTGGATTAAAGACTACCCAACCAGGTGTACAATAGGTCCAAAATTCACAAATTTGATTGGTACGTGGATCGATTTCACAATGAATACTTGAACGACAGACTGGATCGGTTTGATATTTTGGATTGTTGACACAAACATCGATATGATGACCACAACAACATGGGAAATTCATCCACAAACACATTGGAGAATTTCCTTCACATAGTGCTTTAGTTCCTTGTTGTCCACAGAAATTGGATGAATTGGTTATTGATCCTGTTGTTGTTGTTACAAGTGCTGTTGTCGTCGTTGTTGTAGTTGTAGTAGTTGTTGTTGTTCCTGTTGTTGTACCTGTTGTTCCAGTGGTTCCTGTCAATACCGCATTTGTAGTACTAGCAGTTGTAGTTTTAGCTCCTGTTGTTGTTGTTGAAGTGGTCGTAGTGGTTAATCCAGTAGTGACACCAGTATCCATATGTACAGCGGTTGTAGCTGTTGTGAGTGGAGGTGGGGGTGTTGTACCATCCGTTGTAGCGGCCGAAGAGGTAGTAGTTGTAGTAGGAGCTGCTGTTGTTGTGGTGGTCGTTGTAGTAGGGGCTGCTGTTGTTGTGGTAGTTGTAGTAGGGGCTGCTGTAGTGGTTGTTATGGTGGTAGTTGTAGTAGTAGGGGCTGCTGTTGTAGTAGTAGTGATCGGGGATGCCGTTGTTGTTGTAGTGGTAGGAGCTGCCGTTGTTGTTGTTGTAGTTGTAGTGGTAGGGGCTGCTGTCGTAGTAGGTGCTGCTGTTGTAGTTGTGGTTGTAGTTGTAGGAGCCGCCGTTATAGTGGTAGTTGTTGTAGTTGTAGTAGGGGCTGCTGTTGTTGTGGTTGTGGTAGTAGGGGCCGCCGTTGTTGTAGTGGTTGGGTTTGCTGTTGTAGTAGTAGTGGTCGGGGATGCCGTTGTTGTTGTAGTGGTAGGAGCTGCCGTTGTTGTTGTTGTAGTTGTAGTGGTAGGGGCTGCTGTCGTAGTAGGTGCTGCTGTTGTAGTTGTGGTTGTAGTTGTAGGAGCCGCCGTTGTGGTTGTTGTTGTTGTTGGACCGGATATGGCGGTAGTTGTTGTTGGACTGGTTGTTGTAGCAGTCGTAGTAGTAGTAGTAGTTGGATTAGCGGTAGGATTATTTATTCCAGTGGTGGTGGTTGTCGACGTTAAAGATGTGGTGGTTGGGTTACCACCAGTTGTTGATGTTGTTGGGAGACCAGTTGTTGTTTGATCTTGAAAGGTGGTAGCACCAAGAGAGGAATCAGTCGAAAAAATAGTTGCATCTCCAGAATAGGACAGAGTATTAAAAGCAGGTGCCGAAGAAGTGGACAGATCAATGAGAAACTCTCCATCTTCCAAGGGTTTACCTGAACTAACGAGATAGTTGTTGCCGGTCATATAGACCCACTCGAATTCCGACGATATCTTTCCGACCGTTACAAAGTCTGTCCAGACTGAAATGATCGTTGCAGTAGTCGATGCGATGGTACTGGCAATAGTAGAGGCTACCGTGCTTCCAGTAACCGAACATGTTGTACTTGCAATGGTCGATGCCGTCGTAGTGTATTTTGGATCTTCAACGCAGACTGCCGACAGTCGACAACATGGATTGCGTTGGTCAATGCACTGAGACTTTTGTCCGAGCCCACACACCTTTCCCTGAGCTTCACAGTTTAAATCACAGCAACTCTTTTGGCTCGGCATCTCTTGTGTCAGACCGTATGGTTGTAGATCGACTGGATGAGTAGTGACAAGATGGTACATAATATTTCTGCCTTGTACCAAGTCAGAGACACATAGACTTGTTGGTTGGTGTGTATACGATTGATTAATATGTCGACTATCTATACAAATTCCAGTCGCCAAGTATTGATCAGTCTTCTTGTCTCGACTACAACACGACTTTAACGGTATCCACAAACAACCATCTCCAAGTTGACAATCATATGAATCCTTTCTTAATTGACACATAATAGTTCTTCTTTCATTTAATTGCCTTGAAATAAAATCTATATCTTCATTTTGTGGTTTAATATTCTTATTATTATTATTATTATTGTTGTTGGATGACCAAAAGCTTGATATATCCCAAAATCCTAAAACACATATTAAAAAAAAAGTATAAGTATTATTGTTCAAAAAGAAATGACTTTTCTTTCATTAATGTACATACCATGGCTAGTTGAAATAAATAAAACTAAAATGATTAAAATGATTGTTTTCATTCTATAGTACTATTCTATTCTTTCCAAAAGTCATTCAATCCTTGTCCTTTTGAGGTAGGTGTTGAATAAACATAAATAAATATATATATTTTGATCAAGATATACTAGAACCAAATCACATTATTATGAATAGATGTGTTCCAGCTTGCAATCATAATATGATGATTATGTTGATGAAGGATTTTCTGAATGAAATTAATTTGGGTGTTGTTGTTGTATAAATCATAGTGATTAAAGTTGTACTATTCTACTCTGCTCTGCTCTACTTTCTTTTTGATAGCACATCCACTCTGCTGTAAAATGTAATCGCACTACATCATCATATGCAGGTGGGGAGGGAAGTGGAGATGGAAGAGGAATGGGTGAACACATTGATCGATCATCATGATGAGTTACATTGATTGATTTTTGAGGGGTGCTCTCTCTCTCAACCAAAACCTATGATGAGCACATGAATTTGACACATGCGATGGTACACCAGGTACAGTTGATGAATCAATGAGATTCTATTCTATTACTTCTAGTTGAATGATCATTGTCTATCTATCTAGTTTTAACAAATGAAGACAATGAAAAAAATATAGAGTTCAAAATTCTTCATAATGAAAGGAGACTTCTTTGGTCGGTCGATTCATAGATAGTCTTTTGTTTCAAGCCAACAATGAATAGTATTATCACTAGGAATATTTTAAATGCTGCAAAGCAGAGCATTACCATTACTTCTCAATCATCATCACCATCGTTGAGATGTGTAGCATCAAGAGACTCTTTTAGACCAATCTTTGTAACACTTTCAAATGATAACAACTACAACATCAACAAATATAATAATAATAATAATAATAATATAAATTCTATCATTAAAGATATCAATATCAATACAAAATATAATCAACAACAACAACAACAACAACATAAACATCTTTTCAAATCAAATATTACATTACAATCATTATCATCATCGACTTCATTTATAAATGGTAATAATGGTACTATTCAAATATATCGATATTCATCGTCGTCATCAAAAAGAACTATATCATCAAGAGCCGGTTCAGCTATTCATTCACTTTACTTTGTAATTGTATTTTGTGTATGTATTATCGTTCTTGATTTTTATATAACATTAATGATACTAACTTTGTACATATATATATTATAGGCAATTATTGGAGCAGCCATTTATATTTTCGATGATATGATATTTGAACAATGGTTGTATAGTGAGGCAATCGATCAATTACACTCATCACAAGAGATTGTAGATATATTTGGTAGCGATATGAAAGCAAAGGCATTCCATCGTTTCTTTGAAAAGGATATGTCAATGACAGAGATTGCAAAACGAAAGAATCAAAGACAAGGTGGTGATCCATCCAATCCTCCTCCAAAAATTGTTATTGTTTGTATCATTGTCTGCAATCTAATCATTAAGTAGAGAGTAGTTTTAACTAACCCTTGTTTGTTTGTTTGTTTGTTTGTTTCTAGATTAAATTTAAATTACAAGGACATAAAGGAGTAGGACATGTATTTTGCAAGGCCAATAGATTATCACTCTTTAATCCAGAGATTACATTCCTACGTGTAAACTATGGAACCATGAGAAAGATTACATTGATTGACAAGGACAGAAAAAAGATTGAAGAACCAAAATCTCTCATCACCAGAGCACTTAGATTTTTATTTACAAATAATAGAGAAGAAGAGGATGATCAAGATTATAATTAATAATAGAGGCGACACATACACATACACACAGATGAATAAAAATAGTTTTGGAACATCATTTTAATTTATTCATAAAAAAAAAAAGAACAAAGAGTAGATAGAACAAAGAGTATATGTACAGGTTATTTTATATATTGATCAACATAATTATGTTGATATTGGATTGTTTGGTTGAATTGCTACATCAACAAGATTTGTTAAAATGACCCATGCCCAATGTTGTAATCTAAAAAAAAAAAATGAATTAATTATTTAATTAATTTTGGAATAGATAGATTATAATTACTCTTTCTTTTCAGCCAAATGACTAGTTTTCTCACCCTTGTCGATATAAATATCTAATATAGCATAGGCTATTACAATAATCAACAAGAACAATAGTGACATCATAAATGATGAATTTTCTTTTTTCAACATCTTTTTAAATATTTTTTTCTTTCTTTTTGTAATAATAATAATAATAATAATTGTAGTAGTGATGGATAACTCTAACCCTCTTTTTTTTATTAAGTTTTAATATTAATATTTGTTTTAATAATTATTTTTTTTTAAAAACCATCCCAAAGATGATCCAAAAAAAAAAAAAGGTTTGGATTTGGGTTGACCAGTTTTTTTTGGGTTTCCTAATTAAAGTTAAATAATGTTGTTTGATCACTTTGTATTGTTTTAACACCAAGTTGATCAAGTCTTTTGATGATCGGGAGATGAATAGATGGTCGATAAGGTTCTTGAAGAATGAGTTGTGTTTGGTGATTGCTTGTATTGACCAACTGTTCCAAAGTGAATAGACCCTTTTCTAAAAGAGAATGGATGATGTCTAGTTTACCATGGGTGAATAATTCCTGTACACTATATTCGCATTTAAAAGTAGTTATCATCTCTATGAAACAATCAGTAAGCATATTCTTTAGTTTTCCTTTAAGATTTCGATATAAAACCTCGGCGGCTACACTTCGTAAAAGTGGCATATGTCCTTTTACCAGAGCCTCTTGGAATACGTTATAGTCTAACGATTTCATGGTATGTGACAATAGATGAAAGAGTTTTGATGAACCTTTGAGTCCAACTATGTCAGATCCTTTGCCACCAATCATGACGAGACTAAATCGATTACATATTTCAATGATGAATCGTGTAGAGTGTGGGTTGGCAAGTCTGATGAATATCTTTTTCTGTTTGGGGAATTTGGAAAAGAGTAGTCTTAGAGCATCGAGTTTGTTGGCTCTCGACAGAGCACACACAATCTTGCTTGAAATGTGAGTGATGAGATTTCTCGCTACGAGATACTCTATCACGCTGCAAGACAGTAGTGACATGTCTTCATCCATAAACTGCATCCAATCCACCGACATTGTCATTTCCATTACAAACAAGAATACTTGTTCCGATTCGATACGAGTATACCTTTTCTTGTAGTTTGTTTTGAATGGTGATATATGGGTGATATCAATATACCTAGTTTCTCGTACGAGTAGGTTGTATATATCGACGGTTGTTTGAGGATCACCCTTTCTAGTTATGATTGACAGGAATATGCTTCGACTGTCCAATAATGGTGCAGCTGATAGGAAGCCGTTGGAGACTGCTATTTTAACTTGCTTGAGTGTACCAACTCGAAGAATACCAATATACCTAGGTGAGAAATGATTTGAACAATATCGAGTTGGTGCTCTATTACTATCACATATATGTTGAATGGCCACACTAGCCAAATAGCGAATAGCAGCCTCTTCACTAACCGATCCGCCTTTGACACCCGTTTGTAATATATCATTGCATATTTCATCCAGTCTTTCCAGCGAGGTAATCACACCACGTTGCAGTTGTAATAGGTCAAGTGACATTCTATCAAGTCTCTCCCTATCATCTTGCAACCATGCAAACATACCAAGTAAAGTCGATTTACATTTTAAAAACATGGGTTCTGCATCTTTGAATCGGATCTCGATCTCTAGACGCGACGCAACCGAAAGATGTTGAGTTGTTTCTATCAGATAGTACGGCAGTGTGATCGAGTCGGTATTGGTGTACTGCTTCATTAGTGTAGTGTTACCGGTCCGATATATACATATATTCTTGATTTGACAAGTATGATTTGTCTTTTTGTACTGGTCCACAAGTCTTGGGAAATTCTTTGCAATCCAAACCAATACTTGTTCTTGATGATCTCGATCATATGTAGGTAGACCTCTGATGAGTCGTCGGTCACGACGTCGATTAAGATTACGATTACTTTGAGTGAATTTTAATAATACATTATTGATTGATAATTTCATTACTGGTGGTAGATGAGGTGGGCAATACTCTTTATACAATTGTAATACCCTATCCAGTACATCTACACTTTTTGAAAATGGTTGAAATTCTAGACTACTGTCCCAACCACTACCATCAACTCCAAATGGACAGAACCTCCTCTCTTTCTTTTCTTTGTTGTCCTTTTTGTATCTCTCGTCAAAGATACGTTTATTCTCTTCAACTACATAATCTAGAATTTGTACCGACGGACAGTGATAGACATCATTGATGGTGGTTGGTAGTTCAAAACCAGTCTCTTTGAAAAAGTAGGTAAACGTCTCCAAGTCCTCGACACGACGAAGAAACAGTCGTATAGACTCTGAAGAAAAGTAAAGGTTACGATCACCTCTTTTCATTCTTTTGATGAGTATTGCCAAATCACCTCTTTCAATAATCTCCTCTACACTTGTATCCTCCCACGACGTCAACTCTGTACAATAGTCGTTTCTTTCATCTCTATATAATTGAAAGATTGAATGAAACAAGTATTTATTCCTAAATACATTCCAAAATGTTGATTCTTCTATTATTTGTTGAACCATGAGTGAGTGCAAAGTAAACTAAAATAATAAAAAAATAAAAGATAAAAGTAGGGCCTCTACTTCTTTTTTTTCTTTATTTCTTTCTTTTTTTGTTGTTTGTTATTTATTTATATTTATATTAATCTTTCATTTGATTATTATTTTATTTAAAAAGGTTTTGTGATAATCCTATTGTGTGTATTGTATACGACGATTAAACAATTTCTATTTGGTATTTGTTTAAATTGATCTATTAAATCTTTGTCTTTGTCTAATTAAATGTAATGGTTAATAAATAATTTGGTAAACTTTGAGTGAGTGAAAAGGTAGGTGAAAGGGATGTAACGGATGAAGTTGAAAATGAGCATAGGGTAGTGTTGATTGATATTTGGTTGAGAGAGGATAGGATAATGTAGGGAGTGTTGGCGGTGATTTGAGGGTACGACCCTTTGCTGTTTTGTAAGAGTCCAAATGAGAATGTACCGGTTGTGTCTTGGTATTGACCGTTGATATTGAAAATAGCTTGTGATGGTTGGGTTGGGAGAATGGGTGAGATGATGTTGAACGATGTTAGACCACCACTGCCGATATAGTTGTTGTTGAAGACTACAACGTCGCCATTATCATTGCCAATGATATTGATGGTTGATTGACTAGACTGAACGTTTCCAATGATATGTGTGTTGGTAATATTGAGTGTGGCACGTTGGAGAATGATAGAAGAGGTGATTTGTGAATTCTCAAACATGAGATGTGCAAGACCTTGAAGTGCGCTTATGACAATGGTCGAAACTGTCAAGACGGTGTTTCCAACGTAGAGCATGGCACGTGAGCTAACGACGATGGACGACCCGATAGACTTGAGGTCGACGTTACCGTTGGACACGTTAAACGTCGCGCCGACATTCAAAAAGAATTGTGTGCTGTCGGCTGACATACCGGCCGTGTTGCTGAGCTCGTTGTAGCCCGACATCATGTAGTAGACCGGTCCAGAGGACACATCAGAGATGGCACCAATCTGGTTATAGGTGCATCCTGTCGACTGAATGTTGATCGACGACGAGATGGCGTACGACAACTGACCAAAATAAGTGTCTACAAACGACACCTCACCAGACAGGTCCATAATGTTCGAACTTCCCATCAACGTCGATCCGTTGATGACGAGCTGGTCAAAATGACCGAGTGTGATGTTGCTACCCTCGTCTGACGCCATCTCGAGTAAAAGGTGTACCGGCCCGACTATGTTTGGCGAATGCTGTGACACAAACACTGCACCCTCTTGCAAATGGATCAAACCAGGTGCAATGACCGTCACATTACCAAATGAAGTCAAGTTACTGCCCGTTCCAATCACCAGTGTCCCCTCGACGGTCAACATATTGGACATGATACTTGTATTGTCTATGTAGGCGTCTTGGACAGTTACCAATGCGTCACGTAGGTCAAAGTCAACGTTGGAGACATAACTCTTGCCACCAAGATTGATAGTTGCGTACAAAAGCATGTGTATCGAGTCGAGGTAGACACCATCGATTGAAGTAAACGTCGAAGCTGATTGAACGACCAATAAACAGCCATCAGTAAATGACCCGTATCCAAATGCCATGTCGGCACCCGAGAAGCTTATCTTTCCCTTGCTAGCTTGGATCGAGTTACCAACGGTCAACGTCTGATTGTTGTCAACGGTGAAATCATAGTTACCAGCCAATTGCAAGTCATGTACAATGTCAACGTCGACACCTGAATCTACGGTCACTGTGAAACGACCATTTGAAATAACAGTCAAAGCTCCAACTGTCAAATCAGCGTAATTGATGTATATGTTGAGTGGTCTATTATCGGCAGTCACATTGATCACTGCATGATAATTAGCTGTATTAGGTATTACACCTCCTATCCATACAGTCTTATCAAAGTATTGACAATCTCCATTACATGATGTAATATCATATTCTATAATCTCTAAAGATTCTGAAGAAGATGATGAAGATGAAGAATATGTGTATGATGGTGATGAAGATGCTAATGTTGGTTGTGTGGTTTTTAATATTAAAAATAATAAAAGTACACAAAAATTAAAAAAATACAAGTATCCTCTTGACATCTCTCTCTCTGTCTTCTCTCTTTCTATTTCTTTAGTTTGTGTTATATTAAAGAAATAAACAAATAAATAAGGTAAGATTAAAGATATATTAAAATTGATCTTTTGTTGTTGTTGTTGTAGGACTCGAGATGATGGTTTAGCTTCGAGTTCTCTCGTCGCTGCGACTTGAACTCGAAAAAAAATATCTTGAAGCAAGCGAAATTTCTTGTGGAATGATGATCATCATTCGAACCTTTATTTTGTTGTATCTCTGTGCAAATACCAATAATAAATAAAAAGTAATAATAATAATAATGGGAGATTTAACAACATTAAATAATATTGGAAAAGCACTTGAGAAACAATTAAATAGAGTTGGTATCACAACGGTTGAACAGTTAAAGAGTGTTGGTGCAAAGGAGGCATGGTTAAAGATAAAAGAACATGATACCACAGCTTGTATCAATCGATTGTTGGAACTTGAAGGTGCTCTACAAGGTGTAAAGAAGGATAAACTGTCAGCAGATACTAAAACAGAATTAAGAGCATTTAGTGAAAAGATCAAAGAACAAAGAAAACAACAAAGAAAGAAACAAAGAGAAAATAATAACAACAACAAAAAAAAGATAAAGAATGAAGAGAAAGAGGAAGAAAAAGAGGAAGAGGAGGAGAAGGATAAGGAGGTAGAAAAAGAAGAAAATGCTACTACTATTGAAAAAGATGATACAAAAGAAGACAGTAAAATTACAACAACAAACGAAAAGGATGATAATAATAATGAAAAGAAAAGAAAGACAACTGAACAATCAGTAGAAAAAGAAGAGTCATCATCGGAAACTCAAGTAATACAACAACAAAAGATCATTAAAAAATAGATAGATAGATAATCTATCTATAATTAAACATCACAAACAACACACATTAAAATTAAATTTTAATTATTTATTTTAATTATTTATTTTTACATAATGGTCAATAATAATAATATTATTATTATTATTATTATTTATATTTAAATGGAGTAATAATCTTGACTTTTTAAAGAATTTGGAAGATATTCAAAACTGCTATCTTTAAGTTTATACATCATGATTAAACAATTTCTATTGGGTATTAGTCTGAAATGGTTCATTAAATCTACTTTATAAAATAAATCATCGTCCCTAAAAGGTACACCGATTTCCAAAGATTGAAGTGATCGATTGATTGAAAGTGATTTACTAATCGATACAACTATTTGTTTTAGGTATTCTTGATAGGTAGTGTCAATTTTGGATTTAGAATATTTTAAAAAGCAAAGTTTAAGTGATTCCAAAGTAGTATTATTTGCAATGGATTGGTAGAATCTGTCATCTAAATAATCATCTGCTCTTTCAAATTCTAAATGTTTTAAACTGGTTTGATTGTTTGATAATATATTTGCAAAACAATCTTTTACCAAATGAATCGATCTTTTGGCAAGTTGCCAGTTGCCACCCAAACTAGGTACATAACTATGTTTGATTGTTAGAGAAGTTAGTGTTTTGTTGTGTTGGAGACGTTGTGACATTTCTTCAAGTAATGGAGATACAGAATATTGGTTGTTTATATCAATCGCTTGGGCAGATTCCTGTTTTAGACGTTTCCATTCTTTGTCTTCTGGATAACCAGTGTATGAATCAAATCCCTGTTTTGTATGTTGGTCATATTCATTGTGCCATTGAAATCCAATTGTCAATGATTTAATTGTCTTTGATTGCAGCAATACGTTGATATCTCTAATCTTGACAAGTCCACCTTTGATATTGACTCTTTCCAAATTTACACCATTGGCATCAATGTTTTCAAACAACTTGAAGCCTATTGGAAAGGATCCTTCACTATGACAAGAAAGGTCAATAGTTATATTCTTTTGTTTTAGTGATACCGCTGTATTGAATATTGTTTCAAAAACGTAATCATAAGGATCTTGACAACCACTCCAATGGTCAAAGGTCATTTCAGTCACCTCTACTCCACTGTCATTAGACAGAAATTTGTCAAAGTCACTCCAAATACCTTTTGATGGTTTGTTTTTGCCATCATAGATCATCAACAACAGATTTGCTTGTATCTTGACATGACTACCATCCCGCTCTAATCTATTGATTGATTCCACCAAATCTAGCATTCTCTTTTCATACCGGTTGTCTTTTTTTTCTGGTTGATCATCAAGTGTTATAAACACTATCTGTAATATGACTCTTTCCAAAGATGTCATTGCGCTGATGATTGATAGTATAGAGCCTGGTCTAGAATAGTTGACATTGTTTCTTTCATTACTACCACAATCAATGATGAATGTATGCACATGGGCCAATGAGAGTGGTAAATATTGTAAAAAGGGTTGTTCTTTAAAGTTGTCTAGATCATGTATCTTGAATGGTAGATCATCCATCGATACACCTTTTACATTTTGAGCCGTCAACATTCTTAAAATACGAAACCATCTCTTACAAACCAAGGCTAGATTACTTATACACTCTCTATGACCATACCTTTCAATAATATGATAGATGTGGTAACCGCATCGAGAGAAACCATTCTGATGAACCATACGATCTGGAGATCTTTGTATGTGACTGTCTCTACTATCGAAAAAAGGTTGAAACTTTGTATTATATTTTGATAAGATATAGTGTTGTAAAACTTCTGATATTTCTTGCATCTTTTACAGTATAAGATGATCGATAAAATATCATTTATAAATCTATTTGATTAATTGTTGGTGTCTTCGTGGTGAGAGGTAAAAAAAATGATAAAATATTTATTAATTTTTAAATTTTGTCTTTGTAAATGGATATTTCTATCTTGATAATCAATTTTAACCAATTGATCTTTATCATAAACTAGGATTAAACAATTTCTATTTGGTATTTGTTTAAAGTATGATTTATTTTTTTAGGAATCCAGAAGATTCATTCAAGTATTGAATATTTTTTAGAATATTAATAGTTGAAATTGGTTGACATGGGTCAAGTTGATAACCTTTTAAAGAGTTGGTTGTAAAAGGTGTTTTAAATTGTACCTTGTAAGTATATGCATCATCATTTTGGTTTTCACTGTTGCGGTTGTTATTAGAGACAATAGATTTCATTGGATAGAGTGGATTTGATTCTGTGCAATCAATTAATTCTTTTTGCCATCGTTCCAAACTGATTTCCCTCATTTCTCCTATTAATCCACTATCCCTAATAACTTGACCAATAGTTGCAATCGATGTATTTGTTTCATTGATCATATGGTATATTGGTAATGTTGTTTGATCTTGATCTTCTTTATGATTTAATGATAATTGAATGATTGATTTTGATACCCAATCAACTGGCACTAAATTATAACTTGGTAAAGGAGAAGAAGCAGCAGATTTTTCTTTGTCTTGACTTGGGTAAGATTTCATGTATAATAGACCTTTTGTAATCATTCTAACCAAATCATTTTCATTGTCAACACCTGTTCTTGAATCGGCATAGATGGTACCGGGACGATGCATAGTGATTGGGAATCCTCTTGCATATGCTTCTCGAATGATTTGTTCAGCAACCAATTTAGACTGACGGTATCCATTGAGTTTGTCAAGATTTGAAAGTGATGGAATAGTTTGTTCGGTAATTAACATTTCTTGTTGATCCTCTAGATGGAATACACCAACCGATGAGATGTGAGACAATGGGATGAGGTGATCACCAGCAGTTGACAATTTAAGCATTTCAATGGTAGAGGTTACATTGGCTGCTCTTGTATTGTTGTATGGTATGGCCATGTTGACAAGTGCACCATTATGAATTAATAAATTGACTTGATTTGCCAAATTTAAAAATGCTTCATCCGACAGTCCAAATTTTATCAACGATAAATCACCATGTACAATGACAACTCTAGACGTATTTCTTTTACCATTATCCACATCCAAACGATACTTTGTATTTAATTGGTCAATAATATCTATTGATTCCTTTAAACTAGTATTTCTAATTAAACAATAAATCTTTTCAACTCTTTCATCTGCCAATAATTGATAAAGTAGATATGATCCAAGATAACCAGTTGATCCAGTTAAAAATACATTGAATCTTTGCTGATTTTTTTTTTGTGTATCTTTAACAGTTTTGTTTCCTTTTTGAATAGATTCATCAAGTTTAATTTCATTTTCCCAATTAATTTCTTGATTTTTTAAATTTGTCTTATCATTATTGTTGATAAATTGACCCAATAAATCTGTCAATTTTGATAAATCATTATCAATATTTAAAATGATTGATGTTGGTATATCAATATTAATTTTTTCTAAAAAAATAAAAAAAAGAAAAAAGTTAATTTAAATTTATTATTTTTTCTTTTTTTTTTTTGTATATTTACCTTTTAAAATATGACTTAGTTTAATTGCAGATAATGAATCACCACCAAGTTGAGTAAATGATAATGAATTACTATTATCGTCATGAATATTTAAAACTGATTTAATTAATTGTGATATATTATTTGTATTGTGTGATTGGTACATTGAATTGATTGTTGATTTATAAAAACTGTAGAGCGCATGTCTACAAGTTTTACTTGATTGAGTCAATAATTGATTGGCTTCACTCCAAACGGTATCATAATCCAATTTAATGAATTTAGGTACTTCATAATTAGCCAGTTTAACTTCTCGAGCAATTCTTAATAAATCTTGATAGATGATCGATTCCAATTCATCCACCAATCTACCATCATCTGCTTTTGGATATTTGATTTTCATTTCATTTGATGGTACAATAATACCAACTAAAAATGATTGATATATATCACCATAAATTAAAATTGATTCTATCATTGTTGAATTTATATAATGTGTTTCTAAATTTTCTGGTCTAAAATAAAAAAAATTAATAATATGTTTTTTTTACGTTTGTTTGTTTTGTGTGACATACGCAACAAATTCACCATTTGCCAATTTAAATACATGTTTTTTTCTATCAATCATTGTCAATATGTTATTTGAATCAATAGAGACAATATCACCAGAATAATACCATCCATCAATAAATTGTTGTTCAGTTAGATCTGGTCTGTTGTAGTAACCCGGAGAGAATGTTGGTTTCTTGATGACAAGTTCTCCACGTGGAAATGGTTTATCGTCGGGAGAGTACCCCAATTCAGGAACTGGTTCTAGACGAATTTGAGTTGAATCTGAAATGATGACACCATTTTGTGATAGACCACATCCAGTATCTTCATTTTGTCCATAAACATCAATAAATGGAACATGTGGCCAATTATCAGACATAAAATCTTTTGTTGTTTGATTTGTAAATGCTCCAAATGCAACAAATACTTGTATTCTATTTCCCAATACTTCTTTTATTTTATCTTTTTGATTCTAAATAAATAAAAATAAATAAATTAATATTATTTCTTTTTTCTTTTTCTTTTTTTTTTTACCAATAATTTTAAAAGATTACAATGATCATAAACAATATTATAGAATCTACTAATACAAGCAAACATTGTAGGAGATAATGTTTGAATATCATCAAAAATAGTTTCCATTGAACCAGAGTACATTCCAATTTGACCACCTGAAAAGAGAGTGATTAGATCTATTTTTCTCTGAACATGTGATAGTGTTAGAAAAGAGAGATGGATTGAAGGTTGAGCTGTAAGGGTACCATTGACCAATGTTTGATTGAATAGATTATCCATCAACATGATACCCTTTGGTGATCCTGTACTTCCCGACGAATACATCAGACCAAACAACTCATCCGATCGGAATGGACTGTGTGGAACGAGGTCTACCATTTCTCTACCAATCGACTCGATTTCTTTAAACTCTTTTACTTGAATGTGACTGGGTAAAGTGGCAATCAGATCTCTTTCTCTTTGGGGTGGTGGGCCGATGAGAATGATCACTTTGAGACATGGCAGTTGATTGTCATGAACCAACTCGATGATCTTGTCTACAATGTCTGGTGTGACGACGATACTGTTTGATTGACAGTTGTTCATGATTTCTTCTATCTTGTCTTTTGAAGATTGATGATGTAGCGGAACTACTCTTATACCATGCCAAATACAAGCCAAGTCTGTCAATGTCCATTCGATACAATTGTTTGCACAAATCGATAGGAATGATCTAGTATCTATAAATTGACGTAACCCATTACCAATCATAATCGATCGATCGTATGTATCTTGATAAGTGTTCCATTCATATTCACCCAAGGTCACCTCCTCATTCTTTTCATCTTTAAAGATTCTTTTTCTTGTACCCAAACATGGTCTATCTTTAAAGTAATTAAATGAATTTCTAAAAGATAAAAATATTATTAACACAAATAATTATCTAATTATCTATAAAGTTGTAAGAGATTAACATACTGAAATGATTCATAGACAGTGTCACCTTTGAGAGATTGTGCAAGACTAACGTTTGGTCTAAATTTTGAAATTAAATTTTTAACTTTGAGTTCTAATTTTAAAAATAAAAATAATTAGAATATAGGAATTAAAATAATAATTAGAATATAGGAATTAAAATAATAATACCTTCTTCTGAATGCCTGATCATGGTTTATTATTATTAATAAAATTTAAACTTTATTGGTTGGAACTATTTTCTTTTCTTATAGTATAATATTTAATTTTCTTTTTTGTTGGGAACAATACAAAGCAATTTTATATCATTTTTATTTTATTATAAATATATTTATTTGTTTGGAGAGATAATAACAAGAACCGATTCGTTTATACGTTGTTATGATGATGATATCTAAAGATCTTTCGATGTATGTATACTTGGGCAATATCATATGATAACTATCTGTATGAAAATAGTACTATTGTTCAATCTACACGTGTGAGTGTGTTTATGACCCGTCTTTTTGACTTTGATACTTACGATATGCGTGGTTTTAATTTTAGATTATTTCTAGTGACGATATAATTTACCAAATGTGAAAGGAAGTATCTTTATATGTATATAATATATTATTATTTATCAATTGATATTTTTTTATTAAAATATTTTTAGTTAAATTTAATTATTTTTAAATGTAACGGTGAGATAGTATGTATAGTATTGATAGACAACTTCAAAGTGTGGGGTGAGAGTTGTAACGGATGGAGTAGAGAATGTGTATCCAAATGATGGGATCGATTCTGATGAACTCAAGATATAGTAGGGGGTGTTGGCAACGACTGTTGGGATACCAGATGGTGTTCCATTTGAGGAGACGAGACCGAGTGACAAGCTGCCGACGAATTGACCGGTGACAGTGATGATCGATGATTGACTGTTGGTCGGTAGGTCGTATGGGTAGTTGATATTCCACTGGCTGTCAGTATTGGCCATATAATTACCTCTAATGAATACATTGTCGGAAGAGGTGACGTTGCAGTTGGTCAAATACACATCACCAGTGATTTGGATACCTCCCAAAACGACATTAGCCTCTTGCAAGAGAATGGACGATGTGATTTCACCGTTGGTGGCAGTGATTGTGCTACCATTGTACGCAGACATGATGATTGGGACGGTCAATGCAATATTGTTCATTGAAAGGGTGGCATTTTCAAAAAGAGAAATGGACGATGAATCACCTTGGATGGTATTGACACCGGATAACTCGAGAACCGATGAATTCAATAGAATGACACCAAGGTAATAGTCAGAAGAGGCAGAGGAACCGTCGAGATTGTTGTATCCTTGATACTCGAAATAGATGGGTGATGATGCGTTGAGAGCTTCGATATTGTTGACTGAAGACAATGTTTGGTAGACGGCGGTAGAAGTGTAACCTTGCAAGATCAAGTTTTGGAAGGTCGAGTTAAAGATATCCAAATAAGAGCATGATGTGGCCGACAACTCTCCCAATACTTGACTTTGATTGAAAACGGTTAAATATATTTCGGTAAGACTAAAAGTGACACCGCTGGTGGAAACGAGATTATTGAAAATGACAGTGACAGTCGAGTTGGAGTCTACCAACAAACTATTGGTAGTTGCTTCAAAGGTGGAGATATCTTCGACCCACATACTGCCGAGGACGGTGACGTTGCCAGAGGTTTGCATATTTGATTCTTCGGCGACGACAAGAGTACCTTGGACAAAGACGTCGACCAAATAGACAGAGCTTTGGTAAAAGCTGGCATCTCCTTGAACAAACAAATGGATGGTGGATGATGAGACTATGGTTACACCGTTCATGTTGTTTGTAGGTCCCGACAAGATAATCACTGGTGCGTTGGTGATAGTTTGGACGTCATTGGCGGAATGGATTTGGCAGTTGGTAAACGATGATTCGGCGCCTGTCACCAAGTTGGTGGCAGTATCCAAAGAGATGATACTGTTTTCAAAGGTGGAAGTTTCGGCATTATACACAACATTGGCACTGAGCATAAGATCACTGTAGAAGAAACCACCTGAACCGATATAGATGTCTCCGACTGCGACGAGTTGCGAATTATTGACAGTGAGAACATTGGTCTTGAGGTTGGCATTGAGTGCAATATAAGCATTATTGATATCGATGGCACCTACTACCAAATCATTAGATACTGAGACTTTTTGGGGTCGGGAAGTTGACTGCAAAGTGATGAGTGCCTTTTGATTCGATGACTGTGGAACGACACCACCCAACCAATTCGAAGCGTCGAAATAGTCACATGTATTTGAACAATCAACCTTTGGGTTGAATTGTATAGTTTGATAAGTTTGTGATTCTACAACATTACAAACAAATAATAATGATACAACTACCAATACTAATGAATTGAATAACTTCATTCTTTTATTTATCTCTATCTTTAGTAAAAAGTAATGATGACTGATCTATCTTTCCTCTTTGCAATGCTGTTATTTATAATTGTGACCATTCGTCAAAGTCGTTGGTGTTCTTAGACCATCTTGATAAAATATCAAGACAACAAAAACCGAGTCACGTCATCTCAGAGCATCAAGGAAGGATTCTAAAGAAAAATCGAATCTTCCAAATATCACCAATATCTTCCGGGCTTAGAATGGGCATTGTCCTATTCATTACCAAAGACCCACATATATGGTACTTACATCATCAATACTCGGGAAAGAAATGATTTCCCTCTCACCAACAAATACTTGATGAATCCCAAGAATGCATTCTTCAATATAATAAATTATGATCAAGACAAAAATAAAATATATAATTAAGTGTAGATCAGATCGATTAGATTACTTGATACTGAGTTGGAGGTAAAGGAAATACTTTTAATAATAATAAACTATATAGGTACTGAATAAAAGTTGCAAGTGAGAGATCCTCTTTTTCTTCGAAGTTTTGCTGGTTCATAAAAAAATTTTAATTTATATTTTCATTGACATCATCAAATTTGGGCAGTCTGTTGAAAGGTACTAGTTGTTGAATTATATGTATTTGTATATATTTATTTAATAATGACAATAGAAATCGAATATAATGAAGAATTGGAAGGATTAGAAACAACTATCAATCAAATCAAGGGTAGTGGTGAGGGAGGAGCAGATAGTAAAGTGTACTGTGAAGGTGATTCAAAGAGAGCATCACCCAAGGTCAATGTGAAAGATGTTGGTGAACTCAAGTTTCCAATCACTCAAGAATCGGTTCAAAAGTTGATTGATAAATCTACAAGAGCTCCCTTTGGTAAAGGTGAACAGACCATCACTGATCTAAGTGTCAGAAAGGTATGGCAAATCGATGCCTCTGAAGTAACTGTCACTGGAGGTAAAGCCTGGCAAACCTTTATTGAAACAACTCTCCCTGAACAAATCATTAAAGGGTTAGGTTTACCAAAAGATACTGATCTTACTATTGAATTATACAAGGTATGTAAAAGTATATAAAGTTAAAAAAAAAAAGTAAACATCTTACTTAATTTCTTTTCTTATTTTCTTTTTCTTTTTCAATTAGATGTTAGTTTATGATAAAGGAGCATTCTTTTCAAGTCATCGTGATACTGAAAAGGCTGATGGTATGTTTGCTACGATGGTAGTATCATTACCAAGTCATCATCGTGGTGGTGAATTGGTCATTGAACATGACAAGGAATCGTATACAGTGTCACTTGTAAATGACACAAAGTCGATGGTCAAATATGTAGCATTCTATGCTGATTGCAAGCACAAGGTAGAACCAGTCACCGAAGGATACAGAGTCAACTTGGTCTACAATCTTATTAGATCAAAGGGTACCTGTACAACATCATCACAGAGCAACGCTGAATTGTTGCTTTCATCTATCAGATCTACATTTGGAGAAGGTGAACGTTCCCGTTTAATCTATTCGTTGGAGCATGTCTATTCACCAGCTTCATTTTGTTTGGAGAAACTCAAAGGCAAGGATGCAGTAGTTGCATCGGCACTGATTGAAGCTAGCAAGTTACCATGTTCACAGTTGGCTGTTGGTCTTGGATTCATTCACATTGAAGAGGAGGGTGGTTTCACCGGATACACAAACGACGAATCCACAACTGTTGATTTTTCCGATAATGAATGTGAACCACAAGAATACACTTTTAATCTAGTCTCACCAAAAGAAATTGTTGATGGTTATGAAATTAATACTTCAAAAACAATTGAACACTCTGAATTATTCCCTGCTAATGGTAAAATATTAAAAACAAACAAATAGAGAAATAATATTAATTTAATTTTTTTAATTTTTAATTTTAGCATTTGATGAAGCAAAACCATATGAACAAGAAGCAACAGAAGCAGCAGGAAATGAAGGAGCAACTTATTTTAGAAGATATCAAAGATCATGTTTAATTATTCATTCTCTTGAACATTTGGATGGAGGTCTTTATAGTTTGGTACCATTTGCAATGGCTGAAAGAATCTTAAAGGAAAGACTTGGTAAATCATTGGACGGTACCGAGAATGACGAGGATAGAGAAAAGGATATGATTAGAGAAATCACTCAATATACATCAGTCTATGGAAGTGGTGATATTATTGCAAGCATTTTGAAATTCATCGAGGTGTCACAACTCTTGTCACCAATGATGCCATCGTCGTCTCGTGAATTGGTCAAAAAGATGATTAAAATCTTGTTTAAAAGTCAACAACCAGCTGCCAAGAAACCATCCGTCACCACTCTCCATGTCACTCCAATGCCCATCATTGCTACCTACCCAGCAGACATTCTCGCGTGTCTTCCAAATAGTCTTTTTAATATTTACGACTATACCAAATTTGATCATCTTTTACAAGTGATCAAGCAGTTGTGCGGAAGAGTGCCGGTTGAAGAGATGCCAGATGTCGGTTCAGACCCAACTGTCGACCATCCATTGAAAAAGAAGTGTCTCAAGGCACTTGGTATATTGCTCAAGGGTTATGGATCATTGTGTAATTGTGGTGGTGACAATCATGCCTGTAAACACTATGATCTATTGTCAAAGGCATTGACAACGATTGAAGAGATGGTTACCAATTATAGCAACATCTTTGGTGATGGTCAAAAGATACATGAACAACTACTCGAGTTGCTTACCAATCCCACTGAACCAAAAGATATCACTACTCAACTCATCGAAATACTCTATGAATTCCATTCCAAGGATATGACTAAAAAGAAAAGAGAACAAATGTTTTCAAGTGTATTTTTGTTGTACTTGACACGACCATTTAAAGAGTGCGATTCATTTATCACCCCCATCATTTCATTTGATCACTATGTACGTCAATACCAATACTATCCAGTCGCCATGCAAAAGTATTACAATGCAATTGTCAGAGAGAAAGGAGAGACATTGCCAGCTGCTACACTCAAAACTTATACCGTCGCATACCATCGCAAGGTGACTGCATTCTTTTCGTTTGTCATGTTGAATACATCCAAACCATTTTCATTGACTATTTCAGGAGCACGCAATACTCAACTCGACTATCGTCCAGGTCAAGACCAACAAACACTCGTTGAACAGGTTGCAGTAGAGATGGTGACCTTTTGTATCAAAGCAGGTTTGGATAGTGTCATGTACGAGGTACTTAAAGAAAGCACATTGGATGCTAGACTCATCGATATGACACTCTACCCAAATGCTTATGTTGTCATACTCAAACAAATCAAAAATCTTCTCTCTGAAAAGAGTAAGACCAAACAACCACCATCATCAGAGAATTCATTGAAATTTGTAGAGTTTGTCAAATCAAAGATCAACCAATTGACAACCACCCTCAAAAACACACAAACCTCTGGTTCCAAGTTTACATTTGCCTGTGTCAATTGCTATTGTAAACTCTGTCAACCATTGGAAGATTTCCTTCGTAGCAATGAAATCAATTACAGTATAACTGATATCAAACCTACTGTAGAACATTGTCAAGAATATCTTGCTGCATTTACACTCGGACAAGGCACCAATCAACTCGTCAAATCATCCAAAACTCCTCCTGCTCTTCAAAAGCATATTGGCTTGTTAGAATCTACTATTAAATCTTATCAAAGTTTATTAGAATAAACTCTGTTATAACAAATAAATAATAAATAAATAAATAAATAATAAATAAATAAATATATAATATATAATATTTATTATCTATTCTTTATTTATATTGTTATTATTCCATTTTTTTCATGGACAATTAATAAACAATTTCTATTTGGTATTTGAATGAATTGGTTGATTAAATCTTCTTTTAAATATTGTGCCAAGACAATATTCAAAGATTGAAGTGTACGATTGATCGAGAGTGATGTACAAATTGATGAAATACTTTGTTTTTGGTATTCCATACTATTGACATATTTGAAATCTCCAAATCTAATTCTAAGTGATTGTAAAGTTGTATTATTGGTAATGGATTGGTAGAATCTTTGATCTAAATAATCTTCACTATTTTCAAATGCCAAATGTTTTAAACTGGTTTGATTGTTTGATAATAGATTGGCAAAAGGATTGTTTATCATTTGATCGAATGATGGTAATCGGTATTCATTGGCACTTTCATAACCATCTTTGATTGTTAGAGAAGTTAATGTTTTGTTGTTTTGAAGGTGTTGAGCCATTTCCTCGATTAATGGAGCTGCTTTTTGTAATGACAAAATCAAAGAAAGAGGATTTTTAGATTGTTCTTGAGTTAGATCATCATATTCATTGTGCCATTGAAATCGTATCATCAATGATTTAATAGTCTTTGATTGTAACAATATGTTGATATATCTAATCTTGACTAGTCCAACTTTAATATTAACTCTTTCCAAACCATCGTAATTTAAATTAAATAATTTGAAACTTGCATATGGTGGAATAGTATCTCGATACTTGTCTGCATGGTTAATGATGGTCAAGTGTTTTGGTTTGAGTGATTCAACATTATGACATAGTGCATCAAAGCAACTATAATCTCTATTCGGCTTACCAATATCCTCTCTGTGCCAGTGCAATTTGGTCATCTCTACTCCAAGGTTTGTACAAAGTTTTTCAAGGTACCCAATTTCCCAAGTTGTGTTTGTATAAACCAATATTTTAATCCATATCCTTGCTTCAATCTTGATTGCAAACTCTCTGTTCCTATTCAATTGATTGATTGATTCTACCAACCCAATCATTCCCTTTTCATCGGCTCTATCTAGTTTTGGTTGCCTGAGGTTTTTAATACGCAATGCTACTCTTTCCAACATTGTCATTGTCTTGATCATTGATATGACATTTTGAGTGCTATTAAGATTTGTACCGGTGCCATTATCATAATCACCATAGTGGATGACAAGTGTATGAACATGAGTCAACGAGAATGTCAACATATATTGTGACATTGAGTTTGGTGTACTTTCATGAACGTCACTACCTTGTTGTTTTTGTTGTTGCTCTGATAATAAACTCTTTGGTAGTTCTTCTATCAATACACCATCTCTATGTTGTGATACCAATACTGATAGAATACGAAACCATCTCTTGCAAACCAATGCTAGATGACTAATACGCGCATTTAAACCAACATCCTTGGTGAGGTGATATACTTGGTTGCGATCACTCAACCTTATAAACTTTGTATTATATTTTGATAAGACATAGTGTTGTATAACTACTGGTATTTCTTGCATCTATAGAATAGAATATATTAATATATATATATAGAATATTCAAATACTTTTTGAAAGATCTCTTTGTGATCTCAAATTCTCTAAATTTGTTTGTTTTTATTTAGTACATTCTACAATTCATCATGACTAAAAGAACACAAATAATCAAAGGACAACTAGTAGAAGTCAAAGAGGGGGAGAAGGAGGAGGATATTACATTGAATGAATCATCATCATCGATGAATCAATTTAATAGAGGAACTTTAGAGTATGCACTACCATGGTCTGTACTGGCACATATCTTTAGATATGCTTGGAAGGGTGGTATGGTGTGCTCTTGTGTATACCCTGATATTGCCAAACAAGCAAATGAACAGGGTATACAAGTACCGATGCGCTTAGAAGAAGGACGACAATGTCCACTCCACTCGGTATACTATGCTCAGGGTATCATTCCCTTGGCACACTTGTCAAAGGATACTATAGTATATGATGGTAACAACAATAAGGATCCTACGTACAAGTGGAGACTCCAATTATCACTCGTATCCAAACGTGTATTTCAATTGGTGTCAATAATGTTTACCGATATTGTGGTTGGTTTGCATTGTCAAGACTTTGGAGTGCATCTATCTCGTGACACGTGTCCAATAAACAAGATAACTCATCTTGTTATTGCAAAGGATATTGGAGGAGTTGGAGGAGTAGGAGGACAAGACATATTTAATCAAAAACAACAAATGGCCGCTACAGCACTGTCACAGGCAGTGTCATCAGTGACTAAACTAACTATAAAGTGTGTGGATGTATTGGAAAAGGTACCCAACACTAAATTGATGGGTAGGATGATGCCGGCAGTCACTAGTATTACAATTACTAGATCGGATGACGGTGAAAACATGATAGTATCACTCAACAAGAACCAAGTGATGGGTGTGGTACAATCATTTACCAACTTGACGTCAATTAATTTTCTTGGGTTGCATGGACACCTTGATCAGACTCGGTTACTGGTAAGTGCGTTAAAACATCCAGTACGCAAACTACTTCTTCCCACCAACACATCGCATCTCATTCAAGAGTTTGCACCGGTTGTTAAGCAATCTGTACAAGTCGTGTCAGTGTACACTGATTTTTACATTACAAAGTTGCAACAACAAATAGGTGATTATCCATCACTCAAACATTTGATGTTCTTTTGTTTGACCAATGGCGATGATTGGAACAAAGTAACAACTTTTCCAAACAGTGTACAAATTCTAACCACCTTTAATGGTATTCCATTCAATGGTGTCAAAGCCAGTTTATTCCAATTATTCCTCACCCGCCAACTCATCAATATCAACCTTTAGATTCTCAACACCCAACACAATCATTGGTACACAAATCCCCTTCCCATCAACCATTCAACGTATCACCTACAACTCTTCTTTTGATGCAACTGATCGAGACACACTACTATTTAAATCATTTAACTATCTTGGATCAATCATTAAACAAGCCAATCCACATAGAAAATTATTATTTAATCGTGTATCAACAGAATAAGAATAGAGATGGTCGCGAATAATAACAATAAACAACATCACATGATATTCAAACAGAGTTGAATGAATTAGTTAGTTAGTTATGAATTCATTCAAAAATATCATTATCTTTTTATATGTATAAATACACGATCATCATACACAAAGACAAAGGTTTTATTGTAACCAAGTTCAAGTTTTATGAATTTATGAATTTTAATTTAATTTAATTTTTGGTGCATCCCCCAACAACAAGACAAGTATTGAACTTTATGAATTACACTCTCTTTCATAATATAATAGATATTTAACATTATTGCAGATTAGAATTCATTTCTTCTAGTATTATATAGATATATAGATATATATATTAGTATAATCTAGATAGAGATGGGAGGAGCTCAAAGTAAAAAACTAACAAAGAAATGTAATTACAGCTGGCATCAGTGATGATGATGATTTATCAATCAATCACATCAACCTTTTGATTGAATGAAAGTACTAATTACTAATATTGGTGTAAAACCTATCTTATTATTATTATTGTAGTGGAGAATAGAGAGATTGATAAATTAACAACACTATTCAATGACATATCATCGGTTGTAAAGGGTAACAAAGTAGTAGATAGAGATGGATTCAAGAGATTCCATTTAATACCTGGTCCACTAAGCGACAGACTATTCAATATGTGTGATGCTAAAAAGAATGGAATGATTACAATCTCTGACTTTATTGATGCTCTGGCTGTTTGCGGAAAGGCTCCTGAAAAGGATAAATTAAGTTGTATGTAATGTAAAATATAAACAAACAATCTAATCTAATCAATCAATCAAACCTTTTACTAATCACTCTATATATCTGTACATAGTAATATTCAAGTTTATGGATTTAGATGATGATGATACATTAACAAAAGAGGAAATAACTGTATTGTCTGTTGTATCATTAGAGAGTTCATCAAGTCCAAAAGTAACTGCCGTTGAAAGAAAACCATCAAATTCTGTTGGTAAATATTATATCTTTGATATATATATATACATATATATATATGATAATATAACTAACATTACTTTCTACTTGTGATTTTTAGAAAATGAAAACCCATATATTAAACAATTGGTTGGATTGGGATTTACAAAATTAAAGGTGATTCAAGCAATCAATGCAACAGAGAATGGTACAAAGGGAGATGGACAATCACCCATTGATATCATTACTAATTGGGTACTCACCACTCAAACCAAAGAGGATGATATTGATATTGATGATAGTGCTAGTGCTGCTCATGCATCACCAGAACCAACCCCAACCATGGCACCTACTCCTACAACAGCAGTATCATCTAAACCAGATCCACAAACATTGGATGAGTTGACTGTCGGATTGGCACTATCAACCATTCTCAGTACCTTTGAAAACCTGTTCCCTATTATCGATGGCAAGGACAATACTGGCAAGATCACATCCAAACAATTCAAGAAATGGGCTAGTTCATCAAAGAGACCTACTGAATTGGATAATTTATTAAAACCTGTTAGTGGTTTATATGATCGTGCTTTAAAGTGTATGTGGAATAATAATATAAATATATGACAGATATATGTATTAATTGATTTATTAAAATTTTTCTAGGGAAACAAACTGGATTAAATCAAAGTGTTGAAGGATTGGAAAGATCAACTTCATCAACATCGATTAATAGTAGTAGTGGAACTGTACCTCCTCCAGCCAATATTACTAGTTCAACAAGTGCATCTGATCTCAATCCAAAGGAATTAAAGAGATTTTCATCAGTCTCTGTACTAGACTCTATGAAACAAAAGGAAAAGGAAAAAGAAAAGGAAAAAGACAGAGCATCACAAACTCTATCTAAAAAGGATGGTAAAAAGGTAGTTGCTTCAACTTCTACTACTAGTTTACAAACTACTACAAGTAAAAAAGATGAAAAGAAAAAGGAAAAGGAAAAAGAAAAGGAAAAGGAAAAAGAAAAGGATAAACCAGTTGTTGGTGATGAAATCCCACCTCCTTCAAATATTACAAATGCCTCTACTTCTACTACTACTACAACAACAACAACAACCGCGACTACTCCTGCTGTACAAAACGATACTACAAAACATTCACATTTAGCTTCATCATCTTCATCTGTTAGTTCAGATTTTAGTGATAGTGATGATGAGTATGTAAAAAAAATAATTATTATTATAGATTCATTAATTTATTAATTATTTATTTATATTTTTATAGTGGACCAATTAAACCAGCAATTCAAGTTGTAATTAGAGATAAACCAATTGATAATCCAGAATTAAAGAAAGCAAATTCATTATTTAATATTGATACACCAGGTATTATGAAACCAACAACATCTACCAATACCCTTAGATCAAGAGGTACACGTAACTCTATTTCAACACGTGCATCTGTCATTTTCGATGGTAACAATGATATCTTTAATCAACCACTTACACCACTTCCCTATGGAGCTAGTGGTAGTGGAATTAAATCTCCACCAACAACCTCCTCCCCCTCCTCGATGAAATCATCAATGGATAGTTTGGATTTAATGAAAAAATGTATTGATAAGTTTGAAAATGGTCAATTTACAGATTCAATGAAAAATCTTGATCTTTGTATTCAATCTATTTGTATGTATAAAATATAAAACAAAAAATATAATTATATTTATATTTATATATTAATATTGATATTTATTTTGATTTTGATTTTGAATTTTTATTTAGTATTAAATAATTCAACAACAAAACAAAATGAAGTAATATTTTTAGTTGGATATGGAATGGCAATTAAATTATTACAATCGATTAGTGTATTGGATGGACATTTAGATGGAGAAAAGAATGAAGATGAGAGAATGGTATTGTTGGAAAAACTAGCACTACAATCTAAACTGTTGGTTGGTATTCCAGTGCAAAGACATCATCGTTTGCTCTTTGCAAAGATGGCAACACGTTATAATTTTGAGGCGAGAAATTATGGAGTCACCAATGCCTTGATCGATTGTATATATAATGTAATAGTATCGTCATCTGCAGCCTCTGCTGCCGCCTCTGCAGACAAGGAGGCATTGGAAAAGATTAAAAAAGTGTGTCTTGAAAAAGAATTGTTTAACGAATCGTTGCCATTCTATGTCTGTCCAACCTGTAAAACATCACTACCCAACGATAATGCCACCTCGTGTCCATGTGGACGTTCAATCAAGTGGTGCTACTCTACTCTACAACTCATCCAAGATCTCACCTGTCTACAATGTAATTTCTGTCAAGCCACCTATTCCATCAGTCAACCTGATATCATCCCAAAAAGTACTTGTCCATCTTGTCAACATGGTTTAATTGTTCATAAATAATAATGAATGAAATGAAAAGACATAATAATAGAAAAGAAATAATTGTAAAGAAGAGAGAGTATTTTTTTTGTCCAAAACGACAAAGCGCGCCAAGCCAAAAAATTAATTAATTAATTAAATATTTAAAATGATATATATATAAATTTAAAAAGATAAAAGAATAATATTAAAATCAAAAAAAAATAGAATAGAATATAATTGGACAAAAAGAAATAGAATGTTAGTTGATAAACCAATTCAATTGAGGGACTTGCGTATTTGGAAGCTTGTTGGTTTTGAAGTTCGCCTTTTGTGGCACGACGCGCCACCTGCAAAAAAAAATTCAATTTTAAAAAGGGTTGTTTGTCCTTTTCCAAAAGCATGCTGCAGGTGATCTTCGCTAAATCATTGCTTCAAACTACACCAAAGCTAGCAAAAGGACAGGTAAGAATAACCAACAACCAACAACAACAATATTATTCACATGTGATTCTATTCAAGTTTCGAATCGTATATATATTTATATTCTACGTTGTTACTCAAAGAGAGACTAGTCTCTGGTTGGTCAATCAACAAAAGAATGAATGAACATATGAATACAATATAATATAATAATAATATTCATTCAAATGGGTTTCAAGAATGTAATAATCGAGAAATATATAATATATAATATATATATATAAATATATATATATATTCTTCTTTTACTATTATTTCTTATTATTTAAAATAACAAACAAATAATAACAAATAGATAAAAATAGATAGATACAAATAATTAATTATAAATATACTAATCATTTAAATTAATTAAATAATGTCCAACAGTAATCATTATCCATTAGATCTCAGCAACCTTGACAAACAACAACAAGAGGAAGAAGAAGAAGAGGATATTGAAGACATTGAAATAGTCAATTCGAATATTATTACAACTACCCTATCACGTGAACAACAACAACAACAAGAATTATTTAGACAAATTGAAGAATTCTTTTTAAACGAACGTAGCAAGATGCAACCAAATAATAATAATAACTATAACTACTACTATAATGTGGTGTACCAGAACAACGTGTACAATGGAAACTACTATAACTATCAGCCACCTTGGCCCACACCCGTCGCAGGTCAGCAGACTGGCAGTCCGAACCGAGTCAACCCTGCCAACAACCAAGCAACTGCCACCACCCAACCCAATAATCCAAACCCATCCACATCCTCGTCAACATGGCCAGTCAACGCACAACAACAACAACAACAGCAACAACAACCATGGCCAACACCTCCAGCAGCCGTAGACGTTCATTCACCTGCCAACCCAGGTCCACCAGCCGCCACCTACGGACCATGGGCACAACCACAATGGGGGTCAATCCCATGGGGAGTTCCACAACAAGTACCTGTCACTATCCCAGCGGGACAACATCCACATCAACAATCACAACAACAAACATCAACCTCCTCCACTATACCATCATCGCCAAGCGAGGCATCCAACCCAACCAACGCACCAGAAAACCAAAAGAAAAAACATAAACTCTCATCTACATCTCCACACAGAGGTGAATCCTAATACGACTCACACAACAACCAGATAGATCTATGACAACAACAAAAAAAAGAAAAAAGGAGAATGTACACATCTCTACTTACTTTATAAAGTGTTTATCATTTTGAAAACTGTCAAGGTTTGTTGTTGAATCCACATGTGGGATTTGGTTTTCAAAATATTGCATTACCATTCTTGTGACCCCCCCCTTTCTACCCTTTACCCATTAATCCAATCCAATCCAATCATAGCGAAAAGGGGGATATCTAAGATGCTTGGCAAAAACAAGCAAACTAAACTTTATATACTAATCAATTAAAAACCAAAAACTAACCCATCTATAATAAATAATAATTACTTTACCATGTTCATCTCCAAAAAGAAAAAAACTAAATAATAATTATGATTCATTTCAAACTTTAAAGGAAGTATTCTTTATACGCTAAATTTATTACTATTAATTTTTTTTGTAATCTGATGGTCTTTTTTTAAATCTTGGTCCTGATGGTTTGGGTGGTGGTGCGAATACCATTGTTTCTTCTTCATCCTCATCCTCATCATTATCCTCATCATCATCATCATCATCATCGTCTCTAGTTTTTCTTTTCTTCTTCTTATTTTCATCAGAATCTGAATAAATAAATAATTAAAGGTAAATAATTAAAAATATATAATAATATTTGTTTTTTTTTCAACCATACCTTTATCACTGTCACTATCACTATCACTATCTTCTTCATCATCATCATCCATATTATAAAAATAATCATTTGAAAAAAGATTAATGTGTTTGTAATTGAAGTATTCGACTATGGTTCTAGGGATTACAATCGATCGGAAGAGTTTTTGTAGATTGGATAATCTACCTTTCCATTGTATGAGTCGTTTAACTTTTCTCCAAAATTCTTTGATTGGGGTTGGTTCCTCGACATGATAATCCATGAATCCAACAGACCCAATGATCATATGTCCACGGTCGTCATTATCGAATTGTGAGATGAGACCGTCTTGGTGTTTGAGGAGGAAACGAAATGGTATTCTCTTGTTGCCATCACATGACATGATCGACCCACAGACGTCTGTTATAATATTGAGGAATTTGTAGTTGTGATGAACGGTTTGGTCGAGGAATGTATAGACTACTGACTCTAAGACAAATAGGGTTTCACTGGCATCCTCATCGTCATCAATGGAAACATCGTCATCAATGGAAACGCGATCGTCATTGTTCCCCAGTCTGTACCGATCCAAAACTTGTTCGTCGTAGGGTTCCATTTTCTTTACCAAATTGACTTGATTCTGTTTGTCGTAACATTCATCCTCTTGTTTTGTCCATTCCAACCAATTGGAACTCTTCATTTCATTGTGTAGTATTCGAAGATGTAATGTACGACCATACCTTGCTTTGAATAGTTCTTTCCAACTCTTTTCGACGGCATTTGGAGGAGGAATGATCAAAGTTGCTCCGTACATGTACAACCGTGGTGTTGCATGTCCCTTGTCGGATTTTAAGAAGCCGTGAGGGTTTGGTTTAGGAGATGAGCTATAGTTCATGTGTTGTTGGTAAGAACCTGGTAGTTTAAAGGTTGGCTGTTTGCCGAAATAGGTTGTCTTGATGTCATAGTCACTTGGTAGTTGTGATAGACTCTTCCATCGTACCGTACACAACAGTCTCCAATACTTATCATTACCAAACATTTTATTCCATTGCTTATTTACAAATAGGTATGGGAATGATAATAAATATCTATCATCTTTTAAACATTCCTTTACAATCTTTTGTAGAATTATTGTTGGTAGAAGAATACTATTATTATTACTACTATTATTATTCTCTTTTTCTTTTTTATTCATTTATGTATATGTATGAATGTATGTGTATGACCATATGACAGAGAAACGAAGTTGTAGCATTCTTCATTCTTCGTGCTACATACTTTCTCTCTCTTGTTTGACAAAAAGATAGTAAAACAAAATTTGGTGAGTTGATCATATTTATTTCTTATTTTTGGCTTGATGTTTCAAATTCCTCTAATTTCTAGAATGACCACATACGCGGAGATAATTTATGCACACAGATATTATTAGTATACTAATCAATTAGTATACTTTTTATTTATTTATTTATTTATCTAAAACTACATTGAATCAATGATTAAATTTAATTTTGTCTAACACATAAGTAGAATGTGTGTGTGTGTGTGTTAGCACTCACAGAGATACGCTCATTCTTGTTTCGCGCATTCCCGAAATAAGATAAATTATAAATGTGTACACATTTAGCTAGATAGTTATAAACTAACTAATTGTAGTAGAATTGCAGTGAATGGAAGAGGAAAACTACAAAACACATTCACCTAAGAATCTTATGTGTATTGATGGTGTTAATGCTGCAGATGAAAGTAAAGAGAGTAATAATAATAATTATAAAGAATATAAAAACAATAATAATAATATTGATTTTATAGATGATGAAGACGATAATCATCATTATAGTCACAACCAATTGATTCAACTCAAGAAGAGTGGAACTACTCCTACTACTACTACTACTACGACTGCTACAATAAAACAACAAAAAGAAGAAGATACGTTTACAAATTGGTTTCGTGGAAAGGTATTGACTACAAGTGGAACCAACCACCCATTTCAACTACCTCGTCTATCAAGTAGTCTTGGAGGTATTTTCCAAAATAGAAATACTTTTGATTGTTCTTCCTCTTCTCCCTCTTCCGGATCTTTTGGCAATCTTCTTGGAGATAGTGATTGTTTAGATCCTCCATTTCAATTGTCATCATCATCATCATCATCAACCATGTCAATAACAGGACCTGTCATTACAACAACAAATAATGATGATCATTGGAAAGGAAGGGGGGTTTGTCTTTCATGTGGAAATCATTTAGTTCCCCATATTATGGGGATGGGCAAAGTAGAGGATTTAACAATCGATGATGATGATAATGATACTACTATCCCAACAACAACAACAACAAAAAGACAACAACCTTTTAATCTACCAAATAATAATAATAATAATATTTGTAGAATAAGAAGAAGAAGTTTAAATAACCATCCTCTTGAACAACAACATCAAGAAAATAATAATAATAATAGTTTGTTGAAATTGGAAAGAAGAATTAAATCAATTGGATGGATTATATTTAGAATGATGACAGCACCGATTCTATTAATTACAGTAATACCATTTATGATTGCGTTGGTTGGATTTACTGTATTCTCTCTCTTGTCAATCTCTACTCTCTGTTTGATGGTTGTATTTTCAGCACCATTGATCATTGCAAGTTATATTATCCTACTCTATATCATATCGTTTCTCTATGATGGTGACATTCAATCTGCCAACACCATCTTTTTCAATATCCTATTTTCAACTATTTCATTGGTTAATAATATCTCTAAAACTATTTATAATTTATTATTCTAATTATTCAAATTAGAATCCATCTCTCTCTCTCTCGAGTATCTAGATTCTAAATATTCCAATATTTATTTATTTATTTTAATTAATTAATTAGATGGTTTTGGATTTCTTTTAAAAAATGTAACAGATGGAATATATTTTTGTTCGAGTTCAGCAGGGATGTGAGGCAATGATCCCTTTTCAACGGCGACAAAACCCATCTTTTCATAATAGCCACATAACTTGGGACTAGTACATTCCAAGTAGACACTCTTTTGTTCACGATCCAACTTTTCAAATAGTACATTTAACAATTTAGATGCCAATCCACCTCCATGTAATCTAGTATCAGTTGATAATATCAATAAATAATATCCTTCAATTGCATCATGATGTAAAAATCTTTCTGAAAAGTATTCTAAAAATTATAAAACAAAAATAATATTATTTAATATTTAATATTTAATACATATATAATATATTTGTTATATTGATTTATATATATATATATATATTTTATAATTACCTTCAACAGCAAGGAATCTATCAAAAGTACTAGTTAATTTTCTTTGATTTAAAATGATTTCTTCTTGTTTGTCACAATATAATTTCCAGAGATCTTCAGGCCATGGAACGTGTGGTGGTAACATGAGTACAACCGATCGAATACCATCTTTTTGTTTATCACCCAAACAATAGGATTCATTCGATCCAATCGTCTGTTTGATGAATGCCTTTTGAATATCACTTATAAATGGTTGTCTCTCTTCTTTTGGTATTTCATGAAACATATAATTTAGATATGGGTCTTCCATAAATGCAACCGTATTGATTTCATGTATCTTTGGTAGATCATCAATTGTCAATAATGTCCATTTTATTTCTTCTTCTTGTTCCTGTTGTTGTTTGTCTTGTATAGTCATAATATTCTATCTATTATCTATCTATTATCTATCTATATATCTACAAAGATATTTGCAAAAATGACATGTCATCATCTTAAACCGAAACACTTCTCTCTCTGAAACCAAAAAAACGACAAACAAACAACTTAATTTAATTTAATTTCTTTTTTCGAAAGATATTTTTATTATTATCATTTTCTTTGATATTTTTCTCATCAATCTTACAAGTTAAAAATATTAAAATTATTAGTTTATTATATTTATAGTATAAACATACATACATAGCATTGGTATAATGTAAATACGATACGAAGTACGAGAGCGATGATGGTTGCAGTGGAGAGCGATAAAAAAACTGTGTGGTTTATTTGAAATTTGTGCTTGCTCAGAGCTGTTTCGAGATCACCATCTGATGTATTTATAACGCTCACTCACATTAACAATCAATCGACACACCTTCATCATCGTAATAATGGGGGTCGTGCCATTGCCTCGGGTGTTTAATGATCAATCGCGTTGTAACACCCACCCCTACAGCGGAGAATTCCCCAATTAAAGTCGTTTGTTTGACCAATGGATGAAGGGAGAGTAAGGGTTTGATTCACGTAATCAATCAATGTTGAACATCATCGTCAATTGGAGGTAAGTGAGTGAGTGGGAGACTTCTTGCGTCGGCTCAGAGTTTACCTCCCGCCATCATCTCACACCACCCGCCAAAAGACAATCAAGATAAAGATAGCACGTCAAATACCCTAGATTAATCATGTACATACGCATGTGCGTCGAGATAGATAAGAGAAATATTGACAGATTGACTTTTATCCTTTCGTCGTTAAATTTGGTTCGACGTTTAGAATTGGTTGCTTGGCTTTGTTTGGGTTCAAATTTATATTTAGTCTTTCAAAAAAAAAAAGATTCAAAGAGAGATAGAAAAGAAAAAGACCAAAATAATCATATCAGCTGATAATAACACCAACAACAAACAAACAGTTCAATCATCATCATTCATCTATCTATCTATCTATATATTATTTACCCACCTTCCAACATAATTATTTATTTGTATTATATAATATTTATTTATTTATTTAAAAAGGGTAGTCCTGTCCAATCACCATATATATATTTGGTTGGATAACAACAACAATAATCTTTGAAAAAAATATGGACACAAAGATTAAATCACACTCTCTCTTTTTTGCGCTGGTATTATTAGTATTTTTGGTTAATGGTAAATATTAAATAACCATTTAAATATTTTTAGATATAATAATTATTAATTAATGAATCTATTTTTGTTTCTATTTAATTAATTTATTTGTATTTGTATTTAATTTAGTTATAAATTGTCAATATATATATGATGTCAATTCAACTAGAATTTATAAAACAACTTATGATTATAGTGGTGGTAGTGGAGTTGTTGGATTTGATGGATTAAAATGTAATGTTTTGTATCAGGCTGTTGTCAAATTTGAATATCCTCAAAGTGAATTACCAACCATTTCATCAATCAACGGTTATTATTTTGATAATCAATCTGTGATTACTGCATTTCAAAGTACATCCTATGCTTTACTTTTCTTTAATGTATCTATTCCAAAAACTTCCTCTGGTCAACTTGCTACACCACAATTCTCACTCCAAGCCAATTCCAGTTCACTACCACAAACCTTTGACTTGCCACCAACCGAATGTGTTGCACCACCCAAGCCAAACTTTGTTAGTACGACCAATAATATTGTAGTTACTAGTCTAGATCAATATATCAACTATCTAGGTTACCGATTCACAGCTCAAAACATACCATTTCTAGAAAACTACCTACCCGTTTGTACAACTACTTTGGAACCATCTCTAACTTGTATCGCCGTTCAAGACATACCAGCCAAAAAAACAAATGTACTCTTACAATTTGGGTTACCTGACAGCAGCAACCCAAAACCAATTCCAAATACCATCACTGTTAAATTATCAACTCTAGATTTCACTTCAACTTATAGTATTCAAAAATCTTTATTATTTGATTGTATGTATACATAAATACATATTTTGATTATATATTAGTTAACTTTTTTTAATATTATTGTAGCAACATATAGTACAATACAATTTAGTAATAGAGAGAATTTAAATGTTGAAGCTGGATGGTCACCTGTTACAATGATCAATGGAACCAAATCAACACCAGGTAAACAATATAGTATTTTTAAAACTGGAGGAACGTCCACTAAAAACTATGTCCCAATTGCTTATTTGGGTAGTGACACTACACAAAAGAATTATGGATTCTTTAAAACTCCATTATCTGAAGACCCCATCTTTACAATCACACAAAATCAAATCATCAATCCATTATCATCACCACAACAATTTAATTTTAATTTAAATTGGTCAAGTATGTACAAACAATCATAACAATCATAACAAACAAACAAACAATCAAAGATAACAAAATATTGATTATTAATATTATTCTTTATTTAATTTTTAATTTTTAATTTCTAGTTATAAATGATACATTGATTGAACCATTAGGAAGTACATTTACATTTCAAGTTAAAAGAAGATTATATGATTATGTAACACCGGTTAAAGTGACCTATCAAAATGCCTATACCATTGAATACAATTTCCCATACGGGTTCAAACAAAACAAAGATTTCTACCTGTGTCGTGTAGTTCCTACCCATCAAACTAAATCTCATATATCAATGTCACAAAGAAATCGTGTTGCTACCTTTGAACAATTACCATATGATCCAAGTAAATATTAAACAAATTTAAACAAACAAAAAAGATATTAATATTAATACTTAATAATTTATTTTTTGAATTTTTAATTTAGGTGATGTAAAAGCACCAGAATTAATATCAATTAAAATGAAGACAGCATCAGTATACTCTTATATAATTGAAATGTTGGTTGAGGAAGATTACGGTATTGATTTTATAAAGGTTGATGATACCATTTATTTCTCTGAAAATATTCTATCATCAGTTAGTAAACCAAATTATACATTTGTATTTGAACATAGATTTGTAAATAATAATGGTCGACCAATCAATACCAAACCAATCATTGTTATTCAAGATTTTGCTATGAATGTCTTGAAAGTAAATCCACATTTTTATAATTTAAATTATAATAGTATTGATGATGCTCCTATTCATCCATTTAGTATGTAACAAATATAAATGCATTTAATATATATATATTAATTAATTAATTTCTTTTTTATTTTGATTTAGATTTTATAAATTCAAAAGATTTTACACATTTTGAATTTATACCAAAAATAGTTGATACTACAAACTCTGCTCAATCAGTGATTGTATTATTTAATTTAACTTCTACTCTTATGGATACAATGATTACACCACAACTCAATATTATATTATCACATTTTAATAATGATGGTGATGAATCACTTGCACTTGTACGTCGTCCAATTGCCAAATACAGTGTAACCGATGGAATGTTTAGAGCAGAGTTTACAGTTCCACAACGTACCGATAATTTCACTGCCATCTATAGTTTTGATCATTCCTATTCCACTATTCTTCAATCCGATCTAATTTCAAAGTTTGGTCAATTAGCAACTTTAAATTTAATTAATAAGGGTAAAAATCAATATTAACAATTAATTGTATTTAATTAAATATATATTAACCCTATGCTTTATTTAATTTAGGAATAATGGATTATTTACCACCATATGTTGAATCATTTAAAGTTGAAATATTAAATAGAACTATTAAATTGGATATTGATATATTTGATCATCCAAATGGATTGGCAAGTGGATCATGGAAGATTATTTCGGGAACAAGTGGAAATGTTTATGATTTTGATCTTACTCCACACTCACCACCAGTCAATGGTTTGTACCATTTTACATTTACCATTACTCTGACTATACCAAATTGTATGCCAAATGACTTTATAACAGCATCGGTTGTATTGGTTGACAATTCAGGTTGGACTTCCATTTATCCAAGTACATCATCTCAAAATTATTCACATGATCCATTATCTCATTTAAATTATAATACAACATTCTATTATGATTGTCCAATTGGTAAGAATATGAAACATTAAAGTATTATAATATATTAATGTTTATTTTTTATTTGTTTGTAGGATCAACACCACCAATATCAACTCATGCACCAAGAATTAATGAAGTGTATAGAGATTTTAATAATGGAGTATTACAAACTGGAAAGAATTTAACGTTGGTAGCAAGAGCAGTGTTTATAGACGATGATATGTGTCAGGAAGAGGAGTGTTGGCCAAAACAATACTTTGAGTCGTTGAGAGAGGTGGTATGGTCGCCGGCAATAGCATTTGATAACAAGACTGGTCATAATTATAGTATTAATCTACCACTTGGATTTGGAGGTGACTATGGTATCATATTTAGTTATTTCGGTAGTTATGATTACAGTGGTAATCTAGGTGGATCACATGCAATGTGGGTAGCCAATTATGCATTTGCTGCAAATGAATTGAGTGTCGTTGCATTGACTAGTACTTCGGAATCCCCTCAACCGGTTTTATCAAGTTCAACCGAACCATCTAGAGGTGGTGGAACTATCACTTTACGTGGCCAGAATATGTATACTCCAGGAGTACAAGTATACATTAATTATAAAGATGGGTCTCCTGAACAATTGGCAACTATCAGGCTGAATACATCTGTCTTTATAGAGGTGGAGGTTAACCCGATTCCAACGACAACCGATACGATTGACGTGCGTATTGTCACGAGTAACAATGCATCGAATATCATTCAAATCCAGACGTCAGAGTATCTTACTCCAGCACGTCCGTTTGTCGAGCCTGACAAACCCATCCCATGCTCCAACTCCATATGCAATAACCGCGGCCAGTGTCAAGAGAATGGACAGTGTCTGTGTGAGTCACCGTGGTTTGGTCCGACCTGCACGTCGCAGTCTGACACTGACCCAGACTACACCAAACCACCCGAACCTAGCAAGCTGTACCCTATCATCGTACTAGGTAACACCAGCCGCTCCATCATCGAAGTGTACGGGCTACGCGAACTAGACATTGATGGAAAAATAGTCAAAACTTACAACCTCACCGAAGGATGGTCATTTGAAGACAAATCAGATTATTCTCATGGCAATGACAGTACTACTATCCGTTCAACAACCTATCATTACTCTACACGTGTACTCAATACAACCGAGATGAATGTAACGGTTGAATGGTTTAGAGAATCGACATCACTAAGATTTGCAGACGAGCCTGTCAACCTACCACCATTCTCAACAAAGATATCAATGTCGTTGACACGATACGAGTTTGGTGCATTCACCAATACCCTACAAATCATTGTACGAACCACATTTGAATCGGATGATGGTGAATGTTCAAAACAAGATTATGGACTTGGCAATGGTGATGACAAGTCTGATCTTCAGTGGATCAAACTCAATATTGATACCAAGAGTATTTATGGTCAGTTTATTCGTCGTGGTATTGTAGATGGTCGATTCACATCGATTCGTAATCAACTCATTCAAGACGAGTTGATTGTTAAACCAACACACAATACTACCACTGCATTCATTGGTATCAATGTTCCATTTTACTCTACACTTGCCATTTTAGACCCTAATTTTGCTAATCTTGTAGATGTTGATTTAGACAACAACGGTGGTGGTGGTGGTGTCTGTATCTCTAAATCTACACCAACTAAACTTACTACTGGAGCCATTTCAGGTATTGTAGTTGGAGCAGTAGTGCTAGTTGCACTTGGTACTGGAGGTTTCCTCTATCGTATCAAATTAAAACGATCTGCTCTTGAAAGAAGTAGATTCCAAACTAAATTACAACAATTTATGTCTCCAAGTGGTAGTAGTACCCCTCCACCCATTTCTTCATCAGCTGCTTGATCCATGGAATGATTTTCAACGCCAAACTATATCGAATCCATTTGTGTAATTCTATCAATAATATAATATATATATATAACATATGTAGAATAAATTAATATAAATAAATATACAAATACAATATACAAATAATAATAATAATCAAGCCTGGGGGGAGTGAGTTCAACAATGGTGATGGTGCAATGACAAGATAATTATCTAGATTGATCATGGTCTCCCGATCCTCGAAAACTCAAACGCATCCCGTTTTGTTGAGACACACGAATGAAAGAAAAGTCGTACTCTTTATTGTTTTTTTTTAATTAATTTTTTCAAAGGCAACCGTTGGTGGTGGGTCCTTTCAAAAATATTTGTCTAGATATACAAACAAATATCAACACATTCATTCATTACACATCAAATACATAATCACACATAATATTAGTTAGTTTTATATTCTCAGAGTAAAGAGAGAATATTATTACGATTACAATTATCTTGACCCTGGGCAACATCCACCCCATTACATTGAAAAACTGTCTCCCCCCCACTCAATACTAAGACACAAAACACACAACAAGAAAAGGCAAACGACTATTTTTTTAAACAGATACACACAGAATCAATAAAGATAGATTTATCACATAAAACGAATAATTATAATTTGATAGATAGTAATAATATTAATAATAGTTAGTAGTTATATAAATTATAAATATTAAATTCTATGACAATAATCATCAATACAGTAATTGAGAATAATATAACATCCTCATCATCATCATCATCGTCTTGTTGTTGTTGTAGTAATAATAATATTAATTAATTAATAAATAATATAGCCTGTAAAGAAATCATCATCATCATCATCATCATCATCCATCACTCACCTCACAAACTACTTAACTTATAATAATAGTAATAGTAATAGAAATAATAATAGATTAGTTTCCCTCCCTCCACACTCTTCTTCTTCCTTTTTCACAATAATAATAATAATAATCTATCTCTATATATTATTTATCTATTATCATAATTTTAAATAATAATAACACCTTTTCACAACTTGTAGATATCAACAAACAAATAATAATAATAATAATAATTAAATAACAACTAATACTTACATATATTTATATAAATAATAACAAATAACTCTATCTCTATATCTCTATCTCTCTATTCTTCTTCTAAAGAATGGACACAACAACAATAATAAGTGACTTTATACAAGTTGCAGCAAATGCAACATCACAAGTGGTTTGCAAAGTATCCAATGACGAAAAAATGGTAGCTTATATTGCCAATTTGTTGGCGAGTTGTTTGTCAATCATCGGTTCATCGGCAATTATCATCAACTATATCTTCTTTCTTCCCGATACCAAAAGACAACAACCACTTTACAAGTTGATCTTATTTTTATCGATAGCCGATTTCTTTGGCTCACTTTCAATCTGTATCTCTCAATCTGTATTATTATCAAGGTATGAATCAATCAAATCAAAATATACAATTCAAATCAAAATATACAAATCAAAAATATCAAGATTGAACTATTGGGAAAAAAAAAAAAAGAAATTAATTATGAAACTTACTTAAATATTAATTAATTTAATTTAACAATCATGTATAGTATGACATATTATCATAGTTTTTGTATAACTATTAGAGCATCGATCAACTTTTTCTTTGTTGCTTCATTTATGTGGATGTCTTCGTTGGCATTCCATACGTATTGGTCGTCGAGGCAACGATCACAGGTACCTCTATGGGTATTCCAGGTGGTTTCATGGGGTGTGCCAACCGTGATGACAGCAGTGATGGTTGGACGAGACATGATAACAGAGGATGCAGAGAGTGGATGGTGTCAACCAAACAAGGTGGCACGTTGGGCATTTTGGTTTGGTCCATTACTCTTTTCATTGGCTTGGAATATTATACTGTACGCTATGATATTATGGCAATACCGTTCATCTATGAGCGGTTCAATCACAACACAATTTAGAAAGAAAAACAATAATGGATATGATGATGACCCATATTCGATCAATCAACCAACATCACCATCGAACCGATTCATCACAGAGAAAAAGAGAAAGTTACATCTAAAAGTTGCCAAACGTCTTGGAGTCTATCTATTAGCCTTTTTAATTTGCTGGGTACCAGATGTATTTGACAATCTACTAGTTCAACCAAATCAGTATTGTCAATTCTATTGGTTGTGGTTACTTCAAAATATCACATCGCCGCTCCAAGGTTTCCTCAATTTTATTGTGTATGGAGTACACAGTGAATTCTTTTTCGCCTGCGTCAAGAGTACTGAGCCACAAGACATCCGTTCAGTCTATGAAAACAAAAGACAAGAATCAAAATATTTACTTGGGAAATAATCACAACACAACAATCAAACAAACAAACAAATAATAATAATAACTTAGTAATATTTATTTATTTATTTATTTCATTCCTTTTTTTTTAACAACAATCGATTTACTTACAACATAATCATCCCTCCCTCCCCCTAACTCTTATAATAATAATATATTTATTGGTCCAAATCAACAACAACTATAACTATAACTCAATCCAGCGGAACGAATAAAAAACACACATGTGGGTAACCTACCTACCAACCTTTCCGACCTAAATTCAATATCAATATCATTCTTTAAATCAAATAATAATAATTTTTAATTATTTTATTTATTTGGTTATTTAGTTCCAACCATTGTTTCCGTCCGTGACAGATTGATTGATCATCATTCCTTGTTTCTTTCTTTTAAAGTATCTCTTCTCTTTTGCTTTTCTTTGTGCTTGCTTGTTGAAAAAGGTTTCGCGTCACAGAACTGTGAGATTAAAAAACTCTTGAATTTTTTCGTTCAAACACTTTTCCTTTTTTGTTCAAAATTTACTTGCCTTTGCAGGTTGTTTTTTTTACTTGCTTCTTTTATACATACAAATAATCATAGACCATTAGATAGATAATAGAGTGATAGTGATAGTAGTTATGGTACTAGCATTAAAAGATAAATGTATAAGATATATAATTCAGAAATTACAACAACAGATAAACGATAATAATAGCAATGACAATAATGATAATGAAAATAATAATATATTAACAAATGATAATGGACAACCAATAATATTACCATTAGATCTTGTTCAAGATTTGATTATAATGATTAAAAAGATTGATAAATGGAAATACAATAATCAATTCTTAAACTATCTTACAATGTATTCAATATTAGAGTCATTGGACCTATCAAATGAATCAAATATCGATTTTAAACAATGGTGCAACTATCTAAATTCTTCATCCTCTCCATCTTCTACTTCATTATTATTATTATGTACAAGTTTAAATGAATTAAACTTTTCATATCTTTCAACTATTCAAGACAATGAACTATCGTGTATCATATCAAAATTCACAAGGTTGTCTCGTTTAAATGTATCACATTGTACAGCTTTAAAAGGTACTTTTCTCGAACATCCTAATCATCTATCCTCTCTAGATTATCTTAATCTTAGAGGTTGTACATCAATTCAATTTAATAATAATAATTCTATTACAAATGTGTATGTATCGAAATAGAATAAGAATATGTTGGGACCTTTTATTTACTTTTTTTTTTTTTTTTTATAGAAATATATTAAAAGTAAAAGAATTAATATTATCAAAAACAAATATAAATAATGAATCATTGTGTAGAATGATTGGTGGTGATAATCAAGATATTGGTAGTAGTCTTGGACTTGTTAATTTGGAGAAATTAAAATTGGCACATTGTAGTTTTATATCTTCAAAAGGATTGGTTTTATTGGGTAGCAAGTATACACCTAGACTCACATACTTGTCACTTGGGTATTGTGAAAAGATGCAAAAACCAAACTCTTTAAATGTATTGAAAGATTGTAATGTGTTGCAACATTTAAATCTATCTTTTTGTTTTATAAACGATGCATCAATTGGTGACTGTTTACACCATCTCTCTGGATCACTCACCAAACTTTATCTAAGACATAACTGTCTATCACCGCAATTCATCCAAACTCTATCGACCATTACACCTCTTTGCCACCAAATCAAAACTTTGGATCTTCGTGAATCACAATTAATCATTCCTCAACATGCTCTATGTCTTTATACTCCTCCCCCAACCAAATCTACAACTACAACTACAACTAAAACTACTGAAATCAAACATTTGTATATAACTGGAATGTCTAGAAGATCGAAATTAGTAGATACCTCCTCAAATGGTGGTATTGGGGGAAGAGTCAATCTTGGAGAACTGTATATAAAACATAACCAACCGACTATTAATCAACACGAGGTTGATCTATCGAGATCGGGAATGGTAGCAACCATTCTAACCAAACAACAACATCACCCCCTCATCCTATTGGGTGAGGACGAGACATTGCAGGCACGTATCGTCAAGAATGTGTTGGAACGTAGAAACTTTGATGTGCGTGTGGCATCGAATGGTAAAGACGCCTATGAAATGTATTGTCAAACACCACTCTTTGTCCTCGTCATGATGGACATTTTCATGCCCATTCTCGATGGCATCAGCTCGATTCGTATGATTCGACAATACGAAAAGACAACAAACCGAAAACGTACACCAATCATCATTTGTAGTGCAAATGATTCGACTCTAACTAGTAAAAATAATAATTACAACAATAATTATAATAATAACTACAACGAAAATGATAATAATAATAATAATAGTGATAGAGATAATAATGATCAAATAGGTGATGCATTTATTTCAAAACCTTTACGTCCTAATCTAGTTGATATTATCATTAATTTAATTCAATCAAAATGTTAATAATTAATACATACACCCTCTCTCTCTATCGATCCATCCAAACAAATAAAACCTCTTTGTAATTATCTATTTTTTTTTATAGTACATCGACCCCGGCATTCAAAAACTCAAGTCTCATTGTGTTTCGTATTTCGAGTTTAGAGAGAGAGGGAGAACAAAAAACATGTTGGTGATCAAAAGACACAAGCGATGACTATTACCATCAAATAGTGTCCTATTTTTAGGGGAAGGACATTGATTTAGAGGTTCATCATCAGTGGACACTAAAAATAACATGTGGAGAGGTCTTTGATGAAAAGTCTAACCATCCTTTTGACCATCTTTAAATTAAGTAATGCGGACCATGTTATTTTTAGTGTATAGCTAAAATAAAATTTTAGTTTTCATCAATGCTAAAAATAGAAGCCAACAATAGGAGCATCTTTAAAAAGTGAAAAACCACCGATTTTAAAATGTTTCGGTGTCAAACGACGGACAATGACTAAAGATGGAAAGAAAGGTAATGGTAATGACTTGATCCCTAAAATACCCAGCAATCAATCAATCAATCAATCATTTAAAAATCAGATAGATATTAGTTAGAGTTAAAAGATAGAAGCGATCAACCCTCCTACCTTGTTTTGGATGTTGATTGTCAATCAAAAGAAGATATTTATTCGACAACTGGTTGTTTGGTGATGATCAACAGTTTGTTTGATTGATTTTTGAAAGGGATTGAAGATACTATATATTTGCAATAAAAAAAAATTAGGGCAAGCTCCACTCTATTGACCCAAGTCCGAGAGAGTTTGACTATTGAAACAAAAATAGACGAAAAATAATAACTCGTCAACGATGTAACACGTGTGCAGAGAAAGAGGCATCGATTTTAGTTTCTCAAAGATTTTTGAAAAATCGGATTTTTTAGAACACAGACATTTGCCCCTCTTTTTGGCATCTATTAATTTTTTGAAGTTGCAACCATGCCCTGCTACCCAGGAGGGTGTAACCTAATTTTGCGGCTTGTGGTGACCTCTCCAAATCAGGGTCTCATTCCAAAACAACAACTCTTTTTATTGATTTTCGATGCGATTTTTGCATTCCAACAATGATAAATAGAACCTCATCATCACAACCTTGGGAGATGTCATTCGTTTACTTCGCATCTGTTCTATCTTATAATTTAAACAACAACAATCCTATCTATCTATCTATCTATTATACAACAATAAATTAATTACTAACTAATCATAATAACAACACTGATCTTCAACTCATTCACCGATTCAAATTTATCATTTCAATCAAAACAGTACCCACCCACCACCTCAATTAATTGTAAATCTTTTTTAAATAATAATAATCAAACAACACAAATAGCCACCTAGGTATGTTTTTATTAAACTCCAATCACACCACATGCACCCATCCCAGCATCGTTTGGTTTCTATCTATCCTTCCTATCTCTTTGTATTAGCTCGTTTCATTGTTTTTATTTACGAAAACGTAAATTGCCGTCCTTTTTTTTTTTTTTTTTTCAAACACCTTTTTTGGGCAAAAACAGAGGGGTGCATCCATCCCTGGCCCAAAGGGGGGGTGGGTCAATGTGGTCAATGATCATTTTGATGTGGGTTAACATCTCCATCCAACCCTATGCGATTGGGATGATGTTGACCAAGGTCGATGATGATATATAAACACAAGTCAATAGATCCCAAACTTAATCTTTATCCCAACACTTTTCAATCGATTCCGACAAAGGGGAGGATCTTTTAGGGTGCTTCCCAACTCTCTACACACAACATTTGAATGGGATTGATTTAAAGATGACCCGATAATATCTATCTATCTATATCACACCTCCGCAAGCCAAACTATTTAATTTTTTTTACCAAACAAGTGTCACATACTCGATCCACTCTTTAATCACCATCACGCAGGGGTCAAGATCCCCAAATCAATCAATCAATTAATAGTAGTAGGTAGGGATAAATAGTTGTAAAGGGTAAGGGGAGGGGTCGAGTCTTTAATGGAAATTATTAATTTGGATGAAAAAAGTTAGCATATCTACCCTATCATCATCATCAAGCACCGAACCTCTTGGTTCCATTCCCAAATCAATAACAATATCAATCATCATCAAATTGATTTCATTAGTCATCTATCCCAACTTTATAAATTAATATATACATACACACATACATACACATATATTATTTATTTGTTATAATCGCATTTTTTCAATTTTCAAACCATCCATACACATCACATCACATACAACCCTACCTTTTTACAATCCATTTCTTGTCTACATTCTTTCATTTACTCATTCACTCACCCAACCCAACAAACATAACACAACAAGAAGCTAAAGACAAAAAAAAAAAACAAAAAATAGTTCTGTCAGTCCTGTCTCTATATTAGAGGTCAACAATCAAACCCAAACATAGCAATCACAACCATTTATTATTATAATAGTTTCATCACATCCACATATATATCGTGTCCTGTCCTATCCAGTCATTTTTTTTACATTTGATATTACATCCTTCTATCTTTAACTCCACCCAACCCAACCCTCGCGCTGGCAGTTGAACCATTTCCACCTATCGTAACCAACTCATCATCATCATCATCAACTATAAAACATCCTTTACTCTGAATAATTTGCAAAATACTCCACATATTTTCATTGGGAGTGCTTGCCTTTCAGTTTGGATACACACACGGTCAAGAAATTTCTGGCGTACCCAATAACCTCACCTTTTGGTTTTTTTCCAAACACACACACAACCAAATTTAGATTGACCGACATAACCTGTTGTTTATAAACAAGTTAACTCTCTTGTCATCATCTTTTTATTTTTTAACAATCAAACAATCAGTGTATATAAAAACAAACAGACAAATAATATATTTTAAAAACAAAAAAAAGTAAATTACATACATCCATCCATCAATCAATCATCTTTTTAAAATATCCCCCAATCAATATTTATTTCAACCTAAACCTTCCTTCAAACCAAACTCTAATCTTGGGACTCGACTGAACTATTCTTTTTTAAAAATAATAATCTTTGAATCTCTTTGTTGTTGTTGTTGTTTGTACAAATCTTTCAAGATCGTATACGGGTCAGCCCAACCCCTGAATCAATCAATCAAAAAAAAAAAAGATCTTTTTCAACTTTTTCATTTTTTTTTTTTGTTTTGCTCCACAAAGTGTCTGGCCCATTAAATTGGACACCCTTTGCATTTGTTATTTTTAGGATCATTTTGTTTGATCAAAAAGGATATTCTTATTGCCAAGCAAGATCCTTGATCATCATCATACCAATTCGATTGTATTGTTGACAACACACTCTGAAGTGTTGTCTTGAAACCACTAAATTTAAGTCACCACACCAATAATAGTACTATAGGAATACGGGCACCCTCCAACAATAAATAATAATAATATTATTGTTCTATTTAATCTTTCTTTTTTTTTCTTTTTGCCCCAAACCCTTGATTCCCAAACACCCCATTCTCTCTCCTCTCTGGCAACCGAAACCATTTCATTCATTTGACATTTTACCAAAACCAACATGATGCAAATCGAACAACCATTAAACCATTTATCCTCTTGTTTAGTGATACAGAATCATAGCAATAAGACTTTGAAAATGTCCTTGAAAAAATCAATCACCAAATATTTTACAACTGGCAGAAAGAGTAGTCTCGGGTCTTCGTCGAGTAGTATCGCCAAGAGTCTCCATTTGGACAATAGCAACAACAATGAAAAGCCAGCCATCAACAAACTGCCATACGACGTATTATCTACCGTACTCGGATTAGTACACTCGAACCGAGTCGTGTCACAAGCATTCATCGACGTCTGTTTGGTGTGTCGTCACTGGCGTACACTCTCAAGAATCAATGGCCAAAAATTTGACATTAACTCATTTTTTGTGCGCAACGAGTCGCTCAAGATGAAGGGAGAGCTCATCGAACGGTGTCTTGGATACGTTGCCTATATGTACCCATCGGTGGACTCGATCCAACTGGGTCGTCTGTCGTTGACCGATAGTGCCATCAACCTCAAATACACCATGCTCTACTTGGATCGCATCGACCGTGTCTCGCAACTAGACATTGATCTCAACAAGGTGGACAGTCGCGACTTTAGTCTGTTGGTCCAGGCACTGCGCTCCAAACGCTCGCTCAAACACGTCACCATTCACAACGCCTCGGCCGAACACATCTACCATATCATCGACTTGCTCGAGCATACCCACGCCATCGCCTCGCTCACCCTTGTCAACGCGTCACTTGACAATCGCGAGGAGGCACTCAGACTACACGACTTTTTCGTCGACAATACATCGCTGACCAGTGTGCGCATGACCTTTACCGGTGCACAAACCATCGAAACGTTCAAAGAGGTGTTGGCCGTCAACCCCAACCTCACAGAGCTGCGTCTGCGTTGTCTCTCCAACGAGTACTCTAATCTCAAGACCTTTTCCCGTTTTGATTACCCTCATCTCACACAAAAGTTGTCCGTCTTGGCATTGCCCCACTGCGGTCTCATCAACAAGGACTTTGAGGAGCTGTCGTCCATCCTCGCGTCCAACAACTCGCTGGTCGAGCTTGACCTGTCGGACAACCCGCTGGTCGACCCACCCTCGGTCGCCAACCTGCTCACATCGCTCGCCAACAATGCCGCGTCGCTAGCATTGTCGTCGCTCTCGTTGGGCGGCCTGCAAATGGACGACGACTCTGTACATATCCTCTCACGTTTCATCCAACATAACCAGACACTCTACTTTTTAGATGTTAGCGAGTGTCCCATGCGCTGGGACGCCGGGTTCCAAGCACTCCTCGTCAGCATCATCCCCAGCAAACTCGTGCGTCTCGCATTGAACCGTGCCAACCTCTCGTCGCGCGCTTTTGGCTCGCTGTCAGACATGATCAAGCAGTCGCAGTCTCGCATCTCGACGCTCTCACTCGCAGGCACCCTCAACTCGCAGACGGGCAACCATCTCGGCTACGCACTCGCTGCCAACACCACGCTCACCTCACTCGACATTTCCAACTGCGAACTCCACCAACAAGGCGGCGGATCCATCTGCATCTCGCTGCAAACCAACTCTACGCTCGTCTCGTTGAACCTTGCCAACACCAAACTACACTCGTTCAACATTCTCTTGGTGGCCGACTCGCTCAAAAAGAACCGATCCCTCACAGCACTCGATGTATCAAACAACCAGTTCACCGCCGAGGCCATGTCCGAGTTCTTCCTCACCCTGCAAACTCATCCCACCATGTCCAAGCTGTCCCTTGAAAACACTGGTATGGGCAAAAAAGAGTGTCAGAGTCTATCCAACTTGCTCGAGGTCAACAACCAACTGTCGGTCGATATCAGCTCCAACAATATCCCCATCTCCAATTTTAATAACCTTCTCAAGGCACTTTCCATCGCCAACCAGAATCATCAACAGTTGTTGCGTAATACTAGTAGTGATCAAATTCAAATTGCCTCCTCCTCTGCTTCCTCTGCTTCATCATCATCTGCTTCTTCCACTCCAAACCCATCCCCTCCATCTTCACCCGAGAGTAATAGTTTTTTAACTAACCAAGTTTCTTCTCCCAATTCACCAACCCTTGTATCATCAATCAACACTAATAATAATATAACAATTATGAGTAATCTTAGAAATCTTAAATATAATCAATGTGTATATCATTAATTTAATATATATAATAAATACCTTTTTTTTCAATCTCCAAGAGAGATTGATAAACCCCTTTGTAATTAATCCAACTTGTACTTTCATTTCTTTCTTTCTTTACTATTATTATTTATTATTATTAAGTTATTTTGACTACTTTAAGAAATTAACTAATTGTTCTCTTGCAGAAGCCATAACTTGACCAAGTGATTGATCCAAACTATCCAAATCATCACCACCATCTATTTTAATACCAACACGATCTGAAATGATAGTTGAATCACTCTCTAAAACAATACCATCATCTAATATTTCATCCAATGCAAGTAATGTGAAATTGACACCTTCCAATAGATTCCTCTTGTTGATATTACTACTGATGAGATAACAACAGTTGTTAGTTCAACCTATGATATCATTTGAATTGAGATATTATCATCATCGTCATCTTTATACATACTCCAAGATTGTGTGAAGAGTATCTGTGTAGGTATTTAATACATTGAGTAAAGCAACTTCATTTTGTTCATTGTCAGCTACCATATAGATTGTAACATTTGAATAAGTTCTATAAACGATTGTAAAACTATCCAAGATTGATATTTCTCCTATATTTAGATAATCAAGATAGTTTGTTAAACAAATGTCAAATCTCTATTTACTATAGTATAGTATACTATATAGTATAGTATCTCTATCCTCTATCTCTATCTATTCTATTTACCATTAACTTTAGCAGTCTTATCAAATACTCTCTTTTCAAATGCCTTTTGTTTCACAGTTGTATCAAATTCAGAGTCATCATAGTATTTGGCAACTACTCTACTTCCTTTATTATCCAATATAAAGAAGAACTTTACTAAATAGATCTAAATATTTATATATATATATTGATGTAATAATAGATACAGATAAAGAGTGTCAATATGATTGATTGATTGATTGATTGATTGATTGATTGAGATTGATGAAAAGATCAAAAGATCATAATCTAACATACATATGATGCCATCGTTTCGTTGTTATTTATAAGTAGTAATACAAGTACAAAGTAGTCGATCGAATGATGGATATTGAAAGTAAAGTACTACTTTTCATTCATTTTTGCCCCAAACGAAGTTCATTATTTTTGTGCACCACACAAGCGTGACTCATCTCATTTTCATCTCATTGTCATTATCATCATACGAGACAAGACAGATATATGACATATCCTAAACATACAACAAAATGAAATGAATAATGAATACAATAATAATAATCTACTACTACTACTACTACTACTGCATAGTCATCTTTTAGAAATAGATAGATAGATTTAAGATTACTATATCGATGTCAGATTAAAAGCCTAAAGGGGTTACAACAACAACATTATCGTCATCATCATCATCATCATCCTCCTCAAATGATTAGTAGCCTAATTTAGAAAGTAGGTTGGTATTCATCGCCTCATCCTTGCAGAAAGACACCGATCCGAATCACCCCTGCTTCATCTGCTCTACTTTTCAAAAAAGACACACACGCACAGCGCTTCATCTATTGGGCTATCAAAACTCCCAAATCGTAACCAAAACAGCTAAAATAGATTTGTGTGTAACACCCCCCAAATGGTGTGTGTGAGTGAGTGGTAGTGGCGAAGACGAGGAGGATGGCTACATAGGCTATCATCATCTTTTAAAACTGCTTCTTTAAATAATACTCATCAATCAATGCAATCCAACCAACCAGCCAAGCCAACCAACCAACCAAACAACCAAACAACATAATGAAAAAGTCGGGAACCAGCAAAATAAGAAGAGGGGAAGGAGAAAGAGCGAGTAAGAGATGGATGGTTTTTGTTGGACTGTAAGGGTAAGGGTTTCCCCACTACCAATCTCTTATTCCTCATTTTTCAAACAATCTCTCTACTCTCTACCCTCTTCTTATTTTACTACTTTTCATCCCATCCTCATCATCATCCCTATTTTATATATATACACACCGATCATAGAAACTTCATTAATTAAAAATATAAATAGTAATATAATATAATATATAACATATTCACATCACCTTCCCTCCTCCTTCTCCTCGCGCCATTCATATTCATTCACATTATTCATAATCTCATTTTCCGCCAATCCAACAACACTTTTTTGTTTTCTCTCTCTTATTTTCCAAATACAGTTCAACACAATAATAGATAAATATAAAAGATAGGATAAGAGAAAGAAAGAAAGAGTAGTAATAATAGACACAAACAGGAAATCGACGATTTGATAGCCAACTCCAACTTGATTTATTTAATCTAAAACTGTAAGTTTACCAATGCTGTACCCTACCAATGGTGGATCGATCGATGGATCAATGACAGGAGAAATCCTATCCAATCAATCCATCAATCCATTTCCATCCATGTCTCGCACACACCCACTTTATCCACCACCCCACCCCCTATCCCATCCCATACATGATCTACTAAGATGGATGGATGGATTATCTTGTAATCTGAAATTCAATTCTGTATATATATTTGTTATACATGTGCTACGCGTGCCATGATTTCTAAATATATCTCATCACATCTGTGTGTGATTTCCATACATATAAATCAAAAACCACCCCATTCATTCATTCATTCATCCATCCATATATTTATTTAAATTCATTGTTTGTGAAATTCAATCTTTAGCTTCGTGCAATCAACAACAACAACAACAACAACAACGACAACAACAATAATAATAATAATAATACCAACCAACCATTAAATATACTTGTTGTTGATTATTTGATGGTGAAGATATACCAATAATAATAATAATAATAATAGAGGTAAATATAAATATATATTTAATTATTGTAATTATAATAACCGCCAGACAATAGTACAGAGGTAGTAGAGGGGTCTATATTCTATATTTCATCGACGATGTTATTTTTCCAAATCGACTGATACCCCCCCCCCCCCCCCCCCATCAATCAGTCAATCATTGCCAAACTGGTTAGAAATCGACAATCAGTCAATAATAATAATAATTCCATAGATGGAAATCAACACTAAAACAGTAGTAGCCGTTGTTGTTGTTCACTCAAATTATTACAACGATATACCAGCAGTTATCGTCGATGTTTTAAGGTGTTTTAAATACACACATACACACACGTACACACAAACTCCTCTAAACAGTAATAACAACAATAGACAAACAAAACAATAACAATAGTAGTAATAACAACAACACAAATAATAATAATAATAATTTCACTGCCATTACTGGGTACTACTACTTGTAGAACATCAACGATCAGTTTGTTATGATAGAGGGGTGAACAACACACACACATAACATAAATTTTCATCACCCTCCTTTTGAATCACCACCCTCTTTTCTTTTCTTTCACAACACACACACCGATCAATCACAAAAAGGGATCCTTTTCTTTTTTTTTAATATTATGGACTGATGGATGAATGAATGAATGAATATAGGTTGGATGGATGAGGAAGGATTGAAAGGGGTTGGGGGAGATATATATAAATTAGTCAAATCTGTGTCTATTCTTCTTGCTCCTCCTTCCCATCTCTCTCTCTATCCTCCATCCATTATTGATCATCATCATCAAATTAATTGATAATTAATATTATAAAAGTAGTGTTGTTTTGTTTGTTTGTAGTAGTTGTTGTATTAGTAGTACTAGAGTAGTAGTTGCTATTGTTGTTAAAGACAAAATAAGAGAGAGAGAGAAATTGAATTGAATAGGACACATATAAACACAAAGTAGGAAGGTAGGAACCATCATCATCATCAACAACATCAACATCATCAAAGAAGCTTGTTGCAACATCACCAAAGAAAAGAGTGAAAGAGAAAAGATTATAGATAAGGTTTAAGGAAACACAACAAACACAGCCAACCAGCAAACAAACACAACAAACCAATAACTAAAGTCATAAATCTCGATCATCAATTACAATAACCATAACCAATTTAAAATATTCATATATATATATATACAACCAACAAAAGTGATCAGATTGATTAATTGATTGATTGATTGCCACTACACTACACTAAAATTCCATTCATTCAACTTGTTGTTGATAGATACATCATCACATTCTATAATTCCAATTGGAACAGTAACAACAACCATAACTAACTTTACTAGATTCTTTTAATAGTTGACTACTACAATACAATACAATACAATAGATTTACAGCATACATATATATTTATGGATATCAACAACAATACTAGTATTAGCAACATCTAAACAAAAAAAAGTCAGTATTTATATATCTAAATCAATCAAACTGTTTGTGTGTTTGTTTTTTAGAAATCTTTGAAAAAAGGAAAATGGAAGGAGGGAAAGATGGGTGGAGGATATTTTAGATCAAATTGTAATTGGCTTTCCAACAACAATGAATGGGACAACCAACCAACCAACCAACCAACAAAGACCCTTTCTGATTGGATCATTTTTTTGGTCTGTTTGTCTTGGGTTGGGTTAGGAGGTTGGGTTGGTTATTTAATATATTTATAGATAGATAGATAGATAGGTGTTGTTGGAATCTAACAAACATCAGTGCAAAGATTAGAGACATGATGGATTTGGATCCAATCCAATCCAAATATTATTGCCACATTTAAAAAAAATGACAACAGCAGCAGCGGTCAACACATTGTTCACCCACACACCCACCTATACATACACCAACCAACCACCCCCCTCACCCACCAAAAAAATCAAAACTTATCAAACAATTGTGAATCAACCAGATTCGAACAAATCAAATCAAAACCTCCTCCTTGGAAGTGTGCTTGCTGTTTGACCTCTCACAAATCAAAATACAGGAGGAGGAGGAGAAGAAGAAACAGCATCAGCAGAGCAGCTGGCAGCAAAGCAGTTTGTGTGATGATGAACAAACCAGAGCTGGGAGGGAGTAAGGAAGGAAATGGAGGAAGGAATACTCCTACTCCTCCTACCCTCAGCGTCAATGGAATAACGTTATTCCATTTTGTATGGTTGGTGGTTATTGTTATGTTTTTAAATTTAAAAGATTGATATTTATCTATCAATCAAACAATCAATCAATTAATCAATCAATCATAAATCATTATCATTATCATCATCATCATCATCATCATAACAGGAGGAGCAATAGACTGTACATCATCATCATCATCATCATCATCAACTAGTGATAATAATAATAATAATAATTTATAGATAGATTAGTTGTTTTATCAAGTAGATCAGAATTTAGATACAATAGATAATAGGTATAATTTAATAATTAATATTAATATTTAATATAATGTGAGTGATGTGTATTATTGGTCACGTGATAATAATAATAATAATAATATGGATGGAATTGAATTTCCATTCATTTTGGTTAAAGAGCACAACATATTATTATTAGAGCAGTCAGTCAGTCAGTCAGTTAGATTTTATATCTCTATTGTTTGTTTGTTTGTTTTTTCTTTTTTTTTTTTCAATCACTCAGGTGATTCCAATGACTGGTAATACAAAGGGAAAAGGGGGGTGACTGTTATTTATATATATATAAATATATAACAACGAATAGACAGGCAGACATAAGCAAACATAGCAGTATTACAGTAGAATCCAATAATAATAATAATAATTGCTGTTTATATTATATTGTCATTACCATACCATACCACATTTATTATTATTATCGACATAGTCGTTGTCGTTAAATTTCCATCCTTAAAAGTTCATTTCAATCAATCAATTTAATAATTATCATTATTTATTTATTTATTTATTAATCCCCCCCACACACAACAATAATAACCAACAACACAACAACAACAACAATTATCGTCGCACCAAATTTATTATTATTATTTATTTGACCATTTGATTTGATTTTTTTTTTAACCAAATACTAAACTATTCCAATCCCAAAATTACAATTTTAATTAACAGATACGAACAACAAGTTAATCAATCAGCCGTCCGAAAACATATTCGTTTTATTATCCGTCCAATCATCAATAATAACAATATATCAATATCCAATATCCATATTCATTTTCATAGTATATTAGTAGTCAATAATAGTAATAGTAATAATAATAGTAATAATAATAAGAGTAGTAATATTTTTTGATTAATATGTAATAATATTTGTAAATCTATCATATAATAATCATAATAATAATAATAGTAATATTAATGTATATTTAAAACAACAAACAAATTTATCGACCTCATCATCAAGATTATTTTTCCCCAAATCACAAAAAACAAAAAGCAAAACAGAAGAAATCAACCAACCAATTAATAGTTATAGTTATACAAAATATGGATTATAGTCCACCTCAATATTCACCTCGATCAACTTTTTCCGACCCAACGGGTTTAGACTCGCCACGATCACTTATCGATTCAACAAGCAACATGACAGATTATTACCAACAACCACAACAATCGTTGGATAGTGTACAACAACAACAACAACAACAACAACCAGTCACCAAAGATAAATCCAACAAATTTGGATGGATTGGAAACTTATTATCACGTAAAAAGAGTAATAGTACAAACTCTCTTTACAGTAATATAAATCAAAATATAAATATAAATAGTAGTAATAGTAATAGTAATAGTGGTAGTGAAAATAGTAGTAATAATAATAGTAATCAAAATAGTCCAACTTATTTTTCAAATCAACATGTCGCGACAAATAATATTATAACAAGTAATTATAGTCCAAGTGGAACCAATGGTAATAGTAATATATCAACGGCTAATAATTCAACTTCGTCTGGCCAAGCACAGACTGGGTCGACAAAGAGACGCTCCATCTTTCAATTTTTTTCAATATTCCAGTACAACCATCGAGCCGATTCATCCAGCTCATCACCTTCCACAAAGACATCGCTGTCACCTTTGAAACGATTTAAATTTACCCGTACTAGTTCATCCACCTCGATTGACACCAAGTCGGTCAACAAAAAACACATGCTACAATCTAGTCACAGTTGCAATAACCTAAACATCAACTATATTAGCACTAAACACGAACTCAACCAATTCTCTGGAGATCCATCTTCTTTATTACTTGCTGTTACTCCAACTACCAATAATACTACTACTACAACTATATCTACACCTCCCACTTTATTGACTCCATCTGGGAGTGCTACACTTCTTCCAATGATTCCATCAACAACAACAACAACATCAACAACTGCTGCTGCAGTCGTAGTTGTAGAGACGAACAATCAACAACCGTCTATTTTATTACCACCAATCCCAACCATTCCAATATTAAATAGAGAAGATTCAAGTTGTTCAATGGCATCTTCAAACGATGAAGATTTGGACCAATTACATGGTAGTGGCAATAATATTGGTAAATATGCCATCCTAATCCCAACTCCCATCCCATCACCCATTCCACATTTACAAGATGTCTCATCAATCTATAAACACAAGAAAATACAACTTCAACAAAATAATCAACCCAATAACCATCATTATCATCATCATCAACAACAACAAACATTATCAGATAGTTGTGGTGAGGTTAATATTGTTAATACTGGAGACTTACAACAACTTGGACAACAACAACAACCAATGACATGTAGAATAAGTAGTCAATGTGAAGAATCTATTTTAAATCGTACGATTTCATCGATTGATATAATGGAGATCGCACAACAAGGTCTTCAATCTAATCCAACTACACCAGCACCTGGTACACCAACACTCATCCACCACTGTGTAACTCAAATGCCACCCATCATTAACCTTCCATCAACCGAATCTTTAAATTCTGCTCAAATCATCATCCATCATCAACAAGATTCAACGAATAATAATCAAAATAATATTGATCAACAACAATTATCACCAAGAGGATTAGAACAAAAGGCAATTTGGCATTCACCAGCCAAGATAAAGAGTCAATTGCAAACTAGAACATCTGCACCACAGTTGGGTGTAAACTCATCGCCAATGCTCCAGACGAGTTACAGTAATCCAAAAATAGGTACACATCATTGGTGGGGATCGAACAATCCCATTCCAAACGAACAAAACAAGATGGATCTACAAATGCAATTTTTAAAACAACAAGAACAAAAAGAACAACAAAAACAAGAAGCTATGAGAACTATGAGTGATAATCAATTATTATCATCAAATAATAATAATCATAACACTATCACCAATCATTGTAATACTATTAATAATAATAATAATAATAATTTAGTGAGAGCAGCATCTATTAGTAAATGGGTGTCTGCAGCTCCATCATCACCACCTCCAATGGCTATGGCACCACGTGGTTCAAATTCACCGGATGATCAGTCTAGTCCAGAGAGATGTATGTCTCCAATCAGTTCGATGATTCGTGTCTATTATATCCCATTAACCGACGATGAAGAACCAAGTCAAAGCAGTAGCGGTACTGGTACTGGTACTACTGGTGCAGTTATTGAACAGGCTGAATTAAAAGTTAGTAATACTGGATTACCCAATAATACAGCACAACTGTATTGGTCACATATTGTCGTACAACATACATCTGTCAAGGATGTTATCGAGCATGTATCTTCCAAGGTTGATAAACCTTATTGGTCATTCAAGTTGTGTTGTTCACTTAATCCATACGACTTTTTAGACGACACTGTTTTATTGATTGGATTCCGTCTACGTCGGTTCTACTTGATTGAAGTGGCCGAGGAAATGATTGTTCATGACAATGTAGAATGCAATGTTTTCGCAAACATGTTTCCTGCACATGCCAATTATTTCAATAATACTTCAACCGCTACCATTAGCAGCTCGATGCTTGGTAGTACTAAAACCGATATGTCTACCAACACCACCACTACGACCACTACGAATACGAATACTACCTCTAGCAGCAGTCTCAGCGCGAGCTGTGCCGCATTGGCCAACCCACTAAGTAGCAGTTGGTCACCAAGTTACTGCAAGTTCCTATCGACCAGCAGTAAAAGTTTCAAACGTACCCAACTATTAATGTCGGTTGAAGACACTAGTCCTGTCAGCAGTCTCGAAGACAATGACGACTTTCTCCTCGACCTTCCATCCTCTCCATGTTCCTATCAAGCCAATCCTTTGTTTAGTCTGTCAGGTAGTGGTAGTAGATTACACAGTAGTAGTAAATTACACCAAATCAGTAGTAATGGTAACGGCAATAGTAATGGTCATGTCGTAACCCATCATCATCATCATCACCACCATAAATTTAATAGTAATGGTCATACAAATAATCAAAATCAAAATAATAATACAAATCAAAATTATCAAAATGGATTTAACAAATATTTAAATGGTGGAAATAATTTATTACAAGCTGGTCGTCGTCCATCATTGGTTGAACAACCAATATCGATGGCGTTGAAAGAGAGAATTAAGATTTTAGATAATTATTTCAATCATTATTATAGAGAGTTGGAAAACTATCTCATTCAACGTAGCAAGAGAATGGAAACACTCAAACAGGTTCTATTGGAGAGTGGTATACGTGAAAGTTCAATTGCATGGGGTCGATGTGTTAAAGAGCATCTCACCAAAGAGACTACTTATTTAAGATCGAAACGTGCTCGTATTGGTCCAAGTGACTTTCAAAAGTTGACGGCTATTGGTAAAGGTGGATTTGGTAAAGTCTATCTTGCACGCAAAAAAGATGGAAATGAAATTGTCACTCTCAAGGTGATTCGAAAGAATTCATATCATCGTGCCAATCAAATGACTAGTGTATCAAAGGAAAAGGCTGTTATGATGATTCCACATACTCACAAGGAAGAGACGCAATGGATTACACGTCTACTCTATAGTTTCCACGATTCCCAATATCTCTATCTTGCCATGGAGTATCATTGTGGAGGTGATTTCCGTGCCCTACTCAATAACCTTACCAGACTCGAAGATGATATTGCATCTTTCTATATGGCTGAAATGGTTCTTGCCATTCAATCTCTTCACAAGCTCGGTTACATTCATCGTGACATTAAACCAAGTAACTTTGTCGTCGATAAAAATGGTCATCTCAAATTGATTGATTTTGGTCTTAGCAAAGAAGGTTTCATCAGTCGCAACTCGAAATACCAAAACACTTGGAGAAACCTTTTAAATAACAAGGAAAATGATAATAGTCAAAATCAACTTACTAGTATCGTTGCAAGATCAAAAGATAAAGATAAAAAACGTGAACAAAAACATGAACATAAAGTTGTAAGTAGCAAAAAAAAAGAGAGAAAAGAAAATAATAATTATAAATAATAATAATATTAATCTTGTTTTTATTTTTATTTATTTGTTTCTAGACATATTCAAAAGTTGGATCACCAGAATATATGGCACCTGAAATGTTGACTGGAAAAGGGTATGATATGACTTATGATTATTGGTCATTGGGAGTTGTATTTTTTGAAATGTTGTTTGGTGAAACTCCATTTGGAGGTGATACTCCAGAAGAAGTATTCAAAAATATAATGGATTGGAAAACTATCTTGGATTGGAATTATTTATCTGATTTGGTTTCTTCAAATGCTCTTGATTTATTAAAAGTGTAAGTAATAGATAAAAAAAAGAAAAAGATAAAGTATGATATTAATCTTTGTTTTTTGTTTTTATTTTTTCAAGATTATTATGTGATCCAGAAAAAAGAACAACAGGAGATGATTTAAAGAAACATATTTATTTTGAAGGATTGGATTGGGATAATGTACACAAGATTGTTCCTCCATTTGTACCACAAGTACAGAATGAATTAGATACATCTTATTTTGAAGGAGCTGAAGAACTTGAAAGTGATGCTGACAATGATTATGACGAAGTGGTGGAAGCTGCTCAAGAAGCTGCAGAGGGAGGTGAGAACCAACCTGACCAGTCTCCTCCTCTAGACGAAGACACGTCCTTTAGAAATATGCCATTTGGTGGTTTCAACTTTCAACGTTTTCCATCGGTTGTTGAAGGTGCCCGTGTCAAGGGATTGATCAAGAGTTTCTATGTAGAGAATGAAAAGTGTGTTTCTCGTGCCACTAGTACATCATCACTCAACAGTCCAAATACATCGTGTGCCAATTCACCCATTATTCAATCACAAAACTCAAAGACCCAATCATTTAATAATTATCATCCATCTTCATCCAATAATACAACACAAGGTGGCAATTACACCACTACACCAAGTCAAACACCACCAACTCCCACCAGTCCCAATGTTCACGGATATCAACCTAAAACCCCTATCCTTAGAGTATCGAGCAAGTCTGTCACAAACTCTCCTCAATCGAATTTATCTAAAAAATAAAAACAAAGTAAAAGTAGAATATATTTTTTAGAACCCCTTATATAGTAATAGTAACTAGTTAATTGTATCATTACAGATCTAGACGATCCCGAGTTAGATATTTGCAACATGATTGTCTTTGGCGCTGGATGACGAAAAAATAATAAATCAAAAAAATAAAAAATAAAGAGTTACACGAAAGTCGTGGACCTTTGCATGTAACGAAGTTTGCGAAGTGGTTTAGAACATAACCTATATTGCACACACATTAATGTAAGAAATACTATACTATACTATAGTATAGAGTAGAGATAGATATATAATTCACACCTTTTTTTTTTTGATCAATATACTTTTAATATCTTAGTCGGTTTAGTGATCTCCTCAAAAAACACAGACACACACTATCAATGCTAAAAAATGGTGGTGTGTCTTTTCAGACAACATCGATGTTTATAATGATGTTTGCAGCATTGTTGATGTTAATGTTTATGATCAATGATACAAATGGAGAGTTGGTAGTATTAAGAAGATATAGTTTACCAGAGGTTGGTGTAGCCAATATGACAGGTCAAACAGAATGTCAAGTAGAATATTATGTATCATTGTATAGTTCATTGTCACGAGGTATAAATGCTCTATCGGTTGAATATCTTAGTAATCGTACAATTGCACCATCGTATCCAATATTGGCATCTATGATCATGTCACAACCATCAAACACAAGTGTCCAACTCTTTAGGTTTCGCGTAACCTATCCACTTGGTACAACCAATGGTCTCTATATCAATGCTTCAACTGATTTGGAAACTACTGAAATCATATTACCAAAGTTATATTGTTATAGTATGTTGTATAGATAATAATAATAATAATAATAATAGTAGTAAGAATATTAATAATTTAAATATTAATTTTTTTTTTTTTTTTTGAATTAATTAGAAATACCATCAACATTAACTATGAAATCATCAAATATTACAAGATATGTTGAAGATGCTACATGGGTGGTTGAAGTATTGATCGATCAAGATTTGGATATATCTGGTGCAACTATTACATGTTCTACTTTGGATGTAAATAGTTTACAGTGTACTCCAGTATTGCCATACCCACAATCTCCGAGTACCGATCCTATAAGACTAAGAGTGTCACTCAATCCCAATATGGATGGAGTACAATATGCACCCAACTATAGCCCACTCTTGTCCTTTAGTGTTGTCAGTACACAAGCCGGTAGCTCGAATACCTATGTATTGGGTGTCTACGGACAACTATATACAAATCCTCCACCAAGTAAATTAGTGACTCTCTCGGTCTTGAATATGTATCCACAAATAACCCCAACCGTCAATGTTTGGGAACAATATAGTTCTGCCATTCAAATTGCAGTACCTTACGTCGGCAACACCAATAATAATCAAGAAAATTATAATTTAAATAATTTAGAGTACTTTGTAAACAACAAGTTTCTTAGTGTTCAAATGTTACAAAAGGTGTATAGTAACGACAAGTATCTAACATTTTACAGACCATATGTTACACCTGCCAATCAAAACGTACAAAATCTTTTGTATCAAGTCACTGATACCAATTCATATTCCTTCTTTAGACAGGGTGGACAAACGATTACTCCAAATGTCAATGTACAAGGTATGTAAATAGATATATATATTATATATTATATTTAATAATAATAATATTTTAAAAATACTAATATTTTTTGATTAATATTTATTTATTTTTTTTAGGAACCTATTTATCAGCACCATTAGCATCTTCAGGAATAACACCAGAGTTTTATTTTATGGTACAAATGTCAGTTGTAATGTTGAATGGAACATTTTTAGATAGCAATTTGGCAGTAACAGCTGGTACCTACTCGATAGATATACCAGCACCATTTGGAATAACCACAAATAATCAAACAGTGCTTTTTAAAAACTCATTTATCTATCCAACTGGAATCACCAATACATTTGTTACATGTGCCTACAAAGCTTCAGTAGCATCTAAATCTTTTGCCGCTATATCTCCCCCTCCAGCATCTTCTCCAGTTATTTTAAATGTTAGGTAATGTAATCATACAAATTCAAACATACAAATAAGTTATGTTTATAAATATTAAATATTAAATATTAATTGATATATTTTTTAATTTTTAGATTTTTATCATTTACAGGATACAGTTGTTTAGTTCAAGTTGATTTTGAAACCAATTCAGCAACTGGATTACAAATAATTAGAGTATTTGATTATGTGACAATGGGAGTTGAATCGATTGTAAGAGGAAACTTAACCTCTGGAACTGCAGTTACTGAAATTAATTATAATCCAACTAGATTAAAAACAACAACTGGTGGTAATAATGGTGTTGTAGTGGTTGATACAAGTGGAGCATCAACTATTGTCAACCCTGGACAATTCCTAAATGCAATAGATGATGCAGTTCCAAGTAACTTGGGAATCCTTCAACTTGTACTACGTCCATCTGATTTTACAAGTATAGAATTCCTACCAAACAATATTGATACTAGTTATGGTCCAACCTCAGTATCAATGTTGTTTAATCTAACCCAACGTTACAATACACCAGACGTTATTTATAATATCTCTATCTATTTGAATCAACCAAGTAATGCTGCTGTCAGTTTACCACTCTTGCCCAACGGTATCATCAGTGTCCTATCCTACTTTGATTACCGTCTCTGGTGTAATCGTGTTGATTTCACGTTACCCCAAAACTTGGGAAATGACACATTGTACTATTTCATCAATCAACAAAGTTATTCTCAAACTTTATTCAAAGTACTTGGTCAATCATCTCAATTAAAGGTTAAATCAAATTGTATGTCTAATGTTTAAACAAACAAACAAAAGAAAGAAAATATATTCATATTTCTAATATTTCTTTTTTCTTTTTCTTTTTTTTCTTTTAGATTTGGATAAATTCCCACCAATGGTATTAGGATTTAATTTATATACAAATCAAACAGGATTTGTTAATTCAATAATTACAGTACAAACAAATGAATTGGTAGAATTGGGAATTGAAATTAACATTTCAGATTTAATTGTATCGGATGATAATGTTCGTCGTGGTAATGGGTTGGATTATGGTATGATTAGTATTGGCTCTGATATTGATCCAATCCCAAGAATATTTAGATTGGATCAATCAACATTGATTAGAGGTGATATGTTGGAGGGTACACATCGAATTAAATTCACAGTCAATGGGTCACTATGTGTTTCACAAACATTTGCAATCACCAAACTTTATTTGGTCGATCGTAGTGGATGGTCGTCAAGCTATCCCTCCTCCTCAAAGTCAAATACATTGATTGACCCATTTATCCGTATGAGTGGTATCATTTCCTATTCATTCGTCCAGTTAGCGTGTCCCGACCAACAGGATGTCGTCCCACCAACCTTGACCGGTGTGACAGTCTCTCCGGCCACCATCAATCCTTTCTCAAAGGACCGAGATATTAGCATTATCGTCAATGTCGCTGATGTCGGCGGTCCAAAGTTTAGTCTGTTGCCAACAGCCACTGACCATCAACCCAAAGTCTATCTATTCAACGATCGTGGGAAATATGTGGTTTTGTCACCAACCACCAACGCACTATTCCCATTGGGACATGGTGCAGGTACCTATACCTACAACACAACGCTTCCATATGGGTTTGGTGGGTACAGTAACCTGTCCATCTCGATTCACAATGTATTTGACAATAGTTTGAATGTGGCCAGTTGGTCAAGCGCCGATTTAAAATCATTGGGGTACCCTTTTTACATTCGTACTGCTGGCTATCCACTTGACCAACAGCAATGGTTAGAGTTACGGTATCCCGTTGCACCACTCGCTCGAGATGGTGGCTCGTTGATGATTGTCACATCGGGACCATCTTTGCGGGATGGAGCTGATCTCGTCGTTAAAGTGGACGGGCTTGGACTGTTTAACATTATGTATACCAACCCATCTCTATTTGCCATTCAAGTAAATGTAAAGGTTCCATTGACAATGACTAGTGTCCAAGTATCACTCGTATCAAAGTCTGATACTTCTATTGTACGGTCGACAGTTTTGACCGTTCCTGTCAAAGATTACGTCGCACCGTATACTCCACCAGCGGTCATCCCATGTCCCTCGAGTGGGTGTGGTGGGCCTTCCAACGGGTACTGCGGTGATAATGGATGTGTATGTATAAACGGGTGGTACGGTCCAACATGCTCACAAACAACGATCCAGATCATCCCCAACATAACAAAGGACGAACCAACTGTGATCATCGGTACCAACAATACCGACAACCTCATCTACAGTATCATGTCGGTCTATTCAATACGTGAGATTGACACGTTGACTGGTACCTACCAAGAATACCCACTTTTGAAATGGACGTTTACCAATAATACAAATGGCAACTTGACCAACTCTGGCCTGGACTCGCTCAACTACCAGTACACGAGCAATGTGTCTGTGCCAACCGACCAGACCAATACGACCTTTGTCAACACGACCGTCACAGTAACCGTCCAATGGTTCAAGAATGCACAAGACATTGTATTTGGTAACCAGTTGGTATCCCTCCCTCCATCATCGACCAAGATTAATATCGGGTTGAGTGCATACCCGTTCCAATCCATCACCAATACTCTTCAAGTTATACTAGACCTTTCCATCAATATTGAGGGTAGCGATAGTGACGCTGCTTGCAAGGGTACTGAGCTAGGTCTTGGTAACGGCGACGATCAAAACGATCTTCAATGGATTAAATTAAAGGCTGGCGAGTCTGCAGTCTATGCAAGATTCATTCGTAGTGGTATCATTGACGGCAGACAATCGGTCATTCGAAACTCTGTCGTTGAACAGTCACAGTCATCTGGTACACGTCAATTCATTGGTATCAACGTTCCCTACTATACAAGCGACGCACAACTTGATCCCGATCTATCGATGCTAATCGATCACGACGGTGACGACTATGGCTGCGACAACAAACCAACTCTCTCCAAACCACAAATAGCCGGTATCATTGTAGGTGGTATCGTTCTCATCCTTGCATGTTCAATACTACTAGGTTGGTACATTAGAAAGAAATATTTAATTAGAATTAGTGGTGGTAAAATAGAAATGGTTACTCTTGGTAAATCATTAAATTAACTTAATTTAAAATATGTAATAAATAAAATGAAATAAAAAAAAAAAAAAAAAAACAGGTAAACTTTACAATTTTTTCTCTAGAGTTTCTTATTGTACAACAATGGAACCTGAATTTACTATTGATGAGTACAATTCTCCTTCTCATAGATTCTTCTACTATCGTTCACATCATTTCACTTTGATTGCTGGTAATGATGAAGAATCTTCGTCCCTCTATCTTGTAGATGGCTTTAAAAGGTCAAAGACTACTCGAGGTTATACTCTTCAAGAAAGAGAAATTAAAGATGATGGTGATGATATCATGTAAGTTCAATGATGATGATGATGATGATGATGATGATGATGATGATGATGATGATGATGATGATGATGACGGTGATGATGATGATATCAACTATAGTTTGAATATATCTAAATCTTATTTTATATTTATATATTTCTCTTATCTTACTCGACTTACTTTTCTTTATTATTAGTAATGTAGTATTTAAAGTACCACCAGAATTAAAAGGAGGTAAAAAGTTTAAGAGACAAAAGGAACATGATAATGAAATTGATATTCTAAATCATATCAGATCAAACAGAGATCAAGGTAACGGTTGTGATCAAATCATTGGGTACTATGGTACTGCACCTACAACCGATGGACAGAAAGCAATCATTATGCAATACTGTGAAAATGGTTCACTGTCATCACTCATTGGTAACTCTCAGTTGATCAATGGTGAAAGACTACTTATCATACTACGTGATGTTGCCAAGGGAATTGAATACCTTCACAGTGATTCGATTAGTTTGATTCATCGAGACATTAAACCAGACAATATTCTCATCGACAAGGATTATCGAGCTTATATTGCTGATTTTGGTATATCAACACGTGTTGATATAACAGGTGAAGCTTCAACTATTGGTATAGGTACTCCTGTATTTATGGCTCCTGTAAGTAAATCAAATCAAAATGTATATGTATATTTTTAAAAATTAATTAATTTTATTATTCTTTTTTTTTTTTTAAATATAGGAACAATCAGGATCAATCTCATATCAAAATGATGTTGATATTTATAGTTTTGGTGTATTGATATTTGTAGTATTATCAAATGTATTTGTTGGTGTCGATGATGATGTTGAGAAATCAATAGAAACTGCATTGGATTGGCCAGATGAATGCAAAGATTTAATCAAGAGGTGTGTTTGCTTTAACCCACAAAAGAGACCAAAGATTGCAGAGGTTGTCAAGGATCTTGAAGAGGTGATCAAAGCAGAACATTTGGACAAGGCACTTGAGAATCGAAAGGTTGTCATGGCAAAGAAATCAAATCGTGTAGAGTTTTTAAATCAAAGTGCATTCAACGATCCGAAACTCTATGCATGGGATGAAAAGTATCATAATATTATAAAGACATTTCTCAGCACTAAAAGGTGGATCACTATAAGCGCATGTAGTGGAACTGGAAAAAGTGTACTTTGTTATCAATACGCTATCATGGCAAGAGAGACCATGGGAATGGTACCAGTTTGGATTGATTGTTTGGATTTAAAAAAGACCTATAAAGACATTGCAGCAGATAAATTGCTTATTCCAGAAACTTGGTGGTCACAAATAGAAGGGGAAGCAGTCGGAGAGTCATCATCATCATCATCATCCACAACTCTGGAGAAATTAATAAGAACTGTCAACATGACCATTCAAAACTTGTATCGTAGTCAAAATCATTTGATGATATTTGACAACTTTCCAAACGATATTGGTCAATTAGAGATGCTATTAAAGAACCTCCCCTCCAATGCTACAGCCATCATCAACTCACGTCACAACATATCACCAAATCCAAATGATATAATCAACATACCATTTGAATTGTCTGCCTATGACATTCAAACCTTTTTCGACTCAATCTTTCAACAATACTATACTCAAACAAAGCATAGATTCTTTACTCATATTTCTGTCAATAGTTTGGAAGCTGATCTTGTTAAATCAACAGTTCTAGTCACAAAAAGGTTCATGGATTATGCAACAAAAATATTTGCATGTCTTTTATTATTTCATGACAATACCGATAATAATAATAGCTACAACAATATTATCTCTAAAATCCTCGGTGTTCAAGACGACTCTAGAAAAGACAAGAATGATTTAACCCCTATTTTCAACACGATAAAGACAGATGTGGAGATGAAAAAAATATTTACAGAATCAAAAAATGGAACAGAAGCATTTGAAAGGTACTGTAAACAACTTGGAAACAAAGAACCATTTGGTCAATTTGTAGGTAATGATATTCTAGAATCTCTAGAGAAACCTGCCAAACAACTTTTAATGGCTGCAACTATGATTGATAGTTCATTTATCGAGTTGCCAACACTAGTGGGTTTTCAAGACTTGGAAGAGACCCAAATTAGCGTAGCGATGGAATCAATGGATACACTAGGTCCATGGTTTGCACAAATAATAGAACAACAAGATAGTGTAGGACTTTGTATAAAGGAATCTGTTGTACTTTTAGTTCTAAAAACAATTGACCAAAATACCAAAACACAATTAATTATTGATCTAACCAAACAATTGACAAGAATTGTTAATAACCATGGTAGCGATGATGATAATAATAATTTCAAACAAAATTCAAGGCACATTATTAAATTTTATCAAACTTTGCAAACAAATAATTATAGAATTTCCAACCCAACAATCGATTTATTTAATCATATTTCAAGTCAATTGGAACAATCAATGGAAACTAATCAAAATCAATTTAAATTAATTTGTCAATATGTAAAATCACAACAACCACCTGCAATACTATTACCACCAACACCTCAAGTAGCCTCAACCTCTGGCCCAGGCTACTACTCTATTTGTAATATTATGTAAATAAATCAATTAATTAATTATAACATCATCGATCCAATGTCTGACGTTGTTGGGTCAGAAAGCAAAAAAAAGATGTAGAAAGAGAGGTAATGATTACATGTGCATTCATTCTTCTGCTTCGGGCCAAACAAAAAATTTCATATGGGAGGTGATCTTCCCAAGTGAAATTTCATTGTGTCTTTAACAAAAGAGTAGAGATAAATAAATTAGAAGAATATGGCTGGAGAACAACATATCAGTAATGGAATGGGAGCCTTGGCTTTAATGGGTATGAATCATATGATATGATATGATAAATGATTGCTTTTACTAACCAAAACTTGATTGTTGATTCGTAGGAGGTGTCGCTGGTTATATGATGAAAGGATCTAAACCATCTTTAATTGGTGGTTCTGTCTTTTCTGCTTTATACTTTGGAACTAGTTATTTGATTGGTGAGAAGCCTGAGGTTGGTCACGGTGTTTGTGCTGGTAACTATTCATTCATTCATTCATCAATGTGATTATACAATAACATCATTCATTTCAATATACTATAGGTATCTCTGCTGCATTTGCAACTATCATGCTCAAGAGAGCTTATCAATCAAAGAAGGTTATGCCTGGTGGTATTGTAGGAAGTGCTGCTCTTCTTACCTGCGCATACAGTACTAAAAAGTTTTTAGACTATAAGAATGGTATCTAAATTTTTAATATAAAGAGGAACCAATCATATGATAAATGATAACACATACAAACTTGTACACAATATATCAGCCTGACCAGGAATAGAAATTATTTGGATTTTCTTTAAGAAGTTAATATTATTATCTGTTTTATTGTAATGTTATATTATATTATTATATTATATTATTATATTATTATATGTTTGATTTTCTTTATTATTTTTATTTTTCTAGAACCAAACATCTTGTAAATAACGACCAGATTTACCAAGATCATCAATATAAGATTGTGAAGCATTTTCATCACCACCACCATGTTCACGAATAATTTGTTGAAGAGTTTGTTGAACACTCTTGGCCATATTACGAGCATCACCACAAACATAGATGTAAGCACCTTGTTGTAGAGCCTCCCAAATCGATAGACTGTCTTCCAAGAGCTTGTGTTGGACATAGACCTTTTTGTCGATGGCTCTAGAGTAGGCAACACTTAAATCTCTAATGATACCTTCGCTCTTGTAAAGTTCTATTTCCTCCTTGTAGAGATAATCGACATCGGCACGACGACATCCAAAGTATACCTTGGTGTTGAGTGCTGGTTGATCGGCAGCTTCTGCAATCTCTACACTCTTTTGTTGTTGGAGTTTAAACTTGATTTCTTGAAGGAATCCTCTAAATGGAGCTAAACCAGTTCCTGGTCCAATCATAATAATTGGTGGACACTTTGTAAGTGATGAAGATGATTTTAATTGACTACTAATAACTGTATTGGTTGAAATGGTTGTTGTAGTTGTAGTAGTTGTGGTAGTGGTAGTTGTAGTAGTCTTTTTACTGCCACCAAAATATGGTGGTAATCTAAAATGTGATTCACGAACAAAGATTGGTACTTTGGAACCTGGAGCGAGCTTGGAGAGCCATGTTGAGCATACTCCATTGTGTAAACGTTTGGCACCGTTGACAAAGTTGACAACGACAGAGGTGATAGTGACACGACCAGGAGTGGCCGAGTGCGACGAAGAGATGGAATAGTAACGTGCGGGGATACGTGGCATTAACTCGAAAAAGTGAGCAATGGGTGGTTGGACGCCTGGGAACTGGACAAGGAGATCGACGACTGATCTAAACTCGTGCTTGATGTAGTTGTTGTACTCGTCGGTTGCTTCCTCGCTGGCGAGTTGAAGCAGACGCTTCTTTTCCTCTTCAACGGCAGTGTATTCGGCCAAGGCACGGATGATTGCCTTTCGGGGTGGGTTGGTAATGTCAAAACTCTCATGGAGAGCCTTTCGGATGGTGACGGGGCCAAACGAGGCCTCAACGACACGACCAGCCTTGTCGTGTGGCACGAGGGCAAAGATCTGCTCGCCATCAACGCCAAGACGTGTGATGAGTGCTTCTACAAGCTCCGTGTCGTTGACTGGGAACACACCGAGATGATCACCGGGTGTGTAAGAGAGTGAGGTACCGGAAATGTCAAGCTCGACATGTCTACACGAACGGTCCGATGCAACACCGTGCAACTCACGATTCTCAACGACGGTGGCGAGGTATGGGTTCTTCATCTCGTACAAGACGGTCTTGCCGTCCTTGTCGAGCTTTGGTTTGATGCGAGGTGGCACCACTTTGATGTATGGGTTGCTAATATCCTGTCCTTCGCCGTCGACGTTGACCATACGGAAACGTGGTACAAACTTGTCGTCCTCGGCAGACTTGAGTTCGTAGCCCAAAAATTCGCATACGCTTGGCCACATGTTTTTCTTCCAGTGGATGAAATCCTCCTCCAAGGTGGCGTCGTCGTCACCTTCTCCACGCTCCGACACTCTCTTTCCACCCAACTCTTCCATGCGACGGTCAATCACACGTGCCACTGCATTGTAGTGTTCGTAGGTCTTGTTGCCCAAGCCAAAGACGGTGAATGGCACGTTGCTCAAACTGGCTGGTTGACGGTCTTCGCTTGTCAACCACAAATAAAACTCCTTGGCATTGTCGGTAGGGTCACCCTCACCATGAGTAGCCACAATAAACATGACAAAGTATTCGCTTGATAGATCCTCTGGATCGTACAACTCCATATCGACAACATCAACTGGAATACCAATCTTTTTGGCTTCCTTTTCCAAAACACGTGAAAAATCTTCTGCAGTTCTAGTTTGTGTTCCAAAAAAGATTTTTAATGATTTCTATGTAAATGGAAAGTTAAAAGTAAAAGTAAATTAATATCCATATTGTCAATATTGAATCAATTTCGTCATTGTTTCAATTTCTTACCTCTTTTGATTTAAATGATTGTACTTCTGGTTTTTTGACTGGTTTGGTGACTACTGCTCTCTTTGGTGGTGGAGGTGGTGGTCTATTCATATACAAGTAGGTACAAACAATGATTGCAACCACTATGATGGTTGGTAAATATTCATTTACCAATTCTTCAATCATGTCCATCATCTCTTTTATATATATTGAATGTTGTTGTTATTATTGTTAAAAAAGGCGGGTTTGTAAAAAAAAAAAAATAATAAATAAACTTTGAAAATAATAATATTTAATTGCTAGAGAGAGATTTAAGTAAAGTAAAGAAATATAATTATTAATACATTATACATAAATATAAATAAAACTAACTATGATAGTATATGGATTGGAGTTTTAAAGTTTTTTAAAAAAATAAAATAAAACAACAAAAAGGTTGGTGTACAACTGAACCAATAAACAATACAATAATAATAAATAAGTTTAAAACGTTAAGTTACATTTTTTTGATCTTGAATATACGATTGGGACCAGCACCAAAAAACACACACAATTAATATTATTTATAATTAATTATAACTAACGATACATTACTACTACTAATACACTACTCTACTTGGTTGGTATTAAATAGTTTGGTTGTTGTTGATGGTTTGTTTCCCAAAAACATACATAAAAGATGATTAATTATAAAAAACAAACAAAAGTTTCAGATAGACAATAAATTGTGGCAATGTGTGTGTGTGAGTGGGATTTGTACAGATAGATATTTATCACACCAATCCAATCTATAATCTCTCTAATATTACCTCTCCGATATCATAAATAAAATAATAATAATAATAATTAACTGTTGGCCAATAATATTAATAATAATATGTTGTATGTATGTTTGGGATAATTATGTCGATTTATATTTATATTGGATGTTTGTTGTTGGTGTCGCGTGTATGTCAACCAAAAAAGCAACAACATAGATAGAGAGTTTTAGCATAGCTTATATGTATGTATAAATATGGATCGAAAGGGGAGGTAGTTGTTTTTGGCAGTGTGAGTTCCTCTCTCTCTCTCCAATGTAGGTTGCCTAGGTTGAGAAGCAGAGTAGAGTAGGTAGATTTATGTATATTTATAAATAGAGAGAAAGTTGATTCAATTTGGGGGGTAAAGTTTTGATTGATCCAATCTCCCTCTATCCAAAGTCGTGGTGGTGATGATCAAACATAAATTGATGTATATTTTTATCTGAATCATCCCCACTAACCCCCCACAACAACAACAACAACAACAACACACATTTTGGTGGTATGATGATGTTGATGTTCTGTATCTATCTGTTGTTGAACTGTCAGGCCGATGATGATGACGATGTTGATCAATCATTATTCCATCGTATTTTTATCTTGTTCTCTACCTCTTTGTGTGTGTGTGTTTGATGTCTTGAGAAGTGCATCTGAAATGTCATTCAATGTGAGAGTCGCCCAATATTTTTATTTTTTCTTTGTCTGATTCGCCTTGCTTGTTGTGATCATTGTATATTCTTGATATCTTCTTTTGTTACAAACAAAATATGCTCACCACAATAAAATAGATAGATAGATATACTATTACAATATAACTTACAATTTAAGAATTGAATATTTTGAAAAAGATAATAATAATAATAATGAAAAAGTAGAAGATGATGTGATGAAATTAAAAAGTATAACTAACTGTGTTGTTCTGTTATTATTCTATATATATCTCTCTTGTCACTTTCTCGACTTTCTTTCTCTTTGTAGTGTATAGTAAGTACTTGAACTGCTACACTTATTATTATTATCTTCTCGTTGCTCTCCTCTAAGAATCTGTGAAAGTATAAAGGATGAGCTCTGATTCATGTTGAACACCTCCTATGCAAAAAAAAAAAAAAAAAAAAAACAAAAAAAAACAAACCTTTCACGTGACGTTCAAGAAATCAGTTGGATCGTGAGTTGATTGGTCGGTTTGTAACCTTTTGGTCGACTGGGATGAAGTTGGAAATATCTATCGAGCCGATATGGCTGGTTAATGACCCGGCCTTTTATTTATTATTAAATTCATTTTCCAATTGGTTGGTAGGTAGTAATACAATATTGTTGTTTGTTGCTTTATAAAGCTTTTGTTTTGTTATAGTTTCTTCATAAATATATTTTTAGCAGCTCGAACTCTGAGTCTAAATATATTACTGTCTTTTAAATAGATTATAGTACCAATGAGTAATGCAATAAAGACGGCACCACCAACACTGGCACCAACTGCAATCTTCCAAACTTGAGAGTTGTCGTTATCATCTCCACAGTGTCCAGTATTTTCATTCTTTGGTGTTACCAAAGCACTGAAATCTGGATCAAGTAAACATGATGAACATTGGGGTACATGTATACCAATATAGGCAGTGTACAAATTACCATCTTGTCCTTGTTGTCCAACAATACGAGTTTGATTGATAAATTCATTCTTTGTAAATGTCTTTCTACCATTTGAATAGGAATAGGAAAGGAATCTACCATAGAATTGTGTTGATCCTTTGATTACTCGAAGATATGATTCAGTTGATGCTTCGTCGTCTGAGAATATTGGTATTTGAGTCTCTTGGCAATTCTCAACAAATGATTGTTGATCTGCATCCAATGTAGTTGTAAATACAATTCTAAGATGTGTAAGGAATGATTGGAAATTCCAATTGGTAACATTAACACCAATCTTGATTGAATTGGCTGATACATTTAATAAAGTGTCTCCAAACAAGACAGATCTTGAAATATTTGAAAATTCAATAGTTGTTTGAATCGTTACCAATGGTTGTAACGGTGATGGACTAAGAGTATAAACTAAACGATCAACAGATGTAGTACTATTGTCATATGAAACTGTCCAATTATTTGTGATCAATTGACTGACTATATTATTGTCACTATCAATCTCTTCAATTGATACCATTGAAAATTCAAATTTATAATCATCCAATGTTGTTGAATTATCCAATTGAAAAGTAGCAGTTGGTTGTGTTTCATTCTTTACAAATGTTACATTTGGTTCAACTAAAATTAAATAAATAAATAAATAAGTTAATATATACAATACAATAATAATATTATTATTATTATTATCAATTTAAAATTTACCTTTTAATTTACAATTATCTTGATAACCTTGTTGACATATACAAATTCCTTGGTCATTACATTCACCATGACCGTAGCAATTTTGTGTTTCATCAATACATTTTTGTTTTAGGTTGGTTGAAGGTGGGTATGGAATGAATACAAGGTTGTTGAGTACAGCACTCGATGAATCGACAGTAACCAATATAGAAAGGGGACCTGGAGTAATTAATTTTCTTGGATCGGCCGTGCAGAGGATATACGATGAATTCTTGGTCATTGAACCACTACATTGAATGGTTTGATTTAAAAGTATGTTTACAATGTTGGGAGAGTTTCCAAAATAACCAAATAGTTCTAATGTGGTGGTTGTAAAGTCGACAGTTGTCAACTGAGCAGATGACACGACTGGATAAGTGATAGAGGTGACTTTTGCATTTTGGATGGATTGTGTCATATAGGCATTTGTTACGATGAGTGTATAGTTACCATCGGGCAATGAATTCATTCGACAAATCACAGAAGTGGTACCAATCGATCGAATGGCACATGGTTGTCCATTAAACCTGATAGATTGTTGCACATTGGGATTGATATAATCAAACCACACCTTCACCTCATAGTATGGTGATTGAGGGGAATTGATAAATGTCGATTGAATATCCATTCCATACTTTACTTTAATGGTCGTGTCTACCACATCAAAAGTATAGGTGGTTCGTGGTGTCAATGGATTCAAAGCAAATGTAACAGATGTGAGTCCCAATACATTGTTGGTCATCAATAAATGGGAGTTTGGAACTATCGCTTGAATATTGTAATCTGGGTTTCCCCATCCAAGTAAACTACCTTGTATCTGAATAATCGCTCCAAGTTTAATTAAAGAGTTGTTTGTTGTAGTAAATGTTGGACCTAAAACAAATAAATAATAAAATAAAATATATTAATATTTATGGCAACATTCATTAAGTTATTCTAATTATTTAGATTTACTTACCACAAATGATTTGTGGAATGGGAGTATTGATTTTAATAATATTGGGATATACATCTTTAAAACATTTAAAGCAAGATGGAAAGATTGTAATACCAGTGTTTAAAAGTTCCAAACTTGCAAGTGAACAAAATGAATCTGGTAAAGCACCAGTCATCTCTGGATTATTATTCAAATTCAATTTCAATTTACCACCACCAGGTAATACATTTGTAAAAATTGATCCATTAATTGGTGATTTAATTTTTGAATTTTCTAAATTACTAAAAATAAATAAATATTAGATTATATATATATATGATTTGATGATTTCTTCTTCTTCTTTTAATATTTACAATGACTGCAAGCCTGCTGGTAAAATCACAGATGGGAATGAATTTAAATTATTATTCACAAAATTAAGGTTTCTGAGTGCAGGAGGCCAACTGGATATCAATGGAAAATCAAATTTACCATTTGATGAGTATGTTCTTAAATATAAAAGAATATATATTAGTAAATTAACAATGAATGGGATAAATAGTTTTGATAATAAATAATTAATAATTACATGTTTGCCAATTTTGTATATGCGTTTGTGGCGATTGGATTAATATATGCCCTTGGTCCAACTATTTCTCTACAATAATTAATTAATAAAGAAGGAGTTGAGAATGATTAATAACTACCTATAGGTTGTACTATTCTTTCTTTTGGATTATGTAACTTACATTGATTGTAAAAGTGCTGGAGAAAAATCAACAAAACTTAATTCTGCATTATAGGATTCAATTCGACTATACGTAATAAATATAAATAAATAATAATAATAAATAATAATTATTATATAATTGTACATTTTTTTTGTTATAATCCGGATTAACATACATATTTTGATTTGGAGCAGGAGAATTCCAAGTAACGGTATAGGTGTTTTGTACAGAAGTATTCAATGAGAGATCGAAATTGGTCAATAGAGGAAATGAATTTACGTCAAATAAAAGGGTTATATTGGCTACAGTTGGGTTGATTCGAAGTGTCAGATTTTTCAATTGGACAAGTTGAATATAACTATCGAGGTAAATATTGGATAGTGGTGACACTGATACCAATGGTTTGGTAATAACAATAGTCTCCAAATTTGATTGATTAAAGAATCCAGGAATAGATGTCAAATATGAATTATTTAAAAGGTATCTAAATGATATTTAAATAAATATAAATATAATAATAATTATCTTTTTTAATACTAATAATCTTACAATTCTGTTAGTTTTGGACAATTGATTGGAAAGTCAGATGGTACTAATACCAATGATGGATCATTTTCAATTCTTTAAATAATAATAATAATAATTAGTATAATATTCTATCAAATATATAGGGATACATACACTAAACGAGTCAAGTTAGGCATATTTTTGACACGACCAATAAATAATTGAGCGTCAGTGGTAGCAGCCACTTGATCAGCTGTTCTATACTCTAATATCTTCAAATAAGGTAGATTGAATTGTGCCACATTAGAATCAGGTAAACCAATATTAACATATGTCGTTACATTGATGTATCTATATCGATAGGTAGATGAATATTAATTAGTTATTCAGATATAAGTAAGATCCTTTTTAAAAAGAGCCAAGAACACTTACAATTCAGTAAAATGAAGTACATTGTTCTCATTGGTACATTTAACGTATGGTTTAGCATTACATAGTGTTGCATCAAGTGGTAGTAGATTATTACCAACTTGTTGAATCATCCATTTTACAGAGTCGACTATGATAGTAGTAATGATTGATTGATAAGTATGTAAGTATTATTATTGTAATAGATCTCTCTATCTTTTGATTATACTTACGTTCTTCTTGAGGTATTTGTTGACTACTGACATGACTAATGTTAAAGTTACACACCAACACAGCAACTACAATCGCTAAAAATGATACTCTCTTGTTGAAGGTCATTTTATTTTATTTTGTTTGTACTAGTATGTATCTGTGTCTTGTACTTTTGAATATTTCATATTCATTGTATCAACCAACTGGTCATGCACCTAGGCTAGATTATTATTTATAAATATCTTGATAGTATTTGGACGATTTGAAATTTCCGAATACTATCAAGATATTTATAAATACTAATCTTGCAAGGGTTTTTCGCAGAAGGTTCAAAAGGACAGAGAAATATGACTAGTGGTCGACCAATAGTTTAAACCCTATACCATCATCATCATCACAAGTTACTTAATGAAGAGTTATCAGTTTATAGTATTGGTATTTGTATTGTTACTTCTTCTTGCACCATTCAATTTGAAAGAGTGTAATGCTCAAGATGAATATGCAATTCACCCAGATGAAGGTATGTAGAACATGTTCATTGTTTACTTATTCATCCCTCTCTCTTCCTCTCTTTCTCTCTATATTAAAGTTGATAGTTTGGAATGGATTATTAAACAGTATGTGATACCTTGGAAGATCAACAAGACGAGCAATGTTTTAACTGATATGGAGGATGTCAAATATACCGATTATGTTACTGTCAACACTAATGGCCAATTAACTCGTTTGTAAGTAGATACATCAAACGAACAAACTACTAGACTAACTATTATGTTTCTAGAAAAACACCATATTATGAGGAATATTTTGATGATGATGGACCACCTGACAAGAACCTTCCTTTTCTAAATTTTACGGCACTAGAAGCTCTCGATTTACAATCAATACCAAGAGATGGTAGTATCAACTTTATGGAGCTGACTAAAGCTATGCCTAATCTTTTTCGTCTAACATCAGCGATTGAAGTCGATTCTTATCCAGAGGGATTCCCATACTCTAAAAAAATAAGAAATTTGTATGTTGCGATGACTGTGGTTGATTATTTATTCATTTATTTATTTACACTTTCTTTCTTATCTTAAAGTCAAATGCTTTCTCAAAATGTAGTAACCTATCCAAAGAATTTTAATTTATTGTATTGGCCATCTTTAAATCGATTGTATGTACCTCCCCCAAATAAATAATTGAATGAGAATTAATATTTTTTAATATTCTAGAATAATATTTAGGGTCAGCGAACCTGTACCAATAGGATTCGGACATGGAATGGGAGGATCGATAGTGATTGGTAAATTGAAAACATACTTTCCATACCCATTTACATTGTCAGATTCAATGTGTGGATTTGATTCGGTCGTATCGCCTTCGACTACTGATTTTGATAATCCTAGGTATGCTGGCAGTTGCTTTAGATGTTTTTATCGTGACTACACACCATTTACAAGACAATTAGGGCCACCCCCAGAACCAACCGGTGAAGGTCCATATATCAATGATTATATCAGAGAATCAAATTGTGGTATGTAATCTAAATCAAGAAGAATATTCTTGATCTATTTATTTATTTATTTTATTTATTATTTTTTATTTATTTATTTATTTTAGAGGTAACAATTACATCAGTAAGATATAATGGTAATAGTATAACAGTTTATGGAAATAATATAATTGGAGGTGCTAAAAGAGGTGGAGATACATTGAAACCATTTCAGACTCGGTTTGGTACAATCACACCTATTAAACAAAATAGTATATTCAAATACGATCGAAATTCTTCTTTAAATAGTCCAGATGAAGATGTACCTATTGGATACTCAACGTTGTTTAAAAGTTTTGTTGTAGTCAAAATATCATTTACACCTATTAATATGGGAGATGTTCAAGCGATCAATCAAGTTCCTTTTGGTATAAAGGTTTCAATTGTATTAAATTATAATCACAATATCCTTCATACAATGAGTATCAATGGTGCTCCTTGTAAATGGTTTGATAAAGTATACAATTCATCTCTTGATAGTTTATCATGCCTCTTTCCTCTTTCCATTATAAATAATGTCACACCTTTAATATACAGTATATCCAATATGAGACGACATGAAAATAGAGTATTTAATTTTATTCAACGTAATACAAATATAAATATAAATAATTAATTATTTTTTAATTAATAACTTTTAATTTTTTTTTTTTAGAATATCCAATTGCAAATAATAGTGAAATAATTCAAATATTGGTTTACAATAATGAAACCATTAATAGTAGTAATAATAGTAATAATAATATTGGAAATTATTCAATCTTGTTGACAGGTTATTTTGGTAATATTTCAAATACAACGATTGCAAAGGTAGAGATTGATTCAGTTCCATGTATAGTTTTAATGATCAACTCTACTACAATAGAATGTAATATGACGATTGATTCTAATCATTACAACAATCAAGATCTTGGAGTACAACAAGTTGAAACATATATAGAAATTGATAGTCATTCATTATCATCAACCAACATTATTTATTTTAATATTTCAAATCACCAAATTATTCCTTCCTCTTCATCTTCTTCCAACAATGACAACTATAACGACGACGACTATCAATCTAAAACCAAAATTTATATTATTGTTTCAGTTGTTGGAGCTGTTATACTTTGTACCACCTTTTTCATTGTTCGAAAGGTTGCTATAAATCCTAAAACAACAAAACAAGTTAAACTAAGACTTGGAAAATTAAAAAAGTAATATGTTACAAAATTTATTTATAAATATATATGACAGGATAGGAGGTTCACCTCTCCTATAGATTAATCGAGTTCGACACCTTTTTTCTTTCTCATCATAATGCTTTTAGCAGCATTGACTCTAATTCTAAATGAATTACTGTCTTTTAAAAATAGAACAGTTGCAATAACCAATGCAATAAAGACGGCACCACCAACACTGGCACCAACCGCAATTTTCCAAACCATAGAATTGTCTTCTTCATCGCATTGTCCAGTATTTTCTTTCTTTGGTGAAACCAAAGCACTGAAATCAGGATCGAGTAAACATGATGAACATTGAGGTACATGTATACCAATGTAGGCTGTGTACAAGTTACCATCTTGTTCTTGTCCAACAATACGAGTTTGGTTGATAAATTCATTCTTTGTAAATGTCTTTCTACCATTTGAATAGGAATAAGAAAGGAATCTGCCATAGAATTGTGTTGATCCTTTGATTACTCTAAGATATGATTCGGTTGATGCTTCGTCGTCTGAGAAAATTGGTATTTGTGTCTCTTGACAATTCTCGACAAATGATTGTTGATCTGCATCCAATGTCGTTGAAAATACGATTCTAAGATGTGTAAGGAATGATTGGAAATTCCAATTGGTAACATTGACACCAATCTTGATTGAATTGGCTGATACATTTAATAAAGTGTCTCCAAACAAGACGGATCTTGAAATATTTGAAAATTCTATGGTTGTTTGAATCGTGACCGATGGTTGTAATAATGATGGACTAAGTGTATAAACTAATCTATCAACAGATGTAGTACTATTGTCATATGAAACTGTCCAATTATTTGTGATTAATTGACTAACAATATTATTGTCACTATCAATCTCTTCAATTGATACCATTGAAAATTCAAATTTATAATCATCATTCAATTGAAAAGTAGCAGTTGGTTGTGTTTCATTCTTTACAAATGTTACATTTGGTTCAACTAAATTAATTAAATATAAATAAATAAGTTAATATAAATAATCTTTCAATAATATTATTATTATTTTAATTTTACCTTTTAATTTACAATTATCTTGATAACCTTGTTGACAAATACAAATACCTTGATCATTACATTCACCATGACCATAACAATTTTGTGTTTCATCAATACATTTTTGTTTTAAGTTGATTGATGGCGGATATTGAATGTAGAGGAGATTGTTGAGGATGACATTTGAAGAGTCGACAGTCACTGATAAAGAAATGGGTCCTGGTGTCTGGAATTTAGTTGGATCAATGGTACATGAAAGATACGATGAATTGATATGGTATGAGTTACACCCGATCGTTTGGTTAAAGCTAATTTCGGCAAGTGCAGGCGTTTCCCCAAAATAACCAAAAAGTTCCAATTGAGAGGCATTGGTTGAGAGTTGTGCAGACGAGACAACTGGATAATTGTAAGGGGCACCTATGGCCAATTTAAGATTCTTGCCCGTAATTGCATATGGGTTTTGTATATACACCATATAGGTTCCTGCATCTATTTTAGTGAATATTTGGCAAGATACCTGGGTATAGGTAACACGAACATTGATACAATCGATGGTAGAGGGTATCACACCAAATTTAACAACGTGTGTGAGACTTGGATTGACATAGTCCATTGAAATGTTGATGGCCAAATAGGCAGGCGATGGTGACCCGATATACTTGGAGCTGATATCAACTTCACCATTGCTGATGATGAATTGAACGGTAGCATCAACTATACTGATTGTATGTACATTGGAGACTGACGACGATGGATTTAAATCAAATGTCAGCGATGTAGAGTTAAGAGGAATGTTGAAAAAGGATATTCTCTTGTTTGGAATGACTGCCAAAACATTATCTAATGGATTACCCCATCCAAGGTTTTGTCCACTTTGATTTTCAAGCAATCCATTTGCTGCATAAAATGGTTCTGGATTATCAAATGTACTTGCTAAATAATAATAAATATAAATATAGAATATTAGTATAATTCTAGTAAATAATTCATTCATTTCTTTTATGTATACATACAACAAATAAAATTCTGTGGAATTTGTAAGTCCATTTGGATAATTGTTGGATTATCAGAATAACAGTAAAAACAATCGGGTACTTGATTAAAGCCTGTGTTTTTAATTTGAAGTGATCGAAGTGAACATAAGTCTGGGGGTACCATTCCAACTAGGTTTTCGTTATTATTTAACATTAAATTAAACTCTCCATTTTTTAAAACATTTGTAAATACATTGACTGGTAAAGATCCTGTAAGTTTTGAATCATCAATATTTCTATAAAAAAAATAAATAAAAAATAATAAGTTAATGAGAGAAAGGATAAAAATAGTATTATTATTATTATTTAATGAATAGTTACAAGGTAGATAATGTGCTTGGGAGTATGGTATTTTGGAAAAATAGTACAAGATCATTTGATCGAAATTCCAATATTGAAAGTGAAGGTGGATAAAATCCACTTCCAAACGGCATATCATTTAATGAATTTGATTCATAAGTTCTGTTAAATATAATATAATAATCATAATAGTTAGTATCTATACTTGTAAGTAACTATTAAAATAATAATAATAATAATTACAAATTTTTTAAATTGTTATATTCATTCATATTATCAGGTGCAAGGGTTGCACTACCAATTAGTTTCCTATAAATAAACATAATTTATAATTATTTAATTAATATTGTATACCATTATTATCATCATTATTATTTTTAAAAAAGTACTTACAAATTAACAATAGAATCTTTTGGTTTTGGTCCATCCATAACCATTATTAAACTTCCTTGTCTAGATTCAAGTATACTTTTGAGATGATTTAAATAAATATTAATATATACCATATTATTCATTATTATTAATACATTACACTTGATCCATTTTTCTAATCACTTTAAAATTCAATGAATAAGCTGCAGTTGAATTTAAAGCAAAATCCCTATAACAAACAAATTAGTTTCAGAGAATAATGCAGATACTTAATTAAATGTATGTACGTACAAATAAATTAAATTTGGAGTTGTGTCACTGTTCAAATAGGCGCTACTACTTGCCGTGGGACTAACAGTGACTACCAATTTCTTTAGTTTTGGTAATCGATGGTATTGACCAATCGGAATATCTTGCAATACATTTTGTTCAACCGTTCGGATATAAATGGTTTCCAATGATGTATTATTGAAAAATGATGATCCTACTAAACGTAGTTTTTTGTTTTCAACCAAAAATCTAATAATTAATTGAAATATTAATAACCAATCAATATTATTGTATTATTATTACTATTGTTGTTGTTGTTGATGATAATACTAACATTTCTCTAAGACTTGGTAATAATTTTGGAAAATCATTTGGGATTGATTGCATGGCAACATCACCTTGAATTCTAAATGAATAGAATATATTAGTATTGGAATGGTATTAGAATATAGCTTCTATATTATAACATACGTTAATCTAACCAAAGCAGGTAAAGTATTAACTCTATGAATCAATGCATTCAAGTTATTTGATGAATCAAATACTTGGTTGGCACGACTCACCAATACCAAACTTTGAAGATACGGCAGTTCAAATTGCTGTAAATTGAAATTTGGTTGTCCAACATTATTATACACCTCTACATAAATAGATCTATTTAATGTGTTTTTGTTAGTAATGATTGTTTAAACATATATGTATATGTATCTATATATCTACATTGATGTAATGTGAAGTTCACCTGTAATGGTTGAACATTGAATATAAGTTGTTTGTTGACACAGTTCAGTACCAACTTGTGGAATAGTAGATCCAAGGTATTTAATCATATAATAAACAGAATCAACTATAGTAATATAAAGTATACATTAGTAATGATTCATGAATGATCATTGTAGTTATAGTTGTTTATGTTGTACATACTTTCTGCAGGTGGTAATCCTTGGCACTCTACAACAGGTGTATAAAAACAAGCCAATAATGTAGCTATTAATAATACACAGTGTAGATATCCTTTCATCTCTTTTAATATATCTATCTATCTAAGCCAATGATGAATGTCTGTATACTTTTTAAAGGTTATTTATCAATGGATCAAACACCCACCATTGCAAGCGAAAGAATGATTGAAAGATCGTCGCATGGTGTGGACAGAACAGAACATCATTCCGTTGCCAGATATCTTTAGATAAATATATCTAAATATCTATTTTTTGAAAATAAGGTGTCCTTGCTCTCGGCTTGAATTTTGTGGAATTTTTTTTTGTACTTAAAATAAATATTTTTTTAATTTAATAACTAGTTCAACAAAAAACAACTAATTATATTTATTTATTTATATTTCTATTTAATTTTGAATATAAATCCATTGATTATTAATTTGTTGAAAATGAGTTGGTTTCCAATCTTTTTGTTGGGGGAGTTTAGCTTTTTCTTTTTGATCGATTTTACTCTTTTCTTTGTTGACATTTTTTGGGTTGCCTGCTGCCACTGCTTCAAAGACTGGGTTCCATATTCTGTTGGAATCATTTTCAGGGAGGTTGGGTGGGAGGATGAGTTGGCCGGGTGTGAGTGCCGGTCGCTGGAGGAAAGTTGTAAAGTCTTTGGACGAGTGAGTCGAGTTGATCAAGAGTTCCTGGTCCCAGGTACCCTTGATTTTCTGGAGTTTCTCGGTACCTTTGTAGAGTGTTGCCTCGACTGCATTGTACGACCCAAACAAAAGTGGTTTCTCGAGCAGAGTAGTCTTGACACGCAGGTCATTCTTGTTGTTGGTCAGTTCAGTGTCACCGAAAAACTCTGCAAACTGACGAAACACACGTATGGCCATCGGTGCCAACGAACATGTATACACCTCGTTGAAACGATCAAGTTTGATAAGAGTATCACCATCATTGATCAGTTTAACATAGGTACCCATAAAAATACACTTAAACTCTGTGGTACTGGTCACAGTGATACGTGATTCTTTGTGGTACGATATGTGGCAGCTGATGGCCGGTTGAATCTTTTCGGAAAAGAAGTGGACTTCAGTGGGGTTACCGTCGACGCCAAATTGGCGATGACCCTGGTACGTCTCACCGAGGATAGGGTTGAGTGGTCGTTTAGTAGTCTCCTCTGGCAAATGTAAACAACTCATTACGAATCTGTACACTTGCAACATACGTTCCTTTTCATCGTCGATTTCATTTGCTTTGATGAGTAGGTCGAAATGAGCAGTTGTTGTCTCATTGCAGTATGTCAAGAAACTCTTGGGTAACACCAATGCGCCCGGACATGGTGCATCGGTAATATCAGAGCCTATCTTTGCCTTTTTCAAGACCGATGTAATCAATGAAAATGTTGATTGATTATTCTCTTCATCTGCCATTTCAACTTCCGATGTTGTTATTCCTACTTGCTCTTCTGACATTTTCTATAGAATGTAGTATAGTATATTTATAAGGTATAATAATAACAAATACAGTTTGGGTTATCTATTTATCTTTATCTCTATTATTCAATATTATTGAATTATGAATGTATGTATGTTTATCCATTTAATTTATCATCCACCCCCTTCAAAAAAGGTTGATACAATTAAATTATTATTATTTTTATTTTTGAGAGAGGGTGTTGTGTGGTTGTTTAACCACATTGTTGTGATCATCACCAATCACCACCACATTATTATAATTGGAAACTAGGTAGCATATGTGCACACCACCCACACATAGTATTCCAACAAATCGGATGACATTTAATGTTATTGGCTATTTTTTGATGATGAGATCACATGTGAGTTGAGTAAGATTTTTTAAAAGTTGATTAAAGATAGATGTAAGATGTGAAGTGAAGAGAAGTTGTTTGTTGATTTATTAATGTAGTTGGTTGTTGTTTTTGTTGTTGGTGTTGTCTTGTTTAAATGGATTTTTGGAAATGGATTGGTTTCCATACTTGTCCACTTGTCAACATCTCTTTTGCTTTTCTTCTTTGGTGTTCTTTGTCTTTTCTTTTGATATGTTTTTTGCAATTCCAGTTTTAGCAGCATTAAACAGATTTCTCCAAACACGATCTGAATCACTTTCTAAGTCGGTCAATAGGTGGTTTGTTGATTACTACATTTTCTGTTCCTCCATCTCCTTCTCCTTTACTCATAAATAAAGAGTATACATTATTTTGATTATTATTAATTAATAAATGACCACTCCAACATCCTTTAATTTTGTTTAATTTGACCACGCCAGACGATAGCTTCGATACAGTCACATGCACCATAGATGAGTGGTTTATCCAATTAAGTTGTTTCGATTCGATAGTCGTCTCAATCATTATGTAATGTTGTCTTGCCAGTACTATGAGAATTGACGAAATAAACGTATTGCAACAGGTGCAATATTTGATCTGTACACTTGATCGTATCGATCAAATCGAATACACAAATCACCTTCAAATGCAAGTCTAACAAAAGTACCCATAAAAGTACTCCTCACAGTCAAACTTGCATTCCCACTAATTCCAACATCCCTATTATAAATTATAGGTACATTTATTCCAACTATGTTAGTAATCTAATCCAATAATAATACTATATTATATTATACATACGAGGATGATGATTTACTTGTTCAGCAAAAAAGAATACACGGTGGGCTGCACATGATCCTTCTTCTTGATGCTGATGATAGTTATGATAGTCTACATAACCTTGAAAGGTTTCACCTAGGATTGGATTACGAGGTTTCTTGGTAGCACCATTGAATTGGATTAGATTGGAGATGAGGTAGCAATATACTCGTAACATTCGTTCTTTTGGACTGTCGGTATCGTTGGCTTGAATCAACATGTCGAAATGAGAAGCATAGCATTCTGAAATGATGGTCAAGAATGACTTGGCGAGTACTAAAGAACTAGGGAATGCTATCGATGTTAGATCAGCTCCATAACTAATCTTTTTAATCAACTGACATGGTCGATGTATTTGAATTCTCTTGTTCAACATCCATTTCATTCATTCAAGTTTAAGAATAACTAGATATCAATATTGTATTATAATATATAATATATATATAAGAGGGCCGCCCTCTTCAAAATCTTCCATATTTTTCATTGTTAAACACCACACACAATATTAAATGGATCGTGTTCATTCTAGCGAAAATCATTTATCTCTATCAATCATGTTTATCGGAACTTGTAGCTTCGATGATCATTCTAGCTACACTAGGTATGTATTATTTTGTCTGCTTGTATTCTATACTTCTTACAGAGCAAGGTGTAGAGAAGAGAAGTATGGTGAAAGCTGTGTGTGAATCTATCAATCCCACTCTCACCCCAAACCTTTACTTTTTGATAATCATCGTCGACAGTAATGCTACCCTGCCATACCCCCCAAAAACACTAATCACCTCTTCATTCTACTTATATACACTCCCTCTCTTTTACTCTTTTCTTTTTAGTGTACAATGATCAATTATTCACACTCACTCTGATCATTCATATGCATGTGATATTACAGAGTGCCATGTATCAGTTTATCTATTTATACACTTTGGATGGAACTAACTGTGAGATAAATGAATGAATGAATGAATGAATGAATGAATGAATTGATCAATGCAATCATCATAACAGACAACTATGTTGATTGATTATGATTCTTTTATGAAACCAAAAAAGCAAAAAGAAAGGATTAAATTATTTATTCATATACTCTAGAGTCAAATTTAGAAAAGATTAATAATATAAGAGTCTGGAAGATCACCTAAAATGATTAGGATCATTTCACTCATTTTAGTATTATTTATATCAACTAGTTATGGTATGTTAAAGATCTAAATAAGTTGTTAATATATTTAACACTTGTTTTATTTATAGCTGGATGGGGATTTGGTGATTTATTTGGTTGGGGTAGACAAGAAGATGAAATACAGGTAATTAGACCAATAAGAGAACACAAGAATGTATTTTGCCAATTACGAGACTCTTTAATTGGATGTGAAAGAGACAAGGAGTGTCAATGGGTACCATTGAAATCATGTTGTTCGAGTTGTGCGACAAAAGGTGTTTGTGTCAACATTCATCATGTCAATCGCAGTTGTCCACATGAACCAAAAAGTGTTTGTGTCACTGACCTTGTTCGTGATAGACAAGCCTTTCAATTGGTATCCACTAACCCTATAGACCTCGAGCCATACGGTCTAACAGAGGTCGTTCCAAGTAAAATGTCATGTTGCGATTTGAAATGTGAATCTCAAGGAAAGATTTGTGGACTTGGACAAACCACTAAATGTCTTGATCCCACCAACCCATGTTGTCGTATGTCGGCAGTCTGTATCGACGATCCAAAATACACAACCATCGCATCGACCGTCGCAAGTACCACTTGTTCATCAATAGGTACTACCACTGCAACTACAACTGCTTCAACCGTTGCATCTACAACTGAAGCTGAAACTATGTTCTCATCGATTGCAGTCACTACAATTGGTCAAGTTTCAACTGCATCGACCACTGCATTTATTACAAGTAAATATATTCTATCTATATCTTAAAAAAACTATTAATTAATTAATTATTTTTTAGATGTGCAATCAACTATTGCTAGTACTGTAGCATCTACAACCGCATCGACTATTGTTTCTACCATTGGGTTGATTGATACTGGTTATTCTATTGGCATTGTCACCACCACTGCTTCAACTATTGCCAGTACAACAGGTAAATAATAATATTTTCAGCTTAGTAAAATAATAATATTAATATTTATCCTTTTATTTTATTTTGATGCTACTGTAGCATCAACGACTGGATCTACAATTGCTTCAACTACTGCCAGTACAACCGCATCAACCACTGCAACAACTACTGCTAGTACAACAGGTAATATAAATCATTTAAATAATCCTTAAAGGCATAGACCTAACATATTTTTGATCACAATTTAGCTAGAACAACTTCCGCTGCCACTGCGTCAGCCACCACAACATCAACTCCAACTACTACCACTGCTACCACCACCACTGCAGCCACAACAACGTCAACTCCAACTACTACCACGGCACCAGCCACAACAACATCAACTCCAACTACTACCACTACTACCACGGCACCAGCCACAACAACGTCAACTCCAACTACTACCACGGCACCAGCCACAACAACATCAACTCCAACTACTACCACTACTACCACGGCACCAGCCACAACAACGTCAACTCCAACTACTACCACCACCACTGCATTCATTACAACGTCAACTCCAACTACAACAACGACTACAACTACTACCACGGCACCAGCCACAACAACGTCAACTCCAACTACTACCACGGCACCAGCCACAACAACATCAACTCCAACTACTACCACTACTACCACGGCACCAGCCACAACAACGTCAACTCCCACGGCACCAGCCACAACAACATCGACTCCAACTACTACCACTGCTACCACCACCACTGCAGCCACAACAACATCAACTCCAACTACTACTACAACAACAGGATCAATCCCATCAACCAGTGCTAGTACCACTGCTACCACGGCACCAGCCACAACCACATCCACTCCAACTACAACAGCTTCTACTACAGCTACTACCCTTGCCTCAACGATTGCTACTGGTAACAATGGTATTGTAACTACTACAGCTACTACAACAGCATCTACCACAGCTACTACCCTTGCCTCAACGATTGCTACTGGTAACAATGGTATTGTAACTACTACAGCTACTACAACAGCTACGACCCTAGCTACGACTATTGCCGATTTATCATGTATGTATACTCGAGAGAGAGAATGACATTGTCCCAATGGCAATTTAATTATTTAATTATTTATACTTTTTTAAATATTTATTTACTCATTTAAAGCCGGTATACCTCTTACAACTTTGTATTTAACGACTGATTTTATTGATACTACAATTGGAAATGGTGTTACGATTTGTAAGTACCACAATATGATTGATTTAAAAATGTTATAATACACTAATAGATATATGTTGGATTATATTTTTAGCCTCGACGATAACAACAACGGCAACGACCACTGCAACAAGTATAGCCTCTACAACAGTTACAACATCTCCACCATCAACTACGGCTGCGCCAACAACTACTACTGCACCAACCACTGGAACTGCAAGTGCTACGACAACTGGTGGTACTACAAGTGTAAGTGCATCAACTACAGCTAGTACAATTGCCACAACAATAGCTTCAACATCTGCTACGACTACTGCTTCAACCACGGCTACTACAGCGACTACAACTGCTAGTACTACCGCCTCTACTATTGCTACGACTATTGCATCAACCTCTGCTACAACAACAGCTTCAACAACAACAACAACTGGTGCAACTACAACTGGTGCAACTACAGCAAGTGCAACTACTACAGCCAGTACTACAGCGACGACTGCTACCACAACAACTGGTGTCACTACAACTGGTGCAACTACAGCAAGTGCAACTACTACAGCAACAACTACAGCAACAACTACAGCAGTCAGTACAACAGGAGTAACAACTGGTAATACCAATTCATCCAATTTCTGTGGATCTCAAACAACTGAAGGTGATTGTAATGGTTACAATCCAATGTGTGAATGGCTTAATTTCCCATGTTGTTGTGGATACACTATTGATGTTTGTGTCTACAATCCACAGTATGAAACCGATCCGATTTGTCGTACTGATCTTCATTGTGAAATCGATCCACGAACCAATCAAATTTGTGAATTCTGGACCCATTGTACTCCAGGTTGGGAGATTTACGAGATCCCTAGAAAGACATGTGCCGAACTAGGATGTGAAGCTCAAGGATTAATCTGTGAATGGAGACAGACAGTTCCTTGTCTTGGTACAAGATGTTGCTCTCAACATCCAGTCTGTGTTGATGACTATGGCGGACCTATTATCACTGAATATGGTGATGATATGGATAAATACAAGCCATATGCCGACACGACCACTGGTGCTCGCGATCGGTCTGGCCATGTCGATCCAACCCCCTTCCCAATTGCTCCACGGGACTATCTCATGCCCGTTCTCGATGAAATACCATGCGAGCAACTATTCACACAGTCAAGTTGCGAATTCAAGAGACCACTTTGTGAATGGCAGACGTATCAAGGTTGTTGCGGCATCGAATCACGATCAGTGTGTGTCCATAACCCAGACCCATGGAAATATTGCTCCAATACAACTAGTTGTATGAAGTATAGTGCTACTGGACAGATCTTCGAGATAGATTCTGGAAACTGTCGTCCACAAACGGGTTGGGAGGAATTCACTCCATTTGTTGGTAACTGTAGTTCGCTTGAATGCGATAAATTGGGGATGCGATGTGTACAAACTCTGGTCACTGATTGTTCTGGGACTTCGTGTTGTCAACCATCACCTATTTGTGCACCATACGACAATACCAAATCCATCTGTGAAATAGAGTCTGGCATCAGTATCAATCATCATCATGACAATCATCTCAAACCTCCTTACCATGATCCCAACCACCATGATAACCATCATTATGGACATATCTGTCACCAAGAACATACATGTGAACATGTCCTATGTCCAAAGAACACAGCCTGTCATCATATTGGAGGTCACTCTACCTGTGTCCCAATCAAACCACATCACGTTGATGATATTTGTTCAAAGGTTTATTGTCCAACCGGCACCAATTGTCATCTCACAGAAGATGGATATCCAATATGTCTCGACTATGACAAGGAACTTGATCACCATCACCACACCTCCACAGCATGTGATCCAACATGTCCAAATAATATGAATTGTATCATTGTAAATAACAAACCTCAATGTATATTTAAATTTACCTAAAATCAAACAAACAAACAAGCACCAATCAAAAATAATAATAATAATAATTCCGCTGATTTTTTTTCTATTATAAATCTAATCTAAAAGTAATAAAACAAAAGTAAAAAATATTAAATCTTAATTCTTTTTTACTCATTCTAAATACTCGTGATTAGTGATTTTTATATCCTATTCCCTTTAAATTTGAAATAGAAATGACAAGTAAATTTATATTTGGTTCTGTCCAAGCATAGTACACTACTATTACTCTTCTTTTTCTTTTTTATAAAGATTCACCTAAAAAATTCATAGAGGAGGTAATAAATGTCCTCAAGGATACCTGCAGAGTTGGACTACCACGGAATATGGTCTGTTGATCAAATCAGTATAATTTATTTTGATGGAGAATACAAAAAATCTAAAGATGAAATATATGAAGGTCTGAAATTTTGGAATACCTGAAATCTATTGCCACACCAAGTATGTATTTCATGAAATAAATCGAAGATCTTCTATATTAGAAAGAATTCTATTGAAATTTAGATACAAACCTCCAACCCTCAAAGACACAAACAATAAGAAAATAAGGAGAACAAAATGATATTGACCATTTGATATCCACGTTTCGGAATCCAAAAACAATTTGTACAGGTAGAAAAACAATTTGAAAGGGTAGGAAAAAGATTAGAGAAGCAAGAGGATCTTATTCTTAGTGTACGTATCAAACAAGGGTTCTAGTAGAATGGTGCAAAATAATAGTATAATTTTTTGTAAAAATAAATAATTGATTTATTGACAATATATAAAAGAGGTTTCATTGATATTAGTTCCAAAAGGAGGAGTGACCAATATCAAGTCATTATAATTCATTGTTGACAATAATCCAATCCATCTATTCCATCTATTCTTTTAATAAAAATCTTTCTATTCAAATATGAATTGCGCTGCTTTGCATTCATTCTATTGAATTAAAATTATTACTTGTATTATTATTATACTCAAGAGAGATAGGTAATAATACTGGGAAATGATGTTTAACAAAAAATTAATTATAATTATTTTGAAAATATAAATATTTGGTTTTGGTTTGGTATTGGTTTGATTTGATTTGTTTTGTTTTGTTGTCTACTATTTAAATGATTGTTGTTGTTATTTTTTGGTTTGGGTAAATATTTTTTTCCAATTTGATTTACCCATATACTACTATTATTGATTTCAATATATATATTGGATGATCCATTCTTTTTTTTTAAAAATTATTATTTGGTAAAACATTAATAATATTTAAATTATCTACGAGATAGGAGTAATTTTCAGATTGAGGTTTATCACTTGCTTTAACCTTGCCGATGATCCAAGCTGGTTGTTTATCGATTTCTTGCATGTCGTCGATAAATGCCTGAGCCTTGTCGGCAGGCAAGGCAACCAACAGACCACCACTCGTCTCTGCACTCATACCCTTGAGGAGGTTGTAGTTGTAGTTTAGAGTGGCGTCAATCTCTACCATGCCTTGCATGATTGGCAACGTGTCAATTTCAAAGTAGACTGCTGCGTTTTGGTTCTTGGCCAAATTCATCGAGTGTCCCAACAGACCGAATCCAGTGACATCGGTACATGCGTGTGCACCGTGTTTCATCATCATTCTTGCACCGGTTCTGTTGAGACGTGCCATTGAGTTTACAGCATATGCCCAACACTCGATAATCTGCTCACGAGTGACTACACCAGTGATACGCTCCCATTTCTCTGGGAATCCTTGTAACCATTGATGTGCGTTGGCACACACCTGTGTTCCTAGTGGTTTGGTCAACACCAATACATCACCAGCAACAGCTCCAACTGGCATGATAAACTCGTCCTTTTTAACCACAGATGTTGCTACACCTCCAATAATAGGCCATGGATTCTTTACAGTTTGTCCACCCGTTATATTTGTTCCTGCAATCTTTGCATTATCTAAAGAATAAAAGAAATAAAACAAATTAATAAACAATAAGAAGAATCATTAACGTTGATGTAGATATATACCATTAAAACCATTGATCATTCCTCTAGTACTCCAAGTTCTTTGTTCTGGGGTCATATCGGTAGAACCTGCCAAGATCATCAACATATTGTCACAATCTGCAATACCAAAGGAATAGAGATCTGATAGTACGTTTGCACATGCTATCTTACCCATAAGATAAGGATCATCACAATTTGGGAAAAAGAACTAAAATGAATTGAAGTTGAATTGAAATGAATGAATGAATGTTAATGTTTGAATTGTTTTAAATGTATATGTATATATGTATGTTACATACATCAGTAGTAGAAACCATAACTATATCATTAAACTTTGTAGGCACAACAGAACAATCAAAACCAATACCTGAACCAATACCCTCAAGAAGGGAGAGCAGCTCCTTCTGAGGGATCTTACAACCTCACCCTTTTAATTTTGTAAAGTCTGTTAACTTGCAAAGTAACTCTTCTTGTTTACTTCCCATTCTTTCTCTTTCTATCTTTAATACAAATAACTAAAAGCGACGGTGTATCTGAACAATGAATGATGAATCTTATGTTATCGGTTTGAGGGTCCGCATCAAAAAAAATTCGATTATTTTTTTTTGATTGAGATGAACTTGAACTTCAAGAACAAAGGAAAGTACGAACGTTTATTATTTTATTTATTCATATACATCTTCTTCTTGTTCTTTGTTTTTAAATTCTCCAAAGAACGACATTACTGGTTCGCCAGTCTTTGGGTCTCTGTTGAAATTGAAACCTTTGATTCTCGAAAGTGCATTCTTTTTGGCTCGAGCCACCAAATTCATGGCTCTATTGATTTCAAGATTGATCTCTTTATAACGTTGTAACAACATGTAGTCATAGCCATCGGAAAGATAGACGGTTCCTTTAGAGACTGGCTTTAAATGATTGGGGTGGTACTTTTTGGTTCCAGAGTGACCACAGACTAGGAGCTTGACAGTGGCAACCTTGTGTTCTAGATGTTGATGATTGTATTTGGGTTTATACTTTGCAAGTCTAAGTGTTTGATTCTCTCTCCAGTATCTGTAATCTTCTAATGATACACCATAAAGAAGGTTGGATAATGGTTGTAAAATATCTTCTTCATGATCGAATTCATAGGTTGTCATGACAGGGGGGGGGGGGGTTATTATTTATATGTATATGTATAAGAGGAAGAAGAAGTATTTGTTGTGTAAAAAGATGATGATAATAATGAATTAGGGTGACCAACAAACTAGAGTTTTATAGCTATGCTTTCCCCTGTCAGTCGGATCATCAACAACCCCACAACGCTACGGTCAGTCATCCAAAAAAATCTCAACTATGAGTTTGCTGTTTGTTGTGAGCATGTATCTCTTTCTCTCTATCTCTATACCCTCCTTCTCAGGGATCTTACAACTTGCAAAGTAACTCTTCTTGTATACTTCACATTCTCTCTCTATCTCTATCTATCTGTATCTTATATAACTACAGCGAGTATTTGAACAATGATTGACTATGGTCCTATGTTTGTATTTGGACACCAAAAAAAAATTCAAAACAATTTTTTAGAATAGAATCTTTTGATTGATCTTCACAATTGAAAATAAATGATTGTCAATGTCGTTGTTTGAATATTATGTATTACCTTTGTCTTGTAAATCAAGTACCTTAACTTTTCTTATCTCTATTTCTCTCTTTCTCTCTCTTTTTTTTGAACAAAATCTGAAGAATGAAAAAGTGAACATCAAATGTGTGATTTTTTGTTTTATGATATTTATTTATTTAATTAAAATAAATATAAATAATCCATATTTACAATTAATGGATACTATGTTTGTATTGGTTGGTCCATCACCATCATAAGAAATATATAAAATAATAATAAAAGTAATTAATAATCAATATGATTTAATTCGCTATTTTCACTCCAGCAAAGAAAACAAATTTTGTTATCTTTCCAGAACCAAAGATATCTTTGGTGAAAGAGTAACCATTGATACTCTTCCAATTTCTCTTCTGACATTCTTGAGATTTTGTTCGACTTGGTTGATTGCATGTTGATACGTTGAAATCTATCACCTTTGATGTCATAGTTGATAAAGATGCAGTCATCAACTGGTGGTTTGTCTTGACTGACTATTATACTTTTATATTTGTTAGAAATTGAACAAGTAAAATGCAGAGACACGAATACAGGTCGACGCAAAGACAGAGAGATATTATTTTTTTTTTTAGTATACACAATTATTTTTTATTTTTCCAAGTGCTTGTATTTCTCATTCTAAGGCTTTTAGGACGTGTACCTTCACCAAAGAATACAAATTCTGTTATCTTTCCTTTTTGGTCTCTTGTCACTTGGATTCCTTTTACTTCTTCTCCCATTTGTTCTGTGACATCATGCAAAGTATCAGTGGCTCTTAACATTGCCTTGTTGATCGATTGGAATCGACCACCATTGATGATTGTATCGATATGAGGAGCTTTTGGTGGGTCGGCTTTTTTGAAATGGTTCTGATGGTACTGTTTGGGAGAGTCACCAGTCAAATGGGAGACCAATAATTTGGTCTTGGCAGCTTGGTGTTCTAAAAGTTGATGGTTGAACTTGGGTTTGGTCTTGTTCAATACTAGTGGGGCTCTTGGTCCCATAGCGATTTGTGTAGCGTCTACCCAGTATTGGTAATCTTCAGTTGGTACTCCTGTAAAATAGGCATAGGCTTCAACAACATGTTCGTCACGTTCATAGTGGTATGTAGTGGTAGTAGTGGTGGCAGCAGCGGCGTTGGCTTTGGTGGTAGACATGGTTATTAATTGTATAAAATATATTTAATGTTGTTATATAAATATAAATAATATTATTATTTAAAAGAAGAAGAAGTATTTGTTGTTGTTGTTGTTGATAATAATGAATGAGAGTGACCAACAACAAACTAGTGTTTTAAAGCTACGCTTTCCCTGTCAGTCGGATCACCAACAACCCCGCAACGTTACGGTCAGTCATCCATCAAAAAAATCTCAACTTGCTTGAGTTTGCTGAATATATATTATTATTTATTTTTTATATATATATATAGAAATAAATATATATAGATACTTACTTTAATAAATAAATAATTAGTTGAGGTATAAATAATAATAAAAAGATCTTTTAGATTAGTTTGTAGTAGTGAATAATTAAAATGAATTGCAGTTTTAAAGGTACTTGTACAGATACAGTCAAGTCAGTCTGAATCTAATCTCCTATCGCTATGTAATTGATCATTGTTTTAATTTATAGTTTTTATACAAGAAGTAAATGTCGAAGACAAGAAGTAAATGTAGCAGATGCAATGGAATTATCATGTTGCAATCAAAGAAATGAAATCTTTTTGTTCTTGGTCGATATTTTCATCACTGAAGAAAAAGAGGACGATATAGGAAGATTGAAAGCAGCACGCAATATTGAATCGGCAATCACTATATCATCAATTTGTGGTCACATTGAATATGTCAAGTATCTTGTATCAACATTCAACATTACTACTCTTGGAAAGTGGTGTACACATAAAAATTTGATTTCGGAGATTGCATCCTTCTCTTTCCCAATTCAATTCGCATCGTATTATTATAAATATTATTTGTATTATACTTACTTATACTTACTTATCTGTATTTTATTTTATCTAATTTAAAGAAGGAGAAGAAGATGATCGCGATAAAGAATCCAAATCAATTATATGTTGAATTATCTTTCAGTTGCAAACAAAGACATCATGTCAAAGTCTGGTAAGCTAGTACGTTGATCATGTGTACATGATCATTCATGATCAGTCGACTGATTATTGTGTATCTATCTATAGATCCACAAGTATTGGTATATCAATCGACCCATGGAGAACCAGACAATTTCCAATTAGTTGGAGCTTCTGAAAAGATAAAGAATAACCTAAACCCAACCTTTAAGACCCCTGTCAAGGTTGACTACTACTTTGAAGCTTTGCAACCATTACAATTTGTCGTTGTCAATGTCGATGGTCCAACCAAGACATCCTACAAAGATCTAGCCAAACACGATATCATTGGTAGCTGTATCATCACACTCAGTGAAATCGTATCAGTACCAGGTCGAAGAGTAGAAAGAAACTTAAATACACCAGCCGGTAGCTTCAGTGGAATGATTGACATCAAAGCTGAATTCTTCCAAAGAACTGGTCAAAAGGTTCTTTTCCAAATTGCTTGTAGACATGTAAATAGTCAAAAGAGAAAGGATGAATGAATGGAATGATTAACTCTTTATTTATTTAAATTTAGTTGGACAAGAAAGATTTATTTGGAAAGAGTGATCCATACTTTAAGATATTTAGAAAGAATGAAGATGATGTAACATGGACAGAGTTTTATCAATCCAAGGTAATCATGAATGAATTGAATCCGATATTCGAAGCAAACAAGTTTCCAATAGATGTTGTATGTGGAGGTAATCTAGATCGACCAATCAAATTTGAATTCTTTGATTGGGATAAACGATCAGCTCATGATTTAATTGGTATTTTCGAGACTACTTTAAGACAATTACAAGAGAGTGATATTAGAACTATGGAAATACCAATTGTCAATGTAAAAAAAGATTGTAAATCGGGATACAAGAATAGTGGTATTTGTTACTTTAAGAGTTTCTATATCAAGGCTGCCTACCCCTACTCCATATTAGATTTCATTGCTGGTGGTACAGAGATTGGTTTGATGGTTGCTATTGATTGCACAGTCTCTAATGGACCACTACATAATATTGGTGAGACCTTGAATCAATATGAACAGTCTATATTGGGTATTGGACGTGTTTTGGAGCCTTATGACACTGATCGTATGATTCCAGTCTATGGGTATGGTGGTAGTATCAACGGTGTCACCTCACATTGTTTCCCATTCGATGTGATTGGTGGTAGAGAGGAGGCTGCTGGTATCTACGACGTCCAAAGAATTTATCGCCAAAATATGTCAGCTATCGGTCTGTCTTCACCAACCAATATGGAACAAATCCTTAAAAAGGCAGTTACTGCTGCTGAAGCAGGTAAAATATCACCTACTCCAAAATACACCATTCTTTTGATTATCACCGACGGTGATATTTGTGACTTGACCCAAACTAAAATTCAAATTGTAAAAGGTTCCAAATTACCATTATCCATTGTCATGTATGTAAAACAAATCAAAAAATAATCAATCAAACAATAATTATTTATTTATTTAATTTAATTTAGTGTCGGTGTTGGTAGTTCTGCATTCTTTTCAATGAATGAGCTTGATGGTGACATGAATTCATTAAAGGGAGCGGTCAGAGACATTGTCCAATTTGTGCCATTTGCTGAAGTCTGCAAGAATGGAGATATTGCCAAGGAAACATTAAAGGAGATTCCAAAGCAATTCATTCGTTACTTTAAGAAAAATCACATCACTCCACCCCCACCAAGACCTTACATTGCTCCACCCTATACGCAACCCATTCTATACCCACAATAACATTATATACATATATAAATAAACAAATCATCATTTTATTTTATCTATCTATTATTTTTTTAATTAATTATTACTTATACATTTATTTATTTTTTATTTTTATACATTTTTTCTGGTTTAGATATTTGATTATTCTTTCCAATGAAATAGAATTCAATAGTGTCTCTAGCTTTGGAGATGGATAATCCTTTTAATGGACCAATTTCTCTTCTTACACTGACAAACATTGTTTGAGATTTAGCCATCAAATCGTTGATATCTTGAAACCGGCAACCCAATATGAAATCCTTTCGGTCTGGAACAATAAAGATATCTTGTACTCTTTTGAAATGGTATGGATAGTACTGATGTTTTTGGTTTAAACTATCATTTGTGTGGGTCAAGTGACAAAAGACCTTTTGATCTTGGCATTGTGATGTTCAAGTTGTTGATGACCGAATTATGGTTTGTTCTTGTTCATTAAAAAGAGCGTATGTTTCTCTCCAGTATCGGTAATCCTCTAATGGTACACCTGAAAAGACGATGGCAAGTGTTTCTATAATATCCTCTTCGCATTCGTATTCAAATGTGTGTGAGAATGATTCTGTGTTTAACATTTATGTATATATATATATATAAATAAAATGGTATAGATGTATGTAAGAAAGAAGTGACAATGATCATTTAGGTAACCAACATAACTAGTAGGGTCTCCCTCATCAAGGCCACCACAACGTTACGGTCAGTCACCATCAAAAAAAGTAAATATAAACCCTCGAAGCTACCCGAGTTTGTTGTTTGAGTTGAGGTTGTTTTGATCCTACTTATATATATATATATGTATATGATATATTTATAGTTGTACTTTTTATACCTATCTATCTATCTATCATGATCTTCTAGTATACTAGTTTGCTATTATTAATTAAGAAGAAAGCATAATTATCCAACATTTGTCGTAAGTATACTAGTTTGTTGTCCTGATATATCTTGTAAAAGTAATCAAGTACTTAAACTTATCTCTATCTCTCTCACTATGTTCAAAATAAAACAAGTAAAATGCAGAGACACGAATACTTTTAAATATTTACGTAGCAAAGACAGAGAGATATTATTTTTTTTTTTAGTATATACAATTATTTTTTATTTTTCCAAGTGCTTGTATTTCTCATTCTAAGGCTTTTAGGACGTGTACCTTCACCAAAGAATACAAATTCTGTTATCTTTCCTTTTTGGTCTCTTGTTACTTGGATTGCTTTTACTTCTTCTCCCGTTTGGCGTTTGACTTGGGCCAAGGTTTGAACGGCTCTTAACATTGCACTGTTGATCGATTGGAATCGACCACCATTGATGACTGCATCGATATGAGGAGCTTTTGGACCATCGGCTTTTCTGAAATGGTTCTGATGGTATTGTTTGGGAGAGTCACCAGTCAAACGGGCAAGTAACAGCTTGGTCTTGGCAGCTTGGTGTTCTAAAAGTTGATGGTTGAACTTGGGTTTGGTCTTGTCCAGTACGAGTGGGGCTTTTCCTGGACCCAAGGCGATTTGTGTAGCGTCTACCCAGTATTGGTAATCTTCAGTTGGTACCCCTGTAAAATAGGCATAGGCTTCAACAACATGTTCGTCACGTTCGTAGTGGTATGTAGTAGTCGTAGTGGTAGTAGTGGAAGACATGATGGTTATTTAAAATAGTAATTTTATAAATATTAAGTATTATTTGTTGTTGTTGTTGTTGGATGATGATAATAATGAATTAGGTGACCAAGAAACTATGGTTTTATAGCTTGTTATCCCTGTCAGTCGGATCACACAACACCCCCAAAACGTTACGGTCAGTCATCCATCCAAAAATCTCAGCCTCAGCAAAGGCCAAAGCTGAGTTTGTTTGATCGTCACTCTATCTCTTCTATACTGTTCAATCTGATGGATGTTCTAGTTTTAACTTTTGATATTTGATAGAATATATAATGCATTATGATAAATATATATATATATATCTGTACTGTCTTTTATCTGTTGAGTATTGTTTTAATCTAAAAAAGGGTGAACATCAAAGTAGCTCTAGAATCTAGAGCTTACGTCGAAGGGATATTTAATTTTTATTTTTTAGTTTGAGTTTGCTGTTAGATCATCAAACTTTGATGTACAAATAATCAAAAGTGAGAATATAGTAAAATGGTTGGTTGGTTGATAGATAGACAGGTCTATTTTATTCACATAAATACGATTCTTTTGGGAGGTCTATCACCTATTATGGCTCTACCCGACTCTGTATCAAACAATGATTGAATTGCTTTCAAACTGGCTCTTGATTCCTCGATGTATTGGGGAGTGTCGTGTTTGATGTGATCTAGTACCAGCTTTACTTTGGGAAGGGGAATCTCTTTTTTGTTGAATTCATTGGTCACTGATGGGTATGGGTCGATGTTTGAATACTTGACTTTGAGATGCTCTGGATCGATTTGATTAGCTACATAGAATCTTTTGATATTAGAGATCTTTCTCTCAATAATAAAGTGATTTAATGTTGGCATTGGGTTCTTGGTGTCATAAATATTATTTGACATTGACATTGTTGGATGTTGTTGATTGTACAATCAATGAGGTATGGGTTTGTGTAATATGTCAGTGACGGTTAGAGATATAACAACAAAGAGAGAGATAGATAAAAGAGATATATTATATATATATACAAAGTATAGGTATGCTTAGAAGTAAAAGATTGATTTCCCTCACCCTCTTTGTGAGCAACAATTTATAGATTGCTCTTGTTGTTGTGATATAACCGTAACGTTTTGGGTCGAACTTCAAAGTGACACAACAACAAATATCAACCAGTTTTTGCACTCTACTTTTGTGTTGTATAGTGATGTACTTTTCAAAGATTTATATGATGAGAGAGCCTAATTCATGTTCTCGAAAACATTCTTCTAAAATCAATATCTCTCTCTTTCTTTATGATTATGTATGTAATATAAAGTAATCATCATGGGTAGTGTAGTATAAGTATGAATACTAATAAGTATAAAATAAAATATGCAAAGTAAATCAAAGTTTGATCGGTTGGGCTTGGTGGAATGGTTTGCTCGGTTTTTTTTTTTTAATTTTTTTGAATTTTTTTTTTCTTTTTGTCGTTTTTTGCAACAATAATTATTCTGAGGAGTCGTTTACCCACACTCGCGTAGCGTATCGATAAAGTAGTATCTATCTATCTATCAATTTACTTTTTTATAAATATATATATATAATCACAAACAGTAAAAATGTCCGACGACGAAAAGACTATTGCCAAGCCAGCCTTTGTTTCACCAATTGCCCAACCAATGGCCGACACCAAATTGACCGATAAATTATTAAAGCTCGTCAAGAAGGCTTCAAAGGACAAGAAGCTCAGAAGAGGTGTAAAGGAAGTTGTAAAGACTGTTAGAAAATCACCAAAGGAAACAAAGTCAAATAAGAACAAGTATGAAACATAATAGTAGTGATGTTGTTGAAACATATATCATATGATTGATTACTAACACTCTTTCTGTCTCTATCTCTATCCTATAGGATTTGTATAATTGCAGGAGATGTTTCACCAATCGATGTTTTATCACATATTCCAGTCATGTGTGAAGAGAGAAATATTAAATATATCTATGTACCATCCAAAGAAGCTTTGGGTGTTGCTGGATCAACCAAGAGACCAACTTCAATTGCTATGGTTGAATTGGATGACGATTCTGAACACAAATCTTTAATGAAGGAATGTTTGGAAAAGATTCCAGTATCTGTATGTCAAGACAAATATAGATAGATAGAGATATATCAAACATAACAATGGAAACTAACCTTTTTTTCTTAAATTACTTAGGCACAATAAACAAAAAATATTTTAAAAATTAATTCAATCAAATTTGTTGGGATAGATAGATAGATAAGGATAAGATGGGAGTTTACAACAACAACAACAACAACAGGATATATATATATATATTTGTACAAATATTATTTATTTCGGTTGGTTATTTAATTATCTCATGTTTATCATTTCAAGTTTACCTTTGGTAAATCTAATTGAATATTTCTTTCGGATGTACCAACCGATTAGAATTGAACATGCAATGATCAAGACACAGCCACCAACAATGATACCGGCTAATTGTGGTTTGGAGAGGGTTGGTTTCTTTCCACATTCATAGTCACTGTCACCATTATCAACAAGCATAGATAGATCGGGATCAAGTTGTGCATAGTTGGAATAGTAGGGAACGTTGATACCAATGAATTGACGTGTACCAGATGACTCTTGTTTTTCAACGACAGAGTTTTGAATGACCGATTGTCTTCCATCAATGATACCACTACGAATGAATCTTGCATAGATTGATGATCCACCAACTTTGAGTTTAACCCATTGTACATCATTTTCATCATTTCCATTACCCAATCCATAATCCAATTCTGAACAAGCATCATCACCATCGTCATCAATATTGATTGAAATGTCCATAATGATTTGTAAGGTATTTGTAATTGATTGGAATGGGTATTGATCAATACCTATATTAATCTTGGTTGATGATGGTGGGAGTGAGATTGGTTGATTACCAAATGAAATCTCTTGAGCATCTCTAAACCATTGAACAGATACTGATATGGTGGTATTGGTGAATGAAGAGTTGGTTGAATCGGTTGGAATTGACAGTGTACTGTTGTAGAGATAGTTGATTGATTTTGACATATCCATAGTTTGATTAGAGTATGCCCAATTATCAAGTGGATACTCTTTATATGTAGTACCATCCATTTCAATCTCACGAATCGATACAATTGAAACTATACTATAAATGAATCGGTCGGTTGTAGAAGAGGTTGTATTTTGGTTGCCTATAACGACCGTTGGTTCAGTCTTTGTGATGTTGGGGATGACTTGAATCGTTGTTTGTGAGCATGTTGGACCGTACCAACCATTTATACATGCACATCCATTGTCACCGCAAGTTCCGTGATCCGATCCACCACACCCACTTGGGCATGGGACAATTGCTGGTGGAGTGTATGGTGCAACATAATCTTTAACACTCACAGCAAATGGAAGTGAGAGTAGAGACAATGCAGACGACTTTAAAGTGATACGTATACTTGCAAGCGACGCTGGAATGATCGTGGGGATAGTGAATGTACACGAGATGGGAGAGGTAAAAGAGACAGGGTAGGATTTTGAGAAACCCGGCTCGTCAATCACCGCAACGACCGTAGTGGACTGTGTCGTGTAGAATTGGTTCATTCCTCCCCCGACTAGAACAACCACTCCACCAGCACGAGGTATGTCTGATTGTGCATACTTTAAAACCAACGAATTCGAAAGAGTCAGTGAATAAGTGGTGTTGATAAAGTAAGGGTTCGAGCTGTTTTGACCCATGATTTCAGAAGCTGAAAAACCTTGTGTATTCATGTTGGTGTCAAATGTGCCATACACTGAAACCGACAAGTTACTAACTGCACCAAACCCGTAGGGAAGTGTTGCTAGATACGTGTATTTTGCAAGCAATCCAGTTGGACCAATCTCTGATGCTACCGGACTGATAATAAAATAGTTTCCAACATCGTCCAATAGATAGATGTTTGGTTGATGACGAGGTGAAATGGGAGTAGTACCACCAGGTGTTTTAAACGTTGCAACAAATGAAATGTTTCTATCATTTGTTCCAACATCAATGCGGCGAGGATCAGCAATCAATTCGTTGAGTACTGGTGCACCGTATTGTGTACGAGCTGGACATGGAGCAACAACACGTACAAGTGGTTCTGGATCTGAATCCAATTGGAGGAATGGATCAACCAATGTTTCAAAATTGTATTGACTAGGATATGGTTTGGTTCGTACTGGATAAAACGATGACCATCCACTACGATCCACCAAATACAATCCTGTAATTTTAAAAGTTTGAGTGATACATGTAGAAGCATCAAAATCAAATCCAATTGAATGATCACCTTCATACATTGAACCATTGACCAATGTACTTGCGCCCAAAACAAAGGTTCTTGGTAAAGGATCCATATCCGATGTAATATTAACCAAACCATAATCCAATCCATTGACCCTATCAACAATTGAAAGATTAAATTGTATTCTTGAAGTTGAAAAGATTGGTTTTATATTTGTAATCATTGGTGGGAATTTATCTAAATCTAAAAAATAAATATAAAAGAAAATAATTAATTAATAATTAAATTTAGATTGAATTGATGAAATATATATATTGGTTTTACATACTATTTGATTTAACTCTTAATTGTGAAGATGGACCAAGTTTAGAGATTAAAGTTGTTGAATGAGTATACTTGTTAAAGAAATATTCAATGGTATCATTGCCGAGATTTTGTGGTAATATAAAGTCTATACGATAACTATTGAATTTAGGATCAACGTATGCCAACGATGAGATGGAACGACTTCCAAATTGTCCATCGGCATTGAGTTTGGTGAGGAGGATCGTAACGTTGAATGAAGCAAGTGAGCTTGTTATCATAGCGTCAGAGACGGTAAACAACATGGTGACGGTGGTTGGACCAAAACTAGTGTCAATGTCGTTGGGTATGAATTTCACTGATGTAATATTGGCAGGACGTAGATAGAGTTGTGGAATTGGTAATTCAAATGGTACAAAGTTATCGGCACTTAGGAATTGACCTGGCATCACCAATACAGATACACCAGCTGAATCAGTTAAAATGATCGTTGATACAACTGGTTGGAGTTGAGTTGGATTAAGTTTAAATTCAGTCATGACGGATCCACCAATTGCAGTACCTGATATAATTGAACTTGGTCCAATCACTGTCGTTCCACCATAAATTGATACTGATCTCATACCTGTATATACACTTGTTTGATAATCAATCTTTACAAGACATGAATATCCTGTAAATGGAAAATACCTAAAAAATAAAAGAGAAAATATTAATTATTAATTATTAATTATTAATGATTATTATTTGTTTGCTTGATTATTTTTTGACATACTCAACATTTGTAATGATTGGTGGAGTTGGGGTTCCACCAGGCACAGTTTTGCCATTACTTGGACCTGATTGAGTGGTAGTTCCAAGACATCCCATGGTAAGTATTGTTACAGGTAAACCTGGTGGTAAGACGAATGGTGGTCTGTATATTAGAGTTTGTGAAGCTCGATGGTTACCAAATGGTGCTGGAATGTACAACTGAAACATGCCTGAAGCGAAAAACATGTTTACATTCTCGTCGAGGAATGTCGTAGACATTTGAGTTTGTAGATAGTTGAGACCGTAGAATGGACCGTCGGACCACCCACCAGCAGACATTTGACTAATCGAGGTAGTGTCCGGTAGGATGGTGATTGGAAAGGTTGTAGTCGACAACTGAGCATATCCACCACTAGCAACTTGATAGATACTAGTATCTCGTGTCGATGAAAGTACAAATTCTTTAAAATAGGTTAGCTGACTATTACTATTGCCAAACACCTTGCGTAAAAACTTGATAGATTGTCCATCCGCCGAAAACAATTGTAAATCATTGATCGCTGGTGTACTAGAATTGACATTTAATTGATAATGGTAACTTGATTGTTCCCATCTAGCAATACTTCTTTCAGTTGTTAATGATGAATTGGTTGTATATTTTGCCACATCAATATTATCTAAAAAAAAAAATAATTAATTAATAAATATTTAAATATGAATGAGTAATGTATACATACAACTTGGGTAAAGAGATAAAGAAATGATAGGATTTGTAATAGTGATTGTTGAAATGGTAATAGAAATTAATTCAGATGTTGGTTGGGTAGTTGGGAGTGTACCGGAAGGATTTAAAGTCACCTTGAATCGCATTGGGATGGTACTGGTAGACGTAGACAATGGGTAGATTGTAACACATTGGTAGTAATTAAAAGTAGAGCATGTTAAAATTGCATTGGTACCTATTAAATCGTAATCGACCGTTGTCGTTGCCTCTACCACCCATGTACCATCTTCAACATATCCACTGATACTTGATGATTTTATAGTCAAAGATGATGGAGGTGCTAAGATGATCAAAGAATTAAATAAAAAGTAAGTATATATATTTATAAATACTTGTATTTGTTTTTTTCATTAATTTATACATACATTTACAAGTAAAAGTACCTATTGATAGAGTATAGGAATCAAATGTAGAGTGAATAGTTAAAGTGTAGCTTTTGGTAGTTTGAGCAAAGTAGGGAGAGATCTTTACCAATAAAGAAGGACCATACGATACTGTACCAAAAGAGACTGATGCGTTGATTGGTGTCATAGAACCAGTCTCTGTCAATTGAACATATGAGAGTGGATCAGTTGTTTCAACTTTGACGTAAAAGTCAGCTGAACAATAGAGAGAACCTGCAAATGTAATGTATGCAGTGCCGCTAGTAGGCATTCTTAATTGTTTGACTACATTTAATACTGCTTGACTACTCGTTACAAATAAAGATAGTTGAATAAAAAGTACGATTACAAGAAATGATAAAACTCTGCTGCTACTACTTTTCAAAAAGGGGTCGATCTTCATCTTCCTTTTGTTTTCGTATTGCTGTGTGAAAGTAGTATATGTAAATATGAATGAATAATATAGTTAGTTAGATAGATAGATAGATAGATAGATAGATAGATAGATAGATGAAGATTGGAGAAATGAGAAACGAAATAGATTCAGCGCATTATATATAAAAAAAAAACAAACAATGAACCAACTACCGATCACCCTTAGGTCAGGGCGATACGAAACGAATCGCTGATCTTGTGTTGGGTGCGAAATGCGATAAAAAATATCTTTTTTGTTTTGATTGCGCCATCTTTTTAGACGATGGCCATAGATGGAGAGAATCGGTGCCCTTTTATAATTAATTAATTATTTATTTCTGCTTATCTTCTTGGTTGGGACTTTGACATCATTACTATCGATAGCTATAAAGTATGGTGGAACAAAGACTTGTTGCCAATCGGCGGCTACACTCAATTTTATGAGCCAAGTCTCATTTTTGGAGTCTGAATCATAATAACGATACTAAAACGAAATAATTAATAATTATTGGTTTGGTCCAAACCAAAATCTTTAAGTTAAGGAAACCTTTAAATACAACGAAGTTCAATTGTAAAAAAAGGGGGAAAGCCCAGAGGGTTTTTTGCGTTGGGATTCTCTAGCTTCAAATTGATTTGATGTGGAAAAAATCTATAAAAACCTCATCACTCAATGTGCATATCAACTCAATGTGCATATCACAAATCAATTTGATCAAATCATATAATTATATCTCTCTCTCTCTCTTTACTCTTTACTATATCTTTTTTAGCTAGCTCGAAAGTAGATTATTTGTATGTGGTATAGGTGCATGAATGAGTATTCTTTTCATTCCTTTTACTAACCATTTGCTTATCTTTTTTATCTCTTTTTTTTTGTCTCTCCTCACTTGTTCAACTTTATCAATTTATATAGATCTTTTGCATCTTTAATTCTTTGACATATTCTAGATAGATCAATAGCTAAAAAATCTCATGGCTAATATGAACCCCCAATCTCATGATTGCCCTGCCAACAGAGGTGTTGAGAATGTATCAGCAGGTGCTTTGTTAAGCTTTATAAATAATGGTACAACCATTGTAGACCAATCTGCTTCAGTGGGGAGTCCACGAAATATTCCCTTTTCTGCTTTAACGGACAAGAATTAATTATCCTTGCCATGGGCACAGATGTCACCCGCATTGTGACAAAAAGGAAAAAGGCCTCTGTTTATGTTTCTGTAACCGATGAACAACTCGAGAAATTTCCATTTTGGGTGGCTGGCCACAACAGAAAGGAAACAGAGGAGGAGATTAATAAGAGGAAGAATGAGAAAAAGAATAATGGAACAGCCCTTACTCCCGAGGATGATGTGCCCAAATGGTTTTTAAAGATCGGCAAAGTATTCCTCGCTCCAAGCACTTTCGAAGCCGATCTATCATCTTGGGCGCCCAACACCACCACAACCACCAACTCCTCATCTGATGGGTTTTCTATGATGCTAACTAGTCCAGGTCATGGCATGGACACCTCATCAGATTACTAGTACGACGAGCACTAGTGCTGTGGCTACTGCTTCTGGTGGCACAAAAAAAAGCCAAAGCATAAAGTCCTCTGTTTCCAAAACACCATCGAGCACAAAAGGAGCTAAAGGAAAAGGAAAAGGAAAATAAATAAATATATAAATAAAATAAATATATAAATAAAATCAATGAATAAATGAATCAATAAATAAATAGATCATACACAAATAAATAAATAAATAAATAAATAAATAATTGTTGAACTTTTAATAATTTATTCGAGGGATATGATACCTGCATTGTCGATGTAATAGGATATCGTCGTGGGGAAGAAAATTGGATGAAGCTATGGGTATTACTTTTACTTTTAAGAGTTATAATAAACTCTAAAGTGATATCTTTAAACCATTTCTTACAAACCAGTGCCAATTGATGTGCATCTCCTGTGTAGTATGTTGATGTTGTTGATGGTTGATGTCATTTGATCCAAGAATGAAGAAGAAGATACATTTAGGCGTGCTCTTCATTATTATTAATTATTTATTTGATTTATTTGATTATTTTATTTGATTTATTTCATAGTGACCATTTCAATTTTACCTCCAGTGAAACGAATGAAATATTTCTTTCTAATGTACCATACAATGAGAAAAGTTGATGCGAGGAGGACGATGGAGCCTGCCACTGCAATACCTGCGATTTGAGCGTTGGTGAGTACTGGTTTGGTGTCTCCACATCCATAGTCACCGTCACCATTATCAACGAGCATAGATAGATCTGGATCAAGTTGGATATTTTCGGTGTAGTAGGGAACGTTGATACCAATGAATTGACGTGTACCAGATGACTCTTGTTTTTCAACGACAGAGTTTCGAATGACTGCTTGTCTTCCATCAATGATACCACTACGAATGAATCTTGCATAGATTGATGATCCACCAACTTTGAGTTTAACCCATTGTACATCATTCTCATCATTACCATTACCCAATCCATAATCCAATTCTGAACATGCATCATTATCATCAATATTGATTGAAATGTCCATGATGATTTGTAAGGTGTTGGTAATTGATTGGAATGGGTATTGATCAATACCTATATTAATCTTGGTTGATGATGGTGGGAGTGAGATTGGTTGATTACCAAATGAAATCTCTTGAGCATCTCTAAACCATTGAACAGATACTGATATGGTGGTATTGGTGAATGAAGAGTTGGTTGAATCGGTTGGAATAGAAAGTGTACTGTTGTAGAAATAGTTGATTGATTTCGACATATCAGTGGTTTGGTTAGTGTATGCCCAAGTGGTGAGTGGATACTCTTTATATGTAGTACCATCCATTTCAATCTCACGAATCGATACAATTGAAACTATACTATAAATGAATCGGTCGGTTGTAGAGGTTGTATTTTGGTTGCCTATAATAATGGTTGGTTCAGTCTTTGTTATGTTGGGGATGACTTGAATCGTTGTTTGTGAGCATGTTGGACCGTACCAACCATTTATACATGCACATCCATTATCACCGCAGGTTCCGTGGTCCGATCCACCACACCCATTTGGACATGGGACAATTGCTGGTGGAGTGTACACTGGACGGTAATCTTGCACGGGAATAGACAATGCTTGAGATGTAACTGTAGCTGACTTTAAAGTGATACGTATACTTGTCAACTGCGCTGGGATGGGTACTGGAATGACAAAAGTAAATGTCATGGGTCCGGTAAAAGTGGCCGGTAGAGTTTGGCTAAACCCAGGCTCATTAATGACTACGTTAAACTCGGTGGTTGGAATCTGGAAGTGTTGGCTGACACCTGCCGTAGCGACTGTCACTGCACCACCATCACGTGGAATATTAGTCATTGCATACCGTAATACAATGTTGTAGGGTGAGTAAAAGGTTTGGACAAAGTATGGATAGGAACTGCTTTTGCCGAAAATCTCCACCGATGACATGCCGAGTGTGTGCAGGGCATTATCAAACACACCGTATATCGAGACGGACAAATTACTGCTCGCACCAAATCCATAGGGAATGGTTCCTGCAAAGTTGTAGTTGACTGTTCCACCATTTATCGATCCCAACTGGCCAGGTATGAGGAAATAGTTGGATAAAGCGTCGGTCAAATACAAAGTAGGTGTGTGACGTAACGAGATACCTGTACCACTTTGATCTTGGAATGTGGCTAAAAACCACATATCTCTGTTATTCGACCCGACATCAAGCGATGGACGTGAAATAATAAGATTAGTCAGCATAGGGCCGGGCACAGTGATAACGGGAAGCGAACAATTAATAGTAAATTGTAAGACTGCTGGAGAAGCAAGTTGAATGAATGGATCAATCAAAGTCTCTACATTGTATCGATTGGGTATGTATGCAGCCTGTGATGGATAATATGACGACCATCCACTACGATCCACCAAATACAATCCTGTGATTCTAAATAATTGGGTTGTTCTACAAGTCTCAGTTGGCAAGTTATAGTTGAATCGAATCGAATGATCACCTTCAAACATTGAGCCATTAACCAATGAATTAACATCCAAAACAAAGGTTCTTGGGATTGGATCCATATCCGATGTAATATTAACCACACCATAATCCAATCCATTGATTTTATCAATAATTCTAATATCAAATCCAACATTATTTAAATCTAAATTTGGTTTTATATATGTAATCATTGGTGGGAATTTATCTAAATCTAAAAAATAAATAGAAAAAAAAAAAAAAAAAAAAAAAAAAAAGAAATTAATAAATGTGATTAAATATATATATATTGTTTACATACTATTTGATTTAACTCTTAATTGTGATAAAGAACCAAGTTTAGAGTTTAAAGTTGTTGAATGAGTATATTGATTAAAGAAATATTCAATGGTATCATTGCCGAGATTTTGTGGTAATATAAAGTCTGAACGATAACTATTTACGACGGAATCAAAGTAGGATAATGAAGAGATGGAACGACTTCCAAATTGCCCGTCGGCATTGAGTTTGGTGAGGAGGATGGATATGTTGAAGATGGGGGAACTAGGTGTTTCGGTGAGATTAAACAACATGGATACAAAGCTAGGTCCATAACTAGTGTCAATGTCGTTGGGAGCAAACAACAACGATGTAAAGTTATCTGGACGTAAAAAGAGTTGTGGAATATCCAATTGATAGGGAACAAATGCATCGGTACTGAGGAATTGACCTGGTACGACAGCGATTGTCATACCGATAGTATCGCTCATTGAAATGATTGGTGCTGTATTATCAGTAGCCAAAGAGAATGGATTGAATTTAACTTCTCCCGTCAATTCTCCCTTTGAAAAATCACCACTAACTATAGACTCTAGTGAAAATACTGTATTGTAAATAGTAATCGATCTCAATCCAGTCAATAAATCACTTTCAAAACCAACCTTTACAAAACATGAATATCCTGTAAATGGATAATACCTACAAATAAAAAAAAGAATTGATAAGTAAATGATAATGGATAATATCTATTCTTATTTTTTACTTACGAAACACCAGTAATAGTTGGAGGTTTAGCTCCAGTAGGGAATGATTTACCATTGTTGGCAGTATAAGATTTCATAGTTGAAAGATACCTAAATGTGACAGGTGTTGTATTTAATCCACGTGGTAACATGAATGGTGCTCTAAATACGAATCCACTTGATGATCTGTGCAATCCAAATGGGAGTGGTAGAGAGACGACCGAATAATAAGTGGATATTTGTACATTGCCTTGAAGGTATGGTACATCGGCTACCTGTGTCTCGAGATAGAGATTGTAGCCATTAGGTTTGTCTGTATACCCACTTGCACCAATAGAACTAATATACTCTTGGTCGGCAAGATACCCTATTTGATAGGTAACATTGAGTATAGATCTATAGCCTCCCTCTGCAACTTGTTGCATTCTATTCGTCATAGTGGATGATAACGACAACTCTTTGAAATAAGATATTCCCACCAAACTGTTTCCAAGTACCTTTCTAAGGAATCTAGTATTCGAGCCATCGACCGAATAAAATTGTAATTCATTCATCGACGTTGAACTAGAATTTACATTTAATTGAAGATGATAATTTGAAGTCACCCATTTACCAATAGTTCTTGCTACCTCTGGTGATGAACTTGATGTAAATCCTGCTAAATCAGTATCTAAATAAAAAAAAGAAAAAGAAAGAAAGAAAAAGAAAGTATAAATAAAATATATTATTTAATAATAATAATTAGACATACTATTAATAGTTGGGAAAAGTGAACCAGAAATGATAGGATTTGTAATGGTTGTAGTTGACATTCCAATTTCAAACAAATTGTCGGTCGCTGGTGTATAGGACATGGATGATTGTGGGGATATACTTAATTTGAATCGCATTGGAATGGTAGCAGTAGCAGTTGATTGTGGATAGATTGGAGCACACACATATCCACTCACTGCAGTACACGTCACAAATGTTTGAGAGGATACTAAATCGAAATCGACAGTCGTCAATACATCTACCACCCAAATACCATCTTGAACATATCTATTAATATTTGATGATTTTATAGTCAACGTTGATGGCAGTGCTAAAGTGTATATATTCGAAATAAGAAAGAAAAAGATAATTAGATATATATATATATGTATATGTTATTATTATTTGTTTGATTGATTGATTGATTGTGATTGATTCATACATTTACAATTAAAATTCATATATTGATCAACAGATTCTGATTGAGTATTATATTCTATAAAGTAGGTTGTTTGAGCCATTGGTAGGTATGGGGTAACTTGAATGAGCGACTGGGTGCTGAGGGTAGCGAAGACACCAAAGGTGACTGACGAGTTGACGATGGCACCAGTCTCTTGAAACTTTAGTCTGACGCTGGTCACAGGTGCAGTGTTTTCTAACAACGCGTAGATAATGGGCACACACTGTAACCCTTGCGGCGTCGTAATCGCAGTGCCTTGCTTAGGCATTCTTTGGTTGGACACGACCTTTAAAGTTGCGTCGACACTACATAATGATATTATTACTAATAAACAAAGTACTATTGACACAATCACACCTATATTGTGTAGCTTCATTCTTTTGGTGTGATATTTTTTTTTATTTATTTTTTTTTTTACGTATGCTGCTAAGTACTCTAGTATTATGAATAATTTACTTTTTTAAAACAATTTAAAGAATGATGTGATATATAATATTATAATATATATTAAATAAAGTGATGTCAATGGCACGGGGAATTAGGGACACCCCATTCGTGTTTGATTACAACTAAGATAAGAAATTTTTGGTAATATGGTAGGTCGGCGTAAATATCAAAAGATCTTTTTGTTTTTTTGGTGTTGGAAATTTCGTGATGGTCCTTGATTAAATATTATTAATTTAATTACAAGTTCTATCTATCTATCTATATAATCCACTTCCAACTAGTAATACATTATTATTAATTATTATTAATGAATATTAATATTAAGTTAATATTAATATTATTTTTTAATACCAATAATTGATTTAAGTTCATATGATGTATGATATTCACCGAGGGAATATCCGAAATGTTGTGGTCGTTTTGCTTTTATGTCCCATTTCGTAGAGATATGGAATTGGGGTAATTCCAATGCAATCTTTTCTTCATCAATGGTTTTATCAATTTTCATCTTTAATGGTTTGGGAGTAGAAGAAGCTTTCTTTTTAGGTTGATTTAATGTTGGTTGTGTTGGTTCCAAGGATGGTGGTGGTGGATAGACATAGTGTCGATAGGAATGTCTAACATAGAATGATTCCAATGATTTCGATTGTGAAAATGATTTAATCATCATATCTATTGATTCCTTTAAATCGGTGGGACCACGAGTTGAGAATGATATTTCCAAATGAGTTAGGTATGGTGACGATAAACAAGAGTTGATCGTTGGTTGTAATACCGATCCTTTTATAAAACAAAAATCAATTGAATGAATAATTGATAGTCTAGTTACTCTTGTTGACTCTAATATTGATTCAATGATACCCATCTTTGCATGTTGATTTGTATTAGGATTAATGAGTGGTGGTGGTGGATTCAATGTATATCCACTATGATCAAATGTCAAAACAAGGTGGTTTTGATCCGTCATATGAATATTAAAATAAACCAATCCTAATTGATTCTCTGGTGTTGGTTGATCTAATCCAATAATCGCATTACTCGCTTGTACATATTGTTCCAAAATACTTGGCATTGACAATGACAACTTTGGAAATAGTTCTAATAAGTCTAAAGGGATTTGTGATGCATCACACCCTGCCGACACTGGATTCCAAACCAATGATTTTAAATTATCCAGTACATTATTATTATTATTACAATTATTATTATTACAGTTATTATTTCTTAATGCAAGTTGTTTTAAATATTTTTGAGAAGCAATTAATTGGTTGGTTGGATCAGTGATTGTTAGTTCTTCTAATAGTCCATCTTGGGTGTACAGATAACTCTCTTTATATGTTACATGTTTTGGTGAATCGAAATAGTTTTGTGACCCAAATATAACTTGATCTTTACTGATTCCCAATACTTTGAATCGTGTCAATCTACTATGATCTTCATTCATTTGAACAGGTACTTTAAAAGTATCCATATCATAATTGTATTCATAGTCATGTTGTGATTCATCTTGACTACCTTCATCTTCTTCTTCTTCATTATCTTGTTGTTGGGTTTGTAGAGTCTGACCTGCTATCAATCTCATTCGTTCAATTCTTTTGTTTTGTTCATCTACCTTTCGATCATGTACAATCGACGTACTTGCAAATGGAATGACATAGGTATCTTTGAGAGATACTTTAAACTTTTGACACCCAAGTAGTTCAGTCATCACATCACGTGCATACTGTTGACTTGAAGGTCGACTATTCATCCAAAGACTACGATACTTTCTATCAACCTTGACATTAAATGTTTCAAATAATTTGAAACAATCAAATTGATAGTATTTATCTGTAATGATTATACTACTACTCTTATTATGTTGTCTCTTCTTCTTCTTCTTCTCCTTCTTTTTCTTATTATTATTATTATTACTTTTGTTATTGTTTTTGTTATTATTGTTATTTTGAGAAGATAATCTAATGATTACAAGTGATTCATGTAAAGATAGTTTAGAGATGGTTGGTGCTTTCATGATTGATAGATGTGCGTCTATCTTGATGGTCTTGACTAGTAGTGGGTCGGTAGTATGTTGATTCCAAATGACAATATCACGTTGCACAACAAAGCAATCTCTAATATAGTTGAACCAATCCTTGCATACCAATGCCAACTCTAACCTCCATTTAGAGCATCCCAACATCTTGTCAAGTGTGAATTCAACTGTATGATGCCATGTCTCTTTTAATATCAAATATTGTATGTATTTGTTAACAACCACTATTATATTCGTATTTGTATTGGTATTCGTATTCATTGATTGTGTGAATGAATGTACATTGTAATTACAATTATTACTATCTTCTAATTAATTGGAAAAAAAAAAAGAATAAAATAAACTTGAGCAAGCTGAGCTGCTTGAGTGAGACACAACCAAATGTTTATGAAATTTTAAAGTTCTTTTAACTTTATAATTTATTACAAATAATAATGTATACAAGTCATCACAATCAAGAAGATGATACCTTTTCTTTATTAAATCAACTTGAACAATTAACTTTAGAGTCGGTCTCGCCGACATCATCTTCGACCAATCAACAGCAACAATCCAAAGGTTACCAAAATGCTGTTCTCTTTTACGATCAAATTATTAAAGATGTTCCTTTGTTGGTTCCACAATTTAACATTATCATGAAGGAATATAGACAACATATGTATGATACATAGATCTCTGCTTATTAATACATACTGTATGTATTAATAATGTATGTTTCCTTTTTAATTAGATGTGATATACCTAAAACATTTCAAAGAGTTTATGATTTGTTCAAAGATCATAAACATTTAATCAAAGGATTTAGTCAATTCCTACCTCGTGAATATAAACATGTTGAGGAGAAGAAGAAGGAGGTGAAGGAGGGGGAGGAGGAAGATGAGAAAGATGCAGCCGTGCTATATGTAGCAAAGGTTAAACAACGATTTAAAAGTACCCCTCAAATATACCAACAATTTTTGGTGACCTTGAAGATATTTAATGGTAATAATCAAGCTGAAATAGCTTCTCTAATTAATATTTTGTTCATAGGTCATAATGATCTAATACAAGATTTTAAACATTTCCTTCCCAGACCAAAATAATCCCACTTTACTTGAATTAATCCTTTTTGTATAATAATAATAATAATAATAATAATAATAATAATAATAATAATAATAATAATCTTTTTAATAAATAATAATTGAATCCAATGGATAATTAAATCTTTGTTATATACGAATTATTTATCATCAAACAACGAGTTGATGTTTTAAAAAGTTAGAAAACTTGGTTCTTTTGATTTCTAAGGTGTCAGAACCCTCGATAGTAAACTTGTCACAATAGAACATTGCCATTTTGGCAATATCTAATTCATCCATAGTGCTAGTTAGTTTGAAAAATATTGGATTAGTTACAATTGTATCAAGATTAACATTTCAAAGAAAAAGGTAACATACTTGACATTAATAGTCTTGGCACCAATTGGGTAACTACCAAATTTTGGTGCTCCAAATGTTTTGAATGCAGCCTCCAAGTTACCATGGTAATAAATATCCAAATAATCGAACGAAAGATAGTGGGCATATTCATCTTTGCTTTTGGTACATGGCAATAAGAATAAATTTATATTTGGTTGGTTTCTGTTTGACTCCTGGAGTGATCTTTCAATAATAATAATAATAATAATAATAATAATAATAATAATCTTTTTAATAAATAAATAATAATTGAATCCAATGGATAATTAAATCTTTGTTATATATGAATTATAAATCATCAAACAAGACAAGTATTTTGTTGGGGCAAATGTTTCTGTTGTTGTCGTTGTAGTTCTTGTCTTTTGTTCCAAATATTTTCATCTTTTTTCTAAAAACAGATCTATCATTCATCCAGCTTGTGTCATCTAATCTATTCGTGTCAAATCTTTTTCCAAAGATCAATCTAATCTTTCTTTTCCTTTCTAAAAGAATGAATCATATAATTTCATTTCTTAGGTTGGTTGTATGTTTTGGTTGTTTGGTCGAACTATTATTATTATTATTATTGATGGTTTATTTGATCGATTGATATTCCTGTCCCCAACAAATAACTATATTAAAGTATAAATATAAATTGAATTAGTTAATTATTTGATTTTGATTGGATATATATTAAAAATACATACAATGATAGAGAATTATTATAAAAAATAAAAGAATTATTATTGTTGTTACTACTACTACTACTACTACTATTACTATTACCGCTACTACTTTCTATTTTTCCAATGATATGATTACATTGTTTACATTTTAGTAGTAGTTGTTGTTGTTGTTGTAGTTGTAGTTGATTATCCTTTTCAATGATTATATTTAAACCTATTTTACTTAATATATAGGAATGATTGTCAATCATAAATCGTTCTTGTTCCTCTGTATAAGTGTCAATGATCATTGTACTATCACCAACAATACAATCACACTCTATACACTTGAAAATGATTATGGATTGATAGAATTCATCCAATGATATGTCATTTGATGATTTAACCTTATTCTTATTGTCTAGTTGTGTGATTGATTTTCTTTTAATCCCTGTTAACTTGTTATTATTATTAATATTATTATTTAGAGGTTGTTGTTGTTTCTTTGCTGATAAATTAGTTATAGTTGGTGCTTTAAATTGTCTGTATGGTGAAGTTGAAGTTGGGGATACAGGTGATAGTATTTGTTTTGATTGTGCTGATTGAGATGGTGTTGTTGTTGTTGTTTCTCCTTCTTCTCCTTCTCCATCTTCATTATCTTTATCATCATCGTCATCATCTTGATCAATTGATCTAAATATTGATGATCCAGGTGTAGAAAAAGTTGGTGTAGCTGATAGAGTTGCATCTTCATCAATCTCTGATGTCGATCTATTACTACTACCGGTAGTCATCTCTGGTGACATTGGTGATGTTGTTGAGTTGGTAGATGTTGTTGTCTTTGGTGTCCACGACGGAGTCGATAGAGGGAATTGCGATACATCAATATGATTACCACCACCACCTGTGTTGTTGTTATTATTATGATGACGAATGACAGGTGTCTTGATTGCACTACTACTAGCAGTGGCAGTGGGAGTGGCAGCTATCTTGTTGTTGTTGTTGTTGTTGGACGGTCTCATAAACTTTGGAGGTGGTGATTTAAACGGTGATTGATAGTCCATCGATTGGTCGACATCATCATAGTCTTCATCATCATTGTATTCGTCTTCTCCATCACCATGATGATCCTCTTGAATATTTGTGTTCATCGTCGTGAATTCTAATTAATAATAAATTATTTTACTTGGCTTTCGAAAGTTTGTTTGGTGGCGCCAAAAATAATTTTTAATTGCACGTTAATATAATGGTCATTCATATTTAATCTTTCTATCAACCTATCATTCACCAGCATCGTCGATCTTTCACCACGGTATACTGATGTTTGGAATACATCATTCCTAAAAGTAATTTAATGTAAACAATCTAGATTTAAAGAAATGTCATCTGCCATCCTGCTGCCTTAACAATATTTATTTTGATTTCTAGAGGCATATAGTATTTTAATAATTATTATAATATTTATTATTTTAAATTATTATAACAAAATCCGGTACATGTTGCAACGGCTGGAGTAGCATAGTGAGTGACACCCCAACAGAGTGCTTTGACTTGAGGAGGAAGGACTGGGACACGACAAAAGGCTTCCATGGCAGCAACACTGGTTCGACAAGCTGCAATGCATTGTCCAACTGAAACTGCCAAGACTTGATTATTGTTTTGGGTCAATAATAAAATTGACATCAATAAAAAGATCATAATTGTTGTTGGGTTTCTTGACATTTTAGAAGAATGATAATAGAACTACTTTTTGTTGGGTATTTGATTGACTTGTTGTTTGTTGTGTTGAAAAGAAAGAAAAGCTCAAGCTTTTGATTATATATATATATATAGAGTAAAAAAACTATATGAAATAATACAAGTATTGAAAAAACAATAAATTGATTATTGAATTTTTGATTTCCATATCTTTCTCTTTACATGTACTTATCGCCACCATTCATTAATATTAAATTGAGTGTTGGTTGATTTAATTAGTGGTTGGATGGTTGATTATTATTATTTTTTAATTGATCTTGATCCATCCCTTTTCTCAACAATGACTATCGCAAAGTAAATAAATAATAAATTGAATTAATTAATTTTATTGATTATAGATTTCATTATGATAGATTTAAAATACATACAATGAAAGAGAATTATTATTATAAAGGGGATACTAGAAAAATAGAACCCTATTTCCTTGAATTTTTAAAGATAGATCACCAAATTTATTTTTTTTATTTTTTTTTCTTTGTGTGATCTTCAAGACCTTTTTTTTTTTTTTTTTTTGTTTCATTCATTCATTCATTCATTTTAATTTAATAATGGATGATAAAGACGAAAGGATATTTCGTTTAGAACAGGAGCTTCTACAATTCAAGCAATTGTTAATGCAGAAACAATTAAATCAAACAACTCAACACCAACAACTAAATCAATCAAATTATCCATCAAACCAACAATATCAATATCAACCACAATCGAATCAATCAAATTATCAATCAAATTATCAATCAAACCAACACAATCAAATCAATCAAATTATCAATCAAACCAACAATATCAATATCAACCACAATCGAATCAATCAAATTATCAATCAAACCACTATCAGATAAATAATATTTGGTATTCAAATCAATCAAAGAGATGTAGCACAACAAGAACAATACTCGGTATATATAAATTCAATATCCTTATCAATTGCTATCATACACAACTGAATCGATTTACATACAAACAAATAGTTGATTTTCTAACAAGGAGAATTTAATGTTTATAATAGATCCCTCCAACAAATCGGAGAAACAAATTATAACAAGTTACAGAGAGACCATTCATTTTCATCCAATAACATATACCTGTCGCATGCTGGTGAATGATATGTTGATACAATTATCATTCATATGGATCATTGTATCAACCTATCATTCACCAGCATTATCGATCGATGACGGTACGTACTTATGTAGGTAGTGGTTGCCCGACCCCCTCCCCTCCAGATGATCATCACCCAATCAAAAGTTGGTCTTATAGTTATTATCCGAATGGTTTTTATAATAATTAATAATTAATACGCATAACAACCAAAGGTTAGAGACTGTTATATCGACCTGTTAAAAGAAATACTAGAACAGGTCAAGACCAATCCTAGAGTATTGATAAGTGGTACGAGTGGAATTGGTAAATCAATATTTGGTATTTATCTACTACATTATTGTAGACAATTCAAAATGTAGTGTATCATACTAGCTTACATACCGATAGTTATTCATTTTACATTTGGTAATGGTGTACCTTGTGCCACTAGATAAGCAATGAATGTCTGAAGATCCGACCTTGTCGTCATGCTACAATTACAATGATACTAAGGTACACCACATGACGACGACGATGATCAGAATCTCTCTAATCGTTGTCTCTTTAGATTCAGTTACAGAAATAGGTTGGTGAATAAGATTCAATTTCATCATCAAAAAGAGCTTATTATTATGGATGATATATTGCCAGGTGGAGGTACTACACCATTTGACAAACAGACATGGTACGGATTGGTAAGGCCTTTTAACCTCGACACTAATTGTATATCAATACTTTAAAGTATTGTCATCAATCTTTGAACTATTCACCAATTGGTCATTTCTTTATTCCAAAATAAATGTTTGTTTATTTAAATAAATAATGATAATAATAATGTTGTAGCTATCGTGAATATAAAGATAATATAAATTTGTGGATAATGTGATAATGATCCAGTACTTGAAGTAATCGATCCAGCACCTCGTATACCACACATACCATAATTTAATCCATTGAATGGAGTATCTTTTGGATTACATCTAGATGGATCTTCGAAACGGAAACAAGCATCCTGGTATTTGCAGTAGAGTGTAGGACACTCACGAGACAACTTGCTACCTGGGACATGTTGTCTATTTGAAAGATAGGTCTTTGTTCGAATAGAACAATCGATAATATCTATATAAGATTCCATACATTTCGTCATCTTGGGTTGATTGTAGTAATACAATGAATCTTTGCATACTCCAGTTGAAGAACCCGTGGCAGTACACTCACACTTTTCAAATCGGTCATTGCATCCTGATGTCTCTGTACCCGGGGAGCAGATAACCGAACTATTTGTAGCAGGTGCTATCACCTCGCAAACATGAGTCGCCATGTTACAATAGTACCCTTGACGAGAGTTGCATGATCCGGCGGGTGAAGTGTAGTTACATGCTTGACCAAGACCCTTACTTCCCATCTTGACACACACCAAACTATTGGTGATGTTGTTGGCATCGGATGGATCACACAATAAACCAAGTATACATTGTGGATTAGTTAGAGGTGCATCAATGTCGTCGAAATACCTTGAACACTTTTCACCCAACCCAACTCTATTATAACATTTTTGTTTGTTACAGAATTGATCCCATGGACAATGTTCTTGTTTGGTGCATTCAATTCCTGCTTCTACCTCTGATCCAAGGAGTAGTGGCATGCAAACATCTTTGATTGGCTCACATTCCAACCCATCTAGACATTGATTATCTCTTTTGCACTTTTCACCGTATTGCAAGTATTTCAATGTTTGACAAGTCTTTTGTGATTCATTTCTGGCAGAAGGATAACAATCAGCTCCATCTATACACCCATTATCAGCGTCACAGACTTCACCCAATCCAGACTGTTTTTTACACACATTCAATGGAATAGGTTCAGTTGACGATCCATCACTACTTTCCGATGATGGAGATGATGGAGATGATGGTTTTGGTTTATTCTTTGGATTCAATCCACAATATAATCCCAACTAAAAATAATTTAATTAAATATAAAATTAATTAATATTTTAAATTATTTTTTTATTTGTTTATTCTATTTATAATTATACATACTTGACAAAGAGTATTTGGTTTAGTACAATCCTGTCCTTCAGTTAAACATTTGTTACAAGTTTGTGAGCTACAAGTTGATATCAATAATACCAATAATAATAAAAATGTAATTATTACTTTCATTCTCGCCAATAACATAATTATTTGTTTGTTTTTACAATGAAGAAACAATCATTGTTGTCTTTGATGGATTGGATGATCGACAAAGGAAGGTGATGATCATTGAAATAGGAATGGGTACCCATGGTTAGGTTCTGCGTGCCTGCCTTCCAACTGAGGAATGTAAATATAAATACATAATTATATAGAGCTTTAATAAAGTCAATGACGATCTTCATATGAATTGATCAATAACAATATTCATCCTATCCAAACCACCAACCAACCATGTAAATCACCTAAACCATTATATGTGCATCCACCAACCAACCACCCATCTTAATCTATATTTGTATGACTGACAATGCTTTCCATGAAAGTAGGTGATTGACTTGTATGGTGTGTGTTACAAATATGTGTGAAAAGTAATATTGCTTGCGGTTGTTGATTCCACACATAACACTTTCTTTATTAAATATATAACTACCTATAATATAAATAATATTTAACTGACTGATGATAATCATAATAATACATTTTCAAAAATATCTTGTAATGAATAATCTGATCCTACTTTGTGGGTTGTGACAAAAACAGCAAACAACAACAAACTTCGATCTCTTGTCCGGAGATTTAAAACAGTTAACTTTGAAGAACCCATTGTCTGTCAGTGACACAAAGAAGAACCTAACCATCACCTCTCCCACCTTTCAATTCGAAAACCGATTGATCGAGTAGTTGTATGCAGCTGTCAAATGGGGGGTGTCTCTTGTCTGTTTATGGACATGTGTATTTGTATGACACTACAATGAGCAAAAGGGGGTGATAAACGATGATGGATTGATGATCAATGGGGGTGCAAATAACACAAACTTTTTGAATCTCTCTATCCGATCAGACTCTGTACTATGAGCTATAGGGGTGGGTAACAACAACAAGATGAAATGTCATCCCTATAGGGAATATCCGTGTCTTTGATTCAATTGACTTGACGTGTGTAGTTGAGCGTCATCACGATAATATTTAACTTAATAGCTTTCTTCTTGTTCTTCTTGTCCTCCTCTCTACTTCTTCTATCACTACCACCACAACTACTATTATCACTATCGTTGTCATAGCGGGTATTATTTATTATTATTGTAACCGATTCATCCTCCTCTCCTCATCGCTCTCTCTCATTCTCTCATTCTCTATCAGTATTTATAAACATAGATATATAAATATAAACATAAACATATAGATATATATATATGATATAATCATGTTATTAACATTCTTTCAATATCTACTCTATTTGATTATTTTTGGTTTATTTATTTCTTTTGTAAGTGTGTTGTGCAAACTACTCTGAATGAACATCTTCATCTTTCATCATTTTTTATAAAAGTTTATTTAATTATTAATTAATTATCTTTTGTCTTTTATGTAGGTCAAAAAGAATAAAAGAATATCAAGTAATGATCCACCACAGAGACACTTTGCTTTACCTCTATTAGGTCATCTGCATTTGTTGGGTGACTTGCCTCACAGAAGTTTGACTAGAATGTCTCAACGTTTGGGACAAAAGGTGATTAGTCTTTGGTTTGGTGACAAGTACACGGTGGTTGTGAGTGACCCAGCTGTCATTCGTGAGATATGGGTCAAGAACTTTGACAACTTTACCGATCGTGGTTTCATCAACTCGATTGCCATCTACTCTGGCAATTACAATGACTTGGCATTCTCTGATGGCCCATTGTGGCGCAAGAGTAGAGGTCTCGTATCAACAGTCTTTACAAAGACAAAGTTGAAATCAATGAATCAACATTTATTAGATCAAGCTAATCAATTAATACAATCAATGAAACCATATCAATCTTCAAATCAATTTGTATGTATAGTTTAGAAAAAAAGGAAAAGAAAAAGAAAGAAGATAGGTATTAATATTAATATTATTTGTTTGTTTTAGTTCTTATGTAAGAAATATTTTAGTAAATATGCAATCAATGTAATATTGAAATTAGTAGTTTCAGAGGAAATTGCTTATGATGAGAGTGTGGATGATGGAAAGATGAAAAGATTAACTGATCCCATTCACGCTGTGTTCAAGACATTAGGTAGCGGATCACTTTCAGATTACATCTCTGTATTATCACCACTCTTTTACTTGCAAAATAGAACATTCAAACGTAAAGTAGCCAACATTAAACAATTCATGCGTGAAACCTATGATGAACATATTACCAATTTAGATTCTGAAAAGTATGTACATAATTTATATATATATTAATTAATTAAATATTATATTTAATCAACTTTATTAATTATTTGTTTGTTGTAGTCCAAAAGATGTATTAGATTTATTAATATTAGAATTTGGAGAAAAGAATGTTGACCAAATATTACATATTGCAATGGACTTTTTATTGGCTGGATCAGATTCAAATGCTGGAACGGTTGAATGGTTTTGTTTGTATATGATTAATAACCCACATATTCAACAAAAGGCATATGATGAATTGTTGGTTAGTGTGGGACATGGTAATCAACCAGAGTTGTCACATCGTGCCAAAACACCTTATCTCGTTGCTATTATTAGAGAGGTGATGCGGTGTCGTCCAATCGGACCACTTGGATTACCTAGAGTGGCGTCAGAGGATATTACAGTATCTGGTTACTTTATCCCAAAGGGTACACAAATGATCCAAAACATATACGGTGTGCACCACGATCGCGACTATTGGGAAGATCCACAAGAGTTCAGACCAGAGAGATTCCTTGTTGACACACATTCAGAGTATTGGTTAAATTTCTCGTGTGGTCCTAGAAACTGTGTCGGCATGAATTTGGCTCTGGATGTCGTCTATCTCGCATGTTCTGCCATTCTAATGAATTTCAAATTGTCATCTCCCAACACACCAATCGACGACACTGAAGTATTTGGTCTGACCATTCATCCAAAAGTTTTCCCAATGTCACTTGAACAAAGAATTAATTAAAAAAACAAAAAAAACAAAATATATATATATTTAAGAAGAAGATAATTGTTGTTGCTGTTGTTGTTTATTAATTTCATCAGTAATAAATCTTTGGAATGTACATAGTTTGATTAACCGCTTTTGTTTGTAATTTTTAACCAATGTTTGGATGGTTTTTGGGAATCCAATGTTTGGGTACTCGATCAATCCAGGAAAGGGTGCTACTTTTGATCTCAAACATAGTTCGATCATCTCTTGTATTTCTTCTATTGACAATTCTCCAATTTCTACAATCTTTATAGTTTGTTTGGTTTTTCCACCAATCTCTATAATCTTTTCATTTTGTACTGTCTTGACACGTCCACATTTTTCCAATTCATCCTTTTCCAATTCCACCAATATTTTAGTTGTTTTTAATTGTTGTTGCTCAGAGAATAATATCTCGTACAAGGGTTCATCATCTTGACAATAAATAAAATTCTCAATAATGAGGAATAGTTGGGAACCAGAAAGATCGATCTGGTTGAATATAGTATTTACAATATCTTGATCAGTGGATAGTGGGAGGGGGAGAAGGTCCGCATTTTTTTTTGATCCAGACATACCAACAGCCAATTGTTTGAGTTGGTCTCTAAGACTAATTCGGTCTTTTCCAAGTTGAATGACATATGGAATGAACGAATCGATTTGCCTATTAAACAATTGCTTTCCAAATAGATTGGCAGTTGTCGATTTACCAACTCCCAAGATACCAGTCAGAAATACTGTATTGTTGGTCTCGAACAACTCTAAAAGTTGTTTTTGTTCTTTTCGATGATAAAACTCACCATACAGTGGTTCCAAGTTGGATGTAGGTATAACTATTTTGTTTCCAACTCCAGTTGTCTTGTAATACTCTTGTCGAATCTTATCAATATTCATTTCAACATATTTTCCAAATTCTTTTTGTGCATTGATATCTACATTTTCAAAACTATTTTTAATATCTTCTAAACTTTTATTTCCAAATAAACTAACATATAATAACAAATAATAACAAATAATAACAAATAGAATTAAATGTTAATATATAGTTGAGAAATAAATATTTATATTTTTTAAAAAGACATACCAAGTATTAATTAATTGTTTATAGGTATCTGGGATACCGAGACTGGCCAAGGTATCTGGAGATGCAATCTCTTTTCTAATTAGATTAATATTTGCAATTGCCAATAATATAATTCCAAGACTATAAGAATCTAATTGTTTCTCATCAACTAGAGAAACTGCTGATTTATCACGTTCCTAAGAAAATAAATACAAATAATAAGTATATATTTTTCTTTTTTTCTTTTTTTTTTCTTTATATTTACCATGGAGACACTTGCACCACCAGTACTACTACCTTCTCTTTTATTTAAACAACTATTAAATATAGATAATTTAGAGTTATAGTCATTGTCAATGAGAATATTTGCCAACTTGACACCACAATAATTGACACCTTTTTGATGTAGAAAGAGCATCGCTTCAATAGTGCCTCGAATAATATTAAATATATTCTTCCAAGTTAATGCACTTTTTTTGTGTGTTGTTAGGTATTCGAGGAGAGACCCTTTCTCGATATAGTCCATCAAGATGATTTGTTCTTCTTCTTGGTCCTTGTTGAGTGACACTTGTTTGAATGCAATGAATTTGACCAAGTTGGGGTGTGGTTCCTTTGATTCTTCATTGTTGTATATCTTTCTCCATTTTGCATTGTCACCGTTGAATCCCATCAAAGATCCCTTGATGTAATGTTTCATTGCTATATTGTTAAAGTTGGCATCTTGTACTAGAAACACTTCACTTTGTGTACTTCTTCCTATAATCTTCTTATTCTTATAATCTATTGATTCTATATTATACATCATTTCATTCTTTATTAATTATATCTATTCTATCTGTATCTCTGTTTAAATATCTAACAGTGTGATTGGCCTCACCCCTCTGTTGGCCCTACTTTTTAAAAATCTTTTTCTTTTCTTTTGTTTTTTAATTGTTGTCTCTTCAACCATTGATCATCATAATTAATATAGTTGAAAAGAAAGATATATAGAAAGATAGATAGATGGATGTTCAACTTGATGTAGTATCTCAACTACCAGCCTCATCGGCTTGTGCAATGCCACCTCTTCAAATACCCACCACAGCCACCATAATATTAACAATCATCATCATGATGGTGGTGCATCTTCATCTTCAACTGTCACCACCCCAAAAGATATCCCTCATCCTCCTCCATCTCCAACAATCAATAACATCAACAACAATAATAATGAAAATATAATATTATATGAAACAAAAAATGTAGTGATTACAAAAGAAGATAATATGGTTATAAAAAAAGCAACTCTTCAAAACCAAGATAAAGACAAATATATCAAAAGAGAATTGGAATTCTACAAGTTGATAGAAAACAAATCATTCTTTTTGTTGAGATGTTTAAACATTCAAAACAAAGAGGATAATATTATTCGACTACCATACATGCAACTGGACACACTCGACGATGTCTTGACTAAAAACAAATACCTCTATGTCGATACTATTATCAATATGGTTCGTAATATCATTGGTGGAATAAAGGAGTTGCATCAATTAAAAATATCGCACTGTGATCTAAAACCAAGAAACATATTTGTTGATGATCAGTATAATATAAAGATAGGTGATTTTGACTCTGCTAGGTGTGAAGAAAAAATCAAAGAATCCCCTTTAAAAGATTATACATTGGGATATTATCCAATAGATGATACTCATATCAAGGTAAATAGAATAGAATAATGGATTATTATTATTATTATTAGTATTGATTATTGATTATTTATTTTGTTTTATTTGTAGAATTCAAAAACTATGTATTTTGATAGAGACATTTATGCATTTGGAGCTATTATATATTATATTTTTAATAGAACTACGATGGCTGGAAAAGATATAGTTAGATACATACCTTCATCATGGCCATCGAAATATAAAAACTTGTTGCGAAAATGTTTGACACCGCCGTATCCAACAATCGCAGAGGTATCGGCACTTTGGGAGGATATACCCTATTCTGACCATTGGGAAATGTATTATACCTCTGGAAAATATAATACAATGCTTTTCAACAAGGCAAAGAACCTTAGAAACCTCCCCATCAAGCAATACAAGTTCCCTAGTCTTGGAGCCAACATTATCAAGATGATAGAAACAGCATTCAACAAAAACCAACTAGTCAAGTTAATTGGTATCCCAGGCACGGGTAAAACAATCATAGCCTACATGTACAGCCTCACAGTCGATAACTTTCACAACCGAACACCGATATGGGTGAACAGTAAGAAAAATCTAGACGATAAACTCAAGGATATCGCAAATCAAGGTAAATCATGTAGCTTTCTTATCGTCTGGGACGATTTTGAAGGCAAAAAATCAGAAGGTGACATTAAATTTGATATGCCAGACAAGACTATTGATGTGAAGTTTTTGATCACATCAAAAATCAATGTCGATTCTTTTGGCGAACATGTACATTTCCCTGGAGACAGCGATCATATAGATTTGAATCAAAACCAAACATTTGATTCGAAAAAGTTATTGGAAGAAATTGTTGACAATCTAAAGGCTAAAGAGACGCCCAAAACCAAGGTTGGAGAACCCCTCGTCGATGCAGAAGAAAGAGAGATGGCTTTGAAGGAAATTGAAAAGTCTATTCAAGAAATCCCAAAGTTTCCTTCACTTTTGGATCATCTCACTGGGTCACAAGTTAATAGTTCCGAATGGATTCAAGAAACAATAGAGTATTTCAAAAAACATTTTCCAAGTGTTGAAATGGATATGATCAGATGTATCAAATCGAATCCAAGGATAGACACTGAAACAAAAACAGATTCTGAAAGAAAAACAATCTCCAAACTAATGAAAAAAATGCTCATCACTATAGATGAACTAGATGGTGATTTCTTTGTATTTAAACTACATCATATACTTGAACAATATTTTACAATGGAAGAAAAATCACTTCCAAATAAACCATAAATAAAACTAAAGTAAAAATTGTTGTATTTTACATTGTTTTATCTTTTGTAATTTCATACCATTTTCTTTTTTTAGGTTGGTCTTGATTTTCTTCTTCTTCTTCTTCTTCTTCTTCTTCCTGAATATGTTGTTGTTGTTGTTGTTGGTGTTCGTATTCTAGTTGTTGGTGATTATAGACATCATTTTCAGATTTAGAAATAAAATCGATTAATTTATGTCTTTTGTAAAACTCTGCAGACTTTAAAATCAATTCACGGTCAATGTTCCACCAAGAATCCATTCTGTAGGGTAACATTAATTGAAATATTTCAATTGAACCTTTTCGACCAATCATTTCAATGTCCTCGTGGTCGCATACCACTGCATTAAATTGAAATTGGCTACACAGGTAATTGAGTCTTTTCCAACTATTTGAAATCGTTGAACACATGTGAAAAGTTCCACCACTGTTTTGCAAGAAATAATCGATTATATCTTGATTATGATTCTCGACTGCATAGGCGGCCAAATGAGTTAGGAGGATGGGAGGGTTGGCTCGATCAGGAATTTCTCCACACAAATCTATAATTTCCAATAGATTACGCGTTACCAAGTGACTTGGAATATAACCCTCAAACAAAATATGTAATCTTGAAACGGGAGTTCTAATCAACCTTCCTTCACTACCACCACTTCTTTCATTTCTTCCTTGTATTTGATGTTTAAAATAATCCATTGTAAACTTTTCCAAATATTCCAGTGTTAAATTTGGATTATTAATAATTCTTTCTAATATTTTTGTTGGTATTTCAAAATATGTTTCAATATTATTATTATTATTTTGATTATTATTATTATTATAGTTGTAGTTGATATATAAATGACCAGTATTTGAACTAACCAATTTTGAAATATTATCTAATAAAACGTAAAGAGTTGCAGTGAGTGATGAGCCAATATCACCATCATACAAAAAGATGGTTTGGTTGCTCCTAGTGCCAACAATATCGAGTAGGAATTGTTGTACCAAATAACCAACGATCTTTGTTCCATCGACACCATCACCATCACTTCTTTGAGAAGCAACACGTATAGTGTCAAACAGAACCGACTTTTTAAATTGTTTGGTTTGGAAATACTCTGGGTCAATTCCAAAGATTAATCGTCGGAATTGTTCAAATGTCAAATACCTAGCCAAACATTTTAAAAGTGTATAATCAACTCCTTCCTCACCAAATATATGTTCTATAAAATGATCAATAATATCATTTGATGTTGAAAAACTTGAAGGGGATGATGGTTTAATCTTATAGTTGACAGTATTATTATTATTATTATTATTACTATAATTTAATGATTCCAAAGGATACAATAATTCATAAATTAATTTAAATCCAACTATAATTGTATCTTGTGCCATCTTTTTTGTTATTATTAAATGATTTGATATTAACATATCAATTATTTCTAAATTATTATTATTTTGATTATTATTATTATTATGTTGATTTAAATAATTTTGATAAATTAATTTTAATTTTAAATAATCATAACTATTATTATTATTCTTTATATTATTTTGATTGTTATTAAAAGTATTTGGTTGATTTTGTTGTTGATTTTCTAAATTATGTAAATCAAATCTTGATCTTTGAATTTCCAATAAACAATCAACCAATTTTAATCGTTGACTACCACCATGACGAATAGTCTCTGCTACAACTTGAGGATTGATCCAAGTTAGTTTTAGATTTCTGATTGCATCACAATCACCAATACAAAATAATCCAGACTCTAATTCATTTGAAATATTTGTTGTTGTTGTTGAAACTCCTTGATTCAAGAATAGTGACTTGATACTATTGTCATGTTGAACTACCCAATCTCTAATAGTTCTATTACCCAAATGTGTCATTGAATGTTGAAGTATTTGTAGTGAATAATTATTATTATTATTATTCTTATCACTATTATTATTATTATTGGTATCATCATAAATTGAATAATTCATATGATACAAGAACTCCAAGATATTTAAATGACCACCTTTAATAGCACCCAAATAAGCTCCATTGGTTGATAATTTGATTGGGTGTGTTTGATTGAGTAATATTTTACAGATGTCTAGGTTACCAGCTTGACATGCAGTTTTGATTAGTTTAGGTGATGTAAAGTAATTTTGAAATGTAGTATAGATTGTGTTGAATGATTGACTATCTATAACCTTTCTACAAATGATCTTTGTAACCTTGTCTATACTGTATTGATCACTTTGACCATGTTCAACGATTGATTTGTACTCTTTGAATATGAGATCATCCTTTTTACCCAATTTGATCTTGTCTACCAACACTCCTATATGACCATGTGTGACTAGATCATATACACAATTCCATTCATCGTATTTGATTAAATGTGTACTACTACTATTATATTTATACTCTATATCATTAATCAATGATATAAGACTAAATATACACCTTAATAAATATTTATTTTTAAATACATTATTAATTATTAAACTCTTATTAACATTATTATTACTATTATTCATTATATTACTATTCTATATTCTATATGTATATTAAACACATTGAATAGATATGTACATATAGAATATAGATAACATCTATACTATTGAATACAGTACAGATAAAAGATATAAAAAATTTTATTCCTTTTGATTTTTTTTTGAATATATTTTTTAATCATTGACAAGAAAACATTCTGTAATCACAGTTAGTGTCATTTCGATAGATATCTTTTAACATCTCTGGATCTGATGTTTAGTTTCTAAAGTTGGGTATATGTTGGTTGATTTGTGAGTAGAGGGAAGGGATTTAAAAGATTTGGCAACGAGTTCAGTTTGTGTCTGGTATCTGTGTGAGGATGATGGATATTACTTTTTTTTTTTAGATTCATACATTAAAGAGTAGAAGACAATAAAAGTAAGATCTTTCCTTTGCCAAAGTTATGATTCGAATCCAATCTTCACCAAATCTATCAAGTCGTACAGGAATGTACCGACAAGGATTTCCTAAACTCTTGTTGTATGTTTAATTCAAAAACATCATTGAATATTTCAATCAAATTAAACTTTAAAGATATTGTTATGATTATATTTTTTATTTTTATGGTTCACACATTTTGGAAGGTTAATTGAATTTAGATAAAAGAACTGGTGCATTTGATGATATACCAGCGTATCCTAATGGAGTCCAAAGCAACTCAGTGCTTTTAATTGGGTTGATTGCACGAACATTGACGAAAAAGGTAAAGAAGGCTTTTGAGCTGGATGGGTTGGTTGAATCAACATTTGGAGCCCCACTCGGTTTGGCAAATACACGTACACCAGAATTTTGGAGAATATATTGTTGTGATCCATCGGAAAAGGTTACACGAATGGTAAAGTCGCATCCACTATTCATACAAAACCATCTGAGTGGGCCATTTAATCTCACGTCTGAAATATGTTGTTGGTTGGTTGGATCAATCGTTCGAATAATATTTCCAGTGTACGAGAGATATGGGTAGATTTGAGAAACCTCACTAACATTGGCATGGCTGTAGGTCATCACGATCGTGTGTACTGGTATGTTTCTTTCGATTGGTGAGCCATTGTCAAGATTGTATATGCCATAGCTATCATTGAACAATTTGAATGGGTAGAGTTTCTTATCGATTCCATCCCATTGTTGGTAGGAGTTGTCAGATTCTCTGTAGATGAGAGCACCCCCTTTTCTTTCGTGTTGGCCGTTGCTCATGATTGTGGTTGAGCCTTCAAAGTACGACTGCATGGTGGACATCTCAAAGTCTGTAAACATAGTGTACAAGTAGGTGCTTGGTTGGTCACCAGCACCACTTTGCATAACACTTTGTTTCATACAATGACCTTGGCTGTCTTTAATGTGGCCTCTTTTGCATGCAACGTTGCTTGGTGGTAGCCATGGTGGAAGCAATTCCATGTGGTTGATATCAAATCCCCACTGTGATCCTAGCAAAGATCCTTGCTGGTATGGGAATTTACCTGCGTCATAAGCTTCTCCTGCCTACATTAGAGAGAAAAAATAAATAATTAGGGAATATATTAAAATTAATATTGTCTCAACGACGACATACATGAGGAAGACCAAAGGCATGACCTTGTTCATGGATGAAAATACCAGAGTATCGGTGATCGCCAGAGCCAGACATACCTCCTCCTAGTCCTCCAGCAGTGTTTGCGAATATACCACGATTGTTGAATGCAATTATGGGCGTGTAGAGTTGTATCTTTTCAGCAATCCCACCATTGACGGCTCTGAGGCCACCTAGGAACGTGAGAATGGCAGACATGACATCATAACCATCCTTCATCTCGTTGGTGTTGGTCACACGAAAGGGTGGGCCGGCTCGTGGACCAATGATCATGTATGGCCATTGAACCGAACCAACTGCATGTGTCTTGGCTGAGAGCTTTGAGATGGGCCATTTTTGTTCAAGTTCTGCTACAGCATTGGCGGGGACCGTACCAACGCCTGGGAAGTTGGTGTTGCTTGGGGTGGCACCAAAGAGAAAGAATGGAACAATCTCGATTGGCATGTTGACCGTCTCGCCCACTATCACGTTTACATCTTGGCTCTTGATGCTGTAGTCAGTATCATTTGGGTAAGCCGATACAATGAGACCTGGCTGGATCCATTCCGCAAAGACAATGGCACTGTAATGGGTGGTTGAGAAAGGTGCTCCGTTGGCCTCTGTCTTTGGTAGCTGAGATGGATCTTTTAAAGGAATCCCAAATACGCGACGTCCATTTAGATCTTCGGGGTCGTCAGAAGGTATACTAAGGACAACAATTGGATTGGATAACTTGACATTGCTACCAAACTCAACAAGAACCAATGTGTCTCTGCCACCTACAAGATGATAGGTATAGTTTTTGCCGCCAACCGTCCATTTTAATCCTTCCGCCGGAATTAAATGAGTTTGGCCAAACAGCACATTTATATTGACCGTATCATCATTGGTCAACACCTCTGCTGCTACCGATGATCCAATGACAATCAACAATAATATAAATGAAATTAAATTATTGATCAGTTTATATCTTTTCATATGTGTTGTTGGTTGATTGATTAAATTATTGGTCAATTATTTGTTTGTTTTTTAGTTTGTTAGTTTATTTGTTTGTTGAAGAAGAAGAAGAAGATAATGATGATTAGGATATATATTTTCAATCAAAAATAATAATATAATATAATATAATAATTGATTAATTGATTGTAGAATTATTAATATAATAATAATAATTGTACCATTTACATGTAAATTCATACCTCTATTTATGTTGAGTGTAGTGCGGTTACTATGAGTAACTATGTTTATTCCATTCGTTGTTGTTATAAACATCTATCTGATCTGAAACATTGATTGTTGTTTATGAAGACGCAACAATGACTGAGATCATTAACATTCAAATGTACAGATTAAGATGCGATGGTGTAAGCAATTGAGTGTTTCCCACACAAAAAAGGAGGCACCTCCTACTTTCAGAAGATGTTAATGAGACACACAAATGGGGTTCATTATTCACATAAAGTGATAATATGTATAATTAATTCACGTTAAATGATACATATGTATTCTCTCGATGAAACCCCAATGTCACGAGAATTCACAACCTCTTTTCGATATTGAAGAAATAGAACCATCCATTCAAGCACATGTTGGCCTGAATGAGATGATCCAAACCCTACAATAATAGGCAATCTACCATATTTTTCCGAAGTGCTAGTACAACCGCAACAATGGGATGAAGAATTTATTAATCCACCTCTCCCTTTCGAGATAGATGATATCTACCATATTAACCAATATTCAAAGAAGTTGATTTACCAATGGATTAAAAAAAAAATGGCACACCCATATTAATTTGATAGGTTTTGGAGCTTTAAGTACTACATCAATGAAGGTTCCAAAAACCTATCAATCAATTCACAGATACCAATTGCAAAGCAAAAGATGATAATGATGATCCTCCTACCTTATTGTTACAATAATGAATCATAATTATGAAGTGTCAAAACTAAAATGACTTTTGAAAAGTACAATCATTCACCAAGTAATTTTAGAAAAATTGATATTTATTTATTTACTTTTATTCACTTTTAAATAAATTCAATTGTATCTTTAAAACTTAATAAATGAGGATCAAGTCTTTTAGCTTTTTGAATGATTGCTTGTTCTTGAGATGATACACCTTCAAAGATATTTGCACATAGATGAGAGAGCGCAATTGATTTTCTGGCTAGAAGAGTGTAACCAAGCTTGGATGCATGATCAGCCACATGAAAGAAAAGATCGATGCCAGCGTAGAAGAGTGGGAATTCAGGACACTTGATTTGGAATTTGGTTGTTGTTTGATTGGCTATTTTAGAGTTGGCTGGTGTACGTTTTAATTCCGATGCATCAAATGATTTCCATCCGAGAATGGCAAGACACTCCAAATAAGTCTTGAGTGCCTTTTCATTGGACTCTGCTTGATGTAGTAATCCGAGTCCAGTGATTGGATGGAATAGAGCGATGGGGAGTGGACGATTTGGATCTTTGTATGTGTTTTTCATGGCTTGGATATGTTCTACCATCTTGGGTGTGATGGTAGGATCAAAGTTACGAATGTATTTGGAGTAGTTGGCATTCATGTGTTCTGAAAGTCGAGCTCTTTCAGCAAATCCTTCTTGGCTCTCTTGACGATCCAAGTCGCATAGACGACACTGACATTTGGGTATGGAGAAGGCGTCTAAAGTCTTTTTTCGATCGGGGTAGGGCGCGTCTAGTGGAACATAGCCGAGGAATATTTCTTGACCGGCTTTGATGGCCGTAGCGCTATGAATAAACATCATCTCACCGATACAGAACCGAGTAGAGTTGGGGAAACAGTCGTGATTGGCGAGTGAGGGGAGTGGCCAGATACCGTGTCTCTTGGGTGAGCCATCATCAGAAAAGGAGTTGAATTTGACTATACTTCGAATACGATCGGCTGAGAGCAAGGGAGGTGGGTTGTCCAAATCAGCCTCTGTCACTGAAAAGTTGGACAAGTCAGCTGCATCATGCTCGCCATAATAGAGAGCTGCCAATTTCTTGGAGATGACTGGTGTATTTTTAATATCTTGGTTGGTAAGTGCCACCATCTTGACTGAACCGTGGTCAAATGCCACATGGTCCTTGTAGTTGATGACAAATCCAGTCTCTTTGTTGCCGACCTCGTCTTGGTAGACACCGACACCTCTCGACGCCATCAAGAGCGTGCCGACGGGTATATCTTTGGCGGCGACTATGCCACGTCCCATTTTCTCGGTCATGATGATCTTGACCGGCCCGATATACTCGCTGCAGTCGACTTGTTGACCGCCATTTGAATTAAAGTCTTGACGAATGGCGCGATAGTTGAACTTGCCGGTATCGCGCTCCGAGATACGCTCCTTGATGGCGGCCAGACACCGCTTGGCCTCCTCGCTCTTGGGCTGCACGTCTCCCAGCTTCTGGTAGTACTCGCCCGACTTTTCGTAGAGCCCGAGGTGGTAGTACGCCTTGCCGAGTCGCGCAAACACCTTTTCGTTGCCGGGTAGGCGTGTCAAGAGCGACATGCCAAGTGGCAGACACTCTTGGTACCGCTTGAGTGCGAGCAGTGTCGCCAGCTTGTTGAGCGACAATATAGCGTGCTCAGGCTCGAGCTCAAGACCCGAATGATACGCAGCTAGCGCCAACTCATAGTCACCGCTTGTATAAAAGCTATTTCCACGTAGACGCCACCCGTCAATATCCTTGGGCAACTTGGATCGCAACGAATCTTTCCAACCCTTGTCATAGAGATGTGGGTGGTTTGGATCCTGTATAAACTCTATATCCTGTGGATTTTCAACACGAACTGCGTAACCACCAGACAGAGTAATCTTAAAATACGGTTCTTTGATGGCCATGATAACACCCACTGGGAATGTCTTGTCGACCAAGTCAGACATTGTACCCTTTCCCGAAAATACAAAATTGTATAACGAGACGGTCAATGCAACGTCGCTGTTTGGTCCAGCCTTTTGATCCTCTACTAGTATTTGGATAGCGTTCATTTTAAACGACTCTACAATACTTCTGACAATCAGAACGCTGCCCTTGTGGATAGTCTCGATCAAGAGATCAGTGATTTCGATTGGTTTGAGTTCCGACAGACTCTTGGTCGATGGTTCCTTGGCCAAACTGTCCTTGTTGGTCGTCGTTGTGTACAACTTGAATTCCTTGTCACCTACCAATCTTGCATGCTCCTTTTTGTGAAATGCTATAGTGTCTCTACGATTTGTCAACATTGGATTCTTCATTCCTTTGAATGCCTTTTCTACACCTATTTCATCTCTAAACTTCATCAACTTCATCAATGCCCCTAAACTATGTTCTTGACCATCTACATTAAGTTTTTCTCCTCCTCCTCCTGATTTCTTCTTTTTTGCTGATGCTCTATTCATGATTCTTTACTAATAATAATAAATAATAAGAATAAGTATAACTAATATATAACTATATATATATCGACGACCACAAACACAATGAACTTGAAAACAAAAAAATTAAATTAATTAAAGTTAGCTTGCAGAATGCTGATGTCTTGGTCCCTGTGCACTAAAATATTTTTTTATTAAAGATATATAAATTTATAAATATATTTTTTAATATTTATATATTACCAACAACTTGGTTATCGCAAAGTTGTCACACTCCTTTACAAACACTTTGATGATATACTCATAATATTAGTTTGTTATGAAATATATAATTCTATTTATCTTGCACAGACAAATTGTATTTATAATAATAATAATAATTAATAAATATATTTATAATTGAATAATTATCTTTATCAATGCATGTATGATCATCGGGATCGAGATCCAAGAAAAGTGTTTCGCGCTTTCTTATAAGTTTTTTTTCTTGTTGTCCTACAAAATATCGCGCGGTGTGTTTTATTTTATGTCATTTAGTTTGCAGCAGAGAGATAGATAGATATAGATAAGATAGATAGACTGTAGATGGAACATAGTGAAGAATACAAACTATTTAAGAGTTGGGTACCAGCTCAAAAGATCAGTTTGGGTGGTCTGAGTGAAAAGGTTTGGAAGTACTATGATTTCGGTCCAAAGGATGTTGCTCCACTCATCCTCATACCAGGTGTAAGCGGTACTGGTGAAATCTTTTATAAACAAATGGTATCTCTTTGTCCAAAAGGTTTCAGATTAATAGCTGTATGTAGAGAATAGTATAGAATCGAATAGAAAAGAAAAGAAAAGAAAGAAAGAAAGAGATTGAATAGAGAGAGAGTCAAGAGAGAGAGATAGATACTAACAAACTAGATTCAATTCAATTCAATTCAATATCTATCTAATCTCTATATAGATACATTATGCACCATACGAATCATTAATTGGATTTTGTAAAGGATTTGATCGGTTCTTGGACAAGTTGGGATTAGAAAAGGTACATTTATTGGGTACTGCTTTGGGAGGGTATTTGGCACAATGCTATTATCAAACGAGACCTAGTAGAGTATTGTCGTTGATTCTCAACAACTCGTTTTGTGATACTCAATACTTTCACGACAATGCATCTTGTGCTGCCATCTTTTCATTGATGCCAGAGTTTATGTTAAAAAGAATCGTCCTAAACAACTTTCCACAGGGTGAAGTCGAGCCCGACGTTGCCGAGGCAATCGACTTTATGGTACAACAATTAGAAACACTCAATCAATCTGAACTCTCTTCAAGACTCAATCTCAACTGTGCATTGGGTATGCTTAATCCATCTGGTGGTTTAATGAGTAATATTACTATTATTGATGTATGTCAAAAAGAGACAAAAGAAAAAAGAAAGAGACAAAAAAGATATACTAATATTTATTTATTTAATTTATTTATTTATTTTGTTTAGACATTAGACTCAACAACAATACCAGAAAGATTAAGAGAAGAGGTTTATAAATTCTATCCAAATGCAAAGATTGCTTATTTAAAGAGTGGTGGAGATGTTGCCTATTTGTCAAAGGCATCAGAGATGAATGTTCACATTCAAGTTCATCTTCGTAATTTTGGTTTGGATCCATTAAAAGAAGATGGTAAAGATGATGATGATGAGGAGGGTGAGGAGGAAGAAAAGGAGGATAACAAAAACAAAGAAGTGAATGATGGAGAATCACCAACAAGATCAAAAGAACAAAATACCGCCACTACCTCTACTACATCATCTTCAACATCCCCAACAACAAATAATATAAATAATAATCAACCACCACCACCTGTTCAAGAAAGAAAGAGTTTATTCAATGATACACATTTAAATGATGATGGAGAATTGGAAGAAGATGAAGATGAAGAATTATACCAAAGTATTTTCAAGAATGCAAAGACTTTGTCAAACAATAACAACAACAACAATGGTACTTACAACAACAAAGAATCAATTTTCGAATCAGCTGATCATCATGAATAGACTATAATATAATAGTCTAAATGTATCATCAAATAATATAATATATAATCAACATCCCCATCAATCAATCAACCAACCAATCTATTAGCATTCATGCCAACCCAAGAAAACAGATAATAATATTTAATTAGGTAGATTAAATATTTATTTTAAACGAAAATAATAATAATAATAATAATTAATAAATTATTTATTATAGCTTAATTTATAAGAAATCATCAACACTATATTCTTCTCTTCCAAATATTGAATTAAATTGAGCTTTCATAATCTTGTTAAACAAATGGAAATTTGAACCTTCCTTTTCAATTTTTCTTAGTTTAGAAATACTAGAGATACCTCCAAAAAAGTAGTTTTGACCTATAAAGACGACAGTGTCATCATTGGGACCTGCAATGAATCTAAAATCAATCTTTTCTTTTAGGAAATTCCATCTAATACTAAATGATCTTTGGTTTCTAGCAATCCATTCCAAATTGTGTGAACAACCAAACATATTACCTGATATTAATTTACATGACAGAGGTAGTATCTCTGCTGGCAAATCCTTTTGCAACAGCCAACTAGAATCCTTAAATGTAAAACTTTCTAAACTCTCTGGAAACAATCCAACATAAATTGGTATATCAAATCTAAATACATTTAAACTTTTTAATGTTGATGGGAATTTAACTTTTGGATTATTCATTTTTTCATCTAAACTTAACAAAAAAGAGAAAAAGAAAAAAGGTTAGTTAATTATTTTTAAAATGATGAATGTATATAGTTATTTACATCTAATGTATAAATGGGTAAGGTTAGGTGGTAAATGATTCATATGATATTCATAATTGTAAAGTTTTAGATGAGTGATTTGTGTGTTGACAATCATTTGTTGCCATTGTTGGTTGGGTTCTAATTTCCATGTGGAAATGTCTAGATGAGTGAGTGAAGTGGGGAATGGTGGGCAACTGATAAAATACTCTGTCAAACTAATTAGTTTACTCAGGTAGTGTGGGTATTCATCTAAATCATCCAACCCGATACCTTGAATGACACGTACAGTATCTGGTACCACATCTCTAGGCATTGGATTACTAGAGTGACTGCGAAGAAACTTTAGTTCCTGTAGTCGAGGTGGGACTGACTCTGGTTTCAATTGATGTGTAAATCTCGGTCCGAATGACAACGTAGTGACACTCGATGGAATGGCACCAGGTGATACTTTAGAGTTGGATAGAATCAGATCGGTCACTGACGATGGGATGAGTAAAGGATCATTGATTTCTTTGTTATGGTATGTCCCAAATTCAAGTGTTTTAATAGTTGATGGAATCGATCCAACTACAATAGGTCGTTTGCAATCATACACCAAGTTTGTGGCGGATGGTGGTAGAAATGATAGATCAATAGCATCCTTTACACCATCCATAGATCTAACTATGACCCTTGAAATATCATTTGAATCTTTAAAGATTGCCGTGTCAACTTGAGTATTAAACATTATAATCAATTCTAAGTTTGAAATGAATAGAGATTAATAGTTTAATTAATTTAAATCATTATCATCTCTTTGTTTCTACTTACCATTGTGAATAGATGGTAATTGATTTTTAATTGATCTAATGATACTATCGTTGAATGAATTTAAGTTAAATTGTTTAAATCTATCCTTTTTGATCATTTCGATTAGATTAGAGATAGACTTTTGAGTACATCCATGTGCATTGAGAAACTTGTTGTGAAGTTGAAATGCATTGGCTAGGAACTGTTCTCTTTTGGTGTAAAAGTATTTACTCGTCAGTGTTAAACATATACTATCAATAGGTTCCAAAAATGATATGATATGTATAACTATAATATTTGATACACATGTTAGATTCATTTTAAAAAACAACATTGCAATGTTGTTTATTTTAAAGTAAAATATCTTTGTTTTTAATAATATTATATATAGATCTATTTTTTTTTTTTGTATTATTATTACAATTATTTCTTGATTTAAAAATTATTATTATTTGTGTGTTCTTGTGTTGACCCAATCTGATATTTTGTTGTGTACTGGATTGGTATTGATTTGTTGTTCTTGTTGTTGTTGTGGTTGTTGGGTGGTGTTTGGTTGTTTTGGGATGATTGGAACCATTTTTGTAGCAATGTTGCTTAGATTATTAAAACTCTTGTTTAATCTCTTTGTAAATTTCAATTGAACCTTTCTCTTGAAAACTTTAACAATCACAAAAATAATAGAGATTGTTACGAGTGATACACAAACTGCAATTACAATGATTTTCCATTTGCTGTTTGCTATTGAATTACATTTACCAGAATTGTCTGGATTAACAACCAATGCTGAGAAATCTGGATCTAGTACACACTCTTGGCATTGAGGAAATCCAATTCCAATCATTACAATTGATTGTTCATCGTTGATTGGTGTAGATGATATGTTTTGAGTTTGTGAGTAGGTTGGTCTTCCATCAGACATTGCAACATCAATGAATCGACCGTTGAATTGGATATCATCTTTGACTACTCTGAGATATTGCAACATTGACAATGAATCAAAACTGAGTGTTGAGATATCTTTGTCTGTGCAATCATATTTAATCGATTGATTATTGTTGATCAATGTTTTAAATACAACTCGAAGTGTTGATAAATTTGATGAATATTGCCACTTGCTGATATTGACCTCAAGTTTGATAGAGTTGGCATGTAAAAATAGTTGTTGTCCTCCAAATTCAACTGTTCTTGGTTGTGTAGAGAATGATATAGTTGATAGAACTTGAGTTGGTTGGTATGTTGGGGAGGATAAAGTATTCAATTGATAGTTGACAATAGTAGTGTGATTATTGGTGGCTGTTTTATTGACATTCCAAGTGTAATTGGATATAAATAATTCTTTGGCAATATTCTTATCGAAATTTAATTCTTGAATGGAAAACATTTCAAATAGAAAATCAATTCCGTCAATGTCAAATGATACTGTTGGATCTGTTGTATTGGGTGTAATCGTCATATTAATGATATCTAAAATAATAGTTAATTAATTAATTAATTAATTTTAATAAAAAGAATTAAATATTAATTTGTTTAATACATACATTTTGACAAACAATTATCAATATCACTATAACCATGTTGACATTGACATTTGCCATTATCATCACAATATCCATGGCCATAACAATTAGATGTATTCTTTTCACATGATGATTTTGATATTGGTGAAGGCGATGGTTGAGATGGTGGTGATTGAAGATATAATATATTTCTTGCAGTTGTATTTAAATCATTATTCAATTTCAGTTGAACAGAAGCCAATCCAAATGATGGTTGTTGATCGATTGTACAATTGATTTGGAATTGTGAAAGTGATTCAACAACGCAGTTGATTGTACTATTAATAATGATTGATACGTTTGAATGGTTGGATATTGGAATTGATGGACCAAAATCACCATTCAATTCAACATACTTGTTGTTTGTTGAATTATAATTTCCTGAACTAATAATTGGATATGCTAAAAAATTAATTAATTAGTGATATTGAATCAAACAAAGAGATAAAAATTATATAATACATACGTTATTGAACAATTATTATAAAATAATTTACTATTACATATACATATACCATCAATAGTACATTTTCCATTTCCATAACAATTATTGGTTGATTGTTGACAGAAAGACCTTAAATTAATGGTAAATTGTACTTGTGATTGTATGTAAGAGTTTGAAACTATTAATTGATGATCTCCACTCGATAGAAGTGGTGTTGTACATTCAAACTGAGAGGGGGAAATATTTGTTAAATTGGTACAAGCAGTACTATTATCAATGGTTATTGTGTGATTAAAATATGGATTATAATCTAAATTAAACTTGATAATGATGTTGTTTTGGTTGATTTGTAAAATAGTTGGTTGACCAATATTAATATCATCCTTGACCATCATCATTTGTACTATTTGTGGATCTAAAATGATTGTGACTAGAGTTGGAATCTCTGGTATTGGTGTTGCTTGTGTATATTTGAATGATAATTCTTGGTTTGATATTGTTGGGTTGAGAGTATAATTTGATTCATAAGATCCATATCCAATGTTGTTACCTAAAAGTTATCAAAAATATAATAAAATGAGTGATTTACTAGCCTTTCGATTTAAATTTCACATATTGATTATTATACATACCTTTAATAGTAGCGATATTGTTATTGGTAACTAAAAGATTATCTTTGTTATTAATGGTGACTTTAAAATAAGATAGAAATGAGTTAGTATTACAACACATCAATTGATTAAATACTTTGTGGATAAATACCGGGACATTGGAAATTGGGTGGAGCCTGTAAATCTGTTATTACATCATATCTGGATGTACCTTTGTAACACCAAACACATGATGGAAGTGATGAAATTGCAGTACTATCGATTCTCAAACTAGTTATTCCACAGAATGATTCAGTAATGGCACCATTAAAGTTGTAGTTATAAGAAATAGACAAGGTTCTTAAAGTGTTTGGTAAATTTGTTGAGAAATTTTGTAGGTCATTATTATCTAGATATCTTTCAAATTGACATAAATTAGTATCAATCGATATGTTATCATTATTATTATTATAATCATACAGATCTTTTAATTGTTGAGGAGCCTGGATAAATGAAAAAGAGGTAAGTCCCATTTCTTGCATTGATAAATATGTGAGGTTTGAATATAGTGTAGCAATACTAGAACTAGGGTATGGGAATACTGTTGATTGGGGTCCATTGATCCTCCTTAATCAAAAGTGTGAATATTAATAGAGAATGCTATTGTGTGTGTGTATGTTTAACTTACAATGTTTCTATACTGAATGGATATCCTATTCTTAAGTGGCATGCAGTGTCATGTCCCGCCATTATTACGCAGTGTCTGTTGGAACAACAAATCAAATTAATATAACGAATATAAAACACAATTATTTTAAATACGTACATTAGCTTTAACTTGGTGACATCTTTATTCAAATGGACAGTGGTATTTGATCTTGAGAAAAGGTAAACCAGACTTTAAACAATGATTAGTCAATATTCTTTGAATTATTAAATGAATTAAATGACAAAACTTACAATTTCCGAAGGTTTGGAAATGATTTAGCTGTTATATTGATATGGTGTGATCCAGCGGTACAATTGGAATGAAAATAATAATCAGTGAGAGAAGGAAAGTAGAGAGAGTCGTCAACGGTAATTGATGAAATTGGGAACCAAGCAATGATCGATTGAAGGCTGATAGAGTTGTTTAAAAAGGTATGAGGTACGACCAAAGGATTATTGTAGTCGAATAAGAAAAACGAGGTAAGATTAGGAAAATTATTAAAATCGCCTGGAATGTAGCTTATCGATCTATCCCCTTGCAATATAATTATATTCAAACTTTTAACAGATTTGAGCAACTCTAAGATATTGATTGACCGATTGGCAACTTCTTCACTCCGTAATTCGATATATTGCAAAGCAGGCATTGTGAATGACTTGGCCAAAGAAGGGGGGTTTCCAGATGGAATACCTGTTAAAGTGAAAGTACTTGATTCAATAATTAAAGGTTAATAATTATATTCTTTTCCAAAAAAGAAGCCAAATTATAATATTATCTCTTTTCTCTCTCATACATTTCAACAATATGATATTTTTCATCAAACGTGTTGCTGCTATCACAAACAAATCTTGCACCCATTTTTGATCCAGAATATGATTCACATAGAGACTGATTCTCTGGTTTTGGTATTCCATATTGTCTATTAAATACAACAACAATAACAATAAAGAGAAAATAGTAGTAGAGTGATTAGTAAACCCAAACTTGTGCTGACAATGAACTCTTTCAAATAATATTATTACTTATGATGCATACCTAATTAGAAATATAGCTGATGCAACTATATTAATGGAGGAGTGAATAATTTGCGAATCAATGTTAAGATTGAGTTTAAACTGGATTCATTTGAGCTATCGATCTAAGTTAATAGGTATAGGTATGTACATACGTTCATCATCTGGAAGGGTTTGTTGTGATAGCGAAATATTATAATGACAACAAAATAGCAATGTCACTATCGTTATCACTAGAAACTGGTTACTACTACAGCTGATGAGAGTGTTCTCCAGCTTTATCCTACTTCTACTATTACTATTCATATACATTGTTGTTGTATTTTTAACTTGATGTATGTTGTGATTAATCAATATTGATCATTGCAATGACTGATTGATTGATTGATTGATAGATAGTGACATCAACAACCAATCTATAGAGCAGATCAAGCAACCAGAACCCTTCATTTTCAACAAGCCAACATTGAGAGTAAATAGCCATATAACACCAAGATTAAGTAAATGGGTAAGTATGTGTACACATACACATATACATATATGCGGAAATGGCAATGGGAATAATAATATTAATGATAGTGAGCGTGGTAGTGGTGGGTACATACCATGATCTATTTAAAAGTGAACTTTTTTTTACTTAAATTATTTTAATACTACCCCCATTTTAATCCGCCGCTCTTTCTTTTTTTTTGATATTATACAAAAATATTACAAAATATAATTTATTTTTTTATTTGTTTCAACAGTTTAAAATAAATTATTTGTTTACTTTTTTACTTTTTCTTTTTTTTTTATACAAATATAAATAAATGTTTTTTTTGTTTTGAGCAATGGATGTGTTTAGGCATCGAGAGCACTTTCAAATACTTCATTTTCACCACCTTCGAGGATACGAGCGACTGGGGTGTATGGAGCGTAACCCTTTTTGGTGACATAGTCGGTGGCGTATTGGAAGGCAGACTTCTTTTCAGAGTGCGATGACTTGAGACCGACCCATACAAATACTTCAAAGACGAGATCGAGGATAAAGACATCGTTGGTGTCGAGTTGCTTACGGCTGATCTTGCCGGTGGCGACTTCGGTAAAGGTCAACTTGCCCGAGGCGTCAGAGAGACGGTGGAGGGACTTGACGCCGGCTGGCTTGGCAGCATGAGCGGTTTGTGGGGCGATTGGACCCTTGCCTCCGAGCAAAGTCCAGAATTCGGCTGGGATATCAGTGTCGTCTTCGGAAAAGACGATGACTTGTGGGAGACCCTTACGCTCGTCGTCGATGGCACGGGCAAGACTGGCACCCTTGGTACGTTCTTGACCGGTTGACTTTGATCCGTTGAATTGGTACAACTTGAGACCGGCATCGAGAATAAAGACGTCGCCGGAATTGAGTGACTTGGAAGAGAGGTCGACTTCTTGGACACGGACATGACGGTCACCAGAGATGTGGAGGAGACGTGGACGGTAGGTCTCTGGTTTGACATGGTTGAAACCAGACTCAATACCACCACGAAGAATAAAGATAGAGTTGTTTGGGAAGAGGGCTAGGAAACGGTCGGATTCGAAACCTTGGACTTCACGGTACTCGACTGGACCACCACCGAGGTAGTCGTCCAATTCAACGGTCTTGTAGGCAGCAGTACCGGCTTCATCGGTCGAGGTATGTTCACCCAACCAAAAGTAGATATCGTGTTTGAGTGGGGCGGTTGGGGTAGCCTTGTAGCTCTTCAACACAATGTAAGAGTCTCCGTCAAAGAACTTGCCGTATTGCTCCTTTGGCCATGGGACAACCTTGAAAGCTTCGATTCTCCAGACGGTCAATCCTTCTTGTTTACCAACACTCTTCCATTGGGCTTCCAAACCAGCCTTGTCAGTACGACACTTCTTGTCTAGATCAGATCCCAACAAGGCAATGTTTGAAGAGTTAATGTCTAATTTTTGTTGTTTAATCATTTTTTAAAAAAGATATTTATTATTTAACCTAAATCATAAAAATCAATCAAGAAATAAGTCAATAACTTTAATAATCAATATGAATTTATAATGGTCACATGACAATAAAGTGTGAAAAGAACGAAAGAAAGAAAGATTTTTTGTTATGCAGAAATAAAGAGAGAGAGAAAGTGTGATCGATTATTTGATTAATACTTACAAAGAATTATAATTATTATGTATTTGATTGTATGGTTAATATAAGTAAGGATGTTGTGTGAAGATATTTCAATAAATGAAATTAAGACCTGTCTTTATAATGGTTAGGGTCTGACCGTTACAGGCCACCAAAGGTTTGAAATTAATTTATGATCACAAATTTTTTATTTGATTTTTTTTTGTTTTCAAGCTTGTGCAATGACCAAATCAGGACAAACTAATTTGTCGATCGAAGCACTGTTTTTTTCTTTTTGTTTGTTGGGTTCGGCGAATGTGAGGAAGAAAGAACAACTCGTTGAATCCTTTGTTTTTAAAATATCGTGATGCATGTAAGAAGCTTTGTGCACGAAAATGAAAATGCGATGGCCTGTTTGTTAACTGATTCGTTGAATGTTTACCTTTTATGTATAAAGAGTAGAGACTAGACTTTTGCATTTGATGAACACTATTATTCTAGGTTTAGCAGCAAGAACAATAGCTGATGGCAATTTGATAGATGAAATATAACCTAGGTGTATGCTTTAGGTTATCCTTGTTTCTGATCGAGAGAGAGTATCCAATGAGTGGACCAATGATGTTACGTACTTCTCCCCAAATTTATTCAAGTCCAGTTAGAGAAATATTGGTACTCAATCCTCTACTTCCTTTGATTTCAATATCAAACGATAGTGTCGTTTTTCAACATAGATGACTGACTGTGGCAAGACGCTGTATCTTTACTGATCATCTGATTTTTTTTGGCAGTAAGCTATTTGTTCATTTATTACAGAAAAGCTGGTTCAAAAAAAAGAACATTTGATGAGGCAAGTATCTTTTTGGAGAACTAAGACGTAAGTAGAGAAATGGTAATATAGATATGAATAGTAACTACCAACGCAATAAAATAATCATCAACTTTTCCTTTCTACCTCAAATAAACCCAATCATCATCAATTATAGGTATAGACAAGTTGTTCTTTGGATGTTTGACGGTTGATGAGCATTTGTTTGGTGACAAAACATATTTCAGTCGCCAAACAAATGTTCTACAGTCCTGATCTCTCTCTCTCTCTTTCTCTTTCTCTATCTATCTTTCATGATAATACATTGTGATTGTTGGTATATATAGAGAGAGAGACAAGTAATGGAATAGTATGTATGTGTATTTATTTAATTTAATTAATTAATTATTTAATATGATAAATTCTATTAATAGTTTCAGTAATTGAATTAATGGTTCCATTTGATATTTGAGCTTGATTTAAAAGATTGGATTTCTTAAATTCACTTTCAACCCAAGATCTAATTTGAATGGCAATCATAGAGTCTACACCATAGTCTTTTAGTTTGGTGTCACCATTTAGTAAATGTTTTTCAATTGACAACGTCTCTGCAATGAATTCTAGGATCTTGTTTTCTATATTGTCTTGTTGTTGGGAACCATTAATATTGGTCGATCGTTTTGGAATCACATCAGATGATAGACAAAAGAGATGAGAGAGATTTGGTGACGACGCAACAAACTTGGTTGACAAGGATGCACATTGCAGAACTGTAAAAGGAGTGTCATGGTTGATAAACGACGCACGAAGTATACCATAGACTGTATAAAGTGGCAAAAGGTTGAAACCAACCAATTCTAGTCCTTCATTTGATCCCTTGATAATGGCAACTCTACCGGTCGACCCAATGGATCCCCAGATAATAGAGGTGCCACTCAATCCAAGACTACGACGGTGCAATGCCAGATTATCAAGGAATGAATTGGCAACCGAGTAACTAAAGCTTTCTCTTCCTGTAAATTGAGCCATCGATGACATTGTGTGGAAATGGTTCAACTTCCAACCCAACTCTTCAAATAGATTGTGTAGATTCCAAGCTCCAATTGCTTTGGCCGAGAGTGCTTTGTGATGTACATCCAATGTCAAATCATCAGATAATGAAAAGACATAATTGTTTGCACAATGAATAACTGATTTGACTGGTCGAATCGTCGATCCATGTGTTTGATATAATTGTTGAATGGATGAAGCGAGTTGACTGTAATTTCCAATATCACATTGTAAATAGTGAAGTTGAACGTGTTGATATTTAGTCTTGATATCATTGACCAATAATTGAATTTCATATTTTGGTGATGAATAAGATACAACTATAATATCACGTAGTCTGGGTGAATGTTTAATGATATATTGAAGTGATTCTACAGCTACACCAGTTTGACCAGTGATGAGTAGAGTGTCTTGTACACCATCAAGTTGATAATGTAATCTTTCAATTGGTTTCTTTTGTTCCAATAACATTGGTTCCAATATTTCTTTTTCCACCGTTTCAAAGTCAACTACCACCTTTCCAATATGTTTTCTTGATCTGACATGATCCAAAGCTTGAGTGATTTGGTGACATGGCCAAGTCTTAATAGGAGGTAATTCCAACCCCTCAGCAATCAATTCCTTTATTTGGTTGTGATAATGTGTGAATTTTAGATGATAGTGGAATGCAGAATACCCCTTGTCAAACTTGAATGGTCCCATATCGATGTCATCCACTTGGAAGAATTGATCAACCGACAAATCAAAGAGAATACCATTCTTGTAGAGACATTTAAAGTTTTCGTGCATTCTAGTATAGTCTAGTGTATTGACTACATAATTGACACCTTTTCCAAAAGTCATTTCCAGAATGGGTTGAGTAAAGTTGTCATAGGACAGAATGGCCGTGATAAAGGTTCCATATTGTTGTTTTAGATAATCCTTCTTTTCGGTAGATCCAGCCGTTACAAATATCTTTCCTTGGTGTTTACCATGTTTCAATAGGTTTAACATTCCCAATCCAACACCACCAGCTGCACCATGAATAAGAATGGATTGATCCGATTCAATATGTGCTTTCTTATACAACACACAATATGCAGTTCCCATTGATAATGGTAAAGATGCTGCTTGTACAAACGATAAATATTTTGGTTTGTGAATCAAAGCTTCTTCCTTTGCAAGTGATGATGATGCAAATGATGCTGCTGAGTAACCATAAACTTCATCTCCAACTTTAAAATGACTAACCTTTGATCCTATCCTTGTTACAACACCTGCACAATCTTGTCCCAATGGAGGATCATTCGCATCACCAGATGGGAATAATCTTTGATCTACTCGGCCTAAAAATAAATAAATTAATTAATATAAATTGTTATTTGATTTTAATATAATTAAATGTTTCAAATTACCTTCTAAAATCATTAAATCTTTAAAATTAATTGATGCTGCTTTAGTTTGAACTTCAACTTCATTGTCTCTTAATATTTCAACTTTTGGTCTTAGATGATATTTTGAATCCTTTTCAAATTTGACTCGGGATTCTTGTTTGTTTGTAATAATAAATCTTTCATCCAATGGTAATGCATTTGGTGTTTCAACAAATCTTTCAATTGATAGTTGAATGGTGTCATTGATAAAATCCAATCTAACATGTTTTTCACCAATGTGTTGATGGTTGGCATATTGTAATATTTGAGAGAGTGAAATTTGATTGGTACATTGATCATCCATCGTGATTGAAATAGAGTCAAACATGAATAGTCCAGATGGACGCTGATACTCTCTACATATTGGAATCAAACAATGATTCAATTGACTTGCTATCAATGTTATTAATTTGATTGGTAATTGCTCCTTTCTAATGATTTGGTGTAATCTAATTAATTGCATTGATTTTAATTCTAAATTATCAATTTTCATTTCTTCAATTGATTCTAAATATATAATTGCTACTTGAGTATTATGATCCTTATTAAATGAAATTGAATCTAATAATATTTGATATTTAGTTTCATCCATAATATCATCAACTGAGAATAAACTAATATTATTATTATTATTAAATTGTTGTTTTGATTGTTCAATTAATCTTGCTAATAATAATGAAGAGGGGGAAGAAGTGGATGAGGACAAACTTGGAGTAATAAATAATAAATGATCAAAGGATTCAATTTTAGTTTCTTCAATTGAATCTTTTTGACAAATTAACATTATTTGATCACTTTGAGTTTGATTGATAGTATGTTGAAGTATATTGAGTTTAGATGATTTGATAGTATCGATTAATGAATCTCTATTTTCATCTGGTGCTGAATAATTGTCGATGAATACGAGTTGACCATTTGGATTTAATAGTTGGCATAGTTCCAATGTCAAATTCTTATTGTTTTGGACAAGATCCAATGACAACAATACAAGATCAAAACTATTTGAAAGGAAACCTTGATCATCTAATGAAAATGATGGGTTATAGTCTTGATAGAATTTAAAAAACAAGTTATCCTTTTTGACAAAGTCCAAAGAGATTGAGACCTCTTGCGTGGTAAAATCAATAATCGTAGAAGATTGATTAGAATCCAAACAAGAGAAACAACATCTCAAGAAATCAAAAGTTATTAATTCATTTAGAGTAAAATCCAATACTCTAATGATTTTATGTGTTGATGATGCAGACTTTATAAATCTTTCCAAATATTCAAAAACATTATCCTGATTGACTGAACCAATATTGTTTGAAGGAGAATTCTTTGGTTGATAAATTGATTGTTTGATGAATTTTGATGGATGTTTGGCTTGATGAGTTTTTACTACTTTGGTCAATGATGTACAAATGATTGTTTTACATTTGATAATAATGTTTCCATCTTGATCAATGATATCAATCGATCCTTTAAATTCATTTCCTCGTTGTTGTCTATCTTTTGTCTTTAGTGATGGTTTTGCAATGTTGAATAGAGTGTGACAAGGATGTTTGGGAACATGATTGGATGAGATGTGGAAATCTTCAACTCTGTCAAATACAACTTCACACTTTTGATGTTCACCTTTGAATTGAACAAGATTGGAATGAAGAATACAGTCCAACACCGACGCATTCAATACAGTATTTGATTCTTCAAAATGGTTTCTTGCACAACACTCGATTTCAGATAAAATAAAACCATTTTGATTAAATGATATTTGTTTGACTCGACGGAATGTTTCACCATACAATAATCCTACTTTTGCCAATTTTTCATAAACATCTGTTTGTGTCATTGTTGCAATATTGTAAGATTTTTGTTTCAATTGTTCAACATTATCATACTTGAATGACTTGTCTTGAACTTGGGGATTCTTGATTGATAATCTTCCAACTGATGATTTAATCCATTTAGATACTTTATCATCATAATATTGGAATACAACTTGATAATCGGTTGACGATGATGAAATAAATGACGATTTTAATCTTGACGGTGAGCCTTCTTTGAGAAAGAATGGCGCGATGAATTCAAGGTGATGGATATGAATATCTTTGTTTGGGAATGCATTGATAATGTTTTCAATGTATCCAGCTCCTGGAAATAGATATTTTCCTTTTACTTTGTGACCTTTTAAATATTGATATGATGGTCTTGCCAGATCAATCGTTGATTCAAAGGTGAGAAGTGATTCACTATCACCACATATTCCAAGCAGTGTTGTTGAAGTTCCTTCCAATCTAATCTTTTTAAATGTTGGTTGTTCATACCACAAATATTCCGCATCCCATTGATATCTTGGTAAATATCTTGTTCTATCTTTCCATTGGTTATCTTTTTCACTTGTTAATTGATTTTTAAAATCAACATTGACACCATTAAAATAAAGTTGTGATAAACATGATTGAATTGATTCAACTTGATCCTTTTTTCTATTTAATGGCGACAATATAGTGGTTGGTGATTTTTGTTGTTGTTGAGATAATAATGTCTTTAAATAAAATGATAATGTTGAATGTGGTGCAATCTCTAAATAAATATATTCTTGATTATTATTTATAAATTGATTGATATTATTAATTGATTGTTGAAATAATACCGGGTTTCTTAGATTATCATAAATGTATTGTGCATTAAATTCAGATGATGATTTGATTTGTTGTGAAGTGGTTGTTGAAAAGTATGGAATGATTGGTTTATCACATTGGTATTTAATATTATTTTGCAAATGATTAAATATAAAATCTTTGGTTGATTCTTGTTTCGATGAATGGAATGAACATGGTGTTCCAAGGAATGCACTAAATATATTATCATCTTTGAGTTGTTGATTGATTGATTCTAGTTGTTCTTGATCACCTGACAATACAATTGAATCTGATGAATTATAGCATGCCAATTCAATAGATTCATATGATTGTTGAGAGAATCTTTCTTTATACTTTTCAAATGATAATGATACTGCCAACATTCTTCCACTTCCAATAGTTGTATTTTGAGCTACACTTCTAAGATAAACAATTCTAACAGCTTCTTCTAATGATATAATTCCTGAACACCATGCTGCTGTTATATCTCCAAAACTAAAATAAATATAAATATGAATTAATAATTATAAATATATTTTTTAATCATTTCTTTTCTTTAAACTTTACCTATGACCAACAACAATTGAAGGAATAATACCAAAATATTGATATAATTTAACCAATGCTACTTGAATAATAAAAGTTGATGGTTGAGCAAGAATTGGATGATGAATTTCTTTTTCATTGCTTTGTCTTAGCTTTGTAATGATTGAATATTGATAATGTTGATAGAGTAAATGATCGACATGATCAACAGAATCTCTAAATACTTTGTAGTGATCGTATAGTTTATCCCCCATTCCACTCCATTGTGCACCTTGACCACAAAATACCATCACTATTGGTTTGTTTGCCGTATGATTTAATTGTGACATGCTCGATACAAATGTTTGTTGTTTTTCATAGACAGTGGTCGATGGAAATGAAAATGAATCCCAATCCTTGGCAACAATCAATTTTTTACAAACTGGATGATTGGTAGATTGCGATTGATATCTAACAAAATCTTCAAATATCATTTTATCTTTAAAAGATTCAACATTATTCTTGATCATATCAATATATGAATCTAATGATTTTTGACTATTTGCTGAAAATGGTATTAAATAATCTAAATTTGATAAATCTAAAAAAAAAAAAAAGAATTAAATTAGAAACGAATAAATAAATATATATTTGAACATACCATTTGAATGATTATTATTATGATTATTATTATTGGATAGTTTTTGTTTATATTCTTCAACAATGATATGAGAATTACTACCAGTTAAACCAAATGAGTTGATTCCCATTCTGATTACTCTATTGTTTGGAAGAGGTTCATTTTCCAAAACAATTTTAATTTTTCCATCCAATAGATCAATCTTTGGATTTAATTCTTTAAAATTGATATTCTTGATTAACATTCTATTCTTGAGCATCATTGCACATTTGATGATAGATGCAACACCGGCAGTACTTTCGGTGTGACCAATGTTACTTTTGACGGATCCTATTCGGATTGGTTGCTCTTTGGTACTTGATGGACCAAATACACCTGCAATACCTTGTACTTCTAGGGGATCACCAGTGGGTGTTCCAGTACCGTGACATTCGACATAGTAAATGTCAGATGGTAATAGTCTAGTCTTGGCAAGTGCAGTTTTGGTATTGACCTGTTGAGCAGCATGTGATGGAGCAGTGGGAGATGTCTTTTCAAAATTACCGTCGGCATTACAATTACCTCCTTTGATGACACAGTAGATATTGTCATTATCCTCAATTGCCTTTGACAATCGCTTGAGAACAACTACACCAACACCTTCACTACGTACATATCCGTCAACTGACGAGTCAAAGGATGCACATTTACCAGACTTTCCAATCAACCCCAATTGAGTAAAATGTATTGATACGGTCGGTTCAATAAACGCATTCATCCCACCGCAGATAGATATATCGCTTTCACCACTACGAAGAGTGTCGATACCTTGCAATATACCAATCAACGATGATGAGCATGCCGTGTCTACCGACAAAGCAGGACCACGAAAATCAAATTGATAGGCTACCTTGAGTGCAGTGTCTGATCTGCCTGCTCTGAGAATCGGCTTCATCGTTGTGATTTCATGACTCTGCATAGAAGAGTTAGAGTCAAACATCTGACCTATGAATACCGATGTGTTAGAACCTCTTATTGATGCAGGGTCTATGCGAGCGTCTTCCAATGCTTCCCAAACAACCGAGACAAAGAGACGCATTTGAGGATCCATGACCTGGGCATCGGCAGAGAGAGATCTAAAGAACTGACGATCAAAATGAGTCCATTCGGTCATATCTAAGAAACCAGCTCTATCAGTCACGATAAACCCTTGGTCACAGTATGATTTTGACCATCTGTCTGGTGTGACGGTTGTGATACCATCCAAACCTTGGATTAACTGATCATAGAATTGTTGTGGTGTTCTTGATCCACCAGGTAATCTACATCCAATACCAACAATTGCAATATCATCATCTAGTTTTTGTTGTTTATTATTCATTGTCTTTTACAAAGAAGAGGATGAGGAAGAGGATAAAGATGAAGAAGAAGAAGAAGTTGAGAAAGAGAATGAATGTCTAATAAATGATAAAAGACAGATAAAGACAGAATGTTATAGGTTGTTATTTATATATAATATATTGTTGTATATGGTTGTTGTATTTATACCAAACCGCAGGTGTAATCTCTAGCCAATTTAAAGAACAACAAGTTGTTGATTATATGATGATCGGATTTTATTATTGGGAACAAAAGAGATAAACAAACAACAAACTCACATACACACTATTTCCTATTTGGTAAGATGTGACGATTAGTAAATCAATCAGCACTTTATAAGTAAGGGTAGGTAAGGTAGAGTTAAAGTTATACTTTGCTTTGCTTTGCTTTGCTTTGCTGTCTGTAGTTTACTATCATATATACCATATATACCATATACATCTACCCAACACACAGTTCCAACACCCCCAAACCATGGGACAAGATTACAACCAACAGCACACACCCTATCTTAAAGTGCTGATTGATTTACTAATCGTCACATCTTACCAAATAGGAAATAGTGTGTATGTGAGTTTGTTGTTTGTTTATCATCTTTTGTTTTTGAAAATTACCGATTTGACCAACTAAACTGGCCTAACTAAATAATCAATCAAGCCTTAAAAGGAAATATATCTTTCTTATTTTGAAGTACTGCAAGTATTCATTCAATCAATCAATCAAGTATATTATTATTATTATTATTAGTCAATTTGTGAAGAGGGATTTAATCTTTGAAAAAATAAATATCTTTTCTTTTTTCTTTTTTTTTGCTTTTAAAGAGTCGATCAACTTGTCCATCGAAAGAAAGTTATTAAACCTGCCTACAAACAAAGTTTGCGTTATGCGTTCATTGTTTCTATAATTATCGTGATGATAAAAGGTTATTATTTTAATGATTATCTGATGAAAACTGATTTTGAATACTCACCCTTTGATTTTAGGGACTTGGGACTCTACACCAAACAACCCAAGAGCGCAAGCCTTGAAACCTAGGACAAGGTTTTAAAAATTTAAACTCAGCCTGAAAAAACTGAGAACACCCAAATTTGTGTTTTATTGTGCATGCCCTGCATTGTAGTATTTGTTTTTAAAAGATAGATAGACATAACATACAGAGATAGATAGTAATAGATATCATCATAGAATAGAACATAGAACATAGAACATTGTAATAATAGTCGTGTGTAATCAAGAAATCAAAAAGACTACTTTCTCTATCAAGTTTAAATTAATATATCATAATCGAAAAGCAACAACAACAACAACAACAATTGTTATAAGATTTATTGGTTGGCACTATATAAATACACAAAAAGAAGAATAAATTATAATATGTTTTGTTTTGGTCCTCATTTTGATCCGCATAGATGGTATGTAATTACAATTGTTTGTCAGGGGGACACGATGCAATGATTTCTAATCTAATCTATTATCATTTAGCAAGGTTCAATTAAAATTGGCTGTTAGCAGAATACAGATACAAAAGACAAAGAAGGCAAATCTTGTCAAAGATGAAAAGAGACATATAGCAGAGTTGTTGAGAAACCGTAACGAGGAGAGTGCAAGAATTCGTGTTGAAACTGTGATTAGAGACGAGAACCTAATCGAATGTTTTAATATTATAGAAGTACTCTGTGAATTGGTCTTTACTAGATTAGGTTTAATCAGTGCATCAAGGTAAACAAACAAAATAGAGAAGGAAGAAAAAGAAGAAGAAAAAGAATGATTCATAAATATTAATCTATTTTTTGAATTCTAGTTCAATTCCAGATGAAATTAAAGAAGCTATTTATACATTGATTTATGCAAGTCAAAGAGTACAAATCCCAGAGTTGGAGTTGATCAAGAAACAATTGTGCGCCAAGTATGGCAAGGCATTGGAAAACGAGGTCAACTGTCAGTGTCAGACTCACGTCAATCCAAAGATTGTGCATAAACTGTCATATGTGACACCAGAGCCATTCCTCATATTCAAGAATCTCAATGACATTGCATGTGAGTTTCATGTAGATTGGCAGGTTGATCCGATTGTAACGGCCGTTTCACCAACCTATATAGCTGCTCCTCCACAACAACTAGCAGTTGCTCCTCCACAACAAATGATGCTTAATCCAATGGCACCAATGGCACCTCCACCACAATCCACTTTAGCACCACCACCTTTTCCAACCTTGGTAGCTCCACAACACTATCAACCACCTCCACCAGCATATACAGCCTCTCCACAGTTCCCTCAGGCTCCCCAACAACAACCAATTAATAGAACTTCATCACAACCTCAATTCCCTTCACCACCACAGTATGGATCATCTCACCTTAGTATTTCAGCCACATCTTCATCACCAAACTTTGTATCGAATCAAAGCAACAATCAAAATTTTAATATCATGAATCTTCCTTCTCCTCCAACTTCTTTTTCATCTGCACCACCACCACAACCATCCAATAGTAATAATCAATATCCAGATTTTGACGATTTAACTGCAAGATTTGATGCATTAAGAAGACAAAATAATGATCATTATTAATTCAACATAATCAATAATAATATTTATTTATTTACTATAACCGATAAAATACATTTTATTTATTTTTTTAATATATACATTTACATTTAATCCTCCTCATCTAAACTCCAAATTTACATATGATCAAATCATATGTTGTATAATTTTTTTTAAAAAAGAAACCAAATCCAAATACCAATACCATTACTTATATAATTTAATAAAGATTAAAATATTTTATTAATTATAAAAATACAATAACAAATACTACTATTATTTATATTACACATTATGATTTATTTGTTATAATGATTATTTACAAAATTTAAAATACATGAATTAATTTTAATATTTACAGATTCTATATCAGGATGAAGTAGAAATGGATGGTATAGACGAATATATACATTTCTTGCTTTGTAAAGGTAACATAATGCTATTTTGTATTCTTTTAACTCTTGATAATATTCTCCCATGTTTTGGTTCAAGTTGGCAACTCGACGATCATTCTTGCCATAGAGTTGACGAAGAATTCTACGAGCTTGTCGGAATGATTTGATACATTCATCAGTATTTTTCAACTCTAAATAACATAGAGCCATGTTATTATAGGTATATGCAATCTCGTCATGGAAATTGTTATGGTTGAATGCTTGTGTGTAATAGTCATGAGCTATTTGTAAATACTCTAATGCTTTGGTATAATTTCTCAAGTCATTGAAACAACTTGCTATAATACTAACCAATTCTGCCATCTCTAGAGGTGGTGTTGATCGCGTATTATAAATATTTAATACTTGTTCAAGGTATTCCAATCCATTACCATAATCCATTAAATCCAAATAAGACAATCCAATATTTTTCAATGTCAAAGATACACCATTTAAAATCTCTTTTTGTATTTCTGGTGAATGAGTGTTATTATTATTTTTGGACATATTTTTTAAAATATGTAAAGATTCTTGATAATATTCAATGGATTGATGTAAGTAGGTGATTCGGTTGGTTTGGGTGGTTGGACTTGTTGCAAATGATTGTTGAGCCAATAAATGACTTGCCATTCCAAAATAACATAATCCAACTCTATTGTATTGTTCTGATATATTTAATGTTAGTTGTATAATGTATTGATTCTGTTGTTGTTGTTGGTGTAGCGTAAGGTGAGTCTGGTTGTTGGATTTCTTTTTCTTTTTCGGTTTGATTAATTGTAATTGATCTTCCAACATTATTTTTGTTTTGATGTGTAAATCCAATGCTAATGGATAACTACGTTTTTGGGAAACTCTATAATACTCTCCCATTGTTATACATCCTGATATCATATTTAAAAATGCTTCCTTTTGGTCTTTTTGATTATTATACATTTGTTTGTAAATATAAAGTGACATTTCAAAATAGAGTAATGGAGTAGTGAATGGAAGAACCACTTGTTCCGACTGACTGTTATTATTGAATTGTTGCTGATTTAATTGTTGTTGGTGTTGTTGATAATAATAATATCCAGTTTTTGTAAATAAACTTGCCAATATATTTTGATTAAATTTTATACTATTATTATTATTATTATTATTATTATTATTATTATTATTATTATTATTATTATTATTATTATTATTATTATTAGTATCTTCGGTTTGTTGTTTAATGGTTGGATCATTATTTGTATAATTTAAAAAATAAATAATACAAGGTAATATAAATTTATAAATGGAACGTGGAAATAGACTGTTGAAATGATCAGATATGACTACTTGTTGAACATTTAGTTGTTGGTGGTGGATTGGTGATTGATTGTTTAAATGATATGCAATACTTTCAATCATTTCTAGACACTCTTTACCACTAATTTTTTTTGGGTTGATCATTTGTGCCAATTGTTTTTTCCTAACCATCTCTTGAATAGTTGGATGTATTCTAATTCCAGTCATTCCAAATAGTTCTTCTTGTTGATCCATATCATCATCATCAACTTCATTATTGACAATTGTAACAACAGAGAGTATTGCCAAATGTTGGATATCTTGTTGTAATGTGTCTTGATCCAAATAATTAAATGTCGATAATAATTGAACATCTATATATTCTCCATAGAGGAATGATATAGCCAATAGTAATTTAAAAGCATTTGGATATTTCTTTTGAATCTTTCGATAAATTACTCGTTGTAATGTTTTTTCCAATCCAATATCCTTTTTCTTGTTGGCAGATAGTTTTTGTAGAAATTGACTAAATGTTGGAGGAGTAAGTGATGTCCAAGTGAATAATGGGGATGTTTCTGCCTCTACTTTTTTTTGTCCTCCTCGTCTTTGTTGTTTTGGTGTCGAGTATGGTGTTGTATCAAAACTTTCAATACTAGTACTACTTGTAAAACTAGATGAACTGTTTGATGTAAAAGATGATGATGAAGTATCTGGAGTACTTTGTCCCAAACCTGGTAATAGTGCACTTGAAACACCAAATATATGAAGATAAGAAGTGGAAGTGGATGATGGAGATATTGGAGAGGAAGAGGGTTGATTGTACAAGGTCAATAGTTTGTTTTTGTATTGTGATAGTAACAATGAGAGTGAAAGTGGTGTTCGAATATCGAAATTGTGAATTTCAACAGGTTCATCACCTTGTATTGTTATATCTATTCCAATCTGTTTTTCGTATTGTTCCAATGTATATCGGATGAATTTAATTGATTGTTCATCAGTCAATAATTCATTTCTAATCATTACCAATGATTGATTTTGATTATTATTATTTTGTTGAAATAAAGGTGAAATATCAAATCGAGAAGTAATTAGGAAATAAATGTTGGTAGGGATAGTTTGAAGGTTGAAATAAGTGTCAATAATAGTTTGGTCGTATAATACATTATCAAAAATAAATAAAAAGTTGGTCAAAGATGAAGAGGATGAGGATGAAGATGACCGATAATAGTTGTTGTACATAGTTGTATAAATCTTTCGAGCAAGCATGATTGGATTATTGTTGTCTTGATGAAAATGTAGTCTATTGGCAAGTTTACCAAACACCGATTGAATGCCATCTATAATCTCGGCATTAATCCAAATGGGAATGAATTTGTTTAGCTTTTCAGATTGTGTACAGTAATTGTAGGCATGTGTGGTTTTACCGGTACCCGCAATCCCATTTAAAAGAACAATCCTACTCTTTTCAAATGCCTTGTCTATAGCTTGAATGTTTCCATTCCAATCGTAAAAGAGGTTACCCGAGTGGTATTCATCCAATTGCTCCAATACTCGAAGTGAATTTTTCTTGATCATCATTTGTATAGGACATTTTAAAGCAGATTCCATCGTCTCTTGTAATGCGTCCACTACCCGATTTGATTTAATCATTTGTTTTAATGAATTTAAAATTATTTTAAATGATGGTCTTTTCTCTGGTTGATTTGATATACTAAAAATAATTAATTAAATAAATTAATAAATAAATCATTATTATTTCTTTCTTTTTTGATTTACTTACCATTTAGATAATAAATCTTTATATTGTTTTTCCCAATGTTTTGGAATTGATTTTTGAATGTCATAATTACTATCTACAATTGGTTGATTTGAAATCAAAGTAAACATCATTACACCAAAACTATAAACATCTACCTTTTCATTAAAAAAGTTAGATTCCTTTTTAATCTCCTATAAATGTGAAATATATTAGATATGATTATAGTCTAGTCTAGTCTAGTCTAGTAACAACTTACAGGTGCACAATAACCAGGTGTACCTCTAAGAGGTAAATCTAAATCTTTTAAAAAGTTGGGTGAAGGTGGAGGTGTTGTATTGTGTTGGCCACCACTACCTGTTTTACCATAATACTTTATTGGAATATTACAATAGGATATTCCAAAATCACCAATTTTAACTTGTCCACTTGATGATATAAATATATTGCTTGGTTTAATATCACAGTGAATGATATTGATACCATGTAGATATATCATTGTCTTTGACACTGTTTTAAGTATTGTCAATATTTCTTTTGCAGTGTACAATGATGATGACGGTGTATTATTATTATTGTTGTTATTGTTGCTTTTATTCAATCCTCTTTGTTTAGATTGTAGTTGTTTAGATAACATAATATCATACAGAGAACCTTTCATACCCTCCAATACCATTGATTCTTGACCAAACCGATTCTTTACAACTCCATAATACTTTAGTAAATGTTCATTTACAATAGCATTGTTGTTGTTTGAATAAATATATTCATAGATTGACTTTTCATTGTTATAGATTAATCTATTGCTACTGTTCATCATCAAACTAGTTGACTGATTATTCTGTGATTTAATGACATATGTTGTTGTTGTTGTTGGCTCTTCTTGTTGATGATGATATGTTGTTGTTGTTGTTATTGCTTTGGTAATGATACTGTGTGCACCTTGACCGACAATCATTCCAGTGTCATAAAACATTATGGTTTGTGCAGCTTGATCATCAAGATCTTCTGATAAAACAACAACGTTATTATCATCATTCTCTTTTGATGTTGTTGATGATATCATTCTTCTTTGTTATGAATACATAATATATTATCGTATTATTCGACATTTCAGGTGTAAAGACCAAATCAATCGATTCGAATAATATCAACCTACTAAAACCACAGCAATTTTTGAACTTCAAAAATGAACCAACAGTTTACGAAAATATATTTTCCCTCTATATAACAATTTCTGGCGTTTGGTGGTGGACCAAAAGGAGTACTTTTTCTGTACATTCTCACGATGAAAATGGAGGACTCCTCCCCAAATCGACATTATATCCTCTCAAATCAACCCCCCCCCCTCTAAACGTGTGTATTACCATTTTCTAGATTTGGTAATTTGATGATCTATATTCAAACTTTGGTTAGAGGTTCTAGATCTCTCCAACATCTTTTTGTTTTGGTCCCTCCTAACCATTCAATAGTAAATATCCAGTGGTTCGCATCTAATTTTAAACTCCATATCCGATCACCAATCCCTTTTTTGACAAAGGTGAGGGTTACTCTCTTTGGCACCCATGTCATTCCGTCAATGTCTTTATTGTAGGAAATATAGATGTATCCGATGGAAAAAGGTATTCAGTTTCCTGTGTTTGTAAAAGATAGACAGATAGATAGATCTATTACCAGATATCATTATATTAAATAAAAAAATTAAAAATATCTTTTTTTTTTGAAAGATATCTTTTGTAGTAGGACTGATTAGAATTGTTGTAACATATCACAACAAATACGAGTAATCATGCATCAAATAATAACTTATTTCTTTTTATTTGGTCTAATATACAGCAGCTTATTTTCAATTTCAAAAGTCGATGCATACCATTGTACCAACAATCCTAATCTACCGATGGTGTGTCAAACTGCGCCACTATGTGGTAGTATTGTCTCCACACCTACTATTGACTATAATGAGAAGATGGTCTTTTCTTATATTGCTGTATATGATATAGACTACTACTTTAACACTACCAATCAAGCTTCGTTGTTGTTGCAAAATAATAGTGTCATTATCACTTACTTTGGTGGTTGGACGGATTTGGATGCTCTTGCCTTGTTGATATGTGTAGCTCATTTGAATAATGCTCAAGTACATCACTGGACAAGTATAGATTGCGGTGGTGTATACAATGGCAATTATCCATGTGTAGAGTATATGGCTAATAATGGATATATTGATGATATAGCATTGGTTACTCAAATGGGTGCAGATGGCTATAACATTGATATGGAAGGTAGCACTGAATATGTCAACCCTAGTACATTCAAGAATAATTGGATGAAAAGTATTTACAACTATGCTAAAAGTGTTCAGGACACCTATATAGTATCAATTGCTGTTCCATGTGACTATGACCAATCCCAATGGAATACAGATTATACAGATTATTACTTTGTAATGTGTTATGATATGGGTGGTAATGATGGAGTACTTCAATCAAATGCACCTTATTCTTCTGTTCGTCGAGGTATTAGTAATTGGAAGAAAAATGTTAATCATCCAGGAATGGTTATAGTAGGTCTCCCACTCTACGCCTATTTTCAAACTTGTAACCCTATGAGCGACGGTATATACGGTGCTACCTGTTCCTACACACCCACCCCTAATTGGCCACCATCTGTTGGAAACAACCAACTCTACCAAATTGTCAACTCTGCCTTTATGGCAAGTGATGGCATCACATCAACCTCTCAAACACCCTATGTCAACGTAATCCCCACCAGCAGTGCCATGACAATCATTCAATACCAATACGAGTCACCATCATCAATCTACCAAAAAATCAAAGGTTTAGGAATTGGAGGTGTCGGTATCTATAGAGCCGACCTTTTAATTGGTCTTCCTAATTATATGATTCGTGCATACTATACATCTGCTACAAGCATGTATTAAGTAAACTTAATTAATTAATTAACCAAAATTGTAATATTATCTAATAAATAAATAAATAAATCTTTGTTGAATTTATTATTATCTAATCTAAAGTTCTGGTGGTAGGTGAAGGGATGATAATGATGCACCAATGGTTGTTGTATCATTTTGAATCAATACCTTTTCAAAAGATATTAATCGACCTTTACTCTTTTCTTTTTGGAATAGATCAATCATACTACCAAGCACTTTGGGACCAATGATATATCTCATTGTAAGATGAATCTTTGGTAGGTTCTTGTGATTGGTTTCAATAAATGATTCTATTTCCTCTTTTGATAAAAGGTTTAAATGGTATTGGTCAACTGCACATCCTACCGTTTTCAATTCATCCAACCATGTTGTATTAGACATGACCTTTCTCTTTACTATTACCACCTTTATATTAGATGGCAGTTGTCGGAAAATGTCAATAGGAGGTAACTCTTTTAATTTGTTAAATATGAATATAAAGTTGTGTCTTGATGTCTTGCACAATTTAAATAATTCTAAACAACCATTTGCCAATTCCAAGTCACTTGTAGCCGTGTGTGCAATTTTTACAGATTCAATGATTGATTTAATTGATTTCCAATCGTCATTTATGATTGGTATTATTTTTTTACCTTCTTTAGTCATTGTTTTCCAATACCTATGAACAAAGAATGATTTTCCACTTTTCTTCTCACCAGTTACCAAAACTACATTATTTTGTCCAAGCATTGAAATAAATGGATCCAAAGGTCGAGTATCAACTGGAATAGATACTCTCCACGAATCTATCTTCATTTCTTTTACTTTTCCTCTTGCTTGATACATTTCCATAAAGTCATTGTTTCCAATGATAGCATTTGACATAAAATCCAAAACATTTATATCCTCTTTGATATCTTTTAAATCATCCAATATCATTTTAAATGTTGGTCTTTTATCTTCTTCTTTTGATATACATCTTTTTATCAAATCTATCAATTTGTTGTTATTGTTGTCATTATTATTATTTATAATATCGTATATTTCGTTGTTGTTGTTGTTGTTATTAGTATCATTAATCATTACAAATGGTTTTATATTTAAAAAGCATACACATATCATTCCAAAACTATATACATCCACTGCCTTTGTATATCTTCTACTTCTTCTAACTTCCTACAACATAACATTATTTTTAATTGTTAATATTTATATGCATCTATTTACTATTTTCATATTATTATTATTTGTCTTACATCAGCAATAAATAGATCAGAACCAACATTTTTAGTATTATTATCATCTTGTACTTTTTTGGTAGTGTTAAAATCAGTAATCTTTGCATTGTAGTCATTGTCTAGGAGGACATTACCAGGTTTCAAGTCCCGATGAAACATGTTTAACTCGTGCAAAGCCAATACACCTCGTGCAATACCTTGAAGAATATGAATGATACGATCACATGTCAATGAAGCATAGTGTACCGTCATTGTCTCCCACAAACTACCACGAGTAACCCATTCTAAAAGGATTGCCTCTTTTCCATTGTATTTACATTGACCATAGTATCGTACAATGTTTGTATGGCCAATGTGTTGCCATTTCGAAAGGTCGGTCAGTTCGTATATGCAGTCCAATGCCATCACCTCTTTCTTTGCATCTTCCTTTCTTTTAAAGTACTTTAGAGCATATTTTGTAGTTTGGTACTCTACCAACACCACACGTCCAAATGATCCTGATCCCAAACACCTAAGCTTTTGATTACTTGTAAATTCATATGATTTTTTTAATAATAATGATAATATACTACTATTACTACTACTACCACCAATACTACTATTACTATCTTGTTGTATGTCTTTAATATCGCTCATTTAAACCGAACCTTCACCATCTGTCTCTCTCTATTTATCTTATCTCTAGAGATCCATTAAGTAGTTGTGAAGCTCAAAAAAAAAAAAAAAGGTACAACCAAACATTAAATTCATCCACCATGACGAATAGTAAATCTACCAAATTCTCAGGTGAACACTCTGGTGTCTATTGAAAATATCAAACAACCCAGGTTTCCGTTAACGATGATCTATCTCTCACAATCGATTCATTGTAATGATCGTTGTGTGCGTGATTGATATATCATCGTTGGCGGAATACCATCAATCAAGACAAGATGAAGATACAAATCACCGCAATCCTATTTGTGGTAGTGCTTCATACTTCATTCCAACTTGCAAGTTCGTTGACAGTACTCCCTTCATCACAAAAGTATGATAACATTCATCATTTACTAAACTTTGATCAACAATCAAAAGAAGAACCTTCTTCTTCCTCTTCTTCTTCTTTTTTGATCATTCAGAGTTCATCTGATGATTATCCATGGTCAGGAGAATCGTGTAATGGAACGACATTCACATTCAACAATACTAGCAGTCAATGTGGATTACAAGATTGTTATAGTGCTTGGGATCAAGGCACATGTATAGATCATTTATGCATATGTAATCCACTCTACCATGGTCCAAACTGTGAATACAATTTAAATCCTTACCACGATTGGGATTTAATGGATTGTCATGGTGGTAGATTTTGTCCCCCTGTATATGGTGCTCCTGGATTACCACCCAGACAATGTTATTGCCCACCTGGTGCTGCTGGTATTGAATGTAATGGTATGTAAAAAGTATACAACAAAATAAACAAATAAATATATAATACAAACAACCTAATATCTATCTTTACCAACTAAAGTCTGCACCGATGATAGTTTTTGTCAAACAAGTAGTAGTAGTAGCAGCAGTAGTAGTGATTCAACAAAGTCGTCATGTGATCAATCTATCTTTATCGATCGCCATAAAGTCTACAGTTGTAATGTTACAAGTATGTCTAATAATAATTAAATAATATCATTAATAATATTAACATTAATATTAACATTATTGATTATTAATAGGTCCCGAGATCAATGGTGATTTACAAAATTCAAATGCCTCTACTACATTTGAATGTGATTTCCCAACAGGTGATTATACTGGAGAAGGAGTATGCAATATGAATCTTTACTTTAGATTGACTGGAGACCCTTTGTATTTCAATTGTAATTTTACAAATTGTACCAGCGACATTTTACCCAATGGACAAGAACAACAACAACAACAATATATCTATTGTTCACAAAGTACATGCAATTGCACTAGTTATTGTGGTTCCTTATTTAATGGTTTAATTTCTCAAGTAACTGGTTACGCAAAGTTTATTTGTGATAGTGATTATTCATGTGTATTTTCACAAGAAACTCTACTTTATGCGTTTCCACCTATCCCATTACAATGTATTGCTGGTGGTTGTAACAATCAATAAACAATAATAGAAATTAATTAAAAATAGAATATATTTACTTTAAATAATATTTAAATATTTTGTTTATTTATTGGGTACTAGGTCTTGGTTCAACCTTTAAACTAAGTGCATGTAATTCCTTTTCATCTAAAAGAGTATTGGAAAGGTTCATGAGATAGTTTTTGATGGGTTCAGAGGTACGAGTGTTAAAGAGTGGTTGTTGGTAGCCAGAGATCTCCTTGATGATACGATAGAGAAGACGGAACTTTTCAATGTTGATGAGACCGCCACTAGTGTAAGTGTCGTTGGCCTCTTCAATGGCGATGAGGTCTTTGGGGAAGAGTGCAAGGTAGGGGATGACCTTGACCTTGGCCTCGGTCGATGCCTTGAGTGCCTCACGGTAGTTTTTGTAGTTCATACTCATATCGTAGAGCGTCTCGAGTTGCTTGTAATCTTGTTGCACCTTGGTGGGTAGCTTTTCCCAAGTGTGACGAAGACGGGCAATTGAAGAGTGATTGAGTCCACCGACTATAGCGGCGGCAGCGTTAAAGTTACCCATCTCGACACAGTGTTTGGCAAGATCGATAAAGTAGGACATGGCAGCTACACGGTCAGCCAACTTTTCACGGCCGAGAATCTCGTAGCTTGTCCATTTAGCCCATTCGTTAAACTTGCTGACCATGTTATGGAATTGTGGAGATAGGTCTTGTTTGGTGAACGCCTTGTGGAGGAATTGGAATAATGGGATAGCCATCAACAACTCATTGTCGACGATAGTGACTTGTGTGGCCATATCTTGTGCGCCAATGTCGTAGATGTTGACTGGTCCGTCTTTGGCGAGTTTGTCAACTGCCGACAACTTGCCTTGTTTGGATTTACCCTTACCAGAGGTTGCGTAAAACGAGTCACCACGCTCATACAAATGTTTGATGGGTGTGTTACTCGACTGGAAGAATGTCTTAAAGTAGCCGAAAAAGGTGGCTTGTCCAGGTGGAACGGGTTGTGCCGACTCAATAAACGTCTTGAGTTTGCTCAAAAAGAGTAAATCGGCAGACAAGATATTATGATGCAACTTCATCCAAAACATACCGACTGACAAGACTGTCAGTGACAATTCCATCTGCCACGAACTTTGTGGTCCCATGATCGCTCCAGCTGTTGCAGCCGCGCTGCTATTACTGGAAGTAGTAGTCTTTTTATAATAATGTACAATTTTGTCGAGGAACTCGTTTGACTTGCTGTAGTAGTCGTACGAGTAAAAGATGGTGTAGTTGTAATCAGTGTCACGGTTGTTGAGGTCGATCAGACGCTCAAACACCTTGTCAAAGTTGGCGCACTTGACCAACGACAAGTTCTCCTTGATGATAAACTGAATGTCGACTGTTCCATCGAAAATGTTGTCAAAGTCATCGATCATCTGGCAAATGGCACGGACTGCACCATCATTTGAATTGGTTGGTGAAATGATTATCAATGGAGACAGAGTTGCAGCCATTGATGCAATAGTCAACTTTGATTTGCTAGGTTGGCGTTTAAACTTGGCCAATGATACTGGTGATGTAAATGGAGATCCAAGATTATTCATTGTTGGTTGTCTTGGTGGGAGTGGTGGTGGTACCTTTTTAACCTTTGGTACTTCCTCCATTTCTTCCTCTTGAATATATTCTTCTTCTTGAATATATTCTTCGTCTCCAACTATTGCTTCTTCTTCTACTACACCTTCATCATACTCTTCTTCTTCGACTTGATCTTGTTTAGTTGGTTGTTGTTGTTGTTGTTGTTGTTGTTGTTCTTGACCAAGTAAAAGTGGTGAACTATTGATACTACCACCAATAGGTGAAAAGTCATCAACTGATAATGAATTGGTTGTAGTTGTATCATCAGTTGATATAGTAGTCTCTTCATTATTCAAATTTAAAGAGAATGGAATAACTATACTTTCTTTGATTTGTTCACTATTGTTGTTGTTGATATTTCCATTTCCATTTGGACTAATATTTTTGTTGGAATATTCGATATTTGATAAATCTCTAATTAATTGTAAAATACATTTCAATACACTACGATGTGAAGGTGGGAGAGAGTAGAGAAGCGAACGCACAAGCGAACGACGATGGGAAACATCCTCGATATTAGAGGTTGACACTAGTCCATTAGAGATTCGAGTCAACAACTTTTCGGGCAACGACTCGAAAAAGAAGAGCAGTGTACTGGCAACCAAGTATGGATCCTTTTGTGAAAAGTTGGAAAGAACCGATTGTTCAATCGATTCTTTTAATGATTTGATCTGTGATTCCTCTACTGGCTTTGTAAATAAATCACTCAAATGATTATGATCAATCAATGCATCGGCACTATTATTAATATATCTTTGTATTCTTTCCAATGTATCTTCATTTAATGTTATACCAAATATTGATTCTAAAAAATTAGATAAATAAATAAATAAATAATAAGTATACTTTCCAAATATTGATTGAATAAATATTTTCATTGCTTACCAGCTTTCATAATTTTCTTAAAAATCAATTCATCTCTTGAAATACGATGATTCAAACGTTCATTTAACAAGAATGATAATTTTCCATCTGGATCAACTGGTGATAAAGTTAATTTTGAAGGTGCAACAGGTGCACTCTCTTTCTTTCCACCAAACATTCTTCCAATTGTTGAATATCCTTTCTTTTTATCTAAATAAATTTAGGAATATTAATATTGATATCTTTTTCAAAGATATTGTTGTTGTTTGAATCACATACCTTCAATAGTTGGTTTTTCAGGAGTTTGAATTACTTCTTTAATAATTGGTTGTTGGGAAGGTGGAATAGAGGAAGATAAAGAACCAACTGAAGAATTTGAAACTGATAATGAACCAGATAAATTACCACTTGAAAAGGTAATCTTTGGTGAGAAATCTTCTTCATCTTCATTAGAATCACGTGATAATGATTTACTACGCATTCTTGTCATTTTTTGATTCTTTAATTCATCTACATCTCCATCATAGTATTGATTAAAGAATCCTTTAACAGCTTGTGACTTTTCTTCTGGTGTTGGTTGTTGTTTAGATGAATACTTATTGTCTCCACCACCATTGTTCATTACAACTGCACCATCAACATTATCAGATGCAGATGAAGAAGATGATGATCCAAGTCCCATTATATGAGCTGACATTCTTTTACCAGCCCACTTTTTAATTGTGTTTCCGTATCCTTGAGACTTTGATTTACTAGGGTGATTGATAGTCTCTTCAGTGAACCCAACTTTTTTTGGTGACGACGAAACTAGTACAGGTGATGATGAATCTTTAGCTGCACTACTTACGCTTGCTGCATTCATTGGTGTAACCAAAGTTGACGAGTCATTATTATCTAATGATTGAGCAGCAGAAGAATTATTAATAATAGTTGATTTTTTAAGTGCACTTGATGATATCTTCTTATTATCATTATCAGAATCAGTTAAACCACTATTTGAATCAAATGATCCTGTTAAACTCCTTTCACGTGTCTCCTTTTCATGTTCTTTTAAACGTTCCTTTTCACGTTCCTTGTCACGTTTTAAAGTTTTGATCTTTTCCTTTTCCTTTTCTTTTTCCTTTTGTTCACGTTCCTTTTGCAGTTCTTTTTCCTTTTGTTCTAATTTTTTTAGAGCCTTTTTCTTCTTTTCCGATGTAAAGATGGAATGTTCAAATGCAATGGTATGGATCTCTTCACATAGTTTGGTATTGGTCGATTCGAGTACACCAACCTTTTCCTCCAACGTTTTGATTTGCAACAACAGACTATTGACACGTTGGTCATCACGTATTCTTTGAATCTCTTTAATCTCTTTTTCCTCTTGTTGATCTTCTTGTTGTTGTTGTTGTTGTATAGGTACAGATACAGAAGGTTGTACAACCACTGAATATCTTTGTAATCTAGATTCAGATAATGTCAATCTAGCTTCCAATTCATCACAATGAGATTCCAACTCTTTTCTAAGATTCGATTCAATTGAAAACTTGCCAACAATATCGTCATATTGTTTCTTCATCAATGTCACTGTGAATTCCAATGTTGATAATCTTTCGGCTTCTGTCTTGTATTCTCCTTCTTTCTTTTTATATTTGTTTATGTCTTCACCATTACTATTATTATTATTATTACCATCAATCGATGAACCAAGTGGACTTGTTGTACTAGTTGTAGTCGTAGTCGTAGTACTAGTAGAAGTACTATCCGAGTTGGTTATAAATACACCTCTTGGTTGTTGTTGTTCACCAGATGATACCAAATGACTATTATTTCCAATAACTGATGATGGTTTAATATTACCAGTTGTATTCGTCGTAGTACTACTACTACTACCTGTTGATGTTGATGGAGCAGCAGCAGCAGCAGCAGCAGCCTTTTTCGAGGTAGATGATGGTGTTGTAATAGATGAACTATTCGATTTCGAAATGACTCCAGGTGTACTCTTTTTAGTTGGTGTCGTTGGAGCTACCATCGTCGTCGTTGTAGTAGTAGTCTCTTTTTCCTTTTCCTTTTCCTTTAACAATGGTGATGACTTTGATGAAGACTTTAAGATAGAGTTGGGTGGTTGTGCCGCTGCTGGTTTAACAGGTGTCTTTGATTTGGCTGTTGTTGGTGCTGTTGGTTTATCCATCGTTGCAGCTGTAGTCGTAGTCGTAGTCGCTGTCGCTGTTGTATTAGTCTTATTTACAATTGGTGTTTCAGTTGTTGTTGTTGTTGTTGATTGAGTTGATGTTGATTGGGTTGGTGGTGTTACAGTTGAGTTGGTTTGTTGCTCGAGTTGTTCGTCTTCTTGTTCGTCTTGAGGTGGTTTCGACCACAAGTCCATAAATATTGTCTTTATACTCTTTCTCTCAGGTTTCATCCTAAGACTCGGAAGAGTCTGTGATGTTGATGACGATGAAGATGATTTACTTGGAGAAGCACTAGAAGTAGAAGTAGAAGATTTACCACTGCTTGTTAATACAGTCTTGTTGTTGTTATTACTATTACCACCATCTTGACTATGATGATGTTGATGATTTGATTTAGATCGCATGATAGTTGGTGAAGATGATGTAGTAGATGATGTCGTAGATGATGACGATGAACTAGTCGATGACCCGTAATTTAATGATAATGATGAAACACTTTTTTTCGATGACAATGATGAGGAGGAAGAAGTGGGAGCAGACGACGAAAATGCAGGTGACGTATTTGCACTATGACTAGTCGCTACTACTTTGTTGGTGGTAGACGATGTCTTGTATCCTCCAATACCAAGCGACGATGCAGATGATGACTTTGATAGATTACTGCTACTGCCGCCGCTACTGCTATTCGTACTAGTCAAGACTGGTGATGTAGTTATAGGTGATGAAGACAATGAATCATTATCTTTTTGTTTCCAATATTGAAATGATTCTTGTTTACTCAAACTACTACTTGTACTTGTACTTGTACTTGTATTATTACTATTATTATTACTACTACTATTATTATTATTATTATTATTAATATGTTTTGACATGTTTGTTTAGGATGGGTAGGTGATCGGGTAGCAAAGCTACACTCTCTAAACCAAAACTGTTACTTTGTTGTTGTTTGTTGTTGTTGTTGTTGTTTAATGTAGTAGGTGTACCAACCAAACCACACCAGTGTGTAGGTAGGTAAGGAGAAGAAGATGTAGAGGTGTAGTAGAGGGGTGGCGAAGAAGGATTGATCTAGCTCAAGATGCAATTGGGTATAATCTGTGGTGTTGTTGTTGGTGGTGGTTGACTGATTGGTATTGGGATATATAAAATGTAGGGGTGGACGTCTCGTCTAGTCGTTTGGGGTTTTTTTTTTAAACTTGTGGATGGGTTTGGTGTGGGGTCAAAATATTGAGTATTGATCACTAATAATATATGTTGTTTGTTGTATATAGATAGAAATATAGATAGATATAGTTATAGATATAACTTTGTGGATATATCTATAAAGAGTGGAAGAATGGAAAGGAAGGAACTGGGTGGTTGTGGTGGGGCAGACTACAATATAATAATTATATGAATTATTATATGAACTGATGATTGATAGCTGGCTTGGGATGACTGTGACTGATTCAATATATATTTAATCGATGAATCAAATAATTGTTTGGTAGTGTTTTGGTTATGTTCCTGTATATATATTGTACTATTAAATAATAATAGATTGAGTTGATTAGATAACTTGTTGTTGTTGGATGGTGTTGATGTTGGAATGTGACAGAGAACTAACTAACAAACAAACTAATTAGCGCGCTTCTTTTAAAATAACAATCAAACAAAAATAATAATAATAATAAACCAAATCCTATCCTATCCTCCTATCAGCTGATAAATATGTTTTTTTGGATGACTGTGACTGTGATGATAATAGTACTCTACTGTGATGGGTGGATGGATCAAATCAAAACGAACTGTAAATTATATTATATCTATATTTCTACTCGTTGGGTGAATGGATCCCATGGGTGTTGTTGATGGTTAAAAGGTTTACTGTTTGGGTGGGGGGGGGGGGTCGCTGATATCAAAATTATAATCGTATCGCGTGTTAAAACCCCATCATCCCAATAGTGATTGTGTGTGTGTGTGTTTCAATGATTGATTGATGATGGCTACGACTATGTGATGATGATGATGATAGTTAAATCAATCCGAACCCGAACAACCAATTCACACATGATCATGTGTGATTTACTGGTTGTCGTGGTTGTGGGTGGTTCCCTCCTCTTTTTTATCTCTAATTATTGTTTTGATTGAAGTTTGTTGCAATGATATGATTGATACTAACCACTAATAATAATACAATTCAAAAGTGGAGAATCTCTTTTCTCTTTCTAATTTTCTTTTTCGAATGTATCTATAAATAAATTGGTTGATTGTTTGATCAACTGTGTACTGTTGTTGCGGTGTTGTAGTACTAGAGAATGATTTCTGATTGTGTGTGTTTTGTTGTAAGCGAGTAAAGTTGAAAAGAAGAGGGAAGAAAAGACAGGTCTGGTTGGGATCAAAAATTTTTTTTTAAAAGAATAGTTTTGGACTCTTGTCTCGATGTTTTTTCGAAAATCGGTGATGTGTGATACGATTTACTATGAATTATTATTATTGTCTTTGAGTACTTACTTTCTATTTGGTGCAGGAATAAATAATATATTTAAACTTTGACTTGATGAGAAATATAATACAACTAGGTTTACTGCAGCGAGTTTTACAAACAATCAAAAGTTTGTTTGGTTTGTATTGTGTTTTTTTGGTCGAGCTATTTGCAACGAGATAAAAGGGTTGGTCAGCCCTATCTTTGGGTTACCACTCAATAAAACGATGGTGTTGAAATCGGACTACTCAAACCCAGATCCACAATTGTAATCTTTGAAAACGCGTCAACCAAAAAAAAAAAAAAAAAAATCAATCAAGCCAATTCAAATAATTCTCAAAATGTGTTCATTTTGAAGTTCAATCAATATTGATTGGGTATTATTGTTATGTATTAATAAGTTAAATAATTTAAGTTAAGTGAGTGTTTATTTTTTTCCAGTGGATGAGGATGATGGATCATCTGGTGAATCGAAATTGATTTGGTCAGCTCTTGAATAGGTTTGACGAGCACGCATTACAACAGTAAGAGCTTTGGCAGCAACCGTCAAATCTTTACCGCCCATTTTGCCTGCAGCGTCACTACCATTCTCAACTTGCTTTGATCCCTTGGAGAGTGTACCTGCTGATGCCTTGTCTTGAGATGATTGTCCTGCTCCACCCTTTTCAGAAGAGGTAGTTGAAGTTGTAGAAGTTGATGATGATGAATCTGAGGGAGCAGCCTTGACACGTTGTCTTCTTTGTTTGAATGCATCACCGTCACGAACAGTTTGCAAAATATCATCGACCATACCATCTTGTGGGGCGGTACCCTTGGACTGACTACCAGAGCCTACGATACCCTTTGCAGAGGAGGCATTGGCAGCTGCCGTCTTTTTTACAATGGCTGCCTTTCTCGCCTTGGCAGCCTCACGTTTGGCAGCACGTTCAGCGGCCTCTTTTTCAATTTGAAGATCCTTGTAGCACTTGTCAAAGGTGGCCAAGAACTTGGCCAAATACGAGTAGAGTTCTTCCGAAGGCATCTTGGGGTCTTCACCAAACATGACTGCCAACTTTTGGAATTCTTTGTCTGCCTGCTCGAATTGCTCAAAAGCAATCTTGATTTCAATGTTTGCATCCTTCATAAACTCGTCCATTGTCTCGAAAAAGAATGATTCCTGTCGTGATCTCTTCATCTTGCCAACACCCTCTACCACCTGCTCCAAATCCTTCTTTAACCGATTGAGATCGGCCTGTACCATTGACAATGAAATCTTTCCAGCTGCTGGGACATCATCCAATTCATCGATAAACATTAATGCATCTGGGAACTTTAATTCCAATTCACTAATTATATAAACCAATAAATTTGATTTGTTATTAAATGTTTTTGTATCTGTCAACTAGAAGAGATAAAGAAATAAAAAATAAAATAAATAAACAAGTAAACTAAATATTATATTATATTCTTTTTTCTTCTTTTTTTACTTACTTTTAATAGAGCATCTAATTTAAAACCAAAACAATCACCTCTTGCACTACCACCATTTAAAAAGTTACCAATAACCAAAACAACTTCAATAACCTTTAAAAAGTTAGTACTCTTGGTGGTTTGTTTACATGCGTTTGTAAACAATTCCAAGTCTGGTTTGATTTCACGAAGTTTATCTGGGAATGTTGACTTTAATAAAAAGGATTTAACACGTTCTCTTAGATTGGTTACGGTTTCCAATTCTATTAAAAAGTGTTCTGCTTTTGATAACATTTTTAATTCTCCTGTTTTTAAATAATCTTTAATACTTTCCATCTAAATAAAATAAATAAGTATAAATATTAAATATTTTTTTGTTTCTTTTTCATTTTTCCCTTACATCTTCATCAGTTGGTAAATATTGATCAAGTAATTTAAGAGTTTCTACATTTAAAATTTCTTCATCGAGGGTGTAAATTGCATTTTTGATTTCTGGTATGGTACATTTAAACTTTGATAGGTAGATGGCAATGTTTTGAGCCTTTTTACCGTCAATGACAATGACTGATCCTGGCTTGGCCACCTTTTCCTCTTTTTTAGTGGAAGCACCGCTGGCAGAGGCAGCCTCTTGTGCAATAAATAAACTTTCCAATTGTTGCGTGTCTAACCAATCAGTCTTTATATTGGTTCCCAACTTGTTGAAAATGGTCTCACCAATCTTTCGTTGTGGCAACTTGGTCCATTGCAATTGCTTGACTTTGGTTGATGGCTTGGCAACATTAAACTTTGGTGCTGGGGTTGCCTTAAACAGGCCGAGTGGACCGCTACCTGGTGGGGGTGGTGGTCCACCTGGAGGAGGTGGGGGTCCTCCCATACCAGGTGGAGGAGGTGGAGGTGGTGGTCCTCCTGGTGGAGGTGGTGGTGGAGGTGGTCCACTCATTGGTGGAGGAGGTGGAGGTGGTGGTGATGCAATAGTTGGTGGTGTTGTTGGTTCGTTAGTAGTATCTTTAATAATTTTAGAAGATGATGGTTCTTTTTTCAATGCTGGTTTTGGTTGTTGTTGTTGTTGTTGTTTCTCCTTTTCTTTTTCTTTCTCTCTTTCCTTTTCTGCTTTCTTTTCTTTTTTCTTTTCTTTTTCTTTTTCCTTTTCAGATTTCTTGTTGTCTGTTGATGATGATAATGAAGAAGTTGAAGTTGATTTTGGTAAAGTAGTAGATCCATTACCATTGCTACCTGTACTAGTACTATTTGTATTATTATCCTTTGGGGCAGAAAAATCAATTTCAGAAGCAGATGGAGGAGTAAAGAATCCACTATCCAATTGTCTGATGGTTCCACGTAGTTTGGAGAGCTCTTGATTCTTCATTTTAACAGTATTAAACATATTACTTTTAAGTACACTTGTTTCTTGTGATCGAGACGATAGTTCAGTGTTTGCCATGTTGAGATCGAATTGTGTCTTTTTGAGGACATCTTTTGTTTTTTGGAGTTCTTCAGTGACCGATTGCAGCTGGCTTTGCATGGCGACCGACGGGCCGGCCACAGTGAGGAGTTCCTCGAGGTTGACGCGGTCGTCGCCGTCGCCGACAATGGACTTGCTCGACGACACTTGGAGAATGAGCTTTTCAATGAGGAACCACTGCAACATGCCCGTGTCATTGTCAGATGGGATCGACAAGAGACACTGGAGTGTGTGGAGGAAGGGGTGGTAGAGGACATTCTTGCTCTGCTCGAGAATCGCGTCAAACACCTCTTTGGGATTCTCAATGTTGATATCGAGTCCTGAAAACTTGTCAAACAACTCTTCCTGATCGGCACGGTTCTCCTCTTCATAGACATCGACCTGTGTCACCAACTCGGGTGCTTCTTCATACTGCAGTTTCTTAAACTTGAGAATGATGTTGTCAAATCCGAGACGTGAAAACTCGGTACGCAGATGCACACGTTCATCCACCTCTTCGGGACTATTGACTATGGCGTTGATCAAAGACAGTGCTGTTGTGAGGTACTCGTGGTCACCCATCATCGCGGTCATTGACTCTACCAAAAACGCAAAGCGCAGTTTCTCTTTACGCACCTGTTTAAAGTGTGTAAATGCGTCTACCACCAACAAGTAGCCCGTCTCGGACAATAGAGACACGGCAATCAGTATCTCTAGCACCGATGACCGCGTGTCAATCTTGGGTGTGTCCATTGCCAGAATCAACTTTTTCATCGCGTTGGGTGTCGCAATCGCCTTTTCAATGCCAAACTTGGTGTTCATCAGCGACAGCAGACACGACATGGCCAACGACTGCAATATAATGTCAGCGTCCTTGCGCTCCTTCTTTTCAATGCCCTCGAGCACGTCGAGCAGCACCAAAATACCGTCTTCCTCTATCAATGTCTTGGACCATGTCGCAGGCTTGCTTTGCAACATCGAGCATAAACTAGCCAATATTTCAATGTTTGGTAACATCTTGATTGTATTTATAAAGAATTCTGGTGTATCTATTGCTTTTCCTTTCTAAACAAATACAAAATACACAATCAATTATTATTAGTATCATATATATATATTTTATATCTTTTGTATACATACATCATCAACCAATTTAACAGAAGAATTACCATTCATATGAGAAGAATCATGTTGTTGTATATTACTCTTGTATGATGTAGATGATGATGAGTTACCACCTTGAGGAGAGAAACTACTGTATGCCATGGAATAACGCTTGGACGCCTTGGCAGGCAACGATTGTAAGAAATCATTCTCTGATGCATCGTTGCCACCTCCTGCAGAATCTTGTCCTCCCTTTCCATCCTTTTTCGACTTTCTAGTAAACAATGATTTCATCTCTTCTTTCCTTTCCTTTCCTTTCTTGTTTACTAGTTAATATTAAAAATATAATATTTCTTGTTTCTTGTTCTTTGTTTGTTGTTTGTTGTTTGTTCGAATAAATAAATAAATAAATAAATAAAATTAAATTACTAAACTAACCAACTGATGTGTTGTAGTAGTAGTTGTGTGTGTCTAAAAATAGGTATATATGTACACAACCAACTGATAAGTTATGTAACTTTGTAACTTGTATGTAGTAGGTTGAGATATAGATAGATCTATATACAATGATTGTCTATAGTAGTAGTAGTAGTAGTAGATAAATAGAATAGATAAATATGACCTATGTTAGTTTACACTAGACTTTCCCTCTTTCTTTCTTTCTCTTTTAGATCTAATTACACTCTTTACCTACCTTAAGCTCTCTTTAAAAATTATATTCTGTATATGTATGTAGTATTACACTCGTTATCTTCTTCTTCTTTGCGATAATAGTAACAACGGTCTCTCTTCATCAAGCAAGCATTACAGAAAAAAGAATTTTAATAGGGGAGGTCAAATTATTTGAATTGGCTGAAATTCATTTTTTTTTTTCACGCGACAATCAATCACAACCCGTGGTCGCTCACCAACACAACAAAGATCTTCCACACTATACTTTTTTTCGATATTATTTATTTATTTATTTCTACAAATAAAGATAAAGAAAGAACAGAAACCCTTAATTTGTGCACAAATGTAGTTTTTGATCCAGTATTTGGTCATTAGATTCAATAAGTTGAGTGAATGATTTCAGGGTTGCATCTTTCGACAATATTGCCTTGACCTTTGCAACGGTCATGTTGGTCTGATTGATTGATTGATTAATTGATTGACAGTAGATTGTAGAAAGATTCAAACCAGAAAAATAATAAAGAAAGAACAAATTTGGTCAACAATAAATAAAAAATATATGTATGTATCAATTTTTGCAACAAATGAATCAACCACCGATTGTTCTCTTGGTAGGTTAGTTGTAAAAATAAAGTTTTTAAATTAAATGTTAATTTCCTCCTCCTCAAACTCAGAGAAGCAATTTTAAAAGAATAATAAAATAATAAAATAATAAAATAATAAAATAATAAAATAATAAAAAAAATATTTGGGGTGCAATATTTTCATCAATAATATGTTTGTTCAGGTTTTAGCACCCACACCACATATATAAATTGGTGATAACCGCGGTTATTAATATTGGTATTGCTGCTATTGTCGTTGTTTCACCAGTTAGCTCTTTACTTCAATAGATAGTAGCTGTGGCTAGCTAGGATAGTACACTTGAAATGAATCAATCCACTCTGTTGGTTGTTGTTGTTGGTCACCATCAATCAATCAATCCATCATCATCATTGCAATGATCAGTATTGATTAATCAATCAACATCACACATTAACTTGCAAGTTAAAGTACAACAATATAACAATGATGAATACTATTAGTAGTAGTAGTAGTAACCAGTTTCTAGTGATAACGATAGTGACACTACTACTTTGTTATATTTCGTTGTCGCATTCTCAACAAGTCCTTCCAGATGATGAACGTATGTACCTATAATACCTATAAAATGACACAAACTAAATAATGCTAACTGATCTCTTTTTTCACCCTTTATCTATAATATATCATAGTTGCATCAGCTATATTTCTTATAAGGTATGTGATATAAAGTGACACATTTGCAAAAGACAAGTTTGATTTTAACTTACTTATTCTCTCTCTCTTTCTTAATAACAATAATCTAGACAATATGGAATACCAAAACCAGAGAATCAGTCTCTATGTGAATCATATTCTGGTCCAAATATAAAAGCAAGATTTGTTTGTAATGACAGCAACACATTTGATGGAAAATACCATATTATTGAAATGTAAGAGAGAGAGATATAATATTTTAATTATTATAATTTAGAGATCTTCATTTCCTAATTATATTGACCCGTTTTAATAATATCCGAATCAAGTACTTTCACTTTAACAGGTATTCCAACTGGAAACCCCCCTTCTTTGGCCAAGTCATTCACAATGCCTGCTTTGAAACGTATCATTTTGCAGAGTGAAGGGGTTGCCAATCCGTCAATCAACCTCTTAGAGTTGCTCAAATCCGTTAAAAGTTTGGGTGAAATTAGATTGAGCTATGATCAATCGATCAGTTACATTCCAGGCGATTTTAATAATTTTCCTAATCTTACCTTGTTTTCATTATTCATGGATATGATGGCGATAAAAGATTCATACATTGTCCCTCATAACTTTTTAAACAACTCTATCAACCTTCAATCGATCACTGCTTCGTTCCCAGTTTCCTCGATTACCATTGATGACTCTCTCTACTTTCCCTCTCTCACTTATTATTATTTACACTCCAATTGTACCGCTGGATCGCATCATATCAATGTAACAGCTAAATCATTTCCAAACCTAGAGTCTTTGTATGTAGTAGTTTTTTAATATCATTTTACTATTTAATATTATTTTTATTATAATACCAATCAATATTTATCACAATTGTTATATATATATAGTTATATTACCTTAAATTCTGGATCAAATATCACTGCCCATTTGAATCAAGATGTCACCAAGATAAAGCAAATGTTTGTATTTGAAAAATATTATTTATCATGTGATTTTAATAATATAAATTAATATTAATTTGATTTGTTAAACAGAGAGTGTCTTGGACCTGGAGGATCCCTAAATTCTCAGTGCCATTTAAGTATAGGGAATCCATCCACTATAGAATCATTGTAAGTTAAATAGTTTAAACATACACACAATAGCATTCTTTATTAATATTCATACCTTTGATTATAAGGAGTATCAATGGACCCCAATCAACAGTATTACCAAACCCTAGTTCTAGTGTTGCTACACTATATTCAAACCTCATAGATTTATCAATGCAAGAAATGGGACTTACCTCTTTTTCATTTATCCAAGTTCCTCCACGATTGAATACACTGTATGATTATAATAATTATAGATAATATATCTCGAATTATATCCTAATTTATTACCTTTATTTCAAAGATATTTAGATGATAATAACATACCAAATTTATCAACAAATTTACCAAATACTTTAAGAACCTTGTCTATTTATAATAACTTCAACTTTAATGGTCCCATTACTGAATCATTCTGTGGAATAACTAGTTTGTACATCGGTAGTACGGCAGTTTCGTCATTTCCTGATTGTGTCTGGTGCTACAAAGGCCAGATATACAAGCTCCGCCCAATTTTAAATGTCCCAGTATTTATCTACTACTTTATTTAATCAATCAAATTGACTAGTGATGCTTATTAATTCTTTCTTTCGTTTCATCTCTACTAAATTTTTAAAAGTTACCGTTAGTAACAAAGATAATCTTTTAGTTACCAATAACAATATTGCTACTATTAAAGGTATGTATAATAATCAAATAATTTATCCAAGATATTTATTAATGATATTTTTTATAAATAACCTATACAAAGGTGACAACATTGGATATGGATCTACTCAATCAAATTATACTATTACACAGGCAATACCAAACCAAGAATTATCATTCGAATATACACAGGCAACACCAATACCAGTTATTCCAACTCCTGTCACAATCATTTTAGATCCGCAAATAGTACAAATGATGATGGTCAAGGGCGATATTAAAATTGGTCAACCAACTATTTTACAAATCAACCAAAACAACATCACAATCAAGTTTAATTTAGATTATAATCCATATTTTAATCACACAATAACCATTGATAATAGTACTGCTTGTACCAATTTAACAAATATTTACCCCTCTCAATTTGAATGTACAACACCACTTCTATCGAGTGGAGATCATCAATTAATAGTTTCAAACTCTTACATACAATCACAAGTACCCTTTACCATTAATTTACGGTCCCTTTGTCAACAATCAACCAATAATTGTTATGGTGGAAATGGTCAATGTAATGCTAATGGTCAATGTATTTGTTATAGTAATTCATTTTACAATAATTGTTCGAAACGTATGTAAACATATTATTATTGCTATTCTCATTTATCATATTCTAACTTTTATTTTTAGCATACCCAATTATTAGTTCAGGGCATTATATTTCAACAAACAACAAGTATGTTGAATTGAATGGTGATTTTGGACCATCAATATCCAACCAATCAAATATTATAGTCTTGATTAATAATACAATCAACTGTGTTGTTGAATCACTTTCACAATTCCAAATCAATTGTACAGTCGATCAACAACCATCATTTGGATTAGCTTCTGTTCAACTTCAATTGAATAATGATTTAAATACAACTGCAAGAAATATATTATATCTTCAATCACCACCATCTCGACCATCGCCATCACCAATATCAAAATCATCATGTGAAAAGAATACATCTAATTGTTATGGCCATGGATATTGTGATGATAATGGCAAATGTCAATGTCAACATGGTTATAGTGATATTGATAATTGTTTGTCAAAATGTATGTAATAGAAATAAATTAAAATAATTAATTCATTAATTTATAAATTTATTAATTTATTTTAATTATTTTAGATATCATTAATATGACGATTACACCCAATACAACAGATCCAACAGTATCATTTGACATTGATGGAACTGATTTTCTATTTGAAATGTTTTCCATTCAAGAATTAAATTTCGATAAAAATATTACGAAAGAATTATTTATATCCAATTACACTTGGAATGTCAATACAACAACCACCGATAATCACACTACTATTGTCAACTATCAATTGAATACTTTATCCTCCCCATCACCATTCAACAATTATTCAACATACCAACCAGCCCAAGTTCTATCAACTATATCATTCTCTACACAACCAAGAACAGTTGAATTTGGAGGACAACAACTATTGTTACATGCCAACTCTATCAAATTGCAAGTCAATATCAGCAAGTGGCAATATTCATCAAATTTATCAACACTTCGAGTTGTATTTAAAACATTGATCAATAATAATCAATCGATTAAATTTGATTGTATAGACAAAGATATCTCAACACTCAGTTTTGATTCATTGTCATCTTTGCAATATCTCAGAGTCCTCAAAGATGATATTGAATTCAAAGGTAGATTCATTGATGTTGCAATGTCTGATGGAAGAAGACCAACCTACTCACAAACTCAACACATATCATCAACACCAATCAACGATGAACAATCAATTGCAATGATTGGAATTGGATTTCCTCAATGTCAAGAGTGTGTACTAGATCCAGATTTTGCAGCATTGGTTATCAATCCAGACGGCTATGGTAAATGCGATTCAAAAGGATTCAGTAAATGGAAAATCATTGTAATTGCAGTTTGTGTATCACTTGTAATGATCACAACTGTATTGGTGATTGTCATTGCTTTTAAAAAGGCTGTGCAATTGAAATTTGCAAAGAGATTAAACAAGAGTTTTACAAATCTAAGTTACAGTTTAAATAATCTAAGCAACAGTTTTCATAATCTAAACAGAATTTTAAATCAAAGTGATACAAAAAAAGTTCCAACCCCAAAACAACCCTAGACACACACTAAATAAAATTAGGTATATGATCCCAACTCTGATTGCTATTTCTTCATATGGGTTATTCCCATGAAAATAATTGCATATGTGTGAAAGTCAAACAAATGTGCTGAAAAACTTCGTGGATGACTTTTGTAGTGTTGCCCCAGCACTATCTGATCTTATCTCCCATTGTTATTTCCATATATTTGGGTTATCCGTGGTTATTATCTATGTTAAGTACTCTCAGCTATTTGTTCATTTGAAATGAACCAATCTATCCCCTCTTGGTTGGTTAGTATCAATCATCAATGGTCCATACAACACAAGTTAAAAGTTCAACAACAATTAATGAATACTAGTAATAATAATAGTAGTAGTAACCAGTTTCGAGTGTTGACTATATTGACACTATTACTTTGTTGTCATTATCATATTTCATTATCGAATTCACAACAAGTCCTTCCAGATGATGAACGTATGTACAATATTCTATTCATACAATCTATCAATAGAAAATAGATAGATTAGCTAGATTGATACATCCATTTTAAACTAAATGCTACCATTGATTATTCACTCATCTAATAATATCTTAGTTGCATCAGCTATATTTCTAATTCGGTATGTATGGCATCATAATATTATTTAAAGAGTCTCACTAGTGAGGGTTATTAATCACTCTACTACTATTTTCCCTTTATTGTTATTGTTGTTGTATTTAATAGACAATATGGAATACCAAAACCAGAGAATCAGTCTCTATGTGAATCATATTCTGGATCAAAAATGGGTGCAAGATTTGTTTGTGATAGCAGCAACACGTTTGATGAAAAATATCATATTGTTGAAATGTATGAGAGAGAAAAGAGATAATATTATAATTTGGCTTCTTTTTTGGAAAAGAATATAATTATTAACCTTTAATTATTGAATCAAGTACTTTCACTTTAACAGGTATTCCATCTGGAAACCCCCCTTCTTTGGCCAAGTCATTCACAATGCCTGCTTTGCAATATATCGAATTACGGAGTGAAGAAGTTGCCAATCGGTCAATCAATATCTTAGAGTTGCTCAAATCTGTTAAAAGTTTGAATAGAATTATATTACAAGGGGATAGATCGATAAGCTACATTCCAGGCGATTTTAATAATTTTCCTAATCTTACCTCGTTTTCATTATTCTACGACAATAATCCTTTCGTCATACCTCATGCCTTTTTAAACAACTCTATCAGCCTTCGATCGATCACTGTTACGTTCTCAATTTTATCGATTACCATTGACGACTCTCTCTACTTTCCTTCTCTCATTGATTATTATTTTCAATCAAATTGTACCGCTGGATCACACCATATCAATATAACAGCTAAATCATTTCCAAACCTTGAGAGATTGTAAGTTTTCATTTCATTCAATAATTGAAAGAATATTGACTAATCATTGTTTAAAGTCTGGTTTTCGTTCTCTCAAGATCAAATATCACTGTCCATTTGAATAAAGATGTTATCAAGTTATGGAAAATGTAAGTATTTAAAATAAAATTGTGTTTTAAATTGGTTTTATTAATTTGATTTGGTAAACAGATACTGCGTCGTGACCTCGGAACTTGACTCTGAATGCCACTTAAGAATAGGATATCCATCCAGTATAGAATCATTGTAAGTTAAATAGATAAATAGTATGTACACGAATTAGCATTTCATTAGTATTCACTAGTTGTTGATTTATACCCAAAAAGGAGTATCAATGGACCCCAATCAACAGTATTCCCAACCCCTATTTCTAGTGCAGTTTCTTTGTATCCAAAGCTAATAGATTTATCAATGAAAGATATGGGACTTACCTCTTTTTCATTTATCCAGGCTCCTCAACGATTAAAAGATCTGTAAATTATAATAATAATAAACATATCGATTGATACTAATTTATTCCCTTTTTTCACTTTGAAAGATATTTAGATAATAATAACATACAAAATTTCTCAACAAATTTACCAAACACTTTAAGAACCTTGTCTATTTCTAATAACCTCAACTTTAATGGTGCCATTACTGATTCATTCTGTGGAATAACTAGTTTGAGAATCGGTAGTACTGCAATTTCATCACTTCCATCATGTGTTTGGTGTTACAAAGGTACATCCAGATATGATGTAATAACAGATTTACAGGCTCCACCCAATTTCCAATGTCCCGGTATTTATCCACAAAGTATTTAATCAATTGATGTGCTTGTAATACTAACTCATTTCTACCTTATTTTAAAGTCACCATTAATAACAAAGATAATCTTTTAGTTACCAATAACAATATCGCTACTATTAAAGGTATTTATAATAATCAAATATGTGAAACAAATCGAAAGGCGAGTATATCACTCATTTAATATAATTATATTTTTGATAATAGGTAACAACATCGGATATGGATCTTATGAATCAAATTATACTCTCAACCCAACAATATCAAACCAAGAATTATCATTCAAATATACACAAGCAACACCAATACCAGAGATTCCAACTCTAGTCACAATCAATTTAACTCCACATAAAGTACAGATGATGATTGTCAAGGATGATATTAATATTGGTGAACCAACTATTTTACAAATCAACCAAAACAACATCATTATCAAGTTTAATTTAGATTATAATCCATATTTTAATCACACAATAACCATTGATAATAGTATTGCTTGTACCAATGTAACAAATATTTACCCCTCTCAATTTGAATGTACAACACCTCTTCTATCGAGTGGAGATCATCAATTAATAGTTTCAAACTCTTACATACAATCACAAGTCCCATTCACCATAAATTCACAGTATCTCTGTCAACAATCAACCAATAATTGTTATGGAAATGGAAAATGTACTATTGATGGTATATGTATATGTAATAGTAAATTATTTTATAATAATTGTTCAAAACGTATGTATTATATAATTTTTATCTATATGTATGATTCAATATCACTAATTAATTTTTAGCATATCCAATTATTAGTTCAGGAAATTATAATTCAACAAACAACAAACATGTTGAATTGAATGGTGATTTTGGCCCTTCAATATCCAACCATTCAAATGTATCAGTCAGCATTAACAATTCAATCAGCTGCGTTGTTGAATCACTTTCACAATTCCAAATCAATTGTACAATCGATCAACAACCATCATTTGGATTGGCTTCTGTTCAACTTCAATTGAATAATGATTTAAATACAACTGCAAGAAATATATTATATCTTCAATCACCACCATCACAACCTTCGCCATCACCAATATCAAAATTAGAATGTGAAAAGAATACATCTAATTGTTATGGCCATGGATATTGTGATGATAGTGGCAAATGTAAATGTCAACATGGTTATAGTGGTATTGATAATTGTTTGGCCAAATGTATGTATAAATTAAATATTTATTTAATCTTATTTATTAATTATCAATTTTTTAGACATTGACGCAATAATCATACCAAATACAACAGATCCAACAGTATCATTTGACATTGAAGGAACTGATTTTCTATTTGAATTATTTTCCATCCAAGAATTGAATTTCGATAAGAATATTACGAAAGAATTATTTATATCCAATTACACTTGGAATGTCAATAAAACAACCACCAATAATCACACTACTAATGTCAACTATCAATTGAATACTTTATCCTCCCCATCATCATTCAACAATTATTCAACATACCAACCAGCCCAAGTTCTATCAACTATATCATTCTCTACACAACCAAGAACAGTTGAATTTGGAGGACAACAACTTTTGTTACATGCCAACTCTATCAAACTACAAGTCAATATCAGCAAGTGGCAATTTTCATCAAATTTATCAACACTTCGAGTTGTATTCAAAACATTGATCAATAATAATCAATCGATTGAATATGATTGCACAGACAAAGATATCTCAACACTCAGTTTTGATTCATTATCATAGTTACAATATCTCAGAGTAGTCAAAGATGATATCCAATTCAACGGTCGATTCATTGATGTTGCATTGTCTGATGGAAGACCAACCTATTCACCAACCCAACTATTGCCATCAACTCGAATCAATGATGAACAATCAATTGCAATGATTGGAATTGGATTCCCTCAATGTCAAGAGTGTGTACTAGATCCAGATTTTGCAGCATTGGTTATCAATCCAGACGGCTATGGTAAATGCGATTCAATAGGATTCGGTAAATGGAAAATCATTGTAATTGCAGTTTGTGTATCACTTGTAATGATCACAACTGTATTGGTGATTGTCATTGCTTTTAAAAAGGCTGTTCAATTGAAATTTGCAAAGAGATTAAACAAGAGTTTTACAAATCTAAGTTACAGTTTAAATAATCTAAGCAACAGTTTTCATAATCTAAACAGAATTTTAAATCAAAGTGATACAAAAATAAGCACTCAACAAGAACAAGAAATCAACACTAATTCAATCCAAAACAAAATATCAGATTGGGTAAAGAAGAAAGCTCACAAATAAATAATTAACTAAAACTAAGTTTACATTGAAAAATAAATAAATAAATAACCATTTATTGATCAATTAGTTAAAAAAGGATTGGGGGTTTTAAAATGTTATAAGGGGATCCCTTCAAGTTGAGGGATTTGAAAACTCTTTTTTGGTGCCAAAAGAATTAAAGTAGTACTATTGGCATTTTAAAATGATTGCGATTTCTATTTACATTATTCTAGAATGAACAAAAGGATAAATCTATTTGTTCTTCTTATTTTGTTTGAATGGATGGATGGATTGGAGAGTGGGGTATATTATATATTATATACAATATTTACATAATGAATTATATAAAATTAAATAAATAAATGATTTTTTTTGTTTGAAAAATCAAATAAATAAATTTAAATATATGTATAATGTCTGTACAAAACAAAATGGCAGTAGTTGAATGTGAATCATTGGAAATAAATAATTATATATACACAATATTAAATATATAAATATATATATAAATATATAAATATATAAATAGATATAAATATTTTAAAAAATAATTATTATCTTGAAAAAGATAATTGTTTTGGTAATTCTGTTGTTGCACTATTTACAGTAGGATTGCCAATAATGTGATTGGATTGGGAGGAGAATAGTGGATGTGTTGATCCCGATTCATGTGTATTATTGTTGTTGTTGAATCTTAGTTGGTAGAGACGATTAGAATCGATAAAGTCGGTTCCAAACTCTTTGCTGAAATTTTCCAACATGATAGGGACTATTTCGCCTATCGACAAATTATGATTCAAAGTTTGATTCCAAACCGATGTGATATTACAACCACGGCCATTATGTGTAGACTTTGGTGACAATGTTGATGGTTCTTCAACTGCACTCTCAAGATACTTGTAATAAGTTAAATTTGGATTAATATTTAATGAAAACCCTGGAATATTCATTGAACTAAAATAAAAAATAAGAAACAAATTAATAACTATATATATATATATATTTGTTTGTTTTTGAATTTAAATACATACTTTGATAAAACATTAAAATCACCAATTTTTTCTTTAAAATCCTTTCCAACATAGATTCCATCATTTTGTAATTGACTTTCAATTCCTATCCATGAAAGAGTTCTTTGAATGACTCTAAAGATTGAAGAAACCATTTCTTCAGATGAAACATTTTTGTTCTGGGTATTATGATTATCAGCATTATTGTCAAATACCATTGGATAGATGCTTAGCTGTCCTGGACCATGCCAAACAATTCCATCAGTTCTCTTGGAGACTGATTTGAATTCAATACCCAAGTGTTCAAGTTTACTCTTTACTTTGGGGTCAAACATTTTAGAATTGTTTTCGGCATATGTGAATACGGGTGAAGAGTGTTCGACCAAGAGGAGTGTGTTTTTCTTTTCATCGTTGAGGTTATTGATGACCGATGTCGACGATGGGAAAAGACTATGAACGTTTTGGAGTGATTGTTGCACATCTAGACATCGATTATAACTCATTCTTCCCAAGTTTCTAACAAATACTTTTTTACATAATGTTCCAGCTATAACAGACAGACAGACAGAAAATACTATAAGTAAATAATATATTTCCATCATTAAACTTTATAAACTTACCCATTTTTTAATAGATATCTATATTATTATTATTATTATTATTATAAACTTGTGATTAAAGTTAGGTAGGATCAACAACTTGGAGATAGAGTAAGCTATAGTTATATAAATATAATTATATTATAATAGAGTTTATTCAAAATAGTATAAATAAATAATTAAAATTAAAATGAATTAGTTGATTGATTGAGATATATAACATGGGTTGATCAAGTCAAGTCAAGTTCACAGCAAGCAACAATAGCTAAATCATTCATACAGCACATACCCCTCTCTTTTGACCCGTTTGATTGGGTGGGTACTGAAGGGTTAAATGTGGTGTGGTCAAAGGGTGGTGGGAAGGGGGATGACAGAGAGAGAGAGAGTGAAGAGTAAATGATATGTATGGGTTGGATGACATGCATGCAATAATAATAATATGGTAATGATGATGATGATGATGATTGATTCTGTTGATGATGAGATGCAATTAAAAAAGGAGGGATGAACAGAGAGAGTGACAAACAATCTTTTTTAACAACGATGCAACCTACTACACACATACACAAATACTATTGGCAAAAGGCAACAGACAATAGTGAATGAAACAAATAATAATAATAATAGCAAGGTGGAGGAGGATGATTATTATTTGTGTGATAGTTGTACATACCAATAACCGCAACTAAAAAGCAATGAATGAATGAATGAAATAGAATATAACAAACAAATGAGATGGATGGATGAATGTTTGGATGTTTGAACAAACTCCACTGCTCTTTTGTCTTTGTGCAGCTAGTTCATCCATCCATCCATCTTCGTGTGATTTTTGCTTTGCATCAATAATAATAATATTTATTTATTAACTATTACCACTTTAGACACACTAGAAAAAGATATTTTTTGGTTTCCTTTTTCAGCTTGACATTACACCCCCCCTCAATCCCTTTACAGATAATATCATCTTGGATGAATGGATGGATGGGGGTGGTTCGTATCAAAGTAGGGGGGTGTGTAGTTGTAGTTGTTGTTCATGACAATAATTGAATACATTCAAAAAGGGGCTTATTATTATTATTATTAAACAAGTGGATTGGATGCTTTTTATCAACTTTGAAAGCTCCATTTTACTCGTCACCGATATCGATGTCGGTGGGTGGATGGATGGATGGATGGTATAAACGATAAGTAAGTCAAAATACAATATTTATAATTGAATCGAATCTCGATTATTTTAATTTAAATTGTAAAAGTCCTAAAGCTAAACTAAACAAACTGCTAGCAGACTATTAGCATAGTGGATAGGAGAGGATGCAATAATACAATTAAAAATAATAATTTATCGTCCCTCCCTCTCTTTCTCCTCTTTCACCTCCTCCTCAATTCCAGAATAGGAAAACTTTTATTTTGGAAAGAATACTAGAAATTCCTCAACTGCCAATCATTTCTCTCTTTTAATGTATTTTCAACTAAAACCTTCCCTCCCTCCTCTATCCCCTTAAAATGATACAATTTTTTAGTTTAATTTCCTTTTGATAAAATCAATTCTAATTTGATTGATAATTGTCTCGATCGATTCATCTTGAGATGATTCGAACTTCAAATTTTTGAATAATAAATAGGGGGGTCCAACCCTAAAAATATGAAATGAAAGTTCCCATTGAGAGATGAAAGTGTTCATTTTGTAGCCATCAAGATAGATAGATAGAGATATGATGAGGAACAAACAATCATCCATATTGTTGTTGTTGTTATCAATCATCATTCTTTTATCTATTGTAACATTCTCAAATGGTGATAGTAATAATAATAATGCTGCAGCGACATCTAATAACAACAATGAAAGATCATCGTCATCAAAGATTAAAAGAGATTGTTCAACACCTTTATCGAATCGAGTAAGAGAGATATTAAATCATGTGGTCTATTCATTTGTAGATTACAACGAATACAAGTTACCAAGTACATGTGTGTTTAACAAGAATCTCGATATGTTGGCTGTATTTCAATCACTAAAGTTTCTACAAAACGATCATCAATATCGATGCAAGAGTTGTTCAAAACAATTTAAAAGTGAAGATTATATTGATCAACATTTAAAGAATAATCATGCTGATCTTATACCTTCTGTAAGTAGAAATAGAGTAGTAGTTCTCTTCACTTACTTATTCGTTTATTTATTTATTTAGAATGCAACTATATGTTTAGGAGATTATTGTGAAATGTTAAATTGTAATAATGATTATATAATCTCTTGTGATGAGAGAAAGATGGAAAAGTTAAAGTATGCATGTCAAGGTATCATGTATAATTGTTTCCCACCTTCAGTCAACAAAAACTACAACAAACATTTCAATGCGTTGATATGCGACAAACTGACTTGCAAGGGTGGATCATCGACCACTGGACAAGATGGAATCATAAGAGATGCCGATATTGAAGAGAAACAACATCAATGGAGTTTAATGAAATACCTCTCTGCATTGGTCATCCTTGTCATCCTAATTATATTTTATTTAATTTTATGGTTCTTTAAAAAGTAAATCTAATATCAATCAACCGATCAATCAACCGATATCACTACACCATCCATTTATTAATAATGTTATTATTTATATTTATTAAATTAATTTTTAGAGAAACAAGACATCAAAAAGATTTACCAAGTAGTTTCTTGGCAAATAGACGTAGAAAACATTTACTTAAAGAATTGGAGAAAAAGAATTTCTGACATACCCCCATTGCATTTTAAAATGTATCCAAAGATTAATCAATCGAATATAAGATGGATATGACACATTGTTGGGTAATGGAGGGTTAGGTTAGGTTCCAAATGTCCAACCATGTTAAATAGAACCAAACAAAGCCTGCGATAATAATAATATATATCCAATACATTTACCCTCCTGTGACACTTGGACCAAAAATCATTGTCTGGATAAATAAATTAGTTTCGAAAAACTAATTATCGGTATGAATATTGTATACCTTTAAAGAATTTATATCTATAATTGAATATAAATAATTTAATCAATTGAACCTCATACTGCTAATTAATGCCAATGGTGACCATTCGTTTATATATTTGAATCTTGAGAAGATCGAATCTTTGAAAAACCGTCAAAACAGCGTTGATGTCAACTCCGCAGCAGACATGGAGAGTTTCCACACCGTTATGAGAAAATAGGGGCCAAAATTGTAATGAAAACAATGAAAGAACGTTAAAATACGCAACTTCTTTGTTTGCACCCTTTTGTATTGTTTTATTTTAAGTATTATTATTACTTCTTCTTATCTTTATCTATTCATAATACACGGGCGGGCTTAATTTAGATAGATATATATCTATCTTTTTAATTTATTTATTTACTGTACATTCAACAAACTAGCAACAAGACAGACATACAACAAGACAGAAGAGAAGCAGATTTACGTGTGTGTGTGTGTAAAATAATGTAAGTGTAAAACCGACACATTGTTTTTGTTTACAACAACATTGCAATGCGACCAAAGAGGAAAGGAGAGGAGAGGGGGGTACAACATTGTAATTACTATATATCATCACAAAAGAAAAGACTGATAAAAGATAGAGATAAGATAAGATAGAGGTTTAGACAAGGTCAAAAGTTAGGTAGTCTCATTGTTGTTTTAGTATTATAAGCAAAAGGGCAACTCTCCACATCTTTCGTCTCGTAAACCAAAGAACCAATCTAAAAAAAGTATATTATAATAAACAAAACAAAATGGGTTATCTTTGCGCAAAGATCGACAACACATTGTTCACTTTCTCGAAAAGATATTGTCTCGATAGATATTTTCAGAGATTATCATTTCATTTATCATATCATCTGTCTATCTTGTTGTCCATTGTTCTAATAATTCATAGTAAATATTAATATAGATCAATCATATAAATAACAGATAGTCAAAAGAAGAATGGTATCAATACCAAAACCAAGATTACCAACAAGAGAAGAGATTAGGAAATATTGGGTAAACGATGGACCAAAAGCATTAATTATCATTCTCTTTGTTGCTGCCAATATAGCTTTATTCCTTTATAAATTCATTGGTATGTTACATACATTGTACAAAATGACAATCAATCAATCAATGATGTCGATAAGAACAACACATGAGATGATTAACATTCATTGTTTGTCTTTATCTATTTTTAGAATATAGATATGAAAGAAGTTTAGTTTTTGATATTTTAGGATATGGTGTACCAGTAGCAAGAGGTAGTGCAATGATGTTAAAATTCAACTCTGCCATGATTCTCATTCCAGTGTTGCGTAACTTTCTTTCTTTTCTCAGAGGAACTTTCCTCAACAACTATGTACCATTTGACAAAAACATCATTTTCCATAGATATATTGCATGGGTTATTTGTCTTGCTACTTTTGTTCATGTGTATGCAAAACAAACACTTTTAATAATAATATAAGATAACTCTAACTTATACTTTTTATTTATTTATTTTTAGAATGGCACATTTCCGTAATTTCCATGTACAATCAACAACTGATTTAGCAGATTTAAAATTAATAGGTATTCAAGAGGTGCCAACTACTTGGGGATTGGCATTTAGAACATTGGCAGGTTGGACCGGTCATGTTTTGTGTGTTGCCATGGTACTCATGTTCACCTCTGCCATCGAGTCGATCCGTCGACCAATGTTTGAAATCTTTTGGTTCACTCATCACTTGTTTATCGTCTATTTTGGTTTGCTTGCCGTTCACGGTCTCAGAGGTACATTGGAAACATCTACCACTTGGATGTGGATCATTGGACCATGCGTATTATACATTCTAGAAAGAATCATTAGACTTGCAAGATCAAAACAAACAACAATGTTAATTATGGTAAGAAGAAGAAGAAGAATATATTTAAAAGAATGGTATATTTATTAATCAATTTATTTATTTATTTATTATTTATTTTTAATTTAGGCAAAACAACATCCATCAAGAACTATTGAATTACGTATGAAGACTGAAAGATTTAAATACAAACCTGGACAATACTTGTTTTTGAATTGTCCAACGATTGCTAGAAATGAATGGCATCCATTTACGATTACGTCGGCACCAGAAGAAGATTTTGTGTCGTGTCATATCAATGTTGTTGGCAATTGGACTGGAAAATTGTCGACATTGTTGAACCCAGACAAGAGATTGGGAGTGGTGCAAGAAAACCTTTTGAACTCACCCGATGGCAAACCAATCCTCAGAATCGACGGACCATTTGGTGCGGCCTCTGAAGAGGTGTTCAAGTACAAGACGGTCATGTTGATTGGTGCCGGTATCGGTGTCACTCCATTTGCCTCGATTCTCAAACACATCAAATTCCAATTGTCCAAGGCCTACTCGACCACAGGCAACACGATCGAAAAGGTACATTTCTTTTGGATCTGTCGTGACCGTTCCTCGTTTGAATGGTTCTCTGGTATCATTGGTGCCCTTGAAATGGACAATGTCAACAATTTCCTCGAGATTCATCCATACTTGACCGGCGCCCTTTCAGCACAGGAAGTCCGTGATGTCATGTATGCCGGTGGCGATGAAGAGGCTCGTGACCAAATCACAGGTTTCTCGGCACCCACTCAATTTGGTCGTCCCAAGTGGACAGAGATTTTTGCCGATTTTTCTCAGCGTTATGCTGGTCGTGATGTAGGAGTCTTTTTCTGTGGACCAAAGGTTTTATCAAAAGATCTTTATAAACATTGTCGTAAATTTACTCAAACTACTTCTTGTAGATATCATTATAATAAGGAAAATTTCTAAACCAAAAAGTAAAAAAAAAAAAAGAAAAAAAAGTAATAATAATAAATTGTATTTTCTTCAACAAAAAAAAACAATAATAATTTAATAATAGAATATTCTATTCTATAAATTTTATTCTATTTATATATATATATATCTTGAAAACAAAGAAAACTATTTGATAAATTCTATTTTAAAATTAAATATTTAATTAATTAATATTAATTTTAATTGGTGATTGTTTATCATTTGATTTTGGGAGAGTAAGGATTAAAAGACCATCTTTGAATGATGCTGATATTTTGGAGGGATCAACATTTTGTGGAATGATAACATTTCTAGAAAATAATCCACTTGAAACTGATTCTTTGATAATATATTTAAATGTTGATGGTGAAGATACAAGATGTAGTGGCATTTCAGTTGAAACTTGAACTTGGTTGTTGTTTGAAGAGGAAGATGAAGATAATTCTAATGAATTGGAATGATCAATATTGTTGTTGATGTTGGTAGTAGTAGTAGAGGTTGTTGAACTAGTAATTAAAGTTGGTTCATTTGATTCTAATGATGGTGAATTTGATGGTTCAGTGATTACACTAGATTCTTCTGTACTTGTGGTATCACTTGAATTGGCACTGGAAATAAGTAATTGATCGATAATGGTTGATGTTTCGGTGGTACTAGTTTCTAAAATGGCATCTTCTTCATTGAATATTTCAGATTCTTCATCACCTTCTGATAATAAATGAGATGATTCATCATTGATTGGTGATGGTGATTGTTGAGGAGAGACCGGAACTTGGTGGTTCTTGACCGGTGACAACTCTTCGACGAGTTCTGGATGGATTGGAGTTGGTTCCAAGTCTTCGAGAGATGGGTAGAGACCTTCTGGTTGTTGCTTGAAACTTTCCTTTTTGTGAATTGTGATACAAAGGTTTTCACCATAGACATAGGCACTGACACCCTCCTTTTTGACACCAGCAATCTCCACCTTGACCAAGTAGAATTGGTCATTCTCCAAGAGGTCAAATGGGGGGTTGTATGGGTTTCTAATGAAACACTTGGGAACTGGAATTTCTTTTGCCATTGAATACATAGTTGTAATAATAGAATAGAGTGATTTTAAAATCCAAGGAATTATTAAAACGATTGAATATAATATAGCAAAGAATATAATAAACAATCCAAAAGGTACAAAAAGAATAGCTAAAAGACCAAATAAAAATAAATTTATAATATTATTTATCTCTTTGTTTTTAACAAAATTAAACTCTGGTTCTATATCCATCCCCCAAGTTAACTTTAAAAAAAAATATTTATAAATATATATAAATAATAAATAAAGAGGTGGTCGTAGTGGTGGTTCCTCTTTTTAGAAATACAAAAACCTATACTTTTAATTATTAACTTTTTAAAAGTCATTCATCTCTTGTTTAAAATTGGTTTATTATTATTATAAATGGTCAGATGAGATGATCATTTTATTTTAGTTGACTTGTTATTATTTGAGCGCGCGTGTGTTAATTATTATATTATTTATTATTTATTATTCAATACTTATTATTTATTTATTATTATTTATTTGATCTGAGATTATCTACCTAAATTTGCAAAGGTTGAACTTGCACCTGCACCAGATCCAAATACTTTGGAGGAACTTCCAAAAACAGATCCACTCTGTGGTTGTTGTCCAAAGGCAGAAGATTGACCAAATGCAGATGGTTGTTGTTGTCCAAATACACTGGATGATCCAAATGCAGGGGCTGGTGCTGTTGATCCAAATGCACTGGTTGGTGCAGCAGAGGGTTGTCCAAATGCTGATGGTTGTTGTTGTCCACCACCACCAAATGCACTAGTTGACCCAAATGCGCTGGTTGGTGCAGCAGAGGGTTGTCCAAATGCGCTTGTTGATCCAAATGCGCTTGTTGATCCAAATGCACTGGTCGATGGTGCAGCAGAGGGTTGTCCAAATGCTGATGGTTGTTGTTGTCCACCAAATGCACTGGCACCTCCAAATGCGGATGGTTGTTGTTGTTGTCCTCCACCTCCAAATACACTGGTTGGTGCAGAGGATTGTTGTTGTCCTCCAAATACACCGCCTGCTTGAGTTGTGGGTTGACTACCTCCACCAAATGCACTAGTTGACCCAAATGCACTTGTTGATCCAAATGATGCTGATGGGGTTGATGTCTGACTGCCAAACACAGATCCACTCTGTGGTTGTGGAGCAGGTTTACCAAATACACTTCCTTGTGAGGCTGCTGATGATGATTGTGCTCCAAATACTGATCCACCAAAAGCACCAGTTTGTTGTTGTCCAAATGGTGCACTCGATGTACTGCCAAATGCACTGGTTGGTTGTCCACCACCTCCAAATACACTAGTTCCAGCAGTTTGTGGTGGTTGTTGTTGTCCAAATACACTTGCTGTGCCTACTGCTGGTGCAGCAGAGGGTTGTCCAAATGCACTACCAAATACACTTGTGCCAGCAGCAGTTGGAGTTGGATTTCCAAATGCACTAGTAGTGGTTGGTTGTTGTTGTTGTCCTCCAAATATACCAGGTCCTGGGGTGGCAGCCACTGGTTGTTGACCAAATGGACCTACTGAAGGTGCAGCAGCAGCTGTGGTGGTTGCAGCAGGCTTACCAAATATTGATACACCAGCTGGAGGTTGTTGTCCAAATGGTGTTGATGCGGGTGGTTGTGCAGCTCCAAATGGTCCGCTCGTACTTGCAACAGAAGAAGTTGATGGTGGTAACCCAAATGGTGTAGTTGATGGTGTTGCTGATGTTGTTGTTGCTGCTGGCTTTGATCCACCAAATCCAAGATCACCAAATGAAATAGTTGCAGCAGATGTAGATACTGGTGGTTTATCACTGTTAAGACTCAACGATGGAAGAGCATCAGTCTTTGAAATGGCTGATGTCAAGTCTGATAATGTTAATGGTGATGATTCCTTTTCCTTTTCCTTGTTGGCAGTAGTGGTACCAAATAATGATGGTACTGTATCTGGTTTTGAATCTGTCAAGGTTGTAGTAGTAGTAGTTCCAAATAGCGATGGTTTTGATGGTTCTTCTGGTTTTTTTGTCTCTTCCTTTGGCTTTGATTCAACTAGGTCTGGTTTGGTGTCTGGTTTTGATTCATCTGGTTTTGGTGATACTTCAACCTTTGGTTCAGTAGATGATGGTTTTGGTGCAAACAATGATGGAGCAGCTGTAGATGAACCTCCAAATATCGATGAAGGTGGTTTAGTCTCTGCGGTGGTGGTGGTAGTGGTTGATGGGGATGTAGCTCCAAACAATGATGGTGGTTTTGTATCTGTAGTAGTGGCAGAAGCATCAGATGGTTTAACATCGAAAATTGGTGAGGTGGCACCTCCAAATAATGATGGCTTTGTTTCTGTGGTGGTGGCAGTGGCATCGGATGGTTTAACACCAAATATGGATGACGTGGGTCCTCCAAATAACGATGGTGGTGATGTTGCACCTCCAAATAATGATGGTGGTTTTGTCTCTGTAGTGGTAGCGGCGGCGGCTGTGGTGGTGGTAGTGGATGGTTTAGTATCAGTTAAAGTAGATGGGAATGAACTGGCTGTCTTATCTCCAAACAATGATGGTGGTTTTGTCTCTGCGGTAGTGGCACCTCCAAATAATGATGGCTTTGTTTCTGTGGTGGCATCGGGTGGTTTAACACCAAATATTGGTGAAGATGTAGCAACAGTTGCAGGGAATACAATGGATGGTGTGGATGATGGTTTGGTGGTTGTAGCTCCAGTGAGCGAAGAACTAAATGGAGATGTAGATGAAATAGTGGTGGTTCCCATTACAGGCTTACCAAACAATGGAGTAGATGATATTGGTTGAGATGGGAGCATTGACTTTTGACCAAACAAACCAGTATCAAGTTGACTATTTGCACCACCACCAATTCCAATACCAGAACCAAATGAATTTGTGTTAAATGTTGGTATAGAACTAGAAGCAGTATTTAAAGGTGATGTCTTGGGTGATGGACTTGATTTTTGTGTTGTTGTTGGTTGTGGAAGTGAAACAATTGGCATTCCAGATGGAATGTTATTATTAGAAGCTGGTGATTTCTTAGATGGTGGTTGATTATATGAACGATCATATTCTTGACCTTGTTGATCATCTTCATATTCTTCTTCTCCTTCTTGGTACTCTTCTTCCTCTTCATATTCTCCTCCTTCTTCTTCATATTCCTCTCCTTCATCTTCATAATCTTCCTCATATTCTTCTTCACCTTCTTCTTCTTCTTCTTCATATTCATCTTCATCATCATCATAAATTTCATCTTCAAAATGAATTGGAGTTCTCTTTGAAGCAGGATTGAATGAATATTTTGATGACTCGAATGCATCATAAGGTGTAATATTTAAATTAAACTCTTCACCACGTTGATTTCCCTTGTTGTTGGATGACGAAGACTCTAGTAGTAACAAGTCATCTGATGGTGGAGCAATTTGTTCTGATCTTGTGTATCTCTTGTGGATACCATACAATGGTTTGATCGTATGAACCTTTTTCTCTTTCAAACCCTTGATTAAAAGTTGGTATGCTTCAGTCTTGATTGGGTTGGTTGTAATCTTGATATTTGATAACTGCTTGTCCAACTGATTGACTGATTCATCATCACTATCACGATCATTTAGTTGTTTAAATTGTCGTTGTTGTTGTTCCTTTTCCTTTCTTTCCTTTTCTTCCAATGTCATTTTTTGTAAAAAGTATTCTCTCAACTTGTCTACATTATCATTTGATATCTTTCCATTACCCATATTATGACAACTACTCTTTCCACCAATACTACTACGTCCATACAATGATGAGGATGAAAGATTTGAATGTTGTCCAACATTTGTACGTTTCTTTAATCTATTTGATAGTGTTGATAGGATATCATGTTGTTTGGTGACAACTTGATTATGGTTATCAATGGTATGATAGACGAGTGATAAAAAGGCAGATGGTGTCATTGTGTTGAATTCACTAGTTGCATCTCTTTGAGTCTGTTCCAAATGCTCTTCGACACGACGGATGTCTGCAGACATTGAAACATATGATTTAGTGATACGCTCACGTGCTTCTTGGATCTCGGGGTCGAGTGGACGGTTGAGCAGCATTTGTTGGTAGTCTGGACGTCCGACATAATCAGTCAGCAATTCCAAATCAGTTGCCAATGCCAATGACTTAAAGTTGCTTGCTTTGGTGAGTTGTGCTTGCTTGCTCGTCTCTTCAATCGACTGCTTAAACTCGTCGAGTGTGTCAGCCAACACATCCACCTCTTTAGCAATACGTTCATAGTTGTAGAGACCATTATCGGCCACCGAGTTGACGTCGTCGATAATCTTGTCGGTAGCATCGACCGACTTGTTGACTCCACTCGATAGTTTTTCAAACGCCTCTATATTTTGTTTTATCTTTTTGGCCAACTCGTTTTGTGATGTGTATACAATCGATGACTTGTAACGACGAATACAGATTTGCAGCTTGTTTGATAGTTGGTGAGGAGCCTTTTGTTGTTTTTGTTTTGGTGGTGATACAATCGTCAATGCATTGGATTGTTTAGATGGAGTATCAATTGGTTTAAACATTGCTGAATGACCTTGACCTTGACCTTGACCCATTGCTGCTTCATATGATTTTGCAATCTTTTTTCCTGGTGGTTTTTGTACTTGTAATGAATTGGTATTGTTATGGTTAATTGGTGAAGATGTATTTTGATTTTGTGGTGAAGTCGTAGTATTATTATTATTATTATTATTATTGGCTGTGGGTGTAGTTTGAAGAGATTTAAATCCTCCATCAAAAACAGCAGCTGAAGTAGTTTGTTTGGTAGTTGAACCAAATAAATTGGATGGTTGAATAGCTGGAGGTGTAACTGCAGAAACAGTACCAGCAGGAGCAGCAGGTTTACCGAAAAATATAGATGATGGTGTTGGTGGTGAGGTTGTATTATTAAGTTGTGAAACACTGAAGTTGGTGGTGGTAGTAGGAGGAGAACCGCCAAATATTGGAGATTGTGAAGATGGTGGAGTTGCAAAGTTGATTGTAGATGATGTTCCAAATATGTTGGTTGGTGGCTGAGAGGAGGTGATAGTCGCCGTCTTGTTGGTTGTGGATGATGGTGGTGGTCCGAATATATTGGTTGGAGTAGGTAAACTCATAAAGGTTGGTGTAGTAGCTGTTGGTGTGCCAGGTAAAGCTGTTAATCCATTTCCAAATAAAGTGGTTGTTGCTGATCCTTTTGTTGATGATGTTGTTGGTGATGTCTGTGAAATTAAACTACCACCACCAAATAAAGTTGGCACTGGTGGTGACCCACTAGTAGCTGGATTACTAAACAATGATAATGGTGGTGACTGAACTACTGCTGATACTTTTGGGAGTGGTTTTGGAGATTGAATTAGATTGGGTGTAGATTTAATATCCAAATTGAATAGATTAAAACAATTGATATCCCAAGCAGTATCCAATATCAATACACATGGTACTGGAGATGTAAACGGTTCCTTTAAATTCAATCCATCTACGTTGGTTGGACTTTGATTAAAGCATCTAACTACTGACATGCCTGTAGGATACCGTTCTCTAGATATATCAGATCGACTATCATCATTTAAATTTAATGGTGTCCAACTTTTATCAACAATATTAAATAATTCAACTCCTGATCCATCATTTGATAATAAACATGCAGTTTTCCTTCAAAAACAAAAAGATAATATATTAATTATTAGTTTTAACTCTCCTCCTCTTTTCTATCTATCTCTCTCTCTCAAATATACATACCATTCAGCAATAAAATCTAAATGAAATGTATTTAAAGTTCCACGTGGCATTGCAACTGGATAATAAACTTGTGGAATTGGTGATAGGTTACTTTCATAAATATAAATCTCATTGTTTTCATATCCACTTTCTTCATCCTCATAATAATGATAATTCAATACAATAAAATCATTTATAAATTTAATATAATATGCTAAAAATTAAATCAAATGAAACAAATATAAATAAATACAATTTAATCAATCAAATATATATATACAATAATCATATTAATATAACTACATACTTGTAAATTCATCACCAATGCTTGGATGTTTGGGGATTGATCTAATTGTTTTAGAAGGATTATTTTGTGTAATTACGTGTACACTGCCATCGACGTTTGCCAAAAATATTTCGTCTGGTGTATTTCCTTTGTTCCAACATGCTATAGTATTCATTCAATTATAAATTAAAGAATTGAGTTAGTTTTGTTTAAATGTACATTGATTCATTGCTTTGTTGTTGATTTGATTCAATCATACCAGTAACAATAGGAGAGGATGTTTTCAAATGAGTGATATTATTTGCATCTAGTTTATCGTGGAGATACAATTCATTTTTCTGAGTGACGATCAATAGTTGATAACCGTCTTTCTTCCATTCGATAGTATTTATATTTGAGTCTCCAAATTTACTCGATTCAATCTTGACCAATGGTTGTTGTGTTTTATTCTAAATATGTAAATAATATTACATGTTAGTATTATGTGTTGTGTGTGTTTGTTGTAATAGTTAGTTTTATTTATACTTACATTTGAAATGATATCTACAATTGAATAAATCATTAATGATTTATTGAAAGCTACAGCTAGATACAAGTCATCGTGTGACAATGATAATGTAACTTTGCAATTCTTGTCATTGACTGGGATAAGAGGTGCTTGGATAGTTGCAACAAATAAATCTTTGTTGTTATGAGATGATGATATGTCTACTGCTCCATTTTTCGATGGTTTATTTGTAGTTGATAATAGTGATTTGAGAAGAGTGTCTACTTTTAGAACGACAATCGATCCCTTATTATTCACTACAAACACGTAACCGTATACGTTGGATACTGTTAAAAGTGAAGAGTCTTCACTCAACTTGCAATGTTGTTGTTCATCGTCGACACCTCCTCTACACCAATCGATACATCTAACATTCTCTCGTACATCTTGAAATCGAATGTTTGGTGCATCTAAAGGTTCAAGTTCAATCATATCACCCATTCTATACTATAAAAACTACTCTATCCTCTTCCTCTTTTTAATATTATATCTATGTATTTGTATGTATATAGATAGTACTATGTATGATATATATGTATATCGAATATGAATAATGAATGTTCACAACAAACAATCGATTGATCTGTGAAACAAAAACTTTTTTCATGAACAGACTGTGAGTACTTGGGAAAATTCTTTTACAATTTAGAAGGATATTCTATATTCCCTGTATTAATTTATTAATTTATTCTTCTCTTTCTATTTGGAGTATTATCCATTAGGGATGAAGCTGGAACCTCCCTAACTATCCTTGCATCATATGGACCTAAGTAACAAAAAATGATAGATATATTTTAATTAGTATGAGGGATCAAGGTCGATCGGGATGGATACTTACACCAAAAACAATTGGTAAATAATAGTTCACAAATAGTTGGAAGATTCTCTTCAGTGTAGAATATAGGTGCATCACATTGCCCAAGTGCAACATGATAGAAATCAAGGTATTCCTTTTTAAAAAGAAAATAATTAACAATATTATTATTGATATTGTTGATAATGATTAACTTACAGGTGCCAAGTGGAATGACCATAATGGATTATAACTGACTGTAGTTGGGATAATTCGCCCCTATTTAATTTGAATGAAAAGGATTTGGTATATTGGATTAGTTTATTTAAATTATTAATCATATGATTTATCAATCAATCTATTAATCTTACAGCAACATATAATTTAGGGACACGTCCAGCTAGATAATCTCTACCAGTTTGAATGGAATCATTATTTGTTATTTTGATGATGAAATCCTTTCCTCGAGTTGTTTTATCTGCCATTACAAAATAGGCTACTTCATCACCTGCAACACATATGTGATTGATCAATGTCATTGATACCAATATTATTACTACGATCAACTTGAAATTTATCATTCTTATTATTATTATTAATTTTTAAAGAAGAGAATATTAAATGATAACAATAATGATTTAAAACAGAAGAAGAGGAACGCATTAGTAGTAGTAGTAGTAATAGTATCATCAAAAAAGAATTTACGGGGTGTAAATTAATATTGATATTACTGACTCCCACACCCCTTTTCATTGCAGTGATGTTGAGTGAGTGACTGATCAGCCAGGTCGCCATGTTTGATGTTTGAGTGTGGGCATAAGATTAGAGTGAGTGTCAAGATATTATCATTATCATTGTAGCAAGTAGTTGAGTTGTGATGATCTTCTTAGTTTTGAGATGATTATTATTATTATGATTATGATTATAAATATATGAAGTACAATTTGTTTATTTTGGTTGGTGTTATTATATTCGCTGTTGTTGTTGTTAATTATCCCACAAGAATAACATTCCAACAAATGATTCGTATTGGATGTAACCTGAATTGCTTGGATCAGCTTCATAAATAAGTTCTTCAATCTAATTGTAGTAATAGTAATAGATTCATCATGAATGAAAATGAATAAGTAACTTGTGTTTCTTTCTGTCTGCTGTGTGTATCTATCAAACCAAACGACATACCTCATCTTGTGGCATCATATCACCAAGTTCATTTAAAACCTTTCTCAAATAATCGACTGTAACATATCCATTTCCATCACGATCAAATACCTTGAATGCTTCGATGACTTGTGCCTATATAGTTAATATCAAGTTTTGTTTGTTAGATTATGGTCTAGGTATCTGTCTGTCTGTCTATCTTATCTATATTTACTCTAGTGTTGATATGATTCATTTTCTAGTTTGTGTGATTATATAATGTTACAACAATGAATAATAATAAATAAATAAATAAATAAATAAGGATAAATAGATAATAAATTGGACCTGTTTCTGTCTGTTTGTGATGGAACAAGCAAGAAAGAAAGCTATAAAAAAAAATCCATTTTTCAAATAATTTCAAGGGGCACGACAGCTTTATCTTTTTGGAAGTTCATTTTTGCATCTCTTTAAAATACAAGTTGTTAGTACTTACTTACTATCTCTCTCTCTTGTGCCATAACATGTTTAATCTAGATGGAGCATTAACAACCAAATCACATAAACAAAAGAATATACAACGACAGACCATTACAAACATACGAATACTACGAAACAACACTGCCATCAAACTAGATGCTCAAATCAAAGCTGACCATCAATCAGATAAACTACAATTAAAAGTATGTATGAATGAATGAATGGTGATGATGTGCACTTATTGTAGACTTGCTTACTAATATATGCGTATACTGTTAATCATTCTAGAATAGACTATTACCAATTTCATTATCATTTCATCAAATCTTTCTAAACAACAATGATAATAATAATGACTTTGAATTGGACTTGAATCATATCTTATCATCTGAAAGATTTATCAATTCAATTATCAATCCTCTAAAACAACTACTTATTCTTATTAATAACAGTGGTAGAATACAAGACTTTAAAAGAGAAAGAATAATTACTAAATTCCTATTTAAAAATACAACTTATTATAAAGATCATAAAGGTATGTACATTTGAATAGTATATCAATTGATTATTAGTACTAATAATGAATATTGTAATTAGATAAAATATACAATAGAAAAGATGAATTGGAAAAGAAATGGGAAAAGGGAAATATTACACATTCCTTTCAAATTGGTGATTATGATTTGAGGATACCAATACCTCTATTATTTTATATCGTCGATCAAATTGGAACTACTAGTGCTTTGATAGACTACATGTTTCATTCAAAAAAGGTTGGAGTGTTTAATAGCGATAGTGAATTTATCGATCAATATTCATTTATTCAAGAGTCTATTCAATCTATAGATTCTCTAATTGAATCAAATAGGGTAAATGAATCAATTATTCAAACAATACTAAATACTTTATATCATTGTTTTACATCTCAAAGAATATCATCGACAACTGAGAAATCAATCTCTCCTCTACTCATCGCTACACTTAAATATTCAAAATATATTATTGGTAAATATAAAATGAAAATATTTAATTGATTCATTCATACAAATATTAATATTATTTTATATATATGTATGTAGATAAAAATACAAGGTTTTCAATTATATTTAATTATTTGGAATATTTAGTAATGAATTATCAACAAATAGCTAAAACAGTTGATTCAAGAGACCAATATATCAACTCTTTAGTTTTATTTTATAATTTAATCTTTAATGGTGATTGGGTTGGAAAAGAAGAAGGAAAGGAAGAGACAACAGATCCATTACAATATCTATCACATCAATTAATTTCAAATATCAAACAATTACAAACTATTATATCAAATGAAAAATTCCTTAATCGTAACTATTCATTCTAAAAAACATAAACAAAACAGAGTCAAGATTAGTTAAAACTAACTAATATTATATCATTTATTATAGCTATAATAGGATTATTAAATTTTAAATTATATTCTTTTATTAACAACTATAACAACAATATTGACCAACAACCTAAAAAGAGTAAAGATTCTTCTTCTTCTTCTTCTTCTTTGTCATTGGAAACAATATTAAATGGAAATGAATGTTATCAATGGATTAAACAACAACAACAACAAAATAATAGAAAAGAAAAAGATATTCTAATTAGAATATCAGAAATGGAATCATTCAACTTTATTGAAATTATTAAACAATATTCAGAAATCAAGCCATCATTGTTTATTTCAACTTTAAAAAAGGATGGGGATAGTTACTTTTTATTCTTGGTTAAATCATTACGACATCAACAACCATTGACATCAACCAACACAATTGATCAATCAGCTTTATTATCATTGATTTATGTTCCATATCATCTTTACGCTGTCACTAATCAAACCAAAAACTCTATTAACCAATATTATCAATTCATTCAAATGTATGTATCACAAAAACAAAAGAGATAAGAAAAGTATCAATCATTTATTAAATCATTTTCATTTTTTTAGATGGTACAAAGTATTAGATGAAAATAATATATTAAATTTAGAAAATGATATATTTAAATTAAAAGGAATACCAGAATCATTTTTCATAACATTTATTTATTTATGTTTTGTAAATAATCAACAAAAAGAAAAAGAAGAAGAACAAAATGTGATGATGATGAAAATAGTAAACCGATTTTCAGAGTTGAATTTAGGATTATTTAAAAAACATTTAAATCAAACTTCAAAAAGATCATTTATGACAAGACTATATAATATTATCAACCAACTAGATATATCTTCAATCATCTTTTCAATACTTTTAAAATCATATGAATCATCTCTTCAACAAGGATCAATTCAATCAATGATATCAAAATGTTTAAATCGTCTTACTGTTGGTGGTGGTAGTGACAGTTTAACCGATCAAGATGAAGAATTACAATCAAATCTAATTCAAGATTTACAATTGGTAAGATCGATCGATCGATATATATAAATCATACATACATTTATTAACTTTTTTTTTAATTTTAATTTTTAGATTACATTTATTGATTGTAACAAAGTATTAGAGAGACTTTTAAAAAGTGCGCTAACCAATAAGAATCAACAACAATTTATGGCCAATATTATAGTTAATCATCTTGGATCATTTATACCTGGTGACATGATGGATATTATTGTCAAAAATCTATTCAATGTTTTAAACTCTTTAAAAGATACTGTCGAGCCACAAACCATCACCAATCTAATTCAATTTATTGAATCTCTTTTAGAACAAGTATCACAAAACTCACAATTTATGAGAGATCGATTACTCGTATCACTTCAATTGAATTTAATTATCCCATCTTTGTCTATAATCTCTACCATTCTTCAAAAGATTATATTGGATATTGAATATTTATTATTATCAAAATATATTATAAATTTAAATGATAGTGGTAAGTAAACTTCAAAAAAAATATTAATTTAATAGTAGTTTGATAACTAACAAATAATATTTTTTTTTTTTCAGATATGACATTAGAATTGGTATTAAAGAAATTGGTAGATGTATTTAATTCAATATTATATTATATGGAACCAAATCAATTGGAAATATTCTATAATATTTGTAAATTGATTGGTACTCTATTGACAAGAGGAAATCAAATCGATGACAATAGAACCAAAGAATTAATTGGATCATTTGAAACAAAGGTTAATTGGAAACTATTTATTAGATTAAAACATTATTTTAATCAACCTATTGAATTTAAGAAAAAGAACCAACAACAACAAAGTTTAACAACTATATCATCATCATCGCAGTTGTTACCATCCATTTCAACATTATTAAAACAACCAGTAGTAGGAGGAGATGAAATGGAATTCCCTTTGGATTTAATCATCACCTTTAATTTCATAGATTTATGTTTTATTTTACCAAATCATATTGAAATGCTCATACAAGTATGTTGTATTTAAGCTTTATATATATATAGTTTCACTAATAATTTTATTTTTTTAGGAATTAATAGAAAATATTGATATTGGAACAATTAAATTTGGATTTGAAAGAGTATTATTATTTTGTTTGGCCATTTCATTACCATATAATCCACCATCCCATTATACTATATTGGTTGATCATTTATTGCCACATTTGATAAAGAATAATATAGTATCGTCGAGTGATACATCAACATTATTATTTAGAATCATTATATCGAGTCATCAAATATTCAATCAATACCAACACAACAATGACAATGACACAATTGACAGTACTGAACAGCAGACATTATTTTCATTTTACAAGAATATTTCAAATCAACTTAGACGAATGATTACAAGTACAACAAATGATAATGACAGTTATTTACATCATTTAAAAATGTGTATTCGTGTTGTTGATCAACTCCAAGACCAACAAGATTACAGTGAACTATTTTATATGTTTGGATTATCGATTTTAGAAAAAATACAACCTCCTCTTTCAAAACATCATCAATCTATTACAAACAAATGTATAGAAACTTTACAACTCATTAAAAACTCTAGTGACACCAACAATCCAAATAATACAAAACAAATGGTATTACTTAATAAATTAAATGGATTATTGTTGGAATAATAAATGAATTAATTTCCAAAAAGAAAAAAAATCGATATATTTAGTTTATTATTTGTTTTGTTGTTTTGAATTTGTACATTTGTTATTATTATTATTATTAAATAAAAGTTGAGGGTAAATAATACTATTATTATTATTATTATTATTATGATGGGTTATTGAATTGAACAACTACCTCTTTTTTCATCACCAAGTTCGGTGGCTGACCCGGCTGGTATTCCACCACCAACCGCATTTCCATTATTATTATTGTTATCGATTAAACTATTACTATTATAATTATTAAAAGCATTGAAAAATATTAAATTGTAATAATTATTTTTGTTTCCATTATTATTTGTAGTATTACTATTACTATTATTATTGTTTGTATTATTATTAGTGTTATTATTATTATTTAGAGTTTGTTGTTTTCTTGGAGTAGTATTTAAACTAGTACCTCCGGCTGTATAAATATTACCAAGTGAAGCTGCTAAAAGAGGTGATACACCACGCCCACTTAGACTATTATCAGGTGTAACATAGATTTCATTATCCTCTTCATCATCTTCAACCCATGGGTCATCTACGTCATTATCATTGACAATGTTGATTGCTCTACTCGCTCTACTACCACCGCCACTACTACTATTCCCATTGTTGGATGGACTATTATTAATACTATCGGAATGATCACTGCCCCCGACAGTAATAGTAGGGGTGACAGTTTTTGGTGAAATGGTTGTAGAGTCTGATAATAGATCCATGCTAGCATCCAATTGTAATGATTGTGATAGGTTATGTGCAGCCACCTTGTCTCTTAAAAACTTGAGTGTGTCGTCTGTCAACACAATGTCTTTGGCAATACGAACCATTTCCAAAGTATTTACCTTTGGTGCCATTGTTCGAATGACTTCAAAGAATCGTGTTAAATTGGCACCCAATAAATTACCTTGTAACATTTGTAATAATGATAATGATAATTTAAATAATGAATCTATTCCTAATCCATTAGCTCCCCACAAGAAATAATCCTAAAAACAAAAAAGTTTAAGTATAACAATATTCTTTGTTTGTTTTGTTTAGTTTGTTTTTGCATACCCAAATAATAACTACAGATTCGATTGGCATAATATATACAAAAATAGTACTCCACCATGCAGGAATGAACATGTATGGTTTGATACTTTCATTGGTAAGATGTTCATGTAGGACTGGTAACTGTGCCATTAATTCAGATTCAAACATTTTCAAGTATGATGGTAATAATGTATTATTTTTTCTAAAGAAATGGTTCATCTAAACAAACAATTAATTAATATTACTATTATTTAATATTTATAAATATATATTACATACACCATGATTTCTAATTAAAAGATCCATCATCCAAAATGAATCCAATTCATCATAATAACATAATAGAATTAAAGCAAGGTAATTCATACCTTGTGTATATTGTACCTCTGGATTATAGATGGCGTATGCCTTGAGTACATTATACAAAGTTTGTCTGTTTCCTTGTTGTCTTTCAATCATTTTCTTTTTATATGCCGGTGATGGGAATGTTCTAACTGCATCAGTAGCAACATCATTTTCAATTTCCTCATCTTTTCTATTTAAATAATCCTAAATAAAATATATAAATGTAAATTGTAAATATATTATATTATATATCATATTATATATATCATATTTGTATATATGTATTTCATACCATATAAACATCATTACTAGACTCTATATTTGGATGTAATGTATCCATTTTAGATTTAACCATTCCATCCAATTCAATCATTGATCTCCAAATGTCAGCACGTTGGTGTTCTGGTAGTTCCATTTTAGTTCTAAAGTATTTTTCCACCTTGTTTTTGATTGACATCTTTTTTGTCATTTGTTTATCTGGGTATGGCCATTTATAAAGATAATGATCCCATGGATGTGATATACTATCCGTTTCCATAATATCCATTATTTCTTCTTTTTTCTTTTTCTTTCTTTCCTTCTTTATTTCTTTAAAATATTTGTTTAATATTTAACTTTTTCTATCTTTTTCTTCTCTTGTTATCTTCTTGATTTATAAATGATATCAAAACAAAAACAAAACAAAGAACAGTGATTACTCGCAAATAAACGAGAGTCGATAAACCATGTTCTTCAATCAATCACGATTGGTTATATGATGTTGGTTGTTTTGTTTTGGTTTGTTGTTTTACTCGTTATCGCTATTCCCTTCACTCTTATTGTATTAATAGTACTAGTCTGTCAAGTAGTAGTAGTAGTAGTAGTAGTAGTGTAATGTAGTAGTAAACTTATTGACTTTGAGAGGGGAGGGGTGGTGGTGGTAGTGATAGTGATGTGATAGATATGTTGTTATCGAAACACAGTTGGTTTGTTGTAAGAAAGTACTAGTAGTCGTGGTAGTGTGTATGATGAATGTTAAAAAGAAACACACACTCTGTTGAAGGATGAAGTTGAAGGTGAGGGAGTAGGTGAGTTGAATTCGAAAAGAAGAAAATAATACTGGGTGTGTTTGTTGTGGACTGCAAAAAAAGTGTAAAGAGAGGGTTGTTGTGACCTCAAATTTCAGCAAGTGATCTAAAAAAAAAACTTGTTTTCACGCGCAAAGGCACTGAGCTGACAGTCTTTTAAAAGATGTCGCTCGTAATCAAATTAAAATGAATCTTTATTTTGATTTTATTCATTCATTGATTGTTGCGACCAAAGCTTTGAAAAACAAGTAAAAGTAACCTAGCTAACTAGATAATCAAAGACAATCAAGTTAAATTCTATTCAATTCAAGAGTGAGAAAGACAGATGAAGATGACAGCTAGATATGTTACAAAAGAGAGAGAGATAAAGTAGAAGTTGAGAGTGAGAGATGAGAGAGAGAAAGAAAAGGAAGTCACTCTTTCATAAATTATACCCAAACCAAGTAAATATCCTTTTATAGTATTACTGTGACGCGACTTGAGAAACAAGTATCATAATGAATTGCCGGGTGGGTCTCTCTCTTCACCTCGCACATGTCATAAATGACGCTCTCTTCTTCGGAACTACAAGAGTATTTGGTTTTATAAAATTAAATTATAATAAAATCAAATAAAAAGCTCAATTAATATCTGATGCCTAAAGAGGAAGGGGGTTGGCTCTATGTCAATACAAAGACCGAAACACAGAGACACCACCTCTCTTTTATCTTTCTTTTTACTTTTATAAGATATATACATACATATAGATAGATATAGATAGACATGGCTCTTTTTAATCTAGTTGATCAAGCTTCAAATTATGGAGCATACCATAATAACACAATGTATGTCATGTGAAGAGTAGTTTAAACTATACATAGTCTACATTATATATATCTAACTTCTTCTTCTTCCTCTTTACTTTACATTGATTGATTGTGATTGATGATTGATAGAAATAAGATTATTCATGTGATATTTGTACCAGCTATTTTATATAGCGCAATCATCTTTTTGAATTATCTTGCCATCCCAGATGCTATTGTTCCATTGGTTACAAAGTTGAATACATTATCACCATACCTTCCATTAACTATTGGTACTCCTATTGCTATTGTTCTCTCACTCTATTATTGCATTTTAAATGTTCAAGTTGGTGTATGTTAAATATTAAAATAGAAAAGACAGATAAAAGATAGATATAGTTATCATATTATGATTTCTTAACATTTTACTTTTTCTATATATATATAGTTGGTAGCAACTGCATGGATTATGGCAGCTAATTATTTAGCAGTTTATACTGAACAACAACTTGGTGCTGATACCCTAAAGTTTGCACTTATTGTTCATATTGCTTCATGGGTCTTTCAATTTATTGGTCATGGTGCCTTTGAAGGTCGTCGTCCAGCCTTACTCGACAACATCTTTCAAGTGTTTATTGCACCATTTTTCGTCACTCTTGAATTACTCTTTGCTTTTGGTTTAATGTCAAAGACTAGAGTTGCTGTTGATAGAAATATTATTCAAAAGAGTAAATAGTTAAAAGAATAGAATAGAATGGAAGAGTAGAAAAGAATGAATCTCAGAGGGAGAGATTAGAGAGATTGGAGATATATTTTAAATTCATTGTATATTTATTAACTTTTCTCTCTTTATTTCTTTTTACTTTTAGTCCAATCAATTAAAAAGAACAAATAATTATTCACCAATCTGTAAACACAAAAAAAAGAATAAACTTCTTTTGAACAACCCATTCATTGTACACAATATAATGCAACCAAAGGTAGGAATGAATATACTGCTGCTGGAAAAAGAGTAAGAAGAAGATGATTGGATTCCAATCCAATTTAGAAGGTTCAAACAAAAAGACAAGAGATTATGTCGCGAGTGACTGTGATCTATTTTTTTTTTTAGGGTTGCAAATAATATGTACATTTTCCACAACACTTTTCGACATAACCTTGGTTGGTTGGTAGGACAAAATGAAAACAAAATAGGGTTCATAATATGTACATTTTAAGAATCAATGAATGGTGAACAACATGGTTATAGGTAAAATAATATACATGTGGTTACACTTTATCTAAACAATTGTGGGTGTACATATCAAAACAATGTGTCATTCACCCACACTCTTATAATTTAAAATTATCAACCACACCCATTACTCTGACGACGATGAACGACAACTATTTAAACTCGGCAACTTTAGGATATTCAAAAAAACATCAACAAATATTTATTTTATTTATTCCATTTATTTATATAATTTAACTTGTAGAGAATGAGAATTTACTCACTCTTTTTAATATTGGTATTTGTCATTGGATTCATTTATGCATCTCAAGATATTCAAGATCCATCATGTGCAGCTGGAGTCAAGGTGGATAGATCTAGAATTGACAAGATTTTAGAGGGTATCTTTATCGACGATGCTCAAAGCTTGAGCGATATCCATGGCAGCAAGTCACTTCTCTTTTTAGCCAAACTCAAGAATATTCCAAACCGTACTTTCCTCCTTTCACTTCCAGTCACCTGGAACCCACAACAATTTGACCAAAAGCCAATCATCAAGTACGAGATTGTCCCCGACAGAAACGGTACTCAGTCGACCATCCAACTCTACGGTTACAACTCTGACACCAAGGTCATCTACATTGCCACTGCCTCTAGTACCGGTGGTGCCGCTTCAGTAGGCCCATACTTCCAATCGAGCAGTGAATTTGTTCCAGTGTGGGGTGTACTCAGTCTCTACTTGGGCATGGATTTTGAAGAATCTACCAACACCATGTACAGTTGTGATTTTGACATTCGTCGTTACCAACCCATTCCAGTTGACAAGGCTGGTCGTCTCAACAACGTCACCATGTTTGCCGGCCGTACCTGTGACGGTGTCCAACACAGCACCGTCCATCAAGAAATCTACGTTGCCGCCTCTAGATCCGACGGTCAACCTGGTAGTCAAGTTCTCAGAGGTCCACTCTCTTGTGTCAACTGTCCAGCCTCTCAATTGACCAACATCTTCAACACTGACGACTATATCCACGGATTCTCATTTGCCAACAACAATAGATTCTACTACTCTACCTCTAATGGTCTCTTTGAGGTACCATTTGGTGGTCAAATTGCCGAACGTCGTCAACTTGGTCTCAGTGCACCAGTCACCGCTATTGCCACCGATTCTATCAATGGTTATGCCTATTATCAAACCGGTAATCAAATCTATCGTGTCAATTTAAATAATAATGAAAATCAATTATTAGTTTAAATCTAATAATTTAAACAAAAAAAAATATATCTCTATCAATCAATCAAACAAATAAATATAATTTAATTTCAAAGTTTGACATATAATGAAACAAAACTTTATATATTTGTAGTTTTTTTTTTATTTTAGGTACTACAAATGACAGTATATATAAAAGGAAACCCAGCAGTAGAAAGTAAGATAGTCATTCCCCCCTCCTCATGAGGGGTACGAAAATTCCCAATGCAACTTCAATTGTTTATTCACAACAAAAAAATAAAAGATATGTTGATTGATGGTAGTTCCAAGATAAATAGAATAAACCAGATTTTCAAAAAAATAAATAAATAAAATCTTGTTTTCCATTATTCTTTTGAATTTATTTCCTTGTAAATTAAAATTATATATATAGTAAATACATTTAAATATATCGAGATTGTTTGATTAAATCGAAGAAAAACAAGATCATCGATTCCTAACATTTTTGGTAAAAAATAATTGATTTAATCAGCTATAAATAAACCAACTTTTTTTCTTTTTTTTGATATAAATTATTTGTTTTTTTTAATCAAACTTTTTAATCAAAATGCTTTTTAGTAATTTTTCTACTTGGGATGATCATTTTTCTTTCCAATTTAATTCAAATATTTATATTAAAAATTTTTAGAATCATTGTCATCAATTGCAAGTTAGTCACCAAGCAAATCAATTTCCAACGATTCTATATTACAAGTTGGTCTATCTAACGATTCTGGTTCCATGGGATCAATAAAGGTCGCTCGTTATTCCCGTATATGCCATATGGACAGGAAAGGAGGATGCAAGGAAAGAAATTGAATAAAGAATTTCAAGACTAGATATTTTTTAAAGCTTAATAATAAATGGTTTATAACGTTTTATTTTTAATTCCTTTTATTAATTATTATTATTATCGACCCACTTCACTTGTTGTTATATACATATATAAATATTTCGAGTAATTATTAAAAATTGATATTATTTAATTCTTGAAAGATTTCAATACAGGTATTGAAATGGTAGAGTGGTGCCAAGAATGTGAAAAGATGCCAAATGGCATGACTGCTTATAAAGTTGTCAAATTTACCAGGGAAGAAACGTTCAGGGAATCGAGTGACATAAAAGACAAGACCAACGGCAAACAAGAGAAACATGACACCGGTTCGAATCATAAATGGCATAGTGTCTTCCAATGGATACAAAGCCAAAAAGTGAATGGTTGGGATAATGCCGCTACCAGCAGTAGCTGAAAACATAAAGGTACGCAATCTATTGTGGTTGGATAGTGCTGGGATGAGAACCAGTACCAATAGACCAATACAAAAGATGCTAATCATTGCCATGTATCCAATCATAAGAGTTGGGTGTTCTCTAAACCCATACAATAGAGGTGGGAAAAAAGAAGCCCCAATTAAAAAGATAATACCAAGATAATCACATAATAGGAATCGATGCCAAGTGTGATAGGTTGTACATCCAATCGTATGCCAAGCAGATGAAAATGCATAACATGTAGCTCCACTCAACAAAAATAAGGTGAATACAGTGATATCACTCCATTGCATATAAGTAGTCTAAAAATAATAAATAAAAAGATAAAAAGAAAAGATAAATTAGAATATAAATAATATTTAATATATTTATGTTTTAATTTACCTTATTGACCAATGTATCGTAGGTGAGAAAAAGAAAATAAATAAGAGGCCATAGATGACTATGGATGTTCCAAAATTCATTGTGTTGTGGAATGAAAATGGATTTAATGGCAAGGGATAATGAAAAGTTGACTCGGTAGCCAGTATGGATATGTTCTCTTTGAAGATACTCGGGAGTTTCTTTAAAGTGTAAACATTGAAACACTTGTTTGGGTTTCTCGTTGTATGTGTTGGTAAGTTCGTCAAAAATAATGCAAGTTGTAGTTGTTGTTGTAGTTGTTGTTGTACTACTAAAAGTTTCCAATAAACTTATAGTGTCGTTGTCGTTATTATTGTCGTTTTCAGCACAACTAGTAGTATAATGATTATCGATAGAAATTGAATTGGAAGAAGTGGAAATACTACGATGTCTTAAATCAGATGCCGAAGTTGATAAATTAATTGTATTACTACTACTACAAGTACTTGTATTTTCGATTACAAATGATGTTGAAGTTGATTTACTAATATTTTTTAATAATATCTTGTTCTCTTGTTCTTCTTCTTCATCATAGTCGTTGTCGTTGTCGTTGTCGTTGTCGTTGTCGTTATCGTTAATATTGTTTATTGATGTTGTTGGCTTTACTATGGTAGTAGTATTACTCTTTGTTTTAATAAAACTAACTAATTTGTAATAATTAAAGTATAGAGAACTGTATACCCCTTTTAAATCCCCGTTCGATATAGGATTATACGACATCTTCTCTTAACTTGCTAGACAACAACAAAAAGTCACCACTGCCCTTTGTGCATACACTCTATTCTATTAATTAATTAATTAATTCTATAATATATATACAAATATATATATATCTATGATTATTCTAAGAGTTGATTTCTAAAATTGGGTTGACTACTGTGACTGTGTGTGAGTGTGAAAACCAACAAACCCAAAAGTTTTAAAGGAAGTATGAGTTGGATAGTGATAGTGGGTAGTGGGGGGTACAATGACGTTTTTTAAATTAAATTTAAAAAATAAAACTATAAAACTTTATATAATGTGTATATGTTTATCCTAAAGTGTAAAAACAACCAAAAAGTGAGTGAGTGAGGAGTAAACGGTAAAAAGTATATGATAAAAAATTTGTTTCCTCTTTTGATTCTGTAATGTCCTTTTGACCCGAGGTTGTACAATTGGAAAAAAAAAGAAAAATTAATTTAAATTAAATTAATTGGGATGGGAAGGTTCGATTTTTTGGGAAGCGAATAAAATTTATTCACTTTTTCATAAATATCTTCTAATTTTCTTTTTTCTTTTTCGTCTGAAGAAAATTAATTTTAAAAATCAAAATATAATGATCTTGTAATTGAATTGAATATGCAAGGGTTATACAAACAAACTATGTTTTAATAATCATTAATAATAATAATAATAATAATAATTGAATTTAAATTTTGTTTTAAAATTACGTAGTTGCAGATTTTGTCGATGAAAAAAAAAACAATCTATCTATCTCTTATCAATCTTTTATCGTATGTGGGTGATTGTTTTTGGATTTCCCCAACATGTATATATATTGAAGGAGGAAGGAGGATGACTTTTAAATTGTACAATTTTGGCTTGGTTTGGTTTGGTTTGGTTTGGTTTGGTTTGGTTTGGTTTGGTTTGGTTTGGTTTATTCTTCAAAGAGTTTGAAGGGACACCACCTACAGATGTTGGTCATTCAAAGATAAATGACATCAGCTTTTTGGTGGTGCAGCACGTCAATCGAATCTTTAAATTATTATTATTATTATTATGCTGTATTAAATAGATTTACAGTAATGGATTAAATTTTAACTGGATTTGCTTTCAACTCTGCTCTTACTCTTTCAAGAGTGATACCAAGTTGATTTTTACCTGATCCATCTCCACCATCACCCCAATAACTATCGTTTACTGTATGTTCGACAAGTGTCTAAATTAAATCAGATCTTAATATCATTGATGATGATGAATCAATTCATTATGTATATTCATTCACTTACAGCATCACCAGTACCAAGAAGGACTTCTCTAATTTCAGCATTCTGTTTAAACTTTTCCAATACTACATCATACATGATCTCATCTTTTACAGTCTCCCAATCTTTTCTTAGAGGATGTGCTCTACTTCTACCCAACCTTGCAGAGTCACCTGGTGTTTTACAGTCTCGAATCTTTTGAAAGTATTCTGGTGTTGCTTCAAACTTCATTGCCTATAATATATTATATTGTGATTAGTATACTCTAGCTTGTAGTATAGTTCATTCGTTCGTCCATTCTACAACATCATCATACCTGAAAATAATGTTCACTCGTAGTCCAAGAGTGACCAGCTATATACACTCTATGCTTTGAAAAGTTTGAAAAGCATCCATAGGCATCTGATTCTCTATAAAAGTTGATTACTCGTTTCGACATTTTCTATATCTATCTATCTATCTATATGATGTTCTGTGTATTATTTGTTTAATGAAAAACTAAAACTACTCCAACCAATGTAGCATTTATAAATTTTGTTTGTTCCAAAAACTTGGAAAAATCAAAGATATCTTTTTTATGAGAACTCCTTTACCCGAGCAAAAGAGAGATTAAGGAAAATAATTAAACTAATATATTTTAATATTAACATTTGCACCTACTTGTATCTAGCAGTAGTATGGGAGGCAGAGAATAGTCTATATAATATATTATAGGATTGAGCAAATTAAAAAATAAGTGTTATATATTAAATATAATATGATAGCTTTGTTAGAGGTTAGGCTAGCTCCAAGAAACAAAGCAGATAGCCCCGCTCTTTGTTTTCTTTGCAAACAAGGTGATGACTGGTGCTGCTGATTTTGAAAGCATGTGACTATGGTCACATTTCAACTCTAATCTATGAATCCAACAACGTTGTATTTATATATTTCACCATCCTATTATGTTATGACTAATTGGTTTCCTCGATTTGGAAGAGGTCGTTTACCAAATGTCATCAAGGAACAAGACCAAATTGACCAAAAAACCGACCAAAGTTAACTTTGGGTATATCTTTGGCAAGAAAAACAACTATCAACTAGACGAAAATATAAATTAGATTAGATATTATTTATTAATGAAAATAATACTTGTACCAACATTCAACCATAATTATTATAACAATTGTTCACCAATAATAATTAATATTATTTATATATTTATTTATTAGCAGTGACATTTTTTTCTTTTAACAAGTCAACTTTTTTATATTTATATTCTTGAAACCATTAATTACAAGTACTCTAATACCGCACTATGTTAATAAGCTAGCGCCAACACACAAAAGCAATAGATAATATGAAAAAGATTGTAAAAATGGTTGGTGGTACCCAATTTGGTAAATACCATCCATTTTGTAGGTTTTCTTGGTATTGGAATCGTTCAAATAGAATTCGATCAAAGTCATGTGGTTGTAGGTATTGTTGTTTATGTTGATGATATTGTTGTTCATGTTGATGATATTGTTGTTCATGTTGTTGTTGATGATGTTGACGTTGATGTTGTTGTTGTTGTTGGTATCGACGTTGTTTTTGGTGGTACCGATGTTGTTCATATTGTTGTTGCTCATCTTGTTGTTCATATTGATGTTGATGTTGATGTTGATGTTGATGTAGTTGATTTTCTATTTTGTTGGGATCATAGATGATGTTTGCTATTGGTGTTGTCGTTGTCGTTGTATTGGGTATCGATGTTGTTGTTGTTGTTGCTGGTGCTAATGGCATTGTTGGTATCAATGTTGTTGTTGTTGGTGTTGTTGGAGTTGTTGATAGCATTGTTTTTAATAGTTGTGGTTTTGTTTTTTTTTGTTTTTTTGGTTTGGCTGTGGTTGATGTTTGATTTCTTGATGGTATTGATTTTTGTTGGTATGGTGGACCAGTAAGAGTTTTAAAAAGATAGTTGAATATTCTTTGAGGGTCATTGCCAAACTCAAAACCAGAGAATTCCAAGTTATCTAGTATCAGTTTTTTGAGGTATCCATCAATTAAAGGCGGAAAAACATAATCGTTGACACCAGTCTGAAACGCCAAAAGTGTTATAGTCAGCACACCCATTCTCATGTCATGAGCCCATTCATCTTGAGATTTCCAATTAGGTAGTGCCATACGTGACATCTTTTCAAGCTCCAATTCAACAGATTCTTTTTGAATCAGTCTTTCTTGTGTCAGGTCGCTCAAACGCTCACCATGAATGTATACGATTCTAGTAATTAGTTTAGACAATATAATGATGTTTTCGATATTGGTTTCAGTTGGTGGGTATCGAGTGGTGTTGTATTTTCTAATACTATTCTTTTCGAGGTATTGTGTCAGTTTGGGTGTATCCCAAACAACGTCTTTTTGTTGCCCGGTCAGTCCAAAGTAGATATTATAGGTGTATTGTAACTTGTGACCAATGTCTGGCATATTACGTGGGATCTCTTTATGAATCTTGACCAAGGTTTCCTTGACCATATTGGCCAATGGACCACGTCCATAGCCAGACAAACCAATGACATATGCCGCCACAACGAGTAGAGATGTCATAACCATGTAGGATGGTGGTAGACCAGGTTCTATCAATTCAAACATTTCGGATCCAATAATACTAAAAGCTCTATCAAAGTCATCTTGTCCATTTCCAGTTTGTATGACTCTATATGATCCATCCATCTGATCAAGTTGGATCATTTGCTCCACTATCAAGTTTGCAAATACAATAAAGTAAGGTGTTATATCTGCTTTGTTTCTTCCAGTGCTAGATGAACCTCTAACAAACCCAGCATCTTTGAGGTATTGTCCAAGTGTAGCTTCGGTCCAATGTTTAGAGGTATCAACATTTTGTACATCAATCACATTACCATAGTTGTAGATGTGGTTGTGTTCATCGTTGACTCCCTCAATCTCTCCTAGTTCATATTTCGGTACTCTATCTTTTTTCTTTTTCTTTTTATTCTTTTTCTTCTTTGTTGTTGATCTTAATTGTAGTATCGATTTGATTAGATTAGTCAATTGTATGAATATAAAATTATTACTTATAAAATAAAACATACACATTCGTAGTAGTTGAGGTTGAAGTAACAGATGTATTCTGCTGATCATCATCATCATCATCAACATTGATTTGTGATCGATCTACTGTGTTCAATACAGTGCTGTCATTATTCATCTTTTTAAAGTCTTGTAACAATTATAATTAAAGGTTCTGTTATTATTATTATTATTAAGGAATACCTAGCTAGATTCTACAGACAATGATGAAGCTAACATTGACCATGATCTCGATTGTTGATGCACTCGAAAATATTAGTATTTTTAACCAAAAATATCTTCTAGAGCCAGACGTCTCAACTATAACAAGTTTTCATCATGGATGGCAATTAATCGGATTGAATTATTCTATATATTTCGAACTTCAAGTTTTTGTCTTTCTACAAAGTTTTTTTATTTTATTTTATTTTTTTTTTAATATATGTCACTATTACAATGTTAAAGTTAAAGAGTGTGACAACAACTCAACTATTTCAAAGAGTTAATATTATATTATACAACATGAAGACTATAGGAAAACAACACAGTGAATAGCTACAGAATAGGTGAGATAGAATTATGCGGTTCTCTCTATCACCTGGTCAGCTCCGGTCAAGGCAGGTAGTACTATTTATTAGGTTAGATATTCGATCAAGTAGTATAGCGTGGAAGTCTCATTATCAAGTTTACTTGAAATATATCAATTTAAGGAAAGATGAGATCTTTGTAATAACTCGTCATTTGGTGTCTTCCTCTTCTTCATCTTCTCATTTCATACGATCATACGATTATTTATACCTTCCAATGTTAATTGAAGATGATGACGGTAGGATGTGGCAGTACAATACGTAGTGGAACTTCAACTAACACCAGTTACCATCACCAAAGGAGTAATATTCTGGATCCTTGGTTGCTGGGTTCGGCTCTCGATGAGTACTGTATTCTCCAACGTGTACGAGGTGAGAACGTCGAGTCTTTCTGGTGAAGAGTGATGATGGATGGGTATCAACCGATTGTTCAAGTTCCTTTGGACCGACACCTAGAATCGCATTGGTGTACCAGCTACGACCTTAAAAGAGGTAAAGTCCAAATACCACACTATCCATGTGAAGTATCTCATCTCGTTGGATTGGCCCCTACCATTTCAGAAAAGGCTGACTCGCGAGGTTATGTGCTTCATCACATCAATAAGGGTATGTTATTTAAAAAAAAAAAGAACAAAATGGTACATCTTTATCTTGACTAACCATTTATCTTATTAGTGCAAAGAGATCATCTCGAAAATAAATTCATATGCAAATGAGACGGAATAGGACATCCAATCTATCGTTGTGGAGCTTGGGTTGGAAGAATTAAACCAGATTAGATCGGCTGGGTCGGTAAATCTCCACTTGGAACGGGTATTGACCTCGAGACAGGTATATTACGGGTGTTGTATTGAGTGTAAGTCACTGCATCGTTGATTCGGTCAAGACTGAGCTTGAAGTTGTACCCCATAACACTTTTGGCCAGTTTCTGTTCTTTGCTGTGCTGGTGTACAAAACAACTCTACCCGGAAGCTATTAAAGTGTTTATCAAGCAAACAGTGATTCCAGAAATGAAATCTAAAGAGGAATCTTCCAAAAACAATCGATATCAACAAAGACAACAACAAAAAAAAGAAAAGTAGGGACAGAGGCTGTCACCAATCTCGGCAATGATGATGATGATGATGACGACGAAACCAACAACAACAATAATGAAAACAACAACAACAACAACAACAAAGTTATAAGGTGTCGCTGCCAAAAGGGAGATTGTACAACCTGTACTTGTGGAGAGGAAAATCAAAAATGCAACTCCAAATGTAACTGTCAATGTAATACCAACAAGAAAATCAAGAATTTCTTATATTACCAAGTACAAACCACTTTTCCTATCAACAATCTGTTTCAATTGGTAAATATATTATTTTGATTTATTACATGTAAAACTTTTGTAATTATATTTATTTATTAATTTACCTTTTTTTAGAATACAATTGAAATACAAGATGGAGATATTTAATGTTGGATATTAATATAACCACCGCATTGCAATGATATAGTGTACATTATTATTCTTCTTATTTTTCAAGTTGTGAGAATATATTTAATGGCGCTTCCTATCAACTTTTGTCTGTTATCAACCATTCTCCCCAACAAATTACAGGAATTTACATTTGAAGGTACCAATTATCAATTTAAATATCCTTCGACCCTTCTTTTCATCGACTATGGCACAATCAGCTCTATATTCAGAGATACCATTCCATCATCTGTCATCGAGTAGGATCTAAAAAAATGATCACATTAGATCCAAAAGAATTGAATTTGTAAGTTATTGTTTCATAAAAATGGTTTATTCATTCAATTTGATAAATCTGGAAAGGTAAGTAGTAGTACAACAGACAAACCAACCCAATAAATATTTATCATATTACAACAACCTAATTATCTCTTTTTTTTTTTTTTTTTTTTTTTTTCTTCAAGAACCCAAGTTGAACTGCAAGTTCACCATTTGTTTTTTTATTATTAATTTAATTATTATTATTAAAACACGAACAACCAACAACAACAACAACAAGATGAATAGTGGTAGTTAGCATTAGTTAGCTATTCTCCTCCTCGTATATACAGATAGAACAAGAAAAAGATGATTCAACAACAACAAATAGATGAAATCAGTGAAGTAGAGCAGACATTTGAAAATGCTTTTACTGTTGTTGATGATGATGATGATCATGTGTATGTTTAATAGAATAGAAGATACTCATATATATACACTCAATATACAAAATATTTATATAAATACAATATCTCATAATGATATTAACTTTTAATCTTTTTTATCTACTTTTATTAATAAATTAAAGATCAACTACAACATCAACATCAACAATAGGAGGAGAAGAAAAGAAGAAAAAGAAAAAGAAAAAGAATAAGAAGAAAAAGAATAGTAGTTTTGTAGAACCTGGTGGTGAGGGAATAGGTTATGGTAATGAAGACAACCACACCTACAACTATGGTAATGTTATCAATGTAAAAGGTGTTGATACTTCCAAGCATTGGACTGAAGCTACTCTTGGACAATACCTAACCGATGCAGGGTTTGTTAGAAGTTCAGACAAATCTTCAAGTAACAAGGCAAAGATAACACCATTCTACATTCAATTTATAAACAGGGTGACACAACACCCCGAACCAATTGAAGGATTTGGTCCTTTGCATCTTAGTGGACATGGTCAAACCGACTTTGACAATGCATTCAACTTGATTGCTTCTGAAGAGATTGGATTAGTGATTGAAAGTCGCCCACCCTCTTACTCTATTATGACTACATTACTTGTCGTTGCAGCCTATGTCGTTGGGTTTCCTGGTTATGGTCATGGTTCACACCTTCCAAACACGGTAAAGAAAACATTGGTCAAGATGAACCGAGAGATTCCACGTAATCTACCAGACCTTGCAATCAAGATTCAGTATACTTGGAATAGATACTATGGTCTACCCGATCAACAAAGAACCATCGTTTGGGACAAGGAAAAGATGACTCACTACCTGCTCAACAACTCTGTCAGAAAGTTTAGTACAACCAAGTACCCACAAACAGAGGAACATCTTGGTCATATCAGAATGTTGTGTATCATGGTTATGACTTTTGTTGTCAAGAATACTTGTTGTCGTACCACCAAAAAACCACCAATGAAAGATAAAGAGCCCATCGCATCGATCATTGAAAAGATGTGTCGTATGGTCATACCACATAGCAATACAAAGGATAAAGAATATAATAGTTGTGCCGACTGTCGTCGTTTAAAATCTCCACCAGATGAAGATTGGGAGACAGACATGAAGATATTTGCACTTTGTGCTTGTCTTTTGGCATTTGAAACAGGTATCTCCAACTATATCTATCCTCCATTGATTGAACATTTAAAAGAAGAGTTGTTGGAAAATTTGGAGTATCCAATCTACGAATCAGATGCCAATTCTCTCCTATACCAACTTTTTGACCTCATTAGCAAAAATAATGATAACCCAATCATCCAAAAGATCAGAAATAATAAAAAAAAATAAAGAATCAAAGTTGAAATAAGCATGAAGTTCAAGAAAATCAAGATTTCAATTTGTTTTTTTTTTTTAACAAACATCAACACCTACAAGACCAAAAGTGAATAGAAAAGGTTAGCTATTGTGTAGTTTAATATCGATATGTATTACAGATACTATCTCTCAAGAACAAAAAGCTTACAAGATGATTCAACTCATTCGACAAGTAAATAAAATGGTCAACCAAGATAATGAAGTGGTCAAGGTAGATCTCAATGAAACTGATGATACTTTGACTCATAAAATGTATGTTTAAATAGATATTAATATCTATTCCATCAATATGATATTAACATACTATCTCTCTCCCTCTATTGATTTATTAGATCAACAACAACTGAAAAGAAGAAGAAAAAGAATAAGAACAAGAATAGAAAGAAAAAGAAGAAATCTCCTTTGGATGAACCTAGTACATTGAATGATGAACTCAACTATACCTACAACTATGGTAATGTTATCAATGTAAAGGTTGATACATCCAAACCTTGGACTGAAGCAACATTGGGAAAATACCTCAAAGACTCTGGTTTTGTTAAAGGTTCATACAACACTCCAAGTAACAAAGCTCAAATGACTCCATTCTATGTAAAGTTTGCAAACAAGTTGTTGTCAAGATCATTGTCTCAATTAAGTAATTGTCTCATATCATTCCCTCTACCTGAAGCTGGTAATGGTAAAGATGACTTGGAAAAGGCCTATGACAGTATTGGATCACCAATGTTTGAAGGAATAATGCTTCCCTTTTTACCTCCATCAGACATGATGATGGGAACTTTGCTTGTTGTCGCTGCCTATGTAATGGGTTTTCCTAGATTTGGTAGAGGGTCGATTCCAGATGTAATCAAAACTACTCTTGTACAGTTTTGCTCCGAGATACCAAGAGATCTACCAGACCTATCTGCCAAGATTAAAGATACCTTTAATAGATTCTTTGGTCACGTAGATAATCAATTAAAGGTTGTTTGGGACAAGAATACAATGACACAATACCTACTCAACAATGGTATTAGAAAGTATAGTACAACAAAGTATCCACCAGCTCAAGATAACTTTAACATTATCATAGAGTTGTGTAGAATGATCAAGAAAACAATCATTAGAAGCAATCCGGATAATTATATCCGTAGATTTACACAAGAAACATCTTTGGAGTTGGTCAATGTAATACCAAACGAAACTGTTGAATCTGCACTAGATAGACTTGGTCGTATGTCTGTTCCATCTTGGAACCCTGAAAAAGGTTGGCCTCTTGATCAGACATTGAGACAATGTATTCTTGGTGTCACACTTTTGGCATTTGAAACCGGAGTTGTCAACTATATTCATCCGGGATTGATTGATGGTTGTATTAAAAAAGAGATTGTGGCTGTTTTAGAATTTCCTTGTTTTGACGACGTGGATGACCTTCCCACTGCATCCAACCGAATCAATTCTATTCTGGCTGATGTTATCATTAATCATGTCTACTATATTGAAGAATTTAAAAAGTTTGTAGATCAAGATACTTTTGATTATTGTCCAACTCGTTTAAATATTAATTACAGTGATGATGATTAAATATAAATCAATAATTAATTGTATTTAAATAATCCAAAAGATTCAACAACAATAAAAAGTAAAATAAAATCACCATTTCCCTTTAAAGGTCAATAAATTAAATGTCAATTGTTAGAGCTATATTTTTCATTTTTCAATTACTATCTATATATTCATATATCTATATATTATTATAATTATATCCCTCTCAAACTAATTATATATTTACCAAGTATCTATATAGTTATTTCAGACGTATGATAGTACCACATTGGAATGTAATGGCAGAGTGACAGATGATACTAGGAATTTCCCTTGCAGCCTTTCAAGCAGGTGTAGATTTTGGATAATTTAGAATTCCCACATTTCCAGTCATGATATACTACATCATTTGAAAGAATTAACAATTATCTTGTTGAAGTATTTGACAATTACATTGTCCCTACAAATCAAAAAAAATTAAAAAAAGGAAAGAAATAAATAAGTACACAAAGATTTATTTATTATTTTTAAATAAAGTATTTTATAATTGATATTCATTTCTAATGTTGAGCCAACCAATCTCTCTGAAATGGGCATACTCTAATCCATTCAATATATTAAAACTAGCAGTATTTCAACTACTTCTTTTTCTTTTTTTATTTATTCAACAAATTTATAATTGATATTGGTTTCTCATGTCGAGTAATCCAGTCTCTCTGAAATGAGCATACTCCAATCCATTCAATATATCTGGTTGGAGACAATCAACGATTAATGGAGGGTAAACATAATCTTTGATACCAGTCTGGAATGCTGTATAGCATGCATTTTGAGCCAACATTCTTAAGTCCTCTGTCCACTGTATTTCTTTGTTGTAATGGGGTAATACCATACGACCCATCTTGTAAATAGCTTCTTGAACAGTATCCATGTCAGTGATCACTTCTACCTTTTTTGGCTTGGCATATTTGACGACTCGACCAATTGCCATTTTGCAATAGCTAAAGATGATGGCAATATTGCTTTGAGTAGGCAGACGAACATCGTTTTTAAACTTTCTAACAGTGTTGTTGAGGAGGTAGTTGGTCAACATTTCTCTGTCCCATTTAACCGTTCTTTGTTGATCCACCAGACCATGGAATCTATTGTAGATGAACTGAAGCTTGACACAGAGATCTTGTCCATTTCTTGGTATCTCCCGGTTCATCTTGACCAGCACAAGCTTCACTCTAGTGAACTGTCAAAATCAGTTGGACCATTTCCAATCAGTTTAACCTTCATAATGGTTGATTCACAATGATAGAGTCTGGCATATTGTGACATCATCTTGTTTGTCAAATGGATGAAAAGTGGTGTTACCATTGCTTTGTTTCTTGGAGTGTCGGAAGAACCTTGAATAAAACCAGCTGCCTTGAGGTACTCTCCAAGAGTTTGTTCATCCCAATGTTTGGTAATATCAACACCCTTGACATCGACAACATTACCATAGTTGTAGACATAGTCCTTTTCATCGGACAAGCCTTTTACAAATTCACCAGGTCCAAAGTAAGAGGCCTTTTTTAAAACACTTGATCTCTTTTTAAATTGTTGTTGAGTTGGTTGTGTTTGTTCTTTTTCTTTTTCTTCTTTTTCTCTCCTGCTGTTGTTCTTTTTAAAAGAAATAAAATAGAAGAAGAAGAAAGGAAAAAGTTAAAATCAAAAATGATAATATAGAGATGTGATGAATAAATAAAATATTAAACATACACATTATCTGCGGTAGTAGTATCTGAAGTTGAAGTACTAGTACTTTTTACATCTACGTTAACTTTACAGTCAACAAGATAACCATCATCACCTTTGAATATATATTTGTAATTCTCCATTATCTGTTTAAAAAAATTATAATTGTGATTCCCTAATGATGATAATGATAATGATGATCAAGAGAAGAAGTAGATGGTCACCATCAGCTTTTTTTCTTTTCGATTTTTTGAGTTTACAGTTGGGCCAAAAAAAAAATTAGATCAACCAAAAAAAAAAAATACATGTACAATGATGTTTTCTTGTTGTTTAGGTTGTTGTTTAGGGTGTTGTTGGTATTGTCAATGATCATATTCATCAATTAATTTACACAATGCAATGATACGATCTGTATTTCTTTTAGTTGGTGGGTATCGAGTATTACTGTATTTTCTAATCGTGTTGTTGAGTAGGTATTGTGTTAACTTTGATTTGTCCCATACAATAGATTTGTGTTGATCGGGTACACTAAAATAGATTAGATAAATAGATTGAATTTTGATACCGAGGTCTGGATCGTTTCGAGGTATCTCTTGGTTCATTTCAACAAGTCTGTGCTTCACTGTTGAGAATCTAATTTTAAGTTACTGTCTTTATGATCGTTTTCTCGAGAATCAATCGTTGTTGTAGTCATCATAGTCACTGCTATCATCAAATAATTGATCTGTTTCTGTGTGATTGAATGTACCATGCTTGTAATAATGATATGTATACTTTCTAGTTTTGAACATTATGTATATCAATGCAAGAATGAGGGGTATGATACCAAACAAAATGACTGCTACAACACTCACTACTGATTGAAAGAAAAATAGTAATGGTGATAATGTCTGTAGAACTGAATCACACTTTCTCTGATTCCATTAGATTTTATCTGTAATGTTGTAGTGTTATGCATCTCGTTGCTAGAAACAAAATGATCATGATCTACTTTTTTTTCAAACTATAGTTGCCGAAAAAAAAGATATGAATACTAATTTATTTATTTATTTATTAAAAATATATTCTACTCCATCTTTTTGCTGAGGTCCCTGCTTTGGATAATGAGAGATAAAATCTGATCATATTTATCTTTGGGACCATCAACAGAGTCAAAGATTGGAAATTCAAGATACTTCAATATATCTTTCTTCAAGCAACTATCGATCAATGGAGGATAGACATAGTTGTTGGTGACACCAGTTTGAAATGCAAAAAGTGTTACCATCAATAATGCTTGTGATAAACATTGAAACCATTCTGATTCCTCACTATGCCAAATGGGATATACTACTCGACCCATTTCTTGAAGTGCTGTTTCAATGGTATCACCTTTTTTCAATCCAAATGTTTTAGAGTCATAGTTTTTGATTGTGTTTCTATTTACTAGATGTGTAATATATTTACACATCACAAAAATCCGATTCATATTTTCCTCTGTTTGTGGATATCTAGTGGTACTGTATTTTCTAATACTGTTTCCAAGGAGGTATTTTGTCAACATGGATTGATCCCATACAACATGATTGTGTTGATCAACTTGAGCATAAAATAGATTGAGAGAGTAATGAATCTTGACCAATAGGTAGTGTCCTCCACGTGGTATCTCTGAGTTCATCTTGACCAATGTATGCTTGACAATGTTTGGGTAGTGGACCAGCTCCAAATCCAGGTAGACCCATAATATAGGCTGCAACTACAAACAGAGTTGTCATGGTGGTATAGGATGGTGGTAATCTTGGTTGAGTCTTTTCAAACAATTCAAATGATCCAATGGCAGACAATGCATTTTCCAAGTCAATCTTTCCATTTCCAGTTAGTTTGAGACGTTTAAAGGGATGACTATTACAGATACCATTGACGCAACTAATAAGCTGTCCCAACTTGTCTGAGAATTGAATGAAATTTGGTGTAATTTGAGCCTTTTTACTTGCTGAGCTAGCCGAACCTCTTACAAAACCAGCATCCTTTAAATATTGACCCAATATTTCTTCATTCCATGGTTTAGAGGTATCAACACCTTTTACATTGACGACAGGACCATAGTGGTAATGGAAATTTTGTTCATCATTGACACCTTCAACAATTGTACCTGGTTCAATAAACCCAATCTTTTTTCTCTTTGTAATTCGTTCATTCTTCTTCTTTTTCTTTTCCTCTGTTTTAGTAGTAGTAGTTGATGTAGTAGAAGTTGTTGTAGTCGTAGTTGTAATTCTTTAGATTTAAAGTGAGATTAGTATTAAATAAAATAGAGGAGAAACATATTTATCTTATAAATAATTTATTTATTGATACTTACAAATCGGTACAAGTATTTGTTAAAGTTGAAGAAGAAGAAGAAGATTGGTCTTGACTATTCGTTTTAATATTTTTGTCACTTTCATCTTCCTCATCGTTAATGTTCAATACATCTAAATGTTTAACTGCAATTAATTCAAGTGAGCAATTATCTTTCTTGTTCTTGTTCTTGTTTTTCATTATGATTAGATAATTAAATATATAGATAATTGATGAGATAGAGAGATATAGAGATAGAGGATGTAAACAGATAATTGATGAGAGTGTAACTAACATAATGAAGAACAACTCAAGCAGTCATCACTTTTGTTTTTTCCAATTTTTCAATTTTTAATTTTCCAGGTTGCAGTTGAGGGAAAGGAAAAAGACTTGAGAAGATATTTTATCTCATCATCACCCTTCAACTTATTTTATTGTCAATTTTCTAAAAATACAAAGTTTATTAATTTTTGTAAAAATGATAAAAAGAAGATAGGATTATTTTAGAGAAGGAGAGATAAAATCTGAGAGTGTGGAACTGAGGGATCATCATCATAATCAAAGACTGGAAATTCTAGATGTCTCAAGATAAATGTTTTAAGACAACTATTGATCGATGGTGGATAGACATAGTTGTTGATTCCAGTTTGAAATGCCAAAAGTGTTGCCATAAATAAAGCTTGTGATAAATTCTCGGACCATCCCTCATCACTATCCCAAAAAGGTAGAATGGCACGACCCATCTCTTGAAGTGCAGATTCAATTGACTCGTCTTTTTTAAATAATGTATCAATGTCATAATCTTTGATTGTATTCTGGTAGACCGTATATGTAATAAATTTACATGACATTAGAACAAGAGTTATGTTTGCTGAGTTGGTGGATACTTGGTGGTACTGTATTTTCTAATACTGTTTCCAAGGAGAAACTTTGTCAACATGGATTGATCCCATACAACGTCGTAGTGTTGATCGACTTCAGCATAAAATAGATTGAGAGAGTAATGAATCTTGACCAATAGGTAGTGTCCTCCACGTGGTATCTCTGAGTTCATCTTGACCAATGTATGCTTGACAATGTTGGGTAGTGGACCAGCTCCAAATCCAGGTAGACCCATAATATAGGCTGCAACTACAAACAGAGTTGTCATGGTGGTATAGGATGGTGGTAATCTTGGTTGAGTCTTTTCAAACAATTCAAATGATCCAATGGCAGACAATGCATTCTCCAAGTCAATCTTTCCATTTCCAGTTAGTTTGAGACGTTTAAAGGGATGACTATTACAGATACCATTGACACAACAAATAATTTGTCCTAACTTGTCTGAGAATTGAATGAAATTTGGTGTAATTTGAGCCTTTTTACTTGCTGAGCTAGCCGAACCTCTAACAAAACCAGCATCCTTTAAATATTGACCCAATATTTCTTCAGTCCATGGTTTAGAGGTATCAACACCTTTTACATTGACGACAGGACCATAGTGGTAATGGAAATTTTGTTCATCATTGACACCTTCAACAATTGTACCTGGTTCAATAAACCCAATCTTTTTTTTCTTTGTAATTCGTTCATTTTTCTTCTTCTTTTTCTTTTCTTCTTTTTTAGTAATAGTTGTTGTAGTTGTAGTAGAAGTTGTTGTATTTGTAATTCTTTTGATTTAAAGTGAGATTAGTTTTAAATAAATAATAAAAGAGTAGAAAGAAACATATTTATCTTTTAAATACATTTATACTTACAAATCGGTACAGGTATTTGTTAAAGTTGAAGTTGAAGAACAAGAAGAAGATTGTTCTTGACTATTTGTTTTAATAGTGTTGTCACTTTCATGATCATGATGATCGTCGTCATCGTCGTTGATGTTCAATGAATCTAAATGTTTTACTGCAATTAATTCAAGTGAGCAATTATCTTTCTTGCTCTTGTTCTTGTTTTTTATTATGATTGATATTTAAATAGATAATAAAGAGATAGTTAATTATGAGAGATAGAGATAGAGATAGAGTATATAAACAGATAATTGATGAGAGAGTGTAATTAATAATGAAGAGCAACTCAACCAAGTCATCTCTTTTGTTTTTTTCCAATTTTTCAATTTTTAATTTTCCAGGTTGCAGTTGAGGGTAGAAAAAAAAATCAATGATCACTAGCTCATACCTCTTCAACTTATTTTATTGTCAATTTTGTAGATAGAGATAATTTAGAGTAGAGAAATGAATAAATTAGAGATAATAGATAAAAAAAATTAACATAGGAAAATGATAGAGAAGTAATCAATCTGAGATCGACGATGATCTTGGAGAATTACATATTTCTCATACCTCAACAACTTCTAAAATGTAAGTATCATAAATAAAGAGATATGGCTTTCATTATTATATTATATCAATGTATTAATATCCCTCTTTTTTATTTATTAAAAGCTCATTGACTAAAGAAGAAGGAGAAAAGAAGAAGAAGAAGAATAAGAATAAGAATAAAAAGAAAAATTCATCTGAATATGTAGAACCTGGTACAATAGTTGAAGGTATTAACGATGAACACAATCACATCTACAACTATGGTAATGTGATTGATGGTAGGGTTGAAACCTCTATTCCATGGACCGAAGAAATATTGACTCAATATTTAAATGCTGCTGGTTATGTTCAAGGTTCAGGAAACACTGAATGCAACAAGGTTGAAATGATACCCTACTTTATTAAATTTGCAGACAATTCTCTTTTTCTTGCCAACAACTTTGGTGAAAAGAGAAAGAATGGTGAATTTTTCCTTCCCATCAAGATCACTGGTGATGCTTTGACTGACTTTGACACTGTCTATACTTGGATTGGATCTAAATTGTTTGCAGATATTCAAAAGGGCCAGCCACCATCGTGTGAGATTATGACAACATTTCTTGTGGTCGCTTCCTTCCTTTTGGGTCTACCTGCTACAGTACCACCCGACACCCACACACACCAGAGAATCTCGACCATATCATTAGACTAGCCAAATTAATGATGGAGGTTATCATTACCAACACTAGTAGCCGATCACAAGCAAAGATTAGAATGGAAAAGGAAAAGGTCAGGGAACCTGAAACTATTGAATCGGCACTTGAAAAGTTGGGTCGTATTGCTATTCTTCATTGGCACGTACCACAATGTCAATCATTCTTTTGGCATTTCAGACTGGTGTTGTCAATGTTTATCCACCATTGATCTATAGATCGATTCCTAAAGAGGTTCTAATTATTCTTAGAGTATGAAAATTACGATACTGATCTCATCTTCAAACCATGGCAAACATGACTTATGATTTCATTTCCAAGTCAATCAATAAAAATAAATCAATAAACAAATAAATAAATCAAATCAAAATCAAATCATAATCAAATCATTTTCTGCCTTCAAGAACGATGACCACAAAATAAAATTTAATAACCATTGTGGGGGTTGTCCACGATCAAAACTCTAAAGAGATGAACTTCAATTTAGTTTTAAAAAGTGTAGTTACAATGAATAAATTAGAGATAAGAGATACAAGTAAAGAAAAAGAAAAAGAAGAAGATAATGATGGTGATAGAGTTGAAATAGATAAATTACAGATCAACGATGATGATCATCTCGAATCGCAGCAGACTACAAGTACTAGTACTACTACTTTCAAGTATGATGATGATGATTATGATGATGATAATAATAATAAGAGATATTGATCAGTATCTAATAACTCTATTAATTTAAAAGATCAACAGAAGAAAAAGAAGAAGAAGAAGAAAAGAATAAGAAGAAGAATAATAATAATAAAAAGAAAAAGAAAAAGAGAAAGACAAAGGTTGCATATGTAGAACCTGGTACCTTGGTAGTAGGTATTAACGATGAACACAATCACATCTACAACTATGGTAATGTTATTGATGTAAAGGGTGTTGATACTTCTAAACCATGGACTGAAGAAATATTGGGTCGATATCTAAAGGATGCTGGGTTTGTTAAAGGTTCAGGCAACACTCCAAGTAACAAGGCTGAAATGACACCATATTATGTTAAATTTGCAAACAAGTTCCTTTTTCTTGCAAACAACTTTCGTCACTATCGAAGGATTATTGGACACTTTAATCCCATCGAACTCACTGGTAATGGTATGAAAGACTTTGAACTTGCCTATGATTGGATTGGATCTAGTTTGTTTGAAGATATGAAAAACGGTCAGCCACCATCATGTGAAATTATGACAACTTTACTGCTAGTTGCTGCATATTTGATGGGATTTCCTGGTTTTGGTCGTGGCTCACTTCCCAAATACAAGAATATTCTCGTCAAGATGAACAAAGAGATACCACGCGACCCATCTCAACTCTTTATCAAGATTAAATACTACTATTATAGATACTATGGTCTCCCAGATCAACAAAGATCGGTTGTATGGGACAAAGACAAGTTGACACAGTACCTTCAACACAACGGAATTCGAAAATACAGTCCCACTCGATACACCAAAACAGTTGAAAATATCCATTATATCACTAGTCTGGCTAAATTTATGATGGAAGTTATCATTACCAACACTGAGAGTAACGACGTACTCATCAAGATCAAGATGGAAAAAGAAAAAGTAAAACAAATTGAAAGCGTTGAATCGGCACTTGAAAGAATGGCACGTATGGCTATACCACATTGGAGCAAACGAGAAGATAGATGGGCAATATATATGAAAATTAATTGTGCTGCCATTACACTTTTGGCATTTCAGACTGGCATTCAGGACTACGTTTATCCACCATTGATCGATGGTTATTTAAAGGAAGAGCTCCTTAACGATCTAGAATACGATAACTTGGCCTTTGAAAATGACGATATTAAAACCATGTCATTCAGCATTTATCATTTTCTTGCCAAATCATTAATTAAATAAAAATCTTAAATAAATACAAAATTAATAAATAATATATCTATTTATAAAAAGTGTTTATTCTTTACTTTAATTTTGTTTTATTCATCATCTAATTCAAGGTCATCACCAAAGATGAACATTGGATATTCTTAATAATCAAGTACAACTGACTTGATGTAATCAGGAATCAATGGCGGAAAGAAATAATTGACAAGACCTGTTTGAAATGCCAAAAGGGTAACAACTAGGACTCTTATTCTCATGTCATGAGCCCATTCATCTTGCTTTGCCCAATACTTGTAAACCATATGACCCATCTTACAAAGTACCACTTCAACTGAATCGGTATCATCTACTGGCTTGTCTTCATTGTTGTAGTTATTGAAAAATACTTCAATCATAATCATTTTAGACATTGCAATAATTCTTTCATAATTCTCTTCAGTTGGTGGATACCTTGTTGTACTGTACTGTCCGATTAAATTGTACTTTAGGTAGTTTGTTAAATTGGACTTGTCCCATTCAACCATTCTTTGTTTATCAACCATACTAAAGTATCGATTGTAATGATATTGAGTCTTGATAGCTAGGTCTTGATGGTTACGTGGAATCTCGAGGTTGAACTTGACCAAAGTATGCTTAATAGTATCTGCAAGACGACCTTGACAATAATTTGGAAAGCCCATTGTGTATCCTGCGACAACAAGTAAAGTTGCCATCATACAATATGGTGGAGGTAATCTAGTTCCCATCTTTCCCAATACATCAGATCCAATGAAAGAGAATGCTTCCACAAACTCCTCTCTTACTACTTTAGAGTTTTCACCTCCAACCTGAAAAACACCATTGTTGTGATGTTTACCAGCTTGAAACAAGATCTTGTTTGTAAAATGGATAAAGAGAGGAATGATGTTTGATCTTGACTTTTTGTATTGGTAGCCATCTAATGAACCTCTAACAAACCCGGCATCTTTGAGGTAATTTGCAAGCGTAGCTTCAGTCCATTGCTTTTCAGTATCTACTTGTACATCGATAACATTGTCATAGTTGTAAACATAGTCCTTTTCATCAGGCAAACCTTTTACAAACTCTCCAGGTTCAAAGTAAGGTGCTGACAATGAACTTGATCTTTTCTTCTTGTCCTTTTTCTTTTTCTTCTTTTTCTCATCTATTGTTCTATAAATAATTTAAATATAAAAGTTTTATCAATAATGGTGAAGAGATAAATATTAATAATACGTTTAACATACACATTATCTGGAGTTGAAGTGGGAGGAATAGGAAAGTTAGGTGCTAGATTCCCTATGCCATCTTGGTATTTAAAACTCATTCTTTATTTGAACAAATATTTGAAAAAAATAAATAATTATGATTATGATTCCCTGATCCCGATGATGATCAATCAAAAGTATTATGTCTTCAATTTTGATTGGAAAAAAACAAAAAAACACAAAAACCAACGAAAAATAATCTAAACATATGACTTTTTATTACTTTTTAATTAACTATTAATTAGATCTTGTTCTAGATGAAAAATGGATATTTAGATCATCTCCAAAGATGAACAATGGATATTCTAGACTATCCAATACCACTTTTTTGAGACAATCAGTCAATGGAGGATAGACATAGTTGGAGATACCAGTCTGAAATGCCAAAAGTGTGATTTCTAGTACTGCCAACATCATATCATCAGCCCAGGCTACTTTTTTTTTCCACAGTTGTATTACTGTACGACCAATCTTTTCAATTACAACTTCAATTGAATCGGTATCATTGATTGGATTATCATATGTAGAGGTAGTACGATGGACGATCATCATCCCATTTTTAGACAACGCAATGATTCGTTCAAAATTCTCTTTAGTTGGTGGATATCTTGTAGTACTGTACTGTCTGATCAAATTGTGTTTGAGGTATTGTGTCAACTTGTCCTTGTCCCAAACAATGGGTCTTTGTCGGTCAGCAGAGCCATGGTATCTATTGTAACAATGTTGAATCTTGATAACGAGGTCTGGCATAGTACGTGGTATCTCTTTGTTCATCTTGACCAAAGTATGCTTGATTGTGTCTGGGAAACGACCTTGGCAATAGGTAGGAAAACCCATTGTGTATCCTGCGACGACAAGCAATGTTGATAAAATAAAATAAGATGGAGGTAGTCTTGTTTCTATCACTGAAAATACTTCAGATCCAGAGAAGGAAAGGAGAGCAACAAAATCTGAATTTGTACCTTTTTCAGGTGGCCCAAGCTGACCAAATTCATCTCCTTCTTCTTCTTTGTCTTGGAACTTGCTAGCTAGGAACAACATCTTGTTGATAAAATGGAAGAAAAAAGGTATGATTCTTGTCTTGTTGAGTTGAGTGTCCTCTGAACCTCTAACAAAACCAGCATCTTTGAGGTATTGTCCAAGAGTAGCTTCAGTCCAATGCTTGGAAGTATCAACTCGTTTTACATCTATCACATTGCCATAGTTGTAAATGTGGTTGTCTACATGGTCCTTTTCATCAGCCAAACCTTGTAAAAACTCTCCAAGATCATAATTAATTTGTTTGGGTTGTTTGTTCTTCTTCTTCTTATTCTTTTTCTTTTTCTTCTTTTTCTCCCCTGTTGTTGTTGTTATTGTTGATGTTCTTTAAACATAGATAAAAGAGAAAAGAAATGAAAAGAAAGTTATATTAATATTGATAATGGTGATGTGATGGGATGATATAATAAAAAATAGATACAAATATAAACATACACATTATCTGCAACAGTAGAAGTTGAAGTAGTAGAGGTAGTAGAAGTAGTACTAGTAGTGCCAACTTTGTTGGCTAAATCATTATCATCTTTGAAATCGTTGTTAGACATTGTTATTTGTTTGAATACTAAATAGAAAGAAAGAAAAAAAAATTGTGACTTTTTTGATGTTGAAAACAGCTCTTTTCATTCGAGAATTATTTAATTTAAATCATCTTTATAGATGAACATTGGATATTCTAAATAATCCAATACAACAGACTTGAGATAACCATCAATCAATGGTGGATAGACATAATTGACAACACCCGCTTGAAATGCCAAAAGTGTCACAGAAAGTACGTTCATCATCACGTCCTTGGCCCAGTCTTCTTGTATGTTTGAATGTGGTAATACCATACGTCCCATCTTTTCAAGTATCACTTCAACTGAATCGGCATCATCTACTGGCTTGTCTTTTGAAAATGTATTCATATAGACATCGATCATGATCAATTTAGTAATCCCAATAATTCTTTCAAAATTCTCTTTGGTTGGTGGATACCTTGTTGGGTTGTACTCTCTAATCGAATTGTTTTTGAGGTAGTGTGTCAACTTGATCTTGTCCCATACTATAGTTCTTTGACGATCAACCATACCATAGTACCGGTTGTACAGGTGTTGAATCTTGATGGCAAGGTCTGGCATGGTACGTGGTATCTCTTTGTTCATCTTGACCAAAGTATGCTTGATTGTGTCTATGAAACGTCCTTGGCAATAATTTGGAAAGCCCATTGTGTATCCAGCAACGACAAGCAATGTTGCCATCATATAATAAGATGGAGGCACTCTTGTTCCCATCTTTGCCAATATTTCAGATCCAATAAAGGAAAAGCAAGCTACATAATCCTCCTTTCCATTTTTAGGTGGTCCCATTTGACCCTACAAGGAGTCCTTGTAAAACCAGCATCTTTGAGGTACTGTTCAAGTGTAGCTTCAATCCAATGCTTGGAAGTATCAACCTGTTTTACATCTACAACATTACCATAGTTGTAGACATGTTTGTCTACATGGTCCTTTTCATCGGTCAAAACCTTGAAAAATTCTCCCACTTCAAAACTTAGTTTACATATATAATATGTTCTTTTTCTTCTTTTTATTCTTATTCTTTTTCTTTTTCTTCCTTTTCTCTCCTGTTGTTGTTGTTGTTGTTGATGTTGTTGTTGCTCTTTAAACAATAAATAAAAGAAAAGAAAGTAAAAGAAAGTTAATACTAATATTATGATGAGATGAGATGATTAAAAAATGAATGGATACAAAAAACATACACATTATCTGCAGTTGAAGTAGAGGTTGTAGTAGAAGTAGGTGTACTAGGTTCTTCTACAAGATAGACATCACCATCTTTGAAATTGATATTCATTGTGATTTGATGACAAATACTAATGTCTTGTCTTGTTGGTTGATTAAAAAAAATTAATTGAAAAAACTTTGTTTGTTTTTTTTTATATATAAATATATTGCCTATTATTATTATTATTAATTATTAATTGTAAGTTACAAAGTTGATTATTATTATTATTATTTTATTATTATTAATTATGCCAAAAAATATATAAACTAAATTTAATAAATTATTTCTATTTGTTGTTGATGGTGGTTGTTGTTGTTGTTGTTGTTTTATTATTGTTATTGTCATTGTTGTTGCTACTGTTGGTGTTGTTTATACTTTGATAAATATTGTTGAATGCTGTTTGGATATCAGAGTCAAATTCTAAATGAGGATATTCTAGAGTGGCCAATATCTCTGTCTTGAGGCAACCAGCTATTAAAGGTGGGTGAACAAAATTGGAGATACCTGTTTGAAATGCCAAAAGTGTGACACCTAGGACGAATTGTCGCATATCGTAACCCCAATCCTTGTTTCCCCAAAACGGTAATGCCATACGACCAAGTCTGTCAAGTGCCTCTTCAACAGTCTCTTTTAGTTGTACCGATTCCAAAGCCATTTCCTGTGTATAGATGGATGGATTATTCTTCATGATGACCAAACTAATCACCAATTTACACAACACCAAGATACGACTAAAGTTGTCTTCTGTCGGTGGATACTTGGTGGTCGTGTATTTTCTGATACTGTTGGTGAGGAGGTATTGAGTCAACTTGGTCTTGTCCCATACAATCTTGTGTTGTTGATCTACCAAACCAAAGTATCTATTGTTGGTGTACAGAAGCTTGGCACTGAGGTCTGGTTCGTTACGAGGAATCTCCTTATTCATCTTGACCAATGTTTCCTTGACTATGTTGGGTAATGGACCACGTCCAAACCCAGGGAACCCCAAAACATATGCTGTGACGACCAACAACGTTGCAATGGTGGTGTAGGATGGTGGAGTATGACGTTGCAATATTTCAAAGACTGGAGACCCAATGATAGAGTAGGCCTTTTCAAAGTCGGTCATACCATGTCCTGTGAGGTTGACCCTGTACGATTGATCAGGCAATTGCGACAATAGCTTGTTTGCAAATTCAATATAGACTGGTGTTATATCTGCCTTGTTTCTTGGAGTGTTACCTGAACCTTTAACAAAACCAGCATCTTTGAGGTATTGTCCAAGAATAGCTTCATCCCATGGTTTAGACGTATCAACATTCTTTACATCTATAACCTTTCCATAGTCGTATTGGTAGTTGTGTTCGTCATTCACACCGTCTACAATATCACCTGCTTCAATTACTGTTGTAACCTTTTTCTTCTTATTCTTTTTCTTTTTCTTCTTTTTCTTTTCTCCTGTTGTTGTTGTTGTAGCTCTAATAATAATTTGGAAAGATAAAGATAAGAGTTTAGTAAATCATATATATATATATAATACATAAATAAACAAATAAATATATCTATCTTTAACACATACACATTATCAGCTCCTATTGTTGTTGTAGTCGTAGTTGAAGTTGTAGAAGTATTTGTATTCTGCTTCTCATCACGATCATCATTTATTTGTAATTTATCTATTGTTATTGTATCTTTATCATCTTGTTCTTCTTCTTCTTTCTTTATCTTTATATCTTGTATCTGTAGTCCGAGAAAATTGTTCTTGCTCATTTTGTTGTATGAAACGAAATAATGATATCTGCTCGTTCAAGATGTGAAGTTCAAAATAAATAAAAAAAAAAAAGAAGAGCAAGTAGTTTGGGTAAGGGTACTATTCATTTATTTATTAATTTCTTTTTCATCAAATTATTATTATTATTATTTGTGTATTAGTCATCTACATATAGTTTAGCATAGATATAATCACATATCTTTTCAGGGTCATCACCAAAGTCATAGCTTGGATACTCCAAATTATTCAATATTTCTCGTTTAACACAACCATCGATCAGAGGAGTGTAAATGTAGTCTTGTATACCTGCCTGGAATGCGATAAGGCTAATGAGAACCACATACAATATCATCTGGTGAATCCATTGCTCTTTAGAATTCCAATGTCGATGTGCTAATCGACCCATCTTGTCTATTGCCGATTCAACTGTATCCATTCTAGGCACTGGTTCTTTACTCTTTGTATTTCTAAAGATTAGATTCATTACCAATTTACAGAGATCTATGATATTATCATTAATGTGTTTGGTACGTTGATATCTATTGGTTCTAAATTGTCTGACACCATTCTTTTGCAAGTATTCTGTCATTTTGGTCTTATCCCAAACAACTTTGTATTGTTGATCTACTATACAATGGTAGATATTAAATGTATAGTTTAACTTTGTATACAACTCTGGTAGGTCACGTGGAATCTCTTTGTTTCTCTCGACTAGTGAATGCTTGACTATATTTGGTAAAGAACCTCTTCCAAAACCAGAAACACCCATTTGATAGGCTCCGACTACAAGTAAAGCTGTGATAAAGCCATAAGATGGTGGTAGATTTGTTCTCATCCTTTCAAATGCTTCAGTGGCAATGGAAGAGAATGCATTGTTAAAGTCGGTCGAACCATTTCCAGTTAGAGTCATATTCTTGAATTGATCAAACTTTCCTTGATGACTGAGAATGATTGACACTACTCGGTTTGAAAATTGAAGATAAAAAGGGGTCATTTCAGCCTTGTTACTTGCAGTATTGGCAGAACCTTTAACAAACCCAGCATCCTTTAGATATTTGCCCAATTTTTCTTCAGTCCATGGTTTAGAGATATCAACACCCTTTACAGTGATAACATTACCATAATCATAGATGTAGTCTTGTTCGTCATTTATACCAGCCAATACAGAACCAGGTTCAACAATTAAAGTCTTGTTAAGTTTGCCTCTTCCTGTGCGTGCATTGTTTTTCTTTTTCTTCTTTCCTCCTTCTTCTTCTTCTTTTAGTTCTCTAAATTTTAATGAGAGAGAGATAGAGTAAGATAATTATCTATTTAAGCGATACATAGTATGCAAACATACTCATTTGTTGTTGTAGTGGTAGTAGTAGATTGGTGAACTTTTGTATCATTCTTTTGTATTTGATCTATTTCTTCCTGTATTACTTTCACTAAATCTAGTGGTACTTGTATCCCTAGAAACTCACTCTTCATTGTTTGTTAGAATAATAATAATAATGTGATCATATATCTATTTGTTAATCATAACAAGAGTTGATCACCTAAAAAAAAAAAATCTAAATGAAAATGGAATCTTCAAATATGAATTTATAATATTTGTTAAAAGTTGTTTGGATATCATCACTAAATTCAAAATAAGGATGTGGTAAAAAGTTTAACATCTCTGATTGAAGATGAGGAATGAGTGGAGGGTATACATGAAAGACACCAGTTTGAAATGCCATAAGTGTTACACCAAGTACATTCATTTTCATATTGATCGCCCACCAAACTTTTTCTGTTTTCCAATGTTGTAATGCCATACAACCTAATCTGTCAAGTGCCTCATTAACAGTCTCTTCACGTTGTACCACTTCTTTGGTTTGCTCTACTGTATATATTGTAGGATTATTATTCATGATGATATTCCCCATGATAGCTTTACACAATGCGATAGTGCAAAAGAGGTTTTCTTCTGTAGCTGCGTATCGAGTAGTACTGAATAGTCTAATGTTGTTGTAAAAGAGATAGTGTTCCATCTTTGTCTTGTCCCATACCACTGATCTGAGTTGTTTTTGTTGAATGAGACAATAGTTTTCATTGAAAGATTTTGTAATCGTTTCACCAAGGTCTGACATATTACGTGGAATATCAATATCAATCATCAACTTCTCGAGATGTCTCTTGATTGAGTAGGGGATACATCCACAACCATACCCAGGTAAACCCATCACATATGCTCCAACTACCAATAATGATAGCATAAAATTGTAGGATGGTAAAGGAAGATATTCCCAGAGCAGAGAATAGGGGGAGCCAAAGATAGTAAAAGCACTTTCAAAGTCGACATCACCATCACCAGTAAGTGTAAGAGTTATAAGCTTTTCATCTGAATCTTTGTACGCTTCTGTCAAGACACATTGTACAAATTGAATGCTGATTGATATCAATTCAGCCTTGTAACTTGGAGTGTTGTCTGAACCTCTAACAAAACCAGCATTTTTGAGGTACTGTTCAAGTGTAGCTTCATTCCAATTCTTGGTGGTGTTTGTTCCTCTATTCTTTTTCTTTTTCTTCTTTCCTCCTTGCCTATTAGTTGTTGTATTAGTTGTTGTTGTTGTAGTAGTAGTAGTTTCATTTGTTTTTGTTGTTGTTCTAAAAGAGTATAAAAGAAAATAGAGGATTTAATATGATGCATCCGAGACATATATAATAATTAGATGTATATATACACATTATTGATAGGTATATTAGCTTTTCTATGTACGACTATTGCAGATGAAGAGGATGAAGAGATATCTTGATTATTTGCATCCTTTGCCTTTTCTTGATCTGCACTGTCTTGATCGTCGTCGTCATCACTGTCTTTCTCTGCATCTTTATCTGCATCTTTATTTGCATCTTTCTCTTCATCATTAACGAATTGATTTAATGTACCATGCTTGTAATAATGATATGAAACCTTTCTCGTTTTGAACAATAGGTATATTAATCCAAAAAAGAGAGGTACGATACCAAGAACGAGAACAAGTAACGCTAATAACACTAATATTATAAAAAAGATAAATGGTAATAATGTATCTTTGTAGAATTGAATCGATAATTCTTTTGTTCTATCTAACTGTTGTGTCTCTCTGTACGACTTGTTCATTGTAAAAAAGTAATGATCGACTGTCAGAGTAAGTTTCTTCTTTTAGACAGTAAGAAAGATTTTATTTTTTTTATGTTTTGTTGTTGAAAATTCTGTCAAGTCCGGTCACTAAAAAAGCAGAGAATGGATCTTTATCCTTTTCCAAAAGAGAGAAAAGATATTGAAATCTATAAAAGATATCCACATTGAATGAGAATATATTTTCTTCTAAATTATCCAATATCTCTGCTTGGAGACCACCTCTGATTAAGGGAGGATGAACATAATCCTTGATACCAGTGGTTTGAAAGGTGATTAGTGTCGCAATCAAGACATACATTCTCAAATGGAATGATCATTCTGTATTTTGTGGAGTTCTTCAGTGGGTAAAGCGATACGTCCCATCTTGTCGATTGCGGATTCAACCGTTTCTCGAGAATCCATGATTTTTTTCAATTCCACAGGTTTGGAATTCTTGTTGTAGTTTTCTACTACATAACATATAATCAATTTACATAACTTGATGATATTATTAGGTTGTTCTTTAGTTGCTGGATACTTGGTTGTACTATACTTTCTGATGGTATTGTTGAGCAGGTAGTTGGTCATCTTTTCCTTGTCCCAAACTACTTGGTTTTGACTGTCGACCATACCATAGTAGTTATTGTAAGTGTACTGGATTTTGGTTCCAAGGTCGGATGATTACGTGGAATCTCCTTGTTCATCTTGACCAAAGTTTCCTTGACAAAGTTGGGTAGAGTGCCACGTCCAAATCTTGGAATACCAGTAACATAGGCAGAAACTACAAGCAAAGCTGCCATGATTCGATACGATGGTGGAAGACGTGTATGCAACTCTTTAAAAGATTCCGATGAAATAATGTTGAATGCATTTTCAAAATCCACCTTTCCATTCCCACTGAGTTTCATAGTTTTAAATATTTGTCTGGGTCTGGTTGAATAGCCAACTTGTTGGAAAAAGCAACGAAAAGAAGAGGTTCATCAGCCTTGTTACTTGAAGTATTGCATGAACCTCTAACAAAACCAGCATGTTTGAGGTATTGTCCTAGTATAGCTTCATCCCATGGTTTAGAGGTATCAACACCCTCTACATCAACTACATTACCATAGTTGTATTTGAAGTTGTGTTCATCATTGATTCCTTCAAAAATTTCCCCAGGTTGTATAACAGGAATATTAACATTTCTTATTCTATTTTCCTTTGGTACTTTTTTCTTTTTTTTCTTTTTCTCCTGTATTGTTTTCTTTGATGTTCAAAAAAAGATATATTGTTATTACAATTAAAGATAATATTAGATCTAATCAATATAAAAAAACAAATATAATCTACACTTACACTTTAGTAGTTGAGGTTGAAGTTGAAGAAGTTGAAGTAGTTGAAGAAGAAGATTGTTGATCATTATCATTGATTGGTACTTGATCAACTTTGTTGACGAAATCAATATTATCTTTTAAATTGTTGTTGTTGTTAATGTTGTTAGACGTTGCTTTTTTGATAGTAATGTTATTACAAATAAATAGATAAATAATATATATATATAATTGTGTAACACAACTGATGATGATGATGAACAACAAAGACCGTGCCTTTTTGGAGTTTTCAGCCAAAAAAAACAAATCCTCAAATAATCATCCTCAAGAAGATTCTTAATAGGAATATAAATCATTTTAGTTTGATGGAAAGTGATTTAATCATCAATGTGTGTATTGATCAAAATTTATTAAAATATTGTTTGTATAAGTGAAATAATAATTTCAAATGATTTAAAAGTCATTATTGCTGATTATATTTGGAGTGTGATATATATAATATTAAAATTCATCAAGATACATATCATCCATAATTTCAAAAAGAATACGAATGCAATGATTAATATCAATACAAGCATCCAAATTAAAATGAGGGAATTCTAAATTATTCAATATCTCTTGTTTCAAGCAACCATCGATCAATGGAGGGTACACAAATTCCTGGACACCTGTCTCAAATGCAATGATTGTAACAGAAAGAACTAACCTTTTCATATATCTTGTCCACATGGCTTGTGTTTTCCATTCTTGTATAGCCATACGACCCATATAATCAATTGCAGAATCAACAGTCAAAGTTTTATCGTATGGATTGTGCGTAGGAATGATATTTGAGTTTTTGATGATAAACAAGGTAATCAAAGTAGCAATTTTGTTGATTCTTTTGAGATTTGATGGTGTTGCTGGATGTTTGGTGGTAGAGTATTGTCTAATTGTGTTTGTTTGTAGGTATTGTATCAAATTGGTCTTGTCCCATACAACTTTTAATTGTTGATCTGCTAGGCCATAGTATTGATGGTAGGTAGATTGGATCTTGATAATAAGGTCAGGATGGTCACGTGGAATCTCTTGGTTCTTGACAGATCGAGCTTGACAGTGTCAGGGAGCGAACCACGAGCATATCCAGGTAGACCCATTACATATGCAGCCACTACAAGGTACGATGCCATCTTATAAAATGAAGGTGGTAGACTTGGTTGTAGGACAGCTCTGGATCCAATCAAGTTGAATGCATTGTCCAAGTCGTTCATTCCATTTCCTGTCAGTTCCAGACATAATAATTTACCGCCATCTTTTGATAACATTGACAATAACTTTGATGCAAATTTAATGTATATTGGAGTGATATCTGCTTTGTTTCTTGGAGTGTTTCCTGAACCTCTTACAAACCCAGCATCAGATAGGAATTGACCAACAGTATCTTCAGTCCATGGTTTAGAGGTATCAACCTTTACATCTACAACATTACCATAGTTTATTTTTTGTTCAGGTTCATCATCAGTTGCTAAAGTTTCCTTTTGTATCTTTTTATTCTTTTTCTTTTTCTTTTTCTTCTTTTTTTCTTCCGATTGTATTCTAAAATCAATTGTATTGTATATTTGTTAGTATCAATCATTCAATTAAAGATGATCAACTTTTTTAAACATACAAATTTGTTGTAGTAGTTGAAGTTGCTTGATCTTGAATGTTTTTAATGACTAAATAACTCTTTTCATTGTTATCGTCATCTTTGTTGTAAGAGTCACTAGTTTGTTGATAATGATGATATCTAAAAACATGATTTTCTTTTTTTTGTAATTTACTATTTCATCATCTTTTATATTATTGGTATTCATTGTTATTTGTTTGTGTTGAATGAACTACTACAATAAAATAAAAAAAGGAACAAGGATCATCACACCATGTTGAGTTTTTTGTGTTGGCTTTTTAATTTTTCTTTTGGTGATATTCTAAATCAAGTGTACTTTGATAAATACTAAAGTATGGAGGCACAGATAACTTTTTTTATTATTATTTATGTTTCTTTTAAATATCAATCATGGTTATATAAATTTTAATTAAAATTTATTTTTCTCTAACGATGTTTGCAAGAGTTCCAAAGATACCTTCAATATCATTTGTAGTACCGACTTGATAATGGGTACATTCTAGATTGTTCAATATTTCTTTTTTCAAGAAACCATAAATGGTGGATGAACAGGAGCCTTGGAGATACCTTTCTCAAATGCGGCAAGTGTGGTGACAAGAGTGTAGATTCTCAATTCAAAAGTCCAAGGCTCCTCCAAATCCCAGTATTTTAATACCATGCGACCCATAAAGTCTAGTGCCACTTTGACCGGTTGATTACGAATCTCCTCCAACGATTTGCCCAATAACAACATCTCTTCATAATTATCCAAGTGCTTGAAGATAAAACAGACAACCATTTGAGAAAGAGCGATGATTCTTTGAAAATTTTGTTGGGATTGTGGAAATTTGGTGGTGCTATATTTTCTGACACTGTTATGTTGGAGGTAGTTTGACATCTTGTCCTTGTCCCAGACAACCAATCTTAGTTGTTCAGCTTGACCATGGTATTTGTGGTAAAAGTATTTGATCTTGGCAATGAGGTCAGAATGGTTACGTGGTATCTATGCGTTCATCTTGACCAGGTGTTCTTGATAATGTCGGGAGGATCACCACGAGCGTATCCAGGGATACCCATTACATATGCAGCAGTGACGAGTAAACTTGCAATGAGGGTAGGTGGAGTTCAATACAAATTATTTTACCTTGTTTTTTTGGTACAATGGACAACAATTTTGATGCAAATTTAATGTAGAATGGTGTAATCTCTGCCTTGTTACTTGCAGTGTTTCCTGAACCTCTAATAAAACCAGCATTATTCAAGTATTGTCCAACTGTAGCTTCATTCCATTTCTTTTGAGTATCAACCTTTACATTGATTCGTTGTATTCAGGTTCAACTTCATCTACTAAAACTGTTGCTGTCTTTTTCTTTTTCTTTTTCTTCTTCTTCTTTTCTGTTCATTGTATAATAAACATTCTAAAGATAGAATGAATAATAATATAAATATAAAAGATTCAGTCAACAAAGTAGAAATATGGTGATGATATAAAGTATAATAATCATAATCGTTACTACAATGAAAATGATCGTCGTTATTTAGTATTTAAAGATGTTCAAGACCAAACTACCTCAACTGCCTCTACTCCCACTCCTGCTAATGTGTATGATACATAATAAGATACTATCTACATCTTCATTGTTCTCCTTTAGGTTATTTATTTATTTAGAAATCAAAAATACCATTTAGATAGTAATAAATATCATGGAAACATTCATTAATATCACCATCATCCATACGTAAGTGGGGAAATTCCAAGTTGTTAAGTATCTCTTGCTTGAGGTATCCATCGATCAATGGAGGATAGACAAAATGGGAGATACCAGTTTGAAATGCGATAAGTGATACAGCAAGAGTGTAATTCTTCATAAAAAAGGCATAGTGTTGTCGTGAATTCCAATATCGGATGGCTAACCTACCCATATTATCAATTGCCGATTCAACAGACTCGTCTTTGATCATTACATCTTTTGGATTGATCTTTTCATACTTGATGATGAGACAGATTACCAAATGAGACAGAGCAATGATACGATCAACCCTTCTTTGAGTGCGTGGATACCTTGTGGTGCTGTATTGTCTGATACTGTTGCCTTGTAGGAATACTGCCAACTTCTGCGTGTCCCATTGAACCAATCTGTGTTGTTCGGCAAGACCATAGTATCTATTCCAAGTATACTGTATCTTGATTATAAGGTCTGGATAGTTTCTTGGTATCTCTCGGTTCATCTCGAGAACAAGGGTATCTTTGATAATATTGGGAAGTGATCCCCTTCCAAAGCCAGGTAGACCCATTACATAAGCTGAAACTACTAGAAAAGTTGCCATTCTCTTGTAGGATGGTGGCATACCTGGATGTAAGAGTTGCTCCAATCCAATCAAGTTGAATGCGTTGTCAAAGTCCTTCATTCCATTGCCTGTTAGTTCCAGACATAGTACTTTACCATCTTCTTTTTGTAGCATTGACATTAACTTTGATGCAAATTTAATGAAAAAAGGTGTAATCTCTGCTTTGTTTCTTGGAGTGTTACCTGAACCTTTAACAAAACCAGCGTCCTTGAAGTATTGTCCCAAAGTAGCTTCAGTCCAATTCTTCTTTATATCAACACCCTTTACTTCGATAACATTACCATAGTTGTATTGGTAATTGTGTTCATCATTTACACCAGCTACTTCAGTACCAGGTTCTACAAATGGTGTCTTTTTAATATTTCTATTCTTTTTCTTTTTCATTTTCTTCTTTTCTGATATTCTTGCAACAATTTAGAAATGTTAGAAACTATTAATAGTATACTCTTCTATAGTAACACAAACACTGTAGTGTACCAAAATTTACAAACATACACATTTGAAGATGTTGAAGATGATTTGTGATCTTGTTTATCTTTAATTACATAACAACTTTTTTCATCTTTATCATCAACTTCTTTTATATTATTGTTGTTGTTATTATTATTCATTGTTACCTATATGAATGATTATTACAAATAATAGATAGATAGATAGATAGACAGATAAAAATATTTAAAAATGGTCGCGATGCACCAACAAAGTTGTTGTTGTTCATGACCGTCCGTGACTTTGTTTTTTTTGAGTTTGCACATTTTTGTTGATTTTGACCATCCATTGCTGCTACTATTCCTATTTTCTATTATTATTATTATTATTATTATTATTATTATTATTATTATTATTATTATTATTATTGATTCCTTTTATTTCTTTTGTGGTTTATGTTGTTTTTTTAACATATCTAAAACTTCTTGAGTCTTGATGATAAGGTCTGGTAGATTACGTGGTATACCCTTGTTCATTCTGACTAGAGTGTGTTTGATTACATTGGGAAGTGGTTGACAATACTCTGGTAACCCAGTCATAAAAGTGGAAACGGCTAGCAATGTGGCGGCAATCTTAAAGGTTGGTGGCAGCATAGTGGAAAATGTTTGAAAATCGGTAACCGATTCAACACCAAACTTTAAACTGATTCCTGGATTAGATTCAGGGTTGTTTATATGCCACATCACCTTGTCTGCAAAGTCAATGTATTGATCAACAACCTTTTCAATATCGTAATCTCCTTCGTATCCAATATCTTCGTTTTCATAATCTTGATAATCTGTACCTCTAACAAACCCAGCATCCTTTAGATATTGAGCAAAAATAGCTGCTGTCCAATTCTTGTTTGTATCAATCTTTACATCTATTACATTTCCATAGTTGTATATATGTTCTTGTTTATGAACTGTTCGTGGTGGTGTTTTTACTTGTTGCTGCTGTTGCTGTTGCTGAGTAGGTGTTGTATTATTAACTTTATAGATATCATCTTCAACCAAAGTAGGTTGTTTTTTTTTCTTCTTATTCTTATTTGTATTCTTTTTCTCTAATATATGAGTATATTATTCAAATAGATATGATCAGTAGTTTAGTACATCTATGTATTATTATCTATCTCTGTGTGCACATGTAGGTAGGTAGAGACATACACATTGTCAGCTGTTGTTGTAGTTGTTGAAGTAGAAGTATCTATCTGTAATAATGAAATAGCTTTGAACGACTAACTGACGAGAGTCTTGTGAAAAAAAAAAATACAAAAATGAAGAAAATAGATAAATATTGATATTTATTGATTGATTTGATAGATATAATGATGATTTGTTTTTTTGTACAATATAATTACTATATTCACATTGGATGTTGTGAAACAAAAGCCAAGGTCATTTTACCTTTGCTATTTTGTTCGATGACTTGGTCAGAACAAGATTTTTGAAGTTTGAGGAAAAGAACATTGAAATTCATAATTTCACCTGTAGAATCGTCAATGTTAAACAAACCGTGATCCAATTGGTTCAATATCACCAACTTGACGTATGGATCAATCAAAGGTGGATAAATGAAATTGACAACACCAGTTTGAAACGCCAAAAGTGTAATGGCAACGAAATCTATTTTGAGATCAACCATCCAATCTTGTTTAGAGTTCCAAAGTGGTAAAATCATACGTCCCATACTCTCCAGTTCCATTTCAATAGGGTCTTTGCCAGTTTGTTGAGTGTCTTTGTTATTGATATCTTTGGCAATGATAATGGCCATTACCATTTTACACAACATACCAACACGATCGAGATTGTGCTCAGTAGGTGGATACTTGGTGGTGGTAAATTGCTTGACACTGTTGAATTTGAGGTATTGATTCATCTTGGCCAAATCCCATTCAATGAATCTGTGTTGATCTGGAAATCCAAAGTACTTGTTAAAGGTATACTCTATCTTTTTTCCAATGTCCACTCCTTTGCGTGGAATCTCTTGGTTCATCTTGACCAATGTTTTCTTGACCACATTTGGTAAATCCCCTCTACCAAATCTTGGAAGACCAATGATGTATGCAGCAGCAACAAACAATGATACCATGATAGAAAAGGAAGATGGAATATGATCAGATTCTACTAACACATCCCCAAAGATAGAGTAGGCCATATCTAAATCAGTTTGGCCGTGTCCGGTACGTTCCAAATCTTGGTTCAACCGGAAAGCAAATTTAAGGTACAATGGTGAAAGTGCAGCTTTGAGATATGGCATAGTGTCTGAACCTCGAACAAACCCAGCATCCTTTAGATACTTTCCTAAAGTCTCTTCAGTCCATGGTTTAGAAGTATCAGCACCTTTTACAGTGAAAACATTACCATAGTTGTAAATGTGGTCCTTTTCATCTGTCAATCCTTTTACATATTCACCAGGTTGAATAAATGTTTTCTCTGGTGATTTCTTTTTATTCTTTTTATTCTTTTTCTTTTTCTTTTCTCCATCTGTTGGTAGTGTAGTAGTAGTTCTAAATAAATAAATAAAATTAATGTTGTTGTCCTCGATATATCTATCTATCTATCTATCTATATGTATATTTATTAAATGCATAACATACATATTTGAAGGGGGAGTTGATGAATTTGATGTTGATGTAAAAGTTTGTATTTGATCTGTTTTGTTGACATCTTGTACATTGTCAACATCTGTTATATCGTTGCTATTCATGAGATTGAAATAATAGAGGTAGATAATAATAATAGAATTAGACAAACAAATAATAGTGAACTAAAAAAAGGATGAACAAAAAAATGAACTTTTGACTTTTAGACAAAACTAATTTAAAAAGAATTAAAAAGAATTGAATTTTTGAACAAGATGTATGTATGAGAGAACATTTAATATTAATATTATTAAAATGGTTGATTCATTATACTAAAAATATATTTATATCAGTATTCTACATTCACTGCTTTAAATTATTATCACCAAAACTCAAATTCAATCTATATGGTGATGAATCTTTGTCAACAGTAAAATGTAAATAAATTGGATCATATTGTTGTTGTTGTTGTTGTTGTTGATCATTGGTTGATGATTTTCTTTGACTAATGATTCCACCTTGAAGTGTTTGAGTTTCCAATACCAATACATTTCTATTGTATGGGTCTAATCTCTGAAAATTGGAATGATACATTTGGCTTGAAATATTGAGAAATAGTTAAATATCTCACATTGGTGTGATTACCTCATCCAATCTAAAACGAACTCCATTCTTGTGGCCCATTGCCTTGATTAGGCAATCTAGATGAGTAGTCGTGGGTGGTAGCCATTGTGGTTGTGAGATGGAATTTCTAATTCTTGAACCAATTGAAAAGATTGGAGGGGTATTGTCGATGACCATTTTTTCAAATGACAGTTGAGTTTCATCATAGTCTCGGTCCACAATTATCGATAGATATTTGGTCATTGGTGGTATATCGAGTTTATAGATTCCAGGGATAGAAGACAAATCTAGTGATTCTAGATTGGGTGGATACTGGGATGGGAGTTCAAAATTTTCAAAATAGTTTTTTCGATAAGTTGTCAATAACAGTTTCTTCAAGTTTTGTGGAAGTGACAATGGAACCTTTTCGACATATTGTTTCAGTTTGATGAGAGATTCAGGGAGTTTGACTTCTTCTGCACATTGTCTAGTAAGAGTTAGACAAGTCAGCAATGGTGGCAATACAACTTGTTCAAGAATTGTGTTTTCAAAACAAGTTTTGATAATGGTTAACTTTTCAACAGTCGACGGGATAATGTTTGGCATGGACACAAGACAATTGAAAACAAAGAGTTTCTTGATTGATGGACATGACCCTAGATTGACTCTTCCAAGAATGAATTCACTTTGTTCGATACACAATTTCTCCAATTGTGGCATTGGACATCTAGGTGTGATTTGTGTGCAGTTTGGCACCAATGTTAGATTCTTGAGTGATTGAGGAACACTAACCTCGAGAGAGTGCTTTTGTCAATAGTTGGATCATTTTTGTCACAAATGGACAACATCTTGAGGACGGGTAGACTCTCTAGATCGATGAATCGTTGTTGTTCTCTTACTTTCTCTATTTCATAGTGGATCTTGAGAGTTTTGAGTGACTTTAATGAAAGGAAAGTATTTCTTGGAATGATTCCAATCAATGGAAGAGTGAGAGATGTCAAACTACTTGGCAAAAGACCTGGTCCTATTTGACTAACAAAATTGTTTACAAAGGTCAACTCTGTCAAACAGACGAATTTGGTGAGTCCCAAGTCAGCGAGACGGTACGGCGTGTTGACTTGAAGTTGAAGAGACTTGAGAGTTTCAGAGTGATGGCCAAGAGTTAGATCCTTTGCATTCATTGAAAGGTGTTGGAGACGAGGCAAGACAGAAACGGAATTAAGATTCACATCATAGAAAGTCTTCTCAATGAATAGTGTCTCGATCGATGGTATAGCGAGTGACTTTATGATATCTTCTTCACCAAAACAACAAAACTTGTGCACCAAAGCAGTAGTTACACTACCATTGTCTTTCCCTCCATCTCCTTCTTTTTCTTTCTCGATAAAGTGAGGTTTGAAAACATGTTGATGTGATATACTATTCTCCAAGATATCTTTAAAAGATGATAGTTTGAATAGAGTAGATGTTGCATTAAACTTTTTTGATTCCTTTCCTTTGATCGTATCAATAGGACCTATTCCTTTAAATCTAATTGATCTTTTTAAACTACTATTATAACAGATATCTTTACAAGTTAATAGTAGACATACGATATCTCCATTATTATTAATATCTGATATGATTTGTGATAACAATAGATTAGATAAATTTGATAAAGACATTATATTTGAACAAAAAAATAGATAATGTATGAGAAAAGGTTCATTATTTTTTTGAACCTTTTCACAAGTTCTCATCACAGTCCCTCACAAGAAAATCATTTGGTAGAAAACGAATAACAATATTAATGATGAACAAGAGATAACAAATATAAAGAAAAAGAATGACACAAAAGAATAAGTAATAGAAGATGATACGATTCAGGTTGCTGAACAGAGAGATCTATTGATAGTAGATGAGCATGCTGATTTAAATCAAACGTATGTTATAACCAAAAAAAACATCCTAGCTTGTTCGTTAACTTATCATCTTCTTTTATATCTTAAAAGAACAACAACAACTACTACTACTACAACTAATACAACAACAACATCGTCAGAAAAGAAGAAGAAAAAGAATAAGAAGAAAAAGAAGAAAACACAATTAGGTAGTGATGATGAACACACATACAACTATGGTAATGTTATTGATACAAACAAAGAATGGAATGAAGAAATATTAGGACAATATTTAAAGGATGCTGGTTTTGTTAGAGGTTCATTAGACAATACACCAGCAAATAACAAAGTTGCTGAAATGACTCCAATCTATGTTGATTTTACAAACAAGGTTGTGTCAAAAGCCTTGCATATTAGTGGTGGTAGTAAGGATGCACATTACAAGCTTGAGCAATCTGGTAACGATATGATTGACTATGGAAAGGCATTTAACCTCATTGGAGGATACATTGACATCTTTGAATCACTCGGACCTTATATGCCGCCATCCTACACCAAAATGACTTGTTTACTCGTCGTTGCGGCGTATGTCTTGGGACTACCAGGTTACGGATCTTTTGTAAACAATGTCAAACATACTCTGGTAGAGATGAACAAAGAGATACCAAGAGGTATACATGACCTATCTATCAAGATCCGTTACAATCGATTCTATGGTCTGCCAGATCAACAGAAATTGGTTTGGGACAAGTCGAAACTGACACAATACCTCCTCACCAACAGTATTAGAAAATACAGTACAACAAAGTATCCACCAACTAAAGACAACTTTAATCATATCATCAAGATCTGTAAATGGGTGATGAATCTAATCACCAAGAATCTTGGGTCTGTCATGAAACAAGGTAGAGCGTTGGAATTACAAAGACAATTGGATCGTGCTACTGTAGAGGAGGCACTTCAAATTGTCGGTCGTATGGCATTTCCACTTTGGAAAGCTAGAGACAAGTGGGCACTAGATATGCGACTATACCTACTATTCATAACACTTTTGGCATTTCAGTCGGGTGTGATCAATTATATACACACACCATTAATAATCGACAGTCTTCAACCAGAGACACTCAACTCTTTGGAACATCCATTCTATGACTTTGATGTCGACATTCCTTCATCATTCATGAGAATACATAATTCTCTTGAGTAAAATAAATATTATTATATTAATATCATTAATATTAATATTTATTTATTTTTTTAAACGACGTCTGTATATATCCACCCCTTCCATCTAACAAATTAATTAAAGAAAGAATTCTTCTATTTATTTATCTTTTATTTTATTTCATTTCTTTTATCTCTATGATGTTACAATAAACAAAAGTGTCCTGATCAACAAACTTTTTAAATTCCTCAACACGCCAACAACAACAAGGTTATCCGATTGTACTCACTCGAAGCATTTGTCTTAAACATGTCTAGAGAACTTCATCTAGATTGATTGATAGTTGATAGGTTTAATTTAAACGATTGATAATAAATAAATTATTTATTTAATTATTATTTAATTAATTATGGATAACGACATGTGCATAGTTATCGTTTGATGAAAAGTTGATGGTAGAAGTAGTGATACCAAGATTAAATGATCCTTTGTATAATCCGACACTGTAACAATTTAATCCACATATTTGAGATGTCAATTGATATGATTCGCCGTCTTGGAAAGTATAGTCTGATGTATCGATTGACAATTCAAACTCTGCCAATGAGCTAGCAGCTTGGTCATACAATAGAGTAGTATTTGATAAGATTAGATTATTGTCTACATCGGTAATATTCAATTGGTAAACACCAAGACCAAGTGCATTTTCAAAAAAGACGGTAGCTTTGATGAGGAGTGTGTCACCGATTTGTGGATTAGATGGAGAACTAGCAATAGCTTCGGTTCTAGCAACAGGTGTTCCTTCATTGAGTGGACACAAACTTGCCTGTTGACAGAAATGGAGTGGATCGGCATCTTTTGGGAATTCATATCCAAATTTACCAATACCAGTATTTGCACAAATTAAGAAACAAGTTTCTCCACTAAATTGACTACATAATGTCTGTAGTTGTATAAAAATATAATAATAAAAAGGTTTGTTGAGAATGACAATGATCATTTTAAAAAAGATCTTATTTTGATTGACTACTACATACAATACAACTTGGGTAAGTTCCAGTAGATAAAATATTTAAAAGTTCAGGTGTTATTGCAACAACCCTTTCTATACATTGAGTACATTTAGTGTAGTTTGAAGATTGACCCAAACTTGAAGATACAAAAAGTAGAAAAATAAAAGAGATAAATAAAGTGTATTTGTACATGATTGATTGATTGATTGTTATGTTAAGTGTTATTTGTTGTTATTAGTATGAATAAGAATAAAATGAAAGAAATTAATATTTCGGAGCAAAGATCTTTTGATTGATGATGAGCTTGAAAATGTGTAAAAATAGATATTTTTTTCGGTCTGATGAACTTGACGTCATGGTTCCTCAATGGAAGCAAAATATCTTGTTCCTGTGTTTTTCGATGGAACAAATTTTATAATTATCTAGATTTGATGAATAAATTGTTAAAATAAGAGTCAACTAATCGGTTTCTATCGTATACTAGTAACCAACCTTTTGATTTGAAAATTACTTTGAAACTTCAATGACACAATATTTGAATAATCCTCGACCCCATCATGATCCAAATAGATGATATTATTTATTATTTTTAGGTCATTGGAAATGTCTGACTAATTATTTTATTTTAAATAGATATAGTTTGTCTATTTTTATCTCTCTGTATGTATTAATTGTTTGATTATTTATTTTTTGATTATTTATTATTCAAATTATTTTATTATTTACTTTTTTTTTTTTCTTTTGTTGTTTTGTTGATGTGGTTGGTATTTGTTCCATAAATTCTTCAGATTGTAAATTTTGAATCATTGAAATAGCAGCACTTTTATCTCCATTTTCATACAATTTTTGTGCGGTGCCCAAGATTGTGTCAAATGCTGCTTCTACTTTCTCTTTATTGGTCGTATGGAAGTTAAACGCCCATTCTTCATCTAGCTCCCAATATGGTAATGCCATCCTACCCATCTTGTCCAATGCCGATTCAACAGTCTCTTGATCTCTTTGTAACATTTCCATTACCTGTTCACTAGTATAGAGATTTGTATTATTCTTCATGATGAAAGCACCAATGATAGCTTTACACAATGCAATGATACAATTAAAGTTTTCTTTAGTTGGTGGGTACTTGTCAGTTCTTAATTGTCTAACACCATTGTGCTGAAGGTATTTAGTAATCTTTTCTCTATCCCATTTAACTTTTAATTGTTGATCTGGTAGATTATAGTATTGATTATAGGTGCACTGTATCTTGACTGCCAAGTCTGGTAGATTACGGGGTATCTCTTTGTTTCTCTTCAGCCATCGCACCAATTCTGTCCAATGCAGATTCCACCGTTTCCTCTCGATTCAACCAATCAAATATATGTTGTCTCGAATAGATGTCACGATTGTTGCTAATGATGAGAATAATAGCAATCGATTTACACATATGGATGATACAATTAAAGTTGTCTTGGGTGGCTGGATACTTTGTTGTACTAAACTTTCTAATACCATTGTTGAGTAGGTATTGAGTCAGTTTGGGTTTATCCCATTCAACAAACCTTTGTTGGTAGACAAGACTGTAGTATCGATTGTTGGTGTATTTAATCTTGGCAAGGAGGTATGGATGGTTTCGAGGTATCTCTTTGTTCATCTCGACCAGCATAACCTTTACTATATTTGCCAGCGGACCACGACCATATCCAGGTAGACCCATTACATATGCCGACACTACAAATAATGTAGCCATGTATGTGTATGATGGTGGAAGATGACGTTGCATTACACCAAACAATGGTGTTGCCATACCGGTGAATGCTCTGTCCAGATCCATTTTACCGTTACCCGTTCGATTTAACGTGAATTCTAAGTCTTGATCCAACAATCTCGATATTTCATTCATCAACAAAGTTGCAAATTGAATGCAGATTGGTGTTATTTCAGCTTTGATACTTGGAGATTTTTCTGAACCTCTAACAAAACCAGCTTCCTTTAAATATTGTCCCAATATTTCTTCGGTCCAATCTTTAGAGATATCAACGCCCTTTACATCTATCACATTTCCATATCGATAGGGGTAGTTACATTCATCGTTTACACCAGCTACTTCAATACCAGGTTCTACAAATGGTGTCTTTTTATTCTTTTTTCTTTTTATTTTTTTCTTTTCTTCTACTTGAGTTGTCTTTGTTGTTCTTTAATAATAATAATAATTGTAAGTATTAATATCATCTCATTTGGATAATATATTTATTATATATATTTATATATTACATACGCATCATTTGTATTTTGCTTTTCATTATGATCATCATCGTCACTACCGTCCTCTATTCTTGGTTGATCTAACTTATTGTTGTTGTTGTTGTTGTTTTGAATTGTATCATTATGATCATCTTCACTACCATCTTTGATTCTTGATTTATCTGTTTCTACATTGTTGTTGTTTTGAATTGTATCATAATGATCATCACTGCCATCATCGATTCTTGGTTGATCTAGATCTCTTTCTACATTGTTGTTGTTTTGAATTGTATCACAAACATCATCGTCATCATCATCATCGATTCTTGGTTGATCTATTTCTAACTTGTTAACTACAGTATATGCATGATCATGATCATCATCATTTTCTTGTTCTTTGATGTTATCTCTTTGCACAGACTCTAATCCACTCGTTGCTTGACCAACATATATATGTTTCACAACAAACTCTGAAATCTTTCGATAGACAATATATATCCATGCAAGACCAAATAAATATTATCTTGAAGAGATGAAGGTCGATGTTTCTCTATCTCTACCATGCTGCTTTAAATATTAAGTCGTTTTTCGTATCGTCGATTTGGTTATCTACTAAAAAAACAAACCCTCGTTGTCATTGTTTCGGGGTATGAATAATATTATTGATGATGCAGAATAATCCCACTATTTTTATTATTATTATTACTAATTAATTAGTTAACTTTATCACTTGAACAACACCAGAGTGTTTAATACCAATGTTTGCTAGAGTGTCTGTTGGTCGTATATTGATCTACCACTTTTATGTTTGAGTGTGGACCAATATTTAAGTGTTTAGGTGTTTCCTTGGGGTCTAGTCTCTTGTCATTGTAGAAAAAATCTACGCTGTCCTTGTCTTTGATTCCAACTTGTTGACAGAATCGGAGCATCATACTGCCAAAGGTGGTATTGATGTCGAAAATAAATGACACTGTGTCATCAGCATGCTGCTTTTCGTAGAAGAGTTCTAGTCTCGAGTTGACAAGAGTGGCGTTGATTATAGAGTCCATTTCAAGAGATTGGTGGGTTGCTGGTTTGTTGGGGTCGATCAAGGCGCCAGTCGACGCATTTGTAAAGTTGATTTGTTTGGGTTGAAGTTTATGCTTATCAAGAAACTTGCCTATCAATTGAGAGAGGATTGTGGTGTGTTTGTGAAGTGTATAGACTTCTTTCTCTTCCTCCTTCTCCTCTGTTTTCCATGATGGTACAATATGTATGTGAATAATATCAGGTACAATCAAGAGGAAAGAGTTGTTTTTAATTCGGTTGCTACCAATGTCACCATCAAGTTCCAATTTGACACCACTGTATTCGATACTCAAGTATCTGAATTCTGTTGGTGGAAGGGTATTTTGGTAGTATTCCCTCACAATATCCTCTAGTACAGTGGTATCTTGGACTCTCATAGAGAGTGCCTCCTTTAAATATCCTTGAACTTGAATGGTTTTCCACTTTGATTCCCACACCACTTTAACGAGACATCCATCTCGGAGACCCAATCCATAGACAAACATCGAGTCGGCTTTGTAGAGTGGTCGGTTAAGATACTTGAATCTAAAGCCCATGTCTTGAGTCTCGGTATACTCTACCGATTTGTCAATACCAAACTCGACATAAAACATTCTCTTGACCTGTGCCAATGTTTCTAGAGTTGATACCTTGATATTCACCGCTTTTAAATCCCATTCAAATTTTAAATTTACCAAAAATGGTTGACTATAGATTGGTGGTGGTGGTGGTGAGTAAAACAAGTATGATATATTTCCATAGATTTGTGGCAATGATTTTTCGAGATACTCGGCAACACGAAAATAGCATTCTTTCAATGATTTCCAGACATCATCTTGAAATTCGTAATAGTAATAGGAATATTCCAAGTTATCCAGTATCTCTTTCTTTAAACAACTATTGATTAGTGGATGGTGGCAATATCCAGGTACACCCAACTGAAATGCCAATAATGTGACAGCAACCATACTCGTCCTCATCACCTGTGACCAAATTTTTTTTGTTTTCCAAAATGGTAGTACCATACTACCGATTATATCTAGTGCCGATTCAACAATCGCTATGCCAACATAATCATCGTCACCATCATCTTTTAATCCTATAAATTCCCCCACCTTTGCTTCTGTAAAGGAATTGTCAACACCGCCTACGACCACACACAATATCATTTTACACATCTTGTAGATATTACCATAGATGGGTTGTGTGGGTCGGTATCTAGTTGTTTTGTATTGTCTGATACTGTTGTGTTGTAGGTATTGTGTTAATTTGGGTTTGTCCCATACCACACCTCTATGTTGATCGACGAGACCATAGTATCTATTGTTGGTGTATTGTATCTTGACTGCGAGGTCTTGCAGACCACGGGGTATCTCTTTGATTTTAATCCCCTCTGCAAGAGTATGCTTTACAATATTTGGGAGAGACCCTCTACCAAATTTAGGAATACCCATTACATATGCTGCAATTGTGAGCAGTGTAGTCATAATAGAGTAGGATGGCGCGAGAAGACTTTGAAATCTTTCAAACAATGGTGATGCGATACCAGTGATTGCTCTGTTAAGATCCAATTGACCACAACCAATTATTTCAAGTTTGTAAACGTGATCGTCTTCTAGTAATTTGCGAGACAATTCCGTCTTTAACAAGCCTACAAACTGAATGTATAGATTGGTGTCATCTTTGCCTTGTTACTTGGAGTGTCGGCAGAACCTCTAACAAACCCAGCATCCTTTAAATATTGTCCCAATATTTCTTCATTCCATTCTTTGTTTGTATCAACTAGTTGTACATATCTAATGACATTACCATAGTTGTATTTATGGTTATGTTCATCGTTGACACCCACTACCAATGTACCAGGTACTACAAATCGACTAGTCTTTTTAATTTCCTTGATCTTTTCTGTTGTTATTTAATTATAATAATAATAATTAATAGTCAGTTTAATCATTCATACATATAATACTGTTATTTATATATAAGATGGAATGTATACATACACATTATTATTATTATTATTATTATTATTATTATTATTATTATTATTATTATTATTATTAATATTATTATTAATAGTAGTAGTCAAAGTTGTCGAAACAACATCATTATCGTCATGACGATCATGGTTATCATCTTGTTGAAGATTAATTCCTCCTACTTTGTTGACCTTATCATTTTCTTCTTTTTCTTCTTCTTCTTTCTTTATATAATCTCTTTCTATCTTTGATTTACTCATTCATGAACACAAACTGAATGGTCTCCCTCATCAGCAAAGTGGGTCTTTTGAGCATAATATTAATAATATAAAAATTAAATTAAATTTTTCAAACTACTAACTAACATGTTTGTGTAAATAAAGATTTATTATTATTATTGCCTGTTGTTTTAGATTGGAATTAATTAATTGATTGATTGATGATTTCGTATCACTTTTATGTTTGCGTGTGGACCCATGTTTAAATGTTTAGGTGTTTCCTTGGGGTCTAGTTTCTTGTCATTGTAGAAAAATTCTACAGTGTGCTTGTCTTTGATTCCAACTTGTTGACAGAATCGTTGCATCATACTGTCAAAGGTGGTATTGATATGTAAAAGGTATGGTATTGTGTCAGCATGCTGGTTTTCGTATATGACATCTATTCTAGAGATGAAAAGAGTTACATTGATTATAGGACCATTTCAAGACCTTGGTCAGCTGGTATTTTGTTGGGATAGATCAAGGCGCCGGTCTATGCATTTGTAAAGTTGATTTGTTTGCGTGAAGTTTGTACTTTGCAAGAAACGAGTCAAATAATTTAGAGAGGAGTGTAGTCTGTTTGTCAAGTGCATAGATTTCTCTCTCCTCTGTATTCCAAGATGGTATAGCATGTACATGAATAATATCAGATGATGTTACTATAAAGAGAACCGAGTCGTTTTCGATTTGATTCGAACCAATGTCACCATCAAGTTCCAATTTAACACCATTGTATTCTATACGCAAAAGTTTAAATCAAATGGTGGAGGGGATGGTTGGAAATATACCTTGACAATATCCTCTAGTATAGTTTCGCCTTGGACCTTCATAAAGAGGTAGTCTTTATCAAAACCTTGAACTTGTATACACTTCCACTTTGTTTCCCACTCTACTTGAACGATCCATCTTGGAGACCCAACCCAGGGACAAACCTAGAGTAGTCCTTGTGGAGTGATCGACCGTCATACTTGAATCTAAAGTGTTGGTCTTGAGTCTCTTTATAAAGTTTAGAAATACCAAACATGAAGTAAAACATTTTCTTGATCATTGCCAATGTTGCTTGGGTTGGTACATTCATATCCATGATTTTTGAATCCCATTCAAATTTTAAATTGATATATAATGAAAATGATGATGGTGTATTGGAAGAATGTGGAGTGGATGTTGTTGTAGAACTTGATGGTGGTGGAAGTGGAGAGGAGGGTGTCCCAATATTTCTTCGGTCCATTCTTTCTTTGTGTCAACTTGTTGTACATCAATGACATTACCATAGTTGTATTGTTGGTTGCGTTCATCGTTCACACCGGTGACTACCAATGTAGAACCAGGTTCTTCAAATTGACCATACCTTTTAATTTCTTTTTTTCTCTTTTAATTGTTATATCAGCAGACTTTTTATTTATACCTTCTTTCTTCTTCTTCTTCTTTTCCATTGTTCTTTATTATTAATAATAGCCAGTTAATCATTCACACAATAGGTTGTGCTAGTGACAACAATATCATCATTGTCTTCTTCTTTCTTTATATCTCTTTTTATCTCTGATTTTCTCATTCATAAATTAAATTAACACTGAATGATCATTCTATAGCTACCCGTTGGGATTGTATGGGGTATAAATAAATTATAAATTAATAATAAATACTAGTGAAAATTGGTACTTTCATTTGAGAAATGCGTGCAAATCATCTGATTGTTGATTGTTCAAGAGTGAGACGATTTGTTTGTTTGTTTATCTTCAGAGCAGAGTCAGTAAAGTAGGTAGAACTATATATATATATATTGGTTGGTTATTTATGCAAAGATAGATATAGATAAAAGGATAGAAAGAATATTATGTCATTCTTATTATTTCATTTAAGAAGTGGATGGGCAGTCGATCAAGCCATCCTCTCTGAAGAAGATAGAGTAGTTGTTATACGTTTCGGTCACGATTGGGACAAGGACTGTATGAAACAAGATGAAATATTAGCTGCCATCGCTGAAAAGGTATCAAATATGGCACTTATCTATGTAGTATGTATCATCCCTTTCATCATCATCATCAATGATTATATATGACTAACTTGTCTCTCTCTCTCTCTCTTTACTCTATTTAGGTTGATATCTCTGAAGTACCAGACTTTAACAAGATGTATGAATTGTATGATCCTTGTACTACAATGTTTTTCTTTAGAAATAAACATATTATGATTGATCTTGGAACTGGTAATAATAACAAAAGTATGTATCTCTCGAGAGAGTATTGCTGATGATCAAAAACACACAACCATATACTAACTAAAGTCTCTTTTATTAACAATAGTTAATTGGCCATTAACGAGTAAACAAGATATGATTGATATTATAGAAACTGTTTATGTTGGTGCTAGAAAGGGTAAAGGTCTTGTAATCTCTCCCAAAGATTATTCTACCAAATACAAATACTAGAGAGACAACAACGACAATACAACAACCAAGTCTTACACATTCATCCTGTATATATCAAACTTACGACGCTCAAACAAACGAATATGAATGGATCTCTCTTTGATCAACCACTGCGATCCAACCAACCAACCAACCAACCCTTTATCGATCAATTGGATTAACAACTTTGCGCACGAAATATAAATATTCATAGATTGATTCACAAATTGGAAACAGAACAAACAAACAAAACACCAGTAAAGTGATTATTATATAATGCAACTCTCCAAAGTAAACTGGAGTTTTATAAATTAATATTACTACAAGTAGTATTATTGGTTATTATTATTATTATTTGGATCTATTATTATTATTATTAATTATTATAATGCCTCTTTTCCTTTTTTTAATGTTGGAAAGAAGGATTTCTTTCTTTCAAGTGTTTTTGTGTTTAAAGTTGACATTGTCATGGTTCGAGTTGGTTGTTCACAAATATTACTTGCTTTGTACAACTAAAAGAAAAGAAAGAAATATTAATTAGTATTATATTATTATTATTTGTTTTGTTTTGTTTTTTGTTTTTTTGTTGTTTGTATCACTTACATCTTTATCAGATAAAATTAAAGTTTGTTGTAACATTTTAGCAATGGAATCGACTTTTTTAAGATGGTATGGTACAGTTTGGAAACGATGGATATCGGTCAAGATCTTGGAGATCATTTGCATTTTGGTGAAATTGATGTATCCATTGTCGAGGTTATCTTGATTGGCATCCTCGATAAAGACAAGGTCACGAAGATAGACGGCCATGTAGGGCAGGCAAGGGAACGAATGTACAGCCATAGCCTTTCGATAGTTGGCATAGTTTTGAGAGGCACTCGTTTGTAGTGTCAACAACTCGAATGAATCCAACATATTTTTGGGTAATCCCTCCCAGGTCTTTTTGAGTCGTTGTATCGATCCCAAATTCAATCCCAACATTACTCCCATCAATGTATTCCAATTATTCAATTTTAATAATATCTCTGCAATCGTTATAAATCTTTTTAATACTGTTATTCTTTGTTTAACATTTCTTTCTAATAATATTTCCTAAATGTAAATAAAAACAAATATTAGTTTCTATCCATTAATATATTTCTATTCTACTTTAATTTCTATTCTCTTACAGTAGCAACCCAATAACTAACACTATTGGAACGTTTAATAAATGCTTGGATGTTTGGAACCTTGTCTGAAGCATCTGATTTGTTCCAGGCTTGATGGTGAAGATCGGAGGGTGTAATTTTACAATAGAGTGTAAACTCTATGAGGGTGAGCTGACGAGCAATCTCGACTGGATGTACGTCGAGAAAGGTCGAGGTCGGGAGCAGTTGTTTGGGGAGTAGTACCTCTGGATAGGCGTCATTGTTGGCCATTTCCAGGGCTTCGGCGGCAGCTTTACTTGGGAAAAAGTAGATAGAGCTATCCTTGTCTTTAAACTTGTCGGTTGATTTACGACTCTCTGTGTGATGACGGATCAAATCTGCTTTGAGCATATTTTGTAAAATGTCAATAGCATCATCACGCACTTGCAACTCGTAACGATGTACAATCCAATCAACTGCCTCGGCACCTAGGAACGACGCTCTAATAGTCTTTAACTTCTTTTTACGTTCTTTTAGTGGTAGTGCTCGCATCATAATAGTCGACAGTGTCTCTGTATCGTGGAGTGGTACGAGGTCACGCAGACTCTGTGACGAGTCACGTGAGCTAGAGGACAAGTTTTGGGCATTGAGGTATTTAATGACGTGAGACGAGACTGACTTTTTGAGATGGTTGCCCCATTTAACATTGAATTTGATAATCACCTCTAAAAATTGTACAAACAATTTATAGAGTGCTGGCGATGAAAAATCATATCCATGTCCTTCAACCCATTTCTTTAATACATTAATCACTCTAAATTTAATATGATTTGTCATTTGTTCAAGATCTTTATCTGACGTTGTCGTAGTGGTTGTAGTTGTAGTTGTTGTGGTAGTTGTTGTAGAGGATGAAGTAGATGAAAAAGAGGAAGAAGACGAGTCGTGGTGAAGCATGGCAGTGGTGCCAAGTGAATGGGACGAAGCGTTGGGAGATACCATTGGAGTCAGCACAGTTGGTGTGGCAAGACTTGACAATATACTACCATTTCCATTATGTATAACTGTAAGTGGTGATGATGAAGATGATGATGATGATCCAGCTGAAGATGATAATGATGTTGACAATAATGAAATATTATTATTATTACTATTATTTTGATTATTTTGATTATTAGTATTATTTTGTTGTTGATTTATGTTAATATGTTGATTTTGATTAATATTTGAAGTAGAAGTTGCAATTGGATTTGTACCTAATGGATCATTAAATCGATCCCATAAAAGTTGAAGTAATTCATGGTCTTTGATATAGTAGTGGTATGTGTATAGAACATCTTCAACATGTTGTGTTCCAGTATAATTGGATATATCTGTCATTAAACCAACAATTTTTACCAATTGACCTGCCAATACATTTCCATGAACATCAAATACCAACCCATCATCTTTACTCTTATTATTACTATTATTATTTGTTGTATTAGTTGTACTTGTTGATGTACTACTTGTTGTATCTTCTAATTTTTTTGAACCATTTGCAAGACAATCCAACTCATCAAAAGTGGTTGATTTTAGCATTGATAGTTGAACGTGTGGTTGAGAGAGAGCGCGAGACAAGGTTTCTTGGATGATGGATGAAAAGTCACCTTCGTAGCATGTACTCTCCCACGATGGTAGGGTCACCTCGCTTTGGGTACGTCTACGCAGCATGGTTGGAGATGCACGTCCGCTGGATGGATGAGCTGGGTCAATGACATTATTATTATTAAGAGGAAGAACCTCCTCTTCGGTCAGCAGTGCCTCGTTTTTGAGGTTGACAACTGATATGGACCGGTTGATGGGCTGCAAAGGACCAAACGAGTTGCGTTTACTGCTCGACCGTGGTGAAGAGGGTGTGTTGATAGATGGGAGGAAATACTTTAGATAGGATCCATTGTGTGAAGGGGGTGGAGGGGTTTTTCGATGTTGAGATTGCTCGTGCAGCTGTTGTTGTTGTTGAGATTGTTGTTGAGGCGAAGAGTGGAGATAGATCGATGTGCGGGGTGATGTATAGGAAGATTCGACGTGATGGACGCCGACAAGGTGAGATGAGAGTGGACACGAGCCAGCCGAGCTGATACCGCTGCCGCTGCTGATACTGCTGTGTAGGCTATTTTCAGTGGTCGACGGACAGCTACCCGACGTGTCTGTACCGCTGCCAATATCGTCGCCAGAGCCAGCTGTCAACTTGCCCAACGTAGTCGTTGAAAACGACTTGCTTCTGTGGTTGTTGGTGGGTGATACCGACGGGCTGCTTGCGCCGTCCATCTCGTGGTGGTGGTGTAGGTGCGCCGTCGACGACGACGAGTGTTGGAATATTTCATTAATCTTGATGGTTGGAGATGGGAACGTATTCGAATTGGAAGGTTTTATAAAACTCTTGATTCTTCGGATCGTCGATGATGTCAGCGTCTTTCCACCCAACTGTTTGTTGCTTATGGTTGGTGATGATGACGTAGATGTCGACGTAGACGATGATGATTCAACGTGCTGTATGTCATCCATATTTGTTAGGGTTATTTTAAATAATTATTATTATATTTGGTAATCGTCCACTTTTCTTTTCTTTTCTTTTTGTTTTGAAATTTGGATAAGGATATGGATGGATGGATGGATGGATGTTGGAAAAAAAATTAAATTATAATACTTTTTGTTGACTTTGGGGAAAAAATAAGATTGTCTTTGTGATTGATTGATTAGTAATTGATGAATATGATTTATGATTATTATTATTGCCTGGGGGGAAATTAAACTAAACTAAAATAAATGTAAATGGTTATAATATAAATAATTTAAAAGATATAAATAGTTAGTTTCATAATTTAAATCAAAAATAAAATAATTATTATTAGAGCAAGAAAGTATTATGGTAATAGTTTTTGATGATGATGATGTTGACAGTGACAAAAGAAGAGGAGGATGAGGAGCAGTAGTAGTAGGAATAGGTACAACCAAATTAAATTATCGGTTGCATATTGTGTTTTGTTGTTGGAAAAAAAAAAAAAAAAAAAAAGTTTGATTGCAGCAATACACTTTCCATGTTTGTTTACCCAATTGTAAAAAAGGGTGTGGAAGCAGCAGCAGAAGAGTAGTGTCATTTGAGGGGAGTGTTAATAATAATAATGTGATGAACAGAGGAGGAGGAGGACTGAGCTTAGTTTATGTCGTCGTGACGCTACTGCCTTTATGACAAAAAGTACAAACCTACAAGCAGATTGCATGGGAAAAATAAGCAACGTTGATTTGGTGGTGTAGTTTGTTGTTGAATAATTAGACGGGTGCCAGATCACTCACTCACACACACACACACACAACACAATAATTATATATTTATAAATAAAAAAAATATAGATGTACAAAATGAAGATCCTGAAAGAGATTGATGCTCAAATGGATCAAACAACAACAACAAGTGATTGGAATGATTGCAGAGGAGGAATAATATAAAAATAAATATTGTCACAAAAGATTTAAACAAGTCAAAATCTATAAATGGACTGATTGACTGATTGGATTGTTTGATTGATTCACAATCAGCGACTCTTTCCCACTCACGATGGTTTATATAAAAAAAAAAAAAGAAGGGTGGCACCCTGGCACTTTTAAAAAAAACATTTGATTTCCATCGATGAAAGAGTGTGTGTGTATGTGTGCACCCAGGGGTGGGTGGGTCGGTGTGTATGTGTGTAAGAGGGGGGTTAAAGAATAATATGCAAAGAGCTTTGTATGGTCAAACATCTGCAGAAATCATTCTATGTTGGTAGAGGAGGTGGTGCGAGGGGAGGTAAAGGGAGAAGAGGAAACGAGGGTGGAGGAGGGTTATGTATGTAGGTATGTAGAAAGCAGTCTGTTGGATTTACTGTGGGGGTAGGTGGGGTGGGTGAGGTTTTGTTTATCTTAAAAACATATCACCTTAACGGGTAGGAGAGTCAGACATGCGCCATCCATATGGATTAATAATATGAAAAGAAATTTGATTGATGAATTGGTGTTTTTGAAATTGTTGATTGTGTATAATTCATTTCAAAGATTGCAATCAAAGGAGAGAGTTAATCCTTCCTCCTTGAATGGGAGGGGTGGCGACGGATAAGGGAGGGACGAGAGACCACACAAAACTTTGGCGGGAACAACAATAACAATAACAAACAAACCAATAATGTTTTACCAATAATCCAAAAATAAATAATAATAATGATTAAATTAAACTCTCTCTCTCTCTCTATTGTGACTATAACTACAACTACTATAATTAACTGATTGTTATATGTTTGGTGTAAAAGCTATAATTATAATTACTTGGGATTGATGGATTGATTGATCTTGTGGAGAGGGAGGGAAAAAACTGTCGGTCGTGTTTAAAGATATTTCTTTGTCTAACCTCTCTCTTTTTCTTAATATTTTTTAATATGGATAATTTTTAAACAAACAAACAAAATATGATAACCATATTATAATATTCACATAACAGCAAAAGCAGTAGTAGTAGGTAGTTGTAGTAATCATGTTATATAATTGTATAAATTGCTTTGGATAATGAACAACAACGGCAGTTGTAATTATAATGGAAATACAAAGAATAATAAAAATGGAAACAAGTAGATCAACTACTACTCTGCTGCTGCTGCTGCTGCTCTACTGGTATAATGCCATAAAACCAATCCATTATAATTGTATGATTATTTCCCACATATTGACTGTTGCCAAACATGTTTTAATTATTATTATTAATCGTGTCTTTTCCAAAAATAAATATTTTTAAAAGAATCTTCCATACTACCCTCTATAGAGTGTGGAGTGGAGTACTTGTATCCAATAGTTGATTGACTGATTATTATTATTATTATTATTTGTCTTTGTTTGTTTTAGAGTTTAAAAAAAAAAAAAAATTAATATACAGTACAACAATCTTGTTTACCTAATTTAAAAATCTGCAAGATTGATTTGGCAATCATAATATCTGTATGTCAGTGCCTAGAATATCTGTCTGTCTGTCTGTCTGTCTGGTATATGTCTGTCTTTGATGATATTATTATTAATTGTTGATGATTGGGATTTTTTTTTTTTTTGATGTATAAATTGATTTCTGTATTCGTACTCCTCTTTTGTTACTATATTGTATCTACAACTTATCCTTTCCTCTTCCTCTTCCTTCCTCTTCCATTTGCACTTTTTTTTGTTCCAGAAATTTAACGATCAAACAAATTTGAATTGTTGTTGTTTTCGTTTTCCCTCCTCTTGGATAAATACACACACAACACATCACACATAACACACAACACAACACCACAACAACAATAACAACAACACAATAAATAATAATAATATTATTATTATTATATATAAATCCATAGATGGCCATTATTATGGTGATGATGGTGGTAGAGTGATAGTGGTAGATAGATTCATGTGTAAATCATGGAATTATTATTATTATACAAACAAATAAATAAATAAACCCATCACCACCACCACCACCACCACCACCTCTACCCTCTACCACCATTGTTGTTGTGGTTGCTTGATGAAATAATTAATTATAGTTGAACTGGCAACTACTATAATTACCATTATTATTATTATTATTCTTCTTGTTTCGGTCAAGAGAATGGGAGGATAAATTAATTTATCCACGACACGGCTATGGCAATGACGCAAAGAAAGAATTACAATTGTTGTTGTTGTTGCCAGTGGAATTAATTGAGTGTTGAGTTGGGTGATGATTTGAATAAAATAACAGTGACCGACAATAATAATAAACACTAATTATAAACTTATTTGACTAGAGGAGAGTCATAGTCACCAATATATGGTATGGACATACTTTTGAAAAAAAGATGGAATGGGGAACTATAAAAAAAAAAACCTGGGTACTATACTATTTTTAAATAAAAATGGAATGGGTAAGAAAGAAAGAGGTGAAGTGGAGGGAGAAATAAAATTAATTAATATCCAGGATTTAAATGTGATGTGTCTGTCGGATGGGTTAGGGTAGAATCATCATAAAAATTAATTGGTTGGTTTGGATGCACATGACCATTGATTAATCTGATCATAATAATAATAATAATAATAATAATAATAATAATAATAATAATAATAATAATAATAATAATAATAATAATAATAATAATAATAATAATAATAATCATCTGATTCTTATCATAAACCAAATATTATATTAATGTAGAATGTATATATATAAAGTACGGCCCATATTGGGTATGGCGGGTAAAAAAAAAGGGGTAACGTAGGCAGGGTCATTGATCAATCAATCAATTAATTCAATGGACCATCCAATTATATTGAATTAAATTATTATTATTATTTTGATCAAAATAAATTTAAATTTGATGAATTTGGAAAGGGTATGGTGGATGAATATGGATGTATATGGATGGATGGATGGAAGTTCATGATGATCTACTAGATTCATTGTTGTTCCTCTTACTTTGTTGGGTTATATAGTTTTAAATAAATTAAAAATATATATGTAGATATGTGATGATGATGATGTTTGTTGTTGTTGTTGTTAAGTAGTTAGATGAATTTTATGATCTGATTGTGATTTAATTGATGTCCTCTGCCTGATAATTAAAATAATCTCCAACGCTATCTCCTCCTCCTCCTCATCCTCTTGCTTGATGGCCATCCCATCCTCCTCCCTCTCTCCGTCCTATTTGTTTCCTTGTTTTTCTTTCCTCTCTCTCTCTTCTTTTCACCACCTCTGCTGCTGACAACAAAAAATCACTATACACCAATTTCTTGAACAAGTGACCATAGTTGCCAATACACATATTAGTGTAACTGCCCTTGATGCTTTCCTCTCTCCTCCTCATCCTTTTTCTTTAGAGTAGTGATCCATCACTACCACTACTACCAACCACCACCACCATTGTTATTGACATATTGTTCATCAACATCATGAAATTCATTGTATACACCCCCCACCCACCGTCTCCTCTATATTCATATTCAAGATCATGATATATAAACATTGATTTTAATGATCATGATGGTGGTGGTGATGGTGGCAGTAGCGTGGTGGGTGTATCAATTAACTTAACTTAACTGTGTTTATATATATTATTATATCTTTCTTTCTTTCTTTATGAATGATGTCAACTACTGCACTACACTACCTGTAACTGTGTTGTACAATTCTGTACAACATAATTAGTTATATTATATTGACAATTGAATCTATCTTGATGCTGTGTGCTGGTGGTGCGTCCTCTACAACTTATTGTTGCTGCTGTTGTTGTCTCTTTATATCTATTGTCAACATCATTGTTTATCCTCTTTCATTCATATTCATCATCATGTGTTAACTTCTTTAAAATGTGTGTGTGTATGGGTGTGTGATCATTATGCTAATAATGATTATTGTTGTGTGCGCCGATTGACTTAACACCTACCTTGATAACTATAGAGAGTTTAAACTTAACTGAACTGAGTAAAAATAGATATATAAGATATAAAAGTGAGGATATAAAAGAGAGATATATATAAAAAAAACCGATGGATGGTTGTTGTGTTGAATAAAATTAATGAGAAGCAGGAGATTGCTTGATTCGATGCCTATGAGGTGAGTTTGCAGAAGATATCTCTCTCTCTCTTCTTTGTCCTTGTGTGTGGTGGTGCACGCCTTTCCTCTCTCTTTATTTTTACACTGAGAAGAAGACTTGATCGCATCGATCTCAGTATCCACAAAAAAAAAACGAGATATTTATATTTTTTCTTTTTCTGGGTGGTGGGTCTCGATCAAAGCGCAAAGCGGAGAGACTTCCAACCGACCGACTGATAGACTCTGTCTCCACATTTCTTAAAACCAACCCAGGATGGACGTGGTGGGCAGTATTTAAACATCAACAAACAAATGCAAGATAGATTAATCTATTTGAGGAACTCGAAGCACTCTGACTCTCTTCAAATTGGTTGGTGTACACCTCTCTCTCTTATTATTTTTTCTTTTATTTAATTAATTAATTATTTTTAATAGTATTGTTGTTGTTGTTGTTGTTGACGTTGTTGACGTTGTTGTCTTAGGTCATAGGGAACATCATTTTCATCCCATTGTGAAAGATCGAGGTGGGGGTCATTAATGTACCCCAAGAGAGGGACATTGGTTGGCATGGTGGTGACTTTTGAACGTTTGATTGTGACACTAGTAGGAAAGATTTCCTTCTCGGAGAGGAATGGTTGGGAAGGATCGGTTCTGCTGACTGCTAGCTGGGGCTTGACAAACACTCTCAGTAGAGATGTGCTGGTCTGCAACCGTGGCAATACCTTTGCCGTCTCACTATCGCTCGGATCACTTTCAAAGTTTGTCATTGGGAATGATATTTCGAGCAGTGAGGTGTTTTGGGCGACGGATTCCAAGAGGTCTCCGGAGAAGGCAAGGAGTCGCTTATTTACTCGACTTGTCCAATCCAATGTCAAGTATTGGATGGATTTGTTGTGTTGGAGCATGTGTTGGAGCATAGGTGCGTGGACAGCGGCCAACTGACGCAGTGAGAGACTGGAGAGCGTGTTGTTTGATGCCAACGCTTCAAACAAACCGATCGAATAGATTTTGTTTTGTCGTGTTGCCTCTTCGACTGGAGTCAATGCCAATGCCCGGATGACCTTATTGTTGGCGACCAACCCGGCATAGAATTCGTGGGTGAATAGTGGTTGTTGACCATCGGTGAGATAGTATCCCAACGACAACTCTTTGATGGTTTTGGATTGGTAAAAGAGTCGCTCCACCTCTTTTAAATGGTCGGCATGGTGTTGTTGGTCTTTGCCAAAAATCTCGAAGCGTCCCAGACCAAGCACACGGAGCGACTTTAGGTTCTCCAATATTCCCCGAATCTCGACAAGACTGACTGCACCATTTAAAAAGAGCTCTGTCATGTCTACGTTGTTGGGAGGAGCACGAAAAGGTATTCTGTCATACACATCCAACGAGAGCGATTTGGAAAGGAACATCTTGTTGAATAAAACGTTGTTTCCTGGTTCTCTGCACATCTGTACTTGTAGTCTCTCCATTGGAGGAAGGGTTGAAGACTCAAACTGCGCCATAAAGGAATCTCTGTGATTCTTAAAAGAGCTATCGGTATCGTCAAACGAAAGATCGGTCACTGATGGAGGGACGAGTTGGTCAAGAGAGGGTATGACCGTACCTTGGTATCGACACTTGATCTTGGTCACACTATTGGCCTTTTTTAACAGTTCTCCAAGATTATAAAATGCTTTTGGTCCCATTGATCTATACAATTGAGGTGTTGTAATAACCAATGTCTCTATTCTTTTAACCAATTTATATTTATAATTATTATTATTTTGATTATTTTGATTATTATTATTGATTTGATTATTTAGAATGGATTCTAATCTATTTAAACTACTTTGTAAACCAGTGTTTAAAATGTAAGAGGTAGATCTTTTAGAGATGATATTAAACCATCTCCAACATACTACCGCAAGTGACACCTCACCCCAACGATTCAATACGCGCTTGCTTGGGAATGAACAACCACGACTGTTTGTAGAAGACTTTGAACCAGACTTTTGTAATGCATATTCGACAATCTTTTCTTGAATGTATGCTGGAAGAATGATAGAATCGTCTTGGTCATGATGATGATGATGATGACGACGATCATCACCTTTGCTTTGTTGTTGTTGGCTAGTCATCTTTAACTTTTTTTTATCTGATTCCATCGTATATATATATAAACTGATGTTGGTTGAGTCTCACTCTGAGGTTGGTTGGTTAATGATCATGTTTGACATAATATCTTCATGCCTTGGGAATTAATCGTCTCGAGCAAAGAGAGATAGAATATCTTTCTTTTTCCATGATTTTTTTTTAATTTAGATATTTATTGTTAAAATCCATCTTTGGTGTACTTACAATCCAAATAACAATACTAATTCGTATTACACCTATCAAGTGAACTTCCTTCTTCTTTTTTGATCAACTGCTATTTTAAAACACCCACATATATATATATATATATATACATAGTATATGTTATATATTACATATATAACTCGAATTCCAGAACAACTATATTACAGCTAACAGTCAACAACATGATCATCATTAAATAGGAGAAGGAGTATCGTCGTTGATGTTTAGAATCGTCATCTGATCGTTGTTTGTGTCATCTTGATTGATTAGTCAATACATACATCAGGTACATCGATTGTGGTACCACATACAAACACCATACCATACCCGAAACTCTACCTTGAACGTGAAATGAACATTTACATATTGTGATCACAATCAAAGTAAAGTATTAGTATATATGCACAAAACTGTCAATATTCCATTCCCTATTGTGATGATAGTACATACATACATAGCAGTTGCTTGCTCTCTCTCTCATCAACAAAAAATAATATTTAAATGATATATCACCCTCACCACCTCCTCCTCCACCTCCATATTCATGGCAACGTTTTAATCAATCAACCCATGCGATGGATGTTAATCAGTAAGATTGGAATATCGATCCAGCATGTTGACAAAGTGGTAAGGGGTTAGGGGTTAGGGGTTTGCCTATCCAATCACCAAATGACTTTCCACCAAACCAACAATACATACAATGCTATCGATTTCACAGCTAAAATCCTCCACCAACCCACTCACTCACTGCATTGCCACCATCATCGTATTGTTAAACAGTGTCAATAATAGTGATGATGATGATGATGATGATGATGAAGATAGGGGTGTTCAGTGAGTGGGTTGGTGGGTGGGGGAGTAGGTGTGTGAGTATACCAACTAACACAAACTCGGCCAACACAAACAAATTGATTGATTGATGATAAAGTTCCAAATCAATTTAATTAAACCAGCAACGTGTGTTTTGATTTGATGATTGATCAAGTCAGGCAGGAGTACGGTGGAGAAAGTGAGAAACACCACCCAACATGGAATAAATATAAATTTTCAAGTTCTTCTTTTTGTGTCAGTCATTCATACATACTGGTACAGCCACCTACCACTACCACCATCATAATCAACAACAACAACAACATCATCATCATAATCATTTTTAAATTTTAAATTATCCAGAGATATATAAAAAAAGACTTCACCTTTCAATTTCATTCATCGTAACTCTAACCTTAACTTATTTATTTAAACCCCTTTTAAACTTATTTATTTAACTCTCTCAAATTAACTATATATAAATATAAATATACTATACCCTTAAGATCATCCGTCATCATTGTCATCTTAAACAAAAAAAACTCGGCCAATCGCACATCATCATCTTTGAAAGATCAACCCATCTCATCTTGATTGTTATTTATTATTATCATAAATTATTTTGATTTATAAAACCGAATGTAAGTCTGTTTCAACCAAACAACCATGATCACGTTTCATGCTTTATTAAAATTCCCGTTCCTGTCGTCGGGAAATCAAATCAAAATATCTATCTTCTCTTTCTCTGTTTTTGTTTTTTTTATTTTTATTTTTCCCATTACTATAGGAAAACAAGAAGAGTATAGTCAATTGAGGCAATTGTTCTATACTATTCTTCTATAAACACCACATACAGAGACAACAACAACAACAACACTCACTATACTCTACTCTTTTTTTTTTTTTTCCCATTCCATTCCATTCTATTTTTAATATTATTCCAAATTCTATAAATATAAATACCGAACCCTTTTGTACAGACCTAAAGTATGATGATGATAGGGAACGACAACGATAATAATAATAACGACAATAATAATAATAACAAGGAATAAATATTCCAAGAAAGAGTGTACTAGGGACAGTAAACAGTATAATCCATAACATTCATTCATTCATAATAGAATGTAATTAGTAATTATTAGTTATGAGATAATACAAATTGGTACAATATGACATGACACATACATATTTTAAAAGTTTTTCGGGTTGACCAACTGTCTCTCTCTTTCTCTCTCTTAAACATTTTTAAAATAGTCATTATCATTTTATAACAACACTCACACAACACAAACATACATTCTCTCTATATATGTAACAGCATTTAATTTCATTGTGGTAAATATTATTTTTCAAAACTCCAAATCAAACCAAACCAAAAAAAAAAAAAAACTGGAAATAATAATAATACATGTAATAATACCAATACAATATGATATTAGAATTTCAAATGATGGATGATGTCATATGGAACTGTAAAATAATTTATGTGGAGATGAAATGAATTTAATGAATGGAAAAAGAGCAAGTTTGAGGAGGATGGATCGAAAATAATAATAATAATTATTGAATTCACTACCATTCCCTTGCTGCTTGCAAAGGTCGACCATCATAATATCATTCACCGTTTCACATTATATATTATGTCATATTATATTATATACTACATTTATTATATACCATGGTTACATTGACCAACCAACCAACCAACCAACCTTTGTTAATGGTTATAATTGTGTTTTCTTTCTTTCATCATCATCATCATATATTTATTATTCGTTTTTATTGGATACTCAACAAAGAGATAGAGATTGACATATACAAATAGATTGACATAAATATATATATTAGGATGGAGGATTGCGTGTGAGAGTGTGTAGGATGGGGGGTTGACTTTAAAATATCATTGGACGGAAAATGATAGATAGATAAAACATATTCACACCACACCCCACCACTACCACCACAATTGTGTCACATTGTATTAACGTTAACATATATATATATATATTTATTTTATACTGTCATACAATATAATATACCCATCTAATCTATCTATACCAATCGACTAATCACTCAATACACATACAACCAACAACAACACCAATATTATTATTATCATCATCATAATGACAACGACATGATTCACTCTTTCCTCATCCTCATCATCATCATCATCATCATCATCATCATCATCATCATCATCATCATCATCATCATCATCATCACTATTAACCAATATATTTATAACATCACATTAAAATTAATTTTTTTTGAGAACCAATTTACTAATTACTTTAATTCTTTTATTTCTTTCTTTTCTCACTCACTTCAATTTACCGATACTACCCAACACCAAACATCTAACACAAACTGCCATACCATTTACACTTTTCTTTATGTTATTTTAGTATTACAAACCTCATTCTATCAACATCAACCATTTGCCAACCAGATTGTTTTTACCCTTTCTAGAAAGCACTCACTCCTCACACCACTCTGATTTTAAATAATATAATCCCGTCGTCACCGCTGCCACAACAACAACAACAACTATAAAACCAAATAATCCAACAACATCAACATTCATTCATATAATTTACAATTACAAACAATTATATAAATAGCAAATCATCATCAACCAACATACATATATATATAATAATAATAATAATAGCATCACTTTAATCCAATTCATTCATTCATCCAATTTTTTTTAGGCATTTCAAATATTTCCCGTTCCACCTTTTTACACCTACTCTACTCTTTTTGCCCAATTTACAATCTACTATATATATACTATACTATACTATATTTATTTGTTCAATACAAATCTATTAAAAAAAAAAGAAAAAATGGATAGAAACTCTATATTGATATCATTGGCTGCAGAAATCAGTCCATCATATGCAATGAAAATCAATAATGTAAATATCGACGACCAATTATGGGCCGACAATCTACAAGAATCTGCCGGATTATTCCCATCATCGCCAATGAGAGGTATCATGTCCTCGACAGTATCAAAGTCTAGTAGCAATGGTGAACACATCACTATGGAATCTGTATCATCTTGTGCAAATACTCTATCCACCGAATATTACAATTTCAATTTCAGAATGGGTGCTCCAATCGCTGGAAAAGATTTCGATCTCACTCCAACTTATTCACATGGTTAATTAATATTAAATTAAAACAATAATATTTAATACCAAATATAATATAATATACCACCCAAATGTTCAAAATAATATTTTAAAAAAATAAATAAATATTATTATTATTACTATTTTATTTAATCAAACAAATAATATAAATCTTTATTCTCTTTTTTAAATTTCCAAAATTTCAATAAAAGGATTTTCTTTAATTAATTGTAAAATGATTTTTGAATCTAAACAACCATCAGTATTGAATGTTAATCTATTCAACCGTTTACTTGATTTGATTAAATTACTGATCACTTTAAAATTGAAATTATAATTTCTTTGAATCTGGTCTTCTATTTGACTATTGGTTCTCTTTAAAGTTGGACTATTACCAGATGTATTAAGATGATCTTGTGATCGATCGATAATGATTGATATACTCGAAAGTGTCGATAGTGAAGGTAAATGTTCACTAATTTCTTCAAAAGTATTTCTACTCTTTGTTGTTGCCTTTCTACCAGTATTACTACTTGATGTTGAATTTAAACTATTATTGATCATTATACTATCTTTATAATTATTATTATTATCAATATTATTATTACTACTATTTAAAATGTTTCCTAGGTCTGAAATAAATTGAACATTGTCAAATGTTATATCCTCCAACCTTGGGAAGATTCGTAGAAATGATGGTAATTTACAAGAGATGGTTGAAAAGGATAGATACAATTTTCTGATATTTACAAACCCTGAAGAGTTTAGATAGGAAGTGAGAAGAGGTGAAGCACCAAGATGTGGTGAGGTGGATGAAGAAAGGGATAAAGGTGATGGTAACTTTATCAATCCACTTGGCATGCCAAGTTCAACCAAATTTTTGTTTCCATTACAATATTTTAATAGTTTTTCAATCTCTATATTGGTCGTTTGAAGATTGAGATTGTTTAAAGAGGAGGAGTTTTTAAGTAGAGGAAAATGGATTGGTGGAGAGTTTGTATATAATACTCTATTATCTGTTGTAAAATATTCATCTTCATCATTATCATTATGATAATAATAAAATTCTCTTTGATTTTGTTGTAAAGTTGTAGAAGTAGTAGCGGTTGGTTGTAATGGTCGTTGTGAAGGTGGTAAATAGAGTGATGTCAATGTATTGATATTTAGGGCCAATGCACATACATCACTACACTGTAATTCAGTGCAATTTGTTAGGTATAGTTTGGACAGATAGATACCAGACAATTTAACTATGACATTCTTTTCAACCAATGTATTTGATAGATCAAGACTTTGGATAGTCTTGAGTTTACATAGTATAAAACAAATGGTGGCAGAGGCAAGTCGAGTACATCCAGCAAGAGAGAGATTGGTTACAGTAGGTGAAATACAAGATATACCACTTGGAATCAATTCATCATTGATAAACCTGTCATCTCTTATTTCCAATGTTTTCAAACTCTTGCACTTTGACAATACTTGATTGTAATACCCTAGATCTTCTTTGTTGACATTGTTATTATTGTAAGTGTTGTGCCAAACTAGCGACAATGTTTCAAGTCGCTCTAAAAACTCTTCATGTTGATTGTTACTACCACCAGATAGTAAAATATTTGATAAAAAGCCATAGATATCGTGTGAACCAACATACAAGTGACGAATGGTGAGTGAAAAAGGTAGTACTTCTACCAAGTGATAGAATGGGTTGTATGTGATATCAAGACGTTCCAAATTTCCCATGATCACCGATTTGGTATATTCTATACACATATTGGCCTGTGATGGTTGAATCTGTATATTGATACTATCCAAATGCAATGATTTTAATTTCAAATTAAATGATTGTTGAGTTATTTGCATAGAATTGATATTGTCACCTCCATTGTTGGTTTGATTAATTAGATCTACAATATCTTCTTGAATAGTTGTAGGGATGAGAGGGATTGGTGGCATAAATGATACACCATTTGTATTGTTGCCTCCCTTGATTGACAAGTCTGATATATTTTCAAGATAGGACAATGTATTATTGAGATGATCACATTCAGCCACCTTGAGAGATGTAATCGATTTCAAAGAAGTGGTTATCCACTCCAATAGAGCATTTCCCAAATTAAAGTTGTTGGTTGAATGATGATGACGGTTTAACAATCTTGTAAAATAAGTTACTTCTCTACCTCTTCTAATCTCCTCTGAATATGATAATTTTCTCTTTCTTGGACTTATCCACATTAACAATGATAAATATTGTTTAGTTATAACTGCATCAACTTGGAATGCTTTTTTAATTTTTACTACAAATACCTTAAAATAAATAAAAATAAAGGAATATTAATAAACTTATAATTATAATCTTTTTGATTATTTTACATACTTCAAAATATTGATTATATTTTTGATTAAACATACAAAATTGTTGTTGTTGACTATGATTATTTTGATAGATGAATAATTTTAATTCGACGATGGCATAGAGTGAAAGGATGGTGGCATTTGATAGATTGTTTTCATCGGATATAGTTAAAAAGGTCAATGCCTTGAGAAGACCGATAAACTGCTCTTCTTGGTCCATCAACAACTCTGATCTTACAATATTGGTATATGCCAACAATGCCGATGTTCTCTGAGATGAAGGTACCTGTTCACGTGCCTTTTGTAAACGATTAGATGCCAAATCTATTAATTGATTTAATTTGGTTACATATTTTTCACCTTCTAATTTGTTATTTGAATTATTATTTTGATTATTATTAATATTGTTCATTTGATTCATAATAGGTGATAAAAATTTTGGTTGTAATAATCCTTGTTGTTGTTGCTGATTGTTGTCAATACATTCTTGATAATAACTATTTTGTAATCTTTGGATTTCCATTACAATAGCATCACCTGCATTCAAATCGATAATAGATGGATACTTGGCGATGAGAAAAGAAGAGGATGAATCAGATTGTGAATGATTACTGACAGTGTTGGAATCGTTGGTTGTAACATCACTCGCTTTAATTTGATGACTATACTCTAATAATCGATAGAGTGAATTTTCATTTAAATGAACATTCAACATGGTCAATAGTCTCAAGACTATTACTTTTTCATCTACCAATTGTTTGAGTAAAGGTAAATCACTCTCGAATCCTATAAAATTGATTTGTGGTGGTTGTTGTTGTTTAAAACCATCTGCAATAATCTTGTCATATGATTTTACATAATATGATAATGCACCTCCAATTTCATATTCATTCCACCATGAAAAATCATTTGTTCCAATACTTGTCAAACTACCCAATACTTTTCCAATTACATCTTTACAATTTTCTCCCAATCTCATTCTTTCTCTAAAAAAATAAATAAATAAAAAGTATTAATACTTTTCTTTTCTTTTGTCTTTTTTTTCTTTTTAGTTTTGTTTTTTGATTTACCTAATTTTTTTCTTTAAAATTCTAGAAACAATTTCAGATAGAATTAAAGTTGGAATATAACGTACATTTCTTAATAGTACAAGTAGATAGGTAAGATAAAACATATTGATACCCATTGACCGAATAAAACTAACAATGTTTTCAATGTGAAAGAGTCGTTTTGAATATTCATCTTCCTGGGGTGTACTCTTTCCACCATTTGAACGATTAATAACATCAGAGTGGAAATAGGAGCTGTTAAATGTCAATGCTCGTTTTAGACTACCACTATTATTGCTGTAGCCCCCACCACCAAACATTTCAAGTTGATTTTGTTGCAAGAGTTGTGGATCGTTTTTAAAGATGGATTGAATTCTCTCTGAACATATATGAAGAGTACCAATCAGCGATGATAGGCTGGTTGTCTGACACTCTGGTCGGAAAAGTAGTAGATAGATGGGAGTGTGCGTTGGTGGAGGTGAAATACTACTTGAAATGTCTAGTGAAGATGATAGGATGGCTGAAGATGACGATGGTTTGAGTTGCTGTGGCAAGCCAGTTGGTGTCACTGAATTGACATAGACATGTTCGTTTGCAATTCGCAATTCGATATTTTGGCTTACAATGTTGTGTGTAGTATGGTACAGTTCAGTATACAGTTTACTTAGATGACTGTATGAACTATGATTAGGCAGCATAATGCTAATAGGAGTGGTCGGTGTCGCCATGGCCAACAATCTGTAGCCTTCATAGTCAAACAACACCCAAAGTGGGAATATAATCGATGATTCCAACGTTCGAGTATTTATATAATCTTGATGATGCATTTGCAGCTGATTATAAATCATAAATATATTTCCCAGTGATTTATGATGTGTATTTGAAAAACTATTATCAATTATAAATTTAATTCCCTAAAAATTAAAAATAAATAAATAATAAATAAATAATAATATAGATATCTAATCTAATCTACATACACCAATGATAAAATCACAATCAACTTTTTTATATTTAATAGAGTTTGCTTCATATTTGATTTCATTAATTAAAATTCTTGCATATGCAATTGCACTTTCCTTAAAATCTAAATAAATAAATAAATATTGGTAAGTTAGTCAGTTTAGTTTGTACATTTTAATGTTTGACTTACCTTGAGTTAAATTATAAAGATAACGATATCTAGTTTCCAACTTTTTGATTGACATGATTTTTTGGTGTTTGGTGAACCAATCATCTTCAGTAGTGGTTGTGGAAGAGTATCCTTCCATCTGTTTATAATCATCATCTTCATTGAAATCATCTTGATCATTGAATATGTCCAATAAAGGTGTTGATGGATTGTAAGATGGTTGAGTTGGTGCTACAATTTCAACTCTTTGCTTTTGTTCAACTTTTGTAGTAGTAGTCGTTGCAGTAGTAGTAGTAGTAGCGATATTAATTGGATGTCTGATAATACTATCACCATAACAATCATCTCCATCACCACCAATAGTAGTACCATTATCAATAGTTGTACCACTTGAATAGATATCAGATGCATAGTCACTATTGTCTTGTTCTCCATCATTATCGTCACCGGGTGTTTGAGTTATTGTCATATGAGTTGTCGTTGTCGTAGTCGTCTTTGTTGTAGTTGGTGGTTTAATAGGAGTGTTGATAGGTGATGAAAAGTAAACGTCGATGACTGATGCATCAGACTCTTCATCCTCCTCCTCCTCGACATCATCTACCACATCTTCTTCTGTACGATCGGTACATGTACTTTGATCCAATACACTACTTCCTAACTCTGAAAACAACGGGTCGCCATATGACTGATACGACATCCCTTTATTATTACTCTGATTATTCATTCTAGATATCTAACAATACAATACAAAGTAGATATACCTTCAAGTATATCTATCTCTCTTTCTTTCTCTTTCTCTCTCTTCTCTAATACCAACTAAAAATAAAAAAAGATAAAATGAACTTGTCAGGTGGTTCAAGTAAAAATTTAAAACTATTAAATTAATTTTAAAGCTACTTCAAAACTTTACAAGCTAGGGTTTGGTTAGAGAGTTTAGGTTTTAATACAATTTTATTATTTTATTTTATATTTACTTGTTCAACAAAATACAACAAATAATTAAAAATACATGTACATATATATATCTATGTTTAGAGTAACTTTTCAAAGTTCCAGTAGGTAAGGTCGCTAATGTTTGTGATGGATTTAAAGGAGATGACGAGGTTACCTTGTTCAAAGGCATAGACCCAGTATTCTGGCAACTTGTCGACCTTTCTAAAGACGATCTTGTGGTTGGTGGTGACTTCGGTGAAGGCTTCCTTGACCATATCGTCTTCACATCTCTTCTTGATGTTGGCGGCGATGTTTTGGAGACAGTCTCCAAAGATCTCTCCGATTCTGGTTTGGTAGGAGGCTTCGAGACCTGGGTAGACCTTTTCAAGGGCTTCTTCGTCGACGGACCATTCGTCGCCGGTGGCAGCCTTGATGGTTTCGAGGGCTTCATCCCATGATTCCTTGTTGTTCTTCAAGTCGAGACGGGCTTCCAAAGAGTAGACACCTGGCGATGGGATGATCTTGGCGAGCTTAAAGTATCTGATTTCAGAGACGTTGCATGGAGACATACGGAACAAGAGGACGAGCGAACCGTTTTCAAATTGGAATTTCCAGTAGCTGTTGTCCTTTTTGTCTTCGTTGATACGGACAATGACCTTGTTGTTGGTGTTGGCCTCGATGAGGGCTTCCTTGGTGATTTCGTCCTTGGCAGTGTCCTTGACGTTGGCAGCGACACCTTCGAGGGCGACAGTCTTGTAAAAGAGGCCACCAAGGTCGTTCTTGACATAGTCGTCGGTGGCCTTGGCGTGGATGACTTCAAAGTCAAACTCAAAGGACCATTCGACACCCAATGACTCTTTGATAGACTCGACGGCAGCTGTCAAGTGTTCTTCATTATCTCTAAGAGATTTACGAGCAATTAATGGAAGTGGCATTGTATATATGTAAATATATTATATAAAAAAAATATATAAAATTGTGTGTGACTGGAGATAATCAAGGGTGCAAGTTTAAATAGAGTGAGAGTGAGAGATTCCCCAGCAGCTGTCCAGACACAGCAACCAACCTGGAGAGAGGTCGATAAATTATTAAAATCAAAAAAAAAAAATTAAAAAACAAACAATCTATCTCTCTTCGTCATCATGCGACCAAACCGGTTGATAAAATCAAGGGCTATGAAGCAGTTTAGCCCCTATTTACTCTCGATCATGCTCCGATCAACAGAGTGACAGCAGTTTATCCATTTTTGCAAAAATATCTCTTCAGTTTTTTTTTTTCACCTAAATCTCTCTATTGTTTTTTCCCTTCGATTCGAGCCCCATCACCTCATCTTATTCTTGTGTTGGGTGGGGAAACTCGTTACCTGTTTTCATCTATCGTCGGTTTATCTGACTCTGTACAGATTTATTAACGTTTACCATTGTCCATTATTCTTTGACGTATCAACCATTATATTTCTCTAGATATTCTTAAGTCCTTCACAATTCAATTGGGGAGTATACTGTCATATGATTCTTCATTCGGGCCAAGAGGACCAAGCTAACAATAATAATAATAATAATAATAATAATAAGTTAATAGTTGGTTTGATTTAACCAAAGTAATAAGGTATTGATAAATGATAAATATAACCAGGACGATGAGGCTTCCGAAATTTCTCTATGAGTCAGAGGTCTGTTTTGGGGTTCGAAAAAAAAGTTGTTTTCCCCCTTTCACCCTCCCCCTATGAATGAATTAAAGAGGGGTTGTCTAATAGCTTGTGCTAGTAGTCACTTACTTTTTTGTTTATTAGTTTGAACAAGCGAACAGATAGAGAGACGTAGATAGAGATAGATAGACTGTAGATAGATTGTAGAGATAGAGAGTTCAATTTCAATTCAATTCAATCGATTTTCAGATGATGAATCAATCAAGTGACAATATATTTAATAACTTTGGGTATGCACAGAATGTGATTAGTAGTCCACAACAAGGTGAATGGGTCAAGCTTAATGTAGGAGGACAGATCATTCAAACAACACTTACTACACTTAGAAAGGATAAAGATTCAATGCTCTATCTCATGTTTCATCCTCAACATGGATGGAATCATTGTAGAGATGAACAAGGTGCTATCCTCGTCGATGCAGACCCACGCTACTTTTTGGTCATCCTCAACTTTCTCAGACACGGTGAACTCATTGTAGAACCTCATCTAAACTATTATGGAGTATGGTCAATTGCTCGTTACTTTCAAATTAAACCAATTATGGATTTATTAGATATTGAAGGTAAACTAAACTAAACTATAATAATAATGTATACAATGTTTACTTACATTTGTTATTTAGATAATGATCAAAGTAGTTGGTTAACATTATTAGAAGATAATTTTATGGCACCTGATATGGATACAACTAAATGGGCTGTGAATAGAGATAGTTTGGGTAGTGCATATGATTTGGAGGATGGTAGATTCAAATTTGTGAATCGTGCGTATCTTGTAACGCGCGATCAATTTAATCCAGAGGACGGAGAAGTTCGTCTTACGGGAACATGGTGTCGTGTCAATGTCGACGATTTCTTTCAAATATCGACTCGGTGCGATGGTTCTAACCAGGGATCACCCTACTTTGAAATACAGAATGGACTCGAGTTTCAGTACTGTCGTGGCACGGCCTCTATTATTGGACGAGGCGGTTTGCTTCCATCGGGAGTAGTCAAGATCAAGAAAAAGGGAGACTTTACATTCCCAGCTGGCGTACCAGTACACTTTGAAATATTCGATGATGGCAGCAACGTGTCGTTTACGCTGTGGGAGTCGATTAGCAAGACATCGCTCACCATTGAAACCACCTGTACAAATCGATCACTTCTCAACTATATAGTATTCCACAACCGTGAAAAGACCGGTGCCAACCACATATCCTATCTTTCCAATGTTCGTGTTCAGCGATGGACTCGTGCAACTGCCCGTAAATCAAAGACCAAAAAATTATTAAAGAAAATGAATCATAATTTATCTTCTCCCTAAAACAACACAAACAAACAATATAATAACAAATAAATCAAATCAAACAAAACAAAATTGTAAATACCAACAAACAAACAAACAAACAAAAAGATCAACCATCATTCCTATCCTTTACTCTATCATTCCTATCCTAGTTTTTGAAACAACCAGTGTACACCCTATGTGGGGGTTTTTGACGTTAAAAAAATCTATTTTTTTTCACAGACTCCCTCCCCTCTCGCACCACCAGCACTCTGTGATATATTTTTAAACTCATCCCTCCTTTATATTGCTTCTTCTTGTATCTCTATCACAAATCTATTTATTTATATATATATTATTATCTTTTTTTCAACTCTTTGTTTCTCTTTCTCTTTCACATATTGTTGTTATTGTAAAACGCGAATACAATATCAATCTAGCTAGCAGTAGTGGTCAATAGAGAACAACAAAAGATACAAGAATGTCAAAATTATCTGTTATTATAGTCATGCTCGCACTCGTTTGCGGTGCTTTTGGTGTTAGTATGTATACATACGTTTAACAAACATACATATATTCAAGGTTATATGTACAATACTTACTTACTCTTGTTTCTTTCTATGTTTAAGTTAATTTTGTTACTGATGGATGGATTCAAATCATTTTATCAAATGAAAAGTATGCACCTAATCAAATGGCGGGACATTCAGCAGTACTTAATCCAATCAACAATACGATGATTGTTTTTGGAGGACATGATAACAAGAATGTGTATGGCGACCGTGTCTACAAGTATGATTTGGTAGCTGACAGTTGGTTTGGACCAAATGACACATCGACACGTGACACCAACTCATCGGTGCCATCGGCTAGATGGGGTCACGTTGCCATCACCACACCCTACAACACCATGTATGTCTTTGGTGGCACAGACGGCACCAAGATCTACAACGACATTTATAAATACAATATGGTCTCTGACCGTTGGGAACAGATCAAAGTCAGCGGTATACCACCAGCTGCTCGTTTTGGTCATTCTGGTGTCATGTACCCCATCACCAACGAATTTATCTTTTTCGGCGGTGCTATTGGTGCCGACGGACTTGGCAAGACCAATGAATTGGTCCGTTTCAACTTTGAGACCAATACTTGGGCCGTCCCATCCAAACCTGCTGGATCGGCTCAAGCTCAACCACCCTTTTTAGTCGGTCATTCAGCCGTCATGACACTCACCAACCAAATGGTTGTATTTGGTGGTGTCGACTCGACGGGTCGTGCTACCAACGGCACCTTTTTCTACGATGCTGTTATGGATCAGTGGTTGGACGTGCAGATCAACTATACAGTCTCTATCAAGGTGCCAGCCCGCGCCTACCACGCCACTGCCATCACAGCACTCCATCAAATGATTGTATTTGGTGGTGTAGATTCCAGCAACAAGGGTACATCTGATATTTTCAAATACGATTTCACATCACAATCTTGGTCTCAAATCTTGGCTGCTGGTGATGGTCCTCAAACCTCTCTCTATGGTCTATCTGCAACCGTCACTCTTTTAAATACAATCATGATATTTGGTGGTCAAAGTTCTGATACTTCTTTTTATAATGATATTTTTAAGTATGATAAAAAAAAACAAAAAAAAAACAAATAATAATCTGGAACCTGGAAAACACATTTTAACTAATCCATTTGTTTATTTAGATATAATGTAGTAAACTCTGTATTACGTTCATCTACAGATGGAGTTATTTTGGTAGTATTACTTTCACTTGTTGGTACTTTGATTATTGGTCTTTGCTTTGCACTCGATCTTCAAAACGAAAGAAATGAAGTAGAAAAGTACGAAAGATTGGAAAGAGAGGCTGAACTCAAGGGTCAAAATGCTGAACTAAGAAAATTAAAGGCTCTCAAAGAAAAGGAAGCAAGACAACCATTATTTGAAAAGTTATATTAACCTCCTCATTGGCGACGGTCAAAATTATAAAATCAACGATTGATCTTTACTCTTCTTTAAAAAATAAACTAATAATAATAATAATAATAATGTAATAATGAAAACTATATAGAATCACCACACTCAATTATTATGACAAGATGTTGTAATTGTAATTTACATGTCACATCTAATTACGAATCATGATTATAAATAGATTACGTAATGCAAAGATAAGATCCATACCCAGATATCTATAGTCGGATCGACCATCCTTGATTTTTCACCTTTCCTGTAATATTTTCAAAAAAAACAAGTCGTCATCATGATCAAAGCCAACATCTGAAAACTCTATAAAAACTACAACTCATCTTCATTACATTTCATTGTACAATATATACATAACAAATAAATAGATAAATATAGAAATGTTAAAAAGAGGATTTAAACTTTCAAATCAATTAATCAACAAGTCTACTAGTAGATTGGCTACTGTATCATCATCAACATCATTCACATACAATAACAATAACAATAATAATAATGATTTAACATCAACTTCATCATCTTCTGCATTTGGTAAAAGATCATTCTTTACAGTTATCAATCAATATGAAAATGGAGTTACCTTTACATTGGGTCGTTTAACATCAGTCAAGGGACCAGGTATTAGAATCTTGATTCCAATGCTTCAAACAATGGAGATTGTCGATTTGAGAACCACTAGTATCGGTCTTGACAGACAAGAGATCATCACTCGTGACAATATCTCACTCGTTGTTGATGCTGTCGTTTACTACAAAGTTATCGATCCTGAAAAGGCTGTTATTAAAGTTGTCAATCATGACAAGGTAAGATCAATCAAATGAAATGATAATATAATCTACACAATCAATCAATCTAACCTTTTCTTTTTCTTTTATATTTTTAGGTCATTAGTGAATTAGCACAAGTAAAGATTAGAGAGATTTTATCACAAAATACATTGGATGATGTATTACATAATAGAGAAAAGTTTGGATCAGAGATTATTGAACGTGTAAGAGATATTTCAGAGGAATGGGGTGTTGTTGTTGAACGTATCAATCTCAAAGACATCAAGTTTGAAGAGGGTATGGTACGTGCTATGGCTAAAAAGGCAGAAGCTGAAAGATTGAGAGAGGCAAAGATCATCTCTGCCGAGTCGGAAGTACAAACTTCACAACAAATCTTGGAAGCCGCCAGAATGCTCGAATGTTCACCATTGGCAATGCGTCTTCGTGAATTGGATTCACTCCAACAAATCGCCAAGGAATCATCCAACAAAATCATCTTTGTTCCAACTAGTCTTTTTGGTTCTCTTCATGCTGCTGGTGAATTAGTAAAAGAAATTGCTAAAGATAAAAAGTAAAAGTAAATAAATAAATCTAAATAATCAAATCTAAACTAATAATACTTTTGAATAATATTTTTGATTCTATCTAATATACAAACATATTTATTAATTGTTAATTGTTGATTGTTGGGTAATATTTTTTACATTTACCCATTTTTTTTTTTTCTAACTTTCTTGGATCAAAAAAAATATTTCTTTTCTTTTCTTCTCTATAAATATATTATTATTTGTTGTTGTTGTTGTTGTTGTTGTTGTTGTTGTTGTTGTTGTTGTTGTTGTTGTTGTTTTGTTTTGTTTTGGTTATTATTTATATATATATTATTATTATTATTATTTATCTATTTAATTTTTAAGAGCATCAATGATTTCTTCTTTCATCTTTTGTAACTCTTTTCTAATTTCTTGAAGGATTTCTTCCTTTAATAGTTGCATGTCGTCGGAGAGAGCGGATGGAGGGGATTGAGTGGACGATGGGGATAGACTTGGACGGTTGGCAGTTGGAGGTGGTTTTGGCTTGGGAGCAGAGGCAACTGGTTTTGGTTCGGGTTTGACAAATGAGGGGGCTGGGGTTTCCTTTTTTGGGGATGGGGACGTGGACTGGGGCTGGAGCTGGGGCCGATGACTCTGTTGGCTCGGCAGCAGCTGCCTTTTTCATATTGTTTCTCTTGGCCAACATCTCGGCCATCATGTTGCCGCCACCGCCGCCACCGCCACCCATTGGCTTGGGAGCACCGCCGGCTGGAGCACCTCCTGCTGGGGCACCACCGCCGCCAGAGGCTGGTGGGGCTGCTGGGCCATTGGCAACAAGTGGACTGCTCTTGTCGACAGTGACGGTCTTTTTGAGGGCACCCTTGGAGAACCCTTCGATCGAGCCCAAGAGTGCGGAACGGCCTTGACCGCCAGCAGGCTTGGAGACGGGGGGTGGGGGTGGTGGACCTGGTGGAGCGGGTGGCTTGGGTGGGGCAGGTGCAGAGGGTGGTGGGACGGGTGGGCCGCCGGCTGGAGGAGCAGGGGGTTTATTGAGGACGGTCGATTGGGGACGGGCGGGTGGAGCGGCTGGTTGTGGCTTGGCGGCGACAACCGGTTGTGGTTGGGGGACTGGTGGAGCAGCGGCGACTGGGGCGGGGGCTGGAGCACCTCCCTTGACCGACTTTAACACATTCTCAAAGCCCGAGCCAAATGCCTCGGCCTCGTCTCTCGACACAAAGTTGATGCCATAGTGGGTACGTTGGTCAGAGAAAGTGTGGAAGTTCTCCGAAGCACGTTTGTAGACGACATCCTTGGTGACTGAAAAATTGACCAAAATGTTGTTGAGGTCTTCCGAGGCACGTCCAATGACACGGTAAGTGTTGTTGCCTTGGTGGTGGTACATCAACAAAGTGGCTGGTGTATTGCTGCTTGGAACCCAGTTGCTGGCAGCTGGCGAAAAGGTGAACACTTGTGCTCTACCTGTGAAAATGTGAACTTCACTAAAATAAGTAAACAAACAAACAAACATACAAAATTAATACATATTATTCCAAATGGTGTCACAATAAATCCTTTCTATCCTATTCTATCCTTTCTATCCTATCTATCCTATCTATCTATCAAATTGTCATATCTACATCATTGCCATATTTTATCTATCAGTCTAGTCTAGTCTGTCACCAAGCTAGTTATCTATCTATCTATCTATCTTTTCTAATTATCTTTTTTTTTGTGGATGTATAAATATTGTATCGAAATCGACCGACACCACCTCACTCTCACAAGGAGTAAAACATTCTACTAATCCATCTCTCGTGTATGTCACACACAACATGTTAGTGTATGTAGACATGCACGTCAAGTCAACACCATTGGGTTTTAAAACCACTACCACCATTTTGTTTAGAAACCAACTACTAACATATGTGTTAAAGATAGATACTGCATTGTTGTTCGTGCTAGCTTGTACTACTACTGTATATTATATCATTGATGTTGATAGATTCTTGAAGATAGGAGGGAAAGGAAGATGTAGTAGGTCGGGTCATTGACAACTTAAACTTACCTCATGGTTATGTTGTTTATATATCTTTTTCAAATGGAAAGTTAAAAAATGAAAATTGGTGAATGGTTTGTTGTTGGGTGATGATACTGTTGTTGGCTGGCTGGCTAAGCTGTTTGTTACTTTCTCTCTCACAAATCTTTAAAAAAAAAAAATCCTAAAAATAACCACACAATATTGTTTCAATGGTGTTGTTGTTGTTTATGATAAAATATAGAGTCGTAAAGAAGAATTATAAATATATGTATATATGATATAGATGTTCTATCTTTCTTTCTCTGTGCGTTGTTTTATATCTTTATGTTTTTATGTGCGTGGATAGATAGAAGCTGCTGCTGAAACTGGTGAGAGGGTGGGTAGTTTAAAGGAGAGAAAGAGTGTGAGAGTGAGGCAAGTCCGCTAGCTGCTGTGTTTTCAAAAAATTTAATTTAATTTCACCAACTTTTTTGTTTTTTTTTTCAGCGATGGCCATCCAACCACCCAAAAAATCTCAAATGCCATCGCACGATTCAAGATCTGTTTTTGCATTCCCGAGCGGTAATCGATTTGTTTTAAATTTAATTAATTAAAGAGAATTTAATTTAATTATTTAAAATAATTAAAAACGAACGAAAGAAAGAAAACAAATAATAATTAAGTTAATTAAACAAATATTAGTTAGTTGGTTGGTTGGGTTTATTCATCTTTATGATTGTTGGTGAAATAGTAGTAGAGGAGACATTGGTATTTTGATCATTACTATTACTTTTGTCATTCTTGTTTTCATATGTACATTCGTCATTGTCATTGTTATCTTTATCTTTGTCTGTAGCAGGAGGAGTTGTTGTATTTGTTGTTGGTGGAGTTATTTCTGGAGCGGTTATAAGGTCAACCTCTTTGTCTTCAACTAAATCTCCATTTTCCATTTTGTTATCTTTTTCTTTGTGGTTATCTTTTCCCTTTCCATTACCATTTCCATTTTCCCGATCTTCTATGTTATTATTATTATTATTATTACCATCAACATCCATTATGGTTGATTTTTCTTTTTGGTCTTCAATGTCTCTTGAATCATCCAGATTTTCAATACTTATATCTACATTGTGAATTTCTGGTCCTCCTTCTCCACCCTTTTTCTTCTTTTTTTGTTGGTCATTGATATTATTAGTGTTATTGTTATTGTTGTTGGATTGTTCAATCTTATCTACATCAATTCCACTTGGTTGTCTTTTTCTTTTTGTCTCTTTTTCATTTATAAGTACAACCACTTTATCCAAACAATCTAATTCTTTTTGACTAATTGGATCAATTCCTGTACTGGTATTATTATTATTATTATTATTTTGTTGTTGAGTATTAATAGTTGTATTGTTATTTTCCTTTTCTTTTTCTTTTTCTTTATCATCGTTGTCAGTAGTGGTAGTGGTAATATCTACATCAGTGTCAACATTTTCACCTTTCTTTTCTTCACCATTTATCTTTTCTTTTTCTTCTTCACCCTCCTTTTCTTTTTTTTCTTTTTCATCATCTTCATCTTCCAATTCTTGTTCAGCTTTTAAAAAGAGTAAGAGAGTTTTGATTGTATTTCTCTTGTCTGGAATATCAGAGAGAGGGAACCATTTGGGACGTTTAAGAGGTTGTTCAAAGTTGGTTTCAGGGTTTCTACAAAACAATTCGATATAGTGTAACAAGAATACACCACAATCGTAGAGATTATCTTGTTTTGGTATATAGACTCGAGCAGCGGGCAGAGTGGTTGCATTAAACTCTCTTTCGGGGATGGTCCCATTTGAAGGGATCGATTTCTTGTATTTCCATTCCATTTGCAGATAGGATCGAATCTTGTTGTGGAATGCATTTTTGTTTCCACCCAGTGAATCCAAGTGCATAATTAATGGTCTATTTTCATTGGTTGATGTTTTTGGATCTTGTCCACAAAATGAAACTATACATAATGTCCAATGAAAACTATAAAAAAAGAGTTTAGTAATCCTTCTTCTTCTTCTTCTCATTATCATTTCTACATACTTTTCGTTAATAGGTATAAATAAGAAATCTTTTGAGAAAATATCAGTATCTCTTGTCCATTTTGAAATCTTTTTATATGCTTCTTCAATATTCTTTAAAGATAAGTTATTATAGAAAAAAGTTGAAAAGAAATGAAATCTATTCTCATCTCTTGGATGTACATAATGATTTTTAATATATCTATAAAAAAATTGGTTCATTAGTCGTGTTTTTACAATATGAACAAGTCTGTTATTTAATATTTCATACCTAATATAAAAATCGATTAAATTATCATTTAAATAGTTTGATGATTCTAATCTTAGTAAATCATCTTCTGTTATCCTTACAATATCCATGATATTTGGATTATCTTTAATTGGAGGATAGGTGACTATAACATTATTAACCACCTTTCCAGCCTCCCTAAATAGTTTTAAAAAATTTATATAAAGTTAGTCATGGTATGGTATACCTCTTTAAATTTCAACATACTCTGTTTTAATCAATAATTTAATCCAACATGATTTCTCTATCAATAAATCTTTAAGTAATAAATAATGTCTTTTATCAATACCCTTGATTAATATATCTCCTGGGATACCATATTCTTTATCTATAGATTGAATAAATAAACATTAATATATATAGTTGGTTGGTATAGACAACTACACTTTGTGACATACTCGTAACAGTTTTAGGATCTTTTAACCAATACTTTGTGAATGAGAATTCTTTTGTATTGATCATCAATGTACCATTATCTTTGAGAAAACTAAATGTGAATTTAAGTAGGTCCGAGTAGTTGATGATAAGGGTGATTTCATTCTTGATCGATGTGTTTGGTTGGATTGTTTTCAGGTCGATGGGGATCTCCATCGCCTCTGTCTTAAAGAGTACTGGATGTTGAAGTATTTTGATACGATTGGTATAGATTGTGAAACCACCAGCTTTGAGTTTGATGTTACCTTGATCATCCAAAATATCTGTACATACAGGTGTAACATCCTGAACAATACCATTAAGATCTTGTTGTCCATTATTATTATTATTATTATCAGTTGTTGTTGTAGTGGTAGTAGTAGTTGATGATGATGATAACGTCGATTCATTCTTGTTGTTGTTGGAAATAGTCATTGGTGAAGATTGACTGGTATAGTCATCTTCATCATCACTAGAGAGGTTGAGAGGATTGTCGCTGGTTCCCTTGCCATCATTTTTAGGCATAAACTTGTCAAACTCGTCGATGAGTACATTACTGTATTTGTAGCTGTTCACGTCTCCCTTGGCCGTCATATAGAGTGCGTCCAATCCCTCGTCAAAGATACGTTCACCCGTCACTTTGTCCACCTCGTACGGGTACCCTTCTTTGGTGTACCGTATGGTCGTGTTGGGTGGTGCTACCTTTCGTCTAATCCTATTGAGTGACATCTATATGATGGTATTATCTATCAAGATAATACTCTATCTAATACACAAATATAAATAAAAGGATATGGTGATGGTAATATATAATATAATATATAAATATAAATATAAATAGTTGGTTAGTTATTCGTTGTTCACAACCAGTATCCACGAATGTTTACAAAAGAGAGGGGGACACCCAACAAACAACATTTTTATTAATTTTTTTTTTATTAAGTTTAAACTAGTTCATCTATCTTGAACAAACTCTCTATGTCATAATATTATTATCAATCTATCTTGTACATATACATATTACTTATCTTTGTTGATAGATTAAAGTAGATTGTATTTTTCTTGGAATAATTATACTAGTTTGGACTTTATTCGAAAACAAGTCGGGTAGTTAGTTTTGTGTGTTATGAGTTTAGTGTAGGTTTTCATTCATTGTTAAAGAAAGAAAGAATGAATATGTAATGGATCAATCATCACAATCTTCTTCTTCTTCTTCTTCTTCTTCACAGTCATCGTCATTATCATCATCATCATCATCATCAAGCGGCGATGATAATTGTAACATTAAAAGTATTATAATGGGTGGTGCAGCTGCAACGACGAATAGTAGTAGTAGTAGTACTACTAAACCCAAAGTCGTCCCACAATCACCTGTCAAGCTACGATTGGGAACATCATTCGTAGCACCTTATAAAAAGATAAAGATGGATGAATTACAACAACAACAACAACAAGAGAAACAGAAACAAGAGAATCATCATCATCATCATCATCAAAATATCAAACCAATTACTTCAACTACTAGTAATAGTAATAGTAGTAATAGTCCAATGACATCGGCTATTAAAAAGATGATGCTTCAACCTGTATTTGATGTAGACCAATTGGAAGAAATCAAAGAAGATATCGTTGTACTAACCACATTTGATGGAAAAGAAGAACAAGTATCACCAAAGAGGAAAAATGCATCGTCGGCTAGTTCAGTACCTAAAACATCAACTGCTTCTACTACAAGTACAACTGGTACGACGACTACGACAACAACAACACCAGCACCAATCAAGACTAATAGTACTGTCAAACTATCACTAAAGAGTAATAATCATTTACGAAATACCGGAGGAGTCAATACAACCAACACCAATACTACTACTACTACAACCTCTAATAATAATAATAATGATAATAATAATCATAATCATAATCATGTTGGAGAATCACAAATTGAACCAGATATATTAGAAGCAATTAATTTATTAAAGAAATCATTGGAAGGAAAGAATAGAGGAGTTGCGGATGATAAGACGCTGTTGCCAGTGGAATGCGATGTGACAACACTCAACAAGACACAAAAGGAGATATTGGATGTGGTATTAAATCAAGGCAAAAACATATATTTCACGGGACCTGGAGGTACAGGTAAAAGTTATCTCATTAAAACTATTGTACAGGAACTACACAAGATGGGTAAGAGTGTGTTTGTTACGGCAACTACTGGTATTGCAGCATTGAATATATCGGGTACTACGATACACTCATTTGCAGGTATCAAATACTCGAATGCTGAATTTACAGAGTTGCTAAGCTCAGCCTACTCTAAAAAGAATAATTGGAAGTCATGTCAAGTACTGATCATGGATGAAATATCAATGTTGGATGGTTTGTTTTTTGAAAGTTTGGATCGTATTGCAAGAACGATTCGATCGAAAATGAATGTAAAAAACAAACGTGTGCCACCTGGTACAGACCCTCTCTCTATACCTTGGGGTGGCATACAACTAGTGTTGACAGGTGACTTTTTTCAATTGCCGCCTGTACCATCCTACCAAGAACAATCAAAAATAACCAATCCCGATAAATCACTCGTCAAAAAGAGAAAGTATTGTTTCGAGGTGGACTCTTGGACCGAATCAGTCGATGAAATCTACCAACTCACCGAAATATTCAGACAAAAGGATCCCAAGTTTTCAGAGATGTTGTCTAGAATTAGAATTGGTCAACCTGACGACACTATCATTCAAGTTTTAAAACATCATCAAAAAGATTTGGTATTGGGTAATGGAATATTACCAACTCAACTTTATACTACCAATCGTAGTGTTGAAGAAAAGAATATTTATCATTTACAAATGATTAAAGATGAATCTGTATGAAATGAAAGAAAACATATATCTATAACAATATTTATTTATTAATGTATTGTTTTAATTTCTTCTTTAGGTAAAATATGAAGCAGTTGATTATTTGGCAGATAAAGAATTGTTGGCACCACCAAGACAAAAGATATTGACTGCAATCTATGAGAATTCGAAAAAGTCATGTTTGGCAACCAAAACCATCGAGTTGAAAAAAGGTGCACAGGTAATGTTAATTCGTAATCTGACAAGTACACTTGTAAATGGGTCACGTGGTGTCATTATTGGATTTGTGTCGCTGACACCGGAATCCAAACGTAAATTACTACACTATTTTTGCGAGTCAGGTGAAGGCAGGTTGATGGAACAATGGCAAAGAGAAAAGATGCGAGATTCTATACAACAAGCATCAGTCTATCTAGAATCGCAGACACATACTTTATTGCCAGTGGTTCGATTCATCAATGGTGATGTAGAACTACTCAAACCTGAAAAGTTTTCAGTTCACTTTGACAAGGCAGAGAGAACCTATCGAATGCAGATATGTCTTAGATTGGCCTACGCCATCACTATTCACAAATGTCAAGGTATGACTCTGGATTGTGCTCAAGTATCACTCAACAAAATATTTGAAAATGGTCAAGGTTACGTTGCACTCAGTAGATTACGTGACCTACAAGGTCTACAAATCATTGGTGACATAACCAAGAAATGTTTTACTGCTGATCCAAAAGTAATCAATTTTTATAACAAATTAAATAATCCTCAGATTCTACAAAATCAAATTAATCATAATAATCAAAATAATAATAATAATCAAAATCAAAATAATAATAATAATAATCAAAATAATTTTAATAATGATCCATTATTATTATTTTCAACCAATAATGTAAATAATGATAATGTTCCAATTTATTTTCTTTGTCCTATAACGAAACAATTAATGAAGTTTCCAGTGATAGCACCGGACGGATATACCTATGAAAGGTCAGCTATTTTAGATTGGATCAAAGAAGAGAATACATCCTTTGTCACAAAGAAACCTTTTACTATCACGGTATTTATTCCAAATAGAAATTTGGAAGCACAAATACAAGACTATTTAAAGAATAAACAAAATGTACCATAGCAGGCCTGTGCACAGTCTCAAGAATCCAACCTATACAAATTTTTGTGAACTTCAAGTATTTTTTTGGGAGCGAAACTTTTCAAAATTTGTCTCATTCATGAAGCTTTGCATATCAGTTTGTTAAAGTTATATATATATATATATAGATAGATATCTATTGATGGCACGACCTAAGAAGAAAAAGGTTGTAACACCAGTTAAAAAGAATGAAAAGAAAAAGAGAAAGAAGGAAGAGGTTGAAGATGAAGATGAAGATGAAGATCTTGAACAAGTAGTAGTCGAAGAAGAAGAATCAGATAAAGAAGAAAAAGAGAAGAAGAAGAAAGAGAAAGAGGAAGAAGAGGAGGAGGAGGAAGAGAAAGCAATGGTTATAGATACATTGACAATTAGAGAATTACAATTAAAATGTTATATGTGTGATGTTGGGTTGATTGATACGATAGATGGAGTACAAATCAAGAATCCACTTAGACCTTGTTCAAAGTGTCTAAAAGATACACATACCAAATCGTGTTCGTTTATCGATCGGAATGACATCTTTTCCTGTATGAATTGCTCTACCAAGAACAAGTCAGTGTCTAGGTTCTACGCTGACTTGGGTACAGGAAAGGAAAGGATAGGTCCTCGGTCGGCTAGAGCTATACCTACCAAGAACACAATGATATACAGTGATGATGAAGACGGTGGACGATTAAACAAACAAAAGGATACAGACTATGTCCAAGAAGACGATGAAGACGAATACACTGAACGACCAATCCAATTTACAAAAAATGGCCAATCAATTGAATCTCCCGATGTATGTAAACTGTATATATATATATATATATATTTATATGTATACTGATCTTTCTAACATTATTTGCTTTAGATATGTTATCCAATATTTCCAACTAAACAACCACAATTAAAACATGGACAAGAATACAAAGCACTGTTTAAAAACTTGCAAGGCGAACAAGGTATGATGTACAAGCAAGGAAGACACAATGCATTTATTAATTGTAGGATGACGATGGAAAAGACGATAAAGAGTATCACCGACAAGTTTACATCGAATCCTGAAGCAGGACCTATATCAGATTATATCATTGGTGCATACGATGCATTGACATTGGGTCAGGTGAGTCGTGAAATGCGTGACAAGAGACGAACGTTGTATGCGAGTGACACTGAACCTCTCCCAACAGTGGTGTTGAATCGTCGGTTGGCAGCATCACACATTTCAACACCACTAGAGGCCATTAAAAACTCGATCGTTGCAAAGACTCACGCCATGTCTGGAAAGGTCGATACCAGTGTACTCAGACCACCATCGATTGTTCTCAGACCTGAAAACACAACATCATCAGCACTAAGAAGTATCTATTACCAATTCACAACTTCAAAATCACAACATGATATACCTGGTTTAGTACCTGATAACCCTGTCAATGTAGATGGTCATGAAGGTGGTGGTGGTGGTGGAGATGAAAATAGTTTTGACGACAGTCGTGAAGGAGGTGACAATGTCAAACCAAGAAAGAGTCTAACTACATTTGTCGATTCGGCAAAGATACGTGATGAACTAATTGCTTGGTACACTATTGGACACCATCTACCATTACTCACAAAGATTGTAGAAGCTAATCGTAGAAATAATCCAAATGTCGATCTTGATGGAGTTAAATTTAAGCGAGTCACTCCTATTGTTGCTTTGGAAGCTTTCGAATCTTGGGATACTATTATAGTTCGTGATATTATATTATTTTTACAGTATGTAAAGTAGTATAAATCTTTATTAAATTGAATATTGTTATTTATTAATTTATTTAATTATTTTATTTAGTTCACTTCAAAAATCAATACCATTTATATTATTATTATCAGTATCAACTACATTTGATGCAATCAATCAAATTCCGAGAGAAGCTATTTCACTCATCTCTAACAAATGTTTTACATTGCGATCACAGAGCATGGCATTTGATTCGTTTGTCAAGGGCGTGTTTGTGGATTTTAGCTCGATTGTTGAGTTTGGTCCACAAGTATACGCATTCTTGTATGAACAATTTGTACTCAACCATTTATCAATGGAAACATTAGCAAATCAATTATTTGTAAGTAATCAATAGATCAAACAACTTGTACCATCATCACATTAATGCCTCTTTTTTATTTATTTATTTAGTATATAATGAAACATCATTTCTTTGATCATCCATTATCATTTTTATGTCATGAATCATTTGGTAGGATGGTTGATCAGTCTTTGGGAAACAAGGATCCAAGAGATAAAGATAATGAAGAGATGAGATCTGGAAATGGAGGAATAGAAGACTCGTATGAAGTGAACAATGGGTCGTATGAGGACAAGAAAGAGGTTAGCGATAGAAGTGAATGGACTGATCACAGTAGTATTAAAGAGTCGGATATGGGAGGTTCGGATGACGACGACGATTGGTCACCACCACAAAAATCTGTATTCAACCATGAAGATGGAACCGAGTATGAACCATCAGACGATGACTCTGAAATGACTCTAGCATCTGATATCTCACACGAAAGTTATTCACCACCACTCAATTTCAATAATAATAATAATAACCACCCTTCCAATGGGCATCTACTAGTAGTAGGGGAGCAGTCATCAGCAGCAACAGTCCACACACCAACGAGAACTAGAGTTCTGGAAAAGAAGAAACAAGATCATCTTGACGACCTCTTTGAAATGAATCAAGGTTTCAAATTACTTTATCCAAGCGTGTTGCTTGGACTCAAGGATCTCTCGGAAACCCATATTGGGAATCTTCACGACTCTGATGTTATTAGAATATACCTACGTCGACTGGGACTGGCGTCACATCAAGACGAACTAATACACCTCAAGAGCATGTATTCTAAATTCATTATCGATATCTTTGCCTTTAGATCTCTTCGTCCTCATCTCATCGAATTTTATTTTACCCTCCTCAAATCCATCCCTTCTCGAGAGTATAGCTCAGTAAGTGGTGGAGTAGCTGGAGGACAAGGACAACCAATCAGTTACAGTTACCTCTTGTATCATATTGCAAAGAAAACTGATAAATCACTTTTACAAGTATTTTTAAATTATTTAAAGTATGTAACAACAAATAATATATAGTATATGGTACAGTTATTAATACAATTTTGATTTGATTTATTTTGTAGAAAAAAACCAATAGAAGAGACACTTGATATTTTGGAATCTGGATTATCAGTTATTTCAAATATGGAACTTGGGTCTATGCACCGACTCATTAGGATGATGTCGGCAACAAAATCAAATTATTACAAGGAACTAATCTCTACCGAGATCTCTAGAATTTCAACAGACTTGGGAAAGATTATTTTAAAATTTAAAGAGGCAAAAGTACAACTAGAATTGGAAAAGGAAAACAAAGATAAAATGATGTTGGATCAAGATGCTGACTCTAGTATAGAAATGCAAGAAATGTATGTTTTAAAAGAAATATATTGATTGATTTATATATTTATTTATTGATTTATTTTTAAAATGTGATTTAGAAAAATGAAAGGAAATAAAGGTAAAAAGAGATCAGAATCAATTAAACATTTGACACGTGTACCACAATCGGCCATCCTATTAGAAAGTGCTCAAAAATTATTAGGACATTTCCTTTCTCGTGCTTGGTAAATATATAAACAATATTAAAACACAAACAAAACATATATATATATATATATATATACCTTTTGACTAATCTTTATTCTTATATTTGATTGATTTAGTGATAAATTTATAGCACCTCAATTAAGTGAATTCCCATTATACGAAATATTCTATCAAAATGATGTTCAAGTGTTAAAGAGAGCTTTTGATGTTCAACATGCATCCGATATTCAAAAACATATTGAAACATCATCTCAAATCCTTGGTTGTTCATGTTGTCCAAAGAATGGAATATCCCCAAAAAGTGAAGATGTTACCATTATGTTTGTATCTCCCAAATATATATATATATATATATATATATCTATCTTTTTATTCTTCCACTCTTATTAACCAAATTAAATTTTCTTTTTAAAAAGGTATAAAGTATTTAAAGAATCTGGACGATATATTAATATTTATGATTGGTTGAATTCATATTGTATGTCCAAAGGTAAAAAAGGAATTCCCGATGAACAACAAGCAGTCTTTTCAAAAACAGCTGATATCCTTCAAATCCTTGGCATTGTGAAACGAACCAATCGAAGAACAGATCACGTTGTCAAAGCTTTTTTTTAGAAATAAAGCTTTGCTATCATCATCTGTCACACTAACCCAAATAAAACGTATCGTGGCTTTATAAAGATAATACGATCGCTCTGTGTGTTCATTGGTTTTGGACAGGCAGGATCGATGATGGATGTGCCCTTATCGTAGATGCGAAATATCTCTTTTTGTATTATCAATAATGATCGAGTTATTAGACCAATGGCACAAGTCTCAACAAAGATGATGATGATTTTTTTGACAAAAATCAACATAGTTTGCTTTTTTTTTTTTGTTTTTTTGAGCAGCGCACCTCCCATCCGATGCACCACCACAACGATAGAAGGCAGCTATCCATCCAAAATAACGGACTCTTTGCCGCCTCACTTTCACACTCTTATCATCATATTATTTTTTTGTATTACTATTTTTATTTTTTATTTATAACAACAAATACAGACAGACAGACAGACAGACAGATAGATAGATAGATTATCATCTTCAATCAAGGGTAGTAGGTATCAATATATATGTATCATCAATCGATGACCACAATCAAACAACATACATACATACATACAAACACACCAATCAACAAGCAGAATACGAAAATAGAACATAAAACAAGAGAGATAGATAGATAGATAGAGATAGAGAACAAAGAAGAGACAGGTAAAGGAAAGATGATGATGATGATGATGAGTCTATATCGAAGAGAAGAGAGGAGAGATAGAGTAAATGACAGTATTACAAATCTATCTTTTCTTTCATTATTCATATGATGATTGATCATCTATCTGTGTGCCTATCCACATCATCATCAATCATATAGTAGTAGTATTAGTTTGTGTTTGTGTAAGAGTATAGTAGTAGTAGTAGTTTAATTCAACTAATCAATATTGATAAGAGTAAAGGTGGATTACATACATCTATCTAACTTTAGTGTTGGGCGAGAGTGGATGGGTGTGCGTGTGTGTGGATGGGTGATTATGATACATACATCGTCACCCTTTTTAAATGATTGTGAATAACAAACAAACAAACGTTCGATGTACATGTATCTTCTCCCTTCCTCTTCTCCCTCCATCTCCCTTCCATTTTCCTATTGGATTGAAATATACACATCATCTGATATCTGTGACAATAGGAGTGTAAAACACTCAAAACGAAAACGAACAACAACAACAAACATTGTCATACATATCACTTCTACCCTCTTTCTCCTACCTCTACCCATCAATCGTATCTATTTTCCATCTATTATTAAAAAGACAGATAAATAATAATAATAATAATACAAGTAGAACAACAGAGTGTTGGTGGTGTTGTTGTGCGGATAGACACGTAAGCAAAAAAGAACAAGTTGGTTGGTCAATTCAATTAAGACAATAACAATATCAAGTAATAACAAGAGAGAGAGAGAGCTATACAACAAAACAAAACAAGACGAATGTGATGTATTAATTTAAATTGGGTGGTGGGTAGATGATAGGATAGGTGGGGTTGGGTGAGTGATCATCATCATCGATGATATTTTCAACAATCCTACATATCTATCGTATATATCGTATATATCATCGCCTGTTATTTAAGCAATATTGTTTGTTTATTGGATGAAGGAAGAGGAATTATATTATCATCGACGACACACACACAACCAACACCACCAACACCACTCATTCTCTCTTGTCCCATTACTCTCCATTCTCTCTGTCTCTGTCTCTGTCTCTATCTTACCACGCAGCAACATTAATTAATAACAAGAGAACAACGATTTTATTGGACTATATTCTTGGGATAATAATCAAGTAGCTACAGCAGCAGCAGGAGAGAGAGAACAACAACCATCCATTCATTACATTATTGCTATTGTTGATGTTGAAACAAACACAACAACAACAACAAAAAACATAATTCTTTTTCATTAATATCTAAACAATACAACATCAATCAATCGTCAACTCACTTATCAATCATAATCATCATCATCATCATCCTTTCACTACATACATCAACTTATATATTTCTTTCCTTCATTTTTTTACTTACCAATTTTTCTTTTTCCTCTTCTCTCTCTCCCATCGTTTTATTTAAATATAGAGACAGACAATACAGAGACAGACAAAATTAGATAATTTAAAAGGTTTAATTTAGAGTTAGATACACACCACCAACCCACCCACCAACGTAATAGATCTATTTATAATACTATTGTTGGTTTGGCTTGATCATGATCGACAGATCTAGACATATTTCTAGTGTAGCAACAACAGCGTAGTGCAGCAACGATTGGTTGACAATTTTGTTTGTTTGTATCTTGATGGACATTCATTCTTTCTTTCTTTGTGTTGTCACATATGGTGTTTGGAACCAATGATGCCATTGTGATATATCTATGCAGTCATCATCATCATCGTTCTCTCAGGGAACATATAATTATAGTATCAACAGTGTAACAGCAACAACAACAGTAAATGCATTACATGTTGTCTTCCTCCTCCCTCAACCATTCAGATGACTTGTTAGATGAACGGCGGTTGTTGCAATTGGCGAACACATAATCGAACAAAACAACACGAGCAAAACAAAAGATGAACTGCCAACCACTCACCACCTCTATGCGTGATGTACACAAACATGTTTATCTTGCATTGAGAGAGAGAGCCCGATGGATGGTAGTAGTGGGTGTGGTTAGCTTGTCAAGCATTATATATACCACCATACCCATTCTCTTCCAACGACTATCCCCCAACAACACCACCACCATTGTACAATTGGGGGTGAGTGTGTTTGGAGTGTGGTGGGTGAGGGTTGTACTCTGTTCTTGTTGTTCCATCTATAGGTGATTGTCTATAGACTCCTCCTCCTCCTCTTCCTCCACTTCCTGAATCCTCACCCACTCTATACAATTACCATTGTTTGTTTATTTTGGATTGGAACAAACAGTTACTGTTACAGTTGTTTTTGTTTGTTGTTGCATGATGATCTTACCTTGCACCACCATTACCATGGTTGGTTGGTGGTTGCAACAACAAGGGTATTTTCATGATGTCAGTCAGTATAGAATTCATCCTAAGTATCGGTATCACCACACCCCCACAATACCAATACCATCCATCACCCTCCCACTACCACCCCGCACACACCACCAAACTAATAATTATAGGTGTAGGTAGTAGTAGTAATAGTAGTAGAGAAAATAGAAAGTTATAATAATCATTGATTGATAATATAATAATAATAACAATAATAATAATATCATTAATAATATTTAATCAAAAAGAAGATAAGGAAAGAAAGAAAGAAAGGAAGAAGGAAGAACAACAACATCATCATCATCGAGTTACCAAAAACAATTGTTTCAGTCAAAAAAAGACAAATATATAAAAGATTTAAAAACACAGCGGTAGCAGCAGCAGCTCACAGATCGATATCCAGTCAGTCAGTCATCAAGTCAGTACTTACTTTGTCAAACAGTACAACAAAAAAAAAAATCAAAACATCTAAATCCAACTCAACTCCAAAACTTTGCGATCTTCTCCATTCACCACCAATATCATCGCTGTTACCCTGTTCCATTCCTATCATCGTTTTACACTTCATTTACCATCTTTAAAGTAGCAATATAATACAACACAATACATCCAACCAACCAACTAGCATCCAGTTTCCCAAAAAAAAAACAACAGGTACAAAACCAAATGTTAGAGGTGATCACCAACAACATATAATCTTAATATATTTGAAAACATACCCACTAACACACTCTTTTGCCAGTGAATATCCACTTGTGTTTTCTACTTTCCATCATCATCATCATCATCATCAACATCTAAACATCGTGGTTGTAGTAGATCATTTTTAAAAACCAATTGTTTTTGGATGAAATTGCATTAATGCTCCACTCCACCTCTTTAATTACTATTACTATTATCGATTAATATGATTATTATTATTATTATTATTATTAACGACAATAACAACAAAAACAACAATAATTATAATTTAAAAGGAATAGTGATTGATGACAAAAGCGTGTTAATTCTCTACAATCATTCAAATCAATAGATTAAATAATATCTATACTACATCATCATCATCATCATTTATTTTATTTTTTGGTCATTTTCTCAATATCTTGTCAATCGGACTGACAGATAGATACCCACCTACCCACACACACCTCTGCCAAGATATTTATTTTATTATAGTAGTAGTTAATTGTTTGTGATTGTTAAAAGAGTTGTGAACTGGAATAGAAGGAATAGGAATTAGTTGTTCATTCTAATAATAATAATAATAATATTATATATAATTATTACAAAGTGTGTATTGTATTGTATGATTTCATTGTAAAATTTATTATTTCAATTGACAACCCGCTACTACCTCGACATATACAACCAACATAACCATTACACATACATACATCAAAAAAAAAAAAAAAAAAAAAAAAACGAGTTATTTTTAAATCCACCAACAACCACAAACAAACCAGACCAGACAATACAATACGATAGACTGGAAAAAAAACTAACCAACTTTTTTTGATTTAAATATAGATATAATTTAAATTATACCTTTCCTATAATACACACACACACACACAAACAAAAGACAAGACAGAGAAGAAATATTATATTATATTATCATTTATAATTTTAATTAATTGCGACATTTGACTCTTGTTTTGCTTGCTTGATTGCTTGTATTAAATTAATTAATTAATTAATCAATTTAAAAGTGGAAGGGATGGCAGATGCCATCGTGCAACAACAATCGATATCGTTTGGATTAGTAAAAAACAACATACAAAAGAATAGTCCTCATCCACTACAAGATTATTCAAGTAGAAGTACAAGCAGTGATTTAATTAGTTCCAACATGGAATCCATATCCATCAACCAAAATAGCAGCAACATGGACAGCGGCGACGACTTTTCATCCTCGACCAGCGACACACACAGTAATTCATCGTATTCGTCGTCGTCGGCCACAAGCACCTCCAACAATATAAACTTAAGCAGCGCAAGCATCCAATCCTCGCACCTCTCCAACTCGGTCGGCAGCTCCACCACGGCTCCCTCCTCTCCTTCACAACAACAACATCGCCAGCCTTCGACCCCTCATTCACCCGTACCTTCCTCCTCCTCCTCTTCCTCTATTATATCGACTCCCAAGCCATTCCCACTTCACGAAGCAGCGTTCAAGGGAGAGTACGACAAGCTCGTTTCACTTCTTTTATTCACACAAGGTGGCAAAAACCAACCAACAGGAGGATCGACAATGTTGCAAGGATCAGTTGGCGTTGCCAATGGCGGTAGTTCCAAATCGTCGTCATTGGCCAACAGCCCCATGTATACGCCTGCAGGTGCCAGCGGAGCATCGACGGCTGAATACGTAGGTGTCAATAGTTTGGACGATAAAAAAACAACACCATTGCACCACGCCGCCTTTAACGGTCACAAGCAATGTGTCAAACTGCTACTTGCATCGGGTGCCTATCCCGATGTCGCCGATATTGATGGATGCACACCACTTCACAACGCAGCATTCAATGGATACAAATCGGTGATGGTCATGCTCATTGATGCCGGTGCAGACTCGAATTGCATCGATATTGATGGCAACTCTGCACTGCACAAGGCCACGTTTAGCGGGTTTCACAAGTGTGCCGAGTTGCTCCTCAACAATGGTTCACAGGTCGATGCTCGCGATAGCTATGGAATCACTCCCCTACTCAAGGCTGCCTCCAACAAGCACCAGAAATGTCTCAGTCTGTTGATCGAGCGTGGAGCCGATGTAAATAGTCGCGACAATGCCGAATCGACGGCATTGCATCAGGCATGTTACAAGGGTAGTGATAAGGCAATCAATCTTCTCATCCAAAAGGGTGCCAATGTAAATAGTATCGACAAGGAAGGTTATTCTCCGCTCCACAACGCTGTTTTTAATGGATTCGAAGAATGCAGTAGGATACTCCTCGATAAAGGAGCTATCATTGATCAACGTGCTCTAGATGGATGTACTCCACTTCATTATGCATCTTCAAATGGTTTTGATCAATGTGTTTCTTTATTAATTCGTCGTGGTTGTAAATTAGATATAATGTAAGTGAAAAACAAAAAAAAAAAAAAAGAAATAGAAAAAGAGAGAGTAGAATTTGTTTGTTAACCTTTTTATTAATATTTTTTTTAGGGATCTTAAAAGAGGAAGAACACCATTACATTATGCAGCAAATAAGGGACATTTAGTTTGTGTAGAATTATTAATTAAAGCAGGTGCTGAAACAAATATTAAAGATAATAATGGAAAATTACCAAAAAATTTAACAAAAAATCCAGAAATTATTACTTTATTATCTGTTGAAGAGTATGTAAAAACTAAAAAAAAAGTAAAATATATATATATATATATTCTAATATTGTTATTTATTTTTATTTTTTAGTAAAAAGAAAACAAAAAAATCAAAATCAAAAAAAGAAAAAGAAGATACTAATAATAATAATAATAATAATAATAATAATAATAATAATGAAATTGAAGAATTAAAAGTAGAAAATATTAATATATCAGTTGTAGAGGTGGTTCCACAACAACCACAATCACCATCAACAAATAATAGTAATAATAATCTAAACAGTAGTAATAATATAACAAATAATAATAATCAACAACAATCACCAAGTGTTGGATCAACGGGTTCAAGGTCAGGATCAACAGATTCAATGTCAGCTGGTGAAAAGGAATCACCAGAGACAACACCAAAACTTGATATATATGGGTTTGTCAAGACCAGTTCAACAGTAGAAGCTGAAGTTAGAACTAAAAAGACAGACAAGTTGGAAAAGAAATGGGCCAAGATGTGTAAAAACTGGCCCAAGTTTTCCAAATCGGCCAAGCTACGTGAACGTTTACCAAAGGGTATCCCAAGTTCGGTACGTGGATTTGTATGGCAACGTTTGGTCAATATCCAAGAGATCAAAAACAAAAACTCAAATGTAACCTATAAACAATTGCTTGAAGCCCAACCAGTACCAGCCATTGCCGCTCAAATCCAACGTGACCTCAATCGTACCTTTCCAAAGCACAGCTTCTTTGTCGAAAAGGGTGGATTTGGTCAACAGATTCTTTGTAACATTTTAACAGCATTTTCAATTTATAATCCAGAGGTTGGATATTGTCAAGGCATGGGTTTCATCACTTGTCTACTTATTATTTACATGGCCGAAGAAGACGCTTTCTGGGTGTTGGTACAATTGGCTGAAAAATATGGCATGGCTGGTATGTGGATGCCTGAATTCCCATATCTCCAAACTTGTTTTGGTATCTTTGATACTCTATTAGAAAATTTATTCCCACAATTATTTGCACATATTGTATGTAATAGAAAAAAAAAAAAAAAAAAAAAAAACAGAGTAAACAAATAATAGTTTACTAATCAATTCCTTTTTATTTATTTATTTATTTTTAGCATAAACAAAATGTATTTACTCCATTGTTTTCATCACAATGGTTTATTTGTTTATTAATCTATAATTTACCTTTTCCATTGATCGTAAGAATTTGGGATCTTTTCTTGTACGATGGTTTGATTGTTGTTTTTGCAGCAGCCTTGTCATTGTTTAAGATGTATGAAGACCAAATCCTCAAATCAGAGTTTGAGGAGATTCTTTCCATCCTCAAGTTTTCAGGCTCGGAAGACAAGGGACTCCGTCTTGAGGTGTCAACATTTATGAAAATGGTGGTTCATTACAAGCACAAAATCAAACATATTGTAAAAGAAGGACTCATCAAAGACCCAAACAACCATAATAGTACAACTGCTACCACGACTCCAATTAGTAATAATAATAACGAAAAACATTAAACAGACATGGTATTCAATAATAATAAATTATACAATTATATTTCAAACCACAAATCTCATATTTATTAACACAAGACTTTATAAAATTTGGGGTATGTTAAATTGAGCTAAAAGCATAATATTTTATGTTATTTAATTAATACAATCAAACATGTCCTCCAAAGATAATAATAATCAGTTAAATCAACCCAGACGACTTCACGATTTAATGAACAAACTAAAATTGAGAGAGACAGACGAAAAGGAGTGGTTTTTTCTTTGGAAAGATTTACAGGAGTGGTGCAAAGAGTTCAGACAAGTAAACAAATTGGCAGTTAGAGAGTTCTTTATTGTGTGCGGTAAACCAGAGAGACCATCATTCTCTAAACTTTTATCAAAAGGAGGGATAAATCACAACCCATCATCAAAGCCATCAACCATTGGAAGAGAACTTCGTGATATAGTCGTCGAGGCTAAACAAACACTACCTTTGTTGAGCAATCTCTCCTTTCAAGACAAATTGGCAATCACCGAAGAGAGGCTACGCCAACAAGAACATATACCAGTATCCGTCGGTATAAGAGTACAAACAAACCAACCATCCGTGCTCTCTGAAACAGAACTAACCGATATCGAGAAAGAGACTATATCAAAACATCTCAAAGCCATGGAATTAGAAGATACTCCACTATTTACAGTCTTTAACCAAAGCTCATCAACTATGAAACTTGATGGATGATGAGGACAAAGAAAATACTATTTCACAGGAATGTCGATCAAAAATGGACGCTTCCTGATGTAATTCAATTACATCAGGAAGCGTCAGCATGAATGGTGTAATCTGTGGTTTAAAAAATGGTGATATCATAGATACTCATGAAAACTACTTTGTGATTGGCTCTGGTGCATTAGTGGTAGATGGTAATTCAAAATAGTGTCGATGATAAATGCTTCTCCATCAAACATTCATTTTTATTTGTTGTGACTAATTATTTCAGACTATATTTCCATCTTTTTATTTTTAGGATTGATTAAAATGATTAACAATTGATAAAAGGATGGGATACATGTAATGATATTCCTTTTCACCCTTTTTGTTGATAGTTTGGACATAGAGATCTAGTATCTTTCGTAGCAACAAAATATAGGTACTGTCTAGTGGATGTTCATCCATCCATCCAATGACATAGTTGTTGATTCCCAGATTAAGGGCTTGGTGTGGAAGTAACATGTCTTTGGGTGATCGAGCTATAAGGTTATGTACAATGATTGGAAGTGGTAGTAAATGGAAATCAACTGGTGATGAAGATTGGACAGAGCTGGCTGTAAAATCTTTAAACATAAAATGACGATAATTTCTCATCCACTGGTAAGGTGCTCCAATCTCTTTGATTCCTTCTGGTACCAATGCAGTGAGTGAGAATTCCAAATGAGTGAGATCATTGGCCAGACGAAGTGTCCCCTTTTCAGACATTGGACGGAGTAGAGATACATGTCTGAGGAATACAGTTAGGATACGAGCTGCAATTCTCTTGCTCTGTGAAAGTAATTGGGAGGATTGGTATTTGGAGAGATAAAAGGTGTGAAAGTGGGTGATGTGTTGTTGGAGGTGTTCAATATAGTCAGAACATTGCTTTTGCTGTGGTGTTGCTTGTATATTCCAATCTTCTCCGTGCATCTTGAGTGCTATCTGCTCGACTCCGCTGAGGAATATGTCGATGAGTGGTGATTGTATATAGTCGGCACTTTGACGCAGACGCAAGAGTGATCGGTCGATATCCTGGATTGCCTCTCTTGGCAAAGAGGTGTGTGACGACACGAGCGATTGCACCGAGTTGAGCAGCTGCGACGTGCAGTTAAAGAGACTGCAGTTGATGAGCTGAGCCTGTGTTGGACGACTCCCTGTGATCAACTCGAGTGCTGCCGGTCCCGTCTGTACCAATGACTCGATCTTGCCAGCAAACAAATCCAATATATCACATACAACCCGTGTTACCTTGCACAGCAGACTAGTATCGTCGTTTACAATCACCTCAATCTCTGACCAAATCGTTCGGGATAGATCGACCAACTGCTTGGATGTTGGTAGAATGGGTGCTGTGCCACGTCCAGACCACGATGCGCTTTGTGGGAATAGAGATGCAACCACATTGATCATCTTGCTCTTGCTTCGCTCTAGATACCCCTTTTCAAACACACCAATCACCTTGAACAATAGGTGATGGTCGTCTTGGGTGATACCAACTGCAGCAGCCGTACCTTGTTGAATATCACAATAGTTTTGCAATCTCTTTGCAAAGTCATGAAAACATCTTGATATCTTTGGATACTCTAATATAAATGTATTTTCAATGATGGTCGATGATTTGGCTGCAACCAATAAATTAGTTTCCAATACTTTTGTTATTGATTTCCAAAATGTATTTATAATACTTTCTCCTTGGGATCCAGATACAGTAGTATTTCCACCATTTGATGTTGATGGAATACTTGTATTTGATGATTTAATAATATCCATTAACGTTTTATGAGTTGAAGGATCTCTAATTTTTGATAATACACGTTGTAATTGAATAACTTGAATACAAGATGTATACAATGTATCCATTACACTTTCAATCTTTGTCCAAATTGATTGTTTTTGTTGTTGGTGTTGATTATGTTGTTGTTGTTGTTGTTGTTGTTGATCAATTACCAATTTGTTTACATTTAACATTAATTTAATACTTTTTGTCACCTTTTCAGTGATATTGTTTATGATTTGATTCACCTTTTCAACCAATATACCAAGATTGTAAAACACCTGTAATGAACTAGCAACCTCAGATTGATTTTGTGAATTCATTCCTTGCATGATTAAATTGGATGAAGTTACAATAATCTGTTCTCTACATTGATTAATCCATTCTGTTTGTGTATCAACTATTTCAATTCCTTTTAAATCATATTCATTTTTTAATTGATCTAAAAAGTATAAAAAGTATAAAGTAGTTAATACATTAAATTGTATCTATATTCTCTTACTCTATTTTTCTACTCTACTCTATTTTTACATACTTATTTCATGTATAGATTGAGCAGCTTTTGATAGATCACGACCATCATGAAGATGAGTCTTTAACTTTTTAACTTGTTGTAGGTATCGAATGATGACACGTAACAATTCACATGAATCTTGAACACGTTTCAATTGAGTGATCTGTGAATTGACAATATTATAAGGTTCGGATATTTCATGTTTCATATGTTGTATCGATGACTCTAGATTCTGCAGACCAACTTGTAATTCATTCATCTCTTGATCGAAATCTTTAATATTGATAGCTTGATTAAACAAGTCTTGATAATTTGATGTAATCTAAAATGAAATATATATATTAGTAATCATCATCATTGTTCCTTTAGATTACTACTATCGCCATACCTTTTCATTCAACTCTTGAGTGATTTCACGTTTACCAATTGATAACTTCTCAAGTGATGTAGGTATTGATGATATCTTTAATACATTGCTTGTATAATGTGTAACGTTAAAGTCATCACTTTGAAATTGTTGATAACTCTGATCTCTTTCTAATATTGATATAGATTTATGACCACCTCCACCATCAACTTCACTACTACTATCTATATCATGATGAGGTTGTTGGATATCTCCATTTATATTCTTCATGTCCTATCCTTTCTTCTTCCTCTTCTTCTAATCTGACACATTTAAATTGAAACGGTTTGACCATCACAAATTAAGGTAGCTTGGGCAAATGACTTGTTTGAAGTTCGGATTATTCCCAAAAGATGGTTTGGTTGAATTTTACATGAAAATCTTAATACATTATAATAGTTACCATATATATATATATACCTATTTCTATTTTAATATAATATCATAATATAATAAATATATTTATTATAGTTAAATTTAACTATATTTATTTTGGGAGATTGAAGTTTCTAATCTTTCAATCTCCTTTAATAGAGAACTATAGGATGCAACCATCTTGTCAATCTTTTCTTGGTGTCTATCACGTTGGATCTTGTTGAGAATGGAACTACTGGCTGCTTGAGCATCCTCGATTTTCTTTTTAAGTGAATCTGCTTCTTGTTGAAGTTTTCTAAGAGTTGATACTGATTGTAAAATAGAGGTTGTTGAATCGACTGCAGCGACACTGTTGTTGTTCGATGACATCGTCGTTGAGGATGTTGATGTTTGAATTAAAGGTGGTGTTTCAATATTAAATGATGGTGGCGTAATTGGTAATGGTGGTGGGGGAGGTGTATTAACAATATTTGCAATTGGTTGTGGTTGTTGTTGATATTGTTGTTGTTGTTGTTGTAGTGGTGGTGAAGAAACCTCTTGCATAATAGGAGGTGTATCTATTTGAATTTGAATATCTTGGAGTGTTGGAGTTGATACTTGAGCGTGTTGCTGCTGATGTGTTGGAGGTGATGATATACCTCCATGTAAATTGGGTATTTTGACAATGATTGATGGTGTAGATGTAGATGTGAATGCATCGGTTGGTGAGAATGGTTCGTGTTGATCAATATGGCCACTACCATGACCATGACCACTACCGTCACCACCACTGCTTCGGTGATCTCTTTCTCTACGTTTCTTTCGTCGTTCACCACCTTCTGATGGAGATCTCTCTTTTCGATGTCGGTGTCTGTCTTCGCTCGACCCCTCCTTTTCCTTTCTCTTTTTTCTTCTCTCTTCATCTCCTCCTCCTCCTCCCACTCCTCCTACCGATGTCGTCGATGTCGTTGTTGTAGTACTAGTAGTACTAATTATTGTTGGAGAAAGGGGAGAGTTTGAACTGTGTTGTGTAGATGTGCCTGGAGACATGACCGATCTCCGTTCCTCGGGAATACGGAATCCATCCGTATCAAGATGTACATCTCCAATCGACGGAGACTGTGGGGGTATAGTAGCGACTGCTGCGCCTGATCCCGTCAGCGACGACAATGGTAGCTTGATCTTGAGTCCGCCACCACTACTCAATGGCGCAGCCGAGGTTGGTGCACCCGACGGTGTGGTTGGTTGATTCCCATGGTATAGGTGTTGGTTGGCCACCTTGAGGTGATGCGGCACTCTCTCTTTACCCTTGTCGCTACGTGTCTTTCTCTCCTTTTTAACGGGGATAAAGTCACCGTTTGCATTGATGATGCCACTGGGAGACTTTTCAGAATCGAGTGGTGACATTGATGAAGGACGTCCAGGCGACGGGCCCGTATGCGTCAATCTTCGAGGAGGAGGAGACGGTCTATCGTCGAAATCGTCGTCGTCAAACCCTCCAATATCGCGTCGTGTCATTGCATTTGGTTTGGTCTTGATCTTGAGTGTCATGAATCCATTCTCATTGTCTTCGTCGTGATCGATATCGTCTCCACTATCCTCCTCGTCCAATGCGACCTGATCATCAGCTCTCTCCTCAAATATGATCGTCTCGGTCGACCCCGCTGCAAACATCTCTGTACCATACTGCTCACGCAGCTCTTCCAACGTTACAAACTCTGCTTCTTCTTGTTCATTATACCCTGGTTTAATTAATCTAATAACCTCTTCTTCAATCTTTGCAATATCCAATACTTTCTACAAACATACACACACACATATGTTAATACATTGTATCTTTAATATTAATTAAATTATGTCTTTGTATAGCATACATACCTCTTTAGATGCTTCAATGAATCTCTTTTTTACAATGTCTTTGGTTGGTGGAGTGATACCACTTGTTGACTTGAAGTCTTTTGGTATGTCTTCGATAGTTGTTGGGTATTCGTTGTTATTGTTGTTATTGTTGTTATTGTTTGGGTCATGGTTATCAAACACTTGTATAATCTGTCCGACGTCGCCCGTCTTAAAGTATGAGCTCTTGTCCAATGTCTTGTGTGACTCTAGTACACATGGTAGATCGAGTAGTGCTGCGTTGTACTCTTCTTGACCAAACTTGAATTGTACCTGTCTCCCATCCTTGAAAGAGAGATCGATTGGTGTATCTATATGTTTCTGCTTGATCATCTTTCTGACTCTATCTGCGAGTTGTGGTGGCAGTCTAAGTATCAACTGATCTTCACAGTTGAGTGGTCTACCAACACCCATTAATTGATTAGGTTGGTGTCCACCCTGTATTTGTTGTTGTGACTGATTGAGTGACATTGAAGATGTTGATTGTTGTAATGGGTATCCCCCTCCTCCACCTCCACTCTGATGTGAATTGTTGTTATTATTACTATTCATTATATATCTTCGATAGATATATGTATGTATATGTATATCTATCTATCTATCTCTCTTTCTTGAAAAGATAATAAACTATTATTCATCAAGAATGCAAGAGACAAGAAGCTTTAACATTTTGAAAATTAATTTTTTGAATTATTATATGTGGAGGTCGACCTTGAATGATCATCAACTGCATGTTCATTTTTTGCAAGTTCAACAAACAACACTCTTCTTTCAGATATCTTTGTATCCTATACTATCTCTCTCTATCTTATTTATTTATCTATTCTATCCGATCGATCAGTTTGACTAATAGCCAAGAAGAATGGAAGAGATACAGAACTTGGCGATTAGAGCAGCAACGCATTTCAACAAGGCCGAGTATGACAAGGCGTCACAGTTGTTTTTGGAGCTCAAGCAAAAGACGACAAACAATAAAGAGGTGTTGATGAACCTGTCGATATCAGATTACTATCAGCGTAGTTGCAGCAACCCTGCTAAACTACTCGACGAACTATCGTCACTCTATAAAGCTACATTGGTCAAAGACAAGCAACAACAACAATCAGACAGTAAAGACAAAGACAAAGATGTCGGATCGTCATCTCCAACATCCGACCTATCACCCAACACATCACCAGTATTAACTGCTCAGCAGTCAAACAAATCTGCTGCTACTGATTCTCCATCCTCTACCTCTCCACCTCCACCAACTGCTTCATTGTCATCTCCTACAACTACAACTGAATCATCATCATCATCATCATCATCATCAACATCATCAACATCAATTGATAGTGAACAAGCCATTCTTTTATACAATCAAGCTGTGTTATTACATGCGACTAAACAACATGGATCTGCATATGAACATTTAGAATTACTCTACCAAAATATGTTGTTTCTAGACGACTATATTGCCATTCGTGTCTGTTTGTTGATGATCAATGTAGCCATCACCGTGCAAATGTACGACAAGGCATATTCGGTACTTCTCAACCTCGAACAAAGCTTTTCACATCTATACTACAACAATAAGGATGTACCACCGACTATTGATGACGATGACAATAATAATAATAATAATAATAATAATAATAATAATAATAATAATAATAATAATAATAATAATAATAATAATAATCTCTCATCCTCTTCTTCTTCTACTACTACCTCTTTTGAATCATCATCTGCTGCTGCTGCTGAAAATTGGGCAAACACAATGATGACACCAATCGAATTTAGATTCATCATTCATGTTTATAAAGCCAAACTATATCTCCTTTCAAATTCAAATGATTATCTTTATCTTGCCAAAGAAGAAATTAAAAATGCAATTTCAAAAGGTGTAAAGGTAAGTAAACCAAGCTAGCTAAACTATCATCCATCGGTCAGTCTCCAACATATTAATATGTTGAATCCTTTTATTTTGTTTAGATTAATTACAAGTTATTACCATCATGTCATTTATTAAAAGCAAATTATTATAATAACCTTGGATCAAATACAAGCAAGATGGTTCAATTTTTAAATCTTTCAAAGGATGGTATCAATGAAACCCCAAATGAACCAACTACTCCTCCAACTACAACTACAACAAATGTCGCTCCTCCTCCAACTACAACGTCGACAAAAGCAAAGAATTCAAAACAACAAAAACAACAACAACAACAACAACAGCAGCAACAACAACAACAACAACAACAATTGCAGCAGCAACAAATTAATCCATTATCATTTGGAGTTGATTTATTTATTGAAGATATTACACCACAAATTTATTTTAATAATCTTGGTTGTTTACATTTTGATTTACATAAATATACATCATCAATATTTTATTTTACAAAGGCATTAAAATCTTCAACTCCAACAACTACTTCAACAACACCTTCAAATAATAATAATAATGGCAAATCATCTAATAATTCATCTTCATCGGCAGCAAATATAACAGTTGATCCAAAATCAATTGAACATGACAAGAGAACAGAAATATTTTATAATACTGGATCATTATTATTGTTGACTGGAAAACCAGAATTGGCATTTTCATGTATTCAAGAAGCTTGTTTACTTTTACACAACAATCCATTGGTTTGGTTACGATTGGCTGAATGTTGTATCATGGCACATGTCCAAAGATGTCGAGAGGATGACAAATCAAATCAAACAAACTCGATTCAAGTGTTTGATAAAGATGATCAATACAACAAACGTATCCTATTACCAAATCAATCAGGTCTTCATAAAGGTTTACAAATTGAAGATAGTGATGTTCATTCAACTTTAGTGTAAGTCAAATTCATAAAAGAAGAAATGAATGAATAGAATAGAATAATAATAATTATTAATCATATATATTATATTTATAATTATTTAGTGATGAAAATGATGAATCAAGTAGGTTAGGTACATTATCATTGGAATTTGCAGCCAAATGTTTAAGAAATTCATATTACATCCAAAAGAAAGTTTTAAAACAATGTAAAATCAATAATAATAATCAAAATAATCCAAAGAAATCTGCTGCCTCTGCTGTATCTTCTTCCTCTAGTACAAATAATAATAATAGTAATCCATCAACTACATCTTCTCCACCATCATCATCTACATCTACTATGCCATCAACAACTTCCAATAATATACCATCGGGAGTTGATTTATACCACCAAAACGCCATTGAATTAATGTTGTCCATTTTGTCATCACAAGCATACATTGCATTGTGTACTTGCAACCCAGTGGTGTCACTTACAGCCTCCAAGGAAATGTTGGCTATTTGCAATGAATATCCAACCGGTCAATACGATAAACACAAATTCTACGCTCATTTATATGCAGCTGAATCATGCATCATGTTGAATGCTCCAGATGAAGCAATCTCATTCCTACCACCACAATTCATAGATTCAATTGGTAGTAGTGGAGCTGTAGGAGGAGGAGGAGGTTTGTCAATGGGTGGTGCTGCAAGTAGTGTAAACTCTCCACTCAGTACATCAGACTATCAAAATATATTCTATACCAATCTTGCGATTGCCTATCTTGTCAAAGATAATATCCAAGATGCATTAAAATGTATAGAAACCATTTTAAATGATAAACAAAATAATAATAATAATAATAACAATAATAATAGTAGTAGTAGTAATAATAGTATGATGAATGATTTCGATGGTAAACTTATATTATTACAAGTGTATATAGAAGTAAGAGCAGGTAGAAAATTAAGCGCACTTTCAATATTATCAAAACAAAGACCGGTACCAATTATATTTTCTTCTTAAATTCAAATACACATCAATAATAATAATAATCATGACAATAACAAACCATACCAATCTACGAGTATCTTTTAGAATAATAAGATGGATAAATAAATAACATTTTCTCGAACGACGGAGGAGAGAAATATAAATATATATAATTTAAATGGGAGATATTTATTTATTTATTTATTTTTTGGAGGATTATTTAACATTCTTTAAGACAAAAACATAGGCATAATTGGGGTAACCTGTTGGTGGGAGGCTTGGCAACTTGATGCTGAATCCACTACCGGCCTTGTTGACAGTATAGGATAGAGTGTTACAGGCGGTTGATGGAGTACATCCAAGGAGGAATACCTGGGTGGATGAAGAGGCAAGTGGCTGGGTAAGAGAAAGAATACCATTGGTTGGCCAGACAAAAGAGATACAATAGACATCCAAAGTGTTTGGATTGGTAGTATACCAGATTTGTTCTTCGGCAGTATCGTTTTGAGCTCTCCATGGAATAGTATCATAGATGGCAGCATTGTTGACATCCATCCAAGCACCAATTTGGAGTAATCTTTCTTGCATGATCCATGGAATCAGACCGTCTGGAGTGGGACCAACATCAAGCAACAAGTTACCACCACAACTGACAGTACTGACCAATTGGTAGATAATATCGGTGGCCGATTGGAATCCAGAGAATGGTTCGTTTTCATTGTAACCCCAATTTTGACCAATGGTATAACAGTTCTCCCATTTATGACCAATTGATTTACCTGGATTGTATCTATCGTATGGTGTAAAATATCCACCATCCTTCATTGGACATTCAGCACCCCAACGATCATTGGTTACAATTTCATCCTTGACTGTACTATTAGTATACAACCATGCCAAAAATTCAGTACTCTTCCAGTATGCTGAATATCTAAAAAGATAGAAAATAAAAAAAGAATGGATGATTAATATATTTGAATAAAGAGTATATACTTATATAATTTGATTTAAACTTACTGTTCCCAATCACCATCAGCCCAAATAACAGATGGTTCATATTTTTGAATAATGTCGTAGAGTTGTGGTAACATGATTTCATCGACATATTTGGATTGAGTTGGTGGTTGACCGGTAGCCTTGTCAGCGTCATATATTGGATTGTACCATTCATAGAGTGAGTGATAGAGACCCATTTTAAGACCAGCCTTTCTAACAGAGTTGGTAACCATTGCAACCAAATCTTTGTTTGGACCCACGTCGACACTATTCCAACCCCATGATTGTGGACTTTGCCATAAACAGAAACCTTCATGATGTTTTGATGTTAATACAACATACTTGGCACCAGCTTTTTTGAATAAATCTGCCCATTGATCTGGGTCAAAGATATAAGCATTAAAGTTTTCAGCGAATTTCTAAATAGATTATAAAGAATAGAAATCAAAAAGATAGAATGTTAATTAATGTGTAAAAGAGATATAGGACTTTATATTCTAAAATGGTCACTTACTTGATATTGGAAATTTGGACCAAAAGAAGTGTTATGGAATCTTTGAGTTGCACCACCATCTTCTGATGGGTTGTTATAATTATACCAGTACCACTCTGGGAGAGCAGAACCATAATGGGGAACAGAGTAGACACCCCAATGGATAAATATACCAAATTTACTTTGATCATACTAAATAGATAGATATTAAATTAAATAATTTTACAAAAAAATATTAATAATTAGAATGGAGAATAATAATAATATTTGGGGATTATTCTAGAGGTGGAGGAGGAGGAGGAGGATACTAACCCAAGTTGGTAAAGGACGACTATTTATAGAAGCCCAAGTAGGTTCATATGTTTTATCAGCTGCATAGATACCAATCGATAGAGACAATGTAGCAACTATTATTGATAGTGCCAGCCTCATCATCTTTTAATATGTAAGAGTTTGTTATAATATGTTTAGATATAAATTAAATATATTAAAAATATATAAAAGATAAGATGAACTGAACAGTTATTAATGATGATGAATATAGAATGAATTGATTGATTGATGGATAAAATGGAGAGTCGATCAAAAAAGAAAAAGAAACAGATTTAATCCTAAATCAAATAAAATTGAATTCAAATTGTCAAATCAAAATATGGTAACTTGACTTGTTGATTGTCTACCTACCTTCCAACCTACCACTCTTGCCCATTACATCCATATCGTCAAACCAAAACATGTCCGAGTGAGGGTGGTGTTATTTATGAGGGGTGTGTTTGGATATTTTTTTATACGAAACAATCCAACCATCAGCCATGGATAGTCAATTGTGTGTGTATGTGTTGGTGTGTGAATAGATATAATTGTCTCTTTTTGATCTACTACCCCTCTTCAGCATTAATGTCATCTACCCTCCTACCCAAGCATAAAAAAAAAAAGCAAACAGACTTTTTGAAAAAGATATGGTTGGTTGCTTTCCAACAACTTGTTTCTTTTTTCTATTCCATCCTTCCAATCATAAGCCACTTGATTTACCAGGGTCATCCATGTCTATATAGACCTGACGTGATTCAATCATGCAATCCAACTGAACCTTTAAATGGGTCAACCAATCTAATCGAACCAATATTAAAATTTATGTAATCTTTTCATCATGAGATCATCTCCAAAGAAAAAAGAAGTAAGAGATGATATTGGTATTATTTATTATATATTTACCTTATTTAAATATATATGAATAGATAGATGGGATAGATACATGTCTCAAATTAAATTGATCGACCTTCATGAATTTTCAGTATTAAATTAATTGTGAATGAAAAATACGATCGATTGAATCGTGTGAATCATATGATTGTTGTTCATTGTAATAGAGATCTATCTGTGGAGAAGAAGTAGAGTAGATATTTAGAATTTATAGAATGGATGTATTAGAATTAATTCGTAGTAGTACAAAATATGTTAGTGATCAATCAAAACATGTAACGATCAATGAAGATGCACTCGCAAAGGAGTGTGATTTGTTCTTGGAGGAGAATAAAAAGAAGAAGCATAAGGAGATCTGGGCAGACAATGAATTCCACTATTGCGATGTTGATAGAACACAAAAGGATGCGAATCACGAGACCTACTATTCAGAGTCAACTGCACAATATATCATCGTTATGGACGCACTCAACCATTGCTTTTGGCCTGACGAATCACTCGAATACCATCATTTGGCACGTGGACTCAAACAAGCTATTGAAAAGGATGCACATGTCTTTGACGCAGCACGTCTCTCTCAAGTGACACCTGCAACACTACACCAATGGTTTGGTCGTGAACTACCAAACATCGAAGAACGTTGTAGACTATTACGTGAAGTTGGTGATGCTCTCACACAACATTTTGGAGGTAGCATTAAAGAATTGATTCTATCTGCTAATCATAATGCTTCATCTTTAGTTGATGTATGTCAATCAATCAATCAATCAATCGATCACATCACATCACATACTTACTCTTTTCTATTTTCAAATTGTAGATTGTATCAAGATACTTTTGGGGATTTAGAGATACAAGTATATACAAGGGTAGACAAATATTCCTTTACAAGAGAGCACAAATCTTTGTTGGTGATTTGTGGGGAGCCTATGAAGGTAAGGGGTTGGGCAAATTCAAAGATATCGATCGTTTGACCATGTTTGCAGATTACCGTGTTCCACAGATCCTTCGTCATATGAATGTATTGCAATACTCTGAGGAATTGTCTGCATTGGTAGACTCTAAAAAGGAGGTTGCCGTCGGATCAGAGATGGAGTTGGAAATCCGTGCCGTCACAGTTCAAGCCGTCGAACGTATGAGAGACATCTTTAACAAAAATCATTGTTCATTATTGGCACTCGAAGTAGATTGGATGTTATGGGGTCGTGGTGAAGCAATGCTTGATACTTTACCTCCACATCATCGTACATTTACCATTTTCTATTAAACCAACAAATAATAATACAAATAACAATATTAACAATACAAACCAAACTACTTGTTTGTTTTTTTTAATTTTTTTCTTTTCTTTTTTATTTTTTGTTTGTTTTTAATATTCTCTCAACAAGGTAATTATTGGGAGAATTTAATATTATTATTATTATGATTATTGATTTGTTATTATTACCAAGTGATTGTTGTTGTTGCTGTTGTTGTTGTTTTTTCAGGGGTGTGTGGAGTGGTCGTTTGATTTGGATGAATCTACTACAACTACTACTCTTTTGGATTGGGGGTATTTAGTTTAGAAATAAATAGTTTTTAAGGCACCTTCGAATTTGAGAACAGAATTGATGAAAGAGTCGGTTTCCTTGGCGTGAATACGGTTGTCAATGTGGATCATATCTTGATCGATGATAAAGTCGATATCGTTGTGATTGGTCCATTTGTTGTGGTCGCCCTTGCCCAAAACGTTGACCAATTTATGTTTGTAGCAGGTGAGCTTGATACGGAGCTCGGTGGCGTCCATTTGGAGGAGACTGGCGAGCTTGGCAATCGAGATGGAGCTGTAGAGGGTGATGTAGGAACGGATGGTGGTGAGCAACGATTGTTGTTGGACCTCCTCGATAAAGAGGGCTTGTTGGAGACGGGATGGGTCAAAGACGGTTTGGTTGAGACCGGAAATGTACGGTGAGACTGGACCGACACAACGTGGTGAGGCAAACGAGAAGAGCTCTTCGTAGACGCTGATCTCTCCCTTTTGCATACGCAAAAGCTTCTCGCCAAACTTCTCCTTGAGGTGGCTGCTGACATTGTCGTCAATCTTGCTTGGACTCAACGATTGGCAGATAGCGAGCAAGGCGTACATCTTGTCAATCTTCTTTTGGTTGTGGTCGCTTTGGAAGTTTTGGATACGCGACTTGGACGACACCGAGATGAGAATGGTGTTGAGTGCCTTGTTGGCTTCATTATAACGACGGGACATCAAATAAGCAAATCCTAAATAATAATAAAGTGTGATATGACAAGCTGTAACAAATGTATACATTGCCTAAAAATAGAAAAAGGAAACAAAATAAAAAGTTAGAAATTTGAAATAAAAGAAATGGTCATTGATTTGTTTTGTGTTTTGTTTCCAACATACTCTTTTACCCATATCAATGAGTTCCAAAGTCTTGAGAGCAAGTGTATAATCTCCCAATAAACATTGAACACGAACTAAACAGATAATACTATAGTAACCCAACATTTTATAAACTGGATGTGAACAGAAATCATCCATTGAATTTTCATTTCTACAAAAAAAAGAAAAGAGAAATAAAAAGTTAGTTTCTATCTATTATTATTATTAAATAAGTATAATTTAGATTTCTTACCCAACAGAGTTACTGTCAAAGATTTGTGATTTTCTAATGAGCAAATAAAGGTATTGAATGACAGAGGTGGTATCCCAGATGTCTGGATTTTCGGCGAGGAATTCAACGTCGGCCTTTTTAAGCTTGGCCTTTGCAAATGTGTGATATTGGTATACAAACTCATCGACAATATCCCATACCCAGGCATTTGGAAGATCTATTTCAACTTCGGCTGGTGATTGAGCATCCAAAAGGGTGTTGAAGATGAGGGCATAGTTTTGCCATGATTCAACACAAACATGGATATTTGGTTGAGATACACGAGCATAGTAGTAACGGTAGTAGATTTCCTTGTACAACAAGATAAAGAATTTATCAGTGACTAGAAATGATTCAATAAAAAATAATTGTTTGATTAGTTTGATGTGTCTCTTTTGTGTAATCACTAGACTTATTTGTTTCTTTCTTACAATTATTTTCATCAATCTTGTCACCCAACAAAGCAACAAAGACATCGACAGTTGGAAGGGCACAGTTTGGATAGTAGAGCTCACATGAACGGAAAAAGTTGTCGTATGAGAGCAAGATATCTTGATGCGATTGTGACTTGAAGTTGTTGAGGAAGTTGATCATGTAGTTGATGACTGGTGTGTAGAGGGCGGTAGCTGGTGGCAAAAAGTTGGCTTGGAAGTTGGTACCTCCGAGCTTTTGTTGAGCTTCAAATTGTTGGTGTTGGTGGAGCTGCATTTGTTGTTGTGGAGTCAAGTTGATTGGGAATGACTCGACATTCGAGGGTGGCTTACGGCTGTGCTTACCACCACCACCACCTTGTTGTTGTTGTCCTTGTTGTCCTTCACCTTGTTGTTGTTGACCCTTGTTGTTGTAGTTTTTACCTCCACTACGTTGTCCTTGGCCTTGTCCACCTTGTTGGTTGTTTCCTTGACCCTTGTTGTTGTAGTTCTTTTGACCACTGTTGTTGTTGTTGTACTTCTTTTGACCACGTTGTTGTCCTTGTTGGTCGCCTGAAGATGAAGCAGTTGATGATGTAGTAGTTCCTTCCATTTTTGGGGGGTTGTGTCTGATTCTTATAAACTTCTTTAATTAAATCACTACTAGGTCTCTATACTAACTATCTATATTATGTGTTGTGAAGTGAATCTGTTATGAACGACAAAAACACAACTACTACTTATTAATCTGGTTAAAAACTAATAATAAGAGAGAGTAAAAGAGATAAAGAAGAAGTATAAGGGGCGGCGCTTCTTGACTTCACTCTCTGTCACAAAAACGATCATGCGCAGAGCTGAGAAAAAAATTAAAAAAAAATTACAAAAAAAACTTCAAAAACAAATGAGACGAGGGAGACGTCTCCTATCCTCACGCCCTAACCTTACGATTCTTTGTGAACTCACAATCATTATCATCTTTACTTACTCTCACTCTTATAAAGTATTTATATAACATCATAGTTTTATATCTATCTAGATAGAGTAGTAAAATGTCACAATATTTGATATTAAATGAGCAATGTCTCACTAAAGCCAATGGTATGTAAAACATTAATCAACTGATCAAAATATAATCAATCTCTATTCTCTACTCTACAAATACATAGATATAGATATAGAGATAGATATAGATATATAGATTTATATGTAGGATGTAATATGTTTACTAATCATTTTGATTTACTTTTACTTTTTAGATTTGGTACAAATGGGACAAATCACACAAGCTCTTGATACAATTAGAGATTTGTTGTTGTTCCGTAATGTATGGCACGCATCTTTGGAGAATGTGATGTCACTTTACATCAAGTTGGCTGTAGAGATTCCAATCAACAATGAACAGATTCTTTACATCAAGGATGGTTTGCATCAATATCGTGGTAGTTTGACTGCCCAAAAGGAGTACAACTACACTCCACTCGACAACATTATCCGTTTGTTGGTGTCTTTGGTCGAAGCCAAGCTCGAGCAAACCAACAAGGAGGTTGCCGAGAACCCATTACCAGTTGCTGAAGGTGCCGTCGACGAGCGTCTCGCCCCAGTCCTCCGTCTCATGTCTGACTGTTTCCAAATCATTGTCGATATTCTCAAGTACCCCAAGCTCGAAGTGTTGTACCTCAAGTACACCACCCAAGCCTTTGCCTTTATCGCCAAGTACGACCGTAAGAAGGAGATGTACCGTTTGGACGAGATCATGCGTTCCCACGTCGAGAACTTGCTCAAGAGTCAAAACACCTACCTCACCCCCGAAACTGTCTATGCTCACGTTGACGCCCGTTTCGGTCAACTCAATACCGCCATCTCTATGAATCTCTGGCAAGAGGCTTTCCGTGCCGTAGAAGACATCAATACTTTGTTTGGTATGCTTGCCAAGCCCAAGCCAAACGTATTGGCCAACTACTACCAAAAGCTTGCTCAAATCTACTGGGTGTCTGGCTCTCATTTGCTCCATGCCTACGCCTTGTACAAGCATCTCTTTTACAACAAGTCCTACAATACTACCTTTGCCAACGAGGATTCGGAAGCCTATGGAAGTGTGTTGCTCGTCGCTGCCTTGTCCTCGCCACTCAACGAGACATCATCGACCAAGTCATTGTTGCATTTTGACAGCCAAGCTCAACGTAACACCAACCTTGCTGCTTTGCTCGGTCTCCCAGCCTTCCCAAAGCGTGATGCTTTCTTGTCGGACGTCAAGCGTCTCGTCGGAACCAGCAGCCAACCAGAGCTCGTCGACTTGTACGAACACCTCGAGGAACGTCCAGGCTCGCCACTCGTCATGGCCAAGACACTCGCTCCAGTCCTCGAGTACATTGCCAACTCGACCAACCTCTCGGTCTATCTCCGTGCCATGCAACGCACCGTCTTTGTCAAGACCGCCATCCAAGCCTCCAAGGTCTACGAAGTCGTCCGTCTCGACCAATTCGCCGCTCTCGTCCCATTCTTTGAGAGTCGTGAGATTGAAAAGATGTTGCTCGACGCCATCAAGAAGCGTCTTGTCGGTGCCCGTATCGACCATCGTGCCGGCGTCGTCCGTTTCGGTCACTATGACTTTGACAGCGCCAAGATTGGTGACCAGCTCTCTGGACTCGCCAGCGGTCTCCGTCGCGCCCTCTCGATGATCGACTCGCAAAAGAAGGACACCAAGTCGGTCAGCGACAAGCGTGAAGTGTATGTCCGTATCATCAACTCGCTCTCTGACGAACACCGTCGTATCCTCGCCCGTAAGGAGGTTATCGAGCGTAAGAAGATCTACACCGAGCAACAAGAACGTATCAAGCGTCAACGTGAGGAGGAGGAGCTCGAGCGTATCGCCGCCCAAAAGGCTGAGCGTGACCAACAACGTATGCGTGAAGATATGGAACGTCGTGAAAAGGAACAAAAGGAAGCCGAAAAGGCCGACAAGATCATCAACCTCACCATCACCAACGTCGACAAGGCCAAGGCCGACATGGCTGCCAAGGTTGCCATCCTCTCCAAGGAGCTCGAGTACACTGAACGTGCCTTCCGTCACGAAGAATTGCCAATCTACAACGAATCACTCAACAACAAGACCAAGGAAGACAAGGAATACTTTGAACAACGTCAAGCCGAGGCCAAGAAGCACCACCGTGAATCGTTTGAACGTGCCATCTCTGAAAAGATGCGTCTTGCCCGTCTCACAGAAGACATTGCCATCTTTACCGAGCGTGTCCTCGCCGTCCGTCAAGAACAATTGCCAGCCCTCCAAGCCCAACAACAAGCTAGATTCCGTAAGTTTGTCGACGACGAACGTCAACGTCTTGCCGAAATCCGTGAAAAGAGACGTGAAGAAAAGAGAATTCAAGATGAAAAGCAAAAGAGAGAAGAAGAAGAACGTAGACAACGTGCCAAGGAAGAAGAAGAACGCAAGGAACGTGAGGAACGTGAAAGACAAGAACTCATCAAGAACGAGACCTTTATGCAAAAGAGAGAAAGAGAAAGAAGAGAAGCTGCTGCCGCCGGTAATGGCCCAGCTGCCTCTTCAACTGGTGGTTTTGGTGACGACGACAAGTGGAACCGTGAAATCACTCGTAATGATGGTGACAAGTGGGGTCGTGATGCTCCACGTAGAGACGATGGTGACAGATTCCCACCACGTAGAGACGACGGTGGTGACAGATTCCCACCACGTAGAGATAATGGTTTCGGTGGTGATGCTCCACGTAGAGACGACGATGGTGGCAGATGGGGTCGTGATGCTCCACGTGATGGTCCTCGTGACGGTCCTCGTGATGGTCCACGTAACGACGGTGGTGACAGATACGTTCCACCACGTAGAGACGGTGGTTTCGGTGGTGATGCTCCACGTAGAGATGGTGGTTTCGGTGGTGATGCCCCACGTAGAGATGGTTTCGGTGGTCCACGTGACGGTCCACGTAGAGATGGTGGTTTCGGTGGTGATGCTCCACGTAGAGACGACGATGGTGGTAGATGGGGTCGTGATGCCCCACGTAACGATGGTGGTTTCGGTGGTGATGCCCCACGTAGAGATGGTTTCGGTGGTCCACGTGACGGTCCACGTGACGGTCCACGTAGAGATGGTGGTTTCGGTGGTGATGCTCCACGTAGAGACGACGATGGTGGTAGATGGGGTCGTGATGCCCCACGTGACGGTCCACGTGATGGCCCACGTGATGGTCCTCGTGATGGTCCACGTGACGGTCCACGTGACGGTCCACGTGACGGTCCACGTAGAGATGGTGGTTTCGGTGGTGATGCTCCACGTAGAGACTTTGGTGCCCCAAGAGACAACAACAACAACGCCAATAAGCCACCAGTCAAGAACCAAAAGGATGACGATGGATGGACCATTGTTGGAAAGAGAAAGTAAACATTTACTCAAAAAGATGAATCAAAGATCAAGATCAACGACTATACAAAGATTTCCTCTCTTTTCAAGATCACATTAATAATAATTTCAAAATAAATATTACCAATATTAAACAATAAGAATATGAAACCTCAAGTAATATGATAAATATTAAAACTTTATTACAGTATTTAATTTGGCGTAGTTGTTGTTGAAGATGTTAAAATGGATGAATTTGATAATTGATTTTGTTCATTATTATTATTATTATGATTCATTTCTTCTTGATGTTTCATTTCTTCTTCTTCTTTGAGAGCAATTTCATTTGTTTTGTTTGTAAGATTTGGATCATCAACGATATCATCTAAATTAATGCTACCTGATCTTTGGATACGAAGGAGAATACCATTAAAGATAAAGTTTTGGTTGATCTTTGTTCCTAAAACTTGACGAGCAATCTTGGCATCCTTGTGAGCTGGCAGTCTTCTAAAGAATACAAGCCATAGACACCAAAAGGCGTAGACTACGATCAACGATGCAATGAAAAACAATAGAGTATAGTTGAATTTGGCAATGCTTCTAAATACACCTTGGAAACCAAGAAGAGTGGTATCACCCTCTTCTCCCTGGTTAATGTCATGAACAGCCTTGATTAAAACACCTCCAAATGCACCAAAAAACATTGATCTACCAACAGCTCCAATTCTAGCAAATCCCAACGACGTATAGTATAGTGGGCGCGTCATTCTTTCCGTTGACAATTCTCTCTTGAATTTGTTTGGTACGATGAAATAGAACAAATAAACAATTGATACTACAAAAAATGTTACACCCAATACACAAACTATAATTTTACCAACTATATTTTTGTATAATAATGTTAATATCTAAAGAAAAAAAAAGAAAAATAAATAATAGTTAGAAATGATAGATTTTGTTTGGTTATCTATTCTATTTTGTTTATGACTTACCTGTTCAGTACCTTCTTTATCACCTCTAGTATGAGATAAAACTTGAATGGCATTGACACCTAAAACAAAATAAAAGCCTGAAGAAAAGATACGACCAAATCTCTTGAGAATGGCACCAGCCGACGCACGGCCCAATTGATCGATATCAAAGATGACATAAAAGACACCCCAACATCCATAACACCAAAGTCCAATAACCAAAAGGAAGATGAAACCACTACTGAGCATCTCTTGCAACTCTTCAAAAGCTGCAGCTGGACCCAATGGATCACGCTTCTTGTCGACGGCCGCCACCATCGAAATGAGTCCCAACGTTAAATATAAAAAGAATTTGGCTACAAAACCAATACGTGTGATAAACTGTGCAGCCAAATAGAACCTAACGTTGTTCTTGATATCCCACCGATACTCGTTCTTTTTGTACAAGTATTTGAAATATGCCCACCGACTCTTTTTCTTTGCCTCTTGTCCACGTCTTTGTTCTTCATAGACATCATTAATATTACCCAATTCTGGGTCAATCGTTTGTCTTGTTGCTGAAAATGTTGTATCATCATCTTTATCATTATCATTATTATCTCCGCCAGGTGTAGTTGTACCACTTGAACGACCTGGTAAATGATCATTTCTATAATCTAAATATTTGTCAACATCATATGTATCTTTCTTTCTAACTGGTTCATCATAATGCATTTCAATGGCTGTTGATTTTGGTTCATATATTATTCCATTTCTATTCAAATATTGGTTATCTTCTTCATCATCTTCATTAAATTCTTCCAATTTAGATGATGATTTATTCTTCTTGGTATCTTCTATAAAAAGAGATAAAGATAAAAGTTAATATTTACACTTCATTTTAAAAATAGATAGGGTCTTAGATAAATAAACAATAAATAAATAAATAAAGTACCATTATTATTTGGAGTTGATTGATTTATGGAAGTAGATGTAGTTGTAGTAGTAGAAGATATTAAAGAATTATCATTAATATTATTATTGTTATTATTATTCTTGGTTATTTCATTATTCTCAGCAGGAGTTGTAGATATATTAATAATTGGTGATAATGGTGCAGATGTATTATACTCTTCTTCTTCTTCATCTCCTTCTCCTTCTCCTTCCTCTCCTTTAACATCCTTCATTTCATTTGAAGAAGTAGAATCAGTTAAAGAAGAAGAGGAAGCATGTGAATGAGACAATGAGTTTAATTCATTGATAGATATTTCAACCGAATGAATTATCTTGCTGCTACCAAGTGATGACTGTGATGCTTTTAGTCTTTTTGTAGAAGGTGTATCTATCTTTTCTACTTTATCTTTATCATCATCATTATTACCATTTTCATTTGTATTGGTAGTTGTAATAGATGGTATAGGAGTAATATTATTTTCTATTATGGTGGTTGTATTCTTATCCTCTCGACTGTCATTATTATTATTATCGTTATCGTTATTATTATTATTTGTATTATGAGTTATTTCAGATACACTACTCTTTTTTTGAACAAGAGGGGACTTGAATTCTTCTTCAACACTTTCCTCTTCCTCATTAATGAGATATTCTGTGCTATCTTTCAATTCTCCTGGGTTATCATTATTTTCTCCTTCTTCTTCTTTTTGATTATTGTTATTATTATTGTTGGGGTAAGAGTCCACCATTCTTTTTTTTTAGTATTATTATATTATTATTAGTATTATTATATTTATATTAATATTATATTTATTTGGTTGGTAAAGTTGAGTATGGTGGAAATTATTATTATTATTATTATTATTAGATTTTTTTTTTTAAAATAATAAAAGAGGAAATATTTAAATTAGATATCGAGTTTTAGGTTTTAGGTTTTAGGTTTTAAGTTTTAAGGGTAATAAATAAATAAATAAATAATGATATATATATATAAAAAGATGAATGAATGGATTATATAATGAAATAAATCTATCTATCTATCTATCTATTTTTAAAAACATATATATGTGTGAGCTGGCTGCTGTGAAATTACTAGATTTAAAATAATCTTTTCAAAAAATAAAGATATTTAAAACTTGAATGAATAATTATATTTATAAATTATAATAATAATAATATAATTTATATATAAATCTTTGATGTCTCTCGTTGTGTCAGTGTCTGTCTGTTTGTTGTTGCCTATTCTTTCGGTTTATAGTGATTTTTAAATTTCGAACCAGAAGAAGAAGCTAAGGGTTATAGAGAGAGAAGGTGTGGTGTGTAACGAAAAAAAGTGAAGTGGTGGTGCACCGAGAATTGTGAGTTTGCGTATTGATTCGCGATTGACTGTGTGTTGATGATGATTCTTTTTGATCCACTTCGAAGACTGTGTATGTCCTGGTACTGAGTGAGGTGGTGTGAATGATAAATTAAACTTAAAGTGGAAGAGATAATAAAACCTAATGGTTTAGTGTGATGTTCAAAAGAAAAATAGGGCGTGTCTCCTCACTGTACTTGTCTTTTTTAAAAAAAATAAATTAAATTTAAAATAGTTCGCGAACAAGTGAGAGGTAGGGAGAGAGGGATATTTGTGTGTTTGGTTCTTTTGTCTAAAAATTTATTGAAGACATAAACATACTATACATACATTTAAAAAAATTAGTATTATTTATGTGATATATCACTCTCTTATATTATATATTACAAAAAGACAATAGATCTCTCATTATAATGAATGGGTTTTAAAAAGAAGAAGTTGTCGTTGTTTTAAAACTACTGCCTCTTTGAGGTCTACTAATGCTAAAGTGTGAGTTACAGGGGTCGGTCTGAAGATCCGACCTTGTCGTCATGGTTCGAAAAAAAAAACCGAAAAACTCCCGTTTAGGAAACTGTAAGACAATGCAGCACCGACAATTACAATGAGTATCACCACATGACGACGACGATCAGAATCTCTCTAATCATTGTATGCTCTTTAGATTCAGTTACAGAAATAGGTTGGTGAATAAGATTCAATTTCATCATCAAAAAGAGCTTATTATTATTGGTTAGTAGTACTAACAAATTTCAAAAAAAAAGATAAATTTATACGGATTGCATACTATTATGAACTTTGGTTGAAAGAAAATAAAATATGTTTGGTCTAGCTCTATACATGGTACTAGTGATCACTTTAGTGAGTTGGATAAAAAAAAACTATGCCAAAGGAGCAATGTGTCACGGTACAGCCACCATTGCAATTTGTTGAGCAGAATGAATAATATAATATAATACAAACGTATTAAATATTCAATCAAGCAATCATCATCATCCTCATCCTCTTCATCATCTCTATCACTATATCAGATTGGGTCAACACAAGAACAAATAAAAAATAATAACTAAAATAAATAACAAATAATTTATCGAGAGGATATTACTTACAGTATTAATTATTATAACTATAATAATAATAATATTAAAAGATATTAATATTAAAAAGAATAATAAATATATAATTTCTTATTCATATTTAAAATAAAATATGTAATTCAAATTTCATGACAAGCGATACAGAACAGTGACGCTTTGGACTGGAATTGTTTATTTCGATCAGACATTTTCACATCCAAAGTTTGCAGCAACCAAATAAATACAACGTTGGATAGAAACGGGGATCGGGTAGCTACTTCCAGCGTCCAGAGATACCCGACGGAATGATTCTATGCAGCTATCAACAGCAGCCATTAATATAATATCGCATGATCTTCCTTGACTACAGAGGGTGCCATTTTTGTCAGCAAATGAGTTTGCACATGTTCCGGGAGATGGCCAGTTCCCAGTATTGAAGGGATTGTATTTGATACATTTAACTGCGACATCATCGCAAGTGAGGGTGATATAGGGGCGGGGGATAGTAAGAGGAGGTGGTAGCATATTCATTCCACTTGGGAGTGCCATCACACAAGTGACGACCAGTAAAACTAAAAATAATAGGGCTTGTTGATACTTCATGACTTGTGAATATATAAATATATATTATTTGTTGTGTTGTGTTGGTGAGTGAATCAATAGAAAATATGAACATCAATTTTGGTTGTCTCGAATCAAAAATAAGAAAAAAAAAAAAAGAAATTTTGTGATCAAGATCCCGATGTCGAGCATGCTTTTGATCCCAAAAAGGAAAAAAAATATGGAATGGTTGTCCAACTCAACCGATACCATCCCTAACACCAAACCCAGTACAAAATAATAAAATAAATAACAAATAATCAATTAATTACTTTAATAATATTAAAATCATGAATCGTCGCGGTGGTGGGGATTTAATTGTTGAATGAATCTATCAACTAAAATTTTTTTTATGTTTATACCTAAAGATATATAATGCGACCATGGGTTACTATGATAAATAACAATATCAAGATACGACGGCTAAAGAAGGAAAAGATTTAATAGGTGCCAGTCAAGTTAGATAGATTATAATCATCTTCGTCAATCAACCAATGGTGAAACAACCAACACCACATTTTAAAATGTAAAGTAAAGTAAAGTAAGTAGTAAAATGAATAATAGTAGATTCAAGTTAGAGAATACTCGCAGTACTACTAGGGGTAGTCACTGGTTTGTCGTATTAATAATAGTGACACTACTACTACTACTATTATGTTATATTTCATTATCAAATGCACAGCAACAAACTATTCCTGATGATGAACGTATAAAGAATAATAAATAAATAAATAATAGTCATTTAGGGATTTTTTTTAAACAGTGAATTATAGATCTGATATCGAACCACTAAATATCTAATATTTTAGTTTAAACCCAACCCGTTCACTATGATTTTCTAGTCCGTTCCTTGATATTTTGTGGCCCGATATCCACCATGGCAACACCATTACTTACTTCTTTGATCATCATCAGCATTATTGTGATATTGAAGTTAAGTTATAAAACATGAATAACAATAATAATAATAGTAGAAGTATGTTTAGGTTCGAGACTACTCGGTACAGTCGTAGTAGTAGCAACCGTTACTATCTAGTGATGACGATAGTGACACTACTACTATGTTGTCATTATCATATTTCACTAACAAATGCACAACAACAACAAACTATTCCTGATGATGAACGTATGTATTGTATTCTTATATGAGTTTAATATAACTAACCCAACCAACCAACCAACCAAATTGGGTAACTAACCACCAACTAACAAACATTATTTTCTTTCAATTATTCTATCTATCTATTATTTATCTATCTATTATATCGATACTGTATATTATATATATCGAAGTTCAATCAGCTATTTTTTTAATAAGGTATAATAATAATTATAATTATTATTCTTTTTTTTTTATCCGACCAAATTAGATAGCTAACAAACACTCTTCTCTTTTTGTTATTTAGACAATATGGACTACCACTACCACAAAATCAGTCTCTCTGTGATCAAGGACCAAACTACTCATTTGCAAGATTTGTTTGTCGAAACAGCACATTTGATGGACAATATCGTATCGTTGAAGTGTATGTGCGAAAGAAATATATATAGATATATCACTCACACTCAAATTGCAATTTCTTTCTTTCTTTCTTTCTTTCTTTCTTTTCTTTAATTATTTCTTTAGGTATTTCAAATCATATAATTTTACAGATGGTGGCAACCCATCAACTTCTTTGACGACATTATCGATGCCTGCTCTAAGATTTGTCAATTTCAATATTGGTCAAGGAGGTGTTATCAATCGGTCAATCAATCTGTTAGAGTTGCTTAAATCTGCTAAAAGGTTATACCAAGTTCTAATATCCAATGATACATCGATCAGTTACATTCCAAACGATTTTAATAACTTTCCCGATCTTATGAATTTGGGCATAACCCTCGACCAACCATTAAGTGTACCTCGTACATTTTTAAACAACTCTGTCAGTATTCAATCAATCGATATTCGATTGCCAGTTTCATCGATTACGATAGACGATTCTCTCTTCTTTCCTTCTCTCCTTTCCTATGAGTTTTATTCCAATTGTACCTATGGATCACATCGTATCAATGTAACCGCTCGATCATTTCCAAAGCTCTTTGAGTTGTAAGTTTATAGATCTATCATAAACATAGCTACACTATAATTTAAAATTATTCTATAAAGACTAATAATAATAATCATTCTACTTAGATTCATCACCATTCTTCCAGGATCAAATACCACTGTCTACTTTAATCCAAAAGATACCAAAATACCTTCGAACCAAAGACCGGTAGTGTAAGTGTGTTTTGAAGAATATTAACATCAAGTCTCCCAATATTAATATTAATTTAATTTATTTTTACAAACATATGTAGACATTGTTACAGTCCTATCTTTAACAACTCCCAGTGCCATTTAACAATCGGAAATCCATCCAATATATACGAAATGTAAGATTTATATTTATCTATAAATATATAGATAGATAGATTGATATACATATAACACTTTTATTAATACCAATTCATTTATTATTTATTGTTGTGACTTTTATAACCAAAAGAGCGATCACTGGATATCAATCGACAGTATTCCCATATCCTGGTGGTTCTAGTTCTTCATTGTATTCAAACCTTGATACTTTACGGATGCTCGGAATGGGACTTACCTCGTTTTCATCCATCCCTCCACAATTGAATGATCTGTATGATTGATAATGTTACTCATATATTTTGTTGTCAATAATGAAATACTAATCTTATAATAATTTATTTTATTTTCCAAGAGAGTTGAGTCATAATAACATCCAGAACTTCCCAACTACAAACTTTCCATCCTTTTTTAGATATTTGCATCTTGATAATAACTTTAACTTCAATGGCCCCATTACTGAACCATTTTGTGGCATAACTGATTTGGACATCCGAAACACTTCAGTTACATTACTTCCAGATTGTGTCTGGTGTTACAAGGATCCTTCAGAGAGTCATGTTGTCAAAACAGATTTAGTGGTACCTCCGGGTTTTAGTTGTAATGGTTTGTATCTATATATCTATCTATCTATCAACGTCGTTGGTTTTAGTACTTGTCATACTTATTATTATTATTCTCAAATTATTTAAAAAAGTTACTATTAGTAACAAAAATAATCTTTTAGTTACCAATCAGAATATTGCTAATATTAAAGGTATGTAAACTACTATCTATCATAGATTCAACTAGGAGCTAATGATTAATTAAATTAATTACATTTTTATAAATAACCTATATATATATATATATATATAGGTAACAACATTGGATATGGATATAGACAATCAAATTATTCTATCGTCCCAGTAATACCAAACAAAGATTTGGCATTTGCATATTTGGGGGGTTCAACAATACCATCTATTCCAACTCAAGTTACAATCAATTTGAATCCACACATCGTTCAGATGATGATGGTCAATGGTGATATCACTATTGGACAACTGACTAGTTTACAAATCAAAAACAACATCACCTTCAATTTGATTTTGCTATTTAACTCATATTTTAATCACACAGTGACAATTGATAATCAAAATAGTGTTGCATGTACCAATCTAACAAATACTTCTTCAACCCAATTTCAATGTACAACACCTCTTTTATCGAGTGGAGATCATCAATTAATAGTTTCAAACTCATACACAGCTTCACAAAAGTCATTTACATTTTATTCATTTGCCTATCTCTGTCAACAATCAACCAACAATTGTCATGGGAATGGAAAATGTGATGTTGATGGTATATGTTTATGTAATAGTAATTCATTTTATAATAATTGTTCAAAACGTATGTAATTTTAATTAATTAAACTATTCAATCACCAATTAATATATTAACTATTTTATTATTTATATTTATTTATAATCCTAACCATAACATTTATTATTAAATAGCATACCCAATTATCAGTTCAGGAAATTATAACTCAACAAACAATAAGAATGTTGAGTTGAATGGTGATTTTGGTCCATCCCTCATTTCAAATGTATCAATCATGATTAACAATACAATCGAATGTGTTGTTGAATCAGTATCACAATTCCAAATCAATTGTATACTTGATCAACAACCATCATTTGGATTAGCTTCTGTTCAACTGAAATTGAATAATCATTTAAATACAATGGCAAAAGATATATTAAATCTTCAATCTCCGTCACAACCATCACAACCAATATCAAAATCAGAATGTGAAAAGATTACATTTAATTGTTATGGTCATGGATATTGTGATGATAATGGCAAATGTCAATGTCAAGATGGTTACAGTGTTATTGATAATTGCTTGACAAAATGTATGTATTAAAAGATAAATATTTAAATAATTAAATTAATTATTTTATTATTATTTGCAGATATCAACACAACAATCACACCCAATACAACCGATCCAACAGTATCATTTGATGTTGATGGACTTGACTTTGATTTTCTATTTGAAATATTTTCAGTTCAAGAATTGGATTTAGATGATCAAGTTATCAAGGAGCTATTTATATCCAATTACACTTGGAATGTAAATGCATCCACCATCAATAATAATCAAACCACTATTATCAACTATCAATTGAATACTACTTTATCCTCTTCAACATCATACCAACCAGCCCAAGTACAATCAACAATATCATTCTCTACACTTGCAAGAACGGTTGAATTTGGAGGACAACAACTATTAATCAACCCCAACTCTATCAAACTAGAGGTCAATATCAGCAAATGGCAATATTCATCAAACCTATCAACACTTCGAGTTGTATTCCAAAACATTGATCAACAACAACCAATCTATCCAATATGATTGTATCGACAAAGATATCTCAACATTTAGTTATGATTCATTATCATCGTTGCAATATCTCAGAGTAGTCAAAGACGGTATCCAATTCAACGGTCGATTCATTGATGTTGCAATGTCTGATGGAAGACCAACCTATTCACCAACTCAACTCATATCATCAACACCGATCAACGATGAACAATCAATTGTCAAGATTGGAATTCTATTTCCACAATGTCAAGAGTGTATCCTCGATCCAGATTTCAGTGCATTGATTGTAGACACCAACAATAGTGGTAGTCAATGTGACAATGAAGATTCAAACGATAGATGGAAGATGATTACTGGAATAGTTGTTGGAATAGTTGGAGCTGTAGTTTTATCAATCATCGCCTTTTATGGTATTAAGAGATTTAAGAGACACTTGATATTAAATCGTGAATCAATCTCCATGTCAAAATTAGATAATCAATAAAATTAATAAATAAATTAAATTAATTAAAATAAATATCCTCTGTCATGGATCGTACTTTCTCTCATATTCAACAAATCTTTCACAACCATGTTATTGAATCTATATACTCCAAATCAATTTATTAATTTAAAAAGAATACTTTTTAATAATTAGTTTTTACATATCACTTTGCTGAGGATTGGACTGTGGACTGCTTGTAGCCTGGACATTGGTCATCCTTTGATATAAATTTCCCTCAAAAACAAGTATGTCGGGGCTCCAAGGAGCACGGACAACAGGGTATAGAGGACTCCCATCCCCGGGTGGATTGTTAGGAGGATGGTTAGGAGGATAATGGGGTGGAGGGGGATGGTAAGGAGGATGAGGAGGATGGTAGTGAGGGGGAGGAGGTGGGTGTGCAAAGGGAAGCAATGATGTCTGGGGAGACATATAGTAATTTGAAATCCCAATATAATTTATATTCCTCTTACAAGTGCACTGCTGCATTTTGGTGCCTTTTGTTTGGACACATACAAAGAAAGAAAACTAACTTGTTGTGATTTAGAAAATGAATAATGAAGAACACATGCCACAAGAGCCTCCTCCTCCTCCTCCATTAAGTTTACAAGAAGAGGGGGCGGTAACATATGTTATGGATGATGAGGATGGAAGGGAGGGGCCTTGATTGGCCCACCAATACGTATGTCGCTAACAGATTTTTTTATAAAAGTTTGCTTAATTGGATCTGACCGCTTGTCGATTCGTATTGGCAACCAACCCCGTTCAGTTTTAGTGTTGACGCAATCGGTGTCACGGCTCCAAATTGGGATGATACCATTATAGATCTTCCACTTGACACTCTCTGGTTGATATCGCGACACCGACACCGTACCACGCTTTGTTGAACAAACAAACAATCAATTTGTACAGATGTGTTTGCTGGGCTCTATCTCTAAATTGTTAAGGAATTCTAGATTATCTTGCATTTGAATATATTACTGCTTACTAATACTACAACTACAAAGGTTGATGAAGAATAAATATCATGAATGAAAACAAACAATATCTCTCTTTCCTTTTATCTTTCTAGAGCCAATAGATGTAAGAGATCCTCATTATCTCTGTCCTCTCTTTCCTCACAACGTATTTTTTTTTTTTTTTTTGTTTTTCTTTTTTTTTTTTCATTCCTCTCACACTCTGAGTGTGCTGTGTTTTCAATGATGGTGATCATTAGACTACTTTATCATCATACATTAAGTAAAGAAAGAAGATGCAATTTTTACGTACTGCTACTCGTGTATTCTCAGCTACCCAACCATTAGCTGCCGTTCAAGGTTCAAGGTATGTGTCTAGTACAAAAGTAACAGCAACAAAGCAGTAGTAACAGAGACAACAACGACAACAATCAGATCAGATCAGAACAATCGATTCATTCATTCCACCACTTCACAACAAAAAACGACAGTGGTTGATCATAGACAACAGATTCATTCAATTAGCATTAGATCTTGTATACAAGTTGACATTATGCATCTTTACATTTGCAGATATGCGCAAGAATGATCAATCTGTACTGTGCGACAATCACACAACGAAAATTGGTCATAAATAATGAAGAATTTAAAAAGTCACTATTCAATCATGTATTGACAAGATAGAAGGATAGATAGATAGATAGATACAAACAAACAAGATCAATCGATAATAGACGTAGACGGACGGATAGATAAAACCGCCAACAATTTAGATGAAAACATCAACCAAATATGATGATCATCATCAATGTCAGACCATTCTACAACAAAAAAACTCCTTACTACAACAACAAAGATTAGATCGAATAATCTAGACAGACATAGTTGAAAGATCTTTGAAACTTTAACACAATTATTAACACATTACCACTTTTATTACATACCAATATAATATTATATAGAGGTTACTTTAAGAAGTTCCTCTTCCCAACTGAAAGACAATTGAGAACCGAACAACTCCACGAAAATGGTATCTTCCCAGGTAACCCAGCTTTCGATGCTTTCTATGACAAGCTCGAACAAACCCAAGTATCAAAGGATCTCAATATCCCAGATGCCTTGTTGGACGATCCACTCCTCCACGTCTCTGTCATCAAATACAACAAGCACGTCGTCGAAAAGTACAACTTATCCCCAGAGCAAGAAAAGTCTCTCTTGGAGGAATACGATCTCTCATATGGTGACTCGTCACTTGAATATATCCTCCCACTTCCAGTCCCAGAACACAACTTTGAAGAATTACCAGTCATCGTTCGTTATGATGGTGAACACTAAATAATTCAAATCAACACTCTCCCCCATGTTTTGTGATGATGATAAAAAAAGCATTACAAATCTGGATCATTAATAATAATAACAATAATAATAATAATAATATAAATATAAAATATAAATAGGAAGAAAAAAACTTTAAATTATTTGTAAAACCCACCATTCAATTGATTAATTACACTGTGCAGTGATATTTTGGTAATAATAATAATATTAAATAATCCTATCTATATTTAGGATTTATTTACTTTTATTAAGTTGAATTCTTTGTAGATTTTGAAATGGAACTCAAAATTGTTTTAAAAGTTTGAATTACATTAAAACCTGATGGACTAGTTGGTGGGGAGGAAATACTTTGTTCGATACATTCACGAACCAAATCCAACAACTCGGAATGGATTCTTAATAATTCCTCGATGGATTTGAATTTTGATTGTCTAACCATATCTGTAATGAGATTTGTTTCTTCATCATCAAAGTCTACACCAGTGCCAACATTGATTTGAGAGTTTTTGTACCATTCTTCGATTTGAAGTGTTTCAGCTTCTTGTTGTTCTTTTTCCTTGGCCTCTTTTTCCTCTCTTTCTTGTGTTTCTCTTTCCTCTCTTCTTTCCTTTTCCTCTCTTTCCTCCTTTTCATTTTCATCTTCAACCTCTACAACACCATTTTCTTGGTCTTGACTCATTTTCTTGTCACCATCTTCATCGTGATGATCTTTTCCATTTTCTTTCATCTTTTCATCTTGACTATCATCATGATCCTTATGAATACCATTTCCATTCATTAAAGTAGATGTTGTAGAAGTGGTTGAAGTAGTTGAAGTGGTAGAAATAGTAGTTGTAGAAGTAGCAGTGGAAGTAGTTTCGTCATTTTGATTCTTTTCTTCTCCATCTTTTTCTTTTTCCTTTTCGAGTTCATTTTCATCTTTTTCTTTATCAGTTTCTTCTTGACTTTGTTGTTGTTGAGTAGTTTCTTTATCCTTGTCAACAGAGACTCTCTTTTTACGTGGTCTTCTTAAAAATGAATCCATCATTTCCTGTGTAATTTGGGTAGGTGTTTCACCACGGAGTCTTGCACTTCTAGTTGCCATTCTTGGTTCTGGACCATTACCATTTAATTTTGCCAAACTTGATGATAATTGTACACTATTTACATGTTTATATTTTGGTGTAGGGATTGGTGGTGAACCCATAACATTATTACCATTACTATTACCGTTATTATTATTATTATTATTATTATTGTTGATATTTCTTTTTGGTAATTTTTTAGCAATTGTTTCACAAGCACTAACAAGACTTGGATCAAATTGTTCAACCATTTGTAATACTTCATCTTGTAATTGTTTGGCTCTTGAAATGGATTTGGCAGCATCGATTCCATCTGGATCATGGTGATTATAATATTCAATAGTATTGAATACAATAAGATCAATGTCATTCAAGAATGCTGAAAGACATGAATATTGATGATTCTCTAAATTACTTGAAACTCTATATAAACTCATAGGTGTTTCAATTAATTCATAATATTCTGGACATAATTCAATATTCTAAAAAAAAACAAATAAATAAATAATTTCTTTTTTTTGTTGTTTTTTTTTTGTTTTTATACTTACAACATCTCTAAAGAAAATTGCATATCTTCTATCATAAATAATCTTTGAAAGTGTTTCTCTTAACAATATTCTAATTTGTCTTAATAAATGTTCTTCACGTTTAACATCTCTTTGATCACCGGTCATCATTGGTACGATTGGTAAATTTTCCAATTCTCTTTTCTTTTCAATTTTCTTTTGATAGATTTGATATAATGAACTTTTAATTTCCTTGAACATATTTCTATAAAATTGTAATAATTCAATCTATAATAAATAGAAAGTAAATATATGTACTTGTATATTCATTGTTTCTTGTTACTTACATCTTTTGGATAATCAATTATAAATACACCCTTTTTCTTTGTACTAAACATTTCCAAGAGATCAGTTGGAATTGTATCCTTTGGTTGTTCAATGGTAGCAATGACAAAGATTGGTTGATCAGAATCCATATTGTGAAGATAACTAGAGAGAGTATTGGCAAGTGATGTTATTTCCCACCACTTGTCAATGTTGCAAAGATAGAGGACACTGGGAGCAACCTTTTTAGCTTCACTAAGGATTCTACAGCAAGACTCTTCGATTGATTTTGATGATGCATCTGATAGTAGGGTACAGATATCGATTGAAAAGGTTGGGAAATCTTCGAGGTTGTACAACAATGCATTGGCGAGTTGTATTTGACACATTCCCTTGTCTCCACCAATCAATAGTCTAGGACGATAGATAGAGTTGGTGGTCATTGTAAATGTAAACTTTTCCTTTTCCGGTAGTTGGTTGTTTTGTTCGAGTTGGGTGGTTTGTTGTTTCGACGCCACAGTAAGTTTGGCGAGTTGTGATTTGGGAAAGATGGCGGGTACGTAGGAATCGACCAAGTTCTTGAGATAGGGTTCGAGCAGTGGTTTGATGGTCGACGAGAGTGGAGCCGAGAATGACGACACGGAACGACGCGACGTGGGGACAATAGTACGCATCGATTCGATAAAGTTGTGTCGTTGCACGGTGATGCTGTTGACATTGAGCAGAAACTTGGAGCTGCCGTCACCGCTGTAGATCTGGGGGTAGGCAGATCGCAGTGCACCGAGGACTGACTCGGAACAGAGTGCTTTAATGTCTGCACCGCAGTATCCCGATGCACGCTCTGCCACCTCTTGAATGGTCGATTCGAGCAAGGGAGGTTTCCAGCTCTTTGTGTGGATCTCCAAGATACGCTTACGCGCGGATGCGTCGGGTAGGGAAAACATGAGCTCGCGGTCGAAACGTCCGGGACGTCTGAGCGCGGGGTCGATCGAGTCGACTCGGTTGGTGGCACCAATCACAATGACCTGTCCACGCGAGTCGAGCCCGTCCATCAATGCGAGCAGAGTAGATACGAGCGAGCTGTGGATCTGGTCCTGACGACTGCTTCGCACGGGTGCCAGCCCGTCAATCTCGTCGAAAAAGATGATCGACGGCTGCATCGACTTGGCCTGCTCAAACAGGATACGCAGCTGACGTTCGGCCTCACCCACCCACTTGCTCAGACAATCCGCACCCTTTCGCATGAAAAATGAGATGGGGCGATTACCCCCGGCAATCTTGTTGCACTCGTTGACAAGTGCACGTGCAACCAATGTCTTGCCTGTGCCTGGTGGGCCGTAAAACAGCACACCTTTGGGTGCCGATATATCAAACTTTTGGAATACCTCTGGGTAGACCAATGGAAGCATCAGCATCTCCTTGAGCAGACGAATGTGTCCGTCCAACCCACCGACACTGTCAAAACCAACCGTCGTATCTATTTGCAGTGGTTCGGATCCCGTCGCGGTAATGTCGCCACCACCATTATTATTATTATTGCTCGGATTGGATAGGTTGAAATTCATGGGAATATGTCCCCCCTTTGGTCCAAACGATCGTCCGGCCACACCGTTGATTGGAGTGACGGGGGTATCTGGTTCATTGTCGGAATTGTCAGTGTCTCGCGACGACGATCCATTTCGTCGTTGGGGTGGTGGTGGAATGTACATCTTGCCACCCGACACTCCTCTTGCCGAATGTTTTGGTGGGTATTCTTTGGTTGGATCATATCTACTTGTTGGAATACGTGTTCTTCTAGAGTTAGTTGGTGGTAGATTCTGTGCCCATGATGCACCTCTTGTCGTTGTTTTCTTCTTTTCAACCAAATCACCATTTTCATCCAATGGTGGTGTTGTATCTCCAACACTAATCGCATCTATATCTTCCTCCTCTTCTTCCTCTTCTTCTTCACCTTCTTCTTCTTCTTCTTCTTCTTCCTCTTGATCACTATGTTTTGAACCTTCTTGTTCTTCTTGTTCCTCGACAAGTTGTTTTCTCTTTCTCTTTCCAAATGCATTTAAACTAAGATCAAGTGTATTCAAATCAATAGTTGATGTACTTCTTGTTCTAGTGGTTGGTAGATTACTATTATTATTATTATTCGACGATATTGATTCTCGTTTAATTGGTTGACGCATTACACGTTGGTATGGGTTACTATTGTATTGTGAATCATCATCTGATTTTCTACCATTTCTAGTCGGTGTATGACTCTCCTCCTCTAATGTATCATGATAGAATCTTGGTTTCTTTATAGTTCTACCTGCTCTTGATTGTACCTATCATAACAATCAATCAATCATTAAACAGTTAGTTAATTGTCAATCATATCAATAGATTATCCTTTATACATACCATTGGAGGTGGAGATTGTTGTTGTGGTTGTTGTCTACCATAATTTGATCTACGAGTCGTTGTAGTAGTCGAATATCTCTTTGTGACTCTTCGTTGTTGTTGTTGTTCTTCTTCCTCTTCTTCCTCTTCTGAATCATAATCATCTTGATAAAGTTTCTTGACTGGTCGTCTTGGTCTAAGATTAAACTTTTTCTTTCTTGCTTCATCTTCCTCCTCCTCTTCATCCTCTTCATGATATTCTGAATATTCTTCTTCTTCTTGTTGTTGTGGTTGTTTCTCTTCTTCCTCTTCTTGTGTCTGATCCTCTATCTCTAATGGTTCTTCTTCTTCTTCTTCATTGTTGTCTTCTTGTGTATGTGGCTCATCATCTTGATCGACGCCGCTATCATCTCTAACTTGTTCCTCCTCTGTTTGAACCTCTTCTTCTTCCTCTTGTTGTTGTTGTTGTGATGGTTGACCTCTTCGTCTAGCTGATAAAGGGGTTGATGGCGCTGATTGTTGGAGTGCCGCAATCAGCGATGCTGATCTGCTTCTTCTTGTGAATGTCATCTAATCTATATCTACTTGTATATCATGTGTATATATCCAACTCTTTAAAGTGTATATCTCTATCTCTATTTGTGTCTAATGAAAATCAGATCAGTGATCGATGATTGAGTGTCAGTGACAGTGGTTTGTTTTCTTTGAAGAAGTGTCAAACGAAATGAAATGAAATGAGTCCGTCGTCTTTGTTTCGTCGTTCCTGATCGCAATTTAACTTTCAAAGTTTAAATGACACAATACAAATACCAAAAGAGAGAGAGAGAATGAATATATAGATATAGTAACTAAACTATGATATATTATACAAATAATAATAATAAACAGATAAGTATTAAACACACACACACACACAGAGAAATGTAAGTGAAAGAAAGAATGATTGGTATTTTGCTCTTTATCTCATATATATTAAAAATATTTATAAAATTTTTAATTAATTAAATGATTTTGAATGTCTCTTTGACTCTTTTATTTATCTGATGAATACATATGAGATACTCGAGTACAATACAACGCACTAGAACAACATTTTTTACTCTATCAATCCTACCTCGATTACAATAGATAGAGCAGGCAATGAGAGAATAAAAAGTTGTGTTCTAAATGGGTTGTTATCGTGATCGCCGTTCATGTCAAGAGGTGATGCTAGAAATCTCCCAATCTTATTTGTTTCTGAGGGTTTTTGGTCAATTGTCGAAACAAAAGACAAATGATACTAGTTCAAGACAAACGAGTAAAGTAGAGAGTCGACTCTGAGTAAATTAAATTCAAAAAAAATAAAAAAAATCAATTTTTGGTGATCTCTGCACTGCAGCCACTATTCTCTGAGACTGTGAGTTTGATCTTATTGAGCAGTAGTCGACTTCTACCATCTATCTATCATTGTATATTAAATTAAAGAGAGAAAAGAGATAAGATGACAATCGATTACAGACAAAGATGGGTACAAGATCTTCCACCTCCAGGTGGTTATGAACCATTACCATTCGGTAGACAAACACCAAAGATGGTTAGCGGCTACAAAATATTTGCTGGTGTTGGTTTGGTCATCTCTATTGGAACTTATTTATTCATTAATCAAAGACTTCAAGATTTGTATGTGTGATACATCAATCAGATTCTTATCATCATCAACGCATCATCATCGTTGGTTGCGTGATAAATGAATGAATCATTCATTCATTCATTCATTCATTCGATACTTGTACAAATACTAATACCAAATACTATTACAACTAATTACCCTTGCATTACAACTACAAACTTTAACAGGAGAAACGAAGAAGAAGAAAGAAGAAGATTAACAAAGATTTTACCTATTATTCAAGCTGAAAACGATATTATGTATGTGTTTATAGATAGATAGATAAACTGAAACACAACAGCGACAATATAATCAATGGATGTGATGACAATGAATGAAAACAAATGATGATTAACATATATTTGACAATGTTGCTATATTATTAGGTTCCTTGGATCAGCACATGAAAATGTATATCATACTAGATGGATGCCACCTTCAATCGATAGATGTGGTGCTTTCAAGATCATTCCACAGTCATGGGTTGCTGAAAAGAAGCAACACCATGGTGGTCACCACTAATTCATTTCAATTAGTGACCTAAACTAATAATAATAATATAATGATCTAGACAATAATAACAACCCAGTAATAATAATAATAATATACAAACCCTATTTTTTAATTTAAATAATCCATTGGTGGAATCAGACTAGATTGGTGATTTATATACAAACGTTATATATTCAATAATTTATTTACAAGTATTATATTTAGGGGTTGTTGGTTCTGTTTGGATTGGTTAGATTGATGATCCATTCATTTAATGACTAATGGATAACTTGTAGAATCGAATTGCATTGTCGTAATAGATATTTTGTTGTTCTTGGGGAGAGAGATGTTGGAATGCTCGATGTGTAAGGACTAACCATTCCTGATACTCTTCAGACGTGTGAACAGGGAAATCACTGCCCCACAAGAGTCGGGTGGATGGGAAACAACGGAGAAGATGTTTGATGTAGGTGAGAATCATCTGATTGGCACTATCGGCAGATGAAGGAGATGACGAAGGTGACGACGACAATTGAGAGGTAAGGGTAGCAGAGGCAGGGGAGGAGGATGAGGATGGTTTGTATTGGTTGTACATGCCAGAGACCTTGCATACTACATTGGGGGCATTCTCACCAAACCATTGCATATCAAGACTCCACTGAGAAAAGTCTGGTGAGTTGGCAGAGATGGTTGGTTTGGCAGCATGGTCAATTACAATTTTAAGATGTGGGTATCGTTCAACCAGTGTTTTGAGGTGTTTTAAATGACGTGGTTGTACTAAAGCTTCAAATACAATCTCTTGGGCTTGTAGATACTCCAAGACTTGGGCACCCTCTTTCTGTAGTATCCAATCATCTTGTGCAATGTCTTGGAGCATTGGTCGTACACCCAATAGCACCTGAGAACCGTCACCATCACGACTGGGGTGTTTGGCAGATCGAATGTGTTTGAGCCATGCAACAGACTTTTCTCCACCCATGACATCACACCATCCCACCACTCCTCTGACCAAAGGTTCATTTTTGGCAACGTCAATAAGATACTCTGTCTCTTGCTCTGTAGGTGCAGCATTAACCAATATAATGCCATCGACATGATGAGTGTGATATTGGTTCATATTGACTGCCTTGTAATCAGACACTGAATAGTCTCTATACAATCTTTCAAGTGCAGGTGTTAACCATCCATAATCACCTCTTGCAATTTGCCATACATGTACATGTGTATCAATTAATGATGTTTGGTCATACATTACTATATTTAAATATTTATCTCTTTTGATATTATTATTATCTCTTGATTTATTATTTTAGTATAATTACAATTGAAACAGCTGTGAAAAAAATAAAGAATGAACTCATTGAATGATTTGGGGTTGGTTAGGACAAAATCAAATCAAATTCCAAAAAAGGAAGTTTTTCTTTGGGTTGTTGGAAAAAAAATATTGAATCATCATTTATTTATTTTGATATATCGTAAAATATGTACAGGAATCTTTTTATTTTAAAAAGTTAATGTTCTTCTGTTTGGTTAATTAGGTTGTTTGTTGTTATTAATATTATCATTGTTGTTGTTGTTGTTGATGGACTGAAAAAAAAGTATTTAACAAACGCGATTATTTTAAATACTTTGGAATTGTTGTTGTTGTTGTTGGTTTTGTTGACTATAATATAATAAATTATTATTAAAAGGTATGATGATTGGTGGAAAGAGAGAAATATGGCGGTAGTTTTAATATAAAATGTGATGGAATGTAATGATTAGATTGATGGTCGACTATTATTATTATTATTATTATTATTATTATTAATTAATTAATTATTATTATTAATTATTTGAAGAAAGTGAATTGGAAGAATCCATTGATAGACATTTACTAGTTTCATCTTTAAGGTTCAAGATGTCATCCCAAAGGACACGATTTTCAATGTATGATTTTTCGCATTCCGTTAGTACGTCGATTGCTTCGATACAGGTGGGTCGAGTGGTAATATCCTTGTCCCAGCAGGAGAGAATGAGGTCTTTAATTTGTTGGGGTGCATTGTGTGGGATAGTTGGACGTAGGTTCTGATTGGATGTGTACAACATAATCTGGAACTCATTGAGCTTCTTGTATTCACCATAAGGATGTAGGTAGCGACCGTTGACAAGAGCAAAGGCAAGCTCCCAAAAGACGACTCCGAGTGAATAGACATCTGACTTTTCCGAGTACTCTTTACCCTGGAAGACTTCGGGTGCACAATAGGCTGATGTACCACGTGTCTTGTTGAGCGTCATCTGGTTGGACTTGGTGTTGAACCGAGACAGACCGAAATCGGCTACTTTGATGCGCCAGTCCCGTGTCACGAGGAAATTGAGTGATTTGACGTCACGATGCACAATCTGTGGCGACGACTGGTGCAACGTGGAGATACCGCGCAGCAACTGGCTGGCAAAGCTAAAGAACCGCTCCCACGTCATCTTTTCAGAGTGTAGTACCTGGTAAAGCGACCCTCTTGCACAATACTCCATGACGAGACAGATACGTGGTTCCAAAACGACACCATACAGCCCGACAATCATATTGGACTGAAGTGACGCGAGCACATGGAACTCTTTGAGAAACTCTTCACGGTTGTGTGCTTCGTCGGCAGATTTGAGCACTTTAATGGCGACTTCACGACCGCGATACAGTCCTTTATACACTTTACCAGAGATACCCGAGCCAATCTTGTCAGTGTACTCGAGTTCGTGTTGAGGGATGATCCAACGTCCGTTTTTAATGTCCATGTTTTCGAGTTCTTTGAGCAGGTCGATTGCACCGGGTGTGATGGCTGGCATGGTCGTGCCGCTGGGAATACGCTTGTGCTTGAGTGAGAGGAGTAACTTCTTTTGGTCTTCGTCGTAGCAACCGATACGCACCATCATACTGTCATCCATACGCGACAGCGACCCCTCTTGCGACAACTCTTCGAGTATCAACGCCATACGGAACTGTGTCAACTGACACATGACGAGCGAGTTGATGATGATCTCGAGTCGACGCAGCAGGTCGATGATCTCTGGTACCAGACAACTGGGTTCTTCGGCCAGCATCAACGGCGTCTTTTTCTCGGCAGTCGAGATGAGTGTCGGGTCGGCACCAGCAGTAATCAACGTCTTGAGCACGTCGATACGTCCGAGACGCACCGCATAATGCAACGCACTCTCACCCTTTTTATTGACCAGGTTGACGTTGGCGTTGTTTTTGAGCAGTACATAGACCATCAAAAGTCGGACGCTATTATTAAAGATCGCCTTGTGAAGAGGGGTCTCCCCATTATTGTTTTGCTCGTTGACATTGGCACCGCGCTCGATCAAGATCTGTGCAATCTTTTGGCATTCGGGCGACCGGTACTTTTGGCAAAAATAGTGTAGTGGTGTGTTACCATCAATGTTGCGTTCCTGGACACGTGTGTTGGGGTGGCGGATCAACTGCACCAGCATCGTGTCGGGAATGTCGCTAACCACAGCCACATGTAGCGGTGTGTATCCCTCTTTGTCGGGATGGTTGACTTCGTCGGATTTCTTGGACGTGTAATACTCGAGCAGGATCTGCATCATCTCTGCCTCGCCCGACTTTATCACGCTGATCAGTGGCGGATCCTCCGACCGACCCGGACGCAACGTGTTGAAAATGTTGCTGTTGTTGGTCGCCGCCGTCAAGTCCAAACTAGCACCCCGCGACTTTCGATGTGGCTTGTTGGCCGTGACCAACTCTCTACTCTTTCTCTGATTCAATGCCTGTTTTAATCCATCCACATTCTTTTGTGTTATACTCTCTGATAATAATTGTTTTTCTTGATGTAATAATAATGCCTCTATAATTTCAAATGCTTCTTCTTTATGAATAAATAAACAAAATTGATACTAAATGGAAAATTAAAAGTAAGTTAATATCTTTAAAAGTTATGATTATTATTATTTGAAGACATACATCTCTTTCATCAGTTTTAATTAAAATTCCATTTGGAGCTAAACCAGATTTCTTTTCTATACTTTTTATCGATGAAAAAGATATAACTTTTTGTCTCTGTTTGGTTTTATCAAAAACCAAATTATCATAAAAACATAAATAATGTTCAGTTAAATATAATTTACCATATTTTAATACAGATCCTTGATATCCACAACTATAATCTAAAAAATAAAATAAATAAAATAAATAAATGTTAATTTTCTTTAATAATTAATTGGTTTGTTTTTCTTTTTTTTTTTTCCTTTTTTTCTTACAAGTATAAACTTTTTCATCAAGTGGTACAAGAGATTTAAATAATTGTTGAAATTCTTTGGTTGCAGTATCAACACTACTTCTTCTAGATTTTGGAGTTGTCGATGTTGTTGTTGTCGTTGTAGTGGTTGAGGTGGTTGATGAAGTAGATATTGATAGACTGGAAGATAGACTTGCACTACTACTTGATAAATCAGCAATGGTTGCTGGTGATGAAGGAGAAGGAGAACTATGACTATTCTGTAGTGTGGTGCTTGAATGACTATGATGGATATTGAAATGTTGGTTTAGCTGTGGAATGTGACTAGTACTCATACTAGTATTGAGCATCGTCGGTGTGTAGGATCCTGCACTGTAGCTATGAGAAAGATTAAAACTACTACTATTCAATATTTCACTAGTGTTTGGTGTACTATTATTTTGATTATTATTATAATGACTACTATGATTGAGTGTTGGTAGACTGCTTGCAAGCAATTCTTTTTCCAAATTGTTGTTGGTGTGATGATGATGATGGTGATTATTAGATTGCATGATCTCTGTGGGTGTGGAAATTGCCAAATTTGTCGGTGTCGTTGTCGGTGTGGTTGTGGCCATTGGTGATTTACTACTGCTACTTTGAGTGTCTTTGATGGGCAGACTGGAACACGAGTGACTGATCTTGGTGGAACAGTTTTTGTGTGCGGCAAACCCGCAGTCTTTGCAAAGCAGCCCTTGCTTGCCCATGACGCCCGTGATAAACTGCTCGCACAGCGTGCACCGTGTTGGCTGTGTAAAATACTTGGATTTGAAGTGATGCGCCTTGAGAATAGGCGAGAGCGAGGACATGTTGAGCGCGTCGCTGCCGTTGGGACTGTGCACCCCCATGAGCAGGTTGAGCGCGCTGCTGGCCGACTCGCACTCGGACAGCGGGGTGGACGTGGCGACCAGGTTGCCGCTGCTGCTGTTGTGGCGTATAGGTGTGGTGATGGTGGTCGTGGTGGTCGTGCTCGTCGTCATTGCAATGTCGTCGACCGACACGTGTGGATGCTGCTGCAGACTGTGGAACAACTCGGCGCGCAAGACCGACACGGACCCGGCGTCGGTAGTATTTCCGGCAGCCGCGGCAGCGTTGATGGCGAGCGACGACGTCGACGACACTGATGACGACAAACTGGGTGTGCTGTTGGTGAGGTAGCTGAGCTGCGGGGCAGATGGGAGCGGGGGGAGGGGTGGAAGACTAGACGACACCATCATGGGGACGGGTGGTAGTGGTGGATAGACAAGCGGCGAGCTGTGCTTGTTGATCGCGCCGCCCGTTGAAAAGAGCAGCTCGTTACAACTCTTGGTCTGCTTTTGCTGCATCTTGAGTTGTTTGGCAACATCGCCAATCGAGCTGTGTGTTGGTACGTCACCACCATTGGCAACAATTGCCGGTAATGGTTGTGGTTGATGAATCTTTACAAATTTTGATGATGTCGTAGACATTCTACTTGTATTATTATTAATATTATTATTATTATTGTTAGTTTGAACGATCAATCCATTTCCATTGACTGCGCCAGATGATGGCTGCAAATGTTGTACAACCACTACACTCTCTTCCAATTGTTGTAGTTGTTGTAGTTGCAAATTGTTGCTCTCAATGATCAGCACTTTGTTTAGTATCTCGTCCACGTCGTCGGTGGTTGTCGTCGAGCTGCTTCCATTGCTGCTGTTGCTTCCATGTTTCTCGAGAGCTGGTGGTTGCTGCTGCTGCTGTTGCAAGAGTTGTCGTGTCGAGGTGGCCGTGCTGAGGGAAGGTGGTTTGGGGAGTGGCACGGGTGTGTTGCGCATCGACGACGCTGTCAACGTGCTGTTGCTGCGCAGGTTGGCCATGTTGCTACTCGACACTGATATATGATTGTGGTAGAGTGCGTCGACATCTTCCCCGACACTTCCACTTTTTCGCAAATGTCCAAGCAAGTCAGATTCTGATTGTGACGATGCAGACAGTGTAGGCGATTTAACCGACATGATTTTACCACCTACAATTAATCTAGTCTGATTGATATTATTATAACTTTTACTATTACTAATTTTAGGTATAATATTATTATTATTTTGGTTATGACTATATGAAAAGTTTGAGTGACTATTATTTATATTATTATTATTTGTTGAGTTGTTATTATTTGAATTATTACTACTACCACTATTACTACTAGGGTGTTGATGGTTAGGCGAACTGTCGATCATTGTTTTAAAAAGAAAATAATAAATAAATAAATAATTAATTTTATAAAAGTTAGTTTTTGTTTTGTGATCGTTGCAATTTAAATAATATTAATATGTGTGTGATATATTGATTATGGAAAACAATGTGATATATTGGTATGGTATGGTATGGACAAAAGAGGGGGTATGGATGGAATAGGTATGAGTGAACAAAGAAGAAGAGAGAGGATTTGGAAAATGAAATAAATAAAAACAAAAAAATCAAACAATCAAAAATGATTGTTGATTATTATTTCTTGTTCTATCTCTTCTCTCTCTCTCTCTGTTTGTGTGTGTGGTTATGGTTATGGTTATGGTTTAACTTGGATTGATGATGATGACTAACAAGACAAGCAAAGATGTTTGTTGTTGTTGTTCCGTGACTATTTTTCTTTGTTTGTGTGTGTATATATATCGTTCTATTTCTCTCTCTCTCTCTCTCTATTTTTATCTATTGTCAAATCTAATGATTTCTACTTTATTCTAATTTCTCCAACCAATTATTATTATTATTATTATTTATATTTATATGTTTGTTCTCTATCTATCTATTAATTATTATTTCTATTATTGGTTGTTCTCGCTTTGCTGCTGCTAACTTGCAAGTGCCAGCCTCTTCTCTCTCTTTTTATTATTATTATTATTGATGGTTGTTGGTTTATTAAAATTAATATTTTAATTTTAATTTTTGTTAAGATGATGATGATGATGTTGGTGATGGTAATAGTGATGATGATAAAATAATAAAAATAATATAAAGTGGAACCTTTTTCCTTGCTTGCTTGCTTCTTTACTAGTAGTGTTCTTTGTTTGTTTGTTATTATTGCTTGCTTGCTTGCTTCACTCCTAACAAACAAACAATTATAACATAACACAGGCAGTCATACAGGCAGGTAGGTAGACAGACAGTCAACAAACTAATCATTCACACAATATCAATACTGGTGAATAAATATGTGTGTGGTTGATTGATGGATGGTGTTAAAATCATATAACAAAAAAAAAAAAAAACCAAAACCAAACATCCAATCAATCACTACGCTACACTACGGTACTGTATGTTTTTTGTTGGATAGTGATGATAGAAAATACTACTACTACTCCTCCTCCTCTGTCCTACTAAACTTTTTGTTTCCTTTCCTGATTGATTGGTGGAAACACCGTCACGATGTTTTTCCCAATTATTTATATTCTTCTTCCTTCCTTGTCCTGTCCTGTCTGTCCTTTATTATCTTGTCCTGTCCTATCCTATCCTATCATATCTCGCATCATTCATACAAAAAAAAAAAAAACTATTGTGACAGAAAAAAAAAAAAAGAGGGAAAATCTTTTTTTTTGAAGAAAATCAATCATGTACCTGTTTTGTATCTGTATTGTACTATTCTATATTTTATATATCTCTAAACTCTCTTAGAATGTGTGTTTAGTTTAGTTTTCTTGTTTATGAATAAACATACTCTGTTATTGTTATTGTTGTTGTTGATGTTGTTGGACGTTGTTATTTTTGTTTGTGTATTTTGAGGAAGAGGAGAAGGTGATCTATATTTTCAACTCTTTTCTCTTCTCTCTCTCTTGTCTGTCCTGTCTGTCTATCTTATTCTTGTTGTTGTTGTTGGTAGTATATTATATATAATTTTTATAATATGTATACATAAGGAGGATGGAGAACAAAGGATAGAGGTGGAATAATATTATTCCAAAAAAAGCATCCATAAAACCCATGCTGGGAAAGCTTTAGAAAACAACCACCACAAATGCATATCAATTGTGAATCAAACAATTTTTTCAATTATAGAGGGTGGGTTACTACTATCTACCACCACCACCACCACTACCAAAAAGTCTACAATAGATATAAGTGATGGTGGTGGGTGGGTAGGGGAACGTGTGATTTGATTTGTATATAATATTGCCAAAAAACAGCAACAGTGAGTGGATGGAGAAGTGAAGAGAAGAGAAGAGTGTGGTGATGTTGGTTGGTTGGTTAGGTTGGCTGATCAATCGATTTCACCACCACATAAAAAGCATCAAACAGTGTGAACCAATCGTGTTGTTGTTGTTGTTGTTGAAAAACACCATGGTGTGATGGTGGTGGTGGTGGTTGAAAAAAAATGGGATACTACTCACCAGCAGCAGCAGCAGCAACAAGTTCATTGTCTATAGACAACAACAACTACACCAACTACACTACCCGTCGAGGTTGACAAAATCACTTGATTTCACAAACTTGGCAGAGAGATATTCGTTTTTCTGTCACAACCCTTCCTTGTCTTCCCATCAACGACATTCTAGAATCGGATCCGTGCTGCACATGTGTCATGTGTTGTTGTTGAGAAGGAAGGGGAGGGAATGATGGGGATGATTCGTTTAAAGGGATAGTTCGTCCCCCCCAAACGAGCGAGATAGGGTGTGCTCACAAGTATATAGATAACTGTACTACCTGATGTTATAATTGGTGATTTCCACCATCGATGGATTCTACTTTAGAAATAAGTAGTAGTAGTAGTTCCAAAAAAAGAACAACAACCAAAAAGAAGATCAAGATGGCGATGGCGATGATGATTGATGATGAAGCATTTAAAACGATGATATTCGGTGTGGTTGAGATGATTGGTGTTGTTGTTGTTGTTGATGATCGTCGATCAATAAAGATTATGTTGACAAATCAAATCAAATCTAATCTAAATATAATCTAATCTTACCCTGCAAAGTTAAAGTTATGGATGAATAAACGATGATGATCAACCAAATCTCTGTCTCTTTTAATGAATGTTTATAGTCTATAACTTTCTTTCTTTCTTTACCTGTTGTTAATTCAATCAACTAACTATTGATATTAATGAAAAGCATCATCACAATATAACTATTGTACTTACACATTTAAATTTAATGGTAACAACAACTATTAGGGCAACACAAATTATTTAATACATATCCCATCTGTGGGGTTGTTATGGTTGGTTGGTTCGTTCATTGACCATCACCACACTCTATTCCCCTAATCTTGATCGTACGTATAACATTAAATGCATATTCCGCGAATGATAACCAAATAAAGATAACACTTTGAATTCGATCGATAACACACAAACAAAACAATGAAGTTCATTCACCTTGGAGTTTTTTTGATTATTATTATAAATATACCTAATTTAATAAATATTATATAATCTAATCAAAAGGTGAAACTTAACTCACTACATTGGCAGATTTTAAAGGACCAAGTTAAGTCATTGTCATGATGCAGTTAGTATATTGGGTTACAGTCACTTTATACTTGTCGTCTATTCAAATGGATGTATCACTCAATCAACAATCAAACAATTCCAAAAAAATCATTGGTCCTTCCCAAAAAGCTATAATCATCTGTAACCATATCTCAATGTATAAAGTAATTATGGACCTATATATCAACAAGGTTTTTGAAACTGACTCTTTCCATTTGATAACAAATTTTTAAATTTATTTTTTATTTGTAAAATTAAATTAAATCAAAAAAATCAATCATCCAAAACAAAATTCCCAGAATATTAATATTAATATTAATATTTAAATTTAATACTTATCCAAATATATTCCCACTTTTATTTAATAATATAATGTTTTATTTATTTTAATTTCTCCAACGATTTATTTTCGAGGAAATTTGAATTTTTCCCTCCATTTTTTTTTTTATAGGTCGAGTTTTTGGAGGGAGTTCATTTCATTAACTTTTTTTTATCTCAAATTTTGTACAAAGATAACTTTATTTTATATTATTTCACATTACTTCTTCTCATCATTACAGTCACTCATACATACAAATAGATAGATCAGAGAATGGCAAATACACCAGTAAAGGGATGTTTGGAAAGATTTATTCAAGATGCAAATGGTAACACCAACTTGAATGAACCCAACATTATTGTTCAAATCTTTCAGATCAAAGTTAAAGATGGCAAATATACGTAAGTATTGAAAGATATATAGATAGAGTCAAGAGATTATTAATATTGCTTATTATTATTTATCAATTTATAATCATTTCTAGTGCAGTGATAACTGATGGAGCTACCAAGTTCCCAACAGTATTACCAAGCAACAATACACTCAGAGAATTTCAAATCATCCGTCTCAATTCATTTGCTGTGATGCAGGGCAAAAGATACGTGCAAATCTTCAACTATGATGTACTTGCAGATCTCCAGAGTTTGATTAATAACAACAACCTTACCTACCATACCGTCTACTCTGCTCAACAACAACAACAACAGCAACAAAAGCAACAAATTCAACAAACTGGTGGTCAACAACAACCACAACAACAACAACAACAACAACAACAACAACAATACCAACAACAACGAAATAATAATAATAATAATAATCAATATAACAATAATAATAATAATAACTATAATAATAATAACTATAATAATAATAATAATGGTGGTAATTATAGACAACCACAAGTATCATCATCACAAGGTAACAGTAATCAAAACAATATATGTGATATTGATGCATTGTCTGAGGGAATGGGTTCATACACGATTTGTGCAGTAGTCAAGAACAAGTCAGACATCAAGGAGTGGAAGAATGTGACAAGTAGTGGAAGATTGTTTTCGGTCGAGTTTGCCGACGACAGTCCCTCGACATGCAACACGATCAAGGCGACCGTGTTTGGCGACCCCTACTGCGCCTCTTTGCATCAACAACTAGAGGCTGGCAAAACTTACATGGTATCTGGTAGTGGTGGTGTGCGCAAGAACTCGCAAAAGTTCAACAATACCAAGCATCAGTACGAGCTGACCCTTGGACGAGACACCACGATCACCCCCGTCACCGACCAGTCGCAGGTGATCAAGTCGGCTGGCGTTGTCAAGTTCCAATTCACCCCCATCAACTCGTTGGTCTCTCTCGGCGCCAACATGATGGTCGATGTACTCGGCGAGGTGACGAGCGTGTCCACTCCAATCGACATCACAACCAAGGCTACAGAGAGGGCCAAAAGCAAAGTTCTGCCCAAGTGGGCCATTACCATCCGTGACAACACCAACTCGGGCATTGAAGTGTCGTTTTGGGGTGATGACGTCGCCAAGTATCTCAACCAGATTACTGTAGGCATGATTGTCGGTATCAAGAATGCCAAGCTCACCCAATTCAACGGACACTCGCTCAGCTTCGGGTACTCATCCGAGATTGTCTTGGATCCACGTCATCTCGACCAATACGAGGGGTTCCGTCAATGGATCGCCCACAACAGCGGCACAAACTGCGCCAGTCTCACCCAACGCTCGACCTTTACTGGCAACAGCACAAACAAGGACGCACCTGTCCTGACCGTCGCCGAATTGCTCGCAATCCAAACCGAGCCTTTCGATGCCAACAACAACCCCAACCAATACGTTGTCCATGGTACCATTCGCCGTGGTGCTTTTGCCAAGGAGATCTCCAGAGACAACGGTCCAACTGTCAGCACATGTTGGTACGAAGGATGTGCAGGTTGTTTCAAAAAAGTTTGTGGAGGTCTTCCTAAATGTGAAGCTCCACGTATGACCAATATGTAAGAAAAGAAAAGAATAGAAAGAATAGAAAGAAAGCAAATAAGAATCTCTATAGACAACAAACAAACAAACTAACATATTTTTCTTTTTCTTTAACTATAGTTGGAAACTACCAATTAAAATAGCAGATGATACTGGAACTCTCAGCAACGTTGACTTGTTCCAATCTATTGCCCTCCCTATTTTGGGCCCTATCAGTGATTATGAACATTTAGATTCCACTGCATTCATTGCCAAACTTGACAAGGAATTAGGTTTTGAAGCCAAAGTTGTTGTAAAGTACTCTCAAACTACCGGAAATGCACCTGCAGGTGGTGATGGAACAACAACTTATCACCGTTACAGTGTACATCAACTCGAACGTACCACCGGAGCACATTTACAAAATATTGCTCGTGATCTAGCCTTTGCACTCACTTCTGTTGTCATTCCAGATGAACAATAATCATCCACTCTTATAAATATATATATTACTAGAATTCAAAGATCAAACCTATCATTCTTTTCTTTTTCATCAACAACAACAATTGTTTAAAAATTAAATTAAATATTCAATTATAATTATACCCATTTTTATTTTAAAATAAATAAACTTTACTTTCTTTTTTTTTTAAAATAATAAATTATTTATCATTCCAATAAAAAAAGGGTTGAGCTTCAAGTTCAAGAGTTTAGGGTTTATTATTAATCTTTTTGGATAATAATAGAGAAAAGAATATATGTGTATTTGTAGAGACAAGGATGATGATGATTGATGAACCAATTAAAGGGTGTATGGATCAATACATCAATTCAGAGTATACAGGAGAAAGGATAAAAGATGATGATATAGTATTACAAGTTCAAAGATTAAAACCAACAAATAAATCGTATGTTATATCTCTATTTCTTCATTTCTTTTAATATTTGTAATACTAACTCTATTCCTCGATATATATAATATATATCTATAGATCATACATTCAATTATATCTATCAGATTCAATTCATTTGTTTACATCATTGTATCGAATCAAAAAGAAACATGATGACGACGATTATGATGTCTATGATGATGATAATCTTCTTCCACCAAAATGTAATGAATTGATTAGAATCAAATCATTAACATTAACAAAAGAGAAACATATTGTTATTAAAGAGTTTGAATCACTTGGTATTCTTTCAACACTGATTGGTCGACCTAAACTTCATATGGTCTATCAACCTCTTGTACAACGGTACATAACAGTCAGGAATCTTCAAAAATATAGTCAACCTAAACCATCTTCAGTATCAGAGGATCATGACAAACAATATGGAATCACAAGTTTAAAAGATTTGAAAGAGGGAGTCTCAGACTATCACTTGACCGTATGTGTATTGGTTAGAATGAAATCAGAGCTTAGAGAAGGACCAAGAGGTAGTGTATTTACATTAGAGTTGGTCGATACCAAAACACATGATTGTGTGCCGGCAGTATCATTTAGTCAGGAAATGTATGGCAAGCTTGAACAAGACAAGACATACTATATATATTTGAGACCTTCAAATTATACTGCAATTCATCCAGGATTTCCAAGGAATAATAACTCAAAATTTCAATTGGTCATTGACAAGACGGCCAAGGTATTAGAGGTACCTCCTCAACAAAGATTACATCAAGATGCATGGACCAAATTCAATTTTATAAATATCGATCAGTTGGGCCCAACTGCAATCCCTATCGAGACTGTCAATAGAGATTCAATATTGGTAGATGTAATTGGTAAAATATTGTCTATATCAGATATATCATCAATCGAATTGCGTAATGGTGGTATTGTCCCTACTCTATTAGTCAATATTTTCGACACTTCAAATACATCGATCGATATTACATTTTGGGGAGAACATGCACTTAGCTGTCAACAACAATTAAAAGTTGGTGATATTATAACTCTCTATCAAGTTAAATTGACCAATTACTCTGGTAGATCACTTTCATTTGCAACGTCTCGTCTTGATATCAATCCATCAAACTTTCCTCAATATCAACAACTTTTGGCATTTATCAATCATCCAACTACTATAGAGAGTAAGATATTGGAACCAAAAAACCTTTCATCCAACAAATCCCCAGACAAAGCAGATATGCATCCACCAATAACTGCTAAATACCTCCTTTCAAATCCAAATTTTGAAGATTATAAAGAAGGAGCTACAAATATCTATGTACTCAATGGTATATTTATCAAAGATCCAGTTCAACCAATCACAAAATCTTATAGGTATGAATGAAATACTCAATCAATCAATTATTATTATTATTAATTAAATTATTATTATTAATTTTTCTTTTTTTTTTCTTTGTTTCACAAAGCCAAACACATCGAAAATATATATTTACAGATGAAACTGGGTCAGTCAATATATCTATTATTGGATATTCTGAATCCAAAGTATTTGGTCCAAATGTCCAACAAGACAACAACACCACTAGTTCTTTACGAATGATGATTAAAAAAGAAAGACCTTCAGATGGTGAACATCATCAGATTTCAGGACCAGCTTTAAATTTCTCAATTGTCGGTGAAAACCTCAAATTATATGTACATAATATAAATACTCTAGGACTATAGGAAAATAAACTAGTAAGAATATATTTCCAAGAAAAATGAAATTCAATTTTCCGATTGCTTGTTCAAGATTTGAGTACAAGCTAAAGTGTCTCTAAATGTAAAATATGATATTAAATTAAATTTTGTATATTTAGACAAGTAGGTAGAGTTGTATAAACTTTTGAAAAGACACAATGACAACGACGATATTAGGAAGCTTGATCAAGTATATGACAGATGAGGATAGTATTGGAACGGTTGTACATTTCAATGTTGGTATAAACGTTCATATTGATTCGATCACACCATCTATATCGTCTATTACCTCTGATAATGAAGATAATAATGAAGATAATACATACAGGTAAGAAGAAGATGAAGAAGATGAAGAAGAAGAAGAAGAAGAACGGAAAAGAAACGTCCTTCTATTATTATTATTAATATAATATAGTTATAGTGCAGATATATATGATAATTTCTTCAAATATAAAGCAAAGTTACATTGTGATAGTGGTGGTTTACCAATTAACAATCAAACCATCAAGATTGTCAGACTCAAGGTTTCACTATCCGACCGACATGTACATATCTATCAATACTTGAGAATGCCAACAATGCCACTAAGAGACAAACAATACATTTCATATCATCCCGCTTACATTGAAGCGAAATCAACAACACCCTCTTATTCAAATATTGAGTATCTAGCAACTGGTCAAACAGTCTTTGCCATCAAGGTTCGTGTCAATAGAAAGACAGTGTCTGTAGACGGAATATTTCACCGTGTTGAATTGGTTGACAATAGTTCATCTACTCTCAATTCCATCGTTGCACTCATTCCAGCCAAACTCTCTGGCGATTACCTCTTTAATCGATTGCAAAAAGGTAAAACTTTTTCCATCGAGAGTGGACCTGGATGTAAAGTAAATACTTGGCCTACATTAGAGTCCAATACACCATGGTACGTGAATACTAGCTATTTTATAAACTGTTCCAAACAAAATCCTCTCTTTCTCCATTTGACAATCAACGCCATCATAACCAAGATACCACCACAACAATTGACAGAACCTCCTCAACCATTTTCAGGTCCACCAACCAAAAAACTTGTACTCCAGGCTATCTATTTTGCACCGTTTATGTTGGTCGATATCCTGGGTGAGGTACTCAGAGTACATCAACTTAGAGTGATCACCAAAAGAAAAAGAAATTATATCAAACAAATTCCTCATTTCTCTCTAGAACTTAAACGTGGCAGCGAAGCCATTGAAGTTGTATTTTGGGCAAAAGATGCATTGGCCTATTCAAAGATGGCTATCGAACCTGGTGATACTCTCTATATTACCAAACTTAAATGTGATCATCATCATGGAGGTTCCGTACTTTATTTTTTATCCATTTCTGATCTCGTCAAACAAACAGATAAAGATGTTGAAATGTATGACTTTTAAAAAACAAATGTAAATAAGATCAATAATAATAATAATAATAATAATAATAATAATAATAATAATAATAATAATAATAATAATAATAATAATAATAATAATAATAATAATAATAATAATAATAATAATAATAATAATAATAATAAATATTTATTTATTTATTTTAGAATTGAGTTTCTGGACGGTTCTTGAGGTATTCAGCAATTTGTGGAATTTGAGAAAACTTCAAGGCAAATGCTTCCAAGGTTGGGTATCCTTTGATTTGTTCACCAAAACCTAACTTTTTAAGATACTCAAAACCAAAATAGATTGCAATATCTCCCCATGTATATTGTTTTCCAACCTAATTTAATACAAAAAAAGAAATAAATAAAAAGGTTAATTTTATAAATATTTTTTTTAATATGTTTCTCTAGTTTACTTACAAAATGTTGACCTCCATTCTTGATTAATAACTCTTCTAATTTGGAAACAAACTTTTGAATGGTTTCATCTTTAAACTTTTGGAGCTTCTCTGGGTTGTCACGTGAAGAAAAGTATGGCGATAAAATATCCCAAAGTGAATCAGCAACACCATCAATCAAGGCACTTTCCAAGTCGGTAGAGCCAGCTAACCCATGTTGCTTGGCAACATAACGAGCAATGGCATAGGATTGAGAGATTCTGACATCATTGTCTTCATAAAAAGGTAATTGACCAAAAGCAAGCTTTTCAGATAATCCTTGAGTCTCTTTGATTGACTTTACTCTTTGATCATCAAACTTGACATTGGCAAAAGTTAAGATTAATCTAATAAGTTCACCACGACCTTGACCGTTAAACTATTCAATCGAAATAATAAAAAGAAAGAAAGAAAGAGAAATAAACATTAATATAATGTCGTACTTGTACTATTTAATATACTACATGAATGAATGAATAAATCATACATAATATAAAGTTGGAGACATTGTAGTATATTGATATTTGTTGTTGTTGTTGTTGTTGTTATTGTTGAGATAATTTGAATGAATGAATTACCAAACCATGGTTCAAGTATAAATAGTTTATGAAATTTCAAAATAAATGAATTTAATGTAATAGAATTAGAATCTAATCTCGTGATGAAAGATACTATTTTTGTTCACCACATTCCTCGGGTTTTCAGACCATTCTATTTCACCAAAATCATCATGATGTAAACAATTTTGATTATCAATGAGTTTTCAATGTAATTCTCTCTCTGCGGAATCTTGGTTATTATTATAATAATTGATTTGTTTTTTTTTATATAACATTTTATTTTTGATATCAATTTTTTTTTTGTTTTAAGCAACATAATTATATCTGTCACTTTCACCTTCGACTCTTTGAATATATTCCTTTTCAATTAATTGTTCTATACATTTCTTGATCATTGGGATATTTGGTTGGAAACGTAATCTAGAGTGTTCGATTACCTCTTGGATGAGAGCAACGTGATTCATCGTCTTTCTGGCCTTCATAATTCTGACAATCGATGCTTGAAGGTATAACTTTCTGTCTTCATCAATACCCTTGTATGTCTCTTCCACTTGAGCTTGAGTATCTTTTTGTAGTGAACTTGATACTTTAACTTTTAATCTTTTACTAAAATTATTTAAAATAAAAAAAAAGAATTATTTAAGTATTAAATTCATTAATTGATTCATTAATATTTTTTTTTCATACTTTATATAAGCCATATTTAAAATAAATTCTTGAGATGCAGAATCTGGATTCTTTTTCTGAAGGATTAATTTTGATTCTAAAAGTGATTGTAGAGTTCTTGGCAATTCGTTTTCGTTGAGACCAGTGAGTTTGGTGATATCATCATAGTTGACAAGTTCTTGAGCGTTGAAAAGTAACAAGATGCTTAGTTGGAAATTGGTGACTTGGAATTCATATGGTTTCTTGAGGTGAGTCGATTTGACTTCAGCCTTGGAGAGATGGTGCAACCAATTCAATCTACGACCTTGATGTTTGGTTTGGTAGTAATTGGTGAATCCTTCCATACAAATAATTAATTCTTGTGGAACATTAAAAGATGATGTTTGTGAATGTAATGACCAACTTCCAGATGTTAAAACTAAAATTGAAAAATCAACTAGAGTAAAAAGAATAAATAAAAAAAGGAATAGTTAATAATTTGATCGATATAAATATTTAATCAATATTAATAATATTTTTTACCTTTGCCCATTGGAACATTATTCATATCAATATGTCTTTTAAATTCTTCATTTGTTTCACCACTAAGTGTAATATCGGTAAACATTCTTTGGAATTTCGATGTGTATTCAAAACCACAGGCTTGTTTTAAACCTTGGATCATAAATCGTTCAGTATCATCTGAAACTGATGTTCCATTGATTAATCTACGTGATAACATCTTTGAATAAAACTTTTGGAATACATCTTTATCATCTACATATTTAAATAATACAATCTACAAATTGAAAATTGAAATAGAAAATATTAATATTAATATTTATATTTTTTGTTTTGTTTTTTTGTGTCTGTTTCTTACAATTTGACCAAGTTTTTCTTCAAGTTCAACTTCTTCAGTTGTTTTGGCACCCTTCTTTAACAATAAATCACAATATTTGGCAAGTAGTTCAGGTGATTTGGTTGTATTTTTAGTCAAATGATTTTGATTGAAAATCTTGTGACAAGCTGCATCCAATACAGTGATAAATGATACATCATTGTTAAATGATCTTTTAATCAACTCACTAAATCTTAAATAAATTTCCAATAAAGTTTCAACATATATTTTTGGATCCTATAAAAAATAATAATTAATTAATAAATTTGTTTGTTTGTTTGTTCATTAAATTACATACAGCAATATTTTTATCAGGAATAGCTTTTAATGAATCAAAACCAGTTTGTTGAATATAATTTTGTACAGTTTCCAATACTGGACTAAGTCCACCTTCAATTCTTGACAATAATTTATATAATCTATGAATATCTAAAAATTAATTAAATTAATATAATGGTAATCTAAATTTTGTTAATATTATATTATTTCTGACATACGATCTAATTTTTCGTCCTTTAAATAATTAATACATTCAGAATGAATTGATTCTTTATGTCTTTCGATGAGGATGGAATCCAATAGACGTTTCAACTTTTCATGAGACGATGAATTCAAATATTTCTGAGATCGATGGTACTCTTCATCGATACGTTTCTCTGCCTTTTGCAAGTAATTTGAAATACCATGTGCTGCAATAAATGCAGATGACTCTCTTGAATAAAATTGTTTGGTGTTTTCCAAATAAGATGCTTCATATTCTGTTCTATATAAATATTTATCAACTCCATCAAGTTTAACTAAAAATAAAAGAAAAAGAAAAAGGTTTATAAATTATTAATAATTAATGTTTTTTTCAACCATATCTTGTTTTGTTTTGTTTTTTTGTTTAACATACTTAAACTTTCCATAAATTGTGTAATGGCAGAATGTTCAACAATTTCACCATCTCTATCTTGTTGAATGAGAACCTCTACACATCTTAAAGCTCTATCTTTGATCTTATGGAATAATCTTTCTTTCCATGTCATTAATGCCAACTATATAGAAATAAATTGCAATCAAAATTAATTAATTAGACCAACATTCATCTCATTCTCTCAAACATACATTAATAATTGTATAAACATTTGGCTGTCCCATTTTCTTATCAACCATTTTCTTATTGACCCAATTATCATTCTACAAATGGAAATAAATCATTAGCAATTAGTTTCATATGATATGATATGTTATGTTGTTAACTAACTTACAAGATATCTAAATACAATATTACAACCATGAGCACCAACTGAAAACTTTGCCCATTGCTTGAGATATTCAGAGATTGTATCAGAGCTTGTTGTGAGAATAGCTTCTCTCAACTTGTCAACATGTTCTTCAAAGAATCTTTGAATGTTTTCATACAATGGTTGATTAAGTGGTTGTGGTTGTGATATACATAATCTATATACATCTCTAGAGATGTAGAATAATCATTATAATTTTATAGGAAAGAATAAAGATTAGTAAGAAATATCTTTTTAATCTCACGTCATCAAAAATTAAAATCTGCATCCCATTGATTGATTGATCAACAACACATCAACCAATAATTCTTGTCCTTTCATTGATCGACTATGACTATGATGTCTAACTGTACACCTTTGTCCTGATGACACCTACTCTATTAATTCCATGCATTTTACATTTGATTCACCTGTCAATAACTTGAACATTCCACTTGATAATGTTTCCCAGGTTGCGTTAAAGTCAACTGCCTTTCGCATCTGTTGGTTTAATGCCATCATGATTTGATGATGATTTATGTTCTTATCTTTGTAAAGATAATAATACTAATGATGATGATGATGGTTATTGAGTTTACTAATTATATATGACTGATTATTGATTGCTATTGTTATGAATAATGATTCTATCTATCTATCTATCTATCTATCTATCTATCTATCTATCTATCTTATCTATCTTATTACAATCGGGTAATAAAAAGAGAGAAAAGGAAGAAGAAAAAGAGGAAGAGGAGGAGGAGGAGGAGTTTGGTTGTTAATTAAAAGATAGATTAGAGAAGTAAGTATAACAACAGTAGTAGTATAGTAATTGATGATTGATGTTATGAGTGAGAGTGTAAGAGTAGGAAGAAGAAGAGTGTAAACAGACAGTGCTGAGCAAATATACAAGTAATAATAACAAAAAAAGTATACAACAACCACTATCAAACAACAATAATAATTCATTCATTCAATCCAAGCAAGTTGTTTGCAAAGAAAAGTGGGGGTCAGCAAAAAATTGATTCAAAACTTCCAAAATTAGAAAGAAACATGAATTGTTTCTTGTTTTGACAACAACAAGGAATTTTTAGTCTTATCTTTGTGATGAGTAAATAAGAATATTTTTAGATTGATTATTTATTTAATATTAAATGTTCTAATGAGTCAGTATAACTTGACTGATAGATATTTTGATTTATCAAATCAAATAATAAATCATTTTCATTGTGGTTCAAAAAAAAAAATAGATTGGTTGATCACCCCCCCCCCCCCCCCCCCCCACCACACTCATCCCATTCCGATGAACTACCATTATTATTATATTGTTATATCTATATAGATATAACTATTAGTCTAATTTATTGATTTATCCAACGACATTGTTCAAAGAATTCTAATATTTTTGATATTTTAGATTGATCCAATTCAATTAGTTTAGAGATATTGGATAATTTGATAAGTGGTTGTTTGGTTGGTGGTGGTTGTTGTTTGGATAATTTAGTTGATTCTGCTAAGATGGTTTCTTTGATTAATAAATATTGACGTGGAAGTATACGAATAGATGAACACAGTTGTTTCTCTTTAATCGATAGTGCATTGGCATTGGGTATACCTTCAAATTCGAGATCGACATTTTTCTTTAGTTTGGTTGGTTTCCTATCTTGATGGTTTTTGATACCCAAAAACGTGTCCTCTCGGTCTTTGACCAACTCTGACCTCGATTTATACACTGTTGGCTTTTCAGCATGATATGATGTCAATTCACTCTTACTCTTTCTAACACTCTTTTCTTGTTCACGTTTTCTCTTGTCTTCTTCAAATTGATTTGCTTCTTCAAATGTTCTAATTCCATTTGCTCTATATTCCTGTATTTGTTTAATTCTTGTCATTAAATTCTTTTCAGCTAAAAGAGTAAAATAAATAAATAAATACAAAAGTAAATAAATTATATTATATTATATTTATATTTATGTATCTCTCTCTACTTACCAATGACACCATTTACCAATTTTTCATGATCTTCTTTGGACATTGATTGTAAAAATACTTTTAGAGAATTGAAAACTTCCTTGTCATCTTTAACTCTTTTTCTTTCCATTCTCTTGTAGTCCAATAACCCCTTTTCAATGATAAAGTTTCTTCTTGATATTCTTTCATTCAAGCGTTGATTGTATGCATCCAATACTTGTAGTTTAATTTCTCTATCAGATGGTGGATCATCTTGTTCAAAACCCAAGTCTTTAATAACAACCTCGGCATCATTATCGTATTCATACTCAAAGTGTCCTCTATTCTTCATAAACCCTACTGAATCGGTGACCGGGCCAGATGGTCCTTCAGATGTATCTGCATTCTTCTTATTTTTTCTTTCTATAAAAAGAAAAACAAAAGTTGTGTCAATAATAACGATATATAGCATGTAATTATTAGGTGAATAGGGAATGGGAAGGGAGGATCTGTAATAAATAAAAAATTATATGTATATGATTTGGATATGGTTTGTTTTTTGATTGATTTGTTTGTTGTTTATTACACGTTGGTAGTGATTGGGATTCTGTGACCCTCGTCAGCATCATGATCCTCCCCTCCGATTCTCTTGTGTATATAATATAAATTTTCGTTACCATTTGGATTATAAAAGGTTGGTTTGGCTCTCTTAAAATGTACATTTTCATTGGTTGTTAATACTTTTGATGTATCCTACACATAAACAAAGATAAATAAATATTAATATTAATATTTTGTTATTGGATTGTTGTTATTTGTTTGGTTTGTAGACATACGGGTAATGGTGAGGTTGATGAATTTAAATAATAGGTAAAGTAATGGTTACGACAATCGAGTGGTGACTTGGTGCCTACGTTGTCTGAGATTTCGTTCCAGTTGCCCATGTTGAATGATTCGATGGCTTCGAGGAGAAGGAGTTCTTCGTCGGCACCCCAGTCCTCTGTAAACATGGGGAAATGCATGTTATCAATGACTTGGTAGTCATGGTGGTTCTTGTGGGGATAGATCTCGGCGCCGACACTAAAACATTCGAGACAGAGATCAAAGTCTTCGCACACTGAACACTTGATCTTGACGACATTACTTAGATCCTTTTGACAATAATCGCAATGATACTGGATTGCATTGGGTGGTTTACCAGCTTCATCCGATGAGTCTGTTGTACCATGACCACCCGTGTCACCTCCACCTACAGAGACATCACCTCGAGATGATGATCTTCCACCTGTTGAGGAGTTGGTCGGTGAAGTTGTACCACTCGAACTATTTCTCATCTTTTTTTTCTTTTGTTGTTGTGTTGCTGATGGTGATGCAGATGCAGATGCTGCTTTGTCACCGTGACCGTGTCCACCATGTAATTGTCGACGCTTATTGTTCTTCTTTGGTGTTCCGTGTGAGTGTGAATGGTATACTTCATCTTCATCGTCGTCATCATCTTCTTCCTCCTCTTCGTCGGCCGGTGGTATATAGTCTTCCTCTTCTTCTTCTTCAAAGTCGGGGTCATCGTCTTCATCGTCATTCTCGTCGTCACCCTCTTCAATGTCGTCAACATCCATTCCTCCACGATGACCCGTCACACCAGCACTGGTGTATCCGTCGTCATCGAGCGTCGACACCGACACCCCATCCTCAGACAGATCATCGTCAAAGCTTATATTGATTCTCTTGCCTGCACTTCTTGCCCGTGTCGTCAAAGGTATATCCGCATCATCACTCGTCGTCGAAGCAGAAGCTCCTCTTCTCCTCTTATTAATCGCTATTGATGTCTCTTCATTATCACTTGTCTCCATCTCTCTCTATCTATATACAATGTTTGATTTGATCTATCTTTCTATCCTCTCTATCTTATTCTTCCTTTATTTAATACATCTAGTAGTATCTCTCTCTCCTTCTTCTTCTTCTTCTTTATAAATATATATACACAATAAAAAATGAAACAAAATAATATAATAAAAGAATCAAACCCACACAATCATTCAACTTTCAAAAAAATGGGAGGGAAATTTATTCGTGCAACATGTTTCGATGTTAAGTATTATCATACACACACATATACATATAAATATGATCAAATAGTATATATATAAAGTAATGATGTGAGGCATCTCTATCTATCTATCTATCATATTCTGTCTGTATGTATCAATACTCGAAAAGAGAAGATATGTTTCACGAAACCACCTTCACCCTTTGTCTTTGTATTCATCACAACACAATCGATCTATTTGATCTATCTTTTTTAACCTCTTTGACTCGAGTCTGATTGACAGTTCATTTTGGTTAGAGTTCTCTATCTCTCTGCTCACTCAAACAACAAAAAGTTAACCAACGAAATTGATTGGATGGGAAAGACCAAAGAGAGAAAAAAAAAAAAGATAATTTAATCCCCGAAGTTGGGAAATCCTTCGAAGCACTTCCCCGTCAACACCCCTTTCCCAAAAAAGAATCAACCAAAGGTTTTTCATCTAGATGTATTGGTGGGGAGGGGTAGAGATGAGGTGTGGGGCTGGTTCGTTCATTCAATGAGCCCTGAAGAGACTCTTCTTGCTTTTTCAACACCTTTCCAACATTGGTTATGATTTTTTTTGGGAAACCGTTTCATAATTAAATTAACATCAGCACGCCTCTACCTTTGTTGATTGACTAAATCATCATCACTCATTATTAAATACCATCACACATCATATTTCATTTGTTTATATTTCATTCCCAAGTCAAGTTAACTTGTCAATCTTATCTATTTATCTAATCTTAATCTATTTCAATTTAGTGTTTAAATTATCAAACAACTTGTTGAAACTAAAGAACTAATAGTGTAGTAAGAAAACAAACGCTACATGCACATTTTAAAATAAGGGTAAGTCTCTTCTTCTCATTGTCCTCATCGCAAGACAACACGAACAGCAACACCTCATAGCACTATTTCAAAAAAGATGGAGCTCAAATAGGATCCTATCAAATGTCAACTATGACATCTGTCACCAAAGACCAAAGAAGTTCCTCGAGGAACATCATTCATCGTTGCCATGTTATTGTTATTGTTTGTTTTATTTGTTAATTTCAATGGAACCAATCAAATACCTTTAGAGGTATCTCGACAAAAAACAATTGGGGCAATTTTTTTAAATTGTTTCCTTTTTTGTCGTTTTTTGCTTGAACAACAGTTTTTGGCGGCGTTGTGGGTGACAACAAAACAAAGGCAAAGCTAATAGTTTGCCTCTCTTGACACTTTGACTGGAGTTTAGTTCATGTTGTGGGGTTTTTTGGAGATGTCATCACTCTGTTGTTTATTTTTCATAGAGTGTGGTGGTGGTGGCAACCTCCCAAATACAATGATATGACACTTTTTAAATTTAGTAGGTGGAGCTCAAATAGGATCAAATGTTTGGTTGATGGTTTATTGCAGCTTGTTATAAATATTAACACACTAGCCAATCCCACCACACACCACTCACCATTCTACTCGACGATTGAACCAACACATAATAATAATAATAATAACTTATAATAATAACAACAACAACAGTAAATAGATAATTTGATTTAATTAAATTTCCCAAGGAAGTTGACCCACCACACACCAACCAAAAAGAACAAACAGGAAATGATTTCATTTCATCTTTTGAAATTTCCTTCTCTTGATATTAGCAACACCAACAACCAACAATAATCATCTTACACTCTTAGTATAGCTTAGCTTCTACTATTACCTATCAAATCAACAATTAATATCTTTATAAATATAAATATAAATATTTTTAGTTTATTTATTTATTTATTTATTTATTACACCTTCACTAACACCAAATATTAAATTTGTTAGTATAACCAAAGTTGAACTTTCAATTCAAACAATTTATTACAACACACCAATCAACCAACCAAACAAAAGAAAGAAGAAAAAAAGGTAAAGTATAAACTACAAATTTCAACCAAATCCATCCAACACCAATTTCATCCAACACCAACCAATATTCGTTCAATTCCAACAACAAATAATATTGCCCTCATATTATTATATTATATTATATTCAAACAATTTTAACTGTTGTTGTCGTTGTTATTGTAATTTTCCATACCATATTTAAATAATATCAAATTTATTTATTATGGTTAGGGAGCTGCCAGTAGTAGTAGTAGTAGTAGCAGTATCTCAACCTCATCGAGAGTTTCAGCTGATGAAAGAATGATAGGTCAGTTGCTATTGTTGGTGGTCGTACATAGGGTAATGGGGTGATTCACTTTGAGTTTTATCTAATCACCCACCCCTTCTCTCTTCCATTTGCAGTTCCATTTGCAATTTTTTTTTTTTTTCATTCATTTATTTTTCCAACTTTATGTGTACATCATCATCAACAGCATCAGCATCAGCTGAATGATATATGATATATGATACATCCAACCCCAAGATCATCATCATCGCATTAACAATAGGAAGGAATAATAATCACCATCATCAAATAATAATAGTTGATCATTAATCATATCTGTTGCTATTGGAGAGACATAGATAGAGAGGTAGAGAGATATAGATTGGGAGAGCGGGGTACTGTATGTAAAGGAGGTTATTGGTTATTTTTATTTACCCACCAATCCATTCACCCACTCACCTCTTATAAGTTAAGGTTACATGTATGTATCTGCATGTTTCCATATTGTGTTTTTATGATGGGGTGTTGTTCATTCCAAAATTTGGAATTAGTATAGTATAGTATAGTATGATACAGGCATACATATCAAGCATATCGTACTGCTAATGTTACTACTACTGCTCCATCCAACCACCCACCTCAACCATCCATCCAACAACAGTACAAGGTGTGTGTGGGTGAGTGGGGGTACCCCTACCACACTACCCACAATCCTAATTGAATGTACAATTAAACGCAATTCAATTTCAAATCCAAATTGAATTTTATCTATTATCCCAAATCATTTTTTATTCTTTCTCGATATTATTATTGTGCTTTATATATACATACTACATACATATTTTAGTATAGTAGTTTTCATTCATTCTCATTCACACCAAAAATATATAAATTATAATTTTTGATGATAGATAAGAGACAGACAAAGAGACAGACATAGAGAGAGAGAGAGAAAGAGATAATAAGATAAAATATTATTGTATTGTATGTGACATTAGTATATTATCATTCACTCATTCACTCACTCGCCATCCATCACCATCACCATCATCATCATCAACACAGGACAAGACAAGACAGGATAGGACATATAATAGATAGATATTTTTTTATCATTTTTGTTTGTCCTTGCCTTTTTTATCATAAACGTTAAATTTCCACTCACTCGAAATTTACTGGTCAAGAATCAGGCAATCTAGAAACTTGTTTTTTTTTTTTCATTTTTTAATTTGGGGTTTTTAGTAATACCAAATTAATCGTCCATAATCATCATAACAAACAACAATCACTCTCATCATACATACATACATACATAGTTTTATAGTTTTCAATCAATTTATTTGTACATACTGCGCAATCACTACCCTATATCCACCACCCTTCCTTCCTTCATCTTTTTTGTATATTCCATTCAATTTCATTATCATCTTAGTATTCATCATAATCATCATTATCATAGTTTAGAATCTCAACAAAACATACACATAAACATAATTTAAATTGTAATTATTTGTTTTTTTTTTTTTTAATTAATTTAATTGGAACAATTATATTATTATTATTATTATTATTGATTGGATTGACAATGAAAACTAATATTAATATCATTATAATCTTTTATATTATAATTTCTATAGAAAATATAAAATTAAAACAATGGCATTCTTATTAAATCATAACTTCCAAGTCCAATTAAGAAATAGTCAAAATGCGTCTAACCAATTTCCAAACTACTTTGGTATTCAAAAGAGCCCACCAAAGAAATTTGTGTTGAACCATTTTGACGATTCGTACCCACTCGACATGCAACCATATCGCAAACCATCGGATGAGGACGATTACAGATACACTTCATTTACTTTAAATACTGGTAGTAGTAGTAATGCTGTTGATGAACAATTAATGTTTGCCATAGATGACATATAAACAAAGAGTTCATCATCACATCATTTATTATTACGCTAGAATATACACACAACATATACACACACATACACATACACACCAACCAAACCATCCAATAATTAACTGTATAAAAAAAAACATCTACCAACAACCAACCAACCTTTACCTTTTGAAAAAAAGAAAAAAAAATCCACAATCAAATAATAATAATAATAATAACAAAGAATAACAAATAATAATAATTAATTAATCAATCAATCAAATAGAAATTCCTATCTTCTTCGAAGTGCTTGAAGAAAGAGAGGTGCTCGTCTAATTCATTGCATACCTCCGCAAACATTTAAATAAAATAAAAAATAAAATTAATCAAATTTAACAAAATGATTTGATCATATATTACACTCTAAATATTTATGATACCAATTGATCTATCATTAAACAATGAATAGGAAATTATAATTTATTTAATTTAATTTAATTTTTTTAAAAAGGAAGAAAGAACCTGTAGTCTTGCTGAGTTCATCAAAAAAACTATTAAATTCAAAACTATTAAAATTTAATATAAATATATACAATTGTGAAATAATGACAGATAACAATAATACTACTGATAATGAAGAAGTAAGCTTTACATGTCCTCCTTGGTATGAAGATCTTAAATGATGAATAAAGCTCACATGATGATGTATATACAGCAAAGTTGGTTGTGTTAACACATTTTTGTTGTACATAGGGCTACAGTACCAGATTTCCCAGCCTATTTAGTAACAAAAGATACAAATGAAAGAATAGATTTGAATAAAGAGAAATACCTTATCTTTGGTAGAAACAAAGATCACTGTAATATAGTAATCGATCATCCCTCTGTATCAAGAATTCATGCTGCACTTATATACCATGGAGCAAACAATAGATTCTATCTTATCGATTTACAATCATGTATGTACACAAATTATATAAAAAAGATATATTGTATCAACATGTTCATTCAATTAACTTATATATGTTTGTATAGCAAGTGGAACCTATGTAAATGGAGAAAAGATTGCAGTTCATGCACCAGCATCTATTAAAGAGGATTTTACAATGAGATTTGGTGATGATCAAAAAGAGTTTACATTAAAAGGTGCAAATTTAAAACAATCCTCTTCATCATCGTCGTCCTCTAAATCTAAAAAAGAAAACAGTGGTCTTACCAAGGTACAATGTAGACATTTATTGGTTAAACATAGAGAATCTAGAAACCCACGTTCATGGAGACAAGAAAATGAAATCACTAGAACAAAGGAAGAGGCTATGGTAAAATTACAAGGATATAGAGACATGATTACCAGTGGCAGTCACAAGTTTGACGAGTTGGCACACAAGTACTCGGATTGCAGCAGTGCCAAACGAGGTGGAGATTTGGGTTTCTTTACCCGAGGACAAATGCAAAAAGCCTTTGAAGATGCTTCTTTTGCTTTACAAGTTGGTGAAATGACCGAAATTGTCTCTACCGATTCAGGTGTTCATATCATTGAAAGAACTGCCTAAAAAAATAAATAAATAGATACGTAAATCAAACATAATGTTGTGTTTGGGATTTCATTTAATTAATTTAAATGGGAAAATGATTTGCGACACCTTTCGATTAAAGTTTAAATGAAATTACATTGCATCATTGTATCTTTTAAGTATATGTTTGATATACAGATAAAGTAGATTCTTTAAAAGACGATGATGATGTTAAATAGAACAAAATCATTTATTATATCTTCTAGTTGTAGATTTATGTCTACAACTTCTACCACTACACCTATCCTTCCAACTAAATCAACCAAAGTATATGTATCAACAACAGATAATCCATTATTTAATCTTGCAACTGAAGATTGGTTATTTAATCATTTCGATCTATCACAACAAGTTCTTTTCCTCTGGAGAAACAAACCGACTGTTGTTATTGGACGTTATCAAAATCCTTTCAAGGAATGTCACTTGCAAGCAATGGAAAAGGATGGAGTTGTCTTGGCTAGGAGATATAGTGGTGGTGGAGCAGTCTATCAAGACCACGGCAATTCAATCTTTACCTTTTTGTCGGCTACCGATGACTATGACAAAAAGAGAAACACTGGTATCATCATAGACTCTCTCAAACCATTCATTATTCAAGCAGAGGCCTCTGGTAGAAATGACGTACTGGTCGATGGTAAAAAGGTGAGTGGCAGCGCATTTAAACAATCTGGTAAGCGATCATTCCACCATGGCACCATGTTGATCAATATTGATGCCAACAGTCTCGCCAAATACCTAAACCCAAACAAGGAAAAGTTAAAATCAAAAGGTATCACAAGTGTCATCTCTCGTGTCTGTAATTTAAATACTCTTTCACCAACTATTAATCATCAAACTTGGAGTCAATCAATTATTAATTCTTTTGAAAAACAATATAATTTAAAAGCTGATGTATGTAAAACTAAAAAGATAAAGTAGACAGATAAATAGACATTAATTTAGATTTCTTTTTTCTCAGATTGAAGAATTAAATACAAAAGATTTAGAAATTATTCCATCATTAAAGGAAACTTTTAATAAGTTAAGTGCATGGGATTGGAGATTTGGTAATTCACCACCATTTGAACATCAATTTGAAAAGAGATTTGATTGGGGTATAATGGATGTGAATATTAATTGTTCCAAAGGAATCATTGAAAAGATAAAGATTTATAGTGACGCATTAAATCCAATCATGATTGAAGTATTGCAAGAAAGTTTAATTGGAATGGAATATGGAAAAGATGGAATTACAGTTGGAATGGATAGAGCAAAGAATTTAATGAAAGGAACAGATTCAGAAAAAGAGATTGAACAATTAAAACAATGGTTAATCGATGAAATTTAAAATATATATATTTGTTATTTATTAAAACTTTTTAAATTATAATAAACATTTAAGAAGAGGAAGGATTTGTTTAAAAAAATATTATTCATGTCTTTAGTTTTGGTTTTACCATTCGATACTAAATTTCTCTACAGTTCTTCTTGCTTCAGTTAAATCTTTTTGTACTTTGGTTCTTAAATAGAAAATTGGACAATCACGACTATAAATAATAAAATTAAAATTAATACTTTGTTTGAATTGAATTGATTTGATTTTCTATTCTTACTTTGAACATAAAACAGGTTGATGAAGAGAACCTGAACATCTTTGACATTGAGTCCAAGTTTGAGAGAATTGATTTTCAAGATTGGTCAAATTTTGAAGAGAGGTTTGATATAAATCGGCTTCCTTGTTTCGACAATCTTTACAGACACTTGATTCATTGGCAGCCAATTCGTTTGGACAAGCCATACATTTACGTTTCTTTTCAAGACTTGAAAAGAAACTCTTTGTGGGTGGTGCCGATTGAATGTGCACAGAACGGGTGTGGTCACCTGTAAAGATGGACTCTGGGTTTGCTAGAATTGGTTCGAAAATACGCATCAATGGACCACGAAGTTGATGGTCACAGTAATACTTGGTATCGAGTTGAATGTTATTCTCCAATACATGAAGTGGATCGTGAGCCTTTTCATGAAGTGGTGCATTTTTAATACCCTGCGTAATAACAAATGGAACACGATCACCTAGAACTGGTGCAGTCGATGGATTCAATGCTCTCATCTTTAGAGCTACTTCATTATGAATAACTTTACCCTTGTAATCATTCTTTGAAAGTGCCTTTGTAATAACAAGCATTGAAATATCAATCTTATTTTGAAGTAAATCGCTAACAATATCTTTTGTAAATCTAAATAAATAAAATAAATAAAATAATTAATAAATAAATAATCTTTTTTTTTTTTTGATTCTTTTTTTTTGTCTTTCATACTCTTCAGCAGATTTAATATCTTTATCAATTAGAATCTTATTTAAAACAGTTGAAATAACCATTCTAACAAGAGGACAATTATCTCTACGAACAACTTCCAAACCCTTGACATCCATCTTGTCGTGTGTATCGGTCTTTGTCCAAAACAAACCAGCATATCTCTTTTTGTTGATCAATAGATATGGATAATAAACCTTTTCAAAGTCCAAATTGATTGGTCTAATAAAACATTTGGCGGTAATCTCTTTTGAGGCCTTTCTACCCAATTCAATTGCCTCTGCTACAGTCTTTACTCCAAACTTTACCATTACAGAATCTGTATCACCATATATAATCTTTGCATCATTTTCATATCCATTTGCAATTGTATAAGTATTTTCAACATACTAAAAATAAAAATTAATAGTTAATATATAAATATATATTTTGTTTTAATTTTTTTGGTTGTTACATTTTTAGTTGTATCCAACATAACTCTACCAAAAGCAGTAACACTTCTAGAAATATCAAGACAAGGTAATTTACCAACACGAGCACCAGTAAAACCATATACAGAGTTTGCAGAAATCTTTAGAGCCAATTGACGACCATCGAGTACAGCTCTCTTGAATGGATCCTTTTCATTTTTGAGATCGTCCTTGGCCTTTTTACGAGCACCCAATAGTTCTTCAAGAATCTTGGGCAAGATACCCTTTCGGTGCGATGGCTTGATAAAGGCACTACCAGATGGTGTGAGGGTGTAGTCGTTTGGATCGACCTTTTCCTTGTCGGCAGCAGTGAGAAGGGTGGTATAACAGAGATTGTGAGCCATCATAATCGATGGATACAAAGAGGTAAAATCGAGTGTTGCAATGGGTTCGTCATAGAAACCAACCTGGGGATCAATAACATAGGCACCTTGGAAACTGACATCGACATCAGACACACGTTTGGTTGGAAGTAGTAGATCCTCTTCCATGGCCTTTCTGTAGAGTTGAGAAACAACCTTGATACCTTCACCACGACCCAACAAATAGCTGAGTGGTACACCAGTGACACGAGACATTTCTGCATAGTTGATGAGAATCATCAGCTTGTCTAATAGTTTGAGTGGGAGCTGTGCGTCCTTGATACAGTAGACGGCTAGACGACGACGGTCATCGTCTGTTCCGTTTTGCAAGTCGGCAATGATCGAATAGTGGACATCCTCCTTTTGTTCCTTGAGGAAATGTGCCGATACGTTGTTGAGCGAATAACTCGACAGTTTGTGGTCACGTTGGATGGCTTGAATGATATCCAACTGGGTACGACCTGGCATGGACACCTCTTTACCCTCACGAGTACCAAGATTCTGCGATGAAAAAGTTGCCTTTTTAATCTTGGAGTGAGTGGTTTTGATACGAGAGAGAAGTGAAAAGTCACCAATCTTGAGTGCACGTGAACGTTCAATGAGATAGGGAAGATCGAAATTGGCAATATTGTAACCAATGATAATGTCTGGATCAACCTTGATGATAAACTTTCTCCACTCTCGCAACAAACTCTTCTCGTCGGGGTGGGTGAGTACGTGAGCACCGACAATATTGGAGCATCCTTTCAATGTGAATACATTCTTGATAAATGGTTCCGACTCTCCTTGGTTCTTGACAAGATTGGCAATTTGGATGACTGGATCTTCACCGGGCTCTGGAAAGACACCCTTTCTACCTGCACATTCAATATCAAACGAAAGAATACGGAATGGAGCAATATCTGACCATTGTTCATTGATTGGATGTGACATGAAATCATCTATACTTGTATCTACTTCAATTTGACATGTTGATACTTTGTTTTGTGATATTTGATAACCTCCAGCTGGTAATTCAACCCAACTACATCCTGGTACTTTTCTATAAAAAATAAAATATAAAAGAAAAAATAAATATAAATATAAAACAAATAATATATATCTTTTATATCTCTCATACTTGTCAATTAAAAATCTAAGAGCAAATGGAATATTTGATTCAAATGTTTGGTATACTCTAATTTCTTGTGTTGGTACGTTATAACCATATCTCATTCCATTCTCTAGAATATCTCTACACTTTGTAACATATCTTGGCATTGCCAGTGTGATCTTGATGAAATCAGACAATGGGTTTGGATTGTATCCAAGAATCGATTTCTTTTTAACAATTTCAATTCCTAATATAATGTTTTCTACATTGTTATTGGTTGTATATCTAAACATTACTTCCTACATAAATAAATAAATGTTATTAATAAATCCAAATCATCAATGTTTTCTTTTTTTTCTTTTTTTCTTTTTTAACTTGCATCTAAAGTTTCTCTAAACTCTTTACAATCTCTAACAGTGAATCCTGGAGGACAAGCAATGAAAAAGTATGGTAGGAAACCGTGAACCTTGCAGAGTACACTGTTACCGGTCTTGGTGATACCAAAGAGACGAACGACAGGTACTGGTCCAGTCTTTGGGCCAGGCATACCTGAAAGAGGTTCTTTTACCTCGCAATAATCTACTTCTAATTGTTGAAAGATGAAATTGTCTTTGAGAGGGTGCATGTCAGGAACAGGCTTTCTTGACCATAGTTGTAACTGTTGTTGTTGCGAACCATCCATATCTACATCGTCGTCTACATTGACTCCATCAGCATCTTCATCTTGATCCATAGCATCATCATCATCATCACCTCCAAAGTCAACATCATCTTCCTCTTCTTCCTCTTCTTCTTCTTCGTATTCATCGTCTTCACCTCCTCCTTGATATTTAGTCTTTTTAACAGGTCCTGCTGCAGGTCCTGCCCATCCTCCTGCTTTCTTTTGTGCAGTATTATTATTATTATTTGTATTTGTATTTGTATTTGCTCCTCTTTTCATTCTCTCCTCTTTTTCAAATGATATCTATATATCTATAGTTATAGAGATGCAATACAAACATAAATATAAAAGCAATGCATTCTCACATATGTGTATGTTTTATTTTTTATTTTCCCTCCTTTTTTTTTTGTTTTTGATTTTAAATATGTTTTTTCGAGGAAACCTAAAATGGGATAACCGAACTTCAAAAGATTTCAGGTGATGCAATCATGATTGGTGGCACCAAAGTATTGTGTGAAAGGTTAATTTTTATTTGTTTTAGTATCTACCCAATCTGATATAATGGATTGTACTGGTTTCATATTGATTTGTTGTTGGGTGTTGAGTTTTGGTATTGGAACCATTTGAGCAGAACCTCTGCTGCTGCCACGACTTTTAAAACTCTTGTTTAATCTTTTTGATAATTTAAATTGTACCTTCTTTTTTAATACTTTTACTGCTACAAATATAATAGAGATGGATACAAATGATACACAAACGACAATCATAATAATCTTCCAATTGTGGTTAGGTAATAATACATCGTCACATTTACCAGAACCATCTGGATTGATAACTAGTGCTCCGAAATCAGGGTCGAGTATACTCTTGGCATTGTGGAAAGCCAATGCCAATCATTACAATTGATTGTTCATCGTTGATTGGTGTTGATGATATGAGTTGAGTTGGTGAATAGGTTGGTCTTCCATCAGACAATGCAACATCAATGAATCGACCGTTGAATTGGATTCCATCTTTGACTACTCTGAGATATTGCAACGATGACAATGAATCATAACTAAATGTTGAGATATCTTTGTCGATACAATCATATTGGATAGATTGGTTGTTGTTGATCAATGTTTTGAATACAACTCGAAGTGTTGATAGGTTTGATGAGTATTGCCACTTGCTGATATTGACCTCTAGTTTGATAGAATTGGCATTGATCAATAGTTGTTTTCCTCCAAATTCAACTGTTCTTGCAAGTGTAGAGAATGATATTGTTGATAGTACTTCAAATAGAAAATCAAGCCCATCAATATCAAATGATACTGTTGGGGTCGGTTGTATTTGGTGTATCGTTCTGTTGATGTCTGTAAAAATAATTATAAAAAATAAAAAATTAATTATTAATTAATTTATACATATATTCTTCAATATGTATACATACATTTAGTCAAACAATTATCAATATCACTGTAACCATTCTGACATTGACATTTGCCACTATCATCACAATATCCATGACCATAACAATTAAATGTATTCGACTCACAATCTGATTTTGTTACTCCATCAGATGGTTGTTGTGGTTGTGGTGATTTAAGATTTAATATATTTCTAGCCAATGTAATTAAATGATTATTCAATTTCAGTTGAACAGAAGCCAATCCAAATGATGGTTGTTGATCAAGTGTACAATTGATTTGGAATTGTGATACTGATTCAACAACACATTCGATTGTATTATTAATCATGATTGATACATTTGTTGTTGTGTGAAGTGTTGGATATCGATGGACCAAAATCACCATTCAATTCAACATTCTTATTGTTTGTTGAATTATAATTTCCTGAACTGATAATTGGATACGCTATTTAATAATAAATGTTATGGTTAGGATTATAAAAAAAATAAGAAATGTTAATTAATATTATTTGATTACATACGTTTTAAACAATCGTTGTAAAATGAATTACTATTACAAATACATATTCCATCATCACATTTTCTATTCCCATGACAATTATTGGTTGATTGTTCACAGATATAGGCAAGTGAGTAAAATGTAAATGGTACTTGTTCTGATTGTGTGTATGAGTTTGAAACTACTAATTGATGATCTCCATTCGATAGAAGAGGTGTTGTACATTGGAATTGGTTTGAAGCAATATTTGTTAGATTGGTGCAAGCTGTACTATTATCAATTGTTATAGTGTGATTAAAATATGGACTATAATCCAATGTAAAATTGATAATAGTGTTGTTTTTGATTTGTACACCTGTCGGTTGACCAACATAGATATCAACCTTGACAATCATCATCTTTACTGTGTGTGGGTTCAAATTGATTGTAACTTGAGTTGGAATATATGGTAATGGTGTTGCGCCCGTATATTTGAATATCAATTCTTGGTTTGGTATTACTTGGCTGATAGTATAATTTGATTGACTAGATCCATATCCAATGTTGTTACCTATATATATAGGTTATTTATAAAAAAATGTAATTAATTTATAATTAATAATTATTGCATATCATTTTGAAGTCATAAGTGCTTTCATACCAGTAATAGTAGCAATATTCTTCTGAGTAATTAAAAGATTATCTTTGTTATTAATAGTAACTTTTAAAAAAATAATAATAAAAGAATGAGAATAAGTACAACAAGTATGACAAGTACTGTAAATTGTCAGTTGAATAAATAAATAGTAGATACATACTGGGACAGCCAGCCACTAAATCAGTATATATGTATTTTTGAGAACCATTATAGTAACACAAGAAACAATCTGGAAGTGATGGAACTGAAGTGTTGCGGATGTCCAAATCGGTAATTCCACAGAACGATTCAGTAATGGGACCTTTAAAGTTGGCGTTAAAATTAATAACCAAAGTTCTTAAAGTGTTTGGCAAGTTTGAAGAGAAACTTTGGAGGTTATTATCAATTAAATATCTGTGATGAATAAAAAGAAATAAATAAAAATTAGTATTTCAATTGATATGTAATATAATATAATCGGTCATACAAATAGCCTAATCGTTGAGGAACTTGGATAAATGAAAACTCTGTACGTCCCATTCCTCTCATCTGTAAAGATAAGAGGTTTGAATACGATGAAACAGAACTAGATATTGGGGATGGAAGTACTGTCGATTGGGGTCCAGTGATCCATCTATTAGATTGGTACAGATTACATAGATTGGTATATATAAACCAACAGTGATAATTAATACTATTGTAACTAATTTTCTGATCTAATTATATATATATAGGGTTATTTATCTTACAATAATTCTATACTTGAAGGATCTCTTATTCTTAAATGGCACTGAGTGACGTAATGGTCTCCAGTGCAAGCTCTGTTACCAAATCATTATTAATAAAGAGTTTTCTTAAAACAATTATATATTTTTTACACAACACTTACAATCTCTTTTTTACGGTGTCACTTGGATCTAGATTAAAGTAGACTGTCGTGTTTGATCCTAGAAGAGCGTTAATAGCACTGAGAGTGATAATGATTAGTTATTAATAACTTGAAGATTACAAAAATGATTAAACTTACAAAACCGAAAGCTTTGGAAATGATTTAGAGGTTACATTGATATGATGTGATCCATTGATACAATTGGAATAAAAATAATCAGAAAAGAGAGAAGGAAAGTAGAGAGAATCGTCAATCGTAATAGATGAAACTGGAAATTGGATAGTGATTGATTGAAGATCGACAGAGTTGTTTAGAAATGTACGAGGTATTATTAATGGTTGGTCGAGGGTTAATTGAAAATCAACAAGATTAGGAAAGTTATTAAAATCGCTTGGAATGTAACTGATCGATGTATCATAAAGCAATTCAATTATACTCAAACTTTTGACCGATTTGAGCAACTTTAGAATATTGATTGACTGATTGACAACAACACCTTTACAATCTAAATGGATACTTTTCAAAGCAGGCATAGTCAATGTTGTCAAAGTTGATGAGGGACTGCCACCATCGATTCGAGTATAGGAATTGAAATAACTAGATTCCATAAATAAATAATGTAAAGGTAATAAATAAATAATGTAGAGGTAAATATCAATGATCTCTTTCAACTATAATAAATAAATTTCTTTATCTCTTTTCATACATTTCAACGATACGATATTGTCCATCAAATGTGTCGTTATTACAAACAAATCTTGCATGTACATTTGATCCAGCATAAAATGGATCACATAGAGACTGATTCTGTGGTACTGGTAGTCCATATTGTCTAAAATAAAACAAATAACAACACAACGAAAAAGAGAAGAGAATATCAACGTTAGACCTAAACAACTAGCTAATGTTGTTTAATGATAATGATGATGATCATACCGAATAAGAAAAATAGCTGATTGAACTAGATAATAAAACGATCATGGCTATTAGTAAGTAACTCTTAAAAGTCTTTTACCGCCCATAATAAGGACTATACATACGTTCATCATCAGGAATAGTTTGTTGTGAATTTGAATAATGACAACAAAGTAGTAGTGTCGCTACTGTCATCACAAGAAACCAATTACTATTCATTGTACTTTTACTATTACTCTCTAACCTAAACCTATTACTTCTACTATTTCGATTCTTTGTTGTATGTACATAACTTGAGCGGTGTTGATTATTTCAACATGTTGATGATGTTGAAGCAACAACCAAGAGGAGTTGATTGATCGCTCGTCATTTTAATAAAATCGGTGATGTACAATCGATAGCCCTCAAAATGCTATACATGATGGCAAGATTGACACTACGATTGTTAAAGAGACAGTAGGAAAGGGTTGCTAATTATGACAACCAGCTATGTTTGAACCATTCGAAAAAGAGATACTGAAATATGTATTGAAAAGAATGAATTTATTACTTCGATGAGTGTTCTGTGTGTTTTTAAACAGACATTTTTATTTTATTAAAATTATAAATATATATCAAATATTAATATTATTACAATCGTAAGACTTGTTGGAAATGAAATGATAGTGATTTTTGCTTATGATGTTTTGGAGTGATCAGTTGTTGGTACGATTGGATTGAAACCATATTGGTAGAACCTCTTTTGTAGATTTTCCTTAAACTTTTTGGATTGTGCTCTCTTTTTTAAAGCTATGACAATCACCACTATACTAGAGACTACAACAAATGATACACAAACGACAATCATAATGATCTTCCATTTGATGTCTGATAATGATACTGAGTCACATTTACCAGAATCATCTGGATTGATAATCAATGCACTGAAATCTGGATCGAGTATACACTCTTGACATTGTGGAAAAAGAATTCCAATCTTGACAATTGATTGTTCATCGTTGATTGGTGTTGATGATATGAGTTGGGTTGGTGAATAGGTTGGTCTTCCATCAGACATTGCAACATCAATGAATCGACCGTTGAATTGGATTCCATCTTTGACTACTCTGAGATATTGCAACGATGACAATGAATCATAACTAAATGTTGAGATATCTTTGTCGATACAATCATATTGGATAGATTGGTTGTTGTTGATCAATGTTTTGAATACAACTCGAAGTGTTGATAGGTTTGATGAGTATTGCCACTTGCTGATATTGACCTCTAGTTTGATAGAGTTGGCATTGATCAATAGTTGTTGCCCTCCAAATTCAACCGTTCTTGCAAGTGTTGAGAATGATATAGTTGATAGTACTTGGGCTGGTTGGTATGTTGAAGAGGAAGATGAAGTATTCAATTGATAGTTGATAATAGTGGTGTGATTATTAGTGGATGCATTTACATTCCAAGTGTAATTGGATATAAATAGCTCCTTGATAATAATATCATCTAAATCCAATTCTTGAATCGATACAATTTCAAATAGAAAATCAAGTCCATCAATATCAAATGCTAATGTAGGATCCGTTGTATTTGGTGTGATCGTTGTGTTGATGTCTATAATGGATCGAAATAAATTAATATAAAGATTTAATTTGACATTAATTAATTAATATAATTATATACATACATTTAGTCAAACAATTATCAATATCACTGTAACCATCTTGACATTGACATTTAGCACTATCACCACAATATCCATGACCATAACAATTAACATACGTTTTGAACAATTATTATAAAATGAATTACTATTACAAATACATATTCCATCAATATTACATTTTCCATTCCCATGGCAATTATTGGTTGATTGTTGACAGAGATAGGCAAGTGAATAAAATGTAAATGGTACCTGTGATTCCACGTATGAGTTTGAAACTATTAATTGATGATCTCCACTCGATAAAAGAGGTGTTGTACATTGGAATTGGTTTGAAGCAATATTTGTTATATTTGTGCAAGCTGTAATATTATTAATTGTTACTGTGTGATTAAAATATGGATTATAACCTAAAGTAAAATTGAAAGTGATGTTGTTTTTGATTTGTAAACTAGTCGGTTATCCAATCGTGATATCACCTTTGACAATCATCATTTGTACTGTGTGTGGATTGAAATTGATTGTAATTAGAGTTGGAATAGATGGTACTGGAGTTACAACATCTGTATAATTGAATATCAATTTTTGGTTTGGTATTATCGAGTTGATATAATATTGTGATTGAATAGATCCATATCCAATGTTGGTACCTATATATTATAAAAATATATATTTAAATTAATTAATAATAAATAATTCACCGTGTCCTCACTTGTTTTCAAATCAAATTAAGGTCTTGACTCGTTGATCATTAATGATAGTATACATACCAGTAATAGTAGCAATATTCTTATTGGTAACTAAAAGATTATTTTTGTTACTAATAGTAACTTTGAAAAAGTAGTAAAAGAATGGGAATAAGTATGACAAATCAGTCTGTCGAATAACTATAGTAGGTACATACTTGGACAACTTGTAAATCCGACAGGTTTCACAAAATCTGCCGGTAGATAGATATTTAAAAATAAACCTTGGTAGCACCAGAAACATGCTGGTAGTGATGAAACTGCAGTGCCACGGATGTCTAAAAAAGTTAATACACAGAATGATTCAGTAATGGGGCCTTTAAAGTTGGCATTATTCTCAATAACCAAACTCCTTAAAGTGTCTGGCAAATTTGTTGTGAAATTTTGGATGCTGTTATCGCCTATGCCTCTGAGATGAATAACAATTAATAAATAAATAAATTAGTATTTAAAATTGATATGATATTAAATAATTAGTCATACAGATAATTCAATTGTGGAGGGAACTGGATGAATGAAAACGAGGTAGGTTGCATTCCTCTCATCCATAAATCCGTGAGGTTTGAATACAATGAAGCATCACGAGAAATAGGCGATGGTAATATTGTCGATTGACGTCCAGTGATAGATCTAGATATAGGTTAAAAACCAACAACAGTGAGTATTAATAAGTGGATGCATTTGAAATTGCTTATTTAATTATTTATCTTACAATGTTCTTATACTGGATGGATCTCTTATTCTTAAATGGCACTGAGTGGTGTTATAATCTCCAGTGCAATATCTGTACAAAATAGCATTAATAAGGAGTTTTCTAAACAATTATTATTATTCTTCTAACACTTACATTTTCTTTTTTACGGTGCCACTTGGATCTAGATTAAAGTAGACCGTCGTGTTCGATCCGTGAAGAGTATTAATAACACTGAGAATGATTAGTCATTAACTTTTGAAAGTACAATAAATGATAACTTACAATTTGTCAATTCTTGGAAATGATTTAGAGGTTACATTGATATGATGTGATCCATAGGTACAATTGGATTGAAATGTATAAGAGGTGAGAGAAGGAAAGTAGAGAGAATCGTCAATCGTAATAGATTGAATTGGAAATTGAATGTCGATTGATTGAAGATTGATAGAGTTGTTTAGAAAGGTAAGAGGTACTATTAATGGTTGGTTGAGGGTTAATTGAAAACTTGTAAGATGAGGAAAGTTATTAAAATCGCTTGGAAGGTAGCTGATCGATGCATCATTCCCAAAGTAAATTGAATTCAAACTTTTGACAGATTTGAACAACTCTAGCAGATTGATTGACCTGTTGACAACCCCTTTACAATAAATATAGATACTTTTCAAAGCAGGCAATGTCAATGATGTCAAAGTTGATGAGGGACTGCCACCATCGGTTCGAGTATAGATATTGAAATTACTAGATTACAGAAATAAATAATTTAAATAGGTTAATTAATTATGCTCATATATTCAAAAAGGATCTCTTTCAAATTAATTATTATCTCTGGTCTATCTACATACATTTCAACGATACGATATCGTCCATCAAATGTGTCGTTATTACAAACAAATCTTGTATTTGGCTCACATAGAGACTGATTCTTTGGTACTGGTATCCCGTATTGTCTAAAATACAAAAACAACACAGAATTCAATACATTAGTATGTATAAAGTATAATATTAGAAAGAATGATGATAGCTTACTGAATTAGGAAAATAGCTGATTGAACTAAATAATAAAACAATGATAAAGCAAAGATTAGTAAACTCTTAACAGTCTTATTCTTTTTTAATGTACATATGCTCAAAGAGTATACAATACATACGTTCATCATCGGGCAGGATTTGTTGTTGTTGTTGTGCATTTGATAGTGAAATATGATAATGACAACAAAGTAGTAGTGTCATTATCACCAGATACCAATTACTTTTACTATTCATTGTACTTCTGCTGACTATGTGCTCTCTAACATAAAACTACGACTACTGTAACTTGAGTGATTATTTCAGCATGTTGATGTTGTTGAAGCAACCAAGCAAGGGTATCATGCTTGATCGATCACCCGTCATTTTAATAAACTCGAGTACTACAATCGATGTCCATCTAATTGTTAGAGACAGGAAGGGTAGCTATTTATGACCAAACCATTCGAAACAGAGATTAGTGCTGAAATGCATCTTGAAAAATGAATGAATTATTTTAGACCTTTCCTGGTATAGAAAAATGTGAAGTTCACTATTAGAGCCATTAATTTTTAATTAAAGAATTAATTAAAAAAAAAGGTTGGCATCGCATTCCCCTTCAATCATTCATCATCCTAATACTACAACAACAACATTATTTGTTTGCAAATATATATTTATATATATATACATATATTACTTTAATATTTCAATAAATGGATTTAACTAGTAGAATTTACAATTACTTTACATCATCACCACCAGTAACTAATACTACTGTCTCTACTACAACAACTACTACCGTTGAACAATTACATCCATCTACATTTATCCAACAACAACAGGTCATCAATCACTATCACTCTTCACCAAAACCATTGAAATCACAAACACTATGTAGACACTTCCCAGAATGTAAAACGGTTGATTGTCCATACCTCCATCAAAAGACTACTTCCTTTTCGTCCACTAGTACCTTTGTTGGTCATCCTACTTCCCCTTCCCATCAAAAGCCCACCTCAGAGACTCTCTGCAAGTATTATCCAAATTGTACCAAGAAGGATTGCACATTCCTCCATGAATCTGCTGCTGCTGCTACCAAGACCGTTACTGCTACCAAGGCCTCAGAGACTCTCTGCAAGTTTTATCCAAATTGTACCAAGAAGGATTGCACATTCCTACATGAATCTACTACTACTGCTACTACCAAGACTTCAGAGATGCTCTGCAAGTATTATCCAAATTGCACAAAGAAGGATTGTACTTTCCTCCATGAATCTGCTGCCAAGAGTGCTGGTGAAACTTCAGTAGACAAGGTTTGCAGATATTGGAACACGGACAAGTATTGCAAGTTTGGTGCCGAATGCAAATACCAACACCCCACTCATGTTCCAACCCTCGATGACATCCTCACCTACAAATCGTCGGTCACTGTAAAGTCTGATCCAGGCTTACAAGAGAACACCCGTCTCCCACAGGGAGTCCCTTCGGTACCAAATGCAAAGTACCGTGTGATGGACAACGGTCTCCTTATTTGCTTCATCCCCTTTTCACGTACCTACAACAATATCACCTATTACAAAAAGATTAAATTGTACCGTTTCAACAAGACTAAACAACAGTACAAGATGACCTTTTCATACCGAGTAGAAGACTTTCACTTTACCACTGCTGCAGCTAGCAATGGCTTCTTGGTTTGTTCAAGATTACCATTTGATGCTGATGTATTAAAATTAATGGAAGATCATGAAGCTTCAATCAAGAAAATTAAAAAGGTAAGTAAAACAAAAAAAAATTAATAATAATAATAATAGTAATAATGATGATTAATAACCATTTATCTTTTATTTATTTATTTGTATTAGTTGAATGAATCCAACACTGAATTGTATAAAAAGAATGGAGAATTATTGGAAAAGAATAGTAAACTTTTCCAAGAGAATGTAGAATTAAAGGAAAGAAATAGAAAGTTGATTGTCCAAACAAGACCTGTAAGAGTATTCAATTCAAGTTGGTCAAATAGTTCAAATTCTTCTGCTAGAAGAAACCAAAGAATATTTGCAAATATTAGAAGAAGAGATCCAGTTGATATTCTCGTCTACAATGATAAAGCCAAAACCTTTGTTCATGTATTGGAATACCACAAGCCAGCCGATCATGTCCATCTCGAAGGAAAGCACCTTACCCTCTGGGACAAAGAAACCAAGATGGCCCATCATTTTGATATCAAAATTCAAACATCTGATGTTGGCAATTTCAATTTTGATCAACCAGTAGAACCCAAAAAGCTTTGTGACCAATTTTAAGAATAATCTTTATACCTATTTGTTTTAAAACCTATATATCCAACATTGTAAATTTGTAATTTTAATTTCTCTTTTTGTAAAAAATAAAATAAAAAAATAGAATCATTGTTATTATCATTTAAATTTCTGTGATGAATGAAAAGAAATAATTAGAATATGTGTGATGTACATCAACAGTAATACAGATAAGATTTTGGTTGAACTTTAATTTTTATTTTAGTTTTAGTTTTTCAATCTGTTACTATGGTTTATTGTTCTTGGGTGTTGGCTTTTGCGATAGGAGACATTTTGTTGCTTTGACTTTTAAAACATTTGTTGAATCTATTTGCAAATTTAAATTGTACCTTCTTCTTTAATACTTTGGCTGCTATTAATATAATAGATATCACCACAAATGATACACAAACGGCAATCACAATGATCTTCCAATTAGATTCTGCGACTTTATCATCTAAATCCAATTCTTGAAATGAATCAATTTCAAATAGAAAATCAAAATCAAGTCCATCAACATCAAATGATACTGTTGGGTCGGTTGTATTTGGTGTGATTGTTCTGTTGATGTCTGTAAATAAATTTATAATAAAATAAATAAATAATTTTAATTTAATATATTCAAAGATGTACACATTAATATACATACATTTTGTCAAACAATTATCAATATCACTGTAACCATTCTGGCATTGACATTTGCCACTATCATCACAATATCCATGACCATAACAATTAAATGTATTCGAGCTCACATTCTGATTTTGATATTCCATCATCAGATGGTTGTTGTGGTTGGTGGTGATTTGAAGATTTAATATATTTCTAGCCAATGTATTTAAATGATTATTCAATTTCAGTTGAACAGAAGCCAATCCAAATGATGGTTGTTGATCAAGTGTACAATTGAAATGGAATTGTGATACTGATTCAACAACACACTCGATTGTATTATTAATCTTGATTGATACAGTTGTTGTTGTTGTTGAAGTGTTGGATATCGATGGACCAAAATCACCATTCAATTCAACATTCTTGTTGTTTGATGAATTATATTCCTGAACTGATAATTGGATACGCTATTTAATAATAAATGTTATGGTTAGGAGGCTATATATAAATATAAAAGTTATGGTTAGGATTATAAAAATAATTTTAATTATTTAATTTAATTTAAATACATCATTACATACGTTTTGAACAATTATTATAAAATGCATTAGTATTACATAAACATATACCATCAACATTACATTTTCCATTTCCATGGCAATTAATTGGTTGATTGTTCACAGAGATAGGCAAGTGAATAAAATGTAAATGGTACCTGTGATTCCACGTATGAGTTTGAAACTATTAATTGATGATCTCCATTCGATAAATGAGGTGTTGTACATTGGAATTGGTTTGAAGCTGTATTGATTAGATTGGTACACTCAATACTATTATCAACTGTTAATGTGATTAAAATATGGATTATAATCTAATGTAAAATTGAAAATGATGTTGTATTTGATTTGTACACTAGTCAGTTGACCAATAGTGATATCACCATTGACAATCATCAGATCTGAACTTGGTATGGATCCAAATTGATTGTAACTAGAGTCGGGATAGTTAGTATTGGAGTTACAACATGCGAGTTTATAACTATTTATTAATTCCCTTTATACATACCAGTAATAGTAGCAATATTCTTCCTATTGGTAACTAAAAGATTATCTTTGTTACTAATAGTAACTTTTAGTAAAAGAATGGGAATAAGTATGGGTATGAAAAACACTGAAACAGTTAGTTTGTCTGATTAAATAGTAGATACATACCTAGACAACTAAAATTGTGGGGTTTCAGTAAATCTGAAGATAATGTTATACCTTTATAACACCAGTAACAATCTGGAACTGAGGAAATTAAAGTGTCACGGATGGACAACACATGTAATCTACAGAACCAATCAGGAATGGGACCAGTAAAGTTGGGGTTATTCTCAATATTCAAATATCCTAAAGTGTCTGGCAATTTTGAAGAGAAATTCTGTATGTTATTACCATTTAAATATCTGTTGTGATGAATGAAAAGAAATAAATTAGAATTATGTGATGTGATAAACAGTAATACTAATCATTAGGACATACAATTTAATCAATCGTTGGGAACTTGGATAAATGAAAACTCATTAAGTCCCATTCCCTCCATCTGTAAATATAAGAGGTTTGAATCTAATAGATGATCACGAAACAATACTGGAACTTGGGGATGGGAGTACTGTCGAGTGTCGTCCATTGATCCATCTATTAGATTGGTATAAAACAACAGTCAAAAATATTAATAATAAAAATCAATAAGGTTAATCCATCAATCCAATTATTATTAATCTTACAATTGCCCAATACCTGATGGATTTCCTATTCTAGGAAATGACACTCAACAGTTGTTCCTGAACGAACCAAGGTAAAAGTTTTCAAAGCAGTCAATTTCAATGATGTTAAAGAAGAAGAGGAAGAGTTGGCACCATCCCTATTTTCGTAGGGTTCTAAAAAACTATATCTATAGTTATTACAGAAATAAATTAAATAGGTTAATTTATCCCATTTTAAAATGGGATCTACAATTTAAATTATAATTTTCTCTCTCTTTTGTCTATCTACATACATTTCAACGATACGATATTGTCCATCAAATGTGTCGTTGGAACAAATAAATCTTGTATTTTGATTTGATCCAGCATATGATTCACATAGAGACTGATTCTGTGGTTTTGGTAGTCCATATTGTCTAAATAGAGAAGAGCGATTGGTTGTTAGGATACAATAAAAACAAGAATGTTTGTTTAATAATCATACCGAATTAGAAAAATAGCTGATTGAACAAGATAATTGTTTAAACAATAATAGCGTTTATTTGTAATTCTATCTTGTTTAGCTTATATAATTATACATACGTTCATCATCAGGAATAGTTTGTTGTGAAATTGATAGTGAAATATGATATTGACAAAGTAGTAGTGTCATTAACATTAATACTACTAGATACCAGTTACTACTACTATTGCCACTATTATTATTCATTGTTGTTCTTGTTGTACTGTATTATGACATGTGTTGATTATTTCAACATGATGATGATGTTGATAACAACAACCAAGAGATGGTATGGTGTGAATTGATTGATCGATCGAGATCCATTTTAATAACCCTAGTACAGTAACTTTAACAAATCACCCTCTCTCATTGCTAAACCTAAGGGTTGCTAATTATGACCAACGGGTAGGTGTGTGTGATTGATTTAAAATTTATTTATTTATTTATTTATTTTATTGTTTAATAATAATCCAAGTAATGTACCATCAGCGACTTGTGTATCATTAACATTATTATTATTATTATTTTTGTCAGAATGATTAAAAGGATAGTGATGACGATAGAAATACATTAACAACTCTGCTGACGATTCAAACCATGAATAGTGAAACTTGGCACGTATAACTTGTTTACATCTACTTCTAAATTGTTTGTATTCTTTGTAGTCGGTCTGTTGTTGATCAAGAGGATAATGATGAACCGATCGTTTAAACAACAAGATCGAGGTGACAAGTTGAAGATTACCTCCACCATTATTGGTGAGTAATTGGAATAGGTAGTCGTCGCTATTGTCGAGTGCAGTGGCATTATCGCGAAACAACCAACGTATAGTGTCATAGTCGGTGTACAGTGACGACGGTGAGGTGCTCGGTCCGACAACATAATTGGCTGCAAAGTGCAGCTCTGGATGTCGGTTGATAAACTCGAGTTGGTGGTTATGTACGGCTGCCTTGAAAATGATTGGGTACTTGCTGCTAGCATCCAAGTGTGCCTTGAACGCTTCAAAGCATTCCGACGACCCCTTGGCACCGATTTTTGATATTTGTGCGGTCGTCAGTCCGAGACCTGCAACACTCGCCTTGACAAGCTCAAACTTGTGCAAAAAGTCTGTTGACATGGACCGCTTCATCTGTACACTCTGTTGCTGCATAGTGGCCAAGAGACTGGGGAAATCATCCGACATGAGACGTATGGGGTCGTTTAGGATCTGCGAGTAGTCGACATACATACACAGATTGTGGTAGGATGATAGAACGTACTGGATGGCTCGCGCATCGATAGCAGCACCCAAGTCGCGGTCACCTTCAAACTCGAGCATGTGTCCTGTATCGCGTTCCATCTCCAAGAGGTAGTGTAGTATGTCTGAGCTGCCCACACCGGTTAGTGGGGCAGCCAAGTCGAGTTGGTCGTCCTTGTTGTACGTATCGAATATGTATGTGAGTATTTCTAACCCGTGCTGGGTATACTCGTCGCGATCGTCTCTCCAATGTATACAACACGGTAACCATAACGCGCATTTCCCCCATTCTGAGAGCCCGATAGCCTCGCTTGAAAATTCTTCCTCTTCATCCTCCTCGCCATCGACAATGGCAAACATCTCCTTTAAAATATCTAATGGAAGGAATGAAAGTAGATGTGTAAACAAGACAAACCCTCTGTAAGAGTATTGACCGTCTTGTGTGCGGTCGGCCGTATCTTTTGTAAAAGCTTGATCCACCAAACTTTTAAAAAAGTAAGTGTACAGTGTGAACCGGTCCAATTGCACCAACCCAATATCAAACATCTCTTTGAGTAGCTGTCTAATCACTGGTGAATAGGTGAATGCAAAGTCGGTCGATACCAACACTGTATGATTAAATACCAACATGTCCAATTCAACTGGATCCAACGTGTCTGCTCCAAACCTCTCTTTCATCATATCCCGGGTGTATTCCAAATGATCGTCTACTCCACAGCACTGGTTATACTGTTCCAAAAGTTTCAGTCTATTTGTACCATCCTTGTGGTTGACCATAGCCAATCTAACAGCATCATAGTTTGATTTACTTTTTGGAGTTGTCTCTGCAACATTTTGATAATACAATTCTATCAAATCTCGATCACCCAATTGAAATATAATCTTTGGATTCATTATACCATTCTCTCCAAATAATATATTATTATTTTGATTATTTTGATTATTATTATTATTATTATTATCAATTAAGAATAACTTTAATAATTGAATGGTTGATTCAGGTGAAGTTGTGTTGATATTTTTTAATATTGCTTGAATACAGTTGACAGTGTTGTAGAGTAATGGGAGAGGATGAGTGATTTGAAGAAGTGTCTTTACAACATTGATATTGCCACCGTTGCATGCTTGAATGATCAATGAACGGCCTCCAATAAAAAATAGACTTGTTGTTGCATGGTTGAGGAAGAATTGTAGGTGGTCTAGTGTTGTTGAACGACTACTGCATAACTCTTGAATGGTTCTTGAAGTAAAGTTGACAATCACTTGATTTCTATTGATCTTGTCAATCAATAGATTATTGTACCCATTTTGAACCATCAATGTTGCATCACACCATTCTCTATACTTGGTCAACTTGATTATATACTTGTTGTTATTCTCGTTGTTATTGTTGCTGTCTTGAGGATTGCATGTGAGGTAGGGATGATTGATCGAGTTGATACATCTAAATATATGTTTTATCAATACAGTGTTTCGAAATACACTGAATATTACATTCTGTCTATGTGTCATCTAATTAATAGATATATATATATATATAATTATCTATAAAGTTTAAGAAGAATAAACAATGACAGTAAACGTTTGCTTTGTACTCGAGCCAAAACAAGTAATTTGATGAGAAAAAAAAACAAAAGATTTCCAAGTATGAATGGATTGGAAAAAAGGTTGGTTGTTGGATGATGAATACAAAGCAAAGAAAAGGCTATTATGCTATTCTTTGTTTGTTGAATCTTTTATTTATATTTTGAATGGGTTGGGGGGCCATAGTGTATGGTCTCGGTTTGGTTAGTATAATAATAATTTTACAAGAGGTGCACTTTGTACAAGCAGCACAATAGAATCTCTTTTCTTTGGACACAACACACTAAAGTAGACGACGTGGTGGTGGTCATTGATTGTTGTTGTGGACACATTTGTAATTGTTTGGTTGTACCCTTTTGGTTTTGTTTGGCACCAGTACATTTTAGAATGAATCTCTAATATTTGGTGACTGCAATAATTTACCAATTAAATATTGATCCAACATATCGTATGCATCATCACTATGACCAATATCCTCGAAAAGGTATGTTGAATCTTTGCCTGCTCCTTCCTAAAATAATATCAAGAAAGGGTGGTTTTGAATTAATAATTAGAAATAGCATTAATGTGATATGATATCAAAGCGAGTGAAGCAAAGGGATATTTACCAAAATAATGGAACCACCAGGATGTTGGTCAAAAAAGGGTGTAAGATCGTAAACGTTGGATTGGATAACCATCCATAAATCGGTTGCTTTGTTGTGTTTTTTAACTTGATCCATTGTGTAGAATGTATTTTCTGGTGTACTTGTTGTTATAGGTATATTACTCGTTACATTATTATTGTTATTATTGACAGAAGAGTTGGTATTGTTGCTATTGTTACTAGGTTGAATGGCTGGGTCATTCAAATGGTATATAACAAGTGGTTCAGTGTCGCCCATTATTATTATTATTACTTTATTTCTATCGTTGTTGTTGTTGATGATGTTCTACCTTTCTTTTAAGTTTGCTTGAGTTACTATTGTTTGTTGTTATTGTAACACACTTTACTATTCGAACGGTGTTTTTAAAAAATGTTATATAAAACAACAACACGCACACGACGACGATCGAAGAGAGAGAGTGTATAGGACGAGACGACAGTATATATTATATACTGGGATGATGTTTGTTTACTGGTGAAGATAAACAACAAAGAAAAGAAAAGAAAAGAAAAAAAAAACAGTCTATGTCTCTGTCTTTGCTGGTTTGTTGTTTTTGAGAGATCTCTCTATTTTTATGACGATGCGTTCGAACGAACGAGCACTACAACAATTTTTTTAAATAAAAATATCTTTTTTGAATATGATAGTGATAGTGATAGTGATAGTTCTTTAATGAAATAGTAGTAGTAGAGATAGTAATTTAATTGCAAGCAAAAAAAAAAGAATAAACATAAATCATCAACAAAAACAACAAGAAGAACCAGAGCTCTGGTTGTGTGAAATTTCAGTGTTTTCACGAAAACATTATTCAAAAGCGGAAATTTCATCATGTGGGTGAAAGATACCACCCCCAGAACGAGGTGGAGATTTAAAAAGAATGGGGGGTTCTGTCAGAAATTGAATTAAAATCTCCTGCCTGAAGTAGGAGGGTGGCAGATAGAGAGAAGGAAGGAGGGATAGTTGTATATCTGTTTTTAGTGTTATGTGTTTATTTAATTACAAACTCACGATTATTATTATAACAATTTCATTCACATTCAATTCACATTCAGTTTATTATTACTCCATCCAAAAGTACACTTTCATTCTTTTTAGCTGTAGGTCTGTTCTTATCTTTTATTATTATTATGTGTGTGTCATATGACCACAACTTGTAATGGAATGTTTGGAATGAATGAATGATAGACAGATAGGATAGAAAACATAAAGATGGTCTAAAAAGAGTATCTGTGACACAATATTTATCTTGTAATCGACATTCAGATATCTTTGAATAAGCAGCAGTCATCTGATATGTACTATAATAATAATAGTTGTGTATGTTGTTTTGTATTTTTCTTCTAGTTTAATAATAATAGTTTTTGAGGAACAAAAGAATTGTTTCTCGTTGTCAACTTGCAACGCCACCTTTTTAGACCTACAAGGAATTCCTGAGAAGTAATTAATTAAAATATACATTGCTCTACCTATCATTTTGAGGAATCGGGTATGACAGAACTTTGAATCCTTTTCCCTTCGAAGCAGGCATGATGTTTGTCCATAGTAAATAGCTCTTACTATGATTTTTTTTTTCGTTAGACGGGGTATGGGATGAAAAAACGAACGAATCGTTCCTCGTCTGCTTCTTCAAAGCTGATGATTGGCACTGAACTACATTTATCACGATGATAGTGCTCTATCACAAACCTTACTATGGACAAACATCATGCCTGCTTCGAAGGGAAAGGATTCAAAGTTCTTTACCCTACTACACATATATAAATCTATCTGTATTAAAATTAAAACATACTATCTATACAATCTCTAAAAATCTAAAAGGAGATAGTATCGCGCACAGTTATTTGTGATCATAAACTATAAAGTGTTTTCTTTTATTTGTTATTATATATTTTGATTCGTCGGGAGGAGGGAGGGGGATTGATTGTGAAGAGGAAGGAATATTGGGTTTAGTATTTAAATTTTACAGGATAATTTACTGGGAGGAGTATGGATGATTGTTATTGTCATGTGAAGGTAATAAATGAATTGATTTGGTTGATTTGGTTGATATAGGGGATGACTTTTTGATTGCAAATATTTATTCAATATTACAACCCGTCATCGTTACTCTATCTTTTGTTTTCTTTCTTTTTTCATGATCCATCTATTATTTTATATATATATTTTTTTTACTCTGTTGTTGAAAGATGATTATTTGGTGATATTGGTGGAGTTGTCGCTATACTATTACTACCACTACCACTACTATGATTACTAGTCGTCGTAGTCGTAGTAGTAGAAAGAGAAATTGAACTTAATTGTTTTTTGCCAAGTGGTGGTTTGAAAGAAGATACACCTTCAGAAGACGAGGTAGAGGAAATAGATGGAGATGAAATACCAGAAGACATTGGAGAAGTGGTGTTGCTGCTACTTAGACTACTACTACTACTACTGCTACTACTAGAAAGATCGGGATAATTGAAAAAGTTTGGTTTGGGGGGTGGAGAGACTGGACGGTTGGGTTGAACCTTGGTTGAGCGGGTATAGTTTTCCTTGGGGTAGTTGAATGACTTTGGGGATGGACTGTTTGGACGCCACACGGGTTGACCCTTGCTAGGTGTACGGTCGATAAAGAGAGGTGATCCCTTTTCAACGTATGGTGTTGATTGGTAGGTGTAGTTTGTGATATAGTCGTTGCCAGTACCCGATGATTTCCACACTGGTTGTGGAGTATACTCTACTTTTTGGCGACTCCAAGCAGCCGATGCTTTGGTGGGACGTAGATAGGAGGGGAGGTGTGCATAGTCGGCTGGATTGTGTGATGATGTGGGTGGAGGAGACTGTAGCATCGAGTTGATCGCCTCTTTATGCATAGCGATGCTGTTGCGTGGTCTGTGTTTACTAGACGCACTCGCTGGACGTCTTGGAGGAGTAGAATGATGGTTATTCTTGGACGTTGGTCGTGGCGCCATCACCTCATTGTCCTCTTCGTCGTCATCCTCTACACTCGTAGAAATACACTGGTTGATGCTAGAGGCAGTCGCGCGAACCTCGTCAATCAGCACCTTGAGACTGTCATAGTCTTGATTCTGCGGATTAGTGTGTTTTAAAAGATCGGAAAACAACAAGACATATCTAGGTGTCTGCTGAATCGGTAGAATCAAATAACTCGGCAAAAATCCAAATATCTCTATCAACTGAGAAAACTCTTCATCATCTGCCAACGATGAATAAATCTTGAATGCATTATTATAATTTTTAACATATGGTATATAAATTTTAAATGATGGTAACTAAAGATAAAAAGATTAATATGTAATATATTATTATTATTTCTTTTTTGTTTCTTACAATATCAATATAAATCTTTCCAACAAGATAAGGTGGTTGAGAAGAAGTGAATGTTTCCAAAATACTCTTGTGGAGATGTAAAATCTCATCAATGTTTGAAAATAGTTGATTGACCTTGTCCAATGATATCATTGACCTATAATGATTGTCTAGTAATGGTGTCTTTAAATGATCAATCAACATTGTCAATTTAGAAATATATGTCTTTTCAAAATTTATAATCTCTTTGATAATAAATTTCCTATATTTTATCTTTTTAACTAATAGAAAGAAGAAGAAGTATAAGTATTTGTATTATTATATATTTAATTGTTTCCATTTAAAGTACTTACAAAAATCGGCATAGTGTATCCTAACTAACCATCCTCTAACATATTTTTGTATTATAATGGCTGCTTTCTGTTTGAGTAATAATAATGGATCGATTTGATTGTTTTGATTTAAAATTGATTTAATATTATTAGTAATTGAAGTTAATTGAAAATATTGATGACTATTATTATTATTCGTATTGTTGTTATTATCATCATCATCGATATTGGAAGAATAAGAATCACTTTCATAAAAGAAATTGTTATCGTAATTGCTTGATGTTGTTGTATTGTTTGTATCATTTGAATCATTGTCATATTGATTAATTGATAATAATCGTCTGGTTTCATCATTATTATTATCATTATCATTATCATCATTGTCATTATGATGATTGATAATTAAAATGGTATCTGCACCATTATAACTATTTCTTTGATGATTATTTTCCTCTTCCAATGCATAGAGTTTAACATAAATAATAATGACAATGATGAATAGTACTAATAGAGCCAATGAACAAAACAATGGGATGAATGATGTCATCTTTCTTTTTCTCTCTCTCTACTATTTTTGATTCATTCGAATAATATATAATATATAAATGATTATAGTTTTTTAAAATTTGGAATAATAATAATAATAATAATAATAATAGTAGGAGTAGTGTCGGAGTAAGAGTAGTTGTTATTATTGTTGGTGTGTTGTTATGAATTTTGGACAAACAATATATAACTTTTATATTTTAATCTAATAAAACATAAAAAGGCAGAGAAAGGTGTGTGTTGGGAAAAGGAGGTGCAAAAGGATGGTGTTGGGTGGGTATGAAATCATCACCTATAGTATAATAAATTTTATACCAATACCAATAATAATAATAATATAAAATGAACCAAAAATTCTTCTTCTTCCATTATGATGATGATAATAATAATAATAGTAGTCGTAGTATATGTTTGTTGTTGTTGTAGTTGTTTGTATATACCTCTTCTAGTGATGGATCCTTCATTTTCTTTCTCTATTTCATCCAATAAATAATAGTAATAATAATAATAATGCTACAAGGTATGTTATGTTTGTTTGTTTATCCTTCTATCTCTATCTATCTATCTATCTATATTAAAAAGAATCAAATGTTAGAATGACTGATTATAGCTATAGAGGTTATTGATCGATCAAATGTATGTATTGGGTTGGTGTATCGAGTTTGTTTACACAATTCACGTGAATCTATGAATAAGGTATGTATATGTAATTATAATCAAAAGAGTACACTTGTTTGTTTTGTTATCGATTAACTATTCTCTCTTTTCTGTTTTCTTTTCTTTGTTTAACTAATTTTTTCTTGATTTCGATTTGTTGAATTGGTGTGTTTAAGCGTTGGGATATTTGATAAAGGAGTGAAAACGTTGTTGTTTGCTGTGATCGAAATTGATTGACAAAAACTGCTATTATTATTATATTACAAACTACTACTATAGTTTAAACCAATGTGATTTTGATTTAGGATGTGTGGGAATAGATTACTTGTTTATTTAATTCTTCTTCTTCTATCAACAAAACCTAGAGATAATAATACTAATAATAATTTATGTATGTATGACAATAGGCAATAACAACAGCGATAATCAATCACACCTATTCTAACAAAAAAACACCACAATTGAATCGACGACGGTTGTTGTTATTGCGTTTCACCTATATCTTGTTTCACACCCCCCACACCTTTCACTCTCTCCACCATTCCTCAACTGTGCTTGACACGTTGTTATTAAGTTTTTTGTATTATGTTGTTGACTCTATACAGTATTGACTGTTATTATTGCATAGTGATCATGAACTGAATGACCGACCAACATCAATGCTGTGTGTCTGTGTGTGTGATGATGATCAACTCCTCTCTTGAAGGAGGAGTTGTGTGTGTGATTCCTTACAATATGATTGTTCTATTCTTGTCTGATTGATTGGTCGGTTTATTATTTGATGATTGACACAACGCACTGTTATTCTAATTATATCTTTTTTCCTTGTTTAAGAATTCCAAACTTGACATTAAAGGTAGTAAGAGAGTTACTTGGTGATACTAATATTCTTCTTCTTCTTCTTAATATATAATATATAAATCTGGTGAGCTATCAATCAAAAAACATTGTTATCTCGTACCCGTTGAGTAGTTTGGTTGTAAAAAAAGGGTTTAAAAAAAATTAAATGATTTTTACACGAAGGTAAGAAAGGTTGGACTCCCTATTTCGTATATACGTGGGTTTATAATATTTATGTTTGATTGATTTATTTGGAAACTTCAGCAGCTCCTTCGGTAGTCATTTTTCTTAATTTCAAGGGTGCTTCTGGTTGGTCATCTTTGTTCTTGTTTTCCATATGAATTTTTTTTCTTTCGCTGAGACCACTGTACTTTTTGAATTGTGATTGCAAGGTGGTGTCAAAGAGTTCCTTGAGCTCCTTGTCGCCAAGGGCTGGAACCTCTGTCTTTTCATTCAAAGTCTTGGCAAGAGAGTGGTCTGGAATGACGACACTCTTGGCAGTGTCAATGGCAACGACAAGTGGAGTGGTGTCGGTGGTAGCCCATAACGATACGAGGAGAACATTTCCAGAGTCGACAGCTTGGACGGCAAGTGGAGAGGACTCGAGTTGGATCGAGGAGAATGACGACTCGTCAATAACATTGTTGGCATATTTGAAAGTGAAAAGGGTTGAATGCTCTTCGACATAGACATAGACACGATCATTAGAGATATACAATGGGATGGTAGTCAATACTGCAGCTGGTTCTGGTGCTTCATTCTTTATCTTGTCAAACATGTTAATTGATTGTAACAATTGTCCATCCTTCCATTTCCAAACTTTAATAGTTCCATCACCAGATCCAGTCAACAATATATCATTTTTAATTAATAATTTAGATACAAATCTAAATAGACATAATTATTAGTAACATAATGGTTTGATTTGTCTCGAGTTCTTTCTTTCTTCTTCTACTTACTGAGTATGACCTAAACAAAAAGATTCAATATCAAAAGCATGGGGATATTTGCTTACTCTAACCTTTTCATCACGATCAGCTGTAAGAATGTATTTGTGGCAATCTGAAAAGATCATATCAGTGATGGATGAAAAGTGACCAAGAAGAAGATTCTTTTCCTCTCCATCTTCAACATCCTTTTTATCTTTTTCCAACTTTTCCTTGGTATCGTCAAGATTGTAGATATAAACATCACCTGCCTTGTCTGCAATAACAACAGACTTGTTATCAAGAGTTAATTGTGCTGATGATATTTTCTTTGGTGTATCACTAAAACAAATCATAAATAAATATTAATAAATGATTGATCCAAGTTTGTTTCATTTCATTGTATTTCATACATTGAATTGATACATGATAAATCAGTAGTATTCCAAACTTTGATAGTCTTATCGTTTGATGATGTAATCAAATGAGTACCATCTTTGCTAAATTCAATCGATTTAATAGCTTCTTGATGTTGTTTAGTAGCATCTATATTAATAAATGTTGATGTCCTAGATAGTAGATAGAGAGAAAGAGATAGAGGTTAACAAATTGGGTTTCAATCAATCATTTCATCTTTTACTCAATTACATACTTTGTGTTGAAAACACGTAATATATTATTTAAAGAGTATGCAATCAAACCTAATTGATCATTTGAAGCAAAGTTTGAAATAGGTACTTTCTTGATTGTTGTCATTCTTTGATCTAGATAAATCTCTTAATTTAAAGAAGGTATATACTTATACTTTTTATATTATTTTTGATTGCTGAAAGAACCGAACGAAAAAAAAAATAGTCATTTATTTTATTTATTTATTTATAGTGCTTGCAATGATTATACTTATATTTATATTTAGATATCTAATATCATAATGTTTTAAATATGGTGGTTGGTTATTATTATATTGTCAATATTCACTTCACTACAAATAGTGCATTCAAAGAGATCTTATTATACATTCACACAGAGTCAAAGGACTTGATTCATAACTTCAAAAGGACAATTCATTCTTTCCCTTTTCGGATTTGTCTAATCCATCATTTGTTTTTTTTAATAAACTGTATCTTTGAACTGTATCTTTGGATACATATTATTTGTTTCCAATTGTCTGAAAGATACTAGGAGGGTGTGCATAAAAAATTTTTTCGGTCTTGAGAAAAGATCTTTGATGGTGTCGAATGGGGGAGGCTTGAAGATGAAACTGATTTAGTGTGTAGGTTAGTTTATACTTCTCTGTTTACATATATTATATAGATATATACAAAGATGTCAAACGAAGTAAAGAGAGAATCATTCTTTGCAACAGCAGCAAAGGATATTGTAGCTGGTTCAGTTGGTGGTGTTGCCCAGCTCGTGACTGGTCATCCCCTTGATACCATCAAGGTCAGATTACAAACCCAACCAGTCGGTGCTCCTTTATATAGTGGTACAATGGATTGTCTAAAGAAAACTATTGCTCAAGAAGGTGTATGTAATACAACACAATACATGTACAAACATAACAACAATAATCTAAAATGTTTATCTATCTTATCTATCTTATCTATCTTATCAAATTTAGTTTGGAGGATTATATAAAGGAGTAACATCACCATTGGTTGGATTATGTTTAATGAATGCAGTTATGTTCTTTTCATATGGTCAAGCTAAAAAGGCGATTCAAGGTGATAGCAAGGAAGAGTTGAGTGTTGAGCAATTGGCCAAGGCTGGTGCTATTGCCGGTTTGACTATTGCCTTTGTAGAGTCACCCGTCGATCTCTTCAAGAGTCAATTACAGGTGCCTGGACAGACACAATTCAACGGTTTGGCCGACGTTGCCAAGAAAATCTATCAATCTAGAGGTATCAGAGGTGTCTATCAAGGATTCAGTTCGACACTTGTTCGTAATGTACCAGCCAACTGCTGTTACTTTGCATCATATGAATTGGCCCGTCGTGCCTTTTTAGAGCCAGGTCAACTTTTGGAAGACTTGCCAACATGGAAGGTGTTGGTATCTGGTGGTATTGGTGGTATGTCTTACTGGACACTCACCTTCCCAATCGATGTTATCAAATCCTCTCTCCAAACCGATAGCATCGTCCCATCACAACGTCGTTTCCAAGGTCTCATTGATTGCGCTTCAAAGATTTACAAACAACAAGGTATTGCCGGGTTCTACAAGGGTTTCACTCCATGTTTTATTCGTTCATTCCCTGCCAATGCAGCATGTTTTGTTGCTTTTGAAAAGGCTAGAGAATTAATGTCTTAAAAATAAACAAATAAATATATAAACTAATAATAATCATTTAACCCATATAAAGATTAAGAAGAAGAGGAAGAAGAAGAATCTTATATTTAATAGCATGTTAATTTATTAAATAATATTATTATTTTTTTGAAACTTGATCATAGCTATAAAGATTCATCTACTCTTGGTTGTTTGGTCAATAGACTGTGTTCCAGGGAGCAGGGTCCTATTAGAAGAAATAGTAGATTGATCTAATAGAATCTATCTACTTTTTCTTCTAATAGGACCCAAGAGGACACCTTGTAAGTAATTGGCCAGGAACCAAAATGACAATCAAGAGGAGATATCCAAAGACAATAAGATTTTGAAATGAAAGATTAAAAGGTTCCTATAAAGATATAAAAGAAGTTTTGTACACAATGTGTATTTGTAGATGTAAAGTATACGAGAGCTAAACACATTTTTGGCGAATGCCAATAAGTTAACATACGATTTATGGTTGTTGATAACTCCAATTTACCATTCTCTGCAGCAAACCAACCGTGAGCAACTATGTAAATGAGTGGGATTACTAAAGTACTCTAATATGAGGAATGTTTATATGTATAAAAGTTGAGCGCAACAGTCTTCAACACCGTATTACAACTTGTTCAATACAAAAAAAGAAATAGTAAAATGAAATTTTTGGTTGGGAAGCATGTTCATCTTTATCAAACCAAATTTGATCATTATTCATAATTTCATATTTATTGTGTGATTAATCAAATTCAAATTCCAACAACGATGGTATCAAGAAAACAAGTAATACATCTATATAGAGACATTCTTCGAAAGGCAAGCAGAGATTTACAGTTTACAAACTATGAATACTTTAGATTCAGATTATCAAATGCCTTTAAAGAAAAGGTAAAGAACAAGTATATTTTGAGTAGAAAGTTTGATGTATGTATATTATATAAAATATATAGAAGATTGAAATCACTTTCATCATCATCATCTAACATACATTGAATCATCGTGTTTATATAGGATGGTTTATTTTTAAAAGAAACACTTGGAGGAATGTTATAAATCACAATCAATCAATCGACTATATATCTATCCTTTTCATAACACCAAGAACACCCTATATAAACAACACGAATTTGTAAATACTACTACTCTCTCTCTCTCTTTTTGAGAGAGGGTTTCTATACACTCATACAATATATAAACGACGTACATCAACACAAGGCAATAACATTATCAAATTGTGAATCTAAAATCAATCTATATATTTCACTTTCAGATGAGAGCAATAGATATTGGTTTGATTGATTTGGTAATGATCAAATAAATAAATAATTTAATATAATTTATTATTATTTCTAAATGCTATATATGGATTATAGATTGGTATAAATACTATGATGATGGATATGGTTAAATATTATTATGGTTAGAATTAAATTAAGGTTAGTTGTTGGAAGATGATATTGATGACAATGATGATGATGGTAATGATGATAGTGGTGGTGTTGTAGATGCAGATGATAAAGATGATGATAATAAAGTGGATGATGGATGATGTGATAAACTAAGTGTGATTGGAATGGGTGTTAGAGCTCCACGATTTGGCACCTTGTGTAATTTGGGTGTTTCATCTTTGGGATAGGTAAAGTTATTCGTTGTTGTCGTCGTTGGTAAAGTCGTTGGTTTGGTTAGTGTTCCATTTAATGGTGGTGAAATGGTAGTAGTTGGTAATGTAGATTGTTTGGATAATGCTATCTTTTTCAATGATTTTAATCCAGTCATACTACTACCACTAGTTGCAGTTCCACTATTACTATTTGGATTACTGTTTTGATTGGTAGTTGATGAAGAAGATGATGAACCCTTGCTACTAATAGGTGGTTTACTAGCATGGGCATGGTGGTTGTTGGTACTGTTGGCTACCATGGAAATAGGAGTTTCCTTAAAAATCATTGATAATCTTTTACCGGCACTACTACTGCTGCTACCGTTACCATCGAGTGACAATCTCTTTTTAATGGTTGTGAGGGAAAATGAAGAGAGTGAAGAGGATCCTTTGGATGTTGTAGATGGTGGTGGTGTTTTGGGTTCTGTTGTTTTAGTGATTTTAGATATTCTCGGTGACTTTAGTGGTGGTTGAGTTTTAGAAGATTGTTGTTGTGGTTGTTGTTGTTGAGGTTGAGGATGTTGTTGATGATGTAATTGTAATTGAGAAATTAGTGTTGGTGATGGTTTGGTTGGGGTGGATCGTCCACTTAGAGGTGGGGTTGATCGACTGATGCTGCTGCTGCCAGTTGAACCCATTGTACTATTTAGATTAGGTTTAGGGTTTCTTGGTGAGGCTGGTGTTGGTGGTGCTACTAATACATTGGAAGTGCTGGTATTCTCTTTTGAGCGTTTGGCCAAGAGACTAAGAGTTGGTCTATACAAGGATGATGCAGATGATGGTTGTGTGGTGGATGGGGATGGGGACGGTGATGATGCCAAAGGTGGGGTAGTCAAAAAGGTAGTGGTCGTAGTTGTAGTAGTGGTCGTGGTGGTTGTCATCATAGTAGTGGATTGTGTTGTTAGAGCATTAAGATTTGATGCACTGGATGAGGGACGTAGACCGGGACTGGTGTTTCTAACGGTCGACGACGAGGTAGACGATACCGATGAGGACGATGGCTTAATGTGCATGGGTGGTGCTAAACTGGGACTACCACTGGTTAGCTGCTTGGCAGTTATAGGTGGTTTGCTAGCCGACAATCCCAACGTGTTTGGATTGGCCAACAACTGCTTCTTGGTTGGTGTTGCCAGTGTCTTGGATGTCTTGGGTACAACCTTGGCCGTCGGTTTGGCAGGCGGTGCAGATGGTGGTGGCATGGCAGCAGATGACGAAGAAGGTGATTTTCGCGGTGAGAATAATGGTTGTTTGGTTGGTGTCTGATGTTTGTTATTTTTCCCTGTGCAGTAGTTAACGTCATGGTCGAAATAGTTGATATTTGAGGTTTTCTTGGACCGGCACTTGTTGGAATCAAAGATGCTGCAGGTTGATGAACTGGTGACGGCACTACTACTACTGTACTCGGTGGGGTCGTAACACCAACTACATTGTTGTTGTTAGTTGATAGATTAATTTCCTTGAGTTGACTTGACAATTGTTGGATTTGGTGTTTGGGGGAGTCGCTCCTTGTTGTTGGCTGTTGTTGTTGAACATTTTTAATAGGGGAATCCTTTCTAGTTAGGATCTTTCTTGGTGAATCTTTCGTGACTACTACTTCTGCTGTAGATGCTGTTGACTTGACGGGAGACTTTGTAGTTTGTAATTTTGGTGGGACGACCATTTGTTGAATATCAATCTCATCGATGAGATTAATAGGGGAGGGTGGCCTGGCAATCGTTGGGGTCTCTGGTGGCGAGTAAATGACAAGCTCCTCGATAATCTGCTTCCACTTTTCAAAACATACTTCCATCTTGTTTTGCAATGCTTTCATATTCATTGGACAATAGTGTGCGTGCAAGTCGAGTCCGCATGCCAACAACCGTTTTTGTGAAAACAACAGGTCCTTGAGTCGCTTGAGTAGGTCCAAGTGACCTGGGTTCTCTTGCAAGTAGGACAGACTGAAAAACACGCGATACATGTTGACTCCACCCGACACTGCCGCATCGACCACTCCATTAAGTGCCATGGTCAAGTTGTTAGACCACTCCTTTTGCATCTTGGTCACTTCAAATATGCCATCGAGCTGCTTATTCTTCTTGTCCAACGTTTCAATTGCATTCTCTAATGGGTTACGTTCAATCTCTATAATTGCCTGTACCTCACTACACCTAATCAAATTAGGAAAACTCGAAGAAGATACAATGTATGTATGACAAGTCCATAAATCTAAAAATTCATTCTCTGGTTGTTGTGTTGGTTGTTGGGATAGACCATCCAACTCTTTAGGTTCTTTCTTTTTTTTAAATGGAAGTGAAAAGAAAAATACCTTGGAGTTGTTATTAATGTAGGATTGGAGATCTTTAAAGTTTGATCTACTCATGTCTCCACTACCACCACCACTAAAGTTATCCAAACTTTCACCAGTACCAGTAGTCTTTGCAAAATCCTTTGGCATTGATACAGGCTTACAAGGACGAATGTGGATGTACTGTCCAGTCAAAATATCGTCCTTGTCAGTCTTTGGGACAACCTTTGCACCCGGGAATCTATTTTTCATACGTCCAACAAAGTTTCCAAGCTTCTCCAACTCTCGACCCCTAAATATATACTTTTTGCCATCGACTGATTTCGGGAACCCCTTTCCTCTAAATTCAACAAGGAAATATTCCTCAAAAAATCTTTCTTTACGTTCAATTGAATTATAACATGTATGTTCTAATTTCTACACAAACAAATAAGTATTTTTCTTTTTGTTTTCTTTTTCTTTTTTTTTTTAAAGTTTACATACACTTAAACTAACCAATTTTTTAATAAGTTGATTTTGTTGTTGTTGTTGTAAACCTTTTTGTTGTATATCTTTTTTATATTTTTTTCGAAGTTTTTTAATGATTGCCAAACCTCGCTCCCAATACTTTCCATCCATAAACAATTCGAGTGAGCTGTTTAGTAGTCTCTCTTTACGATCGGATTGTGATTCCATGGGATACCCATACTCTTCTTTAAATGTAATGTCTGCGTCATTTGACCAACTGATCAGCTGACTGTGATTCAATTGGCATATGGCAGCCTCTACCTTGTTTCCAAATGTCAAATGGATTGTTTTCAAATGCTCCAATTTCAATATATACTCTGTCACTGATTCAGTGTGTTGTAAATAATTTAATACTTTGTTTAATAATATTGTAATATCATGTTCATATTCTGGTGTAACTGGAAATAATACTAATATCTTTTCAATTTCACTAAATGATGTATCCAAAAAAACTTAAAAGAAAACAAATATAAATTAATAAACAGATCTAAATACATAGATATCTAATGTTTCTACATACAATGTTGAATATATAATTCTTTCCAAGATTCTTTACTAATAGTTGTTAGACGATCGATAATATTTTGAGGACGTTGAAAACGTTCGGTAAATTTAGAGAGCCATAGTGTATTTTGTTCGGCGACAATCTGCCACCATTTACATGTCATACCAACCTTGCAGATTTGTTCTGCTGTGAAATATTGGAATATATTGAGAAGAAGCTCGGCGGGCAAGTAGGCAACACCTTGTTGCAGTAGTTTACGGGCATCAGCATATGCCATCATGACAGCTGTTACTGCATCATTCTCAGTACTGTTATAGTCATCTGACAATGACTCTGTGGGAGGTGGAGTGAGAACAATGGCAGGTGATGGTGACATTGTATTTGGTGATGGGGAATTATATACTCGTGCATGTAAATTGGCACAAGTCTTTCTACGACGAGGTGGTGAAAATACTTTTAATGTATTATTGGCTTGATTTTGTTGTTGTTGTTGGTATTGGTATATTTGTTGTTGATATATTTGTTGTGTTGTTTGACCAATACCTGTACCGGTTGTACCACTACCATGAAGTGGACTTGATGGTGGTGTTATAACATCTCCGCCTGCACCATGTCCATGATGATAATCACCACCGCCACCACTCAATAACATGGGAGATGCCAATAAAGAGGTAGATGATCGTTTGTTGACTGTTGATGTCCCTGGAGTACATCGTTTACCACTCGCCACAAATGTCGAGTGTGACGAATATGGAGACAATTGATTATTTTGTTGTTGTTGATGTTGCTGCTGTTGTTGTAATAGATCCAATTTAATAATACCTTGTCCACGTGGTGACAAGTCATAATGAGTGATGGGAGTCAAGGGAGATGAGATTGGAGTTGTATTCTCCCCATCATCTTCATTAATTGTATAGGATGGATTCTTTTGTGGAGTTTGATAAGAATATAAATTACAATGGTTATTGTTGGTGTTGCCATGAATCATCTCGGTTGATAATGATATTGTTATTTTATCATCCATTGAAGTTGGTCGTGTTCCCTGTTGATGTTGTTGATAATGGTTTCCAAGTTGATGAAATAATTGTTCACTTGTTGGTCTTGTTGTTGTTGAAGATGATGTTGATGATGTCGCCATTGTTGCTGTAGTCACTATACCACTATTACCATAGTTGTTGTTGTTGTTGTTGTTGTAAACAGCGGTTGTACCAGTACCATTAGGGTTATTAGTAAATCCGGAGGAGAATGCCAAAGCACCAGAGACAGTTGATGCTCTGTGTCTAGAGAATGGGCTAAGAAATTGTTTAGACATGATGGCTATATCACTGATCGAGTCTGATCTAACCACTCGTCCATTTCCATTCATGTCTACATCTCCATCCCCACCTCCGTCTCCGTCTCCCTGTAATTTCATGGGTGAAGCAGGGGGTGTTGGTAGGATTTGATCATTGACAATATTGATCATATTGTTTTTGTCTATATTTGTTTTTCCAAACAAACACCTGTCTGTACACTAGAATTATAATAATTCTTTCTTTCTTTCCTATCCTATTTATATCTATAAATATATTGTTGGTTTTTGTTTCTATTTTTGTTTAAAAAAACCAAGAATTAATAATGTAAGGTATGGTTGACAGTGACTGAGTGACTGATGATGAATTGAAATTTACTACTACTACTAACAACAACTGTCTATGATGATGATAATAATATTAAAAGTAGTACTTTTTACTACAAAAAAACAAGAGTACAAGTAATGATGAAAAGGATGATTAATCAAACTGGAACGAAATGGGTGAGAATGATGATGGTTGACAAACTCAACCAACCAATTAACCAACCAACAAAGTGATAATGGTTAGATGGATTCTACCATTATTATTATTATTATGAGTATCTTGATTTATAGATTGATGTGTGTGAGGGAGGGAAGGGTTAAATTAAATTGTGTGGTTTGGTGATTGTGAGGGATGATTGATTGGAGTGGATGGATGTATGTATACCCATCTCTAACAAATGGAGTTTGAAAGATAGACAGATGTGTCAGATGAAAACGATTATTATTATTATTATTATTATTATTATTATTATTATTATTATATCGTCTCATATGTGTGTGTGTAATATTTATTTCCACCATCCATCAATTTGTGGTGGTTGGTTGGTTGGCAAATTCTTTTAAAATAGATGATTGGTTGGTTGGTTTGGTGGTTTGGTTGAATGGAATGCCATTCATTCGTTTTATAATTCTTTCATAGATAGATTCATGTTTGTTGTTGTTATGCATATAATACTATATGTGTGATGTTTGTTGTTCAAACTAAAAACTACTATCACTATCTAGATACTCTTTATGCTATATTATATGATTGGTACACGAAAGATCTTATACAACTAATACTGCAAGAATATATATCTAGTGATCTTGATCGATGAATGATGAATGATGATTGATGATGATAAACTACACACTTTTTTTTCTTAAAGGTTCTTCTCAGAATGTAAAAGTAGATTCTTTGCTCTTATATTATTATTATTATTATTATTATGGAATAAATAGGGATTATTATAACCAACTCGAAACATGCATGTCATATAACACCATCGACCAAAATTTTGAACAACGGGTTTGGCGCCTAATTTTCAAAATTTTGAATCACCTTCAAGAAAGAAAAACTACATAATCGTGCCGAATGATCAAACAAGCCGATCCACTAAATTTCATTCTTTAATCACGATCACGAAATGATTGACCAATACAGCGAGTCATCTAGTATCACCTAATTTATTTATTTATTTATTTATATTTATATTTATATATATTCACAACCCATCGCTCATCGCTAATTATTGATCGATCTAAATTCGATACACCTATTGATGTTCTAAACATCACTTTGACACTGTTCAATTATCGCGCAGTAATATTTCGACCTAGGTTGTGGGGTACCTCTTTAATGACCAAAAAGGGGGATTTGTTTGATCAATCTCGAAAACCAAACCAGACCAAAAATACAAAAAAACCCGTGTGCACTTGCGTCGCCGCAGTATGCAACAATGCATGGCTCACTGCAAGCAGGCAAGGACATTCCCTATACCCCCTCTTTTCAAAATCTATGTGTTTGCTTCGAACCAAATCACTCCTCTCCCTTATTGGTGGGTCAAGGGGTCGATATTTTTGTGTTGGTTCAAAGAGATGCAAGGAATGAATGGTGTGTGTGTTTGTTTAAAATGTAATGGAATAGGTGATCACCAAACTCATCGTCATTATCTTCACAATCTCTCTTCTCTCTATAACTCTTCTAACAACTAACTATATCAAATATATATAATCATATAATGGGTACAACTACAACTACAGGTATGTCTGTCCTTAAAAATTAAATTTTATATCTCCATACACTCTTCTCTCTCTCTCTCTCTCTCTCTCTCACACTCCCACTTTGGTACTAATCTTAAATCCTATTCATTTATTTATTTTAGAAGTAAAAGAGGAGGAGAAAAATGGAACAGGAAATGGAAATGAAAATGAAAATGAAAATGAAACGAATGGAAATAGAGAAAATGAAAATAGTAGTCCGCCTCATCACATTTCAATTCCATTAAATATGTCAATGTCACAAATAGAGATACACCAATACATTGAGAAACCAACATTTAAACAATTGACAATACGTATCGTTACATCGATTGTACCATGTTTGGTGGCAGCTGTTTATATATCGAGTTTTAAACCATACAATATCTATGAGTTTATATGGCCGATGGCTTTGGTCGGGTTGGCTATAAGCTCGGCCAATTCAGTTGCCTATGGATGTCTGTTGCTCAAGGTAGACTGGAGCAAAAGATTTATATTCTCTACTGCATTGGTGTGGGTGGGTGCACCTGTGCTGTGGACCATTCTCCAAGAGACTGGAGTGTTTCCCCAACCTGGTAACCTACTCGTTACAACAGTCATCCCACTCGATATCATTTGGCTTGGTATTGCCTACATACTCATTAAAAAAGAGGTTCAGAGTAGATCGAAAAACTATAAAAAGAGATGGTTGGCTTTTCTTTTTGCATTTTTCGTCAATTATGTCTATGCAGAGTTGGGATCGGAATACTATAAACTGTACATAGAGTCTGGACCAAAATGGAGGATTGCACTACCCATCATATACACTGTCGTAATGCGTGTCATTCAATGGGCTCTAGACATACTCTGCTATAGATGTGCCAAGGGGACATCCAACCTAATCATCATTGTTGGTCGCATCATATTTTCACTCTACAGTTATTTAGTACTTGCCTATGCCCAATCATACGTACATATCATCCCAGTCATTCTCTCCAAGTTTGGTCTCAACTTGGGGTTTGCCATCCTCGTCCATTTCCCTCGAATCCAACCTTTTCTCCTTTCCCTTCTCCCCATTAAATGTCGTTCATTTATTGAATCAAATTTTATGGAAAATAACAATAATAACAATACCAACAACAATAATAGTAATAATAATTTAAGTTTAAATAATATTAGTAGTAATAATAATAATATTAATAATAATAATAATAATGGTAGTAATAATAATTTAAGTAGACCAAAATTACAATATACAAAATCAACATTAAAACTTCAAGTACCGTCGAGTCAACATGCAGGACAAGAAAGGAAAGCAACGGAATTATGGTTTTCAATGTTTTCTGATTGGTTTGCATTGGTACTATTGATCATTTTAAATTTGTTGGGGAGATATAATAGAGGCAATGAAACATACTGTACAGAATATAATTTCCAAGGAAACCAACAATTTTATCAATTCCTTGGATACTTGGGAGTATGTTTGATTACGACAACCGTATATTATATTATTATCTGGACAAGTGTTATTTGGAAAACTAGCAGTACAACCAATTCACAAATCATCGACAACATAATACTCAGAATTTCAATCAACTGGTTTCCAAATCAACATTTTATAATATCTATCATCAACATGATGCTCATCGTAGTAATGTATTATGTTGCACTTGTTCCAATCTTCTCATCTGACCAAATTACCAAAGGTAATGGTTATTGTAATTAATATATATATATGTGATAATATTATATATATATATAAATCAAAAGGCAATTTAAATAATAACAACAACTTAGGCAAAATAAAGATAATATTATAGGGTTACTTACTTACTTTTAAAAGTAACCTTACTTGTTTAACTATACACAATCTTTTTACATTTTTAAAAGTATTCAGAATAATCCAACCAATTGGATTTCCAAATTTAAATTTATTTGTGTGAATTATAATATAACATAAAGATATATATATTTATATATCTCTCTGGGTCAATAATTATTATCTATTATTATTATATTTATCTATTATTGTTTACTACCCAATTTAAATCTTTTTTCACGTTCTAATCTTTTTTCACGATCTCTATCCTTTTCTCTTTCCTTTTCTCTTTCTTTTTCTTTTGAACGTCTTTCCTTGTCACGTGAATCTCTTTGATCCTTTTCACCTCCTCTATCTCTATCTCTTTCCTTTTCTCTTTCTTTTTCTCTTTCTTTTTCTCTTTCACGTTCTCTGTCTCGTTCACGTTCCTTGTCTCTTTCCTTTTCTCTATCTTTTTCTCTTTCACGTTCACGAGCCTTTTCACGTTCTCTTTCCTTTTCCTTGTCGTGATCTCTAGTGTCTCGAGTATCTCGAGTGTCTCGGGTATCTCTATCACGATCTCTATCACGATCGCTTCTTCTACTACTGCTACTACCACTTTCATGATCTCTATCTCCATAGTCTCTGTCTCGATCTCTGTCTCTGTCACTACGATCAGAGTGTCTATAGTATGAATCTTCATCGCGGTCTCTTGATGAATGGTCACGGTCGCGGTCACGATCTCTGTCGCGGTCACGGTCGCGATCACGACTATAGTCTCTGCTACTGTCTCTGTCGCGGTCTCTGTCTCTGTCGCCGCGATCTTTGTCTCTTTCCTTTTCGCGTTCACGGTCGCGTTCTTTGATTCTGTCTTTTTCGCGGTCATCCATTTCATCTTCTCTCTTTCTCTTTTCATGAGAATCGCGCATCGACTCGTCGGACGAATCTTTACCATATCCGTCTTCTCTTGGTGGTGGTGGTGGACCACCTCCGTATCTCTCCATCATGTCTTCGTCAAACTGCTGCATCATGCGCGGGTCTTGGAAATAGGGTGGATAGCCTGGAGGAGGGGGGTAATGGACACCCATGGGGTGGGGTGGATACCCGCGCGGCATACCACGTGCCATGCCCGGAGGTGGGATACCACGTCCGCGTGGATGGAAAGGGTGTGGAACACCACGCCCACGCATCGCGAGGTGGGGAGGCAGTCCAGCGCCATTCATATACTGTTCGGGTGGCACACCCGGAGGCATGCCTCGACCCATCGCACCGGGTGGCATGTGACCACCCCTACCGCCACGCATCGCACCACCTCTTCCACCACGCATACCCATTCCCATACCCATACCCATACCCATCGGGTGCCCGAGTCCCATAGGCGCACTACCATGCATGATCTTGGGTCCACCCTGTGACATTGCACCACCACCACCACCGCCAACACTACTCATCGTCGACATTTGTTGGTGTGGTTGGTGTGGATGTTGTGGATGTTGTTGGTGTGGCTGTTGCTCGTACTGCTTTGTGAATGAGCCACTTTTAATGGCATTGATTACATGTTGATAACTCTGTTGAGACACTGCCTTTATAGTAACCTCCCTTCCATTTATTTGTTTGTCTGACAGCTTTTCCTTTGCCTGCAGGGCCTGCTCGTTCGAAGACAACTCGACGAATGCATATCCCTTTGATTTTCCATTCAACTCGTTTTCAAATATCTTTAATGTCTTTAACTTTCCAAATTCTGCAAAAAAGGTTTCTAATTGTTGTTCAGTTGTCCACTATAATAAAGCAAAGTAAAACACACACAAATGTTAACACATTAATCATTCCAAATATTGATCATTCTTCTTCCTATAATCTCATTCTTCTTCTTTAAACATACCCAATCTAAACTTGAAATATAAACAGCTGGTGATAAATTTTCATTGTCTACTTGTTCATTTAATAGTTCATGTCTTTCGTCTTCAGAGTGACCATTGGTAGATAGACTCTTTTCATCGATTGTTTGAATACTATGTTGTTCATTGGCCAATAATCCCATATCTTTCAACATTGATTCTCTTCCATCATCATCTCCACCATCATAATCATCTTCATCCATTGAATGATTATTATTATTATTATTGTTATGTTGATGTTGTTGATCATCATTTTTATCATTATCATTAGACTGAAACAAAGTAATACTGATTAGTAAGTAATCTTCTTCCTCTCTCTTTATTTTCTTTCATCTCTCTCTCTCTCTCTCTCTACATACCTTTTCTTCATGATGATTATTATTATTATTATTTGGTGATGTTGTTGTAGCGGCGGCAGCAACAGCAGTAGCAGTAGTTGATGGTACTGATGTAGTAGTTGTTGTACTACCGCTCGTTTGAAAGTCCCCGTATAGATCGTAATCGTCCATTCTATTCTGATTCTATTCTAATTTTACCAATATTCAATCCTCTTTCCTTTTTGATGATGTTGATAATAGGTTTTTGTAGGTTATATATATATATTATTTAGTAGTAATAAGTAGGTCTAAAGGTATACACACATTGTCAATCACACAATTCAAACTTTAATGATTATGTATAGACGTGAATGATGATGATGATGTTTAATAATAGATTGATTGATTGAAAAAGTTTGCATACGCAAGCAGGTCCTGACTCTTTTGTCAATACACTACATGAAAATCAGCTTTTTTGATGAATTTTTTAAAGTTCACCGGTTTAATTTTAATTTATAATTATAATCATCGGTTGAAAAAAGTAGAGTATGTAAGAATACACTTCCTAAATTATAAATTATTGTTATTAATGTTTTTGGATGTAAGTATATTTATTTATTTATTTATAAAAGATTATTTGTTTGTTTTTTTTATTTATGTACTTGTTGTTGTTGTTTGTTATTAATATTTGTTATTGAATTAAACATTTAGCAGTCAATGATGATTATATTTTTACCAATTAATTGGGATTAAACCAGCAATGAAAGTCTTTTGTATTCTATGGTTTCTGATACAGGTACCTTCGAGTTGGTTGATGAATACCAATCCATCAATGTCATTGTAGGGAACGATAAAGGATTCAGACTGCAGTAGTTCCGACGGTTGAAGAAGTACCAACTGTCGAGGCTGTTGTGGAGGCGGTAGTAGAGGCAATGGTGGAGGCTATGGTTGTACCAGTGTGGGGGTGCGTAGTACCGAGTGTTGGGAAGACCGAAGATCCCGAAGATGGTCTACGTGTAGTGCCCCCAGTACCAGTATGAATAGGACCACCACTATTACCAGTGTTGCAACGCAAAGGGATGGTTTGACATGGGTCATCGTTACAACCCTTGTTGTGATGATGTTGGTCGTTTCCAGTATTACACTTGATGGGAATAGCTTCACATCCCCTGCCAGTATTGCACTTTATCTCACATTTCTCCTTTTCATGACATTTTTCTGGGTGTGGATGTGGGCCTCTATAAAGTTCGTCAAATTCATCTCCCTTTACTTGTCCAATACAAAGTATCAGAACTATACCCAATACAAACAATAATAATTGTTTTTTACTATTAATCATTCTATTCTATCTATTTTTTGATCGCCTCTTAATTAATTATTCTTTTTTTTTTTTTATCTTTCTGGAAAACAATGGAAAATAGTCCAAATAAATATTTCTTTCTTTTCTTTCTTTCTTTGTTTACTCGTCAGTTATCCTTTTACTTTTACTTTGACTTCTTCTTCTTCTTTATGATTATTATTAATAAATGTATAGAACACAATAAATAATAATAATTATGATGAGGTGAATAAATGGAAGTAGAATGAATGCAAATAATTTTCTGATCACACACACAATTATTGCAGTAATATATTTATCAGGTTCATGTGTTTGTTTTGTTTTGTTTGGAGAGAGAAGAGGTGTTGTTGTGTGTCTTCTACTCTATAAGTATGCAACAATATCCAAATGAAATGAAACACTACTCCCGCAGCAGCAGTGATGATCTAATGCATATGATATGTAGTAGTGACATTGTTCGAATTATACAATGGTGGGTGGGTGGGGTGGGTATTGTTGAAATGAAAACACATTGTGTGAGTGAGTGGGTATCTATCTGTTCAGCAATCACTACTGATGATTTTCATTCTTATACCCCCTATGCAATCGAATACCACACACACTATTACAAAGTAATATGTATCTCTCCAAGAATTAACACCATAGTATGAGATATCGTCGTCGAATCAACTGGATATCTGAACATGGGTGTTTGAGTGGGTGAGTGTGATTATATTGTGTTGTAAACTGGCTGGGGATTTTGATATACATTGTAAAAGTTAACTTACTTACTACTTACTCTAAATTTATAAAGTCGGATGGAAGGAAGGAAGGAAGGAACCTAATTTAGAATTGTGATCACGTTGTACACTATCCCCTTTGATAAAACAAGAATATAAACCTGGCTATATATATATTTAAAGTATATATATATCTCTATTAGTATTTTGATGTATTGAGGTTTGGTGTTGTTGTTGTATACTATTTATTTATTTACTATTATTAAAAACATGATTTTTGGAGGGGGGAGGGAGGAGTATATTTGTTTAGTAGGCTTCATCACCACCATCGACTTGTTCTTGGACCTCTTCGTCATCACCGTTTTGTTCTTCGTCGGCGGTTGCTTCGTTGTATTGTTGGTATTCAAAGACAAGATCGTTCATGTTGCTCTCGGCTTCATTGAATTCGAGTTCGTCCATACCTTCGAGGGTGTACCAATGAAGGAAGGCCTTTCTGTGGAACATGGCAGAGAATTGAGCATTGGTTCTCTTGAACAATTCTTGGATGGCGGTGCTGTTACCGATAAAGGTGACAGACATGGGGGTGCCCTTTGGTGGAATGTCACAAATCGAAGACTTGATGTTGTTGGGGATCCATTCGACAAAGTATGGCGAGTTTCTATTTTGGATGAGCAACATTTGTTCGTCGACGTCCTTGGAAGCAATCTTTCCTCTAAAGACGGCAGAGGCGGTCAAGTACTTGCCGTTACGTGGGTCAGAGGCAGCCATCATGTTCTTGGCATCAAACATTTGTTGGGTGAGATCGGCAACAGTGACACGGTTGTATGATTTGGAGGTTTGGGCAGTCAATGGAGCATAACCAACCAAGAAGAAATGTAAACGTGGGAATGGAATCAAATTAACAGCCAACTTTCTAAGATCAGAGTTTAACTAAAAAAGAAATGAAAAGAGGAATGAAAGGTATAAGTGATTTGTTTGTGTTTTGTTTGTTTTTTGTTTCATTATATTATTACATACTTGACCTGGGAAACGGAGACAACAGGTGATACCAGACATGACAGAAGAGATGAGGTGGTTCAAGTCACCGTAGGTTGGGGTGGCGAGTTTAAGGGTTCTGGAGCAAATATCGTGGAGAGCCTCGTTATCAATGCACATAACCTCATCGGCATTTTCGACGAGTTGATGGACAGAGAGAGTGGCGTTATATGGTTCGACGACAGTGAGTGAAACCTTTGGCGATGGAACGACAGAGTAGGTACACATCATACGATCTGGGTACTCTTCACGAATTCTAGATACCAAAAGTGTACCGAGACCGGAACCAGTACCACCACCAATAGAGTGAGTGACTTGGAAACCTTGTAAACAATCGCAGTTTTCGGCTTCTTGTCTAACAACTTCTAATACTTCATCAACCAATTCAACACCCTCTAAATTAAATTAAAATAAAGATATAAATGTTAGATATTGTTTATAATTATATATCATATATACAAATACACATCCTGTCTGTCAGCAGCCATCATCATCATCATCATCATCATCGTCAACAACAACCAATAACTAATATCTTTCTTTTTTTTTTTTTTCAAATCTTAAAGATATATAAGATTAAAATAGAATGTGGTCCTTTTTGATCTATTATTTTAATCCAACTATCCTATCTATTACTATCTATTACTATCTATCTGTTGAATGTTGATGATGTCTTGCTAGTTCTGCCGAATGTGTATTGATTTGATTTGATTGAGTTTGAGACTTACCAGTGTAATGACCCTTGGCCCAATTGTTACCGGCACCAGATTGACCGTTGATAAAGTTTCCTGGACGGAAGAGCTTTCCGTATGATGAAGCTCTGATAGAGTCCATGGTACCTGGCTCCAAATCGACCAAGACGGCACGTGGGACGTACTTTTTGTTGGAGACTTCGTTATAGTATACATTGATTCTTTCGAGTTGGAGTCTTTCCAATTCGGCAGTGTCTGCCTTGTGGGTACCATCAGTCTGGATTCCGTGCTCTTCCGAGATGACTTCCCAGAACTTGCTACCGATTTGGTTACCGCATTGACCAACTTGTAAATGTAAAATTTCTCTCATTTCTAATTTCTAGTTGTTTAAATAAATACTACTGTAGATGTGTGTGTGTGATAAGCGTATTGGGTGAAGAAGATGAAAAGGAATAGAAGAGAAAAGAAAAAGCTATTATGTCTCTCTTTATCTACAAGCAAAGGAAAAAGGAAAGGATAAACTTATAAAGAGTCGTGACACAAAAAAATTGATGATGATGAAAAAAGGTGAACAACACAAAAAAAATATTGAAAAAAAAAAGATTTTTTTTTTAGAGCCTTCCTCCCATGAACCTCAGGATAATTCGGCACCCCCTTTTAAAAAAAAGGAGGGAAATTGGATCACACACTCTCCTAATATAAATATTTCAGTTGGCATGGAATGTGTGTGGTGGTATATCACTACCATAGTGACATCACTAAGAAGACATTAATAACAATATATATCTTGATCAATATACATAAATATATATATATATAAAATTTAATCTATCACATGACCTGCCTGTATTTGTCTTGTGTCTTGCCTCTCTGCAATTGCTCCAATTCAAATAATGGATCAATTTTTTTTTTTTTTTCAAGAGTAGTCGAAAAAATGGTTGTAGAAAAAAAATAAAGATAAATATAAATATTATATAGATACAATGATGGAGGATGGATGGATGTAATATTGCTGCAGAAAACAAACAAAAATGAATTAAAGATTTTGTCCTGTTGTTAATCTCCTCACCCCACTCATCACCAATTTCCTTGATAGCTAAATTTCGATGATCGTTCAGTGTCCAGCCCAGCTGGGTGACTGAGTAAATATTATGGTGGTGATAAATAATAACACACACACACAGCGTGACAGATAGATGTATGATGGATTTAATGTTTGGCATATTCTTTGAATGAGCACAGAAAAACAAGTGAAATGTACAAGTACAGAGCCATTGGCAGTGTCTATAAAAACCCAAATCAATCGGTTTTTTTCAAACAAAAATCTAATTTTCATCATTTCTTCATTCAGCAGAGCATCTCTATCCGTCCGTCTTCACCAACATCTCATAACTTTTTTTTAGTTTAGTTTAGAACTTTTAGTTTTCTTTAAAACTTTGTATTTTTTTTTAGCAACTTGTAAATAACAACAACAAACACAAACAAACACACATATTATTTATTTAAATATATATACATAAAACAACACATATAATAAAATGAGCAGCAGTAACAACGGAGCATCAAGCAGTGGATTATCAAAGACAGAGGCCGAAGCCAAGGTGATGGCAGAGACTATCACAGTGTCTGACGCTAAAAACTCATTACCACAACCAAAGGGTCAAGAAGCCGCCTCCATCAAGGACGACCTTGAAGATAAAAAGGCTGATGCTCAACTTGGTTCTGGTGCCAAAGATCAAGAAGTATTCTTTGTTGTATGTAGACAAATGAAGATTATGAAGATATATGAAGATATATGAAGATATATATGAAGATATATATGAAGATATTAATATTAGTATTTTTGGTTTGTAGAAAGATGAAAATAAGGTAACCAAAGAATTGGACAAGAGTATTAGTCAAAAGGCAACTATTTACTTTAAGGGATGCAAGGATGGCAACTATACAATTTCAGCACGTGCAGTCAAGATTATGATTGAAGCATGTCAGCGTTGCACCTTTAATTTCAAGGGTCGTATATATACCAACACGATCGAAGCTTGGAAGACTGTCGACTTGACACTCAACATTATGAACGATCAAGTCAAGACTTTGCAAGCTGATATGTCCTCGAGAATGACCGTCCAATTCGACACTAGAGACTCTTTGCACTCGTTGGTGTGGTCCGGTGTCAACGACCTAAAGGTCAAGTTTGAAGACGAGCCAACCTTTGTCCATACCACTGGTTTCGAGCAAATGAAGCAATTATACGCACCACAAGAACTCAGTTTCTCGGTCGACCAATTCACCACCCGTATCGTCGAAAAGGAGATCACCACCGAGCAAATCGTCCGTCTTGCCAACGGTTACCCCACCACCGAGCGTGAAGCCAAGCAATTCGACAACCAACAAGAACTCAATGCCAAGCGTGCCGAAGAATTCATCAGAAACAAATTAAAGGAAAATGGTATCACCCTCGGTAGCAAGGGTATCCCTAAAAAAGAAGCCGGCAGAAATGAGCCATGTCCATGTGGTTCTGGAAAGAAGAACAAAAAATGTTGTAATAAATAAACTCCTCTAAAAAATCAAATAATATATAATAATAATTAACAAAAGAAATAATTAAACTACTACTACTACTTCAAACTTATCTTATCTAATATTACAATACATTATTATTACAAATAATGCGATAGGGGGTTTATTAATCAAAAGTAAATAAATATAAAATTGGAATGGGATGAATGAATTTGGTTGAGTTTGAAGGGGAATACAGAATAATAATAAATTGATTTAAATAAACTTATAAAATAAAACAAATAAATTAAGGGTTACAATGGAAATGATAAATTCGGAGTGTTGTAGTACTAGTAATTGATTGGATCCACTTTCAGACATTGTCATTTGTTGGTGTGAGGATTGTGATTGAGATTGACTTGTATTTCCACTACTATTTAAAAGATGAGATTCTTCAATAACCAATTCAGTATCTTGTAAATCTTCAGCTAATATTCTTAGAGTGATACGTGAAACTATTCCTTGTTTTCTGTCACATTCTACACTTGGACAAATACAAATTGAAGAAGCAATAGTTTCAGTATCCTTTTTTTGAATACAAAGACCTTTCTTTTTGGTACAGTCATCTGGATTACAATCAGATTCAATAAACTCTGTAAGGAAGCTATTGGCTAGTGATCTAGAGTTTTTAAGTTGTTGGCTGTCCTCTGGTGTCTCTGAATACCAATTGGCACAATGTGATTCACCTGGAATAGATATAATATTTGATAGTGGTGTATCACATTGTGATTGAACCGATAAACTACTCCATGGATCATATCCACCATTTGTAAATAATACATTGGTTAACATTTTCATATTATCAATTCTAAAGAGTAAAAAAATATTAGTTAAAAGATGATCATTTAGTGTACTCTATTTTTTGTATTTTTTTTTACATACCCATATTCAAGATTAATCTTTTCAACAAATGGTTTCATTGATGATCCAAACATAATCTTACAAACTTCATTCTCCCACCATTGTTCATTGATTTGACCTGATTTGAGGGATAGGTCACTATCAGATGCAGTCAAAAACCAACCATACTCACTACACAATTGGTATGTCCATTGTCTCGTTCCAGAATAATCTACTTTAGTACTTGCAAATGAATAAAGATTATATTCATTACATGATCCCTAAAAAAATAATAAATAAATAATAATTAATAAATCAATTATAAATATCTTTTTACATTTCTTTGAGATACATACATTTTTAAATAAAAACATATTTGTAATATAATCAGCAAATATATCTAATAATTTAACAATGTTACTTCCACTTTGGATAAGTGGTGGACATATATTACTAATGATTTTGAATCTACTATTGTATTGTACTGAATAGCTGATGGCCTCGGACAACATGAATAAAAACATCTTGTCATCAATCTTGGCATCACAAGTGAACTTTCTTTTAATACTGGTATTGTTGACTCTTAGTTGTTGCTCTACGTGGTTTAGAATTTGTTTAAACTGTTTGGTACATTGGAGGCCGAGTGCTTCTCTCACCTTTCTATCATAGTCGTGGAAACTGACAACTGCACGAATAGGAGCAGACGATGCGATGGCTGCAGCTGCCAAATTTGGATATTTCATTCTGTACCATGCACTGAGTGACCCTGCATACGAACATCCCATCACAATCCATTTACAATTATGTAATCCATACAAATTGGTAAATTGAGTTTGGAAATATGCGATATCATCCAATCTACAAAAGAATAGAAATCCAATTAATAAGATATTAAATATTGATTAACAAACTATACATACATTTGATCAGTAGTTAAATATTGCATATTATCAGTTGACATGTTTGGAACAGGTATACTCTCACCATAGTATCTAATTTCCAAGGCAATAATGATAGAGTTTGTGTTATTGGCAACACCAATAAAAGGAATATGATTGGTTATCTCTGGATCAATTGGTCCCTCACCACCAAGTACAACTGGAAAAAAAATAAATAAATAATTAAAAAAAAAAGATTAATATAAATATATTTGAACATTTATATATTTGATATATTGATACATACGCATTACAGATTTAGGAGCAGCTCCTTTATGTACAAAGGATTTATTGATACAATAACGTTGGGGAAATGTTTTTACATTGACTCCATTATGATCTACTCGCTGATTAAACGTATAGAACCCCGTTTTGGAAATTGGATGTGTATCTATGCTACCATAGATCGATACTATTAATACCATCAACACGATAGCAGATGTATAATAATATTGTAGTCGATACATTTTTTTGTTTTTAAATAAATAATAATAAATAAATTATTATTATTATTAAATTGTTATTATTATTATTGTTATTATTGTTGTGATCATAAATAAATATAATAATAATAATTTAGTCGATATAATTAAATAATAATAATAATTTAAAAATTTAAAAATATATCTTACAAATAATAATATATTAAAAAAAAAAGAAAAGAAAAAAGAAATGTAAAGGATTGATTGATGGGGATTATAGAGATATATTTATATAAGGTAGTACGTTGGTCACTAGTTATGATGATGGATGACGATGATTGAATTAATTTGTGATTAAAAAAAATTAATAGAAATTAAATAAATAAATATCCTTTATAATTATTATTATTAATTATCCTCCTACTACTACTACTACTACTAGTACAATAGTAATATTACGATTGTTATTATTTTTGTTGTTGGTCGGTTGGGTGAAAGAAAGAAAGAAAATATTAACAATAAATATATGTATGGATGTATATATAATGTATGATGGTGATGATATTTGATTTGATAATCAATCAATCAAATCGATTAAATATTTTTTGGATATATTAAATAAAAAAAAAAAATAGATAGATAAATAAACTGAATTGAATTTTTGTTGTTGTTGTTGTGTTTGTTGCGTTTCGTTTCTGTTGTTGTTGTTGTTATTATTAACAGAGTTATAATGAAATATAATTATAACTATTGCAATAAGCACAGTACCCCTTTGTTTGGTTAATTTCTTGTTTTGTTGATAAATAAATTTGGTGATATACGAGTTTAATTTTTAAGTTGATGATGATGGAATGGATAAAGGGGGATTCTTCTTGTTTTTGGTGTTGTTGTGATAATTATTGTTGTTGTTGATGACTTTTTTTCTATTCTATACATGCACCAAAACTACTCTTAGTAGTGCCAAATGTGCATCATACAATATAGGCTACTACACTACTAATACCATTACCAAAGGAGAAAGTGGAAGAGGTAAGAGAGAGAGGAAGAGGAGTGTGGGTTATGAATGTGTATATGTATTATTGGATAAACACAACACGCACCATGTGCATTACTCTTTGATCAATCCGAGTATATATCCCAAATTGTGACATTTCCAATTCCAATCAAGCAACTCTTCTTTTCATCCACTCCAATAATATCGTTTGTTGTTGACGATCCATTAATCCGTCCGTCCGTCCATCCGTCCATCTGTCCATCCGTCCGTGATTCATTCTTGCAATTTGTTTCCACACACACACACATCCATCCGATGGACATGTTGTCATAAAATATTGAGGTGGCAGTCCCCCACAACAAGCCAAGTAAAAAGAAATTGGGAATATACTGTCGTTTCTACAACAGATATCTGACTGTCTTGTATCACCATCATCGCTGACTATTTTGTTTATAATAGATATTTTTTATCGTCGTTTTAGTGTTATTGTTGTTGTTGTGTTTTGTGGGGGGTGGTGGATATTGGGTGAGAGGAGGGAGGATTGATTAAATCACGATGATGATGGGGTTGTGTTTAATGAATTTATATCTATCTATCTATCTTGTACTTGTTCTTAAAGTTGGTGGAGGGGGTCGGTCTGGAAAGAAAGAAAGAAATACTGCTACTACTAAATATATTATTATTGTGCGCGCAAGTATGATGGTGCGTGGGTGGTATGGACTTAACCAAACCAACCAATCAATCAACCAACCAATTAATCAACCAACTATCTATTTATCTATTTATCCAACAACCTCTTAGAAATAGCGATGATAGTCAAAAAGGAAGGATCTAACCTTGTTGTTGTTGTTGTTGGATAGTGTCATTCATTCCAAGCAGGCGATTTGGACTGTCTTGATCGAATGGGGTAACATATATATATAAATATATATATATAAATATATTAGCGTGCTCACATCAAGAGGATATGAGTCGGCTCGTCAATGATCATTAACGGTGTTTAACGAGAACAGCTGTGCACTATACTATACTATAGCTACTTGTAGTAGTAGTAAAAGTAGTAGTAGTAGTAGTACTACTACAACAGTGCTCCCTTATTCTTATTATTATTATTCTTCTTCTTCTTCTTCTTCTAGAACGATCGTTGATTGGGTGATCAAGTTGTTTCAGTCAGTCTATCGATAATAACATCTCGTCTACCCATGTCTCTGAATTGTTCTACTTTTACAGTAGCTGGGTTTGAGCTAACTTGTTTCATTATTGCTATTTATATACTGCTACTGCTGCTGTTGTTGTTGCTTGTTAATTATCGTCGATTAAATTAATTTGATTATTAATTGCAACATTTTAATTTAAATAAAGTGTGTTGAAGTTCACCAGACTAGCAGCAAAGATATTAAATAATAATTTAAACAAATAAATTAAATTAAATTGGTTGCGATTTGCAGTGCTGGCATCTTATGAGTCATCACATTATCCAATATTAAATATTTTGGGCTGGCTGGTTGGTTGGCTGCATCATGCATGATCATCAACATGTTTGTTAACACCAACAACATTCAATTGAATGAATAGTATTAATAATAAACTGTCGCTGTAGTACAACGATGGATAGGTTTACAATGATAACGGTAGTACTAACGATAGTGACACTACTTTGTAAACATTATTATATTCCGCTATCAACCAAATCAAATGCACAACAACAACAACAAACACTACCTGATGATGAACGTATGTATCGTTGCACTTTAAGAAGAGTATAGATATATAGAGATGTTGTGCTATCTACGTATTGTTGCAATACTAAGACTTTGTATGATTTATTTTTTTCTATATCTAGTTCAATCAGCTATTTTCCTCATTCAGTATGACTATCATCATTAGTGACACTACCAACTACTGCTACTAGAAATACAACGGTTGCTCTATTTACTAATCACTCTCTTTCTTTCTTCTCCTCACTTTTGGTCTTTATTTTAGACAATATGGATTACCAATACCACAGAATCTATCATTGTGCGACCAGCAACCAAAGTACTTTGGAGAAGCAAGATTTACTTGTTCCAACAACACATTTGATGGAAAATATCATATCGTTGAAATGTATGTATGATATTATAAAAGAAAAGAGAAAAGAAACTGTTGATCTCTGTTCTCTTTCCCAGTTTCATGAGAAAAGAACAGTTGATCTTTGCTGTCACTCACAATCCTCTCTTTTGGATTAGATATAACTAACTAAACTTTCTTTATTTACTCTTTCTCTTTCTCTCTCAATTAATTGTACAGTTATACAAGTGCGTTCTATAGTTTTACTTATGGTGGCAGTCCATCATCCACTATGACATCGTTGACAATGCCTGCTTTGAAAAGTATCAAGTTATCGAGTAAAGATATTTCCAATCGGACAATCAATATCCTAGAGATGCTCAAATCCGTTAAAAGTTTGGATACAATTGACTTGTCCCATTCTCCATTTGGCCTCAATGATACATCGATCAGCTACCTTCCAAGCGATTTTAATAACTTTCCTCATCTCACCACTTTTAGATTAGCGCTCCGTACTCCATTAAAAGTACCTCACAACTTTCTAAACAACTCTGCCAAACTTTTGGAAATCAATTTTGAATTTCCAGTTTCATCTATTACAATTGATGATTCTCTCTACTTTCCTTCACTCAATGAGTATACATTTCAATCTAATTGTACCTATGGATCACATCATATCAATCTAACATCTAAATCATTCCCAGAGCTTGAAAGTTTGTAAGTTTTAATTCCAAATATTCTGTCCTGTCACTAATCATCCGTCATCATCATCATCCATCATTCTTAGTACTGTTTCGATTATTCCAGAAACAAAATCAAATACAACCGTATACTATCATCTAGATACCACCAACATACCAACAACATTGTAAGTACTTGAATTATAATAATATATATTGATTTATTTATTGTGCTTTATTAATAATATATAGACTTTGCAAAGATCCCTCTTACTCCATCCATGCACAGGCTCAGTGTCATTTCAGAATAGGATATCCATCCAATATAGGAATATTGTAAGATTAATAGAGATTAATTGATCAAACAAACTATATTATAGTTTATAATATTGACTGTTGACTTTAATACCATATAAATAGGGCTATCACTGGACGTCAGTCGACATTACTTCCATCGCCTAGTTCCAGTAATATTTCATTGTATTCGAACCTCGAGAGTTTAGAGATGACCGAAATGGGACTTACAGAGTTTTCATTCAATCAGATTCCTCCACTATTGTCAAAACTGTATGGATCACTTATTATTATTTATTTATTATTTATTATTATTTATTCTAATATTATTTTCTTTTTCTTTTTTTAAAAGTGATTTGAAGTGGAATAACATACAGAATTTCTCTTTAAACTCGCCAGATACTTTAAAGGAATTTAGTATTAGGAATAACGCCAACTTTAGTGGTCCCATTACTGAATCATACTGTGGATTATTAGTGTTGCACATCGACGACACTTTAGTTAAATCACTTCCAGATTGTCTCTGGTGTTACCATAGGAAACTAACATCAGTGCTTCCAGTGGAAATATTTAACCACCCATATCTATCGACAGATTTAGACGAACCTCTCATTAGTAAGTGGATTAGCTGTCCCACTTACTATTATCTACGTTTGATTATAAATATTTTTGCTCAACTGATTCTGTTTGTGGTATGCTTCATCTTTATTTTACTAGGATTGGTAACAACCACATCAACCTACATAATAATAATAATAATAATAATAATAATAATAATAAATCAATTAATTAATTAATTTAATAGTAATTCATTTTATAATAATTGTTCAAAACGTATGTAATGATGTAGTTGAATTAAATTAAATAATTAAATTTATTTTTACGTATTTCTAGATATCAACACAACGATCACACCAAATACAACTGATCCAACAGTATCATTTGATATTGAAGGACTTGATTTTCTATTTGAAATATTGGAAGTGGACTATTATCAACTATCAATTGAATACTACTTCATCATCCTCCTCCCCATCATTCAACAACAATACATACCAACCAGCAAAAGTACATTCAACAATATCATTCTCAACACTTGCAAGAACAGTTGAATTTGGAGGAAAACAACTATTGATCAATGCCAATTCTATCAAACTAGAGGTCAATATCAGCAAGTGGGAATACTCATCAAACCTATCAACACTTCGAGTTGTATTCAAAACATTGATCAACAACAACCAATCTATCCAATATGATTGTATCGACAAAGATATCTCAACATTTAGTTATGATTCATTGTCATCGTTGCAATATCTCACAGTAGTCAAAGATGGTATTCAATTCAACGGTCGATTCATTGATGTTGCATTGTCTGATGGAAGACCAACCTATTCACCAACTCAACTCATATCATCAACACCAATCAATGATGAACAATCAATTGTCAAGATTGGAATTGTATTTCCACAATGTCAAGAGTGTATACTAGATCCAGATTTCAGTGCATTGATTGTTGACACTACCAACAATTGTGAAAGTGAAGATTCTGACTCCAAATGGAAGATGATTACTGGAATAGTTGTTGGAGTAGTTGGAGCTGTAGTTCTATCAATCTTTACCATTTATGGTATCAAGAGATTTAAAAGACACATGATCCTAAATCATAAATCAATTGCCATGTCTAAAATCTCAGCAAACAAAACAACAAATAAACAAATAAATAAACAAATAAATAAATAAATATATGTTCAAAGAAATATGAAACAAAAATAGCTTTGCACCAGTTTTGATAGGTTTAGTGTTTCTGATTAAGCCGAGTTAGGGTGGTTCAAAGACTGAACCCTCCCTCTCCCTTTCATGAAAAACACAACCCCCGTTCTTCATTTGTTTGGTAGTGTGGGTTCGATCATTATTATTATTATTATTTTATTTATTTACAACAAGATGTGATAGTAGTACCTACCTTTGAAATGCACTTATACACTTATTATTATCATTATTATTTAGTTAACTTATAGTTGTTAGTTACTATAGTTATAAAAATGGTTAAAATTAATCAATCAATCTCTATTTATATATTCATACTTTTAAATTTATCTTGTTTGTTGTTTGTAGCTGTTGCAACTACTACTCCTGTTCATTTAAACAGTGAGTTTGAAAATATAAACATCAACAATAATAATAATAATAATAATAATGATAATAATAATTTCTACTATACCTATGATAACTATGTAACAACACAATATAAATCAAATACACATCCATTAAAATTAAAATCAAATAGTGATCGATCATCATCTTCATCATCTTCATCAAAAAAAGATAAACCTACAACTGGTAGTAGTAGTGATGACGATGATGTAGCAATATTTAAAATCGTTCAAATTACAGACACTCATTTTGGAGAAGGTGAGGGAACAGATTGGGGTCCCGAACAAGATGCAAACAGCACTCGTGTCATGGAGACGATCTTGGCGTTGGAGCAACCAGACTTGGTCGTGTTTACGGGTGATCTGATCACTGGAAACAATATCATCAACAATAGTACAGACTATTGGAAGATGGCGGTTGGCGTAGCCATGAAAATGGGTATCCCATGGGCAACCGTATTTGGTAACCACGATGATTTGGCGTCGGGTGTCAATGGAACCAAGTTTGATCTCTTAGAGTACGACATTTCACTTGGAAGTTACAGTCAATTCGGTCCAAACAATATTCCAGGTGTCAGTAACTACTACATTCCAATCTATGATAAATGGACAAACGATATTGAAGTTGTATTATGGATGTTTGATTCTGGTGATGGTGAATGTCCACGTTTTCCAAAGGAAGAAAAAGAAAAAGAAAAGAAACCAAATCAAAATCAACAAGAAAAAGAAAAGGTTGAATGGATGGATCCATCAAGAATAACATCATCTTCATCATCTGATAATGTACCATACTTGTGTAATTTTTATATTACTGGTAATCAAGTACTGTGGTATTACCAAACGGCAAAGGAGTTGTATGCAGGTGCTGACAATTTGCCATTGGCATTTGCCTATTTCCACGTACCAATTAGACAATACATGTGGGTATGGAATCAACAAACTTGCTATGGTAGTAACAATGATTCTGTCGCTTGTCAGGCTGTCGATGGTGGACTATACTATGCATTTGAATCAATTGGTGATGTAAAGATGGTATCGGTAGGTCACAACCACGGTAACGACTATTGTGGTCTGTTTGGATCGGTCGAGTTGTGCTATGGTCGTCACAGTGGTTATGGAGGATATGGAACTTGGGAACGTGGAGCTCGTGTCATTCAAGTGACAAAACAAAAAGGTGGTCCCATCTCTTATGACACTTGGTTGACATTTGAAACTGGTGAACGTCTCTACCATCAACCTCCTCATCATCCAGACCCATCTCATCCTCAACAATCTTGTACTTCTTAAAAAAGAGAAAGGAAAAGTGGAAATAAACTAAATAAATTTATTTGTGTGTACATTTTATTTTAAACATTCTAGTCTTTTATTTTACAACTACACTACACCACAAATAAAACATTTACATTTTAATTTTTTTAGAGTAGTTGATTTTTTGATTGGTGTTGGGAATCTAAGATGTTTTGGGTCATTACAATATTGACCATAGCGTTGATAAAATGTATGGTATGTACGATGATTAACGATAGTTTCATTGACTACTAGTAGATTAGAGTCTATTAAATACTCTAATAGTGGGAGTTTGCATCCATAGAATGTCTCGTACTCTTCCAAGAATATATTATTTAGATTCTTCCAATTGACGCAATACGGCATGGCAGCTGTAAATTTCTGACAAAGATACTTGAATACTGACAATGAACCATAGAAAAAGGCAGTTTTGACCATTCTTCTAAACATGTTTGTTGTCAATGAATGACCACTTCCTTCCAAATGAGCCAATAATAGTTTAAATCCTTGTAAACTATCGTTTTTCACAAAACGGTACATACAACTGGTAAATAATACCCTGGCTTTGGGAAGATCTTTTTGATGGTCGATATAGAGTTGAATGACCTCTGGATAATCACTTAGAATCAAACCATATGCTCCATATGCAGTGTAGCTTCTTGGAGTAATGTATTGAGTGTACAGAGGATACACGAATCGAGTCATCTTGTATTGAACACCAAAATCAGTCGACAATGTAAATTGTAATTTGGATTGATTGGGATTTGAGGACTCTTGATTATTCAAAAGTTGATCAAAATAAACTAATTTTTGTTTTCCATCCAAAATACTTAGACGTAGATATTTATATTTGTTGGAGTAGGTGTTGTAGAGTTGGTATAGTTGATCAAACACATTCTCGTCGGTAGTACTAGCTGAGATGGTGAGAGCTTTTTCAATTAAATCAGACTGAATATTTTTGTCTGTTGTAAGAGACAAATGCTCTCTGAGAACAATCAGATCATCCATAGTCTTGATATTGGGTGTGTTTCCAAATAGATATTGTACCATTTCTGGACTACTAAAGATAGATAGAATGGATTGAATTGCCGAGAGTTGGGAGTGACTGGCATAGTAACTCCTGGTGGAAAGGTAATAGACATGATGATTTAGATATTTTTCAATGGCAGCTTTGCGGAGACTAGGGTATTTGACAACAATCGTTTCCAAACAGTCTACTATACCGTGGATAAGAGGAACGCATTTTTTGGCAAATAGGAGTGATGGATCATCACCGCGTGCAATGGTATCGTCGAGCAGCACCTCGAGTGATGCAGGTGAGGTAAACTGGTACTTGGATATAGCTACATCCCTCATTTTAGGATGCCCGAGTAGATAGTGGAGTATATCAAAGTCGCGTGTATATGGTTGCGTCGTAAGACTTTGGGGAGTCTCTGATACTAAAAAGTCTTTGATTTGATCGAGTGTTCCACAGTTGAGAATCGTGTCATAGAGAGGCATTGTCTTGTCAGCACAAAGAAACAAGTATTGCAACACCTCTTTTATATTCCATCCGATGATTTGTTCCAACACTATACGTTGACTTTGAATCGATGTTTCAAAGACAAACAATTTGAGTAATGTGATTAGCTTGTCACGGTCGTTGCGATGGTGGTCTCCTAGCAAAACATTATACTCTGCAATACACTTTGTGAGGTATGGAGAGTGGTGTGCAAGGTCAAACATAATCTCGGTCACTCTTTGCCAAAGCTGATCTCTATGTTGTGGGTCTAACATGCTCCACACCCCTCCAAACGGTGATATAAACTTGACCAGATTCTTTTGAAGAAATAGATCGATGACACCTTTGTTTCCACTGACCAACATGACACCTTGTGCGGATTGGAATAACGAGTAGAATAGTTTGTTTGGTATATGATGGTACAAGTATCCAATAGCATCATCTTGAGATATCTCTGTTTCATATGACTCTCGAACCAGAAATTCCTTTTCAATGAGTTCGTCAGCTGCTGATTTATTGTCCAATCGAATCAAGCCAGTCTTTGGATTGGTCAGTTCTTTCAGCAACTCGATATTGTTGTGTATGAGGATATGTTCAAGTGTGTTTGAATTGAGTACCACCAACTTGTTCTGGCAACCTTTTAACACATAATCTACAATCTTGCACAACTCTTCTCTCTGTGTCTTGTCCTTTTGGCTAGAGCTTGCTTCCATCAATGAATCAAATGATGTCTGTCCAAAGAATCGTAATGATTTCAAAGGAAAGCATTCTTGGAATAGTTGGAGGTTACCAATAGCAGCCATCTGCTGCTTGCCAAACGAGTGTATATAGTATGTCAGAGGTTCACCACGTTTCACTTTATACCTAAGTAACTCTATATACCCATTACTTATAAGAAATGATAATGAATTGATTTCACCATACTTTCTACCTCTTTTATTATGACTGATTGCTGTAACACTACCAATCCAACCAACTATCTGAACAAGTAAATACTTGTTTCTAAATACACTACTAATTATATTATTATAATTGTCTTGTTCCATTTGTACTAATCAATAAAAATACAAAAGATGATCATCATCATTGCGTTGAACGAAAATAAGAGACAAAGAAGAAGAAGAAAGAATAATCAAAAAAGAAAAGAAATATCTTGTTAAATTTTTAGTTATATATATCTACTTTTGTTCCGAAGTTCAAATGAAGAAAATAAAATTTGAATTTGAATGACCCCACCCTTTTCCGTTAGATGTTTGTGTATATGAGCGACAGATAGAGCCATCAAGATAGATAGCGTATAGATAATCATTATTAATAGTACAAATATATGATATAAGAGATCACAACAACAAACATTCAATCAATAGTGACACAACTTTTAAAAGAGAAGACGACTCGTTTAAATGGAAGGAATCGATCAACATATGCAGCAGCAACAAGAACAGCTACAACAACAGCTACAGCAGCAACAACAACAACTTGATATAGAGCAACATGGTGTTGTTGGTGATGAATCGATAATAATGGATAGTGGTCAACCACACCTCCTCCCTCAGCTCATCCCCGACCTTACAGTCCAAACAAATATAGTAGACACGAGCATGGAGCAACACGACGACCTATCTCTCGACTCTTCGATCAACATGAGTAGTGAAGCTCCAATGATATTGGATCAGTTATCTTCAAACAGATATAATCTAGATCAACAACAACAACAACAACAACAACAGCAACATCAAATGATAAACAATATTGTTAAATCTACAACACCGTCTGTCAATAATAATAGTAATAGTAATGGTATTAGTCATCATCAACAACAACATAATAATAATAATAATAATAATATAAATAGTACGAGTTATACAATTAGAGGAGCACATGCAACTCCTTCTTTAAACAACCTACCACTTATCATAAAGGGTAAAGATGCAACACCGTCAACGACAACAACTATTCTTGGCAATGGATTTATGAATCCCTCTATCACATCGTCGCTCAACCAAATGATCAATACTCAAAATACAACTCCGACCACACTATCTCCGTATTATTCGTCTGCGCAGCAGTTGACGGGTCAGATGAATCCAACAAATGGGTTTGTCGTTCCATCAGCTCTTCCTCCCTCTACTTCTTCACCTGTCCTCACCTCTGTTTCGACACCATCATCCAATATTCCACCACCACCACCACCATCTCTACCAATATCTACATCAACTGTTGGTGGAAAACGAACATCATCTACAACGCCTTCACCGTCATCATCTCGGTCTGGAACGCCACCACCAAGTTCACCTGCTTTGACTTCAACCACATCAACAACTACCAATAATAATAATATTAATAATAATAATACCGTCCTAAATTCTGACGGAGCTTCCCAACAACAACAACCAATAATACCAACACCAGTGGTGCCACCACGAAAAGGATGTCATTGTAAGAATTCTAAATGTTTAAAGTTGTATTGTGAATGTTTTGCCAACAAGTTGTTGTGTAATGGATGTCATTGTTTTGGATGTCACAACAATGATGCCAATATTGAAGTGGTACAACGATCACGATCAAATATACTCGAAAGAAATCCAGAAGCTTTTAATCCAAAATTTAAACAAAAAGAGGTATGCAAAAACTCAATCAATATCAATTTAGGACCATCCTTTTATTAAAACTCATATTTATTTTATATTTTAGGAAACAAAACAACATAAACATACAAAAGGATGTCATTGTAGAAAGAGTGAATGTTTAAAAAAATATTGTGAATGTTTCCAAGCTGGAATTCCATGTGGAGAACATTGCAAATGTATAGACTGTAGAAACACAGGAGAAGATATAAAAGAAAGATCAAAACCAAAAGAACAACCATTAAAAAAAGTAAAAATTGTAATGTATCAAAAAATAGAAAAAAGAAAAAAGAAAAAAGAAAATAACTAATCCATGTTTATTTAATTATTTATATGTTGGATTATATTTGTAGGAAGAAAGAAAACCAACAGCAACAGCAATTGCAATACCAATAACAAAACCAGCATCATCTATTATTGCACCAGTCATTGGTGATGGTGCTACCAATTTAACAGATATAATTAAATCCTACACTTCATTGGATAAAATGGCGCAATATTGTATATATGATATATTATCAACTGTAAAGGATCATCCAGAAGTAATGCAAACAAAACAACAAATATCTTTACAATGTGATGAAGATTTAGGTTTTCAAACTGAACAACAACAAAATAATAATCATGAAAATAATAATAATAATCATATAGCAGATGAATTTAAAGAAACATTTATACAGGCTGAATTTAAATTATTATCAAGATTATCAAACTTTTTAAAAGAAATGATAGATCATACTCCTTGATTTAATAAATAATAAATCATAAATCGACATCAATTTATTTATATAGTATAGGATAAAAATATTTATATTATTTATTAAAATTTGTTAATGATTTGATTTGATTTTTATTTATTTATTTAGTTTGCCATCTAATCCATTTAAGACCACAGAAAGCAACAAAATAGAATATAGCGAGGAATCCAAAGATGATACCAACGTCAACATAACGAAGGTAGAGATGGAAACCATAGGACTGGATAAAACGAAGACCGTTGGTGATGGGACAATAGTATTTGATGGAACCGTCGGCGAGGGGGATGGGGGTGGCACCGACATTGTTGGTACAGACAAAGGTCTCGTCGACAAACTCGTTGGTAACCAGTGCTTCGAGGGGATACCGCACCATGTCCATGTAATGCATCCACAGCCATCCCTTTTTGATACTTGGACGTGGAATCATGAAACCTGCAAACAAAGTAGACAGTGACAAGACGACACCACAAATAACCGTTGCTACCACATCGTTGGGACAGATGAGTGCAAGACAGAGCGCCAGCGCATCAAACAACATATATGCGAGGAAAAAGATAAAGATGGCAAACCAGAACCGAGCACTTCCATTTCCATCGTTGAGTCCAGTCAAAAAGTAGAGCGGGATGGCATAGATCCAGCAAGTGGCGAGGAGGAATGGGTAGTTGGAAATGACATAGCTGAGCATATACGCAGAGACATGGTAGTATCCAGACGCCTTTTCACGATAGTATACACCTCTTTCAAGACAGGTGGTGGGGATACTTCCAATGGCAGTCATACCACCAAACAAGAGGGAAAAGAAGAGTAGAGAGACACGAGCACGAGCATCGACTTGTTCAAAGTCCAGTCGGATAAAGAGTGTACCGATAATGACGGCAAGCAACAACTGACGTGCAAAGTTGGAGACATATGTCAGCGGTCTTCTTGCTCTTGCTAGCCAGCACCGTTTCATGAGTACTGTAAACTGTAGTTTCCAGCCGGATCCATATTGACTGTCAAAGTGCTTGTCAACGAGACCGTCGGGAACCGGTGCATTGAGGTCTAGATGCTGCTGGCAATCTTGGTAGAGCTGTGACTCGAGGAAGAGCTTGGGTCCGTCGAATGGCACCATCGCACCGTTTTGGCCCATTGGTGCTTCCTTGCGGTCGCTCACTTCGAGCACAAAATCGGCTGGGTTGTAGTGTGGCTTCATGTGCAGACCAAAACCCTCGCAATAGTTGAGTACTGCCTCGCTCTGGTATCCGAGTGGCCCAAAGTAGAGTGTCTTGCCACCGGTCTTGAGTAATAAGAGTTGGTCAAACTTTTCAAAGATGGCAGCCGATGGCTGATGGATCGTGCAAATGACCGTTCGATTGAGTGCCTTGGCAATGTTGGAGATGACGTTGATGACCTTGTAGGCTGCCCCACTATCAAGCCCACTTGTTGGTTCATCACTTGCAATAGAAAGAAAGAAAGTAGTTAGTATTATCAAAATGAATATGATCGATTATTATTACATACAGGAATATAATCTCTGGGTCCGACGCCAACTCGACACCAATGTTGACACGCTTTCTTTGAGACAGTGAGATACCGTCGCCGAGTACACCAATCTTGTAGTTTTCAATCTTTTTGAGACTGAGCACCTCGATGATCTTGTCGAGCATGGTCAACTTGTACTCGTGCGAGTATTCTGGCCCGAGACGACACTGTGCCGAGAAAAAGATGGCCTCGCGCACCGTTTGGGTGGGTGGCAGCACATCCTGTTGCTCAACATAGGCAGCGACACGGTTAAAGAACTTGTTCTTGGGATGACCGTTGATATAGACATCGCCCGAGATAAATCCACCTGTCTTGCGCCCGGCAAGCACGTCGAGCAGGGTACTCTTTCCAGCACCACTCGGACCCATCAGAGCAAGCATCGTTCCAGGCTCGACGTATCCGCAAACGTCGTAGAGCAGCTGCAGACGGACCTTTCGCTTCTTGCCAGTGTCTTGGTCCTTTTGCTTGACCATGACCGAGTAGTTGATGTTTTTGAACTGGAGTAGACACCCCTTGTTTCCTTGTTGTTGGTTGGATGGTCTAATCTCTTGCGAGCCATTGACATGGATGATATGGTCTTCAAACTCCTCGTCGATATGGCGCTCATCGTCCAGCATTTCGTGTTCATCTTTGACGCGACGCTCGAGTTTCTCGATCTGCTCGTCGTTGAGACTGCCACGCGAGCGGCGCAGTGTGGCGCTCTCTCTGAGAGACTGCTCGAGCACCTCTTGGCGACGGTGTTTGGACAGTTTCTTCTTTTTGCGCCACTCTCTGTATCGTGTGATGGGATTGTTGGACTTTGCTTTGAGGGCATGTTTGGTGCTTTCGAAATGCAAAAACCGCAGTGCCAAGTAACCACCAACATAGAAAAAGATGGCATAAAACACGATAAACGACATGCACAGCCATTTGAATCCATCGTTGGTGTGCATGTCAAATATTCTGAGGAAATCCTCTCCTTCAGTGTAGGGACAGATACGTGTGCCACCATACCCACCCTGCGCCACTGGTACCTCCAACAACGGCTCGTTTACGGGTGGCTGGTATTCTTCTGGATTGCAATGGTAGGCAACCTCGGCAAACTCGTTGATGCACAGACCTTGGAACGACCACGTAAACGGTGATATAAAGTATAGCCAAATCCACCAACCTCCAATTTGATTACGTGTGGCCATGAAACCAGACATCAACATGAAAATACCCAAAGTCGCACTTGCCAGAGTATTGGCCAATTCAACCGTTGGTGAAATACAAGACATGAATTTAACAAATGCCAATGCCATATTATCACATCTAAAAATAATAATAAATCAAATACAAATAATAGTAACAATAATCCAAGATTAGATTAGATTAGAATATTTGTTCAAGAGTCAAGTTACATACAAAACCAATAAACCAAGGAAATAAAAGAACCGAATAAATGAACTTCTAAGAGCACAAAGCCAATAGGTAATAGAACCAAATATAGCAATTTCAATCAATGCTGCTGGAACATCAGCTATAATAGTTGCAATATAATATGAAAATGTATTATACATTCTTAACTATAAATATTAAATAAAAAAAATAAAAATAAATAAATATTATATATATATATATTTTTGATTTTGATTTAACATACAGATCTTTGTTCATAAAATATAGCACGATGAGAAAAGAAATTTTGGATTGCTCCAAAAGAAGAGAAAATAATAAATGTCATGGAAAAGAAAAGTAGACCGAATCTATCATTTCCACCTTCGACTGTATGATCAAGTTGCCAGAAAAGAGTACCTAGAATGATACCCATGATTAAACCTTTGAGTACTCTGACAGCTACTCCATAGAGGTTTCTAAGTGTCATCATGGTTTCACGCATTACATTGTAATACAACATTTTGTGTAGACCAATTGCATACATTGGCTTATCAATATTATCACTCAACTGACTAACATTTACATTATCATCAACTATACCAGATGGATGTGAATCCATTAATTGCATTAATTCTTTATACACTATAGAAAATAGAAAATTGAAAAATTACAAAATTAAAATTAAATAGTAAGTTCATTAGTATTTATATGTATGATGACATATATGAATGAAATAATCATTATTCTATTCTTTTTGCTTACTGTTTGAATTTTTATATGCTCTTACAAAATCATCAGAGGTTTGACATCTTGGAGGTTGTGAAACAGAATATCTTGCTGGTGTATCAACAATTTCCTCTATCAAATATTAAATAATAATAATTAATCATTTATAATAGTTTGTTTAATATTTTGTTTTTTTTATACAACATACGAAAGAATTCAGAAGGATTATTATGTTTGGGACAAACAAAACCAAGGTTTTCGAAATAATCCAATGCAGACATCATTGGACCAAAATAAACGATTTGCCCCTCGGATAGAATCATCAGGTTATCAAAAAGACTTGCCAATTGAGCACTTGGCTGAAGAAGTGTGATTAAAGCTGGTGAATATCCATACTGTACCCATGTTTTAACTGAACTTATGATATCCAGCGACGTTGATGAATCTAATCCAGTAGTTGGCTCATCCCTGACATTTATACAAGTATTAAGAATAATTAATTAGAATAATTACAATATAATATATATATTATTTTTTTGTTTTTTTTGATTTTTTTGATTTCATACATTAAAAGTAAATTACTTCCTTTAATTACATTAACACCAATAGTAACTCTTTTCTTTTGACCACCACTAATACCACGAACCATTTCATCACCAACAATTGTATTTCTTTGTTCGTATAAACCCAAGTGTCTCATTAAACTTTCGACTCGCATTTCTTTTTCTGCACTTGTTAAATCACTACTTTGACAATCCAATGCAAATCTAAATGTTTCTTGAACTGTCAATAATGCTAAATAATTAAAATAAATAAAAAGTATTTAAATAAATAAGTTCATTTTTAATATTATTATTATTAATACATACGCATATGCATATCTTCTTGAGTAACAAAAGAAATATCACGATGATGATTCTTTTTGTTAATTTTATGACCATTGAATAATAAAGTTCCTTGTAATTTCTTTTCACTGACTTGACCTGCCAATACATGGAAAAGGGATGATTTACCACATCCCGGTGTACCAAGGATCAATGTCATGGTTTGAGGCTTGAGATAGAATGAAATGTCAGTCAACAGATCAACTTTACGATGTTTATCTTCAGCATCTTTGACAGTGTATGTTAGATGATGAACATAGACATGACTACCAGTTTTGGTTGGATCCTGTCGATCGGCAATCTCTTTTTTCAATTCCTCTTTTGCCTGTGGATTGACACCACTATTTTCAGAATCTGGAATCGGGAAATAATTACTAGCTTTTTGACTGGCTCTTAGATAATTTGAATCTTCTGTTGCTTTATAATCTCCATTTCCTCTATCTTGTTGATATGATGATTCTGTTGGTACATATAAAGTTGATGGCGATCCTTTTTCATATCCTTGTCTTGTTGGACTTGTAATTGAATTATTATTATTATTATTATTTGGACTATAAACATATCTTGGTGCATTATTATTATTATTATTATTATTATTATTATTATTATTGTTATTATTATTATTATTATTATCATTATTTGGAACACTTGGGATATTTCCACTACTACTCGCCAGGTTTCTTCGATTTATACCTGTAGACCCGGAAAATCCCTTATTGTTTGGGGATTCCTTCGCCATTTCTTCCCCAAATTAATAATAATAATTATTATTAAATTGTTTTTTGTAATCGATAATCTACTACTACTACTCCACTTGTTATTGTTGTTACTTAATCTAATAAATTAAAAGGTCGACGTCAATGAAAATAATTATGCAATTATAAATATAAATTTATGATTTATGATTAATAATAAATATGTATGTATCTTTGTATCTTTTCTATCTAATCTTTCTCATACATTATTATTATTATGATTATTATAATTCAGTGTCATCAATCATTTTTTCTTCTTACCTATTATTATTTTTTTTGATTTACATCCATCTCTTCTATTTTTCACTGTTGTATGTCATACATACATACATACATACATACAAATACACTACCACTCTTGATGTACTAATCTAATCAATCATTCATTCAATCATTCGAATTTCATATCGCGTGATTGGTATGGTATACGTGATCATTGGAAATCACTTTGTTGATATTTTTTTTTTCGCCATTGAATCAACCACCCCCTTTTACACAACGAATCATGTGACCTATTGTTGTAGTAGTGTAGTAGTAGTAGGTAGTAGCAATAGTAGCTGATCAAGAAAAGAAGAAGAAGAGGAATTAATAAATGGTCATTCAATATATTTTTTTGCAATCATCATGTTTTACATCACTACCACTCATTTGCTCACACATGTGACTGACTGACTGACAATCAATACCATCACACACCAAACACAACACACTATCGAAAAAAAAAAAAGAAAAGGGATGAGTACACACAATTCGAAATCGATATCGTCAATGATGCAGAGAGAGAGAGAGAGAGAGAGAAAGAGAAAGAGAAAGAGAAAGAGAAAGAGAAAGAGAAAGAGAAAGAAATGATCATCAAGTTTCATTTGTAATAATGGTTGGTGGTTGCTTGATTGATTGATTGTTGTTGTTGTTGTTGATATATTTAGCAAAAAAATGTATGGAAAAAGGTAATCTTGGATTTCAATCAATCAATCAACCAAGACAATAACAATAATAATAATAATAAATGTTGTAAATGGGAAAATACTACAATGATTGCTTTAAATGGCAAAACAGTTGCCAATAATCAATAACGATTCATCCCTATATATGTCAAATTCCATCCCAAATACGAATTGCGGGAAGAGTGGGTTTGGTGGTTGGTGTGGTCGGTCGGTTCGCCGATGGCGAGATCTATCTTTTACACACAAACATACACAACAACAACATTGGGGTGCGTCGGATAAATATGATGAAAATGCTAATTAGGTGGAAAATGGAAAGATCATCCAAAATGGTTGGGTTTTGTATTCCTTAAATAAAATAAAAATACTTTGTTGTTTTGTGTGTACAAGCCAACTATTAATACATTGTATTCCTCAATTGAGGTTGTCGGTCTGTCTATATGCCTGCCTGTTACATCCAACACACGCACGCACACACACACCAACCCAATCGATGTATTCAATAAATCTGACTGATCCCTTGATAATAATAATAATAAATTAATAGAGTTTAATTGATTGATTTATTATTGAGAGGGTGAATTGATATGGAAATTATTCTTCTTCATCATCATCATCATCATCACCATTTATCTTTTTTGATTTGAACAACACTATCTGTTATTTTTCTTTGGTAAATGTTACAATAAACCTATAACTAGTATTAAAATTCCCATCCATCCAGATAGATAGACAGATAGATCTCCAATCATTCGCATTATTATTATAACAATAACATTAACAGTAACACATCATCTTGAACCCACCCACCAACCACTAACCAGCAAGCAAACAAACCAACCACACATTGTTTACTTTGCATCATCATCATCAACATCACAAGTAAGTAAACAACATCACCATAAAGATATCATCACAACTAATAACTAAAGTATCTATAGAATTAAAATTTAATATCCACCAAAAGTATAATAATAATAATAATTAAAATAAATAAAGAAGAATAAAAATGGAAATTGAAGCACCTCTGAGTCCAAGAGGTATTCCAAGTCCAAGAACAACTACAACCAGTTCAGTCAATGAATATCAAAAGAGATTAGATGGCAAACAACAACAACTACAAACAACGATATCGATATCATTTGACCAACCATCATCATCCAATAATCAATCACCAAAAATGATGGAAATGGCTGGAAATAGTAGTAGACAAGACAGAGATAGAGATAGAGATCGATCAACCTCAATATCATCATATAATTCTGAAAATGATAACGATTATGATGATGATGATTATACAAATGATGATGACGATGACGATGATGACGATGATGATAATGATAATAATGATGGTGACGACGATGACACAAATAATGATGATGATGATGATGATAAGGATAATCCAAGTCATTCCGATAATGATGGTGATGATGAAGGTAGAGGACCAACTAAACAATCTTCATTATCATCTTCATTGCGAAGAAGTGGTCATAGTGGTCATAGTGGTCATAATCGAAGACCAAGTAGTAATAATAATAATATAGATAGTAGACAAGAAAAAGAGTTACGTCAATCACTTAAACAAGCTAAAAACACTATTGCATCGTTGATTGAACAAATATCTGATTATCAATCACTAGTAGAAGAGGAAAAAGAAAGAGAAAAGGAATTATTTACCCTACAAATTGATGATGTATGTTATTACTTACTTTTATTATGCAACAAACAATATATTAATCCCAACAAATTTCCCTCCTTTTCTTTTGATTTTTATCATCACAAACCAAATGATCCGATTAATTTGTTATATTTGTTATATTAACATATCATATTAGTTACAAGATGAGTTAGATTGTTTAAAGAGAGAAAAGAATTTACAAGCAAAGACAAATGTACAAAACTTGGAAACGTTGATGAAAGAGATTGATCTCATTGAAGAGTCAAACAATGATTTACGAGTAGCACTAGAATCTGAACAGAAACAACATAATGCATCACAAGACCTAATTAAAAAGTTAAAAGAAGAACAACAAGTATTACAAAAGAATCAACAAGGAAGTCAAGGAAGTCAGAAACAATCACAACAATCGCCATCACAAATATCACAAGTGACAATGGAATTTAAATTGACAGATGGAGTTGTATCAAATATTAAATTGGTGTCTGCCAAACCACACAATCCACCAAAATCTCCTAATTTAAAGTCTTCCACTTCTAATGGTGCATCATTGTCATTGATGTCTGCATCATCATCACAGTCACAATCAGTTTCAGTATCATACATGGAAATTGAAGAAGAACGTAATAACCTACTACGTAAACTACTAGATGAAAAAGAACAACATGAAAGAACATTTACAATGCTTAAAGAAGAAAGAACTCGTTCTGAATCAAGTAGATCTTCTGCTGATGAATTGGTTAAAAAGTATGTATCATATCATACACAAAATATACATACATTATATTGTTTTGGAATATTAATATTAATTTGTTTGGTTTGTTTGGTTTGTTTGGTTTGGTTTAAAGGATAAAAGAATTAATTAAATTACATTCATCAACATTGTCAGAGTTGGAAGAGGAAAGGGAGATTAGCCAACAGAGAGCTGACCAAATTGCAGATCTAAGGTTGAAATTATCGAGACCTACAAATGGAAAATTGCAAAGAACTCATTCTCAATTACTCACTTTGAAGAGGTCAAATGCTCAAACTCTCATTATGCCTGCGACCTCAAATACTTCTACCACCAACTCTGCTTCTGCTGGTTTGCTGACGGCTAGAAGAGGTGGGGAAGGTGGAAATAGATCAAACTCTATATCTGGTCCTAGGAATGGAGCTGCTGATATCCAAACTACCTCTCCACCAAGTGAGGGTGGATCTTTGTCGTCGTCAACGGTGGGTAAGATTCCAACCATCAATGCATTGTTATCGCCAACTTCAACGTCTATTTCGACGTTGACTACTATCCACACGACACCTCCTACGTCGACACCCTACTCTCAATCGATTGATGAGAACTTGAACCAAATTGGAAACAAGGCAGACTTGCCAACGCTGGCGATAGAGCAACGACAACAGATCCAGCAACAAAAGAGTTTATAGCGTCCAACAAAAAGTCGTTGTTGTCCGAGGATGAAAGGTTCTTGAAGAGGGGGACTGCTAGCATGGAGCTGAATGCGAGACGGTACAGTTCCAAGGCATCGATGATTCTTGGGACTAATGAACAGGTCGTGTCGCATTTGAGCGTGGATCCAGCTCCTGCACCCATCCAATGTATGGCAGAGGTTGGCAAGCATGTGTGGGTCGGGTGCAGCGACGGCCAGATACGCGTCATTGACAAGGAGACCAACACGACTGTCACGACACGTGCAGGACACTCTCCACACGGTGTGTACACGCTACTTGTCGTTGGCAAGACTGTGTGGTCGAGTAGTCGAGACTCCAAGATTAAAGTGTGGAATGCCAAAAATGGCAAGTTGGTCAAAGACCTCGACGGCCACAGCAGCCATGTCACCAGTCTTCTCTCGGTTGGAAGCACGGTGTGGTCGATCTCGGCGGACATGGCTATACGCGTGTGGAGCTCGTCGTCCTACCGATGCATCAAAAAGATTGAAACCAAGAGTTATCTTGTCAGCATGGCCAAGTTTAACAACCAAATTTGGATTGGTACAGAGAGCGCGATCCTGCGATGGGATGCCAACACGTACGAGCCTATTGATATCTTGGCGGGACACAAAAAGATGGTGCATTGCATGATACCCGTCGACAACTACATTTGGTCGTGTTCGTCGGACAACCTCATATGCGTGTGGGACCCAAATACCGGCAAACTGGTCTCTAAAATAATCGACCATAAAAGTCGTGTCTTTTACATGTTACGTGTCAACAACCAAGTATGGTCGTGTGCATGGGACAAGACCATCAAAATACACGCCATCGACACACTCTCACTCGTCAAGGAAATCGAGCCTGTCCATCGCGACGCACTCAGCTGTCTCATCACTATTCGCAAATCCCCCATCTCACCCCTTCAAGTATGGTCGGGTAGCTGGGACCACACAGTCATCATTTGGAAGACCTCTGACCCCGACACACATGCATCCACGCAGTTACTTGGTCCATCCTCTATCTCCTCCTCTTCCACCTCTTCGTCGTCGTCCTCTTCCGCGTCGACATCCGGCAAAAAACACGGACACAAAGCGTACGAACCGCATCCACATCTCCTCGGCAACAACAAACGCACGTCTACGCGACTATCCATGTTCTTTGGCACACGCGACCCTGTACCAAGCAACATGCAAAGTATGGCACTTCAAGCATCCACCTCATCACCCAACCTCAACATGACCAATGCTCACAACCAACTGCCATCCCCGCTCATCACACCGCCTGCCATGACACCCGCCAACAGCCAATACAATCTCAGCAGTCTCTATACTATCAACCCAGCACCTCCACCAGCCCTCCCAACCGTCTCGGTTACCCATCTCCCAACACCCCCCAACAAGATAGTCACATCTCCAACCAGTAGTACACCCTCCTCAATCTCTAGTGCAGGTGGTCGAGACGGACTAGTCATCTCACCACCACCAACACTAGGTCAATCATCTTCCACCACCAACACCAAACCACATTCCCCAAGATCCATATTTAATGCAATCCTATCACCAAGATCTCAATCAGCAATGTCACTAACATCACCAAGAAAAGATAAAGAAAAGGATAAAGATAAAGATAAAGATAGAATATCAACAACACCAGGAGGAGATAATTTATCAACAACACCAGGAGGAGATAATTTATCACCTAAATGTATATCTCAACCATCACCATCGATTTCACCAATGAATCTTACATCTCCAAGTCTGTCACATGCACTAAGTCACAATGAATTAATTCCACCACATATCCAACATCAACATATTCAACTACCACCTCCACCACCTCCCCTACAACAATATAATAATAGTCAATTAACAAAAAGAATAACATTGGCACATGATCTTACCAAACAATCGATAAATCATGCAGTCACATGTGGAATATGCAATGGAAAAATATCAACAAACTGGGGTGGCAAGAAACAAGTATTCCATTGTAACAATTGTAAAGAATATTATCATAATGGTGAATGTGTTGAACAATCATTATCAAATAATTGTTCAAGTCCTAAATCTTAATATAAAATAAATAAATAAATAAATAATTATTAATTATATATAAAATAAATAAATAAATAATTATTAATTATTATTATTACTGTTATTATATTGTTATTATTACTTAATCATTATTGTACGCTGTTTATTTTATATATATATTTATATTTCTTTTGAATGAAAAAAAAAATGATGATTATGATGATTGAAATAAATTAATTATTAATTATTATTATTATTATTACTAAGTTATTGTTATAATATTATTATTATTTGTTTTTTTTAAAGAGTTGGTTCGAATGGATTGGCATCATCGAATGGGTTTGGTTCACCTGATGGTGAATGATATTGTGGACTTGGAGTGTCACCGGCAGGTGGTTGGTATGGTGGTGAACTTTCATCGATTGTCAATTTACTAAGACTGACTGGTTCGAGTGAGAAGGTTGTTTGGTGTTGTTGTAGTTGTTGTTGTTCGTATTGTTGTTGGTATTGTTGTGGGGTTGAGGCAGCAGCAGGTGATTCAACACCAAAGATCTTGTTTTCAGCATCAGTCCATACACGAATACCTTCTTGGATGAATCTAGTTTGGTCTTGTACAAATTGTTTCATTGACAATGCAACCTCCTTTTGAACGTATTGGATCGTGTCAAATACAAGTTGAACAAAGTTGGCACTACTTTGGTCATAGAGTGACTTGGCATTATCGTATTCAGATTGACGTTCGGCAACTTGCTTGTTACTCTTTTGAGCGCTTCTGAGGTTACTAGCGGCAACGTTGAATTTGGCACGTAACTCTTCTTGACCCTTTTCAGCGTTGATTGTCTTTTTAACCTCACCTTCGTACAAGGCGGTGATTTGAGTAGCCAAACGATCAGCAAACAACTGTGTGTATTGTTGGAAGAGTAGAGAGGTGTCATTGATACCTGCAGCAACCTCTTTGAGCGATGTTGAAAGTGGAACAGTTTGATTCTCTGTATAATTTGTATGTGATGTCTTTTCTCCAAATCTATTTAATATAGTTGCTAATCCATTACCTTGTTGTACTTGTTTATCTAAATCGATTGAAATTAATTAATTTATATTAATATGTTATATCATGATCATCATCTCGTCATCTGTGATTGTCAATTTGAACATACCTGAAGTAAGATAATAACTTCTAGATAATTCAGTCAATAGTTTGAGAGACCATTTCATATTCTTTAAGTTTATTTTAGCGTTGGTAATGTGTTCCTCTTCATCTGGATTCTCTACAAAGCCTTCTTTGACGGCTTCCTTTGTTTGCTTGAGTACGTCTAATCCTTTCTTAAACATGTTTTTGTGTTATATTAGGTATTTTTAATTAATGTATTATGATGATGATGATGATACAATCTAATCTCTCTATCTATCTGTTTGTTTGTTTGTTTTCTGTTAGTGCTCTGAGTGTGGAATACGGTGAGAGTGTGGTGCTTTGGGGATTAAATTTAATTTAATTGTTAATTCGAACCTGCTATCAATTTCAAATAAAAAAAAAATTCTTTGTTGCGAGGTTTGACGTCATTCATCATGCTTTTCATACCCTCCTCTCATTGCAACAAGAGGTCACATGACATGAATGTCATAGTAATCAATGATCAAACTTTAAATGTATGAAACAAACAAACAAACAAACAAACAAACAAACAAACAAACAAACAAACAAACAAACAAACAAACAAACAAACAAACAAACAAACAAACAAACAAACAAATAATCTTCATCTCTCTTTGAATATATACTATCAAGAGTTGAATGTAGATAGATAGCCATTATTTATTTATTGTTATTGCAACTTTTGACATACGCCAAGATACGGTAAAAGTGGGGTGGATTGATAGTTTAGAATTGACAAATCCATAAATTGATCAGAGCCATCATTACCATCATCATAGAAGCCAAAGTTCCTACCATTCTAGAAAAAGTTACCGGGGTCAACTGCCAATGACTAAATGGAAACCAGCTTGATGATCGGTGTTACAGAGGCCTCACCATTAACATGTCATAGCATACAACGTCAAAGACGACGACGATGATGATGATGATGATGGTCTAAGATGAAATAGGTATTTATGAAACAACAAACAAAGCAGATAGATGAATGAATAGACAGATAGATAGGTAGAAGAAAGATTCGTTCTTCTTCCTCTTCTATTGACTCTATAAAGTTTGAGTAGAATAGATTCTATATCAAATCAATCTATTCTACTCAAATTTTAAATGTATGAAAACAAACAAACAAACAAACAAACAAACAAACAAACAAACAAACAAAATAAGAGAGTTAATTATTTCTTGTCAGGCCATCAACACCACTGCTTCATATCGAGTGCCTGTCCACCTCAAATACAACATAAACATAAAAACATAATTTAATATTTATTCTTTTCAATTTTCATCAACACATACTCTTCCCTTCCTTTTAAAAAGTCAAACAACAAATAATAATGAAAAAATTAAAAGATAGTAGTAGTCACAGAAAATCACATAAAACTACTACTACTACTACTACTTGTAGTAAAGTACAAAATTATAATAATCCAACTCTACCAATCTATCATTCTCAAGTACTTGATTGATAAAGAAAACAAGAGAGATGAAAAGAGAAAAGTAAAGATGACATTTCGCATTGATAGAAAGAAAGCATGTAACTATGCTTTGGTCAACAAACACTTTTACAAATGTGTAACAATGTGGAGTAAAGCAAGGTTGCTTCTAACATTGGAAACAGCGATCTTCTCTTGAAGGCACTCGATTCAATGGCTAATAGTATTAGCATCGAGAACAAGATGGAACGACTGTTACTAGCAAAGAATCTATCGCTTTTACTAGCATACGATACAGCTCTCTTTTTTAATCCAGCACAATGTGCCAAGCTTATGAACCATCCAGCTTTCAAAATGTATATGGACCGTTGCACTATTGATAGTCTCAATGCCAATAATTGTGATGGGTTTTGGACATTTCTCAAAAAGGATGATTACAACCAAATGACCAACGTTAGAATCGTACACAGACACTCTCATAATATGATGGATCGGGAATGGGATAGAGCCACATACATCAATTGCACAAAGTTGGAGATTCATTTAATGGACCAATCAAATCCACCTATGCTCTTGAAGGCTCACTTTATGTTGGATTTCGTCATGCCATTTATCTATCGACATCGTTCAGTCAAACATCTCACCATTGGATTCCCTCGACTACGAGAGTATTTTAAAAATCTAGATGATGACTATAACTCTGACCCGACCAATGAAAAAGTAGAAGAATTCTTTGATGCTTTGGAAGAAATGGAGCAATTGGAATCACTTACCATTTTCGATTTTAGTTTCAATTTCGTCATGAAATACAATCATGAAATTGATAGTGAACCCACCATCGAACATACAAATCACCTTATTGAAGATGATAGTGAAATAGAGTTTGATTATTTATTACAAGATTACTTTATCGACTATGTCAAATCAAAAATATCAACCAACCCCGATCGATCTTTTGTACTTAGAATTTATGAAGAAGAAGATTACTAAATAAAACCAAATCTGAATGGTATGTTCATTAATTAATTAATTAAATTAAAAAGTTTATTTAAAATGATTGTAATACTACAATACTTTTATAATAATACTATAAAGAAAATCATCATCATCATCATCATCATGATGAATGATGATAATAACTTGGGAGAGGAGTCACTGGTTGATTGTTCAATTGGTATAAGTTCTGCATGATCATCTTTTCCAATTGATAACAAATTTCCAGATACTTGGCAACTCATACCAGCTACTCTACAAACTAAATTGTCTCCCCTACAAACTATGTATTTGGGTGCGACACATCTGGTCGATCCAACAGAGGAGAGCGACTCACATTGATAATTGGAGTTGTTTGATGAACATGAACTGAGACCTTGGGTGGTACAGTTGATTGGTTGTGAACCGCCATAGGTAACTTGGAGACCACCCGATTTTAATTTACATACAACTTCATAACCTTCAGATGATGATGAAGATGACGATGGAGATTCCGACGACGAACTGTTTCTATTATTATAGTCAATGACAATAAAGTTTGTGTAGGGTTGGGAGGAGCCAAGTACGTACTCCAAGGTGACGGATTGTCCTGGTTGGATGGGTGTGACCGATTGCCACACATTGGACGAGACAGGTACAAAGGAACCGTTGTATCTATAGATGGGCGAGCCATAGATAAAGTAGAGGGCAACGTTGTTGGCAGTCGATGTACCAGTGTTTAAGAGATTGCATGTGACTTGAGATGTTTCTGGCTTGGTACTGCAGTTACGAACGATGTTGGGGTTGGTGGCATAGGTAGACTCACCCAAAACAACTTTGGTTGGACAAGCAGATGGAGAATGGAAGACGCAGTGATAGGAACAGGCAGGACTCTCGTAACAAAAGTATGTTGAAATAGTTGGCGAGCATAAAAAGGTGGTCGTATATTTGGTTCCACTTGGACAGTCACTATTCGTGTTGAGATTGTTGCCTTGGATGGTGGTTCCAATAGTGAGATTGGCGTTGGGACTCATATCTTGGAATTTAGTGGTGTTGAACCAAGACGAGATACCAATATTCTTTAGGGATCCGTTCCAGACATTACAACTATTGATTGTTCGATTGTTGACACCGGTTACAATGGTTGAACAATATGCATTTGGTTGACAAACAGAAAAATAAATGGTGTATCCAGTAGCAGCACTCTGTAATGGAGCTTGGTAATTACTTAGGAACATGAATAAAAAAAACAAAAATAAAAAAATAAAAGGAATATTAAATTAATACTTTGTTCAAACAACAAACAATAATACACACTATCTATCACATATGTAGACATTTATCTACATATGGTGGTGGTAGTGGGTAAATTGGTCTATAGTTGATAATAATCAAAATAACAATACAAACCCTGCAATGGATGTCAAATTAAAATAGAGGCCTGTTAATTGGTCTTGATAGTAACATGTGCCAGGTGATTGTTGGCCAATGACACTGACAATGGCACTGCTGCTAACAAATAACAAGATACTGATAAACTTATTTAAATCGAATTTCATTTGTGTGTTGAGATGATTGATGATGTTTGAGATTCATTGACTCCGTCGCTTTATAATGATCGTTGATGAGTCGTTCAAAGAAAAAAAATTAAAAAAAAAATAAATAAATCATTTTTTTTGCCACGATCAAACTTTTTCTTGGATCTTTCATTTATTTTCAAAGAGAGATATAAAAGATTATATTACTCTTTTTTTCTTCTTCTCTTTGATTTCATTCATCTTGGAGATTCGAATATCGGGTCACCTTTAAAGGTATAACTAGTTGCGTGAGAAAAACTCATCAGAGCTCTCCCATAGTCAACAAGATCATTTTCATTCGCAACCAGCTATCGCCAAAAGTTCGATTAAAATTGTAATTTAAAATAATGGCAAAAAAGAGAAAAGAGCAAACAAACTATAACAATAATCCATCTCTACCTATCTTGATTCAATCTATTATACTTAAATACGCGATTGATGAAGAAATAGTTAGAGAGGAAGTATCAAATTATTCTTTGGTCAACAAACACTTTTACAATTGTGTTATAATGTGAGTTATTAATAATTTTTATTGATTGATAGATCGTCATATCTATTTATTTATTATTGTTATTGCAACTTTTTTGACATACACCAACACATATGGTGAGGGTGGAATTTGATAATACCCTTTGGTTTAGAATTGACAAATCCATAATTGATCAGAGTAATCATTACCATCATCATAGAAACCAAAGTTCTTACCATTCCAGAAAAAGTTACCAGGATAACTACCATTGACTAAATGGAAACCAGCTTGATGATCGGTGATCTTAAAGCTAAAGACAGAGGCTTCACCATTCTGGGAGTTTGTAATCATATGACCATCTTGGGTTCTGCTCAAGTATTTCTCGTTGTTGTGCTCGTCGAGGAAATAGATGACAAAGCATTCTGGGCTCCAAGCAGTTGCTTTAACATAAAAGTGTACACTGTTGGCTGTGCTCAGTACATTGTCTGCTGACATGGAGATTGAATTACTAAAGGCATTAAACAAATTACCTGTCTTGCAATGAACAAGTTTAAACTTGTGATCGGTTGGAATCTTGTGAATCTAGAGAGAGAGAGAGGGACAATAGAGATGATGGGTTAGTCTGGTTAGAGATACACTTTATATTATTGTTTATATTAATTTATACATACATCTACAGTATAGGTAAGAGCATACCATTGTTGATCAATAGCAGTCTCAATACGTGGATACATGAATGGATGTTGACCGGTTTTGGAGCCAGCAAGGAGGTAACCACCTTGGGATATCTTGACCTTGGTGACTGGAGCTTGGTCAATAAATTCAACGGTGTAGATTTGTTGGTGGTTGTTGTTGTCAATGTCTTGGTTGGGAGAGACTGCAAGACCGTTGGCAGATTGAAGGTAACGAGTTTGTTGTTGGTTGCCGTTGTTTCGGGTACTGATGATACGGATGTTGTAGGGAGAACTGCTGTCTGGTTGGAAGGCAAAGTACTCGCCGGTGGTGAGTGGGTCGAATGGCTGAGTGACAGCATCGACAGTAGTGAGAGGACACACACCGCTACTATTGGAAGTAGCCATAAAGTTGTGGTAGTTGACATTATAGAGTCTGAAAAAGTTGTAGTCTTTGTACTTGTCCAAGTTGGGTGTGACGTACACGTACCCAGGGTCGGTTGGCTTTGATTGGTTCTGACCTTGATCCTTTTCAATTTTCAAGTGCCACCATGGAGTATGAGTAGCGTCCAACTTGTGGGCAGGATCCATGTCGGCCAGGATAACAAGATTCGATGTGCCATAGACACCCTCCTTTTTGCCACCAAAGTACAAAATGTCACCTTGTTGGGTATGCTCGACAGTGTTGGGTGTTTTGAATACCCATTCGAGACCATCGACGGCAAGACCAAGGAATGAGCCAGCAGCAGCACCACTACCTCCTTCGTCCCAGTCACTTGAACCGAATCCCAAGTCATCCAATTGAGCAATGTAGTCATCTCTGTACTTTGAAAAGGTAGTAGTGTTTGTAATGGCACCTGGTCCTTGTACACGAGTAGAGAACCAAATCAAACAAGCCTTTTGGGTTTGTGTTTCTCCTGGTCCTAATTTAAAGCATCTTTAGTTTAAAAAAAAAAAAAAACAAAAAGAATAACAAATATATTTGAATGTGTTTATTCGTTAGTCACAGAGAATAAAACCACTCATATACTATAGTATGTATACATACGGTCCAGCCAATGCAAAGAATGTAACTGGGAAGGAGGTCGCATTGCGAACCTATACAAAAAAAAAAAAAACAAAACTAGAGTCAGTAAACAATCTTTAATTAAAGTAAGTATTTAATACATACAGTCATATGTCCAACAGCCATTTTATTATTACTATTTGTAAATTAAGATGATAAACTATATAATGAACACTTCAAAATGATGCGTTTAAATAGCTTTTCTGGTCGGATAATAGTCTTCTTCAGAAGTGTCATTGCAACAGTGATCATATCACTGCAGATATTTCACTTCGTTGAAACAACCATCTCTGCATGTGTATGTGAGTTGACACGACCATCACTCCACGTGCAGTAAGTATAACCGCTTTACAAATCGTGGGGCAATGATCATGCTTTGTGTCCTTTCACCCACATGTCCCACAAAATTATAAAAATTTTGATTGAAAATATCCTTTTGTGGTAAGCGCGTAAACCTCAAGAGCGATATCGCAGTTTCTAGATCCGGATTTCGAATCTGGTTTAAAGTTTAGGACTTTTTGTTTGGGGCTGATAAGTAATAGTTTGTTCATTGCCATTGAAACAAACAGTACCAGTATTCTTTTTATTCATTTTGCTCTCACTACGCTCTTTTTAAAAATATTTATTAAAAACTTATGACAATCGATTACCATATTCCATATACTTGTTTACTATTTCATTGAATCTAGGATCTCTAAATTTAATATTATTTTCTCTTTTAACTCTTCCTTTTTTAAAATTGTCAATGACAAAAGTATTATTGACACCTGATAGATAGGAGCAGGTTTGCTCAACTTCACCTTGGTGTGTTGGACTTGATACTTTGGTACAAAAGTGAGCATTGGCTACTAGTTGAAGTGCATGTTGGTGAGATATTGCAATCTCTCTGTCTGCATCTGGTTTAACGACAAGGTCAGTTGAAAGTAATGGCTCCCAATCATTCATGACACCTGGCTTTTTAATTTTCAATACATAGGGTAGACCATCATGATGGCTGCTCTTTCCAAGAAAACAATACTTGACACCCAAACTATTCTCTACGGTACCAATTGATTCTGCTTCCTCTTGGTCTACAGTCAAAATGACTGGTTGCTGTGGTACATGTGAACCGGTACCAACTTCTATCATAAATTGTTTACCACGGTTGTTTAGAATGATCGATAAATGGACACTCTCTTTTGTCCATTCTTTTAATATTTTTAATTTACAAGTAACCAAATTCACATTGAATCCAGAGTCTTTTAAAAAGTAGTACATCAAGCCATTGAGATGATAACTTAGACCACCAGTACCTTGAACCAATACCTTGTTGGTAATTTCATCTAGAGAGGTTCCATTAATCTTGTTTTCAAATAGATGGAAATTATTATACGGTAATTGGATGTTCAAAGTGGAGATAAAAAATAATAAATTTTATTGGGTTCCATTTATTTAATATGAAAGGAGATTTCTGGCCCACCTTAATGAACACATCTGGCTCACTAGTTTTCGATATTGAATAGGAATCCCAATAAGGTTATAGATTTTCGTAGGACTATAAAAAGGGACGGATTCAATTCTATTGTCTGTTACCATGAAAACAAAACTTTACACCCAAACTATTTTCTTCGATTCCATGTGTTTCAGCTTGTTTTGGTGTATCGTATAATGGTATTGGTAATTGTGGTACATGTGAACCAGTACCAACTTCAATCAGGTATTGTTTACCCTCGTATATGAGAATGACAGAAATATGAACCAAATGTTTAGTCCAACTTTTTAATATTTTTAATTTGCAAGTCACCAATTTCACATTAAATCCAGAATCTTTTAAAAAGTGATACATTAAACCGTTCAAATGATAGCTTAATCCACCAGTACCTTGAACCAATACTTTTTCAATTAAATCTTGTTTTGAAATTCTTGGATGGTGTTGTTGATTTTCCAACAAATGGAAATTATTGTATGGTATTTTTGTTGAAAATGCAGACATTATCATTGGAAGATCATCAAAGGTTACATTGCCTTCAAAATCCACTTCCAACTTTTTAGACATTAACCTTTTAAATTCTAAATATTCCATTTTTTGATTTTGAAAAAGAAAAATAAAGGAAAACCAGTTTTAAATTTATAAACTGAACAACAGAATATAGATAGAATTGATCTCCATTGTTTAAAAATATACAACCTCGGTTTATAATAATTAGTTAAAGATAATTTAAATTTTTTGGGGTTTTTAAACACCAAATCTGGATAGTCATTGACAGGTGGTACATGTAAAAAATAATAATATTTATTTATTTATTTATTTTTTATTCCGGGGATATTTGTTTTAAAATATTCTGTGTTGTTTCTCTCTCTCTCTCTAATAACTATAGAAATATTATATATACATATATTTATTTTAATTTTATAAAACAAATACATCAGATTTGAGGTCATAAAAACTGGTTGGTGGTGGAGGTGGGTCTTGTGGTTTTTCTTCCCATTTTCCAGTCTTCCATTCGTATCGTTGGTTCTCTTTTAGATTTAATTTCTTTTGTCTTTCTTCGGTTTCTTTGGATGCTTGGAGTTGTTCTTGTGCCATCTCCTCCAAACTGAATAAAGTTTCACACTCCACTTCTGATAATTCGTATAATCCTTGTTGAATTAAATGAATACAACTAATGAGCAATGGAATTTCAATAATAAATTCTTTATATAAATCTTTTAATAAATCAAAATCTAAATAGAAAATAAAAATTAATAAATATTTAAAAAAACAAGAATGATTGTAGTGTTTCAAGTTTTACTTACAAATATCCAAACTCTTTCTAGCAATAAACATTTTAAGAGCCAATTCATCTTGTAATGAAATTATTAATACATCTTTGAAACTCTATAATAATATAAAGGAAAAATAAATAATTGGTTGTTCTTTTTAAAAAGAAATATTTTTTGTAGTACATACATCAAGGTTTGAAGATTTAAGTTTCTTTGAATTTGGTTGTCCACCATTATTACTATTATTACTGTTACTAGAAGTTGCGGTAGTGGTTGGTACTACAGTAGTAGTAGGTACAGCAGTGGATCTAGGAGGAATATTATTGATAATAGGAGTAGTATGATGGGAAACTGATTTAAGAGTTGGAGTGGATTTTAATTTTGGAGCGGGAGGACATAATGATGGAGAGTCTTCACACATTGATCCACGACGTGTTAATTCTGATGGGAATGCAATAGACGATCTTCTTGCATTGATAGCCGGTTGTTGTTGCTGTAAAGGTTGTTGTAAAGGTTGAAGTGGCTGCAGTGGCTGTAGTAATGGTTGTTGGGATGGAATGGCAAGTTTGGATAGTTGCTGTTGTTGGACCATTTGAAGTGTGGCCATCGACGATCTACGAGCTGCAGGTTTCTTTTTAAACTGTTCTGCACCATGATCTTGATCAATACCAAGTTCAAATCTAGGTGGTTCAAGTGAAAATGATGACAAGGCAGACGAAGTATGAGACGATGAGAAGGAGTGTTGCTGGTGTTGATGATGAGTGGGCATGGCCATGGTGACAGCTGCAGCTGCGTTTTGGAGTAACTGTTGTTTTTGAAGTTGCAGTTGCTGCTCCTTTTCAATTTGTTGTTGTTCAATCTCTTCTTCTTGTTTGATTAGGTCAAGACATAGCTCGAGGTAGAGGTTGTAGTCGTCGCGGTTATCGCACATGTTTTGCCAGATGGCTGCCAAAATCTCGGTCTTGTTGCTCTTTTTCATGAGTGCTCCCATGTCACGAACGCGACGCAATATCTTGCTGCGCCAGTCGGTCTGCAACTCCTTGGCAACGACACGGCTCTCAATCATGGACAAGATGACGGCCAGATCCGATTCGGCACCGGACAGCTTGAGCTCGGGCGACTCGCGGTATGTCAACGCGCCGCTGAACCCACCCTGGCCGGTGGTGTTGGGGTTATTGGCCAACAGTGCAGGCACATTACTATTAATATTATTACTATTGTTGAACATAAGATTCGAGACGACTCCGCTGAGTAGCCCATTGTTCAACATCGCGCCACTACCACCCGGTGCGGTCTTGTTTGCGATTTGTGGGGGTGAGGTGGTAGTCAGACCCGCATAGATGGAGCTGGTTGGAGGAGACATGTCGCTGCGATTCACCGGCAGCTTGGGCGAGATGAATCCCGATGGCAGCGAGCTACCAGATCCCCCGCCGCTTCCACCCTCAACTCCATCTAAATTCAAACGAAGCAAGTGGTTGAATGGTTTATCATTATTTAACAACATACCATTATATTGTTGTTGTTGTTGTTTGACAGTTGACAGCAACTTGACATCACTACTACCTGCTCCATTTAAACTAAAGCTATCGTCAATATCCATGGGTTGTTGTATATTTTGATGTTGTTGTTGATGTTGTTGCTGTTGATATAACTGGTTCTGTGAAGGTGAGGTGGGAGACTTGACGTTGGCACGACGCAGCCATGGCGAGAGAGGGACAGGAGGTGCAGAGGAGGGGGAGGTTGATCGGTCTTGGATGATGGTGTCTTTGAACGTCTCGTAGTTGGCGTTGCTGAGTGACTGGAAGAGCTTGTGCCAAAAGAGCGAATGGTGCTCCTCGGCGGCGCACTTGGCGGCCAAAAACTTGTTGACGTTCTTGCCAATCTGCTCGGCAAAGGCGACTATCTCCTTTTGCGCGTTCTCTTCGTCTAGCTGCGCTTGGCTGTTGGAGGGCAGCACCCAGCCGTTGTTCTTGAGCTCTATCAGGTTCTTGAGCATGTATCGGGTCTGCGGACGGATGTTTTTGTTCTCGGCCAGCGACTGGATCAGCTCAAAGCCGTCTTCGATCGCCTCTTGTATTCGCTTTTTGTTGGTGGCTGCCGCCGCCGTAGCGGTAGTGGCCGTAGCACCCTCAACCGAACGTCCCACAATCGTCGAGATCACTCCCAACGACTCGAGTTGCACCAATGTAAACTCGCTATGTTCCGAGGTTTGCGTCGAATCCTTTGGCAAAAACTCCTTGATCACAGCAACATAGAAATTAACATTCAACACTTGATAACGATAACACTCTGCAATGAATCGACTAGCATTTATAATATGTGATTTATGTGTTCCTACTGCCGATTCAATTGATGTAAAAGTATTATTATTATTATTATTATTTGATAATGTTGATTGTTGTTGTTGTTGTTGTTGCTGCTGTTGTAATAATTGTGAAAGTTGTGAAAATTCATGATAATATAATTTAATCAAAGTTTCTCCAATATCCTAAATCAATCAAATCAAATCAAACAAAGAGATATTAATAAAAAGAAAGAATACTATAATAATATTGATAGTTTGGGTCGATATTTACCAAATTAATTTTAAGTTTGAATAGAGGTGCAAGTTTGGAAATGATTTTCGTATAATATGGCAAGTATCCAATATCTCTAGACACCTTTGAGAAGATTAATTGTACCATTGAAATCGCTGCATCTGTATCAATATCTGATGCTTTTGTTATGATCTGGTCAACCAATACCTTTGAATTTTCGTTTGAGATATTATTTAATGATCTAACAAAAAAGAGATTGATAGATAGATTGATAGATATAATCAATAAAATATTAATTACTTGTTCTTGTTATCATCCATATCATATTCTTCTTGTTCTTATTAATACTACTCTCTATCTTACCTATTAATAATAATCAAGTTCTCTTCTGAAGAACTTTGTTTGGAAGAATCCATATTTTTAATGTCTGTCTAATTATGTAATTATTGTCTGTGTGTTTTAGGTGTAGTCGTTCGTAGATTGAGATATATTTATATAAAGATGAAAAAATAATAATTAAATACTACTTCTATTGTTGTTTAGTACTATACTATTATTATTATTTGGCTTATATTATTATTATTATTATTATTGTTTGTTTGAATACAAGTAAAAAAAAAAAAAAAAATCAAAAATCAAAAAATACTATTTCTTCTTCTTATGATTCTGAATATTATGATTATTATATTATTATTATAATTGTGTTCTGGTGTTTGTTGTTGTTGTTGTTCTCTTTTCTCTGTTCTCTATTCTATGTATGTATGAATGAAAATGATTATGTGTAATGGGGAAGAAGAAGAAGGGTGTAGGATGGAGATTGTAATTTAAAAAATGGTCTGGTTGGTTTTGATTATTATTGTACAAAATATTATTATTATTATTGTTGTTTTTGTTGTTGTTGTTGTTTTCAAATTTAGTGATGCTGGAAAATATATTATTATTATTATTATTATTAATTATTATTACTGGATTGTTTTTGTTGTTGGAAATAATAATAATAATATTAATTGGCAATCAATTAAATATAGAGATATATATATAAATGAGTGATAAACTAAACGTAGAGTAGAAATAGTCTATATTCTAGAATACATATACATATAAACTGGCAGCAGGAACAAAAAGTAGGAAGATAAATTCAATTGGCGAGGAGGAGGAGCGAAGAAAATAATAAAGATTGTAAATTAGTAATATATTAAAAATTGGTTTGTTGTTGTTCTCGTTTGCTGTCTGTCTGGCTGATTGATTGATTGCTTGGATTAATGCTATTGTGATGTGAAACAAACAACAACCCAAACAAACACTGATATGATTATTGACTTGTCTGATATTATTATTGTCTTTTGATTCAATCATGGTGTGGGATGGTAGTGGTGGTGGTGATTACCTTTCTCCTCCTCCTCCTCCTCCTCCTCCTCCTCCTAGTGTGATGATCGAATGAAAAAGGAATCAATATCACAGAGAAATGAACAGAACAGGAGAGAGAGAGAGAGAAAAAGAAAAGAGGATAATGTGATTGGTGCGTAGTATGTGTGTGTATGTGGTTGATTGTGTGTATGTAGATGCGATTTTTAATACAAAAGTATTATATCCATCCACTCTCCACTCTACTCTACTTCTCGCTTTCTTCTTACCTTTAGGTAGCAGCTGCTGAATACAAAGAGAGAGAGAGAGAGGGGTATAGCTATACCCATCACCCCCCCACCCACTTGGTTGTATATAAATATATATATGTTGTAGGTAACAAAAAAAAAGGAAGAAGAAGAAGAAATGAATATTTGTTGACTGGGTGGGTGGATGTATATATATATATATCCCTGCTAGCTGGCTTGTATTCTATCCTCCTCCTCTTCCCTATTAATTCATCGAGATTTGATGGATGGATGGATGGATGGATGATGGAAAACCCCACCACTTTCATTTTTCACATTACACTACCCACCCACAATGTGATGGTGAAAAGGAGGTAAGTAGGTAGGTATACATCTATCTATCTAGCTGTTCAAAACGATGATCATTGAATGTTCATCATCCTCCTCCTCCTCGTCCAAATCCAATCATCGTCTCGATCATCAGCATCACCAATACCAACACTATCCAAAACCTCGATATAGCTAGTCATTATTGTATAAGAAGAATTTGAATCACTTCATTGAATTGATTGTGGTGTTGGTGTAGTTTCATCTGTCCGTCCATCTTTTGTTCTCTCTGGAGTGAAGTGTTGTAGTGAAGTGGCATGACAATGAAATTCATTCAACCACATCATTGACTGTCGTGTCGTCAATGATTAATTGTCTTTAGAATAACAACAATACTACAATGAAGAATGAAGATCAACCAACTGACCAATCAAAAAAAAAAAAAAAAAAATCGATAAATTTAAAAACAAACAATCGCCATGCCCCAACAAAACAGCAGCATTCTGCCCAATAAAACAATCTTTGCTTCTGTATGATTCTGACTTATAGTAGTGTTGACTATTATTTCATTATTGTTATTCCTTTTAGAATAGGGTTTGTTTGTTTGTTTGAATTTACCTTTTTAATTATTTGGAGTTTTGAAGGACATCAGAAATACAAGTCTTGAAATGGACTGGATAATAAAAGGTTAGCTTGCTTCCTCTGAGTATGTGATAATATATATTTATATATATTTGAAAATTGTTTGTTTGTTTGTTTGTTTGTATTGATCTGACTCTTTGTTGACTTTAATGTTTTATATATACTCTTGGTTATGATAAATTCTGGCAGAAGGGCGATAGAAATGAAGTGAATTTTATTGGTGAACATTCTCTCTCTCTCTAAATTAATTGCATTCTTGCCCAATCGCGTTGTTGGGTTTTTTTTTTGTTTACACGAACACACACCATGTGTATTGAATGTGGCAAGGATCGACAAAGATTGAACCCCCCACTTTGCGGCCGACCCCACCACACACAATCCAATCGCCCCTCGGTTCTGGGAGATCCATACAAACCAAACACATTTATCACCCTTTGTTTTTTTGAAATGCAACTTTTTTTTCTTTTTCTCTGTCTCTGTCTTGCCTCCACAATGTGTTGGGTTTGTGCCAGGATCCCTCTCTCTCTCTCTTGTCTCACACCATTTTATTATTAAACCCCTTGTTTTCTTGATCCATCCAACGCGCGCGTCAAACATCTTGTGTGGTGGTGGTGTTCAACAATCCATCTGTTGTTGATCTGGCTGGATGGTTGGGTAGGCAGGATTCAAGAGAGAGAGGAGAGGGGAGGGGGACATCTGGTCTATCGAGTCATTAGTGGGTCTTCAAACCAGTATTTATTTCTCGATCAGCTCTTGTAGATAGATTTGAATGCTTTGTTGATCTCGAATATTAAACTGACATCTGACACCTATATATGTATCATGTCAAAAAAAAAAGAAAACATTGGATGATCAAAGTAATGTTTGGTTGTTCCAATTGGGTGTGGTGATGATGATGGTGGATAAAAGTTGGGTTAGCACACATAACTATTGTTGGCATTCACACTAGGAAGGTTGATTGATGCATCAAGAGGTTGTTCTATTTTATCAACACATTTACATACCTCGATGAGTGATAAATCTGATAAAAGCTCCTGAGCACCACTTGAAACAGGCTTTCCGTTTACGTAGATAGAATTCTTTCCTATATTGTGTATGTAAAAGTTTGATGTTTTGGTTTTTAATTTTACAATAAACTGGAAAAGGAAAGTGGAAAGGAAAAGAGTTAGCAATCCAATTTACACAAGTCATTGTGTGACTGTTCATCTTTCTTTTTGATTGTATATATTCGATTCGAAATGATGATGATTATGATGATGATTTAGGGTTTGTAGTTGTTCGTTGTTGTGTTCTTCTTCTTACCTGTTTTTTTGAAACTCTATTTACAAATTCAGTCTCTTCTCTGAGATCCAAATCAATGAGATTACAAGTCGATAAATCTCTTCCAACTATAATATCCTTTTGTTTCATATAATATCGAATATTTTCTCCTCTACATATAATATATAAAAGAACACGTGTTAGTTGTGGATCAATGAATATCAACAGCAGGAGCAGCAGTAACAAGATATAAATATATAATTCATGGAACTATTTTCTTGTTCTTTTTAAAATCCCAAAAATAATCTTATCTCTTACCTTATACAAGCCAAATGTTTAAAATCCTTTTCTTTTTCAGCTTCATATTCCTTTTCAACTTTAATCATTAATTTAACATCATTTAATTCTAGAAATAATTCATTATTAATATATATATAGATATATATATCTATCTATCTATATATTTTTGTTTTACATACCAATATCTTTGTCATCATCCCACATAAACTTTGGAATAGATTGAAATGGATTTAAAAGTAGGTCATTTTGTAATTCTTCTTTGGAATCTGGTGGTGATTTTATCAAGTGTTCCCATGGTGTTGGTCCATTACATACAGTACTACCACTCTCTTGATCACCATCTTTTTCATTCATTTTCGATGAGGAGGAGGAGGAGGAGGTCATCGAGACACTATGATTTAAATTCTTTTTGGCAAATAAATAATTATACATGTTTTGTCGTTGTAATTGTTGTTGTTGTTCATCTTCACCATCATTGACATTTGATGATGTAACAAGTTGTAATTGTTGATTATTTGATCCAATAGTTGATGATTCCTTTTTCATTTGATTGTGATGATCAATTTTTTGACGTTGATCTTTAAATAGATAATTTAGATAGTTTGAATTCGATGAGATATCCTGATCGAGTAACCGATCTCTATATTGTTTTTGGAGTCCTCTAGTTGTTCTCGAGGCATGAAAGTGTTCACGTTTGTCTTGAAGGAATTTTTCAAATGATTCAAGATCCAAACTAAACGGTGCATTGTCCAAAGCATCCTCTTCCTCTTTTCTAAATACCTGTGGTTTTGAGCATAGGGAAGGATTCAATGCCATCATACTAGCAGCCTCACTAGATGTCTTTTCATCATACAACATTGATCCCCATCTCTTTTCCATTTCCTCTATTGTAAATTGTCTTGAAAATACCAAGTTGTCTCCCCAATCCAGTGTCTTTGTTGTTGTTGTTCGTTTTCTCTTTTTTTCCAACATGTCTGTTTTCTCTTTTTCTTCTCCTTTCTCTCTTTCTCTTTCTATTTCTCTTTCCTTTTGTTGTTGATGTTGTAGAACTGACCAATTATAAATTGATTGTATATCTTTAAATCGTTGGGATAGTAGTAAGAGGAGATAGTCATCTGACACGGTCCAATCTCCACGGAGATTTCGGTCGGGTTCTTTGTAGAGGATACACTTTTGTTTTACCTTTTCGAGTTTCTTGGGTATTTTGATGGGTTTGGAGGTGGACTTGAGGAGGATCGTGTTTGTATCTTTTTTAAGGAGCCGTGGTTTCTTGATTGAAGAATGAACCGCTGATGCGCTGTCTGGTGGTGCAGATATAGTCCTTGTCGATGTTGAGAATGTTGGTGTACTGACTGCAGATGATGTACTACTACTACCACTATTACTGGGACTTGCACTAGTACCAGTACTAGCATTATTGTTGTTACCACTAGCAGTCATCTTGGGAGAGGTCGATTGGAATACGGGAGGTGTAGCAACTGATGCAACCATCAATCGGTGTTGTTGTAGTTGATCAAAATGATGAAGCATCTCTGTCTCTAACTCTCCAATACCAATCATATTTTTGGTGTTGATCTTGACCGGCTTGTTATGTAGTTGTGGATAGAGTGACTTGACTTCCTTGTCAACCTGTGATTCTACCTTGTCGATTGGTTTGGGTGGACGTATCAAGGTGGATATCAAATCAACTTCCACCTCATTGACTATTCCTGCCAATGCCTTCTTTGCATAATAAGGGGAGACATAGGATGCTGAACTTGCAGCAACCCGTTTCTTGGCCAATGGTTCTGATGTCACTACCGTTGCTGCTACTTCTTGTTGTTGATGTTGATGTTGATGTTTCTTTGGTTTAGTACCAATGAGTGGGAATAATGGTGATGTTGACATGGATGACGATGTCGATGAAGAAGATGATGAAGATAATGGAGATGGTGCGGATGAAGAAGAAGAAGAAGAAGAGGAAGAATAAGACAACGTCGGGGAAAAGGGAGATGATAATGGTGGTTTGACCGGACTCATCTTGGTTGCAAATGATGATAGTGGTTTAGCTATTATCTTGTCAAGCGTCATTGTTGTTGGCGGTGTTGGTGTTGGTGTTGGTGATGTTACCCTTGCTGGCTTGTCTCCTCCTTCATGATGATCTTTCTGTGACATGACTAGACTGTCAATCTATCTATCCTCTTTAAGAGAGATATGCTACACTTTGAAATGATGTATGTAGTATAGATATTAGGTTAATTTATATATAAATATAATATGACGATGATGATCATAGCTCAATTATCATAACTTGGAATACTTTAATTTAGAGAAGATAATTATCTATGTGAGCAAAAAAGGAATAAAAAAAAAAATTACAAAAAAAATGTTTTTTGTGATCATTGTGCAGAGGCTGTGAGAGTTGGTGCGCTGAAGAGAGCATAGAACTATTATCATTATCTAAAGTTAATTTATACAATCTAACAATGTCTGCTCCAAACTCTTTCGTTGGTGTAAGTCGTCATATTATTAAGCAGCGAGGAGGATAGATAAAAGAGATAGTAGAGAACGAGAATGAAAACTCTCAAGTAGTGTAGTTGCAGTGACCAACTTTGCGCGATAGATAGATAGATATTATTCGTATTTGAAACAAACAACAAACAGAGACAGAGAGATATGATTATATCTACAAGAGAAGAAGATTATATGATGATCTTAAAGACAATAAATAGCATATGACTCATAATAATAATATATTATGTCAAACGATCAAAACAACCATTCAATACAGTAAACAACACAACACAACACAACAAATATAGAACAATAATACTACTATCATTATCATCATTATGATATTGTATAGTAGTAGTAGTCGTATTGATCCATTGGATTAGAATGATGATCAACAAAAATGACGAGGAATAGATCAATAATGCAAAATACCACCCACCACCCCCCCATGCGATTAGATCTATCTATCTATCTATCTATCTATGTTTCGAAACATAGCAACTACAAACTATCTCTCTTTTATCTATCCACGACTTTGTAAACAATAACAACAACATAAACTAATCATCCTTTTAATTATACTTTTAGGTTTTATATGGAATCAGTTTCTTTACTGGTGCTTGGTACGGATCCAAGAAAAATAGAGAATTCAAGGCTGAAGCCAAGAATGCTTTGATCCACGATATCCAAAACAAGATTAATGCCGTCAAGGAACAAAGTTTCAATGATGGTGCTGAATCTGTAAGAGCCTCCCTCAGACCACAAGTCGACGGTGAAGGTTTCAAGGATGAAATCCAACAACTCTTGGCCGACGTTATTGGTGCTGATTTGGTTAGACAACTCTCTGCTTAAAATAATAATAACAATAATAATAATAATAATAATAATATAACAGTCTATTTAGTATAATAATTCATTATTAATAAAACAAACACAATCCCCCTTGTTAATATATAATATAATTTAATTGAATTGTTTCGAACAAGCAACCAACGAACGATTCTACCATTGTCTTTGAGAATATAGAATATGTGAACTTGATGAGAGAATATGTCCACCATGTCTGGTTTCTCCATCTTGTGAATAAAAAAAAGACTAGGGTTGTAAAACTCACATTGCTTTACTTTCTTATTAAACGGCCGTTTTGTTTCAAGAAAGAAAGTAAAGAAGATGGTTTAATCGGTGGTTTCTCTTTCAAGATCTAAAAGATGGCTCTCTCAGAAGAACTATATCTGTACACCAGGAGCCCATGAAGTAAAATGGAAACAGACTGAACAGATGAGGTACTTACGAGGCTAGAGACAACCAAGAATCAGCTGAATAGATGGCGTACTTGTATCGAAGCATCATTGTTGGCGGATTCTTGGTTGGCTCCTCCAAGTTTACCCCACCAACCAAAGGAAGGTGAAGTATATATGTACGAACAGGTAACTATAAATATATATACTTCATATCATATGAAAGATATCGTTTGTTTTCAATGTTAACTGTATATACAGTGGTTTAGATGATATAATTCATTCAAGGAAGACGAGTACTACCAACCAATGGACTAATCCTCAACAACAGTAATACAGATAAACAACAAAGTAGTCAAAGAGATAAAACAAAAAAGTAATGTATGTATGTATTTAATATATTTAATTTTATTTATAATCATTTTTTGTTTTAGTTACTATATAGATTCCAAAAAGGGAGAAAACAAAAATAGGATTAGTATATTTGTGTTTTAAAGAGTTTAGAGATCTATGACCAGCCAGCCACACTAAAAAGTGTCCAACAACAAATGATTTGATGATGATTGAGGATGAAGGATCATAACAAACAGGAACGCTAATCCCCATCTGCAGCCGAAGTTTATCATCATTTAAATGCAGGCGGTAATTGTTTGAATCATCTCCAATCCTTTCAATCATCCATTCATTGTTGGGCACTGGTCGGGCAATATCATGGTCAGACATATTTGAATATTTACATTTTAATGGTTTAAAAGAGAGACAGGCGGCTAGACTATTAACGCGGACAGAAAGAGAAGAAAAGAGAAAAGAGAGAGAGAAAAGAACTATTTTAAAGGTTAGTAATGATTAAAATGGTGGTGTAGTGAGAAAACAATAAAAGTTAACAGAGGGTAAATGAAAAGAGATATAAAGGATGATGATTGAGTGTCAGAAGTTATCCGCAATGGGTTTTTAGATCACTATAATTCATAGACTCTAGTCTAATAAAAATGTTCATCAGCACAATCACCAAGACCTTCTCCTCCCTTTTATCCTTATCTGTCCAACAATTAATTGTTCCTACATATAAAGAGATAAACTTACAATAAAGATAGATAGTGTAATGAGAATAATGAACAAATCTTTCGTTCGATTTGACAGGGTTGGTTCGTCTGTCCAAAAAAAAAAATAATGAAAAAAAATAAAAAGAAACAACAATTTTTTGGCACAAAATCTGTCTATGTATCTTTGTCTCGTTACCTGTTTCTAACTTGTGTAACTAGTCGCTACAAAAATTACATTCAATATATGTTTATTTAAAAAAGAAAAGAAGTAAAACATTATAATATAGTATATATTTATAGAGTGTTAAAAAGAAACAATATTGCGTATTAGAGTGTTTTATTTGTTTTGTTTTGTTTGTTTTTAAAAGATTACTCTTATTTTTTTGTTGTTTGTTTGGGATGATTGAATGAATACCATTCAATGATGTGGAGTATATAATTATAGTATAGTACACGATCTGTGATGATTGATTTTAAGAATCATCAACTTGTCGTTTTGATTAAAGACATGTTTAAAAGAAAAAGACAGAAAGAACCAAAGCGACAACGGTGAACATTGGGATGGCGATGGTTGAAGAGGAACCAGTGACTGCACAGATGTTTTGTGCAATGTCTTGACAGTTCTCAACTTGGTTGATGGCCTGTGGGAGAGCACAACCATCCTTCATGTCACAGTACTCGCTGGCACAGTGGTTGTAGAGACACGATGATGGTTTGACGATGTTTTGACACTTGTTGGTGATGAGACATTGGATGAACTTGCTGTTGGCTTTGGCGCATTGGAGTGATTGGGTGGGGGTGGCTGAGGTTTGGTAGCACTTGCCTTGGTCACCGGCACTGGTGCAAATACAGTCTTCGAAATCTTGACAGGTGGTGGTGGCGGTCGAGTTACACTTGACGTCGGATGGAGTTGGGGTGAGAGTGTTGGTGTTGACAAGAGAGCAGACATCCTTTAAGCACACGAGACCCTTGTTGGCGTCACAACTGGTAATCTTGTTTGGATTGCCATTGTCAGAGCAGATGGCATTCTCGGCAAGTGAGTATGGGGCGGCACAGACCTTGGTTCCGTTGGCGAGCTTCTCGCAAAGGCTGTAGGTTCCACATTCATCGTCCTTGTCGCATACTTGGCCGACGGCAATTGGAGCAAAACATTGGTTATCCTTGCCACAGTTTTCGTCAAATTGACAGTCATAGTCGTCGTGACAGGTGGTGGAGCTGTTGGTACAGGTCTTGGTGGCAGTCGAACAGATGAGCTTGGAGTAACAGTCGGCAGTGGATGCACATTCCTCACCTAATTGAGCGAATTGGGTTTCGGCACAAACTCCATTCTCGCAGTCATAGGAACCAAGACATTGATCATCGTCTGTGCATTTACCACCGAGATCAATAGATTCTTGACAGAGACCAAGCTTGTCGTCCTTGTTGGCGAATTGACAGTAGTATCCAGTTTGACATAAAAGTTGTTGTCCAGAAGTAACATTTAAACCACTAAAAATATAAAGAAAGAAAGAAAGAAATATGTAAGTATTTATTTAAAAATACATAGTTCCAGAAACAAAGTTAATGATGATCCTGATTGACATACCAAGTAGTGTTGAAACCTCCGCAGGCGTATTCTTCATAGTACAAGTCACATTGTTCACCTTGGACAGCATAAAAAGCTGCAAGGAAAAAGATGGCTAAAATAATTATTTGTTTCATTGTTGGTATAGATATATATATAAGTGTGGTATTAAAGTATGAATGGAATGAATGAATTGTAAATCAGTCTATATAAAAGATGTTAACCGCTTTGAAATGCAAGACTATTTAAATATATTATTATCCCGTATTCATTTTCGATCAACTCTAATTTCGACCCATCCTCTGCCTTTGGCACTACCACTTTGCATTGTACACTTTAAATATCTACCTTACTGCATGTGATGGCCCTTCATTGAAAATTTCACTGTCGTTCAAGTGTCCTTTCGTGTCCTTGTACAAAACAACCCCCATACAATTCGTTTGGTGATCGATTTTTTGACAAAAAAACAGAGATGGGTTCTCAGAACGATCAAATTATTTAATTGCCCCCACACAGTGTTTTGTTTTAGGTGGTATGGAAGGGCAACGAGGGGCAACCAACACCCAAAAGGGGGTTACGCATACTACTCTGCTCTACTCAACTTACAATTATCGGTGTAGTCCTTGTAAACAACACACCGATACAAAAGATCAATCTTCAACTTTTAAAGTAATGAATCCATCATCGATCAGGTCGTATCACCCAACCGACTATTAGCCTGTGTCTTTTGGTAAACTATTGTTAAAATTAGAAAATATTAAAATATTTATTTATTTATTTATATTAAATGATAAAACTATTATTGATTTGTTTGATTTATTGACCAGCAGCTGTACCACCATTTGGACCTGAATAAGCCTTGTTGGCACTCCAACCTTTTAATTTGATACTATCATTATTTTTAAATGCATTCTTTTTGATAATGACTGCTGCAATTGCTAATGCTAAAATACCACCGGCAACACTACATGCAATGATAACAGGGAGTTTCCAACCTGGTTCATCGTTTCCACCACCGGTATTACCACCACGACTATCACTGCTACTTGGAGGGACATAACAGGTTTGATTGTAATTGGCTCGTGACACTGTACTAAATAAAGGATCGACAATTACATTGTGTGAGAAACTAGGTGTGATGATGGATGACAAGAGTGTATAGGTTTCAGTCGTGTTGATATTTTGTTCTTGGTTGTACAATTGGTAGAGTGTGTCGTTGGCAAGGAGCACAGCGGTATTTGACTTGATAATGTCATTGTCGAGTATGAGACGATCGGCAAATCGAATATTTAGTACAGCCGGTCCAGTATTGATAACCAAGTTGGTGAAATAACTTGTTTGTAATCCACCACCACTACTAGTGTCTAATGCATTACTTGAAAACGATGTTTTGGACTGTGAACAATTGTAGACTGTAGTGGCAGAGGTGGTCGTTGCAAATAGTATCTCTAAACGATTGAGTGAATCTGAAAAGACCCAATTATCAACCTTTACTGTATACTTTATAGAATTGGCGTCAGCTGGCATAGACACACCTGCAAAAGACACGTTTCTTGGTTGTTCAATATGTGTTACATTGAATGACAACTGTACGTTTCCAACCGTAGTGTCATTCCAGTAACCACTAAATAGGGTAGTGTTGGTTGTGATGACTGTAGGTAGTAACCATGTAATGTTGGTCATGGCGAGTGTATGAACAGTGGCACTACCATTGGACAGACTTGTAATCTCACGTAGGTAGGCTATTCTAACTTGGTATTCGAGTGGCGAGTATCCAGTTGGGAGTTTACCCGAACCATCCGACGAGTTGGTGTATGGTGGTAGAGTGGGTGGTGTCTGGTGATTAACCTCGATCGAACAGTCCCAACCAGAGAATCCAGTGTTACAAGTACAGTATCCGGTAGTCTCTTGACATTGTCCTTTACCACTACATGCTGCAGGTGTACCTGGACACTTGTAGTTTTCATAGTAGAGGAATACATTGTTTTGTCCAACCAAACCACCACAACCAACCGTAATGTTGAGGGGGAAGTGAATGTCTGATCCAACCTGTCGAATATCTGCACTATAGTAACATTCGATGGTTTCAAAATCGAGAAGGGTGGCATTGGTACAGGTAGCATTGACGTCGTTGGTTCCGACAAATACTTGGAGATTGTTGGATGAGAAAGAGTCACCCGAGATGGTGATGTTGCCAGGTTTGTTGAAAAACAGTGATGTCGATGTAACAATGACGGGTGGTGCATACGATGTGTGGAGGGGATCACTATAGGTGGCCGAGTAATAGGCTGTCAAGTCATAGTACCCGTATCCTTGAATCATCGCGCATACCACTGAATAGGGAGCGACACTTGACAAGTAGTAACAAGACAGTATATTGTCGACTCCGCTACCGAGCAGTGTTGCAGAGAAGCTCATCTGGATATCCGATGAAGCATTATCAACAGGACTGAGGTAGTCACCTGTAATAGTTATATTTGTACCGGTCGTTAAAGCGAGTGGACTGACTTGAGAAATAATCGGGACAAGTGATACTGTCAATGTATTTGTTGATATCTGTCCACTGACACTAATTGATAGATTAGCATTGACAGATTCAATTGGAAGATTAATCTCTAGTGTAGTGTCATTTACACTAGTCGGGGTGATTGTTAGACTACCAAACAAAACTTGAATATTTTGTGATAGTTGACCAAAAGATTGACCAAATACAAATAATGTGTATTGTTGTTGTTGCAATGAATCGAGTGTAGGTGCTACAAACGAGTAGATGAGTTCATTTGATACTCTTGATTCAATCTTGATGGCAATTGCCAAACCTGTTCCAGTGGCACCTGGTACAGAGTAGATAATGGTTTGAGAATCAATCACTTGAATGGTAGGGCCTTGAACGGGTGGCTCTCCATTATTGATGACATAGACTGTATTGTTTTGTCCCATCGACTCGGTTTCAAAGAATCTACCTTGAATAGTCACGTTTTGACCGACCGTTTCAAGTACTACGTCTGACAATGACACTAGGTATGGAGTAAAGTAAATTGGTTGGAATTCAACCTTTACCAATCCATTGTCAATTGACAATACTCCACTTGATACAGCCAGAGGTAATGTATTACAAGTGATGACTGTATTGTTTCCAGTAAAGGATGTAATCTCTACAGTACCAATAAACAATTGTAAATTTGAGACATTTCCAAAGTTTAATCCTTGTATGACTAGACCGTCGTTGATTTGGGTGACACCCGATACTTGGATATTGGTATATACAAATGCGTCATCTTTAGATCCCTCTAAACCATTTACAACCACTTTGACTGGTAGTGGACCGGTTGCAATCAAACTAGCGTCATAGTGACATGTGATGATGGTCGAGCCGATGACTTGTGGTGCTGTACAGATACTGGTTTGTGTCGACGAGTTACCAATTGTCACCAACAGTCCTGTTGCAGCAAAGTTGGTACCAAACAGTGTAATCTCACCTGGTTCCCTGTAGGTGATGGAGCTGACCGATGTGATGGCTGGGTACTGGTACGACATACCATATGGGGCAGAATCAACTCCACGAACACTCGCTTTGGTTGTGAATTGACCCGACCCACTACCAATGGTACATTGGTAGCTGTATAACCCATTGACAATCGCAATGAATGTACATGGTACGGCGGTTGTTGTGGTACTCGCACTCACACTAAACGAGATACCTGTATTGGTACCACTCTGGTCAATCTGAGACAGGTATTTACCGTACACTAAAAATACACCACCGTCTACAGATGGGAGAGTGGTGTAGGTGATGAGAGGAGTCAGGTTGAGGTTGTTAAAGGTGACAGTCTGACCATCGACATTGACCAACAAGTCACCAGACAATGATTGATTCTGAATGACAAATGATGCGGTGGTATGTGGTGTTTGAATGACAACATTTCTTGCTTTTAATCCAGCCATTTGGAATGTGATAGTGGTATTGTCTGCACCAAAGTTGGTACCAACTGCTGTGATGGTGTCTGTGACAGGATCCATACTGTACGAGGTGACGGTTGGTGGTTGGAACGAGTATAAAAAGACGGTCGAGTTTCTCGACCCACCAGCTTGAACTAATAACTGGCGGTTGATACCAGTGCCAGCAAGTATATGGTAGTTGAGTGTGGTGAGTGACTGATATCCAATGTTGGTATTGACAATATTATTGTCAATCACGACCAGACTATTGTCGACGGAGCCATAGACAGTCGGTTCGAAATAACGACCATGTACAACGACCAGTCCACCGGCTGTTGGGAACAACACGGTAGACAAGGACGTCAAAACGGGTGTAAAGTAGAATGGCACGGGTGGAGGAGCGATAGCACTGCCAGTGAAGACCAAATCACCCGATACGGTACTCTGCGGTACTGGGTTACACAGCACATACGTGTTGTTTCCAAGACACGATGATTTAATGCTGACAGCACCGATGGCAACACCGAGGAACGCAAGATTATTGCCAAAGTTGGTGCCGACGATTTCAAGGTAATCGGCAATTTGAGTGATACTGCTAACGGTCACTGAATCGTATGCAAATGCATATGGCTCGGACGAGATATACGAGACGGTGACGACAAGGCTGTAGTTACCCTGTTGGGGTGGGAGTAGACAGACGAGTTGTGTGTGTGGTGACGACACGTCAATAGCCGAGCATGCTAAACTTTGATTCAAAGCAACTGTGATCAAAGTCGTATTGGTGTAAAAGTTGTAGCCCGAGATGGTGATATTGCCTCCTGTTGGCGGACCGGGTGTCACACTCGAGATGATTGGGGCCTGATACTGCAACGATAACCCAGGAGGGTTGTCCAACCCATCCACATCAACATTGACACTGTTAATACCACTACCTGGAGCAACCAAACATGTAAACGAGACATGTGGAGTGATAAAAGTAATATCAGTGCATAGAGATGGACCAATAGCGACATACATGAGTGCAGGATTGTTAAACAAGTTGGTTCCAGTCACTGTAATAAGCGATCCGTTTGTAGAGGGAAGAGGTGACATGCCTGTGATGGCAGGTGCAATGTATTGCACAAATTGTGTGTTGGCAGGTGTGGTCATACCGTCGATAGTAACACTCAATGAATGGGGACCACCCGATCCAGCTGGAATGGCCACATCAATCTCTCCACGCACATTGGTACGGTTGAATGCGATTGGTATACCCTTGAGATTTACAGTCACCGTGCTAAAGTAGGCTCCGTAGACATTGAGCTTGATCTTTACCAGCATTCCACTGGTTGGCGAAGTGAATGTCTGTGTTGCAATAAACACGGGACTGATGCCACCATACTCGTAAAACACACCTTGTTCTTGATTCGACCAGTATACTTGGAGAGGATTACGCAACGTGTCATCGGTGAGTTGGACAAAATAGGGAGTTTGTCTGTTTTGCAAGCCTGTTGGCACCTGTGTGGCATACAAGGTGATATTGGTGCCTGCACGTGGTCCCTGCACGATAGTGTACAGATTGGCAATCTCAGAGAACCTGACGCCCTGCCAAATGTTGAGTGAATTGGAAGCATCTGGTGAAATAGGTGCCATTGATCGATTCAAAAAGTTGTACATTGCTTGTGTCTCGATATAACTCATTCTTCCTTCGTATCCATCTGCAATCATTTTTGGTGCAACCGTATCTCTTGCATATGTCCAACTAACCATTGCTTTCCATGTTAAATAATATTGATTTGTACCAGTATCATCTAAATAAAATAAATAAATAAATAGTTAATATAAAGTAGATATAAATATATATATATTCGTTTACATACAAAGAGGTACTTTATGTTGGGAAGAAATGACACCACTAATATTAAATGTTAATGGTAGGAATTTATCCCAAGTGGCAGAGGTTGGGACTGCACCAGACAAGATACATGTCAATACAGTCTCGTTGAGATAGGATCCTTGAATAAATTGAACGGATCCACATGTACGTGTCTTGTTGTTACCCGAGTAGATAGTGACCAACGAAGGATCGGTACCAAACGACCCACCGACAATAGTGACTGCTCCACCAGCCACCAAAGATGGTTTGGCAAACGTTACATAGGCTGGAGAATACATCCAATACAATGGGTGTGGTAGAGCTGGAGGACTAGACAAGAATGTAACTTGGTATCTTCCTTGGCCGGGTGGAACAACACATGTTGATATGGTGGCATTGATGACTGTAAAGTTGGCACATTGGAATGTGACGGCTGGATTGTCAACGCTGGTAAAGAGGATGGTCATGTTGGAATAGGTATACGTTGATCCAACTGGAAACCTGACTGTAGCTACACCACCAGTCGTCTCTACCTGTGTAAGATATGGTCTTTCCAATCCACCCCATTCACAAATAAAATAGTTTGTTGGTCCGTTACCAAGATTGTTGTAATGGTATCCACTATAAGTATCATTGACAGTTTCAATATAATATTCAGCTCCCATTAAATTTGGTTCATCAGCCGTAAATAAATGATATCTATATGCTCTATCAGTATATGCATTATAAAGTAACTCTCCTTTTTCAGGTCCTTAAATAAATATAAATAAATAGAAAAGAATTAATTATTGATTGGATTGGGTGCAGATGTTTTTTATATATTATATATATACCTGTTTGATATCTCCACATTCCTCTATCTCCTTCATCAGACCCAGATACCCAATATTTGTTTTGGGTAGGAGAAAAATATCTCTGTATGTACTGCCATTCTTCGTATGATGTTATAGTAGCCAAATATCTTTAATAAATGAATTATGGGTGAATGATTAGAATTTTTTAAATTAAATTGGTTGTTCAGTTTAGTTGTTGGATACTACTTACCCTACATCTCCATATATATTTCTTCCTCCACAGTTTGCAATTGCTTGGGTGGCATTTAGTACAAAGTCGAATCGACCGTAATAGTGGTCTGTGAGTGGAAACCTTGTGGCTTGTCCATCAACACCATTATTGAAATAAAACAAAGATCCAATAACTATAATTGTAATCGTCTTTATAAACAAAGACAATTGGTTATTTTGTTTGTACATTTCTATAGTGACAAACTTGTCAATTTTAAAATCTATCTATATTTCTTTTCTTTGTACACTATTATATATTGATGATTTAATCTTTCCAGTAGTTAAGTTAATTAACTATCTCTGAGTTTTTTTTGTTTTCTAAATTTAATAATAAATAAATAGATAAATAAATATTTACAAGTAAAAGATATATATATGATTGTACAATAATAATAAATAAATAAAATGAATAGGGATCAAACAACTGTTGTTGTTGATCAAGATAATCTTTGATACCACAGACGATGGCCATCACAGGTGTACTTACAAACATTCAGAGTAGTGTCTTGGTGTCACCCAACTTCTTTCCCAACCATTGTGTAAGAGAGTAGAATCATTTGGATATCGGGGGCTTGCCTTCCCAATCCATTGCTCCCAGCGTTGTTGGAACGTTAAAAAAAAGGAAACCACAGGAATATCCACGACAACCAACAAGTAAAAAAATAAATATCCATTGAATGGAATCTATCTGAACAAAGGGGTTTCAAAAGGGTAAGAGGATCGAGTCCAATCTGGATTGATAACGGTTCACCCAACAACAATCGCAAGGTATGATCGTCATCATCAACACTCTGCAGAGCAGAGAAGAGTTTACCAATAGAAATACTCGTTGTAATGATCAAAGTCTTTCTATGTGACAGTCATCACATCTTATAATAGTAGAGAGTATCAGTTAATTAATCAGTTGTTAGTCATGTACAATGATAAGAGGAGTAAAGAGGAAGAATAGGAATACTACATACATCTTTATTTGATTAAAATCAACTATAGTTATTACTTATTTCTAACTATAATAGTACTATAATGAACGAGAGATTGGTGTAGTGGTGGCGATAATCTTCATTTTTATTATTTTATTTTTAAAGCCAAAAGTGTAATATAATAAAAGTATACTTTTATTACCAATGTCAAGATGTGATGATGGTCGATACCCAATTTATATATCGACGATTTGACTACACTATATGGTGGTGGTGGTGGTGGTGGTCGTATACGTATAGTATAGTTGTTTGGCATCAGTTTAAATTTAATTTAACTTTATAAAAGTGGTCCTCCAAACATGATACAACATCTTCATCTTCATCATCATCTTCATCTTCATCCTCTTTTCTTTATCATCATAATATTTGATATATTGGATAAAAGAAGATAATGAATAGTAATAATAATAATAGTAATACAGATAATATATATCTTCAAAGATTTACATCGACAACAACAACAAAGAATACAAATAATGGTTCAACTATCACGTCAAATTACGGCAACTACAATAATAATAATAATAATAATAATAATAATAATAATAATAATAATAATATTACTCCAATGAATACCCTATTGTCATCAAGTCAACCTACAAATGATGGATTATATGACGATGATGGAGACATAGAGTTTGATTTTTGTTCAACTCCAAATAATAATAATAGTAATAACAACAACAATAATAATAATAATAATACTATAACTTCTCAAAACGATGATAGTGAATTCTCCTTTTCTTTAACACCAGAATATGATCCATTCAATTCTCCAAAAGTAAACAAGAATATTATAGCTTCTACAACTACAAAAACAACAACAAATCAAAATCTTCGAGATTATGTTAATGTCGATGATGATGATGATGATTTTGTTTTTGATTTTACTGATGATGATAATAATAGCAATAATAATAACAATAATAATAATATTATTATTAAATCATCTGGAGCGACAAAGTCATCATCAAATGAACAACAACCAAAACCAGAATTATTTTTTAATGGATTGGTAATTATTTATTTATTTATTAATATTTTTAGATTTACTAATTTAATATTTATATTTATTTTAGAATGATTTAGATAGTTTTTTAAATGTTGTAACATTGAATAGTCAATTAAAAATATTAGAAAGAAATCAACAAGAACAACAACAACAGCATTGCAAACCAACCTATACCCCAAAGAATCATTATTTTAATCCAAACCATTTCAAGGTCTACCAATCATTGGTATCTCAAAGATCTAGTTTTCTAGTTTTACCACCTACACTATCATACCTTCCCATCGTCCTTTTGTATTTGTGTACTCTGATTACAAATTCAGGCAACAAAGTAAAGTGTCTTTGGGTATCCTCTCAATCATCAACCATTCAACAAGAAAAGATTGGCCACTATATTCAATCAATACTAACAAAGGAAAAGTTATCGGATGGATTCATTAATTGTTTGGATGAAGCATTTGTCAATCAATATGATGAATTGGGATCAATCATTTCAACATCAAAAATATTATTTATAAATCAATCAACTTTATCTCAATTGATTAAAAGTGAAAGGTAAATATAATTGTAAAAAGATATTTAAATTAATATTTTATTTATCTATTTTTTCTTAGGATATCATTAAAAGAATTTAATCATATAATTTATGATGCATATGAAATTGATCATAATATAATGGAGGAGATTCAAAGTGATATTGGTGAAATGATTTTTGATTCAATTAGAGGTACCATTTTATTAATTTCAAATCATCATCCAAGGTAAGATAAGATGAGGAAATATAAAATATATATATTTTGAAAATATCAATTCTAATTTATTTATCTTTTATTAGTGATTATAATTTATTTTTCAAAAAGACACAAATTCAAAATATATATTGTCATGAATATAATGAAACATTGTATCCATCAAGAAATGAAATGATAAATGTTGATTTACATACTCCAATTATTAGGATTATCAATATTATATCAAAATGTATTACAAACATTTCCAATCAGTTGGCGTCGAGAAGAGTGTTTGATAAATCTCTACAACCATCAGATTTACCAGTCAAATCAGTTACATCACTAATTAGTAAAGGAGTAGACCTCAAAGACAATGACAAAAACCAAATTGTTGATATTGACTTTTTAAACGATTTATTATATCATCTATCTAATTTTGGTATTGAAATTTGTTGGAAATTATTATTACCTCTTGATCTTGGAAAATTATCAAGTATGTTAAAGTAACAAATATCAAATCAGGTCATTTATATTAATATTTATTGTTCAAGATCAAATTAAATCAATTATTGAATTAATTTCAATTAGTAATTCAGAGATTGAAGCAGGAATCATTCAAGATCATCCAAAGTATCAAGTATTGACAAATTGGGTACAAAACCAATTACAATTATTTTGTAATAATTCAAGATCATTTGATCAATCAGTCCCAACCTTTTTTAAAGTATTGGTATTGGTTTTTAACAATGTTTCAATCGACTTGGTATTTTCAAATTTAAAAAAGATTAAAGATATGAAATTATTTGCTTTAAAAGATTTAAAAAATTACAAGTATGTAAAAAAACATTTAAAAAAAAGAAAAAAGAAAGAGATATTAATAACTCTCTCTATTTTTAATTTACTATAGTATAAAAGAAATAGTTGATAATTTTAATTGTATAATATTACCAGTTGATGAAATTGAAATTAATCAGTTTCCATGGAACCTATTTTCACTTATTGTCGAATTTGATCGATTCAATGATGATATTGATCTGTCACTATCAACATTTAATACAAATAGTATTTCAAGAAACTTTAAATTTCAAACAACTTTGAATTTCACTCCATTACAATGTAAAGAAACAAAATTATTTAATCAAACTTGTAAATTATTAAAGTATGTAATCCATCTAGACAAGTCAGTTGTATGATTGATTAATATTTTTTATTTTTATTTTTATTTTATAGGGAGATACAATTTAAAAAAGAAAAGAGTATTGATGAAAAGATTAAAAACCAATATCTACCAATTGATTTGAAATCATTGTCGTCAACAAAAAGATTAGATAGATTGAATCAAATCAACAATAGCAACTCAATCTTGCCTACTACGGTGGTCATTGATACAACACAACCAAACTTGTATAGATCAATTGGACGTGCATTACAACTATCTATTCCTATCAAATTGATAGTTGGTGACTCATTTCTTCAATATGAATCACTCTATGACCACCTAGAGAATGATTACAACATTGAATTGGTAGAGAGAACTGTAGATGATGCCGACATTGTATTGGATGAACGTCATTGTATCAAGATTCTTAATTTCAAATCAGATGTGTCACAAACCATTACCTCGTTGGTTAAATTGTCACACCAGTATACCAAATGTTGGATCATTGCCTATAGCACCATCAAGAATGTATTCTCACCAAACACCAAAGAATTTATTGCCAAAGTGATAGGTGCTACATGTTACTTGCCCGAGTCATTTTCAGTCAACATTGGTTACTCTTTCACTCATCAACAAACTGCATTATTGATTCGTGAAATTTGTGAATCTATTCCAATTGATAATCCAAATTGGGATGTAAGTAAAATTTAAAATTGATCATTACACATTTAAATCATTATTTTTGAATCTTTCTACCTATAATCTTTCTATCTATAATCTCTCTCTCTCTCTCTCTCTCATTCTTTTTTCATACCTATTCACTCTCACTAGTCATTAGAAACATGGGCAAATAGAAAATGGTTAATTGGAACTGTATCAAGACATGAAGCATTTTTATCAGTGATTCCAGGCATGAACCCATTCTCTTCCCAGTTACTTATAACTTGGACCAATTTACCTTATTTACTTTCAAGTGATTTAGATACTTTGGAAAAAGAATTTACATGGGTTCCTAGTTATGTTTGGGTAACTATAGGTTAAATATTGGATTATTTAAATATATATTTATTAACAAACATTCATTCGTTCTTTAGAAAAATATAGGTATTATATTTGGAAATCCAAAAGAAAAGATTATTATTGAACAGATCAAAAAGAAACCAAAAACAACAGTTGCATTACAACTACAATCATCATCGACATCTTCAACTTCTCATAACAAATCAACTCCAAAAAAACAAACAAAAAATAATAATAATGGTAAATCATCACAATCACAACAACATAACAATTCATTAAAACAAACAACCATTGAACAATATTTCCATCCCCGTAAGTAACTATCTACGTTTTGTCAAACAAGTCATAGATTAAAATCAAATAAAAGTGATTTGTGTAAATAATAAATTAATTTTTGGGTGTTCTTGACAAAAAAACGAACGAAAAAGCATGCAATCGACGAAATCAATATTGATTTATTATTTATAATTATAACAAGTATTCATAAATAAATAGAAAGAGGAGAGATAAAAAGATGAATACAAAGAGAATATTAGTTAGAAATATACCAAGTGATAAGGGTAGAAATGAAGTGATAGATAACCTTAAAAAGTTGTTAGGAGGTAATGCTTCGGCAGCTATCATCACCATCCCCGCTGCTATACCCGCTGATATCGATTTGAGCAAACATCCAAATACAAATATTGCTTTACTATCAGTACAAGATATTACAAAGATGCAAATGGTAAATATAGAATAGCAGATAACAGCAAGATTGATAGATAATTAATCTAATCGAGACTAATATCTTCATCGTTCGTTACACTCATCACCTGCACTAGATACAACAATTATTAAATAATAAACCATTTGGAAGTAATAGATTAATAGTTGAATATTATACGATTAAACCTATGGCTGCTATAACTGCATTGACAAAGAAACCAGCACCTCCAATTGCTAAACCTTCACCTTCACCTGCAGCTGCACCAACTACAACCACTACTACAACAACTACAACTGAATCGACGACGACACCAACTACAACGACTGAAACTACAAAGGCTGCTGATACTACTACAGCAAAAATTGAAAAGACTACGACCGTTGCAGCTCCCAAGAAAGATGTAGGAGAAAAACAACCAAAACAACCAACAAATAACAAGAGAAAGGAAATTGAAAAGGAAGAAGGAGGAGCAGGAGATGATAAGGAAGAAAAGAAGGAAGAAAAGACTAGTCAACAACAAACTGTAAAGAAAGTAAAGAATGATAATAATAATGAATCGACCGAAAAGAAACAACAACAACCAAAAAAGAAAGAAAATGAAACAACAAAGAAAGATGAAACAAAGAAAGAAAATAATGAAACAAAGAAAGATAATAATAATAATAATAATAATCAAAATAGAGAAAAGAAACCATTACAAGTAATTAAGAATAAGAAAAAAGTATTGATGATGATTACAAAACAGATTAGTGAACACATTGAAAAGAGAGATTTTGTAAAGTTTAGATTCGCCTACAACTATCTTCGTGACCACGAGTTGGAATTGGATCATTTGGCATATGGAATTGTGTTGAATGCATGTGTGCGTTTCCAAGAGTGGGAGATGGAGAAGACTGTGTTTGGTCATGTGCTTCAGAGCAAGGTTGGCCCCAACGAAGTCATCTATACGACACATATCAAGGCATTGTGCGAGACGGATATGGCAGCAACCGAGCAACTACTAGACGACATGGAAAAGAATGGAGTCGAGCCAAACACGCGTACACTCAACTCTATTCTTCGTGGATGTGTTAGAGATGGAAACAGAGGCATTGCCGACAGAATCTATCAACGTGCGGTGTCGAGAAAAATAGAGGATGCTTCAACCATTGAATACATGATCAAGGTGTACTCACAGCATCTAAAGATCAACGATTGTTGGACTATTCTTACAAGCAAGTTTGAAGAGATGGAGGAGACATTGTCACCGGCCATCTTTTCAAGGCTTGCTTTGGCGTCGCTCATGGCAGGTGACTTGAAGAGTTCGACTCGTGCATTGTCGATTGTCGATGACTTGATGGCACGTGCACCTCAGTCTGTTGCCAAGAGCATCAGCTCGCATCGTGACAAGGGTAAAAAGTCAGAAGAGAACAAGATCTCGGCCGGTCTGTTTGAGCGTATCACCAGACAGGAAATCAACGAAGAGAGTGATCGTGTGCGTTCCTACCTCGTCAAACTCAAGAGTGGAGACGTCTCTAAAAAGGTCAAGATGTTGTCGATGGAGACTACTGCATCCATCTACTTTTCCCCCCTCACCTTTTCCCACGTCTACAAGGATAACATTGATATGCTCGAGAACAAGTTATTCATCAACAAATTATTCTTTAATCGAAAGGAACAACAACAACAGTTGAAAAAGACAGCTGCCGAAGAAAGTGGAAATACAGGCAGTAGCAATCTTTACAAGATTAATATCGCGGGTAACCAATACATCAACCAAAACAGATTGGTCAAGATGGAGATTTGTAGTGGTCACGGTCATTGGATCATGGAGCGTGCCAAGCGCGACCTCGAGTCTGACTGGGTGTCTGTCGAGATTCGTTATGATCGTGTCTTTCAGATTTGGACGAAAAAGGTGTTGGAGGACATAGACAACTTGTACTTGTTGGCCGGTGAAGCACACAGTACCATCAAGACCAATGTGCCCGATGGATCGGTCGATGAGCTCTACATCAATTATCCCAACCCTCCAATGTGGTACGGTGCCAAACGTCTCATTGACGAACCATTCTTGAAAGAGTTGAATCGTATCCTCAAGCGTGACGGTACTCTTACCATTGTCACTGATAACAGAGAATATTCAGAGTCGGTAGTCCGTCAACTCCAAACCAGTAAACCACTCAAACGTATCTTTGCACCTGCCCAAAACAACGATTACCTCGCCGATCTTCCAGAGGAATATGGTTATTCCTATTTCAACAAACTTTGGTCCAATGGTCAACGTATTAAAAGATATTGTGTCTATGCTATTAAAAAGAGATAAATCCATAAATATATATAAATATAAATATAATAATTATCTTTTTTCCAATAACCCATATAACCAATCTATATATATCCATTATTATTATTATTGTGTCTTTTCATTATATATATATTAATATTCTATTTATTTCACAATTTGATCTATTTTTGAGGTCCTTCGCTACCTGGAATCAACTATATTTAATAATAACAATGAAAGTTAGTATAAATGCTACATATATATATATATATATATATATATATATATCTATATTGCACAAGATTCTGATTGATTGTTCAATCAATGATGATGACAGATGATCGATAAATTACCAAACAAACATGATTTCCATTTAACAAGATATATTCTAATTTAATTTGTTTTGTTCCTTCTGGTGTATTTTCACTATTGTATCAATAAGAGAATGAATTGTTAGTTTATCATTCTTCATTGAAGAATGCTTAAATGCATATTGATCAACATACTATTCAATAACATCTTTAAGGAAAATATCTGTTTAGGTTTGATGATAGATAGGTTCAAATATTCAGTTAATATATTGTATTGTATTGTAGTATGATTATATGTAGTGGTGAATGATACATACTAACATAAGTATCGAAACCTAAAAGGGTACCAACAAACTCTTTCTCATTCTTCATACAAATCCAAATTCTAGATCCTATACATTTTTCTATTAATTCTAATGGTAGTATTTGAGTGGTTGGTGTATTAGAGGTTGGAGGTGATGCAACTTCGGTTGACATTTTCGTTGTTCTATATATATATGTATTTATCTAGTTTAATTAAACTGAGTCGTAATGGTCATAGCGATACTCAGAAGATCTTCAAAAAAGGGGGGTACCCAAAATTTAATTTATTTATTTTTAATTTTAGAGTAGGGTGCTCTCTTATAGTTCATCATTCTCATTGTTAACAAAGGTTATTACAACTGTCTCTATTCAAACTAGCATATTCATACTGTATTTGATGCGGGGTGTCTTGCAAGATGTTAAGCAAAATCGTTCGAGGACAGAGCGTCTCAGACGTCATTCAAGGTCTTGTATCATTATACAAACAAAACTAACTCTCCATCTACAACTGTTGTTAAAACTATGTATGATATTTTAATCCAATTGTTCTTATAATGTATTATTATCACTTTCCCAAAGTTTTCTTTCTTTTATTTAATTTTTTTAATGGTGACCATTGTTATGATCGCGATGATTGTTCAATATGTAGTTATTTGATAGATTTAAATTAATTAAACATGACAACAACATTATCAATATCACAATTATCAATATCAAGATCACTATCAACATTACCAAATACTATTTTATACAATATTATATCATACTTGTTGCCTGGTGATGTTGACCCTACTGTATTGATGATTAGTTATAGTGATGAAGCAAAAGTTGAACGATTTCAATCACTATTCAATGCTGCGTGTCTTGGTATGACGTGCAAGAGATTAAATAGGATTGTAAGAGTAAAGTTGCCTTTAAAAGCAAGTCTATACATTCGCAATGACAAGCAAATCAACTCACTGCTGATCATGTCAAGTTTGGACAAGTCATTAGAGACTAGTTACTTTAATCGTCTTTCATTGTCATTTCAACACGATCTTGATATAGACAGTGCCAAACTTGAACAAATCATTAACCATTGTCGTTTGCGCGACCATGATGGTGGTGATGACGACGATGAACAAGAACTCAAAGGAAGAGTAGTATTAAAGAATTTGGATATCAACAAGGCATTGTGCAAGACACTCAAAATATGTCGTCTACCCGACGACATTGAAAGTCTAGGTATTGATTCAAGTGTAGATACATCAATCATTACAGATGAGCACTTTTATCCAAAGAAATTAAAGACATGTAGGATAATTGGTTTCTCAAAGATCAACTTTCCAATACCTCTACACGTTACGGAAATGATGATTATCTTGGCAAGTTTCACAAACCCAACTCTTGATGGAGTGGTATTTGGTAGAGCACTGACCAGTCTCTGTTTATATGGTGCGGATATTCCAATCAAAAAGGGGTTGTTTCCTCTTGACGGATCACTTCGAACCGTTTCTTGCCATGCTTCTAGTCTCGAGGTTGGAGTGTTTCCTCCGACTCTTAGAACACTGGATTTAGGTTATACTTTTAACCAACCTCTTTCGGTAGGATCGTTACCAGAGGGACTTGAAAACCTCACCTTTTCCTATTGTTATAGCAATACGATCGGTAAGGGTGTGTTACCCTCTACGTTAACAAACATAAAGGGTGGAGTAAACGGCGCCATGATGGAGCCAGGGTCACTCGATCTTTGTAGAAAACTCACCAAGCTAGTCGTCCTCCAATCAAATTTCCAACCCAAAGTACTACCCCCTTGGATCATCAATCTTGAAATCGGTCAAATCCATTCCGTCCCAACCAATCTAAATGATACATTACAAGTTTTAAAAACCTCTCAATCTATTACTTTACCAAATTATTTACCTCAATCGTATGTACAAAATAGACAAACAAATGGATTATTTAATTATTTAATAAATTTTTCTTTTTCTTTTTTTTTTTTTTTTAGATTAAAGATTTTACAATTTAAAATTGATGAACTTCTACCAGGAATTATTCCACAAGAGAACCTTACGGAATTATCTATAATAGGACAAAGAATATCTTATGTGATGCCACTTGGAGAGTTGTTACCATCACATTTAAAGGTTTTGGCTTTTCCATTTCCTTCACAAAGCACACCTTTTCAAGTAACTGATATTCCACATAGTCAATTGGAAAAGCTTACATTACAAGGCGTGGGAGAACATGAGATTGCCTTTCCAGCCAATTCATTTGACAATCTTACTTTTCTCGAGATTCAGTCATTCAGACATCCGATTGGTTCACTTCCACCAAACTTGGTTCATCTTAGAATGTCTCATACCTATCCTCATCCACTACCACCTTTACCAAATTCGATAGAATCCCTTAAATTCATTACATTGGGTCAACAGTTTTACCTCAATGATCGTCCATACACATCAGACTATAACATGTTACTTTCTCAATCGGTCAATGGAAGCGGTCTGCCACCAAGTCTATCAGTAATATCCTATACATTGCCCTGCAAAATAGGTAAAAAATCAAAGATCACTATCGTTGTCGATACGATCAACCATTACATTCCACCAACTCCCATTATCAGTGAGGACAGACCGACAAAATTTAATCTTGATTTTATTGACTTGGTCAAGAACACTACCAAGATTATGGATCCCACTCCTGCCTACTCTAAAAATATCATATTGGTCAGACCACTCATTACAAACGATGATCGTTCTTTAATTGACCAAGTATTCTTTTACAAAGCAGACACAAATTGTACTCTTTGCCTAAATTCAGTGACAAACGAATCCATTAGAGAAGCTCTATTGGCAGTACTCCAAGGACACACCAATACTGTAACATCTGTCATTTATGAATACTTGGATAAACATAAAAAAGATGAAGATGAAGAAGAAGAAGATTGTGGAATATTTTGGTAAACATTCAATAAAATTATTTGTATTATTATTTTTGTATTATTATTTTTATATTATTATTTGTATTATTTTATTTATATTAATTATTTATTTAATTTGATTTCTTATTATAATTAACTTTATAACCATACCAATAACCAACAAAAGAAAGTTTGTTGTGAGAATTAATTTGAGTACGACGAGCATGAACCAAATCAGCAAGACAATTCATCAGGGAATTATACCAAGATGCTGTGTCATTCTTGTCAAAGGCAGTGAAATTGGTTCGGCTGAGGTACATTGCCTCGATTGTATTTGAAAGACGTGAAGCCAAACGGATTAAATGCAGGGTAAATGAACCAACTGAAGTGTAGATTGGGTAGAGGTTGGGATAGTGGATGCCTACAATATGAACACCACTGGCCAATATCCAGCCATCCAACAAGTTGTTGTTTGTTTCCAAAAGACCGCTGCCATTGCTTGTGGCACCTTCGACAAACACGACAATGGGACCGTTCCATTTGAGTGTCTTGGAAAGTCCGACCAACGATACTGCCTTTGACGATGGAATGACTTGGTAAGAGATGGCATTGGTCAATGCCTCCCAAAGAGTCATTGGTACAACGTATCCTGGTGTATTAGAGACAGAGTCGTTGGGTGGAACGGCAAAGGTAGGAGAATATCTGTATGCAAGATAGATAATGTCGACATAACTAGTATGATTGGCGAGAATGACATCATTCAATTTAACATCGCTAAGGGATCCAGAAAGTTGACGATTCTTTGACAATGTTTCTGTATATTCATCCATTTTATTGAATCCCAATGCAATCAATACTATTCTTCCAAATACAATAGAGAAAAATCTATTCAAGAATCTTGATGCAAATCCTAATTGTACCTAAATTAGATCAAATTAATACATTGAGTTGATCTATCTAATCTATCTATACTATGTGCATACTTTTTTAAAGAGTGAATCTGAACCAACAAGTAGTAATGTGAATACAACGATAAATGGTAATCTAATAATAAATAATGCAAATCCAATAATATTTGAAACAATTGATACTATTATATTTGTTGATTGAATCTAATGATTATGATTGATGATGAGATGAATGTAAGCAAAGAGAAGGAGAGTAAGTATCAAGGTAGGTCGATAACATATAAAGTTATAGTGACTGTATGTACCTTTGGTGGTAACAAAGGATGTATACCTGTTGGACCATCTCTCCAATTTGAGAACTTCTCCATTTTCTATTTCTATTTGTATATATATCTGATATTTAAACTGTAACTGTAACTACTGTGTATTATGTAAAGTTGTTTCTCTTTTTTAATCTGAGTAATTAAAGAATGATTGTTGTTCATGATTCATCATGAAGAGATCAGATCAAAAAAAGTCAAACACTGATCAGAGGAAGGATTAATTAATTTAATTTTTAAAATATTTATTATGATTATTATTATATTATTATTGTTATTCCTTTTTTAATTGTTATTATTAATCTAAAGCCAAGCTGACGAGAGAACATATTTAGTAGGCCCTGTATAAATCCTCTGGTGACATTATATTTAAAACTTCATCGATTTGTTGCATTTGTACGTATTCTTGAGGAGGAACTCTATTATAGAACTCTTCAATAAATTGAACATGTTTGTCTGTGATTGGGTCGCCACTGGTGGTACGGAACATGGCAGAGTCTTGTTCGGTAAACTCGGTGTAGTAGTTGTCGTAGAATTCGTGTACCATCTCTTCGAAACGTTCGCTGTTGTTTGGCATGTTTCTCAAGACAAACTCGCCACCCTTTGGAGCAAAGTTAAAGTGATCTTCAATGACACTGTCAGTGACGTCGCTCAATGTCTTGTATCTGTAGTTTGGTGCACGACCATAGACGAGGTTGGAACGAACACCCTCCCATAGATCGGATCCCTCTTCAAACAAACAATTGGCAATCTTATATTCAAGTGATAACAAATCTCTTAAACTAATTGTTTCCTTTGCTTCTGCAACATGACGATATAATGCGTTTGTCAACTATATAATATCGAAAGAAAGAAAAGGTGTTATTAATTAATTATTCATATATTTAAGTATACTTTTGCTTTGTTTTGATTTTTCTTTACCTTTAATCCCAATGGAGAAGATTTGTTCATATTTTGAATACATCTCTTTGCCCAATCACTGTGTTGTCTTTCCTTGTGGAGAGCTTCGATGATTTCCTCGACAGTGTCCTTTGAGAAACAACGATCGATGGCTTCACGGTAGGTGGTGTAGTGGGTTGGTTGAGAGACGAGATCGTCAAACGAGTCAGAGTGTGTGTCCAAGTGGAGGAACATACGGTCTGGACGATTGGGTGGCAATTGACAGAGTGAATCTTCAATGAGTGGGATGTGGGCAGTACGCATGTAAAAGTTGCCTACACCAGTTTGAATCAATTCACCGGCACGAAGACGACGACCAGTCAATGCAAGATACTTTCCAAGGAAACCATCCATACGAGCAAGTAATCTCATACTTCCACAATCTGGGAAATAACCAAGAGCTGCCTCTGGGAATGACATGACTGCATTCTCTGTAACTACTCTAATTCCTGAATTGGCTGTTAATGCTGCTCCAGATCCAACTAAATAAACAAAAAAGTTAAAGTTAATAAATATAAGATAACTCTCTCTTTCTTTATATGTATATAAATATATATTTGACGAAACGTACCAGCTAAACCATCTAAAATGTTAATTTGTGGTTTTGGAGTGATTGCCAAGAGATACATAGCCTTGTAAAGCTTCTTTAAGTATTCTTGTGGGTATTCAGTGTTTCTCTTTTCAAACATGGCAACGAAATCGGTACCGGCTGATTGAATCAAACCTGGTGTCGAGGTGTGCAAACTGAAACATGAGATTCTTTCATTGATGATGACTTCCTTCAAGTACTCATCAATCAATCTCAAGGTAGTGTCGCTTAAACTGTTTAATGTCTTTCTGTCATTCAACAATGCTCTTGAAAATGTACCTCCGTATCTTGTTTGTGCAGAGATGAGTGGTGGCTAAAAGAAGTTTGTTTGTTGTTAATATCTATGTTCGATCTATCTATTGTTATTGTTGTTGACTACCTACATTATTACTTGGTAATCTTGGGTATGGAATACTGTCACCACCATGTCTTGAGAATTGAATGTTTGCTTCCTCATGATCCTTTTTGTTAAAGAGTTTATGAGCTTCACTAACACCATAATGATCTTTACTTGAAAGTGGAATACCAGTAACCTATTATTATTATATGATACAAATAATGATTGATGATTCTATTAATAATCTAATCTAGCTAATCTTCAATCCAATAGTTCATTCATTATCTGTTTCGCGAAACATACATTATCCCAATCTTCATTCAAATCGTGAATGTTACCCAACATACCAAGTTGTTGGAATGATGGAGTGTAATAAAAGTCATGTTGTTGTTGTATCTCGGCCAATTGATGTGACTTGAGGTTCTCTATCTTTTGTTCGGGAGTGATATCCTTTTCGAGTGGTGATGCAGGCTTTGGTTGAATTTTAGCAACCTTTGGCATATCCTTGAACGATACATTCTTTGATGCAGAGAATGACTTCTTCTTGCCTCCAGAAGTAGCAGATGCAGCACTACCGCTACTGGCATATGATCTACGCAAGGTTAATTCAATAACCTTACGATTGCAACAACGTGATGTCAACATCTCTCTCTCTCTCTCTTCTATCTCTATCTACTATCTATCTATGATGTTGATGTTGGATAAACTACTTGTACAAAAAGAGAAGTAATATACACTAGCTGATGATGATTGATTGATAGTCGGTGCAGAGTGGTATAGGCTGAAATGATCAGATTGCTTGCTGAGCACAAACATAAAAAAAAACGAGACAATTCGAAGTTCGTACAAAAAAAAAAAAAAAAAATATATTTTTATGTTTGTTTATTTATTTAAATATAAATATATAATTAAGAATATTTAATATTTAATATTTATAATAATATTATTTATTTTCCCCACTCTGAGAGAATATTATCACCCAACTCCAACTCATGTTTTCATCATCTATGATTATGATTCTAATGATGATGATTTGGTTGAAGAAGACAGGATAAACGAGGAGGTGATACCTTTGGTCACTCGAGTGCACTGTGATCTCTCTCTCTCTCTCTCTCTTACTATTTCCCACCAGAAGACTTTTTCTTTTTCTTTTGCTTTTCATCTTTAGCTGTATTCTCCATTTACCAGCAATACGATGTACTTGAGTTTAAATTGGAATACACCACCGCCAGCGCTGACCGAGCGATTTGGTAGGCACTGAATGTGTTTGTGATAAAAGACGGCTAGGTTTTTGAAATGGATGTCTCCATGTCCAGTCTCAAACATGATAAATGTGTGTTGGTCGTGTATAAAAATGTTTCCTGAATAGGTAGTCTCATCGTCAATTGTATAGAGTTTAAAACTTTTAAAGGGTATCTTGTCCATTGTCGTCGATGCACTACATGTCATTAGATGGCGATTCGATTCCAACAATGAGGATAAAGATTGCTGAATAGTTTGTTCTTTTTCCTCCGATGTCAAGTCAAAGGATGATGGTGAGGAGGAATAGGAGGGGGAGGAGGGTGGAGGGGATGAAGGGTTAGGCTTTCTTGCTTTGTTTTCAAAAAATGACATAATGTCGTTGTTGCTCGACTTATCAGGTGTTGTCAAGCGCGTGGAGCTCTTCTCTATTTCTCCTTCTCGGAACGTAAAGAAGGAGGATTTATCTACCACTTCTTTGTTAATTTTTCATCCGTTTCCGAATCAACAGAGTCGATTTCGTATACTATCTTATCGTTTCCTCCTGGTTCCACTTTTATGTTGGTGTTGTTATAATTATTATTATTGTTATTATTATTATTATTATAATATTGTTGTTGAATGTTAGTGGTTGTTCGAGTTGAGTTGTCTTTGCATTTACGATTTTCTTTCTCTTTCTTGTATTATTACTTCTATCTTGGTTCTCCTCTTCTTCTTCTTCATCATCTTTATCAAAATATGTATCCTTTGAGCTTGTTGTTGTTGTTGGTGTTGATGTAGTTGAACTCGAGCATGGTGATGGTTGTGGTGGCGTTGATATCGATGTAGATTGATTGTTTCTTGATGTTATCGAGTTCTGATGATGATGATGATGACTATGGTTGTCATTGTCATACGTCTTTCTATTTCTCTTTTTACGTTGTTCATCCAACTCTATATCTTTGATAGTATCCTTTACAACGTCCAAACAACCCATATCAACGGTGAGATACAAGAAACATAGTATCATATGGTTGTTCAACTTGTACACATCCTTGCTAAAGTCTTCTTTACAGAGTGGACATAGTGTCCCTATTTGATAGTTCTTGTTAACTCTTGATAGAGTTAATCTTTCTTCCATATGCATTGATGGCATGTTATTAAATGATTGTTAAATTCTAAAGAGGATTAAAAAATACAATTAATATCAGTTTGAAAAGAGAGGATAATAATCAAAGATAGATTACAGTATTTATAATATTAAAATTTAAATCAACAAAAATAATTATTAATTTTATTTTGTATTTTTGGTGGATAGGGAAGCTAGCTCACATTTATAGAAATTAACATTTCTTTTTAATAACTGCTTTGGTTAAACTCTCATGGAAGAAAGATTAACTCTATCAAGAGTTAACAAGAACTATCAAATAGGGACACTATGTCCTCTCTGTAAAGAAGACTTTAGCAAGGATGTGTACAAGTTGAACAACCATATGATACTATGTTTCTTGTATCTCACCGTTGATATGGGTTGTTTGGACGTTGTAAAGGATACTATCAAAGATATAGAGTTGGATGAACAACAATTTAAAAAGAGAAATAGAGAGACGTACGACAATGATCATGAGAGCTCGACAACATCACCAATTACATCATCACCATCCTCATCAATTACAACAAGCTTGAACGATTCATGCATTGACAACGATAAAGAAGAAGAAGATAATGACTATCATAAAGATAATAATAAGACAACAACAAGAAAGAGAAAGAAGATTGAAAATGGCCATGGGTCTTCATACTCGACAACACCAACAACAACAACACCGACATTATCATCATCATCAAATCATTATTGTATGTTATAATATTTTTTGTATCTTTTATGACTCGATTTGTATACTAATGATTATTATGATTATGATTTATATATTTGTATAGTTAAAGATTTATTATTTAGAGCATTGCTCATACCTATATTACATCGCGAAGATTATAACGAAAGTGTAATGAATTTATTGATGACTTGTAAGGATGCTATGAAATGGAAGGATACTGTCGTATTCCCAAGATTACCTTCTATTGATACGATAGAATCTTACAAGAATAATGGAAGAATCAATCAACTACCTCGACGATACAACAGAGTCTATATCAAGAGTGATAGAGATCTAGATTATTTCAAAAAGAATGTGGATGGTCTAATCAATCATCATTGTCAAAAACTAAACTATGAAATTACTGATCCGATACCAGCTGGATTGATACCAGACCACTTTACAAAGATTAGAGCCAAAGGAACGATAGTAGTTGGATCAATTCCACCATTTACAACTCACCTCTTACTTATTGCGACCACAGCACATCAAGAGGTCTATAAAGAACTGTTCCCCGATACATTAGAGGTGCTCCATTTACATAATGGAGTTATTGGAGAACACTCAAACATCGACGATCTTTTACCACACAATTTAAGGATACTTGATGTCACATCCAATTTGGTGTATCCCTACCTCTTTAAACTCAAGAACTTACATTCTCTCGCCTTAAGGAAAATTCAACAAGTCGCCGACCCTGCCGGACATATAGATATTCGCGTTGGATCTATCCCAAATACAATTGCGCATTTGTTCATTCACGGTAGTTGCGTCGAGAGTGGGTACATTCTTCCATCGAGTGTCACATTCCTCGCACTTGACATCACTAAAAACTCATTTCGATGTATTCCTCCCTCTGTCAAGTTCCTCTATGCCATATGTAGAGAACCCACAACACTCTTGGAGGGATCGATTCCTTCATCAGTCACAACTCTCCATTTGAATGGTAAATTCGGGCTGCGTTCAGGGAGCATCCCACAGTCAGTCAACACCTTGGCACTCATTGGACTCGAAGTCTCTCCACCCATGCACACCATTCCGGATAGCATTTCAACGCTCTCTGTCAACGGATTAAAGTGCGAATTTGATGGTAGCCAATACCCAAACAACATAAAGTATTTTAGTATATATGGAGTGTTCAATTTAAACAAACTCAAATCAACTATTCCACCATCAACCAAGTATTTTGACTTTCAAGCCACCCATACCGATACTATATCAATCGTTAAATTAAATGCCAATGATATTCCAAATGGAGTTACTCATATTAGATTGGGTAAGTTGTAATACGAAGCTTATCAACCAATGAAATATGTCCAATAAGATACACACAAGCTAGATTATAATTTATTTATATTTAAATATTTTCATCAATGACAATTTAGGCCCTGGATTTGTTAATCAATCATTAGTTCCAGGATTTATTCCAGACAATTGTGAGTATTTGGAATTACCTTGCAACTATGACAGAGCACCACTTTGGTGGGCCGTACCCAAACAATTGAAAACTGTCATTTGTAATCCGTTATGTTCGAGGATTAGCCAAAGCATTCCATCTATCAAACAATTACCTCAAAATTATCCTCATCAAGGAGGTATCGATTATTCCCCTATTGCATTCACTAATATGACTTACGCAAAACACTGGAAAATGGAGATTGTAAATGGGCCTTCGTACTCTACTACTACAACAACAACAACAACTACAATGACACTATCATCATTATCATCAAATCATTATTGTAAGATATAGATATAATATTATTTTATTGCTAGATGTATACTAATTATTATTATTATTATGACTATTAGTTAAAGATTCATTATTTAGAATATCGATGATATCGATATTACATCGTGAAGATGATAATCAAAGTGTCATGAATTTATTGATGACTTGTAAAGATGCTATGAAATGGAAAGATATTGTTGTATTCCCAAGATTACCTTCTATTAACACGATAGAATCGTACAAGAATAATGGAAGAATCAATCAACTACCTCGACGATACAACAGAGTCTATATCAAAAGTGATAGAGATAAAGACTATTTCAAAAAGAATGTAGATGGTTTAATCAATCATCATTGTCAAAAACTAAACTATGAAATTACTGATCCGATACCAGCTGGATTGATACCAGACCACTTTACAAAGATTAGAGCCAAAGGACAGATACAAGATGGATCAATACCACCATTTACAACTCACCTCTATCTTGAGACCACAAATCAACAAGAGATCTATAAAGAACTCTTCCCCGATACATTAGAGGTACTCACGATTACAAATGGAGTCATTGGTGAACGCTCAAACATCGACGATCTTTTACCACACAATTTAAGGGTACTTGATGTCACATCCAATTGTGTGCATCCCTACCTCTTTAACCTCAAGAAATTATATTATCTCATCTTGAGAAGGAAAGTTCCACAAGCCGTCAACCCTGTCATACATATAGATATTCGCGCTGGATCTATACCCAACACAATCGAGCGTATGTATCTTGGTAATTGCGTGATTGAGAGAGGGTACGTTCTTCCATCAAGAATCAAACTCCTCGTCATCGACCTCTCTCTAAACTCACCTCAATGTATTCCTGCCTCTGTCCAGTACCTCCTTGCCAAGTGTAACCAACCCACAACACTCTTAGAGGGATATATTCCTTCATCAGTGACAACTCTCCATTTGGCAGGTAAATTCGAGTTTCGTTCAGGAAGCATTCCACGTTCAGTCAACACCTTGGTGCTGATTGGACTCGAAGTCTCTCCACCCATTTACACCATTCAGGATAGCATTTCATCGCTATATATCAGTGGATTAAAGTGTGATTTTGATGGTAGCCAATACTCAAACAGCATAAAGCATTTTAGTATTTGTGGAGCGACCAATTTTAACAAACTCAAATCAACGATTCCACCATCAACCAAGTATTTTGACTTTCAAGCCACCCATACCGATAATACATCAACTATCGTTAAATTGAATGCCAACGATATTCCAAATGGAGTTACTCATATTAGATTAGGTATGTAGTTGTAAATAATTAAAACAAGATTTTAAAATATTCATATTTTCATCATACCATGATTTAGGAAATGGATTTAATCAAGCATTAGTTCCAGGATTGATTCCAGACAGTTGTGAGTATTTGGAATTCCCGTACTACTATGACAAAACACCACTATGGTGGGCCGTACCAAAACAATTGAAAACTGTATCTTGTAATCCTTTTAGGGCAAGGGTTAGCAAAAATATTCCACCGTCTATCAAACAAACACCAAAAAATCTTTCTCATCAAGGAAATATCGATTATACCCTCATGTCATTCACTCATATTGACAATGAAAAATACTGGTATATGGAGATTTAATGATAGACTGATACTAGTTCTCTGTATTTCAAAGAGGTCATTATAAAAATATATTTCATATTCGAGTCAAATAGCTCGCACTTCTACAGCTGTAGAAAATAAACTTTCTGCTTTTAGTTATCGGCAATGGAAGAAAGATTAACTCTATCAAGAGTTAACAAGAACTATCAAATAGGGACGTTATGTCCACTCTGTAAAGAAGACTTTAGCAAGGATGTGTACAAGTTGAACAATCATATGATACTATGTTTCTTGTATCTCACTGTTGATATGGGTTGTTTGGACGTTGTAAAGGATACTATCAAAGATATAGAGTTGGATGAACAACAATTTAAAAAGAGAAATAGAGCGTTGAACGACAATGATAGACATCTTCATCAAAGTTGCTCGACAACACCAATAAACAATCAATCATCGTCATCACCATCAACATCATCAATTACATCATCAGCAACAACCCCTAACGACTCATGCTTTGATCGTTATAACGATATAGAAGAAGAAGATAATGACGATCACCAAGATAATAATAATAAAAAGATAACAACAAGAAAGAGAAAGAAGATCGAAAATGGGTCATCATACTCAACAACAACGACGACAAAGACATTGTCATCATCAAATCATTATTGTATGTTATATTGACAATTAACTTAAAATATCGCTCTATTTGAAAGTTGTATACTAATTATTATTTATATTATATAGTTAAAGATTCATTATTTAGAGTATCAATGATATCTATATTATATCGTGAAGATTATAACGAAAGTGTAATGAATCTATTGATGACTTGTAAGGATGCTATGAAATGGAAGGATACTGTTGTATTCCCAAGATTACCTTCTATTAATACAATAGAATTGTACAAGAACGATGGAAGATTCAACCAACTACCTCGACGATACAATAGAGTCTATATCAAGAATGAAAGAGATCTAGATTATTTCAAAAAGAATACAAATGGTCTAATCAATCATCATTGCAAAGAGCTAAACTATCTAATTGATGATGTGGTGCCAGCTGGATTGATACCTGATCATTTTACAAAGATCAGAGTTGATGGATTGATAGAAGTTGGATCAATACCACCATATACAACACACCTCTATCTCGGGGACATAGAAGAACAAGAGATATACAAAGAACTGTTCCCAAATACATTAGAGGAACTCAAAATACCAAATGGATTGGTTGGTGAACACTCAAACCCTGACGATCTTTTACCACACAATATAAGGGTACTTGCAATCAAATCCAATTTGGTTCATCCCTATCTCTTTAAACTCAAAAATCTAAATTACCTTTTGATCGACGAAATTAATGGTGATGACGACGATCAACAACAAAACCAATATCATATAGATATTCACATTGGATCTATACCCAACACAATTGAGTATTTATATCTTGAAAATTGCATCATCGAACCTGGATATTCTCTCCCATCAAGTGTCAAGTACCTCTCAATCGACCTCTCTAAAAACTCACCCCAATGTATTCCTTCATCTGTCAAGTACCTATATGCCAACTGTGACCAACGCAGACGACTTTTACCACTCTTGGCAGGATCTATTCCTTCATCCGTCACAGATCTCTATTTGCAAGGTAATTTCGAGTTACTTCCTGGAAGCATCCCATCGTCAGTCACCTCACTGGGACTGGTTGATCTTGAATACCAACCACCCGTTTTCACCATCCCAGATAGCATCACCACACTATTTATCCATGATTTAAAATGTGAATTAGATGTAACTCTATTCCCATACAGCATAGAGTATTTTACTATTTATGGAGATTTCAAATCCCAACTCAAATCAACTATTCCACCATCGACAAAATATTTTGATTACCAAGCCATTACATTAAACAAAGGTACATTTAGTGCCAATGATATTCCAAATGGAGTTACTCATATTAGATTTGGTAAGTCAATGAATGATCATTTTAATCAGTTGACTTTAATATTAAAGTATTTCTTTTCTTTTTTTACATTTTTAGGGTATGAATTTAGTGAAATCCTGGTTCCAGGATTTATTCCAGACAGTTGTGAGTATTTGGAACTCCATTACGCCTATGATATAGCACCACGTTGGTGGGGAGTACCAAAACATTTGAAAACTGTCAGTTGTAATCCTTTTTGTTTCCATATGAGTCAAAATATCCCACCATCAAAACAAACACCTAAAAATGAGAATCATCAAGGAGGAAGTGGCTGTGATAATGACACAAGATACAAAGATTTTTGGGTAAAGGAACTCTGGTAGACTCGTGAAACAATCGAAAACATTATGCATTGAAATAAAAAAATAAGAATATATATATATTCAAAGTTTATACATATCGATTTAACAGTTGTTGTTTTCTTTAATTCCTCATCAAATATGTGTAAAATAAAATAGTAATATTACTAAAATAGTTTTTTATGATTCTTCGAGAAATTTTCATAGCCATCCCCCAAGATCTTGATTTCATTTCATTTTATGTATTAGTTGTTAACATTTTGAAACTCCGTTCAATGGAAGAAAGATTAAATCTATCAAGAGTTTACAAGAACTATCAAATAGGGACACTATGTCCACTCTGTAAAGAAGACTTTAGCAAGGATGTGTACAAGTTGAACAATCATATGATACTATGTTTCTTGTATCTCACCGTTGATATGGCCTGCTTGGAGATTGTAAAGGATACTATCAAAGATATAGAGTTGGATGAACAACGGAAAGGGGGAGATAGTAAGCTGAATGAAAATGATGGTCATCTTCAAAGTTTGCCGTCAACATCAAGAAACAACCAATCTTCGATTGCATCAATGAACTATTCATGTGATGATCAAGATAATAATAATAGTACAACAAGAAAGAGAAAGAAGATTGAAAATGGGTCATTAGCAAAGATGAAAACCACAACTTCAACAAATCATTATTGTAAGTTATCTTATCTCGAGATATAAAAGCTTTAGATGCTGTATACTAATGATTAGTATTATTATTCTAGTTAAAAATTCATTATTTAGAGTATCAATGATATCAATATTACACCGGGAAGAACGAAATCAAAGTGTAATGAATCTATTGATGACTTGTAAAGATGCAATGAAATGGAAGGATACTGTTGTATTCCCAAGATTACCTTCTATTAATACAATAGAATCGTACAAGAACGATGGAAGATTCAATCAACTACCTCGACGATACAATAGAGTAGATATCAAGAGTGATAGAGATCTAGAATACTTCCTAGAGAATACAAATGGTTTAATTAATCAACATTGCAAAGAACTAAACTATCTCATTGATGAACCAATACCAGCTGGATTGATACCAGATCATTTTACAAAGATAAGGGTTAATGGACAGATAGAAGATGGGTCAATACCACCCTATACAACTCACCTAGTTCTTGGGGCAAAAGAAGAACAAGAGATATATCGACAACTGTTCCCAAATACATTAGAGGAACTCTATATTACAAATGGAGTGATTAGGGACTACTCAAACGTCGACGATCTTTTACCACACAATATAAGGATACTTGCTATCAAATCCAATTTGGTGCATCCCTACCTCTTTAAGCTCAAGAAACTAAATTGTCTCACCATCGATGCAGTTGAACAAGAAACTGACTATGATGATGAAGACGATGATCAAGATCATATAGATATACACATTGGAACAATACCCAATACAATCGAGTATTTGTATCTTGAAGATTGCATCATCGAACCTGGATACACACTTCCATCAAGTGTCAAGTACCTCTCAATCGAACTCGACAAAAACTCATACCAGTGTATTCCTGCCTCTGTCCAGTATCTCTATGCCATATGCAAAGAACCCACAACTATATTGGCAAGATCTATTCCTTCATCAGTCATAGATCTCTGTTTAGATGGTAAATTCGGGTTACTTCCAGGAAGCATCCCATCGTCAGTCAAAACCTTGGGACTGTTTGATCTTGAAACCACACCAGCTGTATACACCATCCCAGATAGCATCACTACAATGTATATTGGTTATTTAAAGTGTAAATTGGATGTAACTCTTTTCCCAAACAGCATCAAGTACTTTGCTATTCATGGAAAATACAATTTCCCACTCAAATCATGTATTCCACCATCGACAAAATATTTTGACTACCAAGCAAAACATCAATCAAAATTGAATGCAAACCAAATTCCAAATGGAGTTACTCATATTAGATTGGGTAAGTTGTAATACGAAGCAAATATTAATTAATTATTAATACTAATATTTGTTTCTCACATTTAGGGAATGGATTAGTTAAAAAAGCATTGTCCCCAGGATTTATTCCAGACAGTTGTGAGTATTTGGATTTGAATTGCGACTATGACAAAGCACCACGTTGGTGGGCCGTACCAAAACAATTGAAAACTGTCATTTGTAATCCGTTTTGTTCGAGGATTAGCCAAAGCATTCCACCATCTATCAAACAATTACCTGCAAACGAGAGGCATGTTAGAGCAGAAGATTGGGATGCAAACCACAGATACCAAAATTTTTGGGAAAAAGAAATCTGGTTCTGTTATTAAATCGACCAGAAAATAAACAACTAGTATTATCAAATTTAAAATATTTTTCCATCCAAGTTTGTTGCATCAACCTCTACAAACACAATAATTAATTTGATAAGTACAATACAACATCTGTTATTTTTTTCAATGTTTTTCGAGGATGATCATTTAAAGTAGCTGTGTTATTGGTTGTGACAATAGAATGGAAGAAAGACTAACCTCTCTCAAGAGTAAACAAGAACTATCAAATAGGGACACTATGTCCTCTATGTAATCTGGTGATGATATGTAAACCCTAGGAAATAAACAATTATTATCAGGAAAATATATATTTTTCCTCCAAATTTATTTCTCTTTCTTTCTCTCTCTCTATGATAACAAAACATGTGTTGAATCAACCTCTTTAAAGAAAGGTGTTTTGTTATTTTTGTTGTTACTACTACTATTATTATTTTCTACATATACATCTGCCAATACACCCAATTCGAAAAAGTTCTTGGGTACTCCTGCAGAGGTGGCTGCTGCAGCTGACCCGAATCCCGAATGAGGTGGGTTGGCGGATGGCGCAGCAGGGTTGACTCGGATTGATCCACCCGACTCTACCAATGTCGGTTCTAATAATTTAATCGCCAATCCACTAATTTGTTGCATTCCAGGTTTCAATGGGAACATTTCAATATCTAAATTAATCGAACTATTTGCTTGTAATGCTCCAATCTAAAAATAAAATAAATATTAAATTAATTAAATTAATTAAAATAATTAAAAAAGAAATGATCAATGATCCATTCTCTTTTTTTTTTTTTTGTTCTCTTTATACCTTTGGTAAATGACCATTAATTAAAATACCATCCATTTTGTTACGAACTAGTACAAATAGTGGATGAAGGATACGATTTGTTTTGTTGATGATTTTGGCAGTGACTGTGAATGGCTTTTCCAACTCGACGGTGGGAATGGACACGAGGTTGCATTCAACCTCTTCAAGACACACCTTGCGTTGTATTTGGGCGGTTTTGAGACGTCCAGTCTCACCCATATACGACCGCCACACAATATCGAGTTTGCCCAATGTCGCTGCATTCTTTGTTTCAAAGTCGTTTGGATCCTTGGGCATCACCTTGAAGAGATATTGTCTACTGTTACCCTCTCTTAAAAATACAATGTCTGGCGACGCTCTAATCTCTGACATGAGCGATTGGATGGTCGAGTCGGTTGATTTCTTCCACCCACTGCCATTACTCGATCCCAAGCTGTTGGCCAATTGCAACATTGGTGGTTGCTGCGGCGATGGTTGCTGGCTATGCTTAACCTCGCTCATATTGCTCTGTGTAAAGAGATCGGCTGCTTCAAAGGTGACCGTATCAATCAGCAGTGCTCCCTGTGTAGTATTTTCCAAACACACCTCTACAAACGTTGTATTGGGTATCGATATAATCTTGGACTTGATACCCAATGGATTACTAACTTGAAACTTAAAGAACTTTTTAAATTTTTTAACTTCTCCTTCAAGTGTAACATATGTAACTGCACAACATAATCTATAAATAAATAAAACAAGAGAGTAAGTAATCTAATCTTTCATTCTTTCTTTCTTTCATTTCTTTCTATTCATACATATTTACACCAAACTCTTTAACTTCACGTTGTACAACGAAATCAGAGTTGAAACCTGGACCAAATACAGGGATGGGTTTAGGTTCACTATCCAACAACAATATTCTTTGTGTCGTTGTTTGTAATTCAACCTAAACACAAGATAGTTAGTATACTATGTTACATTCTTCATGTGATTGTGTGTGTGTGATACAATACTTTTATAAATACATTCTTTACTTCATGAGGTGAATGATTATTTAGTGATATATAACTTGTGAATATTTCTCCGAGGTAGATTAAACCTGATTGTAATTGTAACATAGAGGTCATACCAAGACCTTCTATTCCACCACCCATCGTATCATTGTTGCCTGGTTGTATAGTAGGTGGTAGTATCATATCGCTTATTACATCATCGCGTTCACAGAGTACAGGATTATTTGCTTGTAACAATGGTTTGCTTAACCTCATCACTTTGAGATTAAGCAACTGATTATCTTTATTCTCCATTCCCTCTCCTCTATCTCTCTATCTCTATAGTTCTATATCTTTGTGATAATAGTTGAATTCTGAACTAACTATTGATTATGAATAATAATTAAAAAATAAATATTTACCAAAAAGAAGATCTTTGTTTTTTATGCTTTGATCATCAACTCTTCGACTAGTTTATTTATTTATTTATTTATTGTTTCTATTATTATTATTATTATTATTATCATTATTACTTTTATCCTAGTATCATGATTGTATCATAGTTTAAACTCAAAATTCAAGAAGACACAGTTTGTTTTGGAATTAATAGCCATCATCCAGTTCTTATCTCTCTGTCAACAACCTCATATGAGATGCGAGGAAGTAGGCATCTTACATCAGGAGGCTCTCTCTCTCTCTCATCTTGTATAGAGAGGGGGGAGAGGGGAGGAGAAAGGACGCATGCAGTAACTAGGGGTGAGGAGAGCTGATAGTGATTGATTGATTGATCGATTGATTCTTCACTCACTCACTCATAATAATATCCCCCTCGCATAATTTTGTTGTAGTATGCCATCTTTTCACACACATACACACACACACACGCTGGTTGTGTCAAATACATCTGCAACGGCAACATCATATGATTGTTTTGCTTAATCACTTCAACTTGCATCTGACAACCCACTTCACTGTGTATCATCAATCACACTCACTGTTCCCTCTCTCTCTCCTCTTCTCTTCCTCTCTCTTTTGTTGGAAAATGATTTGTGTACAACTATGATTGATAATAATATTATGATGAATGGAGTAGGAGTGAGTGGAGTCTGATGAGTAATATTATTAATCATATTCTCCTGTATATATTGTTGTTCTTGTTCTAGAAAATATAAGTTAGTTAAATTGTATCTTTTTTTTGTTGTTGTTTGTCGTTGTTTGTTTCCTTTGATAAAAGAGAGAGAGAAGAGAAGAGAGAAAAGAGAAGAGATAGAGAAATAATAGAAATAATATTAATAATAATAATCAAGGTAAAGGAACAACAACAATAATGATGGGAAATTCAAAATATTCCCAAATATTCTTGGTGGCTGTGGCGGTGATATTATGCTTATTTGTTCCATATATACAAGCATCATCTCCTTTAGGTATGTATTACAACTATTATTATTATTCTATTTGATTGGTCCAAATTAACCAACCAACCAACCAACACCTTCTTCTGTCAATCTAGATATTCTCAATATAGGTGGAAGTAGAAGTGGAGATGATGGTGGAAAGACACGTCCAGAGATATATCTATTTAAAAGCAACTCTAATAGTACTGTGGTACTGTCTCACCAGAATGGTACCATCTACTTTATCGATATGGAGTCACTCGAAATTGATCGAGAGTATCGACTTCGAGTACCCTACTCACCAAGCAATGCTGGATACTTGGATGTGATCAACGGTCACCTCTACATGGCATTTAACGATTTTAGATCCAGTATTCGAATCAATCAATATAAAATCGATGATTTACAAGATGCCAAAGTCATTCAAGTAGGTAGACACACTGACAAATTAATTTAAATACATTCATTTCTAATTTCATTCAATTTATTCTATTTAATTTAGATCTACGAAGAAGGATTGAATTTTGGAGAGAATGCAATGTTTGTTGATCAAGATCGACGATTATTGACATTTATAACGTCTAGATCGATTCGTCAATTTGATATTGATACAATGGTGATCAAGAAACACTTGTATCTTTCTCCAAGTACACAATGTCAAGCAACAGAGACTGCTGTTGTATACAATGATAATCTCTATATTGGATGTCTATCGAAACAATCCACTCCCCTATTCCTAAGATACTCTTTAGAAGATTTGGAATTATTGGAACAGTAAGTATATTAAATATAAATATATATATTATATAAATATAATATAATATATTAATCGATTACGTGTCTAATTAATTATTTGTTTATTTAAAAAAGAGCAACACATCAACATGGAATTTACCCTCGAAGTATGATAGCAATCCCTGGAAGCAATGTATTGTTGTCTGTAGTTGTACCGGCAAATATTGATCGTGAACCATCAAAGATCATATTATTGTCACCTGATGACCTCAGTTTAATCGATACTTATGTCATGCCAACAGCCATTCCATACATTCAATCATCAATTGCAAACAAAGCAAATAATGGTAAGCAAACAAAGAAAATGATAGATGAACTAAATTAATTAATTCTTTTAATGTTTTGTTTTTTCTAGCATTATTATCATTTGGAACAAGAGTATATTCAGTTTCTATAAATGAGGGTACTATTAATGTTGATGTTGAAGAGAAAGATATTACTTATTTGGGAGGAGCAATCTTGTCATCGGTATATTACAAAAAGGAACAATGTGCATTGTTTAGTACTGACTGGGACCGAGTGTACAAAGTTAGAATCCCAGGTATCTCACCAATACATGATCAAGTTGAAAAGGAGGGATGGACATGGTGGAAGATTGTATTCCTCGTTGTCGGTCTCACCTTTGCCCTCTCGTTGATCGTTGTCTTTATCAAACTATACGATGACATTAAAAGTGGATCAATCTTTAAAAAGGATAGAAAGAATAACAATAATGATCCCAACGTTAACCAAAATGGTGGAAGAAATCTAATATTCAATCATCCAAGATATCATAAAAATATTATTAAAAAGAATAACAACAATAATAATAATACCAACAACAATAATAACAACAATAATAACAATAATAATAATAATAATAATAATAACAAAGCAAATTATGTATTGTGAATCTAAAACAATATAAAGATAGATAGATAGGTGTTTAAAACATGTAATTAGAATAATAAAAAAAATATTTTTAAAAGAAAACAATGTGTTGTGGGTGCGGTTTGATTGATCAATCTCTACCACTAGTCAATACAAAGTCAATCAAGAATGCATTCTTTAAAGACTACCTAATGTTTGATCAGTTGGAGAGTGCAATAGTCTATCATCCTAGATTGAGTGCTATCAAGATGCCATCAACACTCAAACGACTCACTAAACACATTGTGTTTGTTGAAGATCAACTATCGACCACTACATTGGAGCAACTACATATTGTACAACAAGACAAAGATGAAGAGGAAGATGAAGAATGGGTTAAAATACGGAGTATTGTCATTAATGACATATTCAACTTTAATCAATTCTATAATCTAACTCATCTGACACTTGATCATACCGATGTGGTCTACCCTCATCTAAGCACGGTCTCTATGTTTCCTCAATCCCTTAAACATCTGTCTTTATTCATTAATGACTCGTTTACATGGGATAATCCAGCCACCCAGTTTCCAATGTCTCTAGAATCACTTCAGATGAGATGGAGAAAAGGTGATGAAAGTGGATACTACAACGACGATGATATACAACTCCCCAATCAATGTCTCTGGGAACTGTCTCTTCAATTGGTTCCATTTGACATTTACAGAAAGATAATCATACCAACTGGAGTAACCGACCTCTTACTCAAGATACAGAGACGTAGAACCATCACTTATTACCCCGACCATCCACTACCAAACACTATTCGTACATTCGAATTCATGAGTGATATATGTTTCCCACCCGACACCTTTATTCCTCCAGAGACAAAGAGAATAGATTTCTGTATGCCTAGTGACACTGATGACACTAGCAGATTCTTTCAATATTTTCTTGACACTTCCTCCAGGACTAGAGACGTTTGTTGATTTGAGCATTGATGGCACTCACATTCTACCCGATACACTCAAATCCCTACGTACCTCTGCTCAACTGACAAGTCTACCCAAGAACGAGTCGAATCATTCTCTACAGACCTTTTCAGTAGCCCCTTTCAATTTCCAAAGTTCCCGCCATCACTCAAATCATTAACCATCAGGGCGACAAAAAACATTGATTTGATGACCAACATATTCAAAGAGAAGACACCAAGTCTCGAGGTTTCTTATGATACAAGTGCGGTTCAAAATGAAATAGAAATTGGATTGGATGATATTCTATTCCATTCAAACATTGTCACCATTGTATTGCGTAGATTTGTATGTGGCAAAAAATACACATTTAAAATCAGAAGGTTCGATCCAGACACTGTCCTCATCTCGAACAAGGTTCTCTTTATGGTGGTTTTATTTATAAACAAACAACATCAGCTGACAAACCTGTTCCAGAAGGTCAAAACCTATATTACCTTAAATCTTCTCTTAGAGGATTGTTCATTTGTGAAAAAAAATAGAAATGGTATTTGCGTTGTAGAGAAAAATCAATAAACTATCTACATATAAAATAAAATAAATATCTATCCTCCGAGTCAACAAAAAAAATATCTTTGGTCGCAGAACAAAAAAAGAGTAGATAGTCGAATAAACATAATGATCATTTTGTAAAATGAATATTACAGGTGTATCAAATATTATAGTTGTACATATCATATCATTCTTGGACCCGATTGATAGTATATGTTTAACACTAACAAGCAAATCCTTTTACTACAAGAGAGAACAGTTCCTAGCCAATGCATTTCAGTTTAGTAACAAGTTTCTCAGAGATCATGGATGCACTCAAAAGTCTATCTCTAATCTGATGAAAATGATCGAGAAGGATAGATTTAAACAATTTAATTTAAAATCATTCAATGATAGTATCATCAGATCAATTAAAAATCAATTACCATCCATTCACAATGGTAAGCAGAGAAACAAATGATCAAGCAAAGAGAGACCAACAGTGTAACATTTAAATTAATTTATTTATTTCTAAATCTAGAATTGATTGTATTGGTTAATAGTCAAGTTGACCCAATTAAAGATAATGATATTTCAAGAGTTATTGTAAGAACAAAGGATGGTGTAAAGGATCCGATAGATCTATCGTTTCTCCCACCGTCTGCCACCAACTTGGTGTATGATTGCAAACGACCTATAGTAGTTGGATCGATTCCATCAACCATTAAAAAACTTGAATTTGGCACATATCATAACAAAGCAATCAACAATCCCTCACTCATCCCATCGTCAGTGACCGATCTGATTCTTTCCAATTCTGTAGTGTCACCCGGTGCCATTCCATCAAGTGTCACCACTTTGGCATTTGGAGCCAGATTTACTCATGATTTAGAACCAGGGTCTGTCCCACCCAATCTAAAATCACTAAAGTACTTTCGCAGCGACTCTAGCGACCCAATCCCTAGAGGTGTGGTGCCAGACACTGTACGTGTCATTGAAGGTATCGGGTTGGATCATTTAGCGGAATACCCACCCTACTTGGAGAAACTAATTAGTTCGACTGAGCGCTTTATCAGTTCCCCACCCTTCCCCACCTCACTCACTCATCTCGATATTACAGATTGGAGAACAGAGCCACACGAACAATGGAGAAAAATGATTGTAACTACACAAATCACTCATTTTAAAGTTTACAACTATGAACATCATATGGATAGTTTACCACCAAACCTTACTCATTTATATATTAGATGTAAGTAAAATAATAATAATAATATTTATAAAAGAATACATTTTAATAATTATATCTAACATTATCTTTTCTTTCTTTTATTTAGATGAAAAAATGAATAATCCAAAAGTTATATTTCCAAAAACATTAAAAAGTTTAAGTGTATTTAGATTTGATATACCAATTTATGTTGGATTGTTTCCAGATAACTTAGAAAGTTTTACATTCAGTGATTCTTGTTGGCTGTTGCAAAAAGATATGCCAGCAGAGATACTACCTCGATCATGTAAATTAATATCAAATAATATGTTTGGATATTCACACAATTTGGAATGGATTGCTAAAAATCAGCGATCATTTAGCATTAGATGGAATTACCTAAAGGAAAAGATTGATTTTAGATTCATTGGCAATGATGATGACACTGTCGTCTTTATTGGTCAACATTACTTTTTTGGAGGTATCTCTACCATTTCCAAACTAAGAAAGATTGAAAAAGAAGGATCACAATTCCAATTATTTAACAAGATTATGCATGCTGAATTTAATTCAATGTTTGGTAGAGAAAAATATAATGTTGATGATTTCTTTTAATTTAATTTAATCAATCAATAAAAATGAATTGAATCAATCAAATTTGTATTTTAAAATTTATATAAATTATTTATTATTATTTTTTTTGTTTTTTTTTAATTCCCTTTCTTTTTTCTATTTTTATCTGGAAGTTACCATATCATCAATTTTAAGTAACATGACAACAGTTTCGGTTGAAAGGGTTAAAGCGCTAGTTGAAACAAGGAGGGGTTGAACGACGTTTTCGTCAATGATATTGGTGATGGCACCCTTACGGACGTTGATACCGGCGGTCTTTTCACCTTGGGCGTGCTTGTTACGGAGCTCAGTAACGATGGAAATGGGGTGGAGACCGGCATTCTCGGCCAAAGTGTATGGGATGATCTCGAGGGCCTCGGCGTAGGCACGGACACAGTAACCCTTGATACCGGGGAGTGTCTTGGAGAACTCTGTGACTTGTTGCGACACCTCAATCTCTGGGGCACCGCCACCGGCAATCAAGTATTTCTTCTTGACGAGTGAACGGATGACGCAGAGAGCGTCGTGGATGGAACGCTCGGCTTCGTCGAGTACGAGCTTGTTGGAGCCACGGGCGAGGATGGTGACGGTCTTGCCTGGGTTGGGTACGCCAGTGACCTTGACGACCTTGCCGTCGGCGGTACCAACCTCTTCGACGAGGTCAGCGCGACCGAGCTTGTCGGCAGTGAACGAGTCAATGTTGGCAACTGGAGTACATCCAATGGTGTTGCAGATAAACTCGATATCTTCACGCTCGACATCCTTGACGACGAGGATCTTGAGCTTGGCGAGGTAATGGAGCGAGTATTCGTTGAGTGCGTCACGGAGGATCGACTTTTGAACGAGCAATACGTTACATCCGCTCTTTTGGATCTTACGACACATCTCCAAGATCATCTTTGGCTCTTCCTTGAGCACCTTGTCCATCTTGGTGTAGTCGCTGACGACAATGTTGTTGTCCATGTAGGTCTTTGGTGCAGACAAACAGAATTGGATCAAACCAATCTTGGCGTTGTTCACACGGGTTGGGCCGCCGGCGGCATGCGACGATTGTTGGTCAAAGACGAGACCCTTGACAAGTTCGGTATCATCTATGGTGCCACCGAGCTTCTTGATGATCTTGATGTCCTTGAGATTGACATTGTCGGCGGTGAGTGGATCCTTTAACACGTTCAAAACAGCGTCGACAGAGATTGTAGCCAAGTTGGTGTATTGTGACACAACCTTGGAGTTGAGCGAGGTGATGGCACTCTTGACCAAACTCGAACGATCAGTCAAACTAATTGGTGTTGCCATGTTGGTCAATACCTCTAATGATTTGCTCAATGCCAATGTAAACGACTCGCTAATCAACGATGGATGAATACCCTTGGACATCAATGTACTAACTGCTCCCAACAATGCTCCAGCAATAACTACCACCGATGTTGTTCCATCACCAGCTTCAATATCTTGTGCTTTTGCTAATTCTGCCAACTATAAAGAGTTATATTGTATAAGTTGTTGTTGTTCTATATTCTGTATCATCATCTATATCTATATCTATAAATTTAATTACCATTCTTGCAGCTGGATGTCTAACTTCCAAGTGTTGTAAGATGGTAGCACCATCATTGCTAATAATAACTTCTCCATTTGGTGAACTGATCTATAAAGTAGTAAGTAATAACAAGTAATGTATAAAGGTTGAGAGTTAATCTTTGTGATCTTTTAAATTTTGACAATGATCATCATCACAAGTCGTGTGTCGTCTGATTTGATTCATTGTCAATCATAATCTTTTAAAACCATAATATAACCATACCATCTTATCCATACCCTTTGGACCCAAGGATGTTCTAATAGCATCGGCAACAGCTAATAATAAGTAATGATGTAAATGATGTTAGTATTTGTTTGATCTTCTGTATCTCTCTTTTGACCACCTACCTCTTGCGGCAACGATGTTTGATGTTCTAACATCCTTTTCCTTTTCCTTTTCCTCAAAGTCTCCTCTAGATGGTGCAGACATTCTATTATACTAAACTATTTATATATATATTAAAATATAATACAATGAAGAGATAAAGTAGAAGTAGTAATCTCACTCTGATGAAAGGGACCTCACTTCATAAAAAAAAAAAAAAAAGGAATCGTGAACACGAAAAAAAATTAAAAAAAACTATGAACTGAGCTTCAAGAAAGGGTACATGTACAATTCTTTTGGGTTTATTATTATTATCTCTGTGATATGTTATTCATAAAGACCAATAATATTTTTAATATCAGTCAAGTTACGATTGGCAATTGAACGAGCACGATGTGACCCCTTTTGAAGTATCTCTTTGATGTATTTGGGATTGGCTTGATGGTATTCGATCTTTTCGCGAATAGGTGCAAGATGATTGGTGATGGTTTGTGTGAGGAATGATTTGAACTCGCTGTGCTTGGCATTGGTAAATTGGGAGGCAATGTCGGCTGGCGACAAGGGTTGAGTGGATGGCATCATGGCCGATGCGATGGCTAGCAGGTTGGCTATATTGGGTCGGGTGACAGTGTCGTAGGTGATGCCGATGGTAGAGTCGGTAGCAGCTTTACTGATCTTTTTAGCGATGGTTTCGTTGCTGTCGGTGAGATTGATACGCGAGTTCTCTGATACGTCAGACTTGGACATCTTGGAAGCTGCATTCTGCAGACTCATGATACGCTTGCTTTCGCTGGTACTCACAATTTGTGGTAGTGGAAAGTAGTCGGTCTTGTAATGCGCGTTGAATGCATGTGCAATCTTGCGTGTCAGTTCCACATGTTGTGTCTGGTCTTCGCCGACCGGCACGTGTGTTGCACGGTACAACAGAATGTCGGCAGCCATCAAGATGGGGTATGCCAGCAGTCCGTAGGTCGACTGTACCGCCGAATCTGTGTTCTTCTTGCTCTTCTCCTTGAACTGGATCATGTTCTCGAGACGACCAAGTGCTGTGTGGCAGCTGAGTATCCACGACAACTCGCAGTGTGCCGGTACCTGCGACTGATTAAACAGCACCACCTTGTCGGGGTCGATACCACATGCCACATACTCTATTGCCACATCCACCGTGTTCTTACGTAGCGATGCTGGCTGCACCGCCTTGTTTGTCAGCGAATGCAAATCAACAATCGAGAACAGTAGACTGCTGCTGCTATCCTCTCCTGCACCACCACCATCCTTTGCAATCTTTGCTTCGTTTCTAGCAATCGAGTTTTGTAATTCTATCCAATTAAGCATTGCACCCGAGTAGTTACCAATATGCAATCCTCCATTGGTAGGTTGCATTCCACTAAATATACGAGTTGGTTTGTTTACAAAGTCATGATGTTTCTTTAATTGTTCCATTGATATGATCAAAGAGGAGTCGTCTTCCTTTGTACCAGTACTGTACGACCGCATACCTCCCTTTATGATCATCACATTCTTTGCATTCTTGAATGTACTAGCTGTTATTCTATTCAGCATATCTCGATATCTATATATCTATATACTCTTCTTGGAATATGAAAATGAGTATGATTTCATACTCAAACTCGAGTTGCACATGAAATCATTCTTTTTATTGTTCAACTTTTAATTTAAATTATTATTATTTCAAAAAGAGATAAATGAAGATCAGGTTAAATAATGACATCAGAGTTGAATAGATGGAGAGATGTGACGGCAGAATGGAAGACGATGAATCGAAACTCATTGTATGAATTGATATCTACTCCACTTGTCGACAATGAATTACAGAGACTATCAATCTTTTTGACAAACCTCTATAATGTATGTTATGATGAGATATATATAGATATAGATATAGATGTTATTGTTTACAACTATTAACTGTAATTTGAATATATATATATATTTAGATCATAAAAGAAAAGAATGGTATTGAAGAGATACTAGAGGAATATATGAATGTATTTGTATTGATAACAAATTTGATCAACATTCCCATCTTTTCAACTTCATCAAGACATGAATACATATCATCTAGTGCCGATACAATATACAAGATGATTATAATCTTTTTAAACAAATCAAATATCAATCCGAATCACAATCATAATGATGATAAACCATCACTTTTAAAATTAAAACAAAGGTAACAAAGATTTCAACCCATTATTATTATTATTATTATTATGTATGGTATTAATTCTCTTTTTCTTTTTCTTTTAGGATTAATGGATGGTCAATTAAACAATTAGAACAAGCATGGTGTCGTGAAAAGATTGTAAGAGAATCAAATGAAATATCTTATTTACATCAATTGATGGAAAAGATGAGAATAGGCAGCCAAGATTTACATGACAAACAAATTGAATTGTACAATACCGAATTGATCAATACTCTGACCAGACTAAGAAATAGTCACTATATATACTGTGACATTAATGTCAATTATCTATCATCTGCCATCAATGTATTATCAAAATCATCAATTGAACCAGAACTGTGTCAATCCATTTTAGATTCCAATTTGGAAAGATACAATGAACAATCTGGTACTATTATTGGATTAAATACTAAATTTATAAAAGATACATTATCAAATTTAAAACAACAAGATCAATCCTCCTCTTTATCATCATCATCCACTTCATTATCATCATCGCTTCAAAGTAATATCATTTCAATTTGGACAAAATATCCACAAATTTATTGTAAATATGTATGTATATGTAGAGTTGATTTACATGTAAATACATTAAAGATAACAATTTTTGTTAACATTTACTTTTTGCACCATTCATTCATTCATTTTTTAAGATATTAGAAATTTTAGTAAAATATTTTGATCAATTTCAAGATGATCCATATTCATTTGAAAAGAAAAACTCTTTGGATAATATTAAAGTTACAAATGATGTAGGGTTATCGACAATTGCTCAATGTTGTTTATTAAATCCTCATATTCATCATTTCACAATGGATTTTTTAAAACAACTTTGGATCTCATCACCTTGTTATTTAGTATCTGATTTCACAGGACAATTAAATCAATTAATTGTTAAAAAATATCAATTAATTATTACTAAAAATGATATTAGTCTTTATCAGGTATGTCTATAGAATAGATTTAAAAAAAAAAAATTATAAATATATATATTTATTTATTTATCCTTTTTTTCTATTTTCTTTTAGTATTATCCAAAACATTTAAAACAATTAATATTTATTTATCAACAAATGTCAAATCAATTAATTGATTATGAAGAATTTGACAAGTCATTTGTCAGTTATTTCCAAAGGATTCATGAATGTCAAAGCTATATACTATCACAATACTCTAACGCTACAAATCCACCCATTTCACAAATACTCTTTGATATTTGGTTCATTTCAAATCAATTTATAAGATTTTTCAATCAATCAATGAGTTATCTTACAAAATATCAAAATATTATTAATCAGGTATGAAACCAAAATCATAATAACAATTTGAACATTACCAATCGATATTAAATTTATTTCATTTATTTTTAGGATCAATTAAAATTAAATACATTGATTGATTATATTATTTGGAATAGATATCCTTATAATATTAACGATAATGATAATAATAATAATAATAATAATAGTACAGAATCAATTCCCTATCACCTTGGAGATAAAAAACAAGAACAAGATATAATTAATTTCCAAAGACAATTAAATCAATTTAAATCATTTCTATTCAAGTATTCAGAAAAACAAGGAAAATTAGAATCAGAAGATGAATTAATCATGGAAGAAGATAAAGAGTTGTATTATATATTTAAATCTTTTTAATTTAATAAAAAAATATTATTCTAAAAAGATTTATCTTTTTTTTCCTTTTTCATTGTTTATTACTTTTGAAAAAAAAAATGGTAATAAATAAATATTGTGTGTGTCGCTACTCTACTTTTTGTTGTTGGTCGAGTTTGTAATCAAATCTACAGGTGTATTATTTTTGTTTTTTTTTTTAAAGTATCTCGGGGAGAATTTAATATATTGGGAGTTGAAGGAGATGAAATAGGAGATGTCGAGGCAAGCGCAGGTGAAGAGGGAAAAGATGAGTTGGTGGAAGAAGATGGTTCTGAAATGAGATTGACAATGATCCAAATGGCTGTCGATTCAGCACGAATCGATCCAGACTGATCCTTGATGCAAGAGTGCACGTATATTTTCTTTCCGTCTCTTCTTTCGATACGTGTCTCGATCAGACTAACTGAATTCAATGGAACAAACTTTTTATAATTTACAGATAGGTTTGCAGTGACTGCATATTTCTTTGGTTTTGGTTCATTGATCGTAGTAGTGGTGGTGGTAGCAGAGCAATTGGTAGTACTACTGACATTTGATGATGACGATGATGATGGAGATGAAGATGGTGATGGGAATGAAGAAGAAGGAGATGAAGATGAAGATGATTGTTGTTGATCTTCTTCATAATTATTATTATAATAGTATCTTATACAACAAGCCATTGAATCGTCAAACAAGGTCGCCAAGGCACCACCATGTACACAACCTGGTGGACCTTCACAATTGTTACTCCAATACACCACACCGACCAACATTCTATCTGGCAAGTAATCCAAAACGATATGGTTCCCAGACTCGGTCAATGAAATGGGTGAAGATGTATTTTGTTGAACCATATTACTATTTCCTTGTTGTTTGTTATTTAAATTTGGCGATAATAATCTTTGTTGTTGTTGTCGATTTTGTATTTTTTCATGTTGATCATGTTCCATCATCATTTGTTGTTGATCTCTATTAATAGTACTAAAGCCCTTCCAGTAATATTTGGAGAAAAACTTTCTGTCTTGATAAACATAATTTTTGCCCTTGAATCCATTTTCCTTTCGTTTCTCGTCGTTGTCCATTTGGTTTCTCGAGATTGGTTGTAGGTCGTGTCGTTGTGAAAGTAGTACCGCCCATTGTGGCCATTCAATTGTATTTTCATCCATATAGTCTCCACTGTGATATGTCGTTGTGGTGGTAGAGTCTTGGTTGTGGTGCTCGACGCTGCAATCTAGAGTAGCACCATTCGAATGGTCCTTACTATTATTGAGAGGGTTGTGGTGGTGGTGGTGGTGATGATGATGGTGTGTAGCATCACCCTTTGCGACTGCCGCACAGTCACTGCTGCCGCTACTGCTGTTGCTACTGCTACTATTCTTTCGCGACCCACTTCCACTTCTCTTGAGTGATTTGGATCGACGTTCAGACGATGGACTCGTCGTCCCAGACTTTGATGATTTATGTGAATGGGAATTTTGTGCTTGTTGTTGGTGATTCATTCCAATGGCTATAAACATAGTTTTTAATGCTTGCCAGAATGATGTCATTTTATAAAAAATTATATAATATTATATAATATAAATATATATAAATATATAAAATATATAGATCTTTTTTTTGTATCTCAATCCAATTTAATTGAATCTAACGAATCAAAGAAAAAAAAAAAAAAAAAACAAACTGGATGGTCGACTAAAACTGAATGACTTGTCTGACTATCCAGTCGCAAAGAATAAGAGGTGGATACTGATTTAAATATATGTATATATATATAAAAAAGTGGTAATATGCAAGTACTTAGAATACGCGAGTACTACTAGTCGTGTAAATTGGAGGGAGATAGATTTAAATCGCGTAAACCGTCTTTCTATTTAATGAAAAAGAATAAAATTAATAAATGGTAATTACAAATATCTCTTCTTTTTAATGTGTCAATATTATATTATTATTAGATTGGAATTAGGTGAACTTTGCAAAGTAGTTGCCGTAAAAAAAAAAAAAGATGACAATCAATTGGTCAACACAAGCGAAAGGATGGATATGGATTGTCAAAGAAAATGAGAGTCAGATGAAAAGGGTAAAATGAAGGAGGGAGAATGATAAAAAATATTATAATATTATATAATGAAAAATAATAACTCTTAAGAATCAAAAAGAGTTGTATCCACCAATTGTTATGTTATTGTTACAAACAACATACTTTAATTTTTATGTGTTGTTTTTGTTGTTGTTGTGTACACAAATAAATATATATATACTTGTATGATTATGATGGTAGGTCTCTGGCTTGGTGGATATCGGTTGGAAGTGGTGTGGTGTGATGAGTGATGGTGATATGAAAGGATGGACAAATTTGAATGAGTGAGGGAGGAATAATTAAAGAAATTAATAAATCGAAATTAATTATTCAATTGTCGCTAAAATCAACCAATGTCAATCCCATCCCAAGCAAAGAGAGAGAGAGGGTGTGTTGAAAAGTTATTGATGCTTCTACTCTTAATAATTCAGTGAGTGAGAGTGTTTGTGTTATTGATGTTGTGTGACTGTGTTTGTTGTTGTTGTTGTTGTTGAAATCGCACCTCTTCCACCAATTCATGTGAGCGATGAAACTATCGAAAGTTTAATGAACAACAACCCACCACCATGGTGTTAAATTAATTGTGCGAGAGGGGGTTGGTAGAGTAGGTGAAAATCAATATGGTGGGGTTAGGGTTGATGGTTCCTAAGGTGATCTTCTAAAGTTCACCCCCTACCCTGTTCTTCGATTGTTGTTCTCTTTAACAATCAAAGAAACAACCTTTAGAGCTAGAGCAAAAAGAGTGTTCCACTGTTGTTGTTGTTGTTGTTGTTGGATGTAAGAAAAAAAGAAGAAGAAGAAGAAGAAGAGTTCAAGGCAACAAAGAGTTTCTTCATCGTCTGATCCTCCTTTCTTTAAACACTATCATGAAATGTGAAATGTGTACACATTTCAAATTAAACCTCTTCCTTTTGAGAAAACTCTTCTTCTTCCCTTCTTTCTTTGTCTCTTTTTCCTTTCATATCTCTTATCAGATATCTATCTGTCCATCGATCTACTATCAATCTAGATTTATTAGTCATCCCCCCTCTCGTCCTCTATTATTATTATTATTTTGTTGTATTATTTCTACTCTATAACGATGATCAACTTGGTGTTGTTGTATACATATGACTGTGACACGTCATACCTACAAAAGAATAGCTGTTGTATTTTTGTATCTATTAATTAATCTATAAATGATTTACCTTTTGAAAAAAAAAAAGGAGTGAGAGAGAAAAGATAGGATATATTGATAAGAATTAAATATTATATTTTAATTATATGTACAAGCGTAAAGTAAAAAAAACAAAGAGAGAGAAAATGTTGAACAACTTTTTAATTAATCGCAGACAAGGGAAATTTCGATTTCTTAAGAGGGACACCTTCAAAAACCAAACAAATCGACCAACTGTCCCCAAGTTGTCGAAAATAATTTAGTAATAAAAACTCCGTTTTTTCCCATCCAGCGCGCTTCCAAAAGGGAACTAAAAAGTCGGTCCATCCAGAATGAAGAAGAAACCATTGACCAATCAATCCATCAACCTTTTTAAAAGAAGCTCACATTGATTACATGGTGATTTCACTCACTTCATTATTATTATTTCGAACTACGGTATTAATAAATATGCATATATACTACTTCCAACTGCCACTATGCTATTAGAACATCATCACTTTTGATGAATATACCAATCATTTATTCACTCAACTCGACACTTTTGATGATTAATATATTAAAATATACCATACTATATGTAGATAGGGGAGGTGATGATAGATGATAGATGGGAAAGAGACAACCAACAAGCCAAAAACAATTTACAATCCATGAAAGACAAGTCAAAAATAACTATATGTACATGTGTGATTGATTAATTAAACACACACATTCTTCATGTTGACAATGACAATTGACGATGACATTACCTGTTGTTGTGTGTTTAATTGGAGGGTTAGAGTTTTCGTATGTTGGAGATATTTATATTTACATGTTGTGTTGTTTTGTTTGGAGGGTGTTATTTTTATCACCTCTCGAGAAATGATAATGATGAGATGATGATAAATATAGGGTGGGAGGGTTAAATGATCATCATTGAATGTAGATGTATTTTACTTGTACTTTGACTACTTGACTTGGATTGTTACATGAAATGCTATGAGATATTCATTGGTTGATGATGATGAATCACCGTCGTCTTGATCATCTCCCGTCTCATCACCATCATACAGGAAGGAAAGATTATTTGGTAGATATCTATCGTCAATCAACAACAATACTAAAAAACTAAGGTATGTAATAATACCATACCATTATCTTATCACACTGCTATCTATTTCATGTTCATTATTTATTTGTACTTTCTTTTTCCAACCCTAATTCTGTGTCCCTGGCAACAACCATTCATCCCATCCCTCATTCATCATAGCTTTTTTTTGAACCATCGAAAAAAAAGGGGCTTCTTCAAAGATTTTGACTTTTCTCTTGTTTTGGCTATGTCCTATGTTTGAGACGAAAGAGTTTTTTCCAAGCTATCACCCCAATCTTTAGAGGTCGTAGAACGAAAGATATCGAGACAGATAGCTAGCGTCAAACCTAAACATAGCCATGCCAAGGTTCGATTATGAGATGCTCAAGTCTATCGATAAACAAAAAGACACCTACCTACCTACTCTCAAAGTAATTCATCTTAATTGTACTGTTGCTTAGATGTTAGACGTTAGACGTTAGACAGACGGTTTTAAAAAAGGTTGTTGTTCAAAATATATAGGAACGAGAAGTTCATAGTTTACAATAGAAATAGGGGGTTATGTTTAATTAGTTCTGCATGCTTTAGACTTTTTTTTTTGTGATCGATCTCTCCAACCTTCACTCTCCCGTTCTCTCATTTCTAAAATCATAGAGGATATGATTTGAAAGATTTTTCCCTTCCATCCTACCTTCTCTTGTTCTTTTACCTGTATTCTGGGGCTATCAGTTGTTGATTGTTGCTCATGTCATAGGTCTCTCCCCACCCACCCTCACCAATGAAGAAGGATTAGAGGGGTTCTGAAACAGCCCTATTCTGGTGACAGAGGTGTCATGTTACAAGGAAAAGGGGTTTTGTGAAGATACAAACAAACAAACGACATGATATGATTACAATCTCGATTGCGCCCCGCTTTTCAGACGTCGCCATCAACATCTCAGGGGTATTAATTAGCATTTTTGCAGCGCTTAATTAATTTATCTCAGCGGGGCTTGCCATTTTTCGATTCAAATTTTGGTGGATTTTTAGATCAGCAAAGATTCCAACTACAGTGCTATCAGCCCAAAAACAGTGGTGAACTCATCACTAGATGGATGGCAGTGACGTTGTTGATGAATGAATCAGATCATTCTCTTTGCAGGCTTTTGCCAAATTCGTCTCTGGTTTTGGGTCGACCCCTCTCAAATAGAATGAACAAGTAGGCAGGTAGAGGCCATCGACAACTGGACCATCATCGAATTTCAACTTTGCATTCATTTCCACCCGAATGGTGGTGGTTCAAGTCGATCACGCTCACAAATCGAAAAGAGAATGAATCAGTTGATTTTCTTTCTTTTTTTCTTTCAAAAAAATTGTTGTTTTAGATTATTATTAACGGTCGTGTTGCAACAACAATAGTTTAGTCTACCATCTCCATCTCCATCTGTTGATTGGTTGTTATTATTATTCATCCTATATCTCTCTCATCTCATCTCATCAATCAAACTTAAAAAAAATAATATAAATAATATTTATTTGTTGCCCTGTATTTTTTATTTTTAAATAACATTTTGTCATCATCTATCCTTTTTTCCTATCCTATCCTATCCTATCCTATCCCTATCCCTATCCCTATCTGTCATAATCTCAATCTCAAGAGGATATTTATTCATTTATTTTTTTTGCAAATCACCAAATCAACTTTCATACCTATTGTTTTGGCCCCTATATTTATCTATCCTATTCTAAATCGTTCTATCCATCTTAACCAAGGATTTAATTAATTTGATACTAAATTTAGATTATCGTCATCTAATTTTTAACTGTTACAGAAATGAAAAGAGAATTAACCTTTGAAGATATTCAAAGAGAGTTACAACAGGCAGAAGAAGATGAAGAAATCAACGACCCCAACAACAACAATGTAAATAATCATCATTTTACTAATCATTTAAATAATAACAATACCATTGTCAATAATAATATTACAGAACAACAAATGATCGATTTTATAGATTCAATTCAAAACAATAATGATGAAAATAATTCTAATAATAATGAAAATGGAAATGAATTAAATAGTAATAATAATATTTCTACAAATAATAATAATGATGGTTCAATTAATACTGATACCAATAATAATATAGATTCTAATAACAATAATAATAACAATAACAATAATAATGATAATAATAATAATAATAATAATAATATTAATAATAATAATAATTTCAATAATTTGAATAATAATAATAATAACAATAATACAAGTAATAATAGTCTTGGATTAAGTGGAGGATTTTTTATTCCATCACATTTAATTTCAACTGGATCATTAAATACTAGTACATCGTCATTGGGTAGTTCAGCTGAATTAATTCCACAGCAACAAAAGAAAGGTCCAAGAGTTTCAAATCTAAGAGGTTCCAATTGGTCGTCCAGTTCCATTGAAAGTAGTGATGATGAAAAGCCAGCCAATGAACATGTCCAAAGAAATCCAAGATCCGAGCTAACCTCTTCTGTTGGTAGTGACATTGAAGGTGGAATCTCAATGAAACAAATGAAAAAGAAAGATAGACATGGTTCCATTGTTGTCAAGGAAGGTCAAAAATTCTATTCCGATGATGAGTTGGGATGGAAAGGTTGGGAAACTGTTCGTCTCATAGGAGAAAGATATATATTTGGTCTACTTATTGCTGCCATTGTTTGCTTTTTCGTTTGGATTCTTTCACTTCCAACATGGACCGGTGGTTATGATTCTGCTACTTATTTTAATCATCTTGTATATACAATTTTCTTTCAAGTTTCATCCGTAAGTAAAAAAAAAACAAATTTAATTAATTAATATTAATATTTTTTTTATACTTTTATTCTAACATTCTGTTTATTTAAAAAGATATTTTTTGGACCAGTATATGTAGCAGCTGGTTTTTGCGTATCTTATGGTTGGAATAGATTAGTTAAATCTCAGGTATTGTACTATTCGGTTGTCCTTATATCTGCCTATACTCTTTTCTATGGCTTGCTATATCACTTTGGAGTACAGTACTGGTACTATTACCTTGATGCTATTGGAGTGGTACTCATCTTTGTCCTTTTCGAAGTAGTCTTTTGTTTCCTAATCAATTGTAATATTCAAGGTGAAAAGTATGGAAAGAAGGTTAAATTTGAAGAAATTGATATTAGAACTGCTGGTTGGATTACTTTTAATTATAGTATGTAAACAAACAATAATATTCAAATACTTTTTAATTTAAATATTAATAGTAATATTAATTTCTATTTCTTTTTTTAAATTATCTTTATAGCTGTACCAGATATTTTTGTAACTCTTTTAACAGTATTATACATGTTCTTTTTATTGCCAGTATACTTTTCAATTGACAATAATTTCATTCGTCTTGCTTGGCGTTTATTTGTTCATCCTATTTATTGGGTTTCAATTGTAATGTTGGCTCGTCAATTCTTGACTAGAGATATCAGTGCCGATGATATTATGTTAAATAGTAATATTGTTTTGTATGTTAAACAAAACAAAAAAAAGAATCAATCCAATTATATAATAATTTAATTTTATATTAATTTCTCTTTTTTTAATTTCTTTTATAGACATACATTCTTCCATCATCAAACATTGGGTAGAATATTTGTTTATACATTTACAGGAGATGAATCATATCTTACTGAAGTTGCTATGATTATAGCTGCCATTGAAGATATTGTGGTTAGGTGTCTGTCATTGAAGCGTGATGAATGGGTTGCAAGAATTCTTTATGGTCAGGAAGTAGCCAAACAAAGCGTGTATTCCCAACAAAATTTGCAACTTCGATCTGCTATTCTAAACATTCAAGTCGGTCTTGAGTTTAGTGGTCTCATCTCTGCACCTCTCTTTGTATTCTTGTTCCAAAAACATGCCATGTTGTTCCACTTTTTCGATGGAGGTGATAAGATTCTCGCCGGTGAAATTGCTCTTCAAGCACTCTTGTCCATTGCACTAGATCTTATATCTGAGTTTATTTGTACCTACTTTGAATGTAGGTTCTATCGTCTGCCACTATTAAACACTTGGAAGTGGATAAAGAGCAACAAATATTTTATTGTTTGGCTTGCTTTTGGTTCAGTTACAATGGGTCTGTGTGGTATGATTTGGACTTGTGCTAGAACTCCTAGAATGGGATTGTATGTATCATTAAAACAAAATACAATTAATATATTATTCAAGTTTATTCATTAATTATTTTTTCATTTCATTTCTAGATGTTCATCAAATGATATTTGTTCATGCGGTTCAATTATTGCAACTTCATTGCCTCCATGGTGTAACAACTCAACAATGATCATGTAAATTTATAGTATTAATAATAGTAAAGTAATAATAATAATAATAATAATAATAATAATAATAATAATAATAATAATAATAATAATAATAATAATAATAATAATAATAAGGGAATTAAATTAATTTAGCAAATTGAAATCAATTTGCACCACAGTTTGTGTTTTAAAAAAAAGAAGGATCAAAGAGATCCAACAGAATTAAATAATTAAAAGAATAATAATAAAGAAAGGGTAAATTAAAATTTGTACAAAACAATGAATATGTTTATATTCTATTCTATTTTTTAATTAAATCAATAATCATATTGATTGAACTATTTGATATTTGTGATTGGTTGAATAGATTTAGTTTGTTGAATTGACCTTCTATCCATGATTTAATTTGGATGGCTACCATGCTGTCTACACCATACTCTTTGAGTTTGGTGTCAGTGTTGATGAGTGATTTTTGAATGGAGAGGATGTCAGATATTTGATCAATCACCATGCTTTCAATTGTGTCGTTACCACCAACACCTTGGTTATTTTGTTTGGTGGCACTAGTTGAGTCAAATGTGACGAGTGGAGTGAACCGGTATTTGAGGTAGGGTATGGCTGAAACAAAATGTTTGAGGTTGGCATCAAAACATCGGAGTTGGGTGAATGGGGTGTCTTGGCTGATAAACGACGATCTTAGAACACCATACACCACCGATAGAGGGAGCATTGACAATCCAAGTGATCCTAGGTTGGTACGTGCACCCTTGTCCAAAGATACTTTACCAGTTGAACCAATCGATCCCCAATTAATACTTGTTGCAGCCAACCCACATTGTCGACGGTGTTTGGCGAGTCCGTCCAAGAACGCATTACCGACACCGTAGCTAGTGTTACCCTTGGAGATGAGTGTGGCAACAGACGACAACATTTGAAAGTGGCATAGTTGCCATCCCAACTTGACAAACAAGTTGTGTAAATTATAAGCTCCAACTGCTTTGGCAGACATTGCTTCGTTATGATTTTCCAAATTAATAGAGTCGGCACCAAGGACATGATAAAAGTTTGCCGTATGTATGACAGTCTTGACTGGTTTGATAGCAGTGTTGGTCTTGTAAAGTTCGACAATACTCGATTCGAGTGCACTGTAGTTTCCAACATCACACTTAATATAATGAATGGCAAGCGTTGATGATCCATCATGATTCTTCATCTTGGTTTGATTCATCAATAACTGTATTTCATACTTTGGTGCAGAGAATGACAAGACAATGATATCTCTTAATTGTGGTGAGTGTTTGATTACGTATTGGAGACATTCAACCGACATACCAGTCTGTCCAGTGATTAAAAGTGTATCTTGTATTCCTTCCAGAGTATAATTGACTCGATCAATTGGTTTCTTGTGTTGTTGTTCAGTCCACATTGGTTGTATTAAATCACGATCAACATTTTCAAAGTCAATGACTACCTTTCCAATACTCTTTCTAGATTGAACCAATTCCAATGCTTGATGAATATCTTGACATGAATACACTGTACAGTATGTCCAATTCAATTTCTTGCTCGTCAACAATGACTGTATTTCCAAACAATCTCTCAAATTGAATGAAATATTGTGGAGAGAATGGTAACTTTGTTGTTGGTTAAATGCATCCATGTCGAGTCGGTCCACGATTGTTAAATCTACAACTACACCACTGCTTGACAAACACCGTAGATTACATTGCATCTTTGAACGATCCAATGTGTTTATGATCACTTGTACACCTTTGCCATCGGTCAATTGCTTAATCTTTTTTGTAAAGTCAGTAGTAGACGAGAGGACCGATGTGATAAGACTGCCATAATGTTTGTTGAGGAATGCCGATTTATCTGGGTTGTGTGGCGAGCACGTCACAAACACCTTTCCTTGGTGATTACTGCATTTCAACAAGTTGAGGATAGCCAACCCTACAGCTCCGGCAGCACTATGAATGAGAATCGAGTCTGTATCTTGGAGACTTGCCTTTTTAAATAAGGCACAATAGGCAATTCCAAATACCGATGGGAATGAAGCAGCTTGTACAAATGTCATTTCTACAGGTTTACCAAGTAATCTCTTTTCATCTACTATAACATGTGATGACAGAGACCCAGTTTCAGAGACAGTGTACACTTCATCACCAACCTTGAACTTTGTAACTTTGTTTCCTACCCTTGAAACTATGCCAGCCAGGTCTTGTCCAAGAGGAGGATTGTAAGAGTCACATCCTCTTCCACCACTACCAAACAAGTCTTGTTTAATCGACCCATTGAGAATCATTGTGTCACGAATATTGAGTGACGATGCTTTCACCTTGACTTCGACTTGAAACTCGGACAATGACTCGCACCGACCTCTGAGATGGTACTTGTAATCCTTTTCAAATGATACTTTGAGATCAATGTCATTCTTGATTGTAAATCTTTCATCTTGATCAATTGATAATGGTGATTTAAATTCTCTTTCAACCATGACTTGAAGGTCCTTCTTCTTGTTGTTGTTTTCAACAACCAAAGTGAATTCCTTGTCACCCAACAACGATGAATTGGACAATGCCAACAGTTGATCGAGGTTGACAATACCAGATACCTCCTTGTCCATTGAAATGGGGATACTGTCAAATTCAAACAATCCAACGGACCCTTGATCTTGGTACTCTCTACAATTTGGTATTAAACATTCATTGAGTGGACTATCAATCAACGTCAACATTCTAACCTCTATTTGTGCCTTTCTAATGATTTGATGTATCTTTAAATGTTGCATTGTCTTGACCACCAAATTATCACTTGTCATTTCTTCCAATGATTCCAAATAAATAATTAATGATCGTTTTTGTTTGATTGATTCTAATAATAGTTTAAATTGATTATTATCATCATCATTGATTAAATTATCTGATGAGAATAATGTTACATTTTCACGCATATTACCAATCATCATTAGATTATTTGCTTGTTCAATTAATCGTTGTTGTATTGAAGAGGACGATGATGAGGATGAAGAAGAGGAAGTAATAAATATAATACTATCCAATTGATTATTAATATTATTATTATTGTTGATTGTTTCTTGAATAGATTGTTTACGACAAATTAAAAGGGATGTGTTATTGATCACCTCGAATTGTGATGATTCAAGACTAGTCATTAATGAACCAGAGTTGTCTATTGTGTCGATGGTAACTAAAATCTGACCATTTGGATTCAATAGTCTGTGTAGTTGATGTACAAGGTCGTTGGCATCGACTATACTATCATTTGACAGAATAAGGTCATAGCTACATGGTAATAACCCTTGTTCTAAAAGTGACGATGTGGTGGTGGTAGTAGATACACCATGGAGATGAGTAACTCTGGCACCACCTTTGGCATGCATGAGGTAAGGCACTAATACCATTTCTTCCTGATCATCTGATACAATGTGGTAATCAACCACCAATGAGCTGGCACCAGGAACAGACTCTGAGATAAAATGATTGAGGTTACCTATCAATTCAGCAGAGTTCATGTCGTTTGACAAAGTGTCCAAGATCCGAATGACCTTGTGTGAAGACTGAACCGACGCCTTTACAAATGATTCCAAGTAGGTTGAAATGTCACCGATAACAACATCAACAACATGTACAGGGAGGGATGGTGAGTTTTTAGGTTGTAACTCTGTTTTGTAGATGTATCTTGATGGATCCTTTGCTGTGTGAACCTTGAGTATTTTAGTCAAAGATCGACATACTACAGACCCGCACGTAGCAATAACCGTGCCATTGCAGTCGATAATATCACTCGATCCTCTAAACTCGTTTCCTCTTTGACCACTACTACGTGACACGCTGTATAATGATGATGACTGACCAGCTATCATGTTTTGAAGAGGAATGTTTTTGGCATAGATTGTCATATCGTGGATTCTGTCAAATACAATCTCGCAACTTGGATGTTCACCTTTAAAACTAACTAGGTTGGCGTGGAGAATGCAGTCGAGTACAGATGCATTTAAAATGGTGTTGTTGGCTTGAAATTGGTCTCTAGGTGAACTGTCAACTTGGGTCATTGAGTCTCCGTGTTGATTGAATCTGACTTGTTGCACACGTTGGAAAGTCTCGCCGTATGGAAGTCCAACCTTGATCAGTTTATCATATACATCGGTATGATTCATTGTGGCAAATGTATACTGCTGTTGTAACAACTCGACATTGTCATAATGTTGTTCGTCGCAGTCGACTGAGCTAGCTTCTTCAGTCACTGTGATTCTTCCAATTGCCGATTTGATCCATTGAGACGACTTGGTATCAAAGTATTGAAACATGACATTATAATCATTCGATGTTGAACCGTGACCAATAGTAGTAAACGTTGATTTTAATTTACCTTGTACACCTTCAACCAAAAAGAATGGACTGATAAATTCGAGTCGATGAATATGAATATCCTTGCCCGAGAATGCATTGATAATGTTTTCAATGTATCCGGCACCTGGGAACAAGTACTTTCCTTTTACTTTGTGTCCTTTTAAATATTGATATGATGGTCTTCCAATATCGATTGCACATTCATACGTGTTGAGAGATGGATGGTCGCGGAACCCAAGCAGGTTGGTAGGGACGCCACCCAATCGTTGTACCTGGAATTCAGGCTGCTCCTCCCAAAGGTATTCCGTATCCCATTGATATCTTGGAAGGTTTCTAGCACGATGTTTCCAATCGTATCCCAACTCGCTTGAAGAAGAAGAAGAAGAAGATACTACTTGGTTTCTAAAACAAACATTTGCACCAGCGAAGTAAAGACTTGCCAAACATGATTGAATTGATTCGACTTCATCCTTTTTTCTATTTAATGGTGAGAGGATGGTTGCTGATTTTTGTTGTGATAATAATGTCTTTAAATAGAACGACAATGTTGAATGTGGTGCAATCTCTAAATAAATATACTCTTGATTATTATTATTATTTGTGAAACTAATTATATTATTAATTGCTTGTTGGAATAATACTGGTTGTCTGAGATTATCAAAAATTGATTGTGCATTAAATTCTGATGATGATTCTATTAATCGTGATGTCGTTGTTGAGAAGTATGGTATCGTTGGTTTATCGCATTCATATTTAATATTATTATTCAACTTCTTGAAAATGAATTCCTTTGTTGATTCTTGTTGTGATGAATGGAATGCACATGGTGTACCAAGGAATGCACTAAATATATTGTCAGCTTTAAGTTGTTGATCTAATAATCTGAGTTGTTTTTCATCACCAGCCAATACAATTGAATCTTCAGCATTGTAACATGCAACTTCCATATCATCAAATTGTTGTTGGAATCTCTCATTGAATTTATCATGTGACAATGATACAGATAACATTCTACCACTTCCAATTGTTGCATTTTGAGCTTCACTTCTGAGATAAACAATTCTTGCTGCTTCTTCCAATGATACAATTCCTGAACACCATGCTGCCGTTACATCTCCAAAACTAAATTAATTAAATTAAAAAATATTAATATTTAATTAATAAATGTTTAATTAAGAATAAAAAAATTGTTATACATACCTATGACCAACAACGATTGATGGATTAATTCCAAAATATTGATATAATTTAACCAATGCAACTTGAATGATAAATGTTGATGGTTGAGCTAGAATTGGATGGTGAATGGTTTGACCACTATCACTACCGGATTCACATAATTTACCAAGGATTGAATAATTGTAGTGTTGTGAGAGTAGTTGATCGACTAGGTTGACTGTATCGCGGAATACTTGAAAGTGGTCGTATAATTCCTTTCCCATTCCGTTCCACTGTGCACCTTGACCACAAAATACCATTACCACCTTTGACGACGGACGATTACCAAATTGTCCAATGTTGGAAGCATACGATAATGGTTTATCATAGATCTTTGTTGAATTGATAAAAGAGTCCCAATCTTTTGCAACAATCACCTTTTTATAAGCTGGTTGGTTGGCTTTTAAAGATTGATGTAAAACAAATTCTTTAAATGTTAAAATATTTCCAAAACAACCAGTATTATTCTTGATCATATCAATATATAAATCCATTGATTTTTTACTATTTGTTGATAATGGTATTAAATATTCATCTTGTTGTTTTGGTTCTAAATAAATAAATAAATAAATAATTAATTAATATTTAATAAATATTTAAATATATTTATATCACATACCAATTGAATGATTTCTTTGATTATTATTATTATTTTTATATTCTTGAATAATAATATGTGAATTTGAACCTGTAATACCAAATGAATTAATTCCCATTCGAATGATTCTATTTTCATCATAATCTGGGAATGGTTCATTTTCCAGTACAATTTTAATTTCACCGTTGAGGAGATCAATCTTTGGATTGAGTTGATTGAAATGAATGTTTTTAACCAACATTCTATTCTTTAACATCATGGCACATTTGATGAGTGCAGCCACCCCAGCAGTGCTTTCCGTGTGACCGATATTACTCTTGACCGATCCAATACGAAGAGGGTCTTGTGTTGAATGTGACCCTTTAAATACATTACCAAGTGCTTTGATCTCTATTGGGTCACCTGTAGGAGTCCCAGTACCATGGCACTCAATATAATAAATGTCAGATGGAGACAACCCAGTTTCATAGAGTGCTCTCTTTGTATTGACTTGTTGAGCTTCACTCGACGGTGAAGTAGGTGATGACTTTTCAAAATTACCATCTACATTATAACTACCGCCTTTAATCACACAATATATATCATCTCCATCTTCAATAGCACGTGATAATTTCTTTAATACTATCATTGCAACTCCTATAAATTAATAATCATAATAAATATAAAAAGTATTAATATATTAATTTAATTTAATTTATATCTATTTGTATTTATATTTACCTTCACTACGACAATAACCATCAGCTGAAGAATCAAATGAAGCACATTTACCACTTTTACCCAACATTCCAGCAGATGTGAATGAAATGTGATTGATTGGGTCAAAGAATGCGTTCATTCCACCGGCAATGGCAATATCACTGTCACCTTTGCGAATAGTGTCGACGGCCATGAGAACACCGATAAGGGATGACGAACAGGCCGTATCGATAGACAACGACGATCCGCGGAAATCAAAGCAGTAGGAACATTTGATAGAAGTACCCGATCTTCCCATCTTGAGGATATTGCTCATCGTCGTCATGTTGTGTGTTTGCATTGTACTGACTGCATCAAACATTTGACCGATAAATGTGGATGTAGGACTCCCAAGTATAGAAATGGGATCAATATGAGCATCTTCTAAAGCTTCCCAGAGTACCATCAAAGCGACGCGTACTTGTGGGTCCATGGCAGCAGCGTCCTTTGGAAGAATACCAAAAAAGTTTTTGTCGAAGTCTGTCCATGTCTTGTAATCGAGGAAGCCCGATCGATCAGTTGCAATGTATCCCTGGTCTACATATGATTTCGACCATCTCTCTTTCGGATTCAGTTGAGAAATACCATCCAATCCATTGACTAATTGATTCCAAAATTCTTGTGGAGTTTTAGATCCACCTGGTAATCTACATCCCATTCCAATAATTGCAATATCATTATCATTATTATTATTATCTTGTTGTTGTTGTTGTTGATTATTATTATTATTTTTATAATCCATTTTTGAAAAAGAATTTAAAATATATAGGTATATTATTTGTTGGGTAGATTTATGTATTAATTATGATTATTAAGATTATTTACAGAGGTAGATTAAAATTGTTTTGTTGTTGTTGATGATGATGATAAATTAAAAAAATATAAAGTTAATATTAATATTTTTAAAGATGTTGTCAACTATTTATAAAGTTATTCCTATACCTTTTGTTCAGGGTGAGATTTGATTGGAAAGGGGTTTGGGAAGAGTCGGTTCTAACATTCAATTGTCGGTACCCCTATCTATTGCACATGAGGTAGGGTAATATTGGTCAGCAACACAAGTATGAACTGAATGAATGACAACGTTGCTCAACTCTCTCTCATTCTCGGTTTTATCGATGAATTTTTTTAACCAAGGAATCCAATCTAATTTGAAAAGAGGGGGTTGTGTCATGAACCTCCACCAAATATATTCCTCTTCTTGTTTTGTTGTTATAATAATTTTATCATTATCATCATGTTGTTATATCACCACGACATAGAACCAAACCAAAATAGATTATGAATGTGAATGAATTGATACCACCGCTACCGCTACCGCTGCCACTACCATGATGACCAACTTGGTCGTTTCACTACTCACCTTCACTTACTTTCAATCGATATCGATATCGAGAGAAAACAAGAGGAGTTGTGTGGAGTGTGAGTCAGTCGGTCGATAAAGGAAAGCGACTAGAATGAATGAATGAATAAATGAATGTTAAAGGTTGCGTGTTGTTGTGATAGATCTATCGATGTCAAGCCAGATAGCCATCTTATGTGTGCAAGACAGGTCGATTGATTTGATGTCTGACATTGCACATGATTGGCAAGTAGAGTGTGCATGTGTGTATGTGTGTGTTTGCACAATAAAGTGTGAATCCAAAGATCGATGATGATGATAGGAATAATAAAGTTTGATCATCAAGCTAGTTTAGTTTAGTTTAGTTGGTGGGTGAGGTGACCAACTCGATGATGATGATAATTAAAATAAAATTAAAAGAATTTAATTATTTAAAAATTAGAGGTGAACATCATATGATCATAAATTAATTTTATCAAAGTATTTTCTCTATCTCACACCCCACTTGATAATAATGTAGTTTGTGATGATTCTTCATTTTATTGTTGCTCTACTAGATTATTTGTATAATAATATTAAATGAGCAATCATGATTCAAAGTAGTAGTGTCAATATTAATATTGATAATAATAATAATAATCAAATAATATATGAACAACAGCATCTAAAACAACAACAACAACAACAACAAGATGATGATGATCGGTTACCATTGCTACCACACTTGATACAATCAAAGATAGTAGGGTATCTGGCTAGTTGTATAGTCCGACTAAGTCTAGTTTGTTGGCGGTTCTTTGATTTGGTGGTCATTCACTATTCGACACTTTATCTAACCAACACTAACAACAATAACAATAACAATAACAATAACAATAACAATAACAATAGCAATGGTGGTAAATGTCAAGATGTCTATGCTCATTTGTCTAGTCCGTACTGCCCGTTAAAACGTGTCACAAGTATTGTAGGCAGTCACAACCAACTTCCACTACTCAAACCCAATGTAAAGGTGTCAATACACATTAAATATGATCCTCACAACCAACAAGTACACAACTTTCAAATCGAATCTTTGATATCATCATCAGGCGAGCAGCCACAGTCTACGGTAGTGTCGGCGACGTGTCCATTTAAAAGCCACTGTCATCATTGTCATGGATGTGCCACTAAAAAGGGTGGTTTAGAGCATCTTCCCAAATTAATAGATACGTCTGCCACAACGATGACCATCCTTCCCCCACCTCCTCCATACAACCCGATCGATATGCTTTCTCAAATAATGCAAATGTTAGAATCAATCACAATCAATATTGATTTGGTCAATGCAGGTAAAACGAGTCAAGATTATTACTACCTGGTATTTGCTTCACCAAACCTCAAATCACTCAGAATATTTAACCCAGATAAACCAGAACCGAGAGACACGAGCGTTATATTTGATGCATTGTGGAGAAAAAAACCTAAGCAGTTGGAGACTGTTTTAGTGAATCGTCCATTCCAACCAATGAACATAAGAGATGTCAGTAAATCACTTGATCGACACAGAGCCACACTAAAACAATTTAAAATAGCCATCAAAACACCACATCATTGGGAACAAGAAAGAATGGTGTTGGATGACTTTGAAGCAGTATTTGGCCGTTTGCTCCAAGATCAAATCAGAGATTCAACAATAGGACTATCATCTTTTAATCCCGTTCTACATGTACAATTCTTCCACACTGGGTTTGGGTATTCACCAAGTTTCTCAATCACAAAAGAGTCTCCTCAATTCCATTTCAACTATGATTACATAAACAAAGAACGTGTTTATCAAGGTTTTGATGGAATTAAAATTTATTTTAATAATAATAAATAACAATGAAAGGGTTATACACTTTCTCTTCTCTTTTTTGTATATATGAAATCTATTTATTTATTAATTATTTTTTAATTATTCTATTTACATTTTCAATGATTGAATTAATTGTACCATTTGATATTTGAGCTTGATTAATTATATTGGATTGTTTAAATTCAACTTCAATCCATGATTTGATTTGAATAGCATTCATAGAATCAACTCCATAATCTTTGAGTTTGGTGTCACCATTTAATAGATTCTTTTCAATTGAAAGTAGGTCTGCAATGAATTCGATAATCTTATCATTCATATTGTCTTGATTGTCATTATTGTTTGATTTCTTGGCGACAATACTTGACAAGTGACAGAATAAATGTGAAAGATTTGGTGTTTCAGAGAGGAATCTGTCGACTTTAATGGCTGCACAAATAATACTTGTAAATGGAGTATCAGAATCGATAAACGATGATCTGAGTACTCCATATACTGTTGAGAGTGGCATCATATGTGCTCCAATACTTGACAATGCTTCATTTGATAGTTTACTAATTGCAACTCTTCCAGTTGATCCAATCGATCCCCAAATAATAGCTGTTGCTGCTAATCCACAATTTCTACGGTGTTGAGCAAGATGATCGAGGAATGAATTGGCAACTGCATAACTGAAACTTTCTCTTCCAGAGTATTGAGCAATCGATGACAGTAAATGGAAATGATTTAATTTCCAGTCTAATTTTTCAAATAAATTATGAAGATTCAATGCACCAATTGCTTTGGCCATCATTGCTTGTCGATGATTCTCTATTGTCACATCATCTGCATCTGCAAATACATAGGTATTGGCACAATGAATAACTGATTTGACTGGTTTAATAGTTGAATCATTTTTGTAAAGTTGTTGAATTGATGAAGAGAGTTGATCATAATTTCCAATATCACATTGAACATAATGTAATCTAAGGTGTGCTTGATGTTTGTTGATATGATTAATTAATAATTGAATTTCATATTTTGGTGATGAATAGGAAACAACAATAATGTCACGTAGTTGAGGTGCATGTTTGATGATATAATGAAGTGATTCAACAGCAACTCCAGTTTGACCAGTCATGAGAAGAGTATCTTGAACACCATCAAGTTGATAGTGTACTCTTTCTATCTGTTTTCTATCTCTTTCACGTAACATTGGTTCGACCAAATCTCTTTCAGCTATTTCATAATCAATGACAACCTTTCCAATATGCTTTCTTGTTCTAATATATTCCATTGCTTCAAGAATTTGTTGACATGGGAATACCTTGATAGGTGGCATCTCCAACCCTTCTTCAACGATGAGTTTCTTGATCTTGTTGGTGTAGGGGATATGCTCTTCATTGAGTTGAAACGCAGTGTATCCCTTATCGAATTGGAATGGTCCCATATCGATATTGTCGACACTAAAGAATTGGTCGACGGACAAGTCAATAATCATACCATTTCTATAGAGACATTTAAAGTTATCATGCATTCTCGTATAGTCTAGTGTATTGATTACATAGTTTACACCCAGTCCATCGGTCATTTCCAAAACCGATTCTGTAAAGTTGTCATATGACAGTACAGCAGTGATAAGTGAGCCATAGTGTTGTTCGAGATACTGTTTCTTTTCATCTGATCCAACTGTCACAAACACTTTGCCAGTGTGTTGTTGGTGTTTGAGGAGATTGAGCATTGTCAGACCGACACCACCAGTTGAACTATGGATGAGAATAGATTCGAATGGTTCAATACCGGCTTTTTTAACTAGAACAACATAGGCAGTACCCATTGCAACTGGAATAGACGCAGCTTCAGCAAATGAGAGTTCCTTTGGCTTGTGAACTAGATTGTGTTCCCATGCCAACGTTGACGAGGCAAAAGAATGAGAGCTACCAAAAACTTCATCACCAATCTTGAAGTTTGATACTTTTGGTCCAATTCTTGTGACGATACCTGCAAGATCTTGTCCCAATAGAGGATCGTAAATATCACCAAATGGGAGTATTCTCTGATCGACTCTACCTTCCAAAGTCATAAGATCTTTGAAATTGATTGATGCTGCTTTGACTTGAACTTCAACACGGTAGTCTTCCATCACCTCTGTCTTTGATCTAAGATGGTATTTTGAATCCTTTTCAAACTTTACTCTAATATCTTGTTTATCGGTGACTATAAGTCTTGAATCCAATTCCAATGCTTTGGGAGCATCTATTATTCTTTCAACATTGACTTGAATAACTTGATCATTGCATTCCAATTTAATATTCTTTTCACCAATATGATTGCTGTTGGCATATTGCATGATTTGGTTGAGTGAGAGTTGATTACAACTTTGATGATCCATGCTGATTGATATCGAATCAAATGAGAACATATCAGATGGACGATCATAATCTCTGCAAATTGGAACCAAACATTGATTGAGTTGACCAGTTATCAATGTTATTAATTTGACAGGTAGTTGTTCCTTTCTTAATATTTGGTGTAATCTGATGAGTTGCATTGATTTCTTGTCAAGATTACTCGAATTCATTTCAACCAATGATTCCAAATAAATAATTACAACCTTTTCTCCTTGTTGATATGATATTGAATCCAACAATGATTGATATTTACTTTCATCGCTAATATCATCACTTGAAATACTTTTAACTTGTTTTGAAATTGATGATGCTTGTGAAATCAATCTGGTTGAAGTGGTGGATGGAGAAGAGGATGTAGAGGAAGAGGGAGTAATAAATAATATTTTATCAATATTATCGAAATTGGTTTCCCTCATTGATGTCTTTTTACAAATCATTGTAATATCATCTGGTTCGAGTTTTAGATTATTATTAATATGTTGAATATTAAATTGTGTTGATTTAATATCTCTGATGATTAATTCTTTGCTGTTTTCATCGACGACCACTGAATCATTGTTGATTACAACGAGTTGACCATTTGGATTTAATAGTTGATATAATTGTGTTGTCATATATTCATTATTTTGAATAAATTCTTGTGATGATAAAATGATATCATAACTATTTGAAAGGAATCCTTGGTCATTCAACGATAATGATGCATTGAACTCTTTAAATAATTTAATTGATAAATTATTATTCTCGAGGAAATCAAAAGAGATTGAGAAATCCTGAGTAGAGAAATCAATGATCATATTCGAGACTGAATCCAATGTTGCAAGACAACTTCCAATAAGATTGATAGCAAGAATATCATTAAATCCAAAGTCCAATACTCTAATCATCTTGTGTGTTAACGATGATTTTAGATATCTTTCTAAATATTCAACAACATTATTGCTGTTTTCCGAGGAGGATGGAGATGGTGAATTCTTTGGTTGATAAATTGACTTTTTGATGAATTGTGATGGATTTTTAGCTTGATGTACTTTTAATACTTTGGTCAATGATTTACAAATCAATGATTCACATTTGATGATGATATTACCATGTTGGTCAATAATATCAAGTGATCCTTTGAATTCATTTCCTCTTTGTTGTTGACGATTTCTACTGTTCATTGAAGTCTTTGATACGTTGAATAAAGAGGTACATGGGTGTTGAGGAATATTGTTTGAAAAGATGTGGAAATCTTGAACTCTATCAAATATGACTTCACATTTTTGATGTTCTCCTTTAAACTTTTACAATATTTGAATGAATCATACAATCCAATACCGATGCATTTAAAACTGTATTTGATTGTTCAAACTTGTTTTTTGCACTACAATCAATCTCTGACAAAATAGAACCATCTTGATTGAATGATATGTTGTTGACTCGCTTGAATGTATCGCCATAAACCAATCCAACTTTGATTAACTTTTCATAAACATCTGATTGTGTCATCATGGCAATGTTGTATGATTCTTTTTTAAGTTTGGTAACAACGTCATACTTTTTGGCAAGCGTCACTGGGGTCTTGATTGATAATCTACCTACTGACGATTTAGTCCAAGTTGCTGCTTTACTATCATAATATTGGAATATTACTTGATAGTCCTCCGGTGATGATGACACAAATGACGATTTCAAACGAGATGGTACACCTTCTTTGAGGAAGAATGGTGCAATAAACTCGAGATGATGGATATGGATATCTTTGTTGGGGAATGCATTAATAATGTTTTACAAGTGTATCCTGATCCTGGGAACAAATATTTTCCTTTTACTTTGTGTCCTTTTAAATATTGATATGATGGTCTGTTGATATCAATCGATGATTCATAGGTCTTGAGTGATTCATCATCGCAAATACCAAGCAATGTTGTTGATACACCTCCCAATCTTTTCTTTTTGAATGGTTCTTGTTCCTCCATAAGGTACTCGGTATCCCATTGATATCTTGGAAGATATCTTGTTCTATTCTTCCATTCATTGTCATCATCACCGATGAGGGGTAATTGATTTGTGAAATTAACATTTGCACCAATGAAATAGAGTTGTGAGAGACATGATTGAATTGATTCGACTTCATCCTTTTTTCTATTTAATGGTGAGAGGATGGTTGCTGATTTTTGTTGTGATAATAATGTCTTTAAATAGAACGACAATGTTGAATGTGGTGCAATCTCTAAATAAATATACTCTTGATTATTATTATTATTGGTGTTTTTGATTATATTATTAATTGCTTGTTGGAACAGTACTGGTTGTCTGAGATTATCATAAATATATTGTGCATTAAATTCTGATGATGATTCTATTAATCGTGATGTCGTTGTTGAGAAATATGGTATCGTTGGTTTATCACATTCATATTTAATATTATTATTCAAGTTCTTGAAAATAAATTCTTTTGCTGATTCTTGTTTTGATGAATGAAATGCACATGGTGTACCAAGGAATGCACTGAATATATTGTCAGCTTTAAGTTGTTGATCTAATAATCTGAGTTGTTTTTCATCACCAGCCAATACAATTGAATCTTCAGCATTGAAACATGCAACTTCGATATCATCAAATTGTTGTTGGAATCTCTCATTGAATTTATCATGTGACAATGATACAGATAACATTCTACCACTTCCAATTGTTTCATTTTGAGCTTTACTTCTGAGATAAACAATTCTTGCTGCTTCTTCCAATGATACAATTCCAGAACACCATGCTGCTGTTACATCTCCAAAACTAAATTAATTAAAAAAAAAATATTAATATTTAATTAATAAATAAATATTAATTAATTAATTAAATACAACATACCTATGACCAACAACGATTGATGGATTAATTCCAAAATGTTGATATAATTTAACCAACGATACTTGAATGATAAATGTTGATGGTTGAGCTAGAATTGGATGGTGAATATCTTTATCATTACTATTTCTTAATTTATCGATAATAGAGTATTGATAGTATTGACATAATAACTTGTCCAAGTGATCAACCGATTCACGGAATACTTGAAAGTGATTGTATAATTTTTCACCCATTCCAGCCCAGTGAGCACCTTGCCCACAGAATACCATCACCACTGATTTGTTTGATTCACTGTTCAACTGAGACATGTTTGAAACTGATGTTTGTTGTTTTTCATAAAATATACTTGACGTTGACAAAAGTGAATCCCAACCATCAGCAATAATCAACTTTTTACAAGGTGGATGGTTCGTTTTCATTGACTGATATCTGACAAAATCTTCAAATGACATCTTATTACGATACGACTCGGTATTATTCTTAATCATATCAATATATGAATCAATTGATTTCTTGCTATTTGCTGAAAATGGAATTAAATATTCTTTTGCTTTCTCGTGATCTAAAAAAATATATTATATATAATATAATAAATAATTATTAATATCTAAAATAAAATAATCATAATAATCATCATTATAAACATACCATTATTATTAATTAAATTATTATTATTATTAATATTATTATTTCTATATTCTTCAACGATGACATGTGAATTTGAACCAGTTAAACCAAATGAGTTGATTCCCATTCGAATGACTCTGTCATCTGGTAAAGGTTCATTCTCCAATACAATCTTTATTCTGCCATCCAACAGATCAATTCTTGGATTTAATTCTTTAAAGTTGATATTCTTGATCAGAGTTCTATTCTTGAGCATCATTGCACATTTGATGATTGATGCAACACCTGCTGTACTCTCGGTGTGTCCAATATTACTTTTGACCGATCCTATTCTGCGTGGTTGTTCTTTAGAATGTGAATTGCCAAATACTCCACCAATACCTTCATCCTGAAACGGATCACCAGTTGTTGTTCCTGTTGCTTGACACTCGACATAGTAAATATCAGATGGTGACAGTCCAGTCTTTTGAAGAGCTGTACTTGTATTTACTTGCTGTGCTGCACGTGATGGAGCTGTTGGTGACGACTTTTCAAAGTTACCATCAGCATTACAGTTACCACCTTTGATAACACAATAAATATTATCATTATCTTGAATTGCTTTTGATAGTCTCTTTAGAATGACGACACCAACACCTTCACTACGAACGTATCCATCAACTGAAGAGTCAAACGATGAACATTTGCCAATCTTCCCAATTAACTTCATTTGTGTGAAATGGGCTGAAATAGTTGGTTCTACGAAAGCATTCATACCTCCACAGATAGAGATATCACTGTCACCGTTACGAATAGTATCGATACCTTGGAGAATACCAACAAGTGATGATGAACAGGCTGTATCAACCGATAAAGCAGGACCACGGAAATCGTAGCAATACGATGCTTTGAGGGCAGTATCTGATCTTCCAGCTCTGAGGATAGGTTTCATGTTTGGAATGTCATAGTTGTGCATTATTTCATTTGAGAGAAACATCTGACCTACAAACACAGATGTATTTGAACCTCTGATTGATGCAGGGTCGATATGAGCATCTTCTAAAGCTTCCCAAATGACTGTCATAAAGAGACGTACTTGAGGATCCATGGTTGAAGCTTCAGCAGTCAGTGTACCAAAGAATTGACGATCGAAATTGGTCCATTCCTTCATATCTAGGTAACCAGCACGTTCCGAGGCAATAAACTCTTGATCATTGTATGATTTAGACCATCTGTCTTCAGTGATGGTGCTAATACCGTCCAGACCATTGACAAGTTGCTCATAAAACTGTTGAGGTGTTCTTGATCCACCCGGTAGTCTACACCCAATACCAACTATTGCAATATCATTATCCTTGTTGACACTCATTATAATTATTATTATTATTTATTTGAATAGTTGTTGTTGGTATAAACAAAATATTAAAAAGTGAGGATGATTTGAATGAATGAGGTGAATGGGTAATATAAATAATATTAAGAAGAAGAAGAGGATGAGGATGAAGAAGCTAACTAGTTTAGAGAACTGAAAAGGATAACACTCTGTTCTTGTTCTTTTAAACATGTTCCAACATGTGTGTATTGGGACTAGTACTCCAATTACTGCTAGTACTGGTACTAGTTGCAGCTGATGCTGTTGGCAACAGGGTGAGGTCTGTTGCAGCTGACCAATTACTAGTCGGTAATTGTCATGACAGTCCAGCACTCGATATATAGTCCATCTATCTTGTCTGTCTGCTGTCTGGTTGTTTGCACCCTTGTCCAATAACAACATGTCATTATGTTGGTTAGGTAAGGTGAGTAGTGTAGTGGGACGGACACCAATTAAATTAATTATTTAACACCAACTAACTCTATTTACATATATATCTATCTATAGTTGGTTGTTGTAGAGATGATTGGTGATGTATAAATATATATATATTTGGGAGTAGTAGACATTCTTGTTTGCTGTTGTTGTTTGTTGGTTGTGCAGCAACCAACCTATAATAAGCAATATTGCATAGTTGTGAGTTGTATCTGGTTGTTGATCTTGCAATAATAAAATGTTTAAACGAGTGAAAGAGTGAGTGACAGTGTAAAAGAGACAGATGGGGGTTGACTCTATGTCTCTTTCAAGTAGAGGACGCTTCCCACCTGAAAAGATAAAATTTAATTTTATCATTATTTATTGGAACATGTTATTTTGACTCTCGGGAATATAATATAATATTTAAATCCAACCTCACACACTCACTATCTTATCAAATCTATATGCTATTAAAAATAACCATCCCTCTCTCTCTCTCTTTCTCTTTCTTTCTTTCTCTTTCTTTCTCTCTCAACCTCTAAGAAGAAAAGAAGGAGACACCACCTCATACACATACATTTTCCAATATCTTGAAATAATGATATTCATTCATTCGTTCATTCATGTGTTGAACACACAAAAGTATAGGTAATAAGTGAAACTTATTTGGGTACTGCTATTTCAAGTAGCACCTACCTTGAAATTCATTATAATTGTGTGCTATTATATGGAATGTATGTACATACAAAAAAGGTGAACTTGATGGTTTTTGAAAGGGTTGATCAATAATTATAATTAGACATAGATGAAAGAAAGACACAATTGAATCAGATTCGAATCGCTCTTGTGGAGGAACAAAATAATTTAATATCATAATAACAACTCGATGGAAGCAAGAAATCATATGTAAGCTGTCTCTTGTAATCCTAGTCGTCTCAACATAAGCCAAAATATTTCACGATCTATCAAACAATTATCCGAGTCATAATGGAGGGAACAAATTCCGAAGACTGGTATTTAGAAATCGAACATCATTTATTGAAAATAGATATAATAAACCCTGTCACATAAAAATAACAATGCTCATTTATCCACATATTAGTCTAACCCATTTAGTTTAAAAAATCATTAAAATTTATTGATGAAGAAATCTTTCATTTCTTGAAACTAAATGGAATCAATAGTTAAAGATTGTATATCGAATATAACAGGTGTTTGTAGAATATGTAATCAAAAGATATCATCTTATGATGACGATGACGATATACATCAACAATCAATGATCAATCATTATTTAGATTGTATCGATTCATTTAAATCGGTATTGTTAAATATCAATAATAGTCGTAAACATGTCGATCATGATCATCAAGATAGTAATATTAGTAGTAGTTCAAGAAAGAGAAAGAAGATTAAATCATCCTCGATATCTGAACCACCTACATCAACAAATCATTATTGTAAGATATTTATCTACTATGTTCGGGATCACATGATTGTAATATATTAATGATTACATATTCTCGTACTATCTAGTTAAAAATTCTTTATTTAGAGTATCAATGATATCAATATTACATCGTGAAGATCATAATAAAAGTGTAATGAGTCTATTGATGACTTGTAAAGATGCTATGAAATGGAAGGATACCGTTGTATTCCCAGGATTACCTTCTATTAACACGATAGAATCATACAAGAAGAATAAAAGAATTAAACAACTACCAAAAAGATACTATAGAGTCGATATCAAGAGTGTTAGAGATCGAGAGTACTTCAAAAAGAATGTCGATGGTTTAATCAATCACCATTGTAGAGAACTCAGACATTTCTGTGGTGATGATACAATACCAGCTGGATTCATACCAAATCACTTTACAAAGATTCAAGTTTTTGGAAAGATAGAAGTTGGATCACTACCCCCATTTACAACTCATCTCTATCTTGGGTCACACCGTCACCAACAAGAGATATATCGAAAACTGTTTCCAGATACAATAGAGGTACTCGATATCATCAATGGAGTGATTTGTAAACAATCAAACATTAATGATCTCTTGCCACACAATATCAGGACACTTCGAATGACATCCAATTTAGTTCATCCCTATCTATTTAAACTCAAGAAACTATATAGTCTCACCATTATGAACGAAAAACAAGAGGAAGATGACATTAATAATGGCCAGATAGATGTTCGTGCTGGAACTATACCAAGTACAATCGAATATTTAAATCTTGGTAGTAACAACATCGAGAGTGGGTCTATTCCGTCGAGTGTAAAGTACCTTGAAATCAACCTAGCTAAAACCCCACTCGGATGTATCCCTCCTTCTGTCAAGTATCTTTATGGGCATTGTTTCAAACCGGCAACACTCTTGAAAGGGTCAATTCCTTCATCCATCACAGACCTTCATTTGGAAGGTCCATTCAGTGTAAATATCTCCGGAAGCATCCCATCGTCGGTCACCTCGTTGAATCTGGTTGAAGTTCCACATATTCCCATTTTACCAGAACTGGATAGTATTTCTAAACTATCTCTCTGTCATTGTGGACCTATACATGAAGATAGTCCATATCCAAAGAACATAAAGTATTTCAGTATTGTTGGTTACGGTCGATATAAATCTATTCCGCCATCAACAAAATATTTGTATTATGGAATTACTAATTCTAAATTGAAGGAAAACGATATTCCAAATGGAGTAACTCATATTAGATTAGGTATGTTATCAATAAATGAAATCATATCATGATATTGATTAAAGATAGTAATTTATAATTCTCATCCAAAATATATTTTGTAGGATTTAGTCAAGAATTAGTTCCAGGATTTATTCCAGATAGTTGTGAGTATTTGGAATTTCCATCCATCTATAACAAAGCACCACTTTGGAAGGCTGTACCAAAGAATTTGAAAACTGTCTGTTGTAATCCAAGTCGTCTCGGTATAAGCCAAAATATTCCACCATCTATCAAACAGGTATTTGTCAATGATACTCATCAAGGAGGTTATCTTTGGGTAAAAGACTCTGTGTTCAAAGAAGAAGACTGGTAATTCCTAACATCAATCACAAAAAAAGATTGAACAAAAGTAAATAAATAATTTAAAAACCCTAAAAAAATTGACCTCTTCAATTGAACTTTATACCTACCTATTGGTTTGTTCATGCAAAAACTAAATGGAATCAATAGTTAAAGATTGTATATCGAATATAACAGGTATTTGTAGAATATGTAATCAAAAGATAATATTATCATCTGATGATGTTAATGATGGAAGTGGTGTAACATCATCACATCAACAGACAATGATCAATCATTATTTAGATTGTATCGATTCATTTAAATCGGTATTGTTAAATATCAATTATAATAGTAAACTTGTCGATCATGATCATCAAGATAGTAATATTAGTAGTAGTTCAAGAAAGAGAAAGAAGATTGAAAATGTATCGCCATCAGACCCGACAACTATTACATCTTCATCATCAAATCATTATTGTATGTTTTAAATTTATTCTACAATAATATTAGGGATATTAATAGATGTATACTAATGATTACAATTATTGTATTATAGTTAAAGATTCATTATTTAGAGTATCAATGATATCAATATTACTACACGAACATTTTAATCAAAGTGTAATGAGTCTATTGATGACTTGTAAAGATGCTATGAAATGGAAGGATACTGTTGTATTCCCAAGCCTACCTTCTATTGATGCGATAGAATTGTACAAGAATAATGGAAGAATCAATCAACTACCTCGACGATACAATGGAGTATATATTATGAATTTTAGAGATAGAGAGTATTTCAAAGAGAATGTCGATGGTTTAATCAATCATCATTGTAGAGAACTAAACTATCTAATTGATGAACCGATACCAGCTGGATTTATACCAGATCACTTTACAAAGATTAGAGTGTGTGGAGAGATAGAAGTTGGATCAATACCACCATTCACAACTCACCTCTCTCTTGGGTTAGACAAGAACCAACAAGAGATTTATAAAGAACTCTTTCCAAATACATTAGAGGCACTCAATATCATAAATGAAGTGATTTGTAAACACTCAAACCTCGATGATCTCTTACCACACAATATAAGTGCGCTTGAAATAACATACAGTTTGGTGCAACCCTATCTCTTTAAACTCAAGAAACTAAATAGTCTCGCCATTCGAAACTTTGGACACAAAGACCATGACAATGAAAAGATAGAAATTCGCGCTGGAACTATACCAAATACAATCGAACATTTAAATCTTCGTAATTGGACTTTTGAGAACGGATCGATCCCATCGAGTGTAAAGTACCTTGAAATCAACCTCACCAATAACCCATTCAGATCTATCCCTCCTTCTGTCAAATACCTATATGGGTTTTGTTACGAACCGACAACACTCTTAAAAGGGTCAATTCCTTCATCCATCACAGATCTTGGTTTGGAGGGCCATTCGAGATAGATATCTCTGGAAGCATCCCATCGTCGGTCACCTCGTTGAAACTGGTAGAAGTTGAACATATTTCCATTTTACAAGAGCTGGATAATATTTCCAAACTATCCCTGACTCATTGTGAATTGAAACTCGATGCAAGTCAATCCCCAAAGAATATAGAGTATTTTGGCTTTTTTTCCAACTATATCCGTACATCTATTCCACCTTCAACAAAATATTTGGATTATGGTATATTTCATGATAAACCCAAAGCCAATGATATTCCAAATGGAGTTACTCATATTAGATTTGGTAAGTTGTTCAATGGAATCTAGGAAAAGAACCGAATCGTTTAATGTTTAAAATATTAAGATTTTTATCTTTTATTATATTTTAGATATTGATCAAGCATTAGTTCCAAGATTTATTCCAGACAGTTGCGAGTATTTGGAATTTCCATACCACTATAACAAAGCACCACTTTGGAAGGCTATACCAAAACATTTGAAAGCTGTCTCTTGTAATCCTTGTTGTCAGAATATCAGCCAAAATATTCCGCCATCCATCAAACAAACATGCGCAAATATGCCTCATCAAGCAAGTATTTGGGCTGACGACTTTATATTCAAGGAAGAAGACTGGTATCTAGAAATATAACATCACTGAATAAAAAATTTACATAAAAATGACACAACAAATCTCATATCGGTATCTATCTTTTGAATACATATTCTTAAAGCTAACCGTATTTAAATTAAACTAAATGGAATCAATAGTTAAAGATTGTATATCGAATATAACAGGTGTTTGTAGAATATGTAATCAAAAGATAATATTATCATCTGATGATGATGATGATATACATCAACAATCAATGATCAATCATTATTTAGATTGTGTCAATTCATTTAAATCGGTATTGTTAAATATCAATAATAGTCGTAAACATGTCGATCATAGTAATAATCTTAAACATGTCGATGATAATCTTCATCAAGATATATTACGAAGAAAGAGAAAGAAGATATCATCAATGTCATCCTCCTCGACATCTATCCCTTCATCATCAACAAATCATTATTGTACGATATTTATTGTTAGTTATCTTCATCATGATTGTTTACTAATGATTATTCTTGTATAGTTCAAGATTCATTATTAAGAATATCAATGATATCAATATTATATCGTGAAGATGATAACGAAAGTGTAATGAATCTATTGATGACTTGTAAAGATGCTATGAAATGGAAGGATACTGTTGTATTCCCAAGATTACCTTCTATTAATACAATAGAATCGTACAAGAATAATGGAAGAATCAATCAACTACCTCGACGATACAATAGAGTAGATATCGAGAGTCTATATTATGAATGTTAGATAGAGATTATTTCAAAAAGAATGTCGATGGTTTAATCAATCATCATTGTAGAGAACTAAACTATTTCATTAATGATCCAATACCAGCTGGATTTATACCAGATCACTTTACAAAGATTCAAGTTTGTGGACGGATAGAGGTTGGATCAATACCACCATTTACAACACACCTTCTGATTGGGTCGTCGCGATACCCACAAGAGATATATAAAGAACTATTCCCAGATACATTAGAGATGCTCGATACCGCGTACGGAGTGATTGGGGAACACTCAAACCTCGACGATCTTGTGCCACACAATATAAAGGTGCTTTATATTGCATCCAATTTGGTTCATCCCTATCTCTTAAAACTCAAGAACTTATATTTAATGACCACTTACGATATTCAAGATGGTGAAGGACATGGATATATTCGCATTGGAAATATACCCAAAACAATCGAGTATTTATATCTTAACAATTGTACAGTTGAGAGTGGATACACTCTTCCATCAAGTATCAAGTACTTCTCAATCAACCTCACTAAAAACTCACCCCAATGTATTCCCTCATCTGTAAAGTACCTATTTCTTGTTTGTCAAGGCCCTACAGTCCTCTTGAAAGGATGGGTCCCTTCGTCAGTAACAGATCTCAGATTAGATGGCCAATTCCAACTAACAATAGGAAGCATCCCATCGTCAGTCATCACATTGTCACTGACTGGTTTTGATGTCTCCCCACACGCTTCAACCATTCCAGATAGCGTTAATTCATTAATTATCAATGGATTAGATTGTCAATTCGATGCAACTCTCTATACAAGTAGCATCAAGTATTTTGGTATGTTAGGAAAGTACCCTTTCTCAATCAAATCGTGTATTCCACCATCGACAAATTATTTTGATTACCAATCCAGCTATATATCTCAATGGAATGCCAATGATATTCCAAATGGAGTTACTCATATTAGATTGGGTATGTAACAAATCAGCAGATATCGTAATAGATTATATAGATATAACAGATATTTTATTTTCAACCAACTATTTATAGGGTATAACTTTAATAAAGAATTGATTACAGGTTTTATTCCAGACAGTTGTGAGTATTTGGAATTATCCTACATTTATAATGAAGCACCACTTTGGAAAGCTGTACCAAAACAATTAAAAACTATCCGTTGCAATCCAAAGTGTTCTGTGATGAGCAAAAATATTCCAGCTTCTATCAACCAAACACCTAAAACCAGGGCACATGAAGGAGGGAGTACATGGGATGCTAACTTTAGATACCTTGGTTTATGGAGAAAGACAGACTGGTATATGAATATTTAACAAATAAAAGAAGAATAGTCAAAAATAAATAAACAGAAGAATTAAATAAATAATTTATTATACTTTTTTAACACCAGCATTCAAAAAGAGAGAGGTTGATATGTGTCTACTCGACACCAATAACTCACTAATTTAATTAATTATATTTGCTCTCTACACTCAAACAAAGAGTAATCAATTAACTTTGTTTTATTTTTTAAAGCGTTAAATTGTATTATCAGTATGTGTTTGAAGTATTATCAGTTGGTGTCTCCCAAAAGAGAACGAGTGAAAGAAACAAAAGAGAAAAACCAGCTCAATGTTATAAATAGGATGAATACACGACATCTATTTTATAACCCTCGTTCCTGATTCCTTTTGAAGAGGGGTAATTTAATGGTTATTGCAAAACAATTTATTTTTAATTTGTAAATTGGTCAAATTCTTTTTTGGGGGGGACTTTTTTTGTAAGCCCTTTTCCGTTTTGATTGGAAGCAATATTTGCTGAAGTTGACCAAAATAACAAAATAAAAAATAATTAAATAAATAAGTTTTTTTCTTGGACTACACGATGTATTAAATTGTTTACCATTAATTTTTTGAACTTTACTCAATTAATTTTTATTTAATAACAATAATCATGGAACAACCTACAACAATGTTTTTTACCTCTGCCTTGGGAAAATCAACTCTGGAAGGAATTGGTATGATCATATTTTATTTTTCTAGATCCCTAAAATTTATTAATTTTTAAATCTCTTTTTTATTTTATAGCAAGAATAGAACCCACTCCCAAGATCCTGCCCCCTCCTTTCTTTTTGGTCTTTCATCCGAATTGCAAAAAAAGCGGTCCTGATATTTGGTCTATGAAACGCTTTGATGTGGAGTCTACCATTGTCCAACGAGGAGGACAAACGTATCATCTTCCAGCTGCTCATGTTGACTTTGATTTCCAAGGTGAATTACATGTAAGAATGATGTTAAAAGAACAACCAAAAGGACCAATGCCACATTAAACATCATGAAAGGACTCAAAAAATGTACCCCATATAACAACCAATAAATCTATGTGGTGGAAACGGATTGAAAAAATAGTAAAAATTATTTTTAATTATTTTCTCATTAGTCTCTATTTAATATGATATATCTTAATCATCTAGAAGAAGACGTGAAAAAGAAGTTGGTTTATAATTTTTTTTGTAGTTTATTAATGAATTATTATTTTTTAATTATTCTATTTACATTTTCAATGATTGAATTGATTGTACCATTTGATATTTGAGATTGATTGATTAGATTGGATTGTTTAAACTCTCCTTCAATCCATGATTTGATTTGAATAGCATTCATAGAGTCTACTCCATAATCTTTGAGTTTGGTGTCACCATTTAATAGGTTCTTTTCAATCGAGAGCAAGTATGCAATGAATTCAATAATCTTGTCATTCATATTGTCTTGGTTGTCACCGCTGTTTGTTGATTTCTTGGATACAATGTGTGACGAATGACAGAATAAATGTGAGAGATTTGGTGTTTCAGAGAGGAATCTATCGATTTGAATGGCTGCACAAATAATACTTGTAAATGGAGTATCAGAATCGATAAACGATGATCTGAGTACTCCATATACTGTTGAGAGTGGCATCATATGTGCTCCAATACTTGACAATGCTTCATTTGATAGTTTACTAATTGCAACTCTTCCAGTTGATCCAATCGATCCCCAAATAATAGATGTTGCTGCTAATCCACAATTTCTACGGTGTTGAGCAAGATGATCGAGGAATGAATTGGCAACTGCATAACTGAAACTTTCTCTTCCAGAGTATTGAGCAATCGATGACAGTAAATGGAAATGATTTAATTTCCATTGCAACTCTTCAAATAGATTATGAAGATTCAATGCACCAATTGCTTTGGCCATCATTGCTTGTCGATGATTCTCTATTGTCACATCATCTGCATCTGCAAATACATAGGTATTGGCACAATGTATAACTGATTTGACTGGTTTGATGCTTGAGTCATTTTTGTAAAGTTGTTGAATTGATGAAGAGAGTTGATCATAATTTCCAATATCACATTGAACATAATGTAATCTGAGTTGGTGTGTTGCTTGGTGTTTGTTGATATGATTCATTAATAATTGAATTTCATATTTTGGTGATGAATAGGAAACAACAATAATATCACGTAGTTGAGGTGCATGTTTGATGATATAATGAAGCGATTCAACAGCAACTCCTGTTTGACCAGTGATGAGAAGAGTATCTTGAACACCATCAAGTTGATAATCTACTCTTTCTACTCTCTTTCTTCTCTTGTCATTAAACATTGGCTCGACCAAATTTCTTTCAGCATTTTCATAATCAATGACAACCTTTCCAATATGTTTTCTTGTTCTGATGTACTCTACGGCTTCAGGTATTTCTTGACATGGGAATACCTTGATAGGTGGTATTTCCAAGCGTTCTTCAATGATCAGTTTCTTGATCTTGTTGTGGTATTGCACATATTCCAATCTGTGTTGGAATGGCAAGTATCCCTTGTCGGCTTTGAATGGTCCCATATCAGTGTTCTCTAATGACAAATCAATAACAATTCCATTCTCGCAAAGGCATTTGATGTTATTGTTCATTCTGGTATAATCTAGTGTGTTGATTACATAATTTGCACCAGAACCTTCGGTCATCTCCAAAACCGATTGTAAAAAGTTGTCATATGACAGAACGGCAGTGATAAGTGCACCATAGTGTTGTTCGAGATAATGTTTCTTTTCATCTGATTCAACTGTCACAAACACCTTGCCAGTGTGTTGTTTGTGCTTTAAAATATTTAATATTGACAAACCGACACCACCAGTTGCACTGTGAATGAGAATTGAATCGGTCGATACAATACTGGCTTTTTTGAGTATCGTGTAGGCAGTTCCCATTGTAACCGGTAGAGATGCAGCTTCAACAAATGAGAGTTCCTTTGGCTTGTGAACTAGATTGTTTTCCAAGGCAACTGAAAAAGTGGTAAACCCATGAGACAGGCCATACACTTGATCACCAATCTTGAAGTTTGTTACTTTGGCTCCGATTCTTGTCACGATACCTGCAAGATCTTGTCCCAATAGAGGATCATAAATATCACCAAGTATATTTCTTTTTTGATCGACTCTACCTTCCAAAGTCATAAGATCTTTGAAATTGACTGATGCTGCTTTGACTTGAACTTCAACTTGATAATCTTCGATGACCTCTGCCTTTGCTCTCAAATGGTATTTTGAATCCTTTTCAAACTTTACTCGAATATCTTGTTTATCATTAATGATGAATCTTGAATCCAATTCCAATGCTTTGGGAGCATCTATTATTCTTTCAACATTAACTTGAATAACTTGATCATTGCATTCCAATTTAATATTCTTTTCACCAATGAAATCACTGTTGGAGTATTGCATGATTTGGTTGATTGATAGTTGATTACAACTTTGATGATCCATGCTGATTGATATTGAATCAAATGAGAACATATCAGATGGACGATCATAATCTCTGCAAATTGGAACCAAACATTGATTGAGTTGACCAGTTATCAATGTTATTAATTTGACGGGTAGTTGCTCCTTTCTTAATATTTGGTGTAATCTGATGAGTTGCATTGATTTCTTGTCAAGATTACTCGAATTCATTTCAATCAATGATTCCAAATAAATAATTACAACCTTTTCTCCTTGTTGATATGATATTGAATCCAACAATGATTGATATTTACTTTCATCCATCAAATCATCACTTGAAATACTTTTAACTTGTTTTGAAATTGATGATGCTTGTGAAATCAATCTGGTTGAAGTGGTGGATGGAGAAGAGGAGGATGGAGTAATAAATAATATTTTATCAATATTATCGAAATTGGTTTCTTCAATTGACGCCTTTTTATAAATCATTGTAATATCTTCATGATCTAGTGTTGAATTATTATTAATATGTTGAATTTTAAATTGTGTTGATCTAATATCTCTGATGATTAATTCTTTGCTGTTTTCATCGACGACCACTGAATCATTGTTGATTACAACGAGTTGACCATTTGGATTTAATAGTTGATATAATTGTGTTGTCATATATTCATTATTTTGAATAAATTCTTGTGATGATAAAATGATATCATAACTATTTGAAAGGAATCCTTGGTCATTCAACGATAATGATGCATTGAACTCTTTAAATAATTTAATTGATAAATTATTATTCTCGAGATAATGGATTGGATAGGTGAATGAGAAATCTTGGGAAGTTAAATCAATGATCGTTGATGTTGGCTCCAAACTTGTGGCAATACCAATGGAAAGAAGTTCATCAAATCCAAAATCCAATACTCTAATCATTCCTTGAGTAGACTCTAATGATTTAACATATCTTTGCAAATATTCAACAACATTATTATTATTGTCAGAGGAGGGGATGATGGAAGGAGATGGAGATGGTGAATTCTTTGGTTGATTAATTAATCGTTTGGTGAATTTTGATGGATATTTGGCTTGATGTACTTTTAATACTTTGGTCAATGATTTACAAATCAATGATTCACATTTGATGATAATATTACCATGTTGGTCAATAATATCAAGTGATCCTTTGAATTCATTTCCTCTTTGTTGTTGACGATTTCTACTGTTCATTGAAGTCTTTGATACGTTGAATAAAGAGGTACATGGGTGTTGAGGAATATTGTTTGAAAAGATGTGGAAATCTTGAACTCTATCAAATATGACTTCACATTTTTGATGTTCTCCTTTAAACTTTACAATATTTGAATGAATCATACAATCCAATACCGATGCATTTAAAACTGTATTTGATTGTTCAAACTTGTTTTTTGCACTACAATCAATCTCTGACAAAATAGAACCATCTTGATTGAATGATATGTTGTTGACTCGTTTGAATGTATCACCATACACCAACCCGACTTTGATTAACTTTTCATAAACATCTGATTGTGTCATCATGGCAATGTTGTATGATTCTTGTTTGAGCTGATCAACATTGTCATACTTTTTGGTCAGAACGATTGGATCTTTGATTGATAATCTACCGATTGCAGATTTAATCCAAGTTGTTGATGTACTATCATAATATTGGAATATTACTTGATAGTCTTCCGGCGACGAGGATACAAATGACGTCTTTAGTTGGGAGATCACACCATCCTTTAAGAAGAATGGTGCAATAAATTCGAGATGGTGGATATGGATATCTTTGTTTGGGAATGCATTGATAATGTTTTCAATGTATCCTGATCCTGGGAACAAATATTTTCCTTTTACTTTGTGTCCTTTTAAATATTGATATGATGGCCTACTTATATCAATCGATGATTTATATGTCTTTAGTGATTCATCGTCACAAATACCAAGCAATGTTGTTGATACACCTCCCAATCTAATCTTCTTGAATGGTTCTTGTTCCTCCCAAATATACTCTGTATCCCATTGATATCTTGGAAGATATCTTGTTCTATTCTTCCATTCATTGTCATCATCACCGATGAGGGGTAATTGATTTGTGAAATTAACATTTGCACCAATGAAATAGAGTTGTGAGAGACATGATTGAATTGATTCGACTTCATCCTTTTTTCTATTTAATGGTGAGAGGATTGTTGTTGATTTTTGTTGTGATAATAATGTCTTTAAATAGAACGACAATGTTGAATGTGGTGCAATCTCTAAATAAATATACTCTTGATTATTATTATTATTGGTGTTTTTGATTATATTATTAATTGCTTGTTGGAACAGTACTGGTTGTCTGAGATTATCAAAAATTGATTGTGCATTAAATTCTGATGATGATTCTATTAATCGTGATGTCGTTGTTGAGAAGTATGGTATCGTTGGTTTATCGCATTCATATTTAATATTATTATCCAAGTGCTTGAATATGTACTCTTTTGTTGATTCTTGTTTTGATGAGTGGAATGCACATGGTGTACCAAGGAATGCACTAAATATATTGTCATTCTTGAGTTGTTGATCTAATAATTTGAGTTGATTCTCATTACCAGCCAATACAATTGAATCTTCAGCATTGTAACATGCAACCTCGATATCATCAAATTGTGCTTCAAACAATTCAATATATCTATCATGTGACAATGATACAGATAACATTCTACCACTTCCAATTGTTTCATTTTGAGCTTTACTTCTGAGATAAACAATTCTTGCTGCTTCTTCCAATGATACAATTCCTGAACACCATGCTGCCGTTACATCTCCAAAACTAAATTAATTTTTAACAAATAAAATAAATATTAATATTTAATAATAAATAAATGTTTAAAAAGTAGATAGATATCGTTTATATATATATATAGAATAAATATTAATTAATTAATTAAATACAACATACCTATGACCAACAACGATTGATGGATTAATTCCAAAATGTTGATATAATTTAACCAATGCAACTTGAATGATAAATGTTGATGGTTGAGCTAGAATTGGATGATGAATATCTTTATCATTGCTATTTCTTAATTTATCGATAATAGAGTATTGATAGTATTGACATAATAACTTGTCCAAGTGATCAACCGATTCACGGAATACTTGAAAGTGATTATACAACTTTTCACCCATTCCCGCCCACTGTGCACCTTGACCACAGAATACCATCACCACTGATTTGTTTGATTCACTGTTCAACTGAGACATGTTTGAAACTGATGTTTGTTGTTTTTCATAAATTAAATTTGAAGTTGTGAATGAATCCCAATCATTGGCAATGATCAACTTCTTGCAAGGTGGATGGTTTGTTTTCATTGACTGATATCTGACAAAATCTTCAAATGACATCTTGTTACGATAACTGTCAATATTATTCTTAATCATATCGATAAATGAATCCATTGATTTCTTGCTATTTGCCGAAAACGGAATTAAATATTTCTCTCATAAAATAATTAAAAAATTAATTAACTAATTAATTAATTTCGTTTTTAAATTAAAAGAGAGTATTATATTAATATAAATATTCATAACAATATTCATAATATTCATATTATTTTCATTAATAATAAAATTATTATTATTAATATTATTATTTCTATATTCTTCAACGATGACATGTGAATTTGAACCAGTTAAACCAAATGAGTTGATTCCCATTCGAATGACTCTGTCATCTGGTAAAGGTTCATTCTCCAATACAATCTTTATTCTGCCATCCAACAGATCAATTCTTGGATTTAATTCTTTAAAGTTGATATTCTTGATCAGAGTTCTATTCTTGAGCATCATTGCACATTTGATGATTGATGCAACACCTGCTGTACTCTCGGTGTGTCCAATATTACTTTTGACCGATCCTATTCTGAGTGGTTGTTCTTTTGAATGTGAATCGCCAAATACACCAGCAATACCTTGAACTTCTAATGGATCACCAGTTGGTGTTCCTGTTCCGTGACACTCGACATAGTAGATATCAGATGGGGACAGTCCAGTCTTTTGAAGAGCTGTACTTGTGTTGACTTGTTGTGCTGCACGTGATGGAGCTGTCACTGATGACTTTTCAAAGTTACCATCGACATTACAGTTACCACCTTTGATAACACAATAGATATTATCATTATCTTGAATTGCTTTTGATAGTCTTTTGAGAATGACGACACCAACACCTTCACTACGGCAATACCCATCGACTGACGAGTCAAATGATGCACATTTTCCTTTTGTGCCAAGTAGTTTTAATCGCGTGAAATGAACGGATGAAGTTGGTTCGACGAAAGCATTCATACCTCCACAGATAGAGATATCACTTTGGCCACTACGAATAGTATCGATACCTTGAAGAATACCGACGAGTGACGACGAACAGGCTGTATCAATCGATAACGATGGACCACGGAAATCGTAACAATACGATGTTCTGAGTGCACTGTCACCCTTTCCAGCACGGAGAAGAGGTTTAATGGTTGGAATGTCATAGATGTGCATGTTATCGGTTGCATAAAACATCTGACCTACAAACACCGATGTATTTGAACCTCTGATTGATGCAGGGTCGATATGAGCATCTTCTAAAGCTTCCCAAATGACTGTCATAAAGAGACGTACTTGAGGATCCATGACACAGGCGTCAGCGGCGAGAGTACCAAAGAATTGACGATCGAAATGAGTCCATTCCTTCATATCTAGGTAACCAGCACGTTCCGAGGCAATAAACTCTTGATCATTGTATGATTTAGACCATCTGTCCTGGTTATCGGTACTAATACCGTCTAGACCATTTACAAGTTGCTCATAAAATTGTTGAGGTGTTCTCGACCCACCTGGTAGTCTACACCCAATACCAACTATTGCAATATCATCTTGTTGTTGTTGTTGTTGATTCATGATTGGGTTATATTGTTTGAATGGTTGCTTGGTTGGTTGTTGTGGTAGTTGATAGTATATATAATTTGTTATATAATTTGTTGTTGTTGGGTGTAATAGTTGTACAATTGATAAAAAGTAAGATAATGTCTGTCTGTCTCGCTCTCCCTTTTAAATTGCATGCATTCTTAAATGTCTACATGGTTGCCGTTTTAAAAGACGACAACGCCAAAGAAGAAGATAATGTGTAGTAGTAGTAGTAGTAGTAGTGGTAGTAGTAGCAACGCTAGCACACCTACTCTACCACCAATAAAGATACATGCATACATGCGTAATGTATGTTAGAGGGTACATAGATGATTAACGAGGATAACATGGTGCCAAGCAAGTAAAAGGTGTGAATCCACAATTGTGGAGGGCAGTATTTAACAATTCAAATTAAAAGACGATCGAATGAAAATAAGAGGGTGCAAACCTCAACCGTTTCTGCCTGTCCAATCATCTGTTCAATGTTCATCGTCGATGCTGGTGCTAACACCAATAAAAACCATTTTTTTTCAATTTTTTTTTTAAAGTACACAACGTACAACTACACAATATCATGATTATTGCTATCTTGCACACATATCATCTTTTGAAATACATAGAATAGAAAACCATTACCATACATACATACTTTGAATCTATTCATCTATTTTTATTAATTATTATTATTATTATTAATTATTATTATTATTCAAGGTGTTAAAAATGAACCTTGTAGATCTCATTGGGTATCACACGTGTAGGAGTTGAGTAGGTCGATACGCATCGACCACGTAATTTCAAGTAATATGATGTCGGCCTATTAATATATACTATATAAATTAAACGATTAATACCTAGGTTGCTTGGTTGTGGTTGGTTGTTGGCTAGTTGTTTAGTTGTTAAGTGAAAGAGATATCCTTACTTTAGCAACAAAAAAAAAGAAAGAGCACATGGCTGGAATTTATTTATTTTATAACACACTTCATTTGAAATGAACATCATTAGAGAAGCTGTAATATGAGATCGAGACAATACAAAGTAAAAGTATTATATATAGATAATGGAAGAGTACGAGATATCTAGATCTGTGTTACAGCTACGTGTGAATGGTCGAGATGTTGGAGAGGATGATGAGCAGGATATTATTAAGAGTTCTTTAAAGAATATTGCCAAAGTAAAGATAACAACTATACCAACATCATCAAATCATTATTGTAAGTTATTTATCTTTATATATTTATCTTTCTTTGTTGATCAATAAATAATTTATTATTATGATATTGTATTATAGTTAAAGATTCATTATTTAGAATATCAATGATATCAATATTACACCGTGAAGATGATAATGAAAGTGTAATGAATTTATTGATGACTTGTAAAGATGCTATGAAATGGAAGGATACCGTTGTATTCCCAATATTACCTTCTATTAATACTATAGAATTGTACAAGAATAATGGAAGAATCAATCAACTACCTCGACGATTTAACAGAGTATACATAGAGAGTATTAAAGATCGAGATTATTTCAAAGAGAATGTCGATGGTTTAATCAATCACCATTGTAAAGAACTAAACTATCACATTAATGAACCAATACCAGCTGGATTCATACCGGATCACTTTATAAAGATTCAAGTTTATGGAGAGTTAGAAGTTGGATCAATACCACCATTTACAACTCATCTCTTGATTGGGTCATCCCGATACCCACAAGAGATATATAAAGAACTGTTCCCAGATACATTAGAGATGCTCGATACCGCGTACGGAGTGATTGGGGAACACTCAGACATTGACGATCTTTTACCACACAATATAAGAGTGCTTTTTATCGCATCCAATTTAGTGCATCCCTATCTCTTTAAGCTCAAGAAACTATATTTAATGACCACTTATGATATTAAAGGTAGTAACCAGCACGAATTACATGCGAATATTCGCATTGGAAGTATACCCAATACAATCGAGTATTTATATCTCAACAATTGTACAGTTGAGAGTGGATACACTCTTCCATCAAGTATCAAGTACTTTTCAATCAACCTCACTATAAACTCACCTCGATGCATTCCTCCCTCTGTCGAGTACCTATTTCTTGTTTGTGACGAACCCACAACAATCTTGGCAGGATGGATTCCTTCATCAGTAACAGATCTCAGATTAGAGGGCCAATTGAAACTAACAGTAGGATGTATCCCGTCGTCAGTCACTACATTGGTACTGACTGGTTTTGATGTCTCCCCACACGCTTCAGTCATCCCAAATAGCGTTTCCACACTATGGACCAATACATTAAAGTGTCGACTCGATACAACTCTCTATCCAAATAGTATCAAGTATTTTGGTATTTACGGTAACTATGCTTTCCCACTCAAATCAAGTATTCCACCATCGACAAAATATTTTGATTACCAACCCATATCCACATCAGAATCTAAATTCAATGTCAATGGTAATATTCCAAATGGAGTAACTCATATTAGATTGGGTATGTATAGATATAAATATAAATATATAAAGCTATCAAATGAAACAACGATCGACCAGGATTATAATACACCAGATATTCTAATTCTAATTTACAAATTAACCAACAACCATTTTAGGTGATGGTTTTGATAGAGCATTAGCTCGAAGATATATTCCAGATAGTTGTGAGTATTTGCATGTATCCTACAACTATAATCAAGCACCTCTTTGGAAGACTGTACCAAAGAATTTGAAAACGATCCATTGCAATCCAAAGTGTACAAATATTAGCAAAATTATTCCAGCATTCAAACAATCTCATAAAAACTGGCCACATGAAGGAGGGAGTGAATGGGATGCAAACTTTAGATACATTGATTTATGGAAAAAGGACGACTGGCATTTAAATATTTAACTCAAAAAAAAAGAAAGAATCTATAAAGAAATAAATCATCATTTTTTTGGAAGCAAAATTTTGTGATGATCTTTCTGCAGTTGTAGAAGTTCAAAGGACATCTTTAACAAATAAGAATAAGAATATATATGTAAAAAAAAAGAGAAGAGATGCAATGTCAAGGCATGGCTTATTGCTCAGAATGCACTAACTATAAAAGTGGAGAAGATTACGAGGACTGTCGTTCGGTGGGACATCAGTTAATCGACGCTCAATTACACCAAGATATTATTGCGCATGTCTATCACCAGGATGATGAGAGCATACTGCAGAAAAAGAAAGAGTCTGCAGTGATCGATGATGATGCTCATAAGTTTGTGAAGCTAGAGTACAAAGATGTTGGCAAATGGAAGCTAAAATTTAAAGGTGTAAATTACACTCCAGGTGTCCCATCTCCCTTTTTCTCCTTTATTGGTCCAACTGGTAGTGGTATGTATTGATAGAGATAGATTATAGACTAGGATAATACTTATTGATTGATTTTAAATAGGAAAGTCTGCATTAATTAAAAGTATAATGAAAAGGATGAAAAGGGATAAGAAGATTACCAATGAGAAGATGCCAGTACCAAAGACAACCCACACCAACGGTGAATCAATGTCTTCAGATATCAATTGCTATGTATTGGTAAATAAAGGTGGGCTTCGAGTAGTGTATCGTATATTGGATACTGAAGGAAGCGGTGGAACAACAGGCACATACTTTACCCCCGCCAACCCGGACAAAGAGATTGCCAAAGATAGACTAGCACGTGCTCAAGAGATCTACCCGAGACTTATCCATTTAATTAGCAAGGTGGTGATTTATGTGTTTAACAACCGTCAGGAACAATCGACTATCATCGAGACACTCTCTTCGATGGTCAGTCACATCGAGTCGAGATCAATCAACAATCCATCCAAACCCCACCTATTGGTTATTTTCAACAATCAATCTACCAGCTCTCCCGATACCGACTATTTCACAAGCAATGCATTCTTGCGTGCCGCTGACCCAACAGTCCGAAGAATAGAATCCTACTTTGTCAGTTTACAATCCATCTCAATACCAAATGCAACAACTGAACCAACACTATTTATTGAAAGGCTAGACAAGGTAATAGGAATATTGGAGAAATACCAAAACATTGAAGACCAACATTGGAGAAAGAGTGACCTTTTAGACAAAATCTTTAAAGATGGTAAAATCTTTAAAATGTTATCCGATGACCCAACAGTGGACCACTTCACATTGATGAAACACGCCATATCTACACCATTATACATTTATTTTAAAAATAGATACGATTATCTTGGTCGGATCCGACCAGATCTATCGGAGCTTCAAAAATACCAGATAGTCATTGACTATATTAAACAACATATTACAACCCAACACAACCGACAAAAACTTATTGAAACAGATTATCTTGTTTTCAATGGACTCGAATGTCAATCACATTACCAAGATCAAGATGATCAAGATGATCAAGATTCCTCCACCATTATTCACAAATGTTGTCTTGGATTAATGACACATGGAAATCAACATCAATCAATACACACAAAGAAACAGATCATCATGTCAGAAGAAGTCAAAGAAATGTTAAATAACCAAGAAAAAGTGGAATCAATTAAATGGCCTGGTGAATTTAAATATCCCAATTGGGATAATAGTCAAGCTATAAAAGGATTTGTTGATCATTTTGAACAACTATTAGGTTTTAAACCTGGTGAAATACAGTCATCAAACAAAGTAGTTGTAATCAAAGATGATCCTTACCAATTGAAAATTCAAACAACCAACCCCACAAAAGAAGAAGACATAACTCTAATGGATCAAGTATGTATGGTTTGTTTATCCGAAACACCGACGAAGTGTATGTGTGGTAATAATCATCATTGTTCAAATTGTAAGTGCAATATATGTCCCAAAGAAGATGAAGAAGAAACAATTTGTTTCCCTTGTTTTTTATAAAAAAAAAAATAATAAAAAAATAAAATAAATAAATAAAATTTTAAAACAATACGAGCTTGCAGAAAAAAGAGCGGGAAAATCAAATTTTCTAGGAATCATACTTTTTATTCTTCTTTCGTACCCCTCTGCTCACAGTATACTTACAAAGTTTATAATAGAAATAATAATAATCATCAAATATAGATATATAATCATCATGTCAAATAAGTGATGGATGAAATCGATAAAGAAATCATCATAGACGGTGCTGCTTGTCAGCAACAACAACAACAAGAGGAGGCGGAGTCATCAACACATACTCCAAAGAGCCAAGACAACAATAATAATAATAACAATAATAATAATAATCATAGTGTATTCAAACAACCTCTTATGCCTTCACATTTCAATCAAAGTAGTATTAATACTACTGCGCCACTCACATTAGAAGATATAGCAACTGATAGTAATAATAATAGTAATAATTATACATTTCGTAATCCCAATTATGTATCTAGTATTGGTCCATATGTTGGGTTCAACTCATCGGGATTATCACTACAAAGTTTGACTGACGAGATGTTGGATGCTACACAAGACCTCGTAGCCAGCACAACGAGCAATCAAAACATTAGCTTTGAATTTAGTACTATTGGTGAATCGGTCATTCACATGGCTCCAAAGAATGACTCGAGTATCGATTTGCAATTGAATGGTGATAGTGGTATTATCATTGATACACATTCTTCTTCTCAATTGGATAATGTTCCTCCGCAACAACAAGAGGAGGAAGAAGAAGAAGAAAGTGTAAAGGAAGATCAATCTGCTCCTCAAGAAGAAGAACAAGACCAAATGTTAACTGACACCAATCAAAGTATAGAAGATGGTGGTCAACCAAAAGAAGAAGAGCAAGAAGAGGAAGGAGAAGAACAATCTAACGCTAGTGCAAATGAAAGTAGAGGAGGAAGAGGTCAACATGTTTCATTTGAAGAAAGAGAAGAATCATCACAAGTTTATTTAATGGAGACCGATCATCGCAACAACAATAATGACGTCAACTTTGGAACATCTTCTATCAATAATGAAGAAAATATGACTGATTTGACAATGAGTCATTTGAAAACCAACAACCAATCAACAGACAACGAAAATGAATCAAATGATGAAAAAGAAACAACTCTATACTTTAGTGATTTGAATGGATCACAATTGGATCTAGGTACTGGTGTCGGTGGATCAACCAACCATAACGGTACACAACAACAAGGACAACAACAACAACAAGAATACCATATTCTAGAAACTGGTGAACATATTCTACTACCAAGTACAATAGATCGTCCAGATCGATCTAGTCAAGGTGCTGATCAATCTGATTATGAATCTGATGAAAACCAAGATTATGAAGCATCTCATCATAGTGATATGGAACTAGATAATCAAAGTACTACCATCATCACAGAATATACACCAACAAGTCAAGAAAATAGAGCGTTGCTTGCAAATCAAAGTAAAAATACAATCATTGAAAATCAAATAACTTCAACTACTACAACTACGACTACTACCACCACAACAACAGAGAATATGGTTACTTCAGGAGGAAGCAATCCACAAGACAATAGAGAAATTAAATTAATAGATAATGAATCACTCGAATTGACAAATGTATTAATTTCAGAGTTACTTGAACAATTTTTGAAAATTAAAGAGTCTCATGGTAAGTTTGAAAATAATATACAAGTTTCATCGCATACTAATATAACCTTTTATTTATTTATTTATAGTTGTATTATTTGACTTTATTACAAAGAATCCAAGACAAATTAATGAATTATTTGATATTTATAATTCGAAAATTGATCATTTGGAGAAAAGTTTAAAGGAAAAAATGGCAACACCAAAAGCAAGTTTGGAATCTGATCTTTCATTTGATCTATCAAACCCAAAGCCAAAAAAGGATGGTGGATCATTAGAGGAAGCTTTGTCATTTGATACAAGTCAACAAAAAATACATATTACCACTCACCAAGGAATTAATATCAATGAATCTATTTTACCTTTAAAACAACTTCAACCTCAACCTCAAAAAGAACCTGAACAGAATAATAATCATCAAAATAATAATGAAGAAATTCAATTTAAGGATCAACAAGCTAGACATTTGACTCAAGATTATAATGTATTGAGAAAAGATTTTGAAACTTTATTGGAAGCTGTCAATTGTCATTCATCAAAAATTGACAAGATTGGACATATATTATCAAACCAGATCAACCAATCCAACAACATAGTCCTTTCATCACAATTAAAGGAAATTGTTTACGAAGAAAAAATACAAAAGGTTAATAGTCAATCAAGTCAACAAACATTACCAACAGCTCCAATAATTGTACAACAACAACAACAACAAGATTATGCAGTTGTTGATATATTATCAAATAGTGTAGGTCGACATGTTATCATTGATATTAAAAGTAGTGTTACAGAGAACCCGATCATTCATCACACTGAAACTCTAAATAATACATCCTCTACAACCTCTTCAGAAGGTAGTGGCAGTGGATCCTCTTCATCCTCTTCTTCACCAGATGAAAATGACCAACAATTTAAACAACATTTGGGTCAAGTTGAAAGACAAACCAATTTGCTAAAGAAAATGATTGAAATTCTTGCCAACCACATTCAACAATTTAAATTTGTCAATCATAATTTTGATAGTATCCAATTGACATTTAAAACGAGTATTGAAACACTCGATGCAATCTTGAATGCTCATACCAAAAAGATTCAGTGCACCACCGTCATTGAAAACCTACTCAACGCAGGAATGAATCAACAATCCATTCAAGATCGTTTGAATCAATTACTTGGTGAAAAAGAGCATGTCGATCGCGTCGTCTCTGAAAAGTCTCAACAGTACGAAACAATGTTGGAGAAAAAGGAAGAGGAAATAGGCAATCTTAAAACCATTATTGATCAGTTGGCCAGCAGTCTGGAATTCCACAACAACAAGAAAAAGACAGAACCAACCAGTCTTGACCCAATGAACGAAGATGGTACCGATCAACCATCGTCGCAAAGAAATATATTTGAACATGAAAGACAGCGTTACCTCGACCGTATCAAAGCTTTGGAAGTTGAAAATGCAAACTTTTCATCTCACAATCATACTGTACTAATCGAACAAGAAAACAAGCATCTAACAGATCAACTTCGTCAATTAGATGTTAAAATAGAGTAAATATAAATAATTCTAAATTAAGTATTGATCACATTCTAACATTTTTTATTTTAATTTAAGAAATCATTTAAAGGAATTAAGTGAATATAAAGAATTGGTTGGTAATCAAAATGTTGAAAAGAATAGATTTGAAATGAATCATCAAAAATTGGTGGAAGAATATAATAATCAACAAAGGGAGATTGTTAGATTGTTGACACAATTTGGACCGGTTGACAACCTGACATTGACACAATCAAATCAATTGGTTGATGGTATCAACAGTACTTTGATCTACCAAAAACAGGAAATTGAAAATAACATTAAAGAACGAGGTAGATTGCAAGCATTGATCACAAAGTTGAACCAAGAAATCAATGACACCGGTGCCATTTTAGCGTCGCAACAAGAGGACAACCAAATGCTTAACAACAAGGTAGAGGAACTAACCACCAAGTTGAAGACCAAAGAGCAGTTGATTGCTAGGTTGCAACAAGAGTTTGACGATTTCCAAGCCTCAAAGAAACATGCTGATGCCGAACTGGTAGAATCCAAAGCGTTAGTGGAAGAGTTTGGTTTGACCATCAAGAAACAACAAGAAAAGATGGTGGAGCAATCTGAAATCTCCAAAAAGCAAATCGACACACTTAACGAAGAAAAGGTCATGCTCGAGGTAGTCGTTGAAAAGTATGAAACCGAAAAGAAGGAGCTTGAAGATCGTATCAAGGAATTTGAACAAAGCAAGTTAGAGTTGATTCGAACGAGAGAGGAACTGACCATCACCAAAAACGAATCAATCAAGACTCAAATGAGTTTGGAACTCGAGAAACAAAGGACACTTAAAATCGACTCACTAGAGTTGCAATTGGCACAAACACGCTTGACATTGTCCGAGGAACGCGATCTCAACAAACGGTTGAGCGAGGAAAAGTCTACTCTGGATATCGACCATCTCCGTCTGGAAAAGCTAACCGCTGAGCAAGAGGAAGAGATTCACCAGCTGCTCTCGAACCAATCCAACGCACAAACAAAGATGGACAATATGACCAACTATGCACAGCTGTTCAAGACGTTGTCTGAAGAACACGAGGTCATGAAGAGCAACTACCAGAAGCGTACCGCCGAGTTGTCCTCGTTGCACGACAAGTTCTCAAAGAAAAAGGAGGAAGCCGTCGACCTGGCCAAACAACTCCAAGACAAGGAGGCAAAGCTCAGAGACTCGGTTACAGCCACTGACAATGCCGAGAGCGAACTGAACAAGACCCGCTTTGAGTTGTCTACCACTGCCGAAGTACTGAAAAAGAAGGAAAAGATGCTCGAAGAACAAGCCAAGAGTATCCAGGAATCGCATGACTCACTTGCCAAGGCACGCCTAGAACTAGCCAATACCCAAGCACAGTTTTCTCAACAATCGAAATCAGACCGTTCCACCATCAACAACTTTGAGGGTAATATGCACGAATACAAATCAAAGTTCCTCGATGCCATGAACAGCAAGAGTACTCTAGAGGCAGACAATGAAAAACTACGCGACGAGAACGCAAACATTAAAACGAAAATGGATCGTATCACTCACGAACTTGAAACTACAAAGGCTCAATTTGAATTGACCAAGGGTAAACCCAACCCACCTGGAAATGATGTAGCACATAGATTGGCCATCAAACAATTGGAAATCCTTAGAAAAGAAAATGAAAAATTAAAATTGGATATCGATCAATTAAAAAATATTACAACCACATCAACAACAATGGTAGAATCTAAAAAGGGTCAAGAACCTAAAATGGATGAATCAAATGATCATGTGGAACCAAAATTAAAGAAATCATCTCAATCATCTCAACAATCATCTCAACAATCATCTCAAAAATCATCTCAAACTTCTCCACCAAAAGAAACTCCTCTTTCTCCTCCTCCTCCACTTACAACCAAAAAGAGAAAATCAAAAGAACCTCCTATTATTCCTTCTCAAGAAAAAGAAAAATCAAAAGAAATTGAAATGGAAAAGAAGCAAGAAGAACAACCAAAGACAAGAGGAAGAAAGAAATTGGTTGAAACAGCAGAAAAAGAGAAAGAAGTAGAACAAGAACAAGAAAAAGAAAAAGAAAAAGAAATAGTGGCAGAAGAAAGAGTCCCCAAAAAGAAAAAAGAAAGTGAAGTTAAAAAACCTGATCAAGAAACCAACTGTACAAAGAAACCAACCGAAGAAAATCAACCAACAACAACCTCAGCAACTACTACTACTACACACAAACCAATAACACTCACCCTAAGATCACCAAAGAAAAGAACTATAGATGCTTTGGAACAACCCCAAGATGTAAATAATATTAATAATGTAAAGGAAAAAACTGCTACTGCTACTACCACCACTACTGACAAGCAAAAGGAAAAGGAAAAGAATAACAATGATAACAAACTCTCTTCTCCTGGCAAACAACAACCAACCAAAAAGGTAAAACAAGAGTTTGTACTCTCTCTAACAGGCTTCAAGGATGAAAGAACCAAAATGAACTTGGCCAGAATCATACAACATCTGGGTGGTTCCATCAAACAAGAAGATTTCGAGTCATCCATCACACATATCATTACGCCAACACAACCACCAGTACCCACTCCCACAATGAAAGGATTTGCTGCTGCCCTTACACACAAATGGATCATGTGCCAAGAATGGTTGGAAGATTCTGAAAAGGCTGGTAAATTCCTCCCCGAAGATTTATATGGTGTCAAATTCAAAGAAGAACCATTCAATGGAAAGAAATTCTTTGTTGAAGAATCATTCTATGAAACCAAACAATTAAAACCTGAAAGTTTAAGAGTTTTGGTTTGTTCAGTATGTCATCATATTTAAATATATAAAACCCTATCTCGACCATATTACTTATTTATTTATTTTTTATATTTTAGATGGGTAATGGAACAATTGTAGAAAATGAAATGGTTGCAGATTTTATTTTAACAACAAACGTACGACCTGATAATCCAAAGTGTTTATCATTTCAACAATTTTTCTATAAAATTCCACGTCCAGTAGCACCACTTTGCCGAGTCAAAAAATCATCATCCACTGATAAAAGTCTTGATACTAGTGGTGTCACTACACAGTCTGGATCACAATCATCAACATCGTCATCAAAATCTTTGAGTAGTTCAAGTGGTACAAAAACTCCAACTCGTTCAAAAAATAGTAAAAAATAATAATATAATAAATTACTTTCACACAACTATTAACTCTCTATAAAAGTAACAACTAAATCAGATTGGATGATACTTTTGTTTGATATTGTGAAGTTCACTCAATCGATTTAAACGAGCAGTTGGCGCTCTCTCAAAAAAAAGCCCGACAAAAAACGAAAAATAAATTAAATTATTTTTTGAGTTTTTTTGTTTGACGAGTCCCGAGCTGAGCGTCTGCACACCCTCTCACATTCGACAAAACTGAATCTTTAGTTCAATAGTGTATCTTTTGGTCAATAAAGTGAGGAATGGGTGTGTATCTTCTCTAAAAGAATATAACAAGAAACAGCCATACACACAACACATACTTACTCTACTATCAACTATTCCTATCAATTAATTTAGGCGCCTACAAATACTTACAGGAACTTTACAAGAAGAAGCAAGCTGATGCTATTCGTTTCCTTCTCAGATTGAGATGTTGGGAATACAGAAACCTCCCAGTCTGCCATCGTGCTTCTCGTCCATCGAGACCCGATAAGGCCAGACGTTTGGGTTACAAGGCCACTCAAGGCTTCGTCGTATACCGTATCCGTGTACGTCGTGGTAACCGTAAGAGACCAGTTCCAAACGGACGTACTGGTGGTAAGCCAAAGTCCCAAGGAGTCAACGAACTCAAGCCAAAGAGATCGCTCCAAACCGTTGCTGAAGAACGTGTTGCCCGTAGATGTCCAAATCTCCGTGTCCTCAACTCATACTGGATCAACGCCGACTCTACCTACAAGTACTTTGAAGTCATCCTCGTCGATCACTCTCACCAAGCCATCCGTAACAATCCACGTACCAACTGGATCTGTGCCCCAGTTCACAAGCACCGTGAAAACCGTGGTCTCACCTCTTCTGGTGTCAAGGCTCGTGGTCTCAGAAAGAAGGGTCGTCATGCCGTCAAGGCTAGACCATCCGTCCGTGCTAACTACACCAGACGTAACAACCGTGTCTTCCGTAGATACAGATAAACTCGTTCCACCAAAGGTTGATATATTTAAGATCCTTCAAATAAATCTATTCCTACAACTTTAAATCAATTTAAATTCATCACAGTTTATTAATCTTTTTTTTTATACTCGTTAGAAATACTACTAATACACTATCGATCTTCAAACAATTTAGATCATAAAGTCAATAAGAAATGATAATGAATAAATAGAAAAGAGATAGAGATAAGATAATAAATATTAATAGTCTCATTTAATTTAGAAAGAAAAGAGATAATATTATAATATTATCTTATAATTATTTAAAGAACAATATATATAATTTATATAATAATTTTATTTTTGGGGAGCGGGGATATCTGTCTATTTAACTTGTTATTTAAAAGGTCAAAGATTGACGAAGCTTCTCAGCTACAGCCAATTGAGATCTTGTCAAAGAGGAAATGTAAACAATCATGAGGAGATCCTTTACGCTGTTGTTGATAACCTTGTCCATAACTTGGGTGTTGCTCTTTGGTAGTGATTGGATGGTCTTGGCGAGGAAACGACCGATACGTGGGTCGCCTTGGATTTCACCTCTCTCAACAGCTTCGATATAGTTGGCAACGTCGTCGAGCATAGTATCGAGCTTGGTGAGCGATCCTCTTAAACTTTCGAGTTCAGTCAATAATGAAACAGATTGTTGTGGTTGTGGTTGTTGTGGTTGTTGTTGTTGTTGTTCGCCTTCTTGAGTTTGTTCGGTGGTGGTTTGTTCGCCTTCTTGCAATTGTGGTTGTTGTGGTTGTTGGTGTAATTGGGAGTTATTTGAGGTTAAAGCATCGATACCTGCATTCTCTGCATCGAATGAAAGGATTTCGAGTGGGAGTGGTGAAAAGTATGATCCGAGTGAACTGTCAGAGGTGGTGCTCAATTGATGTGCTTGGTAGGCATGGATGCCCATGGTGTCGTTGGTGAGACCAGTGTCGACGGTCAAATGAACTGGTGTGCCGTTCATTTCCTCACGGTAAAAGTTATTGATAATGACAGAGTTTTCATTAATGTCAGACCCAGTTGCATACCATCCAACAATTGGTTCACGTGGTGAGCTCTTTAAATGTAAATCTAACATCTTTCTATGAAATTCCATTTCTACTGCAATCTAAAGAGATTATTTAAATATAGTTAGTTAACAAGAATATATAAATCTCTTATCAGCTTTGATCGATTGATGACTACTACTAACTAACTAACTAACTACTATTACTGTTGCTGTATTGACTCGCTTTGTTCATATTTATAGTATCACAGTAGTAGTCTTTGTTGATCAGTTGTTGTTGAATGTACATACTTGATCACCTTCAGAGTGAACAACTGGGAAACAGTTTCTAATTTCAATGACACCATCATTGTTGAAACCCAACAAGGTACCAATAACTCTGTCTTGACCTTCGTTTCTTCTGATATAATGATCCAAGATGTTAAAGATGACCAAGGGGTGAACCTTGATTATGTTTTGTGATGGTAAATAGATAGATTTCTCGCCTTGCATCTTTGTTTATAGCTGTTGTTGTACTACTGTGATGGATGGTGAAGAGTATATAACGTGATCACTATATAGCTTATCTTAATCAATGCAGTGCTCTCCTCCTAATAATTAGTGTATGATCAAAAGCTCTAAAAAAAAATTGTGAAAAAAAATTGAAAAAATAAATAAAAAAAAGACGAACTCGACGAGTGCCTCCTTTGGACTCAATCAAATTGAAGGACATAATTATAGATAGATGGACGACTTTGGGATGTGGATAAAATTTATATTCTAAATTTATTGTTTTATATTATTTGTAGTACTAAAAAAAATTGTTGTTTTTAATCACCTTTCTTTTCTAATTTTGAAGCTCTCTTTTTCTCCTTTTCTCTCTTTCTTTCATTCTTTCGTTCCATGATTCTTTCAAGTTCGGCGAGATCAATCTTGGGCAATGATTTGAACACTTCAAAGATTTCATTGATTTCGTCACCTTGGTCGGTGTAGAAGAGCTTACGTGTTGGATTGATCAGATCACCAATGAGAAAACTAAACGAGTCTTCGCGATAGGTAAAGCCAGACACCTCTTCAATGGCCCATTGGTCTAGATCCTTTTCCATCTTTTCGTCAAACTGCACAATCATCGTCTGATTGATACCAATCCAAGAGATGGGCCCTTGGTTTCGTTTGAGGTAGACACTAAACCAAGTTGTACCGCTGTATGGCAGTGTGGAGAAATCCTCGAGGTACGAGGTGAGGGCGAGTTGTGGGGCAATGTTGAGAGGGACCAATTGAGAGTGGGTCTTGTTGATATCGTGTGCCCAATCAGAGAGCGACTTTTGGTTGATGAGTGTGGCAGGTATGCAAAGGGCGACTGTCTCTTCAGAGATGAGTGGACACTCTGGGTTGTAGTCTCCCTCTTGTGCTTGTAGTTGGTAGGCTGCCAACTTGAGCGCTCTCTCGCTGGTCATACCCGGTGTCTTGCCGGCCAACACGTCGTGTACGCACTGGTAAAACATGAGCTCGAGCATCGAGTTGCTCATCGAATAGGATGTGTGGGGGATCCACAACTTGCGCAAGAGAACCAATCGACCGACGATAGGCGTCTCGTCTGTCTTTTTCGACTTTTTCTCCATGTCTTCAAAGAGCTTGATGACGTCGGCCAGCTTCTCGTGATCCTTGATAAACTGCTCCTTGCCATTCCACTCCTTGTAGATGGCAAACTCCTTCCAATAGGTGACATCGAGACGTTCAGTCAAGATCATCTTGAGTGCTTCGTGTGCCGTCGTCGAGGGACCAATCTCGATTTGTCGTGGTGGACCGTTGGCCAAATGGATCTTGATCACCATGCTTCTGTTTTCCTTGGCTGCATGTGTCTCTTTTTTTTGATGGACCATACAATCTCGGTCCTTTGAGTGATGTCGCTTGCAATTTAACAATACACTGTTTGGTGTATTTATTCTCCAATGCCGCTAAAAATTGTCTAATATATGGGAAAAACTCGGCAGTTGCTGGGAAACATCCTGCACATAAACTAAATAATAAAATTCCTTTTCTAGTACCCTCACTAAAAAAAATAAATCAATTAGTTTATAATTGTCCATAATATTATTATTATTAATTAGCTTTCTTTCTTACCTATTTGGATTCAAGGTTAATTGTCTACAAATAAAAAAATAAATATCGTCACGTAGTCTTGGCTTATTTATACATCGTTGAATAATATTTTGAAGTAATCTACTTTTACGTTCCTTTGGAGGTAGAGGTATATCACCCATATATTTCATAATTTCAATAAATAAATCACCAATATCTTTTTGTATCTCTAATGGTAAATCTGAAATAAATAAATTGGTATCCTAATTAAAAATAAAAATAAATAAATTAATTAAACAATCAAAAGAAATTTCTTTCTTCTTATTCTTTTTTCTTTTTTCTTTTGACATACAGAACAATTAGGAGTATGTTTTAAGATATCACCCAATTTAACAGCAGTAATGGAACGATAACGATTGATGGCGTAGGGCATAAGAGGATGCTTGGTATTTTCAACTTGTTTGATATTAAAGATTGAAGAGTTGGCTTGGTTATCAAAGTGTTTGGCAGACCGACTAGTCTTTTTTTGAGACGATCTTGAAACAACGGGGGTTTCAGACGAGGCACTGGCGGTTGGTTGTCCAATCAAAATTCTGACGTATTCAAGTGGGAAATTACCGACTACTCCAGTACCTCCATCTTCTTGCTTGACAGTACCAGAACACCAACCAAGATCACCACGTTCAGTAATCGTAAGTAGATTACCTTTTTTGAAAGAGAATGGTTCTGATGGGATGGAATAGTCTCTAATGGCAATAGCACACTTGCTGTCAGCAGACAGATGGGTGATGTATCCGTTGATGAGGACTGCCATTTCCGAGCATTGTGGGGACTGAAGAACGAGATCTTCTTCGTCACCGCCAATTCTCACACTGAGTGTCTTGCCATCTTGTTCAATATCACATGATGCAATTTGAGAGTATTTATACGTTTCAATGACCTTGAAATTCTTTCTTGGTTTTTGACCAATCAGTAATCTAGTCAAACCGATCACTGCATTATTATTATCAATAATCGAATTGTCAACCATTGAACCATCTGGATTCACAGTTACCAATCCATTCGCATTATCAGTATTATTATTATTACCTCCACCAGTATTATTATTGTTATTATTATTATTATTATTATCAGAAGAATTAGTATTACTATTATTGTTATTATTATTATTATTATTTACATTTGTTGATATACCCCCACTACTATTATTATTATTATTATTATTATTATTATTGGTTCCGTTATTATTGTTATTATTATTATTGTTTTCTCCATCACCTCTAGGAGTTTTTGGAATATTTGAATCGTCATCTAATAAATACTCATCAATCTTTTTATAATCGATGGCTTGTTTGGAAATGATATGTACACCATTGATGTCAATGACGACGTGGAAGCCATCAAATGCACCTCCTGCGATTTCAACCTCACTCCATTGATCTTGCGTACAATCCAAAAAGATGGCACTGCCATAAAAGGGAAGCGACATTATAAAGTTGACAATAATGCCGCGTAAATCATCCAAAGAAAGGTGTCTAAAGTAGTTTTGATACTCTATGTACTTGGCCTTGACAATGTCACTCCATTCACCCATCGAGTGCACCAAGAGCAGCTTCTCGGGGATGTATCGTTGCCAGACATCCGAGTGCGAGTTGGGATTGGAGTTGCAGAGCACGTCTGTTTGCAGACGCAGTGCAGCCAACTTGGCAAGGTTGTCTTGACTGATTGGCAGATAGCTCTTGGAGATACTCTTGATGAGCTGATGGTACAGGATGTGCTGGTCAAAGTTGCTCGTGATCGGTTTGGACGGTTTGAGGTAGAGTTGGATCTTGAAGCAAAACTGGAACGGCTCCAATGAGATGACCTCGCTGTTGGGTGTGCCGTGCGACAAGTTGTAGAGGTTGACCGACTGGTAGTAGTACTCCCACTTGGAGACAACGTCCATGATAAACTCGTTCTTTCGCAGCGAGCGCTCCTTGTTTTTAAAGATCTCATAGACGGATGCCACGTGCACGTTGGTGCGCAGCCCGGCCATCTTGGTGAGTCGCTCGGTCACCTCGCCAGCCGTCGTCGTCGAGTCCACCTCGACATGCTCTCCGACATCGTCGGGGAACTGGAAGAGCACACGCAGCATCACTTTGGTGCGCACAGCCTCAATCTCGCTCTCGATTGGCGGATACGACCGTGGACCTAGTCGCGATATGTTTTCGAGCCGGTTGAACGAGATTTGGGCAAAGCCATCGTCATCGGGGTCCGATCGATGCAGCAAGAAGCTGCTAATATACTTGAGCAGACGCTGGTTGGGCGGGAACGACCCGCAGCAAATCGACAGCAGCTCCCAGCCGCGGATCTTGTTCTCGCGCTTGGGGTGGCGTGTGATCTGCTTGACCAGCTGGCAGTAGACCTCGTCGCGCAGGTCGATGTGCTCGAGTGCCGTCTTGACAATGTAGATGGCGGTTGATGCCAGGGACTTTTTGCGCTCTTGGTCGCCCATGTACATGAGGATGTGGTTGAATATCTCGAGCGACAGCTTCTCAAGGTTGGCGTCGTTGAACTTGTGCAAGGGGGACGACAACTTCTTGGCAAACGATACAAGCATGTCATAGGTGACATTACGCTTGCGGATCAGCGACTTTTTGCTGCGCTGCTCAAAGTTTTGCTTGGCATAGTCGATAAAGAGAAACTCTTCGGCATCTGATTCCTTGACAATGATCGACTTGCTACGACGACGCGGAGATAGAACGTTGGCAAAATGTGCGTTGATCAGCGGCATTGACGTCGTGGCCTTGTAGATGGGCAGCTGGGGTGGGGGGATCGGCTCGGTCTTTTTAGGTGCACCGCCAAGTGACGAATAGGTACGCGACAGCGACGACGGTGTCTTGACACTAGGCGACGTCGATGGGAAATAAACAAATGCTGGGAACTTGGCACGTGGTGACACGGATGACAGACGTGGCGATACTGGGTTGACGATCGGTTGTCCTTTACCCGGCGACACTGGTTCGCTGAGCTTGTTCCCCAATGCCACGGCAGTACTATTGCTAAAGTTGTTTGCACTAATCGCACGACTATTTAAATTGAGTGAGTATGTTCGACTGCGTCCCTGTTGTTGCTGAGGGGCTGTTCCACTTGGACCCGGTGAAGAGGAGGAGGAGATTGATATAGATGGTGACGATGAAGATATCTGTTGTTGCTCTCTTGGCGATGTACCAGTACTTGATTTGATAACAATCGGTTGTTGTTTGGCATGATCGTTTGAATTGACATTGACCGACAACCCAGAAGGGTTTTTTGATGAAGATGGACGAGAGCCACCATGGTGATCAAAAATATTAAGTGGAGGAGGTTTGGATTTCTGTTTAGAAGTCGATGATGATGAAGAGGATGACGACTCTACAGTGGAATTAAATACAGGTGAAGGATGTTGTTGTTGTTGTTGTTGAGTGTCTTTTTTAGGAGAGACTGGTGGAGAGTAGGGAGGTGACGAGTCGGAAGGGGTGGTGGAACTCGGTGAGGAGATGGGGGTGAGACTGGGTGAGGGATGTTGCTCCTTTCGCGTGCCGATCATCAAGGGTGGAACTCCGCGCGACGACGATGGACGAACAAAGGGTTTAGTGGGCGTAGTAGAGGTTGGCGTAGTAGGTTCTTTACCATCGGCCCTAAAATCAGAAAAGAATCTTACTTCCTTTCTCTTTGATTGGTGGTGACTAGTAGTAGTATGTTGTTGGGAACCACCACCACCACCAACCTGTAATGAAGTAGCGGTACTTTGATGGTGATGGTGATGGTTATGATGGTGATGGTGATGATGATGGTCGTGAAGAATGGCTCCTCCATCTCTATGATCTTTGTTTTGGTGCATGTAAAACATGGTGGGAGATGTGGGAGGAGTAGAACAGGGTGAATTATTTACAATGAGCGATGGCGGCATCACGGGTGGTGTAGGGGTGAGGATGGTGGTGGGGGTGTCGGCTGCGACTAGCGCCAGCTGGCTATTGTACACTTGCAGCTGGCCGACATAGTCGATGGCCAGCAACCCACGCATACTAGACTGCAGCGCGACAGCCGCTCGCTTTAAACGCAGATATCGTACACGCTGGATAATCATACGCGCAAACGACTCGAGAATGATGATGGCCTGGCGGATCGACAGGTAGCGACGTTGTACCAGCCATCGTCGCGCGCATTTTTGAAAGACGACAATCGCCTGCTTCTTGGCCAAATATATCTTGCGCTGGCGGTACATTCTCCAGGTCTTTTGGATGACGATCGAGCTGCGATAGCGACGTTTCTGTCGCTCAACCTCGAGCAATTGTCCAAGAGCATATCGAAAGTAAAACTTTAATCCTCCCGGATGCAAAATGGGAAAGACCAACGTATCAAATTGAATGCCATTCTCTTTCATCTTGTCCAACAGTCCCTTGGACGGATCCTGTTTAAAGAATGGGAATCTTTCATAGAATATAGTTTTGGGATAGGATGTTGTAAAACCAAGTTTTTGGATCCTCGTACTTTCCACAAGCAGTGCCGTTTTAATTTGTTCATTTACAATCTTTGAATCAAATTGATTTGGCATCTTTTTGGAATTTGGTCTTAAACATTTAATAAAATGAAAGTTTGCATTTGGTGGTAATGATTTAATAATTGATAATGGTGATCTCTAAAATAAATAAATAAAAAAAAAAAACAAATATTAATATTATATTATATGATTTGATTTGATTTAATATATATATATTAAATATATTTACTCTTGAAGTTTTGATAGCAGTATTGGTATTATCAGAAAATGATTTGATGATTGAACCTTTGTAGAGATTTGATGATTTCTGATAGATTTCATCACGATTCTTTTGAATAAATCCTTTTGTATCATAAAACATGGTTCCAAAAAAGTGTTCAACACCAAATTTCTTTTGTTTCATATAATACAAATGATGTTTACCAAGGAATAAATTTAATTTCTCAAGGAATACACCATCATTTGATTTTTCATTTTTTGATTCTTGATCTAATAAATTTACAATCTAAATAAATAAATAAATCAAATTAATAAAATAATTCTTTTTTTTTAAATCTTTTTCTATATTTTTTTTTACCTTTTCTAATAAACCTAAAGATTCAGCATTATCTTTATAATTTATAGTATTCCAATTAATTCTTTCCTTTCTATATTCATCTTGTTCGTTTTTCAAAATATTTTGAATATAGATTTGTTGGAGTTGTTCTTCCAAAAAGTTGATAGAGAATTGTTCGTAGCCGTTGAGTTGGGTATTCTCTTGTCCAAATAGATCCAAGAGGCCAATGATATGGTCGTGACTTTCAGGTGACAACTTGAGGTTGAGTATATCGACAATCCATTGAAATAGATTAGTATACAATGATTTGGCAAGAGAATCACGATTTTCAATAGCTTCCTGCATAGTTGTATTCTTATCAGGTATAAAGATTAATTCCAATTTTGATTGATCATATGAAATTGAATTTGCAATAGTTTCTAAATCTAAAGATAAATTTAAATAAGTAAAGATGGATAAAGTATAGAGTGTTTTGACTTTCTTTCTCTACATACATTGTCTATCTTTAATATCAGCTTTTGTTTTGGTTTGAGTAAAATTAAGGTTTCCAAGATTAATGATAAATGCCAATGTTCTAAAGATGAGGTCGGTGTGATAAGATGTAAAATCAAAGAAACTAAATGCCATTCTGAGTCTTTCAAAATTCTTTTGATCGTCGATTTCATCCACTGCAAATAGTCCACCTTGGCAGAGATAGTGATAGGTGTTGATATCACTTAGGCCATAGAGCTGCTTTTCCTCTTCCGTAGTTCCCATTAAAAATTGATAAAATATATGAAAGTTTCTTTCCCATTTGTTATGATAGGTTACTCTTGATTCATCTAAAAAATAATTATAAATTCTTGCTCCTTTTATATCACCATATGAACTATAATAAATTTCAATATATTTTCCCTAAAGTAAAAAAAATAATATTATTAATATCTAATGTATATATATAAACTAATGTTAAGTCTCTCTCTCTATGAACATACAAATCTTGAAGAATTAAAATTTGAAGCAGTTATACAATGTCCAAAAGATTCCAAGATTGGACCAGATTCTAAAATTAGATTTTCAATATTTGTACGTTTATGACTTGGAGTAGTTCCCAATAAACATTGAATAATCAATTTGTTATTCTCTGATTTACCACTACCACTTTCACCACTATAAATATAATCAATAACAATATCAATATTAATTAGTAATTCATTCATATGAGGGAGATAGTAGTACTATACTATCAACTATAAAATAATGTATCTTACCAAATACAAATAACTTGATTTCTATGAAAATCAATCATATCTAGATAAGAGTTTTCAGCAACAGAGAATAGATGGGGTGGTAATCTAATACCATTTCTCTGTTTATAGATATTGAGTATTTCAGTTGTATAAATACCAAGTTTTTGATAAGGATTAATTGATACTAAAATAGGTCCAATATTGGTCTAAAAAAAAAAAGTAAAGGGGAATCATAAGTATGAACATATTTTCTTTGAGATTGGTATCCAAGATACATACATAAATAATATTCTTTTTAAATCTAATTTGTAAATTATTAACCAAACTATCTTCATCGGTTTCTTTCATTTCAGATAGATCATCTTGTCCAACCTTATTTCTTTCCAACATTGATAATGTTTCAAGTCTCTTTTTCTCTTTACTATTGTTATTGTTTGTAGTATTATTCGTATTATTATTATTAAAGTTATTATTACTATTATTACTCGTATTATTACTATTATTATTATTATTATTATTATTCCCTCCTCCAGTAATGATATCTTTAAGATTGGTAATACTTGGGCTGTGTGGAATCAACCCTCCAGTCTTTTTGTCCTTCTTCTTTTTTTTGGTCTTGTCGTTCATGATAATGGTGCTTCCACCACCACTACTACCACTACCACCACCACTATTGTTGTTACTGGTCGATGTAGTTGATATAGACGTGTTGGATGGCAGAAAAGGGATGTAAGACGATGACGATGATGATGATGAGGATGGGGTAAGAGAAGAAGCGGCAGTCGAGTATGATGTTGTCGTGGTCGTGGTTGATATACTTGGTGATACTGATGAAGGCGAAGTCGGTGCCCTTATCTTTAAAAGTACTGTCGATGATGAATTTGAGGAAGATGAAGTTGATGATAATGGAGGTGATGATATTTCATTATTATTATTATAATTGTTATTACTATTGTTATTACTATTGTTATTATTATTATTATTATTATTATTATTATTTGATGGAGGAGAGGAGAGTGATCTAGCCAACAAACCAAATATTGAAGTTGATATTGGTGGAGCTGATTGATGATGCTGTTGTTGTTGTTGCTGTTGTTGATCATTGTCTCCTCCACCTCCTCCTCCTACATTAATCGGTTTACTAGGATGATACATTCTCTTTCTCTCCCGAAAGAGTGTTACTCAGAGGAGTAGTAGGATTACTGTGCAACAAGAAGCTTCTGTCTTGATGTACTACTATATATAAATATATAACTTTTTAAAAAGAGGAGAGACTGAGAATGAACTAGTGCACTAACTATAAATATATTATATGATATTATAAATATATATTACTCTTATTCGATTGATCGATATTATATCGAATCGGTTGTTGTTGTTGCTTCTATCTCAATGAATAAAGAGTATATTCTTGTTGTTTGGTGAGGTGTATAATGTATGTGATGGTTGAAAGCTGAGGTCTGCAGAGCTATTATTAAAAAATTTCACAAAAAAAAAAAACCATCACACAAAGAGATTGGTCTGGTCAAATCCTCAAGGTTGGGTTTTTTTTTTCGCGCGATTACAACGAACGATAACAGTTTGATCAAACAAACTCGACAAAAGTCTTTGAATAGGGACCGTCCCTATTTATATTATAGTATGATAGTTTTAGTTTATACTCAAGAAAAGAGATCATTTTTAAAAAAAAAGAGATAAATAAATAATTCCGCTCTAGAATTTATTTGAAAAAGAATATAATTATGATTGGTTATGGGGGGATTATTAAGTATACATATAAACAAAAGTTGGGTTTGATTGATAAAAAAACAGGGTTGAGTTTTTGATTTAAGGAGTAATTACAAATTTGTTGGAAGTCTTGAAAGTGGTGTAACGACCGACAGAGGCAGAGAAGAAACGAACTTCATAGTTGCCGGGCTTGTCGGGGGCAGTAAATGTAATGATACCATTACCGGTGGTCGAGTTGGTGTAGGTCGAGTAGAGATAGTTTTTGTTGTTTTCATCGGCGAGGGCAAAGAGGCCAATCCAGTCACTGGTCGATGGGACGACCGTGTTGACGGAATACTCAATCTTGATTTCGTCGCCCTTGCAGACGATGGGTGTCAACACCTCGATCTTGTCCATATCGACAATCTCAAAGGTGGCGATAGCTTGCTCGTTGTATTTGGTGGGGCTGACAAAATAACGCACTTGGTATTGTCCGGGTGTGCGTGGGCTCTTGAATACGGCAGTACCCGATGCCGAGGCATAGACCATAGCAACATACTTTTTGTTACGGGCCGACTTGGTGTAGAGGCCGATCCAGTCGGATGCAGAGTGTGTAGAGGCAGGGTCGACCTTGTAAGTGACGTGAATCTCGTCGCCGAGTACGTGGGCAGTCAACGACACGGATGGACCAATCTTGACCGACGAACTCGTGACGAGCATGTCGTAACGGTTGGTAAAGAGACGTGCTTCATAGTGTCCCGGAATAATACCTGGGAAGTTGACAGAACCAGTATTACCAATGATTGTGTTGTAGGTGAGGTAACGGTCGTGCTTTGGTTGATGTGTGGGGAAGATACCGACCCAACAACTGGCATGCACCTGACCAGCGAGATCGTACGACACGATAATCTCATTCAACTGTTCAACACGGAGTGTCACCGAAATGGTCTGATTCGACACGAGGTTGCTGAGCTCGGTCTCGCGTTGCTCGCGAATCTTGAGTTCCTCCTCGAGTGCGCGTGTGCGGTCGGCTTCCTCATTCTTGAGACGTTCAATTTGCTCGAGTTTCTGTTGGTAGGCGAGTTCCTTGCATGCTTGCTCTTCCTCCAATGCTTTGAGACGTGCTTCTTGGGCAGCCATCTTCTCGGCCTGGATTTGCATACGCTCCATGTGTGAGCGCAACAACTTTTCTTCTTGTTCCTTGCTGGCGCGTTCTTGCTCGAGCTTGATCTTGCGTTCCTGGGCAGCCAATTCTTGTCCCAATTTCTCGCGTTCCAACTCGAGTTGCTTCTTGAGTTCCTGGGCAGCCATTTGTTGCTTGGCAACCTCACGCTCGCGCTCGAATCTCTCTTGCTCGAGTGCCTTGCGCTCACGCTCGATCATGAGCTTGGTCTGCTTGTCAGCTTCCTCACGCTCCTTGGCTGCGCGCTCCTGCTCGTATCTAGCAACTGCTTCCTTTTCAATACGCTGTTTCTCGGCACGAGCTTGATGCATCTTTTCAATGGCAGCTTGTTCGCGAGCCTGTTTCTCCAAGGCGGCGTCGAGTTCCTCGGCAGCGCGTCTCTCTTGTGCCAACTTTTCTTGACGCATAATCTCGTAACGCAAAAACTCTTTCTCTTGGTTCTCCATCTCTACGCGCTTGGCTTGTTCCAACTCGGCGGCTCTCTTGGCTTGTTCCATCTCGATTCTCTTGGCTTGCTCCAACTCTGCTTTTTTAATCTGCTCCAATTCGGCCGATCTAATGACTTGCTCCAAATTCTCTTGTTCACGAGCCTGCTTTTCCTTGAGCAGATCCAATCGTTGACGCATCTTTTCTCGTTCCATTCTTTCTCTTTCCATACGTTCCAATGCACGCTTTTGTTCTTCGAGTGCGGGGTCAGGTGCGTTCAAATTCTTGAGTGCTTGTACGGTTTGGTCGACGTTGCCACCAGTAGCTTGGTAGACATCAAAAATGGTCGATTGGTTGACATCAAACTTGGCTCCACCCATCATATCTGTCACTTGTTTAACTACTTGTTGTTGACTTGGTTTGGGTTGTGCCGATGGTGCTGTTGGTCTCTGTTGTTGTTGTTGTTGTGGATATACTGGTCTCTGTGAAAGGGGTGCTGGTGCTGGTTGTTTTGGTGGTAGAGACGTTGGTTGTGGCTTGGGTGCTTCCATCTCTGACAATGCAGCAGCTGCATTTTCAAAGTTATTATTATTATCTTTTAATACCTGTCCCACCGTATCTCTATCAAACAATGTAAAGATATCTATTAAAGCTGAAATCTTGGTTTCAATATCGTCTGCCATTTTCTATATAATTTATAATCTATAATATATTATTTATATATATCTATCTTTTAATATTATTATTTATATCTAAATCTATAATCAAATATATATATATATAAAAGTATTGAGTTGAAAGTGTAAGTTGTTGTTGATGTGTTGTACAAGTGTTATTAGATAATATTTGTATTTGTATTTGCTATCTATCTATCTATCACAACTAAATAAAAATAAAATAACTTTGTACTAGTAGTAGCGTGAGCGAATTAATTAAACCTATTTTTCTACTTTTTTGGGTCTGAGAAATAAATATTAAATTATTTTTTTTTTGTTTGCAAAGCTTGTCCCTTTGAATCTCAAGAATGAAATGTGCACAGTCACACAGCAGTCATAGAATGTGTGCTTGAATGAATGAGTTGGTTGTTGTTCTTTTAAAAACTATCTACTTACAGTTGTAATTTATTATTTCTATTACTCGATTTGTGAAGTATTAAGAATGAGGTAGAAATAATGTAAAACAAAGGAACAAGAGGAAGCAGGGAATACCCGTGAGTATATTATTTTTAATTTAATATTTTTTTTTTTATTATCTCTTTCTTGGTTTTTTTAAACACACACACTCCCACAGACCTTTCACACACCTGTCTCTTGTTGTTGACCGTCTCATATTAATTTGGGATTGGATTGGATTGGATTTAACAAATACGAATTATTAAATATTATTATTAATTAAAAGTTGTGTCTATCTTGAATTATTCAAGATAGATAATTAGATATATTTACAGATTGTGATCGGTAACCTTTACATTCATGATCCAAACATTTTTGGTACATCACTGCACCACCACCAGTGCTACCAACATAACATTCATAGTAAATGTTATTACTCTTGTGTTCGCGACCAATATTATCACACCATCTATTACCATTGATATTATATGTAATGATTATATTATTATTATTTGTATTATTATTATTATTTGTGTTATTTTGATTATTATTTGTGTTATTTTGATTATTTTGATCAGTTGGATGAAATGTTTTAATTGAACGAATGGTTCCTTTTGGGCCACCCTTTGATCCAATAAAAGATCTTATAAATTGATCTAGTTTTGGGAATGGTGAATGACTCACTAATTGTGGTGGTTGGAATGATTGGGATCGCAGTGTATTTGGGTACTTGTTAACAGGTGATTGAAAAGTTAACTCTCTATGACTAGGTATTAGAATCAAGTCGGTTGTATTACAAACCAAACTTTTTGTGAATATTTCATTTTCTAATATTTCATCAGAGGAGGATGAAGAGGATGAAGAGGATGATGAATTGTTTGTTGTAAATGGAAAGATACAAGATGGATGAAGTTTGAGTGCTTGATCCTTTCCAAATTTCGATGAAAGGAACATTCTAAAATGTCTATTCTTGGTGTACACTGCTCCATCTATAATCGATACCATTTTACCTTTATCATTTCTAACAAATAGATAAGGTGTTGTTTTTTCATCAATCTCTATCTCTTCTTCTCCTCCTACTTCCTCATCTTGATATTTTCTTTTCTTATTTACATCTTCTTGATTATTTGTTGTTGTTGTTGTTGTGGTAGCAGCTGTCAAGGTTGTTGTTTCTGTTGTTTCTGTTGAATCTTCAGTAAAATCAAATTCAAAGTCATCATCAACAACCCAATTATTATCCTTGTCATTGTCTATTTCTTTATCTCTTTCTCTTTCTCTATCATTTTGTAATGATACTATTTTTTCCATTTCCTTTTCTTTTTTCTTTATAAAGTTACTAAATAAATAAAGTTATTAGTTTATATTATATCTCTATATCTATCTATTTGTTTTCGATTAGTTACTTTATAAAGTATCCAAGATGTTCATTATTCTTAAAACAAGTATTTGGTAAATGCCAAATGAGATGTCTTGAAAACTTTGTTGGTGTACTTGAATCCAAATCAACAACGTCGTGATAGCCAGTATCTATAGAATACTCTGTCTTGATTTCCTTTGCGAGTGCATCAACTAGTACCGATATCATTGTGGCGGGTCCTTTATCAGAGCCATCGTATTGAGGATTACATTGTCTTTGATACTCAATGTCCAAGTACAATAGACATGGTTCACCCTCTGCAATCACCTCGTAGTAATGTCGATCCTTTACATTGGTTTCTTGTATCAATTTCCATATACCTTGATAACTTGTAACAATGAATCTATACTTCAAACAACAACATTATTAGTACAATTTTAACAGAGATAACAATGTAAATGACATACTCACGAGCACCTCTTAAACTAATCTCTTGTGCAAAAGTCTTTTTAAATAGATCATCAGTTAAATCTATCTGATCCTCTTCATCATGTTGATGTATAGATGAAATGGCTTGAGTTTGTTTTGAAAAGGTTGTTACTTTACTTTTTAAAATTCAAATCAGATGTTAGTATGTATTTTATGTAAAACAAAATTGCAAGAATGTTACATACTTTATCTCTTGTTTCTTTTCCTCTTCTTTATCTTGATATTGTTTGTGGGTCTGTCGTAGTCCCTTGAGATAATCGTCCCATGAAGACATAACTAATTTACAAAAAAAAGATAATTATTGGACCTCTGCAAATCAGTCGATAAAGTCGATGAGCTCGGACATCAATTTTAATTATTATTTCATTGTATGATGGAATCTATAGTTAAAGATTGTACATCAAATAATAATAATAATAATAGTAGTGTTTGTAGAATATGCAATCAAAAGATAACATCATCTGATGATGGTGGTGCACTGATCAATCATTATTTAGAATGTATCGATTCATTGAAATCTGTATTGTTAAATATCAAAAGTAGTAATCAAAAACATGATGATGATCAACAAGATAGTACAACAAGAAAGAGAAAGAAGATTGAAAATGTATCTCCAACTACAACAACTATATCATCAACAAATCATTATTGTAAGTTATATTTATTACTTAAAAGACAAAAGTTAGTTATATTAATGATGATTATTATTATAATTTGTATTTAGTTAAAGATACATTATTTAGAGTATCGATGATATCAATATTACATCGTGAAGATCATAATCAAAGTGTAATGAGTTTGTTAATGACTTGTAAAGATGCTATGAAATGGAAGGATACTGTTGTATTCCCAAGATTACCTTCTATTGATACGATAGCATATTATAAAAAGAATAGAAAAATCAATCAACTACCTCGACGATACAATCGAGTTTATATAGATAATGATAGAGATAGAGATTATTTTCAAGAGAATGTAGATGGTTTAATCAATCATCATTGTAGAGAACTCTATTATAATGTCGATGAAGAATTACCAGCTGGGTTTATACCAGATCACTTTACAAAGATCTATTTTGGTGAAGACTATCAGAATCAACTCGAGGTTGGATCAATACCGCCATTTACAACTCACCTCTATCTTGGAGATTCGTACCAACAAGATATACATAAACAACTGTTTCCAGATACATTGGAAGTACTCAATATTCCAACCAACGTGACGATAGAGTCGGGAGACATCAACGATCTCTTACCACACAATATAAAGGAACTTCACATCCCATCAGACTTGGTGCATCCCTACCTCTTTAAACTCAAGCAGCTCACATGCCTCATTATCGCTGATATTGAGTCTGAAGATGGGGAGAATGACGGGTCAGAGGGTTTTGTGCCGACCATCAAGGTTGGCAGTTTGCCAAACACAATCGTTCACTTGGATCTTGAAAGTTGTTCGGTCGAGGTGGGTGCCATCCCTTCAAGTGTCAAATACCTTTCGATCAACCTCACCAATAATGATCCAACATGCATCCCATCATCGGTTAAATCGTTGTATGCAAAGTGGGATGAGTCGACACCCATCACAAAGGGAATGATACCATCTACCGTCACTGAACTCGTCTTGGATGAACAATACTCTCTTTTACCAGGCAGTATTCCATCATCGGTCACCACACTCACCTTGATGGCTCTCGATGAAACTCCACCAAAGGGTGCCATCCCAAACAAAGTCCATTCTCTATTTTTATTTGGCATGATGTGCGAATTAAATGCCAGTATACTTCCAAACAGCATAAAGTATCTTGGTATCCATGGTGATTGCAGTCTCAAGTTAATATCAATGATCCCACCCTCAACCAAATATTTTGATTATCAATCAACCAATTTAATAGGTGCTGATGTTAAATTTAGTGCCAATGATATTCCAAATGGTGTTACCCATATTAGATTAGGTATGTTGTAAAGTTATATAAAAAAAAAATTAATATTTAATAATAATAGTGACATTTATTATTTATTATTTATTTTTAATTATTTAGGAGTTGGATTTAATAAAGTAGTGGTTCCAGGATTTATACCAGACAGTTGTGAATATTTGGAATTTTCAGAGACATATGATCATCGGGTTCCTCATTGGGCACTACCAAAAAGTTTAAAAACCATCTCTTACAATCCAGCATGTCGCAAGATTAGTGAAAATATTCCATCCTCTCTCAATCAATCATTTACAAATATTGGTCATGAAGGAACACATTGGGAGACTACTCCAATGGATTATTGGAAAGGAATGACTTGGCATTTAAACGAATAAATTATCATTTCTTTTTCAAACAATATTATTAACTGACTATTATTAATATTTATTCATTTATATTTCTCAAAACCATTGGTCTACTCCACCCAAAAGGCTAGGAAATCCCAATCATTATTATTTCTATCTTGTTCCTCATTCTTGGATGTTTGTTTAATAGATCGTGGAATATTTTGGCTAATCTTTGAACAAATAGTATTACAACAGAGTTATTAAATTAATTTTTTATTAAATTTCTTAATTAATATTACCAATCTTGATAATTCCAATAATGAATAAATCCCAAGATTGAATGCCACTCACTCCCTCCTTCACTTTTCTTTGTTACGTATGTTTGTTTGATAGACGGTGGAATATTTTGGGTTAGATTGAGGTGACTAGGATTGCAACCAACAGTTTTCAACTGTTTTGGTACAGTCTGCCAAAGTGGAGCTTTGTCATAGTTGTCAAAGGGAAATTCCAAATACTGGCAACTGTCTGGAATATATCCTGGAGTTAATTCTTGATCAAATCCAGGTCCTAAAAAAAATATTGAATAAATTTCTTTGATTATAATCATTGATTGATAAAATAACTTACCCAATCGAATATGAGTGACTCCATTTGGAATAAAATTTGCATCATCTCCTTCATAGTCCAAATATTTTGTCGAGGGAGGGATAAATGATTTGAACTGGAAATCGTCTTTTAAATGAATATAAAAATACTCTATGCTCTTTGGGTATTCTCTTCCATCGAATTGACACTTTAAGTCAAATAAAATTAGATTTGAAATGCTATCAAGTGGCATGGTGTCAGCGGGTGGGGAAACTTCAAGATCAAACAGTGTCAATCTAGTGACAGATTGTGGTATGCTTCCTTTTATGATATTATATTTTCCTTCAAACTTGAGATCTTTGACAGAAGAGGGAATCGATCCCTCCAAGATTGTTGTGGGTTCATCATAAACCACAGAGAGGTGCTGGACAGATGAAGGAAGACATCGAGGTGAGTTTTTAGTTAGGTTGATTGTTAGGTATTTTACACTCGATGGAAGTGTGTACCCAGCATCGACAGTACAATTGTTGCCAAGATATAAATATTTGATTGTATTGGGTATAGCTCCAATACGATTCTCTGCACCTGGTATATGTCCATCCTGTCCAATCTCGAGACAATATAGTTTCTTGAGTTTAAAGAGATAGGGATGCACAAAATTAGGTGGGATACGAAGCATCCTTAGATTGTGTGGTAAAAGATCATCGAGGTTTGAGTGTTGGCCAATCACTACAAATGCGAGATTGAGTACTTCTAATGTATCTGGGAAGAGTTCTTTATAGATCTCTTGTTGGTACGAGTCTGCCCCAAGTAATAGGTGGGTTGTGTATGGTGGTATTGATCCAACTTCTATCATTGAACTAACGAGAATCTTGGTAAAGTGATCTGGTATGAATCCAGCTGGTATCGGTTCATAATGAATACTATAGTTTAGTTCTTTACAATGATGATTGATTAAACCATCTACATTCTCTTTGAAATAATTTCGATCTATAACACTCTCGATATAGACTCTATTGTATCGTCGAGGTAGTTGATTGATTCTTCCATTATTCTTGTACGATTCTATTGTTTTAATAGAAGGTAATCTTGGGAATACAACAGTATCTTTCCATTTCATAGCATCTTTACAAGTCATCAATAGATTCATTACACTTTTATTATGATCTTCACGATGTAATATCGATATCATTGATATTCTAAATAATGAATCTTTAACTATACAAGAATAATCAATAGTATAAATAAGTATTCAATGTTTGAGAAACAATAATTTATAAATATTTATAACTTACAATAATGGTTTGCAGATGTAGAGTATGGAGATACATTTTCAATCATCTTTCTCTTTTTTGTATCATTCTCATCATCCATATCAAAGCATGGATCGTCAGTTAGTGTTGTTGATGTAATCGACGAAGATGGTGATGATATCAATGGTGATTGCTGTGATAAAGAAGATATGTTGTTACTTGATGTTAACAAGCTATCGCTTTGAGGATGACTATGGGTGTCATCCAACTGATTCGTCTCTCTATTTCTCTTTTTCCATTGTTGTTCATCCAACTTTATTTCTTCCATTCTGATTGTGTTATTTGTATATCTTTCAAAGATATCTATAAAATAAGTGCATTCACAGAAGATCTTAAACTTGTGTAAAAAAAATGATATAAATTATTTCAAGTTTCGGTGGAACCTTCAAGATTGATTTATTTATTTATTTATTTCTTTTTCTTATCAATTAGCCACTATATTCTGTAAATAAATTCCAATATTCTATGAATCTTAAGGCCATATTCCACTCACTTCCTCCTAGATGGGTCTTATTGGCAAATGATTGATTGATAGATGGTGGAATACAATTACTAATCTTTGAACAAATTGGATTGCAATTGACAGTTTTCAATTGTTTTGGTACGGCCCTCCAAAGTGGTGATTTATCATAAAAGTATGAAAATTCCAAGAGTTCACAACTATCTGGAATCTGTCCGCTAACTACTTCTTTATTATATTGAAGACCTTAAACATTTTTTAAAAGAAATAAATTAGTTCGTGTATGATTAGAATTTCTTTTTGATTGATAACTTTACTTACCAAATCTAACACGATTAACTCCATTTGGAATATCATTGGCACTTATATCAATACTCGATGGTTGACTGACTTGATAATTAAAATATTTTGTCGATGGTGGAATACAATGTTTGAGTGAGAAATCGTAATTTCCATGAATTGCGAAATACTCAATGCTACTTGGATAGAGACTCCCATCGAATTGACTTTTTAATCCATTGATACATAGTCTAGAAATGCTATCTGGGATGGCAGAGACGTGTGGTAGAACTTCAAGATCAATCAGTCCAAGTGAGGTGACTGATGATGGGATACTTCCTTTGCTGATCACCAATCTACCCTGTAAATGAAGATCTGTGACTGATGAAGGAATAGATCCTGCTGTCAAGGGTAGATCAGACCTGATATACAGGTACTGTACAGATGAAGGAATACATTGAGGTGAGTTATTGGCGAGGTTGATGGAGAGGTATTTAATACTCGATGGAAGAATGTATCCAGGCTCGACATTGCAATTTTCAATATGTAAATTCTTGATTGTATTGGGTATACTTCCAGTGCCAATATCTATTGTGTTTTTGTAGGGGTATTGATTAATAGCCAGACAATATAGTTTCTTGAGGTTATGTAGATAGGGATGCACCAAATTAGATTTTATAACAAGTATCCTTATATTGTGTGGTAAAAGATCGTCGAGGTTTGATTGTTCTCCAATCACGCCACTTGGGATATAAAGTACCTCTAATGTATCTGGGAATAGTTCTTTATAAATCTTTTGTCCTCGTCCAAGATAGAGATGAGTTGTAAATGGTGGTATTGATCCAACTTCTATCTTTCCTTCAATTTTAATCTTTGTAAAGTGATCCGGTATGAATCCAGCTGGTATAGGCATTTTATCTTGAATACTATAGTTTAGTTCTTTACAATGATGATTGATTAAACCGCCTGCATTCTCTTTGAAATAGTCTCTATCTTTACTACTCTTGATATTGACTCTATTGTATCTTTTTGGTAGTTGATTGAATCTACCACTGTCTTTGTACGACTCTATCATATCAATAGAAGGTAATCTTGGGAATACAACAGTATCCTTCCATTTCATAGCATCTTTACAAGTCATCAATAAATTCATTACACTTTGGTTTTCATCTTCACGATATAATATTGATATCATTGATACTCTAAACAATGTATCTTTAACTAGAATAATATATTCATTTAAAAATAATACTAATTAGTTTACAGCTTTATAGATTATAGATCTCTCAATCGACAATATAAATCTTACAGAAATGGTTTGATGTTGTTGAGTATGACGATACATTTTCGATCTTCTTTCTCTTTCTTGTACTATGATTATCTTGCTGCTCATCATCATACATATAACTATCAAAGAATGAGTCGTCGGTTAGTGTTGCTGACATAGGGGAAGATGATTGTAGTGATATTGAAGATTTGTTGTTTCTTGGTGTTGTTAAACTTTGATGATACAAAACCATATCATTCATCTCTCTCTGTCTCTTTTTACGTTGTTCATCAAACTCTATATCTTTGATAGTATCCTTTACAACGTCCAGGCAACCCATATCAACGGTGAGATACAAGAAACATAGTATCATATGGTTGTTCAACTTGTACATCTCGTTGCTATAATCTTCTTTACAGAGTGGACATAACTTCTTTATTTGATAGTTCTTGCTAACTCTTGATAGAGTTAATCTTTCTTCCATTGATTGTTATTGTGTGTTCAAAATTTGTTGTTTGTTTTCTCTTTTACAGTTCTTGTTATCTTGAATGCACTCTTTAAAAAAACTAAATTATTATTATTTTTCTTTTTCCATTTATTTATTTATTTACTATTTCTTATCAAATACTAGTTTAGATTGGCAAATATATTCCAATATTCAACAAATCTTGAAAATATGGGCCACTCACTCCCTCCTAGATGGGTCTTATTGGCAGGTGATTGTTTGATAGATGGTGGAATACTATTGCTAATCCTTAGACAAACAGGATTACAACTGACTTTTTTCAATTGTTTTGGTACGGCCCTCCAAAGTGGTACTTGGTCATAAGAGTATGAAAATTCCAAATACTCACAACTATCTGGAATAAATCCACGAACCAAATCTTTATTAAAGTGATTACCTAAAAAATATTGTTTAAAAAGAATTCAATAAGTTTTTTCGATAGTGTGTGATTATGATATCATTGATTGATAACTTTCAACTTACCCAATCTAATACGAGTGACCCCATTTGGAATATCATTGGCTTTGAATTCATTAATCGATGGATGACTGGCGTGATACTTAAAATATTTTGTCGAAGGTGGAATACAATGTTTGAGTGGGTAATCGTATTTTTCATGAAGTGAAAAATACTCGATGCTGTTTGGATATAGACTACCATCGAATTGACATTTTAACCCACTGATATATAGTCTGGAAATGGTATCTGGGATAACAGAGGCGGGTGGTAAAAATTCAAGCTCGCGCAGTCCCAGTGAGGCAACTGATGGTGGGATACTTCCTGGATGTATCTTTAATTTACCCTGTACATGGAGTTCTATGACCGATGAAGGGAGAGATCCTGCTGTCAAGGGTTGGTCAGACTTTATAGATAGGTACTGTACAGATGAAGGAATACATTTAGGTGAGTTGATGGTGAGACTGATTGAGAGGTATTTAATACTCGATGGAAGAATGTATCCAGGGTCGACATTGCAATTTTCAAGATGTAAATTCTCAATTGTATTGGGAATACATCCAGTGCGAATATCTATATATGTTTGTCTGCTGCCTTTGATGGAAGATTTACTAATCATCAGACAATTGAGTTTCTTGAGGTTAAAGAGATAAGGATGCACCAAACTGGATTTGATTCCAAGTATCCTTAGATTGTGTGGTAAAAGATCATCGAGGTTTGATTGTTCTCCAATCACGCCACTTGGGATATAAAGTACCTCTAATGTATCTGGGAAGAGTTCTTTAAAAATCTTCTGTCCTAGTCCAAGATAAAGGTGGGTTGTAAATGGTGGTATTGATCCAACTTCTATCTTTGCTTCAATTTTAATCTTTGTAAAGTGATCTGGTATGAATCCAGCCGGTACTGTATCAATAATAGAATAGTTTAGTTCTCGACAATGATGATTGATTAAACCACTTGCATTCTCTTTAAAATAGTCTCTATCTTTGACACTCTTGATATAAACTCTATTGTATCTTTTTGGTAGTTGATTGAATCTACCACTGTCTTTGTACAATTCTATCGTATCAATAGAAGGTAATCTTGGGAATACAACAGTATCCTTCCATTTCATAGCATCTTTACAAGTCATCAATAGATTCATTACGCTTTCATTTTCATCTTCACGATATAATATTGATATCATTGATACTCTAAATAATGTATCTTTAACTATCCAATATATAAATATACTAATTATTAGTATAACTTTAGAACTTTGTAATCTAGATCTAAATCACAATATAAATCTTACAATAATGATTTGTTGATGATGATGTTGATATCAACTTTATAGAGTATGGCGATCCATTTTCGTCAATCTTCTTTCTCTTTCTTGTTGTATAATTATCTCTGTCATCTTCATCTACAAAGCATGAATCTTCAGTTTTTGTTGCTAACGTAGTAGATGATTGTTGTGTCAAAGAAGATTGATTGTTTCTTGATGGTGACAAACTTTGAACATCATTGTCATTCACCTCTCTATTTCTCTTTTTTCTTTGTTCATCAAACTCTATATCTTTGATAGTATCCTTTACAACATCCAAACAGCCAACGGTGAGATACAAGAAACATAGTATCATATGATTGTTCAACTTGTACACATCCTTGCTAAAGTCTTCTTTACAGAGTGGACATAGTGTCCCTATTTGATAGTTCTTGCTAACTCTTGATAGAGTTAATCTTTCTTCCATTCAATTTGTTATCTCTTTAATTTATTGTTTGTTATCTTTTTAACATTCTTTGTCTTTAGATGCATACAAGAGTGACTGGCCTGATGACACGCAAGTTTAAATTAAAATTAATTAATTTCCATATATTTTTCTAGAGGTAGCTACCAAGATGAATCTGCTTCTTATATTTAATATTTAATATTTGCACATATACTATCTATGGAATCAATAGTTAAAGATTGTATATCGAATATCAATGGTGTTTGTAGAATATGCAATCAAAAGATATCATCTGAAGATGTAGTTGATAGCAGTGTAACATCATCTCATCAGCAATCTATAATCAATCACTATTTAGATTGTATCGATAAGTTTAAATCTTTGTTGTTGAATATCAATAGTAATCATGTCGATCATTGTCAGCAAGACAATAATACAACAAGAAAGAGAAAGAAGATTGAAAATGAAGCAAATATATCAACAACTATTGCATCATCAACAAATCATTATTGTATGTTATGTGTTTGAGAGATATCTTATTCATTGATGTTGTAATACTAATAATAATTTATTATTATGATATATATGTAGTTAAAGATTCATTATTTAAAATATCGATGATATCAATATTACATCGTGAAGATCATAATCAAAGTGTAATGAATTTATTGATGACTTGTAAAGATGCTATGAAATGGAAGGATACTGTTGTATTCCCAAGATTACCTTCAATCGATATGATTGCATTGTACAAGAATAATGGTAGAATCAATCAACTACCTCGACGATACAATAGAGTCTATATCGATAATGTTAGAGATCGAGACTATTTCAAAGAGAATCCAGATGGTTTAATCAATCATCACTGTCAAGGTATCGACTATCGCATTGATGAACCGATACCAGCTGGATTCATACCAGACCACTTTACAAAGATTCAAGTTAGTGGACGGATAGAAGTTGGATCAATACCACCATTTACAACTCACCTCGCTCTTTTGTTGGACAACCCACAAGATATATATAAAGAGTTGTTCCCAGATACATTAGAGGTACTCGAAATCACAAATGTAGAGATTGGAAAACACTCAAACATTGATGATCTCTTACCACACAATCTAAAGATACTTACAATATCATCTGATTTGGTGCTTCCCTATCTCTTTAAACTCAACAAACTATATTGTCTCATTATTTCCGAAGTTGAAAAAGAGACTGGCGATGATGATGATGATGAAGACGATGATAATCAACATGTACATATAGATATTCACATTGGAAGTATACCCGATACAATCGAGCATTTATATCTTGGGGATTGCATCATCGAGCCTGGATACACTCTGCCATCTGGCGTCAAGTACCTTAAAATCAACCTCACTAAAAACTCGTCTCAATGTATTCCTCCATCTGTTGAGAATCTATACATCAATTGTGACCGCCTTACACCAATATTGGCAGGATCTATTCCTTCATCAGTTAAAACTCTATTATTGGAAGGTCTTCCTCAGTTGTATCTTAAAACAATCCCACATTCAGTCACCACGTTGACCCTTGCCGACCTTGAATCAGTACCAGCCAGTTACGTTTTTCCAGATAGTATCACCGCGCTCTATATCAGTGGAATAAAGTGCCAATTCGATGGAACTCTATTACCAAACAGCATCAAGTATTTTGCCGTTCATGGAGATTACAATTTCCCACTCAAATCATGTATTCCACCATCGACAAAATATTTTGACTACCAAGTCAATAGTACATCAGAAGTTAAATTCAATGCCAATGATATTCCAGATGGAGTTACTCACATTAGAATAGGTAAGTTTTATTTGTAAAGTAATGGTAATTAGACAATTAAAATGTTAATATTAGTTGTAATACTTGTTTTTAGGTACCAGATTCGATAAAGCATTAGTTCCAGGATTTATTCCAGACAGTTGTGAGTATTTGGACTTTGCATTCTGCTATGATAGAGTACCACTTTGGGGTAGGGTACCAAAACATTTGAAAACTGTCTGTTGCAATCCAGTCTGTCTAAAGATTAGTGAAAATATCCCACAGTCTATCAAACAAAGAGTTTCAAACGAAGGTCATGATGGGGAATATTGGGGAACATTATACCTTGAGTTTTGGGACTTGCAAAACTGGTACTTGGAGATTTAAACAAGTAAATAAATCAAACAACTTGCCCTAAAATCTGGGAGTCCAGAATCATTCTTTTAAATATTTATTTTTGCTATCGATCGATTTAAAAATCCAATTGGGCAATGAAATTCACTGTCCCAGCCAAAACAAAAAGGTCCTGAGATCAAATTAATTTTAATATGAGAAATCAAATTTAATGAGAGTGGAACTCGGGACCTTTTTTTATATGAGTTGGCTGGGGGAGGAAATATCTGCTTGCTTTAAAAACTCTTTCTTGACATGAAAAGTCTCTTCCATAAAACTATTATCCATTGCGATTGAGGAATTACTTGGTGTTGATTATAATAATATAATAATCAACTCTTGAAATTCATTTAACATATTTACATTAATGGTTGCATCAACATCTAATCGAAAAAATAAATAAATTTTAACATAAATAATTACAAGCAATAAATATGTCACTTAGAGAAGAAGTTATAGAAACGTTTAATACTTTCATAAAGTCTTATGATCTTAACAAAGATGGAGAGGTTTGTGATTAAATTTGAAAATTTTAGTTTAAACTTTTCTAAAAAAGATAATTATTTCTCTATAGGTTTCTTTTGCGGAAGTTATATATTCCATGAAAAGGGCTGGGAAATCTGAGAAAGAAGCAATAAAATTCGCTCGGTCTATATTTATGGCTCATGATAAGAGTGAAGACAGTAACTTGTCTTTTTTGGAAATAGCTGGCGTAAGATGATATTTAGATAAATATATATGAATACAAGCAAGAAATAATTAACAATAATTCATTTTTTTTTATTATATACATACACCAATAAATTAATAGATGAATGAAAATTTTAAAAAGGAAGTTGATAGACGCACTGAAGAACTCTTAACCCTTGTTGATACAAATAAAAATGGTTATTTAACTTTAAATGAAGTAGAAGAATGGATGGATAGAATGAAAGTTGAAAAACCAAAAGAAAAGGCAATACAAATATTTGGACTCTATGATATGGATAGTGATTCAGTAATACTCAAATCAGAAATTGAGTTTGTAAGTAATATGTTTTTAAAAAAATATGACTTGAATAACCAATTTTCTAATGTTACTATTTGTTTTCACAGTTGATGTATGTATTTGTAATGCAAAATATTTAAACAAATATATTTTTACTCAATTTAATTTCATAATCCAATAATATTTGATCAAGAAAAATGATTAAATTAATCAATTCAACCAAAACATGAAAATTAAATCTTTATTAAATTACAAAAAAATAAATTAAACAATTCAATGGATCCCATCTTTCTCATTTCTTTCTCCTGAATCGCAAAAGAACCCTATTAACTCTTGAGTTTAGATTATCAACAACAGTTGTGGTTGTGGTTGACCATATGGTTGTTGTTGCTGTCGAGCAGTACCACAGTGGTTGTTTCTGTGTCTGGTACTAAATAGTTTAAAAAAAAAAAGAGGTATTAGATGAAATTAAATGATTTAAATAGATTACTTGTTGCTAAGGTAGTTGAATGAAAAGAATAGAAATATATTAGTACCATTGTAATTATTGTATTTGTTTGATAACCCATGCGTTATAAACGATCCAATTTCCAATATTCTGTAGTATCAAAAAATGGGAATCCACTTGAATACAAGTGTTTTGAATAAGTTTACAAAAGAGGTTGTTATAGTAACATTACTATACAATATAAATTTATTAAGTTTTGGAAAACGAGGTTCACAAATACTAAATGTCCATCGTCAAAATGTTTAGACGGTTGGGAAAGAGGCCATGGTGGCAATACCACAGTTGTTGTTTCTGTTTCTTGACCTAAATAATTATTAAAAAAAGAGGTATTAGTGAATAGGAAATGAAATTAAATGATTAAATAGGCTATATTACATGAAAATATATCCAGAATAACCCCAAGTAGCTAAGGTAGTTGAATGAAAAGAAAAGAAATATGTTAGTTAACTGTACTATATTAACTTTTTAAAAAAAAAAATTATTATGATATATACTACCCCAAGAGTTCTTGACGATCAAATAGTCACCAGTGCTAGAGTTGTCATGAACGATAAATTCAACAAACAATACTCTTTCGTTTGGACTTGTGTTTATTTATTGTGATATGATAATTACAATATTTTATATAGGTTGGTGGTTGTTTGGCAGTGTCGACCGTTGTCAATAGATAAAATCCCAACTCTCGAGGGAGACTTGGAAATAGTTAAAGTTATAAAGAAGCAAAGGTTTATCGGAGACTTTAATAGTATAGAGGGAGTATACTCTATCCCTGAAGACTCTTTTTCAAAGTCTATCCAAGGTGATAGATTTGCATTCCAAAATGACAAGCAAGTCAAGATTGTAATTAGAGACATATAAAAAAAGCTAGAAGACTTTTTTTGTTCTTCTTTCAGAGATCGGAAAAGAGAAGTGTATATACAAGGTCCACAAGGATTCGGGAAATCACGTTCAATCTATCAAGTGGTGTATAGGCTACGACTGAATCCCAAAAGCATCGTCGTCTATATCCCTGATTGCCTGGGATGGGTAAGATCAATTAATGCCTATACATTCTTGATATCTTCAATGGTTAATGCTGTCTCATTTGTCTAAGAAGAAGAAGACTTGGTTACATTCTCTCAATTTTTACGTAACCAGACAATTCCACAATCGCGTGGTCCATTGAAATACCTCATTTCGGATGGATTTAAATCGTGGTATGAAAAGGGGTATCAAGTGTATAGGTTCTTTGATCAATACAATGGGCTGACAGAATCACAAAGTCAGAGTCACCTTATTGCATCATTGAAGGTTATCTTGGTGGAGCTATGGAAACATATGGCATGTTGGTTGCAGTTTCTTCTTCATCATCTGCAAATAACCACTATTATCTCAAATCGGCTCTGAAAGGATATTATCCTGTTTTTGAATTTAAATTATGGCTCATTATATTGGTGTTTTTCTCGATGATAAATAATAAAAAGAGTTTAACTCCTTCTAGCTCTCTCTATATTAGATTTTATTTTTTTGGAAAACAATGTTATTATTATTATTTATTTTTATTTTGTATAAATATTAAAAAAAAAAGGGGGATTTTTCTGTTGTTTTTGATTTGTTTTTGTTTTTTAAGATTAAGATAAATGGAAAGAAGATTGACCTTCTTTCATTGCATATAAAAGTTTTTGTTTCATAATATCTTTTGATGAATAGTGGGGTAATTTGATATAATTGGTACAAGACATTACACTAAGCAAAAAGTCGTCTGGTTGGTATGGAGGATTATGATGTTTCTTTACAATGGTGAGACGAGGACTGAGACCCTTGAATCCTTGGATGGGGAGGTGCGGACTACCAGTGATAAAGAGAAGGAACTGCTTTCTCTCATCTTCGTTGAATTCAGACACGATCTTGAAAAAGTTTTGGACTGGTTCACTTGTGTTGGTGAAACCGTGATCGCATTTGGTGCTTTCCATCAACGATTCAACAGTCCAATCACCATCAGAGCCAGCCAATGAACCACACAACAAGGATTCAATTTCGTGAATTGAAAAAGATCCCAAACTAGAGATTAGGAAGATTTGGTTGAATCCTTCCTTGAATGCATCGATTTGTTGACATACACCACTGTACAAGAAATTGGTCAAGATGAGGTTGATGTACTCTCCCAAGTTGTCCAATGTGATGCTAATCTTGGAACCACCTGGTTTGAGTTCCCAGTCTGGGTAGCCTGGAAGGACAAAGTCCAAGCAGAGATCTTCGACACGAGCACCTCCGATTCTGAGTGCTTGGATTTCAGTATTCTTTTGAGTTTCGTCCAACGATGCTGATTCACGAATCTCCTTGATCTTTAATACCAAACAGTGAATTTATCATTGCCTTCTGGGAGTGGAGGATTTGTTAATGGTGATTGGTCAGATTTGTCATGAATGATGATTTCAACAAACAATACTCTTTCAGCAAAGAATTTGGGTAAAAAGAGAGATTTGTAGCCACTGAATTGGAGTGATACATTGTTGGTATGCATCATCTGACTCCATGCGAATCCACTTTGGGTGTAATCGTTTCGATTGCTGTGTTGGTCAACCACTTGAACTGGGTGATGGCTCTGGTCATGGCAGATCGATGACCGATACCGGTGGGGCTTGGACGTGGGTGTGGATTGAAATTATTGGATTCTGCATCATAGACTGTTAAAGAGGTCTTGTTGTAGACGGTGGTGGTCAATACACGCACTTGTACCTTTCTCTTGACATCACCTAGTATAGTGATAGAGACCGTAACATCCGGATATTGGCTCAATACTATCCGGGAAGATACGTTTACCTTCCATGTAATCTTGTAGTTGACCGGGGTAGAAATAGGCAGCGTCGATACGATAAATGTAGGCGTGTTCAAGGTCTGGAAGTTCGAGTGGGTGACAACGAAACTCTCTATTTTCATAAGATGTGTCAAAAACACAGAGTTGAATGGAAAGTGCAACCCGTCTTTAAAAGACAAAGAAGGAAACCCTCTAGAATGTGGATCATTATTTGGATGTGCAAATCAAAAATGGTAAGCGTAATCATTTAAAATTGTCTATATTTTTTGGAACAACCCACCATAGACATCAAAACTAATTATTTGAATTGATATGATTTAATCTTTACAGCACAATAGAACAGTATCTAGAAAATGGTGATGCATGTACAGATTCATATCAGTGTTTGGGCACTTTGGAATGTACTGGTGGAAAGTGTACACTCAAGAATAACACGTGCAAGGATAGCAATGACTGCCCCTACGACCATTATTGCAATGAGAAGAATCATTCGTGTACTCCAGAGTTGGCCCTTGGAGACAATTGTACTCAGAAAAGTCAGGTCCGGGAATCAACGCCATCGAATCACCCGACCAACCCACCATAGACTTTCCAGTCGTTTCGTCCACCACTGCCACCGTCGCAGTCGTTCCATTATCAATGCCATTCACTTGTCCATACTCTATTAATTTCTTATTAGCCATTTCAAAAGAATCTATTATACATTTTTGTAATCCTAAAAAAACAAATCAAAATAAATTAATAATTGGAAATATATTATTATATTCATATTTACAACATATCATTGTCATCTTGTTTAGTATTATTATTATTTAAATTTAAATGAAGGTAATTTGAAATAATACTCTTTGCCATGACAGACACTACTTCACCTTTATCTCCATGTCCATCCAACACTCCAAATATACGTGTATTATTATTATTATTATTATTATTATTATTATTTTTGTTTTTGTTATTATTATTATTTTGACCATTATTGATGATTTGTTTATGAAATGCACAATCTTTGTAAAGTGATCTGGTATGAATCCAGCTGGTATCGATTCATCATGAATGAGATAGTTTAGTTCTCGACAATGATGATTGATTAAACCATCCACATTATCTTCAAAGTAATCTCGATCTTTCATATTCTTGATATTGACTCTATTGTATCGTCGAGGTAGTTGATTGAATCTTCCGTCGTTCTTGTACGATTCTATCGTATCAATAGGAGGTAGTAATGGGAATACAACAGTATCCTTCCATTTCATAGCATCTTTACAAGTCATCAATAGATTCATTACACTTTCGTTATCATCTTCATGTTGTAATATTGATATCATTGATACTCTAAATAATGAATCTTTAACTATATAAATATAAGAAGTATAATAATAATATCATCATTAGTATTTCACATACATACAATCATTATGACGATTATCATATCATCTTAAAAATATATAACTTACAATAACGATTTGTTGATGATGATGTTGATGTTGTTGTTGTTGTTGTTGTTGATATACTCGATTCATTTTCAATCTTCTTTCTCTTTCTACTACTACTACTATTATTACTATCTTCATCGGATGTGATATGTTTGCGACTATTGATATTTAACAACACCGATTTAAACGAATCAATACAATCTAAATAATGATTGATCATTGACTGTTGATGTGATGTTACACTGCCGTCATATTCATCACCATGAACGTCAACATCACAAGATATAGTTTGATTGCATATTCTACAAATACCTGTTATATTCGATATACAATCTTTAACTATTGATTCCATAGATAGCACACAATGATTGTACTTGCAAACTTTGGAAAAAAATAATATCGCCCCAAAAATCTATAAAATCAAATCGATCTTTCATTTTATAATTTTTAATTCAAAGTTAAAATAATTAGAACTAATTCTCTTTCTAGTTGTAATAGTATGATCATCTCGACCATACACACTATGTATTACTGATCTAGCTGAATCGACGAGCTATTTTTTTTTGTGTTTGAAGATTACAGTTAATTTATTATTATTTGATATATTATTCCAAGCCAAAATACCAATCACCATCATTTTCCAACCAAACAGTATCCAACCATGTTTCTGGGTGTTGGTGTCTAATATTTTTGAGGTGTTTCTTGATGGATGATGGAATACGTTCGTGGAGTCTTGGATTGGTCGATGCAATAGAGATGACTTGAAGAGATGTGGGTAGTGCTTGTGTCTTTAACTGACCTTCATACTCTTCTGGTAGTTCAAGATACTTTAATGATTTTGGTAACACTCCATCTTGGAATACTTGTAACTTACCAATTGTATCAAATTTAATGTATTGAACTGAACTAGGTATATAGTTTGGATAGAATAACTGAGTCGAGGAGGAGGTATTGTCATACTTGAAATACTTTGTTGATTGGGGGATGAGATTTTGTAGTGTATTGTCATAGGTAACATTGGACATACTAAAATACTCGATTGTTGGTGGACATGATTTCGTGTTGAGTGAACCACTAGCATCACCGTTAATGTGTAGGTTGGTGAGACTGGGTGGCCATTCAAAGTTGGAGATGATGTATGGATTGGTCAGTGTCAAGCTAGTGATCGACGGATTGTTTTTAAGCATCAATGAGTACTCGCCAGACACTTTAAGGTGGGTGACTGACTGAGGTATCATTGTACTGTCAACTCGTGTTTGATCTCTACCTGAAAACAGTGCATGCAAGTGTGTAACAGACTCTGCAGGAATAGCTTTGTAATTGTTTGGATCCGATAATGTAATCTCTAGGTATTTTACAGAGTTTGGTATCACACCCACTCCAACCTCACAATCTTGCACGTGTAAGCTGACCACCGAACTTGGGATGATACCCAGCTCATTTATACCACACCCGTCATCATAGATATACAGTGTACGAATCGTGTTGGGTAGTTTTATGCCCTGCTCGATAAACGTAGACACGATACCTAGAGTATGTAATCTAGGTGGGAATATAAACCCTTTTTCATCGCACTCTTCAAATGACTCCATGTCAAGATGAACCAATGTATCTGGGAATAGTCCAGTTTCCAACACACCAATTTGTTCTACTTTAAGATGCGTTGCACCTGATGGAATACATCCGGGCGTGATATTAGACAACCCTCTAATATCAAGATGTGTAAAGTGGTCTGGTATTTGGCCAGGTTCAACTGAAGTCTGGTGAGCAGAGCATACTAGGTGTTTGGCAGTACGTGTAATCAGACCGTCAGGATTACCCAGTAGATACTTCCACTCTTCACTATTTGTAATAGTAACGGTATGATATTGTTTGGGTAGCAGTGATATCTTTCCACTTTTCTTGTACAACTCTATTGTTGCAAGTGGTGGCAGAGTAGGAAACACAACATCATACTTCCAACTAAACGAATCTTTACATGTCTCCAACAAACTCATCAAAGAATCATTATATTTGTCTCTCTTTAAAATAGGTAGCAATGATGATTTAAATATTCCATTTTTAACTTGAAAAGAAAAAAAAAGAAAAGATAAGATCAGATGATAAAGAAAAAGAATATAGTATAATGTGTAGGTACATACAATAATGATTCGAACAACCTGATAGTTTCAATTCATCATCTATTTTCTTTCTCTTTCTATCTCTTGTTATTTCTGTATCTGTATCCATCTATCTACACTGCTAAATACTGAGAAACCATCCTCTCGACCTTTGACGTCATATTTGCAAAAGATACTTTCATAATATCTACAAATAATGAATTAAAATTAATTTAGCTAAATTAGTACCCCGAACACCTGATACAGTGGAGAGGTGAACATCGTGCACTTAAATGAAAAAGGTAACAACTATAATCATCCAATGCTAATCACCCAACCTAAGTATTATTATAATAATACTATTTTAAGCAACCCGTGACCATAACCATTAACCAAGAGACAACACTATCATATTCACTATCACTATCGCTAACGATACAAAGTAGGAGGTTCTATCATAGACAGAGCTCGAAAGAGAGAGAGAGAAAGAGAGAGAGAGAGTAAATGTGCGGAGGTGTATGGGCAATCATTTTAAAAAATGACAAGTATAGTGCAATGAACCGTCTCGTCTCCTAGGAGTATCACCACCAATGCATGGCTACTCGACTTTAATGCCAATCTCTCTCTCTCTCTATTCAGTGCAGAGACAGAGTAAATGTGCGGAGGGGTGGGGTGGTTTTAGGAGATGACTCGGCAACCAACAGCTGCTTCTCTGACTCGACTCATGACAAACCAAATTTGGATTGGCTGCCTTCATTGAATAAAAAACAAAATAATCCAAAAAGGAAATTGAGTAAAATTTCAATGCATTAAATCTGTCCACTGAAAGACCTCCCCAAACTTCTTTTATAAAATTTCATTATCGCACACACAAAACAAATAAATAATCAAAGTTAAAAAGAGAGAGAGATAAATTTTTTTTAGTACTACCAAAGGATAAAAAACAAAAAGGTAACAAACACAACATATTATAATATAAATTTAGATAATCTATTTTTTTTTTATTTCTTTTCTATTCTATTTCATTTTTAATTATTTTTAATTATATTGGTAGTGTTACCCATTTTTATATTTATTTGTGTGGTTTGCTCTATATATATACATATACAAATATATTTGTTATTTATTTATTTATTTATATGTGTAATTGTTAACAACCTCAATAACCTCTTTCATTAATTCATCAAATTTCAATTTGGTTTTTTTGTATGAGGAGTGGCATTCAACGATTACATTTGTTATCTGTTGTTAACAAGACATATATGTCTGGTCAACCAATCATATCAAACCGCTGGCCAAATGCGACCACTGGTGAGCAACAACAACACTTGGTGTAGCAGTTCATCTAGCCAACAACAACAACAGCAACAGCAACAATTAATAACAACCGACATGACATTGTTGTCGTAGCTGATTTAATTGTGTTCAACTACTACTATTACTACCACCTCTCTCTACTCTATGTGGGTGTAGAAGATAATATAATATTATGATGTGGTTGACAACAACGCAGAAAGCAAGAAATAATGACTGACATTCAAGCAAGCAAGCCAGCTCACATACTGCACTTCATATTTCAGTGTGTTAGCTACCTGCAACTCTGCAAGGGTATTGATGATGTTTTGTTGTATAGTTTAGGGTTTGGGTGTTGTTGGCTAGTGTTGGTGGTGTTCGCAAGTGATGTTATTACGTGTGGTTGGAGTGAGGTAAAGGTGAAGGGTGAGTGAGTGTGTGTTGTTATTACTAATACTATAAACTAGTATCAAAACAATTCATTCATTCATTTCATCGATGCCGTAATCTAGATTGGTTATTGTATATAACTGTGGTGGAATATCTTGTCACCTTTTTTGACATACACCCATTCAACACTCACCCCCATTGTACCACCATTGATGATACACACCACCCCACTCACACACCCATGCAATTAAATTTTGTTTCAGCTCTATATTGCGTGCTATGGGCAAACATTGGAGTTCAATTTCATTATTATTATTATTATTTTCTATCTCTATCTCTATCTCTCTACTTTTACTTATTGGTATTTATCACCTCAACATATTATAGTCTAGTAATCTATAACTTTTTTGTTTGTTCCATGTTTTATGTTGTAGGAGGAGGGAAGAAGAAGGAAGGAAGGATCTAAACAAACTATATCTTCAAAATACAAGTTTAAATAGATCTTGGTTTGGGTTGTAGTATTCATACCTTGTTACTAATTAATATAAACAAAACAAAAAAGAAAGGGGATAGGATAGGATATGATGTGAAGGTGGAAGAGTAGATCTTTATGTAAACACAGAGTATATCTTGTTATTATAATGTGATGATATTTATACAATGTATTATTCCACCCCCCTCACGCCCAACATTGATTAATCACCCACACACTTTTGTTTTTGCAATTCAATATTGATTGTTCTTTTAATATGAATGCATCCATGCATCGTATCACATAAATTGTAGAGAGAGGGTTCATGATCAAGCACACCCTGGGTGATCACTACTACCACTCATCACTATTACTATTATTATTATTATTATTATTATCCAACATAACATATTATCATCACCAATCTTCACTCTTGTCTCCTTTGAAATTAGATTTTATAATAACAAAATCACTAATTAATTATTTATTCCTCTTTCACTTTCACTTTTACCTTTTGCAAACCAAAAGCAATTAGATCTTTTACAGAATCAAGACAACAGTAGTCAGAAATCAAACCAAATATAAATATATTTCACCAATCAACCAAACCAACCAAACCAAATATAATATAAAATGTCATTCTTAAGTAAGTATTCTATCCTATTCTATTATTAGTCTTTGTCAAAATATTCTAACATTTAATTGTTTATTAGGAAAATCATTGGAACTCTTTTCTGGATCATCAAGCAACAATACTAGCTCTGACGATATCAGCAAAATCAAGGTTAATACACTTAATAGTTCAACCGAAAGTCTTGGAAGTCCCAGATCTGTCAGCGTCACAAGCCCCAGATCTTCTTCCACCAACCCAATGGAAATCCCAGCTTCTCGTGACAATAGTTGGTTTAGAATGGTTCAAGTAGTTGAAGCTGGCTCTTTGTAGGCAAGAGAGCGCCACATAAATTATATACTGTTGAAAGAGGATCAACTGCATACTTGTAAATCAACAGCCACCAACAATATATTGGATTGTACCATTTTTCCTCAGCATTTTTTACCCTTTCCTCTTCCAAGCAACAGCAACAACAACAGAAATCCATATATTAGCCGTATCAAATGTTGCAACGTATATATTAAAATCCCCCCACCTTTGCAGCATTTTACCATCATTTTATTGTAAATAGATCTCAACGCCCATCATCCAATCTTCCAACAACAACAACAACAACAACCAAAAAGTAATCTTGTAATCTTATTTCATTTGATAACAAGAATTCATTTTTGACAACAAAAAGAAAGAAAACAAAAGAGAGTAAAATAGTAAAAGAAGCTAGAGTAGTTCAATTACCAATCTCTCTTCTCTCTCTCTTTCTTTGACCAAATTTGGTTTATCTCTTTTTGATCAAAAGATTTATATTCCACTTCCCATCATCATCAACAACAACAATCAACCAATGACAACAATATCAACAATCTAAATTGTACCATACCCCCAAACAATAGCAACAACCAATTTGTACATAGAATTGCTTTTTTTTTTTTTCTCCTTTGGCTACATACCCTCATCATAAATATAGTTTTAGACAACTAGATACGTATCTCTCTCCCAACAACAAACCATCTTTTAGATTTGTAAATAAAAAAACTATAAATATTTTTGATATCCAAAATATCCCTTCCATTCTTCTTCTCTTTCTTATTCTTTTTAAATACTAATATATTTCAATAAAAAATAACTTTATGGTAAACTTTTTTTTTTTTTTATATCTATATATTTATTTATTTATTGTAAAGTATTTGTAAAATAACGCAACATGCAAATATTTGCTTGGAAAACATTTTGAAGATGAGACCATCCAGATTTTTGAGATTGTTTTAATTCTACTAGTGATGAAGAGTATTCGCTTGTCATTAATAAATTACCATGTACACGTAGGAAATGAGTGGTCAAGGTTTGTACAAGATCAAAGTCGTTGTTACCTCTCATCAATTGTACCAAAAAGTCAACCATATAATGAATATCCATTTCAATATGATTAACATTTCTAATTTCATAATCAATTGCTGATGGTGTCATTTCTTTAATTAAATTTAATAAATTTGAATCTAAAAAAGTAAAAGTATTAATAATTAATATATATATTATTTGTTTGATTTGTTTTTGTTTTCATTTGAACTTACAATCCTTATTCTTTGATTTATAACCAGCTTCTAAAAGTTGTAAAAACTTTGATTTAACTATTTTAATTGGATTGAATTTACCCAAAACTTTGCTAAGAGCAGCAATATCATTTCCATTTTCTTGTTCGTCGTCGTCATTGTCGTCACCTGGGGTAGCCCAATCACCCCAACCATTCAATTCTTGTTCAGCATTCTTTTTCTTGCCATTTGTTGATATATTTTCCTTTTCTTTTTGATCTTTTTCTTTTAATTGTTCGGGTGTGAGGAAAGTTGGATTGACACCACCGGTCGATGTGATAAAGAATGGTGCCAACTTTGGTTTCTCGGCAATGTTTAGTGGTTTGTTTCTCTCCTTGATCAAGTCCAAATCCAAGAGTGTCTCCCATTTGGATTTGGGGAGTGTGGTCATGGTAACGAGTCGACCTATTTGTTGTGACGATGCTGGGTCTTGGTCGCCATAGGCGGCCGATGGGATAGTGTCATGGTCGACATCTTGCACGTCTAGTTGTGGGACACCCTTATTGTCCTCGAGTTCTTGTTGCTTCTTTTCGTCTTCGTCGCCAGTGGCGATGGTTCGGTCCTTTTCCTTGGCAGTGTTAATGTCGGCGTGTGTCTCGACTCCGTCAGCTCCCTTTTCGCCGTCGGCTTGGACGGTGGGCAGGTCGAGCATGGGGGCAGTCTCGCCTGGTCGCGACAAGAGGATGGTGCCAAAGTGCATTTGGTTGGACCAGAGGTAGACGCCGAGTTCGTCGGCATGGGTAGTCGCGAGGAACTCACCGCGTGGACTAAAAGAGATACTGGTGACGGGTGAGCGGGTGGTGAACCAGTCGACCATCAAACCAGATGGAATGTCATAGATACGGACAGTGGCGTCGCCACGGGCAGCAACAATCAACCAACGACCGTCGTGGTTAAAGGTCATGTCGACGACATAGTGACCAATGTTGAATTTACGGGCCAACTCGCGTGTCTCCATGTCGTAGACACGTACAATACCATCTTCACCAGCGCAGGCAAACATACCACTCTCGAGGTGTTGCACGAGCATGGTTTGGGGTGACTCGAGTACAAATGATGCGATTGGTTTCAAGGTTGAGCTCCAAATGTTGATGTGCTTGTTGGATGCACATGTGACTACGTAGCGACCGGTCGCGTCGACGACAATACCGTTGACGCTGCCAGCAGGTTCGATGCGGACGGATGCACGCTTGGTGCCACTCTGCACGTTGTAGCATTCGAGGTCGCCGGTGGTGGTGCCGACATAGGCCGAGTTACCGCACGCAGACATGCCGAGTGCAGAGATACGGGCGTTGAGACGGATGTTCTTGTCACCGTCAACAGCCATACGGACAAAGCTCCACAACACGAGGTTGCTGCCGTGGGCCGTGGCGATGCAGTTCATGGTACGGTAGTTGGCCGGGTTGGCGGCGAGGAGGTGGTCGTTGCCTTCGCCGAGCTTGATCTTGTTGTGCGAGAATGGCACGTTGATGTGCGAGATGTTGACCGACAGCATACGTGGGCCCTTGTCCGACGTGGAGATGACTGTGCCGGCACGACCGTCCGTGTCAAAGAACTGGGTGGCGTGGGGGGGCACGTCATGGCCCGTACGCTCACGCAACAAAAGGGGCTTGTAGATATCGATGTTGTGGAATGTCCAAACACGCACGGCATTGTCCGAGCCGTTCGTCACCATGATTGGCTCGCCAGCCAAAAAGTATGCGCGTGCCACGGTTGAAGAGTGTGCAGTAAACGAGTAAAACAACTTTCTCGTGTCCAAGTCCCAGATCGAGACGACACCTGAACGCGAGGCTGTGGCCAAGTGTGCCTTGACGCCGTCGGTACGGAACGACATGGACGTGACCGACCCACGTTGACGAAACACTGTAACGCTCTTGTCGTGACGGATGTCGTGCAAGTGGACGGATCCGTCCTCTAGACCGACCGCGATAATGTCTTGTGCGGGCGACTGCTCCATCGACACGATGGGACTACCCCAACCTGCAAAACGGTACACCTGCTTCTTGGTGTTGATATTCCAGATAGACATCTCTCCATCCTTGTTACCCAACAACACCTTGTTATAGTATCCACGTGGGTGCAACATTGTAGTCACCTTTCCAAACGACTCGATGCCACTCAAACTACTATATCTCTGTCCACTATTTAAATCCCAAATAAACAATTCATTATTCTTTGACAATGTCATCAATACATGTGACATTAATAACATATCAATCACTCCTGCTGAATGTCCTTCTAATTGTCCAACAATTGTCTATCAAATCAAAAAAGTAAGTAAAATCATTTATATAATAGTGAGTGAGTGTACATGTATACATACATCATTCTCCCAAATCAATATCTTTTCTTTACAATTGGTTATAAATTTCTTTGTTCCATATGCTCTTACACATTTGATTTTAGATGCTTGTGTAGGTGATGTATAATGTGTATTTAATTTGTCAACCTATAAATATATATAAATATATATATATAACAATCAATACAATATTAGTTTCTATCTATATACTATCTATCTATCTACTAATCTACTATATCTCTCTATCTATCATTATTGTGTCTCTTGTGATACATACACCCAATAGATGAAAACAATTGCCTATAGGTACTACAAATGATATCTCTGATGCTTTGGTGATAACGTCGAATGGGAATCTCGATGAGATATAGCCAATCGACCTATAAGGTTTGAATATATGACTACTCTGCATTATCGTATCTCGTGATTCCTTTATACAAAATAGATCGGATAGATAGGATAGATAACAAAGTAAAATAGAATATTACTCTCTCTTAATTTCAAAGTCTCATTTTACTTTCTGCGGGATACAAAACGAACGAAACATTTTGCAAATCTTTTTTTTTATTTATTTTTGACAAGGACCAACCCTACAACAACAATTGTAATAAATATAGATAGCCTTTTAGGAAATAAGTATAAGTTACTTGTATAAGATACTTGTATATTACATATTCCTCCTACTCGAGCTCATGATCCTGTTCTGACCCAGCTGCTGGGGTCAGTCTCATCCTCTTCCCATTAGTACATTCCGACAAGCTCAGCTCAGCTCATCAAGTTAACATGTATATGTACGTAGTGATATTGAGGATGATCATCATCTTTGTTGATTGTGTGTGTGTCCATGAAAGATACAATAGTAATAAACAACAAGTTAGCTTCGCTGTCGTATCTGTATCCAATATCCCTCCTTTTGTTGTGTGCACTCATCCACCCCATATGAAATTTTTGAATTTTTTTCCGTTGTTGAGGTGAAGTTATTCAGAGCTCTTTTTAGTCTTTGTCAAAGCAGATAATACAACACTCGAATCGAATTGATTGAATCATCAAATTCTTTCATCTCAGTCTCGATATAAATAGATTACTTTTTAAAAGATCTCTGACAACCTAAAACAACAACAAACGAGATATTACTAAAAAGAAGAAAGAAAAGAAAGAGTTAACAATAGATAGATATAGATAAATAGATAGATTAGAGAAAGGAGTTGAAGAAATGGAAGATGATATAAATAATAATAACAAGAGAGTCTCAAACGGGACATCTCCAGAAACACCATTAAAGAGAACAAAGCAAGATGAAGAACAAACAACCTCGACAACTACAACTACAGTACCACAAGAACTTGTACATCAACCAACAATTGGCTTACAACAACAACAACCCCAACAACACGGTGAATCAACTATTCCACTAGTTACTGAACAGACATCTACTACATCGACTACTAGTAGTGTTGGTCAACCAGCTGCATTACCAGGATTGGTAGTACACAGTAAACCAATGCCAATGCAAACTGGTACTAGTACTATCAGTACTACAAGTACTACAAGTACAACTAGTCCGACGATTGCTACATCGATATCAAAGAGTACCACTATTGCAGGCAGCAATATTGTATCTTCTCCTTCTTCCGATCAACAACAGCAACAACAACAACAACAACAACAACACCATCAGACTAGTGTCGTATTGACTAGCAACTTCCAATTGCCACCTAGCAACTGCACATGGTTCAAGATGTCGGAGATACATGATATTGAGCGTCTTCAAATGTCCGAGTTCTTCAACGGCAGAACTCCCTCCAAGACACCAGAGGTATACAAAGAGTATCGTGACTTTATGATCAACACCTACCAACAAAACCCACACCAATACCTTACCTTTACCGCTGTCAGACGTAATCTGACTGGTGACTCGGGTGCCATGCTCCGTCTGCACAGCTTCCTCGATCACTGGGGTTTGATCAACTTTTTCGTCAATCCAGAGGGTGGTACATGTATCCCACCTCCAAAACCACAACAACCTCAACATCAACAACAACAACAACAACCAACCCGTATCCAATCACCATCTGAATCTAAACCAACCGAGTCACCATCAACATCTGACAATACTAGTAGTAGTATACTATCACCAAACAAACCATCATCTACTTCTACTTCCACTACTACTACGACTGCCAACAACGCTACTTCTACTTCAACTTCATCATCATCAACAACTTTGACAATTTCAAAATCAACAAATGGAACATCATTAGATTTACGTAACAATATTTATGGACAACCACAAGCACCACCAAAGATAGTGTGTGGATCGTGCGGCATTGATTGCTCGGCACTGAGATACCACCTCACCAAGAAAATGACACCCACTGCAGACGTGGGCAACGATCTGCCACCCGATCTCTACAAGGTCAATCTCTGCGCCACATGCTACAACAATGGTACGTACACGGCCGCCAAGCACCAAGCAACCGATTTCACAAAGATCGAACAAACTGTAAATACCGAGCCACCCGAAGAGTGGACCGATCAAGAAACCCTGTTGCTCCTCGAAGGCATTGATATATATGGTGACAGTTGGGCAGACGTTGCCGAGCACGTCGGAACAAAGACCAAGGAGCAATGTCTACTCCATTTCCTCAGACTCCCAATCGAAGACAGTTATCTCGAGGACAACCTCAGCAACCCAAACAAGCGTGCCACCTCTGGCTCTGGTGCCGCCGATCAATATTGGTCCGACTCTAATGTCATCCAATCCCTCCTCGCCTTTCTCTCCAAATCTGTCTCTCCCAACGTTGCCAACGCTGCCTCTAAAGCAGCCATGGAAGCTCTCGTTAAAGAAGTTGGTAACGATCAAACTTTAGCTAATCTTGGTACTTTGGCTGCAACTTCTCTTGCTGCTACTAGTATTAAAGCAAAGGTAAAAACAAAAAAGAATTATTCATATGAAAATAATAATAATATTAATATTAACCATCTAATCAATCCATCTATCTCTAGGCAACATCAAAAAATGAAGAAAAAGAAATACAATCATTAATATTAAAAATTATTAATTTACAAACAAAGAAATTGGAAATCAAACTTAAATATTATTCAGATTTGGAAGATTGTCTTGATAGAGATAGATTAAATGTAAAGTATTCAAAGAGAAAGAGAGAAAGAGAAAGAGATATAATATAATATTAATTAATATTTTATTTATTTATTTATTTTTAGTTGGAAAAACAAAGACAATCATTATTTGCAGAAAGATTAAGTTTATTAAAAGCAAATCTTACCAATCAAACACCAATTCCAATAGTACCAGTACCAAACAACCACAATGTAGTATTGGAAAATAATGGAAATCATACTAGTGATAACATGTCAATCAACTAATTGTGGACATGAAAATGATGAATTGCAAACATTAAAAAATAAATAAATAATTAACATAATTTAAAAAAGAAAAAGAAAAAAGAAAAAGAGAAAGAGAGAGGGATTGTTGTGTTTAATTAAATAATGACCAAAAACTATTTTAGAAATGGCCAGTTTTATCATATTATTGAATTTATTCTTGTCTATTTGTCCTTGTCATCCTCTTTATCACCATCATCTGGTTTATTATCATCCTGTTGTTGTTGTTGTTGGGTTGACTTTCTACTCTTTTGTTGTAAGAATTCTTTTAAATTCATTGTTGGTGCAGAACCATCGTCATCATCATCGTCATCGTCATCATCAGTATTGGAATGTAAAGATATTGAAGAAGATGATGGTGGAGATGGTGTAGGTTGAGTCTCAACATCGACTATATGATCATGTAGAGGTGATTGTGAACCAGCAGTATTCATATTAATACCAATATCAATATTATTTTGGGTATTTTGATTATTTAAAACAGGAGAAGAAGAAGATATATTATTTAAAGGTGTTGTGGTTGAAGATGAAGGTGATGCGTTATTTAGATTATTTAAGTTATGATTACTGTCATTATTATTATTATTATTATTTGCCAAAGGAGGCAAAGCCATGAGTTCGATATTCTTTTCTTTATGAGTCATTCTGTAGAAACTTGGGAAATGGGGACCACAGAATATAGAGAAACAGTTACGGAGCAAACCGTCTGTAAAGGGGTTACCCTTGCGGAACGATTTTTTAATGTGTTCGTTTGTCGTCTTGGCAACGACAATGAGGTAGCAGTGGAATCCACCAAGACTGCCAACAAAGATCATGCCTCCCAGAGCATAGACTATAATGATGATCGAGAGATAATGTGATTCGTTGAGTGCCATGTTAAAAATACTAGCAGAGCTGTCAAATGGATGATCGAGCCGTGCCCTCTGTGCATATATTACAATATTGGCTATACATATCCCAATCATCCATGAACAAGTTGTACCAACTGTAAATAACAATGTACATAAAATATTTATAATTTCTTCTACCAATACAATTTCCAACCCTAAATACAAATATATAAATCCATTATATTAATATCCAATTATAATATATCTATATATATATATATATCTATATATCATATATATATGTGTGTTTGTGTGTCAATGACATACCAAGGACAATGATGGTCGAATTTTTCAACACAATTATTACAAATACCACAATGGTTTGCTCTTGGAGGTCTAAATATACTACAAGTTTCACACCATTTGATGTCATATTGAATGCCTCTAATATCCAATGTTTTGTATAATGGTTGTCTATGACTTTCTGAAAATGGATTGTCTAAACAAACACCGATGGAATATAAATGGATTAGTTAATTGAGATAGATAGAATATTCTCTATTCTAGATTCGACGATTACATACCTGCAGCCTCACTGTATGATCCTCGTGGAACTATACCTGGGTCTGTATATGATGTGATTAAAATGAAAACATAACTCGATAACCAAAGGAATATTGATATTACATATATTCCTGCCTTTATATATTCTTCAAATAGTTGACACCTAAATTCAATAAAATTATTGGGTTAACACTAATTGTCTATGTACAATCAATCAATCAATCAATCAATCAATTGTCTTGTTCTCCAAACATACACTGTAACCAAAAATGGAATCTCTGGTATAAACATTAATATCAATGCAGAGACAAAATACATTTTATCGGGACCTGTAACCATCCTTCCACTACAATGTGATTTCGATAATGAATCAAAACTCCTTGTCATTCTTCTTTTTGTCTTTTTTTATAAATCTAATATTGATAGATATATGGAAATAGAGAATAAATACTAATGTTAGGTAACCAAGCAACTAAGTAAGAAGTTGTGTTGAAATGGAATGAATGAATGAATGAAATAACAAGTTGTTGTTGTTGTTGTTGTTCGTCTTGATTATGATTAATAATTAATCGACCATCACATCAACAGCATCATCATCATCAAAAGTTTAAGTATTTATATGATCGGTCGATAAATCTATCTATAAATCGTTCCATCTAATCTATTCCATTAAACCATATATCTGTCACTACTTTCTCTCTCTTTACTCACCACAAAAGTCTGTGTATGTGTATGTGTATGTGTATGTGTCTATCGCGAATGATAACAACAACAGAAGAATAACGAGTTGCTCTCTTTTTCTATCTCTGTCTCTCTCTCTCTCTCTCTATTTTTACTTGTATGATCATAAACCAAGTTAAAGATAGATTTAAATTGTTTTTCTTGTTTTGGTGATTGTTGTTGTTGTTGTTGTTGTTTGTGGGGGTGTGGGTTGAGTGAGTATTATTTTGATTGGTGGAGAATTGATTGATAGTTGTTTGTTTGTCAGCTGACACCAATCCTTCAGTTTGTTATTATTCTATTCCTCCTCCTCTTACCTCTATCTAAAGATGTTCTTGATAATAATAATAATGCTCGTCGTAGTAGTGGTGGTAGTGGTCGTAGTAGTACAATTATAATGTTACGAATAAATAGGTGTGACCAACAACAAAAGAGGGAGGTGGAAAGAAAGAAAGAAAGTCAATAAATCTTAAAACCACAACTACTCTTTTGGATACCTTTCCTTCCTCTCCTTTGCTTTGTTCTAGTTGTAGCTGCTGATAGTGTTGGTGTTGGTGGTGTGTTGTTAAAACTAGTTTTAAATCAATGAGATGTGACGGATCAATAATGTAAATTTAGCTCCATCCATTGGTCTTGAAAAAAAATTCAAAAAATAGTTGTGTAAACGTAAAAGCCAACTGATCGACGACTCGACAGCCGAATGAACGAATGAATGAACATAGATAGATCCATCTATCTTTAAGCGTAATTAATTGTAAATTGTAATCAAAACGCTACTCATACATAACACATATACACACATACATACACACATTTGTACATAATCAAAAAGATAAAAAGAGAACTACTATTATATAAGATATGAATACGAAAATCGATCAATTTGTAGTACCTGGAGATGCGATTGGACAAATAGATGATCTCAAAGTTAGAATAGGTCCTGGTTTGTTACAGAACAAGGATCAAGTAGTCGCTAGTAAAGCCGGTGTACTTAGATTCAGCAAGTTTCATAAATTCTATTGGATAGAGAATGAACAGAAACGAGTAAGATAATAGATAAGATATATGAGAGATATACTATACTATACTATACTAATAGATTGAATTGTAATTAGTATGTTCCACAAGCAGAAGATATGGTAATTGGTATTATATTAGAGAAACATCCGGAATCATTTAAAGTAGATATTGGCAGTAGTTCACCTGCAATGTTATCAGCCTATTCATTCGAAGGCGCAACCAAATCAAATAAACCATTGTTGTCTGTATGTATACTTATACTTTAGCTCATTGTGTATCTATCGATCAAACATACTTACAGACAGTTATTGAATGTCTCTCTCTAGATTGGTAATTTAGTATATTGTAGAGTTTTAGTTGCCAACAAAGATATGGAACCAGAGTTGGTTTGCGTATCGATACGTAACAAGGCAGAGGGTTTTGGTCAATTGATTGGAGGTTACATGTTTAATTGTTCTTTAGGTTTGTCTCATTAGTATGTATCAATCGTTACGACGATTACAATTATTATATATTGTATTGTCACCATAAATAACACAAATATATTATATTATATTTAGTTTATTATCAGAGGATTGTAGTATATTAAAAATTGTTGGAACACATATACCATATGAAATTGCAGTTGGCGTCAATGGAAGAGTATGGGTGAATAGCGCATCCAACCAAAACACAATTATCACAACAAACACCATTTTAAATTCACAGTATATGCCAGACGACCAAATCGAATCATTTATCATCAAATCTTTAGCTGCCTCTCAACCAGTTTAATCGCCCTATAAAATCGATTGATACCTTCGAATAAAACAACCCCCGAAAAAAGAAATCAACAAACAAAACCAACAACCAGGGTTGGTTGGTTGAGTGGATAGATTAGATTTATCTATCTATCAATCAATCTGTATCCTACAAGATATATTTCACAGCTCAAAATATCCAAGTTTCATTTTTGTTCAACGGATTTGGGAATTACGATCGTACCTAGAGAGAGAGAGAGAAAGTCAGATAACTCACCCCCATTAACATCATCCCCATTGGATTGGTGGATGGATACCGCGGATGCTTACCTATGACCAATTTTTAAGCCCTTTCCTCTTTTAAAATAATTTGTTTGTTTTTGGGGAGCCATTCCACTGAATTGGAACCTCTCAAAACAGGTGATGTGTGAGTTTCACTCAGCCTCTCCCTCTGCCAAGAGCTTGAAGACCAAAATTAATTTTTTTAATTTTTTTTTAATGGATGCCCTTGTTGTTTTTGGTGTTCAATGAATCTCCTCGCTAGTTCCCTCCAAAACCTAGTCTTTCAAATAGTAGTTTACTATTGTAACAGAAGATTTTCTATTCTACTCTCTATACACTTTCTTTCTTTAAAAAGCCCACCCCTTCTATTTTTCGAGATATTTATTTCTTTATACTTTATATATATAATAATAATAGAAGCATTCATCGCAATTATTATTATATTTCATATTATCAAAGAAACTATTATCTTCATTTAAAATAGTCGACTACAAAGCAATACAAACAAAGGAACAAGTAAACAACAGCTAAGAGGAATAATAATATCAAACCTTCAAAACACAAAAACGTTAAAATCTTTAAAATGTAAGAATATCTCTTCCCCCCAACTCCAACTCATCTCACCATCCCAAAATATATATAATATTTATACAATATTTGTTTGTTTGTTTTTTTTGTTATTGGGCAAGTAACTGATCGATATCACCTTGATCAAGCCGTGTGTCTATACATGTAACTCTCTAATACAACCAACAAAAATATATAACTCGAGCATCGAAATGTGACGGACGACATGGCCCTCACAAAAATCCCAAGCCAAACACCCCTTTGTTTGATTTTTTGTTTTTTTACTCGTAAAAACAACGTCTCATTCTCGAGACGACGATGGCAATGGTTGTTGCCAACACCTTCCGGATTGGGAGGCATGACCATCGACATCGAAGCACCACATCATAGTTGTCTCAGTGTTGATGTTTACCATTTCGGATGTATGCAGACTGATTCTTGGTCAATTGTGTGGATGTTGTTCGTCATGTAGCGGGCATCAGGCTCATCCCTAGTACTGTCTCCCCCCAACAAAGAAGACTCTCCCTCTTTCATTTAATTTAATCATACATACATCATCTATCGTATCCATCATCCATCTGCATTTCCATCTAGCTCTAAGCTTCTATAGATATATTTATCACCTCTCTGTGCATCCGTTTTAATTGAATAATAATATTTATTACCGTTTTCTGACGACTCACTCTAACCCCAATCCCCTCGTTGTCGTTGTTCTTCTTTTTATTTTATTCTTATTCTTGTTTTTAAATTGATCCAATTCAATCTCTAATTATAATAATAATAATAATACTATTACCAAATATATATATATAAATCTCTTATACTTTTAATAATATTTTTAAAACAAAAGTCAAAGTCAACATCAACAATCACATTTAATTATTTATTTAATTATCCTTCCTCTTTTAGTAATTTTTTATTCATTCTCTAAATAATATCAAAAAGGTAAAGATCACCTCACTACACTACTCTTTCAACAACACACATATAAAAAAAAAATCTTCTTCTGTCGTTCGTCTTTTTCTCGTTGTCATTGTCCTCTCTCATGGTCACTCGTAGTATAAACTTATGCACCTATAAAACATAAAGTATTCTATCTCTATCTCTATCTATGTCAGACTCCACTAGTTCTAGAATCCAATATTAGTTCTTTTAGTTTTAGTTTTCGAAAGTAGTCTATTTTTAGTAAAGACAACAAAAAAACAAAAAAAAGAGGGAAGGAGCGCATAGTCTTCATCTTGTCTTAAGAAACCTATAGATACCTCTATTATTATTATTATTATTGTTCTATCACTTCCCTCTCTTTTTGAAAAAGGCAATTATACATTTCGTGACAACAAAACACACAATTGTGGGTCATCTTGTTATTAACCGTCGTCACAAAGGGTTTATCACACCCCTACCTCTCTCTCTCTCTCTCTCTCACCCCACTCGTGTCATAGTCAACTACCTCTTGAACTTAATTATACCTACAACACCCACTACCAGCCAGACACACACCACCTACCTAGGTGTTTAGGAATTTTTTTATATTTTTAAAATTGGTGGGCACATACATTAACATTAGCAAGGGGGGGTGTGTGACAGACACATTCATTGTAGCAGTCAAAAAAGACAAAAGTAGAAATATACAATCCACTCACACATAACATAGAGAGAGACTAACAAAACTTTGAATTTCAAACTGTATTGTTTTTTCTCTTCCTTTTTGTTTGAATTTTAATTTTTAAACTATTTGTTTAACACACACATACAGACAAAGTATACATATAACCAACACAAACAAACAAACAAACAAGCTCACACTAGCCAACCAACCAATTCCTCTATCTAAATATATTTCACCTCTTTTTTGGTTTTTTTATATATAAAAATTATAATATATTAACTTTTATTCTAATTTATCATTTTGTAGATCTCTTAAAAATTTAAATTAAATTTTAGCAGCAGCAGCAGTTCAAATTAATTAATTAATCAACTCAACTTCATCAACTCAACATCATCAACTACTATTATTTAAAAACATATTATTTATTTCTTCTTCTTTTTTACGAGTTATAAATAATAATAATAATCAAACAACACACATCTTTTAATTAATACAATTAATAATAATAATAATATACGAAAATGTCAACTCACACCTTAACCACAATCATCCCAATGAGTGCCGATGATTTCTACGCCATTACAGAGACACATGAATTCGATCAGTTTTGTATTCCATATCTTGGTTTAAATTCACATGAACTTAAAGAAGAAAACGAAGATGTAAGTAGTTTGTAATGAAATGAATACCAATATATCAAAAGAAACCAAAACCAAAACAAATAATTTCCATGTTTACTAATATCCAACCCTTTCTTTTACTATTTGTTTTTTAGGAATCAAATATTTACAGAAGAGTTTGTATAAAACCAAAGACTAGTGTACCAAAGTTCCTTTTAAAGTTTGCCAATAATCAATCAGAAGTTTCATACGAAGATACTCAAGTTAAATCTAAAATCAAGAGAGAAATTTCTTTCAAGACAAATCCACCTCTTTTACCTGAAAATATCAAGTATGTTTAGGAATAATAATAATAATAATAATCTCTTGATGCATAAATATTAATCAATATTTATTTCTATTAGTGTTGAAGGAGTTATTAATATTGAACCATTAGATGATAATTCATGTTTAAAGGTACACAAGGTTACATTTAAATTCACAGGTGCACTTCAATGGTTCTCTTCAATGATTGAAAATAATATTTTGTCGGAATTGAAAAAGACGATGGAATTGTTGCCCAAGATCATTGCAGACTATAAGAAATATTTGATTGAAAAGGGTATCCCTATCAAGACATTTACCTATCAAAAGGGTGTTTCCATCTTGTCTGTTGCTCCACAACCAGCACAAATTGAAGCTGTAGCCATTGAATCTGTCATATCAGCTCAACCAAATGGTCAACAACAACAACAAGCTGTAGTTGAATAAACTATTTGTTTGTTTTTTTTAATTAGACTACATACAACATATAACAATAACAAAACACTTTTTGCGTAAAACTAAAAAAAAAAAGATAATAATAATCATTAATATTAATTATCTCTATTTTTATGTTTCCAACTTTTTTACAACAACAACAACCCTCCCCAACCTCCAACTCCTCCTCCACATCCTTTTTTATTTAAAAAAATGAATATAAATCAATCAATAATTTGGATTCCTTCAATAAAAAGAATCAATTTACTTTGATTAATTGTTTTTTGTCTAAACATTAATATATTACAATTATTAATTATTATTTATTTGTTGGAAAAACATTTACAATTGCAAATGAAGTATCAATTGAACATTGAATATTATCAATTTCATATCTATTATTGTTATTTATGTCGGCTGCTATTTCATCGGTGAGTGATGTAAGGATTTCAGGTGTTTTGAATACTTTGAGTGATTTACCAAGTGTACCATGTTGTCCGAATCCCCAACCATATAGAGTGGTTGATGATCGATCATTACTCTTGTTCTTATCAATAGCAATACAATGATCGGTTCCAAAAGATGCAGATATAATTGATTTGGGAAGATTAGACATGACAGTGGGAATTAGTTGGTCTTGTGTTTGTTCACCACCCAATTTACCGTCACCACATGATCCCCATATCAACGTATCATTGTCTCGGTTGGTTCTCTCTACTACAGCAACCGATGCACACGAAGCACATGAAATACTATGTATCTTTGCAACAGATGCACCAATATCAATCTGTCTAAGTGTCACAATATCTCTGCCTTTGGTTCCAATTCCACATTGTCCATGCAAGTTTGATCCCCAAACAAACATTTCATTCTTATCAGTTGTAAAGATTGAATGACCCCATCCAGAATCTATTTGTTCTATCTTTCCAAGTCCAAGATGATTGGTACCAAAATCAAGTTTAGTAGGTTTACTAACAACTCTATTATTACTATCAACTTTTATACCACATTGTCCCATATCATTCATACCAAATGAATATATATTACTACAAACATAGTATAGAATTAATTAATAAAACACAGACTATAACTTTTAAATGACAAACATACTTGTTTTGATCAACTACAATTGTATAATTGGGACCACAAGAAATATGAATAATCTTCTTTCCTCTTAGACTTGGTATTGGTGTTGGATCATACACCATATCATGTTGATGGTCATGTGTATCAATACCCAATTGTCTTTCAGAGTTTCGACCAAATGCATATGTATTATAATCTCCATTTGGTTCCTCTATTATTAAATCTTTTGTATTAGTCAAAGATCTTTACTTTGAGTTTATAAATGTTTACTACATACCAACACTAATAACAGAATGAAATCCACCAGCAGACATTGAGACGATCTTTTTATCTGTAAAGAATCGGTTTAGAGTAGGTTCAGAGCTGTTGGTGACAGCAGCTTCACCCCAAAGATACAACTTGCTTTGGTCGTTGCTCTTGTCCTTGATGTGAAGCATAGAGTGATACGATCCTAGTGATAGTTGAACATCTGCGTTTGTAGGGATCGACAATTTAATCCTCTTTGGTGTATACTGATCGGTTACATTGCCAAGTCCCAATGATCCACTCCATGATGTACCCCAACTATACAAATATTTCTCTGTTGTTGAAATGAATGATGCAGCAGCAGCAGCAGCTGACGAAGAAGAGGATGAAGAAGTTGCATACCTTCTAATACAGTTCCCAATCATCATCTTTATTCTTTAATATAAAATATTATAATTTAAATTAAAAGTAATGAGCTCATCAGCTTACAGACACCCCTCAATTTTAAATGAAATTCCACTCCAAGGAGAGAGTATCTCCATTAATTAAATTTTAGTTAATGGGCAACCTGGTAAAGATAGCTTCTCATGTTTCTCTCTCTTCATTATCAAGGGTATCACATGATGATCAACTTTAAAGTAAACAAATTTGTTAATACATACAATTAATCAAACCAACTTATAACAAACAAACAAACAAACAAATAATATTAATAGTAATAATAATAATACTCTTCTTCTCGAAAACAAATGACTCAAGATAGCAAGATACCAATGAGAGTTGAAATGCCTGTCAAGGCAATCAAATTAGGGAATACGACTTCCTAACAGCAATGGTGGGTCGGTCATCTAGACTATTCAACTTGTTAAAGGAACAAGTTAGCATCGGTGTACTTACACACTCTCTCAAACCAATGTCTTGTAAACATGAATTTGAAAGAGGTGAGTTCTTTGGTGACACCTATCTCAATCTTTTATTTACTCAAATCTTGGATATTGTATGTACATAGTTTAAATACAATAAGAGACAGTATTAATAGTTTAAATGTTTATTTATTTATATAATTAATTTATAAAGGCTATTCCAAAGAAATGTTTTACACCTGGTTTGGGAACATTTATAATTAATTGTGGAGCCAATAATGCATTGCTGGCCAAATTGTTTGACACTATCAATGTGGTAGGATTGATGGATCCAAGAGAGGTCAATAACAATGGAGGAACCAAGTACAAGGCCGATATAGTAGAGTCGATCATCTCACAACTCTACGAGTCAAGACATACCAACCAATCGTCAATGCGTGTACTTTCAAGTATCGTATTCACTCTGTTCCAATGCTCATGTTATGTACTTGATATACAAGTAGAGATTACTGCTCAAGTCATTGCTAGTATCACTAATCAGGGACACCAGAGAGACTACAGCAATCCATTGCCACCACCACCACCACCACCAACTCTATCATCGTCATCATCACTCGTAGTAGTAGATACATCAATCGATATCTATCCACCACCACCACCACCACCAACAAAGACAGATTCCCATTCAGTTGCCATTTCCATTCCAATCAAACCTTCACCACTACCAGTTGCCAAGGTACCAGTCTGTAGTCCAAGGATTCTTTGCTTTTAGAATTTGGAACACCTTTATCAAAGTAATTAGATCGTTATGTAGAAACAATTCAGCGGCTGCATGAACAAATTAGATGATGACCATCGACTATATTGGGTTAACCGAGGGGGGCTGACGTTCTTTTGTTGTCCGTTTGTGGTGATGAATCTGTGATATTTTGTATGTTTTGAAACATACAATGAATCACAGAGCACATCACCGCAAGCGGACAACGAAAGAACGTCGCACCCCCCTCGGTCTACCACAAGGAAATTCTTTGGTACCTAATTTTTGCAATCGTTTATTTGCCATACATCTTTCTTTTTAAAGATTGGAGAATCCATCCAATTCCCCAACACCCAATAAACTTTTAGTAGTATATAGCTACATAATACATATTTTAAATTAAAAATCATATTATATTTATTGAAATTTGGTTTTGAGAGAACAACCAAGATTAATTATGACCTCTCTCTATCTTTATTAGATTTTTATATTACCTGTTATATTTATATACGATCATTATGAAGAGAAAAGAGATAGAAGAAGAAGAAGAAGGAGGAGGAGGAGATGGGGATTGTTATAGTGGCCACTCTGTAGGAAGAGGTCGTCGGTCGTCACTCTACCCTTCGATATAACAATGAGGCAGGGTTGCGTCATTTGTTTAAAAGTGTCACTTTGAAGAGATATGCTGGCAGTTGGATGTACCTATAGTATATGGTGAAGATTCATCTGGTATATTAATCAACAATATATTGCTCCATCAAGTAGAGAAACAGTTTCCAATCAAAGAGATGAATGATCATGATCAAACTACACATCGACTCTATGAACGAATACAACCAAGGTGTATTAGAGTATACTCTACCGTGGCCTATCGTACAACGTATATTGACATATGCTTCTCAATACAACTCGAGATGTGCGTGATCATACATACTATTTTTTAAATTTACATATGATGGTAGTTATTCATGATGATGCAAAAATAATTATAATATAATAAATATCATCTTGTCCCAACCAATTAAAATAAACTTTGACAAAAAGATTTTAATAATTAAAAAAATTATTTATGTGGTGCTTCTGAAAGATTACAAAGTTCTACAGAGTTTAAATAATATATATATTTGTACATATATACATATGATAAAGATAAAGGGAGGAAGAGGTCGTCACTCTACCCTTCAATATGACAATGAAAGAGCATTGAGTCGGTTGGATAGAAATGAACTTGCATATGAATGCTCGCAATTGGATGTACCTTTGCACATTGCTGATGATGATACATTTGGGCGGATAATCAACAAAATATTGCTCACCTATGTAGAAAAACAGTTTACAACAATCAAAAAGACAAACGATGATGATCAACAACTCAACAATACGATGAATGATTACAATCAAGGTGCATTAGAGTATACTCTACCATGGCCTATCATACAACGTATATTGACATATGCTTCTCGATACAATAATCGATGTACTTGTGTAAATACGGATGCGTTAAAGATAACTCATCAATCAAGATCGAGAAACTTGTTTCAAAGAGATAGATGGGATCCTCAACACCAAACCATACTTCATACCAACATGGTGCTTCAAAGTGAGGTGAAACAACATTCTCTTACTAGAGATCAACTATGTCCTCTTCACCAATTCAATCTCGATCAAGGATATGAACCAAACTTTGTACTTGACAGTTCACCGTTTAACCAAGTGTCAAGAGAGGATTGTAGATGGATGCGTAGTATGGCATTACTAAGCAAGAGAGTATTTGCATTCATATCAACGACACTATTTACCAACATTGTGATGGATCCAACAGCAGATACATGGAATCATATCACCAACAACTATTGTATCATCAAACAACCAAAGATATTGACACTTGTCTCTCCATCATCTGACACTCAACTCTTCTTTACAAACAAATCACAGTCCTCTTCATCCGTCCAATTTCTAAAGAATGTTGAAAAGATATACATCAACAATCCACATCTAGTTGAAAATGGATCAACTATCGAATCATTAATCAACTCCACACCATCACTTCGATCACTCACGATCAAATGTGATGTTGGGTTATCTTTGGCCGACCTCTTTCAAAACGCAATAATGAAATCGATTACATCCATCAACTTTGGGAATGCCCTCTGTCAATTGACTCCTTTTCAACTGACATCATCAATAATGTCGTGTCTCACAAAGATTATTCTCCCATTTGCATTTGATTGGAATAGTTTGAGCAAAGACATTAAACAAAATCTTCAAGTCATTTCACTATTGTTCATCGATCCAATGGATGCCACACTCCAATTGGATCCAATCGATTTTCCATCACTGCGACATGTTCATGCTGTTACAATCTTTGGCAGACTTATCAACGTTCCAAATCATGTCGATAAGGTTACGTGTTTCTCTGATGCATCCCCTACATCAATCGCCTACACTCCTAGAATTCCCAAATATCCAAACCAAAATATTTCAACACTGCGAATCAGATTTGGTCAGGAGAAAGTGCCATATAAATATCTAATAGATCGCAGTGTCACTATTACGTCTCTTAAAAAGATTATCTTATTCAACTCATTCACAGATGTTTGCCAAGACCAAGTCAATTATTTTAATAGTATTGGATTTAATTATTTTGGTTCATCATTCTCTGTACATTCAAACACAAAGAAATTAATCTATTTTAAAAAAGGTGAAACAAATAATAATTTAAATGGTAGTAATAACGATATCAATGTAAATAATAATAATAATAATAATAATAATAATCAACAAATTGAGCAACCTTTGATTCCAACCATGACAACTATATTATCCGACAATAATAAAAATATTATTTTACCAAATACAATTATCAACAAAATAATCAAAATGACATGGAAATTAAGAGAACGTTGTACATGTGTTTATGAAAAAGAAACTATTCAAAAATGGATTAAAATTGGATACGATATTCTAAAAGATGAACAAGAACTAGAAAGATTCAATCAGATGAAGGATAATTGTCCAACTCATTTCTCACATACTCAACCATACCAACCATTAACATATGGTTTGAAAAGTAGTAATCGATCTAAATTACAATTAGCACTCATCAACAAAGATATATTTAATTATATTGCCAACAATTGTTTCTCAATTATCAACCTCAATAGCCAGCAATTCAACAATAATACTATTCAACATATCAATAATCCTTATTGTGTTGCATTCAAACACTTTACAACTATAAAGGGTAATAACGATAATGATAATATTGCCAAATTACTCCTCAACATAAAAGACAATCTTCCATACATTACCAAAGTGGTACTTAGTAGTGGAGACTATCTACAAGATATAATCAAACTATTACCCAATCTCACTTCAATTGACATTTCTCAAACAGATAAAAGTTCCTATCGTAGGATAGATATCGCCAATCTTTGCCAACTAAAACACCTCACTAAATTGGATTTAACAGGTGCTGGTCTACGCTATGATACCTCATTGGTGGATGAAATCAAAGACATGCCACTCAAAAAACTGTGTGTCCCTCAATTTTATCATTTCACATACAATGAAATCCCTCTCAGATTAAAACACTCAATCACCAAGATGTGTTCCCTCCCTCATTCTTGGGGATACCTCAAACAATTACCAAACCTCAACCACATTGTGGTTTTATTCGATCTAGACTCATCTAAATGGAAACTACCAAAAACCGTTACAAAGATAACATTGTATACCTTTGAGATTGGATTTCTAGCTCACAACAAATCAGTCAAAATATTAAAGCTCAAAGTCCCATCTCCAACCAGTTCAAAGATGGACCTATTTCTCAAAACCCTTTCATCACCACAGTACTCACATGTCCAAACCATTATCTATTGTTGTAACTATCCCTTCCACATTCCCAGTAAATTATTCAATGATTTTAATTATCGAGTGGACTACAGTAGGACTAGTTTGGATTACAACATGTCTCAATATTTAAAACTGTCAAGAATCAATACATATCTAGATACAGTCCCAAACCAAAGTACAAAGGATCATGTTGACCATTCAGATCAAAATAGAGGTTCAAACTTTTGTAATATATTATAGAATAAATAATTTTTTTTTTTTAGAACACATTTTTTGCATCTTCACGACCGCACTTTTTTTGTTCTGGAAAGATTATCGCTTCTCTAAAGATCGCTTCTCTATAGATAAATATATGAATAATAATAATAGAAATAGATAATTACATATTTAAAGCAGAGAGATCTCTTGATGAATGATCAACACAACAACAAGAACACAATGAATGATTACAATCGGGGTGCATTAGAGTATACCCTACCATGGCCTATCGTACAACGTATATTGACACTAATGTATCAATATCACACTCGGTGTACTTGTGTTAATACAGATGCTTTAAAGATAACACATCAGACGAGATCGACGTACTTGTCTAATAGAGATAGATGTGATCCTCAAAACCAAACTATACTTCATACCAATATGATACTTCAAAGTGAAATGAAACAACATTCTCTTACTCGAGATCAACTATGTCCTCTTCATCAATTCAATCTCGATCAAGGGTATGAACCAAACTTTGTGCTAGGCAGTCCACCGCCGCCGTTATACAAGGTATCAAGAGAGAGTTGTAGATGGATGCGTAGTATGGCATTACTAAGCAAGAGAATATTTGCATTCATATCAACCACACTATTTACCAACATTGTTATGGATCCAACAGCAGATACATGGAATCATATCACCAACAACTATTGTATCATCAAACAACCAAAGATATTGACACTTGTCTCTCCATCATCTGACACTCAACTCTTCTTTACAAACAAATCACAGTCCTCTTCATCCGTCCAATTTCTAAAGAATGTTGAAAAGATATACATCAACAATCCACATCTAGTTGAAAATGGATCAACTATCGAATCATTAATCAACTCCACACCATCACTTCGATCACTCACGATCAAATGTGATGTTGGGTTATCTTTGGCCGACCTCTTTCAAAACGCAATAATGAAATCGATTACATCCATCAACTTTGGGAATGCCCTCTGTCAATTGACTCCTTTTCAACTGACATCATCAATAATGTCGTGTCTCACAAAGATTATTCTCCCATTTGCATTTGATTGGAATAGTTTGAGCAAAGACATTAAACAAAATCTTCAAGTCATTTCACTATTGTTCATCGATCCAATGGATGCCACACTCCAATTGGATCCAATCGATTTTCCATCACTGCGACATGTTCATGCTGTTACAATCTTTGGCAGACTTATCAACGTTCCAAATCATGTCGATAAGGTTACGTGTTTCTCTGATGCATCCCCTACATCAATCGCCTACACTCCTAGAATTCCCAAATATCCAAACCAAAATATTTCAACACTGCGAATCAGATTTGGTCAGGAGAAAGTGCCATATAAATATCTAATAGATCGCAGTGTCACTATTACGTCTCTTAAAAAGATTATCTTATTCAACTCATTCACAGATGTTTGCCAAGACCAAGTCAATTATTTTAATAGTATTGGATTTAATTATTTTGGTTCATCATTCTCTGTACATTCAAACACAAAGAAATTAATCTATTTTAAAAAAGGTGAAACAAATAATAATTTAAATGGTAGTAATAACGATATCAATGTAAATAATAATAATAATAATAATAATAATAATCAACAAATTGAGCAACCTTTGATTCCAACCATGACAACTATATTATCCGACAATAATAATAATATTAATTTACCAAATACAATTATCAACAAAATAATCAAAATGACATGGAAATTAAGAGAACGTTGTACATGTGTTTATGAAAAAGAAACTATTCAAAAATGGATTAAAATTGGATACGATATTCTAAAAGATGAACAAGAACTAGATCGATTCAATCAGATAAAGAATAATTGTCCAACTCATTTCTCACATACTCAACCATACCAACCATTAACATATGATTTGAAAAGTAGTAATCGATCTAAATTACAATTGACACTCATCAACAAAGATATATTTAATTATATTGCCAACAATTGTTTCTCCATTGTAGACCTTCAAGATTGGCCGTCTATTTCAATGTCTCAATTCAACAATGATCACCCATATCGAGTTGCATTCAAACATTTTATAACTGTAATATGTAATGAATTAAATGATATGGATAGGGTCCTCTCCAATATTCAAAATCATCCCTCATACGGATACATTACCAAAGTGTTTCTCAGTAATGGAGACTGTATACAAGACTTTATCAAACTATTACCAAACCTAACTAGTATTGACATTTCTCAAACCGGTTCTAGAAATTACCCAAATTATCAATTAAATGTAATCAATCTCCACAAACTTAAATACCTAACGAAATTGGATTTAACAGGTACATATATGCATAAAGATTCCTGTGGATTGTTGTTGGATGAGATCAAAGACATGCCTCTCAAAAAACTATGCGTCCCACATTTGTTTACTCATCTATACACTCTGCTCCCTATCAGATTAAAACAATCAATCACCAAGATATCAGCAGGTCAATTTTGTGGACCGTACATTAAAAAATTCCCAAGCCTCAATCATATTTTGATAAACAATGGCAATGATAATTCATCTAAATGGAAACTACCGAAAACGGTTACAAAGATAACATTGTATACCTTTGAGATTGGATTTCTGCCTCACAACAACTCAATCAAAACATTAAAACTTAAAAGTGCACCTGATAATACACAATGTGTCTGGTTCAACCCATTTCTCAAGAAAATATCATCACCAAAATGTTCCCATGTTCAAACCGTCATCTATTGTTGCAAAGGCACTTTCCAAGTTCCCAATGATTTATACAATGATTTTAATTATCGAGTAGAGTATAGTAGGACGAGTTTGGATTACAAATACTCTCAATATTTAAAACTGTCAAGAATCAATACATATCTAGATACAATCACACCAAGAGAAAAGACTCACCATGGTTGTCCTTTAATGTAATGTAAAACAAAATAAATAATTATTTTTAATTTGGAATTTTTTTAGAATCTTGCAAGATTCGAACGAAGTGCTCTTGATATTTATCATTCTTTTTTCACCTACTATAATATTATTTATATGTATATATAATCGATGCGGGACTGGTTAAACTCTCCATCAGGTATTCCTCATGCCATCAACACTCCTCGATATAGAAATGAAAGAGAGTTGCGTCAGCACGTGAGCAGAAGTGACTTGTTAGATTTATGCAGGCAATTGGGTGTAGAGTATAGAACGTATGAACAAACAATCAACGGTATACTGCTCACAAATGTAAAGAAAAAGTTTACAACAATCAACAAAACAAAGACAAAGGATGAACACAACTCTATGAATGATTACAATAGAGGTGCATTAGAGTATACTCTACCGTGGTCAATCATACAACGTATATTGACATATGCTTCTCAATACAACTCGAGATGTACTTGTGTCATGGTTGATAGAGATACTTTAAAGAGAAATGATTCTCAAACAAGACAGAAACTCATTTTGGATCGATTAGTTCAAGATAAATGTGATCCTCAATTCCAAACTATACTTCATACCTCTATGATGCTACAAAATGAAATGAAGAAACGTTCACTCACTAGAGATCAACTATGTCCTCTTCATCAATTCGATCATGATCAAGGATTCAAACCAAACATTGAACTTGAAGGAATATCTTGTCAAGTATCACGAGAGGATTGTAGATGGATGCGTAGTATGGCATTGCTAAGCAAGAGAGTATTTGCATTTATATCAACCACACTCTTTACCAACATTGTAATGGATCCAACAGCCGACACGTGGAGTCATATCACCAACAACTATTGTATCATCAAACAACCAAAGATATTGACATATGTCTCTCCATCATCTGACACTCAACTCTTCTTACAAACAAATCACAGTCCTCTTCATCCTTCCAATTTCTAAAGAATGTTGAAAAGATATACATTAGCGGTTTACATCTAGTTGAAAAGGTTTCAACTATCGAATCATTAATCAACTCCACACCATCACTTCGATCAATCACTATTAATTGTATAATCAACCAATTCGTGATGATTGACCTATTTAAAGGACAGTCTCTAAAATCAATTACATCAATCAACTTTGGAAAAGTAGTAGACCCTCGTTATAATGCTGGTGGTGATGAGAACCCTTTCTTGGTTGGCAATATTATTCAACCTACATCAAGTCTTACAAAGATTATTCTCCCATTTGCTTTTGATTGGAATAGTCTAAGCATTGATGTCAAACAAAACCTTCGAGTCATTTCACTAATGTTTAGAGATCCATACCAACCAATCCCATTCAACCCAATCGATTTTCCAAACCTTCGACATGTTCATACAAAGCCGAATAGACAAGGTATATTTCCTGATATTCCAAGCTGCGTCAATACGATAACATTTCTCGGTCCCGTATCTTGGCGAGTGATTGATACATTCTCCAAGGCAAATATCTCAACTCTTCGAGTAAGATTATATGATCTTGAAAAGAATTTATATCTAAACAAGATTACATCTCTCAAAAAGTTGGTACTCTTTTCCTCCTCAACAACCATTTGCCAAAACCAATTCAATTATTTTATCAATGATATGGGATTTGATTATTATGGTTCATCATTATCTATTCAATCAAACACAAAGAAATTAATTTATATTAAAAGAGATAGTGAAACAAATCATTCAACAATAACTAATAATAATAATAATAATAATAATAATAATAATTACCAAATAGATCAACAACAAGTTGTTTCAACACCAACGTCAATCAACAACAATAATAATATTATTTTACCAAATACAATTATCAACAAAATAATCAAAATGACATGGAAATTAAGAGAACGTTGTACATGTGTTTATGAAAAAGAAACTATTCAAAAATGGATTAAAATTGGATACGATATTCTAAAAGATGAACAAGAACTAGATCGATTCAATGAAATGAAGAATAATTGTCCAACTCATTTCTCACATACTCAACCATACAAACCATTAACATATGATTTGAAAAGTAGTAATCGATCTAAATTACAATTGGGACTTATCAACAAAGATATATTTAATTATATTGCCAAGAATTGTTTCTCAATTGTTGATCTAGAGTATCATCGGGAGAATGCTACTCAACACATAAAAAATCAATATTGTGTTGCATTCAAACACTTTACAACTATAATAGGTTCAAGTGATCAACATTTTCCACGGATCCTCCTCAATATCAAAGACAATCATCCACATATTACCAAGGTGATTCTCTACAACTTGGACTATCTACAAGATATTATCAAACTATTACCAAACCTCAGTTCGATTGACTTTTCAAAACCGCGAACCAATTCCTATGGTAACATCGATATAACCAATCTTCACAAACTTAAACACCTAACTAAATTGGATCTAACAAGTGCATACTTTGGCGATGATTCCAGATTAATCGATGAAATCAAAGATATGCCACTCAAAAAACTATGTCTCTCAAATAACTTTCTCTACCGAAAGCTCCCACTTTGGTTGAAACAATCAATCACCAAGATATCTGCCAGTCCATTTTGGGGATACCTAGATCAATTCCCAAACATCCAACATATTGTGATTGATAATAGGTTCAGTAGAGACTCTTCGTGGTGCAAACTACCAAATACTGTTACAAAAGTCACATGCACTGAGGAGATTGGGTTTCTTCCTCACAACAAATCAGTGAGAAAAGTAATACTCAAAACCCGATGGCAAGAAAATATCACCGGTCCATTTCTATTTCTCAAAACACTTTCATCACCACAGTGCTCACATGTCCAAACCATTATCTATTGTTGTCCCGACACTTTCCAAGTTCCCAATGATTTATTCAATGATTTCAAGTATCAAATCGATTACAGTAGAACTAGTTTGGATGACAACAAACCTCAATATTTAAAATTATCAAGAATCAATCAAAATCCGGTCTCAAACCAAGATAGTTCTTCCACAGATATATTTAAACGGTATTGCAAGATTATGTAAACAAACCCTTTAAATAAATAAATAATAAATCATTCTTTCCTTTTTTGCAACCGAGATGCATTATATATTCACAACTAGTTGTTAATATTGAATTTTCTTTGTGATACTCAAGAAGGGTTACTGTTTGGTTGGGAGAGGTTTAAAAACAAAAGTATTTACCTGTCTATATTCTCTTTCTTTTTTTAATTTTTTGCATTTTCAAGCAGCACAAAAAAGCAAAGTTGTTATCTCTATTAAGTATCTAGATTAATAATTTTCATAGATATATAATTAGCTATCAAAGATGCGACAATGCGATATCACTGAAGAACAGCTGCGTCAGATGGGTAGAGTAGGCATTCAAGATAAATGCAAGCAATTGGGTATACCTTTTTCTCATAAAGATTCATCTGAACAATTGATCAACAGTATATTGCTCAAGAACGTAAAGAAAAGGTTTACAATAACAAAGAAAAAGATAGACAATAATGATCAACAACACACCAACACGATGAATCATTATAATCGAGGTGCATTAGAGTATGCTCTACCATGGCCTATCGTACAACGTATATTGACACTTATGTATCAATACAGCTCTCGATGTAATTGTGTTCATAGAGATGCGTTAGATAGGGCATTCGTGGCACAAAAAAGATTGACAACCTTTAACCCTCAAGTTCAAGATCAACATCAGATCGAGTTGCTCCTTCATACCAACATGATGCTACAAAGTGAAGTGAACCAACATTCACTCACTAGAGATCAACTATGTACTATTCATCAATTCAATCTCGATCAAGGATATGAACCAAGCTTTGCGCAATATACTTATAGATGGATGCGTAGTATGGCATTGCTAAGCAAGAGAGTATTTGCATTTATATCAACCACACTATTCACCAACATTGTGATGGATCCAACAGCCGACACATGGAGACATATCACCAACAACTATTGTATCATCAAACAACCAAAGATACTGACACTTGTCTCTCCATCATCTGACACTCAACTCTTCTTTACAAACAAATCACAGTCCTCTTCATCCGTCCAATTTCTAAAGAATGTTGAAAAAATATACATCAACAATCCGCATCTAGTTGAAAAGGTAGCAACGATCAGATCATTAATCAAACTGACGCCATCGCTTCGATCACTCACCATTAATTGTATAATCAACCAATCAGTGATGACTGACCTATTTAAAGACCCATCAATGAAAACAATTACTTCAATCAACATTGCAAAAATAGATTCCTGGCATATGAATGAAGTTTGGAGTCCTTTCTCTTTTGGTAATCTTTTTCAACCCACATCAAGTCTTGTCACAAAGATTATCCTACCACAACAATTGGGGTTGGACAGATTGGACATTGGTACCAAACACAATCTTCAGGCTATTTCATTATTTTACCAACCCCAAGTACTACTCAAATCAATCGAATTTCCAAACCTTCGTCATGTCCATATTGTTAGTGGTGATATGATTCCCGACATACCAAGAAGAGTAGATACCATCACATATCATGGCACGTTATCATTGGAGGTTATTGATGCCATTTCAAAGTTAAATATCTCGACACTTCGAGTGAAACCATTTGATCTTGAAAAGAGCGTATATTTAAACAAGATTACCTCTCTCAAAAAGATAGTACTCCTCTCCTCTGGAACTATTTTTGAAAGTCATGTCAATCACTTCAAACAAATTGGATTTGATTATGATGGTTCATCATTCTCGGAGCATTCAAATACAAGGAAAGCAATATTTATTAAAAAAGATGGTGAAACAAATCATTCTGCATTAACTATAAATAATAATAATAATAATAATAATAATAATATTCAAATGATTTCAACATTATCATCATCCAACAATAACAATATTATTTTACCAAATACGATTATCAACAAAATAATCAAAATGACATGGAAATTAAGAGAACGTTGTACATGTGTTTATGAAAAAGAAACTATTCAAAAATGGGTTAATATCGGATACGATATTCTAAAAGATGAACAAGAACTAGATCGATTCAATCAAATGAAGAATAATTGTCCAACTCATTTCTCACATACTCAACCATACAAACCATTGACATATGATTTGAAAAATAGTAATCGATCTAAATTACAATTAACACTTATCAACAAAGATATATTTGATTATATCTCCAAGACCTGTTTCTCAGTTATCAACCTTGACCATTTTGGTACATCTCACTCTCAAACGATTGATAATCCTTATTGTGTTGCATTCAAACACTTTACAACTTTAAAAGGGAATATTGGTCATATTCCCAGACTCCATCTCGAAATGAAAGACAATCTTCAATACATTACCAAAGTGGTTCTTTTTACTGGTAATTGTCTTCAAGATATAATCAAACTATTACCAAACCTTACAACAATAGACAAATCAAAATACTCTGTTTATAGTAATGACACGTCGCGTGGATTAGATATAACCAATCTTCACCAACTCAAATACCTTACTAAATTGGATTTATCGACTCAAATAAGCAAAGGTTCATTACTGGATGAAATCAAAGACATGTCTCTCAAAAAACTATGTCTTGCACCTTGGTACACAATCCCTCAACTACCATACAAATTAAGACAGTCAATCACAAAGATAACAGCATATAATGTGCCTTCAATGGATCAATTTCCAAACCTCAACCATGTGGTTATTAACGATATGTGTGATGCCATCGAGTTTAAATTACCTAATACTGTTACAAAAGTAACAACGTATCGCTATCAGATTGACTTTCTAGCTCACAACAAATCAGTTAGACAACTAAAACTCAAAGGTCCATACCAAGATAGCAAAGAACTTGACAAATTCATAAAGACAATCTCCACATCAGAGTATTCGCATGTTCAAACCTTGGTGTATTGCGGTGATGACACATTCCAGGTTTCAAGAGATTTATTCAATGATTTCAATTATCAAATTGATTATAGTAGAACTAGTTTGGATTACAACATGGCTCAATATTTAAAACTGTCAAGAATCAACAAAGATCTTGATAAAAGTGTCTATTCCCCATCATTGAACACAAGATCTCATCATCATCATCATCATAGCTGCATCATTATGTAAACTTTTAAACTAAATAATCCACTTTGAAAAAGCTACATTTATTTTTTTAACAACTTTCAAATTATTGACATGATTAATATTCTTTACTTTTGGTTGGTTCGAACTATTGTTTATTTTCTTTGATTCATTTTATCTTTTTCATTCATCAGATAGAGATATATATATATATATAGTAATTAGATTGATTAAGATGAAGAAAGGGTTTCCTGATTAGTATATATCTCCACCAGGTACTCATGCAATCACACCAGGCTCAAGATCGCAAAGAATTTGACACTTTTTTAAAGACCATCTCCATATCAGAGTATTCACATGTTCAAACTATTGTCTATTGTGATGACCAACCTTTCCACATTCCCAGAAAATTATTCAATGATTTCAAGTATCGTATTGAGTATGGTAGAACTAGTTTGGATTACAGCATGTCCCATTATTTAAAATTATCAAGAATTGATCATCCATCTGAAACTTTGACAAAATCTAATCATGATCATGGATGTAACATTATGTAAACTTTTAAAAATACCAACGACAAAGGTATCAATATTTCCAATTAATTAATTTATAATTATTTTAAATCAAATAATACAAAAAATAAATAATAGTATTTTATGCACTACTTTTTTTTTTTTTGTTTTTTTTTCTAAATGTAGTTACTTGACCTTCGAATAGATATAATTAATAATAGTCATACTATCGAATAGATATAATAATAGGAATGAGTGTGAGAGGGATAAATTCATATCATATCTCTTCACCAGGTATTCATGCAATCACAACTTTTAGATATGATAGTGAAAGAGAGTTGCGCCGGTTAGAAAGAAGAAAACTTGTAGATAAATGCAAGCAACTAAAAGTACAAACAACATACTCTAGTTCAGACGGAGAAATGATCAACAGTATACTGCTAGCACAGGTAAAGAATAAGTTTACAACAATCAACAAAAAGACAAAGGATGAACACAACACTATGAATGATTATAATAGGGCTATACTCTACCATGGCCAATAGTACAAAGTATATTGACATATGCTTCTCAATACAACTCTCTTTGTACTTGTGTTAATAGAGATGAGTTAAAGAGAACTTATCAAACAAGATCGAGACCAAAATATTGCGATCAAGATGATCATCAACATCAAATGGTCCTTCATACCAACATGATGACACACGGTGATATGAAACAACATTCACTCACTCGAGATCAACTATGTCCTCTTCATCAATTCAATCTCGATCAAGGGTATGAACCAAACTTTGTGCTAGGCAGTCCACCGCCGCCGTTATACAAGGTATCAAGAGAGAGTTGTAGATGGATGCGTAGTATGGCATTACTAAGCAAGAGAATATTTGCATTCATATCAACGACACTATTTACCAACATTGTAATGGATCCAACAGCAGATACATGGAGTCATATCACTAACAACTATTGTATCATCAAACAACCAAAGATATTGACACTTGTCTCTCCATCATCTGACACTCAACTCTTCTTTACAAACAAATCACAATCCTCATCATCCATTCAATTTCTAAAGAATGTCGAAAAGATATACATTAAAGGTACTCATCTAGTTGAAAAGGTAGCAACTATTAGATCATTAATCAACTTGACACCATCTCTAACGTCACTCACTGTAAAGTGTGAGATTGAACAATCAGTAATAATTGACCTTTTAAATTACCCAACTAAATCAATGACATCAATCAACTTTGGCAATGCAGAAGTTCATCATTCAAGAGGTGAGAGACCATTCAAGTCTGACTGTCTTATTCAAAATCTTACAAAGATCATTCTCCCATTTTCATTTGATTGGAATAGTTTGAGCAAAGACATTAAACATAATCTTCAAGTCATTTCACTAATGTATTCACGCACTTTTCATACTCAACCAATCCAAGACAATATCAAATTAAGTGCAATAGATTTTCCAAATCTTCGACATGTTCATACCAAAGACAATAGTGGAAAAGCTCCAAACATTCCAGAGCATATTGATAAAGTTACCTATCTGGAAGAGGTATCTAAAGATGTCATAAACCTCCTTTCAATGTTTAATATTTCAACACTGCGAGTAAGATCAATCTATGTGAGATATTTGACTGATTACAACAAGATATCATCTCTCAAAAAGATTGTAATCTTTTCAAAAACAGATATTTGTGCAACTGAAATCAATCATTTCAATAGTATTGGATTTGATTTTATTGGCTCAATGGCAAAATCAAATCAAAGGAAATTAATATTTATCAAAAATGGTGAAACAAATCATAATAACCCAATAACTTTAAATAATAATAATAATAGTCCCCAATTGCCAATCAAAACAACAACAACTATATCATCCAACAACAACAACAATATTATTCTTCCAAATATAATTATCAACAAAATAATCAAAATGACATGGAAATTAAGAGAACGTTGTACATGTGTTTATGAAAAAGAAACTATTCAAAAATGGATTAATATTGGATATGATATTCTAAAAGATGAACAAGAACTAGATCGATTCAATCAGATAAAGAATAATTGTCCAACTCATTTCTCAAATACTCAACCATATCAACCATTAACATATGATTTGAAAAGTAGTAATCGATCTAAATTACAATTGGCACTTATCAACAAAGATATATTTGATTATATCTCTAACAATTGTTTCTCAATTATCAATCTCGAGCACTGTGATAAAAAATATATAACCAAACACACTAAAAATCCATATTGTGTTGCACTCAAACACTTAACAACAATCAAATGTAATACAGACCATGACATGAATATTGACAATATCTACACAAATATCCAAGACAATTTTCCAAACATTACCAAATTGGTTCTCTTTAATATAGATCGATTCCAAGATATCATTAAATTAGTACCCAACCTCACTTCGATTGACATTACCAAACATATTGGGGTCGGATTGGATATCACCAATCTTCACCAACTCAAAAACCTCACCAAATTGGATATATGGACACAAAGAATCCGAAAAGGGTCATTTTTGGATGAAATCAAAGACATGTCTATCAAAAAGCTATGTCTTCCAATCAATTATTTTGACCAACTCCATCAACTTCCACTTGGACTACGACAGTCAGTCACCAAGATAACAGCTGCACCCATATTGGATCTCGACGATTTCCCAAACCTCAACCATGTTGTGATTAACGGATGGCCTGATTCCAACCCATTAAAACTACCAAATACAGTAACAAAGGTCACATCATACAAGTATCAGATTGACTTTGTAGTTCACAACAAATCAGTCAAAAAACTCAAAGTTGTCGTTCCAATTTTAAATCGTGGACCTTTTGAGCTATTACTCAAAACTCTTTCATCGCCACAGTGCTCACCTGTTCAAACATTTATTTATGGTTGTCATGGTTCATTTCAAATTCCCAGCTATTTATTCAATGATTTTAATTATCGAATAGAGTATAGTAGGACTAGTTTAGATGACAACATGGCTCAATATTTAAAATTATCAAGAATTGATCAATCTCAAGTTGCCTTCTCAAATAAAAAAGCTGATCATAATAAGTGCAATACTATGTAGAGAGAGATATATATATAGATAGATATAGATATATATAGATAGATAGATATATCCACATTCTTTTAAATTAAAAGAGAAAAGACAACTAAAAATAGATTCCACCACCCCCCCAACAACACAAAATATTTCTGTCTTTTTTTTGATCAACCACTACTAGTAATTTTGATCATTATTTTTTTGCTGTAGTTATAGAATTAGAATAATAAATAATGTTTTGTAGAAGACAAGCTGGTCCAAGCTATTATATCTCTCCACCAGGACCTCATGCCATCACACGCACCACCTTTAGATATGACAATGAAAGAGAGTTGCGTCAGTTGAACAGAGGTGAACTTGAAGATAAGGGGAGACAAAGAAAAGTACCTTTAATACATGACAGTTCTGATCAACTTATCAACGATATACTGCTCACAAATGTAAAGAAGAAGTTTACAACAATCAAAGAGATTAAAGATAATCAACGACACAATGAATGATTACAATCAAGGTGCATTAGAGTATACTCTACCGTGGCCAATCATACAATGTATTTTGACATATGCTTCTCAATACAACTCGAGATGTACTTGTGTAAATAGAGATGAGTTAAAGAAAACGGTTCAATCAATTCGACTTTATAATACTGGTGAAGTTGATCATCAACATCAATTGGTTCTTCATGCCAACATGATGACACAAGGAGATATAAAACAACATTCTCTTACTAGAGATCAACTGTGTCCTCTTCATCAATTCAATCTCGATCAAGGATACGAACCAAGCTTTGTTCTTTGTCATCAATCGTTTAACCGTAATGTACCACGAGAGGGTTTTAGATGGATGCGTAGTATGGCATTACTCAGCAAGAGAATATTTGCATTCATATCAACGACACTATTTACCAACATTGTAATGGATCCAACAGCAGATACATGGAGTCATATCACCAACAACTATTGTATCATCAAACAACCAAAGATATTGACACTTGTCTCTCCATCATCTGACACTCAACTCTTCTTTACAAACAAATCACAATCATCTTCATCTTCTTCTCAATTTCTAAAGAATGTTGAAAAGATATACATCAACAATCCACATCTAGTTGAAAAGGTTTCAACCATTGAATCGTTGGTCAACTTGACACCATCACTTCGATCAATCACCATCAATTGTTATATAGAACAATCTGTTTTAATTGACCTATTTAAAGGCCCATTGAAATCAATTACTTCCATAAATGTTGCACAAGAGAGGATCGAATTTAGAAATTTTATTCAACCAACATCATGTCTCACAAAGATTATTCTTCCAAGTCCATTTGATTGGAATAGTTTGAGCTCAGATATCAAAAACAATCTTCAAGTCATTTCACTAATGTCCAGAAAAAACTCTAATGTCCACTTTAATCCTATCGATTTCCCAAATCTTGGACATATCCATACCGACAATCTTGGTCCAATCATTCCAATTGATGTCGAAAAAGTCACTTCCATAATATATATACCCAGGTGATTTGGATGTGGTCTCCCTTTCAAAGTCAAATATTTCAACACTCAAAACAAATCATGTTGACTTTTTAGATTACAACAAGATAGAATCTCTTAAAAAGCTTATACTATTCTCTAAAACAGATGTTTGTCAAGACCAATTCAATCATTACAATAGTATTGGATTTGATTATTTTGGTTCATCATTCTCTGTACAATCAAACACAAAGAAATTAATCTATTTTAAAAAAGATGAACCACACTACCATTGCAACATGAATATTGGCATAAACATTAATAATAATAATAATAATAATAATATCCAAATAGATCAAGAGTTTATACAAATTAATGTATTTTCATTATTATCAACAATCAATACATCCTACTCCAACTCTGTTTTACCAAAACCAATTATTCACAAAATAATTGGAATGACATGGAAATTAAGAGAACGTTGTACATGTGTTTATGAAAAAGAAACTATTCAAAAATGGATTAAAATTGGATACGATATTCTAAAAGATGAACAAGAACTAGATCGATTCAATCAAATGAAGAATAATTGTCCAACTCATTTCTCACATACTCAACCATACCAACCATTAACATATGATTTGAAAAGTAGTAATCGATCTAAATTACAATTGGCACTTATCAACAAAGATTTATTTAAATATATTACCAACAATTGTTTCTCAGTTGTAAACATAGAGCATTTTGGTGATAGTTCTTCAATTCAACATATTAATAATCCATATTGTGTTGCATTCAAACAATTTACAACTATAAAGGGTAATAATAGTGAATCCCTCATTAATTTCAAAGACAATCATCTTCCACACATTACCAAGGTGATTTTAAACAATAATAATATACAGAGTATATTCAAACTATTACCAAACCTAACTTCGATTAGCATGAAATTCACAGAACCGACCAGATTTGATGCAACTGATCTTTGCCATCTCAAACACCTTACCAAATTGGATATATCTAAAAATAGAGAAACCAGTATCAAAAAAGGAGCGCAACTATTTAATGAAATCAAAGATTTGCCAATCAAAAAACTATGTATTTCAAATTGGACACGAGGTTTCCGAAACCAAGTCCCTGAACTCTCTACACAATTCATACAATCCATCACCAAGATATCTGCCGACATTCTCATTTCATTTGAAATCACATTCCCAAACCTTAACCATGTAGTAATTGATAGTTGGTTTACTACCTCTAAATTTAAAGTACCAAAAACAGTGACAAAGATTACATCATATCATAGCCGTATTGAATTTCTTGTTCACAATCGATCTGTCAGAACATTCAAATTCAAAAACCTACTTGAAAATATTTGTCGTGGACAGCTTGATTTATTCCTCAAGACAATCTCATCAATAGAATATTTTCATATTCAAACATTGGTCTATAGCGCTAACCACTCTTTCCATGTTCCAAGTGATTTATACGATGATTTCAAGTATCAAATCGATTATAGTAGAACTCGTTTGGATTACAACAATAGCTTTCAATATTTAAAATTATCAAGAATTGATGATCCAGCTCCCACCAAATTTGAACTCTACAGAAAATCAGTTCATGATAAGATTATGAAAAAATTACAAACAATATTATTATCTTTAAAAAATTTTAAAGATTGGTGGGTAAGGTTTGTTCTTGATTGTTATACAAGTTTTTTGTTGTTGTTGTCGTTGTTGGTGTTGTTTTAAAAAATGACACTCCTTTTCTTCTTTATAGTTTAAATAAATTATTCTTTGGCAACTTTAATAATATTATTTATTAAAAGAAAAAAAATCTAGTGGCTGTATTCTTTGAGTGAATTTTTGACAATAGCAAAAGTAAAGCCTGAACCAATGGAAACATTTGTTACTCTAATTTCAGCCTTGACAATAATCGATGGTGTTTGTTGTTGTTGTGAAGTTTGGTTAATATTTTTGGTATTGTTGTTGACATGAGTATTGGTAGTATTGTTTAAATTAATATCAGTAGTATTATTAATATTATTATTATTAGTAGGAGGATTTTGTTGTTGTGGAGATTCTTGGTTATTATTATTATTATTAATATTATTGCTAATATTATTATTATTATTATTATTATTACTATCATCAGATGATTTTGTTTTATGATTATTTCTATCGGTTATTATATTACTATTACTATTTCCATTTGATCTTTTCTTTTTGTCTGTATTATTAATGCTAATAGAGTTAAATATTTGATCGATACTACTCTTTGGCTCGACTTGGATTAATTTCTCGATACCCCATTCATCGCTTTTGACCTGACATGGGATGTCTTGGTCTTCAGTGTTGGTGCCGTTTCCAATTCGATAGCTGTCTCCAAAACCAAAACAATAAAGTTTGCCAGACGTTGTAATGATGGCTGAATTCCATGCACCAGCAGCAATCTTTTCAGCCACGTCTCCTTTGGCATATCTCGGGTTCGTCCCCTCTCCACCACTTTCATAAATACTATTATAAGAGTCCATTGAATCTGAATAATTATGTCGAATGTGGGACAATGGAATAAGCTTTGGTTTGCTTTGGTGACCAGCAATATCACCTAATCCAAGTGCTCCATCACTCATATATCCCCAACTATAAACATTTCCTTTATCTAAAAAGAAATTTAATAATATTAATAAATATATTTTATAATTAAAATAAATATTATTACTGACTTGTAAGACATAGAGTATGATAATAACCAGATACAATGTCTACGGCATGTTCTGGGAGATCTACTTTTTTTGGTTGTTGAGAATCGGCGTAACCACCGACACCCAATTGTCCGCAGACATTGAAGCCAAAAGAGTAGATGTGACCCTCTGCAGTCAAGAGATGAGTGTGATTCTTGCCACAAGTGACCTTGACGACGTGATGCTTTTCCATGTCTCTTAGTTTGTTGGGGGATAGGTGCTTCTTTGCCGTGTTGTTTCCGAGCTGTCCGTACTTGTTCCATCCCCACGTATACACGCTGCCGCGCAAGTCTGTTGCTGCCGAATGCAACATTCCACCGGCCATGCTGGTTATTTGCTTGCCCACCAAAGCCGAGACGACCTGTGGTGAGAGTGACGGAGCTTCAGAACCGTGTCCAGTTCGTCCACCCGTACCGCATCCCCAGCTATACAACTCGCCATAGTTGGAGAGAGCCATAGAGTGTTGGGCACCGCAAGACACGGACGTAAACACGGTTGGTGTAGCGATAGCAATGGGTGTGGGAGTCGCTCTGTTTGTTTGGTCGCCCGTTCCCAACTGTCCCCATCTATTACATCCCCATGCATACACCTGGTTGCCCGGATGCACAATAGCAAGTACGTGACTGTCTCCACTAGCCATTGCCAACACACGCAACTGCATATTGATGAGTTGCTCGACACGTGTCGGTAGTTGAATGATCGATTGTGAGTTGCTTGCACACTGACCAAAATAATTGTATCCCCAACTGTAGATCTGAGGTAGTCTCTCACTCTGTATGACACCACCCGGTGACACTACACCTACTCCTCCATTTGATGCTTTCTTTCTATTTCTTCTATTTGATGTTGTTGTTGTCTTTGAATCACCGCTGCTTTCATCGTTTGATTCGCTGCTACTTGTACCTGTAGAGTCATCCGATACGTTTCCTTCTTCTCCGCTGCTACTACTACTAGTCTCATCCTCTCCTTCTCCGAAAAACCATCGATCTACTACATTTGATCCGCACGACAACCAATTCGATACTCCTGAAAATACAGAATCCATCTTCTTCTTGTTGTTTCTCTTCTCTTTTTAATGTAATAAATAAACAAACAATCGATAAAGAGAGAAAGAGAGATATTAAAAAATAATAATAATTAAAAAAAATGATTTTCATTCTATGTTTTGTCTTTTTCAAAAGTTGTGGTTTTCAGAGCAAAGTCTTCTTTTATTAAATTTTTTAATTATTAAAATAGAATGAAGTCAACTATTCTACTCAATTGAGAGATACATTAAAAGAGTTAATTATTTATTTATTTATTTATTTATTTATTTATTGACTTTAAATAATGGTTTGTGAAAAAAAATTTGACATTATAGACAAAATTATTTGTGAGAATAATAATAGACATTAATTGTGGTTATAACAATTGATTGGTTTAGGGAATAACCAGGGGATAATACCAAACAACCTAATATAACGAGTAGGATATATTTATTTATTCCCAAATACTTCGCGAAAAAAAAAAAAAAAAAAGACATGAAGAACAAAAGGAGACCTGAAAACCGATCTTTTTTGTTCATTATTAGTTTTAACTAAATACAGAAATAGAAAAATACAATGTCTGAAGAGACTACTACAACTACTACTACCTCTACCAACCCATCAGAGGAACAAGTCACCAAAGCAATGGAGAACTTGACTGTTGATAAACCACTCGGGTATGTATAGATAGATACGTATAATAGATTCATTGCACTGAGTAGTGTTGAAACTACAATGAATGAAATGAAAGATACAACATTTACATTGATAAACTAACAAACAAACTATACAATCAATACTTTAACTCTTTATTAGATCTGGATTATCAGTACAAGAAAGATTAGCATTGGTTAAATTAGTTGGTGAAGAGATTGTATCTGAAGAGAACTTGGCTGCTTTATTGACAGCCAAGCAAAAGTTGAGATGCTATGATGGTTTTGAGCCATCTGGTAGAATGCATATTGCTCAAGGTATCTTAAAGTCGATCAACGTCAATCGTATGACCAAGGCTGGTTGCACCTTTATCTTTTGGGTGGCCGATTGGTTTGCCATGCTCAACAACAAGATGGGTGGCGACTTGGTCAAGATTAGAAAGGTCGGACAGTACATGATTGAGATTTGGAAGGCCACCGGCATGGACATGGAGAACGTCGAGTTCCTCTGGTCGTCGGACGAGATCAACAAGGGTGCCAACGACTACTGGTTGCGTGTAATGGATATTGCCCGTAAGTTCAACGTGCCACGTATCAAACGTTGCTCGCAAATCATGGGTCGTGGTGACGAAGACGATTTGTCGGTCGCCCAAATCCTCTACCCATGCATGCAATGTGCCGACATCTTTTACTTAAAGGCCGATATTTGCCAACTCGGTTTGGATCAACGTAAGGTCAATATGTTGGCTCTCGAGTACTGCGAGAAGCTCAAGATCAAGCACAAGCCCATCATTGTCTCACATCACATGCTCATGGGTCTCAAGGAAGGCCAAGAAAAGATGTCCAAGTCAGACCCCGAGTCAGCCATCTTTATGGAAGACTCTGAGCAAGACGTCCGTACCAAGATCAAGAAGGGCTACTGTCCACCAGGTGTCGCCGAGAAGAACCCAATTCTCGACTACTTGAAGCACATTGTCTTCCAAAAGTTTGACACCTTTACCATTACCCGTAAGGAAGAAAACGGTGGCAACAAGACATACACCTCGTACGACGAGGTTGAAAAGGACTTTGTCAGTCTTGCCCTCCATCCATCCGATCTCAAGCCTGCCATGGCCGACGCCATCAACAAGATCCTCCAACCAGTCCGTGACCATTTCACAAACAACAAGGAGGCTGCTGCCTTGTTAAAGACTGTTCGTAGTTATTCAGTTACTAGATAATCAAATTTGAATAGCACAAAAAGAATTCATACATATATAAATCAACAAAAGAAATCATTCCAAAAATAATTATTATTACAAACTTTTACCATCTTTTTTTTACGTGTTTTTTAAAGATAAGATAAAAAAATATATATATATTTATATACTAGTATATTATCTCTATTTATGATTGTATTTCAAATAAAATAAAAATTAATTAATTAAAATATAAATATAAATATTTATTATTTATTTGATTTATTATTTCAACCGACTTTTACAATCTTTGCAAAGAAAGATATTTTGATGGTTTAAACCCGACAGATCGTTGTATTATCAGTAAAAGACGAATCGAAACGTTTCATTCATTTCATTCCATCCTATTCACATTGTTGTTACTAATATTAGTATAAACAACAACAACAACAACAACTTTGTTGTAAAAGATCAATATATATAGTACTATGGAGATGGCAGCTGAACAACATAATGACGCTGCAATTGCTCGTCGACCAACTAAAGAAGAAAAGTTAAAAAAGAGAGTAGAGATGAGTACTAGATTTGGTATAATAACAGGTTCACTTGTATCTCTACCTGTATCTTGGGTAGTTTGTTTAATGTTACCTCGAGGAGCTAAAATTAAATCAAAGCTCATTGTTTATTCTGTTACTGCAACTGCTAGTGCTTCCTTTTTTGGTATGTTTGAGTAATAATGATCATCACCATACCCAATATCTGTACTCATCAATATCTCTTTTATCTTATAGGATATGCACTAAATACAGCGGCATATGGAATGGAAGAAGTTAGAAAAATGCATAATATGGTTGATGATATAGACAGATACTAGTTTGAGGGAATAATAATAATAATAATAATATATGATGTAATATAAAATTGTAGATAAATATAAAAGTAAAGGAAGGATTAAAAAACAAACATTAATCCAACTACATGTAGTAAATTAAATTAATTTATTTGTTCTTAAAAATAGAATGGATACAAAGAAACAAATGACAAATAGGACAATGATTTTAACCAATGTTGGTGTTGATATACATGATCCTTGTTGTTTTAGTTTCTTGACTTCCATTTCCTTTCTCCATTTCTCATTTACTTCTTGTTGTCTTGCCTTTTCTTTGGCTTTTCTTTCCTCTTTACTTATGGTTGGTGTTCGTTTCTTGTTGTTTTGTAATTGTTCCTGTTCATGATTAGTTTCCTCTTCTTCTACTACTGTTCCCTTTGATATTGGTTTGGGAGGACATAATGATGTACAATCTAGTAGTTTGACATTATCCATGTTGGTAATATTTTTATCTACTCTGTATTGTTGTAAACGTTGGCATGTCCACAATTGCTTAAGATGTTTACATTGACATGTTACAGTCACATCTTCTGTACATGTACCACATTCATTTGGATGACACTCCTTTTCACAAACATGTCTACATCCCTTGAATGATTTGCTACAGAGTTGGTTACATGAAAAGATGTCTCCACCATCTTTATGCAAAGTAGGATTATTGTATTCCACACAGGCAACATTCAATGTACTCTTTTTACAATGACATTTGAATCGAACAACCTTTCTACATGGTGGACAATATTGTTCATCTTGACCAACTCGTATATGACATTTTGAAATTGGACATGGATGACTACACCCTTTTGGTCTAGGGAATTGACACGATAATTCACATCTAGTACAACTATCCTCTTCTTGATCTTGTTGATTTTCATCCACTGACATCATTTCAGTGTCTGTGTTTCTAGTTGATACAATTTCCAATTTCCCATCAATCTCTTTTAATTCTCTTTTAATATGAATAAGATGACAATCATTTTCACCTTTTTAAAAATGAAGAAAAAAATAGTTAATAAATAATTATTAAAACTAATTTGAAATAGTTTTGTTTTGTTTTGTTGTTCATTCAACATACATTTATGATTTCCACAATCAAGAGTATTTCCACATTTCACATCACATTGATAAATTGGATTCTCTGAACATGCCATAAATTTAGAACTGTGTTGGCCAATACAAACTCTAGGACAAAAAACCATGCATGATGGACAACCAGTCACTTGTTCAATCGGTAGTCTTGTAGGATACGATATTTTCTTTTCTTTTGGCATTGTTTGAATGGTTTGTCCAGTGTATTCTAAAAGAGGTTTCATTCTAAAATTAACTAATGGTAATTGATCATGACAAGATGCCTAAAATAAATAAATAAATAAAGGAGAAATTAATTACTAATATTTAATTAATTAATTTAATATTATTATTAATTTCAACATACTGAACATTTATGAGTACAACCATATGATTTATGTTCTGTTAAATCAATCATACAAGGTCTAGTACATTTGGGACATGGACCAAAATGACAACGATGGAATCTTTGTTTGTGGTGGTGACATAGGGTTGGAGTAGGACATGGATGATTGCATTTAGGTGGTTTTACATTCTTTTCAGTACCACATTGTACAATGATCGATGTCTTTTTACATGCACAATAGATGGTGACTGTTCTTGGACACGGGAGACATGGCCCACTATGGCATGTACTCTCACAACGATGATTACCACATGACAATTTCTCTTGACACTCTTTATCGCATGGTGGACAGTTTCCATCACAGCAACGTTGCTTGCATTTGCATTTGTTGCAATTCCTGATCCTCGAGCATTTGATATCACATTTAAATTCCTTTGAACACTGTATTTTATCTTGAATTCTTCCACATCGACATCTCTTGGCGACTAGTTGCGTGCAAGTCTTTGAGCAATCGTCATTGTGGCATCTCTCGTGACACTTGTGCACACCGCACGGCAACACCTTGTCGCATGTGCCGCCACATGACGGCGTGGGGATGGTACAAGCAAGTGAGAATGACTTGCGTCCACATCCACACGTTCGAGGTTGTGAAAGTGGGCATTGTCTAGTACCGTCGCACTGACAACATACTTGGTTACATGTGTGTTTGGAGCAGGCCAGTTTCCTAGTGCACACTCGGTCGCACATGACTTGTCCTCTGTCTGTACAAAATGTCGTCTTTTCAATGGATGCACATCGACACTTTGACACTGATGTACTCAGACACTTGTGTGGACCGTCGTGACAAATATCCATGCAAAAGTGTCCGCACTCTAGTTTCTGGTTGCATATTTCATTGCAACTAAATCGCGATCCGCTACTGCACCGTTCCACCTTTTGACTTTTCCGACAATAACAAGTTGCCGTGATTGTATAGGCACATGGCATACACTGACCCGGGTGACATAATAATACACATTTATGTGTTCCACATTTTTGTGGTCTTCCACATACTTCTCCACACTAAACATATAAAATAAAAAGATTAATAAGTACATATATATATATTTATATATTTATTTAACATACTGAATGAGGAGTAATCCATAAATCAAAAGGAGGATCAATTTCTTTTGTACAAAAACATCGATAAGAATCTGGATAATCATCTTTGTGGTATTCGAATCTACACTTTGGACATAGCCAGTATGGTTGTACACCTCTTTCTCGACATGCCTCTGACGCCGATGATATTAACAATCGTTCTCGTGACCAAGACTGACAACACTGAAGATGAAGTTGACAGAAACAGCGAGAGCATTGCCATATAGAGTCTTGAGATTTGACACGTTCAAGACATACCAAACAACTTGATAGACCTCGACTATTATCACTAATCATTTGCATCAATAGATCTTCTTTGTGTTTGATATCGCTACTGATGCTGCTATTGGTTGGTGATGCTAGGTTGTTGTAATTTTGAAATATATTGTTGATAGAAGAGTCTCTTGCTTCTTTTTGCTCTTCATCACCATCGTCGTCACTATCATAATCTGACAAGTAGTCATCGCTATCATCGTCTTGCTCCAACTCATACTTTTTCATCAACTCTTTATATTGTTCCATTGTAAATAATATTGGTAATTGTCTTGTTGTTGTTGGTTGTTCTATTATTACTTCTTCTTCATCCTCTTGAATAGTTGTTGTTGTTGAGGATAGATCTCTCAAGTTTGGTGTATTCTTCCAATCACCGTTATTGTTATCTTTTGAAGTTCTTATTCCTCCTCCTCTACCTCTTCCTCTTGATCTTGATGATTCTCCTCCTCTACCTCTTCCTCCTCGAGTTGTATTACTTTGAGGGTTCGGACTCTTACCCCCCCTTGAAAGGGTAGTTGATGATGAAGCCGACGATGACGATGGTTGCTCATCTTTATTCGATTCCGTTGTGTGTCCTCCTCTTCCCCTTCCTCTTCCAATTCCTCCTCCTCTACCTCTTTTAATAGTTGTAGATGGAATTCTATTATTATTATTACATGTACTACTACTATTCATAACTATGGGTAATACTAATACTGATATTTTTCAAGTCCGACTGTGACCTCACCCAAAATAGAAACTAAAATTAATTAAAAGGAATAGTTTATGAAAATAATACAATATTTAAATATGTATAGTTGTACTGTATAGGCGAGAAGACATCCTATACTACTACTACTACTATTACTATTTATTGGATGGTGTAGATGATCTTGAAAATCCAGATGACCGTTGTTCACCTCTTGGAGCCCTATTGGTTGGATGATGGTTGCGACTAGATGAAAATAGATTCTTTGGTGGTGGTGTTGGTGTAGGATGTGTGGTAGTAGATTGTCTCAAAGTAGTGGATGGTGTAGTTGATGTAATGTCCTTTTTGGGTGCTGGTTGAATGGCAGCTTTGATATTCCAAATACTCTTTAGATTGATCGCCATTGTTGGATGCTTGATTTGTAGTGCACCTATCACATCCTCTAAATGTGACACTGACTTGAATGCAGTGACAGCCTTGTTTGCATCGCCAACTGTCGTATAGACTACCGTACAACTATGTTCCTGCCAATTAACCTCTATACTACTATCCAATACTCCAAAGTGACGGAATACCAACATCAACTCATCATGTTGTTTGGTTTGTGTTGCATTTATATATGGTGGTGGTGGTGGTGATGTTGTACTAATATTTTCAGATGTTGCCGTTGATGCATCAGTAGATGTTGAGGTGGTTGATGTAGTCGACAGACCCTCTGGTATACTAGTAGCGGCAGTAGTAGCAGTAGCCACGACGACGGGTTGAGCAACAAATACAATATTTGAAAAGGTTACTTCTCTCTGAGCAACAGGTTTAAGAGGAACTGGTGCTGCTGCTGCTGCAGGTTTCTTTTTACTTGGTTGTGTCGATGGTGAAGATGATTTTACAGTAGAGGTGGAGGTGGAGGTGGAGGTGGTTGAAGTAGTTGATGTCTTTTCTTTTTCTTTTGATTTACTATTCTTTTTCTTTTTGTTGGATTTAGAAGAGGATGTCGAGGATGAGGAGGAGGAAGGATTATTGTTATTGGATGATGTGGATTTAGAAGTAGATTTGGATGACGATGATATTGATCTTGCAGTGGATCTCATTATTCTTTCATCATCACTGTTTTCATAGCCATTGTCTTCGACTTCGACGTCTGCCCAATTTCCCTACATCATCGTGACAAAAGTATCAAAAGTGTAAGTCAAATGTGTGTCTACTATTGTATCGATCACGATGTACTTACAGTATCCATTTTAAGGTAGTTAGGTAATTTACAACAAATAATACAAATAATAATAATATATCAAAGATTTGATGATGATGATGATGACGATAATGATAATCTTATTGATCTCTTCTTTCTTCTTTCTTCTTTTTTGCAAAAGATGATGTAAATATTTACAATTAAAATACAAATAAATAAGTAAGTAAGTAATAGTACTAATGTGTATGTGTATGTGAATGTTGTGTATCTATATACAATGGTTGAGATAAAGTAAAGTGAGTGAAACGCGAGAATAAGCACCTTTGCAAATTCGCAATCGTTTCAATCGATTCGTTTTTAAGTGACACCTCTCCTCCTCTTGTTAAATTAAATTAAATTAATACATCGTGGTGTTCAAGATGATCTTTTACTCAAATCATTTCTATTTCTATTCATAAATAATAATAATAATAACAACCACTACTACCTTGATATACCCATTTAGTATCTATCTACTTTCTTTCTTCTTATTCTTCTTAAAATGATATCAGTACTACTTTAAAATTAAATCAAAAGCTGGCTGGTTGGTTGTATGTTGTTTAAATAATACTATTATCATTATTATCTTTATTATCTTTATTTATTTATTTATTTATTAAATCTTTACTTACATTTTAAAACAAATGATATCATCATCATCGTCATCATCATTATCATCGTCTTATAGTTATACAAAAATAATTAAAAGACCAAGATGGTATAAAAGAATATCAAGAAAGGGTCTTGTAGTATTGGCTTTGATCATTCTATTGTTTGTATCATACAAACTATTGAAATCTAGTCATATCAAGAATAAGAGTAGTGTCAACAACCCAAATTACCTTGGTATGGGATTACATACAACCTTTAAAACTCATCCATTCTTTTACAAAAAGAAAATGGTTCTTAATCATGATGTATGTAGATTTTATTTCTTGTCTATTATATATTCAAATTCAATTACCTAATTCTCACACTCTCTTTTATTATTAGGATCATTCTAAAATTACAATTGTAACTCAAGTATCAGTTGAAAGATTGGAAAGGATTGCTTGGATGGCAGACAAATGGAGAGCACCTATATCAGCTGCAGTATACATCAAGAATGACAATGAAATTCATAATGTTACCAGTTTAATTAATAATAGTTATTCGGTCACTCAATTTGTTGATATTCATTTATTATTTGCAAACAAGGTATGATATGAAATTAATTAATTAATTTACATTATAATTATTAATTCATTCCTTTCTATTTATATTTATATATTTATGTTTAGACAAGATATCCAGTCAATACACTTAGAAATTTATCAATTAAAAAAGCATCAACTAAATGGGTATTATTAATGGATGCTGATTTTATTCCTCCACTTGATTTACATGATACCATACAAACGCATGTTGATCGTTTGGAATTAGACAGTGATCACAATCAAAATGACTTGGTTTCATTTGTAGTTCCATCATTTGCAAGTTCATTACCAAGATTTCAATTACCAGATGATAAAGAATCATTTATTCAATCTGTTAAAAGTCAGACTATTGTACCAACAAGTAAGTCAATTCCAAGTTCATATTCATATTCATATTTTCATTTGACAAACAAACTAACTAACTAACTAACCAATCTTTATCTTTTTTTTTAAAAAGATTTAAATGTTTGTCCAAAATGTCATTCACCAACAAACTATACTAGATGGTACAATGAATCAATACCATATGAAGTGGAATATCAATGGATTTATGAACCATTTTTAGTGTTTAGAACCGATCAGGTTGAACCATTTGATGAGAGATTAAAAGGTTATGGATTCGACAAGAATTCACATACCTTTGGTATGGCAGTACAAGGATTTACATTTATGGTTCTACCAGATTCATGGATTGTACATATGAATCATCCTAAACAAGTTTGGGAAGGTACTGATACATATGATGAACAAATGGTATGTGAACTATTTTACTATAAACAAATATATACATAGTTAGTTTATAAACTAATAGTTTAATTTATTACTCCTATATATTTTAGTTTGATTCACTAAGAATAGTTTGTGAAATATTACCACATACCAAAGAAAGATATGGGTTTGAAAGAAATGATCAGTTGTTTAATGAACCAATCGGTAATGTATGTTTTACCAGAGACCATTGGTAAAAAAAAATAAACAAAATAAATAAATTACATTAATTATTGGTCAAACCCTACCTCCTGATTTTTGTGGAGGGTTTAATATAATAAATATGTATTTATTCCTTGGTCGATCCTCTCTATTTTTATAATTAAAAAAGAATAAAGAAGATTATCTCCTAAAGACAAACACAGTTCGACAATAGATAAATAGGTATTTATTAAATCCACTATTTTTTATTTTATTCTATTATCCAAAGAATAATCTTTAATTTAAATAGTTTCTATTTAATATTTACTAAACAACAAACAAAACTTTTTAGAACCCTATTATTATTTATCCATACCAATACAAGAATTCAAAAAAGAATATGCCAGAACATTCAAACTAATCAGACGACCCACTTTAAAAACAAAAGTATTAAATTGTCCCTGGTTATTTTCTTTTTTTTTTTTATTGGTGGAGGTGTTTTACATCCATTGAATAAAGATGGCTATAAATTATTTCTAAATTTAATCAAATCAAGAACCAATGGAAATTTTTTCCCTTTGAATGGTTTATATAAATATGTGATATATGGGGATGGGTATTTGTTTTTAATGATTTTAATTAATTCTTTATTAAAGTGAATGGATGGGAATCCAAGAGACAAAAAAAAGTAATAATATTGATTGATATCAATGATTCATGAATTGTTCATTCCATTTCGGAAATATTATTATTAATTATGTTATTATTATTATTAGTTTTTTTTAACCAACTATTATTTAATTATTTAATGATCATTATTATTTAAAATGATTATTGTTAATTTAAAAGTTGGTTAAAGGAATGTACATGTATCCCAACAAAAGAGAGAGAGAGAGAGAGGAGTGATAGAAAGGGTGATAGAGAATAGAGGATTCTAAACAATAGAGTGGTAGGAAAAAGGGGAAATGAAATGGGTGGGTTAGTAGGTTTAATACTTGACTTTGTTGGGAGAGGGGAAGGAAGATGGGAGGGAGGGAGAGAGACGGGATCGGAAAGTACGGATGGACACAAACATGGATTCGGGATGGGACAGAGAAAGAATTCTTTGGATGGGCGGTGATTTTAGCTAAAATGGACAGAAGCGGAAGGATGGAAAGGTAGAGAGATGAGAGAGAGAGGAGAGATGGTTAGGACTTCAAGGCGGGGGACCCTAAAATCAAAACAAGAATTATAACAACAGTTTGGAACGTAGATTTATTCAATCTAATATCGACTGGTGATTACTCTAATTATTAATTATTATTATTATTATTATTGATTATTAATATTATTGATTTTAATTGTATACGATTATTATTATTATTATTATTATTAATTGGTTGATGCTACTATATTATATTTTTATGATTATTATTATTATTATTATTATTGTTTGTTGAATGATTATACTTCTACATGAAGTTTATCATTCAAAATTTTGAATGTGAATACTTTTTTTTGTTTTTGTGGTTTTGAGAGAAAATAGAAAAGAAGGAGTTGGTCGATCTAAATAAACATTAGATATTATATACAAACTATAAAAGTAATAGTGAAGAAGGAAAAAAAGATAGGTAAAAAGGGAGGAGGAGGAGGGATAGAGGAAAAGATTCCTATATAGATCCAGTAGTAAATCGATCGAGGGGGATTAGACGACCTTTTGATTAAAAGGTTGGTTGACTTTTGCCCAAAGAAAACGATGGGACAAATGGGATATCACGTTCGGTGGACGACTTTGGAGTGGTTGGTTGTGACACATTCTTTTTGAAATCCATAAATTGTGTAATTAATCTTGTTTCATCATATGTTGATGACGATGATGATGAAGATGACGACGACGATGGAGAGGTTTGACCAGAAGGAGACGACAAAGAGGACAACGACGACGAGGACGAGGAACTGCTTCCATGGTTCAACTTTTGGTATTTAGTTTGTTGTTGTTGACTATTGTTGAAGCCTTGCTTGGACTCTCTAATAGCAATCAAACTAGAGGCATACGATGTCAATTCATTCATATCGTTGAGATTCTCACTTGAATTGGAACGGGATAGGACGGGAGATGGAGCAGTCGAGATGGATGGGACAATGGACTGGTGTTTACCAAAGCTGGATCTCTTGTACGACGATGGAGCAGATGTGATTTCAGCTGAATAGAAAGGTTCGTACGACTTTGTAGTATTGGCGTAACGGCCGTGGTTGTGGTTGCTGTGGCTGTGATTGTGGTAATCACTACGCAAATCAAAGCTTGGTGGAGATGGAGGAGCAGATGCAATACTCTCATAGGTGTAGGCTGGCGACGATGCAGGTGATTGTGGGATCGATGGAGGAGCAGACGTGTAACTTGGAGTGGTCTGTGGACTGTTGATGTTGTTGAGCATTGGATTAGACATGTTCATCTTGTTGTCTTCATACATAAGATAGAACAATTGCTTGATGTTGGAGTAATCAAGTGTTTGGTTGTTGTTTGATGACGACGATGACACAAACTCGGTTGCCAATGATACTTCAGGTTTGACTGGAGATGACTTGACACTGGATGTTCCAACAACTTGGTTGTTGTGATTATGATGATGAATATTCATATTTATATTCATATTCATATGTTGGTGTTGGAGTGGTAGTTGGACAGGTGGCTGAGCTGGTGGATGATGGAAACAGGTACCGATTTGTTTGGTGGGGATGACAGTCTCGTGTTGATGCTTGGGACAGAGGATGAGCCCGGTCTTTCTAGTCTCCTTGGACTTTGTGAGCATCTTGACACCGGGTGGGATACAGGTGACGTGGTAGGCAGCTGGACAACGGAAACAATGGACAGACTGCTTACCGTCACCAGACTGACCACACTTGCCACAATAATGGAGGGGACAGTTGAATCTTGGTGACTTGGTATTGACCATCTTGGCGAGTGGGAACTCGGCAATACACGAGTGATGGTAGAACTTGCCACACTGATGTACCTTGCATTTCATAAGATCCATGCCAATGATACCACGCTTCTTGCATGAGAAACACGAGTTTTGTTGGTTGAGACAGTCGTCACATTCCCAACGTTGTCCAGGTGTCACCAATGACTGGAGTCCAAGACACTCGACATGGAACGATCTAAGACAGGCACCATCGCACATGAGCAACTCACCACCCTTTTCACAAATGGTACAGACTGCTTCATTCTTTCTTTGTCTCTTTGGTAATTGTTTCTCTTCAACGGCAGCAGCAGTAGTAGTTGTAGTAGTTGTAGCAGTAGTAGTGGTAGCAGTAACACCCAATGGAGCAGAAGATGGTTGAATGGCTACGACCTTGACAGCATTTTGAGTTTGTTCGTAGCACAAGAGTTGACGCTTCTTGTTGGCGTTGATTTGGTACTCTTGGAATCCAACTTCATCTTGTTTTTCAATAATGTTATTTAGTGATGGTTGCATTTTTAAAAATACCTAAATAAATAAATATATTGTTAATATCCTCAACTTGATTTAAATTTAATATTAAATAAAAGAGAGTTTGAAAAATAACATACGTTTAACTTCAAAAGAGTAGAAGGAGATAATATAATAATATCACGGGTGATGATTTTGTGAAATGATCCAAATCTATGGTACTCGATCGTCAAAGAAACCTTGTGCTAGGAGCAAATAGCTAGTGGCGACAAGTTTGGTGAAATTGAGGAGATGATGAGGTAGTTGGAAAAATAAAAAGGAAAAAGAGATATAAAAATAATCTCTTTTAAAAGATGATGATGAATTTAAAAATATCGATGATGACGATAATGATGGTGAATGTTGATGGAATGAGTATGGGAGTAGCGATTGCCCTAATTTTTCAACAATAACTCTGGATTGAGGACTACGGTCTTGGTGGCAGCTGGTCTGACGGACAAGAGTCTTGAAACGGGCGGCAACGGGAGAGTGATCCTTAAAGCAGAGAAACGAGAATGTTGAAAAATTTAGCAATAAATACTCGACTCGGGAAATGTAGGACTTCGTCTCGGGGGGAGGGGGGTGTTGGTGTAGGGAGATGTTAGAGGCCTGAGCTTTAAACTAGCTAACTGACAAGAAGGATGTCTAGAACTAATTAGATGGCAGACCAGAAACAAAGAGTGGTAAAAGAATAAGAAAAAAAAAAGTCTTATTTAAAAAAAATCAAACAAAACAATCGATTGTTATTGATTTTTAAAAAAGTAAGATTATATCTAAAGAGAAAAGATATAAAAAAAAAAAAGAAAAGAAAAGAAAAGAAGGGAATCAAGTTAATAATCTATCTATCTATTTTATGCAATATTGATGTGATTGTGATGGATGGACGGATGATTGGGAAGTGAGTGTGAAAAATAGATATCTATGTATAGTTACCGAACCAACCACAAAATAAATAACCAAGATTAATTATTCAAGTAGGTGTAATTGTTGTGAATGAATGAATGAATGATTGGGCGATGAACGACCGAGATAAATAGTACACTCAATTCAAACAACAAAAGTGAAATATATAGAATAGAGAGAGAGATGAATAAAAGAGTGGGAATTGGAACAACAAGGTAGCTTTTTAATCATAAATTCATATTAAAGATGTCAATAAAACTAAAAGATGCGAAAGGGTATGGTTGCAATTGGTATGGGTGATGGGGGTCGGTCTGTGATGATGACAGTAGTACAATTTAAAATTAATTGGTTAAAGATGAAAGAGAAAGTGTGTTTGTGGTTTTTATCAATTATATATATAAAACGCGCGCACGAAGGCGATAATCATTGCTCTTTTTGTGTTTGTGTGTGGGTTGGTTGAATTTTAAACATAAATCATAAGATTGTTATTTTAGTTATTTTACTTTTTACTTACCTATTATAAAATATTTTATAGTATTTGTTTGTTTGTTTGTTTGTTTGTTTGTTTGTTTGTTTGTTTAAGCTAGATGTATGTAAATGTATGTATATATGTATGTTTGCTGGATATATGTTATGTGTATCTATAAGAGAGAGACTCGTTTAAAGGAGGGAGGAAAACGAAAGAATGATGGATGATGTGTTGGATTTAAACAAAAATAAACGAAAGTTAAAATTTTGATGGAGGATGCGATGATGACGAAAATGAGTGATGATCAAAGTTTCGACTGCGAGCAAATTTGCACAAAGAAACGAAAAGAAAAAGAGTTCGGCGGAGGATGGACTAGTGTAGTGGCAGAGAGGGTGAGACAAATTTTTTTTAGATTTGTTGTGTAAATGTAAGGGTAATACAATTGTTGTTGTGATAGGATAGGATAGGATTGTATTATGTGTATTATTATTTGCAAACAAGATAAATCTAAAATTATTCTTTTAAAGAAGCAATTGCGATAGAGGAGGAACAAGAATGAATGGTTGGAACAAGAGGAAGGGCATTGTTGTTGAGCTGCAAATGAAAAGGGATCATGATGAGGTAAGAGGGTGGGGAATAGTCACTTTCAGGGTTATTCAATCAATCAACGGGCATCTGCCGTGCCACTTTTGTTGTGGCCAACCAGCGTGGAAGGAGGGGGTGTTGAGCAGGCGAGTGGTGGTGACAAGGGCAAAACTTGTAGAACACAAAATTATTTTTCATTTTTTGTCGTCCTCCAGCCGAAAAGATCCAAATCATGATTCTTTTGCCACCTAGGTGTTTCCCAAAAATATAATTGGTTTTCAAAAACGAAAAAGCCGAGATCATGATGACTGTGTGATGGAGGCGCACCTTAACCAAGCTCTACTAATCGGCAGACTGTTACATGAAATGATTCCATTTTGCAGATCGTCTAAAAAGGCGATCGCTGCCAACAAACGTTTCGCTCTCGCAGATGGCTGAATCATCTACAATATTTCTTTCTTTCGGTAGACTCTTATCATTTCTCTTGTCATAATTCTACCGAATATTCATTTTTAAACAATTAAATATATTCATTTTAATCACACGGAATTGCAATTGGATTGAATTGACAAGGGTTACAAGAAATAAATTGTGTGTCGTGAAGATCAAACAACCACAAACATCCATGGTACCAGTACGGTTACATTTTAATCATCAAACAAATAAAAAATGGGTGTGTAGGATGATAATAATGGATTCCGTGTGAGAGAATCAAGAGATATTTCCCAAACCATTGATTTTTTTATCAAATAATGATGCGCTACAGTTCCCAAAAAAATCAAACCTTTTGGTTATGTGGGTTTACTCTCCCGGTACCGCACGAGTAACTAAACAAGTTACTTGCACTATGACGCCGTTGCGCCAATGATGATGATCTTTACAAATATAATTTAAAAGATATTTATCTTCTTATTTTGGGTTGATTGATTCTTTTTTCCAACCAGAGTACCCAGGAACTAAAAGTTCTTAGTTGAAACAAAGATATTTTTAAAAATATGGTTTCGTTTTATTATTACTATTAGTTGATTTTTTACTTGTTTACAATTATTTACCATTCTACTTTTTTAAAATGGAACAAAGTTTTTTAATAAATTATTCTTTCTGTCATCTTGATTTCTAAATTTCTCCAACAATATATTTCTACCTCTATCGGCGCATTCCAAGAATGAATGTTGTAATAACATTTCTGGAGTTGGTCTAATAAATGGATCCACTTGTAAACATAAATCAACAAAGTCTAAAAATTCAGTAGTCTAAAAAATAAATAGAGAAAGAGATTAATATAATAAATCAAACTTTACCCAATTTCTTTTTTCTTTTTTCTTTTTTTTTTTTTTTCTACTTACAAATTTAGCAGTATTTGAAATAGAATAACCAACTGTAGCAGTACAAAACATTGATTTCAAGGAAGTATCTTTACCATATGGTACAATACCTTCGGCCAATTCAACCAACAAACATCCAAGACTGAAAATATCGACTTGAGTATCATATGGTTGACGTTTGATAATTTCTGGAGCAATTCTACCCATGGTACCACACATACGTGTACGACCTCTTCCAAGACTGCAAGTAGTTGCCAAACCAAAATCGGCAATCTTTACACGACCACGACGTGTGAGGAGGATGTTTCTAGACTTGATGTCACGATGGATGATACCCTTGGAACGGAGGTAGGACAGACCCTCGAGGATTTGCTTGGCAATGTAGGCAATGAGCGGCTCCTCGAGTGGCTCGGCCATGGTGTTGCCCTGGTTCTTCCAATCGTCTTGAATGAGGTCACGCACGGTACCTCCGTCGCAGTACTCCATGATGATCCAGAGATGACCCTTGCAGAGGAAGGCCTCTTGATAGGTGACAACGTTGGGGTGGTTGCAGTACGAGTGGATGTAGAGTTCGGGGATGATGGGACTACCGCGCTTGGTGCGCTCCATGAGTACTTTAATCGCGATGGGTTTGTTGTCAGACTTGCGAACTGCATAAAACACATTGCCAAATGCACCAGTACCTAGTTTGATCTTGTCTTTGAACAAGAGGAGTGGATTGCCTGTTGAAAAGATTGATTCATCGCATCGAGGAAGTGGTTCGGGTTTGATGGCCGTACGCTTGATCAGTGGCATGTACTTGGAGATGGATTGGGGTGGTTCGTCGTCTTCTGGAGATGGCTGTATATATGATACAATCGCACGACGAGTTGGTTTGGTTGATGGTAATGTCAATGTCCACGCCAACTTGCTGTCGACCACTGACGAGGATCCTCCGCTGCCAGAACCAGATGCAACACCCGAAGATGAAGAAGTCACGCTACCAGAGAGCATGCCACTGGTGGGGGACGTCGACATGGACAATGCACTACGGCTCGATGACCGGATGTTTTTGAGTTCCTTGGCTTGTGTACGTGTCAACGACGCAAACTTTGGTGCGGGTGTGTTGGCAGTGTGAGGGACGATCAAAGTCGACTGTGTCGACGTACGATGGATCGATGGGATGAGCAACTGCTGCTTCTTGGCACCAACCACATCTCCGCCTGTCATACTACTCGACCCTTCGTCTTCTTCATCGTCATAGTTTGTCTTGGACGCCATTGCCTTGTTCTTTTTATTGGAACGGTAGTAGTTTGGTGGAATCGGTTGATTGGGGATAGTGTCCTTGGTCAAAAAGAAGATAGAGTTCCAGGCAATCTCAAAGTTTTTCATAATGTCTTCTTCAGTGAGTCCACTCATACGCACGTATGCTTGTAATTTGGGTGGCATACTTTTAAGAGTACGTTGCTGTGATAGGAGTGACTCGGCGTCGTCTCGCTGAAAGACAAAGCTTTCGACCTTGCCATAGTGCTCGAGCAAGTCCTGAAGGAATGGCTTGCCGGCCATCTGTGGTGATCGACACAACACTGATAGACTGTTGATTGCCTTGTACTGGATAGCCTGACGCGAGTTGAGACACAACCCGACAATACCCTCGAGTGACGGCTTGATGCCCGAAAAGACAAGACGTGAAAAGTGTGACAGATACGCGTCGACGCTCTGCAAGTCGTCCTCTTCCTTTTCACCCGACTCTTCTTCCATCAGCTTAATGGTCAGCTGCGCCTCGAGCGCACGGATCCAGTTCTCGATAGACCGCGCCTTTTGCAGCTTGGATAGACGCTCGACAGGGTCGATGTTTTCGTCGGCGCCGTCGTCCTCTTCATCGTCGCTGCTCTCTTGTATATCGATCAGGTCGTTAATATCGTACTCGCTGCCGTCTTGGCCGCTGACGAGACACTGTTGGTACAACTCGCACGCCTGAGTCGTCAGCGTGTAGATGGCACCACGGTTGCCGCCAAACTGGTTGAGTGTGACGACATGGCGCAAATAGACGGTTGCCAGATGATAGACGGTGATGGGGGACGGCACAATCTTGTTGCTGTACAACAGCGATTGCACAGACTGCGTGTGTAGAATCTTCCACAGCTCCTCCACTTGGATGTTCTCTTCGACCGACCACTCGGACATGAGGAACTGGCATTTCATACGACGCGAGTATCTGCTCAGAGCAATACCCCACTTACGGAGTGCTATCGCGAGCAGTTTAGCGTTGGAAATGAGTCTTGTACCACGTCCATAAAACGAATGTGTTGGTTGTTGCTTTTGCAGGAGGAGGATTGCTCGATGGTACTTTTCACACGTAGCCTTGTACATGGGCAGTTCGAGATAGGTACAAAGTAAAAAGAGACAGTCTCCCCAACGCATCCACAACAATGGATCGGACCATGGCGAAGATGGGTCCTCCAAAGGTGGAGGAGGTGGTGCAGGTGGTAATGATACCGATCTAAGCATTTTAGTTAATGTTCCTCCAGCAGCAGCAGAAGAAGAAGAAGAATTATTTACATTTCCATTTGTAGTAGTTTGTTGTTTTTGTTCAGGTTGTTGTTTTTTTGGTGTCACAATGGTTGCACCTCTTTGATTTTGATTACTAGTATTTAATTGAGATTGTGAAGATTTACCCGATAATGGTGGTGATGAAGTAGAGGTTGTTGTTGTTGTTGAAGTAGAGGATGTTGTTGGTTTATCAGTACTAGGTTGATTTATATTAAAAGTGAGAATATGTGTAAGGGAGATATTGGTGGTGTTTGTGTATCCACCCGATGAAATTTGAAGGGCATGTTGATACTTTGAACAAGCGTCAAAGAGTGGTTCCTTGAGCAAAAACGATTGCAATCCATCTGTAAAGGGTGTTCCTTGTACGACGGGTTGTTGGGCATTTTGAGGAACGGGAACAACGTCTTCATTCCAATCCAACAGACACACGTCGACAGTCTTGCCTCCCAAGTGCTCCTTGACCTTTTTAAAGATCAAATTACCCCATTTAATGAGTGCATGGTAGTCTTTTGGATTCTGTTCAATCAACAATCGATACTTGTACTCTAGTCCAATCTCGAGCAAATGTCTTTCCTTTTCCTTGGCCGACAATGTGCCAGACGATGCTGCATGTTTTGATGATGACGATGATGTTAGGTCCTCCATATAGTTTCTATTCTCATCAATGTCGTCATCAACCTCTTCATCACCTTCCAAATTTAATAATACCAATTTACTTGATGGTGATATTGATCCACTTTGACTTTCAACTGTATTATTATTATTAGAGTTGGATGTGGTTGGTGGTAATGGTGTAACTATAGTTTCAGCAATCTTTGTATTGGTATTTGTATTTGTATTGATATTCTTTAGATTATCTGATCGACGATAGATTTCCTTTGCTTTTTGGTATTCTTCTTCTTTTTCCTTGTTTGAATTTGCTTGATTCTGATTGGTTAGACTGCTTATAAGTTGTTGCAAATCATCCAACTCTTCGTTTTGAATGGGTAATGTCGACTTTACCCTTGATCGATAGGATGATGATAATAATGCTGGTGGTGAAGATGGTGGTGATAATGATAATTCAACTATGATCCAAATAAATAAAAAAAAAAAGAAAGAAGAAAAGAAAAGAAAGAAAGAGTAAGTAAATTTGGGAATATAAATGTGGTGATGATTGTGATGATAGTGATGGTCAAACTAAAATGAATAATTCTTTGTATGTATGTATGTATGTCCCTCTCCCTCACTCACACACAAAGTTGAGATATTTTTTAAATCGCTCACACCCCCAACCTTTTACACCCACAAACAAGAAGGGGGTTCACTCATTGGTTAGAATGAGCGGATGAGTTCAACTCACCTATCTTTTGTGTGAGGGAATGACGGTTGGGGAATAGAGAGAGAGAGAGAGAGATGGGCCAACCAATAATAGATTGGATTGTAGTAGTTTGATGGAATGAATGAATGAATGTAATGTAAATGTATAAAACTCACCTGTTCTTGGTTTAGATTGGGTAGTAGTTGAAGTTGAAGTTGTCGAAGTAGAAGTAGTTGAAGTGATACCTTCTAATTGTAATTCATCATCGTCATCATCGTCATCATCTTCTTGAGATGAACCTCTGTCTTGCATGTCATCTACATATTCTGGTTGGTGGTGGTGGTCATCTTCATCGTCGTCGTCGTCGTCATCATCATCGTCGTCGTCGTCATCATCATCATCATCATCATCATCATCATCATCTCTTGTATGTGACAACTGAGCAGTCATTTGCAGCTGACTGTTAGAGTAGGAGGGAAGGAATGAAGAGTCGATGTTGAACAGTTGCTCTGCCGACATTCTCGATTTCTGTCCATACTTTAGAGAGTATCTCTCCCTGATAGTTGCCTTTCCATTCTTCATCTTGTCTGCCAAGTGATGCATTGCATTCTCATCCTCTAGACTTGTGCTAATACTATCTATGTTGGTTGTCATTTTGACAAACTAACAACAATTGAATTGATTGATAGTTGATATAATGAATAAATAAATAAATAATGTGTTGTATAGATATATAAAAAAGAGAGTGGGTAAACAAATAAATAGAATGAAAATATAAAAATAAGAGTGCACTCTTTTTTAATCAAAAAGGCTCCTATCACTAAAATCTAGATCTTTCATGTTTTGGAATAATAATGTGGTTATGATGGACTGCTCCCACAAAAAAAAAACAAAAAAAAAAAAAAAAAGGAATCGCGATATCTATCTTTGCAGCTGCCGACCGGGATTACCCTTATTTCTCGAGTTATGTTTAATTTAATTAACTTTTATTTATTTGTTTATGTGAAAAAAGATTAAAGTAATAAATTTTGTTTGCTTGTGTTTAATTAATTGATCATTTGATTATTATTATTATTTGTTGTTTAATTCTTGTTTTTTACCAAAAGAAAAAAAGAAAAACATTGATTGAATGAATTTAATGAAATATTATTATTATTATTATTATTAGTTGGTGTGTGATTGTGATTATAATTAATTATTTCTTGGAGTTTTTTTGTTTGTGGAATGATTATTATTATCTGTTGAGGAGAGAGAGAGAGATGGAATGAATGACCATCCAAATTATTATTATTATTATAATATTATAATTATTATTGCCATTGTTGTTTTTGGATTTATAAAAATATTATTATTATTATGAACGATATTGGTACTACTACTACTAATGTATATGAAAATGTAGATGCTTTTGATCACGACAAATGAAAAGTGGATATTATGATGATGAATATAATTATTCCAATCCAATAAAACAATTGTTGTTGTTGTTGTTGTTGTTTGTTGTTGTCTTCTATTTAAATATATATGTATGTATAAGTGATAGATATGAAAAAAAGATAAAAGGGAGGAGAATATAGTTTGAGAGACTTTACTAATTTAATTTAAATTAAATTAGTTCTCCTCTTCATAGTATTCAATCATTGGTTCATCTTCATCGTCATCTTCTTCTTCTTCTTCCTCTTCTTCATCTTCTTCAACTTCATCTTCTTCCTCTTCATCATCGTCATCCGTGTCGATAGTATCATAGTTGATGTTGTTGTTTCCATGATGATGACGTTGTTGTTGTTGTTGTTGTTGTTGATGTTGTTGATGATTATCCCTGTTGGTGTTGTTGGTGTTGCTGTAATTTGGAAATGCATCCAAAACAGATGTTCTACACGCTGGACAAGTATTTTGTTCTTCAAACCATCTAAGTATCTCCTCTGGATGGTATTCATGATTACAAGGGAGGACAATAACTGTTTCATTTCCAATTGTCTCTAAACAAATCTAAATAAACAGAAATAGAGTAAGTAAGGTTTACATAAACGATTGGATGAATTGACCTCTTTATATTGTACATACACCACAAGTCTTTTGATTTGGATCATCATCTTTGAGCTCATTTTTCTTTTTTGTTAATAGTTTCAAGATATGAGTGGGTACTCCTTTGGGAACGTTTTGTAGTTGTGAATAGAATTCATAGGTGTTGTTGTGATTGGACACTGCATCGTCGTATGGGACATTGTGTCCTTCTAAACCATACGGTAAATAGATGCTATTGGAATGATCATCAAAGTCATTTCCAGCACCCAAGTACCTTCGTGGCATGTCTCTCTGTTGTTGTTGTTGTTGTTGTTGTTGGTGCATTTGGTGTAGCTGTCGGTGCTGTTGTTGATGCATCTGTTGTACTCGTTGATGGTACTGTAGGAAAAGTTGTTGTGGTTGTTGTTGATGGTGGTAACTTTGTTGTTGTTGAGGCGCACCTTGTTGTTGTTGTTGTTGCGATCCATTATTTGTTTGATAATTTTGTTGTTGTCGCGACATATAAGGAGGATAGTAATTTTGCGTGGTTGATGTGTTGTTTTGTGCCTGTTGTTGTTGTTGCTGCTGCTGTTGTTGTTGTTGGAACTGAGGAGGAGGTGGTTGGAAATAATGGGATTGGTAAGGAGAGGACGTAGAAGATGAAGAAGAAGCATTAGCAGGTTGTTGTTGTTGAGGAGGAGGTGGTTGTTGATGATGATGATGATGTTGTGAATTGAAATGTATATTTCCATTAGATCCTCGAGGATTGGTGTTGGTTCCATTATTATTATTATTTCCAGATGATGTAGGATTGACAGGCGCTTCATTGTGATTGTTGTTGTTACTTGCAGTTGAAGACGAGGCAGCAGATGCAGCTGGTTGTTGTTGTTGCTGAGGATAATGGTGATGATGGTGATGGTGGTGATGATGATGGTGATGGTGGAACGTTTGTTGTTGGGTATGGTTGTGAAGATCCGAGACATGCTGGTTGTGCATTTGCAAGTGCTGTACTAGTGAAATTTGAGGTGGTGGTGGTGGTGGTTGTTGTTGTTGTTGTTGATGTTGTTCTCCAAACCGAGGATGATGATTATTATTCCCACCATTGTTGCTGCTATTATTGCTGCTGGTGTTACCTGCTGCGCCGCCGCCTCCTCCTCCACCACCACCACCACTACCGCTGTCTATATTGTTGATGAGGTTGTGGTGCTGCTGTATCTGGAGTGAATGAAGCGCCATATGTTCACTAAGGAATTCGTTCCATTGTCCATTTCTATTTGAGGAGTGTCTAGTAGTCATCAATCAACTGATTGTTAGTCTTGTGTTTTATATCTCTCTCTCTCTCTCTCTTTTGACTATGTTAAATTATACATACCGTACTACTCTTGTAGACATGGATTGCGTTTTGGTGTTTGGTGTAGGGCGATAATACAAATATACAAAGCAAAAATGATTATTATTGTTATTGTTGTTGATAGGGTGTGTTTGTTTGTTTGTTTGTTGGTCAATATAGTATATATATAAATGTACAGGGATGTTGTGTCGTTAGTTGTTGTTGATGTTTAGTAGTTGGTTATACAAATATTTATTAGTGGGTGGGTTATTATTATTATTATTATTCTAAAGAGAAGAGGAAGGGAAAATGTTATATATACAATAGAGTCTGTTGTTGTTGTTGTTATCGAGGAAGAGAGAAAATACACAAAGTGAGTGAGTTGAATTGATGATGATGATGATGATGATAGTTGGTGATGTCAAATTTGATTAGCTGTTGTTAAAGAGTATTGAGTGCACCATTAAATGATTGTTGTGGTTGTTTGTTATGTTATATACAATAAATAAGGTGTCGTTGTGATTGTTGTTGATGAGCAATCAATCAAAGTAATCAATAATACTATTTCTTATTCTTATATATTATAATTATATATTATTATAATTATTATTATTATTGTTCAAACCAACTAGCTAACTAATTTACTAATGTTATGATACTTGATCAAAAAAAGGTGATGATTTGATGATGGATATGTTGATGAATACTGATGATACTGATACTGAATATAACTGACTACAAAACTGAGACAACGAGCTAGTTAGTTGTCTACTCCCAACACTATAGTTTGTAAAGTAAATAGAATGATAGAAAAGTCATATAATAATGAATGCTCACACCCTATGTTTTGTTTGTCACCAGTCTTCACCACAACACGAGTAAAAAATTCCTTCATACTCAAAAAAATACTCCCAAATTGTCTTTTTTTTTTTTTTTTTTTTTTTTTTTTTTTTCAGAACATAGTTTCATAGTCATCTCAAAGCTTATGTATATATATATATATTGACAAACCTTGATGGTTGGGCGGTTATTAATTGAGACTGGTGTCTCTAGCAATAATGAATGTCCTATCATTAAACAAGGATGGGAGACTACAACTATCATGACGACAGAAACATTCAACTCTTCTGATAGCAACAAGATCGATAAGAATAGTCTTCTTTTTAAAAGTATCTTAAACAACTATTATATACGAAGTAGCATGCTACCACATATACATAGACAATTGATTGGTAACAATGATCATTTGGCACTAAAGGAACATCAAATGATATCACTCGATGATTTCATACGACTACATCGTACTGATCTATTCATCAAACATTTTGACCAAGTCTATCAAACTATACAACCTAAAGAAAGGGAGTTTAGTTTCAGTGGATCAGTATGTGCAATCATAGAATACAACCCTTCCGTCAATCCAATTATTAATCATCATATTCCTTCATATTCCTCTCTAGAACAAAACATTTGGATATATCCTTGGGATTATATTTAGAAATGGCAATGATATTGCATTAGAGTATTTGCTACAACGTTTTAAAGGACCTATTGATCGCTCACGAATTTTTTCCTATGTTGTTTTACAACCATTCAAGAAGCATTCCGCAATTGCCATATATAGAGCTCTAATGCGTCATGATTATCATTTACCAATTGGTATATATTTTTTATGACTACTCAACATTTGTTGGGAATAGTCTCGCGCTGGCGGTCGGTGCTGGAGATTTGGCAATGTTTGATCAATTGTGCAAAGACTGTCTTGACCCAACTACCACAAGCCAACTTAATTATACTCACAAACCATTAAAAGCTTTAATCAAGAAACTAAATAGAAATACAAGTGGCTCCAAGAATCATAAATTATTTAATGATCAACAAACTTCACCACCAATCAATAATAATAATAATAATGAATCAAAATATGAAATATTATATTATATGGTTAAAAGGTTATTAGAGTATGGTTTAGATTTTCGATACAAGTTGTTTTCCTGTGCATTGGAGGATTCAAACAATCAAGAGATATTGAAATGGATCAAAGACAGTCACGATAATATTCAAGATTTTAAAAGACAATGTCAATCGTTAAGTTCAGATATCAAACGATATGCAAACACAAATACTCTACGGCTGATAGAATTCGACCCCAACCCGTCCTTTTCCTTTTCCTTTGGATTGTATTTGGCGGACAACTATGACTTTTTATCGTATGTGCTGGGTATCCACGGTCACCGACACCTTTTCCACCTCCTCGATGATGTATTGTTACTTGGAAATTTGGAATGCACCAACTTGCTCATCGAATCAATCGCCACTCATGCAACTAAAGATGATAGTTTTACCATTTCCGGGGAGATTCACACATCGTTAATGACATTGGATTTTGTCAAACGGTTGCTCAATATCAAGAATAATCAAGTCAATGGTTTAGATAAGTTGGTTGTATCCATTATTAAATTACAAAAACTAGATATTTTGGAATATATTCTATTATCATCATCATATGCCATCTCAAATGATCCTGCCATACACCATACTTTTATCTTGGAATCTCTCAAAATAGACAATCCGATATTTATCGAGATACTCCTCGATAAATTCTTTCCCCTGTCCACTGTATTTACAATTCCAAATAGTTTTGAAATGATCGATCCTCATCCACTTGGTTCTCTCTATTCAAAGGGTCATACAATCAAGTTTGCTTTGGGTTGCTATTCAATGTCACCAATTCCAAAATCCTCGATGACATTGATTATCAACCATCAATCAATTCAAATCGTTCCCAGTTGGTTGGTTATTTTATCGTGTGTACACTTTCATGAAGATGACACTGATATTCAATTGTTGAAAGATGTTGTATCGAATTATAATTTCAACAAAATTCAAGATGTATTAACAATTGCATGCGCCAAAGGTCTAATTCAAGTATTGGAATGTTTCCCAGCCTCTAAAATTTCTCTATTTTGTGATAAACTGATGCAAGAAGCAATCAAAAACAAACAATTCAAAGTGGCATGTTTTTTGGTCGATATTTTCATCCATCAAATACCTACATCACTATCCAATATGGGTGATTGGTTATTCATATTACATCATCTCAACCGAATTGAAGATGAAGGTGAATTTGAAATGTTGTGGAATCAATTGGTGTCGGTCACTACCCAATGGACGATAGTATCAAATTGGTTACAGAAAAGGATATTTTTCGATCCACAAAAACAATATGCTTGTCGGACAATCGATAGAATCATCAAATACTATAGCTTATTTTATAATGGTCCTGAAAAGGTGAAATATAAAATGAGACCACTGCAACTATACAGTCGTCTTTTTGAACCTTTATTGCAACCATTTCACGTTCATTATCTATTGACCAACCATAGAAACAATCCAATCATTGATTTCAAACATTTCGATTACTCTCAACATTTCGATGATTGTCTCAAATCGGGTTTTCTTCTTTTACCTTTTGATCAAAATGGTCACCAAAAAAATAAATAAATAAAAAAAACACAAAACATAATCATTTTGCTCACTTTCTAGATTATAGTTTATTTCTATCTATAATAGAAATAGTAGATATATATATATCTATTAATAGATATATATATATATATATTATGGACTGGAATAGTTGTTTATTCTTATATATATGACACACATCAGATGCCTCTTATTTATTCGATATCATTCATTTAGACAGCAACAACAACATATACTACTACTACTACTACTATGAATGATCATCACAACAAGATCGATAATAATAGTCTTCTTTTTAAAAGTATATTAAACAACTATTATTTAAGAACAAAGATTTTTCAACATGTACAACATATACATGGACAATTGATTGGTAAATTTTATTATTTGGTCCTCAAAGAACATGAAATGACATCCTTGAATGACTATATACAATTAAATCGTACTGATCTATTCATCAAACATTTTGATAAAGTCTATCAAACTATACAATCTAATGGGATCAAATTCGATTTTAATCACTCTGTAAGAATATTATAGATTCTTTACTTTAATAACCATGCATCTTTAAACTAATAATAATACTCTTTTTTAATTTCACATTTAGAACAAAACATTTATACCTCTCTTGGAGACTATATTTAGAAATGATAATGACATTGTATTGGAGTATTTGTTGCAACGATTTAAAGGAGAATTGGACGCAGAAGAAATTCAAAGATTTGTTGTTAGTCTACAACACGAACATCCTAGAAAGTTTTCAATTGGAGTATATTGGGTTTTAATGCGCCACAAATATCATTTATTGGTTGGAGGTGTGGATGTTGCAACACGCTCAACGTTTGTTGATATGTTTCTCTCGATGACAATCTGGGTTGGTGATTTGGCATTGTGTGATCAATTTTGCAAAGACTGTCCAGACTCTAACAACAGAATAATATCAGTCAGGATCTTCAAAACTATAATCGAGAGACTAAATAATGAACAACTACTTGAAAGTTCACCAACCAATACCAACAACAATAATAATAATAATAATAATAATAATAATAATAATAATAATAATGAATCAAGATATAAAAAATTATTTGATATGGTTAAAAAGTTATTAGAGTATGGTATAGATACAAGAGAAGAATTATTTCAAGATGCATTGGATGAATCTTACACCAACAATCAAGAGATATTGAAATGGATCAAAGACAGTTATGTTGAAAATGAAAATGATTTCTTTTGTTTCTGTCATTATAGATTATCTGAATTAAGTATCCAATGCAATGCAAAGACAGATACTCTACAACTGATTGAATACTATCCACCCCACAAAATACATATTTATCCATATACAGCAAAAAACATCGACTATATATCTTTTATGATCGGTATCAATGAGCACCGACAACTTTTCAAACTCCTCACCAACACGTTGGATCATGGATATTTGGAATCTGCCAACTTGCTCATCGATCAGATTTATATGCTTGAAAAAGATCAGGTTGACATTGCCATTTCTGGGATCATTCACCCATCGATCATTTCATTGGATCTTGTCAAACGTTTGATGAGTCTAAAGTCTATTAAAGCCAATTTAATTCAATTGGTTCAAACTATTATTCAATCACAAAAGACAGATATTTTAGAGTATATTCTATCATCATCATCGTCATACATTGATGAGATTGACTCTGTCGATCACAAGTCCAAACTCGATTTTATCAAGCATGCTCTGATTGTCGAGAATCCTCAACCCATCGAGATACTACTCGATAAATTCTTCCCTCAATCACAAGAACTATTTAAAATTTCACATCAATTTCTAAATTCAACCTAGACCTCTTTATTTTCTCTACTCTAAAGGTCACACAATCAAGTTTGAAAAGTTGAATCAATTTGCACCAATGCCAATCGAATCTTTGAAATTGATTATCGACCATCAATCTATCCAATCCGTCCCTCCTTGTATCGCCGTGTTTTCATGTGTTTGTAATTACCATGAAGATTACTCTTATCTGGTGGCCGATGTTGTGGAATTGCTCAAATCAAAAAAATACTTTTCAATGGATACATATTCATCAATGAGTGTTTTGTATAGTGCATCCGAGAAAGGTCTGATCAATGTGTTGGACTGCTTCTCAGAGTCGGGTATTTGGTCATTAAACGACTCACTGATTCGAGTAGCAATCAGAAACAAACAAATCAAAACTGCATGTTATTTGGTTGAAAGATACTTTGACTATTACTGGGCATATGGAAATCATGAAAGTTGGGTTAAAATATTAGGTAACGTCTTCTATATCGACGATGAAGATGAATTTCAAATGTTTTGGAATCTATTGTCTCCCATAACTACCAACTATTTGATAATCTCATCATTGATAAGAAGAATTAGCTCCGATAAAACTCTGTTAATTTCTAGAAAAATAGATAAAATTATAAAATATTATAGCTTATTTTATAATGGTCCTGAAAAGGTGAAATATGAAATGAAACCACTGCAACTGAATAACACAGATCCGCTCAGTGACCATTGTTATTACTTTGATGAATTTGGACAATACAACATCCATTATCTATTGCGCAACTATCGAAACAATCCAATCATTGATTTCAAACATTTCAACTACCCTCAACATTTGAAAGAATTCCAAAGATGGGGTGTTCTTTTATCTGACACAAATTATCAATCATTTAAATAAATATAGAGCCTTTAAATTTAATTTTCTTTCCATCATTGATAATATATATTTTTATCACTGTTTGCCATATTTACTAATTAGTAGATAATTGAAAATGTAAATACATAATCGTATTAAACATATCTGTTGTCTATACAAGATGACATAAATTGAAATTGAATTGGATAATTATATCTGTCTATATCAACTGGATATTACTTTTTCGTAATGGAAATAAAAAGTGGTGATTTAAATTTGACAAATAGGAAATTGATTTGTTGTACAAAGAGGATTAATATTCCAGCAATTTAAAATTCAATCCAATAGATAAAAAAAATGAATGCAAGGATTTAGAAGAGTGTGTATGTCCAACTATTACTATTACTACTACTACGATGGATTGGAAATGAAATGGTTGACTTGACCGATCCGGGTATTCATTTTAACTTTTAATGCAATTACAAACCACATAAGCATATACGGACGTAAACCAATTTTACCCTCTCACTAAACAAGTCAGATTGCTAAAAGATACGTAAAGATTAAATGATGATTCATAATCTAAACCCAACCATTAATAGTTGTTTATATGATGATGGTTGTACAACCACCTACATTCTGATTTAATCCTTTTCGAAAAGAGAGGTGTTAAAACATCAAAAACGGTGTGTGATCAAACACTCAATGCAATTAAATTGTTTGTGGTTGAAAAGAGATAGAGATACAGTTATTAATGATGATGAGGAGGAAAAGGGAGGAGAGGATAGGAGTGATTCATCAATTCAAAGGTGACGAGTTTGAAAAAAGAGGGAAGAAGATAGCGTCAACCCTCAAAGAGAGGATAGAGTGTGGTGCTAGAGGTATATAGCTCGGACAGATAATAATGCATTTACAATACTTTGGCAACTAAATCTCATCTATCAGTGGTTGTGGTGAATTTGTGGTGATTGTGGGAACCGCGGTAGTAGTAATAGCAAAAGATGTAGCTGGATGTGAGGAGGTGATACCTTACCTCGTTTGGAGAGAAAGAGAAAGAGAGAATTGGAATAACGAGTATTAAATGTATCATGTTTTTCATTCTATTTTTATGATGACATAATTATATACATACATATATATATATATATATATATAAATAATATTCATATCCCATCAAATTATTATAATAATAATAATAACAATTCGAATTATCTCTCTCTTTAAACAAACTATTTTTGTAACCTTTTTGTTTTCTTTATACATTCTATCTTTATCATCCATCTCCCATATGCCATCATCATCAGATTTATAGAAATTCAATCAACCCACCCCATCATATCATCATACCCAATCGAGAAATTAAGACCTACATACATTTATTTTAGGTATAAATAAATTGTAATTCCTGTTCCCGCCATCCTTAATATATACATATATTCATTCATTACACTATCATTACATTTCATTACATCTCATTGTCCCCAACTAATCATTAGTTCAACAAAGAATAATAATAATAATAATAGCAGTAGTAATTAATTTAATTTATTATTAGCAACAACAAATATCAACTCAGACATCGTCGATAATCACCAACCAACCATCCAAACGTTTCCAGATATAAATCTAAAAAACACCATTTTCACAACAACAATAACAATACAATAACAACACTAGTATCAGTCAGGTAGGGATTGAATTTTGTTCCACAACAATCACAAAATTAAATTTTTAATTAGAGATTACAAATAGATAATGATAAAAACATAAACATAATAGTAATAATAATTATAATTAATTTTATTCATCTATTTTAAAAATTCCATAGTATTATTATTTCATCATTCCAACAACATAACTATAACATAAATAATAATAATCATGGTAAAATATCTATAATAATAACAATCAAACATTTATTATTAAAAATATTATACCAACAAGCTATATTCTCCATTCCAACTATTTCAGCATCATATATGATCCAACAAATAGATACATAGACATAGACATTGAGAACAACCCAACAACAACTCCCCATAAATTATTTATTATTATTATTATTATACTCCGGCATTTTCTTTTTTTTTTTTTTACCTTTTAATCCAATCCAATCCAATATACTATTCTATTATATTCTCCTCTCTACAACAAAGTAAGAAAGATATTTAATTAAATCTTTCCATTGTTGTTTAGATTCTCTTCAACCCTAAAACACACAAACAATTAACCAAACCCTAAATTTGAAAACAAAATAATCTGCTTTGGTTGTGTTGTCAAACAAGTTATAAGGTTTGAATATACATAACATACTCTATTATTATTTAAATTATTTAAATTTAATAATAGTCTTAAATTCTGAATAAGTTAAATCATTCATTCATCAATATGGAATTTGAAAAGGAATATATTTATCTTCCAACAAGTTCTGCAAGTTCTTATTCATCGAGATCAAGAAGTATTCTGACAACTTCATCTTCATCGTCCATGGCTGCACCATCATCATCATCATCGTCATCATTGTCGTCGTTGGTATCGTGTTTTATTTGCCAAAGGGTGATCAAAACCCCAACCATTTCAATTGAGGGTGCCATCCAAAAACAAGATTATTGTTCAATGAAATGTTATATTTCTTCATCTTCATCATCATTGAATCTACCAAAAGAACATAGTCCATGTTCCTCGGCCAACACTTCTACTTCATCATTGTCTTCTGTTTCCTCTTCCTCTTCAATTGGTCTAAGTCAACAACACATTATGGTCTCTTCTTCTTCTTCTTCCAACTTATCTTCGTCCCCGTCTCCTTCAAATTATAATAACAAAATTAATAATAATCAATATAATAATTTAAATAATTCAAATATTAATAATAATACAAATAATAATAATCATAATAATAATCAAATTCGACAAAATAATTTGGATGGAAATATCGTAAATGATAATAATTTAAATATAAATAATAATAATAACACTATAAATAATACAAATAATAATAAGAATACAAATAATCATCATCTTTCAACATTTTGGTTTAAAACGATAATTCCAAAGGCTAGATGGTTAAATCAAAAAATATCTACATAATTCCACTCACACATACACACATCCCCATAGGCTTATTCTCTTTTCTTTCCCATTAATGGAAACAACCAAATACAAAATAATATTATATTTTTTATAATCTTTTTTTTCCAATTATTATTATTATTATTACTATGACTTTTTTAATTCATTGATGCAATAATTTTATAAATAGTAAAACTTTCCATTACTTGTCTACAAACAGCTTCTCTTGATTCTTTTTTAGATGGAGCAGTTGCAGATTCTTGATAGTTTGCAGTGGCCAATGATAGGATCGATTGGAATTTTGGTGAATTTACATTGCCTATACTAAACGTTTTAATTTGAAACCCTAAATCAAAGTCTGCCGATTTACACTTTTGCACAATCTCTTCCAACTCTTTTTTATAGTAATAGGTATTATCGATGGAATGAGAAAGTGATTCTGGTATGACTCCAGTTCTAAGAAATTCAATAGTCTCTTGAAGCAATTGTTCATGCATTAGGAATCTACGATAACTATGTCCCTCTATTGTTTTAATAATTGCTACAAATTCTGAATTTCTATGTCTTGCTCTACCACGACTTTGAATCAACTATAGAAAGAGAAGATAAATAAAATAGATATTAGTCTATTAAATTATTATTATTATTATTATTATTATTATTATTATTATTATTATTATTATTATTATTATTATTATTTTTTTTTTGTTTGATATTTTACAGCAGTAACAGTTGATGGAGCATCAATTCTAATAACTAAATTACATTCTGGTACATCTAAACCTTCTTCTAATACATTGGTAGTAACTACAACATTTGCTTTACCAGTTCTAAATGCTTCGACCACTTCTTTTTGTTTACTAGTTGACATTCCACCATCGGTATTTGATCCGTGTCCAACTACAGTCACACATTTGGTAAAAGAGTATCTCGTACTCTTGTTGGAAATGTTGTTTAATATTTCTCCAAGTTGGTGTGCTGAATCTCTAGTCTTTACAAATAAAATGGCTCTAAACTGGTCTTTGGAGGGATCGGCTTGATGGAGCGCATTATGCTCTTCCAAAATCTCCAATGCCTTGTCAAGCTTGCATATATTGGTCGAGTTTTCATTGTCAGAGCTGTGAGTGATCGATTGAATCTGAAGGACAACCTCTTTTTTCACCTCTGGTGTGAGGAACTTGGCCTTTTCAGCCAATCGTATGCAATACTCTTTGATATTGGGTGGCATTTCCTTGTCCATATGAGACCCATACTTTAAAAACTCTATACATTTGGCGACAAATAAATTGACAATTTGTGTCAAGTTGGCATTGAGTCCACCCTTTGACGACGACGATGTTGTTGATATGGTGTAGTCGTCAGTGTCTGGTTCTTCAGGATCGATGTCTTGATTTTCATATTGGTCTGCTTTTCCTGCATTGAATAGCTCCTCTAAACCGGCAGGTACGTTGATCTTGACCTGGAACCGGTCTTTGACCCATTGAGTGAGTCGACTAATCAACGTGATCAAAAACTGTTCATTCTTGTTGACCGACAGCTCTTCGATTCGCATGTCTTTTTGGTTTTGGTGCTTTTTAATCTCTTGTACAGAGTGTGGCAGTGGTGTGACAATACGACACTGCGATACACGCGACATCACCTTGAGAGACAACAAGGTCGAGAAAAAGTCGGCTTTACCCGCGGGTGAAGCGGTCAAACCCATGATACGTGGTTGTAAAGATTTGCCGAGCTTGGTATAGTACTCTCGCAAGAGCACTGCGAATGGATGGTCCTTGACAATATGGTGTGCTTCATCGACCACGATAATACAATAATCTGATAGATTCAAATGATCTTTTTGGATGAGATTAATAAACAGCGCACCGATAATAACCAACACGTCATGTTTGGAGTCTAGTATAGTCGAGTTGGAATCACCGTGTAATCCAATGACATCCAACCCTGTCTCATCCTTGATCACCTTGGTTTGTTGGGTGACGAGTGGAATACGCTCGACTATAAACAACGCCTTTTTGGTTGGGTTGAGTCGCATCATCTCGGCGATTGCCAAGCATGCAATCAGTGTCTTTCCAAGACCTGTTGGCAGACAACATATACTGTTTCGTTCCATTGTATTGTGAAACATTTCAATTTGGTAGCCACGTGGATTGGATTTGGTGGGTGGGAGGGGAACCGACTTGACATTCGTAGGAAAGACAATGGGATTGGTGTTGACTGGACGCTTTCCAGATGACATTCTGTAGCTATTACCCCTCATACTCGGATTCTCCGTCAATTGTAGCAGTTCAACTGCCAATGTAGCTTTCATCTTTTCGTCTAGATGTTCTCTCATTTTGTCTTTTGTCTTAAACATTGCGTCGTCTGCCACTTCAATATCGACGATACTCTGTTTGAGAGGAGAATAGAATTCAATCTTTCCATAGTCAAACAGACCAGTAGTTTGATTCAGCTTGATGTCATAGATGGGGTCGACCTCAAGACCATAATTACGGTTATGACCATGATTAAGATTAATATTAAGAGTATCCATGTTTTTGGTCACCACAGCTAGTTGGTTGTCATGAGAGGGAGACAGGTTTCGAGGTGGTGGTGCCATCAATCTCTTATGACCTCCTTTAGACAATTCAACCAAAGCAACAGTGGCAGCATGCTTTTCAGCATCCTTTTTATTATCCATCCATAATGAGTTGTATTGATGACCCTGTACTTTTACTTTACACTAAAGTAGAGAGATATATATAAATATATAATCATCAGAGAGTTGGTCAAAACAAGTACAAGTACTATTATAGTAATACTATATAGCTACTTTGTGAACATACCATAAACTTCTTTGCATGATCTTGACAGGTTGTTGTTACATCATAGGTTGGTAGAGTAAGTTTATTCTTTTGACAATACTCTTGTAATGAGTTCTTTGCAGTATCACTGATATTCATCACAATCTAGATACTAATAATAATAGAAATCATTGTTTCTTTGTTTTTTTTTTGATTGTTCAAAGAGTAATGAACAAAAATTAATATTGCGAATAGGGGGAAAAATCACATTTGAGCTTTTGGTTCAGACTGCAACTATTCATTCTAGTTAGATCCCATTTGCTTTTTTAATATATTATATCTACTTATACTTGTATCTTATTTATAAATATTGTATTATTATCAATTCAGTGTACATACCCCAACCCCAACCAATCAAATCAGTCTATTTATATTTATATTTATTACAGAATCACTGACTCTTTGTTTAGTTTAGTGCAGTGAATGTCTTCAGATACATCTACACCTATATCTCCACCATCAACATCATTATCATCATCATCAACAACATCACCAAACGATGACACTTTAAGGAGAGATAGATCGAGTACAATGTACTCGGTTGAACAGAGCCAACAGGCAGTACCAGCAAATGTGCAAAGAGAGGTTTATAAGCAATTTGAGCTACTGTTACTCAAGAAACGATCACCCAATGTGGAAAAGGTTACTATTAGACAGGGACTGCTCGTGTCAATCCCTCAGGTCGAGCAAGTGTCGTCAATGAGTGTCGCACAGGTTACTCATCAAATCGACGTGCTCTCCAATGTATTGGTCAAGATGGCGTGTGGACCAAACTTGCATGCAGTCATAGAGGTGCTGATCAAGATGTGTGACTCGTATCTCGACGATCCTCACAATATGGTTAGTAACGATAAGAAGGGTCGTCCCGATCTCCCCTCCTATTCCAAAGATGATATAGAGTCTGATGTTGACATATCACTACCTTTCACCAGTGGAGACAACCTTTCAGGTATTGTTTTAAAGGATGAACAATTAAGATTATTACAACAACAACAACAACATAGTCAACAACAATCATCATCGACATTAAATACTCCAACCTCTTCATCATCATTATCATCACCAGCATTGAATGCTACATCTACTCCAAACACTGGTATGAACTTGTCAACTGGGTCATTATCAACACCTCCATCTTCTAATAATTTGAATGTGTCGGCTGGAAGTGACAGTCTAGGAGGAGTGGCAACACCAACCATCACAATGATCATACAACAACAAGAGACTGTATTGCAACCTTTGAATGCGTATAATACCTATAAATACGTGTCCGAGGACACACCACTCTACCTCATTCTCCATACAATGCATATGATCCTTTTATCGCATATTGGTGGAGGAAATAGTACGGCTAAAGTGGCAACAGGACCGGGTGTAGGAGGTGACCGTCACGATGCATACCCACAAGACTTGGCACAGGCAGATGCGGCACGATCTCAGATCGCTTCAATGTCACCCAAATCAATTACATTCTTTTTTAATCTATTGCAATACACGTTTACACCATCTGTGCGATGCAAGGCTGCTAGATGTTTGCAAGCAATTTCTGTGGTCAGTCTCGATGTGATTGCACAGTTGTTTGTGACACGGTTACAGAGTGGCGGTGGAGGAGGTGGTAGCAAGGCAGACGACTTTTACCGCGAGTATTCGACGATGCAACGTGCTGCCAAGTACCTCGAGTTTGGCTTTTATCGCGCCACACAGGCCGAGGGCACGAGCCAATACTTTGCAAAGCTGCTCCTCGAGATGGAGAAGGCGTCGCGTACAGTATACATGCAAGCGACGTTGCAGACGGTCGTGCAGGCGTTGCCGCGTGTGTTTGGCGGGTCTGTCCCGTTACAGTGTCCCGTCCCAGACACATTCCGCAGTGTCATCACTAAAATGTACGATGTGGTACTCAAATGGCACAAAAAGAATGCCAAGCTCAAGAACCTGTGCGTTCGTGCACTCGTCGCACTGTGCGGCACCAGCGAAGAGATGGTGCAGAGCAAGGGTGCCGACGTGCTGACACTGATCGCCAAGGGCGTGGGCGAGGGTGGCAGCAAGACACGTCGCGCACTTTTAGAAGCATTGATTGCCTATTTCAAGGCACTCAAGGCGTTGTTTGGCGTAGAGGCACGTGCATCGGCGTTTTACCAGCAACATGTTGATATTGTCGTGCCGACGGTGTTGCCCAAAAAGGGGTCGTCGCCCGTATCGGACCCTGTACTCGTTCTAGAGGTACTGCTCGCGATGGGCCGTTTCTCGCCGAGTGTGTGTGTGTCCAAACACGTGCTTGCTGTTCTCGCCAAGGAAGGCAGTAGCAAGTCATCGTCTGAACACGCGCTCGAGGGTAAAGCAATCGTACTCAAGTTTTTCGCGACACTCAACGACGAGCTTGGCGAGCAGATGCGTGTGTACGACCGTACTATATGGCAGACTCTCGACCCGCTCTTCCACGCGTACGACGGTGACTCTAGTCCCCTGCGCTACCTCCTCTTGTGTTTCCCGGCACTCTGCTCACTCGAGCACCGCAAGGATGTTGGCGACCGCATCACAAGATGGACGTGGAGTGCCGATATGGAGGTGGCGACGCTCGCAACACTCGGCATCACTAAGTATCTGGCCATCCAACCACAAGCAACCTTTCCCACCATCCTTTTCCAGATGCTCAACTACATCACCAACTTTTTTGGCGAGCCTGTGTCTCTGCTCAAGGTTGTGCGTAACATTAGCATGGTTGTTGAGGAGTTTATTCTGCTCCACCACCTGCCCAACGGTGCGCGCAAGATGTCTGCATCGATCGACCCCACCACATGGCGCAACTTGCGTGAGACGTGTGAGGGTGTGTCGCTCTACCTACTCAACGCGCCCGCCGCACCCGCACTCTGGAGTGCTGTACTCAACCTCGTGCGTCTGACCGGCCACCCACTATTCCGCGACATTGACAACAACGCCGAGACCACACCACCCCCCTATCTCGCCGACCATCTCCTCCCCACCTCTATCTCGCCACTCTCGGCCATAGCACCCAACATGAATGCCGATCTCGTCAACTTCCTCTTGCATCACGAAGGTCCACTCCAAAACAGCATCAACTGGGCTTGGACAAGACTCCGTAAGCGTTGGCACCCAAAGTCACAACCAGGGTTGGCATGGCGCAACAATCTCGCGTTCCTCCTCCTCTCACTCCGTCTCAACAATGACGCACCTGAAATCACGGCCGTCGAAGACCAATTGTTGACCGAAGTACTGACCTGCTACTTTCAAGAACGTGAAGGAAAGACAGCCGAGGAATTGGGCCCCGTCATTGCAGAGATATCCCTCTTTTTACACCGATCCTGTTACGACACTGTATTTAGATTCCTCGAGCAGGAAAGAGGCAGAGATCTCAAACGTAAAAGAAAAGAGGTGTTTTACACCCAAGAGTATGTCATTGTATATATTTCCCAACTGGTGGCTCGTCTCACCGTCATTGACTATGACAACATTCCATCAGTCCGTACAGCTCTTCGTGAAGTAACCTATTTCTGGATCACCAATCCTCAAATCTTTCAACCTCTCTCTCCAACTGTTAAAAATAATATTGCTAAATTATTTAAACATTTCTTATATCTTGATAGTATGTTAAAAAAAAAAAAGAAACAAACAAACAAAACAAATAATAATAATAATAAGAATATTTATTTATTTATTTATTTTTTAAAATTTAGGTAAAAGTTCAATTCCAAAAGGTGAAATATCATTAAATAAGGCATCATATTGTAAATTATTATTTGCTTCTTTACAAAAGTATGTATTTGATGATAATAATAAGAAATGATTCATATTTTATTAATATTAATTAATTATTCTTTTTTATTTTAGTTTATCAGAAAATACAATTTCAAATCCAGAAACTATTGAAGGTGAATTGGAATTAAATCTTCAAAAATCATTTAATATTGTAGTTTCGGTTGGATGTTTGGATGATTTTAAAAAAGATATTGTACCACATCTTATTAGATCACTTGTATTGGGTCAACATATTCATCAAACCATTGCTGAAACATTGGCAAGCTTTTTAAGAAGATCTCCAAAATACCTAAACGAATATATAGACAAGAGTTTTGATAATGATAAATCACCAACCTCTTCATTATCATTCCTCCGTGCATTGGTTATTTGTTTTACTGATTATTTCCTTAGTTGGGGTCATAATTGTAGACCTGAAAGATTGTAAGTAGAAAAAACATATTAATAATTATTTTAATATTTTAATAACTCCTTTTATTTTTTAATTTATTTGTTTAGAATACATTTATGTTTATTCCATATGGTATCAACTAATCCAGATGCAAGAAAATTAGCTATATTATTATCAAATAGATTAATGATGAAAACAAATACATCACAGGAAGTACCAACTATTGTAACTGATGAAGTTGGTGCTGCATTGTCAATCGATGATAAAGGTGCTGATATGGAGGAATTGGAGAGAAAGGTGATGGTTTTATCAAGTCATTTACAGATTGTACCGACTGACAATGTTTCCAATTTCGTGTATCATCGTTCGTCACTCTTGTACTCTAATTCAATGGCGTCAAAGTATCAATGGATGACACCTGGATTGTTTGAAGAGGTCGATGCCTGTTATCACCATCTCCCCATGTCACATCGATTGTCCATGTTGACACTATTGGCTCCGTGGACACGCAACTTTTATTGGATGCTTTCCAACAGCGTTGGTGCAGGTGGTACGATTACCGCATCGATTGCCAACAATTTCCATCATTTGGAGACTGTTCTACCACCCAAATCAACAGAGAGTGTGTTGGAATCACTCATGAGCATCACGATGCAGTCTAGAGAGAACCCGGCAACACATAATGCGTTGGAAGTGTTGTGGGGCGAATTGGCGAGCTCGGGAGACGGGTCAAATGCAACGGTCAAGGTCTACAAAAAGGTGATCGAGTTTCTCAAGGAAAAGTATCATCAAGATAACTACCAGTCGGGTGGCAACAAGGTTGCGTGCGCACAAGCAGATGTGCGTCAATGCGCGACTATGGCAATGAGTTTTATCAGCCGTCGTAGCAGCAGTCACTGGATTGTGGCGATGGAGATTATGGCCAAGAGTCTGCGTCACTATGCTATTCTCCCACCTTCGCCAAGCCAGTTTGTCAGCGACTTTTTGGGTGGTGGCGAGAACGAGTCAATCTCGCTGCGTAGCGAGGAAGCGTACCTGTTCTTTTTAGAGGATCTGGCATTTGAGTTCCAACATCAAGATGTCATACAGATACCACGCTTTGTGCCAACTCTGTTGGTCAACGGGCTACTTGTGTCGGTCAGTCGTCGTCTAGTCGATAATGTGCTGTTGTCGTTAGTTGTTCAACAGCCAACGATCGCAGACGCCATCAAACGCGAAGCAATGCAATTGATCCAGCAGGCACCCGCCAACTTGCACGACTGGACCGAACGCGAACGTCTTCAATTGGTTCGTGTAATGGTCGCGTCACTTGGCGAGACAATCGTCGAGATTTGGGAGCAGTTGATGCTTCAATTTGCAATTAGATCTAATCAACAGTCATCAGCTATCCCCGCACTCGATTGGTACCAGTCAGTACGCACTACACTGGCCACTAAAAAGGACGGTATGGATGGTCTACTCGGGTTGTGCTGCGGACTGTGGCGTGCATGTGTCATGGGCGACGTTGAAAAGATGTACAAGGCTGTCGAGGTGCTCTCAGGCATTGTCGCAGCTGCTGGCCAAAAGTGTATCCATTCAGAGACATCCTACTCGATTGTCGTGCGTCTTGGCTCTATCTTGCTCCACACCTCTTACTTTTCACAGTTTAATGCATCGTTGGTGTTACTCAACCGTATCGTCAACTCGCTCGACACCAATTTACCCCTCCAGGCAAAGATCACCGAGGAGATGATAGACATTCTCGGCGCGGGTATGCGTACAGAGACAGTTGTCAACCGCGGTATTGCACACCCACACACTGCCCTCTTGACCCTGTGGTTTGCCAAGAGCTGTATCGGATTCTACGACAAGCACGGTCGTAACAGTCTGCTCGACCCGATCGTGTGCTCGGTTGTCATCACCACGGCGTGCATGGTCACCATGTCGCCCGAAGACCCGTTGACACTCGACTTTTTCGAGTATCTCTCCGACTCTGAGGAAAAGTGTCGGTCGCTTGCATCGCTCATGTCGCTGCTGCACCCATTCTACCCGTATATTACCCGTACAACCTCGGTCCCTCCGTGCTCGGCAGGCGAGCTGATTCGCGCACTCGCCGCGCAGCTGTTTGCCACATATGGCAGCTCGCCTGATTTATTGTCCAACATTATCCGCTCGGTCACCGAGATGGTGCGATCGTCAATGGACTCGAACAAAGAGAACGACGCGTCATTCTATCTGTTGTTGGTTGAGGAGATGCTCAACAACCACGCCAACAACAACCAGTCGGCCATCTACCCGCAATATCTCATCGAATTTGTCACGGTCATCATCGAGGTGTGTCAGCGCTCGTCTTCAGCCAAGACCCGCACCCACGCACAGAACCTGCTACCCTTTATCATGGACAATCTCCCACAAGGCCTGCAAATCGGTCAGTTTGACTTCCTCAAGCCGTACACCAACGGATTCGAGCAGACGTCCATGTTTGGGTTCCAGACAGATGCCGACTCGCTCAACAACCTCTACTCGTCACTCTATCTCATCAACACGTACATCTTTGCCGTGCCAGCCGACTCACCACTCAACATTCAAATGAGACGTGCACTTGAGAATAGTTACAAGGATCGTCTGCCAAGTTCACACCATCTCCCATCTGTTCTTAGTCATCCCTACGTTTTACCAAATCTTAAACGACACAAATCGTCTTTGAATTTGATGCATCGTATGACTGTCGGCCCTGCTGCCACTCTAGGTATATCATCATCTTCTTCTACTTCCTCATCATCATCATCTCCATCATCTCCATCAACATCGTTTATTAATATGAGTAATATGGTATTACCAAAGAAACCAACACCAGCTCCACCAGCACCATTAAAGAAAACGGGAGGGTTGAATTCAAGTTCTGGATCACTACCAACAACTCCACCACCACCCGTTCCTACTGCCAACCATCCAACCCATCAAAGAATTCCATCCAACTCATCGTCCAACACTACAACATCGGCTTCATCACCCATGATGCCGACCACTCCACCTCCACCAGTCCCACTACAATCACAACACAAGAGAACACCCTCTGCATCACTTCCACCACCACCAGTCCTACAACACAAGAGAATGCCATCAAACAACTCTTCGTCGACACCCACCACACCAGTTACTCCATCCTCTCCATCTGTTGAAAGTGTCAATGGTAACAATAATGGAACAACAACAAGTGGTAGCAATTCACCAGCGATAGGAGCTCCACCAATAGTACCACCAAAGAGAAAACCAAAACCATCAGCTGTTCCTCCAGGTCTTTTACCCACTCCACCTTCTTCACCTCCACCTCCTCCACCTTCAATTTAGATCATAATATAATAATAATAATAATATTAATCATCAAATTTGTAATAACACCTTTTTTTTCATAAACTAATAATACTTTCCAAATAAAAATAATAAATGATAATATTTATTTATTATTATTCATCATTTTTTTAGATCTAATTTAAAAGATATATCTTTTTACTTCAAGGTCGTAGAATGGACGATCTTTTTTTTTTTTTGGTGAAAGATCACTCAACCTTTTTATTATGCTCAGCGAAATATCTGGGACGATGGTGAGGTGGAGTTCGTTTTTTCTAAAGAACAATCGTCGCAATCTGGGTGACTGTGGGCGTTCTTGATAAAATAAACTCTTTTTTTTCTTTATTCTATCTAGCTTAGTTAGTTTAGAACATACATCAATCATTCTCTATTTATATATTCATAAAGAGAGAGTAGAAGAAATGACTCGTTTGAATTCAAGTTTGTGGTGTGTTGTCACAGTCATTGTTGCTTTGATGGTTCACAATGCATCTTCATACACTTTTATGCATTTAAGTGATGTACATTACAGCTCAATGGTCAATACAGTATTATACAACGATTCAACTTTATGTTTAGCAAGTTCATTGTATGTTTTTAAAAGAAAGATCTCAAGCTTGCATTGGGAATAATAAAAGTAGAGAATACTTGTACTCACCAAATCTATTACTATTATTATTATTATTCTATTAAAGATTCAAGAGTCAATATATTCAAGATTTAGAGATCCCAATTTTCAATGATCCATTAACACATTCAGGTCTTTATGGTAGATATGGTTGTGATACCAACTTGGAGTTATTCAACTCTACGTATGTATTTTTAGATTTAGATTTAGATTTGTATTTAGATTTAGATTTGATTTGATTTGTATTGACTTACATTTACATCACTATTTACAATAGATTGGTTGACATGTTCAATAACTATGATTTGGGTGAAACTGGTTTCATCGTCTTGTAAGTACTACCTAATTGGTATTCTTTTGAATTCAGCCTCTAATTATTATGACGTCTTATTTATTTATTTATTTATTTTTCTAGTACTGGTGATTCTGCAGGACATGCACTTCCATATGATGATTGGTCAAATTCAGTGATCACATTTTCAAAGGTGATTTCTGAAACCTATTCTGGAACAAACACCACTTTTATTCCATCGATTGGTAACAATGATGTGTTCCCAGACTACAACTCGTCGTGCAGTGATGGTAACCTCGAATTTTTGGCTAGCGTATGGGACGAATGGATTCCAGAGTCTCAAAAGGCAAACTTTTTGAAAATGGGTTCCTATGCTGTCTCTCCAGCTCCAGGTTTGACTGTTCTAGCCGTCAACACTGTTCTCTACTCTGTCAAGCAAAAGAATATCTTTTCCGGTGATCCATGTGGTCAATTTGCTTGGTTAACCAACGAATTGGAAATTGCTGCTGCCAACAATAATACGTATGTTTAAACACCAAACAACAATGCATGACTTTTTATCATTAACAAACCTTTTGTATTATTATTCTAGAGTTTACATTATTGGTCATATTTTCCCAGGTTTGGATCCGTTCTTCCAAATTGAAACCTGGAAGGAAGATTATATTTTCCAATTTATGGATGTTGTTAAAAATGTTTGTTCATTAATCCAATCAATCCATCATCCTTTTTGTTTTCTAGAAGACTAATACTTTATTTATTTTTCTATTCTATTATTAGTATACAGATATTGTAAAGGGAGGATTTTTCGGACATATTCATAGAGATGAATACAGATCATATGATCTTAGTATCCCACCAACTCCAGATACCCAGCACTCTGCTGCTGGTCACAAGGAAGAGGATGTATTCTCCAACAGCGATATGTTTTTCCCACTTTTCATTGGGTCTGCCATCTCCCCACTCTACCAAAACAATCCATCCTACAAGGTCTACCAAGCCACCCCAACCTTTAGCATTTACAACATTACCACCTACTATAGCGATCTCTATGTATCCAACTTTAATGGTTACATCAATTGGACTGTTGAATACAACTTTGCTGAAGAGTACAAAATCCAAGTATGTAAAAAAAAAGGTTAACAAACATAGATAGATAGATAGGTATTAACCCCTACTCTCCTTTTCTATTTTTTAGTCTGAATTTATTGATGGTGCTGCTTTGGCTGATTTGACCACTAGATTCTTTATGGACCCAGTCATGTATGCCCGTTATGACGATCATCGTGCTGCCAACTTCCTCCCTGATATTGTCGATACTTTATGTCTCAACTCTCAATATTCTGACAAGGCATGGAGCAACTGTGTCCAAGGTCTTTCTCTTGCAAGCGCTAAAAAAATGGCCGAAGAACTATAGTTTTAAAAAAACTAACCAAACATCAACAACAAACAAATTACTAATAATCATTATAATGATTAAACCGACGCTCATCAATTCCCCCTCCCCTCCTTCTTTTATCACACTAAATTAATATCATTAAATTATTGATCCAGCCGATTACTGATCACTTTAATAATATTATAATTGAATATTCGTTATTATTTGATTGACTTCTCTTTTTTTTTTTCATTTCTGTTCAAGGAACCAGCGACTCTATGCGCTCAAGACTATAAGATAACCCTCGCCTGGTGTTCTGCCTCATCTGTCTTTGACTGAAGAGGTGTAGCTCGTCCCTGGGCGTTTTAATTTTTTATTCACGATAACCATTGACCTCCTAAGATTTTTTTGATGGCAAATTTAAAACACGTCACCACAAATATCTTTGTTCTATTTTATTCCATGACAGATTTTTTTATTCTCTTTGTCGACAAGACATACAGAGGGCCATCCAACTTATAAACCAGGTACCGAGTTATCATTATAGAGAGGTTGACTATGATACAAGTTTCCTGGTGTATACACATCATTTCCCGGGCTTTGGCAACACAGAAACTATTTAAACACAAATGATTAATCTTTTATTCCATCATCAAACGTTCATTCAAACAAATAACAATCATCAATCAACTTTATCAACTTAGTCAACATTATCCTTTCCAATCAACTATTCACAATATGTTTTTTGCTAAATTCGCCATTTTAATCATCAGTGCATTATTTGCCTTTTCCGGTGTCAATGCCAAAGACTGCTCCAAAAGCAATGGATACACTACTGGTTACACCTTATCATCATTTAACGCTGTCCCACTTAGTGGTGGACAATCTGAATCATTCTTTGAAGGTACATAAAAGCTATTGAATATCTTAAAATATAATTAATAATCCTATATTTATTTATTAACAAACTCATCCTTTTGTTTATTCTTATAGTTGGTGACACTTCAGTTGATTTCCATGGTCAACGTATCAGAGTTGATTATGAAATCTTTTCACAAGGAAATCCAATCATCAATGGTTCATTCTGGGGATTCGGTGGAAATATCAACAAGGCTTATTTCCTCAACCAAGGTGTTTGCACAGTTTCACCACTTGTAACTCCAATTCCAAGTTCAATTATCAATGGCACTGTTGTTGACAAGACTAAATTGGGTAGTTTCGATGTCGATGTAATCAAGGTTGAACCAACTCCCTCCTCTGGTCAAACTCTCTTTGCTGACCCAAAGAAATGTGCTGCTGTAGCTGCCACCATTTTCAATGTCGATTTTACCAACCCAGGATTTGCCAACATGTTGTTCTTTGATTTCGTCGACCAATACACTGAATCATTCTTTGTACTTCCATCACAATGTTCGCAAGCCAACGCTCAATTGGCCTCATTTGCTGCTCCACACACTCCACACTTCTCTCGTTACCTTCATTAAATTGATCTATTCAATTTCTTATTGTTTAGATAATTCTATTGATGGATCCCAATCCACATTTCTTTTATTTTTGAATAATGTTTGCACTTGATAAGTGCTTCAATTCTTTAATAACATCATTCACAAAAAAAAAATATTAAAAATAAATCTTTTGATTGATCAATCACTATGATCCTTTTTAAATAATTAAATCTACTTTTTTGTATGAATATTACTACGTTTTCAAAAAAAAGTATAGAAAAATAATTGTAAATTAGATAATTCATTTTTTTGATCAACTATCTATATTTCCAACAAAATGTTATTCCCTATATGATTGTAATCAAGAATTAAAATCAATTCATAGTTATCATTTGTATTTCTGCAGCCATACAAAATTCATAGATACAAAGATCGAAATCAATCAAAGATCGCTAGGTGGTCGTGACAACAACGGTTGCCAATTATTATATATTGATAACAAACAAACAAATGTCTATTGCAATAGATTTAAAGGGTTTTGGTATGTTTACAATAATGTAATCAATAAATGTGTTTCTCTTAAGATTGCAAGAGTAATCGACCTCATTTGATTTAATTTTTATTCAAGCAACTTCAAAGGAGATATTTATAAAATCCACTCTCGAAAAATTAAAAAATGATCCATCAAAAATTAATATCTTTGTTCTATTTTATTATTCAGATGATTTATCCATCTTCAGAAGGAACCCCGATGATCGAGGACTAACGCCAAGGCTTGTCTTTGGTACTACTCCCTGGGGTTATGCACGTCATTTTAGTGATACTCGGGCTGCATCGGAAACTATTTAAAGACAAATGATCAATCATTTATTCCATCATCAAACATTCATTCAAACATTAATCAAATAAACCAACTTTCAATACCAATAAACACTAATCAACTATTCACAAGATGTTTTTTGCTAAATTCGCCATTTTAATCATCAGTGCATTATTTGCCTTTTCCGGTGTCAATGCCAAAGACTGTTCCCAAAGCAATGGTTACACTACTGGTTACACCTTTGCATCATTCAACGCTATCCCACTTGGTGGTGGACAATCTGAATCATTCTTTGAAGGTAAATATATGATATAAATGAATCTGAATATTCCATATCTTTTATTAATCGCGACACCCCATCCATCATTATTATAGTTGGTGACACTTCAGTTGATTTCCAAGGCCAACGTATAAGAGTTGATTTTGAAATCATTTCCCAAGGATACCCAACCATCAATGCATCATTCTGGGGATTCGGTGGAAATATCAACAAAGCATACGTCCTTTCTGATGGTGTTTGCACAGTTTCACCACTTTCAACTCCAATTCCAGGTTCAATTATCAATGGCACTGTTGCTGGAAAGACTAAATTGGGTAGTTTCGATGTTGATGTAATCAAGGTTGAACCAACTGCTTCCTCTGGTCAAACTCTCTTTGCTGACCCAAAGAAATGTGCTGGTGTCGCTGCCACCTTTTACAATATCGATGCTGCCAACCCAGGATTTGCCAACATGTTATTCTTTGATTTCGTCGACCAATACACTGAATCATTCTTTGTACTTCCATCACAATGTTCGCAAGCCAACGCTCAATTGGCCTCATTTGCTGCTCCACACACTCCACACTTTTCTCGTTACCTTCATTAAATTGATCTATTCAATCTCTTATTGTTAGATAATTCTATTTGGTTCCATCCATTTTAATTTTAGTTTTAATATCTTACTTTTTTATTTAGAATAATGATTATACTTGATAAGTGTATCAATTCTTGAATAACATTCTTTACAAAAAAAAAATAAAAAATATCATTTGATTGATTCAATCGTCATATGATGCTTTTAACAAACATTGCTATCAAGGGTGACTTGGTCATTGATACTCGTTCTTCCATTGCTCCAATAATTCAAAATGATGATATTATTTCCTCTTTAAAATAAAAGAAAAGGAAATTGGGAAGAGGATGAAGAGGAAGTGGATGAAGAGAATATTAGATTTGTATTTATTAAGGGATGGGAAGAGGATGAAGAGGATACTCTAGTCGCGATGAATTAATGAATGATTGAAGCAGTCTTTCCAGTCTTTTCAATTATACTGAGGAGTTCTTGACCATTAAGCTTGGTAGAGTTACACTTTACAACCTTGAGGTTTACATCGATTTCAATGTCAGATACTCCTTCAAGTTGATTCAATGCCTTATCAACAGCTGATTTGCATCCTCCACACTTCATTTGAACGTTGAATTTGTACTATATCAAATAGAAAAGATTCACACAGAGTAGTGTATTAGAGGATGAAGAGGATGAAGAGGATGAAGATTTGTTGTTATTGTTTACTTACAGTAGTCATTTTAGAATATATTGTGGTTATCTGTTGTTGTAGATGTGATAGATTTGTTCTAAACAGTAATTGTCTTGAATACCTAAACATGTAATTGAATGATGAGTTCAAGAGAGGTTGAACGGTATTTATATCTTGTTGTTGTTGTTGGGTGACGATGCACTTGTGTAATATGTAATCAATAGGTAATCAATCACTGCTTTGTAACCACCAACTCGTTCCATGGAAATCTAATTTTTTTACGATAATATTTTGAATTCTTTCTTTTGCTAATTCTATTGCGTTCTAAAAGCAATGATGACAATGAAGAGAGCCTGGTCATCTTATCTTGAATAGTCATCATACTTTTACTTCATTCATCATCTCACCATCTGTGCAAGTTGTGATCAAGTGGTTACATTCATAATAACAATCAATCAAACAAACAAACCGACATGATCACAACTCTTTGATTTGATTGTAAAACCAATTTTGATAAAGAAGAGGAATTGAGGATAACAACTTGACAATGAAGAGGAAGGAAGTAAGGATGAGGAGAGGATGAGGATGAGGAGGATTCAATTCAACTTTTGATGCTCTTTGTGTCTTGGTTGACCTTTTTATTCTTTTTATTGTAACATCTTCTTGTATGTTTATAAATTCGTTCAATTGAGAATGAAGAGGAAGATGAAGAGGATAGGGAAACAAAACAATTGAAGAGAAGTGGATGAAGAGGAATTCCAACAGATAAGATAGAGATAATGTGATTTCAAACCATCATGATCGCTTGGTACTAATGATTGTGCTGCTCACCCCCTTTTGACAATGAATTTTTTAATTTTTTTTTTAATATTTATTAAACCCAATTTCAAATAATATTTCATGTTTTTGAAGGGCATTGTGCACAACATAGTGCATAGTTATTAAAAAAAAAACTACACTTTTAGACATATATATTTATAAACATAAAACTAGTTATATATCATATTCAGAACAGGATAGTTATCTGATAGAACTGATCAGATTATACGCAATCAATCAAAACTATAACAACCAAATCAATCACAATCAGTCACGCACTATATATATCAATCGATCAATCATTAAATCAATCAATTAAACTCTCTCAATCAAGGAAAAGAGATAGAAAACAAAAATAGAAAATGAAGATGATAGAAGAGCATCAAACCTTTTCAAAAATCCAATACTGGTATATAATTGCATGTTCATTCCTTATTGTATGTTGTTTAGAAATGACCCATCACATTCATTACACATTTACTTACTTATATAATCAATCTATTCTATCTGACATGTGATAGACACTAGGTATTATGGGACTTTGTCAACTGCCATTTGATTTGGTATTGGGTATTGGTAGTCTTGTGTTGTCACTTCTTGGTATAAGAGGATTATGGAAACGTAAGAAAAACTATCTCTTTGTCTTTTTATGGGCCTGCGTTGCCATGACATTCCTTCATGTCATTTCTCTATCCGTTGTCATCATTCTACATCACACCAAACAAAAGGATTCAAGATTTGGTTATATTCCTGATATTATTTTAGATGTCTTTAGAACTGCCTATTGTGTATGTATCAAGATGTGATTCACTTTGAACAATTGTTTATGAATTATTTTATTAATCAAATTTATTTATATCTATTATATATCAGCTTGGCCTTTCATTCTATACAGCATATATAAGAAACACATTGGAATATAAGAGACCACCAGCACAATTGGCTCGTATTTAAATAATATAATATAATAATAATAATAATGTAAACAAATCAACAACAACAAAACGCGTTTTTTCATGATATCAAAAGTATCATATATATATAGTATTTATTTTAATTTAATCTTAATCTTAATCTTATTGTTTGTACTAAACAAACAATTAAATTACAAACCAACCAACAACAAATAATAATAAAAACAAAATGAACCAGGGACCCAAAAAAGCATTCCAAACTGGTGATCCATCATTTGTTTTTTTTTTAAATCACAAAACAAATTAGAGATTTTAGTTTAGTTTAGTTTTTAATTTAAAATAATTATTATTATCTCTTTATTACTAATATAGGGACAATTTCACAATTTATATGTATATATATTTTTGGTGGTGTATTATTTGTTGTGGATGGTGGATTATTGGGGATGAATAGTCGATTGGTCGATTGGTTGGGTTGATTTGAATTATATAATTATTATTTTTTTTTTGTTAGAAGAAATTAATAAGGTGAATAATATTATTTTTTTTTGTTTTGTTTCTATCTATTAATATTTGTCTATGATTATTATCTTTTTTGTTTTTGTTTTTTTTTTTTTTGTTATGCTTGATCAGTTGCAGCATTTTTCAAACCATCGATAAATTGTTTTGGATAGATGGAATTGTTTTCCCAAATATTTAATACCTTGAGGACCTTTTCTTGACATTCGGGTGGTTCCTCGGCAGATGTTGAAGCAACGATAAATGGAAGATAGCTTTGGATGGAACTGGCAAACTGGTCCAAGTGTTCGGGTGAAGGACGGAATGTAAAACTATTGTGGAGTGAATCGTTCAATACATGCAAGATATTAAGTTTCTGTGGAAAGGTGAGAGTACCAGCCTGATGAGTGGTAGTAATGATAGAGATGACCTCCAATGCGTGTGTTATATGGTTCATGATCCAACTCTTGCAAGATGTAATACTACCTCTAGTACTATTCAAATTAGTAAGAATATCTTTAAATTCTTGAACTTGTAAATTATTTAAATATTGTTGTTGTTGTTGTTGAGCAGGTTGTGGTGGTGATTGTTGTTGTTGTGGTGGTAGTAATTGTTGTTGTTGTTGATTAAAATCGTTAGTATTTTCAAATTTCATATTTATATTATTATTATTATTATTAGTTGGGCTGTTTGGATTTATATTATTATTATTTCTGCTATCTGATGAATGGACTATAGAAATAAAAGAAAGAAATTAGTTAATAATCATATTAAATAATAAATATATATATATTCTTGAATTAATCATACCATCTGGATTTTTAATAGTCCATAACTTCCATCTATAATAGTCGTGACTTTGATGATTACTCTTTAAAAAGTTAAAGAATGGACTATCTTTTTGTTTATCTTGAGTGTATGATTCAAAGCGAGGACCATTACGAGCGACATAATCGGCCATCTTATCAATGACTGTTTGTTCCTTTGCACTGGCTGGTGGAGGGGCTGGCATGGGGTTTCCATCCATAGTAATGTTTGGTCTTCTAACGGCACCCCCTCTATCGCCTCCTCTATCACCTCTGTCTCCTCCTCTATCGCCTCTATCACCTCTATCCATTCCTCTATCGCCTCCTCTATCACCTCTGTCACCTCTATCTCCTCCTCTATCGCCTCTATCACCTCTATCACCTCTATCTCCTCTATCATGGAATTTACCATCACCATCAGATTCCTTTAATTTAAAAAAATAACAATCAATATTAATATCTCTTTTTCTCTTTTCTATTTCTTTTTAAACTTACTCTTCTAAAGTTAATGGTAAGGTTATAACCTTGAACAGGTTTACCTTGTAGGTTATTTTTAGCAGCCATTGCATGATCGATGCAAGTAAAGTTGACAAAGGCACAGCTTCTACCAACGAGGATACGAACATTCTCGACCTTTCCAAATTGCTCAAAGACGTCTCTCAATTGGTCCTCGGTGACCGCAGCGGCGACATTACCGACCCAAAGATTCTTGCATGGTGGGTTGGTCGTGTCGACAGGTGCCGACGGTTCGTTTCTATCGGGTTTACCAAAACCCAGTTTGAGTGGCATACCACGATGCATGTATCCGTTGAGTTCTTGTTGTGCTTGAACCGATGCATTAATGTCGGCAAAGGTGATAAATGAAAATCTACGTTGTGGAACAATCTTGACAGTCTTTACGAATCCATATGGTCCGAATAATCCACGAACCTCCTCCTCTGTTGTATCTGGGTGAGTGTTACCTGCCCAAATAACCTTGGTTGGTGCTCCTACAAATGATCTATCAAATCCTCCTCTTCCTCCTCCACCAAATCCTCCTCCTCCATATCCATTGTATTGATCTATAGAAATTCAAATGAGATATATAATGTTAGTACCTATAAACATTACAAAAAGTCTAAAAGACGACTAATATTATTATTTACCTTGACCACCATATTGTTGTTGTTGTTGTTGTTGCTGTTGTTGTTGATAGTATGAAGAGTAAGCAGGGTCTTGTGAATAGTAGCTATCGTAGCTATAGTATGAATTTGGGTCAGCATATTGTTGTTCATAGGTAGCAGCTGCTGATGTTGCTGCTGTGGGATCTGTATCATTTGACATTGTTCCTGATGCTCCTCCATCTTCATTTATTTTCTATAATTGATTATATATGTAATATATGTATATGATAGAATAGAGTAAGTAAGTAAATAGAATAAGAGAGAGTAATACTCAAATCGAGTCGACTGATAGGTTACCTGTCTCTTGAGAAACTGTTCCATAAAACTACCATCATTTGAAAAGGCATTCATTTTGTTGTAAACGTCTTGTCTTTTGATTAAACTAATCTATCTATATATCTATCTATCGATCGATCCTTTATTTGTTTGAAATATATCTTTTTGTTTTCTCAATAAAGATATGTGTAGGCTGCTGCTGTCTTTTGTTCGTTATTGTATTATATCCTATATATATATATATATATTGTCTTTTAAAATATAAATAAAAGAATACAAATAATAATAACAATCTTATAAAGAGTAAGTAGTGACAATGAATGCATGAAGTAAAACGTCGACTGCTTATTAATATATTTTATTTTAAAGTTTTTTTGAATATTTTTTTTTTTTGGAACCGAACACTAAATGCGATTGATCAAATATGGCAAAGGCCAGAAAGGCAATACTCTTGACGGTATGAAATATTTGACGGATGTGGAGACACTAGACCTTCTAGTTGTTCATTTCATTCTTTTTGTTTAAAGTTTTGTTCGGTTGATAACAGTCTAGCTAGAACATTAATGTAAAACAAAAAGAAAGAAATGAACAAACCAGAGGCACTAGCAAGGAAGACTGGCCAGCATTGTACCAATCCAACTAAAAGATTTGTGGGCAAATAATGGATACACACGAATATTGGAAAAAAAGATAAAATTAAAAAACATCATACATTACTAAAGACTTGGATAGCCTCACCCTAGACTATATAAAGTCCAAATATACATACATTTAGCAATGACAACTTGGTAGTTAGCAAGAATTGATTGGGAAAACAAATAGGGGATGACAAAGAGCACAAAGATGGTAGGCTCTAACTCTGTCAAAACTCCTTTCTCTGATGATAGTCCCAATGGAATCAAAAAACAATCCATAGCCAAGGGGAAGAAACCTATCTCCTTGTTTTGATAATTACCTATAGGAGTTCTGTCATCACATTTTAATAGAATTATTTTTGGTTTGAAACATACCATATTCGGACTGAAAATGTCTAACTTGTTTGTTAATGGGATGTAAATACCTTAATAGAGATAATTCTTTATTTAAATAAATATCTCTTACTCTCTCTCTCTCTCTCTCTCTATTTGTTATTACAAACAAAATGAATCATTCATCCAAGTCAAGAGTGAGGGAGGCACTAGAAAACTTAATAAAATTAAATTAAAATAAAAAGTTGGGTGACCCACTACCAAAACTCGACTGAACTTGCAAAAGGAAATAATATCATCAAAATTTATAAATATAGCAATATAATTATAACTTCAATTCCCCCAAATAATTATTTTCTAGTTGGCATCATCTATTGTACATCATCATGATGAGAGAGAGAGAGAGAGAGAGAGAGAGTTTCATGTCAATTTATCATTTGAATCTTTTTTTTAGAAATAGCATTAAATAAAAAAAATATTTCTCTTTTCTTTTTTTTAGAAATGACTTTATTTTATGTTATTCTTCAATCAGATACAATTTGTATAGAGATAAAATAAAATGAATACCAAAAAACTTCGAGACTTTAAAGGTTATGTATATTTTGAAGAGAATTATGCAAAAATCAATTTCCTTGGTATAGAAGACAACTTTGACCTCATCGAACCAATTAGAGAAGAGATCCAGTTGGGTATTCCCAAACAACCCATTGATTTATACAATCATTCACAAGATGGCGATGTCTTCTTGGACCCAACACAAAAGATAGATTATGAATTAGAATTAAACTTCGAAATCAACCTCAAACTGAACAAAGTAAGTAATGAAAAAAAAGGTATCAGAGTCATAAATCATCTTTGGGCCGAACTCTTCGAACCTCTTTTACTATCTGGCCACCCAATCTACATATCGGCACGATCATCCTCGCTAGTTTATTCAGATATTGTATCTCCACAACCTCGATGGTTACTCAAATTCATCTGAATATGTTTACCGCTGACCATATTAAACATTATGCACAAAAAAGACTTTCCCAATATTTCCCTCAGGAGATGGCTACCAAAATATTCGAGGTTTGTATTTCTTCTTTGCTGATGGCAATAGAAAGCTATTTTCTAACTCATCACACAGCTTACAGCAGGAGCTCCTCGGTTTGTCCAATTTGCTTTGGATCACCTTATTGACAAGAAACTGATGGATCAAGTTGACAGTCCCAATTTAGAAAAGAAATCAACGATTATTATGTTAAATGGTTTCTATGGGACATGGAAGAGATGAATTTGAAAGTCAATCATCAAGAAATTTTACAGAGATACAAGACCAATAACAATTTAAAATAACAAAAATTAATATTTAGATACTGTACATTTTTATGACTCCATTTTCTCTATTACAAGATTCTTTTAAATAAATATATAAATTTTTAGTTTTACACAATTCTTTCGTAGAGCAGATTAAAATGAAAGAATAGATAGTGTATAATGATATCTTTTTCCATTTGTATTTTAATTATTTTCTTTGTCAAAGAACCCAACAAATGATTAACTAAGATGGTTAGGGTAAGTGGAGAGGGATATATTAAATTAATCATATAAAAGTAAATTCAACCCATCTCGGAAGGGTGCCTACAAAACTTGTGCAAAAAATAGTAATATCATTTCGATGATCATTCGATCTTTTAAAACAATATAACAACAATGGTAATCTAACAAACAAGTTAATGAGATAATTGCTTCTTATACTAATCATCGCGTCTATGACTACATACAACAACAACTACTACCTCTACTACAATTTAGAGCATAACAGATAGATGTATTGGTTTGTCACTATTGCTATTCAGCATTACTGTGTTTTTATATTATACAACTTGGGTTATCGTAACGGTATGTCAATCATACTCGATAGTAATGAGAGATAGATAGAGATAGATAGAGATAGATAGATAGATAGTCAACATGTTCGAAACTAATCACCCTCATTTTGAACAACAAACAAACAGCCATTCATTGACAATGATCATTGGATTCACGCATACTTCTTACCACGTGAATATGGAATTATCATCCCATTGGTATTGATCATTGTAGGTTTAACTGTCATTGGAACATTCTTGGGTTTGGTTATGATCAAGTCAAAGAAGAAATAAAACCTACAAAGATAGATAAAAATGATTTAAAAGACGCAATTACTGTAGAAGATACGTGTATACACTGTAATCATGTGGGAAACGAACAAAATATAATATATTGGATGGTGATTGTACAAGAGATTGGTCAGACAACTACGATGCAATCAAGAATGATATCATCACCATCATCATCATCATATTGTATATGGATTGTAGTAATGATAAATATATTGAATCTTCATTCATTCAGTGTAGGAGATCTTTATTAAAACTTTACATAGTTTAATGTGTGAAGCAAAGATGGGGAGTTGGATTGAAACAACTGCAATCAATCGTCACACACCATCTACTGGAAAAGATAAAGGGATGATGTTGTTGATAATTGTAGGGGGTAGGAAGGTAGTATTACTTGGTTGGATTAAATTAGTATATAGGTTATTATTATTATTATTATTATTATTATTATTATTATTATTATTATTATTATTATTCAGTGACTGACCATCAAGTAGCAATTGATACAATGAAACCTTGTGATTCAAGAGTAGTGATGATATTATTTACATTGACATCCAATGTACCGTGAACGACCAGTCTGTCATCATCAGCCAACACTTGGAAATTATTTACACCTCTTGCATTATTCATCATCTTGATGACTTGATCTTCACAATGTTTACACATCAATCCTTTGATATCCAATGTTGTCACTTTTTCCTCTGGAACCTTCTTCAAAAAAGATATAATTAGTTTATAAGTGTGTGTAGTTTAAATCTCTTTTCAAACTTACAATATTATTATTATTATCAAGATTCAAAGATTGTGAAGAAGATAATATTGGTGATGTATTATTTGATGAAGAATTAAGTTTAACATTATTACTACTTGTATTGAGTGGAGAATTATTCTTTGATGGTGTGGTTGGAAGACTGTTGCCACTTCCACCCAATGAAGCTTCACGTTTTGTTGCCGATATGATAGAGTTTCTTCGCGCAACCTCTGTCGTTCTCTCTTTGAATAGTACCAACCATTCAGTTGCTTCATCGAGTGTTTGAGCTGCCAAGAAATAGGTTCTCCCCTCTACACTCAACTCTATGGTATGTGCATTGTTGACAGTCTTGATAACCGGTATCTGAACCATATTTGACAATGATATAGTATCAATGGGTACAGTATCATATGCCGTCTTGAAATAAGATAACTTGTTATCATTGTACAACACAAACCATCTATTCTTCCATGATTTGATGATACCTCCTTGTTTTGTTAACCATCCTTCTTTAATTGCTGTTCCTACCATCTCCTCTCCTCTCTATCTATCTATATCGATCGTATAACTATTACTATACTAATACTATAGTCTCTACAGTTTACGAATGATCAATAATGAAACTCGAAATTAGATGATGTGGGTTTTAGATTTTTGTTATTACACCCACTATCTTTTGTTTGCACCCCCTTTGGTTTTCTAAACCCCAGGATCAATGATTTAAAAGTTATAGATATATATATAATATTGATTGATTTATTTATTTAATGGTAACAGAGAAAGGAAAGATTTGTTGTGTTGACGTTGTTGATTTAAAATTTTTTGTTTTGTTATAAAATTAAATTTGATTATTAATTAATAAATCAATAGTATGTTCAAATAGAGGCATAAAATCAACGGCTGGAGATTTATATTCACAACGAACGACACGAGACTGAGCAACAAAGGTGAGTTGGACGAGGAAATAGATAGAGTTGTCAGTCTTGACAGAGTAGCAACACATTTCTTGGTTTTGAGCCTTTCTACGAACGATTTCAAAGACGTTGCGAGATTGGAGACGACGGCTGATAGAGTCTACATCGAATTGTTGGAGACGGATTTGGATGTCCTTGCTACGTTCGTTTTGGTCGGGGATACTCTTCCACATGGAGAGGTAGTTTTCACGATCCAACTGACCTCCTTCGTTAAAGAGTACCTGATATGGGAATGTCATTTGGAAGTAGAACTTGGCTTGTGATGGGAGTACCATCATGGCCATGTTGATGGCTGTATTAAGTGGTTGGACAATTTGACCGTTGGAAGTGATTGGTACCGACACATCGACCGATTGGTTGTTATCGACGGCTGGACAGTTGAGGATGGGTTCGACTGGAGCAACACCAAAGCTGTTTTGGTAGAATTGGATCTTGAACTTGTTCATTGGTGCACCTGAAAGATTGAGAAGAGTCAACTCTAGTGATACACGTCCATTGTAACGTGCAAATGCTCCGCTAATCTGGATACCTTGTCCCTTGTCTGATCCTATAAGAATTTGTTTTTGAACTTGTGGTCCACCTCCTTGTTGTTGTTGACCATCAAAACTCAAGAATGATAAATCACTTGGACTCTGTTGTTGTTGTGGTGGTGTCTGTTGTTGTTGTGGGTAACCTCCACCACTACCATATGGTGAATTAAATCCACCACTACTACCTGCAGGTGATCCTAAATCCAAGTCTCCAAGACCAAGATCAATCAAACTACCTTGACGTTGTTGTTGTTGTTGTTGTTGGTTTTGTTGGTGGTGTTGTTGTTGATTACCACCATGTTGGTTGTTGTTATTACCATGGTTATTATGCAAGTTATCATCATCAACATAGTCTGGTTCTTCATCATCTTCTTCATCCTTGACACGGAGACCACGCTTGTTGAGACCCTTGAGCTTGGCGACAAATGTCTCGGGTGGCTTGTGGTAGACCGAGGAGAGGGTAGAAATGTTAGAGACGAGTTCGTTGAGCAACAGGTCGTCGAGTTGGCTGGTAGTGTCGGTGATGAGTGGCTTCTCAGAGAGTACGACAGCCTTGGCAGCCTCAAAGTCGGTCGAGAGGAGACGCCAGTAGACGAACCCACGGTCACGAAGATCAGGGTTATCACTCTCCTGTGTCGACATGTTGAGGACGGTCTGTACCATCTGTTGTGCGTCCTTGGGACGCTTGAGGAACAACTTGACAATCGATGTCAATAGTTGGAGTTGTACCTGACTGCTCTCGTCCTTGAACGACTCGAGGAACGAGCCGAGCAATTCGTGAGCATTGTCGATACGCTCGGCGTACTCTCCAATGATCCAGATCATCGAAGCCTTGGCCTCTGGCTCGTCGAGCGACTCGAGGTTGGCACACAATGTGGCAATGATACCTTCATACTTGCCTGGATACTTTCTAAAGATATCCTTGATGACGATGATGGCTTCTTGCACGACATAGTTGACCTTGGTCTGGATGAGGTCGAGTAGAACCTGGATGCAACGCTCCGAAGAACGTTCAATCTTGATGGCGCAACGTCCGATCGCACGCACAGCCTTGCGCACAAATTCAACGTCCACTTCAGTGGCGTACTCTTTAAACTCGAGCAACACCTCGTCAATGTTCTTCTCGTTGGCGAGCATGATCATGATCTCGAGCTTCTCCATCTTGACGTAGATGGGGTCATTGTACTTGCAAAAGAATACCTTCATCTCGTACTGCAAGATCTCTGGTCTCTTTTGGACAATCAAATTGATATTACGTAATCCCAAAAACTGAATCTCTGGTTCCTTGCTCAACAAAGTAACCAATGGTGGTGCCATCTTTTTACAATACATCTTTACAAAATCTGGTGATTGTACACTAAATAAATAAATAAAATAAACAAATATTAATATCTCTATCTCTATCTCTATCTCTATTATTATCTTTTTCTTTTTCTTTTTCTTCTTTCTTACGTATTTAAATATTTCATTAAAACTTTAACAGCAGAGAGTACAACGGCACTATTGGCATGTTGAAGACGTGGAGCAACACGTTCACAAACACTTTCAGCTTCACGTGAATCTCTTGGAGTGTATTTGCAGAGTGCATTGAGGATGAATACTTGACCCCATTCAGTGCATTCGTTGAGGGCAGCCAATAACTTGGCCAAGTTACCGGCGTGAATCATAAACACTTCGGTCTTGCTGACCTCGTCAATCTCTGTGAGTGAGGCAACTGCATTGGCAACTACCATTGGGTTGGAATCACCCAACATATCGTTTAGAATATCCAAAAATCCTTGATTCTCGACCAACTCTGGGTTGATGTCGTATAGTTTGGCTACACAAACGGCAGCAGTCTTTCTGACGTATGGATCTTGATCCTTGAGACAGAATCTTAATGGTTCGCATAAATACTCTGTAATATTATCAACTCTAATACATCCCATTGTTCTAACTGCTAATGCTCTAATTAATGGATTTGGATCAGATGCATCCTAAATAAATAGATTTAAATATATATTTGTTAATAATCATCATTATGTATAAATGTATGTATGTATAAATGTATGTATGTATTTACCTTTTGGAAAGTGTTTACAGCCAAAATAGCTCTATCTGGATGATTCTTTGCATAGTTCATAACGTAGAGATAGACAAGTTTCTTGAGTTCAAGATTATGTGTTTGCATGCAATTGAGTACGTGTGTAAACAACATACTGACATCCTTGCCAACAGTCATGGCAGCAATAACCTTTTTGACTGCTTCTTTCTTTTTATCTTCCTTTTGTGAAAGTAATTCTTCCTTTAATTCATGTATTTCACCTATAAATATCAAAAAGTAGTAAGTGTTATTTGTTAATATCAAATTTGTATACCTAATACATCATGACTCGACAGTAGTGGTAGGTATCTTTTTCATTTGATTGTTGTTGATCAACAACTAAACTATAAGATAAGCCTGCTGACTACCGTCTACTACTACTATTGCTATTGATTGTTACCTTTTTTGGTTGTTTGAAAGTACTTTGAGTCAGACATTTTAGATTGCTATAGTCTTTCTACAAATTAATAATACAAAAAAAAAAAAAGTTTGATGGTTGGGGTACTATATATTGATCTTCAAATCAATCTCTTTGAATATCTATCTAAATATATGTATATCTAATATTGATGAGAGTGATGTGAATCTAGTCTGCCAACAATTGATTAAGTTGTTAGTTGTTATTGTTAATAACACTTGTCTCAGAGACTTGATTTAATAAATAATATGTTCAGGGTCGCAAGGGTTAAGAAGAGCTTGCAAAAAAAAATAATAAAAAAAATTCAAAAAATTTGGAGGTTCCAATCCTCAATTCTATTTATTGAACTTGTTGTTGTTGTTCAGATTGTGGATTGATGATTAGATTGTTCCAACTCCATTTTAGTACATACCCTTTGGTAATAGTTGTTGAAGTAGTTGGTTTTTGAACAGGTAATAAAAAGGTACGTCTATCAACTGGTTGTCAGCCAACTTGAAAAGTGTTTGCTTGGTTTTTTTTTTATATGAGGAAAATAAATATTTAAATTACTGATGAGGATTTTATTACTGTATTTATTTAAAAGATATTATTAAATTTTATTATTTTATTCAAACACAATAGTAAATAATTATTTTTGAAGAGAAAGAAACTGAAGTTCATTCACCCTAATTTCTTAAAAATCTTGTCATCCAAAATTTTTTTCTTATTTTATCACAATTTAGGGGTCTTTTGATTAATCATTGTATTTGTTGTTGTATATTAGATAGATAGTTATAAAGAAAAGAACAGACAGAATGGACGCATTTGTAAATGATAGTTCAAAGACTGAACTCCCCATCAAAAACTTAAAGACACTCCTTCTCAAACATGAAGACAATCTAGAGAACAACACACAACACCTTGACCAAGTATTGGCTGCTCTCGACCCAAGAACTCAATCTATGGCATATCTTATTGTATTGTAAGTCGTTACTTGGTCATCAATGACATCATCTATCGATACATTCATTCTAATCATCATCATCATCATCATTATTATTATTATTATACTTATCAATTGTAGAAAGGTTAAATGTGGAGATCAAAGAAAGAACGTTCAAAACTTTATCAATCAAGTATCACACTTTTTAAGTTCATTTAATGGAGAACAAATTAGAGTTATTCCACAATATTGTAAGATAGATAGAATATCATAGACAGACATGAGAGAAGACCTTAAAAGTGTCTAATATCTAATATATATTTATATTTCATTCATTTTTATAGTTTCACAAGTATCTAAACACTATGTTGAACAATTATATAACACTAGAGTACCAAGCAGAGGAGTTCTTCCACTCAAACGTGCCGTTTGTGTATTCCCAGAGAAAACCAATACTCTTACTCCACAACACGCCGATTTCCTCCAACTTTGCATCTTGTCCAAGTGCTACCATCAAGCACTCCCCATCATCAGTGAAAGCACCACCAACTTGAACCCAGAACAAACCAACATCAACGTCAAGGATGTATTATCATACTTTTACTATGCCGGTATTATTTTCACTGCTTTGAAGAAGTATAAACAAGCTTTGGAAGCTTTTAGACAAGTATGACGATAAAATAGAATATAGATATAGAATATGAGTGATGGATGATTAATGTTTATTTACTTTTATTTTTGTTTAGGCATGGACAGCACCAGCAACAGCACTTAGTGCAATTGCAATTGAAGCATACAAGAAATATTATTTGGTGTATTTGATGGTCAATGGAACTATCCCTGGATTCCCAAAGTATACACCAACCGTTGTACAACGTACCATCAAGAACCACTGCAAGTCCTACGTAGAATACGGTCAGACTTTTACCGGTGGCAACGTACAAGAGATCCACAACAAGGCATCGGCTCACGCTGAAAACTTCCAAAAGGACAAGAACCTTGGTTTGGTCAAGTTGTCGATTAGATCGATCCATCGTCGTAACATTAAAAAGTTGACTCAAACCTTTATGACCTTGTCACTCAAGGATATTGCCGAACATGTCAAGTTGTCACCTGCCGATGCCGAGACCACCATCCTCAAGATGATCGAAGATGGCGAGATCTTTGCCACCATCAACCAAAAGGACGGTATGGTTTCTTTCAATGAAAACCCAGAGACCTACTCGGGCAACAAGATTCTCAACGAACTCGACACCCAAATCCACAACATTGTCACACTCGAATCTAAATTGACATCCATCAACGAACAGTTTGCTACTAGTCCTGCTTTCCTCAAGAAGATTTTAACAAATGAAAAGAGATCAGTATCTCAATATGATAATGGTATGGAAGATATGATTGCCTAAAAAAACAAAACAGACCCTTTTATTACGAATGGATATATATATCCATTCATTGTGCACATATCAAATTGATTTCAAATCAAATCAAATCATCCTCTTGTTTAATAATAAAAATAATAATAATAATATGTTAATTCAATCATTATCCAAAAAAGAATAATAAATAGATACAACACAATTCTTTTTTTAAAAGATATATATATTTGATTTAATTTATTTGTTGGTTAGCTTTGTACATTGTCAGTGTTATTTTGTTGAGGTTCTTGAGGTTCTTGAGGTTTTTGATTAACTATATTAATATTGACTGCTTTTAATGCATCTAATGCCCAAGATGGACAGTTTCCTTTTGGATATTGCTTGTCGATAAATTCTTGAATGTAGGTTGGGAAACGATTGTCGATGATGGATTGGCGTAGTTGAGACATGAGTGACATTTGGTAGGCAATGTTGTGGTAGGTTAGGAGTTGTCCACCTATGCTTTCCTTGCCGGCTACAATGTGGAGATAGGCACGTGTGTAGTTTTTACAGGTCATACATGTGCATTCAGAGTCGATGGGTGTAAAGTCAGTGGCAAACTCTGATGACTTGAGATTGAGAGATCCAGTTGGTACGAGAGCTGTTCCAAAACGAGCGGTACGTGATGGGAACACGCAATCAAACATATCGACACCTAGAGCAACACATACGACCAGATCGAGTGCGTATCCGACACCCATAAGGTATCTAGGTTTGTTTGGTGGCAGTCTTTGTGCACACTGTAGTACAACACGCCAAAATGCGTCTTTAGACTCTCCACCCGACAATCCACCGATTGCATAGCCCGGGAAATTACGTTGGATCAGTCCGTCGAGACAAATGTCACGAAGACGTGCATCTAGACCTCCCTGTACAATTGCAAATATGTTTTGGTGTTCTGGACGCTTGTGAGCGAGGATGCAACGATCGATCCAACGCAGTGTTCTGTACATAGCCTCTTCGACACGTGGACCGGTGGTAGTCGAGCTGACTACGTCGTCTAGTGCCATCATAATGTCTGCACCGATCGAGTTTTGGATTTGCATCGATAGTTCGGGTGTCAAGATCATAGTCGAGCCGTCGTGTGGCGATTGAAACTCTACACCTTGCTCTGTAATGTTGGCTAGTGATAGCAGAGACACCATTTGGAAGCCGCCAGAGTCTGTGAGCATCGCACGTGGGTAGTTCATAAACTTGTGTAGTCCGCCAACAGCATCCATGACATCGGGACCTGGACGATGCCCCAAATGATATGTGTTGCCGAGCACGACGCCGCAGTTGAGATCGACCAGCTGCTGACTCGTCAGTCCCTTGACCGTGCCCTGTGTACCGACAGGCATAAACATCGGTGTCGTGCATTTATGATGAGGCAGCGTCAGAAACGACGCTCTTGCAGGCCCACATGTAGCCAACACCTCAAATTGAAGTGGTGGGTCGTCCAAAGGATACTTTATGCCTGCAAACACTACATCCTCTTCTTTCTTTTGATATACTTCAGTAGTACTATCCATTATATCGATGAAGTATCTGTATCGCTTGCAAGTAATTGAGTTAATTCTGTCTGATGGGTCTGTCAGCAGCGCGAAAGCTCAGAGACGACTTTTATTTGTTTGAGGGATTGTAACGTTCTTCCAGATGTCATTTTTTTTTTATTTTTTTTTAACATCTCCCCTTTTTCATGTTTGGTTTGTTCATGAAGATGAAGATAACCCTCTATTCTATTGTGTACCCATTTTTGAAACTATAACTATTCTTTCTTTTTATCATACACATTAATCCTAAAACAACAACAACTATAAACAAATACAGCTCAGCTCATCATACTCCCCTACTATTCAAACTAACTGTATCATCTCACCTCACTCAACTATTAACAACAGCAGCAGGTGATACACTCTGTAAAGATAAATTAACAACGCCCACTACAACTATAACTACAACAACCATTCTTCTTTCTTTGTTCATACAATACGATACTACTTCATCTATATTCATTCATTGATAATAATACTTCGGCAACAACAACAACAACAACAACCCTAATCTAATACTCTATTATTATTATCGAAAGATCTTATTTTTCCTACCTTACTATCATTCATTCATACATACATACTTACCTACATATAATATAAACATTAATTTTATTTGGTTTGCTTTCTTCTACGGATCACTCATAATTAGCAACAAATAACAACAACCAACACCTGTAAAGAGACAACAAACAAACAAACAACAAACAACAAACCAACTAGAACTACTACAATTAACTAAATCAAGAAAAATGAGTTCTACACCAAAGCAACAACAGTAAGTATTAATAACTTGATGATTACTGGTTACCAATACTAGTATTCATTTACGACGACTCCACATTTACCACTACGGATAGAGTAAACATTGTGCTTGACACACAGATAGAGAACATCACACACATCGCCCCATTAAATTTGTTTTTTTTTTTTTTTCTATTTTCTTTCTAAAAATATCTCATATATTTCATCGTGTTTCTCTATCCGTTTTGGTATCATCATGTGATCTTCATCTTTCATCATTTAATATTAACTCATTTATTATGTCTACTTCTACTACTACAAATAATAATAATAATAGAATTGTTGACGACAACAATTGGAAATCAACTTTAATATTACCACCAAAAGACGAAAGAAAGCAAACAGAAGATGTCACTGCAACTGAAGGAAATGAATTTGATGATTTGCACTTAAAGAGAGACCTCTTGAGAGGTATCTTTGAAAAGGGTTACGTAAAACCATCCCCCATTCAAGAAAAGGCTATTCCAATTGCTCTCGCCGGTAAGGATATTATGGCCAGAGCAAAGAACGGTACCGGTAAAACTGCCTCCTTCCTCATTCCAGCATTAGAAAAGACTGATCCAACTAAAGATTATATTCAAGGTAAATATAAATAGATAAGAAACATACATTCGTTATAACTATCTTTATCTAATTATTTATTTTACTCGTTTAGTTTTAATTTTGGTTCCAACAAGAGAATTGGCTTTACAAACATCACAAGTTTGCAAGGAATTAGGAAAATATATGAACGTAAAGGTTATGGCAACCACAGGTGGTACCAGCTTAAAGGATGATATCATGAGATTATATGAAACTGTACATATTTTGGTCGCCACTCCTGGAAGAGTTCTCGATTTGGCCCAAAAGAATGTTGCCAACCTTTCAAATACACATACCATCATTATGGATGAAGTAAGTAAAAAAGAAAATTAAAATAATAATAATATTTAATATATTAACAATTCTCTTTTTTTCTTTTTATTTTTAGGCTGATAAACTTTTGTCACAAGATTTCCAACCATTAATTGAACAATTGATCAACTTCTTACCACCACAACGTCAAATTCTTTTGTTTTCAGCCACATTCCCATTGACCGTCAAGACCTTCAAGGACAACTATCTCCAAAAAGCATACGAAATCAATTTGATGGAGGAACTAACCTTAAAGGGTGTCACCCAGTACTATGCCTTTGTTGACGAGCGTCAAAAGATCCATTGCCTCAACACACTCTTCTCTAAACTCCAAATCAACCAATCCATCATCTTTTGTAACTCTGTCAACCGTGTCGAGTTGCTCGCCAAAAAGATCACCGAGCTCGGATACTCTTGCTTTTACATTCACGCCAAAATGCAACAAGCTCACCGTAACCGTGTCTTCCACGACTTTAGAAACGGACATTGCCGTAACTTGGTCAGTTCAGATCTCTTTACCAGAGGTATCGATATCCAAGACGTCAACGTTGTCATCAACTTTGATTTCCCTAAACACTCTGAGACATACCTCCATCGTATTGGTCGTTCTGGCCGTTTCGGTCACCTCGGTCTCGCCATCAATCTCATCACCTATGAGGACAGATTTTCACTCCACAAGATTGAACAGGAATTGGGTACTGAAATCAAGCCAATTCCTCCAGTCATTGACAAGTCCCTCTACGCTGTCTAAAAACTCATACCATCAAAAAAAAACTATATTATCATACAATATATTTTTTAAACAATTAATTCTTCTATAGTCATCTAACAACAATTTACACAAACAATCAAATAATAATAATAATCAACAAATAATAATAATAATCAACAAATAATAATAATCAACAATAATATGCATAAAGAGACTATAAATGATCATCTCATTATTAACACCTCCACCAACATTGTCACCACCCACCCAATCACTCACCCACCACTACTATTACAAATAACAATATAATAATAATAATAATAATAATTATAATAATAATAACACCGCCACTCCATGTATATAGTTTATATATATATATTATATGTATATAGATAGATTTCTCTTTGCAAAATTTTCATTCATTTCTTATTTCCTCCTAATCAATCAATTGCAACAAACAATAACAATATAATAATAATAATCAATAATAATAATAATAATAATAATCAATAACAACTTACCCAGGAAATCAAGAGAACATTTATATATATTATTTATTTCCAAACCTATCAAACCCCCCCTCCCCTTTCACCTTTCAACCAAAGTTTAACACCTAACCAAAAAATATAACCAAAAAAAAAAAGAAAAAAACAAATGTTAATACTTTGGAATGTAAGATACCTTTATCCATCCATCACCACCGTTATAGAAAAAAGAAACCTTCTCCAATTGAGAGAGATATTCGATCATCATTACCATCTAACCAACAGGAAAAGTAATTACAAGGCACAAATCATAACCTTTTGCCATTCACCATCCACCATCCACCACCCACCAACCAATCAACCAACTTTCTAACTATTCAATTATTCTTTATCTGACCTTGATTCTGAAATGAATCATATTAACACCCTCCACTCACCCCTCAACCAAATTCGCCGACAAACTACTATATAAAGAATAAGATTAAACATGACACAATAAAATTAAACTTCACCTCCCCCCAAACAAACAAAAACTACTACCTGTATTAGATTCTTTGAGTATATCAATTTATTTGATTTTGGAAAATTTGATTTTGTAGTGGTTTGCATTTCTGAGTTTTAAAAAAATTGGATTTTTTTAGATGGCACATTGGGTCATTGTTTTGGTATACATCATATTTTATATGGCATAAATCCATGGATTTTAACCAGACAAAATAAAAATGCTATGGTATCATTCCACGGGATGATACCATATTAAAAATAAAAATAGTATGAGACCGTTTAAATACAAAAGTATCATTCCACGGAATGATACCATATTAAAAATAAAATACTATGGTATCATTCCACGGAATGGTCCCGACAAATAGAAGCAAAAAATCAATCTTTCTTTTACAGTATAAAGTTATACAGTAAAAAGTTTCAGACGACGTGGGTGGAAGAATTATTTTTAAAAAGACGTCGATGGGGAAAACTATTTTTTTCCAAAGTTAATTTTAGATCGTGTCCTCTATTTAATCAGAATTTTAAATAACTTAGTATGAGACCATTCCTTAGAGAGATACCTCACATTGATATGGTATATATCATATTTTAAATCGACTCGATTCATTATTTTCGACTAGAAATTCTTTTGGTTTAAATTTTTTTTGATTTTAATTTTTTTTGTTCGAATTTTAACACAGAACTTTTGCCCCAAGACTATCTTTCTTTATTTTGTATAACTACTTGATTATACAAATAATAAGAGTATTTTAGTAGAGAGAAAAAAAAAAACCATTTTTTAAAAAGAGATAAAGAGCTTAAAGAAACTATTCATTATATATAGATATATATATTTATGTTAGTTAAACTATAACAATTGTATGTTTGCTATCTATTATCTATTATTCTTCTTTCTTTTGAATATCTGATCAAATACAACAGTTTTAAGATCTTAAAATCAAATTTAATTGATTTAAAGAGAATATATTCAATCATAAGCAACATGATTGCCATTTATTGATTAAAAAAAGAGTATAAAGAATAGTTGATAATCATTTATATTTTTTACTCATACTAAAAAAAAGTGAATAAATTCACTAAACTTTTGACTTTTTTTTTGATTTCAGTTCAGGTAATTTTTTTTTTTTTTTTTTGATGTTTAATTTTTTTTCTCATCACGACCTTCTAATCTTTTATTTTCGAAAGAGATATACATGTATAAATATAAATATAATAAACTAGTTAATCTTGAAAAGGATAGTAACAAAACAAAAGAGTGTACGAACCAAGATCAAGATGAAGATGAAGAAGAAGAAGAAGAAGAAAGTTCAAAGATAGAGCAACCTAGACACAACAAGAAAGATCAACAATCACAAGAAACAACTGGTGGTGCCAACAATACCAAAGGAACAGATATAGGACACTGTAAACTTTTATCAATTGTAAAGAATGAAAAAGGATTTTATATGGTTGGCAATGGCAAAGGGTTGAGATCAACATCGGGTACTTTTACAAAGAACATGTATATCCCAAAATATGACAAAAGGGTATCAATACCCATAAAAAGATATATGAATAAATAATAATAATAATTACTTTTGTCCGATAGCTTTGGATACAAGTGTTTGAAATAAATGAAAAGGACCCATTAATCTACAGTTTTACCATGATTTCATTTCCCACTTTGAATATTCCCCATTTTTTTTACAATGGGTATCGTACAATGTATTGACACGGGCAGTTAATTCTTAATCCCCAATACCAATAAAAATTATTATCTATTTATTTTCTTTAATCTTTTTGATTCAAAAAATTAGAGATGTTTTTGAATTTTGAGCGCCAAATGAAGTTGTGAAGATCCTATCCTTTATTCAATTTTTTCATTTTTTTTGCACAAAACTCATACCTCTACTTTTAAATAGCCACCTATCTATGAAATGATCAACATAGATATCAAAGAAGAACTAAAAGACAGCACTACAACTGAGACGACAGTCTCATCTCAACAACAAACACAGTCACAGTCACAATCACCATCATCACAAGTACCACCGCTATCACCATCACCTAAAGCGAATCATGGGTTTCTTGTGGTCGGATCAATATCTGTCCCATTGATCAAACATACATCGATCATAGGATCAGAGTTTGGTTGTAGAATCAGAATCAAACAGGAATTTGTAGGACCGAAACATGCATCGGTGACAGTCACCAACGGCAAGGTCATGCTCAAGGCACTAGCTCTTGACAGTCCAAACTACTCTGCTCTCAAGGTAGGCACCGACAAGGTGGCCTGTGATGAAGAGGTAGAGATTAAAGAGAATCAAGTGTTTTACATTGGTGAAAAGTCAATGTACTATAGCTTGAAAAAGGTTGAAAATCAAACGATGAGCCCTTCAAAGAAAAAGGCTATTGACGAGGCTGAACATACCAAGAGGCTGCAACAAGAGGCTGAACAAAAGAAGAAAGCCGAAGAAGAGAAAAAGGCAAACAAAAAGAACAAGTCCAAGAAGAACAAGACTCAGCCAAGACCATCATCTCAAAAGGCAACAGGAGAAGGAGGAGAGGAGAAAAAGGTTAAAAAGACACCGACCAAGGAAAAGAAACCAATCTCTTTTGTTCCAAGCCAACCTAAAACGGTTTCCGTTGAAAGGGACGAGAATGGAATCTACCATGCAGGCTCTAATAAGGGACTTACAAGTGAATCAAAGTCTTTTATGAAGCTAATGTATGAACCAGAGAGAAAAAAAAGACTTTCAAAACCTGTTATCAAATTTGATGGTAAAAATTAGATATAACTTATATAATATTAATAATAATAATGAATGAACGAATGAAAAGGAATAAATAAAAACCATTCTTCTTCTTACTCTAAATTAATTGTACCCATTCCAGCATTTTGGGATTAAAAAAAAAAAAATTAAAATAAAAATAAAAAAAAAGACTTGAATGATCTTTCATTGTTCGCTTCAAGAACTATATAGTTTGTGTTTAGATTAAAAGACTATTAGTGCAGTATAGAAGAATGTCATTCATTGCTAGAAGAACATCAACCAACATCTACAAGTCATTTGTTAGATCATACAGTGTATCTGTAAACAATGATGCAAAGTATATATCATCAACAACAGCGCGATCATTCATTCAACAATAAGATTTACAATTAGTTAATGTTTAGAAAGAGGATCAAGTTTGAACAAGATAGGATATTCATACAGATGATTCTATTCTATTCTATTATCTGATTTATAAATCAATCGATCAATATATTATATTTATTCACACCTTTATTGTTACTTTTCTAGATTATTGGATATCATTAACAAGGATTCGACTGAAGCATCATTGAACAAGGTATTTTCAGAAATCAATGATACCACTGGTTCAGCAGTATACAACACTTTGATTGATCGTTATGCAAAGCTCAATCTCGATGGACAATGCATGAGAGTATACAATGCATCAAAGATGAGAAATGTCCCAGTTAGCGATTCTGCCAATAAAATCATCGAAGAACAATGGGAAGACAAGAATGTAAAGGAAGAAGATGACGATTTCTCTTCATTGGGTCACATTAGAGAAGACTTTTTGAAATACAAGGAATCAAAGACCAGAAGACCATGGTTAAATTAAATTAGAATTAATAATAATAGAAATAATAATAATATATATGAATATTTGTAATAAAAGAAAGAAAAAAAACACTTAAAAACAATCTAAAACAACAAACTATTAATAATGTTGGAAATAATTATAATAATAATAATAATAAGATAGTATTATTGTGATGAACAATATTTATTTATTTATTTTTCAAAAAAAAAGAAAAGGAAAATAATTATTTGTTTTCCAAATTAAATAATTTGGATTCTATATCCTTCCATGTTTACCTGTTTTTTTTTAGATCAAAAAAAAAAGAGTATACTTTTTAGAGTTGGTGGTGGATCTATAATGATTGTATGGTAGACAGTCTAGATTGTTGTTGTTGTTTAACAACTAGGGGGTGTGAACATTTAAATTATTAATTAATCAACCAGCTAGAGTGTTGTTTGATGTTTGTATAGATTCCTAAATTATTAATTATTTTGTTGTTGTTATATTGTTGTGTGATTATTATTTTTTACTATTTTGTTGATCATTATTATTATTGTTATTATTTTGATTATTTGGATAATCTTGAGATAATTCATTTAAACTTAAACTAAATGATTGACTCATTGGCATGTAATAACCAGGAGCATTTTGTGATGATTGTTGTGAAGAAGAAGAGGAGGAGGATTGTTGACTGAAACCATTGATTGATTGAGATCCGTCATAACGAAGAGACATGTTGTTCATGTTTTGAGTAAGACGTTGAGTCGAATTATAGGATTGACTTGGACCACCTGAAGAGGGCATTCCACGTGGACCACCACCAGCATTTTGTGGGTATCCACCCATAGATGGATAGAAACCACCGCCGCCACCACCAGAGGGAGGTTGATAGTATTTTGGTGGTCTTTGACCATAGACCATATTTTGTGCGTATTGTGGGTCGATTTGGTGTGGCTTGAGGTCACCAGGTGTAAACATGACGGCACCGGCAACTGGGAGCTTACCCTCACCGTGGATCTTTCTTGGCTTTTGGAGGACGACACTGCTCTGCTTGAGATTCTGCAAACCACCCTCGACCAAAACCTCGTTGGCCTTGAAATGAGAGATGAGGTTGTTCCAGAGAAGGTCACGTGAGAGGACACGAGCATTACCGAGGATGATGAGACCGTAACGAGCACGGGTGAGAGCGACGTTGAGACGACGTGGGTCTTGGAGGAAACCAATACCTTGATTCTCGTTGGAACGGACACACGAGAGGATGATAAAGTCTTTTTCACGACCTTGGAAAGAGTCGACACTGGCTACTTCAATCTCTTTGTACAGGTCGCTTGGGAGACGACCGGTACGTTGCATATTGTTGACGAGGAACGAACGCTGGCCTTCATAGGGTGTGATGATACCAATTTGCGAGGGTTTGGTACCGAGTTCGAGGAAACGGGTGACAATCTTTTCGCATAGTGTAGCTTCGGTACGGTTGATAAAGGAGGTACCTGACGACGAGATTTCTTCGTGTCCAGTAGAGTTATGGAAAAACATAGGACGGTTGGGATGTGGCCACACAAAACCATTGTTGGTGACACGGTCACGATACGATATTTCATTAACCAACTGACCTTCGTAGAATGTATTGGAAGGGAACTCGCTGAGTGCAGGATGCATACGATACTGTGTAGTGAGACGGAATGGGTGGTGACCGAGATGAATAAGACGTTCAAACAGCGATAATGACAAACCGGCTTCTTGAACCTTTTTACAGAGTAGTACTGGACCCAATTGACAATGATCACCGACCAACACGACTTGTCTTGCACCCAATACCAATGGAATGAGACACTCTGGCTCGGATGCCTGAGTAGCTTCATCAATCAAGACATACGGGAACTTGATATCCCTCAAACGTGGGTCACCAGCACCGACACACGTTGTGCAAATGACATCTGCCTCTTTGAGGATATTACGCTCTAGCGATCCCTTGAGAACCAAAAACTTACGCTCGTCTTCTGGATTCAACTCGCCAGTCTCCTCACGCAACGCCTTGAACTTGCGCAACACACCCTTTCCATACTGGTCGAGTTGAGCAACCTGGTGATGCAAGGTGAGATTCTCGACAGGCGAAGACACCTCCTCACGCAACTTGCTGCAGAGACGGACGACCTTGAGTCCGACCGAGTGCAACTTGCCAGCAAGCTGGTCGATAGCAACGTTGGATGGAGCACACACCAACAGCTTTTCCTTACCCTTGATGCCGTGGTTGACAAGATGATGCACGAGGAATGCCGATACCAACGTCTTTCCAGTGCCTGGTGGACCTTGGATAAGAGAAAGTGGTGATTTCAATACCGAGCAAGCAGCCGATATTTGTGATGCGTTCAATGGTGGGAGACCGGGCAACACAAAATTGGTTGGTTGTGGAACAGTCACCTTGACCTTGGTGGCATCGGGTTGATGACCTAAAAGTGCATGATAGAGATAACTAGATATAGCATCTTGCTTGATAGCAAATGCCTTTAGAGCAATAAGAATTCTATCAAATGAAGTCGATCTCCACACCATATCAATCTTGAATTTAGACTTTGATTTGTTGGGTGGATTATGATTGTACAACTCTAATGTAATCTCCATACTTGCTTCACTCTCTTCATCGATTCTTGTAATTCTACCAGATGATTCCCATGGTTCTGGATAATCTCTATCTCCTTTAAAACTAACTTTTAATTCATCTCCAACTACTACTTTAAATTCTAAAAGAATAAATAAACAAACAAAATTAATTAATAAACAAAGTTATATCTATCTATTTCTATCTTTGCTTACCAAAATCAGAACGAGAAAAAGAAAATTGAGCAAACCATTTACTTTTACTTAGACCTTGTTCCCAACGAATATTTACATCATCTTGAGTAAGAGATTCACGCATTAATTTCTCATAGTCTGATTCCATTTTAATGAGTGGTGTGATGATTTCTTGATATTGGTAGGCGTCTTCATAACGAAGGAGTGTGGGTAGGAGGGTGGTTTCAGCGCCGTGGTGCTCGACTTCGAGCAGGGTGGCGTTGGGGTCGACCTTCCAGTCCTCTTCGAGCTTGGCAATCTGGATCATTGAAATTTGACGGGCACGTTCTTGGTCATTCTCTGATGGTACTTTAACCAACCACGACAAAAAGTGACGATCACCTCCATTGACGAGTGGCACCCATTTGGAGAGATCCCAATTGGGGTTGTCCTTGGACGATGCCATTGCACATGGGTCACGACACAATAGGATGACAACCGACTCGGTCTTGGCGGGGATAAAGCCGAGAAGAAAGATGTTTCGACAGCCGCAGTTGTAGCACTCGAGTACTGCATCGCCAAACGGACTGTCGCTATGTAATGAGATTTCATTGTGCTTTGCCTTGACAAGATGGTTGACAATGTGTGCCGACGACGTCTTGCCTCTTCCATTACAAAACCATTTGCCACACGACGAATTGGAGCAACGCACCACTGTCAACGGGTCGTGTAATCCACAGTATCGACATGCGTGTGGTGGAAGATCGACTTGGATCGTATCCAAATCTTCGGGATCCTCAAATGTCAGCTGAGACATTGGAACACTTCCATTTTGTGAAGACAAGAAATCACCTCCGCCACCATGTCCATGATGATGACCACCATGTCCACTACTTGGATGAAAGGTTTGAGAAAAGTTTTGTGACGATTGTGTCGTTGCAATATGAGTCTCTACTGTTCTCGATGTATGATGAATTGGTGTTGAAGGTGATTTTGATGATATTGGTGACTTATTATTATTATTATGATTATTATGATTATTATAATCGGGATGATTGTTTTTGGGTGGTCCTACATATAGTCCATGCCTTTCTATAACCGCACCATGAAATGGACCACCAATAGCTCTTTCTAGATGATCATCTTGAGAACTTTGACTGGTAGAATCAAAGTCTAGATAGTTGAAATCTTGACTTTCTCCACTCGATGGTTTTGCCTCTAGATTTCTATTATTATTATTGTTATTATTGTTATTATTGTTATTGTTGTTATTATTCCCATGGGATATATCTTGTGATAATCCATACATTCCAAATAACTATATATATCGTATGCTTGGATTGATTATTGTATCAATCAAGCAAGCAAGCAAAAAAAGGTGTCTACTTTTTGTTTGAATAAAAGTACTTATATAGATGATAGATAGATATCTTCTTATATAAGATAGATAAATAGAACTATTACTTTATACTGTTTGCCACCACTTGATACAACTACTACTATTTATATTTTAAATATCAACTCTAATACTACTTTTATCAACAATATATATTATTGATAGTATCGTTGTTGACAATCGTATGTATCTTGGCTAGATAGGAGGAGGAGTATGATGAGGAGGAGGAGGAGTATAATAGAATAATTAAATCTACTAGAGAGTTGATATAATTAAAAGGGAGGGGAAGAAGTTGAAGATGTGAGAACAAAGTAACTTCAAGTTAGAGGAGGTGTAGGAGTAATGAAAAAAAAAAATAAAAATAAAAAAAGAAAAAATTTAAAAAATCAATTTTGGACACATCAGACGAAAGACACGACAAACATAGTGCGTTATCTCTCTCCTCTCTCTCTAACACGTTATCTATATATTATCTACTTATACTTTTAGATTTAAGATGGTTAAACAAACAGATAGAGTTCGTGAATTGAACGAACAAGGATACAAGAGTGGAAAGAAATCAGATCATAATATTTCAGAATTGATTCAATCAAAAGATCAACTATGGTTAATGAAATTACCAAAGAATGTATGTCTATATTATATTATGTTATCACATGTTGAGTAGTAATAGAATGAAACTAATGTATGTTATTCAATATATTGAACATGTTATATAGTTTGATATAAATGATTTGAATGGATTACAATTCACATCATCGATTAATAATATAAAGAGTGATGGTACATCGATTGGAGACAGTAAATATACAATCACACAAGAGAAAAACATTGAAGAGATTCAATCATTGGTCAATGTTTGGTATGAAAAGGGTAGTCAGGGTGAAATGAAGATAGGCATTCCATTCTCGAAATATATAACCGTCGAAGAGACCATCGATATTCCCGAAACAACCGCCACACTCGAACCAACAAAGAAAACAATTCAAGATCTCTCTGAATTAAAGGGTGCCTTTAGACCACCAGGTGGAAAATATCAATTAAATAATACAATTCCACAAGATGTTTTGGAAAAGATGAATAAGAAAAAGAAGAAATCAACATCGACATCGACTACTTCAACAAAGAAACAACAACCAAAACAACAAGTAGAAGAAGAAGAAAAATCAAGTAAAAAGAAAAAGTCATCAAAGAAGGATGACAAGGAAAAGAAATCAAGTAAAAAGAAAGAAGAGTCTGATGAAGAAATGAAGGAAGTTGCATCAGAAGAGGAGGAATCAACTAAAAAGTCAAACAAAAAGGATAAGAAAAAGAAATCATCTAAAAAGGATGAATCTGAAGAAGAGGAAGAGGAAAAAGAAACTAAAAAGAAATCATCATCATCAAAGAAGGATAAATCAGACGACAAGAAAAAGAAGAGAAAGGAAATGGATGAAACTGACCAAACTCAAGAAAGAGAGAAAAAGAAAAAGAAATAAATAAATTATAATATATCATCCATTTTTTTTGTTTATATATATAAATATAAATACATGAATGAATGATTGTCCATTCATTACCAAAAGAATAATATTGGTTTACATGTTTTGTTTTGTAAGTTTTATTAAAATAAATAATTATTATTATTATTATTATTTCTGTCCATCCCCCCCCTATTATTATTATTTAATTGATTGAGATGCTGTTGGTGACGATGGTTGAATAATAATATTTGGATAATTAATTTCATCAAGTTCTTTGTGAAGTTTAGTTATACATCCTGCAGCATCTTTTGGTTTTGATAGACAACATATCCAATATACACCAGATGGAACACCTCTAGAATGTACTATATCTCTTATATCAGAATGTACATTACATGATTTCTTTGAATTCCTACATTGTCTATATTGTTTACCACATCCTGCACATTGTCTCCATCTCCAAAGATCACAATATACTCTTTTCCATCTAATAATATTATTTGTTTGTTGTTGTTTATGACTCGAAGAAGAAGAAGAAGAAGAAGAATGATGTGTATTTAATATGGCTTGAATCGATTCTTTGTTTGCCCACCATTGAATTTCTCTTGCTATTAATTCCCTCCATAAAGTATTATCTCTTCCAACATTATACCAATATTTACATGTTTCTAAATAAATCAAAATAAATAATTAATACACACACATATAATTAATTAAATATCATTAATTAGTTTACATACTTTGGATTGAAACGATATCACGGAATCCAAGAAAACTTAAAACCAATAATTGAATTTCTTGTGACAAACCACTGAATGACATTTGATGATGATGATGATTATCATGATCCAACAATACATTATCATTATTATCATATATGTAATCTTCTATTTGTTGTTGTTGTTCTTCTTGGTCGTCATTATTATTATTAATAGTTGGATTATTATTATTATTAATTTCAAAACAAAGTGAATCGACCATATCAACATTTTTAAACATTTTGTATGTGATTGTAACAGCCTTCCTACTTCCACTCTGGCATCCACCACTACCATTATGATCATGACATGATGATTGTCCAATTTCTGTTGCTGCTACAAGTGATGGTCCATCATCTCCACCATTGATTAAATTGTCTATTTGATTAATTTCTGTTACAGTAACATTATAATTATTATTGTTATTATTATTATTATTATTACTTGATGAAAAGAATGTTCTTATTCTTTGTTTTCGTCGTGATGATGGATCTTTTTTCTTTGATAGAGTCTGTCCCATTTTTGGTAGTATGATTGTCTTTGTAAAAGAAATAATAATAATAACTACTTTAATTAATTCCTCCTTTTAGTTTAGTTTAAATTGTTTCTTTTAAGAAAATATATATTTGATTGTGATATATAAATGAAGAATATTTAATATTATTTTAATATATAATATATAAAATGTGAAGAATGTGAAGGAAGAGCAAAATAGTATAGTACAGTAAAGTATATCTATCAACAGTAGTAAGTATAATAAGTATAATATATAGTAAGTTGTACTAGTAGTAAGTAGTAGTAGTTGTAGTAGTAGATTAATATAACAAATAAATAAATAAATAAATAAAGATAGTGGTTGGTAGTTCTTATTATTCTCTCTCTCTACTATTATTTTATCTATCTTTTAATAATATTATTATTATTATTATTTAATATTAAACAACATCACCCGCCGATCACTAATAACATTGTTTTACACACCCTCTCTCTCTGCTCTAAACATTATTACTCTCCCCAATTTTAAACACTTGTTGAGTAAGAGGGATGAGTTAATAATTTGAGTAAAATCAAAAGAGTAAAAAATTTCTTTGAACTTCTGTCTGCGAACCAACAATCACAAAACTAAACTATTTTTAAACTATACGAATTTGATGGATCTATCTATCATTGTTGTTGCTTATTAACTAATAAATAATGACACAAGTGTCCAATGCTAAACTTCAAACAATGACATTCCTTTAAAAAGCTATTCAAGTTAGATCTATTTAAAGAAAAGTAAATATATTTAATATGCCTTTTATTATTATTATTATTATTTTAGAGATTGTACAATTATTTATATATTATTTATATTATAGAGAGTTTTAAACTAAAGTTAAATAGCCAAATTTAGAAGGTACATGGAAACATGGGGGAGATTCGTCGGTCGGGTGCCACGCGCTGTACTCTTTATAAGAACCTAATGGAGTATCTATACGAAACATATTGATTCTAAATTGTGATCCAGGTTTGATGGGAGTTGGTGGTGATACTCTGGATGCCTTATCGATGAGATTGAATGGGATCAAGAGGTAACCATTCCAGCCTTGACTATTGATGGTTGCATTGTAGATGATTCCACTTTGTCCGCAATCGACTAGGGTGTCTTCGATACCATTGCAGACACCATTTGGATTTACGACATAGGTGACAAACAGAACACCATGTGGTGACAATTCAACCTCGAGATAGTAGGTTGGTGCTTCATCGGTAGAATCACTCGACAAGAACACCTCGAATACATCGGCGTTAAAGAGGTCTTGATTGCATTGTGTGTATGGTGATTGAATGTTATCGTCGGCGCAGTTGGGTATAAATTGAATACCTTCGTCAGTGTAACATAGTCCTACGAATGTTTGTTGTATTGCCAACGAGCTATTGTCATCTAATCTAAATCCATTGACATAGGTCTGTCCTGCCAACGAGCAGTTTGGTACTTCTATGTGTTGTGATCGGCCAGCATTGATCATCATCAACATGACAGTCACAACTACAATAATAAATAATCTATAATAATACATCTCTATATCTATCTAGTTATCTATCTATATCTATCTCTTTGGTTTCAAAAAAAAAGAATGAGATACTTTTTACTCTCTCCTGTGTCGCTGACTCTCGGAGATACATATAAAAAAATCAAACAAAAATAAATTTTATGCCAGCACATACATGGATATATCCTGGGGTTGGGTTGATTCGTCGATCGAATGATTGATTGATTGATTGATTGACAAACACACACTGTTTTTGGTAATGTGGTTGGATGATCGTCACCATCCAAAAATGTGTCACTTAACATATCGAATGGTAAAGATGATGATGATGATGATTGCTACTGGGGTGTACCCAGAATTTATTCGTATATTTATTGATCTTCTCTTTCACCGATCATTACTATTACTACTAACTACTGCAGTCCAACACACTCTCTCTTGATCTTGTCGAGCACAATACTGGCCCAGCCAGCCACAGTCACAACAACAATGTGTGGGGGTGTCAATGAAGGTGTAGTGTTAAAACAACAAACAACAATAAATAAAATATAAATGAGGAAAGAGAAAAAAGCGTGTGCAAATTGCTTTCGTGGTCAAGAACCAAAGATCCACCGACACTGCAAAAACCCTCCAAAGCTCTCATTGATGCCCTCACTCTTTTTGTTGTGATCTCGCTTCAAAGCAGAACTTGCTTACGTCTGCACATTGCTTTTTTTTTGATTTTTTACTTTTTTTGTTTTCTTCTCTCTTCATCTTCCCTCCTTTCTCTCCTTTAGCTCTTCATAGTGTAAACTAAACTACTCGTGTCTCTATATTCTCTCTCTATCCTCTCTCTAGAACGCAAATCTATACACTTTAAACACACACACACACACACACACACACAGACAAGATAGAATATAATACATCACCAAAGATATAACAAGCTTAATAGATACGAAAAAAAAAACAAAAAAAAAGATCATCATTTTTCCGATTCCAACAAAAAAAAAAAAAAAAAACAAGTACTTCTCCTCAAACAACAATATAAGAGAATAAAATTTATTTTTAGCAAAAGGTAATAATAAACGCACACACATACATACATTCACACAACACACACAAACAAAAGATATCTTTTTGCAAGTCAAAGGGTAAAGGAAGGTACCCTCATCAACCCACCCACCATCCACTATCATTGTTTGGCCCACTCTGAGAGGAGAGTCATGTTTGTTTGTTATTTATTAGAAGCATGGTGCAATGGATGCGCTATAGTACCATCGATCATTTTATTGGCCGATGTCCTTTAGCACTTCTCGCGGACAACAGTACAAAGGTTTATCAATCAACCAGCTACAACACCAATAGATCTTTTGATTTTTTTGGACAATGATGGTTTGTTTTGGGTGTTTGCTCGTTTTTGAAAAAAACCCTTTGCTCATCTATTTTCGAAATACAATGACAAGAGAGGAGTTTTGTTGTTGCCCTAACCCTCAATCGACCATACCAACTAGATGAGAGAGGGGGGCAGCCATATGACTATGTCTCTCACATAACCTTTATTGTAGTGTGGTGGATCCACAAGCAACTCAAAAGGCTCTCTATCCACATCTCCTTGTTTTTTTCTTGTTGTTGTTGTTGTTGTTGTTGTTGTTGTTTGACAGTCAAAAGAAAATATTTAGAGTTACACGCGTACATAAGTAGTAACTATTTATAATCATTATCTACCATCACACTGATTGCATTAAGATTTAACCTTTTTTGTATCTCTGTACTCAAACACACACAACATACACCCAACACACACTGTTTTGGTTGTACAAAAGTTAAAAATATCTTTTACCCCCATTAAAACAACCCAACACACTATTACCATCACCGTCACTCAACACCAAAAAAAAACAAAAGGGGCTCATCCCAACCCAAATTTCGAAAACCTCAAAAAGGTGTGAGACCCTAAAAATTAATATCGTGAACTTTCTTTTCTTTTTTTTTTTTAAAATTAATAGGAATTCTTTTACACAATCAACCAACAATCAACCATCAACCAGTCCTGAACCTCAACACTTTTAATTGATCAATTGGACCACCACCATCTGACATACATACAGTACTAATATTATATTAGACAAGAAGATATACAAGTCAGACTCCCAACAACAACAACAAAAATAGCGTCAACTAAAAAGAATTTAAAGATACAGCAGCAGCAGCAACAGCAGCAACAGCCACAACAGTCAACTGATAAAATGACAGGAGGAGTGGAAATAGCCACATCACAACATACCCACCCCCATGGGCACCATAGCCATAGTCATAGCCATCATCATGGAGGTGGATACCAAGACTGGTACCATTCTAATGGTGGTGTAGCCTATTCTAACCATGGTGCTGGTTCCTATAATATCCAACATGGAGAACACTCTGGTAGCAGCATCCCATACAACACACCTACAGTCATTGGATTCGATATCCAGCAACCGTTACCACCTATTCCAGGCGCCGCCAACCAACATGTTGGTGGTCACCACCCATCACACTCTTCGCACCACCATAATATACATCATCACCATCATCAGAGCAGCTCACCTGTTGAGATTGCCGGTGCCTATATGATCAACATGCCGCCATCTTCGTCAGACTATCCATCAGCCCAACAAGTCCAATATGAGATGAGCTACGCCCAACCTTTTAGCGACCCCCATTCACCTATTAGCGCCGGCCAACACTATTCGTCACCCGACCAAGCCAACTCGTACTACAACCAGTCTACCCCTGCCTCACCCAAGGACTACCAAGGTCACGGTGGATACCAACCCAGCAGCGGCTACAGCCCATACTCTGATGAACACAAGTTACAGATCCATCCAACATCGACCACCTCTACGTCTACCAACACTGCCAACATCACTCAATCTGGTATCAGTCCAAGTTACGAAGGGTCAGATAGCTCCAACGACGATCTCGACTGCAAAGAACCCAACAAGAAGCGTGTCCGTGAGACTATTGATATCTCTGGTCAATCGATTCTCACCAAAGACCAAGTACTCCAATTGTCAAGCAGAGAGATTGAAGAGTATGTCTACCGTCTCAAACAAACTCATATTCTCACACCGGCCCAAGAAAAGGATTTGAAAAAGTTCCGTCGTCTCATCAAAAACAGAGAATACGCCTCACAATCACGTGACCGAAAGAAACTCTATGTCAATCAAGTCGTCGATCAACTTGAAAAGTCTGAATTAGACTCTAGACAATTAAAGTCACAATTATTGGCAGCTCAAGCCGAGGTTCGTGAACTCAAAAAGCAACTTGAAATGGTCAATCAAACCATTCACAATAATCCATCACTCCTAGAAATATTTGGTAAATTCTTTACTTTTGGTGGTAGTTCTTCAACGGTTGCTCCAACTCAAGACAAGACCACCACCACCACCACCACTACTACTTCATCTGAAAGTGGTACCACTAAAAAGGCATCATCGGTTGCCTTGTTTGTATTTTTCTGTATATTTACTTTTACCTTTTTATTACCTGTTCAACCACCAACTATTTCAACAACTATTACCAAAGGGTATGTATTCATACAACAATATTACAATATTTAATATTATCAATATTATTTTTTTGATTTGCAAACTAATTCTTTTTTCTTTTTTCTTTTTTCTTTTTTCTTTTTTCTATTTTCTATTTATTATCTTTAGTAAAACATTTGTTGGACCAAGAAGTTTATTACAAGATGATATTCCAATTCAAATTGAAGTTAGTGGTGGTGAAAAGGGAATCAGTTATTGGACACAAACCAAAAATTGGATTTCTAATCTATTCCCATCGTCGTCACCTACCATCACATCATCAACTTATTCAACTAAATTGGTTGAAGAGTTGGAACAATCTAATCATCAACAACAACAACAACAACAAGAAGAAGAAGATCAACAAGTGCCACTACAAGTAGAAGAAGTAGAGGAAGAAGTAGAAGATACATTTTTAATTTCAAACTCTCCAATTGTTTATTGACATACTCCTCAATCATCATCATCATCATCATCATCATCATCCATTTTATAAAATAATATTAATCAATTCAATCATCAAACAATCCAATACATAACAATAATAACAACCCAACACACAAATCAAATATAAAATATAATAATAATGAATAGTTATTATTTATTTATTTCTTTCTTTCCCAATCAATCATTCATTCCATCACTACTATCAAACAAACAAAACTTTTAAATATTATTTTGGCGACATAATAATAATCATAATAACAACTTTATTTAAGTAATCCCCCATCACATCACAATCAATCAATCAATAATATTATACCAAATCAAATCTAGATTAAATTAATTTAAATGAATAAATAACAACAAATGATGTTAAGAATTCAATCAAACCATTATTTTTTTTTTATTTATATTTATTATTATTATATTAGTGTTTATTTATTTAAATTACGGTGATATCAGAACATTGGTAGAAAGTAGTGTATGGTTCACCAGCATTATTTGATACATATCTAACACGTAAAACAGCAGCTCCCTTGGTTGATGGTAATTGAGACTAAAGTATTTATATTTTTTAGTGATCATTCCACCCGGGAATTAAAAATGTGTTAGAATAGTTTTCTTTCTTTCTTTCTTTCTCACTATATATATATATCTTATATTTTGTTATTTGTTTCTATTTCTTATCTACATACACTGACAGTGAAATTAGTTTGAGCAACCATATCCCAAGCATTGAAATCATCTAGTTGGTTTAAAGTGGTGTAGGGACCATTGTCACCGGTATAAGAGATGGCTACATCCATGTAACCCATGTTGGTTGGATACCAATGATTATAGTTTTGTTGAAAGGTGACTGGAATGGCAGTACCCGAGTAATAGGTTGCTACACTAGCACCTGATGTCATATTACCACAGTTGGAGGCAACTTTGTAGCAATTGTTATCACCTGGACCCAATGGTGTTGGTACTGCTGCACCACGTTGAGCTGGGTCATAAAGACATAAATGTGCACTTGTTAAAGATGCAAACAATGCAACAAAGATAGCTATTAATATAGTTAATGTGAATCTCATCTCTCTCTCTCTCTCTCTCTTTGTAGTTATCTATCTATCTCTGTCTGTGAATGAAATATAAAGATAAAAGGGTGTGAGTGGGTAGTACTAGTCTAGTCGTCGTCTGGTTAGTTAGTTAGTTATTCTATTTCAAAAAGAGAGGTGACGTCGATTACAACAGTCTCTCTCAGAGTTAGCAATATTCCTTAATCGAAAGGTTCGAGACAATTTCAATACCAAAGATCCAAGAAAAGTCATTGATCTGAATCTAGATATTTTCGGTTCATTTCAAAGGAATCGTCTTCTATTGTTCATTTGAAACAACACATCTCTGGTTTGCTTTGAATCTATCGCAGTCGCTGCTTGCACTTTAGTTTATACATACACATCATCATCATCAAGAGATATCTATATAGATAGAAGAGAAGAGATAAGAGATAGAGAAGATGTACAAACAACAATATATAATATTAGCAATCATCATGATGATGATTGGATATATTAGAGCATTTGATATTTGTACACCAGCAAGATATCAAGCCATTTCAATTGGTACAAATGGAGCAGGTCAAACAGAGAGACGTGAAGTGTATTATGACGCTTACAACTATTCAGTTAGAATCGATATATCGACCGACACAACCAACCAAACCACATTCAGTTACTTTTCACCAAACAACTCTCAAACCGGTCAAGAATGGGTGATCGACCAAACGGGAAATTGCTATCAGACCGGACCAGACTACTGGAATCCACAATGCTGGGGTGACTCCTACGGTACCCCCTTCGTATCAAACACCAACAACATGTTGACATTCTCCAACCCCTCCAACGGCTACACTGCCATCGTCGCCGAGAATGGTCTCCCCATGAAGATCGTCATGGAGTATTCAGGTCTTGTCATCTATTTCTATGAATCACAATCTTATATCTCTGACCCATCTGTTTTCAATTTACCAAAGATTTGCAAACAACAAGAATAAATAAAGTAAAAGTAAAAGTAAATAAAGTAATTTAAATTAAATTAAAAACTATCTAAAAAGGGGAAGGGGTGTTTGTTCAAGTTCATCATTTCTTTTTTTCTTTTTCTTTTTTTTAATCATTATTATTCGAACGAGAGATCGTACATACATACATACATACATATATATATATATATATTTGTTTCCCTCTACATCTTTATTATTCATCATCATCATCATCATCTTCTTCTACACAGAGTTCAAACTCTTGTATGCAAACAATGAATGTAAACCCAGTAACTCTGGTGGCACGGAACAAGACACAATCACTATTCGATTTTCAAGGTCGAAATTGTATTGGTATGAATGATCTTTTCATAGACTCTGGTATCAATCTATGGATTTTAGATCCGTACAACCCTATCTTTGAATGGGCTGGCTTTCCTTTTCACTTTTACAACTATCCTCATGCACCAGAACAAATGAACGAGTTTGTTAAAATGGTTGATTCAATCTCTGCAGGTATGCAAGTGATAGTCATGGTATACGATGGATTTCTACCATCAATGCTAGATACCCTTCTACCAGCCTTTCAATCTATTGGGTCACTCTGGTTCCAAGAAGCTCAACACTATCAAAAGTATTGTATGGTTGGTCGAAAGGGTGGTGCCGCTCGTGAAGCCTATGGAGATGACCGGTTAAACTTGGGAGACATACGAGTCAAAGGTTACTTTACAGGATACAATGGCGTCGAAAATGGATCCGTGACCTTGGAGTATGACGTCTCTGGCCGAGTTAAAAAGATCACCAATATGATGCAATATCCTAATAATTATTCCGAGGTCACTCTCGGTGATTTAAGAGACACTGAGAATTATTGCACTCGTAGTTTCAAGTCTATCAATCTCTGGACCTTTCAAGCTCATTCATATAGTATGTTTGACTCTAATGATGACCCCAATGAACCAAAAGCTCTACAAATCATGTTAGAATGCTTGGAGAAAGGTACAAGGTTTATTCTATTTACTGATGGATCCGATCGGTTCAATTTTACACCCGAAACAAGAGATCTTTTAAAGAGTTGGGGAAGCAAGGAAATAGATCATTACAACGTCGTCGGTGGTCCACATGCTGGAGATGGTGGTCATTTCATATATTGTATTTCATCAAAGGTTGGATCAACAAAGAACTTTATCGAGATTCTAACATCGGATGCTTGCTCAATGTCATTCATTATGCCAAAAGACACTTCCTCAATGTCACAAGTAATCGTAGGCAATGAAATCATCGAAAAGAATATTAAAGTGGTTTCAAATTCACAACAACAGCAACAACAACAACAACAACAACAACAACAACAACAGCAACAACAACAACAACAACAACAACAATATGATGGCTTTGTGATGCAAGCATTCAACGAGGTCACTGGTCAAGAATATTTTACAAAATCATATGACGTCTCTTTATGCAAACCAAATGAAGCGATTCGTATGATACAAGATATTCTCGATCTCTCGATTGGGACAGTCGTCACAATTACACTCGGCAAGCCAAGCATTACATTTGAATATGGTATGACCGACAACCTATTATTTGCAATGTCAACTGTTGGAGCTTCCCGTGTGACCCAGATCAATCGAACCACTTCGTATTCTCTGATTGGTAGAAAGGGGTCAAGACCAGCATCATCTTTTGAACAAGTTGGCCAGTATCCAATAAGCTTGTACTCTACCTTTGTTCCAAAAGTTGTTAAATCTTTTATTGAAATTCAAGTTGACTCTCATGCTGTAAGTAGAAATCTAAATTGAAATATATATCAAATGGTATGAATATATGTTAACCTAAAAATACAATTATTTTTTTTATTTGAATTCATAGGTTACAGGAACTATTGTTGCGGGATCTTCAAGCTTTAAAATCAATGGTATTGATGTTCCTCAGATTCAAAGGGTCGGTATCAATATGATGATTATCAATCCGTTGAATGGTGTAATTCAAGAAATGTTAAATTATAACACTGAAAACAATGCCAACCATACACTAAACCTTATTGCAAAATTAAAAGCATTGCCCCATAATACTATTGTGGCCATATCGGCTGTTGGTGATGCTTCCCGTCACCTTCAAACTGCCTTACCCTATTTTGAAGAATACCTTGGAAGTTGCCAATTCAAATCATTTACATTTCCCAAATCGTATTGTATTGTAGCAGCTGTAGGAGAGGGTATTTCAGCAGCCGATAGATTAGTCAGTGAGTGTCTGTCGTCTGGCCTCAACGATCCTTCATCGTGTCTGACAAGATACCCAATCAAATCGTTGTTTGAAACCACCACGTCGCCAGGTATCAATTTCAGTGTCACATCAAAGGGTGGAACTGACGGATCATGCAAAATCACAATCAATGGAAAGACGAGAGCTTCAGCCAACACCCAAACCTATTCGCCAGGTATCAATGTTATTTATGCCTCACCCGATTTAAAATATATCTCTTATGCATTGTACGACGACTCTGTCAATGGTGGATGGACACAGTTTTTGAACGATGTTGGTAATATACAAAACGGAACGTTTGTATTGGTTGCAATCAACCAACATATGCCACCATGTAAAACCAATGAGAAGAAAATGGTATTCTCTCTTATCGGTGCTTCAAAATTCATATTGGTTCCAGATAATGCTTCGTATGCAGTGATTGGTATCAAGGGGTTCCCAGGATCAGCTCTTGAAAGATACTCTTTTTCATCGTCCCAAGTATGTGTTGCATCGTGGGAACCTGTCTCCTCATCACCCAATCTATTGCACGATACCTATCTCATCCCTCAAACCAACCAAACAATCTACTCGGTACCACTACTAGACATTTACTACCAAATGTGCACGCCAGTATCCGTGTTGGCCAAGACCAAAGCAATTGGAAATGTCTACATCAACGAACCTGCAACCAATTGGAACTATCCTAGAGACCCAGTAGCACCTGGAAGAGTTGTCAAAGCATTGTTGATTGGGTCATTAAAAAAAAAGTCATTTGGTCTTAGAGGCAACCCAACATTTTCAGTCAACGACCATGCCAATGCTCTGGTCAATGGTGGATATGTCAAGAAAGAAAATATTCGTTTGTTGTCCAAGAGTTCAACACAATTGACTGAAAATGGTACCTTTGTTTGTGGTCCAAGTGCCAATTGCATTAGGGAGCAGATCAATGATTGGATGTTAAAAGATTTGAAATCTGGTGACTCCCTTTACATTGCAATCGTTGGTAGAGGATTCAACAAGTCATCATCGATTGGAAACAAGTCTGCTGTCCGAACCGGGCTTGTCACACTGGATGATACTCTCAAATCCTCAGATTATTCTATCACCTGGGATGATCTGTTGAATCTTTTCAATGTGGTTCCAAGTGGAGTCAATCTAACGTTTGTGATAGACTGCCGCAATGCATCAACCTTTACCAATTCAATTGGTAATATGTCGTATAAAAACAATTGCGTTGTCTATTTATCATCTTTTACCACACCAACAATCAAACTTTCAAAAACCAATTCTTTTCTACCCATTTTCACCAGTGTGCTCCAACAAGCAAAGGACTCTTCATCCACCTCACCTCTAACCTACAGAGACATTCTCATCAAGGTGCAATTACAACTACCATCAGCAGCAATGTGGATTGCCGGTGGAGACATTGGAAACTATTTATTCAACACTCTTCCATCCCAACCTTCTTTGGTTGGAGTAAATATGTATGTGGCAGATACACCAGACAGTCAACCACCTCGATTCTTATATTCAACCAATATAATGTCGAATGATCACTATTGGAGGTTTAGTGAAGCTGTGTGGCAAGCATACCCACCAAACGTCGGGGAAGGAGTTCCTGTTTACCAATTCTCTATTCTCGATCGACCAGTCACAAACGGAAATGAAACGTACTCTTACGATTACAGTCTTCTCGAAGTGCATGAAAGAGATCCATTGACAAACCTTGAATGGACACCTACTGGATCTGTTTGGAGAGCGTATGATTCACCAAACGTAATTGCTGGTCTTTCACCGGTGTATCGATTCTATAAAGATTCGACCATTAGAAGATACGCCTATTCTCTCTCAAATTATTATAATGGCTCTGGTTGGACCTTGGACCCTGTCAACCCAATCAGTTTTTATGTCATAAAATTACAAAGAATATAATATAATAGGGTAAGTAAGTATTATAAATAAATAAATAGAAATTCTCCAATATTTATAATACTATTTATTTATTTATTATTTATATATTTATTTATTTATTTATTTATTAATTAATTTTTTTTTTTTCCATACTTTATAGATAAAAGAAATATTTATTATACACAATGTCACTGATCTCTAGAGTTTATTGTTTTGATTTCTTTCTCTGTTCAATGATAAATTCGATATCTTGGTCTGATAATTCTTCAATTCCTACTCTCATTCTTTCAAGAATGGATTGTAGTCTTTGATCAGGATCTATATTGTCGGTATGAGAGTCTGGACTTAGAGTCTCTCCAACCACTACAGGCAACCCTTTATCTTCCTCTTCCTCTTCTTCCTCCTCCTCTTCCTCCTCCTCCTCCTCTTCCTCTTCACCATCTTCCTCCTCTTCTTCCTCTTCTTCTTCCTCCTCTTCACCATCTTCAATTTCTCGGATTGTGGCAGATGATTTAATGGCAGGAAGAATCCAACTAGTTTTCATTTTCTTTTCCTTTTCCTTTTCCTTTTCCACCTTTGCCTCCTCCTCCACTGCAAGTGGATTTGGATTGTTCAATCTTTCATGGTGAGACAAATCTTAATATATCTCGGTGAACCACCTTATGTTCCTTTAAACTCGTCTTTGCAATCCACTCCACACACTGCAGCATTCTTGACACCACTACAGCTATATTTAATGGTGGTGTTTAAAAGAAAGGCCAATTTTTTGACCAATGAAAAGTAGCCTGGATCAAGCCACAATCCAACATTGCCACCTGGCACACTCCTAGACGACTAATCTCGGACACCATCAAGTCGGTCAATTTCATGCTTTGGACAGTGATGTAATTGACGGTCGAATCGCGGTGAGGAATGCTCTTTGTCCAATCAATAAGGACAATGTTGTAGGGAATGGTTCGTGATCGGGAAAACCATTCTCACCAACCACTTCAAAGGTGGTTTCTGTGGAGATATTGACATTGATCGCCAAGTCGAAACCACTGTTATCTTTGGCACTGTGTCCCTCTCCACCAATGTCCAGATGCAGATTATAATTTTCTGCGATGGCCATTTTCTCTCGACCGATAAATCTATCAGGGTTGGTGGTGGCACGATCGACCAACTTGACCTTTGAAATGTGAGTCAAGTACTTCTCCGGTTATAGGATCGATTTTGAATATGGGAAGGAGATCGGAACCTATTGGGAACAAGTGGAATGCCATTGCAGAGAAAGAAATCAGCAATATAGGTGCACCATCTACAACTTGGATCACTTGGGTACGAGATGCTGTTGCGGGATCGCCTGCATTTGAAATAGTGGCATGGTTGGTCACTGAACATAACTGTAATGGTTGTTTGATTGTTGAACATATTTTGAATTGAATATAGGAATATATGAGAGTGTTCCACTTCCAGTACCCTTGCTTCCAGTTGGTGATTTATCCAAGAGATCACGATCCACTGGCCAATACCCAACCAAACCAGCTTCGTTGCCTTCAACCATATTAAACATTGTGTTTGTGACTTGTTGTTGAGTTATAGCAGTGTTCCATATGGTTATATCCTCCATCTCTCCTATGAATTGAGCAGGGGTATGATAGCTGTTTCCAAAATAGATTTGTTGAGGGGTATTCCTAGGGTTGGAAATTGATTGATGCCGCTTTGACTTGAACTTCAAAACGGTAGTTTTCCATCACCTCTGTCTTTGATCTAAGATGGTATTTTGAATATCCTGTTTATCGGTGACTATAAGTCTTGAATCCAATTCAAATGCTTTGGGAGCATCTATTATTCTTTCAACATTGACTTGAATAATTTGATCATTACATTCCAATTTAATATTCTTTTCACCAATATGACTACTGTATGATTTGGTTGATTGAGAGTTGATTACAACTTTGAAGATGCATGCTATCAGATGGACTATCATAATCTCTGCAAATTGGAACCAAACATTGATTTAATTGACCAGTTATCAATGTTATTAGTTTGACTCTCATTTGCTGAAGCTGCGTCTATTCCAGTTGCAATGGGTACTGCCTATGTTGTTCTAGTTAAAAAAGCAGGTATTGAACCATTCGAATCTATTCTTATCCATAATTCAACTGGTGGTGTCGGTCTGACAATGTTCAATCTCCTCAAACACCAACAACACACTGGCAAGGTGTTTGTGACAGTTGGATCAGATGAAAAGAAACAATATCTCGAACAACAATACGGATCACTCATCACTGCCCTACTCTTTTAAAAATTAATTAATTTAGTTTTGGCGGTTCTTTTTAAAAATAAATAAAGATAAAATGAACTAGTTAAGGTAATTGATTCAGAGTTGTTTATGAAAGAGAGAGAGAGAGAGATATAAAGAGAGATAGAGATGGAGGAATATTTAATAGGTGATTCAGGGTCTGATAAGATCTTGAATTCACTGAGTAGAACGACTCAACCTATTCAATTCTTGGATGACTTTCAGAAACAATATGGTTTGAATAGAACTAATAAGTATCTTGCTCACAACTATGACATTCACCATTCACAACCCTCCCTCTCCTCCTCCCCCTCCTCCTCTTATTCTTCTTCTTCATCATTTACATTTCATACTTATACCTACTTTACTACCCTCAGTTCAACCAGCTTTAAAGTTATTAGATTTACACCAAATCGGTAGAAGTAATCTATACTCTCAATTACTTTCATTTCTAAGTGATGATTTATTGGTTAGAGTTAAATCAATGCATCCTAATGAGTACGAATATTATTATTATTATTATTACGACCGACTTAACTCAAAGAATCATTAGTTAACTAATTATTCTTTTATGTTTTAGAATGGAAGCATTATTAGATCAATCATTTCCATATATTAGTTTTGATGAATTAAAGGGTATACCTATGAACGTTATGAAGTTAATGCCTGAAGTACCTTATAGATTCTTAAAGAAATTATCCGAAACTCCTGAATTATATGAAGTATGTAAACAACAACAATTCATATATATTATGGATATATTAACCTTTTAGTTCTATTTCTTTTAGCAATGTCCAATCGAAGTTAAAAGACAAATATGGTTAATTAATGAAACATTATTTAGAGAGAAATTGTTACCATTGATCATGCAATATGTAGACGATCCTTATTTGTTTCATGAATTGAATGAAATGATTGTCGAGACACATGTCTTGCCCTCAAAGAGACGTGAAAACAATACAATCCTCAAAGAGATTGCATCGTTGATTGGAAAGTCACTGAAACTGTACAACGGAGCCATATCATTTATCAGACAACTGTTTACCGAGCTCGAGAATGTCGCAGCACTGTGCACCCTTCGTGCAGACCTGTTGATGTTGTTCCACGACAATGGAGTATCAGAGATATACGACCACGACCGTGCACATAGCATTGCTTGGTGCGTCGACGCGTGCATGAGAGAGAATATAGTGGATTTGCGTCGTGTCAAGGAGATACAAGGATACTTTCAAGAGATTGGTAATCACGGTGGCGTGGTACTGGCCGATATTGCAATGGTGTTTGCTAATCCGTTTGCATTACACTGTCTGCTTCGAAACGTGTTGATGCAGCTCACCGAGGTGGTCAGAAGAAAACAGGTGCCCAAGGAAGACGAAAACATCAAATACATAACATTCCTAATGACACTGGCAACACGGTCACATGAAATGGTCAGAGAACAGAAATACAAAATACCGCATGTCAAGAAACAGGTATTTAACAACTTTTATCCCATCGTTGCAGCACAGCTAGTCGATGATTACAACAGAGAACGTGAGGCTATTAGACAAGCTTCCATCCCTCCCCCAACAGCTGCAGACGCACCTCAAGCATCCGTCTCTGCCATTCCAGCCTCCACTGGGTCATCTATCATCCTTACAACTACTTCTACAGTAACAACGCCACAACAAAAATCAGATAAAATAGAATTGGATGAAGTTGATGATGTAGATCTAAATTTACCATCACTATTTTTGAATAATTCTTTATGTAAAAAAGTATGTAAAAAGTGAATCAACAAAGTCATTGATCAATCAACAACAAAGTTTTAACTAAACCTATTTTTTTATATATCTAAATTAGATTTTATTTACTTATATTATTAAAAAAGTATCGGATAGGGATACATTGGTAGTTTATAAATATCTAAGATTTATTTCGCAAAATGATCACGATGAAGAAGGATTGAGTGTATTAATAGGAGAGACATCGTTTATTCAATCTTTGGTGACCCAAGTATTGACAGCCAAGGATCCAAAAATATCATTTATCGTAGTAGAAGAATTTCTTTTAAAATATAAACATATTCCATTTATTTTAAAACAAATATTAAGATATTTATTAGAAGTATGTTAAAAAAAAAGAAAAAAAAAGAAAAGACAAATTTAATTAATTTTATTATTTTTTTTTTTAACTCTCTCTTTATAGAGTTATTCAAGATTAAATCAAAGAGAATTTAGTATTATTGTTCAAAGATTATTTACAATTGATTCACAACAACAAACATTATCAAATTATACAACGAAAATGGTAGATGAATTGACTTCAATGACCAAAACATTTTTGGACAAGGCTGGAACACGTCTAAACGATCGAAATGTGCCATTACTTTTGGATTTTATAAAGATGTTGGCAGCACAAAAACCATCGTCGCTTACCATTGTCATACCACCACCTTCACATGACAATGAGGAAGATGCCGACGATGACAATGACTTTGAATCATCGATGGACGTTGACGTGGGTGGTTCTCTAACAAATTCTAGTTCAAATGTTGCATTGGTATCAAGTCCAACAAACAAAAATATACAAAATAGTCCAACCAATGTAACTACTCCAATTAGAGGACCAAGTTTTTTAGATACCAATACCAATACAAATACCAATACCAATACTAGTACCACCAATACTACTCCCCCAGCAACATCAACAACAACTACTACATCAACTACAACCACTAATACTTCTGCAACATCTTCTACTCCTCCAGTCTCTTCTTCTTCTTCTTCATCATCTTCTTCATCTTCTTCATCGTCTACTTCAAATACAATAATCAATAATAATAGTCCAACAGAAGATGTAAATATTATGGACGAATAGGTAAACAACACATGTGGAAATGTAATAATAAAAAAAAAACAATTACATTTACCGTGAATCTATGACCAATTTATCATTTTAGGTACAAGAGAAGATATATTTTAAAAGGTCAAATTAGAATTCATCATTATTAGATTAACAAGGGACAATCCAAAAAATATAGAAAATTAGAAAAATAGATATCTAAATAGATTGGTATGTCCTTCCTCTTTTACTACCCTTTTAAATCTAAAATTGGAAAGATTTACGGGTTTTTTGTCTTTTCTTTTTTTGATCCACTTTAACTTCGAAATTTGGTCTATGGAGTGGTACATTTGCGTGTAAACATTAACAAAAAATGGAAAATTGGAAAAATGGAAAATATTAAAAAAGAATTTTCATAGTTTTTTAGACCCACCCACCATGACCTTTGTATTATACTCAAGATCTATGACCAACCCCTTGTTGTTCATATTTGGACAATGAAAGAAAAACAATTGAAAATTTTTAAAAAAAGAGAGAAATTGCATGGTGGAGCCTTGTCGGACTGCAGACCATACTATAGTTTTTCAGAGTTTAAAATAATCGCATCGTCCAATCCGATTTAAACATTTAATAAGTGGAAACAATTAGATGAAAAAAATAATATTAAAAATAAATAAATAAAAAAAAAAAAACTATACAAACAAATCTACTTATTATTTTGTGTTGTTGAGAGAGAACTATTATTATCATCTTTAATGAGCAAAAAAACAAAAAACATAAGTTGTAATATATCATAAAACATTCATTATTTTAATCTGTTATTTCAACCAACTTCCCTTCCTTTCCATTCCTTTCATCACACTCGATAACAGATTTTAACAACAATAACAACAACAATCAATTTTATTGAATTTAAATAATAAATAAATCCAAGTTTTTTTTTAAATATATAGATACTCAACCTAATTGACTAAAATAATAATAATTCAACTATATATCTTAGAGTCAAAAACAATAATTATTCAATATAGTTTAAAAAAGGTAGAATAATCAGAAACCAGTATATTTAGAAATTCAGTATATATCTTTCCTAATTTCTTTTCATGGTAAGTAAAATCTACAAATACAAAAGATTTTTTTTTTATATTAGCAATCACCCCCATTTCTTTTTTGCACAATTGCATGTTCACCACACATACTCTCTTTCTATTTCTATTTTCAATCCAATACTTTACGATTCAATTTTACCCCACTCTCCCCACACACACTCACAAGTCAACGAGGTCAACTCTTTGGGTATCTGGAAATTGGTTTCAACGACTAATTCCAATTCGTTGGTTGGATGAGCTATAAGTTGTAATACTACTATTGCTAGCGACTCCTCACCATTCAATTTCCATTTTTTTAGTGTCTGTCATTTGTATGCATGGAGGGAATTATCCCGCATTCTCTCTTGCCGGCGTCGTCTCTCTTACCACAAATCTCTATTATGCCCAACATGGGATAGGACTGGTTATGTGACAGACAGACAGCCGGGTGTACTCTTGCAACCAAATTCCTTTTTATAACATTTTCAATTAATAATCAATGAGTATCGTCAACCAAAGAGAATATTCATCAAAACGTCCATCTATAGAATTCTAGACCATACGCGATTCAACTTTTCTTTTAAAACCTTCATTCTCTTTCCCTCCTTTTTTATTTTATTTATTCTAGTTTATTATTTTTGTGATTTGCTATGTTTTGTTTGTTTTAACCTATTCATCAACTCAACTTCCAACCATCCATTATTTGTAGTTTTCTCTTCACATCATTGTGTATCTTTTATCAAATTATTTGCCTCATCCATCCATCTCAATTTAGAAATATATTAATACCTATTCTTCCATCCTCCCATTTCTCGGCTTTTTCATTCTATCACCTCTCAACTACCTACCTTACAAATTAATTTTAGTATTAAACCAACTACAACAACAACAACAATAATAATAATAGATTAATCTTCAACTACATTAAAAAGGATTCTATAAATAGTTTTTTCAATGGTTAACAACAAACATTCAAATCAATTTAATTAATTAAAAATATCTTTTTTTTCTATACAATACAACTAATTAAATAATAATATTAAATATTTTAATAATATTATATAATATTAAAAAATGAATTCATCTGTATCACTTTACCCCCCAAACACTTTATACCAACCACACCAACAAAAACAATTCCAGTCCTCACATTATTACCCATCGCTGGCAAACTATAACCAGTTTCAGCAACAACAGCAACAGCAACAGCAACATCAACAATATCCACAATCTAAAAATAATAATCAACCTTTGAGATCAACTGAATACCCACCACAACAAATCCAACAATTTAATAATATCTCAAATTATAACAATAATAATCATAACAACAACAATAATAATAATATCTACCAACAACATCAACAACAAAATGGAGAGAACCAAAAGATTATAGATATCAAGGACGAACCACATTTTAATGACTTGTTGGTACACAATTTAGTAGCATTTCAAAAACTACAACCCCAACCAATTCCAGAGTACTCAAAGAGATTTGTAAAGGATAATTGTAAATATGCACCATTTGAAATTGGAACACATTCCGAACCAATTCACCTTCCTTCAATGAATGGAGCCAGTATGGATTTTGCAAAGGTCATCTACAACTGTGACGGTACTGTAAAGACTGTCAACAATCCAAAAGACAAGACATACAACCATCCCGAATCATCATCTCTGGAATGTTGGAATTTCTCTGGTTCAAGTACATCTAGAATCTACCAAGCACTCAACAAAAGATCTGAATTCCACAAAAACACAGCTCATACTCGAGTCATCTTTGTCAAAAAAGTATTTTCTTGGTTGGCAACTCATGACCGTGAATACTTGGCTAATCACAAAACTGTCGATCTAGTCACTGCCATCTCTGATATTTTAAATATGATTATTAGTTTAATCGAATTACATAGAGCTCCTCCCTTTCTTTTGTATCTAATTATTCATGCTGCTGATCGATTTGTTGAAAGAACCGGAATTAATCATCACCAAATTTTCAATTTATTATTAACAAGGTATATATTAACCAGAAGAAAAAGAAATAGAAATTTGATTTAATCTAACAATTATAATTGTTTAATTTACATTTTACTTTGTAGTGGAATTGTAAATTTAAAGTTTTGGAATGAAGGTTTATATATTCAAAACAAAACCATTGCAGATATCTTTTCATTCAATGTTAAGGATTTAAATACAATGGAAAGAAGATTCTTATTTGGACTTGATTATAATCTTTGTGTTACAGAAGACCAATTATCAAATTATATTGTTCATATTAAAAATCAATCCCTTTCCAATATTCATCCAATCATGTTACAAAGACCACAACAACAACAAAAGAAAAATACATAATCAAATTGTAAACAAGAAAGAAATCAATTGCCCCTTTAAATCAAGAGGTAAACTAATCAATCAAATCAATTATAATGCCTACAACCATGTATTGCTACTACAACAACAACACATAATATGTCATCTCCTATATCCCAAGAAATGGATGGATGGATGGTTGGTTATTGCCCCCATCCATCCGACGACAAGTCGTAGTATACTTTTAAAACAACACGCAAGATAATTTGTACCATATTAAAATATAGTTTATTAAACTACATTGTGACCATACTCAAGTATTACTTGGGTACTATCATTCCTATAATTATTCTTTTTCTTTCTTCCATCCTGATTCTTCTTCTTTTTCTTTTAAAAAAAAGTTAATTAATAATTTTTTGATTATTATTATTTATTATCATCCATTTTGATGAAAATTATATGTTGTTTTTTTTTTCTACAAGGTTTGTTTGTTTTGTTTTGTTTGGTCTTTTCATCCAAAACAATACATTACTATCTTCGTGGTGGTTGTTGGTTGTTGTTTGTTGTTATTGTGTTGGTTCGGTGTTATATACTTAATAATGTTATTGTGTTGTTGTTATTTAAAGTTGGCTGAATGACTTTACAGCAGAGTCACCACTGTCCCACTTGTCAGTATCCAAAGCGATTTGTTCAGTAATAACAAGTCCATCAGCATTGGCAATTGATAATTGAATCTATAAATTAAAATGTTAGTATCTACTTATATAAATGTAATTCTTTCTCCTTTTCTTTTTCTTTTTGTTTACATACAAATCTTGATGAACGAGCATCTCTGTAGAAAAGTACACGTAAACAATCTTGAATAAGAGTCTTGGCTTCATCCAAGGTCATATCCTCTTTGTAAGCTTTACGTAAAAGTGGTAAGGCAATGTGTGAACCATAACCAGATGCAATAAAGTTATCTTGATAACATGTACCAACAAGATCAACCTTGCCCAAGAAACTAAAAAATTAATTAATCATTAATTAGTTTAAATAAATAAATAAATATTTATGAATTATATTTATACCTCTTATTATTATCGTGACCAATGACAACTAAACTATTCCAGTATGGATCACCCTTATTTCTACGATTATACATGACACGAGCAATATAGTTCCAAATTTCAGTAGTGCTCAAAGTTGTTCCATCATCAGTGCAACCATCATCGACACTATAAAGATATATTGAATAAAGAGTAAAAGAGAGAGAGAGAGAGAGATAAATGATGTTAACAACAAACCTTTTGATATATATATCATTCAGTTTTAAAATAGTCGCTATATTCGATTCATACACTAAATCATCCAATACTTGAGAGAGATTTTGAAAGTCACTGTATTCACCACCGGCACCAATGATAGTGCTCTTTCCAAACTTCTTCATTCTTTCGATGTTGTTGAATCTAGCCAATGAACCATATGACAATAAAGTATCGGCACCCATGACAACACCACCATTATATTTAATAGCAATAACTGATGTACCTGTTACGATTGGGTCACTAGTAAGTAATAAAAAGTATAGTTATGATTGATAAAGTGTTAGATTATCTATCTATCTATCTATCTATCTATCTATCTATCTATCTGTATCTATATCTATTTCTCTTTATCTATATCTATTTCTCTTGTTTTAATTTGTATTGTAGTACATACACAGTTCTCTTCTTTGCACCAAGTTCTTGAGAATGTGATGGTGATGGTGTATGAGATGCGAGTTGACTTGCAACATTATTATATTTAAAGTAATCTACTTGACCGAATACTGGGTATTTAAAGTGTTCTGATGACATTATGTTATGTGATATATATTTTGTTATTACGTAATTACAAAAAAAGTAATAAAAGTTTAATGATGTTCACTTGAGCAAAATTAATCAAGCAAAAAAAAAAAAAAGAAAATTATTACAAAAAAAAAAAGTGAACTTCACCTCAAGATCGCGTGTTTATTATTGTTGCTTGAAAATCAGTAGTATCTATTATTCTTAATTTCTTTGTTTTAGATAAATCATATATTTGATATTTATAACTACTATTACTACTACTACTACTACTACTACTATCTAATGGTGATGAAGGTTTGTTATTGTTATTGTTAGATGGTGGTTTCATTTGAACTATGGCAATTGGACAACTTTGACGTGAATGATCAATGTAACCTACGAGAGAGGTATTTCGAGGTAGTATAAATGGATGAGTGTACGGTACGAAGAGATCATGTACAAGAATTAATTTAATCGATGCTGATACTATGTAGAGGTCGTGGTTGGTGGTACAGTTCTCTACAGAGAAGAACCCCTTTAACATTTGGTTGCTGTTGATGATACTAGTTATATTGCTGGCAATGTTATTGATGATGTTGGGGATACCTAAACTTTTGGTTCGTCCGTGGAATGGTGTCGTCGTTAATGACAGTGATAGTGGGGATGGCTCGTTGTCTTCTTCCTGGCTGAGTACATCTTTGATCATTTGTTTCTGGCATTGTCTGAGATACGATATCTCGTGGTACACTGATGTCTGCTTGGCAAAGTTGATCATTGACACTTGGTTGGACATGGCCACCACATCCTTTTGTTCTCTCAACGCTATCAACTCTGACAAATGGTTTGATAGCCATGGAATGAATACTCCATTGGATTTTAACATAAAACTCTTGTATTGTTCAATCACCCATGATAATTGATCGATAGTTTGTAATACTGATTTCTCTGTTGTTGCTCCATCTGGAGCAATAGATGATAGAGATAGAGTATTGGTAAATGGTGATGATGACGATGATGAAGTAGATAAAGATGATGTCGAGGAGGAAGATGAAACAGATGAAATTGAAGATGGTGATGATAAAAAAGAAGAGGATGAAGAGGAAGAGGACGAGGATGCAGATTCAAATTTCTCCAAACCAGAGAATATAGCCATAAATGCATGATAGTTGGAGATGGATTTACATTGTTTGGCCAATTTAATGAATCCTGAAAGACGACTTTGTGTCACCAATTCTGATAGTTTCTGGTATCTATTAATCATTCGATAAATGTTTGGTAATTGATTACCAACAGTGGTAATCGAGGACAACGACGGAAATGTTGATAATGCAATCAACTCTGTATTTGGTATACACTTTAATAACTCTAAATCCAGTAGCATCATATGACTAGCTATTGCATCGCAATCCACATTTTCATATATTTTATCAAATAGTAAAGATTCAATCTCTATCGATACATTTAATAAATGATGAATATTATTATTATTATTTATATTATTATTATTATTTTGATTACTATCTTGTTGTTTTAATTTTGATTCTAAATTTGTTGTAATAGTTGAACTTTTAATAAATGATAATTCATCAATTATCTGTCTATTGTCTTGAATGAATTGTTTGATGACTGTGATGAGATCATTTGAAAATTCACAGTAACTTCCATCAATCCAAGTATTCAATACATTGAGTACACATGTCTGAACAGACCTTTCAATGTGAGAGTGTTGGAGTGGTACTTTGAAACGTTGTCTTAGTTTGTTGAACAAGTCAGACGAGCCACAAAACGATTGGTATACACATAACACCTGATCGATTAGATCATTGTGTTGGGGTGTAGTCATAATCTCTACCAATTTGTTGAGTGTTATGTACTTGATCAGTCCTGCCTGTCCACTCTCTGTATATTTTATATTTTGGTCCATTCCATATTCATCCCATATATTAATAGATGATAATGGTATGGTTGTAGACGACGGTGATGATGTCGATGATGTAGAAGACATATTATTACCCAGCTTTGAATGAACTATCATTTGATTGATTTGGTTGGTATGATACACTACAATATCCTTATTTGTCGGATAGTTTGGTAATAAACTCAACACCTTTTCATGAAATGATTTCAATGTATTGATAATCTGGTTAAATGTAGGTCTTAACTTGCTATCTCTTTTACAACTAACATAAATGAATTAATTAATAAGAGTATATACAATTTAACAAATGAGTATGTATACATACCAACTAATAATCAACTCTTTGTATTGAGGAAAACAATAGGATGGTATTTGTGACTCTATAGAGTCATAGGTAGAAGGTTCCTTTGCAAACTCACATGTTACCATGACCAATACAACAGCACCGAAACTATAAATATCAGCTGCTTTTGAATACTTTTGTGCTTTACCTTCACTAATGTAATCTCTTATTTCCTTTTTAATTTGAAATAATAATAATTAATTAGTTATGTTATTATTATTATGTAGTTATATACATACAGGAGCCATATAATTTACAGTACCGACAATGGTTGAAGCATCGTAGGCAGTTGAGAATCTAGCAGTACCAAAATCAGTAATCTTTGCATTGTAGTCTGAATCGACGAGGATGTTACCAGGTTTCAAGTCACGATGCATGATACCTTTGGCATGTAAATATCTCATGCCTTGTGCAACACCAATGAGCAGATGGTTGATAGTTTGGATATTTAATCGCTCCTTTTGCATTAGTATCCAAAGCGATCCCTTTTGTGCATACTCCATCACCAATGCTTTCTTTTCATTGACCATAGTACATCCATAATACTTGACAACATTCTTGTGATCGAATCCAAGCAAATCTCCACTATTCATCAACTCAAAGTTGTTTACTATATGATCTACAGATCCACCTCTTGACCTTCTTTTTGATTTAGATGGTGATTTTGTTGTAGTTGTAGTTGTTGTTGTGGTTGTAGTTGTTGTCGTTGAACTAGTACTAGTACTACTAGATTCAAAAGGGATCTTTACAGCTACAGTCTTTCCTTCATATCTTGCTTTTCTAATGGTTCCATAGTTTCCGGTTCCAAGTACACTATCTTTTAATTTAACCTTTATCATATATAAATATTATATATATTTATCTATCAAACTCTACTACTACTACTATTTTGTTGTTTGTTAACAATCTTCATCCACATCCATCTCTATTCTAGAAATAGATCTCCTTCATTTGAGCAAAGAAGATCCTTCAACAACCCAAACAACCAAAAACCCATCAAACAACATGATCACGTGACAAAAATGGGATGAGCCGAAACTGGACATCTTTGTTGACATTGAAGTTCATCAACTGTTCGGTTCATATTAATAATAATATTTAATATTATTTGTTGTTTATCACTAGATAGATATCTGTGTGAAGTACCAAATTGAACTCATTAATGTAAATAAAAAATTATTAATGATAAAAAAAATATTTTAATTAGTTGTTTTTAATGATGAAATTTCGATAGATAATTACAATAAAATAAAATAAAAAAAGAGAGGGTGTAATAAAACTGGCGAGTGTTCAATATTCGGCTTATTCATAATTGTAACAGCAAATTTCCATTAAAGATAGATATATATATATATATTCAATTTCCAAACAAACAATAATAATAAATAATATTTATTAAATGATATCAGAACAGAGTTATACTACTACTACTACTACTACTATTACTATAGTATAACACCTTCAAACATTCATATATTTATAAATAAAGGGACGCCGACATAGAGAGAGAGAGAGAAAGAGAGAGAAACAAAATGTTATTTGGGTTTAGAGTTTGGGTAGCTACTGTCCTAAGCACCTATATAGACAAGACACTTATCTCTTTGAATGAATCGATAAAAGCATTTGTTCAAGAATGTATGTTATTTGTTTGTGAACAAAGATGCATCTACTAGCTATAGTAGTCAAATAATAAATTTGAAACTAATATACTTATTATTATCATTATTTACTTTATGTAGTATGGGAGCTTGGAGTGCAGATAGCCAACTTTCTAACTATCACCTTTTTAGGTCTTTTTTATCGACCTGGTTACCTCAGCTACTTTGAACAGAGAAACAGAATTAAAAAGAGACCTCCTCCATCACCAACTACACCACCACTTCAACAACCACCTTTAACTGTACCATTGGGAAAATACGATACCAGCAACAGTAACAGCAGCAGTAACAATAGATATAATAGTAATAACAGTGGAATTCATTCCAATCCTCCATTAATTGGTCGTAGTAGTAGTAATACTTCACAACAAATCAACAACAACAATGTAAATAATACTACAGTGAAAAGAAGAAAACCTATGGGTAAAAGGAGATCAACACCTTTTGTACAATTATTAAATGACTCTGATAGCAGTGGAGCTAGTTCACCCAACAACTCATCCTTTTCATTATCGTCGACGGTCAACAATAAATCACAACCATCTCAACAACAACAACAAGTAGATGACAATACCAACCATTTAGCATCATCGATGCCATCTATACATTATTCACCAAAGAAAGGAATGAAACAATCGGCATCAACTTCATCGATCAAACGAATAAGTAGTAGTGAATTTTTATCATCAATGAAACATCATCCGACTACTACTACTACAACACACAATGCTGTGAATGAATCAACAGCCAATCATAATAACCTCGACCGTCCAACAAACACTACTGAAAGAAAAAGAAAACAAAAGAAATTATATTATAGTATGTTTCAATTAAATACTTGGATTCGAATATTAATATTAATATTTTAATTTATCTATAGTTAATAGAGATTTAGTACATCATCACGAACAAATTACAACAGGATTTTTGGAGGATATTAGAACCAATATATTACTGTTTTTCGATACTGTATTTTATTGGTTACGAACATCACTTCAATCACTTTTAAATACTTTGGCATCATTTAAAATTAGAAATTTGATTGTATTGATTATTACCTTTCCATTATTTTTACCATATTATATTTGTATGTTAAATGTAAAAAGAGAGAGATTAGAATATTAATATTAATATTGTTCTTTATTTCTATTCTAGTTAAAATAATATTATTACCATTTTTAATGATAAAATCATTTATTAATTTAGTAACTAATATATTTTTCAAAAAAGTAAAGGATATACCAAATCGATTGATATCAGACAAGGAATTGGATATAAGAAGTGTAAAGGAAATTATTGAACAAGCAGGATACCCTTATGAACAATACCACGTTACGACAGAGGATGGTTATATATTGCTTTTGGAACGAATTCCAAACCCAAAGTCTAAAAACATATTGTATCTTCAACATGGTGTATTTGATAATAGTTTTGCATGGGTTGCAAATGGACCGACTCAATCATTGGCATTTGCAGCACATGACCTTGGATACGATGTATTCCTTGGTAATCTTCGTGGTAACGGTGAAAGACTACACACTGAAAACAATATATCGACCAAACAATATTGGGACTTTTCAATCAACGAACATGCATTTTTGGATATTCCCTCATTTATCCAAGTGATTAGACAAGTCAAAATCAAAGAATTATCAAAATTTAATGATATTGTTTCACCTGATGATATCAATATTTCAGCTGTTGCTCATTCTGTATGTAACAAACAAAACAAAACAAATATAAATATAAAAAGTATATATATATATATATATTAATATTAACTGTTTTTTTACTTTTATTTAGATGGGAGCAGCATGTATATTAATGTATATAGTAATGATGGGAATATTAAAAAAGAATCATCATCTAAGTAGAGCCATTTTATTGTCACCTGCAGGATATCATAGAAAGGCACCAAAGATATGTGATATCCTCGGACCGTTGATCAACGTGTGGCTGTGGTTCTGTCCAATGCATGTATTCAAGTTCCCATCCGACACGATTCGTGTGATTATCGCCAAGATTTACCACGACGTGATTAGCAATACACCAACCAAGGATCTAATGGTATACCTTGGCTCGAGATTCCTTCTTGGGGGAGACACGAAAAACCATCCACTCGAAAAGATCCACAACTTGGCCTACAACACATTTAGTGGCACATCGGTCAAACTTTACAAACACTTTTGGCAAATGAGAAAAGCAAGAAAATTCCAAGCCTATGACTATGGTTCCAAACAAAAGAATATCAATGTCTATGGTACTCCAGATCCATTAAACTTTTTAGATCATTATGATGTGTATGTAAACAAAAAAATCTAAAACCAAAATATATTAAATCAAAATGGAATGTAATTATACTAATTAATATTAATATTATTATATTTATAGAATTAATATACCAATTCACTTTGTCATGGGATTAAAAGATAATTTAATTGAACCAGAGAATATTATAAAACATTATGAAACTTTGAAAAAGTATCATCCGGAATTATCATTCCTCAAGGCCAGTAAAAGCGGTCACATTGAATTCACCTTGGGTTTGGACGATCAAATTTTATCTTATATTTTGAGAGTACTTAGTTCTAACCAAATTACAACCGATTAGTTGGAATCTATACTCTAAACAAATAAAATGATAATATTATGTATAAAAAAAAAAAGATTTATTTCGTGACGCAGCACACATGGTTTGCGACGAGTCGATTTTGATCATCCATTCGATGTTTCAACCATCTTGTTGTTGTTATTGACTTTTACAAACTATACTAACTACTTGCTATATCACTGTAGTTGATAGTATTGTTGTATTTTAGAGTAGAGTAGAGTAGAGTAGAGCAATCAGTAAAGGTCATGGTAGAATCAATGAATGGTACTACAAAGACGAAAGCAGGAGCAGCATCTGCAGCATCTGCAAAAGATGTTGTAGATAGATCAAAAACAAAAGATATATCATCCTCTTCATCTTCTTCTTCATCATCATCATCAACTGAAGTAGAATCAAAAATATCAACCGAATTATACTTTATATCATGTGTAGTTGGTATTTACATCTTTTATTTATTATATGGCATTTATCAAGAGCAAATGTATGTGTTTAGACTACTATACTCTCTACACACTATGATAATGATACTTATAAATTACTTTTGTTTTAAGAAATGCACTTAAATTTGGAGAAAAAGGATTAGTATTTGGTAAATATACAGCCTTTTTATTGGCCATTCAAAGCTTTGTAAACTATGCGTCGGCAAAGGTTTATCAAGTTGCGACACGTGAGGGACCCGATAAAACACCTTTCCACGAATATGGCTTCTCTTCACTCCTCATTGTAATATCAACATTCCTCAGTAACACTGCCATCCGATACATATCCTATCCAACACAAGTACTAGCCAAGTCATGCAAACCAATCCCCGTACTCTTAATGGGTGTATTCTTTTATCGTAGAAAATACCCAATTTCAAAATACTTTATCGTTGCCATTATTACTCTTGGTGTATCATTGTTTATGGTAAGTGATAATTATAATTAATTGATTATTTATTTATTTATTTATTTATTTATTTATATTATTTTATTTTAGTTTCCATCAAGTTCAAAGAAATCAAATAAATCAAATCCAACAGAAGATGATGGATTGGTGATGTATGGCAATTTGATTCTATTGCTTTCTTTATTGTTGGATGGTATTATTGGTCCATTCCAAGAGAACTATGTTAAAAAGTATTCACCAACTTCCAATAGCATGATGTTGAATACCAATCTTTGGAATACTATTTTTATGACTGCTAGTATGTTTGCGATTAATTAATGATCAAATTATTATTCAAATTAATTAATTTCATTTCATTTATTATTATTAGTTGTATTCATTAATGGAGAGCTTTTTGAAGCTATCGATTTTTTATTCACCTATCCAGAGATCTTTTCAACGATTGCAGTGTTTTGTATCACAAGTGCTCTTGGACAACACTTTATATTTATGACGACCAAACGATTTGGAGCACTCAATTGCACTACAATTACAACGACCAGAAAGTTTTTGTCGATTCTCGTCTCTATATTTTGGTTTGGTCATCCTCTCAGTCAGCTTCAATGGCTTTCAATTGGAATGGTATTTTCCGGTTTGGGTTTAGATGTTTACCAAAGTTATTTGAAAAAATCACCATCAAAGGAAAAGAAAGTAGAATAAATAATAATAATACAACGTGATGCCCAAATATATATATATATATATATTAACATCAAATCAATTGAATGCTTAGCATTATCAAAAAAAGTAATATTATATAAATATTACTTTTAAAGGTGTACAGATAGTATCCTTGGTAAGCTAAGATGTGATAGGTTAAGATGTGATTTATAATTATTGTGATAATTTACATATTTACTGATTGTTTAAAAATATGAACTTTGGTTGAAAGAAAATAAAATGTGTTTTTATCTATCACAATTATTAATTATAATTAATATTACAAATTATTTGTTTTTTTGAAAGATCACCAAAATGTTATTTCAAAAGCAAATATTAATTAACGTCTTGAGCTTAATAACAATGAATAGACCAAAAGCATTCCCAATATCTCTGGTGGCGTTGAGTCAGACACTATCAGTATTTCATTGGTTGGGATCGAATTGTTGTGGCGCGAATGGTATTGAAATAGGGTCTGGTATCAATCTGTGGATTTATGATCCGTGCCACCCTGCCTTTGGTATGTCTAGCTTTCCTTTTCACTTGAAACGATTGAGAACCAATAGATTGAAAGGCTGGAAGAAGGGTATCCACCATCGTCGGCATGAACCCATCGTATACAATGATAGCAACTTGCAGACCTGTAGGTATTGAATTGACATTTGCAATAAACTTGTCATTTTGTTCTGGTGCCTGTGGATAGTTGCAAAAGTTAAAAGGAAATAAAGAGTATGTATGCTTGGGGTTATACGGAACTAAAATCCATAGATTGATACCTGAGAGTCTATGAAAAGATCATTCATACCAATACAATCCACTCCTTGATAATCGAATAGTGATTGTGTCTCGCTACGCGCCACCAGAGTTACTGGGTTAGGGTTTGCATCAACGCTATATCAGCGTTACAAGAAGAAGAAGAAGAAGTATTCTTTCAATAAAAAGAAAGTGCTTCTGTCTATCATCATTTTTCTATATTCAAACTTTAACATTGGGTAAAAAAAGAAAGATTTATTCTTTCTTCTTCAATACTAGTTAAAAATTAATAATCATCAAGCAATCTAGATAGATGAGATATTAATATTAAAATTGCATGAGAGAAATTTAATTTAAATAAATATTAATATTTAATATATTAAATTTTATATTAATTAATTAAAATACGCTTGGCCTTTTGAATTGATCGAGATTGAACTTGCAGTGTTCTCATGGATATATATAATCCTTTAAATAAATAGATGAGAATAGTGCGTTATATGTCTTGTGATTGTGATAGATATCTACGATACTTCTCTTAATATATCTTTTTTTTTTTGTGCCTTGGTCATCTGTTTTACTCGACCAGATGCGCCATACTCCAAGACCCTAGTAGTAGTAGTCACGGGTTTATATTCGATGCCATTGTATCTTGTAAAGAAGCCTTCGACTTCTACCTCTCCATTGTTTAAAGGGTCATCTCCAAAGGATTCGATGGCAGCACCACCCTTTCGACCAAGCTTTGAGCTTCTTGAAATGATTCTGAACCAATAGATTGAAAGGATGGTAGAAGGGCACCATGCGTTGATGGTAGAAATCCATCGAACACAATGACGACTCTTTCAAAATTAATTAAAAATCTAAAAAAGGAATTATTGTCAACAATTGTAATTGTAAATGAATCATTGAGTATTTTCTCCTATCATATCACGATGGATGGAAATAAAACAGTGCTGGTGATTTATTTATTTATTTATTATTATTATATTTAATCAATTGTGAAAAGTCAAAATCATCGTAGTACGATGTCTTTGATGTTTGGATAGAGGTGGCGTTGGTTTCGACTCTTACCTCTCCTTTGTTTAAAGGGTCGTCTCCAAAGGATTCGAGGGCACTACCACCCTTTCGACCAACCATACAATACTTTTGATAGTGTTGAGCTTCTTGAAACCTAGTTGAACCAATGGATTGAAAGGCTGGTAGAAGGATGTCTTGCATTCCTGCTAGAAATCCATCGTATACGATGATAGCCACTTGCGCATCTGGAGGCAAGGAATTCACCATTTCTACAAATTCGTTCATTCGTTGTTTTGTTTTTGGATATTGGTTAAGGTGAGGAGCAAAACATAAACAACCAGGATGATCAACCCATAGATTGATACCTGACCCTATCGCAAACCCAGCCCAAATGCGCCCATTCCAAATGAATTTTGGGCGTCTATCCAATGATACCAGTAATGTTGTCATCTCTCTCTGTTTGTTGTAGAGTTGAAACGTGTTATAACGCTAATTGATGTATGATAAGATATAGAATAATATTGGTTTCTTTATCCACAGATCTATCATAATCTTTTTAAATGTATATTGTGTATCTGTACAGAGCAGAGATACAAATATACATAGCCGAACTTTAGTGCGACCTCCTTCAAAATTAAAAAAAAAATGATTTATTCTTCGATTGGGAATTATTAAATTAATCATTCATAATAATGAATAATAGTAATGAATAATAATAATAATAGAAATAGTAATAACAATCATAGATGTATTTAGAAATAGATATCTATTAAAATTGATAGTTAATGACATACGAAGCAACAGTGAAACAATAGAGTTACTTGGTGCACGACTACCATTGTACATTGGTTCGAGCTATGATGCACTCAAACATTGGTCACCACAGTCAAATGACAAAGTATTTCCTCCTCTTCGTAGAAGGTATCTACATCTAGTGCAAGACTTGGAGTGGGTCATCAAGAACAAGTACTTTGGTCTATTGAAAGATATCTTGACATCACACCTAAAAGATGTGAACGTTACACCAAAGCTGATCGAATTGACTCAGCAATGTGCTGGTGATCCCGAATTGATGCAGTTCCTATTGACAAGCCTGTCACACCAATTTAAAGAATACTTTGGCTCGGAAGACATAAACACCAAACAATCCTCGCATCGTTACTTTCGAACATCTCTACCTCCAGTTGGATTGATTGCAGGTTACCTCTTGGGAATTGTCATTCATGGTGATATTCAAGTTTGGAATGCAATCATTAATATTATCAACTCTATTCAAAACAACAACAACAAAAATATTAATAATAATAATACTACGCAATCAGATGATAATATTAATAATAGTAATAATACATCAACTAAATCAAAAAGTGTATTTAGTAGTATTTTTTCTAGAACCAAGAAAGAAAAGGAAAAGAAATCAAATGAATCATCGTCATCGTCAATATCATCACCATCATCTATTCTACACTTGTTATTTAGACGTACAAATATACCAGAGGCTATATTGAAATCTAAAAACTTTACAGTTGATATGATTATCAAACAATGTATTATATCCAACAAGAAAGAGATACTCGTCAACATTGTAGAGACTATTGGTGCAAAGGAACTGGGTGCTTTTATCGACAGTATGGCAGAGTCTAAACATGGCAGCATGTTGGCAGTCGACCTCTTTGATGTGGACAATAGTAATACTCTTGTCTACCTCTATCAAACACTACCAATTAAAACATTTTCCAATCTATTTGGTAATCCCATATCAGCTATTTTAGCAACCAAAGATACAACAACCATCACCAATTACCTCAGCAACTGTGAAATTGATCAAGTTACAGCCACAAATCATATCACACAATATATTACCTATTTATTTAAACCTTCACCATCCTCTTCATCTCCTTCGCCTTCATTCCAACATATTTCATTGATTCTAAATCATTTTGGAATATTTAATCAAAATGAATCAACCAAAATAGTAGAACAAATGAAACAACTGGTATCACATAAAGAAGAGGCAAAAGGAGCAGGGTTATTATACTGTGCAGAATTATATTTAACAATGATAAAACATGACCAACATAAAAGAGAATTAATCGATCGATCTCAACATACTTCAACAATGGGAGGTTCTAAAGAGGTTAAAATATTATTTTCAATATATCAATACCTCATCCCTACTTTGGATAAAGAAGGAGAAGGAGAAGAAGAAGGAAAAGCAGAAAGATATACTAAAAGATGTGAATATTTATTAGATAGAGTTGGATTTGGATTTATTTGCAAACTTGGATCATTATCACTTGTAAAATCATCATTATCACTTTTACAATCAAGATCATTTGGAAATCAATATATCAACTTGTTATCAAATAGATTAGAGGTTGTAGAGTTTTGTGGTGATGTTATATGTAATCAAAAAATTGTTGGACTGGAATTTGATTCAAGAGATTCAATGCAAGCTTTAACACTTGCCTATTCACGTAATCAATGGGATATTATAAGGTACATAGTTCTCATTGTTCTACCACGTTTAGATAAAACCATTACATTAATTCGTGTTCCTCCACTATTGGTGCATCGTGCAGCTCAACTCGGTCACCATGATGTAGTCAGAATCTTATCAATCTATGTTGACAATTATTCTGGTAATGATGAACCAACTAATCAACAACAAACTAGTACAACTACAATAGAGACAGATCCATTGATCAAGGAAGAAAACCAACTCATAGAGACAGCCAAAACTTTCTTACGTATTGAAAATAATCCTCCAGCTCATGTGGTCCGTATGAGTTGGCATCGATCATATCAAGATGCCGTATCTCGACAATGTTATCCTTTAATCGAGTATCTTTTAACAATAGATCTCAGGTACCAACCAACACCACCAATGATAGAACTCGATCGTCCATTGGCAATGAGCAATTTTTCATTTGTCAAAAAGCTTCTCCAATCCCCACTTAACATTCCACTTGTTGTTGCTCTAGAGTCAACTTGGAAGATTGTTGGTATGTATGGTACTGTCGAATGGATCACACAAATCCTCCAAAAATATCCTCCAACTTTCAAGTGGCAAAGAACATACCTCGATCAACTTGTTCAAGGTGCTAAAATGAATTATGAACATGGTGCCCAAATATTAAAACACATCAATGAAAATGATATCCTTGTAAAATAATAATAGTGTAATAATAATAATGTAATAATAATGTAATAATAATATAATATGTATACTTTATAATAAAAAAAAAGAAAGAAAGATTATAAAATTTCTTTTTAAAATTTATTTATTTATTTTTCTTTTTTTTCTCTTAGGTTCGATGGATCATGTGATCGAAAAGATATTTTCAATAACATTAAACATTTTACTTTTATTATCTCTATTTTAGTAAAAATGGAGGAAGTAGTAATATATGATATCGATGATTTATACATGTCTAGTAGAAAACAATTGATACAATTGTGTGAAGATAGACAGATAGAATGGAACAAATTAGAAGTGAACGAGAAGTTGGTGAATAAGCTAATGCAAGATCAACAAGAAAGAGTCAAGTTTAAAGAGTTGGTAGCTCCTTTGTACATGTATCACAAGGGTCACGTCGATCACACTCTACCTACCTATCTAATCATTAAAATCATTGGAATGGTGTGGAATGAGCTACTCGATGAAAGTCATGCCGTCGATCTATCACTCCCATTAATCTTTAAAAAAAGAGAAAGACTTGGAATGGTTTGTATTTATTATAATATATACATTTATCCACACAATCTATTATTGTTTAACTTATACTTATTTTTTAGGCACTTGGATTATCATTAATTAGTAAACAATTATTTAATGTAGTTGCTACATTTTATAGTTCCTTTCAATTGATGGAAAGTGGTTCTGAAATGATGAGTCATCTGCAACGAATTTATTGTGTATTCAAGACACCGGCAAGAATCAATACGAGCAGCAAGGCATTGGATGTAGCATTCTTTATGAAACAACCAACCTTGCACATGAAATATGCCTTTCACAAGGTACGCAAACTTGACATTACGTCGTACGGCGGTGGCGAAGGTCCGATCCGACTAGACAGCTTTAACAACATCCGTACACTGATGACCCGGTTGGTCAGCTTTACAGCGTCACAGGTTAAAATGGATGACAAGCTTCTCCAAGTTTTGATCAATATCCCAACTATTGTCAAGATTGATATTAGTCAGGTCGACGTACCCATCTCGGTTGTCAACACATTCCTTTCCAAATTGAATCGTCAAATGGAGACCATCAAGTTACCAGCCAAATGCAACATCACCTCTCTCACACCGACAGTTGCCAATTCCATCACCACATACTCGGGTCCCCTCGATCCAAATGTTGCCCTACCAAAATTAACCAAATACATTCACAATCTATATTCTTTGCCTCATTCACTAGAGAATCTGTCCTCGATGTTGCCAAATATTCGGTATTTGGCAGTTGACCTAAAACATGAAAAGGGTCTTTGGTTGGGTGTCATTGAATTGCTTGCACACTTGCACACTGTCGAGGATTGTCAAGACTATCAACCCATCAACCACACCGACACCTCTTTACCCATTTACAAATTCACCAATCCTACATTCTCCACCTTTGCCATTCGTTTCTATCTAAAGGATCGTGACTCTTCCTATATCCTAAGAGACACAAGATCAATGTTTACAAAATCATCTTTTACCTATTCCAAAGAACAATGGAAATATAGAAAATGGTATATTAAAGTTCAATATAAATATGTAATTCCACAAGTATAATAAAACAAATAAATAAACTAGGTTTATAAAAAGAAATAAATACCTTTTATTTTTAATATTATACATTAGTATGTATAAACACAAAAAGACTATTTACAGTTCATTGAAATTATTACCATTATTTTTATATTACAGGTAAGTAATCTCATTACCGCCAAATACATTATAATCTATGCTTTTCGGATGGACAATGTCAACTATAATGATATCATTTTCATTGATGTATTTCAAGATTTGAGATCCATGTTTATAGTTCATTTTTGCGCCTTGAACAAGTTGATCGATGTATGTTAAATTTGTTGATCTATTCCATTTGGTTGGAGAATATTTTTGGAGGATTTGTATGACCCATTCGACAGTACCATACATACCAACAATCTTCCAAGTTGAATCTAGAGCAACAACAAGTGGAATGTTAAGTGGGGATTGGAGAAGCTTTTTGACAAATGAAAAGTTACTCATTGCCAATGGACGATCGAGCTCTATCATTGGTGGTGTTGTTCGGTACATGGGGTCAATTGTTAAAAGATACTCTATTAAAGGATAACATTGTCGAGATATGGCATCTTTATAATATTGATACCAACATCGTATTACACGGTCTGTAGGAATACCTCCACCCTCTACATCTAAAAAATTTTTAACAGTCTCTATAAGTTGGTTTTCTTCCTTGATCAATGGATCTGTCTCTGTTGTACTAGTTTGTTGTTGTTGTTGTTGTTGTTGTTGTTGTTGATTAGATGCTTCCATAATAATAAAATCAGAGTAATTGTCAACATAGACTGATAAGATTTGAACGACATCATGGTGACCGAGTTGAGATGCACGATGAACCAATAGTGGAGTGACATAGATAAAGGTTTTAGATTTATCCAAGCATGGTAGAACCATAACAACTATGTACCTTATAATATCCCACTGGTCACGTGAATAGGCAAGTGATAAAGCTTGCAATAAATATTTGATATCAAATTCCAGTCCAGCAATTTTTTGATGATTACATATAACATCACCACAAAACTCTACGACCTCTAATCTATTTGATAACAAGTTGATATATTGATTTCCAAATGATCTTGATTGTAAAAGTGATAATGATGATTTTACAAGTGATAATGATCCAAGTTTGCAAATAAATCCAAATCCAACTCTATCTAATAAATATTCACATCTTTTGGTATATCTTTCTGCTTTTCCTTCCTCTTCTTCTTCTTCTCCTTCTTTATCCAAAGCAGGAACGAGGTATTGACAAATTGAAAATAATATTTTCACTTGTTTAGAATCCCTCATTGTTGTAGTATGTTGAGATTGATCCATTAATTCTCTTTTATGTTGGTCATGTTTTATCATTGTTAAATATAATTCTGCACAGTATAATAACCCTGCTCCTTTTGCCTCTTCTTTAGGTGATACCAGTTGTTTCATTCTTTCTGAAACCTTATTTGATTCATTTTGATTAAATATTGCAAAATGATTGAGAATAAATGAAATATGTTGGAATGAAGGTGAAGGAGATGAAGAGGATGGTGAAGGTTTAAATAAATAGGTAATATATTGTGTGATATGATTTGTGGCTGTAACTTGTTCGATTTCACAGTTGCTGAGGTAATTGGTGATGGTTGTTGTATCTTTGGTTGCTAAAATAGCTGATATGGGATTACCAAATAGATTGGAAAATGTTTTAATTGGTAGTGTTTGATAAAGGTATACAAGCGTATTACTATTATCCATGTCAAAGAGGTCGACTGCCAACATGCTGCCATGTTTAGACTCTGCCATGCTATCTATAAAAGCACCCAGTTCCTTTGCACCAATAGTCTCTACAATGTTGACGAGTATCTCTTTCTTGTTGGATATTATACATTGTTTGATAATCATATCAACTGTAAAGTTTTTAGATTCCAATATTGTCTCTGGTATCTGTGTATGTCTAAATAACAAGTGTAGAATAGATGACGATGGTATTGACGATTCATTTGATTTGTTGTTGGTAGCGTTGGTGTTAATGTTGATGTTGTTGTTGTTGTTTTGAATAGAGTTGATAATATTAATGATTGCATTCCAAACTTGAATATCACCATGAATGACAATTCCCAAGAGGTAGCCTGTAATCAATCCAACTGGAGGTAGAGGAGGATCTTTAGTATTTACATCCTTCTCTGAGCCAAAGTATTCTCTAAATTGGTGTGACAGGTTTGTCAATAGGAACTGCATCAATTCGGGATCACCAGCACATTGCTGAGTCAATTCGATGAGCTTTGGTGTAACGGTCACATCTTTTAAGTGTGATGTCAAGATATCTTTCAATAGACCAAAGTACTTGTTCTTGATAACCCATTCCAAGTCTTGTACCAGGTGTAGATACCGTCTACGAAGAGGAGGAAATACTTTGTCATTTGATTGTGGTGACCAATGTTTGAGTGCATCATAGCTCGAACCAATGTACAACGGTAGTCGCGCACCAAGTAACTCTATTGTCTCACCACCGCTACTTTGTATCTTATTAACTATCAATTTTAATAGATATCTATTTCTAAATACATCTGTGATTGCTTGATTGTTAGTATTCATTAACTATAACATTAATTATTTCAAGTAAAACAAATGATTATTAATGTGAAAAACATTTAAAACTTTCAACCATACAAACAACAACAATAACAATTCATTCCATTTCATTGGGTTGGAATGAATTGTTGTGGAGCGAATGGTAATCGAATAGGGTCTGGTATCAATCTGTGGATTTTTGATCCGTACTGCCCTATCTTTGGTATGGCTGCCTTTCCTTTTCACTTTAACAATTATGCCAATACACCAGATCAACCGATTTCTTAAATAACTAATTTCTTTAATTGTACAAAGAAGAAAAAGAAGAAGAGGGTAATATATATTTATTATCTCATTATTTAGTATTATTATTCTTTTTTAATACATTTTTTTACTTTTACATTTTAATTTGTTTGTTGTTATTATTATATATATATCTCTATTGTTTTCTATATGCCAAAAAATCCCAACTATTAATACCATTTACAATGAGTGAATCATAAGTGATGATATTCTATTTTGTAAATACTTTTAATTTGGTGGGGTCCCCCTCTTGAAAAAATAATTATTGTTCTTTTATCTTTGAACTTCTTACCGATATAGATATATGTAAAGGAAAGAAATAACTTCAACACTATAACAATATATTATAACAAATATGATAACAAAGAAAAGTGAACAAACAATGTAAATTAACTTGCAATTAAACAAAACTACAAGTATTATAGTCTCTACTACTGTTTGTAACAATGAACGTCAATTCAACAAAAGATCTAGATAAGATCCCACCACATGTAATTAAAGATTACTGCGGTGTTTATTATCCAACACTTGTACATCTAAATGAAATCGTTGGTAAATGTGGAGGTGTGGAGTTAAGACACATCTACTGGGCAATGACATACTTTCGACAGTTTGTGCCCTTTTCGAATCTAGCCACCAACTTTAATGTCAGTATTCGAACTATGAACGATTGGGTCAATCAATCCATTGACGAGTTATATAAAGCTATCAAACCAAGAATTGATTCTGTATGTACATAGATATATTTATAAAAATAACAACCCTTCTTGGGCTATTCCATTTAATTAACATTTATTATTACATTATATTCCAGTTTGATGAAGTTTTAAAGACCTCTAGAAGAAGCAGTCCTTATTATGACTCGAAAGGAATTGGAGTGTTGACATCTACATTTGTTGAAACCACCAAGCCATCCCACCCTCAAAAGAGAACACAGAATTACTATGGTATGTAAAATTGTTTATAATTATTTAATAACTCGACATATAATTAATTTATTTATTTGTTAATAATAGAAAAGCACGATGCATGTGGAGTAAAATTCGAGCAAGTTATTTCATTGGATGGTCAACTGGTTTGGATAAAAGGTCCATTCCCTGGATCAATGAATGATAATGTGATAGCCCAAACGACTAATCCATTGGTTCTTTGTACATTGAACGAAGAACATTTGCTTGGAGACAGGGTTTACCAGGGATTTAGACGTATTGTAGTCCCTCACAAAAAGAGAGCAAATGTACCATTGACCACCGAACAAAAGGAAAGAAATGAACATGTTGCACAAAACAGGGTGGTAGTGGATAAATATTTGGAAAATTTAAAAGTGTTTGGTTGTTTTAACAAACCATGGAGATCTTCTATCGAACAGCTCACAAAAGCTTTCTATATTATCAACTATGTCGTTAATTTTGAGATGGATAATGGTCTAAGATGGACTCGTAGCTCAAACACTGTCAATCAAATCGAGCCTAGACCTGTACAGGTAGCAGCCATGAGACCAACTCAAACCAGTATGGCTACACCACCTGTAGCAGTAGATATGAGATCACTTGGAAGTAGCATTCCCCCACCTCCAATAGAGTCAACACCAACAACTAGAGTACCAAATATTTTGGATCTCATACCCATTCCCTCCTCAACCACCATCCCCATTGTTGTCAAATCAACATCTGCTACTTCACGTGAACCCAAAAGAAAAAGATATTCTTGCACTGGGGATTTACTATCAGTTGATGAAATTATTGCTAAAACTAGTATGACCCCACCACCAGTATCAGTCGATAGGATATCACTTGGAACAGACATGGCCCCACCCCCTATCGAGTCAACCTCAGCTAGAGTACCAAATAGTATGACTCCATCACCTATTTCTTCATACTCTCAAACATCCGACTTTAGATTATATCAAAAGATATTTACTCCCATTGTTCATTATGAAGATGAAAAAACAGATACAGGTATGTTATTTAAATATCCAATGTGTATTATATTATATTTTATTAATCTCTTTTTTATTTATTTATATTTTAAATTAGGTTTTGATAGAGCATTTGTTTATTTCCCAAGAATGACTGGTACAAAAGTGTTGGGAGCCCGATTCGACCATGATCGTGGCCAATTAATCACTCATCTAAGAACTCATTCTTTTAACCGCGATTGGTTTGGTCCGAATGGTGAATGGAACAACTGGGTCAATATACCATGTCCCCATGACATTTTCATTCCCCTTCAAATGGAAAGAGTTGCATCCCTTGTTAATTTAGAGATATTTTCAGAAACCAATCAACATTTTATTGTTGTCTCTATCCTATTTGTTGGCAAAAACTGAAAAGATTAATGTTATTAAAGATATCCTGGTTAAAATAATATTGAAAAATCTGTCAAAAATTGTTAATATTATATTTGAATGCTTTACAAAGCTGCAAATAAATGATTACAGAATATTAAATTCTTCAAAGTGGGAAAATCTTTTGGTTGCTGATGAAATTGTAAATGCAAGTATTGGTCAAAAAAGTAAATTTCTTCTTATTTTTTCAAACAGATGCCTTCTGATTCATTTTTATTTGTCAGAATATTATTATTGGACTGTCATAATAAATAGGGAAACATATAAAATAAAAGAAAGAAGATCAATCAAACATACTTACAGGACACTATTGATTACAGTATTATTTATAAATATAATAAGATGGAGGCAATTAATTAACTAACTACCTCGATGGGGTGAGTGATAGAATGATAGCAACTTTATATGGAGTAAGCAGAGAGATACTCAACTTAATAATCAGATATGTTTTGGTGTCAAATGAAAGAAAGACCATTCGACTAAAGTTTTTTTGAACCACTTGAAAACGAATGATGTCTATTGAACTATTAATGACTATTTCAATTTTAGGCGTATTGACGATGAAGAAGACTCTTGATGAATTGTCTACAAAGAATCTTTTGTATACTGACTGGTGCCAGTTGGGTCGGTTATCTTCTCTCAGGGCTGGCCATCAAACAACCACAAATGGTGTATATTATAATCCGACAAACCCACACAATATTCTATTGATTGTTGATGGTTTGTTGAATTATGATATGCATTGTTTTGTTGGTTTTGTTGATTGAATTTTCCAATCAATCAATCAGGAAATACAAAAAGTGTAAGTATATTTTTTAAATCACAAAGAATTTAATATATAAAAATAAAATAATACTATATATTCAAACTATTTAATTATTTGTTAAACATTTTTAAAATCTGGATATTTATTTGTTGTAAGATTAATTTTTACAAAAAGGGAGAGTAGTATTTACTACTATTTTGTTGACAAGATCAATCAAGAGACAATGCCAATATTGGATACTATTTAGTTTGTTGGAATCTCACCTTCTACAAACATACTGCTGTTGTCATCAAAGTGGACAGTCTTGGAGGTATCAGAAGTGTAGGTAAGGGTCAATGATTGACCGGTGATGCTTGAGATGACACTACCATTGTTGAGTGATGCTGCAACATAGACAGAGAGGGTAACAATTGGATTGTATTCAGCCATTTGATTGTTCAATACTGTGGTGGCATTCAATTCAGAGTCGACTTGGACACCGTTGACAAGAGCTGTTTGGGTGAGACCAAAAGTAAGAGATTCACCATAGTTGTTCACAATACCGTATCCCTTGGTTGCAACGCTGTTGGCTTGATCGAAATAACCAGCTGGGAGGAATGGGTATTGGTGTCCCTTGGCTGCGCTCTATAGAAATATTATATAAATATGTTTTAAAAGGAATGATTAGTTTGGAATCTTTTTTAAAAAAAAAAAAAAAATAGAAAAATAAACTAATTAATTTACAAACCTTGACATTACTGATTCTTTGGATGGTAGCACCATTCTGGATTTGAGAAGAGGATGAGTATAGTCCATAATTTTCGACCCATTCTAAAGAATTATTCAAGAAGGGCTTGAAGGTTACCCATACTACATTTGAGACCTTTCCATTGACACTCTTTACGACACAAACTTTTTCTTGGGCTGAGGCAAGAGCGGCAAGACCAGCTTGTGTGAAGGCAAATTTGAGATTGTATGAAGTCATTTTAGATTTGGTTGATTGTTAGATTATTAAACTTTAAAGTTTTTAATTAATTTGTTTGTTGATTGTTGATTATTGCTTTGATGATTTGATGATTTGAAATGATGTAAAACACCAACTATTTATACTTGTATGGTTCATCATCATTGCAGGATACTTTGTCAGGTGTCATATGAAGCCACAAATTACTTTGGCAATACCCTTTTTGGATGAGTACGGGTATACAATCCTATCTTAGTACCAACCAATTTGGGTTTTTCCATTGGATCCCACTCTGACACCAATCGTTTTTTCAGTCGATGGGTTTTCAATGGTTTAAATCAATCTGAATCGCTTTATGACTGATTCCATCATCACTTCTCTTGATATATTAGTATGATCATTGTAGTAGTAGATATAGGATGGATGATACAACCTACCTATATTTATATTTAATTAATTTTAAATTTTTTTTTTTATAAAGACATTTACTTTTTTGTGTGTGTGAAGTAACATCATAAGTTTAGTGATTAAAAAAACAAACAAATAAGAATAAGAAATGAGAAGTTACTATTATGATACACCAGAAAAGATAGTGAGTGTTGAAGACCTCAAAGCTATCAATATCCTCTACTTTCCAATGAACATGGAAGGATACGTCGAGCAATTGAACAACATCTGTGAAACTAGAGGCTACAAAAATAGAGATGAAGTTAAACTCAACAAAGATACACCAAACTTGGAGGATAAACTAAAGATCTTCTTTGAAGAGTAAATATAAGATAAAACATAAAGAGAAATAGAGAGAAAGAAGGATCGATGATTGTTAACTGATCAATCAATGTTTTCTATTCTCTTTAGACATTTACATGATGATGAAGAAATTAGATTCATTTTAGATGGTTGTGGATTCTTTGATGTTAGAGATGGTAATGATCAATGGATTAGAATTAGAGTTGAAAAGGGTGATTTGATTATTGTTGTAAGTGAAACATATCATATTGTATTGTTCTTTTGATCATTCAAACTAATCTAACTTGAACCTTTTACTATTATACTACTATGTATATATATATATATATATATATTTAATATTATAAGCCTGCAAATATGTACCATAGATTCGCTTTGGATGAAAATAGATATGTTCATGCTATGAGATTATTTACTGATGCTCCTAAATGGGTTCCAATCAATAGAAATAAAGTCGCTGCCAACTAAACCATAAAATTAAATTAATTATTAGAAACCAAGAAATCATCACAAACAAGAACATGTAGATTTCATTTTCATTCTGATTATTAATTAATTTGAAAAGAGTTTATTTATTATCTGTAATTGATATGATATAATGGATAATGGATGATACTCTAAGTGAAACCGATATTCAACAATTTGTAGAACTACTTTATGATGTATCAAGTCAAGATGTTACATTTGAAGAAGCACCTTTGGAGAATGCAATTGGTTGGGTTTGTTATGTAAAGAATGTATGTATAGATAGATAGATGAATGAGAATGATTGATATTTCTATAGAAACTAACATACTACTGCCTACATATATATATATAGCATATAGATACACTATATCAAGCTGAAAAGAAAAAGAATGCAAACAAGAATAGGAGTCTAAAGAATCTGTATGATTCTATTAAAAACAAGATGGACAAGGAAGCTGCTAATAGAAAACAACCTCTCATACCATTTCAACTTGACTTTATGATGAATCTATATGACTCTTTTGTATCCCTCTTGTTGGATCGTATACAATCAAATGATTGGAATCTTCAACTATTGATTAATCTATCATCTCGTAATGAAGATTTATTAAATTCATTATTTAAAGTACGTGTTAAATATATATTTATTTATTAGAATTGGAAGAGTTAATTAACATTGTTATTTGTTTGTTGTAGATTTTAAAACAATTAAAATGTAAATATAATGATGTAAATGAATTAAAATATTGGAATAATCTATTAAAGGAAAAAGAAAAGATTAATGGAGTAAAAGGTGTTGCAGATGCTAAGAAATGGAATATATTGGATGACCCAATTCAAGTGGAAAGAAAGACATGTGCAATGTTGGTATTGGATAGTGTAGTAGAGAAAAAGAAGGAATTAAAGGGTGGAGGATCGGCATTTGATAGCTATATCAAACATTTATTGATTGACATGTTAACAAACAAAGATAATCCAGATCAATATCAACATAATCTATTCCTTTGGGTGTTTTATTGTAATGCAACTGAATATGGTACAGCACCGTATCCAATAGATCCAACAACTGCACTGTCGATTTTAAAAAGCATTCAAAATCGTGATAGAGTCACATTCAACGCCAGGGGATGCCTAGATATTCAACTAGAGTGTTGTAGACTCACTCAACCCTTTGCCGACTACCATGTCAACTCTTTGGCCACAGTGTTTCAACACTACCTATTTAAAGGGTCACAATGTTCCTATGGTGATTCTATACAAGCTCGGTTTATATCTCTCTACTCACGATCCGACAACTCGTACATCCAAGAAATGATCCATAAAAAAATGAAACAATTGAGTGACAAATTGATTGACCATACCAAAACCAGTCTCGACACTCAGCTCTTACGAAATTTCGAATCCATTATCGAATGTATAAACAAAAATCTATTAAATGATCAAACTAAAATTATAACTAAATTTAAACAATAAATATGTCCCAGTTGGAAGAGAAAGAATAATTAATAATTATTTATTTTTTTTTGATTTTTTTTTTTTTTTTTTGCAGATCATTCAAAATACATACGACTAGAGTTTGAGAGAGATAAGATAGGTTAATTAGAGAGTAGTTAGTGTTTAGTCGATTCTTCATCTTCTTCTTTCAATAACATGTTAAGACAATTCACCACAGCTACTATTACACGTAGCCTTGTAAAGGAGACTTGCTTCAAGGTTGCACCAGCAACCGGCGGTATCACCAACTACAACAGATCATTCAGCACTAGTGCAGAGGTCACCGAAGAGGACAAGACAATTGGCAAGCATATGTTTGCCGATGTCAACGACCAAAGAGTAAAGAACTATGTCAACGGTCTCAAGCTCGAAGACAAGACAGTTTTAATCTACAAACCATCGAGAATAACAATGCAATCGGGTACTTTGCGTACTAGAAAGTGGAGATTGGAACTCCCAGTCAACAACAAATGGCATGATGGTTTGATGGGCTGGTGGGCTTCTGCTGGTACCCTCAATCAAATTAACCTTACATTCCCTGCTGAAGAAAGTGCTATTGCTTATTGTAAAGAAAATGGTAAATGTCACAAAACAAAGCACATGTCAATACAAATCATATGACGATAAACAAACGACTGGTGTGCATTGTCGTTGCACGAAGACATCTCAAATCAATGACATTGATTGATCATTCAATTACAGATCACTTGCTAACATTATCTTTCATCAATATTATATTTATATTATAGGATTAAATTATGAAATATTAGATGAAGACCATACAACAATGAAAAAGAAGAGATATGGTTACAGATTTATTTACCAAGGAGATTTGGATAAAGCACCATCTGAAGATGACATTAAATAAGACACTTAGGACAACAAACAGATATAGACAAATATAGGATTATAATAGATTCATAATAATTTAATAAATCAAACAACACCTTTTAATAATATTGTACAACAAACAAACAAACAAAAGATATAACAATTCATACAAATATATATTAATATCTATATCTACACTCAAAGATCAATGAAAAACGTCGATGTTCTATTTGTTGATCATATTCGTTTTTAAAATCTATACGACTGCTCTGTTATCAAATAATGTGTCATTTCTTTTCTCTCTTTTCAATGTTACTACTGTACGTTGTTTATATATTTTTGAAACCTATTTTATTTAACTTAAGATAGGCATCGGCTTTAGTTAATTGTTTAGAATTAACATGCTTACTCGCCCTTGCTTCTGAGACGGCAACCTGGGGTGATACGAGCACGACCACCAGTTGGTTGAGCAATAACGGTGGAGCATGAGCTACATAAAACGACGGTTTGAGCCTATATGGATAAGTAAGTAAAAAGGGGAGAGTGGAGAGGTTAGTGATGAGTACTACAGTGTCTCTGATCAGAGAGAGATTCATTGCTTTGTTTCACTTACATGGGAGAAGACAACGGTGATGGTGTGACAACCATGACAGTTGATGTCCATGAAGAAGGAGTTTGGTGATTGAACCAATCTCTTCAACTTGTGCTTACGCTTCTCTGATTCAATGCTTGGGTATAATAAATCACCACGTTCTCTAGCCTGTTATGTCATAGTAGGTAGGTAGGTAAGAGAGTGAGAGTTAGATACATGCATGTGGTGTGATACATCTGTCACATGTAGCATAATATATGGATAAACTTACCATTTTTATAAGGATCAAGTGTATATGGGGCTGAAAAAAGGAAGGAGCTATTTGTCGACCGTGTTCTTTTTGTTCGGTCTCGTGAAAATCTTTTAAAAATTAAAAAAAATGAATTTTTCGTTTTTGCCTTGCTTTTATTTTCGTCGTTATTATTTTGTGTAGACAATGATGAGCTGAGTTTTTGATCACCCAATCAATCAATTTAATGAATCAACCTTGTATATATATCTTTTAATTTAAATGTATAATACGATAGATATTGTTAGTATTTAAGAGATGGAGATGTTAGTATTGTTCAAAAGAGATGTTTGGATTCTACAAGTTTTTTGATTTATTTTGAAATTGTTTGGTTTAAACCAAACAAAAAAGAGTTGGAATGATTGATTTGTTGATTGTTTTAACTTTTTTAAGCTAATAAAGTTTTAACTACAGTTTTAACATTCATTCTCTTGAGATCAGTATAATTTTGACCGGTACCGAGGAAGATGATTGGATGACCGGTAGAATAGACCATAGAGATGGCTGCACCAACCTTGTCATCGATAGTGTCAAACTTGGTGAGAATGATACCGTCAATGGTACGGACATTGTTCTTGGAGGCGTCAGACAAGAGTGAGAGCGACTTGTCAAACTTGGTGAGTTGATCGACACCGTCGTTTCCGACCAATGCCTCACCGACAAAGAGAACCAAGTCGATGGTGTTTTGGTTGACTAGCTTGGAGAGGGCACGCATCAATGGCTCGTTGTTTTGCATTCTACCGGTTGTGTCAATGAGGACGACATCGTGTTTGGTCTGACGAGCATATTCGATAGCGTCACCAGCAATCGAGGCGGCATCCTTTCCATACCCACGTTCAAACAACTCTACATCGAGACGTGCAGCGTGAGTACCGAGTTGCTCAATAGCACCCGATCTGAATGTATCGCAAGCAGCGAGCATCACACGGTGACCATTGGCCTTGAGCCAATAGCACACCTTGGCCAAATTAGTGCTCTTGCCAACACCATTGACGCCCGAAAAGACAATAGCGTATGGACGTGATCCCTTGAGCAATTGAATGTCTTTCAAAATATCAATATGCTTTTTGGGGGTGAGAATACGTGTAAGAGACTCTTCCATTGCTGTCTTTACAACAGTCGTGACACCCTGGAATGTGGATAGCTTCTTGCCCTCCAAACTACTGCCAATCGACTCTACCAACTTTTCAGCAATATCCAATGCAACATTCTTGCTTGTCAAATGACCAACAAACTTTTGTAATACTGGTTCAAGATCCTCCTTGGCAATGGTTCTATTACCAGTCAACACTTGGAAATACTTCATAAATCCAGTGACTGGTTTATCCTCTTCATCTGATGAAATATCCATATCCAAATCATGTTTAATAAACTCTGTCTCCTTTTCAATCACTTGTTTTGATGATCTATCTGATCTATTTAATGATTCCATTTCTCTTTTGGTTGCTTTACCATCATCCCATGATCTTGCTTCTTTACCTTTTTTTTGTCTAAAAAAAAGATAAAAAAAGTTTAGTATTTGTGTTGTGATTTACAAATCTTTACTTTACATACGTTGGAGTTGAATCTTTCTTTTTTGGAGTAAACTTTCTTGGACCAGTTCTCTTTTTTGGTGTATTATTATCAAGATCCAAATCTTCAATCTTTTCTTCAATGTCATCATCTGATTCTTCCTCTTCTTCTTGTTCGTCAGAGTCATCTGACGACGAAGATGATGTTGATTTTTTCTTCTTGTTTGCACCATTTGTAGTCTTTTTTGGTGTCTTTGGTTTTTTACCACTTTGAATATCTTTGAGTTCTTGTTCTTTACGTTGTTCGACTGTCATTTTACCCTTTTCAGTCTCTTCAAAACGCTTGGGAGTACTTCCCGACAATGCCTTTTGCCTTGATTCAGCTTCCACCTTGTGAAGAATAGCTTCAAATGTCTTGCCAAACGATTCAAATACGTCAATAGTGACGGTGCTTTGATTGTTCTTGATCGATACCAATTGATCTTTGAACAATTTAATAAACTTTCTCTTGATAACTTGTAATAATTCATCAATATAAATTAATGATAAAATCTTTTGATAAACAACCTAAAAAAAGAATAATAGTGTAATATAAAGAAAAGAGAGTTAAATTTAAAGTTTAACAACTCGATGTTGGTATATCTATTCTTATTCTTCTTTACTTACAATAAAGATTAAATCAACGTCATTTGCAAAAGTCCATTTTAAAGTATAACTATCACAATTGAATGATGTATCAGCACCTCTTTCTTGTACCAATACCTTTTTGATGAGACTATTGACTGGTTGTCCCTTTAATCTTGCAAATTCAATTGACCAGAGAGCAATACCTCCCTTTGTGACAATAGTAAATTGATCAATCATCTTTCTTCTTCTAACAAACACTGAGTCAATGTATATAAATGAATGAGGAGAGATAGATAGATAGAAATGAAATAAATATAATATAAATATAAATATGAAAATGAGCAAAGTTTAATTAAACCTTTGGAACTGTCAGACGGAAGTGTTGGGTGAGAAAAAAAAAAAAAAGAAAAAGTCAACAAAATTCCTTCTCAAGTCAAACATGTTTTAAAGATATAAGTTTCAAGAGTACCTCTCTCCTCATTCAAATTGGTCTCTCGAAATACATATCTATCTGTCTATCTATTTAAATAGAACATCAAGGTATATATATATATATTCAACAAAGTTTGATTATTATCATTGACCTATTATTCATATGTGACCAACTGATATAATAAAATATTCTATGATAGGATAAGAGTCATTAAAGACGATAGAAGACCGAGTTCATTCATCAAATATCGTTGTACACAATGAATAATGAAACAACACTCATCGATCATGTGATGATCAGTGCAACGCATCGAATTCGATGAAGTTTTAACACCCCGCTTTTCAACACCGATCAGATTTGATTGACACAAAGTGGCTTTTAAACTAAACAACACCCCTCTGTCAACCAAATCATGTGCGATTTGATTTTTTGGTTGGAATTCCAACAATGATTTGTGGATGGAGACCACGTGTGACAAAACTGTCGTGTGTAACGTGCCATTTCTGCAACCGATCGTCTTCTCTTTTCTTTGCTTTCGGTCTTGATTTGGGTTTAACTTTGATTGATAATGGGTAGGTGCTCTTCCTATCCTCCTCACTCACGATCATCAACTCGATCATACTTTTCAAGAGAAGAAGAGGTGACTTTTGGAAATGTACCGATCTTAGTCACAATCCCATAGTCAACCCATTAATCAATCTCTACTCTCGCCCTATGATTATACCTACTACTGTTGGTTGGCTTGGCTTCGCTACTGTTGGCTCAGCTGAGCACGAATGCCACTTTGTTTTGTTTGAATCCCAACCAAACCATCCTCCCTCCTACTATATCGAGTCAACTACACAAGCCGATTGTGATCGACACGCAGTTAACCCTCATGCACACCAATCATTTTAATTAATATCTGCCCAAACTAATAGTACAAAAAGCGAATACTAAAGATATAAATACCCTTCAACCATTCACATTTCTAATCATTCCAAATCAACAATCAACAAATACAACAAACAAATATCCAACAAATATTTATATTATTAATATTATTAATTAACAAGTTAAACAATCATCTAAAATGACATCATATGAACTCAAATTTGCCTTCACCCAAGCTGGTCTTGCCGCTCTTGCCTCTGCCCAAGAAAAAGTTTGTGTCGTAAAGAGTGTCAATGGAAAGGTCTCAAATGTAGTATGGGTAACCTTCAAGCCCTTCTTGAATAATCAACTCTCCTGGCAAGAAACTTATGGACTATACTCGTCCTCTTCTCAAATCCAGAATGGTGCTACCATCAATAGACTCTCTACCCTTAAAGTTTGTATTTTAGAAAAATAGTTTTCTAAAAACTAGATTTATTAATAACTTTCTATCTTTTCTTTATAGAATGCTGCCAAGGGACACCAATACCCATTCAACTCATCTGGTTTCTTTGACCAAGCCAACTCGGTCTCTGTCAAGGGATACGGTATTGTTAACAACTATGGTGAATCTCTCACTTTTGGTCTCACTCAAACAGCTCTCGTCAACGGTGTCCAAGTTGATTCTGAATTGAATGCCACCACTGTCCTCGGAAACCAATCCGCTGAATACACTCCAATTGTTACCCTCTCTGTCTATGTTGCCTCCCAACAAAATAACGGAAGTGTCATTTCCAGCATCACCAGTCAATCTTTGACTCTCACCTACACTTCTGATACCTCCAAGAGTGTCTTCTTTGATGATACCCAAAATATGTTTGTCGAGGGAGACATTCCAGCCTAAACTAACTATCTAAACTAATACAATTATTATTAAAATATTAAATAAATAAATAATCAAACATAAACATTCAATCAAATCTTATTTGTATTTTCAAAAAAAAAAAAATATGTGATCAAAAATATTAATATTATTTCCTTGTTTATATATATAAAGAAAATACAAAATAAGGTTTGATTGAATGTTTATGTTTGATTTTTATTTATATTAATATAAATAAATAAATAATAATAATTATAATTATTTGTATGTGATTTATTTATAAACTGATTTTTGATAAACAATATTATCAATAATTTGAGTAAAGAATTCATCTGAACGAAGTACAGTGTCTGGATTAAAGCTATGTTCTTTGGCATAGAGTTTGACAGCATTTTCAATCATGGTGTTGATCAATTCAAATGTGATTTCTTCCATTGGATATTTACCGGCAACGGTAGATAGATAACGCATCTCTAATACAAAGTGTTGTAAGCCACCATTTCCGTAACTGTATCCTTCAGACTCGTTCAATTCTTGCATACGACGTGAAAGGATCATAACAATCTCTTGAATGATTTTAGAGGCAATTGGTGATACACTTTCCATATTGACATGTTTTGAATGACTGTCGACAAACTCTCTACAGTCTCTGCCAAACGAATGAATTTCTTTGGAAGTGGTTCAATGTCCTCGTCTAGACGATAAATCTCTGAATCCCACATCATAATATGATCAACCGTCTCTAATGCCTTTTTGACTGAGTATTCATCACGAATACGACGGAACATATTATCCAGAGTCTCTTTGAGTGAATCCAAATTATTGAGTGGTCTACCAATAGCATCTTCAAATCGATTGGTACTACGTACAAATAAATCTTCACTTATAAATACAGCATCTGAAATAATTGAATGCATTTGGTTGTCTGATAGATCTTTTTGTACTGCTACAATTAAATGATTTAAATATTCCCTAAATATTTTTGATAATGATGTTGATATTGTTGGAATTAACTATAAAAATAAAAAGAAATAGAATATTAATATTATATTATAATATATATGGGTATTTAGTTTAGTTGACATACTTGAGGATTAATGATATGACAAATATCATTTGAAAATCTTTGAATGATGGTATTTAAAAATATAGTACTTTCTGTCAACTTTAATTTACTTTCTTCTCCACCTGTTGCGTTGTTATATTGTTGATTTCTTAATTGTGGAGAATATGAAAGAGGAGGAGTATTTGGTTTAGAGTTGCTTTTTGGTGATGATGTGGTAGGGAGTGGTGAGAGGGCAAGTTCGTATTCCCAATTTGATGTGCTTTGCCATTTCTCATCGCCGAGGTGTTGTTGTAGTTGCTCACGTATTCTCGCTTCATAGTCATAGACAAGCTTTTCAATGTGTGGTTGCAACATCTGTGTCCAGTAGAATGAGAGTGCTAGACCACTCTGCTCCATCATTTCACAGTGTGAGTGTACAATATGGATCAGCTGCGATATGATGTGGTAGTTATCATTGGTCAGCACTTGGCGACTGAATATATCTACAATCAGCTCTACCTGGTGTACAATCCATTCGACCAAACCACTAGCCATATACGACTCTGGGAACGAGTTGGTATAGTCTAGACATGTAGTATTGATAGCGTTGAATATAATACGTGTCAATTCACCGATATAGCGAATCAGGTCACCACTCAAACTGACCTTTTTCACAGCCACTTGGATCGCATGGCTACGACTCTCCAAGAATATACTCTTTGCCTTGTCACTCTGCTCCAACTTGACCAACAATGCAATCGTATCTCTAATCTGATTGGGTTTGAGAATAGGACTACGCAACTGATCCATCAAACTCTCTATTAAATTCTTGATTCTAATATCAATCTGTTCTTTCAATGGATGTGTTTGCATCACAATTTCAACTTTTGGATTATTTTCATAAATCTTATTAACTAAAGAGAGGATAAAGATATTAATATTTCTCTCTCTCACTCTCTCTCTCTCTCTCTCTCTCTCTCTCTCTCTCTCTCTCTCTCTCTCTCTCTCTCTCTCTCTCTCTATCATCAATTATTATAATATTATATTACTTTTTTTCAACTATATTTACAGCAAGATCAAATTCTCTTTGTTCAACGGCAGTATCCAATTCATAGGGTGCAGTTGTTAACCATTGGATTGGTTCAGTTGCAGCATTTAATGTTTCAGCATCAACCTTTTGATTTCTTTTCGCTTTATCTATTTGTTGTCAATTAATAATCTTGTTAATATATATATATATATATATATCATTCCAACATCATCATCATCATTTTCAATCACATACAGAAATCCCAATTAATTGATAAATTTTGCATTGCATTGATTGAATTTCCATATTCAGTTACTAGATTACGAAAATCTAACATATCTACTTCAGAACTAGCAATCTCTTTTGATGCACCAATGAATATAAGATGATTTTTGTATACATCTTTTTTAAGATGATCGATACATCCCAACTTTCTTTCATTTAAATAATTTAAATGTGTCATTGCTTGTGAATCTGATTTATGAACAAATAAATCATTTGTATCTTTAAAGTAAAAAGTCAGTATTAAGTTATTTGATTCATTGATAATTTAATTTAAATTACATTTGTCTGAAGAAAATGAATGATCTGTGAAAGTTTCATAATTGACTGGATTCTCTTCATCGGTCATTGCACCACCAGGTCTTGATTGTTCAGTTCCTTGATAAATGTCGTATCGGTAGACAGTCTTTTTCTTGTCAGTGTGAAGACATGTGACGGTACCTTCTTTAAAGTCGACCGATAGTTTGATCGAAGACTTTTGTGTGACCATCATAGTGATCGGACCAACCCATTCACGATACATAAACTTGATGACATAGATACCATTCGATCGGATATCTGCACACTCTACATTCTGATATTCTACATTTGAGCTAGCTGTACTCAACTTTGGGTCGAATTTTAAATCATAGATTCCTCCCTTTTTCATCCTTAAATACTACTACTAATACTAATACTACTAATACTACTAATACTACTAATATATATATATATATAAATACAAGATAGATAGAGATATATTATCTCTCTTTACAAAGATGTGAAGTGATAAAGAAGTAAAAACTTTAATTACGGCAAAAAAATATTTTTTGGGCTTGAAAACCATATCAAAACTATCAAAACTCTTGTTTTGAAAGTTATTATTGTATTGTAATAATAGAACGCTTATCTAAAGGTGTATCTATCTCCCTTTGGTCTAAAATTTATATTTATTTAGATTTATATAAATATCTCACGATAGAATCAGTATCTTTAAAAGGATATCTGTACTGTATCTTAACCAATCAATCAACAATTAGATTTATAAACAACAACAACACACAAACAATCTTTTCATCATCGATTCCACTCACTCACACTTTCACACTGTTGTCATTATCGACTATTGGCTAATAGTGTTAATCATTTCCCCCTACAAATCAATTATTTGTATGTATAACAGTGACACAACCAAACCAATAACATCACAGCAACAACAACAACAACAACAATAGCACAACGTATCTGTGTAGACAACACAACACAGCACAACTCAAAGTTTGACAGCAAGAGGGAGGAGGAAGAAGAAGAGGAAGAGGGAGGGAAGGAAGATACAGATAGTTTTTTTAGTCAAGACACCTGCTGATTAAATATTATTATATCAATCATTGAATTAAATCACATCACATAGAGACAGATAGATATTTTTATAGATAGATATTAATAGATAACTTACTCAATTCTAGAATATAGTCGTATATATAATATAGATAATAGATAGATATACCGATAGATAGATAGATAGAACGATTTAAATTTGTAATACCACCATCCTTGAAGACATGTCAAGTGTTACATTACCACCATCTTCTTCATCAACACAGACAACGCCACCCGTTGTTGGAGCAGATGTAGTAGTAGTAGCAGCACCTACGACAACGACAACGACAACGACGACGACATCATCATCATCATCAACACAGGCAACTCCATTGTCATTGTCATCCAACAATAGTCTTTCATCGACATCACCAAACAATGCAGTTTCATTGCCAGCATCTCCTATCATGAACGGAGGTGGAGGCACAAAGCTTACAACACTACACATTGAAGAGATACAAGGCAAGAATATCAATGAAAAGGATGTCTTTGTAAAGTTTAAGATTGATGGCAAAAAGTACAAGACAAAGACACACAAAAAGACAAATAACCCATTTTGGAGTGACAAGTTTACAATGTAAGTAAAATGATCTTGGTTATATTATCTTTGTCACATCGACTAATCATTCATTCCCTTATTTAGAACAAGTACGAATAAATTGGAAGAGATAACATTTACTATCATTAGTCAGAATATATTGGGAAATAATGTAAAATTGGGACGTGTCAAGTATCCATTGACAAAGAGTAATGCTACTTCTACACCAAGTCCAGTTAGAAAGAGTGTCAAGATCAACGCTTCAGATGTGTCATCGGCATCAATGACACCTGCATCACAATCAACTACAACTACACCATCCCAAACACCTGCCAATACAAGTACACCTGATATGGCACCTACAAATGGAAATACTAGTCATAGTAGTAATAATAATAATAATAATAATACAACAGATAAACCATTACCTGCAATACCAATAGCGGGTACAAGTTCATCATACTCTGATACAACTAGTGCATCAATGTCGGATACATACGATAGTTGGGTGATTGACTATTGGAGTGTGGTTGAAAAGGAAAAGAATATGGATAGAGTGCTAGAGTTGAAATTAAAGATTATTGTTAAGATGCGAGAGTTGTATTTGGATACCGACACGAATAGTGGGGCGTCAATGCCCGAAGATACTAGTAGCAACTCGAATCTGTCTATTGCACCGCCATCTCGTAGTCCCCGCGACCAGGTTGTTTCACCCAAGGAGATGTCGTTTATTGGCAAGGGAGGTAGCCAGATTAAAAAGTTTACTAAAAAGCTGACATCCAAGATCGAGGGAGGGTCGTCCACCTCGAGCGGTGGAGCTTCTAGCAACACTCTTGGAGGTCATACAGCCAAACCAGACGCGAATCGTTCGAGAATCGGTATACCCACCCAACAACAGCAACAAGCCATCGAGGAACAAATTGCAAAAGAACGACAAAAGGAATTGGAAAGAGAAGAAAAAGAAAAGGAAAAGGAGCGAGCAAGAGAAAAACTACGTCAACGTGAAGAAGAGGAATTGCAAAAACAACTTGAAAAGGAGAGACAAGAGGAACGACGAAAGGCAAAAGAAGCCAAGCAAAAAAAAGACAAGGAAAAGAGATACGTTCCAACTCGTCCAATCGATTATTTCTTTGTGTGTGGTATATCAAACAAACTTGAACCAATCGATCAACGTTATGAACATGCCTCTTCCAAAGCATTTGATCCAATGGATATAGTTTATAAAGGAGAATTATTTGATTGTTTTCCACCAAAAGATGACGAAATTTTACCAAATCATATTTGGATGGTAAGATAGATAAAAAAAAGAAAAAAGAAAAAGAAAAAAGAATAATTTATTAATATTTTATTTTTTAGTATTGTTTTCCAAGAGGATTACAATTACAATTTGAAGATATTGGACCATCATTTTTCCCTTTTGTATTAACAAATGAAACTGGAGTTAGATTTTATGGAAGTTGTTTAATCTTTTATGAACCAATTGGTGAGGAAATGACATTGGAAATTAAAAAACGTCGTAATTCATCTGCTTCTCAACAACCGCAGCAACAACAACAACAAACACAACAAAATGGTAATAGTAATGATCAAACCGATGGTACAGAGATTGGAGATTCATCACAAACACCCAATAGTAAATCAAAACGTATTAGTACTCCACCTCTATCACCAAGTAGTACTCAACAACAGCAACAAAACCAATTGGTAACAAGTGATAATGGTTCAACTGGCAGTGGCAGCGGTACTAGTGCTGGTACTATTCCACACTCTCTTTCATCGGGAGGATTGGTGGCTAGTGGCAATTCACAAATCTATGCACCAAAATGTATTTGTTTCTTGTCTCACTACCCCTTCTTTTCATTCTTTAGACTTACTCTAAATGAAGTCTATCAAAAGGTTTTCTTTTCAACAACACCTTTACCCATTGAAAGATACATTTATAATATGGTACAAGAAGTCCCACTTCCAACACCAGGTTTATCAACTGTAACATATAATTTAAATAATTCAATCATTTCACTTAAAAGATCATCAGAATATCTTTTACCAACTTCAGATGTATGTAACAAAAAAAAATATCAAATATTAAATAATAATGGAATATTATATTACGATTATTAACTCTTTCATTTTGAATTTCTTTTAGTTACCATTTTCATTATTATTTAAATGCTTGGATATTAAAAACGCTTTAATATTATTTAAATCTATTTTATTGGAAGAGAAAATTGTTATCATATCAAGTCATTACTCCTTATTAACTTATATCACTGAAATATTAACTACTCTATTACATCCATTTACTTGGGTAAGTAAAAAAACAAAAACAAAAAAAACAAAAAGAATATTTATTTATTTATTTATTTCTATTTATTTTTTATTTAGCCACATGTTTATGTACCAATTTTACCAGAATTATTATTAGAATATGTTTATTCACCATTTCCATTTATTATGGGTGTTCATAGATCATATTCACATAATATTCTAAATGAAGAGAATTTGTTGGGAGAGATTGTTGTGGTCGATCTTGACAATAATATTGTTTTGATTCCACCACCACAACAACATACAGGAGGTCAAGTTATTCAGTTGCCAGAAAAGGAGACAGCTCAACTCGTCAGTCAATTGCGTCGTGTTGTACAATATGAAATATTGTCTTCTGATCTGCCCAACTTTAACCTAAACACTCTTACTCCGATCAATCCATCGTTCAATACCGATTCCTCTCGTAGAATTCTTTCCAATCAACCATTGTCGCAAGTGTACCATCATCCTCCAACCGTACCAGCCAACGTTGATGATTACATTAGATTGTCATTCCTTCAATTCTTTTGTCATATCCTTTCAGACTATAGAAAGAATCTAAAGTATCTAAGAGTTTTCCCAAAACCAATTACTCTATTTGATAAGAATGAATTTGTTAAATCAAGACCTGGAAATACTTCTGTATGTAAAGAAAGAAAAAAGAAAAAGAAGGAAAAAAGTCTAATATTTTTTAATTTAAATTTTTTTTAGGCATTTTATAAATCATTTATTGAATCACAATCATTTAGTTGGTTCCTTGATCAACATAATTGGCCAACTCGTAATTTATTTGATTATGTATTAGAGACACAGAAATACAAGAAACCAATTGACGAGTTGGTAGCAAGTTATCAATCGTCGATTCCACAGGCACTTGGTGTATTGGATCCAGTCAAACAAACGACCATTAGTGCTCCACAACCATCTTCGTTGAAATCAAACTCTACTTCGATTCGTGAATACACTCGATTCCCATCACTTAAACACGAGTTGATGGTTACATCGCAGCCAAGTAGTACTAATGGAAATGTAGGGTTTGTGACTTCATTCATCACTGGTAGATCATCCAACAATTCAACACCTGCTCAGTCTCCACCTGCATCTCCTCCATTTGACGTGTACACTACATCACTCAAGGAAGATGAGAGTGTTCCCAATCCAACAGCCACTACCGGCAACCCAGAAGATTTCAAAGAGTTTAATATTATCGAACCAAGCTTTGAAGATCAACACAAGTCGTTTGTCACCATTGTCGAACAGTTCTTGTCAAAGGTATTGACCGATGTATTGCCCGAACAATCTGATATCCAACAGATTCTAGATCTATTAAACTTTGACTATGGGCGTCAGATATTTGGTCGTCTCTTGTTGAGTCATCAAAAGGGGGCTGGTACAACTGGACAAGAGGACACTGCAAGCCGTTCAAGACTGAGCGATCAGTTGTTCTACTGTCTTGGTGATATTCTCAAGGCTGCTTTGAGAGAGGCCAACTTACACTCGGACTTCCCAGCCACTAGAATGTATTTGGAGGCTAGTTTTACATACCATCGTTTGCAAAAGGGATCCAACGAGTTTATCTCGGAGCGTATTCGTAACCAAGACGTGTGGCAAAACTACAAGTTTTGGGAGCAGTTCTTTTTCGATACGCTCGAGATGCGTTGCAAGGCATTGTATGGTAATGTCGTTCGCGAGATGATTAAATGGGACTCGTATATGCCCGACAAACAAGAGAGATTAAAGGCAGAGGAACGAGATATGGAGTTTTCGTTACTATCCAAGATGGTCTACTACATGATCAATCTAGGATCACGACCTGATTTGGTACGTCGATTTGTCAACAAGATGTGCTCGGGTATAAACTTTGACCATGAGCGTACCGAGACTATGATGCAGGTAGTTAGCAACATCACTCGTGCACGTGACATGTACGACCAAGACGACCAAGACAACGACGATAACAACCACTCTGGCGACAAGCATGTTGACAAGGATCTCAAGATGACATTCAACAAAGAGTCGTATCTACCAATTGGACTGTACTCGCAAAAGCCAAACGAAGGTAGAGAGCTGCTCAACCATCTCATCGACGAAAAGAGTAACAGCATTGTTGCACTACGTTCACTGAGCAGAATCATGAATCTCAAGACTGCCTGGAACGAAAAGCGAACCACCACTAGCCACAGAATCGACTATCGTGACATTTCTGAAAACAGAGGAGACTATGTCGTAAAGACATTTGCAGGTCATCAAGAAGGTGTTCTCTGTGTAGCCGTCCTCAATAACCAGTCGTCACACAAGGAAAGCTCAGTTGTCCTAACAGGCTCGGCGGACTCTACTCTCAAGGTGTGGGATATGACCACAACCAAATGTCTTGGAACACTTGAAGATCATGGTGGTTGGGTAACCAGTTGTGAAATAACTACAGACTCTAGAGCAATCTCTGGATCATACGATAAAACTCTTAAACTTTGGGATCTAAATGCTTGCAAAAAGATTAAATCGTTTAGAGGTCATAAAGGTTCCATCAGTTGTTTACAAGCAATTGATAATCATCAAATTGTTTCTGGTTCTTATGATAATACAATGTATGTAAAAAAGAAAAAAAAAAGAAAAGAAATAGTTAATATTTATTTAAATATTTATTAATTTATTTAATTTTTTTTTTTAGATGTATATGGGATGATAGATCAAATAAACCATCAAGTGTATTATCAGGACATCAACAACCTATTATGAGTATTATAGTAGAAGGATATAATATCATTTCTGGTAGTAGAGATACTAATATTAGAATTTGGGATGTTCGTACATTGACATCAAAGATACTTTCTGGTCATACGGATTGGGTAAAGTGCCTAGAGTTTGGTGGTGACGTATTACTTAGTGGATCGTGTGATGGTCGTGTCAAGGTTTGGTCAGTGGCCAATCACGAATGTATAAAAACCTTACAGGGACACAGTGGAAGTATAAACTCGATCCTCATGCACGAAATGGATAATAACCATAGAAAGTTTATTACTGCGTCTGCTGATACCAATATTTCTGTTTGGGATAGTAACTATGCCGAACAAACACATACTCTATCCGGACACAGTGACGAGGTCATGGCAGTATCAAACTTTATCAACGACCTCGTAGTCTCTGGTTCATACGATGGATCTATTCGTCTATGGGATGTAAACAATGGCAAATCACTTCGTACCATTCATAATCACTCGCATAGAATATCATCACTTAAAACTTATGATTCACTCATTGTAACTGGTAGTTGGGATAAAACTGCTAAAGCTTGTTTATTTAGTTTAGATTTTAGACAATAGATAATCAATCGAAATATATAATAATAATAATAATAATAATAATAATAATCAAAAAAGAAATACGAATAATGGAATACTATACTATATATATATAAAATATTTATTTAAAATAATTAACAAACAAATTAAAATGTAAAAGTAAAATAATAAATAATGGTTAAATAATTATACCAATGTATTAAATATCTAAGAATTTGAATATACCCTAGGACCATTGGCTATTGTGTCTTGTATCATAATACTTTTTCCTTATGATGTTACTTCACACACCGAAAAAAGTAAATGCCTTAAATATAAATATATAGGTTATATCATCCTTCCTATATCTACTACTACTTCTATCATGATCATGGTCATTAATAGGTATATCAAGAGCAGTGATGATGGAATCGGTGATAAAGGCATTCAAACTGATTTAACCACCAAAAACCCATCGACCGAAAAAAAACGATTGGTGTCAGAGTGGGATCCAATGGAAAAACCCAAAATGGTTGGTACTAAGATAGGATTGTATACCCGTACTCATTCAAAAAGGGTATTGCCAAAGTAATTTGTGGCTTCATATGACACCTGACAAAGTATCTTGTAATAATGATGAACCATACAAGTATAAATAGTTGGTGTTTTACATCATTTCAAATCATCAAATCATCAAAGCAATAATCAACAATCAACAAACAAACAAATCGATTAAAAACTTTAAAGTTTAATAATCCAACGATCGATCAAATCTAAAATGACATCATACAATCTCAAATTTGCCTTCACCCAAGCCGGTCTCGCCGCTCTTGCCTCGGCCCAAGAAAAAGTTTGTGTCGTAAAGAGTGTCAATGGAAAGGTCTCAAATGTAGTATGGGTAACCTTCAAGCCCTTCTTGAATAACACCCTCGAGTGGCAGGAGCAGTACGGACTTTACTCATCCTCTTCTCAAATCCAGAATGGTGCTACCATCCAAAGAATCAGTAATGTCAAGGTTTGTAAATTAATTAGTTTATTTTTCTATTTTTTTTTGTATTTTTTAAAGATTCCAAACTAATCATTCCTTTTAAAACATATTTATATAATATTTCTATAGAGCGCATCCAAGGGACACCAATACCCATTCCTCCCAGCTGGTTATTTCGATCAAGCCAACAGCGTTTCAACCAAGGGATACGGTATTGTCAACAACTATGGTGAATCTCTTACTTTTGGTCTCACCCAAACAGCTCTTGTCAACGGTGTCCAAGTTGATTCTGAATTGAATGCCACCACTGTATTGAACAATCAAATGGCTGAATACAATCCAATTGTTACCCTCTCTGTCTATGTTGCAGCATCACTCAACAATGGTAGTGTCATCTCAAGCATCACCGGTCAATCATTGACACTCACCTACACTTCTGATACCTCCAAGACTGTCCACTTTGATGACAACAGCAGTATGTTTGTAGAAGGTGAGATTCCAACAAACTAAATAGTATCCAATATTGGCATTGTCTCTTGATTGATCTTGTCAACAAATCCCCTATTTGTAAATAATCTTACAACAACTATATATCCAGATTTTAAAAATGTTTTAAATAAACAAATAATTAAATAGTTTTGTAAATGGTATTATTTTATTTTAGAATATACATACAATTTTTGTATATCCAATTGATTGATTGATTGGAAAATTCAATCGACAAAACCAACAAAACAATGCATATCATAATTCAACAAACCATCAACTATCATAAGAATATTGAGTTGGTTTATCGGATTATGATTTACACTACTTGTTGTTGTTTTTCAATAAAATACACATTGGATATTTAATAACATACCTGTATCTGTTTTTTCATCTTCCTAATAAACAATGGGAGTAAATATCCTTTGATATAATCTAAAGTCGGATGTTTGAGAGTATGAAGAAATAGGTGATGGAGTCATACTATTTGGTACTCTAGCCGAGGTTGACTCGATAGGAGGTGGGGTAATGTCTGTTCCAAGTGATATCCTATCGCTGATACTGGTGGCGGGTTCATACTGGTTCTAGCAATAGTTTCATCAACTGATAGTAAATCTCCAGTATAAGAATATCTTTTTCTTTTGGGTTCATGTGAAGTAGCAGATGTTGATTCGACAACAATGGGGATGGTGGTTGAGGAGGGAATGGGTATAAGATCTAAAATATTTGGTACTCTAGTTGTTGGTGTTGACTCTATTGGAGGTGGGGGCATGCTACTTCCAAGTGATCTCGTATCAACTGCCACAAGTGGTGGTGGTGGAGCCATACTGGCTCGAGTTGGTCTCATGGCTGCTACCTGTACAGGTCTAGGCTCGATTTGATTTACAGTGTTTGAGCTACGAGTCCATCTTAGACCATTATCCATCTCAAAATTAACGACATAGTTGATAATATAGAAAGCTTTTGTGAGCTGTTCGATAGAAGATCTCCATGGTTTGTTAAAACAACCAAACACTTTTAAATTTTCCAAATATTTATCCACTACCACCCTGTTTTGTGCAACATGTTCATTTCTTTCCTTTTGTTCGGTGGTCAATGGTACATTTACTCTCTTTTTGTGAGGGACTACAATACGTCTAAATCCCTGGTAAACCCTGTCTCCAAGCAAATGTTCTTCGTTCAATGTACAAAGAACCAATGGATTAGTCGTTTGGGCTATAACATTATCATTCATTGATCCAGGGAATGGACCTTTTATCATTTATTATGACAATTGGGTTGGGGACCGTCTCAGACTCTTTGTGTTCTACTTGCATATAAATACAATTTGGGACATTCTCTTTTGTCAAGAATGCAGAGATACTAACTCCTCCAAATTCACACTTGCCATAATTTTCGAGAGTTCTGCCACCACCCTTTCGACCAAGCATACAATACTTTTGATGGTTTTGAGCTTCTTGAAACCTAGTTGAACCAAGAGATTGAAAGGCTGGTAGAAGGGTATCTTGCATCGTTGGCATGAATCCATCGTATACAATGATAGCAACTTGCAGGTCTGGAGGTATCGAGTCAACCCTTTTAACAAACTCTTCATTTGTTCGGGTGTATTGGCATAGTTGCGAAAGTGAAAAGGAAAGCTAGACATACCAAAGGCAGAGTGGCACGGATCATAGATCCAGAGATTGATACCAACCAATGAAATACTGATAGTGTCTGACTCAACGCCACTAGAGATATTGGGAATGCTTTTGGTCTATTCATTGTTATTAAGCTGAATTTTAAATTATGAATATTTATTTTCGGTAGATTTGGTTACAGAGGAAGATCTGCAACTGTTAAAAACATATTTCTATTTGCAAAAACACCCATGACAAATGGGAGAAGAGAAAAACGATCGTCACACTAAACATTATACATTATTATTCATACAGATAGATTGTTAAGATGTGATTATAATAGTGATCAATCAATATATTATATATAGCTTTAATAATAATAAAAGTAGAAGAATGTTAGCAGAAACAGTAATCTTATTCTTGAAATTAATTATTAATATTTCGCACAATATTTGTTGTTTTGAGTTTATTTTAGGAAATTACGGAATTATAACCAACTTGACCAACCAGCCCAAGTTCTACCAAGAATATTTAAATCGGTTGCTTGATCAATCAAACAATCTACTTGTTCTTTTGCCGATTTACAAATCTTTGGTGTTTTGCTACGAATATTTGTGTTTTGGTCACCATGGGTAATCTCTAAAAGATTCTTTTCATAGATCTGTCCTTTATGTACAGAGGAGAGGATTTCTTCGGTCGTGATATAGGCAGGATTCCAACGATCCAACTTCTTTTTGGCAATGGCAATCTTTTTCTTTGGGAACCATTCATCTGTGTTTTTGTCTGCTCCCATCTCCTTCCCGAGTCTAGACGCTAGTTTGACCCAATCAATGAGCGGTTCTTTTACAAACACATCCATAGTCGACAATAAAAAGTCTTTATGGTTTTGAAGCGCGTTGAGTGTATGTGTCATGGTGTGTGCCAAGAGACCGACTGCATCCAGTGGTTTGAGGAAACTAGTAAATTGACGTGTCAATCTGAATGGCATCAACTCTGGAATAGGAAGGAATTGAGTTGCCGTACCAAAGGCATGACCAAAATCAATACCAATCAAAATTCCATTTCTCTGACTGATCAAAAAGTTTTCAAGATGACGATCACCAATACCAATGACATAGGATCCAATCGAGAATGTAGCCAATGATCTTGCAAATGAGCTACGGATAAAGAGGTATGCCTCTGGCGATGCTGCCAACGACCAAATACCCTTTTGAAGGAGTGTTGCTGGTATACGAGCGTGTTGACGTTCCTGCTTGTCAATGGCGTCCTTGGCAGTAGCATGAATAAACATTTGATGGTAGAGTGGACCTGGAGGTGGTGGTCCAGAGGTCTTGAGGTATTTGGCAAAGGTTTGAATCCAGTCAGAGTGGATCTTGGATGCTTCCATACGAGACAACGATACCTGTGATCTATCGACCTTTTGATGAATGGCCATCTGCTCCTCTAAAATCTCTTTGAGTGGTTTGGTGTCCAACAACCACTGAATAATACCAACTTTACTAGTCATTGGTACAACATGATAAGTAGCAATCTTTAGGTTTCTTTGAGATGTCGCTGTATCCTTTGCCATGATATCATTCATAACATGGAACAATTGTTGAACGCGTTGATCCAAACGTAAATCTTCACCACCTTTTACCAAGAATGGGTAATTTTGTTCATCACTTCCATGAATCTTTACACGTTTGGGTTTTCTCAATGACCCCATCACCAAAATATTTGCATCAAATGATGATACCTTTATATGTAATTCTGGTTGTGGTTTACCATATCCATTATATTGTCCTGGTATTTCAATATTCTAAAAAATAAAAAATATATGATTAGTAAATAAATGAATTTATAATTATATTTATATTTACATTTAAATAATTTGATTTATCAAATTCAGCCAACCATGAACTAAAATCTTTTAATTTCATACTAGCAGTTGAAGTTGGTTTCATATTTTTGTTCATTTTAATGGTCATGTCGGTAACAACTTCAACAAATTTTCTTCCATCCATTTTAATCAATTTTGATCCATCAATTCCAAAATGTCCAATATAAATTGCTTCCCATTCTTTTGAAAACTTTTTATCTAAAAAATAATAAATAAATAGTTAATTAATTATTTCTTTTTTCTTTTTCTTTTTCTTTTTCTCTTTCTTTGTTACATACTATAGTCACCAGAAACAGTTTTATGATTAAAACAATCATTATAAATTTCAGTATTTAATTTAACAAGGGATGAAGTATCGATTGGAGTTTGTTTTAAAATTTGTTTAACTGTTTCCATGTAATCTTTGAATCGATGTTCTGGATGAGTTAATCTTTCCAATTCTAGTGTGAATGTATCGAGAAGAGAATCCTTGAGGATGAGATCCAATGGTTGTGACACCTTTTGACCGATACGACCAAATTGTTCACTTGAAATCTTGTAGGGAAAGTAGATGGCCTGTGGATAGTATTGAGCAATCTTGACGAGGATCGAGATGACTAGTGGTCCTTGAGGAAGATCGAGGTATGGGAATATCTGACTCATCCATCTAATAAACATCCAACATGGAATAGTCTTTATATTCTCCTTAAAGTCGTTGGCAGTAGATTCATACTGCGATATGATTTCCAAGAGTCTTGGGAATTTTTCAATGGCTCCTGGGATCTCTTCTTTGATGGCTGTCAGAGCGGCATTGACAACCGAGCTGGCAAGCACAGATGCTTCATCAGACTTTTCGTTTGCGTTGGTTCTCTGAGCCAATACATTGTCGCAGAAATTAGCAAATTGAAGATAAGCACCCTTTGACACCGAGTTGTTTGATTGTTGTTGTTTGGTGTGCAGTTGAATGGAATCATTGTAGCATCGATACGCCATATTAAATAGTTCAGACGATACCTTGGCAGCGGGTGCAAGGGAAAGTGACGGGATAGACATACTATTCTTTTTCAACGAGTCTTGGACCACGTCGGCACCTAGTTGGCCTTCCAACTGATACAGTTCCCATAAAATGTCGCCGTGCAGCCTCTCGTATTTCTGTTGATTGTCAATTGACTGCTTGATGGTCTCTTCGTTGCTCTTGGAGACGACAAACTTGAGTGCCTTGACAAAACGGTCCAAGCACTCTTGTGGAGTCGACGAGTTCTTGGCTTTGAGACAGTAGATCTTGATGAGCGAGCTGACGAGTGGGAATGCCAAATCGTTCTCTTTAGTCTTGGGGTATGACTTGACAGCAAGACGGAAATAACTTTCCGACACGATAATGTTGCCTAGCTTTCTCGCACCCTTTGACATTTGGTGGTAGAGCTCAGCACGTTCCTGAATGAGTAGGTTCTTGATACTCGATTCAATATGTTCATCGTTTTGTGAAGACATGAATCGTTCATAAATCTTTTCGAGCAAGACTGATCTGTAGGAGACTACGTCGTCCCAAACTACAACATCGTCCAAACGGCTTGGATACCGTTTCTTCCACAAATTGACCAATGATTCCATATGCTTGATATTGAGTGCCGAGTTGGCAACGTTGGTTGCCAGTTCGTCCTTGGATACAAATGTTCTGCCCGGAGTGACGACCTTGTCTGCCATCAACCCCTTCATAAACAGCTTTGTCATGTCTGTATCTGTGCTACCACTACTGCTAAACGTCGACTTGGGGTGTACGAGTGAAAGGAACTCTTCAATTTCAATCATCTTTTGGATGGGTTGTAAAAGACGGTGACGCGACGAGATGGCGAGTGGATGGGTGGACGCCCACTTCTCACGGAACCGTTGGTAGAACTTTTGAATATAATAGTGTGACTTGTTGTAGTCGGAACGCGTGATCTCCAAGAATGCAAGTTCTCCTGGGAACGTTGACTCGATGTACTCGTATTGCTCGGGTGTCAACGACGAGATGAACTGGTATAGAGCGGGCCAGTTCTCCTTTGCCTTGAGACTGTACTGCAAATAGTATGTCAATAACTGCTCACGATTACTCTCTGTAAACACGTTGGCTGCCAACACTGCATTGTTGTTTTGTTGGCCTTGTTGACTGTGACCTTGCTGACTATCATCACTTCCAAAATATGAAATAAAGTTGTCACGTAATGCGGCGAGGTCGCGAAGCTTGGTGTAGCATTCGAGACGTCCGTTCTCCCACAGACTCGTTTCGCGTTGTGAAAGTTGGTAGTTTTGGAGCTGACCCGATTCCAGTGCACCTAAAGCTTGATCGTACACCTTGAGCACAGAGACCCAGTCTCCGCGCAGCTCTGCCTCCATCGCGTCCTTGGTGTAGGATACGTTGCCCATTTGACGCTCGATCAAGCCAAGTAATATATCGTTTTCATTCATTGCACGATACAACTCACGCAGATGCTCCCATGCGTCACTCAACTCGGACGACTGCGGCACCACAGAGTTGCTGGTCTGTCTTCGACGCGACCCACTGCTACTCATCTCCTTGTTGATCATTGCCTGTATCTGTTGTTCCAACACGACAATACCCAACGGATGGTTTCCAGAGTACAACGAAATACGTGCCAGTTGCGCACATGTTGGTGCAAGTTCTGGACACTGCTCGACGATACGCAAGATACAACTAACCATCTGAGGGTAGCAGTGTACCGACACGGATGAAATAGACGAGATACGTTCCTTGATGTTTTCACGGAACCCCTTGGTCTCGGTCGCAGCACGTCCATAAATGGCCGTAAACAACGATGCAAACACATTCGAACCAATAGTCGAATCGATCTGACAGAGTAGTTGCAAGGGACGGACTATCTCTTGCAACTTGATCTGGATGTCTGGAAGTTCACCCGATCTATACTTTCTAAACATAGTGACTTGGTTCTCCCTTGCCTTTTTCGCACGTTCAATGTATGCTTCTCTCTCCTTGTTGAATTTTACTTGCATTCTAGCAAATACATTTGCGTTGGCCGATGATTCATTGGTGTTGTTTCCTTCATTCTTTTTGAATCTATTTCTCAATTCCATGTATTTACCATCAACAGGTGCAGGTTGTTTAAATGCACCAGAACCACCTTTTTGACCAGCCGATGGTTTTCCTGATGATGATGTTGGTTTTGGTAGTTGTTTCTTTTGTTGTTGTTGTTGACTATGTTGTTGAGAATAATTACTACCAGTGATCATATCAACATCCTGTGATAATGATGAGTTTCCAGATGGATAGAATTGTGAAAACGATGATTGTGTAAGAGTGAATTGTGGTGCTTGAGTCGAACGGATTCCCTGGTCGGTATCCATCATCATCATCTGACTGGCACTATCATCTTGTGAACTACTAAACAATGGATTCATATTGGATGTTCTACTCTGCCATGAGCTGTCAAGTTGGTATTCCTTAAATGTACATTCACTCAATGGTTTTTCAAATACCAATTTCGAAAAGTCACTTGATCTCGAACAAAGTTGGAATAATAAACAACAACTATAACCTAACCATTGATTTTCAGTTTCAACTGAATACATTTTTCTACAAACAAATAAATAAATAAATAAATGTAAGTAAATAAATAAATATTTTTGTTTGTTTTGTGTGTTTTGACATACTCGAAAATTTGTAATAATCTTGATGAAGTTGACAATGAAAGTTGTTGATTGGTATCCCAAAACTCCATTATTTTCTTTTTAATGGCTTCACTGTCATCGGACAAACCAATGAGTAGAGTGATTCTCAATTGATCTGAATCACTGTATTCGGCGACATTGTTATAGATCCACATACAAATTTCAAAGTACAAATCTCTACAACTTTCATTTGGATTAGAGTTGAATGAATAGTCTTTGAGAAGTAATTGAACAATCTGTGTGGTGATGGCGGGTTGAGTAGACTGATTCTTTACAATCTTGAATAGGATCTTGAGAAGGATCAATTGATTCTCTTCGTTTCTAACACGAATAAGGTTTTCCAAATTGATCGATTTCAATTTAATATAAAGATCGTCTACTTCATCTCCAATCCAATACAAAATATTAAATGCTATCAATCTAACCTGTTCATTCAACTGTGGTAAAACATTTAACATTCTAACTTGGAATTGTTTAAGGAATGATGGATGATGTAATCCAATAAAATATAAACAATTAAATGCTCTTTGATAATCTGTTGATGCAAATAATGATAATATCTAAAGATAAAGAAATTAATATTATATTTTTTGTTTTTGATTTGTTTTTTCTTTCTCTTACCTTTCCTCTTAATAATTCATTTAAATCTGATTGATTTTGATGTTTTTGATTAAAATTTAACATCATACCACAAATTTCAGAGGTAGCATCTGAAAGTTCTTTAAAGTCTGTAAGATTGTCTAGTAGAGTTTGATAGAATTTGAATTCATTGATATCTGAATCATTTTGTTTATCATATGCAGGAATATCATTACTGAGAAGAATGGAAAGGAGTACTAATCCAGTTGTTTTGTATTGTCTGCCTTTACCCTTGAAATTACCACTTGTCTGATGTGATAAATATTCGACAATCGAATTCTTCTTGTCCACTGTAAAGATTCCCTTCCATCTCTCTACAAATAATTTAATAATATTTAAATTATTTCTATGAATTTGTCTATTTGCTGCATATGCATTTTTAAATAAATAATTCTAAAAAAGATAATTAAAAAGTAAATATAAATATATTTGTTGTGAAATAAATTTAATTTATCTTATAACATACTATGAATCTTGAAATATTTGATTGAATGATTGAATTATAACTCTTTTGATTCTCCAATGAATAGATATTTGGCCATTTCAAAATAATTAAACAAACATCACGAATGAAATAATGGAATCCTTTACCACCGGTGGCTGGCGAGATGACATAATCAATCAATAATGGTATCCATTGTCTATGATACTTTTCAAAATATTGTGGTCTATTAATTAATACTTTTATAATAAATAAGAATATATTGGGATGTGCTAAATAATAAAAATAATAAATGTTAATATATTTCTATTTAGAATCCTCTTTGATTCTTCTTCTTCTTCTTCTTTCTTTCTTTCTATCTTACGAGAATCTTTAGCTTTGTTATAAAGTTCAGTCATCCATTTTGGCATTTCATTACTATTTGAATCCAATTTAAATTTGTCTTGATAGATATCAATAATGTGAAGCATTGGCAACATGGATGGATTAGAGTTGATTTCATCCATCTCCATGTTTTCATTGAGTTTGGCATATTTTCTTTGTTGTTGTTGGTACATGATATCATCAAATGTAGCTAGTGGGTGGCCAACTGGTGCAGGAGCAATGAAAGCACCTCTGCCAGAGATACTCGCGTCTTGACTAAGACTGCTGTCCTGAAGATACTGACTCGAGAGATACTTGATGTCTTGTAAGTTTCTTCTGGCAATACTGTTCATATCAACCTTACTATTGACTGTGAAATTAGTTTCTGGCTCGAAATTGTAAACCTTTTCAGTATCGATGATATTCTCCCAGAGATATTCATTCTTTTCAATGTTTTCTTTGAAAAAGAAGGTGTGGAAGAAGTTTTCTCTTGACTGCGTCGCTGCAATGACACTAGCTAGACAGCTGTAGGCTGATCCGTGGTAGAGGGTGCACAGTGGACGTGTGACATGCTTGTCGTCGCTGGCCAGCTTCTCTGACTTGGCAGAATGGGCAGCACGCATGATGGCGGCGGTCAACTCGGTTCCCTTGGCATCTGGCTTGTCGTAAAAGTATCGGTTGACATTGTCCTTGATGGTGGTCGACGGCATCGCCTCGTAGAACGCTTCAATCACATGGAAACAGCATATCTTTTCAATGATTGATGACTTGCGCTCACCCGAGTTGGTCATGTATTTGGGTACGAGTGGCTGGATGATAGACATGAGCGAAGTAAGGTGTAACGTGAACAAATGGATCAGAGAAGGCTGAGTCATCTTTGCAATCAGAGGTGTACAGAATTTATCGACCAAAGTAATCTTGAGTTCGTCGGTATAGTCATTTGACAAAAATACATTAAAGCAATGAGTAAACACTTCCTTGCTCTGTTCGTCGCTACTACCCTTGATAAATCTATCAATAGAAGCATTGATATTAACAATATAGCTATGATCACGTTCCTTTAAGATTGGAAGTAATGTATCAATCATAAAAGTGCTTCCTTTAGATTCCAATGTATCCAAAAATCTATCAATCGTTGTAATATAATCATTATAAATTGGTGATCCAACCGTTAAATCCTTTGAAACCAATGGGAAATTATAAACTACAATTTCATTTAATTTTTCTTTCAACTATAAAAATAATAAATAGAGCAAGTTAGAATTATATATTTTTAGATATTTATATTATTTACATACAGAATTATAATTATGATGTTTTGGATAAGATAATAAATAAGGTAATAGGGTCAATGCCTTATTTTTAAATGCCAAAGTATTAGATCTATTTAAATAATTGACCAACATTGAATAAATGAAATCATAACCTTCTTGAGACTCAAAGAATGTAGTTGTATCAACTTTGATGAAATTCTTTACAAACTCTAAGATATTTTCCTTTTCTTCTTGTTTCATATCATTGTTTGATAATATACTTGATACTTTTGTTAAAAATGGAATTAACTAAAAATAAATAAATAAATAAATAAATAAATAAATAAATAAATATTAATATCTTTTAACATTGATTTTTTTTGTTTTTTTTTTTACTTTACAACAGTTTTCATTTCCTTTTTTCTTAATGATGATTGATTTTCAGTCCATTGAGTATGTTTGAAAATACAAATATCATTTAATAATTTATGGATACCATTGGTTTTCTTGATTTGTTCAACAAGATGATCAACATATGATTCAAAGTGTGATGAAATATGTTTGGTAATCTCTCCAAAGAATGTTTTATAGAATAAACTATACTTGTCAACTTGTTCCAAAGGTGGTGTATCTGAACCACCACCACCAGCAGCTTGTGGAGTAGTAGTAGTCATTGTAACATCACCATCACCATTCTTTGATTTATCATCCTTATTATTGTTATTATTATTATTATTATTATTTATATCCTTTTTATCTTTTGATTTTTCTTGAAGAGAAGCAGGATTTTGAATAAGTGATAATAATTTTTGAGGAGAAATACCAATACTGAAAACAAGGGTGAGGATCTCCTTGAATACCAATAGTTTAGAAGGTGATACTTGGTCACTACAATTATCAAATATATAATCAACCAATAATTCGTTGAGTTGTTTGGTTGATTTGATAATGGTTGATTTGGTTGCCAGTGCACATTGTTCAATGACATCGTCCAATACTCTATTGTTGTGAATGATCTTGTAACCTTTGACTAGTGTGATAAGAGTATCGATACTCTCATTCTTGATCAACTTGTCAATGTTTACAAGATTCAATGCGCTATCATTTGATGTGATCTTGTCGACCAATACTTGAATCAAAGTGTCTTTGTATCTATCACCTTGTTCGATTAAAATGGCACATATTCTATTTACAATAGGGTGTACACCTGGGAATGCCTGTCCCTGTTGAGGTGCCACACCCGTCTCCAAATCAATCTCTGTCAATCCAATTGCCAATGGAGTCAATAAAAGATCACCAACCAATCGAATAAATTGAATACCACCATAATTTAATATATCAATAAATTTAAACTTTTCAATTAATAATATAAATAATCCTAATAAATGTTTAATAACATTACACTAAAATTAAAAACAAATAAATAAAAATGATTAATAAATGATATCTTTACAAGTTATTAATAATATAAATAATATATACCTTGTAGAAATTATACTTTTCCAATTCACGTGGTGATAGTGGTGATAATAAAGTAGAGATTGGTGAGCTGTTGTTGGTAGTACTATTACTATTATTGTTGGCATATTCTGATAAAAATATATAGAATGAATTGGTTAGGATTTTTGATCCATATTCTTTGTTGACAAGGTGAATTGGTTCGATGAATGATTCGCTCAGATACCAGGTATAGACATGTAGTGAAGTTTGTAGATGCTTGAACCAAAACTCAATCTCTGCAACTGTTGGTGCACTACCACCACTCTTTTTGCTGCCGGTTGGTGGAGAGAGCGAGTTGGCAGGCTCGGCCACCTCCATGATGAAACCAATACCATGCTTTTTGATGTTGTCTTTGATCCATTGGGACCCTGACTTGATGCCGGGTAGCATAACCACCAAACGTTGGAAGAGGAGGATTGCTTCTGTTCGTGCTCGGCTCTCTGTACGTCCACAACACTCTTTGAACAACCACAACACGAATGCCTGGAGATCAGTGTGCTCACGACGCTGTGCGTTGGATTTGTTGAGTATGTCAAGCTTGCGTTCAATGACCTTGACCATGACGGTGAGGACGTGTGACAGTTTGTTGGCAATCTCGTCATTCTCACTTGATGCTGCACCGTCGTCATCTCCTTTGTCACCACCTTCTCCAGCTCCACGTATACTACTGCTACTCGAACTGATTCTCAAGCTGAGCAAGACCATGTGCATCAACTCAAAGATAAACTGTGTGACAAGTGTTTCTTCCTCACGGAATATTCTGTATATCTCGGTGAGCGCGATAGCAGCGCCAAGACGCTGGTTGGAAGCCGGGTGCATGGCAAGCGAGTACACACGCTTCATGAGTGACTTGAAGTTGAACGGGTTCTTCTCCTGCTGCGACTTGGATGTGTGTTTGAGCGACCATTTGGCAAACTCGGCCAGACACTTGGCGGCAAATGCACGCAGCGAACCGTCGTGTGGACTGGTCAATCCCTCGACAATGGCGTTGAGCAGACACATAGTGTCGTCGCTCTCGGACCGAACATTTCGAGTGAACCAATGTACCAACTGAATGCACAGTGGTTGGAACAACTGACGAGCAACCTGCTCGACATCAGTTGCCAGCTGCAACAGTGCTGGGAACACATGTTTATACAACTTGGTGAAACTCTGTGCTGGTCCTGCTGCAGGTGGATTAGCAGCCTTTCCAATCATATACAACACAAACGAGTGCAAAAGTTCGCATGCAGCAACCTTGGTCTGACGCGACGGTGATTTCATGGCCAGCGACACGACCGACGGCAAGATCGAGTCCAATATAATCGATATGTTGTTAATATCGGTGAATGGAATCGACAAGAGCAGATGCGACTCGGTGTCCCATGCCACTCCATTCTCACCGCTGTTTTCACCGTGCACTAGATCGACTGTACCTAGGAGATGTGAGTTCTTTCCACCCAGTCTGCCAAGCAATGCAATGATACGGTTCTGTATCTCCTCGACCGAGTTTTTAAACTGCATCATCTTTGGATCGATTGTCTTGTTGGACGAAGACGATCCAAACTTCTTTCGACGAAACTGAGGTGTCTTTCCAAAATAATAATTTGGACCCAATGTTCCATCGGCGTTTCCATCTCCCACACCTCCATCGGCCAATGCATTGGGTGTAGTTGAAATCATCAAATAATCATTCAAACTTGGTAAAATAGAATCCAAATATTTATAAACTTGTAATGGTACAACTTTAATCCAATATTCAATTGCATTTAATGCTGAATGTCCTAATTTTAAATAACTAAAAAACAACAAATTATTAGTTGAATGAAATATTCTCTTCCTTTTGTTTATCTCTTTCTTTTCTTTTACCTTAAACCTAATTTAAAAGAAGTTTTTAAAGTTGGAATTAATAAACCAACATCGATGAGTTGTTTTGGAATGGAGAGTAAAAGTTGAATACAAGATGCCAATAATTCATCTTTGAATTGGTTACCACAAGATAATACTTCTTGAATGAATTTGTTGAATAGAATAAAACAATTCTTTTTGTTTTCAATTTCTTCTTCTTCTATTTCGAGTTGGATTTGTGGAGCATTTGATGACTGGTTTGTTGTTGTATTATTTTCATCATCATCAATATCCATTGAATAGGATAATGAAAAGGTTTCACCACTATTACTAGCAGCAGAGTCAATTGAAGCTGTCAATGATTTCTTTTGTTGCTGATCAATAAATGCAAAATAATTTTCCTTTTTGCAAACCTTCATGATCACTTGCATCAACTTGTAGAAACCACTGATAAGAGGATACTTTTTCGATGTGAAAATAACTTCCTTGCCAAAAATGTAAATCCATGGTACTAGTAACTTTGGGTGATTGTATGGAACGAATATTTTAACAAATTCCACCAAGTTTAGGAATAATTCGATATCCTTGGCAGTTGATGGAATCAATGTTTGATTATCATCATTTACCAATTGAGATGCATCCTGTTCCTCTTGGTCGTTGGATTCCTCATCTTCATCCGTTGCATCTTCATCTTCATCATCTTGTTTTTTCTTTTGATCTGTTGCAGCACCAGCAGTAGTAGTAGTAGTGATCATTGCTGGATTATGATGAATATCATCAACATCCTTTGAAGAATAAGATAAATCCAATTTCTGAATAAGTGAAATCAAAGAGGAAATCATTTCATTGTAGATCATTGAGGTGATAGTTCCAGCATTGACAGGTGGAGTATCTCTATTCTTGTTGTATTCAGTATCCTCTTTTTTAGGATGTAATAAATGAAACCAAACATCTTTATACACTTCATACCAAGGTGTATCACCTGTATTCAAATAATTTATCAATGAAAGATTTGGTTTTGAAAATGTTATAATCATTCCTTGTCGAACTAAAAAAAACAAACAAAAATAAAAGTTAATAATTATATTTTCTTTTTTTTCTTCTTTTTCCTTTTTTTAATATTTACTTACCAATTCTAGTTAATAAAGTTTTCAAGAAATCACCTTTAAAATATAATGAAGCAAATAAACGATTGATGGCAGAATAATATCTATCACGTTGTTTTTCAAATAGATAGGGATAGATGATGAAAAAGGTGCCAACGATTTGTTCCAATGGGTCAAGATACCAAAATTCAATGTCATTGATTTCAAACAAGATATTTGAAAAGGCATTGATAAAACTAGACAAATGCATTACAATCTCTTCGATGTTTTCCAGTTTGACAATCATCAACTTTTCAGAGAATTTAAACAGACTGCCAAGCAGCGATTTCAACTCCCATTCTCCAATAAATTGTTTAACTGGTAATGCAAATCTACTACATCCTCTAATAGCAATAGATATTTCATATGTTGAACTATTTGTATTTTCAAATATTGAATAAAATTTTCTTATAAAAAACTATAAACAGAAACAAATATTAATTAATATCTTTTGTACACTTATCTAATCTAATAAATATAATATCTTTTCGCATACCTTAAAAGTAGTTTGATCACTTTCAATACTTCTTTGACCAGAAGTCATTTCTTTTGCAATTTGAGCTAAAAATGTATCGATACAATTAAAAGCAATATCACGATTCAACTTGTTATTGTGATTACACCAAAACTCTAGACGTGTAAACATTTTCTCACTCTGTTCTGTGAGGTATTGTTTAAAGAGTGGCGCATGATGATTGATGAGTTGCATTGCAGACCGAGGGATTTCAAATCGTTGACCGGCCGATTGTGGGTCGGTGCAAATAAACAGATAGTGGTAGAGTTGTTGGACATGTTTGTTGTTGGTTATCATAAAATCGCCACTAAAATGTACAAGCAGGCAATCCAATGCCTTGATAGAAGACAGTATCAGTACAGTCTCTGGTGCCTTTGATTTTAACTGTGATCCAAGTGTCTCCATTAAAATAGTTGCCAATTGATTATTATAATCCATAATAACCGATGGGAAATGTTCTGAAAATAATCCCAATGTAATTAATATCTCTCCTTTAACAGTTTGTGATAATTTACCACATGTAAATTGTTCAATTAATCTAGAATCAAAATAAATAAAGCAATTATATTAATAATAAGTTGAATTGATTTGTTCTATTCTATTTTTGTTTACATACTTGTCAGTCATATCTCGGACACCAAATAATTCAGCTTTGATTGAAGATTGTTTGGTTTGATAATTGAATGATTTGGTGAGGATCTTTTGAATTGGTTTAAAAGAGAGTGCTTGGACAGTTTGACTTTGGTCTTTTCTAAAGAGACTGATACATAGATTCTTGATAGATACAATGTAACCAGTACATGCAGCTCTATAATTCTTGATAAAGTCGGTTGTCAGCTGCAAGAGTTGGCATTTGATTTTGACTACGATCTTTGTATTAGCACTTGTACTATTGTTGACCGAGTAGTTGCCTGTTTTCGTCAGGTACTTGAGTATGTTGTGGTCACCTTGAAACAAGAGTGATGCGGCCAGACCAATCTCTTCATCGACCAACTCTTTCATGATAATGTTGGACAGCTCGTCAATCAACATCTCATCATTATCCATGGCAGAGTAGCTGGTTGCAGCCGACCCCTGTTGTTGTTGTTGTGCATTCAACGATGCATGAAGTTTAATCAAATAATCTTCAATCTTTTGGTATGTTGATGTTCCTGTCATAGTTAGTTATGAACTGACTAGATAGATTGATTACAATAATCAATCAATCAATCTATCTATATAGCTATACAAATACAAATACAATATAATATATAATATATACAAAAAAAAAAAAGATGAAGTAAAGAAGTAGTTTAATAAAAAATGTGGTGAAGGCGATCTTCACCAACTATGACTATGATTTTAATATCTATTTTTATTAAAATACTCAAAATTAGGGTTGAGCTCTTGAGTTCTTGATCATTCATTTATTTTGCTTTTGAATCAAACAAATAATAATAATAAGAAAGAGATAAATATAAATATGGGAAAGGTGGATATATTACAATTAGTATCGGCATGTTTGCAATTGGCAGAAGAGTCTGGTGACATTATAAGGGGGATATTCAACTCTGGGTCACTTGGAGTGCAGTACAAGGCCGAGGACGACCCATTCACTATCGCAGACGTTAAATCTCAGCAACACATTATTGGCGGTCTACTCAAGTTGTGGAAGGATTTGAGAATCGTCGGTGAGGAGAACTGCGACATTCCACCGGTTGATGTGACCCCAAAGACTGACCGATTGGAAGAGTATCGTGACAAACTACCCAAGGAGTTGGTCGATGGTATTGAGGAGAGCGAACTGCTCTTGTTCCTCGACCCATTAGACGCAACACGCGAGTTTACCAAAGGGCGTGTCGAATGTGTCATGACATTACTTGGTATCAGCTACCGTGGCAAACCAATTGCTGGTGTCATCTACCAACCCTTTATCAATGATAATAAGGGTCGCTCAGTATGGGCTGTTGTAGGTATGCCGGTTGTTGGTCTATTGGACAAACGTGCACCAGAAGATCGTGATAAGGTCATCCTCGTGACATCGGCATCTCACTATGACGAGCGTGTCGACCGTGCCACGAAAAAGATCAATCCCGACAAAGTCATCCGAACCGGTGGTGCTGGATTCAAGATCCTCATGATCATTGAGAATCTCGCCGACGTCTATATCTTCCCAACAGTCGGTAGCAAGCTTTGGGACATTTGCGCACCACATGCCGTCCTCTTGGCCGTCGGCGGCACTCTGACCGACCCATCTGGCAAAGACATCATCTACAGCGACCAACCAGAATTAATTGAAAACAAGAATGGTATCGTCATCACCATTGGTAATCATCAAAAGTATATTCAACTATTAAATCAAGAATAAATAACACTGTACAGTCCCCCTCTCCCTATGTTGTATAAATATAAATATAAATATAAATGTACGTACATACATATTCCCAATTAATTAATTGGGTGTAGTTGTAGTTGTATTATTATTATTAGCAGCAGCAAGTAATTTATCGGAAATTGTATATTTTCCATAATCTACACCTGGTTGATACTCTACCCATCTTGAAGCTGGAAATATATGTTTGTTTCTTTCGTACCATGACTTTTCCACTACTTTGGCAGCATGAGATTCATCCTTTTCAACTGTTGCATCATTTACCAAACGAATATCTTCATGTACATCAAATTTGAATAATGGTCCACTCTTTCCTCTAGCTTTCTCGATTATCATATCATAAAATGAATAATTCTAAAAAGAAACAAGAGTTAGAATATGGAGAAAATATTAATCAATTTATAGTTTATACATACTTGAGGAATAATTAAATCTTCTTTGATAAATATTAAATGATCAACTGATACACCACGTAATTCCTTAAACTCTAAACGAGCCATTGCCAAAAACTTTTCAATCGTTGTTCCTTTGTTGCATTGCAATGACCGTCTATGACCAGATCCATCCCAATACGAATAGGTAATTTCAATCTTTTCCTCTTTGATCTTGTTTTGTTGTTCTGTCCATTGAGCAATCAATTTTTCACGTTCCAATCGTTCCAATTCATCTCTTTCCTTGTCTGGTAAAAAGTCGGTATTTACTCTTGGATCTTTACCAAATTTAATCTTTCTATTATTATTATTACTACTACTACTATTTACATCTTGTTGTTCCTGTTCATTATTATTATTATTATCTTTGTCGTCAGTTGATTTTAATTTTTTCTTTATAATATCTTGATCAATATCACCATCACCACCATCACCATTATTATTATTACTATCTTCTTCTTTTTTAGATATCACTTTACTTTTCAGTTGTTCTTGTTCATTATTATTGTTATCGTCCTCGTCGTCATCATCTTCAACATCAAATGATAATTTGTTCTTTGTAATTGCTTTCTTTTGAACCTTTTTGACCTGACCTTGATTCGTTCTCTTTTTCGATTCTTCGAGTGCTTGTTGTTCTTGTTGTTGTTGTATGTTCCTTTGAAAGTCAGACATTGACACTAGACCAACATTCTTGAATGCGTTGGACTGGTCGTTGGCCGACTCAAACTTTTGGTTGATATTAAGAGTATACGATTTGTTCTCCTCTTTGATCTTCTCCTTTGCTTTGTTGAGTTCTTTCAATTCATTGCCACGTTGCTTCTCGAGCATACGTATACGGTTACCATCACCTGATCCTCCTTTGAATTCTGCCATATTATTATATTCTGTCTAAAGAATAACTCTTCTCTCTTTTCTCTTTTCTCTCAACTTTGCGCAAAGTGCAATTAATTTTCAAAAGAATTCGTCAAGTCATCTGATACACACACAGAAATAGATGTCGCTTGTTTGTTTGTTTGTCTGTTGTTGACTTTGATTTATTTATTTGGGTGTGATTTAAGATACTGTAATGACTCACACTAATCATAAAAGAGACAAAGAGAGAGAATTAAATTGACCAACCTCCCCTCTCAAAAAAAGTAGAGAGAGAGAGTTGCTTGAATGTTCGTTACAAGAAAACGAACAGGTTTTTTATTGTCAGTGGAAAAGGGAGGGATCATCAAAGTTTAAACACAGAGATGGGTCGACCATACTGCACCCCCCATACTCGAGAAAACCATTTAATGGCTTGGTGTTTTTTTATTATTTTTATTTTTTTTTTTTCTCCCGCTTTGCTATTAAAAAAAAATTTGACGTCCAGCACTTTCTTTTTTTTTCAATTTTGGTTTTTTTTCAAAAATTTATATTATCTTTTTTTTTTTTTTTTATATCATCAAGCTCAGGAGTCACCCCGACCCATAATTCAAATTTTTTAGAATCCAACCATTTTTATTTTTTAGTAATTTATAAAACGAGTTTATATAAACTATAGCAACTTGATTTTATTCAATTTTATTTATTTGATATATATATACATACGATAATAATACATACATACATACATCATTCATTCAATCATTTATTCAATCAATCAATCAATCAAGCATCAACAATAAAAAGGAAAAAGGAAGAAAAACAAAGTAACCTTTGAGCATTTATTGAACACAGCACACTATCTCTCTTCAATACAATTTAATTATAATATTAATAATAATAATACAGTACTCTAACTCTACTACAAATCAATCAATTCTAAAAGCAACAACATAGTATTTATTGTTTGTTGCATCATCATCATCTTTTTAAAAATAGTACTATCAATTAACAGCAACCTATTAGAACAACAGCTATACAAGTGGACAAGATTAGATTATCACCAATAGAATAGGATTGTTTCATCATGTCTGATAGAGACAAAGAAGAAATGACAGGATCAACTCCAACTGATACTTTATCAACATCAACAGCAACAGCCAATGGTGATACACTGTCATTGGATACATCATCAACATCATCATTGTCATCATCAACAAGCACCAACAACAATGAAAATGACAATAAAGGACAGGATTCAAATGCATCAAATGATCATACATCCCTGACTAAAAGAAAACGTACTACCTCTATAAGGTATGTAAACCATATATATATATAATAGCACACGATAGATACAATCACATGAACAATCATTTATTATCGATTACATGTGATCAACATCATCATCATCTCAACGACTAGACTTGTATCATTTATATATTATGTTTTACTTACATATTTCCCCCCTTCCTTTTATCTATCTATCTATATCAAACTATAGTGCCAATAACAATAGTGGTAGTAATAGTAGTGGAGATGCAGAACAAGAGGAAAAGGAAGACGCAGAACAATACGATGAGGATACATTGACCGAAAATAAAAATACAGATAGCGAGATGAATGGTGATTCAACCGCAGGAACAGCTGGTACATCATCAGCATCGACAGATTCCACCTCTACAGGTTCTAAAACTAGAAAATCAATTGGTACTCCAAAGGTATGAAATACATAGATAGATAGATAGATAAATATCTTTTATTGTTGGAATAGGTATTAACATTATATTTATATTTATTTAGCAAGCAAAAACAAATAGACATGAACTCATGTTGACACCAGCAGAGGCAAAGGAACTATCAAAAAATAAAAAATGGGTATATGTACCAATCATCGAACAAAAACCATTGGAAGAGCAAAAGTTGCCAGCAAAGCGAGAGCGAAAGCAGATACATTTGAACGATTATATTACAACTACTCCAACACGTGGCACTCGAGGTTCAACCAAACAGGAAGAGAAAATAGAACCAACCAATATAATCGCCACACCTAAAAGAAAATCATCAGCCAAGGCTAGTGCCAAAACTAGTCCCAAATCAACAACTAAAAAGGGCAAGGCATCATCGTCATCAGATGAAATACCAAATATTGTAGAACCATCAACCTCTTCATCTTCTACTTCTACTACTACTACGACCACATCAACAGGAAATATTGCACAACTTCAAGAAACTATTCACGATCTCGAGGATCAACTTCGATCAGTTAAAGAGAAAATGGCTCAATCTACATCGCCAACCCTCACCAAATCCACTCTTCATCCACCTGCACCACCCAAACGTCATAGAATGTCCAGTCTCTACAGTGACGACGAGGATGAAATGGATATTGATGATGCTCGTGTAGTCATTGAAGAGTTGGTACCACCTCCCCCCAAAACACAGAAAAAGAAAAGATCTGCTAGTACTTCTTCCACCTCTTCTTCTTCTACCACTACCACCACCTCTTCATCTCTTTTAACAACATCCAATCCAAATACACCTATAACCAAACCAAGGGCTCCTCCCACCATTAAAAAGCAACGATCTGCTCCAAGCACACCGATCACCAAGCCCCAAACCACGCCGCTCATCACATCTGAGCGTGCTCAACGTTCGACCAAGGGTCGTCGTCGTGTTGGTCCACCCACCGAAAACAGCTTGACCGGTGCCATGAAGAGATGTTTTGATATTCTCGAGACACTCTCTAACCACCAACACTCGTATCCCTTTTTGGCGCCGGTCGATCCCGTCGCACTCGGCATTCTCGACTATTTCGACGTTGTCAAGCACCCAATGGACTTTGGCACGATCCGTAACCTGCTCTTGTCGGGTGTCTACCAAGAGATGGAGGAGTTTGCCATAGACTGTCGCCTGGTGTTTAGCAATGCCAAGGACTACAACCCACCCAACAACCCCGTTCACATCATGGCCATCACACTGGAAGATATCTTTGAGCGCAAGTACTCCAAGCTCCAAAATACTCCCAACCTCGAGACTGCCGAAGAGGTGAGCGAAGAAGAGCGAATCAAAAAATTGACCGAAGAGAACAAACACATGCAAAAAGAGTTGGAAAAGATGAAGAGAGAGTCGCGAAAACCAAAGCAACCTCAGATGACCTTGGAGGAAAAGACACAACTTGGCACCAACATCTCTTTCCTTCCACCCGAACGTCTTAGAGACCTCATCTCGATCGTCTCTCACACTCTGCCCAACACTGCTCAAGACGAGATTGTCATTGACCTCGAGAAGCTCGACAACAGCACACTTCGCAAGATGGAGCAGTTTGTATTCTCGTGTTTGCGTGAACAAGAAGACTATGGCAACGACATTAAGCAAAAGGAGATTGAGAGTGTCACCAAGCAGCTCAATATGGTCAACAGAGGACTTCGTCACAAAAAGAACATCTCCAAGCCAATCTCCAAGGCTACTGGTCGTAAGATGGCCTTGAGAAAGGAAGAAGATGTCATTGTTGATGATGTTGAAATGAAAGAATATCCTCCCGTTATCATTGAAAAGGATAGTCATAATAATCATCAAAATCAACAACATCAACAACAACAAAATCAACAACAACAACAGTATCAACAAAATAATAACAATAATAATAATAATAATAATGATGGTACAAGTGATTCTGGTAGTTCTGATAGTGATTCTGATAGTGATTCTTCAGATAGTGATAGCTCTTCTTATTCAGATTCTGAATATAGTGGAAATGAAAATAATAATAACAATTCTTATAACAATAACGGAAATAATAATAATAATAATAATAACAATAGCAGCAGTAGTAACAATAATAATAATAATAATAATTCCAACAATAATAGCAATAATAATAATAATAATAATAATAGCAGTACTAATAATAACAATCAACCACCTCAAAACAACCAACCAATTACAAATGTAGAAACACCGAAAAATAACTTATCAACACCTCAAATCATTCAAACCAACAGTACAAAGAAAAACATTGAACTACCAAACCAGGTAGCTTCTTGGAGTTTTGATAATGGTGCCAATAACAATAGCAATAATACCACTACAACTACAAAGACCAACGGCGGAAGTGATATTTCCACTTCTTCACCCGTTGCCTCGAGTACTGTGATCAATTCTGCAACTTCTGCATCAACACCACCCATCACTGCCCTCCCTACTCCAACTGCTGCCGCCACGGTTGCTAGCACCACTACTACAACTGTCGACACTACTACTACTATATCAGCCACTACTACTACTACTACCCCTGCTGCAACTGTTACCACTACCACCTCTACAACTACCACTGATATATCATCTTTAAGCAACAATGTACCAACCACAACCTCTCCAACCATCTCTCAATCCCTTTCACCATCTTCACCGAGTAGCAACACCGATCAGACCTGGAATCATTTCAAGGCAAAAAATAACACCCTAAAACTAAGAGAAAAGGAAAGAGTCGAGCAAGAAGAGCAACTCAAAAGGGATAGAGAAGAAGAGGCCAAAAAAGAGGAAGAAAGAAAGCGAAAAGAACAAGAATTGGCAGATGCAATGGCAAAAGAAAAGGAAGAAAAGGAAGCAGAAGAACAAAGAAAAAGACTTGATTTGGAAAGAGCTGCTGCAAGAGAAGAAAGAGAAAAGGTAAGAGAAAGCGAGCGAGCAAGCAATTATACATTACTTTGATCATCATTTAATTTACTACTTTTTTTTTTTTTTTAGACCTCAAAATCAAATATTTCATTCCAATATCAAATGGAAGTTATGGCATCCTATGAAAATAATTTTAGCAACAATATCGATAATTCTTCACTACTCAACCTTCAATTTAAACCTATCGAGGATAGCTATGACTCTCCTGCTATAAAAGAATAAATAAGAACAATAATACCCATAATTATAAAAGACACCCCAATCCAGAAACCAAAGAGATATAGAGAAAATCCAAAAACAAAAAAAGGACTGTAAAAAAAAAATATAAATAAGAATACCATGTACGATTAGAAATCACTCATATTCTCTCACATATATACACAACAATCTTCAAAATCAAATCATCTTATTTTTGTTATACAAATTAAATAGTTGGTTTTTAACCTTTTTTTAATATAGTTTTTTTACTATTTAATTATTATTTGTTTTTTAATAAATAATCCAAAACTATTTGTTTACATTGATCTTGTCTAGTTGATAAATCTTTTCCTTTGATATGATGATAGGGTATTGACCTTGATTCCAATTGTTCAATTAATTGATTTTGGAATTGTTTTCTATTTTCTGGGTCCTCTATTAACCTTAGTTCACCCTCTCCATCCCAAACAACATCTTGACAATCCAATAATAAACAAATATCATATTTTAAAATATATTTATCAATTTCTTTATCATATGAACCAATTAATGTTTTACTCCACTACAATCACAAATAAAGAATAAATATTTAAATATTTGAAGAAATATTTCAAAACATACAATCAAAGTACAAAGAGGGTTTGTATCACAAAATAATATTTTTGTTTGTTTTGATCCCAATTCTTCCAACTCGTATTGACCTTTTGCTACATTTACAAAATCAATTGAACCTAATAATAATAAGATTAATCATAAAGAGAGAGAGAGATAAGTAAAGTAGTGTTGATTTTTTAAAAGAGAAAGAAAGGATGCCTACAAAAAGGTGATTGTTGTAAATCTCTACCCGAAAAGTAGTCGATCGCGTATTCAGCAACATAGGTGCTATTTTTAAATTGTTCTGTTAGATATTTTGCTATTGTGGTTTTGTAGGTACTCTCACCACCAATTAAACAACATCTAATCATCTCTTTCTATACATTTACTATGGATCTAATGAAAAAAAATAGAAAAAAAAACACGAGTAACTTGGAATTTTGTTGTGAGCCATTTGTTTGAATATTGCCATGATGAACCAAAAAAGGGATCAACCAGGGTGATAGGGGGGTTTCGATGCAAATGAGTCCCGACAGAAAGCTATTATTATTATTATTATTCTTCTTGATTCAAGTATCTTTGAGTACTTTCTTTGCAAACAGTAACCAAACTGTGCAATGCAGCACCTCATTTTCTCATGTTTATGAAAAATTGAACAATTTCGGTGTGAAGACAATGCGAATGGGAGGATTTTTGTGGTGGGTGCGCTCAATACAAATATTTCCCTTCGGTCATTCATTCATTCCTCATCTTATTTTCTATATCAATCTTAACACTATTCTTCTTCTTTTTGTATAACTACTACATTTCTCTCTACTATTATTGTAGTTTAAGAAGAATAACAAACACATATTATCTTTTTTTTTTTCTAATATATATCTATAAATATAATACATATAAAGCGCGCGAAAATATGGAGGGATATGAAAGAGCAAGATCTTCTGCAGAACAAGCTGTTGTGAGACGTTCAAAAGTCTTTAATGACTTTCCATCAAAAGGTGTATCCTTTTTAGATATCACTCCATTGTTTTTAAACTATCAAGATTTTGATGTTTTATTGTATGTGCATACATAACAACGTTTGGTATAAACACATTCACTATAGTCGACTCACTCTTTTTTTTTTTTTTCTTTCTTTTTATTTTTCTTTCTATCTCTTTTTATTTTTAGATCATATTGGCAACAAAAATTCCAAGATGTTGAATTGGTAGTTGGATTAGAAGCACGTGGATTCATTCTTGCAACTGCTATTGCTCAAAAACTTCAAAAGGGAGTTGTCTTGTTAAGAAAGAAGGGTAAACTCCCAGGAACTGTCCTCTCTGAGACCTACTCAAAGGAGTATGGAAAAGACGAATTTGAAATCCAAGAGGATATCTTTTCCCATGCCCCACTTCCAAAGAATCTTCACATTTTGGTGGTAGACGATGTCCTTGCCACCGGTGGAACTCTATGCGCCTCTATAGAATTGGTAAAGAAAGCACTTGCCAAGAACAATATCAAGCAATACAAAATATCAACTTGTGTTGTCTCGTCCATTAAATGTCTTTCCGGAAAGGAAAAGATCTATGAAAAGTATAATGATGTTTCAATTGATGTCATTCATGAAATTTAAATCAAAACCCAACAACAAAACTATCAAATTAAACCAAAATAATTAACAAAAACAACAAGAAGAAGAATATATAAGAATCCACTACCACCAACACTAATAAAAAAAAACCTCTTTTAAAAAGAGATAATAATAATTATTAATTAATTATTATTATCACTAAAATATATTTAAAAAAAACATTTAAATATAATTAATTTTACAAAACAAACATTAATGGTCGGTTTGGTACAGGTTCATAGAGTTTATTATTATTATTATAATTATTATTATTATTTCATTATTTAATTTAGATTGGATGCAATGGTGAAAAATTAGATTGCATAAAATTAAATATTGTAAATCTAGTGGTACTATTTAGATCGTAACCCAAATCTCTAATGATTTGTTTCCAACGAGTAATTTCGCTGTGATTGTGTTGGAGAATGTGAAAAGAGAGGAAATAGTAGGCTATGTTTTGGGTGATTTTATCGACGTGTTTGTCCAACCAGTAGTTGGCCTTGTCAAGGTGGTCAAAGATGAGATAATATTGAATGGCGTGTTCGATAGTGACTGCAATGATGGGTTTGGAGGTTTGAGAGAAAAGGTAATTGTGGTATTGGTTGAATTTTTGTAGTCGCATTAGATCATAGTATACGATCAAGAGTGCAACAGTCTTTGGTGAAAAAATGAAATCTTCTCTTTCCATCTTGCTAATGAGATCATCAGTTGATCCAAAATCGTGTGTTTTGATGTAAAAGTATAAGAGCTTGGAGTAAAAGGAACGTAGGTTGATCGATTTCTCCATTGGTTTGGCCTTTTTGATTAAATAGTCGACGAAAAAGGTTGGGTTGTTGGTGATCATGGCCAAATCCAGAAGCTGGAACAAAGTCTTTTCGGGAAAGGCTCCAATATGAGAACCTCTAGTCAAAAGGTCTTCGCATATCCAGTTGAGGTTGAGTAGGTCACGATGACGAATGACAGGACCAATAATATCATCCAACAAACCAAACGTCAAGAGATTTCTCTCCTCTAGATGATCCAAAAACTGAATGAGTGGTTCCATTCCCTTGCGTTTGGGATCCGATATGAGACACATGACAAGTGCAGCTAGAATCTTGGGATGGGTAGAAAGACCCTCGTACTTTGCCGATATATTGTGATAGAATTGACTGGTCGCCGAAAACCCAAGAAGTTTGTGAATCTTGTTGATCGAAACTGATATGGTACTTTCGAGTGGCATTACACCAAACGATTCCATTTCATTCCAATACTTGTCAAATAGATCCAATCTTGCAATACGAAGGAACGAAACCAACAACAAATGATAGGTAGTAGACTCGGGAAAACCTCCACGAACCAATTTCGCCTTTATATCCTTTTCGAATATTTCTATTGCTCGATCGACATCATCTTTTATATTAATCTCTACCCAAATCAATTGGGAGTTGAATTCTTCGGTTCTCGCAACACCATTCTTTGCCATATAGTTCAGGATACGTTGCCATTTTTTAGGGTCACACTTTAGCCATTGTGTGCATGCTCTTTCATCCAATACTACATCGAGGTCCTTGAATACTTTGCTAAACACATGTCTTGTCTGATCGTACATATCAAAACTATTGAAATAGGTAATGGCAAGCATATAGGTCTGTAGATTGACCTTGGAGGGAATAGTCTTTAGAATCGAGTAATAAGTAGAGAAAAAGATATTATTTTTTTTGTTGGTTCTTAGATTTGACAAGATTTGATTATATGCTTCAATCTCTTGACAATTGATACTTTGTAACCAAATAAATCCATATCTTGATATCTTTATAGTTTGATAATCTGATGTTTTAAATGTTTCTAAAAATCTAAAAACAAACAAATAAATCTATTAATAAAAGAACAAGAGCTAGCCGAGTGTAGAAAATGTGTCAACAAACATTTGTAAATTAAAGGTTGAATTATTGATAAAGAGATGATTGAAAAATTTGAATAACTTTTCTCTCCATACATTGATACTTGATAATTCCTCTTCAACATCTTGTTCTTCGTTTTGATAATCTGAAAATTCATCTACTTGATGACCTATTTCTTGATTTGACAATAACTCTATTTCATCATTGTTTGATACAATCGTTGTTTTATCTGCTGCTGCTACTACTGTCTTTTGATGTGTTGTTGCTGTCGATGATGTCGTTGAATATCTATAGATTTGTTGTTGTTGTTGTTGATTGCTTATGCAAGATCTATTCAAAAAAGTTGATCTACTACTATTATCGGTGATCTTTGACTTGTTACTGCTATGGCTGATACTCCTAGATTGTTGTTGATAGGATAATAGATTATTTGTTCTACAACCTATCAATCTAAATGAACTAATCGCCACTCTATTCATTTTCAATATCTTAGATTGATTAGGTAAAAAGTAATAAACAAAATAGAGAGAATGCAAGAAGTCAAAAAATGGGCATAGTTAAAAAAAAAAAATCTTTAAAAAATGATCAAAGAACAATATAATAGATACACAAGACTGTATAGTTTGTTTAGTTTTGTTTTGTTCAAGGAAAGTAGATAATCCTATATTCTTTAGATTCCTACTTTCCCTGGTTTTTTTTTATTATTTTTGTCTTTTTTCTATGTTTTCTTCTTTTTTTTTTTGTAGTTTTTGTTTTATCTTTTTGGTTTTGTTGTTGTTGTTATGTCTTTACAAATATAATATAAATATACACCTGAGTGAGTACGAGAGATGGAGAATAACACCCTGTTTAGGTTCTTTCACCTCTGATTCTACGAGCCAATTGGATGTCCTTTGGCATGATAGTGACACGCTTGGCGTGGATGGCACACAAGTTGGTATCTTCGAAAAGACCGACCAAATAAGCTTCAGAGGCTTCTTGGAGAGCAGCAATGGCAGCAGATTGGAAACGGAGATCAGTCTTGAACTCTTGGGCAATTTCTCTTACGAGACGTTGGAATGGGAGCTTACGGATCAAAAGATCGGTACTCTTTTGGTACTTTCTAATTTCTCTCAAGGCGACGGTACCTGGATGGAAACGATGTACCTTCTTGACACCACCAGATGAAACTGGGGTTTGCTTGTGAGCTTGCTTGGAACCAATATGTTTACGTGGTACCTTGGCACCAGTGGATTTACGGGCAGTTTGTTTAGTACGAGCCATTTCTATATGAGAAAGTTTAAAGTTAGTTTAAACTATTTTTTATATTGATAGATTATTATTATGGATAGTGGTGTTGTGGTAGTGTGGGATGGGGTAAATTAAAAAAATAAAATAAACTGTTGATTATTTTTTAATCTCTCTAAAAATTGTTGATTGTTTGCTGTTGATATGATTGCGCGTTATTATTAATGATTAAATGATTTTCAACTAAATAAATAAATAATTATTTACTCTCGAGTATTGCTTATTTATCTGTTTTTATGTCAAATGAATTGAGAAAAGTGCGAGAAATAAAAACAATATTTCTCTTTTTCTATCTCTCTCTTTTTCTCGTGAGACTGGGAGAGAAAGTATTTTTGAGTAGAAATTTTATAGTTTCTAGGAATTGATTTTTTTGTTTCTTTAACTGTATAGGTTGTATGCTCGAGTGAATGTATCACAACGTCAATGATTTGTTGTTTAGAGAGTTTCTATCATCACTTGATAGTTGAGTTAAGTCAGAGAGAGAGAGTATCGTTCCCGCGTTCTGATTTACACTTTTACGATTCTTACTACTGATGATTACTGTTGTTGTCTAGTTTAATGCTATGTAGAGTAGAAATGAAGAATAGATAATATAAAACAAAATTAATTTTTAAATACCTACTTTAATAATATGTAACAAAAATATGTATAATAAAATTCAAGTACTATGCGACCACTTTATTGGGAGTGAGCAAATTTTTCTATTTTTTTTATTTTTTTTTATTTTTTTTTTTGAAATTTTTTTTTATAACGGTTTTTTCCCTCCTCTCGAACTGCGACCAGCTGAGCCGTCATCAAAAAAAAAAAAGGAAAATAAATGAATATTTATTTTCTTTGGGGGTTTTGAAAATTTTTGGTTGGGAGTACCGCCTCAGAATCTATTTATTTGTAAAACTTATTTCTCTCTATGGTCTTCTTTATTTTTAATTATTCTTTTACCAATCGATAGATCTTTTCATTATCTATCAAATGGTTGACAAAAAAATTTGCGAGAGGTTCACCCTTCTAAAAAGTACTTTCCGTAAAGTCGCCATTAGCCATGGGCTAAGATGAGGTCTAGAAAGCATTGTTTGGAAAAACAAATGATATAAACAGAAAGAGTACAAAAAGTTGTATCTATTGGTGATATTGGATCGTCGTTTCAAAGATTATTCAAATAAAAAAAATGCTATTCTTCAAAGCCTATCTCATATAGTAAACATGCAACCATATAAAACTACGTGCTACATGGATCGGATCACGATTAATCAAATAAAAAGACAAGCGCCAACGCAAGAGGTGTAGGCGCCTTGAATCTTCAACATTATATGCACTGGTGTCGGCAGTGTTCAATGCATGCCACATCCAGCAACGCTAGACAAGATGGTTAGTATATTTGGAATGGTCAATCTCAAAACAATTGTGAATGCTCAAGAGTAATGGTAGCTTAATCTATATCGATATCATGGTTATTTATTTGGTACATACTAGTATTATTGTAATTGGCTCTTTTAAAACCCATCAAGGCTAGTGGTCATGGACAATTTCGCATTCGGTCTATCAAAACCATCCATTCTAAAAGATAATAAATAATAATTAGTAAACAGTATTTATGACAGTAATTTTACAAGATACATATCTTTACAGTTTTTAAAAATGGACCAACTCGTCTCTAATCAATTGATTCTATATTTAAAGTACCAATATATACAGACTTGTTATAGATTTAAAATAAAAAACCCATCATCAAGAAAGAAAACACATACAATCTTTATGAAAGAAGAAATTGACGACCAATCAACTTTGCCCTCACGCGGTAAACAAATGGCCTTGTTTGGAAACTTATGAATATACCTACCGAAACAAACCCGCACACTCCAAGCACGCCAAATGATCGATCAATTCCCCCAACACTCAAACTATACTTGTTTGGTTCCCCAACTTTGAGAATCCCATTTAAATATCTACAACATATCATCTAACAACTGTGTGTATGAAAAAATCTTTCTCTTTTCATTGCGGTTGTGGAAGAGGAGGATGAAAGAGATGTAGGCCTGGAGGAGATGAAGAGGAGGGAGGAAGGGGCCGAGTTATCATACAAATTTAAAACTATAATGGGTTGACATAGTTTTAAAATTAGTTGTGAATCATCACAGAGTGATTGTTGGTCTACGTCATGTCCTCTAAAGGCGTCATTCCCATTGTTGATTGACTGATTGATGATTGTTTAAAATATCTTGATGAATCTAATCGATCGATGGTTATTGTTGTTGGTGTCATGATGATGATGAATGAAAATTCTCCCTCCAAAATTAATTAATTCTCTTCATGACATGATAGTGCTGTGCTGTACTGTGTTCTCATATTTACTACTTGTATTGTACTGCGCGAGACCCATCCTAAAGTTAAATTCATTCATTCATTCGAGACAGACATCATCCATCAAATGACGATGATGATTGAGATTTAATTTAACTTGTTACCCTATACTACTTGTGTTGATGATCAATATTCACATCATCATCATCAACATCATCATCATCATGACTTTTATATCTCTAAGTATTGTATTGTAATTGTATTGTTCTTATTCTTATGACTCTGTGATGATCATGATGTTTGTTGGCGTTTGTGAATGCTCCATTTGCAAATTTGAACCCAAAATCTCTTAGTTGCTTACTAGTATGAAAAGGTGACACTGATGATAATATTCTTTTGAAGAAAGGAATTAGTATACATCAACAACTACTACTAGTTAATATCGTATATGCAACTTACTGTGTCGCTTTATAATAATTCTTTTTTCCATCTTTTGCTTCCTTGTGCATCTTTCTAATGATGTTGATACAACTAAAATCTCTTGGTGACATAAAAACTGTACCATCTTTGTTGATCTTTTCTCCTTTGGGGTCGAGAGTTGTCTTGATACCTCTTCCATGTTTAGACATGCTCAAACTTCTTAGAACCTCTGCTTGTAGTACTTCGTCGCCATTTGTATGTCTTCTCAACAGGAATGACGTTTTATTTCTAATGCGTTGCACTTGTCTTAATGGGAATGTTGGTTTAACACGGTCGCCAATTAATCGTTGGTAGACTGTTGGAGGTGTTGTTGTTGTTGTTGTTGTTGCTGCTGCTGCTGCTGGTGATGCAGAGATTGTTGTTATTGGTACTAATGCTACTGATACTGATGCTGCTGCTGATGCAGTGATAGTTTACTCATGATTAATATGCTTAAAATAAAGATAAAAATATATCTATAATATTGATAATTCATTAAATAAAGATATTATCAATTTAATTAAATAATTAATTGTTTGTTTATTGATTCTACACTTTTTTTTTTTTTTTTTTTTTAAATTTTTTTTTCTCATGAGATAGTGCGATCTTTATGCGTGCCGTAGGTGACTGACCTGATACATTGCGAGGTTTGAACATTTGTTTCAAAACAACAACAGCAAATAGCCCCTCTCTCTCATTAATAAATGGATCCTATCAAAAAGAAGAAACAACAATAGAATCATACCCTGATTTGGTATCATACCCCCCCCTCTCCCTCCTCCTCTTCTCTTACATTTTAGATCTTGGTTCATATAATGAGCCTAATCCGCACCCCCATCCCCCTCCTTATCCGCCTCACTCATATAGTGAATCAACACGCCCATAATCTGACGGGTTACATCAAAGAATGATCGTGCTGTGGCTCACCTAGGCATCATATCCAACCATGACTACCACCCCCTATCCTCCTCCTTATCCCCCTCACTCATATATTAAATCATAAATGATCGTGCTGCTGTGGCTCACCTAGGCATCATGAATGCCCCCATTAAACGGTGGTGATGACACAGTTCGGGTATTAAGAAACCACCATACGATTATGATATCATTGGGACACAACCCCATCTGTATATGTATCACCCTCACTTTTTGTTGGTAATCAACAAAGACAAGAAAACATTTGTTTAAAATAAAATATTATTCATCAAGCTCCAATGTTCTCTATTTAAAGTGTTCTTTTTTCTCATCACATCATTATTCATTTTATCTATCTTTTCTTCAATTCATTATCTTTCTGCTATATTGTATTACCTTTATATATTTTTTATATAGGAAGCTTCTAATTGAGGTTCACTATCGCACAGTGGTCATCATGAATGGCCCACTTCCATCCGCAACAGAGACAAGAACAACTCAATACCCTCTCGATCGTCTCATGGGTAAGAAGTGGAATAACGAACAAAACTTGTTTGTGACACATCTCGGCCAATATGCAAGATACTATCACTCTGTTAAGAGGTTAGTAGGCCAATTTTTTTTAATATTTGTATACGACTTTAATAACAGTAAGATATCATCAACCTTTTTTTTTTTTTGAACATGAATCATTCAGATAAGTTCATGAACTAATTGATCGATTTCATGTATTTTACCATTTTTAGTGTTTAGTTTGTCCCGACAAGAACTCGAAAAAGTAATACCAAAGTATTACGACATGAGTGTTCTTTCAAAGAACAAAACAAATGAATTATATGAAAAAATGGAAAATCGGTTGACTTTGCCGATTCGATGGGATTCTCTAATTGTGGAGGCCATCATCTCAAAGGTGATGGACATAGACACACGCAAAAGCAGTAATAGTCCAAGAGATTATGTATGTATAACAGTCTGTGACAGTTATGATGTGTAATAATAAATTAATTTTTATTTTATTCTTTGTTTACTCTTTACAGAATTCTGCACAAGATGTCCAAGCAAAAGAGAAAATCGTCAACAAAATGCTATCGAGAACATTTGCCAAACTCAAGGTAGACGAGATGGTTGCAAAATATCAAATCCTCCGATATGCACTCCTTGACCCAGATCTGAATCCAATTGGCTGTTGCCACTCTTATAAAACCGCCTTTGCCAACTCCATTTGCAATAGTTACTCGGCCGAGGTGGCCGAGACCTGCAAAAGGATGGTGGAGAGTGCTTTAGACCGTCAAGATGACCGAAACATATTCCACCACGAGTCCAAGTTGGTGTCGGATCTTCTGGAGGATATACTTGCCAAAATAGATGATGGTGATATCGGTGAAGGGTACCAAGCTCTCAAACTAATATTTTCATCTCAACCATTAAAAGGTATGTCATTGATATTAACACCATCACAGGTTGGTTTTTTTTAAATATCTTCTTGCGTCGGTTCATGTAACTCGATCTCTCATTTTGTTTATCTTTTTCTCATACACGTCAAAAGGGGCAGTTTGCGGAGTGTCGATCAGATCTTTTTTTTTTTTTAATATTTTCATTTTTTTTTTCATCTCGAACAACTCACAGAAACCAAATTTAGAGAATGTATATTAAACTATTAAATAACATCGCACACTCAACACAACATTATCAATAGATAGAATACAGCGAGTATTGTTTATAGTTACACTTTTAGTGTAAGAACCCACACATCACTATCATTACTCCTCTTTTACACCATTTCTTTTTGATTATCTTTTGTTTTCATTGGTTTACCAATCAATGCACCACCCATCTCTTTCCTTTTAACTACTCATTGTTGGCCAAGTTCATCTTTACATATCATTGACCTCTTGTGTTCACTCATAAATTATATAATCCTTTTTGATCCAAATCAAGTACCAATCTACACTACCACTCTTTATCGCTCTGCATCCTTTTTGTTGTTCGTTTGATCCACTCTCCTATCCGACAAACTTTCTTTACCACTTAACTTTCCATCAGATACTGCAATCAATCACTACCATTGCTCCTCTTTTACCCTTTCTTGTTTTGATTATATTTGTTTTTATTATCGAGATGCACCACCCATCTAACCACTCGCCTCATTGTTGGTCCCAGTCTATTTCATTCTCTTCCTAATTGTGCACCAACCAAACACATCGCCCAACTTTTATCATTTGTTTTGTTTGGTCAATGATAAGTGTAATCATCAACACCTTTTTCAAATACCATGCATGGTCTGTTCACCAAGCTATACACTACTTGGCCATCTCTTATTTTTTATTTGCTCTTTGTTCAAAATAACCACACCCTTTTGTTTGTTAGTTTGATTCACGGTAACTTTCTTTATCACTTATCTTTCCATCAGATCGATAATGCAAAACATCACAATCATTGCTTTTACACCATTTCTTTTTTGTTTTCATTATCCAATCAACGCATCCCTATCTCTTTTGCCTGCTCTCTCTATGCAGTGACAGACCTGTCAAACCTTTTTTTTTTAATTTTAAACCTCTCTAACATTTATTACATTTATCATTATAGATCATAATTTGGAATGTGAAAAGAAAAGGTTAAAATTAAAAGAGGAAAGAGAGGCCAAGCAAAATCAAGAGCCAGCCATTCCCAAGGAAAAAAAAAAGAAGAAACAGTTTTTGGGTGACAAAAGGCCTGAAAACTTTGATGAAATCAATTTTGATGGATCTGTTTATTCAATATCAAATTTGGCCACAGATTTAGAGATTGATAGCAAAAATGTAAAGAAATTAAAGGTTGAAGAACATATATCTGGTGATTATTTACAATCTGAACTCTCATCAAATTTGGAAGCGTTGATCCAATCATCAACATCAATAAGTGCCTGGAGTGGGTTAAATACCCTCCAATTGAATAGATTGAAAATGCTAAATTTGGAAAATATAATTAATCCGTAACTATTATTATTATTATTTCTTTTGTTATTTTTTATTATTATTATCATTAAATTAACTAATCAAATGCTTTTTTTGTAATCTTATTTTTTTTTCTATAGAGAGGACAATTCAATCGATTTTTCAAAGTTGACAAAAGATCAATATCCATCTTTAATGGATTTTTGTGAATCAAATGGATACAAGTTTCCAAAAGGATATGACCCTACAGGATTGAAATCCCTCATGACGTCCGATTTGGAGACGATAAAAACTACTCCTTTCGCATTGAATAGCTTTGCACCACAAGCAAAGTATGTATAAAACAATTGACCAATATCTTTTTTTTTATATTTTTAAAACTAATCCTCTTTTTTATCTATAGATTCAACAGTACTTTTATCCCATTCTCGATAGAGTTGTTTGTCAGTATAATCGTCAACTCTGGAATAGATATGTCCCTTGGTTTGACCGACAAACACAAAATATTAAGGTATATTTCAAAAATATTACCTAATTTGGAAAAAGAAATTGGTCATCCATTGGAAAGTGGCTATCCATTGGATAGATTTAAGTTTTTCGACAAGGAAATTGAGATCCTCAAAGCTTCGCACTTGGCTTCTTTTCCTTCATCGTCAGATGTAACAATATCACCATCCTCTTCGTCTGATGTAACAACATCACCATCCTCTTTGTCTGATGTAACAATATCACCATCCTCTTCGTCTGATACAACAACATCACCATCCTCTTCGTCTGATACAACTACATCTCCATCCCCATCATCAAAAAAAAAAAGAGGTAGACCTCGTAGTGAGATTGTGGATATAAAGTTAGAAAAATTCCCTGATTTTAAAGATTTTAAATTGGAGGATCTTAATCGACAATTGGAACTTAGAGATATCGAATCCCCAAACATTGATACACGAGTCCAAGAAGAGGAAAATATTAAAAGATTGAAATTGGTTTTATGGCAAGACATGGTAAAACGCTTGCAAATAGATTTTAAAGAAGACTTTGACTACAGCAAATCCAGTCAAGTTAGCATTTTAAAATGGTTATCTTTACCTACTAGCACTATTAAAATCGAATATGATTGGTACTGTTGTTCATTGCCAACACTGAAAGGAACTCTCAAGAAACTATTCAATGACAGCCCAAAGGTGAAGAGAAATGAGCCAAGGAAATGGATGCCAAAGTCTCTTGCTTCAACAAAAAAATCGTTTCTTTTTCGTTACTATACGATTGGATTTGTTGGAAAATCAGTCCTCTGCGATTATTTGCAATCACCGTATGTAAAAGACAACCCATTCGATTTCAACGGGTCAACAAAAACAATTCACCCCAACTTTAATGATTACGAAAGACCAAACCGCAGATTACAGGCCATGGATTTATCGTCCTTTACCTGCCGATATCGTGCATATTGGGAGGGTAGACACGACCTAGTTAACCTTAACAGGGCCTTCCTGCATAAATATGAAAGTCCCCCCCTCAGCTGTAAGTTATTAGATAGAAAATATAATGTTGATCTCAATTTACTGATTTTCCCCTTTTTTTCTGTACTTTGTCTTTTTTTTTTACTTTGTCTGTTTTTTTTTTCTTTCCTCAATTCAAAATAAAAGTTCAAATGAGTATTAATATTAAAGTATTTTAATTAACTATATTAAATATTAAATTAAATTATTTATTCGTAGTTGATTGGGTTTGTTGTTGTTGTTTCTTTAAATAATCCATGACATCAAATATTGATTTCTTTTTGGGTGTCTTGTCGTTGGCTCCTCTCTTTTTTCTTTTCCCATTGTTGTTATTTTTTGGTGATGTTATTGTTGTTGAGGTTGTTGTCGATGTCGTTGATGTTGTTGACGTACTAGTATTACTATTATTTTGATCAATCATATTATTTAAATATTGTTGAAGTTGTGTGGTATTGTTATTCTTTGTTCTATTTGCAATTCTCTTGCTACCAGAAATATTATTTTGATTATTTTGATTTTGATTTTGATTTTGGTCAAATTCATCATCATCAATATTATTATAATGATTACATTCAATTAATTGTTGATGTTCAATTGGTATATCATAATCATAGTATATTCGTTTGAGGATATTGTTGTACCCCTTTCTGACAGTTTTCCAATTGCGCATGAGGAACAACTTTCGAGTACGGATAAACTTTTCTTCATTGTCACCACGCAACTCTGTTTCATAGTAGTATGGCAACGGGATGATATCTTGTTGCTCGCCAAAACAGTAGCGGACATGGTTCTCGCGATGGTCAATGGTAAACGATTGGCGTGATACAATCAAAGGCACATCCTTTTTATATTTCTTTTCGGTTGGAGCCTTCTCACCAAGGAATCCACGACAGTTGGCAGCACCACAGTAGCAGACCTGCTTTGACGTTCCAAAACGTTCATAGTTGTAGTCAAACGTCAACTCCTCGCCTCTCTTGATATCTCTAATGGCAAAGATACCAATTCGAACCTCTCCATCCACATTCCATTTCTGAGTTTCACAATTTGGATCGCAACTGTGATTGATGAATCTTGCAAGATTACCTTTACGCGATGCGTCCAAACACTCTAAACGATCAAGTGTCAAAAAATAAAAGTATTTCTCCGATTCTGATTCTGTCATTCTTTCCAAACATTTTTGTTTTGAAATCACTTCTCCACAATATTCAATAATAAATGTTTTGGCTCCAATATTGTCAACTGCTTTTAATCCCCATCCTTTCTTTTCAGCCTACAAATTAAAATTAAAATAAATAAATGTGTAAATTAAATTAAATGAATATTATATTATTATTATTATTATTATTATTATTGTTGTTTGCTTACACTAAAAGGTAGAATTCTACAATATTGTTGTTTTTGGAATCTTTGGTTTCTGCATCTATCTCCATGAATACAATAACCTGAATGACATTCGAAATATGATTTTCTATTTAAACAACTTTCCAAACACGGTGATTCTGCTGGACAATTACACATAATAATATTTTCTTGTTCTTCAGTTCTCTTTTTTCTTTCAAGATATATATCTATTAAAAAATAAATAAATAAAAGTAAATACTTTAAATCAAAAGGGATTATATTCTTTTCTTTTCTTTTCTTTTTTACTATACATACTTGAACCAGTAAATTTAAAAACTTTACCTCTAATTCTTTGAATTAGGACGGCAATGGTATTATGAGGGACTTCACCAGCATCAACAAAACTTTGAACCAATGCATCATTTAGATCCTTTCTATGATATCTAGCTCTTTTGGGTGCCTCTTCTCCTGCTCCTTCTGCATCCACCTCTTCTTCATCATCAATCATTTCTTCATCATCCTCTTCGACGACGACTTTCTTTGATCTTGATTTTTTGGATGGTTTGTATGTTTCGGTTTCGTCAAATTCCATTGTCATTGTTCCATCATCCTCCTCGACTATTTTCTTTTTTGGTGGAGGTTTTGGTTTGGTATCGGTGGCTGCCAAGGCAGTTGGTGGAGGATACTTTTTCTTTTGTTTACTAAATACTGTTCTCATTGTATATCTTGGTTCTCCATTTTCAGCGGTCAAAGTTGGTGATGTGGTTGTTGATGAGGTTGTAGATGGCGTAGATGACACTGATCCATTCAATGTATCAGTATTCTTATTTGTTGTTGTTTCGGTTGTGTTGTTTACATTTTCATTATTATTATTATTATCAAGTAGTGTTGTTGTTGTTGTTGTCGTATTAGTTGTCGTTGATGATGATATCGTCGTTGGTATTCCATCTCCTACTATTTCCATTGGAGTTGGAGTTGTGATTGAAACTTCCTTTTCAGTTACAGTTGTAACTTTTTCTATCGTTGATGATATCGTCGTTGGTATTCCATCTCCTACTATTTCCATTGGAGTTGTGATTTCCTTTTCCTTTTCCTTTTCAACGACCTTTTCGATTTCCATTGCCTTTTCCTTCTCCTTTACCTTTTCAATTTCAATTTCCTTTTCCTTTGGTTGTTCTGATGGTTGATTTATAATATTTGATTCTTGTTTGTTTGATTCTTGTTGTTTGTTTGGTTCGTCGTCAAGAGTCATATCAACATCTTCATCCTCTTCATCGTGAATAATCTTTTTCCGTTTGAGTGGTGATGGTTTGGCAATAGGTGGTAGTTTTGGTGATTTCTTCTTAACAGGTCGACGAGATGCAGCAGAGTCACTATCACTACTGCTACTACTATCACTATCACTATCGCTATCGTAGCTGCTGCTACTACTATCACTATCACTACCACTACCACTACTACTATCGCTATCACTATCACTATCACTACTACTACTATCGCTATCACTACTACTTTCATTGTCCTTTTCTTTTCTAAGTTGTATCTCTTTTTCTCTCTCTATTTTACGTTGGATCGCTTTCGCTTTCTCTTTCTCCTCCTCCTTTCTTCTTGCTTCAATGTCAATTTTTCTTGGTCTTCCAATCTTCTTTTTTGGAGTTGGTATTCCAGTTCCAGTTGTTGTTGTTGTTGTCTCTGCGTCAGGATTCTTTTTAGGTCTTCCTCTTTTTCCACCCTTTTTTTTTGTAGGGGTAGGTCGTGGTGGTGTTCTTTGGTCAGGATTCTTTTTTGGTCTACCTCTTTTTCGCACCATTTCAGGTTGACCCTGACCCTGAGTCTGAGTCTGACCCTGAGTAGCACTGCTGACCTTTGGAGCAGCAGTGGGAGGAGTGATCATAATGGTCTCTTTTCGAGGAGATCTAAAGTTGGATATAGATGGTGGCTTGCTGTGTAGATCAAAGAGGGGTGTTGGATTGCCAAGTGGATGGTCCGATGCAGATGGAATATATTTTGGATGGAACGGTGAATACTGTATTTTCTCGGTTGCCCCAGTCTTTTTGAGTGGACTAGGTGGTGACAATGGCGAATGGGACGATTCCACTGGAGTAATCGGTTTGGCTGGTGATAGTTTCTTGCTTGGTGTGATATTATTTGTTGTTGTTGTTGGTTTTGATGGTGATGTATCTGACGGTGTTGTTGAGCTTGATTGTGGTGTTGTTGGTTTGGGTTTAGGGTTAGGGTTATCTTGTTGATGATGATGATGAGTACCATTTGATGGTCGATTTGAATATGATGATAATGATGATGAAGATGAAGAAGAGGAAGAAGATGACGACGATCCATTTGAAGTTGACGTAGTTGACGATGATATAGTATTCTTTTCCCTGTTGTTGGTCGATGACGATGACGACGATGATGATGGTACCTTTTTGTCGTCATGGTGTAGCGATGGCAATGATGATCCTTTTGAACTAGAACTACCACCACTACTTGGCCTACTACTAGTCGTCGAAGTAGAAGTAGAGGTGGACGAGGTTGATGAGGTGGAAGAAGAGGAGGGATGTGAAGAATCCCTTTTACCATGGTCTCTACGATCGCGATCTCTGTCTCTATCTCTATCTCTATCTCTTTCTCTATCGCGATCCCTATCACCTCCTCCTCCTCCTCTTGATCTGTCACCATTTCTATTATCTCTATCTCCTCCATGATGACTAGTAGTAGCGATATCTTTGGTATTGGTATCTCTACTACTACTACTATGGTGTCTATCTCTATCTCTATCTCTATCTCTATCTCTATCTCTATCTCTATCTCTGTCTCTGTCTCTGTCTCTATCTCTATCTTTAGTGGTGTCTGATCGGTGTTTATCCTTCTCACCTCCATGACTACTGTTATCTTTATGGTGTCTATCCCTATCTCTGTCTCTGTCTCTGTCTCTGTCTCTATCTCTATCTCTATCTCCTCCATGACTATCGCGAAGACTATCTCTTGGAGTAGTATCACGGTCTCTTTTGTCTCCTCCATGACCACTACCACTGCTTGTCTCTCTATCTCTGTCCCTATCCCTACCATCACCACCATTATATTTACGGTTACTACTACTATCTTGCTTGTTTCGGGAATGATTATTATGCTCTGACGATGATGATGATTTCTTTTCTTTGATATCCACTCCATTACCATTGCTAGCCATTGTAGTCGTTGTTGTTGTCGTCGTTGTACTTGTACTACTAGACCCACCAGTACTACTACTACTACTAGTGGTCGTACCATCACCAGTTGTGATGGTTGGTTCTTTATCTTTCATTGTTGTTGTTGTATGTTAACTCGAGTATATATGAAATAGTACACTCTACTACACAACTCTTGAATACTGCTCTATTCTATTTGTGTGTTATACATAAACTACGACAACTACTACTACTACTACTACTTTTTTTAAACTAACAACAAATGAACCAACTCTATCGATAGCATTGACTATAGTGTATATATGAATATGTATATTATTATTTTACAAGAAAGGTTATTTATATGTTTTACGTTGCAGACTGTAGTTAACTTCAAAATAAAAAAAAAGGAGGGAAGCTTTTGAAAATTTAAAACGTTGCCTTGAAATTCAACTTGGCAACCCTCTTTTGTTTATTTTTAATAGTTTTACTTTATTTATTTATTTTGATTTTTGATTTTTGATTTTGATTTTTAAACAACTAAACCTCTATTTGGTACATATGGAATAGTTCTTGGAACCATTGTAATACAATCTGGAATGGGACAAACAGAGAGACAGAGATCACAACCGGTACAGAGATCGGTGACCAATGGGATATGAGTCTTGGCGTCGAATTTAATGGCAGTGTAACCAGAGTCGTTACAGGTCATGTAGCACTTGCCACAGTTGATACAGAGGTCTTCGTCGACGAGGGCTACTACTTGCTCCTTGTTGCTGAGGTCGTTGTAGACACCGATTCTTGGGATGGCACGGTTGATCTGGTCTTGCACAGAGGGAACCTTGCCTTGGACTGGTGTGTCGGTACGTTGGCTTGGGAGGGGTTCGGCGTGGACGAGGAGGTCTTCACCAGACTTGCGCGACTCGGTGTCGAGTCTGTTACGCTCCTTTTGGTATTGACCAAAGTGTGGGGCGTTGACGAGAGAGACACGCTCCTTGGGCTTGGTGACAGAGGTGGGGGCTGACTGTCCGTCCCATTGGAGGAGATCTTCGCGCGACTGCATGTAGAGGTAGGTCTTGAGCCCGGTGATGTAGTCTTGGACGACGGTAAAGTCTTGGTTTTGGACGGCCGAGCAGATTTGGATGACCGATGCACCGCAGTGGAGGAACTGGATACAGGTGTCGGCCGAGTCGGCGCCACCGGTGGCCATGATGGGGTAGTCGGGGAGTGCGCGACGGATAGATGAGACGGCACGGAGTGCCATGGGACGTGTGGCGTTACCAGAGACACCACCGTAGGTAGTACGCTTCTCGGAGCCTACGGCGGGCCATGCGTTGCTGTCGCCCTTGAGACCCATGAGACCAGAGACAGTGTTGATGGCTGTGACACCGGTAGCACCTCCATTGTAGGCAGCCAAAGCAATCTCCTTGACTTCGGTGACGTTGGGAGTGAGCTTGGCAAAGAATGGGATCTTGATAGCCTCACGCACCCACTTGCAAATATGCAAGACGAGTTCTGGATTCTGTCCGCAGGCCAAACCCATACCACGCTCACCCATACCATGTGGACACGACAAGTTGAGCTCGAGCATGTCGGCGCCCGAGGCCTCGGCCATCACGGCCAACTGCTGCCAGTCCTCCTTGTTGAAACCGCACATGATCGATGCGATCACGACCTTCTCGGGGAAGTCACGCTTGAGTTCAGTAACCGACTTGCACCAGTAATGACAGGTCTTTTCAGAGATGAGTTCAATGTTGAGGAAGGCGCCTTGACCCGGTCCAAAGTGGTGGCCAGATGTGGTGCCACGCACGATACGTGGTGAGACATTGGTGACGAGATCCTTGTCGAGCGAGAATGTCTTGGTGACGGCGAACCCCCACCCTTGCTCAAACGAACGACGAATCATCGATGCTGAAGTGCATGGTGTGGCCGAAGCAAGACCGAATGGGTTCTCAAACTTGACGCCACAAAAGTCGACGGAAATGTCAACCTGATCAATGGCCGTGAAAAAGTTGGGCAATTGAGGTGTGTCGGGGATGGGAATACCGTGCAAAGATTGGAGGTATTTGTGGATAGCCCACGATGCAGTCTTGCCGTCATTGACAGCTTCGACGGTGGTACCGTTGCCAATCAAATCACCACCGGCAAACAACCATTCAGCCTGTTTGGATTGACCCGACATGACGTCGATATCGGCCAATCCCCACTTGTTGAAAGCGAGTGGTTTGCAGGCGGTCATCAACTCGTCGCCGACCTGACTGCCAAATGCAGAGATGATATAGTCGCACTTGACTCTAAAGAACTGGTCTTCGTCGATGCCATAGTTGCCCGAGTCGTCCTTTTCAGTCTTGTAAAACTCGAGGGCAACGACCTTGCCGTCACGCTTGATGACTTGCTTGGGCAAGACGTATGGCAAAAACTCGCAACGCTCGTCCTTGGCAATATCGACCTCTTCGGGGACAGCACGCATGTCGGTAAAGGCACGACGGAATGCAACAGTCACACGCGACGCTCCACAACGGTAGGCAGAGGTGGCACAATCAAAGGCAGTGTCTCCGGCACCGAGCACAATGACACGTCCATGCAACTCGGGCAATGCACTCTTGCAACCGCACAATCCAGGCTTGCTACCCTTTGACACGAGTGGCAAGTAGTCTTTCGAAGTATAGAACCCATCCTTGACGGTCAAACCATCAAAGACAGAGTCAACCTTGGCTTCAGGCATACCAATACCAAGATAGACAGCATCGAAACCATCCTTGCTTTTAAGAGAGTCGATGGTAAAGTCGACACCGAGTGCCTTGCCATAGACAACCTTGACACCGAGATCTTTCATGAGTTTGACTTCAAAGTCGACGGCATCATAGGCCAAACGGTACTGTGGAATCTCGCTCGATGACAAACCACCGCTGTACTGCTCCTTTTCAAAGACTGTCACGTTGGTGTATCCAAGACGTGCCAAAAAGGTGGCACAAGAGATAGAGGTGGGTCCACACCCAACCAAAGCAATCTTGGCCAAGTAACTCTCTGGTAGTTTGTCGATTGGTGTGAGCGATGGGTCACGAATCTGAGCAACATTCATCTTTTTAAATTGCTCGGTGGCAAATTGTTGGAGACCACCAATCTTGATGGCACCCTCCTCGGTCGAGGCAAGGTTACAGCCACCCTCGCACAAGTTGCTCACTGGACACACCATACCACAGGTGAGACCCAATGGATTGTCGGAAAAGATGGCCTTGGCGGCACCATAGTAATTTTTCGTGGCAATGCTCGAAATAAACGACTTGACATCCAATTGTGTGGGACAACTCTTTTGACATGGTGCATCGGCACACTTTAAACATCTAGATGATTCAAACAATGCTCCTCTCTCTGTCAATGTTGTTGGTTTAACATCACTAAAATCATTTTTTAAATCGCATGCCTAAAAAAAGAGTAGTAAAACAAAATAATATTAATATTAACGTTGCACAAGAGGGTTGTCAAGTCAATTGGAATGGTGTTTGTAGCCAATCAATCAAATCATAATCAATCAATCAATTATAAATGGTATCCAAAAATGACACATTGAAAATGAAAAGGGTTTGTCGTCTAATCAATACAAAATATCCATTCCCAAGAATGTATACCAATATAACTCTTCGATTCGATTGATTGATTGATTGATTGATCGACCACTACCATCCAATATTGAATGATGATTGATACTTACAGTTTTACATCTATCATTTTTCTTCCAGTGAGCTTTATCTTTCTTGGAGACAGCAGTTGGCTTAAAAGTAGCAAACTTGTTGACTGTTGGATTTAAAGCTAGAATGTTTTCGATATCGTTTACTTGTGAAACATCACCATTTGCGTCTGGTCCTGCCATTTTATGCTTTATCTATCTATATTTTTTTGGGTTGTATTGAACTAGGAATGTCTATTTATATGTATATAAAGGTTGGTTGTATGCGTTGTTGATTATGATTACAATCACGATCTATCTATCTACTCTATCTATCTATTCTTTTCTATATATAAATATACCAGAGTGAGATGTAAGGGGGATAATACAAGAGTTAGTTAGTTTGATTATAACTGTGATCAAATATAGTTTTTTTAAAAGTTCAAACCAACAAAAAAATTAACAAAAAAGGAGAGGTTTTTTAAAAAAGTCAATAAAAACCTTGAATGGCGATGTTGTGAGGAAGAAATTTCACTCTCTCTCTTTATGTGACATGTTGTAATAAGTAAGAAAGTACGTATTATTACTTATGATTGTTACATGTTGTGTTTAGTGGGTAGATAATATAAATAAAAAAATATCCACTGGTGGTGGGTTGGGTGAGGGTTGAAGATAGATTTTTGAGTGGTTATTTTGTGATCATTCATTATCCATACCTGAAGATTTATTTATTTACAATTAGAATCTCTAATCCTTCTCTCTCTTTATGTGATATATATGATACAATGTTTTGTTTGTGTGAAATTAATTAATGATTGTAAATCTGATGCGGCTGAGGCTCAATCCCACTCACAATGCAACCAAACTACACAAAAATATCTTTTAAAAAAAATAATATTTTTTGAGAACTTTCGTCTCTCTCTGCATCATCACTCCTCCCACCTTCCCCTTTTGAGCCTGGAATTGTCGAGTTTGAAAACCATGAAAATCCCAGAGAGATATTATCTGAATAATAAGACCTCGAATAAAATATGTTTTATATTATAATATAGTATTATTGTATTGATTATTCTTTAATTACAGTTTGAAGATCATCAGTATTATTATCTTCATTATATACATCGGCCGATTCATCATCAATATTATCATCATTATCATCATCTTGACGAGTTGGACCTTTAACAAGACGTTGACGTAGTTTTGTTTCAATTTCTTCTAGGAGTGGTCTGTTTTCTTCAAGATGTTGTTTTGTCTTTTCTCTACCTTGTGCCAATTGTTCACCATTGTAACTGTACCAACTTCCACCCTTTTCAATGATACCTTCGAGGAGAGCCATATCGATAATCTCTCCAGTTTTGTTGATACCACTAGCAAAGTCAATGTCAAAGATAGCCTCTCTAAAGGGTGGTGCCAACTTGTTCTTGGCAACTTTAACCTTGACCTGTGTGGCAATGGTTTCGTCACCCTTTTTAACGGCACCAACCTTTCTAATATCCAATCTGACACTTGAAAAGAATTTGAGGGCATTACCACCAGTAGTAGTCTCTGGATTACCAAACATAACACCAATCTTTATACGAATTTGGTTGATAAAGATTAAAACACAATTGCTTTCTTTGAGTGATGGCGATAGTTTACGTAGAGCTTGACTCATCAATCTTGCATGTACACCAACGTGAGAGTCTCCCATCTCTCCATCCAACTCGACCCGTGGTACCAATGCAGCAACACTATCTACAACAATCACTTGCATAGTCTTGCTTCTCAACAGTGAATCTACAATCTCCAGAGCTTGTTCTCCAGAATCTGGTTGTGACACAAACAACTCGTCCAAGTTGACACCCAATTTTTGTGCCCAACTTGGGTTCAATGCATGTTCTGCATCAATAAATGTACAATTTCCTCCTACTTTTTGTGCTTGTGCAATTACATGTAATGCCAATGTTGTCTAAACATAAAACAAATAATTATTAGAGTTGTGTAATCAAATATATTCATTCATCTCATACCTTTCCTGAACTTTCTGGACCAAATATTTCAATGATACGACCTTTTGGTAAACCTCCAACACCCAATGCAACATCAAGACCCAATGAACCTGTTGGAATGACATCTACTTTACTAAGTGTAAATTGTGAACCCAATTTCATCAGCGTTCCCTTTCCAAATGTTTGTTCAATCTCTTTCATGGTTGCTTCCAACTTTGATGATGATGTCGTAGCAGTAGCAGATCCCTTTTTGGATTTCTTTGAACCAGTATCTACTTCATTATCTTCATTATCTTCATCTTCATCTTTATCTTTTTGTTTCTTTGATTCTTTATGAATGAAATGATTAAATCATTTAGTATTTGTTATATAACATTGAGTATAGGTATATCATTATTATACATACTACTCTTTTTCGAAAATGATGATGATGAAATATAAGAGGAGTTATTTTGATTATTCAACAATGATATAGATGTTGATGATGATCTAAGTGAATTGATCACTTGACTGTGAACTGTTCTTTTTGTTAAATTATATAAATTTAACATGTTTTATATTATATAATAAATGTAGATAAGTGTAATCTCTGAATCTTGAAATGAAATGAATACTTGTGGCTCGACTTGACCTCTTTACCAAATAGGGAAGATTAAAAAAACTCTTTAAAAATTAATTCCAAGAAATCAATTAACCGATGGTTATTATATTATATATACAATTATTATTTATTTATCTAATCTATGAAATGCACAGTGTACTGTTGTTTGTGGTAGTTAGCAGGATAAGATAGCATCACAAAGATCGGCAATGGAAGTTCTGGCAAGTGGCATCAATGTTTTTTCATCGATATAGTACATATTCAATACATTGGTTTCACAACTCTTTTCAATCAACTCTGATAATGTACTATTACTCTCTTGGAAACATACTGGTTCCTTTAATTTACCTCCCTACACGTAATTGGAATAAATAGTATATATTATGTAAATATATGGACGGATAGATAGATGGATAGATATATGTATATATGGACTTACATGAACATCATTTAAGAAATCCAATACACTTATTTCATTATATTTAATTGCATCAATTGATTTTAATCCCTATAAATATTAATTAAAAAATGATAATAATAATAATAATAATAATAATTAATTAGTTGGGTTGGAAATTATTAATATTGAATTCCATATATGATGTATTTATGATGTATGAATGTACATACTCTTAAATCAGAACAATTTAAAGTGGTAAGTATATGACCTGTATTATTATCTAATACGGCAATACCACTTATTCTATTTGAAGGTAGAAGGGATAATGCTTCACCAATCATAGTCGATGCATTGACAGATACAAATGGTTTGAGTATACGTAATTCCTTTGCTTTCTTTTTGGCGTGACTTGATAACAATGATTGATAGGAATGTGTAAGAGATAAGATATTTCTCAATGATAGACTTCCAACTACATGATCAGCGTCTTTTTGGTCCTTTGATAGGATTGATATTCTATGTGCTCTAAATGGTGCCACAGTCGATAAAAAGCATTCACATGCTCTCAGCAATGAAACATCTTCTGTAATTCTATCTGCATCTTGTACTCCAAAGAAATCTATAGAACCACAACAAATAATAAATCAATTATTATTATTATCCATAAATACATTTAATAATAATAGATTTATATTTACATACTCATAGTTTGTTTAATTGGTTGAGAAAAGAAAGATGATATTGATAAAGATGATTCTTTGTGTCGTTGAGAGATGGAATTATAGAACAATACGATATCGACTACATCTACAACACCTTTTAATCGATATCCAAATGGCCCATCCTTTGACTCTAATACAGGTGCTCCTATAATATTATTATCAGAGAATAACTATAGAATAGAATGGAATCATCAATATCAAAAGAAATAGACCAATAACATAGTGTCCATTCTATTCTACCTACCTGCAAAGCATCAGAGATAGTATTATCAACATTCAATACGACCAATGGTTTGGGATGATGTCCTGGTTGTAACTTGTAGTAATTGAGTAGTTCTCCCACTGTTATATTATTTAGTGCATTGAATACAACTGAGTGATTATCTTTTAATGATGGTTGTTTAAATTGTGGTGTTGATGTAACTGTATTGGTTGGCTGTTGTTGTTGTTGTTGTTTCTGTTGGTCTAAAGTAGGTGATATAGTCATAGCAGTATTATTATTATTATTATTAATTACCGCCGACGATGGTGTAGGTATATTTGTAGCTTGTTGTTGAGTTGCTGAAGCTTCCTTTTCTTCGTTCAATAGATCATCTGCCATGTTGATGATTGATGTGGTATATGTGTTTCTATCCTATTGGTCAAGTTATATTATTAGTTGATGAACAATCAAATGGTGGAATTCGAACAAGATAACAGCTAATTGCATGATGAACTCACGCACAATAATTTTGTTTGTTTGTGTGGTTTGGTTCACCTACCCACGCTCCACAAGACACTCATCCCTTTTAACGTAACGCTGCACTTCAACTACTACTAATAGATCGATCTAAAAGAGGTGTGATACTAAATATTAATAATAAAAACTTTAATCACCAGACTATTTAATTAATTCAAGCTTCGACTGCAATGATGCATCAACTCAATCGTTCGTTTATATTTTTATTATTTTTATTAGTTTAATTTAATTAGCGTATTTACAGAAGTTAGATATATGATGATGATGATGATTAGTAAGTCATTATTGACAAAGAGGTTAATATCATCTACATCTACATCTGCATCCTATTCATCATATACTACATCTTGTATTAAATCAAGTACAAGTTTATTGTTTGGTGGTTATACGTCACCTTCTACGACAGAGGTATTGGTCGATCATGGACTAACAACAACTACATCGTCAACGTCAACTTCGTCGTCGTCAATTATAGATGGAGGTAGAAGAAACTATGCATTTGGTGGAAAGGCATCAAGAAAGACACCTAGTCAATTTGGACGAAATAGTAATAACAGAGATAGAGGTGAAAAGAACAGACCGAAACCAGCACCAAAGATACAGAGTGAAAAGATTCTAACTCGATTGGAAGAAGAACAAGAGAAAAGATCAGAGGAAGCATTACTCAACAAACAAAAAAGCGCTACTAGCAAAAAGAATGATACTGGAAAGACACGTGGAAGAGTTGGCATATCATTCAATTTAGAGGACTTTAACAAAGCTGAAAAGAGTATCATTGAAGATAGAAGTAGTAACAAAAAGAAGGCAAAAAAGACTACTGAAACCAAAACCAAAACCAACAACAACAACAATACAATCATTGGTAAAGTTAATTATGGTGATGGAGTTGTCGCAGGAGACAAAGATATAAAAAAGAAAAAAGAAAAGAAAAAGGAAAAAGTTAAAGAACAAGATTTATTTGATAAAGATGATAATGATGATAATGATTATACAACAACAACAACTAGTACTACTAGTAGTGGTAGTCGTGGTACAATGTCATCTAATCCATTTTCAATTGCATCTTTATTATCATCATCTTCAACTGCACCAACACGTAGAAAGACACCGCTGCCAGTGGAACAACCATCGGTGGATGGTGGTGAGGATGGCGGCGATGAGATTGGACCAGAGGAAAGAAATTTGTTGTTAAAGAAACGTGAACCACCTGTGTATACAAACGACGGATTGTATGCTGCTAGAAAGGTGCTTCCAGACTTGGCAAAGATGCGTGTTGATAGATGGTTGCGTATCCAGTTTCCAGTGATGACACACTCGCTCATCTGCAAGTTGTTGCGAAAAGAGGTGATCACTGCAACCGATGAATTCCATCAAAATGGATTGGACGACGTAGCTGCCTCAGACAAGAGAGTGTTGGAACAGAGCGACAGAACCGAGGCAGGAAGCTGGATATACATCCCAGCCAAATACGCCAAAGAGCAGAGAGTGGCAGATCGCGAGTCACCAGAGAAATACATTAGATTAAGTGATGCAGAGATTGCAGCCATTCGAAACAGTATCTTGTACAAGGACGATGATCTCCTTGTCATCAACAAACCACCAGGACTATCGGTGCAAGGTGGTACAGGTCTCAAGAAGCATTTGGATATGATGCTTTCACATCTTAAATTCGAGGCTGATGAAACACCCAGACTTGTCCATCGTCTCGACAAGGACACAAGTGGTATTCTCATCCTCGGACGTAATCGTACTGCCACAACAGCAATGGCAGACAAATTTGAACAAAAGTTGAAACGTCGATCAGATAGAGAAGTCAAAAAAGAAAAGAAAGATAAAAAGGATGATAGCAACAATAACAACAATAACAACTACTCTTCGAAAAAGACAACAAAGACAACAGTAGAAGAGATGAAAGATGACAATTCTATCATAAAGACATATTGGGCATTATTAACGAGTACACCAAACCCACGTGAGGGTCGTATAAGAGCACCTCTCCAAAAGATTGTTGAAAATGGACAAGAAAAGGTAGTTGCCACCAAGGAAACTGGTAATGGTGCTAAATTGGCCATCACAGAATACCGTGTCATTGAAAATTCAATGGCCGATACATCATTTGTTGCATTGTGGCCTGAAACTGGTAGAACTCATCAACTTCGTGGTATGTAATAATTATATTATTTATTATTATTATATCGAATTTGTTCTAATTCCACTATCTCTCTTTTGTATATAGTCCATTGCGCTTCTATTTTAGGGTCACCAATTATTGGTGATGTTAAATATGGTGGTAAAAAGAGTACTGCTCCTTTTGAGGTATGTATAGAGATAGAGATAGAGATAGAGATATCTTGTTTTTCTTCTATTGCGTTATATATAACTAACAAAATACTATCTGTTATTTTGTTGTTTAATTATGATTGTGCTATTATTTAGAACGTATTTGACAAGAATATACCATTACATTTACATGCAAGAAGAGTTCAATTCTATCATCCAATCAATACTAATAAGCTTGTCGATGTCATCGCACCGTTACCTCCAACACTTCAAGATTCATGGTCCATTCTTGGTTTCAATCCAGACACTAAAGATAGTGAAATTCAACATTGAAAATAAAAAATGCGACAAGTAATAAGAAGAGGATCAAAAAAAAGGTTTGACAATCAAGAAGAGGATGAAGCAAGAAATATAGTAGTATATAACTTGGTATGTGAAAGGGGGGATGAAGAGGATTCAAAAGGAGTGGATGTGGATGGATGGGAAGAGGAGGAGGATGGAGGAGGATTTAATTTATTCCAAGGGTAAATTGTACAACTATAGTAGCAGTAGTAGGGGTATCGAAGCGAGAGAGAAGATATAAGTAGAGGAGAGGATGAAGTAGAAGGGTTGAAGTAGAAGATCACATGTGATTATATTTGATTTTGGATTTGATATTGATTAATGACAAAGTTCTTCTTCAATAATAACTCTTCTTCTACCAAACATAAAGTAACCAACTCCGATACCACCTAGGACAGCAAATGCAAGACCGGCATTAAATGACATGACAACCAACATTATGAAATAATTGATGGCATATTGAATCACGTGCACAATAGTCTTCCAATAATGACTCGAGAGGAATGTATTGTATTGTTGTTTAAATGTTTTTTTTGTTCCATTGATTAATGGTTGAGTCTCTGATGTAATTGGATCTATAATAAGAATAGAATGAAATAGGTGATGTGTTAGGGCAAATGATTTAATCATCTCCATGATCATTATTACATACTATTTAAACTATGTCTATATGAGGCCCAGTACTCTGAAAAGAGACAGATAGCAAATACCATCAATATAGAAAATGCGTATAACCCAGGACTGTAGACAACCCATCCTTCAAATACGATTGGTACACCTGAATAACTCCAATGAAAGTACATGTTTTTAATCTCTCTGTATAATAATAATAATAATAATAATAATAATAATGATGATGATGAATAAAGAAAGAAGAAGAAAGAAAGCTAAGTTTGATCAAGAGAGAGGAGTGAGAAGAAAGGGAAATGTACATAAACAATTCCCTTTGGTCTTACCATCGGCCAAAAAATCTTGTTTCAATGATGGGATTCATCGGTGCAACTTATAAAAACAAATATCTCATCTTATTGACAAAAGCAAGCATAGCTATGTACATTCCGTGATTTATACAAATACAAACAAATAAGAATACAATAAATCTTATTACTTGTTATTATTTAGAGGGGAGAATAAAAATTTAAACTAGTCATTGAGTTCTGACTATGATGAAAAGAATTTAAAATCAATGAGGGTGAGTAATGTTGATGTCCTCCCAAATAATTATTATTTTTAGTTTTTATTTAAATTAATTTACCGCCTGTGAGGTGGTGCTGAATATCTTGTCTTTTTTGTTTATTGTCAAAAAGAGCAGCAGTTGCAACTACTACATTTTTACTCATTCTTACTTTATAGTATATACATATCACAATTTATCAGCAACATCATCATCATATGTCTTGTTAACTATCCTCCCCTATCATCATCGATCACTACAGCAAAAGTAATAGTAATAGTAGTAGTGTTTGTTACGATTATTTAATAATAGTATAATATAGTATTATTATTATTATTATTATTATTATTACTGTAACACATCCATCCGCACGCACGCAAGAGGGAGAGAGCACTCGAGAAGAGAGGAAGAGAAAGGAAAGAAGATAATTACACAGCTTTATAATTATAATGATAAGAGACCATGTTGTCACCCAAGACAATAACGATAGTAGTAGCTATGAGGACAAGGTGACAGCACTAAAGAACAACGGCGACAATATACAACAACAACAAGGATCGATTATAGTGGCAAGTCTTACCCCTACCCCTACAGCTACTATGCAGATAAACTCATCATCAGCTATTACAAATGGTGTTGAGTCATTAAATAATCATTCAACTACAATAACAACAGATAATAATCAAAATAATAATCATAAAATGGATGTAGATTCTTCAACAATAGAACCAACTAAAACCTCAACATCGACGACTACAACATCGACAACATCAACAACAACTGTAAATAGAAAAAAAGACCAACCAAAGAAGAGTAAAGTCAAGAAGGAAACAACAACAGCAACAACACCAAGTAAGAGTAAAAGTAAATCAAATTCTTCTGTACTCCCTTTGGTTATTAATCACACTGGGAAAGGCGAGACATCTACGTCTACAACAACAACCACGACCAAACCATCTGTGGTCTCACCATTGATATCGGCTTCAGTCTCTTATAGTGACACAGAGTCAGAGACTGATGATGATCAAGATGAACCAAAAGAGTAAGAGAAACAATAACACATGTTTATATGAATACGTACCCCTTTTTTCATTCAATGACTAACCTACAAGTGTCTCTCTCTTTTTTAATAGGTTGAATGGATTGGACCATTGGCGGAGAGACTATAATGAATTGAAATGGAGATCAAATTGGTTAAATCTTCAAATCAAAGATTTACAATATAACAACTATCTATGTGAACAATCATTTACAAAGTTGAGAAAAACAAAGCCAGTATGTTAGACGATACAATTTAACACGTGATACATACAATCAACAATTGATACTAATGATTTATTTATTAATTTAGAAAATAGATATAGTTAAAACTAATCATCGTAATGATAATAATAGTATACAAGAAGAAGATGATGAAGATTTGAATGAATCATCAACATCGATTCGAACAACACCTTTGAAAATCATATCAAAGAAACCACGTAAACTACTAAAAAAACAAGTACCAACCATCACCAAGAAACAAATCAAAAAAGAATTTAATCAGCATCCTCTAAATACCACCAAATGTAAATTCTATCAAGCTGATCAACTTCATCCTGGTACGTATGATACTATTGAAAAAAAGAGACATTTCATACTTATTTTGATTATTTATTCAATTTAGGAGAATCAATTCAAAAAGAGAAAAAGATTATTACAAGACCCAAAAAATTTGATATCACAAAAGACAAGAGATTTCAATTTTATGACAAGGATGATCAAGAGATTAATATAGAAGATATTTTTGAACCACCAGCAACGCCACCTCCACCATCACCATCACCAGCAGCACTTGAACATCATGACATTATCGATAATGGACAAAAGATTAATGGAACCGAAAATAATCTATTACTACACGATAGCACCAGTACTCAACATGTTGATGAAAAGGATAAAGAAAAGGAAAAAGAAAAACCAACACCAAAACAAAAAAGAGTGTCATCAAGAAACAAAACGGCAACAACAACAACAACAACAACATCATCACCTATTATATTACAACTTGAAGGTATTGATCAATTTAAAACTGCACCTGTTACACCACCAAATGAAACTCTTTTATCGACGACAACTATAGTGTCTACAGAACAAGATTCCCTTTCCCTTGGATCAACTGTGGTGACTACTATGGATTCAGAACAAAATGGTTTTGATGCTGCCACAGCAGCTGCTGCATTACAAGAAATAGACATGACCTCTTCAACAACACCACCTGTAAATACACCCAAAACAAGAAAAAAGAGAACAAGAAAATTTTCAGCAACACCAAAAAAAGAAAAAAAGAAACCAGTAGTGTCTGCAACAACAGCCTCGACCGCATCAACTACTACCACTGCTGCTGCAACCATGGAACTTTCTGCACCAAATACACCTACTCTATCAACAGCAGCACCCTCAACACCAAAGAGAACTAGAACAAAAAAACTACCAAAAGTGGTGGTAGCGGATATGGATATTATCAAACCTGATCCCCAAGCCGAGGGATCAGTAGATAAACTTTTGGATACCACTACTTCTTCACAGAACCAACAAGAACAATCTCTAGCTTTGGTCGTATTGGAAGAGAAACAAAATTCTGAATTGACACTAGAAAATGGAGGAGGACAAGACAGTTACCTTAGCGAAGATGAATATAGTAGTTATAGTTGCAGTTGTAGTGATTACAGTGGTGATAGTGGTAGTGACTATAGTAGTGGAGATGATGACAGTGATTTTACCTTTAGCGATAGCGAAAGTCATCATCATCATCATCATATGGAAATTGGATCAGATGGAGGTAAAGGTGGAAAGACCTTGAAAAAGTCAAGAAGAAATACTAGACTATCACAGAAAAAGGGAGACATTAATGACATTTATATACCTCTTGTTGGATCAAACTTTTCGATTCCAGTCTTGCAATACAGAGAAATTGTTACACCTGAATGGAGAGAAGTCACAGCAGGTGATATAAAACAACAATCTGATATGACAATGCCATCTCCATTATTATTGGCAGGTAGTAAATCAAATGGTACAACAATTGTCAGTGGCGGTGCCACCTCCTCTACCACTACTTCTTTGACCACGACGACGACGACAATGACCACCAATTCACTTGATCATATTGGATTACATCAAGCACCTATACCACCAAATCCACTTTCACTTGCCAATAACAAGACATCGTCATTGCCACCAACTCCACTTTTGGAAAAGACTAGTCTCCTCCTAACACCCTCTTCAACTCCAACACTTGGTGAATCTCAATTGGATGAAGCACACTTTATACACATTGACGAAGGAATTGTCATCAATGAATCATTCACAACCACCACCTACAAATCTATGGACCCAGTTTCTAAATTCTCACAAATCATTGATGACCCCATCATAAAGATGAATCTAGACGGCAACGACGGAGGCGTCGACGCCAACAGCAAGGAAATGGGTGAGTCGTCAGGTGACGAAGACACTGATGATGAAAGCTATGCAAGATTTCACGCAGTACACGAGATTGAAGAGAAAAAGAGATACTTTACCTATATTGAAGAAGGAAAAAAGAGAAAGGACAAACGAGAATTCAATCTATCGGTCGAAGAACTCTTACCATCTTATAAATTTAACAAAAAAGAGATTAAACTTTTGGGGCCTACATGGAATGGATCGACAGAAATCATTATAAAGAAGCATCGACATCGTCATCATCATCATCATCATCGTCATCGATCAGGTGATAATCATCCTCATCATCAAGAGAAAAAAAGGCGCTATATACCACCAAAGAATAGTATAGATGCCATGTTGCTTGATGAAAATGGTGCAGATGTTGAAGACAATGTAGTATCAAGAAGAAAAAAGAGACAACCACCACTTCCATTGCACAAGAGTATGGGTGGTATCAGATCACAAAGAAAAACTCCATCCAAAAGACTACTATCAAAGAGTAGTGGATCATTACCAACAAAAAGAGGAAAGAAACGTTATCTTGATCAAGATGATGAATTTGAAGATGGTAGCAGCGGCGGCATCAATAATAATAATACAAACAGATGGTGGATTGATAATACATTTGTTTGGGAACATGTAAATTTAAATAATCATTCAACAACAACAATAGATAACTTTGACAACATTATTAATCATCAAAATAATAATAATAATAATAATAATTTCATTAATCATGATAATAATAATAATAATAATGAAAACACAACAACCAGAACCCCTCTTATTTTAAAACTTAAAAGAACAAAATCAGAAGAATATGTAAAGAAACCTGATCCTGTTGAATTGAATCATGAAAAAGAGATAGATAATAATAATGGAATCAAAGAGGAAAAAGAAAATAACGGTCAAAACAATATTGATAATATTGAAGAAAAGAAATTACAAGAAGAAACTAATATTAATAACCAAATAGAACAAAAGAAATCAGATGAAATGATTACTTTTGAAAACAATTTACATAACCAATGCGCAGGAAATGACTCTTTGGCTGGAAGTGGAAATGGTTTTTTAAATACAGAAAATAATATTGGAACTGGAACAACATAAACCTTTTTTTTTTACACAAATAAAACTTTTACTTGATACATTATTTATTAATAGTTTTAATCAGCAGCAGCAAAGGTTATACGGAGAAAGAATTTTTTGATTGCACTTTGGTCTTTGATTAATTTAATCTTTTTAAGGTACACTGTCATTTCATTCACCTCGGTGTTGTTTGGTAAGAGCGCGTAATCGTAATATCCTCTGATTGTTTTAACAACCTTTTTGTCAATCTTTTTGGCCTTTGAATCGACGGTTAATTTTCCTTGGGATAACTTGATGACTAGGTAACGCAACATATCGACATTGTTTGTTTCAATGGCTGCTCGAAGCAAGTTTTCCTTGTTTAATGATTTCTTTTTACTGTTTACAAAATGTTTGGTATCAAATTGATGACTATTAAATTTGATATCGTCTGTCGATGATGTTAGAGATGGTACCGTAGTAGTGGTAGTGGTAGTAGAGGATGAAGAAGAAGATGAAGAAGAACTGTTTCCACTATTATTTCCGCTATTATTTGAGGATCCTGTACTTATAAACTCGGTTGATGTTGATGGAGAGAGACCGCCGCCACCTCCACCCAAACCACTAAAAAGAGGATGCCATTCAAAATAATAATCTAAAATATGTTGATGACTGAATCGAATGACAGGTTGCATAAGAATCATTTTAATAGACCTCGAGGCTTGGATTTTTTCACCAATGTATTCCATTATCTTTAAACGACCCATCCGTGAGGCAATGGCCATTACCTCTTCATATCCTTTGTTTTTGTTGCTTGAAAAACGATCAACCAACTCGAGGTACTGAATATCTCCAATTTCAGCAGCAACTCTCCAAGGTGAGCGACTCTGTATTTTTATCTTTGCCAAGCCATTATTTGCAGGGTCTGCAAAATTCGAGTGTATCTTGCCATTGAGTAAATCATCGACCATTCCCATGGAAGCATTCTTGAATATAATATCCATCCAAGGCTCTTCTATCAATTGTTCCGATTGTAAATAGGTCGCCATTTTACCACGATCGTCACTCCAACAAGCATCAATCACTCCAGAAGTGGCAGTCGCTCCAAACGACATTACATAATTCTTTGCCTTTTTAGATAATAGGTAATTGGTAAGATGTTTAAATCTAAGTGTACTACCTTGATCAATTTCCATCACCAATTTTATCATTTCCAATCCTATTCTTTTTTGTTTTTGTTTAATTGTTTTACTATTATTATTATTTTGATTATTTTGAGTATCTCTTTTTGAATGAATTAAAATGATATCTTGAGTTGAAAATGAATCATTTTTAATTAAATGACTATGAATATATTTGGTCAATTCTATATCCGACCTAAGAATGGCACTATTCAAGTGTGTTTGTGAAAATATATTGTTGGGACCATCATCTTCAAAATGTGACATTTCAAATTGTTTGAGACAGGGTGCTTGTTCGTAGAGCTCGATGGCACGAATCATCTGATTCATGGTACCATATTGACTTATCTTTTCGGCAACCTCTTTTATACCATAGGTTGCCAATAAATAGTCCAAGAGGATAGTGTCTCCATCGACCAGACAATCATCCAAAAGAATATCGAGCTTTAACGATTTCTTTATAATGTTGTGCAAGTTTAAAAGTTCTTGTTGGGTAGGTGACAATGTTGAAAAGATGGGTACATCGTGTGCGAGTTGACGACAAGAGTGTTGGACAATATCGTCACTGCTTGTCCACACTGGTGGTGGAGTGTTGAGTTGAAACATGATTGGTATTTGAGAATGCATTAGCAATTGTGAAAGGATGGAGAGTTGTCTTGGAATGGTGTGATGGTATCGAAGTAGACGAACATATGATAATGCCAAATCAATTGAAACGCTATTACTATTGATCAAACTAGTTTGATTTGTTGTGCTACTACTATAATGTTGATTAAAAAGTGGTGCAATATCAACCACCTCACCTGCAATGAGACATGTAGCTTGTAATCCAATCGCTGATATGTGTCGATATATAGTTGGCGGCAGTACTGAATTACGTAGAACGTGTTTGAGGAGACTCTTTAAAATGGATGTGTCAGCATTACAGCTTATGGCACTGGCAAAAAGATACGACAACTCTTGATCAGTGTTGTGGTTGGTAATTGATGGATTGGTTGCAAACAACAACTCGACTACATCCAAATGACCGCATTGAACTGCATTCTTGAGTGCGTTGAATAACGAGGTTGCGTCGGGTTTGAGATTGTCAACTAGTGTCCTAACAATATCTAGTACACCCGCTTCGCACGCCGACATGATTACATGTGGTCCTACAAACTTGCTAGCGTATCGGTTGTAGAGCAAAAAGAATAGATCGGCGTCAGTGTTGGTGGCCAGAAACTCTATGACACCGTCTTGGTCAATAAAGAGTGGTCGGCCCGCCAACAGACGGTCTTTGAGCAGTCCATAATACCCATTGATCGATATCATCTCGAGTGAGAACCAGTCATCGTACGACTGACAACTTGTGTATTTGAATCCTAGCTTGGACGGCTTTCTCTCCTCTGTATTGGACCTCTTCTTTTCTCGATGGCGTGGTTGTTGTTGGTTGGATTGATGGTGTTGTTGTTTGATGGCATGTCTTATCTGACACAATGGTAACTTGTATTGCACCTTGCAATACTTTAATATATTCTTGAATAATAATTTATTTTTAAATACACTTGAAATGAAGATTATATTCTCTAAATTATTATTATTATTATGATTGTTATTATTATTTTCTATTTTAGTTTGTTTTTGTTGTAGTTCTTGTTCTTGTTCTTGGTTATTATTTTTATTGTTGTTGTTGATGGTGTTCATTGTTTATAATTAAATAAATAACTACTACTACTAAATACTAACTAACTAAAGAAGAGGATGATAAGATATAATGTACAAGCTAGCGTAGTGTTTGACCTAACCTTCAAACGATAACGTGTTATTTAAACATAACAAATAATAATAATACAAAAGAAGAGAGAGAGGATTATGTACAAACAGACAGACACAGAGAGAGAGAAAGAACGTCGGTTGGTTGAAACAGTTAATCTCTTTGTTGTCTCTGATGATCTTTTGTGTGCATAGTTAAGCTTTGACCAATTGTCATTGCAGCTGCAACGATAGACAGATGAGCAGAAGAGAGAGAAAAGAAGGGGTTGATTCAAAGGTTCGAAGCGACGTTGACGAGATTGAAATCCGCAAGAGGTGGAACAGCCGACAGAGGGTTCTGATTGGAAGATAAAACTAAAAACAAAAACATAACCTGCAAAGGCGAAAACCCTCAATCAACATTGGGTACACGAATGACATCAACAAAAAACCCATCAAGGACCGATTCCCTCCCATCACCAACCCTCCATACATATTTTTTTATCGTCATTTTTTAAAATATCTCTTCTATCTTTCTTTTTAAGGTAGAAAATACTACATAAATAGTAATTGTATTTAGTTTTGTTGTTAATTTATTGTTTGTTTGCGTGTTTATTAGTTAGTTAGTTTGTTGTTTAGTTTATTTATTGTAAGTTATCATAATATTTGTTATTGTTGAGATATTCATCAAAGGTTGTAAGTTTTGTCAATTTTGGAGCAATGGTTGTATCTTGACCTGGGAAGGCACCATGCTTGTTGTAGAATGAAAACATGTGAGCAAATTCCTCTGCGCCAGGGAAACCAAACTTGGCGAATACTTCTGGTGGGACATAGTTGTATTTGATAGTCTTGCCAGTGGCTTTTGAAATCTTGTCCACAATTTCTTGCATCTTTAATGGAGTGGTGAATGGGATGGTAACACCAGCATACTTTTGCTTGTCGTTGAGGATAGCCTCTACGATTGGACCGACGTCGTTGACATCACCGATATCAAGTGGTACATTGGCTTCTTGTGGCATGGTAATAGTGTAATAGGTTCCATCGGCGCTCTTTGTGGGTGGGAAGTATGATTCGAAATTTTGATAGTAGAAAGGAACCAAGATAGTCGATAAGACAAAGGCACCGTTCTTTGCTTTTTCCTCGGCATAGACCTTGATGTCATCCTTGAGGTCAAAGTGTGGTACTGGAATCTCACCCTTTGTAATCTTCTTGCATGCTGATAATGAACTGAATACAAAGTGTTCAACTTTAGCTTTAACAGCTCCATCAACAACCCTATTAAAAATGAAAAAAATAAAAATAATTGTATTAGCACACACCACACCACTACCACCATTTCTATAGTTACTGCTATTGTATTTGTTATGTGTACATACTTTTTACCAATATCAGCTTCAGCACCGAAATATGTATAAAAATCAGTAACTAAAAAGAGTCCGTAGCTACCAGTAAGAGCTTTGGCAAAGTCGTCAACAGAGGCGGTTGTCATATCCAACTTGACCAACTCTACACCCTTCTTCTTAAGCTCTTGAGAAGCTGGTGAATCAGGGTTACGAGTGATAGCACGAAGCTTAAATTTCTTGCTCTTGGCTAATGTTTCAATGACAGCTCCACCTTGCTTTCCAGTTGCACCAAATACTGTAATGATTTTATCTGACATGATTTATAGTAGTTATTATTATTATTTATATGATAGAAATAGAAATTAGATTTATAGTTTGTTTTATTTGATTTATAGTTTGTTTTATTTATTTGATTAATATGAATGAATGAAATAATGTGGTGTCTGATGCGAAATAAATAGTTGTTATGGTGGTGATTTGGTTTCCAGAATGTCACACGTCATTTTCGTTGGGAACCAGAACGCTCAGCTCAATTCCTCTTGCCACTTGTTTTTATGTTTTCATCGAGTTTTCAGAGTGGTTGACCTTTTATGTGTCATGAATTCCCTACTATTTTAATTATGATGATTTATCAGAATACAGAATCATTCTCAAAGAATAAGAATAGATTATATTAATAAATTGTTTTAAACATATCATTTATTTATTAATTTATTTATTTAATTATATTTTTTTTAGTATTATTAATTTATTATTCTTGTAAGTCTTTTAAGATTTGGGTGATCAATTCTTTGGTGTTGGGGTTATCAAAATACAGAATCATTTACAAAGATAGAATAAATTAATAAATAAATGATATGTTTAAAACAATTTATTATTATATATAATTTATTATGTTAATGATGGTTACTTTTTGATAGATATTTATTAATTTTTATTTATTTAGTTTGGTTATTTTTTTGTTTGTTTTTGATAGTTTAGTTGGTTGGTTCAATATTTATTTATTGTAAATTATATTTTGATTTGTTCTTGTTGAGATATTCATCAATGGTTGTAAGATGAGTTAACTTTGGAGCAATGGTTGTATCTTGACCTGGGAAAGCACCAAACTTGTTGTAGAATGCAAACATTGCAGCCAACTCCTCTGCGCCAGGGAAACCAAACTTGGCGAATACTTCTGATGGGACATAGTTGTATTTGACAGTCTTGCCAGTGGCCTTTGAAATCTTGTCTACAATTTCTTGCATCTTTAATGGAGTGGTGAATGGGATGGAAGCACCAGCATACTTTTGCTTGTCGTTGAGGATAGCCTCTACGATTGGACCGATGTCGTTAATGTCACCAATATCAAGTGGAACATTGACTTCTTGTGGCATGGTGATCGAGTAGGTGCCATCATCATTCTTTTTGGGTGGGAAGAACCCTTCGAAATTTTGGAGATAGAATGGAGCCAAGACAGTCGATAAGACAAAGGCACCGTTCTTTGCTTTTTCCTCGGCATAGACCTTGATATCATCCTTGAGGTCAAAGTGTGGTACTGGAATCTCACCTTTACTAATCTTCTTGCATGCTGATAATGAACTGAATACAAAGTGTTCAACTTTAGCTTTAACAGCTCCATCAACAACCCTATTAAAAATGAAAAATAAAAATATTTGTATTAGCACACCGTTTTTCGAATCAGGTGATCTTCACCACACCACTACCACCATTTCTATAGCTACTACTATTGTTTATTTGTTATGTGTACATACTTTTTACCAATATCAGCTTCAGCACCGAAATATGTATAATAATCAGTAACTAAAAAGAGTCCGTAGCTACCAGTAAGAGCTTTGGCAAAGTCGTCAACAGAGGCGGTTGTCATATCCAACTTGACCAGCTCTACACCCTTCTTCTTAAGCTCTTGAGAAGCTGGTGAATCAGGGTTACGAGTGATAGCACGAAGCTTGAATTTCTTGCTCTTGGCTAATGTTTCAATGACAGCTCCACCTTGCTTTCCAGTTGCACCAAATACTGTAATGATTTTATCTGACATGATTAATAGTGTAGTAGTTATTATTATTTATATGATAGAAATAGAAATTAGATTTATAGTTTGTTTTATTTATTTGATTAATATGAATGAATGAAATAATGTGGTGTCTGATGCGAAATAAATAGTTGTTGTTATGGTGGTGATTTGGTTTCCAGAATGTCTGATGCGAATTAAATAGTTGTTGTTTGAGTGGTTGATTCTGGAGATACACCTCATTTTCATTGTTGGGGGTGATTGGAACCAGAACACTCAGCTCAATTCCTCTTGCCCCTTGTTTTTATGTTTTCATCGAGTTTTCAGAGAGGTTGACCTTTTATGTCACATTCTCGACTAAAATCGATACTATTATAATTATGTTGATTTATCAGAATACAGAATCATTTACAGAATATAATAATTAATAAAAAAATTAATTTTTTTTTTATTTGTTGTTGTTATTATTAATACTATTATTATTTTTTAATATTAATTATTATTACTTATGCACTTGAGCGTCCAATAATATTTGTTTCTTGTAGGACTTGTAAGAGTTGAGCGACCGATTCTTTGGTGTTGGGGTTATCAAGATATAAACTAGCTAAATGTTTGAGATTATGTATATCTGTAGTGTCATGGTCATCAATATCAATCACTCTGTCAAGTTCTACATCGAATCTAAAGTAGGACACGTTATTTTGTTGTTTAAACAACTCTACATTTTCTAAATGTTGTTGGTGTGATTTAAATAATGAATCTTGAAATGTTTTGGTAAGATTAATAATAATATTATTATTTTTGTTATTATTATTATTTGTTAAAAGATTATTAGTTATTTTTTCAATTAGTTTACTGTTATTATTGTTAGTGTTATTGTTATTATTATAGTAGCCTGTACCAATTGAAATAATAATTAATTTTTCTGTATCACCAAATAATTGTTTGGCTTCTTCCAATGCAATGGAAGCAGTGTTGTTTAGTAGTACACCGCCATCGACATACTCTTTTCCATCTCTAATGAATGGATTGAGGTAGAATGGAAGGGCACCGGTAGCACGGATTGTTTCAACCACTGACAAGGTAGTATCTGGTCGTTTGGTTGATGAGTAGTTGGCAAGTATCTCTAGAGTATATGGATGGTGGACACTGTCTAGATCGACACTCTCCCCGGTACTGGTGACTTGTCTCGAACTAGTAATGACAAATAGTTTACTATTGGTTGGTTTGAATTTAGATAGACGTGAAAACGAACCAAACATTGCCAACATTTGTTGTTCCAATTTATCAGTATTTTCCTTTACGGTTACACTTGCAGCTCTAGTACTTGAGAATCCTCCAAATATCAAACTACCCAATCCCGAATAAAGATTCTCTAATCCAATAGTTGGAATCCCCAATGCTACAATTAAAAAAGAGTTAGAAATCATATGATTGTTTTTATTTACTAAATGTGTATACACATTATATATCTATGACATACCTTTACAAAAAGCAACGATACCACCAGTACTGGCACCACCAACTAGATCAGCACCAGAGGTTAAATCAAAACCAAGTTGCTTTTCTAAATGAGAGAGAATTGAAACAGCCAATAAACCTCGCATTCCTCCTCCATCCAATGATATAATTAGTTTTGCCATTATTATTAAATGTGATTGATTATTAATAATTAAATTATTTAGTTTGTTGTATTGAATGAATTGAATTCATTTCATGTTGTGATTTAAATAGTTGATTAAAGTAATTCAAGAAAGAAGATATAGTAGTAGAAAACAGGAGAAAGGGAGGTTGATTGGGATGAAGATTAATACCCGATGAGTAAAAGTAGATTGATTGATTAATTAATGAATGCATGTTGTAACACTTTAATCAGTCAGTGCGCATAAGTAAGTTAACTGCTAATGATGATGTTGAATGAACATCTTTAACCAATCAATCTCGTGTTTGTTTATATATTCCAACTATCTAACCATCTAAACGATCGGCAATGTAAATAATTAGTGATCTCCATCGCACACTATTTCTTTTTTTGTCCACCTTTCAAAATCACACCCCCACATACAAAATTAATTAAATACTATTGTTTTACTAACCAACTACCTTTGTCTGTAAATGTATCTAAATCAGGTGGATCTGATCCAATGTATTCTACTGTACTTGAAATTTGATTAATTTGATTGATTTGATTGAATGAATGATTATTTATTATTTTTAGTAAAGTAATTAATCCATCGAAAACTAACTTTTGTCGAGGTATAGTAGGTAGAGGTTGTATACATGAGTTGAATAAATTAATTAATTATTAAATATCGATCCATTCAATATTTGATATGTTTTTTTAATAGCCATGAGTACCAAGGAATGGTTTAGTTTGAGCAGCTGGATCTCCGGTAAGAGCACCAACCAACAGTCTCCAGAAATCACACAAGGTAAATACAATCATGGCAGAACCGAGTGATTCGAGAGCGGTACGTGAAAGAGTCCACTTTTCACCGTCGGTTTCGTCGATACGTGCAAACATGGGGAACGAGACGACAAAGTAGAGCATGTAAAAGGTGCTACCAACGATATACATTTGTGAACGGTTTTCAATATGGTAGTATGGTACCATTTGAATGGTCCAAGTTTCCATAAAGGCGGTGAAATAGGCGAGACCTGCAACAATCAAGATGGTACCAATGATGAGGGACAATGGCTTCTTTTCACCTGCTTTGCGTGGTGGATACATACTCCAGAAACGACGGAGTACTGGTGTGGTGGCAGCGTGGTATGACATAAAGTAGGCGTGTGTTACAAAGTAGAGACATACTGGGATCTCATTCAATGTAAAGGTGACTGGGAAACGATAGGTGGCACGAAGCAACACGAAAAAGTAGTGAGTCCAGAAATAGTTGCCAATAAAACCAAACAATGCAATCCAAAGGTTGGCTTTGACCCAGTAACGATCGTACCATGGTTTATCACGATCAGCTGCACATGGGAATAACATTGGGTATACTACACATGGTAATGATACTACTAAACCTAAAATAAAGAATTCAATATCATAGAAATTCTAAAATAATAGAAATTAAAGAAAAGATAAGATAATCATGTGATGTGTTAAAAAACATTGTTAGAATGGTAAGAACAACAAAACACACACAATGCATTGAGTGTGACAATAAGTTATCGATCTATGCATACCTTGTACACTTCAGAGACTACAACAAAACCAAAGAGACCAATCCAAATGGGACTGTAATATAGGAAGAACTTTTCAGCCCATGCCTTACTTGGGACACGAGAGAACCAATGTGGCTCGTGTTTAATTGCTGTTGCTGTCATCTTTCTTTTTAAATAACAATTGTAAAATGATGATCGATATCTTTAAGTAAGTGCGCTTGTGATCATTAAAGACAAAGACGACCCGAGAATAAACTAAATTAAAAAAAAAAAAAGAAATCTGGGCGTGCAAGCCTCGACATCAGAGGCGAGTGTATGTTGTAATAATAATATGTACATGTAACCCTTCTATGTGAAGTGATCACATTATTGTTTATATATATTTATTTACATTTATGTGTTTGTTTTTAAGCATGATTTTGAATAGAATCACAAATAATTGAATAGATAGTATTTAATAGTTTTGAAAAATCGTCACCAAGCTGCATAGTATTTAGGTCATCTCTACAATGACTTTCGAATACATTGATCATTACATCGGTGGAATTATTGATTCGAATGAAATTGTATTGGATACCTCGTTTTTTCAAGTTGAGGAGAACTTGTTCTGGTCGTTCGGTGGTTGTACCTTTTGGATGTGAGTCTTCCTTTAGAATATGGTAATCGTAGCCGTGACATGGACTATCACAGGAATGTAAAAGTATTTTAATGGTTGAAGACAGACCACCACTGCTACTATCCCATGCCAATCCTCTGACATGAATCAGTGCAGAGGCAATATCTTCAGGTTCGTCACCTCCAGACGTTGTCACAACCTTTTTAATTTCTTGTTCAAACCATGCAGTATTTCGTGTAAATGAAATGATGGTCATTGGATCATTGTGATCTCTATAACCAACAAACGATGTCTCTAAAATGATATTATTGTGAATCTGTCGGAGTTTGGTCAAGAGATTGACCATCATTGATTTGACTTGTACGATCGAATCCTTCATTGACGCTGTGCAGTCTAGTAACAGACACAGTTGAATCTTGGGAGGACTGCTACTATGATAGTGATGATGGCGATGACCGCGGTGGTCACTGTCATATTCAAAAGTCGCATGTACAGGTTCACAAGATCTCGTCATTGCAGTGACATTCAACTTGGTTTCACCAAATTGCATTGAAACTTGGATAAGAGTAGGTGTAGTCGTTGTAGTAGTAGGTTGATCCAATCTAATCACAATAACTCCAATACGCTCACATCCCTTGTCTCTAACCGATTGTAAGTTGGTATCTGCACTTTGATAGATTGCAATCCTAGCTGTTTTCTGTCCTTTTACGAGTAGACTATAGGTACGTGTGACCTTGTGATTGTGGGGTACATGCTGACCTGCCTTTATGAAAATGTCACATTGACCCTTTCGATACATGTTTCCATTAATGTTTAAGTCGGCCAAGTGCAGCAGATCTTCTCCAACGATATCATCTCCTTGCATCTGGCCGATAGTTTCAATAGCAAATGTTTTCTTTGTGATACGATGACCAAGGATGGTTTGGGTGAGTCCGTATCGACACGCACCTCTTACAACAGCCATCCCCGCTTCACCTTGACGCATACGATGTATACCTTTTGACTTGGCTAAGTGTTCTAGACGGGTATCCTTGTTGACATAGTCTTGTAAACGAGGGCTATCAGAGAACCCACCAATCATAACTAGATGGTCGAATCTCTTTTCACCAACACTCTTTAATACCATGTCTCCCAACACCTTCAAGACTGGGTCGAAAAAGGATTGGAACAAGTCAGCTGGCAACCACAATGCATTATCTTTGTATTGAACATTTCCATTTGGTTTTTTTTGGTTGTATTGATTGACTTTCTCGATATACCATTCTGTTGTGTACTCATATTTACCATTCTCATCGGTAAAAGTGTCAATGTACATGCCAACCTTTATCACATCGGTTAGTTTATCGTTAACCTTTTGCGTTTCAAAGTTGTCCAAGAGTGTAGTGAATCGATGTGATGTCTCTGATCTCTTGACGGTATCATTGCCAAACACATTGGATAGAAACTCTACAAAGTTTAGATTAACAAAATTCGATCCAATTGGATAGCCTCCCAATAACAATTCAATCATTTCTAATTGATTATCTTGATTTAATTTATATTCAATACAATCCTAAATTAATTAAATAATATTGATTAATATTACAAATATAAATATAAATACATATGTATGAATACATACCAAAGTTGAATGTCCAGTAATAATGACCAAGAATGTATCATCCTTTTTAAACTTTTTAGTATCGTTGTTGTTGTTGTGGTGGAGGATAGATTCTATTGCACCGGCATCAGATTCAGAGCATAGTATCAATGAATCTATACCAGCAGCATTACGATAGAATTGATCGGCAGAGAGGATGGAGTTGACGGGGACTGTTACAACCCATTGTACATCGTTGTTGGTCAAGACTGTCTTGTAAAAGATTGGTTCTGATTGTAGAGTTGAAAGTGCTCGATTCATAAGAAACCCAAGAGTATGTGATACCAACTCCATGGCAGTGATACTTTCATTTGGGTTAGAGTCTGATTGTACTAGAGAGTCTGCACCGTCATGATGATCAAGGACCACCATTTTAAAGTTGGAGAATGATGGACAGAGTTTGTACATGCCATCTTGTTTCTGGAGGTCTCTTGCTTCATATCCAAACGCCAATAGACGTCTTTCGGGCGTGTCAAGTGAAAATAGTGCCTTTGTCAATGTCTTGAAGGAGTGTGTTCCTGTCCAACTGACTTGTTTAATGGTAGGGCTGTCATTTGAAATGGCATAGGCTACTGCACAACCAGATTGACCAATCTCTATTGACACTACCGCCTTCTTTTCTTCAAGTGGTGTTTCAATCTTTACATTATAATTATCATCCTTATCATTATTATTACATTTATTATTATTATTACTATTATTATTACATTTACTATTACTCTGACGTATAATATAATCTAGAAATGTCATTTTTTTGTATGGTACAGTTGAATATAGTAGTATTACTTTTAGATGGATAGGAGAGATGACGATGATGAGTGTTGTTGTTGGTTTTAACTGTACAATTCAATGTTGTGTTATTGCATATTTGTTGTCCGCAATCTAAACAAATTTATATTATTTAAAGATATATATATCTGTTTGTTATTTAATTAATCAACCATTTCAACAAACAAAAGCAGCAGTACAAGTCTATGAAGAACTTTTACTTATAATTTTGAGCCTTCAAATTAATTTATTTAATTTTTTTTTTTTTTATCTATTTTTGTGCTCTTCACTTTGAAGTATAGCAATGATCACACTTTGACTGGATTGACAACAAGATATCTAGAAAGTGGTGAGTTAAGAGCAGAGATCATTGATGACGATATGAATACTTGACACAAGATGCTTTTCAGATCTATTCCAAAGAAGATGGATAGGTCATCATGGTATTCATTGGTAGAAACTCATCAACTGGCAAATCAAGCGGATAAGAAGACACTAGTAACATCATCAAACAGCAGTTACTTCAGATCATCTGACACAACGATGATCTTTGAAAACCACCTGGACAACGGGCAACTCGTGGTCGATCTCCTGATATTTTAAAAGGTCAGATGAAGTTTCTATCATCATCATCACTTGATTTTGATTTGATAAAATTAAATCATTATTATTATTATTATTATTATATTTAACAATTCATGTTGTTGTAGATTCCATTCTATTACACCATTGCTAGTTGTTTTAAAATGAAGATACAACTTACATTGCTGCTGCTGCTATTAGTGTTGGTGCAGTCTATACTTCTTATTGGTGTATCTGTAGCCGTAAGTATCCAGAGTTGATAACTGATGATAGTATATAGATATTTGATAGTTATCAACTTTTTACTGATTCTATTCTATTTAATTCTACACCTCACCAATCAATCAATCAAGGATGTACCAACAACTCTTCATGCATTTACATTTGATGATGGTGATAAGTCGTACAATGCTATCAACATATCAAATGGAGCTATGCTTGTTAACAATGATTTACCGATTGATCTTAATAAGGTTCTCATTATTGGTGTTGTTCCACCATTGTCTGCCAATGATGACTTTCTGACCGTCGGTGGCAAAATGGTTAATATCGCTGGTTTTAATCCAATCCTTTGGTCATATAATGTACAGGTACGTAATCTAAATTAACAAGTAATAATAATGAATAATGAATAATAATATTAAAAATATTAATAATAATTTTCTTTTTTCTTTCACATTTGCAAACATACACAGAACAACACTCTTGTTCAAAAGGCATCGATAGAATTCGAATTTATCCTGACCGGTTACCTATGGCAATATGATCTTCAGATTGCATCCTATGACTATACAAACAATATAGCATACTTGAATATCCAAACGGAAACTGGTCCATCCTCGTTCAGTGTTGATAGTATTTGATTTTAATCAACAAAGAGAGTAAGTATACCAGCCACGATATATACAGTGAATAATCATAAAAATACTAACACAATCATTATGATTAATAATAATAATTTTTAGAGAAGTAATGGATTTACCATTATCAGATATAGGATTATACTTACAATCATCGTACAATCAATCAAGTGGTACATGTTATCTGAGTGGAACAGTTTTGCCAAAACACCAAAAAACAAATGGTCAGATGTTGGTTGCCAGCTTTGACACGCAGTCTGGAGAAATGTCATCGGACACTATTAAATTTGATGTTCCAGATGATAGTTGTACATACTTTGCAACGATGTATCAATACGACTCTAATTTCTATGCTGCACTCTATCGTCTTGATGGCCAATGTCCAAGCTACATCTTTCAAGTCGATATTGTCGCCAACACTTCAACATTACTGGTCACCATTCCATATGATGGCAGCTCTCCATTCAGTAATTATATGAATTTTGTACTAGATTCTGTAAATGGTTATCTATCGTTGTTTACCAATTTTGAAGCGAAAAATATGGTCAGAGTTAATTTGTTCAATCTCAATACCTATGAGCTTACCCAATATGCTGTACCCAGAACTATAAGTACATTCACATCCGATCTGTTATTGTCTCTATCCTAGGATTTGTTAAAATAAAAATTGGTTTTAATTTAATTGTACAATTCAATGTTGTTATTGCATACTTGTTGTCCAGAATTTCAAGATATATTTTTGTTATTTAATTAATTAACCATTCAACAAACAAGCTTGAAGCATGTCTTAGAATAACTGATTACCGATCGATATTAATAAGGTTCTCATTATTGGTGACTCCATCTCCAATATCTCAAGGTGGGGCGAGAGTTTGGAAGCCAATACGCAGATTTGTTTGGTTCAAAATGTATTACCTCTTACATCCACACTTTGGTTTAAATTGACCACCCGCATCCTCGTCAACTCCTGGAGAGAAGAGAGGAAGACCACCAAAACCTGTTGCTGTTGTTGGTGATGTTACTGGTGATGTTATTGGTGATGTTGTTGGTGATGTTACTGGTGATGCTGGTGATGCTACTGGTGATGTTGCTGTTGTTCTGACCGTACCAGCTGCCACTGAGAAAAAGAAAAAGTTGATGGTGATGTCGCTGTTGCTCTGACCGTCAATGATGCTGTTGTTCCTCTGACAATATCCGCACCCCAGACTAATTATCAGAACAATGAATAAATGATTCTGTATTGCTTTATCTCTTTTTTGTATCAACCACTATAATGATTGTCCCCCCTTGATAATCAACACATCTACTATTATTTTTGGTGAAGATAATAGACCAATTGGTCATAATATTGATGTATATATATATAATCGATATTGTACTGTTTTTATTGCTTTAAAAGTTATCTCTTTTGTGTAACATTATGCGGATTTAAAAATTAATTTTTTATCTTTGACGATCTTCTCCAGTATTTGATGGACCTGAACTGTTTTGTTGAGATAAGAGACAAGTCTACGAACAAGTTCGTAGCTGTAAAGCGTATAACGATAAGACAAGGATATGAGTTGAGCAGATCGTCACAAACGAGTACGAATTCATCATCACTGAACTAATCGAGAATCGATCACTCGACACATTTGCCAAATACAATCCTACCTATTATGGAGACGAAGGACGTCTACATGGAGCAATCGTTCAGATTTTGAAGGGCTTGGCCTACTTCGAAAAAAACCTTATGACCCGTGTCGATGTGAGGCCAAGTAACATTCTCGTATCGGCAGACTGTACTTCAAAGCTTACAGGTATGTTGGTGTAATTTAAAGATGTTTGTAAATCTATGTAAAAAATATCAACTAATATAATATAATGTTGTGGTTAGATTTTGGAAAGGAAAAACCTGTAAATCCGCATTTGGATCATTATGGAGAGGAAGCATTCTTTAGGGGACCTGACACAAGTGACAAACCGAAGGATCATTTCAAATATTTGAAATCATACAAAAGTAATGATTTATGGGGTGCTGGTATTACAATACTATTCCTTTGTTGTGGTGCTTATTATGGAGATTTTGAATTCGGCTACCACATTGGCAAGGATCGCTGCTTTCAAGTTTTAAAATCTCGATCAGTATCGAATATAGATGCTTATAAATTAATACCAAAGGTAAATCAATATTGAATTTAATTCAATTCTATATTAATTTATTAATTCCTTTTTTTTTTGTTCAAATAGATTTACTTGGAGGTGATTGACAAGTGTTTGTCTGGTGTATCAAACATTAAAGATATCTTGTTGGATCTTTCTGGGTTATTATCTTTTACCAAAGCTTTAAAGAAAGTTGACGATAGATATTTGCGGTCAGCACTCAAAGTTTTGGGAAAAGGAAGTCAGGCTACTGTATACAAGGGATGGGGCGGACAGAATCCATTCAAAAGAGTCGCCATAAAATGTTACAGTGTGGACCAAATCTCTCATAGCCTAAACATTTTCCGAATACCTAAGAAAGAGTTTGACATCATTTGCAAATTAGTTACCCAAACGTTCTCCGTTACTTGGATTATTGTGTAGATGAATCGAATCTAGTTTGTATAGTTATGGAGTATATGAAACACAAATCACTCTCCTACTTTATGGATAAAAAACCATGTTACTTTCAAACTGAAATCCATCTCAGACAAGCAATTATCCAGATACTAAAGGGTGTACAGTGTATTCACAACAACAATATCATTCACAGAGATATTAAACCTGGAAATATTCTAGTATCATCAGATTATACTTTAAAGATTGCTGGTATGTTGTCAACAATTTTACATATTTAATATATCAATATATAAATAGATATTTTTTTAATCAATCTAGATTTTGGAATGAGCAAGCACGATGAAGGAGAGAGAACAATTTCTACCCAAGTAGGATCACCATTGTTCCTTGCACCCATCTCTGATCGGAATAATGGAACCACAGTTCAAACAGATTTATGGAGTGTTGGGATCACCATTCTGTGTATGTGCCTCAACGCTTCCTACAATTAAATCAGAAAGAGTATATTATTCAACTTGGAAAACTGTTGTCAAAAATACATTTGGATTTGATAGTTACCTCTCCAGCTCCAAAGCAACCTATCGTGGCACCTCTTTTTAATAGATATATTATCTATTGCTTTATAATTTTTATAGTGAGTTGGGCACATCACTTATAAGCTTACCCACCCAAACCTGAAGCCAGTCCAACCATGGAATACTTTCGAACAGCAACAAATTCAAGCCTTATTAAAAAATTTTTAAAAAAAGTAATCAAACGGATGGAATACTTTTTCAACTGATATTATTTAAATAACTTAAATAAATATGATTTGAGACTGTCCATAATTAATAAATATTATTTATTGAAATTAATTTCATTTTGGTGAGCCCGATCGATCTTTGCAAAGCATAAACAATGATCATACTTTGCTGTAAACATTCAAGCAATCATCGACAGGCTGTGGCCACGAATCGAATGTCATTGACGGAATTATCCAGTGGGCAGAGATAAGTTTGTAGCTGTCAAAATCAGTTATGCTAGAATCTAACAATGATCTTTGAAAACCATCTGGACAACGGGCATCAATTAATTTAATTTAAATTAAAAAATTGTTGTCTTTTCACACAAGACCAACCATCATGATGATCCTTCTTTTTTTTCAATTATTATTGTTAACACTACTATTATCATAAATAGTACTACAATGCAGTTAGGTTTAGAAAATTTAAAAGATTTATCACTGGATGATCGAATACCAGTGAATGATGGATATAAATACTTTGCGTATAAAAACCCCAAAGAAACATTTGGCTTAGGTGAACAGGGTGATTACATCGGAAGAGACAAGAAAAGAGACAGGTTCGTAGTTGTCAAGCGTATAACAAGAGATTCCATACCAGATCAAGATCAAACCTATCGACATTTAGAAACACAGATAATCAAACAACTTAATCATCCCAACGTAATACGTTGGTTGGACTATCATATTACAGATGGGTACGAATACATCATTACCGAACTAATCGAAAATGGATCACTCCAAACATTTATCAAAGTTAATCCTACCTATTATAAAGAAGAAGGACATCTAAATGGGGCAATCGTACAGATATTGAAAGGATTGTCATACATTCACGCCAACAATCTCAAACACCGTGACATTAGACTAGGAAACATTTTAGTATCAGCAGAATATACTATAAAGATTGCTGGTAAGTTATCTATATCTTTCAAATGGTGTATCAAACTAACAAATGATATTTTATGTTTAAAAACAACATTATTAGGTTTAGAATATTGTGAGTTGGCCGATTTAGAAAAGACTATTTTTAGTCAGCATGGAAATCCATTGTATTTTGGACCTGATTATTATATAGATCCAGTAACAATACAGAATGATTTATGGATGACTGGTATTACATTACTATTCTTTTGTTGCAACGTTTTTATCGGAGATTCTCTCTTGCAATTTTATCAAAAATTTGAGAGACACCAACGTTCAGTATCTGAATCACGGTCCGTATCGAATATTGATATGTACCAAGCAATCCCAAAGGTATTATTATAATGTCTCTGTTGAATCAAATGATATATGTATATTAAATTTAAATTAACCTTCAATCATTCAAACAGATTTACTTGGAGACAATTGACTTGTGTTTATCTGGTACATCGACTATTCCTGCCATCCTCCAACACCTTGTACCAATTCCCCTCACTTTATCCCCGGACACTGACGATATTGAAAAACAACAGCAACAACAACCGTCAGTAGCAAAAGGGCCAGGGTTTAAGATGGCCAAAGACAGATACCAATACGCAACAAGTAAGGTTTTAGGAAGTGGTAGACAGGCAATAGTGTACAAGGGATGGGATGTGCAAAACTTTTACAAAAGAGTGGCCGTAAAATGTTTTGTCAATGTTAGAAGGTCAATGTCAAACGTATTCAGTATCCCCCGTGAAGAGTTTGTCATTATTCAGGGATTAGATCACCCAAACGTTCTCCGTTATTTGGATTATAGTATACATGAAGAGTCGAATCTCACCAATGAGTGTATCATTATGGAGAGAATGAAACACAAATCACTCTCCTACTTTATGGATAAAGAGCCACATTACTTTCAAAATGGAACTAATCTCAGACAAGCAATTGGCCAGATACTAAAGGGTGTTCAGTATCTTCACAACAACAAAATCATTCATAGGGATATCAAGCCTGGAAATATTTTAGTGTCAAAAGACTATACTTTAAAGATTTGCGGTATATACTGTTAATATTAAATATTAATGTTTATTACTAATATCAATATATATTTAATCTAGATTTTGGAATGAGCAAGTATGAAGAAGGAGTCAGAGATGATTCCACTCAAGTAGGATCACCATTGTTCCTTGCACCCCTCTCTGATTTGATTAATGGAACTACAGTTCAAACAGATTTATGGAGTGTTGGGATCACCATGCTGTGTATGTGTTTGCATGTGTCATACGAATTAAATAAAAATGACTGTATCATCCAAGTTGGAAAACTGTTGCTGAAAATACATCTCGAAAGGTCTGTTTCAGGAATCACCGAATTTAACAAAATACCAAAGGAAAATATAGTAACAAGCATAGAGTACAGTAATGCCTGATCATTTATCTTAATTCCTTTTCTCGAAACTCTATTAATAGATTTACTTGTCTATAATCGATAAATGTTTATCGGGCAAATCAAATATCGAAAAGATCCTGTCAGGTTTGGCTAATTTTAATAATCAACCAAGTAAAAAATTTTAATTTAGTACTCTTACTTTAGAAAGGTAGTACTTGATTTCTATTTTATAAACATACACGAGCATAACAATCTATACAATATAATGCTACTCTTTGATGCAAATAATTAAAATAACACAAATAAAACACATTTACAAATCGATCATTAATGGTTTATTTTAATTAGAATCTGTATTGTTTAATTGGGCAGATGGACAAATAGCTAATCGACATGCACCCCTGACTACCGACAATGATGGTTGCTGTGGCACTATGACGTTGGTCGATGCAAACTCTTTCTTTATCAATTGTTGAAGGACATAGTTTTCACTAAACCCACCAATCATAAAGATATGAGCAAATGTATTTTTGTTCATTTCAGATTTGAGATGGCCCAAGATTTGTTGGAAAATTGGATTCAAAAAGAATTCGACAAACGAGGCGAATGGGATGGAAATAGTAGATCTGCTACGATCGTATAGAATATTTGGTGGTGTTTTCGAGTCCACTCGTTGGTTGATTCTTTCTGCAAACTCGAGTGGGGTAAATTGAATGATTATTGGTCCTTTGTCATTGCAACGATCCTTGGCCATTGATTCTTTAATCAATTTGAATTTATTGACCAACTGGTCTAAACGATCACAATTACTGGTAATCCCTAGCAAATCTACCAAAAAGTTTTTGAATATTATATCGCAATGGTTTGATCCACAGTCTACAAAAAGTGGAAGATCAATTATTTCAAATCCATTTTGTAATTTTTTATAAACTAAAAATAGAATATAAATAATGATTAGAATTGTTATCACATGTTTTGTTGTCTGTTTGTATCCACGTGCTTACCATTAAAACTCGAAGATTCTCTTCCAAGGTTGAGAACAAGAAATTGTTGTTCAGGTTTAATTTGATTGTCCATTGTTTTTGAAATACAATCCATTGCACCTGCTTTACTTTCTCCAACAAACCTTATCGAATCTAATAATAAAGGTGTTATATATATATAATAAATATGTTAATATTTAAATCAACAGAGACTTTTTTTTTTTTTTTTTTTTTTTTTTTTTTTTTAAACATACCTTTGATAGTGTCTATAGTACATAACCCTGCTTTTATTGCACATAACAGTATTGCCTTTTTAGAAATATTATCAGATGTATCGGGTACTGTGATTACCCACAATACCTGACTTGGGTCGACATTGCTCTTGTATTCATCGTTTAGGCTTTCTAAACTTGTTTGTTTAAAGTACTTGAGAGTCTCTGTAAAGAGTGTTTCAACCGATGCAATCTGATTACAATTATCAGCCTTGACCATTGTCTTTTCTCTTGACTCTGTGTTAAAGAGGACCATCTTGTACTTTGAAAAGATAGCATTATGATCATGACGAGCACCATCACCAAATCTTGCGAGCTTGCCATACTTGTCAAGTGATATAACTGTCAATGTCTTCACTTTACATTTCAAAGCACTATTGTGTTTTGATAAAGTAAATGAAAAGGTACTACAATTTGAACCAATGTCAATAGCTACAATGTAATGTAGTATTTGCGGTCTGGTGACTATTGAAAAAATAGATAACAATTAAAAAAATCAAAAATATGATCAATTAATTATGTTAAAAAAATATTTTTAATTATTTTAATTACATACTTTTAAATAAATGACAATCTAAAGCATTATCAATTGTAACCCCAGATTTCTTTGTATTTAAACATAGATTTATCAATTCCCTATATTCCTGGAGATAAAAAATTTAAAAAAAAATTAAAATAACTAATTTAATAATTTTAAAATTGATTCATAAATTTATACAATACAAACATCTAAAATTATATTAAAATCATTAATTTCCGAGATAGATCTTTTTGATTGGATTAGAATTTGATTTTTTATATCATAGACGTTACACTTTCCCAATCTGAATAGACAGAGTTGCAGGATTGTGATTCCGACACTCCACATGTCAGTGTGAAAGGAAGCTCCTTCTGTCTCCCTGTCAGGTGATCTAAAACTTTCTGTCCCTTGATTTAAAAGGAATGGAGATAGACTTCTTTCTACGTTATACCTTGCCATACCAAAATCTAGAATAAATAATAAATAAAATTAGAAAGTAAAAAACAAAAAATCATTACTTACCACCTATTTTTAAAGTATAATCTTGAGATACGAAAATATTTCCTGGTTTAATATCTCCATGTATTATATTCTTTGAGTGGAGCTACTGGACACCCTCTAGTATTTGTTTTATATGATCGATGAGTTGTGATTCACCAACGTAGAAATGACGGTTATTGTTTAAGAATTTGTTCAAATTGTTGTTTGAAGCATATTCCATTACTATCAAGTCATATGCCTTGTTTGAATTCTTTACCATAGAAGTATAATAATAATATTTAATTACATTCTTGTGATTCAGGGGTTGGATCATCAGAAATTCCGCACGTTGGGAGTTTGGCAATGCCAAAATCATCTGGCATCTTTTCACTACAATAAGAGTGTTCTTTTTATTGTCATTCCCTAGATAGGCTTTACCCTGCCCTCCTCCTCCAATTTGATGGGAAATTGATTTGGAATACCAATATCTATCTATATATTTCTTTTTCGAAACTTGATCTTTAGATATTAATATTAATAATTTTATATTTATTTTACTTTGGTACTATGATTTCAAACTTACACATTTTAAAAAGTATAATATTAATTTGATAATTTTTTGATTGATTGTATGAATTATTCTGCAGAGCTTGAATTACAGGCTTTCATTTTTCTCTCCTTTCACACTAAGTATTGTGAACCAATAGTTTAGGTCTATTTGATCCTAAAAATTTAAGCAAACACATATCTATAAAAATAGAATAGAATGTATTGTTTACTTTTACATTATCATCCTAAATATCTACTATTCTATTGTTTTTTTCCTTTAATTCTAGTAAAACTATCAAACCCAAAATTAACAAAGTTATTTAAATTAAATTTTGGTGGGTCATCCCTAATTGTTGGGGTGGAACATAAATTTATGTTTGCACCTATTTTTCCAAGATAAGAAGTTTGTTTAGCTGAACATTAGTTATCATGACTTGATCAATAAGCACACATCAAGATATATATAGATCAAGATAGATAGATAGATAGATAGATTTGTCGAATGAATAAAACAGTTGTAGTTGCAAATGATAGATATGAATTTACAACAAATGATTGTATAGGTGAAGGAGCACAAGCAACAGTCTTTCTCGGTAGTGACAAGAGAACGGGCAAACGAGTAGCTATCAAACGTATTAAACATAGAATTATGGTTGGACAGCCTCCTTCAAATGCATTCAAAGTGCCCGAGGAGGAGTTTAAGATCATCGAGCCACTCGATCATCCAAATGTACTGCGTTACTTGGACCACAGTCGTCATGTCGATGGTAACAAGGCCTATGAATATATTATTACAGAGTACATGGAGCACAAGTCTCTCAGTACATTCATCGAAACCAATCCTACTACCTATAAAGATACAAGTAGACTAAGAAAAGCATTCAAACAAATTTTAAAAGGTTTATCTTATCTTCACAACAACAATATCATTCACAGAGATATTAAACCTGCCAATATACTAGTTTCATCAGATTATACTTTAAAGATTGCTGGTAAATCAAACATTAAATTATAATTAACAATTAACTAAATATATTAATTTGTTTATTTTATTTAGATTTTGGAATGAGTAAATTGGATATACAAAGAAGTATAACCACTCAAGTTGGATCACAACTATTTAATGCACCTGATCATGCATATGGAACATCTAAACAAACTGATTTGTGGAGTTTAGGTATCACAATGTTATGTATGTGTATGAGTGCAACCTATGCAGGTGGTCATTTAACCATCTATCAAGACATCACTTCAGAACTACGAACTATTCATCAATCTAGATCTGTCTCTCAAATACCTAGATTTAATACAATTCCAAATGTATAAAAGACAAAAAAAGAAAAAAAGATTTATTATTTAATTATTTATTTAATTATTTTATTTTAGGAATATTTACTGGTTATTGATAAATGTTTATCGGGAAAATCAAGTATTGAAGATATATTGTCTAGTCCACCTTTGGGTAATTATAAATGTCCAGGTGGAGGAGACCATGATTTTTCTGGAACCAATTTAGAACCAATTATGGATTATTCACACAAGGATGGATGGGGAGGTATTATCCATGGACATAAATGCTGTGGTCAATGTTCTGGTAACTTTCGTTGCAAAGGTAGATGCAATAATAAATGTGAACACCCAAGACAAGTCGGTACTAAAATACTTTCAAACTATTGTATCAAGTGTACCAAACTACTTAAATAATAATAATAAATCAAGACCAACAACAAACAAAGGACAACTAGTAAGATATTTTTAAAACAAAAAAAAAAATAACCAAATCGGGATTGGAACAAGATCCGATTTTTTCAATCAAGACAGAACCAACAATTACGTAGCGATCATCACTCACTTTTCTCTTTTATTTTTACTTATTTATTTATTTAAAAAAAGAAAGAAAAAAAAAAAGAGATAGAATCAAAAAGATTAATAGTACTATGATAGAAGAGTATGAGTGTCAAAAAAGTGAATGAAATTTATGAATATGCATCAGATCAATGTCTTGGCTCAAGTAATGCTACAGTGTTTCTTGGGAGAAACAAGATTACAAACAAACGTGTGGCTGTAAAACGGATCGTATATAGAAACATGGGGAGACCATCCAATGAGTTTAAACTAACAGAGAGAGAGTTTCAACTCATTAGGCCACTCGACCACCCAAACGTATTGCAATACTTGGACTATGCGCGGGATGAGAGTGGTCAAGTAAAGACACACGAATATATTGTTATGGAAAATATGCCCAATCTGTCACTAGATACATTTATACTGAAAAACCCTGCATTGTATAAAGACCAATTACTATTAGTCCAACATATGAAACAGGTACTAGAGGGTGTACAATATATTCACAACAACAATATCATACATCGTGATTTAAAACCAGAAAATATTCTAGTTTCTCATGATTACATTTTAAAAATTGCTGGTATCTTATCTATCAATATGCATATCGATCTACTTTATTAATTTTAATATTAATATCAATTAATTTCTTTTTTTTTATTTAGATTTTGGAATGAGTAAATTGGATGTAGGAGCAAGATCAATTTCAACTCAAGGAGGTAGTATAATATATAATGCACCTGATCGTTTATCAGGAACATCAAAACAGACAGATTTGTGGAGTATCGGGATCACATTTTTATATATGTGTTTGAGTGCTACCACCAGTGGTCAAGAAGTTGTTAGATCATCTTTTCTGCCAGATATATGCTTTCATTTAAAATCAATCCAAGAAAATAGATCCGTTTCACATATTAATGGTTTTAATAATATACCAATGGTAATGTAACCAACTCATCATCATCATCATCAAGCAAATAAATTGACAATTAATACCTTGTTCATTTAGATTTACTTGCAATTAATAGATAAATGCTTGTCAGGAACATCAAATATTGAACATATTCTTTCTCAAGCTCCTTTTGTTTCAAGAGAGTATGCACATGAGTATGGACACGAGTATGGACACCAGTACTATGGAAACCAAATTTTGGATGATAATATATGCTCAAATGGTGGTGGCCAACATGATTATTCAGGAACCAAGGTTGAAATAGTAATGGATTATTCGCATCGTGGAGGCTGGGGAGGCTATTATCAAGGACATCAATGTTGTCGAGGTTGTAAGGGAAGACCTTTCTGTCCTGGAGGTTGTAAATGTAAACATCCTAAAAAGACTAACAATATAGTTGCCTACTATTGTATTGGATGTAATAAAATTAAAAATTAATCAGATATATCTCAACTAATTATATATTTACTGAAGTATATCTACAGTTTTTATAATAATTAAAAGTGAATTGATGTTTATTGATTTCATTGGTCTTTTATAGTTTGTTGTTCGAGACCGACAACAGTTTAGTCGTTAGTATTTTTATCCAGCATACTTTCTATATTTGGCACCAGGATTAAGTATGTTGATACTTAGATGAATTGAACTACTTTGATTTACAATCTGAATCTAACATATTAGCTAAATGATATAGACCAAGTCTACAAGCTCCCTTGGTAAAATATTGGCTTGGTCGTTGTGGAACTATGATTTTAGCACCAGTCGATGCAAACTCTTTCTTTACCATTTCTTGAAGGAAATAGTTTTCACTTAAACTGCCAACCATAAAGATAAAATCTGGTTTGTTGATCGAGGGGTTACATTTCATTTGATCTTTGACACTGTCGATAATATTTTTGAATATTGGGTTATGGAACTCGATAAAAGTTTGAAATGGGATAGATATATGTCCTGATCTGCCGATTCCGATTTTGGTACCATTTAGTTGATTTAACTTTTCAATTTGTTGCCCTAACCAATCTCTATTCTTAAAAACAAAGTTTGGGTCCAATGGGATATATCTTGTTTCATCACCCAATTCTCCTGTTATTTTTTCAAACATGTCCACCATCTTTATGAAATCATAACTATTGGATTTATCACCAAGTAAATCCAATAAGAATTTCTTGAAATATTGATTGCTGTCTATTGATCCACCAAATGGACTAATAATAGTTTCCATATTTCCATTCCCTAGTTGTTTGTAAGCTATCATAAAAGAATATTAGAAAAATGATAAAGTTTTTCAAAGTGGATGTATTAAATACCAATAAAGTGAGTAAAATGGTGATTTAGATGAAAAACAAGAAAAGTTTGGCCATTTCTCACTCCACCAGGGTTTCTTGATTCATATTCACCAATACAATTTATTGTGAAACATTTCGATTCCTCTGCTATTATCAATGAATCTATTATTAAAAAGGTTAGAAATAAAATTGCAAAAGTAGATAGATACAAGAATAATATCTTACCATCATGATTGGCAATAGTACATAAACCAGCATTGATTGAATACTGAGAAATTAATTTTCTTAAGTTGGTATCCAATGAATCGGGGACTTGGATTACCCACAAGATATCTCTTGGTTCAATTTGGATGCCACCACTGATTTTGTCCAAACTTGTTTGTCTTAAATATTTGAGAATCTCTGTTATGAGATGTTTGGTAGAAACAGTTTGAGTGGAATTGTTCGACCTGACCTTTCGTTCTGTATTTTTATCAAATAATTCCATTTTTGTCAAAGTAAAGATAGCATTGGCATCATCGTCAAGGGCATTGTGGCCCAATCGTATAATTTCGCCATTATCACGATCTTGGAGAGCAGAGGGTCCGAATCGTATCAGTTTACCACTCTTATCCAGAGATAAATTTACTAATATCGACCGATGATTTGCAAGATCATTACCAGCATATATATCCCCACCACCGGATGGAAAAGAATATGAAAATTACCGTCAAGGTCAATGGTAACAACAACTCCCTTTTCAAAGATAAATTGGGAGATGATAAGACTAATGTCTGGATTAATTGATAAACATTTATCGATCACTAAAAGATAAAACTGATAATGTTTTAATATTAGTAATTTTATGATATATTAAATATGTGGACCGCACCAACATACTTTTGGTATTTGATTAAATTTGTCAATATGTGATACAGATCTCTTTTTTTGAATCGATCGTAATTCAGTTGCAATGTATTCATAGTACTCCTTGCCCTTTAGTCCATAAGATGCATGTAGACACATACACAATATAGTGATGCCAACACTCCATAAATCAGTTTCCTTTGTTGATTTGGAGTGTCGATCAGGTGAATTGAACAATGTTGTACCAACATGAGTAGAGACACTACGTTCAATGTCCAATTTACTTCCTCCAAAATCTTTAGGGAATAGATATGTTTTGTTAGTTATCATGCATTGCCTTGGTCATTCTATCTAATCCATTGACCCTTTCAACAGTCTTACCTGATATCTTTAAAGTATGATCTGACGACACTAAAATATTACCAGGTTTAATATCTCGGTGAATGATATTGTTATTATGAATATACTGAACACCTTTAAGTATCTCTCTGATGGCACCTTGCAACCTTAATTTATCTCTAAATATCAATTCGTAATTGTCCATGTACGAGGAGAGTGATTTATTCTCCATGTATTCCATTACTATATATTCATATTCTTTGCTTCCCGTGGCACCTTTACTACTACCATAATCCAAGTACCGTATGATGTTTGGATGTACCAATTTTCGTATGAGGTTAAACTCTTCATTAGGCATTTTAAATTTGTTGATATTGTCTAAAGTCTTGTGTTCTTCAAAGACCACCCTACGTTTGATACGTTTCACTGCTACTATCTCGTTGCAATTCTTCTTATTTCTTCCTTGAAAGACAACACCTTGAGCTCCTTCTCCTAAAACAATATCTTTTGTAAATTCATATCTATCTGTTGCTGTTTCGTATTTGAATTCTCTAATCATCATAGCACTTTTTGTGTTAAAAAATATTACTTAAATAAAAAAAATAAAAGGGGTCTCAGGAATCAACAACTACTAAAAGGTACTGTCAATAAAGACAATCAACAATAATAACAACATTTCATTCTATTATTATATAATCATTTTATTAAACTTATTGGCTATTTGTATTCATGAGTACTACACCAATTCTAGGGATATTCCAATGTGTTCTTTCTTTTTGGACATATTCTTGAATGAATAAATTCCCATCCAAGCTGTTGATAAAAACTCCATCTTTCAATTCCCTAGCTGTTTGTATCTTCAAAGACTACTAATAATGACTAAATAATTGATAAGAAAAAAAAATGTTAAAAAAAAGGTAAATATATATATTCATACCATCATCGAGTGCATAAACCAGCATCGATTGCATATTGATACTTGACTTTTTTATCATCTTTAGGGTCATCAAGCAAATCGGGTACTGTGATGATCCACGAAACTTGATTTGACTGATCCTATTATCGATAAGAATAATAAAAGCTACCTCTGGTGTCCAATTACAATATCAGCTTTTTTGTTTTTTGCAAGATCTAGCGTTAATCGGATATCTTCAATATCTGGATTTGTTGATAAACATTTATCAATCACTAAAAGTAATTTCTAATATAATGATGTTGTACTAACAAAACACAACATAACTTTATTTAAGATTTTGGAGGAAGTAAATTGGACATTGAACGTAGTATCTCTACTTCTCATCTGTTGGCAATATCATATAGTGAACTGTATTCTCTAACATCACAATAGATATAATATTTGCTAACTACATACCTGATATCTTTAAAGTAAGATCCGATGACACTAAAATATTACCAGGTTTAATATCTCGATGAACTATGTTATGATCGTGAAGATATTTGACACCGGTTAGGATCTGATCAATGGCACAAACCAACAGTGATTGATCTTTAAACATCAATTCGTTATTGTCCATGTACGAGGAGAGTGATTTATTCTCCATGTATTCCATAACTATATATTCGTATTCTTTGCTTCCAGTGGCACCTTTACTACTACCATAATCCAAGTACTGTATGATGTTTTGATGATCCAATTGTTGCACAATTTTAACCTCTTCTTTTGGTATTTTAAATTTGTTGATATTGTCTAGGCAAGTCTTGTGTCCCTCAAAGACCACCCTATGTTTGATACGTTTCACTGCTACTATCTCCTTGCGATTTTTCTTATCTCTTCCTTGAAAGACAACACCTTGAGCTCCTTTTCCTAAAACAATATCTTTTGTAAATTCATATTTATCTGTTGCTGTTTCGTATTTGTGTTGTTCAAGCGAACCAAAAAATAAATCTCTAATGCCGATCATAAATCTTCAATTACACTATTATTATTACTATTAATATTTATATGTAACTATGATTAATAATAAACACAGTGGTGATTGTTGTTTCGCTCATTGAGAAACCCCCAAAATTCATACCTAATGCAATCTCTTTATTTTTAAAAATAATAATTATTTATTTGAGTATTAATATTAATGTGATTTATTAGTGATTGTTTTTAGTTATGGCTAATCTACAAGCACCCATAGAAGCACACATCAAAGGTCTGTATGGAATAGCAATCGTTGCACCAGTCGATGCAAACTCTTTCCTTACAAATTCTTGAAGTAAATGGTTTTCACAAAAACTACCAATCATAAAGATATAGGTAGGATTCTTGATGGCTTCATATTTCTCCATGTGTTCTTTTACAGTGTTTACTATTGTTTGAAAGATTGGTTGAAAGAATGACAATATAGTATCCAATGGGATTGATAGATGTCCTGTTCTTTTGTATTGTATCTTTGACCCAGTTCTACTGTTGTATTGCTTGATTCGTTGAAGTATCCAATCAATATTCTTGTCAAATACTTTTGGATTAAATGGAATATTTCTTGATTTAGCATTTACATCAGACATTGATTTTTTAATAATATTATCAAATGTCTCTAATAATGTAATAAAATCAGTACCATCGATTATCTCTTGTGTCATTTCATCACCACCAAGTAAATCCAACATAAATCTTTTAAAATATTGATTACAATTATTTGATCCAAAGGTACCACCGAATCTACTAATTATAGGTTCCATCCTTTCATCTTCTAATTGTCTATATGCTTAAAAAATATATAATTAATTTAAAAAAAATTGATACATTTGATTATTATTATTGTACTTATGATAGAACATACCAGTAAAATCAGCAGTATCTACACCAATATTGAAAACAAGAAATGATTGGTCAGGTGCTAGTTGATAAGCATAGGTTTTCTCAAAAATACATTCTAAAGAACCTGCTTTGGATGCAGTTGTAATGAATAATGATTCTAAATAGAGATTAAAATATTAATATTAATATAAAATGAAGTTATAATTAGGAAGATATGAATGTAATACCTTTGATAGTGTCTATAGTACATAAACCTGCGTTGATTGCTATTTGATGAATAGCTCGTACAATTGAAACATCATCATCAGATGTATCGGGTACTGTGATCACCCATATCACTTGATCGGCTCGTTCAATCTTGACTCTATTACAACTGTAGTTGCTTTTGTATTCCAAATCTAGACTTTCCAAACTAGATTGTTTAAAGAACTTGAGAGTCTCTGTAAAGAGTGTTTCAACCGATGCAGTTTGATCACAATTATCAGCCTGGACCATTGTCTTTTCTCTTGACTCTGTGTTAAAGAGGACCATCTTGTACTTTGAAAAGATAGCATTATCATGATCTTCACGAGCATCATAACCAAACTTTACAAGCCTTCCATTCTTGTCAAGAGATACAGTGTTGGTGACAGCAGTTGTCAGTAGTGTGGAGGAGAGATTAGGGTGACATGGACCAGACCAAGTATCATGTGTATAAATATCTACATTATCACCTCTACCAGTTATAAAAGCATACGAATAACCACTATAATCATTACCAAAATCAATTGATAATATAACTACTTTTTTGTTCTCCATCATCATTAAGCTTTGATCGATTAAAATTAATTAAAAAAAAAAAAAAAAAACTAATCACACCTAGGTTTTAAATTTAAATAATTATTATTATTAGAATTATTTATTATTATTATTTCTAAATTTGAAATGTTTGTTAGTTTGTTTGTCGTTGGTTGGTTACACTTTTTTTGGTGTTTTGATTCTTTTCAATATTCTTCTTTTTCTTATTTTAGATTGTATTATTATTATTATTATTACAATTATTTTTGAAACTGCGAGCTCTATTCATCGCCAATAAAACACTTCCTTTAGAGGTAGCGATCAAGATTGGGAGGAGTAAAGATGGTTCGATTGGTTTGTGAAAACTTGGTCTCTATGTATTGTTGCAAGAGTAAGTTATGGCTAAATGGCCCAACTATAAAAATACAATCGATTGGGTGTTCTTCAGAGTGTCTAGTCATAAAGTTGGTGACCAGATTACCAATATTGTCAAACACAAAGTTTTTAATGGTGTTGATTGGTACTCTGAGAAAAGATAACCCATTCAAAACAAGGTGTTGCAAGTTGGATTGGGAACAATTTAGATTGTTGTATGTGTCTACCTTTTCTGTAAACGGGGCACTTTCAATACCAAGTATGGTCTTTGGACAAAATGGTAGGAAAAGGTCTGTATCACCAACTTGATTCTTATCATCTATAAATTGATTAAATTGTTTCAATAATTCTTTGTAATGTTGTTCATCCATTGCATCAGTGACAGAATATACACCAAGTAAATCCTTTAAAAATGAATTAAATGATTGTTCTACATTGGTTGAAACCATATTGGTCGGTATTGGAAGAGTCTCTACCAATCCATTTTTTCCATTGACTTTAAGTGTATGTAATTGCTTAACAAAAAAAAAAAAAAAAAATATATTAATAAAAAGTAGTTTTTTTTTTTATATATTTATACATACACAATCATTATCATAATTACTTAAGAGTAGGACTGTTTTATCGGGTACACCAATATATGGGATTTGACATTTGTTCAATGCATAGTAACAATTGGCTTCTGATTCACTGCATATTAAAACAGAATGACCATTGTCATGATTAGGTGGACATAGTCCAGCTTTGATGGCACAATTTTTAATAATGAGCTTTGCGGAAAGATCCCAATTTGCTGGAACCGGGATCACCCATTGAATGTCATCGGGTTGTATAGTTTTGTCTTGTTTGTGTATGCTTGCCATACTTGTTTTTTTAAAATAGAGAAGAGTCTGAACGAGCAGAGTGTTCACCGACGCCTTTTTATCACTGTTGGAAGCCTTTACCATCTTTCTTCCGGCCACATCATCGTAAATGGCCATTTTGTAGTTTGAAAATATGGCATTATCATGATCGTGATCACTGAGGGCATCACAACCAAATTTCACTACTTTGTCTTCTTTATCGAGAGATATAGTGGTCAATGTTTTAAAACATTGCTGACAGTTTGTTGAACAGTCCGATTCATTGATATCGTTTTGCAGTTCAGCACCCTTCAAAAATATAAATGCATAACTACTCCAACTCCATCCAATTTCAATAGATACAATAACCTTTTTAGATTTTAAAGATATTTGATCTAAATAAATAAAATATATTAATATAAACAAAATAAATATTGAATTAGTGGGGAAATTGTTGTAAAACACAAACCTATATCCAAAAAGAGATCAGAAGTATTTTCTGAAGATGTAAATGGTGGTTGTGATAGTATCCAATTTATACTATATCTACATGAAAGGCATTTGTCGATTAGTTCCAAGTATTTCTATTTAGAAAAAAAAAAAGAATAAATAAAAAAGAACATTATTATTTAATAATAATAATAATAATATTTAATAATAATATATTTATATATATCTTACATTTGGAATATATTGTTTAAATCTATCAATTTTTGAAACAGTCATTCTAGTCTGGATAGTTAAATGTTCACGCTCGATTTCATTGATATAGAGCACAACGCCTTTTGCAGCAAGACACATACACAACATTGTTATACCAATACTCCATAAATCTGTGTATTGTGCCAAATGCACGAATTCCAATAGGTGCACGAAACAACTCTGTTCCCGCATTCAACGTCGATACACTTCTTTCAGCTTCTGTTGACTTTTTACTCATTCCAAAATCTAAATCAAAACATGAAAAAAAAAATAATTAGTTCTTTTATTATTAGATTTCTTAGGATATTAAATATTGTTATAATTATACCTGCAATCTTTAAAGTAAAATCATCGGTCACTAAAATATTTCCTGGTTTAATATCACGGTGTATGATTTTCTTGTTGTTTAGATATTGTACTCCTTCCAGTATATCTTTGAATGCTTTGTCCAAACATAATTCATTTTCATAGTATTTAGGATTCGCCACAATAAAATCTTTCAATGATCCTTTTTGTAGGTATTCCATCACTATATACTCGTATTGGTCGTCGTCATCCCTATAATAGTCATAGTAAGAGAGGACATTTCGATGGTCAAGTGGTTCGATGGCCTTGAATTGCTCAAAAGGTATTTTGAGAAGGTTTTTTACCACTACCCCCTGTATCATTGGTTTGTGTTTGATTCGTTTGATTGCTACTTGCTTGCGCAAGACGTCACCACACGTGCAAGATGTCACATGGGTGCCTTTATATACAGTAGCCTCTGCCCCGTCACCCAAACAAAACCCGGTTGTGAATTCGAATTGACATCCGAGGTACCCTAAAAATAGTTTAGGTGGCTTTATCTTCTTTTTGATCTCCATGAAGAAGAAGTATATAATATATATAATATATAAGATAGATAGATAGATAGACTGTGTTATTTAAATATAGAGTTAATTGTGATGAGTTTGAAGTTGAAGTTGATCGACCCTGCAAGGATCAATTTTTTGGATAAAAAAAATCAAAAAGAAATTGGGAAGTTCCAAAACCAAAAAAATGTTCAACGGTTGAGGCTATGAACATTATAGCGCGCTGCAACACAGCTGGCATTATATTGCAATATAGTAGACTATATCCCTATAAAACACACAGATCATATATATATGTCTTCTCCATCACAATAAATGGATTTGCAACTCTATGAAGATCTTTTAGTAACATTTCAACCAAATATAAGTGCAGACTCTGGTATTAAGGGTATGTGAGAGAGAGAGAGAGAGACAACTCAGCTGACATGCACAATAACAATGACTAACCTCTATCTATCTTACTTACCTTACATACCTCTTGTCATATATATATATAGACGCATTACAGAGCGGGTACAGTGGAGAGGATAGCAAGTATTTTGACTTGCCTTTAGAGATTAGAGATAACATGTTGTATAATAATGGTATGTCGAGATAATGAAATGGACGAATGAATTCTAAGAAATCGATTTCTTGAGAGAAATTAAATTTCATATGTATACAATTATTAATAATTATGATTATATTTATATTTAGATATAATGTTGGTTTCTAAAAAAGATGTAAACGCAGTGTTGTTTCATTTGCATGATAACAGTGAACATGACAATGCTGATATAATGAGAGAGAACGCAAGTGGTATGTATAATATTATATATTATATTAGTGGACTCTATACCAAAAGGGAAAAGAGGGGATTACTTACTGACATTGATTGATCGATTGATTGATTGACCAATTTAAAAAAGAGACATATTCATGGCCGACAATGGATGAAGATATTGTCAATTATTATAATTTATGTGCACAGTGTAACCCAAACAAACAATCAAAGAATCAAGATAATGATATTCAAGAGGCTATCCAGTTGAGTATAAAGGATCAAAGAAGTAAAGTGACACTCAAGTCTCCTCCAACAACCAGTACAACAGCCACTACTACAACTACAACTACTATTTCATCATCTCCCCCAACAACACCACCTCCCTCTTTTACACCATTGACTCTGAGAAAGAAAGCTGGTATCGAAACTGTTGTTGTTATTGATTCTGATTCAGATAGTCAACCTTCACCACCATTAGCCAAACCAAGAGGTAGACCAAGAAAGACAGTTGCTGCTAAAGAAGAAGTTGACTCTGATCCAGAACAACCTTCACCACCAGTAGCCAAACCAAGAGGAAGACCAAGAAAGGTAGTTCCTGCATTGAATCAAGAAGATGATGAAGATGAAGATGAGGAAGAAGAAGATAATGATGATAAAGATCAATCAGATGATGATTATAGCGAAGAAGAAGAAGAACAAAAAAGAAAAAAGAAAAGGATCAATAACAAGATCAACCTCTAAATTACCAATCAACTCTTCGACTACTACAACTACAACAACTACTCCTCCAACAATAAGAAGAAGAAAAACAATGGAAAGTGATGACTTTGAAAAGGAAACAACATCGACATCAACTTTAAAGAAATCTGGATCAAAACACAAGATTAATTGGGCAAGAACTGAAGTTAGTGCACCACCTTTATTATCAGCTCTTGGAAAAAGAAAGTCAACAGGAGATGTTTCATCAACACAATCATCAACACAATCTGAGGCTGCTGATCATCATCAACAACCAACAAAAAAACACAAAGAAGATGAAGCTAGAGTATTTTTATTTTCAGATTTACGATGTTATAGCGAAAAGAGTATTATGGACACTTTAAATTCAAAAGAGACATTTACAGTCAGATTGGAAAGAAAAAAGATTGTCTACCCAATGTGCATAGATAAAAAGTTGCAAAAGAAATTGGCTAATCTTCCAAACTTGAAATCAAAGTATGGAACCGACACGGAATTGATCAAACAAATCGACTATTTGATCGTCATGAATCCAATGCAATTGCTTTCTCTCTACAAAGAATGCATCTATCAAGCATTGGAAAAGAAAACAAAACCACATCACAGTCTTTTGGTTGCCATCTTTATACACAACATGGTTAGATATTTAAGAGAAAAAAATACTCCAACTATTGCTCCACCTCCTTCTCCTCAAAAAAATAACGGAAATAATAATAATCAAAATAATACTAATAATAATAATAATAATAATACAGCTGCTGAGCAACAACAACAACAACCAGTTACGCCCACTCTTTCAGCACAAGAATTGTCAAATGTTGGTAAACAATTATCAGAGGATTTTGGAGGAGAAGACCATGAACCAAATGATATGGCATATGACGAAAGTGATGAATTGCCAACACAACCTACTGACCACGATTCCATCTCTACTACAACAACTACCACCACTAATACTGCGCCCACCACCACCACCACCACCACAACTCATAGACCTATTATTATCAATAATCCTGTTCATCATGAATTAATGAATCGTGATGTTAGCAAGATTAATATATTGTCACCTTCAAATGCACCTCAAAAAAAACAGCAACAACAGCAACAACAAGAAGAACAAGAAGAAAAACAACAACAACAACAAACAAATATTGGTTCCCAAGACACTATTACAAATGCAGGTATCTCAGTTATATCAACACCGGTTAAACCTAAAGTAATTATTCCTAGCTCCTCCAAAGAATCTCTTCCTCTAGTTTCATTTGAAAATTATGTAGTTGAAAAGAATGTGGTCCAACAACAAGAACAACAATCAAATGCACCATTGGATAATGATGAAATGCAAGTTGATCAAGAATCTGAATCATCTCAAATACAACAATCACAGCCTCCACAACCACCAATATTACCACCACAACAACAAGAGAATGAACCAATTACAATAACACCACCAATGACGACCAACACTTCAACTTCAAATCTTCAATCTATGGAATTTACAAACTTTTCACCACCAACAACAGGATTACACTCCTTACCTCCCATTTCAACACCAACAATCACGGCCAATATTGGAACTCCAGATTATAATGTAAATGGTCATTTACAACTTGTTTCAAATCATCTTTTATATATCATTCAACAACAACAGCAACAAGGGAACAGTCCACAACAAGGTAAACTAAATAATTCAACGGAATTGGCAGATTATGCAAAACTTTTGCCACAACCATATCAGTCACCAACACAATCATTAGGATCACCAATAACAACATCAACAACATCGACAACATCAACGACGACAACAACAATGATGACACCACCAATGAACAATAACACAGAGAAAACTATAGTAACACAATTGGTAGACCAATTTGATCAAATAGTTTACACTTTGATACCAGAGAATAATCGTAACAACAACCAAATCCAATCCTTTAAACGCCAACTAGCCGAACTTTTAACAACCATTGATCGTCACGAAAAGACAAACGATGATATGAAACAAAACTTTAAATTCCTTTCTGAAAGAATCGATTCATTTTCAGAACAAGTACCAACCAACACATCATTTGACAAACTTACCGATGGTTTCAAGGACTTTGCAAAGATTTGTAGTTTAATCATTGAAAAAATATCAGAAAATAACGGAAAGTCTAATAATTTGCATCAAAAATTAGATTCAATCATTACTCAATTACAAGAAACATCAAGTAGTGAACATAATGGCAATAGTAAAAGGAAAAAATAAATAAAAAAAAAAAAAAAAAGAAAAAAAAAGAAATATTATTTATTTTAAAAAAATCTAAAACCTAATGTTTATTTATTTATTTATTTTTTTAACATTTAGTAATTGAATTTGAAACAAATGTTACGATTGATGGGATTAATTGACCAAAATCAGATCCCAAATTTACAACCACAATCTTCTTTTGGTCGGTATCATAAGTCGATCTAAATACTTCAATCATCTTGTCTGTTAGATGATTAATTCTAACAAAATAATAATCAATTCCTCTACCCTTCATGGTTCTAATTTGTTCTTCTGGATGTGTAGAGTCACCATCTGGATAACTATCTTCTTCTCTGGTAAGTGAATGGTATTTTGTACCGTGACAAGGAGCGTCGGCAACATGTACACAAACTTTGGTGTAACCTTCTTTCCACACTTGTGATAGTACTTGTTGGAATCCACCAACAATGTCTTCTGGGCAATCTTTTCCTCCATCTGCTTCAATTGGTGTCAATGAAATTTGAAGTGATGCCTAAAATTGATCAAATATTAATAACAATATATAATATATTTATATATCTACATACCATATCAGTTGTAAATGGGATAACTTCAAATCTAGTAGCATCAGTTAAATCACGATAACCAATAAAACTAACTTCTAGTTGAATACCAGTATGGGCAGATGAAAGTCCTGTTGCAAGATCTACCATCTTACATTTAGCTTGATCTATCCATGGTTTCATTGATCCAGTAACATCCATTAGAATACAAAGTTGAACTCGAGGTGATTTTGATTTTAACATTCTAATTTTGTTTCTTCTTTCAGCTTCTTCACGATTCATTGCAAAATCAATGACTGTATCGACCTTTGTTCCACTCTTGATATGACGTGCACTGACCTCTAATTCTGTACGACCAAATTTCATTGTTGCCTCTATCTTTCTGTCTTCCAATGTGCCGCCTTGAGGGATGGATAACATTAAATCGGCAATAAATGATATTCCAGGATCGGTAGAATAGAGCATCTTGGGAAGGGTCGATGAAAACACTGCAAGTTCGACAAACTTTTGATCACTTCTAGTTGGGAGATAGGTCTTGGTGATTACTTCATCATAACCGATTTTCTGTTCAGCCTGAACATAGACATCACAAACATTTCGAGCATATGGTTTACCATTGATCATAAATGGTTTTTGACCGACATGTGGCTTTTCAGTTGTGATGGGTTCATCCATTTCAATGGCATATGAACGAGGAATGATACGTCTGATAGTAGTAGATGGACTAAATCCAAATCTTGTGGCACCCTTGACAACCGATAGAGATGGACGACTAGGAATAATGAATTTAGCACCAGTCGATGCAAACTCTTTCTTTACCAATTCCTGTAGGAAATAGTTTTCACTAAAACCACCAATCATAAATATATAGGTTGGATTCTTGAGTAGTGGGTTATAATTCATCTTGTCTTTGATACATTTGATAATCTTTTCAAACAAAGGTTCAAAAAATGATTTAATAACCTTCATTGGTAAACTTAAAAAGATTGAACTTTTAAACTCTACATTTGTTCCATTCTTTGTGTTGTAGAGTTTAATCTTTTCATTTACCCATTCTGCCGACTTTCCAAATAGATTCTTTGGGTTCATTGTAATGTTTCGTGGTTTACCATCACCCCATTCTGGATTTGAAATGGATCTCTTTAATACCTCGAAAGTATCCATCAGGCTGACAAAGTCTGGTCCTTCCATATGCTCCTCCACCTCTTTACCAAGCAACTCTACCAAGAACTTTTTAAAGTTATCATTGACGTTGATCGAACCCCATGGACCTCCAAATGGTGCAACGATATCTTCAAACTTGCCATGATCCAATTGAAGTTTACCTACAAAATCCTAAAATAGATTAAAAAGTGATATTGATGATTAGTTATAAGTGAAATTAAATAAATACATGTAGATTATATTATTTAAAATGACATACACAAGTACCACCTCCATTATCAAGGATTAAAAGTTTCTCACCAACTTTGACTTGATAGATCTCTCCCAAAGTTTCAAATACACAATCTAAAGCACCAGCTTCTGGTTCAAAACAAAGTAATACCGAATCTAGATTTGATATCAAAGATGTTAGAAAATAGAATAGAATTTCGATAGCTGATTCAAAGTCATTTGAATTTGACATACCTTTATCACCGGCAACACATAACCCAGCATCAACAGCACACTGACGCATGATATGTTTAGCAGCATCATCCCAGATAGCAGGTACTGTTAGAACCCACATGATATCTGATGGTTGGAGTTTGTTTAGTAGAGACAAGTTGATTCGATCCAAACTAACACGTTTAAAGTATCTGAGTGTCTCTGTAATGAGCTTCTTGACCGATACCTTTCTATTGGTGTTGATAGCCTTGACCATCGAGTTTTCTCTAGAACTTGAATCAAAGAGTTTCATCTTGAAGCCAGCATACAAATTCAAGTCTGGGTATGATCTTGCTTCATAACCAAACTTTTGTAGGTTATCACCATCATCCAATCCTACCAAGGTCAATGTTTTACTATTATTTGAACCTCCACCACCCTCCCAATCGTGAGCATATATATTAGGGTCATTTCCACGCTCTCCTGCTTGATGAATGAATGAATATGAAAATGAACTGAGTGAACTTCCCAAATCAATAGAAATAATTGCTATTTTTGAACAAGACATTTTTTTTAAATTATTTGCTTGCTTCTATAAGTTCGAACAAGATATATAACTTTTTAATTATAGTTCAAGCAGTTCATACATATACGAAACAACTAAATTGAATATTCAAGTATTATAATAATGATGTTCAAATAATAAGATGTAATGATAAATATTTAAAGAATATATTTTTATCAATCTCCTCCTCCTCGTACATTAATTTTTAAATCTAATCTAGATGACTAAAGTTATTATGATAATATATTTGTAAGATATCTCCTCCTAGTTGACATCATTTAACTAAAAGTAAGTATTTAAGTACTTTAAATTGGCTCATCAAGACTTCAAAAGTTATTATTCTTATTATTATTATCAATCACTAATTATTATTATTATTATACATTCATGCAACCCTGTAGTGATCGTGATTTAACAATACCAATAAAGGGAGGCAGTAAGTTTAGTAATTTCTTCAGTGCACTTTTCCGAAGTAAAAAGAATAGTTTGTATCTTCTTCTTCTTCTTCCTCCTCTTCTTCTTCTTCCAATTGCAAGAGACACTCTAGAGTTTGTAACTAACTTTTTATCTCTTATTATAATAGCTCCAACCTATGCCTCAATTGAACACCAACAACTCCAAGATGATTTGAATGTATTTGCAGCCAAGAATGAGAGCTTGGTCGATGAAAACAAAAAATTGAAAGATGAAGTGGTAGTCTTGGAGAAAAGAATCAGTGCCAATACAAATTTGAACACCAATGCTGTTAGCAAACTCAACAATGATATCAACAAACTCAAAAATGATATCACCAGTTTGAAAAGAGATTTACAAAGTGAGATCACGACCAACAATATACTTAATGGCACTGTGTTGGAGCACAGAAATTTGGCTACCTCCTACAAGGAACATAAAGTTGAAATGGCTGCCATTCAAAGATCTCTTGAAGAAAAAAAAGAAAGAATTGTTGGAACGTGATAACAAAATTCAATCGTTGGAGAACCTATCAAGAGAAAATGAAGAAAAGATTGTCTATCAAATCGCAAAGATCAATGAATATATCGAGATTCTCGACAATCATCAAAAGAAAAGTGGTCAACAAACAGCAACCCAATTCATTTCAAACAACCACAATGAGACCATTCTCAACACCAAAAGATTCCCAATCGATAGGCTTGGTGATGCATGGAATACCTTTATCATGCAGGTCGTTGCAAATTTTCTAGATCTTCCCCACCATGGATTGAGGGCCAAGGCTATTTTCGTGTCAAAAGTATTTGAAGGATGCTTTGGTATCTGCCAAGATATGATCTATGGTCCAATTAATCAACTTGGTGAGAGATTTCAATTCTCCAACGAAAGTAGAATGAAATTGGAGAGTATGCTATTGGATATAGTTGCAGAATTGGATCCAAAAACAACCATCCCATATCAAAAAGCAAGATACTATTATCGTCAAGCAAATGAAGAGTATGTACATTCCCATTAATGTTTACTTTATTGGTTCAATCTATTTTTTTTATTCACCTTTCTCTCTCTCTCTCTGTTTTGATAGAACTTTTCTAGGTCCTCTCATTGATGGTTGTTGTGATTTGGCATGGAAGATATTATTGTGCCAACCATCGGTTTTGGTTCCTGCTGGTGACACCACGGTAGATTTTGATAGTTCTCAACACCAAACCTTCCCAGGGTCACCAGACAATGGATGTATTGACTTTTTTGTTTTACCTCCTACTCTGAGCACCAAAAGCAACACTCCAATTACAAAGGCATTGGTGTTTTTAAAACAGCAAGTACCAGAGGAAACAAAAAATCATCATGTCTCCCATGTTGAACCAACCAACCATATTGATCAATCAACCAACCATATTGATCAATCGACCCACCATACGGACGCCCATCTTGAATCTACCAACCAAAATCCATTGTCGACAACAATTGATACTAAAGACCAATTAAAGAATGAAAATACTGGCTCCTCCATAATCAAGAGTCGAGTAGTTAAACAGCTTTCACCCAATACTATGATGGAAGAATATAGTTATGTGCAAGAACCAAAAAAACAATCGAAAAACCAAAATAATGGAAGAAAGAAAGAATAATTTAATTAAGGAATCAAAATCAATCAAGATTAGTATTAGTTTACAATTGGAATAAAATTTTATTTCTCATAGTTCCTTTAGGATATTCTAAATACATAGAAAGTTGTTTTATTAAAAATGTTGATAATTGTTTTTATTTTATAGAATTTGTCTATTGAAAGATGATTTAAAACGATAGTTTAAACTATTTAATAACATTCTGTGAATGAAATATTATTTGTAAAACTTAGTTTACACAAACTTTGAAGATAAATAGAGGTTGGTGGCAGGCGAATATATTCTGTTGAGTTGTCAGAAATAAAATAAGAATTACTAAAATATGGCCCAGTGATGTTGTAATTATAATTGATAGTGGCTTCTGGACATGAGTTTTTGAACACAATGGCTATGATAGACAATACCATTGAAATGAGGAGAAATGCCCAAGTAATGTAGTTCTTCCATTTAGATCCTTTTTTTCTCGAACCTAAAAGTATTTTTTTAATGTTCCAAAGCAACCATGTTTCTGATTAGAATTGTTATTAAATTTAATAAAGAACCCTGGAAATTATGAATACATACAAGTTCTCTTTCTTTAAATTCATCATCACTCTTTCTGTTTTCTTGGTTACTTTTGTTAGTTTTATCTTCTCTCTCCAAATTGATTCTGTTGGTTTCTGTAAATTCATTTATCTTTCTTTCTTCTTTCGCTTTGTTGAATGCCTTGGTCTCTGCAAATTGTCTAGACTTTCTTTCTTCTCTTTTTCTTTCGAGTGATTGGTTGCCGGCTTGGTCTGGATGTGATAACTTTTCTTGAAGATCTTCAATTTTTGATTTCCAGAATAAAGCTTCATTTGAAAGTTGGTCATATTTTTCTTTTAAATTCTTTAATTCTTCTTCCATTATTATTATTATTTATTATTATTATTTATTATTACTATTTCTTTGTCAATAAACCTTTATTTCTAAATAAAAATAAAACCAATACTGAGAACTACACAAAATAATGAATTTTTCTTTATTTCTATAGTTTCTAAATAAACATAAAACCCCCCATTTTAATAAGTGGAAATTAAAAAATACATAAAAGGAAATATTATGATTATATAATCATCAGTTTCTACTCTTCTCTTCTACACTTTTCATCATACCTAAATTTTTTATCAAATTTTAATGATAACTAGTATCATACCACTAATAATACAAAAGGAGATTATAAAGTATATACTCGCACAAAATGCAATAGGAGCATTTAAAAAGATACTATTACTTTACTGATGAAGCACACCAATTGGCTTTGGTTTGTAAACAATGGTTCAGTATTGTATCTTTGACATTGTCATGTATAAAGTCTGCAGAGATACGTCAAGACTTTGATTCAACGTTGGTTAAAATGATGATTGGTAACCTATCAAATCAATACTCTATCATCAAACAACTACGATCGGTAACATTGTATGTGTGAATGAAAAAACTATCAAATGTATTAAAGAAGCTGTCGAAAATATTGGATACAAAGAGACGACCCTCCAATCACCGTTGGAGCATATCTTTATCGCCGTTCGATTCATCCACTTTAGATTCATGCAGAATTTTGGAGACATGATCTCTCAACCAAATAGAATCAAGTGAAAGATGTGTTATTGGATCAAAGCGTCTAATAAAAATGCTCCAAACATCAAGAAACTTGCAATCATTCTACCGATGGGTCGAGAAATATTAAAAGATCAATTCCAACATGGTACACACGTGGTTTACGATTTGGCAGTAAGTATCTGCCATGTTACACACCTTGATGTTAGAGTGCCATTTGGATGCAATATTTCCCAATTAGATGATGTTTTTAGGGGATCGGGAGGTCGAATAGAGCACTTTCGTCACTCATCATCATCATCGCCATCGCCATCGCCATCAAATAGTCCTGCCACTTTTGAATAGATACATTGTCTACAATACTAGAAATAGATTACTGGAGAATAATCTATTCGAATCAATCAAACAGGCCAAAGCGATCAAGTACTTTGATATCTATAGAGTGACATCAATCAACACTGAAATCACTCAAGATCTTCTAGAAGGATATATGAGAGCATTTAGAGAAAACAAATCACTGACAACTTTAAAACTAAATTATCAATTCTTCTTTTCATCAATTATATCAACCAATATTCTCAGCATAGTCTTGAATGTAAGTAGATTCTACATCCTATATTTAAATTTAATTATATAATTATTAATTATTAAATTTAATTATTTCTTCTATATTGATGATTATAGATCAATGAATGAATCATTTCTTTTAATTATTGGTGGAAATACACATCCAAATCTCAAACATCTTACGATTCAATTTGTGGTATCAGACAATTAAAAGGAAAAACAAGAGCTGCAAGAGAGAATTAAAGATGCATTTTCACTCAATACAACTCTTGATTTCTTTTATTATGATATAACAGATAAAGGTGGTGATTTATACCCAGAATTTACTTGTCTAAAAAAAGATAGATAAACAAAAAAACATTAATTCTTTGGTGAAATTTTGATTCAAATGTTTTTTTATCTGTTCTTTGTTCATTGTTTGTATATGTACTATTTTCTTTTTGTATTTGAATGTAAATAAATTAAATAATCAAACTACTCCCTACTTTGGTCTACACAGCAATCATAGTTTTCTTAAGGCCACTTTTTCTAAATTTATTTAATATTAATGAAATCGATAGTTGCATTTATCTTTTGATTGGTTTGTAGGTGTTTGGCAGACACAAATATTTCTGTTGATCCAAATCCAATATCTAGTTCGACCACTCTGTCATTTGGAGAATCGCCAGATGATGGAAATTCAAAATGGATATTACCAATAAACAAGACTCCAGAGTCTGTTGTTTTGTTTATGACTGGTAGTACAGAGGAATATAAAGCTATTTTAGCAAATTGTTGGTTTTCTAGATTTGGTATGAATCTAAGAAAAGTTGTTTTGTTTACTAAAATTGAATCCCTTGCTCGGGCCAAGAGTCTACACTCGTCGCTCTGACCGGGAGCGGCGGCGGCATATGATCTTTGAAGGGTACGTTTGAAAATGGTTGACAGACGAGTACTACCGAGTCTGCATGCTCCCCTGAGTACAGAAAGATGCGGACAACTTGGCACTACGAGTTGGGCACCAGTCCATTCAAACTCTTGCTTTACCAACTGTTGAAGGAAATAGTTTTCACTAAAGCCACCAACCATAAAGATATATGTTGGTCTAATGGCATAGGGGAGGTAGGATTGATGTTTCATATATTCCAATATTTTTTGGAACGACGGTTGAAAAAAGGTCAAAAAAGTATCAAATGGGATGCATAGATGACCAGACCTTTTGTAACATATTTCTGTTCCATGTAATCTATTGTATGTTTCGACTCTTTGGACTAGCCAATCGATACTCTTGTTAAAATCTCGTGGATTAAATGAAATGTGTCTTGGCCTGCCGTCATTACTGCATGAATCACACATTGATTGTTTAAGTATTTCAAACCGGTCCATCAATGTCATTAAATAAGGACTATCAATAATATTGTGTGACACTTCGTCACCAAATAAATCCAATATGAATGCCTTAAATAGTTGGTTGCATTGGATATTGCCAAAGTTGTCTCCAAATGTGATTAAACTTTCTAAATTTCCATCAGCCAAGTATCTGTACACTAAAAGAAATAAAGTGATTAGTTTTTTTCTTTCATCAGAGACTCTTATGACAAACACTGGTGACACTCTTACCAGAACATTCAAAATGGTTTGAAGCTAAATTACAAACGAGAAAAGCTTGACCAATTTCAACACATCCATTAAAAGATTGGATACACTCTACTGCACCAGCATCTGACTCGTAAGCCAATAATAATGATTCTAATAAAATATTAATTAGTGCAAAATAAATATAATATATTATATTATTATGATTATAGATAGTAGTAGTCTTCATACCTTGATGATTGTCTATAGTACATAAACCAGCATTGATAGCACACTGACGCATTACTTGTTTTGCAACATCATCCCAAATTGCAGGTACTGTGATGACCCATAATACTGATTGATCAAGTGGTGGTACCCAAGACATCATTTTTAATCTTGCTTGTGACCCTAGATACTTGAGTGACTCTGTGATGAGTGTTTCTACCGATGCAGCTTGATCACAATTATCAGCCTTGACCATTGTCTTTTCTCTAGACTCTGAGTCAAACAGTAGCATCTTGTAGTTTGAAAAGATAGCATTATCATGATCTTCACGAGCATCGTAACCAAACTTTGAAAAGCCTCCAGTCTCGTCAAGTGATATAACAGCCACTGTCTTTGTCTTTCCATCTCCCCAACTATTAAATTCGCTGTGAATGATATCTCTATTAGGATAAGATATTGAATATCCACTACGATTTGTGCCCAACTGAATTGATACTACTACTATTTGAGGTGACATTTTTCTTTTGTGTAAAATAATAAAAAAACTACAAAATTTTAATAAATTGATTGATTTATCAATTCTTAGTACTGTTATAAACTCAAAATATAGTATTGAATATTTAATTTTATATCTTTCACTCTTAAATATTAAAGTCCAAAAAAAAGATACTAAAATCTCCCAAGATCAAGATAATTAGGTCCATGGAATAATGATTGAGTTTCAAAAAAGGATAAATTTATTTATTACTATTTTTAGTAAATTGATTGAATATCAAAATGAACAGTGAAAATATACCTTGAATAAATTTATTTATTTATTTATTTATTTAATTATTTATTTTATTTTTACTTTCCTAGACGTTCTTTATTTCTTCTTTCGGCTTCTTCTCTAGTCATTGCAAATTCTATGGTAGCATCTATCTTTTGAAGTGTTTTAATTTGAATGGCAGATACAAATACTTCGGTGGCACCAAACTTCATAGTGACAATAACCGATTTATCTTCAAGATTGTCGCCTGGTGGTACTGGGATTTTGATTTCAGCGGCAAAGGAAATACCAGGTTCGGTTGTGTATTTGATGTCAGACAAGAGTGAAGTGAATATTGCAATGTTGACAGAGGTTGCTGCAGCACTGACTGGTCCATATCCTCGAGTTACTATTTCGTCGATACCAACAGACTGCCAGCAACAACAAATGGACTACAAACATTATTTGCATACAACTTTCCATTGACAAGATAAGGTTGTCTACCAACATGTTTTTCAGGTGTCATCTCTTCTATCACCTCGACAGCATACGATCTTTGGATAGTACGTTTGGTAATGACAGATGGACGTAGACCAAATCTACATGCACCCTTGACTACAGACAATGATGGTCGGGTTGGTACTATAATCCTGGCACCAGTCGATGCAAACTCTCTCTTTACCAATTCTTGTAGGAAATAGTTATCACTAAATCCACCAATCATAAAGATAAAATTTGGTTTCTTGATGGCATCGTTTTGTAGCATTTGTTGCTTGACGCAATCTACTATTTTGTGGAATAGTGGTTGTAAAAAGGTCATAAATGATTCCATGGGAATGACAAGATGACCCGATCTCTTGTATTCGATATTGGCAGTGGTGGCAGCATTGTATTTTTGAATTCGTTGGAGTAGCCAATCGATATTCTTGTCAAATACACGTGGATTAAATGAAATGTATCTTGGCTTGCCATCGTTGGCGCTACTATCACACATGGACTTCTTGGCACTTTCAAACCTATCCATCAATGCCATGAAATCAGTACCATCAATCATATCTTGTGTCACCTCATCACCAAGTAAATCCAACATAAATTTCTTAAAGTTTTTGTTACAATAAGTTGATCCAAAATTACCTCCAAATGGTCTGACAATTCCTTCAATCTTTCCATCAGCCAATTGTTTATAAACTTTAATCAAATAATGAAATAAGTAAATTAATAAACAATGATCAATAATAACAATAATTAAATATTACATACCAGTAAAATCAGCAGTACCTCCACCAATATCAAATACAAGAACAATTTGACCAGCCTCTACACTATAGTTATTTGTTTTTTCAAAAATACAATCCATAGCTCCACTCTCTGGTTCATATGCAAGTATTAATGATTCTAAAGAAAAAGAAGAAGAAGAAGAAAGATAATTAATTAAACAAGAAGAAAGGTGATGTGAATATGATATATCTGACATGTTTCATACCTTTATCATTAGCAATAGTACATAAACCAGCACTGATAGCACACCGACGCATGATTTGTTTAGCTGCGTCATCCCAAATGGCAGGTACTGTGATGACCCATAGAACTTGACTTGGTTCAACTGCGTTGGTGTTGCCATTGTTGATTCTCTCCAAACTTGTTTGTTTAAAGAACTTTAGAGTCTCTGTGATGAGTGTTTCAACCGATGCAGTTTGATCACAATTATCAGCCTTGACCATTGTCTTTTCTCTCGACTCTGAGTCAAATAGTACCATCTTGAAGTTTGAAAAGATAGCATTATCATGATCTTCACGAGCATCATAACCAAACTTTACAAGCTTTCCATTCACATCGATTGATATCAAGGTCAATGTCTTTAAACTAGTCGATCCACCCCCAGGCCACGAATCGTGTACATAGATATCAACATTATTTTCTGTTATAAATGAATATGCATAGCCACTACAACTAGTACCAAAGTCGATTGATACAACTACTTTTTTGTGTGCAGATACAACACCACTTGACAGCATCTTTTTTAAAAAAACAAATGATAAATATTAATAATAACAATAATAATAGTCTATTGAAGGTGAAGAAAGATAAGATGAATGTTAAGATGTGACTTTAAAGTCTATTTATTGTTGTACTAAATTTAGGGAATTAAATATTCAAGTTTTAGATAAAGTTGGATCTTGATAATTATGTTTATTTAGGCAAAACCCAAAAAAATAAGTATTCGAAAATAAATATCTGTTGTTGATTGGTGATTGTATTAATACTAAATAATAATCAACTATACTATACTATAATAACAATACTATACTACACTTTTTTAAAGTTGAAATTGATAATTATAATGATTTATTTAATAAACTGTACATGATTTTATTTTATTTATTTAATTATTTAAAATTGTTGTTTTTATTTATTTATTAACATTGAGTAATTGAATTTGAAACAAATGATACCAAAGATGGAATTAATTTAGTGACATCTGAACCTAGATTGGCAACCACTATCTTCTTTTGGTCGGTATCATAGGTCTTTCTAAATTCTTCAATCATCCGATCGGTTTGATGATTAATCTTGATGAAATAATAATCGATTCCTCTATTCTTCATGGTTTTGATTTGTTCTTCTGGAGGAACATTTGTATCACCGTGTGGTAAAGAATCGGAAACTGCACCGAAATCATGATACTTTGTACCGTGACAGGGAGCGTCAGCAACATGTATACACACTTTGGTATACCCTTCTTTCCATTCTTGTAATAGGACATGTTGGAATCCACCAACTACATCTTCTGGAATATCTCCACCTCCACTTGCAACGATCTTTGCCAAACCTTGTTCGAGTACCTCCATGTTTGATGAAAATGCAATGTTTTCAAATCGAATGGGATCAGTGTAGTCACGGTAACCAACAAATGAAACTTCAAATTGTATACCAGCGTATGCATTGGATAGTACTTTGGCAAGTTGAACCATCTTGTTTTTGGCCTCGTTGATCCATGATTGCATCGATCCGGTGATATCCATGCAAATGCAGAGTTGTACCGACAGAGGTTTAGTCTTTTCAAGACGGATCTTGTTTCTTCTATCAATCTCTTCATTGGTCATTGCAAATTTAATGGAAGAGTTGACTTTGACACCAGTCTTTACATGACGAGCTGTAACAAATACTTCAGTGGCACCAAACTCTAATGTCACATCGACCTTTCTATCCTCCAGTGTGTCGCCTGGTGGAATAGCTAGAGTTAGATCACCAGCAAATGAGATTGCAGGATTGGTTGTATAGTCCATCTGTGCGAGATGTGATGTAAATATGGCGAGCTCGACAACCTGTTGATTTTCACTAGTTGGTACAAAAGTCTTTGTTTTACTTTCACTCAGACCAATAGATTCACCAGCCTTGACAAACACATCACACACATTCTTGGCATATGGTTTACCATTGATTATACATTGTTGTCTTCCATTGTGTGGAGTGTCGGCAGTGATGAGACCGTCAACCTCGAGAGCATATGATTTTTGGACAATACGTTTAGTGACGACCCATGGACGGAGACCGAATCTACATGCACCCTTGACAACACACAAAGATGGTCGTAGTGGTATTATGACATTTTCACCACCGGGTCCACGTCCAAACTCTTTCTTTATCAATTGTTGAAGGAAATAGTTTTCACTAAACCCACCAATCATAAAGATATGAGTTGGGTTGCAAATGGCAGGGTTGGTGTTCATTTGATCCTTGATGCAGTCAATAATACTCTTGAATAATGGGTTGAGAAACAACTCCATAAAAGTGTTTAATGGGATATAGAGATGACCAGATCTCTTGTATTCAAGGCCGGCACCTTGGTGTCGGTGGTTATAGTCATTGACTCTTCCAATGAACCATTCAATAGATTGGTCAATCGTTCTTGGACTAAATGCAATGATTCTTGGCTTGTCATCGCTACAAGATTCGCTTGAACACATTGACCTTTTAACAATTTCAAATCTATCCAACAAAGTAATAAAGTCGAGACTATTGATGATTTCTTGTTGTTTGGGAGGAAGGAAGCCAAACAAATCCAACAAGAAATCCTTAAATCTTGCATTGCTATAAGTAGACCCGTAATTGCCACCAAATGGTCTAACAATACTTTCAATCTTTCCATCTGCCAATTGTCTGTAAACTATCATAAAACATTGTAATATATTAGTCGGATATATTCATTTATTCATTCATTCATTCATTCAGTACTTATACCGTATTTACTACATACCAGTAAAATCAACAGTACCTCCACCAAGATCACAAACAAGAACCGTTTGACCAACCTCTACATGGTAGAGACGTGTTCTTTCAAATATACAATCCATAGCTCCACTCTCTGGTTCATATGCAAGTAACAATGATTCTAAAAAATAAAGAAGAGATAATAATTAATTACTAAAGGGTTGATGTGATTTATAAATGTTGATCTTTTGAATTATATTGATGACATACCTTTATCATCAGCAATAGTACATAAACCAGCTTTGATAGCACACTGACGCATGATTTGTTTAGCAGCATCATCCCAAATTGCAGGTACTGTGATGACCCATAGTACATCACTTTGATGGATCTTGTTCTTTCTAGCATTATTGATTCTCTCCAAAACTGTTTGTCCAAAGAACCTGAGAGTCTCTGTGATGAGCCATTCGACCGATGCAGTTTGATCACAATTATCAGCCTTGACCATTGTCTTTTCTCTAGACACCGAGTTAAAGAGTACCATCTTGTAGTTTGAAAAGATAGCATTACCGTGATCTTCACGAGCATCATAACCAAACTTTGATAGTCTCCCGTGTTGGTCGAGCGAGATTACAGTTACTGTCTTTGAGTTGACACAGCCTCCTCCAGCCCAAGAGTCGTGTACATAGATATTTACATTTTCATCACTATTGGTTATAAATGCATAAGCACTACCACTACAACTAGTACCAAAGTCAATAGCCACTGCTGCTGTTTTGTGTTTTGGTAAAACCATGATAGTTTGTAAAAAAAAAAAAAATTTAAAAAAAGATAATTAATTAATTAGAGAGAAATGAAATTATTATTGATAATAGTCTCTCTCTATATATATAAATATAAAAGATAAGATTGTAACTTAAAAATTTAAAGTTAACTTTCTTTTTTTTGTTTTTTTGAAAAGAGTAAAGCCCATCTCGAAATTTCGAGTTTAGGGAAGGAAAACCATAAAACCAACATGGCCATGTGATTGGTCTAAAAAGATAGGTTGTTGTTTTATATCTGTACAAAAGGTGATCATGATGATTCTTTCCAATTTCTTTATTCTATTCTTATTCCTTGATTCCTCTATTCTTCATTTGAAGGGTTGAAATTTCTAATGGTATTACCAAAATAAACAGTGATAGTTTTAACAAAATCGTTGATATAATTCTCTTCGACTTCACAATGATCGGTTCCACCATAGGAACGAGACATTGCAGTCAATTTGGCAAGATCTAAATGATCGATATTATTTGGCAAGTAGTAGACTATATTTGGTGTAATTTTAAGAGCAGCCCTGAAAATATCGAAACCGTCTGGTGTAAAGTCTGACAATTGAGTCAAGCTTTTATCACGATACGATGGACCACCCCAAGGTGGTGACAGGAATATAACATCGACATGAGTGATACCTTGGATGGATCGAGCAACATCCATAAAATTACCATTAATAAAATCAATCTTTTCTACACATCTGTAGACGTTGGCATTATTGATTGCCAATTGTACCTTTGTCGGATCCAAATCCACGGCCAATACATGACCACATGTTCTTGCAAATTGTATACTATTTCCACCAGCTCCTCCAAATCCATCTATAATAAAGTCACATCTACATCTCTCTGCTATATGTTTTGCTATTTTCTCTGGTGTCACAGAGTACCATGATTCTACAAAAAGAAACAATAAACAACTAGTAAGTAAAATGTATATGTATATGTATATAAATATATTTGATTACATACCATCATCCATTAATATACCTTGATCATATTTTGAAAACAATCTAAACTTTCTTTTTGGTCCTCCCGTAGGATCATAATCATCGATCAATTTTAAAATCAATGATTTTGGTATTGGTATCTCTTCTACATATTTAATTACTGCTGCTGCCGATGTTTTCGTTTCCTTTGTTGATGTACTATTGTTATTAGTATTAGGTGTCTTTTCAACCTTGCTATTGTTCTTGCACGTCAATGCTGTTAACTTCTTTTTAGCTCTTTTCCTCTTTGCCAATTTGATATTTTGATCATTCATTATACTATTCAATTTTGTAATCTTTGCTTCTATCTTAGTCGTCGTTGTTGTAGATGCTGTAGTAGGTATATCTGTATTTGTAGTTGTAGTTGTAGTCGTACTCATTTCAAAAGAGAGAAATAATGAAAGGGACGAATGAAAGATGAAAGAAACTATATTTGTCTTTTGAAAAAACTTTGAACTATGAAACGAGGAGACACCCTGATCAGATTTAATTTATATTTATTTCATTTCATTTCATTCGTTGTCATCATTATTTGTTTTGTGTATATATATATATATATATATATTTATTAAAAGAGGGAATGTCATCATATACACCAATAGGAGATAAAGAATTTACAGAGAATAGAACAAAGGTAGTTGAATTGTTTCAAGATTTTACACCTGCCGTAGTATCTCTACAAGTACAGAAACAAAAATACACTCAATTCGATACAAGACCAAAACCAATAGCACCAAAGAGAAAGATTGATCATGATCAACAACAACAAATATCATCAAATAATAATGAAGAAGAAGTAAAAAAGAAACCTGTACAAAGAATAAACGCAAAATCAAAAAGTAACCTTTACAACTTTGATGCTCAAGACATTATATATGATCAATATCTACCATTACACGATCTATGGACTCAATATACATTTGATTTACTTAAAGGTCATAGGTATGTACTCTCAAAAGACAATAATAATAGTGGTTGATGATAAATGACTCATTCAAATACCTTTACCTTTACCTCACCTTTTCTTTCTTTTCATTAAGTCCGATGGCATTTCAAACTATATTTTTAAGAGCAGATTTACATGGAGCAATCATATTGGTTGTTAAATCAAAATGTCCAAGTTATATAGGACAATGTGGTATAGTCTTGCAAGAGACTGAAAATGTATTTAAAATAGTTACCAAAGATAATGGTTTGAGACGTAAGTGTTACACCATCCAGCATCATCATGTCATAAACTCTTGATTTATGAATCCGATTCGGATGTACCAAACTCTTACCAAAAATACTCTTTACTTCTTCTTCTTCTTCTTCCTCCTCTGAACAGAAATACCAAAAGCCAAGAATGTATTCCAAATCAATGTGGGTGACCATTCTTTTGTGATTTATGGTGACAACTTTTGCTTTAGAAGTAGCGAAAGAAGTGTTAGGAAGTTTAAGGCAACAAAGACAATCGAAATCAAATAAAACTCTCAACTACCAACCACCTCTATTTCCAAACAACAGCCCAACCCATCGACAATATTGTAATGAAAATGATGAATGATGCCAAGATATTGTTTTGTTAATGGGTAAAATAGCGACCAATCCCCACCAATAGTAGATTGTCGTGCAAAGAAAAGAAAAAAAAGATCTACGAGCCTTTCAACTTTGTTCAGATTTGTTGAACATCACCAAACTACCTACATTGCCTTCTTTTACCTAAACAAGGCATGCCCTTATCACATATCTAAAATCTTGTTGTTACTGTGATCACGATGATGATACTTTCCAACAAATATCTATCTATCCATCCCTCTGTTGTGTGCTTGGGTAAACAAACAAAACACTACCAACAGCTGACACTTTGGAGATACAACTGACTACTGGTCAATAACCATTCTACAACCAACCAACCAACACAACAGTGTGTCTGTCCTCTCTTGTTGTTCGATGAGTGACACCCAATGAGAATGCCGAAACCAACCAACTCATTGCCGTGTTGGTTCTCTGCCTACCATGGTGTCATAGACACACACTTCACAGAATTATGTATTGTCGAGATATTTCGATGGGCGACGCCCTAGTTCACTCTATCTGACCCTTTTGGTGGACAAGAAAAAAACAATTGCAAAGATACGCTCATTTTCCCTATACCCGCAGGTTCGCGCAAAAGGCGAGGGGAGGCAAATCTCTGGTTCATTAGGGTATATATCTTGTTATTCTGTTCAGAGACAACAACAAAGGTCTTCTCCACCACCACCAACTTTGTCGAGAAAGTCTACTGTACTGTCTCGAGACACACTATAGAATAGGTGCACCTCTCACCATCTTCGATGAACCTAAGGATAATGCGAGGGTTGATTGGATCTTGACAAGAGATGATCGACAAGGGAAAGGTGAACTCGTGTCTGAATCAGCGAGTTTTTCAGGCAAAGGCGACTAGAAGTCAGATCAGAAGTCTAGACAGCCCAACTGAGTGGGACAGGGGGCTCTATTCAAAGCATACGTCTGATTGGAAAATTGTATCAATCACGCACGCACGGGGGTTGCGAGCACAAGATATTTAGTTTTTTGTTTTTTTCGATCAAAAAAAAACAAATTTGTTTTAGATATATCGATGATGGAAGAAAATATCTTTTTTGTGTGGCTTGGCTTGCTTGCTTGGGGAGAGCACTTAATAATAATAGTAAAAAAAAAAATTCAAAAAAAGCATCAGTTTGAACATTGTGTTGTGAGCGATTGGTTGATTGTTTTCTTCTATTTCCTATTATATAAAAATATCCTATATATATTTATATATATATATATATAATCATACAAATACACACATACACACACACACACCCTACACATATATTTATATTTTCATAATATTATTTTAATTTCCAGATAGACAATAGTCGAGTCACATCCCAGGATAGGAGAAAAAAAAAGAGAACTTCATAGCTCAGCAGTAGGAAAAGAGATCTCGATCGAGGACTTAGAAGATATCATTGAAGGAAATTTGTACATAAAAAAAATCACAGAATCAGCAAATCTACACAAAAAAACAGCAAACATACCACTCTCAAGGTTACAAAAAAAAGAGAAGCTACAAATTTAGGGCCAAGGACTTCAACACCACACCACCACCGCCACCACAACAACAGCAACAACACAACAATAATTTTCATTTTTTCAATTACAGGCTCATAACAATCAATATCTATCTATATCTATTCGTGGTTCATCATATCTATCTATCTATTCTTCTTATTTATTAAATTACCTGATATTTTTCCGACCTATTTATTTATTAGTACATTAAAATTATAATGTATATATCCATCACTAATCATTCGCAATAATAATCATAATGTAAATTAATTCGATCGGCATAATAATAATAATAATAATAATAATCATAATAATATAATCTCAATAATCAATAATTCATTAATTAATATACGGCGACGACGACATTGGATTTGATCTTCCAAATCAAATCAAAATCTCCCTCCTCCCCCCCCCCCCCCCTTTTTTTTTTTTTTCAATCTGATTGTAATCTATCCAAATCACAAGGTCTCCGTTTCTCACAAGGACAACTATTTTTTTTATAAATCAACCAATCACAAAACAAAACCTTTGTAATATTATAACTTTTTCCCCATCCCCCCTTTTTTATTTTTTTTTGTATTAATAGTAGTACTACTAGTCATTTAGTTAGTAAATAATCGCATATCTTTTTAATTTTTCCTCCATAATAATAATTAACAAGTAATATTACTTGCTTGTGTATATATATTATTTTTTTTTTTCCACATATCAATCATGAATCCATCTCAACAACAAATAATACCTCAACAACCAAATCAACCAATCTACCCTAGGGTAGGAGTATTTTGGAATCTATGGGAGGCAGCAGTTCCTCCCATGATCAATGTACCTTCACTTCTTGCACAACTCAAACTTTTTGCAATGTCTTTTGGAGTACTCAAACAATTCATGGTTCTTTCAGACGTTTCCAATGCTGTCCAGACCCGATATTATGACACACGATCAGAGTTTAAAAAACATGGAGTGCCATTGCACGAAATTCAATCTGGTGTTTCTCGAGCAACAAGTGATCGTTCAGAAATGGTTGGTCGCATATGGGAATTTGTTTTTGATAATTACGAATTCTCTTTATCCAATGGTCTACATATTATTTTGATCGATAGAAAGGCAAACGAATATTCAATTGTAAAATCTTTAAAATCAAGAGGAATTCAAGTAAGATAGAAAAAAATAGAAAAAAATAGAAAAAAGAAAGAAATATAATATATAATTTATTAATTCTTTTCCTCATCTCTCTCTTTTTTAGGTTACTACTTTATCCTCACCTTTTCCACCAGTATTCAAAAATAATAATCAACCATCCGATTCACATTCATTTTTTTCAGAGGATAATAATTTAAGTTATAATCAACAACAACAAACACAACAACAAACTCATCACCAACAACAAAATCAACATCAACAACAACAACAACATCAACCACAACAAGAGTATTACAGACAACCATCACAACAACAACAACAACAAAATTATAATACTAATCATTATGGAAATAGTTCTGGAAACACTGGCAATGATGAAATTAATTATAATTATAAACCCCAACAACAACATAATAATAATAATAATAATCATTACCATCACCAACATCATCAACAACAACAACAACAAAATTATCATTCAAATCACTACAATCAAAATATAGATCATCATGAAAGTGATTTTATGGATGATGGAGATATTGTTGGTAATCATAATATAGATCATATTACCAATAGTACCAATGGTTTGTCGTTGGGATCATCACAAAATCTAAGTTTGGTAAATAGTGGAGGCAATATTTCACCACCTCACTCTGTTGTGACCCAAGCCTCGTTGCCCTCACCGCAACTCCAGTCCCAATCTTCCACACCCACCTACCACCCTGTATCTAGTACTACTCCCACCTCTTCACCAAGTTTCCCAGCCCTTAATTTGGGAGGGATTTCAATTGGTAACTCACCGTCACTTTCTTCACCAACCCTTTCAGGGTCATCGTCTTCTTCCTATTCATCGCCGATGACCACTCCTCACCAACCACCCACTCCTACCAACCCCCTTTCACTTTCCTCTGCGTTCCATTCATTGGCAGCGTCTTCTGCATCTTCATCACCCATACACACGCCAAAATCCTACACATCCTCTCCTTTGCCATCGCCAACTGCATCTAGTGCATTTGTTCCACCAATCAAAACCAACAATCTTATTTCAAACCCTGTTTTACCTTCACCTACTCATCAACAACAACTTCAACATAAACAACAACAACAACAACAACAAATTCATCATCAACAATTACAACAACAACAACAAATTCAACAACAACAAATACAAATTCAACAACATCAACAAATACAACAACAACAAAAACATCAACAAATTCAACAACAACAACAACAAATTCAACAAAATCAACAACAACAACAAAATCCTCAATTTGATAATAATACCTTGAAAAGTTTATTTACAGTTATTCAAGGTCTCAAAGATGATGGATTTAGACCAACTTTTAAAGTAATTCTACCAAGACTTGGAAATCTTTTGGGAGTACGTATCCATCGTTCTGCATTTGAAAAGATTCTTGAAAAGGCCAAGAACAACAACTTCCACATTGATTACACCACCAAGACCATCTACCACAAGGATGACATCTATGGTGGCTCTGATCCTCACCATGCCGACAAGTCCCACTTTGCCAAAGAAGAGTTGACCGAGTTCCTTCAACTCATTGAATCGTCCCAAGTCAAAGTTTTCCCCTCGAGATTTAATATGGTTCTCTGGGTAACATCTTGTAATCTTCCTCTTATAAGTAAACTCAAGCAGGGTCAAATAGTCGAGCTTTGTCAAGTTGCCATCAATGAAAAATATGTTTCACTTGATGAAAACAAAAAAGGTTCAAAAACATCAACAAAAGATCAACAACAACAATAATTAATAATTAATAATTAATAATCAATGAACCATATGACAAAAAAACTCAACCGACTAAATATAATAATAATAATATACAAAGACCAAACCAAACCTTTCTCATCCCAATATATATATATATAACTTTCTCCTATTCCCTATATACTATTTATAATATAATTTTATATAAATCCCCTCCCCCCCCAATCTATAAATCACAATATATATATTAAATTGGAACTTTAATCATTTGTTCCATAATTCCCATCCACTACCAACTTTATCATTCAACATAAATATCAATAATATCTTCTACTTACTAATAAATAAATAAAAAGTAACAAATATAATGTAATAATACAAAAATAATAATATTATCTAATCTGGATCAGCTTATTCCTTTTCTTTTTTGTGTTTTTTAAATTAAATAATTTAATCTTTCTTTTCTTCTTTACATTTGGTTTAACATTGGAGCGGCTACTAAATGTTGATCAGGAGTTCCAAGTGTATAACAAGTTGGACCTTCATGAGTAATACATTGTACTTCTTCCAAAAACTTTAATTTATTACCTGCTGAAATCTAAATAGAAATGAAATGATAATGTTGAATTAATAAATGTATATTGTGTTATGTATTTTTCTCTCTCTCTCTCTCTTTTCTTTCTACTTACTTCATAATCAACAGGACCAACACTCATAACAACTTTACCAGATTTATAAAATTTAAGAGTTCCCAATTGACCAGAGTTCATATACTTTAGTGTATTTGGGAAATCACCAGGATAGACCATTGGAACAAAAGATTTTTCAGTGAGGATAACTTTTGGTTGATCATCTTCATCTTCTTTGTCTTTGGCAGCTTGTTTTGCACCTGCCTTGGCAGGTTTGGCTGGTGGTTTGGGTGGTGCCTTGGCAACAGGTGGAGGAGGAGTCATAATCATACTTGGAACTGGTCTCGAAGCAGTTGATGGCAAAGATGTAGGTAGTTGAATGAAAAATAGATTGTCTTCGTTGAGAAAGATTCCTTCATTGTAAAATGGTTTGATACGTTCATCTTCCTTTTTCTTTCCTCCATCTTCTCCAAGATCTCTTTGATCTGACAATTCACCATTTTCAATTTGTGCTTGCAACTCTTTCTTTTTCTTTTCAAGATCCAACTTTGCATCCTTTAGTGAATACTCTTTCATAATTTTTCTTGGATCTACCAATGGAAGATGAGTTGGATGTGATGGTTGATTTGGATCAATTTCCATCTCATGGAATAATTGATTTACAAATGCTTCATTTAATTTATCTGCTTCTTTATTTGCTCCTAAATAAATAATTAAATTAATTAATAAAATATATTCAATGTTTAATATATATATATATATATATATATATTTACTTTGTTGTTCATTTCTTTGTAATAAGGATTCTGGTAGATCGGTAAGTGGAAGAGATGGTAGGTTGGGTAGTGCAGATTGAGGTCTTCTATTATTTCTATTGGGATTGATTGCAGAGTTGATTCTTCCTGGTCGTTTTGGATCCGTTCGTTTTTGATCCGGTCGTCCAATAGGATTCAAAGAATCCAGAATAATATCTGAAATAGCGCCCCCAGAAAATAGATCTGCATTTGGTTTTGGTTGCTCATCATACTTTTTTCTAACTTGATTGGTGTTTGGCATAAATTTCTAGAAAGAGTAACAAAAAGACATTATTATTATTATTGGTTTACAATGTCATTCATCATTGTTATTATTCAAATCAAGATTGAGTAGTCTTTTTGTTTGATTAGGAGATATTCTAGTTACCTTTGCTCCTCCAGTTGGCATAGATGGAGCTAACCCTGTTCTAGCTATATTTATAGAGGGTGAGGGTCCTCTATTTGGTAATTGTGTACTAGAGGTAGAGGTTGTTGGTGTTCTTGCGATACCTCCACCACCGCCGCTTGGTGCTGTTGGTGTTCTTGCAATACCACCAGATTGCGGTGTTGGTGCTGGTGTCGATTGCTGTAAACGAACTGATGATGTCCCAGGTGGATCTCCAATCTTTCTAAGTCTCACAACTTTATCTTTATCTTTATCTTTATCTTTATCTGACATCTCCTTATATATCCCTTTTTTGTTGTAATCCTATCTATCTTCAATAATGATCGTTATCTTTTTTTGGGTGTTGCAGTGAGAAAAAAGAGGGGAATGAAAACAACAAGTTATTAATTTAATTTAATTTATTCGCAAACACGAGAGGAGGGAGATAATATAGATAATATAGATAACTCTATTTTTTGAAACAACAACAACAACAACAACAACAACACCAACAACATATATATATAAACAATGGAAGATGATAACGATCATATAATGCAGTCGTTGAATGACAATTCGAGGATGATGCCAACTTTGTCGTCATCACCTGATGCTTTGTTATCATCGGTGCTCTCATCGTTACCTTCGAGTGGTGCATTCACTAAATACGTATCTCCAAATAGTTCACCTGCCACTAAAAATAAGGTAGGTACATGAAGAAGAACTGATCATTCAAACAACGACAACATTCATTGACAACATTTATTGATATATATATGTGACAGACACTACCTGTATATATAGCTTCACACAATACTAGTCCACCGGGGAATCACTACGTTAAAAATGATGAAACCAATGTCTTGATAAGAGCATTGAGTAAAAATGCAATAAGGTTTATGACTCCTGACGATATCAATACAACTTCAACAACCACAAATAATAGTAATAATAATAATAATAGAAAGAAAACAACAACACAAGACAAAAAAGGTAAAAAAGTTAAAAGAGATGATTATGAGGATGGTGACGACGATGACGACGATGATACTATAACGACTACTACGACAACTACTTTAAGATCATCACCATCTATAAATAGAATATCCAATAATAATAATAATTTACAATCATCTGCTGATAAATCACCAAAAGAAAAGAAAAAGGCAAAAGTATAATTAAAAAAGTGAATTAATTAATTTACTTTAATTCATTTGGATGACAATAATAAATGGTTGATAGTGTCAATTTTGTATATATATATATATTATATTATAAAAAGTAATAGTACTCCTATACTTTATTTCCTTTTTTCTTTTTTTTGGAAAATTATAGATCATCCAAATTATTACAATAGTATTGTTATTATTATGATTATTATTAAAAGTTAATTAATGAATGGTGAATTTACATGATGATATGTTATTGTTGTTATAGTTGGTCGATTGTTGGTTGTTGATGATGATGATCATCATCAACAGATGATAGTTGTTGATCCTGGTCGTCTTGGTCGATAATATTATTTTTAGACGAGTTTTGATTATTAGATAGTTAGTTGGTAAGTAAACCTTGAGTTTCATGACCATGACCAACAATAGTGTCTGGGTAGACCTTGTGATAAATGTCGATAAAGAGGATGACGAAAAAGTAGAGACCGACAGTGATACCAAAGACAACGATGAGGGCTTGTGGCACTGGGTAGAGAACCATACCGAGGATGATGGTGACGATACCGCAGAGTACGACTAAACGACCACCGATCCAATGCATAATATCAGGGAAGAGAGGGATTTTCTTACGGAGTGGGTCCCAGAGGAAATGGCTGAGTGCGCCAAACAGGACCGAGAGCATCATGAGACAGAGCGTGATGAAACCCATGATGGCATGGACAGTGGTAAAGTGGAGACCACCGACCATCTTGAGTGCCAAACTGAAGCCGATGATGGCAAAGATGGTGGCGATCGATTGGATAATGATGTGGAGTGGGAACCACCACATGTGAGCCTTGAGATAACGACCTACAAACACACCAAATGGCATCAACAAACCAAAGGCAACTGTCATAAAGGCGGCGTGGTAGTCTACATAGTCTGGACCGTTGTTGACGGTACCTTGACCGGTGGTAAGGTCGACGGTGACACGACCGGCGTTGCCATTGTGGAATTCGAATTCATTGGAGCTGCCGTATGCCCATACCAAGTCGAGTGGACCTGGTACGATGGTGTGATCGGTCACATTGTCGCCAGTGTCGAGGAGACGTGAAAAGGTGACGACTGTGTAGTCGGCGGTTTGGTAGCCCGATGCAAACAAGATATTGTACTCTCCACCAGCAATCGAAGTGTCGTTGACTGGCATGTATTTGTCGGGGTAGCCCGGATTAGAGAACATATCCCACACGATCAAATCGGTTGGCCCGTTGCCTCCAAATGTTGAAACGACAAAATCAGCATTTTGCATGGGTTGGTCCGACGAACACCCAACACAATGGAATCCCAAACCAAACCAACTTTGTTGGTTAATCGATGCTTGGAATGTAATGGTACTATTTAAAATCTCCCATGATATAGTTAGTCCTGATGCTTGATCTAATAATAATTGTGGACTAAATGTTCCTATATATATATATACAAAGCAAAAGAAAGATGGTGGTTAGTTTTAAGTGTCACAAATCAACAAATATCATCGTCTATTTTCTTTTCATTTCTTTTCATTTCTTTTCTTACCTTGTGATGCAATAACAAAGATTGCAATGAAAATTGATAGAATTGATTTAATAAACATCATCTTTGTTTGAAATACAACAACAAAAAGAAGAAGAAGAAGAAGAATGAACCAGCAGGTTAATTAAACACAACGCAAACAACAAAGTACTTAGAATGACGTTCGTGTGCGTGTGAAAAATAAATAATAATGGTGAGAACGGTGGGTAATGTGAGTGAGTGGGTGGGTACAGAGTATCGACGATGATGTATTAAGATTAAACTCTATAAATCTTTGTGATACAATTGGTCGTGTTATATGTGATGATGTAATTGATAAAATAAAAAAAAAAAGCTCAAATGAATGGTTGTAGCTTGTTTCTGCCCATCCATCTAAAAATCTCTCTAACGATTTACTAAAATAAATACCATTTCTTGATTTTTTTTGAAACGTCTTGCTCTGAGTGCCAGTTGGATATTTTACTCCAATTTTTCGAATGGAACGTTCGACGACGCCAGTGAAAAATGAGACGAAAAAGTTGGTTATAACATGACCTGTTGGTCTTGTCTTTGCTGATCGTGATGCCATGTGCATAGGATGTTCCATGGTTCTGAACGGAACATTCGCTTGGCCCTAAACTTTTAAATCAATACCAACCTCTTCAAAAGACACCTCATTTTCTTTCAAATTAAGGTTTATGGACTGATCATCTAAAAAATCGAGTTTCATTGAACTTTCGTTGTTGTTTGTTTTGGATGTCCGTCCAAGCTCCAATGGAGAAAGAGACCAGGCTAAAAAGAAAGAAAGAATAATACAAGTTAAATTCATTTGAAATATCCAATGCAAAGATTGAATCAAATTTCATTCAATCAGTGTTTAGTGTTGGTATTATCTGTTTTATTGATACCATTAAATTAAAGGTTTTTGGTTCTTGTTTCAATAAATATTATTATTATTTCTTGTTATGATTAATTAAATTAATTGATATTGGTTGATTGGATTGATGGATGGACAATGTTGTTTTGGAAAATCGATCTGATTTGGTTGGTATGGTTTCATTAATGATGATGATGATGATAGTACAATTATTTTATATGATTTATATATTATAATGTTGTTGTTATTGTTATTGATTATTGATTGATTGTTATTAGTTTGGATACAAAGGATGGTGTGGTTGGTTATTATTATTATTGTCAGGCTATCTTTTAGTCAGTCTTTCTGGTCATTTTTTAAATTATTTACTGTATGTATTGTGTTGTGATTGTATATACTATTATTGCTTGATTATTTTATCTACGATGATGTCTTTCACCTGAAAATGTTAATTCATTACTTGGAGACGAAGATAAAGAAGTGACCAATGGCGAAGAGGAGGGCGATGCAATGTAGAGGAGTGAAGAAAAGGGAGAGGCAATGGGTGGAGTGTTGTAGGATGAGATGGCCGATGAGGAAAGTGACGGTAGCTTGGTGAGCGACGACGAAAAGCTGGGTGAAGAAGAGGTATTGTTATTGATATTGTTGCTTGTAAACGAGTTGGAAAGTTGGTTTATGCTGGTACTGCCTTCGACCATTTCTCTCTGTCGCTTTTGTTGTTGGTTTTTGGATGTGCTGCCGCTGCCGGGGTAGTGTATCTGCTGTGTTTGGTCATGATCGCGCTCACCACTGCTATTGAGTGAGTTGATGTTGAGGACTTGGCCAAAACGGTCCAAGCATCTCTCAGACGAGTTGCTAAGTGAATTGCTGTTGAAGCTGCTGTTGAGACTACCACCACCTCCATTGGCGCCACCACTGCTATTGAGACTGTTGGCCAAACTGTTGTTACCAGAGTTGGGGTTGTTATGTGTATTGTCGGTTGATTTAGAGTGTTGGTGACGGCTGTTGCCTGGGTATAGGTGTGATGACATGGATGCACTCTGCGAGTTGAGTGAGAGTGACAGTGATGAGGGTTGGTGGCCGTGGTGACCGTGGTGACCGTGATGGTGACCACCAACGTGATGATGCGATGAAGGTGAGGATGTAGTGGTCGACGTGGATGATGTCGAGCCATGACTATGACCATGATTATGACTACTGGTGTTCCCAAAACTGGCATGTGGATGGAAATGTGAGGCTTGTGTAAGGACATTGACCGACGACGACGATGATGGCGACGACGTTGATGATGATGACGAAGCATGTGGCTTGTCATTCAAGATGGATCTACCTTCAAGATTGAAACTATTCTTTATACTACTGAGTGATGGCAGTTGTTGTTGCTGCTGCTGTTGCTGTTGTTGTTGTTGATGGAATGATGGAGGGGATGGGGTGGACGGCTCACTACTGCTGCTTGCAGCCATCATGCTTGGCTCGTCGACAAAATCCTTCATTGTCACATTATTGTTGTTGGGACTGCCAGTACCCTGGATCTGAACAAGTTTGCTTCGTAGCTCAATATTCTCTCGTTTGGCACGTTCGATTTGCTCTTCCAGTACCGATATCTTTTGGTTGTTTTCCGTTTGCAGAGTGGTCAACTCTTCTGTTTGTTTGAGTAATTGGTTACGATCTGTTTCCAAACCATCGACGATCGATTCCAATCTTTCCAAATACTCTTTCTTTCTTTCTCTATATTGTGCTGCACTTTGTCGATTTTGCATTTGTCTACAAATAAAAAAATAAAGATTTGATTAATTAGTTTCCATGGGATCTTGTATTCTTTTTTTTTGTTTCCATTTACCTTATTTTTTTCTTTTTCAATTCTTCATCCTCGAATATCATCATATTTACAGGGTTGGGATGATTGATTCCATTCATAATGTGGTGATTTAAAGACATTTCTATCTGTCTATTTACTTGTTTGTTTTCTCTCTTATCTATATATATTATATTATATTATATTATAAATATTCTACTGCTACTACTACTACACACTTGGATTGTTAATTTTAATTATTATTATTATTAGAGTTGGAATCAAAATTTAAAAATAAACCATATAATTCATTTGATTTGAATTGATATCGTTGTTATAGTTGTGTTGTGTGTGAGTGTTGTTATTGTGTTAATATAAAATTGTTGATGATGATGATGATGATTGATAGATGATAGATCTATATTCTATATTAATTAAAGGATAAGGGGAAAGAAGAGAAGAAAGGGTAATGATTAAAAAAAATTTGGGTTGGTTAATAAATTGATTGAAGAATCTTAATATTTGATCTGTAAAAAAAAAAGGTGTTGGAGAGAGATATGACTGGATTGTGAAGGGTATAGCAGTAACAACAAAAATAATATAATTGATTTGATTGATCCAATAATATTTAATTTTGGGATGGGTGGAACAAACACAATTTCAATTTAAATATTTTGATTTGAATATGTGATTGATGTATATGGATGGATGGATGGATTGATTTGATTTGATACAATACAAGATGATAATTATTTTCTTGTTGTAGGGAATATTATATAAAATATTAAATTTAAACAGGGTTGGTTCCGATGGACTGAAGCTGTTACTATTGCTCGTGTTGATGATGATGATAAATAATTATTTCTTCTTCTTTAATTATTTGTGTATGTGGATATATTATGTTAATATGTTTTGAATGGCTAGTTGGGTCGGTTAGGGGGAGGGTTAGATGATATTGTATGGATTGATGATGTTGATGTTATTATTGTTATTTTAATGTGATCTACTTTTAGAATAAAATTTAATAGGAGTACCGATTGATTGCAAAACAACAACAACAACAACCAAGAAACAAATGGATTTATACAATTACAATTAAACAACAAAACAAACAAGATAGATGGATTAAATATCGAGCAATAAATTAAAAAACGTTACACAAATCTCGATTCCATATGTATACAGCAGGATAATTCTATTTTGGGATAAATATATGGTGATGATGATGTTGTTGTTGTAATTGTCAATGATATGGACTTGTTGCTACTATACTACTACTAGCTACTGCTACTGCTGTTGTTTGATGATGATTATGCTGATGATGATGATGTTGTTGTTGTTGTTGTTGGATATGGAATATTCCATTCACCACCCAATGTCACCACCACTACCACCAATACCACCAATACCACCAATGTTGTTGTTGTTGAACACACGACACAAATAAAAATAAATCTGCTCGATTGGATGTATTCATTCATGGGTGGGAGATGGATGGATGGATGGATGGTGTGGATTTAGGATATCCGACTATGGTGTATCTAACTTGATCCTTTTTTTGGAGTAGGGGTGGTTTGTTGGTTTGTTCGCATCCTATTTATGACAATGATGGCATTACTATAATTCCTCTCCTCTTTTCTCTTCTCTATCCATATCCTCGTCACTACTCTTATCTTACCAACTAGTAGTAAAAGTAAAAGTAGTAGGAGGAAGAGAGGATGAGTCAAAGTTGCAGTGACAATATTGTAGCTATTAATATTACGGTGTAGTTGTAGTTGTAAGTTGTGTTGCTTGTATTGAATTCAATCGTCATACCAAGTCAGGTAAGAGAGAGGAGTTATAACAAAACTATTTGTATATATGTGTTTTTCAAAAGAACTGAATATATATATAATAAATGAAACACATAACATAACATCTTTGATGTGATTGATGATGATGATGATGTGTATTGTTATTGGGGGCAACAACAGCAGCAGCAACAACAGCAAGTAGTAGTAGGCCCCTATGGTTATTGTTGTTGGGGGGTGTTAGGATGAAGGAAGGAGTGGAATGGTATGGTAGTTGGGTAACAACCTAACCCAAAACACCACATCCTATCCCATCCCATCGATATTGAGTTTGTTGTTCCAACCACACCCAACACCACCAACACACCACACACACACTGTTTGAGTTCACCAATGGAATGATATTGTTATTTGTGATAGTGTGTATGTGCCAATTTACAAATCTAATGATTCATCACGATATTGTTGTTGTTGTTGATATGAACATAACATATCATGTTCTGTTTGTGTGTGTTGTCAGCAATGTCAAATCCAATATTTCCTAATTAATCACAATATATATATCATCACCGTGTCGTTCAGGATGATCAAGTATAGGAGATCGCCGGTTGAAATTGTAAACAATCCACAACAACAACTCGATAGAGAGTGTGAGTGAGTGAGTTTATATTTCTAAACATCCAATCAATCAATCCATCCATCGATCAATTGAATGAATAAAGATGAAGGAATGAAGGAATGCTATCACGAGTCGTTGATGTTGTTGTAGGGATCGATATTGTTGCATCTCGATGTTGTTGTTGTTGTTGTTGATATAATAGCAACAAAATATAAAGGAGGTTGAAGAGTAAGTGAATGTAATGACCACCACCACCACTTCTTTGGTTGAGTTGACGACTCTTTAAATAAACTATCTATTATTGGATTATCTGTCGTTTGTTGTTGTTGTAGTACTACTACGCAATGCGTGTAATAGTCCTGACTATTGATTGATCATATGATTGTTTGTTTGTTTGTTTGTTTGAACTAAACTTGCTTTCACTTACACACACAACTATAGTTCTTTTTTTACACCTACAACTACAAATTGTAGGTGACTGTGATGATGGTGATGATACCTGTGTATGGTTGGTTGATTGATTGATTGATTGAATATCTATCCAAATCTATTGATTGATTGATTGATTGATTGATTATTATTTAATTTATCTATTATTATTATTATTATTTATTTATTACTAGTATGATGACTAATCAATTATTCAATAATGTATTTGACATGAGAGATTTGATTCGAATTCAATTAAAATTATTATTGATGTCTTAAAGTAGGAACAAAGAGATGATGATGGAATGGGAGATATGTGTGATTTTGGTCAGCAAAGCTCATGACTTGATGACGCTTTGAGGGGGGATTTTTTTTTTTTGGCAAACAAATCAGCTGTATGACGAGGTGACGTGCGCGTAAAATTATGGCAGATCTTTCCCTTTGCAGGGTTTGACGTAGACTGATGAGTTTGCTTTGGATAGATTGTTTTATCATAGATGGGGCGAGTCAATGGAATTGGATGTTGGGGTGCATCGCGAACGGAACACAGAGTATGACGATGTGATGGTTTGTATGAGGTGTGAGTTAAATGTACTTGGTTTTCAATCAAAGATCCGACCAAGAATGGACAAGTTTTACGACACACACAATAAAACTACTATTTATTTTTAGCTACAACAACAAGAACAAAAATTAAAAAAAGATATCACATAAAAAATAAAAAAGAGATATTTTTTTTTTGGCCAAACCTATAATACCAATATCATATTTTACTGGGTTCCTGGGAGAGTATAATATCTAGTCTATCTATCTCCTACCCCGATACCTTCCTATAAAACACAGAAACAAAAATCCAAACAAAGGTTATTTTTTCTTTATTATTTTTTCCGTACCCACTTTTTGTTTTTTTGAAATTGTAAAATTAACTCTATCTCTCTCTCTTTAAAATATTATATATATATTTATAATAAACAAATATCTTTCTTGTTGTTTAATTTAGTATTTTGTAAAGAAGAAGGGGGAATTGAAACCGGATGGGAACTGATATACTTGAAGTTTGGTCACGATTTCAACGTCAGCAATAGAATAATAATAAAAGAACGACGTATACGACTTTTGCTCTCGAGCAGTCGCGGTATAGTCTGTATATCACGTACTTTGGTATCAAAGTAGTCTGCGTATGAGCCAGACTGTGCCAATAATCGACCATGATCGAGATAGAGGAATGATGATGAGAGATTAACATTCCTTTTACTCTTGTTTCATGTGAAGTCATAGTATATAGTAATTAGGATTGGTGTGGCGTCACGACGAAAAAAAAAAAAAAAAACAACCAGATTTATTATATGGTTGTCGGTTGGCCTCGAAAGAATGAAATGCGCCGATATGCATGTCGGTTGGCCCGACTAAAAATATCGGTACGAATCTTCGTCTTGGTTGTCGGCTTCAGTATTAACTTCTTTGTTACTATTATTATTAATATTGGTGTTGGTGGTGGTGGTGGTTGGTAGTGGTGGTGGTGGTGTGGATAGTGGGGCAGTGGAAGTTAGAGTGTTGGATAAGTTTCCACTAGTACTAGTATTATTATGACTCGATCTCTTTTTTCTTGTACTTGTCGTAGTATTTGAAACGACAACAGGAGTAGTAGGAGAGGAGTGGTCGACGGTGTTGTTGTTGTTGTTGTTGTTGTTGTTGCTATTACCAGAGGATGATGATGATGACATCAACATTGTAAGTGATTCAATTGTTTTGGCTAGTTTACCAAGGTCTTGTTGAATTGCTAAAAGAATATTCTGGAAATTATTATTATTATTATTAATGTTATTATTGATATTATTGGATTGAGTAACAATAACTGAATTTTTGTCATTATTATTATTAATATTCTGTTGATCGGATGTAATTTTTGGTAAAATTACTTGATTTGGAGCAGGTCTTTTACTTGATATTGTTTTCCAAGATTGTCTTACTTCAGGATGATCAAATGCATTTGCACGATAGAAACGATCGATAAAGGAGAGGGTTGTTTCGTCGGATGGGTAGCCACATCCGATGGGTTCGCCAACTTGAGATTGCAAGTTTTCAATGTATTTATCACGTGTCACCTTGGCCACAATCGATGCGGCTGCAGTTGAGGTGTACGTCATATCTGCTTTAATCTCGCATACAATATTGGCAAACCCTGCGTATCTCTGACGCAATGGATATGAGAACTTTTGCGAGTTGGATTCGATAGAGTCAATCTCGACAGTGATACGGTGGTGTGGTTTGCTGTCATCTGCGTGGTCGCCATCAGTATCGTCAGACATCATGACCTGTGCCAAATGCTCACTACTTGCATTCTCGTAATAGTATTGCTTCAAGCCGTCAATCAACTCCATAAATATACCCATTTCAATTTGATTGAGTGTCTGTACTTTTCGACGTTGGTCAATGTCGCTAGCACTAAATATCTTTGTCTTGTAATAAATAGCCTTTTCCGTAATGATAGAGTAAAGGTTTTCACGTTGTGCACTTGTTAGAGCCTTGGAGTCTTTGACACCGGTCGCTCGCAATAGTTGGCTGGTCGGCTGGTCAATGACGACAATGGCCACTACCAACGGACCCAATACCGAACCTTTACCCGACTCATCAATACCAGCATAAATATTGATATTATAGTTGTTGAATTTGTTGGCAGGTGTCAATCTTGGTCTCAACACCTCTTGTTGTTGTTGTATTTGTTGTTGTGAAGGTTGTTGTTGAAAGTAATATGGTTTTGGCATTGTCGATGGGAACCCCAAAGGTATCTTGAGCGGAGCACCAGCTCTCATCACAACCTTTGGTCCAATACTACTCTCTGTAATGACATCGTACGGCTTGGTGAATCGGTCCACATTAATCGATGTTTCAGGTGGATGTGAATAGATCGATTCTGCAGTTGAAGGGAATCCAATCTCTTCTGGTAAAGGTTCATGTTTTGTCAATAATACTGCAGTTGTTGACGATGATGATGATGATGATGAGTCAGTTGAAACTAGATCTACTTTATCTTGTTCAACATCTATCTTTTTCTTTCTAGGTGCTCTCTTTTTACGAGGAGTTGGTTCTATAATGGTACCATCCTCTGATAAAGTTGGTGTCTTTTTAGATGATCTTTTCTTTTTCTTTGTTGTTGATGATTCATCGGCTGTAGTTATTGAATCAGAAGTAGATGTAATAGTTGATGATAGATCATTACTACTACAAAAGTATCTATATGTTGATGTTGATTTGTTGGTATGATGATATGTACAAGTTGTTGATAATGATGATAGTGATGATAGTTTGCTACTATAACTATGAATGTTTTTGGTGATAGTTGAAGCAGCAGCAACTGACAAAGATGGTATCTTTGTTGCTGATTTTAGTAATCCAACAAACATCATTGATCGACTATGATGTTTGTTTAATAAATAAATACACTAAGAGTATTAACTCTTTTTCAAAAAAAAAAAAGAAAACTACAGAAATGAACATCAAGTCAGTTTTCAAACAAAGATTTAGAGGGGTTTAGTTTTAATAATACAAATTCTATATTTATTTTTAAATATTATTATGATATGCGCAACAAAATAGTAATATATATATATATATATAATTATATATATAATTATTATTATTATTATTGTTGGAAATATTATTATTATTAAGTATTATTGAAATGATTTGTTTTGTTTTGTTTTGGTGCAAAGGTGATCAATTAGTTTTCCTTTTTGAGAATCGGTCATTATTTTGGGTATTTCCAATTAATCTATCTATCTATCTATGGTTGTTGTTGTTGTTGTCTATTCGGTATTGTTTGTTTGTTTTTAAAAAAAAATGGTTCGATCTTTTGAATATTATTATTATTGATTGTTTGTTGATTTGTTGATTTGTTGTTTTTTAATCATCATCAGATTCAACAATAGTTTTGTTACTTGCACGTAACAAAGTGACAATCTTTGAGAATACAGCTTTGCCAGCGGTCTTGCCCCACATAAAGTCTAGATGTTCGTATGATTCTTCTTCGTGGATGAGGACGACCTTGTCTTTGGGAAGGTGAGCGAGAAGGGCTTTAGTGTTGGGTAGAGTGTCTTGACCACCATAGAATAGAGCACACTTGGTGAGAATCTGAGCTGGATGATAACCTGGAATGACACGACCATGATAACGATGCTTTTTGTTTGAGTTTTCGTTGGGAGTGATGCCGAGGAGCTCGTCATCAAACATTTGGAAACGATTGGTTTGGATGATTTGGAACCAGTGTACAACAGACTTGACAGAAGTATAGGAAAAGATGTGACTGTACAACATCTTCTTCTCCTCTTCGTCGAGGTTGTGTGTCTTCCAGCCAAATAGGAATCGGACCGAGCTGTCAATCAATTGCACGAAAAACTCTTTTGGCAGTACTTGTCTCCACCAAACGGTCGATGGTAGCATAGCCTTCTTGCCAAACAGTAAAAAGATAAAGTCTGGACGACTACGTGCCAACGAGTCGATCATGGGGTTGCTGAACCCCTTGACAGTGCTGACTGGAGCCAACGCAACAAACAAATTGATCTTGGCAGCCAATGCTGTGTTGGTGCTAAGTGCAGCCCATCCTTGAGCTGTTCCTTGTGAAAATCCAATATATGAAATGGTTGGTAATCTAGTTCTATCTGTAATAAACTAAAGGGAGAGGGTATATTAGTATACCTTTATAATTATTTGTGTTTTATATTTATATTACATACATCAACAATACTTGGTAGATCATAACGAACTAATTCATCGAGTGACCAATTCCAGAAACGTTCTTGTGAAGGGGTGTAAGTGGTATGTTTAAAGGAGTACTTGTTGCCACGATTGTTTCCGAGCCAAACATCGAATCCGGCGTCTGCGAGAATGAATGGAAGGCTGTCTTCGGGGTTAGCACGACATAACCAAGCTTCAGAGGTTTGCATGAATCCGTGCATGATGAGTACGGCCGGTTTGCCAACACGGAGGTCTGCGCCGTTGGGACCGTTGTCACGTGGTGAAGCTGGGGGTGATTGTGGTGGCGAGTTGATACGAGGACCGGTGATTCTATGCAATCCTAGGATGAATCCATCTGGAGTGGTGACATAGTGTTCTTCACATGGATAACCACGACTGGTAATCAACTCGATGGCATCTCTGTCCAAATCTTTTTCGGCCTCGGTGTAGATATGCTTGGACGAGTATCTATTGACCGACGCAACGCACTCAATGTACGATGAGAATGGAATGACACTAAACACAATCGATATGACTCCACGAGCAACCTTTTCACACAATAGAATTAAAAGTGTAAGATAAAGTTGACTCCATCTCCACAATGTTCTAAATAATCTAATGATTACAAACATCTTTTAAAAATAAATTAAATAAATAGAATAGAAAGATAATTATATTAATATTAATATTTGTTTTTGTAATGTGAATTTAAGATGATTGATTATAATGATGATTATTTATATTGTATTGATCCCTACTTGAATATCCTTCATTTTTTAATAATATTATTTAAAACTTTAATTTAATTAATTAATTAATTGATGGATGGATGGTTGAATGGATGGATGAAAAGGATAGATGATTGATCCAATGAAAAAATAGAAAAAAGGTTTGTTGGTAAGTTTGAATTGAAAATGTCTGTTTGTTTGTTTGTCTATATTATCTCTTATCTAAATAAATAGTCTTGTTTGTTTGTCTCTCTTTAAATAATATATTTATATATATATATAATTGCTTTTGCTGATGTAATGATACAACGATTGATAAATCAACAATAACTTTTGATATTTGATTGTTTAATTGTTTAGTTAACATCTATTTATAATGAACCATTTCCCTCGTTTTCAAGTCACACACTCTCACTCTGTTTAAACCACACCTCTGTCGATCCATGCATACACACACACACACACACACACACACCATCCATCAATATCTGAAAGGATTGTTTCTTATAAGAACACATTATTTGTGGTTACTCTCTTTCTCTCTCTCTCTCTCTCTCTGTCGAAGCTTCAACCTACAGTAGGCAGTTAACTTCCTTCCTTCCTTCCTTCCTTCCTTCCTTCCTTCTCCCTCACCAATTATTCCCTATCTGACACCACCACCACCACCACAAAACACAATGAAATAAATAACGACTACTTTAATTATATAATTATTATTATTATTACTATCCTCTTCTAGATTCTGATAATACTTTTTTTACTATTAATTGTACAATTTTGTGAATTGATAATTGGTGATGTTCAAAACTACTATTATTATTATTGAAGTTCGTACTAACTAAATAATAAAATGATTTATCTCTCTCTCTCTCTCTCTCTCTCACACTGTCTCGTTAACGACTACGAACAATGAATGATGACTACTTTTTTTTTTTTTTTTTGAAAATATCTTATCTGTTGGCTTTTGTTTATCTGTTTTTTACTTTACATGTGACAATCGCCAATCTAGAGATATCTATAGTATATATTATTAAAGTATATATCTCTCTTTCTCTTACCTTTTTATAAGTTTCTTTATTTCTCTCTCTTCAATTGAACTTTTCGGTAAGATGATACAAAAGTTATAATAATAATGAATTAATCCCGTCAATAATGAATGGAACCAATTATTATAATGATGTTACAATATATATATAAATATAAAAAGAATGAAAAAGTAAGAAAGATAGAGAGAGGGTCAGAAATATAGAAGAGCAAAAGAAAGAAATGAGAGAAGATAAAAAAAACTATGAAAGGACCAAGTGCACCCGATGTCTTTTTTTTGCCTTCACCCCTTTCAAGATGGAGAGGAGAGTATCAAACCAAACAAAAAAAATTAAAAAAATATTGCCTTTGAAGTTGGAAAAACGAAGACGACGTTTGCAAGGTACCTTGAACTCACTATCATTGTAAAGGGAGGGCACTACTTTTAAAAATAGTACTGGACAAAAAAAAAAAAACAAAAAATTGGCAGTTAATATTTATTAATTTATTTATTTGTTGACCGTTATAAATTGTTGTTGTTGTTGTTGTTGTTTGTAGATGACTGGCATATCATTTTAAATTAAACGACGGCTAGTGAATTGTGCTCGACTCTCCGTGTTGGACAATCGAACAGACAATGATGAAATGGATTGATTGATCTGTGGGATTAAATTGAGAATTGGAACCATTTGATCCATTCTGTTGGCCATTGTGTTTATACCATCATTCATAGCTGCCATATTATTGTTCATAGTAGTTAGATTATTATTTATAGTTGCCAATGTAATATTAATATTGTTGAGTGCCTGAGCGATGGCTGGGTCCACATCAACAACTGGATCATTGTCTCTAATGGAGTGGGGTGAATAACAAATAGATCAGCTTTCTCAGAATGTACTTACTTTGAGTTAAAATTCTATGTCTCTTGACTATCGAACTTTGAATGAGGTTGTGCACTTTGTTGAACTCTAGATGTATATGGTTATATAGATAGATACTAATTAGAATGTTGATGAAAATTAAAGTTGAGCCAAACATACCGTTTTTTCTCTTCAAGCATCGGATTTCTTTCATTGCTGTATCTAGACTTTGGCTTTGTACTTGGGCGATGTTTGCTGGTTGATTGGAATCACAATATTTATATGTTTCAGTTGTATACACTTTGTATGTGTGCACCTTGATATTCGGACAAATTATTTAAATTGTTAAAAATAGTAATGGTTTTTCCAGGTCGTTTTTTATTAAATTATTTTGGTAGTTCAACATGTATACTGTCGAAGAGAAATCATTAAACTCGAAAAAAGAGTTCAACGTCTAGAAGAAAAGTTGAATCATGAGGTACTCCCATTGAACCTACCTACCAATATTGACAGGGAGCGTCTAGATTTTGAAAAAGAAAAAGACAAAAGAGCTAATGAAAGAGATGAAGAAAAGGACAAAAGAGATAATGGTTTTAGAGAAAAGGCCTTGGTAAGTAAAAAAAATAAAATAAAATTGATCACATTTTAATACCAAGAATTAATTAGAAACACAATGCATTTAGAATTTTAAAATATTTAGGGTAAAGAAAAAGGGTTCAAGTGGAAGAATATTGCATGGAACTGAGTGGCCACAACATAATAAACACAATAGTATCCGTCATAGCAATCATTTTAATTGCCAAATCTTCTGATAAGTGGACCATTTTATAATAATTCCTATTATTATAACAATTACTATATTCACACCAATTTCTATTTAACAACTCCTCTTTATTCTTTTTGTTTGGAATGCTTTTTTTTAATCCAACTGTCGATATCTCGACTAACATTTCAATATAATCAAAATATCTATCAACATTAATGCTTGACAACATTATAATCTAAATACCTAACAACATTTTTTAAAATAATAAACAAGGTTGTATCTAAATTTCCACCAATTTTAACATTTACCTTTACACGTCCGTCTTATCTTGATGTTTAATTAAAATTTTGGTCTTTTTTTTTTTTTGTTCTTTTGTATATTGAATGAATTTGATTTATTTTCAAGATGAAGATGTGGAGGAAGAGGAAGAATGGGTAACCTTGTTATGATATAATCTCATAAGATTTCTTTCCAACATTGCAATGGTAACTTTACCAATAGTTGGAACTAGGACACATCTACTTTCAATAGATTCATCTACATTTAAACATCCAGCAAAATTAATAACTATAGTTCCATCTTTTATAAGATTTGATTCAATCTAAATTTAAAAATAATATTAAATTAATAAATGATTAAATAAATATATTAAATATTTATGTTTTTTGTTTTCTCAGATTTACCTTAAACTTTGGAGATGGAACACCTAAAATTAAAATATCACTTTTTGAAATAGCTTCATCTCTAGTGATGGTAGTTTCTGACATTTTAATGGTACCAAATCTCTTTCCAGGTTGGAATACAATGATTCCATTTAGATCGACCGAGTATACAAAAGCACCGTCGTTGGCGAGCATGGCAGCCAATGGACGACCGACAATTTCACTGCGATTGACAATGGTGATGGTCTTGCCTTTGAGGTGTTCACCCAATGCCAACGATTTGTCATAGATACCCAATTCATCGACAATCTTGACCATGGCCAGAGGAGTGCATGGAATGACACACTTTTTGGTCTGTGCAGCATCCATATAACGAATATTGTGGTAGAGGTTGAATCGATTAATAGTCGATAGACCCTCTACATCCTTTTCCGGACTAACAACATCTTGAAGATAAGAGTCCATCATTCCACCAAACACAGGATAGTATACCATGATACCATGAACATTGTTATCCTTGTTTGCTTCCAATATTTCATCTTCCAAATCCACTCTTTCAACTCTCTTTAAAATGAATTCAATGCCGTCCTTGTTACATGCAATCTTTGTCCACTTTGAATAATCTAATGCTCCTTCATCATTTGTTGTTAAAAATGCTACTATTCTAGAAAAAATAAAGAAAGATAAAAGATAAACAATAATAGATTAACAAACGACATCATCTTATCAGTGATATTGGCTTGAATGTTTACCTTGGTTTTAAATTTCCTTTGGTAATTGATTCTTTGATTTCATTTCGATAGAATGTTGCGATTGGTGTCACATCGACTTTACCTTTCTTGTGACTGACTATAGTTTTAATTTCATCCATCCTTCTTTATCTATAAACAACAACAACAACAACAACAAGTGGTAAGTTCACAAACTAGAGATGTTATTAATTGTGTGTAAAGTAAAAAAAAAAAAAAAAAGAAGAGAAAGAAAGAAGCGAGAGTATACTAGTGTTGTGTGGGGGTGATCGACCTCTAATTAAATAAACAATAAATAGGCAAGGTACACTATTCTCTTTCGGTCATTTCCTCGGTCGACTAAAAAGAAGACACAAAGTGCAAAGCTTTAATTAAAAAGACGAACCGCGAAAAGGCATCTGATGCGTTTTACACTTTTGACGAAAACCAAGATCATTTGGGATACGAGTTGTTTCGGCCCGATATTTATGCGTCATCAACATCATACATAACTTTTGTATAGGATATCCTAATCCTGGTAAAACATTTAATTATAATGACCGATTATCTATCTATCTATCAATCAATCTTTACATTAAAACAATAATGAATGTATTATTAATATTTGTTAATATGGATATGTTGGAGTAGTTGTAAACGATGAGTAAACTAAACGATTGAATATTCACCCCCCTCGATGATACAGTCATGCGTTCTTCTCGTTTGTTCCTATCCCCACCCAATCAACACAACAACAAAAAAAAAAGATGGAATCTTCATTCCAACAAACTTGCAAGAAGATAGATGTACATAATTTAATTTAATGTTATTATTTAATTCACTATAATCAAAAAAGAGAGAGAAGAGAAGAGAAGTGAGAGTTGGTTTAGTTTGTGAGGATTTTGTTTGTTTGTTCAAAGAGAGTAGAGCAAATTTAAAAAAGAAATAGAAATAAAATAATATCTAATAAATTTAATAATAAAATTGTAGACAAAGAAGAAACTGACCAAACCAACAACAACAACAACAACAACAACAACAACAACAACAACAAGAGTTTAAATACAAATAAAAATAAAAAAGAGTAAGTTGAAATATAAAGCTGATGAGAAGAGAAGGGAACATACTTTAATACCATCGGCTACTCGATTTATTCGATAGATTTTATTCCCATAATTGACGACACTTCCTCAATTTCAATTTATTATTGATTACTATACTGTCACTAGTTTCTTTTTTATTAACTCTAAAAAACAACCTCTCTCCTCTCTACATAATATATTATCATCATCAACAATAGATAGATAGATAGTTTGTTGTACTACACACTTCTCTATTACATTTACCTTTTTGCTTTTGACAACATATCATATCTCTCTCTGCACCCAGGAGGATTATGTTTGTCTTTGTAGTATTGTATGGATAGAAAAAGACGTAAATCAACATTAACAGCAGCATCATCACAGCAGCAGCAGCAAAGCTCGAGTAGTAGTAGTAATAATAACAGTACTTCTCCCCGTGGTGATACAACAACAGCCTCCTCATCTTTGACGACACCAGTAACATCTCCTGTCAAACAACCATTTGTTTCAATCATTAAAACTAGATCACAAATAGCTGCTGAACAAGCTCGACTAGATAGTAGTAGCAATAATAATAATAATAAAACACCAAAGAGAAAACAACCAGAATCATCATCAACCAGTACAACATCAACTACATCGACTCCATCATCGACTCCATCCCGTTCATTCCTAAGTCGTAAAAAGTAAGATATACATCAAATCAAAAGGGTTGGTTCACATTGCATTAAACTAATCGGTTCACATTACATTACATGTAATCGATGATTGATTGATTAAATCCCATTTATTTGCAACCCGGCTACTCCCATATTAATCAAATTTTCCATTTTTTTCTCTCATCTTCATCCACCATCATCACCCCAATATTTATATTAATATTGTTCACCACTACCACTACCACTTATTCTATTCTTGCTCTACTCTACTCTAGGTCAAATTTAAAAGTTGAAGTTGTACAAGTAGAAGAAGAAGAAGAAGAAGAAGAGGAAGAAGAAGAAGAAAAGGTAGAAAAAGTAGTAAAGAAACCAAAGACAACAACAACAAAGAAAGTAACACCAAAAAAGAAAGCAACACCTAAAAAGAAACAACAACAGACACCAAAGAAGAAAAAGAAAACAACAATGTCTTCGGTTAGTAGTAAAAAGTCTGCTACATCTTCTGATGAAGACACTGATCTAAAGGATGTTGTAGAGTCAACTGAAGAGTCGCCGATCCAAGACGACGATGAAGATGAAGACGAGGAAACCACAACGACTACCACCACGACTACGATCAACAATAGTAATAATAATAATAATTCGTCATCGGTACCAGCAGCCGACCAAAATACATTGCAGGGGTTGATGAGAGGGTTGACTGGAGCATTCTTTAATGAACTGGGAATGAGAACATCGGCGGGTGGAGGTAATCCAGCAGCTACCAATGCGGCGACAGGCCTATTAAATACACTCATCGAGGGTAGATCGCGACTCAAACAAATACTGGCTGGATTGAAATCAGACGACGAAAGCGAACAGATGGAATCGTTGATAGAGTTGTGCGAGCTACTCTCAATCGCCACTGAAGACACGATGGTAGGGTTCCCAAGCGACTCTTTTTCACAGGCACTCATCAACCTACTCAACATGGAGCATAACCCCGACATGATGTTGTTGGCGTGTCGTGCCATGTCCAACATGCTCGAAGCTCTCCCTGGATCGGTCTCTTCGGTGGTCAGTCACGGTGCTGTACCCGTCTTGTGTGCCAAACTACTCTCTATCGAATACATTGATCTCGCCGAACAGTCACTCCAGACACTCGAAAAAATATCGCTCGAGCAACCTACAGCAGTACTTCGTTCCGGTGGTCTCATGGCCGTCCTCTCTTATCTCGATTTCTTTTCAACCGGTGTTCAAAGAATGGCAGTTTCAACTGCCGCCAATATTTGTCGTCAAGTTCCTCAAGATTGTTTCGAAACAATTAAAGACGCCATTCCAATTTTATCTAATCTTTTAGCTTATACTGATCAAAAAGGTAAACAAAAAGTTAAAGAAAAAGAAAAAGAATCAATATATATATTAACTTTTCCTTCTTTTAGTTGTTGAATTATCATGTTTATGTTTTTCAAGATTGGTTGAAGCATTTTATGATAATCCACAGAAATTACAATCATTGACAAGTGATGGATTACTTGGACATTTGGTACATATTATATCATCGATGAATAATACTACGGTTGCATTATCACCAGCCACCTATTCGCAAGTCATTAGAATCATGTCCAATATTTGTCATGGTTTGCCATCATCTTCGCTCATCTTGCTCCAAGAGGGTATTATTGAAACCATTCAAACCATTTTGATAGGCAATACAAACGACTCTACTCTTTCTCGTTCGAGTCAACAATGCTACGAGATACTATCACTCATCAACGAATTGCTCCCTCCACTTCCACAAGAGTTTAGTTCTCTTGCCCCCCCTTCACGTTCACTTCGCAAGGTGAAAAAGGAAGGAACCAGTAGCGCGGAAACCCAAGACTCTCGTATCATCATGTACACTGAACATCCAGACCTTCTCATTACCTTTGGTCAAGGTCTATTTGTCATTCTTGTAGATATGTTTACTTCTACCGTCAACCCTTCTATTCGTTATCGTTGTCTTGGTTCTATTTGTAAAATTTTATACTTTTCAACTTCTGATATGATTAGAGATTTATTAAAGGTAAAAAAAAAACAAAAAAAAAAGTAAAGAATAAGAATATTTTATTAACTTTTATTTAGAATTTTGGATTTTCAAGTTTCTTGGCAGGATTATTAGGTAGTAGAGATATGACTATAGTTTCAACTGCTTTAAAGATTTCAGAGATGATGATGGAAAAGTTACCATCAATCTTTGATCGATATTTCAAGAGAGAAGGTGTATTGTACGAGATTGATAGATTATCAAAATTGGAACCACTTATTACTGCGTCACCACCAAAGGATGAAGATGATGATCTTAATTTATCCTCTTCCTCACCACCAACAACAGTGCATACTCCAACCAAATCACATTCATCACCCATTTCTATACCAATGTCTACACCACCACGTAATATTCCTCCACCTTTGGCCAGTTCACCATTTGGCAGTAATCAATTCTTTGTTGGATCACCTGCAAGTCTTCCACCTGGAACTCCGATGTCTCAAAATCTATCTGGTTCTGTTCCAACCACTCCATCATCTCCTCCAAACCCATTACAAACTTCAACCACTTCAACTACTACAACCACCACCACCACCACCACCACCAATGCAGCAGCTGCAGCAGCTGCCCCAGCTGATGAATTGAAATCTGCAGTTTGTAAAGAAGCAAGAAGATTTAAAGAAAAATATTTCCTTAAACAAGTATGAAAGAAAATGACAAAAATAAGAATAATCTATCATTCTCTCTAACACAAGTCTTTTATTTTTTTTAGTTATCACATGATAGTTTAGCAACTGATGAATTAAAATCATTAAAAGTATTAAGCGAAAAATTAAATAGATGTTATAATGATGTAGGAGTCGATGTTTTACAAGAGATTAGTTCAACATTGACTACTAGCGAAGGTGTATCAGCATTTGAATTTTTGCACAGTGGATTGGTATCGAGCATCCTATCCTATTTGACTAGGGGAGATGTTAGTAAACATGCCGAGTGTTTTAGCAAGGTCTTTTTGTCACCAATCAAAAACAACAACAATATCTCTCAACAAATATTGTCGTCGTCGCCAGCCAAACAACTTTCGTCATCGTTGACGATGAGTCGTGGTATGGACCAGCCGGTAGTGTTGTTGACTATGCTCGTCGGTAAACTTCACGATGCATTGACCAAGGTTGAGAGATTCTCAATCAATATCAACGAGGTTGGTGGAACTAGCAGTGGACTCAAATATCTCGCACAACCATTCAAGTTAAAGTTGGTCAAGGATTGTGATGATGACTCGTTAAAAGACTATTCGTCCAATGTCGTCTTGATTGAGCCTTTGGCCACTATCGTTGCGATTGAAGAGTTTTTGACATCGCGTGTCATCACCAAGCCAACTGCCGCTGCCGCCGTACCAGCTGCAAGTAAATCAGTGGTTGCACCCACACCAGCAAGTATCAAGGAAAAGAGTGGTGGAGATGATGATATGGACGAAGACGAGGATGAATACCATGACGATTATGAAGACGATGAATTATTGCAAAACAACGATGATCAAGGAGCCAATGAAAACGAATCAGATGTCCATGATGTAAAGATTAATGAATTGAATACTTCTGGAACTATTCCAACTCCTCCAACTGCTACTGCCACCACCACTTCAACTTCGACTACTAGTACAACCTCGACTACTAGTACAACATCGACTGCTTCACCTCCATCGGCTAGTACAACTTCTACTTCTACATCTACGACCACTACTTCTTCACCATTATCAACTACACCACCACAAACAAGATTAAATCAATCCACCTCATCAACTTCTACACCACCACAACCACAACAACCAAAGATTGCTATTTTTGCTGATGGTCAAAGATTATTACCTACTGTAACCATTTTCCAAGCTGTACAAAAGTTGGTCAAAGCAAACCAAAATAATATTTTGACAAACAATAACAATAATAATAATAACAATAGTGAACAATCAAATGAAAATATGGTCCCAACAAGTAGATTGTGGGAAGGAACTCATTCATTGAAATATAGATTCCTTACTCAAAGTGAATTAGAACAACCAACAAGTCAACAATCTTTAGTTTCAACTACAAAACCAAAAAGTATGTAAAATCTTTATATATTTATTTATTTTATTTATTAATTTTTTTTCCTTTTTTTTTTAGTTTCAGGATTAGGAGAATCAAATTTAGTTTCATTTTTAGAGGAAGGACATATATTCCCACTTTCTTCTAGTGATACAACCTATGAAATCATATCACTGATTAGAGTATTATTCAAACTGTGTTATGAAAATGATGGTGGTTTCTATATAGGAAGCAGTTATGTAGCACAATCTGAATTTATTTCACAGAAACTGACAGCCAAGGTTATGCGTCAACTTCAAGATCCCTTGGCATTGTGTAGTGGAGCTCTTCCAGATTGGTGCAAGCAATTGCTTACCTATTGTCCATTCCTCTTCCCATTTGAATGTCGAAGACTCTTTTTCTACTCTACTTCATTTGGCATTGCAAGAGCTCTTTCTACACTCCAACAACGACAAGATCTCATTCGTCAGACTGGAGCAGACTCTACATCTAGCAGCAACAACAACAACAATAACCGTGGTGAGGTTCGTGTAGGAAGAATTCAACGTCAAAAGGTTAGAATCTACCGTAACCGTATCTTAGAGTCTGCATTCAAGGTGATGGAATTGTACGGAAAATCAAAGTCTATCCTAGAAGTGGAATACTTTGGTGAGGTTGGTACTGGTTTGGGTCCTACTTTGGAATTCTTTACTTTGGTTTCAAGAGAAGTTCAAAGAAAGGATTTAGATCTTTGGTATATTGATGATTTAATAACAACTGATAATGATCAAGATATGAAAGATGTCAAACAAAAAGATCAAAATAATAATAATAATAATCAAAATAATAATACGACTCCTACTACTACTACTACGAATTATGTTTATACAGCTGGAGGATTATTCCCAAAACCAGTTAGACCTGGTACCATTACCAAAAAGGTACTTGATTATTTCAAGTTTTTGGGAATGTTTGTTGCCAAGGCATTCTTTGATCAACGTCTTGTTGATATTCCATTCTCCAAGCCATTCTACAAGTATCTTATCAATGGAGACTTTGAATTTGACGATCTTAGAAACATTGCACCATCATTTGCCAACTCTATTCGTAGTTTGTATGCTTTGGTATTAAAGATCAAGGAGATTCGCGAATCAGCATCGTTGGACGACACTCAAAAGAATAATGAAATCCAAGCACTCAGAATCGGAGGTGCTCGTGTTGAAGATCTCTGCTTGGACTTTGTCCTTCCAGGCTACCCAGACTGGGAACTCAAACCAGGTGGTTCCAAGATTAGCATCACATTGGACAACTTGGGAGAGTACATCAACCTCATCTTGACCAATTTCTTGTACAGTGGTGTATGTCAACAAATCGATGCATTCAAGGAAGGATTCAACCAAATCTTCCCAATCTCTAGTTTGGGATCTTTTTCAATTCACGAAATTGAATCCTTGTTGTGTGGTTCATTGGCTGGCTCTGATGGTGATTGGACTGTTGAATCGTTGATGGAAAGCACCAAATGCGATCACGGTTTCACCAACACAAGTGAACCAGTCCAAAACTTTTTCAAGATCATGTCTGAATTCAACGAAGATGAGAGAAAGCAGTTCCTTCTCTTTATCACTGGTAGTCCGCACCTCCCCATCCAAGGATTCAAGGGTCTCAATCCTCGTCTCACCATTGTAAAGAAACATCATAATCCTCCATACCAACCAGACGACTTTTTGCTTAGTGTAATGTCTTGTACCAATTATATCAAATTACCCCACTATTCATCAAAAGATATTATGAAACAAAAACTTTTATATGCAATGAAAGAAGGTCAATCTTCTTTCCATTTATCTTAATCTTAAAAAACAAAAACAAATCAAAAACAACAGAAAAATCCCCCTTTTTTTTAATATATATACAAAATAAAAATAAATAATAATAATAACATTGTTTTCCAAAAAAATAAAATCTAATATAGAGAGAGCTATCATCGAGAAAAACACCAATATAATGAGCCATAAGTATTTGAAACGATTTGAGTAATTCCATAAACATGATTGTTTTTGACAAACATAAGTTGTCTATTTGTGTGGTGGTCGAATAGGAGTCTATAAAAGAAAAGATGGTTAAATATTTAAAAAAATGATTAAATGGATATTTTAAATTATCAATTCATTTTGCATACCTTTAATATCATTGCCATTATTGATTTAATAAATTCTTTTTTTTCGATTGGATTTAGATCTAAACCCTCTTTGCAATAAAAATGGTCTAATAATCCTATTTCTTTTGCTCTTTTGTGTTTGAATTTATCAAGTGAATTGATGAGATGATCATTGTTGTCGTAGTTTTTAAAGGAATAAGGTCCTCCCAACTGTCGAGATGGACTAAAATTAATAATAATAATCAATTCTAAAAGGTTTTATCTTACGGAATAAGGTTTGTATAAAGATTGATGAGCTCAAAGTTTTCATCAGATACAGAAACATTATTTATATTCAAGTATGTTAAACACTCTTCTTTGGTGAAGCCATCATTAAATTCAAAAACAGGACAATATCCTTTCAGAGCCGATTTGAGAAAATAGTGGTTATTTGCAGATGATGAAGAAGAAACTGCAACCAACAGGCCATATGTTTCCATAGCTCCACCAAGATAGCCTTCAATGATGCAATAAGGTGACTCTGATCTTTGTGATTCCGTCAGCCCATTGTATTGATCAAAGAACCAACACACTTGATACCCCTTTTCAGACCACGATTTAAATGCATCCGAAATGAGGTATTTCAATGGACCAAGCGATTGTGGAATTGTCTGGTTACGTAAAAATTGAGAGAATGTAACCAAGTCTTCTTCATCTTGGACAAATGAGACAGCATTAACCATTGAAGATATCAAGAATGTATAGGCATTTATTGATCTTGCCCATCCCAGGCAATCAGGGATATAGACGACGATGTTTTTGGGATTCAGTCGTAGCCTATACACCACTTGATAGATTGAATGTGATTTCCCGAATCCTTGTGGACCTTGTATATACACTTCTCTTTTTCGATCTCTGAAAGAAGAACAAATAAAGTCTTCTAGCTTTTTTGATATGTCTCTAATTACAATCTTGACTTGCTTGTCATTTTGGAATGCAAATCTATCACCTTGGATAGACTTTGAAAAAGAGTCTTCAGGGATAGAGTATACTCCCTCCAAACTATTAAAGTCTCCAATAAACCTTTGCTTCTTTATAACTTTAACTATTTCCAAGTCTGATAAACAAGAATGAAAGCATAAAGAAACAAAGAATGATTAGAGATTAATAACTCTTAAACTCTGTTATGTTGCTTACACTGTTGGTCTGGTTGATTTCTAAGTTTAACAGTTATAGATCTTTTGTGCCAAGTCCAATAAGACATCGCCATCTTGTGTATGATTGTATAATTCAATGGGTTGTTTGGGGATACCCAGCTGGGTATCATCTCTAATTGGTTTGACGAGGTCAAAGTTGTATTTTATACCAACGAAATTGATTTTTGCATAATTCTCTCCAAAGTATATATAACCTTTAAAGTCTCGTAGTTTGTTGGTAGTCATGATGTTTTATCTCTACACAAATTGTATGAGAATATGAAGAAATTTTTTTTATACTCTAGGACTCTTTTCTCTTCATTTAATTCCAAATTAATGAATGACTCTATTATTTAGTCATCTTTATTTGAAATGGTAGTAGATATTTCTTGATTGTTGGTATTGGTAGTATTAATACATTCAATCATATCATTTTCTAATGCTGTTAGTTCATATGAACCCTCCTCGTCATCTTCCTCTTCCTCTTTACTAAAATCTTCTTCTTCTTGTGATCTTGAATTACTATCATCCTTGACAACATTTTTTACCATTGTATCAATTGCTGCCAATGGAGAATATACTTCTGGTATTCTTAAATCAAAAGCTCTAAATTTACCAACATTTGATAAATGTTCATTCTCTAAACGGAAAACTATAGAAAGAAACAAAAACAAATTGAATTAATTAATATTTAAATCAATTTTATCTATCTGTATTACTTACAATTCCATTGAAATCTTCTAGTAACTTCTAAAATGGAAGTAATTAAAACAATTAATTCCTTTTGTCTTGAAGAATAAGATTCAAAAGATAAATTGACAGCCCATGAAACTCTCATGATGATATTTGATACAATGGCAAAATAGTAGATTGATTTTGGTCTGTACAATAGATGATCCCTAAGTAAAAAGTTTCTACTATTTGTTTGTAAAATACCCCAATCCATTAAAAAGTCCCATGAACAACTAATCAATGTACTTATTGATGCTATTATTAACCATAATACTATTAATGTAATTTGTCCTCCTTGACCTAAAAATAGAAATAAATAATAAATAGTAAATTACTATTGGTTAGTGATTTGGATGATAATAATTATTTGTTGTTGTCGACATACTAATATTTTTAGTAAAAGCCGCATGAGCCAAGGCAGAAGCTATAGTTGATAGAATAGACATTGCATATTTACAAAAATTCATCATATGAATATTTTGTTTACTATCACGATAACGACGAACTGATTGAAGAGCTCTGAGGAGTGGAGGAACAGATACTAGAATGGGACGACAGTATGGATTGATTGCCCAACACTTGCCATCATGAGTCCAAAGGTCATAGACAAAATAACAGACAATGTATTGAAGATCACTTAGGACAACTGCCAAACTAGTAAGTTGATCACCAAAGAAGAAATCCTTGAATTTGACTGCCAAAAAGGGAGCCGAGAAAATTCTACCAAAAGTGTGAATAAGCCAATATCTACTTGATCGATTCATAATATTTAAAGGACAAACCAATGTTACAAGAATTGACATGATAAGAATAAATGGGAATATAATCGGTATATACCCATCAATATGTGTACTTAGATAAACATAAAGATATAATCCAACTGACCACATAAAACTTAATACACTTGCCAACTATAGAAAAATAAATTAAAATTAATTAAAATATTCAAATATTATTTCTATTTCTATTTTACATACCAATAATATATGATAATGATTTGTATGAGTTCTAGGATCCCAACCAAGAATAAAAACATGATTAATTTTTTTAATCGAACATATATACATTAATATTCCAAAATACCAAACCATTATAATCTAAATTAAATTATAATAATATTAATAAATATGATATTATTTTTACTTTTTGTTACATACAGGTAAAGCTAAAGCTCTAAATAAAATAAACATTGAAAGAAAATCTATAGGATAAGGTTCATCAAAATAAAAGATTGAAACACTTCCAATCATATACCGAACACAAAATATAAACAACATTAATGCACCTCCAGACAGCAACCCAGTGAAAAAAATAATCCTCGGTGGTGCATGATAATTTAATTGAACCCTTAATTTTCCCATTGCATCTCTTCTATTTCCTGGTTTAAAACAATCTGTATATAATTTCTAGAAATAAAAAGTAAATAATAAATCATTCTATAATTGTTTGTTTTGTTTCTAATTTACCTCTATATCATGTTCAATTGCTTGTAAAATTTTTGAAGTTACAAAATATTGTGAATTTACATTTGCCATGGCTTCACCACTTTTCGATTGTTGTAATACCTTGTCATATTTTTTAAATATTTTTCTAAATGCCGTATGATTGAGAATAACATATTCCTTGAGTACTTCAATTTCACGATAAATCTCTTCCAATGCTCTTTTGAGTGCTCGTTTGACTTTGGTGTATTTGACTTTTGGCCAATAGGTTTCAGCCTTTGATGCATGGGCCAATGCCTTTTGTGCCATGTTTTGTGGTGCTGATGACTCTGCTAATGGTGATTGGTGGTTTTCTGGATCGTATGCTGGTAGTGTATACCCTGCTGGTGTACTACCAGGTGAATCAGTAACATTGCCACCATTGCTGCCAAGTTGATTTTGTGATGGTGATCGACTCAATCTATGTGATCTTCTAAATAGGTGAAGATTGAATTTCTTGTTATTCTCTTCTCTAGTGTCATTGATAGCGTGCATCGTAGGTGAAGGTACTAGGTTTGGTGTGGTTGACATACTACCACTCAATCCAGACCCATCCTTTGGTTTTTTCTTTTTCGATGCCAACATGCCTTGATCCTTGAGAGACATTAATTTCTGTTTGATACTTTCAAACTGTCGATAAAACTCTTGTTCTCTTTCCTTGTAAAATGTATTAACCTTTTCAAACTCTTCCAATACCATTTGATCGAATTTACTTTGTTCTCTTTCTTGATTGGCTCCTGCTTTGGTTGGAGCAGGTTTCTTGTTTCCTCCATTTAACTGGTTCATAGCAATAAGGTTAGGATCTTGTCCCGCTTCATTATCTTCTTCTCCTCCACCATTATTATTATTATTATTTTCAATTATTGTTGGTTTACCATTATTGTTATTATTATTATTACCACCTCTAATGGATGTTAATGATAATGTTCTTCTTGCTGCATTTGCTTGATTTGAATCCTCTAAATAATTAATTATTAATATTAATATATTATTTTATTCCACAAACATCAACATTATTATATATATTTATATATATATACCCAAGATAGCACGTTTAATTGCTTTAATTTGTTTCTTGAATAATTTGTAATAGACATATTTCTTTCTCCATTCACTTACTTGGTGTCTCTCCAAGTATTTACCAAATTTCATTTTCTCTTTCTTTCTTTGTTTCTTTCTCTAAACTACTACTACTACTACTGACTAACCTATCTTATTCTCTAGGTACCTATACTCCATCAGTTTTATAAAGTCTAAACTGAAATTGAATGACTACTCTATTGCTGCTTTAATTATTTGTTGTAACTAAACTACTACTGATGAATGACTGACTGAAACGAGTGATTGTGTGTGTGAAAGAGAGAGAATCAGGTGATATTATGATAGACAAAGCTCTGTCTCTAAACGAATACTGTGTGTTATTAATAGACTCTTTCGAAAAAAATAAGAAAACAAGAGGTTGACCACACTTTTCACACACGCATAAAGATAACTAACAAACAAACAATGTGATAAACGTTGATGATTAACTAACTATATAAATAAATAAATAAAATATATTATAAAACACTGGTTTGAAATGAAACAATTCTCTTTTCAGGCGGGTAATAAACTCAAATTAATACCTTCATAAAAAAAATTGCATTCTGGGCGATGTGACCTGCACAGAAGTGTCCTCACCTCATTTTTCGATTACTTTTACCGCCACTGCCATTGTGTGACCTTCTCGGTTCATGTAAGTTTTTGGGTTTGATTTCCGATCGAATTGATCCTATCACCAAATCAAACCTTTGGAAATCTATTTCCACCCATGTCTCGAAACCTCAAATTATGGTGGGTGGTTCGAAAATTAATTTGTTTGTTTGGCTCTGTGTTTGTTTTCGTCTTTCGATCAGTCACAATTTCGTTTCATTTCATTTCATCGTTTGATACATTTCAATGTTCATTTCATTGTCATTATCAGTAGTCTATAGTCGTTATAATGCGAAGATCTATATTATCTGATTCAGACATTAAACAGAGATGTGATAAACTACCTGTTCAATGTGTAGTTCATTCTGGTGATTGTATGTAATATATATATATCGATGGATAGTGTGATACTGATACATTTGTTGTTTATTCTCTAGATCTAGAAGAGATAATATTAGATCCTTTATCTAAATTGACATCTGATATTGCAATTGGTTTGAATGATACGTTGACGAATAATAAGAATGAAGAAGATCTAAGTATCTATATGTCACCTACAAAGAAATCAAATACAAGTAATAATAATAGTCCATTATCACCAACAAGACCAAATGGAGGATTAGGTGTTACATTACAATCTTCATCTTCATCACCTTTAAAATCATTGGGTTCTTCAATCAACCAAATCACATCTTCACCCAATAATAGTGGCAGTAATAGCAATAATATATTATCATCATCACTATCGAATGATTATTATTGTATAGATTGTAAGAAAGGATTTCAATCTGAACAAACTTGGAACACTCATATTGGTAGTACAAAACATATTAATCAAGTTAAAGAAAATAAGAAAAAGTCTACGTCGAATGTATCATCTCCAACATCTACTTCTAAAACAACATCAACAACAAATAAGAAAAATGAAGAAAAGGCCAATAAGGGAGGAAAAACAAAACAGTCAAAAGATACACCCGATGATAATAATACAGCAGCTGTATTATCACCAACATCATCAACATTTATAAAAAAACAATTAGAATTGATGGCAAATGTACCTGGTAAACCATTGCTGACTTGCAAGAATATGTTTCAAGCAGCTAAAAATTATTCTCAATTTCATATGATCAATGATTGTTCAAAATCATTATTGGCAATATTAGATGTATTAAAAGTGCAACAACAAAAATCATCATCAAATGGGATTATACAACCATTGACAAAAAATAATAATAATGTTGGATCATGGAATGAAGATTTTAGTTCAATTGAATTAATGTTACCATTGGATTTGAAAATAGATATATGGACAAAGATTGGATTAGAAACTAAAACTTATTTATATCTGGCAAGATTAACAAGACTTTTTGATAGAAAATTAACTGAAACTTTTATATCAAAATGTTTATCTTCTTCATCACTATTGGATAAATCTTTAATCACAAATATTGAAAGAGATGGTTCTTATAGAGTAAGTAGAGAAATTAATTAATTAATCAACTTTTAAATTTATTAATCTTTTTTTTTTTTTTTTTGTTGTTTGTAGTTATTTATTATTGATCCAAGTATGGTTATTAATAGATTAACAAAAATTGTAGAAAATTCTATTCATTCTAAAAATCAACAACAACAACAAACCAATCCTCCTCCTCTTCATCCTCAACAAGAAGAACAAAAACCATTATATGAAGAATATTTAAATATGATTGACGAAATGGCTGGTATATTATCATTTGATAAATGTCATCCATTATCATTGTTTTATTATTATCTTTCCATTTCAATTTCATTATCTTTTCAATTGTAAGTATAATAGTTATTAGTCAATTATTAATATATTAATTTATTTTTTTAATTTTCTATAGAAATGAAAGAGTATTAAGAACAATTCAAAGATGTATTAGATTATTTGTTGGAATGGATTATGATTATTTAGTTTCTGATTTTTATCTAAGATATTATCAATTAACTGGACAAGATGATTTATCAATACTTTGTGATAGTTTGAGATATTCAGTACAAGCAAATGATTCTAATCGTTTGAATACTCTTTTAAAATTGTACCAAACAAATCATAAAAACTATCATTTGCAATCATATTGCGATAAATCCATAGAACAACAAACACAAATATTAATTTTAAAGTGTTGTTTGTCAGTTCAAAAAAGTAATAGTTTGGAAATGGAAGAAACAAGAGATCAATTTGAACATATTCTCTCAACTGATAGAGATTCTCTAAACTTTTTTTCTCTTTGTTTTGAAAAATCATTATAACCATCAAAAAATTGGAATTTAATAAATAATTTGGATTAGTTTTGTTTTATTTCTTTATTTTAAATATTATTATTATTTTATACATTATTATTTGTTTGTTTGTTTGTTAATTTTGTTTTTTAATTCTTTTTTTAGAAACAAAAAGAATCTAATAAAATACAACAACAACTTGCAAGAGCTCTACATGAAAAACCAACTTGAGACATGTCGAGGAGACGGTTGTGAGAGATGACGGCAGCGATGGAAAAGAGTAATTTGGTTGCAAAGTGACAACAACATTCAATGGTTGTCATGAGTTGATCACTAAGTTCTTCAGAGAGGTTGTTGGCAGATGGATCATTTTGGAATTCCAATAGAATCGATCTGATAGAATTTACATCTTGAGCAATGAGTTGAGCGGGGATGACCATTTGAACATCACGTTCCACTGAACTGTATATAGAGAGGGAATGAATTGATTTTTGGATACTGGCTAATAGTGGGAGCACAACTCCTTCGCATGGCATACCCGATGAAGTGTGTGACCCAACATTGGATTTGTAGAAATCAATCGTTCCTCTGAGTTGTCTGCTTGCACCGTCTATAATCTCCTTTTCAGTTTCTGGTTCTAAATGACCGGATACCTTGGATGGTACCATGGCTGTGGTGGTTGATTTGACCGATGCCAATTGCTCGGCAATGATTCGACCGAGACTGATGAGGTTCTCGGCCGACTTTTCCATGACCGATGCACCCGAGCTGGTGGATGTGGTAGCGCAGTCTTCATCAATTGACAAATGGTCGTTACCACGCGACGAGTCGACTACACTGAGCACCATAAACGACTTGAATGTCTTGGCAACGATCAAACACGAGTCGCTGAGGCGTTTGGCCAGTTCAGGGGACCGACACACAAACACACGTGTGCCAACCAGTTTTTGTAGCTTGGCAATGCTTGTCAAGACACCCGGGGGAATAGGTGTGTTGTGTGTGACCGAGTTCATCGCCATTCTACATGACAGTGCACACTCGGCAATACCAGTGTTGATCTGCTCCTGTGTCGACTCGTTCCAACAGTGAAACAGCCAAATCAACGCACCTACCAGCGCAGCGACCAGACGAATCAACTCACTGTGTTCAATTCGACTAAACAGACGTAGTTTAATACCGTCCTTTACCGATTTGACACGTTCATGAATGGCAGTGACTGCATCTTGGTTTCGAGTAGTATCCATAAACGCGGTTGTCTCACGATCACCAATCAACGCCAAAAAGTGTACCAACACATTACCACATTCATCAATCGCCTTTGTAATATCATCATATCGCACCTTGTCCGAGCAAAGAGCTACAATCGACAGTTTGTACGTAACCTCTAACCACAACATATTTGCATCCTTTACACCTGAAAAGTCTTCAGATGGAAAGATACTACGTGGCACCACATCCAATACCACTGCACGTTGATACGTATTACCAGAAGTAGTAGTAATAGGACGGTTGGGAACTGTAGTGATGATAGTTGTTTGTGGTTTCATTGATGGTGGTGATATAGGTGTTATATTGGTTCCTTGGTGATTAGGATCCAATGTATTTGGTTGTACAGGTTGAACAGGTACTATACTCGGTGCTTGATTATTACTAGACACTGTAATAGAGTTTAATGATCCAGCCAAATTATTTACAGAATTATTATTATTGGTGATTGTTGGGGGAGGAGGGTTTGAAGATACCATTGTTGGACGTTTAATTGCTAATCTTGATTGTAATGCTTCTTTATATTTAACTTGGAATCGCTTTGGTAATGCTTCAACTATTCTCTCTGGTGTCTTTCTATCCTTTGCATCAATATTGTAATCTGCACCTTTAATAATCAATTGTATTGCCAAATCCTCTTGTTTCTCATTTGTTGATATCTTTCTTAATGACATTATCAATGGCTAAACAAACAATAATAAAACGATAGTTAGTATATCTATCTATCCTATCTCTTTATCTCTTATAATATAATACATACAGTATCACCTTTTGGATCTTTCAAGTTTATATTTGCACCATTTTCAATCAAGTAGGTCATAATCTCTAATTGATCTCCATCTATTGAATGATGTAATGCTGTCTTGTTCTCTGTAATAGACAAATGATAATGATATTGTTAGTACAAGATCAATCTATCAATCAATCATCTGATCTATCTTATCTTTCATACCTTTATCCAAAGTATCAACCTTTACAACTGAAGGGATATACTTTTTAATCTTTTTAATGTCTCCTTTTCTAGCTGCTCTCCAAACATCTTTTGCCATGATTACGACTGACCTATGATGATGATTAATATATATATATAAAAAGAAACTGTGAATGATGATAATATTTTCAAACTTTGGTAACACCCCTCCTCATTTCATTTCATTTCCAAAGACGCCCAGTTTGTTTTTTATTTGAATTCAACTTTGTAGGATCTACACACCATCGATGTCAAAGTGATCCACGGACTAGATTTTAAAGTCGTTTGTAAGATAAAATACATATGTACTATTTGGTTGTTCTTGTAACTTTTGCAAAGTGAAGTGAAGAACACCACAGCTGCAAAGGGACAGATCCTGGTGGTTTATTTTTTTTTATAATAATTTATTTATTGACGATCGTTTTGATGGTGACAACTTAAACGCCAAGAGTAATCATTTAATTGAACAGAGAGGTCAACAACACAGCAACATGATTTAATCATTTAACAATGTACAGTAATAATAATAATAATAATAATAATGATAATGATAATGATAATGATAGTAATACTACAATAGATTTAAATTATAGTAGTAATAGTAATGGATCATCATCGACTGCAACCACATACAAAAGAGCATCTGTTTTAAACAATGAAGACAATAACGATACAACTACAACGAATCTAATAGATACAACACTTTTACCTTTAATATTGACAAATAATAACCTTCATAGAGATACAATATCAGTGATCGATTCTACAACACATAAATATGTACATGCAAACAATCAGGTGTGTTGTTGTTCAGATATCGAAGCATTCTTGGAGTTGATGAATAATGATAATCCATACATCTTGTCTGGTTTTAGAGAACATACTTCAAAATCTTATAAAGAATGTTTAAAAAGTATATTTATTTTACATAATGATACTTGTAAGTGAAAAGGAAAAGAATACATATGACTTGTATATATATATTAATGAATTTATTTTTTGATTTACTCTCTCTAGTAAATATATGGACACATTTAATACCATCAATTATATATTTTATATTATTTATCAATCGATTATTAAACGATGAATCATCTAGAACGATTCAACAATCCAATTACCATTTCAATATTTGTATATTTCTATTGAGTTGCTCCATCTGTTTTATGGTGTCTGCAATCTACCATACTTTGCGATCTCATTCGGTCGCTATATTTAAGCTCACATTAATGATGGACGTATTGGGTATAGCATTATCAATCATTGCATCGGTCAACTTTATGATTGGAAGTGAATTGGTTTGTTTTCCAAAGGTTCGCCAATTCTTTCTATTTTCTTTTTTCTTTTTAATTGCTACTGCACTTTCTCTTTTACCTAAAATTGTATGTTAAATTAATCTATTATATATATATATATATATATATATACTAACATTTACATTTACTTTTCCATTTCCATTTTAGATGAGAGAAAAAAAGTTTTCATTACGTACTTTTATATTATCGGTACTTGCAAGTCAAGGTTTGGTTGCTCATTTATTAAGATATTATTTGGATCAAACATTACAATTACAAGTTTTGCAAAGGATTATTCTAGCATATACATTTCTTACTTTGGCACTAGTTGTTAGGAAATTCAAGATTCCTGAACAATTACGTCCTGGTAAATTTGATATTTGGGTAAGAGACAAAGAGAGAGAGAGAGAGATTAGTTTGCCAAACACAAGTTATAAATGATTAATTTTTTTTATTTATTTAATTCTATTTATATTTAGTTTTCAAGTCATCAGATATTTCATGTATTGGTCGTGATTGGAACTTATTTTATTTACCATGCATATGAAAATGGATTAATGACTTGTCAAGGTTCAGATCATAAATAATAATATTAATATATGCACACCCTTTTTTTTTTTAATCAATCTACCAACTTTTTGTTTAAATTATTTGATTAAAAAAGAGAATTTATTTTATTTATTTAAAACATTATTATTATTATTATTATTATTATTTAGGTTAGGTTAGAATGGATGGAATGGTTATTCATCAACACTGTAACGATCCTCTGAATTGAGACGGGCGTTGGAACCAGATGGTTTTTTTGCTGCAGGTTTCTTGGATGCAGGGACCTTTGTTTTAGTTGGTTTAGGGTTAGAGGTGGTAACAGTGGTTGAGTTTAAAACTTTGCAAGAAAAACCATCATTCATCGTTGGTTTGGTGGTGGTGGTGGTGGTGGTGGTGTGATCTTCATCTCCAACAGTATAATTGTCATGTGGGATGTTCTTTTCCTCGTGACGAGGGTCATGGCCATGACAAACATCAGACTCCTTCTTCTCATCATCGATATCCATTCCATCTTCAACTTCTGCTGGTTTATCAAATGTTGACCAATTTTCATTGGTGGAATGTTTAGAGCTAGGTGTAGCCATTGTTGAATCCTTCTTGGTGTCGAATCCAAAATGATTACTATTATTATTATCACAGAAATCACCATTGGTTTTAGATGTTGTTGTTGTTGTTGGTTCTTGTTCGGGGATAGATGATGAACTTTTTTTTTTCATTGATCCATTTTTTGATTCATCAATTTTAGGTTGAATATTATTATTATTATTATTATTATTATTATTATTATTATTATTATTATTATTATCTATATTTATATTGTTGTTATTATTATTATTATTATTATTATTATTATTATTATTCTTTGGACAATGTACATTTACCAAATCAATTAAATTTGAAGGACTGATTTTTTGATTAAAAGATACTTCTTCGATACTCTCACCCAAGAAAACCAAAGCTTTTGTTACTTGAATCTTATCCTTGACAGTAACCATTTTAGGAATAACACATATATCTAGATATCCTTTCTCCAAAGGATCTGGACTTGGAAAAGTAGAATGACAATCCTTGTTGAATGATTCACAAGGGTTGAGATTATAGATAAACTCTACAGATGGTTGAGTCAATATAATTCTCCATGATAATTTACAACACCCATCTACAAGTGAATTAATATCATCCCTTAAAATAAAGAAAGTTAAATTTGAAATAGTTAATATTAATTCAAAAATAGGTATTTATAATTTGATTAATATAGTCTACATACGATGATATTAATTGATGTAGATTACTAAATTCTTGATAAACTTGTTGAAAGGGGATGATTGATTTTAAATCCATTGAACCAATATTTTCAAAATAGGTGTTTTCCATATTTTGTTTTCCTTGGGGTGTCATGCTTAGAGTAAGAGTAGAGAGTGGACCTAGAATGGTTTGTTTACAAATTTCATAACAACCTTGGAAGATTTGTTGGACTATAAAGGCAACGGTTCTATCATCGATTGTCATTGGAATGACATTCATAAAGGGTGCAATGGTTTGATCGATGAAAATTAGATAGTTTTCTGCAAACTTGTCCAACATTGGTCGCTTGGTTGACAATATGGAAGCTTGACTATTGTTTTGACGGAATTCAGTGGCCATTTGTTCATTGGCATTGGCACGACTAGACTGAATATTCGATTGCAAGTCATTGATGGCTCTAGACTTTTCTTCGATGGTTTCAAAGTATTGATCAGATAGATTCTTGTAAGAGTTTAGTGATTCACGAAGTTCTGCAATTTGACGGTTGAGATCGTCGATCCTGTTGATTTGTACAGTGTTGGTTTGTTTGAGTTGGATATTGGCATTTTTGAGTTGTTCGGTTAGTTGTGTCCATTCACGAATAGATGTCTTGTATTTTTCCATAGTGGCATTCATCTTTTTGATTTCTGTGTCCCTTGTAGAGATTTGATCCAAACTTTTTTGATTCATACCACTCCATTCCCTGATTTCATCATTCTTTACCTTTGAAAGATTATTGTACTTGTCGTTTGCTTGTCTGAGTTGAAACTCTTTGTCTTTGGTGAGACTATCGATAGTGTTGGACATTTGGAGGTTGTTTTTGGTGAGATTATCGATAGTGTTGGACATTTGGATGTTATCTTTGGTGAGACTATAGATAGTGTTGTCCTTATGGATGATTTCATTGTTCATGCTCTGTGCAAAATGTTGAAGATTATTTTGGTGTTTAATACAACCCTGACATTGTTGTACTTCAGTCATAAAAGTGGCAGGTGGTAAATGTTGATTCTGTTGACTTTGAATATTCATATTGTTGGAATACACGCCATTATTTTGTTTAAATTGGTTATTGACATAATTTGGATTATTAAATTGACCATTATTATTATTATTATTAATATGAATAATATTATTATTATTATCTAAAAGAAGATTACGATTATTATTAAGTGGGTAGACTTGTGGAGGAGGATTGGTAACTTGAAATGAGGTCATCATTAACAAATTTACATCGGTATGAGGATTGCCATGATGAACTTGATCTCCTTCTCTTTGATGGGTTTTGTAGAACTCTTTGTCGGCTTCCTCTTGCAATTTGCGATGTCGATCTCTCTGAAGCTCCTGTTCTTTCTCTGCTGCTCCCTTGTTTCTTTTGTTTGGTGATACAAGTTCTTTACCTTTTTCATACAGTTTATCGAACATCTTTAACTTTTTTTAGTTCGAACTTCTTATTATGTATATAATTATAACAACAATAACAACAATAATGTCTTGTTGAAAATGAAGGTGTTATCGATTTAGAAACGTTCTAAATTAAATTTGATTCTTTAAGATTTCTCTCTGTCTCGGGTATCAAAAATCCAAGATCAAAGAAGCCCCATTAATCACATGGCAGCTCAGAGGTGTACATAAACCCAAAAATTTAATTCACATCTTAAGTTAGAATTAAAATTTCAAGTTGTTTACTGTTGTTATTTATTTAAAATAGTATTAGTAGTAGTACAGACAGATACAGTGCACATACACACATACATTAACATAAGTACTTCTGTTAAACAAATAATTAGAGACTTGTATAATTATATATATAATAGTATTTTTTAAATTTTCTTTTTTGTAAACAAAAAAAAATGGTCATTCCCGCACACAAAAAAGCAGCAGTAGCTATCGACTTTGGTACTAGTTGTAGTGGTTATGCCTCTGCATTTATTACCAATAGTGATAATGTAGATATCTATGCACATGACTCTTGGGCTGGAGGAGGCTCTATCAACTCAAAGACAGTAACTGTAATCTCACTAGACCAACACGGAAGACTATCAAAGTTTGGTTATGATGCTCGTGAAGATCATGATAATGCTATCTTTTCAAACTTTAAGATGGTGCTCTTTGACTCGGTGTCGAGAGAAAAGACAATGGTCAAGGCTGATAATTGTGATCAAACTGCATCGGTCGAATGGCTCATCACAGAGACACTCCAATTCTTTAAACAAACAAGTTTAGAAAAACTAAACAGTGGTAGTATGAACAAGATCCATCAAAGAGATGTACTATGGGTCATCACAGTACCTGCCATTTGGGATGATGCAGCTAAACAAATCATGCGTCAGTGTGCTATCAGTGCTGGTCTATGTACTATTGCTGATGATAAAGGTATGAACATGCCAAACAATTATTTATTGTAGTAATCTTTTATTAATTTCATTATTTCTTTCTTTTTTCTATTTTTCTATTAGAATCATTATTACTTGCATATGAACCAGAGAGTGGAGCTATGGATTGTATATTTGAAAAAACAAACAATTATTATGTAGAGGTTGGTCAAACTCTTCTTGTTTTTGATCTTGGTGGAGGTACTGCTGATTTTACTGGTATGTAAACAAACAAAAATATAGAATTGTACACTTTGTAGATTAGTTTGACTAATTGATATATATTTCCTTTTTTCTTTTATTTTAATTTAGCATATAGACAATTAGCAGATGGAAAGATTGAAAGTATTGTTATACCATTTGGTGGTAACTTTGGATCAACTTATTGTAACCAAAACTTTAAGGCATTCTTGTTGGATTTGTTTGATGGTGCACTCTCACAAGACATGATTAATAGTTCTGATTTCATGGCATTGATGGATAGATTTGAAATTGTAAAGAAATCAATGTGCGAGTCACATTGTAATGATGGCAAACCAAGAAACATTGCATTTAATCCAAGAGTGTTTGATAAGAATATCGATTGGTTACTCCAACAAATTGAAAAGTATAATCGTGTACATGGAGCCAAGATTCAATACAACCGATCTGGTCATCTCTCTATCCCATTGGACACGTTTATGAAGTTCCTCTCCCCACTATTCAATAGTATTATCAATTGTGTAAAGTATCATATGAACACCAACCCTGCCATTCGCAACCCAAATTTTATCTTTATGATTGGTGGTTTTAGTGAAAACTATTTCCTTCAAGAATTGGTAAAGAGAGAGTTTGCTCCTACTGGTGCCAATGTAATCATTCCAACACGTCCATCATTGTGTGTTGCCAAGGGTGCATGTAGATTCGGTCTCCGTCCATCGGTTGTTGCCAAACGTATTGTCCAAAAATCATATGCTCTCGAGGTTGACGGTCTCATCACTGCCGACACTCCACACACTGGTAGAAAACCATTTATGATCGCTGGTAAACAATATGCCAAGAATGTGTGTGATGTGTTTGTCAAGGCTGGTGAATCTCTTGGTATGAATGAAAGTAGAACCAAGACTTTTGTACCGACTAGAGCCGATCAACAGGTTGTAGAATTAGCCATATTTACATCTCACCTTACCGAGATGAAATATACAACCGATCATGCAATATCTTTTGCTGGTGACCTAACTCTAGCCATTCCACCAGGTGACACATTGGAAGATAGAAAGGTCGAGGTGACATTAGAGTTTGGTGCCACTGAAGTATTTGTTACAGCTCGTCATGTAAAGACTGGTGTCAAAGTCAACTCTTCCATTAAATTTGCAATGAACAAGGAAGAGGTTGATAGAAGAAACAAGATCCGTCTTGAAAAGACTAAACCACCATCGGTACAGCTTTGCATTTGCATGGATATTACTGGATCGATGCAATCATGGATCGATGAATCCAAAAACAAGATGGTTCAACTAGCAAAAGGCCTTTCAAATGCCTACACTGATATCCAATTTGAAGCTTCGTTTGTTGGTTATCGTGACCACACTGATCCCATTCGATTTGAAAACATTGCATTTTCATCAAACATGGAGGTTCTCGAACAAGGTTTGGCAAAAATCGTTGCAAATGGAGGTGGGGATATTCCAGAAGACGTACACGGTGGATTCCAACAAGTATTATCTCAAGAATGGAAGAATGATCACACCAAAGTGTGTATACATGTTGCCGACGCCCCCTGTCACGGTACAAAGTATCACGATCTCGGGGCCGCCTCCGACACTCTTCCACATGGAGATACATCGGGTCATCCAGAAGAACAAGTCAAAACCATGAAGAATAGAGGAATCGATTATTATTTCATCAAAATTAGTCCCCACACTGATAGAATGATTGAGGAGTTTAGAAAGACCTATGATACTCCGCAGAAAAAGATTCAAGTTGCCAATCTAGGTTCAGATGTTACTCAATTAATTCCATCTTTGGTATCATTTGTTTCAAATTCAATTACTAAATGTTAAATAAAAAACAAATCATGTATATTTATTACAATCACTTTTAATTTATGGACTCTGTAGTTTAGTGGACAATGTAAGTTTACCAAATCATCCAATTTGAGGAATAACACATAGGTCAACAAATCCATTTTTCAATGGTTCCAGGTTGGACATGTCAATTTGATTGTCCTTGAATGATTCACAAAATGGGTTGAATTCCAATTTAGTAGTTTCAAGAAAAGAGGACTACATATTATTTATTGTTGTTGGTTATTATTTATGTACAAGATATACTTTGAATTTTGGTTCTAAGGTACTTTTGCCCAATCATCTAATATTATTGTTGGGCCCATTTAGAATATTCTAATTATTATTATCTTTATTAATATTATTATGATTTTTTTTTACTTTGATTATTATTTGGACAATGTAGATTTACTAAATCTATCAAATTTGAAGGACTGATTTTTTGATTTAATTCTTGTAAGAGTTTAGTGATGCACGAAGTTCTGCAATTTGACGGTTGAGATCGTCGATCCTTTTGGTTTGTACAGTGTTGGTTTGTTTGAGTTGGATATTGGCATTTTTGAGTTGTTCGGTTTGTTGTATCCATTCACCAATAGATGTCTTGTATTTTTCCATAGAGACATTCATCTTTTTGATTTCTGTATCCCTTGCAGAGATTTGGGCCAAATGTTTTTGATTCATACCACTCCATTCCCTGATTTCATCATACTTCACCTTTGAAAGATTATTATACTTGTCGTTTGCTTGTCTGAGTTGAAACTCTTTGTCTTTGTTGAGACTATCAATAGTGTTGGACATTTGGAGGTTGTCTTTGGTGAGAAAATCGATAGTGTTGGACATTTGGAGGTTTTCTTTGGTGAGACTATTGATAGTGTTGGACATTTTGATTTTGTCTTTGTTGAGACTATCAATAGTGTTGGACATTTTGATTTTGTCTTTGGTGAAACTATCGATAGTGTTGGACATTTGGAGGTTTTCTTTGGTGAGAAAATCGATAGTGTCGGATATTTGGATTAAGTATGTTTGTTCATTAGAGGAAAAAGGTTGTTTTACAAAGCGAATTGGAGATAGGATAGCATCAATGTTAGGATTAATTGACAAAAATTTATCAATCACTAAAAGATAAGACTAAAATGGTATGATCATATTAATGTTTGTATCATTTTATACATGTGGACATCTGACTGACTGGCTAACATACCCTTGGTATTTGAATAAATTTTTCGATACTTAATACAGATCTCTCTTTTTCGATCGATCGTAATTCGGTAGCAATGTATTTATAGTACTCTCGATCTTTAGTCGATAAGTGGCATGTACACACATACACAAAATAGTGATGCCAACACTCCATAAATCAGTTTCCTTTGTTGATTTCAAGTGTCGATCAGGTGAGTAGAATAACGTTGTACCAACATGAGTAGAAACACTACGATCAATATCGACCAATTTACTGCCTCCAAAATCTTTAGGAATAGCTGTTTGTTAGTAACCAACCAACATTGCGATCACACCAACTATAGATTTTGATTTTCAATAACATACCCGATATCTTTAAAGTAAGATCTTTAGATACTAAAATATTACCAGGTTTAATATCTCGATGAACTATGTTATGATCGTGCAGATATTTAACACCGAATAATATCTGTTCGATGGCACGCTCCAATTTTGATTCATCTCTAAACATCAATTCGTTATTGTCCATGTACGAGGAGAGTGATTTGTTCTCCATGTACTCCATTACTATATATTCTTTGTTTATATTGGCACTATTACTACTACCATAATCCAAGTACCTTATGATGTTTGGATGATTCAATTTTTGTATGAGGTTAAACTCTTCTTTTGGTATTTTAAATTTGTTGATATTGTCTAGACAAGTCTTGTGTCCTTCAAAGACCACCCTATGTTTGATACGTTTCACTGCTACTATCTCCTCGTGGTTCTTCTTGTTTCTTCCCTGAAGCACAATACCTTGAGCTCCTGCTCCTAAACAAACATCTTTTGTAAATTCATATCTATCTGTTGCTGTTTCGTATTTGAGTTCTCTATCCATTGCTAATGTAAAAATAAACAAATAAACAATTGTATGAGACAATTAAAATAAATGAAGGGGTTTTAATCAAACCATTTTGAATCAAAATTAATTTTGCCCCTATGAATGTGACACAGGGTTTTTAACGCTGCATCATATCATTCGATTACCCGAATCTAAATATTTTATTCAACAACTACAACAAAGATGACATCAGCAACTTTAGTATCAATAAATGATACAATATCAGAATTCCTTTGGGATAATCACAACTGTATTGACATGAATGGTTTTAAGATCAAATCTGGTATCAATCTTTGGGTTTGTCAATTCGGCAACTCTGACTATGATTTTGCTGGCTTCCCTTTTCAATTTACCAACTATCCAAAGACACCACAACAAATGGACGAGTTTGTGAAAAAGGTAAATACCTTGGATCCAGGTATGCAAGTAGCCATCATCCTATACGATGGATTTCTATCAGGAATGCAAGACACCCTCCTACCAGCCTTTCAATCTCTTGGTTCTCAATCGTTTCAAGAAGCTCAACTCTGTCAAAATTATTGTATGATTGGTCGAAAGGGTGGTAGTGCCATTGAATCCTATGGGGATGACCCTTTTGGCCTCAGAAAGATAAGAGTCAACGCTAAATTTGAGTGGCCCGATTGCTGGATCTCGAATTGAAAATCCAACAAACTAGAATTTGAATGGAGAGGATAAATTAAAAAAAAAGGGTATTATACCTTTATCAAGGTTATTTATTTACATTTACAAAAAAAAAAAGAATCATGATTATATAATTCTTTTGTTTTTGTATTTTTTTTTTTTCTCTTTCTTTTGTTGTGCGATTAGTAATTTTTGGTAAAGTGTTGTAATAATAATAATAATATAGTATTGGTCGATATGATAAACTATAATTTTGTTGTTGTTGGATAATAATAAATATAATTAATTCGTAGTTTGTGATTTCTCTATCTCTCTCTTTTGTGTTAAGCCATCATATTGACATTTGTGAATGGAGTTGGAATTGGAATAGGTGAAGGAGCATTGGCAAGTGGTGATGATGCTCCATTGCTTTGCATTAAAGGTGAAGATGTGGTGCTAGTAGAAGAGGTTGGACTGTTACAAGTAGGTGAGTTACTACAAGAGGATGAAGCAGCGGCGGCAGCGGCAGCAGCAGCAGCGGCAGCAGTCGATGGTTGTGGACACTTTTCCTTGAATTGGGTAAAGTATCCTAATTTTCTTCTGGTAATATTACCAGTGGTTGGACAATAGATATTACATTCAGTGATTGGTCTAGAGTATAGATGAATTGAAATAGAGACTGGTTCGATACTCTCGATAACGTGTAGGGCAATATCATCGGTGATATAACCAACTGTACCTTCATCAATCGTTGATACCAAACTAGATTCCAATGGTCCTGTTCCATATGAAGTTTTGTTATTTTGATAAACATATTGTGTTTCTTGTAACATTCCACTCGCACATGCCATCCAACATCTTGATCCCTAAAAAAATAGAAAAATATATAAGTATTGATTATATTTCATTTCATTTTTGTTTTGTTTTGTTTTTTGTTTTGTTTAGACATACTTCATGATTATGAATTGGACTAGCTTGACCTTTACTCCAACAAATGACCATTAATTCATATTCATCAGATTTGGCAACCAAGTTTCTGGAATATCTGTATGGACAAAAGAATGCATATTCTCTCCAATCATTGTGATTGGAAATATAGTCTAATAGTAGGTTTTGGATGATTTCTCCATTGCCATAGGCTCCATCTGATTGAAGGTTTTCAAATTCCGTATGAATTGCCTTTACCAATACTTCCATTGGTTTTGGTGGTTCTTCAATTGCTTCCATTCTTTCTAATTTGTATTATTTGTATTATTTATATATATCTATCTATGTGTGTAATTGACTAAATAATAATATTAATATAAATTGCTTTAAATATTTAAAAGGGAAAGAAAGGAATGGAAAAATGGGGAAAAAGAAAAAAGAAAAAAAAGGTGTGTTGTTTGTAGTAAACAAATCCTACAGTTTTAAGTTACAAAAAAACGACAATAATAATAATAATAACAATAATAAATAAATATGAATATTCATTATTACTGATTATAATAAAAAAAAACAATTATTTGCAAAAAAAATAATCGACAATTATTATTATTATTATTATTATTATTATTATTATTATTATTATTATTATTATTATTATTATTATTATTATTATTATTATTATTATTATTAATTATTTACTCTTGATGGTGAAGGGAATATTATCTATTTTTTTTTTTCTTTGGATCTCCAAAATAGTAAAGATGATGCATACCAGTGTAGAAGTAGTTTTTAATGTGTGGAGTGGAGAAGAGGAAAAATAGTGATGTGCACTTTTTGACTAAACGCAGAGGAGGACAACAACAACAATATTGTTATAAATTTAATTGGTTGGATTGGTTGGTGTTATTTATATCGCTTTGAAATATATAACAATGAACTACAATGTAAATTTAGATTTATCTAATTTAAATTAGATATAAATATATGTCACCTGTGTTGGAGATGGAAAAGCGAGGTGTGTGTTGGTGGTAATAGTAGTAGTTTATATATTATATATAAAAGGTTCCTCTCTCTTTTTGTTGTTGGACACCGACCTTAATCTTTTTTCTTTTTTCTAAAACAGGTCCTTGTTTTTATGTGTTGTCTCTCTCTCTCTCTCTCCTCTCTGTCTTTGTGTTATGTTCCAAAAAAAGGATAAAGATAATTTGTGTTGCACATTTCATATGAAATTGAAAGAGTGAAATTGAACGACGAGGAGGAGTGAAACACCTGAAACCAGACACTCTACCCACCACACTGGTGAATTGAGGGGGTTTATCGAACGGTGTGTATGTGTGGGGGTTGGTAGTGTGCCTGTTTAATTGTTATAATAAAAACACACTTGTTTTTTTGATATACTCTTTATCGATATTATTCTCTTGTTTTATATGAGTGTGTGTTGTTTGTTGTTGTAGTTGTTGCCTTATCAAAAAGGAGTGGTGAAGAAAGGGATCTCTGACAATCGCCGTTACTTGAATTTAAAACAAATAATTACTTTATGTAATAAACGAATCTCAAGAAGAAAGATTTGTTATGTTTGTAATGTTTTACTGTTTCTAGTAGAATCGAGTCTAAAATCTTCTTCTTTCTGTCTGTTTACTACTACTACTTTGTAAATAATAATAATATAATATTTGTGTGTATATGTATTATTTGTATAAGAGGGGATAGGGTATTGAGTTGTGATTGTGGTGTTGGTTTGATGGTGGTGATGTGTGGGGGATTTACTATAGAGTCGCTACCTGGGTATTTAAAACTCGGATTATAATCGTGGGAGGAGGTGGTAAAAGTGGATAATATCTCTTTGGGGTGAATATCTAGTAGGGGATAATTAAGAGTCGACTTCTTTTTAAAATGAAAAGTTGTTGGCTCTCTCTTGAAGATTGTTGTGTGGAGACTACTTTTTTTTTGTTGCAGCGGGTGATGTCAGAACAACTGAAATTGAAAGGTCTTGGGAAAATTGACATGCCTTGAACGAAATTGTTTTTTTTTAATTTTTGTTTAAACAATGTCTTGGCCCTTAGAGTGGTGGTTGAACTTAAGGCTCCTTTAAAATAAAAAAATAAAAAGGACAAATATAGTAACTATAACTACTTATAAAACTTACCAATGAATTTGGAAATAGGGGAAGAAACAATAAAACAAATTTCTTGGTTTGGTTGTGTACAATGAAATAAATAAATGAATTTGGTTTTTGAAATTGAATTGAATTGAATTGTCAAGTGTTAACAAATTATATAAGTAAATTTAAAAATAATCATCCTCCTGATTCCCAACTTTCCCACCCACACTCAACTTTCTCTCTATCACCACTTGATCACACATCGTAGCACAGCACACAAGAAACTAAACCACATACATACATGTGGTATAGTCAATTTTCGATCAACTGGTCGATCCTCCTACTTAACTTGAATCCACCCATGGGTGGATGTGTGTTTGGAGTATTTGTTATTTTTAAAAATGGTTGTTTTATTATTATTTAAAAAGGATATATGGACTATTTAGGTTTCGTTTTTTTAGTTCTTTTGCTTTTTGAAACCACCACGACCTCTACCACCTCTACCACCACGACCACCACGGCCTCCACGACCTCTACCACCTCTGTTTCCACCATTTTGACGAGCTCTTTGCTTGAGTTCAAAGATGCTCTTCCATTCATTTTCTTCTTCCTCGCCAGTGAGGATGGAAAGGACTGGGATCTTGCCAGCGAGTTCCTTTTTCTCGGCAATGAAAGATTCCATGGCACGCTTTGCCATTTCTTCGGTTTCGTAACGAGCAAGTGCATTGTCGGCACCAGCAGTATAGTTGACATGAATCAATTTACCATATTGAGCAAAAGCTTGCTTGATATCGCCCATATGCAAACCAGCACCAACTTCCTTGATTTGGATAATAGTGTTTGGTACCATCTTTTCTTCTTCCTTGATCTCTTCCTCCTTTTCACCATCATCATCACCATCTCTCTTTTTTCTCTTTTCTCCTCCTTGTTCAGTCTTTAATTTTAATTTGGCTAATTTCTCTTGTTTTTTTTCTTCACTAAATTGTTTACTATAAAAAATAGATAGATAAAAAGAATGATTAGAGTTTTTTTGATTTCTTTTTCTATATTCTTCTATTTTCTTCTATTTCTTACAAAGTTTGATAAAGAAGAGTGATTTCACCATTCTTTGGTGCTTCAGTAATAATCTTTTGAACGATTTCTTCAGATTCAAAGTCGGCGAGTAAAGAACCCTTGAATTGGTTGTTGATTCTACGTCTGAGACGAACAGAGGTAGAGGCACCGTATGGAGCAAAGAACTCCTTGACGGTTTCAATGGTGGTTTCTGCGGGCCATCCCTTTGAGTAGAGTACCTTTTTGGCGTGCTCTTCATCATCTGGGAGTGGATCGGTTCTTCTGACTTGCTTTTCGTCTGGGCTGACTTGGAGACGACTAGAGTTCTTTAAACTGTCGGTAACCAATTGTAAATCAGATGTCATTTCTTTCATACGTTTAAAATCGGCAATTGTAATAATATTAACATCTAAAAGGTTTGGTGAATCATATGATATTAGTTTAAATCTCTGTATAGTTGTATATCTTTGTTTCTCTTCAATTGTCTTCCTTACATCCTTCTGGGTTTTTAGCAGCTTCTCCTTTGAGGAACTTGTCTCTGGGGAAGTTTGAATCACTAAAGTAGTATTCTACTTGTTTCATAATTTTGTGTGAGAGTGAAGCATCGTCTTTGGCTGGGGCGGCAACAGCAGCATCAGCAACAACGACGGCTGGAGTATCAACAACAGTTTCTGGAACTGGGGTGGCAGTGTCTGTCATCTTTTCTATGTATATATATATAAATTAGGTTATAATAGAATTTACTCGTATTATTACTACTACTTCTATCTTTAAAATTAAGTTTGAAACAACTAAAGCTACGAACCGAAAGCAACGGAACTCTCGTTTTTCAAAAAAAAAAAAAATTAAAAAAAATTGTGAAGTGCGTAAAAGATAGGAAGGAGGGATTCCACACAATAATAATCATTCATTTTAATATATCAAAAGTTGTGGTGTGGAAAAGATAAAGAATGGGATTAATCAATCAACTTGTGACAAACATCACTTGCTCAAATACTAGGAGGAATAAGAGAGAATAGGAAATGATAAATCAAGATATTTACTCTGCGCACTCAAACAACAACGACGTTGACATTGTTTTGTTCAATTTCTTCAAAAGAGCGGTTTGTTGTTTTCTTCAAGATGTTTGTTGGGAGGCAACTGATGCAAAGATTGCTGGTTCGGAATGATGGTGCCAGTTTGTTCTTCTTGGTAAGCTTTGACTCACAAAAATTACTCAGAGGCCGAAGCCAAGAGTGTTTTGGATATTAGTTTGCAAATAGCAAGAAGAAAGCATCACTTGTCGGTCATTTACTTTCAATCTGTCTCTGCATAAAAATTATTTTTTCTTCAATACTCCATTTGTTTGTTATAGAGAAATTGGTCTTGGCTCAACTTCATGGGAGAAAACAAATTGTGTCACATGATGATCAACCATTCCATCGATTCTTGGTTGGGGTTAAAAGGAAGAGAGAGAAAGAAATGATAAAAACAGAGAGAGACCCAACCCTACATATCTTGCCATCCAAAAAATATATTGGTTTAGATATAAATGAAAGACATATTCAAATTCAATGGTACTACAAGATTTTCAATGATCGATGTTACTCTAATAGTTGTCATAAATCTTTTATTGGTGCAATATTAAAATCGTCATTATTGTTTAAATAATTAATTAATATTTTAACTGTTCCGATTTAGGCACCCGATTCCACCATAAAACAAAAATAAATTATTTAAATTTTCAAATTTATTATTTATCTCTATATTGGAACATTATTATGATCAATATCAACTATTTGGTGTGAATCGGTCATTTATTCTGGTTGTTGATTATTTTAGTTATTTTGATTGTTATTGTTGATAGATGATGTTGTTGAACCTATCTCCAAAACTAAAAATCTGAAACTTGATTATTGGCACCAAACATTGATAAAAAGTTACGTCTGTACTTGGGGAATGCTGTCACTGTGCCAACCCTAAAATACATTCCTTTTACACGCACCTAGGGCTAGTCCGCCAGCTGCCAATCCAGTATGACCAAATGGATGTAAGACATTGACATCTTGTCCTCTTATTGGTCTCAAACCCCCAACAAAGCATTTAAATATTGCCACCAACATTTATGTTATTGCTAAACAAATTAAATCGAACAATGATAAGTATGGATTAATAATATACATATGATCTTTTTTGTCTCATACCAATAGTTTGAACTAACCAAGTTGAGCATGATGAAAATCATGCCAATTACGTTTATGAGCCAAAGTTGTTAGCAAGATGATGACTATGGCAACATGTATCACATGATATAACTGAGTTGCAAAGTAAAAGTATGAAACAGCTCCCTAATTAAAACTGTCACTCTGAGATATAGTACATATATGTGTTGCCGACAACATGAAGTGATCATATGATATTGTTATAGATAGACATTGTTCATCGGGAAGTTGTTTTTATGATTGAACAATTGTTGGTAATCCTTCATGTCCACGGCCTAGGTTTTCTTTAAAGTGATTGTAAATACTCCATTGACATTGATGGATATTTCATTGCTGTTAAAATATCATCTTCAAGGTCAGTCGGTCATGTTGGCGACTGACCGATCCTTGGCAACAAATTTTTGGGCACCTTGTGTGTCAGCTGCTCAGTTGTGCGTTACACTTTTAACGTTGCGCCTCACAGTTATTGAAACAAATAATAATAATATATATATTATATATATATATATATGTGTATCTCTATCTCTATCAATAGCTATATAGCACAGCAAGAATAAATCATTTAAGAGCACAAGTGTAGGAAGAAAGAATAGTTTAGTAAGTCAAGAGTCAGAGCCACATGATATATCTATCATCTATTATTCGCCTAGGTATCTAAAGAGAACATTTTATCTTATTGTATAAACACATTTATGCGATGTCTACAGAACGCACCAATCCACACAAGAATTTTATACAATCACCCGATGGTTTGAAATGTGTCACATGATCGACACTTGTTTTTTTCTCCCATGAAGTTGAGACAAGACAATTTCTCTATAACAAACAAATGGAGTATGGAGGAATTATTTTTACGCAGAGACAGATTGAAAGTAAATGACCGACAAGTGATGCTTTCTTCTTGCTATTTGCAAACTAATATCCAAAACACTCTTGGCTTCGGCCTTTGAGTAATTTTTGTCCATATTATTATAATTTAATAATAATATATTCACTAAATTAATTTAAAAAGACATAACAAAAACACTTTGATTAACATAGTACAACTACTACTTGTATTCTGTACAGAAAGTTCATTACAGACAGGTAATATTTAGATTTAGGTATAATTGTAGACAGGAAATTAAATTATATAACAATCACATGATCATATGACAGCTGGAAGAAAAGAGGAAGCTCAATTCATCATATGATGTGTAAAATGGAGAGAGTATAGTTAGTGGTTAGGGTGAAATAGAAACAATTCAAATTAATCTACCACCATTGTATCACACAATGATTGTCATGAACGCAATTTATGAGTGCGTGGTGTGTATGGCTGTTATACATCTTGTTCATCATCATTTACAAAAATGCAATTGATAGCAACGACCATAATAATAATAATTATATTTATTTACAGTAATCTCTATCTACAACATCTACTTGAATCATCATCCTTTTTCTTTTTACATTCAACTTCATCTATAATTACTTGTATCAATTAAATTTAATTTAAATTTAAATTAAATCAAATCATTATATTGTCCAATTCATCAAACATTTTTTTTTAACTTACAAAAAGAGAGAAGATGTCATCTTCACAAAAGATATCACAAGCAGCAGCACAAGGAATGGAAAAAGGGTTATTATTTATCGATAATAATCATGGCCTCATGTCTGGTTTAAATAATCCGTTGGGCGACTTTTTATACCAACAACTAAGAACCAGTCCTCTTGGCAACTACACCAACTTTCTATCTGTTGCCATTATTACATTGATGTTTTTGTTGACTGTATCAATGTCTTATTTAATATTTACAAGTCCATCAATAGTTGGACATGGAGAAAGAGAAAGAGAAATAAGTTCATCATCAAATAAGAATATTAATAAAAAGAAACAACAACAACAACAGAAATCACCAAAACAAACTTCTGTACAAAACAAGAAACAACCTGCAACCAAAGCATCACCAAACAAATTACCATCACAAGAAACACCAACAAAGTTGGCACCAATCGAATCAGTTGCTAGTTTATTCCCATCCCCTAGTAAAGGTGCATCTTCATCGTCGTCTACAACTACACCAACCAAAAAAGCACCTGGTAGAAAAAAGGCATCAGAAAAGACACCTAAAAAGGAGATGTCTTCAATGATGCGTGATCTTCCAGCACCAAATTCTTCTAGAAAGATTGTTCCACCTGATAGATACAAAGATGTATTTCAAAATGGAACAGGTAAAAATTAATTAAACGAATTAATTAAATAACTAAAACAAAGACAATAGTAACTCTAAACTCTAAATAAAAAGTAAATAAAAAAAGAAAAGATAATTACGCAGTTATACGTCATCTGACTCGTTGTCGTTTACATGATGTGATAGTGTGTTTGGTTGGTCTCACGTGAGATCGGTGTTTCATGAAGAAGAGGGTTGGAGACCAAACTCGTTAAAAATTTGTCGACCATCAAACTGGAGACGACTTTTCAAGATATTTTCGAGGTTCGAACAACCAAACAACGAGGGGGGTGCCAATAACGACGTCATAGCAAGTGACAAAGTGTGATTTTGGTTGTGTGTTTGTTGTCCACCTTTATAAAATATTTTATCAACGTTTAACATCATCTCCTCCTTCTCCTATCCTACTACTCTTTTACTTTTCCGTCTTTGGCTCCATCATTACCAAGATTAGTCAATCGCTTCAACACCAAAGGTACGTATCTATCTATCTGAAAAGAAAAACAAAAATCAACCTAATTATCTCATCTCAACGAGAAACAGACACACAGGGAAAAAGGATTCTTTTAACCAAGCAAGCTTCTGTTGTTGTTGGTGTGTTGATTCATTCATTTGTTAAGAATTCTTTGTTGTACAAGAATACTAAAACCTTTTTTCAATATCATATTTACTACTACTACTACTATAGTTTACTATTACTATTACTATTACACAACTATATAGATTTGATATATAGATATTAGATTAGAGATAGATTAGAGATAGAAAGATGGCTTGGAATTTTGATTGGGATAATATATTTTCATACCAAACGGTAAAGATTGTAAAGATTAGAGACAAGAGATTGGGTATTCTTCATTTACTCTTTATCACTGGTATCGTCATTTACATTGTATTGGGTACAATCTTTTTCCAAAAGAGATATCTTGCAACTGAAGCTCCAATCGGATCAATTAGATCTTCATTATTGGCTGTATGTAAAAGAAAGATAAATCAACATGCAACAAAAGATATTATTTCTTCTTTTTATTTACTTTTTTTACTTTAGCCAACATATAGAGATCCAACACCACCATATTGTACATCATCAGGTAATACAACATATAATGGATTTCCAACGATGCCATGTCAGTATTGGGATGAAACATTGACATTGTATCCATCGGTAGCAGACGAGTCAATGTTTATTTCAACACGTGTCACATCAGAGAACCAGATTGCCAACTGTTCACTGACTCTTCCCAACTGTACATATAATATTACCAATCCCGACACTTTCTATATTGCCGATGTCGTCAATTTCACCATTCTATTTGATCATACACTTTCGGCTCCGGCCCTTGGTATTCAATACAATGCTCGTCAGCTACCAGGTATCCTTTTAAATCACGATGGTGATGCTTGGACTCCTCCACCTCCATCGGTCGTCGGTGTTGAAGGTCAATACGATATCTTGACTCTTGGTGTAGTACTTGAAGCTGCTGGTATTAGTTCATTAGATGATCCAGGTAGGTAGAAATTATATATATATATATCATTTATAAAAGAAATTCTTGAATCAACTCACTCACTCACCTGTCATCATCCGCCATACCCATTACTAATAAACCCAACGGTCTCGTTCAACCTACAGGCGAAAATAATGCATCTAGAAGTATTAGAGATGATGGTATAGTTGTCTTGTGTTTTATTACCTATTCCAACATGTATACGTATAGCACATCCAAGTTTAGATACACCTATCACTTTACAGTCATCTCTGACACCAAGTACAAGGCCATCGAACCAATCTATACCACCGATGTCAACCATCGTGTAGTATTTAATCGTCACGGAGTTAAGATCATCTTTATCCAAACTGGTACACTCGGTGTATTTGATTTCCAAACGATGCTTCTTACATTTGTCTCTGGTATTGGTTTGGTGACCGTATCCACTTTGATTGTCGATGTTTTGGCTGTCAAACTCTTACCACAAAAAGAGAAATACCAACAATTGAAATATCAAGAAGCTGCTGTTGGTGTACCATTATTACATGATGGTAATCATATAACAAATACTACTGATGAAGAAGATGTTTAAAAAATAGAAATGAAATAGAAATAGAAATATATATATATTAATATTAAAAACTAGAAAACATTATAAATAATAATGGTAAATAATAATAATAATTAAAACAAAAAATATGAATAACAATAATACTATACTATACTTGCTTGCTTATCCCTCCTCCTCCTCCTCTTTTCCAAATATAAAATAATAAAAAAACTCCCCTACCTACGGCTTCATTTCTTTTTTTTCTTAATAGACAAATAATCATCATCGTCATCAATAGACTTTATATGTTCAGTGTTAAAACATTATAAATAAAATCAATGACTAAAAATTCCCTCCAAAATTGGTCTGCTTGCGTTCACACAAAAAAAAGATATATAAAGATATACACACATCGATCTAGATTAAATATATATATATATATAGATAACAAAATAACATATCACATATCATGGATATGAGTACAAGTATGACAAATATTAGTAACTTGAGTGTTATTAGTAGTAATAGTATAATGAATACAAGTAGTTTATCATCATCTGAAATTGGTTCAATCATCCCACCTACTGCTAGTAGTATGACTACTTGTACAAAAGTTGGTTCATCAATGGTTGTTCAATTAAAGAGAATGATTAATCAATCTTTAAATCATCATTCCTATACAACTGCTATATTTTATGCTGACAAGTTATTAAGTATTTCACAATATCCTTCTGAAGGTATAGATTAAACCAAAAAAACAAACAAATCTATTCTTATTACTAATGTCTTTTATACTTTTAGAATACTCTGAAAATCTTTATATACTTTGTGATTGTTTATATAGAGATGGACAATTTCAAAGATCATCTTGGTTATTACAAAGTTTAATTTCAAATCAAAATCATGATGATACAAATAGTACTGGTACCAGTACCAATCCTTCTACAACCAATACATTATCTTCTTCTTCTTCTTCTTCTTCTTGTTCAACACCAATTAAATTAAAATATATTTATTTGGCTGCCAAATGTAAAATAGATATAAATGAATGGGATCAATGTATGCAAATTCTAACTCTAGATGATGAAACTATGAATATTCATTATAATTTACAAGAACAAGAATTTGATGATTTTGATCAATCAACTACAAAAGTAATAAGAAAAAAAAAAAAAAAAAGAAAATCATTTATTTACTTATTTATTTATTTATTTATTTAGATATCATCATTAATTTGTATGTTGAGAGGAAAAGTTTTTGATGCATTGGATAATTTAAAGAAATCAAAATATTGGTACATTAGATCATTGAAAATAGATTATAGAAATTATGAATCATTTGAACAACTTGTAAAGAATCATGTTTTAAGTTATTCAGAAGAATTGGAATTGATATCAATATTAGACTTTTCAAAACAAGATAAATGGTTACATGATCTTTATATAATATCTTTAAAGAAATATAATATTCCATCAACATTATTAAATCAACTAAAAGACGATAATAATAATAATAACGCTGAAGATTTAATACCAATTATTGATTGTCAAAATGAACAACTTGATCAATTAATAATTAGAGGTAATGATGTTCAAACATTGTTGGCAGAATATCATTTTTATCATTATCAATATAAACAAGCTTATGAAATTACTAAAAAGTATGAAAACAAATAGAAATAGAAATAGAAAAAACAAACCTACTAATATTTTCTTTTCTTTTCATTTTAGAATATTAAAAAAAGATAAACATTATAATAATCAAATATGTTTAATGATACATTTATCAAGTATGTTTGAAATGCAATTAAAGAATGAATTATTTTATACATGTCATCAATTGATAGAGAATCAATCGCAATCTGCAATTGCATGGTATGGTATTGCCTGCTATTATCATTTAATTGGCAATTCCGAATCGACTCAGAGAGCATTTACCAAATCAACTACACTCGATAGTAAATTGGGAGCCAGTTGGTTAGGGTTTGGTCACTTTTTTGCAAGTAAAGGTGAACATGATCAAGCCATGGCTGCCTATAGAACAGCTTCTAGATTGTTGACAGGTTTACATTTACCACTACTATGTATTGGAATGGAATTGGTACGAGTTCACAATTTAAATTTGGCTGAACAATATCTTTTACAATCAAGAGATATTTGTCCATACGATCCAATAGTCTATAATGAACTTGGTGTCATTGCCTATAAAAATAATCAATTCTCAAATGCAATTGAATTATTTCATAATGCTTTAGAAATTGGTTCCAAAGATTCAAAAAAGAAAAACAAAGATAAATCCTCTATATATAATGAAATGATGGAAGCAACATTATTTAATCTTGGCCATTGTTATAGAAAAACTAGACAATTTACAAAAGCAAAACATTATTATGAAATAGCTTCAACTCTTTCACCAAACAATGCATCCATCTTTTCTGCATTGGGTTTTACTCATCATCTCCAAGGTGATTTTGATACTGCAATCGATTATTATCATCAATCTCTAAGTATCTATGATGATACTTTTACAAATACTTTATTAGATAAAGCTCTAAGTTTATCAATTTTAAAATTTGATTAAATAAATAAATAATAATATATTTTATTTGTATTGAATATTTCTTTCTATTTTCTATTTACTTTTTATTTAAATTATTTAATTCTTTTGTTTGATAAATAAATTCTTTTGAAGTTAATAATTCAGTGGTACCATAGATAATTTTTTTGTTTTGTTTTTTAGCCCAATCTTGGAGATTTTGATATTCTACATAGTTGCCACCACCGACAACAAATACGATGGCCTCTTTGAATGGAGTGTTGCGACGTGGAACATTGGTTTTGTTTTGAATCTTTGGATCAAGATAGACATAGTCAGTGTCGAGTGTGTTTTTGAGGTCCATGATCGATTCAACGACACGAGTGACAAACAAATCCTTGGATTTGGGTAGCAACGATCTCATACCCTGTGAAAAATAGTTTGTAAACGATTCGACAGTCGAACTGCCAGAAAACATTTGCATAAACGAGGCTGCGCTCTTGATAGAGGCAGATGATTGTTGGGCAGGTTGGTTTTGAACAATCGATACCATAGTGTCGTTGAAAGCTTTGTTCTTTTTGAAAAACTCCAATGGAGACAGATCGGCACCCATCTTGGTCAATGCCTCCTCGAATTGCTCCATTTCACCGGTTGGCACCGTCTTTGTGAGCAAAAAGTAGATAATCAAGAGACGCAACTTATCGGCAAGTGTTCCACGTCCACCTTGTTCTCCTACTACTGGTGATGTCAAGAGTGAAATGAGTTCCTTCTTGTCGACAAGTGATCTGGTAATGATTGCTTCCTCGATGGCAAAAAAGTAATCAATCTGTCGATCACGAATATTTTTCATCAAATCGGTTGCCAAGTTTGTATGTAAATCTACCAATCTTTTCTTTTCCTTTAATTGTGTTACCATATCTCCAATACCTCCAGTAGCAGCAGGTTTAGGACTAGTACTGCTAGATTCACCTTCAACATCAACATTTGTCATTTGATCTAATTGTTTCATTTGTTCAGTGTATTCTGTAATTTGGTTTTTTACTTCTCCTGCTACACTTGGAAATGGAGCACCACTATTGTTTTGCCAAAATAGATCGATAGCAGAGTCCATATCATAGACCAACTTTTTCTTTTGTGCAGCTGCAGGAGTTGCAGCAGCGGCAGCACTAGAGTCATTGTCAACCTTTACACGGTTAAGGGTCATGTCTAGAATATCATGTGCCAATGCTTGATAGGTCCATGGATGATGCAACATGACACTAAGATCTATATTACGGTCTAGTAAAATGAGTACTGGACGTTGATAACTTGGCATACTACCAGCTTCACCAGAAGAAAATAAATTACCAGACGATGTATTTGATAAATGTTGACTAATTCTCTTTTCCAATTCATTTGCTATTAATTCTGCTGCTGTATTTTTTGGGCATCTAATAATTGGTATCACAGACTAAATAAATAGAAATAATGTAATTAGAAATCAATCAAGTATTTCTCTTTTGTCTATTTTATCACTTACCATTGTTACAAGTACAGAAAATAAAGAATCTACAATAGTATCAACATTTTCCTTTGCTTTAATATCTTGAATATTTGGATCATTAAATGATAAATAAGAATTCATTGGATTATTTAAAACAAATAAATCTTTTTCCAATGATATAAAGTTTAAGAATTGATCATAGACCTAAAAGAATAAAGAAAGGTTAATAATCAGATTTAATTAGTCATTTTTTGTCTTTTTGTGTCTTTTCTTACCTTTGAAATAAAAGAAACAGCATCATATTGAATTGTTAGATTTGCAAGTTCTTCAAGAACTGGAGTTGAAACTTTGGTAGCAAAATTGATATAGAAACTATCGTATAACTTATTTTTACAATCCTCTGCAATTCTTTTAATATTATCCATTGTTGGTAATACAAAATAAATAGCTGGAACATCAACAATTGGTTGTCTATCAGTATGTAATTGTCTAAATAAAAATGAAAAAGGGTATTAGAATACATTTGATATGTATAGTATACTCTGTTATGTTATAGACGTCGTCTTACAAATGTAAAGTTACACCTTGACTTCTAAGTGCACCTTTTGTTAGGATAGGAGCAATAATGGTTGAACAATAGTTATCAAAAATAAGTACTTTCCATACTTCTTGCCAATTAGTCTTGGTGTCATGACTAGATTTGATGTTGAGCATACGATTTACATTCTCTATTTGTTTATCTTTGATTGAGAATGCTGGTAATAAGCTCAATGATGATGTATTGGCAAGATTGGTTGATGTTGATGACGATGATGATGATGGGTTTGCTGATAATGGTCCACTTGATTTCATCATCTTTTTTAGTACTCCTCTATTCTAACTCTTACGACGTTATAAAAGTAAAAGTAATAAATATTGTTTGAATGAAAATGTAATGATAGATAGATAGATAGCAAGTGACTTCACCAAAATGCAAATGACTCTTTACTTTCAAATTTTTTCGCGCTGAGTCACCTTCTGGATGATGATGACCCTATTTCATTTCTTTTAATTCATCATCCATCTTGTACATGATTCATCAATTCTTTCTTTTAGATTTCCATTCATTACTTTATATTGTACCCTAACCGTAACCTCAAGACAAGTCATATGATAGGATCCTATCATTTTTTAAGTTTTTTTTGGTAAAATCCATCCCCATCAATCCTTGTGATTCAAGGGTCAAGTAGTTCAATCTATTCCTCCTCCTTTTTTGGTATTTATTGATGATTGATTGATTGATGAAAAATATAAAGAAAAATTGATTGATTCTCTTTGTTTGATAGAGTGCGAGAGAGTGATGAGGTGTGACTTTAATTAAAATTAATTAATTTTAATTTTTTTCATCCTCGAGCTCCTCCTCTGCAACAATCATTGAAATTGGGTGAACCATTCAATTAGTTTATACTAATACCTACCTTACCTCAACTCTTAAGAATTACTTGGCTAAAGGTATATTAAATGATGATAATGATGATTGACTATTAATAGTGTATTAATTAATCTCTTTTACTCTATCATACTACTACATTAATAATAATAATAACTATAGGTTAATTGCTAGCATATATATACAATTTAATAAAGAGAATGGGTTTATTTGATGATGTCCCCGAAGAAGTAATTTGGGCAATTTTGGTTGGTGTAATTGTTTATTTGGTAAAGGTTATTTGGTTCCCACCTCCACCACCTATCATTGCAAAGAAGAAAATGCCAACATATGAAAAGAGAGACTACACACTCGAAGAGTTGACCAAGTACAATGGTACAAACGGCACACCAATCTTTGTCTCTATCAAGGGCAAGATATACGATGTCTCATATAAGAGCTCCATGTATGGCCCAGGTGGAGACTACAGCTTGTTTGCAGGACACGATGCCACCACTTGTCTTGCCAAATCCTCATTTGAAACCAAGGATCTCAATAGACCAATCACAGACACTTCTTCATTCTCTTCCGATGAAATGGAATCACTTAATGGTTGGGTATCATTCTTTGATGATAGATATGATGTTGTTGGTCATATTACTGCTGTTAAATCAACTAAATCAAATGAAAATGAAACTAGCACTAGTACTACTACCAACACTACCAACAACAACACAACTTCTTCTACTTCCTCCTCTACTACTTCATCTACTTCTACTTCTTCTACTTCTTCTGATAAAGTATTTACATTGGAAGAATTATCAAAATATAACGGTGTTAATGGAAATCAAATTTACGTTTCAGTAAATGGAAAGGTATTTGATGTCTCTTCTAAACCCGAGTTTTATGGCCCTGGAAAGAGTTACAACTTGTTTGCCGGTCACGATGCCACCACCTGTCTTGGCAAGAATAACCTCACCAAAGAATCATTGGACAAATTGGATACCACCGATTTCACTCCAGAACAAAAAGCTAATCTTGAAAAATGGCTCAAAGTCTATGAATCCAAGTATCCTTTGGTTGGATCTTTATCGATCTAATCCAGTACTATAGGTTCCTATCGTTTTTTTCTAAATTCTAAATTCCTCCCACCTCTTTTTTTTTTTTGTTTATATAAATCTTTTTTTGGTTTTGTGTAAAAAAAAAAAAATAAATATAATAATTTTTTAAAATAAAATAGATTATATATAAACTTCAATCAAATCAAATTGGTTGTACAAAGAGAGTTGATCCTTTTTCATCTTTGTAAAAAAAGGATAGATTTATTGATGTGTTTAATAATTAAAAATAAAAGGTTTGTGTTCTAATTTGACCTCCTGATGTGTATCTTCCTCCGTATGAATAATCTAATTGATAAATGGGTAAATATAAAAAGAAAAGATGATGGTAATCTATCTATTTAAAACAAAACATACCTTTTGGTTTTTTTGGTAACGATGAGAACATCTTTAAAATAATAATAATTTAAGTAGGGGGTTAGAGAGTGGTAGGGATAGAGAAATAAATAACTTAATTTACAACTTTAATTATACAAAATTTTTAAATGAATGTTTAAAATTTTATCCTCTTTTGTAATGTTGGTTGTTGGAAGATATTCGGGTAAACAATTGTAGCCCACAAAAGAGGGTTGATGAGATTTTTGATCGATAAGGAAAGACAAAAAAAAAATCTTGTGATTTTTAGGATTTCCGAAGTTTCCCAAGTTCAAACTTTACCATAAAGAAAAATAAATATTAGTTTTTATTTTAATATATATATTTTCTCGAGTTACGAAAATGGAATGAATTATAGTTATATTATATCAAGATTAATATTCTGAAGTGATAGCAGTCAAAGCTTCAGACCAAAATCTTTCATCTTTTCCAAATCGAAGTAATTGTTCGGTTGTGCAATCCGCTAAAAACCATGCACCTTCATCAATCTCTTTTCTTAATTCTCCTGATTTCCAAACTGAACATCCATAAACCATCATACATTGTTCTGGTGATATTTCCTTATTTTTAACTTTTTCACTAAAAGAAAAAGAATTAGAAAACTATCAATTAATTCAATGGTTCATTTTTACTATTACTTACCCAATATCTTTAAAATCACCACCAATATATAAACCATCTCTAATTTTTGATGAACCTAGAAGTTCTGGATATGGATGAATGATTTGACTGGAAGCGAGACCAGCGATACCTTTTACCATGTATTCTTTGTGGTCGATTGGATATGGTCCGCCACGGTACCAAGATATTTTAGAGAATGGTGAAAGAGGTCTCTTTTGTGTGAATCTAAAGTGTCGTACCAAGTTTTTAGAGTAGTTTTTCGATTGGTCTGGTTGAGGTTGATTTTGTTCCATACTCTCTTGGAGATGTCTGATAATGGGTGAAGTAGGGATTGGTTGGTTGATAATGTAACCATAGTGTCTGTCGTGTATAGAGTGGGTGATCAATACAACCGATCTGCCATACCCATTTCTCAAAGATGGATGAGATATGAGTAAAGTGCCAGGTTTAATCTCTTGTGTATCAACTGCCCAAAAGTTTGGATTTTCACTAATATCAACTGCATTACTACTACTACTGTTACTACTAGTGTTTACTTGACCAGGTATTGAATTTTCTTCTACATCTAAACTGTCTATATCTACATTATTGATGGACGATGATGGCTGTTGATGATGATGATGATGATGACCATGGTCTTGTTGTCCATCTGACTCTTTGTTTTTCAAATGTGCAAGTCTTTCAGACGATGCACCCATTTCCTCTGATTGTTCCTTTAACAAATCCTCCAAATAATCTAGCTTATTAGTCATCTTGTTGAGTTTATCGCGTTGTGATTTTTGATTTCCTCCACTACCATCCTTTTGAATATCTTTTAAAATTGATCCAAGATCAAAATCACTTGATTCTTTTTCTATATGCTACAAAAAAAAACACAAAATTAATCATTAAGAAGGAATTGATATATATATATAAATATATACCTTTTTATAATAAATATTTGCAAGGTTTAAATTTTTTAATACCATAAATCCATCACTAATCGATGTTGATACATCCTAAACAATAATAATATAAAATGTTAACAAATATATACTCTTTTTTTTTTTTTCATATGCATCGTCATTTTGATTAACATGTGTTTTGGTTGACTTACGATTGGACTTGGATAATCATGTTTAGCGTACATCTTGAATATTGTTTTAAGATTATAAGAGAATGATACGCTTGGGAGGAAAAAGGTTGGTAGTTGATTACGAAGAGTGTCAGGTGTAACAAAATAAGCTTTCAACTTTGGGTTCTTATCAAACGAATTACATTTTCTCAACAAGTTTCGATACAAGAACATTGAAAGTTTCTTGTTGTTTGCTGTAATCGTTTGTGTATTCATTGTTGTTGTCGTTGTTGTTGTTATATATATATGTTTGTATCTATCTATATATGTTGCTTCTGCGTTCTTGTGTGATTGTTGTTATTTAGTTGAGTAGGTAGTCTTTTCAAACTACCAACGTGTGTAGAAATGCTTCTATGTCAATGTATACTGCAGTATAGTATAGTATGAAAATAATGTATAACTATATTCGATCTTTGTATTATTATTATATATATATATATATTATATTATGCAAATGTATAAAGAATAAATGAAACGAAATAAAATGAATGATTCGGTGAGTTTTTAATGAAAGAGTGAAAGACGAATGATGACTTTATTGAAAATATTCATTGTACTCAAGTTGTATATAAAGATAGAGGATAGGATAGGAAGATGTTAAAGAAAATAGTATTCAATCAATGTTTGAATAATGCATGCAAATCATATACAACAATCAGTAGTAGTAGTAGTAGATCAACGACGACGACGATGATGATGATCAAGACGCCATCATCTTCATCATCATACAATACATTAAACAGAGTATCGCAAGGTTACTGTTATAACAGTAGCAGTATACTTTCATCACATACATTCAACAATACAAGAGTACATAGATTTTGTACGTCAAATAATAATAATATTAGCAACGATAATAATATTGTACAAAATGAAGATGTTGGAACACATATTGAATCATTATACAAAGTAAAAGTCAATCAAGAATCATTGGATAGATTATTTAAAGATAGTAAAATGCAATTCTCTGAATCACTATTATCATTGCAATCGACACCAGAGTACAAAATAGGCAAACAATTGTTAAATACTGGCATTGTTAAATATCTATCGGTACACTATCCAAACATGACTGAATATTTCATGGATCATTTTATTCGTTTTATATCATTACCAGTTGTAGTTTCAAACTACTTTTTAAGTAATCAATTCGATCAATATTTACATTCTAAAATACCTCAAGTATGTTCAAACAAACAAAATATACCATCAATCAATCAATCAATCTTTATTAATATTTACACCTTTTTTTAACAACAGGAAACATCATCAATCGATAGAGTAAAAATATATAATACATTATTTCTAAATTTAATTGGTACTATTGCAATTCAAACAAATGTAAGTAGATATTATATATATATAAATATATATTTAAAGTAGATATATATTTTAAAAAACATGAGTCCATAAATATTTATTACTTTGTTTGTTACAGGACGAAACAATAATTGAAAAAGAAATAATTGGAGGATTAATTAAATATTTGGATGGATTATCATTTGACCAAGTTTCAAAACAATATAAATTACCAGTGTTACAAGATCTTGCATTAAACAACCTTGATAGTAAAGAAATTCTAGTCGATGCTCCACATATCCCACCATGGTTCTACAGTATTTGTCAATTGATCATTCAACATATCGATGCTTTTACCACTCTTCAAGCAGTCCTAAATGAACATTCATTATCAAAAGCTCATTATCAGTATGTATAATAATATTAACAAAAAGTAAACAAACAAATATTAATATTTATTTGTATCTATTATTTAGATTGGTAAAAGAAGTTAATAGAGGTACAGCAAAATCATTATTCTTTCATGTTATTTATTTGATTAAACCAGATGAAACCACTGAAATCATTGGATATGGTACAGGTAAATCAATTGAAAAATCAAAAACCAACACTGCCAAGGATGCAGTTGCAAGATTCCTATATTTGAATTCGACCAAATAATGATGGAATGACAACAATATATAAATTAAATGGTATTTGGGGTCAAGTATTAAATTAAAAACACATTTTATTTTATATTTGTTTGTTTGTATCTTTCTTTTTTATTTCCATTGTTTTTAGAGCAAGACTGCAATAAGGGAGAATAATACAACCATTAAAGAAAGGATTTGGTTGTTGGCAAGAGTGACAGCGGCACCAGTAGTAGAATGTTCCTTGCTGGCAGCTTCGGATCCGGTTGTGCTCAATTGGTTGTTTGGAGTACCAGTGGTAGTGGTAGTGTTGGCAGCGGCTCCAGTGGTAGATGGTTCAGCTGATCCAGTGGTGGATGGTTCGGTCGATCCAGTGGTAGTGGAGGTACTGTTTCCAACGGTGATGGTGGACTTTAGGTTAGAGTCGTTAGAGTCGACTACATTGTAAACACCATCAGTGTTGAATTGGAAGGTGTAGGTACCTGGATTTTCATTTGTACCCTTGATGGTTGCGTCAAAGAGAGCCAAGCCTCCTGAAGATGCGACATGTGTGACAGTATGGTTACTATTGTCGGTCGTCGACCAAGTGACACTATCTCCAGCTTGTATAGTGATGTTGATTTGTGGTTGTCCAGAATTCCATTGGATCTGATTGGAAGCACCTTGACCAAGTACAACTGCCAAGGAAAAGATTAAAACGATCATTGATAATAGGAATTTCATTTTTTTTTTTTGGATTGATTGGATTCGAATTGGGAATTTAATTTAAAATATTATTCTTACAATTGTTGTTGTTTGTTTTGAATTAAATTATTAATTATTTAAATAATTTGAAAGTGATTGATTTGATTGATATTCTTTTATTCGTATGTATTGATGATATTTATACTTGTTTGGACAACTACCAAACAAATTGACAAATTCAAATTCAATTAATTTATTAATAATATCTTTTTAAGTTAATATTGTACGAGTAGAGTAGAGTATAGGAGTAGTAGTATAATAGTAGGTAGGGTTGGTGTAATCTTTAGTGATTATCATAAGAAGTTGGATAAATTAAGGCATATAGTCACGATAGGACGACCATTTTAAAATCGATTGTCCATCTGTCTTCCCCACCCCCCTTTGCTCTTCTCTCCTCCTGCCCAACTAAACAAACTCCGTTTTCATCTGTTGATTACTATAATGATCACCAACTCTTTTTATAAAAAGCTAAAAGATTGGTATCCTAGAGTTTATCCACCTTTATTTTTGGTGATTAGTGGTGTGTAGTGTAGATAGATTTGAACAAACAAAACAACCACTACATATATCTTCCTAGTTGGTGAAGGGGAGGGGTAGTTTGTAAATGGGGGTTTAACAATTCAATTGAAGTTTGATCTTACTTATGATAATTTAAATGGACGAGTGTTATACATATATTATTCCAAACCCATTGAATTCAATTTATTTAACCTATCTATTGAATGATGATTATGATGATGATGTTGACATTTTTCATTAATCATAGTGGTTGATGATGATGATGATTAATGTATATAATAGATAATTATGATGATATTATTATTAAATATTATTATTAATATTGATTATTAATTGAATTAATTAAAAAAGAAGTTCCAATTCTTTTTTCCTTTGAAATTTATTATTTAGTTTATAAATCCAAGTGACTGACACAACACCAATTTTAATTACCCCCTCAATTCAATATAGTTGGTCTTAAACGAAGTGATTCATTCTCTGTGTTTCATACCATCATTCACCCTTTCAACCTCTTCCACTTCCGGAGAAATCAGAATCAGATGTGGAAACAAGTATTGGTAATTTTTTTTGTTGTGTACAAAAAAAAAAAAAATATAATATAATTTGTTCAATGTGCCATCGGTGTATACAAAAAAGGATTGTGTGTATCCACGATCCACAGTCTGTTAATTGATTAGTTTAAACTATCTGTTTCTGGGGGTTTGATTTTATTTTATTTTTTAAAACAAAACGTTCGTTTTTTGATTTGTTTTATTATAAATGTTTTTTGAGTACTTGTTTATGGACTACATCTATCTCTCATACGTGGATAGAGACAAACGTTTCTAATGTGTTCTTCACCGAGGAACCAAGTGAGGAAACGTTCAAAACCAAGACCATAACCACCGTGTGGACAGGTACCGTATTTACGTTGGTCGGTGAACCAATAGTATTGAGATGGGTCGAGACCTTCCTTTTTGTAGGCGTCCATGAGTTGTTGGTAGTTGGCAATACGCATACTGCCACCGACGATTTCACCGACACCTGGCATCAACAAATCGGTAGATTCGGTCAATCTGTCGTCCTCTGGACAACGGGCCATGTAAAAGGCCTTCATTTCGTGTGGGAATCTGCAGAAAAAGATTGGCTTGCCAATCATGTCGTTCATCTTTCTCTCTTGAGCTTCTGGAATGTCGTCACCAAACTCAAAGTGGACGGGGACACCGTTCTCTTCCGACTTGTAGATCTTGTTCTCACGACAAAACTTGATACCCTCTTCGTAGTTCATACGCATGAATGGACGCTCGGGAATCTTGGCGTTGGGGTTGACAGTGAGGAGGAGATCCTTGTCGAGCTTAAAGAGACGCTCGGCAACGTCGCAGACGAGGAACTCGATACGGTCGAGCAAGTCGTCAAACTTGATGAATGGACTCTCGACTTCAATGTGAGTAAACTCGGCCAAATGACGACGGGTCTTGCTGGCCTCGGCACGGTACGATTGGGCAATACAAAAGGCGTCACCGACAACTGGAATCATTGTCTCGAGGTAGAGTTGAGACGATTGGGTGAGGTAGGCGGGCGAGCCAAAGAAATCGAGTGTAAACAACTCACTACCACCCTCGCAGAATGTGTTGACGAGGGTTGGTGGGGTGACTTCAAAGTAACCATTGTCATAGAAATGGTCACGGAATGCCTTCATGGCAAGTGAACGCATCTTCATGATGGCAGAGGCACGGGTACCACGCAATACAATGTGACGTTGGTCAAACATTTGGTCGACGTGTGACTCGGTGTTGATGATACCTTCGAGATCGACGTTGGACTCACCAATCAATTGCCAATAGTCGACTTGGAGCTCGACGTCTTGTGGAGCCTTCTTGCCTGGTGGTGGGACGGTGAGTGTACCGTAGAGCGAGACGGTGGCCTCTCTGATGAGTACGTCGTGGAGTGATGGATGGACGAGGTCGCCAGTCAAAACACATTGCAAGAAACCAGTGCCATCTCTAAGCTTGATGAAACCAACACTCTTTTGAATACGAGCTTCGTGCAACCAACCCTTAATATGTACACGTTGACCTTGAATCTTTGGTGAACAGTCACGAATCTTGACTTCCTTGGCTGGGGCAGCACCGGCTGGCTCCTTTAATGTGATCTTTTCCAATGGCTCGGCAGCCTTTTGTTGTACAACTACCACCTTTTTAACCTTTTCCTCAACCTTTTTTGGTCCCAATACTTCAGTCAACTTGAGGTTGAGTTGAACAATAACTTGACTCATATCAGCCCATTTTAATTGTTCTTTTAATGGAGTTGAAAGATCTCCCATTGGAATATGCCATCTAAATTTGAAACAAATATTGTTAGTTTAATTATAATTATACTTCTATATTTCTATCTCTTCTTCTTTGTTTTCATACTTTTTCTCTTCAATTTCAGCCTTCTTTTGAACAAACAATTTGTCAACGGCTTGAGCGATTTGTTCGACGGTGACTTCAGCACCAATACCACATTCAGTCTTGAAGGTAGAATCATCAAAGGTTGGATGATCCTTGAGGTATTTGAGGGCAGCTTGGAATTGTTGTGTCACCTTGAATGCACCTTGACCAATGTATTTGGCGACGTGTGCACGACTGGGTGATTGAGCAACAGCAGAGGTGGCCAATTGGTAGACATAGTTACCGATAGCCTTGTCGCAACCACCTGAAACACCAGCTTCATTGATGACAGCCTTGAGTGTAGCAGTCAATTCTGGGTTCTTGACAGTATCCTTTGATTTCTTTTCATCTAATCCGATCGAACGGAATAATGTAACATCTGCTTCAGACATTTCTTTCTCTATCTAATCTTCTATATATATAAATATGTAAAAACGTTAAATATAATATCTCTTTTTTCTTATACAAAAGAAGAGAATGCGATAATTAATTATTAATAATATTGATACTAAAAGAGGAAGAAGTAAAGTTTGAGTAAAGTGCGATACCTTTTCATCATCGTCCAAGAGAGAGAAGTGCTCAAGAAACAATTTTTTTGTTTTTTTTTTAATCCTGTCCTGTCTCACAATACTCAAATTATTCCTGCTTGTGTCAAATAAGCAACACGAAAATCATTTGAATTTCTCAATAAAAAGGGTATTGGTTCAATTAATTTTAAAAAAGTATAGAAGTATACTTTTTTTTTTTTAATACAATACTTTCTTTATTTTCTTTTATGATCATTCGAATTGCTCACAAAATATAATAATAAAAACAAATACTTGCTGCAATCCGAAAGTTTTGTCGTCAAAATCATCGTTCGTCTTTTTTTTTTTTTGATTATTTTTAAAACCAAACTTACTACTAACTAGTTAGATATAATATATTTATTTATTTATATAGAGGTTTAAGAAGCTAGCTAACTTGTTCTTTTACCCTTTTTAAACAAATTCGATAAATAACTAAACTTATTTAAATTGTTGACATTTCAACAGCAATAATATTTGTATAAACGAATCCTCCTCCCATTGAAGTATCGGTTTTTTTTTAATCGTTCTTCTCTCTTTTAAAATCCTCCTCCACACACGCATCACATACATATATATACATACATAGAGTAACTCAACCATGGCTCAAGGTGATTACATTGAATTACATAGAAAGAGATTTGGTCGTAGATTCGATCATTTTGAAAAATTGTATGTAAACCAACAAACAAACACAAACAAACAAACACAAACGAATTGATTCAAATATCTAATATACTATTACTTTTACTTTGTTACTTTTTATTAATTTTCTTTTAGACGTAAAAAGACAGCAAGAGAAGGTCACAAGAGATCAGCATTGGCACAGAAATTGACAGGTTTCAAGGCCAAGCTATTAAATAAGAAGAGATATGCAGAAAAGGCGGCTATGAAGAAGCAGATTGCTCTTCATCAAGAAAGAACAAACAAAAAGGCATCGACAGACAATATTAAAGAGGGAGCAGTTCCATCATACTTGTTGGACAGAGAAGGTGTATCGAGAGCCAAGGTACTCTCTAACATGGTCAAGCAAAAGAGAAAGGAAAAGGCAGGCAAGTGGAACGTCCCATTGCCCAAGGTTAGGGCCATCAGCGAAGATGAAATGTTCAAGGTTATTCGTACCGGTAAGAGACAAAAGAAGGCTTGGAAGCGTATGGTCACAAAGGTGACCTTTGTCGGCGAAGGTTTCACTCGTAAACCACCTAAATACGAACGTTTCATTCGTCCCACTGGTCTTCGTTTCAAAAAGGCCAACGTCACTCATCCAGAACTCAAATCTACCTTTTATCTCGATATCCTCTCGGTCAAAAAGAACCCACAGTCACCTACATACACTCAACTTGGTGTCATCACCAAGGGTACAATCATCGAAGTCAACGTTTCAGATCTTGGTTTGGTCACTCAGACGGGTAAGGTCGTTTGGGGTAAATACGCTCAAGTCACCAATAATCCTGAAAATGATGGTACCATCAATGCTCTTTTATTAGTCTAAAAAATAAATATACAAATATTCAATACAATTCATTATTATTATTATTATTATTATCTGATATATTAATCTATCTTTGATTGTTTCTTTTGTTTTGTTTTGTTTTAAAAAATTAATATTAATTTATTATGTATAAATTTTTGATTTTTGGTTATTATTATTTCTTTGTGGAATACAATATTGTTGTTGTTGTATTCTACAATAGATGATTCTGTTGTTTTTTTAACCCCATTGATGACCTCTTCTTCCACCATGAGAATGACCATGACCACCACCACCACTGTGACTGTGACCATGACCTCTTGAACTTTGTCTTTGTTGTTGGAAACCAAATGGACTACCTCCAAAATCGTCATCGTCTCCCATACCACCAAAATGCATGCCACCCATGCCGCCCATGCCACCCATACCGCCCATACCTCCCATACCGCCCATGCCACCACGTTGGGCAAAGAACATGTTGAATATTTGGCTAGGATCGACACCGCCAAAACCTCCCATGCCGCCCATATCTTCGGCGTCAAAGGGTATTCCATTTTCGTCTTGACCCATGTCGTATCTTTGTTTCTTCTTTGGATCGCTCAATATAGAGTATGCCTCGCCGACATCCTTGAACATTTTTTCGGCGTGTGCCTTTTCGGCTTCGGGGATGGTACTATTTTTGTCTGGATGGTATTGGAGCGCCAACTTTCTGTAGGCCTTTTTAATATCAACTTCATTGCAGTCTTTGGCAACACCCAAGATCTTGTAATAGTCCTTTCTTGCTGCCTTTTTGAGTGCAATCTTGGCCTCTTTAAGGTTTCTTCTAATATCGTCGCTTTCGTCCAATCCCTTGGCCTTTTCCAAATCTCTTACTGCGTCTTCGTACATTTCTTGTTTCATATATAATTGTGCTCTTCTTGTCATTGCCTTTACATAGTTTGGATCCAATTCCAATGCCTTTGTACAATCATCAATTGCTTCTCTTGTTTTATTCAACTAAATTTAGAAAAAATAAGTTAGGTTTTGTTGTTGGGTTAGTTTTCAATCAATGTAATGATCATTATATTATATTTCTATCTACATACTTGAACGGCAGTAGCAGCTCTATTATTATAAATTTGAGCATTGAGAGTATCAAACTTTGGATCGATTTCAAGTGCTTCGCTGAAAAGCTCGTATGCTTTTTCATAGTCCTTGGCGACGAATGCCTCGTTACCAGCCTTTTTCTTGGCTTCCAAGTTATTTAATTTTTTCAAAGCGACACGACTATCACTGAAATCTGGATCGTACACCAAAGAGTTCTTAAAATGTTGTGCAGCTGATGCCATATTGTTACTGTAATATAATGCCAAACCTCTGACATATAATAATTCTGGGTTCATTTGATCATCTTGTAATAGTTGTCTAAACAAAAAAAATAAAATAATTATATTAATATTTATATATATATTTTTGGTCGATCGATCGATTGATATATCGATAATATATCTATGATATAGTTGTTTTTTTTTTGTATACATACGACATTAAATTTTGAGCCTTTCCATAATGCTTGTTTTCAATTAATAATTTACCCTTTAATATGTTGGAGGCAAGGTGATATTTGGCATAGTTTAAGACTTGTTCGATTTCAGAGAGAGCCAAAGTTGGATTGCTTTCATAGTGGTCCTTTGCGTTTTGTAATTGTTTCTCAACGTTTGCAATTGTGTTCTTTTCGGTCAAGAGTTCGTGGTTCATTGGATCGACAACCAATCCAGAGACAATGACGGTCTTTGCCTCTTCGAATTTACCCAATTGTACCAATGCCTTGGCTTCACGGGTGTATCCCTTGATAAAGGTCTTGTCGACAGTCAATGCCTTTTGAGAGTCTGCAATACAATCTCTTAATGACCCCTTGGTTGCAATTGCCAAGTGTGCTGCTGCTCTATTACCATAATATGCCGCTATTGTTCCATTTGATTTTTCTAAAAGTATGTTTTAAAAAAATAACATATGATTTTAGTAAGTAAGTAAGTACATGTGATATCTATTTAATATATTATATTATATTAATATATATCTCGACGACTATATCTTATATATCTTTGTAAAAAGTAGTCGTAGTATCAATGTAGTTGCTATTCTCTTTCATTCAACTTACCAATAGCTTCTGTAAAACATCGAATTGCATCATTGTATCTTTGATGTTTGAAGTGTTCGTTTCCCTTGTTCTTTAACTCTTCGTGGCTGTATTCGACTTCCATTTCTCTTTATCTCTGTCTTTAGTTTACTGCTGCTGTAAAGTTGGATGAAATGTTATGTGTATTTAAAAAAAAATTGAAAATGAATGAGATGGTGAATTCGACGATTCAGGCTCTAATAATAAATAATAATAAATATTTTAAATTAATAAATATTTATAAATTTGTTGAGTGAAGGGTATATAGATAGATAAATAGATTTATAGGTATATATTATGTTCTATTAAGAATTGAATATATTAAATAATCACGACTAAAAAGTGAGTATAGTATCAAGAGCAATCTTGAGTGTAATGTGTGAGTCGTTAGTCTTTCTTTGACTTTGAACGAAAATTCATTGTTTTTTCATCGGATTTCCCTGCTTAAAAAAAAATGTTTTTTTGGGTCTGTGGATACATGGAACGCATATTCGATGTTTTATATATTTTTACAAAAATCACTTTTATTTTTAAAATACTATTTAATACATGTGTGTGTATGATGAATGATTGATGAGGTATCATCGTTTTTGTTTTTTTTTTTTTTCTTTTTTTTTTTGTACATATGATATTATTAATTGTTTGTTTGTTTAATTAAACTTTCTAGAATTATTACTATTCATCCAATGTTTGTAGAGATTCTTTAATTTCTTTTGGGAGAGGGTGAGGGAAGTATCGGGAGTTACACATTCAACACCATGTGGATTGAGGTAGATGCCAAATGGATAGAAACTGGATGTTTTACCATGCTCCTCTTTGAGAACCTTGACTAATGGATTATCGATGCACATAAAGAGACCAAATGGGGTGTTTGGACAACGGTAAGAGTGGATAAAGCTGCTGCCCTTGCAATTGTCAGAGACACAGAAACGCAAACCACAAAACATGCAGACTGATTTCTTAAGATTTTTGCAGTGGTCGCAGTGGCCACCATCCAAGTTGACACGCAAAAAGTCAATATAACGTTCGGGAAGGTTGATAAACTTGGGCAAGTGCTTAAAGGATGATGGTGGAGGATAGACACCTACAAACTTGGATCCCTTTGGTGTATTGACTAGTGAGCAGTAGTGATCAATCAATGGTGTAAAGTCCATGGCCGATACAAACTTGTCGATCGAGTTGACATTGAGGTACTCTTTCATCTTGCCAAAATCAGAGAAATCTTCAATGGAAATGGTGGCTTGTGGACTATCGGCTGTGACGGGTAGGTAAAACTCACGGAACAGGTACATCTTACGGAGGTATGGTAGGATCTGGTCGTTAAAGTCTTCAATGGCCTCTGGGCCGAGTGGATTGGCCTTGACATCGTTGATAAAGGCAGTGAGCGACTTTTTGGTGATATCAGCGTGGCCAACTGTACGCATCATGTGCATGATGAGCATGTTAAAGAGATAGACTGTGTAACCGTGTGCGATACAGTTGAATGGATCACAGTTGGAGAGATACACTTGGTAGGTCGAAGCGATAAATGGGTCCATTAAAAAGAGGTAGCTGCTCTCCATTGGCAAGTGTCCTTCTTGGATAGGTGGCACGTTGCATGCCATGATGACGTTGAAGAGACGTTTGAGTGTTGCCACTTCCTTGTTAAACTCGGTTTGTTTCATCAAAAAGTATGGACTGTCCGAGTAGAGTGACGTCTTTCTAGACTTGAGTTCGAGTGTCTCGATGTTTTGCAATACATACTTCCACATGTATCTCTCAATCACCGTAGCATTCTCCTTGTTCATAAAGAGGAAAAAGTCAAACTTGCACAAAGCAGTGTAAAAGAGTTTACGTGCTTCGAGCGATTCGATAGTGTTGTCAACTGTGAGTGGAATGATAACATTGGATGGCAACGAACACAATGGGCAAGAGAATCCATCTTCAAAGGTTGGATGTAGTTTTCTCAAACAGGTTTGATGAACATTATGAGAACACGAAGAGATGTAGGTAGATGCGGAACGGTAAAAGAGGAAACAAGCAAACAACGATGGCTCGTCACCCTTGTTGGGGAGGTATGGTAGAGATCCTGGATTGATCTCATTGTAATAGTACTCGTCCAAAAAGTTGACATAGGCATCTGGAAGAGTTTCATCGGCAATGTGACGTTCGACTTCCAACTTGTTGTGTAATTGAGATGTAGATGTAATATCAATGTATCCAATAGAGTAGAGGATCTCTTGTTCCTTTCCAGTTTGACAAATAATACAACATTCATCGAGATTGACTGGTTCTTGATGAGCATGTTCTTCATCATCATCAAATATCTCCTTGATCTTGAGTAGTGATGGATTTGGTGGTGACATTATTGGTACATTCTTAATCTCTTCCAAAGGTTCTTCTTCTTCCTCTTCCTCTTCTTCATCAAATTCTTCGATTTTAGTTTTTTCAATCTTTGGTTCTACAATCTTTGGTTTTTCAATCTCTTCAATTTCTTCTTCTTCATCTTCTTGTTTCTTAGTTGAAGTTGTAGTAGTAGTGGTAGTCGTAGTAGTAGTAGTAGTAGAGGTTGATTCTTCTTCTTCTTCCTCTTCTTCACCTTCAACCTTTTCTTTCTTTTCAACCTTTACCTTTTCCAACTTTTCTTCATCATTGATATTTGCTGGGGGAGTAGAAACAATACTTGAAATGGTTGGTGAACTTGGTTCTAGTTTACCTTCAGCAGCTGATAAAAAGTATTGTTGTTGTTGACGCATTTGTTCGAGAATCTTTTTACGCTTATCCGAGATGGATTTCTTTTGATCGATTTCCTCTTGAGAGGTTTGAGTTGATTGACCGAGTTCAACACCAACATCCTTGATGTATTGTTTAATGTTGGCATTAAAGTCACCGAGCATAGTAAAGATGTAACGAAGAGCAGCCTTTTTCTCCACGTTGAGTGACTGTTTGGTGGATTGCCAAATTTCAATCAACAAATCCAAAAGCGATGTTTGCTTTTTGTCTTGTCCAACGGCCAATTCAACATTGTACTTTTTGATGACATTGAAAAAGGAGAGTTTTCTTGGTGTAACCCATTCCAATTTGTTTTCGAGTGCATAAAACTCGTCGATCGATTTTTGAATCTCTTCCTTGCCCTCTAGTGTTGGGAGATGTTCATCGTGGAAGGTCTTGAGACCCGAAGCCAAGATGTAGAGGAAGTCGTTGGCAACGATATCAGTCTTTTTGAGCAATAATCTAATGACTGGCAACAAATCAAATGAATCGTCGTATCCGATATAGTCGTTGTGGAGGAACTCTAAAAGGACGGCAAACACAATTTCAAAGAGTGTTGGATCGTCAAACACATCTTGAACGGCCTTGAATTGTGGCTTGAGTGGTGTAAGAGTGGGAGGAATGGGGAATTCGTCTGGAATGTCGTTACGCTTTTGGTATTCCTTGTAGTTTTGAATGGTTCTAGACTTTAGAATATTCTTGTATTTGAGTGAAAGGAATGGATAAAACAAATCAACATCCTTCCAATATTCATCCTTTAATACTCTAACTTGTTCCTTTTTAACTGATACCTCTTCAACTATCTTTTTAATGGTTGATGGTGGTGTTTCTTTAAATATAAATCCTAATTTTAGCTAAAGTAATAATATATTAATATTAATTGATATCAATCTTTTTTTCTAAAACTCCTCTCTTCTTACATTTTCTAAAATAAAGAAACCAGATGAAATAACTTGAATCATATGATATCTAATTTCATCTTCAGTTGGATTAACAGTACCTCTAACTTGGAATGATGAAATTAATAAAGCAAATAATTCATTAAATGCTGTACTATTGTCTAAAAAATTAAAAAAAAAAAAAATATTAATAAAAAGAATTAATGAATAAATGAATGTTTCTATCTTTTTCTACTTTTTACTTACTATAAATATCAACAGAAGTAATAACATTGAAAAAAGTATGAAGATAATGTCTTGGACCTAAGATCATAAGACCTACTTGAAGAGCAAAGAGATCACACATCATGGTTGGATCAGTGAGGAATTCAGTTGATTGTTGTGACTTTAAAAGGTTTTCCTTTGGATCATATGATGGATCATAAGAGATGTAACAAACTCTGAAAAGCAGTACAGTGTTGACCATATTGACAACATCTTCAGTTGTATAGACAGATTTGATGGTATCAACCAATCCAACATGACTACCTTCCAAAATAACATTACAAAGCATTCTATACAATGGGAAATGAACTGGAATTTCACTATACTTGAATTTTTGGAAGAAATCTTGGTGTGGTAATTTTAATCTAAAAACAAAAAAGAAACAAAACAAATGTAATTAGAATTGTGAAATATCAAATATTTTTTGATCTATCTATCATTTCTTTCTTACCCATTTCTTTCAAAAAGTGGTGGATAAACAAGTTTGTTGATTTGACCAATGATTGCCAAAGATAATTTAGCAGGGGTATCTGGTTTCTCTGGTTTTTGAACTTCGACAAGATTCTTGATCGATGACATGAGTTTGTGTTCGAGGGCAACGAGGAAACAGGTTGTAGTGATGGTTGGATCAACAAATTGAGGAGATGTAAAGTTATGAAGAGCCAATGCAAACTCCAAGTACAACTTGATCATATTATCATGTTCTACAAAGTATTTTCCAACTTGTTTGTTTTTGAATAGTTTTGGTACACATGTTAGATCGGTTTGTAACATTACCTCTTTTTCAATTTGTTTATCTGATTTATAAAATGGTTCTAAAAGTTTCATATAATCTTTCTATAAAATATAAAAGAAATAACAAAAAGAATAAGTATTGCAAGTTGAGTTGTTAATTATTTGTTTGCTTTCATACATGAGTTTTAAAAATTAATTCTAAAAAGTTATTTGAAGATAGACCAGTAGTAAATGGAATGAGGATGGAAGAGGTTTCAAGATAGAATGAACCAATCAACATTGTGATTTCAGTAGAGAGGGTGTCACGTGGCGTAAAGATGTCGACATAGTTTTTGAGGTACTCTTCAAAGAGAACAAAACGAAAGAGACGATGATTGTCGATCAAGAGTGTAAGGAGATCGAGAAAGTACTCGAGAAGGTTTGGTCTACGGAAAATGTAGGAGAGGAAATGGTGCGACTCCAACATGACATTCTCATTGGTTGCGTAGGGGAGTGGAAGTGGAGAGTTGAGGTCAAAGTTGTTATAGTCGAGACGTTGTGACGACACTTCCTGCGAGATGATGTGAATTAAGATGGATGAACGTGATGCGAGGAAGGCGAGCCATTCGAGAATCGTCTCAACGTTTGGCTTGTTGGCTTCAAAGTCGGCAGGCACCGCAGTCACTCTTTGCAAATAGGCAAATATATATCTGAAAAACAAATGCAAATCCTTTTGGACAAATGGCTGTACCGATCGGAACTGCTTGATCTGATTGTCTTCGTCCACATTCTGATGGTCGATACAGAACCCATGTGGATTGACCGACTCGGCATTACCACAATCACAAACAGCTGACGAGTTTTCTCCAACTGTAAATGAATGATTCTCATCAATATGTGGTCCATTAAAGAAACACGTTGCGCCTAAAAAAAGTAAGTAAAAGTAAAAGTATAAGTATATTGATAATAATTAAACAAAAGGTTTTATATTATATATTAAGTTTACTTACAGAAACAACTGTTTTCAGTATTTGTACAAGTTAGACAGGTAAAGAACCATGATGATTTGTTTCTTGTTTCTACAAGTATGTTTGTTCAATTATGTATGTTAGCTATGTATGAGATATATGTTTCATTTAATTTAAATGTTTACATACCAAATTGACATTTTAAAGTGTCTTCTGATGGATATTTATCAAAGAATGACTCAATCTCCATAAAACAACAACGCTTGAATAAACCTTCGAGCAAATCAACCGTTATCTTTAGGTCTTTTGCACTGAGTTCATCGAGGACAGTCTTTAATGGAGGTGGTTCTCGAAGCAAGTCAGTTCCCCCAACCAAAGATACCGGTGAAGAAGTATCGTAGGCAGACGATGGTGAAGTAGCTCCATTGCTTGAGGTGTCGCTTAAAGGTTGTCCAGAATCACCACCACGTTGTTGTTGTTGATTTTGGTTCGATCCGCTCTTTGCTGCAGAGTTTGTATTACCCATCTCTCTCTGCTAAATATTACTTCTATACAACTAAACTAAACTATATTACTTATACAACTTATACAACTCAACTATATATATTAAAAACAAATACAATATTACGATAATGATGATATCTACAAGGTGTTGTGAGTGATGTTAGGTTTGGTTTGTTGTTGTATTATAATAGATTGATTGGTGTTGAAAGAAAGATAAAGATAATAAGATAGATTGATGTGTTAAAAGTGTGAAGATTGAGGAGGAGCCGTTCAATTCAGCTAAATTAGTTGCAAAAATAAAATTACAGGTTTCTCAGTATTGTCCCATTTTTCATCATAGCAATGATGACATAATAGTTATATTATCTAAAAGTATCACAAGACAAGATATCAAATGATCAAGACTACATATTCATTGGTTGGTCGGTCATTAATACCACCATTTAATAATATAAATATAAAAATATAAATAAATAAATATAAATAGTAGTTTTTAATAATAACCTCGATTTTAGTTAGGGAAAAAATGAGAGTTGAATCAGTTATTCGTCGAAAGTAGGACACTTTCGTTTCATTCATTCTTTCATTCATTCATTTGTTTAGAGCTATTATTAATATATATTTATATCTTATATTGAATGATGGCTGATAACACAACTAATCCACCAACTACAGATACTACTACAACTACAACAAGTCAAGATGCAGTTTATTGGGCACCACTAAAACCATTGACAACACCACTTGTCTTTCAATTGGCTGATACTAGACCTACAGTATGTGCAGTCAAGTTCCCATGTTTGTTGTGTGAACATGTAGAATATGAATCTAGACCTACATTGGAGCACTTGTTGGTAGAACACAAGCTCGTTATTGCCGATGTCAACTCGGTTGCCAACCTTTCATCCTATCTCTTTCACTGGCGTTCACTTATGAAGGACAAGCCTATTGCACACTACACAACCACCATTCACACGCAACAAACCCCTTCTGCACCACCAACCAACTATTATCTCCTCTCTGACGTTCTCCAAGAGGATCAAGCACTCAGACGTAAACTTCAAACCGAGAGACTCAGCTTTGTCCTCGATCAACAACACCGTGAACGTACCGATCCATCCTTTTCCTCTTCTTGTCCAATGTGTTTGGAAGAATTCAAAGGTGATAGATCCGCTGTTAGTTCTCATTTATTCGAACAACATAGGTATGTTGGTCAAACAAACAAAACAATTTTTCAAAACAAAAACGAGTATTAACTTTATTCAATTTATTCTTGATACTTTAGTTTTAATATTGGATTACCAGACAATTTAGTAAATATTAATGAATTGTTGGATTTATTAAAAGAGAAATATGATATTTGTCAATGTTTGTATTGTGAAAAGATTTTCAAGAGTCAAGCAGTCTTGAAACAACATATGAAAAAGAAGAAACATGTACGTCTCAATCCACACAATACAGAGTACGATCGATTCTATCTCTTAAACTATCTCGAACCTGGAAAGAATTGGGAGGAAATTAAAAAGGAAAAGGATGTTGAGGATGAAGATGAAAAGGATGATATCCTCTCTCAAGATACCGATGGTGAGAGTAATGTTGATAATACAGTTGATGAAAATGATAAAGTGTATGTACAGATATAAACATATTCTTATATCGATTAAATTAATATTTAAATTAATATTCTCTTTAGTGCACAATGGGAAGATTGGGAGGAAAATTCAGATGATGAACCAGATCACCAAATTGTTTGTTTATACTGTCCAAATCAATACGACACTCAAGATGATATTTTAAATCATATGATTAAAACTCACAAGTTTGATTTATTTAAAGTTAGAAAAGATCAAAGTATGTTTAGATAGTTAATAATACCATAAATTATTGTCTACTAATTATTATTGAATCTTTATTTAGATTTAGATTACTATGACTCTATTAAATTAATTAATTTTATTAGAAGACAATCCTATGAATTAAATTGTCCAATGTGTGGATTAAAACACCAAGATGAGGCAGATTTAAACAAACATATTCAATCAAATGACCATGTTGGTGTTGACAAGAACAACGAGATGTGGCGTGATGCTCAATTCCTTTTCCCAACCTATGAGAACGACAGTCTCTTGCGTAGTTTTGAAGATTTCGAGGATCAAGCATATGAACAAGAATGGCAAGAAGATGAGAATAAATACCAAGAAGAAATGATGGAAGAACTCAAATTTGAAAGAGAACTGGTTCTTGAAAGACTTACAAAAGCCAATGTTCAACTACCAATTTAAATCCAAAAAAGACCAACAACAACAACAAGAATATGATTCAATCAATACAATAACCAACCACATATATATATTATTTGTATATTAATTTAATTGACCAAATTTGTCTTCTTGTATGAATGAATGATCTTTTCCTATCTTTTCTATTTATAAATCTTCAATATATTACCTAATTTGAGAAAAACTAAAACTCGAGTCTCAAGATGGGTGATGATCATCAATTTTTAAAGTAGTTACTACTTTCATTCATTGTATATTGCTTAGTTAGGTTACTCATCTAGATATTTTATAAACAACAACTCTAACATGGTATGAACACATTCAGTACTCAGCACAAATGTCACAGGTTACTAATATGATCTGATCATTATCATTCTTCATACAGTATGAAATTACAAAGAAAATAACAGGTGCACATGAAGAAGGTATCTGGTGTGTATCATGGAAAGGTGATACTGTTGCTACAGGTGGTATGAGCTCAAAGGTAAAGACTTGGTATGTATCGATCGATCGTGTAGAAATAATACAGTCAGTAATAGAATAGGTGCAAGATTTTAACACTTTTACATTCAACACTCTCTCTCTCTCTTAGGAATGCTACATCTACCAACTTCCTTACAGATAGAAAGACATTCACCAATCATACATTGGGTGTGTCTTCATTGGATATAGATGAGAATTGTCAAAGTATGTCATGATAAGATCAATCTTGGATGTAATGTATCTCATTATCTAATATATAATCTTTCTCTTTTCTTTTAACTTTAAAAGACTTTGTAACTAGTGGATTAGATTCACATGTAAGATTATGGAATTTAACAGATAATACATTATCAAAGGATATTGATGTTGGACCACGTGTGTATTTTAAAACAAACAAACAAACAAATGTGATGACAGATTTAATTAACATTTCTTATCATTTCATTTATATAGTTGGAACATGGTCAACAGCATTTAGTCCAAAAGGAGATATATTTGTAACAGTATCACAAAAGGGAGCAGTCAATATATGGTCAAGCAAGACAGGCGATAAAATTAGAACATTCCAAACTGGCACTCCATCCAAAGTATCGATATTGAATGCAACCTATTCTCCCAAAGACAATCATATAGCATGTGCTGGTAGCGATGGTGTTGTCTCAATCTATGATGTTGAAACTGGCAAAAGAGTCAACAATTTCAACGCTCATTCTACATCTATTCGTTCGATCTGTTACTCTCCAGACGGCGCCACTATATTTACTGCCTCTGAAGACACCCAAATACGTATCTCTGATCCACTCAGCAGCAGTGGTTCCATAGCATCCTTCCAAGGACATTCATCTTGGGTACTTTCAGTTGCATGTTCAAATGATGGAAAGAAAATAGCTTCAGGGTATGAATAATGATGATAGAGACGAAGAAGAGAACTTTAAAAATGCACATGTTCAATTTTGACTAATACTGTATCTTTTCTTTTCTTTCTTCTTTATATATAAACAAAACAGATCAAGTGATCGTAGAGTTAAGATTTGGGATATTTCAACTAGAAAGTGTGATCACACATTCCAAGATCATGCCGACCAGGTATGGGGTGTTGCATGGTCACCCGATGGATCTAAATTGGTTTCAGTTTCTGATGATTGTAGTATGATTGGTTACTCTATCAAACAATAAAGATAATAATAATAAATATATATATTTAATTATTATATTATATCAATAAAAAGATAGATATAAAAAGAAGATAAGATAATTAATTAATGTTGCTATTAATAATATTATAAATAATATATTATCTTGATTAATTGATGGATGGGATTCATTAACTTGAGATGGTTGAAGATCTTTTTTTCTACCAAACCAGCCTGTGTAACCCCGATCGCCCTTATCCTTCTAATTGTCAGTGGAGGTTGTTTTTTGTTGCATGCGTAATGTTTTGTTGTCAAGTTTTTTTGCACAGCCATCCCAACAACAATTTTTAATAAATTATTTTTTTTGCGACCAACCGCCTTTCTCTCTCAGCTCTGCAACACCTCTCTGCACATAGTAACCTTTGTTTAAAGCTAAAACAAATAGCAACACCAACAAACTATTACATCGTATCTACGAAAACGAAAGAGATCACTCATCCATCACTTTACTTTTAATATATTAAATATAAATAAATACTTTATTATTAGAACCATTCATACAATTTACTTTACTCGTATAATTGTTACTCAAGTCACAACCAAAACAAACAAAACACCCTTTTATTGTTACCATTATATGCATAGCAATCAACTATATTCTTTTCTTCAGAGAAAGATAGGAGCTGTCAAACATATCTGTCATAGTAGTTATAGTGGTTGGCAAGAATAAATAATTTATACAAACAACAATAATTTATACATATACATATAAATATACATACACACAAGTAGTTAGTAATAATAATAATACATACAATACATACAAGTATAAAATGAACTTTTCATCAGACTTTATTAACATTTCAAACGAGATTGAGTCTTTTAACAATACTCTAAATGAAATGTTGTCTGTTTGGAATGATCCAAATGTTGTACCTCAAAATAATGTAGTCAACAAGAATAATAATAATAGTATTAATAATAATAATAATATGATGTCTTTAAATAGTTCACAACAATTAGAGGCAAATATTAATTTAATACTCAATAATAATAATAATAATAATAATAATAGTACCAATAGTAATAATACTACAACCAATACTACAATATTCAAACAGTCACAACCAAATCATGGTAGATCATTCCTAGTCAGTAGTAATTCACATTTGGAGAGCTTCTTGCTTGACAATCCATCTCTTTTCCAAAGCGACGATGCTATTGGCAAGATGTCCAAGGTTATCAACGAGATCAACAGAGAGTCAAAGGGCTTCCAACCAGTTGAGATTGTCCCACTCAAGAACTTTTCTACTGCTGCCCCCTCCACCGAACAACAACCATCCTTGCCATCATTCTCCTCCATTCCATCGTTTTCTCTCGACACTACCAAACTCGAAGAGTTAAAGACCGACCTTTCCTTCCTCGACCCAATCCTCTCTATTCCATACGCCAATCATAACAACATGCTCCCAATATTAAATAATAATCAACCAACAACAATGAATATCATTCCAACTCCTCAACTACAACAACAACAACAACCACAACAACAACAACAACAAGAACCAATTTATAATATTGATTATAATCAAAATAATAATAATAATAATATTCAAAATGATATGATTGATTATATTATGCCAATTAAACAAGAGAATAATAGTGGTCCAATTAGACATGCCAATCAATTTGATCGTTCACCAGTTCAACCAGACTCGACTATGGTCACCTTGTCCACTGCTCAATTGTCATCGTTTACATCGATGGAGATGGAAGACTATGCCACAGCCAGTAGTGTCGGAAAGAACTTGTCAACCTCTGAGAGAAAGGATATTAGACGTCAAAAACGTCTCATCAAAAATAGAGAGTCTGCCCATCTTTCGCGCCAACGCAAGAGAGAACGTCTCACCGATCTCGAACACCACGTCGAAGAGCTCACTCAAAACTCGTCAAAGTTGACAGGTCTTCTTGGTGGCCTCGAAAACGAGAACCTTGTCCTCAACGCCGAGGTCAGTCAATTGGTCGATGTCATTAAAGATTCTCCAGTCCTCTCTGCTCTCTTTGTCCATTCCACCTTTGGATCACTTAGAAACAATCAACCATATAGAAGAGAAGTACAAGTTACTCTCTAAACCAGCAAACAACATACCGCCAATCGAATATTCTTTTTAATTTATTTCCATAACAAACCAAATAACCTTTTATTCTCTCTCTTCACACAAAATGTTTTGTTGTTGTTTTTCAACAAATCAATAATAATTATAATAATAATCCACATACACAATCAATCTACCAACATTAGTACATAATAGTTACAGATGTTTTATTAAACCAAACCAAACCAAACCAACTCCAACTCCAATACCCCAAAATATCATATCGATATTAAATCAACTCACCAATCACCATACAACGTCTGTATATAATGAATAACAACACGATCCATCATCATCATAACAATAACAATAATAATAACAATATATTATAATATTAATGTAAAAATAAATATTTCTTTCTACAAAAAAATGGTCTTATTTCCTTCTTTCTTTCTTTTTGTTGTTATTATTTACTTCTGTCTGTTATGCACTTTCTTTTATTATTAAATAAATATATAATTATTTGTATGTATTTAATAGATAGATATATAAGTTTGTTAATTTCGTATGTATGTATGAATGAATGAGAAGGTTTTCTATCCAACGTCCAAAGTCTTGCCAGCAATAGATTGGTTCTTGAAGACATTGATTCGATTTTCCACTGACCACATATTTATTTATCATCAATGGTCCATAGAATTTTAACATTTTTTTTCAACAATATTATTTTTCAACATCCATTTCTATTTATAAATAATAATTCATATGTGTCCACATGGTCATTCTAACCTAAGTGAGAATATTTCATTGGTACTAGCTTTTTTGAGAGGTGTATAACCACCAAATGTAATCAATTGATCTTTAAAGATGACTGAGCAATTTTGTCCCAACCCAATGCTCTCCATTTGATCGATATTGCTGTACGACATTTTAGTCCAATGTTGATGTTTAGCATCGAATTCATGTATCTCTTGAAAATAATTGTTTCTATCCCATCCTCCATATAAATAAAACTTTCCTTTATGTTCAATCATTGATGATCTTGACCTTCCACTTGGTACATCTCCACCACATTTTAATTCTTCCCATATACAAGTATCTAAGAAAAAAATAATATAATATTAGTATTATTACTTCTTGTTGATCAATAATAATTTCTTACCAAGATCAAGTTTAAACATTGAATTAAAATAAGAAGCTGGTTTATCAGTATCGAAACCACCAAATAGGTATAATGAATGATTATAAAACAAACTACAATGTGCTCTTCTTTGATGTGGAATTGTACCAGAAACAGTTACCAATGACCAATGTTTTGTTACTAAAGTAATTGATTAATTGATTGATTGTTTGATTAATATTGATTAATTGATATAATGTTTACATTTCAAGTTTTGTTTATTCTTTTTACTTACATAGATCTAATGAATATAATTTATTATTTGATTTACATCCATCCCATCCCCCAAAAACATACATATTATCGTTATATACAATGGCAGTGTGTGCAGATCTTGGAGATGGACCATTTCCTTTGGTTTCAAAGACTGTTAAACTATTTAAATTGATATCATATTGATAAACAATACTCGAGTATTGTGGTGAACATCCAGTACTTCCTCCAAACATTATTATTTTTCCATTATATAAAACTGATGTATGTTCTGTTAATTTTGGTTTCATTCCAGAATATAATATTTCTTCCCATATTCTCGCTAGAATAGAGGAATAAATAAAAAATAGAGAATTAGTACAAATTTAAATTCATTACCTATCTTTTTCTTTTTCTCTTACATTCTAAATTATATCTCCAAAGATCATTTTTAACATCACCAATTAAAGAAAGGAATTGATCTTTGTAACCATTATCACCACCATAAACATACATATATTTATCATAGAGTATTGATGATGGACACAATCTTGGGGTTGGTCTTTTAGGTTTGATACTCAAAAATGAAGAGGAATTGTTCAATGTATTAACATGAACAAATCTACCCTTCCAAATGGACATGTCGTTACATAGACCATATAATCGTTTAGATGTCAACCTAAGATGAATTAAATCATTGATTGATAGACCACTACAAATTGATATTAAAAGTTCATCTGCCATTTCCAAAATATAACATTTAGTCTTTAAAGGGATTAAAAAATATTAATAAAACTATGTACATAGATTAAATATAATATAATATATTGTATTATCACATACATCGATATTAAATTGAAATATATTGGATTTTGATAGTTCAGTACAAATTAGTATTGAATCTGATGATAAATTTCTTTGACCTGATAGTTGACATTCATTCTCTCCATCTTCATTTTGATTTATATTACTGTCTACCCAAGATTGTGAAGAAGATGATGGTTGTTGGGATTTAGAGTTTTTTGTCTTTGGACTTGTTGTTGTTGGATGATTACTAAATAATTTTAAGAATAATTTAAATAACTTTAATTGTGGTAATTTATCTTCATTATTATCCTTTAGTAATTTTTTTTATATTGTTTAAAAGAAATATAATTAGTATTATTATTATTTCATTGTTTTCTCAACAAACTACAATACCATTTTAAAATAAAATAAAAAAAAGAAAAGAAGAAGAACCTATGAAGATGATGATGGATTTAATGAAACCATAACCATATAGCCAATAGAATGAAATACATCGACTAGCCAATGCCAAGTCACGGAATGTACATTGATTAAACAAACAAAAAAAAAAAAAATCAATACAATTTGTAAACAAGCATGGGTAAAAACAAATCAAGAGATAATAGAAAGATGGTCAAAAATATCTGTACATGTCTTCATTCAGTCCATATATTAATAATACTCTCCCCTTTTTTAGTAAACTGTGTATCTTGTTCAACTCGGATGTATCGAATTCATCCAAATGATCAATCCAACAACCATAACAACAGTGTGTGTGAGGGGTGGTGAGAGTGGGTACAGATATTCGTTTAAAATTAGTACAATCAATCGAATACGTATCGGGAAACAAGTGTGGGTGTGATTTCATTAGGGTTGTGTTGTAAATTTGATTTCGAAATCATCAATAGTAAAAATATTTTGATTACCCAATCCAGTCAATAGCTATACTATACTATATTGAATTGTGATCAATATAGGTCGTAATAATAATAAATAATAATAGCATATATATATATGCCAAATTAAATTTGACATGGAAGAGAATCAATTGGTCAAAAAGTTGAGTGTTTAATAATCCACTAGAGAAAGTATAATTTTAGTTTAGTTTAACATGCACATGTTGTGATAATTATAATTAAATTTACGAATGTTTGATTGATTGATTGGAAGTATACTTGTTTCTAATGTTGTTGTTGTTGTTGTTGTTGTTGTTGTTGTTGTTGTTGTTGTTGTTGTTGTTGGTGATGCTGGTTAATAGGTGGGGTGTGTTCAATGACGACTCGTCTTGTGTTTGTTCTTATTCTTCTTATATATTATTATATGGTTATTTTAAAACTTGAATTGGATGAGTTGATAAAGGTGGTACTACAACTTTACAAACCAAACCTTCACAGAATTCACCACCACACGAACATGGCATGTCGTCAAACTCCAAGCCGTCGCTATGGTTACTACTTCGGATACTTGTCCGACTTGATGATGTGTTGTTGTTGTTGGTTGTGTTGGTTGTTGTACTGGTTGTGGGTGTATTATTATTATTGTCTCCTTGTTTCTGATTGGTAATAACAACCTCTGGTTTGGAGGTGGTGAACAATCTTTGCAACTCTCTTGTGGTTCGCTTGAGCCACGATTCATGTTCTGGTTCAGCCTCGTTATTCTTTTCCTCAGAGGGACCCAAGAAAGCACCCAATGCGCCTAGATAACCGTCGTGTACCAAAAACATGGCTTTGGTTTTACCCTTGGACCAAAAGTCTATGGCAAACGAAATACGTTGCATAGTGTTGGGATGGTCGCGGATAAAGAAGCCACCAAAGTATATCTTGTTGAGTCCGTATCTCTGTGAATTCAAATATGCAATTTGACCTATATTGTTTGATACCATTTTCAACAATGACTGTGCAATGTCCTCGCGACTGTATTTCGCCTCTTGCTGCATTTGGCCTTCTTGTTGATAGATTATCTTTCCAAAGCTGCTTGCGATCGTGTCTGACGACAGACCCACCTTACTATAGTCGGTGCCGTAAATGTCGCCCACCACAAGATCGACGTTGTTCGAGTGTCCGTTCTTGGTCATCTCCAACATCTCGTCAAAGTCTGTCGTTCCAGTCAACAAGCTACACAATCCCCAAAAAGTACCCCCTCCCAAACTGGTTCCATCTACACGTTGGAAACTAGTCTCGCTATCAACTCTTATCACACTAACTCCCGATCCAATTTGTACTAATAAATATGGATATGGATTTTCCTAAAAGTATATATAATACAATACAATATTAATAATCTCTTTGATCATTCCTTCTTTCTTCTTTCTTCATCCTTCCTTCCTTCTTCTTTATCCTTCATCCTTCATCTTCCTCTTGTTCTTTATCCTTGATCTTTTCTTTTTTTTTTGATACTTTACAACTTTATCAACAAATTCCTTTGGATTTGGTTGATTGATTTGCCCACTATAAGTATAGGATTCACGATGTATGTTGTTTAATAGAAAGTTTGTGCCTCTAATGAGACAGTGCATTTCATCTTCTTTAACTAATGTACAACCCAATTTCTGTTCAAACAAGTCTGCGTATTTATATGCACCTCCTCCAGTGACTCTAACCATTTTTGGTTTACCATCTTCAAGATGTAACTTATTTTCTACAAAATATAAATCATGTTAACAACCATTATAGGATATATATATATATATATATATATATGTATGTGTGTATGTACATACCAATAATGAAAATTAAAACAATCATCAATACTCTTTGTTTCAAATTTGATAAAGTGAAGCTTTCCACCCAACTCTCCTTGATTGGATTTACTGTTCTGTACAAAATACACTAGCTTGGCTAATGTACCGCCAATATCCAATGCAAAGTGTTTGATGGGACTTGATTGATTAGGAAGATTAATAGGTCTGTCTTTGTTGTTGTTTGCGTGTTTTGGTGGAGACGATGATACTATATGATTGTTTTCATTATGATGACTACTACTCCTACTGTTGTGACTATTACTATTATTATTATTATTATCTATACAATGTGAATGATCTCCTTCACCTTCAGTATTCTCGATTTCATCGTCTATAGAAGCAGACGAAGTCGACAATGGTGAAGACGACATATTACTATTATAATGGTTGTTGTTGTTGATATTAGTTAGATACTTGTTTGTTAATAAACCTTCTTTTATACTACTGTAAATGTAGTGACTATAGCTACTACTATTACTACTATTACTATTATAATTTATATTATTATTATCAATATTATTATTATTATTATTGTTGTTATTACTAGTAGCAGTACTTGAGGTAGTGGTTATACTCGTACTTGTATTGTTTGTGGTTTTTGTAAAAGTAGAGTTATTATCAAAATAGTGAGACTGAATGTATTGGTGAGGATGAAACACAATGTTGAAAAGAATAGAGGTTAGGGGAGAAGAACAAGTATCTGTGTTTGTGTTCTTCTTGTGTGATGACAGCCGTAATGTATTGTTGTTGTTGTTATTGTTGGTTAGGAGTTGTGTGATATTGTCTTCGGGAGGAGAGTTGTCAGTTTTTATTGTTATATCTTCATCATGACGCTGGGATTCGGATAAAAAGAATGAACCTTCCCAATTCATTTTTTTAGTCTTTTTCTTTTTTTGGCTTAGCTTAAACGACCGAATGACACCGGAATGATGTAAATTAATTAACTGAGTGTGTGTTTATCAAGATTGGTTGCTTTGATGGGTTGATGATGATGATGATGATGATGATGTGGGAGACAACTGTAACAAATTAATTTCCTTTTAAAGTATGAAATAACTATTTTAATAACTACTGTGTTTTATTAAACTTTACTTTTTTTAAAATAGCTAGAGAGTCACCCAAACAACAAACTTTTAAACGGATACTTCAAAAGAAGATTGTTGTCATAATAATAATTTGTTGGTTGTTGTTGTTCGTGTTTGTGTTGTTGACAGATATCTATCTATATTTTTCACGTCTTTCTCAGCAACCAAACATAATTGTTATTATTATTATTATTCATTTTTTATCTATTAAAATATCTCGACAACTTGTCAACTTTGTTGTCGAATCCATTCATTCATTCATTCTGGATACAAACCATGACTGAAAGATAAATGTATTTCAATCTCCCTCTTTAAATCCAATGAAGTTGTTGTCCCCTAGAGGATTAATCACCGATCGGTATCAATCCTTATTAGATCAACGAACCTACAACAAGAAATAAAATAGAAAATTGATGAATAACTAAGAAAGAAGCATCAAATAATTTGATGAAGCAAAAGACACTTGGTAGATGTAATTTACTTTAAAATAGCTCTTTGGTCGATGGGTGCAGAAATCAAAGCAAGTTTTTGATTTTTTTTGTTGTTTTAAAACAATTCAATGAACAAAGATTCAACAATTGGTGGTGAGCGGTCGTCACTTTCAACCGTTCTCACTTTTAACATTGTCTCTCTATCTTATCTTTGTTTCTTGCTTATCACCCCCACACTACTTTACTTTATTTACATTTAAGTTCAACAACTAGTAGCTAGAGATCTCAACTGGTTGTATATTTATTATTATTCATTGTATTATATTATTATTATTATTATTATTCAAACAACAACAAAGTTCAATAGGTCGATAGATAGATTGATTGAATCGATCGATTAGATATTATTATTATTATTATTATTACTATCTACTATATTTTTAGAAAAGAAAAAATAAATTAATCAAACACCCTTCCTTCACCCATCATGTCTTCATCTTCATCTTTTGGGTTCACTTTGGAATCAGTTTCAAAGGATAGTATCGATTTAATCTTACAACAAAAAGAACAAGATGAAAAGAATAGATTAGAACAAGAAGAAAAAGAAAAACAACAACAACAACAACAAGAAGAAGAATCAAAAGGAGAAGATGAAACTGGGACTAGTACTACAAGTACTACAACTACAAACACAAACACAAATGATCAAAAGATAAGAGATGGTGAGGAGGTGCAACCAGTTGTCAACAATAACAATACCAATGTTGCCGACAACACTCCAAGACAACCAGATACTCAATTGGAAGATGATGATCACAAGCCAACTACTCCATCGTCCGAGATCCTCCCAAAAATAGTTGAACCTCAAGAAGGAGAGATTAAAGGAAAGGATTTGGATGACTTGTTGGCCAAGATACCAGAGACTTATTCACTGTCGACTGTTGAAAAGGACATCAAAGGCTTTTCACAAGACTTGAGAGCCACTACAATCAAGCCGTTTGAATCGGCCGTCTTGTCAGATGTAGAGTCGAAAAAGTTAAAGTTTCCACCTCCATTGATCGCTCCGAGAACAGAAGAGGAACGATTGGCACAAGAGGAGCGCGACCGATTGACCGAGGAGAAACGTATACAATCGGGCATCGACAAAAAGAACAAGGAAGAACAAGACAAACAAGACAAAAAACTAGAAGACGAAAGAAAAAAGGAAGAGAAGAAAGATGACGAACGTAAAAAGGAAGAAGACAAGAGAAAGAAAAAGGAAGAGGAAGAGAGGAAAAAGAGGAAAAGAAAGAAGAGGAAAAGAGAAAAGAGGAAAAGAAAAAGACTGACAAGAGCAAGACAAAGATTGCAGGTCAGTTTGACAAGGTTGCCAACAAACGTGATGAAGATAAAGCTAGAGAGGATTTGATTCGTCTTTCATCACCTCCACTTGGACATCAACAACCACCAACCTTTGTAGTTGAATTAGATTTCAGTGCACATTTACCAATTGCGTCACCTGAAAATCCTCTACTTCTCTATTGGGTGCCAGAAATCACTCCAAAGAATCCTGGATTCGATAGAGATTTTCCAACTGCCGGTTGGACATACAACGAACCACTCAAGAAACTAGTATACACTCCTCCACAACCATGGACAATGTCTACTAAATACACAGTCTCTATTCCATCGACTGTCACCCTTCCCGATGAAACTACCATCCTCCGATTCAAAGAGGAACAAGTTGAGTTTTCAACAGCCACTCCAGTCATCACTAGCAAGATGGATAGTCGTTATCCAACCAATCAAACCATCCTCATTGCCTTTTCACAATTCATCTCTGTCAATGATGTACTCCCATTCATCAAGATTGATGGTTTGGCAGAACCTGTAAATCAAAACTCTCTCTACCTCGTCCCAGAAGATGAAATGTTACAAGATCCTAAAATCTCTCAACTTGTCTTGTATGTTTAAACAATAATAATAATAATAATAATAATAATTTAAACTCAGGTTACTAACCAAAATATTTATTTGATTTCATTTATGTTTATAGAGGAAATGAAGGTAAATGTATTGGAATTAAACCATTATTGGGATTAGATTCTGATAGACAAATTAGTGTTACAGTTTTGGCTGGTATGCCATCAGCAGAGGGTAGTCTAAAAACAGTTGTACCACAAAAATACCTATTCACTACACTTAGAAAGTTTGAGTGTTGTTCAATCAACTATCAACATAGAACAACCACCACTCCTCAAAGTGTCATTCTTAATTTCAACAATACTTTTTATCATACTCTTGAACAACCAGCTTCCCTAACTGTATGTATAATTTTTAAATCCTTTATAATATACCATATTCTTACTTTTATCTATATTATATTTAATTAGTGGAGACCAATAATTAAACCAGAGATTCCAGGTACATGGACAATTACACCAACATCGATGGTATTTTCAAATGAAGAACCATGGAAACATTCAACAGAGTATAGTGTTATTATAAAGGATGGACCAAATGAACCAAATGGACAACCATTGTCTGACGATGAAGAGGGTCATTTTGAAACACCACGTGTTCAAGTGAGTCATCAAGTGTGTGGTAGATTGTTTGCCGCAGAGGCTAGACACAACCCCAATTCACCCTATGCACACAATTCAATTGCCTTTTTCTACTTTAATCAATTGGTTAACCGCGAACGATTTGTTACCGAATGTCTCTCGGCCAAAGTCAATAAGTTTGCAGGTAAATCGGTTGATTTGGTCATTGTTCCACGTGAACAAGTGTTTGAATCGAGATGGGTTCCAGAGTTTCCAGATTATGTAAAGGATGACACCAAAAAGGATCTCTGGGTGGCTGTCACAGCTACCAAGGGATTCCCAGATGGCCAGAAAATCAAGTTTGACATATCAGGTGAAATCCAGTCTCTAGAAGGCCCATTAGTCCACCACACCAAGGATTCTTTCCAAATACAGGTGGCTGTAGAGTTTGAAGCATCACATAGTGTCAATCATGCCATCAATTCAATCTACTTGGATGTGACTCATCCAATTTTAGAGGAATCCAACATTACAAAGTTTAATTTAACTGGGAATGGTGTGGCATTACCAAATATCACACCTGCACTTGCCGGTCAGTGGATTGCCAATTCAGACAGACAACTGTCATTCAAGTGTGAACCTGGTACTGTCTTTCCATTATCTTCACAGTTTACTGTAGAGGTACCATTGGCTATGACATCTTTGAGTGGCCGTACGTTAAAGGAGCCATACAGATTTACATTTGACACTGAACTCCAATCTATTGTCAATGTGTCTACACCAAATAGTATCAGTGAAGGTGGCACTACTATTCATGCCAACCAGGTATTTATCATTCAGTTCCGTCAACGTGTCGATAAAAAGGCTGTCATTGGCGCTGTCAAATTAGTTGAAAATAAGACATTCTCAAAGGTATCATTTGATGTAGAGTTGTGTGATCATCCGTCACTACAACCACGAGCTGCAGGTGACACTACTGAAACTGAGCGTGATTTGGAAAAGTTTGTTGCATTCCGTCCAACCAAACCTTTGCCTTACGCTTCTCACATTCGTTTGTCTCTTGCAAGTGCATCTCTTTCAAGTCACGGTCCATTACCTTCCACCGAGATGGGACCATACGAATACAAAACATGTGAGAAATTCACTTGTCAACAATCAACTATCCTACCATCCCCAGGTTCAGTTATCTATCCAAATGCTATCATTTCAGTACCTTTTAATCGTATTTTAAAGGATGCTATTATTCCCATAGTTCAACCTCGTGTTGTACCACCAACTACAACTCCACCACCAACTACAACTACAACCACAACCACAACAACTACAACTCCTACTACAGTTGTTGCATCAGGAGATGTTGAAGATACTACTACATCTACAACAACTGCTCCAGTACAGGTCGCAGAAAAGAATTGGGATCATGTAATTAGTGTTTCACCAGCACCATCAATTCCAGGTAGATGGGAAGCACAAGGAACTAGATTGGTATATGTAACTAGTTTGGAATCAAAGTGGATTGGAAGTAACTCGTATGTAGTGACATTGAACAAATCATTGACTAGTAAATACGATGAAACTTTGGAAAAAGATATTCAATGGAAATATTCAACCGATTTGAATCATCCTACTGAGACGTACCCACAAAACAGTCAATTTATTGCAGTTGATCAAGCTAGATTTATTTCGATCAAGTTTGCTCAACCTATTGACCGTGTGTCACTTGCCAAACAGGTATCTGTCGATTTGGTAGGAGATGACAAGAAAAAGATTGTCCACAAGTTTGTGTTGGCCGAGGCAGCCGACGCAGAAGCTGTTGGAGTGGACCGATACACCGACAACCACTGGTTATGCTTAAAGCTTGAACCAGTGACAAACAGCGTGCAAATCCAAATCAATCTGGTCAATGTGTCATCTACAAACGGTCCATTGACCAACGACACCAAGTTCCAGTACAAGTTTAATGTGTGTCGTAGTATTCGTGTTCAGACAACCTACTATTTCGAGGGTAGTGTAATTGTCACTTTTAGCGAGCCGTTGGCTGGTGAGAAAAACAGTCAGTTGCCAATCGACTGGATGCCAACCATCGTACCTGACCCAGGCGTTCAAATGCTTTGGAAGAGAACAGATGGAGATGAGTCGATGATTGGGTTACCAACCACCCGTCTCCCGGGTAGTACCACATACACCATCCAATTGCCATCGGGAACAATTACCACCAAGAATGGCACGGCGTTCATCCCAGAGGAATCAGATGCCAAGCGTCTAGTATTCTCCACACCGTCAGTTGAATTGGTTCGTTCGTACCCATCGCATTCAAGTCAGACCGTCTTTTTAAAGCGCCCCTTTTTAATGCAGTTTAACCAGCGTATCGACCGTGCATCCGTCCTCAAGCGTATCAGCGCGCACACTGGCAGCGGACTTAAAAAGAAGAAGATTCCGGTCGAGTTGTACGAGGATTTTTCAAAGTTTGAAGAATACTATGGTCACTTGAACCCCGACATGTGTCTGGCTGTCAAGCCAGCCGACAAGCATGGTGCGTGGGTATGCGACACCTCGTACACTGTGTCGATCAAGGAGGGTATGCGGTCGACTGAAGGTACGATCGAGTCAGACTATGCCACCGACGTGACGTTCCTCACACTCACCAACAAGCCGGTCGTCGTCATGAGCAACGGACACGTCGCCATCAACTTTTCGCACGCACCCTTTACCACAGCCCAAGTGACTGCTCGCGAGTTGTTTGACGTGTCTGTGCGTCCCGACTGCGGTGCATCGCCGCTGCGTTGGAATATTACCGGCACCAACCAGGTCACTTCCAGCGTACCATTCCAGAATTGGAAGTTGTCTACGTGCTACAAATTCAAGTTGCCAGAAAACTTGGAATCACTCCACGGATTTGTACTCGACACTAACTCACTCGACGAGTTGGGCAAGTTGTCGCCACTCAACTCGGTTGCTCAGAGCAGCGGATACCCTACCCTGTCACACGGTGTGCACTGGCTGCGTTTCAACCAGCGTATTGACCCAGTCCGTGTACTTGAGCAACTCAAGTTTACATCGTCCAAAGGTTTGTTGATCAAGTCAAAGACACACCACAAAGTGCGTCTGGCAACACCCGAGGAGATTGAGCATCATCTAAAGACATGTGATTCGCGTAGCAAGATACTTGCCAGTCATTTAAACGACGCATCGTCGGTCGAAAAGATGTTGGTCTTCCACCCGGTCGACCCATTCCCAAGCGGTGAAAAGATCGAGGTTGAACTATCGACCATCTCGTCCGAGGAAGGTCCCATAATCAACAAGTCACCCTACACCACCTATTTCCATATCTACCCTCTCTTTGAGGTCAAAGACTGCTCGGTAGAGAATGCCAAAAAGGCGTATATTGGAGACACGATCACACTTACATTGTCGAGTCAAATCAAGATGCTCAAACCTGAGCACATCAAAATCGAGCCAGAACAACCCTACAAGATCAGCGTCAACTATCGTCACATCACCATCACCAACTGTAAACCAAAGACATTCTGGAACAAGGATATTGACTTTAAGATGACACTCAGCAACCAAATCTACGATGAACAAGGTCAACATCTCCATCTTGGAAAGGGGTACAGTGTTGAATGGAAGGCCAAACCAAAATCATTCCACTATGACTTTATGTATGGATGGGACAAGACGTTCAACCGTACCATCAACACTATCAATGTTGGTTCTCTCCTAAAGGGAGACGTTCCATCTATCTTGGTGCGTACACTCAACTTGACAGAGATTCGTGTACAGTTGTACCGTGTCAATCCATACACCGACTTCCACAACTTTTACGATGAGTCGTTGCCATCGGCCTACTCGCAGTCTTTCAAGACAAAGACGGGTGAGTTGTTGTTTGACGAGGTGCTCCCCATCGAAGTGTTGGAGAATGAGGTGATTGAGAGTTATATTGACCTCACTCCAGCTTTGAATGCCGAGACTCGTCACGGACATGTTGGCATCATCCTCATCCCCACGCCATCGGCTGTCTACCCCAACAAGGACGCCTTTGTTCCATTGAGGGCTTGGGTGCAGTGCACTAACCTCGCTGTCGGTGCCATCGTCGACACCAAGCACGTCACAGCATGGACCAACAACTTGGAGACTGGTGAGAAGGTGTCAGGTGCCAAAATCACCTCCATCGCCACACTCAACTACTACAACCAACAACTCAAGTTTGCCAAAGCACAGGACAAGAAGCAACTGTATCTTCTCCAAAAACAGTCTGGAAACATGGTCGACGGTGTCACTGGTGATGACGGTGTTGCAAGAATTGCAGTGCCTGCCAACTATTTGGCCAGTCAATTACACGTTGTTGCTGAAAAGGATGATGATGTTGTCATCCTCACAGATGTCTATACCAAGCCAGCAGGTGTCGTCAAGAGTCTTGCATGGCACGTATTTGACGATCAAAGCCTATACCGTCCAACCGGTACAGTTCAAGTCAAGGGGTACCTTAGATACTTGTCTCGTGCAGCTGCCGAGCACTCTGTACATATCTCTACCCTCCAAAAGGACATGCTCGTCAAATGGACACTTTCTGACGCATCAGATAGTCAGATTGCCAAGGGTGACAGTCGTACCAATGTATTTGGTCAGTTCTCATTCCCAATTAAATTGGTCGAGAACATGAACCTTGGTACCGCCAAGATCAAGCTGTGGGTTGACGAGACTGAAAAGGAGTTCAAGACCACCGGTGGTGACCATCCCTCTGTCACTGTAAAAGCGTCCGAAGTCAAGCTACTCGAGTTTACACACGAGTTCAAGGTACAAGAATTCAAGCGTCCAGAGTTCCTAGCATCGACCGAGTACTTGTTGAATGAGTTGAACAAATTCTCGGGTTACACTATCGTTCAAGTCAAATCTACCTACTTTGAAGGTGCTGCCATGTCAGATACCGACACCAAATGGCGTGTTGAGAGTAGAAATGGAACTTTCAAACCACCTGGATTCTCTCACTTGCACTTTGGATTTGATGAATCGTTTACTTCACTCCTCGACTCTTCCATCAAACAATGTAAATATATTGAAGGAAAGACTGCCGATGATGGTACACATGCAGTCAAGATTGCATTTAATGGTGTCGTACCAAACCCACCATCACCCGTATTCATCGATGCGTCTGTCGATATGCACGATATTAACAATCAAGTAGTTGCATCAACTGCACGTATCATCTTGCATCCATCCGACATTTACTTGGGTTTGCAAGCTGACAATATCTCGAATCTAACCATCACCGATGCTACGGTTCGCGAACCACTTGTTTTTGATATTGTAGCAACCGATGTTGATGGAAAGATCATCCCAGATGTACCAGTGCAGGTTGTATTTAAAGCTACTGCCGGACTTGCATCCAAGGAAGCTCCACACAGATTCGAAGAGACATTTGTCACTACTCAACATCCAACCGCCTTCCGTCTCCCATTGATCCCACCCAAATTCAAGCCAGACAATGAACCAGTTGTCTACAAGCTGACTCTTACCGCAAAGGATTTAGATGGAAAGGAGACTGTCACCTGTCATCAGGTCAATATCTCTTGGAAAATGTCTGAATATGATCCAAAGGTCGTCGTCCCCCAAGCACCAAGCATTGCCTTGCCAGTCATCACCGCCGAGACTAATTTGGCCGGTACCTACAATCCAGTCACTGTCGACGCTGTCAAGCCTACAAAGTACCATATCGATACCAAAGCATTAGACTATGCAGTCATGTCAGAGTTCAAGGTTACATTGGACAAGGAGTTGTACAACCCAGGTGAAAAGGTCAAGATCCAATTACACACTCCACTCCGCGAAGCATTCAGAGGTGTCGTATCTATCCTTGCCAACGGTGTCTTGGCCACAAAGAGCTTTGAGTCGGATGGCAAGGACAGTCCATCTGTCTATGAACTAGAGGTCATTGAACAATGGGCTCCAGTCGTCACTCTTCAATGCGATATTTGGTATGCTGGTCGCATCAATCGATTCTATGGTAGTCACGTACTCAACGTTGTTCCAGTGAGCAAGAAACTATCTGTCACTATCACTCCCGAAGAAGAAGATGTTGAACCAGGTTCCACCACCAATATTGTAGTTGATGTTAAGGAATTACTGTCTGGTGCACCAGTTGCCAATGCCGAAGTTTGTCTATTGGTCGTTGATGAATCCATTTTATCACTCACCAATTATTCCATTCCCGATCCAATGGCATCTTTCTATCCTCAATCTGGTAATCCATATCCAGAGCAATTCTTCCGTGGTGTCAGTAACACAAGCATCGCCCTACAAACCAACAAAAAGGCTCCACTCAAAGTACCACCCAAAGCACAACCACCTACTGTACAACCAGTCGCCGCTGAACCAGTCGTACACGAACTTGAAATGAGCTTTGAGCCAGAGCACCACGATAGCCTCGGTGGTGAATTGCTCGAAGCAGGTTTACTTGGTGGTGGATCAAAGGACTTTAAAAAGAAGAGTAGTTCTGTACTCTCACCTACCTCTTCCACCTCTACCACATCACGTTCAAATGATTATACTTCAGCTACTCCAACTGGATCTCAAGCTAGTGTAGTATTGGGTATGTAGCAAAGACAAACAATAATATTTTTAGAATTTCAACAAACTAATTATTTTATTTAACTTTATTTTCTAGATATTCTTGATACAGCAGGATGTGAAGAATACTCTGCAATACGTGAATTGTATTATCGTACATCTGTTGGATTTGTTTTGGTTTATTCAATCAATAATCTATCTTCATTTAATGAAATAACAACCTATTTTGATCAAATTTGTCGTGTCAAGGATTCAGAGGACGTTCCAATTGTTTTGGTTGGAAACAAGATTGATCTTGAAAATGATCGTATGGTTACAACCGAACAAGGAGAGACTCTTGCACGTACACGTGGTTGGAGATTCTTTGAAGCATCTGCCAAGACTGGAGTCAATGTCGACAATGTATTCAAAAACATTGCTGCCATGATCCGTAAAAAGACTGGTGGCAATGAGATTAAATTGGCCATGATTGGAGATGGAGGCGTTGGCAAGAGTGCCCTTACCATTCGTTTCAACCAGGGTCATTTCATTGATGAATACGATCCAACCATTGAAGACTCTTACCGTAAACAAGTGTCGATTGACGATGAAGGTGATGGCCAGCAACAAAGCTATGCCAAGAGCAAAAAGAAAGGAGGTGCCATGTCATTTGGATTTAGTAGTAAGTCAAAGAGCTATAACACCTCTTCGGCCAGATCATCTGCTCCTCCTGCACCTCGTGCATCATCATCGGCATCTAATTCCAGTCTCCCTCAGCCTCCCCCACCAATGCTATCGGCTGGTGCCCCTCCCCCACCACCAGGTTCATCTGCACAATATAGAAAGAGCTCATTTGCTGAAGCCAAGGAGGAACTTCAAGACTGTGGACTATCATGTGGTGATGAAATGATGGAGTCTATTCCAGAGTATGATGACAATGGTGAATCTGAGGATGAAGAGGTCGAAGAAGAGATCGATAGCATTGCATTGATGCGTACCAACTTTGACGCTCTTGCCAACTTTACACCATCGGTTTCTACTGATGCTCAGGGCAAGTGTACCATCCCCGTCACAATGCCCGACAATCTCACCAGATACCGTATTTGGGCAGTAGTATCCAACTCTACCAACCAAATGTTTGGAAAGGGTGAAGGTATGGTCAATGCCAAGATCATGTTGTCCACTAGATGTGTACCACCTCGTTTCCTTAGTTTGGATGATCTTAGCACTATTTCCGTCGTTGTCACCAATCTCTCCAACAATGACCGTATTGTTAAACTCGGTGTCAAGCTCTCTGAGCATCTCGTCATTGACAATGACACTTCTGACGCATGTATCGGTCAATTTGCAATGGTTGCCAAGAAACGTCGTCGTGTGTTTACATTTACTGTACGTGCTGTCAACTCTGGTCATGCATCGATTCACATGTCTTGTGTGTCTGGTCAGTATGGTGACGCAATGGAAATATCGATTCCTGTTCACCAACCACCCACCACCCGTACCTCATCCATCTATGGTGTCGTCGAGGAAAGTGGAACTGTGCAAGATGTCAAGATGCCACTCGACTCGCTACCATTCTTTGGTAAGCTCAACATTGACATCTCGTCAACCATCATCCAAAATATTGCCGATCTTGCATTCAAGCTCTGGGAGTACCTGTATGCCCGTACTGAAAACTATGCTTCCGTATCGATTGCAATGATCTCGCTCGTCAATCTCTTTGACAATCAAGCCGTTCTTTCCTATCTCCCACCAACCAAAACAATCCGTTCTCGTCTCCGTTTCATTCTCGATCACCTCAGACAAAGACAAAGACAAGACGGTTCATTCTATTCATGGTCTGCCTACACTGGAATGATCTGTGATTCCTTTGAATCCATCCATGCCTGTCACGCCATTGCAGTAATGAACTCTAACGATTATTCCATGTCCCAATCAACTGTCAACAAAGCTATTGATTATCTTCAAGTTTTAACTGCCGAACATATCAATACAAACAATGGCTATCAAAGAATTGCTTGTGCTTATGCCTTTGTAAGTAGAAAAGAATATTCTTTTCAGATTTTAAATTATATCAAACTAATAATCTTTCATTATTTTATTTTTAGTATGTATTATATCAATTACATACAAACAAAAAGAAAAAGATTCAAGTAGCAGAGGAAGCATTGAAATTCTATCATGCCAAGAATGTTTATGATTTCTCACTTGAGTCGTTGGCCTGGATTTTAGGATGTTTGGGAGTAGACCCACAATTTGAAAAGAAACGTGATGAAATTGCCAACTTTATCATTAGTCAAGCCTACGAGGAAGATAACATGCTCCACTTTAACTCTTACTATGGAACCAGTATTCGTGTCCAAATTTTCCACGAACCAGTAAGAACCTCGGCCGTCATTCTCAAGTCATTGGTTGAGAGCAAATCCAACCATGAAGCCATTCCAAAGATTCTCCTTGGCATTTTGGACAAAAAGACAAACGGTGTTTGGACCAACGTTCATTCCAACTCGTGGATGGTCGCTGCTGTTGCTGCCTATGCCCAAACCTATGAAAAGACAGTTCCCAAGTCAGTCGCCCGTGCTTGGTTGGTCAAGAATGCAGACAGTGCCACTGAAATCAGAGGTATCTACTGCGGTCAAACCCCAGTCTTTGAAGGACGTTCAACCAACTCGTACTCGATGGAGATTCCTTTGGCTGCTCTCTTTACCAAGAGAGAATTAAAGCAAGCTCCTGCTACTGCCTCTCTTCTCTCTGCTGAATTAAGTTTTGGCAAAAACACCATCTCCAAGTCAAAATCCAAACAATCCAAGGAGGATTTGAAACCATCGACTAGCAACGAAGCATTGGCCACTCCTGCTACCACTGCCTCGGTCGATCAATTGGCCATCATCAAGGAAGAACAACCACCACTCGTCAACGAAACACTTGCGAAACCAATCCTTACTCCAGACTCTGAAATTTGGTTACAAAAAGAGGGTAAGGGCAAATTGTTCTATAGAATGAATGTCCAATACGCTCCATCCAATCTCAAGGTGGAATCTGAAAACAATGGTATGACAATCACTAGAAAATTGATTCCAAAGGGTGACAGAGACAACCTTGTCTTTGACAAGGAAAGAGACGCCTATGTCATGAGTGTTGGAACTTGTGCCACCGTCGTCCTCGCTGTCAGCACTGAAAAGAATCGTTACAATATTTGCATCAACGACAAGTTGGCAGGTGGTGTTGAAACCATTGACAAGGATACCAAACTTGCTCCCAACTGGGACCATGTAAACTATCGTGATGAAAGAACCGAACTTTTTACCTCAAAGATTGAACCTGGAAGATACGAATTCAAATACAATATTAGAGCAACCACCAAGGGTACTTTCTTAATTCCACATGCCATTGTCGAAGAAATGTATTGTTCAGAAGTAAATGGTAAAACTAGTTCATCAAAACTTATCATCGAATAAACTATTAATTAAATAAATAAATTAAATAAATAAAATAAATAAATAAATAAATTTTATGTAAAAAAAAAAATAACTTTTATATATTTATATACAATCATCTACATTTGAGATAGATAATGGTTGAAGCAGCTAACTTTTTTCTTAAGAATGTTCAGAAAGCTTTTTATAATAGGGTATTTTGCCTGCTAATTTTAATCTTCTATATGATTCTCTCATATGTCTGGGACGAATTGGTCCCCGTTCTCCCCATTCTTCCATTATTGTCCTAGCTAAATTTATAAGAGAGAGTTTAGTTTAGTTGTGATGATTCCAAAAATATATATAATAATATTATTTATCCATCTAACTTACATAATTCAACAAGTTCTCCAACAAAAACTTTTGTAATACCAGCCATAATAATTACACTATTCTGATTTACATTTGTACTTGGAATGACAGCTTGCATCACCTTTTTAATATTTGCTCTATTAAAACTAGATCTACGATAAAATTCATATCTAGTTTGTTGTTCTTCTGAAAATTGATCAAATAGTGTTCTAAATAAATAATAATCAAAATTGAATTAGAAATAATATACTTTGATTGAATTTTGTTTTGAGACTTACTCTATTAAAGATGTATCATCTTGTACATGAGCATAACTTGATGATAAAGCAACAGTTTCATCATCTTCTCCTTCTCCTTCAACATCTTCTTCACCTTCCTCTGCTTCTTCTTCTTCCTCTTCTTCATCCTCTTCATCTTCATCTTCTTCGTCTTCGTCTTCATCGTCTTCATCATCTTCATCATCTTCTTCTTCTTCCTCTTCTTCCTCTTCTTCCTCTTCCTTTTCTATATCTTCTTCTTCCTCTTCTTCATCCTTTTCCTCTGTTGCAGCGGTCGATTCTTCCTTGTCAAAGTCTTCGTCCTCTACATCTCTCTTTTTTCTCTTGAGAGGTTGTGCGCTCGGAGGTGATCCAATAGGACGCTTTCCAGTGATAGATGCAGTTGGAGTAGAAGCGGTCGTAGTAGTAGTCGTCGTAGTAGTTGTTGTAGAAGTTGTAGAAGTAGATGTGCCAGGAGATAATAGTTCGGGTGGTGCAACGATCATCGATGCATCTTGACCATCCTTTCCCTTTTTTGCTTTAGGTTCTTTCTTTGATTTCGTTTCTTTTGGTGTCTTTGGTTCTTTCTTTGCTTTAGGTTCCTTTGGTTCTTTAGGTTCCTTAGGTTTCACCTCTTTCTTTGCTTTAGGTTCTTTCGGTTCCTTTGGCTCTTTTGGTTTCACTTCTTTCTTTGCCTTTGGTTCTTTAGGAGGTTTAGGTTCCTTTGGTTCTTTAGGTTCTTTAGGTTTCACCTCTTTCTTTGCTTTAGGTTCCTTTGGTTCCTTTGGCTTTGCCTCTTTCTTTGCTTTAGGTTCTTTTGGTTCCTTTGGCTCCTTTGTCTCTTTCTTTACCTTTGGTTCTTTCTTTCCTTTAGATGTTGGTGTTGGTGGAGGTGGAGGTGGTGATCCCGCTCCTCCATCCGTTGGTATTTCTGACATCTTCTTTCTTTCTTATATATATAACTTTTTCTATATATATTTTTTAATAATGAACGAAAATGAAATGAGCGATGCATTGATATTAAAATTCGAATAAATTTGAATATTTTCGAGTGTGAACTACACTAACAGCTAAAAAGATCTATTTCCTTTGGTGCAATTTTCATTACAGATAAATAACAAAACAACAATACAGATGCAAGGAGGAGACGCTAGACACATTATCACTCTTTCACCAACAAGCAGTAATGCTACTTTACCAACTCTTGTCTTTTCAAAAGTAGGATCATTTGATGTTGGTAGAGTTTCTCTCAAGGTTGATGAAAAGAGATGTTCAAGAAAGCAATTGATCATCAAACTAGATGACCATTCAAACTATTATGTTTCAAGTGTAAGTATGATACTATCTTTTTTTGATCAATCAATTCTCTTCTTCTCATCCACATATTAATCAATGATTTGTCTCTCTCTCTCTCTATTATAAATAGGATGGAATGAACCCATCATATCATAAAAAGTATAACAAGGATGATTTTATTCAAGTATGTATACCAATGAGCGACTGTACAGATCTGGGTTGGTATTAACATGTTGATTGATCAAACTTTTAGATGACTAAAAATCAAGAATATGAATTAGAGGATGGAGATCAATTATCACTTTTATATGAAATGTATGCACTCAATGTATCCATTGCATCGAATCCAAACTTTGTTGCTCCTAAAAAACCAGTATCAGCGGCACCATCAACATCATCACCATCAATACCAGTATCTAAAACATCGATCCTAAAACGAAAGGATCCAGATACCACTCCAGCTGCAGCTGCAGCTGTACCACCACCTCCAAAGGATATGGATGATTATAGTGACTTTTTATCATCATCATCAACAGCAACTACCACTTTTACAACAACAACATCATCATCATCAAAACCATCTTCTCAATCTGATAATTCCGATGTTGCAACCATCAAGAAACAAAAGATGTCTGATTTACCAGAATGCGAGTATGGAAAAAAATGTTTCCGTAAAAATCCACAACACTTTTTAGAGTATTCCCATCCCTGGAAGAATGAACCAACTTCATCATCATCATCGGATACTCCAGCCAATTCTACAAAGACATCAACCACCCCAACTTCATCCCCTGCATCTTCACAATCATCTGCAACTACAACATCTGTGACTGCCCAACCAATTGCAACTAAAACAAATAATACTAATCAAAATAATAATAATAATAATAATAATAGTTCTTCTTCTTCTGCTACAACCTCTTCATCTACTTCGACAGCTGCACCAAAAGTTACAAGCTCATCAACCACTTCCCTACCGTCATCATCATCTTCCTCTTCTTCATCCACAGTTGCACCTAAAGTTGCAAGTTCATCATCGACAACACCATCAACATCAACAACAACATCAGCAACAACAAAGTCAATTTACCAAAAAAAGAAACCAACGGAAATCAAAAATAGACAATTGACATTCCCATTCATATCTACTTTTATTTATAATTTCGATGCTAAAAAGGCAACTGATGTTGCTGGACCAGAAATTGCAGAATATTTAAACGTACACAAAGGTGAAGATGATATTAAATTAATCATGGTTGTCGATAAATCAATTTATAGCCAAACTTTGGTTAATGACTTTAAAAAGGTAAATCCCATACACAACCAATTCCATACCTATCACACTATCTTTACTTATACTCTTACTCTTTACTTGTAGTATATAAATGATAAAAGATTTGAAATTAAAAGTTTTGATATTACAAATGATAAAGATCAATTTAAAACAGATACTAGATTTTACGCAACAGAGACTACATGGAGACTAAAGAGAACTGCACAAAACAAGATTCTTTACGATATAGCTGGTGTTGAGGAGTTGGAAAAGAATACCAAAACCAAATATCCAAATACTGGTAAGGCTGGATGTATCTATCCAGTTACCTTGGACGTTGACAATGTTTTACATTCAGAATATGGAATGGATGCCCTTTTCCTTTTAATTGGTCCAAATCTCAACGACAAGAAACCAGATTGTTTACACGATCATGAAGAAGCCACCCCTGTGCTTGCCGACACCTACAGACAATTATTTACCCTCTTGGACAACTATAATTGTTAACAAAGACAAAGACAAAAGAACAACATTGTTATTGTTGAAATAAATACTCAACAAGGTGTAAAATTATAATATTTATTAAATATTTGGTTATTGTTTTTGTTTTTTCATACTAAGCGAAACAGTCTTTGGTTTTGATGGAGTTGTTATTGGTGTGACAACTGGTTCCGTTGACTTTCTTTTGCCTGTTGAATACTTGCTTGAATCATCTTGGGAATAGAAATCATCTTCAGAGGCACTATCAGCATCGACATTGTTAACATTGACTATTTTAAATGAACTATTTACTTGAGAATTGGAATAATAAGATGATTTGACTCCAGTAGTAGCAGTAGTAGAGGTAGTAGAAGTAGTAGAAGTAGAACTACTGCTAGCAGGAGTTGGTTTGATAGCGGTATTTGAAGTAAGATCCAAAACAACAGGTTTTGGGAAATAGGTCATCTCCTCGGTTGATTTGATAATTCCTTGATTGTAATCTTGAATGGCACTAATAAAAGCTTTACCCAATCTTTCAATTCTTCTTTGTGTAAAGAAATTTACTTGTTTGAGTTGCTCCAAAGTCGATGGTTTGACAGTAACCAACTGTTCAAGACCATCTTCTGACAAAATATGGTATGGGAAATCAGACGTTTGATCGACAATGTGTTGTCTAACCGAGAGGAGGAAGTTTCTAAACTTGCTGTCAGCATTGGCTTGTTGTTTCTTTGCAGTAGTCTCAAAGTCAATTGATCTTTCTGCTCTAAACTGTAAGTTTATAGTCATTGAACCTCTTAATAATTCATTTACTTTTGCACCAACCTAAAAATTTTAAATATTAGTATAAAAGTACAATAAATAAATATTTATATTATTTAACTTACAGCATAATGAACAATTGATGAACCATACTTTGGATTTCTAGTCACAATCTCTCTTAGAACACCTCTGACAATCAATTCACGTAAAAGTCTATCAGCAGTTTCTTTATCGATTTTCTTACCAGAACCATGACCTTCAATATCCTGGTAGTTCTTGGTCAATAGCTCTTTTCTTCTAGATCCCTTGAAAATATCCAAAACCATTGTAAGACTTTCTTGTTTGACAGCCATAACAATCTTTGCCAAATTAATGGCATCATCTGTAACGTTGGTCAAACTGACTGCAGAGCTACTCATACAATTATCACATGTTTTTAAACAATTCTTTGGATTAAAATCTTCTCCCAAATACTAAATTATAATAAAGAAAAAAAAAAAGTTAATATTTTGATTTTATCTCTTCTCTTTTAACTTACAGATAATTGTAATTTTCTTCTACAATCTATACTATTTTCACAATAAGCAACAACTCTACCAAGATTTTCTTTGTTTTCTTTTGGAGTATTACTTTCTTGCATCAAAAGTTCATATCTAAATTTATCCTTGTAGGCATAGTACAGTAAACAATGAGAAGGTTTTCCATCTCTACCGGCACGACCACTTTCCTGATAGTAACCTTCAAGTGTTTTTGGAAGAGAATGATGGATAACAAATCTAACATCAGGTTTGTTGATACCCATACCAAAGGCAATGGTACTACAAATAATTTTAACACGATCTCTTGTCCATCTTTCTTGAACTCTTTGTCTATCACCAGCATCCATTGATCCATGATAAAAATCACTTGATAATCCTTTTTTACTAAAAAAAAAAAAAAAAAAAGAAGAAAAGGATGATTTAGAAATCTTTGATCTTTAATTTTTTTATAATTTCTTACTTTTAGTTCACCTGAAACAGTTTCACAATCCATTTTACTTAGACAATAAACAATACCAGAGCTTTTCGGATAAGTTTTCTTGATAAAACTAGCAATACTTTCAATGACTTCTTTTGTTTTCTTCATCACTGCAAATGTAAGATTTGGTCTATTGAAACTTTGTTTAAAACATACAGAGCTTCTCATACCAAGGTTAGCAATGACATCAGCCTTTACACGCTCGGTTGCAGTTGCTGTAAGAGCGAGAATAGGTAGACGTGGGAAGTTGGATTTGAGTACAGATAGCTCCTTGTAGTCTGGTCTGAAATCATGACCCCATTGAGATACACAATGTGCCTCATCAATAATCACTCTTGCAAACATTTGTCTAGAATACAAATTTGAGAAAATACCCATCATTCCTTGATCTTGAACAATTCTTTCGGGTGTAAGATATAAAAGTTTGGTTTGTGGATCTGTAGATTTGATGTCTGCATAGATCTCTCTTTTTTCATCTGCATCTGTTGCACTTGTTAGAGATCTAGCCATATAACCCATACCTTTTAAAAAGGTTACTTGATCTTGAATAAGTGAAATCAATGGTGATATAATAACTGTTAATCCTTGGTTCATATATGCTGGAATCTAAATAAAATAAAATAAAGAATTAATAAATAAATGGATAAATATCATATTTATGTTTTTTAGCATACTTGATAACAAAGACTTTTACCACCACCAGTTGGCATTAAAACAAATACATCATTTCCATCCATTGCAGCATTGATAATCTCCAATTGATTATGTCTAAATGATGCATTACCAAAAAGTTCTGAATTGATTCGACGAGCTTCGTCGGTCCATGGAAACTTTGCGGAGAATTTGGAGTTGTCAGTTTCTTGTATTGGAACCGGTATTAGTACCGCCGGTGAATTATCACCCTTGTAACCATTAAACCTTGAAGATGGTGTTGAAGAAGATGATCGAATATCTACACCAACATCACCATAATTATAATCTTCATCATCCAAGTTGTATGGCATATTATTATTATTGTTGTTATTGTTGTTGGAATAGTCATCATCCAAATCAAAATCAAATTCATCAATATCGATAACATCATGATTTTGATTTTTAGAGTTGTTATTGTTGTTGGTTGTTGTTGTGGTTGTACTTGTAAATCCACCATCGCCAAATGGATCGTCGTCATCCATATAAGAGGTAGATGGAGGCGAATTTGAAACAAAACTTGAATTTGTTTTTGGACTATTAATATTATTTACAGGGGAGGTAACTTTAATGGGTGTTGGCATGACTACATCATCATGACCTCCAAATATATCATCATCATGGAATCTGTCGTTATGATTTGTATTATCATTAAAATAATCATTGTCATTATCTTCTTTTTCTTTTTTAAAATTATTATTACTATTATAAGTTGTCTGACTACTACTATTATTATTCTTGTTGGTTTGATAAGATGATGACTTGTTATCATTGAAATTGTTATAACTATTATTATTATTATTATTGTTGTTGTTGTAGCTACCGTTATTATTATTATTATTATAGTTGGCGCTATTATTGTTGTTATAGTTGGTACTATTATTAAATGATCGGTTATTTGTATAATTACTATTTACATGGGTTGTTGAGATATTATTATTATTATTTTGAGATTCTTCTATTTGATTCCTCAAAGATTTCATTTCCTTTTTAATATCATCCAATTCATCAAGCCACTTTAACTTTGCTTGACTTGTTGCTGGCTTCTCTTTCTTTAGTGTCCATTTCTTTTCTTTTAGATCGTAAAACTTGACTTTAAGTAATGACAATTGATCGATACTTGAAGAAGAGTTTGAGGATATTCGAGGTGAAGATGAGGATTTATAACCATTGGTTTGTCCATTGTTACTATAATTGTTGTTGTTTGTTTTTTTGTTTGAATCATCTTTGTCAAAGCTATATGTCTTGTTATTGTTGTTATTGTTATTGTTTCTATTATGGTTGTCATCATCAAAAGTATCGGAAAAGGGTAAATCGGATCCAAAAGGATCGTCGTCATGATAAACATGTGCATCTTCATCAGAACTAAAAGCCATGGTATTATTCTTGTTGTTGTTGTGTTTGTTTGATGAAGTTGCTGTTTGAGCAGGTACTGGTGTTTTTTGTGCAGATACCGGTGCTTTGAAAGTATTGTTGTTTTTGTTAAAAGATTGATTGTTACTGTGGTTGCTATTGTTGTTGAATGAGGATGACTTGGCTGCAGCGGTAGTCGATGACGACGACGAAGATGTTAAAGATGTAAATGTTGATGAAGCTGAATAGGCAGTAGTATTCTTTGTTGTAGCTTGTTTGATTGGTAGCGCAGGGGGAGGAGGAAACTTTTGATTGAATACAGTTGTCGATGACTTCAAAGTTGTCGTCAATGTCTTGCTACTCGATGCTATTTGTTCGTTGGATGGGAATGGAGAGCCAGAGTAATCTTTATCCTTGTTGTAAAGTGTTGCTCTTATAGGTGTTGTGAAATACTCTTGACTTGTCTTTTCAATAAAAGTATTCAACTCTTGTTGATAGTTACTCTTGTTATTATTACTACTACTACTACTATTACTGTTATTACTATTACTACTATTATGATTATTATTATTATTGGTTTTGTTGGTTATTCCTTTCTTCATTGTTGCATGGTCATTCTAGATTAGATTTCAAAACGAACGAACAAACGAATGGGATGAATGAATAAGAATGGTTTTAAAAAAGAATGATCGCAATCTTATCTTTAGATCTTACGAATAAAGTTGGTTGTGAGAGATACTCTATATCTATAGTTAAATAAATATATGTAATAATGAAAGAATTAGCTTTAATGAAAATGATGAAATTACCCAAAGTTTTTGAAAAGCCTATTTTCTCGGAAATTGGACCTTTTAAAGACAAAAATAGGCACAGAGTCTATCAATATTGATTGAATTTATAAAAGTACAAGATTTATTTATTATTTGTTTTAATATGTTTTAAAAAAAAAGATACTCTATCTATTTCTTCTCCTTAAGATTGATCCAATCAATCCCAATTCTTCTATTCCAATCACAAACCAAAAAAAAAAAGTAAATATTATCAAAGAGTTTAATCTTCTCTATGATGAATTGGTTGTTGATGTTGTTGTTGTGAAGAAGTGGATGATCTTGAGGAAGATGATGATCCAGAGGAATGAACATCAATGACTGAAGCAGTGATTTCAATTGGTCTACCATCATTGTTTAATAACAATTTTGAAACATTGCTAGAGTTTTTGAAAAGTTGAGTTGGGAAGACGAGGTTGACGTCAAATTGGAGATCCTTGTATTGGACTGAAACAGTCTTTGGAATAACATCGACCGGTGAACTGGCACGGATATCTTGGACAAGATCCATGGGAGAGTCGGTGGTGGCGTGTTCAGGTTCAGTCTTTTGAGTGGTTCTATAAGAGATGCGGACAGAGCTGTTGTTGACAACTGGCAATTCAGCAATGTCACAGGTATCCATAACCGATGGAGTGGCGAGTGGACGAGAGAGAGTGTTGGTAGATGGCTTCATGACAGATGGTGAATTGAGTGACTCTGATTCGGATTCTTCGTGGTCTTGTTTACGTTTCTTTTGGTTGGTTTCGACATTCTTGAGTAATACCCATGATGGCTCGATAGTGATTTGTAAATTACCAGAGGATGAGGAGGCTTGGTTGTTGTTTTGGTTGATGTGTTTACTAAAGAGTGGAGACTCGACTGGAGAACCGTAAAAGTCAGAGGTAAGTGGAACTCTGCTGCCTGGAAGACCGAGTTGATTCATACGACTGTTGGCAAAGGCTGAACGAGATCCGGCGGTTGGATTGGTGAATGCGTGGTGTGAGAATGGATTACTCGAGATGATAATCGAGCTTATAAATAATACAAAGATAAAGAAACAAGCGAGACGTTGTCCACTTGAAGTGACACCTGGACCGATTGATAATGGATTAGAGAATGGTGAGAATGATACAACTGATGATGAACAGTTTGCATTGTTTGAATTAGAGTTGGAACTTGAACTTGGACGATGAATTTCATATTTCAATCTCTTATTCTCTTCCTCTAATCTATTGATTCTATCATTTGCTTCTTTTAATTGATCTTCCAATTCTTCAACAAACTTTGTCTTTTTGGCTCTTGATTTTTGTGCACTTTCTCTATTTTTAATTTTTCTAAAAGTAGAAATAAATAAATAGGTTAGTCAATTTGATTCAAAAATATAATACTTTTTTTTGATATTTTACCTTTCTTGATTCTTTAAAGTATTTGAAACTTCCTTTGAAATCTTGGTCGATGGATAAAACTTTTGTCTGTAGGTGACGAATTGCTTGCTACTAATGTTGAGAAGGATTTGCTTTGGAAGGAGATGACCGTAATCGTGGGCTGGGTCAAAAGCATTCTTTCTCTTTTTGACGGGACGTTCTCTCTTTTGCTTTTCATTGTCTGATGACGAGTCTTCTTCGTCAGACTCGGAGAATTCATTGGAAGAGTCCAATACTTCATCCTCAGAGGTGATCGAGGCAGATGGCGATGGAACAGAGGCAGAGATGAGAGCCATATGGTTGGTGTTGGCTTGTTCCAATCCGTGGCTTGGAGACGATGGAACTTGTGAAGTGGGAGAGAAGTTGCTGTCTGGCGACGAGCAATCCGATGAACCCGATTGGTAGATTTGTTCTTGACATGCAATAACACCTCCATAAGCAGCGACATTATTCATCTGTGTTGCATAATTATTTAAATTTACAAAAATATTGTTACTTGTTGTAGCCGTAGCTGTAGTGGTAGTAGTAATGGTGTTATTGACAACGTTGTTGTTTACAATTGGTTGAATGTAGAGTGGTGATTGTGGGTCTTGATATAATGCAAGTTGTGCTTGTTGTTGTTGCAATTGTTGTTGTAATTGGAGTATATCTTGTTCAGTAGTAGTATGAGTTGGTAATAATTGATCAAAAGTATATTGTTGTTGTTCTAGTTGTTGTTGTACTACTTGTTGTTGGATGATGATTGGTTGTTCAATGTTCATATTATTATTATTATTATTATTATTATTGTTGTTGTTGTTGGAGTTATCAGTCAAGACCAAGAGTGGGTCGACTACAACTGAACTCATTGAATCGACGGCAGAGACTGTACTAACAGAATTGGTCAAACCCAAAAAGTTTGTAGTATTATTAAACATCGATGCAAACGATGAAAATGAGTTGTTTAATGTATTGGCAAATGAGAAATCATTATTATTGATAACATTATTATTATTATTGTTGTTGCTGGTATTGTTATTCTCTTCATCGTTGGTTTGAGTAGTTGAACCCAAGAAGGAGAAGTTGTCTTCGTTGAGTTGGTTGATATTGATATTCATGCTATCGGCGTTAAAGAAACTCATCTTGTTCTATTATTATTTATTTGTTTACACCACACACAAACAAACAAACAAACACGATTTAATTAAATATTAAAATTGATTGAAAAAGAAAAAAGAAAAAGAATAGAGTTATATATATAAATATTTAATGAGGTGTATGTAGGTACTAATGCTAATATATTAGATAGATATGATTGAGAAATGGGAGAGTAATAATAATAAAAGATAAATAATTTGTTGTGCACAATAGCAACAGCAAGAGCAATAGTATTGTTACTCGAAATTTTAATTAAAAAAAAAATAAATAAAAAAAAAAAAAACTTTAGTTGTTTGGTGCGTTTACTCTTGAAATTGAGAGTGGATGAGTACTCCATATTGACGTGGAAATTTTTTTGGTGAATCACTGAGACACATCAAAAACTTCGGTGAAGATTTTCCCTCTCATATTTTTCTTGTTTTTGTCTATTCCTCGTTTAACAAATTGCTGTGCTAGAAGTATCTATCTATTATCAATCTACATCTTTATTTAATTAATTGTCGTTGGTGTTGGCGCTGCTACCTACAGCCACCCTATGACTGGTCGTCCTATACTGACTCATGTCTTTTAGGTTATTTGTTATGAATCGGATGATGCTGACCATGATATTGGTACCAATAACAGATCTCGCGATAGTTGCCAACATGGCAAAGAGACCGCTGTCAATGACTACTATCCCAAATCGACCTATACTACTAAACATCACATCAACTACTTGCTTAGGTGTTTGTCCTATTAATTCTTTACAATTGTTAAAATAATCAAGAAGTTCAAAAAAAGTATAAGTTAGATTAATAATGAATGAAACATGCAGTTAGGTTGTAGTTGATTGTTTGTAACTAAACTTACTCAAAGCTTGTAAAAGTAGATGGTTGGGTACATTATCAAACAACTTTGTTTGAACAAAACCTGGTTGAATGGCTAGAACATCTATACCAAAGTTTGGTGACTCTAATGCAAGTGATTGAACAAATGCAGTTAGCATTGCTTTACCAGAGGAATATATTACAGAGTTGGATGATGGACATGTTGCAGTCTAAAGAGAATATAGAGTATAGAGTATAGAGATAGAGGAGGTTAAAATTAGTTCTCTCTCTCTAACCACCCATCCAGAGAGGTTGGTTGGTTCAACAACAATTTAAAAATTGTGTACATACAGCTGAAGAAGTAAATATAAAAGCACCTTTTAAAGAATTAGCCACCATTTGTTTGTAAAAGTGATCAGTTAATCGAATAGCAGCCATCACGTTGCACTCAATCATATCTATCTTCTCTTGGATATCGGTTTGATGGAAACCCTCCATCGAAACATATCCAGCATTATTAAATACAACGTTTATCGATAGACCAGATGTTTCTTGGATAATGTGTTTGACCGACTCTTTAGAGTTTCTCAAATCGGCAGATACAATCAATGTTTCGATTCTTCTTCTATCTTTATCACCACTGCTACTTTTACCATTGTTGTTGTTGTTGTTGTTGTTGTTGTTGTTGTTGTTGTTGTTGTTGTTATATAAATCATTAATCTCTTGTTGGAGATCAAGCAATTTCTCGTAGTTTTTAGATACTAGCACTACATTGATACGTTGGCTGACCAAACGGTGAACAATTTCCAAACCTATTCCAGAACAAGCTCCTGTAACCAATGCCCACTTGCATCCATACTTTTGTTTTAAATCTTGTCCAACACACTTGTTATGTTTTTTGGTGTTAGATTTGGAGGTGGTGGTGGTGGTGGTTGGAATATTATTATTACTCTTTGAATTGTTGAACAGACAAATCAAGATATGTGGGTCTGCAAAACATAGTGGTACAATAGAGAGAGATAGGATGGGGGGTTAAATAAGAAAATAAATATTATTATTAGATAAGGTTTCGAAAGTTAGGATGGAGAGAAAGAGTGACACACACAAGGAGAGTATAAAGTTAAAATTAGGGCCCTCCTAACCCTTATCCTTCCTTTTAACAATAATAATAATAATAATAATAATAATATTAATAATAATATTTAACAATTATTGGGAGAGACAAAGAGAACATCAAATAAATCACTCATCCAACCAACAACAACAACAACAAAGTTATTCAACTCATTATAACAGTAGATAAGATAGATATCCTAATTATTATTAATAATAATCAATACTCCATAAAGGTAACTAGCTATACACCCCTTTTCTTCTCTTTATCCTCGTTTCAAAAGAGAAAGAGAGAGACCGAGAGATCTAGTGTTGTTGTTCTTTGCGCTTCAATTATTTCATAATAATATTATTTAAATTGACAAGTTGTCGATGTTGTTGTTGCTGTTAATTATTATTATTATTTAAATATCATATATATGTATCCTGTGACATCATTTATGATTTCGGTTGCATAATAATAATAATAAATAATTTAGCTTTGTTTGTTGTTCATTGGGTTTGACAACAACTAAAAAAGCAAAATACGACGTTATTATTATTATATTATAATATTTTTACTTACAAAAGTACAATAGCAAGATGGCAGAGCATACCAAAATGGTTAGGATCATCCTATTGAGATATATGGTGTCACAAAAATAACATATAGCAGCTGACGAGAACAAACTTGGAATACTTTTCTCAACCTGTTTCGCAGCCAAAATTGGAAATATATTTAATTTTCATTTTTTGCTTCATTTAAAGTTGACGACAAAACAGACACCTCCACTCATTCTCATGAACGTAGAAAACAAAGAAAACTATTTTTTTTAAAAAATATATAACAAATAGATAACTCCAGACACAGAGACATAACAGTCCCAATAACAGGTAAATTTAATACAACATATAGAACAGTAGTAGTAGTAGTAGATTAGAGTAAAAGAGAAAGAAAGAAAAAGAAAGAGTTCACATAATTATATTTTAATTAATTAAGAGAGAGAAAAAGAGTTTTATTATTATTATTATTTATTTGTTTTGTTATTATCTGTTCTCATCTCATCTCATGTCATGTCACACCCTAGACTTTTCTCCAATGAATGAGGGCTCCTCACTGTAACCCTACTAAATTGCTGTAGTGCAGTGGTGGTGGTAGTAGTAGTAATAGTAGTTCTGACCAAGATGATACAGATATAGACACAGCTACGATATTCTTTCAGATATCTTTTTTTCTATTCTGTTCTTCTTACCACCATCATCGAAAATACTAGCTTACCTACCAACCACAAATAGTAATAATATAACATCAACTCAACTCACAACTGCAACTGAACTGATAAATACTATTGGTTTATTTGTTGTTGTTGCCACCTACTACACCCCCTCTCCTCTATAGTCTACTACCATCAAATGTAGTAATTGTATTTATTTACATCAGGTGACACACCAATAACAACAACAACAACTAACGAACTTGTAATTGTTTTGCTTTATTCATTTAATTTAAATTACACCACCCTTTCTTTATTTGTTGTGTTTGTTTGTTATAGCAACACCACCAACCAACAAACATCATATTCTACGATTTAAATATAACATATTGTGATATAAATATAAATATTTATTATACATATATTAATTTTATAAATTTATCCTTCCGACCTACTACTTTTAATTAAAAATAAATTAAATTAAATAACAAATAGGAAAGAACGAGACAGAAACAGATAACCGCAGTGGCAATAGAAATAAAAGGTAAATATCACAACTTTGTACGATTGCAGCATCAGCTGCGCACGCAGATACCATCTATCTATCTATAAGCTATGTAGCGAACAAACATCCCATCTCCATTCGTGCCCCATCGCAAAATCAACAATAACTGGCACAAGCCAATTTAATCCTTCACTCTCTCTCTCTCTTTCCACCACACCCACAACATTGTGATGATAATACACACACCAACACACACACACAAACAAAAACACAGTTTCTTTATTTATCTCACAACTTCTTCTTCTCTCTTCCGTGGTTGGTGGTGATTATTCTTTTTTTTTTATCCCATCCATCCATCAATCAACTGATTCCACCAACCAAACAACCATTCATTTCCAATCACTATTTAAATTGATTGATCAATCCACTCCATCGATCCATTCCATTCACATTGTCCTGGCTAATAGCATTCTTTCGGAAATACACCAAAAAACAACAAAACAAAAAAATATTGAATAATTCAATCTCACCTTTTTTAAAAACAAAAAAAAAAACCAAACTTTTTATCGTTCATTTTTACCTCATTCAAGCTTACCTTGTCCACCCCTCATTCTCATAAACAAACAGCAAACAAACAAATTTTACTTACTCATATACACACAATTATCTTTTTTTTGCTTCTCTCTCCATAATAATAATATTATTAATTAATTTAATTATATTCCTCTCCTATAATATATAAATATTCTAGATAACTAGTAAATAACTAAATAACAATAGAGAATAACTAGTAGTAACCACACGTGCTGTCATAATCATAACGTTTAATAATAATAATATAATAGACATAAATAACGAGAATAATATAACAACAACAATAGTTTATAGTACTCTTCTGTCATTTACATCAACAACATTTTTATTTTTAATAACAACAACAACCGTGCATATATAATAACAATTATTATAATGATATAGTACCTATCAGTCTTTCTTATTCTTACACAATAACAATTACTACAACAACAACAACAAACAATAATAACAGCATATTTATTTGTTTTATAGAATTTATATATATATAATCAAGCAACAGTTAACAACAAACAATCTTTTTTGATTAACAACAAACAGAATCTATCCGAATTTTTTTTTAAAAGGACATTCTGTATTTGTAAATAATATTATTAATATTTCAACCCAACTCTTTATTAACCAACCAACCCTAACAACCAACAACCAACCAAACAACTTTACAACAACTTGTATTGATATTATTCCAACACATAACAAAATGAATTCATATGAAAAGAGATATCAAAAAAAGGCTACTACTAGTACCACCCCAACTGCTAGTATAACCTCCCCATCTGCGTCGCCCACAAAAAAGGCTACATTTAGGTAAATAATAATCATGTCATATGATATTATGTTTTTTTGTAATTTATATACTCAACCTTTTTCTTTTCATTTCTTTCTTTCTTTTTTGACACTCTCTCAGTGAAGCAGTAGTCAACAAAACAGATGTAGGAGAATTCCAAGAAGGCTATTTTATCATGTCAACTGCAGATGAAACCTTGATGAGAAGACCACATATTAATAAGAATTCACCACAACGAAAGAAGACTCAATACACACAACAACAACAGGCTCCATCAAATACTACCAACGATGACAAACCACTAAAACCATCCAAACAATCGAAATCTACAGAAATTTTACTCACCCCAGCCTCTTTATTTGTAAATGACTCTGATTCTACGCCATCTAAGAAGCACTTGGTCGCCTACAGTAGTAGCAACAACAACTCTAATTACAAGTCCACACCAACTTCTACCACCAAGTCTTACAACAACAACAACAACAACAACAACTTTACAAAGACCAGTTCCTCACCCGTTTCTCCACAGTCATCTTCTTGTTGGGCCGGAGGTGCTTTCAACAACTCACCTGCTCCCAATTCACTGCCCATCCCCAATTTCGATGACTGGTCGTCACCACAAGAGCCAACACCACAATTTGACCTCACTGCCATGACTTACGATCTTAGACGATTACTAAACATCCAACCTGACCTCGTCAGCGCCAAAACTGTTGCCTAAACTCATCACCCTCCCCCCACCCCCCCTCACACTGCTAGCAGTACACGCGTGTAAAAACTGTATACAACAAACACCCAAACAAACAAACACCAATTAAAGTAGCGATTACTTGGTTGGTGCTTTATTTTCCCCATCCCCCTGTCCTCACTATCGCCCACGTCCACACTTTGTGCGATCACTCCCCCCCCCCCCCCCTATCAAACCATTGTTTTTACATGTTCGGTATCATTACTTGACCTTATCATTACAATTTTCATCACCTCCCCCATCTCAACCAATACGTCCACTTCACTCCCTTTAACCTCGCCACAACCACAGGAATAACTAATTACAGAATAAGATCTTTTATTCAACCAAATATAGACAGTTCAACCCAAATAAATTTATATTAGGAATTGATTATTCTTCACCCCCCCCAAAAAAAAACAAACAATCAAACAACAGATTTAAAACATACAACTTACTCCTTTCAAAAAAAAGAATGAATGAGATATTTATATTTCACAATACTATGATGAATGAACGATCTTGGTCTCAAACAACTTAGAGTACAAATATTTGGTGAAATAGAAATTATCGATTTCTATTTATTTACCAGGATTGGAATTTTATTTATTTATGTGTTTAATAGTTATTATCATAAGGTACATATTTACCAGGATGATAATCATGCGAATAGACTACTTGGGGCTGTGAGTATTGAACACTTTGGACAGTTTGTTGTGGTGCTGCATGGTAGACTGTTTGTTGGGTTTGTGGATATCCATGTGGATTAGCTACATAGGTTTGTTGTGTTACCCTTGGTTGTTGCTGCTGTTGGGTAACTACATAGACAGGAGGATTTTGTACATAGACATTTGGTGGAGGAGGAGGAGCACGACTTTTTCTAGAGAGTCTTGGAAACAAATGGAATTTCTTTTTTCCTTCCATATAATCGGTGGAACTTGCATTGGTAGTTGTGTAGGTCACTTGTTGTGTGACTCTACCTTGTTGATGTGGTGGTGGTGGTTGCGGCTGATACATTTATTTTGTCTCGGTATGTAAATTATTAATATTAATATAAATATTTATAGGTAGGTTAAATTTAATTTCAATGAGAAGTGATATATTTTGATAGTCATTCAAAAAAGAGAACAAAAAAAAACAAAACTATAATATTTTTTTTATACAGTTTCCTTTTATGGATTGTTTTTCTCAAATTTCTTTTTTTTTAAAGCAATGGATGTAAGTAAAAACAAATCTGTATGATTGGAAAATAAAGATTTACAATATTACTCAAATTTGTACAAGATAGATATCTTGTGTTGTTGTTGTTTTGCGTATTCATTTATTAATTAATAGTTTACATCAATATTTATTTCTATTTTTTTCCTTTTTTCTGTTTTTTTAATACTTCTTTTTGGTTTTGTTGTTAAAGGGGTGGTGAGTTAAATTAGTGTAGTGTGATGATATTATTATTATCTTTTAGTTGTTGTTGTTGTTGTTGTTATTATTATTGTTGTTGTATGGTTGGTGAGTTATATAAATTGTTTTTTTTTTAATCGAGTTATAATAATTGTTTAATGGATCCTGGAGTTTCTGGATCGTTCAAATGAATGGTAGTAAATCTGAGTGCATTTAATAAACCATCTGTTGATGATAATGAATTGTGATCCTTGAGGGTGACAATACATCCTTTGATCTGTTGAGGTAATAAAAAAAAAAAAAGAAAAATGGTTGGATACATTAATAAGTTGACCTTTAAAAATAAAAAGAATTCTTTGTTTATCACATACGTAAATTGAGGATTTCTTTACAAAAGCACCTTGTGGGTGAATGTGATCAAACAAAATGATTGATCCGACCATAGCTCTTAAACAAAACATGTTAATATCATTGTTGTTGAATTTCTTATTGTCGACCATATCATGGCAAACGTTGGCCATTGTGGCCAATGCTGTGGTTACGTTTTCTCTTGGTACAGTGGTTTCCTATAATTTTAAAATTAAAGATAACTGTTATATTAGTAACTAAATGATTTGTTGATATATTTCAAATCATAACAATGACATACGGTTTGTAAGAATTTGGCGGTAGTTTCAGAAAGAACCTTCATCATTGGAGTTGGGTAGGCAAAGAACAATGACATTCTGTTGGCCAACTCATCACGAATCTTAATATTTGCGTCCTTTTTAGTAAGCTTCATTCTATTAAGAGTACGACGGTAGTATGAAAAATCGTTTTGAATAGCTGGGTTAACCATCTAGAAATATTAACAAAGAAGAGGAGAGGTTAATTAATCATGTTCCAAGTTTATCGAATGTGTATGTGTATGTATATGTATGTACCTTGGCATCATCGAATCTTAATACAAAATCAAAAACATCAGCCAATTGCTTGGCAAGAGCTTGTTGATTAGATAGGCTAGACTTTGGATCACCCTTGCAAAGAGCAACTAAAAGCTTTGGGAAACACTTTTCCAACTCCAAAGAGTAGTCGTAGAATTCTTGGAGCTCATCAACTGCTGGGAGAACAGCCTCCCAAGCAGCATCTTCAGTCTCTGGACCTGGATTAGTTATAGCCTAAATAGGTAAAGAAAGGAAAGAAGGTGAAGGAAGAGGAGGAGGAGGAGGGAAGAATGATGATGTTTAATATCAAGATATATATTCTCATTCATCACTACATGATTATTATATGAAACACCTACTCTTCTAATATATTCATTACAACCAGCATAAGAGATCAATTTTTCCAAAATCTTTGGACCTCTATTTAATACTTCACCAACAGAGTTGTAAAGTTCTCTTTCTTCTTCGCTTGGTTGAGCATCTATAAATTATAGTTAGATTCTGGTTTTGTTTTTCTACTATACTATGTAAATGTTACATACTTTCAAAATCGATAAAGATTTGTTCAGTGTGCTCTGTTCCGTTAATAAAGGATAACAACTGACCCATATTTTTCTATATATATATTCTATTTATACTATAATACTGTTATATTGAAAAAGGAAGGAAGGAAGGAAGATAAGGTAAGTAATATGTATTGATGGTATGGTGATATGATAGTAATCTACAACAATGAACACAAAATCAAACAACAAACATAATCACATTTGATTTAATTCTTTTCTTTTTTCGAGATGATATTATTATTATTATTTGATAGTTTCGGTAATTTATCTTATCTTATCAAGATAAGTTGTAGTAGTTGTTGTAGTTGTAGACTATATAGAACGTAGATCTTCTTGTTGATGAAAAAACATAAAGTAAAAAAAAAAAAGCGGGAGTAAATTATGATTATTATTATTATTATCTTGATGGTATCCTATTAATAGTTAATGGTGATGTTCTATCTATCTATCTCTTTATCTATTTTTAATCAGCATCTAGTCATCAATATCTATCTTTCGTGATGTGTCGACCAATATCCTATCTATCTATCCTATGACGACACAACAACTATCTACTTTTTGTTGTTGTTATCAAAGCGCTACGACGATGATTTTATGAGTAGTTTTGTATAGATTTTCAATGATTCTAATGTGCTGCAGTTATTATAGTATCTGATGATTGACAATGTATTCTACTGACCAACTAACTATTGACTCTATTCTTTGTTTCAATGGTTGATTTGATTATATTATTATTATTATCTCTTCTCTCAAAAAGGGCGTAAGGGTGTGGAGTTTGTGATCAAAGAAAAAAAAATAAAAAAAAAAATCAATTTTTTTTCATCACCTCTCCACACCCAAATGGGTTGTCTCCATGGCAGAGCAGTGAGAGTCATCCAACAATAAGCAAGCCACAATGAATCACAACATACCCTCAAATTCAGGTTCCTCAACTTATCGTAAATATATAATATATATATATATATATATATATAAATATATAGACTGACCTGTCTTATATTTGAACCTTGAGTAATGCCATGTTGAGTAGTTGGTTCTTTGGTTCCCCCAAATCTATTTATTATCAACGATTCGTTTCGATTTCTTGGTGGAATCACTATATATCTATATATATATATAGATATATATTGAATATTTGTGTGTATATGGCATGTCCACAGGATAATAATGATAATACTCGTGGCTTAATATCAGCTGACTTTGTCGGTTTTTAGACAAACTATGCAAAACTATGGAGCAGAGACACTGACACAATTAATTGATATCTTTTCATTTGAGTGAGAAAGAGAGAGAGAGAGAGAAAGATAGGAATAGATTAAACATGTCAGGAGCAACTCAAATATCCAATCCACTCATTCAAAAGAGTGTTGTTCATGTATGAAATAAAGATAATCATGATTGATGATAATGAGATTTAATCAAAACTAACCAACACATTCGTTCTACAACAACAACAACAGATCTACAGAGATTGCATTAGACTTGCAAGATATATTGGTCAAATGGTATGATTCATCAACAAATTTGAGATATCTCAAACAGACAGAAAGAGTGCGATCGTTATGACTAACATCAATTATCATCATCAATTATCATCATCAATTATCATCATCATCATTTATCAGAACGGATACACTAGACACATCCCAAAGCATGTAGCAGGTATTTTCAGAGAACACAAGTTTGAAACAAACCCTGAAAAGATTGAAGAATATAAAGTAGAGTAGGTTATACATATTATACATATATATATATATAGGCAATGAACATGTCAATGAGTCAATGAAAAAATGATGACTCATACTATTATTATTATTATTCACCTATAGTGCTACCCGTTTTATTTCCAACTTTATGCAACATGAAGCTGAACGTTTGGCAAAGGACCAAAAGGCAGCATTGAACTCAAAGCAAAGGATACCAAAAAGTCTCCTACTTTGGATTAATCACAATAATAATAATAATACTATTAATCAAAAACATAATATAAAACCTACCTGTACAAACCAAAACCAACCAAACCAAATCAAACTTATCCTAATCTTTATTATTAAGGATTTAGTTCCTTCATTCCTTCATTCCCATAATATTATTCTTATTTGCATATACATTTGGAACCCCCCCTATTCAAATAATATTCGTGTGTCATTTCATTCATTCGATTTTTAAAAATACATAAAATTGAAATTATATATATATAATTTATTCACGCACATACAAGTAGAAAAGAAGAAGAAGAAGAGATAATAATAATAATAATATTATAACCTATACAAGTTATATTATAAATATAACAATGTTACAACAAGAAGAAGAGGAAGAAGGAGGAGGAATAGGAGGAGAAGAAGACATGTTGTTAATACAAGATGTTGATAAACTAGAACAAGCTCTAAATGACACATTTGACAGTTTAAATAGTTCCCTTCTTTCAAAAAAGGAGATAATGGCAGTGTTGTTGGTAGAATGTTTCTCATCTAATCTATATCCTCGTCAACAACAACAAGAGGTTAGAAAAGAGATAACAGACTTTTTAACACAATCATTTACCTTTTTATCAATTCCTCATCCTATATTAAATTATCTCATTGTAAATAGTGGAGGTGGAGGTGGCAGTGGTAGTAATACTGCCAACAAGTTACTTTCAAAGAATGGATCAAGTGCATCAATTAGTACAATGGTTACTGCTGGTACCAATTCACCTAGACTAAAGAGTGTATCATCTATGACTAGTCTATCGACTATGTCTTCTTCTATCCCTATGGTTCCTCTTCAATCATCATCAAGTTTTAATTCATTACAATCTCTTGATTCTGCTGCTACTGCTGCAGTTGTTGGTAATAACAACAACAACAACAACAAAGACAATGATTGTAGTTTGTTCATTCAAGAGTATATACCAAAAAAGATTGAAAAGTCTATATTGGATGATATGGAACATATATTGGACTACCAATTTCACAATGATATGGAGTCATTTATCACTGCACTTGTTGGTTGCAAGAAACAATCTACAACAATGCCACCAACACCATCCAATTCATTAAAGGATATGAGTGCACTGTACACTGGCTTTATTGGAAGACTTACCAATCAATCATCGAATATTCTACCAACAAAGTATTCTCATCTCGTAACATCTAGTAGTTACTATGAAGTTCTTCATCAATGTCTTGAATATTATATAATTCAACATATTTTTCATCAGTACGTCATATTATAGTACAATTATAACACTATAGACAACTAATACACTTATTGTTCATTGATTTTAGTATATTTCCAATTGATCTTGAAAAGGATGACTTATTTTCAAAGAGAATTGAAACATTATCATTTATTGAACCTGATCATTTGGGTATTTCAATAGATGAATTTAAATTAAACAATGCTAAAAAATGTTTGTTTCAAAAGGACATAGAAGAGATATTCATTTACTAATACTTATTTTATTTTTATTTATTTTTAGGTATAGGAAGAATTAATTCATATCAAACACCAATTGAAAAACAAAGATGTATTTCTAAAACAATGGTTTATTTAATGGAAGCAGGAGGAGAAGATTATTTATTACCAATGGCCATTTATTTATTATTACGTACAAATCCTCCATACCTTTGGTCAAATTATAGATTTTTGGAATTATATTCCACTTCGTCTGGTAATTTAAATGTTGACTCTATATACGATAACTTTTGTACAACATTTTCAGTTGCCATACAATTTATTGATAAATTGGATCATACTCATCTTTCCATTGATAATGATTATTTCCAACAACAATTATTAGAAAATCAAAAGAAAATATTCCCAAATCAACAACAAGAAAAAGAAAAAGAAAAAGATAAATTAGATAATAATAATAATAATAATAATAATGCTATGAAAAGTAATGAAACTATTTTAACAACATCAACTACTGAATTGGAAAAATTAATTGATAAATTGGATGTAAATAATAACGATAATAATAATAATAATACGAATAATGAACAATTAGAAAATATAGTATTATTTAAACAATTAAATAGATTACCAACAATTATTGATATATTAAAACCTCAATTACATGGAAATGAAATTGAAGAGTTTATGTTAAAGTTTATAACCATATCACTTGGTTCCCAGTACTATCACTCAACTATACGTTTCCCACTACGTCGATTCTTTATAGAATTCTTGGGTATTAGTGAAAGAACATTTTGTGTAACCGAGATGGAGATTATTGGAAGTTTACAAGACAGCACAGATGGTGGTGGATCAAATCTAGAATTGTTACCAAACAAGCAAGGTGGAGGTCAAGCATTAAAGGTTGCAAAAATCGCTGGTGCTGCTGTCACTGGTGCAGTTATTGTTGGTTTAACAGGTGGTTTAGCAGCTCCTTTTGTCGGATCGGTCTTTTCAGCATTGGGAGCAGGCAGTATTTTGACAGGAATCACAGGTGCCACTGGTATGAGTGGTGCTACCATGTTATCGGTGATTTTTGGAGCTGCAGGTGCCAAGGTGTCTGCCGACAAGATGATCACTGCTACATCTGGTGTAAAAGACTATACCATACACAAGGTAAAGAGTCAAACTTCACTACATGCCATCATCTATGTTGATGGGTTCTCATCGGTCAATACGACAACCACAACAACCGCCACAGAAGATGCCAAGACACAAGAGCAGACAATTGCATCGGTTCAAATATCAAAGCTAGAGAGTTGGGAAAAGATAATCAGAGCAGTTACCAATGACTATGGTGACATCTTTTTGATAGACTATGAAAAGGACGTTAAAAAGAGTTTACATGCCATCATTAGAGAGTACCAAAAAACAATCGTTCAAACTTTGTTTAGATCGGCTGCCACCAATATCATCTCTACCAGTCTTGCTCATGCACTTGTTCCTCTATCCATCATAAAGGCTGCATCGGTATTGGATAATCCATGGACTCTACTCAAGGATCGTTCAGAAAAGGTTGGTAAAATATTGGCACAACAAATAGTAGAAGGTGGATTTGGTAAAAGACCTCTTACCCTAATTGGAACAAGTATGGGAAGTAGAGTTATTTTCTATTGTCTTGAAGAATTATCAAGATTATCTAAAATTGAAAATCAATCCAAATCAAAAGAAAAAGAAATTAATAATAATAATAATATTTCTACAACAACAACCGATTCAACAACCCCTCCAATTGTAACCAACACAATTTCACCATCATCAATTATTGAAATGGTTGTTTTTATTGGATCTCCTATTACTTCTGATCCAAAAAGATGGTCCAATATTATTGTATGTTATATAAATTCTCTGTTATCAAAGAATCTAGTTATTAATATAAATATTTATTATTTTTAGTCAATGGTTAGTGGTAGAGTAATTAATTGTTATTCACCATCAGATTTGGTATTAAAATATGTATCTAGATCAGCCAATTGTTTGACTGATGGTGTTCTACCTCCAGCTGGTGTGACACCAATTCACATTCCATCCTCGACCATTGTCATTGAGAATGTTGATGTATCCAAATTAGTCAAGAGTCATTTAGATTATGACAAGGAAGATAATATAACTAGAATCCTAAATCACATTGCAGTCAACAAGGTATCATATTGTGATCCAAAAGTTCCTCCAAAATTTAGTGGCGTCGTTTATCAAGTATAATCAATAAATACCAACAACAGCACAACAATGAATGTATTTTAAAATAATTATCTTTTTTTTTGTATGTACAGAAAACCAATATACTTTTTTTTTTTATTGGTCTTGGGTTTCATGTTGTATCATTGCCTCTACTTCATCAATGGGAGGACCCATTGCTTCTACCATTTCAAATTCGGCGTCGTCGTCATCATCATCGACGTTGATTGCTTGATTAGGGGGTGGTGATTGTTCAATTTCTTCATCCAAATCAATAGTTACTTGACGATGATGTTCCATATTTGATGATGTATTTGAAGGTGGTGTGGGAATTTCTTGTTCTTTTAGAGGTGATGGATCGGCAATGAGGTCATCATCCTTTTTAGAAATGGCAGCAGGTGATGATGGGAATAAAAGATGTTGTTGTGATGGAGTGTCTGACGATAAATGTTGTTGAGGTGTATCGGCTGTTTGTTTCTCGATGCCACCACTACTGCTTTTAAGTTGATTTTGAGGTGAATACATCGATATGCCCGGCGAGTCTGTTTGTGGCATCCCTGTAGATGATTTAAAGAGATGAGATGCTACATTGAGAACATCTCCACCACCTCCACCCGACGATGTCATATCAACGTCGGTTGTATTAATTGTAGGTGTAGATGCTTCCATAATCATACTTGGTGTAGTGGAAGAGGTTGCGTTTTCCACCATGTTTGTAGATGCTGTAATTGGTGTATCGACCTGCTTATTATTATTATTATCTCCTCCATGATCCATTTGGTCTCCACCAACTTGATTATTATGGTCTTGTTGTTGTTGTTGTTCGAGCGACTGTTGTTGTTGATGATGATCCATTTGCATCGAGGTGTCTTCAGAAGAGGATGGTTGTTGTTGTTGTTTTATTTGTTTTTCTTGTTCTTGTTGTTGTCTTTGTTTGTCGATTGCATCTTCTTCTCTAATCTGCTGTAGATACTTTTGTAGTTGTTGATGATTAAGTTCCAATTGCTTGGAGAATCTTTCTATTGTTTTTCGAGTCTCTCTTGCAGAATGTGTTTTGGTTGCAAGACGATAGTATGAATCCTCTGGTTCTTGTTTCAATTCAATAGGTGATTCAAACAAGTTATTTAATATTATATTTTGTTTATTAATTTCCTAAATAGACAAAAGAGAATGTTAATAATGATTGAATGAATGAATGAATGGGTGAACAACATTCTTGATTGTGAAGTTCACTAACGTCCAATGTACATCATGATGTGATACATACTATACAAGTATACATTTCATCACATATCGATTCAAACTCTTCTGCTTTCAATGCCAAATCAGGCATATCTACCATTCTTTTATGTGGATCTCTATACATATATAAACATCATCAATAAAGTTAGTCAAACTGTCTGTAGATAACAATCAAGATGATTGTAAAAGTAAGGGATGATACAAACTCTGATAAAACCTTATTAGTGCTACGAAACAGAGCCTGTAGACGAGTCTTTAAGTGACCTGAATAGATATCAATATTATTATTACTTTGACTCATTCTTTATTATATCTCTATATCTATCCAATATCTGATTCTGTTAGACTAAATTGCTTGTGTCTGAAAAGTTTACAAAAAAGGTCATCAAAAAATATTTGATTAATTAAAAAAGAAATAATAATAATAATAATTATTATTCTTGTGATTATTTATTATTTATAATTGTTCGTTGAGATTGATGTACCCAGAAAAAGAAGGAGAAGAATGGGTATGGGTACCGGAAGGTTTGGGTGATTTGGATCTATGGATAAAAAAGACGCCAAGGATGATAATATAACATATGACAAAGACTACAGATGCAGCTGTTGCATAGAATCCAATATATGGTCCCCATTCTTTCCAAATGGGTATTCTACCATCATAGTATAGGATAGATCCTTCAAATTTGTTACAAATGTCATCACCATCACTACTACTATTTTGTTGACCACTGCTAATACTCGACGATCCATTATTCTCATTGTTGCAAAGAGTCTTGTTGAAACTGATAAAGTTGAAACAAGAAGACGCTGATAAAATAATCAGTGGTAATTGAGCTCCATAACGATACCATATAGATGCATTTTTAAAGGTTCGATAATATTTGGTTGCCATGCCAAATTTCTTGGCAGTAACCCGAAGCATTGTGATAATTATACCTCCAATTGCCTTGATTAAGATGATGATGATAATGATAATCAATTAATTAAAAATTGATTTAATTGAAATTTGATTGACACAAGATATAACATACAAATACAAAGCATGCATAGTTGAGATTATAGCTAACATCAAACTTAGTTCGCGATGCTGTATAACCAGAGACTTGATAATGTTTGATTTGAAAATAGATCATTTTTTCGAAACGGAGAGAGTCACAGTCCCCATTGACACATGTTGTAAGGGTATACCTATATATATATATATATTCGTGTCGTGAGATGAGTGTTGTTTACAAAGGGAGATTCATTAATATTAGTAGTGATCACTAGTCGATTTTGATTGTTGTCTCTTACCAGGGGAACGAAAGTGACGTGTATAATGCTAATGATAAGTAAATGAGGTACACAACGTAAACTGCATCTTTAGGAGTACATAGTCTCTCTTGATTCATTTCAGAGAGAGGAGTTGACAGTATCCAAAACAGATCAAAGGCTCCACATGGTTATTTTTTTTTTTTAAATAATTATTTTTTTACAATGTTTATTGTCCTTTTCTTTTTATTTATGAAATATATTAAAATAGTAGTGGTAGTACAGTGGTATGAGATGGATCATATTTCTTTGGCGAGATTATAGTCATCGTGATTATGTAGAATCTCTGGTTCTTGGTCTTTTTGTTGTTTTTGTTGGATTAGTTGTTGGAGATGTTGTATTTGTTGTTGTTGTTGTATTTGTTGTTGGAGCTCTAATTCTATTTGTCGAGGTTGGATTTGGGGTTGAGGTTGTTGAGGTTCTTGAATATTGATTTGTTGTTGCTGTTGCAGGATATGTAGTTGTTGTGGTTGTAGTTGTTGTTGTGGTTGTAGTTGTTGTTGTAGTTGTTGTTGAAGTTGTTGTGGTTGTTGTTGTTGTAGTTGTTGTTGGAGTTGGGTATAACCACTTTGTGTTTTTGGCTTTGATGACCTGGCCTGTACACGTCTGCGAGATGGTTTAGAAGGTCTGGATCTAAAACAAGCTATGGCGACATAGATTAGGTCGAAGATATAGACCCATATCAATACAGTTGATAGAACTGAAAAGATGAATCCAGATTTTGGTCCCCATTCCATCAAAATATTTCCACCAAATGGAAGCACTTCGCCAGTTGCATTTTCGGATCCAGAAAAGTGGTCGCATAGACTTGGAAACTCTGTTCCTAGACTAACAATCTTTGAATCATTAGCGTTACACAGATCCTTGTTGATACCGATAAAGTTGAAACAAGCAGCTGTCGAACAAGTAACCAAAAATAAATGGATTACAAATCGAGTCCATAGAGAAATCCTTTTAAAGAATTGGTAGGCTCTCATTTGTTTAAATTTCTTTACAATCACTTTAATGCTAATGATAATGAAACCAGTAAGTGTCTAGAGATGAATAAAATATTATATTATTAATTTAATATAATTGATGTTGATATTTTTTAATTGATTGGTTGTCGTACATACCAACAACAAGCAAACAAGTGTGAGTTGATGGCTTGCGTGTACCTTGCTTGATGCGATTGGGAAGTATTGACCCATATCTTCTGTATCTTGGTTATTATTTTGGAAAAGAAAAGGGTAGCAAACCCCATTGACACATTGATTAATGTAGTACCTATAAGTAGTGTTGTTAAAAGGGATACATAATACTATTAGTAATTACCTACTTGTTGATGCGCATATTATTATAGTTTTATCATACCATGGTGTAGCAAGTGATACGATCAAAGAGATTGACAAAAGAGTGAGAAACACATAATGAATAATCTCTTTAACACTACATATTCTGCTTTTCATTTTGTGTTCTTTGATTTAATTGTTTGTTGACTTGAGAACATGTCTGCGTATATCCATTTATCCGATCAAAGGTTAATTGTATTTTGATTTGATTATTTCTACGAAATTGATAAATATCTATCTTTATCGGGCAACTGATAGATATATTTTGTGTGATATAAATATATTTATTAAACAAGGATCTTCTTTTACCTAGATCCTTGTCCATTATTTTATTATTATTTATTAATTTCCATGAGGACTTTTAATAATATTACAGTTGTGTAGTGGGGATGGAAGGTTTATATTTCCTTGGTGAGATCATAGTCATCTGGATTATGTGAAATCTGTGACTCTTGGTCTTTTGGTTGTTTTTGTTGTTTTGGTTGTTTTTGTTGTTTTTGTTGTGGTTGCTGGGTTTGTTGTGGTTGTTGGAGTTGTATTTGTTGTTGAGGTTGTTGTTGTTGTTGTGGTTGGAATTGTTGCTGTGGTTGGAATTGTTGTTGTTGCAATTGTTGTTGTGGTTGTGGTTGGAATTGTTGTTGAGGTTGTTGGAATTGTTGTTGAGGTTGTTGGAATTGTTGTTGTTGTTGTGCTTGTTGGAATTGTTGTTGTGGTTGTGGTTGGAATTGTTGTGGTTGTTGAGGTTGTTGTTGGAATTGTTGTGGTTGTTGGAATTGTTGTTGTGGTTGTTGGAGTTGAGTATATCCACCGTGTTGTTTTGTATTGGGGGGTAACATAGTAGGAGCAGTCTGGGATGATTTAGATCTAGATCTGAAACAAGCTATGGCGACATAGATTAGGTAGGGTATATAAATCCATACCAATACAGTCGATAGAGCTGAAAAGACGAATCCAGACTTTGGTCCCCACTTGATAGAAAAATTATAATAGTTACTATATGGATCGGATCGGGTGGCATCTTGCGATCCAGAAAAGTGGTTACAAAGACCTGGGAATATAGTTCCTAGACTAAAGTTATTATTAGTCTGTAACGCGTTACACAGATCCTTGTTGATACCGATAAAGCTTAAACAAGCAGCTGCCGAACAAGTAACCAAAAATAAATGGATTGCAAATCTAGAAAATAGAGAAATCTTTTTGGCGATTTGATAGGCTTTTGTTTGTTTCAATTTCTTTATAATTACTTTAATCGTAGTGATAAGTAAACTGATAAGAGTCTATAAATATAAAAAGATATTTGATGAAAAGGTGAAGTTAAATATTTAGTGGATGGATGGGGGATTGTGTCACACAATCATAACAACATACCAATACTAAACAGAAAAGTGTGAGTGCATGACTAGCATGTACTCTGCCGACGACGAATGGGATCCACCAAAGCAAATCTTCCATTTCTTCATTACCATTTTGGAATAAGAGAGGGTCCGAGCAATTACCATCGTAACATTGTTGATAGGAGTACCTAAAGTTTTGTTAAAATATGGGGGGGGGGGGGGGGGGGGGGGCGGATATATAATGTGTTAGTGATCATATTCAATTGTCATTATGACGATGTTGTTGTAAAGTCACTTTTGTTTTCATAATGTACATACCATGGTGCAGCAAGTGATACGATCAATGAGATTGACAAGAGAGTGAGGAACACATAGTGAACAACCTCTTTAACGCTACATATTCTGCTTTTCATTTTTTAAACTCTTTTGTGTTTGTATCTGTTTAAATTGTTGTAGCTACGTGGGCTATGATGTCTGTCCACCATCATTTGATAGAAAAACATTTGTCAAATTTTAATTAAATTGATTTGAGGGTTTTTTTGAAGATCGAAATCGGCGGGAACCGATCCACCCAACACTTCGCCACAAAGACATTATTATTGCAGATTAAACATTCTTTTGTGTATCTCAATAAATACATTTTTGATCATATTTTTTAAAAATAAATTGAGTTGTTTATTTAATTAAAGAGGGCTTATATTTCCTTATCATAGTCATCTGGATTATGTGAAATGAGTGATTCTTGGTAGTCCTTTTGTTGTTGTTGTTGATCGACATATGCATATCCGGGACCTTGTTGATTTGGATTATATTCACAACGAGATGCTTTAAATGATATCTTTACACATCTATCCCAAAAGATATAGCCAAGATAAAATATATAACTCCATACCAAAACAACAGATAGTGTTGAAAAGACGAAACCAGACTTTGGTCCCCATTCAACTGTAATGTGGTTGAGACCGTCGTCGTCATCATAGTTGATCGATCCAGAGAATTTGTTACAACTGTTGTCATTTTCCTTTCCAAATGCATGCAAAGAGCATAGAGACTTTTTGATACCGATAAAGTTAAAACAAGCAGCTGCCACGAAAATAAACAAAAGTACTTGGATTCCATAACGAGACCATATGGAAATCTTTCTGGCTAATCGATAATTAAAGCACGTGGTCATTTTCTTTGCACTAACCTTTACACTAATAATAACAAAGCTAATAAGAGTCTTTGATTGGTTGGGAAATGAATGTTTTACAATTAGATTAATGAATTTAAATATTTGATGTTTATGAGTGACACAACACAACATAACATACCAACAAAAAGCAGAAAAGTGTGAGACCATGGCTTGCATGGACCTTACTTGCGATGGTTGTGACAGGCAAGTCTTCCATGTCTTGATCGCTATTTTGGAAGAGGACTGTACTGCAAACCCCATTGATACACTGTTCAAAGTAGTACCTGTGTATTTGTGTTAGGGTGAGAGGGTATACATGAATATTAGAGACCAATACTACGTGCATCATCGTTATCCTACATACCATGGTGCAGAAAGTGATACGATCAATGAGATTGACAAGACAGTGAGGTATACATAGTGAATAATCTCTTTCAAACTACATAATCTATTTTTCATTATATATATATCCAACAACAACAACAGAGACCATCTAGAAAAGATTAATAAATTATTAATTAAAGATTAAATTATTATTATTATAAACAAATGAGTTCTATTGATCAAGCAAGCAAGAGTTTGTTTTTTCTTGAATTTCGGACAACGTTTTTTGAATTTTCAGATCGATTATTTACTCTATTCGCATCAACACACTGTTGTATATGTATAAAGAAAGATAATTACAGATTTAGAGAATGATTCATTCAAATGAAATCACATTCACAAAGATGCAAGGTGCGGGCAATGACTTTATCGTATTCAAAAAGGAGGATATCAAAGTGATCCCAAACAAACAGTTTTCACCCGACTCTTCTGAAGGGGTTAGAAGCGGTGCATCATTGACAATCGAAGATCTATCGGTTATATCGAAAAAGTTGGCACATCGTAAACTAGGTATTGGATGTGATCAATTGATCATTGTTGCCGATTCTCCAAACGCCGATACAGATTATGAAATGTTGATTTTTAATAGCGATGGTAGTCAGGTATGTCATAGATATGTCTATACAATACATTATATAAAATATATATATTTATATATAATTAATGATAATTGTTTGTTTGTTTCTAGGCATCAATGTGTGGAAATGGTATAAGATGTTTCTCAAAATATATTATTGATAATTCAGTGAAATCGATTCACGACAAGGACAATAAGAATAATGGTAGTAGTGGTAGTGGTGGTAGTAGCGATGATGGGGAATCCTCATCCAATGAAAGTGAAAACGCAATTGTACATAGAGTTCACACATTGGCAGGAACCATTATTTGTTCGACCGACAAGAGTCAAATAGGATCAAAAAATAATGGCGATAGCTATTATCGAGAAGATACAATGTTGGTCAAGGTCAATATGGGTAATCCATACTTGTTGAGAACTAATGACAATACCTTATTGGTACCAAACGACCGTACCATCCTTGTACCAACACCTAATCCATCTACTGATAAACCAATCTATCTTGAACGAGTTCAAGTCGATGAGCGTAGAGCAATCGATGTTGTACTCGTTTCAATGGGTAATCCTCATTGTGTTATTTTCCTCCAAGACAATATTGAAAAGGGTCAATTGCCCGAGGGAACAGATATCGACACAATGGATATTTCAGAGATTGGTCAAAAGTTGGCCAAACACAAGATGTTTGTCGATAGTTGCAACATTGAATTTGTATCATCGACCAAAGCAAACCATTTCAAAGCAAGAGTATGGGAAAGAGGAGCTGGAGAAACTCTTGCCTGTGGAACTGGTGCATGTGCAGTGGCCGTCGCAACAGTACTTGTAGGTAAATCTCTACCAGAACAACAAATATCCATCAATATGCCAGGTGGTGAATTATTAATCGATTGGAACGCCAACGAAAATTTTGGAAAGGTATTTAAAACTGGTCCTGCTACTTCTGTATTTTCTTCTGTAATAAAGATTTAAAATCTGTATCATCATTCTTGAAAAATTCATTTCGAATCTATCCATCCTATCTATCTATATTTTCTATTTACACATTATTATATTCTATTTATTAAATTTACTTTGTAATTTATTATCCCAAGATTTCCATTTTTCTAAAAAAATAAATCATTAATATTAATCAATGTTGTATATTATAATAATGTATACATACCAGATAATTCAGGGGGAGGAGCTACCTTTATATTTTTCATACATTCTCTAATTAAATCAACATGATCAGGTGGTAGTAGTTTATCTTTACTTAGCACCAAATGACCTTTTTCATTTCTTTGACAATAGGGAGAAGTATTCTTTTCCTCTTCTTGTTGTTGTGGTTGTTCATCGTTGAATGGATTGTTATTTTCAGTTGGGAATAATTCGTTGGTATTGAATAATAGATTATTTGGGTTGACTTTAAGGTCAGAGGATCCTCCATCGTCCTCTGTTTGATCAAATTGATGAAATTGATCAGAGTATCCTTGGAAATCGGTAAAGTTGTCTTGTTGTTGTGTATTTGCGTCATCTACATCATCATCAAAAAGAAACTTGTTATTCAATTCGACTTGTCTCTTGATTTCTTCTTCTCTTGTTAGTTTTCTTGTTCCTCCATTCTGGTTGTTGTTGTTGTTTATAGATGATTCATCATCACTACTATCTGAATCACCCATATCCAATTCAGGTATTAATTGAAATCCGCTGTAATCATCTATAGAGAAAAGGAGTAATGGGTGAGTGAATGGCTGTACAGTAGTTAGTTCACTACTATCAAACTTACTATGTTCACTTGTTTCACTATCATTATCGTTCATATCGTTATCTTTTCTTCCTATTGTCATTATATGACTATATTTCTATAAAAGGTGTCTATCTGTATATGTATATGTATGTATGTATATTAATGAAAATGTTTTATGAATCGATGCATGTTCAAAGAATGAATTTTAACCATTTTATTTTATTTAATTTTATTTAATTTAAATTGTTAACTACGACAACACAACTACAATACTTGATTTGATATTATTATCAATGATACATACATACATACACTCGTGATACAGATAATTGAACTAAAGTTTAATTAATTATTTTATTATAATAATGAATTTTAAATCTTGAAATGGATTGGTCATTCCTCTGCTCATTTTCAAAGACAAGAATCTTTTATTGTTTGATATAAACCACACACTTACAGATACATATATTTATGTATATATGTTTTAGATATATCTAAAAGATTAAAGAATGGGTGATAAACAACAACAGATATTAAAAGAAAGGAATGAAGAATCATTATTTGAATCATTCAATGTATGGCCTGAAGAAATTGTATTGGAATGTTTATCACAAGTAGCAGGATCAGAAGAAGAACAGATTCACTTGGATTCTATAGATAGAGCAACCGCTGTCAATATGTTGGTCGATGATGTTAGAAATCTGGGTATTGAAGCATTCGTCTCTAGACTGCCAATAGATGTCACCGAAGAGACTTGCTCGCTACTCGAACTCTCAGCTGCCAATAGTGAAGTGGTCGAAGAAACTCGTCAAGAGATTGAAAGTTTGATGAAGAGTGAGCCATTACTATCGTATTTCAATCGATTGACACCTCATCTTCTCTACAGCTATTGTATTGGAACTGGTATAAAGTTGGCTAAATCTTTCTCTACAAACTCTCCTATTCATACATCATCATCATCATCCTCCTCCTCTAATAATAGTGGACTACAACCAACATTGATGGTACCAGCATCAACACACACATCGGTTACATATGTAAACTCTACACCAATGGTAAAGGTACTGGACAACACCACGATCATATCGACACATACAACTAAATCATCGACTCAACGATTCACGGGAGCTAGACAAATGACACTTGGCGAAGGTGTCTTTGAAGGATCATCAAAGACACAAATAATGAAAAGACTACTCATCGAGGAGATCCTCTTGGGCGGCATTGAAAACATTCTCTACCTTCAAAAAATTGATACACTCTCAAAGATTTGTCAATATTTAAATGTCAAAGGTAATTAAACTAAATATAAATATAATGAGATCATTTATACTTACTATCCTTTTTTTTTTAACAGAGAAAATACCAACTAAATTTTCAGAGATTGTATCAATCATTGTACCATATTTATTTTATCAACAATCATCATTACCAATATCACCACTTTCTTCTGATATTAGTAACCATCAACAACAACAAACCAATAATAATAATAATAATGTAAATAAGAATAAGAATACCTCAACAACTACAACTACAACCAAGACATCAACAACATTAAAGAATCCATCAGAAAATTTAAAGAGAAAATATCCACAAACACCAGGAACATCAAATAATTCATCAACATCTACAGAAGAAACATCTGATGATGATAATACATCTAGTGATGTATCAAGTGATGGACAACAGGAAGGACAGGAAGAAGAAAAGATATTAAAAAAAAAGAAATATACTAGTGGTAGCAGTGGAAAACTTCAATTTTCAACAAATTTGTCAACTGATGAAGAAGACCAGGAAATTGATTCACCAGCCGATAATAGAATGAGCATTGCTGACATTAAAGATGGTGTAGAAAAGAAACAACTCGAAAAGATGTATGTCAAGGATTTAAAACATTGGTTGAAATCTAAAAACTTGAAATCAGATGATAAGAAATCGGTTCTCATCGATAGGATACTTTCTTATTTCAAACAAGCAACAAAAAAAACAAAAGAAACAAGTGAGTCAGATACTGATAGTGGTAAAACAAAAGAATCAACTATTTAAACCATATATGGTTGGAAATAAATATTATTTATATTATATAATTATTAGTATGATTTTATTTTGAGATTTATATATATAACTACTCCTCAGTAGTAATATATATTATTTTGATATTTAATTTAAAGTTTTGGACGGGGTAGAGAATTTGGACTACTCCAAATTAAAGATTCATCAATTTTTGATATAGAGTTGACACCAGCCAATGCCATAGATAAAACCAATTCATCACGAAGAAGTTGGAGTACTTTGAGAACACCATCATAACCGTCGGCTGCAAGACCCCATAGAACAGGACGACCAATCATAACGGCACATGCGCCATAGGCCAATGCCTTTAATATATCTGTTCCACGACGAACACCACCATCTACAATAACGGGAATACGACCACCAACAGCACGTACAACATATGGAAGTACTTCAATGGTCGACGGACTAGTATCCAATTGTCTCGCACCATGATTACTCACAATGATACCATCGGCACCATACTTTACTGCCAACAATGCGTCTTGTGGACACATTACACCTTTTACAATGACTGGTAGTTTGGTGATTGATTTCAACCATGCCAAATCGTTCCATGTCAATGAGCTGTCGATCATTGTAGCCATGTATTTGTTCAATCCACCTTGAATGTCTGCTAATGGCAAGTCGGTAAAGTTTCTCAATTGCAAGCCTGTTGGCAGAGAGAATTCATTGCGATAGTCACTTTCACGACGACCAAGGAATGGTGTATCGATTGTCAAAAGGATAGCTTTGAATCCAGCCATTTCAGCACGTTTTACCAATTTCTCAGAGATGGAACGGTCTTTAAACACATAGAGTTGGAACCATCCAGGGTTACCTCCCGATGCCTTTCCAAGATCCTCAACACTGGTAGTTGCCAAACTACTCAATGTCATCAATGTTCCCATATCTCTTGCTGCCAAACATGTATCAATCTCTCCATTTGGATGTGCCATCTTTTGCATTGCTGTTGGCGCAATCTATAGAATGATTCAAATAAATACAAATATTCACTCAATTCAATTGATTCAATATCTATCTATCTATCTACATACCATAACAGGGAATGAAAGAGGGATACCAAATACAGATGTCTTTGTATTAATATTTGATACATCAACCAAACATCTTGGTGTAAGTTTAATTCTACTATAAAAATTTACATTCTCTCCTAATGTAATCTTGAGAGTGAGGATGCAACAAAGTAAGTAAGTATCATATCATGTTAAGAGGTACTCATCATCATCAATCGATCAATATCACAACATACTTGATTATCAGAACCAGAAGCATAGTAATCATAAACCATACGAGGTAACTTTCTCTCAGCAACGATTCTAAACTCTTCAATGTTGAGATAAGAGTCACTCTTTCTACCTTGACCTCTATTCGTTCTGCTATTAGCCAATGTAATATCAGATACTATTGCTGGTTTTTGAGGATTGTTTGTTATTTTATCCATTATTTATAGTTTATAAAGTAGGGGATGTATAATAAATAACTTTCTTTAAAGTTTAACTTGGTTTTTTTATATTAAATTGAACAAACTACTGCCTCTCCTATAATATGTATGCGACGATAACTTAAAACTATACTACTACTACTACTATTACTACTGAATAGACGAATACAATTCAGTTATCACGACAACAACAATGATAATTAACCTATTGATTCCGATACCAAAATAAATCGTTAAACTCCAATGACTCTTCAGATTGAAAATTATTGCATTCACCAATGGGATTTTGGAATGTTTGAAACCCAAGTGTGGTTGAAACTCATGAAAGATCACGATAATCCTAAAGTAGTTGGAATAATTCAATGGAATAAGGTGGTTAGGAGTATGTAAGAAATACAAGACATTGTGAATTTGACAAATATAAATATTAATATTAATTTGGAATAGTCATTTGGCGAGTGATTACAAATTAATAATAATAATAGTTGGATTGGATATATACACTCCAAATTTAGAAATTATTTATATACAAAGGTTTATTGATTCAACAATTCTTCTTCTTGTTGATTTGTGGATTGAGGTTGATTCATAACACTTTTAAAATCTTCAAGTGTTATTGTTGAACCATTTAAATCTCTTCTTAGTGCATGTAATGCTGCCTCTTTACAGATATTAGAGAGGTCTGCTCCATTGAGACCGTTGGTTTGCTCTGCAAACGTGTAAAGATTGATTGAAGGATCGATGGGCATATTCTTTGTAATTTTCGACAAAATATCGTGTCTTGCAACCACGTCTGGTGCAGGTACATGAATATGGTAATCGAATCGACCAGGACGAAGAATAGTACTGTCTAATAATTCCATCTTTGTTGTAGCTGCCAATACTATAATTGCTTGTTGTTCATCTTCGTCATCATCATCGTCATTTTCAATTCTTACCTTTTTATTTTGTTTTGAAAACATACCATCCATTTCAACCAATAGACATGAAAGTAATCTATCGGCAGATTGTTGAGCACTCGAATCGTAACCACGCTTTTTAGCAAGTACTTCTACTTGATCGAGAAAGAGAATGGCAGGTGCTGAATCACGAAGTACTCGGAATAGAGCTGTTAGCTTCTTTTCGCTCTCACCAACCACCGGTGATATGATATCGGTCGATTGGACAGATATAAAGTTGATGTTGGGTGATGATGATGCAATGGCTCGTGCCAATAGTGATTTTCCTGTTCCTGGAGGTCCGTGTAGTAAAACACCCGAGGGAGGATCAATACCCATTTGTCGGAGTGGTTTCCTATTCATGATGGGTGTCAATACACAACTCTTTATCTGTGCAATCGTCTTGTCCAATCCACCAATATCCTCAAACTGTATCGGCTCGTATGACAACTTGAATTCATTCAATGCCGACGGCTTGACATGTTCAAACATGGCGTCGAAATCCTCCTTTTCAACAACCACCAAACTCGGATCAATCGTCGAATCACAACTACGAATCTTTCTTTGAGCAGCTTCACCACACAATCTAGAAAGATCAGCTCCAACAAATCCATGTGAACATTGACCAATATATTGAATTAAACTTTGATAATGTTCAATATTATTTAAATAACTTGGGAATTCTAGAAAACAGAAAAAGTATGTTAGACGATGATTAGACATCCTTTCAATTCTTTCACATACTTTTAACAATAGTTTGTACAATTTCCTTTCTTCCCAATGGAGATGGTATTGGTAGACTAATTACAGAATCGAATCTTCCAGACATAAAGTATTCCTTGTCAATCGCATTGAATCTATTGGTCAGGGCAAAGATAAACACTGATTTGTTTCTATTTTCAAATCTACTATTACGTGATAACAAGTCTAATAAATGTGTTGATACTCTTCTTTCGATATCTACAAACAAACAAAACAAGGAATGAATCAATATTCAATCAATTAATCTTTATATCTTTGTTTGCTTGTTAATATACATACATCCTAATTCAGGAGTTCTTTTAGGTGCAATTGAATCAATTTCTTCAAATACAATAATAAATGGTTCATTGGTTTGATTCCTAGAGAATAAATCTGATACCAATCTTTCAGTGTCTCCTTCATCTGTACAATCAATGAATGTTAGAATGATTCTTCTTTCAAAGAAATGTGATTAAAAGAGAGATAATTACCTTTTTGATATAAATAAGATGAAGCAATAGTTAAACTATTTACTTTACAAATCTTTTTAAAACTATCTAATATCGTTGATACTAGTAATGACTTTCCAGTGCCTGTTCTAGAATGAACTAGCATATGATTGGGTAATGGTATAGTAGATGATTGAAATGGATAGGATGTACAGTATTCATTGTTATCCTTGTTGAGTCTTGTCTTTGACTCTACATATAATATCAATCTTTTGACGATTGAATCAATTACTTTATCCAATCCTCCGACTCTTTCCTTTATATTCTCTTTCAACTCTTCCTCTACATCCGAGTTCATCCTTGCAATTTAATTTAATAATGACGTTAAAGAATCGATCGTTTTTGTCAGAAACAGAAAAAAAATAATTAAATTAAACAAAATATTATTATTATTATTATTATTATTATGTGATCATACAATGTTGTTTTATTTATAGGTAGGTAGGTAGGTAAGAGATAGACAGATAAAAGAGTATTCTTCTTTTAATTCTATCATCTCTATCTCTTTTGTTTTTTGGGGAATATATTTTTTATGGGTGATATGTGCTCATCGGGACTACTATAGTTGGTTTATGCATAATATTCTAAACTCTTCTTCTTCTTTGCTTGAACTTCTTGGATACCTTCGGTAAAATCATTGTGGACCAATTCGGTACCACCACGACGCAGGGCAATCATACCGGCCTCGACACAACAGGCCTTGAGCTGGGCACCGTTAAAGTCTTCGGTGGAACGAGCCAACTCTTCGAAATTGACGTCTGGGTTTACGTTCATCTTACGCGAGTGAATTTGGAGAATATGGGCACGGGCCTCTTCGTTGGGCAATGGGAACTCGATCTTTCTGTCGAGACGACCGGATCTGAGGAGAGCAGGGTCGAGAATATCGATACGATTGGTGGCGGCAATGACCTTGATGTTGGCGTCACTGCTGAAACCGTCGAGCTGGTTGAGCAACTCCAACATGGTACGTTGTACCTCACGATCACCCGACAACTCACTGTCGAAACGTTTGGTGCCGATAGCATCGAGTTCGTCTATAAAAATGATGGTGGGTCCCTTTTCCTTGGCGAGGGCAAAGGCGTCACGCACCAACTTGGCACCGTCACCAATAAACATTTGTACCAATTGTGGTCCGGCCAATTTAAGATATGTAGAATTGGTTTGGGCGGCACAAGCTCTGGCGAGCAATGTCTTGCCCGTTCCTGGTGGACCGTACATCAACACACCTTTGGGTGGCTTGATGCCAATCGACTCGAATCTCTCCTTGTGTGTCATTGGGAGTACTACTGCTTCTACCAATTCTTGAATTTGTTTATCTAATCCACCAATATCACTGTACTCTTCTGTTGGTTTTTCATCAATCTCCATTGCCTTTACTCTTGAATCATATCTAATAGAAAATTAAAATTAAAAAAGAAAAAGAATGTAAAATGTATAAGTAAGTAAATCATCATCGATCATTAATTTGATCAACAACATGTTGTTGAATGTATGAATGAATGATGTGACACATACTCAGGTGGTAAAGTATCTAAAATAATATAACTATCCTTATTTACACCGACAAGATCTCCTGGTCTTAGTTTATCAACATCTACAATACCTGGGAACGCCAAAAATATAGTCTTTCAAACAAGAATAGAGATAAATATTGATTAATATAATTATAATAATAATAATAAGTGTTTAAGTGTTTATGTTTCACTTACTTGTCTTGTTGAAGCTTTAACTACAACACATTTAGATGGTTTAGTTTCACCATCCAAGGTCATTTCTATGATTTCTACAACATTTCCTACAAGATGTGGAAGTTGACTGTTAACTTGTAATTTTTCGTTATTCTCTTTAATCTTTTTCTGTAACGAGTCCATCTCCAAGTGCTTTGTAATATGTTCACCTCTAAGTAATTTAGTTTGATTCTCTAACAACTTTGCACGTTTGAGGATTTCTTCTGCGGTGAGTTTAAAGATCTCTTCGGGGATGGCAGTCTCTCCCAATGATGGTGCTTCTACCTCTTTAGCAGCAGCTGCTGGTTGAGATCCTTTCTTGGCTGCTGACATCTTCTCTCTCTCTTATTATATCTCTTTTTTTTTAATATATACAACAACAAAAAACAAATTAATAAACAATAAATTTTCATCATCACCACTTGCTGAACATCACTTCACACTAAATTAATTTTTTTCAATTTTTTCAAAATTTTTTTTTCAACCTCTGTCTTGATCAAAATCAATATTAATGAGTTGGAAAGAAATTAAAGAATTATATATAAATTATTACAAAATATATTATTTAATTTATTATACTTTTTTAACTGTGATGAGATTTTTGATTTGTTGTTGTTGAGAAGGAGAGAGAAAAAAAAACCATTATTATTATTTGTTATTATTATTACTTATTTTTGGATCTATCTATTGTGATCTATCTATATTCTATTATTATTATTATTATTAATTATTACTCTATTTTTTGATTTTATCGAATTAAATAATTTTTTCTTTCACCAGAACCACTTTTTGTTTTCTTTTCCCATACCTTTGGTATAGTCCAAAGCATTAGAGGTGAAATATTATCAGTACAAACGGTCCAAACAATACTTTGGTCGACCCTTACGACCAACTTGATACCCTGTTGACGATGATCGGCGGGAGTGTAATTATTTTTGTGATTGTTTTGCTTGTACAGCGTCAAAGTCTTGTCCAACGACGAGGAGAGGACCGAGTCGTCAAGATAGACGAGCGAGGTAACGGCGTCCTTGTGGGCATCAAACTTTTCACGCTGGGAGATTTCGTTTTCGTTTTTGATCTTCCAGATAAAGATTCTGCCGTCGGATGCACCGGTCCATACCTCGTCGGCAAGCGCCAAAAGCGAGGTGATGGAGCCGGTCGAGTGTTTCCAAGCTGGATTGGCCTGGACTTGAAGATTTTTTAGTTTACATAAATATAGTTGTGGCTTGGTGGCAATAAATAAGAGGTTATACTTGGACGAGTAGGACATGGCTACTACACCATGCTCGATGCTAAAGCTGTCTTTGGGCTCGAGTGTCTTGACGTCCCAGTGGAAGACCTTGCCGGTCGAGTCGCCCGTATAGACGCCAGCGCGGTCGTTGCCGAGTCCCGTGTAGTGAATGGCGGTCAGAGCACCGGGGTGTGGCGAGTTGATCTCACGCACAATCTCCATCGTGCCAATATCCCATACATAGATGGTCTTGGCGGTGATCTCCCAGATATGTTGACTGGCCTTGATCATGGCGACCGTGGCATTGTTGTGCTTGCATGGGAGGTCGCGGTACATCGATCCCTTCTTGCTTGCCCAGAATACCATGTGATTGTCGGCTGTCTTGGTCCACACGTACTCGCCAGCCTCACATGCGGCAATCACTTCAAACTTGCGATGTAGTGATACAGTATTCATATGATTGACTGGGTTTGGTCCAACGGGCATGGTAAAGCTGAGATTGTTATTCGAGTTGATCGAGCGGTAGTTGGGGTCGTTTGCGAGACCGGATGTGAGCGGAGCTTCGACAATCTTGGATGATGGTGAAGACGGCGATGATGGAGGTGACGATGACGCCGACTGGTTCAACGTGCTGAAACTGCCCGATGGCTGAGCCGGTGCGGTCGATGTCGTGGTAGTAGAGGTGGTCGTGGTGGTCGACGTCGATGCAGCAGACTGTTGATCGGCGTTGTAATGGATGCCGTTGCCATTGGGTGTCACAGAGACTGACGACAAAGACACCTCGCTGGCGCTGGCCGACGTACTCGTCGACGACAAGTTGCTCGATACCGATACAGTAGTCGATGCAGTAGTAATACCCGCACGCAACTCTTCAATCTCACGTACGACAATACTGAGATGTGGACGCTTCTTTGCGTCACCATTCCAACACATCTCTATGATGTTTCGCAATTTGGGTGGAATGTCGGCTGGCAATGTAGGTCTGAGGTTCTGCTCACGAATGGCAGTGATAAACTGACGTTCCTTGAGTGTATACTCTTCAAATGGCACCTTGCCCGTGATAATCTCGTAGAGAATCATAGCAAACGAGTATGTATCGGCCTTTTCCGTGTAGGTTTCCTGTTCGGCACCAATAGTCTCGGGCGCCATCCAATGGATCGACTTGAGGAGACCAGAGACCGATGGAACAGACTGTTGAGAGAGACCAAAATCAGCAATCTTGGCAACAACAGGTGCATCCTCTTGCAACGAGCAGATAAAGATGTTTGGCGAACGAAGATCACGATGTACAATGGGTGGTTGCAACGATTGCATGTATTGGAGACCCTTGGCAACATCGAGCATCATACGTGTACGGAAATTCCAAGACATGGGCTCGGGACTACGCAGACGCCTGTAGAGATCACCCATTGCCACGTACTCCATGACCATACGAGGTGGGGCAAACATGAGACCGTGGAGCTTGACGAGATTGGGATGGTTGAGACTAGACATGATGAATACTTCACGTTGGAACTCTTGGAACTTTTCGATCAATTGCTCGTCGGCCTCTGTGCTGTCCTGATTGAGCACCTTGACTGCCACTGTGCTGTTGTTGGCCTTGAAACGACCCTTGTGAACGACACCAAAGGCACCCTTACCAATCTGCTTCTCAAAGACAATATCGTCGTCCTTGAAGATGGGTACCTTGTTGGCGACGAGATCCGGTGCGACATAGTCGACACGTACTGGAATGTTGGGATCGTTACGACAGTACAAAAAGGGTGTGCTCTCTTGGATGGCCTTGATACAAGCGGCAAACTCAAAGTAGAATGGCTCGGTACGTGGGTCACGACAGATACAATGGTTGCAAGGAATGACACGCTGGGTATTGGGAAGGTTGAGGTAAAAGTTGTCGAGCAACGAATCGACGGTAAAGATGAGCTGCTTGAGGAAATGTGCAGCAGCCATGTCATGGTCATTGTTGGCACCCGTAAACGAACGCACTTCAATGGTGAGCTTGTATGCGTCGGCACGTGACTCGAAATTACGACGCTTCTTGAATGTGACCTGTGCCAATTGCTTGCTGGTGCCGCTGCTTGTAATCTCGAGCAACACACCGTTTCTCCAGTACGTCAAGATCTTGATACCCGACAAATGGATGATACGCAAGAGAAGACGCGAAAAGAAACCGAGTGGCATAAACTCAAAGTTGTAGTCGCAGCCGAAAAAGTGTACAGGTACACGCTGCTCGACCAGCTCGTAGTTGGGACGCCACTCTTTTTCAATGATGGACTGGATCTCGCCTTCGGGATCTTCAGGCAAGAGAGAGGGGACAAGTGAACGGCCATCACTCTCGGTGTAGCCGGGCAGCTCGTAGGCAACCTCAAACTTTTCGAGCAGCTTGAGCAAGACGGGCCACAAACTCTGCTCGTACTTGCCACCCCACACTGATTGGAGTTCGTTGTGCATCAAGATACCACGCTTGATCCAGTTGTGCGAAAAGGTGATCAAAGACGACATGACGTCGGCCAACCACTGCGGGTCGAGCACGACGAGGTTCTTGAGAGAGGGTGTGTCAAAGTGCAAGATAATGCCGAGGTTGTGGAGGAACGAGGTGGCGTTGGGAAGGTCGTCGGGCACACGCATGTGCGACATACGTGCTTCATTCTCGTATTCGGGGTAGTCTATGTAACGGTCCTTGATGGGGGCGGCGCCAAAGTTGGCCGTGCTGCCCAGATTGGACTGACTGACCATCTTGCCGGGGTTGGCACCACGTTTGGTGAGACGATGCTCGAGCAAGATGTATGTGCCCGGGATATCCTTTTTAATGAGGCCGCTTTTCTCGGCTTCGGTCGTCAACTTCTTTTTCAGGTCCTTGATGCCCTTGCCAGTGGTCGTTGACACAAAGCAGACGGGTTCCTTGGCACGTGTGTGCACGAGGAACGACTTTTTAATGATACCCTCGCATTCGGTGAGTTGCTCGGGTGTGCACACATCGACATGTGTGCCGACGAAAAAGAGGGCGGGCTTCATACCAGCCTCGCAAATCGACTTGATCTGACGGATCCAATACTCGACACGCTCGGCCCAATTCGAATCGGTCAGCTTAAACGTCACCAAATACAACGCACGTGCCGTTAAAAAGAACTGATGTGTTGGGTAAAACACCTGTTGACCTCCAAAGTCCCAGGCCGAGAAATCGACCTTTTTGCCCTTGAACATTTGGATCTTGACACCTTCGGTCGAGATGGTGTCACCGGTCACCTGCAAGTCGCCACGCTTCTTTTTGCTGCCGGTGAGTGCTTGCAAGAGACTGGTCTTGCCGACACCTTCCTGTCCGACAAACATCAGCTTCACCTTGTTCCACGTCTCCTTGTTCTCGCGCTCCAAAATGCTGCGACAAAACGACAACAAGTTCTTGACACCGCTGTCGATAATAGTGCGTGGGAAGTCTGACAAGGGGTTGTTGTGCAGTTCGAGAATCTTGAGGTCCTTGAGATAACAGATTTCGAGTGGAATGGTCTCCAACAAGTTATCCCTCAGGATGAGAATACGCAAACTCTTTAATACATTGATCTCACGTGGCAGTTCTTGGATCTTGTTGTCCGAGAGATCGAGCTCAATCAAACCTTGACACATGTGTATGACCGACATGGGGAATCGAATCAAATTGCTCTTTGCCAAACAGAGTCGCTTCTCTCGCTTCTTTTCAGTCTCTACTACCGCACTCAAAAGTGCCATCGTACCAGTCACCACCAATGCATTACTATTGTGTGCCAATAATGAATCGAATACAATTGCATGTCCTGCTTTATGTGCTTCTGATAATTGTTCCTAAAAAATAAAAAAGTAAGTATATAAGTATCCTATAGTCTCTTTTCTTTCTCTTCTTTCTCTTTCTCTTTCTCTCTTACATTTGAAACTTTTGAAAGAATAACCAAATCTAAAGCATTTACATCACCAGTTGTACATGCATCAGTCAATGCTATTTGTTTTTTAATTTTTGATACGGCTTCTGATACAATTTGAAATACTTCGTTTGCACTTTCTGGTCCTTTCCATTCGACAAAAGGACATTTATTCTGTACTATTAATCTTAAATCTTTAATATAACTAACTTCACCTGCACCACCTCTTGTTGATGGTGTATTTAAACCAACTATAATTGATGACATCTAAATATAAATAAATTAATTAATTAATATACACACAGTGATATGTAGATGTATTATCTACTACTACTACTACTAATAGTCATTTAATTTAATCTTACCAAAGCTAAATCTTGAGTTGCTTGATTTTGATTTTGTACTTGTTGTTGATTAAAGGTTAAGTTTTGTACAATCTTTTTCAAATCTTCTAGTGATTGCCTTTGTTTTGAATCCAACAAATACAAATTACATAATGCTTCTGGTACTTCGAGGTCTGCTTCTTCTTGTCCATCGTCTGATGCGTCGTCACCAAGATCGTCGTCGCTGTCTGAAGTACCACTCATCATCTTGGTATCGCTATCTGGATCAGAGAATATGATCTTGTAGGTGGTCTGGATGACTGTCAGCACCGTATTTAAAGAGTTGAGTTGGTTGATGAGTATCTCTTTCTCAGGACCGATAACATCGACCGTGAGGATCTCAAAAGAAGATCCTGCTGATACATCTCCCATTTTTCTATATATATATTATTATTATTAATTAAACTATTATTATTATTATTATTATTACTACTTTATATTATTATTATTAAAGGGTACTTGATAATTATAATTAAATATGAAGAAGAAAAAAAAATTAAAAAAAAAGATATATAAAGAATTGGGAAAAGATAAGAGAGAGGTCTGCCTTTTTTGTGTATGTATGTATGTTTGTATTATAGATGATGATGATGATGTTCTCGTTAATCGATCTTCTCCTTTCTCTTCTTTTTCTTTATCTTTATCTGTACAGTGTAAAGTATGTAAAGTAAAGTTGGTCGTAATCTGTACTCTACTTTTACTTTTACTACTACTATTACTAAACTAACTAAAGTAATACTACTACTACTATTGCTAATGTGGTATAAGATAGATAGAGTTAGTTATATCTGCCTTTGTTGTTGTTATTATTATTGTTATTGTGTTATTTGTGGATTGTGTTGTTGTACAGCTTGTTAATTGTGTACTGCTGAACGGCGGGTCACTAGTAGTGATTGTTTCACGAAAAAGAAAATTTTAAAAAAAAATCTTGGTTGAGGAAAAAAAAACCATTCCGTTGCAATCGCAGGCTGTGTCGCCACCCAACCAAACCAATAAACAACAAACAGAACAGACAGTGATATCTTTGACGGAATGGGATTCTTAATGGTGTGTGTTTGTGTGTGTCAATCAATCCTTTTATGGTGTTGGGCGTGTCTCGACTCGATCGGATAATATATATATATATATTTATTTTATCTCCTCCTCCTCCCCTACCTATCCTATTTATTGATGTGTTGTGGTGTGAATGAATACTCACTTGCTTGTCTACTACAACAATCAAAGTTCTTCAACTTTGTCCGCTGCTGCTATATATATATTATATATAAATATAAATATATATACTACTATGTTACAATATGTATGTATGTATCTATCTCTGTGTTGTAAATCTAAAAACAACAAAAAGTATTAAAAAAAAAAAAAAAAGAAGTAGCTGCTTCCCTACCCCCAACCACCAGCGACACATTTTAAACGGAAATGACAATATCGGCGATGCAGCAGCCCTCTGTAGATACCTACCTCCTCCTACTAGTAGTGGGGGTGTGTATCCAAAACCCAAAAATTAATATAAATCTATTTTTTTTTATCGAACAATCCAAAGAGGAAGGATAGGTATAAAGGAATAGAGGTGTAGATCGACGATGATAATGATGATGATATATATATTGCAAACTACTTGCTTGATATTATTCTATTGTTAAAGAAGTACACTTTACCTTGTTTACTTGACAGCGTTGTTGTCAGGTGTGAAGAAAGGCAAGTGGAAAAAAAGGGGTAAACAAACGATACTCTATTCTGTTGTGGTGATTGTTGGTAACTGGGTTTTGGTTCTATTGCGAAACAAAAGAGATTTTTTACTTCTATCTTGATTCTTTCTAGTTTTGTATATATATCTTATAAGTGTATATATTGTATATGTAGTATGTATTAGGGTGTTGTATATTATTAAAGAAAGAAAGAAGTGTGGATGGGAGAATAAAAAAAAAAAAAAGATAAGATACAAGGAACAAATAAATAAATAAAATTGAAGAGAGATAAGATAGACAGACAAACAACAAAGTTTTAAAATAAAAATAGTTAAAAAAAAGATGGTCAAGTGTTTCACGATCAATCAATTGAATTCAGCCCTGTCCATACATAGATAACCCATCACTCAACGATGAACAGAACAAATCATCCATCAAGATATGTTGCCTTAAAAGTCTCAGTGCTCAAAAAGGAATTTAGCCGTGTTTGGCAAATCCCAAGCAAGATTTTTTTTTTCGAGCACTTTTGATTGATGCGTCAATGGTGGCCATCGAGCTCAAAAAAATATGGGCGGTTTTAATCTATTATTATTAATTTGTGTGTGTGGCTATTATTGCTTGCTTGTTGTTATTGTTGTTTATTTTGTTGTTGTTGATGAACCTCTTCGATGGCTTTGTACCAAGCAGGTTTATCCTTTTCTTCATAGTCATAGTGGACGAGGATTTCCTCGCCTTTGGCAATTGGTTTGATACTGGTGACACATTTAATGTCTCCGAAACGTGGATGGTAGCATGTCTTGTAGACAGTGTTGTGTTGGAAGCTGTGGTTGGCCTTGTGTCCCAACGAGGCACAGTACTGCGTGGTGAGGGAGTGGCTGGGTGGAATATCGATATACGTCTCTTTGTCCAAAAACATAGTGTTGGAGTTGAACGACCAGTCACGTTCATCGGCAATCTTGGGGTCGATACGAAGCCCATTGTAAAAAGAGACGAGTCGGTTGGCTGGAATATCACGTTTGGCAAATAACCCTTCATTCGAGTTGGGTATAGTGGATGGTGCGACAAACACATAGTGTTGTTCGTATGGATCGGCTTGGAGGGGATCGGAAGAGATTAAAGTGTCGGTAGCCTCATCTCTCTTGATTTCAACCACATCGTCGTCTATTGGTGGCACTCCTTTCGGTGCTATAGCACGACCACTTACAAAATCACCGTCTTTCCATTTACCCTTGATTGAGAATCTGTGGTCTGGATAATAGTATGTACACTGTCCATCCATCTGACTACTCTTCCAAATACCATGTATCTTTCCACCGTCTACCAAGTATATGATACCCGGTCCATTTCTCTCACCATTTTTATATTGTCCTTCAAAAGTAACCTCTCCAGTCATAACACTATATTCTCTACATTCTCCATGCATTTCCCAATCTACTGATGTTCCCTCTAGAAATCATAAATAAATAAATTGATAAGTTAGTTTCCAACATAATATATATATATATATATATATCACATGTTATATACTATATAGTATATGTATACATACCAATTCTAGTATCATCAATGGTTACTTTACATCTACCAACCAATTGATTTCTTTTCCAAATTCCTTCATATTTACAACCATCTGCCATTGTCAACACACCATGACCTTCCTTTTGTCCCTTTTTATTGTATGATCCTTCATAGACATCTTGTTTTTCTTCCTCCTCTTCTTCTTGACCACTACCATCCATATCTTCATCAAATGATTCATCATCACCTTCATCATCATATTCAATATCACTACCATCTTGTTCTTGTTGTAATTGACTCTTTAGTTGATTCTTTCGTTCCATTTTCTGTTCTTGTTTGAGTCTGACTTCACGTCTCTTTAGTTTCTCTATTTTTCTTTCCTTTTTTGTCTTTTTAGGTGCCTTTGGAACCACAGGCACTACTGCCTTCTTCTTGTATTTGTTGTTCTTATCGTTCTTTCTCTTTGTCATCTTTATCTGTACGTAAACCAAAACTAACTTTGGAATGAAACGAACAAAACGAATGATTTGAAAGGGTGCTTTTGCATGATGTTAATCAAAAGTATTTTTTTTTAAATCAAACTTGTCCCAATGGACATTATCGCAACAGCTTCTATATATTTTAATGTTCATTTATTTAATAAAAGAAGAAGGGTAGAGAGAAGAGTAGAGTAGAGAGTTATAGTATAATATAGTATCATATAGGTTCTTCATGAGTGGAATATTTAGTTTCTTTTCAAATAGAAAGAAAAAAGAAGAGGATGAAGTAAATGCAAATTCAAATACACAAAGCAATAATACATTGAATGCATCTTCATCCTCTGTCTCTTCTGGTGGTTCATCATCTCCATCGGGATCATTTGCTGCAATCTCTGCAATAGATAATCAACCTCCTCTAAATGAGATTCAAATACTATCGGCTCATTCAGAGGCTGTAAAGACTTTATTAAAGATTGATGACGATAGGTATGTTGTGTTATATGTTGTTGTCTATTTATATATATATATATATTCCATTCAAGATGATGACATAATCAATATTAACATATAGATATCTATATACTATTTGTAGATTGGCATCAGCAGGTGATGATTGTTTCATATATATTTGGTCAATTGAAACAGGACAGGTGATACGACAACTTAGAGGACACAGTAATAGAGTTACATGTCTATTGTATTATAATAATGATATATTGGTATCAGGTTCAATGGATAGAACTATTAGAGTAAGTTTCATATGATCATTCATAGTTGAAACACAACGTTCTTTTATATATATTAACACTATCAATCTATTTAAATGTATAGATGTGGGATTTATCAACAAATAATGTAATGATTGATCCAGTTACAAAAATGACCTATATAGAACCATTTAAATTGATTCCAAAGACACATAATGAATCTGTAAAGGTATGTTTTGTATATATGATGAAACTGGATAATGGATAGATATATTTGACAAGTATGATAATTAATTAATTAATTATTTATTTATTTATTTGTAGTTTCTTGAAAAAATACCAAATGGATTCTGTTCAGCTTCAAATGACGATGTTTTATTATTATGGAAAGAGAATGGTGATTTTGAAAGATCAATAACAAGAATTCAAAATGATTGTATGTTAAAAATAATAGTATTTTAATTATAATATTTATTTATTTCAATCTATTTTTAGATATAAATGGTATATTATGTGTAAATAATAATTATATTTTAACTGCTGGATCGACAATTCCATATTTGGTAGCATACAAATTGGATGAAGTCAATGTTCCAGCTAAAACGCTGAGTGGACCGGTTGGATGTGTCAATTGTTTGATGAACATCTCTGACAAGTATTTTGTCACTGGGAGTCGACCAAGCGAGGAGGCCCCACAGACACCTGGTGGCAATTCATCGACAGTATCTCCTCCAGTCCAACCTCCACAACCACCAACCACACCGGCTGCCGCTGCAGCCAATTCAAAAACTTCACCTAAAAAGAAAACAGACCCTGATAAAACAATCATCATTTGGAATGCTTCTGATTTTTCGATTGCTGCATCGGTCTCTACGGAACGTCCCATCAGCTATCTCTACAAAATAACAGAAAACTTTTTATTGGCCACCATCTATAAAGGTTTTGGTATTTACGATTTAAATGGAACATTGGTTTTAGAGTATCTTCCAGAGGATCCAGATTCTACAACTGAAATTAATGGTGCAATTTCTTTATATGACAAGTGTGTAAAAAACCAAAAAAAAGAATATTGGAGTGTCTATTAATAACATTGTTGTTCTTTTTTTTTATATAGTACAAGATTAATATCATGGGCAGATGTAAGATTATCAGTTTGGTGTTGGAATTTAAAGGATATTGAATTATCATTACAACAACAAAACAAAAAGAGAACAGTTGTAAAACCGATAATGATTGGAGAGATGAGAGGACATACTGATTATATGAACTGTCTAACTGTATTGGACGATCATTCAATTGCGACTGGAAGTTCAGACAAACAAATTATCCTTTGGAAGGATGGTAAATATCAATCTTCGATTAGAAATCATTTGGCTGGTGTCTCACTATTTGAATTATATAATCCTTCACCTTTGTTGTCTCATTCAACCACTGAAGAATATATCTATACCGATGATGATAGATTCGATATTTAAATATGAAAGAAAGAAGAATAAAACTTGTGTGGGTGGATCAACAAGTAGCTACAACAAAAAAGATCCGAATATTCTGTATAATAATAATACTAGTAGAAATGGTTGGTTAATTTATTCATTCATTTCAAGTAGTAGTAGGTAAAATTTGAAAAGAAAATATATTGTCTGAAGCACTTTCCAAAGGCGAAAGACATAACGCGGCATCCACAATGGTAAGGTAGGATGAATGTAGGATATTAAACAAACGGTAGCCAGATTCACAGGCCATTATTTTAAATAGATTGGCGGGGATAGAGTAACCATAACTACCACCAGTGATATCAACTGCTCTAAATGGCACGAAATTGATAACTCCATTATGAACGGAAAGACTGTGCTTTTCACCATGTTTGATCAAGACATTATTTGTAATGGTTGGAATAATCTGAAATGTCTTGCTTGACAATTCAGCCTCTTTTTGGAGACTTGCCACTTTATGAATGACACCATTCTTTGAGTGATGTTCTCGATCGGCTACCAGAGAAAGAGTAGAGTCTAGCAAGAAAATGGAAATATTCTTGTGGTACAACATATACTTTTCACTTTTGAATTTTAATTTGTGATCCAAAGTGGTCAGCCGATCAGTGAGATAGGATCTTCGTTGTTTCTCCAAATGTTCATTCTCTATTCTTTCTTTTTCCAATTTTTGGTTACGCTCTTCTAGTTTAGTAACATGTACTTTTATGTCTGCCATCTCTGTTTCAACCTCTTTCATTTTCAAATCAGATTCTTCTTTTAATACTAGTACTTGTTTTAATTGGTTTTGATGATTTTCTTCTATTTTTTTGATCTTATTTTCCAAATGTACTATTTTATGAATATTATTATTTGGTGATTCATTTTGATTATTATTATTATTATGTTGTTGCTGTTGTTGTTGTTGTTGTTGTTGTTGTTGTTGTTGTTGTTGTTGTTGTTGTTGTGGGAGTTGTTGTTGCTGTTGCTGTTGTTGTTGTTGTTGGTGTTGTTGTATTTTAATATTTTTATAATGTTTTTCCAATTCATTGAGTTTTATCGTGACTGCTTTATACATTGAATATAGTTCGGTTATACTATCTTCATAATTTTTGTTTGTTAATATTTGGTTTTGCGCGGGATTAAAAGATTGTTGTGAGGATGATAAAAAGTTGGAACCTGCTCCTCCCATTCCATTTGCCATAAAACTTGGAAAGTGATTAGATATTTTATCATTATTATTATTATTATTATTATTAGTATTATTATTATTGTTAATTGGAGGTGGAGGCGTATATTGACTAATCATCTTTGCAATTTTAAATTCCATAATTTCCAACAATTGTTTTGATATTTCAATATGATTTGAATTACCATTATTATTATTTTGATTATTTTGATTATTATTATTATTATATTCTTTAATGGTACCTTTTATACGTTTAATTGTTTCTTTAATTTTAGCCAACTCCCTTTTAAACTCTTCCGTGTCACCAACATTTTTTTGTAATTTTGATTGTACATCGTCCACTTTTAATTGAAATGATGCCCCAATTTGTTGTTGTTGTAATTGTTGTTGAGATGATAGTTGTTGTATTTGTTGTTGTTGTTGTAGTTGTTGTTGTTGAAGTTGTTGTTGTAACATTAGATATTGATGGTTTTGTTGAAACAATGAATTTGGATCGACAATGGGTGGTGACTGACAAATCATTGGATTTTGGTATTGTTGTTGTTGTGGATGTTGTGGGGATGGAAGGTATAATTGGTTATTACTATTGTTTTGTTGTGGTTGATGTTGGTGTAGTCCATCATAATATTGTGATTGAAAGTGTAGTTTTGGACTATTAAAACTATTTTGTTGTTGTTGTTGTTGTTGTTGTTGTTGTTGATTATTATTATTGTTAATATTATTAGTGTTATTAATATTATCAAAATGTCCTCCACCTCCACCTTTATCATTTGATTTTTTCTTTGTTTTTTTGATTGGTTTAGGTGAATTGTTAATACTAGTACTTGTGCTTGTACTTGTGCTCGTAGTTTGGTTTAGTTTTTTGATTGGTGGTGTTGAGTATCCATTGGTCAAAGGTGTGGAAGTAGACGACGATGACGGTCTTTGATCGAGGTTGCAATCATCGCTGTCACTGTCACTGTCACCACTCGAAGGGTATCGATGATCGTCATCACAATCTTCATCGATATCGCTTTGATTAAAAGGTGATTCGGGTCTTTCAAATGACGATGTTTTATTTCTGCTGATGCTCCCAGCAGAGCTGTTGTTTATTGTCATGTTACTGTTGGCCATTCGATTCTTCTTGCTGGCCATTTCACTGCTACTACTATCGCTGCTGCTTGATGATGATGATGATGAAGATGAAGCTGAAGATGTTGATGTTCTTGTTATAAATATATTTCCTTCTACTCCTTCTCTATGACCGTCGTCATATACATCTCTTTCAATTTGGTTTATTTTGTTTTCCAATTGTTCTATTCTATCACTGTCGTTGTTGTTAAAGTATGACAACAAATAATTAATCATAATAACATGGAATATTATATTATAGCATATACTATCATACACAACCACATTTAACACAACATATTCAAGGCCATTTAGATTTTGATCGAACCCAATAATCTTTGAGAGTTGATTTTTTTTGTGGGTTGAACACACACCCCTTTATTCAATTATCGACACTGTTTGGTGAGGGTTGATAGAGATAATCTAATACTTTTTCAAACTCTATCGAGGACAAAACGTCACAAGAGCACCCAACATTGCAGAGAAAAGTCAAAAAGATGCAGCAAGTGTATCGAAAAAGGAACTGTTGATGATGAGCACGGGTCTTCTTCATGTCATGATCATCGTCACGATCGCCATCGGCATCGGATGCTTGTTGTTTTTGATGTTCAACCTCGTGGAAACCTTCATTGCCCATTATTTCTTTCTTTCGACGGTTGCAAATCAGTCTTCGTTGATGGTCACGCTCTTTCCAGCTAATCGAGTCGACTCCTTGACGAATGAGGGACAGGTGTTTCTTTTTGGCAACCTTTCGTCGCTCATCTCTTGTTTCCTGTAGTTCTTCGTAGCACTGTTGATTCAGCTCGAGTGGTGGCAAGACACTGTTGATAGCCTTGAGCCAATTGTCTCGAGTAGCGTCGTCCTCGTAAAAGAGGTAGTATGCTATTTCTTCGGTTGGTATCGAGTCTCTAAAATCATCGCCTCTCATGAGATCGGTTGCACTTGTACGAGACGGGTCGACATGTATTTCTAGTCCACTCTTTCTTTCAACCTGTCCTAGACATAGATCTTCGAGTGGCACTTCCGATCTCTTTCTAGGTTTGCTGGCGCCAGTTGTTTGCTGTGGATGAGCAACCATCAACTTTGGAGTTCCAATCTCTACAGGTTTCACAAAACAATAGGAACCTAGATGAATCGATCCAAACCAATTCCACTTTAAAACACCATCTTTTAGTTCCAAATCTCGTTCATTGTACATTTCTTGTCCAAAGAATGATAAATCACGTGCCAACTTTGTGACTTTTGCTTCCATCCTAACCATACTTGGTTCAATTCCTAATCTTGGATATAATTCTATTTCCTTCAAGGTGGTTGACTTTTCTTCTTCTTCTTTATCTTTTTCAGTTAACTCTTGATCCTGCACACCCATACTATTTTCCTCTTCAAAGTCAGGGGAAACACAATTTTTGTCAGGGAATAAAATTGGTTCAGGTGAATCAGGCGCTACAGTCTCTTCACCTTGATTTTCTTCAGACTCTTCAAGTTTGCCATGACCTCCTACTGTATATCTTGGAATAAAAGGTAGATCTTGAATCTTTCCAAATGGACCTACAAAATCTATATATTTAGAGTATTTAATGATTCTTGTACCTGATAAAAGCTAGGATTAAATATATATTTCCATTTTCTAATCTCATCCATCCTCTTTTTATCTTACCATCAGATAGGACCAATGTTTTAGGTTCTTTTATACTTGAATCTCTATTTAAACTATTCTTTTCTTTTAACTTGTAAAATTGTTCCAACATTTTTAATTGAAAAAAAAAGAGATTAATAACAAAAAAAAGTAAGTTCAATATTAATAGTAATTGTAGTGTGTTTAAATCAATAAAAAAAAAATATATAGCAATTTTAAAATGGAATTGTGAAATGGTAATTTTAATAATAGTTCAAAAGTAGGTAGGTGGGTGGTATGACACCGACAGATAGGTTTATATTTCATTGGCGAGATTATAGTCATCTGGGTTATGTGAAATGAGTGATTCTCTGCCTTGTTGTTCATGTTGGCTGTATCTAGATCCTCCTCCACCTTGTTGTTGATTTGGATTGTAGTATCCAGCTGATGGTTTAGATGACTTTGACTTTTTGAGGCCACTCCAAAAGACAAAGACAAGATACAAGACGTAACACCATACCAAAACAACAGATAGTGCAGAGAATACGTATCCAGACTTTGGTCCCCACTCGGCTGAAACACTCGTAGTGCCAAAGGGTTTTATAGTGGTGGTGATGTTTTGGTGTCCAGAAAAGCTATTGCAGATATGTGTAGCTTCTTCATCTACCTTGGTATCACCACAAATAACCTTGTTGATACGGGTAAAGTTGAAACAAGCAGCTGCCACGAAAATAAACAAAAGGGCTTGGATTCCATAACGAGACCAAATGGAAATCTTTCTGGCCAATTGATAGAAATTGGTTGCCATGTTTGATTTCTTGACAACAACCTTGGCTGAAATGATGAAAAAGCTAGCAAGTGTCTTGGGTGGCGATTGAAATGAATGTTAAATTGAGAGTGAGTTAAATTAATTAAAAATAACACGATCGTGTAGTGGTGAAGTTTCAAAACATAACATACCAATAAAAAGCAAAAGACAGTGAGGCCATGACTTCCGTGGACCTTGCTTGCTATCTCTGAGTCCAAATCTTGGTTGCTATTTTGCAAAAGGATATTGAGGCAACCTGTCGAACTTGTACACAGTCGAATGTAGTACCTAGTATTTAATAGTAATTAAAAAAAAAAAGGGGGGGGATGGTATTAATGTACTATCACTTTGTACCCATTATCTTTGTCATCGTCATGATATTCATACCATGGTGCAGAAAGTGATACAATCAAAAATATTGACAAGAAAGAGAGGTACACATAGTGAATAATCTCTTTCAAACTACATAATCTGCTTTTCATTTTTAAAACTCTTTTGTATTTGTTTGTTTGGTGCTATCTAGATTTATATCTTTTTAAAAAAGATTCTTAAAACTCAAAGACAATGAGGCAAGAACCGAGTACTCCTCCCCATGGTCATTTTTTTTTATTGATTTTTTAATTTTAAAAAAATGATTGACAGCAAAGCAAAAGGACAAGCTGCTCGTCAACCAAGTATGTATTTATTATTATTATTTTGATCATTCATCGTATTCGTCTTGGTGGTCAGAAATGAGTGACTCTTGCCCAACTTTGGAATATCCAGAGGATGATGATGAAGAAGAAGGGTAACGAGACGACGACGACGAAGAAATACTACTATCATCATTGTTTCTGTTACGCCACCATGAAAAGACGAGATAACCAAAGAAACCAGTTGATAAAACAGTTGAAATGGTTGAAAATACAAATCCTGCACTAGGACCCCAACTATAGTATTCTGTAATGGCATCTGAAATGATAGTTTGTTTGCCACGGAAATTATCACAAATGTAGGTTTCCTTTGGGTCTTCATCACCGTCGGCACAATATAATTTGTTGATTGAAGTAAAGTTAAAGCAAGAAGCAGATATTACAATAACCAATAAAAGGTGGAGAGCAAGGAAGATGTAGGTTGAAACCTTTTTCAACAGTTTGTATATATCCTCTTTCTTTAACTTTTTTAAAATTGCCTTTACTAAAAGAATTGCCAATATAACAAATACCTATAGAATAGAATAGATCAGTAAGAGGTAACCAGTTCAAAAACAAAAAGTAGAGGACAAACTTACCAATAATAGAGCAAAGATTGTTAATCCTAGAGAAGCTTTAAATTTGTTGGTGATCTTTGGATCGAGGTTGCCTCTTTCTGGGTTTTGCCAAGTTGATACGCAAACGGTAGGGGCTGTGCCTTCAGTAATACACTTTGAAATCTCATACCTTTTAAAGGATAGATAATATTAGTTATTTGGGTTATTCTTTCAACTCATGAGTTTTTATAAATAGTTTACATACCATGGTGATTTAATAGAGACAATTAATGAAATCATCAAAATTGCATTGAAAATTGAATGAATTACATCTCTCTTTGTACAAGTTCTATCATCCATTTTCTCTCTCTATTATCTCTCTCTCTCTCTCTCTTCTTTGTGATGATAAATAAATAAATAGGACGATAGTTTGTTCTGATTAGCCTCCCCGTAAGCAACAAAAGAGGATCCCTTCACGAATAACTTTCGGTGATTTTTAAATAGTTGGTTGAAAATGGCTTTTTAGATCCGAAAACAGATCGACGGTTGGCACGTGGTAGTGTTTTTGATACCAGACCTGATCGTACCACCAAAATACATTAGGTAAACTATAGTATTTATTATTTATCGTGATTGTTTTCTTGTGTTTGTTATTTGTGTTACTAATAATAAAAGGTATACCTTTTTGAAAATCTATTTGTTTGGATTCTATTACTATTGTTGTATCTCTAAGACGTACAAGTAGAAATAAAATATAAAAAGTAGATTGATTGAGATTGAATTTAATTGTCCACTCACTAGAGTGGATTGGTGAAGCCTAATTAGGTTGTTGATCTTTTGTTGCCAAGTTCTGATTGTCGGTTTGTAGTAACTATGAATAAAAAGACCTATAAGGAGGGACCGCGATAAACACAACACTTGGGTTGCTAGGTGGGGAGTCTTACTATTGAGTGGAAGAGAGAGAGAGAGAGAGTTAGATATATATCAAAAAGTGAGAATATATCTCCAATAATAAATAGATACTTACAAAAAAGGTTGTAATCTTTTTCCAACCAACTAGTATAGATTTGTTATTCCACAAATCATATGAATATTGTAGTGTTTGGTGATGATGATGGTGGGCTATCCAACAATCTGTCTAGATTACATCTATAGTATTTGCTTTAAAATGAACTCAAAAGCCCGATTGTTATTCTCTTATTAATAACTATGTAGATAGGGGATGATTTAATTTATTCTGTATCGTCTCCAACATCGTTTGTTTCTCTGAGTCTCTTTTTAAGTAATCTAGTAGATTGACCATTGTCTTCTTGTTGTTGTTGGTCTTGTCTTGCTCGTTGCTGTTGAGGATTTGGGAGAAGAGCTGAATGTCGGTTGTTGTTCTGATGATCTGGTAATGAGATCAGATCGGGAATAAAGGTATTATTGTTGCCACTGTTGTTGGCTTCAATTTCCTTTGTTTGATCAATAAAACACATTGAAGAAGGAGATGCTGTTCCAATTCCAATGTTGATATTGTGTGTTGGAGGTGCAGGTATTGATTGATGTGGTGGTGGAAGGATGGGTGAAGATACTCCTGGCACGTTTGATAGGAACGAAGTGGGAATAAGAGCAGATGTCGATGATGACAAGGAAGGGTTGGAGTTGTTGTTAGAGTTGTTATTATTATTGTTGATGTTGTTGTTCTGTAGGTTTTGTTGTTGAGATGATGGCAGAGGATTGTTGAGATATGGTGGTGTAGGGTAGATAGCGATTGATGACATGGATTGTGGTGGAGAATTAAACATCTGTTGATACTCTCCTCCATTACTCATGTATTGTGGTTGGTATAAATACGAGATTGGTTGCTGTTGGTGTTGTTGCTGTTGTTGTTGCTGTTGGTGTTGTTGTTGTTGTGCCATGGAACGATGATGATGATGATTATGGTGGTTATGATGATTGTGGTGGATGTGATTATGGTTGTGGTGAGGAGGTGGTGGTGGCAATTGGTGATGTGATTGATGCATCATGTTTTCATAACTACCGTCTGGATATCCAACACCAACTTCTTTTTGCAATGGAGCTGCGTTCATATCGTATGCAGACTTTGTTTCTCTTGGTTGGATGTTGGGCTTTTCATAGTAGATTCTAATGGAAAATCTAAGCTTTTCCCATAGAGTAACCTTAATGTCGGTAGAAGATTCCTTCATGAGAAAACCTTCAAAATCATCTTCGGTTCCCCATCTATCATCCCATTCATCTTCTTGTTCTTCTTGTTGATTTTCATATTGATTGTTGTTATTATTGTTGAAGAGTTGTTGTTGTTGTGGTTGAGATTGTTGTTGTTGTAATGGTTGTTGTTGTTGGAACAACATCATAGGTTGTGGTGAAGGTAACTGGGAATTGTAAGAACCTTGTCCTACATAGATGTTATTAATATTGATATGATTATTTCCGATATAGGTTGACTTGAATGAAGACATTTGATTGCTATTGTTATTATTATTATTGTTATTATTGGATAGATATGGGTCTTGGTAACCTTGTTGTTGCTGTTGGTCTTGTTGTGATAAATAGTTGACAATTGGTGTCATTGGTAGAAAAGACTTGAGGTTGGGTGAAAATTCATTTGATCTTTGTTCGTTGGGTGTGGATGTGTTTGATTGCTTGGACATTGACAATGGACTTGGAATGCCCGAAGAATATGGATACTGGATGTAATTGGTAGTTGAAATTGAATTCATATGACTATTGTTGTTTGATTGTGGAGGAGAAAGAAATGAATGAGCAGATGGTAACAAATTATTATTATTGTTGATATTATTATTATTATTTATGTTTCCATTATTATTGTTTCCATTATTATTGATGTTTCCATTATTATTATTTCCATTATTATTGTTATTATTATTATTGGTAGAAGTAGTTGAAGTAGAAGTAGATAAATCAATATTATTATTATTAGTCAAAGTAGTTCTTCTTATAGATAATATTTCATTTTCCATTGCAGCATTGTGATTAATGACTAGAGATTGATATTTGGCATGAGAAATGTCAACAGGTTCTTCATCTTTTTTGTATTTGGCTTCAGACTTTGCTGTATTCTCTGGATAATCGTATTCACGCATCAGCTTTCTGATTGGTAGGTGTTCTGAAGTGACCAACGAGAGAATGGAATAGGAAACATTGGATGCAATCTTTGTAATTCTTTCTGGATCCCTGTCATCCATTTCATGAGGTGGGAATTTGATTGGGAATCTTCTAATCATCCCATTTCGTTTAAAGTGTCCTTTTCCTGCTATTGTTCTCTTCCATTTCTTTGAAGAATCTGGTGGATCTTGAAATGAAAGAACAACATGAGCATGATGACCTAAATATAAAATAAAATATAAAAAAGAAATATTAATAATTGGATGTGTTTCCTTCCTCCTTCTCCTTCTCTCTCTCGTTTATTTACCTTTATTAGTATGATAAGATGTCATTTCATTTACCTCATCGTCAAAGGCATATATATCAATGACAGATTCATTGTTTCGAACAAATTGGAATACTCTTGGGAGGTATCCTGATGCAAGATATAATGAAATGATCTTGATCAATCGAATGGACTCCAATACCCCAAGTTGCTCCAACAATGGCAAGTATGAAGGTGGTATGGTCGACTTTTTAGATGATATTTTTCTTGTTCTATTAGATAGTTAGTCTGGTCCCTTTGATCTAAAGAGAACAATACCAACTAACTGAGAGTATGAAAGTGGTTGAAAAAGGATGAATGGTAGGTGAGTGAAAGTAACCTATAAAGTTGAAGTAATGATAAATAGGTTAATTAGCAAATTGTGTGATCCATCAAAATCAATTGGCATATCTATAGTAGTCAAGAGAGAAACTATCAAGACAAAGAGATGACGACAAAAGAGAGAGTCTTTAAATCGTTGTTGACTTTTTTTGTTGTTTGTTGGATGATGTGAATATAGGTTGAGATGAGATGAGATGAGAAGGGTGATGAATCTGGGAATTCCTTTGTATTGTTGTGTGTTGATTGATTGAGTGGTGTTTGTTTGTTGTCGAGGATAGATAAAGGTTATTATCAAATGAAATAAATGTCTGGTCTTGGATGATAACTAATTTGATTTGATGATAAAGAGAGTAAGAGAGAGATTAAGAGTAAGAGTAAGAGTAGAGAGAGAAAAATTAATAAGTGGTTGGTTGGTTGGTTGGGGTCAACGAGTCAAGTAAGAATTCTGATTTGATGTATTGGCATTAATTAAAATATAGTTCAAGAGTCTGTAATACTAGGGTGTGGGAAAAAGAACAAACAAACAAACAAACAGCAATACAATAATAATAACAAAAATAATAATAAAATAGTATTATGCCAATTATGTTTTTATATTATATTGCTATTGGTAACTGGACTATTTGTGTTGTCGTCGTACGACATTATTGATGTGTGTAAGATTGTTGTTATGATGAGGAACTAAAGATGGTTTATCTGAAACGAATTTTATCGGCTCGTGTGCTTGTTGTCTCTGTGAATCGTGTGTGTGGGTGTGAGTGTAGTGTGGTGTGTGTGGTGCGTTGTTTGGCATATGTATTTTTTTTGAGGAGTATGGGGAATGAAGAGGAGTGAGAGAGAGAGAGAGAGAGAGAAGAGAGTTGGATAGTGAAAGGAGAAGAAGAATCGAAACTCCTACCAAACAAACTTTAGTTTATGATAATGGTTTGTAGTCAAAGTATTGATTATTAACTTTAGTTGATGATAATTATCTGAACACACAAATCAAATTCAAAGCATTATAATGTGCGTTATATTAATTGATAAACTAATAGTGAACAAATAATAATAAAACAAACCAAATGTACATTTGATAGATGGAAAGATAGATAGACAGACAGATATAAATATATATATAACTTATATATAAATATTTAAATACAACTATTATTATTATTATTATTATTATTATTATTATTATTATTATTATTATTATTATTATTATCAATCTCTTATCATTGTTAATCTATTACTATTAATTGGAATGATGATTATTACTTTATATATATATTATTATGCTAAAGCTAATGAATGCATTATTTGGAGGGTGGTTGTACAAAATGAATGAATAGAACCAGATTTACAGATGAACAAATCAGCAAGTGAACTTTTTTGTACACTCCTCCATCTCTTTCTTTCAAACCATCCTATTCTATTATTATGAATATTGATATATATCATAGATATATATATATATATATAATATATAGACTGTATATTTATGTTTTGTTTTGTTTTTGTTTGTATTACGAGTCTATTTGTTCTCTCTTGGTTCTTATATCTTTTGTGTGTATGTATGATAGAGATATAACAAACGTTGTATCAAGACTTTGGTTGGTGTGAGTGTCTCTCCCAGCAAAAAGTCAAAAAAAGATTAAAAAATCGTATGTTTGTTTTCGCCGCTTCCTCTTTGTTGTGTGATACGCATATGGGTTCTTTTCCGCAAGTACCTTCCATATATAGAACTTGTACAAATATAGAACTTATATTTTATATATATATATCTATATGTATATGTATAATGTATAATATATAACCTACTTCTTCTTCTACTTCTTCTTCTTCTTTTTAGCTTTGATTGGAGTATATCTGTTTATCTATTTCTTGATGTATGCAAATTAGGTCTTGGTATATAAATAGAGAGAGGAGAGAGGAGAAAAGAAAGATGTGAGTGAAGAGATATCAGATATATTCAAAAGTGAAGTGTTGTTCCTTCTCACAAAGGCCACGAACAAAATTTTAATACAAAATAAAGACATATTGTGAACTAAAAGCTCACCCAATAGGATGATGTTGGGCACTGTCCTTGGGTTTGACGTGATTCAAAGTGGATAGAACTGTTGTTGGTGTTATTGTTGTTGCTCGAGCAACAAACGCCTCCTTCTTGTCTCTACTATGGGGGTAAGAAACGAAATGGATTGGGTTGTGTGTGTTGTCCTCCCTAGCTCACATCTGCATGCCTTGTGTTTCGAATGGGGGAGTAGAAGTTTGTTGTTCACAAGTTTCTGTGTATCTTTTTTTTTATTTTATTAGATCACCGCGCTATGCGGGTATCCCAATATCTCGAAAAATTTTGTTGTCATCATCATTGACAATGCCTTCTATTTCAAAAAGCGACAACACCACGTAGATGCCTTGTGTGAGCACGTATCGCAAGTGTGGAACGAATGATCATTCATTACCTAGAACCATGGCGTTAAGGGGGTCTCTATAGAGGGCAACCCCACGGTCGACCAGCTCCCTACCAACAAGCTCCAACTCTTGCTCGAATATCTTTAGTGCCATCTCGTATAACGCGACATCCATAAAGTTCTTTTGTCTTATCATTTCTTTGATGTTGGGAGGGACTGTCGCCTTGTTCCTCGACCTACCTATATTGGTCTTGATGTTTGGGAGGTGCTCAAAGCCCGCATAGTAGCTTAAAAGGACCATCGATTCATCGTATCTTTCCATGATGCCAACAAATTTGATGCAACTACAAAGTGCGCAGGTGGTTGAAGTTTAGTTGAAGTTGATTGGGTAAAGAAATGGATATTTAACGGTTTGGTCGGAAATGGGCAAAAAAGAGAAATAATAAAAAGATCGTCAGTGGCTTTTCGTTTTGTGGAGGGAACACCCTCTCTCGACAATCGGCACCGACTATTTTATCGTCTTTTTTTTTGTGTTGACGATATCGTCATCGTGGGCCACTTCCCTCTTTTGGAGAGTTCGTATGATGGTTGGGTTGATAGGTGCTTGATTTAGTTCTAATAATACATACTATTGTAGGTGATGCAAGGCAATTGGAAGGGACCTATGATCAAAGTTGAGCTCTCTTGAAATACCCAGTATTCTTCGAGTCTGTTCGTTGTCAGCGATTGCATTCTTGCTGACCCATTGTTCCAGAGTCCTAGACGACGCATCTCGATGTAATGGATGATCTTTACTGTCTAAAAGAAAGTAGTAATGCGAAATGACCCGGTCTACGGGATCACGAAACATGGTCATATAACTGAACCGATTCATGTGGTCGTATGAATCACCATCGCTGAAAAAGTTGTGTATGTTGGATGGTACTTGATAATCTTCAAAGAATTCTTGAAAGTAGAGATGCAGGCCAAAAAAGACGTGTCCAAAGATTGTGTGACTTGGTGTGACATTGACCATTTTGTCTGGCATTGGATGTGTGAGTACGTGAAAGATACTGGATGACTCTATATTCTTTTGAAAGAGGTTGATGAGTGATGTTCCACCAGTCTTTGGGATATGTATAAATATGAATGGTTTGGCGAGTAATAATGGGTTCTTGTCAGGGTCAGTCTTCCAACCCGGGTTGTTGTTGTTGGCATTCTCCAACTCATCGATTGCAGCAAGTGTACCATTACCAGCCAGTTTTGGAGTAGCAGCGTAGGTAAAATTTCTTGGAAGTTTTGCCACCCATGGCAATTCATTGTAGTACTCTTCTGTCAATTGTTCTATCAATCTATTGTGTTCTCCAACCTCTAATCTTCTCCTATACGCTCTCATTCTAAGATATGTCATTCTATTTGTTGCTAGTGGTTGTAATTCCATTGATGTTGATTTTGTCTTGGTGGTTGTAGAAGTTGGTCCACCCAACTCTCCCAATTTAAGGTAATCATATTCCTTTTTACCTTCTGCTAACTCCTTTTTCCTTCTTTTATAAAAGTTTTCAAATCCTCCTCCTTTCTTTTCATCGTCATCCTCATTATTATTATTATTCTTCTGTTGTTGTTGTGGTGATTGATATGATGATTCATTTGATTCTTCAAGATGAGGTGATTGTCTATCGAGAATAGAAGATACTGATGGTAGTCTTTGATAAGAGTATTGTAAAGGTGTGAATGCAATCTCTATTAATATGATGCAAACAGTAAACACAACAATGATTCCCATTGTTTTTAATGCTTTCATCTTTATATCTTTCTCTCTATCTATCTATTATATCTTATAATATACATATATCTACAACATAACTAAATAGGTCAAAGGTGTGTTGTTTCATTTGAATGATGATAGATAAACATTGGGGGGGTGTTTGAGCAATGGAGTGTTTCAATCCATTTTAGGCAAGATATTTATAATTAGACGAATCTTTAGAGATTCTCTGCAGAATCCTACGTTTGAAAGTTTTTTGAAGTTTCATGACCGAGACTATAATATAATTTATTTTTCAATTATTTATTATTTTGATTATTTTTTTCTACCACCTCTTTCCTTTGCTGAAACATTAATCACTGTACCAGACAAGAGATTATAGAAACCAAGTGTATGTTGATCCTTGAGAATGGATTGACCGAGGGATTTTAATTTTTGTTTGTTTGGTGCTAGTCCAACCAAATCCTTGATTCTATCCTTGAGTGTAGTGATTGTGTCTCTGGGTTGGAGAACAAGTGAATAGTTTTGATTGGATCCGTCTGATCCAGTTGATTCAATGACAAGACTGACAGGTCCTGGGTTTGCGAAAATAAACTCTTCTTCATTGATGAGGTTATCGTCGGTTTTTAATTTCTTGTTTGGTTGTTGAGAGGATGATTCCATCGTGGATGCATCGATGGTTTGATTCTGCATAAATGGTGGAAGAGGAGGTGGAGGAACTCCATAAGGTGGAATATACATTTGATTTGGATGTTGTTGATGTTGTTGGTGAAGATGTTGCATTTGATGGTGTTGTTGCTGTTGATGTTGTTGATGTTTTTGTATTCTTTCACTGGCAATTTGGAGTGCGTGGTGTTGTGTACGGTTGATCGACGATGAATGACCGTCCCAAATGACCTTTTCGACCTTTTCCTCTTCTTTGACGGCACTGCCAATGGCAACCTCTTGGTCACCAAAGATATCGGTTCTTCTATTGGCAAACGACTGCAAATTTCTAGAGATTTCGTCGTCGTGCAAGACGGTGGATGAACCCGACGCCACTGGGTTCTTGGGCCTGTCGCGCCTGTTGAGCAACTCGATACGCATATGCTCCTGCATCTCGTCGAGTGGGATATCCTGTCCACACATTGGACACGGCTGTGTGATACGTTTGGGCTCTGAGCCGGCGGCTGCAACCGTCTTGGCCTTTGTATAGTCCTTGACAACCTTGAGCTTGGGACGTGCGGTAGGTGCCTCTGGCTCCTTGTCGCCGCCGTCCATGTCCACATCCTCCATATCCATATCAACGTCCATCTCACCGTCACCCTCACCATTGTCATCGGCCAAACTCTCCTCGCTGATTTTGAGCAGCTCCTCAAACGTCTTGGGTGATGGCAACAACTCTAGATCCTCATTTGTAAAGTCGATCGTGTCAACCACGACAAAGTCGTGCCAGTCAATCGACGCAAACATCGTGCGCTCCTGGTCGGCCTCCTCCTCTGCCTTTTTGGCAGCAACTTGCTCCTTTTGGTTCCATTCGAATCGATTGATCGATCGCTCGACAATCGTCTGCTTGTCTCTAAAGTCAACCTTTGCCATCACCTCGCATATATTCTTTGGTGCGTATACAATCGCAGCATATGACTCGACCAACGCACGATACCAACTATGCAAATGATGTGTTGGCTTTAAAAAGTCAAACTGTGTATTTCTAATCTCTCTCAATGCCAATCCTTGTGAAAATGATTCTCCATTTACTGCTACATATTGTGCAGTTAATCTAATTGTATCTCTAAAAGAAACAAAAATGAATATTATTGTCAGTTGATAGTTTTGTTTTTTTTAAAAAGGTCGTATCTACTTACAAATCTACAGCATTTACTTCTTCGGGAGTATCTAGTATATATAATAATGGTTCAGGTTCATAGATTTCTTTGATCACTTCAGGTGGAGGTGATGGTTCTTGAACGGGTGCTGGAGGAGGGGGTGGTGGAGCAAGTAGTTCTGCTGGGATAGACGACGACGATGAAGAAGAGGTTGATGATGATGTTGTTGTAGGAGTTGCAGATGGCTGTACTGTTGTTTCACTCGATTCGGTAGGTGATGAAGTACTAGCTGTTGGTTTAGCAGCTGGTTTAGCAGCTGGTTTGGCTGGTTGTTTTTGAAGTTCAGTCTCTCTTACATTGATATAGTATTGATGGTATTGATCACCCAACTTTAAAAAGTTAAACTTTTCATTATTCTTTTCTCTCTCTCTAATCTTTTCTATAAAAGAGTCTCCTAGTTTAACATAAAACTCTACTGTCTTTTTAATTATATCTATACATATATATTAATAATGATAAATGATTGAGGATGTTATGTTAGTTGATTCGGTTCATATTGACATATTGAACATCGTTCGTTGTTTCTTTCTTGTTGTAAACTTTGTCACAATACACATACTTTTGATATCAGTAGGTGGTTCAGATGATGCAACCATGATTGTTCAATATGCTATATCTATCTATCCTACAAGAACTGATCTATGTGAAATGACACTTACAATATTGAAGGGTCTGGAGTTTGAAATTCGAAAAAAGCTCTCTTTTCAATTTTTCACAGTGAAGTAGGTTGTTTGTATTTGTTAATTATTTATTTTTATTAATGTTTGTGATTGATTAATTAATTGTTTTGTGGATGGGATCCATAAATAATAGGATAATATTTATGGGTGTGATATGGGAGTATTTAAAATATATGGTTGGTAGTTTTTGATTGATTATCTTATCTTTATCTTTTTTTCAACAATATTTTTCTTTTTCTTTTTTTTTGTTTTGTTATTTTTTTACTTTTGTTGTTATTTGTTATTTGTTATTAGTTATATATATAATTATTAATTAAAATAGATTATTTTTTTGGGTTAACATAACATTGATAAATTGATTTCAAATCTTCAAATGGTAATGGATCACGAGTATCTTGTTTTGGATTGACATCGACTCTGATCATCTTACGAATGGTTCCATTGTCGTGTCTGATGGCACCAAGAACCTTCCAAGACATATTCAAATTGTATTTGGTTCTAATGTCTTCGAGGATGACTTCTTCCGATCTACCTTCGTACCATCTGTTGACTCTTTGCCATTCATGTTGACCGTGTCCATGTGGTCCAACGTAGACCATGGATTCTGGTAACTCCAAAAACGATGTTTTACTATTCAACAAAAAGTCAAACAAAACCTTATCAAATTCCTCTCTATTCTTCATTCCAAACCAATGGAAAATACTCAAACATAATTGATATTCATAAACATGATTTTGGCTTACAAGTTCCTAAAAAGAGAGAAGAAAAGAGAAAATAATAAGTACACTTGACTTGACTTGTTGTATATTATATATATTTTGACTTCTTCTTCTTCTTCTTACCATAAACATGAAAGGTCTAACAGTAGTATTACAAATAAAATCATTCTTTATATTCAATTCATCAAGAGTTTCTTGATGAATGGTGGCAGCTGATTTGTATTCTTGGGTCTTTTCACCTTCCAATGACATGATGCGAGAGTGTGGTAGTTTTTGAGCAAGACTAGTTGAAAAGTAGCCTTGGTTGGATCCATAGTCGACACATAGTGGGTGTTTGCCAATATCACGCTTCATACGAGCGTCCAATTCGATTTCTCTTTCAATCATTCTCCAACGTGGCACGTTACGGAATGGATGGTATCCGACAACGTCAGTCTCGATGATACCCATGTTCATAAGATCCTTTTGTGAGCTTTCAAAGAGTGCACGTTCAGAAGTACCCATAGTTTTACGCATCTTTTCCGATGTCTCTGCACCATAAAACTCTAAATCGATTTGAGCTGGGAACACAGTTTGGAAGGTGTATTGTGAACGGAGAAGATGGAAATCGCTGGTAATGATGATACAACGCACAATATTCTTTGCCAACATCATAGTGAGTGTGTTGTTTGCATTCTCTGCGGTATTGGTTGCACGTAAATCCATGTAAATGTCACGTTCATCAATATCATAGGTAGTTGTAATAATATCTCTCATTGCATCTGCTTCTGTCTTGTATTCTGCTTCTGTTTCATCAAAATCATTTGGTTTGCTCTACAAATATTAAAATAAATTTGATAAAGTTAAAGTTATTAATAAATAGTACTACTACTACTATACATCTCTCTCTCTCTCTATATTTATATTTGTATATTTACCTTTCCAGATAATACAATGATTGGATTAAGATTATCATTTTCTTTGAGACGTGAATAAGTTTCAACGGCCAATTCAACACGTTCTTTGAGGATACGTGATGGCATACCATCCTTGTGAAGAGTGTAACCCAAGATAACGATAGTAACGTCGTGTGGAAGTTTGACATTGTTTTCTTGTTCCATGCCACCCATGTTACCACCGTTGGCAGTCATAGTGTCAAATGAAGATCCGTCGTTGATTGGAATGTTGATCTCTGAGCCAGTGTGGTGATCCTTTTGATGGTTTGGATCGGCTTCATCACGAACACCGTGTTTTCTTGGTGGCTCTTGTTGCTTTCCTGTTCCTTCTTCACTACCTCTTGTCTCTTCTATATTGACTGCTTGTCCATCGACATGTTCATTTCTATAGTCTACTGGTACTTTAGTTACTTTGTTTATTACATTATTATTGTTGTTCTTATTGTTATTGGTCTTGTTGTCAACAACTGGTGTCTTCTTGTTATTATTGTTGTTATTATTACCTTCAGTACTTGTATAAGACAAGAATGAAGTTAAATAAAGGAATACTACAAACAAGACCAATGCTTGTATCTTGTATTTAGAGAATAATCTCCAAAGTGTGCTTGGTTGATTATTTCTAAACATCATCTTGACACTAACTAACTACAAACACTACTAGATAGATAAGATAGATAGACAAGAATAAGATAGATAGATAGATTAGAAGATAAACTGTATAACAGTGAGTTTTGAATATCTCAAGTCTAATTTAAAATGACTCATGGCGGCTATTAAAAAAAAATCAAAAAAAAAACCAACGACTATTGCAACGAATCTTCGGGTCAGTTGGAATGGAAGGCTTTTAGGCAATGGATCAAGTTGATCACATTTATTGGTCATTAAATTTAAGGATTTGTTTTTGGATGGATTGGCAAGATAGGAGGAACAAATTAAAGTAAAGTAAGGGCTGCCCTCTTTCTTTATTCATTTTCCATCTGTATCAAACACACCTTGTGGTGTTCCAATCAATCCAGGGTGGTGAACTAAACTTGGCGTTTAATTAAAAATTTGGATTTGTACAAAGTAAGAGAATGTTTAGGCATTCATTTAGAACGATTGCAACTTCTCTTTTCTTGGATTTTAAAAATGAATACAGTAGTAGTGAGTGATGAGTAGTTAAACAATTGAAATGGATTGAATAATTATGGTTTCAACACATTTAAAATGATTGAGAAAAACATTGGATACTTGATTGCTGAAAATTAAATAATGTGGAACTGATCAGAAGGGTGTGCAGGAAAGAAGTGGATACGGATATGGACAGGTTGGAAAATAATTGTGTGGTGATGGAAATAATAGCTATATTTTATATATTGTGCGTTTGAGAGTTTGCTTATTTATTCTTCTTTATTTTGTTGTTGAGAGGATGAAGTATCATTTAAAGAGTACTTTTCACGACAATAAGAGAGGAAGCGGAGATAGATGATAAACAAGAATAGGAGAAAAGCCTTGGTGACGACTAGTCCAACATCAAGTACTTCGTAGATAAACTTTGGCGAAAACACAGTCCAAATGAATAAATGGTATCTTTGAATGACAATACAAACACTAAATATGAATACATTGGTCCACTTTATACCACAATCCAATAATCCTCCAATCAATGAATACCATTGTAATTCATCTATAATGTCATTGGTAGTTCCAATCGAGTTTGGTAATGATGGTTCACTTTGATGGCTATAGAGAGAGAGAGAAAGAGAATAAATACACATTTGTTAGTTTACATTTCTTTTTTTTTTTTTTTTGTAACATACTTATTGTTTACAGATTTAATTGCAAGATGAGAGAAATAAGAGATTGAAACGAAAAAGAAGAATAGAGGAGCAGAATATCCAATTAAAAAGGTTAATATACCAACTAGATATTGGTTGTATTCGATTAGTCCAGTGTAGGCACCAGATATATCAATGGTCGAGAGTGAGTTCGAATTACCCAATGCAAAGTATCCAAATTGTCCCAACCAATTGAGTGCCATCATACCGACAATGACACCAACGATTCCTGATTTTGCGCGACGTCCAGTATCTTCCAAAAGGTATTTCAAATAGTAGTGTCCAATTGCACCCATGATGGTAAACAAAAACATATTGTGAGTTTTATGCAACAATAAAAACATCATCACCAGATTCACCAACATTAAAGTAGGCAAAAACTTTAATGTACTAAAAACCCATGATGGTGTATGTGGTAATGGTGAATTTGATACTACTCTTTCCTATATAAATCAAATTCAAAAGGTTATTAATAAGATTGGTTCTATAATATAGATATATCTATAAATTTTATGTGTGTTTCATACATTTTTACTAAAAAAAGGAAAGGTAATGGTTAATAAAACCATCATACCAATACAAGCATAAACAAATCTAGCAACAAAAACAGGTTCAACCAAATGATGTGGTATATAATTCCATTTATAACTAAATATGCCAATTGCACAAAATACAATTATAATCTTATAAATAAAACTCAACTAAAGTAAAAAGAAAAGGTTAATATCCAGAACTAATAATTGTTGTTTTGTCTTTACACATACTTGTGAAATGATTCCACCACGTTTATCTTTTAGTTTATCCAATAATCTCATTACATAAATGCAAGGTGCAATAACTGATAAAAGAGATAGGATCCATAGCATGGAAGTTGAAATTAATCCTTCCGAGTTTAAGAATCTTCCTATATCAATATAACTATACTCTTCTAATAATTCTTTGTTATCCATCCACTGAATTCCAGTTTGATTCCAAACTCTACAAATTCTTAATCCTATTAATATTCCAATTAATATTACCTAAATTGAAAGAAAGAAAAATAATAAAATTATTAATGATTTCATAAATATGATGATTCATTTCTATTTTTTTCTATTTTCCATACAGTTTGTTTTTGATGATCTTTATATAATTTTGGATTACTACTTGTATAAATATAAAGAGCAGAAAGTGAATGTGGAGCCAATTGTAATAATATGACAGATGTTGTAAGGTAATACCAAGTGAGATGTTCTTCCTCGACCAGACTACTACCAAAAAGACTGATCAAATGTAGGATGGTGCCACAGATGATGACATACTTTTCCTTGCGAAGTTGTAGTGGGTTGAGTGATGGCAATCTGAGAAGAGATATGTTGTTTTTCGAGAAACAAACATTGAATCCAATGAGTAGTGAGAGAGCAGTAAACACAAAACTAAGCACACCCATTCTAAACTCTTCTGTGCAAAATGGATTGGGTGTGCTGTTGGCGCCGGTCATTGGATTGTCACCAAACCAATTTTGGGGGTTCCAAGAGGTAGTACAAATGACTCCAAAATGGATTGCCAAGAGTGATCCGACAAACAAGATAAATGACATGGCAAAGGGAGCTCCTTTAATCTCGACATTCATCTGATGCTCACTCATACCAATGGTTGCCGTTGTAATGAGTAGTGTGACGAGTGAAGATGAACCAATTAAAAGAATACCAACCATCAACATATTTTCGTCATAGGTTGTAAAGAGTGCTGTAAATTCATCTTGTATATGATCCAAAAATTGTGTGTATAGGTGAGTTGCCTTTTCGTGAAAGTGTGCCGATCCAGATGGGTCTGGAGACATGCCCCAACTACGGTGATACTCTTGTGCCTGTTCAAACGTTCGTAGTAGTGTTGCAATTCTTGGCATGGCGGGGGCGTCATTGACCCAAAACAGTGTATTGTTTTTGAGAATGTCTATTTGCTGTAGACAGTTGATTTCGAGAGCTCGCAGGTACTGATCGTCGCGAATAAACTTTTCGAAAAGTTCAGGGATCAGTCTACCAAGACTGTTTTTTGGGACTGGAAGGTTGAAAAGAAGAGAAATGGTCGGTACTATATCAACCTGAGAGATTTCTCTTGGTGCCTTGGGTATGTATCTTGGAAGGATATCTTGAGGACTTGATGCAGCATGATGATTCAACTCCTCTTCTTCAATCTCTTCCTTGTTCTCCAAATGTAAAAGATCGTGATCTTTAACTGGATTATTTTGATTAAAATATAATGATCCCATTAATATTAATGTTGTTGATGTTTCACCATCTGATGATCCACCATGATTTCCAATCTAAAAGAAAGTAAAAACAAAATGAATAAATAAATAAATAAATATATATTGTTTTTTGTTTGTTTTTTTGGGTTTACTACATACTTCATTCATTCCATGATCACTACAAAGTATAAATAAAGTTGGTAATGGTTTCTTTAAATCTGGATTTGTTTTTCTATCTATATAGTATTGTCTGAGTGCTTGTTTATCCTTTTCGATTATCTTTTCATTGATCAATTTAATAATGTCATCCATTTCCTTTTGTTTTGGTGCCATTAAATCACTATAGGGTCCTTCCAAATGACCGATATGATCAAGACCCAAATAATGTAAAAACATTGAATCCCAATCATCTCTTGCCAACTCTTCATTTAAATGTCTTGTTACATTATTATCAACTTCTATTGTATCCTAAAAATAGAAAGAAATAATAAATAAACAATTAATCAATTAATATCTAGAGACAATATAACATTTCTATTTCTTTTGTTACATACAGCAACATAAAAACTTGTTGTACCATCAGATCTAGTAAAATAATCTGGAAATAATTTAATCCAAGTATCATCACCAAAAAAGGTTAATGTCTTGTTTGCTTGTACCATTTGATAGAGTAGATTGTCCTCTCGAAGGTCTTTACTATTAAAATTCTGGACAAAGTCGACAAAGCTTGGTATACCACCAGACACTAATGCTTTGATACGTGGTAATGTTACGGTGGGTGCTGTTGCTCGAGCAATAAACGATTGGGTTTTACCCTCTCTAATAAGTGATCGCGTATATGTCATTGGATGTGAATCATGATGTTGTTGTTGTTGTGGATCCTTTTTAAAAATATTATCTTGTTGTGTATGACGATGATCTAGATCATTTTCAAATATAAATCCACTTCTAAATGCATCAACTACCATGAATACCATCTTATCAAATTGTGGTTCAACTATTTGATTCTAAAAACGGAGTAAGTAACTTTGATCAATGACTCTACTTCTTGTTTAATATACTACTTGTACTTACATCTAAACAAGATGGGAAATAATTATCAAATGTACTATATCCTTGAAGAGATACCTTTCTTGGGAAGAAACCTCTTGAAAACATGTAGATACCAAGTAGTTGAGTGATGACCAATACAACAGTGACCAGTCCCATTACTTTGTACTTTGATTTCTTTGCCTTGTCTCGTTTCATTTCAGTGCTTGCACTAATCGGACTAAATTGACCTCCCATCATCGACGGTTGTTGATCAATGAGAGCGTGGTTGGGAAGTAAGACGTCTGATGATGACGCTGCTGCTCCTGCCGATGTCGTAGGTATACTGCTACCGCTAATATCAAATGGTATGTGAGATGATGGTAATCCAGCAACTGCAGACAATGGTGTCGATTGATTCTGTGGACTAAACGGAGAAAGTGGTGGAGAGTATATATGATTATGATGTTGATGTTGATGTTGATAAGGTGAAAAAGATGATGAGTCTGTATTGGTACCACTTGATAGATTATTAATGTAAATGTCTTGTGACGGTGAGTATGATGATATGTTTGGTGTACCGTATAATGATTGTGACTGTGACTGAGATAACAAATACTGTTGCTGTTGTTGTTGTTGATTGTTATTATTATTATGACTTGGAAGGATAGAATCACTGTCAGTGATAGGTCGTCTATATCGATAGTTTGGAAGCAACGATGATAATGATAGTGGATTTTCTTTGCTAGTCCAACCACTCAGTTTCTTTCGCACGTAGCTTCTTGCTTTTGGAAAGGTGGTAATGGGATAGTCAAAGTGATCGGCATTACTATCGCCTGCACCGCTACTACTACTACTAATGTCGTCATTGCCACTATCTTGATTCGAGTCATTTGCCGATGACGACGATGAAGGTGATATCTCTTCATGTCCTCCGTCTTCACCATCCTCGAGGACGTCACCATCTTGTTTTCCTGTGATATTATCGTCTCCTATGTTTTCAACATCTCTCTTTTTCTTTAAATGTTGTTGTTGTTGTTGTTGTTGTGAACCTCTTGCCATGACTTCTTGTTCTCATGAATGAATGCGCTAAACAACAAACTCTTTTTAAAACATATGAATAGATGCAGTAAAATATACAGATATATAGATATGTAGTATTATATAAGCTTGATAAACAAGTTCAATTGATAAGTTGGTTGATGGATGATAATGGTAATGATCGATTCAAACACAATTGCAACAGTCAGATACGCTGATGTGTGTGTGATGATTCACTATGGTTGGTTGCGCTTATTTATGTTGTGGTGTGGGTTGGTTGAGTGTCTTATTGATCTATAATTGATTGATTGATTGACCGCATAATAAATAATAATAATAACGAGCTAGATAGTATGTATGTATGTATGGGTTTGAAGATCTTAAGAGAGAATGACACGTGTCCGAAGTGAGTGGATGCGTGGAGAGAGAAATTTAATTAATTTTAGTTTCTTTGTTTTTTTTTTGGAAATCTACTAATTTTAGTATAAATAAATAAATTATGTTGTTGATATAAATATATATTTATTTATTTGATTTGATTTGATCATTTATCCAATTATTTGGATACATGATGATGAGGGTTCTTATTGTCCTTACGAGGACAAGAATATTTGCAATTCATTCATTCATGGATGTTTAGTTGTAAAAGATATTTTTGACAAACAAGTTGGCTGGAGCGTTTCCGTAGAGAATGTAACCAAAGGTGTAAGAGGCACCAGCATTGATGTCTTGGATGGCTGGTAAGACGAGTGAGTGTCCGTCGTCAGTAACAATCATGTTCCAGATGGCATTTCCGTCTCTGATTCTGCAGGTAGAGTCAAAGCCAAGGACGATTTGTTTGATGTTACGGTTTCCATTGTTCTTGATGACAACATCGTATTGGGTAAACATTTCATTGTTACGACTACCGTCTCTCCAACTACCAATGAAATGGTGGGTGATTTGAATTTCGGGGTATGGCATTGTTGGCTTTGGTCTGTGTTCAACATCAGCAGCTACAAAGCTGATACAAAGAAGAAGGGCACATGCTAATACGATAGATCTCATTTTGTTGTTGTTGTTGTTGTTGTTGTTGTTGTTGTTGTTGTTGTTGTTGTTGAATTTAATTAAATGTTTGTTGTTTGTTGTTTGTTTGTTTGATGAAATAAATGAATATTTTCAGTCTTCATTTATAGTTTTCCACTCTCTCCCATTCTACCATGCATGCAACCAACAACCAACAACACCAATACCAACACCAACAGTCTCTCCTATCATGATATTTATATTTATAAACCAATACGAAACCAATATCATTCTATCTATCTGTAGATATTATGTATATCATTATTTGAATAGTGCAGTGCTGTGCGCACACCTCCTTGCACTGCGCACACCTTGCAATGAGTGAGTTGAGTGTATTCTTGTTTCATTCTACCAAACATTCATATTATTCTATAATTACTAATCTTGAATCCAGAATGAGGTATGGTACCCAATGATAAGATATGATATGATATGATGTTGTCTTCTATTCATCCATCCATTCATTCATTCATTCCAATAACCATGTTCAATAATATAATATAATATAATCTTCTTAATTGATATTACATGTTATCTTTCCTTTTGTTTACGTATATCTGTTGTTTGAATGAATGAATAAAAAAAAAAGGGTGTGTTGTGTTAAACAAAAATGACGGAATTATGGATGAGAGGGAATTTAAATTTGATTAATTGAGCTATTTATTTAATTACCTTTTTAACATTTAATGGATCTAAGATATTGTAAGCTCCTGTTAGTCATGAGGATTTTGTGAGAAAATAAATATATTTGACAACTATCTAGATGGATGATCAGGAATACCATGCCCATTCCTTCTATCTTTGAAATTTAAAACTATTATTAATGTTTAGGGTTTCAATGAATAATTGTATTTGTAAACTCTATTTCTTTGAAGTTCAAAAATTAATCAATAAAATGGCAAAGTGTAAAATAATAATGGCAAAGTGTAATGTAACAAACCTCCATTCAATTGATTAAGAGTGAACTATTATCATATGGACATTCAAATTTAAAATGAATAGAATTAGGATAAATATGTATTTATTTATTTATTTATTTGATTTGATCATTTATCCAATTATGTATTTGGATAAATGATGATTCATTCTTTGTTGCAGAACGAGAATATTTGTTATGTTTGGTGTTTAGTTGTAAAAGATATTTTTGACAAACAAGTTGGCTGGAGCGTTTCCGTAGAGAATGTAACCAAAGGTGTAAGAGGCACCAGCATTGATGTCTTGGATGGCTGGTAAGACGAGTGAGTGTCCGTCGTCAGTAACAATCATGTTCCAGATGGCATTTCCGTCTCTAATTCTGCAGGTAGAGTCAAAGCCAAGGACGATTTGTTTGATGTTACGGTTACCATTGTTCTTGATGACAACATCGTATTGTGTAAACATTTCGTTGTTACGACTACCATCTCTCCAACTACCAATGAAATGGTGGGTGATTTGAATTTCGGGGTATGGCATTGTTGGCTTTGGTCTGTGTTCAACATCAGCAGCTACAAAGCTGATACAAAGAAGGAGTGCACATGCTAATACGATTGATTTCATTTTGTTGTTGTTGTTGTTGTTGTTGTTGAATTTAATTATGTTTGTTGTTTGTTGTTTGTTTGTTTGATGAAATAAATGAACATTTTCAGTCTTCATTTATAGTTTTCCACTCTCTCTCCAATTCTACCATGCAACCAACACCAACAGTCTCTCCTATCATGATATTTATATTTATAAACCAATACGAAACCAATATCATTATCTGTAGATATAATATATATATATATCATTATTTGAAGAGTGCGCACACCTCCTTGCACTGTGCACACCTTGCAATGAGTGAGTAAGTGAGTTGAGTGTATTCTTGTTTCATTCTACCAAACATTCATTCTATAATTACTAATCTTGAATCCAGAATGAGGTATGGTACCCAATGATAAGATATGATATGATATGATGTTGTCTTCTATTCATCCATCCAGTCATTCATTCATTCCATTTCACACAATATAACCATGTTCAATATAATATAATATAATATATCTTCTTATTTGATATTACATGTTATCTTTCCTTTTGTTTACGTATATCTGTTGTTTGAATGAATGTATAAAAAAAAAAGTGTGTTGTGTTACTCAAAAATGACGGAATTATGGATGAGAGGGAATTTAAATTTGATTAATTGAGCTATTTATTTAATTACCTTTTTAACATTTAATGGATCTAAGATATTGTAATCTCCTGCAGTCATGATGATTTTGACCATAGAAACCTGAGAAAATATATATATTTGACAACTATCTAGATGGATGATCAGGAATACCATGCCCTTTCCTTCTATCTTTGAATTTTAAAACTATTATTAATGTTTAGGGTTTCAATGAATAAATGTATTTGTAAACTTTGAAGTTCAAAAATTAATCAATAAAAATAATAATGGCAAAGCGTAAAGTAACAAACCTCCATTGAATTGATCAAGTATCATATGGACATTCAAATTTAAAATGAATAGAATTAGGATAAATATGTATTTATTTATTTATTTGATTTGATTTGATCATTTATCCAATTATGTATTTGGATATATGATGATTCATTCTTTGTTGCAGAACAAGAATATTTGTTATGTTTGGTGTTTAGTTGTAAAAGATATTTTTGACAAACAAGTTGGCTGGAGCGTTTCCGTAGAGAATGTAACCAAAGGTGTAAGAGGCACCAGCATTGATGTCTTGGATGGCTGGTAAGACGAGTGAGTGTCCGTCGTCAGTAACAATCATGTTCCAGATGGCATTTCCGTCTCTGATTCTGCAAGTAGAGTCAAAGCCAAGGACGATTTGCTTGATGTTACGGTTTCCATTGTTCTTGATGACAACATCGTATTGTGTAAACATTTCATTGTTACGGCTACCGTTTTTTCCAACTAACCAATGAAATGGTGGGTGATTTGAATTTCGGGGTATGGCATTGTTGGCTTTGGTCTGTGTTCAACATCAGCAGCTACAAAGCTGATACAAAGAAGAAGGGCACATGCTAATACGATAGATCTCATTTTGTTGTTGTTGTTGAATTTAATTAAATGTTTGTTGTTTGTTGTTTGTTTGATGAAATAAATGAATATTTTCAGTCATTTATAGTTTTCCACTCTCTCTCCAATTCTACCATGCAACCAACACCAACAGTCTCTCCTATCATGATATTTATATTTATAAACCAATACGAAACCAATATCATTCTATCTATCTGTAGATATTATCATTATTTGAAGAGTGCAGTGCTGTGCGCACATCTTGCAATGAGTGAGTGAGTTGAGTGTATTCTTGTTTCATTCTACCAAACATTCATATTATTCTATAATTACTAATCTTGAATCCAGAATAGAATAGAATAGAACGTAAGAGGGTTATATTTAACTTCAGTAAAGCAATGATAAGATATGATATGATGTTGTCTTCTATTCATCCATTCATTCATTCATTCATTACATTTCACACAATATAACCATGTTCAATAAATCTTCTTATTGATATTTATCTTTCTTTTGTTTACGTATATCTTGTGGTGTGTAAGTAAAAAATAAAGGTGTGTTGGTTCGAACCCTGCGAAATTAAACAGCAATTTTAGACGAACGATTGGCAGAAAATGGGTGATGAAGCCTAGCTAAGCTTATCTTGTTGTTTATTGTTACAAAGAAGATATTTATAGTAATATAAATATATATATATATAGATATCATGTTAAAGAGATATTATTCCTCTTCTTTAACTAGTCGTATTAGTAGTATAGCATTCAAAAGTATTACAACATCAATATACTCAACAACAACAACCTTTACTCCAATCATCATAAACAATAATAATAATAATAATAATGACATAGACAACAACAACTTGTCATCTCCTACATTATGTAGATGTTATACATCAATGTCTAAATTTAGAAAACAACCAATGCAAAAGAAGAGTGATCGATACATGTCTCAGTTGGCAGATGATATTGACAAGACCGAAAGAAAGGAACTAAAGAAAAAGTTAAAGGAAAAGAAAAAGATACCAGTCGATGCTGAAAAGATTATGAACACCTCTTTTATAACATCAGAGGGATCGTCTGAAAAGGATAAAAAGTTTGAAGATAATATCAAGCGACTGATGATCGAACAGAATGTAGACAATCCATCATTGATTCGTATTCCTGCCGGTTTACTAGACCAACTCGATTTCAGAGAGAAGCATTCGGCCGATGCACTCAGATTTGCCGATCACTTCTTTTCACATCAATCCAAACTAGTGACAATGGCCATTAAAAAGGATGATTTCCCATTACATCCATTCCCACAAATAGCTTTCCTCGGTCGTTCCAACGTTGGTAAATCTTCCCTACTCAATGCTCTACTTGGTAATCAATTGGCAAATGTTTCAAAAACTCCTGTATGTCAATCAATCAATCAAAGTTAATATTTATTAATTAATTCCATTTTTGTTTGTTTTGTTAGGGATGCACACAATCAGTTAATTTCTATTCAATATGGGATAAATTAATGTTGGTTGATTTACCAGGTTACGGATATTCAAAGGTATCAAAGGATAAGGCTGCAGTTTGGGGTAGAAGTATTTCTGAGTTTCTCATTACCTCTCCTCATCTCATTAAATTATTCTTGTTGATTGATAGTAGAATAGGATGTCAAAAGAATGATTTAGAAGTTATGAAATTATTAGATGATCATAGAGTTGCTTTTCAAGTTTGTATACAGAACATATTCAAAACTTTTATTTATTTATTTTAATATTTAATATTTATTTAACTTACTCTCTCTCTCTTTTTTGATCTTTTAGATTGTATTAACCAAAGTTGACAAGACTACACCAAACGCATTAAAAAGAATTTATAGAACATTAAAGGAAACAATTAATGATAATGTCAGTTGTTTACCAAATGTACTACAATGTAGTAGCATTGAAATGAAGGGAATTCAACAGATTAGATCGATTATATTGGATGTTTGTCAATTGAATAAGGAAACTTTTAGAACGACCCTTCAAGATGATACTCCTCAACTTCCACCACCTCTACCTAAACCAGCTGGAGGTTCTTCATCCTCTACCGGTGAACCAAAATTACCACCTCCACTTCCATCATCATTTAAAAAGAATAAACAAACCAAGGAATAATAATAATGGCTGACGATGAAGATCAAGTTATATTTTAAAAAAGATATATTGGAAAATATGAAAAGAAGTCACTAAAACGATATGTTTGGACTCTTTTCCAATGAATCATTTGATTGATTCAAAGATTGATTTTATTTGGATTTGGAACCTTGACTATTATTTACATTGGGTGGGATTAGGGAATTGTCTCCTTCCAAAAAGGTTGGTTGTTGGTTATTTACAAAATAGAAAAGAGTTCTCGAACATCATTGGTATCACTATTAGTATTTGAATCGTTGTTGGTATGGCTCATACAACCTCTATATCTACGACCATTATTATTATTATTATTACTATCATTGGAATGGTTATTATTATTATTATTTTGTGTATTATTATTATTACTATGTTGTTGGTTATTATTATTATTAGTATTATTATTATTATTATTGTTGGAATTATTATTATTATTATTATTATTATTATTGCTATTAGTACTATTACCATTATTGTTGTTTGGATCATCATTATTATTATTATTATTATTATTATTATTATTATTATTATTATTATTATTATTATTATTATTATTATTATTATTATTTGACATTGAAATTAAATTATTTGAATGATTATTTGTATTTGTATTATTATTATTACTACTACTATGATCATAATGATTAATTAAAGGAGTATATCTTAAATATTTACTACGATTTCCACCAACAAATGAACGATCATTTTTCAAATCGACAACTCTAATCAACTTGATATTTGGACACTTTTCAATGAAATTGTTGACAAAATCAACCGATAAATGACCGCTACCTGGAGATGTTGGTACGACACTTGCATCACTATTACAACTAGCATTGTTATTGGGATTGATGTTGGTGTTGTTTGGGTTTGGTAATATTGAGAACTTTTCAATTTCCGATGCTGATATCTCAAACACTTTGAGATTTGGTTGATTCTCGATAAAAGATATCATCTGATCCTCTGTAATATAGCCACAAACATAATCTACCTCAATTTTTAATCTTGCCCAAATTGGTCTACAAACTCTTGTATCTGGTCCATTTCTTAATACTAAATGTTTCATCTTTAACTAAAAGAAGTAAGTAAATAAATATATATGTTAGAGTTTTTTAAATCTTTGAAATAAATAAATATTTCTAATGCATACTCTATTAAAATAAGATAAAGATTTATCAGTTAGACATTCTAACCAACCTTCAAATGAAAAGTATTCCAAGTTTGGACATTCTTGAGTAAGATGATCGACCATTGAATCTTCGAGTTTACGATCACGATGTGAAAATGTTGTAGAGTATTTAATACCTTGACAAGCTGTAAATCGAATGCCAAGTTCTCGTAGTTGTGATCCAAAAGAGGTTGCTACACTTTCAAAAAGCAGAGGTAAATCTTGATTCCAAACTGATAAATGTAATCCATCCAAGTTGGGAAGACTATTTCTAAAATGATCCAATGTTGATTTCTCCAAAACTGTAGTAACCAAAAATAATCTTTTCAAATTGATAAATGTTAAAGGTGATGAAAATAATGTACCAAATACCTTTTCCAATGATAATGAACTTGTTTTAATTGCTGAACTATAACTAAAAGAGAGATAAAAAGTTAATAAATAAATAAATAAAAAAAGGTTATATTCATTTTCTTTTTAGTTACCTTGAATCTAAAAAGTTATGAGTTAATAAACCAATTTCAGATAAATGTTGGAAATGTTCAGTTTTGTGAAACAAATCTTCTTCCTTTTTAATAGAGTGGGGAAGGTCGATGCAAACTCGGAGTCTAAAGTCATTGATCTTGTTGGTTTGCAAGAGTGAATGGATGGCAGAGAGGGGTGCCACAGCGCCAATATCTTGGCTAATCAAAGCCAGAGGTTTTTCAAGATCGAGGAAATGACTTTGTTGTTGGATATGATCGCGATGTAATCCATGATTTATGGTACATTCTTGTAAAGGTGAAAAAATACCATTTGGATCTCTATCCTTTAAAAATAAAGGTGATGATATTGTTGATGAATGGTATGGATTATTATTATTATTATTATTATTATTATTATTATTATTATTAATATTATTATTATTAAAATTATTAGTAGTATTTGGTGATATTGGATTAGATGGTACTGTTAAAGTTGATTGATGTTGATAATTGTGATGTTGTTGAGTATGATGATGATTATGATGATGATGATTTGGTGGTGAAGTTATAAGAGAACCTCCTCCAGTTGATCCGGCCATTGTCATCATGTGATGGTGATTCAATAGTAGTGGGGATTGAGGTGGTTCGGATGGAGTGGGATTGTGAAATAATCTAAAGGTGACTCGTTGGATTGGTTGAGAGTCTTGTAAAAAGCATGATGGTTTGATATGTTCTATCCAGTCTTTTAATCGTTGATATGGTTTCGATGTGTAACACGAATAACATGAACATGGAGCCACTGTAATATCCAACTTTTGTATCAAATGTCCAATGGGGAGAAGTGGCACCGATGGAGGTGGGTTGTGCAGTGAAATGAGGCAGTTCTCCAACAACCTATACGGTTTCAACAACAGTGTGTTTCTCCAACTAGTACATACCCAAGCACACGAACATCTATTTGGAAATGACAACTGTGAAAATATCATCTCTAATATATCAATCGGTAACATTAAACTTGGTAAATCAACTAAGTTAGATAGATTCAAAAAAGATGAAAGTTAGTTAAGGTCTTGTTCCATCATCATTGTCTCTTCATCTTTGCCAAACGAGTGAAAATCACAAAAAAAAGTCGTCGGTCAAACGAGCGATTGAGTCGGCACGTGATTTAAAATAAAGTAAATCTCCCCATTCCTTTTCTACGTTTTTTGAAAAAACATACCTTCTTGTTGTTGTACTTGTGTTTGAGAAGTAGTTGCAAAAGGGACAATAATTCCTTGTTCTTGAATATCTTGTAGTTCTTCTCCTTCATCATCTTCTTCTTGTTCATCAATATTTTCATCGGTGAGGTTACTGATGCTTGGAGACATTGGTTTGAAGGGGGATTTGGTCGGGGAATGGTCATGAAGATGACCGTTATGGACATGTTGTTCGAGTTGAAGTTGGTTCATAAAGGTGTCTGAATGGAGTCGTTTCTTTCCAATATAGTTTGGCGATGACGATAAAGGAGAGGATGGACTACTTCCAGTGCCACTGTTGATAGTGATGGTAGGTGGCTCGATTTCCTGGACCAAATGTCTCATTTGTTGTTTGTTGTCAAATATGGATACTCCTCCTCCTACTCTAGTAGTAGCAGCAGCTGGACTACTACCACTACTATAAGTATGCTCGTCTCTCTTTGTACTAGGTGCCATTAAAACTATATTTGAAGAATTCTCTGATGAGCATTGTTGTTGTTGTTGGTTTGATGTTGACGATGAATTATCACTTGTTATTGCTGTTGTACCTATATCATGTTGTTGTTGTTGTTGTAATGGTGAAGGTGAAGGTGATGGTGATGGTGACGATGTAAATGTATCCATATACATATTATTTCAATTGTATTATAGATAGCACTGTATATGGCTAGCTTTAATCTCTCTCTATCTCTGTCTGTGTATTAATTATCTCTTTCTATGTATATATATATCTCAAAGCTAACTCTCTTCTGTTGCTGATATGGTACTACGATGACCGGTGCTTGCGATTGTTCGTTGTTGCACTCAATATTAATTTGCTTCACAATTTGCCGTAAATTGGAAATGAAAATCGAATTTATAAAAATATCTAACAATCCTTTTTTTAAAAACAAAAGAGATGTGGTGGTGTTGGGGGAGGTTAAGCCCGTTCTCTGCTTTTTTTTTTTGATTGATAGGGAAAAATATTGTAATATCTATCTAATAAATAAATAATAAATTAATTAATACTTTTGATACTTTATATATATAATATAATATAATGATTGACAATGTGATTGACGACGTTGATGATGATAACTATATAGATAGAAAAAAAAAAGAAAAAAAAGGGGGAATCGAAAAGACAGTTGCCTTGTATTGTCTTTGATGGTGGACAGTTTCGAACCGCGAATATTGCTAATAACCACGTTGGTGTGCCCACACGACTTGTTTATTAAATGTACGATAAAATATAAAAGAATGAATATTAATATTAATGGTTAATAGATATGATATGGATAGGGGGTCGTAGAAATAGTAATAAATTAAATAATATTTTTAACAATGGTTGTATGTGTAGAATAAAGACGACGAAGGGAGATAGATAATTAAAAGGGGAGATTAGATTTTCGTTCGTTATAAAATGAATCTTGCCACTCTTGTGTATTGACTGTGACTGTGAGTGTAGTAGTGTATTCTTAGGAATGAAATGAGTCTGTTGGTTTGGTTTGGCTTGGGTGTGGTGGGTTGTATGTAGGTTTGGGGGTGATGGAATTGGCGTACGAGTATTATTTTTTTTTTTTGTCTCTCTCTATCTTTGTTTGTCTGTCTCTCACTCTGAATATATAGTACAATCTAACTGCCGTTGTTGTTGTTGTTGTTGTCTATCTTTAAAGATTAGGAGAGGAGGGTGGTCTTGTCTATGTCTATCTATCTTTTTATTATTATTAAAAAAAAAAAAAAAGAACAGTTCTTTTTTTATCTTTATTGTCAGAACGAGGAAGTTGAATTAAATTAATTGCCAGTTTTCTTCCTTTTTTATCCACCCTCTCTTAGGTTTTTTGTTTTTATTTTTTTTACTAAACCCTACCAAGCACTACTATGACTGCTAGTTAACTTGGTTTTCAAAAATATGAACTTGCCTATTTATTCTTCATTCATTCAATTCATCATGTCTCTGCTCGTGCATCCCCCTCTCTTTTGTTGGTTAGTCGTTTCGACGGTATTAAAGAATTCGTCACCTCCTCATTATCTTTTTATCGCTTTTTGTTTGGAGTGTTTTTTCTTCTTTAGAATCGATAAAAAAAGAGAGATATAGAAAGATAGGGAGATAGAGAAGAGATCAATCAATAATGATAGTAGTCTAGTGCATATCTAGTTAGTCTTTTGCATAAGGGATGACATCATCGCGACATGTCTTGAAAGAAAGAAAGCGATATTTATTTTATCGTTTCGTTTTACAAACTCCTTCTTGCAAGTTGTTGTTGTTGTTGTTGTTGTTGTTGTTTACTAGTATCTATCTAAATAATAATGATTGTACCTATCATCAAACCCTTTTGTTTTGATAGGGTGCAATCTTTTTCAGATACAACAACACATCAACTTGCAGCACTAACCTATGGCTCTAAAAATAGACCTCTAGTTCACTCAACTCTACCCGATGATGGTGTTCTGGTTGAACAAAAATCCATCAACGTAGCGGGATTGGCCAAAAGAACAAGAATTCTTACTTCTTCTCCACAACACAGCAGAGTGTTCTACATTTAGTTGAATTGACTGGTCTTGCTCAAACAAATCGCGCATGATATGATGGCTGATCATCAGACCCACCACAGAGTCGGGTTGTTTGCATCCTCCCAAACCCAATGCCCTCCCTCTTGTGGGTTGTTCTAGCCATCGTTATAATTCATATTGCAAGGTATCGGGCTACTATCCAAAGACGGTCAAAGTGTTTCTGCCTTTGTCGGTTGGAACACACGTAACTGAGGTTGTTTGCATCCTCTCATCAAAGTTGTTGGGGAGGGATCATACAAAACAAAGATTATTCCTCCCTCCATCGTTTGTGGGGCTTTCTATCATCACGATATCGTTAGTATGTGTTGATAGCCACGCCACAACCCACCCTCTGTCCCGCAAAGGAGCATCAAGAAAAAGGCAACCTGACCTAGTGCCAACCTGGTGCCCCCCAAAGTCTAGGTGGTACCTGCACCCTGATGACTTGCCGAGATAAACCAAAGCCTCCGTTAATATAGGTAAAATCATATACGCACAAGTGCATATATGGATATGTCTCTTGGGTTTCTATCAATCATTAAAATCATTCCATTCACAATTAAAAGATACATAAAACCAACCAACACATTAATTCAAAGATCATTGTACAATAATAATAAAAACAAATAATAACAAACAACAACAACAACAAACAACAAATACACAACACAACAAACCATACATACTTGTTTACAATATATAGAAATAATAATAATAATGGTAGAGACAACAAATTATAATTCAGATTGCAATCCAACAACTTCAACAACCATTGTTAAAAGTGTAGGTTATTTAAATAATATTATAATATTCTTTTCTAAAACTCTATCGTCTCCAAAATTTGTAAACTAACTAAATTATTTGTATTTATTTATTTATTCGACAATGAAGCCAAAAGTCAAAAAGACACCTTCATCATCTAATGTTTCAAATGTATCTGGTAGAAAGTGTAAAATGTGTGGAATCACTACGACACCGGAATGGAGAAAGTGGATGTCGTCCTACTACTGCAATGCCTGTGGCATAAGATTGTCAAAGTTAAAGCCATGTGCCAATAACAACCAAGTAGAGCAAAAACAACTTGTTTCAAGCTCGCCAACTAGACGTTCTCAAACTCAAACTCCTCCTCTACCAACTTCTACTACTACTCCTACACCAATTTATTATCAACAACAAGGGCAAGTACACCAACAACAAGTACAAGTACACCAACCACAACCTATTCGCCAACAACCTCAACATTATTATATTGGTGTTCCAGTCACCCACCAAAAACCCTCGTCTCCGTCCTACTATGTTCCAGAATTGTCGTCCTCGCCACCCCTCGAGCCACAATATTATACTCCATCCACGTCACCCAACCCATGCCAATATTACGTGCCTGCTCAACATCACCATCACCACAAACAACAACATCAACCAACACAACAACCTCAACAACAACAACAACCACCACATGGTTATTATTATTATGTGGCAACTCCTCCTAACGGAGCTCCAACAATGATTCAAGAACAATATTATCATAAATCATCATCATCACCAAACTCTGTACAAAATCAAGTGTCCCAACAACCACAACCTCAACCTCAACCACATCATCATCATCAACAATTGTATCATGTTCCACAAAAGAGTGTTTACTCTCAACAACAACAACAAGTATCTTATCATCCAACTGCACATGTAATGTATTCTCAACAACAACAACAACAACAACAACAACAATATCAAACATTTTCTCACCAACATGGAAACAACACATCTGCTGTTCCAATATACAACTCGAACCATATTAAATCAGCAGCGGTCGATTCATTCCATGGCTTTTCATTATACTCTAATAATAATAATCAAAATTCAACGACTGTACCATCTCTTTATCAACCCACACCAACCTATTATACCCATTCGATTCCAACATCAACCCATACCTCCCCACTAACAGTAGCAGTAGAATCCAACAAAGATTCTAAAATCAACAACGATAAACACAACAACAAGGAAAAATCATCATTATCCTTTTTACTCAACCCCCAGGAACTCTAGGGGGACATCAAACACTTTCCATTCTCGGAAACAATCACCAAACCATAATAATAATAAATTATTAAAGAAAGAGTAGTGACGTTGATGGTTTAAAATATCATTGATTCCACAGACACTTTATACACGATATTATGCAATTGACTTGACTTGTTTACTTTTTTAAGTAATATACTATGAATGAATTCATTATCCACTCCTCCCCTTTAATATTATCCCCCCCCCACACACACACACACACACTGTTTGATGTGATTGTGATTATAATCCGAATGCAATACCCCGTTTATTGGTTGAATTTCAAGATGTCGATTTTTTAATGAATTTACATAAAAAGGCGAGCCAAACTTGTGGGGTGGGGTGATTCTATCGGGAAACCAATGTATATCGCTCAATGAGTTTCTAGACATCGGCAGGTTAGGTGAGCAACTCTATTCTCAACGGTCAAAGGATTGAGCCCTAAGGGCCAAGGTGTCAACGAGATAAATCCAAAAATAGGTGATTGATGTCTCCCCGAATCAATTTCGTGAATTGTGGGGGTACTACCTAGGAGTGATCGCAAGGTGGGGTGATTCAGGGGTTCAAAATCACCTTTTAAAGAAGTATCCACCCACAATATTGGTTGATGAATCCATTGATCGTGCTGCTGCTGCTTGCCAATTTGAGCAATGAGAATTGGATGGAAGGAACATATGCAACAAAACAAGGAAGTGCCTCTCCACCACCAAACAATGAAAAGTCAAACAATAGTAGTATCTTCTATTTTTCATGCAAGATAGTGTTTGAATCTGGCACTATCAAACAGACCATAAATACAATCACGGGAAACGATATCTTGAATAAATAGTTTTTATTTTTCAGCATTAAGTCTACCTCCTCTCCATACCTACGTGTCCAGTTCAACGACAATTGGTGCCAGGTGTGAGGGGAGGGGGTCAAGACAATTGTGTATCTTTTCACCCCCATCAATTTAATGGTCCGCCTACCCCCCCACCTCACCCGGGGCGCAATAATTGTTTGATGAGAGGATGCTCGAATGTTGGTTTGAAATCACCACAATTCAATTCTAGGATAAATATAAATAATTTATCTTGACTGACTATTACATCATTCTAATACTATCTTTTTTACAACTAATACAAATACTATCCTCTATCATCTATTTATTTAATTTACATTTATTTATTCATTCCCTGTAAACTTTACTTTATTTATTTATTTATTTTTTATAATCTAAAATTTTGTTGTAGAAATTCAAAAGACAAAAAGAAATGGCCAAAACCATCAATGTTAATAATAATAATCGCCCAAATCAAAATAACAATATAGAAATTGTAGAGTATACCCTTTTTTTAAACAAATTCAACTCTATTTTCATATTTCTTAAATATTAACCTATCCTTTTTTTCTTTCTTTATTTTTTCTTTTATTTTTAGACTAAAAAATCAAGAGGTAGACCAAAAACAATATGTGGAATCAAAAAGTGCCAGATGTGTAATGCTACTACTACACCAGAATGGAGAAAGGGATTGGGAGGTTGTTACTATTGCAATGCATGTGGTCTTAGACTGGCAAAGCATAGAAACGAATTTTCCCACCTAGTTCCATCTTCCACTAGATCACCATCGCCACCATCATCACCTGTATATGAAATGAACCCAAACTCTATCCAATACCCAAATATTAAAAATAATACCACCACCACCGTTGCTGACATTAACCAATCTTCTTCAGATACAGTACCATCATCTCCACCAACAAATGACCAATCTTTACCATTCTCCATTCGTCGTTTGGAACTATCTGATTCAAAAAAACTTCCCTCATCTCTCATCAAGGCATCGATTCAATTTTTACTCAACAATCCAATTCCAGATGAAAAGGAAAAGGAAAATGGAAATATTAATAATTACAATTGTAAAAGAAGTTAGTTCTTCTTCTTCTTCTTCTTCTTCTTCTTCTTCTTCTTCTTCTTCTTCTTCTTCTTCTTTTTCTTCTTCTTCTTCATTTCCTCTACTTTCCAAAGGTTGATTGATATTAAAATATATTGTTTTCCAGTAGCGATCTATTGATCACAATCCATTTTCATCCCATTTTTCTCCTATATCATTTTTATGATAGATATAATATACACTTTTACAATCTAACATCCCATCCACACAACAAGCACCACCACCACCACCTCTTCTCCTCTCCTTCCTTTTTCACCAATCACAAAATTGCAAACTAATGTAAATAATAATCCAAATCTTTTTGTTAAATTATATATAAATAAAAACCATCATACCATGATAATTTTCTATTTGTATTGTTTTAGTTTTAGGGTTCTGGTTTTTTGATTAGTTGAGTTGTTTGAGTTGATCCTGTCTGTGTGATAATGTTAAAAAGTAATAAATAAATAAATAAATATTATTTAAATGAATAATTTGTTGTTTTCATCTTCTGTCGATAAGATGGGAACATTCTTTTGTATGACTGAAACCGTGTTGATATGTTTGATGCTCTTGCCCAGTGAAAAGTGTAAGATCACCGACAAGAAGCTTAGAATCATTGCATAGAGGAATGCATCATTACATCCTTTATCTTTATAAATGGCAATCGATATAATCGGTCCTAATAATCTTCCAAAACTATTGCATAAATAAAATACTACTGATACCATTTTCTAAAAAAATAAATAAATAAATAAAAATTAATTAATATTATTTCTTCTACCTATTCTTCTTCTTATTTTTTTGTTTGTTTTGATACATTACAGAATTGACAGATAATTTTAATTGATAAAAAATATTGATTGAAGTTAGGATTGAAATTGGGTAACCTATCGAGATGAAAAGAGCACCGAGAAGATAGCGGATCATGGGTGCTACATCTTTGGCACCAACGTCTGGCCATGCAATCATAAATGAATAGCCTATCGACATGAATAGAATGGATCCGTAAAAAAGGAGGGTATTGTTTGTAATTCTCTTGGCCAAGATGGTTGTAATGGTCACTGTGACACCAGTACCAATGAAAAACGAAGCCACCTTTGTCATGTCCCATCCATATCGTGCCACCTCCATTGTAACGGGCACAAACAAACTTTCCAACACCATTGCACTATTACAAATAAATGCATGTACAATACATAATAATACCATTGTCCATTTTGGTGGTATTATACATGATTCTTGAGTTCTATATGATACACTATTACGTATTGGATATTGTTCTAAAAAAAAAGAAGGAAAATAAAAATAAAGGAATGAATAAATGATTGATTGACAAATGTCTATTTCTAATTTTTGTTTCTATATTTACCTTCATATAAATATTGATCAGTATCATCATCAAATGGTTGACTCTTATCAATTACGCTACCGATGATGGCAAGAATAAGAGATAGAGCTGAAAATATAACTACCAACCAACCATAGAAAGAGGATGTATTGTTATCCTGACTAAATATATTCATTCTGTGATCGATTGAGAAATTGGATACTATGGCAATCAGTAAAGCTGCTACTGGGAATGCCGCCAAAATGGTTGTAGATATACTGCGCAGTCTCATCTTTTGCAAGTCTGTGTCTTTTGAACGAGACAACATCTTTTGTACCATCACAATGGCATAGGAATTACCCAATCCAACAAAGAATCGAGACAATAGTAACAAGAATTGTGCTGGTGCCGCAGCATATATAATATCACCAAACAATTGTACAACAAGTGCTATTATCAACATGATCCAATGTTTACTATTACTCGATATATAAACATGTGCCTTCTTTCCAATTGACAAACCAATTTGATATGATGATATTGTTAATGCTAAAATATATATTGATTCATTATTCTAAAAAGTAAAAGAAACTAGTTAGATAATATTAAAAGTTAAAACAAATATAACTATCTAGATAGTTACTAATTGAATATATGGCCATATGGTAATATTAACTATCGATATACCAATGGTTGATAACAAGGTAATAAGTAGACCTATCCAAAATCGTCTAGGTGTCTTTCTGCCAACCACTAAATGATCGCTAAATGAATTATCCTGTATATGTTGCGAGCTGTAGTTTAATAATATGATTGTTAATATATATAGAACCATCTATCTCTTCTATCCTATCTATCTATTCTCATATCTTGACAACATACTGATAAAGTAGTAGTTCATTCTCATAGTCCATATTCTCCCCTACTATTATCCAAATCTCTTTCTATACTGTCTGTCTGTCTATTTGATGTTGAATGTATCTATCTATCTGTATGTCAGTCAGTCTTGTATGTATATATTGTAGAATAGATGTATCTATCTATTTATCTAATTGAACGAATCTTTAGTTTCCCGGGCAATCGTAAGTTGCAAAGGGTTTCAAGATAAAGATGTTTTACAGTTTTGCCCTGTTTGTTTGTTTGTGTCACCTGGTTTACTTTTCTAGAGGATTATTGTATTTTCAAATATAGTTGTTGTTGTTTGTTATCTGTAGATCGAATATATAAATATGGATAGGGTATGAGGAATGAATGATTATCATAAATATTCAAATATATTTTAAATTAATTGTACTCTGAATCTTTTTATGGGGTGATTGATGAACTTCCCCAATTTAATTTAACCCACCCAAGAATGAATGAACACAGCTGAGTGAACCTCTTACCTTTCTTGTTTTATTCAAGAAGTTGTTTGTTACTGTTATCTTTTAAATAAATAATACAACAACAACAACAATTATATAATAATAATATAATAAATAATATTAAAGTATATTCATAAGTAGTCAAAAGTCAATCATTAATATATACAACAAACACCAGCAGGAGATACATAGAGATTATTCTCTTGTTCTTCTTCTTCATCATTTTTTAATCTATTGCAAGAACAAATATTGTGTAAACATAAAAAAAGATAGTTAAGACACACAAACAGCAGATAGAGAGATAGATAGAATAATAGGAGAATTGGATTGTGTACGGTGGGAAATTTACTTTTGTAAATTTGTATGTATGCACCAACAACCCTAACCTGCTGAGTAGTGTAGAGTAGAACAGAGTAGAATATTATCAAACGACAACAACAACACTTAATCCTCAAAACAGTAATCGCAGACAACAATAACAACACCACCACTAAATCCAACAAACTACCACCACCAACAGAGAACAGAGAGAGAGTGAGTGGAGTAAAACAAGCAACAACAGTATTGTTACATTTGTAAATTATATCTATTTTTTTTTTGTTTGTTTGTTGTTTTAATTAAAAATAACAGCAACAATCAGCAACAATTGTTGGATACCCTATTTGTGCCGATTAAATGTTTTAAAATTAACAAAACAAAGTCAAGTCACAACATAATATTAATAATATTAATAATAGTCAACTTCACAAACAACAACAACAATTATAATAACTATCCCCCCAGAATTGTAAATAATAATAATAATAATAATAATATCTTCTTCCCCTCCTTCCTTTTAATTTTAATTCAAACAAACCAAGAAAGAAACAAAAAATGTTAAAACCAACCATAAATATTAAATATAATAGTAAACTATTAGGACTTTCTTCCAACTTTTTAAAACCAACAAATAATAATAATAATAATAATTATAATAATAATAATATTGGTGGAACTTCAAAACAAATCATTTTTGGAAATAATATAAATAATAATGTAAATAATAATAATAATTGTAAAAAGTATAATAATAATAATAATAATAATATAAATAATAGACTAATAGATAATAATAATAAGAATGAATTATTATTTGGTAAAAGAACATTTTATACAATTAATAATATAGATTCATCGGTTGATATGAATGTGATACTTGGTAAACCAAAATCAGCAGATGATGTATACCAATACATGAGGGAATTGTTTAATATTAGTCCTTATTGTGAGAGTATTAGAATCCCATTCATGTCTTCGGAACGAGATATCAAGGACATCAAAGGAATCAAATTGTATGGAAGAAAAGAAGAGAAATCATGGATTGTCATTGTTGGTGGAAAGGAACCTGACCAATGGACGAGTATATCGACCACACTCTATCTTGGTGCAATGTTTTCCAACCAACCACTCGACAATATCGATGTATTGATATTCCCAATTCAAAATCCAATCCCCTACACTGGCAATGCAAATCTACCTCTTCAACCACACCATCATCTCCAAACCTACCAACCCAGTACAAGTGTACAAGTTGGTCAACAACATGGATTTACATCATCTGTATCTTCTGGTAGATCTTCATCATCATCATCCGACTCTAAATCTTTTAATTCATCTCCTTCATCTACATCATCATCGATCTTTAATCTTTTAAATGGTTTGTATCTATCCATCATTAAATCAAGAAAGATTATAATTATAATAATATATTTAATATTCTAATATTCATTTATTTATGTTAACATTTGTTTATATAGATGGATCATCATCAAATAATCAAAACACAAGAAAATCATCGATTGTATTTAATGATTGGTTAAAGAGATCAAAGAGAAAATTTGAAAACCTTGATGTTAAAATCAGCAAGGATGGCCAACCGTACATCCTCAATAGCCACTCGACACTAAGAAAGCTTGCTGTCACCGAGACAGAGTTGTGGGATGGTGGAAGAAAGCAGTTCAATGCTTCAACGTTGATGGATAATGGTTGTGGTCCCAACGGTGGTGTTGGTGGTGTATTCGATATTCCCGACTCTATCGATGTGTCACCCATCTCATCGATCATGGGTCACGGTGGCAAACAATCTCCCAACAACTTTGGATTTCCAAAGAGTCAACACCACCACCCCAACTATGTCATTGAGATTCCAAACATGTACATGCAATTATCAGACGACCAACTTTTACAATACTCTCAAAAGATTATGAGTGAAATCAGGTTATTTGCTAAAACTAAAATGAATCACCAATAATAATATGAATATTGAATATGAATAATAATGACCAGAATTGCAATCGATATTAATATTATTAATATTCTAGAATGATGGATAGTAAATAAATAAATAAATAAATATTGGGTACAGTAATCGAGCTATACCAAAATAATAAATAAATAAATAAATAATAATTTAATTATCAATCAATTAACAGATCTTGTTTTAATTATTAATATGAGTTGTCAATTTCTTTGTCCAGACATGTCTCTTGAAAATATAAAAAAATTAAAAAAAAGCAAAATTAATTTAGAGCAAAACCTCAACTTCACGACACCATCGCCATCCACGCGAAAAAGAGCGCCACACCACAATTCGGATAATATTTTTCGCATAAGATCTCTATTCTCTTTGGACACATTCCACAACAACATAACAGCAAATTTAAAGTAGGTAAGTATTATCTCTAACCGACAACATTATTATTAAATTAAATAATAATTTCATTTACTCATCTGCAAAAACACAAATATTTTAAATATTTTTAATTCATTTAAAAAATATTATTACAACCAACAAACATCATCTCATCGCGCAACTTTACATATTAGCTAGTAGTTGGCTTTTGTCAAAATATTGAAACAAAGAGAGATAGATCTAAACAATCATTTCATATTATTCGACTTTTAGTCTTTTACAACATTGATAGAATAGAGATAATAATCTAGATATATAATGTAAGGATCCAGTTCATCATCATCATCATCATCATCAACATCAACATCAACAATATATCATCTAGAGTAGATAATAGATAGACAAGATAGATCTATAGGTCAAAGGCTGGATAGTAGTTTGAGGAGAGGGGACACATTTGAATGAATGTGAACTTCCCTCTCCCCCTCACACGACAAACTACACCACCACACACAACACTCCACCAACAAGAAGCAGCTGACCGACCAATAATAATAGTAAAGAAAGGATGTGAGAGCGAAATTCACAATTGTGCAACAATATCTTTATATAACAATAGCAAGAGAACAGAGAGAGAGAGAGAGCAAAAGTACTCTATGAAAGTGAAGAACTAGCGCTTTTAAAAAGATTAAACTAAAACTATACAATTAGATTTAGAGTTTATTCGATTATCACATACAACTATTATTATTATTATTTTTTTAAACTAGTCAAGAAATAGTTACTAACTCGTCCCTCCCTATAACCCAACCAACCCCCCTCCATACAATTAATTAATAGATTTAAATAGTTGTTGACGACCAATTAAAATTAATTTTTAAATTACAACAAAAAGAATATCAATAATAATAATAACAAGTATAAATATTTATAGTATAGTTATATATAATATAAAATGGAAGATCGTTTATCAGAACTCCAGGTATGTTGTTGTTTTAAAAAATAGAGAGAGGAATGATTTCGAATGGACGAGTTTAAACTAATTATTAAATACTATTGTTATTAATATTAATATTGATATTTAGGCGGCTGGAGGAGTCAAATTAAATGATAAGAAAAAGAAAAAAGGAAAAGGAAAAGGAAAGGTAGTAGATGAGGAATCACAGACCACCTCTGACAATGGAAACATTGAGATGGAAGAGACTGGATACATTGAAAACGAAGAAGGCGAGGGAATGGAAGAATTTATGCCAGAATTTTATCAAGAGGTTGGTATAGTTAAAACGACAATGACTTCCATTCGAAGAAGCATAAAGAGTATAGAAGAGAAATACGTACAATCTCTAAATTCTATAAATGTTGATCAAGGAACGAGTATGTAAATTTTAAGCACAAAAAGACAAAAGACATTACTGTATGATATTAACAATAATCATTATAATCATTATGACATTTCAATAGAATACGAAGAAGATATTCAATCAATGATTGATGCAACCAATAGATCATTTAGCGATTTGAAGAAAAAATTGGATTCCATGAAAGAGGGAAATGATAGATATGCCAGTGTAAAGACTGCCACCCCTACAGAAGTTCGTATTCGATCAAACATGCACAACACGCTTACCCAAAAGTTTGTAGAAATGATGCGTGAATATCAAGAGATTCAAAATAACTATAAAAACAAATACAAGGAAAAGATTGAAAGACAATATAGAATTGGTATGAATTAATATATAATAATAATATAATATATAATATATAATATATAGTATTTATACTAATACCTATATATTATTTTTTGTATATTATAGTCAAACCAGATGCATCAGAAGATGAAATTAGAGCAGCTATGGATTCTGGAGATTCTAGTAAAATCTTTGCCGATACAATTCTTTATACACATTTGCATACACAGGCAAAGAATGCGTTGGCGTATATTCAAGATCGACACAATGATATCCAAAGATTGGAAAGATCGATTGCAGAGTTGCATCAACTCTTTTTGGATATGGCCGTTCTTGTAGAGGTACAAGGTGAAATTTTAAATCAAATCGAGGCCAACGTTGAATCGACCGTTCTCAACACCAAAGAGGGTGTCGAGAATCTCGCCGAGGCAAATAGACTACACAAAAAGGGAAGAAAGAAAATGTACATTCTATTGTGTATCGTTGTAATTGTATTAGCTGCCGTTTTGGCTCCAGTATTGGCCACTCAAATCCCAAAGAAATCAAATAATTAATAACCTATAACTTAAAATTTAATAATGAATAATAATAATTAATCTAAAGTTATTATTATTAGGTAATAATAAAAAATAGTAATAATAACCCATCATACGATAGTACGCAATACTTTTGAGGTTACCTGATTTTAAACATTTTATTTTTATTTTATTAAAAAAAAATATCCCAAACAATAAAAAAAAAAAAAAATTCAAAAACCCAAAGTGATAAATTGTCGAGAATACAGACTATTCTATTCATTATTGAATTCGATTAGTTATAATTAGATAGATACAAGTAATTATAAATTATTTATCTTTTGTTGTTATTGTTGTATTGTTGTTGATTGTTATCGTATTTTGAATAGATAGATAGTAGATAGTTAGTTATTGTTATTGTTACTTGTTCATCTCTCTTTCTTCCTCTTCTTCTTCTTCTTCTTTTAAATAAATAAAACAAAATTATAATAATATTAATAATATATACCAATTTATAAAATTAGAGTTTTATCAATCTAGAAACTTTCTACTACGACTATAAAGAATCAATCAATCGATCAATCAATCAGCCAAACATCATTCATATATATATTTATATTTATATTTAGATTGGAATGAATAAACCACAAACACATACTGCTGCACCACCATTACCACCAGGTAAAAAAGATGCATTATTGAATAAGGTTACATGTCCTGTTTGTAAGGATCCAGACCCTGATGTAGTTGAAGATTATGCACGTGGAGATTTGATTTGTAGAAGATGTGGATGTGTCATTGGTGATCGTATCGTAGATGAACATTCGGAATGGCGTACATTCTCCAACAGCGAAAGCACTGGAGCTGACCCTAACCGTGTCGGTGGGCCAAACAACCCGCTGTTGCGTGAGGGTGGTCTCTCGACCGTCATTGGCAAGGGCACGGGCAAGGACGCTTCAGTGCTGTCTCGTATGCAAAACAGAGGTGCGTTGGGAAGTGGCGATCGTTCGTTGTTGGCTGCTTTCAAAGAGATTGAAAAGATGTCTGATCACATTGGTCTACCCCAAACCGTCCAAGACACGGCCAAGGAGTTGTTTAGACAAATGGACGATAGAAAGCCAATGAAGGGCAAGTCGGCCGATGGCATGTTGGCCGCCTCCCTCTACATGGCCTGTCGTATCGATGGTATTGCACGTACATTCAAAGAAGTGTGTGCGCTCTCCAACAACGTCTCTAAAAAGGAGCTTGCCAAATGCTACAAACAAATGAGAGAAGCATTGGGTGACGTGCACAGCTTGCATGCCATCTCGACAGACGATTTCATGACTAGATTCTGTTCGAATCTTTCTCTTCCAAACGATGTTAAAAAGGCTGCTGATCACGTCTCTCGTACAGCCATTGATTTGGGCATCGTCGCCGGTAAAAACCCACTCTCTGTCACTGCTGCAGCCATCTACCTCGTCTCTCAACTCTCGGCCGACAAAAGAACACAAAAGGCCATATCCGATGTCAGTGGTGTGTCAGAGGTTACCATCAGAAACGTTTACAAGGATTTATACTCTAAAAGAGATTCACTCTTACCTCCCAATTCACCATTCCTTCAAAATGTTTCTGATTTACCTTCAACATAATTTATAAACTCAAAAAAAACAAAAAAACAAGATTGATAGAGCACTCTATCAAAAACCAAAAAAAAACCAATCATCATTATTATACATTTACATAATCCACCCCAAACCAATTTATACATACACAACATAGAATCATACTATACACAAACCAAAAAAAAACCCTATAGGCAAAAATTAATTAAATTATAAATAATTAATCAAAAATATAATAATAATATTATTGTAATTACAATCAATCAAACAATCAACCAATCATCCATCATCTTCGAAGATCCATCCATAAATCTATCCATCCATCCATACATTACACAAACGATTAGCCACATTCATTAATACTTTTTTAAATAGTTCAACTAAAATACAAAACACCAAAAATAATAATAATAATAATTTATAAACCTCTCTCTACCATCCATTTGAAAGAAAGATATATACTTACCCAAAAATAAATAAACAATTAATGTTCTTTTAAAATGTACATCCCTCACATTTACAAGTGATTCACCATCAAAAAAAGTAAATTCAAACTTTAATTAATTTTTAATCTAAACCCAATTTTGTCTTTTGCATTCAAGATCATAGATAGAAGAAGAAGATAAACTATAGATATATTTAAATGAATAGCGGAGGTATAGGTGCAAGATTTGGTGTGAGTTCAGGTAGTACTGGTAGTAGTAGTGCAACAGGTAGTTATGGTAGTTACAAATCAGCATCATCAACAGGTGGATCAAACAATAGTTATACTACAATGAATGTAGGAGGAGGATTTAGTGGTGGTGGAGGTAGTATGAGTGGCTTTGGATCAATGATGATTCCTCCACCTTCTAAAGCTGTTAGACCATCGTTTGTGGCTACTGAAGGTACCTATAAACTCATCAAAGACATACCTCCACCTCACAAGGAAATGTCTAGAAGAATATCAAAGATTTCAATCAAGTTATCAGCCTACACCGGTGATCGTGCTGCAACTCCATCTCCTTCAATGTCTGGGTCATCCTATTCATCATTTGCATCTTCATATGCTAGTTCACTAAGTGGAGGTGGTCATTCTTCAACCAAAGGAGCACCTCCAAGTGGAAATGATACACTATCTGGAACAACACCTCCAACAACAACATCAACATCATCATCGACATCAACATCATCAAACAAAGACAAGAATATTATTAAACCTCCACCATCATCAAATGAACAAACACTATATCTATCATCAACTGTTGGTAATGTAGCCACTCTTTATCATTTCTATGATGTTGATAAAGATAAAGCTGAATATCATGTAAAAGTAAGTAGACTAGAGAGGAGGATGGCGCGATAATATATATAAATATATATTCACTTTACTTATATTTCTATTTATTTAGTTAACATTAGATAAAATTATACCAACATGTCAAAAGATGAATCAATTAAAGAGTCAAAGAGGGTTTCTTCAGATGGTGTATGGTACAGAGAATGGAGACATTTATTATTTTGAGGCGTCAGATGTACCAGCTATTTTCAACAAGGCAGGTAGAATCAATCAATCTCGATGCACGTCTATTGAATGGTTGCCTGGAAGCAACACAGAGTTTTTGGTTGCATTTGCCAATGGTGTTTTGTTTTATGTTAATATTGCGCAACAGGCCGAGCCAATTACTATCATGTCGGCTAGTTGCAACTCATCCATGTCATCCAGTGCAATGGGGTCAAATATACCACCTCTCATCACCACAGCAACCACCCAGAGTGATTACAGCGCAGATCCAAACAATGTATACGGCTATGACAACTCCAACTATATCAAGATCAATTCGGTTCAATATGTATCGACCAATGACCTATTCTCACAAAAGTCAATCACTGCTCTATCATTCTCTAGATGTGGCAAGTATTTGGCAGTGGTTGCATTGGATGGTCTATTGACAGTATACGATTTCAAAAAGGTTGGAGGTCTAAGCGCCGTTAAATTGGTCGCATTTAAAAGTTATTTTGGTGGATTCCTCTGTGTCGATTGGAGTCATGATGGAAACTATTTGGTCACTGGAGGTGAAGATGATTACATATCTATTTGGTCATTCCATGAAAAGTGTCTTGTTGCTCGTGGACAAGGTCACCAGTCATGGGTTAGTTGTGTAAAATTCGATCCATTTGCTCAAATCAATGGTAGTAACATTTTAAATTCATCTTCGGCCGTTTTATCAACCTCTATGACAAGTAGTCTTAATAATATGAATCTTGCAAATCAAATTAAAGATTCAACAACCACACTTCAAAACAATAATAATAATAATAACAATTATTTTTATAGAATTGTATCAGGTGGTGAAGATACACGTCTTGTTCTATGGGATTTCTGTAAAGAAAATTTACGTAAACCAAAGGTTAGTGGAGGACAACCTACTACTCAGCAACAACAACAACAACAACAACCACAAAATGATATGGTTGTTGAGAGCATTTCAAGAACCGTCGCACCAATACTATTACCAATTGTATCTCATAGAGTGAATCAACCAATGTCTGATTTGGTAGTCACACCAGATTTCATCATTTCAGCATCCGACCAATTATATATTTGGGGTAGACCTAGAATTGATATCGACAATGTATGACCACAACAAACAAATCTATTTTAAAAGATTATTATTTTATATTTATTTATTAACTTATTTTCCTATTTTTAGAAATCAACTGAGGCACCTCCTATTACTCCACTATCATTTACCAAAATGAATATGAAATATGATCATTTGTAAATCTCCTATTGAATATATAGAAAACAACAAATTGTAAATAAATAAATTAATTAAAAAGTTTGAACAAACAAATTCATAAATTGAATCGATGAAAACAATCATTCATTTTAGTTTTATTGATATCTTTAAGTAGATCAATCATAAATATACATATAGAATGACATCATGTTATCTTAATTCATCACAATGTAAACATTGGATATTTACATCAGAGCAACTAGAAGACTATAGAGGCAATGCAAGGAATCAATTCACTCAACAATACCTCAAACAGAGACCAGACCAAGAACAAGATCAAGAAAAGAATACAGCATTTCTAACGAGGGAAGAAGAGAAAACATTATTGGCTCATTATAAAAAGAAGATCATAGATATAGGTCATGCTTTAAACTTACCAGATCAAGTGATTGTATGTAGAGCGCGAAAGAGTGAGAGAGAATTCAACTATAGTTTCGGTCTATGCATACTAAACTAACTTGATTCTCTTTCAATATAGTCAACGTCAATTGTATATTTAAATAGATTCTATTTAAAAAGAAGTTCAATGGAGTATAGTCCAAAGATGGTAATGATATGTTGTATCTTTTTGGCATGTAAATCAGAAGAGAATCATATCGATATTGAATTCTACAGTAAAACTTTGATGGTCGAGTCTAAAGACATTGCTGATTTGGAGTTGCCTACATTGGAGGCACTTCGATTCCATCTACTTGTATATCACCCATTCAGACCTCTCTATGGATATCTTTTGGACATTAATGATCTACAATCTCAATCATCAACATCATCGTTGCCATGGTTGAGCAAGGCATCATTTACACTTGATCAAACCTATGAAAAATGTAAACCACTCATCTTAAAGTCTATCATGAGCGATTGTTGTTTTATTTATCATCCTCATGAAATTGCATTGGCTTGTCTTGATTTGGCATGGCCAGAATTTAAATCGTTTGTATCTAAATATATTCAACATATATGTTCACATTCTAATTAATTATATACCTAATCTCTAGATATTTTGAACATAAATTCCAACAACATAAAGATATCGAAAAGTTACTATCAACAATTAATATTATCAAAGTAAGTTTAAATTCTATATCAGATACCCCAATAGATGTAGAAATAGTTCGAAAGATCGATAAAAAATTAATGTATGTAATAGTCATTAAGCCAAAATATATATATATATATATTTTGATTAACCATTTTATTTTACTATTTATTTTAGATTACTAAACAAAACAAAAAGAAAAGGTGAAGAAACAAAGAAAAAGAAACAAGCATCAGTAAAGAAACAGAAAAAGGAGCCAACAACAACCGCAGCAACAGTGACAACACCAGTTCCAGCCAATGGTGATAATAATTCAGATCCAATTATAATTGATAATCCACCATCCAATTAATTAAATAATTAATAATAGTTGTACAAAAGAACCATATTTTTGATCCAAATAAATAATAATTAAATTTTTATTTAAAATAGTTATTTTTGACCATTTTAACTTTTGATTGAATCTTGAATTAAAAGATTTCATATTGTTTGTTGTTGGTAGTGAGAGAGAATCAAAAATAAAAAAAAAAAGGATATATTATATATATAATAAATTATTGTTTTGAAATCCTAAGAGTGTGGGTATTATTGTTATTATTATTATTACTATCTAAGATCATTTTTAATCGGTAGAAGAAGGAGTATGTGGTGGGGAATTATTTGTGCTTGGTGGATTCGATCCTGCAGGAGAAGTAGGGACTGCAAGTGTATAAGAAGATGTAGAGTTATTGAGAGACAAGGGAATTGGGGGACTCGTGGCTGTACTTCCACCTCCACCAGATGCTGACATATTGGTTCTGCTGGTACTGGTGCTGTTGGATATACTATTTGGTGGTGGGGATGTTGTCGTTTTCTTTCTAAATAATCCACCAAAAAATGAAGATGAACTGTTCTCGGATTGCAATTTCGGTGGGTGGTTTGGAGAAACTGATCCAGGTGTGGATGATGGTGAACTATGAGTACTACTATTATTGTTGTTTCCTCCTGTTTGAATATTATTTGATGATAGATTCATGGGAGATGGATATTCTCGAGTATTTTTGCTAGTGTTTGCGTAGAGATTTGATGACATGTTGATGTTGGTACCCTTTTGTGGAGTCTGTCCGTTATTTGTGGAAGAGTCGGATCCACCAGTGAGTGCACCACTGCCATGACCACTAAGGCCGCCGCTAACGACGACACCACCACCTCCACCTCGCAATGGACGAACAATTCTAGCACCAGATTGGTCCGAGTTTGGAGCACTCTTTTTGCCATCTTCCGATGTCTTGTAACGACCCAATTCCTGAGATACAGTATCATAGTTTAGTGCCAACTTAAAGAGACGCTCTTGTGATTCCTTGATGGTGTTTTCAAGTGAGAGGATGTGCTCGTTACGAAGTGCGAGTTGCTTGGAGGCTCGTTGTGCCTCGTTTTTGAGCTTGTTGTTTTCCACCGACAGTTGATGCTTGAAACTGGTCATTTCATCGAGCTTTAGTTGGATCATGGCTGCTTCATTGTCTCCATTCATCTTGGTTGCGCGGTTGAGTCTTTCCTGTAGAGTGGCCACACGGTCTTGGAACTCGTCGAGTACCAACTCCAAGTCGATTACCTTTTGACAACGGTTCTCTAGATCGCGTAGCAGCGACTCTTTGAGCGAGCCAAATTCCAACAACTTTTGGTTGGTTTGCTCTCGCAACAGGTTAAGTTCTTCCTCCATTCGTAGTCTAGTCTCGTCTTCAATGTTGCTGAGACGCAAAGAAAGCTTCTTGTTGTCGTTTCTGATAGAGTCGAGTTGGTTTCTTTGTTCAGAGTTTTCATTCAATAGCTTTCTCAATTGTTCGGCTTGCAACATCATTTCAGATGGGATTTCGTCGAGTGATGGTGTTGCCGATGTTGTCGACTCGTTTAGAGGTATGTCTTGGTGATCACTATCAGAGGATGGTGACAATGTCAAATCTTGAATGTCCATTGGTACATTGTTGTGATCGGTATGATGATGATCCAACTTTAACGATTGAATAATTAATTCCAAATCCATAATTTTTTGTTTTAATGATTCGTTTTCCTGGATGATTGCTGGATCTGTATTGTTGTTTACCGATGCAAGAGTACCTGGCATTGAGATGGACATGGGAGATAGTGGTGAACCAGAACTCTGTGAAGCAATATTGGCAATGCTTTGTGATTGAATTGGTTTTGCTTTTGATGGAGTTCTTTGAAGTAGTTTTAATTGCTCCTCCTTTTCGGTCCATTCATCAAATCTACGATCAATAGAGGATAATGACAATTCTTCCTTTTCCTTTCGTTGATCTTCTCTTTGTTTCTTTTCTTGCATTTGACTCTTCATTGATGTATTCTCTGAATTTAATCCTTCAATTGCCAATGATTGTTCAACTGATTCATATTTTAATTTATCCAATGCTAATTTTAATTCTGATACTTGAGCTCCAAGTATATCATTTTCCTAAAATAAAAAATAAATAAATTAATTAAATAATTATAATATTGATCAATATTTTTCTTATCTACTTACATGACTTAGATTACCAAGTTTCATATTTTCATCTCTCAATGATGATAAAATATGAGATTGAGATTCCAATTCTTGTTCTCTATCTTGTAATTGTATCGTAATGGATTCTAAATGTTCGTGTAATTCCTTCTTTTCTTCTTCTTTTTGGAATAATAATTTCTCCAATTGGATACATTTTTCTTTTAATTGTTGTTGTTGTTCATCTATATTTTCACCACCACTACTACTTGTTCCACTTCCTACAAGTTGAAAAAAAAGATATGATTACCATTAATTGTTTGTTGTTGATGTTGTTTTTTTTTACATACTTGGTTGAACACCTGAAACTGATTCCAATTCTTTGATATAACCTTTTAGACTTTCAATTTCCTTGTCAGCCTTTAATAATAATATTTTAAGTTCGGCAGCACTACGTTCTTGATTAATCTTGGCCTTGTTCTTAATATTCTTGGCACGATTACCAAAACGTAGAGTCGATAGAGTTTCATTTTCATTGTAACTGCTTGGTGAACAATTGATAATGAGTGTGGTACGAGAGTTACCACCAAGTGATTCTTGGAGTACTCTAGTCAATTTCGAATCACGGTATGGGATATGAGCAGACTTTCCATCTGTAAGTGCATTGATTACATTTCCAAGAGACGACAATGACTTGTTGATCATCTTTGCCTCATCAAATGTCACACCTTGAGCTCCAGTCTTTGATACCTTTTCTGAACCTGCCAAATCAACCAAATAGAGTTTACCATTTTTCATTGATCCTTCTTTTAGATTCTTTTGTTGAATTGATAAAATAAAAATACTGTGACTTCTTGATGATTCAGCATTCATTTCTAAATGATTAAGAATATAAATATATTAATATATATATCAATCTGAATAATTATATACGTACTTGTTTCAGCAATAGCTCTATTTGCAGAACCAGTTCTCATTACTTCCAAAATATCGTCTTCTCTGTATATATACACTTCGGTGGTGCCTTCTACCCATACACCCTTTGCTTTTTCTTCACGGACCTTGAGATTGTCTTTTCTTGGGTCCAAGAGATCTCTAATTCTCTCCATATAAATTTCAATATACGATGCTTTGACTATAAATTCAATATTCTCATCGGCCTTTGTAATACAATCAAATACAGTATTGATCATTCTAGGAATGACACCTTTCAACTCTGGATCATCAATTGATGGTCCTTGCATTGTATGTGTCTTACCAGAACTGGTTTGTCCATATCTAATATAATAGATAAAAAAATAAATTGTTGTAAGATTCTTCGTCTTCTAATGTTCATATGAATGAACCAGTAGATTTGATTGATTTGGTCTGTTATGATATTTACACAAAAATGGTACCATTGTAACCCAACATAATATCTTCAATAACTGGTTTGGCTGCATCATCATAAACATCTTTTTGTGTGTTTCTATCACTATATACTCTATCAAATGTAAATGAATGATTTGATTCATTACCCTAATAATCATAATAATGTACATTTGGATTGATTGTTAGATCACTCCAGTATATATATAACTCTCTATTTATCTTGTTTCCAAATATACTACTTATACTTACTTTGATGGTGACAGTTTGGCCATCCGATACTTCAATGACAGATGTTCCACCTTGGGCTAATTCATTCTTATTCTGTGGTCTGAATCTACATACCACACGAATGGAAGACATGATGATTGTGATGCTACTACTGCTATCGGATGATGATGATCTATACTAATACTACAATAAATAATGTTTGTTGTTTGTTGTTGTTTGTTTTTGTTGTTGTTACTAATTTCTGTTTGCTCTGATTTCTTCAATGTCCCTAGACTAGTAGCCACCTGACCTATGATTAATCATTAAAATACTCTTTATATAAATATATATATACAAGTGATTAAGTATCTCTCTCTCTCTCTCTCTTTCTTTCTTTCTACAAGGGGGATTGTTGATATTATTGAATCTAAAGTAAACACACAACTTGATACTGACTGCTACAACACAACAAAAAATAATAGGGTGTCAGTTCCTCTGTCCTCCAATTTTTAATCAAAATTTACTTTTGCAGCTTCATTGAATCGTCCTCTTATCTTTCGTTTCTTTAAAACATCGTTGCAGTTCCCGAATCATCTAGAAACATCATCAAACAGACAGACAGATTACAGAGTAGAGCAGGAGTAGAATAAACAAATAAGAAACATAACTGATATGAACGAGATAATATAATAGTGATTCCACCTTTATTTTTTGGAATAAGTTACAATTGAGAGTTAGAGTTACAAGACAAGGACTAGTACAATTTAGAGGATATCAGCATGGAGCTTGATACCGAGAAGACCAAGAATATTGGCACAGATATCCAAATGGAGTAGACGAGCTGCTTGATTAGATGATTGACCACCAGTTGCAGAAGAGTTGACAGTTACAGCGTACGATGTTGAAGACTTGGAGAATGACTTGGCTGATGATCCTCCGATGTTTGAGATGGCAGCTAAATAAATAAAACAAAAGATAAAAGAGAGAGAGAGATAATAATTAATAATTGTTTGATTAATCAAAAAGAACAATTTGGTTTAGTTTGTAGTAAACTTACAAATTAAAGACATTTTAGTGGAAGTTGTTTAGATGAGTAAAGAGTTAATTAAATGATTATAGTTGTTGTTTGTTGATTTGATGATTTAAACTAACAAGTACTACAACTATTTATACCCATTGGACAATCCATATTCATAGGAGTTGGGGATTGGGCATTTCTCACATATAGTTTATCCATCATCATCAACATCATCGCCATCAACATTCCAAATCAGGGTATCATTCTTAATTTGATGATGTATAGATGGGTTCTTAAATGTCACCATCTTTAGCATTCTAGACTGGACTGGATTGAACAATCCTACAACCCCACAACTACACTTCCAATGACTAATCCATCAATTAAATATTAAATATTTAATATAGTATCCTCAATCCATTGATCTATCCAATCAATGACTAGACTGATTTAAAAGGAAAAAATAAAAGGTTGGAATCTCGATTCAATACACAAATAGATATTGATGGTAGGTTGGATTCTTACAACGTTATGGATCACATCACTTCTCACAAGACAGTGATAATGAATTAAGAGTGAGTAGTAAGTATGTATTGATGATGATGATGGATTGATGTATAAAAAGGTTACATGTAAATACGAAGTGAATTGTCATAATATAATTATTACCATTTAAATTCAAACCTTCTAAACATGGTGTTGAAATAATTCCATAACCGATGAATTTATTTATTCAAACACACACTCACTCCACACAAACCATCAACTCGATCAATCCTGATTAATATTTTGAACAGTTGGGAAATCTATTGATTTGATATTGGATTGATTGGATTGGATTCATTCTCAACTAACTGAAAAGAGTAGAGAGAGAGGATAATTAATTATTATTAATTTTATTTGGATTTGTTTTAAAATGATCTTTCCAAATAGACTCCTTTGATCCAATTAATATATAATTCTCGAAGTGCTGTAGGATTCAATTTAAGGTTTGGTTTGGTTTTGGTAGATGGTTCACCGTGTTTGTCAAAGTAGACATTACTCGTTGCAACTGATCCTCCGTGGCTGTAGACGTTGACTGTTGGGTTGATGATACCAAGAGTGATAATCAACCCATTGCCACAATTATGAGTATGTTTGAGTAATTCCTCTGAACAACAATCATCCAAACAAATAACCTTTGCACATACCAAACAAACTCCTTTTGGTAATTTATCACATGATCCTTTTTCGCATGGTACCATTAAAAAATCCATTAAAAAGTCCTAAAAAGGAAATAAAAGAGAGAATTATTAATAATCTATCTATCTATATCTATCTATTTATATAGTTTTGCTTACAATATACATTGATGGTAAATCAATAAATGAAGGTGTCTTTAGCGGAATATAAGATAAAAAGTTTGTGTTTGCCTTGCTTAAACTATACAATTTGCCTAATTCGTTAAATTTAGGATTGAGAACACACTCGAGGGGATCACGAAGTCCAAGTGCTCCAAGTAAAAAGGATTGATTTTCAAATTGTTGTTGGGTAAAGTCGTTTTCATTGCCAAGTGGTTGTGCCATTGATTTGATGCAATGTAATAGTAAATAGGCCTTTCTGATAAATGGCTGAATTCTCTTGTTTACTTTTTTGATGAATCCCAATACAAATCCAGAAGATGTTTCTTTGACAGCCTCTGGTACTGTCAAATGAACTTTTAATGTTTCAAATTGTTGTGATAATAAATCTTCATAATCTATAGTATTTAATAAATCTAAAATTAAATGAAAAAAAAAAAAAAAAGATAGATATTAAGTTAATGGATCGAAAAAAATAAATAAATAGATAAAATAATATTAATATTTGGTTTTTACTTACTTGCAGTAAAATAACGTTCTGCAGTTGTGGAAAAGATAAGAAATACCAATCTTTCGTAAGCCTTTTCAATGAAAACATTGACATCCATAGATCGATTGAAAAAGTGGGAAAAGGAAGCCAAGGTAAATGGATCATTCTCTGCTGAATACTTGTCCGACATGAGCAGATCGACATGCGCAGTGGTTGGTGGTTCGGTAGGCACAGGAACCGACATGATATTATAATACAAAAGTCGAAGTGTGCGTAGTTGGTTCTTGAAATCCGACTCGCTGTAGATATAGTATGGTTCTTGTGCATAGTGGCGGTTGAGTCGCGAAGAGATTTCCAAATTCTCAATGTTGCACAATGGGAACTTCCAAACGTACCGAAAGTTGATTGAATTGAGTGACTCTGGAAAGTGTCTAAATGTAGTGTCTGCCTCGAATAATGACATGATAAGCTCTTCAGAGGTGGCCAATTGCCCGACTGAATCGACTGCAAGCAGGATATTACATGTTCTGTTGCAAAGGGGACAATAAAACCCGTCAAAGAGACGACCCTCTACATAGTTTTCCATGCATTCCTTGTGGACATAGTGATTGCAGCATCTGACGTTCATGCTGGTACCCGATCGAATCAACTGCATCATGACCGTCATGCTGGCGACCGAGTCGAGGTTATTGACAATACACGAGTTGCCCCACGATTGGTACATGTCGTGAATAGACTTTGTGTGCCGAGACTCTCCATTCTCCTTGGCCAACTTCATCAGTGACGATCGATAGCATGCCAATTTCACACTAGACCCTTCGACCATACCAAGTGCCACTGGTTTTTGTCCATTGCGTGTTGTCTCTTTACATGATACGCACACCATATCATCAGATATTGCCGTACTACTTCCGTTTCCGGTTGCTGCACTAGCCGACGACGAGTCTTCCGACATCTCATCATCGTCACCACCATTTTGTTGTAAAAATTGTATCTGTTGTTGCATCATCTTTTCTCTAATTGCCTTTTGTCTGAGCATTGCCTCCTTCTTTTTAGCTTCAAACTCTCGTTCACCCTGTGCCTTTACAAAGTCGTCCATGTTGACTTTGGTGTGAAAGTGGTCCAAAAGATTCTTGTCAAAGTCACCAAGCATTGTGAGCAACTTGGAAATGAGACTCTTCTTTTCAGCATACTTACCAGTATTCTGCATAATCTCAAATAGATTGAGTACAAGATCCAATATACAAATTTGTGTCTTTTCACCATTCTCTCCAATTACATTATATCTCTTAAATATTAATAATATCATCTTATTATCAATAGTACTATTATTATTTTGATTATTATTATGATTATTTTGATTATTATTGATAAGAATATGAATTTTTGATTTTAAAGAATCTAAATCATTTTGATTCAAATTTGGAATGATTGTATCAATAAAGGTACGAATACCTAAAACCAATAGATATAAAATATGGTTTGTAAGATTCTCCATTTGTTTTTGGTCCGATGAAAAACAAGGATTGTCTAGAAAAGTTAACATTTGGAATGAATCGGTGAGCATCGAGGTAGGTCGAACAAACTTTAGCAAATACAAAAACATAATGTTGTAGAGCAGTGGCTCATCAAAAATGTCATTAACAGCTGCCAAGTTTGGATGCAGTGGTTCGAGAACTGGTGGAAGAGGATAAGTGTCCTCTAAAGGATCTTTCTTTTTCTTTAAATGTTCGTGATAATGGTTGAGTGACAAATCTGCAAATGCATCTCTTTCACAGAAATGATAGGGATAGTAATGATCATATCTTTCCCAATTCTTTTCCTTTAAAAGTAATTTCTTATTTTCTGTTCCTTGTTCTGTAATTTCCTCTATTAAATCTTCTAAAGAATCCAAATTTGTAAATTCTCTTCTATAATTCATCAACTATAAATATATATCAATATATTAATCAAATTTTGTTAATTAAGGATGATAAATATTAACCAAATGTTTGGTATTTAAAATATTTACAGCAGAATGAGATTTGTAATTACTGATAACAGCTTGAACAAGATGATATCTTGCCTCTGGTAGACCAAATATTGGAGATGATCTGTTTTGTAAAATTTGAATAATCAATTTAAATAAATCTGGTATCACTGTTTTGTTTGTCTCTATAATAAATTGGTTAATACAAATGAATATATGCTTTTTTCTTTTTCTTTTTTTGACTTACCAATTGATTTAAAATTTGAAGTAAAAGAATTGATTAAAAGATTTAAAAAATAGTTTGGACCTAGAATAATGGAAATGTATTGCATGGTGAAAATGTCAATCACCATGAACGACCAAGTATAGTATGATTTGAATTCATTAACATTGAGATTCTTTTCCCATAGACAAGCATTGTTTTGAAACATTAAAACGTTGATACTGAGAATCGAGTTGAAAATATAGAGTAACTTGTCCAATGGTAATAATGCCTTTACTGCCTCTAAAGAATAATCGGGTGAAAAATGTAAAGCATTTAAACAATAGTTTCCAAATAATCTTGCAAATGGTTGATGTATCGAAATTGATGTTACTCCATTAAAAATATCAGATACTGGATATTTATATTGATTTATACTAAATTAAATATTAAAATATAAAGGATTAGTTTTTAAACTTTTATACATATACATATATTTGAAATCTTTTCTCTTACTTTTCAAATGGTGGAAAAATAATTTCTTCATTTGAAGGTATATTTGATATTAATAATTTTAAAAACTTTGAGCTTGGGTCTGTGGATGGAAATGAAAAGTTAATATTTGTATTTGCTTTGGTTCTTTTTTTTTGTTTTTTATCTCGTACATTTTAATTTATGAATTGATTGAAGGAAATTATTAAAACAATTAATATTTTGATTTTCTAAACCAATGAGATTTGAAATGACTGGTAGTTCATAAGGAAGAGCTTCTGTGAGTTGTCTTTTGATTGGAGTGATCCCTTGAATTCCTCTACAAAGAGAAAATATCTTGGAGAATACAATCTCATTTTCATATACAAATTTCGATATCTTTTCATATTTAAAGTAACCAGATATATAATAGAAATCCTGTGATACCAAATATTGTTCATATTCCTCTCTATTTGTTGGTAAATCAAAATCATATGTTGATCCATGTTCAATTAATTTTGCCTAAAAAAAATCAGTAAGTAAATCTCTTTCTTTCTCTTTCTTTTTCTCTTTTCTTTTTTTCTCTTACAAAAACATCAATAATTTTCAAAATTAAATTATGAGTTGAATAACCAGTTGAAAAGGATTGAACGATACTTGGGATTTCAAACATTTGACAAGAGATTGAAGAGACGATGATTCTCATATTACTGCTTGGCGAGAGTGCAAATCTTTCATAGTATGATAGAAACTCGTTACAAAAGACAACTTTGAATAATTTGTTGCCCATCATCGTTACGAGTAGTGTCTTTGTTGCCTGAAGGATATGTTCACTCTTTTCAATGGCTGATAAAACTGATATGAGTGGTGATATTTGACTCTTGTGTGCCAAGTAAACTTGATCACTATCTTTTTGATTGTTGTTGTTATTGTCCTCAGTAGGAGGAGGTGATATATATGGAAGAGGAGTTGGCTCGTGTAAAGAGAATGTGGTCTGATCCAACTCTCTTTGAGCAAACTCTTCGGTTAGAATATGACTGACTGGATACGAGTTGCTTGCCAAATCCTCCAACCATGTGACGATAAATGTAATGCGTGGATAATCGCTGTTACGTAGACTTGAGAACGGACTTATCGTCGTAGTCGAAGACGATGATCTATCCTTGTTGATAATATCAACCAACACACTGAGAACCACTCTTAAAAACAAATGAAACTTTTTCTTTAATTCTGGATCGATCAGATCACTTGGATGGATTGGTTTCTCGGGTAGAAAATGTGATGAGCAGAACCCTTCTGGTTTCCAACTATCTGAATTGCCACAGTCACAACAACCACCCTGATTACTTTGCTCGGGCATAAACGAATGGCCTTCATGAATATGATTCCCATTCTTGAAACAGTCCAAACAAATACAAGAAGTTTGTGTAATCTCGCAATCTTTACATCTAAAGAACCATGTTTTCTCAGTCCATTCTAAATTTATTTAAAAAAGAATGTTTGTTAATTAATTAGATCTAATGATAATTTGTTTGTTTGACTTACCATGCTGACAATAAGGGAATTTATATTTATCTTTACCCAATTTTGAAAGGATTGGTTCGTCAAGTTGAAGAAATTTCAGTGCGACTTGATCGAGTTGATCTTTGCTCGAGATGGTTTGGTTGATGATGTCATAGTATGGATCAAATGAGAATTCTTGTGAACCGTAGAGAGGAAGACTGTCCATCTTGTCTTTGAGCACATCGGGTGCAGTCAATGCATTGCCAAACAGAAGCGATCCATTTGCACCAGCTGCTCGGATGAATTGGCTAAGTGCGTCTCGTATGTTGTACACGTTTTGATTGTTTATGTATCCAAGTACTCGATCGATATTAAAGTCAAAGTCACCATAGTCTACTGGCATTTCCCCATCTATATCGTCTACAAGATCTTGATCGTCGTCTTCTTCCTCCTCCTCTTCATCTTCTTCATCTTCATCTTCAATGATTTGATCCAAGTTTCCTTCGACCTGAGCTGGTCTTGCCAACACAGGTCGTCGACCTTGACCTTGAACTTGACCTTGAACTTGACCTTGTCTAATGTGTTCATATACACGATATAGTTCAGTCTCGAATTGCTCTTCATCATCTCCAAAGTCATACATGTCTATATCTCTCTCTCTGATTCTTTGTGCTGCTATTTCATCTCTAAACCAATCTCCATATTCCCCATCTTCCATTGATGTAAAACTATCAATTGAACTATCACCATCTTCATCACCATCGTCTATACTATTATCTATTATATTATTATTATCTATATTATTATTATTATTATTCTATTCTTTCTCTCTCTCTCTCTCTTTCTTTCTATTACAGGGTCGATCGATACTTGTAAAGGAAGTATCTTTACTCTTTTCTATTCTATTCTGATTCTATATATTCTATTCTTTTGTTAAAATATATGTTATGAATTAATTTAAAGATGAAATAACTAAACCTTATTAATTAATTCATCCCCAGAGTGAATTTGTAATAATATTTTTCATACATTATTTTATTCTTTTTTTAACTCTCTTTGTCTTCGTTTGTTCTTCTTTTGCAAACCCCCACAAACTGCAGAGAGAGTGCGGGATGATGCCCCTACCTCTCAATATCTCCTCCCCAATGCTAAAAGTGCACACTTGAGATCCGATAAAATTTAAATTGGTTGATCCAAATCTATCTACACAATCAAAAAGTGTAAGATCTTTTAACTTTATAAACATCTAAGTCATGTGTTGGTGATACATTTTTTATTGATTGAAATAATGGATAGATTCATTAATTTAATTAAATTGATTTGATTTGATTTGATTTACATCTTCATTCCTTCAGTTAATGATTCATTTGGTAGACATCTAGAAAGAAATAAAAATAAGTATTTATATTTGAATTGGACGTTGAATCTTATTAGTATTATACATACTTTGATGGAATATCATAAGCTTTAACGATTGATAGAGCATGTGGAGTAATTTGTTTACAAAGATCAACAACAAGGAATGGAATGGAATTGGCAACGGATGGTGAGATCAATCCATGACCCAAGAACCAACCGAGGTCCTCTTCAATTCTGGCCAATGTGTCGAGAAGGATGAGTTGAACCATTGGAGTGACCTTTGCATCTGTGGCGATACGAGCAATAGCATTCTCGAGGAAGATACGGTCCATGTAGGCAAAGGCTGCCTTGAGAGCCCATGGAATGGCATTGGAAAAAGCAATATATTCCTCTTTGGCTCCCTTTGCAGCGGGTTGAATCAATTCTCTTAATTCCTTTACCTTGATGTTTTCTCTAGTCTTGAATAATGCCAATAAATTGGAAAAGTCATATAATACTTGTTTGGGATTACCATCAATATGAATCTATACAAAAAGAAATTAGTCAGGTGACACAGAGAATAATAATATTAATTAATCACACTTTGAAAATTACATACTGGTTTATCAGCTTGTGTATCTTTAGAGATGGCTAAAATATACTTTGCAACTTGTTGCATTAAAACGGTATTGTCACCTTCGTAGGTACAGTTCACGTCACAGTCATTCTTGAATTCAGCAATCTTGTTTTCTGAACGGTAACCTTGACCACCACAAGACTCTCTACAAACTTGAAGTGTAGCAACACAATGCCATGAATAAATTGCCTTTAAACCTGCTGCATGAGCATGTGCTGACTAAATATATTCAAAAATAAATAAATAAATAAATAAATATTAATACCCATACACAAATTGATATCGATGTGATGCGATGTGTGTGTGTGTGTGTGTGATTCTATGTTTAACATACAGCAGGAACTCTCTTTGATTGTAAAAGTTTTTCCAATTGTTGAGTGTATAGATCCAATGTCATTGAACGAGCCAATGGAACCAATAGTCTTCTTTGGTGTGATGCCAATGTCATCAATGGATATTCTTCAGTTTGTGTTGGACCAAATTGCTTTCTGTAGAAACCATATCTAATAGCTGCAGTCAATGAAGTTCTAGCTGGTCCAGTACTTGATTTTACAATGTATAACTATACCAATTAAAAGTATTATTAGAAATATGTTCTACTACTACTATATTATATTCAATTATTATTATATTACTACTTACACGACCAGCAATGAATGGAGCCATAGTGGCAGCAAAGTTTTTGACTGGACTGTCAAATTGAGAAGTGTATGCACCATCTTCGGCAACATTTGAGAAACGATTTAAAAGGTTGTCCAGAGGGATACGGACCTTATCAAAACGTAGTTGACCATTGTCAATACCATTGAGACCCAACTTTGGACCACAATCGTGTATTGTGATACCTGGTAGTACCTTGTTCGAGGTAGCATCACGAATGGGTACGACAAATGCGTGTACACCGTAATCCTTGGAATCGATAACAAGTCGAGCAAAGACGGTTGTATAGTGGGCGTGTAGAGCAGTACCTCCAATCCATACCTTGTAGGCTGATGGAGATGGGCTGTGTACGACAAACTCTTTGGTGGCACGATCAAATGTGGCAGTAGTCTCGAGTCCACGTACATTGGAGCCATGGCCCATTTCAGTCATTGAGAATGACCCGACAATACTGAGTTTGTCACTTGGTTCAATATACTTTTCGTGACGTTTAGTACCCAACAATAGAATGGTGCCACCCCAAAGACTGTAGTGTACTCCCAACTTGGTGCAGATGTTATTGTTGTAAGTGGACAATATTTCAATGCCTGCAGACATGAGATCAACGTGGTCTCTTGGGTAGGTGAATCGGATGAGATTGGCACCAACATACTTGAGTTGTTCATAGACCAATTGCTTGTACTCGTCACTTGGCATACCTGCAACCGATGCTTTAAACACATCAGACGTTGCAATTGCACGACGAACCTTGTCCTTGAACTCGGTCAACTCTGGACGATCAATGAGCAACTTTAAAGCATTGACATCGACCTGCTGCTGCTGTGGAATGGCTGCATCAACCTGAACACCATCTCTAATATGAATAACCTCCTTTTGGTCACCACCGCTACTTAGATGTTTGGCAATCTACATATCGTAGTGTATGTAAATAAATATATAGAGTATCAGTCATCATGAACCATTCATTCATTCATTATTGTCTCTCCAACTCTTTTAGTCTGTCTTTCTTTATGCGATGCAACTTACACTTTCAATTCTCTTCTGATACATTGTTGTTGTTGTTGTTTAATTTCCCTCAATATTTGAATGATAAAGAGAGTCGAGACTTTACTGTATTGCTGATAGGAATAGAAAAGAGTGCTTGTTGGAAAAAGAATACACACATCTTAGTTATTTTTGCGTAATGGGGAAAATTACACAAAATCAGATTTTTATCTGTTTTTATTCAATTTTATTTAATTTTTGTGCAAATCTGCACAAAAGTTTTACCAAAATAAGAATATTAATCTCTCTAGTTCGCAAGTATATGATTGATCTACGCTAGCACAACCATCATCTCTTTTACGATTAATCGTCATCTATTTACTTTCATTGTGGTAAGTGATTATAACAAACAGATTGTGTGTGTTCTTCAGACACATATCGATAGATCATGGATGAACATCATCAATCAGATGTTCATTAAAGATAGATATTAAACCAAACATTCCTTTCTTCTTCATCATGACAGACTATTTACAAATAGTGCAAGTAAATAATCTATCTATCTGTAGATTGATTATTAAAACGTACACATGTGATTTGGGTTGGGATGCAACTATCGGTATTCGGCATTGGGTTGAAAAATATATTTTTGTGTAATCACAAGATATATAGATATATAGATAGATAGATAGATATCAAGATTCTTTATTCCTAAATCCAAATATAGATCCCAACGACAAGCCATCTCTGACTTGGATTGGTTTGGATTGTGTCAAAAAGATTGGTCGGTTGGCGATCAGAAAAAGTGTTACCTCAACTCACTATAAATACTGTTCATCATCATGGTGCTTTTAATTCAATTATAAACAACAAACAAAACAATGAAAATACGAACAACCAAAGTAGTACGATACAACCAAAGTAGTGATATATGTGCTGGCTTCATTTTGTGAACCACCCGATGCTGATCGAGTCCCAATAGCCTCATGTGTCAACTTGAATGGAAAAAACATTGACTGGTGGATCCACCTCTCTGATCCATGTGGGGAGAGCTCCGAAAACATGTATGGCAATGGTTTGTACTGGGACTCTTCCATGGGTATGTATAATACATTAATAATTAATATATTTATTGTCAATCATCTTAACCATTTTTCCCATTTCTAATCTCAACTTTTATTTAAAACAGAATCACCAATTCAAACCAAAGATGATCATTTCACCAAATTAATGAACCTTCATCTTGATAAGATTGATTTAGAGAATGAAAATAGATTCATCGAAGATGAAGACTGCCAAACAGATAAAAAACACTTTATTACTGCTGAATGGTTCCATGAACTTTCAAAGGGCTATCTCAACCCTTTTAATAAGGGTGATTTTAAAGAAGGACATATTAAAGTAGGTACAACAGAACATACATACATACATACATACATACATACATACATACATACATACATACATACATACATACATACATACATACATACATACATACATAGGCATAGATATCCGTAATTGCAACTGACCAAACCAAACTAATCTTTCTTTATATTTATTTATTTTTTTAAAAGATGCTTTTTGTTCAAGACCAAAAATACAATGAAGGGTACCATATCTCTCATTCAATGAGGATGCCAGGTCTCAAAGGCAGAACATTTTTACAAGCAAGAACTAATCCATCGCAGCATGCATTTTGCAATAATCTAAAGACAAAGGAGGATATTAATTTGATGATTAAAATTCTCAAGGAAACCAAGGCGAGACCTGCCGCATCCAACTTTGACCAATGCCCATCGTTTGAACCAGTCACCACCCAAGATGCCTCGACTCTAGCCTGCGAGAAAGAGTTTTCCGATGCCTGTAAAGACGAGTACTCCAAACTATCAAAGGACGAGTTGTTAAAGGACCCAAAAGGAGGATCTAAAATAATATCTACTATTTTGAACTCGAAACTGGTACATAAAGCTACCATTGATCACTGTATGGTAAAAAAAAATGACAAAGAAAGTGGACCAGTCCAATTGGGTGCATTCAAAGTGTTTTCTTTCAGTATGTAGAAATATAAAGTCGAAATATAAAATAGAAATACTTATTCTCATGTGACCATTTACTAATCTTTTACATATTTACCTGTTTTTTTTTTATAAAAGTTGGTAGACCTAAAAGCCCATGTAGAAACTATGACAATCTATCTTGGAATTTCCTTAAAACCCAACCAACACATCAACAAAATGCTGATAATTATGCAATCCTTGATCAATGTTATGCCAAAAACTATGGAATAGAGCAAATAGAACCACAAAAATCTTTTAAAATTGGTGGCCCAAAAGTAACATTTGATAAAGATGCAATGGATTTTTGTCCAAATGAAGAAACCAACCAGAAAGAAAAAGATAAGGAAGCTGAAGAAAAGAACAACCAAGAGGAAACAAAAACAAAATTGGCATCAACATCAAAGCCAACTCTAACCAAACAAGATGTTGAAATGGAACCATCAAAGCCAATTGTACAATCCCAACCACCACCACCATCACCCACTTGCAACAAAGTTCGTATTTGTAGCTTCAATGACTTTGGTTTGGATCCTTGGTTGGTTGTAGCTCGCCACTACAACAAACTCTTCTATGTCAGTACTGATGTAAGTGTCCTCTTCTTCTTTTTGGCTTTGACTCACGTTTTAAATTGACCATATTTTTTTTTTTTTTTTTTTTTTTTTTTTTAGCAAGTATCATTCCCAAGTCTTATTGGAAAAACACATGGAGTTGCAGTCATTGATCATTGGAATAAACCCTTTTCTGGTACAAAAAGAGCAATGGAGGTAGGTGAACCATCGAATAAATTGGCTAAAATGGCTGGTGATGGCGATGATGATGATGATGGGCAAGCGATCGTCAACAAAAACGAGAATGATATTCTTGTTTCTGCTGATGTTTTAAAAGATATCAAAAGGGATAAGAATATAGAGAAAAATATCAAAGAAGATGATATAGAAGCCGTTTCCCAAGACGACTCGGAACCCCTTTCAAACAAAATAAGAAAAACACATGAAAAGATCATGGTCTCTGCCGATGGCTCCATCCTTTGTCTTGGTGATTCAAATCGTAAGTATAAATACATGCCATTTCTCTACCTTTTCATCTTTACTAATCAACCATTAATAATTATAAAAACAAAAAAAAAAAAAAAAAAAATAGGTAATGAATTCTCTGTTCATCATGCTGGAAGCATTGTAAGTACTTATTGTCAATATGTTGTTATGTTATATATATATATATAAATTTGGACTTTTTCTTTTTTTAACATGTTTTCTTATTCTCTATTCATTCATCTAGTATTGCTTGGAAACAACAAAGACGACCAACCCATTGGGTAAAATGGTTCTTGACATGATTGGTGGATACAATTCATACAGAGAATTAAAGTTTGATAGTCAAGGAGCGATTGAAATTGAAAAATCTCGAATGTGTTTGGCCAACACGGCAGGCATATTCTATGCCCTTGACACTGTATCACCTGACATAAAGTTGGAAAATACAAATGGAAGAACAAAACTTATAGGCTTAAAAAGTGAGATCAAACCCATTTACTTTGAACAAGAAGAAGTAATCAAGATGTACGCATTGAACCAAGTCACCCCCCAAAGAAGAAATCCAAACAAACGAAAGAAGACATTTGAAGAAAATGACCCCAAAAAATTCAAATCTGATCCCTAAACATTAAATAAAAAATGATTAAAAAGTTATCAATCATTGATTGAATATAGGAAAGATGGCCCATCTTGTTTCGAAATCAAAGAAAATATCCGAAACGAGCAAACTCTCTGAAAACTTTGGAATCATCCAAGGACACTTCGGAAATAACATGAATTGTCTCGGGATTTCGAGTTCGTTCGATCCATATCTCCCCTCTCTTATAAATAAATCATTCTTTCAAAATCCATTTCATTTTTTCTCCTTTTTCTATCTACCATCAATGTAAGATAATTATTTAACAATCCTCAAAGAGTTATTAGTTAAACTAATAAAAATCTTTGAATAGACACCTTTTTAAATTTCTTTGGCATAATATGGGTTTCATTAAAACAATTGTCAAACCACCTACCATCAAGTTATCGTATGGAGGTAGACGAGGAAATGCATCAACTCTCAAACCACAAGTATTTTACATCTAAGTAGACCTACTATGATGTTCTGTAGTACACATGTCAACAACTATGAATAAAATAGTGTAATTTATTCATCATCCAAAAAAAAATCCAAAGATATTAATAAAACACAAATGAGAGAGTCGGCGCACCACATTTAAAGTATGAATTTCTCAAAGTAGGTTTTCGGAGCTATTGGCGAATGTCGCGAAATAAGATATTTATTTTTGGCATCACCCAATTCCTTTGAATGTTCCGAATGTTCTCTCCATCTTTTGAATGATTTGTCCACCAACCTACCCTACCTTTTTATCCAACACAATCTTATCTTTTATTTTATCCAAACTTTTATATTTTTTATCTGTATCATTAACTTATATCTATCTATATCTGTATCACCAAATCAATAATGGGCTTTTTCATAAACTTGGTTAAAAAACCATCATCAAACACTAAATCAACTCGTATGTAATGGAGTTGTGGTTATTAATTCAAGATAAATAATAATTTTTTTTTAAATTAATCAATATATTTAATTTATTTTTAAGAAATTGCCTATGGAGGTAGATCACAATTTGGAGGTACTAAAACAGCAACAGTAATGTATGCTTAGATTCATATGAAATACCATACCTTTAATCCATTCAAGTATTGAGTACTCAATAAAGTATAATAGAAGAAGGAGGAGATTCCATCTCCTATAGCAATTGGATGGATCACCATATCTCAGCAAAGAATCATTATTATTGTGTGTGGTGGGTGGTGATGATTATTATTCCCTGATTAAGATGAATGAAAATAAAATTATATCAACTTTTCGTGTACTGGTGGGTGTTGAGTGGCAACGGAGAAGAGTAGAATCCCATACAATGGGGGGTGCCATCCATCAGATCCCAATGAAGATATTTTCAAACCCGTAAAACACCGAAATGTTAATTTTTTATTGTTTTTGTTTTTTGTTTGTGGTGGGCAACCCCAGATATAAAGAAATCGATTGTTGATCATCCCCGAAACAAAACACAAAACTTATCTGTAATTTATTCATCTGCGTATGTTGTACATCTTTGCATCACGCCGACAACGACGAATAGTGCCAGTGTTTTTTAATTATACTCCTTTTTTTTTTTTTAGATTATCATTATTATTTTTAGCTACCTAAAAAAAAACATATTTAAAAATGGGTTGGATCACAAATTTATTCGGAGGTAACAAGAAACGTCTCCAAGCTGCTGGAAACAAGAGACAAAATGGTATGACTAATAACCAAAGTTTCTACGCTTAAATGACCTCCCATCCTTTGCAAACACAACACTCCTCTAAATTAAATGCCAGACCAACCTGTTTAAATTGAACCAAAAATAAAAGTTTAAACCACCTAATAGTACTATTTAATTTCACTACTTCACCACTGCATCCAGATAGATAGATAGATAGATACTTTACTTTCGGAAGAATGAATGAATGCAAGTTTATGATCTAAAAGAACAATTTGTTCGTTTTTTCTCACTCGTTTTTTTCTCAAATTTTTTTTAATTATTTTTTTGTTTCTTTTTATAAGCCTCCAAGTATTGATTTCATTAACGACAAAACACTTGTACTTACTAATAAACTAAACTAACAAGAACACCAACAACACAACCAACAACCCAACAAACAAACACATATATATATAAAATGGCCACCAGTATGTCTCATTCATTAGCATTGTCGTCGTTATTAGTATTCGTCGTCGTTATTAGTATTCGTCATCGTTGTTAAAGAAGCTTCGAGCAAGACCATTCATTTCATACGTTATTGGCTAATTCAATCATCAATAGATAGATAGGATAGATAGATAGAGAAGCAGTCAATGATTGAATGGATTGTGTTGTTGGAATCTAGATAGATGAAGAAGGGGGCGATCTAACATACGAGCAAAATACGATACGACTAGAGCGAAACTAAACAATAGATACAAAGAAGAACGAATATTAACCAATTCAACAATCGATTCATTACAATTCATTACTTTATTACTTCATCATTGAATTTTAAATAGGAACTCAATTCGAAAATAGTTGTGATATCGGAGTCTTCTCCAAGTTGACCAACTCATACTGTCTCGTTGGACAATGCAATTCTAAACAATTTATGCGTGCTTTTGAAAATCAATTAAGTGATCATATGCCAGTGATCGAATGTTCGATTGCAGGTTCACGTATCGTCGGTAGATTGACAGTTGGCAACACCAAGGGTTTGCTCCTCCCAAATACCTGTACCGATCAAGAACTTTTACAGATCCGTAACTCTCTCCCAGACAGTGTCGTTGTACAACGTGTTGAAGAGCGTTTCTCTGCACTCGGCAACTGTATTGCCGTCAATGATCACGTTGCTCTCATCCATCCAGATCTCGATCGTGAGACTGAAGAAATCATAGCCGATGTCCTCGGCGTCGAAGTTTTCCGTCAAACCATCCACGGCAACGTCCTCGTCGGAACATACTGCGCACTCTCTAACCAAGGTGCCCTCGTCCATCCAATGACCACTATCGATGACCAAGATGAAATCTCATCGCTCCTCCAAGTACCACTCGTCGCCGGTACCATCAACCGTGGTAACGAATGCATATCTGCCGGTTTGGTCGTCAACGATTGGACCGCCTTTGTCGGTGCCGATACCACCGCCACTGAAATCTCTGTCATTGAAAATATCTTCCGTCTCCAACCACACGCTCCATCTCATCTTATCAATCAAATTAGAGATTCTGTAATTGATAATTTATAAATATAGAAATAAAAATAATAAATATAAATATATAAGATATAAGATATAAGATATAGATATAGATATAAGATATAGATAGATACGAACACCTGGAAAAAGAAATTAAAAAAACAAAAAGAAAATAAATACATTAAAAAAAATATTTATAACAAATCCAAAGAGAGGAGTCCAAGTCCAAAGTACTTATTATTATTATTATTAATTTCCAGAATGGATTATATATGTATGTGTGTTTGTATAATATATATTATATATTATATATGTTTAGTTTGTTTTGTTTATTATTCTTGGTTCAGTAATTCTTCTAAATACAGCATACCATTTCTTACCATCGATTCTATTGACTTTACGAGCTTCCTCTGATGAATTGATAATGAGTGGAATGCATGGATCGGAGAGGAGGATTTGTTGGTCCTCGATTTGTTCGAAAAGTGGATGAGCAGCAAAATGCTTGTACATCCAGAGATAGAGTTCTTCTACGTCGCTGATAAAGTAGGCCAAACCACCTGGTGCCAAAACATAGGCATACTCTGACAAGAGTGTCGAACTGATGATACGACGCTTGTGGTTGGCCTTTTTAAAGTGTGGATCGGGGAAGAGGAAAAAGATCTTTTGTAATTGTCCCTTGTAAAAGTAGTTGGGTAGATATTTCATGGCATTGGTCTTGAGGACACTGATGTTTTGGTACTTGTCTGTCTCCTTTTCACGAAGTTTCACTATACGTTCGTCAACATATTGTACGACCTTGTCACGAATCTCCATACCCAAAATCATCTGATCGGGAAGTGCTGCCGACAAACTAACTGTCAAACCACCGTATCCACATCCAACATCTGCTACTTCAACTCTCTTTTCTGGATGATCTTTTAAGAATTGTGGGTAATGTGGAGACCAATCCATTTTATCTGGTGATACTGGACTACAAAATAAATAGATCAATCAATTGAATTAGTCATCATCATCATCATAACAAAAGTATATACTACATATATCTATCTATCTATCTATCTATCTATTTATCACATACTAATTGAAATCATTATCTGATAATGGGTTTGAATGAGCTTTGATTCTATGATATGGTTTGATTGCTTTCTTTCTCTTTTGTTGTTGTGGTTTATCTGTAGCTGTTGTAGTTGTAGAGGTAGTATCTTCTACATTTGTATTATTTGATGTTTCTGTTTCCATTTCTATTATTAGTCTGGTTGATATAGGGATAGATAGATATGACACTGATTCGATTTGATGATAGTTCTATTCTTTCGTTTTTCGCTCCTTCACTCAAAATTATTTTGCAGGTATTATTTAATTTTTTTTTTTAATAATTAAAATTTACATTATTAAAAACAAATAAATAATACATCATGGAATTATGAATTATTATTATTATTATTATTATTATTATTATTATTATTATTATTATTATTATTATTATTATTATTATTATTATTATTATTATTATTATTATATTCGAGGTTAGATTTTAAATTTATAGGTTATTTTTTTATTGAAAAAAAAATAAGATAAGTTGTTTGTTTGTTTGTTTTGTTTGGTTTGGTTGTTTATACAATTCGATTGATTCATCCAATTTGGTATAGGTTGATAGATTGGATGGTGAGAGAGAGAGGGAGAGAGAGAGAGATGGGAAAACTTTAGAAATTATTGCGCAAAAAGAAAGAAAGAAAGAAAGAAAGAAAGAAAGAGGAGGATTTAGGACTCTTGTGGAGGGAACTTCTTTGCTTGTTGTTTAACTTTTTCAGTGTAGGCTGCTTTGTTTTTCTTAAATGAATCGTAGGCACTAGAGTTGGCTGGACTGTTTGGATTTGGATTATCAAGTAAATCTTGTACACCAAGACAAATCTAATTAACAATAGATCGGTTGGTTGGTTGGTTGGTTTAGTTAGTTAGTCATATGAAGTTGATTGGTTGGTCAATTAGTTTCATCATACTTGTTTAATAGAGATGGTGGGTTTCCATCCATCACCAATGATTGACAGACAGATTTGTCCATTATCAAATACGTTTACGTGGAAGAATCCAGGTGGAAGCAAACAGAGTGGTGCCTTGACTGGATACTCTTTTGGGAATTTAAGCGTCAATGGGTATAATCCACCTTCCCATGGTGTCTAAAAGAAATTAATAATAATCATTGCAAATTTGTCAATATTGATGTTAAAATAACACTACTACTACATCGATCATCGCATCATTCATCTCGAATTGCAACACGTACACCATCTTTACCTGGGATACCGCAATCCCAAATCATCATATTAGCAACACCATCTGCACCTGCTTGAGGTCTAGCAAAGAATCCCTATATATTACATATAGAAAGAAGAGAGAGAGAGAGAGAGAGAGAGAGAGAGCGTAAGTCTCGTATATACAATATTACACAATCCTCTTCAGACGAGGAAGAACGCATCATTATCATCATCATCATGACAGCAATATACCTACGATTGGATGATCTTTTCTCCAACTCTTTCTTTCTTCAGCTAATCTTGATAATGCTAAATCTGACATTTGTATTTGTTATAAATATATAAATAATAAAGAAAGATAAAACAAAGTATAAAACTACAGAAACAGTGATGTTTGATAAAAAAAGCGAGGGAAGCGGAGTGAGCATTTTGAAGTTTGAAAACTAGTCTCTTGTCTCTTTCCTCAAGCCTGTCTCGATATATACAAGATAATATAAGATAAGAATAATAATTCTTCATGTTGATCAGTGGTAGCAGCATTAGTAACAGCAGGCATGTTTGTAATGTCTTGAAATATTATCTATCAGCTGAACTTCTTGTACCAACATCAACAACACCACCAACAACTCAAAAATCGGCATCATATTATGATACAACAACATCATCAAAGTATTATCAACATCATCAACAATACACATGTACATACAACAAATATAATATAAACTATAATAATAATAACAACTATACACTTTTACAACCAACTCATTTAAACCATCATGGTGGTGTGTTAAAGTATTATTGTACAGTTGTTAAACAACAACAACAACAAGATCCAATCATATCAAAGAAAGTATCACCCATTAGACCAATCAGTCATACTATTTACAATGATCCAGTTGAATCAATCTATGATGCAATGACAAAAGAAGAGTTTGAGAAACACCTCTCTGCCAAGTTTATGATGAGTGGATTCCAACCTAAACTGTATGTATACTATACTATACTATAATCTATATAATAATAACAACTTTTTTCTTATTTTTTTTTAGACTTCTAAGTACAATACAAAGTGATACAATGTATCAATCACCAACGATTCTATATATGGTTTGGCAATGGTGTGATAAATTACACTCCTATAAAACAATAGATATCTTTAACTATATATTGACGTTTCTACGTAAGAACACCATTGGAAAGAGTGGACTATTTCAAGAGATGGCAAATGTACTCTTGAGGGAAAAGTATGCACCCATTGTAAAGATTGACACAATCAATATTATACTGGGATACTACAACGACATTGAAGATCACGCGAGTGTACATCGAATTGTATTCATGTTGACAAACTATCGAAAAAGACTGGGATTTGATAACGACACTTATATTGAATTTATCAGACTATGGGAAAACGATCGTACAAAGCTTGAACAATTACGACTCAAGATTGAAAATAGACCGGTTCAACGAAGCGATGTTTTAAACGCTCATCTTATTCGTGCCATTATTTTAAATGGAGACTACAAGGCTGGTATGCGTATCTTTGGTCGATTGGAAGACCCACCCAACGCAGTGGTGTTTGATGCCATACTAGTATCGTTGGCATCGATCAATCAATTTGACCTTTTTGAACGGTACTGGAAGAAAATGGAGGAGATGGGTGTCGAACCGCTGCCTCAAACCATTGCCGTCTCAATCATGAAACATGGTCAATTCCTCGGGTCGGACCAATTCAACCAATTTTACAATCTCATTCAAGAGCGGTACACTCACCTGGTAGTACACCCCGAGGTGTTGGCATCATTCATTCACACCCTTGCCTATGAAAGTCATTCGTACGACTATATCGAAATGTTTCTCAATCGACTACAGGAAATGGATCTTTGTACACCAGAACTTTGTTGCAATACCCTCTCTATCGTCGTTACCTATGGTTATGCATCGGTTGTTGAAAAGTGTTGTAACGATATTTACAATAGAATATTTAAATTTGCATTTGATGAAAACTTGAAAAAATATATAAATCAACATCAACAATTACAATTTGATCAACCAACAATCTATAATAATAATAATAATAATCAACAACAACAAAATAACAGTCAAAATAATCAAGATCCAAATATATATAGTAATAGATTAAATAATAATCAAAATCAAAATAATATAGCAATGGAAATAGAACCAAAAGTACCAATAATGGTATTTGAAAGATTGATTTGGGCATCGATTAGTTTAAATAATTTGGATATGGTTAGAAAATGGTGGACTGCAATGATGCATCAAATTTGGCCGTTGGCTATTAAACCTCCCAAGGTTATCTATTCAAATTTGATGCGATACTATTTGACACGTGGAACAAAGAGAGAATTGGACACACTTATTCGAACGTTGCTCATCTTTGATATGGGTGTTTCATTGGACCAAGCAATGGGACAAGACCAAATTCCAAACACCAAGAAACTGATCGCCACTGGAAACGAACCATACGAACAGATTGCAGACACTATCGTCTATTTTGAGATCTATGCCGAGGAACAGCACCGTTGGGGTACGCAACTGTGCACTAGCTATGTCACGCAACTCGAACAACTAAAGACCAAACACGCCATACGACAAGCTTACAATCGAATCATCCACAACTATCTCTTGATAGGTCGTTTGGAAGATGCTGAGCGATGGTTCAGCAAACTCGAACAAAACCACACACCAACAGCCTCTCCCTATCTCTGGTTCATCGTCTATCACACTTTTAGACGCCAGGGCAGACTGGCAGCAGAGTGGGAGAAAAAATTGAAAAGGAGTGGTGCTTACAACGAGGGCACCTCCGAAGTGCAAAGAAACAAAGTCTATGACTATTATAGAAAACACTGTAACTTTTCACTCTCAAAACCAATGACGACAGCTTTACATTCTACTCCTTATTTCATATAATAACAAACAACAACAACAACAACAACAACAATAATAATAATAAACTATCACCTCACCAACCAACATGCATGCATACTTGCTCAAAGTTATACAACGACGAATCAATATTAATATTTTTGGATTATCGATATCTCTTTTAACGAAAAAGGAATAACGAAAAAGTTCATTTATATGATTATAAACACGACTTTTTATTAACCAACTCTAACTGTTGTGTTTGAATCCATCGGCATTGTCCAAGAGATCAATGGAAAACCCAAAAGTGTTGATGTCATCCCACCTCCTTCAGAGAATGGTGCCGAAAATAAAAAGACTGAAGAAATGAAATGACAGGTGGCCAAAGACAGCAAGCAGGAGACCCAGTACCCCCAGATTTTATGAAAAAAGAACTTTCCTTGTAATATCTTTGATTGACCATCAAATCGAATGGTTGGGAAACGAGAAGTGAGAGGGAGAGATTCATGTCTTGAGCGACGAGCCTTGTACAAGGTAAACCCAGAAAAATCGATGGTCACCCCTGATCGCAAGGCCAAGCAAGAGACAACAACAATACAAAGAGGGGTTGTGGCCATCGTCTCTGCAAAAACGAGGAGACACACACGGATGAATTTCAGACTCCCACAAGTCACCAATCTACAACTGAGGGCTGTTGACCATTTTCGTCTTTTTTCAGCCCCCAACACGTGCCGTTCATGGCTAGAATTTCCCGTTTCCAAAATCGAGACTTTCGAAAAATTTTCGTCAAACCAAACACTTGTCTCTTCCTTGAACGACCTGCAAAGCTTGTCAAGGGACGATCCCCTATCCATCCATTCGTATGACCACTAATAGTAACCGACGGCGACCGCCCTGACCCATGGCCCTATATTCACATTAATGTTCATCGCCAAGGTAACCTTACCTTTTGCCCAACCCAGAGACCCCATCCGTCTGCGATTGTGTGCGAGGCAGAAATAGGTAAGACACTGCTGTGTTTAAACATATACTTGTAATCTTCATCACCACACCCATCGTATCATACATGTGTGTTGTGCAAAGGAAATATTATTAGTTTATTCGAATAAACTAAAACTAATAGTAGTTTGACAGCATTTTTTACAGTACAGCAAACAAACAGACAAGACAGACAGAGTCGAACCAACCAACCAGAGAGGTAAAACAAACCACAACCCTTTAAATTTGTCTCGTACCTCTATCATCCCATCCTTTTTCCCGAGTCATATTATTTTAACTCCTCCTTACTATCCACACCGATATTTCATTGTTTGGTCGTTGAAAGGGTTAGTCTTCTTTTGTTTGACCACAAACAAACAAAAAAACCATTGACTATGGATCGCACGTTTATACAAAAATGTGTACTCTCAGTTGGCGGCAGTTGGGCGGAAACCCTGTCATGACGAAAAACCCAAACGACTCGCATCACTGAAATCTCACGATCAAACTATGAGACCATGATCGACAAGGCTTGCCCATCGATTTTTACGACGATGAGTACACCCATCAAAGCCATACAACAATCACGTGCATCACGAAAATAATTCAGGAAAAAAAAAATTGTCTTTTGACTTGGGTGGGGACAGACCATCCAACAAACTTATCATAATATCCCACACACCGCCAAGACCAACCCCCTCTACCATCTATCCACGTACACAGCCACCCCACCCCCTTTCTTTCATTCCATCCACTAGCCAGATTGATGGATACATCAGTCAGACAACCAAGCAGAAATCATCCGACAACGACGGTACATACATTCCGTGATCATCCTCAATCTTTCACACATTGACAACAGACAAGAAAAGACACAATGTTCTTGTTCTTTTTTGTTTTGAATCGCATCATTTCATTCTTTTTCATTCACCATTTATATTTATAGACATAGAGACACATTAGACATATATCCCCATTTATTAAAAATAAAAAGAAAAGAGAGTAGATAGATAGAGTAAAAAAGTTTTAGAGAGTAAGGAAAAAAAAGAAAAGAAAAGACAAGTGATAGTAAACACCACATCCCACACGCATTCATTCATTACTTTTTACTTGCAACAATTGTTTGGACTAAAATAGCATCATGATACTACTATTCCGTGAGTGAATCTTTTTGGACTTTTTTTTTTCCGATTCCATCCCCAATCAACCACACATATCTTTTTTTGGTCAATCAACCAATCACCACACACAACATCTTGGAAACACACAAATCTCTGTCCTATCCGGTCACCATTCTAATTTTTCTCACTCTTTTTATTTATTATTATTATTATCAGAGGTCTTCACAGAAAACTACTCTACTTACTACTACTACTACTACTTCTGGTTATAGTCAACAAGATTAACCGGTTGTTGTCGTCTTCTTAGCCCGGTCAATTCATTCGAAACACCCAAAACGTAAGTTTAAGTTATTTACTCTCTCTGATTCTTTTTTAATGTCAAGGGATCATATTCGTTCATCGATTTTGCCTTTTCACGAAACAAACGATCGATACAAATATCTCAATTGTCCACAGCTCACACATCCACACCACCACCAACAGTAGTTATTTTTTATTTTTTTTGTTTTCTGTGTCTGTCGATCAAGCTGGTCATCGACAAGGCTGATCAACCTCCCCCGCAACAACTTTTCAGCCAATGAAAAAAAGGATGGCTGTCCCGTGCGAGCGGCCAAATATCCAAAAATTGTCCCACCCTTCCTTCGTTATGCCCCCCACCCCCAACCCAACCTCATCCAAGGCTAAGTTCTTTGCTGCAACAAGTCACGAACACAGCCTTTCCCCAAACCTCGATACTCGGATTTTTCTTTTTTGCCATTTATATCAAATAGTCGATTTAAAAGAGGAAGTTATTCTCTCTGTGTGTGTGGTTCATCTATGTATGTTGGTAGGCAAGGGGGTTGCCCTCACCCATCTCATTACCAACACTTCTTCTTTCTCAAACCCCTCAACATTCTTTCTATCCTCTCTCTCTTTCTTTCTCTCTCTCTATTGTTGTTTCATCTTCATCAATCAATCAATCTATCTATTAGATAATTAGTAGTACAAGCCCCAAGAAGTTATTTTTAATCTTCATCAGTAGTACAACCGTTTTTTTAGATTTATAAATAGATAAATATATATTTATCTTTTTTTTTCTGTTTCATACTTTATTTATTCCACGTATGTTAGTAGGAGCTCCTACCAACAACAACAACTACAACAACAGCAGCAACAATGTAAGCATATATTTTACCTTCCCCGTTTTTTTTTTTTTTTTTTTGTTTTACATTACGGTTGTCCCATCGTCGTCTTGTCGATCGGCACTCGGATCGAACAACCTCTTGTTCGATTTTAAATTTGTTTCAATCAGATCCTACCTATATACACATCATATTTTGGATGTCCATCCATCCATCCATCATCGACACAGATTGGTGAAGAAGAAGAAGAAGAAGAAGAAAGAAGAAGCAGAAGTTCACAGAATTCCCTATCGACCAATACCAAACCTTTTTATTTTGTTTGAAATGGGAACAGAACGGTTCATTGTCAAAACAAATTACAAATGGAGAATGTGGATTGATTATCCAAACCCCTTTTCTTGTCCAAAAGTCATAACATATATTATCAGAAAACCCTAAACCTCCCCATCCCAACCTGTGCATTGCTTTAAATCACATGTTGCCCATTTTTATATAAATTGTCCAAGCAAGCGGTTCCGCAACTACTAGTTTGATCCATCACAAAATCGCACAACACACACACATATACACACAATATATACACACACAGCAAAACCGTCGCACAACCTGGAAAGTGATCACTACCGTAGATCCTTTTTTTTTTTTTTTTTTTCCAAACAACCAAATTTCAATCGGTCGGCATACCTACCCAGGTAGTAGTTGAAAGAATCATTTCCAATCTTTGAAATCATTCTTTTGTCGTTGTTTGGGTCACTGATCGACGCATCCAATTCAATTTGATTTTCGGAGCGAAATGGATGGATGGATAGATGGATGGATGGATGGTAGTGGTTAGTTGGTGATATGTCCTTCAGTGATTGAACGGTTGTTGCATACACATATTAAATGATATTTCATCATCATCACCAGTTGACACACACACTATTTCCCATACCAAACAACATGTTTTGTTTGCACCACACACTATCTATCTGTCTCTTAATCTCCCTCCTCCTCCTTTTTTTTAATATATCATATTATATTGTCATTGGCTGGAAGGGTGGGTAGGGAGAAGAAATCCCATACACGTTCACCAACCATCAGTAAAGTAAAAAAGAAAAAGAGTAGTAGTGGTGGTAGTGGTAGTAAACCCACCCACTCTCTACTTTAAAGTTTATCTGCTTGATCACTCACTATCATATTACCACTACTACTCTTTAAATGTGTGTGTGTGTGTGTGTGTGTGTATATTGTACACACAGATGCAAAAACCACCACTACCCCGTTAAATCCATACCCAACTTGTTTGGTCAAGATTAATCCATTCATCCATCATCATCATCATATGCTAATGTAAAGCATCAATCAAAAGTGGAGAAGGGGGACCCCTCACTTGTTTCCAAACCATCCATCCATCCATCCATCCATCAATCCATCCATCAATCCATCCATCCATCCATCAATCCATCCTAATCATCCATCTCATCTGTGACAAGCATGATGGAAGAGGAAGAGGAGCAGATATATGTAATTATTGATGGGTGGGTGAGAGAGAGATTTGGTGGGTGTTAACATCGGTGGGAAGAACAACAACAAACTTTTAAGCGCCCTCCGATATCGCATCACTACAGCCCCTCCAACCACCATCATCATCAAAGTGAAAGTTAAAAGTTCACTTTTAAAAGAAAAAACATCTCTCATCTACACCACCCACCATTACCACGATGATCATTTTTTTTTGTTGTTCCCACCACAACCAGCTGGCTGTCTGGTTGGCTTGCTTGACAATCTAACGTATCTATCGATCGTTCACTATATCACACCTCTCTACTACTCTTCTTCTTCTTTTTACCATGACAATATATTGGGTGGTTTGGGGTTTGAAGGAGGAGGAGGAGGAAGAGGAGGAGAAGATGATCAGCAAGCATCAGTAAAAAAATAATGGAATGGTCGATTTAAATGATACAGCTGCTGCTGCTGCTGATGATGATGGTAACGACAAGAACAATAACACCAAGATCATATGGTACATCAATAATCCTTCCATCCATCATTTTTGCATTTTCTGTAACAAGGATCAGCAAACAACAACTTCACCATTATCATCAGTCAGTCGGTGACTGACCAATCAAATGAATGATGATCCATCCATTTCCCCTCCATTACTCTGCAACCAACATACACATTTAAAATCACAATGGTGTGTTGTTTGACAAACACAACCAACATTATTTTTGTTGTTGTTATTTTTAAGAATCATATAAATCTTGACAACAACTATCAGAATAACAAACAACAACAACAAATAATTATTGTTATTTCATAAACACCATCAATCATCTAAAATTATTAATTGTTCGTATGTAATGTATGATCCAGCTTGATTACAACCCCCAAACAGATTCTAAAAATACTATTAGTAACCTATAAATAGGCTATGATCAATGACTACTTTTTAATTATATTTATAAGAGAGTTATTAATATCCCAAACACTACACTACATTACACTATACTACCACCACCACTACTACTATGTTATTATTATCATCATCATCATCACCACATTCAATAAATTACGACTACTACCAACAATGTTAATACTGTTAATATTGTGATCCACCCACTTACCCATGATATCATCCATGATCTACGACACTCTTTAAAAAAGATTTCCTTAAAAGTTAATATTAACATCCAGATTTTTTTTTTTAAATAGATTAATTAAAATAAGAATATTTATTATACATTCATCCATTCAATCCATACCAATTTGACATAACAAAATAATATACATCATCATCAACATTATCATCCATCATTTTGCCAAAGAGATAAAAATTAAATAATATTTTCTTAAAAAAAATTAAAAGAAAAAGAAATGGTGGTGGTTGATAGAATGAAGATTGGTTTCATGGTTGAGGATGATGAATCACCATTATCCTCAAACGACAATCAACAACAACAACAACAACAACAAAACGAAATAATAATACCATCAATGATTAAAAATCATTCATCTCCGTCGTCTTCACCAAAACCCACATCGTCGACAACATCATCATCGTCCGCTGGTTCTGGTTCTGCCGCTGCTGGTGGTGGTGGTGTACCATCCTTGAAATACGAAGAAGATGATGAAGATGGAGTCATGATATTATCCACTTTTGCAACATCACCAACTCCCTCACCAGCTGTCAAGCCAATGAAAATCCCAAGTATTAATAGTCTTGCTTGGATGGGTAACCCTCAATCTGGAAATACCGGTTCTCACCAACCATCGTCATCGTCTTCGTCGTACCAATCACATAATAATAATAATCCAAACCTTTCATATCAAACCCCAATCATTATAAAGTCTGATCCATACCAACTTTCACCACGCAAGGTGCAGTATACTGGCAATGGTGCGCACTCGTCTTCATCGCCACAACAAATGCATGCAAGTGGAGGGATGGCAATACCAAACTTTTCAAGCTTCTTGAATGCCCGCCAACAAATGGACATGTCGCACGGATCCTCGCCAAAGCTCGACTCTGTCAGAACCACGCCAACTGGGTCGGTTGGATCATCGCCTTTTATCACCCCACGTGGAGGTGAAGGTCATTCAAATATCAGTCCTCCAAGCAGCGGGATGCTCCAGCCATTGGCAGGTATTGCCGAGGAGCAGTCGTCGTATAGCATTGGCGGCAGTGGCTCGCCACCTCGCTCCCCTTGCTCTGACGACGATCTTGTTATTTGCGGTGAGAATCCAGACGGGTCGCCTGCCTTTGGACCACGTTCCATGGCCTGTGACAAGCACTCCAAGTGGAAGAAGAGATGTCCTGACACTTGCGTCGGACGCGTCTCGCCCGTCGAGTTCCCCACCACCACGCGTAAGCTTTGGTCGCAGGACGAGTGTTGTCGTCTCCTCGAGATGGTCTTTCAAAAGGACCCCCAGTCTGTCACGTCAAAAGAGAGCGAGCAGCGTTGGCGATACATTGCCAACTCGCTGGGCCGTACCGTCACCTCGACGCGCAAAAAATACATGAGACTGATGAACAAGTGGTCGCCTCGTCCCTCCATGACCACGTCCGTCCACCCCATCTCCAAGCTGATCGAGTCCAACGAGCGTAAGCGCAAGCAAGGTTTTGAACAAAATGCCAATAACAGCAACAGCAACAACATCAACAACAACACATTCAAAGACCAAAAAATTGTACATGACCCCAACCAACCCCCATCGCACCCACACCCCCAGCCACCCCAACTCCAATACAACTCGAGTTTGGTGATGCAACAACAACAAGGCCAACAACAATATTACCAGCCACCAAACAATATCAACAACAACAACAACAATAATAATAATTCACCATTGGCATCGTTTACCAGTTATCATGGCAGTCCAAGAGAGAGCAGCCACAGCCAACCATATTTCAACAGTACTAATAGTTTTACACCCATCCAGTCGCCAAATAGCAGCAGCAGTAGCAGCAGCAGCAATGGCATGGGTGGCGGCAACAACAACAACAACAGCTACGGCGGTGGCCACCATAACCATCATCACCAGTCGCCTCAGATCATTTCACCCAAAGGACTCAACGTTCCACCCTCGCTCCAACAGTCGCCCAACAGCAACAGCCACTTTTATCTGACACCCAAGCCAACCTCGCCATCTTCATCATCCATCCCACCAAGCTTGCAATCATTGCAGGGGGGCAATTCCCCTCATCACCAACAATACCAACACAACCAACACAACCAACACAACCATTCCTCTCACCCCACCGACAATGGAGAGCGCACTCCATCCAACTTTGTAGATTCTCAACACCACCATAACCACCATAACCAACACAACCAACACAACCAATACCTCCATCAATCACCAAATTTTATTTCAAGGCAACAACCATCCACTCCACCAAAACAACATCCTATTCCAATTCAACCATTAACTCCAAATATTAAAATCCAACAACAACAACAACAACAACATCAACAACATCAACAATTACCAAATCCATTTCAACAACAACAACCACAACAACCAACATCACCATCACAATTAGGGGGACTATCATTTCAAGCATCCCAATCAAAGTTTAAGAAACCTATTGGTCGACCAGCCGAGAGCTGTATCCAACACCGTACTGAACACCAAAAGTGTCCAAAGGATTGTCCATACAGACCCGAGTCTAGCCCCCCTACAGCCACCATCTCTGCTGGCTCTTCTTACCAACACCCACCCCAGCAACCAGCTTTTAAAGTTGCTGGTCTAACGAACATTTAAATATTACCAATAATTTTTTTCCCAAATAGAAATCGGCTACCCAACCCAATACATTTTTCAAACACATCTTGCACAATTCAAAATACTAAAGGAGTAACAACAAACAAACAAACAAACAAACAAACAAACCAACACACAAACACCACCAATTAATTTATTTATTATTCGATTCCACTACCTACTCTACCAAACCAAATCTAAAATTAAAATTAAAATCAAATCATTTGTAATTATTTAAATTATTTAAAATCTATTTGTCTTTCTTTTGATGTTTTAAAAGACTATTATTAAAATGGAATGAATGATTTCACACAGCTAATGTTTGGTGATTCAAAAAAAAAAAACATTTTTGTTGAAATTTCATTTCCTTGCGAGGATAAATCTTGTTGTGAAGAGCCAGTGATTGTATTATCGACGAGAGAAGAGTAGATAGATAATCTATCAAGTGACGATAAAGAATGTTAAGAACAACTTTTAATAGTCTATACAGAATCAACAATGGTGTTAGATACATGTCAACATCAACAACCAACGACAAGGTTGTAGGTTTCATCGGTCTCGGTAACATGGGAGGTCATCAAGCTATGAATCTCCTCAAGAAGGGACATAAGCTCGTTGTCTATGACATTTCAAAGGACAATGTACAAAAGTTGACTGAAAAGGGTGCAACCTCTGCCCCCACACCAGCCGACGTTGCCAAGCAAGCCGATATTATCGTCACTATGCTCCCAGCATCTGCTCACGTTCGTTCAGTATATCTCGGCGAAAAGGGTATCTTGTCGACTGTCAAGAAGGGTGCTCTCTTGTTGGACTCTTCTACAATTGATCCACAAACTGCACGTGATGTTGCCAACGATGCTCTCAAGGCTGGTGCCATCATGCTCGATTGTCCAGTATCTGGTGGTACTGGTGGTGCCGAGGCCGGTACTCTTACCTTTATGGTTGGTGGTGCAGAGACTGACTTTGAACGTGCCAAGCCATACCTCCAAGCTATGGGCAAGAACATTGTTCACTGTGGTGACGTCGGAACTGGTCAAGTTGCCAAGGTCTGCAACAATCTCGTATTGGGTATCTCTATGATTGCCGTATCCGAAGCTATGAACCTCGGTGTCAAGCTCGGTATGGATCCAAAGAAGTTGTCTGGCATCTTTAACACCTCGTCTGCCCGTTGTTGGTCAAGCGAACTTTACAACCCATGTCCAGGTGTTCTCGAGAGTGCACCGGCTTCACGTGGATATACTGGTGGTTTTGGATCTGCTTTGATGAACAAGGATTTGGGTTTGGCCGTCGACAGTGCAAAGTCTATCGGTGAACCACTTCCACTTGGTAACAATGCTCATCAAATCTATACAATGATGGTTACAAAGGGTTTAGGTGGAAAGGATTTCTCTGCTGTCTATGAATTCCTTCAAAAGAATAAATAAATAAGAAAAAGAACTAATAATAATAACAAGCAATAACAAGACAAATTAAAATCATGATTGATTGGAATAATATACAAAAGAAGTTTTATTTTTTATCCATGTACGAATATGGAAAGGTAAGAATACAGGAATTAAGATAAATTGAAAACTAGACTTTGGTAATAATTATTAATTTAATTAATTAAAACATTAACTTATTATGGTCGGATCCATAAAAGGTTGTGGTTAATTAATTAAATTAATTAATTACTTGGGGTCTAGTTTAAGACAGCATTGTTTAGGTGATGGTCATCATCGTCATCACTTTGTAAAGGATTATTATTATTGTTGTTGGTTTGGGATGGAACCCCAAGATTAAGGTCTAAAGGATTATAACCATTTTCTTCTTCAAATGCATGAGTCTTTTCGAGTAATACTTTCTTTTTCTTGATGAGCATTAGGACTGGGTCCCCCAACATGTTTGATCGAATAGTGTCTATCCATTTATCCAAGTCGTTGTATTTTGCTTTTGTACATTTCAAGATTAAAACCGTTGAATGACCTTGGACTGGTCCATTCTTTGTAATTTTAACCGATTTGATATGATTCAATTCTGGATCTTCAATCATAAATGAATCATTGGAAAGTCTCTTTACTGATAAAGATTCCAATGGAATAATTCCACTTGGTGAATCCTCCTAAAAATAATAATAATAAAAAAAAAGATGAAAAGTTGGATGTAAATACAATAGGTAAATAAGATATTAAATTTAATTTTTTTGCTTACATCAACATCTTGACTATTTTTAAAATAGTATAAACAATTGTTTTTGACAACAAACCAACGTTTATGTTGTCTCTTGCTCTTTGATGATAATTTAAATAACCATCCTTTATAAATCGCATTGTTTGATAGAGTTTCCTTATCCATTTTAATTTCATTGTTGACAATTCTATCATAGATGGAACTGAGATAACCAGATTCAAACTTTTTGTCTTTTCTGAAATCGCAGTTGCGAATAAATGCCTTTTTGTCCATCTTGTTGACAATGTTTGGGTTGTGCGCGTCAGTATTCAACAAGATGATTGAAAATGCTAGAATGTAGGCTGTGTTTGGATCACCAAAAGAGTTTGGATTGTCCCTAGTATACTTGCTTGCAAAACATTCCATGATTTTATCGATTTGTTGGGCCTCTCCTGGTAATCTAAACTTGGTAAGCAGTTCCCTCAGAGCCTCATCAAGATCCTTTCCTACAAAATTGAAATGTTCCATATAATTATATAATATTTCTTTCTTTTCTGGGGAGCTATTCGTAGGTAGGATCAAGTAAAAGAGAGAGAAAGAATTAGTATTGTCAAAAATAGATTATATAAAATCAAGAACAAGAGATAGTTATATGTATAAATAAACCAGCTTAACCAGCAAGATAGGATAGGGAAGATAATTAATAAAAGAAAGAGGAGAAATATATATAAATCCTTTAACCACAATCTACCACTTGATTAAAATAAATTAATTGTGTGTAACCATGATGGGACCAAGTTCAATAGAGAGAGAGAAAAGAAAAGAGGGATACAATAGATAAAAAGGGGTTTCCAGACAAAGAGAGGGTACATACTTTCCACCCAAAAGCTCTCCAATTTTTTTCTTATCAAGACCATCTTCTTGATGTAAGAAATTAATTAGATTACCACTCGGTACAATATTTTGAGCTTTTAAATAATTTAATGCCTATGCCATAATCAAAAAAATAAATAAATAAATAATAATAAATAAATTATAAGAATAGGTAATAATTATATAATTATAAATAATTAAATTATAGCGAAAACAAAAAGGTAATAGAGTTAATATTAATCATTTCAATGATAATATAATAATTAGATAAAAAATTAAATAAATAATAAAGATAGTATAATAGTAATAATATAGGAATAGTAATAATTATAATTTTAGATAATAATATTTTAGATAATAATATAATAAGTAAATTTACTTTATCTGGATCTTTGTTGAATTTTCTTATTGCAATAATGATTGGGTTTTCTGGTAATGCTACACCATATTGTGGTCTTTATACAAAAAAAATATATACAAATTATATGATGATATTATATAATAATAATCGAAGGAGAAGGTCGTTAATAAGAGTTGTACTTTGGGGTTGGTTGGTTTCTATTAATATATATAAGAATTAAATAGTAATAATATATATGGACAAATATAGAAAAAAAAGAAAAAGAAAAAAAAAAAAGAGCCATTTGACTCTCTTTTTTTTTTTCTTCTTTTTTTTCTTTATGGAGTGTACCTAGCAGTTTGAGTGAGCTTTTCAAGGTCATGAGTATCGTTTACAATGGATTGAATATCCTTTTCTTCAGTTTCTGTGGTATCGGACAATTTGTTTGATCTGGCATTCAACATGTCGGTTATCAATGGATTGATCCAAACGAGGCAAGCAATAGCCCATACAAGAGCAACGACACCAATGCAAGCAATGATGGCGATACTAGATTGCCAGTTTTTAACCAAATCGATATATTGGTACTTGGCCATCAATCCAATAGTAACAGTTCCTATAATAATTAATAATAGTGATAGTACATTCCACCAGTAAAACTATGAGTGATAGAGAGATTAATAAATGTGGACAGAGAAGGGTTGCGGGAAAAAAAAAGAATGGAATAGATTTTTGAAAATCTATTCTATTAGCTGTCGAGTATTTGGGACCTACTATTCTGAGTGCCAAAACCTTGGCTCTTAATAAACCATAAATAGCGACGACAGAGGATAATGCAAGGAGAATTCCATATCCTCCATACATTAACAATGCAATGTGTCTGATTAAAACACCGACGACCAATGGGAAGACGAGTGCGAGTCCAATAGTCATTTGGATAATTGAAATAACGAGGGGTGCATGTATATTGAATTTGGGTCTCATGCTCTTTCTACGAGGTTTGCGTATCTTTTTTACTTTGGTCTTTGGGGATGGCGTGGAAATGGTGCTTGTCGAGGTGGGTGAGAGTTCAATGGGCGATACGGATGGACGTGGGGCTGGATTCTTACTAATATAGAATATGGTTGAGCCTTCGTCGAAATTATTATTGTTTGATGTGCCATGGCTGACAATGACTGGTTGGGTTCGTGGTGGTTGTTGTTTTTGTTGTTGGATTGGTTCGTTTGATGTTGATGATGTCAAGCTTCCGCAAGAGGTGGCACGGGTAGGAGATGAAGAGTCTAAAAGTATATTGTCGCTACTTAAACTTCTTACACTGCTACTGGCAGTTCCATTTGCATTGGAGAGAGATATATCTGGCGAGTCTGTATATGATGAGTTCAATTGGGGAGAAATAGTTCCTAGTGGGTCAGAAATAATTTGTTGATTATTATGTTCTTGTTCTTGTTGTTTTTTTTCCAATGATTTTTGGACATTTATATCGACTATTACATCTGTCGATGGAATAGTTGTGGTTGTTGAAGTTGAGGTTTGAGTTGGGTTTGTAGAATCCATTTTTAAATATTATTATTATTATTATTGTATAGAGTTGTAATTCGTACAAACACAATTAAATAATTAAATTAAATAAACCGGGTTTAAAAAAAGTAGTAGTAGAATTTATAAAAAATAGGAGTTAAACAGTAAAATATTTTTAACCTAAAAGTAAATTAAATATATAAAAATAAATTATATAAATATGGTATTATATCAATAAATAGGAATGAGGTAGGGTAATATATATATAAATATATAAATATATAATCAAGTAAGTAAATTTAAATTATAGGAAAAATTAATTAATTTAGTAAATGATTAATTTATGATTGGTTGCTTATAAATTTAATTATTATAAATATATGGTGATGAATGGAATAAATAGAAGGATGATGAGGGAAATGGGGTGTGGGAAGGATAAGCTGTCATGACATAACGTTGTTAACCTTGCTTGCATTTCCACATCAACATCTGAGTGAAAAGTGTAGTTTGCAATCTGGAAAACTAGTCAAGCACTAAATCTCTTGGCAAATGATGACGATTCCTTGCAGCTACAACTGAACATAAATGGTTTGAGTGTTAGATATTTACCAATGTGTGTGGGTGTTCGTGTTTACCAAATATGTCAATTCAATTCGATTGAATGACCTACTCTGCAGTCTGTCTATGTTGCACAATCAGATTTAAAAGTTGCAAGAGGGTTGTCAAATTTGGTTGTTTCTCTTTATCTTGTTGCGCTTATATTACTGTCTTGTCCATCATCTCCAGTGAATATAAATGAACGATTATTATGTTAATGCCTCTAACAATACAAATGTGTTGTGATGTATTTGATGGGGCATTAATTAAAAAATGCGTTGAACGTAATATGGTGATGATGATGTTGTTGATGTTGATGCTGGTAACACCACTGTATCTTGTTTTATGATTGGTAATCAAACTTTCCTGATCACGGTGGGTAATGGTAATGGTGGTGGTAGTGGTGGTTAGTTATATGTATTAAAGATGAATCGTATTGCTTGCTTGCATAAATTAATTAATTAATATTTAATCCTTGCTTACTCTTTTTTGTTTTGTTTTTGTTTTGTTTGTTTTCTTTACTGTTTTGTTATTTATCTATCTATCTATCTATTTGTACGTATGTTGTATTGTCTCTTCGCACGTCGCAACACTTTGGCTACTTCAATCACCAACAACTGCTGATGATTCAAAAGGGGTTTGACTACTTGATGACTGACTGGACTGTCTGACTGTCTGGCTGTCTGCTAACTACTACTTGGAATAATGATAATAATGATAATAATAATAATAATGTCAATTAGTTATGGTAGTTGTGAGTTGGAAGTACAAGTATTTGAGATGGACATTATAAACAAAAAAGTTTAGCATGTGGACTGGCAGACTTGACTGACTTGACTTGACTGGAGTGTAATAGTAGTAGTGTAGTCGAGGGAGTGGACCGACCGAAACTGCTAACAACAATATGATATCAGCTATATTGTAATATTATATTGTTGTTTCTTGATAACACCACACGCACAACAACAAAAAAAAGGTAAAGAGAGAGGAAGAGAGAGAGAGAGATGGAGGGAGCAATTGTATATGTTGTTAACACAAACACAGAAACAGATTCAATTTAATAAATATTCTTTGTTTTTTTTGGGATTAACAGATGGAAATGAAACAAATAGATGAGACGACAGATAAACAAACAAAAAAGAAACAGAATAAATGTGTGTGTGTAGGTGGTCGTAGTGGTAGAGGATGCTTTTATGATAATACTCTATCTACAATTGTCAACTAAACTCTTCACTTCACTTCACTCATCCTTTCCTTCTTTATCATTCAATCGTCGTTGTTGTTGATGTCGTTCAAAGGGAATGAATAATACACTAGACTATAGTATTCAATGCTGTCTGCCTTCCTTCTTGCTTTGTTTTTTTATGTGTGTCTGCTGTTGCTGTCATATGACCTACCCTTACGCTATAATGAATGAATATCTACCTTTCTAAAAGTCACAAAAGATACTATACTATACTATACTCTTCCTACTATTAGACTAATAGTACGGTTGTTGACCACGATTGACTTGAGTTCTGAAGAATTCTTATAATACCGCTGCGAAGGGTTATAAATATATTTAATTTGGAATTAATAACAATGAGACAAAAAAAAATTGAATTTCGATGGGTTTTTGCTGCTTTTGTGCAAGGTTTCAAAGAGTTGACAAAAACGGGTACAAAGCTTTAAATTGCTTAATTAATATTATCATTCATCTCTTACTCGAGTTTTTGAAAGGGTCGTATTCGATAAAAGAGTAAAGTACGAAAGAGATAAATAGTCAACTATTTATTCAATCAATCAAAGATATGGCAACAATACAAGGAGCATTAGATCTAGTAAAGAAAGCAGTGTCACTTGATAATAGTGGCAAACAACAAGAAGCCATTTCAGTATATGCATTGGCAATAGAACATCTTCGTCAGATATTCGATCGTGGAGGAGTTGATGCCCAAACACGTGAACTCTTGTCCCAGAAAATACAAGAGTACACTAAACGTGTAGACTATCTCAAGAGTTCATTAAACTTGCATGCTCCGACAATGACCTCTTCTCCTCTATCTGCTACTTCTCCTACTTCATCATCATCAGTTGACTCTTTTCCTTCACTTCCACCATTACAATCTTCATCGTCATTTTCATCACCTCCTTCTCGTATGTCAAAAGAGTATGGTAATATATATATATAACAATCATCATTCAAATACTTTTATTAATTAACCTTTCATTTCAAACAAATTTAGTCAATTAATTCAAAATGCATTGAATCATGCCAATATGGGAGTTAAATGTGAATCAGAGAATAGAATAGCAGATGCAGTTGATAATTACCAAAAATCATCTGAATATTTACATGAAGCATCATTACGTATGTATTGTTGGAATCAAAACAAAGAACCATATTCTTTTCTTTTTACTCTTAACACCTTTTTGTTTGTTTGTTTATATATTTATAGTTGAACAATCGATTGAAAATAGATTACAATTTTTACAAAAGAAACAAGAATATCAATCAAGAGCAGAGCAATTAAAGAGTTCTCCATTCTATATATCTCAAACATCCTCCTCCTCCTCCAATACATTTTCATCGGATGTTCCATTCCCACAAGTTGACGATATCGATATGTCAGCATACAACAATATAGAATTATCATCCAATGCCTCAGAGTTTATTGATATGGCGATCAACTATACATCAGAGGCCATCAAAGAAGACGATATTCACAATTTTGGAAAAGCTATCCAACTTTATCTATTATCAATTCAATATTTTCAGGCTGCTCTTCAGTGTATGTAAAAATTGATTAGATTACATTGGATAATTAAATATTAATATATATATTTTTTTTTTAAACAGACGAAACAAATGATAAAATTAGAACATTGATTGGAGAGAAATTAACAAACAATAGAATAAGATCTGAATTTTTAAAGAATAAGATTAATTATCAAGGACAAGCAAGCGATGTTCAAGCTATTCCATTTGCTCTTAAACCTGGTGGTAAATATAAAGATCCAGTTCGTAAGAAAACTGTAATGGAAAAGTTGGTCAAAACAATTAAAGGTCCAAAAAATATTTCAGATCATTGGTTATAAATTATGCAATTAAATTATTCCTTGATTTACCTTTAAACTAATAATAATAATGTATATTGATCTTTGTAAATATATATATATATATATTTTTAATAATAATAAACTTCAAACTCTCTACCCGAAAGTATAAATAATAATACTAGTTATTATTAAAAAAGGTCGAATTTTTTTATTATGAATAATGATTATGATATATATTATTAATATTAAATAGTTGCAATTATTGTTGGCTGTAGTTATAATTTTTGTTTTGTGTGTGTGCTGTTTGGTATTTTTTAGAATCTTTGTTGTTGACCCATCATCATAGGTTGACCCATACCACCCATCATCATAGGTTGGCCCATACCATTACCCATCATTGGTTGGTTCATTCCACCACCCATCATTGGTTGGTTCATTCCGCCACCCATCATTGGTTGGTTCATACCGCCGCCCATCATTGGTTGGTTCATGCCTCCACCCATCATTGGTTGTCCACCCATTGGTCTTTGTTGGTTCATTCCGCCACCTCCCATCATTGGTTGTTGGTTCATTCCACCGCCACCACCCATCATTGGTTGTCCGCCCATACCGCCACCTCCCATATTCATGGGTTGTGGTCTAGTGATGGTGCTACCTGCGCTAGTGATTGGTCCGTTTGTGGATCTAGCTGGCATTGATCTAGTCTTTGAATTGTTTGCATGATTGTTGATGTTATTGTTGCCAATAGCGCCGCCAGTTGGTTGAGCACCACCCTTTCCAAGATTGGACAAATCAAACAATTCCTTCTTGGCCCATGGATCGTTTGGATTGCTTGGACCATTATTGTTTGGAGCCAATTGATTGTTAAAATCACCAGATGGTTGATCAAATGGATTGAAATCCTTGTTTGAAACTGTATTAAAATCTCCAAATTCATCTATAAAAGAAAAAATAATTAATTAGTTTAAAGTGTTGTTGGAGTGAATATTAATATATTATTTTTACCCTTTGCAAATGGATCTCTATTTCCACCTTGTTGTTGTTGGAAACCACCAAATTGGTTGTTGTTGTTTTGACCTCCATATTGTTGTGATTGTTGGCCGAATTGATTAGTATTTGGGAATGGATCTGGATTTGATTGAATGGAAAGTTGGTTGAATGATTGGTTAAATTGTCCAAATTGATTGTTGTTTTGTTGTTGTTGTTGTTGTTGTTGTTGTGGGAAACCACCTCCTCCGTCAGCAAGTGGATCGAATACAATTTGTTTGGGTTGTGGGGTTGGATCTGAAAAATCGATTAATTGTGGACTGTCTCTATGTTGTTGTTGTTGTTGTTGCTGTTGTTGTTGTTGTTGTCTTGGGGCACTACCTCCACTGCCACTGGCAGCACGTGGACGCGATTTTTGTGGAGTGCTTCCCTCATCGTCAAAGTCAAAGTTGTTATTGTTGCTGCTGCTTGTGTTGTTGTTGTTGTTGCTGGTACTGTTACCTCTACCTCTACTGCCAGCTCCGCCGCTCGATGAAGTCTTCTTTTCAATGTAGGGGTCGTATGAACTACCTCTGCTATAGTCGTCGGCGGGACTGTCGTATCGTCCTCCACCACCTCCACCACCATATGAATCTCTGTCGTATGAATCTCTGTTGTTGCTGCTGCCACCACCGCCGTATGGAGAGTCTCTTCCATAGGACGATGACGTTGTAGTTGAGTTGTTCTCGCGTCCATATGGCGAATCGCGTGATGAAGACGAGGTGATCTCACGTCCGTAAATGTCTCTTCCGTCTCTGCTTCCGCCGCCGCTACCGCCGTACGAGTCACGACCACCACCACCGCTGCCACCGTACGAGTCACGGCCGCTACCACCATACGAGTCACGACCACTACCACCATACGAGTCACGGCCACCACCGCCACCACCATAGTTTTCAGAGTCGTAGCCACCGCCACCACCACCAGATCCGTAGCCACCATAGCCACCACCTCCACTAGAACCATAGCCCATTGGATCTCTGCTGTCATTTCCAATTCCAACATATTTGTTTGCATTGGTCTTGGCCTTGTCACGTTCGTCCTTGATTCTATGATCGTCGTGTAAAAGCTCGATCACTTGCTTGGCACGTTCTCTTACACTCAGACCAACGTCCTTTTCGTCTTCTATGTATTGGAACTCGACCAATGTCTTGATCTCCATAGTATGATGACGACAATCACGAATGACTTGAGCCGATCCATTTCTAACTAAATAATCAATCAACAATAATGACTAGATATATATATATTATGACTGATTAGTGTATGTTCTTTATCCAACTATAAGTATTCATTCATTCATTCATATTTACCTTGTATACATGTCTCCAATATTTTCCTGGATCATTGATACGTTTCCAAATGACACCCATAATAATTGGGAAACATTCACTGGGGGAAGGAGTAAAATTTTGGACAAAAAAAAAATGTTAAAAATCATTTTATATGAATATGACCTGTTGAACAACATCACATCACATGTCCTCATATGAGGCAGAGACGGAGGTGTAATATATATGTCGGTCTCCTTTTATACTAAAACTATTACTTACTAGCTGTATGAAGCTCTTGATATCTCTTGCATTTGAGTACCTGTTGGACCCCATTTATCATTTGATGTGGCATCCTTTACTTTTCTTTCAATCTCTGGAGTATTGAGAACTGCGTCCTTACTGTTATATATATGATTGATTGAGGTTAATACAAATAATTGATTTGAATGTTATTATATATCTCTGTCTGTCTGTCTGTCTATCTTACCCCTTCTTGATATAGGTTTTTACAGCATCTATATTGATTGACATGATGATGATGTTGTACTTTTTATACCAATGATAAATATACTATACTATACTACTATACTACTATTACACTCTAATCTTTTTTTTTGTTTGTTTATGATGGTTATGATCTACTCTTTCCTTTTCCTTTTCTGGTTTGATTAAATAAATATTAAATATGTATGTTTAATCGATCAATCAATCACCAGATATGTATAAATATTACAATGGTAGAGTTGTTGTTGTTGTTGTTTGTTGTTTGTTTGTTTCTTTGTGGTGTCAAAATAATATAAATTTATATATATTGCTGTTTGTGTATTGAATTCACTATCCTCATTGGGGAGCTGGAGAGTTCAAAATTTTTATTTTTCAATTTATTTTCTTTGTTTTGTTTGTTTGGTTGAACGAAACGAGACTGAGATTGTGCAACGCGCCTTCCTACGACCACTCCTCTCCACTGTCGACGACGATTGTGTTATTACTTGTTACTTAATCTATTTTAAATTTATCATCGACTAAGAGAAGATTAGATTAGATTAGATATTAAATAACTTTCTTTCAGTCAGATCATCATTATCATCATCTTTCAACAACACTACATATATACATACATACATAAAATACTAAAGAAATGGATGAAGGTACAAGACTCTATCATATTCGTAAGACTATCTTACAAATGTTGTCCGACCGAGGCTACATGATTACAAATAGCGAGTTGGAACTCACCAAAGAAGATTTTAAGAAAGACTTCACTGCGTACCTATCATAACAAACACATAGAGTAGTAGAACTACTATCTTATTAGATAGAGGGAGATAGATAGATAGATAGTTCTACTACTATAGAGAGAGAGATAGAGAGTTATGTATACATACTAACTCATTCATTTTTTTGTAATTGTTTGTTTGTTTGCGTTTATGTAGACATAACAACTCTAGAGAACACTTAAATTCAAGTTATAATAAAAAGGATGATGCAGCAGATAGAATATTTACATTTTTCCCGGCAGATGTAAAGGTTGGTGTTACACCAATCAGAAAGTTTGTCGATCAGATGAAAGGCCCACACGGCGGTAACCGTGCCATCATCATTGTGCAATCAAACTTGACAGCATTTGCCAAACAAGCATTGTCAGAGTTCTCACAGGCTAAAAAGATCGTTCTCGAGCAATTCAACGAAGCCGAGCTCCTTGTCAACATCACTCATCACCAACTTGTACCAAAGCATATACTCTTAACCAAAGAAGAAAAGAAAGAACTTCTCACCAGATACAAAATGAAAGAAACTCAATTGCCACGTGTTCAAATGAATGATCCCGTTGCAAGATACTTTGGTTTGGCTAGAGGTGATGTAGTAAAGATTATTAGACCTTCTGAAACTGCTGGTAGATATATTACTTATAGGTAATGTACTTTAATAATAATAATAATAGGTTAGGATCATTTTTATTAATGTTTATTTAATTAATTAAATTATAGATTGGTAGTTTAAGAGAAAGAAAAAGAAAAAGAAAAAAAAAGGATCAACAAATTGGGAGGAATATTTAAAAAGAAAGAAAGAAGGAAATCAATAAACTTTCCAAACTAGTTTGTTAACAATCAACAATAGTCAAACACAAAAGATCATCAGACCATATATTCATTAATTTTCAATGGATGGACTGGATTGGATGGATGGATAAAAGTTTGAATCACCGATCGGATTGATGGGATTGATTGGATTGATGGGATTTTAGAATGCACAATACACCGAGATTTTCAAAATCTAATCTTGGTATTAACATCCATCCATCAATCCATCCATCCAATCCATACCACCATCCATATTGATGTTGAGCAATTAGGTTATACTAATTATACATTGTACCATATTCAACCAACTCATTTTTCCATGTTTGGACATTCTTATTTTCAACCGTTGAAATCAAAACAATCAATTTAAAAAAAATAATGTTTCCACAAACACACAACCCATCAAACACATTTAAACTAATTCGCCCGCTCTCACTTATCGATGGAAACACATCCTTGGGGAGAGAGGAAGGAAACAGATCCTATCACGTTGCATCACCCACTTTTTGATCTCACAAGCAAGCACACTCCTCCCACCCACTCACCACTACCACCATTGCCATCATCGCGATAAGAAAATGTGTGGCAGATAACACACATAGGGGATTAAAATTTTTTGGATGGATGATGGAGTTATTATTGTTGCTGTTGATGATGATGATGATGATCGTTGTCAGATGAGAGCAGGGAAAGGAAAGGAGAGGAGAGACGCAAGATGAGTAGGTGGAGTAGGAGGAGAGGAGTGCGACCGATGCAAACAAACTTGTTATGATCACCTGCGCGCATGCATCATCAAAACTTTGATACTAACCAACAACAACAACAACAATAAATCTTCCTTTGCATCCACCGTTACCGTTCACAACAACAAAAATTGACACTCAATAATAGTCAGTTGTTGTTGTTTATTTAATATTTAATATCTTTTTAATTTAATTCAAGCAATAATATAGACACAAGTTGTACAACAACTTTATCCACTCCTTCCGTATTCACACCACCACACCCACCCGTCGACGAATAATAATATTAAAGAGGAGAGGAGAGAGAGATATTCGAGTCAGTCTATAAATTAACGTTCGGGTCTATGTTTAGCAGAACACTGACAACCATCCATCAAACAAACGGGCCGCCCCAACCAATCATTTAATCACCAACGAAAAGAGAGCTTACACAAACAAACAAACAAACTCCCATCCCATCTCGCTCACTCACTTGTTTTATTGTAAACATCGCTATTGGTTCACACCATTCCCTTAAAAAAAACTTTTTATTACAACTTGTCCCCAAATCAATCAACCACGAAACTTTCTCCGCAGTAAGGCATTCGTGTGTATCGTGTAATCAAGAATCATAGTCATAGTCATAGTTATATAGTTATATAGTCTATTGGATCCAGGGACAGAGAGATAAGTTCAAACTCACCATCACACTCACGCGATTGATAGATCAGTTGACTCCCTTTTTGTTTGTTTGTTTGTTTAACTCAGCTGTGTACATGTACGCCATCAACATCAACAACAACAACAACAACAAAGTAAAACGAATCATTATTTGTAAATAGTAATATCAGTAGCACAAGTAGACAGATAATAGAGGACATGATTGATATAATGTTAAACGCAAGTTGTAGTAGTACAAGTAGTTCATTGGAGAACTCACCTCGGTATACGTCTAGGCTTTGGCGTCTCGAAGATGGTAAGAGTTCAGAGTTGGACAAGTCTGATGATTCAATCGGTATCGATGCCGTCATTGAAAATCCAGAGGAATGTGTATTATGGTATTTCACTTATTTCTTGGGAAAGAGTATGTACTCGACTATACTATACTATACTATAATATAGTAGTATTGAACCGATTGATTGATTGATTGGACCATTTATTGACTCTACTTTATTTATTTAATTTTGTTTAGAACATTCCAATTTTTTAGGAACAGCTGAAACTATTGACAAAGTGTCTGGAGTTGGAACTGGAGTATTAGAAGTGTTTGGAGCATCTGTATTAAAGGAACATACTGAAAATGGTGATTATTCCTACAAGATTATTGTATTTACAACTACTGGTATCGAAAGACAAATGTTCCATGCAAGACCCAAACATACATTATCTCCATCGGAATTGATAAAAAAGACAGCACCTCATCTCATCATTAAAAAGGTAAAAGAGATTGAAACACCTGGACTACTTCAAGACTTTAAACAATTGGAATCCACTCAAACCGAACTATCATACAAATTTGGTATACTCTTGGCAAAACCCGGTCAGAATCACGAAGATCAATTCTATGACAATTGTATAGGTAGTGAAAGATATCACGAATTTTTAAAGAATCTTGGTGATACTATACCATTAAATGGTTTTAAAGGTTTTCGTGGTGGTTTAGATGTTATTAGTATGTATATATAATACATACATATAAATATATACATATAATATACCTATATATGTATATTGACACACGATTATTTATTTATTTATTTATTTATTTAGATGATACAACAGGAAAAGAATCAATTTTTACAACATGGAATGATTATCAAATTATGTTTCACGTATCAACCATGTTACCATATATGCAAGTTTATAGTTCACAACATCAACAACAACAAAGACATCTCGAACCAACACCATTAAATGGTAATAGTTCACAACAACAACAACAAAGACATCTCGAACCAACACCATTAAATGGTAATAGTACTATGGTACAATGTCAATTGGATAGAAAAAGACATCTTGGAAATGATATTGTTATGATTATATTTTATGATGCTGAAACTGATGACGATGTCATTTCTTGGGATCCATCATCTGTAAATTCAAAATTTAATCGTATGTCGCACGCACACAATCCCAAGATAATAATATATACATAGAGTAGCTACTTTACAGTCAGTACTAATTAATTTGATTTGATTTGATTTGTTAGATATTTTTGCAATGGTAAAACCACAAGGAGATGATGGATATAAAGTAGAATTTATAATTAAAAATACAATTGCAACGTTTGGACCAAAAGTACCAAACCCTAGTTATTTCCAAAAAGGTGATTCTTTTAAAAACTTTTTATTGGCCAAACTAATCAACGGACAAAGAGCGGCCCTACAATCATCTTCATTTTCAAAAATCATTCAAAGAACCTTCCAAGGTCAACTACAAAACATCTATGACAAATACAATCAATCCTCTATCATCCCAAGAAGAAGATCGGCATCTGGTAACAATATTATGATTGGCAAGGAATTAAAAGAAAAAGAATACGTTAAAAATCCTCTAAGTTCAACTCTTAAAAATATGTTATCAAGACCTGCTGTATGTTCAAATAATACCAATATTATATGTATATATATATATATATTAACATATATATTTATTTATTTATTTATTTAGATATTTGAAACAGAAATATTACTTCGAAATTATAATGATAGTATTAATTGTTTGGATGTTGTTGAATCTGAAGATTCAATTTGTATATTAGTATTTGCAACAAATGAGGCCATATTTATTTTTAAAACAAATAGTAATTCACAAGGTATGACTATAGAATATATACATCAAAGCAAATGAATGAATGAATCTAATACATATGTATTATTTTTAGAACCTCCAACTTATCAAAAAGTAATGTCAATCAAGGATGTATCAAAATTAACATTTATAAAACAATTAAATGTTTTGATTGCATTGACACCAAAGGGTATCCATGTGTATGATATGATTGGTGTTATGACATATTATCGTCACCGTGTCGATCAGCGTCTCCCGGATCGTAGCTCGGATGAGCCGTCAGCAAAGAGATTGAGCGATACCAAGGGATGTACAGAGTATGCATACACCAAAAACGACGATGACAGTGGAATCACATTACTGTATGTGGCCGTACGCAAGACCATCTACCAGTTTGAATGGTGTCGTAACCAATTTGTCAAAAACAAAGAGTTGGTGATGAGTATACCGAGTGATCAAATCATCAAAACTATGTGTAGTGTCGGCCCGGGTATGGTGTGTGTCGGAGTGTCATCTCAATTTTTATTGGTCGATATGTTTACAGGCATGGTTAAAGACCTCTATCGAAAGGTGGATTCTGAGCCTGTCATGGCACTCTGCACGTCTGCTCAAGAGGTGTTGCTGTGTTTCAACAACATTGGGTTCTTTGTCAACGAGCGTGGTACGCGAACCCGTACCTATGACTTGAAATGGGGTAGTATTCCATCAAGTCTATTGCTACTACCCAATTATATTGTTGCTATATCAGGTGCTTTAATTGAAATTAGAACACTGATCAATGGTAATATAATTCAATCAATTCCAACTTCCTCTCTAAACACCTCCTCCTCTTCAAATGTAAATATGATTATTAACAACAACGCACCAATTACTCTACTCAATGGAAGTGGTGGATTTGAAAAAGATAATGTTGTCAACTTGGGTAATAGTAATGGTAGTACACCAAATAGCAGTCCATCACCTATACTACAATGGATGGCATCTAAAGAAGGTAGTATTACTAGTACCAGTACCAGTACTAGTATGACTACCATGTCAGCGTCAATGCCAATTATCCCAACCATTACTCTCCTCCCTCCTCCTTTTGCGTCGCCATCAACCCTTCCAACCTTTTCTTCACACAACTCGTTTAATACGTTTAACGGGATGGCATACTCGGACAGTAGTGGAAATATTTATGTAGCATCGTCATCCAAGGGATCATGTATTATTAGATTAAAAGCATCACAATCTTCTTCCCTTATCCTCTCACCTCCTTCATCTCCTTCTGTTCAATATCTAAAAGATACCAAGGGAATTCTCAGTATATCAACAATTGATAGATTATAAATTAAACAAATAACAAACAAACAAATAACAATAAATAATCCCACAATATGAATATTCTCTACTCCTACTACTATAATTATAATTCTATTATCTTTGTATCTAATTATTATTATTATTTTATTATTCTATTTCTATTATTCTATTAATATTAATATTATTAAATTAATTATTCATCAGGATTATTTCCTTGACCACCTTGAATTGGTGGAGTTGTTGGTGGTGAGTTGGTATCTGGTAAAGTACTACTATTAAATTTAGAAAATACATAAAAAGTTAATATACAAATAATTGCCACGATAATATAAAATGTTTTTTGATTTTCTTGTTTAAATCTAAATAAAGAAATAATATTAAGTTAAATATTAATATCTATATTCTTTGTCTTTGTCTTTATCTTTCTCTCTTTGTCTTTTGATTTAGTTACCTCATTAAACTTTGTAATGGTAATATTTTTTTGTTATATTTATCCTCTTCTTCATCTTGGAGATTATTTTCACCCATGTTTATGATGGCTTCTGTTGATTGTTGTTGTTGCTGTTGTTGAGGTTTACGTATAGCCAATCCGTATGGATTGTTGTTAAGATGTGATAATGGAGGTGTTTCCTCTAATAATGAATTATTGATAGATGTTGTTGAGGAGGTTGGAGATGTATAGTAATCATTGTGACCATTGATTCCATTGGTCAATGACTGTTTTGCGTTAATATTATGTGGTGATGATCCATCACTACTTCCAGTTGGTGACAATATTGATGATGCCAATGCAGGTCCATTTGTATATTTCCCGCCACCTCCACCACCACCTGATATATTTAATATAGAGTCTGCCCATGATGACAACATAAATGCCTTTCTAATGCTTTGTGATAATGGATCAACTTTATCTGATGGTGGTAATATTGGTTTCTTACAACTTGGACAAGAGTATCCTGCCAAAGCTGTTGTTTGTGGTAATGTACTTGCATAAACATCTATACATTCTGGATGAAATAAATCTAAATAATATCAAATATCAAGATAGATATTAGCATCATCCTTGTTGCTCTTTGTTGTTCTTTGTTGTTGTTCTTTAGATTTAAGATTTACCATAACATAATAAACGTATTGAATTGTCACTTGTTACTTCTCCTTTACAAATTCCACATACGCTCTCTTCAAATTCACTGTCTGTTAACCAATTTACATATGATCCTATATGACACTTTTTTGTGAATGTAGATGATGTAATTAGAATGAGAGAATACAATCACTAATCATATCGTGGTGATATGTGATTGATACATACGACAGGATGATCAGGTACTACACAAGTCTCACAAATAAACTTCTTGTGTTGATAACAAAAATCCTCTGATCTCTTTTTACATTTACAGATACCCATATCTCTCTTTTCTCTCTCTCTCTTCTATTTGTTTGTATTATTAATATCTTTGACACATTGAAGAGGTGGTGAGCATTCATTTCATTTCATTCTGAGGGTGTGGACTTCAACAAAAATTTTAATTTTACATCATGACTCACTCCAACAACCTTATTCAGTAGTAGTATACTCATCACAGATTTATTAATATAACATGACACAATGGGGTAAAGTTAACTTAAGTCATGACAAGTGATTTGACTCATGAGTGAAAAGAAAGTCGCAGGGGTAGGCAAGTAATATAAAAAGAAATTAACTAGTTATCATATAGAGAGAAAGCGAATGAGCGATTGGCATATTCGGGTGACCATAGATAGAGTTTGGATATGCTTATAATCAAGATTGTTATATTAAATGTTTGCGCGTGCGGGTTGGAGAAGCCATTCTTCTGTTCTTCCTCCTCAGACCAAAAACAAAAAAAAGAATTAAAATCGATTATTTTTGACAAACACACGAACGAAACAATCCTTTTTTTTATTACCTTTTTCCTCTTTAATTTTGTTTTGTCTTTTTAAAAACAAACATAGATAATTGTATTACCAAAAACCCTATAAATTTATATATATCAACAGCATTAATCACATCATATCATATATCATGGATACCCAACAACAACAAGAACAAGGTGAACAATTCACATGTATCTCTTGCAGAGTATTATTCGATACAGTCGAAGATCAAAGAGTACATTACAAGTCTGAATTACATAGATTCAACTTAAAGAGAAAGGTATTGGATTTACCACCAGTAACCTATGAAACCTTCCTTGCAAAGGTTGAAGCTGCCAAAAAGGAAGAAGAAAAGGCTGCCACTGCCGAACCAACCAAGTTTGAATGTAGATTCTGCAAGTATGTAGCAATAACACAGGAAGGTTGTACAACCCTCTCTCTCTATCAAGTTTATTAATCACACATTCAATCTATCTTTTATTATTACACTTTTAAAGTAAATCATTCTCATCAGAGGGACCATACAAACAACATATTGATTCAAAGAAACACAAGGATATTGTAGCATCAGGTGCCACTGAAAAGAAGGTTAGAGTAAAGAAACCAATGACCGATGAAGAAAAGGAAAAGATTGCCAATGAAACTGTATGTCTAAAGGACCTATCAAACAAACTATAAATATATTAACAAATGTGATTACCCTATCTATACTTTTATAGCAAGAAGAATATGAAGCCAAGATTGCAGAAAAGATCAAGAATACACCAAAACTCCCAATTGAGCATTGTTTATTCTGTACAAAGGTTTGCAAGAGTCTTGATAACAATGTAAAGCATATGGCAAAGGTACATAGTTTCTTTATTCCAGATATCGAATACTTGGTCGATCTCGAAGGTTTAATTAGATTCTGCAGTGATAAGATCAATGTTGGTAATATCTGTTTATATTGCAACGGTAGAGGACGTAAAATACATACTTTGGAAGCCGTTCAACAACACATGGTCGACCTCAGTCATTGCAAGATGAATTATGAAACCGAAGAAGACAGTGAAGAATATTTGGAATATTATGATTTCTCTAAATCTTATGCTGATCCTTCCAATCCCGATGAAGAAATTAATCAAGAGTATGTTAATAATAATATTAATATTAATAATATTATATTTGTTTTATTTATTCCTTTTATATTAATCATTTATTTATTTATTTACTTTTAGTAACATTAAGAATAAGATTATTGTTTCTGATCATGAATTGGTATTACCAGACGGAACCACTATTGGACATCGTGACTATGCTAAATACTACAAACAAAGATACACTACACCAGACAAGAGACAAGAAGCCATCCACAGCGTCATTCGTAGATACAAGGCTCTTGGATGGACCGACGAACCAAAGAATAATTTCTCTGAAATGTACAAGCAGGATATGAACCGTAAGAGAATTTTGGATTTGAAGATTGGTATCAAAAAGAACAACCAAAGACATTTTACCTTACAACTTCTCATCCAATAAACTTATTATTATTACTTTCATTCATAAATATTAAATAATCATAATAATACTATATCTCAATAATTAACCAGATGAAATAGAGGGATAGCGCGTTATAATAATAATAGATACAGGTTATTAATTTTATATCTATCCACATTTAAAAATGGATGGAAGGATGAGAGAAAAATGGAACGGAATGATTTTGATTCGAGAAGAGGAAGGATGAATAAGAAGAGGATAAGATAAATAAGAGTATATCTATATCTATCAACAAACCAATGTTGTCAGTGTAGCAAGTGGGAGTATATGGTCGTGATTTCTTTTAATTACATGTATGTTGTTGGGTTGAGTAGAGTTGAGTTGGTCCAACATTGGTTCTTTAAGTATATATAGTTGTGATTATTGTTTCGTTTTCTCGTTGTATTGCTTCATTGTCCAAGCTTTGATATTGACAGCATGAATCTGCTTCATTAAATCACCCATAGTTTCATTTACCATACGATGTCTTTGTAAGAGTGCAACACCATCAAATACATCTGATCCAATGATGATATCAAACTTTGCTCCACATCCACCTGAAACATCTTCTACTTTCTAATTATCATCAGAGGGATAGACAAAGTTATAAGTTAGTATAATGTTATTAGACTTTTGTGTAAAACGATCAAGATAACCTACAATAGTAGCATCGGCATAAGTAGCACGAAGTTTATCTTCAATTTGTTGAGTTGTTACAACCATAATTCTATTTATCTATTATCTATATATATGTACACGAATGTATGATTTATGATGGTTCTCTACAATATTGTTATCCACAATTGATCATTAGATCTGATCCAATATTGAAAAAAAAAAAAGTTAATTAATTAATTTAAAGATTAAATTGGTAATTGGAACGCAGTGGAATCTTTCGAATCGATTGGGAACAGTACGTATTACGTATGTATATTTACAGGTTTATTATTTTCTATTTTTTTAAAGTATTGATAAATTTAATCATATCGGGACGATCGAAATCATTTATCAATAGATTTTCATAGTCTCTAGGTTGCAGTGAGCATATGTGTGTTTTGATGTAATCAGAGTCTAGTCTAGTTTCGATGAGTTGTTTTAGTAAATCTACACGACCGTTGATGACGAGTTGGAGTACTGCGTTTTCAATGGTCCATCCTTCGAGTCTATGCTCCAAACAATAATAAAAAACAGATGGATGTATGTTCTTTGTCCAGACTGATGGCCTGTAACATGTACTATTACTACTACTGTCTTGGGCATTCTGGAATTGAGATTCAATATGTTTAACCAATTCCAATCTTCCATATTGTGATGCAACATTTAGAATGATACGAACATTTTCATTGTTGAGTGTTGGTACTACCAAATCAAATAGCTCAATTGATCCCTTTCGACCAATCTTTTCAATACCACTTGAAGGTGCAATATCGATACGAGAGATTGCACTTTCTATGACATATCGAACCATACCAGGTTCATCGCAAAGGTGTAGGTTGATTCTAGTGTTTTGGTATAGTTGTAATAATCGGTCTATCAAATCAGTATTGTGAGATGTCATGGCTGCTCGAAGTAGTTTTTGGAATATCTGTACTTGGTCTTGGTCAGTGGTACTCTCGGTCGGCTTGACCACCCCAATACCATACAATATTTTAAGTAGGTTTAGTTGATCCTTGTGCGAGTATCTATGAGCTGCCATAATATGTTCAACGTGCGTAGTCACTGAAAATGGATGTGCAAAGTATGCCGACGAGATGATATACTCTATTGTACGACCAACAGGTTTGACATCGATAGGACTATGTGGTGTCCCTCTAAGATGAGGATTAACCATCGACGATACAGACGCCAACCATCCAAGTCTCTGCAACCACTTTTTGATTTCATCTTCCAACAAGACACCCAAGCTATTCCTCGGATTCGAGACCGTTCGGTCGATAAATAGATTTAAAGGCGATCGATTCAACGATCTGACGACAATGTGATTAAACTCGTTTCGAGCGGGTAGACCAAACACCTGAAGTGCAAGGTCGAGGTCTTCTTGCTCACCAAACTCCGCCAACATTGGGAAGAATATTTGGTCGACCAAACTGGTCGGATGTGACGCTGTCAAACTCTGGAGGATGCAGACGACACGTTTGGTGTGTCCCACATTCCTCAACTCTTCTTTAGCAGTCGCCATCATTCTTCTTTTCATATGTCCAAGCATTTGTGGTGCCAAAGACTGATGGAAATAATTTATACATAAAATATCCAACTCCATCTGTAGAATATTGAGCATTGTCGTTCCAATCAACTCGCTATTTGTATTGTGTGTGAGATGGTTGGAGAGGTTACTCTCACTTCCACCACCACTACCAAAGTATGATATTGATATGTAATTCTTGTCTGATAAAAGGATACTTCGATAACTAACCTCTAGGTCACGAGGTTCCGGTCGACTGAATATTATACTTTCCATGTTGACATATTTATTGTGCGCATCTGTTGAATCGAATGTTATAAATGGTGACTTTGATTTGGACAGTAGGTTTACCGTCGATTGGTATACCAAGTCTAGATAATATTTTGGGTGTTCTCGACCAACCCACGCTGGAGGACGGTCTATTAATAAATCCCTTATAAACGCCAATCGATGTCCTTGTTTGAGCCGACTTAGCTCTTCCAAAAAGTAGAACCATCCTTCGACCGACGTAGGTTTCTTTGCAAACAATACCTCTCCAAATCGTATCCTATAAGCCAACTCCTTGTTTGAAAGATCGTTTTGTTGTGATTGACGTAGTCCTCTGTTGATGGTTGTGTCAGTGTTGAGACTGATCGATGGGAATCGAGCAGCAACCCAAATTTTGACTGCATGTGATCCAGATTTTAGAATACCTTTAATCAATTGTGATTGTGCATTTTTAATGTCAGAGATGGTGGTGAGATTCTCTTGATCAAACATCTGTACATTGTTATTGTAGAGGTGGTCGAGGACATGGATATGAGATTTAGAGACTGCACCAGCAAAGCAATTGGCCGTTGACAGTTTAACGGGATTGGTTTGTGCAAGTAGCAATGATATGATGTCAATGTTGCCTTGCGAGCAGGCATATTTTAGTAGCTTGTCACTGGTATAAAGGTCTTGATACCGAGTGTAGAGCAATTTAAATGTTTCAAAGTCACCAATCAATTTGGTGGCTCTAACAATATCCCGTTGGGCAACCACCAAGTGTCTATTTGTTTTCAATTTGTCTTTGAGTAGTGCATAGTATTTGTTGTCCAGTATATCTCGTAAATAGATCCAGTCACTATACAAATGTTTGTTTAATCCATGTCTAATATTCAATAAATGATTCCTTAGTTGATCTTGTTGTTCAAATGCATCATTATTATTATAACCACTACTACTACTATGTTGTTGTTGTTGTTGTTGTTGTTGTTGCTCTGACAGCAGAGAATGATTCCTTTTCTCTAGAATGTTATTAAAGTTAAAGTTTCTATTGCTCCAACTAAAGATCGATCTGATTAAATAGGTGTTTGTCAGAACTGCTTTAATAACTTTAAATTTATGTTGTTCTATTACTAAACTACTACTACTACTACTATTATGATTATTAATCATTGGTATTTGATTATTATTGTCTCTTTTCAAAAAAAAAGATATAGTGCTCATATTCTTTCAAATGCCTGATTAGATGGTTACTAAAAAATTTCGACTTTCCATTTTTGGAATAAAAATAGAATGGATGTCATGCAGAGTTTTAATTATTTATTTGGTTTGTGTAAAATTTCTTTGGTAAAAGATTATTTTCCTAGAGTTGTTGGCATTTTATAGATATATTTTTTTGTTTGGAAAGGAAAGAAGGATGGGAAATGATATCAAAACTCTCTTTGTTAAATACCCTCATTTAAACAAAAAAATAACTATGGTTGTTCTTAAATTTGGTGGTATTGCAGTTTGATATTTCAGATGCTAGATAAAGACAAAACTTCAGCAACCAGAGGATCTTGAAAATTAATCTTTTCTGGGTCATCAGAGATGTTGGTGTCTGACATTTCATCATCATCATTTTTTATATATCCTGTCCTCTCACACCAGAAGAACATTTCTTTATTTTGTTCGTAGAACTTTTTACATTAAATTTATTTGTTGATCAAGTTATAAACATGTCACAAGAAGAATTGATCAAGTTATTAAAAGATAAACACGGTTTCGATAATAACAACCACATATTCAATACATTCTGAAAAATGACATTCTTCCCTCCTACATCACAACCCATAACAATTTAGAACTTTTCAATAATGGTTTTGGTTTTAGTTTAGGTGTCATTCATACTTTAAAAAGTGCATATCCCGATCAAAATAAACAAATACAACAACAACGTAAGTCAAAGTACCGCATTTTATTTATGTTTACTAATCATCTTCTATTTATATTAGAAAATTATTTAAAAGTTACTAATTATGAAGAAATACAATTACTTGAGGCCTATAGAAGATCAAAATACCAGAGAAATGATTCAGGCCCTCCTCCTATGAACTTTGCCCCACCTCAGTCTGTCTATTTAAATGTTTGTGTTAAAAAAACTATATATATTTCTGATTAACTAATATTTGTTTCCAATTCAAGCGACCAATTTACCACAACTTCTCTAGAGGTTTTTCAAACAATTTCAATACTTTGCCCGAGGAGGGAACCACTATCCTTGGGCTATCAGCCTTATCAATTCATTAACCCTCCCCCAATCAGTGCCTCATATTACCACTCATTCAACACGCAAACAACCATCCAACCAATTTCGCCAATACAATTATTTTTTCAACACAATGGAAAACTAACCCCACCACCAACCCAATCCTTTACACTCATCCCACCCATTCCCTCAAATGTTCCTAGAAGATATTTTGACACACTGCCAAGAGGGTGCAAAAGTGAGAACCATTGGTTTAAAAGTCTGCAAGAGATGTACACAAGGTGCTCAGAATGCAAAGTACAGGAATCCCCTGGGTTTTACCACTCAACCTTCAAAACGGATCATCACAGACAACAAACTAACAGCTTCTAAAGCAACCGATTATTATTATGACAGAATGTTGACACATGATTTATCACCAGGGGTTGTTATTTTTGTTGCAAGTGCTTTCTCAAAAAATAAGGCAAAAAGAATATTGTTCGATGACCTTTCTCCCTTCTCCAACCACATGGTCTTTTTTGTTGGATCCATCTACGCAAGAAAGAGCGATTCTTCTATCCAACATCATTTCGTTTTGGTTCCTCCTCCTAGATCTTCTCACCTCAATCACTTCCAAAAATACTTTGAACCTGTACCTCCCAATTTTCCACTTTTTTATTTCAAAAACAATATCCTCTATACATTGTCCTACCCAAAGCATTAGGTAAATGTTGCACTTGTGCAAGATGTTGATATTTACAATGGCAAATGGGACGAGGTAACATGGGGTTTGCCTTCAAAGGCTAACAATTATCAAAAATAGGTCATCAATAAAACAATTTTATTACTAGGAATGAGGTTGGGTTTAAAAATGACGACCGACCATGAGTACTACTATAACTTATTATTTTTTGTGATAGTTTACTGTTGGGCAGCTGTGAAAGTTATTGAAATAAATAAAGATTATTATTATAGGGTTATTAGAGTGAAGAGGTGACACTTAGGGCAATGCAGAATTGACCGAGCCAGTAGGTGATCATTCCGAGGTCACCACTACCCAATAGTCGACGGATGGTGGACACTTGGTTGTTCTTGAGCCCGTTGATGGCACGAATGAGGATCATAATGTCAGAGAGGAAAAAGAGGACGGCTCCAAATGCACCACATAGTGCGTAGAGTGTGGATGGTTTGAACATTGATGATCCAAATAGACCAGATTCGACAACTGTAGATGCAGTGGCAGTGGCAGTGGCGGCAGCAGCAGCAGCGACTGGATGTGCATGATCCAACAAACTCCAAGCTTCAAACGTCTCGAGAACATTGGAGAGAGCCTTGACAGAGGCAGTGTAGCACATTGTGACAATGACAGCGATGTAAAAGAACAGTGCTACAATGACAGCCTTGGGAGTGTTGGCGATAAAGAGTGGGGTGATCTTGGTGACAAAGACATAGACGAAAAAGATATTGACCGTCACCAAAAAGACGACAATGAGTGGTGTAAAAAAGTTGGAGAGGCTTTCAGTCTCGGCGGTAAAGGCCAAGATAAACGAGAGATGGGCTGTGAGGAAAAAGAGAATACCGTGAACAAAATAGCGGTCAAAGATGAGACAGAGGTCACCAATGGCCGATAAAAAGAGACCGACCGACACGTAGATGGCATAGGACGACGGGTTGTGTGGCACGATGAAATGGTACATGGAGTTTACAAAATCGCCAATATCCGCCCTGCCATGGTTGACCGAGCACCACAGCAACACGACATATCCCAGAATGAGAACGGGGAATGGTTTGATGAGATGGAATTTAAGGTTTTGTTTTCTTCGTGCAGCCAAGTATCCAACCGCCGTCAATGTAAACAGCGTGTACATGAGTTTCCACCATAGATCTTTGTGACTATTCAACTCTTCGTTTGTATGTTCATGATATTGTTGAATCATTTCAACTTTTAATATTTCTGGTTCTTCTTGTGATAGTATATTCATTTTTTTTTTAAAATTTATATTTCCAAAAAAGGATTGATATTTTTCTATTGTTTTAAATTAACTTATTATTATTATTATTACTTATTGCTGTTTGTTTGTTTGTTTGTATGTTTTGTTTTTTTTTCTACAAATAAATAAATAAATTAATTAATTAAAATTGAATTGAATTGCAAAAAAAGGCAGAGGAAGGGAATGAATGAGGTTGGATTGTAATTATTATATTTTGTGATTGTTGGAAGGTTGTTTTGTTTTTGAGAAAACTGGTTGGGGATTCTATAGTGATGATTATCGTAATTAATTATTCTGTCCAACCAATCCAATCTGACAATAATACAAAGATAACGACGCAATCTATCTATCTATCTATCTCTATCTATTATTATTATTATTAACTAACAAACTATAGTCGGTTAGGGGTTAAATAAACAAAACTATACCTGTCTCTGTTTTACAATCTATCTTGAATCTTGACTTAATTAAATATTAAATAAATAAATAAAAATGGTTATAATTATTACTATTACTACTATAGATTGTTGTTGTATGTTGTTAAATTTATTGTTAACTATTGTTGTTGTTGTTGTTGTTGTTGTTGTTGTTGTTGTTGTTGTTGTTGTGTTTTACTCTACTGCGGTAATGTGGTTGTGTTTTTTTATTCTATTCCAATCGCAAACCCATACTCTCCTCTCTTCTTGTTTTTGTCGTGTTATTGAACACGGGTGTAAGGTGTGAAAAAGAAGGGGGGGGTGGGTGGGGTGTACTGTTTAAAACAGTGGTTTAAATAACCTTATTATTAATCTTACCTTTGTTATTATTATTTGTATTTCTTTGGACTGTGTGTATGTACTATGATAGAATAGATTTGTTATTAGCGTTGTTCTTCTTAATATTATTACGAAACACTTGTTATGATTACTCGTAGCTCTCCTGTCTGCCTATTGTTCAAAGGTAATCAAACCAGGCCACAGTAGAATAGTTTTTACCATTTCGGGACCGAAGGATCTTTCAATTAATTAAAAAAAATGATAAATTTTATGTAACGCTTGTTTTGGGATACAAAAAAGCCCCCTAATTCATGTCCTCGGTGTGAGTTTGGAGGCATAAAATCGGCAATGAGAAAAATAAATATCTTGTCCCTAAAAAAAGAAAAGGTAATTATTTGGTGTACAAAAGGGTATTAAGTGTATTAAACTTTAGACACTGTTTTATTTTTTTTTTGAAAAGGGGATGGTGGGAGAACAAAAATATACAATGATTATAAACAATAGATTAGAAGATGAGATGGGTTGGAAATGGATAAACGCGGGATGGACGGTAGAGTATGGTCATGAATGATGCAATCAGGAGTGTTTTAGAGAGGATGGCCTTTTTTTTTGTTTTTTTTTGGTAAACTATAATATTACTACTTTTCTTCTTCTTAGGAAGTTTTTGAACTTCTTAATCTTGCACTTGAACGTTCTTTGATTTGATCGACACAAGAGAAATCGGAACTGATCCATTGGTTGAGATCCAAGTAGTTCTTCCACGAGTTGGAGATGTGTGGTTGAAGAGCAAGAGCCATTTCCTGGATGGCGGCTTCGAGACGTTGGTGATAACTACTGTCACTGTTGAGACTGCGAATATAGTTGAGAAGAGTGTCGAGGTCACCACAACGCTGTCTCTTTTCCTCGGGCGTCTTGAATGGACGGTCGAGCGGTAAAGCAATGGCCATACACTGAGTAAAGGTGGGAGGGTCGAGGAAGGTCAGACTCTTGCCGAGCAATCTACCCAACTCAAAGTATTGTTCGCGTAGATTCGACTCTTCGGTGGTTTGAATGTCGTCGATTTGTGTCAAAAGGAATCTAATCTTGTCCCACACCAGTGTACCTACATACTCTTGATTGGGTCTACGATTCTCACGTGAGAATTGGTTCACTATAAACTTGGCAATCTCTGGGAACGACAAAAACGACTTGGATTCAGATCGTTGTTTAACTATCTTTGTAACCATTTGATCAACTATTTCTGGTCCATAAAGTTTATACATTACACTTATTTCTAATATTTGAATCTAAAAAAAAAAAAAAAGAAAAAGAATAAATAACTATTATTATTATTATGATTATTATTCTTTACATACTTGAGGAGAAACTAAAGATATATTTTTTGCAGGCATCATAAATAATGTTAGATCACTTGTTGAATAAAAGAATTGAATGATTTTAATATTTCCTAATAAACTTTCTGGATTGGTTTCCTTTTTTGATTCAAAACCTGGTGAATCTAAAAATATAGTTCTTCTTTGATATTCCCTAAAAATTAAAAAAATAAAGATGGTTAGAGAATAATCTTATGTATTCTATACTTTTCTATTATTACATACTTTTCTTCATCAGTACCAGTTAAATATTCATCATTAATAAGAATAGATCTAACCAAACCATATTTTGAAATAATATCAGAATATCCACTAAATTGGGCATCATATCTCGAAAGTGTATAAGTAGTATCCATATACAAGAAAACATGTCCATATCTTGGATCGCTCATTGGTTCAGTTGTAATTTTTTCATTTAATTGTTCTTGTGTGAATCTTCTTGGTTTTTCCTAAATCAAAAAAAAAAATAAAAATAAAAGTATATAAATAAAATGATCATTTGTTTCCTCTTCTTCTTTTACTATTCTATTCTTACATTTCTAGAATTTAATAATTTATCACTAATTTGAGCAAATTGATCTTTTGGTATAGTTTCAACAAGTGTAAAATGAGTATCCAATTGACCAATTGCAGATCTCTTTACTTGGATATTAAAGAAATTATTAATAAATGAACTTTTACCTGCTGATGTTGTACCTAAAACAACAACCCTAAAAATAAATTAAATTAAAATCAAATTTGTAAATACTTTTTTGTTTCTTTTGTGAATAATATATTATATTATTATTTTCTTTTTTGATTACATACAAAAACTTTTGAAAAGGTAATTTCTTTGGTAATAATTCCCATTTTTTCATTAATCTACGAATTAACCAATAGTCTCTTTCAACTACTGAATTGTAAATAAAGTTTTGATCGATAAGAGGACTATCATTCAATCCTGGGAGTGTGTTGTTATTAGAGATGGCACTTCCAATTAAATCTGTAAAGGTGGTTTGTTGAACAGTGATTGGTTTGCCAGTCATAAACACTCTCATGGCAGGATGATTACGAAGTGAAATACTCTTTGAAAGATCTTTCATAAATGAATCCAATTGAAAACATCTTTTAACAACTGCTGTTTGATCTGTTTTATCTAAGATATTATTAATAAAGAGTGAGTTTAAATAGTTGGTTTGTTTTAAATTAAATTTCATCATCATTTTACATACTCCAAAATTGAACCATTGATTTTTGTGGTAAAGTTGGTACTTTGACATGAAGATTTGAAGGCAATGTGAGTTGTTGATGTAACCATTCAAATTCTTTATATCTTCTTCTGGCCTTTACCGTAGCAGTACCCTTATCATCTTTAAATTTACCAGTGACCTCATAGTTGACATAGGTCTGTCCATCTTCTTCATTTCTTCTTGGATCTTTAACTTCGATATCAAAATACCCAAATTGTTCAAGTCCGTTTCCATTTGTTTCTTCTTCCCAAGATGAATCACCTGCATCTCCAACAGATAACCCCTCATTTATACTAACAAAATCTTCATCCATTGATTTCTTTTTCTTTACATTACCATTACCATTACTATTACCATTGTTGTTATTAATAATATTATTATTATGATTACCCCAGGCTGGATTATTATTAATATTATTACTATGACCACTATTACCAGAGTTTTGTGGCTTTTGCTTATTATTATTAGTGTTTTGATTTGGTTGTACAATTTGTTTTTGTGGTAAAGGTGGGAATTGGTCCTTTTGATTATTATTAACATTTTGTTGTTGTTGGTGGTGATGACTATTTACATTTAAATCTCCAATATTTGGATATAAACTTTCAGATGAATGTACATTATTATTATTATTAACAGGCTTTGGTGGTTGTTGATGTTGTTGTTGTTGTTGATGACGTTGGGGTTGTGATTGCTGTGGTTGTGGTTGTGGTTGTTGTGGAGGTGTAGAAACTTGTAAAGGTGGTTGTTGCTTTACTTGTTGTTGTTGCTGTTGTTGTTGTTGTTGTTGACGGTGTTGATGTGGATTTGATTTCTTTAATGATGGATTCTGTTCATAGATTTGAGCTTTGGCTTTTTGATAATAGGTATTGATCTCTCTAATATCTTCTTTGGATTGGAAAAAGAAAAGAAAATCTTTTCCACTTGATGATATCTTCCAACATGACTGGTCAGAACTAGTACTCATAGATGTTTCTAAAAGTAATATTAAACAAAAATATTAATTAGTTAAACTTTTAATATTATTTTAATATTATTTTAATATTTATAGCACGTACGATAAATTTGTAATATTTCGATAACTACATCCTGAGCTGAATCATTGTTACCACTGATCCAAACCACTCTTTTACTAGTCACATAGATGGTACCGATAATCAAGGTGTGCATAATACTCTCCTTGGTGAATTGAACCACCTCACCTGGTTTCAACCATTTTCTAGGTTGCTTGGCGGTACCAGGTTGTTGTTCGTCGCTACTGTCATCACTACCGTAGTCATCGATGACGCTATTACGGTGTCTATCAAACTCGTCTTCATCATCATCATCATCGTCATCTTGTTCTTGATCGTCATCGTTGCCAATATAGTTGTTGTTGTTGTTGTTGTTGTTGTTGTTGTTGTTGTTGTTGTTTCTACCATTCTTTGGTGGAGATGTCAATTTAGTTGTATGATGATAGGGTGATGAAGTAGACGAAGAAGAAGAAGAGGTCGCGGTCGCAGTAGTAGTAGTAGTTGTTGTTGTAGTACTTGGGATGTCATCGACACTCGACATCATAAGATTACCATTATTATTACTGTGTGATGGTGTTGGAGGAGACATAGTACTGCTACTTCCACTCCTATTGTTACTGTTCTCAGCCTCTAATACTTTATTTGGAGTCGTCCATACTTCGTCGTCAACATCATCATCTTCGCTATATCCAATATGAGGATTTAACATTGCTAGCTATTATTATATTATATTACTCTAGAGTAAGTATGTGTTGAGAGTTTACTTATTATTATTACTTTGTCACTAATTGTAGGTTATAAATAATATTATATATTGTTCTTCTTCTTCTTATTGTGAATGTGTATTATGATATATATACAAAATATGGTAATTTTTAATTAAATTTATAAAAAGGAAAGAATGCTCTACACCCACCCTTCCTTGTCAGACCATAGTGTTATTTTATTAATTAATTATTATTAATTTTTTTTTTAATTATTCAAAAATGGATTTACCCTTTTTATTATCATTTTTTCAAGACTCTGAGAATACCAAGATCTTCAACCTACTTCTTGACTTGAACAGAGAGTAGAGCGAGACTGACGAATGGAATATGGGTTGAGTTGGGTTTATTAATATTTTCTATTTTATTTATTTTGTTTGATTGGTCAATCGATTTATAACATACAGTATAAACTTTACTTTCAATTATTGTGATAAAAGATTAATCTTATGATGATTATAAATATATATTTATATGTTAAGATCTTTGGAAGACCGCGAAAATGATATCATTGTCATGCCCAACCGCCAGAGCTCTGGATAGTATCTGGCAGAGTGAAAGGTTGTGTGATGAAAAAAAAATCTTTGTTTTTTTATTTTTTTTTTTGTCTGCTTGTCCCTCCTCCCCTTGTAATCACACTCAAAGAAAGAGAGAGGAAGATCATCTCTCTGCATTCTCTACAACCAGCAGCAGCAACAAGATAAGATTATTTGAACAATCTTCTTTATCGCCGTCTATAGCAACAGGTAGATAACAAGGTATAGAAGTAGTAGAAGAAGCATCGCGAGAGATCTATCAATAATAATTCAACCAACATATCATCATCTGACAAATCCCCAAAAAAGCTGCAAAGGATTTGAGAGAGAGTGCATTAACAAGATATATTCGTTGTTGTTATAGTATAGTATAGAGTATAGAGTATAAATATATACATCAACTTGATATACATATATATATACTTCAACGGATACAGAGTACTAGAGCAGTAGTTGTAGAATATAACATCATTAGAAAAAAAAAAAAGTGTAGTAATAGTAAAAGCAAAAGTAGACAAGATAGAAAGAAAAAACATATATCTTTTATCTCTATCAACAATCAATCAACAAAAAAGTGTAATAATAGTATAATAATAATCAAACAAACAAACAAGATAACAGAATAATACAAACAAACAAACAAAACAAAACAAAGACATGTCATCTTTATTTCATAAAAAGGAGGATAAAGACAAATCGTCTGCTTCCAAGAGTTCGGTCATGTCAAAGTTACCAGTACCACCTCCACCCATTGTAAAGTTACCAAATTCACCATCAACCTCGTCACAATCACTGTCGAGCTCGTCGTCGAGCATCAACGTCGCCAAGAATACTGGCGGTGCATCGTCTTCAGGCAACTTCTCGACCACGGGTGCGTCTTCACCAACAACCTCGGCGTCGTCACCCGTACTTGGACAACCATCACTACAGGGTAGCACATCCACCACCAACACATCATTGAGTAGCAGTATGACAGGTATCAGTCACCACAACAGCAGCAGCAGCAGCAATAAACCAGTTGAAGAGATAAAAAAGAATAGTCTTGGTGGATCGGGCGGAATGAAAGGATCAGGTAGCCCATACAGTAGAGCTAGTACAATCCTATCCAACCACAGCAACAATAGTGATAGTTCCCCTCCATCATCTCTCTTTTCGACATCATCATCACCAACCAACGAGTCACTCGTTTATCAAGATAACGATTCATCAATGGATCCAAATACAAAGATGGGTAGTATGTATACAGATACGTCGACCACTGCAGACAGATAACAATAACACCAAAAATCAACACATTATTTTACTCACTCCTTTTTCTTCTTAGATTTTATTGGAGGACTTAAAGTTACAACTGGAGGAGAACAACCTCGATCGGGTCACTCTGCCTCTTTATACGAAGACACCTTTTATGTATTTGGTGGTGAAGGCATTGATAATAATCCAACAAACGATTTCTTTTCTTTTAATTTTTGTATGTACCAAAAAAAAAAAAAAAAAGAAAAAGGAAATAGATAGATATTTATCAATTAATTCTCTTACTAATTGCTACTTGATTTTTTTTAGCAACAAAAACATGGGCATCGATTAGTAATTCAAATGGACCATCTCCAAGATCATACCATAGTTCTTTAATTTATAATAACGCTTTGTATATTTTTGGTGGTGAGGGAGGTAATTCTTCAAAGAATGATTTATTTGTATATTCTTTTGGTAAGTTTGAGAACATGTTGTAAAGAAGTCCTTTCGGTTCGTTATTAATTGATTGTTTTTATTTTATTTTTATTAGATACACAATTATGGTCAGAGATTAATGTATCTGATACTAATAGACCACCAGCAAGATGTGGTCATAGTGCAGTAATTGATGGACAAACAATGGTAATTTTTGGTGGTATTTCAGGCAACAAACCAACCAACGAAGTATATGCTTTCAGTTTCGAAACAAAGACCTGGAGTGTAGTTTCTACAACAAATACACCAACAGCAAGAGCATTCCATACAGTCTCTGTACACAAAGGAATCATGTATACAATAGGTGGTCAAGACACTAGTACCAATGCACTCGATGATATTCACTGCCTCACTCTTGCCACCAAGGAATGGAGACCTTTCCAAGTGGTCGAGGGTTCACCATTCCCAGCTAGATCACATCACTCTGCCACTTTACTTCAAGATTCAATCATTGTTACTGGTGGTGCTTCAGTTAAACCACATTCAACTTTGGATGTTTATGAATTAGATTTATGTATGTGACAAAAGAAAGAATAATAGGGGAGAATTCTATTTTTTTTTGCTTACCTTTTTTTATTTTATTTATTTTCTATTTAGATCAAAAGAAATGGTTTAAAATTCAAACTACATCACAAGGAGCAAATAGAATTAGTCATACTTCAATACTTAAAGGATTATCATTATTCTTGTATGGTGGATCACAAGATACATCATTGGATTATTTCTCTTTTGGTAAAAATGATGAATTTGAAGATTTAATTCAAGAAGAAGGTAATGATCACAAATGATATGACTAAACATATTTATGGATATTAATTTTTAATATTGTTGTTTTTTTTTTTGTAGATGGAGAAGTATCAAGATTACAAAATATTCCAAAAGCATTCTGGGAATCAACATTGATGAAGAAACATCCAGAGATTTTAGATTTAAGAGAAAGAACTCAACTATTGACAGGAGTAAAGTCGTATGGAAAGTCATTGGCATCACCATCGTTTACGGAAAACAAGACAGCAGTTTCACATCAATTTGTATTGCAATTGATTATGGAGTATTTGGAGAGGCATAGACAATACCACAAGACGATTCAAGTGATTGAAAAAGAGTCTGGTGTGGTACATCAAATGACCGAGTCGGGCGAGTCGCGTCTCGTCACGATTCTTCGTCTCGTCAAGCCACGTCTCCGCTCCAAGTATGTGCTCGACCAAGACTTGCACATATTCCCCAAGCAAGAGGCATTTGACGAAGAGGTACAAGTAGTCGACAACTTGTACCGTCGTGTCGAATCAGAAGAGGATGCAAATGTATGGGACGAGCCTGAAGACGGCCCCAAGAACATCAGAAAGACCGAAGGTGAGAATGGCAAGGTGTTGATCAAGTCTGCCACGCTCAACAAGCTCATCCAGTACTTGGCACCCGAAAAGGAAAAGGCACACGATCTCTTCTTTATGAAGTCGTTCTTGTACACACATCAGAGTTTTACCAGCTCTGAGAACCTACTCAAAAAGTTGATTCAGCGTTATCAAGGTCCATTGTCGGCCGCCGACAAGCAGCGACTCGAGGCACTCGACCCCATCAAGAAGCGTGTGTGCGATGTCATCAAGTTCTGGATCGACAAGTGTCCGTGGGACTTTAAGACTGGTCCCAACGCCGACAAGCTCGTTGCATCGCTCAACAACTTTATCGACGGTGCCCTTACAAGAGATGGTAACGCATCGGTCAAGAACTTGCGTCGTATCTTGGCACAGGCACGTACCGCCGAGACTTCGCAGTCCTCGATGGTCTACAGTACCAATCCACCCGAACCCAAGGTACCCAAGAACATTTTCTCGCCACAGTTGACGCTCTCACACATTGACGAGCTCGAGATTGCCCGTCAACTGACACTCATCGAATACAAGATATTCCGCAACATCCCACCCCCCGAGTTTTTGGTGCGTGTCACCCCATTTGGTGAGTTCCAGTACTCGATGGCCACTGCCCCCAACCTCATCCTGTTTTTGAACCGTTCGAGCGATGTTTCCAAGTGGGTTGCCTACACGATCCTCTCGCAAGACCAGAAAAAGTCGCGTGCCAAGATGATCGACAAGTACGTCAAGATCATGGAGTGTCTGCGCACGCTCAACAACTTCCAAACCCTGTATTCTATCTACCTCGGACTACAAAACTCGGCCGTACAGTCTGTGCACGACATCTTTTCAGTGCGTGCCAAGGAAGTTCTAATGGAACACGAGTCACTCTTTTCCAAGGGTGAAAACTACAGAAACTACAGAGAAGTCTTGTCCAAGTCGTCTTTGCCTTGCATACCACTCGTTCACGTCATCCAAGAAGACATTGCCTTTATCGAAAAGGAGCAGCCCGGCATGACCAATGTCCTCATCAACTTTGTCAAACGTCAAAACCTCTACAATATCATCTCCAAGGCCGAAGCCTATCAAGTTCACTCTTACAATTTACAACCAGTCCATCAAGTATCCACATTTATCAACAAGTTACCAAGAATTAACGATCTTGATTTAGTTGAACTTTCAAAAAAGGAATTGATCTAAATTAAATAATAATAATTAATAATAATAATAATAATAATAACTTTGCCGAAATGAAATGAATCATAATATATGATAATAATAATCATAATTAATAATAATCAACATTTAAAACATAATTAAACTTTTACTCACCCACACTTTGTTATAATAGTTACAAATACAAAATCACTTTTTTAACAGTTAAAGAGTAGTAGTAGTAGAGTAGTCTTTTTTAGTTGAGCTGATTAGTATTTATTTATTTATTTTTAGACCATTTTATTTAAAATCTTTAAAATTGATTTGGAAATAGTGGCAGATCTAGGGTCTTTTTCGGCAACACGATCATTTGATTGATCTTCTAAAACTTGTACAATGTCATCAAAATGATGTCTACTCTTTTGGAATTCATCATGTTCCACAATCGTCCTTAGGAGGTCTAGGTATGGCCATCTCAATGGGTCACATTCATCGAGATTATGTATATTTTGAACGACAATATCAATTACAACATCGATATCTGATGTATAAAAGAAACATGATTCTTGAAATTCTGTACTATAACAAAATATATCATTGATCAATGTTAAACATTCGGTTAATAATCCAAATTCAAATTCTAATGAAATAGAAATAAAATTAATAAATTTGTGGATGTTAATTAATCTAGATTAATTGATACATACTGCCTCTATTTAAAAGTGTAATTAATCCAGGTCCCAATTCTGGTGCTCTTCTGGTTGAATATAATTTCAATACTAATGGTGAATAAGTATCTCCTTTTACTTGAATATTAAATGCCAACTAAACAACAAAAAGTAATTATAATTATTAATAATTATTAAATGCTAATAATAATAATATATGTATTTGTCAAACATACCATAGCAGGATAAAAATAATTTAACCATTTACTATCATAGTATTCGGAATAAGTGAAACCAAGGTTCAAAAGGGATTCTAAAAAGGAGTCATCCAATTTAGATAGTTCTTCTTCTGGAAGAGGACCAGTTTGACTAAAGATGGCAGTCATTAATTGAAGATATTGAGTGGATCGAGTTTCATCCTCTTGAATAAAACAAGTTGGTATAATCCATTTAAGTTCTGGTACTAGAATATTCCATACTCCAGGGACCTGATTACCAATTCCATTAATAAAATAAACAACTTGATATATATATTCTTGATTTTCACTCTAAATAAAACATAATTTAGATAGTATAGTTATCCATTAGTCAATAATGTGATATTAGGTTTGATATTAATGTGAACTCACCCTTTGAGCATGACCACACATATTTCTAATCATTTGATAATCATCTTTTGATAGTAGGTCTATACCAGCATCAATATCCAATGTATTTAACTTTTCAATAAAGAATTGAATATCTTCAACAGAATCTCCATTGCCATCAGACTGAAGTGTCTCTTCAACAGTCAATAAACTTTTATCTTCTTGGTTTCCACTGTTTTCTATTGCTTCAAGTCCATAGTCGAGCTTTGACCAATCCTCTGTATAGTATAGTTGATAATCAATCAATTCAATTTGTTTCTTTAGTGTTTCTATCTTTAATTCCAAGTTTAATGCCTTTGGAATGAGTATATGTGCTTGTCTAAAAACAAAGTTGATAAACAAACTATAAGTAAGTATATCGATGATTGATATGAATGAAAGTATGTAACATACTCATAGACAGCTAAACATTTTCTTAACCCTTCTCTTTCTTCAACTTTAGCTTCAATAATAATAGAGTTAAACTCTTTTATAATTTCTCTAACATCCATAGATAGTATTAGTCTGTATTAGAGTTACTTTTTAATATATTCTCTCTTTCTCTCTTCAAATGAGATAAATTAAACAATATAAGAATCTTTCCTTTCAAGGTCATGTTGTCATTTTTAAATCTAGATTTGTCAGGAGGAAGATGTTTATTGATGAGCTGGCAACAAACAAACAGAGAATTATATTCAAAAGGTGAATGATAACATAAAGTAGATAGATGTATTATATTTTAATCATAATAACAATATGAAATCTTGATGATTCAAAATTAAATTTATTATTATTATTTATTATTATTGAAAAAAAACGAACGAAACGAAAGTTAGGTTTCAAGAAAGATAATTTAAATTATCATTTTATTTATTTATATTTATATATACAAACATGTCTTATCTAAAGAGAGATAGAAAAGATCAATCTACATCATCATCAAGACAGATAAAGAAGTCAAAGAAGGATGAATCATCAGATGATGACTATTTATCAGATGACGAAAAACAACACAACAACAGACAACCAAAGAAAGCGTTGATTCAAAAGTCACAAGTAGATGAGATCAAGAGAGCCAAGAGAGCGACTGAAAAGGAAAGAATAGCCTCTGAAAAGAAACGTCTACAAGCAGAGATTGACAAGGCCGAGAGAGAAAACATGTCAAAGACGAGAATGAAGAAGGAAAAGCACAAACAAGAAGCCGTCGACACAACCGAAGCAACCAAACAAAAGAGAAAGCAATTAATCTTGGAGTATTTGAACTTGTATCAAAATCAACGTTCCGATTGGAGATTCAACAAAATGACTCAATGTCTTATCATTGACCACGTATACGACAGAGAACTCGTACCTGAAAAGTACTTTGTCATTGCATTGGACTATCTCAATGGTCTACAAGGAAAATCAAGAGAAGCTACCATTGAACAATTAAAAAAGATTTGTAAACCAAAGGAATCTGACAATCAAGATTCGGATTCTTCTTCTTCAAGTGAATCTGAACAAGACGACGATGACGAAAACGACGATGGAAAAGATGTAAAGGAAATATGGAGAGTCGAAAGAGCAAAGAGACTATTAAAGAAATTAACTGGACAAGCTGATGAAGATGATTCTGATATTTCATCTGATGAAGAAGTAGTAGATAAAAAGAAACCAAATAATAATAATAATAATGTTGTAAATAAGAATATCACAAATAATAATAATTCAAAAAAGGTAGAAGAAAGCGATGATACTAGTAGTAGCGATGACAGTGATGACACTAGCGATGAAAGTTCAAGTTCAAGTGAAAGCGAAAGTGAAAGCGATCAACAAGACAGTAGCGATGAAAGTAGTTCAAGCGATCGAACAAATAAATAAATAAATATTTAAATTAAATCAATAACTATACTATAGTTGATATCCTAGTTGTTTATTTAAGAGTTTGGTAAATCCATTTTTAATTGTGGATAGCTACCATCTTCTGGGTCTTCATTTTGATGATCATCATGATCAGCAATTGATTGTTGTGGACTTTCTTTATCATCTTCATGTTGGTCGTAACTGTGGTGGTGGTGGTGGTGGTCAGTATCTTGTTGTTGTTGTTGTTTGTTGAAAAAGGGTGGTAGGATACCAGAAGACTTTTCACGATGTTGTGAATAACTATTCACTTGTAAAATATTATTATTATTATTATTATTATCACTGCCACTGTTATCATTGTCATTGTCATTGTTATTAAAGGGATTAAATACCAAGCCATAGTTTGGATCTATTTGTGGTTGAAATTGTGATTGTTTTTGTTGTTGTTGTTGTTGGTATTGTTGTATGTTATTATTATTATTATTATTATTATCATTACCATTATCATTAGTTGTATTATTATTGATATCATTATTGTTATTATTATTATTATTATTGTTGTTATTGTTGTTATTATTATTATTACCAATATTGTTAAAGTTATTAAGGGTACTATTAATTAATGAATTGATGCTACTTAATTTACTGGGTGGTGTGGAAGGCATTTGATTTGTAGCACCCATCCTTGCCATTAAAGTTGGAGATGTTGTTGGACTAGTTCCATTTACAATTGGATAATCAGTTTGTTGTTGTTGTTGATGTTGATTTTGTTGTGGATGATGTTGTTGATGTTGATGAGGATGAGGATGAGGAGCAATAGTATTATGAAGATTAGCTAATTGCATTGCAGGTGATTCAGAATCTGGTTTGTTGATAATAGTCAACCCTTCTTCAGATTCACTGATTTGATTCTTGTAGTTGAATGTTGCAATCTCTAATTTAGATGCAATGACTGGTTCTGTCATATTAAACAATAATTCCAGCTGTTTGAGTGGTCCTTCTGAACACTTGAGTAACAATGTTTGGTTGACTTCATCAAAACTGAATATAGACTTTTTGCCAACAATACCAACGTATTCCTCTTGGTCACCAAAAAAGAGAACAACGATCTTTTTGCCATTGCACAACGAAGGCAACAGTTTGGTGGCTGGAGGAATGACAGTGAGATCCTTTACCCAGAGACATGGGAGTAGTGGGTGATTGATTGTTTTGGCCCACATGACACCTCCAAACTTTTCCTTTCTGTCAATGTAGAGACTGATAAGACTTGGCAGTACTTCGTGTGTATTAATGTGAAGGCTGTGGTATGGAGTTCCCTTTCTCGACGATTCAATGAGATTGATAAAGAATTTATGTGTCGATGTCCATTCCTTGAGGTTTTTGGGTGGACGTCCTTTTGGTTTGTCATTGTTCATTTGAATTGGTCGTTTCTTTCCTTCTTTGATATTGGTGTCACTTGAAATTGCTTCTGCAGTAACTACCTTTCTTGGTCTTCCCAATGGTTTATGTACTGGTGTTGTTGTAGTACTTGTAGTACTAGTAGTACTAGTCGTCGTACTAGTAGTAGTTGATGTTGATGGTTGGAAATGGTTGCCATTAGTGTTGTACAAAGAAGAAGAGGAAGAAGAATCTACTCCAAAGTTTGGTGTAGTTGTTGAGGTTGGATACATAGTACCATTATTATTATTATTATTATTGTTATTGTTGTTGTTGTTGTTTCTGTCAATAAAATCATTGGTTTGTGAAAAAATATGGTGATGATGGTTATTATTATTATTATTATTATTATGTTGTTGTTGATGTTGGTGTTGGTGGTGTTGGTATTCCAAAGATTCATCACCACTCATTGAATGTTGATGATGATTATACTGATTTTGAGGGAGTCCATCATTTCCATTATTATTATTATTATTTTGATTATTATGTTGATGTTGTTGGAAATTACTATTATTTATATTATTCAAGTTATGTAGATTATTATTGGTGTTACTATAATTAACAGTATTTTGGTGATGTGCAACTTGGAGCGATGGTGACATTTGATTGGAGTGATGATGATGGGTTGGTGAACCACCTCCACCACCATTGTTGTTGTTATTGTTACCACCAGCAACTAGATTACCTATAGCACTTGGATTCTTACAATTGTTGCATGTGCAAATATCGAAACATCTGAAACACTTCCATTGGTCTCTTGATACAATTGAAAAGAAATCCACTCGATATATCTTGGCAACACAACTCTCACAATACCTAGCTGGACAAGAACAACAATACACAACCGAGTGTTTTTGTTTAGCATCTCCGCAATGATGGCATTTGGTCAATGTCTAAATAGAAATAAATAGAAATACATTAATATTGGGATAAACTATATATATATATATATATATACACTATACTTATTTACATACACTATTTGAATAAAATACTACATGATAGGCAATGGTAGCAGGTGTTAGGTAACCACATTGAGTATCGATGAGTGCCTTTTTCTTTTCGACGATATCATTTGCTTCTTTTGGTTTGATACCAGTATTGATTAGGAGGGTGGTGTATTTATCAAAGAATGTTTCCAGCTCTTTTTTGAGTTTCGAGTGAGAGATGAATTCTTTGAGTGACATGCTTTGGAAATGCAACTCACATCCGTATCCTCTCGAGACACAATCAAAGCAATAGTCCTTGCCGTTGTTTTCCTTGTCGGCACAGAGTTGGCAGTGATAGGCACGGTTAAAGATATTGCAGTTGCAGTGGTCGCATTTGCGGTCGTGTAAAAATGGCGACGAGAAGTTCTTGAATGGGTTGAGAAAGGTGATGACTTCGTTGTGCGGACAGAATGGATAGGGTGGCTTGGGAATCAAGATGGATTCAGATCGAATCATGTGTGAGTAGAGATCGAGCAGCGGTGAGAGGTAGTCGACGATAGACTGCGAGTCATAATTGGTGAGCTCTTGAAGCGACGCTATTTTCTTTTTCAGTGTGTAGTATATGATTGCTTTGATCGAGTATGTCTCGGGCTTACCAAACTTGCGTGCCAGTGGCAGAGCAGACTTGTACGCCACGGGTAGTGACGCAGTGCTGATGGTGTTCCACGCCATCTTGACCGTCACACCACCAACATTCATGACTTGGTGAACCGACTCGGGCGGGATCAATACAAGGTCGCCTATCTTTTGTTTGATCACATACACCTTGAAGGGTGCATCTGCGAGGTCGCGAGGATTGACAAATAGATTCTCGTTGAATATGTCACCACCCTTTTCATTCCAAAACTTGAATGCCTTGTCGCGGTCCTTGCTTCCGACGACCAACCACAGAGCATATGCGTTGGGGTCAGAGTGCACCATAATATTGTGTCCGTTTGATCCCACCAAGTCAACGTGTCCGGGGGTATACGTGCCATTCGAGCCAATATAAAACATCAAGTTTTCCGATCGGAGGTAGGGTGGCAGCGAAGACATCAAGTCGTAGCTACTCAACGCCACAAACTTTTTAGACAATTTCTTTTGTTGGTCGGCCCACTCTTTTGGACACAACACATCTTTGGCATAGAGATACTTTGGGTTTCTCTCCTCTGGTGATATTTGTAAATAATTTATGTATTGTCCAACTGTCCAACCTTCCAAATCACTATGTGTCTCATTATTTCTTGGTGAATTGATCATCTTTTGATCACTATAATTTGCCTAAAAGAAGAATGAATTAATAACCAAATATTTAAATAGATTATTTAATTTAAATTAAATTTACATACTTGAAGGAAATCCAGCGAAAAAACATCTTTTGACCAATTGGACATGGAATTGGAGAGTACGAGTGGAATACCCTTGTTGATGGTGTATTCTTGGATATCGGATTCTGTGAGGTCAATGGAATAGGGCATGGTGGGAGCATATTCAAAGTTGGTATTTGGCATATTCATCAAAGAATCGATATCGAAATTCATTAGACTATCGATGGGTGGAACTTTGAAAAGAGGGTCCAAAGGGACTGAACTTCCCATTGTACTATAATTCATTTTTTTACTATTATTATTATTTGTTGGATGGATGGATGGATAAATGGATATAAATGGATGGATGGATGGAGTAAGGAATAAATAACCTGTGATCTTTTTATTCTTCCTAAACTACTATTACTTCATTTATGTTGTATAGATTGTTGTTGCTATTATTATTATTATTGTTGGTAGTTGTTGAAATCGATCGATCTATCTATCTATTGTCGTTTTGCGGATTGTGTCTTAATCTATTATTAAAATGAGACTACCCTTTTTTTTTTTGTTTTTTTAGAGATGTGATTCAAAGTTGATGATTGATGGTGATGTTGATGAAGGGGGGTGAGGAGGGGGGATATCCCTATTGATTCTCTTATCCTATCTCTATAAACAACTAACAACTAATAATACGCTTTTGAAGAAGAGTAAATACGCTTTGAATGAATCGTGTTAAAAAAAAAAAAAAGAAAAGGGATTAAAAAAAAAAAAAGAAAAAAAAAAAGGGTTAAAAAAAAAAAAAAAAAAAAAAATCGATTAATTTCGAGCGTGTGTTGGGAGGGAAAGAGTACTCTCTGCCCTGGGATATATACAACCAAGTACTTTATACATGTATACTTTTTATTTATTGGTTCCACATTGATGATCATTGATTTATAAGATTTAATAAAGTGGCAAGTTTAGAATTTGGATTGGATTGTTGTTGGAGTAATTTTTGTCGTATTTGATCTTGCCCGCCATTATCACTCCAAGTTGTTTTTAGTGTATCCAATGCAACTCGTTGAATGATATATTCTATAACTGATAGATAGGTTGGATATTGATCAAGTATTCTTTGGTCTTTGCCTAGTATGTTTAAAATGACCGATCCTCCATACTTGTTTAAATAATCGGTCCAAGTAGTTGATAGTGCTGTGCATACACTATTTAATATTGCCTGTCCATCTGCATGTTGTTGTAGTATAATTAAGAGATATATCAAGTCTCCTTGTTTACCACCAATATTGGTAGTTTCTATGGCAAATAGACCTTTTGAAACATTAACCAATGATATTAATGATTGTTGTAAAATTGGGAATAGATACCAAGCTTGATTATAAACTACTTGACAATAGGTTGATACGATTGCAGTTGTTTGTTGTTCATTTAATATATTGAATTGGTTGTCTTTGTTAGTGTCTAGTGATATGTGTAGTTGATCTTGAAGTTGTTGAATTTTAAAGTATAACCCTCTAAATAGTTGATTTAATATATTAAATGATGATAAGAGTAGTCCTTTAGTAGAGACATTATCATTGTCGCCGCTTTGGAGATACTTTTTAATGGTGGTTGATTGTTTTTTAATCCATCCATCTGGCAGACAATAGTAGCCTACTAGTTGTGACACCTCTAATACTTTGGATCGTATCAATGGCATCATGTCATTTTCAGCAGCCATCAACATTTCGAGAATAGCATCAACGTATGCGGTTGCATTGAATCCCAAATAAGCAACGAGTAGGTAGATGACACCAATCTTGGTCTCACGATGCACAGGATCCAATTCATTGTCATGGTATGTCTTGTAGAGATGTTGAAACACCTTTTTCGACAACCTTGACAAAAAGTCGCGTGTGGCAGCCGACTCGATCGCCATCGTGTCTTGTTGCCACCATCTCCAATTGCCAGCAGCAGCAGTAGTAGTCGGCATTTTGTAGTGTGTGTCGATTGTCCATGCAATCTTGTCGATTCGTGTGTTTCCAGTTTGCATCTCTTTGAGTTGATAGTAGTTGTTGGAGATGGTGTCGAGTGCCTTTTTCGCCGCACCAATGACCAGCGGGATATCGCTCGACATGAGCGACAAGAGTGTGTATACAATGACCGGGGTGTTGGTCTTGGGTGAGTGGATCGACCACACTGCCAAACTATTGGCAAGTGCCAGTCTCACATTGGGCGCGTGGTCGTTGGATAGCACCGGCAGCAAATTACTGCTATTATGATTGTTGGTGTTGGGCGAGATGATCGTCTCTACACACTTTGACGCACCACATTCAATGAGTGCTGTCAATGCATAGATAGACGATGACCGAACTTTTTGGTGTCGGTCACCTAGATTACGGATGAGAAGCGGTATAACAACCATTGAAAATAGTGATGCACGTGTTGGCACCGCTCTACATAGATTGATAACATACAAACTACACAAATCAACTTGTTCATAGTTTCTATCACCCAAACCAATCTTTATCATCGTCATAAACTTTTCACAATACTTTAGTAGTAATTCACTTGAAGTATTAGGAGTTTCTGTTGTACAGCCAGTACCACTACCAACAATGATAGCATTGACCAGTTTCATAATCTCCATTCTCAATTCTTCAGTCTCTTCATTGATCATTCTATATTCCAACTTTTCAGCCAATAAACTAATATCATTACCATCTTTGAATAGAGATTGATAATGTCTAAATTTAAATGTAAACAAACAAACAAACAAAAGATTAGAAATCTAAACTACAACCACCAACCAACTACAACTTTCTCTCTCTCATTCTTTACATACTTTATTAAAATATTCAAACTAATAGTTCGACATCTTTCAATTTGATCATCCAATGTATTGATAGCTAGATGAATGATCTTTTTATCATTTTCTATTGTTCTTGTTTCAGCAGCAGCACTAGCAACAAAGTAAGTATCATCTAGGTATTTGACTAGTTGTTCTAATGCTTTTTTACGTTGAAATGATGATGTTACTTTGCATGCTTCAATCAGCTTGTCATCCATCTAATATCTCCTTGCTTGGGGTAGTGTTAAAAGTGAAGTAGTAGGTGGTAGGTGTGGTGTAACTGCAACAAACAAACAAACAACAAGCTTAGTCAACTATAGAGAAATGCATTCATATGATTGGTTGGACAGACGAGTCGGTTTGCAAGTCGAAAAACCACCAATCAATGGATTTTATACATTTAAATATAAAATATATTTTAAAATTAAACTTTTGATGACTTGTTCAACCATCCATTCCATGATTATTCATCAATCATCATTAGGTCTTTATTCATCTAATCTATTGTATATATTTAATTTTTAAAAAAAAGTTTATTTCTTACATTACTTTTTTTTTTCCTCATAATAAATAAATTTATATAGACCTTCCTCGCTCACTCATATCATTACATTATATTCATTCAGTTATTATTATTATTTCTTTCACTCTGTCTCTAATTCTTACTTTCTATATACAATCTATTTAATTCTTTTAAAAAGATCATCATTTCTGACCTTGTAAGTATTGTTTTTTTTCATTGAACAAACGACCTTTCGATTTTTTTGTTTTTTTCGTTGTTTTCTCATAACCAAACTTATACTTAAAAATAATCGATTCCACATTTGACGTCTTTTGGCATACCTCTTTCACCTCGTATGACATACCTTTCTAGGATCACTTTCCGTTCATCCCTCATTTTTGGTGACCACCAAACAGCAACAACAACTCCTCATTATTTATTTATTTCCTTTTCAAATTAATTATTCGACTGAACCAATTCCTGTTCCCCCATCCTTCTCTCTCACAATTCATTTGTTTATTTATTCTTTGATTCCCTATTATTAATATCTATCAATCAATTATCTTTATCGTTTTGTAATATATTATTTATTTATTTATTTAGACCAATAAAAAAATGGAACAACCACAAACTGAACAATCACAACAACCACAACAAGAGGTTCATCAAGAATCAGTAAAGCCATCAGAAGAGCCATCCCAATCCCAACAACCACAAGAAGTAGCACCAGATACTTCATCTTCATCCAATGGAAACGTTGCCAATGGAACTGCTGAAGTAGTTCCAGAAAGTGAAGAACCATCAAAGTCAGCATCTGATGCTGAAAAATCACCAAGAGAGTCATCTGATACTCCAGTCTCTCCAACTGAAGACAAATCAAACAAGAAAAAGGTAGACCAAAAAGGTGGTTTCTTCCAATTATTTAGAAAGAAAGAAGCTGATCCAATTTCAATTCAAAGAGAAAAGGTAAATATTAAAAAAAAACAAAAGAAATTTATTTTTAGCAAAAGAGACACACAGTATTGTTAACAATTCATTATTCTTTTTTGTTTCTTTTTAAAGATTGAAAATTAGTTAAAGATATCAAGGGTGAAACTGATTCACTCGTCAATCTTATCAAGGCATACCAACCAACACATCCAGATGTCAAGTCTGAAGGTTCCATCTTGCCATCTCAATTCGAGTCTATCTTTAAGGACTTGGCCGTCATCTATCAAATGTGTGGTGATCACCAAAAGACTTTAAAGCGTCACATCAAGGAAATCGTTGCCAAGTCTGCTGAAAGAGCTCAAATATTTAAGCTTTGGAATCATTTGATCAATGAAATCCAAGAGGTTCGTCCAATGATCATTGACTCTACTTTTATTGAAGTCTCTCTCAAGAGTGTATGTATAAACAACTAGTGTTTTAAATCAATCTTTATCAATAATAACTAACATATATTGTCTTTTTCTTCTACTTTGTTTTTTTTCCTTTTAGGTAATATCTGATCCATTTACTGGCCAAGAACAAGAAGAGTTTGAACAATTATTAAAGAATTGTCTCTACCAACACATTGATGTTCCAAATGTCATCGATATGATCATTGCATTCTCTGGATCAAAGTACAAAGCAGATCACAATATCGTTTCAAACTTTATTGAAGTCATTTCAAGTTTAAAGGTATGTATAAAATGAAAAAAAAAAGAAAATACTACAATCATATGGATTTATAGTGATTTATTAATTCTTTACTCTTTTTCTTTTTTTATTTCTATTTATTTCTATTTTTAGGACAAGAGTTCAACTGTAGCAATTAAAGCTGATATTGTCATTCAACAACTCGAAAAGAGTAGACATTTTGCAGAAGAATTGAGAGCCAACTCTGAAAAGTTTGATGTTGATCTCAATACCGACTACAAGAAACAAAGTGACATTCACAACACAAACTCATCGGAAAGAATGAACCTAATCACTGGTTTGGAACAAGAGGTTGCCAAAAACACCACCGAGATCCTCAACATTGACGGCAAGGTCACCACATTGCAACAACAACTCGACGAGTTGCTCAAGCAAAAGACCGCCATTGAATCGACCAATGCTCAAAGCAAAAAGAAGCTTGACGACTTGAAAAAGGATGAAAAGAAGGATCAAGTTTTGAAGCAAGAGTTGGACGAACTCAAAGTCAAGGCCGAGAACATGACCGTGCTCCACGAATCTATCACCAAGCTCAAGCAAGAACAAGACCACATTACCAAGTCTTATGTCTCGACTGTCCTCGACCAATTGAACCAAAGCCTCGAAAAGCATGCCGAGAATAGAAAAAAGATTGAATCCTCTCTTGAAAAGCAAGATGACCAACAAGAGGACAAGATCCAATTAAAGGACAATCTTGTCAAGAACAAGGAACATATTGAACAAATCTCAAAGGTTGTTGAAAAGATCAAAAACAAGCTCAAGGAAGAAGACTATGATGTTGAATTGGTAAAGTCAATGTTGGAGAAATCAAGATCCTTAACTCATTCACCAGTTCAACCACATGTTCCAGCAAGTCAAGTAGCTCCAGCTCAAGCTCCAGCCTCAGCTCCAGCTCCAGTCCAACCAGCCACTGCTGAACAAGAAACCACTTCTACTACATCTACCGCCTCAACAACTGATCAACCACATGTTGTTCCACAATCCAATTAATTATAATCATTTACTCATAAACATAATAATATTATTAATAACAAAAAAAATCACACCAATGTTTTATTTAAATATTTACACATTCACTTAATTTCTTAAAAATATAAAATATAATAATAGAAATCAATAAAATCATCAATTGTATATATATAAAAAAAAAAAATTAATCATTAATATATTATTTACCAGTGTTCTGTTGAAAATATCTAGATAATGGGATTTACGCAAGAAACGAAATTTCATACCTTGCAAAGCATGAATATCATGATCTTGTGAAATCAATTGTAAAAGACATTCAATAAGAACACTAGAGAGTGAGAGTTCTCATACAAATACAGATACAGATACACAAGTGATGATTACTACAAGATATCAACTATTACTTGTACTTGTATTTACTTTTGCACTTGTACATGTATCATACTCTCAAGAGTGTAGATTCTCAAAACTATACACACAACAAAGTTTATTAGATGATGCTCAAGATAGAGTAGACTTTTTAAACAATGTATTACATTGGGAAGGAAATGTATGTAGATATAATAATATATATTTATTGTTTAAATATAGTTGTCATTAATGAATCTACTCATCATCATTTGTAGTTTTGTAAAGATGGAGCTGGTTTAAATGCTTTAACTGGTTATACATATGATGGAAGAACGATAGATTATACGACTGGACAACTTACAAGTCCGTTACACAACTTTAGTGCACCGTCAAAAGAGAGTATTCACTTGGGTATGGCAGCATTGGCAGTGATGGGTATCAATTCATATGGTAACAATCCATTGGATTTCTTCCATGTTCAAGTGAATCAGAGTGAACAGGAAAAGACATTGTTCCCAGAATCGTTGCTCGGTGCCAATACTACCAACCTCTTTACCATCCTCTACAGAAAGATACAGACCTATGAAACATTCAATGCGCAGTACCCCGGTTACGGAGGGTTCTTCCCATGGGTGACTGTCAGTGACGCGGGTATCTGGCCCATCGAAGGGTATTGGAGCGAACGTGTACCAGGTCTCGACAATGGTGAGATGATTTGGGGTATGATGGGTCTGATCAGTGCACTCAATCATACCGCCGCAGGATCATCGTATCCAGCAGCCTACCAGCTACTCGCCACTAGATACCAGGCCTACATGAACCTGTTAAAGGCAAATGCCAAGGCTGTATTTTATAACGAGCCAGGGTACATCTCGGCCGTCGTACATATTGGCAACACATCGGCACAACCAACCACCGACAACTACAAGAATGACTGTGACTGTTATTTAGACGACCCATATGAAGGTGAGTTACTCACTGTGTTTATGGATCTGTACAGTCAATGGGACAGTATTTCAGAACGTGACCAACTTTGGATCAACAAGCGTAACCTTCTTCAAAACGCAACTTTCTCAACTCCAAGTGGAGATATTACAGTGCAACGTGGATGGTGGTTTAGCTCACACGAGCAATGGAAATACTTGATGCTGCCATACCTCGACGTTCCAATTAACCGAATGGTCTTTGAAAATGGAGAGAGGGCACGTACTTGGTTCTCGCATCTCAAACAATACCCAGGCATGTTTGCATCGGTCAACAACGTCACCAAGTTCCCATCACTCTATCCCAACTACATGTCGGCTGCCGGCATCCAAGAAATATCTTTTGAATCGATCGAATGCAACGATGTCGTCACTCCATACGGTTCATTCCCTTTGTTTTTAGTAGAAGATTTGGAACTCGTCGGTGGTATTGCCTGGTACTATAACATGATCAGCGGACCTGCCATGCAAAATCAATATGGTTCAACTGAGAGCATAAGTAATCAAGGTGATGAAATTGCTCCAATCTTAACTTGGGATTCTAAAAGTATGAAATATAAAAATATCAATTTAATCATTAATTCTTTTTTGTATTTACCCTAATATTCTATCTATTAGTTACCACAGTTCTTGCAATGATGGGAGGTTTAAGTAATTTAAATCGTCAAGTTATGAGTGCCGATGGTACATTGGTTAGATTCCTTCAGGTTATTCAACGTGAATGGTCACTTAAATTCCCTGAACCTCTCCAAGGTACTGACTTGCCATTCATGTATCCATCTACCCAAATTCCACATATCCTTAATGATTTTACAACTTGTAATTAAAAATTAAATAAATAATTAAATAATTAATTAAATAATTAATTAAATAATAAATAATTGTTAAATCAAATTATTACAATAATTTCTGTACTCATATGAATATTGAGATTATTAATAATATTATTTTACAATTCTACTTTCAAATTCAATGATTTTCAATTGTGTGAAAAAAGGATCACGATCTCCAATCTGTTCTGTTTGGAAAAAACTGTTTTTAGCCCAAAAAGGAAGTTGTTGTTGTGGAATTATTAAATTGAATCAACAAAAAGAACATTAATAATAACAACAATTATTATGATGATGCCCCCTTTACAAGAACATGCATTTTTGATGCTGGTGCTCAAGACCAGAACAGACAACAAATCAAACACCTGCAAACATTCATTCATTTATTAATTAATCATAAACAACTTAGAGATTATAATATAATATAATATAGATCAAACAGAGATTAAGATCATTATCACCTAGATATCAGTAATAACCCTCTCAATAAATCATCATCATATGCTAAAGAAATGGATTTAAATTTTAAATAGAAATAGCAAATCAATCAATCACAAATAATAATCGTAGTAAATCACACAACAACATTGTAAATAATTAATTAACCATCATCTGAATATATAACCGCCCTCCCCCTCCACCTACACTGTAAATACAACAATAACACAACAACAACAAAATCCTTATATAGACAATAATAATAATAATTAGAGATATTGAAAAAAGTTAAGGAAACAGTAGTAAATATCAAAACTTGTAAATTGTAATGTAAATTGAATACTTTTTGTAAATGTAAGTAAGCATTCATGATTCACATCACCCATTGATTCACAATTATTCCAAAATTAAAAAGTTAAGGAATTGGAATGTTGGCAACTGGAATGAAATGATTGTTGTGTGTGTCATTCCGATATCTTTTTGGTAGGTTGTGAGAATGAAAAGGAATGGAAACATAAATTACTTTATTGGTAGAGAGTGAGAGAGAGAATAAAATGAATGGATAGGATATTCCAACAACACACTACATTTTCGAATGGATGGATCGATTACCATCAAAAGTAAAAACGATATCCAATCCTCACACTCCCACACAACAACAATGCCACTGTCTACCACTACTACAATTCGCATTCACCCCCACCCACTCACACACTTGTTGTGTGTGTTTTGTTAGTAGCGGACGGGTTTTGATAGTGCCACAACAGCTTTACTCGGTTTGTTTTGTATGAACCACCATTGAATCTTCCAATACTGCCTACTCTTACTACTCACTGTAATGGTAGTTGTAAGAGGGACTGACAGATGGACGATTAATCCTGTGTTGCAATGGTAGAGTTGGAGTGAGTTGTGGATATCAAGAATATTCTTCATTGTTTGTTTGTGTTCCATTTCCATTTTCCTTCTTCTTCTTACAACTACAACAAGTAATAATAATAATAATTATTTAGATAATCGATTATCTATCTATCTCCTATTTCCTTTTTCCTTTTTTCCACTTCACTTCACTTGGTTCTTTTTCACCATTCATTCAAAGATTGATTCAATTCACAACAAGAGCCATTCATCCAATCTAGATTACTAAATTTAAATTTATTTTCTTATCAGAGAGACAAATCAATAATAATAATATTAATCTTAACCAATCAACAAATCCAAACTCCAAACAAAATGTAAGATCCAAAAACAAAACAACAAAAAACTATATTTTTTTTTTTTGTGATTGTATGTTTGTGTATCAGTATCAGCAACCAATCAATCATCCAATCAATAGAGAGAGCGAGAGAATGGACATGGACAAAACAACATATTCATAGAATACAAAAACAAACCATAGAAGATTCAGGCTACGGGAGTTAATTATTATTTCAGTAACATTCAACTGATTTGCAAACTGGAAGTAGATCCGTCTGAATTTGTTGGTTTGGAATAGTTGGCGTTGTGTTTTAATTTACACTTTTACCGACTTATTCTCCTCTCCTCTCCAATAACCCCCAACCAAAAGATTACTTACATTTTCAAAACACACCACACCCAAAAACAAAAACGCAAACCTACACATACAATCTCTTTTCTTTTTTTTTTTTTTTACTTGGTCGGGTGATCATCCCCCTCTTCCTCCTTCTCCACCCCCCTATGGGTGGGTTACTACAAAATATCATCATCAATCAATCACTCTTGATTCCATTCTATTCTTCATATCCAGGAATGAATGAACGAATGAATGACATGTGTGATCGATTGATATTTTATTATTATTTTATTGTATTTTTTATATATTTCGTTACGTGATTTCTCTTCCTACCTGATTGATGGTTAGATCATCATCATCACACAACTTGTTGTGTACACTATTCGTTTTTTCCTCAGTTGTTGTTGTGATTGTATTGGTATTGGTGTCACTGGGTAATTAATGTGTTATTGTTGGTTGCTACTAGCAGTCCTGGCTGTCATATGATAATTATCATTATTATTATTATATTCTTGAACAATTGTTTGTTGTTGTTGTTTATCTTGATGAGTTCAAAAAGAATAAAACAACAATAATAATTTATCATTAAAAAAAAAATAGTGTTCCAACAAACGCTAACAACTGTCAAGATAGATAGAATCATCAACACTTCAGTTGAATCAATCATCATAATAATATCATACCGATAAATTAAGCAATAGCAATCACCTGTAATAACAAATAAGTTAATACTATTGATGTTAATAATCAATCAATCAATCAACAATTAATTAATCATCAATAATTAAATATAATTATAATTATCTACGACCTCCATCAATCAAACTGTCTCCCACCCACCAATCACACCTCTCATTTTTTTTATTGTTTTTTAAATCCAAGTTTAATTTGGAAAATGATGTTCAACCATCAACAACTTTGGACATAAAGAATAGAAAGAAGAAAACATTGTACAATATTAACCAACTCCCATCTCCTCCCTTTTAATTCAATTCACTTTTTATTATATACAGATAAATTGCATTTCATAACAAATTGAAGAGCATATTTTTTTTTGTTTCTTTTTTTTTTTCTACTTTGTAACAACAACAATATCAAGATCCCATTTTTTTAATCAACAGATCATAGAATTTTAAATTGCACCCGACTCTTTTTTTAGATATATATATATTGATAAAATAACCTACAACCAGTGTAAAAACAGTTAAACTAATAATAATAATTTAATAACCAACAATAATAATAATAATAACCAAAATACTTCAAATATAATATATATTTATAGAATCACAACCAACCAAAATAATTAATAATTAATCAAAGAAGTAGTCGTAGTTTATAGGTTTTCCCAAATCTATTAATATTATCTTAGAAACAATGGGAATTCCACAACAAGAGGATAATAGCTTTACACCAAATGGTTGGAAATTGGTACCAACACATGCCACACCCAATCCATCAGGAACCAAACCAATGGAAATTGATCAACAAGTAACTTTTATAACTGGTGTATTTCCAATTGAACGTCATGGTCATACCACATGTCTATACAAAAATACTTTAATTCTTTTTGGTGGAACTCCCGATGGTTCATCTGGTCTAAATGATTTATATTTTTTAAATTTAGGTAAGTACAACAATAAATATAATATAAAAAAGAGTTGATTAAACTAAACTTTTTCTAATATTTTGTTTTATTATTATTTAGATAATTTTACATGGGTAGAAGTTAAAACTAAAGGAATTTCTCCAATTGGTAGATATAGACATTCAGCAATTATAATAGAGGATAAAATGTACGTCTTTGGTGGATATCGTTCAAAGTGCTTGAATGATCTTCACACCCTCGACCTAAAGACCCTTACTTGGAGCGAACCACCACAACAAGGCGACACTCCAACCGCCAGATCATCGCATGCAGTATGCAGTGTCGGAAAAAAGATGATTCTATTTGGAGGTAGTGGAGCAAGATATTCAAATGAATTATTCACCCTCAACACTGTCACTAATCGATGGACCAAGCATGAAGTAACTGGTACTCCTCCATCTGAGAGATGGTGTCACACTATTTGTAGTTTTGGTAAAAAGGTATATGCATTTGGTGGTTCAAATGATAAAAAAAAGGATAATAAGGTTTTTATTTTAGATACTGGTAAATATAAATATTATATAACAAACAAAACAAAACAAACTATTTAATATTGGTATTAATTTATTATTATTTTTTTATTTTAGAAACATTCGAATGGACACAACCACCAACTTCAGGTGTATCACCAAGTCCAAGACAATTACATACTGCCGTATCGATTGGAGAAAGTATGATTGTATTTGGAGGATGGGGTAGACACCAAGAATTAAATGATTTATATATATTAAATACTAGTATGTAGTCATGATAAAACCTTAATATTCGAACATTTAATTAATTAATTAATTTTTTTATTATATTAGGAACAATGAGATGGACATGCCCAAAAATAGAAACACTTATTCCATGTTGTCGACAACTTCACAGTGCATGGGTATATAATGGTAAAATGTATGTTTTGGGTGGATATTCCAAGAGCAAGAGAATGAACGATGTATTTTGTTTTAGTCCCGAACAAACAGTGTCTAGTCTCAGAGACCTATGTATTGAAAAGATTGTTGACAATATTTCAAACTATGTTGACTACTTTCCCTATCTCCCAGATGAACTCTTATTCTACATATTTACCAGATTGGCCCAATCAGGAAAACCCATTCCATTAAAACTCGATCGTCTCATTCAAAAGTCATACTTGGCAGAATACGCTACCATCAATTCACCCAATTTTACAAATACTACTTTCGAAGAAACTTTACAATATCATTCCTAATAATAATAATAGTACAAATATAAAAATATCAATAACTTAATGATCCCTCAAATACTACTCAACTGTTTTTTAATATTCAAATTATAAAAATAACCAAAGTAATAATAATAATTTTAGACACACAGAATGAATGAATAATAAATCATCATAAAAAAAAAAATATATTTATTTTAAACCAGAGAGAATCATTGTTTTCATTTCTTTATATCTGTTTTGAAAAGGGTTAAGGTTTTTAAAGACAAACAAACAAAACCATGGGAAATTTAAATTTCTCAAATCTGGTTAGAATTTGAATTGAAAGAAGAAAAAACCCTGGATTGTGTTTGTAGTATAGTTTGGAAAACAAAAAAACAAAATAAAATTAAAATAGTTTTTCGAAATTTACTTTCTTCCGGGGACAACCCTGAGTTTGAGAAACCTGGGGGAAGTAAAAAAAAATTTGAAAACAATTAATTTAAATTGAAGTATTTTTTCGTTCGATCACCCTTTGTCGACTGTACTGTTCACTAACTGTCTAGAAGGGTTTTTTAAATTTCCATTTTATTTTACATATCTCACATATCAATAATAATTATAATATTTTAATTGTACAATTATCTCTTTTTATCAAAAAAAAAAAGGTGTACCATTTTTAAAATTACTCGTTTTTTTTTTTAGAATTGCATACCCCCAATCTTTTACCAGTGATTTAATTTCCCACCACTCACTGAGAGACAATAATCATCGTTATTTCCCATACTTTTATTTCCCACTCCAATCATCACAATCAAACAAACACTTCGAGTTCACTCGAATACTCTTATTTTTTTAGTTCATCATTCTATTGTTATTATATACATTATCTGTCATCACAATCTATAAAGTTTAGTTGCACTAGATCAATCAGATTTGCAATCATTGTTAATTATCATTTAATTATTTGTTTTTGTTTTTTTTTTATCTAAAGATGAAATTCTATTTTTCATTGTTTATCTTTTTATTTGTTTATATATCAATAGACAACCACAATCACTTTATCTATTCTAAAAAGATAGAAGTTATTCACAAGAATGATAAAACAAATGAACAACTAGTAGATAAAGATGGAACTGGTTTGACTGCAACCTATCAACTATTAAAGATTCTCAATGACAAACCTCACGATGAATTGCAGTTGGCTTGTGAAGCGATGCAGAATTCATTGTTTTCACCATTAAAGTGTGTCAATCATACACTTCGTGCTGAAAGAGAATCATCTGGTCAACTAAGAGTTGGTCAAAGACTCCGTAAAACAATCAACACCAAGAGAAGTGGTCCTGTAGGTGTACTTGGTGGTGCTCTTAAACCTATTATTCTTGTTCCTGGTATTGCTGGTAGTATGTAATAACAACTAAAATATAAATATATCTATATAATTGATTGATTTACTTACTTTTATGTTTATTTAGGTGGACTTGAAGCAAAATTAAACAAAACAAAGGTACCAGCATTTTATTGTACAAAGAATCAAGATTGGTTTAGAATTTGGTTATCATTACCTGAATTGTTGGTTCAAAAGTGCTGGTTTGATAATTTGGCAGTAGACTTTGATGCAACGACTGGAAAGTTTTCAAATACACCAGGTGTTGAAATTAGAGAGATTGATTTCGGTGGTATTCTAGGTGTTGGCTATTTAGACTATAAATTCTCTTTTCCAATTGGTATCACCAATGTCTATGGTGAAATGGTTGAATTCTTTGAAGATTTGGGTTATGAAGTCGGTAAAAATATTAGAGGTGCTCCATTTGATTGGAGACTATCGATTCAAGAGCTAGAGAAAAGAGGTTGGTTTGATAAATTCAAATCGTTGGTTGAATCAACCTATGAAATGAACAAGCAACAAAAGGTTGTACTTGTAGCTCATTCTATGGGTGGTCTATTGTCATTATACTTTTTAGATAAAATAGCTACTGATCAATGGAAGGCTAAATACATTGATTCTTTTATTCCCATCGCTGTACCTTGGTCTGGTTCTCCAAAAGCTCTTAGAACTGTTGTAAGTAGATAAAAACATACATCATACCATCAATCATTTAATTAAATATATATACCCAAACTAATAATAATCATCCATTCTATTGTATTGTAGCTATCAGGTGATAACTTTGGTATTGGAGTGATAAATAAGGATTATTTAAAGAAATTTGCTCAAGAAAGTGGAGGAGTCATTCAATTGATTCCTGACCCTATTATCTGGTCAAAAGATAAAGTATTTATCACTGCAAAGAATACCAATTATACTTTAGGTCAAACTACCAATCTATTTAATGATCTTGGATTAAAGGTAAATATATAAAACAAAAAGAGTGGCTGATGAGCAAATACAAAAATATATATTATTTTAAATACTAATTTTAATCTATCTTCTCTTTTTCTATAGGATACAACATTAATTTATAATTCAATTTCATCAGTAACAAGTGAAATGAAACCAGGTGTAAATACTCATTGTATTTATGGATATGGTATCAAAACTGAAATATACTATGACTATAACGATGGATTCGATGAACAACCAAAGATTTATGAGACTGATCTTGGTGATGGAACTGTGCCATTGGAAAGTCTTCAATTTTGTAACCAATGGAAGAATGATCCTGAACATGTTGGAATCATTCAAGTCAAAGAGTTTGATCTCTTACAACATCGAGATATTATTGCCGATTCTGAAGTATTTGAATATATCTTTCAATATATTATTAATCGTTAATCACCATTAATATTCAAACAATACTTCCAAATGTACATACACTACTACTTTTTTTAACGATCATCAATAAATATATTTGATTTGACCAACCATGACAATTGGTTATACATACTATTATTATTATTTTACAAGTTTATTTACAAGGTACATTGTTAGTACACCAAATGAAAATGCAATTGGAATACTTGGATTTGATATTTGGATTGGAGATGACCTACTCCATGATTCTATACAATTCCAAAAAGAAGAAGAAGAAGAATGATGTGTTGTTGATTGTAGTGCAGTAGGATCATTACTCTTGAATGCTGATTTTGCAGCAGTCAAATGAAGTGGTAATACAGATAGTGTAAATCCAGTTCTAATCACTCGGTTGAATAGGAATCGAGGATAAGGATCATTTGAGAATACTTGTATGTAGGCATACTCATTATCACCCATAAAGAACATAAGATGATCTTGAGGTAGTATAGGTACAAATTCAACTTTCTTATTAATCTTGTTTTGTTGTTGTTGACTATGCTGACTATGATGACTATGTTGCTGATCAGATGTTATCCTTCCATCAATACCAATTGAATTTGCAAACTCTTGTGATGATACATAAACTAGTATTGTACAATCAAGTGTATTCTTTATACCCACCTCTCTTGATGACTTGTATTTAACTGGTATTATCTCTTCATCATTACAATCTTTATGATTCATATTACTATTACTATATTACTATTGTTGTTTACTACTACTATAAATCTTCTACATTAATGAATGAATGAATACATAAAAGAATGAAATAGATTAAAAATAACTTCATTGAAAATCCCAACCAAAGTATGACAAAAATGGGATAATCAAACGTTTTGTACTATAAATGGTGTTTAATTACTTTCCAATATTATGCACGGGACAGGTCTGTTTGAATTATCCTAAATAGCTATATACAGAATGATTCAGGTTTTGAAAGTACATAGTAAAAACATACTCTGACGTTGGTGATTGTATTATTCTATCTTGTGTAGACCGATACCATGTTGTTGCTCAATCGATACTTAATTGGTCTGGAGATTTCGGCTATCGAGTTGAATGACGGCGAGAGCATGACTGTAGTCTTTGAACATGTTGGTGGTTTCAATCATGGAAACAAGCAAGTACCAGTCCTTGATTGATAATGAACCATTCGTTGTTCGTCTTGTGTGTCGACTCATCTTTCAAATTTAATTTTATATAATTTTTTTCCTTCTCCTTTCTAACAGCATCTATCTAACAAAAGAGAAGGTTTCATCTCAACAATGGATGATGATTTCTTCTCGATTACTACAATCTTTATCTTCATCGTCGACGAGTAGAAGGATCTTGTCATCCTCTATTTACAGCAACAGATCATCATATACAACAACAATAATAACACAATGTCAAAACAACAAGAATTACAGTACTGGTAGCAATCATGATGACTCCTACTCCTCATCATCTCAATCATTAAAGTTTAAAGATACAATATTTGCATTGAGTTCTGGATCGAATAAAGCTGGTGTCGCAGTGATTAGAGTATCTGGTAGATCATCAAATGATGTATTACAAAGATTGACTATGTTTTCTAGTATTAGTGGAGACGGAGGAACTAAAACAATCGTACCTCGAATGGCAACCTTGTCATCTATACATCATCCTCAAACAAAAGAACAAATAGACAAGGCAATGTTGCTATGGTTCCCTCAACCAAATAGTTTTACTGGAGAGGATGTATTGGAGCTACACGTTCACGGTGGCAGAGCTGTTGTACACGACACACTAGACGCTATTGCATGTGTACCAGGAACACGGTCGGCTGTTGCGGGTGAATTTACAAGACGTGCATTTGATAATAACAAAATGGATTTGTCTGAGGTCGAAGGCCTGTCAGATCTCTTGGACGCACAAACCAACCATCAACGTCGTGTAGCACTCTTGCAAATGCAAGGATCGTTGGCTAAGTTTACATCACACCTACGAAACAGACTCATCAGAGCGTCGGCATACACAGAAGCATTTATAGACTTTGGAGACGATGCAGAGATTGATCCGGCGGTCGTTGAAACATCGAAACGTGCAATAAGAGAGATCAAAGAGACGATAGAAGGACATTTGGCCAACGGAAGAATTGGTGAGCGTCTCAGAGAGGGTGCGTCTATTGCTATTGTAGGTCCACCCAATGCTGGAAAGAGCTCACTTATCAATATACTTGCTCAGAGAAGAGCATCGATTGTTTCGTCGATACCGGGGACAACTCGTGATGTTGTCGAGGTGGTATTGGATATCGGAGGATACCCCGTGGTGATTGGTGATACTGCAGGTATTAGAGTTGGACAAGATGAAATTGAACAAGAAGGAATAGTAATGGCAAAGGAAAGATTTAAAGATTCAGATATAAGTATCTGTGTATTTGATTCTTCTTCCTTTTTTACAAGTGGTCAAGTTGGAACAATAATAATCGATCCAACATTATTGGAATTAATCAATTCCAATACTATTATTGTATTTAACAAAACAGATCTTTTACTCAATAACAACAACGACAACAAACAATCTTGGAAGGATATTAAAACAAATTTATTAAATCAAATACAACAACAACAACAATCAAACTCTACAACAACCATTAATCATTGTGAAATATCATGTTCAAGTAATCAAGGTATAAAAGATTTACTTTTAGTTTTAGAAAATAATTTAAAGAATTTGTATGTCATCCAATCAATCAATCAACTATGAATATTCATATCAAAATAATTAATAATTTCCATTTATATTTTAGATTTGAAACAAGTAATTCAGATGAACCATTGTTAACAAGATTAAGACATAAAGAACATTTAAGAAATTGTGTAGAGTCGTTGGATAGATTTTTGGATTATTGTGAATATGATGTTGTCATTGCAGCCGAAGAATTGAGAAGTGCCATCAAAGAGATTGGTGCTATCAGTCATCACGTAAATGTTGATGATCTACTGGATGTCATTTTCAAAGATTTTTGTATTGGTAAATAATAAACAAGCTTTCAACAATGATATGATCATACTACTACGTTGTCTACATATATATTACAATACCACACCTCCTTGGGTTACAAAAAAAAATATAACCCAAAAAAATTTTATTTTGTTTTTCTTTCTTGCAAGATCTTGATCAACTATTCAACTATGCAACATGAAGGATAGTTCAAATAATATTGTGTCACATTGTAACTTGTAGATTGATATTCAATTATGCCAATCAATTGAATTAGTAGAATACACTTCTAATATATCTATCATAATCGATATCATCAACACTTTTCAGAAGTAATATTAAACATCTATCAATCATCGATTGTGTATGGACCATTTGAATCATTCAAATCCATCTATCATCTTCATCCAAATCGATCAATAATATTGATAATAACAATAATAGTATTATTAATAATAACATTAAAAATATTAATAATCAACATTTCTACTATAATAATCGAGTAAAAAATCTAATCAAAAGAAAGATTTTAATGGAGAATATTGACTCTTATGAACTTTATCCAGTCGGGACTGGATTGATATCGAGAAGTTAAAATACTTAAATTTATTCCTCTCGATACCTTTAAAATATATGTATCATGCGAATCAACAATGTCAAATTCTGCCATCTTGACATTAATCAGAAAATCACGAATAGATCTACTCGAATATCTGGCCAATACATTTCCAACAATACCTTTCTACCGTTTTCTTTCTTTTGGGATTCAGTGCGCACGACAACATTCAATGGAGATTGCTCAACTATTGCTCTCAAATTTTGAACATTTTCTAAAGATTATTATTAGACTCAGCAAATTGGGTTCGGATATGCCTTTGTCAGAAGTTAAACAAAGAAACGATGGTCTATTTGTTAAAAAAAGCAATCCAATACAAATCAATTGGAATATTACTCTATGGTGAAAAAGATGAGGATAGTATTGATTTGGATTAAGGAATCGATGAAGAGATTGCAGAATTATTTTATCAACTCCTCCCTTCTGAATGTGAATGGGAAAGATCCTATGGTGCTTCTGGAATATTTCGGTGGCTTAGTGATCATCCTGATATCCATAGGCTATTAAGCTTGATTGATATTAAACAAAAATTAATTTGGTACCAAATTTTATATTAATATATTTTCTTTTATATTCATCATTTATTTGTTTGTGTAACTTTGTTGCCTGCTTATTAATACTATTAATGGTAATTAAAATATTATATAGTTTTGTTTTTTCTTTAAAATATAATTCCAATGTTAGTGATAATATTAATTTGAGATTTTGTAGGATGCTTACAGTTTTAAAGTTGGGGTTATAGGTGCTATTTTATCATCATTAAGAGGTGATGTTTTATTACCATTGTCTTGGGAAGAAAATGATGATATTTGATTGTGTATATCTCGAATATCATCAAAAAAAGCGTGAGTAACTGAGAGAACCAAAAGGGTATGAACAAGGAACTTTTCTAGTTTCACCATCATTGAACTTTAATGTTTTTTTTCTATTATTAATTGATTAAAATGAGTATTCAATCTTACTATTTATTCACGGATGAGTAGCAAACCTGTCCTGATTATAAATTCAATTCCACTTTTGATCGGGTTGATTGTTTCGAATCCAAAAAAAGTTGGGTTTTTTCGATGGGAAAAAAAATTGGTGATTAAACATCATCTTTTACAATACTATTTATTTCAATTCTACTTTTTATTCATCTTTGTATAAACCATTAGAGTAATAAACAAGGATAGTTTATACTCTGCTATTGTCATTTATTTTTTGGTATGATAATGCTGAGGATAGATCTGTCCTCAGCGCCATTACTTCTAGAGTAAAATTGTGCGAATGGAAATTGGTCTCGTCTACCTCTCTCGTGTCTTCGCTTACGTCTTGGAGACGTTTCTTCCAACGAACAACTGCAAAAATTCTTCCACTAGAGATGGATTCTTGAAGTGGTTGGTCCAATTTTCTTTCAAAGTAATTCATGGTAGAGTGACATGACCGACCACAAGAGAGAACAGGTACGTGAAAAGTACCAAATACCTGCCTAGACTTTAACAAGCATTCCATAATTTGCAAACCAAGTGAGTACCAAAAATTGAGAGAGAGAGAACCATTTACGAGCAACTATAGTGAAAGTTAGTGTTGGTAACTTGTGATTAAAAAATGAAACAAACAATTGTCATACCCTTGATCATCAAAATTAAACCATCGTATGAATAGAGGGTGTAGTTTGATAATGAAAAAGAATTACATAAATAAATAGAAGATATAAAGTTGCAGAGCATAGTCACTGCCTCGCAAGACCAACTCAATGAACAACTGCGTAGACGTGCAGCAGAGTTTATATTGGTCATCGTGACACGTGCCATTGAAGAGCCGGACATGATCCTCTTGACAAGCGGCCCTGCTTGAGCGTGCCGTCACGGCACTGTTGATTGACGGAGGATCGGATAACTGCGAACTCAACGAAAAGAGAGCAATGCCCATGCTCTATGGATACACACCAACTACACAAAAGAATCTATTTGCCATGTTCGACCAGCTGCCACCCGCAGATGCACGACCAGATGCAGTCGAGGTAGAGGAGGTCGAGGAGGAGGTGGGAGTTTTGGCACGTGCGCCATTGACATTTACGGTTGGTACACCCTTTTTAAAATCTGTCATGTCCAACTCGACATCCATGCTCTCTGTCACTTTTGCCAAGTTTTCAGCCTCATCCAACCAGCAGTGGTACAACAACAACATCATCTTCAGCATCATCCGTTTCAGGAATACCTAGACGATATGGGTCTAGTTTGGGTTCTTGTAATAGTACTATTACAAGTACAAGTACTACAAGTACTGTTTCAACAACCACACAGCCGGTTAGTAGATTATCAAAACCAGTTCCATCTTCATCTATACCACAAAGAAAATCAATCGCTCCTGGTGCTGCCACTAGTACCAACAAACCACTTGAGACAACAACAAATACACCAACAGCAGAAACATTATCAACTAAAAAGAAATTTATTACTGTTACACCAACTGTCGATGATGATGGTGATGACATTGTTGTTGGTACAACATCACCACCAATGATCATTGGTTTGGATGACAAGGAATCATTGTTGGATGAAAAATGGTTGAGTAGAGATGTAACAGCGATCAATAATGTCGAAGATCTTATGCAATACAGTAATACACTTGTGGAATCATTGGCAAACATTGAAATGGAAATTGATTCATTAAATGAATCAAATCAATTCAATCAAATATCAGATGCTTTGGCAAACAATATTCGTGATGCTAGAAAGGGTATCGACGAATTATCAATCGATGAATTGGACACTAGTCATGTATAGTAAAAAAAGAAGACGACGAATTTAATTGGGTCGAAGATTCTGTAGATCAAGCTCTAATCGAAGACGATGAAATCGATTTTGGTGAGAGTTCATTTAAAAAGAATAATAATAATAATAGTAGTTTTAAATCGATCATTTCCAATTCCAAAATAACTCCGATAAAAGATAACAAAAGAAATACTTTAAATCCAGATGATTTACTATTATTAGATGATGACCTTAATCAATCTGATAATGACGATTAATTAAAGACAAAACAAATAAATAAATTCGAAGATGTCACCCGATCCTTTTTTTGATTCAGAGAGTGTGTTTCTACCAAGATCTACAATGCATTTAGTTATCATCTCATCGATCATCAAAGAATATTAAAAACTAGAAGAGAATGATTTCAAGAATGAAAGAATATTCATCAGGGATGAAAAGTTTCAAGACGAAGCAACAGAACAATATAAACTATCTAAAAGGATATTTATTGTTGCAATGGTGTGCAAACAATGGTTTAAACTAGTACAATCAAACATCACAACATATTCAATTTACTTTCGTTATTTCAAAGTTGTTCAAGAAAGATCAATAGTAAAGAATCAATTGACATGAATCGATAGAAAAAAGATCAATAGAAATTTCGTGAATATAACAATCACAGGAACTTGCGAAACCATTTTCAAATATGTTGATTGAAAACAAAAGTATTCAAATCCTTTCAATGCATACAACATTCTTAAACACAGAGACACTATTCCATGCATTATCAACCAATCAACACATCAAACAATTGGAGATTAATTTGCAAATACCAGTAGAGAATATCATAAATGGGTAGCTGACATGCTTTCAAGAAACACATCGATCACTCATCTTAGATTAACCCATGGAGTAGGAAATCAATACGAATTATTCCATGAGGGTGTGCTTGCATGCAAGTCCCTTTTAATACTAGACTCACCCATGAAATTGGAAGAGGCCAACATAATATTGGAAAATAACCCAACCATAAAGTTAGGACTTAAATGCAATCCTCGTTCCAACACCATTTTACCAAATTCATTGGTACGTTTGACAGTTTCTTCATCTGCAATTAGTATTAGATTAGATGAAATCATTTTAAAGAGCAACGTACAAGAAATTATATTCTTTAAATCCAGATTATTAGATGACCTTAATCAATCTGACAATGACGATTAATTAAAACCAAAACAAATGTGGAATAATAAATTAATTAATTTATTATGATACTTTGCCAGAGCAAGGTTATTTGGCCTTTTTTTTTGTCGATGAATATTCTAGAATTTACTAACGATTGAGTAAATCATAATATTTAGAGTTGGATTTCCCCATTGGGTCGATTGGAATAAAAACAGGGCCTCTGTCTAAATTATTAACCACATATGGTTTTGTTGTTGTGGATACATAAACCTTGGAATAGCCATTTGTGATACTTGTGTAAGTGTCGTCTACGCAATTGGTTGATATTTCCTCGCGGTCTGGGCATTGTTGGACGACAGAGAGCGAGTCGACTGAGAGCGTAAAGTTTATGTTCATATTTTTGTAGTATGGAATTGGTTGAAGCTTTACACCTATGATTCTGCCTGGGTACTGTTTGGGATCAAAGGTAATTACTCCACCCAATTCATCGAATCTTCTGTATTCGGTGAGTACCATCTCTTCACAAACCAATGACACTGATTCTTTGGAAACTAGCATTTGAGTAAACAAAGGAGGAATAATTGGTGAGCTGGGGCTGCACCAAATATAATTGAAGGTGGTTTGGTGGATAGTCCAAAGGAACATAACGAGTAGAGTTTTCCTTTCTCATTCGATAGAGTCGGGAGGTCATTGGGTCGACAAGGGAAATCGTTGGGCAGCCATAAGGGGATCGAATAACTGCATTGTAGATACATTTTTTGGTTTCGTCCTCCCAATATCGAGTCAAAGATCCGTCATTGACTGCGGGGTCACAGACCACATGAACCTTCAATGTTCTTGTATCATAACAATTGCCTTGATTGGGATATGTTTTTGGGGTAGAGTAGGTAATTGTTAGGCCACGGTCAGTTCCATTCTGATATCTTGTGATGTTTGTAAACTTGTTTGCATCACCAGTGGGATAACTATACAATTTGTCGCTTCTTTGGTCGTCAAATTGGCATCCTACCAAATCTCCATTTGAAGAACCTGTTACATTGGAGGTACAAATCCAGAGAGTGTCACAAAGGTTCACGATATTCTAGAAAGAATGAAGAGGAATTAGAATTGGATGAGATGTTTGTTAGACTGCTACTTACCAAATAGATACCACCAGCTCCTCCAGTGCCATTTCTCATCGAATAAAAGTTTCCATTGAATTTGATTAAATCTCCGAGGTCATAAAATTCGTTTGTTGAAGGATCCGAAAAAGCACAATTCGATGGAGAATTAGCCCAATTGGTCCTATTATTGACAATAATACTTGATGGTTTAATAATTCCAATATCGAGAGATTTTATTCCTACCCCTTGAGGGAAATCCATAGAGGTAGGAGTCATTGACAATACTTTCAGATTGTTAATCTTTGAGGTCACATTGTTCTCACTTGTGAAAGTTAAGTTTGCTGAGAAATCGAACGAGGGAACCGAGGAATAAAATCCTGCCACCCAGACAATTGGGGTAAAGTTTGGGCCTAAATAAATGATTATTAATATTTTGGTTTATCTACAATTTTAAAATCATTCTTACTTGTAGTGTTTGGTTGTTGAAACAAAGGATTGGAATAAGATTCCCAAAAGATCGACGAATAGAGTTCTTCCTGGGCTTGAATCCAAAGTTGTTTTATATTAGTTTGATTGGAAGAGTACCATTCCGAAGGAATAATGTCGGACACCAAACCAACTTGGAAATCAATTGGAACGGGGTTCAAAGGAACAGATTTTAGCCACTTTTGCAATGGTACTTGGGTATTGGCACCATAAGAGCCAGGTGCACCACCTTTGACGATGAGGGTCGTTCTTTCTGTATTTGATTCGTATTGAGATTGCTCTTCTTCAGAAACCTGAGACGTTAAAGAGCCAGCCAAACTAACACTTCCGCTGGCCCCAAAAGCACTTGAGGAAACGGATGCGTCAAACGATAGTGACATACTTTTGTCAAGTGAATTGCTAGATCTTGAGTTGATAAGCGACGAGGAAACACTTGTGATTTGTTCTAATGAACCACCCAAAGTGGCAGATTTTTTGTAGAAGACTCCATATTTTTTGACAACCTTTTTCATAGCTTCAGTGTCAAAAACTTGTGAGATGTCTTGGACAAACTTTGGGTGGAAATTAAACGACGACATTTGAACTTTTGAAACTTCGCATTTCATTTCTGTTGAAAAGATAGATCCTGAGGTTTGTGACTCCAACTCTTTTGCTTCTTGGACAGATTCACTAATCGACATTGACATCGATAAGGACACTTTTGTAAACCAACCTCCACTTCCACTTAATGACGTATCAAGACCCATGTTTACTGATTTTTCATACGACATTTCCTGAGCAGATGAATATGATTCAGATTTGGCTTCATATTCACATTTGGAATTAATATGACCAGAAAATCCCTTTGGAATTGTATAGACCAGTCCATGTGGAAGATCTTGGGCAGTAGTTATGGGATCGCCAGTGCAATACCCAAGATTAAATAATGGAGCCGCAGTTTCCTTCATTGACAAGAGGTCAACACCGTGTCCCATGAAGTTGAGACCAGGCAAAGTGAACCTGTATTGGTTGTTGAGTAGACTACCAACAATGTCAGAATCCTTTTTATAGTTTTCATAAAGAGGTTTTGGGGTTGCCTGGGCCTGGCACTCTACCGCTATTTGCTCAAAGCAGTCACGGAGACAACTTTCAGGAATCTCGTTACATATACCGTCACCACACCATGGGGCAGGATAGTTATCCTCTATTGAATACGACACAATAGGTTGGAAACTCTGTCGGTCAGTTCGTCTCCAAGTCAAACTGAATGAACGGGTGCCAGAAGTTATAGAAAAAAGGTAGATTATAACTTTGTGATTTTGGTTTGTCCCAAGAATAATTGATCTTTCAGAGTCAATACTTTCAGTGACAAAGTATGAATTGAACAGTAGCACATTGTCAATATATACCGCAACACCAATGTTTGATGCCAAAAGATGGAAGTCATATGAAAAGGTTTCGTTCACTTGAATGAACGACTTCATTACTCCTGAAACTGGGCACTGAATATCATCCATAAATGAGTCCAACTCTATTGAGAAATAAAAAGAAATAGAATTAGTTTATGTTGATTTTTGTACAATGTTGTTTTATGCTAACTTACTTGGGTATGGAACAAAAGATTTAGTAATTGTTGAAATGCCATCACAACTAGTATTACCTGCATAAACAAGGGTTGGGTCTACAATACAAGACAAGTATGACGTCAAAACCCAACCTGGTTGAAAAACATATTCGTTTGCATATGAAGGAGTTGGTTCGACCTGTGATACAAAGGGCTGAATGGGACAATCGCCGATGGATGAAGTGGAAATTTGGTTGCAGTAGGAATTTGATGAATCAAACGATTGAATGGAGGAAAGGATGCACTTTGTTATTAGTTTTGAAAAATCTCCATCACTACCAAAAACTGACAGTTGACTCGACTTAGCGGTGATATCAGAGGGTCCATTATTACATTTAACTAGGGTCTGGACAATGTTGGAAGTTGAGGAGTTGAATGAGAGCGCAGAGCCTTCAACTATTGCAGTGTTGTGGTGGAATTGAGAATTTGAAATCTCTACGTTTGATGAAGAGGCATGGATTGCACCACCGACAAGAGCAGAGTTGTTAAAGAGAACAACGCTATCCAAATACACATTAGTACCTTGTATTTTAATAGCACCTCCGTAATTGGAAAAACAATTGGATATTGTAATACCTTGGATCGAGACTGATTCTCCAGTAATAAAAAATGCATAAGTCAAAGACTGACAATCTATTTTGGTTTGATTTAAGCCATGGGATGATCTGAAAAAAAAATAAAAAAATAATTATTATGTGCCAATTCATTTTAAACAAATTGGAATAGTTACCTTATATCTAAACTAAAATCGAGATTAATTTCAATGTTTAGGTCACCTTGATATAAACCTGGTTCCAATATAAGGATAGGATTATCTACATGTGATATTGCTTCAATGGCTGCTTGAATGTTTGGGAAAGGGAAGTCTGATGTCCCACAATGAACTTGGCAACCTGATCCTTGTCGAGCATAAAACACCTCTCTTGCATGAAAATAAGGAGCATAAAATAATAAAATTACTAGATAGATAACTATAAATATTGCTTTCATTGCACAAGAACTAACTGTGTATGTGAATACTACTTGTTAACCTTGTAAGACGTGTTCACTCTTTATTTTTGATCAAAAATGAAAAGAGCACACGTACAAATACTATTTTTGTTTGTATTGTTGGCTTTAGTCGATGCTCAAATAGGTATGTTGAAGGCGGGTTTTAAACTACAGAAACACACCAAGATTAATCTTGTTTTTTTTTTTCATTGCAGACAACAGGATAGTATTATTTGTTGACCCATCGTATTCATGTCCTACAAATTGTAATGCAACACAGTTTCAAAACATAAAGGACGCAATCAGCTCTGTCAAGGCAACCCAACATGCCACCATTCAACTAACAAAAAACTTGGTGTACTCTGGCGATGGGAACACAGGTATTTCAGTTTATGGCTCTGTCATTCAAATCAAATCGTAAGTATTCAAATAGTATATAACAATAAAATATTCTAACTATGTTTTCTGTCACAGAATGGGTAATACTACGATTGATTGCCAAAATGTAGGCTTCTCATTCGACGTCAAGGACTCCCCCTCCTTTGACCTGGTCAACATCAAGATTACAAGATGCCGATCGAAAAATGGTGGCCTTAGACTATTCAAATCAAAGTCAATGTTGGCCAATTGCATCTTTTCTTCCAACTATGGTTCGAAGGGAGGGTCCGTTTCAGCCATCGATTCAACATTAAAGGTGTACAATACCCAGTTCATGTCAAACACCGCTTTGAAATCAGGACCTTCTATCTATTCTGAAGGGTCGGATATATCAATTCTTGGGGCTAGTACAACCTTTACAAATGATGTCATAAAATCCAACGGACAGAATTCCTCGATCTATTGTACAAATTCCAATGTTCATATTGACGACGCCACGGTTCTTCCCGTCCTTTCTTGTGACCAATCATGCACTTCGACCTACAAAAGCATTTCTGCCTGCCACACCAACTCTGAAATCTCCCCGCCATCTACTTGTTCAAATAATATCACCAATGTTCCAACCATCCAAGAAACTAACACAAGTAAGTGTAATCATGAGAAAAAAGAGTAAATGAGAACCAAAATTAACATATAAATTATAATACCACAGTTTTTGCATCCGGAATGATTTACGAATCTTTTGTGGGCTCCATAAACTCTCAATTCATATCAAAGACTATCCTACCAGATATTTCTATTGAAAACTTCCTCCAAGGCTATGAAGGAGTAGTATTTGGCGAACTTCAAGGTTATCTCCAAGTAAGATCCTCAAAGTATCTAGTGTTTCGTTTTGGTGGTAATAACGTAGAAATTACTCTCACTGTAAATGGACGAACCGAGTACAAACTAAACGAAGTTGAAATTGTAGATATATCTTCAAATCCAATTTTTTTCGAGTCTGGTATCATTCACCATATTCAAATTATAATCTCCTCCACCTCTCCACGTTCCAAACGTAGTTTTATTGTCCATCCTTTCCCAAGCGGTGAAAGAATATTTTATTCAAAAAATGGTATGTAAAATTAAACATGATTCAAAAAAAAACAATAAGGGAAAAAGTATTTATTAATTGAAATTTATTACTATAGTTTGTGGTGATGGTATTCCCAATAATCTTGAATTTCAACAAGGATGTTCAGAGTCGGTTTGTAAGTTAAACTATAGATATCTATATTACTATTATATTAATTTTGTTTTATATATTAGTTCCAACCTTTGATATTTCTGACCAAAACAATGATGGAGTTTGTTCCTCATCCGATCCGAACCTTCATTTTAAAGAGTGTTACCGTCAAATATCGAAAGATTGTGATCCACTGTCGGTCCCTCCTGGTCATATTAGCCCTGGTTTCTATACAGCGATAACCAATTTATGTGGAAATTGGCTGGCTCTGAGCATTTCAATTTTGGAATCAATATCATAAATGGTGACGAAGGAAAAGCCCCCGTTTTTCAGTTTGATTATTGTGTAGATATTTCTGACAATATCCTCGAAGACCCGTATAGAGGACTAGTTTATCAAATTCCACCCTCCCTACTTGCCAAACCCCTCCCTCAATGTACCTTCTCTACTTCAACTGAGAAATACACCACCTCTCAAGATATTCAAAAATCACTTCAAGAATCTGCCAGTAAGTAACAATATATAATTTTTTTTTTAATATTCAAGACCTCAAAATTAATCTATTGTTTTTCAAAAGCTATTTCCACCTCTGCTAGTGTAAATACTAAAGTAGTTGATGTTAGTGCCGCTTTTTCTGGAGAAAAAAGTGTTTCTGAAGCATCTTCGATGTCAACTTCATCGACCCAGTCCGTTCTCAAAACCGAAATCAAATGTGTATCCACTTATATTGAAATAGACCAAGACTATGTAAAGTTTGACCCTATTTTCCTCCAAGATGTGGCAAATATAAAAAAAAAGACAGATTTGCTCCCGATTTTCGATAAGTATGGCACTTATTATTACAAGAACGCCTACATGGGAGGGAAATTAGTCCAATTGATGTCTACCACGCAGTCGTCCTCTACCTCTACATCTAGTTCTGAATGGTCAGCCGCCGCATCTGCCTCGATGGGTGCCTCATTAGGTCTAGGTAGTCTTTCTGCATCTGGATCAGTTTCTGTCAGTTACGATACCAGTATCTCGCAAGAACAAATGGATGAAATGAGCAAGCAATCTAGTTTATCAAAAATTTTAACTTGGGGCGGCATTCCATCAGCATTCACACCCGAGTTTTCTTCGAATTTTGGTTCATATTCTGAGTGGACAGATACTCTGGACCTCTATCCTGTGCCAATTGACTATCAACTTGGTGCCATCCGAGATTTAATACCAAAGGAATGGGCAATTCAGCTAGAAGATGGAGTAAATACGACAATTCTCGACGCTTGGGTTGAAATGGAAAACCTTTATTACAATTTAAATAATGTTGACATTGGTATGTGTTATTGCCCACCAATCATTTTTTTTGTATACACAACTAATTAATTGCTTACTTTACTTTTAGATTTTGATGATGGATCTACAGATTATAAATTGGTTTTGTATTTTTCTGACCCTCATCCTTTTACTCCAAATCAAACTCTTATTGTTGAATGGATGAATGAAAAAAATCAGCAACAAAGATTTGAAGTCCCTGTTCTATTCACCAGAACCGACCCGGCAGGAAATCAAATAATATGCGAATTCCCAAACAGTGATGGAGGATACTCTACAATAGCAACAATGGAGCCAGCGTACCAGAATATAGGTACTGCTTATGGCCGAGTGATCATACCCAGTTTCACAATTAAATATCCGATATCCTTTGACTTCAAAGGTCCCAATTTCATGACGAATAGCTCTGTACCCCCCAATATTACATTGATGGGAATCGGAATAGATCATTCAAGAAAATCACACATTATCAACTGGAATACCGGTGAGGCTATTCTGTTTGATAACCAAGGAGTATTCACACTCAATAACCAATTGGCAACATTTGTCGAATTCGAAAGATCGCTGGCCGTTTCGAAATCACCCACCACTGACTATTTTTCAGAAATCAATGTGGGCCTCTCTGGCCAAGCATTGTTCTCAAGAAATCACGACTGCCGAGAAAATTTTGAATGGTATATTTTCGATCAAGAAATCTCTCCCTACCAGGGGACTCTTAATCTCACGCATATGATCATGACTATGACATCGAGTACGGCTGTAACCACCCAATACAGACTCGACTGGGGGATGGTTATGACAAACTCGGAGATGACATCGAAATGGAAGGCAAAAGTCTATGTTTATAATGTTGGAAACTCAAAAACCAACTTTACTTCTATGCAACCACCAAGTCCTTGGACTTTTTTATACTACGATCTAATTCCACTTTCATCGCCATATGCCCCTCCTAAACATACATTCCAATACTATAACTACCGTTATCCTCTGACGGGAGGGAGAAATTTTATAGGCGAATATTTCAACTATAATGCCCCAAATGACCCTGTTCCTTTCCGTGGTGAAAACTAAAGAAACCTTAATATATTAAATACAAAAAAAAAAAAAATAGATCATGACCAATTCAATATTTTTTATACTTTATTTTGGGAAAGTTAAACCGAATACTTATAATATTCTGTTCAACTTAGTGGTCGATACCTATACTCTACATAAATCATAGTGAGTATAATGATTTCTCTTGTTAATTTTAAAACATTATCATAGCTTTATAAATACCTGGTGGAATAAATGGCAAACATCGGATCTGATCGTTGTTCATTGTGGGGTCATTTTTTTTGATGTGAACAACTTTATTTGTCTATTATAATCTTTATTGCAAAAATACTGAAGTACTTACAGATAAAACAACAACAAAAACAACTCCAACATGACGATTAATAGTTTAAATAAAGTTGATCGAAGCAGAGAATGATGATAATGCAATGGGCGAATCAACCCAGTTGAAGATTGTTAACTCTATTTCCTGTCCCTTTCTTGTGCATTTAGCACCAACGAGTTTGTTTCAAAATTAAAAAGCATATATTTATATATAACTATACTATCTTTCTTTCTATCTCTTCATTATCCTCTACTTTATCTCTTCTGATGCCTCATAATAAATGTAAAAAGAAATTTAATCGTCTCTTTTTTTTTTCAAATTACTGATCTCATAAAAAAAAAACTCAACCTCGGGGTCAGCACATACGGTTAAAAAAAAAAATTCTTTCTTTGTATCTCTCTACAATCCACAATGCATTTATATATCTTATCATCAATTATCAAAGAGTACTATAAACTAGAAGAGAATGATTTAAAGAATGAAAGAATATTCATCAGGAATGGAAAGTTAATTGACGAAGCAAGAGAACAATACCAACTAACAAAACAGATATTAAATGTTGCAATGGTGTGCAAACAATGGTTTAAACTAGTACAATCACATATCACAACATATTCAACTTACTTTGGTGATTTGACTGTTCGTCTGACTAAAGACAAAGCATCAAGAGAAAAATGTTACCAAGGAGTAAAGAATCAATGGGCAAAAGAATACTCGTTATTTAGTCGTGACAATATTACAACTTTGATTTGTAAACACACCGAGGAATATAATACAGAAGAACATTTATTGGATTTAATCCGACATACAACCAACTTGGAATCAATGATACTCTACACAACGAACAATCAATTGGTTCACAAGATCATTCAACAATTCCCACACATCAAAGATATCGAAATTAGAATGGGTGTTGTCGAGTTGGATAGAAATGGTTTGGATGGTCTCGTACAACTATCATCACCAAATATCAAGAGTGTCAGTGTGTCTATTCATCGCAGTGATGAGAGAGAGAATTCAGATTTGGAAACATACCAAGGAATACTTGAAAAGTATGCAAGGTATTGGTGTATATCATCAATCAGTCATTGTCTCAACACCAATTGTAGAATTGGAAAATTGTACTTGAAACAATTACCCAAACCAACAATCGAACGATTCTTTGGAATGTTTCAACACATTGTATTGCCAGAGGAAACAGAATTAAATGAAATTACTACCATCATCAATTCCAACGCACAGCTCCAAACTATATACATTAAAATCAAGTTTGGTCGATTATTCGATTACAAATCCATTGGAAATAAATCAGAGGTGTGCAAAGTGACCGAACTCGCCAAACAATATTGGCCCGACCTTTGTAACTCGATTGCTGTTCATCAGTGCATAAAAATGTTAATATTGGCTTGTGACTATATTGCAGACGAGCAATCTGAAGAAATTGCATTACCATTTTCAAAGATGATGGTTGAAAACAAAAGTATTCAAAGCCTTTCAATGAAAACATCATTCCTAAACACACCAACGCTATTCAATGCATTATCAACCAACCAAAACATCAAACAACTGGAGATTTGTTTGAGAGTGCCTTTCCTTTGTTATCCCCAAAGTCACAAATTGGTATCTGAAATGCTTGCAAGAAACACATCGATCGCTCATCTCAGGTTAACCCATGGAGTGACCATTTCTTACAACTTGTTTCATGTGGGAGTGCTTGCATCAAAGTCCCTTTTAATACTTGACACTCCCATGAAATTGGAGATGGCCAATGAAATATTGAGAAACAATGCAACCATAAAGTTGGGACTTTCCCCGAGAGACGATAGTAGCACTCTGTATGATGCCTCAAGAGTTTTCGAGCACTCTGAACAATCTAAAATAAGTTATTACAGCTACAACAAACCCGTAACTTCCTATTCAAATGAATAGTAATCCAATAACACTAAAAAAATAAATAAGATAACAATTTTTTCATCCAAAAGGATTGTATTTAATAATAATTTTCTCCAGAAGTGATCACCACTTTTTCGGTCCTGCCGTACCCAGTCTATCTAGGAACTACTTGAAATATATTTTTATTAAAGGAAGGAAGTTCGATAATAGATTTTTATTAATAGACTAGAAAGGAAATGACAAATATGCAATAGATGACAAGGGAAGCTGTATTGCCATATTTGGAAAGTAAAATAAATAATTATTGATTCCTATCATCTAAACGCAAACAATCAACACCCCACAATTTTCAAAATCTAAATTACTTTTATAAATCAAAATAAAATAACAATTTTATTTAATATTTGCATTTGATTATATGTCATTATCGTTGATGCATCCACGATTTGCGGACAATATCATGGTGTTGGGTTAGGGGTTGCCTAATCGCGATTCCAATAATGTGTCCACCACATATCGACTGTGAGGCTCACAAACCCCTTTACTCTACATTCCAAGAGCACCGTGAGTTGATCTACAAAACACTTCGAGCTCTCTAACCTGATTTATATATTATATAATAACCAACAAAGTATAACAACAACAACAACTAACAACAATAACCAACACAACTTTGTGAAAAAAAAAAAAAAACCGATGCACTTTAGGACAAGCAATATAAATTTAATATTATATTAAATAATATCAGTCCACCTTAAAAAACATGACATATGCAAATCACCCAGTAGCATCTGTCAGAGACATGGGTAACATAGATGTTTCTCGAGTTATCCTTAACTCTTGAAGCATTTAAAGATTTAATTACTAATCATCACCTCTGGTCGTGATATACGTAAAAAAGCCACAATTTTTTATCGTTTTTTTTTTTTTTACAATGTTCATAAAAAAAGAACCCTCGAGTGAAGAAAAAAAAACAAAATTCTTATCTTCTCTTTAATTATTTCCTAACAATGAATCATATTATTTTCTTTATCCTTTTCTTTTGTAGTTTGTATGACGCGCAGAGTCTGCCTGACAACAAATGCCTTGGATCTAACGGCACACATTTTTATGAGGTCGAGTGGTGGTTTCTCTATACCAAGCAAGGAATGAGAGGATTTTACTACACTGACTCAAGTTTAGCACCCACACAAACCATTCGAGTATGTATAAGTCAGGGACAAGAGATAAAACCTATTGACTGCTTCTGCCCATCGAATATGAGTCATATTAAGACTAACCAGTTTTTTTTTTAAAATAAATTCAAGGACGAATCGATAGATCCGGATTCGGATGATGTCAACAATATATTTCCAGTACGACTCATCCAAAAACACTTTGATATCAATTACAGTAGTCTTAAAAACATATTACCTTCACAATGTGGAAATGACAAGAGGGAAAAACATGGGTGCATGAAGAAAATCCCCAAAAATATGGGAATACCTCTTTTGGCCATCTATCACGACGTACTGAAAGCAGAACTCAAAGAAAATAAATATGAGACCTCCCGAAGATCACACGCAAAAGTATGTAACTTTAGTTTAAAATTAGAGCATAATTAACAAATTACTCCAAGTATATCATTTCAGCAAATTCAAAAACAGGACATGGTTACATAATTGATCATTCATTCCGAAACGAATTTGGTATTAACCCGACTACATGTTTATTGAAAAAGTTTTCACCGAGGGCGCTTTTACAAACTCTCACCATGCTTTATGTATTAGTTTTACAAGTAGGTTGCTACAAATACAAATAATTAACTCTATTCTAATTAATCGATTATAATCAAGCTGAATTTAGAACTCTTGCGATGGCTTTGCAAAAAAGTACACCTCCCTTTCAATGGGCCAACTATTTTGTTAACAAGGGAGGGGTAAACTATTCGATACTTCAGACCAAATCCGCTTTCGACATCTACACACTCTTGAAAAACGCTCCTGCATCTCCAAACAAAAAACCCTTCGATTCACCCTCAGCGCCAAAATACGATATTGATGAAAATATTGAAAAAATTCTCATGACAACAAGCCAACTCGAAAAATATACTATGGACTTTGTGACCAAGGTAGAAGTACCAAACTGTGGCATTTATTCTTTTCGTAAGTAACTTATCTCTGAATTGGATGCTATGGAAATATTTACTTTTTTTATATTTAAACAGACAGCAAACCGAGTCTTAGGTATCTTGATGAAGACAGAAAGAAACATCTGACCGAGTTCCGTCCCTGCGACCAAAGTTTCTTTTCAATAGGACTAGACCCCTACACATATGTGGCAATGGAAAAAAGATCAATGTTTTACCATGTTGGATATGTAGGTAGATATAATTTGTTGCTAACCAAGCTCTAGTTTTTATTAACTCAAAATCATTCACAAGGCACAAGGCCCTCCATACATTCCGTCATTTTATATAAATGATGAATATGGGGTTTTGAATGTTGACTCTTTAATTTATGATGGAGAACAGAGGAAAAATTTCCACGAAAAACTTTTGTTTTCTGTGAAATCCAACGTTTTTTGTGTTGGTGACGGAAATAGAGTTTGGAAACAGATACCATATGCTGGGATTGTAGTAACTATTTCTATTTTAATAATTTGAATACCTTGCCTCTAACTAATTTCAAATACAGATATGCTTGGAAAATGATTATCTCCCAGCCTTTTTTCACAAAAAGATAGTTGAAATAAACATCAGTCAAATGTCCCTGAGAGGTACTTGGAAACAAGAATCAGAGAAAAAGTATATCGATAATGGTGGAGATGAATATAAGTGGTTTTGGCCTGTAAAACATCCAGAAGGACAAGATGTCGACATAGAAGGATCAGAAGAAGAACGATATCAAGATAGTGAAGATGAAGATGTGGATGTTGGTGGTGATTTCCATTATCCGATACCTGGGCAAGTCAAAGATGGATTAAAAAGAAAAATCAACGAATCCCCTCCCAGCCAACATCAGTTGAAAGGGATGAAACAAATCTCACAAGATCCCCCAGGAAGGAAAAAACAAAGTAGAACTTGTAATATAAAATGAGTTATAAATAAACCAAGAAATACAATTACCCCAACTATCTTTCTTTTCCCTCTCTATTTTTTTTCTTTATTTCGATTTATTTAATCTTTATTAACCCCAAAATCATAATACTGCAGAATAATCAATCTTTTACTAATAATAATGGTACTAGTAGTAATAGTTTTAAATCGATCATTTCCAATTCCAAAAAACACCGATAAAAAAAAAAAAAACAAAAGAGATTTGAATATCATAAATGGGTAGCTGACATGCTTTCAAGAAACACATCGATCACTCATCTTAGATTAACCCATGGAGTAGGAAATCAATACGAATTATTCTATGAGGGCGTACTTGCAAGCAAGTCCCTTTAAATACTTGACGATCCCATGAAATTAAAATAATACCATAGCTATTCTAAAACAAAGGTTATTATAGACACAACCAGCCAACATCTTATTCCTATTCACTATTGCTATAACAACATCACTAAAATAAATGAATGACTTGTTGATTATGTTATTATTATTATGATTCATTCTTAAACTTATCCAAGATTTCCTCTTTGCAATTTCCCAAAATTCAAAAAACTAATTATTTTCAAATAGTTTTCTTTTCTCTTGAACCACAAACAAGCAAAGTGAAAACGAGTCTGTAGATCTGATCAGTTTGGTTGGTGTTCTTTCGAAACATGCAAGACATTAATGATAACTTAACGAAATGTTATTTAACCAACCATCTACCAAATAGAAATATTTTAAAGATTATTGGATATATTGGAGACAATGTAGATTTGGTGTGTCTATTCTTTACTTGCAAACGATTCTTTATTGATATTAGAGGACAGTACTCGGGTAGTCTTGCATTCGACTTATCAGACTATATCGAAGAATAGGCACATGCAAGAACAACCGTAAACAAGATTATTGAACAAGTAATCAATACATCTATAAACCTTCAATCATTTCAACAATGGTTCAACAATTCAACGTCAACTCAACTGAACATTACGGTGTGAACTTGATTTGGTTATTGCTATTAGTTGTTCCCTCACTGAGGGACCCTCGCTATTGGTCATTTCGACCATATCAAAGCCTAATCAATCGACGGCACAAATAGCAGCAGCAAACTTTGGTGATCGCCAATCCCATTCGATTCCATACCAGTTCACACATCGCTAGTCTACCACTCGAGTGATTAATACTGATAATCTCTCTAATCGTCCCTTGATCATTCACAACATTGCGAGTCTCAATCTCTCTCGCGAACGTTGATCATTCTTCTCGTTCTGCTGAGTCGATCCTCTCAAACGAATCACAGAAACCAACTAAAAAGAAATCAACAACTCCAATAAGAGAAAAGTAGAGATCTCTTAAGAGTTGTTTCATCGTTGCGTAATCAGAGTCGTTGGATTCCTCTTCCTCATCATCAAAGTAAAACAAAAATAAAAAATAAAAATAAATTAAAATGTTTTTTTGGCTATATACAAAAACTATATACTATTTTATTAAAAGAATGAAATCTATTTTTTAAACATGCTGATTGATATTTTAAGAATTATTACTTGTGTTTTTTTGATAAAAAAATATATAATGGAAAAACAATTGTTGTTCATTGGACTTATCTTTTGAACTTTTTTTAATCAAGTTCATCAACAGATCCAGATTTCTTTGGTGAGCCACCTGTTGGCATACCGCCTGGCATACCACCTGGCATACCTTCACCACCTTCTGGCATACCACCTTGTTGATAGAGCTTGGTCATGATTGGGTTGACAATATCCTCGAGGGTCTTCATCTTGTGATCGAATTCCTCCTTGGTAGCAGTTTGGTTATTGTCCATCCACTTGATAGTTTCATCGACAATTTCTTCAATCTTCTTTTTGTCGTCGGCTGCGATCTTGCCAGCAAGCTTTTCGTCGTTGACAGATTGACGGACAGAGTAGGTGTACTGCTCGAGCTTGTTCTTGGCTTCGACACGGTTCTTGGCCTCCTCATCTTCAGCTTTGTACTTTTCAGCGTCGGCAACCATCTTTTCGATTTGTTCCTTGGAGAGACGGCCCTTGTCGTTGGTGATGGTGATCTTTTGGATCTTTCCGGTGGTCTTGTCCTCGGCCGACACGTTCAAGATGCCGTTGGCGTCGATATCAAAGGTGACTTCGATTTGTGGGACACCACGTGGAGCTGGGGGGATGCCAGACAACTCAAACTTGCCGAGTAGGTTGTTGTCCTTGGTCATGGGACGCTCACCTTCGTACACTTGGATGAGTACACCTGGTTGGTTGTCCGAGTAGGTGGAAAAGGTTTGCGACTTTTTGCATGGGATGGTGGTGTTTCTTGGGATGAGGTTGGTCATGACACCGCCGGCTGTCTCGAGACCGAGCGATAATGGAGCGACATCGAGCAAGAGCAAATCGGCGACCTTGGAACCACCCTCATTGGAGAGAATAGCGGCTTGGACAGCTGCGCCGTAGGCTACTGCTTCGTCAGGATTGATTGACTTGTTGAGCTCCTTGCCATTGAAAAAGTCTTGGAGAAGTTGTTGTACCTTGGGGATACGGGTGGAACCACCGACGAGGACGACTTCATTGACGGCACGCTTGTCGAGCTTGGCATCACGAATAACCTTTTCGACAGGCTCGATACAGCCACGGAACAAGTCAGAGTTGAGCTCTTCGAAACGAGCACGAGTGATCGAGGTGTAAAAGTCGATACCCTCCATGAGCGAGTCGATTTCGACTGAAGCGTTGGCAGATGAGGAGAGGGTACGCTTGGCACGCTCGCAGGCGGTACGGAGACGACGGAGAGCACGTTGGTTGGTCATGAGATCCTTCTTGTGCTTGCGCTTAAACTCTTCGACGAAATGGGTGACCATACGATTATCAAAATCTTCACCACCCAAATGAGTGTCTCCAGCGGTGGCCTTTACCTCAAAGACACCGTCTTCGATGGTGAGGAGAGAAACATCAAAAGTACCTCCTCCAAGATCGAAAATGAGGATGTTCTTTTCACCAGCTCCCTTCTTTTCCAAACCATAGGCAATGGCGGCGGCAGTTGGCTCGTTGATGATACGTTGTACGTTCAACTTGGCAATGACACCGGCATCCTTGGTAGCCTGACGTTGAGAGTCGTTGAAATAGGCTGGCACGGTGATAACGGCGTTGTTGATGGTCTTTCCGAGGAACGACTCGGCAGTCTCTTTCATCTTGAGCAACACCATGGACGAGATCTCTTCTGGTGTAAACGTCTTTTTCTCGCCCTTGTATTCAACTTCAATGACTGGCTTGTCACCTTCCTTTTGAACAATCTTGAATGGCCAATGCTTCATATCGGCCTGGACAACCGGGTCACTAAACTTTCTACCGATGAGACGCTTGGCATCAAACACTGTGTTTTGTGGGTTCATAGCCACTTGATTCTTGGCGGCATCTCCAATCAAACGTTCTGTATCAGTGAATGCTACATATGATGGTGTAGTTCTATTACCTTGATCATTGGCAATGATTTCAACTCTATCATTTTGCCAAACTCCTAAAAAATTATTAAATATATAGAAAATAGAAAGAGAGCAAGTTAGATTAATCTTTTTTCTTTTTTTCTGTTTTTTTTTTTCTTTTTTAATAAATAGTTCTTTTTTAGTTAACTTACCAACACAAGAGTATGTTGTACCAAGATCTATTCCAACTGATGACATTTTCTATATATTAATTAATTATCTAGATTTATATAGGTTTATATATAAATTAACTCGTTTATGATTTTGATATTGTATATGAATATGTTTGTACTTGTTATTATTCTTTGTTTGTTTGTTTGTGAGAGCTAATACAAATAATAATAATGGTTGTTGCTGTGGCTGCTTGTTAGTATTTATGTGTGAGTGGTATTTACCACACTTTGCGTAGATTCCGCCCAAAACTCGATGAATTTGAACTTCAAATTAATTGAAAATTCGTTTTATTTTAATTACTACTTTTTTGGTAGTAAACAAAAGATTCTCATAGAACTTTAGTTTTTAATTGTTATTGGATTTTTATTATTTATTATTTTATTTTATTTTTATTCTTAGACTAATACTAGTAGATCCTCCTCTCTCGTAGCCTTTTTTAATTAATTTTTTTTGTGAACAAACAACCGAGTGTTGTCTCTTCAAAAAAAGTTGTTTGGGGGGTATCTCCTCCCCAACAACCATCTACATCTTTTGTTTTCACACACAAAGAGGGTAAATCTGCTATGAGAGAGTGTAATATTTTTGTTATTTATTATATTATTATTCTTGTCTGTCATCATCAAGAAGGATAGACTTTGGAAATTCTAAATTAAAATGATTAAAGATGGATTGAACACGATCGACATCTGGAATATTGTCGTTGTTGCTGACTGTTAGATCCCACTTTTGACTGTCGTAAAAGTCTACACTATCTTCCATCCACTTGTATTCATGTTCACCGTAGAGACGACGAGACGGTTCACGTGCCAATCTCTTTTCGATACGATCCCACAACATGTTCTTTGATACCTTGAGATAGACTGTTCTAATATCAATGTCTGCATACTTTCGAAGTTCCTCGATTTGAATACGAATCACTGGATCCAATAATCTTCCATGGTCACGAGCATATAATACTGCCGAGTATGGTGATCTATCTGCTATATAAACTGTTGAAAGTGGTTGTTTACTATTACTATTACTGGTACTATTATTATTATTTACATTATTTGTTGTGTTATTGTTATTGGTTGTGTTATTATGTGATTCAAAGGTATGTTTATTTTTAATATGCATAACTCTTTGCATCCAATTACTGATCCAAACGGTTTCCATCGTCAAACTTTGTGGTGGTATGCCACTAAACGATGGCATATCGAGGAATGCTTCGTCTAGAATCTTTACTCCATGTTTTGATAGATATTTACATAGTTCTGTCTTACCTGACCCTATTTATAGTAGTAGTAGTAATAATTAATGAGTGTCAGTATCAATATATGATGTTAATGTTATATTATGAAACATACCATGACAACCCTCTAAACAAATAACAGTAATCATTCTTTTTAATTGATTCATGTAATAATGATGATAATAATTGAATGAATCGATTCGTTTGTCTCTCTGTGTTATCTAGTAATTAATTCGTCGTATTGATTAAATTAAGTTTGCGCGCTTTATTTCCCTCATAATTCAAAAAACTAAAGAATTGTCGTTTGGCACTCGTTCTTATCATTCATGCACACCGTACTGATCGATGTCATGATACAATCATTGATGATCTCCCAGCGAGATGGTGGTCAACACATCCAGCAGAGAACGCTAATAAAAAAAAAAACAAGTAGATCAGCTTTGTGTTACTCGAATAGTAGGTACTTGTTTGTTCATCACTGATTACTAAAGTTAAGTTTAGTTTAGAGGTTCCCTATTTATCAATGTTCAATAAAGAGTGAGTAGTAGTATTTCGAATCATATTCTATATATCGATTCTATTTATAAATTCGTTAATATTATGTGTTGGTATTTATAAATATACCAATATCATCATTATAAACAACCAGCAAAGATCTTGCAATAGTTGCAACTATAATTGTTGGATGCCATCAATCCATGCATGCTTGCATTGGCAGTGGGAAAACACGATTGCGCATTGTCGGGAAAAACGAATGATCGATCAATGGTTGGTGCATTTTTGGGAAAGCTTCTTATAGCTTCTTATTCCTTCTTTTGCTCGCGCACCTGCAGTGTGACTGTTGTTATTGCACAAGAACACTGTGATCATATGGATCAAGGTTCATAGATATTCTTTTATTCTTTTCTATCTTGTGTGTAGCTATTCTTGTTCTTATTCATTCTTATTATTCAATTAATAGGGAAAGTAAAGATCAAGTCAACAGCAATCACCACCACCAACAACAATCAGATACTACCTACTACACCCAGTACGACCTAACAGATAGACCACCAACAACAAACAGACAAATCTCCATCTCCCATTCTTTAGAATTCTTTTGATATCTTACACAACACCTCCTTCCCATTCACACCCACAACAACAAACAACAAACAACAATAGATCATTGTCATAATTATTCTTAATTGGATGATATTATTACAACAACAACATACAATATAGTTAGTCAATCACCCATTCATCTTCTTTCATCTTCACACTCTCTCATTGTTATAGATAGATAGATATAATATTATAATAATACATTGCGCAATTATAATTACACACAACACAACACATTAAATTATTATAATAACCAGTCAGTCAAACAAATATATAATCAAAAAGTAAGTAAAGAGCAGCTACGAGATGTGTGAGGAGGGGAAAGGGGGAAAACGAAACACTCGCAAATCCATATCAATTTTGTCCAAAGAAGGGAATATCAGTGGATCAAAACACAGACGGAAATCAAACTACACACACATATCTATATCTCACTCACCACATTAAGAATGACAATAATCATTATTATTATTATTATTATTATTATTATTACTGATAACGCCAATGTCGAATGGCGTACACACTTACACACACATATACATCTCATCGTTTTCCACATCTTTCATTAATAAACATTGTAGATTGACATAATACAGTCAGCCAGTCGTCCGTCCATCATGATGTTTTATAAATATGGACGACGATGATGATGGATTAGATAATATAATCCAAGTTGAGTTGGCTCCAACTCTTTTTACAATCAATTATTTCAAAGTTTTTAAAAAACAATATTATTATTATTATTATTGTTTGTTGAGAGGTATATAAACCAAAAACACTCCTTTATTTTAATATCTTCTTATATAACACACCTGATCCATCTATCCATCATCACTATTACTATCAATACCCCAATCCATCTCTTCCCTTTAAACCCAACACCTCTATATTATTTGATTTGCATTGCCATTCAATTAATTGTAGTTTTAGTCATTTAAATCTCAACATCAATCAACGATAACGATAACCACTGCTATAAAACATTTAAATGCTTGCTATTGCTATTGTCAAAACTACAACCAATTGCTATAAATCATTAATCGATTAAATAATAATAATAATAATAATAATAGTAGACATTTACTATTATTAATTATTTATTTATTTATTTATTTATTTCCATAAATATTTATATATAATTAACAAATTAATTAATTTAAATATTTAATTTTAGTGGTAGCAGTTACTGAATCTTCAACTTCAACAACAACGATGGGAGTCAAATCAGATTTGGCAACCTTTTTTACTTCATATGTATCATGTAAAGTGATATACTTTTTGGAATTTGCATTCCTTTCATGTTTTCTACCATATATAACTATATACCTAAAGGTTGGCGCAATGATGGAGCCATGGTATATCGGCATCTTGACGAGTTTAATTCCATTCATGTCTTTTATATTCACACCCCTATGGACACTGGTCACCGACAAGTACAACAATCATCGAGTCGTATTGATTGTATCGTGTCTCATGACTGGTCTATTCCTTGGTCTACTCTTACTCGTTGGTTCCAACGTCATAGGAGTATTTTTCGCAACTCTGTGCTATGCAATTGCAGCTTCCCCCATTAGCGCATTAATCGATTTCCTTGTCATCCAAAAATTAGATACCGATCGTCAAATGTAAGAAAATACAAACAAACAAACAAACAAACAAAATATTCATTAATAATTATATATTCTAATTATAATTATATGTTTATTCTCTCTGTTTCTATTTTAGGTATGGACAACAAAGATTATGGGGAGCTATAAGTTGGGGTATTATATCATTTACAACTGGATATTTAATTGATATATTTGAAAATATACATCTTATCATTTATTGTTATATATTGTGGATGTTGGTATTTGTGACGGTGGTATTTTTCCTAAACTTCAAGTCAACCACTGCCAAACTATTCCAACAAATTAAAAACCTCGAAGTCATTGACTCGTCCAAGAATCTTCTCAACCTTTTATCGACCAACATCCATTCGTCGATCAGTAATAACAATAGTGCCAATAGTAGTAATAGTGACCTCTCAACGATTGGATCGGGAGTGTCAACACCAAACATGAACCAAGAGGAGGAATATGGACATCATCGTCTATCTCCAACTTCATCATCTTCTTCAACTTCTTCATTATCGAGTGCATTTGAAGAAGGAGGAGGAGAAGACAGACGTCCACAAATGGTTGTTGAAATTACAACAGCCACAATGATGGAAGATAGCGATATGACAAAGAAACAACAAAAGAGATCATTATTGGAAGAGAGTGAGAAGATGGATATGGAAGATATAGATATACTTGATGGTGCTGATGAAAGTGGACTGACTGGCGAGTCAGATAATAACAAAGTATCAATGAGAGTAGTATTGAAAGGTGTCATTCACAACACACCATTTATGCTATTTCTATTTGCCATTATGATATCTGGTATGGCACAAACTATTATATCCAACTTTTTATTTCTCTTTCTCAAAGATCATCTTCAAGCAAGTACTATTTTGCTCGGTGCCACCCTACCATTCACAGTCATCATGGAATTACCCTTTTTCTTTTTCGGAAAGGTATTGCTCGAACGAATTGGTGTCAAGTGGATGATTGCAATTGGTCATATTGCCTTTATCGTCCGTCTCGTCGCCTATAATATATTTACTATCCCAGGTATCTCCCCGTGGTGGGTTATGCCTATCGAGACACTCCACGGTGTCGCCTTTGCTGCCATCTGGACTGCAGGTATTGAATACTCGTCACTCATGGCCGAGAAGGGATACCAAGCCACCTACCAAGGTATTTTTGCGTCGATCAATGGTGGTTTGGGGTCTGGTCTCGGATCGATCATAGGAGGATTCATCTATCAACATATTGGTCCATTTGCACTGTGGCGATTTGCAGCATGTGCCACAACAATGAGTCTAGTCATATTCCTCATTACAAGCATCTATTTTAATCCCGACAAGATTAGCAAGAAATTCCAACACGTTGAAGGGTCTTCAACCTTTGACCAAGAAGCAGAAGAAGATAACATACAATTAGAACCATACCAAACAAGAGGAGAAGGAGGAGTACACGACAACCAACACGATGACGAAGAGCTCAAAGTTTAAACAAGAATGAATAAATAACCCCCCTTTTTTCAGAGGCATTACTAATAATAATAGTATATAATATTATAATATATAATATAATATATAATATAGTATAGTATATAATATAATATAATAACATACAGTAATTAAGTTTGATTTGATTTAAATCGATGCTCTAAATGTTTTCAAATTTCAATCAGTCCTTGAAAAGGTTTAATACCTGAATCTGACTGATTCTTTTATTATTATTTATTTATTTATGATACAATACAATGAAGAAGAAGAAAATAAAGAACCAACTACAATCTACTACTTCTACTTCTACTACTAGTAGTACTTCTACTACTCCTGTAGTATCACAGACAACAACAACAACAACAACAACAACAGCTACTGCTCAACAACAACAACAACATGAAGAGGAAGAAGAAAATGAAGAAGGTTCAGTGTTGTTTCAAATCATTAGACCAGATTTTACATATGATGATTATCATCAAATGGTTGGTTCGATAGACACATCAAAGCATATGGGATCAATGGAAATGCTCGTCGAAGGAGAGGCATTACATCTATGTAATGTGTTTGAGGTATTGGTGGAAGAGGGATTTTGTCAACCTGACCCTGCCCCGCTTAGTTCATTGTTCCTCATGTGCTCAAGTCTTAATCTTTCAGATACACTCGATGAAAATGAGTTTAGACAAACTTACAAGTTGTAAGTAACTTTTATAATATAGAATGAAGATAAACTAACCTTTTCTCTCTCTCTCTCTCTCTATCTCTAGAGAAGATTCACATTTTTATGATAACATTCAAATACTTCAAGAGATGGACAAGAAAGCATTATTCAAAATCATTCTGATGCATGCTTGTTTAATGAGTGACACGTTGTTGAAATTCATAGCAGTGTTTTTACCCTACATTGCTCCAAAACTGATTTATGAGGTGGTATTTGGTTTATATTATCTACCTACCATTGTAACGGTTATCCGTTTTGAAGAGGTCACCAGAGAATACCGTCAAGAATTGATTCAAGTCTTGGTTAATGCAAATCATCGTAATTTGTGGAGTTGTATTGTAAGAAGAAAGACAACACTATGATGATAATGATGATGATGGTACTGATTTGTTAATTTAATTTTTTTTTTGAACTTAGGGTCAAGTAAAAGTAGAAAGCTTATTAGATCATAGGAAACACAAGTGCCCGTATTATATAGCAACTACAGGTGTATTGTACAATAGACAGACGAAATTGGAGATGAGATTGACAGCAAGAGAGTTTGAACTTTGTCTCAAGTTATTGCCACCTTCCGACACCAAGTTTAAAAAGGGAGAGAAATCAACCAATCTCTTCCTAGGAGTTGACCTTCAACCAATCGATCATGCCATCAGACTGGGCGATATCCAATTGATTAAGGACATTATCGACTATAATCCAGAACTCCTCAAGACTGGTTGTGTCATTTTTTCGTGCGTCGTCTTTGCCAAACCAGATATACTGGCACTCATTATCCGCTCTGCTCCAGAGCTGGCCAAAAACCCACCAACCGGGTCGTCCAATTACACAATCGAAGAGTTGTGTGTCCATTTTTGTTGCGGAGAAATGCTGCGGATGCTCTACCACGCAGGACTCGAGGTTGAAAAGATTCGACGTCATCGAGTAACAGAAAAAAGACATCTTTTGACATCGACTACGATTAACAACCGTGACATTTTGACGATGGAGGTGCTCTTTCAGCGTCCTACCCCTATCCTCTTTAAAATATCGGCCACTGACTTTTGCCAGCTCATTACAGATACCGAGGTACTGGCCTATCAAGTCTTACTACATTTGCACACGGTACGAAGAATGCGCATACCTCCCTTTCTATCCGAAATACACACAGAACCAGGATCCAAACTGCCAACTCTTGCTTTTGCAACTTCTCCTCTTATAGCCGGCTTTTTAATCAGTCTTTATCCAGAAGCCGCCACTGTCACGTTTACACCAAAAGATTTTATCGAATTTGCCCCTCATTTACAGCCGTACTCGGCCCCCCTCAATGTTGTTGGTCTCAATATTACAAATCATAGATTCGAACTGGCTAAATACATCCTGTTAAAATACCCGGTCAACACATTTTTGGATCCCTTTGTTTGCCAAACCCTGGCGACCGATGCATCTGTCTTTGGCAAAGACTCACAAGAATTGGCTCCATGGATTGCATTTGCAAAAAAGAAAAATTTGTCGATTATTGATGATTTGGTCAAAGGTTGGGGTAAGGAATTAAGTGTTGGAGGCGGAGGAGGAGGAGGAGGACCAAAAAAGAAAAAAAAAGTTACAAACAAACAAAAACAAAAAGAAAATGAAAAAGAAAAAGAAAAAGAAAAAGAAAATGTAACAACCAACAACAACAAAAAAGATACGATGGCGAACAATAATGTAAAGAAAAAGGATGATAATCAAATCAGTAAAAGTTTAAATCCAGAATCAACCAGTACAACTACGACAACTTCAACAACTGCAAAAATTGAAATTGATCAATGTCAAATATGTTTTAAAGAAATACCATTGTCTGAAATGAACTCTCACTATGACACTCAACATTTTAAAGATCAAGACAAACAAAAGAAAAAGGAATCAACACCTAAAAATCAACCACCTGTAGTATCTCCTTCTAAACCACTTCTTCAAATTAAACCAGATCCAATAGTATCACCAACGAATCAAAAAGCCAACCAATCTTCACCCAACTCAAAACAAATCAATGTCAACAAGGTAAAAGTTGATAAGAAACAACAACAAGAAGAATTATTAAAGCGATACAATATTGTTGAAAGTGAATTGGATCGTACAGTTGGTAAATTTAAATTTAGTAGAAAGGAAAAATATATTGTCGGACGTGGTAGCAATGGTACATTGGTATATATGGGAATGTGGAGCGAATTCAAAGTGCCTGTTGCCATTAAACAAATGCACAAGGCATTTAACGAAACTGGTCGTGTGGCAGAGGAAATCGATCTCATGATCAAACTGTCAAATGAACTGGGATCCTCAAATATGGTTCGATACATTGACAAGGAGGAAGACGACTTGTTCTTTTATCTTGGTGTCAGTCTCTGCGATTGCTCACTACAAGAAATGTATGAAAACCCAGATGCACCCGCCCACATTCAACAACAAAGAATGCAAATCGATAAAATGGCTGCTATCAAAGATATGATTAGCGGCGTAACATTCCTTCACCAACACAATGTTGTACACAATGATTTAAATCCACGTAATATCTTGCTCAAAGAAGGTCGGTTGTTAATCTCTGATATGGGTTTGAGCAAGATGCTGTCGGTCGATAGTTCATTCTCTCTTACTCATTCACCCACTGGAACGGGTGGATACCACCCCGCTGAGATTATCACCGGACAGCGCAAGACAAAGTCTGTGGATATCTTTTCACTTGGGTGTCTCATTTGCTATGTACTTGGTGATGGCAAGAGCCATCCATTTGGCAATGACAAGTGGATGCGTATGAGTCGTATCATGAACGACCAACCAAACGTGTCCGAGGCACTACCCAACGCAAACAAAGAAACAATCGATCTAATCTCTCAGATGGTTCTTAAAAACCCTGATAGTCGATCCACTATCGAGGCAGTTGCCAAACATCCATTCTTTTGGACGACACAACAAAAAATGGTATTCATCGACACTAGTTGTCAAGCATCGAAATCATCGCTTTGGAATGGTCTTGGTATCACACTCAAGGACACTGTCGACCCTTCACTCAAAACATGGGGCACGCAAATCGACAAGAACCTCTTACAATTCCTCGAACAAAATGTAAAAAAACCCTACAACTTTGAGAGTGTCAAGGATCTAATCCGATGCATTAGAAACTGTCTACAACATTTCCAAGATATTAAACTCGTCAACAATAGACAACAATATTTCGAGAGTTCTGAAACTACATTCCAATATTTCGACTCCCTTTTCCCTCATTTGGTTATCAATCTCTACATCAAATTTAGATCAAATCCAAATTTTTTAAAATCAAATGTACAAACCAATTTACCTTCATTCTTTGGAAACATATAAATATATTGTAATATTTCCCAAAATCAAATAGAATAAATGTATATATTATTTTATTCATTAAAAAAAAGAGAAAAGAGAATTCTAATTCTTTTTAAATATGGAATATTCCATATATATTTGTTTAATTTTTATCATTGATATAATGTTAAAAAAAAAAAAAGTAATACATATATCTGATTTAAATATTATATTATATATATTATATTATTTGTCAGGTAGAGGTTTACGATAAAAGGTGAAATGTAATAAATGATTATTTATCACATTTTAATCCATTTTCCATTATTCCATTTTTTTGTTAGAATTATTATTATTATTATTATTATTACTATTTACTATTCTTTCTCTTTTGTATATATATGTTAATACCGCATAGTGTTGATGATTATTTTTTTCTAGACTTGATAAATTTTAACTACTTTTTTAATTGGACCACGACAAATTGGACAACGATCCACCTTTTGGGCACAAATTAAACAATTTGCCATATGTCCACAGTCCAACAATACTGTATCAATTTTGTTTTCAAAACATATTTTACAAATATTATTATTATTATTATTGGTTGTACTTGTTGAACTGGTTGTACCATCATTGGTGTTGTTATTATCTATTATTTCATGTTTGTAAATAGTTGGAGAACTTGATCCATCACCACTTGAATAATTAATAGATACTCCACCACCAAGTAAAGGTTGGTATGTATTGTGAACATTTCGTCTAAGACATCTTCCAAAAAATCGACTGGCACTATAAATACATCCAGCAACACAAATAAACATTAAAATGGTTCCAAATAATGTTGAAAAGAATATTATTAAATTAACTAAAAGAAAGAAATATTAGAATATTAGAATCTAAATTCAAAATGGTTGATTGTTTTTCTATTTGTTTTTATACATTACAAGTTGAATGTGAACCATTATCAGAATAGACACCACAAGCATATTTTGATTTGAGATAGATTGATGTATTACAATCCTCTGATTCGACATTGATTACTTGATAATCTGTAGATTCATCGCAAAGTAATACGACGCTTGTGTTGAAATCCTGAGTCTTGACACAAGGTTGTCCAAAGTACCACAATGTGAAGCCTGATAATCCATTGTTTGAATAGGTTAGTGTAGAACCATAGGCAAGAGAATAGGTAGAGCCATCTGAATTGACTTGACACACTACATTGTCATTAGGACATGGTGATGTATAATTTAGACATAAATTGATATAAAAAGTTGAATTGTTATGTTGAAAAGAAAGTAATGAACTAAATGATGAGAGAGAGAGATTTTGTTTGTTCAAAAAATTAATAAATATAATTATATTTTCAAAAAAATAAAAGATATCAACTTTACTTACTATCTTAAAGGTGTAAGATCAAAAGTAACATCATCCAATGTCAGAGCAGTTGAACATATATCTGTATAAATATGATTGTTTCCACTATCGTCATCGTTAAAGGGATTATTACTATTATGTATTGAAATTTCTTTATTGTTGTTGTTATGTTGATCCAAGTCTCTATACACTTGCTTTTCATATTCTTTGGATGGTCCCAATTCTCTTGCTTCTCCTAAACCCACCAACCATAAACAATTTATAATCGATAACAACAAAAGTAAAAGTAATAATCTAGTTGGCAGAATTATATTATTCATTTTCCTATCCATTATTTAATTTAATTTTTAAATCCAATCTTTTGACTATCTCCTCCTTTATTTCTTATTATTCTTCTTCTTCTTCTTATTTCTTTGTTATCTGTGTGTATAAGAGTTTGAATGAAAGAAAGAATGAATGAATAAAATATTATGTATGTTTAATGGTTTGAACAACCCCTCCCTTCCCAACCTGTTCTAATTTTTTTTATTAAACCCTCCCACTACATATTAATAAAAAATTTGGAAAACAACAACTTCGATAGATCATTCATTCATTCATCCATTCATCTTGTCTTATTCATTACTATATTTTTAATCTCTATACATTTAAAGGGAAGATGAAAGAAATATTTGGTTAATAAAATAATTCTAATTTAAATTAACTTTAGTTTAGGGAAATGATTCCAAAAAACCAAAACAAGGATACAAAAAATCGCTTGGAATTGGACTCACTGAAAAATCATTTTTTGACTAATCGGGAACGAGCAGCTTGACGATCAATCAATCAAAATCTATATGAGCTCTCACCTTTAGCTGCAAAGAGACTCTCTTTATCAACCGAATCAACCAAGCGAGATACGATTTGACCGAAGTTCTTAACTCTATGTCTCCAGAGGTGAGAGATAGACAGAGAGCGATAAAATTAGCCGTTTTAATTAGGAAAGAGAGGGGGGTGGTGTGGATTATTCAAAAAAATTATGTCGTGTTGGTGTTAAATCTCATGTTTTTTTTCTTGCGGAGAGATGAAACTGTCGACTCTTGCAAAGAATGTCGACTAGTCGATTGTTTGTTGTTAATATATATTCTTTAATTTTTAAATCTTATCTCTCCCTTTCTCTTTCTTTCTTCTCTTCCTGTATATTATATTTATATTTATATCTTATCTTCACTTCACTCTTCACACCAGTACTCTAGAGTATCAAAATTTATTGTAGGTAGAATAAGTGATCAGTAGTATCACTCACTCACTTACTCACAAATAGCAGCATATACGACGGGACAGGGGTATTGATATGACACCACCCTACCCTCTTTACCCAAGAAACCATCCTCAGTGAAAAGAAAGACAGAACAAATAATAATAATAACATACTGTGCAAAAGACACCACACCCCTACATCATCCAATTTTACACTCTCACTAGAATGTGTGATGCAAATGCGTGATAAAACAGATAGATGGTTTCATCAATCCTCCCTTCATCGACCATCTCTGATAGAAAGATAATAATAATATACTACCATCTATCTGTTAATATCACACACATACATAATGGATAATGAATGGAAACCAAGCAAACAAAACAAAAGTGGTAGATGTATGAATGGATGGATGAGATGGTTGATGAGGATCGAAATCATATGATTTAGAGGATAGAGATAGACAGACAGAGATAGATAGAGGAGAGAGAGAGAATCCTTGTTATTATTATTCTTACCAACACGTTACTATAAAAAGAGAAACGTGGAATGGAAGACAAACCGCAAATGCATTTAGGGAACACAGTTGTGTGTGAATGTGTTTGGGGGGTGGTAAATTGGATGGGTGTGATTGATTGATTGATTGATTGGCAAGTCAGCTGATTGGATAGTTTGATATTTAGTGATTATATATTATAGAAGGAGAGCGAAAAACAATCATAATCAATTAATTCTTCAAAAAGGGGATTGTGAGAACACATGTTCCCCATGCCAATATCAACAACAACCAAATAATTAGTTTAAATTTAGGACAATACTAAAATTTAAAACTAGAGAGAGAGAGAGAGAACAAATAGTACTCTAGATAGTGTTGGGATAATAATTTATTATTATTTGTTTAATCGTAGAATATAGTTGTTGTAACAAATAATATATTATATTTATTTATATTTATTTATTTATAAACCATTGCCATCATCATTTACAATTTCCACACACACTCACTCACACACGCACTCAACACTCACTACCTATCACCACTGCCTGCCTGGCTGCCAATTTATGATTTAATATCGCCACTCATTCCACAATACATATATATATATATATTATATATATACATAGATACACGCATACTTGCAATCAAACATAAACACAAACACACTCACACACACAATCGATCAAATAAAACAATTATAATAATAAGCAGCATCAAACAAATAATTATTTATTGATACCAACACAAAGAAAGAAGAAATAATTATCGACGTCGACATACTACCCCATATATATAAATTCATTCTTTTATTTATCATCATTCAATTAATTAATTAATTAATTAATTAACCTTCTGTCCTGTTTCCTAGGAAAACAAGTTGTATTATTTATTATTGTAACAGTAATCAAACCAAACCAAGTACCACTACTACTACATAGCTCATAGAAAAAAATGAAAACATTATTCAAAGAAAGTATAACAACACCAATAACCAAATCATATGATGTTGGATCACAACTTGGAACGTATGTAAAAAAAAAACTTTCAAAAAAAAGATAAGAGAATCTTATATCTTATTAATCAATTCTAAAGTGGAAAATTTTCAGTAGTTAAATCAGCTATTGAAAAGAGTACTGGAAAATCATGGGCATTGAAAATGATGAAAAAGAGTGTTGTACATGAACAAAATATAGTCAAAGAGGTGGAAATCATGATGGAAGTCAAAAATCCAAATATTATTGCATTACATGAAATTTATGAAAGTGATAGTGAAATTATATTGGTTTTGGAATTGTAAGATGAAGTTGATGATATCAAAAGATTGACTGTATACTTATTAAATCTACCCTATTGTTTAGAGTAACTGGTGGAGAGTTATTTGATAAAATTGTTGAAAAGGAATCATATACAGAAGAAGATGCATCGAAACTAATTAATACCTTGACAAAGGTTATATACTATCTTCACAACAAGGATATTGTACATTGCGATTTAAAACCAGAGAATCTTTTATATTCAGACAATAGCACCAATGCCGTTATTAAACTATGCGACTTTGGTCTTAGCCAACGTTGTCCCTCTGGTACAACACTTCAATCGATGGTTGGTACATTTACATACATGTCTCCTGAAATCAACAATGGCTATGGTTATGGTAAACCTGCTGATATGTGGGCATTGGGTGTCATTATTTATATTTTGTATGATCAAAGATTGACGAATATAATAATAATTATGTATTGTATTCTTATACCATTATCTTTTTCTATTTCTTTTAGATTATGTGGATACCCACCATTTGATGAGACAACAGGATATAATTTAGAGTTTCCATCACCAGATTGGGATCATATATCAGATACTGCCAAGGGATTGATAAAGGCATTATTAAATGTGGATGCCGTCAAGAGATTGACTGCAGCACAGACACTAAAGAATGTGTGGGTGTCGGGTGTATCGACTGGCAAGGAATCGATTATAGGTACACTCAAGACGTTGCGTGAATTTAATACAATGAGACGGTCGGGTACTACAATGGGACACAAGGGCACTACGAGAAGCTCTGTGTTTGAGTTGTTCCCTTCACTCACACCTACCAAAGAGGTTGTTGGCCCGTTGGCACACACTGTCGCCACTTCCAACCCACACGAATCACCTCTTCAAGTCACCCCTCAATCATCATCTACGCCACTCACTCCAACTTCACCTCTACTCAACAACACCAATGAATCATCTTCCAATGGCAGCGGTGCCAATGGAAATCATGGAACTACTATTACTGTCATCCCACCTGCCTCTTCCTCCTCTTCCTCTTCATCCTCATCATCATCTGGAAAAGAGTCCCCAGAATTGGAAAATACACCAAACAAGGGATCGAGCTCATCACTTCAAGATATACTCAAAAAGCAGTTGATGACCTCTCTCGAAGTTGCATCTGATTCAGAGTTTGATTCAGAGTCTGAAACATCGTCCAACTACTTGGCTGAATCGTGCGATCGATTCTCACCCGAATTATTAGCATCATCGTTGAATGGAGCTTCAGACCTAATGCTAGATATTGACCGACAAAAACTAGTCGATCAACTCCAATCAGAGCGCGAAAAGAACGCCAAGCTCATCAAGGAACTTGAAGACATGAAAAAGCAACGCAACATGAATGGCCACGGCAGTCTCAGCTACACCACATCGTCTAGTTCTTTGTCGGCCGGCTTCTCCCTTCTCAGCAGCTCACCACGTAGTTCTCCTCTTTCTCACAGCCGCAACAATAGTGTTGGCGGCGGTAGTGGTAGTGACACTGAGAAAAAGGATAAATCCAAACATGGAGTTGACCGAATCGTCACTGATCTCCAATCCGAATTTGATAAACTCTTCCTAAGCAAAGAGACCATGGTTAAATTAAACAGTGTAATGTCACAGTATCAACAAAAGAATCAAGAAAAATCACTAAAGGTTGAATTGGAAAGACAAAAAGAGAAATATAAAAAGTTAAAGGTTCAATTAAAGAATAACAAAAAGTAATAATTGAAACCAAACCAAAATACATATAAATAACTACTATCATCAACCAAACTCAACCCAACCAAATCACAAAACCAAATCACAAAACCAACCAGAATGTTTTCTCGCTAGAAACCCAAACTTTACAATTAATCCTCAACCTAACAACAAAATTGGATTAATCACCAATACCTGTCACAAAAAAGAAAGAAGAAAAGAAGAAAGAAACCATCATTATTTTATTTAAAAAAAAACAAATAAAATAATTGTATTATTGTTTAATAGGCTAATTTATAAATCAATCAAATAGATACCAACCATAATTTTCTATTCCAAATTCCCCGGAATTGGGTTTTCTTTATCCATCCATTTTTTGCCCATTTTTCAAAAATATTCATGAAAAAAAAACCCAACAAACACATTCTTAAGAAAAATCTAAAAGCACTGAATACTCATATTTATATACTAAAATATACTTGTTTAGAGAGAAATGGTTGGTATCATATAAACGAAAGAAACAACAATATATCTGAAAATGCATCACCCATACTCATTCATACCACCATTGATTCATTCATTTATTATAATCAATCTAGGCCACCTGTACACTCGATGATGAAGACTTTGAAATCTTCAAGAAGTTCAAGATGCAAAAGAACCCAACCAACAGTGCTATGATTTGTATGATATCTTATTAGTAGATAGCAGTTGTTAGTAGTTGTTAGTAGTTATGCGACAATGTGGATAGTTAGTTTAAAGGGAATATGGTTGTTTAGACTATAAGAGAGGGGACTTGTCACACGCACACACAACTATAATGAAGATACAATCAATACATAATGTATATGTTATTAACACACAGTTATTATTATTATTATTACTATTTATATATTTCAGTCCGTTGTGACACCAAGGAACACAAGTTTAAGATTGAAGAAACCATTGAAGACATTTCATTGGAAAAGTTGACCGAGGAAATGTCATCTTCATCGCCAAGATACATTGCCTACGTCTACAGATACACTCACAAGGATGGTAGAATTTCATTCCCAATCGTATTCATCTACTTTATGCCAAAGGGTATCTCACCAACCATTGCCATGACCTACTCTGCCAACAAGCAAAACCTCGTCAATCGTTTGGATATCGCCAAGTCTTTTGATGCCAACACTCTCTCAACTTTGACTGAGGATTGGTTAAAGGAGAAGCTTGCCTTTTTCAAATAAGCAACAAACAACCCCCTCTGTCTACACAATGAATTGATTGATCGATTTCGATTTCGAATCCTCTTCCCTTCCTTTTCATTATCCCTTTATTGAATCGACATACACATTTAAAGGGTCCAAAATAACCAATCCAATATAATCAACAATCGATCATCGGTCAATGCTTCAATAATAAAAAAAAAGAAAACAAGATATATGTATTATTATTTATTTATATATTCACACCCAAAGTAGTCATTCATATTATAATGGTCATCGTTTCATTCTTTTTTTACTTTAATATTATTGCCGACGGCAAATTTGATCAAAAAAGCATGTAGCTTGGTCAATCGTTCGTTTAATATATAAAGTAAAAGAGACACACACACCATGTCTGATAGTAGTGACGATGAAGTATCATTGAGAGCAGACTCTCTTGCAGCTCTTCAAGAGTTTTTAAAAGAACAAAAGCAACAAGAACAACAAACCGAAGAAATAGGTGAGGACTGGCAATTATCCCAATTCTGGGTAGGTCAAATAGAAATACATAATGATGAGACACAGAGAGAGAAGAATAGTATTACTTACTCAACTGCTGTTATATTGTTACTCTATTATAATAGTATTCACAATCAACATCTGATCATGTAGCTAAAACCATTGCAGAGGAGACTATACCAAGAGATGGTAAAAAGAGAATACTTTGTTTATCAACACCTTCTATATTTAAAACAATTCATGCAAATGAAGAGGTATGATTGATTAAAGAAAGAAAGAATAGAAAGAGTACAAGATTGATAGGATAGATTGTAACAACCGATGACTAACCAACAGAGTAATTACTTTGAAACAATCTACTAGATTGCATCACAATTAGAGTATCATTTATTTGAATATGATCGTAGATTTGGAGTATATGGAGATAGATTCAGTTATTATGATTACAATGAGCCATTAGAGTTTGGCATGGAACATTTACAACAATACGATTTGATTTGTTTTGATCCACCCTTTTTGTCTGAAGAATGCATTGAAAAGGTTCAAAAGACCATAGAGGCATTGTCGCACAGCCACACCAGACTCATTCTTTTGACTGGTCGTATTCAATGGCCACACATTCAACGTCTATTCAAAAACATGCACATTTGTAAATTCCATCCAGAACATCCACGTCTTAGCAACGATTTCTTTTGTTGTAGTAATTATGATTCAAATCTATTGGGAAAAGAATAGAAATAGAATAAAAGATATAACAAAAAACCAACTAAATTTCTATAACATCAATCGGTCAATCAATCAATGATCGATCGATTGCGTCATTGATTAAAATAGGAAAACAAAAGAGATGGATTCAATTTTAACACTTTATATAACTTTGCACAATATTGTTGTTTAAAGGTGTCAGTGTTGTTTGTTGTTGGATCGATCGTAGTAGGGAAGTAGAGAGTAGAGTAGACAAAAGACCGACTCACTTTTAAATTACATCGAGACAATGGGGAATGGGTTGGATTGACATGACTTTTTTTGTGTTCCAACCAATCCCAACCACACATTTGTTCTTTTTGGGTTGTGAAAAAAAACAACTTGTTTGATGATGTTGTGGCTTTCTTTTTTTATTTATATTTAATTTACCAACCAACAAACCAACCAACCCCCACTACTGTTCAATATATATATACATACATCAATCAAATTTATTTATTTATTTAATCACCCAGAACGAGCAATATTGTAGAACTATCATAAATCATCATCATCATCACAAATACCAACAATCAATCAATCAATCAATCAATCAATCAATCAATCATTCATAAACCAATAACTATAGTCAAAGCAAACACATTATAATAATACAACTCTAAGAGTATACTTATAGAATACAAGAAGAAAGAAGAAGAAGAAGAAGATTGAAGAAAAGTGAAGAGTACCTTTTGTAAATTCAAAAAGGGTGTAGAGTAGTTTAGTAAAAAGAAAGAAGCAAGAGAAAGATAGAAGAAGAAGAAGAAGAATTTCATCATGTCAATATACTCATTTGGATTGGGTATTAATGGTGAATTGGGACAAGGAGATACATGTGAGAGTTTAGATCTTCCAAAGAAAATACAATTCTTTTCAGATATTAACAAAAAGGTTAAAAAGATATCATGCGGATCATATCATACTGTTTTTATTACTGGTAAGATCAGATGACATAATACATAATACATAAAACATATGGAATTATAATAATAACCAACCAATATTGATTGAATCATTTGATTAGATGATGAAGAATTATATCTTACAGGTATTGGACAAGATCCAAAGACAGGAAGTACATTATTTGCATTGGATTCAACTCTTTCAAAATCGACATCATCACCACTTTCATTGTCAAAGAATGGAGCATCAAGTGGTGTTGTTGACAACAAGGGTGCACGTATTCCACACAGTTTATCGACGCGATCTCTATTGAAACCATCCAACAGTCAAGAAGAGAGACAGTTACAAGGAGCATTGGATGAATTCCACGAGGTTGTCAAAACAAATGGTCCACCATCGGGTGGATCGACACCTCCATTGTCATCGGGCGGCGGATCGGGATCTGGAACACCCACAACACCGCCACCACTCACAGTGTCAATGACTCAACAAAACATAGAATACGTTAAACCACGGACCATCCCAACTCACATTCCACTCTCATTTATCGATAGAAATCATCCAGCCAACAAAATCAAACAAGTGTCACTTGGCAACTATCACATTGTCATTCTAACTGAAGGTGGAAACGTTTGGTCATGGGGTACAAACACCTATGGTCAATTGGGTATTGGTTCAACTACTCATTCCAATCATCCTAAAATGGTTGAATTAAAATGTGTAAAGAGTATTGCTACTGGTGTAAAACATACAGGTAAAATTGAAAAAGAAAAAGAGAGAATTAGAGAGAGAAAGATATTAATATTAATATTTTAATTGTTTATTTATTATTTTGGTTTTTAGCTGCAATCAATGAATGGGGAGAACTTTATATGTGGGGAATTAACGAACAAGGTGAATTGGGGTTAGGAGATACGAATAATAGATTGTCTCCAACCAGAGTATCAAGATTAAAATCGGAATTTGTAAATATGGTAGCGTGTTCGAGCACGCATTCAATGTGCAGCACCGATGCTGGAAGATTGTATACGTGGGGACAGTCGGATAAATTGGGCAAGGTGCAAAGTGTGCCGTCACTCTTGATGATGACTGGCGACGGGTCACTCGAGCGAGACGCCGATGGAGGGGGCTGTGGAGGTGGCGGCGAGATTAGACAGATCGCATGTGGTGAGTGGATGATTGGTGTGCTCACCCAGATGGGTGAAGTATTCATGTGGGAGCTGGGCGCCAAGCCTACACCCATCCATCACACGCTGGCCAGCCACAGTGTGCGTGCCATTGCAATGGGCAACTTTCACATGTTGTGTCTGACCGACAGCGGGGAGCTGTTGACCGTCGGACGAAACAAGTCTGGTCAACTGGGCAGAATCGTCCAACAAGGCAGCGCAACAAATATCCCAGGCATTGTAAAGGAGTTGTCTCATCACCACCCACCAACAGCTGGCGGACCACCTCCCACAGCCGAAGACAAGGGACCTTGGGGAGGATTACAGGACAATGAATATGTGGTACAAATACACGCAGGCGAGTACCACAGCGTTGCATTGGTCGAGAACACACCCAAGACCAAAGTGGCATTAAGGTTCCTAAAGATGCAGAGAAATTTCCTCAGACAACTAAATGTCCTCAACAACGTGTACTACAAATCATTCATGTCAATCGCTACGCCAAGCGATCCTGCCATAACCCAACAATTGTTATTCCTCTCGAACCAAGGCAGCGGCAGTGGGTCGGACAAGAGTGGATCAGCAGACAAGGGGGCAGGTACGCTGTCGGCCTCTGGAGGTGGTGGTGGTGGTTTGTCATCGTCAAGAGACCTAAACTCGACTGCGAGCAGCGGCAATTTGTCTCCAGTTGTAGGTCCCACGCCTATTACAACGGGCGGCAGTTCGCACTCGACACCCAATCTCATGAGTGGATCGGGCACGATTCGGTCGCGATCAACTAGCATGGCCACAATCAGAGGGTTCCTCGGCCTAAACGCCATGGCCAACACGTCCATCGAAGACAATGTATCGGTGACCGAGGAAGAGGTCATTGGCATATTTAGTGATATTCGGTCGCTCATCAAATCAACGCAAATCCTGTTGAGCAAGCTGGATCAAAGAATCGATACCTATGATCCCGAGATTCAAATACTTGGAGACATCTTTCTCGAAGAGTCAGTCCTCAGTAGCTACCGTTGTTACATTCCATTCAGTGACAATTACAACTCTGCATGTATGACACTCTTTAATGTCAAACGTCGTAGTGAAAAGGTTGCAACTCTACTCAAAGAATGTGAAAAACGATCACAAACCTATGGTGTAAAATTAGATAGCGATATTGTACATTCAATCGATCTTAAATCTCTTCTCTTATCGCCATTACAAAATATCCCAAGAATATTTATGATGTTAGGTGTAAGTAAAGGAAATTAAAAAAAAAGAAAAAAAGAAAAGTAAAAAGTAAATCAAACATATTTATTATTTATTATTTATTTATTTATTAGGAATTGAGTATGTCAACCTCACCAAAACATAAAGATATAGAATTATTGAATCAATCTGCAGGAAAATTTCAAGTTTTATTTGAGCGTATCAATCAAAATTTCCAATTTGTAGAGGCAATTGAAATTTTGAATTGTTCATCAAATGAATATGGTAATCCACAGGTTATGGGTGGTTCATTAAAACAACTTGTTGAGAAATTAACTCATCATAATATTTCAGGTAAACAAAAAAGAAAAAAGAAAAAAAGAAAAAAAAGAAACCAAAATATTTAATTATTTATTTTTCCATTTAGATCCATATTTTGTAAATGTATTTTTACTTACATTTAGGAATTTTTCAAAACCATTGGAATTATTGGATTTATTAATTGAGAAATATGAAAAGTATCCAGTTGCTCGTGGAAGAGTGGTCAATGTACTAAGTAATTGGATTATAAATTATTTCTATGATTTTGAAAACGATCCCATTCAAACTATTATCGACCCACCCGATCATCATCCAGAACAACTCTCTCAAAAACTAGAGAAATTCCTTCAAAATTCAATCACCGACAAGTTGTTGAATAGCGCCAAGGCACCATACGAAGCCCAAAGAAAGAAGGATTTCTCGACGAGATACAACGCCATCTCGGTCATTATTCCAACAGTTGTAACACCACCAACCATCTCACTGCTCGATTTTAGTCCCATCGACATCTGTCAAACCCTCACCATCTTGAATCATCTCTACTATGCCAAGATTGATCGAAGAGAGTTGCTCAACCAACGATGGACCAAAAAGAAGGCACCCAACATCCAAGCATCGACCGATCACTTTAATCGTGTCAGTCAACTCGTAGTCACTGAAATTGTTCAATGTAAAAACTCTAAATCCAGAGCAACCGTCATTGCTCACTTTCTCGCCATTGCTCAAGGTTGTTTTGAATTGAATAATTTTACTGGTGTTGCTGCTATCATCTACGGTCTCAATAATGCAACTGTTAGTAAACTTAAAAAGACTTGGAGTGTATGTATAAATACAGATATAATAATAATATTAATAACAATAGACAATATACTAATTCTTTAAAAATATGATTTAGAAATTGTCAAAGGATTCATTCAATACATATGAATATTTGGAAAAGATTGTTACACCAATGAAAAATTATATATCACTTCGTCATATCATGGCAACGGTTCAACCTCCATGTACACCATTTATTGGTACCTATCTCAAAGATTTGACGTTTATCGAGGATGGTAATCCCCCTCAAATTGGTGGATTGATCAATTTCTACAAACAAAGAAAGATATCCGAAGTCATCTTCCAAATACAACAATTCCAACAAGTACTGTACACAAACATCACTCCAAACATCACCATTAGAGATTATTTGTTGGCTGCTCCACTACTAGAGGAAAAGAAAGCACAATCAATGGCTTCTGGTTACGAATAAAAGTAAATAATAATTAATAATAAATAATAATAATAAATAATAATAATGACCATCCCAACACAAAACAACTCCCAACAATAAATAAAAAAAAAACTAATTATAATTATGTTGGAAAGACAAGACACGGATCACTCCAACAACAACAACAACAACAACAAACAGGATCTTTTTGTATTAACGTTGACTGTTGAACTACTCTAAATAGTTCTGTTCTTTTAATTATATTTTCTACTGTTCAATGAGAGAAAGTGATTATCATAATATTCAGCACACCAGATACACCAAGCAGCACTATTTAGTTATTTTATTTTATTAGTTAATTATTGGTATGCGGTATTGTCCTATTTTTATCAGTGTCGATAGGTACTAAGAACTGGTTATAAAAAGGATAAATAATAAAAAATAAAACAAAGAAACAAACCTCAGCGAACATCAGACGAAAGAAAAAAAAGTAGACAGGAGGAAGAGCAAGAGGAAATGGAGGAAAGTAGAGTGGAAGAGCTTCTCATAAGTCATCCAATAACACTTATAGACGCGCTAACTACCGCTGGTTCTCCATCAACAATACTGTTAGGGAGTTTCCCTAAAAGGAAAATTATTAAATTAATATTTATTTATTTTTCAAAACTCAAAGATACCATTTGAGGATATTTAGTTTTAGTTTACTATATTAGAGGCAAGAACGTCATGAGAACGTAAGACTGAATAGAGAATAGAGATAGAAAAGCACTATTACATATATAAATTATAATTAATAGTAATAATAGTAATTAATAACTACAGCTAGTAAAATCATGTTGTCTAAAGTTCTGAATACACCAATACACTCGATGGCTAAGCGTTCGGAGTATGCCGACTCAGATGATTCTATTTCAAATCTGTTGGAGATGTTTGAAAGCCTAATTGGAACGTGCACCAAAGGATGTACTTACATTCTCCAAGCGACGAGTCATGCACGACCCAGCTTACCGTACAAGATTAAAAGAGGTCAGCCGCTTCAAAATCGACCATTCCGACATGGAGGGTGGAGAGAGTACTGCCACGCCACGGAAGAAGGTCATCGCTCTATTCTTCCAACCATTTTTGGTAAGTAACCAATCTTTAGCTTCAATGTCTAACAAAACCAAAACCAAACACAAATTAGATAATTTCATTGCATTTGATCGATTATCAAAAAGTATGTCGTTTTCTTTCAATCTAATCTAAAGGTATCTTTGAAAGGAAAAGGCATACTTTTTGATATCGGGAAGGCAGCTCAACTTTAGATGTATTTCTTCTCTTTAACATGGAACCTCGGGCATTTCAATATATGGATATTCAAGGAATCTCAAACAACACTTTCAACTCTACCCTTACCTCCTCCTACTACTACCACTTGACCAAATATAAAATGTATGTGTAATTATATTATTATTATTTATTTATATTTATTTTTATTACCTTACATTCCAAATCAGAACGCATAGTGCTAAAGTTGATAAACAAACACACACACACACAATGAAAAATTAAATAAACATTTCATTGTTGGTGTTGTGTGGTTGGATATTAGACTTCGATGCAATGAACCCCACCCAACAAAGCATAGACCTTTATTTTCTGACTATCAATTTTTATTTTCTTTTTTTTCTTAAAGATAACATCTATTACCAACTTGTAAATAATTATAACGACTCTTTGTAGATAGATAGATAGAAAGATAGATTGACAGATAGATAGAATAGACCATCTATTTCAAATTTATAGTTTTTTAGTATTAGGCATTAATATCAATATTATATTTCCAATATAGATATCTATAAAACCTCATCAATGATGAATAGATTACCTATTCTCACATTTGTCATTTTTTTGACATTATTTATATCAACAACATGGAGTGTAGAATATAATTTTTCTGACCCACCAACTGCTACCATCGCGGTCACTTGGATCAACATGGCTTTGAAGTGCGTCCACAATTCAAAACCAACTCCTGCACCAACCATCGTCTCCAGATCATTAGCAATGGTATCAACTGTAATGTATGATACATGGGCTTATTACGATGATGTATGTACATCAAAAAAATTAAATGAATTAAATGGTTTGTAGTTAATTAATTAATTGGATTGTTTTTTTTTTTTTAGGTTTGCAAGAGGTGAATATTTTATTAGATCAAAGAATCATACATTGGACAAGGTAGGATTAAAAGAGTCTATTTCATTTGCCGCCTATAGAGTATTGGCTGATTTATGGCCAGGTCAAGTAGAAGAAGTATTAGATGTTAGAATGAAACAATTGGGATATAACCCAAAATACATTGATACTACAAAAAGTGTACATGCAGGTATTGGTAATTTAGGTATGAAATGATTAAATTAATTAAATAGATAATATATAATATATAATATATGTATGTAAATAATAATACTAATTATTTTATTTATTTATTAATTTTTTAGCCGCAACAAAAATATTACAATCAAGATGGAGAGATGGATCAAATCAAAAAGGGGATCATCCAGGAGCACCAAATAATTACACCGATTATACAAATTATGCACCAAGAAATGATCCACAACCAGCCACTATGAGATGTCCAGATAATTGGCAACCACTTCTCATTCCAAATGTAAATGCAACTATTGAACCTGCACCACAAAAGTTTACAACTCCTCAATGGCCAACTGTCAAAGCATTTTCGTTTACTAGTCCATCTGAGATTAGATCATCCACGCCACCACCACTTGCCAAAGACGAAACGACAAGAGAACAATTATTGGAAGAGGCCAAAGAGTTGGTTGGGTACACGATGGACATGACAGATGAAATCAAGATGATTGCAGAGTATTGGGCAGACGGACCATCAAGTGTCACTCCACCAGGACATTGGCACTTTTTTGCAATGGATATTTCCGATAGAGATCATCATACCCTCGAACAAGATGTTAAAATGTATTTTATGTTGGGTAATGCTGTAATGGATGCTGGTATTGTATGTTGGGATTCCAAGAGATTCTATGATAATGCTAGACCTGCCACAATGATTCCTTATCTCCTCGGTAATGATACAGTCACTGGATGGAATGGTGCATGTCTCGAAAAGGTATCATTTAGTCTTGCCAACTGGATTCCCTATCAAGATCCCTATTTTGTAACTCCACCATTCCCAGATTTTACAAGTGGTCATTCAACATTCTCTGCTGCATCGGCTGAAATTTTAAAAAGATTTACTGGTTCTGATGATTATATAAATGGTTTTAATGCTGCTAAAGGTAAATATAGAAACAATCAAACTAATATTTTTATTATTATTAACGAATATTATTTTATTTAATCTTTTTAGGATCATCTGCATTTGAAAAAGATTGTCCATATGATGTTCCATCTCGTGATATTACAGTACAATGGAAAACATTTTCAGAAGCAGCAGATCAAGCTGGTTTATCTAGAAGATATGGTGGTATCCATTACAAGACAGCTGATTTGGCAGGACGAAAGAATGGTAGAGATATTGGTGGATTAGTCTATGACAAGGCACAATTATTATTCCAAGGTTTAGATCCAGACATCAGTAGAATGATAACTTCACAAAACTCTGCACCATCTATTGGTAACATCATTCCATTCAAACTTATTGTTATTTTATTATTGTTCATTATCACTACTACTATGATCATTTAGAGAGTGAAGAATAGCACACAATATTGATACCACCAATAAAATAGATAGTATTATTTAGGACACACCCCAACCAACCCAACCAAAATAGATGTATTCTTCTCTTATTTATAATTATTATTAAATTCACTGATTCCTCTATTTACTATTTTAATTATTTGATTCAAAGAGAGTTTGTTGAGTTACACTATATTTAGAATTGTATATCTCGTTTTAGTTTATTATTACTTTAGTAGTGGTAGAAATTTAATTGGATTGAATTGGATTGGATTGGATACTAAATAAAGATAGTTGGTTGGTTGATTTGATTGATTTTTTTACAATAGTGGAATTGACTGATGATGATGAAAGTGTGGTGTGAAAGATTAAAAAGGTAAAAATCTTGGGAACACCTATAATCTGTCATCATGTTGAACCATTAAAAATATCATCATCAGTATTGTTGTATTTATATACGATAAGTGTTGATTGGATAGAGTGTTATATATGTAAAGGGGGTAATTAATGTATAGATTTATTATTTTGAAATCCTTTTTTTTCTTATTTTGTATAAAAATTTAAACTCTCAATAGGCAGCGATTTTAATAGGACATCTCTAATACCCCCAAATAATAGTGTCAACCCCAAGAGTATATATCGTATTCAATTGGTGTCCGTGCGTAGTAAATATACAAACAAACAAACAAACAAACAAACAAACAAACTAGAAAAGTTTGAGGATAAGTTGACAACGTATATCTAGTGATGATGTCGATGGACAGATATGGGTTAGCATCATTCTCCAACAACCAACAACCAACAACAATAACTCTATTCTTTATAACCCAATCGATCATGGACATTCTCCTCCTTCTCTCCTTTTACTCCCCATACTCGTCGTCAATACCAACAAGTAAGTGTCTTTGGTTGGACAGAGGTTAGGTTAGGTTAGGTTAGGTTATGTTAGGGTTTGGGTTTAACAATAAATATAATTATATATGGTTACAAGATCATAAAGTTCATCTATTTGAAACCAAAGGAAATTCGTTATTTTTTAACACTCTTGTATAAATAGTTCTATTTCCTTGTTTGTTTTCAACTTTCAAAATTCAAATCAAATTCACAAATAACAACAACAACAACAATAGATATTATTAATATTAATAATATTATATTATACATAATATGTTAATTAAAAATATTTGGTTAAAACAAAATTTAAGTGTTTTCCTAATACTGGTAACACTACTTATATTTAATGGATTGGTAATGGGTGATCATGGAGGCGATCATGGAGGTGATGATCTCGAAAAAATATTCACAGATAGTTATCGAAAGGGTGCAGGGTGTAATGATAAGAACTGTCCACCATTTGGATCGACAAACTCTGTTGCTGCCATTGCACAAGATGGCATTATATCGGAAAATAGCAAGTTTTCCATCATACTAGAGGCCAGCATTACAAACTACCAAAATTTTGGCAAAAAGATTAAAGAGTTTCAAGATATCTTGAGATCACTTCAAAGGAGATATCCACAAGCTGGACTCTGTTCAGTGGTTGCCTTTGGTAATAATGCATGGAAAGTATTGACCAATAATGATCAAAGTGCAAATCAATTGAAAAACTTTGTTCAAAGAGGTAAAGGTGAATTCATTGCTCCAAGTATGTATAAACTATCAAACTATAAATTAAATTAAATTGGTTTGAATGAATATTAATTAATATTTTTTTTAGGTACTCAAAGAGATATATTATTTCATTTACAATGCATACAAATGGATGTATTATTTAGTTTGGCATTATATACTAATAGAACATTTACTGGTAGTATAAAGATTGAAGAAGAGGTACATTGCTTTAAATGGGAGGAAAGTAGAGACTTTATCGGATTCATTGATGGTACTGTCAATCCTGTTGGTGCAGCCAATCGAACCAATGCCAGTCTTGTTAGCGATGGACAAGATGTTGGTGGATCGTATATCATGTCACAAAGGTTCAGACACGAACTAGATCGATGGTCAAAGGTACCAGTAATGATCCAAGAACAAATAGTCGGTAGAACCAAGGACAACAGCACCATTCTTCCTCGTGACCAAAGAGATCCCAATGCACATGTAGCCAAGACATTTCTTGGTAATAGAGTACTAAGAAAGTCAATGCCCTATGGTGTTGTCAATGGTGGTGATATAGGTCTCTACTTTATCAGCTATTCCCATCATCTCTCGTTTATGGAAGACCAATTAAAGAGTATGTTTGGTGAACTTAATGGTCAATTTGATAGACTTTTAAATTACACTAAACCTGTCACTGGTAGTTATTGGTATGCTCCATCTCTAGTTCAATTAAATAGATTAAATTAATCAAATTTGTACAAATTTATAATACAAACTAAACTCTTATCCTTACAATTAAATTAAATTAATAATAAACCTTAAGTCATAAAATATATTTATATTTTTTTTAAAAACATAGTAGTCGTGTGTTAAACAACATGCTGTTGTGATTGCAACATGTGGTGTGAGTGCAATTGAAGCGATACTTACTTTGTGAAGATGGAATGGGTGGTGAAAAAAAACAATAATAATATTAAAAATAGTCACTTAGTACTAAGTTGTTATTGTTTGAAATTTGTGAAGATGATTTATAATATTATATATATTACGACTATATTGTTATTATTATTAACATACCCAGAGTTTATCATTGTTGAGAAAATGTCGGCAGCATCACTTGCGCAGAGTGGAATACTGTTGGAAGGAATGAAATTTGCTATTTTCATTGAAGCTCGTATCTTGGATTACAGTGGACTAGGTTCCAAATGCCAACAATTCCTCTCCAATCTAAAGACACTTCAAACAAAAAATGAAAAGGCTAGTCTTGGTGCTGTCGTAGCTTTCGGACATGACTCTTGGAAATCAATCAATAAAGGTCAAGGTGGTAGTGAACTAATCAACTTTGTACCATTAGGAAATGATCATATCTCTGCTCCAAGTAAGTAGTAGTAGTATAGTATCTAACTACCAGAGTCTAGTTGTTTGTACCAACACCACCAATCAATTATTCTTTTCTATTCTATTCAATTTTAGGTACCCAAAGAGATATGTTTATACATATTCAAAGTTTACATTTTGATATTGTATTTACATTGGCCATGCAAGCAAGTAGAATATTTGGACCTAGTATAAAGGTGGAAGAAGAGGTACATGGATTTAGATGGGAACAAGAAAGAGATACGACTGGGTTTATCGATGGCACCGAGAATCCAAAGGGAGAAAAGGATCGTGCAGACGCTGCCATCGTACCAGACGGTCCTGACAAGGGAGGATCGTATATCCTGAGTCAACGATTCGTACACGATCTAAAGAGTTGGGAAAAGTTGGCAGTTCATACACAAGAAAAGGATTTTGGTCGTACCAAAGAAAAGAGTGTCGAGTTGCCACTGGACAAGAGAAACCCAGGTGCACATGTCACCAAAACCGATCTAGGTGACAAGGTTGTCCGTCAAAGTCTTCCCTATGGCAAGGCTACTACCGGTGAAGTCGGTCTCTACTTTCTCTCGTATGCCAAACATCTCTCTTTTCATGCTGATCAACTAAAGAGTATGTTTGGTGGCGTCGACGGTACATTTGACCAGATACTAAACTTTACCAAACCTGTCACTGGTAGTTATTGGTTTGCTCCATCTTTAAATCAATTAAATCAATTAGCTAAAACAAATCTATAGAAAGAGAGAAAGAGAGAAAGAGAGAGAGGTAGACCTCGGTCTCACTTTTACCTTCCCTCGCATACAAAAATAAATTTTTGGATTATAAAAAAAAAAAGAAACGAACGAAAGTTTGGTTGGAGTGAGAAAATAAAGAGAGTAAAACACAAAAAGTACTCTTTATTTATTCATTTACATTTAGAGATAATTATATAATATATATATATATATATATAAACTATAAAGAGATATGTCTGATAGAAAAGTTATTCATCCATTGTCTAGAAAGGCAAAGTATTTAGCTAAAGAGGGTTTTAGAGAGATGCATAAAAAGAATCAAAAGGAAGATAGAAATAAGAAAAATCATATAATGTGTATGTTATATATATTTATATGTTTAAACAACAATAGATAGATAGATAGATAGATGATATTAATACTTCTTGTCGTCTCTTTGCTCGTTGTTGATACTACAGACCACAAAGTCAATTGGTTTAAAGAACATATGATCGCCGACAAGAAGCAATATACAGAGAGAGACATGTCACGTTTGATAGAACAATTCATCAAGAGAAACGATGCAGAGTTGGGTGATATCGATAGAGAACATAAAAACGTTAATAGATCAAACAAATTGGATATTTTGATTTCATTGCGTGATAGTGAGTTGAAACAATTCCATGGTGAAGGTGTTACTGCTCCCGATTTGACAAAGATTAAAAATGTTCAATGGTTAAAGTATGTTTAAATGTCATTTTAAAATATTATTATTATTATTATTCATCTTGGAGAGAGAGAGGAAATGAATTATTAAAATATTAATTAATTTCGATTAATTATTTATAGACAATGGGATGGAAATGTAGCAGTTATTTCACAACAAGTTACCTTTAAGAAATTCAAATCAGTAGAAGAAAAAGATGATGAAATCGTTCCAAAACCAGAAACAGAAACAACAACAACAACAACAACCACCAATGATCAAGATAAAATCCAAGTTGAAAGAAACCAAACCACAATCTATAAGAACTCAATTGGCTGCACCAGTCACTTTTAATCCATTTGGAAACAAGACTCTTTTAGATAAATAAACGCATCATACCAACATATATGTAAATAACCAATGATCACTCATCGATTAAATAGTCTGTCATATTAATCCATACTTGGTTTCCATCAATTTTGTGAGGCCGACATCGAAATAGGCTGAGGCTTTTTTTTTTCGTTACAAACATTTGTAAAAAAAATCACAATTTTTTTAATTTTTTTTTCTATTTTTCACGAAGGCTGTCAGAAAAAAAAAAGGTGCGCGTATTATTTTTTTTTTAAGGAACACTACAATAAATTGGTTTTTGTATGTCACATTAGAGATTATTATTATAGAGTTAGTCAGAGATCATCTACAAAAGAGAGAAGCATCAATTTATAGAGTTTTAGTAATAGAGTCTACACACAGCATTCAATCATCTCGTTTCACATTTTTGTTACAGTAGAGATATAAAAAATCGATTATAATAGTTGTTCGATAGACATGACACACAGACATTTATTATGACATATGACCTATGCCACATAGATTATTCATTAAATGATCTTTATTATCAATATAATTATTTATCACTGTCACATTGGAACGAACATTCTTTTGAACAAACCTTTGAACATGTGATAATCAAAGAACAAAAATCAATACTTTTTCTATTTACTGTTTATCATCAACAACAACATATAACACATACCACATACAGACACAGATGATACATAGATAGGAGAGACATCATATATTTTCCCATCGTTTGTTTTGTCGTTTTTTTTTTGTTATTTTTTTTTTTCATTCTCACCATCAGTTGTGTTCACTTCAAAACAAAAGACATGATTACAATTGTATCACTATCACAATCAATTCAATTCAATTCAGTACCTATTACTAAAACTCTATAAGAAATAAGATGGATGATGACTCTATATATAAACAAAGAAAGGAACCAAAGTTATACTTACTCTTTTTTTCATCATCATTGTAGATAGGTGAAATGTCAGATCTCATTTTCCAAATCGTCAAGCACAACCACGCCTTCAGAAAGGTTTCCAACGGTAAGGTTTTATCCGCCGAACCAGGTAACTTGAGAAACGTTAACTCTGTCAAGCACTCTGCTTTCGCCCGTTCAAAGAACATCGATATCACCACCGACAAGAACGGTAAGGTCGTCGTTGCCATCAAGAGCAAGGCTTCAAAGGTTTCACCAGCCAAGGCCTTCACCAAGATCCCAACCAACACCTCCAGCTACAGAGCCACCGCCAAGACCATCAAGAACCTCGTCCGTGAATACAAGACCCCAGAACTCCGTTTCTCTGCCCTCGGTCGTTTCCACCGTTTGTTCAAGGCCTCCCGTAATGCTGCTGCCAACAAGAAGGCTGCCACCATCGCTGCCAAGAACTAAATAAATAAAACCTTGTTCATCCATTATAATTAATTAATTAATTGTATAAATGTCTTTACCAAAGAGAGAGAGACTCTTTTTCTTTTTAAATGATCAATAAATGATTGGCTATAATATTATTATAATCATTTTGATTTAAAGATCTTGGTGGTTGTTGTTCTAACCTCAAAGTCTTGTCGTGGGCCACGACAGGATGTGACCTATATTCGGTTTATATTGGGTCAATATCACACAAAGGTTTCAAAATACACAACATGAGATATCTCGCTAGAATTCGAAACACTCTTGTTGTTTAATAACAAATATTTGCAAGAAGCAAGCAATCAAACCATTCTATTAAGAGAGAGAGAGGGAGTAGATAGAACTACTGATCACTCTGATCTCGCCATCCATCATCATCCGTCGCAGCGCAGCTACAAAGTTGTACAACAAACAAACAAACAAACAAACCACCCCTCCTCGATAACAAACTAAACCAAACACGACGCATACCCACATCATCATCATCACCCACCAAAGTCACATTCGATTGTTTGTTATTTGGGTGTCGATGTTGGGAGTGGTATAAATAATATTATTTAATCTAACAAAGGGAAGGAAGCGTACACTACTTAACCTCATCCTCCTCACACTTTTTTAAATTAGATGACCTACCTAATCAGTTGAATAATAATAATAATAACATCATCATCATCGTTACAGATACAAGGTAGTAATAATCTTTAAACTATCAATATAGTATAGTATAAACAACAACAACAACAACAACAAACAACCAAACAATGTCATTACTTGTCAATTTTGCTAATCATCAATTGGGATGTACTATCTATTGTGATCATCCATCATTTTCCGATGATTATGCATTGACCAATATCATATCAGATAATCCAATACTCAAATCAAGAGGTTTCCTTGCTACTCAATTCACCAAACCACCTTTGGATATTTTAATATCCTTACCGTAGGTAGTCAGTCCGTCACCACATATGTGTTTGATAGATATATATATATTAATCTATTTGTCTATTCTATCTAGGTATGCAATAGAGGTAGAGAGAATCGGTATTCTTGCAAAGACAGGAACATGTATATCACAATCCATATCAATCTATGTATCGGATCAATCGATGGAGGATTTGGTAAAAAATACCAATCAGTTGATGACTGCACAATCCAGATCTAGAACCGTTGCAATGTTGGATGTGGCAACACCCCATAATTTAATGGCTCCTCGTGGCAAGAATAATGATCTCTCCAAAGAACGGTATCCAGGTGATCTAATGATGAGTGGTGGAACACTTTATAATACAAATAGTAATACAAATCAATCATCAAATACCAATGCACTATATTCTCAATTGTTATATAGAAATTTTACTTTAATGTCAACTATGGAGAATTTACATCAATTGGTAAAAGAAGAAATATAAAAAAGAAGAAAGAAGAAGAGGAAACTAACTAATATTATATAATATTTATATTTCTTTTTTTTTTATATAGGATCATTTATATTCATATAAATGTAATACACATTTTGATTATAGACAACAAATTGAAAACACTAGTTTCTATCCACTACCACCACAACTCAATGAACAGATCAAACAAATCAATCAACTTCAAAGTTTTCATTCAAATATCAATCTATTGAAAAATGTTAAGACCATTAGAATCAGAATTCTCAATGTATTCCAATCGAGTTGCCCTGCATTGGGAGGTGTCGAGATTTGGGGACTACCATCGAGACATTTAACACCCGACATTGTAAATCAAATCTATCACAAAAACACAATCACTGTACAACAACAAATGCAGATACGACAACAACAACAACAACAACCTCAACAATTTTCTTTTAACAACCTACTCAATAGTAGTATATGTATATCATCACCATTACCAAATCATTTTTCTTCAGATCAACAACAACAATATCAACAACAACAACAACAACAACAACAACAAGTTCAACAACAATCATTATCATCAACAACTTTTTCAATTCCTATTCCTACTAATAATAATAATAATAATCATGTAAATCCACAACCACAACAACCAGGCAACACATTTTCAATAGGCACTAACCATTCAAATTCTCATTCTCATTCTCATCATCACCATCACCATCATCATCACCATAATAATCATAATAATCATAATGGTCATAATAATCATAATAATCATAATAATGGTCATAATGGACATACAACACCAAATAATACACCAAGACGTACGATTTCATCGAGCATGGAGATGGAAAGCGACAATGGATCAAGTAATGGAGATTTTGAACAATTTTTAGCTTCACATCCAGAGATTATACTGGATGAGGCAGGAGTTCCAACCATATTTATCGACCCAATCACAACAAAGATGATGGAAGATCCTGTCGTTCTCCCATCGGGCAAAATTGTTGACCGAACAACAATGGAGAAACTATTCCAAAACCAGTATCATACCGATCCATTTTCAGGCGTACGAATCACTACAGCCGATATCAAACCAGACAATGTTTTGAAACTTCAAATCCAATCATTTATCAACGAAAAGAAGAAACGAAAGAGAATTCTCAAGAATGCATTGCCAACACTAGTCGCTTCATCTTCATCGATCGATCCCTTTACCACTACCGCCTCTTCAGTTGCATCTTCAACCTGTTCATCTCTCAACTCTAGTCTTAGTGGTACCAATGGATTTTTAGTCAATAGTAGTGGTGGATTCCAACTACAACAAGGTGGAACAAGTGGCTTTGAAATGAGTATGAATGATAACTTTTTAACCGATCATCACCACCAATCTAATGAATCGAATAATGGTGGTTTGATCATCAATGGAGAAGGTCATCGTAAAAACAGTAATTGTATCTATCCACTTAGTAGATTACTTTCTCAAACAAGTTTAAGCGAACTTCCAGTAAAGAAAATAAAAAAGTAATCTAATCTAGTTTAGATTATAAGGATAATATTACTTTGGAGTATATATATATATATTTATAAAAAAAAAAGAAAGTAGTAATAGATTATTTATTGGCCCAAATAAATGTGTCTTTGGGATTGATTGATTGATATGATGATGATTTTAATAACGATGAATAATGGTTGATGGTTCAACGAGTGGATCCAAGTTTTCCAAGTTATCCCACCACTTGTCCAAATGATTCAAAGCAATTAATTTAAACCATGGAGTCAATTTGATTTGATTCTCGTCACTTTGTTTGATCATTTCCTTTAATTCCTCTTTTGATACATATTTATGATCCATAACTTCATTTGGTACTGCATGTACATTTACATTGGTTTTAATGATTAAAATATGATCAACTAGTTGATAGAAATAATAAATAAATAGATTAGAATACATTGTATAATACATATGAGTATAGGTTGGTTTATATATATATTATTATATTCTTTCTTACTTTCATGTTCACCCCATTGTGGATCTTCAACAGATGGAGAAAGGTAATGAATCTTTGTCATGAATTTGAATTGATCGACCTTGGCCTCTTCAAAGGCAACACCCAATTCGTGATTTAATTTTCTTTGTGCAGCTACACGAACACCAAGAGCATTCTCTTCGATAAGTTCGTTTGGCAACCATAATGGATGTGAGCATACAGTGTTGGTCCAGTAGCCTGGGAAGGTGATCTTCTCCATGGCACGTTGTTGAAGAAGTAGTTTGTTTTCGCTATTGAATAAAAAGATTGAAAAGGCACGATGCAAGAGACCCTTGCTAATGTTCTCCATCAAATGACATTCCTTCTTGCTACCAGGTCTCAATGGTTTATCGTCATTATCAACAACGATGCATTCCTCTTGCATCAATTGAATTTGGACTTCATCGTGTCCTTTAAATGCTGTACATTCTTGTTCTGACATTATTAATAAGTAGTTATTCTTATTATATAAGTAATATATAAATATATATTATGTTGTTGAGGAAGAAGAAGAAGAAGAAGAATTAAACTATAAAGTAAAACAATAAAGTATAATGATCAACAAAGCAACACCAACAACTTAAAAAAAAAAAATTAAAAAAAAAATATTCTCTCTTTCTCGTACAAAGTAAACATTTGTACTCTAATTTATATGAACATATTATTATTATTATTATTTATATTAACATATATCTTCAACTCATTAGGTTAATTTGAACAATTGTCCAATTAAAATGTGTCTCCGATCTATCACCATTCAGGGTGGTGAATGTAATTCGTCCCCCTTAAAATTGTACCAAAAAAAATCTTATTTTGGTTTCCCAAACCAAAAATTCTTCTTTTTTGCCTTCTTCTCCACTTAAGTTTATAAATCGGTGGTCGATTATTATTATCTATCAAACACCAATCGCACAGCACAGTTACACCCTCTCTTTATTTATTTAATCTATATAGATTTTTGTATTATATTAGTATATATTTATATTTAGACTCAATCAAGTAACAAAAGAGAATAATAAGAGTTGTTGTTGATTGAACCATGACAGAAGTTAAAGAAGACAAGTCAATGTTACCATTTGACGTCCTTCAAAACAAGATTAGAGCTCTCATGGAAAAGGAGAAACAAATCAAAGAAGGTGATCAAGAAGAGGAAGAGGAAGATGGTGAAAAGGAAGAAGATAAAGTAGAACAATCCGATGATGATGATGAAGCTAGATCAGGTGAAGCATCAGATGAAATAGAAGATGAAGATGAAGATAATCAAGAAAGTGGTCAAGATGATGATGATGATGATGAGAATAGTGCAGCTGAAGAAGAAGAACAAGAAGGAGGAGAAGAAAATCAAGATGGAGAAGATGGAGAGGAAGAAGAAGATATTGGAATGTTTGGAGTTGAATTGACAAAGTTGATGGAATTACAAGGTGATGACAATGGAGATGTACCATTAATCCTCATTGTATTGATAGAAAAGGTCATTGCTTTGAGAGGACTAAAGACTGAAGGCATCTTTAGAGTCAATGGTAATTTGGCCGATGTTGAGAAACTTGCTACCGAGGGATTTGACCCAGAGGATGAGCAATGTAAAATATATAGCGTGTTTACTTGGGCATCGTTGCTCAAAAAGTGGATCAGAGAGTTACCCAATCGTCTCGTGCCAGAGTCACTCTACGAACCATTCATTCAGGCCAAATCACCTGAAGACATCAACGACAATGTCCTACGGGCAATCGAACGGGATGCAGACTCGAGTTTGGAAAACAAGCTCCAAAAAGACGTATTGAATACGGTTGGATTGTTCTTTGGACAACTTTTAAGCGACAGAAATATAGTGCACACCAAAATGACGTTGGAAAGCGTCTCGATAATCCTCACACCAACCCTCTTCAAACCTCGAGTACAAGTGTCTCTTGAAAATATCACCGCCGTCATGGACCAACAGAAACGCGAACTCGAATCGGTCAAACACCTTCTCATGTACTATAAACAATTATACTCTCAACAACAACGCCAAATTCAATTCGATATCCTTCAACAAAAGCAACTTCAACTTCAACAATCACCAAAACCAAAACATAAAAACAAACGTAATAGATATAACAGGAAGAGATAGAAAAAGAAAACCAAGGTAAATAATAATAATAATTAGTAATATATGATTCATAAAAAAAAATAATCTATAATAGTAATAATAATAACAACGTAATATATCAAATTTGTAATAGTATAATAAATAAATCACACATTAAATTTATTCAATGTGCCTCCAACAACAACAACAATACACTCCTTTTTTTTTTTAGTTATATGTACAATATGTGTTTTGTTGTTGATTAGGCTTAAATTGATTGCCATTTGAAATGATTGTGATTAATTAATCATACCTTGATTCAGCACTTGTAGTAGTATTTATAGTTGGAATTGATTTTCTTTTTGGTGTTCTTTTCTCTGCCAATGTTGGTAATGTCGATGATGTTGATGATGCCAATGATGGTGTGGTTGTACCACTGGCCATGTTTGGTGTTTGAATCGTATTATTATTATTATTATTATTATTATTATTATTATTATTATTATTATTATTATTATTTGCAATATTTGATAGTTGTGATTTAGAAGATATAGTTGAAAATGGTAATTTAGTAGTTGGATCTATATATTTTGCAGGTTCACCAGTGACTGCACATATCTTTGTACTCTTTACCAATCCAACCAATTCTTTTAACGCTTCTTTATCCTTTTTTTGTTTATTTTCATCTAAACAATCTGGTATAAAATCATCAGAGAATGAAATGGTAGTTCCAGTTTTAATATTTGATGAATATAATATTCTTGGTCCAGTAATCCTAAAAAATAAATAAATAAAAAACAAATTAATTATGTATCTTTGATATTTTGTTATTTAACTTACACTTGTTTTTTAGAAGTATGTAATGATTTTCTTCTTTCTTCTTCTTTTAACAATAGATTATTTAAAGAGTTTTGATTGATGACTTCTGTTTTTCTGGCCTCCTCCAATAGTTGTGCCTGTGTTAATTGTTTTTCTTTGGCAGCTCTCTTTTTAATTACTTTTTTTGGTTGTTCTCTCATTGCTTTTTGAGCAGCTTCACTTCTTTCAATCGATGCTTGTACAGCTGGTCTAAGTGATTTTCTTGTGATGGTTGGTGATTGTGGAGTTGGAGGTGTTCTTTTGGCCTTTTTGACCACCTTTTCAACTGGTTCATCGTCATCCCCTTCCTCTTCTTCTTCTCCACCATCTTCTTGATCTTCTATCGCCTTTATAAAACTTGGTTTACTTGATTTATCAATTGCAGCACTTTTTCTCTTTGATTTTGAATCTTTATATATTTGTTTCTACAACAAATCAAAAATATATTAGATACCATCAACCATAGAAATGATAATAAGAGGTGTATTATAATAAATAAATAAATAAATAAATACCTTTGTTTGTTTCTTTTCCTTTGCTTTATCAATCTTGACATCTGCTTCATTCTCACTTTCCACTTCATCTTCAGTGTCATCTGAAATGTCTTCATCATCATCACTTGCAGCTACATCTTCAAAATCTAATAGACTAATATATTAGTAATCGAATCAACACAAAAGTATATGTAACCGATATATCTATCTATCTGATCAATCAACTTTTACTTACCTGGATCAACTTCTTTATCATCTTTTAACAGTTCACCCCAAAACTCTTCGTTTGCAGCAATCTCTTCTGCTGTCAATGGGATTGTTCTCTTTCCTCTAGTTGCTCTTGTAGGTCTTTCCATGATAATATGATCTTATCCTATTGATAGTTTATTAAAAAGTCAAAGTCAGAGAGGACACTTCAAAATATGCTAACTTCAGCAAAAGAAATTAATTAAAAATAAATTTGGATGATTGTGGGGGTGTAGGTCGACCAATCATTTCAGGTTAGGGTGATGATTCATTCTTCATAATACTCGATATCGTTAATATCTTGACAAAAGAGTATAACATAGCAAAGACAGTATAGTTAGTGTGTATCAAAAAAAGAGAGAGAGAGAGAGAGAACATGTCAACAGCAAGTCAAGATCAAGTTCAACACCCAAAATATCAACAATGGGAGGAAGAAGGCCAATCACAAGTATTCAGATGGTATAACCAACTCAGTCAAGATGAAAAGGCTTCATTTGATAATGATATCGATCAAATAGATGTAAAAGAAATATCAACAGTTTATAGCAAAATACTTGATGAAAGAGGTACCTATATATATATATACATCATTCAAAATAACAAGACTGTCTATATCTCTTTTACTAAATATATTTATTTATGTTTTGTTTAGTTACACAAAAAGTAAATCTTACATATAAAGGATTCAAGAATGTACAAACATTGGATTCTATTACACCAGCAATGAGAGATGAATGGGAAAATATTGGATATAAAATGATTGCTGAAGGTAAAGTTGGTGTTTTACTATTGGCTGGTGGACAAGCAACTAGATTGGGTACAACTTTTCCAAAAGGAATGTATGGTATGTAGTAATCATGAACCTTATTTAATTAATTATTTCTCATGGTATTAATATTTAATTTATTTAAAGAGATTGGATTACCATCTGGTAAATCATTGTATCAAATTCAAGTAGAGAGAGTCTTGAGATTACAAGAATTGACAATGGCCAAATTTAATATTAAAACTATTCCACCCATTAGATGGTATATTATGACAAGTAAAGCTACTCATAATGAAACTATCTCATTTTTTGAAAAGAACAAGTATTTTGGTCTATTAAAGGAAAGCTTTTTCTTTTTCTCTCAAAAAATGATTCCTTGTCTTACTCCACAAGGAAAAATTATCAATGAATCATCATCAAAGGTAAATATATATATATATATAAATTAATCAATTAATATTGAAAAGTTTACTAAATTATATTTATTTTTTTAGATATCATTAGCACCAAATGGAAATGGAGGATTATTTAAATCATTGGAAATATCAGGAGCATTAAAGGATATGAAGACAAACGGTATAGAATATGTATCACAATATTGTGTAGACAATGTATTGATAAAGATGGTTGATCCATTGTTTGTTGGATACATGAAAAAGGAAAATGCCGATTGCGCAGCCAAGGTGGTTGCAAAGATCGACCCCGAGGAGCCAGTTGGTGTCATGGCACTCGAGAATGGAAAACCACGTGTATTAGAGTATAGCGAGATTGATACAGAATCGAAATTATTGCGTGACGAGAATAACAAACTCGTTTTCAACTATGCTCACATTTGTATCAATGGTTTCTCGAGAGAGTTTTTAGAACGTATCGCCATCGAGCACTTGGATTCACTGCCATACCACATTGCAGTCAAAAAGATCCCAGAGGCCGATGAAAATGGAGTGCGTCAGACACCATCACAAACCAATGGTTGGAAGCTTGAACTTTTCATCTTTGACGTGTTCCCCTATGCAAAGCATATGGTGTGTCTAGAGATTGATAGAACTGACGAGTTCTCTCCACTTAAAAACAATGCTGGTATGCCAATCCCAAAAGATTCACCAGAGACTTGTCTTCGTGACATTTGTGCCCTCTATCGTCGTTTTATTGAACGTTCAAATGGACGTGTTGATAATGGAAAATCAGATCTATGTGAAGTATCTCCTCTTGTCTCTTATCATGGTGAAGGTTTAAAGGAAAGAGTAAATGGTAAAACTTTTACATTACCATTTGAATTAAATTAAAATTATCCGTAAACAAACATACAAACAAACAAACCATGAATGACTAACCAAATTAAATAAACCTTTATTAAAAAATCTATTTGTAATTGTAAGAGTATTTTTTTTAAATATAGTTTTTTTTTTATTGTAATTATCTATAAATAATTAAATAAATAAATAGATATATAGATAGATAGAAAAAAAAAAACACAACAACAATAATAATAATTTTAATTTGTTGGTTGTTGCAAGTTTAAAATAGGTAATTTGAGTTGGTTGGTAGGTAGGTTGGTTGGGTTGTGTTAATGTATCATGGTTTATAGTTAAACAATTTTTAAGAGGTTTTTTGCTTTCTTTTTTTTTTGATGTTGTTTGTTCCTGAACAGGTAAGGGTTGGAATTGTTTACTTGTTGGATAATTCGGCACCAACTCTGTGACCCTTGATCTTGGTCCAGTTGATCTTCATCTTGGTGATTGGAAGAGCACGACGAAGAGCCTTGAAAGTGGTATCACCCATGGTTGAATAACTGGTATCCAAAGCAGCATGAACATTTAATTCAGCCTTTCCAATAGCCTTGAAAACGTTTGAAGCAGTAGTGTTGGCATCCTATAAAATATATAAATAATATAAATATGGTTAGATTAATCTCACCTATAATATATATTATATAGATCGTCTATGTTTGTTTGTATACTTACAGCAGAAGCAGCAGTGGTTGATTTAGTGGTGGTAGTGTTGAGTTGAACGTTACCATCTTCATAGTAGTGAACGTTGATTTGCATCTTTCCGTTGATTGTGACGTTTCCACTACCTGGCTTAAAGGTAGAGGTCCAGGTAGATCTCCAACGACCGTTCCAGTAGTTGTTTGGATTGAATTTAGATGAACTGACGCAAACGGTGATTTGGTAACCTTCAGAAACCTTTTGTCCATAGACAGTAGCAACACCAGATGGGTAAAACTCATTGGTATATTTGACGGCTTCTTCTTCAAAAGCAGCTCTAGATTATGATGATGATGATAGAGGTGATATATATAATAATAATTAGAATCTATTATAATAGTGATGTCGGATATTTGTGTATATATATATATATATTCCAATTCCAAGGATCGTCATTATTGTTTCTTACCTGTATGATTCAACTTCAGAATCGAGTTCACTACCAGCAGCACGTGAACCAGTGACAGTTTGCTTGATGTGATCAAAAGTCAATACAAGCTTGGCCTTTGGATCTAAATATTCGTTGTGGCTGACTTCACCCTTCTTGGTGATCAATACCTTGTGTCCCTTTGGTGAGTTTGCAATCACCATTTGTTCAGTGTTGTATTCTCTGAAGGTTTCGGCAGCAGATGCATTCAACATTGATTCATTTGGTAATAAAGCACGAACATCTAAACAATTGTGATAAATATAATAAGTACTTTAAACTATAATATTATTATCTAGTAGCAACAGTCATAGTTGTACAACATCGCTTGTTATTTTGCTAAAACTGATCTGTTCATCAAAAATCAGATCTTCCTAACCATCTAAAGATCTTCAATCCTAATACTACTACTATATGACTATTACTACTACTACTATATTGACTGCTGATTGTTGTTTTAATGATTTACCTGAAACAACTTCGTTGAGTTCACCAGCTGGTGCACTCAAGATAAAGTTGGTTGCAATCTTGACAATCTCTTCGTTGGTGGCCATTATTATTATTATCTATTATATATATACAAGTTATTGATGGTGGAGAGGAAGTGATATGAGATTGTAGTTTAAACAATGAACAAAAAAGAAGAGGTGAATAGTAATATACAACAAAGTAAAGAGAGATTAATGTTGAGGGATAAGAGATTATTTCAAGCAAAGTGAGGGGTGAGAAGCTCTCAGTCTGAACAAGATTTTTCACTCAAAAAAAAATAAAAAAAAATGGCTTGGAAGTGACCCTTATGCGAATTTTGTGGTGAAGTCGCCCCAAAGTCAATTTCTGATGAGGCCGCGATAGACAATAAGTACGTACCTACTTTTGTAGCGATCTTTAGACAAATATAACAAACATTGCGAGTATAACACTATCTATTCGGTTATGGAGATCTCCATTATCATATCTCTATCTCGAGGATGAAATAATAGTGTCGATTAAATTTGGACAATCGCGATTCAGCTCGGTGCTATAGTTTTTTTGAAAACTAATATCCTCCATATCCAGACAGAAATATTAATATTAAATCAAATATTATTCTAACATTATATTCAAACAATTTTATACAAGTTTTTTATTTTCTTTCAATTGGTTTATCGACCAACCAAAGCTTCGGCATTAAATTTGATCAAGATGACAGTCTTTGTGAATCTTTTACCTTCTACTGCTACATTGTGAGCTGTCACTCTTGCCGGCTAAAATATAATATAATATAATATTGATTAATAATTAAACCAATATTTATGGAAATAGCTATTTTTGATACATACAAATTCGGCACTACTTAATATACCTTCAACAATACCAGCAACAAAAGATGCACAATTCAAACTACTTAGTGATTTGGGAAGTGAAATATACTTATTTACAATCATATTGGCATCTGAAATCATATCTATACAAAAACAATCAAATAAATAATATTAATATTAATATTCCATACATGTTGAATTCGTCGTTGTCGTCTTCTTACATTCATCATCAGCCTCTGTACTTTTTTCCAAAGAATCTGCTTGTTTTCCAAACAAAGCTTTCCAAACATTGGAATGAATAAATGAAAGGATACCCAACAACTTTGTTTCTCTCTTTGGATTTTTCTCTCTGAATACCAATAGTTCCAATACACGTGTACCAACTAAAAACCCTATATCTGATAATCTAATCATTGATCGATCAATTGTACAATTAATATCAGTTAGAGCAATGATTATATTGATTGTTGTTGTTGTTGATGATGACAATACTTTTTCTCCAATTCATGACCAGCTTTGATTCTATCTTGACTGTATTGTATAATCTCTGAAAACAAGAAAGCAAATGAGCTAAGATTGATCTCAGTCTTTCCTTTTGGTAGTGGTCTATCGACTATATTGACTGCATTCTTGTTGATATTTGATGCCATTATATGTTTGTATGTATGTATGGATTGAAAGAGAGTGGATAGATCTATCTATGAACAAGGTATGGTATATCCTCTTCTTCTTCTTCTTCTTTACTATTGAAGCAAGATTTGGATGATCAGTATTAAATTAAAAAGTTTCAAAAAAAATTAAAAAAAACCTCCTTCACTTCACACCAACTACAATTTATTTAGGTGAGTTTCTCTCTCACACAACCATTCACTCATCTTTTTATTTATATATAAATATTTATTTATTTATTTATTAAACTTGTTTATATTTTTTTAGAATAACTAATAATAACGAAAAAAGAAGAAAAAGTAAGAATGACCGAATCAACAATCTCGTCGTGATGATCATCAATCACATGCATGTTCATCATCATCACAAACTACTATCACCATCGGCTGTGTTTCTCTCTTTGCAAACACATCATCATCATCCGTTCAAGACTCAACCATCACGACAATTCGAATTGGTGTGCAAGCCCAACGAACGTTACGTTATTATGTTACCGTCTTTATCAGGCTCCTCTCCAAATGATGTTGGAATAACATGATGTGGATACCTACCTACCTACCTACCTACCCTTCTTTCTTTGCTACTATATATACCGCTTTTTTTTTATTTTCTCTTTCCTTTCTTTATCCTACATATCTCTCTTTTCTCTTTTCTCTATTTCTGGTTTTTATATATATATAAATAGATAGGATGTTAATACTTGCTCATATTCAACGTGCCAAATTGAATGCAACGTGATTTGGTAAATTGAGATTGATAGATTCTGTGATCGCAGAAGAGGATTCATTCAACTGCACATGACGATCAAGACTACTATTAGTACCACCATTATCAAACACAAAGCTTGTAGTCGATTTTAAAAAACATCATGGGATGAATATATATACACACATACAGTACTGGACTACCTACTATACTACTTCTGGATTGTTATCTCTTATCTCTTATTAAATAGTAGATAACTATATCATCATCAACAACAAATGTCAAACAACCTACTTCTTCTTCTTTACCTACAACACTACACTACCCACTCAACTATAGAATAATATATCAACTCTTTTGAAACTTACACAATTATAATCAATCAAAACTTGGTTCTCTCTCTCTTTCTTTATATTATTAATAATAATAGGTTTATAAATCACTTTCCTTCTTCTCCTTCCAAACAACACAAATCTCAACTTTTTTTTTGTACAATAACCCAAACAAATAATATAAAATAATAATGTCATTCAGAGGCGGTCGTAAGATTATGGTTTCAGGTGGTGGTAGCGGTGGTGGTGGTAACACCTTGGACTCTCGTTTCACCAAGATCAAGGAAACTGGCCGTGTAGCAGTCACCTCTCCAGGATTCAAGAAGAGACTCAGTACTGGAAGCAGTGGAAACATCGTCATCTCCAAGGATGCCTCACCAATGAAGCGTCGTGGTGGAGGCAGTGGAGCCGTCGTTAGTCGTGGTGGAGGCCGTGGTGGTGCCCGTGGAGGCAGCGTTGGTCGTGGTGGAGGCCGTGGTGGTTTCGGTGCTGGTGGCCGTGGACGTGGTGGCAGAGGAGGTCGTGGTGGTAGAGGTGGTCGTGGTGGTAGAAGAGAAAAGACCCCATCAAAGGAAGACTTGGATGCTGAATTGGATGAAATTGCCAAGGATAACCAAATGAAGGACGATTAAATCATCGACCAAATCAAAATTAAACTAAAATAACAAAATTATATTTCTACTTCTTTTTTTAAAAAACAAAAATACTATAATAACCAAAAAAAATAATAATCTATCTATATTTGTTATATCAACCATATATATATAAATTTAATCGAATCATCCAACATCCCATCGTGAACCCTATTATAATCCCCAGCTGGTTCGCCATGAATCAAATACATACACACTGTCCCTTAACAACAACATCAAAACAACAAATAAAATTGCAATCAATGCTCTATTCTATCCAATCATTATGATTGGAAGAGTAGTGCAATATATCCAAACAACGCACAACAACATACAATCGTTTTACGTTAACACCGTTCTTCCCTCCAACAAAAAAATTTGAACAATGCGATGATAGAGCCATCACCCAATTCCAGTAATTTCATTCATGTTATTATCATATCTTTTATTTTGTTGTATAGATAGATAGATCGATAGATTGATTAGATTATAACCAATAGATAGAGATTTATAACTTATTTGTCAAGTAGTTGGATAACAAGAACTAGAACTTCACATTAAAAAAAATTATAGGGTGAGTGAAGAGAGCAATGCTCGAAAGGTGACAGCGTCGTCTTCTTTTGTGTCGCACAACCATACTCATTATTATTTTTATTTTCTCTTTCTTCTTTATCCTTTTATTTGTTCATCTGTATCTACATATATATATATAGTCCACTCTATCTATAGTTATTTATATATAATCACAGATATTATAGGAAAGAAGAAGATATTATTGTTGGTGTCAGCAGAACAACAACAAAACAAGAGATTTTATATACATAATGTTGGAGATGAATAGTTCATTAACCAATTCACCTCGAAAGGATGACGAGGATATGAAAGAGGAAGAGGAAGAGGACGAGGTCATGAACGACGAGGATGGCGATTCTGACGAACCATTGCCATTCAACGACGACGATGAAGAGGACTCTGTCAGTAACACCATCTCGATTGCCAATACAGCCGATGGAACATCTACTACCTCTACGACATCGACTACTTCTACTACAGCCCTCACTACAAGAGAAGGCGAGACTGAAGAACAAAAGCAACAACGTATCGAAGCCATCCGTTTGGAAAAGGAACGTTTAAAGCAATTAAAGGACGAACAAAAGAAGCAACTACAAGAGTTGGAGAAACGTCAACGTGAGCAATTGCAAGAAGACAAGGACAAGTCTGCCAAAGACCGTCTCAAGTTCTTGTTGGAACGTACCGAGATTTACTCTCATTTCGTGTCCAACTCTGCCTCTACACAATCCAAAAAGAAAACCAAGGATACTGCCATCCCTAGCACTCCCACCAAACGTGGAGGTGGCTCCAAACTAACAGAAAAAGAAGAAGATGAAGAAATCATGAAAGAAACCATCGATGAAGAAGCTCCTCATTCTTTTAACTTTTTTACTTCAAATCCTCCTTGTAAGAAATTAAAATATAACATATATATAACATTACATTTATTTTTTACTAACATATATTAAATTGTTTATTATTATTGCTTATTAATTAGATATTAAACATGGAGTAATGAGAGATTACCAAATCTATGGTCTAAATTGGTTAATTCAATTATATGAAAGAGGTATCAATGGTATTTTGGCAGATGAAATGGGTCTCGGAAAGACACTACAAACCATTTCTCTTCTTGGTTATTTGTCAGAATACAAGGGAATTAGAGGTCCTCATCTTATTATTGCTCCAAAATCAACCCTCTCTGGTTGGTGCAAAGAATTTAGAAATTGGTGTCCCTTTTTACGTGTTGTTAAATTCCATGGTAACAAGGATGAAAGAGTAAGTTTGAAACAAAAAATATATATAAATAAATATAAATCAATCACTAACATATTTATTTATTTATTTAATTATTTTGTAGGCAGAAATCAAAGAAAATCAATTAGTTTATAAGAAATTTGATGTTTGTATCACTACTTATGAAATGGTTATCAAGGAAAAGGCTGTTTTCAAGAAATTCAGTTGGAGATATATTATTATAGATGAAGCTCATCGTATTAAAAATGAAAACTCTGTACTCTCCAAAGGTGTAAGATTATTCAACAGTCAATTTAGACTTTTAATTACTGGTACTCCACTTCAAGTATGTATAAAACAATCAAACAAACAAACAAATAATAAGACTGTTATATATATATATTAACACTTTTTTTTCTATTTGTTTTTCTACTTTTTAAGAATAATCTTCATGAATTATGGGCATTATTAAACTTTTTATTACCAGATGTATTTACAAGTAGTGAAGATTTTGATAAATGGTTTAATCTTGATCAAGTTGATAACCAACAAGAGGTCATTGATAAATTGCACAAGGTATTACGTCCATTCCTTTTGAGAAGAATCAAATCAGAAGTGGAAAAATCTTTACCACCAAAAAAGGAAATCAAACTTTTTGTTGGCATGTCTACAATGCAAAGAGAATGGTATAAAAGTTTATTAACAAAAGATTTTGAAGCTTTACATGGTATTGGTAAGTAAAACAACAAAAAACAAAACTATAACAAAAATATATCTGGGATTTATTAATCTTTTTATTTTCTATTTTTTTTTTAGGAGTAAAAGGAGGATCAGGAAAAGTTAAATTATTAAATATTTGTATGCAATTGAGAAAAGCATGTAATCATCCATATTTATTTGATGGAGCCGAGGAACAACCATATACGACCGGTGAACATATCATTGATAATAGTGGAAAGATGGTCATGTTGGATAGATTGCTTGCACGTCTCAAGCAAAGAGGATCTCGTGTGTTGATCTTTTCTCAGATGGCACGTATGCTCGATATCTTGGAGGACTATATGATGTATCGTGACTACAAGTACTGCCGTATCGATGGTGGTACCGACAGCGAGTCGAGAGAAAACAACATTGAAACATTCAATGCACCGGGCAGCGAGTTGTTTGCCTTTTTGTTAACAACCCGTGCCGGTGGTCTCGGTATCACTTTGAACACTGCCGACATTGTCGTCTTGTTTGACAGTGATTGGAACCCCCAGGTCGATCTCCAAGCCCAAGACAGAGCACATCGTATCGGTCAGACCAAGCCCGTCACAGTCTACCGTTTCGTCACTGAATCGTCAATGGAAGAAAAGATGGTTGAAAAGGCCGAGATGAAGTTGCACCTCGATGCTGCTGTCATCCAACAAGGTCGGTTGGTCGAAGCCAACAAGGCAGCCAACCCCGACGAGCTGCTGTCGATGATCCGGTTCGGAGCCGACGACATCTTTAAGAGCAAAGAGGCCACTATTACCGACGAGGACATTGACGCTATCCTCAAAAAGAGTGAGGACAAGACCAACGCCATGCAGGAACGTCTCACCGATCTCGTCAAGAATCCAATCAAACTGACGTTGGACGGCAACCTCTACGAGTTTGACGGAGTCAACTATAAGAATCAGCAGACTGCCACCACCTTTTGGACCGAGCCGCTCAAGCGTGAGAGAAAGACGATTGGCGACAATGAAGAGTACATGAAGCAAGTTGGTATCATCCCCAAAAAGGCACCCGCTCAAAAGAGACCACCTCCCCCCAAGATCAAGCCACCCAAACAACCGACCACACACGATCACCACTTTTTCCCACCCCGTCTCATCGATCTTCTCGGCAAGGAAACTATAGCCTATCAAAAGAAATTAGAATGGTACGAGAAAAAGGAGGCCGAAGAAAAGGAAGCTGAAGAGAAGCGTGAAAAGGAAGGAAAGCTCGAGGATGACACCTCTGCTGAAAAGAAAGAAGAAAAGGAGGAACCAAACTTTGGCGAACTGACCGAAGACGAGCAAGCACTCAAGGAGCGTTTGATCAAGGCTGGATACGGCGACTGGAACAAGGTCGACTTTAGACAGTTTATAAAGGGTTGCGAAACCTTTGGTCGTGGCGCATACCGCAAGATTGCAGAGATTGTGCAGACCAAGTCGGAAAAGGAGGTGCAAGAGTACTCACAAGTATTCTGGAAGCGTTACAAAGAGGTTGCCGACTATGACAAGATCATTGCCCGTATCGAAAAGGGTGAGAGCAAGATTGTAGAGTACAAGGAAACCATCGAATCGTTGGACCGCAAGGTATCCCAGTACAAGAACCCATGGCAACAACTCAAGATCCAGTACGGCATCAAAAAGAACAAGACCTACAATGACGAAGAAGATATCTTTTTGGTGTGCATGATGCACAAGCTCGGTTATGGTGCATGGGATGAATTGAAAGAAGAGATTAGAAAGGCTCCACAATTCAGATTCGATTGGCTCATTCAAACTAGAACACCACAAGAATTAAAGGCTCGTTGTGATATCCTCCTTAGATATATCAAGAATGAACAAGATGAGGAAAAGAATTCTAAAAAGGGTGCAACCGTAACTTCTGCAAAGGCAAAGCCTGCTCCTGCCTCTAGCAAGAAAAAGGCTGCTGCCAAACCAAAACCTGCTGCCACCTCCAAGAATGCTGCTACCACTGGAAAGAGAAAGAAACCAGAAGAAAATGGTCATAACAAAAATCAAGAAACAGAGGAAGAAGAGGAAGAAGAAGAGGAAGAAGAAGAAGAAGTAGAGGAAGAACCAAAAGGAAAGACTGCAAGACAAAGAGCTGCTGCTGCAAACAAAAAATAATGGAAAGAAATCACCCTCCACTACTAAATATTCCGATGATGAAGATGCATCCGATGATGACGACCAAGATAATCATTCAAAATCAAAACAACCTGCCAAAAAAAAGACAAAAGATACAACTAGTACTACTAGTACTTCAACCTCTAATAATGGTAGAAGAAAATAATCAAAATAAAAAGTAAAAAAAAAAAACTAATTATATAAATTATATAAAATGATTGATCAATCCTTTTTTTTATTAAAGAATGATAATATTATTTAATAATACAACAGGGATAGAGAATGAGAATTCATAAATGAGAGAGAGTTTAAAGTACTCTAGCACCAATCTTGATACCAATTAATCCAAGAATATCAGCTAGGATGTTCAAGTTGATTAAACTGGCAGATTGGCTGGGTGATTGTCCAATTGATGAGGAATTAACTTGGGCAAAGGTAGTGTTTGACTTTGAGAGTGACTTGGTTGAAGCACCACCAATGTTTGAAATTGCAGCTAAAAAAGGTAAATATATTAATATTAATATTTGGATAGGATTAGAAAAATCCAATTCTGATATTTACAAATTAAAGACATTTTAGAATTGATTGATTAAAATTTAGAGAATTAAGAAATAAGATTGTTAATTGTTTGATTGTTTGAATGTTGATTTGATGAATAAATTAAACTCAATTGAATCATATTTATAGTTTAGTTTTTTGATGTTTGATGTTCACTCTTTGGTATTTCGGTTGGGGAAATCAATATTCAATATGAGGAGGGTTTCTATATCGAATTTTGGAGATTAAGATTCAATAAATGCCACCATCTTTTGACACAATTGTTATTACCTTGTATCGGATATATCAGTATTTAAAATTTTAAAAAGAGTGATGAAATCTAGATTTAAACATCATATGGATCGATTGAATGGATCTATGGACTGTTTTTATCAATTGTAGACGTCGTTGATGGTGTCATTGTGATTAAATTGTATAAAACCGTGTATACTTTTTGGTTTAGGGGTTAGATTCATATTGTTTTGTTTTTAAAAACAATTGCCTGCTTTAGATTGTGTTTGTTGTGAATTAATATATTGATTTTTAAAACCAACTAATATGATGATGATGGTATCCATTCTTCCAAATAAAGATAAATGAATGAATGATTCAATCCATCGACCGACTGATAATATCGGTCGTTGATCAATATCTTGTTCTTCTCCTTCCTACATCGTTCTATTCTATTTGATTTTAGTACTTGTTGTTATTTATTTTTTGGATAGAGTTTCCTATTATTAAGCAGCCAATCTCTTTCTACCCTTGTCAAGTCTACTCTGTAATACTCTACGTCCATTCTTGGTTGCCAATCTAGCACGGAAACCATGTCTTCTCTTTCTAATCAAACCTGATGGTTGATAAGTTCTCTTTAAACATTCAATACCATTTTCTTCTTGATTGTCTAAAACATTGAATTAACCAATAATTAATATTCATTTCAAAGGTGATAGCAGGATATAGTATACTATTACCACTACTACTACTATTCGGTTCTGTTTACATACTAATATCGTTAATAATAATTGATGGTTGGTCTATATCTAAAATATGTTGATCTTCTTGATTGAATAAAAGTCTATTGTTGGTGGTATTATATAATGGGGATGATGGTGACAAGATTGATTGAAACAATGGATCGATTTCTAATGGTGATGGTCCATGTGTAATATCATCATAGAGGTCATCATACATGTCTTCTTCGACAATGACATCTTCTTCAAGGTGGTTCTTGATATTATATAAGGTGTTGATGTTGTTGAAACGATGATTGTTCAATCCCAATGCTACCGATGAATTGAAATAGAATGGTGTAATATTTGATGTAGACACTGTACTAGTCGATGATGAAGAGACTGAAGAGTAATATCTATATGAGCGTTGAGCAAATCTAGTGCAAAGTTGGTTGAACATGTTTGTTGCTTCTTTTGATTATAATGATATATATTATATTATATGTATATGATACTTTTTGTTTAATGATACTAATTAGACAACAAACAAACTACCTGCACTCTACTATATAGGTCGACCAATAATGAACTATAACAAAGCAAGGTAGGGGAAGTTGCAGCTCAACTTTACAGCTGCAACTAACCTCATTGGTTTCATTCGACAAAAAAAAAAAAAAAATTAAAAAAAACGACACTTTGCCTTGGAAAAACGATGTCATTCCTTTCAACTTCATCAAACAAATAATTAAATGATAACAATATTTACAATATTAATTTATTTGTTCATCAACATCGCATAAGTGTGTTATAATAGTCTCACAATGAAAGAGTAATGTTGATTATTCAACTTTTATTAGTATTCCTTTTGAAGAAGTAAAGATAGTTTAAGAAAACGGATAAAAATTTACTTACTTATTTTTGGTATCATTCCCTTTTCTTCTTCTTGCTCCCCACAATTCACAGTAAAGGGAATGGGATTGATATCGTGAAAATTTGGTATAACAAAAGAAAAACCTTTTCCCTTTTTTTCTTGAATTATATCTCCCTGTTTTAAGATGTCCACTATTCTAAATAGGATAACAACTGCAATGGTGGACATTACTAAATCAAGAGATATTTCCAAAACTGATCTAACTGATCAATAGTTTTCGATCGGAAAGGAAGTAGTACCACGACTACAGCAACAGCGACAGCGCTCCTAAATCGTTAACCCTTTTGGAGGAAAGTAATACTCTTTCCATTCACTCGAGGGTTAGATCTGATAATACATATACACCGCAAGATAATAGCCTTGAACAGGTATAAATCTAATTTGGTAAATGAACCAGCAGATAGATATATTAACAGAGAGAGAGAGAGAGAGAGATAAGAGGTGAATGTAATAATAGCTGTTGAGAATCAAGAGATAGAGATGAAGATGTAAATCACAAACCAATGCTCACACATGCTCTTTATCACCGTTACCATTAACTCTAATTTTTCACAGTTTGGGAAAAGGTTTTATTTCCATTTTAGTTTGGTTATCATCACAGATAAAAAGTTAAACTTGTGTTGGTTGGCTGTCAATTATACAAGACAGATATATCCGAAAACAGAATGTTGTCAACACAACCAAAAAACATAAATCTAAAAGTTTGGGGGCGGGCTTGATGAGAGACAGCCACTCATCGCAGAGGCACCCCACAACCTTTTGAACGAGGTGAATGGGGTGATTGCAAGTTTCTCTTTAGGATAAAATGAATTAAAAGTTTAGCTTCATTGTAGTGTTGTGGGGGCAATAACCGACCATGGTTGAAGCATCGGATGAAAAAAGATGCTGCAAAGTGCAAAGCAACAGGCCACTATATTGTAATATAGTGATGAACGGAGATGAAAGAAGCTGTTGTTTTTGCTTTCATCAATCAGTGTTGATCGCAAAGATGATAATTGATCCTTTAATCTTGTAGATGTGCGAGCTATCAGTGGTTAATTTGTTGGCAGCACCACAGTGGTGCAGTATACTATTTTCCAAACCAAGCTATAAATCTTGTACCACCCTCAAATCACCAAAACCCTCCCCACAGACAATGACAGGCAATCAATCGTTCTGTTGCCCATAAAAAGCTCTGCTAGCTTTTGGCAGAGCTGTTTCCCAATTCCTATGAATTCTGCTAATTTGCGTTTAAACGCATCACTGAATTGTCAGTGTCAACAGGAGTGTGGGGTTTAAACGTGGTGGCAATGATGAATAAGATGGGAAAAACATGTTCACGATCGCCAATGAGCACTGGTAACCAACAACAACATCAACTGCAATGTAACCAAATCTTATCTTTTTTTTCCATCAATCGTAGAGGAGTTCAACTATGGATACATCATTTTGATTGGGGATGCGTCAATAAGAACATAGATTCGATACCACTTGTCTGTTCAAAGAACAAATGGGGTGATGTAACGATGATGATAGAAAGAGGAGGGTAACTAATAGTTTGGGGGTGTAGGTAGTACCCTTCCACCAAGCTTCACCCTCGAGATGAATGGTTTCCATTCGATGAATAACACTCACAATCAAGAGGATTGTCAGAATTGAAGAAGTGACAGATGGCAGGTAGGAAAGTAAACAGCAGCGGCAGCAGAAGCAGATAATCAAGTGTCATCCAAAACATATAAATAAACAAAATTTTGGATCTATTTAATTCAATTCAAACCACAACAAATACAATCTTTTACTTAATTAAATACAAATAATTAATTTCCAAATACCACCAATCAAATACCACTTATTTTTCAAGTTTCCAAAACCTTATAATCTTTTAAAAACTATAACTATAAAATGGTCCAAACACCAACTAATTTTACTGTCCTTACAAGGTAAATATAAATAAAAATGTTTTTAAATAAATTTTAATTTGAATTGTTTTTTTTTCTAATAATAATAACTATATAGTTATGCAGGAGTTGAAAGTGCACTCTATGATTGTGATGCAACTGACACAGTAGTGTTCTATTTTACAGAGCCAGTTTGTCCTGCATGTGATACCATCTACCCAACTTTGTGTGGATGGGTGGCAACCTATCCTACCGTCAAATTCTATCAGATAAAGACTGAAACAGCAGCCTCTACATTTGAATGTACTATGAGTTGGGGTATGTTCAATTAAAATATAAAAATCGGTCGTCGTCGTCGTACTCATCATCACTTTGTACTCACACGAAAACACATCACGCGTGACTGACAAATTAAATTGGCTATTAACAACCTTTTTTTTCCTTTCTTGTAATTCTTGCTTACCCTTTAGGTTCGGCCCCGTGCGTGATGACTTTTCGCGATTATCCAGCTGTGGGTGATTATATCAGACGTTCTAATGGAGTCAATACGGCGACTATGGAAGCAAATATTCGCTACACAAGGGATCTATAATATTTGTCAATATACAATTTATTCATCATCCATTTATCCATTCACCAAAGAAATCAATCCATTCCTGTACTAAATTCTTTCTCTCAAGTATTCTCGTTCTGGTTAACCAACTAGTTCCAGTCATTTTGTAAATTATCCTGTCCTATCATTCACTCTATAAAAAACATTTGTACAAATAATAATTATAAAATCCATTCACTTATTTTATGTAAATATTCTGTAAATAAATAACCCACTAAATCATTAAATCTATTTAATTAAATTACAAATAAAGCATGAATTTAATGAGTTTATAGATTTAAATTATTCTTCTCTTTATTTTAATTCATCTTAAAATATTAATTTAGAAATCCCCAAGAAAATAGTTTTTTATTGCTTTCTGTCGCGCATTTATATATTTCAACTTCGTCACCACCATCATTATCATCATTAAATCATCATTATAATCATCATGAATAACAATGTCTAGTAATAGTAATACATTAACGAGTGGCAATAGTAGCAGCGGCGGTAGCAACAGCAGCAGCGGTAGTACCAATAATAATAGTTCTTCATCATCGGGAGGAACAGTTGTACAAGCATCAAGATCTAAATATAGAGTATCATTAAGTTATCTTGGACTGTCTGCAGGAGTGGTACTGTTCACTCTGATGATGATGAATGTAATTGGCATGGACTTTGTGTCGCATACAGTTTCATCACAGATCATTCTGAGCATTGCTCTTTTTACTCTTCATCTTTTATTTGGCATCTATGTCTATCCATCAGCATTTCATGTTAGCGGCGGCAATACAATGAGTCTTGAACTCAAGATACAACGTGCATTCACTGGATGGCTCATAGGAATGGTGCTCTTTTACTTTGTGTCTATACTCTATGGCGCACCCATCACTCGATCATTCTTTAGAACTCTCTTTTTCGGACAACTACTATCTTCAATGACTGCAGTCCCCACTGCCATTCTATTGGGTTGTCATCCTCAAACTTGGAAAGATTTATTCTTTTCTCCAAAGTATGTCTAGAAAGTCAAAAGACACAAAGTTGTGAAGTTATCGTATATATATACAATCCTCATTCATTTATTTATTAATTTAAATTTGATTTCCTTTTATAGTCATAATAGTGTATATGAAACATGTTGTACAATAGTAGTAGTTTTTAGTTTAGTTGGTGCATGGGTTGGCGGATTTGTTATTCCATTGGATTGGGACCGTCCCTGGCAAGCGTGGCCAATCAGTTGCGCGTACGGATCTATTGGAGGTCACATTTTAGGTCTTTGGTTATCTTCCATCTACTCTTTGTTTCACAAGGAAAAGAAGTTAATGTGATAGATAGATAGATAGATAGAGAGAGAGAGCGAGTGAGAAAAACAAAGGAGGACGAACGATAATATATTCCGTTGACGTTTATGGACAAACTAACAATGACCAATAAAAGTAAATGAATTAATTAATTTACTTGACCCTTTAAGCTCTGTCTCTTGCCTCATCCTCATTTGGAGGAGGGAGAGAGAGAGGACCCTAAATGAACAAACAAACAAACAACCTGGCGTTTATCTTTCCGGGACAAACCAACTAACCAATCAACCAAACTCTAAAGCAAAAAGGGGAGATCAGATCGTCTGGATTCGAGACGCTTGCAATCCCTGCACAAGTTGAGCGCTCCAAAAAAAAAAAAAAAAAACAAAAATAAAAAAATATTTATTTGGGGGGGAGGAACCCCTCACCCAAGTATTTTGCAAGGGGGTGTGACACAAACAAAACAACAACAACAAAAACATAATAATAATAATAATAATAATAAATACCCACCCTCAGTAGTGGAGAGAACAAAGAACAACAAGAATTCAAGTAATAATCATACATTACTTTTGTGATCAGCAGACAAGACAAGACAACAACAATCAGTCAGATAAATAGATAGATAAAAAGATAGTGTATCTCGTTTGTCTAGTCTATAGCATAAAAGAAAGAAAGCAAACAAGAGACATCATCATTCATCATCATCATCATCATCATCATCATTCGATCGATCTTTTGTTGTATTAGCTTGTGCGCACGAGAAGGGAGGAGCAGCAGCGGTAGTGTCTACTACTACTACTTACGTGTTGGAATACCACGGTCAGAGAGAAACAATAACAACGACGACACATGGGAACCAACTCGAGCAAAGCAGCGTCTACAGCAATATTTAGCGGTATACCACCTACTACCAACAACAACAACAACAACAACATCAGCAGTAGTAATGAATCAATAATAGTAGATGGAATGGCTGTCGACGACCATAATAATACACCGCCCAATTCGACGGTACTATCATCGTCATTATCACAGCAGCAGCAACAACATCCTCACCACATATCGTCCAATTCTGGGTCCACTTCATCTTCATCACTAACTAATTGTTCTGGTGGAGGTAGTAGTAATAGTCTTGTCAGCAGTAGTAGTAAAGGTGTAGGAGGAGGTGGAGGAAAGGGGGACCGAAAATCAAGTAAAGGATCAATACTCAATATCAGTCCATCACCAACTATTACAACTATTTCTACTATTGCCAACGGAGCTACTACACCAATGTCTACATCATCATCTTCATCATCACTATCAACCACCACCTCAACAACACCATCAACTGCAACATCTACAACAACTACTACTACAACTACTGTCTCAATCAACAATAATAATCATAATAGTATATTGAGTAGCTCAAGGAAATCAAAAAGACACACCAAGAGACCAATGTCTCTAGATTCTAAACTCTTTTATAATGACTATATCATGAATAGTTGTGATCCACCACCAAACTTTCCTCCTATTGAAAGAGATAAAGAAAAGGAGAAAGAAAAGAAAGAAAAAGAGAAAGAAAAGGAGAAAGAGAAAGAAAAGGAAAGGGAGAAAGAAAAGGAGAGAGAGAAAGAAAAAGAGAAAGAAAAGAACAAAAATAATAATACTAATAATAATATCAACAAAAATAATCAAATTAATAATAATGATGAATTAAATAATAATAATAATAATAATAATGATAATAATAATAATAATAATAATAATTTAACAAGTTTTAATATTATACATCATAATCAACAACCATTATTTATTAAAAACTTTAACAATGATATGGAAGGTGAAGAAGAAGAAGAAATCAAACAAGTATTTGTATATATAGACAACCATAATAATAATAATAACCATCAAAACTCTTTTAATCTTCAACAATCCAATTCAACAACATCATCATCAAAATCACGTTCAAGTACTATAACAAGTCGAAATAATTTGATTATATCTCCAATTGGTTATATTATCAATAGTAATAATAATAATAATGGAAATGGTGGATCTATCAATGGAAATACAATGGTTGATCTTAGTCGAATGACTCCAATATCAAATTTACATGAAACCTCGTCAACATCTTCATTATTCGAACCAATCTTTATAGAAAACAAACAAGTTGTTGTATGTGAGCATTGCAATCATCCAACCATTATCAAACATGTCGACCATAGTCACAGTCCCAAGACTGTTTTCAATAATGACACTAGTAGTACGAGTAGTATTCTAGAGTTGTCAAACCTCTACATAACCTCACCCAATGGTAATCACAACCACAATCAGTCTGGGTTCAATCCAACTACATCATCGACACCTACCAACTTTTCATCACTCTCATCGTTTAGTCAATACATCAAACCCATTAGCCAGAACCCACAATACGGCAGTCTCAGCAATTTGGGTGACCACCATAGCAACAATAGTATGGGCAATAGTACCAATCTATTGTCTGCATCATCACCATCCATCATCACTCCATCTACCCCTAGTATTGAAAGACAACAACAGAGTCAACAACAACAACAGAGTAGCCTGTCATTCTCTACAGATGCTGCCACCTCGGGCAACGTAGGTGGTAATAGTATTAGTTTGAATAGTAGTTTGTCTCAAATCCCACCTGCATCCTCTTCATCGCAACCTCATTCATCTTCACCCTCACCACTTACACTTCATCAATCTATTGGTAGTACTTCGGATCTTTTTAACAAATCTTTAATTAATTCATTCCTTTTAAATAATCGTCTTCAACAACAACAACAACAACAAAACTCTTTTTCAACTAATCAAACAAATAGTAATAGTCCAAATCGTGGATATTCTGGAATTGAATTCTTTTCTACAACTACAACTACAACAACAAATAATAATCAACAACATTCATTATCAACATCACCAACCATTTCATTTAATAATAACAATGTAAATTGTTCTTCTAGAACATCTGTTAATATTGGTCCATCAAGTACATCTTCTACATCATCAAAGATTGATCAATTTGGATATGATTTTGTTACAAGACAGGATACATTCTTGGCAACATCACTTGATCCAATGGGTAATATCAACAATAACTGTAATATCAATAGTATTATTAACAACAATCATAATAATAATAATAATAATAATAACTCATCATCAGTTGGATATGATTTTCCACCACTTAATCAATCCACATCATCTAAAATATCGATTACTAGTGCCGGATCTACCAATCTACGCGGCGGCGTATCAATGTCCAGAGATTGTGCCTCTGTTAGTGAATGTAGTAGCAATGGAGGTGCTGCAGGATATCAAGATCCATTCTATTATCAAGTTCCTTTAAACAAAAAGTCAACAACCAGTGTTGATGACTATCTCCAAGGAAAGGACTTGACTTTTCTTCACTCGACCGACCATGAAACCATCTCTGTCAAGGAAAAATCAACTTCATCCAATTCCTCTGCCTATACTAGTTTATCGGCTTCGATGAATAGAAATACTTTATCAGTTTCACAACAAAGACCAAGAGGTAGATCAATCTCTGATTCTTTATTTATGGCTCAAAATGCTAAAGATTGTGTAAGAGATAAAAAAAAAAACAAAAAAAATAGAAATAGAGAAATAGAAATAGAAAACTAATCAAATATTTATTTATTTTTCATAGATTAATGATATACAAAGAGCATTAGAAAATGAAAAGATAAAGAAAAATAGATTTAAAGAGCTTAAAGAAGTATTAAGTGATTTGGGTGATGTCATTGAAATTGATGATATTCAATTTGTTCAAAAGATTGGTGAAGGTGCTTTTAGCGGTAAGTCAAAAAAAAAAAGAAGATCCAAATAGATTCAAATATTAATGGTTTCAAATCTTTTCTTTACTTTAGAGGTATGGGAAGGATGGTGGAAAGGAATTAGAGTAGCTGTAAAGAAATTAAAGGTTATAGGAGATGAAGAACAATTTAGGGAAAGATTTGTTAGAGAGATTCAAAATTTAAAGATTGGAAACCATCAAAATATTGTAATGTTTTTGGGTGCGTGCTATAGGCCAGCATGTATCGTAACCGAGTTTATGAGCGGTGGTAGTCTTTACAATATATTGCATCATCCCAATCCAGCACATCGTATCAATTATAGCTATCCGATCGTTTTAAAGATGGCTACTGACCTGGCAATCGGTCTCATGCATCTGCATTCACTCAACATTGTCCATCGTGATCTGACGAGTCAAAACATCTTGCTCGACGAACTCGGAAATCTAAAGATATCAGATTTTGGTTTGTCGCGCGAGAAGCCTCGTGAGGGATCGGTCACCATGACCAACGGCGGTATTTGCAATCCACGTTGGCGACCACCCGAGATCACTAAAAACCTTGGACACTACAGCGAAAAGGTCGACGTCTTTTGCTTCTCACTCGTCATTTGGGAGCTGCTGACTGGCGAGATCCCCTTTTCAGAGCTCGACGGATCACAGGCGTCTGCGCAAGTCGCCTACACTGGTCTGCGTCCACCCATCCCTGACAGCTGCAGCAAGGAGCTCTCTGATCTTCTAGTGCAATGTTGGGATGACGAACCAGACATTCGTCCACCGTTTTCAGAAGTTGTAAATAGACTAAAAGATATTAGTTGGAATAATCCAATTGGATTTGTTGGTACTACTACAGATTATAAAGATCAACCAAATAATCAAAATCAAAATCAAAAAGAAACAAGTAATGGTAGTACTACAACTTATTCTGTATCTGTTGCTCAAGTTTTACCAATATCCCAATCCCCATCCCCAACAAATAGTAGTAGCAATAATAATTAATAATTAATAATTAATAATTAATAACCACAAATATATATACACTGGAATTATATATACATATATACTTTATCATCAATAGAAAGAACAAACCAACCAACTAACCTCTCCATCTCCATTTTAATTTCCAACACAACAAACAACATCAACGTTTATGGAAAATCCTTTTTCCCCCTTACCTCACAATCAATAACCTTCTTTTTTCCACAAAACTATAATTAAACAAATAAATGGAAATTGATTGTTGTAAATTTTAATATAACCAATTTTATAACCCTACTTCTTCTTCTATCTGATCATTTCTGGAATCAATACCAAGATTGAAAGCAACTTGATTCTAATTTAAATTTTTTAAATTGTTTTTTTCAAGTAAGGTGTCCGTGCATCCTCTTTTAATCACACAATTTATTATTAAAACCTAGATCAAGTCCCTTATATAGAGATTACAGTATAATAATACTGTATACATACACACTTCAGACAATCGATCATATATATAAAGATTGATACTACTTGTACATCTATTTATATAGTAGTTCGAAACCATCATCTGACTAATTAACACCATCACCACTCACTACCAATCTACCACTAGTAGTATAGTAGTGTTCACTCAAAAAACATAGTAGTAGTAGCAATCTCATTCTTTACCTCTCTCTAGCTATAACCACAACTAAAAATTAACCTACCTTTTCACAATTTGAAAAAGAGAGATTATTATATTATCGATCAACGACAGCTATTTATAATTATACAGATAGAGTAAAGTAGTACATAGTAGTAATAGAGTATAGGAGCATAGTCGGGTTGTCGTGGGGACTGCTTTCTATTTAAACAATGAAAATGACGACACACAATGGTAAATCATGAAAGATGTAGATTAGATAGATAGATAGATCAATATAGATACTAATCAATAGTACTATTACTATTACTATTTAGAATTTGATAACATGCCAACGAGTGCATTAAGAAAGGCTAATACGTTTATATTAGAGATTGAACAATTGGTTAAAGATGAACTTGCAATGTTGGAAAAGTTCTATGTTACAGATCATCAAGATGTACCTTTTGAAAAGGCAATCAACAAAGCAAAGAGAAAAGTATATAAATCAAAGATAACTATATAGATGTACTCACTTTTATATATATATATATATATATTAACATAATATTTGTTATCTATCAATCATTTTTAGTTTGAAAAGAGAAGAGGACCAACATTGATTAAACCTCTAAACAAAAAGAAAAATAGAATAGTTGTTAGTGGAATGGAGTTTGATCCAATCAATCAAATGTGGAGAGGAAATGAAGACGATATCACAAACTTTCCTGGTGGTCGTGGATCTGCACCAGCATTGATTACAAACGCTGGTCTAAAGACTGAAAATGTAGTGGGCAACATGGAATGGGATCCAAAGCAAAACCAATGGCGTGGAAATGAAAGAGATCTAACAAAGTTTAAAAGTTTAAAACCTGCTCTCATCACTCAACTTAATGGAAATTTTAATACTAGAAGTATGAAATATTTTAATTGATTGATCTAATCTAGTATAGATATTAACATGTCTTTTCCTGTTCTTTGTTTAGTTCAAAATGGGATGGTATTAGATCCAATTTCAATGAAATGGAGAGGTAATGAAGATGAATTGGATGTTTTTGAAACAATGGACGAACAAAATAATGATAATAGTATGTAACATACATATCTACCTTGGATCCAATGATCGCAATCTCTAACTATTTTATTTTTTATTATTCTATAGCATTTAAAGTTGAGGGGGAATTTGATTTAACATCGGAATTGATTGGATCGATTAGACGACAAGATCAAAAACATAAAGAGGAATTAAAGGGATGGTTCCCAGAGGATAGAAATCTTGATGATCGTGATCATTTGTATTCGATTCGTCAAATGTCAATCACCAAGTTGATTAAAAACACAACATCGAGACAGGCATTTGGAAGAGGTGCATCAGCAGGAGTGTTTAGTGGTAGCGGTGGTATTGGATCGTCTTCTGTGTTGTTGCAACTCAAATCCAACAAGGCAGTGGTCGACGAGACCAATGATTGGGGTGATGTAAACTTTGACGAAGCACCAACCCTCAAACTCAACCCAAAGATTCATCACGATGCAAATGATGTCGATCAAGACGACGAGGACGGTGACGCATCCTTGTGGGACAAGGAAATGGGATTCACCTCAGATGACGATGGATTCTCGAGTACAAGTGGTAATGACGCCGGAGGAAACAGCAGTGCTGCCAACAGTCGATCACAAACACCTCGTCTACATCTTAGTAACCCTGGGCTCATGACGATTGGCTCGGGTACCGACTCGCTCAACAAGTACAAAGATTCGTCCGATGATGATGATTTTGGTGGTAGCGCCGAGGGATTGGACAAGTTTATCAAGAAACCACGCGAACATAGTGGTCTCAAAACCATCTTTGGTGGATCGATCAAAATCAATAATAACAATAATAATAATAGCGGCTCGCATATTGGTGATTCGGCGACCAAGGGAAACAGCATATCATTAAAGCGTGGTGGAACACTCAACAACATCCCTCCACTCTCCTTTGGCATGTCCCCTACAACAACATCAACAACATCAACTGCTGCTGCTGCCTATTCATACAATAATGATGAGTTTGAAGATGTAGAATTCCCAGTCGAAGGAACATTTACTTTGCGTCAAAAGATCCATTCTGATAACTTTGGTACGTTGGATCATGTTGGAACACCGTCCAGTGTTAGCAGCGTAGGTAGTATGAGCGGATTGAACAGCGGTATTTCATCGCCACCACCACGCGACCATGTTGTCGAGGAGGAATGGCACGACGTCCATATCCCCAACGACCTCGCATTCAAGAAACCAAACGATACTACCAGTCGCAAGTCACCACCAACCAACCGTAGTCTCCTTCAAGTCGAAGACTATTCTGACGAGTTGGATTTACCAATCGATCTTTCGGCAGGTGGACCACTCACACTCAAAAAGCCAAATCTCTTGGCCGATAATCCATTTGGCGACGATAGCGACGACGAAGGATGGGACGATCTCATCATACCCGACAATTTCAAGGCATCAACACCTATCCAACAATCGAGCAATGGACATGTCAATGGTGACAGATTCTCCCTCTCTCCCAAACAACAACAACAACAACAACCATCCAGTCAACCATCTACACCCATCGAACATTATGACCATTTACGAACAACCTATCAACCATCACCAAACAACAATTCTTTCACTCCACTCTCACCTGGATCCCTTCAAGAAGTACTTAAAACTCCACCTACCTCTCCTTTTACTCCTTATAAACTTTTACAAAGGACAAATACTAATCCAACAAAATAATTAAATAGAATCATTTATAATAATAATAATAATAATACGATAGATAGATAGATAAATTTATATACATATATAATAATAATAATTAACCCCCTTCCTTTTTTTCTTCTCTCCAAACCAAATCCCTTTTCCTTTTTTTTTTTGATACACCAATCAAAAAAAAATATCCATCAACAATAATAGTAATAATAGTAATAATAGTAATAATGATAAGATTTATTAATGTATATAAATAATAATAATGATGATCAAAATAACCCAAAAAAAAATAAATTGTAACCTTAAATTATTTAAATCAATTTATTGTTTCTATTTTGTTTCTTGAAACTTTAGACTCTTGAAGAAAAAATATTTTTTTTTTTGTTTCATTATTAAAAATGTCTATTTTTCAAAAAGATAATAATACTCTTTATCTAGTTATAAAGAGTACAATCAATAATGTTATTATTCGAAATATAATCTTTCGATATGTACGATTGATTCATCAAAGACTACTCAAAAGTAAACTATTAATGACAGACATTACCAAAGACCAAGATGACGATGAAATAAAAGGAGTTCATAAATGGAAAGATATCATTTCATCACCACTATTGTCATTGTATTTTGGTACATTGGATACATTTAAACAATCAATATATTCATTTGAAAAGGAGTATTCTGGTTATAAATGGTTACCTCAACATGTACAAATTGGAAATACTACATTTGACACTTCCTCCTCTTCATCCGACTCATCCTCTTCTTCCTCTTCATCCTCAAACTATCCATTTATACCACACTTGGAACAAATTATAAAACAATCATGTAAATATAATCGTTTGGATATGATTATCTTTGTATACGATAGATATGGTCATCAAGCCAAAGAAATTGCATATTATATAGAATACCATTCAATTAAATATAATCGATACCAAATCTTTAAACACTTTTATGATTTGGTCTTTTCAAAGATTACAATGTTTAGAGATGTATCACCAGAACTAGAAGACTGTTCAGACTATGATATTGTATCTCTGTGTCGATCGAGTGACAAGTGCAATGCCACCAACATACCATTCTACACCAACTATATTGACGAGAAAAACTTTGAAAACTACAAGACCTACTATCGATTTGTTATTGATGACCTTAAAAAAGAGCCACGCGATTCAAAGATCAATTGGAATGAAGAATTCTTAGAGACTTGTGTCACTTTGGAAGACGTAAAATCTATTCAATTTTTGGTTGACAATTTCAACAGACTTTCTCTTTACAAAAAGAAACATAGGTATAGTCGAGTTGGTAGTAGTACAGAATACATAGATATTCCCTTGAAATCAATCACCGACTTTATTAGAAATAACATTTTATTTCGTGCCCTTAGATTACAAAAGTTTAAAATGTTGGATTATTTAAATACCTTTTTTCAAAATGAATCATCTCGTATGTCACCAACACATCATATAGATATATATATAATCATATGATATCAATTCAATTCAATCTAATCTAATATTTTTTTATTCATCTCTTTTAGGATTTGGAACAACTAAAATTGATATATTTAGATTTCTATTAACAAAGACAGATAGTAATTATGAATCATCATTATGTGAAGCAATGATTGTCGAAAAAGCAATTCCAAGTGGTGATTTGGAAATGATAAAAGCAATATTTGATCTAAAGACAGTCAATGTCTATTTGAATAGATTTCTTGAAATCATTCCTCCAATCATGTCCAAAGCTCATTCTGACATGCTTTATTATTTCCTAGAACGATTTAAAATTGGTCGTCCAAATGTTGGTCAATTACGAACCATTAACAATCTAGCTATCCGAAACGGTCACTTGGACACTGTAAAATGGATTGACCAAAACATTATCAATGTTTTACAAGATTATCAAATAGTTGATGCTTTTTATTCACCACCTTCCAATCAAAGATTAGAGTTGATTAAATTCATATATCAGCAACAACAAAAACAACCAGAACCACAACAACAACAAGTTGCACTAAACAAATGTTATAGTAGAATTAAAAAGATTACATTTGAAGAATTGGAATACATTACAAGTCAACTCAACCCAACAACAGAGTACAATGAAATCATACAGGCAGCTGTGGGTAGTGGAGATCCTAATCTATTGGATTATGTATTGACAAAATACAATACACAGTTACCAATAGATACCAAAGTAGCTATATTTGGATTAAATACTGATATACCATTGGAAATGGTTAAATATATGGCACAGAAATACAAAGAAAAAGGAGGAGTCAAGATAACAATCGGGATGAAAACACCAATCACTCGAACGGAAAGAAAATACTATACAGATTTAATCAACTCTGGTATTAGTGATACCACCACCCCACAATACCATCCACATAGTTCATCTATTGAACATCTAATCTGTGTTGAATCTTTTGGATGTGGATACGATATCAATTTTAGTTTACCCTATGACAGAGAAAATCAAATTGGAGTGATGGATTGTTACAGATTCCTGTATCTCCATATTGGTACCAATAAATGGATGGGTGATAGTCTATCATTTATCGAATCAATCAGTGAAGGACGTCCTCTACCCTACCTACTCGAATTTCTTTTGGATACATTCAACAACCAACAAATCCAATCGGCACCAATCCTTCAAAGTTTAAGAATATGTCTTTTAAAGATAAATATACCTCCAAACATCCAAAAACTTCTTAAAATGTATTCAAATAATCATCCTATCATTCAAGAATTTATAAATCAAAAATAACTCAAAACAAATAATAAATAATAAAACACTAATTTTTGTCAAAGTATATTGATTCTTGGAATTTTTTAAAATTAGCTCAAGTCCAAAAAAAATATGCAAGAGTCGATTTTCAAATTGAAACCCGAAAAGAAAGAGAGATATATTAACACACAAACAGACAGAGTACTTATAAAAGATGAAACTATCAGTCTCAAAAATAGAAAATGCAAAGAAACTATCAAGTATGTTATATATATATACTTTGTGTGATTATTGCTATACTAATAAACTTTCATTCTTTCAATTTAGAATTATGTTCAGTGTTATCAAAGATATCAAATGAATTGAATCTTATATTGACACCTGATTTATTAAAGATTGTTGTAAAGACTGATATAAGTGATGGAACAGAGGTTTGGTATGAATCACCTATAGAATTCTTTTTTGATAAACGAGAGGTACAAAGTGTGTACAATAACATTATTGGACTTCAAATCAGTACGTCAGAGTTTAAACAAGTACTCAATAGTATACTGTCGATGGGTGGACAAGAGACTAGTCTAAGACTACGAAGAGATCAAAAGTTGGGTGTTATTCTAAAGTTTGATATCAAGCAACAAGCTAGAACACAGGTAATCACACAAGATCTATCGGTGACTGTACTCAACAAAACAACATTGGAGGAATTACAAGAACCAATGTTTTCGGCACCTGTATCTATCATGTTGCCACCACTCAAACATTTGATGGGTGTAATGGATAGACTTAAAAACATATCAGACGATTTAGTGATCGAAGCCAATAATAGTGGTCATTTGAAATTCACGGTAGAAACACATTTTGGTAAAGTTACGACAATGTATCATACTGCCAATCCACCTACACCCAACATGGAAGTAAATGGAAAGGCAATTGTAAAAGTAGATATTCGTAAATTTGTTAAAGTCATTGCCAGTCATCAACTCGATGCCGATCAAGCAGTCATGGTACTCAAAGAAGGTTATAGTGTTGCTTTCTTTCTTGTATTTAAAACCCAACGTGCTTCTCTTGCTTTTTATTTACCAATTAAACTTAGTATTTAAATCAACAAACCAACATATATAATTCGCTAATAATTAATATTAATATAATTAATCCAAAAACAACAAATAATATATATCTATATTTTGTAAATAAAACCTAATTTCACTACTTTGTAAATATAATACCAAAATTAATCCAAATCAATCACAATCCAGTAGAATTGTCTTGGATCGTTATCGTCATCTAGATTCAAATTTTCAAATCTTTGAAATTAATTTAAAATATAGTGTCCGCCGTTAAAAGATGGATGAGATTCATCTGATGATCTGGTTTGGTTTAAAATTTGGAGGGAAGGATGGATGAAAAAAAAATCAACAAAAATTCCGTTTTTTGATGATTTAGTGAGGTGAGAAGATTTTACCTCCACTTTTTTGAATTTTTTAACCGTTGTGAGTGTGGGAAAGGCGGCTTTGTCAGACACTCTGTCCACTCACCACCCAAGCTGTTTTTTTAGTTTCATTTGTTGTTTTTCCCTTTCTATTCTCTATTTTTTTTGATTTGATAATAATAGCTTTTAGATAACTCTCTCCTTCAACCCCAACCCAGTACAGTTTATTCAACCTCTCTGTACTCCCAACCCTCTTCTGTTATATTTAGAACAAGTTCCCTAAACAACCAAACAACCAACCAACCAACTCTCTTTCAACAATGTCTACCAAGAAATCAACCTCTTCAACTAAAAAGGCACCAGCTGCCAAAAAGACCCCTTCTCATCCACCCTACTTTGATATGATCAGTGCTGCGATTGCTCATTACAAGGATCGTACTGGTTCGTCCATCCACGCCATCAAAAAGTACATGGAAGAGAATTACACGCTCGGTGACAACTGGGAGACCCACTTCAAGGTACAATTAAAGCGTGCCAAGGAAGACGGCAAGCTCGTCCAAGTCAAGGCATCTTACAAGCTACCACCAAAGACTGCCGCCGCACCAGCCACCAAGAAGCCCGCCGCCAAGAAGGGTGCCAAGAAAGCTGCCGCCGCCTCACCAGCCACCGATGCCGCTGCCTCGACCGACTCGGATGCTGAGAAGAAGGCTGCCACCAAGAAGGCTGCCGCTCCCAAGAAACCAGCCGCTCCAAAGAAGACTGCTCCAGCCAAGAAGGCCGCCCCTAAGAAACCAGCTGCCAAGAAGAACGCAAAGAAGGCTGCCAAATAAGCTGCCTGTTGTCATGTCTGGTCTCTCGCATGCGTGCATATATATATATTGTTAGAGCAATCGTTTAAGCTACGATCTGCTGTTCCAATAATAATGTCTGTGTGTGTGTGTGTGTGTGAAAACTACTTATAATAGCAGAGTTTATCCAATGTTGTAAATCAAATTACAAAACGGTGTTTTTTCAACACCACCCATTTTATTTAAACAATCATGTTTAGAATCATAATTATTTTCAATTCTCTCTATCTATCTAAATATTTGATTATATATTTAATAATTATTTGTAAATATTAATATTTTTCTTTCTTTCTTTCTTTCTTTCTTTCAATCTATTCTCTTTCCAACCCACCCCCCAACTCGTTTGTTATAGATTTTAAAAATATGCATGCATATTTAAATTTGGTTTGGGATCGTATCGTGTACACCCGAAAACATTAAATTAACCAATCGTTTAAATATGTCATATATATATGTTTATATATTTGGCAGATAATTAAAAATATATCATCATATATACAACTAATTAATAAATGTAAAACCAACACAACACTCTACTACAACTACTTCAACTACTACCAATTATAATTATTAAATATATAAATAAACAAACAAACAAATATTGGTACACACCGATTCCATTAATATCGTCGGAGTCATAATTCTTCAATTCAATTTCCAAAAAAGTGGAATATATTAATAACTCTTTCAAAGTTCCGACTCTAAACAAGAGTTTCATCACAAAAGGAAAAGGTTTTTTATTTTTTTTTAAATTTTCTTTGTAAACACGGTCGACGAAAAAAGATATCTTCGTCATCAAACACACTTCATTTCATTGTTTGTGTGTAAAGTCAGAGGAACAACAAGTAGAGTAGTAGTAGTAGAAAACAACTTTATATGACTAGAATGGTTCCAATTAATTTGAACAAAAAAAAGATACATGGTAAATTGATCAAGTTGAAAATAGTGTGATCACATGCTCCTGTTAGAGTGTTGTTGCTTTTACTAATTTGTTAACAAATCTTTTTTACGACTATATAGTATCAGCACCAGGTAAAGTTATATTATTTGGTGAACATGCAGTAGTATTGGGAAAGACATCAGTTGCAACTGGTTTATCATTGCGAAGTAACATTCAAGTTGAAACACCAAAAACACCTGAACAATCACAACAAATCACACTTTCATTCCCTGATATTCAATATTTTGGTGTTAAATCATACGATCTCTCTCGTTTGAGGTCATTACCTTCTTATCATAATGGTATGATGAAACTGTATACTGTAAAAGTAAAACAGGAATGATCTCAATTTATTCATTATATATATTTATCATTCTTTTTTCTTTTTTTTGTAGCAATTGAAACAAAAGATAATCTTATACCATTTGAATGTGATGAACAATTTCAAAATGAATTGGCAGGTATTGCAGATTCAAAGGGTATTCAAACCATGTTGTTTTTATATTCTGCCATTGCTAAACTAAAACATGGTATCTATGTACATTTCCAATCTGATTTGCCAATGGGTGCAGGTCTTGGTTCATCGGCTGGTTTCTGTGTCTGTATAGTCACTGTATTATTGTCAATGTTTGATATCTATGCATGTGGTGGATGTGAACAATGCACTAGTTTTGAAAAGGTGGCAGACACTGATACAGAGACCACCATCTCTTTTACTCCATGTCAACAACAATTGGAACTTATCAACAAATGGTCATTACAAGGTGAAAAGATTATGCATGGTACTCCATCTGGTGTTGATAATGCTGTTAGTACTTTTGGTAGAGCTTTAACTTTTACAAGAAAAGATGGTTATAAAATTTTAGATAGGTAAAAGAGAGACAGAAAGAGACAAAAAGGAAGATAGAAATCATATATATTAATTAATAATAATATTTAATCAATTTATACTTTTTTAGAATTCCACCATTAAGATTATTAATAGTTGATACAAAAGTTAGTAGATCAACCAAAGTATTGGTTGAGAATGTTATCAATAGACACAAGACCTATCCAACATTGATTGAACCGGTCGCACAATTGATCGATACCATCTCTAATCAATGTATAGAGGCATTTAATCAATATTTCACAGACAATGATATGGAGAAGCTTCAAAAGGCAATAGAGTTGATGATCGATATGAACCATTCATTGCTCACTGGTTGTTTTGGTGTTGGACATTCGACACTTGACAAGATTGCTACCATTGCCAGATTACATGGTGTTCATGCCAAGTTGACTGGTGCCGGTGGTGGTGGATGTGCCATTGTACTTTTACGTTATGATATGACAGAGGGAGAGGTCTCTCGACTCAGAGAATCACTCAAAGAAGCCGGTGGTTTTGAATCATGGGAAGCTACAATCGGTGACAAAGGTGTTCAAGTTGATATTATAAATAATTAATGAATGAACCAACAAATAATAATAAACGTAATTGTAAAGAATAATAATAATAATAATAATAATAATAATAACTAAAGATCAACTGGTTACATCTAAAAAGAGGGAGGGGGAGTGGTTTCAAAAATTTATAAATAATAATATTTTCATTGCAAAACGTAATTATTATTATACTTGGGATAAAAATTAATAATAGTTAGTTGTCATCATCATCATTATTATTTCTGTCAAGGTAGAGATAGATAGATAGAGTGAAGAGATAATAAATAGGGGGAGATAGTATACAATACAATACAACACAACAAATCAATTCAATACAATATTAATATTAATATTAAACAAGACGAATCAACTTAAATTTATGAATACACCGCCACCATTTCCCTCGAAACAATTAATTGCAAGGTCATACAAAGTATTTGCTGAACCTTTTGTTCTTGCAAGACTCGATCCAACTTTGAGGTGAGTAAAAAAAAAAAACTATTAATAATAATATTTTTTGATTATAAAGACAAAAGGGAATTGATTAAATTCCCTAACATGTTTCCATCAATTGTGATTAGTCACAATGTAAACGTAGTAATAATTCGGTCAAAGACCGATCTGTTGAAAAGATCTATGTTATTCTCACAATTTTTTTCACAGTTTCAGGTTGTTTGTTCGACCTTTTTTTTTTGTTTGCCTTTGAAGATATTCACATGTATCAGTCGACTCTTTGATTACTTTTTTATATTATTATATAATTATTCACTAGTATTATTAGTACTATTTTCGATAGTTGTATAACTTTTATAGTAGTATGTATAGTCAAAGAGGAGGCAGACAGAGTAGAGAGGGCTACAATTGACAAGCAGAAGATCAAATTTGATATCTTCTCGTGGAATGATTCTTTGAAGAAATGAGTGAGAATTATATACACTCGCGCGCGTGGAAGCATAGAAGCCTTCTGTCAACACAAACAACACAGTACAGTCATCAAAACCAATCATACTAATTACGTCACTTTAATACAATTGTGTATCCTTATCTTCTATCTCTTCTATCTGATTATAAATAGAATTGCACAAAGACTCTACAAGATGTTTACCGAATTATTTAGTATGAATGCAGAGGCAAAGATTGGTTTGTTTGTAGCTGCCGTTGCTGCCCTTTTAGGTGTCAAGTTTTTATTTGCCAACAATACTTCTGTTCCATCTGAATCCAAGAAGGAATCAAAGCGTATGTTAAAATTAATGCAATATATATATATATATATATAGAATACTTATTTGTTTTTTATTTATCTATTTAGCTGCATTGGATGCAAAGGAATATAAAAAGTTTAAGCTCCAAAAAAAGATCATTGTTAACCATAACACTCGTATCTTTAGATTCGAGCTTCCAAACGCAACTGATCGTCTTGGTCTCCCAATTGGACAACACATTTCTCTCCGTGCCACCGTCAATGGCAAGGAAGTCTACCGTCCATACACCCCAATCTCGTCGGACGACGATCTTGGATACTTTGACCTTTTGATCAAGGTCTATGAAAAGGGACAAATGACCACCTTTGTCGACAACCTCTTTGTCGGTGACTCGATCGATGTCAAGGGTCCAAAGGGTCTCTTTAACTACAAGCCAAACATGTTTAAGCATATTGGTATGTTGGCCGGTGGTACTGGTATCACTCCAATGCTCCAAGTCATCAAGGCTATCGTATCCAACCCAGAAGACAAGACCAAGGTTTCTTTGGTATTTGGTAACATCACCGAAGAAGATATCCTCCTCAAAAAGGAATTGGATCAAGTCTCTGAAAATTATCCAAATATTTCAATTTATTATGTTTTGAATAATGTAAGTAGTGAGATGAATTAATTAAGTTAATTTATTAGTATCAAAAATATTAATCATCTTTATCCTCTTTTATTTAGCCACCACAAAAGGGATGGACTCAAGGAGTTGGTTTCATTTCTCAAGACATTATCCAACAACAATTGCCAGCACCAAGCGAAGGTGTCAAGGTTTGTTTGTGTGGTCCAACTGTCATGAACAAGGCTATGACCGGTCACTTATTAGCTCTTAACTTTAAAGAAGAAGATATTTTCACTTTCTAAAATAATAAATAAATATATATAATAAATATAAATATTTTTTAAAACCATGTTTTGTGTAGAAATAATTATTTAAAAATTTCAAAAAAATCGTCAAACAAAACGAACGAAAGTTTGATAGGGATTACTGCAATATTTATATTATACCCATTATTTGTTTGTTTCAATCTATTTCTATTCTAGTATCAATTTATATTTAAAGAAAGAGAAAGAGAGAAGGAAGGAAATGTCAAGAATTTGTATCAAGGGGTTACCCAAACATGTAGATGAAAATAAATTAAGACATCATTTCTCTAAATTTGGTACAGTTACCGATTGTAAAATTGCAAGAACACAGTATGTAAATAGAATAGAAATAGATAGAGAGAGAGAAACCAGGTTGACTAATAGATATGTTTGTTTATTTGTTATTACTTTCTTTTAGAGATGGAAGATCACGTTTATTTGGATTCATAGGGTTTTCTTCAGATGAACATGCAGAGAAATCGTTAATGTATAATGGATCTTATTTCCATACTTCAAAGATTGTTGTAGAGATGGCATTCTCTAAAGATGATTCTAAAGATGTACATAGAGCATGGAGTAAATATACACAAGGAAGTTCTGCAAACAATCGTATAATCACTCGTGAAAAGGAAGAAGAGGCTAAAAAGAATGCTGAAAAGGGTGTTGCTGCTGTCGATGCCAAAGATCTAAAGAGAAAGTCAAGAGATGCCGAAGAAGATGATCAAGAGTTTAGGGAATTCATGGGTATCATGAAACCAAGAGTAAATAACAATCTTTGGACAAATATGGATGATGGTGTTGTCACTGGTGAAGGTTATATTGGAACTAAAAAGATAAAGACTGAAGATGGTGGAAGTAAAGATGCTAAACTTGATGACAATGATGAAGATGATGAATTATATGATGATATGCCAATGAATGATGAAGATGATGAAGATGATGAAGATGAAGAAGAAGAAGAAGATAACAAACCAATTAAAAAACTTGTAAACGATAGTAAATCAAAAGAGTTGACAAATAGTTCTGCTCTTTCAGATTTGGATTGGTTAAAATCAAAGGTTTCAACCAAAATTGAACAAGATGATGATGAAGATGAAGAAGAAGTAGAAGAAGTGGAAGAACAAGAAGATGAAGAGGAACAAGAGGAACAAGAGGAAGAAGAAGAAGAAGAGAAACCCCAACAAAAAGAAAAAGAATTAAATGAAAAGGATAAAAAGAAAGAAGCAATAATGAGAACATTTACAACGGATAGAGAGATTGAAGATATTGGAGAATCTGGTAGATTGTTTATTAGAAATTTGTCATATACAACAACTGAAGATGATATCAAGAAGTTTTTCGAAGCACATGGAAAACTATCAGAGGTTTATATCCCCATTGACAGAGACTCTAAAAAGAGTAAGGGTATTGCATTTGTCTTGTTTATGATCCCTGAACAAGCGATGCGTGCCGCCAACGATTTGGATGGAAAGACATTGCAAGGACGTATCATCCATATCCTCGCCGCAAAGAATGCCCCTTCCAAAGAGGTACAACTCAACAAGGACGGTGAAAAGACAAGTAGCTTCAAACAACAAAAAGAGAGAGAACTCAAGACTGCAGCTGGCGATGCATACAATTGGAACTCGTTGTTTATGAGATCAGACGCAATCATTGGGTCGTTGGCCGAACGTTATAAATTGTCGCATGGACAAGTCATCGATCCAAACAGCTCGGATTTGGCAGTCAGAATGACATTGATGGAAACACATATCATCAATGAAACCAAAAAGTTTTTGCAAGAGGAAGGTGTTGTCATTGAGAAGATTGGTGGCAAGGGAATCGATAGAAGCAACTCGATTATTTTGGTCAAGAATATTCCACACAAGACTACTATTGGTGAGTTGGAAGAGATGTTTGGACGGTACGGAGAGTTGGCACGTGTCATCTTGCCTCCCGCCCGTACCATGGCTCTCGTCGAGTTTTACCATGTCAACGAGGCAAAGGCCTCTTTTAGAGGACTGGCCTACTCCAAATTCCACACAGTCCCATTGTTTTTAGAATGGGCTCCAGTTGGCGTATTCAAAACTGCCGCTCCCACCAAAGAACAAATCAAACAAAAACAAGAAAAAGAAACTGAACAATTGGAAAAGATTAAAGTTGAAAATGAATCAACATCATCAACCAGTGCAACAACAACAACAACAACTACAACAGCTATCGCAGAACAAGTGGATCCAAGTAAATCATTTTATGTTTATATTAAGAATATATCTTTTGACACTACAGATGATATGCTCAAAGAACGTTTCAAAAAGATTAGAGATTTTATGACTGTCAATATTTCAACTAGAATGGATCCAATCAGAGGAAAGTTGTCATGTGGTTTTGGGTTTGCTCAATTCTCTACTAAACACGGTGCCTATGAATGCATCAAAAAGTGGAATGGAGCACTTGTCGACGGACACGAACTTTCCATTAAATTGTCAACCAGCAATGCTGCCACCGGTACCGATGGTAAAGCCAGCAACAGTGCCAACAGTGCATCCAACAAGAGAGAGGACAGACTCAAGGACGAAGAGAGCAAGAGACACGACAAGGGATTCGTATCGACTAAAATCTCAATCAAGAATATTGCTTTTGAATGTAAACCAATTGAAATCAGAAAGTTGTTTACTACGTATGGCGAGCTCAAGTCTGTTCGTCTCCCATCAAAGCCAACTGGAGGTCATCGTGGTTTTGGTTTTGTAGAGTATCTCACTGAACAAGAGGCCAAGAATGCCATGGAAGCACTCCAAAACTCTCATCTTTACGGTCGTCATCTTATCCTTTCCTTTGCCGAAGAGGACAAGAATATCGAACAATTACGTGAAAAGGCTTCTGTCGATTATTCAAAGGCTTCCGGTACAAATAGATCAAAGAATAGATTTAATTAAATCAAAATAATAAATATATATTAATGAATTTTCAAAAAACTACAAAGTTAAATACCACTCGACTCACTCTTTTCGTCAGTTCAATTCTTTGTTATATTTTTAGTCGTTTACTCAATTCTTTATATCTATCTATATATATATTAATAATAATAATGAATCAAGATGATAATAAAACAACAAATTTAACAAATAGTAATAGTAATAATAATGGTAGTAATATAAGCTTTTCATTTGGTTTAAATAGTAATAATAATTCAAGAGCCAAAGAATTGTTAGAAAACAATAAAAAGAGAAAAGAGGCAGAGAGTAATACCAATTACTTGACGTCGATAGAGGGTACCAAGATCACTTCAATCATAAGCGATGAACCAACTCAAAAAGGTCCAAAGATTATACCAATCGATTTGCAAAGAGGAGGCAATGTAAATAATAAGAATATATCAACAACTACAACAACAAATGTAACAGAACAAAAGATTACTTCAATCATTCAAGAAAAGGAAGATGATAAACAAGTGGTTTCAAAAAAGTTAAAGAAAGAGAATCAACAAGAGGAAACGACTACCTCTACTAGTTCCACTACCTCTTCTACCGCTACTACTACTATAACTAAACCAACTGAAACTGATTCATTCAATCCAACTCAAACTGGTTTACAAGTTAGAAAGAAAAAAGAAACAATGGATATTGATAAAGAATCACAGACAATGCGACCATTGATTGATAAATTGGATGGATTAGATGGTTATAACAACGATGAAGATAAATTTAAATTTGATCTATCGACACGACCTGACGAGGCGAATCAAGATGACTATGAAGAGACACCAATTGACATTTTTGGTAAAGCAATGTTGATGGGTATGGGTTGGAAACCAGGTCAAGGTATTGGTCTCACCAACAAGGGTGTTGTCGAACCAGTTCAATTCTTGAAACGTGCCGGTAGATTGGGATTGGGTGCTCAACCATCCGACGTTGCAAACAAAGAAAAGAAATATATGACTGCACCCAAAGGAGAGGATGGCAAGGTAAGACACACTGTTGGTCTCAGTGAAAAGCTTGTACCACTCAAATTTGGTCTACAACCTGGTGATCGAGTATTGGTTATTTCAGGACCACATGAAGGTCTCAATGCAACTGTAGAATCATTGGCTCAATCTGATAGAATTGTCATTAGATTTAAATCTGATGAATTGGCTGCTGTTGATAAATGTGATTTACAAATATTAGAAAAGAATAATAATAGTAATCATAATAGTAAAGCGTCATCCTCTTCATCTTCATCTTCATCAACTTATTCACAATCTAATTCAAAATCCTATTCTTCGTCTTCATCTTCATCATCTTCATCAAATTCATCATCAGATGAACCAATGTGGATTAGATCAAGTTTGGTTGTAAAAATTATTAGCAAGAGTTTGGGAGATGGAAGATATTATAACAAAAAGGCGACAATTGTGGATATTATAGGTGACAAGTTATGTATAGTAGAGTTGGATAATGGAAAGGTGGTAGATAATGTGAAACAAAGAATGTTGGAGACTGCAATTCCCAGAGCATCGGGGTCAACAGTTATTATTGTCTCTGGAAAGCACAAAAGTAGAGTTGGAACTTTGGTTGAAAGAAGATCAGGCTCCAAAAAAGAGACTGCAATTGTTCAATTAATAGGTGACCTTTCAGTTTTGGAGTTTGATTTAGATGATATATGTCAATATGTAGGAAATAAAGATATTGAATTAATGTCATGATCAAATGAATTAATACATAAATAACACGACAATGCATAGTTTGGTACTTTTTTTTTTTTATACATCTATTTTGCTGGTTTCTCAAAAGGTTTAATCTTATCATTAACAACATGAATATATATTTGATCATTTGGATGACTATAAAAGTAGAAAAAAGGTTAATATAATGTAACAGAGAATTGATCTTCTTTTTTCTTTTTTTTTTCTTTTAACATACTCCTTTTCACCTTCTTCATAAGTATAAGATGATGCAACAGCCAATTGAGTACCATCAGAATTGAAAGCCATAGTTGAAATACTTGTTGGATAATGTCTTAAATGATACAATCTCTTTCTATTTTGACCATCCCAGAAATAAACATTACCATCACAACCACCAGTTGCAAATGTACCATATCTAATAAAAAAAGAAGGAGAAAAAAGAATGTCAATCATCATTTGACCTAATCTATATCTATTCTATTTTCTATTGATACAAACATTGGATGAAAAGCTATTGAATTTACAGGATAAACAACATCGACACTGTTTTCAGTTGCACGATGACACTTGAAAGCATATTTTTTAGCTTGTTGAACCTTTGGATCGAAATATTCCATACCGATTCTGCCTTCGACACTTGCCAATGCGTATCCACTACCATCGATAAATGTTCTGATGCAACGTGTTTGGTATTTGATTGATGATTCTCTCTTTTGGAATGGTGTGTCCATTTGACGTGTATCAAAGATGGTTACCATCTTGTCGGCAGTGCCTACAACCAACATGTTGGTGACTGATGCATATGCCATGCTAAATACTTGTGCTTCGACGCTGTGACTCGAAACTTGTTGATTGTTGTTTGAACGTGTATCCCAAACTCTGACGGTGGTATCCCAACTGCCACTATACAAACATCCACCCTCTGCATTGTATATGACAGACTTTGCTCCTTTATCGTGGGCACCAACAACTCGCTCTGATGATGCTCCGACCGTAGGATCAAAGCTTTTAATCTTTCCATCAATATCACCACTATATACTCTATTTCTTTCAGGATAACATGCATCCAATACTGCACATTCATGACTGTATTGCCATTTATATGAATTGTTTGTTGTATCATAACATCTTACTGTCTAGATACAGAGAGAAATGATTAGTATGAGTGAGTTGTTACAACTCGTCATTAAAGATCTACAACGAATACTTACAGTATCCCAACTAGACGCTAATAATAGATTTGATGAAGGACAATAATTGAGTGATGTTACACCATCGGATGGTGGTAATCTTAATTCATATGAATCTCCCATTCAACTATATAATATATATATATATAAACTACTAATGTCTTAAATACAAATTAAATTTACTTTCAACAATGAACTTTTGTATCTTTGAATGTTCCCTCCTTTTTTTGTTTTATTTTTTTATTTTTTTTATACTCTTCTTTACTTTCATATTTGTTTCATCAAATTTTAGTCAATCATTAGTAATCGACTCTTACACTTTTTCACGCGAATGGTAGGATACTTTGACAGTAGATTTACAAAGCCATCATAAAAGTATGTTGTTGAAGAAAATCTATTTTAGATGAGACACATGCCATGTATTCTACAAATTCATTTATCCTTTATACAAAAAAAACTAAAAGAAGAATGAGTTAATGTACCAAGGATAATACTCTAATCAATTCAATTTAAAAGAGTCACAAATGTTTGTATTAATCAATAAGAAGAAGTAATCCTTAAGAGCATATTAATGGAACATAGAATAAAAAGTAGGAAAACCATTCATTTTAAATTATGGTTTTCTTTTTTTATTTATATTAAAACTTATAGATATGTGAATAGGGAGAGATTGTGGAATATTGGAATTGGTTTAATTAAATGATCTGGTACTCTTTGGAGCGCCAAAAATATCATTCTTTCCAGCAGAAATTCTGTTAATTGATTGTGAAGATTGGGAATTCATTTGATTAAATGTTCCATTTGACATTTCCTTGGTTTGGAAAGATACTTTGTTTAAATTGGTAAGAGCAGCTAAAAAAAAAGAAAAAAAAAATAAGAAAATTAAAAGGTTAGTATATATTATTTTAAAATATTACATTGAAAACATACTAAAAAGCATTTTTTAAAAGAGATAAGTGAATATAATTGATATATTTAAAAGAGAATATTTAAATATTGATATTTGTTTGTTTGGTTTGATATCCAAATGGATTCAAAAAGCGGAGGATTTATAGAAAAGATTCATGACGTTTCTTGATAGATTGTCGAGCGTCTATTTAACCTTTGACGCCATATATGGTAAACAAAGTTTGAAATTCTTGGATATCAGTGTCCAATTACCATATTTGAAAACGTTCCTATTCAAATATCACCAAATTAAATCTCACCATCGACACCACTAGAAGGATGGATTAATGTACGGTCCGAAATTACAGGGGTCGATTCCGATCGTAACGCCTCACAAATCACCCTTGTCCAGAATAAGAAAACAATGAAACCAATTATTGAGTACCAACTCGTCGACCTACAAATTAATTAATTATCCTAGGATTATTAAGTACAAACAAGCAAAGGTGGTGGTGGTGGTAAAGATGGTAGAGGTAGTGGTGTTGTCATTTGATCAACAAGTCATTTTACCAACCAGCATAACCAACATAATTGGTAGACAACCTCGAGGACAACGGAGCATAGTAGGCAAAAGGGGGTATACCATCGTCATCGCCCTCATCGTTTCGATCTACACTTTTTTTTTCAACAACATTGAAACCACCACCCATCTTTATGAATTCGTTTAAAGGTGTGTATTGTTTGTTTGTTGACACCTTAAACTTTTAAAAGACATCCAACACCACCAATGTTGTTGATACAATTGTTTTGAATCGGTCTGGTCTCTCTATCGTTCAACACATATATAACCAAACAACGTCGACGATAATCGAGGTAGATAAGAGAGGTAGATATGAGAGAATTGAAAACATCTGATGAATAAACAATTTGTACCTAGCTAGCTCCCGATATCACATTACTTGAGAATGCATGGGTGTGTGTGGTTAGTGGTGTTTTAAATCTCTTCAAAGATTTACAGATAGTAACACCAGATAGAGACCATCGAGAATGGATTCTTCCATGGCACGTCAGTCACCTAAAAAGTAAGAGGAAGAGGATGATGATGAATCAGATCGATATAAAGATCCAAAGATTTAGATCCTATCTTGTCTGTCTATCCACCTCCTAGACATCTCCTATTCATTCTATGTATGGTAAGATACTTGATTGAGTTGTTTTCCATTAATGTCAATGTGTGATCGATCTATTGTATTTCCAACCCTATGTGATTAGATTGTTATCACATTAAAAACAATCTTGTTGTTATCATAATTTCAAACCATTGCACATTGATTATTGTTGATGTGTGTGTGTGTTTTTGGTTTATTGCTTTGTATTGATTATTATTATTACAATGGGGATACAATAAATAAATATTTAATACTGTTCTTTCTGTTTAGAGATAAGTAGCTTGTTATTGTTGTTGTTGTTGTTTTTTAGAGTAAAATGACATCTACATTGTCGTGAACACGTTGGAGTAAGATTTCACCGTCATAAGTGAGGATCTTTCTCTTCTTGGCAGCCTTTAAGGTTCCAACTAAAGCTTCAAAAGTGTTTGCGACTTTAATATATAATATAATATATAAATGTATATTAGTAAATTTGAAGAATCATCAAATCATTGATTACTAAACACATGTCTTACCTTCATCATCGTTGAAGAGGACACCGTATTTAACAGATACCTTTCCGTTGGCACCCTTGGTTCCTAATCTGTTGATGGCATCAACAAGCAACTTTACTTCGTGATCTACGTCCATTTTAAATAATAATACTAATAATAATAATGAAGAAACTAATACAAGCAACAATGAAAAATGATCATCACCACCTGGGTTGGGACTGAGATTTTTTCCCCTATTTCAAGAATAATTATTTAAATTAATTTATTATCAATTAATTTGGATCAAGATCAAGAAAGTAACTATAATATCTTTAATCACCTAGGTTTTATTCAATATATATTATCTCTCCTTCTCTATAATGTTGAAATTTCTACATATATATATCATAAATATTTTTGGAAATTTAAAAAGAATATAGAACATGTTGAAAAGAAGAAGAAGAGGAAGATGGAAGTAGGAGTAGGGGGTAATTACCAATGATATTTTTATTGTTTGTAATCTAGAGATTTCAATTGGAATATCAAAACATATCAATCAAAATTAGAGATAAAAATTAAATGTGTGGTGGTGAACGACATTGACCACAAATTAATATACATACATCTATCTCCACACTCCTCTTTTATCTATATTTGATTGGGTGTAATTTGTTATAGTGATATTTATCACCCCCATTGTATTTTTCATTTCTGGTATCACCACTACCATTGTCAATATGATCATCGCATCCAGTCCATCCATCAATCGTTCGATCCATGATATTGTTGTTCAGTAACATGTAGTTTTAAAAATATCTGAGATAATATATATTATGTGTTGTACCATCAACAAACGTTAGTTTGTTCGTACGTCCACACATAAATTGATTATAGGAATATACAAATATAACACCTTGCTAGTTGTTGTTGGAGGAGGAGGAGGTTACATTGATTTAAATTTCCGATTGTCTCCTTCCATAAATGTATTAAAAAATTGGTGGTATTTTGAATTGAATGAGAGTATATTATCTAGAGAGTATCCCGGATTGCTGCGAAATGAGAAGAAGGGGAGGACATCCCGATATAGTTGGATGGATGTCCAACGATTGATTATTCAATGTCAGTAGTGATATTTGTGTAAAGTCTGAATAAAATTAAAAATACTAATTTAAATGATGTTTGATGTTGACATGTGTAGTCATCATGAATGATGACTATGACTCTTATAGCAATACCAATGATTATCCTACCCATATTAGGGATACTTCGTATGGTAAGTAAGGTAGGAAAGGTAACATCACATCGATCTAACCCACGACAAATGTACCATTCCCAAATAGTCTGTCTCTCCTAATTACGGGTCGTTGCGCCATCAAAGTTGATCTGAAACTCTAGAGAGAGATTCAAAGTTGGTTGGAAAAAAAAAAGATATAAATAGATGTTTCCCAATCCTTGTTTTCAAATCATCAAATCTATTTTCTTTTATAATATTATAAATAATTAATAGTTTCCTATATAATATAATAATCAATCAATCATAACAATATTTAAATATTTTTAAAAAAAATGAAATCAATTTTAATTTTACTTGCTTGTCTCATTGTATGTGTATTTGGTACAAATTACAATGCACCATGTGGATCTGGAACTTGTGGAGATCACCAGACATGTCTCAACTACCAAGACCACCCATACTGTGTAATCAATGATGATTGTAAGATGGTTGCAGTTGCACAATACAAGAATGGAACATGGTGCGAAGGCGATGGAAAGGAATTCTCCAAGTACGATGTCTACATTTACAACTATGGTAACCAAGTCGTCAAGAATGTCTACATTGACACTGACTGTACCCTCAAGTTCCGTAACTTTAATGCTGCCGACTGCTCTGGCTCCTTCTGGAACGTCAACTTTGATTCTCACCATGGTGTCTTTACTCTTCCAGCCTACAGCACTGGTATCGCTCCAAAGGATGCTCACTACTTTGGTTATATCATCGAAGGTCGTCAATCACCAAATCTCAAGATTCGTCGTGTTGATTTCTAAATCTAATCAAACATCAACCAGCCACTCTTTATAGTCTTATTTTTGGCTATCCTTTTTCCAAAAAAAAAACAAACCAAAAAATCATTTATATTTTCTCCTAATAGATGATTTAAATATTAAATTGTATATATCTCTCCCAATCCTTTTTTAAAAAATAAATAAATAATAAATAATTTGTTTTCTTAAAAATTAAAATATTCTTTTCCTTCCTTTACCTCTTTTTATTATTAATCAGACCAATTACAACATCTTAAATCTAAATCTCTAAGTGCTGATTCTTCAGATTCGGCAACTGGATCTACAAGATCAATTCTATTTGATGAATAATCTTCAACTGGTGTTGCAATATTATTAAATGTCATATAAAGAGATAATCCATCTTCATTACCTCTATATTTCTTATACATTGACTTTCTAATTTCTCTTTCATCCAATTCTTTTGTCCATATAACTATATCATCCATCTTTCCAAAAAATGATTCTTCTACAATTAAATAAAAAAATTGATTAATCAAGTGCCCCCCCCCTTTTTTTGTCAGAGAATATAAATGTTTTTAGAACATACGTTGATCACAACCAATTTCCATATTATCCAATTTAAAAAAAGTATTTTGTGAAGCTACTTGAGTTGTATCCAAATTACCATGAATATATAATTTTGTTTCTTCCATATGATCATTTATTTGTTTTACAGTAATACCTATATGTCTCCTAAAATAAAATAATAAATAATAAATAAAAATGTATAAAATAATATTATTTCTATCTCTATATATTTACCATAAACCATATTTTAAAGGAGTTTCACTAATAATACAATCATTATGTACACAAAATGATAAAAACATATTATTTGGTTGAAAAGCTTGTTGTTGTTGATCTTGTTGTTGCTGAGAGGAACGAGAAGATATTGGGCCATCATGTTGTTTGTGAATGGCAATATATGAATCATTTCCAATTTTAAAAACTTTTCTTGCACCAGTTGATTCAATATTGATCCAAGCTGTAAAAGCAAAATTACCTTCAACCTGTTTGGGAGAAACTGGTAATAGACGAATACATGTTTTTCGATTGACGACAAGGTTTCTTGTTGAATGAGCAACCCATTCAGGTTCACCAAAGACAAATCGATGTCCTTGTAGTTGGGCAGATGTTACATTGGCTTGCATATCTTTTAGTTTGTGTAGGTATTTACAAAGTGCACAATCACCAGAATAAAATACACATCGATCGTATTTATCTATAAAGTGTGCTGGTAGAGGAAGCTTTTTCCATTCAAAATATTTTTGGTACTCTGTTTCATTGTTCATCAAATAATTGATGTAATCACAAAGATGTTTGGGTGATTTAAAATCTGATGTTTTGATTATACTATTTTGTGGTACAAATTCATCAATATTTGGTGCTCCCATATAAATTGGTAATGTTCCACTCCTAAAAAACAAAATACAATATAAATAATAAATAAATAATACTCTAATATATATATATATATATATATATATATCCTTATTCTTTTACTTACAATAGAGCAGTAAAAACCTTTTCAGAAATATAATCAGTTAAATTATTATTTTCAAAGGCAAGAGAGAAACGATAACGACCAAAGATATGAACCTTTCTATTCATTGCACGTCCAAGGTCATTCCAAACAGGACCTGGATTATCATCTGGTGGAAGATCCATATTGTGCATACAAGATCCCAAACAATGAATGGGAGTGTATTTCATCATCTCTTGAATATAGATATTACGGAACACTGCACCACCAGCACCACAATTGACAGCTAAAAAGGCAGCGGCCGGTACCTTTTGTAGAAATGGCATTGGTGGATTGAGAAAGTTATTGATTGAACCATTTGCAAGTTGACCCCAACTACACGCAAACGTTGTAGGGACTTGACAATTTTGTCTAAATGTCATATTCAAATCCATCGACCACATAAACGTAGGTTCATCCATAAATGGAAAGTAGTCTTCGTGTTCATAACCAAAATGAATAAATGTCTGGCCAACTTCTTTGGGTGGTAGTTTGGGTAATTTATCGGGTTTCAAGTATTCATGTCCATAAATACTCATTGGTTGTGCTTCAAACATAATTGCATCAACTTCTGCTGCTCTATTTTTATCTCCTAAACAAACAAAAAAAAAAAAAGATAAAGAATAGAATATTAATATATATATTAATATATGTTGATCAATTATTGTTTGTTGTTGATGCTATCTATAAAATGTTACCTGTAAAAAAACAATTAACAGGACATTGATCTTTAGTAAATTCTTGACCAAGATAGTTGGGTAGAGTATACTTTGAGGCACCTAGTCCACACCAACTAAATCCGCACCAAAACAATACAGTCATATCACATTGTACTACTTGATCTGATAAGAGTACAATGAAAACAACTAATATTACGATTATTATTGATGATTGATTGATGATCGTCATCATTTTACTTTTAAAGAGATGTGATAAAAGTAGATCGTATCTCTCTCTTTAAATTTACAAATAATATAATATATATATAAAGTTATCTATCTATTATTATTATGTGATCAATGAATGTTGTAGGATGCAGACTTCTGCAGAGGTATGGATTTGATGAGAAGAACCACACACCTTTGAATTTAATTGTGATTGCCACATTCACCCCCCCACCTATTAGGTATTACCACACACCAACAGAGCAAAGGGAAAGAGAAAGAGGTACACAAGACATGTCTATCTATAACAAACATTTTGCAGTTAGTTAAAAGTATTCACTGAGCTTGACCGATACGATCGATGATCACTCACTTATTTCTTCTTATGATCGACACACGTCTTTCTTGGCAACCAATTGATGATTGATGGTAAAGGAGGAGGAGGAGGATGAAGTGGTGCAACCGTACCACTACGAACTACCACGATTATTACTATCTTGGGTCCCGCGGAATTTGATAATGAATTAATATATTAATTCGTTATCAAATATAATATTAAGTTAATCTCTATTATTAAATTCCGCGAACTACCAAAATTAAAATAATTATCCCTCCCTCATTCAATATTAGTTTCGAAACACACATATTGTATTGTATCGTATACACACCAACATGTTATCGTTTGTTGTTCATGTCGATACTAATTGAACTTAATATGGTTCAATCCCAACAACAACAACAGACAGAAAATAACGATCAGTGTAAAAAGAGATCAGCAAATCAAGAAGAACCAACCATCATCATTGACAATGATAATAACAATACACAACAACAACAACAACAACAACAAAGTAGAGATGATCTACTACCCGTTCATCAATTAAAGAAACAAAGAAATAATAATAATACTGTACACAATAATACTAATACAACTAAAAAGAGTAAATCTCAAAAGAATTCTACTACTTCTTCTTCTTCATTCAGTAAACACAATAATATACCAGATTACCCTGCTTCTTTTCCACCTCCACCAACTACTATAGTAGTAAATAATAATGATAATGTAAATAGAATATTAAAAGAATCAGTTATTAAAATGAATGTAAAGATTAGACAGATCAATGAAATGAGATACCGAGATCATAAAGCACCTGCTCCAATCTTAAAGTCTATAGAAGGTATTGGTAATTACCCTGGACTACAATCATCTCCACTTCCTAAATGCACAGCCAACATTGGAGAGACTCCTCTCTTTTTTCCAAACTTGTCACAATTTAATCAGTATGGCTCGGATCAATATTAATATTTCCCTAAATATTGACTAATTAATTAATATTTCTCTCTCTCTTTAAGGTTATCATTAAATACAATATCATCGCTATCAAGATACTATAACGAGAATTTTAACATTGTTGAGAGTGATACATTAGATATCCAACAAAACAAACTTTTACATTGGACTTTTAAATGTCCATAAACCAACCAACAACAAATCAAACCAAATAAAAGACAACTTAAAGGACTGTGACTAGTCTGGTCTTTTGTCTAAAGATTACGTGTGATTTATAATTAGTCGGTGTAATAATAACAAGCAAACAACAATCGATTAGTTGGAAACAGTCATTCAAATCTAACCCACCAAACTAATGCCAATATCTTTACCTTTTTTTTTTTTTTTGTCCAATACCAAGTACTTGGTACTTTTTGATTTCATACTATTGTCAGTCCCACACCACATATATCTGACATTACATTCATTACTTGTTGTACAAGGTTATTTATATCTATTGTTGAAATTTCTTTCCGGTCATTCTGTCAGACCTGCGTCATCGATCCGTTGTCCACCATTCCGAAAAAGAACATTCCGTCACTTCACCAATATTAATTTGATTTTTATTGATTTTTACAAAAGACAAGCTATTTAAATTGCAAGTTCTATTTTGTTTAAACCATCATCATCTTCATTTTACACTATTCTATACTCAGATACTCTCTACTCTACTCTACTCTACTACTTTATCTCAAAATGAATCTTCCAGAAAAATACGACGCTACCAAGACCAACATTACCAGTCAACTCTACAAGTACTTGATTGACCAATCAGTAAAGTTGGTTCCAGCCCAAAAGGAATTGGTTGAATGTATGTATTCCACATCAATATCATTTGATATGTTATGTTTTTAATCATACATCTCAAAAGACCAAAAATCACACCTATTAATTGATGGTTTGTCTCTTGTCTATTATTACTATTACTGCTACTAGTCACTCAAACTCATTCAAAGAACATGATGTATGTCCACCCTCACCAGATTAGATAGATAATCGATTGAAAAGAAATGAGGAACATTCCTTTGTTTCAATCTATTATCAGTATTCCTTTCCATTTGTCTATATATCTATATCTATCTATCTATCTATCTATCTTTCTATCTATTTGTGTTTGTGTTTTTGATAGACCATCAATTGGATTCAAGATTTTTTTTTTTTATATATCTATCATTCAAAGTACTAATATAATATATGATTGAAATAGGTTGAGTTCACTCGATCAATGTAGTTTCTTCCAATTCTTGATGAAGATTTTAAATGCCAAGACCACCATTGACGTTGGAGTCTTTACCGGTTACTCTTCATTAAGTGTTGCACTCGCTCTTCCAAAGGATGGAAAAGTATATGCTTTGGATGTTTCTACTGAGTTTACGGACCTTGCTCTTCCATACTGGGAAAAGGCTGGTGTAAGAGAAAAGATTGAATTAATGTATGTTATATAACAAAAAGAAAGATTTATAAAAGAAAAAAAAGGAAATTAACAATTTTGTTGTTATGATTATTAGTATTGCTCCAGCTGCCGAATCACTTCAAAAGTTACTTGATCAAGGAAAGGCTGGTACTATTGATTTCATCTTTATCGATGCCGACAAGCCAGGATATGATGTCTACTATGAATTGGGTCTCAAACTTATTCGTAATGGTGGTATCATTGCTTTTGATAATGTTCTTCAAGATGGTCGTGTTTTAGATGGTATGTAATCACATTAACAAAAATGATATGAAATGATTTGAACTAACTTGAATGATAATGATTTCTTTCTTTCTTTCTTTCTCTCTTTCTCTCTCTCTCTCTAGAGGAACAACTCAAGACCAATGAAAATGTTGCTGCCATCAACAAGTTGAATGCCAAACTCTTCAAAGATGATAGAGTCATCATTTCCATGCTACCTGTTGCTGATGGTCTAACTTTGGTTACCAAGAAATAAATAATCATACTAATAGTAATATTACACCACCCATTGTCCATATAATTAATTAATCACCAACATATATATATAATGTCCAAAAACCAAACTAAATAAATGGTTCCAAATATATATCAATCCAAACCAACATTGTACAATGACCAATCCAATTCTTTTAGTTTCTAATAATATTATTTTGTTGTAGTTGTTGATTTATTTTTAGTTGACAGCATCATTAAAAGTTTCTAAAATATGTTTACCAATATCTTTGATATCATTTAAACCTGTTAAAATTGCGTCTTGTGCTGATGTTTCTCCTATTAAAAGAAGGTGTTAGAAGAATATCTATTCTTTCTTTTAGATTGTTTGTTGATCGATGTATTTACCCTTTGTTTGAATACGTAAATTGAGTTTATTATCTGATGGATGTGGAATACTGTAACCTGAGAAATCAACCTTTGGACTAAAAAAGAATAAGTATGGTTTGTTAGTATTAGGTATTGGTTGGTTGTTTCAAAGCAGCTAGGGATTCCTACTTTTTCATTAAAACATAATGTAAAGAGTTACCAATAGTGTGATCTTCTTCAGTCATAATAAAAGTAGCACAATCTCTTCTTTCTGATACCTGTTTTTAGTAAGTAGTAAGTAGTGGGTGGGTAAGATATGACTGTTTGTAAGTAAACTTAATCTTTGTCTTGTTTTGAGTTGTCTCTGTGCACTTCTGTTTGATACATACAACTTCGATTTTATTGCCTCCTAAAACTGGGATATTGACTGATGCCATTGTATATGTATGTATGTATGTATGTATGAGAATTAGTAATATATATTACAGAGATAAATCGAAAGATAAATAAAACGAAAATGAAAGCGATGAAAACTAATTCTACTACGGACTCGTTTTCGTCTGATCAAATTCCTTGTCGAGTATTTTAATTAATCTTGATGACCTTTCACTAAAAAAGATAAATTGTTGTCCTTTTTCAATACATACATATATAATATACAATGTCAGACAATAATCATTCTACATCTATATCTGAAAACAATAACAGTAGCAGTAGTAGTGATAATAACAACAATGTAGATTCAATTTTAAAAGATATTATTCTTTCTTCACCAACAACAACAACAACATCAACAACATCAAACATTGATACTACTACACACATTGATGACCCAATTACAACATTATCATCACCATCATCTTCTTCTTCATCTAATCAATACAATACAACAACAACAATAGATTATAATAATAATAATAATAATAATGACAAATTACAACAACAAGAAGAACAAATAGAGAAATTAAATATAGAAGAAAGATTCAACAATTTAAGCAAAGTTGAAGTATTTCACAATGGAGATGAAGTCATCTTTATACCTAGAAACACGTTTGAGGCCAGTGCATCCGATGCAAAGTTTCAACTATCACGTAACGATATGATCACCAAAGGTGAATCATTTGCCTTTTTAACAGAGTTGCCAAGCAACCTATCATGTACACCATTTTTAAAATCATTCTTTTCTTGTTATAGTATGTAAACATGATGAATAAAAGATAAACAATATTATTGGATTAATAATACTAATACAACAACAATCGAATCGATACCCTATCAATGTTTTAGCACCAGTTGGATTTTTACGTAATTACTATCGATATGGAGGCAATCATTGTGATGCAGAGGCACAAAACTTTAGAGATTGTACATTATTATCAATGACATTTCCAAACAATAGACCCCAGAAATTTGAAAAGATACTCAAAGAGAGAGAAGATATAGCCGATAAATTCTATCAGGATCATGTTTGGAAGAGAAGATCGGCCACCAACCCCAATTGGAAATCATTATTTTGGTTATAATGATGTTTTGGAAAATGATTTAAATAATATTAATATTACTAGTCAACAACAACAACAACAACAAACAAATACAGACTCTAATTAAATCTGGTGGTCGACCCCACAATATTAATATATGAATGATAAATATTTATTATGAGTTGGTCTGTCTGAACAACAATTTAAAGAACTTGAAAAAAAAAAGATAATAGATCGGAAAAATATCAAACTCTAGGTATCGATGTTCGAAACCACGTAGTCTATGGACAAACCCTAGAGTCTGATATTTCCATACTTATTTACTTTTTATACCAATTTGACAACTACTCATTAATGCGTTGGTCGTGCAATCAATTTAAGGATGTACCAACAACCCTTCATGTGTTTGGTTTAAATCAGGTATACATTGCTATCGACATATCAAATGGAGATGTCCTTGCTAATAATTCAATACCTTTGGCCTCTGACATGGAATTGAGTGCTCTTATTCTACCATCAATCGTGGTGATAACTTTTTGTTCTTTGGAGGTATTACTACTGATCAAGGTCGATCATTTACTCCAACCATTTTGTCATATAATGCTCGGGTATGTTATCTTTTCCATTTATTCTCTTTATCATTTCTTTTTAATGAATATCTTATTTAATTAAATTTAATTAATTAAATTCATTAAATAGTAACCATAAAGATAATATTTTATTTGAACAGTCTTTAAAAGAAATTGAGATTTAGCTCAGAACCTATGAATGAGTGAGCAATATCATGAATTCCTACCTAGACCATCACATTCAAGTAATCACCAATAAATTAACCTTTATAGTCACTATGGTTTATCTACTATATTCCACCATCCGTACCCTCGATTTAGCTCATACCAGTCCATTAAATCAATCATGGTCAATAATTCCTTCTGTTTTCAAAGACTCTCCACCCACCGTCTGATTTGAGGTTGGCTGTTTTATCACAAAATAAATTTTGTATTCAATTCCATGGCTTTTCAGTGAAACCTCTAACCCAAGCCATCCAACAAAAAAAAAAAAAAAGAATTTACACGGGGAAAGATCTGCCGAGAGAGACAGCAATAAAAGGAGGCGCTTTACATTCATTCAATTCAGTTTATTCCACAAATAATATATATATAATACAATCATGTCTGACAACGTTCAAGTATGTAAACTCATAAATAAATAAAATATAATCCATCTATTATCTATTTCTCAGGCGAATAAATATCTTTTTCTCAACTCTACTTAGGCTTTAGTTATCGATAACGGTTCTGGTATGTGCAAGGCCGGTTTTGCTGGTGATGATGCACCACGTGCTGTCTTCCCATCCATCGTCGGTCGTCCAAGACACACTGGTGTCATGGTCGGTATGGGTCAAAAGGATTCATACGTTGGTGATGAAGCCCAATCCAAGAGAGGTATCCTCACCTTGAAGTACCCAATTGAACACGGTATCGTTACCAACTGGGATGATATGGAGAAGATCTGGCATCCTACCTTCTACAATGAACTCCGTGTTGCTCCAGAGGAACACCCAGTTCTCCTCACTGAAGCCCCACTCAACCCAAAGGCCAACCGTGAAAAGATGACACAAATCATGTTCGAAACCTTCTACACCCCAGGCATGTACGTTGCCATTCAAGCTGTATTGTCACTCTATGCCTCTGGTCGTACCACCGGTATTGTCATGGACTCTGGTGATGGTGTCTCCCACACTGTTCCAATCTATGAAGGTTATGCTCTCCCACATGCTATCCTCCGTCTCGATCTTGCTGGTCGTGATCTTACTGACTACCTCATGAAGATCCTCACCGAACGTGGTTACTCTTTCACCACCACTGCCGAACGTGAAATCGTCCGTGATATCAAGGAAAAGCTCGCCTACGTTGCTCTTGATTTCGAATCAGAAATGCAAACTGCTGCCACCTCTTCACAACTCGAAAAGTCATACGAATTACCAGACGGTCAAGTCATTACCATTGGTAACGAACGTTTCCGTTGTCCAGAAGCCCTCTTCCAACCATCCTTCCTCGGTATGGAATCTGCTGGTATCCACGAAACCACCTACAACTCGATCATGAAGTGTGATGTTGATATCCGTAAGGATCTCTACGGTAACGTCGTCCTCTCTGGTGGAACTACCATGTTCCCAGGTATTGCTGACCGTATGAACAAGGAACTCACTGCCCTTGCTCCATCAACCATGAAGATCAAGATCATCGCCCCACCAGAGCGTAAGTACTCTGTCTGGATCGGTGGTTCCATCCTTGCCTCCCTCTCCACTTTCCAACAAATGTGGATCTCCAAGGAGGAATACGACGAGTCTGGTCCATCCATCGTCCACAGAAAGTGTTTCTAAGCATTTTAACCCAAACCCAAACTCATTTAATTTATATATGTTGTAAAATAATAATAAACTCACAATAAGAACCATACTAGCTGACGAGTAGATTTTATCCTCGTTTGTTAGATTTGTTCAAAATTAAAAAACCCCCAAAAAAATCAATATACATAGTAATTTTGTTTTTTTTTTTCTCTTCTAGATTCATTCTCCATCCATCTCTGCTCGCTGTCTCAATCCGTTCCTATCTGTCTCTTCTCTATCATCGATCATTTAAATATTACAGAAATAAAAGATCGTTATTATTTTCAAGAATACTCACAAACTTCCTCGATAAAAAATAAATTCTCCAAGCCAATCGAATTTGTTCCAATTGGAATTTCATCCAAAAACATGGTTTAGTTCATTTTTAGAAGCAAAACGTGCCAACGAACAATTATTGTGGTGTTTGAGAAGAATGCTCTTCTTTTTTTAATTTTTAAAAAATCGATCTGCAAAAAAAACCACATCCTCTCCACGATGATGTTTGGTCATAGGTCCCCACCCTGTCCACTTGTATCCCAAAAAACCATGTACTTCCCAACGAAACCCCCCTCTTTTGTTTTTGTTTTGTTTGTATCCTTGTTATTAACAAAAGAGGTATTAGAGAGTACTCTTTCTTCTTTCACTTTTAAAACTAACTATAAAGAGATAGATAGGAATGGAACCAAATAGTAATAATATTAATAATCAAACTAATACTAGTATTGATAATAGTAATAGTACCACCAATAGTAATAATAATAATAATAATAATATTGACCGTTCATTTAGTGATATAAGATCATATTGGCATTCAAAAATAATACCACAAAAGCCAGATGATCTTACTACATCATTGGCACCTTATAGAAAGGGTGGACCACGCTTTATATTAAAGGATAGTACTGTACCTGTCAAACCACCTCCACCTACAGATTACCCATCTGCTTTCTATAGTACTGTCTACAGTAGTAATAGTAATAGTAATAGTAATACTACCTCACCTTCTTCTTCTTCTTCTTCTTCTTCTAATAATAATAATAATATAAACTTGTTGGCAACACCACAAACACCAACAACAACTTCTATTCCTACTTTTCTAACTTCACCACCACAACAACAACAACAACAACAACCTCAAGTTCAACAAGACTCTACTACTAATAATAAATCATTTTATATTCCATCATCTGCAGAGTCTTTAGATAATCATAATAATACTACACAACATTCATTCTATCATCCATCATCATCATCATCTGTTTCTTCATCTATTGCACCATCAGCATCATCAACCACTTATACAATGTCATACAATCATACATTTAGCGATGTTTATTCAACAACGTCACCAACATCATCTTCATACATTGGAGGCAACGTACACAATATTGCAGCATCTGATGAATATTTTGGAGACAATATCTACACTGTAAATAATAAATACACAGCATCGAATAGTTATGGAGCCTATAGTTCAGGTTCATCAAACTCTTCCTATGATGCCAACCAAGTAAACTACCAAAATGAAAACCGTACTCAAGACCTTGGTTATTACGATGACTATGATGAACAACATTTATTCAATGTTTCTGCATTGGGTGATTCAACAAATGAATCTGAATATATTAGTATGTCATTAACAAAACAAACCAAATAATGAATGATCATCATAGACCAAAAGTTAACTAATCATTTCTTATTCTATCTAGATCGTAATTGGAATGATATATTCCAAACATTATTAGATTTACCATGTTCAGAAAAGAAATACAAATCATTGTCAAATATAGCAAGTGATTTTGTATATTGTGCAGATACATTTGGTAAAATCATCATCTCTGAATTACATCTTCCAATTGAATCAAAATCAATTAAACCATTAGATCTTGGAGGTGTAGGTGGTGGCCTTAAATATATTGTTTCAGTATGAAATTAAATTTAATATCTATTTATATTTAATATTTAATATTTATATTTATTAATTTTATTTCTCTTTTTTTTTTAGGATATAATATTTAAATTTGTAGTAGATACAGAATTATTACCAGGATTATGGATGTATGGACATGTAAAGAGATCAGATGAAAAGGCACAAAAATCTGCTAGTTTGGAGATCAAGGGTATTAATTTCTTGATGGAGAATGCAAGTGAATTGTTACGTTTTCCATTGATGGCTATCATTGATTATAGAGGTTACAGATTGTTGGCCATTGCACGTTTACCAATCAACAAGAATACAATTGTCTATGGATCACATGATGGCGGTGCTACTGTTCATGACAAGGATCCAGAGGTATCCAAAGAGATGGAACGTATTGCCAAGATTTTAAATCTTCGTGGACACAAGGTTGGTCGTCAAGGAGTCCACTTGTATGGTCCAGGTGATATTGAAATTCACAAGGGGTCAGATGGACGTTACTATATGATTGACTTTGCAAGATTGTTTGCCCCCGAGTTTAGTCCTATATTCAATGGTAAAAAGGAAGTTGGTAGAGAGATATTCTATGCAATGCTTAGACCAGAGTTGGTGGCCAAGTCTCCCAAACCACTTTCTTCAGATGCCTTTTCGGGATGGCAAACAAATGACCCAGAGGATGAGAGTATCAACCAAGATGTCATTGCCATCAGCGAGCATCTACACAAGGTTATCATCCCAGAGACCATCGCCATCATTGACACGAGTCTAAAGGTTGACGAAGCAATCGAACAAGATGCATTCAAGGTGCCCGATGACGGAGGTTGGAATTCCAAACCATTGGGTAAAGATGAACGTGTCACTTTGGATGATGAAGAATTGGCAAACTCTACTGCTTCATTGGATATTGGAAGTGAATGGACTGATACTAATCAACAAGAACGAGGTCAAAATACAGTACCGACACAAAAGACATCATCATCTTCATCAACATCAACATCAAGTCAAACACATGAAATTGAATTTGTAATTAATAGTTTAGGTTATACAAAGAATTCACCAGAACGTGATTATCGTCAACGTTCCAATGAAATCATCAAGCTTATCAACTTTATTCACTCACGTGGTATTAATCTTCGTTACCTTGGAGTTATTTGTCGTGGGTTGACCAATAGAAATGTACGTAATTTGTTCATGACTGAAGTGGTTGCACGTTGTTGGAAGCGTATCATTCGTTCACGTTGTCGTCTTAAAATGGATAGTTGCAAGATGGTTTCAGAGGGTCCTTACAAGCAAATCGTCGCCGATTGTTTCAACGTCATTCTCAATACCAATAGAACCAAGAATCGCGACTTTTGGACACTCAACAAACCAGGCTATTTCAAGTATATTGCAGTCCGTCTATTCCCTAGATGTCTGTCAGATAGTGACCGTATGCCAGAAGTTGACATTAGATCATTGATTGACTGTCGTTTGCTAGTATTACGTATCATCCAGATTCTCAATATCCGTATCAATAGTGAAGCATACAAGCAATTCCTCTCCAATCCCAACTATATCATCACATTTAACGATATTGAAGAGGTTGCATCTACTGTCAAATATCTTGGTATCGTCGACTATACCATTGGTACCGGTATGATGTATGAAACTGCCCGTATCAACAACTCGAGTCGTGTCCCACCACTTGAAGTTAACCGTTGGCTCGATCAAGCACAGGCCAAGCTACAAGCAGCTCTCCGTTCAATGCCAAAGAATCTGCGAAACATTGCTCGTCTTGCAACCAGCTACTTGTTGCGTGCCAACGTGTCGAGTGGTTACCTCGATGCCATCGAGCAACTCAAAACCGCTCTCCGTCTTTTGCGCCAGAGTGGTGGTAACGACCACGATATTATGGGTTTACGTGGCATGACACATGTCAAGTTGGCCACTTTCTACCTCTTTTATGCGCATAGTGGATCAAAGTTTATAAAGGAGCTTCGGGAAGCCAGCAATTCTCTCGAACAGTCACTCAAGCTCAACCCACTGGCACTCAGCGAGGTGGTTGTGCAGTCGCTCCCCATCTACACAGTCAACAATGCTTGCAATGCCTATATTGGAAAACCAGCACGTTCACTTTACAACGACACTAGACGTATCAATGAACTTTTCAGCATGGTCTATCTCTATGAAAAGGTCATCTCGCCATTGGATCATCCAACCCTCTATGCATATCTTCCCAAGGTGTTTGCACAGGTCAACCAAATCGTATACTTTACTCTGCCACACGCATTGTCAGGTATCATCAACTCGTCATTTGCTCCGTCCATCCTCAACGGTATCACCAACATTGACTTGCTTTCACTCAATGATATGGTCATCACTCCAACCATTGCTCGTTCAATCTTATCATTAAAGCGTTTGGAAACATTCAAATTGCAAAATGTTAAATTCCTTGATGGTGAGCAAGGTGAAACAGCAGCAGCAGCAGAACAAGTTTCAACATTTAATCAATTCTTTGGAAAATTATTGGCTGAAGGACATGGTATTACTTCTTTACATTTGGTCGATTCACCATCCATCAATGATAAGGCATTTGATGGTATTTATGAAGGATTCAATGGTGTAAAGGAAATAGAGTTTAATGGTACATCTTTGACTGATGCTACACTTGTCGCTATGGCACCCTATGCCAAGAAATTGGAAATTATATCATTGGTTGGAACTACATTTAGCGATGAAGGAGTTGCCACATTATTGGAAGCACCACGTCAAATCACTCAATTGATCATCAACACTCTGGACAAGAAGAAATCAAACATTGGAGAAAAGACAGCCAAGGCAATTGCCAAGAGTTCACTTGGTATGCGTCAAATCCAATTGAATCATGTCAATTTCAGTGCCGAAGAGATATCAGACATTATAAAGAGCGCTCAGGGTATTGAAAAGATTGATCTATCACATACAAACTCTAATCTCTTGACCATGGAAGGTTTGGAGTATCACGGCGCCGAACATCTCACCCATCTCAACCTCCACGACACTGGCGACATTGCAAATGTCGAAGATTTTGTAGAAATGTTGTGCAATATCCAGCCACGTCTAAAGTCACTCAAATTGCCACGATTCGTCTCTGAACCCTTTAACAACACGTGTGGATTGATTCAATTGGTACGCAGACTCACAGACCTTGAAGACATTCAATTCCCAGCAGGTTTCAACGTCATTGATTTCGTTCGTCAACTAGGAGAAAAATCAGAACGTGGAGACTTTGAAAGACCCCTTCACGAACTTCGGTCACTCGATGTCTCTGAATCATTCTTTGACAAGGACTCACTTCAAACGCTTATCGATCTCTCACCAAACCTTACCAACCTCGCATTGGCAGGTGGAAACTTTTGTGATAGTAACGGTAACATTATCATCCCCGATGATACATTGTTAATTCAATTTGGTCTATTATTGTTTAATCTCCACGAACTCGATTTCTCTCGTAACCAATTTGAAAGAAGAAACGTTGTATGTTTATTGTCTAGGTGTCCATCTGTACGTACAATGCATTTAAAGGACAATCCACTCATTACTCCAACTACCATTCAAGAACTTAGAAAAGATTATCCTCATATTCTATTTAATCATTAAAATAAATAAAAAATAAATAAATAAATAAATAATAAATAAATTTCTTTTGTAAAATTAATTAAAAACACATTTATATAATTGGTTGATTTATTAATTTATTTAGTTTAATTAACAGTTTCATCATTCTCTGATAACTTTAAAAACACATCTTCTAGAGTTGATTGATTAACACCCCAATGTGTAATATGATATTTTTGTTTGTTTTCCAAAATGTAAGAGAATAATTGAGAGACTATAGTGTTTTTGGGTAATCTAAATGTGTAATTGCCAATAAATCTTTCAGACAAGGTGGCAGATGGTGAGAATTGTTGGACAAAAGAGACTGCATCGACTTGGTCGACATGGTTATCGTCGATGCAAATCTTGAGAGAATAACCCTCTCCAAACTTTGATTTCAAGTGTTGAGGTGATCCAAGGGCCTTGAGTTTACCTTGAGACATGATAGCAATACGAGTGGACAAGACATCTACTTCGTCCATCATATGACTTGTCAATATGATACATCTATTGGTTGTAATATTCTTTAATGTTTGCCATAAAGCTTTTCTTGTAACAACATCAAGACCATTTGTAACTTCATCACTGATAGAATAAAATTGATAGAGAGAAAGAGAGAGAGAGAGTCAACATTATATTATTATATTTTTGATCTCTTTTTTTTTGATATTTATACATACAGAAAAACTACACGAGAATATCCAACCAATGCAATTGAAAGACTTAGTCTACGTTTCATACCACCACTTAATTCTTTTACCAAACGATCCTTTACTGGCAACAAATCAACATCGGCAAGTGTCTTTTCGACATGACTTATTTCATCTGCGATTGGTACACCCTTGAGTCTGGCATAGAATAAAAGTGTTTCAACACAGCTAAGATCCTCCCACAAGATATCAAATTGTGGACATACACCAACTATTCTGTGAACATTATCCATATCGGTTGCAATATCAAATCCACCAACTTTGGCACTACCTTTACTTGCTCTATATAAACCTGTTAGAATTGAAATGGTTGTTGATTTACCTAAAAAATATAAATAGAATAGAATGGATATTGTTAATAATCTTGAATATGAATTAAAAATAAGTATTTTCTACTATCATACCAGCTCCATTTGGACCTAATAAACCAAGACATTCATTATTATTTACAGCAATTGTTAAATTATCTAAAGCTGGTTTTGGTCTACCATCGTATTGTTTTGTTAAACCTTGGATGACGATTGGAGTATTGTTGCTGAATTGATGAGATTCGACTCTTTGTCTTTCCTCGGCAACGTCATTGTCTTCTGGCTCCTCTTCGACTTCGTCGCCATCAAGGTTGAGCTTATTTTTGTTCTTGGGATCGTTGATAAGGTAGGTTTGGTCGTCGTCGTCTTGGGTGGTAGGAGTTTTACCCGCAAGGGAACGAACAAGGTTGATGATGGGGTCAAAGATAAAGGTAGGTTTCTTTGGCACACCAAACTCTCTTGGCAAGACTTGGTCGAGGTAAAGAGCTAGTAAAAGGTAAAATACAGTGTCAATGTAGAGCCACATGATAATACGAGATGGTTCAAACGACCAGTCATAGGTTGACCAATTGGGACATTGCTCGATACCACACAGTGTCGATACAAGTGCCATACCACGGTTAAATGCAAATGGTGGGTACCAATAGTATGGAGCAGGTGGTGCAGAGTTTTCAAAAAACTGTACACCAAGCACAATATTGACAATGACACCAATAATCACCAAAAAGTAGCATGTGACAGTGGCCACTCTAGTGGTTTTAAAGATGGTCGATAGGAAAAAGGAAAAGGTAATCATTGCATTACCCCAACCAAACAATAAAAGTGCCATAGCAAAGGGTGATCCCTGTGTAAAGACTGAGAATTTAAAGATCACACTAATACCAACCACTACAATGACAGCAATTGTGTAAAGCATCAAATTGAATAGATAAGTGACAATCCAATAGTTACGCATTTTGAGACCGGCCATCAAACACATGTCTCTCAACTTTTCTTGTTTCTCCAATACAATCGAATATACAAATAATGGCAAAAGGAATGATAATGCAAATGGATAAAACAATCCACCAAGTAAACTTCCAACATCGATTTTTGGTTGTTGTTGTAGATATGGGAATTCACTCAAATTTGAATCAATTATAAAATCTGCTCCATAAACAGTTTTTACTTTTATAAAAGGAATAGAGTAATGTTAGTACTAAAGAAATCGATGTTTATAATAGTTGTTTGTTTCGACATACAGAAAGCAGTTTGAATTAAATTCATTGTGAAAATGTAAAGTGCAGGATCTGATACATTGAACCATTGAAAGAGTGGTTGAGTATCGACGGCCATTTGATAGTTGATAACTGGTGTTTGAGATTGTGAGAATGTTGGATTATAATCATTGAATAGAATGGAAGAGAATGGCATAATGAAACGATCTTTAATCTTAAACGAAGATCTTCTCTCTGACGCCAATTTGGTTTTAATTTCACTAATAGCCGACATCATTGATTCTTCAGAATCATAACCAACTGCATATGGCAAGTATATATCTTGTTCACCACTACTACTACTACTGCTACTATTACTACTACCACTACCAGATGAGACAGATCCACTATTAGTAGTTCCATTGTTTGTATTGTTTGATGGTATTGGTATACCAAATTGAGGCATATTACCCAATAGACCAGATCCACCTCCACTCTCTGATAGACTTCCAATACCATTCAATCCGTTTGGATTAGCATCGACAAAGTAACCAGGTACGACGACATCGACTAGAACAGGAGGGATAAGTGTTGATTCTATCTGGTCTATTTGATGTCTAATAAATATTTGAATGACCGACAAGATAGCAACCAATACCAAAGGGATTGCTATCTGTAAACATAATGCACATTTCTGTCTCTTTAAAAATGTTGCACTTTTTAAAAACTAGATAGATTAGAGAGAGAGAAAAAGTAAGTATATACATTGTGTTAGACAACAATTGTCAATGGAGGAATGAAACAATTGAAATATAGAACATACAGTAGCTCTAAATTGATTAGAAGGATTGCTCATCTTTCTTTCTTTCTTGTTGTGTTGTTTTACAAACAAACAAACAAACAAACGCACCACAAACTAAACTACTATTCTATATTTTATAACACTATAGATAATTATAGAAGTAAAAGAAAGATGTTTGATAGAAAGAAATACAAAAGCTCAAAAAAGCAAGAATGTTAATTAGGTTGTGCGAAAGGGGAGAGGAACTTTTTTGGGGCTCTTTCGGCATTTAAATATCCCAATGGGAATGACAACAACTCATTTCGATTCGTCACTCTTTCTTTATTAGTATATATTTTAGGGATTAGTGAATATAGCATCATCATCGTCATCACTTTGTGGTAGTACCAATCATCATCATCATAATACACACTAGAAGTTGTACGAGTAGGTGGTAGTAATAGTAGTAGTTAGTTTAAACTTAACTTAACTTGTTCAGATAGATAGATAGATATTAGTTAGTTAGTTGCCTTTGCCTTTGATTCAAAAGGGGGAAGATTAATCAACAAACAAAAGAGATGCCATTACAAAGAGAATTATTACAAACAAAGTTACTTTTAAAGAAGAACTTGTTGGTTTCTATTAGATCATGGGTATCTACATTGGTTGAAATCCTATCACCTGCATTCTTTATATTGATTCTATTAATCATTTCAAAATCACCTTCACCTATGAGTTGTATGTATCAATCTAGTAGAAGTAGTTAGTAGTAGTATTAAACTCTTTTAAATATTAATATTCTTATTGATTTTGTTTTTTTTAGCATTACAAAGACCAGCAATCAATTATGATTCAAATATACCAATTTGTACACCATATGTTCAAGATAATTGTGTGACATTATTGTATTCACCATCCAATTCGACACTTGTCAATGAATTGATGCAATTGTTGGCAGAGATTAATTCACCTCAACTCAATATCTCTACCAATATCAATCAGACTGGTGCTGTTGTGCCAATGTACTCGGTCGATGATATGAATGATTTCATCGCAAACAATCCAAATGTGACAATGGCTGCAGTCGAGTTTCAAAGCTTTCCAGAGAATTTCACCGACACTCATCACAACGATCCAATCTTGCACAAATTCAGCAACTTGATCATGTACAATGTTCTTTGGAATGCTACATGTCCCAATTTCATCAATCCAAAGACATGCATAGACTATGCCGTACCAGTCAACGCTGCCATTCACAAGGCTATTCACACATACCAAGCTCGTCGTAAACTAGGTGTTCTCATCCTCGGCGGTGGTGGTGGTGGTGGTGCACCCCTACCAAACGATTCAACCATTCCAAGTATCACATTTAGTACATCAACATTCCCATTGTATGACGCATCTTTGAATGCAGTTGGAACGTATGGATGTCTCTTTTTCTATTGTGGATCGATGATTTCATTCATCTTTTTAATGTACAAGGTGTCATTTGAAAAGGAGAAGCATCTCAAACAAGGTATGATCATGATGGGTCTCAACGGATCGGTCTATTTTGTCAGTTGGTTTATCACATGTCTAGTCATCAATGTCTTGTTGACGCTGATCACTATTGGTGTTGGTGCAGCATGCCAATTCTCATTCTTTTTGAGTACCAACTTTTTCGTCAACTTTTTGACATTCTTCCTCTACATTTTGTGTATGACGCAGGTGGCCTTTTTCATCCTCACCTTTATCCAGAGTACCAAGGCCGCCATTGGTATTGGTATGACTATCTTTATCGTCGGTAGTATCATCCAGCTCATCTTTAGTCTCATGTCCACCTTTTTGTTCCAGATCCTCTACGAGACTGACAACACCTCGTCTCTGACAGCCCGTGTCATTCTCTATGTCTTGCCAATGTACCACTTTTCAAAGATTGTCACCGATATTAACCAAGTCACACTTCTCAGCAAGTTTACCGGTGTCCGTTTCGACTGGTCCAATCTCTACGCCAACCTCAACTCACCCACTGCCACCAATGTCAATATCCCATCCACCTATGAGTCACTCGTCAACCTTTTGATCCTATCGATTGGTTACACAGTCCTCGCTTGGTACTTTGAACATATTGTCCCTGGTAATGACGGTACCTCTCAACCACCCTGGTTCTTCCTCTTACCAAGTTATTGGGGTATCTCTAAAAAGACTCCCAAATTTGTTGAACCTCCACACTTTGATCAAGATATTCTTGATGAAATTGAAAAAGCAAATGATCCAAATAGTATGTTTAAAAATTGATATTAATATTTATATTTATTAATTATTATCTTTTTATTTTATTTAATTTTAGATCAAGCACCAGTTATTATTAGAGGATTATCAAAAACCTATCATAATATGTTTAATAGTAAAAAAGATGTAAAAGCAGTTAGATATCTTAGTTTATCGATTGAAAAGGGAAGTGTTTTATGTTTGTTGGGTCACAATGGTTCAGGCAAGTCTACCACGATTGGCATGTTGACAGGTTTGATTAGTCCATCATCTGGAGATGCAATGATTTTTGGAAAGAGTGTCATTAGTGAAATCGATCAAGTTAGAAAACAAACCAGTGTATGTCCACAACACGATATTCTTTGGAATCAAATGTCGGCCTATGAACATTTAGAATTGTTTGCTGAACTCAAGGGTATCGACAAATCACTTAGAAAACAATGTATTGATGACGCTCTAGAAAGTGTACGTCTTACAAGAGTCGCTAAAAATCAAATCACCTCTTATTCTGGTGGTATGAAGAGACGTCTAAGTATTGCTATAGCTACAATTGGTGATCCAAATATTATTTTCTTGTAAATATTAAAACAAACAAACAAAAAAAAAAGATAATTCTAATATTTGTTTTTTTTTTTTTCACTTTTAGTGATGAACCAACAGGATCTTTAGATGTTGCATCGCGTAGACATATTTGGAATTTAATCAAAGAAATTAAAAAGGATAAAGTTATCATTTTAACAACACATTTGATGGACGAGGCAGATATGCTTTCAGATAGAATCATTATCCTTAACCATGGAGTGATGGCATGTAATGGTAATTCTCTTCAACTCAAACATAAATATGGAAATGGTTATTCTGTCAATATCATTGCTAAATCTCAAGATCATATTCCTGAAATTAAATCATTTATGAATAATATTTTACCAAGTATGTCCGGAAAAGAAAAAGAAAAAGAAAAAACAAAAACAAAAACAACCAATCAATCAATAACTTAATTATACTATTTATTTATATTAATATTTAATTTTTTTATTTTGATTTAATAGATAGTAAACTTATAATGGAATCTGCAGATTACTTAAACTTTGGAATTCCATTAAATACTGATGAAACAATCCTTCAAAAATTCTTCAAGACTCTTGAGGAATTATCAACACAGGAAAATAATCCAATTAGAGATTTTGCAGTATCCCAAGCTTCAATTGATGATGTATTTTTAAATGTAACCAAACTTAAACATGAATAAATTAATTCTAATAGAATAGAATACAATATTAAATCTTCCAGAAGAAAAAGACATTCTTTTTTTGAAAAAAAAAAAACAAGTAAAAAAAGGTTTCACGAAACGCAAAAACTTTAATTATTATCTATTTTTGAAAAGTGTACAGATAGATCGAAATAGATAGATTGAGAAATATATATATATATAGAAAGAGGAGATATGTATTCAACAGATAAAGGAGCAAAGATTGAAGATGCAACACAAAAACCACAAGAATTTCCTATAGTATGCGCTAGTTGTTTTGGTGATAGTCCTTATATGACAATGGTATGTTCACTACACGAAAAGATACTTGTATCATTCAATACTAATATTAGTCTGATTGACTAATATATCATTCTACACATTTTAGAATAAAGCAGAACTTGATAGAGAATGTAAAATATGTACAAAACCATTCACAGTGTTTAAATGGCGAGCAGGTAGAGAGGGTAGAATGAGAAAGACAGAGATTTGCAAGACATGTGCATTGGTAAAGAATGTGTGTCAGGTTTGTATACATGATTTAGAGTTTGGTTTACCGGTGCAGGTACGTGACGCTGTCATGTCGTTGCAGACTGATAAGGCACCAGTGTCAGACATTAGCCAATCCTTACAGAATCAAGCCAACGAACGACTCATAGAGAGTGGACAAGTCAACATCCACGAAAACTTCCAACCAAGCGAGATTGTTGCTAGGTTGGCACGAACTACCCCCTATCACAAGCGTACAGCTGCCAATGTATGCTCATACTTTTTGCGTGGCGATTGTAATAGAGGTACAACCTGCTCATTCAAACATATATCGGCCGAGGACCTCAAACAAGAGCAACCGGGTGCAGGCGGCATCTTTGATACAGACAACGGCGGCGGTGCTTTGAATGGCGACGGTACTAGAACAAAGACTGCACCTCGTCCACCAGCTGACAGATCAATATCTACACTCTTTCTTGCAAATGTCGATCCCGACCAAGTCACAGAGTCGGATCTTCGATCCTCATTCCTTTCATTTGGCAACATTCGTTCCATCAAACTCTTGCACGACAAGAAATGCGCATTTGTAGTGTTTGAGAAACGTGATGCTGCTGAATCGGCAGTACAACAACTCTTTGGCAACCTTCAATTTGGAGATTGTTCAATTAAAATTAATTGGTGTAAACCTCAAAAACCAACAAATAACAAACAACCAAGGAATAACAAACAACAAAAAACAAATGAGAATGGAGAACAACAAGAAACAATAGAAGGAAATGAATCAACTAGCAAACAACTAGAAATAGAACAACCACAAGTCAAACCAGTAGCAATTAAAACTTTACCAACATTTAAAATTAATCCATCCCCTACTTTAAATAATAATAATAATAATGATAATAATAATAATAATAATAAATATTCTGCCATGGATCCAAGTACCTATGGTGGAAAATACTAAATATTATATAATATCATAATATACAATGTACAAGAGGAAGAAGATCTTAATGATTGAGGATTGATTTATTTTCCACATCTTTTTTCAATCATTCCATATTGCCTCAAAAAATTAATATATCTATCTAAATGGAATTGATAATAATTATCAATTTTACTAAATTAAACAGAAACAATTAATTAAAAGGTTCAATTTTCAATTTGATGGATATAAACATACATAAATTCGGTAAGTTTAATATGCCATGGTAAAAATCCACTAAATATATTCTGATTACTAAAATCGATTGCCACTTGGGGTTCATAATCTTCTCCTCCCATATATCCTATTAGAAAATAAAAAAAATAATGGTTAAATATTATAATGTATACAAATTATATATAGTTTTCATATGAACCTACTTGGAAGATTAGATTGAATATAATTGTCATCCAAAGCTTTTGTCGAGTTGTTTAATTTACTTTCACGAGCAAATTTTTTAGTAATGTCGACCAAGTTTAATTTTCCATCTTCTACTGATACTATTCCAATCTTTATAAAATAATGTTTAATTCCTCCAATATTATTTAAATTAATCAATTTATCAATATTACTATTATTATTATTATTATTATTATTATTTAACCAATCAATATGAATAATATTATTCTTTGATCCTCCATATAATGTATCATAACACATCTTTTCATCAATGATGGTTTGTAAAGTATCAATATTCTTTTTAAGTAACCCTAAATAAATAAATAAATTAATACCAATGAATCAATTGGGTGTTACCAATGTACATTGTCATCTTACCAGTTGGATCGAATATAGTTAATCTTGATATCTTTGAAAATATTGACCACAAGATAATATCACACAATTTTAAAGAACATCGATTAAATAATTCGGTTTGTGTCTTATTGTTATTGTTATTGTGATTGCTATTATTATTGTCGTCTATGATTGTATCCTCAGAGAGGATGACAGCCATATGTGAAGGTACAGAGTTTTGTTTTAAAATGTCTTTAGATTCTAATTTAGAATCAATGTAGTTTGGGATAGTATGTGGTTGATATTGTGTACAATCAACTGCATATTTAACCAATTCTTTATCTACTATTGTAGTTGATGTATTATTATTATTATTATTGCTATTATTAGTAGTATTTTTGTTTGTGTTTGATCTGTTTACTGTTGTAGTTGTAGTTGTTGTTGTTGTCGTAGTAGAGGTAGTATTAATGAGATTGAATAGAGAAGCGGGTACAATTGTAGATGTATTTAACAAGAATAGATGCATAAAGTGATAAAAGATGCATCCTATTCGATCTATTAATAGATGATAGTAGTGTATTGACAGAGTACACAATCTTATCGAATAAAATATCATTCTATAAATACAATAATATACTCCATTCTTCATCTTGTTCATCTTTTCTCTAAACAAACTATATATAGTACTGTACTGTATATTTACAACTATCTATCTATCTATCTATCTATCTATCTATCTTTGTCTGTCCTCTTTGATAGTTGATGGTGGTTCTAGAGCTAGAAAAGTATACTTTTCTCTGACCAAGAGGAAAGTGACTCATCCGCATCGACATTCTTTCAACAATTCGGTCGAGTGTTGGGGGTGTGGTTATTTTCCGAAGTTCAAGGGAGATAATAAAAAAAAAAGTCTCGATGTATATAAAAAACCACTGAAATCAATCAACAGACAAAAATAAAAATAAGAAGCCAATTTTTATTAAACCTGTAAAATAGCCAGATTGTATAGATTTAAATTAAATTTCCATACTCTCTCGACTCACACATGAGCGAGTAAATTTACCCTAACAAACATCTTGAATAAAAAAATTATCAGAATCAATCTCATCACTCTACTCTTTTTAATTTATTTTTTTGAAAATTAGTAACCTTTGGCACTTCTGCAATTTGTCAATCTCAATCTTGATTCTTAATCATACATATTATACAACCAACCAACACAGTGCACTATAGGATCCTCGAGTAGCAACTAGCAGTAGCAGTAGCAACAACAACTCACAAAGTAGAAAATAAGGCAGCTACCTCATCATCGACCGTCGAAGACAGCAGCAGCAGAAGAAGAAGAAGAAGGATCAGTACCAACAACATCGATTGATAACAACACAACAACAACAACAATAACAACAACCAATCAACGAAACAGCAACAAGATTAGACAAAGACAACTTCCAACCACTACTATTACTTGATCAAGTTCACCAACTATATATAAGATCTTTATCTTGACCCCCCTTTACAATATTGTATTATTATTATTAAATATTTTTAAAAGTAGCTACTTTAACAACAAATAGAATTTAGTTGGAATAATGAATAGTTATGAAGACCAACTGATAAAAGATATCATTCAAAATCAATTTACAGAGGTGATCCAGTTGACTCCAAAGACTATCTTTTTGTCTTATAATGGAGTGTTGACTATCACCTACAAGGCGTGGACAAATGGAGTGACCAAATTAAAGGACGAGTTGAATCAATCGTCTCTTTTGGCAGAGGAGAATATGGGTACCAAGTGGCCAAAAACAACGATTGCATGTCTAAAGGATAATGTCAATCTCACATACTCTCAATACTTGCAGCTGTCCAACCGAGTTGAGCAACTGTCCAACCAATTCTTTGCAAACAATGATTTGAAAACTATTGATATGTCCAACTTGTCATTGGTTTCATTTCATAATCGAGCTCTCATATCACCATACCACTCTATCACTCAGTTTAATTGTATCAACAAATTAGATTATCAACAAAGTGGTGGTGGTGGTGGCCTAGAAGGAGCAGGAAATGGTAAAAATCATTATGATTTGGATCAAGACAATGTAACCTATGTTCAATCGGTAATCAATGAACCTGCTACTATTGGACACGAACAATACTACCAAAAGGTACAAAGTCAACATGGCGGCAATCTCCACCACCAAAGCTACTATGTCGACCCTGTAACCAGAGAGAAAACATTGGTTTGTTTCTTGAATAATAACTATAACAATGGTCTATTGAATAGTATAAACATGATCCAAAAGGAATTGGAAAAGGATTTCAGAGATCTCTATTATTGGCTTCCTCTAGATACTCTTCATATTTCTATTAGATCAATTGTTTATCAAAAAAAATAATAATAATAATTTTTGTATTATGTATATATTTCATTAATATTTAATTATATAGTTTTTATTTATTTATTTCTCTATTTATTTATTTATCTATTTGTTATTTATTTATTTATTTGTTTTCTATCACAATAATTTTTACCAACTTTTAGTTACTAGTAATATTGATAGTTGATAGATGTATGTCTATATATATATATATATATATATTACACACATTTATTTATTTATTTATTCGTTCTCAGATATTTACAATGGTATTAATAATCAATGAAAATAAAAAAAACAATGTCGATTCGACCAATCCCAATCACACACCTCACTGTTTATATTTCAAAAACACAGTGTACTTTAAAGATTTAATACAACAAGCAGCATCATCATTGACAACAAAGAAAAGAGAGAGAGAGAGAAAGAGAGAGAAGTGAGCACTATTTAAACAGTAGTATTCTTTATTTATTTATATTATCTTTCTAAAGAAAGATGTCATCATTTTTTAAAAACTATAAAGACTACTTACATAATTGGTATTATAATCCATCACTTGATCAAATTTTATACTGTACACAAGATGAAAAGAATAAGGTTCAGCAAGTATTTGATCTATTCTCAACCAACAAAAACCATCATGTTAGTCAGACCATCATCCATCCAATCGAAAGTATAGAGTATCTCACTCTAAACCAAATACACCATCTCCTTACAACGTATCGTCTCAGAGTCAACTCTGATATGCTTGTTAAATGTATACGCGACTTGGAACTACACTTTATCAACACCTTTAAAGTAACCACCAAGAATAAGAAAACAAGAGCTTTGGAATTGGTATGTAACAGACATGTTATTTAATGTATATAAATATATATTTATACACCATATCCTTATACTTATACTTTTCTCTTTTCTTTTTAGGAACTATTAAATTCAATAGTTGAAATTGATGAAAAGACAATTGGATATCATAAATGTTTATATAATGTAGCTGGAAAGATTATGGATGGTAGTAAGGGTAAATATGATTTGGTGTTTATATTGGTGATGACAGAGATTGGAACAACCTATCAAAAATTATTTAAAAAGGGTGAAGATTGTAGAATCATGATCAACAAGGAAATGGATTCAATGTCAAGATCCAAACGATTCCAAGTATGCAAAGCATACACACAGCTGTGGGCTCATTTCTATACATTTGCAACACTGATTCAAGAGTTTCATTTGGCATTGGCAAGTGAGTCAAAATCACCTGAAGCAAGCAAGAATACGTTGGCATTGAAAACACTATTAAAACAACTATCAAAAATCAAGAAATACATTGCACAACAACATTCATCCACTCCATATTATCTTCGTATTCCATCAGATGATAATCCAGAACAAGTATTGATTCTAGCTGAAAAGGAATCGATCATATCTACGATGAGTGTCTCTCCAAACACATCATCATCATCATCAGCTGGTAGTGGACAATTAGCCTCAAAGATTAAATTTAATTATTCTCAATTCACACTTTACAATCAAATACATAATGACACTAAAAATCAATCAACTCATTTACACTATATAACCTCCTTTGGATCATCATCTTCCTCTTCCTCTTCCTCTTCAAATGAATTACCAATTGATATGTATATTAAAACAACCATGGCACCAATCAAAGAGATCATATCAATCTATCACTCATTTTTAAATTTTAAATCAATTAAATGCCATCAATGTAATTTTTGTCAATTATCAACTAATCATACTATTGTAAGCTAAATATAAACATACTCTAAATAATAATAATAATTACTTACTATATTCTATCCATCATAGGAATGTTCATCTTGTAATATAAATATTTGTATACTTTGTACTAGAAATGAAAAATGTATAAAATGTTATCTAACTCATGGTAAGAAATCAAACAAGTACAAAATTGTATCGTACACATTTAATATTAATTTAATTACTTTTATCTTTTTATATTTAGTACCAATAAGAATTAATGTTAGATTAGAAGGCAGAGAAAATACACCAAAATTGATTATTTTAGAAACGCCATCATATTTGGATTTTAATTCACAGATATTTGAAAAGTTTGATATTGACAAGGGAATGAGAATACAATGTAAACTACAAGACCATTCAAGGCAAGATATTCCACTCAACAGCGACATTAATTTGCATTTGGCACTTAGAACCAACACACCCATTTGTAAAATGGTCAATGTCTTTGTCATGGATCCTAGAATCAACTCTGATATTCCAACCATTGGCATGTCTGATCTCATATTCCCAGAGAATTCACATATAGCAGAGGGTGGTGGAGGAACCGTGTCAGAAGTAATTATCCCAACACTCTCTGACTATAAAGACATTCCATTGGTACTAAAGTGTTACAAACTACCAGTATTCGATCCAGAAGAATTTGATCCACGATCTAAAATCAATACCATTGCCAGATCAAAATACAAATTTAAAAGAGAGGCTGCATTATTATCAAATATCAAGAGTGATTATATCATTAAAATGATTGCTTTTGTTAGAGATGAAAACAAACCACATGAAATGGGTATCATCCTGGAAAAGGCTCCACTTGGTTCAATGGATAAAAAATATTTCTCAAGTTGGGGTATGTAGAAAAACAAACAAACAAAACAAAAAAAGATATCAACCAATTATTATTTACACCTACTATTTACTTTACATTTAGAATTAAATATTTTAATTTTATTGGATATTTGTAAATCTTTAAAAGCTGTACATTCTAATGGATACATATTCCAGGATCTAAAACCTGACAATGTATTATTGTTTACAGAATCAACGGATCCTGAAAAGATTAGATGCAAATTGAGTGATTTTGGAATTGTAACAAAAAAGAAAAAGAAACATAATCTTGGTCATACTGGTGTATCACATACCTTTTCCTATGTTGCACCAGAACACAATGCAAAAGGTAAATTTAATGAATCCATAGATATCTATGCATTTGGTTTGTTAATGTTTGAATTATTGACAACCCACCGATACCTCAATCGATTCGGTGAACCAAAATATGATTTTAAAGATGTTCAACTTCCCCTCCCTGCACTGACAATCATTAAACTATTATTAAAGACTGATGTTGAAATGCGTCTTTCAAGTATGCAAATCGTACAAGAACATTTGGAGAAATTACTTCAAACTTGTAAAACCGAAAATTGGCAACCTTTAATACATCCATCACAAATACCTCTTAGACAAAGTTATGAAGATACTTCAATCTAAATCTAAATCTAAATAAATAAATAATAAACTATAAATAATAAACTAAACTATCTATATTTATTTATAAATATAATATTAATTGTTTATTTATTTTTTATTTACTTTTTGGTAGCATTTAACTTTTCCATAACTTCGGCAGCATAGTTTTCTTCTTTCTTTTCCATACCTTCACCAACAGCATAACGAACAAATGATTTAACAGTGAGATTGGTACCTAATTGCTTGGAGTAACGGTCAACAGCTTCCTTGACAGATTCACCTTCTTCGCCAGAGATGAACTTTTGTTCGAGGAGGACGACTTCGTCATAGAGACCGTTTGGATGTCTCTTATTCTTTTTGCATTCCTCGAGCATTTCCTCTGGAACGTCTTGAATCGATACAAATGATGGTCCAACACCGACAATGTGGACAGCGATTTGATCGGCAAAGGCCTTGATGGCAGCAAGATCAATGTTGCTGTTGTTTTCGTATTCGATGCTGACCAAACTACCTAAACGACCAAACTTCTTGGTTCCATTTGGATCATGGGCATAACCGGCAATGACTGTATGTGGGTTGGTGGCTTGGATACCAGAGGCACGACGCATGATAAGGTTTTCACGCAACTTGGCAACGGTACGGACAAAGGCCTCTTGCACAGAGACGGTTTCATTGTCCAATGAGATGGTTTGACGACCGAGTTCTTCAACAGAGACATCGGCAATCTTGTCGTTATTACCCTTGAGGGCAGCGCCAGACTCGACAGTGAGCGATGAAATGTCACCAACCAATTGTCTAAAGGTTTCACCACGACTAACAAAATCAGTCTCACTGTTGACTTCGAGGATCATACCCTTGTTATTATTGACAAAGACAGAGATGACACCTTCATACGATACTCTGTTGGAAAGTTTGACAGCGGTGGCTTTACCCTTTTCGAGTAACCAAGCAATAGCCTTGTCCATATCGTTTTCACTTGCTTGCAAGGCCTTCTTGCAGTCAGTGATTGGTGCAGATGTCTTCTTTCTCAATTCTTGGATCAATGGTACTGGTACCTTGATCTCTGCTGCAGGTGAAGCTGCTGTGCTGAATGTTCTCATATATCCATTGACATTATTGTTTGTATTGACCAATGATGAAGATGTAGAGTATGTGTATACATTCTTTACATTTGAAATTCTATTTTGGTTTCCTTTATAAAGTAGAGTGTATCAGAGTGATTGGGGTTAGTTATTATTATCGATCATTGTATGTATGTATTCTCTTCTCTTTCTATTTAAAGTCATACTTAATAACAATGAGAGGGTTGATTTCATCATTTTTGTATCTCTGTGCTCTTTCTGTGAAGATTGATGATGAGAGTGTTAAATTAAACGAACGAAACGAGTAATGATAAAAAATTAATGATAAATTTCTTTTTTTTTTTTTTTTTTATTGCTATTTAGAGTAGTTTAGAGGAGAGGAGAGAAGAGTTAACTCTTAATTAATTACAAAGCTTCAAGATGATAAACTCTTCTAAAAGATTGTTAAATGTATTCACTAAAATATCAAGTAATAGTGGATATTTAAGATCATCGTCATCAACATTGATTAGAACAAAACATTCTTCATCTTCATCTTCTTCATCATCTTCGACATCATTATTTAATAAATTTAAACAACAAACTATAGAGAATCAACAACAACAACAACAAAGAACAATATTTTATAGTAGTTATATTACAAATACAACCAATTATAAACCAATCAAAAATGATGAAATCTTTAGTGAAATTCTAGAAAGTAAGAGATACGAAGAGTATGGCAACTATGAAGCATCAAGATCTATTTTGGTTAGAGCTAAAGATATGGTTGAAAAGACACTAGGAATGAAACACCCCATAACAATCAATGTACTCTTTCGTTTGATCAATGCCGAGATGGCTATCGGAGGTTTAGATGCCGCCCAAAAGCATTGTCAAACCATTTTGGATAGAATCAATGTCAACGAAGACATTGAATACTCTATTCCATCCATCTACAATCTTATCCTTTGTCATCAATATAAAGGTGATCTCGAACAGGCTGCAAAGGTTTCCGATCTACTTGTAGAAATTGCAACCAAACGAAATGACTGGGAACTATGTGTTGGATCAATCTTAAACAAGGCCATTATTCTTTCACTTGGTTGTAGGGATGTTGAAAGCAAAGAAATCTTTGATCAATGTATAGCTTTACTTCATGATAAATTGGATGCTAAAAATCATTTAAATGGTAAATGAAAAAAATTAGTAGGATAGACTGTATCAATCAATTAACAGTAATATCTTTTCTTCTAATTTAGAATCTGTTTATGGTAATTTTGCTTCATTTTTACATTCAATTGAAATAGACAAGGAAGCTGAAGCTTATTATATGATGGCCGAACAAAGTGCAAAGGATAATAACAACGATAAGGAATTGGTTAATATCTTGACCAATTATACTGAATTTTTGTACGATAGTGGACAATTTGATGAATGCGAAACAATGTTAAAGGAAGCATCGGCCAAGGCCGAACAAGTGTATGGAAGAGAGAGTCCAAAGGTTGCCAGTATCATTTTCATCATGGCTAGACTCTACAGAGCCAAGGAGAACCCAACATGGGCTGAAGGATTTTTCAACAAGTGCATTAGCATCTTTGAACACTACCGTAGTCAATCCAAACACCAATCAATGTTGACTAAAAAGGAAAATGAAGCAGTACCAAGCTTCGAACCTGGAAAAAGAGAAATTGAATTGCGAACAAACAAAGAGGTTGATATCGAATATGGAAATGTTTTATGGGAATATGCTCAAATGCTAAGAGAAAAGGGTAGACAACATGAAGCAATGAACATAGAAGAAAGAGCTCGTAGATTAAATTCTATTGACGATTAATAAAAAAATAAATCAAATAATAATAATAATACAAGCCCAACCCAAAAATATATATTTATATAAATAATGGAAACTAACTAAATAGTATAGAATTATTATTATTATTTATTCCATATTATAATCATTATTATTATTATTATTATTATTATTATAGTCATTATTAACATAACTATCTTGATGATGATAATTATTATTATTATTATTATTATTATTATTATTATTATTATTATTATTATTATTATTGTTATTATCATCCATATTGTTGTTGTTTCCATACATATCATCACTACTACCATTATTAAATTGTTGTTGCTGTTGTTGTTGTTGATGTTGTTGTTGTTGTAGTTGTTGTTCCTGTTGTAATTGTTGTTGATGGAATTGAAGTTGTTGATCATCTTGTCCTTGAAGGATATAAAAATCTTCTGGGTAAAATGCAGTTATAATGGTTCTATAATTATATCTTCTTCCTCCGATGCTCATCCATGCACGTTGAGCGCTCTCCAAACTAACAAACTTGACAAAAACCTTTACGATATCCAAAGGATTCTCTTCCTTTGGCCTTGAGATAAAAATGGATTCCACTTCTCCAAACTCCTCGCACTCTTCTTTTACATCGATCAATAAATTTTCATAATCTGAATCATCTTGAATATCTTCTCGATCTACCAAATTAAATAATTGAATCACTGTTGATGATTTTGTATTACCTAGAGACACGAAAAATACAAATATAAATATAATTATATAGTAGAAATATCTATTTCTATTTTTTTTTTTTTTTTAAACTTACTGTCGGACGGTATATTTGATCTAATTGTTCCTAATACTTGAGGAATTGATGATGCTAGATTTAACATTTGTGTAACAGATTGATCAAAAGTTGTAACCGATTTTCTATTTGAATTCATATTGGCATTATTGTTATTGTTATTATTGTTGTTGTTGTTGTTGTTGTTTGTAGATGTAGTACTTGGATCCTATAAAAAAGAAAAAGAAAGAAAGAAAGAAATTAAAAATGAGTAAAACTGATGATATGGGTCCATTCTATTCTATTTTGTTTTGTTTTTCATACCTTTGTACCAACACTAGATCTTTGTACAACTAAAGATTTTTCACCAAACTTTGTTCCATTTAAACCATTAATACAATCATTTGTTTCTTCGGTTTCGTAATATTCACAGAAGGCATAACCCTTTGAAGATCCAGTCTTTGGATCCTTGACCAAATTGAAAGCTTTGAGTCTTCCAAACGCCAACAACATTGATTTGATTTGCTCTTCGTTCAAGGTAGTTGGGATACCGCCAATAAATATTTTGTTTTCAGAGTCGGGGACGTTTGTACTGACGATAGACATGGATACTGGTGCCGATGGCATGGATGATTCGTTTGCAGGTGGTTGATAGTCGGTGGGACGACGGATCTTGAGTGAAAAGGTGAATAGAGAGATACCGTCCAATCCCATCGCGTTGGTGGCCTCTTCGGCCGAACGGAACTCGAGAAAGGCAAAGTTTTTCGCACTGTTGATCTGACAGGACAATACAACGGGTCCAGTCTTGCTAGAGAGGTGGAGGTTGGCGGCGGTGATGGCCGTGTTGAAAAAGTCGATAAGAGTGTTGTCTGTAATGTTGGGTGGGATGTTGCCGATATATAGTCTTCTGCTCTGCTTGTTTTGTTGGGTCTGTGTGTTGGCGGCGGCACCACCAGCGGTGGCCATGGCAGCGGGTGGAGGCAATATTCCTCCGGTGGCCATACCAATAAACTGTTGTTGTTGTTGCATCTGCTGGAGCATCTGTTGCTGCAATTGTAGTTGTTGTAGCTGAAGAATTTGTTGTTGCTGTTGTTGTTGGTGTTGCTGTTGTTGGTGGTTTTGTTGTTGTAAGAGTTGTTGGAACTGTGGGTGTTGTTGACCAAGCACGGCGCTTTGGAACACCTGACCAACGAGGTTTCCTTGTTGCATGTCGTTGGCATCAGGTGCTCTATCCCACATTGATGATTTTCTCGCTGCTCTCTCTACAGCTTGTGCAGATGCAGATGATGACGACATTGATGATGATGATGATGATGATGTTACATGATCGGTTGGTTTTCTTCCTGTTGGAGATCTACTTCTCTTTCTTGATTCCCTGTCACGGTCTCCTCCTCTGTCACCTCCACCTCTTCCTCCACCGCCACCACCACCTCTATCGCTTCTATCTCTGTCTCTGTCTCTATCTCTATCTCTATCTCTATCTCTATATTCTCTGTCGCGGTCTCCACGATCACCTCTCCTATCTCTGTCTCTGTCTCTGTGATCTCTGTCCCCTCTGTCTCCTCCTCTATCGCTTCTATCTCTGTCCCCTCTATCGCTTCTATCTCTATCTCCTCTATGTCTGTCCTTTGACGATGATGACGACGATGAGTAATCACCATTATTTTGAGAGTATCCGTCCATCCTTTTTTTATATATATATATATATTCTCTGTTGTTGTTGTTGTTGTTATTGTGACCCAATGATGTATATTCTATTATATTCTACTACTATATCCTTGTTGTTCAAATTGTACCACTGTTAACAGAAGAATTAGCCGTCGACGTTACGTTTCTTTCTTGAACCTCACTTTTTGCGAATAATGTATTGTCGTCGTCGGTAGGTTATAGTATATTATTGTTGTTGTTGTTGTTATGTATGTAGTATCGATCGATCTATACTATATATATATATATATTTGGGTTATGAATAAGTCGACTGCTTTTACTACTTCTCTCTCTACTTTTAAACGACCACAACATAAACTTTTGTTGTTGAAAAAGCAGCAATCGTTGTGAGAGATTTAAAAAAAAAAATTCTTCTTTTGAGCTGCGAAAAAATCGTGTGATGATCATGTGATGTGCATCAGGTTGATTGGATAGGGATGGAGGGAGGTGGATTCCGATTTATTAAATTCCAACATAAACCTCAATCAATATCTTAATAATCATCATAGTTATATATGTGCTCTAATTATTATTATTATTATTATTATTAGAAATACAACTATCTATGATGTTTTTGGTTTTCAATATGGTTGACTACTTTATTTCTTTAAACTTACTAAATCCAACCAACCATCATCTTCTTTTGCAAATCTGTCTTTGATTGTTTTGATTTGTTTTAATCTTTCTTCAAGGTTTGACATGAATTCTGTTTTACCGTCATACAACATTGAAACCAACTATAGATATTTAAAAAAAAAAAATCAAATCAAAATTGATATTAATATCTAAAATTATAGATATAATTTGAAATAATACTAATTCCTTTTGTTTTACTTACATTTGCATTGATAGCAGTTTGAATGATTAATGATGATAATGATTGTTCGGAAATGATTTGTTGGTGATGAATGGGACCAAAAATAGGGATATCCTTCTTTTTGTTGATTTCAACACGATACCAACCAATTTCCAATGGATAGACGACGATATTTACGAAATTGAATTGACCAGAGATGGAACTTTGGTTAAAGGGCAATGAGGAATCTGAAAAGATGATATTTACATAGTCATTTCCAATGTGTCGTTTCTTGTTTGTAAAGTTGGGATCCTTTTCAGAGGTTGGCATCATGGTGGTGACATGGAACACCACTTGGGTAATGACATCGTGCCAATACAATGAAAACTCACCATCGGTTCTGGTGCCACTGCGATCCAAACCTCCTGGATAGACATCGATACGATCGGCAACACGGAATCTTTCACCCATGAGATTGAGAAAGTGATGGTATCTCGGTGAACCTTTGACATTGGCCAGATACTGTTCCTCGGTCTTTTGATCAACACCAACATAGATGATACCAAACTTGTGTGTCTCTGAGCAAAAAGTATGGTCAAGTACACTTAAAGCTCTTTCAAATGAATGACCATTCTTAATCTCGGTTGTCAAGTCACCAGAGAATTGATGTAAATGATAAAATACAATGGATGGATCTAGAATTGTTGGATCATAACTAGATTCTAAGTTGTTATTATTATTATTATTGTAGTTGGGTGGAGGTGGTGGAGAGGGAGAGTGGGTTGGTGATGACATGTAGTGGTGAGATGATTGTTGTTGTTGTTGTTGTTGTTGTGGTAGGTGAGATTGTTCATTGTGAACATGGTTTGAAATAGAGTTGATCATCTTGTCATCAAATAGATTTGGGATATTAGTGTATGACAGACTGTATTGTTGTTGTGGTGTTGATGAAAGTGCCGAAGCTGAATTTGAACGTGCAAATGTAGGAGGTTCAAATTGACCATTTCCATTGTTATTTGTCAAAGTATTTGATTTGTTGTTGTTGTTGTTGTTGTTGGTTTTGTTTAGTAAATAGGATTGGTATAGAGTTGGTGTATTATTTTGTGGTCCAACCTTTAGAGGTGACAAAATATTCAATCCAGATGCCGTTGATGTAGATGTAGATGTGTTGTTGGTATTGGTGGAAACTGTGTTGTTGTTGTTGTTGTTGTTGTTGTTGTTATTATTGTTGGTTGGTGGTGGCATAACCATTGTCATTGAATTTGACAAGACTGATCCTGAGTTTGAAGAACTTGTAACCAATCCAGGAACAGATGGTAATAATGGCATTGAAGAGGTTGGATTACTTGTGGTCAGAGTATTACTATTTGATGTCTTGGATTGAACGGTTGACGATCCTTGTTGAAGTGAAAATTGATTCAAGTGTTCTGGAACTGATAACTGAGGAACCAATCTTGCTGAACCTAATATAACAGATGTACTCTTTGTCAACACTGGTGATGTTGTACGTACAATCTGAGATCCTCCTCCTAATACCTTTGTATCAGTGTTGATTGGACCTTCTTTTGGAACTAATTGAGTTGCTCCAACTGGTGAAACTGGTTTGAATGAATGTTGTTGGGGTTGTTGTGGCTGTTGAGGCTGTGGTTGTTGTGATTGAATATGCTGTTGATGATATTTTGTAAATGATAAATGATCGGTTGGTGATTGAGTAGGGGTTGGTTCAAGGATTGGAGTCGGTGAAATACTAATATCAGTGTTTGTCGGTGACGATGTTGTATTTTCAATTGTGAATGAAGTTGATTTGATCAATGCCGATCCATGTGCCTTGAATGTTGTAACCATAGTTGGTGATGTTGGATCACCCGATATCTGTTGTTTCTGTTGCTCTGCAATCTCCATTTCAATCTTGTTAAATAAACTTGATGGGACATTATTATTATTATTATTTTGTGACAACAAGATCTTGTCCTTTTCGGCTACTTGATCTTCTTCATCATCTACCTCTTGATCTGAATGGTCTTGGTCAGTATCACTGGCTTCCTCTTTTGATTGATCGATGAGTGATAGTTTGCTTTGTGGTAACTTTCCTTTTTTAGAGATGAGATAGGGTGAATCTTCAACAGACAATGAGAATATTTCATCATGTTTGATGTAGCCTGAAGAGTTTGACAATGATGACGGTGTGCTATCAGCCAAATCCAGCAGTTTTGCCTTGAAATCCTTTTTCATCAATGTATTGCCTTGTTCTCCTGCAGAGGTGGATTGGTTGACAATATCGATAGAGTCACTCTTGAATGTACTAGAATGTTGTGATGGTGGTGTGGTTGATGGAGACACTGATCCAACGTGGAGTAAAAGTTGTGCAGAGAGGTTGTTGCTCATCATGGCATCGGGCATCATGATATCACTGGTACAGCTGGCAGGATTGCTCGATGTACCACTAAAGAATGATAAAAGCTCCTCGTCGTCGTCAAATGATGGTAGCGGTGGATAAAACTTGGAAATGGCTGTGCCAACGGGTGTATTTTCTCCCGATAGAGACTTTTTATAGGGACTATCGAGGTTACTTTGCAAAAATATATTCTCTCCATCATCATTTTGATCTCTAGATGGTGGTGTAAATCTTGGCATTTTCAATTCTGTCGTAATATCATCAAAACTATTATTAAATATTAATGATCCACTACCATACCCAATACGATTGTTATCTGGATTATTATTATTAGAGTTATTATTATTACTGTTCTTTACAATTTCCATTGCAACCAATTTCCTTTCATCTTGTCGTTCTTGGTGTTGAAGTATCTCTTGATTGGTCAATAAAGGAGAGATTAATAATTTTTGGGATGATACCAAAGTAGGAAGTTGATTGTTGTCATTGTTGTTACCATCTCTTGATGATGATGAAGGAGGTAATAGTGAAAGATTGAGTGAAGTGGTAGATTCAGTCAATTTATCAACACTAACTTGTTTGGCTAAAAGATTCAATTTGTGTAATAAAATATTTGGTGATTCATAAACTTCCTCTTGGTGTTGTTGTTGTTGTTTAGGTTGGACAACTGTAGCAGGAGAAGCAACAACAGTATTCGTGGTAGTATTGGTAAGAACTGGAGGAAGAGGAGAAACTAATAATTGTGGTTGTTGTTGGGATGGAGATATTAATGTTGATAGTGGTTGTTGGGATGGTGGTTGAGATTCTGGTGTATTTGGATTTGTAATTGTTGAAGTTGAATTTGATAAAATATTTGTACCAGCACCACTTGAAATTGCAGGCATAACAGTAGCAGGTAAAGTTGGTAAATCTCTTGAACTATTACAACAATTATATTCTCCAGATACTGAAATGGGTGAAAGGGAGGGGGAGGTTGGCGATGTCAAAGGACTGAATTCCTTGCGGTAGTATGGTTCTTTGGGAAGATTCACCAGTTGGGAATCGGTCATTGGGTCCATCCCACTCGAGAATGGGTCGTATTGTTGAAGATGAGGGTTGAAATTATTTTGGAATCTCATCAACCATACAACGCAACCGGTAGCCTTTCGATGGGTGACTTCGGCCCATCCCAACTTGCCCGTTCTGATTGTGATGAGTGAAAATCCTTGAATCCAAGTTTTGGTCTGGCCATCGTGGAAAATGGGACTTGAATGTCGCATTGGATAGTGAAAGGGATCGATATTGGTGTGAATGTATCTATTCAAAAGCTCGATAGAAATTTCACTCAATAAACTATTACGATCCTTTAACTGACTGTCCAATCCCTTTATAATATTTCTAACTAGTAATATTCTAGATTGTATTGTACATGAGGTAAACCATCTTATTAAACTTTCAAATGCAACTAAAACAATTAATGATGAATACTAAAATAAATATAATAGATAATATTGTTAATAAATAAATTCGCTTTACTTTTACTTTTTTTTTCTTTTTTTTTTTTTTTTGTTACCTTTGATCTATCAAAAAATTGAATTAATAATTTAAAGATAAAAGTTAGAGATTCAAATGGTAGTTGAGATGGAAGAGATGGAATGGAAACCATGAGATTAAGATATTGTAGGATCGAATATATTGTATCTTTGTGCGTATTACTACTTGTTGAGACTTGGTGAAGAGCTTTGGTAATGTTTTGAATGTACTTTAGTGTAGTTTTAATGGGGAATTCAATAATACAACATGTCAACCCATTCAAACAAATTGCTTGGATTTTATGTTTTGATTCACTTGGAAATGACCATTTTTGACATAATCCATTGAAAAGAGTCGTAATGATTGATTGGGGTGACAACGTTGATTGATATGGAATTAAATTACATAATATTTCAAATGCCTTTATAAAATGATTATCTTTTTTAAATGATGTATCATTATTTGATGAATTCTATAAAAAAAATAAAAGAGTTTAGTATACTTATTTGTTTGTTTTGTTGTTTTTTTTTTTTTTTTCAAACATACTTGATAATCAACAATTAAAGTTCCCAAAGTTTTATCATTTAATAGTTTTGTTATAATATTTACAAAATTTGTTATTTCGTTTTCTATTCCAATCAATATATGCTTGTTGGTTAGATAATTTGATATGATATCCAAGATCATTGTTAAAAGTTCTGCATTTGTTTCTTTTGTCAATCTATCCATTAAAAGATTCCAAACTTGTGACATTGAGAAAAACCCTCCATCATGGTTGTTTTTCTTTTTTGGTACTACTTTTTGTTGGTTTGGTTGTTGACCTTGTCCAGTTGTAGTAGTAGTAGTAGCTGGTATCTGTTGCAAAGTTGGGGGTGGTTGAGTTGTTGTTGTTTGTTGAGTTTGTTGTTGCTGTTGATTATCTCCCCTTGGTGACTTTAAAATCATTGAAGATATTTCATTCATGAAATGATTATTTTGAGAACAATGTAAAAATGGACTTGAAAGATTATCAAAGGTCATTTGATACCATTTGGTGGATGATAGTCGAATGAGAGCTGTCAAAATCTCCTTTCGAATGATTTGGTTGTCATGGTTGATGTGTGACATGATGAGACCCCAAACCTCGAGTGATAGTGCCGGTTGTGACTTGGGGAACTTTTCTTCAAACACGGATACCATGCCTTGAATGCTCGTCTTTTGGACATCGACGTTGGTCTGCGCCGGCGGACCACCCTCTCGAATGGACCGATCGAGAATCAGTACAATCAAGTGGAATTGAGTGCTGTTGGAAACATGCATGGCCATTTCGACAATGATCTCGAGTCCCATCATACGCACGCTCGAGTCGCGGTCCTTGTGGATACTGCCAAGCGACGGCAGCACAATGTGGTCGATGATGTCCTCGCCATAGATAAAGTGGTGCTCGTCGTAGACCTGCTTCATGAGGGCGAGGATCTTTCGACGGATACGTGTACGCGGATCCTTGCGGAAGAAAAAATCGACAATCGTGTTGAGCTTGACCAGCCACATGGCGTGCGACGGGTGTATCTTTTGCTGGTGGTGTGTGTCGATGAGCTTGGCAATCGCTTCTTCCGACTTGTATCGGAAAAAGTGCGACGACGCTGTAAACAGCTGTGTCTTGCTGCCCTGGAACATGCGCTTGTCATTGAGCTCCTCGACGATGAGCACCGTGTCGCGAAGCACGATCATGGTGCTGCTGTCATCTCCCTTTTGCACAATAACAAATACACGCTCGATAATGAGAAAGATGAGGTCCCACTCTACATGCAACTCGCGGCCAAACTTTTTGATGAGTCGTCGAAGTGCCAGAATCACCTCAAATGCGATGATCTCTTGTTTGCCTGCCAGCGAGTTGTAGAGTGCAGGCAACACGCACGCGGGACCTATTCCCAGCGAATGTATACGTTGCGGACCCCACACAGACATGCCCAGAAAAAAGACGGCACCACGCAGCAGCGGGATGGTGGCGCGGTTGTGTGGGTCGTTGAGCAGCGTGCACAGCGCGTTGATGCCCTGGTGTCTGTACCGCTCCAGCAACTTTTGCATTGTCGTGCATGTCGGGTCGCACACCTCCTCAATGTTGACCGTGCGACACAACGAGCTGATCGCCATCGATATGCACGGTGGCGGGATGATGCGTTGGTCCAGTCTCGCGACCGTATCAAAAAACGATATGCAGTTGCGAATGATGCGGATGTTGCTCGACTGGTTCGACAGCAGACATATGCTGTTGACAATCGATGCAATGTCGCCCTCGCCGAGCTGTCTTTGTGCATTTTGGATCAGGTTCTTGATCAATATGAATAAATCGTCGACTGGACTATTGGTCAACCCCTCTTCCTCTTCAAATGAATGAATTGAATCGTGTATCAATAGTGAGTCATTATATCTTGTTGATGTTTGTAATTGAACTATTTGTTGTTGTTGAATTATTTGTGGTTGTTGTGGTTGAATTATTTGTTGTTGTTGTTGTGGTTGTGATGATGACGATGATGATTGTTGAGATGAAGTAGTACTTGCTCCAATATTATTATTATTATTATTACTATTCCCATTATTATTATTAATATTACCTGCACCAGCAGATGAAGATGAAGAAGTAGTAGTAGTGGTAGTAGTATTACTTGCATTATCGTCATCATCATTATCCCATTGTTGTATAGTTGATATCCATCTAATGAGGATATCTATAATGTTGTGTTCAAAGGGTTGTATATCTCTACCATTCTTGACCAACGATGAAAGAGCACGCACACGCAAGACAATCGGTGCCATTGAAGTGGGAGACACGATGGTGTTGTAAAACTCTCGTCGATGTGTTCCAAGACTGCTATAGTTGGCCTCGATCAGGTATATCATTGCCTGGTAGGCGACGCTCTGGCACTCGATGCTCCTATTCTCCTCGATCAAGTCTGCCACCGACGACCACACCGATTCGAGGTGGTTGTCGACACGCATGATACGCAGGCAGTCCATAATCTCGCGCAGATACTGTAGTCGCGTTGGAAGCGGGTACGAGTTGCTCTGTGCCAGCTCGACACGAAGCTTCTCGCCGAGTATTTCAATCTCCTTTTGTACGTTTGCCACAGTCATGTGACCGTGTCCGCTGTTGTGTGGTGAGTTGGTTGAAGAGTTTGTGCCGCCGCTGTCGTAGAGGTCGCCGTGATCAAATGAATCTCTGATGTTTGACAGCTGTTGTATCTGTGCCGATGTCGATGATGTCGCAGCTGCAGTGTTGAATGACGACGACGACGACGAAGACGATGAGGACGTCATTGTCGATGACGACCCAAATATATCTTTGATTCTCTTGAGTACATTCGACTTTGGTGATGATACACCACCATCAAACTTTCCACTACCTCCTCCTTTCATCTTGTTGTCTCTATTATTATTATATATATATAGCTACGACCTACAAGAAGGGAGGGAGGAAGGAACGAGACAATATCAACGTTCGTTGCCTTTGCCTTGTTTGTCTATCTATCTATCTATCTGTATGTATGTAAGTATTGTGTGTATGTGTATCCAATACTGCTATGATATGATGATGATTATTATTATTCTTCTTCTTATTATATACTACTTAATATATATATATATATATATTTATATATGTAAATATGTTGGCAATGACAAAATGAATGAATGAACAAAAGACAGATACTTGTAAAAAATGTTAAAGACAAAGATTTCAATGTTATAAAAAACAACCAAAAATGGATGAACGAATGCAAAGAAGATAATTATCTCAGTAGACCACAAAGTGTACAACTTTGTTGTTGGGATATCAGATTCATTATTCATCAATCATCATTGTACAGTTGCGAGTATATAAGATCCCGAAAAAAATTAATAACAACTAAGGAATAAATTTAATTTGGTGGACACAACTAGTGCCATCCCGCCTACATGTAAAGACAACTCCGATGATGATTGGTTGTTCATGGTCTTTATCTGTATGCCTACCTATCTCAAATAATTCTCATTTTCAATAAATTAAAAAATCATTGAGTTTTCACAACCTACCTCAAGTGATGATTATTGTTATTTATTTGCATCATATTTCATATTATTAATAATAGACTCGAGAGACTGTCTTGAATTTAGCTCATTTACAAAAATAAATAGATTTAATTTAATTAATTAAAGTTGACAAAAAAAACTAATTTTATTTTGAGTGGGGTGAACTCAACTTTTTTAATCACCTAAGTTGTTGTCACTTTCTTTATTTTTATACATATATATATATTTAACAAATACAGAAGATTAGATAGACAATGAAGATCACAATCAAGAATATCAACAAGGAAGTTTATACTTTTGATGTCACAGGTGACGAATCTGTAAGTGTTTATATAATATATAATATATAATATATACATATGTCCTATGATTCATCATCGAATGATGATGGATGACGATGATCAACTATTTTTTTTGTTGGTGGTGATGTTGTTGTTGTTGTTGTTGGTCAGCTTATGAATAACAACTGCAGAATAATATCTTATCTCCTCAGATATAAAATAAATCAATCAATCTATCTATTTATATTTATATATTAACTCTGATCATTCAAATATTTCATTTATTTATTTATTCTTATATTATTATAGGTAACAGAGTTAAAACAACTTATTCAAAATAAACATTCACACCAAGCCTCATGGCAAACACTCATCTATGGTGGAAAGGTCTTGGAGAATGATAATAAGCTTTCAACATACAATATCACCGAAAACGGTTTCCTAGTTTGTATGGTTAAAAAGGTAAAGTTTAATCTCATATAGATCTATACATATGATATTTTCTCTTCTCTCTCATTTCTTCTTTGTCTATCTTTTATCGCTATATCTCTATGTCTCTATCTCCGATCACTACTATTGTATTTCTAATTCATCATATTTTCAATTTTTTCTAACAACCATCATTTACCAATATTATTGACCATCACATTGATATATATCTAATATAATCAATATTATCTAGCCAAAAGAAGAGACTGTAGCAACCACAGCACCAGCAGTTCAACCAGCCACCACACCAGTTGCTCCAACCTCTGCTCCATCCACCACCCCAGCATCTACCTCTACCCCAACCAACACACCAGCTCCAACCCCATCCCCAGCCTCTTCGACTTCACCATCTGGAGGTAACTCTAGTTTTATCGTCGGTCCAGAATATGAAGCTGCCATCACCAATTTGATGGAAATGAGCGGTGCCAATAGAGAAATGGTCATCAGAGCTCTCAGAGCTTCTTTCAACAATGCCGAACGTGCTGCCGATATTTTATTGTCTGGTGCAATCCCAGCCGACGAAGATGAAGACGTTGCAGATGACGATGATGAAGATGTTGATGCTCACCAAGGTATTTATCACAAAATTTTTATTATTATTATTATTATATAGAACCTCCATTAGGATAAGGTTAAAAAAAACAGATAGATAGATAGATATATGGATTGATAGGAGGAGGAGAGGAGAAAGATCGAATGAACAATGGACTATAGAGACGGTGTGATGATAGGCGAACAAGGAGGATGATGATGACGGATATATTAGTTTAATGTGTTTAATGCATTCTCTAATTATCTTATCGCTTTTTTCTTTTCTCTTTTTTCTTTTTTTTTTCTTTTTTCTTTTTTATTTTACCCAATCGTCGATCTACCACAATCAAAATCTACCTGGCCATCGATCATCTATCTCATTATTCCTACTACTACTACTACCATCTCTCTCTGTCAAACCAAATCCTGGATGGAATCTTTTCGATTTTTTTTCGATTCACTTATACTACCTTTTTAATATACGGATTACGAATTTGATGACGATCAAATGATGGATGATCCATTAGCTACAGGTGATCAACCAAACCCATTCGAAGCACTTAGAAACCACCCACAATTTGCTGTTCTCCGTGAAGCCATTCAAAGAGTAAATTTAAATCACACAACAATAATAATAGAAACTATTATGAATATCCATTATTTACCATTCATTCTTTATTATTATTAGAATCCACAAGTCATTACCGAATTATTGCAACAATATAGTCAATCCAATCCACAACTCGTTAGACAAATTACCGAAAATCCACAAGAATTCCTTCGTTTATTCCAAGACCAACAAGGTGCTCCACAACCAAATCAAGTTGCCATTCAAGTTACTCCAGAAGAAAGAGCTGCCATTGAAAGAGTATGTTAAATGAGAAGAGAATACATACAAATGAATGATACTAAACACTTTTTATATTTATATATTTAGCTCATACAATTAACTGGAATGGATAAGCATGAAGTTATTGAAGCCTATTTCGCATGTGACAAGAACGAGGAATTAACAGCTTCCTATCTTTTTGAACGTGCTGACGAAGACGATTAAAATATTAATCAAATAGATCTAAAAATATATTATATCTATAATAATAATAATAATAACAAACCAAATCATCACAATAATAATCCCCCTCCTCTCTCTCTCTTTTAAAAAAAAAAACATTTTGTTTTACAAACTAGTTTTTCTTTTCCTTCTTATTTGATCTATCAAAAAATATATAAACATAAAATAGAATGTATCATTAGAATCGAATTATTAGTTGTAGAATGAATAGATAAAAACTTTGATTTCATCTTTTGTTATTTATTCTTTTTATCTTCTTGACTCTTATTATTAGACTTTTTATCTCTATTTGATTTTGTTAATTGTTTCTTTACATCATAATTTAATTGTTCTAGTTGGAAATATTCTTTAACAACTTGGCTTGTAATTTCCAAAATATTTGGTTTAAAGTTGGTTAATGCAGTATTTTCTATTGTCGGATCGAATGCAAGTCTATGCTCATTGTCTCGATGAGGAAGTCTCATTATCTCTTTTCCATTTTTAAATAGGATCAATGTTGGTATTGTCTTGGTTTGTGCAGAATCATCGATACGGAATTGATGTACCAATGGTTTCCATCGACCAATATCAATCTTTCCGAAATGTATGTTTGTATAGTCGGTAGATAGTTGTGAGAATATAGGTGCCAGATAGGTACAAGGTGGAGACCATAATGCATAAAGTTGTATCAACCAATAATCATCAACCTCTTTCTTTCTACTCGTACTCAATTTATCATCCAAAGATATTGGATTCAAATATTCAACAGATGAAGGTCCCTTGTAAATAGGATCAGTATAAAATGTAAATATTACTATATAAAACATATAAATAATTAGTACAGCAATTATAATGATTAGGTCCGTGTAAAGTTAACTTACAAGCATTAATTATTATATAAACTACAATATGATAGTATGCATCGATTTGATATAAAAGATAAAGAGTTGAAAGTTTTACGATCAGTAGAGATGTAGACATTGATTGATCAAACCTTAACCTTCTTCTTGCTTTTACAACCTTTACAAAGATTGCAAAGAATGTATACATCATAGTTAACTTTTCCTTTAATATGTTGAAAGTAAAGTATTAGTAAGTGTAAGAGTATTGATTGATTGATTGATTGATTCATCCTGCTACTATACATTTGATGGTTTATCTAGATATCCAAGTATTCTAAGTACAGGATACAGCGAGACAGATATAAAGTTGTAGATATAATATGGTTGATTTAAATGTTTGAGTAGCTTTGGATCCAATAATTGACCTATCACCATGATTTATAACTTGATCAACATAAAACTAGTTTTATAATTTTTGACTGTCGTTTGTCGAAGTGATGTTCCAAATATTTAAAAACAAGATAAAATACTCTGATCAGTAGTATTGTCTAATGATTTTAAAAAAAATATAATAATAAAATTATAATTTTATTATTATAGTAAATTAGAGTAGATTACAAAAAATGGTTTTAAAAAATAAATAAATTTCGAAAAGAATGGTCCTAGTTGTTGTTGTTGTTGTTCTTCTTGTTCTTGTTGAATAATGAGATATTAATGTGCGTTCGTATTATTTGTTTTTACAAAAGTAATATAGGGTATATATAGTAATAATTAATAATAATAATGTCTCCAATATGATTATGGACATGATGCGCATTTGTTGAAATGCCTATAGGTGGCTGCTATTTTAAATTGGTGGATTTTTTAAACTGCTGGAGAGCTCTTTGGAGTTGACTCTGTAATATCTCCATCCTTTAAAACCCATGGAACAATTGCAGCGGCAATACAAACGAAAAATGATACAATGGTAATAATCCATCCAGTTCCAGGTCCCCATCTAGATTAAAACAAAACAAAGAGAACAATCATTAATACCTTAACTTTCTTCTATTATTCCTAGCGTTTCACATACTTGGTATTTCCTTCTGATCCTGACCAAGAATCGTCACATGTTCCATCACATTGAGTGAATCTTCTATTGGGATTGTCTGCTTGGGTGGAATCCTTGAAACCACCTGGAAGTCCAGCTTGAACAGCAATACAAATTAAAATCAACAATGCTGCTACTGCAATCATAATCTTTGTAATCAACCACATTGATACACCTCCTGGGCAGAATCTAGCAATGTTTACCTGTACCAAGAAAGTCATCACCAAAACTGCCAACAAAGTGAGCCATGCCAACGCTGCAAATGCTAAATTGGTATTGATAATATTGTGTACTCTGTTGAAATAATAGATGGTAAGTATACATAGGTTGCAATATACCAATAGAGAGAGAGAGAGAGAGAGAGAGAGAGAGAGAGAGAGAGAGAGAGAGAGAGAGAGAGAGAGAGAGAGAGAGAGAGAGAGAGAGAGAACAACATACTTTGTTAAATCAAAACCATCCCAACCAAGATCATTCTCACTTGGTTCGTCTCCCTTGTCCAACTTGGTGACTGCGAGAATCTTTGGTGCATAAAAGTAGATAGAGTATTCACCTGGGTTTGGTTCAGCGTCGTTTCTAACGGTGATCTTGTACCATGGTGTTGCCATACCAGCAATCAACATGCCCCAAACAATAATCACCAACACAAAGACTAAAGTAGTCCATTTGTTCTTTCCAAAGTTACTCCACTCGACGAATAGCATTTCTTTCTTTTATATATATCTGTTTCTATCTGTTATCTATAGGGTAGTTATTAATCGATAAGCATTGGTAAAGATAGTTCCCTTCCGTTGACGGAACAATAAAAAAAAACAATTCATTTTTTACACCGGTGCAAAACTCTGCTTTCAAAGAAATTTAAATGGGATTCGACAGTGTTGGTGCTTTCATGCTTAAAGACAACCATGATTTAGAAAACAATCCAAAGTTCAAACTTATATTTATACATCAAGAAAGGATAATTCATCAGTATTTTAAGAAGTGGAAGCTGAATTTTGAATTGCTTTAAATTAATTAGCAAAAGATCAATGATAAGCAGTGAAAGAATGGATCGGCTGGTTAGAATAATATCTACTACTATCATTACCATTTTGGTAGAATATCATCAATGTGTTGGCAATAGCTCAATGAAACTACTTTGGTTGGTTTGATCAACTAGTAGTAGGACAATACAAATAGTACTACTGAATGTAATATCAGAACATATAAAATTGGTCGTCAACAACAACAACAAGAATATACAGAGAGAAAGAATTGAATAGTATAGTACTACTAGTAGTACTATTAGAGTTAGCTCATGATCCAATGCATCTTTCTTTTTCAAACAACAACAACTTAAGTGCAAGGGAGCACATGTGGTGGCGAGTGGTGGTAGGGTGAATGACACCACCATCTATACACAAATGTGTATGATGATGGCACTAATACTGTTGAATGCAAGCTGTGGTACACTAGCTCATCTTCGCACCCTCTCTTGCACTACACTTTTACAACTCACACCAACACACAACATAGATTTATTCAAATTCATATCACATATAGTAAACAGACAGTAGACACATATAAATATATAAATTACCACTACCAACCCCACCACCCATCGAACACTGTCACCACTGTTGAGAAAAGTGATATATTCCAACACATATCGATCCTATACGCACGCCTAACAGCAGTAGGAGTAGGAGTGTACTGGTTGTCAGCTGAAACATAATAATAATAACCAGCTGCTGCTCAACTCTCCAACTGTAGCAGTAGCAACATAAAAAGGAGGTTTATGCATATTACGTGATGATCTTTTTGGATTATTTATTTGTTGTTATACAATAACAACATCACAAACAACAACAACAACTGAACCAACTCTGCTCAATCATACAGGATCATTAGATAAGGGATAGTTGGCGTTGGGTGCCATATATTATTAATTTAAAAAAGTACTAATTTAACAACCCCAAATCAAACAACAACAAAAGCAACAATAACAACAACAAACAAAATAATATTATTCAAATTTATATGCTTATGTTTATGCTTGCTTATTACTAATAATAATAAATCATAATCATATCATAGATAGGAAGAAAAAAAAAAAAAGAGAAGAACAAGAAAGAAAGAAAAAGACTGCAATTGCATATCATCAAGAAACAGAGGAATTAATCTTTGGCAAAGAACAATCTATCCTCCAATTACATCATCATCATCGCCATCTTTTTCCATCTCTACCTTTTTTTTTTTTTTTTTTTTTTAATTTCCACCAAAATTAAATCCATTGGTGTATAAAACAGGATTTGATTGATTGCTTGCCTGGACCGATCAATCACCCGATTTATACATCAATCGACGCCATTTTTGTGCTCTTCCTTGGTTTGAGATCCCGCTCCTATCTTTATTATCTCTATATACTACATCGAACAGTCAACTTTTCCAAATAATCCAAAGTGATTATTCTTTTATCCTAGTATATTATGATCATATAACTTATTTATTATCCAACCATCTCGTCCGTCTGTCGTCCGTCCCCCTCCACGTCATCACCACCCTTAATATTTGTTGATCTCTCCTACAACAGACAAATCAATGAATCAGTCAATGCCTCCACCCCCTCCGGGAGGTATCCTACCAAAGAATGAATTGTTGTTCAGATCGTATTTGAGCCAATCCATGCCCACTCTACCTACTCCTCAACAACAACAGCAACAACAAAATAATAACAATAACCAACAGATCCTACATCAAAATCCATTTTTCAATCAGAATAATAATCAACAGCAACAGTCTCAACCTCCTCCAACCATGGATATGTTTCCCTTGATCCAAAACAATAATAATAATAATAATAATAATAATCCCCAAGGCACCCAACAGCAGCAACAACAGTTTTATCATGGAAACCAAAGTCCAATTAATCAAACCTTGGTTAATTCTCTATTTAATCAACAACAACAACAACAACAACAACAACAACAACAACAACAACAATTGGATAACAACAGCAATAATAATAATAATAATAATAAATCGAATGAACAACCATTTCAAATGGAAAAATTTAATTCAAATTTTGGATTTCATGATGGCTCGCCCACTGGTCTCAATGATTATTTTAGTAAGCCAATGATCAATCAACCCCCTCAAATTCAACAACATCATCAACCTCCGTCCAATTTACCATACCATCATCATTTGGCAAAACAACAGCAGCAACAACAGCAACAGCAACAACAACAACAACAACACCATCACCAACCAGTCCAAATTAAACTTGAAACCCAACAGCAACAGCAACAACAATCACCATTACCACCACAACCACAACAAGCCAAACAACCACCCATACCTCAACATCCATTACATTTCCAAAACCAACAACAACAGTCTCCACAACCACAACAACATAATAACCAATTAAACCTATTATTTCAACATCATCAAATGGGACAACCACAACCACCTCAACCACCTCAACCACAACAACAACAACAACAACCAATATTATCTCAAAACAATACACCAATAATGAATTCTCCATTTATTAATCAAACATTTCCAACACCAAACAATCAAAATAATAATAATAATGTAGGATATCAACAACCGACCATCAATTCACCCCTTCACACCTTTTCGCCCAAACCACAACTCGCCAACTCACCATCAATAACCAAACAAGGCTCACTAAATCAACTCCCAATCCAAAATATTCAATCACCATCCACCAACCCAAGCTTTATGCAACCACAATTTTCTTCTTCACTTCTAAACATGCATTCTTCAAATGGAATGCCCTCTTCTCCCATCTCATCTCCTTCACCATTATGTTCTTCGTCAACAACTACTCCAATAGCATTTTCAAATCCAATAATGAATCCGAATAATAATAATAATACTAACAATCCAAACACACTATCGTCAATTAGTGGTAACCCATTAACCCAATCACCTTTGCATCCGCCTTTGAATCCACTTGGAAGTCCGTCGTCCCTATCATCAACGACAACTACCAGTACTAGTACCGCAACGACCTCATCACCGACCATAAAGCATACTCCATCTGCTGCAAATAAAGAGGATACTGATAGTTCTAGTCACAGTCAAGAAGAGGGTGGTGCATCACTCAAGGAAAAGGAAGATGTTGCCAGAATAGCATACAAAACTTGGTTTGTTCCAAAACCAGGCAATAAAGAGGTCAAAGATAGATGGTGGGCTATTTATTATAATAAAATTAGTCCAAAATATCATCTAAGAGATAATCATTTGGTAAGTAAAAGAAATTTAAAAAAATATTAACCGTTCTAATAATATTATTTTATTTAATATTTTAGGGAAGAAAAATTAATCAATGGATTGAAGAAGATATGAAAGAAATCCTTCCAAGCTCACAAGTTAAACAAGAGGATGATTCTGGGTCATCATCATCAGATAAAAAAAGAAAAGCCAATTCTTCGAAAGAGGGTTCTTTACCAGCCTATGTAAATGTTCAATTAATTAATCCTGTTGTATGTTTTGACAATTAGATAGCATCCACTTTAATCTTTATTAACCATCCCAACTTTTTTTTTTTTTGTAGGAAGATAAATCTTATCCATTGGCCAAATATTGTGTTGGTAATTCAGTTCATTGGTCTGAAAACCAATTGGATCAACTGGTCCAAGCATTCAAGGATAATAGGCAAAAAATAATGGACAATATAAATTCTGGTAATTCCAGAAAGAAATCTTCTCCCTCTCCTCTACAATCTTCCAATTCATCATCATCCTTGACATCAACACAATCCTCTAATTTTAGTATTAATAGTAACAGTAATAATAATAGTAGTAACAACAATAATAGTAGTAATAGTAGTAGTAGTACTAGTAGTAGTAGTACCAGTGGTGGGAGTTCAAGTAAAAAGTCAAGTCACAAGAGTAAAAAGGTAAAAGAAAAGGCAGACTCTACAGAAAGTGCAAGACTAGATACAAAATGTGATTGGATCAATGCTGAGATATGCCAATGCTCCGACTCTTATTGGATAAGAATTGATCTGCCAGGTGTTGAACCAAGTGATTTTGTCATTAAAACAGACGATGTTTGTAAATTTATCATATCTGTATGTAATATAAAAATATTATTTTGATTATTATTTCTTTATTTTTAAATTAACACTTTATCATTTCTTTCTGTAGGGGAAAAAAGTACAAGAAACATCAAGCGAGATTAAAGTATTAACTGGAAAGAGAAAGTTTGGGTCCTTTGATATTGAAGCAAACCTACCACGAAACGCAGACCTTCAAAAAACTGAACACTACTTTTATAATGGAGTATTGTCCATTAAATGTCCATTTAAACCTGGGCCATAGACTAGATCCTAGGATTATAGTCAACATAAAAAAAACCAACAACAACAACAACAAATACCAATACAAACAACCAAACAAAACAAACCAAAACAAAACTGTATATATTTATAAATGACCAATTATTATATATAATGTCCAATTATTATATAATAAACTATTATAAAAAAAAAAAAAACAAATCTCGAGATGATTCTGTTCATTCCAACAAAAGACTTGAAGAAATATATACAAGACTAAACAATTATTTGAGAATAAATTATGTAAATTGTTTTATTATTATAATATCTTTATAATATATTTAAACTAATAAACTAATGTTGTCCAACTCTAGGGTAGTGAACATGAATATAAATTTGTTAATCAAACAAATGTATACTATATAAGAAATACATTTATCAATTGAGTGATAAAGACTATGATGTTGATATAGTTGCGTTATTATTATTATTGTTTAATTATTTTTGATTTGAACATTTAACCTTCCAAAGCAATACATTCTAAAATATGTAATTGAACACAAACAGTGTCATTATCTAAAAATCCACTTGAAGAGTCATAGAGATTCTTCAACTCGATTAAACCATTACCCCAAACACTCTTTTCATAGTTGAAGAGGACGTTGGGAGAGGATGGGTATTGCTTGGAGTTGGTTTTGTTCTTTTGATTGACCAATGCAAAGAAAAAGGTGGTGTTTCTAAGAAAGTCGTATGATTCTTTCTCCTTGACACGGACAGCCTCGAGGTAGACAGAGAAGCTGTCAGAGTGCTTGGCTTCACCGGCTGGATATGCCCACATACGCCACTTGAGACCTCTCATTTCAAATATGTTGCTGACATGCTTTTGGGTCTTGATTGATGAGAAGTTGGAGATGGTCCAGGTGACCGATGAACAGGCCTTGGAGTGATCGGCACAGATAAAACTGTGGACATCGGTGCCGGGGGAGGCTGGTGGATCGAGTTTCTTTCTAGAGACCAAACGAGTGTTGCTAACTTGGCACTCTTCCAATGGGAACATCTTGGGCTTGGACAAGTGTCTGTAGGCTTCTAAAAGGAGATGTTGTGGTACCAAGTTGAATGGCTCGACGATGGTGATCAACTCTTCATACTCCATCAATGGGAATCTGACAAGACCAAACATTTCGTTCAACAGGCTCTGGTCTTTTTTGTGTGCATCGTCAATGTTGATTTTGATCCATTCTACCACTGCCTTGAAAATATCTACCTCTTGCATAAGGACATCTTCACTAGACAATATCTTTAATAATAACTCCTTTGGTAATCTAGCAACTCTATTCAATTGTAAAAAGTAGGATGAATTGCTAATCGTTTGATCAAAATATAAATTGTTTAATTCTCCACATAATGTAAAATAATTTTCCTAAAAAAAAAAGAAGAAAGAGTTAGAGATTAATCCTAATCATCATATTTGTTTCTAAATTTACTTACATCAAACAAGAATGATTCCAAAACTTGACTATCCAATTGTTTGATATATTCTTTACACTTTTCCTTTCCATCTTGTAAAAGGAATTGGTCACAAACCTCAAAGATTCTGTTGAGAGAATCGTCGTGAATGACGAGATTAGAGGTATAGAGGAATTGGAGAATGTCGAAAAAGATGTGAACTGGTACGTTGGGGATGATGATTTCTTGTTGAGATGACTCTTTCATTCCATTGGTGAGAAGCAATCTAAAGAACTCTGACTTTAATGATACAATTGATTTGTGTGCGTAGATTTTTTGATACTCTTCATCATTGTCGTCTTCCCTGGAATCGGAATCGTGCAAGTTTCCAACAATATTAATAGAAGCACCATCGACAATGAAATTGGTGGTGGCAGACAATGGTGATTCCGTAGACGATGAGGTTGGTTGTTTGTTATTGTTGATTGGCAACAAGAATGTTAAATCATGTGTTCTATTTTTCTTGAATGATGGTTGTTGATAGAGTTCATTGTCATTGTCATTGTCATTATTGTCATAGTCGTTGCTACTGCTGATAAGAGGTGGATAAGCAGCTGATACTGAAGCAATGTTTATAGTTGATTGACAAGGAGATGATGCAGATGAAATAATTTTTGGTGAAATAGACAAAGATGTTGCGTGATGATGGTCATTACTGATGATACCTCCTTCAAAGTTTGACATAAAATCAAAATTATTTAATATTTGCGAGAAGAAGATTTGTTTGAGTAAATAAGAAGATGAAGAAGATGAAGAAGAAGATATAGATGATAATTGGAAGAGATAGAGAGAATAGATAAAATGGAGATAAGATGCAAAAAGGGAGAAGGAGAAAGAACGAATAAAAGGAGGTGGTTGGGTGTGGTGTGAGGTGGATAAAAAATGAGTGAGAGAAAGAGAAGAGTTTAAAATTAGAAAACTGATTGTAAGAGTTTCAATCGACAGATTCATGAATTGCACTGAAATCATCATCGACGAGTGAGAAGAGGAGACTTGAAAATAAAAAATAAAAATCTCGATTGCTTTGCTGGTCGACCCAGTCTATCGTAGACTGGATCTCCTCTCTCACTTGATGATACCATTTTCATGTATGTTTTATATTTGTTTCAACATACCTTTGAATAATTGGTCTTCCAATTTAATATTTTGTGGTTCCAATGATGCTACCATTTTTTAATCGATTAATTAATTAAATACTACTAAACTTTTACTGGGAGGAACTGATGATTGGATAAATATACTTTTCTAATAGATTCTAAAATATGAATATGAATGATGATGATGATGATGATAGGCTATTTTTACAAATTATTAATATTTAAATTACTGTACATAAAAAAAGATAAGAATATAGAAGAAGAAGAAGAAGAAGAAAAATTAATATTTGTTTTTGTGTTTTTTAATATTATAAAAAATATTTATGTTTTTGTTGTTGGTGATTTGATTCATTTCCCTCTTCCCTCCTTCCTCCCTTCCTTCCTTTACTTTTGTTATCTCTAATCTATCTACTGTAACACCCCCATTTGGGAAAATAGTACGGTACTATTGTCGATATCGAGTGACTGGTTGGTTGTACTCTTTGATTATTCCAGTTGAAAAGGTCGGATTAGATGGAATGGATGAAAAGTGATTGGTGGAGCATAAAAAACCTATACTTTTATTTGTAAAACAGCAGATCACAATTAAAGTAAAACAAATGATTTGTCTATGCCTTGATTTGTTGATGTAGTGCTATTTTTAACATTTGCAAATGTATGTAATATGTGTTTTGGACATCGATTCGAATTTATATAAATTGTGTTTTTTGTTTGTTGATTTGATTAATTTAAATCTACCACCCACCACACCCAACCCCAAAATTGTATATACTAATGGATTGGTTGGGTTGATTGGGAAATAAATTTGTGTTGATGATGATGATGTATGTGGAAATGCGTCTTTGAATATGGGGTATATGAGTGTGACTGTTTTATGTTTTTTTGAGAGAAGAGACAGGGACAATATTGAACATTGATTTTAGAAAAAAAAAAAAAAAATGAAACCAATCAAAATGTAATGATTTTTTGGATTTGGGTTGAAAGATGAATTGAAACATATTGATATATTGTATTATATTATATTAGTTTCTTCTATTTGATAATTACTTTTGTTTTTTCTGTTTTGAACTTTTAATGAAAAAGGATTGAAGACATAAAATAATTGTTGGTTGTTGATATTGATACAAAATCTTGGCGATATATATATATGATTTTAAAAAAAAAGTACGAAATAGATATTCAAATAGTAGATAAAAATATTTATCTTAATATTACTAAACAAGATATCTTGTTAAATTGTGTGTGTGAGAGTTATAATATTGCGTGTGAACGAATGAATGAAAAGAGTAACATGGGGCGGACGAGTTGCATTTATAGGAGCAGAAAGTATTACAGTAAAAAAAGACCCAACACCATCTCTAAAATTCATTGATAGTGATAGTATAAAAATTTTATGATCTAAAATTAGTAGGCTGGCCCATCATCGTACGTCATTATAAAAAGGTCTTCTTCAATTCGATGCTTCCCCTTGTGCAACAACCGTCTCGTTCTCGTCAACCAGAGAATTTGTCGATATTTTCATTTTCAAGATGGAGGGCATTCCTGCCATTGATTTGACGATTTTTGTTGTTTTTTTAATAATTTAAAAAGTGGTCAAACGATTGGTCATTGTCTTTGGTTCCAAAACGATGCCGACAAATTGAATGAAATTGTTTTTTTCCCAACTGATCAATATATAAAAATTGAATGGTGAACAATGGCAAATAGGTTTAAAATATTTATCTTATTGGTGACTGACTACCAATATTATAATAGGTGACTGTCTGTCTCTCTGCATGTCCCTATGATTTTGATAATTATAACTAAACATATAATAATAATAATAGTAGTACTGACTCTTTCCTTTGTTCTTCTTTGAAAATTCCAAAATAAACCAATTTGAATGAAATGAAAATAAGGATTGGGGGGTGAGGATATTCTTGAAACTACCTTGGAAAATATAATATAATATATAATGAAGTTGGTTGTTTGTTGGAGACAAGTCTATTATAAATACCTTTTTATCTCTTTTAAATCTATGTGTCTTGTTTTTACAAGATATAATAATGTATTAATGTAATAATGTAGTGTGAGTGGGTGAGTACTCTCTCTCGAGAGATCTCCAATGCATAGAATCAACTGTGCAAAAATAAATGGTTTCTACATTTTTTTTAATATTATTCCCTTGATGACAAATCATAAACAAGTTGAACAGAATAGAGCCAAACTATAAATATCTAAGGTGCTGGCTAGCTAACAATTTATCTAGCTATCACCTCCCCATTTTATTCTTTCCAATGAATTTCAATATCCATTTCTATTGGTTGTTGGAAAAAAATAAAAAAAAACAATTTTAAAGATTAGATCAATTCATATTCCAACAGTCACAGCACACAATGAAATGTATCTATCCCCTTTTACACAATTAAAGTGGTGTCGTTAACAATCGCAATGAATGAATGAAAACAAGAGAGAGAGAGAGGTAATTAATTTGAATTAATCTGAATAATTCAATCTGGTCGATGGAATCAATAGGTTGGGAAATAATAGTTTTCCATAACAATAACTTATTGGATTGGAAAAAAATGAAGATTTAGTATAGTGTTTTTTTAATAATAATAATAATAATAATAATAAATCAATGTCTATAATAATAATAATATATGTAGGAGTATATAATGATATTTTTAATTTTGCCCAAATTTATTTGTTTACACTAGAAAACTACCAATCGTTTACTTCTTGGCGGTCTTCTTGGTGTCCTTACCAGACTTGGTTGACTTCTTGGCTGGAGCAGCAACCTTCTTAACTTCCTTTGGCTTTTCGGAGAGTTGCTTCTTGTAGACGAGCTTGGCAGTCTTTTGTTCTTCAATCAAGAAGGCACGGGTGATTCTGACACGGACACAGGTAGCGCATCTGACACCACCGTAGGCACGAGCAACGGTACGGGCACACTTGGAAAGGTGCTTTCTTTCATGTGGCTTGGTGGCCTTGATCTGTTTTTTTGTTTAAAATAGTGGGTTGTTAGCTAAATCTCTAATAATAATCATAATATCTCTTTCTCTTTCTCGAGAGAGATCTTTTATCTGCTGTTGTATGAATGTGATATTTACACCTTGGAGATCCTTTCCGCAGTCACCGCACTTTGGGACTACACCCTTCTTGGTGAGGTAGTGGTATACCAACTTGTGACCTATAATTTAGTTTAGAGAGATGCATGTATAGATAGATAGATATAGAGATATGGAGGTATGTGAGAGATAGATTAGTTGTCTGTTCGTGTGTTTGCCATTATGAATGATAATACCTGGGGTCTTGACACTATAATATGATAGTAGGGAGAGAGATAAGTTAGATCACATGTAATGTACGTTCAAGAGCAACAAGCATCTACCGTATCTGCTTGCTGCTCTATTTCTCTTTTCTCTTATACTTACACCTTGGTCTTGTTGGAAGCGGTGGCGTATGAGAGTCTTCTTCTGTAAGTTAAACGTTGGACCATTTTATCTTATAGGTGGGCTGTAGGGAACAAAAGAGTACTATTATAGGCTTCACTCGAGATGTCTCTGAGAGCGTCTGCCATCCCAACCTTCGTTCGACAAACAATTTTTGTTTTTTTTTCATCAAATTCGTTTTGCACTAAAATTAAAAAAAAGCCCCATACATTTAATGAGGACGAGTGACGACAAGTTGATTACTCTTTAAAAATGGTATTTGATATTATTTATTTAATTAGAATATACGTATATATTTACACCATCAAATCAACAAAAAGGTTATAATGTTATGATTAGATTTTAATCATAACCATTTACTTTGTTTGTGTATGTGTTTGATAGAAAGAGTAGTTTAGTTGGTCGGTTGTTTGTTTTCTAGACATTGTTATTGTTACCGTCGTCATAGTTGATATTTTCATTATTAGTATTATTATTATTATTATTATTATTATTATTATTATTATTATTATTATTATTATTACGATTAGTAGAATTCAATTTTGGTGATCTGGATTTAGGAGTTATTGATGAAGAGGTTGGAGGTGATGATGATGATGATGTAGAGGTAGGAGGAGATGAGGTAGGAGCAGGTTGATATTTAAATCTTGAGAATCTATTCCTTAGATGTGAATAGTTTTTAAAGAATCCAATCAATGCGTTTTTAAAACCAAATACCTCTAATATAATATACAACAGTAGTGAAATGATAATCAAAATGACAGATACCATCTGAACAATTACAAAGTTTGGATTGAATTTGTATTGTTCAAACATTGGCATGACGTAGCCAGTTGTTGCCAATGAGGTGTGGTCATAGACAATGTAATCTGATTGTTTGGCTCGTTGTCTTTCTTTGGTGACATAGTCACATAATCTATGCTCTGCTAAAAATACACAATGATCATAGAGAACTGGAAAGTTTGGTTTAAATGGTTCTGTTTTCCATTTGAAATATCTATAGATAGGGAAAGAAAGAAAAGAGAGAAAGAGATGACAAAGATTAATAAATTTAAATTTAAAAAGTAGTACATATCATTTGTTTGTACATACTCTTTATACATGTCTTCATTTGATGCAACAAGTTTTAAAAAGTTTGCCAATTGTTTTGGGGATTGGAATCGATCGGTTCGAATCATTGTGTTGTTTCCAGGTTCCCATTCATCGACATTTGGGGCACCCATATACACGGGCAATGATCCAGCTATATATGCATGATAAAGTTTCTCGCTGACATAGTCTGTAACGTTGTTGTTTTCAAAGGCAAGAATGAATTTGTATTTCTTGAACAATTCCATCTTTGCTTGGTACCGATCGCGTACCGTGTTTCTGTTGAGTGCGTCTTTGGGTTGGTTCTGAAGACATAGGCCAAATGAATCGACCGGGATGTATTTCATCAACTCTTCCACATAGGCCGTTCGATCATCTGCTCCACCACGTTTGCAATTACTCGCCACAAACACTGCAAAATGTTGTTCTTTAAATGGTACTTGTGGCATTGCTCTATACCCTTCTATTCCTTTTCCAGTACCCCAATCACACACAAATGTAACAGGTACATTTGAGTTTCTCTCATTTGTCATTTTCCAATCCAAACTAGTAAATCAAATCAAAACAAAACAAATTATTAATATATATAGAACTCATTAATCTTTTGTTTTGTTTTGTACATACTGTGATAAATAACTTTTCCTGTTTTGAATGGGAAAGTAGACAGCAGTTTCCATTGTAAATAACATATATTTTTGTCCACATTGTTTTTTAGGTGGATAGTGTGATCCACGTCTTCCAAATGGTTGTGATTCAAAGATAACAACATCGGATTGATTATACTTTTCTTGATCGGTCGTAAAGATACATTTAGATTCGTTGTATGGTTTGTCAACTGAATAACCGGCCCATGGTACCTCACCTGGGGGTCTTCCCCAACCAGCCCAATGAGCTTCATATTCCCATACCAATACTGTTGTTGTTGCGTTTATATCTCTAAGGAGGGGATAGAAGAGTAAGTTAACCGCGACAAATCTCAGTAATCAAAACAAATTCGTCGTCGTCTTACCTTTCAGCCATAATATTAGGGGAGTCGACACATGGATGACGAGTAACATATGAATATGAACTAATTGCTAATATCAATAGATACAATGCAAATAGTATTCCTAAGAATTTCAAAGCATTACCAAATCCCATCATCATTTTAATCTCTCTATATATATATATATATTTGATTTGATCGATTTGATTTGATCGATTGTGATCTCTAAATTCGTCGTCGTAGTCTTTTGTCGTGTTTGTTGTCGTGTAATTAACTTTTTGTGATGATCATTATCCTTACTGCTACTATCTATCTTTATCTCTTTATTACTTTGTTGTTCTTGTTGTTGGCATGTCAATATTATTAAATGATGAATGTATACTTTATTTAGTACATAATAAAATAATTAAAATAGTTGAAGTAAAAATAAATAGTCGTGGTTGACTTGGGTTGGTGACAAGAAGAAAGCTGTCACACACACAAAGCGAGGTTGCCATCACCCACATGCTCCCTCTTTTTAGCTGAAGCCCAATAAAAATTCCTCATTATTATTATTGTCTCTTGTCTTTCTGTGTCTGTGCTGATGATGATTCATCAAATATACCACTATATTATTGTCTTTTGTATTTCATATTTCATATGATTTATATATATATATATATATATATATAAAGGGACAAATATAATGATGTCACTTTGTGATGGATATCATCAAACTTCTTCTTCTTCTTCTTCTTCTTCTTATCATCTTTTTGTTGTACAAATAATAGAAGATATAGATAGAAGAGATAAAAGTTAAAGAATGAATGAATGACGAAAGAAAGAATGAATCAAGTCTAAGCCTACGTCTGTCTGTTTGGTTAAAATAAATGGGGTGATAAAAAAAGGACTTAAGTCTTTCATGACATCAAGTCCACCACCCGCTCGCCCAAATCACCCCCCAGTTCTCTTTTAACGCTTTGCTACAAATTGAACTGAAACCTCGCCCCCCCTCATCATTATCTATTTCGTTTGTTTTTCCCATTGTGTGAGTTTAGATCGCGATTTATCCTCAATCAATTTAGACAGCTGACATCAATCAAAATTGAATCAATATCAATAGAAGATATCTATCAATCAACCAACTATTAGTATCATTAACAAGTTTGTAAAAGAGGAATGATGACATTAGAAAGAGTATCAAACCCTTCAAGAGAAGTATTAGAGTCATTCATTTTAAAGAGTCAACCCTTTATCATTACAGATGTAGCAGACAAATGGCCATGTTATAGTAATTGGAGATCAAATTATGATTATCTTCCATCAAAGGTATGAATGAAATGTGATTGAAAGAAGAGTAGAACCGATCAGTTGATCTATCAGATGATCTATCAGTTGATCAAAAAAAACAAACAATATCATTAATCATTCAGGTGATCTAACTTTATTCATTACTGTAGTTGGGTGAAAGAGAAATACCAATGAGAGAACTTGGTTATAATGTTGGTGAATGGTTAGGAAAGACAAGTAATGTAAAGTTTTCAGAGTTTTACAAGTTGTGGAAAGACAATCAAAATAATCAATCGACACCAACAACAACAACGACAGCTGATACTACTAAAAACCCATTGTACTATCTTGCAAGTTTACCAGTACGTACCTATTTTCCAGAGTTGGAAAGTGAATATACAGTTCCTGATTTTGCAAAGGAACAAAACAAATCAGCTAATCTTTGGATTGGATCAGCTGGACAAGTCACACCATTACATCATGATTGGTCAACTGGTGATCCTGGTATGGATGGTTTGGTATGTAATAATAGATAGATAGATAGATAGATATCTAATATATTATATTATTATTTATTTATTTATTTTTATTTAGCATGCAATTATAATTGGTAAAAATTATTTAAACTTTATGATCCAGCAATTAATAGTAAATATATAAAAAGAAAAAAGGAATGGGGTTTATTCCATCATGCGTTGGTGGATTGCGAATCACCTAATCTCGAAAAGTATCCAGAGTTTGCCAATGCACAGGTGATCGATGTTATTTTAGAGGCTGGTGAAATACTTTTTATTCCAAAGTTGTGGTGGCATCATGTGAGAACATTGGAGCATGCCATTAGTTTGAATTTTTGGTTCCAACATATTGGTAGTGAGAAATTAAAATGTACAAGGTTTTGGCCACACATGGAAGAATATTTAAATGCCATCTATAATATGGATATGAAAGAGGAGAGAATGACAACACTATTAATGTACTTTGCTGATGGATATTCACAAAAGAATAAACCAACCGAGGCAGATGTAAGATACTATATCGACAACCCAATCAAATTTATGCAATTGCCAAAATTCATCCACGCCTTTGGCAACGCTGCCAATAATCCACTCGTCAAATCACCCGAAGCCGATCTACTGGCCACCGAGCTAAGAACAATGGTAAAAGAATGGATAGATAATAAAGCATTATCATTGAATGATAATTCATCTCAACCAAAGTAGTACTAACTATTTTGGTTGGAGACATTATTTTGGCGCCCTTTTTTAAAAAAAAAATAAAACTCTTCTTTCAAGGTCCTTACATTTATTTATGTTTAATAATATGACGAGATAATATATCATTCGATATATTTAGATCAATATCATATCATATTATCATCATGATTAGTAGTAACAATAGTTATAGCAATCCAATGATTGACGAGTTTTTCGGAGATCTCATTAAAACAACAGACAATATAGTCAAGCAAACGCAATCATTGAAAAATAATATACAACTCTATCCATTGGCCAATTGTGATGATAGCAATAACAACAACAACTCGAACGTCGTTGCACATACGACCATCATTAAAAAGATACACAAGAGACTTGAGGATGTCGATCACCAACTCAAACATTTACTTGACGATTGTAACTCTACACTTGGTATCACTCCACACGCTTGCTCAAACACAAGCAATACTGCAGAGTTATTGGAAGCATTTAAATTAATGTATCAACAAAATGAACAATGGAAAAGTAATATTCAATTACCATTATCGACAACAACATCAACAATATCAACGACCAATAGGAATCTTAGTAGTATGTCATCGTCGTCAACATCTTCACCTGTAAATAATAATAATAATCTTCTAAACCCACATCCAATGGTTGCTCCATCTAAAAATGCTATTCCGGCAATTGTAAATACTAAACCACCAATGGCAGCCCCAACCACAACTACAACAACTACCCTTCAGCCACTTCCCATGGCACCAAAATCAATCCTTTATAATAATAATCAAAATAATAGTGTCAACAGTCAGAGTAGCAACACTAATACAACAAATAATAATAATAATAATAATAATGGTAACAAATCACTCCCAAAGATTGAAGTATCATCAGAGTATTCTTTAAATCTATTAAAATCAAAACTACCATCTCCCTCGTCTTCTTCTTCTTCTTCTTCTCAATCGACGACTACTCCTACTGTACAACATGTTGCTACACCTGTAGCTCCAACGATTACTCTACCCATTTCTAATCCTCCAGCACCTCCTCTTGTTATTCCAAAACCTCCTTTGGAAATGGTAAACAAGCCAGTTCCCACCATATCACCAAATATTAATCCAACAGCCCCAACTCGACCAACCACTTCCACTCCTCTACACTCGGCAATTAAAGCACCTGTATTAATATCTACGACTACTCCACTCTTGGCTCCAACAACACCAGTTAAGATTTCTGTACCTGTTGCTAATCATCCTCCTCCACCACCAACACCAACCCATTCAAATACACAACCTCCTATAATCATGCCAACAACACCAATACTTATACAACCAAAGATCAACACTACTACTACGACAACCACAACCAATACAATAGTAACAACAAAAATTATCAAACATGTAACAAAAGAGGAAATACAAGTACTGGAAAATAATTATTTAACAAAAATCGTTCATTTGGATGTAAGTATAAAATATTTTGAATAACAACAAATGGAGATATTATATGTCATTATACTTATTAACATTTAAAAAATATTATTTTCAAAGATATTAAATCAAACTATTCATTGCATCAACGAATTTTTAAAAAAGAATCATCATCATCATGGTGGTGAACAACAACATTTTAACGAAAGTAATTTAATCAACGACATGAGTATACCAACACCAGCAAAATCAAAGCCAATTCTATTGTTGCTTCTACAACTTGGTCGTATTGAATCCAAAAAAACAATAGAAGGCGACACTATCTTTTGTTCGGTTGGTGTCATATGATCTAAGATCAATAAACGACTGTCGACTGTCTCAACACATCGTAGCTGGTTCCATATTTGGAAAGTCTACTTGGTGCAACGCGTTGAACCAGCAACGAACAAACTCAAACTGTCTGTGGGTATGTAACCTCAAACTCAGATCAAAAAAATTCCATGAATAAAATTACAATTCGAATTTGGTCGATGCGAGGTCGATTAAAGTGTCTGGTATAGGGGCGGGACACCAGATCCAATACAAAAATGTGCAAAGATGCGACCCCTATAACAGTGAGATAAAAATATATTAGAACTTTACAACTAGACACCAAACAAACAAATTAATTCAAGAGATATGATGCACCAACAACAACAAAACAAAATAAAAGCTAAAACTTTTAACAGTTTTTGTTTTGTTTATTATTATTGTATATCACAGCAACAGAAATACTATTAGTAAATAATAATAATATTTGTACAAAAACAATTATAACAACACACACACAACCAAACACACACAATAACACTCAATTTTTGGTTTCTGACATTCATACAACCTACCTACCTCGAGAGCGCTATTACTCTTCAACAACAACAACATCAAACAACACAACAACAACAACAAACCAAATTACTGGATTCCAAAATCAGTCAATACTACAAACAAACCAAACAAATATAACACTACTCTACTCTCTAGAAAGAAGGTATAATTATTAATTTATTTATTCAATATACTTGAGCAGCGCAAAATATAAAATATTAACCAAGGTTACATACAATACATACATCCATCCATCCATCCATCTATCTTTATCTTATCGTTTGCTCCTCTTTCCTCTTTTTACTACTACTACCTTCTATACTAGTATTATTATCAATCTCTAGAGATATTATATAATCTTTAACAGTAACAGTAACAACAACAACAAACAACAAACATTCATTAGGCAATTCAACCCACAAGAATAATAATAATAATAATTCCAATACCACACATTATCATTTTATTTTAAATCATTTGATTAATTTATTATTATAATATTTTATAGTTTTTTATTTTTATCATCTATTAATAATAATAATCATTATAGTTATCTCACAATAAGTTATAGTTTGTAGTAATCTCACAGTAATTCAATCAACATCGCATCACCCGTTCACAAGTCGTCAAAAAAACCAATCAAATTTTAGTCATTGGGCTACCCCGTCTTAGAACCCCCAATAACTTCTCTTCTTAGCTTCTTGAAAGAACACACACACAACTAGTAACCTACCTCCACCTAAAAAGGGTTTAAACTTTAAATTGCTTCCACTTCGCAACCTCTGCCCACCCCTTGATCAGATTTTGTTTTTATTTTTTTATATTTTTGTTTTCTGACTTGAACCATTTTAATTAAATATTAATAACCTAACCAACAAAGCTAGTTAGCTTCATCACTATCATCATCACCACCCCCCGTTTGGGTATTGTAATACATACATACATATATATAGTTATAATAATAATAATAATAATAATAATATTAAAAAGAGTTTAAAGAATGAGCGAAGTTTCAACATTAAACTCATCAAAAGTACTCAGTCAAAATGAGTTTAACAACTTTGCATCAAAGGATAAAGCACTAGAGAGCAATAGTTGTAATAGTATGGGGACCGCCGGCGGTGAAAATCAAATGGGATCGGCCGACGTTGGCAATGGAAAGTCACTTCAACAAAAAGTATTCACACAAAACACAAGACACCAAAATGGAGGTTGGAAGTTTATCGATGAGACTGAATTAAAGAAACAAAGAGGTGTGTGTTGGGAACTAGTAAAATCAGTTGGCAACAGTATCATTGAAGGCAAGGAATTGACAAACACGTCGTTGCCAATTGGTTTGTTTGAGCCACGTTCATTTTTGGAAAAATTGACCGACACTTGGTGTTATGCACCACAATACCTTCCCAAGGCAGCTGCTACAAGCGATCCAGTCGAACGTCTAAAGTTGGTTGTTTCCTTTACCGTCGCTGGTCTCCATCTCACCAGCACCCTCTCCAAACCATTCAATCCACTGCTTGGCGAGACTTTCCAAGCACACTTTTCCGACGGTACACAGGTCTATTCGGAGCAGACCAGTCATCATCCACCAATCTCCAACTGGGAGATGATCGATGCCAACAATACATTCCACTACCACGGCTATGGTGTGTGGTCGGCTGCCTGTCGTGGCAACGTTGTCAAGGGCTATCAAAAGGGTACACACACCATCACCTTTGCCGACGGAACCACCATCACATGGACACTACCAGAGATTCTCATCAAAGGTATCTTTTGGGGTGACAGAGTCACTGAATTTGCAGGAAAGATTGTATTTACTGATGAAAAAAATAAGTTAGGGTATGTATATGTAAATACAAAATAGAAAATGAAATGAAGAGATATTAATAATATTATTTATTTATATTTAGATGTGAAATTACATTTAATCCACATGCATTGGGATTTGTAAGATCAATATTTTCAAAACAAAAAGAACCATCTGATTATTTCTGTGGACATGTATATAAATTGAACGCAACCGGCAATAGCAATAGTAATGGCAAGGAAAAAGATAAAAAGAAACAATCAGAGAGATTAGATTCAGATAATGTTTGTCAAGTTGAAGGTAGTTGGCTTACACATCTAGCATTTGATAATGTCAACTATTGGGAATTAAAAATGGTACCGCAAGGAGTTATTTATGAATCGGATCCACTCAGCACTGACAGCAGATACAGAGAGGATCTCAGATATTTGAAAGAAGGCAATATTGAAAAGGCAAAGGAATATAAATCATTAATTGAAGATAAACAAAGAACCGAGGCAAAACTTAGAAAAGAGGGTAAAAAGGAACTAAAAGAAAAGGAAAAAGAAAGAGAAAAATTAAAAAAATCTAAAAATTAAATGTAGAAATAATAATAATAATAATAATATAATAATAATATATAATAATAATAACTCTGTACATAACACATATAAATATATAACTAAACTCACTCTAAACAACTATAATAATAAATTTGTACATTAAATCCTCCAGAACCACTATACCTCCCTCCACCCAATAATAAAACAAATAACAACTGTTTTTTCTATTATTTTTTTTTTGATTATAATATAGAATACACAATATTCAATATAAATTGGTTTTATTATTATTACTAGTTAGTTGTTGTTCTTGTTTTATAATAAATATATATTATTATTATTATTTATGTTAGTGTTATATATAAAAAATGATAGTACGATAAATTCTAGATTATTTGATTATGATGTTGTTATCCCAAGTTTTTGTTTTGTTGTTTTCAATCTCTTATCAAGATTCAAAAAAAATATACTATTTTAAAATATGTATGTATGAATGTTCCGGAGTATGTATGTTTAGAAAAATTATATGTATGTATGTATAATCCATTGCACTATTATTTACTATTATGCAATGACAGCTGATACCCAACAGGTATTATCTTCATTTGGTCGAAGATAAGCTCTACTGGTTACGATATCAATAATTCTACCAATATCCTTTTCCAAACCCTCGATATATTGATCTTCACTATTTTGAATCTTGATAATAATATTCTTCTTGTCGGTACAAATCACTTCCTTGATGTCATTGTAGAAAAGAGTTGCTTTAACAGCTCCATCATGTAATCTTTGGATCATATATGGAGTAAATCTATATTGACGGAATTGATCTAAAAGTAGGAGAAGAAAAAACAAAGGTTTAATATACGGACAAAAGGAACATTTGAATTAATGTTCATTTTTTTTAATTTGTTATACATACGTCTACCATACCAATTTGTTCTAATTACTTGACATTCAAATTCGACGTCTTCATCTTGAGTTTCTAATTGGTCGCCAGTTGATTGCCAAGCAGTATTCCATAATCCCTTGACAGCACCAAACAATAACCATTCTGTAATATTGATACCACTGTCGATGTAACCAAGTGCAAGTTCCTCCGATTGTTGGTGTTGTTGGAGTGTTTCCTTGCTCAATTCCTTGTTGTTCAAGAATGCTTCGACTACCTCTGAGTCTTGGTTGTCTTGTATCAAATTCATTAATGGTTGAATTAATTCTAAAACTTCTTCTTTGTTTTCTTCAACTGACCATCCTTCCTAAAGAACAATTAATTAATATTAATATTATTATACTTATTATTATTATTTGTTTTTTTTCACACTTACACCCCATAACTTTCCACAGATTTCAATATAAGGATATCTTGGAATCTTTTTAGAGTGATTCTTGATAGCTCCTTGCTTTTCAAAGTCATCAGCAATATCATAAATTGAAATCAATGATCTATGAACATTATTGTGCAAGAAGAATCTTGCCAATGTCATCTGTAAATTGATTCCTTTGATAGTAGTCTTGTTATGATCTACATAGATTTTAATGCCCTGCATATTGTATAAATAAAATTAAATAGTAATAAGATTGAAGTAGGTTAATAAAAAAAGGTAAATTAAATAATATTCTTTTTTGTTTTTTTTGACCTTACCTTTAAAATATTAGTTTCCATTTTTAATTATTGATTATTTGAGTTGTTTTTTGCTCTAAAAAAATAATAATATTAGCTATCTATCTAAAAAATTAAAATTAAAAAAAAAATAATCAAATTGAATAGGTTTTATGAATGTTTGTTGTTTTGTATGTTGAATTATTACTATTACAAGTGTTGTTGTAATTGAATTGTTATTTATATATATTTATATATATTTGCACGATTGCGTTCTACTTTCTATTGGTCTGCCACTTTACTCTCAAGTACTGAGTAAAAAAAAAATAAAAATATTTAATTTAATTCTTTTTTGGAATGGAGTGTGAGAGGTGGTAGTGTGTGGGTGTGAGATCTCGTTCATGCTCTATAGTGTGTCGTCTCTCAATCTGTCTTTGCATTGCACACACTCTCTCTCTCTCTCTCTCTCATTCATTCTGTACAACTCTCTCTCTCTCTCACTCTACCTAGTCGTTGAATAGTCTGCTTTACCGAGACAAAAAGAAAGAAAGAAAGCAAGGAAGGAAGATCAAAGATGTCGTCAGCAGATACGAATTCGAATGGAGAACAAACTATTGAAGGTGTTGCTAGTAAACTAGGCACAAAAGAGCAGTATGATGATGATAGATATCAATGACCGAATGATTATTATCATTCGTTTCGTTCATTTATTCATACCTAACGAATCTGTTATTTTTTATTTATATATTATTGTAGTTGGGATAATTGTTATGATAGAGAATTAGATGTATACGATGAAACTGGTGATGTTGGAGAGATTTGGTTTGGTGAATCATGTCTTAGAACGATGTGCAAGGCTATTGAAAAGATAGCGAGTGTTACCAAAGATCATAGAATTGTCGATTTGGGTTGTGGTAATGGATATACACTCATCGAGTTGGGTCAGATGGGATTCACTAATCTGTGTGGCACAGACTACTCTGAAAAGGCAATCGATTTGGCAAAGAAAATAGCAGAACAAGAGGAACTCGATATAGAGTATCTCGTCGACGACATTAGAAACTCAAAGATTGAAAAGGATGCATTCGACGTTGTCCTGGACAAGGGTACATTCGATGCCATGTCACTCTCAGAGGACAAGGTACAGGCCAAAGAAGACTACCGCTCACACATCCTAACCATCTTGAAACCTGGAGGTCACTTTGTTATCACAAGTTGCAACTACACTGAACAAGAAATATTGGCTTACTTTTCAAACTGTGGACTCGAATTCTCACATCACGTCAAATATCCAGTCTTTAAATTTGGTGGTTCTACTGGATCTTCACAATCAACCAGTGTTTTTATTAAATCAAACTAATAATTTAACCAAATCGAAAATCGAATCGAATCGAATCCAATTCAATACTACCTATTCATAGGGAATAATTATTATATTCCTATTTGATATATAGTATTTTTTTTTTTTTTACATTGGTGATGATATATATATATAAATATATAAACCAAAACTTACTTACTTTTGGTTGTGATATCACCAACAAACAAACAAACAACTCAACTGACAATACCTACCTACTCGAATAAAGAATATATTTCCAAACAAAACTCCGTCAATAGTATAAGATAGAGTTTTATGAATCTACGTAGATCCTTCTTTTTACTTTTGTTTTAGTCATCGGGTTTGGGTTTCTTGTTCCTTGGTTTTGAAACGCGAGACAACGGAAGGCAGTTCGAGTGGAATTAAAAAGATTTTTATTCATCCTTTTTAACGACATCACCCAATTTGACAAGATTTTTTGCGTTTTCTCTTTAAAGTTGAATAGAGAGAGACATTGAAAGTTCTTGTGTATCAGAGTTTAGTAAAGAGATTAATATATATACATAACAAAAAGAGAGAGATAAAATGGATTACGAAGAAGATAGTTCCCTCAAGCCAGATGCTACCTTTACAAACTCTAGACCAAAATGGGTTGATGATAGTAATGTTACATGGTATGTATGATAGTCTAGTAGTTAGAAAAGGGGATCAACAACGACGATCGATTAATCTATAGATTTATTTTACTAATACATCACTCCATTATCTTCTTTTCTTATTTTTAGTTGCTCTAAATGTAAATCACAGTTTACCCTTTTAAATAGAAGAGTATGAGATGGTGACGACGACAGATAAAATGAAGATGATGTCATAAACATCATTTTTGTTTAAACCAACTAAACTAATACATTATTATTATCTCTCTCTTTCTCTCTTTTTATAGCATCACTGTCGTAGATGTGGTTTAGTGTTCTGTCAAAAATGCTCAAGCAATACTGCCAAGATCCCTCAATTAAATTATAACTTTGTACCCGTTAGAGTATGCGATGGGTGTTATCGTATGGTTTCAATGTAATAATAAGAATATAATCAATATATCATCATCAATCAAAAGCTTGGGGGTCAATCATCACTATAGTACTAGTAGTAAAGTAATAATAATAATGAATAATAATAATCAATAATAATAATAGCCATAACAATCAATCATTGTTGTGTTTAAGTAAACTACATTAATAACAAACAAACAAACAAAAGAAGAATCGGGAATGGTTATAATCACACAACAATTTTTATGGGAAATAAAGTAATAGATATATAAACTATCGTTTCGACAATCCATCGGCAAACAACACAACATTAAAGTAATGAAAGCACAATGCACATTACCAACCAACGGTCTATATTAGACCAACCACTCATCTTATATAATTTCTTTTGGATTAATAGTTCAAACAAAGGATGATTTGATTTGATAATTGGAATAATATATAATCCAATAATTCAATATTGATTTCCCAAGTTATTGGATAGTATCAATCCAATCGACGACCAATGAAAAGTTGTAGTTAGGGTGCACCATCAAAAAAAAAAAAAGTTTGGTTCGGCTCGGATGAAATGGAGTCGAGAGACCCCAGGGTCACAACGAGAGTCGCCCTTGAAAGGAATGTATGTGATGGTATTCATTGTGTTGTTGTTGTTTCAATTGTTTAACGAGTTAAAGGTATCTTTTTAAAACAAAGTAGTTTGAATTTCTACCCCTCCCCACCACACACAACTAACTATTCTTTCAACCTCCACAAACACAACAATATACCGATCTTTTTTTTTCTCGCAACAATTATATTAATATTTTGCTAAACATCACACAACAACAATCAATCAAACATTCATATAATAATTTATTTAGAGATAAGAAGAAGTAGAAATGGTTAGCCAAGCTATTTTAGGTTATATTGGAGCTATCATTGCTTCTGTCTTTTTTGGTTCAAATTATGGTACATATACAAACATCAATCATACTATAGTCGACCGTCATTTGTTCAATCAATCTTTACTTATACATATATTATTCTACCCATCTATCTTTTCCCCTCTTTCTCTTTCTTTTCTTTTCTTTCCTTTTGTTTTTATTAGTACCTGTAAAGAACTTTCCAACAGGAAATGGTATTGCATTTGCATGGGTAATGTCAGTTGGTACGTTGTGTACTGCGTACGTGGCAATGTTTATTTCAGGATCATATATATTTGATCCATGGGGATTGTTGGGAGGATCGTTATGGAGTGTTGGTAATTTGTGCGTCATTCCAATCGTCAAGACTATTGGATTGGGTCTTGGTTTGTTGTTGTGGAGTTGTACTTCATTGGTGACTGGTTTCTTGATTGGCAAGTTTGGTGCTTTTGGACTTGACAAGCAATCAGTTGCACATCCAGTCCTCAACTGGCTCGGATTTTCCGCCATCGTCGTTGCCATTCTCTTTTTCTTTTTCATCAAGCCAACATTGAACAAGGAGGAGCCAACCACACCATCTAAAAAGCGTCTTAGCCAACGTTACGAATACTCACCCATCGTCGACGAACAACAAATCAGCATCAACTCGACTGAAAACAGCGCACCTGTCGAGGGACAGATGATCTTTGAAAAGATCCCCGAGCCATACAACAAGATCTTTGGTGTCATGTTGTCTGTCTTTTCAGGCGTTCTCTACGGTGTCAACATGGTCCCCATGCAACTTTGGAAGCAACAACAACCAAGCGATGTCAACCCACTCTCCTTTATCTTTTGTCATTTCTCTGGCATCTTTTTGTTCAACACTGCCGTCTTTTTTGTCTACTCGATCATCAAACGTCCACCACAAGTCTTCCCACAAACCATGCTTCCATCATTCATCAGTGGTGTATTGTGGGGTGTCGCCAATTGTGGTCTCATGGTTGCTACTCAAATTCTCGGCTACACTATTGGTTTCCCAATCGGTTCGTCTGGACCAATGGTCGTCTCTAGTTTGTGGAGTGTCCTCTTGTTCAAGGAAATCCAAGGTACCAAGAATCTCTTGATTCTTCTCATCTCTTTTATTTTCTTGGGTGCTGGTATTACTTGTCTTTCTCTTAGTTCTTAAAAAAAAATATAATAATAATATAGATAATTTTACGCGTTTCTAATATAATATATAATTAAACACAAATAATTAATAATAATAAATTATTTAAATGTATTAAATAAATATTTATTTAAAAAATAATCTATAGATATATTTATATATATATATATAGCTCTCTCTTTATTCACTAATAAATTGAATTAAATCTGCATCAATCTTTATAGTTGATTTTGGTCTATCCCAACTTAACTTTAATTGCATGACGATTTGATCTGTTTTGGTAAATCCATTTCCAGAAATATCAAGTAGTGATAGGTTGATTGGTAGTTTGATAGGTGATGTTTGCAGTGTATTTTCATAGTTTTGACTATCAACTATTGAATACATGTCCTCGTCGTCATTGTAGTCGTCTTGGGTGTCTTGACCTACCAACAATGAATTGGATGAGAGATTGATTGAAACCAAATGAATTGGTAATTGGTTGGTAATGATTTTGATTACATTCTTTGGTCCTATTTGACAATGAGACATATCGAGTCTTGTCAGGCTCGCACATAATTGAATATTGTGTTGTGATAGAATATATGCTGTTTTTTGTCCAAGTGGATTACCAGACAAATTAATCTCTGATATTCTCCCATCATGACGACAAATATATTGACAAAGGGCATTTAAATCTTCATGATCTAAATCATTTTGTTGAATTTCCAAAGTTGTTTTGGTTGGTGTGACATTGTCAATCCTCGAGGAAAGAGGATTACCCAAAATAGTTGATAAACTTGATTTTAGGTTATTTTCACCAAAATCTAGTCTACATAGATTAGGAAGCTTACTAAATAGAGAGTGAACCAATGAAGAAGAGGAATGTTTAACTACCATTTGAACACCTCTAAGGAATAGTTTTTCAAGGTTACTATTAATACTCGGATATGTTGTAAGTTCTTTGAAAGAGTTTTGAGTGATTTGATCATTATACGATAAAGATAAAATTAAAAGTGGACAAGAACCAATTGATTTTAAAATTAATCTAAGAGTTTTATCCTCTAAATAACATTTCTCTAAATATAATTCTCTTAATGTATTCATCTAGAAAGAAAATATGGATTAATAAAAAAGAAAGATTGATATATTCAAATATAATATATTCCATACCGAAAAGAAATTTGAAATACTTTTTAAATTATTTGAATTTAATTTAATTGATTCGATTGATGGTAAATTGGCTTTTGAAATAAATGTTATGATTTGAGATCCCATTTGGCATCTTTCAAAATTTAAACTTTTTAATTTTTTTAAAGTTCTTAATAAATGATACAATTGGTTTGTTGATGTTTCGTCTAGATAAATAAATACAAATATAGATTTGTTAATAAATAATTATTGTTTTCATAATGGATGATTTTTTTTTACCAATTAAATTTGTTGAAAGATCCAAAGATAAAAGTTGAGGTTGAGTAATCAAAACATTTAAAACTAGTTTTGTTTCTAGAGCCTTGAGGAAATGTCTATTAAAAGAAATTTCTGTGACAATGAATCTTGTATCATTGAATTTATGAAACGTAGATGAAAGCTTTTGATTTTGTTCCTCCTTGTCCTTGATTAAATTTAAGTAAATTGATTCTAATGATTTTGGTGGTTCATTTTGAGGTCGCTAGAAAAAAAAAGAAATGAAAGAATAATAAATAAATATATGTACTCTTTTATATTATATTATATTTCTCTTACCTTTTGATTTTGTTCATCTTGATCCAAATCTATTATAATAATTGGTTCTTGATGTTTTTGTTTTTTTAAAGGAGTTGAACGACGACTAGTAGGTGTTTGAGCATTAAAACTATTATTTGGATTTGGATATTTTCTTTTTCTTTCATCTTCACTATTATCGGGTACGATAAATTCGTTACCATAGCATGGCAGTGTTTGTCCTTTTTTCCTATTCTCTATGGTCTCTTCTATACTTATATCTTCATTCAAATAGTTATCCATGAGTTCATCTTCTTGATCTGGTTGACTTCCATTGGCTACAAAACTAGTTCCAAATGAGGCCAATGGTTCGTTGGTTTTAAGACTGTATTCGACACCATCTAAAATATAGGTTTGGGGTTCGAGTACTAACTTGTGTTTTGATCTTGTTGCCATACGTCCTCTTGTGGACATGTTGTTAATGGCATCTGCTTTTGTTGGAGTCTCGATGGGTGCAAGCTTTTTCTTTTCATTTGCTTTTTTTGCCAAGTTTGCCATTGCTTGTTTTCTATCCTGTAAAGTTGGTGGTGGTGGAGATTGAATGTTTTCTTGTCGCCGCGTTGGTAAAGATCGAGTATTTGATATTTGGGAATATAAAAGATCATCGTCTTGTTCATCTCTGTCGGCTCTTTTTTGAAAATCCTCCAACTTTGATTGAAGCTTTTTAACCTTTCTTGGATTGTCTTCTTGTTGGTTGATTTTGATGAGAATTGCATAGGCAATGTTACCGATGGCAAAGTAAATGTCCTTGTCATGAGTTGACAAATTTTTTAACTTTGTACTGTCAAGAATACCATCCAATTCCTTTAAATGATTATAAGCAGTTTTAAAATCATTTGCTTTAAGAACCTTTGAATATTTTACAACCAATCTTAATAAAGAAGGATAGTGATTAGAGTCAGACTCTTTAAAAGTTCTTGATAAATCTTTTAAAGTTGTTGAAATCTCTTTTTTAATATATCCAGTTTGATTTTGCTAAACGTTAAGAATAAAAAAGAAAGGTTAGCCAAGTAAAATTAAATCTTCAACTATATATATATACTTTGCTTACAGTTGTTAAATAAAATAAAAGATCTTTGTATAATTCTAAAGTATCATCATTATTATTATTATTTTCAGAGATGGCATTGAGGATAGATGTAATTTTGATCATCGTTTGATAGTTGCCAATTGTTTTTTTCATAAATACAGGTCCCTCTTTTCGATTGACCAATATTTGCAACAATTGTTGATGATAATCCAATAATATTTTTAAAGTTTCAATAGTATTATCTTGATGATTATTATTATTTAGATTTAGATTTTCAAGTAAATATTCTACAGTTGGATACTTTGAAATGGCCATCTCCAAATCAATTCTATCTTTTGCCAAATCTATTACATCTGTTATTTTTTGAGATTTGACAGATAATCTTTCCATTGCCAATTTATCAAGTTCAGGATCCAATAGTCCAATGGCTTGACAAATACAATCCATCGATTGAGTGTATTTTCCAAGTTGAAAAGAAGCATCTGAACATTTTTCCTCGATATCCATTATTTTTTCCCCACTGTCTTGACTACTACTACTGCTGTCATCAGACTCTAATAATATGTTTTTATAGATGATCAAAGAGTCTATAAACTTTTCAAATTCACTTGTCTTCCAATATTGTTCATGTAGCATTTCATATGGCATCCAATCTAATTTATGAATTGATTGATAAAATGTTTCAACTTGGTCAAAAAAAAAAAAAAAAAGAATAAGTAAATTAAATAAATAATACATTATTATTATTATTATTATTATTAATTATTAATTATTATTTTGACATACTAAAGGTTAAAAATTCAATACACTTTTCAGGATGATTATGATTGATTGAAAGATAAACTTCAATGATTTCATTGACCATTTTTTGACCATCACCAAATTCATCCTTGCAACATTCTTGAGCATACTTTAGTGATTCCATTAGACTATCATTTGCTTTTGAGACAAGTGTAATTCCTTCATCACGCTCTGGTATCGCATCACACCCTTCATATTTTTTGTTGTGACGTTGGAGTTTAAAGAAATAGTAGAAACTGTTCTCTAGGTAAACTTGATAATGAATCTCGTTGATGTAGTAGTGATCGTTTGAAGACTGCATTCTTTTCATATGAGTAGTACCAATCAATTTTAAATATCCAAGTGCCTTGTTTAGTGACTCTCTCGATTCCTTAAACTTGCCAAGACTACGATGACACATTGATTGTTTGCAGTGTAACCCTATCTTTACCAATGTATAAGTACATTTTAATGAATCTAGCGATGAATCTTTTGTAATATTATTATTATTATTATTATTGTTATTATTATTATTATTGTTATTTGATTGTTCTTGTTCTTGTATTCGTTCTTCCTCCTCTTCTATTTCCTCTTCTTGTTCTTCAATTCGATCTATAAGTTTTGTGTATAGCGAAGCATCATATTTATTTTTGATTTTATCCTTTTGTTTTTCAAAACTATCTCTTATTGATAGATCTATATAACCCATATGTATAAAGATAATATAAATATTAAATATTTAAAGAGAATAAATAAATTTTCCCTTTTAGGTTGTCCACATTCTTTTGAAACTGTTTTTTTCGCGCTCCCATTTTCATGTTTGAATTTTTGAAAATCTGTAGTTCAATTCAGAAAAGAGATAAGCTACAGACGAATCAATAAAGGTTTATTTCATTATAGTGATTATTGATTTGGACTTCCAATTGGATCAATTCTTTTGATATTATCCTTTTCTTGTTGTAGTGATAGGGAACTAAGTCTTGGTGACGAAACATTACCCAATGAATCACTGAATCCCAAAGAATTTTCCAACTTTGGAAGACGAATATTTATATCCATCTCTTTAAAAATATCATTTCCTTCTTTAAATAACAAACTATAAAAAAATTGGTTATGGTTAGTAACTTTTCTAAATTATTTTAAAATTCTTTTCTTATTCTTTTTGATATTTACTATAAATCTTGCATAAAATTCTTGAAATGAAGAGGAACTTCATCCTCTGTTTTATGTTGCAAGTCAGCGATTCTGTTTTCATAATCTTGGAATGATGAATTGTAGTCAACTTGGAATTTGTTTTGTTTGATTTTTCTATCATCTATGCTTTTGGGTGATCCTCTTGCCACGTTGGTGGCAGCATCTTCCAATACCAATCTATCATGATTTACTGCTTTTTCTTGTTTAACCAATTGATGTACATCATGAAGATATAAATTATTAATTGGATAAATAAAGTTTTGTGTTGTTGCAATATACTAGTAAAAAGAAAATAATTTAAAATCAGAAGAATAAATAAAAAATAACTAAATCTTTACAAATAAACAATCTGTTTGTACATACTCTTTTGTTTAGGATATGTTGTAAATTTTCAAAGATTTCAGCACCTTTTGCCAAAGATGGACCACCCCTATGAATATGATGTTCTCCAAAATCTTCCAATGCATGATTTAATTGTTCTGATCTAATTTTTACCTCTTTGATAAAAAAATAAAGTATTATTAATCTTTTAGATTCATTTTTCTTTCTATATTATTAAAACAACATACTTGCTAAAGAATCAGACCAATTTTTTGAAGCATCATATAGATTTTGATAGTTTCCTCTTAGTTTTTCTACTTCCTATATATATTTTTTATATGTTTTTTGATACAAAGATATGTTATAATGTTAGCTATAACCAATGACAATACCAGATTTCAAAAAAGTATACTTAGTTCCATACCTTTCTATAAGCTTGAGTTTCAGGTTTCTCAAGTGTTGATGTTTTCTTGTGTCCAATAAACTCTCTGGTTCTTTCTTTAAATGCTGAATAGTCACCACTCATTTTTTATATTTTTTATCTGTATACTAGTTTAGTTTTATGTTTTTGATATCTTTGTTGTTGTTGTTGTTAAAAGACAAAAAGACGGACGGTGTGGGATGAAGATTAAATATTAATATTAATTTACCTCAAGGAATGAAAATTAAAAAATTGACTATTCTAATAATTATAGTTCCAAAATAGGAAATATTTTTCATGTTTTGAAAGTAGATTCAATTTAATAATAAATTGTCCACCCGAGTTTATGAAAATCTAAAGAGAAGAAATGTATTTTGTTTATTATTATTATTATTGTTGTTATTTTTTTTTTATTAGTTTTTTTTGATTATTATTTGTAAAATCGAAGTTATCTGAATTAAAATATGTGTGTGTGTGATGGTGTCAATGTAATGTGAAGTTGATATTGTACGAATCGTCGATTGAATATGAGAATGAATATGAATTCTAAATGTATGTTTTTGGATTTGGACTATTGAGAAATAATGACCATTTCAACATTATCATCAATAAGATCGACATAGGATGCTGATGAATCAGTCTCGCTCTTTTCACCAATATTGTTACTATTATTATTGGTAGGGGGATTACTATCATTGTCAACATCAGAGTGTTTCTGTGGATGGATTTGATAATTCTTGGTCAACCATCGAATGAAATATTTTTGATCCAAATAGTTGAAATAGGAAACATATCTATTTGAACGGTTTGAATCCTATAGTTATTAAATAAATGAATTAATACCCTGATTGATTAATATTCTGTCCAACAACTTTACTTTGACTACTTACATTTGATTCAAATTGAGTTTTATCAAGGTGAAGAGCTTTAAGAGATGGATAGGTTGATCCACCAAAAACAAAGATGGTAAAGTAGACGAGGAGGAGCACGTGTTCCTTGATGTAGGGGGCATAGTCTGACGTGAATGTGCCAGACAGGACAAGAGAGAACGACACTGCACCACGCAGCCCAGACAATGCGATGATGAGCTGGATAGGCATGCTAATGTCGCTGAGCCCGAGTCGGTTGAGCAGTCCGATGATGGGAAAGACCGACGCAGCTCGAAATAGAATTGAAAAGACGGCCAGCCACACAAACAGGGTCACCGAGAACCCGTTAGATGTGTAGTTGTACATGGAGAGTGTAATGCCGATATAGATAAAGGTGATTGTCTCAAAGGCAAATGCCAGTAGACGCAGAAACTGTTGTATCACCATCTGTCCATCAGACGTGAGATTGTGTACACCATAGTGGCTAAAGGTCATACCACACACAAACGTCGACAAGATGCCAGAGAGGTGTAGCGCATCACCAAGTGAATAGGATGCATAGGAGAAGATCAAAACAATGAGTGTCTCTTGTGTTGGGTATTGGTTGAGGTTGAGCATCTTGAGAAGAATCGAAGCCAACAATGCAATGACTATACCCAGAGCGATGCTACCCACTGTCACACCCAAAAACATCAATGTACTTATCCAAATGTCATTTGGTCCGCTGTACCCTGCCACTGCCTTGAACAAAATAAGTGATGCTGCATCATTGAATATACTTTCACCCAAAACAATAATAAAAAGTTTAGGATCAACATCCAATGCATTGAAAATACCCAAAGTTGCAACTGGATCTGTTGCACATGTAATACTTGATAATCTAAAGAAAGAAAAATAAATTGTACAATTAATTAATAAATAAATTCTATGGAATAGAATACTTAGTGGTCACATTAATAATAGCATACAAGAAAGATTCGAATAATGGTAATTCTAATGAAATGCCAATTTTACCAGTAAGGTATAATCCAATTGCAACGCCAAAGAATGCTATAAATGTTCCCAATGTAGCTAATAAAGTAATTGGTAAGATATTCTTGAAGAAATGTTTCTATAAAATAAATAAAAGATTTGTTAGATAATAATATTCAGGAGGAATAACTTTGCTTTTTAGATTTCTTCATACTCTTTGTAATGTAAAACCAGTTTCAAAAATAATACCAGGTAGTACAAATAAAAAGAACATTTCTGAACTGTAAGTTGTAACATGTTTGATGACTGGTACATTGATGAATCGACCAATAACTCCAATAATGGCTCCATAGATGATGATCATGGTTGTCTCTGGTATATAGTGAATTTTAACCGTTGCCATGATATAAAACACAATAATCGATACGAAAAATATTGCCAAGAATACTAGAACCAATTTGTTGGCATCTTCTTTGCATCCAAGTGACGGGTCACAAGTTTCTTCATGTTTTGGTGGTAGTTCTGATGATGTTGACAATGGAATTCTTTGAAGATTACCAATATCAACAATATTGTTGTTCTTGTTGTTGTTGTTGTTACTTGTTGTCAGACTACGTCTATTATTAAAGTTATGATAATAACAGACTCCGACTACCAATACAAGGAATGCAATTATTAAAGTGGCTATAATTAATGGCCAATGAATTGATTGTTTCCATGATTTCCATTTCTTTTTTGTTATAGTTGTAACAGAGGTAATAGTATTGGTATTCGCTGTACCAGTAGTATTACAAGTAGTACCAGTACTACAATTGAATTGGTTGTATTGATCAATGATGATGTTGTTGTCGTTGGAGTTTTGTTGTGGTTTAAACCACATGTCAGGCGTTGTGTTGGTTGTAATCTACTATCTAATGATGGTGGGTTGGAAGTATTTCTATCTATCTATCGGTGTTTATTGCTCTCTCTATCTAAAAAGTGTCTTTTTTGTTTTAATTTGATTTCAATAATATTGTAGCAATTATTGTATATTATTGAATCAAACGAATAAATGTTATTCTTGGTTCATGAAAGATAATGTGATAACAGTAAAGGTAACAACAAGTGGGGAGAAGATCATTTAAAAAGAAGACGCAAAATAGCAATAATATGAAGTATTATGAACTGTTTGTTTGTTTGTCTCGTTGCTGCTTTAGTATGTGGGATGGGGTATGAAGTGCGAGTGAGGGGGTTGTTGTTGCCTGTTGATGTTGATGGAATGAATGTATGTATGTTCTATCTATCTATGTATGTTCTATCTATCTATCTATTTATATATTTATATGAACAGTATTAAACCAACAGCTATATAGTAAGTTTGTTTATCTCTATCCAAATAGATCTATTTGCTTCAAAATAATTAAGATCTTGTTTTCAGCTTTGCAAGGTTCACATCCTAAGAAAAATTCAAAAAAATTCAAAAAAATAGAATAACCAATAATAATAATACTAATAATAGATTTAGTCCTTTCTTTATTGAAGATATAAAACATTATTTGGAATTTATTCAGACGAGACACACACAAGTAATACTAATATTCACTCTCTGTCAATTCACATATGATTTCTTTAAAAGATGATTTGGTGACGATGTGAGCAATCTTTAAGATGCTCTCTGGGAAATCCCATTTTTTGCAAACTAAAATGAATTTCACACCATCCGATTTCCTTTTTAGTCGCTTCATCACAAATGAATGAATTTCCGACACAAAACAAATTAAATTGCAGGAGAAGAAGGTTTACTATTTATTCATTCATTACTTTAGTTCATTAATTACTTTAACTAAATCATCAAATTTATCTCTCTTTATCATCATCATTATCATTCTTGAAGATCTTGAATGAATAGTAGTATCATTAATAATAATAATATGTCATCATTAGATAGTAGTAGCATTGATCAATTGTACGATACAACATCCCTACCAGAGAATGTACAAACTTTCTTTCACTCGGTTCAAGAGTCACCAGACTATAGACAGAATCTAGATCATATAAGAGTATTTGCAAAACATGCACTCAAACAGAATCAAAAAGTGATTGTCATTACTGTATGTTCCCTCTTGTCGCCCAAAAACCTATTCAACCTATTATGACTAACTAACTATTTATTTGTTTGTTTGGAATTGAACTTTCATTTCCTAGTCTGGAGGAACATTGGTGCCAATTGAAAAGAATATGGTTCGATATTTAGATAATTTTAGTGGAGGTGGTCGCGGAGCTAGTACTGCCGAGTATGTCATTGATTCAATCTAATTGAACTAAATATTATATATTTATTAACCAATTACTTTACTTTACTTTTTTTTATTAGATGGTTTTTAGAACATGGATATAGTGTTTTATTCCTTTCAAGAAAGAATTCATTACAACCATTCCTAAGACACTTGATGACACATGACACTAATTTCTTTGATTATTTAACCTACGACGAAAAAGATAAACAAGCACATATTAGTGATAAATATCAAGACCAAGTATCACATCTTTTGGGTAAATGGAAACATGTATGTTTTCTATTTGGTCTATATATGATACATATAATTTTAGTTTATTCATTTTTGTTCTTTCTACTATAGTATATAGACTCTGGCAGATTTGTAAGAATACATTTTCAATCAGTTGGTGAATATTTATATTTATTAAGAGCTGCATGTATTGAATTATCAATCATGAAACAAAATTTAATCATTTATGCAGCTGCTGCTGTATCTGATTTCTATATTCCATTAAATGAAATGGTAAGTAAAGTAGAGAGAGATAAATATAAATATGACCTATTTTATTAATCTAATTATTTAATTAAATGTTTTTAGTCGGAACATAAAATTCAATCAAGAAATGCAGGATTAACAATTGATTTACAACCAGTACCAAAATTATTAAAACATATTGTAGATTCATGGTGTAAAGATGCATTTGTTGTATCATTCAAACTTGAAACTGATATTAATATTTTAGACAAGAAATGTTTATTATCACTGGAATCTTATAAACACCATTTGGTCATTGGTAATTTGTTGTCAGACTATAGAAACAAGGTTGTACTGCATTCACCATTGATTGGTGTTGGTGCTGAAGAAAAGGGACCTATTACAATAACTAGAACACAATCACAAATCGATGAAATGGTTGATATTGAACCAATGATTTGTGATCGTCTACTTGCAATGCATAATCAATATATAACTAATAGTCTAAAATAAAACTAAAACTAAAAGAGACCTATATCGCGAATTGTATTATATTATATATAAATATAAAATCTCTCTTAATATATGAGTTTATTATTATTATTATTTGGTTATTTTGATAATGGATCTTCGATACCAATATTGGTGGTATCGTCTTCATCATCAAATTCATTGTCCGGAATGTCATCCCATACGATGGGAAGGTCACCCAACAACATATCTTTGATTTGTTTAATGTTTGCAACGGCCAATACCAATTCATCGTGATTTGCCAATGAAGTATTCTCTACAATATTGGTTTGGAGTATGGGAATGACGTTGCCCAACTGGTTGCCCAAATAACGTTGAGCATTTCGAAGTCTCTTGGCCGGATTCGTCTTTGGATTGGCCTTTTTCGAAACGTATGATTGTTTGGGCAAGAGATCCTTTGGTGAGGCTACAGGGTTAAAATAATTACTTCTTGCAGTATTAAGGTTAACAGATGTAGTTGTAAGAGGTGCTGCCGACGTTGCAACAACTGTCATATTGCCATCCGACGAAACAAGCGATGATGGTGTAGATGATGTAAATGATGGTGTTGAAATGGCTGAAGATTGATTTGGTGGTGTACCAAGTATAAGTGGTGATGTATTGGTAAATGTATTAGTAGTAGTTGATGTTGAAGTAGATGTGTTTGAAGAAGAGGTGAATGTAGATGTCGCATTGGTTGATGAAGAAGATGAAGAAGAAACAAATGAAGAAGAAGAAGAGGATTTTGTTGATGTTTTACTAATACCAATACTAAGACCACCAAGTCCAAGTATATCATCAGTTGGAGTTAAAGAAAATATTGAAGCTGGTTTACGAGGTTGAGCGGGTGGTGGTGGTGTAAATGTTGCTGAATTTGATAATGGATTATTCGATGACCCAGAAAATGCAGATGAGGACGAGGAAGTGGTGGAAGAGGAAATATCATCTCTTGATGGAGCGGAAAGATGACTCATTGTCTTTCGATAATTTGATTTGTTGGGATTGGTTGGATTAAAGGTAGGATTATTATTAAGTACAGATGTAATTGGTGTAAATGTCGTCGAAGATATATATGAAGGTGTGGTTGGAAGCGAAGTTATCTGACCAAAAGTTGTTATACTATTATTAATAGGTCCCGGTGTATCTTTGATCGAGAATGCCTTTCTTATCAAATATTGAATGTCTTCAACTGGTGGATATTTAAATAATCTTTTTAATACTGAACTATTATCTTTACCAATTACTATATAAGTCAACAAAATTAGGTATTAATAAGTATTATACTTTTCTCTCTCTTTCTTTTGCTTTCTTTCTTCTTACATTGATCTCTAATAAAAGATAACATTGAAATTGAAATAAAATCAATTAAATGTAAATTGTCTCCATATGCAAATATAGCATCCCACATTGATAATACATCTTCGAGATGGAATTCTCTACCAAATAATAAACGAATCCATCTTAATAGGTAGAGTTGAGGTTCGATATCAAGTGACTCTAAATGATTGTATAATTCTACATCCTTTGCTCTAAGTAAATTATTAATCGTTTTACATTTAATAACTGCTTGATTTACAACTATTGTTTCATTGTGTTGTTGTGGTTCTTTGTTTGGATCATCCTAAATTTGAAAAAAAAAAAAAGTTAATTAGCAAAAATATTATGTTTTTCTTTTTTTTTCCTTTCTTACACTTAATGAATGATGTTTCATTACAGGTGTATTTGTTGGACTTGTATTGCCTGCGCCTCCAGTAGCACCAAACCAATGGACACTAGTTTTCATGAGTTTACTAAACAAAATATAGACGTCGTGTTCGATATAATTTGGATCATAGATGATATTGACCCATGATGCATGTAAAACTTGAGGATCGACCTCTATCTTTTCCAATTCTGATTTTTTGTACTTTTCAACCTCGTGTGTAATTAAATAAAGCATGGGTGCAAGTAGCTCATGCATTCCTTGCCTATATGAAATATCTGGTGTTGAAGTTGAATAGATAAAAAGTATTCTCAACATAATCTAAAAAGAAAGAAAATGATTAGAACATGTATGTCATTTTCGACATCGTATGTCATTTTTGTTGGTTGGTATATACATACATCTTTAGTTTGTTGATCTTGAAAGAATTCAAAATCTTGATAGGTTCTTTCAATATCCAATGTAATTGTCTTTTGTCTTTCTTGATTTCTAAAAAACTTGTTCCATGGTGACTATAGATATATATATTGAAAAAAGAATATAAGAAGGTGTTTGTTCCTTGACTATTTTGAATCATTGAATCATCAATGAATAATTGTAACATACATTCTCATCGTTTGATAATGGATCGAAAACAACTTGTTGTTGTTGTTGATCTCTTGGATTGACATAATGAGTAGTTACCAAGTGTTGGTAAAGTTGTCTTTGTTCTGATATTGTGGTCTCCCATGTATTCATCTTATCAGTTTCAAGACATCCAAGGAATATCTAGATTCGATTAGAATGAATGAATATTATATAGTAGTTAGTTAGTAAACAACTTTGTTGTACTAGTCAAGTATATATTATTTATATATTTATATATTTGACTTACCCTCCAAGCTAAACCTCTAAGAGGAGAAGCAGCAAGTAAACCATTGAATGCATCATTTTTAAGAATATCCAAAGGTGATTTATCTTTTGGTACAGTGCTAAAGAACATATCATTGAATGCCTTTGTAAAGTCTGGAAGCTTTGATACAGAAGAAGAAGAGGTAGACTCTTCGTCGTGGTGTAGTCCTTCCTCGCCAATGACACCAACATTTATCGTTGAAATTACACTACTCTCTTCACTAGCTCTCTCCTTTCCAATAGACATTGAGAAGTTATCTCCTCCTGTTACATCCATTCTCTCTCTCTACTACTATATATATATGTATATAAAACAAACTACTTTTTCTTTTTTAAAAAAAAGTCTTTCTTTCTTTCACCAACACCTCTCTCTCTTTCTTTCTTTCTTGAGTGTAAGTGTAGAACAGAGTTAATTATATTATGTTGTTGTTGTTGTTGTTGTTGTTACTAACTAATACTAATAATAGTTGGATTCTCTGTTCTTCTCTCTTCTTTTTGAATGAATCATCAAAAACAACATTCATGAAAACTTTGAAAAAAATCTTATTATAAATTTTTAAAAATGAATATTTATTTTCTTTGGGGGTTTTGAAAATTTTTGGTTGGGAGTACCGCCTCAGAATCTATTTATTTGTAAAACTTATTTCTCTCTATGGTCTTCTTTATTTTTAATTATTCTTTTACCAATCGATAGATCTTTTCATTATCTATCAAATGGTTGACAAAAAAATTTGCGAGAGGTTCACCCTTCTAAAAGGTACTTTCCGTAAAGTCGCCATTAGCCATGGGCTAAGATGAGGTCTAGAAAGCATTGTTTGGAAAAACAAATGATATAAACAGAAAGAGCACAAAAAGTTGTATCTATTGGTGATATTGGATCGTCGTTTCAAAGATTATTCAAATAAAAAAAATGCTATTCTTCAAAGCCTATCTCATATAGTAAACATGCAACCATATAAAACTACGTGCTACATGGATCGGATCACGATTAATCAAATAAAAAGACAAGCGCCAACGCAAGAGGTGTAGGCGCCTTGAATCTTCAACATTATATGCACTGGTGTCGGCAGTGTTCAATGCATGCCACATCCAGCAACGCTAGACAAGATGGTTAGTATATTTGGAATGGTCAATCTCAAAACAATTGTGAATGCTCAAGAGTAATGGTAGCTTAATCTATATCGATATCATGGTTATTTATTTGGTACATACTAGTATTATTGTAATTAGCTCTTTTAAAACCCATCAAGGCTAGTGGTCATGGACAATTTCGCATTCGGTCTATCAAAACCATCCATTCTAAAAGATAATAAATAATAATTAGTAAACAGTATTTATGACAGTAATTTTACAAGATACATATCTTTACAGTTTTTAAAAATGGACCAACTCGTCTCTAATCAATTGATTCTATATTTAAAGTATAATATGGCATGAATATGATTAGTTGAGGGTTTGATAGTTGTATTGTGATGAATTTACTTAACTTTGTATTCTAATTCAGGTGGGTAGAGTTGATGACCAAACAACCACCTTTGTTGCTATAATACAAGACTATCAGCTATAGTATGAACCGATTTGTTGACTAGTCTCATTAAACAGATATCTGATAGATTGGAATTGTTAGTTTTGAAATTAATTTATGTTATGAATATATACATAACTTTAATAGATCAGCGGTTGATTAAGAAGAAGATCAATCGGTTCTATAGAAAAATAGTAAGGATGACCTATGTTAAAAATATGTATTAGTAATTGAGTGGTGGTTGTAGTATATACTACTACTATGTTGAAGTCTACATGATACTTAAACTTTATCATTTATGGATAGGTACCATATATGGATGTATTGTTTGATTAAATATTGAACTATAAAGCTGTAAGGGATAAATAAAAAGAGGAAAAGAAATATGAGTAGAATCAATAGAGCTACCATTACTCTTGTCTCAATCACAATGTTTCTCATTCTAAAAAAAAACACCAACAATATATAGATAATAAAATATTAGTATCCAGACCCAAGCCTGGAGCTGCAAGCAAATGCCCATTGTGAACCAAATGACAAGTTGAACTCCGTTGGCTATACCGTAGAGTAGTCCTTTTGAGTCAAATGAACAATGTACTTGCAGCTCCCAATTCTGAAATGATTTAAAATAGGGGAGAATTGTATATATATAGAGGGGGGGGAAAGAGGGATAGAGGGTAGAATTCATAAGTTTCCCACGCCGAAGCATGACCATTTGGAAGACACTAGAACATCCTCCCACCAACCAAAAGGAGTTGTAGTGTCTTTTTAAATAATAATAATAATATAACCACAAGTGTAATCTATAATTATAAAAAAGAGGTTTATTTCTATTGTCTTTAAACAATAGAATAATGGTTAGTGATGTATAATATTTCATAGTAGTGTATAGTCTTACTTTAATTTATATTATATATTTATAAAAGATTTTGGTTCTTTGTCAAAGGATCCTTGAATAAAGACAGAGTGATTGTTGGTCTACGTCATGTCCTCTAAAGGCGTCATTCCCATTGTTGATTGACTGATTGATGATTGTTTAAAATATCTTGATGAATCTAATCGATCGATGGTTATTGTTGTTGGTGTCATGATGAAAATTCTCCCTCCAAAATTAATTACTTCTCTTCATGACATGATAGTGCTGTGCTGTACTGTGTTCTCGCGCAGTACAAGACAAGTAGTAAATATAAATACATCTAGATTTATGAATTCATAACCCATCCTAAAGTTGAATTCATTCATTCATTCATTCGAGACAGACATCCATCAAATGACGATGATGATTGAGATTTAATTTAACTTGTTACCCTATACTACTTGTGTTGATGATCAATATTCACATCATCATCATCAACATGATCATCATCATGACTTTTATATCTCTAAGTATTGTATTGTAATTGTATTGTTCTTATTCTTATGACTCTGTGATGATCATGATGTTTGTTGGCGTTTGTGAATGCTCCATTTGCAAATTTGAACCCAAAATCTCTTAGTTGCTTACTAGTATGAAAAGGTGACACTGATGATAATATTCTTTTGAAGAAAGGAATTAGTATACATCAACAACTACTACTAGTTAATTTCTTATATGCAACTTATTGTGTAGAATTATTATAATAATTCTTTTTTCCATCTTTTGCTTCCTTGTGCATCTTTCTAATGATGTTGATACAACTAAAATCTCTTGGTGACATAAAAACTGTACCATCTTCGTTGATCTTTTCTCCTTTGGGGTCGAGAGTTGTCTTGATACCTCTTCCATGTTTAGACATGCTCAAACTTCTTAGAACCTCTGCTTGTAGTACTTCGTCGCCATTTGTATGTCTTCTCAACAGGAATGACGTTTTATTTCTAATGCGTTGCACTTGTCTTAATGAGAATGTTGGTTTAAAACGGTCGCCAATTAATCGTTGGTAGACTGTTGGAGGTGTCGTTGTTGTTGTTGTTGCTGCTGCTGGTGATGCAGAGATTGTTGTTATTGGTACTAATGCTACTGATACTGATGATGCTGCTGATGCAGTGATAGTTTGGGCTGCTGTACTCATGATTAATATGCTTAAAATAAAGATAAAAATATATCTATAATATTGATAATTCATTAAATAAAGATATTATCAATTTAATTAAATAATTAATTGTTTGTTTCAATTGATTCTACACTTTTTTTTTTTTTTTTTTTTAAATTTTTTTTTCTCATGAGATAGTGCGATCTTTATGCGTGCCATAGGTGACTGACCTGATACATTGCGAGGTTTGAACATTTGTTTCAAAACAACAACAGCAAATAGCCCCTCTCTCTCATTAATAAATGGATCCTATCAAAAAGAAGAAACAACAATAGAATCATACCCTGATTTGGTATCATACACCCCCCCCCCTCTCCCTCCTCCTCTTCTCTTACATTTTAGATCTTGGTTCATATAATGAGCCTAATCCGCACCCCCATCCCCCTCCTTATCCGCCTCACTCATATAGTGAATCAACACGCCCATAATCTGACGGGTTACATCAAAGAATGATCGTGCTGTGGCTCACCTAGGCATCATATCCAACCATGACTACCACCCCCTATCCTCCTCCTTATCCCCCTCACTCATATTTTAAATCATAAATGATCGTGCTGCTGTGGCTCACCTAGGCATCATGAATGCCCCCATTAAACGGTGGTGATGACACAGTTCGGGTATTAAGAAACCACCATACGATTATGATATCATTGGGACAACCCCATCTGTATATGTATCACCCCTCACTTTTTGTTGATAATCAACAAAGACAAGAAAACATTTGTTTAAAATAAAATATTATTCATCAAGCTCCAATGTTCTCTATTTAAAGTGTTCTTTTTCTCATCACATCATTATTCATTTTATCTATCTTTTCTTCAATTCATTATCTTTCTGCTATATTGTATTACCTTTATATATTTTTTATATAGGAAGCTTCTAATTGAGGTTCACTATCGCACAGTGGTCATCATGAATGGCCCACTTCCATCCGCAACAGAGACAAGAACAACTCAATACCCTCTCGATCGTCTCATGGGTAAGAAGTGGAATAACGAACAAAACTTGTTTGTGACACATCTCGGCCAATATGCAAGATACTATCACTCTGTTAAGAGGTTAGTAGGCCAATTTTTTTTAATATTTGTATACGACTTTAATAACAGTAAGATATCATCAACCTTTTTTTTTTTTTTGAACATGAATCATTCAGATAAGTTCATGAACTAATTGATCGATTTCATGTATTTTACTATTTTTAGTGTTTAGTTTGTCCCGACAAGAACTCGAAAAAGTAATACCAAAGTATTACGACATGAGTGTTCTTTCAAAGAACAAAACAAATGAATTATATGAAAAAATGGAAAATCGGTTGACTTTGCCGATTCGATGGGATTCTCTAATTGTGGAGGCCATCATCTCAAAGGTGATGGACATAGACACACGCAAAAGCAGTAATAGTCCAAGAGATTATGTATGTATAACAGTCTGTGACAGGTATGATGTGTAATAATAAATTAATTTTTATTTTATTCTTTGTTTACTCTTTACAGAATTCTGCACAAGATGTCCAAGCAAAAGAGAAAATCGTCAACAAAATGCTATCGAGAACATTTGCCAAACTCAAGGTAGACGAGATGGTTGCAAAATATCAAATCCTCCGATATGCACTCCTTGACCCAGATCTGAATCCAATTGGCTGTTGCCACTCTTATAAAACCGCCTTTGCCAACTCCATTTGCAATAGTTACTCGGCCGAGGTGGCCGAGACCTGCAAAAGGATGGTGGAGAGTGCTTTAGACCGTCAAGATGACCGAAACATATTCCACCACGAGTCCAAGTTGGTGTCGGATCTTCTGGAGGATATACTTGCCAAAATAGATGATGGTGATATCGGTGAAGGGTACCAAGCTCTCAAACTAATATTTTCATCTCAACCATTAAAAGGTATGTCATTGATATTAACACCATCACAGGTTTTTTTTAAATATCTTCTTGCGTCGGTTCATGTAACTCTATCTCTCATTTTGTTTATCTTTTGCTCATACACGTCAAAAGGGGTCGATGACTGCTACTGAGAGGATGGTGGGCAGTTTGCGGAGTGTCGATCAGATTTTTTTTTTTAATATTTATTTTCATTTTTTTTTTTCATCTCGAACAACTCACAGAAACCAAATTTAGAGAATGTATATTAAACTATTAAATAACATCTCACACTCAACACAACATTATCAATAGATAGAATACAGCGAGTATTGTTTATAGTTACACTTTTAGTGTAAGAACCCACACATCACTATCATTACTCCTCTTTTACACCATTTCTTTTTGATTATCTTTTGTTTTCATTGGTTTACCAATCAATGCACCACCCATCTCTTTCCTTTTAACTACTCATTGTTGGCCAAGTTCATCTTTACATATCATTGACCTCTTGTGTTCACTCATAAATTATATAATCCTTTTTGATCCAAATCAAGTACCAATCTACCACTCTTTATCGCTCTGCATCCTTTTTGTTGTTCGTTTGATCCACTCTCCTATCCGACAAACTTTCTTTACCACTTAACTTTCCATCAGATACTGCAATCAATCACTACCATTGCTCCTCTTTTACCCTTTCTTGTTTTGATTATATTTGTTTTTATTATCGAGATGCACCACCCATCTAACCACTCGCCTCATTGTTGGTCCCAGTCTTTCCATCAGATCGATAATGCAAAACATTACAATCATTGCTTTTACACCATTTCTTTTTTGTTTTCATTATCCAATCAACGCATCACCTATCTCTTTTGCCTCATTGTGGAGAGAGAGATAGAATTTATAGAGTATAATTGTAATACAGCGCGTATTAATTATTGCAGAGATTAGAGTGATCTTTGATACCTCCATTGATAGCAAGAAGCTCTCTCTATGCAGTGACAGGCCTGTCAAACCTTTTTTTTTTTTAATTTTAAACCTCTCTAACATTTATTACATTTATCATTATAGATCATAATTTGGAATGCGAAAAGAAAAGGTCAAAATTAAAAGAGGAAAGAGAGGCCAAGCAAAATCAAGAGCCAGCCATTCCCAAGGAAAAAAAAAAGAAGAAACAGTTTTTGGGTGACAAAAGGCCTGAAAACTTTGATGAAATCAATTTTGATGGATCTGTTTATTCAATATCAAATTTGGCCACAGATTTAGAGATTGATAGCAAAAATGTAAAGAAATTAAAGGTTGAAGAACATATATCTGGTGATTATTTACAATCTGAACTCTCATCAAAGTTGGAAGCGTTGATCCAATCATCAACATCAATAAGTGCCTGGAGTGGGTTAAATACCCTCCAATTGAATAGATTGAAAATGCTAAATTTGGAAAATATAATTAATCCGTAACTATTATTATTATTATATCTTTTGTTATTTTTTATTATTTTCATTATAATTAACTAATCAAATGCTTTTTTTGTAATCTTATTTTTTTTTCTATAGAGAGGACAATTCAATCGATTTTTCAAAGTTGACAAAAGATCAATATCCATCTTTAATGGATTTTTGTGAATCAAATGGATACAAGTTTCCAAAAGGATATGACCCTACAGGATTGAAATCCCTCATGACGTCCGATTTGGAGACGATAAAAACTACTCCTTTCGCATTGAATAGCTTTGCACCACAAGCAAAGTATGTATAAAACAATTGACCAATATCTTTTTTTTATATTTTTAAAACTAATCCTCTTTTTTATCTATAGATTCAACAGTACTTTTATCCCATTCTCGATAGAGTTGTTTGTCAGTATAATCGTCAACTCTGGAATAGATATGTCCCTTGGTTTGACAGACAAACACAAAATATTAAGGTATATTTCAAAAATATTACCTAATTTGGAAAAAGAAATTGGTCATCCATTGGAAAGTGGCTATCCATTGGATAGATTTAAGTTTTTCGACAAGGAAATTGAGATCCTCAAAGCTTCGCACTTGGCTTCTTTTCCTTCATCGTCAGATGTAACAATATCACCATCCTCTTCGTCTGATGTAACAACATCACCATCCTCTTTGTCTGATGTAACAATATCACCATCCTCTTCGTCTGATACAACAACATCACCATCCTCTTCGTCTGATACAACTACATCTCCATCCCCATCATCAAAAAAAAAAAGAGGTAGACCTCGTAGTGAGATTGTGGATATAAAGTTAGAAAAATTCCCTGATTTTAAAGATTTTAAATTGGAGGATCTTAATCGACAATTGGAACTTAGAGATATCGAATCCCCAAACATTGATACACGAGTCCAAGAAGAGGAAAATATTAAAAGATTGAAATTGGTTTTATGGCAAGACATGGTAAAACGCTTGCAAATAGATTTTAAAGAAGACTTTGACTACAGCAAATCCAGTCAAGTTAGCATTTTAAAATGGTTATCTTTACCTACTAGCACTATTAAAATCGAATATGATTGGTACTGTTGTTCATTGCCAACACTGAAAGGAACTCTCAAGAAACTATTCAATGACAGCCCAAAGGTGAAGAGAAATGAGCCAAGGAAATGGATGCCAAAGTCTCTTGCTTCAACAAAAAAATCGTTTCTTTTTCGTTACTATACGATTGGATTTGTTGGAAAATCAGTCCTCTGCGATTATTTGCAATCACCGTATGTAAAAGACAACCCATTCGATTTCAACGGGTCAACAAAAACAATTCACCCCAACTTTAATGATTACGAAAGAGACAATATTGGTTACATTTATAACCAAAAAATGTCGGTCCTAATCAATCAAAGGGCGATGATGGTGACAACCAACGTTCCCAGCCATATCTGGTTCCAAACAAAAAGTAAATGTCATTGTTTTAAAGCATTATTATCTTTTACGACCCATTCATTTTACTAATATTTAATTTTAATCTTTATATAGGTGCAAATGAAAAAGTAGTTTCTGATGTGCAAATATCCATGAATAGCCGTCTCTTGCCATACCATTTGAAAAAGAGACAAAAACTAGAAGAATCTTTTCCAGAGCAAAGTTTGGTCTCTCAAAAAAACGGTCAAGATGGCACACCCATGGATGATTCCGATGACGACGACGATGATGATGATGAATCATGGAAATGTAAACAAGTAGAAGAAATGGAAAAGAACCATTCATATTCATACAACCATCCCCACTATGCTTGTTTTGTGGCAAAACAAGTTGGGTTGAAACCAAACATTCCCAAAGTCAAGGATAGAGATATTATCTGTGCCAATTGTTTGTCATCCCACTCACTTAAAGATTTGCCTATGGTGTGCGAACAATGTGATGCGACCATTCCTATTCTATCGGAACATGAAAAAAGATTGGATTTATGTGGTGACCTGATGGATCTGTACTCGGTTGATATTCAACTAAAAAGGAATGCATTTGAAAAAATGCCACCCTTTGATTCAAAGGATGATCTATTCCCTCCACCAGTACCATTAATTGCCGAAATCAATCATCGACTCGTCAAATTTGACCAACCTGAATCACCCCATGTGGAGATTTTTCTACACGAGGCTCTCAACACCACCTCGATAGCACTCAACAGTAACAGGTCAGGAATTGCACCCTCCATGCGGAACCTATTCAATCTTATTAAAACTACATCCGATCCCTCGATGCAATTTAGAATTCGTGATGCATATCCCTTTGTCCACGACTCGTCTACTGGCGGATTTGAAAATGAAATCAAACATGAAATCATGGTGAAGGAATTAATGAACCATTTTTCAATGACAACGTCCAAGCTCATTATTGTTTGTGGACAATTCCCTTGCAAGGCAGCCAAAGAGGCTTTTAATGCCAATCCTTTGGATTACGAAATGGTTGACTATAGTCAAGAATCTTATCACACCATTTTAGATAAAGCCAAAGGCACAACCGAGGACAAAGAGGTGGATGTAAGTAGGATAGTTCCTAAAAGGCTCATTGCTATCGCTCCGCATCCATCAGTCATGTTTGCGTTGCACATAACAGCAGCCTATATTTTGATTGCTCATGATATCTACAAAATGGCTCCAAAGGTATCTCAATTTGACCCAGTTCAAACATTTAAATCGAATTCCCCCTCGTCTGCCTCGTCCTCCTTCTCCTCCACGTCCTTATCATCCACGTCATCTTCATCATCTGCCTCGTCATCTTCATCATCTGCCTCGTCTTCCTCGTCTGCCTTGTCCCCGTCCTCCTCGTCCTCCTCCACGTCCTTATCATCCACGTCATCCTCATCATCTGCCTCGTCTTCCTCGTCGTCCTTATCATCCACCTCCTCTTCATCATCCTCCCCTTCGTCCTCCAATCAAAATACCACCAAACGCCCAAATCTAAGTAACAAAACAAAAGATTTTCCTAAACTTAAACAATGGACGTTGGAACATCTAGTTGAAGAGGCCACATCCCGTAAAATCGACGTAGAGAATATCAAAGAAGATCGTCTTCAAGTGGAATGTGTTTTGTTGAAATCGGTCCTTGGGGTTCAAATATGGTCAGAACAAAAAATTGAACAGTTTGATCTAGAGAAATCAAACTCGAAAAAAGATATACTGACCTATGCGAGAGAAAAAAATATCCCTTTGACAGACTATTGGTTCTTCATGACGTTGGAAACCCTCAAAAAAGCCGTGCAAAGGTGTCTCGCTTCCACCTCGTCCCCATCTCCGTCCTCCTACTTGCCCACCCCTTCCTCACCCTTGACCGATATCTCACTCCCCTCTTCCCCATCCTTGACCGATGCCCCACCCACTTCATCCTCATCCGATACCTCAACTCCACCCTCTTCCACCGATACCTCATCCTTGACCGATACCTCAACCACCTCATCCGAAACCGAAACCCCACCCTCTTCCACCGATACCTCATCCTTGACCTATACCTCACTCCCCTCACACTCATTCTCCTACTCCTCCTACTCTAAACCTTTTGTAAAAAATGAAAAGTGCGTTTACAAAGATGAAGAGAAACATATAAGAGCAAAGAGAGATTTTTATCACTCTGGAATGTGTAGAAGGCGCCGAAGCAAATGGAAAGTTATGAGGGAAAACAACCGTGGCAATTATCTTTATATCGGAATTGATCCTGGAAGGTCAAAATGCACGATTGTAGACTCTATGAATCGTGCTCGAGTGGTTTCAGTGGCATCTTATTACAACCTCATGGGCACTGACCGTCTTCTGGCAAGACAACAAAACTACAAAAAGAACCCGGTCCTGTCCAAATTTGAAAGTGGATTGCCAACCTATAATACCTTTGGTAAGTGTTATTTTAAATATTCATTGTCTATACCACCTATATATTATAATATTAATATTTATAAACTAACTTTTTTTTTAATTCCTAGATACTTTATTCAATGTAGAATCTGTATTGAGACGAATAGAGTATGAAAGATTTACCCATAGGGATCAATGTCGTCTTTATTCCCATGTAGTGACGTCCTATACGTTTCAGACCATGGACAAGAACAGGAACATTGACAAGAAGCGCGCCCAATATGCCTATGCAAAGAGCTTTGTACCACCAACAACAATCCCGAAAAATAGAATAGTGATTTGTATGTTTTTTTTATTTCTTCAAACCATTTATTATTATTTGTTATTAATCTTCTTTCTTTTTATAGATATTGGAGGGTCTGATTTTTTCCGTGGATCCCGAGGTGGTGGTAGAACTGGTTGTACATCAAAGACACTACTCAGACTGTTTTTGAATATGGGTTACAAGGCACGTCTTGTCAATGAATTTAATACCTCCAAAGTATGTGTGTTTTAATAATTGAATTTTTAGATCAACCCTCGAAATGGCCATTCATTAATATTTTTTTTTCCAAGATTCATAATGCATGTGCCTCCAAAATTCATTCTACCAACAACAACAAGTTCCTAAAAAAAGCTAAACACCAAAAGGTTAAAAATGTGTTGCCAGAATCTTTTGAAAAGACCCATGTTGTTGGTGCACCCATATCCTCCACGTTTTCAGACAATGGTGTTCGTTGGCAAGGAAAGGATTCCAAGTTATGTGATGGTTGCAAATTGACTGATTACAATTGTCAATGCTCCAAGGCTCAATTGGCGGACAAAGAGAATGATTCAACTCTGAAAGTGTCTCAATTGGCAGATGATATGAATGAAACTCTAAAAGTATTCATATCACTTGAAAATACTTCACCTTCTCCAACTATGCTATTGGAATCCCTTTTCTCTTTAAGCAAAAAGACTGTCAAGGAGTTGATAGAGTTTTGCAATCTAAACTCTATCAAATACCATCAACAAGAAGAGCCAACCAAAGGGAAAAACAAAAGAGGTTCTCACAAGGATAGTAAGGGTGGTGCTACCAACAGCAAAAAGGACCAACTTATCAACGCTATCATCAAGTTTAATTTTGAAAAACAAAAAAGGGATGCTAGCAAAAATAAGAAAAAGAGGTCAAAATCGTCATCAACTACTAATGATCGTTGTAAGGACCAAGATCAAAGCAATAGTCAAAAGGATGGGAACAAGTCTACAAGCAACTCTGTTTCGACCCACGATTATGGTTTTGGTAAGTCTCTTTGTGATAGTCAGATCAAAGATCTCTGGAAGTCAATGAACCCAAATGCGACAGAAATGCCATTTAAAACTAAATGGCAATGGCTATATTGTCCAGTTTGTGATCATTTCTTCAACAGAGACACGAGCGCTGCAAAGAATATTCTCTTATTGGGAATCTTACACCAAACCGCAGATTACAGGCCATGGATTTATCGTCCTTTACCTGCCGATATCGTGCATATTGGGAGGGTAGACACGACCTAGTTAACCTTAACAGGGCCTTCCTGCATAAATATGAAAGTCCCCCCCTCAGCTGTAAGTTATTAGATAGAAAATATAATGTTGATCTCAATTTACTGATTTTCCTCTTTTTTTTCTGTTCTTTGTCTTTTTTTTTACTTTGTCTGTTTTTTTTTCTTTCCTCAATTCAAAATAAAAGTTCAAATAGCAGCGTCTACAAACATTTATGAGAGATAAATGAATTGACAGAAGTTGGATCAAACTATGGTCCTCTCTCTCTCTCTCTCTCTCTCTCTCTCTCTCTCTCTCTCTCTCTCTCTCTCTCTCTCTCTCTCTCTCTCTCTCTCTCTCTCTATGATCATACATCATCATCATAATATAAAATAAAACCTGGTTGACTATGCAGGTGCGACCTTTGTCCAAAGCTTTCACTGCAAATGGAACGGCCATTCATTTTTTAGTTCGAAAAGTCACCAGACCTTTTATGACACTTTGAACTCTGAGAGAGGGGAAGGTCCGCACCACATCTCAGATTGAACCTTTCACTCATGAATGCAAAGTTAATTTATACCTATTTCATTCAAATTATACGTACACATAAACATAAACATTTATTTATTTATTAAAACACATCATCATGAAGCTTACACCAGATAATATTAGTTCTAAATTGGGAAGAGTAAGAGAAAAGACCAAAGGAGATAGTAGTAGTAGTAGTAAACAACAAGAGGGGTTAACTAACTTGCCTTCCTTTAATCAAGAAAATTGATCTTGCTACATTACAAGAACTAGATCTTTCATCACAAGGATTCACAGAGACCTCTTCGTTTTCAAGACTAAAGGCATTAGAGATACTCGACTTGTCAACCAACAGATTCCAATTGATTCGTCATATCAAGGGTTTGTTTGATCTACCACGAATCAAACAACTCAAACTCAAAGGAAACCCAGTCACCAAGGCTGAGGCATATAGACTCACTGTCATTGCTAATTTACCAACATTACAAGTATTGGATGATATGTATGTAAACATAAATATATACACAACAAATCAGTAGTACTGTACTGACTGATTGATTATTTTGATGCACTGTGCAGTGAAATTACAGACTCGGAAAGAGAACAATCTAAAAAAATAAGTGTAGAGGTAAAGGATCCATTATTGAATCCATCGTCATCATCATCATCATCATCAACCGATGACTCTAATGATATTTTAGAAGCCAATGTAAAGGAACCAGAACCTCCTAAAAAGGTCGAAAAACCAGTGGTCGTAGAAAAGAAAGAAGAGAAACCAGTAGTAGCAACACCAAAGGAAGAACCAAAACCAACTCCAACACCAACTCCAACTCCAAAACCAGCAGCACCAGTAGAAAAGAAAGAAGAGAAACCAGTAGCAGCAGTAGCACCAAAAGTTGTAGAGAAAAAGGAAAAACCAATTGAAAAGGAGATCAAGAAGAAATTAGTATTTGTAGACGAAGATACATTATTTGATTCAAAACCAAAGGCACAATTATCATTTGAAGAAGAAGAAGATAAATCTAAATTATTGTATGTTTTGGGAAAATGATTCAATTATCAATGGACCGACTGACTATGATTAACACCCAATATTAATATTATTCTATATTAGATTTGGAGATGACGATGATAGCGATTTAAAGGCATTGGAAAAGAAAAAGGCACCAGCCAAAAAAGCAGCGGAACCCAAAAAGTTATTATTCGAAGATGATGATGATGGAGACAGTTTATTTGCACCATCCAAGAGCACCAAGGCAGCCAACAACAGCAACACCAAATCATCGGATGATTTGGATGACCTTTTTTCATCGTTTGGAGGTGGTCAAGACAAGTCTATCAGCAAAGAATTCGATGTATCAAGTTATATCGAGTCACAAAAGAATAGAAAGAAACAATCATTGTTTGAGTAATAACTCACTACTGCTACTGCGCAGAGTGGTCTCCTAAATCTATTTATAAATCCCCAAACCCTTGTGTAAAATATATACATCCACCAAATTATTTGTTTTGGAATCAACCAACCAGGTTTATTGTGTGTCCTTTCGGAGATACAGAACTCTTCTTCTTCTTCTTTAATCGATCGATAGATTGATTCTCTTTTGTTTCTTTGAGGGGAAAGACGTCGAACCAGATATTATATTAACAAGTCAAGATATTATGAGCTCTCGTTTTTATGTGAACCCCGACAAGAGAGGGGAAGGGAATGAAAAGAAATAATTATGAACCCCCAACTTTTATAGTACTTCATAGTTTATTCACACCAAACATACAAATAGAATGAATATAATATAACTATTGTTAAATTATACAATCATTTTTTATCATCACTACTCTCACATACATTCATACATACATACACTGATCTATTTATTTATTATCTATCAATTTCATCAATCAGAATGGAGAATGAAAATATTGACATAATACCAGACAGTCCTACCCTAAATAGTAACAATAACAATAATAATAGCAATGGAATAGACTATAGTCCTAGTTCACCTTCTTCTCTGATTAGTGGTTATACAAAACCTAAACATCGTCCAAAGTTATACCCATTCCATTTTAATATTCATTTACCAAATAGTCGTAATAGAGCGTAAATATACAAGAATTATCATCATATATGATATGTATCATCAAAGACTAATGATTATGTTATATGTTTTGGTTTGATTTTAGAAAATGGAGGTATGATTTGGGAGCTTTTATCGAGAGTCATAGGGTTCAAGTTTTTATTGTTGGATTGATCATCTTGGATTTGGTCATAACTATTGTAGAACTATTCTTGGAGGAAACTTATAAATGTACTGATCATCATGATATACCTCATGCTGTTCAAACTGCTGAAGATGTATTTCAAATTATGACTTTGGTTGTATGTATTTGAATTATAATATCCATCAATCCATTATGAACTATTATTCATTTCTCTCTCTCTCTCTATATATATATATTCTAGTTACTAGGATTATTTGAAATTGAAATTATTGGATTACTTTTATCATTTGGATTTGATTTCTTTAAACATCCACTTTATGTATTGGATGCCATCATTATTACAGTGTCTATAGTTGTAGATGTTGTATTTAGAGAATCTGCCAGCAACCTTTTAGTTATTTTTAGTAATTATCAATCATTGTCATTATTATTAAATAATATTTATATTAATTTATTATTTTAGGATTATGGAGACTTGTTCGAGTTGGACATGGTATTGCAGTTTCAGTAGAGACACATGACAGAAATAAATACAAACATTTGAAACGACATTTCAAGAAATGTAAAGCACATTACAAACAAGTTGAAGAGGAGAACCAGGAACTCCGAAAAAGATTGGATCTCAGTTCACCTAGCTCTCATTTCTCACCATCACATATCCCAGGTATTAGCAACAACAACACAACCACCACCTCCACCACTAAAAGACAAGATAATAATAACAATCATAGCAACACATCTAGAAACGATTTATCGACATCACCAACCTTTTCACCATCGACTTTTACATCAATGGATTCACCAACAGTTTCCAATCATTCATCAGGCCCTCAAAGTAGAAAGATTTATAAACAAACCAAAACAAAGAAGAATAAGAAATCAAATACTAGTAAATACCCAAGTGATGATGATGATGATGACGACGATGATGAAATTAGTCAAGATGAAGATCAATAAATAATACAAATAATTAGAAATAATTATGAAAATAATTTTATTTTTTACCTGTTGTCTTTTCAACATCTCTTTTTTGTTCAACACAATGATCCACTGACTTTTAGTCTTAATATTTCGAAATAAGAAGAAGTACACTATACTATACTATAATAAATAATATTAACAAGTAAACAAATAACAACAACAACAACAGATCTGTAGAGAATAGAAGATATATATATATATATATATATAAATATAGATTGTAAAACTACTAACTTTAGTTTAGATAGTTAGTTCATTGTATTAAAGTATACTGATCATGGATACTACTACTACAAACAATAACAATAATAATAATATAAATAATAATAATAATAATATAAATGATAATGGTAATTTGCAAAAGAATAATATAGCAATCAATGGTACAAATCAAGATACTGCATTTGATGTGGTATTACAATGGTGTTCATTAGCATGTAGTAAATTGATATTCCATCCGATAGAGTTCCCAATACATGCACTTACAACGTTTATACAATCAACTCCGACACCTCAACCAATCAAATCATCTGCATCAAAGTTTTATTTATTCAAAAAGGCTTTGTCACCATCATCATCACCTACCATAACGACAACGGCATCATTATCATCAACATCATTATCAACATCATCATCATTATCAACCATCAATACATTGGCAAACAATTTGGGTGTCAGTTCATTGGATAATCTAACACCACAACAATTTACATCGGAATCGCTATGGAAGCTATTCAAACAAAAGGGTTATCACATCTACGATGGTGGATTGGTCTACCTTGCACACAATATGATTGTTATAATATTCAACTTTGCCCAACGTTATGTATCGACAGTCTACAATTCACATACCATCATCACATCGACAAGACCTACCACTACCAATCATCACGACAGAGACGACAATGGTCAAGATGATGAAGACTCGTATGTCGATGACGACGACAAGATTGTGGTCGTACTGACCAAGGATCAATTTGAAAGAAGAAAAAAGATTGGAAAAATGTTGGACATTTTATTGTCTCTACTCAAGAATGGTCTTACTCTTCCATTGGATGTACTCATGACAAGATTAATCGTTCATCGTTTTTATAAATCAAATAGTACCTCTGATTGTACATTAAAAGGAATATTTAAAAATGAAGGTTTAGTTAATGGTCTTTATGCTGTAAGTATATCAAAAAAAAAATAGAAAAAAGAAATAGATAACAAATTTTAAATGAAACAATTAATTATTAATATTTATTTATTTATTTTGTTTGTTAGGGATGGGAAGTAGTAGCATTAAAATCATTATTGGAAACAATATTTAAATTTATTGATAATAGATTAGTTCATTCAAATAGACGTGGACCTTTTACTCCTACTGAAAAATCACCAGCTCAAATATTACTATTATGTATTAAAATTAGTTTAGATTATATATTAAATGGTAAGATTGAATCAAATTAATTATAATATATATATATAAATATATATTGATTGATATTAATTAATTGATTGATTTTTTTATTTTTAGTTTTAAAGGTTAGATTAAATATTAGAAATACAGGATTTTTCAAAACATTGAAAACCATTTACAAGTTGGAAGGTATTCGTGGATTATTCTCTGGATTGAATACCTATTTTATATTATTCCCATTGTGGATGATTGGAATCTTATTGGCCAATGTTATATTTGTAAAATTGAAACAAAAGATGGTCCGAAAGTTGCCACCAAAATCAAAGAACCAGAATCAAGAAACAGGTGAAGACCAAGACATCGATGATGAGGATCAAGAAGAGAATACTGGTGTTGGTGTAAGCGATATCACCACTTTATCATCATTGGCAGATCATCACAATTCCGATCAACAAGATGATGACGACGAAGATGGAGATATTTCTTTTGATGAAAAAGATCAACAACAACAACAACACAACTCTCAATAAACCTTTCAAACACAATTACGTGATTTGATTTTTAAAATTTTACCAAACTTTTCGATTTTAAACCGCATCGCAATGTTAAATGTTTACAAGTTAAAATCTAATTCTCATCCTCATCATTGTAAAGATAATCATTGTAAAGATAAAAGAGAAGAAGAAGAAGAATGATAAACGAAACAACACCAGTACCATTTGTATTTGATGATAAAAAGTATTACCCCGGTGATTATAAATTCAATTGGGATGAACAAACACAGTTTGTATATAAGTTTCCCGAAAATGGTATGATCATGATGATGTACACATCTGATTGCAAATATCAAATCTACTACTACTTTTACTAAGTCTCAACATTCTCTCTATTTATCTTTCTATTCTTTAGGTAAACTTGTAATTAAAATATTAGAAGGTATAGATTTGATTTCGATGGATTTGAATGGTAAATCAGACCCTTATGTAAAGATACATGTTCCTCGTCTTGTAGAGGATAAGGATGAAAAGCAATTGAAAACATCGACAAAGTATGAAACATTGACACCAAAGTGGAATGAATCGTTCCATGTCGAAGTTGAACGTGTCGAGGATGACTTGGTGGTCTTGGAGGTTTGGGACAAGGATACTATTGGATCAGATGATTTCCTTGGGTTTGTTACAATCGATGCATCGTTGTTGCCTTACAATCAAGAGGTTGTCACCATTGAAAACTTGTCCTATGTCGACAAGGGAAAACTAAAGATTAGTATCACGGCACTAAACTATGGTTGGGATATTAAAGACGAACTCAATCGATACGTCGAGTACAGAGAAAGATTGGTTGGATCATTACCATTCTACATTGAAAGAGAGGAACTCAAAATTAAAAGAATGGATCAATACTCAAAGAATAGAGAGCAAGGACCCTATGTAAATGTAAAACCAGGTCAACTCAAACGTATTTATAAAAAATACTCTATAGTCAATGGATGGATCAAAAGTCACAAGGCTGGCGAGAATGTAAAAGAGGGTGCCAAGACTGCAGCCATGCTTGCTGGTGCTGTCGTCGGTGTTTTATTCGAATCTGCAATCGAGAATACTCGTTATTATAATTTTAATAATAATTTCTAGATCTAGAAATTCAAAATAAAATAAAGTAATAGTAACAACTAGTTGTTGTATTTGTGTATTTATAAATCTCCAAAACTTCTAGCAACCTTTTCATTATTTTCCAAAACCAATTCTTTAAATATAGAATCCTTTGTTTTATATCTTTTTGTTGATAATGACCAATTAAATATTCCAGTTGCACAATAATAAGTTGATTTGATGCATTTTGCCAAACATTCCAAGCTTTCAAACCGCTTTCCAAGTTCACCTTCCAGCTCCAAACATTATTTTACTAAATTGTTAATATCTTGAATGATTGAGAGATATGCTTGTTGGGGTGTCATTCCATTATGAATTTGAATTGAAATTGTATTACAAGTTCCAATTTGAGTTTTCTCTACCTCGAAAGAAACAATATCATTCAAATGATAAACAATCTGGGTAATTGATTTTATCAAGTCACACCATGCAGGATCTGAAAATAATGTTGGTTCATTGTATCCTTGAGCATGTATCACTGCCATTACACCAAGTTCAACACCAATATTTGTAGTTCTTAAATAATCAACAACCGATAAAGATGGGACCTCTTTCATTCTCTAATTTGCAACATCGAGCGTTCCCTCAAGGTTTTCAAGGATCCAGACTTCAGACCGAAGCACCTTTACAGAGACACATTTGATTCTATCGATGTGATGGATCGAAAGAGCTATTCCATGTCTCTGGCAACCGGAACCAAGGACTGGAAATCCTATCTCATCACCAGCATGATCCGCCAAGCTTTTCTGTCAATCCACTGGGTCTTTTGTGCCTCAAATTTCGATGCCAACCAACAATTCATTCAAGTTAATGAATTTATCCCCTTCCTCCTTGATGTCCTATGTCCAGGTTTTCATCGAGTTACACCTCTCCAAACTCCACAACCCAAGAAGGGTAGAGCTGGACCTGTAAAGAAATCCAAATAAATAAAAATGAAAAAATATGAGAGTAACAAGATTTGATACATTTTTCCAAGCTTGTAAGACCATAGTTCGATCTCTCGCCGACCAACATACAATTTCGATGATCAGATATTTTTGATAAATGTTTTGAAATTTAATCAACAACGAGTTTTCAAACTCACTCGAGTAGTTCCACCCTTCTCACTCTTTTCAAAGTATTCAATGTGAGATAAATAAAATTTAAATTATTATTACAACAAAGATAAAGAGTTCAGTTTGTGTTCAGCATAGTGAAGTGCACATTGTGATGTTTAAAACAATGAATCGACCACACAGATTTTCTTTTTTGTTGGGGGTGTTGTTGTTTATTTCAACAAACATTATCGCACAAAATCTCAGTCCTGATGAGCGTATGTTATAACCTACGTACAGTTTGTTATGTACTCTTCGAGAATGAAACTAATAGTTTATTTCACTTTACCAACATATCATCTTCTATAATCTGTATTTATCTACTACTACTACTATAGTGAATTCAGCAATATGGATCATTCAACAATACAAAGTGAATACTCCAATGGATCAAACACTATGCAGTGGTGGTGTCTTTTTTTGTGATGCTGGTCATGTACATTCAATGTAAATACGACGTGCATTTTAGATCATCAATCATAGATAGATCGATATGATCATCATTTTTGATTCATTATTATTTCTGTTGTTCTTTATTGATCAGTTCTTTTCTTTTCATTCTTTCTTTTTGTTTGATTGCTGTAGAAATATACCAGGTGTACAAATCGAAACGAATGGGATGCCAGATGTTAACCTACAACTCAGGTTCCCAGTATTGAAGACTTTTGTGTTAAACGTAACTGGTTTGGCCAACCCTCTCTTATCTTTTTACGACCAACTACCGACATGTTGTCCTGAAATAGAACAAGTCAAGTATGTTAGCACTAGTGAATTACCCACAGAGCAGACGAGTTGAATGTTGATCGCGATCATTTCACTAACTTGACAAACAACCACCCTTTTTGTTTGTTTACTTGTTTTGATCGATTAGTATTATTGGAAACACGACTGCAACTTTAGCCAATTTCCCAAATAATTTTGGATCTATTGCTAGCTCGTTATACTCTTTTTCGGCAGAGTTTCTAGGCCGACAAACGATAAAAGTCCCAAGTCACCCCAACATGACTACAGTTGCGCTGCATGGAGACGAAGCCGTTCTGGAATTTGATATCCCTGACACTGTTTTACTACCCAATCTAACAGCTCTTACCCTTGATATACCCAATCAAAATAATCTACGATCGATGGGAAACCTTACTGCAAAGTCATTCCCGGTTATCGATCAAGTGTATGTATCTCTACTACTATCAGCAGGACAGGATAACTTGTTGAATATTCATTTTTTTTCTCTCATCCAAAATAGAATTTTAAACCTTGTTCATTCGACTCTACCAATACATTTCAATTTCGACCTTCCGACTCTCCGAGTTCTTCATTTAAACAAAAGGCAAACGCATTTGTTCACTTTATCAATGCTCAATCACCCACCGAATTGTAAGTCAACTATAAATTTATATAACCACTGAATGACTAACAAAAGACAAACATTTGTAAAATATAGGTATTATTTTGGAACTGTAACATTTGATCCAAGCTTTGAAAAACTTACAAATCTAAAATCAATGTATGTAGGGAAGAAGATATATAAAATAGTTTACATGATTTATTAATTCATTTCTCTTTTATATATATACGTATAGTACCTCAACTGAATATAGTTCCACTCAATATCCATTCTCGCAAGGGTACCCTCCCAATATTGACTATATGACTTTCAGATTATCACCTATCAATAATTTCCCTCCGATTCCCATTCCTTCATCTGCCACGTTTTTGTATGTAGTCTTGTCAAAAAAATATAATCGACTCTATTTATTAACCTTATTCGAGGGTTAACCCTCTCTCTCTCTTTCTCTCAAGAGATCTAGTAGGGTGCCAAATTAGCACGCCAATTGATTTTAATACAATATTGCAAAACCCTGGTGGAGGACTGGCAATGTTGGAATCGTTGGACCCCTCAATCAAGAAACTGCATTATGCAAGTTAGGCGGTGTCGTATTGACGGATACTGGTGTAACATCAGTTCCAGATTGTTTCTGGTGTTATATTAACGAACCATATGGTAGATTTGTAGTTGGCTCCAATGTTAAGATACCAGTTGGATTTAAATGTACAATCACTTTTGACAGTACAAATATAATAACAGTATTCAAACGGGGTGTCATCAAGGGTAAAAATATAGGGTGGGGTGTAACTATCGGAAGTAATCTTCTTGTTCCAATCGTTCCAAATGAACAGTTAGAGGTTACCGTCAGTGGAGTTGCAGCCACCGGACCACCACAATTATTCAATATTCAGTTTGGTGAAAACTATCCTCAATACACATTCCCATTCAATGTGACAGAGGCTGGATTCAATGTATCAACACCTACTACCAATCAACAACCAAACTTTAAAACCACCGTCGCTGTTACATTCTCGACTATGAATACTTACTTTAATCATTCTGCGTCGATTAATGGTGTAGTGCCAACAACATCATCAAACGTTGCCAATACCTATCAATTTATATTCTTTGGTCTTGCATTTGGAACAAATAATGTTAAAATTGCCAATGACTATTATTCAATCATTGTTCCAGTTCAATATGCACAATGTATGTTAATATATTAGATAATTTAAAATTATATAATAGTTGGACCAACACTTTAATTTCTACTATTTAGCATACCCAATTGTCAATAATTTTGTATCAGATCCAATTATTGTATCTGGATCAACGATTCAATTGGAGGGTAATTTTGGAACATTTCTCGTCAGTTCATCGGCCACCATTCAAAATAGCAACAGTCAATACAACTACTCTGTTTGTTTAATCACCGAGTTTACAACAACTAGAATATCGTGTCGTGTAGTGTCACCAATTTCAAGTGGTCTTGCTACTTTTAATATCACTGTCGATGGATACTCTATTCTCAACCAATACTCTATTCAATCTGCTCAACAACAATGTGAGAGTATCACTAATCATTGTGCTGGTAATGGTGTTTGTACTCCAGATGGTAATTGTATTTGCAATATTAATCAAGGTGCTTATTATAATAATTGTTCAAAACGTATGTTATATACAATAATAATAAATAATTAAAAATAATTAATATTAATATTTTTATTCTTCCTATAGCATATCCATTTGCAACGAGTGGACAAGTGAATGATCAAAATACAACACAACGATCGATTAGTTTATTTGGTGATTTTGGACCCAACCCACTGACCAACTCATCTGTCAGAATCAACAACACAATGAATTGTATCATCGATCAAGCACAATCATCTCAATCCACCATTCATTGTCAACTTGAATCATCACCAACCACATATGGACCTGCTTCTGTTCAACTAAATGTCGATGGATTGTTGTTTGATAGTAAAACATATCTTATTAAATTCATTAAACCATCATCACCCGGTGGATCAACTACAACTACTTCAACGACAACAACCGCCACCACAACAGGAGGTAATACACCTAAAACACCTCAAGAAATATGCCAAGAGACGACACAATATTGTTTTGGTCATGGAACATGTGATGACAATGGAATATGTCAATGTCAAAATGGTTTTAATCCAGTTGATAATTGTATGACTAAATATGCAGACAATACAACCTATATTCCCGATCCAGAATCACCATCAACAACCATCACAGTAGATGGAGTTGAATTTGGATTTGATATTGTTGCCATTCAAGAAATAGGATTGGACAATGAAATTGTCAAAGAACTATTGACCAATAGTTGGTTGTCAAACATCACCAACAGCAGTTCACTGACCAATGCAGTCTATCAACTAGTAATCTCCAACACAAGTATACTCGCAGATACTCAAGTGACAGTAAACATATCATTCTCTTCACAATCGAGAACCGTCACATTTGGCAACCAACAACTGCTGATCAATCCCAACTCAATTAAATTGGCAGTATCTATTGTTGATTGGGAATACTCTTCAAATGTAGCAACACTCAGAGTAGTATTAAAGACAACAACCAACAATCAACAATCAATCGAATACAATTGCCAAGAGACAGACATCCCATCATTCTCATATGATGATTATGGTACGCTTCAATATTTCAGAGTACTCAAAGACAATGTTCAATTCAACGGTAGATTCATTGACTTTGCAGTAGCAGATGGTCGACCAACATATTCACAAACACTACTCATCAATCAAACATCAATCAGTTCCAATCAAACATCAGCGATGATTGGTATCACACTACCTCAATGTCAATCATGTGTACTCGATCCCGATTTCACACCATTGCTAGTTGTCAATGATAAAGATGGTAGTTGTTCATCAAAAGATGATGACAAAAAGTGGAAGGTTATCGTTGGATGCGTTGTTGGTGGTATCGGTTTTCTTGCCATCGCCATTGCAACTACCATTTACATTAAAAAGACTCTGACCACAAAGAAATATAACAAAAAGATAGAGATGAAATTTCGGAAATAATAAAATTAAAATTTAATAATAATAGATAAATATCGTACTTGTACTCCTACTACAGTATTTGAATTTATTTTATTTGTGTATTTATAAATCTCCAAAACTTCTAGCAACTTGTTCATTGGTTGATACCAATTCTTTAAATATAGAATCTTTTGTTTTGTATCTCTCTGATGTCAATGACCAACAAAATATTCCTGTTGCACAATAATAGGCAGATTTAATACATTTTTCCAAACAATTTAAATTTGGAAATCGAATACCAAGTTCACCTTCCAGCTCCAGACAGTATTTTACTAAATTGTCAATATCTTGAATGATTGAGAGATATGCTTGTTGAGGTGTCATTCCATTGTGAATTTTTATCGACATTGCATTACAAGTTCCACTTTGCATTTTCTCGACCTCCCAAGATACAATATCATTCAAATGATAAACAATCTGGGCTATTGATTTTGTTAATTCTTTCCATGAAGGGTCTGAAAATAATAGTGATTCATTGTATCCTTGAGAATGGATAATTGTCATTATACATAGTTCAATCGCAATATTTGTAGTTCTTAAATAATCAACAACCGATAAAGATGGGACCTCTTTCATTCTCTAAAAAAAAATAAAAAAGAATTCAATAAAGTTATTATGATTATTATTTTTTTTGTACATACACTTAAATCTAAATGAGCAGTACCAACATCAATCCAACCAATCATTAGATTTAAAACCAAATTTTCCATATACGCGGATGGAGATTTCTCTTTGATTTTGTTGACAATGAAATGAGTACATTTATCCAAAGGTGTTGGATCTAATGGTAATTCATTTGTCATTATGATTCTTTTTGTTCTTTTATAGACTTTGATTGAATCTTCTCTTGAAATGTCACCATAATCATGCATTTCATCATAGAGTAGAGTCCAATCGGTCATTAATAGGAATTGGAACAATTGATCTTGGTTGCCATTTGGAAATGCATATTGAGGAGCACCACTAGTGTTCATATACATCTTTAACGACTTATCATTCTTTTCAAACACTCCAAAGTCAAGATACTTTTGGTAGCCCCATGATTTATATTCTGTTTGAGGAAGAGTAGGATAAAACCAATTCTCTGGAAATGTTAAATCTTTTTTAAGTGAATACATATGAATGACAAACCTTTATTATTTAATTTAATTGATAGAGAGAGAGAGAGAGTATAATCAAATTAAATAATAAAAAGATTATTTATAATTGTCTGTTGTAACCCTTGTTGTTTAAAACTACCATGTCGTTAATGGTGGTAAACAAGCGAGTGTGTGATAAAAATGAAATCGCTATTATTGAACGATTTTTGATACCATCGGGAGAATGAAACGACACCCACACCATTGTAATTTATTATTTGAAATAGATTCATCATGGATACATTCATTTTAATGTGTTTAAATTAGAAAATTTAACCTTTGCAATTAATATCTATCTTCTATTGCCTATATTGTCTATTCAAACGTTCATATGTATACATATTTTAAAATCTGATATTCCCCTCCAAGTTTTTGTAATGAAAATAATTTAAATAGATAATTTAAATTTAGATAAATTAAGGAATGACTCTATTAGATTTTATCTTTTCAATTAATGTTGGCTCAATAAATATTTAAATATGTCATCTATGAGATTGCTTGTCCACCAGATGAACCATGCATTGTTATACCTCTTTATGGTTCATGTTTCTATTTGAATTTAGAAAAATTTGAAAGGGAAGGGACCTTGGTCCTTTACTATATAAGTACTGGGGGCTCTAAGTGGTTCAAGAAACATTGACTTGGAAAAGTGCAGATTTCAATTTTGATATTTTCGAATTGTTTTTTACATTCGATTAAAAGTGATTGATGGATCAAGACAAAGATTTGAATCAATAGGATTTGTCATTCCTATTCGTTATATCGATTTAAAAATGTAAAAGACATGAAAAAGTTTAGGGTTATATATAAAATGGACTTGAAATCTTTAATCAAAAAAAAAAATTATTTACTCTAACATTTCCATCTTTTAAAATATGACTACTCAAACTCCAAATGGTTTCATTCCTCTTACACAGTATGATAATTTAAAAAAATAAATAAAGAGAAATACCGATTTATTAATTAATTTTTTTTTTCCAAAGTAAATCCCAAATGGATTATGTTTTGCTCAACTGTCCATCAAATCAATTGGTTGTATTCTATTTTACATATCCATATTGTTCTCCATGTAATTCTATTTTGAGTCGACTCTCTCAATGGACTACACTATTTCCAACCATTAACTTCTATCATATCAATTTGGATCAAAATACAAAGTCCCACATTGCTGCATCATTCATTAGTTCTTGTCCAACTATCCAAGTATTCCAAGATTATATTGACATTAATACATTTATTTCAATGAGAACTAGTAGCAATCCAAATGATTATGAATATGATTTCAATCTATTATTGGAAGAAAGAGTTTGACCCGAAAAAATTATTTAAATAAATTTATGTCAATTATATTCCCAAATTTATCTGGTCTTTTATTAAATTGTGTGAAAAATATCTTTTTGATTGATCTATAGAAACCAAAGTTGGCTTGTCCAAATCAGGAGATATCAATTTTTGAGCCCCTTTGTCAATTTTAATGTCTATTTAAAAAATTTGACACACTCAAAAATTGACATGACATATATTTGTGCTGTCGTGATTTATCTAGATAGGATTGAATCATTAGGATTTGTCATTCCTGCTTCGAATTAACCATTTATAAATTAAAGGTACCGAAACAACTTGGAACATACCTTAACCAACCCTTTAAAATAGTCTGCTGGTCCAGTTAGTTAAATCATCATCAACAACAACAATTCAATCAATTAAATTAAATAATTAACAGTCGTCTTCTTCTTCTCTTTTAAAACTATTCAAACTTTCTAAAAAATGGTTACTCAAACTCCAACTGGTTTCATTGTCCTCCCCAAGTATGTAGCCATTATAAAAAATATACATTTTTATTTTATCTAGATTTAATTCCAAGTTCATTATTTCTCAAATACAATTTCCTCTCTGATTAGTGTTGCAGCAGTTGAAGATGTATTATTCAATTCTCCATCAGATCAAACGATTGTATTCTATTTTACTGAACCAATTTGTCCAGGATGTGATACCATTCATAATCGACTCTGCCAATGGACTACTTTGTTTCCAACTGTCAAGTTTTATCAAATCAAGACTGAGATCCCAGGTATTACTACTCACCAATCTACCGATATTTATTATCCACTTCCTTGTATCAAGACTTTTAAGGTATAATAATTATAGTATTAGAAATGGGTTATCTTAAAATCTTTTTCTAATCCTTTTTTTTTTTTTTTTTTAAATAGGATTATCCAAGCTTTTATAATCGCATTACCAAAAGAAATGGTGTTAATACAGGTTTATATGAATCTGATATCAACTATGCCTTATCTTTGTAAAAGAGTTTATAAAATTGGATTCCATCCAACCTATACTTCAAAACTGTTAAAAATTAATTGAATAATAGTTTAAAATATTATTAAATAAACAACTAATCATTAATAACGATTTTGTCCTTATTTTTTTTGTGATTTTTATGTTTTAGAATAAATAAAAAGAATGGTGGTAGTGTGATTTGATTTATTTAAACTGGACTGTACATTCCAAGTCTAGTATCAAATTCCAATCTTAATTCTAATTGTAAATCATCGAACCATTTCTTGTATAATTTCTTTGCAAACTCGTCGATTACAATGACACCAATCGCCCAACAAAATAGAACTGCGTATAGTTCCCATGAAATTAATTTCAATAAATGAATTCCATCAATTGCCTTTAATGATATAAATGAAAATGCAATTTGGAATGATACACTAAGAAATTAAAATTTAAATTTAAATTAATACATTATTCTTTTTTCTTTTTCGATTTCTTTTTCTTACCTTAGGAAAACCAAAATAATCCAAATATTATTTCTACGTAGAGGATTATTTTTAAAAATACTTTGAGTATGATGAATAAAGCTCATACTAGAGACGGCGAGATAATAGACAAAGGCAAACATCATAATATTTTGAGAGACGAGGAGGGCATTTGAAAAAGAGGTGGGTGTGTCGGTAGGCCAATCAGAGAGGTTACCACCAAAAACATTTGATAGACTGGCACCAGATAGATCGTGCAATGCCCAAACGAAATAGAGCACCGTAAGAATGAGCGATGGAACAAGACGAATGGCAAGATATCTCGCAAAGGTTGGGATATGTTTAAAGGAGCTATTGTTTTTGGGTGAAAGCATCATCATGACATCCTTGTCTCCGCTCGTAGCCAACAAGGAGTATCCAATCATTGGAATGATGATAATCTCTAGCCAAAGCAGTTGTAAGCCCGTTAGAGGGACACCACCTACAACACCGTCACGTGGCATACTGACAATGAGAATACCGGCAACCAAACACATCAATACCAATGACATGCTTGCCGAAAGAATAAACTGTAGACACTGACGTGTGTTGGTTAGTTGTTGACGGCCGACGTGGAACAATTCTACAATTTCATTGAAATCTGTACGACGATGGAATACGAGTGAACATGGCAACGAGGTAATGTCGCAGCAGAGAGATTGTGTCGATGGGTTGGCGGTCGGCACTCTTTTAGTGTCGGTTGTTTTGATTGGCAGCGAAGCAAGATGAGTGATGGATTCAGTGTCAAAGAAATTACGACTGGTCAACAGTGGACGAGGGTCACCCTTGTTGAGAGGCATGTTTAGACAACGTGAAACGGCTGGTTCCAATCCAAATGCCAAATCACTTTGTGCAAAGATGGGTGTATTTTCGTATTTCAGAGCACTACCAAGGCAACAGACGACTTCACCATTTTCTTGAAGAATTTTAATCATTTCCAATTTGGTCTCTGGTGTACTATTACTAAACATTGGTACCAAAAGAGGAACATTATCAATCTCTTCCAAATGACTACGAATGGCCGAAATACCCTTTGGTAAACGTGATGGACCGTCGCAATGATCGGGTTCATTTGGTTCTGGATCGCGTAAAGAGATGCAACAATTCCAATCTGTCTCTAGCCCCAATTTGTTGACAAAACTATTACTGATACGTCTATCTTCGTTGGTAAAGTAAACAAATCGAATACCAGCTGCACGAAGAACCTCTACAAAATGATTGGCGTGTGATTTTGGCAATACTTTCATTCCTGCCATACCAATGAAAATTTGATCATTTTGAAGTTGTTCCAAAGTATCATTCTCTGCAATGGTACTTGTTTCTGGCCACACCACAACACCATCATCTTCTACTGTAATCTTTTTAGATGGTGATGTTGCCAATATTTGATCCAAAGAATCTTGTTCACTCTTTTCCTCTTCCGATGGTTGAATAATGATTTTTGGTGGTGAGGCTATTGTTGCAGCAGTAGTTGGTTTCCCTTTTGACTTGTTGTTGTTCTTATTGTTTGTATTTTTAGAAAATGGTCTTCTCTTTCTAATGATTCTTGAATCAGATTCTGAAGTTTCAGTCATTGAAGTATCATCAATAATAATATTTCTACCTCTATACTTTTTTTTCTTTTTTGGTTGGTTGTTGGAAGAAGATGACGAAGAGGATGAAGAGGACGATGAATCTTCGTCATCTTCTTCACTATTGTATTCAAAAATGTCATCTCCTTCATCTTCCAAATCTGCATCATCATATGAATGGTTATCATCTGTTGTTGCATTCTTATTTTTCATACTTGATGAATCATCTCCACTTTCATACTCTAATGTAACTGGTGGTAATTTTAAATGTTTTGTTATTGTTGATATTGATAAATTATTATTATTATTATTAAGACTATTATTATTATTATTATTATTATTTCTTTGTTGTTGTTGTGGTTTTACCAATAATCTTTCAATATTATTATTTATAATATTATTATTAATATTATTATTATTTGGTAAAACAGGAGATTGTTTACCACTTGGAATTGGAGAATCAACAACAATGATGATTTCAGGATTGGCAACATTTTGATGTTGTTGTTGATGTAATGATATTGGACCATTGTGATCAATTTCCTTTGCGTTACTACCTGGAAGTGGAGATAATACAACAATGGAAGGTTTATAATCATCCTTTTTAGAAAGTTGAATTCTTAGGTTTTCCTTTTCTTTTTCCTTTTCCTCGTTTCCAGAGGCATGACGTTTTCCAACTACACTATTTGAGAATCTAACATCAACTAGTGGACTATTGACACTACCAGATATAAACATCTTTTTGAACTTGGATTCGATTGGTTTGTAGGCAAAAGAGATACATCGCATACCTTCATTGATCACCCACTTGTGATAGACTTGTCGTAACTTTTCCTTGTCTTGTTCGGTGAGTGTGACGATTGATTCACCGTCCCAATAGTGGTTACAGTGATCCAAGATGAGATCGGTACTGCCTTTGGAGAGGAGCTGGAGTGTTTCGCTACCGGCATCTTTGGCAACCAGTGAAATCATTGATGGTGAGTGATCGATGGCATCGATGATACTGCTAATACTGTCGGTGGTTTGGTCAGGCTTGACGGTACTGCGTTGCGTGAGTGTGTGGATCTCTTTGAGACGAACAAACTGGTTGGCAACGTCGTCTGAAAACCCAATCTCCTTGGCCAAAAGACAGAGACACTGCTCGTTGGTCGAGTCACCCGACGTGTCCTCGCGGTCACGGATGAGCTGCAGCTTGGATGCCTGGTCCGAGTAGATGCTCTGCGAGTGGGTGAGACTAGTGCTGGCACGGGGTGTCGAGTTTTGGCTGGCCGAGTAGAGCCGACACGTCTTGTTGAGTAGACAGTCGAGTCCGAGTGGTTTGAGTGCATTGATGTGGTCGCGCCACTCGCTGTCGTTGAATGTGATCGAGTATTGGGTGTGTGAGTACTCTGATGAGAGTTCGAGTCGCAGTGGCTCGCCATCGTCCAGCACACAAATCTCTCCGACCGTGCTGACAGGTTCCGACACGATACCCTCCTTGTCCAAGCAGCACAGCACTGTCGTCGACGCAATACGATGCAACAAATTGGAGGAATGTGAAAAGGCAACATGCTTGCTCGACAGAATCGCCTCCCAGTAGTTTTTCATCAACTTGAATGGCACCTTGGGTATCATGCTCGGACTAGTGTACTCGGTGTCGAAATTCAGAGCTGGATGGTCGTCTGAAATCTCACCTTTGAGACTCTGCTCTTGCAACACGTCAAACATGGCCAGTAGCTTGGCATGTCCGATCGAGTAGGCAATGAGCAGCATGATGCACGGCAACATGACAAAACTAAATGCCATGAGCAGGTCGACCTGTCGCACAATCAACAAGTCGACCAAAGACCGCTGGTCTTGCAAGATGGAACGGATAATGTTGGCAACGAGCGACACACCAATCACAATCCAGAGGAAACGCTCAATTGCAATCTTGATATAGTTGATTGCATTGATGACTGGGTTGGTTGGACGTTCGCAAGAGTGTGACAAGGCAGTGTTGAGTTGCGAGAAGCAAGGTGTTTCATGTACTCTGAAACAACATCTCCCCGATGTGAATAATTTTGCCTTTGTCAATCGTACGTGCTCGTCGCGATCAGTCATATCGGGATTGATCGTGTACAATGCCTGTTCGAGGAAATCGCTCGTGTACAAATCACCAGCCCTTAAAATGACGGTTTCAAAGTTTGGTTCTATGCACTGTATCATCACCTGCACCTTTTCACCTTCACGCATACTCACGTGATCCCCCTCTACCAATAGATTGAGTGGCACCTTTCGCCAACGATCGTCTCTGCAGCAGCTGACCACAGAGATTGATTCTGAATTGGTTGTCACTCCATTCTCGAGCACGTCACCACACTCCATATATCGTTTAATGTGACCACGTGCCTTGGCAATCGTTTCATTGTGTTCCAATCGTTCCTCGCGAACATGAAAGAATATATGTAACATTACAAACAGTAGCATCAGTCCAGCCTCTACAATCAAATGAATAGCTTGAAACTTTTCAACTTCCAATGCAAATGCCACCACCAATAGTACAATACCAACCATATACAACATTGGTGTCACTCTAACCATCTCTTTTAATAATACCTTTTTTACACTAAATTGTGATAACATTTCCTTTTCATTTAATAAATTCTCTATTAAATTTACAAGATTCCTAAATTAAATAGAAAAGTAAGATAAAAAGTAAAGCATATTTATATCTCATTCATTGTTGTTCATACTCTGAAGCTTGTTGTGAAGTTAGACCAGCATTTGGATGTTGATGAATTCTTTGATTGTCATTGTAAGTGTCATGGAATGATACACTGATATCATCTCGAAGGTTATAGGATAGTGAATTCTTGTGACTGTGTTGTGGTTGATAGAGTATATGTGAATGTTGATGATGATGATGATGATGATGAGGATGATGAGTTGGATGTGTAGGATGATGCATAGTTGTCATATTATGATGACTTTGACTTCGAGGCATCTCTGTAAGTGTCGTATGTCCACCCCCTCCAACACCTCCACTACCACCAGCGCTAGTAGTGATGCCATTTGGTTTCAATGTTGAATGAGGTGATGATTGTTTACCTCCCAATGTTGTTAGATTAGGATGACTACTATTTGGTTTAATATTTGGTGACAATGAAATAGATGCAGCTGAAGTAGTAGTAGAAGTAGTATGTTTATCATCATTATGATGATTATCAACTATAATAACTTTTTGTAATTTAACTATAGTAGTATTGTCGTTGTTATTTGGTGTATCATTATTATTATTATTATTATTACTTGTTTCTTGTTTTGATAGATCTGCACCTTCTTCACCTTCATTTACGACTACAACACCTGCCATCTCACCATCACTATTATTATTGATATCTGACATTATTTGTATTACATGAGATAGGTGATGATGAAGAAGAAGAAGATAAAAATAGACTAGACTGCGAGTATCTTTTAGAGTATTCTTAAATCGACCTGTCAAATCTACTAAAAACCAAAAAAAAAAAAAAAAGAAAATTAAAAAAAAAATACTTCTATACTTATATATTTATTCATTCATTTGTGTTTGTTTATTTGTGTAAGATACAATTTATATATATGATCGTAAAATGCCTATTTGTTATATTATATATACAAGTATAGTACTTGTATGAATTGAAAAACTGGTGACCAGTTCTGTCGATTTGTGTTAAAATTTACCTTGTTGATAATCTGAAAAAGCTTGTTGTAATTCTTGAGGAGTAGTCATTACAAATGGACCTTGTCTAGCTATTCTTTCTCCAATGGGTGCAGCTGCAATTAAAATAAATCTGGCACCATTTGTACCTGCTACACCTTGTACAAGACTTTGACCAAGACTACCATCCAACACAGAGATGTGAGATTCTGGTATCAATGTTGTATTGTCGATTGGTCCAAAATCGGCTGAACCACTGTACATGTAAATAAATGTTGTATGATGTGATGGAATCTCCTCGATCTTAAAGTTAGATCCCGGTTGGAGAATGACGTCGAGATAGAGTGGATTGGTAATGACACCATCCACAGGTCCAACCTTTTCACGAAACTTTCCTGCAATCACTTTAACCTTGTCTCCATTGGATTCAAATACTTCTGGAACGCTTTCAGATGGAATACGTTGATACCGTTGATCCATCATTTTATGTGTCGAAGGTAAATTAATCCATAATTGAAATCCCCATAATAATCCATCTGTTTGTTTCATCATTTCACTATGAATTATTCCTTTTCCAGCTGGGATGAGAAAAATAGAAAATAGAAAATAGAAAAAAAAAAGGATTAATTTAAATATTTAAATAAATAATTTAAATTTATATATATTTACCAGTCATCCATTGAATTGAACCAGGACCTATCATTCCTTGATTTCCCTTATGATCTTTATGTTCCATTGTTCCTGCCAACATATAAGTTATAGTCTAAAAAATTAATTAATTAAAATTCATTTAATTCATTCATTCTATCTCTTTCTTTCTCTTTTTTATATCCTTTACATACCTCAAATCCACGATGTGGATGATCTGGAAATCCAGCACCATATTCATCTATATTATCAGATTTAAATTCATCCAACAAAAGGAATGGATCTAAATGTGGTATGGTGCCACCAATAATTCTATTCAACTTAACTCCACCTCCATCTGATGTGGCCATTCCCTTGACCACTTTAGATACTGTTCTTGTTGTCATAAAAGGAATATGTATTTTAAAGTAAATAAAATGAATGGATGCAAAGACTTTTTAAAATTATTGATCGTTTTTTGCAGAATGTTGATGACGATGATGGTGACGATGATCGCAGGTAGTACTTGTAAAAGAAAAGAGTTGTAGTTGTTTTATAACTTGTCTGAAAATAATAAAAAGAGATATATATATATACATATATTGATAGATATATATATTGATAGATAGACAGATATAAAATATTAAAAGAGAGATAAATATTAATATTAAATATATTTCTTAAATTAAATCTTATGCTATGCTATCTTTATTTACATTATCTATTTAATACTACACTCTTCTTCTTCTTCTTCTTCTTTTACTTGTCTCTTTTACAAAATGATATAAAACAATTTCGATCTATCTCTTTGAAACCCCCCAGAAAGAAAGAAAGAATTAAACACTAAAAGAAGAATGAATATGAATAAAAAGATAAATGATTATATATAATTTCCGGGAGGAATGAGAAATAGTTCTATAATGTTTGCAAGTCATGTCATATCTTGTGCAAATATTCTCAGGAGTATCTTTCTTCTTTAGTTTAGTTTCAATGTCTCATTCTCTCTCCTCCACTCTCTTCATTCTAGATGGTACGAAAGATTGATTTTATAATAATCGTTGAGAGAGATCACATTTGATTTTATTTAATTAATTAATTATTCTCAATACCAACGACGACGGACGAATCCAACCACCACAACCAAAACAACAAAAATAAAAAGCAATGTGTAGAACCTACAGAAACGTCGTGATCTATATTTGGTCCTTTTGTTTAGACAGAGCCAGCTCGACCAAAAATATCGTCGTTCATTCATTGGGTTTGTGGGAAAAACTTTAGATCGATCAATCCTATTTTGTGAAGGATCGACATCCGCATCCTGATTAAGTGTCAAAAGACAAGATTGAGAAGAAGGCGGTTGGTCTGGCAAAAGACAAAGAGACAGTAGAACATGATCGACACAAAAAATGGGTGATCCTCTTGCCGATTATCATAATCTCTGTAAAGAGTGCACAAGATTATTTGTAACCTTGTTTGATGCTTTTAAACAAAAAAAAAATCAAATGATTGAATGTTCAATTGTTTATTGGTCAATATTATTATTACTTTGCAAAGTGTTGGGATATTTATAGTTTGTTAAAGTTTAGTAAAAGTTTGTTTTTTAAATAACACGATAGAGACAGATTTCTTTATAATCATCAAACTCTTGATCATCTGGATGGATATGATCGGGAGGTACAATTTGTTCACGTTTTAACCAACCTTTGATTGATAATCCTAGTTTGTTGGATTTAAAAGTATCTTCGATGGCGGGGATGGTGACAATCTGCATTCCCTTTTTGGCGGCTGTTAGTTTCTTTAGGTTGTTCCAAAAGGCAATGTGTTTGGCTCGGTCGGCTTCAAAAAACTCTAATACATTGTTCATAAAGATGACATTGGCAGCCTCTATGTGTTTATCGCCCACCTTGAACACGTCGCCTTGGACCAAGGTTACACGGTCCTCCATTTGATACTTTGCAACCATCTTTTCTTGCAACTTGCAAAAGAATGGGTCGATCTCGAGACCAATCAACTGTTTGGCATCGCTAAACAAATATCCACTATACAATACTGCTCCCAATCTTGAACCAATATCCAATACAGTCTTGTTTTTCAAATTACCCAATACCTGTTTACCAAATATATATTTTAATTGTATTGGTGATGTTGAATGTGATATGAAATCTTCAAAATAATAGAAAATAGAAAAATAGAAATATAGAGTTAATTATTATTATTATTATCCAAGTTTTTATAGTTTCTATAATTATTTCTTAGTTTCATACTTAGAGGAGAAGTATTATGAGAATTACAATCCAAACAATAATTATTTGCAAGTTTACCACGTTCTATTAATTCATCAACATCAGATTCACTATACAAGAATCCATCAACTGATACTGTATTTTCTTTTGTATAATCTTTAAACTAAAAAAAAAAAAGAAAATGAACAAACAAATATATAGTTAACTATCCTATCCTATCTCCTCTCCTATCTCATTTATCACTTGATTCATCTCTTACATTTTCATTCTTTGGTATAATAATATTTTCATTTGGTGCTTTTGTATCCAATGATGGTAATTCTTCTTTCAAATCTTGAATGATGGTAGCCAAGATATTGTCTTGCATCGATTCATCTTCTGCAGGGTTCTTGTGTTCATCGATTTTAACATTCAATTGATTGCAAACATAACTTGTAAACTCGATCATATCTCTTTCATTTTCTTTAATCATTGAGACCATCATCTTAAATTGTTCTTTTAAATCATCAAGACTAAGTTCCTCTTCATCTATAATCTCTTCTTCTTCTGATATTTCTTCCTCTTCTACAACTGGTTTCTTTCTTTTATGTTGGTGTTGTTCTACTGGTGGTTTTTGTTGTTTCTGTTGTTGTTTACTCATGATGATATGTGAATAGATAAAGTAAAGTTATCTATTCTTATTTATATAAAGTAAAGATGTAAATTAATTAACGAAAGATTCGTTTTTTCAAATGTTCTTATTAAAAAAAAAAAAAACGAGTCGATCAATTATTGATTGGGGAAATAATATTAATTAAATATTAAAGTAAATAATTATAATTATTATTTCAATTTATTTACATAAAATATAAATGATATGTTACATTTGAATTGTCTGACTCGAAAGGTATTGACACTCTTTTACAAAGATAAGGCATAGTTGATATCAGATTCATATAAACCTGTATTAATACCATTTCTTGTGGTTATGCAATCATAATAGGTTGGATAATCCTATTTAAAAAAAATAATATAAAAATAATGATTAGAAAAAAGATTTTATATATCACATTACTAATACTATAATTATTATACCTTAAAAGTCTTGATACACGGAAGTGGATAATAAACATCGGTAGATTGGTGAGTAGTAATACCTGGGATCTCAGTCTTGATTTGATAAAATTTGACAGTTGGATACATAATAGTCCATTTACAGAGTCGATTATGAATGGTATCACATCCTGGACAAATTGGTTCAGTAAAATAGAATACAATCGTTTGATCTGATGGAGAATTGAATAATACATCTTCAACTGCTGTAACGCTAATCAGAGAGGAAAAGGAAAAGGAATTAAATACATAAATTAAAAATAGTTTTTTTAGAATCCTACATACTTGGGGAGGACAATGAAACCAGTTGGAGTTTGAGTAACCATTTTTTAGAAAGTTTGAATAGTTTAAAAGAGAAGAAGAAGAAGACTGTTAATTATTTAATTTAATTGATTGAATTGTTGTTGTGGATGATTTAACTAACTGGACCAGCAGACTATTTTAAAGTGTTGGTTAAGGTATGTTCCAAGTTGTTTCGGTACCTTTAATTTATAAATCGAAAATGCGAAACAGGTATGACAAATCCTAATGATTCAATCTTTTTAATCATCCTATCTATTGGATTGATCAATCATTCTGTCAGAATAGGTCATATCAAAATTAATCGAGATTATCTGTGTGAATTAAAGACAGACAACTGTCAATGTCAACTTGATTTTAGATTTTTGTCAATGCTATCTTCTTGAAATCCAAAAGATTTGATACCAAAAATAAATATTATTATTCATCGCTTTGAATCGCAATGTTGGATAGCTATAATTGATGAATAATGGATCCACCAAGGTTTATTTTATCATTATTATTGAAAAAAATGATTCTTCTTTTCTTTCTTTTTGTGTTAATGTTTAAAAATAGTATTATTTCCTACCATTTTAATTTGTCGTTTGTTATTATTATTATTATTAATATGTAGTGAGGAGGAGGAGGAGGAGGAGGAGGAGGCAAAGCTATTTCAGCTGATTGACAGTTGGGCTTGGAAAAAAAAAAAAAGAAAAGTATATATGTGTATGTGTATGTGTATGTGTATGTGTATGGTATGTATATGTGTTTGATGCTTATGGTCCATCGTCAGCGCTTTGTATGTTGGGTATGTTGTTTAAACATTCATTATTGTTATTGTTTGTTATTATTATTATTATCTTTTCTATCTATCTATCTATCTATATTATTAATCTTATATTTCTTATATTTTCTTATTCATTCAAAGTTGGTAAAGAGTTTGTAATGTTTGAACCATTTTTCTCTTGTTGCTTTTGTTCTTGTTGGAGGTTACGTTCGAATTCCAATGTCTTGATGAGTGGAGTGAAACATAAGAAGGCCATTGTACCAGCTACCCATAGTGCATTAAAGGTCCAACGAAGTGAAAAGAATGATAGATTGGCAAGTGTTACAACCTTTGTCTTTAATCCCATTGGCAATGAGAAACGTGGTGTAGATGCAGCTTGCTTGGCTGCTGATTCAAATTGTGGTGCTGATCTATTATTCGACATTCTATCTATCTATCTATCTATATATCTATGGGTTTATAAAGATGATTTGATCTAATCTATTACTCTCGTCTTTTTAATTTAATAGTCAAACTCTTCTATCATGTAATGAGAGGCGTTTGTCTAAATTTTAAAAAATAAAAAAAAATGAGAAAAAAAAAAAAAGGAACATCTACACAAAACATCGATATTCATTCTTACAACTGGCAATATTGAATTAATTCATAGTTTACAGTCATTAATGATAGGATAGGATAGGAATATATCTGTTGGTCACAACTTGTCGTCAAAAGCTAGTAGTGGTGGTGTAGATGGTAGAACGTATCATGAAGCGTTTATCGCCGAGGATTGCATCCATCAAAGTCTGCCATCTCGTAATAATGGTGGACCATTTGTCGTCTATCCTCGTTTTAGTATGAGATCTTTGTTGCAAAGAGGATCAAGAAAAGAGGAAGAATCTACTCTATTTGTGGTCTCAAACCTACCACTGTAAGAGTCAAGTGTTTTTTTGATCATTTACCGCCAATAAGGATTATTGATTCAAATTATAACCGGAACCCAACAACAATAACAACCAATGCAAATACTTTATGTGTATGTATTATTAAAAATATAATGATATGAAATCTTTGATCTCATCAATAGATATTATTATTATTATTATTATTATGGCATTTAAATCAGTCGATGACTCAAACTGGGCAATGTCTAATTTCTTTGCTCAACCACCATTTTATCTGACACCATTGTTCTCCTTGTGTAATTATTCACTTGAATGAATTATCGATCCATGCATGCATGATTCTGGATATATTGATTTACTTTCCATTTCTGTTTGTTGATTTGAAACTTTATAATCTTTGGGACAAAATTGATAACTGAGATTTATCTCTACTCATCATCATGATCATCAAGACATTGGAATTCGAACAAACGAGAAAAATAATAACATTGGAAAATAAGGACAAACTCTTAAACAAAAGAAAAGAAACGACTGTCTAAAAGTGTGAAAAAAAGTAAAAAACAATTGACCACACTTGTGTTTATCAAGCTTGATAGTTTGACCACACTTTAAGTCGATTAGTTCATGACACCAAAGAAAGAAAGAAAGAAAGAAAGAAATAAGTCAGTACTCTTCATATCTCTTTTCTCTTTTCTCCTCACTTGTTTTTCTATCATTTTTAAAGTACTATAGTTGTACAATTCTATAAATATATACATTCATATATAATATAATATAAATATAATAATCGATTCAAAATCGAAATGAGTATAGTTAAAGAAGGATACTTGTTTAAACAAGGTAGTAAAGTTTCTACCAATTGGGTAAAGAGATATTATATCATTCAATCAAATCTATTATTACGATATAAAAAGAAACCTGTATGTGTTTTATAGAGATTATTAGATTATAATCTAGACTAGACTAGACTAGACATATGTTTACAATATATTGTATCTTATTCACTTTTTTTCCTTTCCATAGGGAACCAAAAATGTATTACCAAATTGGACATTAGATATAACAAATACAACGGTGGATCATGGATCGGTCATAAAATATTGTATTTCCATTACTACACGTGATCTCAAAACTGTCTATCTTTCAGCAGAGACGGCTCAAGATGCAGTCGATTGGATTCTACATTTAAAAAGAGCTTGTGCTACACCAATGACAAATAGTAAAATGACATTGGCTTCTGCTACAACCTTTACATCGACTACAAATACATCAACCCCTTCTTCTTCTAAACCTGTTCCATCCATTCCTACACAGGTTTCAATGAAACCATTACCTCAACAACCAACTCCAACAGCTATTGTTCAACCTTTACATAATCCATATATGGTTCCAATCACCACTAATACTACTACCATGTCTAATGGATCAACAATAGTTCATCCATCTGTCATTGTAACCAACAATCAAACTCCATTTTATCCTTATCAAACTCATTTTATTCCAAAACAACCTCAACAACCTCAACAACAACAATATCAATATCAATATCAACAACCACCACCTCCTCCTCAACAACAATACCAATATCAACAACCTCAACAACAACAATATCAACAACCACCTCCACAACAGCAACAACAACCATTTCAACAATATCCAAATAATAATTATGTAAACCAACAACAACAACAACAACAACAACAACAAGCCAATATATTTAATAATAGTCAACAACAACAACAATACCAACAAACATTTTATAAATTAAATAATACCAATACCAATCAATGTAATATAGTCAATAACGGTGCATCATTATCACCACCACCATCAACCACATCTTCATCATCTTCAACTTCATCTTCTTCATCTGTTTCTTCATCCGTTTCACAACCTCAATTGTATCCATCTTTGGATGCCAACAATAATAATCCTAATAGTGGACATATGTATCCTAATAACAATGGTAATAATAATTATTTATCAACAGCACCAACAACAGTTTCAACTAAACAAGAATCTAGATATGGTGATTTTTCTCAATACTATAATTTCCAAAGATAATAATAATAAAAACTAGAAATAATAATATTTATTTATTTAATTTTTAAATTAAAAAGGAATTTTTCTTTTCTTTTTTTTTTTTTTTTCATCCACCAAGTCCATCATTCTTTTTGACTGAAACTCATTTTATTTATTACCTTTTATACCATGGAATCAAATAATTTATTACAATTTTATAAAATATGTGGAATGTTAAAGACTACAAAGAGAACCGGATGGGTCAATAATGAAATACATCTACCTGAATCGATATCAGATCATATGCATAGAATGTCAATGTTTGCAATGTCACTCGACTCTGACACTCTCAAGAAAAAGGATGGTACCATTGTAAAGATTGATAAAACTAAATGTATAAAAATGGCATTGGTACATGATCTAGCTGAATCATTGGTTGGTGATTTCACTCCCTTTGATAATATTTCAAAACAAGATAAATCAAATTTAGAAAATGTAAAGAGTGAAAAAAGAAGAAAGAAGAAATAGTTTAAATTTTATTAATCATCATTTTCTCTGCTAGGGAGCCATGATAAAGATTAAAGATACATTGGGATCAAGTGCAGGAGAAGAGATTTATCAATTATGGCAAGAATATGAAGATGCAACGAGTAATGAAGCATTGTTGGTAAAGGATTTTGATAAATTTGAAATGATTCTACAAGCACTAGAATATGAAAAGGCACAACAAAAGGATCTATCAAGTTTCTTTAATTCTACTAGAGGTAGATTTAATTATCAATTATTTCAAAATCTATCAGAATCTGTTGAAAATGAAAGAAATACAAAGAAATAGAAAAGAGTTTTAAAATAATAATACAAATAGGTTTTTTTATTCATCCATTTCATCTTCTTCATCTTCTTCATCATCATCATCATCATCATCATCATCTTCCATATCTTGTTCTTCTAGAATATCAACTACACCATTATCTTTTTGATCTTTTTGTTGTTGTTGTCTTGCAAGTAATTGAGCGGGAGAAGGATCTACAATGGTAGTATATTCCATTTGAACAGTGATTCCATCAATAGATCTTGGTACCAATGATCTTTCTTGTTCTGATAGACTACGATCTACACCAACCACAATGAGTGGTCTAACAACAGTATCTGTCATTGACAACTTGTAATATTCAATCGTACATCTATATGGAAATGGTAAATTTAATTCTTTGATTGAATTTATTAATTGTTCTTCTGACGATGACATTGATAAATTGTTTGTTTGTATTTGTGTGTGTTTAACGTTTTGTAAAGAGTAGTAGTAAAAAGTAATTTAAATATATATTTTGTCGTTTTCTGCAGAGTTTTGCAAAAGATCTACCCTATTCAAAAACGACAACAATATCACTTTTATAAAATATATAAATTCATTTTTTAATTTAATATGTTAAAGAATACAAGATTAAATCAAACTATAAAAAGATTAGCTTTTAATCAATATAGTTGTTTAAACAACAACTCGACAACAACTAAAACAACATATTCTTACAATTCAACAAAAAACAATGTAAACACTTTTTCTTCTACTACTACTACTAGTTTAAAAAGAGAATATTGTTCAAATAAAAGTCATGATACATCAAATTTACATTTTAATATTAGACAAGAAAAAGAATATCAACAACAACATCAAGATATTGGTAGTGGACCATTAGCAATCTATGATCAAATGATCAATGACAAAAAGATTAGAATCGATACACATCAAAGAGAAACTGTAAAATTACTACAATCACTATTTGATCAAATCAAAGCACTCAAACTACCAACCACTGCTCAACAATTGGAAGATCATCAACGATCTCCAACAGAATCATCAACCATCTTTTCAAAATGGTTATCATCTAAACTAACAACCATTGTCAATGTAGACCCACTACACAGTAATCAACAACAAGAAATCAAAGGAATTTATTTATTTGGTGATGTTGGATGTGGAAAATCATTTCTAATGGATCTATTTTATGATTCTATCAATATTGAAAAAAAGAAAAGAATTCATTTTCATCATTTTATGTTGGATGTTCATAAAAGTAAACAAAATGAAAAACAAAAAGGAAAACAAAAAAATAATATATTTAAAATATTAATTTTCTTTTTTTATTTTTCTATTTATTTTTAGGAATACATAAATGGAGAATGAATAAAAGAATAGATGAAAATGATCCAATACCACCATTGGCAAAAGAATTGGTTAGTGAAGCATGGTTATTATGTTTTGATGAATTTCAAGTGACAGATGTATCGGATGCAATGATATTGAAAAGATTGTTTTCACAAATGTTTGATCATGGTGCTATATTGGTAACTACTTCGAATCGTCCACCACCAGATCTTTACAAGAATGGATTGAATCGTCAACTATTCCTTCCATTTATCGATTTCCTTCAACAAAAATGTTTAGTACATAATCTAAGTTCTGGTTTGGATTATAGACTTTCTGGAACTAGAACTAAAAAAGTATTTTTCCAACCATCAGGTGATCCTACCAATTTGGAGGAAATGGAAAAACTTTATCAAACATTGACACATGGAGAGATGGAGGAACAAGTTTTATTGGCAATCAATGCAAGTAGAAATGTAGTGGTACCAAGATCAGCACGTGGTGTAGCAAGATTTACATTTGGTCAACTATGTGAAAAGGCATTGGGAGCAGCCGATTATATTGTAGTGGCACAAAATTATCATACCGTCTTTATTGACAATATACCAATGATGAATGAATCTACCAAGAATCAAGCTCGTCGTTTTATTACACTTGTCGATGTCCTCTATGAACATAAAGTCAAATTGATTTGTACTGCAGCGGCTCCACCAAACCAACTATTCATGTCTACACCCGACACTGACCAACAAGATCTATCGTATACCGCTGAAATTAGACAACTCACCGATGACCTCAAACTAACACCCGAACAACTTTCAAGATTTACAGGTGAAGAAGAAAGATTTATGTTTTCAAGAGCTGTTTCTCGTTTAATTGAAATGCAATCTGATCTTTATTTAAATAATCAAAGTCATAAATAAAATAGAAAGATTACAAGAGCAAAAGACATTCGGCTATTTTTCTTGACTCGTCCGAATAGTTGAAGTTCTGGATGAACCATTTGATAATCTCCAACAAAAAAAACGAAACATTTCGAGCTCGACATTATTTTTTAATTTTTTTTGCAATTAAATTTTTGTTTTTTTTGCTCCTCCTCGCAATGACCTCTCCACTGAAAAAGAGTCGCCTTTGATTCATTTTCTTTACGTTCCTCCGTGACACCGTCAAGGTAAATAAGATATAGAACATATATATATATATATATATATAATATTTGTCCCTTTTTTTAATATCTATATATCAACACAACCTTTGTAAATCACATGACATATATCAACACATTTACAATGCTAAATCCGTGTGTTGTATCATCGATCATGTGACACACACTTTTTTTTTTTTACATAATCACCCCTATCATTCATCCTACATATCTCTTTGTGTGTATAATTTTTTTATTTGTTTCATTCATACCTTTTTCCATATTTTATTTTTTTTTACAACTCCCACACCTCGGTTCAATTATTGTTTGAATCAACCAATGGATTCCATCTTTTTCTTTTTTCCATCCAAAAAGAGAACAGTAATAATTATTCTTTTTTCTTTTTTTTTATAATTATTAAAAAGAGTAATAGTTTTATCAGATGATCCTCTAGAAAAAAAAAAAAAGACAGATAGAGAGAACGAGCACATCGTTTTTTTTTTTTTTTTTTTTGCACATCAACTTTTTTTTGTTCAAGCGAAACCAGTCGAAAAAAAAAACAAATTCACTAACATCTTCCTTTTTCCTACTCTTTACAATATTCTTGTAGATTCAACAAAGCTTATTTACCTTTTAGGTTTTGTATTTTTTTCTTCTTCAAGTCCACATTTTAAAACAAGAAAAACAAAATGGTAAGCAGAGAGAATAGAAAAGAAAAGAAATATGATATTTGGAAACAAAATTTCTAATCTAATCTTTTTCAATTACTACTATTATTTTCTTACCTTAGGTTAACTTTACTATTGATCAAATTAGATCCATTATGGATCGTCGTGAAAATATCAGAAATATGTCTGTTATTGCTCACGTCGATCACGGAAAGACCACTCTTTCTGATTCTTTGATCCAAAGAGCCGGTATTATTGCCGAAAAGGTCGCTGGTGATATGAGATATATGTCTACCCGTGCTGATGAACAAGAGCGTGGTATTACCATCAAGGCTTCATCTGTGTCGCTCCATTTCGAAATCACCGAAAAGGACAAGTTGCCACCAGGATGTGTTTCACCAAGCTTTTTGATCAATCTTATCGATTCACCAGGTCACGTCGATTTCTCTTCAGAAGTAACTGCTGCCCTCCGTGTTACTGATGGTGCTCTCGTCGTTATCGATTGTGTCGAAGGTGTCTGTGTCCAAACCGAGACTGTACTCCGTCAAGCCGTCGCCGAACGTATCAAGCCAGTCTTGTTTGTCAACAAGGTCGATCGTTTCCTCCTCGAACTCCAACTCAACACTGAAGAAGCCTACATTTCCTTCCGTCGTGCTATCGAGTCTGTCAATGTTATCGTCGGTAACATGGACGACAAGGATTTCGGTGATGTCACTGTTGCTCCAGAAAAGGGTACCGTTGCTTTCGGTTCAGGTCTCCACGGATGGGGTTTCACCCTCGGCAAGTTTGCTGAAATGTACGCCGCCAAGTTTGGTGTTCCAAAGGACAAGTTGATGGCCCGTCTCTGGGGTGACAACTACTTTGATGGTGAATCCAAGAAGTGGACTTCCTCCCCAACCTCTGCCACTGGCAAGCCACTCAACCGTGCTTTCTGTCAATTCATCCTCGAGCCAATCTACCAATTGTCCCGTGCCGTCGTCGACGACAACAAGGAAAAGATCGCCAAGATGATCACCACCCTCAACATTACCCTCTCACCAGAAGACAAGGAACTCAACGGAAAGGCCCTCATCAAGGCCATCATGAGAAAGTTCCTCCCAGCCGCCGACTCTATCCTTGAGATGTGTGTCACCCATTTGCCATCCCCAATCGTTGCCCAAAAGTACCGTGTTGCTTCCCTCTATGAAGGTCCATTGGATGATGAATGTGCTGTTGCCATCTCCAAGTGTGACCCAGAAGGTCCACTCATGATGTACGTTTCAAAGATGGTTCCAACCTCTGATAAGGGTCGTTTCTATGCTTTCGGTCGTGTATTCTCTGGTGTCATCCGTACCGGTCAAAAGGTCAGAATCATGGGTCCAAACTATGTCCCAGGCAAAAAGGACGATCTTTTCCTCAAGTCTATCCAACGTACCATTCTCATGATGGGTCGTAAGACTGAACAAATCGAAGATTGCCCATGTGGTAACATTGTTGGTTTGGTTGGTGTCGATCAATACCTTCTCAAGTCTGGTACCATTACCACCTCTGACATTGCTCACAACATCAAGGTTATGAAGTTCTCTGTATCACCAGTAGTCCGTGTCGCCGTAGAAGTAAAGAATGCAGCTGATCTTCCAAAGCTCGTTGAAGGTCTCAAGCGTCTTGCCAAGTCTGATCCATGTGTCCTCTGTTATACCGAAGAATCTGGTGAACACATTGTTGCCGGTGCCGGTGAACTCCATCTCGAAATTTGTCTCAAGGATCTCGAAGAAGATCACGCTGGTGTCGCCATCAAGACCTCTGATCCAGTCGTATCTTTCCGTGAATCTGTCGCTGAAAAGTCCTCCCTCCTCTGTCTCTCCAAGTCTGCCAACAAGCACAACCGTCTCTTCTGTACCGCCGAACCAATGTCTATGGAACTCCAAGAAGATATCGAAAAGGGTAACGTCTCTCCAAAGGACGATATCAAGGCCCGTGCCAACTATCTCTCTGAAACCTACGGATGGGATCAAAACGACGCCAAGGCCATCTGGTCTTTCGGTCCAGAGGGTCAAGGTGCTAACCTCCTCGTCAATGCCTCAAAGGGTGTCCAATACTTGAACGAAATCAAGGACTCTTTCGTTTCTGCCTTCCAATGGGCTTCCAAGGAAGGTGTCATCTGTGATGAAAACATGCGTGGTATCAGATTCAACGTTCTCGATGTCACCCTTCACACTGATGCCATCCACAGAGGTGGTGGTCAAATCGTCCCAACTGCTCGTCGTGTACTCTACGCTTCTGAAATGTCTGCCTCCCCAATCCTCCTCGAACCAATCTACCTCGTCGAAATCACTGCCCCAGAATCTGCCGTCGGTGGTATCTATGGTGTACTCAACAGACGTCGTGGTCACGTCATCTCTGAAGAGCGTCGTGTCGGTACCCCACTCTTCTCTGTCAAGGCCTACCTCCCAGTACTCGAATCTTTCGGTTTCACTGCCGATCTCCGTTCTCACACTGCCGGTCAAGCTTTCCCACAATGTGTCTTTGATCATTGGGATTCCATCGGTTCCATCGGTGTCATGGGTAACTCTGGTGACAAGAGAGCCACTGAAGTCGCCGTCGCCACCAGAAAGAGAAAGGGTCTCAAGGAAGCCATCCCAGACTTTGACCAATTCTATGATAAGCTCTAAACAAAGAAAAAAAAAAGAGTAAATCGCCAAAAACACAGACTCAATAAATATATAATTATAGTAACAAAAAAACAAACAAAAAGATAATCAATGTTGTATCTTTATTATTCTCGAGAAATATATCCATATTAATATCACTATCCGTGTCCATGTTTACTCTCTATCAATGTCCATCCAGTCTCTCTCTCTAAGTGGCATTGTCTGCTCTGTCACTCTATCCATGCCAATCTCCATCTCACTCACTCGTCTCTCTTCACTCTATCCATATCACTATCCGTGTCCATCTTTACTCTTATCTCTATCCATCCCACTCTCACACTCTCACTCTCGTCTCTGTTACTCTATCCATGTCCATCCAACTCACTCTCACTCTCTCCGTCTCTCTCTCTCACTCTATCCATCCCAATCCCACTCTCATTCTCGTCTCTGTTACTCTGTACATGTCTACTCTATCCATGCCATGTCTACTCACTCACTCTAATCTTGTCCATGTGTACTCTATCCAATCACTCTCCATCTCTCACTCCCTCTCATCTCTATCCATGTCCATCCAGTCTCTCTCCATGCCACTCTCATCTCTATCCTGTATACTCACCCACTCTCTCCACGTAAACTCCCACTCTAAACTTTATCCATTTCTACTCTCTTCCCCCCACTCTTACTCACTCCATGTGTACTCAATCCATGTCCAATCACTCTCTCTCTATCCATGCCAATCTCAATCTATCTCATCTCAATGGAAATGTCTCTTCTGTCACTCTCCACTCACGCCCACTCTCATCTCTCACCACCATGTCCATCTCCATCCTGTCTCCCTCACTCTATCCAATCCACTCTCTCTGTATCCATCAAACTCACTCACTCTCACTCTATCCATGTCACAGTTACTCCCTCTCTCACTCCCACTCTCTCCATGTCACTCTCATCTCTCTCACTGTCTCCATGTGTGCTCTATCCATGCCATGTCTACTCACAATCTCACTCACTCTTACTCTATCCATGTCACTCTCACTCTATCCATATCCATCCAGTCTCTAACTCTCACTGTCTCCATGTGTACTCACTCTATCCATCCAATCTCTCCATGCGCTACTTGCTCCATGCCAATCTCAATCTCTCTCGCTCTCTCAATCTCTCACTGTCTCCATGTCTACTCTCACTCTCATCTCTATCAATCTCCATGTCCTTACTCTAAACCTCAAAATCTGTCGAAGAAAACAACACCCCAAAATCTGTAGAAGTAAACAACACCTCAAAATCTGTAGAAGTCAACAACACCTCAAAATCTGTTGAAGTCAACAACTACCCTGCCATGTTATCAGCCTAGGTGGTATAAATAAGATCACAGAAAATAAAATTTCGGAAAATCACGAAACTAGCTAAATGGTTTTATTTTTTTACCCCACAACATCTTCTCAGGTTCGATATCTGTGCATACCACATTTATTTATCTCGCTCTATCCCCACTCTGTATCTTTATCTCTCACTCCCATCTCAATGCCCTATCGAATCCCTCTAACCTACCCTCATGTACATCTCTCATTCTCACTCTAATCTATCCATGTCCATGTCTACTCCATTGTCTCTGTCAATCCATGTTTACTCTCTCTCTCTGTCTCGCTCTCTAACTCGTTCACACCTCTCTTCTCTCCCAGCTTGAGAGGCACCATTCACCATCCATCCAGTCTCTGACTCATGTCCATGTCACTGCCCATGCCTCTCTCTCTCCATCTCTATCCATGTCTCATCTCACTCTCCCACTCTCCATATCGCTCCATGTCCCTGCTGTTCTCAATCTCAATCTCACTCTCACATGTCCATGTCACTCTCTACTCACTCTGTGTACATGTCATGACTCGCTCCCTCCGTTCTGCTCCAATCTCTATCCATTGACCCCACTCACTCTATCACTATCCATTTCCAACCATTCCACTCACAATCTCTCTCTCTTACTCCATCCATATCCATATCCATCCAGTCTCTCACTCTCACTCTCACTCATCTCCATGTGTCCTCACTCTATCCATGTCCAATCACTCAACTCACCCTCACTGTCTCCAAAGTGTACCCTATCCATGCCCATGTCTACTCTTGCTCACTCAATCCATCACACTCTATCCATGACCAATCACTCTCGACTTACTCTCTGCCTCTATACCAATCTCAACCTTGTCTGTTGAAGTCAACAACACCCCAAAATCTGTCGTAGTAAACAACACCCAAATCTGTAGAAGTAAACAACACCTCAAAATCTGTTGAAGTCAACAACACCTCAAAATCTGTCGAAGTAAACAACCCCTCAAAATCTGTTGAAGTCAACAACCCTTCCATGTATACTCTACCACGTCCAATCACTCTCCACTCACTCACTCTCCCCCTATATATGTCTATCCCTCTCTCAATCTCACTGTCGCGTGTACTCATATCCATGTCTCTCGCTCTATATCCATATCACTCTCATTTCCATGTCCTCTCTGTCTCTATCTCCCTCTCTAACCTACTCTATCTATCCAACACCCTCTCTCTCTCTCTCTCTCTCTCTATCCATGTCCATGTCTACTCTCACTCTCCATTCTCTCTGTCTATCCATGCCAGTGTTTCTCCAGGTCACCCTACCCATCCTATCCATGCCACTCCCCACTAACTCTCAATCTCTCCATGTCACTCTCCACTGATTCCTACTGTCTCCATGTGTACTCTATCCACGTCTATTCACTCTCCACACACACCATCGCTATCCATGTCATGTCTACTCTCTATCCATATCCAATCACTCTCCACACTCTCAATCTCATCTCTGTCACTCTATACTATCCATGTCTCTCTCAATTCCCTCTGTCTATCCATGTCCAGTGTTTCTCCATTCCACTCTCCCTCAATCTCTAACTCTCAATCTCTCACTCTTCATGTCACTCTCATTCTATAGATCTCGCACTCTCTCAATGTAACCATGTCTACACCTCACACTCTCTCACCCCATGTAACCCTCGCACGCATATCTATCGATGTCAACTCACTCTCACCCTAAATCATCTCAATCTCTCACTCTATCCATGTCATCATGGCATGTTTAATCTCAATCTCCATCTACCTCTCACGCTATATCCATCTCAACCCTCCAAGTGCATCTAACTCACCCTCACTCTATCCATGCCCATCCAGTCTCTCAGTCATCTCCATCTCTATCCATGTCCATCTAGTTCCAACTCCCTCCCTGTCACTCTCAACTCACTCTCATCTCTATCCATTTCCATGTCACTCTTACCCTCACTCTCATCTCTCACCATCCATGCAGGATAGAGTCGACTCTACCCGTATCGATATCCATCCAGTCTCTCACTCTCACTCATCTCCATGTGTACTCACTCTATCAATGTCCAATCACTCCACTCACTCTCACTGTCTCCAAAGTGTACCCTATCCATGTCTCCCCTCATGTGTACTCTCAATCTCACTCATCTCCATGTGTACTCACTCTATCCATCCAATCTCTCCATGCGCTACTTGCTCCATGCCAATCTCAATCTCTCTCGCTCTCTCAATCTCTCACTGTCTCCATGTCTACTCTCACTCTCATCTCTATCAATCTCCATGTCCTTACTCTAAACCTCAAAATCTGTCGTAGTAAACAACACCCAAAATCTGTCGAAGTAAACAACCCCTCAAAATCTGTAGAAGTCAACAAAACCTCAAAATCTGTCGAAGTCAACAACCCTTCCAAACCTGGGCTGTTGAGACCGATGGTGGTAAAAATATGAGCACTGGATTTAAAATTTCGGAAAATCACGAAACTAGCTAAATGGTTTTATTTTTTTACCCCACACCATCTTCTCAGGTTCGATATCTGTGCATACCACATTTATTTATCTGGAAGTCTAAACCATGACCCTCTACATTTCCATCTCTCATTCTCACTTTCAATCTATCCATGTCTATCTCTACTCTCACTATCCATTCTCTCTGTCTATCCATTCCCAGTATTTATCCCGGTCACTCACGGTATCCATCCAATCCATGCCACACCCCACTACCTCTCAATCTCTCACTCTTCTTCCCTGTTACTCTCTCCATGTCTCTCACCCTCATTCATCTACATATCTACTCTCACTCTATCAATGCCCATCCAGTCTCTTACTCTATTCATGTTTACTCTCATCTCGCTCTCTAACTCACTCACCACCCATCCAGTCTCTGACTCCTGTCCATGTTACTCTATCCAGTCCCACACTTTATCCATGCCAATCTCGCTCTCCACACTCCATGTCTACTCCCACTTACTCACACTCTATCCATGCCATGGCTACTCTCAATCTCAATCATCTCATGTCTACTCTCACTGTCACTCTCACTCTCTTCACTCTCTATACATACCCATCCATCTCTCTCTCACTCCATCTCCATCTCTACTCTCTATCTCTAATCTGACTCTCCATCTCTCACTCTATCCATGCCAATCTCAATCTATCTCATCTCAATGGAAATGTCTCTTCTGTCACTCTCCACTGACTCCCACTCTCATCTCTCACCACCATGTCCTCTCCATCCAGTCTCGCTCACTCTATCCAATCCGCTCTCTCTGTTACCATCAAACTCACTCACTCTCCAAACCCAAGTACATCCTCTCTGCCACTCTATCCATGTCCATACAGTCTCTCACTCATCTCCATGTATACTCTCACTCTCATCTCTCCAACTCACTCACCATCCATCCATCCAGTCTCTCTCTCGTACTGTGTCACTCCATGTCCCTGTTATTCTCAATCTCACTCATCTCCATGTCCATCCAGTCTCTCCGTGCCAATCTCATCTCTATCCATGCCAATCACTCTCTCACTCTATCCATGTCAGTCGATGTCCACTCTCACTCACACTCTATCCATACCAATCTCACACTCTCTAACTCTCACACTGTCTCCATGTCTACTCTCACTCTCATCTGTATCCAATCCACTCTCTCCATGCCAATGTCAATCTCACTCACTCGACTCTATCCATGACCATCCAGTTTCTCTCCATGCCAATCACTCTCTCACTCTCTCCATATCGCTCCTTGTCCCTGTTGTTCTCAATCTCAATCTCACACTCTGCTCTCATCCCACCTACTCTCACTCCCTCTCTCCATGTCCATGTCCAATCACTCTCTCACTCTCTCCATCTCTCACTCTCTATCACTCTATTCATGTCCACCCACTCTCTCCATGCCAATCTCATCTCTACCCATGTCCATGTCTGCTCTCTCCATTCTCTGTGTATATCCTTGTCCAGTGTTTATCCAGGTCACTCTCACATTATCCATCCAATCCATGTCATGTCTACTCATACTCACTCACGCTCTATCCATACCAACCTCGCTCTCGATCAAACACTCTCTCTTTGTCTCCATGCCAATCTCAATTCAAAATCTGTCTGTTGAAGCCCACAACACCTCAAAATCTGTCGAAGTAATCAACAACTCAAAATCTGTTGAAGTCACTCGGCTGTCGCCCGGAAGTGGTAAAAATATGAGCACTGGATCCAAAATTTCGGAAAATCACGAAACTAGCTAAATGGTTTAATTTTTTTACCCCTCACCATCTTCTCAGGTTCGATATCTGTGCATACCACATTTATTTATCTCGTCTAAACCATCTCTCTCTCGTCACTCCTCTCTCTCACATCTCGCTCTATCCCCACTCTGTCTCCATATCTCTCACTCCCATCTCAATGTCCTATCATATCCCTCTAACCTACACTCCATGTCCATCTCTCATTCTCACTCTAATCTATCAATGTCCATCCACTCACTCTATCCAACTCCCTGCCACCCTCTCTCTCACTCTCCAATCTCTCTGTCTATCCATGTCCAGTGTTTATCCAGGTCACTCTCACCCTATCCATCTACTCTCACCCTATCAATGTCCATCCAGTCTCTCAATCTCTCCATGTCACTCTCCACTCACTCGCACTGTCTCCATGTGTACTCTATCCACGTTTATTCACTCTCCACACACACCATCGCTATCCATGTCATGTCTACTCTGTCATCCCCTCCCACCCCCACTCTCTGTCCATAGCACTCTCTCTCCATCCATCCAGTCTCTCTCCCTGCCAATCTCGTAGTGGATATCCACCATGTATACACTCAATCTAACTCATCTCAATGTCCATGTCTGGTCACTCTATCATGTCCATCCACTCTCTCACTCCCTCACTCTCGACACACTCACTCATTCTCATCTATATCCATGTCGATATCTCTCTCACTCACAAGTCCCATCTAACTCTCACCATTCATCCAGACTCTCCATGCCAATCTCACTCTATCCCTGTCTACCCTCACCCATCCCACTCACTCTATCCATGCCCATCCAGTCTCTCTATCCAGTATCAATGTCCATCCCATTCATATATACACTCACTCACACTCTCACATCAAAACGAGCTGGGAAATGGAAGTCCATACCGATCTCACCCCCCACACACTCGAACTCTATCCAGGCCCAGCTCTCAATGTCCATGTTTGGTCACTCTATACATTTCCATCCGGCCCCCACTCTCACTCTCCATGTCACTCCCTCTCAATCCAGTCTCCCACAATATCATGTCACTCCACGTCCAATCACTCTCTACACACCCACTCGCTTTCGCTCCACGAAGTCTCTCTATCCACCATGTATACACTCGATCCATGTCAATCCCTCTCCATTCACGCACTCTCTCTCTCACTCATTCTATCTCCATCTTCATATCCCTAAAGTCAGGCGGTGGAAGGAAACAACACTTAAAATAAAATGGTGGAAGTAAACAAAAACTAAAAAAAAAAAAAAATTCGAAAAAAAAAAATCTAAAAACAAATTAACTCCTCAGGTGGTATAAATATAAGCATCAAAATCAAAATTTCGGTATTTCTTGAAACTAGCATAATGGCATAGGTTTTTTACCCCACCCCAACTTCACAGGTTCGATACCTGTGCATGCCTTTTTATTAGTATCAGGTCTACACCAATACATCTTCTCTATATTTGCGTGCATTTGGACAAGTATTAACTTGCGCCAACCAATTAAATTAAAAACATCAAATAAATCAAAATCCACTTTAGTAAAAAAAATATATTTACTTGCATCTGTAAATCACTGGAAGTCTAAACACTCATCAGCTCTTCTTCAAAAGGATTTGTGTAGACAAATGCTTCATCACTGTCCACGATCTCGTGCATTGTAAGTCCAATAGTTACAAGTTGTTGATATTATCAAGTTCACTTGGATGATTCCGAGCTGGCGAATAATAAAACAGGATTAAATATTTACAAACCACTTCAGTATGCTGTTGCTGTATTGTTAGCTGCAATCTCTGACAATTTGATGGTCGTTACACGAGAAAGATCAATCGTGTATTTAAGGACTATCAGTGATACTCAATAGTCCTTGTTAGATTCAGATTGTAAATTAAAGTACAGTTCAATGATTAGTCAATGATATTTCATCTAATTATCAACATACTTAATCCTGGTGCCAAATATAGAAAGTATGCTGGATAAAAATACTAACGACTAAACTATTGTCGGTTAGTCGTCTCGAACAACAAACTATAAAAGACCAATGAAATCAATAAACATTAATTCATCTTTTATTACTATAATTAATAATCATTTGCGGCAGTAAAGGATCAATTTTTGGATGGTGATTTGGATATTTTAAAAATCAATAGATATAGAGCATTGTTCTCATTGAGAGATATTGGTGATGAAAAGTCAGTATTGGCACTTTGCGATGGTTTCAAGGACAAGAGTGCACTCTTGAAACATGAAGTTGCCTTTGATTTGGGTCAATTACAACAATTTATTAGTTTCTTATAGTTTATTTAGTTGATTAGTTTGAGAATTGAGGATTTAATCACTTGATTCATCACTTGATTCATCACTTGAATCGTCACTTGAATCATCGCTTGAATCATCACTTGAATCATCACTTGAATCATCACTTGAATCATCACTTGAATCATCACTTGAATCATCATCACTTGAATCATCATCTTGAAAGAGAATCTTTCTCTTGTTGATTGGTGCACCCGAGGCCAATGTTGGTTTGACAGGCTTGATTGGCGAGACTCTTGGCATTATCATTTTGTTCTTTCTACGTCGATTAACCTCCATCAAGTAGTGACGGTGACACATTGACTTGCAACGAGCATATGCGAGAATGTGAGCATTGCACTTGGCCCCATTTTCTACGTCTTTGCAACGACCCTTGTAAAAGATGGTTCTGTCACTGGTGAGGATACCACACTTTCTGGCGCAATAGGTGCTACAAAAGGGCTTTGGCTTGTCCCATTCTTGACTACAATTGGCTACCATAAAGTCACACCCCTTTCTTACACACTTCTTTCTTGGGGCAAGAATTCTAGCCTTTCTCTGCTGTGAATCTGATTTTCTTGGTGGCCTTCTTGGAGCGGCAGATCTCTTTGGTGCAGTACCGATTGGCTTTGGAATCTCGAGATATCTATATTTTCCACTTACATTAAATGGTTCAATTTTATGAAGCATTTGAATACTATAATTGAGAAAAATAAGAGTATTAATATTGATCTTTAATATAAATATATTGATAAAATTGATATTTACTCATGAACCTCTAATCTATCACTATTGAGAACAGTATGTTTCGAAGCACTATTGATTGTTTTATCATGATATTCATTCTCGACACGATCGATGGCTCTTGACAAAATTGATGTTGCACCAATTCTTGGGTCATTGAATTGGATGGCTTGAGCCAACTTGCGAATGACAACACCAGCATGTTCATGAATTGTCCATGGGAGTACAGATGTTTTGTTGTTCTGTAGAATGGCAGCAATATTGCCAGAGATGGGCTTTGGGCCACCTGGTGGATTCTTGGTGACACATACGAGAATATGATTTTCCATATCTCTATGGTGCAATGTTACTTGGTTGCAAAGTGGGCATGTAGAGAATGCCGTTCCCTCTCTGACATGATCAAAAAATTCTTCTTCTTCTTGTACCACTTGGTTTGCCATGGCTTGATTCACAGCAAGAAAATGTTCGTTATCCATGGCTTGTCGAATATATTCTTCATCAGTGCCCATCATCATCATCATCTCCTCTTGTTGTTGATAGTCTACCATGTCTTGATCTTGTTGATGGTCTAACATGTCTTGATCTTGGTCATGTTGATAGTCTACCATGTCTTGATCTTGTAGATCGTCTACCATGTCTTGATCAATAGCTTCTTGGTCTTGTTGATCATCAAACAAGGCTCGCAGGTCTACCAAAACTTGTGGATTATTCTTTAGAAACTTTCTCTTGGTTTGGAGAGTGTTTACATCTTGATTAACAGTGCTGGAAGACCAGATATACTTGATAAAGTATCTAAAGAGACGAGCACGCTTGGCACTATCGTAGAAAAAGTGAAGGTTCTCGCGAGTGATAACAGTTGGGAACCAAAACAGTGGCGAGAACTCATTGTACGTCTTTTCTTCTTCAATAAGTTGCTTGATACGTTGTGGCAAGTCTTTGATGGCACCATACATGTATCTGATGTAATCTCTAAACAAGATGGGATGGGCTCTGATAGCATCTTCCAGGATCAACGCTTCAACTCCACGATGAGCTCTAACACGGTTGATAGACTCTAATAGTTTCTCCTCGAGCAAATGTTCACTGGCAGCTTGGATAATGAGATCAGATGGTGGAAACAAGGATACAAGAGTGCATCCCACTGACCCAGCATAGGTATGGACCTTTTAACAAAAAACTTGGTTGGCATTGGTGTCCTAACAGTGATTGCTTCGGGAAACGACATCATGATTTCTAATACATCCCTACGATCCGATTCAATATCCTTTTCTATAATTATAATAATAAATAAAAGAAGAATTAAAAAAAAAATTTTTTTGATTATTGATTTAATTTACTATTTCTTTTTTTTTTTTTTTTTTTTTTTTTTTTTTTTTTTACTTACTTTTGGTTTGGTCCACTGGTTGACAGGCGATAACATTTGGAAGGGGATCAATGGAAAACTGTTGAAAGTGGTTGTGCTCAATGACAGACCCGAGTGTAAAACCATTGAATCTAGGACTTTGAACGAGGCTGTGCAACGTATCATAAAAGTGGGTGGTCCTTGCTTGTCTCTGGTCGGATTTGTTGGTCTCGGTAGACGGCTTGGCACTAGTCATTGTAACTCTTTTTGAATCAAACGATGAACGTTCCTTTGTGACTAGATGGTTTGTGATACCAACTATAGTCTTATCCATTGTTGTAAAATGTTGTTGTTGTTGTAACTTGTAGTTGTACAGATAACTATTATTATTATTATTATTATTATTGTTGTGGCTTTATTACTTACTATTACCTACAGAGGGGATGCTGATGATTATGATTTGAGCAGCAAGAGGCTGCCTCTTTTATAGCTAGCGTTCATCCTCCAAGGATGTAGGTGACTGACCTATTCATACATAGAAATATGAACTTCAATCGTTCAGTCGGTACAATGATCATAAAGCAACCCTTTGGATATTTATGACACAATGTCTAAAAATAAATTTAAATTTTTTTTTTTTTTTTCACCATGATTGATTTTTCAACTTTATTGTGAGAGTTTACGGTTGTCTCGTTATTATTAGTGTTTATACAGATAGAAAAAGTCTTTGATCAGTAGCATTAGAACGTTATTGTTGTGTAGTTGTTGATGTATTTATTTTTAATTTTAATTTTAATTTTATTTTTATTTTTATTCTTTTAGACAAGGGGATGGCTCAGCTATAAAAAAATTGGAATTTTTCGTTCTTTAAATTAATTTGCTAGGTAGTTTTTAAAATAATCATAAAGCTTACTTGTTTACTACACAATAATAATATATAGAGTAACATTAGTAGTTGATTCAAGAACGACACAGCGTTCGCGCTGACACCTTCTGAGATACTACATATTGATTACTATATAAATCACCACAAACAGTATCATTAGTAGTTGATTCAAGAACGACACAGCGTTCGCGCTGACACCTTCTCGAGATACTACATATTGATTACTATTTATTATAAATCCCCCACAACACAGACAGTATCATTTGTACATTATATCTGTATTTAAAAATGAGCAATATCATAGAAACAACAACTAGTTTAAGAATGTCAGCTATTAGGTATAATCGTCACTCCTTTATAATCAATTATTTATATTAACAACTATTAACCCGCTCTTTTTTTCTCTTAAATCAGAGAGAAAACGTCTGCACCTATAGCTACAAAACCAACGCCTTTGCTCAAGCACACAGACAAAGATAGTCCCGTATATCGATATACAGAAATGTTTCATGGACTACTTTCAGAAAGCTTTATCAATCGCTCAATTGGATCCATGAACTATTTCGAGCGTGATTGTGGTAAACATGGATGGTTCATAAAGGTATGCACTCACGATATTAACTCATTTGTTATTATACAGTTAAAAGACCCCGCACCTGAACAAAATGAATCGTTATTAATTCGAAATGGAATACAAGAAAAGATTGACCATCTTATCGAAATATCGGGGGTAGATAAGATAGATGATGATGCCTTCAAGAAGGTGACCCCTCAAGTTGGGCCTCAACAATCAAAAAATGCAAAGCGTCGTGATATCAAGAAATCTCGACGTGAGACCCGACAACAAGATACGTCCATCCATGGCCAAACAACTCAACAACAAGATACGTCTATCTACGATCGGTTCGCCCACCAAGATGCTGGAGGCTTTGAAGATACTATTGATCCATCGTATCAACATGACTTGTTGACAGAGGCCCTTCAAGAGTTGGCAGAGACTGGTCAAGAGTTGGCAAAGTCCCGTCACTATTGTTCGGTACTCAAAGAACAACAATTCAAACACCAACAACAAATAGAGGAATACCAACAACAAATAGAGGAACAACAATTAAAACACCAACAACAAATAGAGGAATACCAAAAACAGTTCGAGTTATTAAAGTTAAAACATCAAAATGATCAACAAACAATACAAATACAACAAGAAGTCAATGAACAGTTAACAAAAGAAAGAGAACAACATATACAACATATTAAAAAAATAGAGCAAAGGATGATACAACTAGAAAAAGAACAACACAACAACGATATACCATTGAGAACGGAACTCTCGGCCCAAAAGACACCATCAACTTTAACAAGTAGCAAGGTTCTTCTATTAATCGATCGATACAGTGAAGATGATTTCTACCAGTTCATCTATCGAATCAATAACATCGATAAGAAAAGGCAAGAGGAGTTAGTCGCCAGGGACTCCAAAGAAAGCAACGATAAGATCTATTGTAAAGGCCTCAAAAATCAAAGAGCTATTCGATTTGCTCTTCTCAAATATGGTTTTTTCATTACCAGTGAAAAGCTGCAAGGTTGGTTCAATCATTCCACCAAACAATTTATCACACATGTCGCAGATGTGAAAGCAGAAGCATCAAGTTCATTCTGTTTAAATTGCAAGCAAGCTGGCGATATTTTGTCCAAGAAGCTCAGTTACTTTTTCAAAGAGAGTTTTTTCGCGTTCAAAGAGAGTTTTTTCTACCAATTGGTCACCGAGCAATTCGACCATATTCTTGACCCACAAGGTAAATGGGCCCATGAAGTTGTGTCTTTTGCTGAAACCCTCAAGCACCACCATGGAAAGAAGGTCATCGAAATGCTTCTCGGTGATAAAGCAACCCGTACTACATATGGTGGTATTCCGTTTCCTTCTCTCCGAACGGTTCAGAGAAAGTCAACCGGTCAAACACAATTCTATCTCAACTGTATGCACGCAAGATTTCATACTATCTCTGTAGGGCTAGGGTTGAATGAAGGCAAAAAACTTTATGCTGGTGTGGCTTTTGACGAGATTGACATTCTCAAAGGATTGCATTTAGACTTAAATGGTAACCAACTAATCGGATGCTATGATGAACCCATCAACGAAAGTAACATACGGAATTTGACACCATCAGAGTCATTATTGACCAAAAAGATGTTGCAAGTGTTTTTTATATCACTGGACGGAAAAATATCTTTCAACTTGGCCAAATTCCCGACCAATGGAAAGAATACGTTGTGTACCGCCTCATCAGTGATCATCGAGACCATCAAAATCGCAAAAAAGTTCCACATTGAAATAGTATTTGGAGCAATGGATGGTTATGATGTACAAGACTCGATCATCCAAGATATCATCGATTAACAGAATCTACTTTTTCTTGATCTACTTTGGCAAGGACAGCATGACCACCTTCCACATGCTTTTCATATGCTCTTCTTATAGCAAAAATTTGTTGGCAACCATCATTGGGGCATATCTTAAAGAAGCAGTCCATCCTTGCCAAAGTAGATCAAGAAAAAGTAGATTCTGTTAATCAAATGGAACAAATATTTATCGACGATTTTATTAAATTACGAGAAAAATTTTCCACCCAACTCCAATCTCTTCTAAATCTACAACAACAACAACGACAACAACAACAACAACAACAACAACAACAACAACAACAACAACAACAACAACAAATTCTCTCCAACGCCACCAAAATGAAGAAGGGTTCCAAAAGATCAGCTGAAGAAGCTTATAAATTACTATCAGCACCAGCAAAGGAACCAGTAATTCTTTTTTTCGACACAGAAACAACTGGACTGGCAACCTCAACCACCTCCCAAATCATTGAATTATCACTGATTAATATAAAAGATGGAGACTCTTTTTACAGAAAAGTCAATCCAACCATACCTATTGAAGATGGTGCTACAAAAAAACATGGAATGACAAATCAATCACTGGCTGGCCATCCATATTGGGAGGACGTTGAACCTGAATTGATACAATTTTTGGACAAGTACTGTGTTGGTGACACACCTGTGGAGATCATCATTGTTGCTCACAATGAAAAATTCGATCGTCATATCCTTGCCACACGTATCGTCAAAAATATGGTCACAACCCTACCAACGCTCCCTGAAATCAAATTTGTAGACTCTATCAACATATTTAAGCATATGGCCAGAAAAGGTTTTATCCAAACGCCCGCCGCATTCGGGATTGACGATCTTAATCTTTTCTTCAAACCCCCAACCATTACCAGTGTCGGTGATCAAAATAGGAGACACACCAGTTGTCGCGACGTTTTAGAGATGTTCAACCTCTTGTCTCACGTTACCATCACAAGCAAATTGGATGTCCCAGTTCCCGCTGAAACCAAATCGATTTACGAATTCCTCTCTATGTACATCCACAGTCAAAATATAAAACAACACTTGTTTAGTGAAACCCTCACAAAGAAACTTGGAACGGATGCAGATGGCAAAAAAAAAAAAGGAAGACACGGAAGAGACAAAGACAGCCAAACAAAGTGCAAACTACCCAACGGTACAGGCCTGTACAAAAGATGTATTGTTGTTGGTAGCAAAGGAATATATCGATTTTGGTCTTGGAAAAATCATAACCAGCTCTTCAAAAGACAAAGTAGTTCTTCAAATCATACAATATATTGATGATAAAGATTCCCAAAAAGGAAAAGAACTACTTGAGAAGTTAAAAACAAGAAAAAAAGGAAAAAGAAAAAGGAAAAAAACAAAAAAATAAATAATTATTGTTAATTTAAGTAAATAATTAGTGTGTAACATTGCTACCCCTAACCCTAATGGAATCTGAAATTTTCTCCAAGTCTGCATTTTTATTTTCCAATTTTTTTTCCTTCTCTCAGAGCCGAGTCATCCCCTTGTTTTAGACAACATAAAGAGAAGAAGCAAAAACAATATCTCTTTTAATTAATCTAATAGCTTCATCCATTTTTTGATAAAGTTTAGTATCACCAATGATACGAGCACAATTTCTAACTTCTTGACAAGTTTCACCAATTCTTGTTATGGCTCTAACAATGGTACCTTCCAATACATTTGTTAATTTACAAATATCATTAAATGGCATACCTCTTGCCCATTCATAGGTAACTTCCATGAGACCAAATTTAAGTATTTTTTCCTTTTCCTCCAAAGTAACTTGTAGACCATGATCAATTTCCAATTGACATAGTTTTTCATTGATTTTAATAAGATTATCTCTTGCTTGAATTAATCTTGGAGTAAGAGAGGGTTCAATGGCATCCTTTTCTTGAAAGATTAGACATGACAAGACTGAAACAATTTCCGATGGTTCCAACATGAGGAATGCATTTTCAAAGATGAGTTCTGGAATGATCAATTCTTCACAAGTATTGACTTCTCTTGATACCTTTCCTTTTACCATTACATTATTCTCTCCATCTATATAACCAAGTGTTTCTAATATCTTTAACCGAATCTGGAATTCTGGCATTAATTGAAGATTTTCATCTGATGATGTATGTTTATATTCATTCATCTTTGTTTTTATATCATGTTTATGTTTTGTAATAGTATACTAAATAAATAGAAAATATTAATATTTTTATATTATTTTTTTTTTATCTTTTTCCAGGACTTACATGATTTGATAATTTAGGACAATTATTACATTTTGAAGTTGGAATTAATTTTTGAATATTTTGTAATTTATCAAATTGATCGACAAATTCGATTGATCTTAATTTTAATTTTGAAATTGGATCAATGGAAGGAGGACCAAGTGGTAAAGGATACTTTTCCAATAGACGTAATAATTGTTGTTGAAGAATACCAATACTATCTTGATCACCATCTTTGATTGCTTTTGTATTGATATTTACAATCTTTTCAGTACAAATTCTTTGAATTTCATGACCATTACTTGAATATATTTTATATCCTCTTAATCCATGTTCTTGGTCCAATTCTAAAGAGAAAATATTAAAAGTACGTTCAATGGTACTATTTAGATATTGTTTTTGAATAGTATTGTTGCAAGATAAAATGACACCAATGGTATAATTTTTAAATGTCATATCATCACCAATTGACAATACAATGACACGACCATCACCAAAGTATTGTTGATTATTTGATGATAAAATGGTACGTTGAACATTTTCATTTAGGACTTGAGCCTCGCTAAACATGTTGTAATAATTTTCAATATCTGGTTCACCAAGAATACATTGAATTGGTTCGATGGCTTGATATTCTATAGAGAGTGATTCGATTGCTTTTTGCAACTCTGGAATATCCTTTTGTGTAGAAAATTCAGAGAATGATCTTTTAATCATATCTTCGACCTTGAAATCTTGAACACGTAAAAGATTGAGAATCATATTATAGGTGAGACGGAATTGTGAATTTAACTTGCTAGGTTGTCCAAGAATCATACTACTGTATGATGAAGAGTCTGGCATGTCTTTCCAAGCAGTAATAATGACTGTACCAACCTTGTCAAGACCACGACGACCTGCACGACCACTCATCTGTGTGTATTCTCCTGGCAGCAAATCTCTGAAATTGATTCCATCATGTTTTCTTGTATGACTATAAACTACAGTCTTGGCTGGCATATTTACACCCATGGCAAATGTTTCCGTAGCAAATAATACTTTGACCAATGATTTACTGAATAGGATTTCTACGAGTTCTTTTACAATTGGTAAAAGACCACCATGATGAATACCAATACCACGTTCCAAGAAATCTTTGATTTGATGAATTTGTGGAAGATCTTTATCTTCTGGTCTTAATCTTGCCAATGATTCTTCTATAAATATCTTTATAATATTCTTTTCACTATTTGAAGTTAGAACCAAATGACCACCAAGTGATTGAGCATATTCTTGACATTTGTTTTTAGAAAATGAGAATACAATGACTGGTAATTGTTGTTTTTCTTTTAATAATCCAATTAATCTTGTCCATCCAGTTTTTGATACTGATGCAAATGATGCTTGATTACCATGTTGACCAGTAGTTTTTTTGTTTTTATCATTGTTTTTATCAACTTTGTAAAGAGAATTGTATGCATTACTATAACCTTCCATTAAGAAATTTCTATTACTATCAACAATTTTAAATAAATCATTTGATGGTGTATGAATAAAATGTTCGAGTGGTACCGGTCTTTTTAATGTACCAATAACATAGATTGGCATTTTTTTGGTACGACCAATCCAATCTGCAAATTCCAATGGGTTTGCTACAGTGGCAGAGAGGAGGATAATTTTGACATGAGCAGGCAACATGATGATAACTTCTTCCCAAACGACACCACGTTCATAATCATTGAGATAATGAACTTCATCAAAGATGACCCATTCGATATCACGAATGAGATCTGCACCCTTGTAGAGCATTGATCTGAGAATTTCAGTGGTCAATACCAAACAAGAGCTTGCAGGACTGACAGATACATCACCAGTGATCAATCCAACATCACCAAATGTATTTTTAAAGTCTCTAAACTTTTGGTTGCTGAGTGCTTTGATGGGTGATGTGTAGATGGCACGTGTCATATTCTTGGCTGCCATGGCAATGGCATATTCGGCAATCACAGTCTTGCCTGCAGATGTATGGGCAGAGATAAATACAGACTCTCCCTTTTCCATGTGAACAATGGCTTGTTTTTGGAAACTATCCAATTCAAATGGATATACAATCGCTGGATTGGTAATTAATTCTGCAAATGGTGTAAAGATTTCTTTTGTTTCATGGAATGCCCACATCTTTTGATTTGAAAGTGGATCCTCTTCTTCTTTCTTTTTGAATTTTAATAAAGATGATGATGTAGAAGAATCTATTGATATAATTGAATCAATTGAAATTGATGAAGGGGATAAAGTGTTGAGAGTAGAGGAAATATTTTCTTCTTTTTTCATTTCTTTCATTTCTTCCATTTCTTCCATTTCTTCTTCTTCTTCTTCTTGTTCAATTTCTTCTTCCTCCATTTCTTCTTCTTCTTCTTCCATTTCTTGATTATAGAATAAATTTTCTTCTATTTTTTCTTTTTCTTTTTCTTTTTCTTCAATTATTATTAAACCTTCAATCATACCAGGAGGTTTGTTTAATAATGAAGAAGGATCTTTCCAGAATGATAACCAATCAATATCAATTTCTTCTTTTTCAATATTATTGTTGTTTGTCTTTTTTTGAATATCATCAAGACCACCTGGAAGGAATGGAAAGCTTGAAGCATCACCACGATGGAAATCGGTACCATTGTGCTTGTTCCATGCACGCATTAATGAAGTTGAATTGGTTGATGTGATTTGTTGATTTAATGGTACCTCGTGATACTCGGTCATTGAGAGTCGGTGATTGACATTGTCGACTCGCAACTCGATGGTTGATGATGGTTCTGACACTTGGATGCCCAATAAATCCTTCCATGCCATGCCTGTACAATCAATGGTTCTAGGCCATGAGTTGTTTTGGTAAAACTTGTTGTCTTTGATCAATTCTACATTGATGTATTGTTGAGAAAGTTCTTTTTTAATATCTTGTTGATTATTTTGTTTTGGTATTGTGACCTATAGAGAAAGAGAGAGAGAGAAATGAAAGAGAAAGGGTAAGTACAAAGTTTACTTTTTGTTTGTTTGTTTGATTTCATACATTTGAAGAGATTGGAAAGTTAAATAAAGAGAAATCATTATTATCAAATACTCTTAGATCGGGGATAGAGTTTGGACCACTTGCAGTGATGTTGGTCTTTAGAGATTTGTCATTGTTGTATACTAGGTGGCTGGGTGTTGATGCTGCAAGTTCACCTGTACTCTCTTTTTCTAATCCTTCTAGTTCTCTTAGAAAGTCTTGTATGTCTTGTACTGTTGTTGTCATTGTTTTTGTCTAAATACAAGATAAAGTATATGATGATAATTAATGATGATCTCTGAGACTTTTGATGAAAAAAAAAAATGAAAAAAAAGACTTTCGATGTTCAACAAAAGTATCATTTTAATTTACTTTTTTGTTATTGTTTGTTGTACAGATATATAGAAATTAAAGAAAGAAAGAAAGAATGGAGAATTTAAATAGAGGTAAATTTATAAAACTATTTTATTTAATACTTGCTTTACCCTTTTTCAACTTGACTTTTGAGATTTCTTTTTTCTCTTTTCATTATCTACGATTGGGGAGACTCTTGACTCTAACACTTCCACGTGTATCTGTCTATCAAAAGACAGCTTCGCCTCGATGAACTAATTTATTCTTCTGTCGGTTCATCGTCGTAATCGATCAAGTTCATCTTCAAGTTCTTGAAGTTTGGAAACCATTTATATAATAATAAAAAACCTTTTCCTATCCTTTTTTTTTTATTTAATTAATTTGTTGGTAGGACCTTGTAAGGATTTAAAATACCATTTGGATCCATTGAGTTTTTAATTAATTTCATAAGTTGAATGGAAGCAGGTGATTTGGAGAAATGTAATTGACCAGTCTTCATATATCCAATACCATGTTCGGCAGAGATACTACCCTTTTGTTGACTTGTATATTCATATACAAATGGTTCAATATTTGATAAAAATTCTTTACTATATTTTTGTTTGGGTGTCGATATATTTAAATGCAGATTACCATCACCAACATGTCCAAATCCAGTTACTACTGCCTTGTCTTTTAATTTCTCTCTCATTACCTCAACAATTGAATAAAATGTATCAATTGGTAATGATAAATCATATTTATAAACTGCTCCTGCTTTTCCCAAAGATTCTGTTATTGTTTCTCTTAATTTCCAAAATTGTGAAATCTATAAAAAAAAAACAAAAATAATTAAATAAATAAATAAATTGATCAATTTATAATGTTAATTACATTTTTCGTATCAGTAGCCAAAGAACCATCTAAAACCAAATCTTCAGACATTATATTTTCTAAAAATGCATTCAACTTTTCAGCGTCATGTTGTTCATGAAAACCAGAAGTTTCAATCAATACATAAAATGGTGATTTCTTATCAAATGGTTCTTTTGCTGTTGATTGATGATCCAATACATAATCTATACATGGTCTATCCATAAATTCAAATGCTAAATAAAATAAATAAATTAATAATATTTATCTTTTTCTTTTTCTTTTTCTTTTTTGTTTTACCAGAAAGAATATCACCAAGTTGTTTTTTAGCTTTAATAAGAATTTGTTTAATTTGATTAAAATCATTACAAGCAAGTAGGGCAACATTGACACTAGTTGGTTTTGGAGGAGTGATGATTGATATTTTTGTAATAACCCCTAGGGTACCTTCTGAACCAATGAAAAGATGTTTTAGATCATAACCAGTATTATCCTTTCTAAGGGTACTATTACAATCCATAATGGTACCATCAGCCAAAACAGCTTCTATACCCAATACATTGGAATGCATTGATCCATAACGAAGTAATCTAATACCACCTGCATTGGTGGCTGCATTTCCACCAATATGACAACTACCCTTTGCTCCAAGATCCAATGGTACTGTAAATCCCTTTGCATTTAAATAAGATTCCAACGTTTCCAATACACATCCAGATTGACATGTTACCACTCCTGTTACATCATCAAATGATTCAATTTGATTCATATTGGTCAATGATAATATAATCTCATCAAATAATGGTACACTTCCACCTACTAATCCTGTATTTCCTCCTTGTGGTACAATTGCTAATCTAATAAAAAAAAATAAATAAATAAAAGTATAAAGAGAGAGATTTGATCTCTTTTTGTTACATACTTTTTTTGATTACAATAACTTAAAATTTTTGATACTTGATCAGTAGTTTTTGGTTTAAGTACAAGTGAACTGTTTCCTTTATACTTTTTCATCCAATCTTGATTGAAACCTTCCAATTCATCCTTGTCTGTAATCATTCTACTACTATCATCTCCTCCAAGTATATCTTTAAAATGTTTAATGTCTTGATTTGTTAATGTTGAAAATTCATCATTTCTTTTAATATTTGACATTGATACAACTTCATCTTTACTAGTAGTATGATATGATGATGATGATGATTGTTTAATAGAGTTTATAGTATTAATAGTTAATCTATTAATACTATTCTTTTGTAATATTCTTGATATCATCATTGTTACAATATAGATATAAAAAAATGAACGTCATTATAATTTCATTCGGGTGTAGGGATCATTGGGATCTTTTGTTTTTTTTTTTTTTTAGATTAAAATATATTTTACTTTATTAAATCTTTCTATTATTATCGGTTTGGTTAGTAATTATTATTATTATTATTATATTTGATTATTTTTTTTTAATGATATTAAAGGTGGAGAATTATTTAAACTACCATTATTACTATTATTTTGATTTTGATTATCTTTTTGATTATTTACACTATTTAATTTAAAAGTTTGATTATTAATTGCAGAAGCAATTTCAGCTGTTATTAATTGACTTTTACTTGGAGTTCTTTTTGCATCCTTTTTAAAAGGTTTACTACCATTTTCAATTACAAGTGGTGGTGTAATATTTCCACCATTATTACCATTACTATTAACAAAACCACTTAGGTCACTTGATGACATTGTATCTCTTTTCTTTTCCTTTTCCTTTTTAATTTTTTCTTTTTCCTTTTCTTTTTCTTTTTCTAATTTTTCCAACTTTTTCTTTTCTTCCTTTTCTCTTTTCTTTTGTATCTCTTGTGATTTTTTTGGTAGGTGAATGAGAGTATCTCGAGTTAATCTTCGTTCGAGGAATCTAGGTATCTCTGGGAATACATAAAAGTATTCAGTTTCGATTTGATCTCTCATAATATTTCTTAAATGTGTCACTTCTTCAGAGATGTTTTGTAGTTTGATTGAACCAGTTGATGGACTAATATTGATGGTACTATCTACAATGTTGATATAGTGCATTGATGATAGTAGGATTTCTTTGTATTTCTTTTCACCTTCTTCTAGTCGGTCTGCTTGCTCGGTCGTTGTTTTTTCCAACTCTTGTATTCTTTTTTTCATTTCCTCTTTTTCACTTGTTAACTTTTTAATCAATTCTTGTTGGTCTTGTTGTTGTTGCATTTGTTGCATTTGTTGTTGAAATTGTTGTTTATTCGATACTACCACTGTCCCAGTCTTATCGTCTAGTTCATTAAATATACTAGATGATGATGATGATGCTGACAATGATCCGATATCATCAGACGACAAAATAGGATGATTATCCTTTTCAATATTAAATTGATGTAATTGTTTTGAAAGATTATCTATAATATTTGAACTTCGGAAATTATTACTACTATTGGTATGAGACAACGATCTTTGTTGATGTTGAGCTATTCTACAATTAACAATCCATTCATGATTCAATAGTTCTTTGGCATCGGCACGTTCATCTACCGATTTAACAAAACAACGTGTTAGAAATGATGCCAATTGAGCTGATATATTTTTGGGAAAGGGTGGACGTTCATCTTGAACGATACGAAACATGGCAGCCATTGGATTATGGTTGAAATAGGGTGGTGAACCAGTCAGTAATTCGATAATCGTACATCCAACCGACCAAATATCAGATACTGTACAATGTCCTGAAATGTCAATCACTTCGGGTGCCATCCAATAGGGTGTTCCAACTACACTGTATCTTTTGTCAGCCATTTCACCCAATTCAGCTGCAACGTTGAAATCGGCCAACTTTGCATCACCAATCTTATTGATCAGTATATTGGCAGCTTTGATATCACGATGAATAATATTTTCACTGTGCAAGTAAACCAAACCTCTCAATACCTGTTCAATATAGGTACTGATCAATGCCTCTGGAAATGTTCCAAAATGATCCAATATACTAGCCAATGATCCATTCTCCATAAATTCCAAAAATAAATAAATATAACTATCATTTTCATCTTTACCAAGTACTTTAACTACATTATCATGATTTAATCTTTGTAATAATTCTAATTCAGTCTGAAACATAAAATAAATAAATAAATTAAATATCATGTAGAGATTGTTTCTTCTTCTTTTTTTACTTACCATAACACTTGATAATTGATCTTTTGATATTTTAGACTTTTCAAATCTTTTAATGGCAACAAAATCACCAGTCAAACTATTGAGACCTTTGAATACACATGCAAAGCCACCTTTGCCCAACATTTCACCAATTGCATAGGGACCAATAAGTTGTTTTGCAACAGTCATTGATTCTCTTGCTTTTTCACCTCTCATACCATTCAATGGTGGTAGATTAGATGGAGATGGTGCATGAGATGATGATGAAGATTCATCTCTACCTGGTGCTGCTATATTATTATCATCATCTAATGATAATTGTTCCAATTCACTTTTATCTAACCTATTAACTAATTTTCTTGTAACCATATCGTAGTAAATAAATAAATTTTAAATATTATTAAATATTATTATTTAGAATTGTACAATTCTATCTATATATAAACAAAAATGAAAATGTAATATTAAATGTGGAGGGGATGTAATATTGATTAAATGTGTTGTTGATATTCTTTCTCTCTCTCTTTCCTTTTATGTGTTTTTTTTAGATCAAATGGAGGAGGGAAGATATAAATAAGAAGGGGGTAAGAGTAGGAGGTGTTGTTTTGACTGAGAGAGTGTTTATAACTGGAGCAACAACGTTCTACTTTAAAAATGAAATTAAAAATAAGAGGTATATATTTAATGTGTGTGTGTGTGTGTCTGTGTAATTTGATTGATGTGGATGACGGCAAATGATGATCCTTGATCGATAAAGAGGTAAGGGTTTAACGATCACCGTTGTTTGTTTGTTTGATGAAAAAAATAACAACAATAAAACGACACATTGTGTTTAGTAACCGATTCAAGGAATGAAATACAAAGGGGCTGAGCCCTTGTGAAAATTTTAAAAAAATAAAATTCTGAACAAAACGATGCCATGCCGTCATTCTACCACCACAATCTGAGATTTCATATCCATATCTCAGATTGAGGTTTTTTTGGGTTTGGGATCGACCCATCTATAGATGGTTTATTATATCTTTTTTAAGTTCTACAAACATAACTTTTAGTTTCTGTAATATAACGAACCCATCTAATTGGGGGGACACGACCTTGAATAGTCATTGCTTTGATTTGGATATTTGAACAATTAAAATTGGGAATGTCAAAATCAAGACTGATCGGGCCGGTTTCTTTTCGATTGGAAATCTCTGATGACGATGAATCAACCGTCAATGATGCCCTTAGTACATGTTCAGCACTTCCATTCATTCTTTTAATTGTCCATTGTAATATTTTTTCATTTCCTTTATATTCTGCATTTAATGCTGATGTTGTAGTTGATTGACATCTAAAAAGATAGGTAAATAAATATTTTATATTTGATATTTCTCTTTCTTTCTTTTTCCTTTACATACGAAAGAGTTGATTTTGGTAAAGGAATTGTAATAATAATAGTATTTGAATGTACATGAGCTGAAAAGTTTGAACGTAAACGAATGACGATATCCATTTTACTTTTTGATGGTGTTTCGATATGTGTATTTACCATAAATGGTAGATAGGTACTTTGAGAGATACGATATTTGAATAGAGTAAATTCACCTTGAGGAGGTTTAAAGGTCATTACATTGGTTTCATCTTTGATGCCTTCAGGAGCACATTCATGGAAATTACAATCATCCACTATAACACCTGTATGTCCAGCCGCTCGATGATGTGATCCAATCTTTAAAACTTGATTAAATCCCATCGATACAACAGGATTTCCTTTTAAATAACTTTTCATTACAATACTACCACTTATTTCATTTCTAATCACATTTCCATTCGATGCAAGCAATATTGTTATATGTTCCCAAAGATCAACATATATTTCATTTGAATCTGCTTGTGTTTCAATTTGTGATGGTTGATGAATTGGTCTTATAGCTGTTTTTTGTGGTACCGTCTTTTTTGTTGCTGTATTCTAATAGAAAAAGGAATAACGATTAGAATCATAACTCTAACAAGTATATATCTTTTACTTTACAATTAAATTATCAATAATTGAATCTTGTTGATTTAATTGAATAGTATGAGGAGGAGTAAAAACAAATGCTTTGAGAGTTTCTGTTGAAGTACTTTGTGGATGACCAAAGTCCATAATCTCATCCAATAGTTCATAGATGAGTGTAAAGTTGAATCTAATGGCTTCTTCAGTCAATGATGCAGTATAATCTTGAATAATCTTTGATATTCTATTCAATAGTTCAAATGCCAAAGATGGTGATACCAAAGACATTGTAGTAAATACAAAATACATTTCTCTTTTTTTAATATAAATATAATTAATTCCTTCCAAGTTCTTAAAAAGAGAGAGAAATAAATAGTTAGAGAGAAAAGATCAGGTTTCTCTACAAAAAAGTTAGAGCGAGTGATAGGGCAACATACAAAACAAGGTTCAACATCTGATTTTAAAGATAATAAATGTCTAAAGAATAAATCAGGTGTATTTCTATTTAAATCATGTCTATCTGCAGAGAGATATGAAATGATGATTGATTAGTTTTATACTAAAAGAACTACTAATTATCTGAATAACATACATTCTTTAAAGATAATAGTATCACCTTTATAATTTAATATAAATAATTGACTAAACATTCTATATTTCTCTCTATCTATCTATCTATCTAATCAATGAATGACAATGAAACACATGACATCATCTAAAACACTCTAGAGTGCAAACGAAAATTAAATTTTTTTAAAAGATATTTTTATATGATTTGATATTGTTATTTATTAATTTATTTAATAAGAATTATCAATTTCTTCTTCAACTATATGAGCATGTTTTCTTTCTTCTTCAGATACAGCTTGAAGATCCAATTTGGTGAGTTGAGGGAATCTACTGATGACATAGATACGATAGTTGTAGTGGTGATGTGGCGCTTTGAATGGACATGGATATTCTTCATTGTCTGATAGATTGAGTACTTGTAGGTAGGGAATCGATTGTAACAATCTATCGATAAACAATCCAACTCTTGGAAAGTTTATAAGATTGTTTGAAAGATCCAAGTTTTGAAGTTCTGGCAACACTGGGAATATTGCATGTTCTGTTAATTGATTTGATGATAATACTAATGATTCTAATCTATAAAATCCTGAAATAAAATCAATATTCCTAAAAATAACAAAAAAGTTAGAGACATTTCTTTTTCTTTTTTTTTTTGTTTCTTCTTTTTCTTACGTTAAAGCATTATTTGATAAATCTAAATGTTTAACAGAATGACGAAATTTTGGAATGATTTGAAGTGTTTGAGAAAGTTTACAACGATCGAAAGCAATTTTTAATTTACCACGATGATCACTTGGTGTAAATGAAAATATGACAGAAGAGGTTTGTTCTATTATATTTTTGGAGCCATTTTGTTTACATACGATATGGAAATGAGTAATGGCTGCTTCACCCCAAATAGGTGAATGAAATTCCAATACACCAGGGGCAATAGCAAGAGCTAAAATTTCAATGCCACCTTCAAATACTGCCCAAAACGAATAATACAATGGTGATACTTTGGCATTTTTCGAAAAACATGTAAATCCATTCACCAAACAAATAATCTTTGTTTGTTCCAATGATGGTGATGTATCTGGACTATATGATGATATATTTGGACTATTTGGATTATTATTGTTGTTTGGTAATAAAACAGATTGATTGGTAGAACCAATAGGGGGTGTTGATGAATTGGGTGAAGAACCAAGTAAATTAAAATCATTTGATGATAATTCATTCTTTTTTGATTCCAATGTTGCGTTTGCTTGTAATGATGATGATGGTGGTGGTGATGATTCATTTTTAGTTGTTGTTGTAGTTGTAGTTGTAGTAGTAGTAGAAGAGGTGGTATTTTCAAAATCCAAAGCTAAATTATTAATATTACTTGAAAATGGATGACGATGTCCAAGATGTGATGATGTTGTTGGTGTATCAAGCGTAGTTGTAGTAGTAGAATTACTATTATTATTACTATTACTATTATTATTATTATTATTATGTAATGGTGAATTACTACTACTTTGATTAAATAATTGATTAATTGCAGATTGATCCAATTGACCATGAACATTGATAATGGTAGAATCATTGTTTGACCAATGATCAGTAAAATCTAGGAAATAATTATCATCCAAATCACTTGATAGATCACTATTTGAAACTCCTCCTCCACCACCACTATTATTACCAGTCAGGGATGATAATAAACCAGCAGTAGCTGAATGATGAGAATAATCTTGTTGTGAAATATAATTTTGTTGATTCAATGTTTGATTTAATAGTTCCATATTGGTAATACCATTACTACTATTTTGTAAAGACACTGATGGTGATGTTGAATTGGGATCATCCTTTTTCTTTTTCTTGAATAAATTCAATATTGAACTTGATGTAAGAGATGGTAATAAAAATGACAACTCTCTTTTCTTTTCATTGTTTACATGAATAATTTGTTCTTCTGGCGGTTGTTGAATTGTTGTTGTTGTAGTTTGAAGTAAATGTTGATTAAATGTTGAAGTTTCTAATAAATGTTGATTATTTTGATTATTTTGATTATTTACAATATTGTTTGTAGTAGTAGTAGTAGAGGTTAGATGATCATTATCATTTTCTTCAGTTGGACGAGTTAGATAATGTACCAACATTGGAAAATCTTGAATGAATAGTTTTTCGTTTCCACCGTCTTTGCCCTCTTTACGAACCAATTTGTATTCAAACTTTTTCCAAACAATCTGGTTGTTGCAAATACCATTGTAGGTTTGACGACGCATCACGTGCTCTCCAGTATCCCTCTTGTGTGTTTTTAATTTATACGCTCTATCGTCGGTGATTACAATCATACGAACATTTGATTTTGTCTTTACCCATTTAATCCCATCATTTAAATAATAATCTTTTGCATTCTTATCAAATAAATAAAGATATCCTTTTGTTTGTTGATTTGATAAAGATGATAAAGTAGATGAAGTAGATGAAGAGGAATTGGTTGGTTGATCATTATGATGATGATGATGATGATTATTTTCTTTTTTAGTAGTTGTTGTTGTATGATTACTATTACCATTCATTAAAAGTGAAGATTGAAGTGTAAATGGTGAAGGTGTCATTGTTGCAATTGATGATAATGGTGTTGTTGGTGTTGATGATGATGTAGTAGTTGTAGAAGTATTAGTTGTACCGCCGTTATTATTACCAATACTTAAAACACAAGAGTTTGGATTATGAGGTATTAAAGAAATCATAGTTGATGGAGGAGACCTAAGTACACTGTGAAACAATGGGAATAGAGATGCTCTAATTTCCTTGTCCAACAATGATTGTTCGAATTGGTTCATATCCAATGCCAACGTCTTTCCCAACTCTGATTGTTTTGCCAATTCCTTTACATTGATTCCGATGGTTGGAGTTGTTGCAGTGGTAGGTGTTCCATTGTTACTATGATTGCTACCACTGCTACCACCACCATTGCTATTATTATAATAAGATCCTACCTTACTATTGACGAATAGGTTCATCATGACTATCCTCTCTTCTACTATATAGTAGAAACCTTTAGCAGAAGCAACCTAACCTTTGAGAAAGAGAAGAAAAGAGTAGAGTCTGACTGACTGTAAATGGAGATTTGATTCTCTCTAGTTGTGTGAGTGTGTTGCGTGTGTGTGTGTGTGTGTGTGTGTAAAGAGAATCTAATATTCTCTCTTTTCTTCTTCTTTTAGATTCTCTCTCTCTCTCTCTCTCTCTTTCAAAAATAATAAATAAATAAATATAAATATTAAATATTAAACTTGATGACGCCTAGACAAAGGTTAGGCTTGCAAAGATTCAAAAAATTTATTAAAAAAAAAAACAAAAACAAAACATAGAAAGAAAGTTCGCAAGAGATTTGGATCATCAACACTCAACAACAAACATACCTCAAAAACTTGAAATTCAAAGAAAAAATTTAAACTAAATCATTCTCTCTCTGGATCACTTTCAGCATAATACAATCCACAAATATATATATATATATTTATTATTTATATTTATATTTATTATTTATTATTTATATTTATTATTTATTTAGAGGGGAATAGTTTTTTTCTTTAAATAATTGATAGTACGATGATCGTTTGGATCAAGGGTAGGTAAAATCTTTTGAAGTACTTGTTGATGATATTGATTGATGAATGTGATTTCTTTGGTGGTGAGAAGATCCAAGTTGATGAGATCACGTTCATAGGGGACGACAGTGACACTTTCAAAACCGAGATAAGCACCATTGTTGAATTTGGTTTCAGTTGGTTGTGTGACCATGATATTTTCAATACGAATGCCAAAGGCACCGGCTTCATAGTAGCCAGGTTCGTTGGTAATGGTCATACCTTGTTGGAAGAGAGTTGGGTTGGGGATGGAACGGTACGAGATGCCTTGTGGACCCTCATGAACGTTGAGGAACGAGCCGACACCGTGACCGGTACCGTGGGCATAGTCGAGACCGACTTGCCACAAAGACATACGAGCAATACAGTCAATGTCACGACCACTAATACGTTGTGGGAATTTGATGATCGAAAGTTGAATGTGACCTTTGAGAACACGCGTGTAACAGTCTTTTTCGTGTTGAGTTGGTTGACCATAGTGAGTGGTACGAGTGACATCGGTGGTACCGTCACGGTACTGACCACCAGAGTCGATCAAGTACATTGCCTTTGTAATCTTTTTACAAGTCTCCTTTTCAGGCTTGTAATGGATGATGGCACCATTACTCTCAATCGATGAAATAGAGTCAAACGAAAGACTGATAAAGTCTTTTTGTCGACTTCTATACTCTTCAAGTACTTCGGCAACCGAGTATTCTGTCAATTCTGTATTATTCTTGACGACAATCTCTTCCTCCAACCATGCCAAGAATTGAACAAGTGCCGATGCATCACGTACATGACATTTACGGAATCCCTCAATCTCTACTTGATTCTTGATGGCTTTGGCCAATTGTACTGGATTTGACTTTTCAATCAATTGACTCTTGTCAACCGATCTAAACAATGCCAAACTTGATCTTGGATCCAACCAAATCTTTTTCTTTTCTTGATTGTATTGTGACAGTGTCGAAAAGATCGAGTCATATGGTTTGATTTGTACCCCTGGTAATTGATTCTTTACATTTTCTGGAATCTTTGATTCAAGAATAAATAATTCAGAACTATCCTTTCCAATAATTGCATATGATATAAATACTGGATTAAATGATATATCTGATCCTCTTAAATTATATAACCCTAAAAAAGAAACAAAGGAAGATTAATATTGATATCTATATAATATTAATTATATTTATCATATATTACTTACAAGCAATTTCATCTAAAGCACTAATAACAATATAATCAGCCTTTTCTTGATCAAGTTGAGATCTTAGAGTTGATAATTTATCTTGATATGATTGACCAGTATATTCAATGGCAAGATGGAATACAGGATCGGTTGGATACGATGGGATTGGTTCAACCGATGAAAATGATTCACGTACTTGATCGATTAGATTACTTTCATTTAGGTCTACTTGATGTTTTGATTTCTCCAATACCTTTTCAAAACGTTCAGCATAGGATTTGGAGATGAGCTTGCTGTCAATACCAACCTTTCCACTACCAGGAGTGAGACGTTTGGCGAGCCATTCTTCAATGGTTGGTTCTCCCTGAACACGATCCTTCATGACAAGCCAGTTTGGTTCTAGTTGTTGAGCTGCTTGCAACCAGTATCTACCATCGGTCCACAACAAACATTCAGATGTTGTAATGACTGCTGTGCCTGCACTACCAGAGAATCCACTAATATACTCTCTACGTTTGTCTCTAACTGTAATGTATTCACTTTGATGTGCATCTTCTGATGGTACTACATATGCTGCCAATGACTGTTTCTTCATCAACTCTCTCAATCTCTCTACCTTTTCATTAATTGTTACGCTTGGTAATGTCATCTTTAAGAAATTCTTATTACTACTTGTAGTTGAATAATTAAAGAAATATTTAGATGAACAAAATGAAGAATAAGAAGAAGAAGAATAAGAAGAAGAAGAAGTAAATTTTAATATGCTTCTGGTGAACATGATAAAACACATAAAAATTTTATTAAATTTTCTCCTTCAAAAATATCACCAGTTTAAAAAAAAAATATTATTATATTATAAATTTATTCATTTTCATTTTCATTTACTTTTACTTCTTCTTCTTCTTTTAACTTTTCAATTGATTGAATTTTAGATTTTAATTTTAAAAGAGGTTTAAGGAAACCTTCAGATGGTGGAAGTGTAATTTTAAATATTTCGGTGTTGGATTGATCGAGAAGTTGGTCGAGTCGAGTGAGGACATCTTTGATCTTGTCATTGATATGATTGGTAATGATCGATTCAAATACAGTTGGTTTGTTGTTATTATAAAACATTAAAGTTTCCAATGTTAAAAGATACACTTCTTCATTATAGAGTGATGAATTTCTCTTTCCAATAATCGTTCCAAGTTGCGATTCATATCCTGCTTCCAAAAAGTATGGTTCCTTGTATCCTAAAATCAATCCTTGAATACTTATCAATACTTGTAATAAATTTGAAAATCCTGGTTGCCATTGTTCATTTTTATTACCATGCCATGTTCCTAATAAACTCACTAAAAATAAATAAAATTAAATTAATAAATTAATAAATTAATAAATAAATATAATTATCTTTAAGATACATACAACAAACATTTCCATTTACATAAAGATTTGGATGTAATTTATAAGTAACACTATGATAAAAAACTTTTGGTGGAGCATAGGGATAATTATTTGGTAAAAAGATATCAAAGATAAAGATACCATTTTCATAAACTGTATCTTCTGGTCCGATGATAAGTGCTTGAAGTAAATTCATCTTTTCACTAAACCCTCTAACATAAACACCTTTTGGTAATGATGTCTCTAATAATTTAAATTCTTGATTAATTGTTTTTAATAATTTTGTTGTTATTGTCATTTTCTAAAAAAAAAATAAAAGAAAAAAAAAGTTAATAAATATTGATATTGATAAATGTTATATTTATACATACCTCTGAATAATAAGCATGATTTTCAATTGATGTTAATAATTGGAATTTTTGAATACCATTATCATCTAAATCCCCTTGTTTTTCTTCTTCTTCTTCTTTTTCTTTTTTCTCTTGTTGTTTTGGTTGTTCTTGTTGATGATCATCACCAACAAGTAAACTTTTTAAAGAATGAATAAAATTACTAATTAAACCTCCTCCTCCTCCACCACCACTCTTTTCTTCTTTTTGTTGATTTTGATCATTATCGCTATCACTATTAATTTCCCATTCACCTTCATCATCATCATCATCATCATCTTGATCGTCATCTTCTTCTTCATTTTCTATATCAAAATCATCTTGATCGTCATCATTTTGTTCTTCTTCATTATCACTATCATCATCTTCAATAAGACAAAGAGTATATGGAAGAACCTTTTCTTGACAGCCATTATTCCAATTGATTAAAAGTCTACATTTATCTCTTCCAACTACTTGTCCAACGATATCTGCTTCCTTTTCAATGAGTGCTGAATCATTCTTGAAAACAAAATCAGATTCATCGAAATTATAGTCTACCAAATATTCGATAGAGTATACTGATACATCTTTTTCCTCGGCGCAATCTTCTCGTCCTGGAATATTCCACAAGATTGAACAGGTACGAGTTGTTGGATTGTAACTATTGATGACACCCCATTTTGTCTTTTCATCCACTTCAGCAGGTTCAACAACATCTCCTGGGAAATAATCGGTTGCCAAACTATCAACTACAACAAAATTGGTTGACAACTCTTCTGTAATCGTACCATCTTGCCATGATATAGTACACCATGTTTTTGTTAAAAATACCATTGCTCCTTCTTTAATTCCATTACCTGAAAGAAAATAAAAAATAAAAGGTAAGAATCAAAATAACCAGTACTTTTTAATATTTGTTACTCTTTCTAAACATACTATTTACAAATAAAACATTTTCACCAATTACTGAAAATTGATAATCATCACTAAATACTATAACTTGATTTGATTTTATAGATGATGGAGGTGGATCAGCATTTTCATCCTAAATAAATAAAATAAATAAATATTAAAGTAAAATATATTTTTGTTTTTTTTTTATAACATACAAGATAATAATACCAATTAACTTCCAATTTAGTTGGAACAACTGTTAAAATGACAAATCTATCTTTACCAAAGGTAATTGTTTTACCTGGACAAGGATTAGAATCAAAAACAGGATCAATAAATATATAATCAACTTCTGACGCAGGAATAATTGATCCTCTATTATTTGCTAAATTTCTAACAACTAAATCTTGTTGATACTAAAAGAAAAAAAAAAATATAGGGTTATAATTCTTAATTATTATTATTTGTTATTTGTTTTTTTTTTACTTACACCAATAACTCTACCAATAACAGTTTTTGATTTATTCATAACCAATGAATTTGAGAATGGAGTAAGTTGGTCGACATGATCCAAATGAAGCATTTGAGAAGGGTCTTGACCAAGGTGAATATTTTGATTTTGAGCGAGGAATGAAAATGGATAGACAGAGTATTGTTTTCTTGTTGATAATACTTTACCGAGTTGGTGATTCGAATTGGGTATACCAGTTGGTTGTGGTTGTTGAATACGTTGTACAAAATCTGCCAAATACAATGTTCTATCTACCAATGTCAATTGTTCGTATTCCATCTCTGTATAGACTGGTGCACGAATCAAATGAACCAATACACCAGTATCTGATTTGAAATGATGATGTTTACACTTTTCTCTTAAAATCTCTTCATCTACATCCAAGTGATCAAATTCATTATCCTCATCAAAGTATGTATACCCTGATCTTTTCATTTCCTCCATTACACTTTGTTTCTTTTTGTTATATTCTTTATCTTCACTATCTTCTTCCTCCTCCTCATTTGTATCTTCTTCATCACTGTCATCTTCTTCTTCTTCTTCCTCTTCACTATCACTTTCATCTTCATCTGTTATATCATCCAAATCCCATGCAACTCTAAATACAACACCATATTCTATTCTATTATTAATTACATCTAAAAATGATACAACATCTTCTTTAAATATATTCTAAAAAAAACAGAAGAAGAAGGTAAGTTAGAAGGAGGGGGGGGATCAAGATCATATCTTCAATCTTTAAACATACTTTTTCTACTATTTCATTTGTATTCATATCTTTTATCTCTCTTTATCTCTTCTTACTCTTTATCTATTAATTTATTAAATTAATACGGCACTACTATTTTTGTCGTGTTTTCTCGGATTTTAATGAATTCTGCAGTTTTTCAAGTTCCCCAAAAATTAGCTATTTTCTATTTTTTATTTATTTATTAATTTTATTTAATTCTTTTTCTTTAATATAGGTTAAAAAAGATTTCATTCTTGGACTTGATTTAACAGTTTTCATATTCCATAGATATCTAATTTCAACCATTTGACGAATGGAATAGAGGAATTCCAAGATTTGGGTATGACCACGATTGATGGCAACAATGACCGATTCTTTGGAAATGGTTGTGGCACCGACACTTGAAAGTCCCTTTTTCCATATACTATCAGCCAAATGAACCTTGTTGTGTTGAATGGCATATTCTAGGATTTCTTTCTTTTCAATCATGGTGATCCTAGATCGATTAAAATAATGTTCGAAAAAGTCCATCTGGTTGTTGGTGATCCACAGCAAAGGGTAAAAGTGTCCAGCTCCAACTGAACTACTTTCAATGTGTGCCAACAACATACGTTGTCCGTAAATATAACATGCCTTGACCACACTATTAATAAAATAGACCTTGTGGTTGTGCATGTTGAAATAGTCTTTACGTGATTTGAGAATATAATCAAAGAGTGCAATATCTCCTCTATACCCAATCATGAAATAAATCTCGTTTGATAGTGGTGTATTTCTGTCTGTAATCTCGTTGAAATAATCTATTCTACCATTTTGCATATAGTATAGTGGTAGTTGATGGTCTTGCAACTTGGTGGTAGTACTGATACTTGAAAACAATCGCTGTCCACTGTTATCAGGCTTTTTAGCGTTGGCAATGTAATAGTGAACGATATCGGTGCGGTCGGGTGACTCGGTGTCTTTGAGGGCGTATGCGACTGCCCTGTCCATTTCTTGATGACCTATATCCAAGAGGAATGTAAATAAATCGATGGTACACTTTCTAAAGATACAGTCAAAATCAATCAAACATCTAAACGCACTGTGATAGAGTAACTGCAGCATTGACAGACTGCCAACATCTACCGATTCCTTGTGGTTTGATAGAACCTCTGGTATTTGATAGTTGCATAGGATCTTGACCAACTCTAATCGATTGTGACCAATGGCAAAAACAACCAACGATGAAATGAGACGACTAGAGAATGGGATCAGCGAAAGGTTGTTGATAAACCGTTCACTATCATTGATAATGATACTATACTCTACTTGCAAGAGTGCATTTGTCTCGTCGTTGAATCGTTGGAAACCTCCTTTATGTTGATTGATCGAGTCGTACAACATTGGTCGATCAAGGAAATATAGTGAATTATCTGTAATGATTTGTACATCCACATCCATCAATCTTGCAGATTCATATAATAATATTCTATTTAAATATAATTCCATGGAGTCTTTACAAGAAGAAGAAGAAGAGGAGGATAATTTTAAATAATTTAAATTTAATTCCAATATTTCATTAAATCTTGATATTACTTGATCATGTCTTTCTGGTTGATTGTCTTTATAGTAGAAACCAATAAAAGAAAGTATTGAATTGATGACATTGAAAATAGTTGGTGTCTTTTGATTGAAAAGATGGTTGTTGAATAGGTTGGCATTGTAGACTTCACAGAGCCAGGCGATGAATCCAGTTGGTGCAATGTAAATGTTGATGTTTAAAAAGTGGTTTTGAAACAGACCGTACATGGTCTTGGCATCAGTGCCCGACGACATATAAAAGAGATCGTAAAAGTTGTACTTTTCAAACCGGTGGAAAGGAGGTAGTCGACTAAACATGTATTGTGAAAAGACAACATCATTCGACTTGAATGCCAATGTCAATAGTTCCTGCGACGAATGGTAACTTTCGACATTGGTCGTTAAAAGTTGAAACTCTCTACCCCAACCATTCAAAGCCAACAATTTAGTTATACGTGGTACCAAAGGAATGGTAATGCGACGATCATCCAATAACACACCATACAAATCACGTCGATGTGTAGTCACTACACTACTGATAAATGATACACCAATTTGATTCGTATGCATATGATCCAATACCCAAACCAAAGCTTCCACAGACATGTTTGCAATAACCCTTGGATCATCGGTTAGATGACTCTCTAGTATCGTAATCTTTTCTATTCTCCAATACAACCTAGTATTTGTAAAGTTGGTATCGTTTAATACCACGCTTGCAACCGTTGTAGTCAACCATTCATAGATACCATTGTCGACACTTGCAGATGCAGCAGCCAATATTACATTCCAACAAATCCTTGTTATTCAATGCGACCGATCTTTGAAACAAATCAAGTGCATCAGGTGTTGTTGACCTACCACCTCTACTAGCAATCAACTTGAATGCTTGTACATTGAACAACAATCTGTGTGGTTGACGTTTCAACTTGTCATCCAACAATCCAAAGTACCCATTACGAGCCATCCACTCCACAGAGTTTATACGACTATACTTTTGTATTCTTGGATGTACTGTAAATGTAGGTTCTACAAAGTAATTTGTATATCCAATATCTTGTAGTATTTCACCACCATTACTATTATCTTGACAAAATACTATTCTTGTCCAATCAACTCTATCTCTTAATAACTTTATATGTTTTAATATTAACCCAAATAGATATTTATTTTTAATTACTTCTATTATATAATGATTATTCATTCTTCTCTTCAAAACTGAATGAAAACATGACATTGTTCAAAATTTAATACGTACTCTCACTTTGTTAAATATAAAAAATAAAATTAAAAAAAATTAAAAAGAAAGAAAGAGAAAGTACTTGGAATAAACATTCATCAATACTCATTCACTTTTATTATTATACTTGATTTAAATAAATAAATAAATACATATAATGAATAAAATAGACATACTTTTTTGATGTTGTGGAGTAATTTTTTTATTTGTTGAAAAAGACGACAAACTTGGAAGAAAACGACTCGCTTCCTTTTTTGTGATCAAATTATTGTTGTATTGTAGTATCTATCTATCTATTTATCTATCTATATCTTTTTAGGATAGATAATTAAAAAGTATTCAACCAACATGGCAGACTATGATATGTTTGATATGATGTCTGACCTCTTGACAGAGGCTCAAGCACAAGGACAATCACAAAAACAGAATGTTCAAGATTCATATCTAGTCGCTCAACCAAGCAATAGTAGACAAAGAAGACAAGAAAGACAACAACAACAACAACAAGTACCAGCAGCAGGACAAGAAGAAGAAGATGACGATGAAAATAATGATATCGATGATGACTTGTATGAAGATAAAGCAAAGAGTAAAAGACAAAAGAAAAAGGAACAAGATAGACAAGAGGAAAGAGAAAAACAACAATATGAACGATACGATCCCAACGCTCCAAAGAAAAGAAAGTATCAAGATGAAGGTGAAGAAGAAGAACAACAAGTAGAAGGAGAAGAAGGAGAAGAAGAAGAAGAAGAACAAGTAGTTAAAAAGAAAAAGGTTGTACCTGAAATCATATTCCCAGCGGATGTTAGATTATTCCTCGGAGGATTATCTCTTACTGTCAGTCAAAATGATTTAGATTCGTTATTTAAATCATCGGTTAAAGATTGCGAGGTTCGTAACCTTGAATTTGTACATGATGCCATCAAAGGTCATTACAAAGGTTTTGCCTATTCAACCGTTTATTTTGTTGATAAACCTTCTTTATTAAAAAGTTTGTAGAAATATTAAAAAGTAACAAGTTGTTGATCAATATCTCTCTCTAACCCTCACTTCTTTAGTATTTAATGATTTAAATCAAACAAAATGGAAAGGATCAATGATTACAATTCAAAAAGCAAGAGAGAATTATCAAGACAAGTAAGTAAACTATACTTTGGAAATAAGAGATATAATTTGTTTGTTCATAACACTTATATTTTATTTCTTTTCTATTATTGTTTAGATTAAAGAAAATACATGAAGAAATTGCACAAGATGAATTAAAGGAAAAGGAATTGGAAGAGGAAAGAATGAGAATAGAGGAAGAGGATTTTATCAAGAGAAGAAATGAAGATGCTGCTATGATGCAAAGCAAGAGAAGAGTAACAAACAAAATCCTCCATTCCTATTTGGACAAGATCAAGAGAATGGCTCAAGAATACTATCGTGACAATCCAATTGCTCCAGGTAAATTCTACTTTGACGACAAGAAACAACTCCAAAGAAAGAAAACATCAGTCCTCGACGCTTTATTGGAGGATGAAGACGAAACCAACAACTATACATCAAACAAGGCTGTTTCATTTGATGATCAACAAGATGGTGACTATGATTATAATGAACAAGATCAATATTATAATAATGGTCAAGACAATAGTTATTATAATAACGGATATTATCAAGATCAATATGGACAAGGAGAAGATCAATATTATAATAATGGTCAAGAAGAAGAAGAAGGAGCAGGAGGAGAAGATTTTGAAATCAAAAAGATGACTAGTGAGGAAGGTGAAAGAAAGAGACAAGAAGCCTTTAAAAAGAGAAGAATTGAAATGCAAAAGGCTTCAAAGGCTAATATATACATTACTCACAAGGAAGAGGATCTTGTAACATTTAGTGATGATGAAGATGGTAATCCTAAAGTAAAACAACAAGATCTACAACAATATTATGAAGATGATTATAATGGATATGATAATAATAACAATGGTTATAATGGTTATAATGGTTATGATAATAATGGATATGATAATAAGAAAAATAATAGAAGAAATGATAAATATCAAAATAATTATGAAAATTATGATAACAATAATAATAACGGATATGGAGATGAAAGTAATAATAATGGATATGATAATAATTACAACGGATATGATAACAATAACAATAATGGATATGGTAATGATCAATATTCAAATGATAATAATAACGGATATGATAACAACAACAACAATAATAATAGATTTGGTAAAAAGAATGATAGATTTAATAATAATAATTATGATAATAATGGATATGATCAACAACAAGAACAACAACAACCATATGGTCAAAAGAATAATAGATCCAATAATAGAAATAATAATTATCAACAACAACAACAACAAGTTGTACCAGTTGCAAGACCATGGGTTAAAATCCAAAGATATGATCCAAATTGTACAAAGAGTCAATCATTTGTTGTCCTTCGTTCTAAAAAGGATAATAGTATTATTCAACCAGCTCAACCTGCACAACCTGCCCAACCAGCAAGACCAAAACAACCAGATTTCAGTAGTGAATATGAAATCAATGAAGATGAAGCCAATAATGATGATGACGCTGGATTGACACCCAAACAATTAAGACAAAAACAACAAAGACAAGAACACAAACTACATAAACAACATCAACAACAAGAACAAGAACCACAACAAAAAGAAGAAACAGCTGCACCAAAAGAAGAAAAGAAAAAGGAAATTGAAAATCCACTTGCAGCCATCAAAGTCATGTCATCTTGGAAATCATTATTTGCCAAGAAACCAGCAGTAGTCGAACAAGAACAACAAGAGGAAAAACCAACCACCACAACATTGGCTGATGAAATTGAACGTCCAGTTGGAGGATTCAATATCTTTTCATTATTTGGTATTAAAAAGGATGAAGAACCAACTCCTTCTTCTACTACTACAACTGCCACTGCTTCAACTACTACCACCACATCAAGGAAACCAAAGAAATCATTCTTTGAATAAATAAAAAAAAAGAATCCTAAAAGATTTATTGTCTTCCACCAAACCTTTGTCGCTTTAATAAATGAAGATGTCTATTATAATCGACAATATCTATTCCTTGATCTTTGTATTTTGATTTAACCTTTTCTTCTTCTTTTCCTTGTTTAATTTCTCCATTTTCAAATACATATGTTCCCGCTATATTTCTTGATCTTTGACTTCTTGGTGTTATTACTTTTAAGAATCCTAATTTCTTTTTTCCAACTAAATATATATAATATTTTAGTATTCATTCAATATCATCATATATATATATCTAATCATACATTCTATACATTGATTGATTTCAAGTTCATTTATTATATTTATATTTGTTCTAAAGGTTGTTTGTACCTCTTTTATTTTTGTTATTTTATCTGTTTGATTTGGTATTAAACTAGAATATCTTATTAATTGTCTATATAATGACAATACTTTTTGTTTGGTTGTCATGACCTAGTATATAAGTATATTATAAAACTATCTCTTTGAAAATAACGAAGATATATGCAGAAACAGTTGAACTTTGATGAAAAAACTTTGAAGGTCGACAATAGTTTACTTTTTTTTTGTTGTTTATTATTATCATCATCATCCATTCTATCTATCTCTTTTCTATTTATTCAATATCTCTTTCGAGACGACTCGAGAGTATTACCTATTATAAACATAAAAGATGGAATGGGGTAAAGAAAAGGATAAAGAGAGTAATAGTAATACACCATCATCGACATCAGTGTTTGGTGTAGCAGCCTTTTCAACAACTGCACCAACTATAGGACAACAACAACAATCGACAGCAGCATTATCACCAACTCTAGTAGCACCGTCATCTATATTTGGGTCTACATCTGCATCTGTATTTGGTGGAGCTGCAGGTGGCACAACAAGTGCGTTTGGTGGAGCAACAAGTGCATTTGGTGGTACAAGTGCGTTTGGAGCAGTCTCACCAAATGTTACTGCAACCACTACTACAGCAGCGGTATCATCTGTATTCTCAAAACCATCATTTGGATTATCATTTGACTTGGATTCAAATAATAATCATAATACAACTACAACAAATAATGGTACTACTACCACTACTACAACTACTAGTAACGGATTATCTTCACCAAAAGGAACAACACCATTAAATGCATTTGCAACACCATTTAAACCAAAACCAACCCCAAAACCTTCTACACCTACAACAACAGGAGGAAAAGGAAAATTTACAAATACTATTCATGTATCTAAACTACCAAGAGTTCTTCATGGTCAAACAATCAAAGAATTGAAACAAGAGTTGAGAAGTCACTTTGATAAATATGGTAGCATCAAAGAATTTAATTTAATAGAATTACCCTTTCCATATCTAGTTGTCTCTTTTAATACGGTGGTAAGAAACGAAACCTAAATCAACAACACAAATGAACAAGTAGTCGACTACTATTCTCGTTGCAACCAAAAGAATTAATTCATGTTAAAACCTCCTCTTATCCCAAAACCAATAATAATAGGAAGAAGCATCAGAAGCTTTAAAAAAAGGAAGATCGTTTAAAAATTTTACTCTTATTGTTAAACCTTATATAGATCCAGATTCTCCATCTCCTTCCTCTTCTCATACAACTACTTCATCACCATCTGTTGAATTAAAATCACAAGAAGAATTATTAAGAAATAGATTAAAAGGACATTTACTTCAAAACAATAATAATAATAATAATAATGTTAAATTAGTTAGTAATATACCTTTACCACAAATAATATTACCAGATACAACATCAACAAATGAAAATTATGACAATGATAATGAAGAAAATGAAAATGAACTAGATGATGAAATAGATGAAATAGATGAAATAGATGATAAAGAACAAGATGAAGAAGAAGAAAAGGAAATTGGAGTAAAAGAAATTGAAGAAAATGAAGAAATTGAAGAAATTGAAGAAATAGTAGATGATATTCCTACACCTATTTCCTTTTTACCAAAAACACCAACTACTCCAACAACAACGACAACAAATTTTAAACCAACAACACCAAATCATATAATAGCATATCAAAATAATAATATAACACCAAAAGTTAATTTAATTGGAACAACACATCAACCAATAACAAAATCGATAGATTCAGAGACTGGACACAAGGTAGGACTTTGTTTGGAATTTTGTCCACCAAAAGAAAAAAGTCATAGAGAATCATCGGGCGACATTAATACGTTGGAGAAATTGGAAAATGGTGAACTTCGATTGGTTAAAAAGTACAAAAGAAACGTTGCCGAAGAGTATACTGAAATCCCACCAGAAGAGATCCGTCCACCTCATATTCTCTCACAGGTAATGAGTCATTTGACACATTATGTGGTCGATAGAAAGGGAATTGCCTTTACAGAGATTCAAAACTTTATTCGTGATCGTTCGAGATCACTCAGACAGGATCTAACATCACAACATTCAAAGGGATCGGTATCGATTGATATCCATGAACGATGTGTTAGATTCCACATTGTATCACATCACTTTCTCTGCGAACATCCTGAAGAGGAATTCAACCAATTCCAAAACTTGGAGCAGATGAACAACTGTCTCACCAGTCTCAAACTATTCTATGACGATCACTACAAAAAACACAACTGTGTCTCACCCAATGAAGCAGAGTTTAGAAGCTACTATATTCTAAACCTCTTGGAACAACAATCCGATCTAGTGTCGTTCCTCATCTCGATTCCCCAAGAGATTCGGTCGCATCCTCTGATCACCTATGTCATGGATGTATGGAAATCGTACAGATTCCACAACTATAGTAGATTCTTTAAGTTGGTGCAGCGTGGAACCTACTTGCAAATGTGCTTGTTGCATCGATATTTCACACGCATGCGTATTGCTGCCATTGAATGCATATCAAAGGCTTATCGTGCCAAGCAACCCGCCGTATACCCCCTCGGCGACCTCACCACCCTTCTCATGTTTTCAGGCCCAGACGATACCAAACAATTTGTTGAAAAGTTGTCATTGACGGTCGACGATGCCTCAGATCAAGTAAACTTTAGATATCTCGATACCAGCACCAAGGTTGGTCCCACCGTCTCTCAAATCATCCTTGGTCGTGCTCCAAAAACTTTCCAACAAGTCATCGATGTCCCTGAACCAGTTCAACAATCCTACCTCTTATTTTCAAAAAATGAACATCCCTCTTTACCTTCAACTCCCCCAATTACTTCAAATCAACAACATCAACAACAACAAAATATAATTAAAAAACAAGAACCATCTAAACAACCAACAATATTGGAAAAGAAACCAACTACCACGGCTACAGTTATCGATACAACGTCGGCGATTGTGAAACCACCTATAACAAATAATAATAATAATATTTTTTCACCATCATTCACTTCAACCATTTCACCTACTTTACCAACATCATCATCAACAACAACAACAAATACAACGTTACCATCAAATTCTACAGTATTTGGAGCTCAACCGAGTAATGGAACAGTTTTTGGAAATCAATCAACATCTATTTTTGGACAAAAACAAAATATATTTGGATCAGAGCCAACAACAACAACAAAAACAACTCCACAATTACCTGTTGGTTTATTTGGAACAACAACAATACCAAAGAATCAGGAAGAAAAAACACAATCAAATGGTATACATTTAAATGATACCAGTAGTATTGGAGTTGCATCACTTTTCCCTCCACCAGATTTGACACCATTAAAACCAGAAACAAATCCTAAAAGTTCAACACCACCCATCATCACTAATAATAATTTAACACCAACACCAACGCCACCAAAACAAACAACAACAACAAAACTACCTGATTTATTTAAAATTCCATCAGAATTAAATAGAAGTGGATCTGGTGATTCAAATCAATCATTTACACCAATGGCTATTGGTAAAACTCCAATGGCTCAAACACCAAATGAATCACCAATGCATGTCTCTGAAACACCTTTTGGTCGGTTCCCATCGGCCAATATATTCCAAACGCCCTCTCCATCTCCTTCTCCTTCACCAATGAGTCTATCAACTCCATTTGTTAAACCAAAGACAGATGTATTGAAATTCCCTCATGATAAAATTGCTGAAGAAGTTGGTAAACAAATTAGTAAACAACCATCACTTTCATCATCCTCCAAATCAACTACGACGACGACGGTTCCAGTTAAACCACAAAAACCTAAAAAATCACACCAAGAGAAATCAAATCGTGCTCTTGTTGGTTATTTGTTTAGAGATTGGTTTGTAAAAACAAAACAATACAAATCTACCAAAAATCAAATCAAGAAAATTGAAAACCTAGTCATTACAACAACTCAACTTCATCCAACAACATTCAACAATGATTTAATATTTCATTCACCTCTTTCTCTAACTAAAAAAAAGAATCATCAAAAAGTTCAATTACAAAAAGAAGAAGAAGAAGAAATGGATAGAAAAGAAGAAGAAGAAGAAGAAAAAATGGATGAAATTCAAGAAACAAAAGTTTTACCAATTAATATTGCATATTCAATTTATCAAGAATTGTATAAAAAGAACAAGAATAATCCAAATCCACTTTATTGGAAATTACTGGTAGTTTCAACAACAGATTCAACTCTTTGTCAACTATTAAGTCAAAATCAACAAAGACAAGATTATACTATATCAAAAACCGAACAATCCTCTGTAGAATATATTTCACTTAATCAAAAAAGAAATCAAATGAAAAGAAAATTATCAAAAAAACCAATCAATATTTGTATACAACTATATGGAAATAATAATAACTCTCCAAAAGTATGTAAAAAAAAAAAGGTATTTAAAAAAAACCCCCTCTTATTTATTTATTTATTTTTAGATATTTAAAGGATTATCAAGTATATTATTTGAAATTGGTGAAAATAGTTTAGAAAATGATAAAAAGTTAATTAATTTATTACATTGCATTTATCAATTTGGATATCAAAAAAGAATGCCTTTACTTTTTATTGGTAGAGTTGCAGAACAAGAAATTAAACAATTTATCCAAAAAAATCAAGATCTTTGGGAAAAGACCATTAGTTTTTGGACAACTTACGATATTGTCGTGGATCATAAAGACAATAATGTACCAATTCAAAATATTGTAAATGGATCATTGGTATGGTTGGCAGAACATACACAACCAATTGAATCATTTGATATTATACCATTGGCAAGCATCTTGGGTATTGTAACACACGATCTATTCCAAAATATGTTCAAGTCTTATCCAGTGGCAGGTCGTTATAAAATGGGTCTCCCTCTTGCTGTCCTTCTTCAACCCAAACAAATCATTGACAAGTTTAATCAGCTCCTCGATTCACTTGCCAGTTTGCTAACCGATCCCCATCTCCAATCATCACATTATTGGCCCATCCCAGAGTTTAGTAGTGACCATCTCCAATCTTGGAACTCAAACGAAACATTTACTAAAGTTAAAAAATCACTTGAAAGCATCAAATTACCAAGCATGGACAAGACTATTTCATCTTTGGTTGGTTTAAACTATTCAAATAACAACAACAACAACGAAAACAACTGTCAAGAATATGAAACGGCAAGAGAAGAACATCTTGATATTTGTAATCGATTTATAAATTGGATTAAATCATTTGTTCAAGATTGTCCAGAAATCCTCATTTCTCAGGTCACCAATACCTTTGAAAATTTTGCAAAGGAGGCCGTGGCTATTGATGAAACGGTTTTATCATCCACTCTTCACATCATTGCTCTACCCTGGCATTCAATCTTTGAAATCATATTTTCATATCAAATCTCAATGATTCCAACCCTATTTTCATCTTATCATCCAGATTTAATTCATTTATTAAAATCAAATTTAAATGAAAATGAAAAATCATCATCAAAACAAAAACCTTTAGTTGGTATTATTCCTTCGTCACCAAAAATAACAACTAATCAACAAAATGGTCACACTAATAATAATAATAGTAGTATAAAATCAACAACATCAGAATTAACTTTGGATGATTTGGAATCACCCATATTAAAGAGTAATGGTAATGGCGCAAAGATGACGACGACGATGGGTAATAAGAAAAGAGATTCTGATTTTTCATTATCTCAACCAAATCAAAAACTTTGGAAATCTTCTTCACCATCATCAGCAGTCAATCAAAATTATTGGAAATCTACATCATCTTATTCATCAGCAATCAATCCAAATTATTGGAAATCAAAAGGGGGAGATAATAACAAACCAACAACGACACCAACAATAACTCAACAAAAATCACAACTTGAAAAATTGTTTGAATCAATTGCTATTGAAAAAAGAGAAAGTAAAATATTGGACGAAAAGTTATTTAATCTTGTTCAAGATTGTGGAAGAAATGATCTAATCGATAAATATTATTCTCAAAAATAAAAAATTAAAAGAGTAATCTTTTTCTTTTACATATATATTTAATTTTCTTTTATTTTATTACATTATATCATATGTTTTGTTTTTTTAAACATTATGTTCACTACCTCCTCCAAATTCAAGTGTTGATGGATCAGTTGAAGTTGGTACATGGAATGTAGCATGTAACAATACAACTAATAAATAATAATAAAAAAAATTGATTAGTGACTGGAAATAAATTGAATTGATCAATGGTTTTCTTAATATATACTTGAAAGTGAAGCTCCAATTAACCAAACAATAGATGATCCGGCTGATAATAAAAAGTAAATAGATACAAAAACTATAAATTAAAGGAAAAGGTAAAAAGTAAATAAAAATATAATTATAAACAGTATTTAAATAATTCTGTTTTCATACTTTGAATACCATATGCAATCTTTTTTTGTATTTCTGATAATTCAGTATTAATATAATTCATATAAATGGTAATTAAAGCCAAAGTTAATAATAAAAATAGGAATAATGGCTTGGTTATACTAAAAATAATTGTTAATATTTTGATTGTTTCCTTTTCTTTCCATCTTTTTTTTACATACATAACATAAGTTGCAAAAATAAAGAAAAGGATAAAGTAATTTGTTTGAAAGTATTGTAGATTTTCTTTAACTCTTGATCCAGTATCTGATGGACGTGGAAGACTGTACTTTTCACGTTTGCCAATGAATTGTTTCCAATCTCTTGCATTTTGTAATCTACTATCTTTGAATTCCTTGACCTTGCTTGATATTCCACTCATACGTTGGGTCAAAACTGATCCAGCAGCAGCTCCCAACATTGAATACATCACTGACGATGTTCCAGTTGGTTCTGCATATGAAGCATTACCACCACCATTGCCCATTGGTTGTTGTGGTTGTTGTTGCAATGGTGGTGAAGATGCATATGCATTCAATGATGCTGTAGATGGAAAAGATAAAGTTGGTTGACCTTGACTATTATAGGTAAATGGTTAGGTATTAAAAACAATAGATCTTATAGTTTAAATCATATATATATATCTTAACCTCTCTTACCTTTCGTTCATTGTTTAAATATAGGAGTATGTATATATAGACTGGAGGATATATACTGTGTTCTGCTCTTCTCTCTCTCTCTTTGTGAAACAAACCAACAATACAACTTCTACCTACAAACAAACCCCCTCATCCTCATCTATTGCATCACTCTCAAGATTCACACATTTTTGAAATTATTTTTTTGTTTTGTTGAACGACCTCATCGTCAATCTGTTTTTGTGTAGCGTGAAAACAGAACCAACAAAAGAAAAGTAATAATAATAGTAGTTAGAAAAGTCAATATTTTTAAAATATTATTATTATCTCTTATTGAAAATAGATAAAAGTAATTATAAAACACATCACACCATTATTCAACGATACAACTCTTTCTCTCTCTTCAAAAGGGATGTAACATTCGATCTCCTTTGATAGGGGGAGGAAGGGATAGGCCCCTAAGGGGAGGAGATAATAAGCGGCGACGTCGGTCAGTTAGAGACCGAAAGGCGAAGCTGGGTTTAAAAAAAAAAGAAAAAAAAAAGGCAAATTAATGCATCTATCCAAAAATGGAAATATTAAAAAAAAAGTCTGGACACAAACAAGTGTACCCTACTTCTCTCTCTCTCTCTAAACTTTATGAAAATATTAGTATTTTGTGGACCTTATATTGATTTAAAGGAACAACATTTCATTTACTTTTACATAAACAAAAAAATATTAATCTCTCTCTATTTATTTATTTATAATTAATTCCAACAACAACTACTACTACTTACTCTTATTAAATTTAAATTATGGTTAATTGGACAAGTAGATCTATTAATGAATTAGGTGTTGATTCATTACAAAAAGATAATCATCGGCGTCAACAACAACAACAACAGGGAACTACAAGTTTAAATCAAAGTAGAAATCAACAACCACCATTTAATATGTCAAGTCAATTACCAACACCAGTAGATCCCGATTTATTTACTAGGGTGACTTTTAAGATACAAACATCGGTTCAAGACATTAGGGTCAACCAAGCAGTTGCTATTATTGGCGATGTGTCTGAACTTGGATGTTGGAATGTAAAGGGGTCGGTCGAGTTGTCAAACACCGAGCGTACAGATAGTCATTTGGTTTGGACTGCTTGCGTCACCTTTCCAACGTCACTTCATGTAAATTACAAGTATATCATAGTCAACAAGGCGAGAAATCCGGCACTCCTAGTTGAATGGGAGGCTGCAAGAGGATCATCGAGATCTATCAATGTAGAGGGAAAAGATATGTTTGTCAATGATGGAATATTTGGTATGTTGGGGTCTGGATTGACCCCGTGGATTGGTCGTGGATGGTTACCAGACTACGAGACACAGTTACGTATTTTATTACAAGTCGATGAGAAACCAGTGGTTCTCTATGACGAAGAGAGTCATCCAGATATTGTTCTTCGTCTTCACGATCCATACGGTCTATCACAAGACTTTTCACTACCAATGACTAGTTTTGCAGAGCTTGTCTTGCATGCTCCAACACTGGATTGTTTGGGATTCTCTGCTAGTATTGTCGAATATAAAGATGGAGCTTCTATCGGTGGCAATGGCCTTGGAGGATCCAATTCACCTTCATCACCCACCAATGTAAATATTGTCGGTCGCTCATTTATCATTTCACAACAAGTCCGTAACAAATGGGGCAAGATCTATTCACCAATCATCTCACCCGACGGACTGGTCGTAGGTGAATTTAGATGCAACTATCTTGTAGTCACTCCATTTACTCATCCACTCAATTCCATTGGTTCTCTTTGGCGTTCAATCGTTGAAAGAAATCCACAATCCATTATTGGTCATCGTGGAAATGGTAAAAATAATTTTGGTATAAATACAAATGCTGTTAGTATGTCTAAAGACAAAAACAAAAAAAGAAACAAATTAAGAAAAAGTACTAAAATATATATATTTCTTTTTCTCTTTTCTTTTTTTAGCCGAGAATACAATTTTAAGTTTTTTAACAGCAACTAGATTTGGAGCTAAAATGATCGAATTTGATTTACAATTAACATATGATAACGTTCCAGTTATTTTCCATGACTATGAAATTGAAATTGAAACATCTGAAGGTGTTACAATGAAAGAAACTATCAATAGATTAACATTGGAACAATTTTTAAAACTTAAACCTCAAAAAGGGTAACTATTATTATCAAATAGATCAATCAACCAATCCTAATTTATTCTCTCTTTTTATTTAGTAATAAAGGACCATTATCAAAAGGCATGTCACATATGAAAGGAAATAGATTATCGAGAAGTACAGGTGATCTTTTACAACTTTTACCACAATCTGTTTTTCCAACATTTACAGCTGTGACCTCATCATCAACTTCAACAACAACTTCAACAACCACTACCAATACCAATACCAATACTCACGCAACAGATTTAACTACTAGTACTGCTGTATTACATCCAAGTCCAACTGGATATTCAAATGTCATTCATGATAGATATTCAACCTTTCAAGATTCATTTACTTTTGTACCCCAAGACGTTGGGTTCATGGTTGAAATTAAATATCCAAACATTGCAATGCAAAATTTAAGAAAATTTACTGCTCCTGAAAGAAATGAATTTGTTGACATTATTTTAAATGCAAGTAGTAACAAATATAGTACTATATATATTCCTTCCCTTTTACTTACTTTTTTATTTATTTAATTATTAGGTTGTATTTAATGAAGCAGGAGATAGAAAGATTGTATTTTTAACATTTGATCCAGATATTGCAATGTTATTACGTACCAAACAATTTAGATACCCAGTATTATTCCTTGTTTGTAGTGATACACCAACATTTTATAGCGTATTCGATCCAGATGTCAATGTAAACGATACACGTGGTAATTCAATTCTCAATGCCATTTCATTTGTAAAGATTGTAAATTTGGATGGTATTGTTTGCGACAGTGAAAGTATTCTTGCCAATCATTCATTTGTTGAAACTATTCATCGTGAAAACCTTTTAATCTTTACTTATGGTTCAAAAAAGTAAAAATCAAAAACATATATTTATATTTATATATTTGAAGTCATTTATTAATTCATTTCCTTCCAATTTAATATTTTTTAGTGTCGATCCAGTAAATGTTAAAATTCAAACAGATCTTGGTGTTGATGGCATTATTGCAGACAATATGACAAAATTAAGTAAAAGATTAAAAGAACAATGTACTTCATCAGCTTCAACTGCTGCTTTGGTTTAAAAACGAAAAAAAAAAACAAATAAATAATAATAAATAATAAATAATAAATGCGAATAAAATTATATACATGTAGATTTGTTAGTTACTATTAGTTTTCGTCGTTATATTTATTTATTTATTTATTTGTTTAATTTGAGATTTGAGGATTAGATTTTTCAGATAATAATTTAATTCCGTCTGCGTATTGGAACTCTTCGGTATTATTAAAATAGTCTGTTACATCTAAAGCAATTTCACAACTTTCACTGACGATTGCTTCTTTGTCCTTTGTTAAACGTTCCAACAATGGGATGGTTTCAGTGCTAGCGATGGCACCCAAAGCTTCGGCAGCTTCATGACGTACCATTGCAGATTCACTTTCATCCAACAAGACCTCTGTCAATGCTGGTAAAGCAGCACGGTGTTGTAATTGACCCAAAACAAAGGCAACTTCATGTTTCAAGAGTGCACTCTTGTCCTTGAAACCATCGCAAAGTGCCAATACTGACTTTTCATCACCAATATCTCTCAATGAGAACAATGCTCTATATCTATTGAAAATATCCAAATCACCATCCAAAAATTGATCCTTTACTGCCCCAAATGATACACCACTACCAAGAGCTGGTGCTGGATCAACTGATAAATAGGTTTTGTTATCAATTGATTCTGGTCTGCAAAAAAAGTAAAAGAACAAGTTTAGAAATTAAGAATAATGATATAATATAACAGATCTATCTCTATCTATCTTGATTTACAACATACTCATTCTTTGTATACCAATCTACTCTACTAACAGCCAATTGACAAGTTTCAGCAACCTCTTTGGTTTCATCTGCAGAGAATTCCTTCAAGATATCAAACGCTCTTGGATCGGCAATAGCACCCAAAGCTTCGGCAGCTTCATGACGTACCATTGGATGTTCAGTAGTGTTCTTTACCAATTCAATTAAAACGTCCAATGCACGATTATCTGTCATTTGACCCAAACAATATGCAATTTCATGTCTAAGTAATGCTGAATCATCTTTCAATGCTACATAATAGATGTATTAATATATATGTATAGTAATAAATAAATGTATAGTAGTCTTTGTACCTTCAGTCATTGCATCTATACAAAGTGAACCACCAAGGTTTCTTAATGTGAACAAAGCTCTGAATCTCTTTGCAATTGGTTGTTGTACATCCATTAAAGTTGTCTTTAATTGATCAGCCAATTCTTGTGTAACTTTGATCTTATCCATAGTATAGTATAATATATATTAGATTGATATTTGTTAGATATAAATATAAAGGACTGAAAACAAATGACAATCGATTTCTTTATGAAAGACTCGTTTTTTGATAAATTGGTCCGAAACAAATGTTTGGCTCAAATTCATTCTCTTTCCCAAAATAAGGGACTAATGATTACGCAGATGGGAAAAAACAATATTTATTGATTATTATTATTATGTTGGTTAAGAATACACGTGTGTTTGAGATATATTATCTTGTCAATTCGTTGTTATTATTATTATGTTGTTGTTATGTTAATATAAATTACTAGGATTATATGTGTGGATTGTTTGGTTTTCAAGATTTCATATATATATATGGATGGGATGGTTTGGTTGGTTTGGTTTGGATTAATTGTACCAATCAAATAATCCCTTTTTCTTCTTTGGTTGTTCCATTTCTGTCATTTCTGGTTGCAAGTATTGTGGTTGTTGTTGTTGTTGTTGTTGTTGTTGTGGATTAATTGGATATGGTGGTTGTTGTTGGAATTGTTGTGGTTGTTGTTGTTGATAGATTTGTTGTTGTTGTTGATAATGTTGTTGTTGAACTACTGGATTAACAAATTGTTGTTGTGGAATTTGTTGTTGTTGTTGTTGTTGTTGTTGTTTAGTATGTTCATATTTTTGTTGTAATGGTTGTTGACCTACTGGTCTCTGTTGTTGACCAAAAACAACTTGTTGATCAGTGACAGGTGGTTGTGGGACAATATTTGGTTGATTGATACCAGTAACAATCAAAGTAACTCTAATACGACCATTTGCTTCACTGTCCAAAGTAGAACCAAAGATTATGTTTGCAGCAGGGTCGACCTTGCTAGAAACGATGTTGACGATTTGGTCAACCTCTTGGAGAGTGGCGTCGCTGCCAGAGACGTTGATGAGCACGCCCTTGGCACCCGAGATGTTGATGTTCTCCAAGAGGGGGTTGTTGAGTGCCTGCTCGGCAGCAAGGAGGTCTCTACCTTTGCCCTCGGCCTCACCAACACCCATCAGTGTCTTGCCGCTGTCGCACATGATCGTCTTGACATCGGCAAAATCGAGATTGATGAGACCGGGCTTGACCAAAATATCAGAGATACCTCTGACACCGTTGTAGAGCACGTCATCGACCATTGAAAAGGCATTGTGGATGTTGATCTCTGGGAACACCTCCATCAACTTTTGATTGGGGATCACCAAGAGCGAGTCGACCGACTTTTCAAGCTCGGCCAATCCCTGCTCGGCCATACGCATACGATGACGTCCTTCAAATTGGAAGGGTTTGGTAACAATGCCGACAGTCAAGATGCCCTTGGCCTTGGCAGCGGCAGCGAGAACAGCAGCTGCTCCAGTGCCAGTGCCTCCACCCATACCAGCAGTGACAAACAACATCTGTGTGTCACCAATTTGGTCCAACAATTCATCGAGTGATTCTTCACAGGCACGTTTACCAATATCTGGGTTGGCACCTGCACCCAAACCTCTGGTCAAGAGCTTGCCCAATTGGACAGCCTTTTCAGCGTCAGATGTTGCCAATGCTTGTGCGTCAGTGTTTGTAATCACAAAATCGACACCATATAATTGTTTCTTGATCATATTGTTGACAGAGTTACATCCTCCACCTCCAACTCCACACACTGTAATACGTGGTATACTAATCCAATTACCATCATCTACTGATGTTATCTTTGAATATTTTCTAATATTTAAACTAAAATTATTAGATAGATAGAAAGTAGAAGAAGGGGAAAGATAGATAGTATAGAGAGAGGGAGAGAAAGAGTTAGAGTTATGATCAACCAAATATAAAGATTTATCTATATCTATATTCTAAACATATATATATATATATTTGATGAAGATCACACATACTGAGTATCAACAGTTGGTTTACATTGAAACAAGTTTGAAGCAATAAAGACTCTTGATACTTCTTTACAGCCCTTTACCCTTAGATAGTTCATCATCATTCTTTAAAGAAAAGGTTGGTTTTATAATAGAATGACAAGCTAGCGTTATATCTATCATTCATTCTCACCCTTGCTCTAAGATTTTTTTGATGACACAAAATCAGAGTAAAATGTGTGAAAGGGGTCAAAAGTCCCATAATAATTTTATCTATTTGTTTGTCGAATGAATGATTGATATAACACTAAGCTTGTCATTCTATTATAAAACCGTCAATGAACTCATCGCTCGCGTGTATTTCCAGGAAATCAGATCCTCTTTCTACCCATCCACATTTTTAAAATTCATTGTTGTTGAAAGATCACTCACCAACAAACAAACAACGATCATGGAATATTACTACAATAATATAACTAAAAAAAGAAAAGAAGTTGAACAACAAGAAAATCAACAGCAATCTTTAAATAATAATAATATAAATATAGATAATAATAATAATAATAATAATAATAATAATGTTATACCTGATGATTTTGAATTTGATTTTTTAGATAATGATGAAATAAATAATAATAACATAAATAATAATAATAATAATATAGATAATATAGATAATAATAATAGTCCAAAAAAATTAAAACCATCATTACCAATATTAGTATCACCTGGAAAAGATCAATCAACGATTATATCAAATGAAAAAGAACATGAATTGTTTTTGATACCAACTCTATTACCTGAATTGGTAACCAAAGATATTGGATCAAATTCGATTATACATTGGTGTAGGAATTTTTTAAAACGTGATCAAGCTGGCATATTATTTAGACATTTGATGAATGTATGCAAGTTTGAACAAGCCGAAATGATGATGCGTCAAAAACCAGTTAAACTACCACGTTTGTTGGCTTGGATGGCAGATAAAGAGGTGACTGAAAAAGGATATCTTTCAAGTCACCACATGACAGAATGGACACCTCCAATGCTAAAACTTCGAGAGTGTTTGGAGACATTGTTGGATACGAAATTTGATTATGTCCTTGTCAACTATTACAAGGATGGACATGACCATATTGGATATCACAGTGACAAAGAAGCTAGAGATCCAGAAACAATGACAATCGCATCACTTTCACTTGGAACCACTAGAAGATTCTTACTTCGTAATATTAAAACCAACGAAACTATAGAGTATTCTTTAGAACCTGGCTCATTAATCGTAATGGACCAACAGACACAAGTACATTGGAAACATTGTATTCCAAAAGAATTAAAGGTTATCACCTCTAGAATTAATCTAACCTTTAGAAGAAAAGGTTCAAGAGATAAACCACCTCTTGGTTCTTATATTTAAGAGAAAGAGATATTTCAGTCTGTTTTTTGTGTAAATTGTAAATAAAGATAAATATTTATTCATCCTTTTTAATACTTGCTTTGGCTTGTTTATTTGACATGTAGTCAATAAATCCTGGTACAAATGGTAATAAATAATAACCAACCTTTGCTTTTAATCCTAATAATACTTCTCTACTTTTTAATCTTTCAGCCCTAAAATAAATAATATAAAAATAATAAATATATATTTTTCTCTATCTCTTTCTCTTATATTCTATCTTTATCTTACAAAATAATGGCTTCAGCACATTTATCAGGAGTCATAAAATGTTTTGATTCACGTTCAATTGGTTTTCCAGTAGTTGTCTTTGCCTTTTCGTGAAATTCTGTTTGAACAAAACCAGGACATACAATTGTAATTTGAACCTTTCCTTCCAATTCATTACGAAGACTATTCAAGAAACCATGGAGTGCATGTTTGGATGCAGAGTATGATGATCTGAGAGCAGTACCAAACTTTCCGGCCAAACTAGATACAACTACCAACGAACCATTTGATTGTTTGAGATAGGGTAATACAAATCCAGTAGTATAGACGACAGAAAAGAAGTTGATATCCATGTTTTGATGAAAGATGGAAAAGTCTCCATCCAATTTCTCAAACTCTACCAATGATCCTGCACCTGCATTGCACACGCACAAATCTACACCTCCCCACTTGCCAACCACCTTTTCAACCATTGCCTTGCAAGACTTTTCATCTGTAAGGTCTGCACTAACGATTAAGATATCATTTGCATCTATTTTTGTAGCTTCTACAATCTCTCTCTTGACATTTTCCAATAATTCTGTTCTTCTTGCTACTATTGCAACTCTAAAAAAAAAGTATTATTATTAGTATATTATAGTATAGTATAGATAGTTTATTCATCTCTTTATATTTATGTCAACATACCTGCATTTCATTTGAGCATATTGTTTAGCCAATTGTACACCGATACCGCTACTAGCACCTGTCACAATAACACGTTTTGATTGATATTTAGCAACTGGCTTTGCAACCAAATATACATATAATTTATACAATAATGATAATATAAGTAATTTAATAATCATTCTCTTTCTCTCTCTATCTCTATCTCTATATATACAACAAGTAAATGAAGAGTTGATGAAGATCGCAACTGGTTAACCAAAAAAGGGAAGGTTTAAAATTTGATTCGGAATTAAAATTTAAATAAAAAGTAATTTAAACCCTATAAAGAAGAAGAAGAGTTGACTTGTTCTTCATTTCTTGCTTTTCTTTTGATTTAATAAAAAAAAGTAGTAGTTTGTAATGAATAATAATAATAATAGTAAACATAGAATATTGATATTTGGATCATCAGGATGGATAGGATCAAAAATAATTGAATTAATTAAAACCAATCAAGATAAGCAGTATGACAACATATGTATATTCGAATCAAAAGCAAGAATACAAAATAGAGAATCTGTTGAAAGAGATATTGGTATATTTAAACCAGACTCTATTATTAATTGTGCTGGAGTTACTGGGAGACCTAATGTTGATTGGTGTGAAGATCACCAAATTGAAACTATTAGGTAAAAGCTAGAGCTAGCTAATAATACTAAATGTATAAATATGATCAATTAATAATTACCTTTTTTTTTAGATCAAATGTTATAGGTACATTAACATTAATTGATGTTGCCTATGAAAAAGGGATTCATGTAACTAATTTTGGAACTGGATGTATTTATAATTATGATGATGACCATAAACCATTTGGAAATGAAACTTTTAAAGAAACTGATCCTGTTAATTATACTGGTTCATTTTATTCAAAAACAAAAGCTATCGTTGAAGATGTAAATATTCAAATCTTAAGAGATATTTATATCTATTAAAAAGATATTTAATAATAATTTTCTAATTTTTCTTTCATAGTTGACAAGTAGTTATAAGAATTTATTAATGTTAAGAATTAGAATGCCAATATCAGGATCGATTAAAGAACAAAGAAATTTTATAACAAAGATATTAAATTATGAAAAAGTGGTTAATGTTCCAAACTCTGTTTCTGTTTTGGAAGATCTTTTACCAATATCTATCGACATGACAATCAAAGGTATAAAAGGTGTATTCAATATGTGTAATCCTGGAGTAGTATGTCATAATGAGATATTGGAACTTTACAAAAAAGAGATTGATCCATCGTATACATATCAGAATTTTTCTTTAGAAGAACAAGCTAAAATACTCAAAGCTGGAAGATGCAACAACCATCTCGATGTCTCTAAACTACTTTCTCTTTATCCTCAAATACCAACCATTCAAGATTCTTTAATTGATATTTTCAGAAAAATAAGACATCAACAACAACATCAAGAAATTGTAAATATTAATGAATAAATAAATGAACAACGATGAGGTTGTTCAGATGTACCAAATAAACCCAAACTTGGAATAGACATCCATTCCATCTTTCAAAAAATGAATTTTGTGGCGGGTTCACACAAACACCACAGATTGATCATCTCACTCTGATTTTTTTTCAAGGTGTATTTAAAAATATTACACACTCTCTGTATTAATAGTTATAACTGTATTATATATTATCATCATCATCATTATAAGTGTATTATATATCTTTTTTAGTAGTAGTAGTAGTCATCATTGTATAATAAAAATTTAGTATCTGTATCATGGGAAATAGTTTATCACAATATGCAAGAGATAGAATGTACTTGTGTAAAAAGGATGGAGCAACTGATTTGAATCTGTCTAGTTGCGAGATTAAGAAGCTTCCAAGAGCTATTCTAAAGTTTAAAAAGACATTGACCAAGTTGAATGTTGGCAAGAACTTCTTGACAGAGTTTAATAGTCAGATTGAAAAGTTCTTACTTCTTCAGACACTGATTGCAGACTCTAACGAGCTCACAGAGACCATTCCAACATTGTCAAAGCTCGAACACCTCATCCACCTCGACATTAGTAACAACCTCTTGACAAACGTACCCAACCACCTCAAGCACTTGCAACACCTCAACATCTCGATCAACTCGATCAACTCGTTCCCTCGCGAACTGGATCTTCCAGCACTACAGGAACTCTTTTACGCACACAACAAGGTATCGATCTTTCCCACTGAAATATTGGAGCTTCGCAACTTGCGTACTCTCGATCTTGCAGGCAATCGACTCAACTATCTCCCCGACGAGATTTCATCGTTGGCTGCCACTCTCCAAGCGTTGGATCTTTCCGAGAACCAATTCACCTCTTTTCCTCCTCCCATCACTACACTCACCGCTCTGCGCTCCCTGCGTTTGGCCGGTAACCAATTGGGACAGTTGACATCGGTCTTTACCAACCTCTCCAACCTCGAGGTCATTGACTTTTCCGAATGCCAATTGACTTCTTTTGATTTTGATCTCTCCAAGTTAGTCGCTCTCACCGACCTCTCCCTCGCAAGAAACAGAATCTCCGAGCTTTCCAGCCAAACAGCCATCTCACTTGGTCAACTCAAACTCATGCGTTTCCTCGACCTCTCCAAAGGTACTTTCAACTCTATCCCAAAACAAGTTGGTTGGCTCTCTAATCTTCGTCGTCTCAACGTTTCAGAAAACCAAATAACAAAACTCCCTGGAGAATTATCACTTTTAAATCCTTCAATTGATATGATTTTAATTCCAAATCCTTTAGAAGTATGTATAAAAAGAAAAAAATATAAATATATTTTAATACTTTTTAATTTATTAATTAATTGTATCCTTTCTTTTCTTTTTTATTTTATTTTTAGTATCCATCATGTGAATGGATAAAAGATGGTATACCATTATTTTTACAACATATTAAACCATATATGAGAGCATATGGACCAAATAGTAATGTATATAATTTGGAAAAGACAATGTACGCAATGGCACCAAACCAATTTAATATTAGGGCCATGGACTTTGAAGGAAAACCACGTATTAGTGGCATGGACAAGTTTGAAGTGAGAATGTTGTTGGACGGTGCTTCATCGCCATCACTTGACGCACCAACACGAGCTTCTCATCACAGCAGCACCTTTTTCCGCACCATCGATTGTATTGTAAAGGATAACAAATCAACCGAACCAGGAACCTACACTGTATTTTTTAATTCCCCTCAAACTGGTAGTTATGTACTCTACATTACTACTGATGATCTTCCAATCAAAGATTCTCCATTTTTCGTTGAATTGGTTTCAAAACCTCAAGCTCAATTACCAAATGAACAACAACAAGAATAAGAAATGGAATCAAAACCAAATCTAAAAAAAAAAAAAGAAACAAACAACATTAAAAACGGCGCAAACAATAATAATAATAATTTAATTTAATTTATATATACATAATACATTTTAAATAACAAATAAATATTTGTTATTTATACTATTTGTTTAAAAAATTTTACAAAAAGAATTTATTATTTATTAATTCATTTATTATTAATTATTTTATGTTTTTTTTTTTTTAATATTGTGTTGTTGGATGTTTATATATATATAAAAACCTTTTAAAAAAGAATTATTATTATTATATAATATTTTGACTTTTAATTACAAATTATTGAATATTGTTGTGTGATATTATTAAGTTATTATTATTTTTTTTTGATTTAGGATGGAATACTCATTTTTAATTCTGATTCTTGTTTAGTTATTTTAAAACATTATTCAAGAATAAATTAACATTATAATATTCAGCCTTTACAAGATAACCACTAAAATATCTTCCATTTTGCTTACTGAGACACATTGCACAAGATGGGGCATCTCTAAAGAGGACGTATGCCTTGACAGAGGTACCTTCGTTGGTGATGACCACCTTTTCGACGGCTCCAAAGCTAGAACATTCATTCTTTATCTCTTCTTCAAAATATTCATCGAGTTCAGCTGGTGATCCCAAATTTCGCATGACCATACATCTATTGGTAGCAGGTTCAGATGCTGCCAATAGTTTTTGTGTTAATAAAATCTTTTGTTCATTATTTAATGATATATTATCTTCCAATAAATTTCCATCATTATTGTTCACTTTTGGTGCTAAAAAATAAATAAATAGAAAATTAATTAATATATTCATAAATTTATGTTTGATTAAATTTACCATTTCTAACAGGTTTTCTAACTTTTAATTGTCTACCGTTAATATCATAACCATTAAAAGTTGATATAGCATCTTCAGCCGATTTAGGATTATCATAATCGATGAAGCCATATCCCATGTGTCTACCAGTTTCCAAATTTGGTTTTAAACTACATGAAACAACATTTCCAATAGAACTAAATATAGTTTTAATTTGATCTTCTGTTGCATTCCAAGGTACACTACCAACATAAACTCTATTATCATTATCTCGCTCTTTGACAGGAGTATTGTTCAACAGTGCTTGAGAAGAAAAAGAAGAAGCTACTGATGTACTTGATAAAAATGTATTTGAGGGAATGATGTTTGGTTGTAGTATCTCGGACATTCCTCCTCCTCCCATTCCAACCGATACTCCTGTAGCAGCAGGATTAATAACTGGAATAGATGGTTGACGAACCTTGATTTGTCTTCCAGATATTGTCTTTTGGTTCATATTTTGAATTGCATTAATTGCTGCCTCGGGATAGGTGTATTCAATGAAACAAAATCCTCTTGATCTTCCTGTTGCTGGGTCTTTGGAGAGTGACAATGATTTGATTGGTCCAAATGGTGAAAATGCTGCAACAATATCAGCCTCTGTCAAATTGAAATGAATGTTTCCAATATAGATTCTCGATTGAATCTCTTGTTGTGCTTGTTGTTGTTGTTGTTGAGGAGCAAGAGGAAGTGGAGCAAGAGTAGGAGGTACACTACCACCAGTGCTTTGGATTTGTTGTTTCTTTAAAGCAACTTGTTGTTGAAGTTCAATTATTTTTTGTTGTATCATTTGTTGTTGTAATTGAATACTTGATGATTGCATTTCAGAATCCATTTGATTTGTCATTGTTGAATGTGGTGAATTTACAGATACATTATTATTATCTAAAAAAAAAAGGAAAAGGAAATAAAAAAGGTTAATATTAATAATAAAAATAACTAAAAGAAGAAAACTAAAGAAAAAAAGAAATAAACAAAAAGGGATAAAGAATAAAAAAGAAAAGAAAAAACTAAAAAAATAATTTTGTTAATTATTATTTTTTTGGAAGTAGAAAGAAAGAAAAAGAAAGATGATAAAAAAAAAGATACTAAAACAACCTAGGTTTTTTACTCTATGTTACCTATTTACTTACTTAATTCAGAGATTGGGGTATTGTCCCACCCAGAAACCTTCTTTTTGGGTGGACTTGGACTTTGATCCAAATGTCTCAATGATGATGATGATGATGATGAGTTGTTATTGTTGTTGGTTGATGATATTGATGGTAAAATATCATTTTCGTCGGTACTTCTAGATCTTTTTTTGTTTTGAGGTGTATTATTCAAACTTGGACTTCTACTTGTACTTCTACTACTTCTACTTCTACTTCTTCCTCTACTTGATCTTCTTCCACGGGGACTTATACTTCTATTTGGACTTGGAGAAAGATATCTTTTCTTTTCTGTTGTTGAAGATTCCTTTCTTGACAAGGAGTATCGATCCGATTTACTCCGACTGCCATCCTTTTCACCAGAAGACCGCGATGATCTTTGATCTCTATCTCTACTTCTGTCGCGATCTCTATCTCTAGCGTTTCTGTCACGGTCTCCATCTCTAGCGTTTCTGTCACGGTCTACGCGGTCTCCGCGGTTTCCTCCTCTATCTCTACTTCTATCACTGCGGTCTCTATCACCACCGCGGTCTCTACTTCTGTCACGGTCACGATCACGATCACGGTCACGGTTTCCTCCTCCTCTATCTCTACTTCTATCTCTACTTCTATCACTGCGGTCACGGTCACGGTTACCTCCTCTATCTCTACTTCTATCTCTACTTCTGGCTCTTTCTCGATCGCCACCACGGTCTCTTTCACCACCACGGTCTCTGTTTCTGTCCTTTGAAAGAGTGGTGGTAGTTGTCGTAGTGGTAGCAGATGAAGGGTATCTTTCGCGGTCTCCTCCTCTATCTCTACTTCTATCTCTGCTTGATTCCTTTCTTTGATCGACCTTTCTTTGACTTGATGATGATGATGATGATGATGATGATTTGCTACCATTGGATGATGAGGATGTTGGAGAACTTGACTTTCTTCCACGTGGAGTCAATGGCGACTTTGATCGGGCACTAGTACTGCTGCTGTTGGATCCAGTCTTTCTCTTGGTCTTGGAATCAGTTGTTGTCTTTTGTCTGCGACTGCTGGATCCACTTCTACTTCTGGATCTACTCAAACTATTGTCACGTGAACGACTTGGAGAGATAGAGTGACTTCGACCTCTTGTGTGTTGAGTTGTTGTTCTCGGAGATGATCTTGGAGACCGCGGCGGTGATCTCGCCACCGGAGAACTATCTCTACTCGAACTTCTGTTACGACCATTGTTGCTGGTATATTTCCCACCACCACGTCCTCCTCTATCTCTACTGCTACTACGACCTCTGCTCTGACTTCGACTTGGTGACCTAGATGAAGAATAGTTGGTTGACGGACTTGGAGGAATCAATTCATTATCATACTCTTTTTTAGTAGTACTTTTACTCTTTCCATTATTACTACTAGTAGTGGTAGTAGAAACTATAACTTTCTTTTCTTTTGATCTTTGATTATGATTATTATTATTGTTATTATTGTTATTATTAGATGAAGGCGATGAAGATGCAAGTGAGGGTGATGAAGACACTAAAGCAGGTGAATGCTTTTTAGTTGATGAAGATGTCATGACTACTAAAGTTGCAAGAAGATGATGTTACTATCTATATTGTTGTTGAATTAGTTAGTTGGTTAGTTGATTGGATGGATGGATGGATATAGTGGTTAATGATTGGTCTCCACAACAACAAAGACCAACTCCACAACTACTATCTATTACTACTATTATTACTACTATTACTACTACTACTAATCTAATGAATGATAATGAATAGGAAGAAAAAAAAAAAAAGGGAAGTAACTACAATGAACAATAACAAAAAGATGGTTAAGATTCAAAGGTTAATCTCCAACATCATCATTGGTGTGAGAAAAGGGGTTCAGCCATATTAACTTTTTTTCACTCAATTTTGGTGGTTAATCACCAACCCTGCGTAAAATATCTTTTTAAAGACTCTGACCAATCATCTTTTGTGGAGACCCTCCTCTATCTTCGATGATCACCAACAGTTGGAGAATCAAACTGTAGAGTTTCCTTTCTCCTCGTCGCGTGCACGTCTATCTACTATTCTTTCTCTCATTATGATTCACACAGTAGGACTGACTAAAACGCATTGAATACAAAGAAAACCCAATCCCCGCCCATCCTCTTTTGAGGGGATGTTAGAGACTATATTTGTTCATCTTCATCTTGTTTGGCAACTTTTCCACCTTTCTACAACTATCTCGATCAATTGATAACTTGCAAACCAAATTAATTACGAGTATACTCTATTTCAGCAGTTGGATGACTGACTGATTGACTAAATCGATACACATTAATTACAACCAATCAACCAATCCAACCAACCAACCAACCGACAAACCCTAACCCCCAATTGCAATTAAAATTACACTCTCTTCTTATATATATATATATATATAAATAGAATTACGATACCGGTACCGATTCGTAACAGATAATAATAGTGTATATATGTATAGTAGTAGTGATTATATTTAATATATACTCAGTCCAATCAACCTCACCTATATATTCTACCACCACTTTAATGTCCTATGTCCATCATCACCACCCCTAAAACTAATTCCGTACTCCCCCACCCCACCCCTTCTTTGACAAAAAAGACTGATTAATACACCTCTACTACTAGTACATACAATAATGTAGGTGTTATGATAATAATATTCCGTATCTTTTTATCTTATATCTATCTAATGCATATCGATACGCATAAAAATAGACTGCTGATTTTAGGTGAATTGATACACCTTTGGAAGAATAGTAGAAGTGCGTAGAGAGTATTTTTTTATATTTGTTAAACACACACAACAAACACAAACTGGTGCATCAGCAATCCATCCCCCTCCCCTCCCACCTCTCACCTACCACCTACTACCAAATTCCAACATCATACGGTCCGCATTCTTGTCTACCATATATTTTTAATTTAATTTTCCATCATCCATCATCCATCAGCATCATCATGCTTGTTGATCAAAAAACTAAACAAGCTATTTGCCTTTATATGTTAATAAAAACAAACAACAATAACAACAACAACAACAATCAAAGTCATTATTAATTATTTTAATTAAAATTTAAATTTACTCTTCTCTCTTTTTTTTCCAAATCCATTCAACCAACAACAATAACAATATTGTTGAATCCACTTTTGATCAACCAAGGTTGTTTCTTTTTTTAGCATAAATCGTTTTTTATATTTATATATAAATTGGATTTAATTTAATTTAATTTATATCCACTTTCAAACAAATAGTAAAAAGTAAATTAATTAATTTGCAACAACGATCAATCACCGATCAGACAACTACAACCACAACACCAACACCAACAACGACAACAACACCAACAACAACAATGATGTTATCCGATAAACAATTATCTTGTCCATCACTTTTATCTTCATTGGATAATAATCAAAACCAAAACCAAAATAATAATCAAACAACGAATTGTTGGAAAAGTGGAAATCCACAAAGAGAATTTCAAAAAATGAGAGATAAATATATTAGTAGATCAATGGGTAACCTTGATCAACATCAACAATCAACAACAACAAACATTAATAATAATAATCAATTACCAACTAATCAACAACAAATGTCAGATCATTTCAAAAGTTTAAGAAATAGTTGGTCATTTTATAGTGCACCAGAGGAGGGACAATCTACTCCCAATCTCCAACACTGTCATCATTCCTTTTCAGCGCCAACCTCTCCACAATCTGGCCGACCATCACGTAAAGACGGGTATTCAGAGTCGGACCTAAGAAGTGCCATCCTCGAGCCACTGCCACACCACAAAGCCACAAAGATCGAGGAACTGGTCAAAGGAAGGTTAAAAGAAAAATTGGGAAGACTATTAAACAACGAGGAAATGGAAAAACAAGGCAAGGCATTTGAAAAAGGTGCCACTACTTTTGAATCAACCCTTCAAAGAGTTCAAAGAAGGGCAAGAGAACATATTAATATGTTAAATATTAATAATATTAATACATCTACAACTACTACAACTACTACAACCACTTCAACAATCAATAATAATAATAATTCCGAAAATAATAATCAACAACATTTTTTAATATTAATACAAAAAGAAGAGGTGGGATCATCATTATCATCATCATCATCATCACCACTTCAAACGACACAATCCCAACCACAACTTCAATCAACCTATTCTCAAATTCATCACCATCATTTTGTTGGTTATAATAACCTATCATGGAATCCAATTTCAAATGCATCAAATGGTAATAGTTGTTTTGACAGTACCTCTTCTTCTGCATAGCTATATCTGTAGACAGACACAGAGGAGGAGATACCCTAAAAACAATCGTTTATAAAAAAGATAAATAAAACAACATGCGCGACCCAAATTAAAACACTCAATTTAAATTAATCAATATCAATATCAATATTATTATTCCCTTTCAAGTTGACTTGTTATGATAAAAAAATAAGATGTCCAAGACGACAACGACGTCGTTTCTATCCTTCCTTTCCTACCCCATTCATGGATACATGTTGTTGAGGGTATCATTTTTTTTTAAACCCTAACCCTTAATTAATTTCAAAATAACCGAAACACACAAACACACATTTTAAAATGCTGCAGTGTTTGTTTGTTTGGGTTGATTGGTTGGATGGACTGATTGTTTGGGTTATTTTGAAATTAATTAAGGGTCGAGCAGCCACACGTATATGATTGCACATGTGTATGTACATACACAGTCGATCTTTTCTCAAATTAGAGTCTTGGTTAGAACTCCCTTTGTGTCTGTTTGCTAATATAGCATAGAATATAGTTGCCCACGCTAGGTAGGTTAATTAAATAGCCGATAGCAAGCTATCACGACAACAACCAATCCGTTATTTGATTGGATAAAATAGGATGTTTGAGTGGTTTTTAGAACAAACTTAACACTTTGGATGGATGGATGGATGATTGGATGATTGACATCAATGATATAATACTCCTACTACTTCTATCACTTCTACTACGGATGCATCTATCTATCTATCGTGGTTTAACAATCATCAATCAGATCTGGTTGATGATCTTTTTAGTCATTGGAGGTTATCCTTTGCAAGTTCAAGAGTGTCATGCTGCACATATGTAACATGTTTAAATTTAAACCAAACAGTAGTGTAGCTGACTATACTGTTGCCGTCAACTACTCTTTTAAATTTGTAAATCTACATGCCAGAGTTGGAATCAGGTTACCTCTTATTTTGGAATCGATTACACCCTTTATCAACCAACACTAGTTCCAAGTCTAAGACTTGATTTGTCAACCACCTGGTTCAAACCCATGTATTAACTGAAAAAGACTCTAAAGAGTGATCATCATCATATCAACAAAGAAACAAACAATCATCTCCAAAACATATAAATACTCGTTGTTTTAGTTCATTTACAATCATCAAATACAAATACAAACTTTATAAACAAAACAATTAAATCTAATTAATTTTATCTTTTAACTCTTTAACCTTTTAATCTTAAAAAAATGACTATCCTTGGTATGGATGGAACAATAATAATAATAATAATAATAATAATAATAATAATAATAATAATTAAATCCAGTGGAACTTTTAATATTAATATTTTCCTTTTTCCTTTTTTCTTTTCCATTTTCTTTTTCTTTTTTAGCTGCTATTTCATCCCTCGGTTCTGCCAAGACCTCATCAATTTCCAAGTCATCATTCTCTGGTGCTGGAGCACTCCAAACCCAAGGTGGTAACTCTGTAGCTTGTGGTGGATGTGGACATGGTGGCAATTTACTTGGTGGAGTTATAGGCACTGTTGGTGGTGTAGTTGGACTCGTAGGTGGCATTGTAGGAGGTGTTGTTGGTGGTCTCTTGGGTGGTGGTCGTGGTGGTTGTGGATGTCATTAAATTGTTATCTACTCTACTCTAACCAAATTTGGAAAGATATACATCTTATCTTCCATACTCCCTCTCTCCCTCATAATCCAATCAATGTAACCTAAAACCAAAGTGTTCGAATATCTATTATAATAACCATTTTAAAATAAATAATTACCCCCAACTAGTTGAAAAAATATCTTTCTTTCTTTATGTCTATCTATCTTTTGATCAGATCCAAATTTGGATATTTAATTAATTGTATATTTAATTTTTGAAAAAAAAAAACAAAAAAAAACGAAAGAAACGAGTCGATTTTAAATTTCATTTCTATTTCTTTTAATTTATTCTTTTATTGATAGATAACTTATTTAAAGAAAGGAGAAAGGAATGAAGAGACAAGGAGATACACCAACAACAAAGAATGATCAAGTTGTAAAAAAGAAAAAGACAACTGGTAAACCACAACCATTGACCAAATTGTCTAGATCAAGAGAGCCAATTGCTCCACCACCCAAACCAACACAGATCGTACCAACAAAGGCTATCCCAGTTGGTAGCATACACTTTAACGACATTGGTACAACCTTGACAGCACAACAAGATCATCGTGCTGAATCGGCTAGTGTCATGCAATGGATGTTGGGAGGCAAGTTAATGTTGGACGAGTTTTATGACGACTACTTTGGTTTGCAACACTATATTGTCAAGCGTAACGATCCAAACTACTACAAAAACTTTTTCACCAAGGATTCAATCGACAAGATGCTCAAGAGCAACAACCTCAAGTTTACCGAAAACATTGATATCACCAACTATGTCGACAATGAACGTCAAACACTCAACCCCGACGGAAAGGCATACCCAGCCGTCGTATGGAAGCATGTCCGTGATGGATGCTCTCTTCGTCTCCTCAACCCACAAACATTCAACATGAACGTATGGAAGGTTCTCTCATGTCTCCAAACCTACTTTCAGTGTGGTATGGGTGCCAACATCTACCTCACTCCAGCTGGTGCTCAAGGTTTTGCTCCTCACTATGATGACGTTGATGTATTCATCCTCCAACTTGAAGGAAAGAAAGTTTGGAGATTATATGAACCACGTTCAGAACAAGAAAGATTACCAAAGAAATCAAGTGGTAAAGAAATTAAAAAAGAAAAAAAAAAAAGAGTAAAGTACTAACTTTGTGTATTTTTTTGTTTTTGTTTTTTTTCTAGAAAACTTTGAACAAGATGAAATTGGAGAACCAATAATAGAAGTTACATTGGAAGCTGGTGATATGATGTATTTCCCACGTGGTATTATTCATCAAGCTTACAGTCCAAAGGATGTACATTCATTACATATTACCATCTCGACACAGATGAATAACACTTGGGGTGACTTGTTTGGCAAGGTTATCACTAGAGCATTGGATATTGCCAATGAGGAAGCCGTTGAATTCCGTCAAGGTCTTCCACGTGACTATACCGATTATCTAGGTGTCATCAATTCAGACAAGGTCGGTGATGAACGTAGAAAGGAATTGTTGGATCATGCCAGTATGTTGTGGGAAAAGTTGGGCAACTATCTACCAGTAGACATTGGTGCCGATTTGATGGCTGTCAAATACCTCCATGACTCTCTTCCACCATTCCTCTCTACACAAGAAAAGAAACATACTATTGAAGATGACAGTGCTGCCGCCTCACTCAAGCTTACTCAACGTGTTCGTCTACTCAGAAAGGATGCAGTCAGACTTGCCATTGAAGAGGTTGCAGTCGTATACCACACCATGGACAACACTAGAGTCTATCATCAAGTTGGCGAAGAGCCAGGTGTCATTGAATTTACACTCGACTGTGCCGACGCCATCGAACACCTCATTTCATCCTATCCACGTTACGTCAACATCACAGATCTTCCAGGTACAGATGCTCAAAAACTTGATATTGTTAATGCTTTTTATGAAAAGGGTTTATTAATGATTGAAAAATAAATAATTAAATACATACAAATATAAATATAAATATACATACAAAATACAAATATAAATATACATACAAAATACAAATATTATTATCCTAGACAAACACACAAATTTAGCGATCGATAACAACATAAGAGGTAAGAAATATTCCCATTATTACAAAGTTATCGATCGCTAAATTTGTGGTTAGGAGGAAATCATCCATGAGTACTTTATATTGCTTTGAATTCTTGTTTTGGGTTGTGACCATCACCTTTTATTTCTTTTATCTCCTGTATGATATAGCCAACCCATGTAGCTAATACGGCTTTTTCCTCCTCTGTTCCATCCACCATTTTGTGGTTATACTTTAGTCGATACCCTTACTGGCCAATTATTGTACTTTGCAATATCTAGTTGCTCTGCATTGTTGTTTTCTATCATGTAGCATGCCTGTTAACTTCTTGATGGATTTGTTGATTGAACGAGAGTTGAATGTTTCTGAGACCTATTAATAAAGATGAATTGATAAAAAGCTTTTCCCTCCTCAAAATTTTTTTTTTTTTTTAGAGGTACAAAGAGAAATAATTGAAAAGGATTGCAACCCACCACCAATAGTCACCACACACAAGGAATGATTCCTTTACAACAAACAATGAATCGTAAGATGTTGGGGGTATGTTAATAAGTATAATGTATTTCAAACAAGGTAGAGAAATAATAACTAAGCTTTATAAAACTACAACTTTTATATTTATTTATCTATATCTATAATTCAAAAGAGAGGAAGGAAGGAATTAGAAGAAAGATTATTGATAGGTTATTATTATTATTATAAATGATACATTCATAATCAAATGACATTTGAAACTTTATCATCTTTGAAAAGTAGCAATGGTATTGGTAATAGTAATGGAAATGGGAATGTTAAATCATCTTCATTATTTTCTTTAGCGTTATCACCATCTTCTTTATTATCTTCAAAAGATCATTATCAAGCTTCATCTCAACAAAAGGTATATATATATATCTAAACTATTAAAATGGTTGTTGGTTCTATTTATTATTTATTAAATGACCATTTACTTTTTTATAGGAATGTAAATGGTTAATGAAACAATGGATGCTTTTTGTTGGATTAGTATTACCTTTGACTATTTGGTTGGCAGCATCTGTTTTATCAACTTGGCCAAGCTACAACAACAACAACAATGACAATGAAAAGACTCGAATCATTGTTTATATTTATCAATCGATGTGGTCGATTGTATTATTTATGTTATTATCATCTATCAACTTTACATTTTGGGATAAATTCAAAATTGAATATTCATTAATATTTGATATTGATCAAAGACATTTCTCAAACAATGGAGCTAGTTATCATCAAAGAATTATTCCTACTTCTCCTCCTCCTCCTCCCATATCCAATATTCAACAACAACAACAACAACAAATATTACAGACCAACAACAATTTAAATGAAAACAACAAAGAATCATCTTTACCAAATTTCCATTCAATAACAATTAATTTAGTAAAACCTCCAGCTTCAACTCCACAACAAAGTATTTCGAAACAATTATTTAAAGCTTCAATGATACTTTTTACAATATTACTTTCAAGTTTACTATTCCTTTTATACAGACCATCATCAACAATATCATTCTTTTCAATGAAACAATACGAAACCACAACATCAACAGACAATAATATTACAATTCCATTAGTATTTTGGATTATATTTATGATTGTTTTGGTAGTACCATTAAATATATTTAATCATGAACTAAGACAACATTTTATCAAAAGTTTTGTTGGTTTATTTAAATCTATTCATCGTCCTGTTTCATTTACCTCGTTTTGGATTGCTGATCAATTAACAAGTTTACCAATTGTATTAAAAGATATTGTTTTTATTTTAATTTATATTTTAACATTTTTTAGTAAGTATAGAAAAAAAGAGAATAACAAAACGAAACAAACCTTAATTATTAATATTATTATTCTTTTTTTTAGATTTAGAAATTAGTACAAATTGTTTTTATTATATATCACCAATTATTTTAGGAATACCAAATATCATTAGAATTACTCAATGTTTTAGAGTTTATCATGATACTGGTAAAAAAGCACAATTATTAAATGCATTCAAGTATTTTATATCATTATTGGTTTTAACATTTTCAATCCTTGATAATTTATTTAAACGTATGTAGTATAAGTATACATATATATATATATATTTTTTTAACAATTAAATTAATTCATTTTTTTTTTCAGAAACAAAATTAGAATGGACAATATTTAAAAGTTATTGGTTCTTTTTTGCTGTTACAAGTACATTATTTTCATATTATTGGGATATTGTAAAAGATTGGGGATTCATGACACAAAAAGGAAAATTATTAAGAAATGATTTATATTTTGGTTATAAAAATGTAAGACACAAAGAAATATAAATGAAAATATGATTAATATTAATATTTTATATTTCTAGTTTTATATATTTTCAATGATAACAAATTTAATAATGAGATTTGGTTGGATTGTAACTATTAATCCAGAGGCATTTGGTATTTATAATCCAAATATGGATATTATTTCAATATTTTTGGTTTCAATTGAAATTGTTAGAAGAACACAATGGAATCTATTTAGATTGGAACATGAATGGTCAATGAATATTGACCAATATGAATTATAAAAAAAAAATACAACCTATAAACTACACAATTTATTTAATTTTAATCTACTTCTTCTAATAATAATTCACCTTTTGTCTTTAAACAATCTAGATAGGTTAATTGTTCAGTTAATCTATCATGTCTTAATTCATAATCTATAGCAAATAGTGATGGGTTATCAACCAACCAATACAAAGATTGATTTAATAATGTTTCTACTGTAATCATGGTTGGTTGATCTATTTCTTCTTGTGAAACCTTTGATTCTAAGACTTCTCTACCACGATATACTAGCTTTTTTAACATGTTTTTTGCATTGTTGCAATTTTCCAAATCTCTATCATTGTATAGTTCTGCTTGAGTGATTAGATTTTCAAGCATTGGTATATCGATTTTAAATTTATCGATATTTGTAATAAATTCATCTGGATAATCAACTACTACAGGATCCATAATTTCTCCTTGATTGTAACATTTAAGTGTTGTACGTGGTGGTGACCATTTTTCAGTATCCGATTCTGATGGACTGATATAGGTAAAATCGTGATAATCAATAGAATCAACCCAAACTTTTAATTGATAATCGATTCCAATTTGAAACTTTACATTGATGGTTGTTTCTCCTTTTGATTTTGTTTCATCCAATTTGATATAATTCAAAGATCCAATATAAAAATTATCTTTTACCAAACTTCTTTGACCATAATAAATGTTTAAATTGAAATAGGGCGTGTTGTTGGTGTCCATGACAATCTGAGCCGATCTACTACTTGGGATAAAAGAGTTTCTAGGAATGACTTGAATCATTGATCCATCGTTTGCTTCGTAGCCAACGCCAAGTGATGTATAGTCGGAAAATCCCACCCATTGTTGAGGTTGAGCAAGACTATGCATCATGATGGATACTCCACCATAACTTGGCATAACCGATGGATCACCATAGGACTTGGTGTCTACACCCAAAAGAGAGGCTTGGGGGAATGAACCTTTCAACATTGTACGGATACATGGCATATTGGTCATACCTCCACCTGCCACGATATACGAAATCTTTGTATTATAATTTATATTCTTATTGTCTAGGTTTTTGATTTGCCATTGATCAACAATTGATTCGATAAATTCTCGATGTTCACGTACAATGTTTCTTGTCAAATCTTCAAATTTGGCTCTTGACATGGTCAGTTGTAAATCCAATACCTCTTCTTTACCAGACTTGCAATCCAGTACCAATAAACAATCCAACTCTCTCTCTGAATTGAGCATAGTAGATAGAGACTCTTTAAGATATTTACAAGCTCTAAATAGTCTCTTTTTCCTGAGGACCTTTTTACCTTGCAACATTGGATGATTTAGACAAAAGTAATCTACCAAAGCTTGGGTAAATCTTTTTCCACCACCAATCGGTTTGTTTTGATGATCCTCTAACATTTCATAGATACCTTCATCGTAGAGGAATAGTGTCACCGATGTATAAGATTCTCCAGCATTGTAACCAACAATACAAATAATCTCTGAACTATTTCTTTTGTGGTAGAGGTGTGGATAACAAGTCATTGTCATTTCATTTCTTACAAATAAAGACGATTGTTGAAACGTAGGAGATTCTGCCAAACACTCTTTAACTACTCGTCTCTGTCCATCACCAAAGTAATGAGGAACTGCAAAACAAACAGTCATCACCCTCTTGTTACCAGTAAATAGGTTCACCATTTCTGCCAAATGATCAACGACCAATTGCAATAAATCAGCAATCTCTTTGTACTGATCCACTCCATACCATCTAATCTTTATCTTGCCATCTACCAATCTAGACAATAATGATTCATTATTTTCATTCATTTCTAATTGTCGATCACCTTTTGCATTGTCAAATAAATAGTCTAATATTTCTTTCCATCCATTTAAATTGATAATATCGTATTGATCATCTGGTGATTCTCTATAACAAAGATATGAAGCTTCCTCTCCTACAATGACTGTATTATCAGTTTTTGAAAATGCAATGATTAAAGGTATCGTAGTATTTCCATATTGATTTGGTATTATATGAATACTTGATTCTGTATAACCAAGTGCCACAGCACAATTGGTTGATCCAACTTGTATTCCTACTGAAAGTTGATTTGTTGTTGGTTGTGATGTTATTATCATAAAGTAAAGAAATAACTAATCTGATTGAAAATAGAAAAGAAAGAATGATTTGGAAAGATGATCAAGAATATGAAATTTATATTGAAATTTACTCATATTTATTGAAATTTGGGTGATCAGTTGAAGAGATCTAACTGAAAACTAAGTTTGTAAATATTTAGAAATTGGTAGAGAGAGGGAAAGTTGAATGAAGAGTGGAACAGATAGAGGATGGTAAGAGGTAGATAGAAAAAAAATAAAGTAGAGAAAGATATATACTAGTATTTAATTTTGATTTTTTTGATTTGAACAAATCTAACAAACGAGGATAAAATCTACTCGTCAGCTAGTATAGTTCTTATTGTGAGTTTATTATTATTTTACAACATATATAAATTAATTTGAGTTATAGTTAAAATGCTTAGAAACACTTTCTGTGGACGATGGATGGACCAGACTCGTCGTATTCCTCCTTGGAGATCCACATTTGTTGGAAAGTGGAGAGGGAGGCAAGGATGGAACCACCGATCCAGACAGAGTACTTACGCTCTGGTGGGGCGATGATCTTGATCTTCATGGTTGATGGAGCAAGGGCAGTGAGTTCCTTGTTCATACGGTCAGCAATACCTGGGAACATGGTAGTTCCACCAGAGAGGACGACGTTACCGTAGAGATCCTTACGGATATCAACATCACACTTCATGATCGAGTTGTAGGTGGTTTCGTGGATACCAGCAGATTCCATACCGAGGAATGATGGTTGGAAGAGGGCTTCTGGGCAACGGAAACGTTCGTTACCGATGGTAATGACTTGACCGTCTGGTAATTCGTATGACTTTTCGAGTTGTGAAGAGGTGGCAGCAGTTTGCATTTCAGATTCGAAATCAAGAGCAACGTAGGCGAGCTTTTCCTTGATATCACGGACGATTTCACGTTCGGCAGTGGTGGTGAAAGAGTAACCACGTTCGGTGAGGATCTTCATCAAGTAGTCAGTAAGATCACGACCAGCGAGATCGAGACGGAGGATAGCATGTGGGAGAGCATAACCTTCATAGATTGGAACAGTGTGGGAGACACCATCACCAGAGTCCATGACAATACCGGTGGTACGACCAGAGGCATAGAGTGACAATACAGCTTGAATGGCAACGTACATGGCTGGGGTGTTGAAGGTTTCGAACATGATTTGAGTCATCTTTTCACGGTTGGCCTTTGGGTTGAGTGGGGCTTCAGTGAGGAGAACTGGGTGTTCCTCTGGAGCAACACGGAGTTCATTGTAGAAGGTATGATGCCAGATCTTCTCCATATCATCCCAGTTGGTAACGATACCGTGTTCAATTGGGTACTTCAAGGTGAGGATACCTCTCTTGGATTGGGCTTCATCACCAACGTATGAATCCTTTTGACCCATACCGACCATGACACCAGTGTGTCTTGGACGACCGACGATGGATGGGAAGACAGCACGTGGTGCATCATCACCAGCAAAACCGGCCTTGCACATACCAGAACCGTTATCGATAACTAAAGCCTAAGTAGAAAGTAAGAAAGAAAATGATGATTAGCATGGTTTGATAGGAGAATCTCTTGATTATATTTATGAGTTTACATACTTGAACGTCGTCAGACATGATTGTATTATATATATATTATTTGTTGAATAAACTGAATTGAATGAATGTAAAGTGCATCCTTTTATTGCTGTCTCTCTCTGCAGATCTTTATCCACCCCTGTAAATTTACAACAAATTTTTTTACAGGTGGCTTGGGTTAGAGGTTTCACTGAAAAGCAATGGAATTGAATACAAAATTTAATTTGTGCGATAAAACAGCCAACTCAAATCAGAGGGTGGATGAGTTTTGAAGAATCTTTGAAAACAGAAGGAATTATTGACTCTGATTGAAAATGGGAACTGGGATGAGCTAAATCGAGGGATAATGGTGGAATATAGTAGAAGGTTAATTTAATGATTGTTGGTGATTACTTGAATGTGATGAGAGATATGGTATCATTATGGTTGTGAGGTACCTTGATAGTAAATAAAGATCTTAGGTTAGGACCTATTATATAGCCCACTCTTTCATAGGTTTTGATCTAAATCTCAATTTCTTTTAAAGACTATTCCAAAAAATATTATCTTTTAGATTATTCATTAAATAGTAATGATAATAGAATAAAAGGATGGTTATCTACAAAATAAATATTTATTATATTATTTTAAATGTTTTTTTATTTTATTTACTTTTGTTGTTGTGTGTATTTTAAATATTAATATCGTCTAAAAGAAATATTTGTTGGTTGTTTCGGTTGGAGCGATTGGAACACCAAAACTAGTGACTGGTTGAGATTCAACAAGATTGAATTTGATATTCTTTCCTTTACCCTTACGCATAGAGACAGTACCAATTGGTTTGGCGGTACGATATGAAATTTCCTTTCGTAACTTTGGAACAACAACATCGTCCCATAGATCTTCGCAACAATCATCTACCACATCACGTAGGAATTGATTTTTACTCTTGTTGACAATATGTGTAATTTCAATACAAAGTGATATAATATGTCCAACATTTTGATATATCTTTGGTTTTTTGTCAATTTCCATCGTCATTCCATTACTATCAATATTATTAATTTTTTCTTTTTCTTCTTGTTCTTTTTTACTATCTACATTTTCTTTTTGAGTTTCTTGATTAATATTATTATTACTATCATTATCATTATTATTATTATTATTATTACTATTATCATTATTATTACTATTATTATTGTTACAATTATTATCTTCATCCATCTTTGTTGTAACATCGACCGTTGATGATGATGATGATGATGATGAGAGGTGTGAAAGTGAATTTAATATAGAATCTCCTTCGAAATCGTTGGAAACAAAGTCGGTCAAAGAAAGCTTGGATGCGTCGAGTGATGAAAGATCATCGTCTAGAGTGGTATTAATGGACGAACCAGATCCCGCAAGACCATTACCAACGGAATTGTTTGATGAGACCAAATCACTAACTGCTACACTCATTGTTGATGGTGATTCTGCAACTATTTTGTCAGTTGAGATGGTGGTAGTGGTGGTAGTTGTGGTAGTAGAGGTAGAGGTAGAAGAGGATGGTGTTGGGATGGCAGGAGAAGTAGCACCAGAAGCAGGTGGTGAGCTAGTTGTACTACTAGAATTGCTACTAGTATTTGGAGTACTATCACTTTCCTTGCTACTCTTGCTCTTTCTCTTTTTCTTGTCAGATGATGATGAGGAAGAGGAAGAGCCGTTTGCTTTTTCTTTTTCCTTTTCCTTTGCTGCCTCTTTGGATGCCTTTTTGGCACGACGTTCCTCTCTTCTCTTTCTTCTATCTTCCTTTTCCTTTCTTTTATCTTCTTTTTCCTTTTTCTTTTGATCCTTTTCTGAATCTCCCTCTGCACCATCCTTTTCTTTCTTTTTACTAGATGATGAGGAAGAAGAAGAAGAACTACTTTTCTTTTCCTTTTCCTTTTCTTTTTCCTTTTCTTTACTACTCTTCTTTTTATCTTCTTTTGTTGTTGTTGTTTCAACTATAGTTGGAGTCGGAGTTGTAGCTATAGTTGGAGTTGGGACTACAACAGTTGAATTTGATGATAAAGACAAATCAGAACCTGAACTTGATGATAAATCAGATCCATTACTTGAAGTATCAGAACCAGTACTTGAAGTCAAGTCTTCTTCTTTTGGAGAGACGGCTGCTGCTGCTGCTGCTACTGCAGTTGGATTATTAAATACCGACATTAAAGATTGTAAACTTGATTTATCTTCAGATATATCCTCTGCAAATGATACCTTTCTTCTCAATTTTGGTTTCTTTGAATCGTCTTCCAAATTTGTAGAATTTGTAATCTTTAAACTATTATTTCCATTTAATGTTGATACTGCTGGTGTTGTAGTTGTTGTTGTAGTTGAGGATATAGTAGGAGATTGAACTTGAAGATAGGCAGGTTTAATATGTTGATCATTTAATATATCAACGACACGAGTGACAAAAGAGCAATCCTTTAAGAGATGATACATAAATTCCTCATCGTCTGAACCCATACTACGTTGAATAAGAGGGGTGAGGATAGACTCTACTGTACAGTGAATAATGTTGTTTGATTCGTATTCAAAAAACATGTTTACACATTTCTTTACAATGCCAGTTTCCCAAAGTGTCTTGTCCAATTTTTGAACGTTTGCCTTGACCAAGATATTGATCAAATGCAAACATCTCAATCTAACAATACCAAGTGATTTTGTATAGTCTTCAATCTCCATTACTTCGTTGATTGCTTGGATTGGTGTCATTTCTCGTTCGTCTACCAATTGGACAATTGGACGGAACAATAAATTAACCACTGGTGGCAGTTCTTGTTCTTTTGGTTCTTTTTCCTTTTCTTTTTCTTTATCTTTTCCTCCTGGTGGTGCTGGTTGTTGTTGAGCATTTGAGAAATCAACCAATGTTGATAATAGGTTGAGGATTGAAACCGATGGAGTGTATGAAAAGTTGTTGGCCAAAATAACACGGAATACATTCTTGAGTACACAGTTGGAGAATGATTGACCGAGGAAATGATGTGCAATCTTGGATCTTGGGTATTTACGAACAATCTCGGTGATGAGACGGTTGATATTATCCATCTCCAACTCTAATGAATCACTCTGAGAGTCTGGATTAAGTATCTCGTTTAGACGTAAAATAAGGTATGGTGTAAGATCATTTGTCCAACTTGCTTTTTCCTTGTTTGAATTGGTTGATGATGACGAAGAAGACGAAGAGGATGAGGAGGATGATGAAAAGATAGAGAAAAAGGAAGGAGAACTACCAGTTCCACCACCACCAATTTGTATCATTTCAAGTTCGGTCATTTTAATGAGCAAGTCAATCATTTCGGATGAATAGAGATGTTGAACTAGTCCTTGCAAGATAGTATCTTTGTTTTCATTGACATAGTTCATAGTCTCTGGACGCTTTGTCAAATAGGTAACGAGGAGTTCGATAAAGACATGTAGATTCGATGTGGGGAGGGGAGCGGGACTATCGAGCAGTGTAAAGAGCATGTCGAGGATAAACGAGTTGGAGGGGTCGGCTACGATCTTGAAAATGGCGCTGATGGCACCTTTGAGGATCTCGTAGGCACCTGTCATGCGAGCATACATGTTTTTGAGCTCGACCGACGCCGTTCCAGCAATCAGCTGTGGACGTCCGGCATAGACGGCGTGACCAATGTTGACGTCTACGGCCACCTGCATCAACGTGTAGATGGTCTCGGGTTGCACGAGGTAATCAGACAATGCACGGAATCCCGTCGAGATGAGGTCGATAATATCGTCCTTTAGCTCGTCGGTAAAGAGCATGCCGACAATCGACGCACCCGTATTGACTTGAACCTGGTTGTTGGCGGGATCGACCGATGCCAATATATTCTCAACTGCTTGACGCGACTGGATACGACGCATCTTAATGGACAACACCGAATCAATATGCGAGTCGACATCGGATCCGCTGCTGTCGTCTTCTAGCTCCTTGGCAATCTTTTTCTTGGCTTCTTCAACCTCTTTTTGGCGACGTTTCTTTTCTTCGTCTTCTTCTTTACGTTTGCGATCACGTTCTTCTTGTTGTTTGCGACGACGATCCTCTTCCTCTTTGGCACGGTCGTCTTCCTCCTTGCGCTTTCTCTCACGTTCCTCTCTACGTGCTTTTCTCTCATCCTCTGCCTTTTTAATGTAGTCTTCCAACTCTTTCTTTTGCTTTTCTTCACGTTCGGCACGTTCCTTTGCACGCAACTCCTTTCGCGATGCTCTTTCATCTTCTTTCTTTTTTCGTTCCTCTTCTATCTTTTGCTCCTCTTCTTCCTCTCTCTTTCTTCGTTCCTCTCTTAATCTACGTCTTTCTTTTAATCTATCGTCATCGTCCATCTTTATGAAAATATATTAAACTTTTTCAAAAAGTTTAATAAAACTCTAACTTCTTCTTCTTCTCTGTTATATATATATATATATGTAAATGTATATTGTTTAAAATATACTATATATATATATGATAAACAAACAAAATTAATATGTTGTTGCTTTCAATTTCAATTATCAACCAAACACATATCATATTATGTGTATATTCCCATCGTGTTGGGTTGATTGTTTGTTGTTTGATTGATTGATCTTTACCTTTTTTTGTTTAGTAGACAATGAATGGGTATGATGATGATGATAATAAATAATAATAAATAATAAATATAATCTAATCTAATTAATCATCAAATATCTTGTATATATTCCTTGTTGCAGCTGCTGCTTCTAATAATAAATAATTGTTGTTGTTGTTGTTGTGGGGGGGATGCAAGTGTATCTGTCTCTCTCTATTCTCTCTACAGTTAACAATTGAATGAATGAAAAAGATTATTAGTTTCAAAAGCACTCTAATTATAATAATCATCTCAATGATTTGCTGCTGATGTTTTTTTCTTTACTTACCCCTCAGTCTAAATATAAATATACAAACTCTATCTATCTTTATATATCACTGTTGTTGAATATATCGTCGTGTATATGAGATGAGAGAAAGAGCTCTTCTTCTTCTTCTTTTGTATAGATTTTGGTTGGTTATGATAATAATAAACAAAAAGAGAGCTGGTTACTCTTCCTTGTTGTTGGTTGACTTTGCCTCGATGAGAATGAGGCAGAAAAAAAAAAAAAAAAAAAAAAAAAAAAACAGCTTTATTTCAAAAAGACGGTTGATCAGAACCATGGTTTATGTAGTCTGTACTATACTCCTCGTCTAATCAGATTGGCAAAGAATAGTCTCTCTCTCTCTATTTATATTTACACATCATATCTCGCACAAAGATTTCTTCTTGGAGGATAGTGGATTTGACTCAAGTCAAACAACAAGTACTTGATACCAAAAATGAAATTTACTCTACTTTGCCTTTTGTGTGCATAACAGATATTTATTATTACTCTGTTTTGATCAACCCAGGCTTGCAGGATCGTCCGACCTCTTTCAGACGGGACATGTTATGACATGACGTACATTGATGAAAATGGAATGAATGAATGTGTCGTTCATCTAGCACCATCCATCAATCTAAAGAGGTAGGCAGGGCAGCAGCAGAGGCAAGCTCTCACCCAATTGAGCGAATGAGAGAGGATAGAGGGTAATGATTGGCTGGGTTTGAATACACACACAAGCGTCTTGTCTTTTCATTCTTCTCTTCTCCCCCCCTCTCCTCTATTCTCTTTTTTATTGAATTTTATCTAGTTTTATTCCATTTAATTTATAATTTAATTGGGACAAATACAATTAATTCAATCTAGAACAATAATAACAACATTTACTCTACAACAATCAATCATAATAATGATAATGATATTACATTGTTATCAATCTGCACTTTAATCTCTCTCTCTCTCTATATATATATATAACAAACATTACCCTTAATTATTTCTTCTACTTGCAAAGTAATAATAATCTGAATAGATAGCTTACAGAGTGCCTGACGTCAGGTAGAGTGTTGTTGTTGTTGTTGTTGTTTGGACCAACAATACAACATGGGAGTCAATGAAAGTAAACAAAGTTCATCGTCTTTGACTACTTCATCTTCATCCTCTTTTTCACTACCCAATACACCAAGAGAACGAAACAATAGTGTATCTTCCATAAACTCTTCTTTTTCAACCAATACCACATCTAGTCAAAGACACCATCATTCCTTTTCAATCCATCCATCATCAAATACAATACCGTCCTCCACCAATCATACAAACCAATTAACAAGTAGTCATGGTAGTGGAAGTAGCCTAGAAACTGCAACAGGTGGATTTGGACATGGATTTGAATCAAATACCTCTTCAACTTCCTATGATACTACAAACTCTTCACATCACCATTTTGATAAATTGTCTCCACCTCGGTCACCAGTATCTTCTATATCTTCATCATCGTCTTCATCTATAAATAAAAGTCAAGGTGGTGAATACTATTATGGCGGTGGCGGTGGTATAATAGGTAGTAGTAGTGGTGGATCACTTGGTTCAACAATGGAGATTTCCCCTTCAACACCACGTCTTGAACCCGAAGAATTAATGTTATTTAAATTACCAATTGTAAAGATCACAGAACACAAAATATTATTGTATTATCCAACCTTATTATTAATTTATCTGTTTTGATTTAGTTATCACCTCACATTCCAATTATAAAACAAGATTCATTATTGGATAGAATAGCAAATATAGCCGATAAACATCATCGACCTACATTACCAATGATCAATGTTGATCCAGTCGAGAGGTTACTATCTAGTTATGGATCCTACCTCAAATCAACTTCACATGAACTTGGTGATAAACAGGAATCACTAAACAAAAAATTAAAAGAAATGGAATTGTTGTGTTCAAAAGGTCATCAATTGATGCTTAAACATGTTACTCTAATTAAACAAACTACAAATATTTTACCTGATAGTATGAAATATAATAACAAAAAAACAAAACAATAATACTAATATATTAATACAATTTATTTCTATATAGTTAACAAATTAAATCAAAATATAAAAGAAACTCAAATGATTATGAATAATGTATTGGATACAATAGAAAGGTTGACAAGCATTTTACCAAATCATGATGAAGAATTAATAGAATTTTCACAATCACTTCAAAAGTCACCAATTAATAGACCAAATTTTCATTTTAAAGAACCAAGTGAATCAAATGTAAAAAATATAATAATAATAATAATACAAATTGGATTAGATTACTAAATCTATTTATTTATTTTATTTATATTTTAGTCAATATTAAAAAATGTAACAAATATTATAAAATTAAAAGATAAAAATAGTGTATGGTTAGATGAGATTATACCAAATATGGATAAAGTTAGAAATACAGGAAGAGTAAAGGAATTGGCTAGAAAGGGTATAAATGATAGTATTAGAGGCATGGTTTGGCAATCTGCAATAGGCAACAAATTAAATATCACTTTGGAATTGTATAATGAATTGATTGAAAAATCTATATTTTCAACCACTCTATCAGAAGATCAACAAAATTCTTTAGATCAAGATCAAAATCAAAATAATAATAATCAACAACAACAACAACAAAACCAAGAGGTAGGGGGGGAGGAAGAAACATATATTCTACCAGAAGATGATTTAAAATCTATAAAAGAATCGATTGTTTATAGTTTTACAATGATTGAAATGGATCTACCAAGAACCTTTACATCATTGTCTTTGGTAAATCGTGAATCATCAGAGTTTAGAAAACAACTAAAAAGAGTTTTAAATGCATATGCTGTTTTTGATGGACATGGTTATGTACAGGGTATGTCATACCTAGCCAGTAGCTTTCTCCTTCATATGGATGAATTTCAAGCTTTTGTTTGTTTTGCCAATTTATTAAATAATAGATTCCTACAATCCTTATTTCAATTAAATATGAGAGAAGTAAGTAAAATATATTATAATATATTTTATAAAAAACAAAAGATAACTAACTAACTAATCATCTTTTATTTCCTTTAGGTCGATAAATATATGAAAGTATTTGATAAAATGTTTTTATATTGTTTACCAAAATTACATCAACATTTTGAAGAGATTGGATTGATTCCACATTACTATTTAATTCAATGGTGGTTGACTGTATTTTGTCAATCGTTGCCATTGTCGGTTGCAACACGTATATGGGATGCAGTGGTCATTGAAGGCAACCTCTTTTTATTTGTTGCAGCACTTGGAGTATTGTATCATTTCCGTAGACAACTGGAAGAAAACAATTTAGAGTTTTGTAAAAACTTCCTTTCCAATCTTCCTGAAAGCCTTGATCCATCTGGATTATTTAAATCAATCGAAAATATCGATATATCCTATTGCTCTCATACTCTTGCTACTATGGAGGCTGCTGCCAACCATCACGAATATGAGTTGCAATCATTAAGTCATAATAATGATGAAGGCGACGGATTAGATGAAAATAGTCATCATCATTCAAATGAAATTTATCTTGATGATGAAGAAAGAGATTATAGTATTGGAGGTGGAGGACATGGAAATATTTTTCAAAGAGATTAATAAATATATACTTTTTTTTTTTTTTTTACATTGTACAATGTTGTGTATTATAATTAAATTAATTTTGTAATAGATTATTATTATTATTATCCAAAAAAGAGTAAAATAAATATTGTAAACCCCATTGACTTTTATTCCTTTAATAAAATGAACAAAAGAAAGAAAACACTGCACTCTTGTCTCTCTTACAAAAAAAAAAAAAACTTGAACTAGTTCGCGATCACAAACAAATAATAATAATAATAAATAGTTGTACACACATATATATATATAAACTTGATAACTAGATGGAATATATAGAGACCAATAGTAGTGGTAGAAGAAGTAAAAGTAACAGTAGCAGTTAGTTTGAGAGAGAGTTATGAACGAATGAATTACAACAACAATAACAACAATAACAACAACATATCATCCTTTAACAATAACTTTAATAATAGTAATAACAATAATATAATGTCACCAGTTTCAACAACATCTTCATCATCCCTTTCTTCATCTTCTTCATCAAACAATAATCATATGATGTTGGGTGTTGGGGGAGGAGGAGTAGCACCCAATTATGAACCAGACCCATCGATATTTCAATTCCTTCAAATGACCATCCAAATGATATACAAAACGAGGTCATCAATGTACAATCAAACCTATTATAATCACAATCATGTGATACCTCCTCCTCCTCCTCTTGTAGTAGATATTCAATCTTTAATCATGTCAAGTGATAATCCTTCTTCTATCAAATTATCATTAGATGATTTAGGTCAATATGCAAACAAAGATGTAAGATGACTATTGAATAATCATCTGAATTTATATTAATTTGTTGTTCTACTTTAGATACATATTGATTATGATGAAATCAATGAAATTAATCGTGATTTATATATATGGTGTGATCATTTGGATTCTACACCATTAAAATTGGATATCTATTCATGTACTAAACAACAACAAAAAGACAATAACAATTTAGATTATAATCATTCACTTTTGGAACGTTGGATATTTACATTCAAAGCAAATCCAAATTATAATAGCAACTTGATGAAATCACCAAATGAATTGACCATTTCCGATGAATTGACAAATATAATGACACCGTTGGGAGAAATTAATTTATCATCTCCAACCAAATCAATCAACAACAACAACAACATTTCATCAAATGGCAACCATGGTTCAATAGATTCGACACCATCATCATCGGCATCTTTAAAATGTCTTTATTATTTGTTGGCATCTATGCCATTATTTCAACATCTAAAAAGTCTACCTAGACAATTGACATCTGGTCCAAAATTAAAATATGGAACATCATCTCAATTTCCTCCTCCTTTTAATTTTAATCATCAAGATTGTATGTAACAAAGACTATACTTTTAAAAAATTTAAATTATTATTTGTACTCATACTTTCTTATTTTATATAGATAGAAATTTAATTAAAATGACCTTACCAATCTTTGAAAGTCCTAAAGGTACTATTTCAATATCTGTACATTTTTCAATATCACCAAATCTTGAATACCTTGATTCAAATACTTCATCATTGATTATATATCCATCAAGATCCTATTCAGTTTTATCATGTCATTCTTTAAATAATAGTAATAATAATAATAATAATATGACAATTCCTACAAATACTACTACGACTACTATAGTAAGTCCAATGTTATCATCTCAATCATCTTTAAAAACTCCACCATTAGAATCACAAAAAATTAAAACACCTCCCAATGGATCGTCACCTCATTCAACATCGCCATCTTCAGCACCGATTTCAATTCCCAATCGAACACCAGTAGGCAAATCACCGAGTAAACAAACGGGATCCTATTCAATTAGTAAATCCCCCTTTTCACTCACTGAATCATCTCCATCTACCCCTCCTCAACTCTCACCACACCAAAGTAAATATGGTAGTCACCCTTTTTCACCAAACAGTCCATCGTCGTTTAGTTTTCGAACACTTCCTTCGCCGCCTTCCTCACCAATCCGTGTGGGACATCGGCCACTGTTTGCTTCGATTGACAATGCTGGTCAGATCTACAACTCACCCAACAGTCTGAGTGGATTCAATGGGCATGGTCTTCCCATACAGATGATCAAAAAGAGTAATAGTCAAGAATACGTTGGTAACAATAGTTTTGGAAGTACTGGTACTAGTAGTACTGGATTGGCATTTGGATCCTTTCAAGATTCAATACTCTCTGGTAACATGTCCAATACACCATCGACCGTATTTGATGGGTATCTGGCCAACCTTGGGGTGAGTGGTAAAGATTATCTACCACCACACAAAAAGATTCCATTCTCTGCCATCTTCTATCATGTCGATCATGATATACCCTATGTAGCAACCATTGACCTTGGTCCAAAGGATTTTAGGGTTCCTCAAAAAGGAATTATTCAACTCACACTTTTCAATCCTCACAACACACCAATCAAAACCTTTCTTGTAAATTTCGATTTGACCAACATGCCTCCTGAAACTAAAACATTTATTAGACAAAGAATTATTTCAACTCCAGACACTACGACTAGTAGTTCTCCAATTCAAACTAGTAATGGAAATGGTAATCAAAATTTATTAAAATATGCAATTCATTTGCGATTCACAAGTCCAAAGAGAAAGAAATACTATTTGTACAAGGATATAAGAGTAGTATTCCCTAATAGATTACCAGATGAGTTGGATAGGTTAAAGGTTGTCTATGAATACCCTCCAGATCCAACTTATTTTTCAATAAATTAGTTAAAATTTTGAACAATATATATAAAATTAACAATCAATTTTGAACACATTTATTTATGAATTGAGCTTGGACTAGTTTATTCCTTTGAACACCACATTTGTAGAACCAGATAAGAATTGGTTGGTTTGTTGTTTGATAGATGTGTACCTACCGTGAATAATCTACCACGAGGCCAGCACATCCAAAAATTTGCACCCTACGAAAAGGAACTCCAAATATCGCCTCCTATTTTGGCGATATTTAGAACTCCTCTTCGAGGGGCGCAATACGAGAAATTCTTTTCATTTTAAACGATAAAGATTCTTCTCTATGCCTTTGATTTCATGGCCTTTTCACCAAGAACCTTGACATCCATACTCTGATTGGCATAGCTATACTCGATCAGCTTCAAAGTATGCAACACCATGAGCATAGAGTAGAGCTGGACGGCAAACAGTCATAATTGGTACTGGTTTCCAAATAGGTGGCTTGCAACTTTGTTGGAGGTTCATTAAACATTGATTTAATCTCATCTTTCTTTAATCCAATTCTAATTGAATAGATATTGGTTTGTTGATTGACTTTGTACCTTTTTATTATCAAATTCCAAAGCTTGCCACTAGCAAACATAAATCCTTTGATATCTCGAAAGTTGCAGACCAATGCTTTGCAAGCGATATCCTGGTAGTGAATGGCATCTCACCTTGAGCAAAGAGTAGACCAAATCGATTTACAAATGATTTACGTCCAATTGGTCTATCTCTTGTTGGGTTGGTTGATAATGTTTTCCATAGAAAATTCTATAATTCTTGGTCCACTTTAAGAATAAAAAAAAAGAAAGAATTGTTTTACAGAACTCTTGGGTGATGTGTTGGGGATTGTGTTATCTCGGCCAAGATGGACAAGGTTAAAGGCAACAACAAAAAAAAATGTCCTGCAAACTATTTGCAAGCCTAGAACCGTTGGTTTTTTTTAGATTACAAGAATTTTAAATAATTTATTTTATAGATTTGTTTGTGTTTTGTGGTTTGGGTCACTCTTTGAAGGCTCTAGATACGTGGCATTGAAGATATAGTTACCAGCCAACGGTTCTAGGCTTGCAAATAGTTTGCAGGACACCATCCTTTACGTCCTCGCAGGTCACACTCCCACCATCCATCAGACTTTTGAACAATGGTAAGGACATCACCTTCCTTGAAGGTCAATTCATCCTGGCTGGTGGCATCATAGTCATAGAGAGCCTTGGCAGTTGGAAGCTTTGGTGCAGCAGGTTTGGCTGCTGGTGGAGCTGGTCTTGGAGCACCACCACCTTGTTGAGGACCTCCACGGCCTGCACCACCTTGTTGTGGCATTCCACGGCCAGCACCACCTTGTTGTGGCATACCCATACCACGTCCGGCACCACCTTGTTGTTGTTGAGGCGTACCCATACCACGACCAGCACCACCTTGTTGTGGTAAACCTCCACGACCCATTGGATTACCTCCAGCAGCGCCACCACCCATTTGAGGGACTGGCATTTGACGAGGAGCTTGTTGAGCACCTCCTTGTGGAGCACTACTTCCACCTTGTTGAGGCATACCTCTTCCTCTTCCAGCTTGTTGTGGTTGTTGACGAGGAGCCGACTGAGCCATTGAATTTGGATTGTAATTACGAGGAGTAGAGTCGGTGGATGCTGGGAGACCAGTAGCGACACCAACGGTCAAACCCTTGCCACCCTTCTTGATGATGGGGAGTGGGTTGGCCATTTCGTTTTTGGAAAAAGAGATACCATGTTGAGCATTCTTTTTGAGGGTGTAGTTGATATTGTCAGAGAACTGGACGTTCAAGGCCGAGCCAGTCAAGATCTTGTAGTACTCGACGAGGACGATGATCAACTCTGTCTTTTTGTCGTTCTCGATGACCTGGTCAAACTCGGGCAGACCAAAGACGACGTAATTGTCAGACAATGTCGAGATGCTGACGGCACGAATGTCACGGAGGGCGACACGACGCAGCAGAGTGAATATTTCCTGTTTCTTTTTGATGGACTTTTCGACAAAGTAGATGGCTTGGTCAGAGGCGACAAAGATGAGTGGCTTGGTCTTGGCACGACGATCGACCTTGGTGACATTGTCGGCAAACACAATACGCTCCTTCTTTTGGGCATTGTCCATGGCAGCTTGGACACCAAATTGATTGTCAAAGTCGATATAGTCGGCGGTGAACTTTCGCTCGATCGAGTTACGTTGACGTTCCTTTTTGTCCTTGAACATGTGAGCGATTTGAGCACGTTGTTCGAGCGAGTGCTTCTTGGCCTTCCAGTTACGGAATGCCTTTTGGATACGTACGACGCAGTCATAGTCTTTACGATCGAGCATTTCTTCCAAGTGGAAGACAGACTCTGGATGACGAACAAAGATCTTGGTGACACCTAGTTGCCATTGACTGGCGTCAAGGTTGAGGTCTTGACAGATAGTCTTGGCACCTTCCTTGGCATCACCCTTCCATTCACCCCACAGACCCCAAGTCTTGCTTGAAAGCTTCTTGTAACGACGGAGGAATCTTTCAAAGGGAGCACGATAGGCAAAACCGGCACGACGGACACGAACGTTTTCCAAGAGACCGAGGTATTGTACTTGATGACGTACACGACTTCCTTCCCAATCCTTTGCCTTTTTAGTTTCATTTGGTTTGATACAACGAATGTAATGTGGGGTACAGGCAGAGAGAGCCTTCATCAACTCGGCAGCCGAGTTTTTAATCTTGAATCCTGCAGTAGTTGGACGTTTCTTTTGGAGTGATCCAGTATCCTCTGGGAACAACGAAGTGAGGAAAGCCATTTTACTAGTTTGAATGGCTTCAATGAGATCGAAAAAGAGAGTATCTTTGTTCTTGTCAGAGAAACCTTCGGCTTCATAGGTTACCTCACCGGCATAATGTTTGACGGCAAAGGCACCAGTCATACAACGCCAATGCAAATGACCGTCATAGACACCGGCCATCTTTTCAAGGAACTTTTGATCGGTACCAGTCGATTGAGCGTGCAAGGTCGAGCAGATATCATCGAGCAGCGAAAAGATACCTGGTGGTTGTTTACCTTCGATAAGGTCACACACAATCTGGTTGTTAAAGTACTTGATTGGTTCCCATTTAATACCTTCCTTTACATATTCTTCTTGTTCAGCTTTGAGTGTCAACTCGATAAAGAATTGTTGCAACTTTTCATTGACAAAGTTGATACAAAATTGTTCGAAACCATTACGTTCGAAAATTTCAAAACCAAAAATATCCAAAATACCAATTACATTTGCAAATGGTGATTGGTAATAGGAAAGAGCTACATTTACACGTTCAACCAACCATGAAAACATACGATCATAAATGGTTCTTGCTAATGCATCTCTTGCTCCTGATGCTTGTCCTACCTAAAAAGAAAATAAACAGAGTATATTAGTATATTGATAATATCGTATTATTATTTTTGTTTTCTATATTTTCTATTTACATTTTGAGGAACATTATAAGTTGAACGACGATTACCAGTACCACCACCAGCACCACCAGTATTGATAACACGGAAAAGAATGGCATTTTGGAGAGTGGCAGAATCAATACAAAGCATAGAGGCAGCGAGTTCGAGAGCATTTGGATCATAGACGACGGCATTACCTTTATCATCTTCAATAAAGTAAATGTTACCAATGTGCAAGACACAGGCTACAAGTCTCATGAGAATGCTTTGTTCTTCGGCAGAGAGACCAATGACCTCCATGGCATGACGGACTTCACGATAGTCGGCAGCATCATCTATACCATCGACAGTATAACATTCACTTTGATTGAGATAGTAGAATTGATCTGGTGATGACAATACATAATCACGTTTCTCTTGTGCAGAGGCACCAGCCAACAATTGGTAGAAAATATGGAAATTACGTTCACCATGATTTTGATAAACTACACGCGACTTTTCCAACAAATAATTATAAATTTTACCTCCAACTAAAAAAAAAGTAAAAAGGAAACGTTAATAAATAAACTATTTACTGGTATCAATTTAATGTGTGTTACTTTACCTGGATCACCAGCCTTATCAAATTGAATTTCAAAATATTTTCCAAAACGACTTGAATTGTTGTTACGGAGTGTCTTGGCATTACCAAAAGCTTCCAACAATGGATTGGATTCGAGAATAACATGCTTTACATATTCTACCTTTTCAGTACCTCCTGATACCTTTGAAATATAATTCATAATCATTTTGGCTGCTTCAGTCTAAAAAATAGTGATATGGAAATATAAATTGTTAATTGTTGGTTCCCAGCTTTTTCTTTTCTTTTTGTTTTGTTTAATTTTTACCTTTCCAGCACCAGATTCACCAGAAATGATGACACATTGATTTTCTTGATCGTTTTTCATTGCTCTATAGGCAGATTCTGCTAATTGATAGAGATGTGGTGGTACTTCTTGAGCATGTTTACCTCTGTATGCATCTACATAATCGTCACCTGCATTACCCAAATTTCTAAATGGATTGACTGAAATCAATACAGGTCCAATGTTTGTCTATAAGCAACAAAAAAGTAAAAAAGAGGAGGAAGAAAAGGTGGTATGAAAAATGAAAAATTAATTTTTTTGTTTGTTGAAAAAAGTCACGCGATTGATGATCCTCATCGTGCTGTAATTATCTCACGGTGATAAAAAAAAGCAAAGATGGTAGTGGTGGTACAGTTACTTGTTACTGTTTCTATTACTACATACATAGATGAAATCATTCATATAACGCTTCTTTAAGTTCTCTACGATTTCCTCTTCAGAGATCTTGGGAAGCATAACAAGATCATCTGTACCTTGTTTTGCTTGTACTTTTTTAGACTATATATATTTATTGATATAATTAAGAGGTAGGTAGATAATGAGTGATTAATATTATCATCTTCCACCACTTGTCTTTAAACAACATACCATGATTAAAGTTTTTTTTTAAATAAGTTTTGTTTTTTTATACAAGTACAATAAGAAGTGATACTTTAGTGGAAAGGAATAATAAATAATGATAATAATGGTACAATATTAAATAATAATAAATAAATAAGAGTGTGTGATCGAATTTCAACAAAAATCACAATCAACTGAGGGTGTTTGTTCGTTGGGTAATATCGAGTGTGTGAGTGTGTTTTGATTGGTTGACTGGTATCCTAAATTTTGATCAACCTTGTATCTTCTCTCTCTTTCTCTCTCTTTATGGTTTTAAATAAATATTTAAACCAAAAAAAAAAGATATATTTATATATATTATTACAACAATAGAAACAGAAGAGATTCCCTCCACATGCACCACAAAATCAGACTTGAGAGAGTGAGCATACCGACTGGTCAGCAGAGTGAAAGCTCTCTCTTCAAAAAAAATAAAATAATTGTTTTTTTCATTGAACCATTGGATCATTGGGTGGGTTTCTTTTCCTCTTTCAAAAAACAACATTGTGGCATAGTCCACAAAACAATAAAAATCTGCTTGCTGGATGGGTCAGACCGAAAGTGAACTAAACCTACTCTTGTCATCTGATCAACACAGGATAAAGTTATATATATGTACAGAATAGTATTATTATTTTAGATCAGAGCTATTTTATTCTCTTCGACCAAATATCCAATCACTCCATATTTCAATAAATAAATCTTTCCTTGTTCCATTTCAATTACATCACTAGATTATATATATAAATATAGGGTTAATATATAATATCTATTTAATTCATTTTCATTTCCAGAACTTGAGCTTACTCATCAATTTCAATTTGTCCAACATTACCATTCGGTGTACAAAAAACATAATTATCTGTAATTGGTTTTTGACCTAAAAATAGAATTAGAATTGGATATCTTTATCTTTATCTTTATCTTTATATTATTAACATACAAGATTTATCAGAATCTACTCTTTTCAAATCATCACCAAGATTTGATAAAAATGATTGATTAAAATGATTTTTAACTAGATCATTGTATTTGGTACAATAGATGATCTCAAATTCAGACATTCTTTTTCTTGTTTCTTCTCTCATTAATAAATATTCATTATATCTTTCAATCTAAAGGTAAGGTGATTAGATGTGAGAGAGAGAATAAGTAACCTATTGTGTCGCTTTCATTCATTCTTTTACCTTTTGTAATCTTGTTCTTAGATATGATCTAACTATATATTTGATTCTTTCTTTCTCCATTTCATATATATGAACTACCAATGGATCAGAAGTGATAGTAGCCAAGATATCTTCACGTTCTTGCATTTTAGATGTTGCAATACCTATTTTCTCATTGTCATAGGGTAATAGATCAGGTGAAAGTCTTTCATTAATCCAAAGTTGTTTAATATCTTGTAATAAGTTTCCTATTACTTCTTCTTCTTCTTCTTCTTCTTGTTGATTGTTATCTATATTATCCATCTATATTATCTATCTATCTATCTCTTTTAAAAACTATCTGCAAATTTGTTTTTTTAAATTTCCCTCTCAAAATAATGAACATCCAGACGTCAATATAATGAACTTTTAAAAAAATAATTAATTAATTTTTATTTATTTATTAATTACTATTATAATATTCCAAAGAAATGATTGTGAGACAAGTACAAATGATGATTACCAAAAGAATGATACCAACAAATAATAAAGCTCCAACTATAACTAAAAGATGAAAGGTTACTTGTTTGACCAATTCTTCATCTGCAGTCTCTGCTGTGATTTGTGAGAAATCAAAACCAGATCTAGGTAAAAACTCTAATAACTTGTTCTTTAATTGATCATCAATTGATAAAAATGGTGGAAACATTATATGATTATTTTGATTATTATTATTACTATTATTATTTACATCTTGTTCTGGTTGTTGTTGTTCTGATTGATTATTATTATTAATATTATTATTATTAATATTAAATCTACTAAATTCTGGTGTACTATTATTACTATTATTATTAAAATGGTGACTATTATTAAATCTATTTACAATTTGGTTTTGAATATGATTATTTTGATTATTATTATTAATTAACAAGGATGAAAGAGATAATGGTTGTTGTTGAGGGTTTGGTGATTGATTTTGTTGTTGATGTAAAAATTGTTGATAAATATTCTTTAATTGATTTTCCAATATAAATGGACTATTACTACTATTATTTTGATCACTATTTCCATATGTTGGAGTTGTACAAGTTTGAATTTGTTGTTGTTGTTGTTGTTGTTGTTGTTGTTGTTGTTGTTGTTGTTGTTGTTGATAATCTCTTGGTTGAATTGAAAATAATTTTGAAGCAGATTCTTTTACAGCAGATTGAATTTCTAAAAGGAATATTTGATATGCACCTACCAATAGATAATCGATATGATGTATGGTCCAATTATCGGTTGGCAGTCTTTGTAAAAAGATTATTAGGTCAGAGAATTCCTTTTTGACTAGAGAAGGAACCCATTCCTTTGTTGTAATGAGTGCAGCACACACATAGATGTGGAAATAACCAAAATTTGGTCCATGAGAGATATAACTATCCCATAGTCTTGTACATAGACTATATTCAAATTCTCTTGATAATAGACAGATCATCCATCTCAATGAAAAGAGGATAAAATCACATCCTTCAACTTGCAAATGATTTGTTAGTCCTGGTTCTTTCAACTTTACCAATTTTTGTAATTTCATTGCCATTCTTTCTAATCCTTCATGAAAATTAATAAATCTTTTCTATAAAATAAAAAGATTAATAATTGAATCTATTTTCTGTTTCATTTTCTTTTTTTTTGTTACCTTTAAATTATTCATTAAAAGTGATAAACACCAAAATGTATCAGCTTCAATTTTATCCAATATATCATTTGTTAATTCATTAATTGAACCTCTTGGATCAATGTATTGAGATAGAAATACCAATAAAAAGATAGATGGAATATCATTTAGACCTTGAAAGTAAGAGATGAGAGGATTCGATTGTGACCAAACAAATAAAATTCTTTCCAAAACTTTGTGTAATATAGTACTCTTGAATAGAGGAGTTTGACCAAATCCTCTTGGAATGGTTCTTGGTACATCCAATCGAACTTGATTCAACAATGCCTTATCTTCTGTTGACATTTCTGCAAGGTAAAATTTGTTTACCAATTGTAAATATTGGTTTCTTTTATCATGTAATCTTTTGTTATGTAATCTTTTTTCCAATGGTAAATAGTTCTAATAAAAAGAAATGATTAGTAAAAGAATACAAGAGTATTTGCTGAGTATTATTGATAAATACTAATAATAATTTCCAAACCAATGGTCTATATTCTGGTGGTACACCAGTCCAACCTAGAGCTCTCAACTTATCGATATTGATAACAGGTTGTTCTAAAAGAGTTTTAAATTGATGTGCATTTGTATTTCGAAGTGGTGTAAAGCTATTCTCTAATCCCCATAATGGAGGTGTATATTCATCAGCAATCTTTACTATTCTCTTTTGTGGATAAAGTTCATGTGTTATATCAATATCATCATCGTCACTTATTTTATCATGCGACAATGATGATGATGACTTTAGTTTATCACCTATATCAAGTATTGCCTGAATAGCATGTGGTGGGAATGCCTATAAACAAAAATAGTATAACAAGAGTAAAAAGTGTTAGCATCAACAAACAATCCCTATTCTACTCTACTATATACACTCTATTCTATTCTTACCAATGCCATTGTTGTTGTTAAACGTTAAAAATAATAATAATAAATAAATATTATGATGATAAAAGATAGATATAAATAACAATAGTACTACTACTACTACTAATGTAAAGAGATGGAGTAATACTGAGAGTGAGCGGAGTGTTGTTTTATTATTATAAAAAAAACAAAAAAGACAGAAATATTTTTAATAATTTAAATTTTCTCGTGTTCGTGGGAAACAACCGTCTTGTGTGTGTGTTTATTTCAATCCATTGTTTATAACGCTGGTTGTTGTAAATAAATTTTAAATGGTTCTACCAAGTTTAATAAATTGGTATAGGATTGGATTTGTTGAATGTCTACACCAAGTTTAGATATGAGTTGACCGTATTTAACCACATCCAAATAGAATTGTAATGATAGTTTCTCGACATTGGACTCTGCAGCTGCTGGAGCACTGTCTGTCTTTTTCCCTTTCATTCTTCTTAGTGTCTCATTCAGCTTGGTCACTGATGACAATGTTTCATTGGCATTGGCAAGGAATTGCTCAGAGACTGGTGCCAATATGGTTTTGACCCACTCTACTCTAATGTGTGATGGTATCATCATGGCTTTGTTATTTAAAAAGGTTTCCAATGGATTTAATATCATTGATACATATTGTGATGGTGATGTTGGAAACTATAGGAAAATAATAAATATTATTAAAAATGATTCCTATTTTATATTTAATATTTTAAATACCTACAGGTTTGTTTGTTAATCTATATTGTGAACTTAGAGTATTAATAAATAATAAACTTTCAGAACATTTAATTTTAAAATGACTGGTTATAATAGTATCCAATGATGATAGTAGTTTTTGGATACTTTGTGTAGCATCTTTGATACCATTTGATACTATATCTTCAATTTCTTTGGATGGGTTTCTGATTGTATTTAAAACTACACTCTTGTAATGTACAGATATTTTTGATGATAATTTAAGTAAATCTGAATATAAATAAACTAAACTTTCTTGAATTGGTACTTGTTTGGCTGGTCTTGTTGTTGTTGTTGCTGATGGAGTTGTTGTTATTGTAGTATTTGTAGTAGTTGATGTATTGGTATTATCTTTTTTCTCTTCTTCTCCTTCTTTTTTAAGTGTATTCAATAGAGGAGTAATCAAATCTTGTATATTGTATTCATATCTAGCAATCATTTGTAAAAACATTTTAAAAAATTTAGATGATAATTCATAAATGAATATATTCTTTGACCAACATTGATCCAAATTTTGACATAATGAAAATGATTGTGGTATATAATAATCTAAATAAAAATATTAAAAAAAAAAGAATTGATTAATATTTATCTATAAATATTTGATTATAATATTCTGATTTACCATTTTTTTCAATTGGATTTAAATGAATAGTTGAAATAAAATCATTGAGGGGATGTTGAGAAAGTTGAGTTTCAAAAGAAGATGCAATGTTTGAGAAACAAAGTTGGAAATATACAGCAAAATTCCATTTTTTGAAAATGGATTGATAAGAGGGAGAGTTTCGTAGTTGAATGACATGTGTAGGTGATGGACACATATCCTCCAATGCAGATATAAATTGATTGGTTTGATTATAGGTACGGAAAAATAAATCGGGTATTCCTGTTGCAAAGATTTGTCTAAAAAATGCAATCTGTTCATCAACCTCTGGTAATATAGATTCACTTATAAAATTATATGATAGTGCATTGGTTTGTTGTTCTTGTTGTTGTTGTGATTGATTTTGATGATAATAATAAGTATTTATACTATTACTAACCATAAACAACTCTGAACAATTTTTTTGTAAATAGGATATAATATTTGAATAAATACTTGATAATCCTTCACATGATCCTTTTAAACCATTTTCTAAATTTTTTATAGTTATCGTCTAAAAAAAAAAAAACAATAAGAATGTTAGTTTTTTCCCTCTTTCTTTCTTTTTTTTTTTTTGATTACATACACTAATTAAATAAGGTTTAATAATTGATTTCCTAACAATTTTATAAGGAATATGAATCTTTTTCAAAACTTGATAAGTTTTTAAACAATTTGATAATATTTCAACCGATGATAAGTTTCCAGACTTTACACTTGTTTTCAATGCCTCTTGAAATATTGGATCTATATTTAATTCAATCTTGTTTGATAATTCTACTACTTTCTAATAAATATGAAAATATTAATACATATATGTAAGTGTATATATATGTCAATGTTGTTATATTACATACAAGTTGTAAAGTTTTAAATAATTTTAAACTTGATTCTTCTGGTGCAAGAGATTCAATTTGACGTTGAATTTGGAAAAAGGAATTTGATATACGATCAATGACCAACTCTACTGATAATGTAGAATGTAATGAAGATGGTGGTGAGAATAGAGCCATGTTTGATGGTTGTTGTTGTTGTTGTTGATCATTTTGAGTAACCATTGCCAACTGTTCAAATAAACCATTGATATTTGAAATGGAATCAGACACTGATATATAAAGTTGAAGTAACTTTTTAGAATGATCAATCTTTTTCTTTTCCTTTAATTTATCTTCAACACATTCTCTAACCTTGTTAATATCACCTTTAAAATTCTACAACAATTAAACAAATGTATATTATTAATAACTGTGACTACTACTATGACGATTAACCATATTATTATATCAACCTACACTAATTTCAGATTTAATACTTGATAATGTATCATTAAACTCATTTAAACCAACATCTATACCAGCCAAAGATGAAGAAAGACTAAAGAATGAATGATACTCTTTGTTGATGAGTTCAACCAACTCTGCATCCAAATGACGAGTGTACTCTTTGAGATCCTTTTGAACACTCTCCAAAGGTACACGTTTACGACAATCGGCAATAAAAGAGTCTACCTTGAATGACTCTGATGTGAATACCTCCTTACTAAAACATAATGGTTGATATCCATTACCAAATGATGTCGAAGAAGATGAAGATGGTCCAGTCATTGATGATAATGATAATGAGGATGATGATGATGTCAATCCTCCTCCTCCTCCTCCTCCATGATCAAAACTATAACTCCTATTCATCCTCTACTCTACTCTATACTATAATATAAAAAAAGTTTACTCGTATGATTTCTTTCAAGTAGTTGTTCAGATGATTCATCTTTTTTAAAATTTAATATCACGGGTTGAGGAAAAGTCAAAGTGCCGATGTGGATGATGAAAAAGGAGGGTTTAAAAGCACTCTAGAATACTTCTTCTTTATTCATATTCTTATTCTTTCTATTTGTATTATTATTAATATTTATTATTCATTTAAATCAAGATTATTATTTATTATTGTTGTTGTATTATATTGTTCAATTAATTTTTTAAAAGTAAGGTTATCATAGATGTAGTTAGACTTTAGCTTTAGTTGTTTATGTACTAATTAGATTTTGTTAATAGTGGATGTAAATATAGATTCAAATAGTATACCTGCTACTTCTACTACTAGACATATTAGTTTGAGAGATTTCAAGAGATTGCCAATCGATATATCAAAGGATGGATTGATGGACCCAGTCAATATTCCTAGCAAGCTAAAGTTGTTCCAGGCTAGCAGCGAGAGTGAGGGGGCCGGTTCACTCTTTGGATACATTCAATACAACATATTTGAAGGCTTTAGAGTGAGTGCACGTAGTTTGGACAACCGCATCAAACTGACACATGACATTACTCAATTTAGCACACCCATCAAGGGCTGGATAGCCAATGGTGAGAATCTACGCGGTGTCAATGAAACCGAGGTGGGTGCATCCATCGACAACCTCTACAGCACCTACAAGACACGATCGGGTAGTGTGTTCCAAGTAGGGTGCAGTGGAGGTTTGAGATTGGTCGGCGACATTGACACAAACAAGTTGAATAGCGATAATGGCGGCACCTATCTCTTTAATAGAGTACGTCCATTCATATCGCCAAAATTCACATACTTTGGCAAACTTGGTTGGATTCATGTCAATACCCCAATCAACCGAAAGGGTAACCGTGTCGAACTCAAGCACAACTTTTTCTTTAATGTCAGAGGTAACACTATCCTCTCTGGACTCGAATACACCACCTCGCGATTCGACCGTTATCTCCGCACCAGTCCCCAACTCAAATCAGTCTTTTCCCAACAACCACCAGATGATGTCAAAGAGACTATTCACTACAAACTGGTCCATGTCGCCAGTTCCACTGAACTTGGTCTTCGTCGTATTAGAAAGATCTATGGCGTCGGTAAATGGCAAATAGTACTTGGCATTAAACACAACATCCAACAAAGTGTTTTTATCCAATGTCTTTTTACTCATACAATAGGTGATAAAACTACTTTTGGTCTAAGTTTAGGTTTGGATTTATAAAAAACAAACAAACAAACAATTAACAAACAAACAAATATTAACAGAGAATGTTTAAAATAAACATAAAAATATATTTTTAAAGAAAGAAAGAAATCCCAAGATATTTGATTTGTTTGTTTAATAAATAAGTTGGCCCAAAATAATGGACCAAAAGGCGTATAATATTATAATATTTATTATTGTTTTATCCTATTATTCCATCCATTGGAGGTATTAAACGGAAAACATTTTCTTGCATTGTTTTTTCAATTAAAAGTAAATGTGAAGGTGAACGTTTTTGACTTAAATTAAAATGATTACTATTACTATTATTATTTTGATTATTATTATTATTGAATCCTCTTTTTATAGATGGTACATGAATATATTCTTTTCTTTGTAATTTGATGCGACGGAAAATGGTATCATAATCTTCCTTTTCACCAATTAATTCTGGTGCCTTTTGTTCTGATGATTTTTCATCATCTGATGATGAACAACAATTATCACAATTATCATTATTATTATTATTATTATTATTACTATTATTATTAATATTATTATCACTATTTATCAAAATGATTTCATCATCTTCATAAATACTTCTTTTTCTTTTTTTATCAAGAATTGATTCTTGTTGTGTACAATTATTATTATTATTATTTTCGGTGATGATATCTACATTATTATTATTATTAGTATTATTATTTTGTTGTTGATTATTTACAGTATTATTATTAAATTGTTGTTGTAGTTGGATATTTTTTGGATTGAAAGAAAAGAATATTTCGTGGTCAATCTCATTGTCAACATCGGGAAAATGGTCGATCTGATCGAGATCCAGGAACAAGAGAGGAGGCTGGTCGGCAACAAGTCTTCTCTGCTCTAGTTGATGCCTGGTGGTAAAGATACAAGTTGGATGTATCAACGTAAAGGTTTCAATCTCTGGTATTAAAGAATCCATCGTTTGACTATGTATGTATGTGTGTAAAACAATTTTTTGAAAAAATTGTGTGTATGGGGGTGGGTGTGTGTGTTTTGAAATTGTTGAGCGAGGGGGGAATTGATTGTTGAGTGGTACTCTAAACTTGGGTATATTGGTATAATCACTATAATATACAATGTATTATATGATTACTAAGAGAGAGAGAGAGAAGAAAAAGAATAAAAACTAAAATGTTAATTATATAAATAATATTATTTATCTCTTTGAAGAATATCTATCTATGTGATCGGTGATGAGAAACAAAACAAGTGAATTGGAATTGGATGGGGAAGAAGATTATAAACACACCACGAAAAGGGGGCAATGCCGCGAGGAGACGGGACCTGACCCTGTTTTACAAGGCAAATATAATATATTTTTTTTGTGAACAGGGTCGGTTGGGTGCACGCATCTCCCCGTGCTGATGGATGGCGATGCAAAAATCAGCGGCAGCTCGCGATGAATCATCCCAAGACACGGATGTCACGCGTTTTGCAACGAATCGGGGAATTGACCAATTGCTGACTTTTAGGCAGAACTGGGAAATAAATCGACAATCTAATTTTTCCTTTGCCTTTTTTTTTTTTTTCCTTCTGCACAAACGATCGAGATATTATATTATATAGATACGGTATTTGATATTATATATATGGTTTGATAATTATGAGATATGTACTTTTTATATGTAGTTGTTAACCACAATCTTTTACTTTTTTCTCTGACTGTCTAGAAAACAAAAAAAATATACAAATATATTCGAAACTGGAATATATAATAAATAAATATATATGTGTAGACAAATTAATTAATGATGTTTTTTTTGGTTGTTGTATTGTTATCGAGCGCTGTTGTTGTTGTTGATGATATAAATAAGAGTTTTAAACAAGAACAACAACAAACCAAACCCCTAACCACCACCACTACTACTCATCCTCCTCCTCCTCTTCCCACCAACAACAGCGATAGTCATCTACTTCCTCCTTCTCCTCTTTAATTCAATACACTATTGATTTGAGATTATATGGTCAATGGCTGCTGGTGACACCAGCAGCATCAATACTGCAAACCAGTAGGAGGAGTAGTAGTAGTAGCATGGGTAGGGGGTGGTTGGAAAAAATTAAAACCTCTCTCTTCATATCTTATCGTGTGTGGTTGGTTGGTTGGTTGTAGTAGTGGAAGCGTTGGTGCGTGGATGGGGTGGGGTGGGGTGGTGGAATGACAGGTCGATCCGATATAATAGAACTGGCGGTGGGGGTGGATTGTTTGGAACGACGACAACAACAACAATCAAATCACCCCCTATGTAGAAATAATAATAATAATATTATTAAAATCAATCTAAAAAAGGAAAGATTGCCACTGAGCGTGGTTAGTGTAGTATCAACAACAATAACAAACACAACTGAATTGTGTCAATAGTTCCAACATTTAATTTACTATAGGTGTTGCACGCCGCGCGATTGATTGATCCATTTCCAACAACCAACTCTTGACTCTACTGTCTTCTGTTTGTTTGATTTAATGGTGTGGGCGTGGGTGTGTGTTGTACACGTAAAGTCGTTCATTTCATTCTATTTTATTCCCCTGATATCACAACTCATAAAGTAGTCATTTTTATCTCTTTTTTTTTTGTTTGAGTGACAGATAGATACAACACACGATGGGTGGGTTGACTGATACTGCCATTAATATTACTTACTTATATGATTATATATATAATGCGACGACTGACTGACTTGACTTGTTTTTCTTATTAAATCTGTTGTTGTAAATTTGTGTTTATTTGTGTGTGTGGGTGTATGTGTTCACGTTATATATATAAATATGGTAGGTGAAACAAAGAACAATTGTGTTGAGGTTGGTTGATAGTAGTAGTAGTCTATCAATCGGACACAGACAGCTCTTTCCCCCACCTTTGCACGCTCGACGATGTTTGCCGTATTCTCCTAATCCACTGTTTCCCAATAATCGCACCATGGTTTTTGATCCATCTAAGAAGGGTGATTGTCTCATTCATCTCGGGGTTAGTATGAGGGTGTGGGGGCTGTTTTGGACAGTAGGATGCACAAAACCTTTCACTTTAGTTTTAAAGTTGCAGAGGAGAGAAACCAAGCAAGCAAGATTCAGATCGCATGACGCAGCTCTATAAACAGTAAAAAACCCCAAAAAACAAAAATCTTTGCGGCTTTGGCTAGTGGGGTTCGTCCCCCGAATTTTCAAAAGGTTCGCTGATTGGCCGATTACCAGATCCCATACAATCTTATCTTCTTTATATATGATAGTTATTATTTTAATAATAGGTATTATTAAGTCTGATTATTTATTGTTGTTCATTGTTTGAAGTATCATAAACCTTTTAAAATTAAATAGAAGCATCGAAAGATAAGTGTATTATACAAACATATTGCTTATTACAACCTACACATGAGATTGACACATTTCACTGACCCAACAACAATGTGAAAAAACCACAAAAGGATATTTTAAGAGAATCCATCACGCAAAGAGAATAAAAACCGTTTCGTTGAAGAAAAGAAATGATAATTTCCCACCCGATGATTGTACTAGAGTACAGAACCAACCAACAAACACTGGTGATCGGAAAATAATAAAACACAAACAGAATTATGTCATTATGAGTGTTATCTTATCAATGGCAGATTAAAAGAATAACCATGCCAACCACTGTTTGATTGACCATCGATTTCCCTAATTGTAGAATGTGGAGGGTTATAATTATTCGTCAACCCAAAACAAGATCATTACCTTTTTTGACAAAAGGATGTGGAGCAAAATATTATATATATACATTACTAGACACAAGATGGATATACCCCATGGTTATAGTATTAATTTATTTTTTGGATTGTTGTGATGGTGGTGTTGAAGTTGAGATGGAGGGTTGTTATTGGAGGATAATTGTTGTTGTTGTTGTTGGTGAAGTTGTTGATGTGGTGGTTGATATGGTTGTTGCGGTGATTGGTGATGTTGTTGTTGTTGATGATGAGATTGTTGTTGTTGTTGTTGTTGTTGTTGTTGTGATGGTTGTTGTGGTGATTGGTGATATGAATAATAACCATTATTATTGTTATGGTTATTTTGACTATTTTGATTATTTTGATTATTAGATTGTTGGGCAAGATAACGAGCTAATTCCATTTTGTTATTCTCTACGGAGAATTCGACTAGTTTGGAGAGTGGATAGATCGAGTCATTGTCATTGAGAACCTTGTGGTGCAGCAGACGACTTACGACATCAACATTTCTGTATTGGATGGCCAACAACAAAGGCGACGTCGAATTGACACAGTGACGGGTAGAACAGCCACGTTTGAGTAACAAGTCAATGACTTCAACCGGTGAGTATCGAATAGCTAGATTGAGACAACTCCAACCCAGTCGATCAGAATCCACCTTTTTAACGAGTGTTTCATCCATGTCAATGAGATACTCTACAAAGTCTAGTGGACCATGTTTGATTGCCAGTTTCAAAGGTGTCCAGTCTTCCTTACTAGCAGTGTCTATCCTTGCACCATGATTCAACAGTATTTGTAGTATTGATCTTCTTTGATTTAATAAATCTCCAGTTACAATTTCTCCATTAAATCCTGATCTTATTTCATCTAATAAAAATAAATAGAATGGAAATGTTTAGACATTATTATTATTATTAATTAATTATTTAAATTATTATACATACTACCAACAATAACTTTATAACCATAAACCTGAGTATACATTAAAGCAGAGAAACCTCTGTGATCAAGATCCAATACACTTGCTTTATAGTTTAAGAGCATCAAGACGATTGATCGGTCGCCAAGTGCACAGGAAATCATAAGTGGAGTGGTACCAAGTTGGTTTGGTATGTTGGGATTGGCACCCTTTTGTAATAGACGTTCAACAACTCCTGCATAAGAGTTATTACAAGCAATCATTAAACTAGTATCACCAATTCTATTTTGAATATCAACATCTATATTTCTAAATAAAAAAAGGAATAAATAAAAATAAATAAATGACCATTTACTATATATATATATATATTTCTATACTTACTGATTCGTTAATAAAAAGTCAACAACATCATAATGGGCACCTTGACAAGCCAACATTAAAGGAGTCCAACCATTTAATTTACACTGATAATTTACTTCGTTACTGTTTTGTTGTAGACGCGATTTTACACTTGGGGTATGGTTATCATAGGCAGCCTTTAGTATTGGTACTGTCATATCAAATATACTATTTTCAACAACACTATGGTGTCCTTCAAACTGTAATTGTGAATTGGTCCGATACTTTACACTTGGCCCATTTTGATTCACTTGTGCTGCTGGTGATTGTGGTGACAATTGTGATTGTGGTGATTGCGATTGTATATGTTGTTGAGATTGTTGATAATGTTGTTGTTGTTGGGATAGATGGTGATGATGTTGTTGTTGTTGTTGAGATTGTTGATGTTGTTGAGATTGATGATGTTGATGATGAGAAGGAGGGTGACCGTATGGATGGTAATGATTATTATTATTATTTGAATGTAATGATGATGAGTGAGAAGGGCTACTATGCAAGGATGGTGATGAGGTTTGCATGTTTAAAGAGGGTGAGGAGTTGTTGTTGTTGGATGTAGTTGATAATAGTAATGGAGAAGAATCGACTCCTTGAGGTCTGCTGACCATCAAGTGTTGGAGTTGTGGAAGATTCTGCGATGATCTTCCGCCACCACCATTGATAGAATGTGAGGTAGGAGTACTTGGCGATAAAAGTGGTGAATCGAGTTGATAACTAGGTGCTCGTGGTTTGGATGAGGCAGATGTCGATGGATGACCACCTCTTGATCGGATAGGCGAGTATTGTGGGTGTGGTTCAATGATAGGTGACGATGAAAAGGGTGTTGAAAAGGCACCCCTTGATTCAAAGGCTGGTGATGATGTCATCGATATTGGGTCAACCGACGACGACGATGTTATAGACGATATAGATGCTATCGTTGAATGGTGATTATTATTAGATGGTTGTGGTTGTGATTGTGATTGTGATTGTGATTGTTGCTGCTGTTGTTGGATAGGTTTAAAGTGATAGTTTGCGGAACTGCCACGAGGTGATTGCTTTTTGTCGACATCGACAATGATATGGTGGTGTTGGGGGTGATGGTTGTTGGGGAGTGGTGAGTCGCTTCTCTGAGACCGCATCGATGATGGTGATTGGGTGTGTGGAGAAGAGAACATCGTCGAGTTGTTGTTGTTGGATGTGAGATTGTTTCGAGGAGAGTGTATTGGCGACGATGTCCCCATTGGCACAGACTGGTGCATATGATGAGTGGATGGAGGAGGTATGGATGAGAGTGGTGATGGTTTGATCCCATATCTCGGTGAAGAGGTTGGTGACATTTGGTTGCTGGGTGGTACAACAATCTGTTGATGTGGATGTGGAGATGATCCAACGCCAACTCCAACTCCATCAATGGATTTTTTACCAAAATTAAGTGGAGGTAGTTGAATGGTAGGACCCCATGTATTAAATGGGCTACGTGAACCCGGCGAAACTAGTCCAAACGAAGGTGACATGGTCGATGGTGGTTGTGGTGGAGAATCAGATTCCAAATGTATCATCTTTGTCTTGTTATTTGGCTTTGTAACAAATGTAATGTCTGGTGATTGTTGTTTGTTGTTGTTATTGTTATTGTTGTTACCCATGACCACCATCGATGGTGGTTCGTATGTATCATCATCTCCATCCAATAATATCGATATTTTACTCTTGTTATTACTACTACTGGTAGAGTTATTCTTTTGAGGTTCGAAATCACCCATTCTTTCAAACTCTCTTTTGAATCTTGTTAATTATAATAAAGTTCTTCTTTTTATAAAAAAAAAAAAAATTAAATATAATCTAATCTTCTGATTCAAACACACAGGGTGTGATGTGTACTCTAAATAGTATAAAGTATAGTTGTCGTTGTATGTTCTATATAGTGTATGTTGAGTGATAGATTATTATTATTATTATTATTGTTTACTACTAAGCTATATATGTGTATGTATGTATATATTTATATATTATTTAATTATAATGTGTGATGATATATGTATGGTTGATGAGGAGAAGGGTGAGAAGGGTGAGGAGGAGGATGATGACGAATATGACAACCTAATTTAAAATTGGGTTAAGCAGTAGAGGGGTAAACGTTAGGTAGGTAGGTAGGCTAGATAGGTTAGATAGGAGTCGAGTAGAGTTGAGTAGAAGATATTATCAAAAAAATTGCACAAATTAGTAAGTCTCAAAAACTAAAAGTTTGTGATAGGTTGCTAGCATCAAGGATGAATTTGGTGATTGATTGATCAAAAGTTCTATCGTCGCATTATTTTTGTTTTGTTTGGTACATACTGTCTGTCTGTCGTGCACGATCGATATTTCAAAGGTGCAAGTATATATATTTAGGTCTTGTCTTTAAAATATACAACGTAGTATTGTATGTTTGTTGTGTGTGTATGTACAAAAAGAGGTATCTATAAATTATATGTATAATAAAATGATGGTGGTGTGAGTAAAGAGAGGAAGGAGGAGGCTTGTGGCTTTAGATAGAACTGTTTCGAAAATAAGATGGGGTGGTTGGCTGTTGGGATGGATTGTTCAATACTGTTGACAATTTGTGGGGGGCAAGAGCCCTATTTTTTTTTTTTTTCACAATATGTCTTTCTGTATGAGACAGATATCTAAATATATCAAGGACTATCCACCCTTTGGTTTGTACCTATCCTTTTTTTTTCTCTCTTTCTTTTCTTTTTTTTCTTTTTTTCTAAACCTTTTGTACTGTTATTGTTTGTTGGACACTCAACTATTTGATATTATTATTGTCTTCTTGGTCTGATATAGATCACAAAAAAAGTGGATACTGGCAGTTGGTTGGTGGATAAATAAAATATGACAATGACGTGATTGAATAATTTTCTTTGGTTGTTCTCTCTCTCTCTCTCTCTCTCTCTCTTTCCTCTCTTAACTGTTAACAGGTCAGGTTTCTACAAATAATATTCAACACTTTTTTTCGATTTTGATTGATGGGAGGGGGGTTATCAATGTTTTGGATTCAAAACAAATCTTTGCCTGGAAAGGAAAAAGGAGGAGCTGGCAAAATGATTGGGCAGATTTATTACCCAAATATGAGAGATCCTTTTCACAGTTTGAAACATATATACAAAAAAGAGGGAGAGGAGGTGATATATGTCAAGCGCTCTCTCTGGAATTAAGATAAGAGTTTTGTTGTTGTTTGTTGATGTAGAGAGGGTGGTGGTTGGGTATCTATCAATCAATTGTTTTGGAAAAATCGTATATTATTGATAAACAAAGATTCTATCCAATTGGATGTGCAATACTGATAATAGAGGGGGTTAGAGTTCCTATAAAGTGTTGGAACAAAAAAGGAAAGACGCCTTTTCAATCAAAATCCAATCTCGAGGAGGATCTGCCTGCTGTTGTTGTTGCCAGCAATGCCGCGATGAGATATTCACTTGTAAAGTAATAAATCCACACCTATGAGGATCGTAGGATGTTTGCGTGTCAATCCCACAAAGGTTTGCTTGGTATATGTTTGTGGTGGTGAAAGAAAACATTGTGTGTTGCGTGTGTTATGTGTGGGATCGATAAATCTTTTTTTTGGGCTGCAGTGAATGAGTGTCATCATCGTCATCATCAAAAGGATATTATTTCCTTTCAAGGCTGACGGGTGAAAAAGGCAAAAGCCCAGTTTACCAGTTTCCTTAAATTACAACAAACACAGAAACAAAACATCTAATAATAATAATAATTTTATCCTACTTTTTTTGAAATGAATTAACTGTACTGTCTGTAATATATCCTGTACTAGTATAATATAATTTTACTCAAACAACTTTTATCATTATCGTCAATGTTGTTTGAGAGCTCTTTTTTTTGAATAATCTACTATTACTACTTTTTTTTTTTAAGATAGATAGGAAAGAAGGATTGGGAAAGAAGATCTAAACAAAATGAAACAACTGCTGGTTTTATTGATATGAAGGTCACTGTTATGAAGAAATGGGGGTAATAGATGGTGTCAAAAAAAAAAGATTAAATGTTTGCAAGTGGGCAAACTCAAATAAAAGACGGTGGTGGGGGCTATACCTGCTTCTCTATGTACGGAGTAGTATTATCAGAGTGAGCATGAATAAGTAGATCCCCATTATGATATCACACCATAGAAAGAAAGAGAGAGGTTCCCTCCCTTAATCGTTCACAAACTTGGTCAAACACCACTGTTGTACGAGTAAACCAACCTATAGCCCCCCGTTCATACGCGTGTATGATTCTCGAGTAAAACTCACTCTAACCCCACAAACATTGCAAAGACGCGCGTCTGCAAATCAAATAATATCTTGGAGGACTCTTCATCCCTTCCCTATTTTTGAAACATAATTAAAAATGGATTTTTTCGACTTTTATGGAACAATCACACAGACACATATACAAGGGCAAGGTCCCTAGAGAGTGTCTCTTTGAAACGAAAAATCATCCCTGCAAAGGTGTGGATCTTAGAACAACCAACCGGTTTTCTTTCGACATTAAAAAACAATTTTATATCTAATTTACAAAAGTAGTTAATTTCAATTACTCTCTGTACGTACGTTTTGTATTATTACTACAATAGTCAATAGAGAGTACAAATACAGCCGTTTGTGTATGAGTTTGGGGGGATTGCGCGAGAATAGTTGATCAAACAATTCCCTTTTTCGTCGACTTTGACTGATATAGCCAAACAAAAACAATCAACATGGATTGACGCGATGCCCGGGGGATTCACATTAACGGGGCACAAGAACGTCGTTTCGTCTACACGACAAACCTCGAATGATCGAGGTGGATAAAAAAAAAAAAAGGAAATATGATGGTTGTGAATGGGATGAGTCTTAAAATTTCGAACCTAAAATAATAATATTACTTTTATTTTTAACTTTAACTAGTATTAATACAGGTATAATATTATTATTTCCATAGTATTATTGCCCAGGATTCATTTGAAAATAGTGGCCACTTGAAGATCAGTGATTATGATAATCGAAGGTTTTTTTTTTTTTTAGTCGTCAAACAAAGATTTGATGGACAAACCCGACAACTCGACCGATAAATATTCGTCATTTTCGTTTATAGTAGCGTTGGCGGTTCGGCTAGATCAACTGAATGAATTGTTGTTTGTGCTAGGTTATAACATTTCATTTTATTTGCTATTACTCTAAAGATCTATCATCCATTCATTCATTACCCATCTGCTACATGTCTTAAAGATTACTCCTTGACCACTATCAGCTGATTACCTACCTAGGTATTGTTTTTGTTGCAAGTGATGAGATAGGTTCCTTTTCAACCTTTGACGTGAACATCATCAAAACTACGCTGACTCTATGAGGAGGAAGGTCTCATGAGTCGATGCATCTTTAGTTTCTCAAACCATGCCCGCAGCTCTCATCACATCCAACCTACAAAGTAGTGGGTAGATGACTTTGATTGGTTTTTTTCGAATTTTTAGTTGTTTGGTGGGGCACACCCACCCCCTGCCCTGTTCTAGGTGTTGTTGCCAACAACCAATGAAATAGTCGAGTCGAGATATTTGGTAAAACTCGACTGAAAAGATTGATTTATCCACTTTAATCAACCGACTGATAGTCCAAGGCAAGAGGGAGCTCAAACCATCCATCGAAACCAACTAAATCATAAATCATTCTTGTGTTCTATTTATTAATCAATCATCTCGCTCTATCCATTAATCAAACACACAAAAACCGAGTGTTTCCGACATTACACTTTACCATTGTAGTTGTTAGGATTTTATCCAATATACCAATATATTAATATTCATATACATAACAACATCAGCACACCATAGCGACAGGATACATATACTTCACTGACCAGTTTTGTAAGTTCAACAATTCATCCACCCATCCATCAATCCAATATTCATCCACACAAACGAAAATCATAATCACATTCAGGAGCATCAAGAGTATTTAGTTGTTGTTGGTAAAATTTTACCAATCATATGATATCATTTTCATTCATTTATTGTTGTATCAAACTTTGTAGATGTATGCATTGATTGGATTTGTAAATCTTTCACCTGATCAAAGAGAGAGAGAGTAGTTTATATCAGTTCTTTCCTTTTCAAATGGACTGATTGAAAGAACTCGTTCATTCTCGGTGATGAAAAGGTGCTAATTTCACCATAAATGGATAAAAATATGCCATTGTTGTGGGTGTGTGGGCATCCCTTTCAAAGATCTTTTGTTTTTCTTTTTTTTTTTTTTCTTTTTGGTGCCACTTCAAACACACTGATGCCATCACTTTGTTGTTTTTTGAAACAGGCCAGCGGGTTTTGATCTTGTTGATCGACCGAGTCGGTTCCCTTTGCTATGAATCATCGTCAGCACTTAAATCAAAAGTGTTGGTGGTGGAGGAGGAGATGAGGTCGATAGAAAATAAAAAGACGAACTTTACTCCTCCTCTCAAACGATTCTCTCTCTTTTGAAGTTTATTATAATCTTTCGTTCGGTCAAACAAGAACAGCTCTGTCTTTCCTTCTGACAGAAACGCTCTCACAAACTCTTCAGTTTATTCATTATTAATCACACAATATCACACAATAATAAGATAAGCATAATGCTTGTTTCATCAGAGAAAGAGAGAAAAAGAAAGAAAGAATCAGAATAGAAAAGCAAGAAGAAAGAAAAAGAATCACGGTGACCAACAAACCATTAAACCAAAAAGTAATTACAATTAGGATAGATTAGATTAGATTGTTCTGTTATTTGTGTACCATCATATGCCTCTTCATTTTGATTGATTTTTTTTTGTAACTTCACCAACAAAAGAACTAAGAGGAAAGGACAGATACCATTTTTATCTTTTCTTTTAGTCTCTGTCTCTTTCTCTCTCTCTTATCTGTCACATAATATATCTCTATCTCCCTTGTATTTTCCAATCAAAGCTCAACGTTATCTCGTGAGCCATGTATCGACAACAGCACTAGCACCACCAACCATTCAATTGAACACACACAAATATCTATTTCGACGTGTCAACTTCGGTATTGTAACGGGATTGGTTTCGGCTTCAAGTTGGATGAATACCACCACCTTGTTGTTGCTATGAATTCATCCATCCTTGCCGGTGGTCTCAACCCCTTTTCCTACCATTCGCAAGAAGATACGATGATGATGATGATGATAAAGACTAGAAGCCCAGAAGGGTAAAAAGCTTTACGATCGTCTACGGTTCGCTCTCTCCTTCCAAATCACACAACAACACGATTTTGAAAAAAAAGAGGTGCCCAACCAATCAAAGACCAAGATTGAAAATATCTTTGGAATCAAGTTTTTTTTAAATTAATTGTAGCTTTGCTGATTTTTTAATGCGAGGAGACACCCATCGTTTGATCCTTGTCTAGCATTCTCTTTTTCTCTCTTTCTCGGGTTGACTCTTGTTTCTAAATCCCCTTCCCTTCTCTTTGTCGATTTCTTCTTGTTGTTACTCCTTGTTCATCTTTTGTAGATAGATATTTATATAACTTAGTTTAGTTCCTTCATCAAATCTTAAAGTCTCCTTTTTCATCGTCGACAAACATCCCTACAACAATTCGAGTTGTTTGTTTCTTCTTCTTCTTCCTCTCCTCTCTCTCTGTACAAAGATATATATACATACACAAATACATATACACATAGTAGTAATGATACAATCATCAAAATAAGAATCATATATTTTAAAATAGCCCTCCTTTGCACTTCACCCAAAATAATAATAATAATACCTCTTGTAAATAATTAACCTGTGTCCTCTTCTTCTCCTATTTTTAGTTTATATAATAACAATAATAATATCCCCTATATATCTATATAAATCATTTATATCCTATCCTACAGTATCCTATACTTCTTTATTTATTTGTATATATAAAAATAATATCAACAACATAATAATACTATCACTATCATGAATACGACCATTTCCCAAAACCTAGTTACCAAAGAGGAAGGGTTTGAAAATAATATAGAAGAGATGGCACAGATTCTATTTGGTATAAAGAATCAACCATCGGCCTCGAGTTCGCCAGTGGCCTCGGCCGAGCCCATAAAGATTGATGCCGATATTGCTCATTCATCGAGTGATTCGTTGATTGACAGTCCACGAGGAGGATCTCTTTCACCTACAATCAATCAGATGGGTGGCAGTAGTGGTGGTGGAGGCCATCAAATCTCACCTACTCATAGCAGTGGCAATCCATTTACCAAACTATCCAACAATATATTCTATTCACAATCCAACTCGTTTTCTTCGATTCCCATCCCATCTCCACGCGCACAATCACCAAGTTCCTTGGCATCATCGACCGAGTCATTATCGTGCGACTCTCTAGCCAACTCTTATTCTCGTATATCTCTCTCGTCGTCCCCTTCACAATCGGTTCCATCGTCGCCACCACACTTTAAGTTTACCAAAGCCAACCATTTCAAGCCTATTGTCGGATCACCGCTCTCGCTTTCTTCGGGATCCATACCCCAACCCAACAACCTATCATCATCGGCACCATCATCGCCATCACCCTTCACACCTGTAAAAATTAGCCTCAACCCACTCAACCTCCACCAATCATCCAATAATATCACACCCGTCTCGCCACTATCCCCTCGATCTTCGCCACGAACCACCTGCTCTCCTCCACTGTCTCCACATCCAGCGGCCGCTGGAAAGATACAAAATTGTCCATTGAATGAGTGTCTGCTCTGCCAACGCGGTCAGCCCGACATCCTCCTCCGATCACCCACATGGGCAAGCATCATGCGTGTCGTCTTTTATACGTTGCACCACGAGTTTAAAGAGAAGCAGTTCTTTTCGCTAAAGTCTGACGTCTATGAATTCATGGTCATCCACTGGGACATCCTGTGCTTCAACAAAAAAAAGTCGGAAAACTGGCACAAACAAATACAAGACATGTTGAGTCACTCTAAAAATATATTCGAGTCTGGAATGGATACGTACAAGCAAAATGGGTTCTGGCGTCTCAAGCAGTTGCTCGATCCATGGCAAATACAGCGTAGTGGCGGTCTGACCAATTCCCCAGTCGTCCGTAAACCTGGCTACCCTACATCTCCTTCTCCTACCCCACCTATTCCATCTTCAGTCATGTCTGGTGGAAATGCCTCGTCGCCGCGTGGAAGTTTGCATACCTCTCCTGGCGGTGCTGGTGGCTCGTCGGGTGGTCCAACCTCGCCACTCATACTCTCGTCTACGCCGCCACATGCTATTGGCATTGCCCCAACACCCGTCATCCCACCACTTCACTTTTTGCGTAGTGGCGCCGGCAGCGTGGATCTACAAGACGATCTCCGCAAGAGAACATCGATCGACATGCTCATCTCAACGTCCATCGTCGATGAAAGCGATGCATTGTCATCACCAAGAAAACGACGTGGTCTCTCTGATGCAGCCAACAACCGTCCAGTCCTCCCCCAATCACCCAGACAACAATACAGTCAATCACCCAAACAAACCTCATCACCTCTTTTACACAATCTTCAACAACCCTTGTCCCCACAATTATTCCATCACCAACCAAATTCCCCACGACTCAATCATCATCACCATATGGTATCTCAACATCATCATCATCACCATCATCATCAACAACAAAATTATACAGAAGAATTGTTAATTGATGATTAAAATAATAATAGTAATAGAAAAATCAAATGATCAAATTAATAATTAATACCAAACCAAACCAACTTGCATACTATAGTCAAAAAATATTTTTATAACCAAAAAAATATTTAGTTAATAATAATAATAATAATGTACATATAAAAAACATAATAATAATAACAATAAAAAAGGTAAAACAAAACAAACAAAAAAAAAGAAGTTTATAAAGAAAAAAAGATCAAAAAAAAAAAGAAAAAAAAAGAAACTATATCATTCAAAAAAGAACAACAATACCAAATAATTAATTATAAACTTCTTCTTGGTTTAAAAAAGCTGGAAATTAGAACCATCAGTTCCTTTTTCCAACCAATTCTCTTCTTTAATTGGAAGATTCTAACACCCACATATTTTCGATTTAAATAATTACCATCAATCCCTATCTATAATATTGGATGGAATTCCACTCTACTTCTTTTAATTACCTTCTTCCTCCACTCATCCTCTTCAAATATATAAATAAAGGATAAATATCATATTCAATAATAATAGTTGTTGATTGATTATTCTCTCTTCGAAAACAAAATTACTCTTTGATCGATTATTATTATTATATTTTTTTTATTATTGTCATTATTAAAGTTTATTGTGCATTATTATTATTGTTATTTGAAGTTGTGCTTGTAGTACTTGTAACAGGAGAATTGTTATTATTGTTATTATTATTATTATTATTATTTTGATTATTATTATTTGTTGGAGTAGGAGATAATTTTAAATCCTTTAAGATTCTATCATAATTTAATTTAAACATTGGGTTTACACCAGCAATGAAACCACTACCAGTTTGGATACTATCTAATCTTCGGAAGAGTTCGCATGTAGCGGCTCGAATATCTTTTGAGGTGTGGAAGAGACCAATGGCCACTGGGAAAAGACCGCCATGGGACTTTGGAAGGTGAGAGAGGAATTCGGTGACTTGTTGCTCGGTTTTGATGGCGTCAAGGAATGATTCATAGATACGGAGCACCTCCTTTTCTTGAAGGTTTTTGCGTTTTCTTAGTTTTCGAATGGAACGAGCTATGCTGTGATCGCGGATTGCGCTGTTTCGCTTGGCAGTCTCACGATCAAACAGATAGGTAGTGTAGGTCTTGGTCTTGGTCCAGAGATCGATACGTGGACGGTTGGCCTCTAGTGCCAACTGACGTGCTTGGTCATCTGGGAACTCTTCCTCGTCGAGTGCCATATCTACAATGTGTTGTGTGTACTCTTGGAACAGCGACTTGATCTTATCCTCGCCGTAGTGTTGTGTGATGCTGTGGTTGACTTCGGCCATAAAATCAGTGTCGTACTGTGCAAACTTGTCGGGAATCTCTGTGACTAGTGCAGGGTTCATCGTGACCTTGCCAGTACCAATATTACACAAAATATCCCACCACTTTGTATGTTCCTCAAACATTGGATTGGTGACACCAGTAATGTAGCCAGGCACCGTCAAAAAGTCGAGATACACCAAATTGGTGTAAGGGAAGCAACGCTCGCGAATACCCTTTAATGGTGGACACACCATACAACACGCTGCCAATACATAATTAGACACTTCACCAGCACTACAATTATGTCCCAAAAATAATATTCTTTTCTGTGATAATATACCATTGAATATTTTCATTACATCATTTCCAAATTTTTGTACCAATGTTATTACTTTATACTATAAAAAAAAAAAAGAGAGATTAGAATATATACATATATATATTTGTTTTGTTTCTTATATTCTTACATCACCAACTTCATCAGGAAACATTGTAATTGGTATATAAACTGGCATTTTGTTGGCAAGATAAGTAATGGTAGTTGAATGATTTTGCTTATTCTTGTCTGGAGATGATCTTAGGATGTGCTTTTGAACATCATTGAGGAATGGTACAGTTGACATGTCTAAGCTATTTAAAGCATGATACAATTCTATTATTACATCAATCGAGGGTGAGTTAAAGTATTTTTGAATACCAAGGATCATAAATGGCTACAAGCAAAAATAAATTGGTGGTGTTAGAATGTTTAATCTTTACTAATACTTTTGTAATAATGAAGATTTACCTTATAAATATGAATAAATGGATGAGTTGTACAAATTGCCAATGATTTAACGACGGCACCTCTACGAACAGATTCATCTTTTTGATTGTTCATAAAATTGAGACAGTAGAGGAAATCCTTGCATTTGGTGTCTTCGTTGATTTCAGCTCCATCTCCACCCTTTTTAGAGGATTCGATAATGGTTCTCTCTTCGGTAATCTCTTTGACCATTCTATTGATATGACTTAAAAAGTTATCTTCGTCTTGCTGTTCAAAGAATCTAACACCCAATGCTGTTCCAGAGTCTGTCAATACACAATCAAATAATGGTTCTAATTGAGTATGTTCCAAATCTATATGTTTTTCACTTTAAAACAAAACAAAACAAAACAAATTAATAAAAGAGGTTAAAGTGATTTAGATTTCCCCCGCCGACCCCTTTTGGGTACATACATCTTTGTAACCAATGAACCATTTTTACCCATTACATTAATCGTATTTCTATAAATTTGAAGGTTTAATTTATCTGGATCCAACATTACCCAACCCTTTGATTCTTCATCTTCTGAAAATTTATAAATAAATGCTTCTATTGAATTGCTATAAAGTAAGGTTGATTAGTTGGTGATATTATTACTATTATTCTTTGTCTCTCTCATACCATAAAGGTTTCTCTGGTTTAGGAGTAGTTTCCTTTTTCTTGTTCTTTGATAAATGACCATCTGGATCTGGTCTGTTGAGGAAGAATACAGTCCAATCGTCATCTCTTTTGTGAGCGCCATCGGGTAACATAAACTCTGCCAAGAGACTTTCATCCTCACCTGTTGGACAAGGATACTGATACTTGACTTTAGATCCGATATCGATATCAAACTCTGCCAATAATATGTACTCTACATTCTTTCTTCTAATTCCACTGTTGGTGTATCCTAAATTACTCAATACAGTGTGTACTCCTCCTCCTCCTCCTACACCTCCATTAGAAGAAGTTGTAGTGGTTGTAGTAGTTGTTGAAGAGGTTGATGTCGAGAGATTAGGTGCACTAGTAGAGGTTGGTGACTTTGGCACACTTCCATTGCTGCTTGTCATCGATGGACTGCCACCTTCATTTAGCGACGAGGTGGAACTAGAGTGTGTCAAGTTGGACGAGGAAGAGGATTGAATATTTATATTCCCTCTTCTTGGTGAATCATTGTTTGTTGACATATTGATATAATATATATATTGTTGTGGTTGGAAACAATCAACTAAAAATGATTGGAAGGTAACTATCCCTTCTTTGATGATTGATTGATTCTGTCAGTCAGACTGTAATACTGATGTTGATAATAATAATAGACAATCTAATGTAGATCTAAAGACTGATTGATAATGATGATGATGATGAAGTAGTCTACCAATGGATTGATCTACTGATAGATAGATAGATATATATAGTACAGAAAAGAAAGAATGAATACAAATACAACAACAATAATAAATAGGTAGTGAGAGATAATAAACAAGATCAAAAAAAAGATGATGGTGTTTTTTAATAAAATATTTGATTTTTTAACAAAAAGTGTGCTTTTTTTTTAATCACAAAAAAGGATGGAGGCAGTCTCAGAGTGGGTTTGTGAGTCTTGACTCGTTTCTTTGATTTGATCATTTCATTCAATTTAAAAGTTAGTTCACTCTATTCACTTTCATTTCACATATAGAATTCATATGCAATATATATATATGTCTAGCTAGAATCAATATGATGATACGATCAACACTATTAAAGGCAACAAATACCTTTGTCAGAAGAAATAGTGCAACAACATCAATAGCATATACCTCTTCATCATCATCATCATCACTATCAAGTTTATCTACATCATCGTCAATACCACCACATTCATTGTTATCAACCATCATTACAAATAAAGGATTATCATCATCATCATCATCATCATCATATGATATATCATATTCATCATCATTTAATAGATCATTTTCAACAGTATCAGTATCATCATTCATTTCAGACAACAATGAAGTTTTAAATTTAGATGAAATGAAAGAAGAAGAACCAGAAGTAGAGGGATGGGCTTATACACCTCCCTATTCAGGTCTAACAACAAGAGAGTTTAGATCATACTTTTTCACTCAATTCATATCAGGTCAAAAGATTTTGGAGGCAAAGTATGTCTATCTATTTATGATCACAACAACGATCAAATAGTATATAATAGCTAACACCATTTGATTGATTATGTTTCTAGATTAATTCAATCAATTACAAATGATAAGGCATTTAGAAAAGAAAAGAATATGTGTTCGATTATGGTTGGTATTCTTGTAAAGCTGAATTGTCAGAGCAAGGAACTCTGGTACGCTCTTGTAAAGATAGCGGGTCATCACAAGCTGACCACTACGCTGCTCTTTATCTTTAATCATTTGGAAGAGAACCATCTTTTGGATAGCAAGAATTGTGGACGTATTTTGCACAGTGTAGCACACGATGCCGATTGTTCGACAAAGATCTTTGAACGAATGACCAAGAATAACATTGAGTTGTCGGCATTGGGCATGCAAGGTGTGTTTACAATGGTGAGAAACGACGCTGTCACAACAGAAGCTTTGTGGAACACCTATTCAGAGCAGATTTTAATGATGCCACCTGGTCATGTGCCAGATATCTACAGAATCATTGTAGGCACCTACTGTCGAGCTGGACTCGAGCAAAAGGCAAAGGATATGATTGAGAACTATGTCGTCCCTACCCGTTCAAAGTTTGCAATCAACCAATCATACTGCGCGCTACTTTCTATGTATCTGCGAAACAACGATATGGAGCAATACAATACACTCATGGCTCGCCTGAAAAAAGAGCTCAGAGGTGTAACATTGGATCGCAGTCTTTTGGTTGATATTGTCGATCATGCCGATCAAAACAAGTTGTATGGCACATTTGTCAACCTTGCCTCTGAGCATCCTGCCTCAACCTATATTATCGCCGACGCAGTCATTCAGCGTTGCCTGAGGGAGCGTGCACCACTCGATATTATCACACGTGTTCTCGACACGATACGCGACACTGATAAAAAGGACCATCTCATCAGAATCATCAACCTTTTGGAAGCTGTCTCGGCAGAAAACCATCCCTATTCACAAGACATCCTACTCGACGTACTCGACCGAGTACCGCTGTCGACCATGTCGGCCACCAACATTGTCGCGTGCATCAAGACTGCTTCCGTGATTGACCGACCCGACCTCATCATCAAAATCGTCAACGAGGCCGTCAAGTCTGAACCCAAGGATTCTCTGTTGACCGCATTTTTGTTGCGTACCGTGTTTGTTTTCTGCTCGGCACAAGATACCACCAGTATTGTCGAGCGGTTCAATATCCAACCCTCCTTGTTCCCAAGACAACTATCAACCCAATTGGTCCTGCCAATCAGCATACAGTCACTCCACTCGAAATTCAACCCTAGCTTGGTCTATATAGACAGAATGCTAAAAGACAGATCCAGCCAAACCAAGGCATCAGTCACAATATCATTGGCCGTTGAAATTGCTCTTTTAAAGAATATGCCCAAAGTAGCCGCAATGTACTATTACAAACTAACGAAACGCAAATGTCAAATCCCAACTCGATGCTACGATTCATTTATCGCCTATCACACCATCCAAAAAAATCAACCCGAGGTTGACAAATGGACCAATCTCAAGAACAAAGATCAAAACCAACTTTCCTCAACTCAAGATTCTTCCATCAACAACAACAATTATCTCTGGGAGGGGTACAGAGTCAAAACACACAAAAAACAACAAGAGCATATAGAACAAAGAAAGAGATACCATGAAAATAGAAAACAATGGGAACTAGAAGAAAAATTATTACAACAACAAAAAGAAAAGGAAAAAGAACAACAACAAGAAAAGGAAAATATTGATACTACTACTACTACGACCACTACTACTAGTTCTAGAACATAATAATAAAATAATGGTTATATTTTGTATATTTCATCCAACACAACAAATGGGAAAAAAAGAAAAGATTACTTATTATTACTTGAGTTAATATTTATTTACTTTTTTTCAATTTTGATTATTATATATTTCCTAAAACTTTGATCTATCTATATCTATGTTTAATATTTGTAATTGGCAACATATAAACTTTCAGAGTTGAGAGCAGTAGCTTCTTCACCTGGGTATTTACCGAGGACGGCGAGAGAGTTACAGAGAGCACGGTGGAGGTAGACCTTACGAGCGGCTTCAAAGTTTTCCTTTTTACCGTTCCAGGTCTTGATGATGGAGGATTGGAGAGCACGACCGTATGAAAAGGAGAGAGCCCATGGACGGTTTGGCTCTTGGTTGATGGCATTGAGGTTGGCAGTGGCTTCGAGCTCGGTTTGACCACCAGAGAGGAAGACGACACCTGGGAGAGCAGGTGGGACGGTACGTTGGAGGGTACGTACTGTGAGGTAGGCTACTTCCTTTGGATCGGCAGCCTTACCGCTTGAACCGGCAAGGACCATGTTTGGCTTGAGGAGAGCACCCTCGAGCAAGACCTTGTGGTCAGAGAGAGCCTTAAAGACGGCGGCCAAAACACGCTCGGTGGCATCGGCAGTGTCTTGAATCGAGTGGCTACCGTCACTCAAGATTTCTGGCTCGACAATTGGCACCAAACCATTCTCTTGGCAGATGGCGGCATAACGGGCGAGTGAGTGGGCAGTCTCGAGGATGGAAAGGTTGCTTGGTTGGTGCTTGGCAACGTCGATCTTGAGGACAGCTCTCCACTTGGCAAAACGAGCACCAGCTTCGTAGTATTTCTTGCAACGCTCACCGAGACCGTCCAAACCTTGGGTGGCAGTCTCGCTGTCAGTCTGTGGAATGTTGACGGTACCCTTGTCAACCTTGATACCGATTTGGATGCCCTTCTTCTTGAGGACTTCGGCAAATGGGGTGCCATTGTCGTCCTTTTGGAAAAGGGTCTCTTCGTAGAGGATAATACCGCCAATGTACTTGGTAATATCGCCGTCAGTGTGGATCAACAAGTCACGGTATTGACGTCTATTTTCTTCAGTGTTTTCCAAATTAATCTTTTGGAAACGGTTTCCAATGGTACCTGTACTTTCATCAGCTGCCAAAATACCTTTACCATTTGCAACAATAGCTTTCTAAAATTAGATACATTAAATTAATTATTATTATAATTAGTCATATGTATTAATGAATGAACGATTCTCTTGTCTGTGTTGGAATAAGATAAATATATGATAGGTTGATTCATATCATATTCCCTTTTCAATCCAATCAAAAGGATCTGATGGTGATGATTGATATTATGATGCTGTAAAACTGTATTTATGACATCTGATTATGATTATGATGAAGATCAACAACCAATCAACAATCACCATCTATCTTCTTCTTCTTCTTCTTCTTCTTCTTTATAGTGTAAACATAGTACTTACAGCAGTAGCAATCAATTCTTCAGTGTATTTGGTGTTCATTTCTGTCTTTATATAATCTTTGTTTTGAAAATAGATAATCAATTTAACTAACAAGGGTGATAGAAAAGGTAGAAGTTCCCAGTCAGGGTGGGAACATCAAAAAAAATGAAAAAAATTAATTTTAATTTAATTTGGCTAACTCTGCGCATTGTTTGAAGCATCTCCGACCTTTGTCCAAAAACGATGATCATATTTATCTATGTCATGTCGACATCCTCATCCCATCTAGATCATCATCATCATTTATAGGCATAAAAATAAATAAATAAATAAATAATAATATTAAATATATGTTCTCTCTCTCTCTCTCTCTCTCTCTTTTTTTTTTCAACAAGAGTTGGGTAAATAGGAACTTCTTGCAACACAGTTTATTCTTCAAACAGAACAGGTGACAATACTTTGTCTTGTCTTGTCTTGTTTTAGTTTGATAATATATTCATTATTAAATGAGGTCACTAAAAACGATCGATAATAATAATATTAGAATCAAGCGAACACCAAATCCACTGGATTTGAACTCCCTCTTTTTTTTTAGCTAGTCATTATTTAACATTCGCAAAAGTAAAGATAGATAGAATATAAGATGAGTTCAAGAAGAAAGGTAGAGGACAGTTATGAAGAGAGTGATGGAGAGGATGAAGAGGACCTATTTAGTGGAGGTGAGGGAGAAGGAGGAGAAGAAGAAGAAGAGGACGATGGAAAGGCAAAGAAGAGAAAGTACAAGTCACCTTCAAAGACAACCACAGAACCCAAATCAAAACCTATACCTCAACTACCATACACTGATAGAATGTTTATATTGTATAATAATAAAAAGAATCAACTAAAACAAGAAAAACAACAATCATCGTCTTCATCATCTTCACCAAATAGTCATAAAGGAAAACATATCATTTCAATACCACATCCAAAGACATTACAAGAATCTAGGTTTATCATAGATTGTGATGCCAACACTCTATTGGAAATTAATAACTTGAATCAGAAACCATCATCGTGGTTGGTAAATGATGGTGTAAGACATGGTATGAATGATAATAATAATAATAATAATAATAATGATACATTGAACTTTGTTGGAATATCTAATGACTAATATTTTTATAATCAATCTATGTAGATGGATCATTATATATTACAACACCATTTGATCCAATGTTTATTATGATTCGATATTTGGAAGATAGAGATGACAAATTTACCAATCTATCATCGATTAAAGAAGAGCCAACCTATGCCAAACTAACACAAAAGGGATTTAAATGGGATGAAGATCAAATCATTATGGTGTGTGATTGGAAGGATCTCATCAACGATCGATTTTATAAACTAAACAAAGATAAACTATTGAAATGGTTGCAGGTCAAAGTCAACACCCTCGTATCCTATCTCAAAATATCAAATATCAACGTATGTGTTGGTGGATCCAACCTAATCATTCAAACCAAATCAAACAAAATCATACCAGAAGAAACTTGGAAAATGATGGCAATCGATTTTATTGGTGAATACCTAAGTGATTCAAATCTATCTTTATTAACAAATTCTTATGGGTAAGTCTAAATAATAATAATGTTAAATAATATTGAATAATATCTCTATATTTACTAACATGTTAACTTATACTTTATCAATTAAAAAGAAATATAACAATTAGATCAATATCAGCAATTATTAATAATTCTACTAGTAGTAATGTGAAAGGAATTGATCCATTAGTTTATAATGCATCAGCAACAGCCTTTTCAACACCAGGTGAATTTAAGTTGGGTGCTCCAGCACCTGCAAAGAAATCGGCAAAAGCAAAAGCATTGTTGGTAGCTCCAAAATCAAATTCAAAGATATCCGACTTTTTTGTAAAGAAATAAATATATAAATAATATATATAAGGCAAGCAAAAAAAGATGGATGATGATTGTGTTTATATTTAAGGATAGATTTATTATTATTAACTTTGTTATTTTCCATAAATTTATAATAATAATTTTGGATTTCTAATGACCTTGGAAGTGAAAGAAATGGTAGCTTTGATCTTGTTAAAGAATCCTCTTTGGTAGATCATAAAGAGGACTTGACGAATGATACCGACGGCAGCTGGGTCGATTGGGTAACGGATCAAACGTGGGACTGGAGTACGGATTGGGAACTTGTCAGTGAGGATGGATACTTCACGAGCGAAACCACGGAGACCTTCTGGACCGTTGAATCTGCCGAAACCAGACTCTTTGCAACCGCCAAATGGAAGATCTTGGATGAGGTAGGATGCGCCATAGTCGTTGATGGTGAGCATACCGGTAGAGATACGACGGCCGATACGCTCGGCACGAGCCAAGTCAGAGGTGAGGATGGAGCATCCCAAACCAAAGACGGTGCCGTTGGCCATACGGACGAGATCCTCTTCAGAGGAGAAACGGACGAGCGAGGCAACTGGACCAAATGTCTCTTCGTTAAAGATGGTCATCTTTTCAGTGACGTTGGCGAGGACGGTTGGCATAAAGAAGTGACCCTTGCTGTAGAGGGGGTTACGCTTGCCACCAGCCATCAACTTGGCGCCTTCCTTGACGGCGGTGTTGACGAGATGCTCGACCTTGTCGACTTGAGCGGGCATGGTCATCGAGCCAAAGTCAAACTGGCCTTCTTCGGGGGGACCCTGGGTACACGAGTTGATCTTTTCGGCCAAAGCCTTGGCAAACTTGTCGTAGATGTTGTCGTGCACAAAGACACGTTCCGAAGAGATACAGTTTTGACCGAGATTGATGAAACAGCCACGTTGCACAATCGCAAGTGCCCAGTCCATGTCAATGTCGTCGTAGACGATCATGGGGTCCTTGCCACCGAGCTCCAAGATGACGGGGGTCAAGTTGTCCGATGCAGCCTTCATGACACGCTTTCCAGTGCCCGGCGACCCGATAAACAAGACCTTGTCGACACCCGAGCGTACAAGAGCCTCTCCCGTCTCGCCCATACCTGGCAACAATTGAATAAGATTTGGGTTGTGTCCACGACGAGCCAACACCTCACGCACCAACTCTTCAAAGAGTATCTTGCTGTGAGTCGACCATTCCGACACCTTGACCAACGCAGCGTTACCCGCAAAAATAGCGGCAGCGGCAGCCGAGATGATACTATGTACTGGATAATTCCATGGAATGATAATACCAATCACACCCATTGGATGGTACTCTAAACGTGCCGACTTGGTTCCCATCAACATTGGAACACGACGGTATTGAGTCTTTAAAGCATCTTCTCCAAAATTAACCAAATATCTAAGTTTTTCACATGATGTTAAAACTTCTCCAAGTGTTGCTTCGAATCCTAAATGATATTAAAAAAACATATGTAAGTAAAAAGTGAAGGGTGATAGTTTGTTTGTTTTGATTGATTTGTGTTTTCAACATACTTGTTTTACCAGTATCTCTCATTGAACTTTCAACAATTTCAGTTTCATTCTTGATAAACATATCGATAAAGTCTTGGAGAACTTGTTTACGCTCTTGGTATGATGTGGTGGCCCATTCAGCTTGTGCGACACGGGCAGCTTCGAGACACTTTTTGACTTCCTCTGGTTTGAGTGCGTTGACGACACCCATCGACTTGCCGGTGGCAGGATTGACACAATCAATCTTGGCACCGGTACCCTTGGAGGCGGGCGACACACCAACCTCACGGGCTGGACGCTTCACAACCTTTGGTGATGACACTAGTCTGTAGAGAACGACCAAGACGATGAGACCCACCAATGCAGTGAGCAACAAAGAAGCATTCTCGACACCACCTGTATAGCTGGTGAGTGTGATTCCAACCTTGTTGGAAATATACGTATCGATAGTGACTACTAATGTTTGAACTTCTTTGATCATGATGAGTTGGATGATGATGATGTTTAGGTAATTAACTACAAACTGTGTTGATCTAATCTATACTTCACAATCACTTTTCTTGGGACAGAAGAACTAAAAAAAAAAGCCAAAAAAAAAAACTAAAAAAAAAAATATCCAAAAAGACGAGGCTCGCTCAACTCGAACGATGGGTGTGTCGCCTCTACACACCAGCTCCCTCTGCATCATCATCAATAGGCAGTAACCAAACCAAACAACAACAAAGTTAGAATTGCAGTTTATAGAAGTATAAGCACAGATCATCATCATCCCATCCGCCTATCTATCTTTACAGTCAGAGGCGTGCAGTTCAACAACAACAGAATAGGCTTCTTTAGAAGGTGAACGACTCAAACAAACAGACAGCAAATTTATGATCATCGATCATAATATTTTATTTAAATAATATATTTTTAAAATGTAAGCAAGTCCCTCACTCTCTTGCGATCACAACAAAAAGGACGCGGCAAGCGCTTGCCCCATTATCATCATTTCATTTTTTTATTATTTCATTCATTGTTATACTTACACATACATCTATCTATTATTATTATTACTTCTAGCTTCACACAAATCGCGATTATTATTTTAAAAGGTTAATTTTTCTTTTTCTTGCCTTTTATCAATATCAACAAACAAACAAACAAAGCTTAATTTAATAATAGTAATATATATATAGTAGTAGTAATAGTAGAAACGAGTGTACAATTAATATCAAGTAAAAAAAAAATGAACAAAACAACAGCCACCTTTAATCTTTCAAAGTTTGTTTCACTTTTCAAGTCATCACAAGACTATAGTATCGCCAATGCCGATCCACCACCATCCACAGCCGTTGAATATGGATGGTTATGGATTCTTGAAAACTATGGCGAATTTGGTCTCTTTTTAATCTTTTATGGTCTCATGGCTGTCTTGTATGCAGTCGGTGGTTATGTCTTTTATCTCTTTGATAAATATAAATTATTCCGTTCAAGAAAGATTCAAGTCAAGGTAATTAACACACATATAATAATAATAATAATAATATAAAACATAAATGAATATTAATATTATTTTTCTATTTCTCTATTTTAGAAATACCCAAGTGAATCAGATATTAAAAGATGTCTAAATAATTTAATTACCAATTATATTTTGGTGATTTTACCAATTGGTATCGTTTCCTTCCCATTCTCTAAAGTATTGGGTATGTCACACTCGATTCCAACCGTTTGGAGATTCTTGTTTGACATTTTACTCTGTTTGATCGGTGAAGACTTTTTCCACTATTGGATGCACAGATTCTTCCACACCCCATGGTTCTACAAGAATATCCATAAAGAGCATCACTACTACTCTGCTCCATTTGGTTTCACTGCCTCGTACGCCCACCCCATCGAAGTCATCTTTTTGGGTATTGCCACTTTTGCTCCAGCCATGATCTTGCGTCCCAACTACATCACCTTTTACTCGTGGTTCATCATCCGTCAACTCGACGCTGTCCTAACCCATTCCGGTTACGATATCGAATTGTTCCCATTCAACTTGTTGCCATACTATGGTGGTGTCTCTTTCCACGACTATCATCACAAGGAATTCACTTGCAACTATGGTAGTCGTTTCACTTGGTTGGACAAGTTACTTGGTACCTACAAAGAACCTGTCATCAAACCTGAAAACCCTAAAAAATCTGAATAAACCTTAAAAACCCTTTAATAATACTTTTAATTTAAAAGTATTATTCATTCCGAAATAATAATAATATCTCTCTCTCTCTCTCTTTGCTGATGTTGATGATTCATCATTATACACTTTTTGGGAACAAGCAAAAATTCAATTTCAAACGACATAGTGGGTGGTGTGATGATTAGTTAATATCATACATCTTTCTCTTCAACATCATTCATATTCATATTCATCATTCATATTAAGATATCTTAGGATAGAATAGATAGATAGAATAGATAAATGTCAACATTTCAATACCCAAAATTAGATTTAAAGACACCTGTACCATCAGATATAGATATTGCATCAGATGCAGTACCATTACCAGTGTCGGTGATTGCAAGTGAAGCAGGAATCAATCAAGATGAATTAGATCTATACGGGAAATACAAAGCAAAGGTACATCTATCGGTACTCGATCGTCTTGCTGATCGTCCCAATGGAAAATATGTAGTCGTTACAGGTATCACTCCAACACCTCTTGGTGAAGGTAAATCTACTACTACTATTGGTCTATGTCAAGCTTTAGGTGCTCATCTAAAGAAACGTGTATTCTCTTGTGTTCGTCAACCTTCTCAAGGTCCAACTTTTGGTATAAAGGTAAGACAGAGCATATATTGGAGTATTAGATTAGATTAGATTGTCTAATTTATGTTATGTTTTTTTTGTAGGGAGGAGCAGCAGGTGGAGGATATTCTCAAGTTATTCCAATGGAAGAATTCAATTTACATTTAACTGGTGATATTCATGCTATTACTGCTGCCAATAATTTGTTGGCTGCTGCTATTGATGCTAGAATATTGCATGAATCAACTCAAACTGATGAACAACTCTTTAACCGTTTGTGTCCAGTTGCAAAGGATGGATCGAGACGTTTTGCACCAGTCATGTTGAGACGTCTTGCCAAACTTGGTATTAGCAAGACTGACCCATCGGAATTGAGTGCAGAGGAGGTGTCTAGTTTTGTACGTCTTGATATTGACCCATCACTCGTCACTTGGAATCGTGTGCTCGATACCAATGATCGTTTCTTGCGTGGTATTACTATTGGACAGGGTAAAGAGGAAGCTAGATTTACACGTTCGACACAGTTTGATATTGCCGTTGCATCAGAGATTATGGCTGTTTTGGCGCTGGCCACTTCATTGGCTGATATGCGTGAACGTTTGGGTCGTATGGTGATTGGTACTAGTCGTAAGGGTGTGCCCGTGTCGGCCGATGATATCGGTGCTGGTGGCGCATTGACAGTGTTGATGAAAGATGCTATCATGCCAACCCTCATGCAAACACTCGAAGGCACACCTGTACTAGTGCACGCCGGTCCATTTGCTAATATTGCACATGGAAACAGCTCGATTATAGCCGACCAGATCGCACTCAAGTTGGCTGGCGCAGACGGCTATGTCGTCACGGAGGCTGGCTTTGGCGCAGACATTGGTGCCGAGAAATTCTTTGACATCAAGTGTCGTGAGAGTGGGTTGATTCCAAACGTCGCCGTGATTGTCGCGACCATACGTGCCCTCAAAATGCACGGTGGCGGCCCCAAGGTCACGGCCGGTGCCCCACTCGACAAGGCATACACGTCAGAGAACCTCGAGTTGTTGTCGGCCGGCACCGACAACTTGCTCAAGCATATCAGCAATCTCGGCAAGTTTGGGGTGCAGGTGGTCGTCGCACTCAACCGTTTCTCGTCTGACTCAAACGCCGAGATCGAGCTGGTTCTCGGCCGTGCCAAGGCCGTCGGCGCCCGCGCATCCGTCATGTGCAACCATTGGGCCGAGGGTGGCCAAGGCGCCGTCGAGCTGGCCAACGCCGTCGTCGAAGCATGCTCGGTCGAGCCCAACTTCAAGTACCTCTATCCGCTGGACCTCTCCATCAAAGAAAAAATAGAAACCATTGCCAAGGAAATCTACGGCGCCGACAGCGTCGAGTATCTTCCAGAGGCTGAAAAGAAAATTGCGCTCTACACGGAACAGGGCTTTTCCAAGTTGCCAATATGCATGGCCAAGACACATCTCTCACTTTCCTCAGACCCAGAGAAAAAGGGTGTTCCCAAAGGCTTTGTATTGCCCATCAGAGACGTGCGTGCCTCTATAGGTGCAGGCTTTATCTACCCTCTTGTCGGTACAATGAGCACCATCCCGGGGCTCCCAACCAGACCATGCTTCTATGAAATAGATATTGACCTCAAAACGGGCAAGGTCATTGGTCTCAGTTAAGCTAAATTTAGATTCAATTGACCAAAAGAAAAGAGGAGAAAGGGAGCTTGCTTGATAATCCTCTCTTCGTCGTATCACTACACATTGATTGAAAAATAAATAAAAATCTACACCTAATCTCAACACAAACGATTCATGTCCCCAAGAAGCTATCACCTCACCAACAACAACAACAACTATACGACTTGTTTTGTGTTTCGTGATTGGGACCTAACTCACGTCACAACAAAAAAGAAGCTTCTTGAAATGGGAAGCAAAGCATATATGTGGTGTGTTTAAATAAATAAATCTTCACACAATACACAATCTTTTCTTTTGATATTATAGACATAATTGAGCGCGAATGGGCGCAAAACTCAGAGTGGCAGATCGCTGTTAATTGGACAATGTCCCTCGCAAACCGTCTGATGTTCATTTTAATCATTGTGTTTGGATGATTTAAAAAAATAGTTGAGCGCCAACCGTCTCAAGCCCATACTTTGTCACTTCTCCATCAATAAGCACGCGGACACCTGAAGGCTCAATAAACTACTACCCCCAATCACATCGGTCTCGGTCTATGCACACCCCCTCACGCTCAATATAGGTCCCATCCACAACACAACACAGTCAACTTTATAACAATCAATCAACATTCTAATCTGCAATCTCGCAACATCGCACCCCTCGCCATCCATCCTACCCGCCCTTCTTTCCAAACACATTTAAATAATAGAGAGAGAGAGAGAGAGAAAGTAGTACTTTCGAGAGGCCAACCCCACCACCCCACCCTACCTACCCACCCACTCATCATTGTTGTCTCTCTAACCAGTAGTAGCAGCAGCATCAGCAGCAGTAGCAGAAAGGATCTATAGATACCATTTTTAAATCACATCCACACACATCACATACATACACACAGATATAGACACATATATATTATAATATAAAGATATTTAAATAATATTATTATTTGTTGTCCTAGCTTCTTGTCATTATTATTATTAATAATAATAATACTATTATTTTAATCTGATCATATAATTTCATTTCAATTAAATTCTATCTATCTATTTTAGGCAAACCGCCTTTTTAAAATCAACAACCACACCCACACCCATCATCTTTAACATCTTCCACTACATTTTTTTTGAACCCTACCTACAACCCTATAGTAGCCCGTCATCATCACCCAACTCCGCTCATCATTACTTCTACACCAACACAATATACGTATCACATCTCAAGAGAGAGCATTAGTATGTGTTCTTAAGGTCAATGTATGTGCAAACAATACTAGTGTACCATTACTGTTCAACCATCATTTTAGGATCATTGATCATTAATCATTAATATTACTAGCCTTGCAAAGAAGAAGAAGAAGAAGAAGAAGAAAGCATTGAAAAAAAAGAAGGAGGGAGGTCAGTCAGGTGAGAGACAGATAAAGAGAAAATGAATAGAGAGGTGTTGACTGTTGGAGAACATAGAATCATAGTAAATAATCCAAAGTTAAATAAAATAAAATCATCATCTTCATCTTCTGCAACAACATCAACATCAACAACAACAACAACAACCACAACAACATCACCCTTTTATCAACAACCACCCCAACAACAACAACAACCAAATCAACCAAATCAACCAAATCAACCAAATCAACAACCAACCAATAATAATAATAATCAACAAAATCAACAAAATGAAATACTTTACCGTGACGAAAATATCAAAGTGGAAAAGGTAAAGGGCGTATCCAATCTCTATGAAACCTGTTCCAAAATCAATTATAATCAACAATTGTATCCGTTGGAGGAAAAGGTATGGGAGTATATAGAGGAGGCAGACGTTGGCGACTTTTATTGCGCTGGGTCACTCGAGGCAAAGGTGCTTCCAGTCATCACGGTTGCCGGTTTTGGAGACTTGAAATTACCCATACATTCTCAAGATATTGGTCCACTCATGGATGTTTGTCAATTGGTGAGAAGTTATGGTGTCGGAACAAAGACGATTACAGACACCAAGAAACACAAGGTCTACGTCATCGAGAAATCAAAGTTCACCGTCAAAGGATCACCTGGATGGGATCACTTTCTCAGTAATAATCTGGCCTATACAGTTGCAAAGTATATGGGTCTGGTTAATCCCGATGCCACATCATCATCATCATCATCTGGAACTGCATCGGCGCCACCATACAAACTACCCAAGATTGCACCGATAGAACTTCATCTTCACAGTATGTTGGTATACGATAAACGTTCAAACTTTGATATTGCCCATCGAAGTACACCCAAAGAGGAGAATATGATTGGATCATTAATCATATCGTTGCCATCGCAGCATGAGGGTGGATCGATTAGCGTCGAGCACAAAGAGTGTAGAGTTACAACCAGTTTTCAATCACATGCCAAAAATCAAATGCGTTTCATTGCATACTATACAGACTGCAAAAAAAGAATTGAATCATTGTCACGTGGAATGAATATCTGTCTCTATTATAATATTGTTTCAAAAACTCCACTTCAAAAACATCCATTCTCTCCTCCACCTCCACAACAACATCAAACTCAACAACAAACACAGCCTCAACAAACTCAAACACAGCCTCAACCACAAACACAACCACAACAATCACAACAATCACAACAAATTGTTCAACCTCAAATTCAACCATTACAAACCCAACAAGAACAAACGCAAACGCAACAACAACAACAACAACAACAAGAAGAAACGGAACAACATATCTTGACACCACCAACATCACCACTTGCAAGACAAAGTTCCGATCTTTCAACATTATCATCATATACGACCAAATCTCATTCTAGTATTTTCGCTTTATCTAGTCCTCATCCATCCTATTTATCATCTGGTTCATCGGCCCTTTCGACTTCGTCAATGGGCCAGGCTTCAAGTATTGCATCCCCACTTGGCCAAGCTATGGCTACTCCACTTGCCCAAACCTTGGGTATTGGATCACCAACTAAAAATACCAGCTCTCCCATTCATATCAATTTCATCGACGATCCAAACAATAACAACAATAACAATAATAGAAATTATAAGAAATTGGCACAGTTGGCACAAAAGATTAGAGATATTTTTGATTATCACAATCAAGATCAAATATCAGACACTGTAAATGAACATGGAAAAAGAAAAATACAAGTTGCTTCAATTGGAATGAGACAACAATTGGCACCAGGCTATTATGAAAATCTATCACGTTTAGTATTTTCATTCGAACATTTATATTCTCCAAATACTCTTAGTCTCTACACACTCAAAGGAAATGATTTATTGGTGGTCAATTCAATTATTCGAGCCCATAAATTAAATCCTTCCATTCAAATTTTAATTACTTTTGGTTTTATTCAAATTAATATGTATGTAAAAACAAAGAGAAGCAGTTTATACTATACTATAAATAGAGTCCAATATTAACTGATGATTCTATTTATTTTGTTTAGAGAGGAAGGTTTTGAAAATTGTTATCTTGGAGATAGAATATTTAATGGAGAGTTTAGTTATCGTCTATCAAATATTTTCGATATATTTACCAATGAACGATTCAATTTCAAAACTCTAAAGATGTCACCTACCAATGAATTGGTTCCAGGTGAAGGATTGGTTGGTGCCACTCTTACACCAATCGAAGACGAAGAACCTATAGATCAGGCCATTTCCAACGAAGATGAGATATTTTCAAGAGCAGCTCTCATTGTTTGGGATTTACACGGCCGAAATCCATACTATCTTCGAAAGATGCCCCATGCCATTAAAATCCTCAAGAGTCGTATCCAGGGTGACACCAATCCATTGTTCTTTTTCAATGAAATGGACACTATTCTCGAACACTACTACCTCACTTGGGGTGAAAGAGATGTCACTAGTATCAAAGAGATATTTGGGTTGATGTGTGACCTATCTACACTCGTTTTGGAGCAAGACAATGGTGCTGCCAATAGAAAGCTGATTGTTGCCAACAATGACAATCGCATTCGACGATTTTTTCAAAGATTCCTTTACTGCATCAAGCATGATTATCGCCCCGAGCTCAACAATTATATGGCTCGATTTGCTCGCATCTGTGGTCATGACACATTTTTGACACTCATGATCGATGGATGGTTCAACATCATCGAGGTAAAAGGATTTGTAAACAACTGCAACGTACTTGAAATTCTTTGCAATCTTTGCGAGTTGGAGGCAAACAACCAAGAATCCTCAATGTTTGTTAGATCCTACTATGACAAGTTTTTGGTTCAATGGGTTGGGGCCATGATTGACACGTTTGTTTCTACGTGTCCCATTTGCTTCAAGGGTAATCCTCCCGTTCAACCTATTTTTGGCAGTGGCATCACTGGTAGCATCAGTGGACCTAGTCCACCCAGTGGACGTCCTCAACAGCAGCCATTGCAAAAGTGTCCTCATGTCGGTCCAAGATTAGAGGAGCTAGTTGCTTTGGTCAACATCATTGGTCGTTATCCAATCTTTTCAAGTCATCAACATTCCTTTTATCAGGCAATAGGAAATATTATGACAAACAATCTAGATCCCGAGAACCCATACGCAACCAATGGGATCTATAGGCTTTGGCTCACTGGCAAACCATTGGTGGATGACGAAACTTTGGAGCGTATTTTTACAGAGTGCCTATCCGCCCAATCCAGTTCCCATTTTTATGCATCTATTGCCTCGATCGAGCAAGTTCAAGAGCAAGTCGAATATCTACAAACCTGTTGGAACTACTACTATGCCAATGGAAATCCAGGCAAGTTTGTACAACTTGAATTGGCTCTTGGTCACTTTGAAAATTGGATATCCTATGTCATCTCGAAACTAGTGACCACCAAAGACCCAAAAGTTGTTACGACCTATGGATCTAAACTCACAACCTATATCACTCCGCCACCTGAAACCAAACAACAAAAACTTGTTTGCGAGGCCGTTGCTTCATTTTTCAATCATGCCCTCAAGAATGACAATCTCATCCCTTCACCGTACGGTCCAGCACCACCTACCAATCATCGAAATCTTGGTCAATGTGTTGTCAATGTTTTCCTAAATATTGAAATTGTCAACAAATACGAGTACTACCCATTCATATACTACCAAATTGCCAAAAAATTGGTCAAAGAACATACACTTTTGACAATGCATGGTGAAGGTGGATTCCTCATCTTTGTTGAATCTGGTCTAAACATTTTACGAGAGGCTCAGGCTTCCATCATATTGCCTCCAAAAGGTTCTATCGTTTGGCCACCATCTTGTGGAATCACATGTATATGCAATGACTGTCAAAGATTGAAATTGTTCCTCAAAACCAATCAAACAAAGTACACACTTCGTGGTTCCGCCACCAATAGACATCACATTGAGCAATACCTCAGCAAATTCTTTTTAAATTCAGAAACCGAAGGAAAAAAGGCACCATACCTTTTAATCATTACAAAATCATTGGATGCTTTGAACAAAGAATGGGAAAAATATGAAAAACTCTTAAAATATATCTCTGTTTTGGAAAGTTATTTATATCGTTCAAAATAATCAAAATAACTCAAAATCAAATCAAAATAATAATAATAATAATAACAACAACAATACTAGTAGTAATAATAATATTTAATGAATTAGATTAATCGTTGCCAACATATAACCACAATCAAATACACTTGTGTTTGAAACCTCCCCCAACTATTTATTTCATATGGAAAAGATGCGAGCAACTAAACAAAAAATATATAATAACTTATTTGGTTTCTCCTCTTATCCACAAGGCTTAGCCATTCACCTAATAGCGGTGTTTGGGACAATATAATATAATAAAACAAATGTAATTTAAATAAATAAATAAAACATATCTTTTACTTTACAAAAAATAATAATATATGATCTTTTTTATTGATTGATTTTAAATAAGTGGATATCATCTTGATCCTTTTGACTTTCAAAATCCATTATAAAGGTTTTAATTTCAATTGGGTTTAATGTTACAACTAATGGTAGATTGACTTGATTTTCAATGATAGCATTTCCACTTGCTGTGGTTTCATCGACTTGAGAAATATTGAATTGATTAAAGATTGATGAGACTGAAATGGTTGATGGTTGGGAATATTTACTATTTTGACCGACTTCATAGATGTTTACTAATCGTAATAATATCGATGGATTGTCTAACCATTGACGTGTAAGTGTCAAGAGATGAAGATTGGCTGGGAATTGTTGCCCTGCATCAAGTGGTTGGAAAAAGACTTTGTGATTGTCGGCATAATCTTGGATGGTCTTTGATTCATCGAGTTGTGCAAACATTGGGAGCAATGGATTTTCATGAACCAAAGAATGTGGTGTACGAATGAGTTCACAACTAGACTTTTCTCCAAAAAGAATACGATGTGAGAATGTTACGGTGCTCGTATCATCCATGTCTTGGCCAGTTGCAGGTTCTGTAAAATTGTCACGGCGAATCAGTAACACTTCGAGTGACCCAGGAGCTTGACTACTTGATGCCATACTCTGGCGATTGAGAATGACCAATTCATTTTGGGAATCTTGTATCATTGCCATATTGATCGATGGATAGTAGTTGCCCGCAATCATACTCCATGGTGTGGTGTCATTAAACTTGGTTCCATACTCTCGCTTCATTGCCTCTAGTCCGTTGTTAGAGTAAAAAGTACGGCCATTGTTTACAGAAGTGTTTGATCGCATTGAAATCTCCTTGTTCCATCCTACTGCCACTGTATTTTCTACCAAAAAGTATTGTGACTCTTGAGCACCCGATCCAGAGTTGAGAGTAGTTTCATTAAAAACAGTATAGACTTGGCTTGCATTATTACTATAGACAATGGTGACTTGTTGGACGAGTGGACCTTCGGTTAGATACACTTGTGGAGAGGTAGCGGCGAGTGGAATTGGATTATACGGTCGGAATTCATAGACATCATCATCCAATGCATAATATTCAATCAATTGTTGACTCAATGGCAATGTAATACCTTGAACCAAATCTTGATATCCAACCAATTCCATTATACCATTGTTTTTCTTGTTGGCTTGGAATTCAAGATTAAACAAATTATTACCAATTGTCAACATTGAAAAAGTTACCTTTTCACTGACAGATCTTTGAGAAATGATAATATCTTGAATGGGTTTGTTGGGACCACCGAGTAGGGAAGATATTCTTAATTTATCTTCATGGGTCAATGTGTCTTGAGTAAGATCACCTACTGCAACAATAAAATAGGACGAGATACCAATTGCAGCAACATTGACTTGGAAATAAAGGGTCCATTGTTTGGAGGCGATATTTTGAACTGTTTGTGATGGTACTGGGTTTTGATCGTAATCAAAGACTGCATAGTTTTGTTGACCAGCTTGAATCGGTAGATATTCTACACGACTCCAAGCCAAACTGTTGGTGACAGAGATAACCAATATTTGTCCATCCTTTAGGTCTGCCACAAGTTGACTCGAAGCATTGTAGCCCTGTTCAACACTTTTATCGGCCATGATCTGACCAACCACTTGAGGAAGCATATCGAGTGTATCATTTTGAGCTTGATACAGCATTTCCATATAATTGGCACGAACAGCTGTTCTTGCTGTGCCAGGGATGGCATCGTGGTGGGTCAAGATACTACTAATGTTTCGGTGTTGATTCAAAACTTGGTAACATTGATATTCGTTGATAATATTATGACGCGCATCGTAAACAGATGTGCCCAACGAGAATAGGACCTCTGCCGATCTGAGTAGACTGTCTGATTGACGAATCGATTGTTTGAGAAGAGGCATACTCGAATAGTATCCTGACCAATACTCTACACAGGTTCCATACTGTTGATAGTAGGAAGTGACACAGTTGGTCACAGTGTAAAAGTCTTGTCCATGGTTGATTGGGAACTCGTTTGGCGTTGTCGAAGAATCCACTGCTTCAAAGTACTCGGAAGCTGTGGAATACTGGATCGTCACACCATACGACGAGTTGGCATTGATATATTCTATCAATTTATCCATATTATCAAACATGATGGCAGCATCTTGGTATCTAAAATCATTGCCAAATGGCAACAATAGATTGTTGTGTCTGTAGTATCCGGCTCTTGTGCGAATAATCTCTACAAGAACTTCGGCACGTTCGGCAATATTGGTGTCATTGATGGTTGGATTCCCAGAGCCACCTGCTTCGAAATCGAAACCAGTACAATAGCCATTGGCAGGATCGGTTATATTTGGCCAACAGTTTTGTGGTGGATTGTAATGGTTGTCGAGGATATGGGCAAAGATTGAAAAGTCTGATTCATAGGCATCATAGTTTGGCGAAGGATACCACACAAACTCAAACGACCGATTGGTGATCAATCCACCCGATCCTTCAATAGTAAAGAGAGCAGTGGTTTCCATATCGTAGAAATGTTTGGTTCTGTCGTCCACTCTATTCAAAACATGGTATTTAAACCCCATCAACTTGAACAACTGTGCGGTCATTGTAGACGGACCAAATGGATCGATCTGCCACCCCACAACCGGTGTAACGCCAAACGTTGACAATAAGAATTGATGGCCCATAGTATTTTGATTTAAAATGGCTTGATAATGTGTCAATGCCTCATCATTCATTGCATACCCTCCACCAACAAATTCCAATTGTCCATTCTGAACCAATTGTCTTACAGTAGCTTGCATCATCGATGTTTGATCATTCCACCATCTTTCAAAATATACACTAAATAATAATAATAATAATAATAATAATAATAAACATTAATATGAATGTATCTATTCTATCTATCTATCTAGCTATCAATCTATTTGTTCAAAAATATTTAAACCTACATTTCAGCCCAAACAAATCTCTTTGATTGATCTTTAATCAAATAAGGCATAACGTTTGATAGAATATGAGTTACATTCTCTTGATAGTAATTGTTATATGTTTCAATCCATCCAACATCTATAAACAAATCAAATCAAATCAAAAAAGTTAGCATTGTTCACCAACATGATCATATCATAATTATGTTAAAACTTACCACAATGAGAATGGGCAATTAAATAGACATTTATATTATCATCATTTGAATTGTAAGATTGTTGTTGTTGTTGTTGTTGTTGTTGTTGTTGTTGTTGTTGTTGATTATTGATACCTATATTATTATGTTTAGCATCAACAACATCTGTTTGTGTACAAATTGATAAAAGAATAAAAATTAAAAAGATTAAAGGTTTGATCTTCATCCCCATCTTTCCAATCTTTGTTTTTCTCTTTGTTATAATACAATAAAATATTAAAACAAATAATAATAATAATTTTAATAAATAAAGAGTTATGAGAACATGTCAAACAACCAACTCATCTAAATTAAGCTTAATGCATCGGAAATTTACCCACACCAACTTCAAGTGATGGGGTTTACTTTAGTAAAAAAAATTAATGTGGAGATATTATTAAATCCTTTTTTTTCTTTTGGTTTGGTTCGATTTTATTGAAATAAATAAGGGTGGATTGGTATAGCTTTAGCTTTAGCTATAGCTTTAGTTTGTGTTGTGTGTTATTGTTTGAGTTTGTGAGTGATGGATTTTGTTGTTGTCTTTTTTAATTTTTGGATTAGGGTTTTATTATCTTCTAGAAATTGAAGATGTGGAAGATGTCAAGACAGTTGTATTTGTTGGACTTCCAATAGCAATCTTTTTGATGACATCATTGATTGCAGTAATCCATTCGTCTTGTTCTTTTTTGGATTCTGCCATTAAAAGATAGTCACGCATCAATCCCTTGCAACTAACACCAGACATTAAAACAATTCCAAATGGTTTGCCGCTATGAGTCTCTACTTTGGCCTGATGAAGTTTAATCTCACCTTTGGCTTTGGTATCTTTTGTCTTTTTAAAATAGGATAATGTTCCATCTTGCTTTAGTCGGCACCAACGAGTTGTCCAGTTTCGTCTACCTCCTTCTCCTCCACCTTTCTTTTTGAGGTAACCTTCCTTTATAATTGGATCGTTTAGACTGACCACCTTCATATAGGTGATTTCAACTGGTGTTGTAACAGTTTTAGATGGTGATGATGATAGATTCAATGGGAAACCTTCTTTTGGTTGTGATGAAGAGGTGGTGGTGGTGGTTGTAGAGGATAAAGTGGTAGTGGATGATGCAAGTGAAGCGAGGTCGTTGGTAGAGTTTGAATTTACATTTCCAGAGCTATTGGTTTTGATTAAAATCGGAATGGTCGATGGTGGATTGGGTAGAGATACCGATATCTCTTCAAAACTGGTAACAGTATTTGATTTTGGTAAAATGTCTGATTCTTTTTTCAAAATGACCAGAGTTTGTTTTTCCTCTTCTGGTTGTTGTTGTTGTTGTTGTTGTTGTTGTGAATGTGAATGAGATTGAGATTGAGATTGATCGTCTTCAGTTACATTCACAATTACATTGACTAAATTTACATTTTCTTTTCCATCAATAATAATGATCTCTTTTGGATCGTTTTCTTTTTCTTCTTCTTTTTCCTCTTTTTCTTTGATTTGTACATTTGGTTGGGTTGTTGATGATTGTTGTTGTTGTTGTATTGTTTCTGTTATTTGTGGTTCATTTACATTTTCTGGTTGTCTTGATTCTTTTTCTTCTTCTTCTTCTTCTTCTTCTTGTTGTTTAACTTTTTGTACAATTATCTCTTCTTTTTCTTTTTCTTCCAGTTGTTGTTTCTCTTCTTCTTCATCTTTTTCTTTTTCATCCTCATTGTCAACAACAACAACAACATGAGGAGGAGGATGGTTGATAGAGTTGTTATTTACAGAGTTGGTGAGGGAGTTATTGATGTTGTTGTTGTTATTATTATTGGAGATGGTTGAATTTGGTAAAGGTTGTTGAGAGATGGTAGATATATCAAGTAGAATGTTTTTGATAGAGGAAAACTTTTGTTCAAATTCATCTACCTTTGATTTGAGAACTGGTAGGTATCGTTGAGAGTCGGCAAGTGCTTGACCTGGTAACGACGGACTAGTCGCAGACGTAGACGTAGATGAAGATGGAAGTGGAGGTGTAGACGAAGAGGGGTGTCGCTTTGTCAACACAACCTTTAATTGCATCACCTGTTCTTCGAATCGAGATATAGTCTCTTCTATTTGTTTGTTGTTGCCAGATGATGAAGAAGGTGCAGAAGAAGAAGAGGAAGAGGAAGAAGCTACTGCAGATGGTGCAGCAGAGGTTGCTACAGCAGCCGTCGAAGATTGTGATAAATCTCTACTTCTCTCTAAATCATCTAATCTCTTTTTCAACTGTTGGTTCTCTTGTTCGATATGAAGTTGCCTTTGTCTATCATTCTCCATTCTTTCAGTTAATTCTCTAATCTTTTGTTCTAGCATATATGCTTTATCTAAGAGATAGATAGATAGATAGATAGAATTAATAATGAATGACTATAACAAACTAGTTAGTTAGGGTATACATACCACCTCCTAAATCCATGGATGCTGTCAAGTCACCACCACCATTTTGATGTTGATGAGGGTACTCCATTTCTTTCATTTAATAAATAATTTATATATAATATATAAGAGATAGATAGATATGTGTGTATCTAACAGAGTAGGCTCTCTTGTGTTTAACTCTCTCTTCTCTCTCTCTCTTTACTTATTGTAACACACAATGAATTGGATGTCTGTTGGGGTGTCCAAAAGTCGTGCTTTCTTGTTCCTTGTAAAAGTTGGGAGATACGATGATTAATGTGTAGGGGTTTCACAATAAACGGGGAAAGAAGATCCTTGGATGAAAAAGGTAATGATTGATTATTATTTCGGAGCTAATTGTTGAAAATATCTATCTGTTTCAGTAGTGCAACTATCTTTTTTTTTTTGCAGCGAGCCCAAACCTGGGAGATGGTGAGTAAAGATAGATAGATGGTGGTTGTAAGGTCTTGTGTGTCTCCTTTGTATCCAACCAAGTGGATTTGTAGATGGACAATAATTAATAATAATAATAATAATAAATAATATTATTCGGTTAACCTTTTTTTTTTTTAGATCTATTGATTGGGTGGATTATTCTTTGTTATCTTGTAAAGAGGAAGAGAAGATATTGTTGTTGTAATAATAATAATAATAATAATAATTGTCGAAAGGAAGGAATGAATATCTGTATACTGGTCTGGCCGTATTAATCAATCTTTGATGGCCAATGGGCGAATGATTGTCGTTACTCACTGTTTTTTTTTTTTTTAATTTAATTTATTTATTTTAAAGGACTGATGGGAACGGAATAGACAACACAAACAAACAGCAAGCATTGTCTATGAATTAATTATTTAAATGATTGGGGGGGTGATGCATAATTATCCATTGGAATTTAATGATGATTCTGATAAACGATATGCACACAACAATAACAACAAATGCTCGCAACAGTGTGATGCCGCTATGGATAAAGAAGAGTATAATTGATTTTGTGATCAAATAGACGATGATTCGATAGTGTGCTTTTTTTAGAGGGAAAGAGTGTGGGAATCCATTATTATTATTATTATTGTTATTATTTGATGTGGTGGTAGTGGTGGTGTTTGGTGATGGCAATAACAACGTACAATGAAATATTTGAATGAATAAACTATAGTAGTTCTACTATTTTCGAATGTTGTTGGGAGAACTAATATTATTGGATTGGGTGTTTGTCAATGAAGCAGTTTAAACTGCTTCCCAAATTAAGATTATTATTATCTCTTCCCATTAACTAGTTTAATCTTGATTGTTGTCGTTAGTTGGTTGGTTTGTTGGTTAGTTGGATTATATATTATTAGTTGGTTGGATTCCATGCATAATCTTTAAATTCAGAATAATCATAGTGTCTAAATACATGATTGTACTTTGTACTTTCCAATGATTTCTTTAGTGTTGCTAGTCCAATATCCTAACAATAAGAATAGAATACAGGTGTTAATAAAGAAATAAGTAAATAGTTTCTATTTAATACATACTTTGGTTGAAGAATTGACGATAATGTCATTATAAATACTATTCATTACGATTTCAATGGCAATGGTCATGAATAAATAGGCTTGGTACGTTATATTTACAGAGGTTTTGGCATTGTTGAAAAAGTTGTCTGCATGGTTGACAATTGACCATCGATTGATTAGTGTTGACTTGCTAGCAATGGTCGGCAACACTGATCCATAACTTTCCCATTTCGGATTGCTATTCCATTTTTGAATGATTTTCGATACCAAATTATCACCATTTCCATAACACTCTCTGGCACAGTCCCTGATAATGGTACTGTCTATCAATAACGATGGAATACTTTCATCGTCGACCAACTTGAGTTTTCCACTACAATCATCAACTTGTTGTTGTACATGTTGTTTGGCACATTTTAATACAGATGAAAAGGTGTGGTGACGTAGATCTTTGAGGACCTTGGCCATCATCTTTTTGGCTGGTAATGTAAGGATGGTGGTTTCATTGTCTGTGCCGGTATGGTCGAGAAGATTACTTGATAATCTCAACACTGTACTACTGTCTAATTCCAAACATCTATTTTCCTTCTTTTCATCAATTGGTATTATCTTTTCATAACATGTATCTTTATGACTATATTTTATATCCTTGTCATATTCTTCCGATTCCTCTGATTCCTCTGATTCCTTTGATTCATTTTCTTCATTTTCTTCTTTTTCTTGTTGTGATTCATCTATTTCCTCCTCTTCCTCTTCATCTTCCTCCTCTTCATCATCATCATCATTTTCTTTTTCCTTTATATTTTGTGATATTGGTTGGAAGAATGAAGGTTTGGTGATTGTCAATTTAGAGAAACAACTAGTTACATCATCGTCTTGGTTGTCATCATCATTGCTACTATCATCATCGTCACTACTGTTACTTAATGTTGCTTTATAATTCTTCTTGTAATCATTTTCTTTGTCGCTTTCGTCATCATCATCATCATCATAACTTTCTTCTTCTTCTTCTTCCTCTTCTTTGTTTGTTATCTTCTTCTTTTGTTGTTGCTGTTGTTCAAATAGATATTTGTTTAGTCTTTCAAGCAATACTGGCTTTGTTCCAGTTGTTGATAGTCCTAATTTTCTTAGATTCGTTTTCAACTGAGTCACTAATAACTTTGATGTATCTATCTCCATCTCTCTTTCTCTGTCTTTGGATTAACTAGTGTACACTGTGACACTTTATGAAACTACTATTATACTACAAGTGTCAAGCAACCCCATTGATAAATTCAAAAATAGGCGCCAATTTTGAAGGTGGAACTTCTTCTTCTTCTCAAATTGTCATGTTTGTTCTTCAATCAAATATAGTAATATTGATGCTTGAATATATCTGTGTACATATGTATATACTAGTATGTATATATTAGCTGTCAGTTATTTAAATTAATTTTAATTTTTTTTTTCGTTTGATTCTTCAGATCATTGTTTGTTTGAATTGCACTCTTCAACGTAATAGAATAGTTTTAGATCGAAAGACACAATGAACATATCAAAACAATTGTTAAATGGAACACAACGATTATGTAGATTCATAAAACCTACGTCGTCATCGTCAATCACATCATCATCGACAATGAATAGATCGTTTTCAACTCGTAGTCATCATGATCATGATTCACCTCCACCCCCAATGGACGCTCAAGAAAAGAAAAGACTAGAAGAAGAACTCAAACAAATGGAAGAAGAGTATGAAAGAGAACATGGAGAATATACAAACCCCAAAACAGGTGAAATCGGAGGTGTTAGAGGTCCAGAACCAACAAGATATGGTGATTGGGAAAGAAAAGGAAGAACATCTGACTTTTAAAAGAAGATAAGATCTCCCTTTGACAAATATATATCACTATAGTAAACTACCTACGCACCCAAAGAGTTCCCATTGTCTCTTTTGTAAATAAACAAATAAATAATAAATAATAAATAATAATAATAATAATAATAATAATAATAATAATAATAATAATAATAATATGTGCTTCTTAAGAATGATATAGATGGAGAGTATAGTAGTGTCAGAGGCTGATTTTAGTAAATGTAGCATCGTTGTAGCACCCGCAAAGAAGATCTATCTGGCTGCCCAACAAACATACCTGCTATTTTAAAAGTCTATAGATTAATTAATCTATAGACTTTTAAACCACTTTTATTTTATTTTTTTTTTTGTTTTATAATTTGAAACTTTATTTCTATGAGTCGGGATGATCAAAAGAACCCATGCCACTATTAAGTATTCTTCCATTTGATGTATTTTGCATTATCAAGTTATTTGTTTTTATTTTCAATCAAGACAGCATAGACAATATAACCATGGAACCAAAACTTACAATTGAACAAGTAGAAAATTTATTCATATCGATTGGGATTGAACAAAAGGACTCGGAAAAAATGGCAATCAAACTGATCGGCAACCATTTCAACACAAAGAAAGGTATCCTTGAAATCTACAACAAATCAGAAAAAAGAGATGCATTTTTCCCACATCTAAGAGTTGGTGATGAAGGAGACTTTAAAGGTCTTCTAGAAGGTACGTCCTTGAAGATTTTTTCTTTTTTGACATCCGATTCTAAAAAATATTATTATTATTATTATTATATTATTATTATCTTTTTTATTTCTATTATTAATATATTATATTCTTTTTTATTTCTTATTTATTAATTAGCTCACCCAATTGCGATGTCACAGTATCTTGCTAAATGGATATTGGAAACATTTCCTAACCACACAGTATGTCTATAGTCTATTTATATATTATAAATTCTGTATACTAACAAAGTCTATTCACGACAGGCAAATCAACGATATAACCCTAATAGTGGATTTGGGCACAACTTCCCGTTTGTTGGGAGAGACTCAAGTATCCATCAAATTGTGAATGTTGTCAATGAAAGATGGGAGGCAAAAGCACGTGACCAAAAGCAAAACCCAGTAATGGTTGTTGCCGGTGCACCTGGAACGGGTAAATCAAGACTCCTCTATGAGTACCCTTCCCGTCTTCGTATGAGTCAAAGCCAAGATATTTTCAAGGAGTATGTCGATATCTACGTTACATATGGTAATGGCGCTGGTTTTGATCGCGATCTGGATTTCAAGTTTGGGGTGCAGACCACATTTTCATTACGTGTTTTGAGCGCCTACTTTGGGGTGGATCCACAAGATGCCATCCGTGCATGGCCAGGGGGAAAAGTTGCCTTGAAAGATGTTCTCCAAGCATTCAAGGAACATAAAAAAGCCCCAAATCTTGCTGTGTATCTCTCTGTCGACGAGTTTCAAAGACTGCTCACTCTGAATGGAACCTCAAAAGATAGACCTTTCCAACTTGGGGAGATGGTTATGGCTATTGGACAGACACAGTGCAACCCTCCACCTGGCGTATTTTTTGTTTCCTTGATCGGTGGAACCATCCTCACACCACTCAAGGAGGCTATATCGGACTCTGCATTTCCTTGTATTCCTATAAGCATACCTCTTCTCAGTGAACCTGACTGGGTCAGTTCTATCATCTCATCCACCAGAGCGAAAGATTTTATCGACAATCACTACTTCCAGTGCGCACTTTTGTACATCGGCGGATGGCCAAGAGCCCTCGAGTATTTCCTCGAGGATCTATCCTCCACAGACCCAAAAGACACTACCCCTGGAAAGTTTACAGATGCTGTCACAGCAGCAAGAGTCAAAATGGGTTATGTGAATTCAACCTCTAACCCCCTCTATGTGCAAGCACTCATAGCCTATTCAGTCACAGGTGTCGGGGTGCATTGGTCATATGATCATCTTTTGGGCGATCCTTCAAACCCAACGTTTGAAGAATTGGAAAGACAAGGAATTTGTACTAGATACTCAACAGACAATGATGATTATTCAACAGTAGCAATTCCACTCCTTTACATTTCAACTACAACAAACCCAACTCCTCTTCCCTTTTTACAACTTAGAGAAATTCTTGAAGGCTTAAAAAGTGATTTGGATTGGCTGAGATGGGAGATATTCTGTCCCCAATTCTTGTCAGTTAAGATTATGATGTTCCAATATCTTGGTATTCCAATTACAATTGAATCTCTTTTTGGAAAATACGCTTTATATTCTTCTACGAAACCAAGACGCCAACACACCAACAATGGGTGTAGGCAAGAATTCAGATCTTTGCCGGTTCTCTCAAACATATGTTTGTATCACATTTTGCCAGTTTTAATCACAACTCATACTTTTTTACTTGATTATTTTAGCGCACAAAGTAAAATCATTGACAAACCCTTTTCCATCAATCATTGAAGAAGGATGTACAAATGGAGAGTGTGTCTATATCAATGGAGCAGGGGCAGCTTTTGATTGGTTCTATTGTTACAAAGATCTTTTAGTTACGGGACAAGGAAAATACAGTCGCGAGTTGGATGGGGGACATGAACGTGTAACTAACAATCACAATCAAGATGAATGCCTCAAGGTTATCGAGACAATTCAAACCACCAATTTTGTGCAATATCTTTGCATCGTAGGTCCATATCATGAAGAATGCATTTCGCTCCCCAACTATGTCGTGATTTCTGCCAGTGACCATTTCAAGGGACACTTTGGATACATATTCTCTCAGGCAATTCATCACTTCCAACAAGCAGCCACCAAACAACGAAATAATAATACAAATAAAAACTATTAATATTCGATTATCGAACTCATTTTATTTACAATTCCATCTCAAATAACTCTTATTGCTATTATTAGTATTATTACCATTATTAGTTTGGTTGTTGTTGTTTGGGTGAAAGGTTATTGTTATGTATTAATATTATTATTGTACGTAGTTGTTAGTTAGATGTTGTGTTGTATTTTTTTTTGTTGTTACGAGAGAGGGACCAAAAAAAGAAAAAAAAGGTATCGGTATAGGTTGATAAATGATGATGTAGTATACATTAAATATAAATAAATGTGGTGGGATGAAAGTGGTTGTTGGTGCTGTTGGTTGACTTGATTTGGGCTCCTCTCTTTTTTGTTTTCGTCTTTTTCTTCTATAGATATTTGGGGAGATGTTGTTTTTGTTGTTGTTGTTGGAATTGAGACAAGATTAGTCTGGTCCAAGACTCCATTTCTCTCTTGCTGTCGGTGCAGAGCAAGACGGTGGTTTGTTTGGATGTTTTGATCATTTTTTGTTGGAGTTTCATGAGGGTTTCGATTTGTTGAGGCGACGATTCAATCACTGCCATGAGCGTGGATGATGGTGAAGGTTTGGCAGATGAGGACGAGGACGAGCTATTGGAACCGGGACTCGACGATGAGCTGCTTGGACTGGATCCATTGTTGATGAGGTGAGGGGTGGTTTGAAGACTGGCTGGTGTTGAAAAGGTAGAGATACTAGATGAACGCAATAAAGATCCACTGCCATTCTTGTAAAGAGTAGGACGTGGTTGTGTAAGTGAATGGTTTGGTGTTTGATTGTTGTGTTGGTTTACAGGACGAGGTGAGAGGTTGTGTGGATTGGATGAAGAGGGAGGAGTGAGAGAGGTTGGTTGCTCAGACAACTCTTTCTTTTGTTTGGAGTTTAGACGTAGTGAGAATCCCTTCTTTTTGGGATCGGCTTGTTGTGGTCCGCCACCAAGATAGGACGTATTGTTGTTTTGGGGAACAGATGTAGAGAGCGGCGAATTGGGAGATGAAGAAGACGATGAAATGGAACTAACTTCCTCTTCGTAAAAGGCTGATGACTCTGAAGTATCCATGGACGAGACACTGTCCGAGTCGAGAATATCTGAGCTCGAGTCATTGGTTTGTTGCATCGTCAACATTTGTTGTTGCAACTGTTCGCTAGTATACTTTTCGGCCACTGAGTCCCAGAAACGTGGTTCCTTTTTCTTGTTGTTGGCTGTCGACATGAGCAACATCTGTTGGTACACCCATTGTTGTGTGATTTTCATGCTCTTTCCAGCCTTGGACGGGTCGGCGATTTGTTGTTGTTGCAAAAGCTCCATCAAAAGTGGTGGTGAGCTGTGATTGACCATGAAACAGTATTTCTTGCCTTTCAGCTCCTTCTTTGGTGTAATTACAGTGTCTGGATGGAGATATCTAGTTGGAGTAGTATCCGATGGCTTTCTAAAGAAATATAATGATCCTTCACTAAGAATACACCACTTTCTACTCCATTTCTCTGTTACCTTTCCTTTAACTCTAATATTTAACCATCCTTTTTTAACTGCATATGGGAATTTTGCTCTAAACAAAAAGAAATAAATAAATAAATAAATAAATAAAAGAAATTTAATTAATATTTATAATTTATAATTGTCTGATTGATTTGTTTTGTTTTTATACATACTGAGTAGGATCCATTTTAATTTCATCAGCAAATATTCTATCATAAAGATCTTCGATAAATTCTGTTGGGAAATCCTTTCCATTGTTGATCTTGGCAAGTGATTTGATAAATTTGACTTTGGTCATGGAAAGTTTGATTGCTGGACTATGTACATCGGTATTCAACAAGATAATAGCAAAGGCTAAAACGTATACGGAATCTGGGTCTTCAAAGATTCCACTCTTTATGTTGTCTTTATAATATTGGTTTGCAAACTTTTGCATTATTCTATCAATCTTTTGTGCCTCGCCAGGTAATCTAAAAGTATACAATAATTGTCTCAAAGCCATATCAAAATCTAAATCTTGGAAATTAAATCTTGCAATAAATGCCTCTAAAATGGATATAGAAAATGGATCACTAAAAAAAAATAAAAAAGTTAATATTAATATATATATAAATATTTTGATTTTTTTCTTTTGTTTCTATTTTCTATTTTCTATTTGATACATTACGATTCACCTAAATAATCACCAATTGATCTCTTATTTAAAAGTGGACAAGTACGAAGGAATTCTGAAACAGATTCAGGTGTTTTTTGTAATAGTTTACAAGAAAAGAAATAATCTATACCCTTTTTTGGTTTGTCATTGAAAAGATTGATACCAGCCATAACAATTGCTTCTGATGGTGGTTGTAGAGATGGAGAAGGTGTAGAGGAGGAGGAGGTAGAGGTTGTGTTTGTGGAACTGGTAGAATTTGTGGGAGGTGGAGTTGATGATGTACTAGATGTTGGTGATGGAATCTTTTTGAAATGAGATGCTTCTGTAATATGATCGACAGTTGTTGAACCACTGACATCTATTCTGACTTGAGGTATTTCATGTTCCTCTTCAGTCTCTACTTTGACCTGTTCCAATTGTTTTCGAATCTCTGCTTCCTTGTCATATTCATCGCTGTTTTCGCTATTGTCAGCGTCATCACTATGATTGTTTTCATTGCCATTCTCTTCACCCGATATGACTTGGCTTGTTGCCAATTTGTGCATCTCTGAGAGATGTTCTATTAATACACTTCCACGTTTGAGTGGATCCAGTTTATCATCGATCCCTTTCATTCTATTGTGAAGTAATGACCATTTTGGTGCATCATCATGTCCATTTTCAATATTGGATGTAGCGCTAGTAGATGTAGTCGAGGTGGTACTCGTGGTGCTAGTACTCGCAGTACTATTGGACATTGATCTGGGTGGTGGTGGAGGTGGCATGTTTGGTTTGGATGTTGGTTTGTAGTCTGCACCATCCACCTGATGCTGCTGGTGTTTGTTGTTGGTTCCTGGCAAAGGAACGGTTGTAGGCTCTGACATTACTTCACTCGATGTATCGCTTGTTGCTGTCGTATAACTATTCACTGTACTTAGTGTAGATGCTGATTGAAATGATAGAAATTCTTCAGATTTGGTTGAAGATGATAATATATTTGGTGATGTTTGTTGAATAACTATTTGTTGTTGTTGTTCTGGTTGCTGTTGTTGTTGTTGTTGATCTACAATACTAGTAAAATTTGGTATTGGTTGATGTGAATGATGGGATCGATGAGTTTCAGTTTGATACTTTAAAATCCTTCTCTGTAACATTTAGTTTGGTAATATACACAGGTTGTTGAGTTGAATTGATTGGGGTTTGGGGTTTGGTGGGGTTGGATTATTGAGTGAGTATAAATATAGAAACAACTATAATTCTACTCTACCGTTACTATTCCTTTCCTTTTGTTTGGTTTGTTGGTTTGTTGCTGATTTGATTGATCAAATAAATAAATAAATAAAGGTTCTTTTTTTATAATACAAAAATGGTGATACTGTTGCTAGTGTAGTGTAGTGTTGCTGTTGCTCGAGATATTCTATTCTTCTAAACTATGATATTTAAATAATAGTTAATGTTTATGTATTAGTACTAATTTAATTGACTATTGTTAATAATATTATGTGATTAGAGAGAGAGAGAAAGTAAAAGAAGAAAGGGAAAAACTTTTCTTTGTTTGTTGTGTTGTAGGGTAGTGATAATATTATTGTTTGTGTTTGTATTGATGGTTGGTGAGTGAGTGAGTGAGTGGAGCGTGTGAGTGTGTGTTGATTGGGTGAAAAATGATTATTTTACTGTGTGTCACGAGAGAGAGCAAAGAACGTGGTGTGGTGGGGTTGTGTTGTGTTGTGCGTATTATACTGCTGCTGCTGCTCTTTGTTGTTGTTGTTATTGCTATGCCTATCATATCATATCAGATAGATGTTGTTTGGTCTGATAGAGGAAGGAAGGAGGTGATGAAAGAAAAAGTGAACAAATTGTTTAACCGATAAAATACGAGAGCAAAAGCAACATACAATGTAAAAGGGGAAAAAGGATGGATTGAAGGATGATGATGGGTCATTCAATCATTCATTCATTCATTCATCATTCATTCATCAATCGCACAAGTTTGATACACACTCAAACACAAAACTGCGAACAATAATAAATAAATAAATAAAGGTGTGTGTTGTGGTTGACTGATTTAATTTAATTTGATTTGATTGATTAATAATATTATTGATTGATGTCTTTTTTCTTTCTTTTGTCTGCTACTATCGGTGCTACTATTGCTGCTGCTGCTGCTACTATGACCATGAATGAAATGGCTATAGTAACGACCAACACCAATATCACTAACTATTAATTCTAATTCTAATTTTTAAAAGTATGAATTTATATGTACACACACACATACACATAATAATAATAATAGCAACAAGAATAAAATGATTGATAGATAGATTGATGTATTATTATACCCACTAAACTAAATGGAATGTTAACCTCTCCTAATTTGATTGTTCCCTTCTCGTTCTATATATTGTCATTGACTAGATGATGATGATGATGATGATGGTTATTGGTTATAATATAAAATTAGCCTACTATTCCATCTATCTGTCCTACCGAGCTAGCTAGCTAGTTGTAGTAGTTGTATTTTAAAGATAAATTAACTGTTTGATTGATCGACGACTGACTATCAGCATCCAAGTGTTGGTTTGGTGAATCTTTTTGTTTGTTGTTTTTCTGATCGCTACTGATTCTTTTTCAACATAGATCTATGAGAAAAACAAATTAATTTGGCAATACAATAGCTGGCCAGTGTTGTCGGGGAGAGAGAGGTGGTGGGAAATTGTCATTGGAATCACCTAACCAATCAAAGAACAACAAACTTTCTATGCACAATAAAATGGTTTATCTGGTATTCCGGAATGAACATTATTCTATCCTTCTCTCTCTCTCTCTCTCTCTCTCTCTCTCTGTCACATATGATGAACTTGACAATAAATAATTGAGATGATTTAATTGAAATCTACCTTTTGTCTACATGCCCATCCTTGTTTGTTTGATTATTAATTAATGTTGTTCAAACAATATTTCTATCTCTGGATGAATGATTTGGTTGATTGTGTTTTCAAAAAAAAAAAACAGGGTAGAACCTAATGGGCTGAGTTTTAAACTAATTATTATTATTATTATTAAAGGAATGTGATTAATCGACAATAAATTCCATTCATTATCCAAATATTCGTCTGATTTTTTTTGGTTGATGGTTGGTTATACCACCACTAGTAGTCTACTAATGAATGATGTCAGTCGTCTTTTAAAAAATTAAAAGATAGGATACAATCCCATCCCAAAACCCCCACTCTTCACAACAATTGAACTAACTATGTTCCCTTTTGTCTTCCTTGTTCGTCGTCTGATTGATTGATTGATACGTCAACCCAACTAACGGACTGCTGTTTTGCTGCTGATGGTTGGTTGAATAGTGTGTAGATATATCCAAGAGATAGATATATAATATAATACTCTAAACCTACCTACCTACTCTACTGATTACAATATATATATATATAATATATTTAAATGGAATGTATAAAATGAAGTTGATATGGTTGTGACTAAAATGATTTAATGGATGGTTTAAACTCTAACTATTATTCTAATGACTAATACTATTATGATCGATTATTATTATTATTATTAATATTACCAAAATAATAAATAGTTATTATTGTTTTTCGAAAAAGAAGGAAGAAGGGAGTAGTCCTTTGCATGCACAACAGTGTTCTTCAAAAGAGATAATGTAATGATGTGTTGTGGTGGGATTATGATAATCGCAACGAATGAGATTTTTGTGATCGTTGTTGTTGTTATTATACCTTTTTGTTTTTTTGATTGTGTTGTTTCAAAAGAGATAGTAGTTGGAAGATGGTTGATATGGGTAGTGTATTTGGAGATGGTCTCCGTTTGTATATTTCCTATTCTTCCTTCAATCTGTATTTTTGTCTCTGTCTGTTATGTTATCTATCTATCTATCTTATGTGTTAGCTATGATGGCACCGTCGTAGAGATTTTTTTGGACAGAGGAGCTGAGCCCACTTATTTTTTTTTTTTTTTTTTTGATCCATCACACAGCGATTTTAACAAATTTTGCTTTGCTGTTTTTTTGTGACACCCAACGGGACAACGAGGGGATCCTTTCAAACCCAAAAAAGTCTTTTCATCACCCAATCGTGCTGAATGAATTCAAAATATCTTTTGTCATAGTATTATTGTTATTATTATTATTATTATCTTCACCTCATTTATTTTAAAAGGGTGTCTTTAGATGGGCCATCTACACCAATCAAGGGCCATGCCCCACTCACGCTCACACACACACATTTGTATTTATTTTTCTTACTTTGGGAATAGAATGATTTTATTGTACTTGTACCAAATATAGGAATATGCATTGGTGAAGGGCTCGACAATGTCATTACAAACATTGGTGTGGTGTTGGTTTTCGGTTAATTGTTGTTGCTCATCTGCATCGTCAATCTCCATATCTATATCTATATCCATGTCCTCTTGATCGTCGTTGTCGCCTTCATTTTCATCTTTGCACTGATCGTCACCACCATCACCATTGGCACCTTCACTTTTTTGTTCTGTATCGACACATCGATTGGAACACAACAACGACGGAATAATGATCTTATTATTTTCAATAGTCATCTTATTGTTTGTGAAAGTGTCGGTTGACAAAGACGAGGATGATAGATTTAAATCAAACACACAAACCTTTGTTGATTTTGTCTTTCGAATATATTCCATTTGTTGATTAGGTATCAATAATGATTCCACTATTATTTGTTCATTATTATTATTATTATTATTATTAATATTATTGGACTTATAAACTAAAACATGAATTTTAGTTGGTTTAAGTTCGGTATTAAAGATATCGATTTGACCAACCACCAATTGTCTCATAATATCTCTTATTATTGAGTTGATAATTGTCTTTTGTTGGTCGATTGTATCATTGTTGTCATGATGATGATCATCATCATCCATACACAACATATCTTCATGTGATAACCTAGGTACATTGATAATATAAATTTCTTTTGGTGCCATGATGGAATTACCAAAGATAATGACAACCTTTTCATAGTAGTTACCACTATTAAAGTCTATTCCAAGAGATCCAAATAATTGATTACAACTACTCAATGCAATCATACATTTTTTTGGTATCTTTTTAATTATCTTCTTTTCAACATTATCATCTTTGTTGTTGGTGATTGGAGAATACAATCTTTCAAAGTCATTATAAGGTCTAAGAAACAATATTAGTTGAATGTATTTAATGTAATGATGATTGATTGAGTATAAACATACAATTTAATTTGATTTCTCATATAAAAGAGATACTTGATGATCTCTTTAACAACGGTTGTATACAATTCAGATAGTAGATTGATACTATCTATCTTGTTATCATTTATAAATAGAGGTATATCAATCACACTATTTTGATTCTTCTTCTTTTTGTTATTCTTGTTGATATTCATTACATTGCAGTTTAATTACTTCTTAATTAAATTATCTATCTATATTGTAAAACAAAATGAACATCACATCTGACTGAACTGAACTGTGAGTAAATAATAATTTTCGAAAAATTAATTTATTATTTCTATTTCAATCTTTATTAGGTATAATAATTAGTTAGTGAAGGATGAGTTGGACCTATTAAATGATTAAATTCACTGTCAATGGTTGGAGGAGCATTTAAAGATACCTTTTTGTCTGGTTGTGTTTTATATTCATCTGAAAAGTCGTCATCTTCATCTTGGAGTGAGTAGTTGACTATGAGTGGTTGTGTTGTAGTTTCGTCACGATAGTTTCTACTTTTAATACATCTACATGATAGATATTTATCTATACATTCAGAGTATCTTGTTGCAAATCCTTCATTGAGACCATATACCACTGCATTGAATAGACCTTGTAGAGGTTGTATTAGGTTCAACACAAACAGTGTAAATTGTGGATCGAATGGGTGATAGAAAAAGTGAATTGAATTAATAAATGCTGGTAACTGTGAAATGGAGAATGACATGATATAAAATATCATCAATATCATCATCCTCCTTGCTAAATTATTTGATTGTGATAGTTTCCATCTAAAATAACGAAAAATAAATAAATAAATAAATTAGTATAAATATTTCAATCAATCTATATCTTTCTATTATTATTATAGATACTTTAATAAAATGAAAATAGTTAAATTAACAACAAATACTAATATTAATGGTATAAAATACAATAATTTAAATAAACTTTTAGGATCTCCAATAAAACACCTAAATAAATTTATGGATGGAAATGAAGTTTAGTCATTTTGTTGAATAATTTGATTTGATTTGATTTAATTTAAATTATTTACCAAGACCCAGTTCTACCAAAAATATCATAATTTAACATTGCAATGAGAGTAGTGGCAAATGGAACACCCCAACTAATGATATGAAAATATTTCATTAGATGGTTTATATTGACTTGATTTAAAAAGAATACAAAATAGACAGAGATGGAGATACACATTGTCCAAAAATAACTACTCGATAGGAAAAACATGAGACCAATACCTTGAATATCACAGAATGTTTTTGACAATCGACCAAATGGATAGTAGGATATGGCGACCATTAGGTCACTGATGCTTAGGAAAAATATCAACTTTGATGCAAACGATGTTCGAATATCCTTGAATAAAAGAAAGGTGATAATAATAAAAAGTGATCCAACACATCCTAGTGTACTCGTAACATAAACAATCTTATCCAATTGTTCTATTTGAATCTCTGTAAAAAATCTAAAATCTTTATCGTATAGTGTATCATTATTCGTTGTTGTTGTTGTTGTCGTTGCTATCGATGAATGGTGGCCATAGAGTTGATCAATTTGTAAAGGTATCGTTGAAAATGATGATACCTCTTTCATTAATGTTGATTCCATCCAAACTAAAAAAAGAAAAATATTAAATAAATTTAATTTGAATATAAATAGAAATAGAATTTATAAATAGATAAGTATAATATTTTCCTAAAGATGAATAAAAATAGATATATATATATTTTATGACATTATAAAAATAAAAATAATAATAATAACCATGGTAGTATGTATTACAATTGAATAATCAAGTCTGTCTAATACTACCACCATACTACAACAACAACAACAAAAAAACGATAACGGTGCTAATGATCTTTGTTTTCCCACCAACCCACTGTACAACACTGTTTTGGGTGAGTGGTCAAGAGAGAGAGAGAATCAAAAAAATTATTTTGTATCGTCGTATTCCAAAGACAGAATTATCACATCCATTCCATGTACATTGATAATTAATCTTCTCTTCTTCTTATCTGTGATCACTATAATTATATATATATATATAGTTATTTGTAAATAAAATGATAAAATAATTAATTGGATCATTTTATTCAAAAATTTGAAAGTTATATTATATCATATTATTATTATTATTATTATTATTATTATTATTATTATTATTACCTATTTTTACAAAGAATAGAGAATGTTTGAATAGCAAATCTATATTCATTTTTGTTGTCGGTTCTTTGTAATTGTGAAAGGAATATTTGTCTATCACATGGTGCAACAACATCATCAAGGAATGGAGATTGAACTAAAATGATCTTGGCTTCTCTTCTAAAAGGTGTTGGATAAGAAGATGAATAGGAAAAGAGTACTTCTGAAACTGTATTCATAAATGTTGTTGGGAAAACTCTTGAAACTCCCTATTGAAAAATAGAAATATAATAATATATATTAATATTTGTTTCATAGTAATATTTATATATATAATATTATTTTGAGTTTTCAAACTTACAATTAAAAGATTTTTAATTAAAACTTTACCATGAACAGCAATGATTTCATCAATAATGGCACCAAATACTTTATGTCTTTCATCTTTTGATTTACATGACATAATAATAAGCGATAAAAAGTTAAAGGTATTTCTGACAGTTGACAAATCCTTTAAATCCAATACATTATGAATAATATAAATAACAAGTGTCGAAACTATATTTGGATTTAAACATTGTGGTGAATATGTATATGTCTAAGTAAATCAAAATAATCAAATAATTAGTATAGATAAATATTTAGGATCTTTTTCTTCTATTTCTTTTTTTACTTACAGATTGAATTAATAATAAATAATCTTTTGTAATATCAGGTCTAATTGAAAAGTTGAGATGATATTGAGGATCAATAGCGTATTCTTGAGGTAATGTTTTACTAAGTTTGATGGTTTCCTCACGAAGTAGAGAAAGTGTAGTGGCAGAGATAATGGACAAGGATTCTTTTAGTTTGTTTTCAGTTTCAATTGGTAGTTTGGTTGAGGATGCACATGCGTTGATAACCTGTAATAAATAGGGAAGAGGGTTCTTTTGATAGGCCAATGTAGCTTGAGTAATGATTTCCGGTGCCAATTCTGATACAACATTTCTACAAAATAATAATGTCCATCTATAAATTGCTGAAATTAACTAAATAAAGAAAAAAGATAAAAGAGGGTTAAATATGATATAAGATCTTTTTTAGTACTACTATTTGTTTTTATCTTCTTACCTCGACAATTTCATAATCATATAAATTAGTTTCCAATAATTGTTTTAATTGAGGAATGATTGCTTGGAGGAATGGGAGGAGTGGATGTTTACCAGTATCTTCTTGATCGTCAAGTTCGATGATTTTAGTGGTGTGTTGATAAATCTCTAGTTGGATCTTGAGGAATGGTATGTTTTTCGCTTTGGTTTGAATGTATTGGTTGACGTGTCCAATGATGGGTGAGAGGAGTGCCTGGAAGGGTGGCATGATCTTGTCGACCTGTTGGATAGTGTTGATGAGATAGAGAAGGCCGTGGTAGAGGTTGGGAATGGCGGGATGGCATTGATTCGAGTGGAGATGGGGTGCGCAGAGCTCAATGATCTGTGAAATGTGTGGAACGAGGTGGTGTGCACAGTGACGGTCCGATGCAATGCTAAAGAACGACTGCGAGGCAACCTCGAGTAGTTCTGGCGATGCAAAGGCGGGTATCAAATCAAACACCACCTTTTCAAGACACTCTCTGTTGTCTTTGAGATAGGATGCATACTTGCCGACAAGACGAATCGAGTTTTGACGAGATCCAAACTCTTGCAACGGATTTGAGGGATGAGTTGGAGGAGTACGGGAACAAAAGAAAAGTCTTGTCCACTGTGCATTCCTGCAGACAACCCCGAGATATAGTAGAGTGTCGATTCGTAAGTCTGCCAGTTTGGTGTTTGTGCAGAGATATCGGATCGCAATCTCTCGATGAGGTGGTCGAGCAAGTACCGCTTCTGCGTCAACACGTATGTCTGAATCGAGATGATCGCTTCTTTGGACGACGAACGGAATTGGTTAAATTGCGACAATTCCTCTTCGTCGAGCTTGCCACTGAGCGGGAACGACCCCAACTCTCTAAAACGGTCGACCACGCGGATAAAGAACGAGTCGAGTAGCTTGCGGTCGAGTGACATGTACTCGGGGTGCGACTTGAAGTCGTCAAACAGTGAAAAGAGGGGTGTGCATAGCTCGCGGTCTCCCATTTGAATGCAGGTGATTGTGATCTCGAGGTAGCGCGTAATGAGCTCGTTGGTGAGCATAGACGCGTTGTTGTAGTAGAGGATCTTGACAAAGAGGTGGAAGATGGATCCCGCCATCTCTGTGTTGTGGCCTTTAAGCGCCTGCGCAAAAAACTCGGGCAACATGGTCGACAGACGCTCCGTCATGACGGTAAACATCTTCTCCGTCTCGGTCGATATGTTGGACTCGAGGTGACGCAGTGCGTTCTCGATCATCTCGATCAATGGCTCGATGAGCGAGTGTTCCCTATTTACAATCTGCAGCGCCACGTCAAATGCGCAACCCAACAACTGCGGACTCGGCAGCATATACTTGAGCCACGAGCCCAACGATTTGTACAGCAGCTTGATCTCTTGGCTGTACTGTGCATTTGGCTCGCACGATGCCAACGTCGACAACATGGTCAACAAAAACTTGGTCAGCTTGTCAATGACGCCACCACGTATGCCCTTGCTAATGTCCTTGTACGAACACGATATCGACTCTGCGTTTAGCTCGCGTGGCAGCTCGGTCAGATACTCTGACACGAATTTTAGGTTCTCTGTCTTGACGCATTGCAGCGGGTTGTCTATCGACGGACTTACCAACTCAATCACATTCTCTATCGGAGTCGGCCACAATTTGCCAAACGTGTACATTGACACCAACGCAAGCACCACTGCCACACGTGTCGCCACTATACCCGTCAACTTGCCAACATTCTGTGTAATTGCTATAATCATCTTTAACGTCTTTTCTCTCAATTCTTTTGGTAAACTATGCCATTCATTCTTTAGTTTATATTCCAATGTCGATGCTCCAAAGTATTGTAATTCAACAATCTAATAGATAACAAATATCAAACAACAGTTAGATAACATTCAACTACACTTGACTTCTTCTTCTTCTTCTTCCTCCTCCTCCTCTTCTTCTTTGCTTACAGATGTTTCCAATATAAGTTTAGGACACAAATCCCATGTACTAGGTAATTTCTGAACTGCTATCAACCAATTCTGTGCAAAGTCACGAATACTCGTTTCTGTAGCATTGTATAATGCTACCAATGCTTGTGATATATTCTCTATAGTTGGGGGAGGATCTAGTGGAGCATTTTCACCATTGCCGTTTGAATGATTACCATTTTTATTGTTATTCTCTCCCATATTCATATTTATCTTGTAGTCGATATATGTGTGTTATTTACAATACTACTATATATGCGCTCTATATATATATATATATAAATATGTATTACTTTTCTTTGTTTCTATTATTACAAATACAATAAACAAAAGAACTAAACCCAAAACTATTCCTCTTCAAGAGAAGGTCATTCGATTCGAATTCCAAGTTTTTTTGAAAATTTCAAAACATCTGGCTCCTCTTGTATGTCCTAGATCAACGACTAATTCGTCTTGATTTAATATTTTTAAATAATAATACACAATAATGTAAAAGTAGTTGGTAGAGAGAATTTATTCATCAATTAAATGGTCATTAACATGTTGTATAACATCTTGACCTTCATTATTTAAATATGATCTTTTCATAATTACATTGGTATGTGATAAACTAAAAGAGTTCAGGTTTTGGAAACGAATGGAAATGGAAATGGAAATAAAAATGAATTAATACAATACTTGGATTAAAGAATAGAATATATAATATCTAATTTTAAACTTACAAGTTTTTAAAATAACAATGATAACGATCAAAAGTTAGAGTTTGAAGATTTTGTAACATTTTTAAAAGTTGTTGACGTTTCTCTTCATTCTTGAAACTGTCTTCTCCAACTGGAACGAATGGAGCTTGTGTAGATGGATTGATAATGTGGGGATACTTTTCATGGAATATCATTTCAATCAATTCTTCAACCTTTCCAACTCGTTTAGTATATGGGTTTCTATGTGTCATATCAGATGTACAAAAATTAACTTGAATATCATTTTCAATGTTTGAATAAAGTATTCTTGATTTAAATAATTCTAATCCTTTATAATAAATATCATCTAAAAAAGAAAAGAAATAAATAAATACATCATTAATCAAACGACATTCGTTGTGTTTAACATCTACATACTTGGATCAGTCATTTTTAATAATAAAGGATTTTCAGGATCATCAGTCAACATTAATTGTTTTCCAGTCATTTTAATCATTGCATCTGTAAATACACATGCCAACTTGTTAAATGCTGTTGATTTTGGTCTTCTACTCCCACAATCTAGAATCAAAGACATTAATTAGAATCAACCAATATTCCAAAAAGATATGTGTGTTTTGACATTTAGTGTTTACATACGAGGAGAAGATAAAGAAATGTATTGGATTGGTTGTACATTGTTAAAGTATCCATGTTGATATAACTTTCCGATTGCATGACGAGTAATCAAACCACCCAAACTATGTCCAATGATTGATATCTTTTTAATTTGCTCTTGGTATTGTTTGGTGAGCTGTACAATTTCATTAAACAATCTATCACCACATGCATCTATACCTTGATGAGTAGCCTGATTGAATAGACTCGTATTGTTACTCTTTGCAGCATATACCATCATTGTAGGATGTGATTTTGCCAATACATCTTTCATTACAATATAATCACCATCGGTTGCATTCAAACCATGTTGTAAAACCAATAAGTGATCTTGTTGAATCGCAACATATTCATTGTCATGGTCATAGTCAATGTCATTGTCATTGTCATTGTTATCTATATTTGTATTTGTATTTGTTGAAGTAACAGTTGTCTCTGTTGAACTAGTAATAGTATCCATAATAATAATAATAATAATATTTATCTCTTTCTTTCTCTCTCTTTAGTAATATACAAATTTTAATTATAATGAAAAGTAGTTTGGTCTTTTTTTGTCCTGCTTTTATAAACTATAATTATATTTAATTTTATTTTAATTTATTTTTTTTTTCTAGAAAATAAAGAGATGATAGATCCTTAAATGTGAAGAGAAGAAATAAGATAGATAGTTATTAATATCTCTTCATAATTATTGTAATAATAATAATACAAATTAATAATCGGGTTGTGACTCATCAAAACAGCATCGTCATCTGCAAATTAAGTCCTATTTTGTAAAAGCTCACATCCGTCGTCATCTTGTTACTAAAGTAGTTAGATAGATATTTTAAAAGAGAATGATTAGTTGTATAGTATCAAGTTGTTTATATATAGTAGGTACTTTGATTGGTGTTGTAGCAGGTCTTGTCTTATTGACTAGACTATACTATCAATCAAAGAGACCTTCAACCTATACAATTGGATTCTTCCATCCATACTGTGCAGCTGGTGGAGGTGGTGAACGTGTACTATGGTGTGCTGTAAAGGCTATTCAAGAATCATACCCAGATGCAAATTGTCTCGTCTATACTGGTGATACTATATCTGACGATGAAATATTCAACAAGATTAATGTAATCTATCAAACAAACAAACAAACAAACAAACAACAAACTATCAATATATTGATACATTGTATTAATACTCTTCTCTTCTCTTCTCTTCTTCTTGTCTCTTCTCTAGAATACATTTATGATTGAATTAAAAAGAAAGAATATTGAATTTATTAGATTAACAAAGAGAAAATATGTTGAAGATTCATTGTATCCTGTCTTTACATTGTTGGGACAATCATTGGGATCGATGATACTTGGTATGGAAGCATTGTCAAAGTGTAATCCACACGTTTATATCGATACTATGGGTTATGCATTCACTTATCCCATCTTTAGAATATTGGGTGGTAGCAAGGTTGCTTGTTATGTACATTATCCAATTGTTAGTAGTGACATGATTGTAAAGGTTGCAAACCAACAAAACCTTACTCTCAAAAGAAAGATATTCTCAAATGTTAAATTAGTGTATGTCAAAAAATTACAGATTGACTATATATTCTATTTATATTTATATATATATATATATTAATATTAATAATTCTTATTCTTTTTAGATATTATAAGATATTTGCAATTATTTATAGATTAGTTGGTAATTTATCACAATTGGTATTTGTAAATGGAACATGGACTGGTAATCATATTAGTACATTATGGAAGAGAACTTTCAAAAAGGATGTTATATTATTGTATCCACCGGTTGATGTTAGTTCACGTATTGCTCTACCATTGAACTGGCAAAAGAGAAAGAATATGGTTCTATCAATTGCTCAATTCAGACCTGAAAAGGATCATATGCTACAATTACTTACATTGGATCATTTGTTAAAAACACATCCACAACACAAGAAGGATTTGGAGTTGGTGATGGTTGGCAGTTGTCGTGGTGAAGAGGATAGAGGACGTGTTGAACAGCTAGAGAAAAAGATAAAGGAACTTGGTTTGGAAAAGAATGTACGCATTTGTGTTGGTGTCTCTGCTCAAGAGTTGAATGATCTATTTGCACAGGCATCGGTTGGTATTCACACAATGTGGTGTGAACATTTTGGTATTGGAGTTGTCGAGTTGATGGCCGGTGGTCTGATCCCAGTGGCTCATGACAGTGCAGGTCCAAAGGAGGACATTGTACTTCCAGGAACCGGGTTCCTAGCCACCACCAAAGAACAATACGCCAACTATATCCACGAAATCATCGCCAACAAACCAAAGTATGCAGACATGCAAAAAGCTGCCCGTGAGTCAACCAACCGTTTCTCAGAGACCACTTTTATTCAACAATTTAAAAATCATATTAAATTAATCATTGACTATAAATCGAAAAATATTAAAAAGGATCAATAAAACACATAATATAATAAATAATATATAATATAATAAAACACACACACATATAATATATAATATATGTATAAATAATAATAATATCTTTATTGTTATCGTTAAAAGTCAAATTTAAATTTACCACGTGCTTTTTCGGATCTTTGTGCCAAAATCAAATGAGCTCATTATGATTTTTGCTCAGACTCTTCTTATTTTATATTATTTAAAAATTTAGTAATTAATTTATATATATCGTCGGTTCAGTTTCAGTTGTCGCGAGCATTAGAGCGGAGAGAGAGAGTCGCAAACATATCATCAGATGACAGCAAGGATTAGAATGGATGAACAAAAGAACTATAAGATTGTCTTGATTGGAGATACTGGGTATGTCTATATAATTCGTCAGATAATATCATGTCATGTGACAGACCTCATTTTACTCATACTTTCTCTATCTACTCTCTTTTGTCATTATTATTATTATTATTATTACTTAACAGGACAGGTAAAACTTCAATCTTACATCGAATAGTATTTAACAAGTATAATAACGAGGCAAGACCAACAACAGGAACAGACTTTTTCTCAAAGACCTTTTATACAAATGACACGATATGCAATTTACAAGTATGAAAGATATTTATTGCGTCTCAGAGAGTTGAGTCAAATATACATTATCATCATTAATCATCATCATCTCATTCTTTTTCTTCTTATTGATTACCTTAGGTATGGGATACATCAGGACAATTAAAGTATTGGTGTTTAACGGATATATTTTGGAGAACAGCTGATGCTGCATGTTTGGTATTTGATATTAGTGATGAAAATAGTTTGGTACGTCTAGACACTTGGTATAGACAATGCAAAGCAAAATGTTTAAACGAAGATTTATCAGAGAGGAGTCTACCATTCATGGTGATTGGAAACAAAAGTGATTTAAATAGAAGTGTATGCACATAGAAAATATTAAACACAACAAACAACTTGTTGTTGTTGTTGTTGGAAATTGTGTAATAACACTTGCTTGCTTTGCTTGATGATTACTTTACTTTAGGTTTCATATGAACAAGGTAGACAATGGTGCAAGGATCGTAATATACCACTATATTGTGAAGTTTCTGCAAGAGAGTCGATCAATGTCAAAGAATCCATCACCAAACTTATAGAATATTTATTAGAACAGTCACTAGACTTTGACAAGTGAGTAGTGTTATAGATAGATCATCAACCATCAACATCATAATCGTCGTCATCAAACAGAATTGTTCACCAATTTGGATTGCGATGGATGGATGATATTTGATTGATGGGTGTTGTTTTGATGAACCAACCTTGGTCATCACAGATATATTAACTAACCACTCCCACTCTCTACGATTAATCTTTTATAATAACGAACATTTCTATTATATTATTTACTCTAGTTCGCAGTATGATGAATTAACATCAAACGAATCGTCACGTCTATTTCAAGCAAACAAAAATTATAGTAACACTGGTGGCTCAAAGAATACATCGACACCAAATGCAACGATTTGTCAGTGTTGTAGTTTAATGTGATGATGTTGATATTGATCAACTTGTGGCATCGATCGTTACACCTACTTTTTTTTTTTCTTTTACTCTAAATTTCCACACCCCATTCGCACACATTTCTAAAACCATCCAATCAGCAGCAATTGGCCGGGTGGTGACTCTCGTCAAACCAAACAAAACCCCAAACCATCAATCAATCAATCAATCCACCACTACCCCCAACTTACCACCACTATAAACCAACATTATTTGAAACTTTTGGAAATTAATAGTTCGTTCTTCCCAAAAAGACTTCTTTGGCTTATTTTAAAATAATACAAAGATTTATAAATAGAATAAAAAACACATGTAAATAAATTAGCAATCAATATATTATATTATATTATAATAACACATACATATTTTCATATTATTATTTGTTCCAACAACTATTTATATATCTTAAATCTTTTAATTATTTATTTATTCAAAAATATATTTTAAACATGGGTAGTCATTCATCAAAGTATTTAAAAACCAAGGATATTGATCATTATGGACCAGAAGAACAATTGATTGTTTACAAGGACATCTTACAATCCTTACAAATTCAAGATAACTTTGATAAAGATCATACTCAAGGGTAAGCATAAATAAATAATTAAATAAAAAGATGGAAATTAATACAATCATAAGGAAATCCAAGATATTAACATCTATTCCCTCTTCTTTTTTGTTTAGTGATAGTGAATTTATAATTACCAAAAAATTAAAACATTAATCACAATGTGTTGTTGGTAGTGATTCCTACTAAATCCTAAATGATCCATATTTAAACAAAAATGAACAATGTATACTCTAATCTGTATATAATTTCAAATACTCTGTACATAACTTATTTATTTAATAAATACCAACTAATAATAACAATATGATTATTATTATTATTGTTGTTGTATATATATATTTGATTTTTTTGAATTTATTATACTGCTCTTTCAATTATTATAGAATCTTCAATATAAGCTACATCATTAAAAATATCCTTTGATTTATCATAGCAATTGTTGGGACATGAATAGATAAAAGCATTTCCAAAATCAAGTTCATTTGGTTGATTGTTTCTTGGTTCTATTTGAGTGATCATTGTTGAAAGGATTTGGAATTCAAATGTCTTTGTTCTAGAACATTGTTTACATTTTGGTGCATTTCTAACTTGTTCAACTCCTTGATTTGACATACACAATGCTTCACCTCCAAATGAATATCTACAATTTAAAGAAATATTAATATCTTATTTTTTCCCTTTTTTTGGTTTGTAATATTAATAATAATAATTTACCTTAAACATTGATCTGGATTTGAACCAATTTTCTTTAAAAATTTACTAAATACTCTATCCTGTACATATTCATAGGTTTCACCAGACCAAGCTTCCGCTTCTTCAACGTCGTGTGATTGATATTTTTTGAGATGATGAGATTGATCCTCTTGTTGTTGATGTTGTTGTTTCTTTAATTTTTCTTCTTCAATGAACAAGTAATATGATTCATATTGATTACTCTTATCATTTTCAATGACTACACCTGAAATAATCTCTTGTTCACTATTGAATGATTCCCTAAGGGATACTTGTGGTTGTTTCTTTTTTGGTTTGTTTTGATCCAATTGTAATTGTTGGTCTCTACTTTTAATCATTTCCGCTATTGTTTGTTTTTTTTCTTGTTGTTGTAATGATGTTGTAGTTGTTGTAGATGTTTCGTTTTCATTATCATCATCAGCACCCCAATCATCATCATCAACACCCCAATCACCTTGTTCTTTCTTTGTTGTAACTTCTTCTTCTTGTTCGTCGTCATTTTCATTGTCTTCTTCATCGTCGTCTTGATCGTCGTCATACTCTTTAAGAGGATCTAAACATTTAATCACCTTCCAACCATTTGCACCATTACTACACTTTGGACAAACAAAGATATAATAGTTTCTTTCATAGTCGGGTACCGAGTCTAACGGACAATATGCTTGCAACAGAAAGGCCAAGTTCTCTTTAGAACAACTTGTACATTTTAAATCTTTGTATTGTGCAGGTGGTTGAGAACACCAAATCTATACATAACAGAATGAACACGTGTGCGTTAGTTGATTGATGGTTCATTCGATCGATGATGACGACAAAGGTTCTTGAAACCTTTGAGTGTTAGCGAGCTAGATTGTACGTACAGGAGCACCACCTATTTTAGTTTCATATGGGTATGCATCATCACTATCGAATGGTGTATCTACGTATCCTATGAATGTCTTTATCATGATGATGTTGATGTTGATGTTGATGTTGATGATACTCCTTCCTTTTCGTTGTGTTGTTCTATAGTCTTAATTGGGATAATAATAACTAGCTAGCTCGATTCATCTGATGTAATCATCGGTCACAACACCATCATGAAGCAAGCGAAAGTGGTTCTGCACCCCAAAAAATTAATCGATTAAAAATAAATGTATGATGTAATGATGACCAAAGATGGAGGTTGGATATTTTTGTCTCTTGAACCGTGTCACCTTTAACAACCAATCATCTAGTTTCAATTCAATTTCATTCAACAAAACTTATTTATATCTATCTATCTATCTTATCTAACATCATCTAGAGAATGGATCAAATTGTAACATTCCTTCAAAATCAAAACCCAATTGCTATAGCTGCTGTTGCTGCTGCACTTGCTGGTGCTTACTTTCTTAAAACAAAGAAGAAATCTGGATATGTATGTTTTTAAAAGATATCTTAAGATTGATCATCTGATCACCCCTTTTCATAACTAACTTGTAGAATCTATTTCCTGTACAAAAAAAACAAAGAAATATGAAAAGGATATTGTCTATGTAATTGCTATTGGACCAACTGATTTACAAGTTCCACATCCATCACCATTTGCATTAAAGGTTATCCTCTTTTTAAAGTTGGCCAATGTACCTTATAAAGTAATTTGTATGTAATGGCTATGATAGTTTATATGTTTTCATTCATAGTATATACCCTAACCTTTATCTTACTTTAGACTCAATGGACAGAGGTGAACGTAACAAGATGCCATATGTTTATTACAATGGTGAACACATTTATGACTCTCACTTTATTATCAAACAATTGGCTAAAAAGTATGTTGTTTAAAATATCAATTATCCTAGTGACTAGTGATCCAAATGCTCCAGAGTACTTACTTTTTGATCTCTTTCTCTTCTCTCTCTCTCTCTATAGACTCAATATGACCAATTTATTCCAAACCAATGACCAAGAAAGAGCCAATGAAATCTTGATTAGAAGATTTATCGATGAGGCAGTCTATTGGCCACTCGTCTATTATAGATGGGTCGATGAAAAGACAAATGAAACCCACAAGTTCTTTGTAGCAGCACCCAAATGGATTGTTCCACTCATTAAGCCACGTTTGTTGGCAGGTGTAAAGAATCAATGTTACCAAGCCGGTATTTCTAGATACACTGAAGAGGAGAGAGTATCATTGATCAACGATGATATGTTTGCACTCTCCACCATTTTGGGTAACAAGACCTATTTGTTTGGCGACCAAATCGGCTACTCTGATATCTCTATGTTTTCAATGTTGGCTGAAATGTGGACCACCGATATCCCAACTCCAGCTCGTAATGCCATCTTGACTCATCCAAACTTGGTTGAATACATTGAAAGAATTAAAACCAAATACTTTAGCGTCGATTGGGATCAATCACTAACCACTACCAGAAAGTTAAAGAACAAATCTAAACAACAATAAATCTCTCTCCCTCTCTCTTATAATTGTCATATTCATAACCTAATGCAAGTTACATACTTTAAATTAAATTGATAAATTGTCGTTCGTTTTCACACAAGTCGAGTAAATTTTTCAAAGAGTGATCACTTAATCTATTTTTCTCTTTTATCTCATTCTCTTTACTCTCTATATATATAAATATCTTTATAATGGTAATGAAACAACAACAACAACAACAACACTAGATAGAATAGAAAGAACAAAGATTATTAATACCCTTTCTTCTTTTATGTATTTCAGTCAAAACTAAGTTATATTAGTCCAGAAGGATTAAGAATTGATGGTAGAAGATCAAATGAAATAAGAAGATTAAATATGAGAATGGGAGTATTGAATAGAGCAGACGGTAGTTCATACTATGAACAAGGTAATACAAAGATTACTGTAGCTATATATGGTCCACACGAATCGACGACACAGAAATCATTGTTTGACAGAGCTAGTATAAAGTGCGAGTTTGCAATGAGTTCATTCTCGACGAGTGAGAGAAAGGTGAAATCGAGGTTCGACAAGACTGCCTATGAAACATCTACACTCATCAAACAGGCTTTCGAGTCGACAGTGCTCACACATCTCTTTCCTCGTTCACAAATCGATATATACGTTCAAGTACTTCAATCTGACGGTGGCTTGAAATCGGCTGCCATCAATGCAGTGACACTCGCAATGATCGACGCTGGTATTCCCATGCGTGACTATGTTTGTGCTTGTTCTGCGACATTTATAGAAGGAAGTGCATTGATGGATCTCAATCACATGGAAGAGAGATCGGGTGGTGCCGACCTTTTACTATCGATCCATCCTCAGTTGGGTGGTGTCATTTCAATCAATATGGAATCAAAGGTACCCCAAGAAATGTTTGAATCCGTACTAGACATGGCTTTGGCTGGTTGTAAAAAAATATATTATCTCTTACAAGAACAAGTAAAGAAACATAGTAAAGATTTAATGTCAAATCAATTGGTTGGTTAAAACACTAAATAAAGAAAGAAAATAAAAAATACTATGATAGAGAGAGAGATCTATCACAATTGTATAAAACACACCATATTATCAGTTGATATGTATATAAATATATAATCCAAGTTAAATATATATGGTTTTATTGAATAGATATCAATATGCATCTAGAAGAGCTGCTAAAGTTCTAGAAGGTAATGTCAATTTTGTTTTTGGTTGTCTATTAAATAAATCCAATCTTTGTTTGAAACTTTCCACTTCTTTATCGATTTCTTCCTGTAAATCTGGATCGATTTCATCATCATCGTCATCATCCCATTCCTCTTCAAATGTTTCAGTTTCCATAGATGGGTCTTGTTTTTGTTGAGTGGTATGGTACAAATTATCTGTCCTTTCTTCAGAAGAGAATAGATCAGGTGAACTTTTAGATGATTTCAAAGAGGTTGAAGATGATTTTGATTGTTTTTTGTTGTTGGTTAGTGAAATATCAGGAATTTGTTGTTGTTGTTGTTGTATATTTCCAATAGTACTACTAGTACTACTATTCGTTGTAGATTTGGATTTGTTTGGTAAAATAATCGGTGAGGTTTGCTTATTGTTATTGTTATTATTTACAGATGATGATGATTTGTTATTATTATTTGATTTTGAATTATTATTTGATTGTTGAGATGGTTGTTGTTGTTGTTGAGATGGTAATGTACTACTACTATTTAATTTAGATTGTTGTGTAGTATTTGATGTCGATGATGTCGATGACGTTGATGATGACGATGATTTGTTCTTATTCTTTTTTGATGTTGGTTTTTTACTAGACTCTCCTAAAAACTCTAGCAATTCATCGACCGATCGATTATCATCTATTGCCAATGTAGTTGGTGCTACGATTTGTAGTTTCTCCTTTTTCGATGATTTCTTATAAGACGGGCATTGTTTGTTTGATGAAAAAAATTGATTATATCCTGCTAAATGTAAATTGGTAAATGTTTCTCTAATTTCTTCTGAACTTTTCTCTAAATTAAATATAGTATTATATTATTAATATTTGTATTTATGATTTGTATTTCGATTTGAGTTCAACAGTGGTTTTAAACATACGAGATATCTGTGCAGCAATCTCCCTAGAGGTTAAACTAACTAATGATTTTACATCCAAATAATAAGATGCCTAAAAATAAATAAATAAATAAATAACGACGATTCATATTAATATTCATTCCAAAAATATGATGATCATCATTATTATCATTATCATTAACATTCTCGGTTTAAACATACAGATGCCAATTCACATAGACTTGATTGTTTCATTGAAATTAAATTATCGTCATGTTCTAGTATTTGTTGAGAGGTTGGATTTGAAGAATGAAATTTACAATATTCGATGATGGTTGAGAGGATCTGACCTCTTATTTCGGGAAAGCATAGTATGCATTCTTGATCGTTGTTTGTGTAAATGGTTGCTAGTAGGCGCCCCTCTTTTTTATGCAACACGTATTTACCTTCGATATTAAACCAACCTCCAAGACCATTTCTAAATCCCAATTTACCAGAGGCTATATATTTGACGGTTCGACACATCTCTATTACACATTCTTCCAATTCATATTCATCTCCTTCATTACTAACAATCTTTACCACTTTTCTATTTAAACCAGAAGCAGCAGAGGTGTTGGTTGATATTGTTGTTGTTGTTGTAGATGTTGTAGATGTTGTAGGTATAATTTCACCCACCATCGTATCTGTACCATTATCACTACTATCGTTTGTCATTGTATCAATATTCGTACTAATAGTTGATTCTTCCATTTTTATAAATGATTTATATATCTATCTATCTATCTTTCTATTTTAATAGATCTTTTCTTGTTGTTGGTTGTTATTTCTTTTAAGATTTGTTGGTAACCCACTATTTGGTATTTATTGAATGTTAACACAACAATAGAGAGGTTATGTTATCTTCTTCTTCTAATACGATTGATTATTATTCTCCTTTTGATAATTCTTCTATTTTTATCAAACTCTACTTCTTTTGCTCTCTCTCTACAGACATCTACCTCTCATAATCTTCATAGTCATCTCTCTTTCAAACGGCGCTGTTGTCGTTAAATTTAAATTACAAAAAAAAAAAAAATTAATTTTCGAAAAAGGATGCGATTTATTTTGGTTTTAAAATTGGTATCCGTTGTTCCAAAAATCGATCCAAGTTTTTTAATTGTTTGATTCCGATGTAGAGGCATTGTTGTTCGTCGAGGCTGGTTGGGATGGTGCAACTGGCGACGATGCTTCTGTGGATGGTGGACTGTTTGTTGGTGAGGTTTTCGGTTTGGCAATCCATACCTTGTCTTTCTTTGGATGTGGTGACGATTTCTTTACATCCTTTAAAGTGTGAACATTAGTGTTGTTGGTATTGGTATTGGTATTGGTTTGTTGTGGTGATTGTGACTTTGGTTGTTTTTGGTGGTGTGGTGATTTTGGTTGTTGGTGGTTATTGTTGTTGTTAGTATCGTTGTTGTTGTTGTTGTTGTTGTTGTTTTGTGGTTTATCTTTCTTTTGGTATCTTGGATTTGGTTGTCTTGGTTGTCTTGGTTGTTGACCTTGTTGTTGTTGTTGTTGTTGGTGTTGTTGATGAGGATGATATGGCATTGGATGCATTTGACCTGGTTGCATGGGAGGGAATCCATAGGGTGGTGGAGCCATTGGATGGAATCCAAAAGGTGGTGGTGCCATTGGATGATGCATTTGACCTGGAGGGTATCCATAGGGTGGTGGTGGTGGAGTAGCTTGGTGATCAGCTGGTCCATCCTTTTGTGACTCTAAAGAATTATAAATCAATCCCATAAGTGGTTGTGGTGGTTGTTGTGGCTGTTGTGGTTGAGATGGTTGTTGAACCGATGATGATGATTCACCAGCAGCAGTATTATTTCCATTTGTTGATGGAACAATCTTTGAAGAATCAAATATCTTTTGAAGTAATTCAGGTGTTTGACCAGAGGTTTGTTGTGGTGGTTGTGGTTGTTCCTTTGGTCCTTTTTTACCACCTTTACCAGCCTTTTCACCTTTTTGTTGTTGTTTTGCAGCAGATTTTTGTTGTTGTTCCAATTGTTGCCAATTGAGTTGTTGTGTTTGAACATTGGGGAATGTTTTACGGTAGGTGGCGTGATCTTCTTCCGTCTCCCAGTTGGTCTTTACAAACTGGTCTTGACGAGTGTGGTAGGTCTTGCGTTGGTTTTGTCTGTAGACCTCTTGTTGTTGTTGCCAGTTGAGGTTTTGAGTTTGTTGTTGCACCTTTTGGACCATGTTGGTGTTGGCTTGATGGTTGACCTTGATCTTGACGACACCATGGTCTTGGTCGTTGGTCATCTTGAGATTGTTCCAGTACTCGTTCGAGTCGTACTCTGGGAAGCTGCCGAGACGGTAACCACCCTCCTTTTCCGACTTGGTTGCACGACGATAGTTGGCATCGGGTGTAGACAGATTGTAGAGACGCCACTTGCTGATAAACAACCCTCTCTTTTCAGAGCAGAACCCTTCGAGGTTGTTACCACTAAAGCATTCTCTGTCGAGCACAACGTCAACCTTTTGGTCTTGGATCGACACGACAGTGCCATAGAGACCAAATGGAACATTACCCTTGTCCAACATGGTGATGACACGGTCACCAAGACGGAACTGACGTTCATGTTGTTTTGGCTTGGATGGACTTGATGTGCCTGGACTACTCGTTCCACTACCTCCACCATACTTGCGTTCCTTTTGGAGTTGTTGTTCATGTGCCTTTTGGATGACATGTTGTTTTTCATAAGAGATGACTGATTCGTAGGAGGCTGGCTCGATGACCTTGTCCGATTGGGTACGTGTTCTCATGGGGATGAGAATGGCAGCGGCTGCAAGTCTGCCGTAATGATCTTCGATTCTTTTGATCGATTTCTTGCTGAGCGACAAGCTGTCACATGGGACATAACGCTTTCTACGGATACCAGTCTTGTCAAAGTACTCTTCGATCGACTTGACCAAGGCAACGCGATCAGTCTTTTCAGAGATGAGCGATGAAATATCGATTGCACGAATTCCACCACCACTACTACTACTCTTGTCGTCAGATGGTTGACTGACGAGAACCAAAATCTTTTGGATGATGGGGAAGGTCTTGAGATAGTCCATGATGAGTTGGATGGCGTCGTTGCTAAACTCCCACTTTTTGTAGGTGCCACCGTTACGGTCACCGAGGGTGGTACCACGACAATACCCCATCAATTGTTGGTTACGACCGGTAAACTTCATGTTGAGACCAATATCGGTCATTGGCTTGTCGATAAAGAGACCACCTGTCAACAATGACAATTGTTGGTTGGTCAATCCGGTAGCCTTGCAAACATGTTGGATGGGGAAGTATTCGTCGGTCTCTTCCTTGGCGACACGGTGTCCAAAGTGCAAGTCTGGTCCACTCTGTCCAACCTTGAGTTCAAGATCCAAGGTCTCGGTCGATTCGTCGGCGTGTCCAAGCACCTTTCCAATAGCACCAAAGTGGTCTGGGTTGGTGTAGAGCACCTGCTTGCCAATAGGGAATCGCGTGGCAAATGGAATCTCTTCGGTCTCTAGGTAACGCGAGTCGGCACGCACCTTGTCATACTCGACCATCAGTTGGATGGGCAGTTGGTACTCTTTTTCCGTGTATCTTTTGACTGTACGACCACCAAATTCAACATCGATACCTGCAATCTTGCGGACGTGGACGAGAATGGTGTTACTTGTGACTTCACTGACATCGATACCCTTGGTGAGATAGTCCATTGGGATCTTTTTCAATTGGTCGAGATAGGATACCTTTTGGACGGCCAAGTAGTCTTGAGTGGTGAGACGGACCGTTCCATTGGTACTGCTGACATTCTCCAACATGGAAATCTTTTGGTTGCTGTCTGAGAAACCGACAATCAGTGCTTCAGTGTTGTATGGCCAGTTGACATAGCAACGTCTGCCAATCCAATGTTTGATCGAAGCGAGTGTCATCTGTTTGGCAGTCTTGTCCTTGTTGAGTTGGGGGATGGGTGGATGCACAATGATCGACTCTTTTCTACTCTTCATGCCCCAAATGTTGACAACGGCATTCTTGTACTCCCAAGTAAAGTCAACGTCAACAGCAAAGGTGGGGAAACCCGATGGCGAGTGACTACCCAACAACACACCCTCACACAGACGGAATGGCTTGAGACCCTCGTAAAACGGCAGGATAAAGTCCTCAGTCTTGGCAGACGAGTGTTCGAGCGATGGGAAGAGACGCAAGTTGGGTGATGGCTCGCTGACGACCTGCTCGGCGTCGTGGTAGATGATGACGGCGTTACGCAGGGCGTTACGAGATCGCTCCTTGTCGGTCAAGTCCCACGAATCTTCGGCGGCGGTAGCTTCGAGCAACCTTCCGAGATCGGGGAACCCAATGACGGCAATACCGTCAAAGTAATGGCTGTCGGACGTATCCACCTCAAACTCTGTGGGGTAAAAGTCAATGATGGGCGATGCGGCCGATGTCATGAGTTCTTGGTAGGGAGCAGGCAAGAGATGTGCGCTTTGTGGTGGCAAGACGCTCATCAACTGTTGGAAAGGTGTGACTGGGCCGTTGCTCTCAAACTCAATCTCGAGACTGGAGAGGTCACGCATATCGACTGCCAAAGGAGCATAGTAGTAGGGGTAGTACCAACGCCACGAGATGCAGCCATTGTGGTAGTAGTTGAGCACCCACGACAAACCCTCGACATACTTTAACACGAGATGACGCTTGTAGTCGACGATAGCCGACCGATTCTCCTCGGGAAAGTCTGGGAATTTGGAACGGTAGTAGCCGTTGATCCAGTAGTCGTTGATGTCCTCCACGTCGTCGTCTTCAAACGTGATCTCGCCAAAGTGGTTTTTAAGACGCTCAAACGCCCTGCGCTCAATCTCCTTTTTCTCCTCATCGTCTTGCACGTCGTTCTCGAGCAGCATGTCCTCGACCACCTCGTTCTCCTCGGCTTCGCCGACAGTCAGATTCTGCTTGCGCTCAAAGACGGCGATCTTGGCGAGGAACACGGCCAGACGGTCGAGATCAATCTCGGCCTCGTCGGTGAGGTAGCCGCCGAGCTCGTTGAGCGAGTTTTTGTAGAGTTCGAGCACGCTGTTGAGCCCGCCGGTCGAGATCTCGCAAAAAGGGAGATGGGGAAGGAAATCATTGCCAAAAAAGATCATCACCAACACGAAATCGTCAATGATGCGCTCCAAGCTGTAGCCAAAGTCCAGTTCGCATTTCAGCTCCAGCTCCATGTACTCTCGCAGCAACGAGATGTGAAGTAGTTGAAAATCGAGTTGCTTGTTTGCCTGTGGACGGAACGCAATCTCCTCACGCAGAATAGAAAAGTGTGGCTCGTGCGTAACGAGTGCGAGGAGGATGAGATCGGCGTCCAGCCCATAGAGACAATGTGACTGGTTGGGATCCCAGTCTGGCGAGGCTTTGTACTTTCTGATATAGTCGATGATCTTGTGTTCACCCTCGCCTGGGTTCTCTGGACCCGAGAATATGATTTCAATCTCGCGCCAGCTGAGATCCTCCGATATCTTTTTCTTGATAAAGAACTGCAAACACTCTGACAGATTCGACATGAATTCCGTACCAGGTGTAATGGCATTTCTAGAAAATATCACCTCGGGAAGTTCTTTTCCCTCTTTGATCAATTCCTTTTTTTCTTTTTCCTCTCTAAACACCGAAAGGAAACGACGTTGTCTTTGTTGATTCAGCTTTGAACGTGGTGCGACACCATCGATTGCCATGTACAGCAATTTGGTTGGTCTAATAATATGAAACAGTTTATCGATATAATTACAAACTAGTCTAATTAATTCTTCCTCTGAAAATCTTATCAATTTTGTAGTCATCTCTTGTGAACATGCATGTATAATACCATTCATATCTAAATATAAATTATCTATAAAAATAAAATGGAAAGAGGAAGTTGAAGTGTATGAGAATTTGATTTGATTTGACGACGACGACGATTAACTATAGTCCAATCCAATAACAATAAGATCATAAAGATATTTCTTCTTTGTCTCTAAAATGGTCATTGTCTTGTTCTTGTTTGAATGTTCAGATGATCTATCATACCATATTCTGGTGGATTTGAATCTACAAGGTTTTGTATTATTTGTGGATATCTTTCTGATGCCCATCTAAAAAATCTTGGAACTCCCATTGTTTGTTGTTGGTTGTTATTATTATTATGTACTGTTTGAAGTAGTAGTAAGGTTGTTGTTTGGTTTGTTGGTTAAAGAGTTGTTCTTTTACTTTAGTGTTGTTGTTGTTTGATTAATATATATATATACAAATTTAAATAAAAGAATATAGTATATCTATATATAAAGTATAGTATAAAATTGTTATTCCTTTTTCTCGGTTGTTTAATCTCCTGATATTATTATTATTATTGATAATAAAATAGTATTCTTGATTGTTATAAGATATATATAGTAAACTAGGACTTTTTGTCTCTATTGATTTAATATATTGTTATATATATGAGTAGATTAGATTAGTAGTTGAGTTGCTACTGTTTGGTTTGGGGTATTGTTATATTTATAAATAATAAGGGAGTAAGATGAAGATCTTTGTAAATAAATAAATTGATCAATCTATCTTGTTGTTCTCTCCTTCTCTCTATCTCTCTCTCTCTCTTTGATTATGTGTTTGTTGTTGTTGTTAATAGTACGAATGGGGAAAAGATGAAGTTGACTATGCGTGTCTGTCGCACACCAACAAACCCAAATTTGCTTTTTTTTCTCTTTTTTTTTTTCCCAACTTTTGTTTGGATCATTACCAGGTCCGACCAGATAAATTGGTATTCATGAATATTGTTTATTAATTAATAAATAAGTATTTATTTGATTCAAGAGTAGTTTATTTATTACTCTTCATCATCATGTCCAATATTTTGATATTTTTTAGAAGAGTTTGGAATTTGTATAGAAACTGCTTCTTGTTGTCCTCCAACCTTGTTGTTTGTTAATTCAATTGAATGATCATCTTGATTTTCATTTGGAGTTGATGAATTGTTGGTCGTACGATTCTTATCTAATCTATTTAAAATAAAATGGAACATTACGACTGAAACTACAACGTTGGCAATCAACCAACCAATAATTGGATAAAATGGAATATATTTGAATGCGAAAAATGATACCGCCGTACTCATTGACATTACAAATCTTGTTGCTAAAAAATAAACCAATTAATTAATAACCATTCTATTATTATTTGTTATTTTTCTTTTAACATACTTGAAAATTGAGAGATATTATCATTTGGATAAATAGTTGCAATGGTTGAAAATATGATCATTGTTTGGAGTGAATCATAGGCACCGTTTAAAGCACATGCTATGTAAAATAGAATCATGATATTGTAGGCGTCGCCAATGATGACAAGAATAGTAGAGATTATAAAAATGGCTGTTAAAGAATGTGCCATTGCGCGTTTACCCAAACTATCATGTACCTTTCCCCAAACGGTCGACCCTACAACACTAAATATTCCATACAATACCATTGCAAATCCAACATGATCCATTCCAATTAATTTTGGAATCGTTCCAAAAAAGAATCCTTGTCTTTTTTAAAAAAAAAAAAAAAAGAAATTAAAAGGTTAGAGGAAACTCGAGTTAACTCTGTAGTTTGTTGTATAATTATTATAATAATTAACATACGATTGACCTTGTTGAATTAAAAATGGAGTGAGTAGTAACATATCGGTATGTTTTAAGTTTAGGAATACACCTGCAATACCTTGTTTGAGATTGAAAGCTTTTTCCTTTGATTTTGCAGGTATCGGTTTGAGGAATGCTAAAATGAAGGATCCTACGGTGGTGACGACTGTAAAGATGATCAACATTGTGACAGTCGATAGATTGAGCGCAGTAAATGTTCCAGACATTGCATTTCCAAAAATAGCGCCGCCACTGTAAATGGTCTGGAAAATCGAAGAGTATTTGCCAAGTTCATGTTCACTTGGTGCTGCTCGACTAAGATAGGTTGGTTGTGCAGTCCACAAAACAGCTGCTCCAATTCCTATAATAAAGGCAGAGGGTAAATAGAAAAACCAAAGTACGTCAATTGAACAAACAATAAATAATGAATATGTTATCCCAGATAAAAATAATGATTTACTAAAAAGTAGAAAGAGTGATTAGTTTTGGTTTGTTTCCCTCTTCTTCTTCTTCTTCTTTTTGTTCTTCTTCTTTTTGTTCTTTTTGTTCTTCATCTTACATTAGACCTATTTTTTTTGTTAATACAGGTGATATTAAACAACCAATTGCAAATGCAAAATAGAGTATACCAAGACTGAGACTACCAGTGTTTGGATGTATACTTGTTGTTAAATTTTGTGTTGGTGAATCTAAATATATATTGTTTGTTTTTTTGGGAAAACATTAGGTGGATAATAATAATAATTGGTTATTCTTAGTATAGTTCTACTTACAACCAAAGAAAACTAATAAAAAGCCAATTCCCAAATGAAATGTGTTTCCAAGTGGAGCCAACCATTGTCTAAATCTTGTTAGTTTTGATTGTTGATGAGTGGATGGTGGTAATGGTTGATCTTCCAATTCAACATCTTCCATTTCAACGTTGTCTCTATCTTGTTGTTGTTGGTCATGTGATGTTGTAGATTCATCGGATGAAGTCAATCGATCGGCTCCATCCAATAATCTTTCTCTTGCTTTCTTTTTATCTCCATGATGATGATGACTATGGCGATGATGGCCTGGTACCAATTGTTCATCATCTTGGTTATATTCTATTATTGAAGGTGACAATGATGGTATTATGATTGCATCACCTGCTCCATCATCATGGTCATTTTCTTTTTCCGAATCCATGGGTCAAAAAAAATTATTAAGTTATTAGATTATTATTACTATATATTACTATTATTATTATTTTTTTAACAATGATGACAATATTAAATTATAATAATAATATGAGGAGGAGAGAGAATTTAGTTGTTGTTGTTTTGTATTTATATGTATATGTTTGTTTTTGTATGTGTATATAAATATAGAATCAGTTCTCTTTTCTTTCTTTGTATGTAGGTAGGTAGGTAGGTGGTAGGGCATACAGTGTAGGTATGTTTGAATAATTGATGTATGTTATTTATGTATGAATTTGTCGGTTGTTCGCACAACAACTTTAACTCTTCTAATCAATCAGCAGACAACGCACACACTCTTCTCTTTCTCTCTCTCTCTCTTTGTGAACTAACCCTATCAACAAACGATGAGGTGGTATAAAAGCGAAAGAAAGAGATATGTGTTACTTTAAATACACACACACAAAAGTAGTGCAAAATATCAGTGCTACGATGGGAGGAGTACCCCCATTGGTGTGGTTTAGGGATAAAGAAAAATCAAAAACAAACTGACCAATTCGTTTCATTGGGAAAACGAGTTTGAAGATGCATCATCAATCGGGTCTTACTCCCTTTGTCTCCCCAGATCGACCTCTCGAAGCGAGCGAGCGAGAAAGCACCTTCCTCGAGATTTGTCCAACCAACATCTTTTGTAACCTAGAACTGTATATTCTATTCTTGATTGCAGTCTATATATATAAACCTGCTAAGATCATTCTATATAGTATCTATCCCTGGTGTGTGTCAGATGATGATGAACTTTGATAAAAGCTTTTGGCTATTAATAGAAAGAAGAAATTATAGTGAATCATCGACCGATAGATCGAATACACAAACAAATATTTGTTTGATATTCATTTTCAAAAGAAATTAGAGTTTGTGTGAAACCATGAGTCATTCGATCGTGAATCATCGAATTTTATTTTAATTTAAAATTTAATATATAAAATCATACAAAAGCATAGCTTCATTCAGAGCACAGTCACATGTAGTATTGACAGACCTACAGACAGATAGATAAATAGATAAACAACTTATAGTTATTAAAAGAATAAACAACAACAAAGAAAATGCTTCAAAGATTATTTCGAAGATTTGGTAATGAAAACAATACTGGTGGAGATAATGATCATCAGAAACCAGTTGTTGGAGGTGATAACCTGACTGAATTGTCAGATTATCTATTGTTTAGTAATATTGCTAACCAAGATATATTGGATGATATCGATCGTATCTGTTTGGTGATGACTTGTAAAAAGTTGTGGGAAAAGAAAGGAATGCTGGTCTTTCAAAAGATTCATTGTCAAAGAGGTGATACAATCCCTTTATGCTATCTACACTCATTCTCCAACCTACAAACACAATCAAAACAATCAAATACTATATTTACAATCACTCAACCAAACAACTTTACTGATCTTGTTGATCAATTAGCAACCATCAATAATAATAACCAAAATAATAATAATAATGATAATCAAAATAATATTGATAATAATATAAATATAAAATTAATAGCAAATATAAAATCAATAGTAAATTACCCCGATAATTATAAATTACCATCAACCATCAAACAAGTCGATTATCTACAAGTCATCTATTACCCTTCACTATTGGATATTCTACCGCTGGAATTGACAAGTTTAACCATTTCATTCGACTTTGGTTTTGAAATTGACAATCTATTCACAAAGTTGGTTCATTTGGAGACGTTAAGATTGGTCGGTCGATTTAATAGGGAGATCAAACCCGGTCACCTACCAAACTCTATTCGTACACTTCAACTTGGCGACGCTTTCAACAAGCCATTGGTACAAGACTCTTTGCCGAGCAACATTGAACACTTGTCTATTGGTGCAAGCTATCAGGTCAAGGGATTGATGGAGATTCTACCGTCGACAATCAAATCTCTGACGTATGGTGTATACAACTACATGGAAATCACACCAAACTCGCTTCCAAACGGAATAGAGTCGCTTAGCATGTCTGCTACGATTGGTTTGGACAATAGATGGGAGGATTTTAACTTTCCACCAACCATTCGACACCTTTTCATTGACTGTTATCATCACGACAATCGTCCAAATTTAAAGACTCTTCCTCGAGGTATTATCGATCTCGAGTTGGGTCCATTGATCGATGTAGAGATACCAGAGGGTGCATTACCACCCAATCTCTTGCGGTTAAAGCTCGGTGCTTGTTTCCGTCAAACACTCCAACCACGTTCTCTACCCTCTCAACTCACACATCTTGTCATTGGCGACCTGTTTGATTGTCCAATCAACCCAGGTGTACTACCCGACACCATAATCAGTTTGACACTACCAGCATCATATAAAATGAAAATCAGTATTGATGCGCTTCCATCGGGCATTGAATTGATCCAATTCCTACCACCAGTCAAAAAGAATGAATATATCGATGAAAAGAAAGCAATTCTTCGATCCCTGTCCAGGCCATTTTCCGAATTCCAAGCACTCTTTGGTACCACCACGGATTCCGATCAACTCAAATCACTCGCTGAAAAGTGTCCAAACCTTTCGGTTTGTGTATGGACCGTCTACAGATTGGCAACATGGCACCGCTATTTCAGTGTCACCATGCCAATTAAAAACTTTGCAACAGTCTCATTTGACTCGAATAATACAATCAATTTGAATAATTTAAAGTTGTTCCGAATGATTGAACTACAACGACACCAAATCATCCAAACCAACAATGTAAAGTATTTCCAACTCTTTATTAGACTGATTGGTAGCAACAGTCTCTTATTCTACAACAACACACAACTCTATAATGGTATTATCAATGTTAAACAATTCAATAATAGTTCACATGGTCGTGAACTAGATAAACTATTATCCATTATTGTTAATCTAATGTCAGATGATTATTGTTGGAATCCTCTATTTCAAAGCAATTTGCTCTTACCAAAAGAGAAAAAGAAGAAGGATGGTGAACAAAATTAATAATAATAATAATAATAATAAACTGTACAGCTCATTGTGGTAAATCAAAATTAAAATTAAATCATTTCTCTCTTCAAAAATTCTGTGACTGTAATGAGATTTATAGGGGGTATGGTGGGAATAATTAATAAATCTCTCTCCTCGAATGAATGAATAGGGATCAATCAATTTTCACTTCATGTAATCTTCATTTCATTCAATCTCTATAATTCTTTTATACAATCACAATCAATTATTTAAATGACAGATAATACTAATAATAAGATTAGATTAAAAGAAGAAACAGTTTTAAAAATAATTAAATTAGCATTTGATTGGTCATGTAGAAGAAATGATAGTTGGTGTCTTTCAATGGCATTAGTTAGTTGGAAGTTCTACTCTATCATTAAATCATTCAACAATCAAGTTCCACTATTATTATTTAAAACATCAAAACATCAATCAAAAAAAACACTTAAAGATTATGCTGGTCATGTTGGAAATAACAAATATTTAATCATACCAGAAAAGATCACTTCCTTCAAATCAAACTATTATATCAATGAATTAAAAACAAATCCCAATGCAATTCAACCATACCTATTCTTTATTGATAATGCTAAATTGATAACTATCGATCTTATTCATACAACTGATAATAATTTCTTACAATGGTTTAATAATAATAATAATAATAATAAGGTTGGAAAATCAATTACCAGTTTGGATGTTTCAATCAATGCAGATAAATCAATCATCAAGCCATTAGATAGTTTAAAACTATATACATTGTGTCCAAATATTCAACAACTATCCTTTTATCATCCTTCCAACAGTATTAGATATTATTATACTAAACAAGATGATAAAATAATGATTGATAATCCACAAGTTTCCCCATTTAAAATATTGGTTTCATTAATACCTTTAATTGATTCATATCAAAGATCTTTGACATGTATATCATTTAAAAACCTCGCATTCTTGGATATAATGGATGATCGAGATTGTTTATTTCAATCTTTGGGCAAGTTACCACAACTAGGGTCTTTCAAGTTACATCTAAATCAAACTAGAAACCACGCTTCAATGGAGGAAGCAGATATTCTATTTAAATCAGTTTATAATTTAATTAAATTAAAAGCTTCAACTTTGAAAAGTCTATCAATCAACTTTGGAATATATGAAACACTTCCATCAGAATGTTCATATCAACAAGAAGCAAGAGAAATGGTTAAATATATTTTCACAGACACTGAACATTGTCAAATCAATAGATTGGCCATTAACATGGAGATAACTGATATTCCTTGTACATTAATTAGAAGATTATCAAAATTAAAGATTAGACCTTATATTACAAGGATTGATGAGATAGAAGAAGGTATTGAACTTGAAGAAGAAATAGAAAAACAAAAAAGAGAGTTGGTTCCAAACCTTGATAGATATTTGGAACTATTATCATCCATCTCAAAGAATGTCAATTATTTATCAATTGGTGCACCCGAGATATTGGAGAATTTAATAGAGTCTGATTCACCTGCACCTCTACCAAATCTATTATCATATGGTCCAGTTTTCAAATTAAGTCAACAGACTGTACTGGCAATCAAACAATGTCAAAAGTTTAAAGTAGTTGAATTTAAAGTAGATGAAATAGATCAAGAGATGGAAAATGAAATTAAATCAAACATTTCAATTTGGAATAGAGAATCATGTATAATTAAATTAAAATAAAAATATAAAGATTTGTCGTTGTTGTGTTAGATAATAAATACAAGAGAGGGAGGAGGGGAAGATACTGATTATTTATTTATATGTTGATTTAGTTTAAATTAAACTAAAGAAAAACCTTCTGAAGCTTCACTTATGGCAGTTAGAATATTTTGTTTTAGAGTGTGATAGGAAGTTAGACCACGAGGAATATCAATTCGATTGAAACAAGTATGTGAAACTGGTAATCTACCAACACTAGTATTTGGTGTAATATTAACTGTAAAATGAGGATACAATTGAAAGAATCCACCCAATGGAACAGAGCTGGACCCAGTTACAAATCTCAATAAAGATTTCTTTTCCTCTTCTCCAAATTCATTTAATATTTTCCAAAAATGATTAACAATTTCTTCAGACTATAAAAGTACAAACAATTGATTAATAAATAAATTAATTTTGATTTAATTTAATTCTATTTTCTACATACAACAAAACCAGTAATATTTGAATGAGCTTTTAAATCATCAACACTAACATTTGATTTACCACAAATGAGTATTTCCAATTCCTTCCAAGTGAATATTGAAATGAATTCTTGAGGTAACAGTTGATAGAATCCTTCTTTAAATTCATCTATTTGAGTTTTGATGGAACCATACATCATATGGTCAGCCAATAATTGTAAGTATTCCTCTTTGTTTTCATCGGTCACTCTGATTAGATTTCCAAATGGTTTTAAATTAACAACTTTATACTCTTGTTTACTTTGTATTCCATTTTGACAGACACCAGATGCATTTGTAGATGATTGTTCAGTAGTAGTAGTGTTGGTTAAAGTATTATCATAAATATGATGAACAAAGTAAAGTGGATCACCCAACACTTGATTAACTTGTTCCATTGGATTATTGAGTAAATATTGAAAGAGATTTCGGTAGAGGACTGGATCGAGTGATTCGACATCCTCCATGGCGACTGGCTCGTTTAAGAGTCGTTTGTAAAAGGACGGGGTAAAGTGAATGGATAGGTGACGGTCAGCTTTCAAAACGCTTTCAAAAATTGATTTGGCAGCGATGCGACCAAGTGTGCGAAAGAGTGTTTTGTACTCTGGCACTAGATTAGAGAATGGTGATGGTTGGTATCTATCGTTTGCTTTGCACTCAAACATACGGTACCCATTTAGACTGCTCTCTCCCATTCCTTGTGAGAATTTGGAGAACCATTCCTTGGAGATACCTCCAACATCTACACCCTCTTCATTTTCAAACTTGACAATGATTCGAGTTGTCAACAGATTCTTTCCATTCACATTCTTTAAAATGTCCAATGATTCCTCTAGTATATTGTCTCGTGACGATATATTTAATTTTAGTGGTGTTGGTTTTAATCTTTCATTATTTTGAATCTTATTTAATTTATCTTTTAACCATTTACATTTTGAATCAAATGATGGTTCTAAAAAAAAATAATAATTAATTAATTAATAATACTCTTTATAAATTTAATGTTTATACAACATACCAGTTTGATCACCAAAAAAGTAATAGGCAGTTAATAAAATTAAAAATGTATTTGTACAATTATGAATTATTATTTTTGTTTTGTTATCTTTGATTAATATTTCTTTTTCATTTAATAATTGTATCTATTAAAATAGAAAGAATTAAAAAACATTTTAGATTAAAAATTAAAGTTAACTTTCAATTTACATACTTGAATGGTTGGATTAATTGTAAATTCATATACAACTAAATTGGTTATATAATAATTTTCTGTAATTTCTATTTTCTAGAAAATAAAATAATTAGTAAACTATAATTCGAGTTTGATTGATTTATGTATTGTTTACATACAGATGAAGTTATATTTAAATTAACATTTGCAAATTTTTTGTTTTTTTCTATTTGACAAGGAAATGATGATATACCTTGAGTGTAACGTGTTGATAGATGAGAATAATCATCCTTGGAAATTGATATTAAAGTATAGGGACTACTACCACCAGATAACAATGGAACTCCGTTTAAACTAAAGTTGACAGTATACCATCCACACTGATTGATTGGAATTGATACGATTAGACCACGTTCAAATTCTTCGTCTTTGGTAATTGTATATTCTAATTTGGTTGTAAAGTTGCATTGTTGTTGTTTGTTATTTATAAAAGTCTCGTTTGATAATGGTGAAAAACTTCTTAAACATTCTACATTAAATTGACCAATATATTTCTCTCCATTACATGGGTTTCCAAATTGATCTTTTGTAACAATTAAAAATTTTAATACATTTGATGAAGGGGATGATGATTTTTTTTGTTGTTTGTTTTCTTCAAGAATGAAAAACTTATTTTCAGAGATTAATTCTTTTCCATGCCACATGATTTGAGAGTATTTTGGTGAAACGCAACCTGCCTCTACTCTAATGGCCTTTGAAAAGACTAGGATTCCTTGGACACTACCTTCGATCACATAGTCGCCACTACGGATCAGTTTACCGCGTCCATGGAATCCTTCGGGATCGGTCGATGAATACAGTGTAAAGTCATTGCTAATCTTTTTCATGACTCCATTTTCATTGACAAATGTATCGATCGACACTTGGTCATTTATCTTTTGGTTGACAATCTTGGTTGGTGTAATTTCAAAATTAAATTCTTCTCCTGCAACTATCATATTTTGTTTACTATCTACATCTGTTAAAAAGAATGAATATTGAACTAAAGAAGGAAGTAATATTCAATAAAAGTAATTAAAAGGAGAAGGAAAGAGGTTCAATATTAATATAAATCAACTTTATCGTTGCAAGCGCGGGTAGGGTTGGGTATCTATCATCAAGTCGAGAGAGGATTGTGATTGATTTTTGGGTTTAAACGAGGGTAGTAGGTAACGCGTAGAAAGGAAAGAGGATGATGATGATGATGATGACAACCATTCATTCACTCATTCAACCCATTACCATTCTTGGAGGGGGAGTGGTTTTATGTATCCTTGAAAAAAAAATACACAACAATCCCTGCTACTCTTTTTTTTTTTTTTTTGTCTTAAACACCCATTATCTCTTGATCAGATGTGGTTGTAGTTAACTTTCTGAATGTGAATGTGCGAATGTGTAATTACATACCAGGAGATAAATAAACAGAGTATGGGGATAATAAGACTTGGTTAACAAATATGTTGATTGTGTATGTTCCACTCTTGGTCACTGAAAAGTAAACACTAAACGTTCCATTTTTGCGGTCGATAACATTGATCTGAGCGTGTTCATCCATGTTGTAAAGGTCGTGTCCTTGGATGGCTATAGTCACAATATCACTTGATCGCCCTTCTCTTTTGTTTGACATCTGACCAGACTTTGGCGAGATCAAGTGATTGACAGTACTACTGCCACTGTTAAAGAGATGTGGTTGAGAGACGACCACAAAAGAGAACTTGTCACCAATAGTTCCTATGGTTCCAGATGTAATGCCCAATACATATGGCTTGTTGTTTTCATGTCTTTGATTGAATGATCTACCTGAAATAGAAGGTGATGTAGATGTAGGAGATGATGAGGCCGGAGATGTTGTTGTAGATGGGGAAGAGGTAGATGATGATAAAGAAGGAAGTGAAGGCGAAAGTGGGCGAGAGTGTGTAGATATAGTGGGTGGTGATAATAGCACAGATGTTGATGGGTTGACTCCACCAACACCACTTCCACCACTACCACGAATATTCGTAAACCAGCATAATGATACTATATATGCTAAAAAAAGAAATCAACCACAAAATGTGACACAGAAAATGAATGAAAAAAAAGAAAAGATAAGAATGTGATTAGTTGATTAATAGATCAAATCTATTGTTTGTTTGTTATACTTACCAATAAAAGATTGAATAGAGTAAGCTATGGTGGCGATTGTACCATGGTGGTGGCGATGGAATTGATGATGGTTATGATGATGGTTATTTTCATAATAATTATAGATGTATTGGTTGTCTCGACTGATACCATACAATGATGACGACAAACTGAGAGATTGGGAATTTGATTTTAATTTATGGATAGAAGGTGCTTTACTATAATATGATAGAATACCAAGATAGTATCGAATGGAAACCAATAACATTACCAACATGACGATGGTAAATACTGAATATTGATCATTTTGTTTTATTCCACTTGTATTTAATATCCATTCACCAATCGATAGTGATATTTCAATCATCCCACTAGTTGCCATATTTTTTTTAAAAAGTATATATATATTTAATTAATTATAGTTTTTGTTGGATAATTAATTAATTTACTCTGTCTGTCTGTCTGTCTTGCTGCACTCAAATGCAAGCAAGTATAAATAAATAAATAAAATTTCGTTTAATTAAACAAGTACTGACTGAATAACATCTATTGCCTATTTTAGTGTAACTTAAAACCAAATGGGAGTTAATATCAAAGGTTAATCTAAATCAAAATACTGAACAACAACCAAAGAAAAAAACACAAAACTGGGTAATAGATTGTGTAGTTGTTGTTGTTATCATTTCACCACATCCAAAGCCCGGAATATACAGTGTAGTTATATTTACATTTTGGGTGGATTGAAAAAAGTTAAAGTTATAATTTTAACTTCAAGTAATAATAATAAATGATAATAAATAAATAATTATCTCGAGATATTTTTTAAAAATCAATTAATGTGTGTTCCAAAAACTCTACTCTTTCTATTTCTGTTTTATGATAATAATAATAATAATAATAATTCTTTAAATAACTCTGGTAAGATGATTCTGGTAATACTGACTGAGAGTTGGTTGGATAATGCAGTGCAATGAAATTTAATTTGAAAATAAATGTAAATAATAATTATTATTATTATTATTATTAATAGTAGTAGGTAGGTATATTATAAATAAAAATGATGGATCATTAGAAGAGAAGAGGAAGGAAAAATAAACAAAAATAGAGTTGAAAGAGATAATTTTAGTGTTTAAACACACAACAACAACAATAAATCTAGATGGATAGAAGAGATAGATGATGATGAGAATGGTAAGCCGGAATGCAGATGTCGAATCAATACCTCTCGTTAGTTGTTTAGGTGGTAAGGATGGAGAGAGAGAGAGAGAGAGAGAAGAAAAGGTTAAGATGGCGCAAGTAATAGAAATAGATTGATAATAGTAATTAAATATAGGATATAGATTACAAGAGGAGTGGATAGGATAAGAGGGTGGGGTGTCTCATATATATATATATTTTTACACGCGATTTACAGCTGCTTCTGTATGCATAAACATATATATATATATTTATATATAGGAGACGAATGAACTTGTCCATCACACACACACCTCAACAAGATTTACAAAAAGAATGGAATAATTATTGCCAATTGTGGACAAGTGGGGTAAAAACATAACAACAGTGTGGATAATCATTATCAACCATTCAGTGTAATATATATTTGTTGATATCAATATCCACCCCTTTTCCCCTCTCACACCTGATTTTTTCTTTTTTTTCCAACCAGTATACGGAAAATTCGATATCAATCCAAAACTAGTTTGGTTTGGTTTGGTTTGGTTTGGTTGTTGTAGTACTCTGTGTGTGTGGAATCGGATTCGATTGGTTATAGATGATGAGTGAGTGAGTTGATTTCAAATCTATAGATTCATTTGTGCAATAGATTTGGAAATGAAAATATGCATTACATGACATTGGATTGTATGGCTGATGTTTACCTTTTTGTATCTTCTTCTACTTTTAAAATCAAAGTTTCATTGATAATTATTGTTGTTGTTGTTTCTTTTAAAATATAGGATTTAATCTATTGTGAGGACGATGATTAAATGTCTGTTGAACAGCAATATGTAGTAGTAGTGGTAGAAGTTGGTTGTATTGTTAATGTTAAATAGAGATTGAGGATGAATAGAACATTTGTTTTAAAATAAATGAAGTTGATGGGTTTGTTTCAGAAGAAGAAGAGGAGAGGAGGTTTGGAATGATGTCAATTGGAAATATTTAGTTTGATAGATCAAAGAAGATGAGATTTAATGAACTGCACTATTTCTTCTACTACCTGATGATCCAAACCAAACCAAACCAAACCACACTTCCTTCCTGATCAAACCTACTATCGTATCATCATCATTATTATCATCCGAACGACCAACTAAGGACAGACAGACAGACAGCCCGGACAGATGTTTGTTGATTGTTGGGGTTTCAATCAAACATATTTGTTAAACGGATGGGTTGGGGGTTGTTTGATGATATTCATCAATCAATCACACACCCCCATGATGCAGAAAGATAGTTTGTCTTTTGACGTTTCTCTCTATCCTCATCATCTCTTGATTTTCACAGTGAAGAGAGCAAAGAGAGAGAGAGAGTGAAGAACGAGAAAATATATAAGTCAACGTGTGATAATGCGTAGACCACCAACTTCATCACCCCCCTCCACAGTCGCCTTATCACAACCACCGACCATCCCCGCTGATCATTGAAAGAGATAAAAGCAAAGATTAGGGTGAGCTGGATGATTGTGTCTCTGTTAAAAAAAAAAAAACAAAAATTGGAGAGTGAAGGGTCATCATGATCGTCTCGATTCATTATTACTTTAGCCAATCTAAACATAATCAGAGAACGTAAAGGTTTACTTTCCTTATTAATCGATTTAAAGTAGTACAACACAGCTCATCAACTTCACACCCTTCTCCACATCCACATCACCCACTCACATAACCAACAGCCTCCTCAAAAGTAAATAAACAAACCTCAAACCTCAACCTTATCATTCATAATCAATGAATCAATGAATGATTGATTGAATGAATAGATATAGTTAAGAGGTTGATATATATACTCAAAAGAAGAGTTATATATAGATAGATTAGTAGCGATGATGGTGAATACACAATCAATTCAATTTCAAAGAGTCGTTGGGTAGAGATTCAATAGATATAGATATAGATATACATATTACATTGCAATCGATCGATATATATTTAACAATATTATAATTGGAACAACTTCAAAGAAGAACTGATAGTCAATGTACATTGCTTAGATACATTTCACCTTTTCATCAATTCAATAATTTATTCATAAATGAAAGGTTACATCTACCCTTATCATATTATCATCAATATACATAATCTACCTTAAGATCCCTATCTTGATCGTAGATCTTTACATTTATATTTAGCTATAATCAGATCAAATTTACTAACTCTCTCATCTCTCTCCCTCTCTCTCTTTTAATTTTAATTAGAATAATGGCATCAGTATTTATTAAGAAATCAACTGGTCTAACTGGTTTGGCTGTTGAACCAAGAGCACGTCAAATCTTGTCAGACCTCTATTGCAAGACACTCAAGGAGCTCCAAAAGATCCCAGCAACCGCTGGTTATCGTCAAAGAATGGAAGAATTGACCAAGTTTAGATTCAACGTTGTAGAAAGCGAAACTGACATTCTCAAGATTGAACATACCATCAAGGGTGGTCAAGTTGAAGAACTCATCCAACAAGCAAAAAAGGAACTCGAAGTCATCGATTTGGTTTCAAAGGAAAGAGTTTGGGAATTAAGAGACAAGAATATGCCACCAATGATTTTACTTAATAACAAATAGAAATAATAATAATAATAATAATAATTTAATATAAAAGAGGATTTGTATAATGCACAATAATAATAATAATAATAATTTTTTTGAAAAATAATAAGTATGTAAATTCATTCATTCATTCATAAATCCTCATAACCAAGTTAAAGTTATTAACAATGTTCCTTTTTTTTTTTATCTCTAGATAATATAAATATTTATTTAATCAAAATTACATTTAATATTTATTTATTTTTATTTTTTTTAAGCTTCAATAATCTTTTTAAATTGGATATCATTTCTAAAACTTAATAACTTTTGTAAAATACTGACATCTTCGAGATCGTTGATTTCATCTGCTTCCATTTCACCGTGGACGACAGTCTTTTCTTGGAACAATCGATAGACTGGTGCCATGTGAGTATTACGACGGGACTTTTCCAGGGCTCTGCTCTTCTTGCCTAGCCATTGGACAAACATGGTTTTTTGGAGTTGGGAATCCTTTTTGGCAGCGGCACGCTCATCAGTATAGGTCACACGGATGATGCCAAAGGCAGTCGACTCGTCTTTGAGATGCTTCTTCATTTCGTTCATTCCTTTTGGACCCTTTGCAAGCAGTCCAAGACCCTGACAACCTGGGGCAGTGTATCCAATGAGCAACCAGCAGATCTTGCCAGCATTAAACTCTTCCATGGCAAGGGTGATAGCGTCGTAGCCAAAGTATGGTACGTTTTGGATAATGTTTGGTTTCTCATCGGTGCAACCTTGGCGTAGCGTTGATGGAGTGGAAGGGGTCGACGAGATACCAGGTGTCGTTTTCATTTTGAATATCTTTTGGGAGCTGTCTGGAGTGCTGCATGTGGATGGGGTGGGCGAAAAAAACACTGGACCGGGGGTAGAGGCTGTTGAATGGACCGATGACGAGGAGCATGATGTGGCGGTGCCTGGAGACGTACGGATAATGTCTACCAGTTTATCAAACTCACAGCTACTATCACAACGAACGATACGAAGTTTTCTATGGAGATCTTTGTGGTAGAGATAGACATTGTTGGTAAATGACGCAAACTTGCATTTCTCGATGGGTCTAGTGACCGTGCCATCCCAGATGATGAAATAGAATTCCTCGTCATTCTTTTTGTACAATACAACTGTGGAATGCTTCTCACACAACATGGACTGGAGTTTGTTGACCGATAGGCCGTGGAATGCAGTCACAATATTGTCTCTGTCATATCTATACATAAACCATTGACCATTCTTTAATTGTGGTAATAGATTGGTTGAGGGATTAATGTTTGGTGATTGTGACCCAGATTGTGAGAATATTTTACATAATTTGTTAATATTGGATGAAGGACTGGTGGTGGATTGAGATTTCAATTTACTAATCAATGATTGGTCGGTTGGTGTAGTTGGAGGTGACAATCTATTAAACCCAGTATATCTATTATAATTGATATCATGCATGATGGAATCCATTGAATAATAATTTCTTTTACAAATTTGGAATGCACTTTCTATTTTACAAATTGTCTTTTTAAATAATTAATATTAATATATATTATTTTTAAAATTAAAAACTATAACATACACATAATGATTGAATTGAAATTGGAATGATATCTCTAAATCTTTCAATGGTATAAGCATCTAATTTGGAACCTTCCCACCATACAAAATAAAAACTATCTGTATCCTTGCAACGGATCAATGCAATAACCCATCGACTATTTTTAAATTGGGAACATAATTTTTCAGCATCATTTCCAAACAATACAACTTTTAAATCTTCATCAACAATCACCCTATATTGATACTAGATGTTAATAGGTTTATAAAAATATTTTTAAATTATTAATAAATAAACATACCATTGATTCTTTTCACTTAGCGTTTTTAAATCCATCCTTTCCAAGACTAATTAAAACAATTGTTGTTGTTGTTGTTGTTGGTCAATAAACTATTATTATTTAATATTATTATTATTATTATTATTATTTTTAATAGTTTTGAAATAAATAAAAATTAAACAATTAAGATAAATAAAATAATAAAATTTTATAAAAGGTATCTGTTTCAAAAAGAGATAATAAAAAAATCACAATTTAAACATGATCCGATAAAGGAAATGAATAAGTTATCATTTTAAGATTATAGATCTGACAGATTTCATTTGATTTGTAACTGTGTGTGTGTTGATAGAGATACAATAAAAGACTGAATGGAATGGGGGTATCGAAGGGATGCATTGGGAATAAAAAATCTTTGCAAACCACACCGAATTGTAAGATATTTCGAAAATTTTTCTTTTGAGCTCACCCCCACCGACTTTGAGGGAAACTGAATTCTCCTTGGAGAATAGAACAATTCTATTGATACACCACGCTCATCTATATCATATTTAATTTATCACACTACATACTCTCACACACACGCAACACTACAACCACACACAATTACAATTATAATAATAACAACAACAATAGATCCGATGTATTATTCGTAGTAGAGTCACTTCTAAGATAACCACTCGATTCACCCCCCCTATCACCACCACCACAGTAATAACGAATACGTATCTCGATAAAGTAACAACACAACATCATCAAATATAGTATACACTCGTACAATCACAAAATGGTAGAAGTTTGCTCGAGTCCAACAAAGGGTGAACAAGATGCCATTAGTATCATCAATATAGTAGTGTCGTTTCTAAGTTTGATTGGTAGTCTCTTGACAATCACCTCATATATTGCGAAAAAGTACAAGGAACGACAGACAGCAAAGAAACAGTTGCAAAATGAACGATCAAGACCCGTGATAGGCCGATCGTTTGATGGTAGTACCAGTCCAAACTACTCAGACTATGGATTGCAACCAACATACAAACCCGAATCAAACAAGTTGCCCCAACTCATATTTATGCTCTCGATTTCCGATTTTCTCACTTCATTCTTTATCATAACCTCACAGATCACTCTGTTGAGCAACTATAAGCTCTACACCAATTCGGTCGACATTCACGGATGGATCTACTCTCCTTGTATTATATTTCGAAGTTTTATCCAATTCAACTTTATGTCTACCTTTTTCTGTACCGCTTGTATCTCTTTTTATCTTTATCAACAATTATCTTCACCTGAACCAAAGTATGTAAAAAAATGATTAATAATTATTATTGGGCAATTTATTTACACATTTATTTTCTATCGCTAGCCGATTCCTAATGTATATTTTTGGAGCAATTTCATATGGTATCCCACTCATCATTACATTACCATTGACATTTACCAATAGTATCATTCAAGACACTGAAACGGCATGGTGTGAAACTGACAGAGTATTTGAATTAACACTCTGGTTTGGACCACTACTCGTGTGTCTATTGACCTGTGTCTTTTATTATATACGTCTACGAAGATTGTTTAGAAAGAAGTTTGAGTATCGTTTAAATGTCAACGATCGTCTGCGCCAAATCGATGGAATCATATCTCGTCGTCTCACATTGTACATACTCGTTTTCATCGTGACGTGGGCACCTGACGTCGTCCAACATTTCATATCCTTCTTTTCATCATGTTCTTTCTATCCACTAATGGTCATTCAAAATCTTTTGGCTCCATCTCAAGGGTAATTATATATTTTAAAAAAAAAAAAAATCAAGCATAGTTTTTTCCAACTATTTTTCTGGATACTCTCCAACGATGAATCACATATTAACTAACCGTTCTATTCCTAATAGGTTCTGCAACTTTTGGGTGTACAGTTACTCTAACTCGCACTTTGGAAACAAGGGATATGCCCCTGTATCTACTCAATAATCGATTGGTAGAGGCTAAAACAAAAAAATCACCTCTTTAAAAAAATAGTAATAGTAGTTTATTAAAACAAATTAATAAAAGACCTAATTGGTATGTTCTAATTAATCTGTTTCTCATGAGATACCAGGGCATATCCCTTGTTACCAAAGTGCGAGTTCGAGTACGAATATACCAAAAATTATTTAAACAAAATAAATTTATTAGGCCTAGATAAAAATTGATTTGGTTGTTGTTGGTATGTTAGAAATCTCTAGTTTTGTTACATCTCTATCAAAAGTAAAAGAAATATTTTTCATACTCATGTTTAAACAACAAAACAGAGATCCTGATTCTTGTCACGCAATATAATAAATATAATGTACTTTCTGCTGTTTTGAATATTTAAATGTATATATATACATATAAACTTTGTAAAGAACAAAGAGATGGAACTGATTTGTAATATGATAGTAAACTTTTTATTTCTACTAATAATTAAAAAGTTTACTATCAAAATACTAATAGTATTGGCTTTGGCAAAATTTAATATTAAAAAATAAATCAACTTGGTTGTTGTTGTTTACCAATACTGATGTTCCATTGTTGCGTGGGATAAACATACGGCTTGCACCAGTGTAATCTCTAAAATAGCAATGATAATGATAATGAGATGAGGAAAGGCAATCCAAGATATCAAATACCACTGATAAGTTTTTGTGTATACATACAACAATTGTGATGATAATGTAGATATAAAATATTACACCTAGACGACTAGTGCAACTATTGGCGTTGATCTGTGAATATCATCACAAATGATTAAAGCTCTCTCTCTCTAACCATATTCTATAGATGTACAGATACCAATCCAATTACCTATGTACATTGAAAAATACATAGTCTATAGTAAAAAATAGGATATTAATAATATGACTTCTTCTTGTTTGTTTCACCTTGATTGTAATTCACATACTTTGCTACACACTAAAAGGAATGACACAACAAGGAGTTCCGTTTGAATAATGCACCAATAAACCAACTATCGCCAGTCTCATAGTCAACATGTATGTCAAACAGCTGTTGATGCTGGGCCATTGTTGCTATTTGGTTTATTGACATATTGAATAGATGGTCATTAATAGTAAGAGTTGTGTTATGTTTATCATGTAACTTTTGTGCGCATCTGACAACCAAGCCCAAAGATGTAATCAAATTGATATGCTGCTGATTTGTATTCTCTATGTATTATTGTCACTTTTTTTTGATGGGCCAAAATTGAAAAAAAAAAAGGAAAAAAAATTTTAAATTAATCTTCTATTTTCCTCTGGAATACCAGATGTTTGTTGATGAGGACTTAAATTAACCAGTTTGTGTAGATAAAAAAAAAAACCGACAAATATTCTACATGAATTTTCTTTGTCTGATTCAAGAAGATCCAGAGAAACATTAGTTTGATCATTTGTTTTAATAGACTGCTGGGGGTGGAAGAATCGCCAGATTTCTCTCGCAAATAGGTCCACAGATCTTGATATGGTAGCGAACAATGCAAAGAGGTAGGGTACAGCCTAAAAGAACCTGTATAGGAGTCAGAAACTAGTTTCAACCTGTTGTTAGTTTTCACTGTCGTATTGCAACAGGACAGTATCAAGACGTACAATCCTCTCAACTTCCTCACTTGATGAATACCTCAAGCCAAAACCAGAAACTTTTGGTTGGATTCTATTATTTGTTTTTTTTGTAATTGATTATAAACGTGTATATTTATTTAAATTATTATAATATTAATAAATTGCTGGGATTGGATCGTAATCAAGTGGCATCATAATATTGAGATGGTAAAAGATGGTTGGTGATAAAAGAATCAAACCGCTAACGCATGAATAGGTAAATAGTTTTTGGAATGCCTCGACCATTGGTTGAATAACTTGTTTCTTACGATTGATAATAGGTGCCACCAAATTATTAAAAACATAATAAAATAATTTCTTTGACAAATCTTTTATCAATAATACCAAAACAATACCTAAAAAAATAACAAACAAAAAATGATTAATAAAAATTAAGAAATCAGAATAAATCAATTTTCTTATTATTATTTTCTTCTTTCTTTTTCTTCTTACCAATTAAAATTCTTGCTATAGTTAAATAAGTATTACTTGTTTGAATAAAATTAACAATAGCATAGGATGATTGATAGTAAGGATCTGGGGTATAATAGAGATTGTATTTGTGAGCGATCCAACCACCAAGGAAACTACCATGAAAAGTACCAACGACCAAACCAGTTTCTGGATAGGCAGGGGTAGGAGTCTTTAGTTGTGGATGCATAAAGAGAACCACACAACAGGTGGCAAAGACAACCATGGGTGCAAGGAAACTGTCGTCGGCCAAAAGATTGATAAAGAATGGACGGTATCCAAATACAAATGTGAAAACGGCGGAAAAGCCAATGATGGCACCAGCAGTGACGTCCATTGGAGTGTGATGTCCATTATAGAGTCTGCTGAGCATGACTGAACCAACTGACCACATAACTGGAATAATGGCGATCCAATATGGGAGGTATTGATGTGAAGGATTGGGATTTACGTGATAAAAATACATAAAGTAGTAAAATTGAATGGCAATCGATGATGAAGTATGTGTCGATGGTAGACCATGATCCTTTTGTGGAGCAGTGTTGGTCCAAACCTTGACTGGTCGAGGCAACGTAAAGGTATTTTTGAGTATATTACCTGTACCAATCGACAAGGCCAACATAAATGTCAAGTCAATTGCCAAACCACGTGAAATTACCCATGCCGTAATCGGTAACAATAAAATATAACAAAATTCCTCTCCCAATAAACTTGCAAATGAGAAATAATAATCTAATAATTTTGTTCTATAACTCTAAATTAAAATAAAAAATAGAATAAATAAAAAGAAAAAAGAAGATAACTTTTGGGTTGGTTATATAATATTTACTTGAATCTTTAAAACTATAGGGATTTCTCTTTCATATTCTTTAAGTAAAACTTCTCTGATTGCATTTGTAGAGAGAGCACCTAATAATCCTCCCAAATAACCATCTTTTTTCCTTTTGTTTTTGTTTCCTCCAGCTACTGCTCCTGTTGTTGTTGTTGATGTCATTGTATTATTTGTCAGTGGCAAACAATCCATGTATATATATATCTCTCTTTTTTTGTAAATGACTAATTTGTTTGTGTCAAAGTAATTCTATTCTTTACTCTTTTTTGTTTAAAACCTTTTTAATGACGCTTCCTACAATACATATTAAAAAAAAAAAAGAATTAGAAATGATTGATTCTCGAATCTGTCTGGATAATAAATATTATTATAACAAAGTGAAATGACTAAATTTGTAGTAGTAGTAGTAGTAATGAGGAGGAGGAGGAGGAAGAGGTATATATATCGACACCCCCTCCCTCCACTATCTAAAAAAGACAGTATGTATTTTCTTTTGAAACTTTTATAATTTACAAGTAGTAGTAGTAAAATTATTATTATTATTAATATAACATTATATATATATGAGAATAATAATTAATTAAATGTATATATATCTTGTTTCTTTTTTAATGTTGTTGCTTTTAAAGAAGAAGAAGGTTTAAAAATGTTTAATTAATTATTATTCTCCTTCCTTCTTTCCACCTGTCTGTTATCCTATCTTTTTTGTATAATGCTTTACTTAAAAAGGGGTTTGATTTGATGAAAGATGTGATTATTATTAAGACATATATATGTATGTAAGTGTTGTTTTGTGTATAACAAGTAAGTTTAGTGTTTGAATCTAAAAATATTTAAAAGATAAGATAGAAAAGTAAAGTAGCTGCTGCTGACTGACAACAAACAACAATAACCACCTCTAAAAAAACTTATTAATTTATACGAGTAAACAACACTGACAATAAATAAATAACAACAAGGTTATATGTCTCTCTTTTTCCCTCCATTGTTGTCAGTATTATTATTATTATTATTATTATTATTATTATTATTATTATGATTTCCTCCACCAGAATTATGATTTCCTCCACCCCACACATCCCGCGATGCAATCCAATTTTGCAGTGGTGGTGTGAAGTTGTCACAACAACAACAACAAAACTCCAACTACCGACACGACATGTGGTTAGTGGAATGAGGGGAGGGGGGTGCTGTCTGCTAGTAGTTGGGTTATAAACCTTTCTCTTTGCTCTTTAAGATACAATAAGTAAGATAGATAGATGGATGAATGCATCATACATGATGGCAACCAACAAGACTTGCATCAACCAAACAATTCTTTCCAGATCCTTAAAAATTGTATGAATGTGTTTTGTTTGTTTGTTGTTGGTATGAGACACAAAAGAAGAAGAAGAAGAAGGAAGGAGGGAAGGATGTAGAATATACTTTGTTGTGTGAAAGACCATTTTAAAAAAGGCGGGTACTATCCACCGCTCGAGCTACTACTACTACTAACTTGCTCCATTGTATGTATGTTGTTGCTTGTACTATTTTTGTTGTATTGTTTGAAGTACTCACCAATATATATATTGTAATGTTATAAATGAATGATAATATAAATGAATAACAAACAACAAACTATAATTATAATTTAGTCTAGTGTGATTGATTATCTACTATCTACTATCTATTTGTTTGTTTGTTTGTTATAGCAAATGTAACAATGAGATGAGAGTTATACAAAAAACTACTGCTATACTTTTAACGAAACTGTCGTTAACGTTTAAAACCAAAGATATTAATATGGGGGTGACAAGAGTAAAAGACTAAAAGGATAAGGGGTTTCCTTTTTTTGTCTTTTTTTTTTTTTTTATTTTTTTTATTGTTTGTTGTAACTGTGTTGGTTGAGTTGCTATGAGACCATCTGTCGTCATAATATATATCATAAATCTCGATATTATATTACTATTATAATTTAATCAATCAATCAATCAATCAAACCAATCGATAACAAGTTACGAGACGATCTTTGACGTTATACTCTCCCTCTCTCTCAATTGGTGTTGGTGTACATTCAAATACATTATTATTATTATTATTATTATTATTGTATTTGGAATCAAATAGTTGATTATTGTATACAATATATATCAAAGCGACGTTTTAATGACATCTATAGGTGGTAATGCAAGTCACCTGAGGCAGCTACAATTAGATGCTGTTAGAAAGAAAACAATCAAAAAGTATCTCTTTAAAAAGGTCAAAGATGATAGAGAGATTGAAGCAATCGAACTAAAGAAACAAGCAGACAATGCTTCTCAAAAGGCTGCATTGACAGTCAAAGAAGAACAAGTCAAAGATGAAGATAAAAAGATCGATATCACAACAATCGATCCTATAAAAGAAGAAAACATTCTAAAAGATTTAGAAGGTAAGAATAACATCAAAAAAAAAAGAGAGAGATAAGATTTACTCAATCTATGAATCATAATACTGATGGATTATTGTATATTTCACTATGACATTAGAACAAAAGACAATAATGGCTGAAAAGATATCAAATTTAGAATCAAAGTTGGAAGATATGAATACGAGCAAGGTAGCACTATTTAATCTTTTAAAATTGATATTAAACGAAGAAGAGAAAAAACAACAAGCAGAACAACTGAGACTCATCGAGATCAAGAAACAACAGGAAGAACAAATGAGAATGCAACAGAAATTGACTCTTCAACAAAATGGTGGTGTTGCTAGTACAATGATGAATGGTATGGGTGGAGGTGGAAATAACAACAACTATGGACAACAGCAACAACCGCTGCATGGTCAAAGTGGTCCACCAAATATGCACTTTCACCAACACCATCAAAATAATATGAACTATAGACAACAACAACTTAATCATCATTATCAAATGAATGGTAGTACAAATAATAATAATAGTAATGGTAGTGGAGGAGGATTCCAACAACAATCTCCTCAAATGAATTATCAACAACAGCCACCTCAACAACAACAACAACCACATCAACAACCACATCAATCCCATCATCATCAGCAACCCTACTATTCAAATCAACAACAACAACAACCACAACAACCATATCAAAATTCACCTCAACCATATTACAATCAAAACCAAAACCAACAACCACCTTCTTCACATCCACCACAACCTGCAGCTGCAGCTGCTGTTCCTCCTCCACCACCATCACAACAACAACAACAACCTCATCAATCACCTCATCAAAACTTGCCACCTCCAATGGCGCCATCAGCCTCTTTCCAAAGCCCAGTTTCTCCGGCCAACCATCCCAACTCTAGTCCATTTTTCAAGGGTAACAACTTATTTTTCTCAAGTAATGGAAATGGTAGTAATTTGATTCCAAACAACAACAATAATCAACCATATGAACAACAACAAAATGAACCTAGTACGCAACCACCTCCACCACACCAACAACCAGGATATCACCAACAACAACCAAATAATTATTACAATTCACCTTCATCTCCATCCCCACATCAACCACAAAACGAAGGAAATTATTATCGATCACCAATGCACCATGGTAATAATAATCCAAATAATCAAAATAATAATAATAATAATAACCCAAGATTTAGTGAAAGAGATGCACCATACTCTAGGGATAAATATTACAATAACAATCAAAATAATCAAAATAATCAAAATAATAATAATCCCAGTGGATATGATAACAGAGATAATAGAAATGTAGGAGATATGCGTGACAGTAGAGATAGAGATAATAATAATAATAATAGGGAAAATAGATATATAAATAATAACAATAATAACAATAGAGATAGATTTAACAACTATGATAATAACAATAACAATAATAATAATAATAATAATGCTAATAATGATTATGGTGATAGATACCATTCTGGTGGATATAGAAATAATAATCAAAGAGGTGGAGGGAATAATAATAATAGCGGTCCAATAAGACATCATGGAAATCATTGGAAATAATTATATAAAACAAATAGACGGTCTTTCACACCATTGTATAATATATATCTTTGCCTATAATTATGTTATATATTATTTATTTGAATGTTAAGAAATTGGACTTAATCTGGTAGAAGGTAATAATAATTCTAATCTTTTTTCCATTTTAAGAGCATGTAGTTCATCGATTGCACTTCCATTGTATCCTCCAAACATAAACATGGTAGATCCAACCATGTTTCCAGAACCCATGTCTCGGGGATGTGGGGCACTTGGAGCATCGATCCTACTCCATTCCATATTGACAGTATCCAATAGATATAAATCATTTGTCAAAGAATCATCTGACAATGATTGTCCTCCAAATACAAACATAAATGGACCTGCGTTAAATACAATTGTAAAAGTACAAACTGGAGCATTTCCTTTAACATTTACTTTTGTCCATGTATTAAACTATAAAAAAAAGAATCGAAATTAGTACTAAAACAATGGGAGGAGAGATAGGTTGTTGTTTAGTATGTCTACATACTAAAGGATCATAAATATGAACATCATTATATTTCTTTTCCCATTCTAAACCATAACCACCACCAAATAATAATAATTTGTTATCAAATGTCATTAGTTTATGTCCACATTTGGCTGGAGGGATATCACCTTTGGCATAGATTTTTCTCCAAATCAATGTTTCAGTGTCCAAGCAAAATAGATCATCTAAAAAGATGAGTTGATTATTATTTCCCTTGTACATTCCACCATAGATATACATGTATTTTCCAATGACAGTTGCTGAATGATTTGTTCTTGGTATTGGTGTTTCTCCTCTTGATTCAATATATTCCCATGATTCCAATTCTTCAAAAAAAAAAAAAAGGAAACAAATTAGATGTTTTTAGAAATTTAATATATATTATAAATATTAAATATTATTTCTTCCATACATACTTGTATCAAAAATACAAAGATTAAAATGTTTACTAATACCATTGAAACCACCAAAAGTGAATATTCTATGATCAATTGAAACTGCAGAATGTCTAGCAAAATTGGGTGGAAATCCATGACGAGGAATAACTCTTTCAAAAGTATAAGACTCTGTATCGAATCTAAAAATGTCATTGAATCTTTTCTCTGGTATTTCCTGACCTCCAATATAATAAATATATTTTCCAACCACTGTACTTGTATTTTGGTACCTTGGTGATGGTCTTTCACCTGATGGTTTAATTTCAATCCAACATAATCCATCTAAATACAAATAATGCCAGATATTAATATTAATTAAATCAGGTTAACTTGATCTCTTAAACATACTTTTATCACTCATAAGAGTCAATTTTTTTGAATAATAATCTTTCCAACTATTGATAGGTCTTCTTTTGAATATTGGAGAATGAGCCCATTTTCTTTTACAAACTGCCTTCCAAACAATATTCTCTTCACAAAACATATTTAGAGTTCTATTGGTTTGACAGATATTACCAATATCATTTGGATCCAATAATGAAATGATTCTTAATGTTACTTCATTTGGTAATTCCATAAAATTTCTTTCCTTTCTATTATTATTATTATTATTATTATTACAATTATTATTAGTATCTGGTGAGATTGCCAAAGTTGAAATCATTTGATCTTCATAATTTCGATTATTATTATTTTGATTATTATTATTTATATCCTGTCGGTGGATGTTAACTAGTTTACGGTTTCCTTCCATTGTTTTCTTATTTAATATTTGTTGATGTTTTTTTTTACTTTTGGTGTTACAGAGTTTATTCAAGGTGCTGGCTTTATTATTACTAGTGGAATAATAAGAATAATAGTAGGTTAGAAATATGACTATAAATGGCAATGATATGATAAAACAAAAGATGATATGGAACAACTTTTTTATGGGAATGGAAACGAATGATATGATGGTCTCGCAAAGCAGCTGTAAAAAACTGGTGGAACCGGAACCGGATCCACCAACACATCTTGTTGCTCCTCGTCGACAGTTAAGAGTCAGTGGACTTTGGGTTGAACCCACGGTGGTTGAGGTGCTAAAAGATGGTTGTTGCATGCTTTTTTTTGGAAAAGATTAAAGTTTTAAAGTTGAAAATAAAAGAATGAAATTGAGGTTGAGAGCATCTGTGTTTGAGTAAGTGTGTGTAAGTATACAATGATAGAGTGAAAATAATATTTAAAACAACGTCTATCTATCTCTATCTCTCTTGTTTTGAAATCTAATTTAAATGTTGAAATAGAACATCATCATCATGTGATTAGAATGTTGGTATCGAATAATAAAAATGATCTATATATATATAAATGTAACAATAACATCATGATGTTGATGCTGGCAGTTGGATCAAGTGTATTGGTGAAAAAAACAAAAGCTCTGTTCTGTGCTTGCCAAACATACAAAAATGATATTTATGAATCTATCTCTGAAAATATTAACTATCGTCGTCGCCCTATCTGTATCTATGTTTCATGATTTAGGATGGGTGGTAAACTACAAAATTCTTAAACCTTTTCAAAAATGATAATACTAATAATAATAATTGGTTGTCTTTGGAGAAGATTGATGGAGGGAAAATTGATACTTGGTATGTGATTGCAATAATTATAAAAACCCAATGATAAGAATGTATTCTGATGGTGATAGTGGTTAGGGTGAAGAGAGAGAGAGAGAGAGAGAGGTAGGATATATATCGTGCGTGGTGGTTGAGACCAACCGTATCACCAACCACACAAAACAATGTTTTTAATACAAGTTGGGTGGGAGTTGGAGTTGTTGTTGTATTCTGATCGATTGTCAACTATACTTACAAGGAAGGAAGTGCACGTCAAAAAAATAATGAAATATATATAGTATTTATACAAAGATAAAATAGATATAATCTCTTTTGTTATAATTTAGAAAAGACAGGAAGGAGGTAATAATAATAATAAAGTTATTGCTCTATACTTGAGGACCCTGTCTTTCTCCAACTAGGTATTTTAAAGGAGTAGTGATAACAACAAGTGTTAAAAAACACAATAGGAATAAAATAGACTCTCTCTTTGACAATGGGGAGGCCAATGTAATGGAAGCCTGCCAACACCATGGTGGTTGGCAAAGACTCAAATTTATTTTTTATATTTTAGGTTGGCGTTTTCAACCATTTATATTCGATGTCGCTTTTTGCCTTGAGTCTAAGGGTTGTACCCCTAGACTATCTATCTCTCTCTCTCTCTCTCTTTTCATTTTGATTTTGGTTTTGATTGATTTACTGTACAATTTTGAGTGAGTTGAATTATTTATCTATAACACTCTTATATATCTTTAATCCATTAATGGTTTGGATATGACCTCATCCCTATCTGTCACTCACTCTCTTCCTATGGGTGTGATAGTCATGAGGTCTTTGATGATTTTTGTTGTACCATTTTTATTACTAATACTCCCTACAATTTTAAAATGATTATTATTATTAATTAATTCTCTTTTGATCTGTCTTTCTGTGTATTTTTCTAGTTGATCTTTCTTACCACAGCCAATATATGTATAAATACAATCAAAGATATTACCTCTTCGATGGTTATAATGTAACTTATTTTATCAACTATCATTTCATATTCCCATTCATGAATGATAGTAGTATTCTCATTGTTTGCATAGCAAGTAAAAAAGGGGAATGAAAATTTAATAATTGGAATTACCCACCAACAATATATTTTTAGGGTGTTGGCGGGAACTTTGAAATAATTTTTTTCACGAACGCACTTCACCTTCATACTTTATAATTTTTTATCTCTCTCTCTTCACATTTTACTTGCTTTAGTCTATCTATACATTTGTGTACATTTATATATACTCTGTTGTGTATTTGTATCTCTTATTATATCATACTTGACCTCCAACAATAACCTAAATAATGGTAACAAACAACCTTTATATATCTTTACAAGAGTAACAAAAAAGCTAACAAACTCTCGTCTTTCTCTTCTCTCTATTCTTTACTTTACTTTACTTTACTTTATTATAATAGGAGACCAATAATGGTGTTATGAAGGTTGTAGATGATGATTCAGACTTGGTTACAAACGAAAGCTCGGATGAGGAACCAGTTAAACCATCATCAAATGGTATTAAGAAACCATCTACTCCTCCATTAAACAACAACAACAATAACAATAACAATAACAATGGTACACCAACGAAACTATCTACTCCACCACTCAACAGTAATGGAGTTAATAAGAATTATAAAAGTAGTCCTACATCAACAACGTCGACAACTTCAACAACATCTACAACTTCAACTACTTCAAATAATAACAAAAAAGTAAAGAAGGAATCGTCACCAATGGAAATTGATGAACCAGTTACCAAGAAATCATCACCAAAGATTAATGGAACACCAAAGAAACCTCTATCACCACCACTCAAAAAGGCAACTCCTGCAAAGCGTAAGCAAGCTGATTCGAGTGACTCTTCTGATTCGAGTGACAGTGACTCGAGCGATAGTGATAGTGATAGCGACAGTGATTCATCTTCAGACTCGAGCGACAGCGATTCATCTTCAGATTCTGATTCATCAGGCAGCGACTCTGACTCATCAGACAGCGACTCTGATTCATCAGACGATTCTGGCAAGAAAAAGAAAAAGACACCAGCCAAGAGAAAGGTGGTCATTACCAAGAAAGAACCCAAAAAGAAAAAGACACCGGCAAAGAAGACACCAGTAAAGAAGGAGACCACACCAGCCAAGAAAGCACCAGCCAAAAAGGCAGCAGCAGCCAAGAAGGAAAAGACGTCCACCACTTCTACCACCTCGACAAGAAAGAAAGTTAAAAAAGAAGAATCTGATTCAGAGGATGATAAAAAGTCAAAGGGAAAGAAGAGAAAGAAGGCAGACGACAGTGACGACGATGAAGAGGATGCAGAAGATGGATATAAATGGTGGTTGGAAAAGGACCATCCTAATGGTGTTAAATGGGAGACATTGACTCACAATGGACCTGTTTTCCCACCCGACTATGAACCACATGGAATTAAATTATACTACGATGGCAAGGCACTAGAACTCACACCAATTCAAGAAGAAGTTGCCACTTTCTATGCTACCTATCTTGAAACTGAGCATGTTCAAAAAGAACAATTTAGAAAGAACTTTTTCGCTGAATTTAGAGCTTTACTTAGTACTGTAAGTATTGAAAAACAAAAAGAAAAAAGATAAAAGAAAAAGATAATAGAAAATATTTATTTACTTTTATTTATTTAATTTTTTTTTTAGGAACAACAAAAAGTTGTAAAATCGTTTGAATTATTGGATTTCTCAAAGATTCACAAGTTTTTAGTTGCACGTAAAGAAAAGAGACTAGCAAGAACAACCGAAGAGAAAAAGGAAGAAAAGGATGAAAAGGAAAAGTTGAGAGAAAAGTATGGATATGCCATGGTCGATGGTCACAAGCAAAAGATTGGTAATTATATGGTCGAACCTCCAGGATTGTTTTTGGGTAGAGGTAAACATCCAAAGACTGGTATGCTAAAGAACCGTATCTATCCATCGGATGTGACAATCAACATTGGCAGTGAGGCAGATGTGCCAGAACCACCCATCAAGGGGTACAACTGGAAACAAGTCATCCACAACAACACAGTGACTTGGTTGTCGTTTTGGAAGGAGAATGTCAACGGTGGCTACAAGTATGTGTGGTTATCGTCATCGTCCAATATCAAGGGACGTGCTGACATGAAAAAGTTTGAGACTGCGCGTGGTCTCAAAGAGTGTATCGACGACATTCGTGACGGTTACAAGCACAAGCTCAAGAGCTCCAACCGTAAGGAGGTGCAGTTGGCACTCGGTCTCTATCTCATCGACAAGTTGGCGTTGCGTGTTGGTAATGAAAAGGGTGAAGATCAGGCCGACACGGTCGGTTGCTGCTCGCTACGTGTCGAGCACATCACCTTCCCCAAGGATAAACCCAACCACGTCACACTAGATTTTCTCGGCAAGGACTCGATGCGTTACCACAACACGGTCGAGATCGACCCCAAGTTTTACAAGCAGCTCAAGGAGATGGCCACCACCAACGCAGCGGGCGGCAAAAAGAGCGGGTCTGACGACATCTTTGATCTGCTCTCTGTCACCACGCTCAACACCCATCTCAAAAAGCAGATGACTGGTTTGTCGGCCAAAGTGTTCCGTACATACAACGCATCGATCACCCTACAGAACGAGCTCGCCAAGATGCCCGACGACCTCGAAACGATCGACGAAAAGATCCTCTTTTACACACGTGCCAATCGTGAGGTTGCCATCCTCTGTAACCATCAGCGTTCGGCTCCCAAGACACACACCGAGTCGATGGGCAGATTCCAAGCCAAGATTGACGAGCTTGACGACCGCAAGAGACTGGCCGCGCACGATCTCAACCAACTCAACGAGAAAAAGGGTGAAGCTCTCTCGTCTTCTGAAAAAAAGAAGATCATGAAACGTGAGGATGAAAGATTGAAAGCTGCCATTCAAAAGGCCATCGAAACCAACAAGGACGCCGAAAAGACCGACGAAGAGGTTCGCCAAGAAGCAGAGACCAAGTTTGAAAGATCTCGTAAGCTCTCGGATCAAGTTGACAAACTAGAGCTCAAGATTGCGTCGCTCGAGGAACAAATCAAGAAACAGGAATTGACAAAGACTGGAAAAGATGAAACATCAACCGTCGCCCTTGGTACCTCAAAGATTAACTACTTGGACCCAAGAATCACAGCTGCATGGTGCAAAAAGATGGAAGTTCCCATTGAAAAGATCTTCTCAAAGACTTTGCGTGACAAGTTCCCCTGGTCTGATGTTGATGAAGATTGGGAATTCTAAAGAATAGAATAGAATAGAATAGAAGGAAAAGGAAGGAATCCTTTAAAATTGAACATACACTTTTAAATAAAGATATCAAAAAAAAAGATCATTTAAAAATAAATAAAGAGAATTTAAAACCCTAACCCATTTTTTTTCCCCAACACCACGACGAGAGACTTTGCGTCGTTGTCAAAAAGTTGATCATCGTCTCACATTCTTGACCAACATATCATTTTAAAAACCATAGATAGATAAACAGATAGACAGAAATGACATTTCAATATGTTTTAAGAAATGGAATAATAGTACTATTTATTATTCCATTAGTTGAATTGTCATATGGTCAAATTGGTATTCCTTTGCCACCTGATGAACGTGAGTATTCGAATGTATACAATCAATTCACCATTAGTTACCAATATTTTTATTACAAACAAAAACAATCACAGTCGCTTCAGCAATATGGTTAATCAAACAGTAAGTAACAACCAAAAAAAGATTTTAATTATTATTTTGTAAACTAATCAAACTTTTTATTTATTCAAACAAACAGATACAAACTTCCGATTCCTCAAGATCAAACCCTTTGTAGCTATAAAGATCCTCAAGATTTTCAACCCTTTTTTAGTCCAAATGGATATATTTCTGGCATGTAAGAGAGAGAGAGAGAAGTATAATGTAATATTTAGATTCTTATTGTTAACTAGATGCTAAACCCTCTCTACTACTACAGGTCAGATATATAAAAGATACAACTATATGGACTGACAACGGAACGCCAAACCCTTTGTTGAACCTTACCTTCCCAAAGTTATCTAATCTATTAATCGATGGAAGTGGCAAAGTCGCCGATCCGGATCAATCATTGCTCAGCCAAATTGGTACATCTTGTTGTCCTCTAATATCACAATTAGCGTAAGTGTTGTGTCATGTCATATTATATTAATAAATTGATTTTGTTTTGTTTGGGTTGTTTGTAGAATGTCTGGTGATCCATCTATGAAAGATATTCCACCTGGTCTGACTGATCTCAGTGAATTGATCGTTGCCCGTTTCACATTTTGTAATGCAACAATAATCAATTTGAGATCAAGTAAATCATTGACCGTCATAGGTAATGAAAAGCTCGTTCGCATTGTCATAGATAGGTCTACAGAATGTCATCCCAGCCTCTTCCACCACCAACAATAACGAATTTATTTTTAATAATGTTGATTTTGGTCTACTTGCTATTAATGTTTCCAATTCATATTACTCTGCTCCTCTTGTTATTACAAGCTATACTATTGGTAAATATTCAAACTAAAACAAATTGAGTACATCCATTTACCCTTTTTCAATTTATATTAACATTGTTTTTTTTTTTAGAGTATCCAATAATCAGTGGGTCGTCAATGTCGGAACCTTCTATTAGTGTTGGTTCAATGATACTAATTAATGGTAATTTTGGAACTTATCTTACAAGTTCCAAGGTATTTTTAACCAATCAAAATAGTCGATACAATCAAACCACATGTGTTGTTGCATTGTTGACAAGTGACCTAATCAAGTGTATTCTTGTCTCGCATTTGTCATCTGGTCTAGCCACCGTTAATGTAAATATCGATGGTTATACAAACACCAATACATATCTGTTAAAATCATTTCAAACAGATTGTGAAATCTCAACAAACAATTGTTATGGTAATGGTGTCTGCTCTCAAAATGGTACATGCATCTGTGTAACTATTCAAAGTGGTGCTTATTATAATAATTGTTCAAAAAGTATGTAAACTTTAAAATATATATTTATATATCTATATACATATTAATCCTTTTTCATTCATTCTCTTTAAAGCATATCCATTTATTACAAGTGGTACTATAAATGATATACAACAAAGATCTATTAGTTTGTATGGAGATTTTGGACCATTGTTTGAACAAACCAATACAACTGTCATTTTGAATGGTACAATGAATTGCAGTATCACTGCAGCAAGTCAACTCTTTATTAATTGTACACTTGAATCATCACCAACTGTATTTGGATATGTATCGGCTGAAGTAAAGGTATCTTCATACCAATACACTAAACCTCGTGTATTTGCATTCATCAATCCATCTTCTGGTGGTGGTGGTGGATAAACACCAAAAGAACAATGTGAAACAACTACCAATTATTGTTTTGGTCATGGATATTGTGATGATAAAGGAAAATGTCAATGTGATCAAAAATATAATCCTGATGATAATTGTTTTACTCAATGTATGTAGATAGATAAGATATTAATTATATTTACTTCAAATGTGTATATTCTTTTTCAAATTCTAATAACATTTTTTATTTTCTTTTTCTTTTTTACTTTCTCTCTCTCTATAGTCACTGATAATACAACATTTACACCAAATAATACATCACCATCATCAACTATTAAAGTTGATGGCATGGAATTTGGATTCCAAATCATTGCTATTCAAGAAATTGGATTAAATGATGAGGTTGTCAAAGAACTATTGACAAATAGTTGGTCATCAAATGTTAGTACTGTCAATTCATTGACCAATGCCATCTATCAATTAAAGATTGATAATTCAAGTGTTCTTGCATCGACCACTGTAACAGCCTACATTTCATTCTCTACACTTGCAAGAACTGTATTGTTTGGAAATCAAGAGCTTATTGTCAATCCAAACTCTATCAAACTATCCGTCTCCATCTCTAATTGGCAATACTCATCAAACATTGGTACAATCAGATTATTATTGAAAACAGATATCAACAATCAACAATTGGTACAACAAGATTGTAAACAAACTGAAATCGAGTCATTCTCATTTGATGATTTAGGTGATATTCAATACCTAAGAGTTATCAAAGACAATATCCAATTTAATGGAAGATTCCTTGATTTTGCCATTGCCGATGGTAGATCAACCTATTCTCAAACTCTTTTAATCAATCAAACTAAATTGGATTCTGACCTGTCAACTGTCATTATTGGTATTACATTGCCTCAATGTCAAGCATGTGAGATTGATCCAGACTTTACACCATTGTTGGTAGGTGATAGTGTTGGTTGTGACAGTCAAACCCCTATCAAATGGAAAATGATTGTTGGTATTGTTGTTGGTGTTGTCGGAGGTGCATGTGCCTCTATCTTTATCTTCCAAGGTATTAAAAAGTATAAAAGATATAGAATTTTAAAAGCAAAATCAATTGCCATGACTAGAATCTAGAAAAACAAAACAAAATAAACAAATAAATAAATAAATAAATCAATAAATCAATAAATAAATAAATAAATAAATAGTAATTACAAAAAAGTATCAAATGGTTGGGATAAGGGTTGGATAGATCTTTTTGAACTGACCTTCCCTTTAAGATCAAACACATCAATCATGATCAACAACCATCACCTCAACAAATTAATATAAATTTTATCCCAATGCAAGGGAAATCAGATATTATTATTGTGAGACAAATAGAAGATAGGATAGAGATATTATTATTATGTGGTATACCACCACTTCACCTCACCACACCACACCACATAAAGGAAAAATGAGAGGACATTGTGTGGAGATGATCGATCTTTTAAAAGAGTTATAACTCTCTTGATCATGGTACGGGTGCTTATGATAATAGTACACAATGTCGGTTGTCAATGAACCGATGCATTATGTTAAAGCTTTGATATCTACGAGTATGGTTAATCTCCGTACGATTAAATGCGTCTCCTCATTGGATTACGATAAAGAGACACCACTACAGTGGGGGTAATGAAAAACAATCGGGGGACATCTGCGATCATTCAACTAAAGTATGCGGATTTTTTACCCTTGCAACGATGTCATCATCCTAAAAGAACCCAACTCATTATTTTAAATGAGCACCACCGCTTTTTGATGAGCCCCACATGTGCGTAGAGAAGAGGTCCTTCTCACCACAACGAAACATTATTTATTCATCTCTGTACATAGTAGTTTTTTCTTTTATTATATATCTCTATCTCTCTATTTATTTATTTTTAGGTAGGTTTAAAAGATAAAGATAAAGATAAAGATAAAGAAGTCAGCAATGACAAGATATACAAATCACATGACCGATCATTATGTGTTCAATATATCTCATCGATCGATTGCAAATCACAATCTTTTATTTCCTTTCATCTCGTATACTATAACAAGTTAGCATTGTGACTATATATATATATATATATATATATATATATATATATATATATATATAAAACCAACACCATCAATTTCTTTTGATTGATCATATCACCATCGATGTATACACACCACACACACATACATTGCACACACATAGATATAGATAACACCCACGTCTCAATTTTTCGGCAATGCTGCAAACCAAAAAAAAAAAAAAAATTTGTTTCCATTGCGGTAGTTTAAAACAAAATCTTTTAAATATCTCTTTGTGCACTACACTTTATGAATACACACAATGTGATATTTATCGCTTCTCCAAGCGATCATCATTTTAATCAAAAAAAAAAAAAAAAGTCCATCCTTTATTCTCATAAAATAGTATTTTTAGTTGTGTCAAAAAGTCAGGAACAACTACAACGATAAAGTATAGAAGGTCAAGATTGCAGTGAAAGGTGACAAGCCCTAGGTCGGTGGGTTTGGTCAATAACGCAACTTCTTAAGATGAGGACAGTAGTAAACTATGATTTAATTTTTGTTTTTTTTTTTGTTAACTGACAGACCCCATTTTTACTCTGAATGAACAAAGTTGGATGCAGATACCTTTAATTATCCCTTTTTTTTGCAACCAATCGCAATCACACACACTCTCACCCACAGCACACTTTATCTATACCATTACATTGATGTAGTTTTTTTTATATTTATACTTTTAATTTATTTATAAACAAAAACACATCTTTAATTGTACAATTACCTCTTTTCTTCTTCTTTTTTTTTTTATCTCTTTTCACACCCAAACACATTATATAATACCTGTTATATATAAATATATCAATCAATCAATCAACTTACAATTATATTTTCTTTAACTTGATTTATAGTTTTTTCTCAAATGAATAAATTATTATTAAGTGTAACATTGCTTGCATGTTGCATGGCAGTGGTTTATGCCGATATTTATGGACATTCACCACCACACTCTAACAATCGTAACAATGAAGAGTCGACCAATCGTGCCAACGCCAACCGTCTCTTCAACTCTCAAAACAACGACAAGGGTGGATATTGCCGCGGTGGTATGTTCAACTGGTACGAAAAGTCGTATCTCCCCATCGAGTGGACCAACCAACACGGTTGTGGCTCTGACCAGACCACCTGTTCACTCATCCTCCAATACATGTGCACTGATGTCAATGCACCCGCCGAAGAGGCTGTCCGTGACGGTACCACCACCGACACTATCCCCAACACCTTGGATGCTACCAAGACCATGGACACTGCCGACTACAAGTATGGTTTGCACGAGGGTTACTACTACTACCAAAACTGTAGCAACCGTCAACGTAACACTGGTCTCTGGACTGCCACCCAAAACCCAGGCAAGTCTGCCTTGTCCACTCGTCAACAACCAGGTACCACCCGTTATGGTTTCGAGTGCCCAGAGGAGCGTGATTACTACCCATACTGGGCACCAACCCCATGGAAGGATATTGCCATCTTTACCACCGAAACTTCACGTTGCAAGATGTACAAGCGTGAGTCGCAAAACGACAAGGACAAGTACTACTGCAAGACCAACGATACTAGCAAGCTTGCTCCATTTGACTTTGAAAACTGTAATGCCACTGGCGGTGAATGGGTCAATGCCTACTCGCACGACATTGGTGCTCCAGGATGTTACGAAGCTGCATGGAACCACGTCAACCATCTTGGTATCAGTTTGGAGAATGGAAAGTACAACACTTACAATTGGTCACTCCCACACTCTGGCATGGAGCCATGCATCTTGACTGGCACCTGTCGTTGTGTCCTCCGTATCCGTTACAATATCTCCAACTCGCAAGTCGACTATGACTTTGACGCCTCGTACAATGGCGCCAACTCGACCGTCAAGACCGACCCACTCGTCGCCGTCAGCGGTGTCAACCTCACCATCGAAGTCAACACTGCCCAATACGGCCGTACCTTTGAAGATCGTACTCACTCTTTCAACATCATCCCACGTCCCAAGTCACTCAAGGACGCCAAGATCTGGAATCTTCTCGTCAAGGGCAAGCGTGGAAACATTGTCCAAGTATTCCCAGCCATTGAATACCAATTCTCGCCATCACAGTTGCACATGAAGGTCAATGAATACATTCACTTCCAATGGACCGGTTGTGACACCAATCCAAACGGCAATGCCGGTGAAGGTATCGACCAAACCGATCGTTCCAACATTGTCCAAATCGACGGTCTCAACGAGAACATGCCAGCCGAAGATGTAGGTGGTGACACTGCCCTCTTTAGAAACGAAGAGGATCGTATCAAGTTTGCATCGCTCAACCAAAAGGGATGCAAGTCGTACGAGCAATTGATGGCCGACAACAACAACGACAGAAACCAAGTTGACCAAGACCCACAAAACTGTTTCCGTCTCAATGCTGCCGACAAGCACTTTGATGGTGGTGTTTTCAAGATGAGCAAGACTGGTTCCTACTATTACATGTCTACTCGTAACAACAACTTCTCCAACCGTGACCAAAAGGGTGCTATCCACGTTGATCCACTCCTCCGTGCATGGCAAATCGCCTTGATTGCTGTTGGTGGTACCTTGTTTGTTGGTCTCTCTGCCACTGCCGGTTCTCTCTTGTTTGCCCGTAAGCATCCACACAGTGGAGCTGCTCGTTTCTTCCAAAAGATTCCACTCCTTCGTCGTGCTATTCCATAAAGGAGATAGAGACATAACAACCTGTTCATACTATACTATACTATCATCATATTTCTCAATCAATCAATACATACAATTCATATAATCGATAAACCCCTCCTCCTTCTTCAAAAAGTGGTAGTAGTAGTTATATTGGTTCATTTTTTTGACAACAAACAAAACAACAAAAACTTTGAAACTTTGTAATACAATATTATTTCTTCTCTTTTTGATGATTCATTTTCCCTTTTTTTCCAAAAAGTGTGATTATTGTAACTTTAAAAAACAAACATTTAACTATACCTTATAATAAAAAATTTATTATTTATTTTAACCCTCGACAATTAAAATCTGATACTCTGTGACTGTACTCACAGAGATAATTACCCGATTTTTTACCATACCTTTTGATGATTCATCGAAAAAATTTCATCCCCTAAAAATAAAAGAGAAATGACATGGAACAAGCCCCCCATCTCATTTAAATTTAATATTAGACACTTTTACTTTGTTAGACCAAGTTGAACGCAGTTGATTATTATTATTATTAATCATTCGTACAGATAGATAGATTTTACTAAAAAAAAGATGACACATAAACATGAAGGAGAGGTAACGATTCCATATGAATTGTACCAAAAGACAGTAGATGAAGTACAACAAATCAAAACAAAGCATCTCATCACCTATACATCATATGCTGGTATAGCAGAGTTTAACGAGATCAATCTACAAGTAGAACTTCATATTAGAGTATTCCAATCAGAGAGATGTGCTGTCCCATTGATGGGTCAAAAGGCAACCATGATCGATTCAACTATCACCTTTGTCGATCCAACCAAAGGTGTATCTGTTGATGGTGACACTGTCAATGCCTGTATCATTACCTCTCAAAATTACTATCATCTCTATACATCTACTCCAGGTAGATATATTGTAAAGGTTACTCTTTCAGTACCTTATTTAACCTCTAAAAAGACTGGTATGGAATTAATGATTCCTCAAGTATGTAAAAAAACAAACTTTATAGTATACATATATATTTAAAACAAGTATTTACTTACTTTTTATTCCTTTTTCTTCTTAGTCATCAAATAATAATATATCATTTAGAGTACCACAATCAAATGCAAATATAAAGATATTTAATTCATTCCCAGATATTGAATCAACTGAGGAATATGAAAAGAAGAGTGGCAAAGAAACCAATAATCAATACACTATGATATTCTCTAAATTGCCACAAGAAACTCTTCTTCGTGTTCAATGGACATTCAAATCCGAAACACAAGTTCCAAACAACAACAACAATAATAACCTTGTCACTAATATTGTAAAGACTAAACCAAATGTTAATGTTCTTCAAAATACTCTTGGTTCAATTGGTGAAGGTTTATTAATTTTAAAATCAACTTTTAATTATAGAGTAAGATAGTAAACAAATATATTAAACACAAGTACAAGTAAATTAATTTTCATTTCTATTTTTTAAGATTGTAAGTGGAACATTATCAGTATTTAATATAACAATTGAAAAGAATGTAAATATTATATCTGTTGATGGTGAAGCTATAAAGAAATGGGAGGTTGTTGATATTGAAAAGCCAGAATCTTCAACACAACCACGTATGCTTCAAGTACATCTTGATTATGGTGTTGAAAACAACTATGAACTTTCAATCTCTGCCGAGTACAATATGCGTGATACATCGGCTGAAGTTCGTATCCCAATCATGGTATGCAAGGGTGAAGAAATCTCTAGACAACGTGGTTTCCTTGCCATCGAAGCACGTACCAATGTTGAAATTTCAGAGATTGGATGTCTTGCCGCCGACGTTATCGACGTTCAAGAGCTTCCCATCCAATTGTCTCGTTTGGCCACACATCCAATCCTCCTCGGTTACAAATACCTCGATCCAACATTTGAGCTTGTACTAAAGGTCAAAAAGAACTTGGATGTCCCAGTATTGGTGTCGATTTGTGAAGCTTCCCATTTCATCTCTACAGTCTCTGACACTGGTCGTGTCATTCATCAAATGGTGCTTCTCATCAAAAACACTCAAAAGCAATTCCTCCGTATCCAACTGCCCTTTGAATATGACCTTTGGAGTACGCTGATGGATGGGACCCCTATACGACCCAGCTGCATCAACAATGACAATGAGAGCTCACCAATTCTGTTGGTTCCTCTTTTAAAGCCCGCTGGCGCAAAGTCACTCCACAGCGACTCGACATCCGTCCAAATCGAAGTCGTACTGTTGGAAAAGAATATCAGACCGATTGCAAAGAGCTCATCCATGACATTTACAATGCCACGTGTCGATCTCCCACTTAGATCCGTCTCGTTTACTCTCTACCTTCCCCAAAAATTCATGACCAAAAACTTTGAAGGCAACCTCAAAAAGGTCACCTACTATAGTCAAACCCCTCCAGCTCCCATTCTAAAGGACGCTTCGCATACCAGCAACAATAGCAACAACAACAACAATGCCTATGGAGGTAAAAGAGGAAGAGGAGGTTATAGTGATGATGATGACGAAGAAGATGAAGACTTTGGTGGTGCCACCCAAATCAACTCATTGCTCAAAAGAAATGAAAGTATGGATTCCTTTGAGTATAATAGCAAGGGTTCGTCTCTCTCCTTTAGCAAAAAGAGTAAGGCCCCCGCCAGAAAGGGCGCAGGTCTCATCCCGGTCAGAGTCGAGATGCCAACTACAACCAACCAAGTAATGTTTGAACAAATTCTTCTTTCAGGTGATAATGATCTCACTGTCTCTTTTGATTATAAACAATATGAACAAAAGGTTGTAAGATAAAAAGAAAAAAAAAAGTAGAAAAAGAACATTCTTTTACTAGTTTCTTCCTCTAGATCTTTTTTGTATATTCCAACAATAAATTAATGTGATTCATTTTTTATAAATATTTTAACCTAATCTAACTTCTTCTTCATCACCCATTAAATCTCTTCTAAACTTCATTCTTGGATCAACCAATTCCTTTGATCCTTGGAATTCTACCATTAATTTCTTTTCTGGTTTCTTTGCATCGACATAATAATGGTTATCTAATAATATATATTGGTTAGTTATGTGGGTAACCAATTGTTTCTCTCTCTCTAGATTAACATACCACAATGAGGACAATATTCATCAGATTCATCAAACTCTGCATTGATTAACTTTCTAAATACTTTTGAACATTTTTTACAAGCAAAGATCATTTCTTCTGTCTTTTTGATTGGATGATCTGATGCTTCTGCATGGCATTCAGAACAATCAAACCATTTTTTACAACATTGTGCTCTAATCGAAACCTTAATGTTAATTAATTAGTAAATATAAAGGAAAACTGTCTTTATCTAATATACTAACATACTTGAACATTCTAGATAAGTGCAATGAAATAAGTATCTAGATTAGTATAAATGTACTTTTATGTTTAATTTAATATCTCAAACTTACGACTATATGTTTACACATTTTATATATATTACAAAGGAGAGATAGATATCTATATTTACACACCTAAATGCGATCTTCTAACTTTAGACAACATTGACTACAATAAAAGACGACACCACTCAAAAAAAAAAAAAAACAAAAAAGGTTAAAAAAACTAATAACCTAAAAGACTTCTTCTTGAAGAATAGATTGATTTAATTTTTTTTCGTATATTTTAAAGGGGTTTATTAGATTAGAATAGAATTTACAAAGGAGTTTATATTTTTGTTAAAGTTTTTCTTTTTTAAATTTTTTTTAAGATTTTAGTTTAGGGTTTTTTTAAATCCTACAGGGTATTTTTTTTTCCTCCATAGGGTACAAATATTTTTAGCATTTTTTCACGTGGACCTTTTAGTTGGCGTCCTTATCTTCAGTATCTTGGTCATTCTTGTCTATAGAAATTAAAAAAATAAAAATAAAGATATATGAGTATTATTATTTTTTTTTTTTTCTTTTTTCTTCTTTTTTTTTTACTACAAACCTTGGATATCAGAAGTCCAGAGAGTTAAATTGTCACGTAAAAGTTGCATGATAAGAGTAGAGTCCTTGTAAGAGTCTTCAGAAAGGGTGTCGAGTTCAGCAATGGCATCATCGAAAGCGTTCTTGGCCAAATTGCAAGCTCTGTCTGGGGAGTTGAGGATTTCATAGTAAAATACGGAGAAGTTGAGGGCAAGACCCAAACGGATTGGATGTGTTGGTGGGAGTTCGATGAGGGCGGTATCAGAGGCAGCCTTGTAAGCGAGGAGGGAGTTTTCGGCAGAGACCTTACGGTTTTGACCAGAGGCAAATTCAGCGAGGTAACGGTAGTAGTCACCCTTCATCTTGTAATAGAAAACCTTGGATTCACCAGATTGTGAAGATGGGATGAGGTTCTTGTCAAGAACGTCGAGGATATCCTTGCAGATCTCTGAGAGTTCGTTTTCGACCTTGGTCTTGTACTCTTTGATCTTCTTGACGTTGTTTTCGTTACCCTTGCTTTCTTCCTTTTGTTCAATGGATGAAATGATTCTCCATGAAGCACGACGAGCACCAATAACGTTCTTGTAGGCAACTGATAACAAGTTACGTTCTTCAACTGATAATTCAATATCTAATTGAGCAACCTTTTTCATTGATTCAACCATTTCTAAAAGAGAGAGAGTAGATAAAAAAAATAGAAAATAAGAAAAAAAAAAAAAAAAGAAGTAAAATAGATAATTATTAGTAACTTCACCAATAAGAATAGTATCAAGTAAAAAGATAGATAGATAGATATGTATGTGATCAATCTACTCTCTTTATCTTTTAGAGAACACTACATATCAATCAACTAACAACAACAACAATAGTAGTAATAATTACTATTACTATTATTAAATTTTGTTTGGTTGGTGCATCTTCCTTCTTCCTATTAAATAATATAATATATACCTTCATATCTTTCAGCTTGTTCAGCAAGCTTAGCCATGTATACGTTATCCTCTCTTGAAGCCATTTCTAGTGTTATGTTTAATTCTGTGTGTGTAAGTGTTAATATTATAATAGAGAACAATCACAATTTTAAGCTTGTGAGAGAAGGATTTTTTACCCAAATAAATTTTCAAAAAAAAAAAAAATCAAAAAAATATTATTATAAAAATTTTTTGACCTTCACTGCGATCAGCTAGAGAGAGGAGCAAGGAGAAACCAATGAATAGTCGACTTGTTGTGGACTTTGCGCCAGCGCTGGCTTTACAAGAGGAACCAAAAGAGTTGGTGACCTCTCATCCATCAGCGCAGGCAGGATTGAAGTGACTAGTCCTTGGACTCACTTGTCTCAATCCTTGGTCCTTCCTCTTGACAGGCTTTACGCCAACCAACCAAAAAAAAAAACATATTATAACCAGAGTATCTTTTCGAAAAGAAAGAAGACGAAGAAGAAATAATAATAATCATCTTTTGGTTATAATTTGTTCCACACTTGATTCCATTAGGAAAGCTCGAAATTGATCTATGCTTGCTTTGGTTCGACGATGGAAGTCCACACCGATTGGAATGATGATGATGATTTTGTCTATTACAAAGGAAATTTCTCAGAACCTCCAGCAGCTGCAGCAGTCTACGCTACACTCACTATACAATACCGAACGTTCAATATCTTTTTTTTTTTTTGTATTTAGTCTATTTATTTATTTACTCACATACACATAAAATGGAGCATCTTTCAATTTCAACAAATAATAATAATAATAATAATAATAATAATAATAATAATAATAATAATTCAAGTCATCAATTCAAATCGATCTTACAAAATTATACAATACGAAAATGTTTGTTTCATCAAGTAAAATGTATTCATCGTCATTTGATTAAAATACATTATTGTAATAATACGACGAGTATTGGTATTGTCAGTAGCGATGATCGAGATTATCAATCGACTGTTTTCGATTTAGATTCAGTTTCATTGTCATACCTCTTGTCAAACAAAAGATTTGATTTATTGTATCTTAAATATCGCTATCATAATCAGACACAGGTCGAACAGAAATATCAATCCTTTGTTGAATGTAATCGTAACAAGGACAACAAGTACTGTAGTACTGATATATCATCATTGTTGGTATCGGTGCCAATTCGATTCAACATTGACTTGTCGTTTACTGAAGATGTATTGGTTTCACTGTGTCGATACAATAGAGACTATAAGATCTTTCACTACTTTTTCACAAAGTATAGGTCATCATTTGATTCATACAATGGTTCAATAATCAATCTCATGTGTTGTCACAACAACAACAACCAATTGGTCACACCATCTCCTCTCAACGATCGAATCGTACAAGAATTATTAGACAATGGTTTTAAAGGTAATCTATTGCTTAGAAAGAGTTGTTATGATGGTAATATTGATTTGGTTGAATCAATATTGAAATCACAAACATCGTCGTCCTCTTCGTCATCGTCGTTACTAGACGATCAACAACAACAACTTCAAGATATCATATTCTATACATGTGCCAATAACGATGTCAGTGTTGATCATAGACAAACAAACAAGATATTAGAGTTATTAAATAACTGTGATATAATCAACAAAAGAGTATTTGAAAAGGGTAGAAAGATGTCAGATTCAATTGATTTGTTGGCGTTCAGAGGTAACTTGGATGGAGTGAAATTCTTACACGATAGAATGGGTGTGCATTGGACTAAACGAGCATGGGCAGGTGCTGCATTGGGTGGACATGATCATGTGGTGTCTTATCTCATTGACAACTCGGCCACCGACGTGGTGTGTACCTCAAAGTCGATTGAAAATGCTTGTGTCAACGGACACTTTAAACTAGCTATTTCAATACTTGTCCACGCCAAAAGTGTGTATGTTGGTAGCAAGGGAACACCATTTACACTAAAGTCGTTGGAAAAGATTGCTACTATTGGTAGTTTGGAGGTTTTGAAAACTCTAATCAAAGAGTTTAATCTTCAACAACAGGGTAAAGAGATCAAATCAATTGCCGATGGATTGGTCAGAGGAAGCAAGCCAGTGTCACTGAGATGGTTGGTCGAGGAAAAGCTGTTGGTTTTGCATAATGTTAATATTCCTATATTTGTAAAGACCGTGTTGGATCAGGCAACACACCACTCTACCAAATCAAATGACGACAATGCAGTCTATGTGTTGGAGTATCTTGTGGAGCAGTGTCTCAAGTTCAATGATAATACAAACAACAACATCTTCATGAGCGATCAACAGAAAAAGGAGAGGTTGTGGGGACTGGTCGATCCAGGTAAGTCGGGTCGTCCAATCATCGGGCTCTGTATCAAATCCAATGTAAAGATGCTCGGACTTTTATGCAAGCATTTCGACAACTGCATTGCACTGGCCAATTGGAGGTATGGTATGTTGAGAGCTGCTTGGTTGGGTCATATGGATGTAGTCAAGTTTATTCGTCAAAAGTACGTGTTTACCAAATTGACCTTTGGTTACGAGTTGCATATCCAAAGATTCCACCACAAGGATACATTCAAGTACATGTTTGAACAAGGGTTGTTGTCAGAGACCAAAACCTATGTAGACGATGTCGCCAAGTTTGGAGACATTGAACTATTCAAACAATGCGAGTCTAAATACAACGCACTTCGATTCAAATCATTGGATGCCGTTGCTTTGACGAGACACATAGAGATGGCAGAATACATTATTTCCAAACACATTTCATCGCATAGTGCAACTGGGATGGCAGTCGGGTGTGGTAACTATCAGATGGCTCGAGTGTTATTCGAGCATGATCGCAAGACCAATCGAAATGCCGTTCTACAAATATACCATAGTTCACATTTTGACAATGTCGATGCTGCATTGACACTCTCCAAAGATTATCATGGGGCCAAAAACCATGAAACGAGTATTTATAATCTCATCTTGAATGCCCATGTCGACAGTGTCCGACTTTCACTTGTCAAATCATTGTTCCTTTTAAATTCGACCGTATCACGCCAGTTACCAATCAAAAAATTAGTCACAGAGTCTAGTATCCAGACCATCAGTTACCTCGTTGATGCCAATGCCGTCTCTGATCCACTAGCAGGACTTGAATGTGCCATCGATCTCAGAAAATATGAAATCTTCCAAGTACTCTTTAAAACCATTTCCCAAATCGAAAAATCAAATCATATCATTCAAATGGCAATTGATATCGGTTATTTAACAATAGATCAAATTAATAAATATAAATAAATAAAGTAAATATTTACAATTTACTCTTCCAACTCCAATGGTTGGAAAAAAAAAAAAAAAAAGGAAAAAAGAAAAAAGAAAAAAACGAACGAACGCAATATTGCGTTTAAAGTATGAGTGCTTTGATAAGAGTTAGTTGGGTGTAGTAGAGAGAGAAAGAGAGAGAGAATACGATTAAGTACTAGACTCTTTTCTAAAACGACAACAACAACGACGACGATAACAACATGTTACGATTCAGTAAGCTATTACAAACTTACAAATCTGTAACTCCACAGTTTGTAAGTCTACAACAACAACAACAACAACAGTCACCTACAAATACTGTATCACATAACATCAGTCAACGTAACATTCATAGTGGCAACAACAACCAAGACCATGATGACGATCTCAATTCAATGACACTCGTACAATTAAGACGATTGGCTAAAGAGGAACGTATTCGAATCACCTATCTTGCCAAAGGAGAGATGATCAGTCATATTCAAAGTGTTCGTCAATCACGTCAGTCCAATCCCAATACTACTACTACTACTACAGATTCAAAGAGACAACTACAAGAAGTACAAATTGAAGAGGAACAACAACAAGAGGTTGAAGAAGAGGAACAAGAACAAGTAGTATTGGAGAAATCTAAAAGAGGAAGAAAGAAAAAGGTTGTTCAAGAAGTACAATTTGCTGCTGCTGCACCAGCTTCACCAGCCGTTTCTCTTCCACTCCAAAAGTCAGATTTAAATACTCTTTCAGCCGAGCAACTGCACAATCTAATTGATTCTGCAACCTTAAAGGAAGCTCTCATCAATCTATTGCTCGCACAATCAAAGCCTGTCGAAGTTAAGGCCACTACCACCACTGCCACCACCGACAACACTACTACGACAACAGACACTACTACAGACAGTACCGTTCGTGTCAAGAGAAAGTATACAAAGAAGCAACAATTGTTAAAAGAACAAGATATCGATGTTCAAAATAGCTTTAAAAATATTGGTGCAACACTCAATATTGCAAAAGAAACACAAGAAAAGGTTGTACTAGCTGCACAACAACAACAACAACAACAACAAAAATTCGAGAATGAAAAGAGTATTGAAGATATTGTGGCTACTTTTAGTCAACCACCAATGCAAACCACTCAACATACAATGCCATCATTTGATATCAATGCACTCAACCTAGAGGTTGAATCATTACTTGGTGAAATCAACAAAGAGGTATCATGGAATAATAAGGTCAAAACTGTACAAGAGACTATTGAATCACAACCAACAACAACAACATCAACAACAACAACAACAGCAACAGCAACATCTACAATCGAATCACAATCCCAACCACCACAACCAATAATATCAACAACAACAACATCGACATTGGAATCACCACAACCAATAACAACACCAAAATATACAATCCAATCACCAACAACATCAACATCTTCTTTCCACCAATCTCCAACTTCAACAAAACCAAAAACATCCTTTTCTCGACCACCATCACCATCATTTAAAGAAGAACAACGATTAGCAAATCAATCAAAGTTTGTTGAAAAAGAGAGTAGTAGTCAAGTTGGTTCATTGTCTACAAGTTATGTTAAATTTATGGAAAAGAGTATATCGGAATTGTCAAAAGAGGAGGTCATGCGTATTTGTGAACAAAAGGGAATTAAATTCTCACCCAATTTCAATAGAATGGCACTTGTCAGAAAGCTCAATGATAACAATATATTCAAGGTTCAGGTTAGAGTAGAAGATAACACTCCACCCCCTCCCTCTCCTTCTCCTTCCCCTTCTCCTTCTCCTTCTCCTTCCCCTTCCCCTTCTTCTTCCTCATTTTCTTCATCTTTGGAATCACAACAACAACAACAACAACCAATAGTAAAACCATATCAAAAACAATACGCTCAAAAACAAGCCAAACAATTCAAATACCAAGAACAAACTCAAATCAAGGTACTTGAAAACCAAAAAAACATTATCAGATCTGCCATTACTAGTTTATTCCAAACTCAAAATCAAGTCAAATTTGCCAAAGAATTAACTTTGTATGTATATAGATAGATAGATATTCACATTTACTCTTTATTTTCTAACATTCCTTTTATCTACTTGGGTTTTAGTATTTTTTCATTATTAACATCAATGCAAACAAAAGATAATACTTTATTTACTCAATTGAATCAAGAGATGGTAGATAGTATGCTTTCACATAAATGGATTTCATTGAATTCTGTCAATAATTTCATTAGATATCTGTTTGATACTGGGTACCCAGACTGTTTTGGTGTCATTGAACACTACATGTCTAGAGCATTTTTTGGTTCAAAGATTTTGGAAGATGTTGCCACTGCATTGGGTCTAGAGAGATTGGTAGAGTTGGAAAAGAGTTGCAAGCTAGGGTTTGAACAAGGTCAACCACTCAATCTCAACCTCTACAAGAATTTGGCTGAATGTCTTTTACTGTACAAGTACAGAGACGGAGGGTTTGACGCTGCCTTTGAATTTTATCAAACGTTGCCAGCCACCGTTCAAAAGCCAATCACCATCTCGTTGTCCATCATTCTAGAGGGTATTGAAAAGAATTTGGGTGCTGCAGAGGCACTACAGTGTTTTGAAAAGATTACCGCCACCTTGCTCTCGTCGTTGCCAGCCGACCAAAACGACGTGGTTAGTCAGAGCGAGATTCTCCAATTCCTTACACATCCATTAGTTTTTATTCTCTCTGTCCACCACCGCTCCGACTATGCCGCTTTGATATCGCGTCCAACACTCGCACCACTCTTCCGCGACCAACGTGTCGTCCAGTTTTTGATCTTTAAAAAACACTACGAGTTGCTTTGGAGCAGCTTGGTTGGCCAAACCCCGTCCACACAGCTCCAGATCCTCTTTGAGGAGGGTGAGATGTTGGCCTATGGCAAACAGTTCCTCTTGCGAGACAATGCCAAGCAATTCAAGGCATTCCTCGATACGTTTGACGCATCGCACGCCAAACCCATCCACATTGCTCGTCTCTTTGAAATCCTTTTGCAAGAAAAAGAAGAGGGAGGTACAGCTATCCCAATCGACCAGGAGACAAAGCAATACTTGGTCAGCAAGATCTGTCAGTTGGCATCGACCCAGTCTTATGTGTTTGCGACCATCTATGTGCACAGCGTGCTCACTGCTCGCACTGCCGTTCTCGAGCCGATGGAGCAATACCTCGGCGCACAAAAGTCGACACACCTCAACAACCTGACGAGTCAGATTGTCAGATATTTCCTCCAGTTGGGCCACTACAACTTGGCGCTGGAGCACTATGTAAAAAGAATCGAACAGTACAACATGTACCCTACCCCCTCCTTGATCTCCCACTTTTCAACACACGCTCAAAACAAAATGAACACTGTCTACAAGCACCCATTCCACCACCAACAACTGCTCACCAACTTTTGGGAGAAACGTCGTACCATGTTTGGTTTTGGCGAGGCGTCGCAAGACGACTATGACATTGCCCGCGACTCGATGCTCAACTTCCCCAGAAACAATGTCATCAAGTCTGATATGGACATTGAACTCGAGAATGCCCTCACCAACGGTGACAGTGCTGCCGTCTATCACACGCTGGTCGAGTTTTCCAAGAGTCGTACCACATTCCCCATCGGCACACTTTTGATTCGATCTGCTCAATTCCTTCTCGAAAGGGATCCAGAAAGCTACGACCGATTCATTGGTAATACTTCGTTGCCATCCATGTATCGTGCAGTACTCTATGACAGTCAACTCATCCTCGACACACTCTCCAACAAGAGTCTAAAGGACGGACTCGAGATGTGTCTCCGAGAACACCCCAGTTTGTTTGGCGGCAACCCACAGATCCGATCAACCATTCTCCAGACATTGATCGATCTTGGTATGATTCAAGAGGTGACAGATATTATCGAGAGCATGTCAAGTGCACAACTCTCACATTACAGTATCATCCAGACATTTTCAAAACTCGTCCTCCAAACCTACCAAGGTGGATTGAGCGACATTCCTGAAAAGGCACGTACTCTCTTGCTCAAGTATTCTGATCAGGCTACTGGTGCAGTTAGTCGTAGCGACCTCTCGCGCCTCCGTCTTGTCATGCAATACTACCACAAACACGGACCAGCCGAGAACCTCAAAGAAATACTCGACTCTTTCCTATCCATCAAAGCCAAAGACCTAAACACTCTTGAAAACTGGAGAAACTATATCTATTGCTACTACCAGTATGTCCACCCTACCGATGCCCATCTCTTGGGCCACGATTCGGCCTTTAAGATCATTCAAGGTTGTTCTGAAGAATCCAAGCCATTTATGTTCTCGGCACTCTTTGAATACTTTATCCAAACTGGAAACCCCCATCTTGTTGGCGCCATCATAAACACATACGAATCCTATTTTACCACTATCCGTGAGGTTGCTCTCGTCCCCATCCTCAGCAGTATCAACAGTCCAGCTCTCCGCCTCGAGCTATTCAAACGTCTTGAAATCAACTACCAACTACAATACGATATTAGAATTCACGACGCTATCCGATCGATCCTTGCCTCTGTACCAAACGACTCGATCACCAAAAAGTTAAATGCCATTCAATGGGCACAAAAAGACGTACCAGAGGAATCAAGAGCCAAAGACGACCAACTCACAAAAATCCTTTCAAATTTACATTCCAACTTTATTTATCATTATCGTAATCATTCAAAAGAACTTGAACATGAAAATTAACAAATTAAATAATAAAAGAGAATATAATATAATATCTATATTTTCCATCAAAGCTCGAAATCCCAACAAACACAAAACTTTTTTCTATAGGTCGACGAGGAGATCTTGTGACATCAGGACCTTTTTCATCAATATAAATATATATATAATCCCTCGAATAATTTGATTATTATATAATATCTTTACCTTCTTTTACAAATATACATATACATACAAATAATTAAAATCATGATGAAACTTTCATATTTATTAGCTTTATTAATAGTATTGATTGCCATTGTCAATCAAAACGGTGTCAATGGAGCATATAGACCAAAACCTGATGGTCCACGTCCCAATACAAGTCCATGTTGTAATGCAGTATACAATCCAACTACCCGTAAAACCTATTGTAATGGTCCAGTCAAAAGTATGTAACCCATTAAATCATATTTAATAAATGATCCAAACAATATTAACAATACTGATTGATCTCTATAGAAACCAATATGTTGAGAGAAGCAAGATGTATTGAAGATAAATACTTTACCAATGTAACAGGTGTATATGAATGTGAAATTGGTTGTAGTACCTTATGGTTTACTAATTAAGTTCAATTTGAAAATGAACTGTGTAATATAATAATTAATAAATGTAAATTTAATAAGTATCACACTGCTTGGCACTTGTGATCATTAAATTTTTTTCTAAATATAAATACAAACAATTAATTGTTATTATTATATATATATCATTCACATGTATACAATTAAAAGATGTATAACCAATAGACTTTTAAACAATCAAATTACTACTAGTATTACGAGTAGTAGTAGAAGGAGTATTACTTGTTTGAATCTATTGTCAAATAGATACCACTATTCATCATCATCATCAACCACTACAACAACAAAAGATGATCCCGATATTATAAGTATAAAGAAGAATGATCATCATATACAAACTAATCCAAGGTAATTACGACAATTGTTTAAACAACCTTCTATATATCTAATTTTACTTTTCTTTTCTTTTTTTTAGAGGACATTGGGTAGATAAATTAAATCAAAAGGAATATTTAGACAAGATGGGTAAAGATATGGGTTTCTTTGATGATGAGAATATACCTATGGATCAATACTATGAGAAATGGTATCAAGTTTCAAAGATTGACTTTATTGAACACAAGGGTAGAGGTCTGTTGTTACATTATAACGATAGTGTACATCAACTTGTTAAAGCTGTCTATAGTGAATATAAATGGTTACCTTGGAAGTTTAACAATTCACCCAAGAACTTTTGGAGAGATCATCAAAATCAATTGGATTATCTCTTGTGGCTTGGTGAAAGGATTGGTATTACAAATCCAAGAGATTGGTATAGAATCACAAAGAATGATTTCATAGAGAATCATGGAAATAGTTTATTATTATTATATGGTGGTAGTCCTGTAAGAGTCATTATGCAAGTTTTCAACAAAAATAATAATGAAAAGAAAGAGGATGGACAAGATACTTTTATTTCTCCTCAATCATCTATATTTATTGATTATAAATATTTAATATGGAGATTTACAAATTTACCAAGAGGTAGTTTTAAAGATATGACAATCTTGAAGGAATTTATAGAATTTACCAAAGACTACTATAGAATGGAGAAAAAAGAGGATTGGTATAGATTATCGTGGACTCAAATTCGAGACATTGGAGGATTTTCACTGGTTAAAAAGAATGGAGGTATTTGTAAATCCTTGCAATTGGTGTACCCCGATATTGAATGGGAGGTGGGTCAGTTTACAACACCTGGCAAAAAGTCATCACAAAGATTATTGAGAATCTTTTTAGAGAGACTATTCCCAGAGGATAGTGTACACGAAGACTATCGCAATCTCTCACAACTACGATACCAAGAGAGTACAGGTGCAGGATTTCAATTAGACTTTTTCATCCCACGTTTACAATTGGCATTTGAATATCAAGGCAAACAACATTTTCAAGATACTAGTTTATTTGGAGACTATAAAATCTATCATGACCGTGATGTTGAAAAACGACTCGAATGCAAAAAACATGGAATTCATATTATAGATGTTCCCTATTGGTGGGATAATCATTTGGATTCTCTTGTAGGTACTATTCAACAATACGATGCCTCTATACTACCATTACAATTTTCCAAACAAATGTATCAACCCATACCAAAAACCTATCAAAAAATTCAAACAAATAAAAAGATTCATACTTTATTTATTGATTAAAATGATAAGAGAATAAATTAATTGATTTATTTTTTTTGTTTAAATAGATGTTTTAGTTAGATATAACATCATTTTCCATAATTTTAAAACAAAAGTTTCAGCTTCATCATCAATCATTTCCTTTAATTGACTAATAATTTGATAAGGGTCTTTGTGTTGTTTCAAGAGGGTAGTGACATGATTGATTAGAATCTCCTCTTCGACACCCAAAAGTTCTGTCAATTTCTTTGCAATCCAAGGTTTTAATTTGTTGTCTATCAATGATAGTTGATCGATAATCTCCCAATTCATTTGAATTTCCAATAATTCCTCCTTGTTTGATGGTATACTATCAATAATTTTTTGTATCTCTTCTTTTGTCAATGGTATCTTTTCTTGTTGTTGTGGTTGTATGGTATTTGATGAAGAGGATAAGATTTGTGATACTGGTTGTAATGGTTGTATTATACTATTTGTTGGTTTCTTTCCATGACTAACAGTAATTTGATTATTTGTAAATGTTACATTGATTTCACTATAGTCAAGAGGGATGAATTGAAGTTTTTTCTTTTGTTCAGCCTCTGAAGGCTCATCACCTTGAGTATTAAAACCAGAGGCAACCGCCAATTTGTTCTTTTTACTCGAAAACTCTAATTGAATCTTGTTTATAGTCTCGACGGTAAGTGTTTGTTCTCTGCGAATTTGTTCCTCGTGTTCACGTTCCTTTTCACGTTCCTTTTTGTCGTCATCTTTTTCTCTTTGTCTTCTGCGAACCTCGTCTCTTGAGCGCAATCGATTACGCATGCGATCGTCGTCATCAGAGTACTCGTCCAGTTCTTGTTTTCGTGCAATGGCTTCGTTTTTGTCTCTTTCGCGATCACGCTCTCTTTCTCGTTCTCGGTCACGTTCGCGATCGCGTTCTCTATTCTCCCAATCGCGTTCCTTTTCTCTAAATTCTCGCTCTGTTCGTTCCTTGCGTCTCTGTTCTCTGTCTCTTTCGCGGTCCATTTCTCTTTCCTTTTCGCGTGCAGCCAACTTTAATTTTTCGTCGCGTGTGAGTAGTCTGAGGTTGGTCTCGTTGGCCTTGGCCTCGAGTGGGTCAATCTCGACCAGTGGAGCATTCATTGCAGCCACGTCGTTCTCTTTTTGAATCGTTTGTATGAGTGCTTCAATCTCGGTCTGTGCGCTATCGTCCTCTGTCTTTTCCGTTTCTTTGGCTTGTTCCGATTGGTCGCTTGCACTTCCCGACTGGCCCTTGTTTCTGCCCTCGACGTATTCATCGAGATACTTTCGAACCTTGTCGTCAACCTTGATCATGAGACACTTTTCTCGGTTGATGATTTGACGATCGGCAAGCAGTCTGAGTGCTCTCAACACTCCCTCTGGTGTCTCATATTCACAAAATCCAAATCCCTTTAACTTTCCATTTGGGTCCGATGCTCTTGTCCACTTTACAACCTTTCCACACATCTCTAATAGTTTTTTGATAAATTCATCTTCAACAGATTCTGGTATTCTTCCTACATAGGCTGTTGGTTTTGACAATGATGATGTAGATGATGAAGACGGTGCAGTTGCTGTAGAAGATATAGTTGATGATGCTGGTGGACGTTCACGTTCACGATCGCGATCACGGTCGCGGTCACGGTCGCGATCACGATCACGATCTGATGGATGTAAAGGAGTAGGAAAAGGAGGTCTATGAGATTGCTGTGGAGGGGAAGGATGATGATGATGATAATAGTATGTGCTGTTTTTTGAGGTTGGATGATGTTGCTGTACAATGGTAGTATGAGGTGTAACTGTAGTTGTAACACCCGGGGGTGGAGATGTCATGTTGGATGGTGGAGGGGATGGTGCCATCTTGTGATAGGGAGGCATCAACATGACACCTGGAGGTATATTTGGTTGATTGTGAGGAAACATCCCTGGAGGTATCATCCCGGGATGTGGGAAGAGATGAGGAGGTGGCTTTGCAAAGAGAGGAGGTGGTGGCTGTCCATGATATCCTGGTGGAGGTGGTGGATAATTAGGAGGATAGTGATAAGGATTCATCAAGATAAGTAGAATCTCTCTTCTCTCTCTCAAGCTAAAGCTATATAAATATTTTAAAGTTCACAAACAAACAATAACAACAAACCCTTGAAAGATCATCGAAAAAAAAAAAATCAATAATATTCTAAAATTCAACAACATCTTCCCCTTTTTTGTTTTTTTTTCATTCTACTCTGCTAGCTATGTTTTATATAAATATATATACAAATTATTATTTATCCATCAAATTGAGGATAGTTACAAAAAGTAGTCTTGAAAGATAAAGAAGATTAGAAGGACCCTTTTTTTGGTTTCTATTTTTTTTTTTTTCTTTTTCGGTTTTAGTACTTTCTCAAGCAATATGTATATTGCAATATATGCTCTGATGATGCATCGATGACGATTGTCAAAAAAGGAATTACGTTTTTGTCGGTTTCATAATATTTATTTATTTATTTGTTTGTTTCTAGATTACTTTTTACCAAAGATGGGTAGACTACTTCTTAATTGTATTCTCTAAAAAGTCTTAGAGTCTAAACGATCGGTTCGTTTGGTTTGATGGTGACATTATGATATGGTGTAATGTAGGTTGAAAACCAAACGAATTCTACCAAACGAGTGGGTAGGGCCGGCTCTTGGGGGCTCTCTAGGACAAGCTCATTCGTTGAAAGAAGGGTCTTCTCTATCCTATAATGTTAAATCAGTAGGCATCATCATTGATGAGACGAGCTCGGAATGGCTTCGAGGTTACAGATGAACTTCAGATCATGTCTTTAAAAGAACCGAATTGTCGATTGGTTTAGTGGGGAGCTCCCTCTCTGGGGGTGTGGTCGCTTTGCCCAAAACAGCGAACAACTTTAAATTGTTTTTAATTAATATTTTTTGACAACTGTTGCTACGAGGCTCGTATCATCTGATTAATGAAGGGTTTCTATTTAATAACCCTCATGACCCCCCAGTTTTCACTCACAATTTTAATGTATGTAATATACTACTACAAATACCATATATAAATATATAATATAAATATTACCCTCTCAAGAAAAAAAAAAAAAAAAAAAAGAAATTTAAAGATTTAAAAGGTAAACAAACATTAGTCAGTTGGTTGGTTAGGTTATGCGCAATGTGATCGATACCAAGTCATCATATGACTTTTTGATCTTCATACACACTTAATAGTTAATTAAATAACACACCACATCACCAACACTTCACATCACATCACCCAACATGCAGCACTAAAAACAAAAAAAAACAAAAAGTAATCGATCACTCTCGCTCTCACCTGATCGCATGCGTGGTCTTTTCATTGCAACAACAATGGGTGATGAGATGGAATGATGATGTTGGTGATGGCGGTTCAAAATCTCCCTCCCTATTTTCAACAACAACCAACTACTACTTAATTGACGTTGAATTTAAATTAACAAAAATATTCATTTCACAATAACAATTTTTTTTTTTTAGATAGATCATGAAGAGTAGAACATTAATTATTCTCGCTTTGGCTGTCGTTATGATTGCAGCCATTGCTTTGGTTGTCAATGCTGAAACCAAAGTAGTTTCATCAACCAATAAATCCTCTTCTTCTTGTCAAGGAGGAGGATTAAAATGTACCGTTCAAAAACTTTCAACATTTGGTAAGCAAAAAAGAAGACGGATATATAGATCAATGGAATAGTTATTAATAATTGTTATCAAGCAAACAAATTTTCTGTTAGACAAATATTAATTGGAATAATACTAGTACTTGTTTCAATAGCAATACATCAACAATATATTTTATATCAAAAGAAGGGTAGTTTACCTGGACCATCATTTGTACCACCATTTGTTGGTATGCTTTTCCAATTGATTTTGACGCCATTTGACTTTTATCAAAACCAAGAAAAGTATGGATTGATCTCTTGGACATCGATCCTCAACAAGTTTGTCTTGTTTGTCGTCGACGCAGAGATGACTCGTCAGGTTTTCAAAGAGGAAAATGCCAAGCTCTTTTTATCGTTGGGCGCTAAAAAGATTTTGACTGAAAAGGCCATCCCCTATATTGAGGGTGTGCCACATCGCCAATTGCGCAAGCAACTCTTGCCACTTTTCACCATCCGTGCCCTTTCATCGTACTTGCCCATCCAAGAGGCCATCGTCAATGAAAACATCCAGTCTTGGCTCAAAGACGGCAAGATGAACGCACGTAACCAATGTCGTGACCTCAACATGATGGTCTCTACGGGCGTCTTTGTCGGCTCCAACACGGACAAGACAATGCGCGAGGAAATCGCCAAGAACTTTTTCATCATGAACGAGGGTTTCCTCTGCTTCCCCATCGATCTGCCAGGCACCACCCTGCGCAAGGCCATTAGAGCCCGTGAGCGTCTCGTTGAGCTCTTTACCATTGTCATTGAAAACAGCCGTAAGCGTATGGGCCAAGGTGACAAGCCAGAGTCCCTCATTGACCTCTGGGTCGAATATTTCCTATCGTGTGACGAGTCTGAACGTGACGAACTCTCCAACGACACTATCATTTATACTTTGCTCTCTTTTATGTTTGCCTCGCAAGATGCTCTCACCTCTTCGCTCGTATGGACCGTCCGTTTGATGGCCCAACACCCAGACGTCCTCGCTCGTGTCCGTGCCGAGCAATTCCGTCTACGTCCCTCCAACCAAAAGCTCAACCTCGAGGTCATGCGTGAAGCCACTTATACCCGTCAAGTCGTCAACGAAATCCTTCGTTTCCGTCCACCCGCCGTCATGGTGCCACACGAAAATATCGAAGAGATCAAGGTCGGTGACATTGTCGTTCCCAAACATTCTTTAATCCTCCCATCCATCTGGTCGGCTCACTTCCAAGACGGTGGTTTCAAGGATCCATATAATTTTGACCCAGACCGTTTCAATAGCGAGCGTAAAGAAGAAGTATCTTGTGCCAAAAACTATCTTGTTTTCGGTGCCGGTCCACATTACTGCATCGGGCGTGAACTCGCCAAAAATCAAATCGAAGTCTTTTTAACTCAGATGGCCATGACCACCAATTGGGAACACGTCCCAACAGCCGGTGGTGATGAAATCATCTTTGGTCCAACTATCTTTCCAAAGGATGGTTGTAACATTACCATTAATCCAAGAAATTATTCTGCTTAAATAATATTAAATATATATTTAATATTATTGACAGATACGACGAAAATAAAACACACACACATTTAAATTATTTAAAAATTAAATAGTAATAGTAGTAGAGTAGAGTAAAGTAAAGAGATGAATTCATACTTTTTTTTTTCTAGAGAGAGTTGAGGAGAGAGATCCAACTTTGAATACCTTTCCCCTCTTATTTATATTGATAAAATATTGAAACTATTTTAAAGTTGTATACATCCATATTATTGTCAATATAAATAAGAGGGTCCACAGATTGTTATCGATAGGTTGTTATCTTGTTTGTTGTCCAAATAATTTATTAGTATTTGTACCTGTTTGATATTCTTTTTTTTAGAGTGTCTGTCCCTGGTATTGAAACACGCTATACATCCAATGATGTAAACACTAGGTTAGCTCAAACAATGATAATAAAAGTATATAGGAGTATATAATAATGAATGATAAAGATACATTGGTACTCGAGTGTACCTTTTATTAAGCTTGATTCATTATTTATTTTAATGTTAAAATCCTTTCTGGATATTCTCCAACCTTATACAAATTCTAATTGGTACAACCCTGCCTAAGATATTTATATGGCTTGGTATTCCAAGTCATAAAGTATCTTACACAATGACCATGAATATATTTGATTGTGTTGAGTTGATTGAGTAGATTTAGTTGCATCTTTACTTTCAAATGAAAGTCGATGTTGTCGGTTCCGATCGCTAAATCTACGTCTACGTATCTCTCGCAGTTGATTTCCTCATTTTCGAGATCAAGCGATTAAAGAATGCACCAGAATTCTTCAAGCCGAAACAGGTTCGAGTAAACATGTAATGTTCACCGCCGTATGAGAAGACTAGTCAAGATTTGACTTTCTTTCGACCGAGGTTTATTTGGTGGCATCCACTTTTCAGATCAATGAATGTTTTGAAAAGAATCAACATCTTTTTTTCTAGAGTTAGTGTTATGATTTGGGAAATGCAAAGGAGATGATATATGAACTAATCGTCTCTACATGTTATTTGCTGTTCCTTTTCTAATAACTTTTTAACAAAAAGAAAAGTTTGGCGAACCATTTTAAAGAAAACTGATCATTGGACAAAAAATGAAGGGTACTTAAAATGAACAATTCCTTTGACTCTTTAAAGGAAAAGGGAACACTGATCTATTAATAAACCAATGGTTTTTTTTTCGGGCTTTTTTTTTTAAAGTAATTCTTTTCCTGTTCTCTCCTATCGGGAAGAGTAGTACTCAGAAGTTACAAAGTTTTATTAATTATACTTTTTAATTGACCACCAAGAAATAAAGATTTTTTTTTGGGCGGTATATTTTTTTTTTTTTTAATAAATCTGGACTCTAGCCGCCGGACAATAAAGAAATTATGGTTTATTTGTTTTAATTTTAATTAAAATAGTTAAAGTTTCTGTTAGAATAGGGGCTTGTACCCCCGTTGTTGGGGGTTATTGTTTCTTATGTTATTATTATATTATTATTATATTATTCTTGTATTGTTATTATTTTTTTTTTTTTTTTTTTTTAAATTATATTATTATATTGTTATATTGTTATTGCATTGTTACTAGATTATTGTTGATGTATCGCTTGTTTGTTAATAGTTGGTGGTGATATTTGGGAGAGGGAGGGGTGTGGCGAGTTTCCCCCATGTTCTTGCGAACCTGGCGAAGAATTGTCTGGCATGTGTTTGGGTCTTGATTATTTCGTCAGTAGGGCTGTTGGCGATGGCTGTTGTGGTTTGGTTAACCAGTTTGGCGTGTTCGACGTAGATTATACCTTTGAATCTTGCAATGACCATCTTATCTTCGTTTTCATCAGGTGATATTGTCGAGTGATAGATGGTGTTGAGGTGGTGGTGCCATGCTTTTAGAAGCATGATAGCTACTAGGGTTGAGTATCTGGTGCGTGTCCATCCTTTGTTGAGTGTCGAGAGGTTGAGGGCGTTTGGATCCCAATCTTTTTTGATACCTGTGATTTCTTGAATGATCGTTCCCCATCTCTCCTTTCTATTTGCCAGGAAGGGGCATAGGAATAGGCTGTGGAGGAAGGGTCCAGTGTTGGTTTCGGGGTACGCCTCGGGCGGTATAAATACCGCAAATTGCCTGATTCAACATCCAAAAAATCGGGCTTGTAGCTCAGATGGTAGAGCGCTCGCTTAGCATGCGAGAGGTAAAGGGATCGATACCCTTCTAGTCCACACTTTTTTGCCGTGTTTTAATGGGATTTCAACCATTTTGCTTTATTCTGCTTCTACTCGTCGTTGGCTATCGAATGAACTAGGTTTGATTGATTTCCAAATAAACCGGATCAACACAACATGTTGAGTTTAAAAAAGTCAGTCCAAGTTTTTTTTTTTTTTTTTTTGTATTTAAAATATATTCACCACTTTTATCTATATTTGGAATACATATTTGATAAACTAATAATTGCTACTACTAAATGGTAATATTGTATTTTTATTTGACTAGAGTTTATTGATTTTCCCATTTCATAAAGAATGGTCGTCATATTTATCTTTGGCAAAGCTCCATTTAAATGCATAGGGGGATTTTGAGTTGGCATCAACATGTAAATAGATGGGATGATATTGTATCTGTTGTTGTTGATTGATTGTTATTTGTTGATTGATTATTATTCGTTGAGTGATTATTCCACCTGTAAGTGACTGTTTCTCCAATACTAATACATTTCCATTATATGGGTCCAATCTTTGAATCGAAAAATGATAGAAAGAATGGGGAAGAGTGATAGATAAATGTCTAACATTGGTGTGATTGATCACTTGGTCCAATCTAAAGACAAACTTGAGTGCTCCCCATAGATAGCAAGTAAGATGTGTGGTATTGAGTGGTAGCCATTGTTGTTGTTGTTGTTGTTGTTGTTGTTGTTGTTGTTGTTGTTGTTGTTGGGTAGTGACAGCAGAGTCGGTAAACAAAGAGTCGATTGAAAATATTGTAGGGCCACCGGTCCACAATATACCACCTTTGAGCAAGGGAACCAATAGATTGGTGATTGATGGTGGTATATTGTCAAGCACAAACTTGTCCTCTTTGACATTGAAAATGTCGAGTGTTTCAAGATTGGGTGGATATTCGGATGGGAACGTTATCAACCGACTTGAATAGTTGTACCCATCACTCCAATAGACAAGCTTTTTCAAAGAGCGAGGAAGTGCGACTGAATCTTTCAAGGTATTGAACTTTAGTTGAACGAGTGATTCTGGGAGTTTGACATGCTCACAGTCGGCAATGTTTCCAATGGTTAGGCGAGTCAGTGACGGTGGGAATACAACTTGTTCAAAAACATCCACACCTCTGAGTTGACGTTTTGTATAGCTGTGTATTGTAACTCTTTCAACGGTAGATGGAATGATATTGGCCGGAAGGATATCTCTGCATTCATCAATAACGAGTTTCTTGAGAGATTGACACGACGCTAGACTGACTCTTCCATCAACCAATACCTTTCCTTGCACACTCAATATCTCCAATAGTGGCATGATACACCGCGATAGGATGTATCCCCAATTGGACTGGATGATAAGATTCTTGATTAAAGGAGGATGCTCATCTCGATCCCAGGTTTTCTCCAACCGTAAGTGTTGTCGGTAAACTTGAATGCCTGGAGGTTTTGTAGATGTTCGAGGTCGATGAATGCTTGTTCTTGCTCCCCCGCTGGCGTACTATACAGGAGAATCTTGAGTTTGACGAGCGACGTCAATGAATGGAATGTATTTCGTGGGGGTATCGTTTGTCAGACTGGTTGGTAAGTCAGGGCCAATACTCTCCAAACAATGATTCTTGAGGCTCAAATCGGTCAGCGATACGAATTTGTCCAATCCAAAGTCGGCGAGACAGTCTCTCTGTCTGTAAGACCCATAGTCATTGACATCTAGTCTCAGAGACTTGAGTGATCTGTGTTGACCGAGCTTGGCCCCGGCTAGACCACGAACTGAAAGATGTTCGAGACGAGGCAAGAGTGCAATAGAGTCAAGATCAACTTTCATATTAATATGACGGGGGAATCTCTGCAGTCGATGAATAGTGTTTCGATCGATGGTATGTCGTTGTATAATGACTGTAATGAAGACTTGAGTGAATTGGTCACCAAGGCAGTTGTAATGTTACTCTTGTCAACTCTGATTGTGGATGTGATACGTTGTTGTATCCATTGAGGATAGTAATTTTAACGTCGACGATGATTGTGATGAGACACGTTGTTGGTTTGAAATACTACTATTACTCATACTAGTATGGGTAGTTAGATTAAATGAACGTTTTTTTTTTTTTTATTTATCACTGATACACAGAGATTTTATTATTATTATTTAATAATTAAATTAACATGTTTGATCAACCAATTGTCTTTTCAAGATGATTTAAGCTCTACAATCATCCAATCGACGCACTTTACGCCAGATATCAAGTGTCGGACGTCTTAACACAGAAGATGTGATGTGATATATCGGTCAAGTTACTATAGCTATCGGTTCATTTATTAATGTGTGGTATTCCGTTTAACGATATTGACCGACGTGATGAACGTCAATTCAGTCGTCCGCTGGTGATCTTGAGTGCACTTTCCTGGTCGTCGATACGTTTCTCATAGACTCGTCAAGTATTGGTAGCGTGTCGACCGTATCAACTCTACTATAAATAACAACCGACCAACTTTAATTTATTCATCATCAAAGAATCACAAGATTATCGTTGCCGAGGACAGACAAAAGCATCAAGCTGTTGGGGCCTATGCATGTAATATCAAAGATGTTTTTGAATGTGGTGAAAAAAAGACATTGTACTCAACATCCTCGTTGCATCTACATCATAGAATAATGCAACTGGAAACAATTGAAATATCTCCACAATATGATCAATGTCAAATAACTTGGAAGGTATCTAGTCCAGTCAAAGTTAATCCATTGCCATCCAATTGTTCACAAATTAGATTTATGAAAATGATCGAGAATCAAGATAATGCATTCCAACAATAAAATACTTGTATTTGATTATTTGATTTTTTTATTTTGAACAAATCTAACAAACGAGGATAAAATCTACTCGTCAGCTAGTATAGTTCTTATTGTGAGTTTATTATTATTTTACAACATATATAAATTAAATGAGTTATAGTTAAAATGCTTAGAAACACTTTCTGTGGACGATGGATGGACCAGACTCGTCGTATTCCTCCTTGGAGATCCACATTTGTTGGAAAGTGGAGAGAGAGGCAAGGATGGAACCACCGATCCAGACAGAGTACTTACGCTCTGGTGGGGCGATGATCTTGATCTTCATGGTCGATGGAGCAAGGGCAGTGAGTTCCTTGTTCATACGGTCAGCAATACCTGGGAACATGGTAGTTCCACCAGAGAGAACGACGTTACCGTAGAGATCCTTACGGATATCAACATCACACTTCATGATCGAGTTGTAGGTGGTTTCGTGGATACCAGCAGATTCCATACCGAGGAAGGATGGTTGGAAGAGGGCTTCTGGACAACGGAAACGTTCGTTACCGATGGTAATGACTTGACCGTCTGGTAATTCGTATGACTTTTCGAGTTGTGAAGAGGTGGCAGCAGTTTGCATTTCAGATTCGAAATCAAGGGCAACGTAGGCGAGCTTTTCCTTGATATCACGGACGATTTCACGTTCGGCGGTGGTGGTGAAAGAGTAACCACGTTCGGTGAGGATCTTCATGAGGTAGTCAGTAAGATCACGACCAGCGAGATCGAGACGGAGGATAGCATGTGGGAGAGCATAACCTTCATAGATTGGAACAGTGTGGGAGACACCATCACCAGAGTCCATGACAATACCGGTGGTACGACCAGAAGCATAGAGTGACAATACAGCTTGAATGGCAACGTACATGGCTGGGGTGTTGAAGGTTTCAAACATGATTTGAGTCATCTTTTCACGGTTGGCCTTTGGGTTGAGTGGGGCTTCAGTGAGGAGAACTGGGTGTTCCTCTGGAGCAACACGGAGTTCATTGTAGAAGGTATGATGCCAGATCTTCTCCATATCATCCCAGTTGGTAACGATACCGTGTTCAATTGGGTACTTCAAGGTAAGGATACCTCTCTTGGATTGGGCTTCATCACCAACGTATGAATCCTTTTGACCCATACCGACCATGACACCAGTGTGTCTTGGACGACCGACGATGGATGGGAAGACAGCACGTGGTGCATCATCACCAGCAAAACCGGCCTTGCACATACCAGAACCGTTATCGATAACTAAAGCCTAAGAGTAGAGAAAAAAAGATATTAGCATCTTTGAAGGAGTAGAGATGGATTATATCTTTTGTGAGTTTACATACTTGTACGTCGTCAGACATGATTGTATTTTATATATATTATTTGTTGAATAAACTGAATTGAATGAATGTAAAGTGCATCCTTTTATTGCTGTCTCTCTGCAGATCTTTTTCCACCTGTAAATTTTTTTTTTTTTTTTTGTTGGATGGCTTGGGTTAGAGGTTTCACTGAAAAGCAATGGAATTGATTACCAAAATTTAATTTGTGTCAAGCCTACAAAAAAATCATGCCTGTGTCTCTCTCTCTCGTTCATGGCTTGTATGATTTCAATCAGAGGCAGATGGAGTTTTGAAGAATCTTTGAAAACAGAAGGAATTATTGGCTATGATTGACAATGGGAACTGGGATGAGCTAAATCGAGGGTACGGACAATGGTGGAATATAGTAGATAGTATCATAGTTACTATAAAGGTTAATTTAATGATTGTTGGTGATTACTTGAATGTGATGAGAATTTCAGAGCATAAATGATCAGATATCTGGGCTAAAGGCTGTTTGGAGAGCTTGCTAAACCATTTATAGGTTTGGAGTTATGTGATAACAATGAACACATCATGGATCTATTCTATTGTTTTAGACAAGAGAAAAATATTAATGTTTGGTGGTGAATATGACAAACAAATAAGATTCTTGGTTGGTGACTATTTTCACTATCCATACTGCCAAATTTTAAATATATTTGTAATACCAAAGTGATGGCAATGAAAAATACTAAGAATGGTTGATGCAAAGTCTTGTGATTAAATTATTAATTACCACCAGCCATATCGATTGATTGTAAAGTGTATACAAATAAACTATGTAGTAGTACCACTCTTGATAGTCTACTACAACTGTTACAAATATATATTAATTAAAAAAAAAGAATTATATACATTTTTATTTTAACCTTGGACCAGCATAAGCTGACTTGCATGATGTTATTATTATTATTATTAAGTTATTATATTGGTTCATTATTACTATCTATTATTAATATTATTATCTATTATTACTTATTTAATTATTTTAAAATGGTATAAAATCGGTACCACTATTAAAAGATCCAAAGTCATTGTCAAAAGAAGCGGGCAAAGTATTAAAAAATGGATTATTATATGGGTCATTGTTGGGATGATTATTATTATTTTGATTATTATTATTTTGATTATTTTGATTTTGATTTCTATCGCCAAAAGTATTATTATTATTTGAAGTGGTTGAAGTAGTAGAGGTGGTTGAAGTCATGAATGGATTGTTTGCAATCGGTGATGGTTGATGAATTTGCATTGGTTGTTGTTGTTGTTGTTGTTGTTGCTGTTGGATATTGTGGCCGCCGTTGCCACTATTACTATTGTTGTTTGATAAAAGACTATGACCGAGGTTGTTGTTGTTGTTGTGTGAAATGCCGTTGCTGTGACTGCTGATGGATATGATCGATGGCGAGAGAGAAGATGGTTGTGGAGGTTGTGTGGGAGAGAGTGGGAGAGGTGCGATAGCCCCCAATGGACCGCCGACACCCTCTGTTATAAATAGATCCAATAGCTCGCTCAGAGTCTCTGAATCGCGACTACTGGCGTTTCTAAAGACACGTCTAACCTTTTCTACACGTTGTCTTGGGTCCAATTGTACATATGAGCTCATCATCATTTTGAATGCATCTTCAAACTCGACCTTGCCCAGAGATGATGATGACGACGACGACGAAGACGACGAAGACCCAGAAGAACCAGTCATTATGACTGGATTGGGGACAGCAAGAAGAAGACTACTGTTGCCGCCTCCTCCAGTGGTTGCGGTGGTACCTTTAAAGTTGTGATCGATTAATTTTTCTATAAGTCTTTGTTGCTCGCTCTGTTGCATTTGGATCTTGGTGACGCTGTCCATCAAAATGTCGTTCCAGGATCTCTTCTTTTGTGGTTGTTTCTTTTTGAGTTGCTCGGGCTTGGAGATGACCTTGATGGGTTGGGTGTACGCCGAGAGATGCTTGATAGATTCTTTCGAGATTGGATCGAACCCTTCAATCTTTACCTTGAAAAACATATCTTCGTGCTGCGATGTCAACACCTTGATACGAAGCTCCATCGTGATGGTGTCTCCCGTCTCGTTGGGTGTCGATTTATATTCGACGGGCTTGCTCTTTACAAAGTCAACCTCTTTCTCGCCTTCGACAGAGTCACTGTCATAGACTAGCGTTGCCTCAAAGGCGACGTGGTTGAGATCTATATCGTGTTTTCTGAGCTTAAACTGCACTGTAAAGGGACTGTTCTTAATGACCACTCTAATGTTCTTTTGCAATCCATTTCTTGTCACCTTTTCTTCAAATGGCGATGTCTGTAAAGACAGATCCAATCTTGATGGATCACCCGTTACCATTGCCATTGACATGTTTTAAAAAAAAAAAAAAAAAGAAATAGATAGATAGATAGATAGATTCTTTTTTTCTCTCTCTCTATCTCTCTAAAGTGTAACTTGATGGGTGTATGTATGATGGGTAGGTTGTAATAATAATTGATTTTAAAAAAAAAAAAGCTAAACTACTAAAAGATGTAAAATAGTATGTTAATAAAATGTGATATAAATATAAATAAATATAATATGTTGTTGGTAACAAAAAAAAGTTATACTCTAACGTATTGTGTTTTTAGAGTTTTTTTTTTTTTTTTTTTTTTTCCCTCTAAAAGTAGTAGTGCAAAAATGAGTCAAAACTCTAACACACTATACCTGAAAGCAATACACACAATCGATCCTTCCTTCTTTTCTAAGAGTGTGGTGGTGTGTGAATAGAGATGTATCTTTACTTTATCTGTATGGTGGGGTGTATATAAATATATTTACAATGAATGATTGATTTTGAGAACCTTGACTTGCCTTCTTGCTCTCACTCTACACAAACAAACAAAGAGATAATGTGTGTTTGAGATATTTTATAATGAGAAAAAAAAATAAAAAATTGATTTTTTTTTTGCAAGCAAAGAGGCAACGATGGCACTACAAAGAGGAGGAACCCCAATAAATTGTTGATAAACACTCTGGATATTATTGATCTTTGTTGTTATAACTTCCTCTGCCCTATCCATGCATAGGTCGTCTCTCTTTCCCGAAAATATTATTTCGAACTTTCCTCCATTTTCACCAATGCAGCATCTCTTCATTGGAAGAGTCTGTTGATTGGGTACCCATGGGTGGCTCTGTATAAGATTGAAAAAGAAAGATTTGTTTGTTTGTTTGTTGAATTGGGAGACCCATCCATATCATATTAATATCCCCCAATATACAATGTGTGGATTGATTGATTGCTTGATGGCTATCCGAAAACTCCGAGCTGCGGCTCGGTTACTGTTTGTCTCACAATAACACTACTACACAATGCCGTTGGTATGATATGATACTGACTTGTTGTTGTTACTATTGGTATTATTAAATTCTGTGTATGTATGTATATGTATGTATGTTATCTTTGCTTGATTGTATTTATTTTTAGGAAGAAGATATATAATATAAAAGGAGTAGTGAGGAGTGTAGGAGGAGTGAGAGTAGGAGAGGAGTGTCGCACACCGTGATGATTGATGTGAGATGGTTTTGAGAACTTACACTAAAGAGAGAGAAACAATGACAAATAATGGGTTGATGTTGTGCAAAGAAGAAAAGTACAAGTAATTTTTTTACAAACGACAAGGAAGGGAGTAGCGTGTTTGCAGCAAACAACAAAACACGAAACAATTTTTTTGATCGATTGCTTTTCCCACATTCCTGGTTCTTTCGGTTGGTCGTCTTTATAAAGACGAGCACTTTTAACAAAGTAAGTATCCCAAAATCGTCGACCGTTATCAGAACGTCATGGGCTCGATCTCACTTTGATGACCTTTAAAGAGGTGGATCCCCCTCTTCTTAAGATTTAGTCCCAATGCACAATTGAGGGGCTTCCACCAAAAAAGAGAGTCGTCGTGTGTCCTTTGGAAATGTGTTGTGGCAGTGACCAAAAGTTTCGATAAAGGTCACAAAAGAGAATAGATCTAATCTAATCCCTAGATAGTGATAAAAAAAAAAAAGGAGGTCGGGTAGGGGATAATCAACCATGGATTATCGGATAATCGGGAATATATGATCACATTTTATTCCAACCATCATTGACTTTTTTGTTTGAAAATCAAAGAGTAGTAGTTACAACAATTGGGTACGAAAACAAAGCGACTACTTTATCCAATTGTTAATTTTGATACTTTTTGTTGTTGCTGATCCAAAAATAACATATTGTATTGTTGGTATACCAATAAATGAGTTAGATATGTGATGGACAGTTTAGAGATAAAACCCATCAATATTCGACATATGTTGTCAAACCAGCTTGTGAAGAATGTAAATTTACAAAATAATATCATCATTATTGATATTGTTATTTTCTTTTTTGTTGTTGTTGTTGTTGTTGTTGTTGTAATTGTTGTTGAGTTGCTTCCTCTAATGCTCTTAGATGAGGATTTGAATTTAATACAGCTTCATATTTTGCATTTACTATAGTGTAAATAACCATTTGGTTAATATTGAATGACATTATTGTATCGCTTTTAAATACTTGATACATACAAGAAGCTACATGTTGTTCTTCAATCTCTCTTTCACGTTCCAATTTTCTTCTGTGATGACGTTCTTCGGCCTATGTTGATAGATAACAGAACTGTTAATTACATTGTCGTTTGTCGTTGTCGTCGATTAGTTGTTCAATAATAATAACTTACAATAGGTCTAGCAGCAACGACAAAAATGAATAAAGGTATTGAAATGATTTGAACACCTCTTAGGATCTTACCTCCAATAGTCTTTGGTTTATCTGCTAATCCTAATGCTCCTAATATCTTGTTCATTCTTGACTCGTCTACAAGTATAATACAAAAAATGATTATATTAAAAGAATACAGAAAAAATAATCGATCATTGCAGTCTTGAAAAAAAAAAAAAACAAATTATTATTATATTAAATAATACAGATAATCATTATCTGTAAAGAAAAGAGGTTATTTGTTTGTTTGTGAAGAGAGAGTGACCAGTAGTAGCAAGTACAACCAAGCTATACAATTTATTTGTTTTTATTTTCATTACAATATGATTTATAGAATAACTAGTTAAATAAAGAAATATAATAGTATAGGTAATATGTTTGTGGTGATGATGTATGTATGTATGTATCCATCCATTTACAGATAGATAGAACAAATTAGAAGAGGGGAGTGAGAGAGAGTTGAGAGTTGATGTGTGATATGTTGGAGTTGTGTATAATAATTTTGATTCTTTTTTTTTGTTTAATGAATTAACTTTAATAACATTGCTTCAATAGATGCACCTGGAGAGAATGCCATGATCATACCATTATCCATGATGGCAGTGGAGGAGTGACCATTGTTTGAAGATTCCTCTTCCATTGACTTGATACGGTTCATGATGCGTTTGAGGACAAAGAGAGCCGAGCAAGAGACCATGTTACCATACCATTTCATAATGTCGTACGAGTCGGCCAACTCTTCGATGGGGAGTTCGAGACCTTCTTGGACAGACTCGAGAATACGACGACCACCTGGATGGACGGCCCAAAAGTGGATGTCTTGGAGGGTGAGCTTGTGGTTGGCGAGGAACGTGGTGACGGCAGGCTTGATGTTACGGGTGATGCACGAGGCGAGCTCAGGACGAAGAGTGAGGTCGATACCGCGGTCACCGACATGCATGTGGAGGGCAGACATGGAGTCCTTCATGAGCTTGCTCATCTCGTCGACGATTTCGATGCGGCCTTGGAGTTGGTCACGTGGTTGGGTCGACACGAGGGCGGCGACGGCACCGTCACTAAAGATGCAGCTGCTGACGAGATGGCTACGGTTGGACCAGTCAATATCCATGTTGATCGAGCTGGCTTCGACGCAGACCATGAGGACATAGGTGTTGGGACGGGCACGAGCGTGGACATAGGCGGTACGCAAGCCAATGACAGCGGCACCGCAACCCATAAAATTGATCATGGTGCGACCAGCAAGATCGGGGAGGTCGAGCTCGCGAATGAGCGTGGCGTCAATGGATGGAGCAAGCATGCCGGTCGAGGTGACACCGACAACATGGCTGATTTGGGAACGATCGATACCAGTGTTTTTAATGACACGTTCGGCAGCCTCGACAATGGTGGCGGTGATGGCCTTGGCAAACATTTGGTTTCTCTCGCCAGTCTTGGCCTCGGTGATTGACAAATCGGCAATATCATAGAAAAAGTGACGTTGACGGATCTTGCAATTGTTGTAGACGTTGGTCAAAAAGGCCTTTTCGGGAACCTTGGATTCGTACAACTTCATGATATCCTTTTGCGACTTGCAGTGTGGGGCACTGATTGGTTCAATGCCGACAATGGCAGTGGCCATATTCGACGAGTTGTTCAATGGCGATAATGGCGAGTGACTGTCCGACACTGACATGGATGCAAGTGGTGACACGAGTGGAGTGGTCGATGCCGAGTTGATAAATGGCGATGGCATTGGTGAAGATGGTGGAGTGGTTGGTTGAGCAAGTCCAACTGGAATGTTTAAAGAATTCTTTAAACATTCACCATTGACTTGTACTTTAAGGTCATTGTGATGATTAGTAATTGATTGAATAGTTGATTTAATTTCAGAAGTTGATAAAGTTGAAGTTTCGAATACCATTTTTTAGGAGGGAGATTTTACAAATTGTAATATTATAGATAAGTAGTAGTAAGAAAAAGAAGAAGAAGAAGAAGAAGTTTTTTAATTTTAATAGTAGTATAGAAAGAAATGATACAAAAAAGTAATTAAATAATTAATTAATTTTTTTTTTTAAAATATAGTATTGATACAAAAAAAAAAAAAACTAGTAGTAGTAGTATAAATGGTACAAGAAGAAGAAGAAGATATTTGAAATGATTTATCTGTTTCGATTATATATTGTAGATTAAAGTAAAAAAACGACCTTTTATACTTTCTGTTGCAGGAAAAATATGGATATTAATTAATTATGATTTTTTAAAGAAACAGTTAAATTGGGATAAAAGTTGTATAAAATCTCAAAGATATTATCCCTACACGATTATTTGTCCCAATCAACCGTACACAGTTTTACAACATCGGAAATTATTTGATCACCAATATTAAAAATATTCAACCACCAACATCCGACTCCAAAGATATGTTCAACAAGCCAATATAAATCATGTTACTTTTGACCGACACTGCAAACAAATCTTATTGTTGGACAAGAGTGCGTTCGGTTTTAAGTTCATCACAGCAGGGAGTTCGTTGTGGGTTCCAAGCCTATTTCCATCCCAATCGATTGCCACCTCCTCCACCACAGAGAGAGAGAGGAACTTCCTCCCAACAACAAAACTGCAACGTTTGCACTTGGAAAAGTTTTTTGTTAAAAATTTATTTTTAAATTCCAACCAATTCAACAAATTTTCGTCAACCAGCCACCCTTAAAAGTCCACTAGTCATCGAATCTTCAGACACCAACAGACTGAAATAGATATGGCTGGTGGGTGTGTGGTAGTGGGGTGTTGGGTGGTGGTGACGCCAGCTACATACAGCTATGGTAAAGTGTCATCATAATAGATGGGTTTTGCAGAGCAGAACAATGACAATAGAATTAGTTTATTTATAAACTGTGTACTCTATCACTCAACCACCAATTGCTCGTATAATCAACAAGACTAAACAAAACATCAACAACAACAACATCCTCTCTCAACATCAATTTAACTTTTAATTTATTGGACGTCATCTTCTCCTTTGGTGGGGAGTGGAAACAGATAGTCATATTTTCATTTTAAAATACTACACCCAATTGATCCAACCCTTGTTTTTCTCACCACCCACACAACCATTGTGGTGGTACTTGTAGTGTGAAAAAAAGGTTTACATCACGCGATTGATGTGCAAAGTGATCATTCTATCTTATCATATGCAATCTGGTCATTTTTATCATTTTTTATTACCACCACAATTGTTTGTTGGTTATCTATCTTCTCTATTCTTTTCTTTGATAATTTTGAAACCAAAAATATTATTGGGTTTGAGTTGTTTCAAATTATTTTTAAAATTCCACCAATTTGTCCAATCAGATCCAACAAATTCAATTCATTTGGCAAACTTTATGAAGACTACCTTCCTATTCGTTTGTTCTTCTCTCTCTCCCTCTCTCTTTCTCTCTCTCTCTATCTCTCTATGGTGGTTTTTGCGTATATGTGTGTGGGTGCGTGTGAATTATTCATTATGATAAATAATATGTTGAATCTTTAGATCTGTTGTTGTTGGAAAAAATGACAACTACATTGAAAATCTAAACTTATACATCTTCCACATCTTCCTCGAAATCCAATCCAAATTAAACTCATAGTAGTAGTAGTGTAAAAATACAAACAAACAAGCAAACACACGCTCGAACAACTATTGTTTGTTTGCAAGTATAGATCAAATATTTATTTCGATTATTAATATTTTTCAATTGTGTTGGTGGGTGGATGGGTGGAGAATGTGTGGGTGGTCAACTCTTCAAAGCATCCTAATTGGAAATGAGCCCATTGACCAATTAGCCAGGTGGTCAAATTTGAACCTTCCTATGACTACTATTTACTGGGTTCTTGGGGTACCCATTTCTACGCTCTATAGAATTCTTACCAAATACCTTGTCATAACAACAAAAAGTCATCGTTTCAAAAAGGATAAACTAACTAATTGGTCGCTTGGATCCTCCTCCTCGTCGTTTATCAAACAAACCAGACTTTTTATTTATTTAATGCTGCTGCCTTTTGTGTTATTATAATTATATAAATCCTTGTTCTTGTTGTTGTTATTATCGTACTTTAATACTTTCTTTATTATTATTATTATTATTATTTAACAATGGTTTCACCACATTATGATGTTGTGGTGATTGGAGCTGGAATTGCTGGCTTGTCACAATGTCGCCATTTACTATTAAAAATACCTGGTCTAAGAGACAAGAGGGTTGCCATTATTGACCCAAGATCAACCATTAGAAACAATCAAGCAGAAGATTTTAAAGTTGGTGAATCAACTGTTGAAATTAGTGCTTTATTTTTTCAAAGGTAACAAAAAAATAATAATCCAAATATATATTTTTTATTTTAATATTAAAATAATTATTTGTTTATTTTTAATTTTTTTTAAGGAATTAGAATTACAAGATTATTTAGTAGAGAATCAACCACCAAAATTTACATTACAATTTCATTGGCCTAGAAATATTGAAAAGACAGATAGTATGGATGATTATTATTCAACGTGGGCCATCAAGAATCCAGAGATCCAATCATTTCAATTGAATCGTTCAAAGATTGAAAAAGATCTATTACAAATGATACTTGGTCAAGGTGCTATATATTACCATGGTAGAGTTAAAGATGTCGATATTACAGAGGGTGATAATATAAAGACCGTTGATATTCAAATGTTGTCAGATGAAGATCGATTCGAGGACCAAAAACAATTGGAACGTATTTCAATTACCACAGACTATATTGTCGATGCAAGTGGTAGAAATTTCATTATTGGTAGTCGTACCGATAATATCCTCAAAGGACCAGAGAATTTGTTTGGACTTGCCAATGGTAGTACTTGGGTGCGTGTCAAAGCAATTGATAAAAAATATTTTGACTTTAACAGTCAAGATGTAACTGCTAGTTGGTACTATGATACAAACCATTTCTTTGGTCCCGGGTATTGGCTTTGGATGATTCCAATTGAACGTGGTAGTCATGATTTTTCAATTGGTGTTTCTTATCATAAAGATAGATTTAGTCCAACTCAATTTAATTCGTATGAAATATAAAAAAAAATAATTATAATCTTAGCTTTATTATTTTTTACTTACTCTTTTTTCTTTTTTAAGATATGAAAAATTTATGTCATTTTTAGAAAAGAATCAAAAGATATTATATAATTTAATCAAGAGTGGAGAGATTATAGATTTTCATAGATGGCCAACATTACCACACACGAGCAAGAGATTTGTATCGCCAGACAATTGGTCGGTGATTGGGGATGCAGCGGCCATTTTCGATCCATTCTACAGTACTGGCATGACCATGATTGCCCAAGAGGTGGAGTGTGTGACAGAGATTATTCGTCACAAGTTGGCAGGTGATGAGAAAGGTGTGGCTGATCGTGTCGATGCATATGACAAGTTGGTTCGTACCATCACCCAAATCAACAACCATCTGATCAAGAGTCACTCGAAACATCTTGGTAATGCATCGGTGATGAGTTGGCGTATCTACATGGAGAGCACCAATTACTTTGGAACAGCACTTCCCGTTTACATTGGAAAGTATCATCTCTGTCCAGTGTTTTGTCGTGACTTTGCTGCCAATGTGCATTTTCTCCTAGAGGGACGTGACCGTCTGCTGAAACTGATGGATTACATGGTGGACAATAACATCAATGCCGGGTTTATGGATAACCACCGTGGTGACAATCAGTTGAGTGGCAGTTGGGCACCAGCCATCTCGTGGGACTATGACGGTGCAATCAAAGATTGCAAGTATGGCTTCAAACGACTAAACATTCACAAGTACATTGTCAACACCATGTGGTATGATCTTCGTATAGTTACACTTCTATACTACCGTGTGTACGGGCTCGCTGGTCTTGTTCATCCCGACTATCTCTGGTTGCTATCGGTTCGTTCAATTGCAATGACCAAACATTCATTCCAATCTCTCGTTCACCAATACAACAAATGGGGTGTCCCTGCCAATGAATACTATCACAAAATGGGTCTAGATTTTAAATCTTATTCTTATAATGATGATATCATTCCTTGGAATTATGATTAAAAAAAAGTAATAAAGAGAGAAGGGTAAACACAATTATATTGAAAAAAAAAAAAAATTAAAAAAATTAAAAAACAAAAAACGAACGATAATGATAATTACCTTGAAATCAAACAAAGTAATAACTCTATATAGTTGATAGATAGATAGATAGAAAGAGAGAGAGATGGCACCATCAACTAATGATAAAAGACAATTATCTTTTCAAGTAAAGGAAGATTCAGGTGATTGCTCACCATGTGTATTAAACTTTCATGGTGGTCTCCCAAGTCTAAACTTTCTCGAAGATAAAGACACCTCTTTCCAAAGTCTTAACAACAGAGCAAAGAAGATGCGTGTTCTTCACTCACATGGTGAGAATATGACTTATGAATCAATCCCTCAAACAAAAAAAGGCAAATGAAAATCAATATCAACAGTAAGTAGAGAGAGAGAGAGAGATTAGTAGCCGAAACAAAGAGATAGATAGATAGATCGATAACTAATCATTTCACTTCATTTGTCTATTATTTCTATATTTTAGATATGTAATTTGTAGATATAATGAAACAACAGGTAAAGTTCAAGTTGTACCAATTGATGAGATTCTACAAGTGAATCAATCGATCAATGATTATGAAGAGAAGTTTGATACAGTCGATAGAAGCACAATGAGTTATCTTGACAAGGAGAAATCACTTGCCAACAGCTTTGGTAGTAGAATCACAAAGAAGACTATTCACAAGACAGAATCTGAAAACTTGGGTAGTCTCGACAGTAGCAAGACCAAACAGATGGCTGACAATGTCAAGAATGAACTCGTCAGTCAAGGTGCATCAATGGAAGACCAAACAACCGATCTTCCACAATATAACTTGGAAGCTACCGAGGCAAAGGATATCTATGCAATTGAAATCCTCCTTCCATTCGACGTCTACTCGGAATTGGATGTTTCCGATTCAATGGCTTTTTGCAAGGATAAATCAACCATCCCCGAAACTCTCCCATCATATGTCAAGCAAAAGATTGAAAAGATCTCTGGTATCGAAGATAACGAAGATAAGGAACATGCTTGTAAAATTTTATTAATTATCTATTATATGTCTTTGTATGTTAAACAAAAAAATTTAAAAACAAACAAAACAACAAATATTAATTATATTTATTTATTTCTATATATAGAATGGCAAAAGCAAGAAAAGGAAAGGATATTTTTACTGTTTTATCAGAAAATGGTGTTCCAAGAGAAACCAAACATTATCTTTTAAATAATTTCTGTACTAAAGTTTCAAAGACGTATGTTTAAATATAAATATATAATATATCACATTGAATTGATCATTCTTGTGTAGAAATATTAATTTTTAATTCTTTCTATTTAAAAGTAAAAATACTATGAGTTCATTCCAAACAAACAAACTTTACAACTTTGTTGCCATTTTATCACTTCATTTGGATGGATTCTATAGTAGATCAGAATCAATCAATGAACTTGCAAAGGCTTTGGGTATTGAACCACATATCTTAACCAAACATTACCAACGTGTTGGTTGCACAACCATCAGAGATCCACAACGAAAGAGTTTTATTGATTTCAGATTAAAGGCTCCATTAAAAATTACAGAAGAAGTTAGACAATTTAAAAAGAAAAAGTTTTAAAAACAAAAATAAATAAATAAATTATACAAACATATCACACAAACAAGAATGAGAAAAGATAAATATCTCAAAATAGTATTATTTTATTTATTTTAACCCCCCACTTATACTAGAGAGATATAATATCTCTATCTTTGTTTGTATTAGTTTTGTTTGCGCGATCTCAATACCAAAGATTCGTCTGCACCATCCCGGGAGCAAAAAAATGAATTAATTAATTTTAAAATAGAATTATAAGACGAATGACTCATTATGGGGACTCAATTTTTATCTAGTTCTCACATTTTATACATCTTTATTCAACATAACAAATAGACGCATACACGATGGTATCAAAAGAAGAAGTAGCAAAGCATTGTACAAGAGGTGATTGTTGGGTCATTATCAATGGAAAGGTAAGTGAATAACTATTGAAAGTCTTGGGTGTTGTGTGTGTGAATTTAGAAAACACAACATTACATTCAAACTGTTTCTAACATTGTTGTTTTATATTTCTTTTTTGCTCTTTGTTTTGTAGGTATATGATGTAAGTCATTTCCATTCACTTCACCCTGGAGAAGGTATCAATGGACAATATATTGCTGATCACGCTGGAAAGGATTGTTCAGATTTGTTTGAAAAGTTTCATCAATCAGACGATCCATTTGAAATGTTAGAAAAGAGTGAAGATGGTAAAGAACCAGGAATTGTATATATTGGAGAATTAGACGAATAAAGAAGAAAATCAAATAGGAACAGAATAGAATAGAAATAGAATTATTTATAAACACAACAAAACCAAAACACAATCATTATTTATTATTTGGGTCAAGAATCTTCTCTCTTCAATTTCTTTCTTTTAAATACAACCAGTACAAGAAGAAACAAAGTTATTATCTTTTGTTTTGGTATTGATAGCACAATTACATCTTCTTCTAAGATCCAATGATGCTATATCCATATTATTGTGAATGATTAGAATCTGTGTTTTATCAATCACCCTCTTTGTAATATCTGCTTTTGATTTCTCTGTAAAATAATCAAATATATTTGGTAACAATACATTATCATAATGACATGATTTAATAATCTAAAAAAAAAAAGGAAAAGAAAGAGTTAATACTCTTTTAAAAAAATAAATTATTATTATCTCTATATAGTTTGATTTCTTACAGATTTTAATCTTAGACCATTAATAAAACCTATTTTCTCTTCAATTTGAGGTAATATTGGTAATATTTCTTTATAGAATTTGCCAATGTTGAATAGTCTATTGATGGGTCTAGAAGTATGACTGTCAGTATTCATGAGACAAGTTCCAAAACCACAGAATGGATTTGGTCTAATAGCAAATGATCCATAACCCATCAAAGATAACATTGGTTCAAGAGCCGATCCAACATTGATTGGGAAGAAATCAGAACTTGCAATGGTTTGATTGGTAGCTCTTTCAATTTCTTGTATCAATTCATAGGGATCATTGTTGTTGATAATATCTTGACTCGTCTGTTCTGGTGTTGGTAGTGGTTGAGATTGCTTTTCAGCTTGTATATCCTTTTCAACTCGTTGTTGAAGTGATTGGTAAAGATCTTTTGGTGGTCGTTCCAATGAGAGAATGATGAATCTAATCAATTCATTTTTCGATCTTAAAAGATGAAGAATCGATGAAAGATTGGCAAATGGTCTCTCTACCGCAATGGTAATGACAGCTTGTATACCATTGTATTGTGAAAGTACTTGAAGAAGTGCATTGAGATCTTTGGCAAACAAGTCCTCATCACCTCGTTTCAAAAAGTATTTGAGTGCCGGATAGACCTTACCCAAAAGGAATGAAGAGTCTGGTAACTTTCCAATCTGACCCAATCTCTCTACTGTCACCTCTAATAATATTGGATACCCTTTTAATGTATTTGCAATAAATATAACTATACTATTAATTGTAACTATATCATTTGTTCCTTTTGCCATAATTTTTAAAACAAACTAAAAAGATAATTAAAAAGTAAGTAAATTGTAATCAATGTCTCTTTATATTTATATATATATATATATATATCTTACCTTTCTATTTTTAGGATACATTGATTGAAAATATTGAAGATTTGATAGGATTTGATCATTGGTTAAAAAGGTACCTTGTTGAAAGATATTCAATTCCAGAGCAAGTGATTGTTGTGGTGTAAAAGGGGAAGGTGCAGATGATGAATTTGAACTAATCCTAGATATAATAGTATCTTCTATATCTTTAATTGATTTATTTAATTCTATACTATTATAACTTGACATCTAGAAAAAAGGTGTGAATGAACACAGCCGATGATGTTAATACCAAAAAGTTAACTTAAAGGCCATTTCTTCTTCTTCTTCTTCTTCATTATCTTACTCTATTAAAGAATTCCAATGATGAACATATTAAAGTATAATTTGATGGATGGTGTACACATAATGATTTCAAGTATACCTTGTTGTCTCTTGATACAACTTGAGCATCATTTAATATTAATCCCTTTCGATCTATCAATGTACATCTTGAACAATATGTTTTTGTTGAATATATAATATCCTCTTTAATCATTCCTAAACTACTAGTAGTAGAAGTAGTAGAGGTCATTATTACTACTATATCACTATATAACTGTAAACTGTGAATTTATGAATAAAATAAACTATGTCTTTGCAAGTTGTCTGAAATCATTCGGGTTCAAACACCTTTTCGTTTTCAGCAGTAAACTGAACAATCGATTCTGTGTTCTATTCTATTAATATTAATATTAACTAATTTAGCTATACACTGAAATTACTGTGTCAAGCCAGAGTGAAGTGTTGGATGACTGTTGGGACATGTCTTTGGAACTTTCAAAATGTTTTTAAAATTGATGCGCAGAAGTGTTGGGTTCCCAATGCACTGAAACAAAAATATCTATCAATAGATACCTCTCTTTCGATTTGCGTTATTCGAGTTATTATCTAATTAATTAGAGAGAGTAGTTATAATAATAATAATGTTTATATATAAATATTTTGTATTATTAGTAGTACTTGCTGCAGTACTTTCAAACAACTGTGCAGCAGTCTTTGCAAAGAGACAACAATCAAAATCATCGCATGCAACACAGATTAACAATCGACCAATCATTGGTATTTTGACACAACCAACCAATGGTGATATGGCCAATTATGGAGATCAATATCTTGCAGCTAGTTATGTAAAGTATGTAGAGAGTGGAGGTGCACGTGTTGTCCCCATCCTCTATGATAGTCCGGCCGACGAGATCAAGAGTCTCTTTCAATCGATTAACGGTGTCTTTTTACCAGGTGGTGGTGTCGATCTAGACCAATCACCACAGTACACAGACACACTCAGATTGTTGTACCAACTCGTCATCCAAGCCAACGACAATCAAGACTACTTCCCACTTTGGGGTACATGTATGGGTTTCCAAGAGATCAATATGATGCAAGCCAACAACCTCGACATTCTCTCACCATACGACTCTGAAAACTACACTGTTCCACTCAACTTTACGTCGGCTGCTTCTAGCAGTCGTCTCTTTAGTCTTGCTACACCATCGATCATGCAAAACCTCGCATCTCTCCCAATCACCATGAACAACCATATGTGGGGTGTTGCTCCATCGACCTTTGCCTCTACCGCTCTCCTCTCGTCATTCTTTAACGTTCTCTCGGTCAACAATGATCGTCAAGGTCGTGTATTCATCTCGACTATCGAAGCCAAGGAATACCCCATCTATGCCACCCAATGGCATCCAGAAAAGCCACTCTTTGAATGGTGGGATCAAGAGGTCATCGATCACTCTCTCCAAAGTATCCAAGCCAACCAATACACCTCTACCTGGTTTGTCAACGAGTGTCGTAAGAGTCTCCACTCTTTCCCAGATCAAACAGCTGAATCTGCTGCTCTCATCTACAACTATGCTCCCATGTTTACATTTGACATTGAACCTGATTTTGAACAAGTTTATTATTTCAATAATCAAACTGAATTATATTATTATTAAATAAAACAAAAAAAAAAGAAAGTAATTAATTAATAATTATTTTAGATTTTACATAATATCCAGGACAAAAATAATGGACGGATGGATGGATGATTCTTTATTGTTTTATTTTTTCTTGTTTTGTTTGTTAGACATCAGCACCACTATTATCAACAAGACTTCTAGGATGATTGTTATTATTATTATTTGGAGGACTATTATTTAATGGATTTATATTTGGAATATTATAATTGTTACTTTGTTCGACGGGTGGATATTGTTGTTGGTGGAGTTGTTGTTGTTGATTTAATTGAGAAAGTTGAGGTGGTTTATGTTTTTGAAGGAATTTAAATCCATTTTCAATTTCCTCTTCCTTTTGCTTTTCTAGATGTGATTTATCATAGGGATCTTCTGGATCCTCTGGATTGTTGTTGTTTGAACGACGTTTCTTTGCCTTGTATCTCTGGTAACACATTAATGATCCAAATACCAGAGCAAGAACGGCAACTGCTCCAAGTACAAAGAGAACAACCCGATTACGTCGTATCCATTCCTTTGGACACATGGGATTATAATTGTGCAATGTAAATGCTCTGAGACCCATTCCATTGCGACCTGTCGAGTTGTTTAGAATGACAACGTTGACTGGAAGTTGGGAGGGGTCACCTTGCAACAGGTATTTCGAACTACTTGGTTGGAATAGTCTAGAGGACATGAGAACGTCATTTGATGCAATCTTGACAATCAACATCTCTGTTCCAATCATCTCTACTGTTTCTGTTGGCTCTACAATGATCACCTTGAGAGACCCGTAAAAGTTTCGACCTTGGATCGTGACCAATGAGCCGGGTGCTCCTGTTTCAGGATAGATCGAGTAAAAGATAGGCCAGTCTGTTTCGTTGGCTACTTTGTTGATACACAGTTCTGGTCCGTTGGGACAGTCTATCTGTCCGAGGAACCCCTCCACTTGGATTGAATCGCCGTACGGACAGTCGTACCAGACCGACGCCACCTTGATTTTAAGTTGTTGTTGTGAGATGCACGACACGGGGTAGCATGCCGGTCGCTGTGACAGCGATCCATTGTCATTGGTTATGTAGCCGCCCTTGGTGAGCGTGCTTTCAAAACATCTGCTTGCGGTCTCTCGAGACTCTCCATAGTCTGCAACAGAGAGTTCCTTGAATTGGGAGCAATAGTTGTCGTCAAATCCTTCGATAAAGGGGCAGTAGTCTGGTATTTCAAATCCACCCAACCCAGTGCCTTGGTAGTCGAATGCTGGGGGGACAGACTTGTTTGCATTGCAGTTTCCAATCGCCATACGGTCAAATGTGCAGCTACGTTTGTACGCGGGCTGGTTGCAGTACATACGCTCGTCCTTCCACTCGTTGCACGGGCCATTGACAAAGTCACATCCTTGCTGGTACCCCCAAACCAGCTGGTTGGCTTGAGAATAGTTTACACGGTAGAACCCAGTGTCCTCGAAAAAGGCAAGGGTGAGGTTGGATATGATCGGGTTGTGTGATGCTGTGCCAGTCATATACTCGTTCATAAACAGTCTCTTTTCCCAATGTGACAGTTGTGTTCCCACGCCACCGCCATCCTCGAGCTCGGCTCCTTCCAAATGGTCGCATCCATAATGCTCACGAACAAACTGTTTAACGCGAGGTGTTGCGACCATACTAGTCTGGACCAGTTGGCCATGCGCACCACTCTTGAATACCGGCTTGTCCATTCTCAGATACTTGATAGTATCGTGATTCAAACCAAGGACATGTGTGATTTCGTGTATGGCGACACTTCGTTGTTGCTCATAAAACTGTGGTTTGGTGTTGAGTGCCGCTGGATTAAAGTTGAGTTGTGCAATGATCGACTTGCCATTCTTGCCGTCGACGCACGACATACCAAACGCAAGCACGTCGTTTTGCACCAGCGGACGACTTGTCACGAGCAACACCAAATCACTATGGTTGACGCCCGACAGTATAAACTCGGGTGGGACGGCAATGGGTGCACTTGGATTGCAATAGCTTAGTGGCGACCCAAATTTTATCGGATAGTCGATTGGATGCGTCATGGACAGCGTCGACTGGAAAAATTCCACTGCTTCTCGGATCATTTTGTTGAGATGTTGTCGTTTCTCGGGTGTCAACACATCGTTTGGTCGACACAATGTACTAACCATCGTTCCATTCTCCAACATAAAAACATTTTGATTTCTATTTTTACATGAATATTTTGTATCATTTTCATCCAATAAATTATCAGAATAAATTGTTATTCTAATTGGATTCCAATCATTACTATCAATATTATTATTATCTATATTATTATTTTCAATTGTTGATGGTGGTGGAGTGGTGGTTATATTGTTGTTTTTGGTTGTATTATGATTAGTATTAGTATTATTTTTCTTATTATTTCCAGTTCCAATATTAATATTTACATTAATATCGGAGTGTTGTAATTTCGAATTTACAAAATAATGATTATTATTATTATTATTATTTGTATATTGTTGTTGATTAGTGCCTTCGGGGAAAAGTGATTTTCTAAAATCAGCCATTTCTTGATGAATACATCGATATGTGGGAGGTGAGTGTGAGGAGGAGGAAGAAGAGGAGGATTCTGTACAAATAATGGCGGTAGGTACAGTGATGAGAATTAATAAATAAATAAATAATACATGGCTAGTAATATTAATAACCAATTTGCAATAATTGCTATTATAACCAAAAAAGTTGCACGATTTTTTAAAAATCATTTCTCTAAAAACAAAAGGAATGAGAATTATTTGAATTAATATTAAATATCATTGTGATTGTTGTGTTGTTAATCATTGTCATAATTACCAGGATGTGAGAGAAAAGTTATAAAGATGATCTATCCAATTTTTTTTTTAATCAAATGGGAATTTTTCCAACAACAAAAAATAAACTTTTAGATTATTATTTTTGACAGTCGATCAATCCAATTGCAAAATAAATATAAATATATATAAAAGGTAGTGGTAGTAGGATTATTTGTGTTTTGGAAATTACTATTATAATAATTTTAAAATTGATTGAATTTGATGTAAATTCGAATTTGATGAATCTATAATTATTTTGATGTTTCGACTTGAAGATGTAAAATTTGATAAACTAGTCAATAGGAAAAATATTTTAAACTCCTACTGAATGTTGTTATTGTTGTTGTGAACAAACTATCTTTCCAATGTGTTTAGCAACAGAAGAAGAAGAAAAAGAACCATTGGTGGGTAATTTTAGTTGGAAGATTGACAAGTAATGGAACTAGTCCAACGCAGCAACAATTAAATAATAGTATTAATATTTAATGCTCCAGGGTGTTGGTTGTCCACTCAACTCTCTATAAAAATAGTTGAAGTCATACAATCTCTTGAAAAATCTTATCTTTCAGCTTTAAACTATCATAACATAATATCCTCCAACACTCTGTCTGGTTTCATCAACCCACACACTATAACCACAACCCTAACATTCCTTCCTTCCTTCCATCTCGTCTGTCAGTCTGTTTTGTCCATCCATCTGTCCATCCGATGCATACAACAACAGTGGCAAAACAAGTACCGTCACTAGTGTTGTCGGTAACAGGACACGGTATGTGAGTGTGAGGGGAGTGTATGCGTGTGGTTGATATTAACACACAGAGTTGGTTAATATTCCAGGTGTGTGTGGGTGATAGAATCGTTAACGACATTACCAACCAACTCTTCTGATAGAATTCTATTTAGACGTCGAATGTCTGTGGACAGAGAGAGAGAGAGAGAAGAGAAGGAAAAGAAAGGGAGCAACTGCTTTGTTTTGTTTTGTTTGTTTGTACATGTTGGTTGATTGATCTCGATTGATTGATTGATTGAATGATTTGAGCTATTACAATCATTGATTGTTTGAGTTGAGATGATAGTTTTAACCAGAGTTGTAGCATCTAACTATACATATATGGAAATAGAGAAGCTTGCTGCTGCTGCTCATTTGTATACAACTAATAATAATAATAATAATAATAATAATAAGGGTTAGATAGATGTTGTGATGATGGAATCAACCAATTATTGTCACTCCCGAAAATCATCTTAATCATTAAATCATCTATCTATTATTAATACATACAGTGAGGATGATTACTGTAACATCGATAATTTATCGTTTACTATAATGAACATGTTATACGTATACAATCAATCAATCAAATAATTGATTATAATTCATTGTAGATAATATTTGAATTCGTATCTCCCTTTATACATAGATATAGGTTATATGTATATGTATAACTAACTATATGCAAATATATTAAAACAATGAAGATCTTTTGGCTCTACACTATTAATAAAAATTTAAAAAAAGATGATATTTTAAATAATCTGAGCAGAAGTGAAATTCATTCTATTCTTCTTCAAAACGAGTATTTTATTTAAATACTATCATTAGTTACTAGTTCTATAGAGATAATCTATCTATCTATCTATCTATATTTATATTTATATTTACACTAATGTTTGTACTACAAATTCATAGTGTAACATTTTATAATAGTTCAACACAGAATAAACCTAGAAATGTATTCTTGGATATATCAAACGAGAATCAACCATCACGTAGATACTTTGTAGGAAGATTCTCTACTAGTAGTACAAAGTCCTGTGAATCAATTGTTCATATATCAAAGACTCCTATTACTGTACATCTATCATACGGTCCGTTGATGTATCATGATTTAGGTCCTCAAACAATTTATGAATTCCTTTATGAAGATCCTGTTCATTTGGGAAAGAAAAAGGTAAATATATCTAAAATCAAATATATTGATAATGAATGAATTAATGATTTCCTCCTCCCTCTTTATCTTTTCTAGTTTTTAACATTTGGAAGAAGAGGACCATTATATCATGTTTGTTATAGTGTATCTCTTGTTAAATATTCATATGGATTCTCATTGAACAAGATTAGTTGTTTGAAACAAATCACAACTCAAAAGGATCAACTATTTGCAGAGGTTGAATTCAATCATAGTCCTCAGAGTATTGGTTTGGGTCATACCAATCGTTATCATTTGGGTAATTTCCAATCTCATGATATGACTGAAATACATAGTGTTCATAATTGTATGATCGATTGATATAAATAACTCTATCAACTTCTTCTACTGTTTACTTACTTTTTTGTTTCATTCCCTTTTTTTTTAGTAACATTTTCAACACTTGGAAACTTTGTTATAACATTTTATGTAAAGACACCAATAGCAGAATATATCTTGGGAACTATGAAATATACACCAACACATGAGATTAGTAATAATCCAGCTATATTACAAGGGTTGTCGGCATTTACATCGTCTACAACTAGTCCTATAATGCCACCTCCACTTGCTCAGACACATCCAACCAATCCATCGTCATCATCGTCGGTTCCGTCGAGCGAGTATTTGGCAAATGATCGAACACTAAATATGAGTAATGAAATGTATAATAGCGGCAACCACAATAGCAATAATGTACTCAATAATGTACAACAGCAACAACAGCAGCAACAGCAACAACAACATCAACAACAACAACAGCAACAACAACAAATCATTTTAAACAAAGAGAGAGGAGGATTGTTATTTAATCGTACAAACGACGACAAGATCTATACATTCTTGATGGATGATTTTTCAACGACGAAAAAGATCACTCTAACCTCTCCCGAAGGTAAAGGATCATACGAATTTGTATTTACATTGACAAAAACAGACTATATGTTGACTGGCGAGTCAAACAATCAAAGACTGGATGGAGAAGAAATCGACTCGTCACCACTTTTAACAATTCACACAAAAGATAATCCAAACACTGCACCAACAAGAAGATATTTACCAGTAGTTGATAAAGATAAAAATATACCTACCAACGCTACTAGTAATAGTGCAAGTAGTAATAATAATAATAATAATAATAACAATTCAGGTCAAGAAGAAATTAATAATACATCATTTAGTATACAGACAGAAGGAAATGATGTAGAGATTCTTATTGATGGTTTACAAACATTTAGAAGATATTTTGAAGTGATGATGGCTGCCAAACACAGTATCAATATTTTGGCTTGGGAATTGTCATTTTCATTTGGTCTGGTGATGACTGAGCGAGTCAAGAGTGGAATCCCAACATTTTCAGGTGGTTCAACAGAAAGTCTTGGTAAATGGATTACATTGGAGGATGTTTTATTGTCTCGAGCATTGGATGGTGTCTCTGTTAGAATCATTGTTTGGCGTCATGAACTACTTTCTCATCTTACTAGATTTTTGTATTTGGGTGAAGTTACAATTGAAAGAGAAGCTGCAAAACTTGAAAGAAGATGTAAACGATTGGGTATACCCTGTAGAATCCTAAATACCACCCATCACAATCTAAATGACATTTATGAGGATGAATTGCATCCACCTCAATACCAATACCCAACACCACAACAACAACAAAAACAACAACAACACCTCAAACCAATTGGTCATATTACCATTATTATTGCTGGTAACCCAGAAGGTATCCTTTCATCTCATCATGAAAAGTTGGTATTGATCGATTCAGAGTGTCCAGAGAATTGTGTAGCTCTTACTGGTGGATTTGATATGGCTCGTGGTCGTTATGATCAACCTTTACATCAAATTCCAAAACAAATTAGATATTTACCAACAACAAAAGATGAAAAATTGGGAAATTCTACATCTTCTTCATCAAATTCATCAAATTCATCACCTACAAACAATTTAAATCGACCAATTAGATATACAGGTACCAATATTCAACCAGTACTTCCACAAATTAGATTCCTTTGGCATGATATACAAATTCTACTTCGTGGTCCATCAACTCAACAACTTCGACTTCATTTTATTCAAAGATGGGTTCATGCATTTACCAATAACATTTCTCTAACACGTTCAAAGTCACTTATCAAAGATGTACAACTTGAACAAAACTTTCATTGTCAAAAGGCTCATCTTAAAAACAATGAAATCCAAGTAACTCATACCGACCCGGCACCAATCTATCGTGACTGTTCCGTTAGACTATTTAGAAATTGGAAAGGAGTTTTGGATAGTAACCTATTGTTTGACGATTTTGGAAAGATGATTCTAAACGCAAAAGAATTCCTCTACATTGAACATCAATATCCATTCCAAAACTTTACTCTTACCTATTACATGTGTGAAGCATTAAAAGCAAAACCAAATCTTCATATCTTAATCGTTACTCCAGTTAAAACTGATTTACCAAGTGGTCTTGTCGGTGAATTATTTGATTGGTCTCAAGATCATAGTAAGTTTGAAAATATAGATACATTTTAATAGAATATTCATATTAAAATTTTTTTAATTTATTTTTAGTTATAAGACATTTACATTTAATTTATAGTGTTGCGCCTGATAGAGTTGGAGTTTATGGTTTAATTAGACAAGATGAAGAAACAAAAAGAAGTAAGTTTAAAAAAAAAAAGAATTGAATATTTATATAAATTTACTAATATACGTCTTTTTCGTTTAGTTAAACCAATTTATATTCATTCAAAATTAATAGTAGTTGATGATGTAACATTAAATGTTGGTAGTACGAATATGGATAATATGAGTTTTTTTCATTCAAGTGAATTAAGTATATCAGTGATGGATCCAGCACTGGCAAGAGAGACTAGGGTAAGATTGGCACAAGAACATCTTGGAGATCATTACAATGAATCAATGGTGACCAACTTTATGGAAATGTTTCATTGTTTTAAAAGAGTTTCAGATGAAAACTATGAAAGACTACGTCACAAGAGATTATTAATTGGCAGACCTATTGCACTTAATCCTCTTGACAAGTATGATTTCCTACTCAAAAAGATTTACTATCCAAACAAATTTACAAAACTATTATTCAAACTTGGTGTAGACACTGAAGAATGGATAAACAAGGTTGTAAATAATCCTTCGAGTTGGTTGAGTAAATTTAAACCAAAATTATAAATAAAATAATAAATCAAAGTGGAAATGTTTATTTATTTCTTTTTTGGTTTTGATTTTTTAGGAGGACCAACTGTAACAGAAGCATCTCTCATTTCACTATTCTCATTAATGGTTCTTTGTGCCTCTATAAAGAATCTTAAATCTCTCAACTCTTCTGTTAAATCTTGAATTTGTTGTTCCTTTTCATCATCTTGTTTTTTATATTTTTCTTGATTATCTTTCATTGCTCTATTAATCTAATAAAAAATAAAAAAAGTTAGATAAATATATTATTTCTTTTTTTCTATTTCTATTTCTTACTTGTTGTAAAAATGAAGATTCTTTTTCCAATTCTTCAATTTTTTGTTTTAATTTTAAATGTTTTGTATTCCAACGACCATTTACTTTATCCAATTCATCTTTGAAGAAATGACTATTGTTTACCTTTTCCTTTTCCATTTTAATCATTTGTTGTTCGAAAAAGGCACGTTGTTGTTCGAGTTGAGATGTTAGCAAAAAGTTATATTCCATTTCGATTGATTCTATTTTCTCTTCTTTGAGATGTGATCCCTCTCTGACATCAGACGATGCCGATGGATTTGGAAACTCCAACACTTTTCCATCGGTTCTATTTTGTATTAATCTATGTACATATCCATCGCCTGCATAATCCCATACACGTTGTGTTTCCAACTCTAGTGCGTAGGTGTGCATTGTCTCCTCATAGTGTTTGTTTGCATGTGAATTGACGTATCGACTACAACCAACGTGTCCACATATAATACAAATCCACAAAGACTCTGTAGTATCGCATTTGACACACATGTTGTTATTTTCAACCGATGGTATTTGAATGTGTCGACATACCGGGCAAGTATTATCACCTTTCCATCTAGCCAAACAATCACAATGGAATGCATGATGACATAATACCGTTACAACACCCGATGTCGAAGCATCCATTCTTTCCAAACATACTGGACACGATGGTATCTCTACCAATGTTCCACCAACCTCTGTTAATTGTGAAAATATATAAGAATCTTGTGATTTTCCTAATTGATATTCAACTCTTGCAACAAATAATAATATACATGTTTCTGGCTATCGAAAATAAAAAGAAAAATAAATATCAAATAATTTAAGTTTACTTCTTTTTCCTTTTTACATACTTCAAAAGAAGAGAAATGTTTTCCATTATATAATTGATAGAATTCATCAGCATGACATTGATCTCTAAACTTTAACAATACCATATAACGATTGGGTGATGCATCTCTAACAATTTTCATTTCTTCAAGATGTTCAGCTGATTGTGAAAGAAAATGAATGAGATCGGGAATTGATAAATATGATGGTACTGCATGTAAACAAATTATATTACTTCTACTTGACTATTAGAAATGAAGAAGAAGAAGAAGAAGAAGTTTTAATAACAATGAAATAAATAGATAGTAATTAATGTACATACAGGTAATAAACATAATGAAGATGGTGCATTGGTATTAGCCTTTGCAATTTCATTGTCAACAAATAAATGAATTGATCCTTCAATCACTTCAATATTTGGATTACCAGAAAAGAATGGTATACTTGTTGGTGAAGATTGTGATGACTGTTGTGAAGAAGTAGTCATGATTATATTTGTAGTTGTTGTAATAGTTGTTGATGTAGTTGTTGTAGATGTTGATACTTCATTTAATCCACCAACTATATTATTATTATTATTATTATTGTTATTATTATTATTTGAATCTAAATTTACAATTGAACTAGGTAATAGTACTTTTTTCATTGGTTTTAACTTTCCAGATAAACTTAGAGATGATGATGATGATGGTATCGATGATGATGGATCTAAAAGTGATTGTGATGGTGAAGATGATAATGTTGAACTTGTACTATTACTATTGATTGCTCCTCCTCCTCCCACCATCGTCGTAGTGCTAGTTGATGATGAAGCAGCTGATAAAGGTGTCAATGACATGATACTCTGTCTCGAATCACTCGCTATATAATAAAGGTTTGAATATTCAATTAAAATACTATGCATAAATTAATTAATATATTAAAAATAAAAAAGAAACAAGTAAAGAGATAGATAGATATCTTTTTTTTGTAAACTAGTCAAACTTGTGTCAAGGTTTAATTTAAGAAAAAAAAAAGATTTATAAAGTAAAACAAAAATTAAAAAATATTAATAATCAATAAAAATAAATCATTTGTTTTCTTAATATAAGAAAGAAAAAAAAAAGTAATATATAAATTGTACAGATATTAATCTTTGATCTTTTTTCAAAGATTAAAAAAAAAATTAAATTAATTTCATTGCGTGATGAACTTCCCCAGAGCTCTGGTTGATGAATCATCACACTTGTTCTTGTTGTTGATGTCATAGAATGCAATCGATAACAAGAGGATTAACACAAACTAGTAAAAGACTTGCTTCAAAGTCATTACTAGCAACTAGTAGTATTAACTCTACCTCTTCTTCTTCTTCATCCTCCTCTTCATTCTCATTCAATACTTCTTCATCTTTATCATCTTTATCATCTTTATCAAAAACATTTATAAATAATAATAATAATAATCAAACGATATTTAAATCATTATATTCAAATAATAATGGAGGAAGAGATGAGAATATTGATTTTCAAAATACAGTAGAGATTAGTGGATTACCATCGACCATTACCAAACATGATATTCAAGATCTATTCCCAGGACTATCGATTTCACACAATGGTATAAAGATGATTTTTGACGATGAGACCAACTTGGGTTACGCCTATGTAACATTTGACACGCAATCTGATCGATTGGGTGCACTTCAAATTCGTGATGCCAACATTGGTAGTGTCAAGGTTAATATCTTGCCATTGTCAATCAACAAAAAGGATTGGAAGGATATTGGTTCATCGTCCTATCTACACAGAACCGCTGTCACAAACCATCTTTGGAGATCACGTACACCTCTTTTCGAACTAAAAAGCAAGACCATCAACCATCCACCATCAAACAAGACCATCCCAATCGTTGAAAAGTCTCCACAAGACAGTTTTACAGAGATCTTTCTTCATTTTAGTTCAGACATTAATCTTCGTGAAATGTATCTAAGTCCATTTGGTCATTTACGTATTGGTAGATTCCTTGAAGATCTTGATGCTCTTGCTGGTACTGTTGCATACAAGTAAGATAGAAAAGAAAAGAAAAGAAAAGATATAATTATATTTATTTATTTCAAATTCTTTTATTTTTTTTTTATAGACATGCAGAAGGAACAAGTGAAGAAAAGTTATTTACAATTGTAACTGCATGTGTTGATAGAATTCATTTATTAAGACCATTATGTCCAGATAAAGATTTCAAGATGGAAGGTATAGTAACATGGGTTGGTAAATCATCGATGGAGATTATGATCAAGGTTAGATCGATGGATCCAGCCACCAAGGTATGGGAACCAGTTTTGATTTCCTACTTTACCATGGTTGCTTTGAACCCTGAAAACAGAAAGGCTGCACCTGTCAATCAGTTGGTTCTCGATACTGAGAAGCAAAGAAAACTATTCGAGGATGGTGAACTTCATAAACAACAACGTCTCAGTCATTCACAACAATCACTTCAAACCAGTCCTCCAACCGACGCTGAGTTGAAAACCATTCACGACCTCTTTATGACTAGTAATCAACCACAACAATTTGAAAAGACTCAATGGATTCCAATGAAAAATACCAATCAGACCACCGTCATTCTCTGTCAACCCCAGGAACGTAATATGCATGGCAATATTTTTGGTGGCTACCTAATGAGAAAGGGATTCGAGTTGGCATTTACAACTTGTTTTGTAAGATTCAACAAATCGATTCCTCAATTCTTTGCCATGGATGATATCACCTTTTTACAATCGGTCGATATTGGCAACATCTTGTCGATGGATGCTACCATTGTCTATGTTCACCCCATTCCAGATCTAAAGGAAAGTTATTATGTCCAAGTAGAGGTTACTGCACATGTATCCAATCCAATCAAATCTGGTCCAGAAAAGAAACGATCAAATACTTTTAATTTCACATTCCTCTGTACTCCACCAGATTCCTCTACCAATTATTCAACCACGGCTCAACAACCAGAAAAGCAAGGAAGCGGTGATATCCCAAAACCAATTAGAATCTTACCACAAACCTATACTGAAGCTATGCGTTATTTGGCTGGTAAACGTATTGTTGATAGACAAAAATTATATAGTCAATCTGATTTGGATGTTTGGAGAGAATAAAAAGAGAAAAAGAATAAGAAAAAAAATATAAAAATAAATTCTAAATATCTTTTATTTTTTCTATTTATCCAGTATTACGTAAACCAGCAGCTAAACCATTAATACTAATGATTAAGATATCTACGAGGATTGGGTTCTGAGCTTCAACATGATTTGAGCGAAGACGACGGAGAACTTCTGCTTGAATATAATTTAGTGGATCTAAATATGAACGACGTATAGCGATGAAATGTTGTAATAGTTTGTTGTCTTGTTGAAGAGTTGAATGATTGGTGAGTGAAAGAATAGATGATACAGTTTTGTTGAGTAGACCAATCATTTCCTTGCCAAGTGATTGTAGTTCGAATGGCACCAAAAGGTCATTGTAACGAGCAGCAATGAGGGGATCAGCCTTCATCAACACCATTTCAATGAGATCAATGGTAGTTTGAAAGTATGGCCAAGACTTGTACATTTCCTTTAGGTCATTGGTATAACCTTTTTCCTTGGCCGCTTCTAATGCCTCGGCAACACCCAACCAAGCTGGCAAGATTAATCTAGTTTGAGTGAATGCGAAAATCCATGGAATAGCACGAAGCGATTCAATACCACCACTAACATTACGCTTTTGAGGACGACTACCAATATTTAAATGTGAAAGTTCTCTTTCCGGAGTGGATGCACGGAAATAACGAACAAAGTTTTCGTTTCCTCTAACGATGGAGCGATACTTTTTACCGGAAACAGAAGAGAGTTCATCCATGATTTCACGCCAATGATCACTTGGTGGAGGAGGTGGTAAGAGAGTTTGTTGGAGTGTGGCGGTGGTATAGACTTCGATGGAACGGAATGCTACACCTGGTTGACCATAATGAGCTGTAATCATTTCACCTTGTTCAGTTACTCTTAGACGACCATTGATTGAACCACCTGGTTGAGATTGGATGGCCAAATAGGTTGGTGCACCACCACGACCAATCGTTCCACCACGACCATGGAATAGAGTTAGTTTGACGCCATGTTTATCAGACAATTTTGTCAAAATCTCTTGAGCCTTGTATAATGACCATGAACTAGTCAATCTACCAGAGTCTTTGGAAGAGTCGGAATAACCAAGCATAATTTCTTGACTTCCATTGATTCTATCCTTGTACCATTTGATACTGTACAATTGTTCCATAGTCTGTGGAGCACGTTCCAAATCATCAATCATTTCAAACAGAGGAGCTACACGTTGTGGAAACTTATTACCAGACTCTTTTTGAAGGAGTTCAACTGCTAAAATATCACTTGGATTTTGACACATACTAATAACATAGGCACCAAGGGATTCAGCTGGTAATTCAGCAGCCATACGGAATGTATCAAGTACCTCTTGAACTCTAGCATTACAAGGTAAATCCTTTGGTACAAGTGGTCTCTTTGATTCCAATTCTCGAATTAAAAACTCTTGTCTCTCTTTTTCATTCCATGACAAATAAGATCCAATTCCCAAATAATTGGTAATTGCATCCAATACTTCTGAATGTCTTGTTGATTCTTGTCTAATATCTAATTTTGATAATGTTAATCCAAAACAATTTAATTGTCTAATTACCTATAAAAAGTAAAAGTAAAAGTAAAAGTAAATATTAATATTTGTATAATTATTATAAATTATTTTTTGTTTTCTTACATCAATTAATCTACCATTTGCAACATCAATAGCACCAACAGAAATTAAAGAATCATAACAAAGTAAAAGAGGATCTAAAACTTGTTTTGCAGTATGATAGATATCATCATCATCATGATCTGGTGGAGGGGTTTGACCACCAATTAAATCTTCATAATGTTTTTTGGTTAACAACATTTTGTCTCTCATTTCAGCCAATAAAATTCTATAACCTTCACGTTCAGGAATACCAGATCCACCACCAAATTCCTTGTAAAGAGTCAATACTGGTTTTGGTCTATTTGTATTTCTACGTTCTTGTGCTTTCAATGCAGCCTCTGCCAATTCTGGTGTCATCCTTACCATTGAAAGTTCAAACAACAGTGCATCAATCTCTTTATAAAATAATGATGCAGCTATCCATCTTGAAAAATAGGATACTTGTTTTGTTACTTTTGAATTTACATTATCATTTCCATCTCTATCTCCTCCCTAAAATAAAATAATTAATTATTAAATAAGAATAAATAATAATATTTATATTATATTCTACTTGCCATCCAAGAACCAAATTTAATATTTGTAAAACCAAGAGGTAAATTTTTACCAGTATATTTGAAACAAGTACGATCTAGAACTTTCATAAACTTTGGTAGTGTACGCCAAAGGTTTTGTTCGAGGATTGAGAAACCGCCTTGAGCTTCTTCGAGGGGGGTTGGTTTGTTTCTACGGATTTCATCGGTCAACCAAGATCCACTAATCTCTCTACGTAGTTGGTCTTCCCAGTCTTTACGATCACGTGAGCTTTGTGACTTGTTGCTCAGTCCTTCGAGTGCTTCTCCAATGTGATTGTTTTTAGTGATGAGAGTACGACGCATCATCTGGGTTGGATGAGCTGTCAATACCAACTCGATCGATTGTTCAGTCAGCGCCTTGTAGATTCGGTCTGGCTCGACACCAGCTTCGATCAATTGCTTAAAGATATCTTCACACGAAAACTTTAATACACCTTCTTCTTCGGATTCTAGGTTCTTTACCGATCGAATTAGATGGGTCTGTTCTGCAACGTTTGCAAGGTTCAAACAGTGGCTGAGTGTACGAGAGATACGTAGTGCACTTTCATTGGACAATGAAGACACCTTTTCTATAAATTTTTCCATAAACTCGGGTGTTCTTTCGCTTGGTGTCTCTGCAAGTAACAATTCCTTTACATCCTTGATTAATTGTTCTCCATCTCCACTCTTTTCCAACTCTTTGATAGAATCTTGTAAAATGTTTCTTAATTTATCAATATCTCTATCTAATTCATCTTTTTCTACTATTCCAAAATCTAATGGTCCTAACATGATTTAGAAATAAATATAAATTATATCTATATAGATATATATAAATATAAAAGGGTAATAAAAGAGAGTAAAGAGAGATATATAAAAAGGTAATAAAGGGAGGGAGAGAGTAATGAGTAAATTGGATTTTTAATCATTGACAATTTTGTTCAAAGATTTTTTGTTTGAAAAAAAAAAAAAAAAGTGTAAAGTAATTTTTGTTTGGTTTGGCTTGATTCCATTGATTACCATTTTTAGAAAAATACTAGTAATATTAAAACTAATAAATTTATTGTTGTGATTGATTGATTGATTGTGATGTGTTTTTTAAAAATATACAAAAAGGGGGTATTAATGTAATTAATTACATTTTTAATTTGATTTATCTTGGTTCTTTTAATTGTTCAAAAGAACGTTTCATATGATCCAAAACATTTTTAACATTTGAACTAACAGAACTTTGATGATTGGTAGCAATCTCTAAAAACTTGAGTATTTGGAATTTCAAATCATTTGTTATTCTTTCCATATCCTCTTTTTGTTTTTCATATTCTTGTTGTGTCTTTTCCAATACTGCTTGCATTTCTTCTGATGATTTTTTAGTTTGTTCTTTTAACATTTCATTTTCTCTATTTTTTAATTCAAACTTTTTTTCATATTGTTTTAATTCTTTATCATTTTTCTAAATAGAAATAAAAGTAGATTATTAACAAAACATGTTCTTTTTTCTTTTTTCTTTTTTTTTTTCTTACATCTTTTTCTCTTTGAGAAACATTTTCCAAATTTGATAACTTTTGTTCAGAACGTTTTAATTGTTGCTTATTATCTGATAATAAATCATCCAATTGTTTTGATTCATTTTCTTTGATTGTATTTTCTTCTTCCATTGACATTTTCTTTTCAATTTGTTCTTCAATATATTGTTTAATTTTTTCTAAACAAAAAAAGTAAATAAATATAAATATTCTTTTTTTTCTTCTTTTTTTTCTTCTTCTTTTTCTTCTTACTTTAATTAATTTTAAATCATTTATAATTGGTTGTTGAATTGAACGATCAAAATTAAAATCAATTTGATAAGATTGTTTTTGATTTGATGACAAGAGACCAAGTTTTGTTGCAGTTACATTGTAGGATTGAAGTAGTTCTTCAATTTCCTTGACAAGTTTGGCAATTTCCAAATTCTTTTCATTACACAATTGATCTAGACGTTTCTTTTCCGATTTAGTTTTACTAATATCATCTTGAAGTTGACGATGTTTTTGATGAATCATTTTAGCGTCTAGTGATCTACTTTGTTGATCACTTACAATGGCTTCAAGATTCGACTTTTGTTGTTGTAAATCTTTAAATTCCTTTTCTCTTGCCAACAGCTCTATCTGATGTTCACCAAATATCTTTTCATTTGTACTCTTGTAAACTTGTAATTCATTTATATATTCTTCAAAATTTGATTTATCATTTTCTAATAATTGTTTTCTTTCTTTTAATATTTCAATATTATTCTAAAAACAAATAGAAAATAAATAAGTAAAAGATAATAATATATTGTATCTTTTTTAGCTTACAGGAGAATTATTAATAGATTCAATTTCCAATCTCATTTTTGATTGTAATTCCAACATTGCATGAGATTCTTCTCTTAGATAATTATCATTGGCACCAAAATGATCTTCTAAAAAGTTGTCTGCTGCATTACTACCAACATCATCTCCACAAAGAAATGCTGTATATGATTTAATCAATTCATTTGAATAAATATTATTAAATGCTTCCTCTCCTTGAATTTCATGATCAACATTGGCTACTTCTATATCATACTAGAAAATAGAAAATAAAAGTTATAAATATAAATATATTTCCTTTTTTTGTTTTTTTTTTTGTTTACCTCTATTAAATCAGCAATCCAAGCAAGAGCAGCTAAAATATAAGGCCAATTATGTTGAGTACCAACAGGGTTTAGATTACGTTTGTTGATGGTGACTGGATATTTGATGATTTTAAAAAATGCAATCAATTCATCTTCCTTTTTGGTTGGTGTGAATTTAAAGGTACTATCGATATGATGAAAGAGGAATTCAGTGATATCGTAGAAATCCTTGGCCGATGGTGCCATTAATTCTTTGGTGGTGATGGCAGATGGATAGTTGTGTGACGTTAAAAAGCTGACCAATTTGATGATACATTGTTTTTGGAATGCCTTGTCTGTTACATTTCTTGCATCTTGTCTTGTGCCACCAGCTGTTGGTCTGGATGCTCCAGTACCTCCAATTGAAGTCGTCGACTTTTTACCAGGTGCCAATGGTTGACCCATCGATGATGGTAATGATCCAACTGATATTTTAGCTGGTTGTCCAACTACTACTCCCAATGATGAAAATGATGATAAACTTGCTCTTGGTGGTTGCAAATTATTATTAACAAGTTGTGGTTGGATCATATTGGTTGTAGTAGAAGAATATACACCTGTTGATGATGGAATGATTGATGGTCGAGATGTTGTTGAACTACTCATTGGCATGACTGGATTATTGTATTGACTATTATGTAGTGATGAAACTGAAGGATTATTATTGTTGATTGATGGAGCACCAATAGCACTCATAGTCAATGCAGATGTATTGTATGTAGAACTACTAGTTGTTGTAGCAATTGATTGTCTTGGAAGAGACTGTTGTTGTTGTTGTTGATATTGCTTTTGTGGAGGAGGAAATGTTGGTACTCCACCTGCTATTGATTGTCTACCATACATACTACCTCCCATCACTTGTTGTTGTTGTTGTTGTTGTTGCTGTTGTTGATTTACCATTGAACCTGTCAATGATGACAATGGATATCTTTGTCCATTCATTGATGGATGCATATTTTATATCTCTATTAACAAATACACAAAAGAGTAAATAATTGAAAATGTCGACCACACTTTTGATTGTAGTAATATAAAAAACCGTTATAAAAACGTGGCGCCAAATTTTATTTTTGAATATTTGGAACTTTTTTTCCCAATAATTTTTTTTGTGACATCCAAACACATGGGGGAAAAGAAAGCAACCAGAACCAAAAACAATCAACAGAAGAAGAATTGATTCACTGTCTATTAAATTTGAATGTATTGTTGATCATGGTTTGTTTTTTGAACATTCTTATGACACTAACGTTGAACAAGATTTGCCGACAGCGCGCTGGGTGTATCAAGAATGCAGACTCTAAAGAATGTACAACAATTACCAAAGGTAGGAAAATAACTTTTGTTGATAAATTATTTTTTTATTTACACTCAATCTACTCTTTTATATATTATATAGATATTATTGTATTTGGAAGCTATTTCCTTTTGTGAAAGACTACTTTAAGGTTTTCAATATATGGCGCCTTATTGTCGGTTATTTCTTCTTGTTCATCCATTGTTTTGTCATTTAATACATTTTGAACCAATGATTAAAAATTAGAAGCAAAAAGAAGGAGTCAAGGTATTAGATGGTATTAGAGTCAAAATGTCAATTAGATGACAAAACGATGGATGACCAAGAAGGAATTTATCTACTGGGAATGTGATATTTTTTGTGAAATCTTTCAATAAAATTAGATTATATTAAATATTAAAAACTATATTTAAATGATTATTTTAATATTTTTATTATTATTTATTTATTTATCTACTCATTTGTTGACTAACTCTTTGTAACTTTAATTGAGTATTACGATCAAGTTTTCTTTCACGATGTCGTCGAGTGAGATAGATGGTTAAAGCAACTCCAATAGCAGCACCAACAATACAACCAACAACGATTCCTGCTATTTTACCCATTGATAATCCTTTTTCATCACTACCTTTGCAAGTGGATTCAATTGATGTACCAACCTTGTTATCAACATCTATTAAATGAACAAAGTTTGGATCTAATTGTACAGATGTAAAAAATATTGGTATATTTAATCCAATATAGGTTGTTGAAAATGATGAATTTGACTGCTGTACACTATCGTTGTCTATAAAATCTGTTACAATTTCATTATTTATGGTTGAAATTTGATCATTATCAATTACACCTCTTTTAATGAATTGACCAAACAAAGATTTATCATCAATACTTAATTTCATCCATTCTATATCCTTGTCTGAATCACCACCATATTCTTTTGATGTACATTTAGATTCATATTCTGCTTCTACCGATGTTTTCATTATAACTTGTAATGTATTTGTATAGGAATTGAATGGATATGATGATATACCAATTGATACTTTGGTACTTGTTGCTGGTATTTGAATGGTTTGATTGGCAAATTCAACTTGACTGGCAATTGCAAACCATTCTATAGTTACATTGACAATGGTTGATATATTTAAGAGTTGTGTTTGATAATTCATTACAATACTATTATTATTATTATTAATATCGGGTGTTGTAATATTTAATATCCAATTTTTTGGTCTATACTCTTTGAAAACTTGATCATCCATTGTCAATTCTCTAATAGCAACAACTGATATAATTGATCTAATAACAGTATGACTATTTGTATTATTTACAATGATATCTACCATTGGTGATGTTTGGTTAAAAGTTGGTCGATCAACATTGATAATTGTAGATTCACAAAAGAATCCTGACCATCCATTATTACAACGACAACCATCGCCAACTGTACAAACACCATTACCAGTACAATTGATAGATGCAGATGGTGATGAGGAACATGGTATTGGTTTGGGGATATATGGTGGTGGTGGTGGTGGAACAATGGGAGCAGGTAATATTTTTGGATATACAGATAAAAAGTTACCTCCTTGTCCAACTCTAATCAATTCAACAAAGACTGGTTTGTTTGGTACTGCTCTTCTTGGATTATATTGTATAAATGCAATAATATGATGAACCCATAGAATTGTATGTTGTTGTTCACCATCTTGATAAACTAAAGTTGCGATTAGTTTTGATGGGTCATCTCCAAATCCTCTTCCACGAATAGTAATGACTTCATCATCACTTGATACAGGAACATAATTTGGATAACTATAAAGATTTGTAACATTTGAAATATTTGGAATATCTGTAGAATAGGTAGTATTGATCATACATTGAAAACCTTGACTACATAATCTTGTTGAAGAATATCCATCAAGATTTTCTTGTTTATCTCTTAGACCATAAACTGATAGCAATATACCATTTACACCAAACCCATGTGGTACAATAATATCATATGAAAATATTAAACTATCTGTTGTTGGCAAAGAAGGATTAACGGATAACCATTCACCTTGATTACCCCATAAATAAACTGTTGGAGTATAATTATTAAAAATACCAACTCCTGCACCATCTGTAATTTCCAAATCAATTGATATATATCTATCATTTGATCCAACATTTAATATTTTCTTTGAAACATTAAATGATAAAATAGTAGGTGGAAATAAATCAATAAATGATGCTTTAAAAAAAAATATATATAAATTAATTAATTTGAAATTTAATATTATTATTTTTTCTCTCTACTTACGATTACAATTAATAGTTGTAATTAAAGTTGGTAATTGATTGATTAAATAATAAAATGGATTAAAATAACCAATTTTTTGAATTGGATCAGTTTGGGATAGACGTTGACGTTTATATTCTGAAGTCCAACCAGCTTTATCAACAAGTTTAGTATAACCAATTGATAATGTATGACTATTACAAGTTGATTCATCAATGGTAATATTAAATCTATAAGTTGAATTGTATGGTGTACCACCACTAACCAATGTAGATTGATCAAAATGAAATACAAATGGTATAGGTGATATACTTGATTTAATTTCAATTGAACCATTTTCAAATCCATTTACTAAATCTATAATTGTAAATTCGTATTCTATCAAACCATTTGTTGGACTCGTAGGAATGATTATTGATTCAAAATATGGTGGTAAATGATCCATTGCTACAAAAAAAAAAGGGAAATCAAATTAATAAATTAAACAAAAAAATATATTTTTTTTTTAATTTTTTCTTACAATTATTTGAATTAATTTCAAGAGAAGCTTTTAAACCAAATTTTTCAACCAATGAAGTTTGAATGGGAGATAGTAAGAGATGAGTAAAACCATAAGAAGCAGTAATATTATTTGTATATTGTGGTACTGTAAAATCAATTCTAAATAATTGATCAATTGGATGGAAATAAGATGTCGATGTTATATTTAATTGTCCCCATGACATTATATAAAAAGGTGACCATGTTGAAAGTAATAATGACATTACTAAATTATTATTCTTGTCTAATAAACCATCTGTTGTTAAATTAAATACCAATGATACATTAACCTCTCCATTTGTAGTATCAATTATATTTGGTATAAATTCAAATCTTGTAAAATTTTCTGCTGTTACAAATTCTAAAAAATAAAAATAAATAAATTAGATATTAATTATTTTCTATTTTTTTATCTATACATTACTATTTGAAAAAGGATTTTTTGGAAATAAATGAATTTTATCATCATAAACATTATAAACTTTAAATTCATCACCAAAAGTATTCCAAGCACCATCGGCAACATATAAATCACGATATTGGAAATATTGTGCAGCTGTAAGATCAGATTCTGGAATGAGTTCAAATGTTTCAAATACAAATGTACCATTATGAATGGTACCATCAACCAAAGTATTTGATCCAAATAATTGATCTTTGAATGATATCCATTCAATACCAGAATCTTCATCATACAAGTTGAGTGTAACTAAATAACTTTGTGGTGATACCTTTTTATAACTTATATTATAAATTATTGGTTGTATATAATCTAAAAAATTAAAAATAAATAAATAAAAAATAATCTATCCTATTAAATTTTAATTTTCTTACCTGATTGAATTATTATATTTGATAAATTATAACGAGATGAATCTGAACCTTCAGAATCTTGTTGAAAAATAAAAGATACAATATCTTTATGTTTTATATCATTCATTGGAATGGTAAATTGTTGTATGGCTTGTGTTACAGTATAACCAAATGGAGCTGGTATACGATATTCAAATTTTGTATTTCTTATTTCTTCCAATTGATATCTAAATCGAAGTGGATAAGATATTTGTGAAATTGTAAAAGTCATTGAATAAATTGACATTGTATCATTAAATTCATAAACTAGAAATTCTGGTTTATTTGGTACTATAAAAATAAAATAAAAAAAGAATTAGAGAATAATTGTATTATTATTATTTTGTTTTTTTTTTTTTACATACAGGGAGATTGTTGAATTAATAAAGAAGAATTACAAATATAAGTAAAATTAATAGCTTGAGAAGCATTGGCAAGAAGATAAGATCTTTGAGAACTTGAAAATCCATTTGAAATGGGAGAGTCTATGAATTTTAGACCATCCTTTTGGTTTCCAAGTACTGGAATGAGTGGATACATTATATAACCTGATGACGTTGAAGTAATAATGTTTACTTGGGAGGGGTCAGAAAAGACGATGTCAAAGGTGGCACTAGATGGATAATAATAACCATCACTAACAGGCATTGTATAACCTCTTGGGGGAGATTGAGAGTTTGATAGAAATGACATGTCAACTGGTCCTACAGTATAACGAGGGATGACTGGAACCTGTACTAAATGACCAACATTTGTTGTTATAGTCAAATTGAATGGAGTGGTAAGAGTTGTAATTGATTTGGTCAAGGCTATGGACATTACAATGACAATACCATAGGGTCTTGGTAAACTTGCACCACATAAAATACCGGGGAATGGTGCGGAACAAGATGGTGAGTCATAGAGATAAAAGTTGTGGCTCGGAATGATTTCAAATACGGCAGAGATACGATCGAGTGAATATTCCAATGGAGTGATTTGGTAGGTCAACGAGGCAGGATCAACACAATTAAAAGAGGGAGCAGTAAATATGTAATAGGAACCATCGATTGGTAATGAAATGTTGACCAATGATTCTGGAAAGACTCCTATTCCATATCTTAATGTGATGGCCCATAGTTTACGAGAAAGATGGTAATATTCATATTTCTCACATTTTCCAAATGCCTCTAGACTATTATTGACAAAATCAACATTTGGCAATTCAAGTGAATCACTATCAACTAGTACATTTAGTTGTTGATTACATATTGTACCAGTATCTGAATAATATCTATAATATTCATGTGTTGGTTTTGATATATCAATAACATTGAAATATCCTTCAACTATGAATATAATAAAAAAGAAAAAGAAAAAGAAAAATGTATTAATTTAAAAGAGAAAGATAGTATAGAAATATTATATTATATCTTATAATAAATAGTTACCTTTAAAAATACAAACGTATAAAAATATTATTATTATTATTATACTATTATTATTATTTACTTTCATCTTTTATCTCTTTCTCTTTGATAATCTAAACAAAATACTATTTTTACTTTTTTTATTGCAACTACTACATTCTTTCTAATCTTTTTAACCGTTTACAAAGTAGAGGTTGATCGGAGATTGGTGTTTATGAATATCAATTATAAATAGATATTTTTATTTTAGTATCTACATACTTTACGATGATCGCAAATTCGAAAATTATTCAATGATCTCCTCCCCCATCAAACACATTAATTTTTTAAAAATTTATCATTGAAAAATTGATCTTTTTTTTAAAATAAATTAAAATCATCGACAGAGTCGGAAAATAAAAGTGGTGCGACGTGTTGTTTAAAATATTTTAGAGTATTGGAGAAGATAGTTTGATCTATTGATAAGGGTTATATAAATTGATGATTTTACTATTTTTAAAAGTAGTAGTGTCTTTTCATACTTGTTTTGAAAAACTTGTTGCTTGGCTCGTGAGTGAACAATTAAAATTTAGAGGTAGAAAATTTCTTCCAAAAACATCCAAGGTGCATTGCGTTTAAGGTTAAATGGTATAATATTTCACTGCCAAGTAAGTGTTTAATAATTCCTCTTTATCTTTTACATATTGGAAAAAAACAAAATTTTCAAACAAATATATAAACTTGTAATGTGAATAAAATTATTTTACTTTGGACTGAAATCATAGGCCGATGACTAGCTAATAATAATATAATTATTAGAAATGAATAAAGACTGGATCATTTTTTTTCAAAGACTCTTTGGACCTTTTCGTTTTTTTTCATTTTTTTCGTTTTTTTTGGACAAATATCTTGGCCCAAACCCGAGGCCATACTTGATACCTCTTGACTATGACTCTTTTTTTTAAAGTAATTCTTTTCCTGTTCTCTCCTATCGGGAAGAGTAGTACTCAGAAGTTACAAAGTTTTATTAATTATACATTTTAATTGACCAGCAAGAAATAAAGATTATCTCGAGAAGAATTAAAGTTAATTTGTTCTGGGGGTTGTCCATGTCTATGATACATGTTATATGGACGTTGATCATGTATCTTATTGTATAGTGTCAAGCATGTTGGATTGTTTTGGGTTGTTGCTTGTTCTAAAAATAAATTGGTTAAAGATATCGCTTTTTTTTTTTTTTTTTTTTTTTTTTTTTTCTCAGCACTATAGGCTGTAATATTGTGTTATATAATTATTCTATGTTATTATTATTTAGTAAATTATTATATTATTAATATTATTATTGATAGATGAAGAGAGAATAGAAGAAGATGAAGGTGTTGACGCAAATATGGCACCCATCTTCTTCTAATTTTAGTACCATACTTGCGGTGAAACCTTAAGCCTTGGGTGCGTCCAAGACCGACTGCCGCTCTCAACTCTCGCGCCGATTTACTCCCCATTGTGGACACTCGTCTTTACGTGTTGCATATTGTATTTGAGATGTCAGATGGCTTTCTATCGCGACGGCCCAGTAGGTCCTCCACTACCTTCCCGTTACTTGTTGCAGTCTGGCTACCCAATCTCCTGCTGAGAAGGGGAAACTAACCCGGTCATCCTTCCGTGGGGGTGTCCTGTCTCTAGATCCCTAGAGTCGGATGGTTTTTCTCCTCAATCCCCCCAATTGTGTCAAGTTAAACGTTGGCGCCAAAGGTAAAGTTCGAGGGCAGGATTCGAACCTATGACCTTTACGTTCCCGGGGTAGCACACTCCCGACTCACTTGCCACGCCATGCCCTAACTCTTGACTATAACTCGTTGATAGTCTTGTTCAATGAAATTGTTCAATGATTGCTGATAAACAATAAAATACTACACAATTTTTTTAAAAAAATTCGGTATAAATACCGCGATTTTTTTCCTTTCCAACATCCAATATGCATTGCGTTCATGGTTAAATGGTATAATATTTCCCTTCCAAGGAAGTGTCCCGGGTTCGATTCCCGGTGAACGCACAGTGTTCTTTTTCGGGTTTCCTGTTGCTCCCGGTTGCAATGTTTGTTGGTGGTCACCGGTGAACGCACAGTGTTCTTTTTAGGGTTTCCTGTTGCTGCCGGTGAACGCACAGTGTTCTTTTTAGGGTTTCCTGTTGCTACCGGTGAACGCACAGTGTTTTTTTAGGGTTTCCTGTTGCTACCGGTGCAATTCTCACGCACCTACAAACGAGCAACAGCTCTCATCATTCATTATTATTACATTTTATATAACACTATACAATCTATAAGACTAACCATAGTTTATATAAGATCTTGATTATTACTATCCTATTACTATCTATATCGTAGGGCCCTCGACAAGATAGAGCATAGTTTAGTAAATGTTGCTCCCGGTGAACGCACAGGGTTTTTTTTAGGGTATCCTGTTGCTCCAAAAAATTTCCAGCATCGTCACACATCCTATTCTCTATCTCTTTCTAAAAATCAAGTCTCGACATAGACAATATATCCTTGCCAAGGATGTTCATATTTTTTATTCTAAATGACATCTATTAGTTTAATATGAAGTAAATTAATATTTAATTATATCTAGTTGATTCAACAATTGTAAAAAAAAAAAAATGCTAAGTTTTTTATTCTCATTCACCAAGCTCTTAAAGAATGTACGCGCGATATTAATAGTAAGATACCTCAAGTGATCGTCCTAGCTGGCCGTACCTTGATTTGGTTGGTTGGTTGGTTGGTTGTTTGGAGTGTCATACCATATTCAAAGGTAGCAATAACAACAACATCATCACATCGTCAACAACAACAACAACAAGAAGCACCACCAACAACAACAACAACAACAACATATGCATTAAATCACAAAATAATCGTCAACTAGTTTGATGAGCAGTAGCAACAGATTAATCTATATAACAATGAAAAGTCAATCTATGAATATTTATTCAAATACCATCATCATTCTAAAAGCAACAATCAAAATGCCAATGCATGTCGATTTAAATGAACATGTACAGTATTATGGAGTTGTAAAGAATCAGTTTGGTCAAGATTATTATGAAAAGTTATGATATTATCATGTTATCTAAACAACTATAATCTAAACAAAAGAATAATAATAATAATATTATTATTATTGAAGGTAAGATTTTATTGCAGTGATATAGATACGTCAAAAGTATCAATAATCATTGACTAATATCTTTCATATTCTGTTCATTGCATAGTTTCCATTTTATAGTCGACATACAGTCTCTTGGTAGCTTGGGAATATATATATATATATTTATATAAATATAAAGCCTGTTTACCAACACTACCGCAGTTTTAGTGATCGTTGATGGTCTATAATCTGTGATAACCAAAAGGTGTTATACAACAATAGTGTTGACGCCGTGTGTCACATTAGGACTGGCATTGGTCTCGACTCCAAAAGAGAGGTGCTGCTAGTAGCACTACTCATATTCAGGTGTCAGCTGTAGATATATGCTTTTGAAATAGAGATTAATAATAGATAGAAATGATAATCAACAAAAAAAAAAAAGATAAGATATAATAATAATAATAAATAAATGAGATAAAAACAACAATTCATTCAACCCAACAGCGGCAACATCATCAACATACATCAACCCATTTACCATTAAAAAGAGTAATGATTCTATTAATTGAAAGGATATAGTACATGTGGAGATTGTATATCAACAAATGATGATGATGATGATGATGATAATATTCAAAACAGAGAACCATTTTTGTTCATTTACTTAGTTGGAACTTGTAAGATTTAATTGTAGGATGATCCTCGGATGGACAAATTAATTAATGTTTTTTTAAATTAGTAAAAATTTTAGTCATTCCAAGACATCATCAACATACTTTAGTATTATTGTAGTTTTGTATACAAAACTTTCTTATTACTTTATCTTTTACTTTTAATCTCTCTCTCTCTCTCTCTCTCTCTCTCTCTCTCTCTCTCTCTCTCTATTTGTTTTTGTTGTATATCATCTCTAGATTTGTATTATCTCTGTATATTACCATTATCATCCTTATTATTATTATCTCTATTTATTTCTATTTATTATTATTATTTGTAACATCTCTATTTATTGTTTACTTTCAATTCATACATATATTCGCATGGGATATTAAATCCTATATTTCCATCATCACACAAAAGTACTTTATATACTTTTATTACAATCAATACTATTCACATAGTGTATTCACTCATCATTATATATATATATATAAATTTCACAATTTAATCCATTGGTAATTATCTCAATTGTACAAATTCAAACCTACTTTTATATTTATATATTTATTATTTATTCTTTATAACAAATAGAGTTTAGAAATTATAATAATAATAATAAATGAAAAGTTTATTTGATTGATTGATGGAATCCTATTCTTGTTTCAATCATGAGTATGTAAAATAGTATTTTTGATATATTTGGTTTTTGGACCATTTTATAGATTTCTAACATTACTTTTTTTTTTTTTTTAGCTACACCCAATGAAAAGATATGCATCGAGTGTGGGGATTCAAAAGATGAAAAATCATTTCACAAGAGGGCAAAAGTTTGTAAAGATTCCAAAGAGAGATTCGAAGCATTTCACCAATCAGACAAAATCACAAAATGTAATACGTGCCCTTTAGGGAAACTACCAATTGAATTTGCCACCACGACTCAATGTAAAGATTGTAGAAATACAACAAGAAACAAAAGGAAAGAACAAAAAGCATCAACATTGGCATTGCAAATTTGTAATGAATGCCATCAACCAAAGTCATCGGGCCATTTCAGTTTTGCAATGGGACCAATAGGTGGCTCCTCTTCTTCTTCAAGTCTCATTTCCTTTTCCTTTTCATTTTCCTTTTTCAATCCCACTTCTATTTGATCATCCTTTTCCTTTTCATGTTCCTTTTCCAATACCACTTCCATTTGATCATCCTTTTCCTTTTAATCATTTGTCATTAAGTTTTATGGACTACCATAGCTATGATGATAATATTGTCAAATCAAATTTGGTTTATTCTTTAATTGAAAAAGGTTTTTTGTATGTAAATTATATTTATAAAGTAAAAGTAAAAGTAAAATTTATTTATTATTTTTATTTTTAAAATATTTAGGGTTATTGTAATTAGAACAAAAGGTAATGGAACAAGATTTTATACAATAGAGAATCTTTTGGTATCATTGGATGGTCCAGTTTCAGAAAAATATGGAGAACATTGGTACAGTAGATTAGTAGTATTGATCAAAAAGAAATTCCAACAAAATATTGATGTATCAACACAAGCTAGAAACTTTTACTATAGAGATATTGCATCAAGAATATTTGCATCAAATGTTAATTCATCGAGCAAGCTTACTCGTTGGTTTATCAATCTTGCATTGATCAATCAATGAAAAAATCTGGTTTTGATATAGTATCATATAAAAAAAGGGTTCAAGTTTTTACCACATCTACTTCATCTACTACATCTACTACTTCTACTACTTCTACATCTGCTACATCACCTAATATTATATATGATACTATATCAAAACCAGATTGGAACAAATTCTCATCCACCCAAACATTGTCAAAGAATTCTTTGGCAACAATTGCAATTATTCTTTCAGTACTGTCAAATTTTTAGATATTACCTCAGAATATCTAAACCCTATAAATATTCTGATAGAGTTTATGGTAAATTAGATATATAAATATTATTATTTAATAAAAATAATGTATTCTCTTTATAAAGTTTGTTTGAATTGATTATCCAGATTGGATCCATGTTGAAAGCCACTAGTGGGAACTGGCTTTGCAGCCACTTTGATCTTTCATGTAGATCCAAAAAATTCCAGGCATTTTGCCCTCCTATTCATTCTCTATCTATTGTTTATCGAAATATCGGGGGTAGACAAGATAGATGATACCTTCAAGAAGGTGACCCCTCAAGTTGGGCCCCAACAGCAATCAAAAAATGCAAAGCGTCGTGCTATCAAGAAATCACGACGTGAGACCCAACAACAAGATAGGTCCATCCATGGCCAAACCACTCAACAACAAGATGCTGGAGACTTTGAAGATACTATTGATCCATCGTATCAACAAAAGTTGGAAGAGACCCGTCAAGAGTTGGAAAAGTCCCATTGTTCAGTACTCAAAGAACAACAACAACAAATAGAGGAATACCAAAAGGAGTTTGAATTATTAAAGTTAAAACATCAAAATGATCAACAAACAATGCAAATACAACAACAAGTCATTGAACAGTTAAAAAAAGAAATAGAACAAAATATACAACAAATAAAAAAAATAGAAAAGACAGTATCCTGATGGTGTCAGAGGTTGGAGCAATGGATGGTTATGATGATGTACAAGACTCGATCATCCAAGATATCATCGATGAAGTTCATATGGTGTACGATCCAGTGCATATTTCCAAGACCATACGTAATCTCATGATTCAAAACGCAAAGTCATCTCACTGATACTAATTAAATTTGGTTATAATTTTATATGTTTATTAATAACATCAAAAAAAAAAAAAAAAGGATTCGATATTTGAGGATTTGATATTACATTTTAGGAATAAATAAATAAATAAATACATTATATGATCATATATATATAATCACTTTAATCTTTTACAACTTCGACAAATTTTGCTGGGAATTTTCCATAGACACCCTTGGTCTCACCTTCCCAAAAGTCCTTGTTTAGCTTTTTGAAAACATAAACCAAATCATCCAAAATAAGTGTAAGAGTTTCGTTGTTTTCTGGAATATAGTCTCTAACAACACGACATGTGCAAATAATAGTTGGTGCCTTGATTTCTTCATCATCACTCCATCCATCGTCATCATCATCATCTTGTTGTTGTACTGGTTTCTTGACAGCTGCTGCTGCAGGTGGTGGGGTTGGACGAGCAGCAGGGGTTGGTGCAGAGGAAGGAGCTGGTTTTGAAAGTGGTGTAGATGATCCTGGGACTGGACGCGGAGCAGGGGTTGGTGCGCCGCCAGTTGGTGCTGGTTTTGGTGCCATACCTGTTGGTGCTGGTCTTGGTCCAGTTGATGGTGGTCCAGATGGAGCTGGTGCGCCGACTGGACGTGGAGCTGGTGTTGGTCCAGATGGAGATGGTGCACCAACTGTTGGACGTGGGGCTGGTACTGGTCCACCAGCTGGTTTTGGAGTTAATCCAGAAGATGGAGCCGCTGGCTTTGGTGAAAATCCACTAGCAGGGGCAGGTGCACCAACTGGACGTGGGGCTGGAGCTGGTCCACCAGCTGGTTTGGGAGCGAATCCACCAGCAGGTGCAGGTGCTCCAACTGGACGTGGAGCAGGGACTGGTGCACCAGCACCAGCTGGTTTAGGAGCCATACCACCTGGTGGTGGAACAGCTGGACGTGGTGGTACTCCACCAGCTGGTGCTGCTACACCTGGTGGTTTAGCTCCAAATGGAGCTGCTGGTTTTAATCCTGCTGCTGGTTTAAAACTCATTATTATTATAATATATATAAATTACTAAAGATGAACCAACTAAATATATATCTATTGATTAAATGATTACTTTTCTATTTATCTATATATAAAAAAAGTAAACTATGATGATGAAATAAAAAAAAAAAAGATATTTAATAATACTATGATCTTGTTTGTGGGTGCAGAGCTGGGAGAGATCATCAATAAAAAAAAAAATTGAAAAAAAACAAAAAGATCAATGAAAAAAGAATTCATTATCTTAAAGAGTTGAATCGAATCAAACCCATGTTGTTGTTGTTTTATTTGTTTGACACATAAAATACTCAAAGAGTAGTAGTTTTTTTTTTTAGATGGTTACTATAGATTAACTTTTCTTTTGAGATGTGTTTATGCTACAAACAACATGTTTATGTATTTCTTGATTCTTGTGATTTTCTTTTTTTTAATTTTTTTCTCTTTTTTTTTTTTTTTTTTTTATTCGTCCGATGTTTGTTCACTTCAACAACAACAAAAAGTCTCTCTCTTTTCTCATTCATTTCGTTTATCTTTTTTTTTTTTTAAAAAATGTCAAAAGTAGATAATAAAGGAATTTTAAAGTATGACCATACAGGTGATACATTCCCATTTGTATCGATCATTTCAGCAAAATTAGTACCAGGTTACAAAATCATTGTTAGAAAGGGATTAGAAGAACCAGAATTAACTATTGTTACAAATTCGTAAGAATCTCAAAAAGAAAAAGAATATCTTTTATATCTTTCTTTCTTTCTTTTTTACTTATTCTTTTTTTTTTTTTTCATATAGTGAAACAATTAAAGGAAATTATTTAACATCAAAATATCTTGCACGTACAACATCAACACTTTATGGACAAGATGCATTATCAGCAACACATATTGATTATTGGATTCAAAAGGGAGCACATATCTCTAGTGAAAAGGTTGAACAATTTGTAGGTGAACTCAATGATCACTTGACATTACGTACCTTTGTCGTTGGATTTAACCTTTCATTGGCCGATATTGTCTTGTTTGCTCGTACTCAATTGTTCAAGCCACTCAAGGATGAACTCGCCGCCAAAAGTAAAACCCTCCCACATATTCATCGTTGGTTAAATTATCTCCTTTCTTTGGATGCTTTCAAGGAAACTGTTGCAATCTTTTCACCAGCTGAAAAGAAACCAGTAGCCAAAGCAACTAAAGATACCGCCGCCACTACCACCGCTTCCACTACTTCTACCTCTACTGAAGAACCAAAAAAAGGATTAATGGGATGGGCAGGAAATTTTGAAAAGTTGGCCTTACCAGATTTAATTGAAGGAAAGGTTAGAACTCGTTTCCCACCAGAACCATCTGGTTATATGCATATTGGACATTGCAAGGCAGCCGTACTCAACAATTACTATGCCACTCAATACAAGGGTAGTATTATTTTACGTTTTGACGATACCAATCCAACCAAGGAAAAGGATGAATTTGTTGTAAACATTATCAAGGATCTCAATACTATTGGTATCAACTTTGAAAAGACTACAAACACATCCGACTATTTTGAATTATTAATGGATTATGGTGAAAAGTTAATTACTACTGGAAATGGTTATGTAGACAATACAAACAAGGAAGAAATCTCCAAACAACGTGAAGAAGGACGTGATTCTGTTTGTCGTAGTCACACTGTCGAAAAGAATTTGGAATGGTGGGCTGAAATGAAAAAGGGATCCGAATTTGGTCAAACTTGTGTATTGCGTGCAAAGATTGATATGAATCATCCAGATCGTGCTTTCCGTGATCCAGCCATGTACAGAGTATCCATGACCCCACATCACAAGACTGGTGACAAGTACAAGGTCTACCCATTGTATGATTTTGCCTGTCCAATCGTCGACTCTATCGAAGGTGTCACTCATGCTCTTCGTTCCAACGAATATCAAAACAAGGTCAATCTCTACTATTGGGTAACTGACATTTTTGGTTTACGTCGTCCTTATGTATCCGACTATTCCCGTCTCTCGTTTACTCATGTTCTCTTGTCCAAGAGAAAGTTGCAACAATTTGTTGATGCCGGTATTGTCAATGGATGGACCGATCCACGTCTTCCAACCCTCCAAGGTATCATGCGTCGTGGTCTCACTATTGAAGCACTCAAAGAGTTTGTACTCTCACAAGGTGCCTCTTCTGTCAACACTACCATGGATATTGGCAAGTTGTGGGCCATCAACAAGATCATTGTCGAGCCAAACGTCCCACGTTTTACCGCCATCCCAGCCAAAAAGAATGTCCTAGTCACCATTCAAAACATTGCCGACGACAAGGTTGAAAAGATTCAAAAGCTCAAATTTGACAAGAAACCAGAACTCGGTGAAAAGACCCTCACCACCTCCAACAAGGTTCACCTCGAATACGATGATGTTGCCGATATTACCGTTGGCGAAGAAGTTACCTTGATGGGTTGGGGTATGAATATTATCATCCGTGATGTCAAAAAGGCCGCCGATGGTACCGTCGAATCGATCACTGCCGATGCAAACCCAACTGGTTCCTTCAAGGATACCAAGAAGCGTTTCACCTATCTCAGTTCAACCACCAAAAAGATTCCAGTCATTCTCCAAGATTTTGGTCCACTCATTGATAAACCAAAGCTCGAAGAAGATGATATCCTCGAAGAACATATCAACAAGGTAACCAAATGGGAATTGGAAGCATTTTCCGATGAAAATATCCTCTCCCTAAAGGTTGGTGATAAACTTCAATTTGAACGTCGTGGTCTCTACAATGTTGATCAAGTAGGAAGTGAAACCACTCCATTTGTTATGATTTACATTCCAGATGGTACCACCAAATTCAAACCTGGTGAAGCTCTTCATCCATTCATCAAACGTGAAGAAAAGAATGAAACTATTCGTGTTAAACCTTCTTCAAAACAACAACAAAAGAAAAACTAAAGTAAATAAAAGACTACAGAGTTTGTTTTTCAAAAGTAAAAGTAAAAGTATTATTTTTTTTAGAGTTTATTTATTTGTTTTTTGATTTTAGAATTTCCATAAATTAAATCCATCAGAATCATTAATTAATTGTTTTACTGGTTGATATGCCAATGGTACTTTTGGTACTTTCTTTTTAATTGATGAATCAAATAACTAAATAGAAAATAGAAAATTAATATATATTCTTTTTTTTTTTATATTTTTTTTCTTCTCTTTTCTTTACCGATTTATAAGAAGAATTTGAAAAATCTTCAGTTGATAAAGCATTTGAAAGACCATTATCAAATAATTTAGCCAATTTACTAATATCTGGATGATAATGATCACGGAGTAATTGAATTTCCCAAAGTGAACTTTTGAGAGCTTGACATTTTGATGGATCTTCTTCATCGATCAAATAACTATCCTTTCCATAGAAACCTTTGACTTGTTTGGTAGACTTTGCAGCATTGATGGCACTGTTTAGTAAAAGACCACTAATAGTACTGGTAGTTGGATCCTCTCTCTTTTGAATGACATTGTTGACCAAAATGTGACATTCTGGATGTCTTTGAAGCAAATTGTAAATAAATGGCAACAAAGTCATACATCCATTGGCAGGTGACAATAAACAAAGATAGGAACATCTCTTTACAAATGCTGCAACTATATAATTTGGTAAATAGGTAGATGAAAGAAACAATTCTGCCAATTTAAAAAATCTTGCTCTATATTTGGCATAAATTAATCCTGGTTGGAAAAGTGAATAAAGTTTTTTAAAGAATTCTGGATATTCCCTAAAAAAATTAAATAATAAAAAAGTATTAATAATCTCTTTTACTTTTTTTTTTCTCTTCTACTTTATATTTACAAATTATATTTATGAATTAAAATAAATAAACCATTTAAAGCAAGAATACTACTAACACCACCAAGATGATAAGATTTTGAAAAGAAATCCATCAAGGAGCGAGGATCACTTAGATGTGGAATGACTTGATCTGGTAGACCGAGGAGGACATGTTTATAGATGGATGATGGTAGTGGGAGGGCGAGAAAAGACATCCATGCCTTGGCAAATGATGATTTATAAGATGCACGACTGGTAATAGTGATCCAATAGGTGATACTAATCTTAAAGGCTGGTGTTTCTGGGTATTGAAGAGCTTGATTCTTTTTGTTTTTCTTTTTCATTGCTTTGAGATCGCTGACCATGTGAGACATGGGTTCACCAACAAGAATCTTCCATTCCTCTGGTGTCTCTTCAATCACTTCGAATAGTACCAACAAATCAAATACATTTTCTACAAATCTATCCATTGTACAGTGTTGGAGTTGTTGTGATGTCTTTTTCTCACGAACCATACGATCACACAGACTAGACAATTGAGTCATCATATGATAAAGTACATCGTGGTATGGCAAGAATCTACTCTTGAAATGATCCAATAAATGATTATCCAAATTACTATTAATCAACATTGGTTCAAGTATTTGATTTCTTAAAAATTCTCCTGATAATTGATAATAAACATTATCTTTAATTTCTGCCAAAATAGTAGTAGTAGTAGTAGTAGTAGTAGTAGATGAAGTGGATGAAGATGAATTAGATTTGTTTGTTGTTGTAGTTGTGGTATTAGTTGATTGATCTTGATTTGTAATTGATAATTCAAGAATTGAAGATTCTAAAACCAACATGTGGAATAAACTGGTGAGGGTTGGTAGTTGAATGGAACGATCTTGATGACGAAGTAAACTAGACAACAACTCGAGATAGTTGTTGTAAATGTTGATTAACCATCTTGCATAGACTACCAAACCATCCTTTGACTTTTCTTTGATCGATGAGGCCGATTTACGATACTTTATAAATTCTTGACACAATACCTTATTGTTTACATCTAATCGATTTCTAAAGATTCTTTCCAATGATTTAATAGTTTGAAATATAATCTCTAAATTTTCTTTATTCTCTTCCTAATAAGTCATAAAAAGTAATATAGTAAAGAAAGAAAGAGATGATTGTTGAGACATTTGTAAACTACTTATTTTCTTTCATTCTACATACATTATTACAAATAGCAATGATATCTAAAATCTTGTTTGTATTTTCAACCTTTTCCAATACTTGTTGTTCCAATTGTTTAATATGTTCAACTGGATCCAACTTTATAGTCTTTTTAGTTACTACTACTTCTTCTTCAACAACGTCACCTTGTTGCTTTCTCTTTTTTTGTTGTTGTTGTTGTACGACAGCAGCAGGTTGTTTTACAACTGCTGTTGTTTTTGTTGCAGCAGCAGCAGTCTTTTTTATAACTGTTGTCATTTATATAAATATATAACAAGTAGTACTACTTGATTCTATCTCTATTTTACTGACCCAAAGAGAAAAGCAGCCGAGTCGTTCGTTTTTCTCACACCCAAAATAAATAAATTTTTTTTTTTAATTTTCATCAAACCCTTTCTCTTTCGAATAAGAGGAACTAAGCGATGGAATTGAAGAGATTTTCTACCTATTGATCTTCTCTTTAATTCCCTCCCTTCGTTCCTTTCTCTCTCTCACACAAACTTTTCGAAATGTAACTATAATTATAATTACAAGATAATTGTTATGATACCTACTTATATCGATCTTTAAAATGGACTTCCATTCCAAAAAATAAATCAATAAATATAAAGTTAAACCATAGTTCTTTTATTATTATTATTAATACCCCATCAAATCAATGGCTTTGTTTATTTAAATATTGATTATTGTGATATCATTTTTTTCCAAAGATATCAAACCAATATTATTATTTATTTATTTGATTGATTTTACATAAAATCATCATCATCAACAGAATTGTATTTGTTTGATTTCATATTCTCCTTTTTCATGACGGCGGTGTAATGTAGGATTTCAGCTTGTTGTTTCTTTTGATTTTGAGCTTCTAGTTCTGCCTTTTTAACTTCAGCTGCTGCTGTACGATGAGTAAAACGTTCTTCCTTGTCACGTCTTTCTCTTTCCTCTCTCAATAGTACTTCTCTCCATTCCTTTGTCTTTTCAAGTCTATTAATAACAATAGCTACTTTTTTAACATTCTTTACATATTTTACCTAAAAAAAGTTAATATTAACAAACTCCTTCCCATTCCTATACTCTAATTTAAATTACCTGAGATTCATCATGATACATGACTTGACCAGGTTCCATATCTCTAGTTTTCTTTAAATTTGCCCATGGAGTATAGATGATGCTGACATTGTTTTCCTTGCAACCTTGAATCGAGTTGTTCTTTGTCAATTGACAACATTCCTCCATGACTCGTTGTGGAATGTCATTCATTGTCTCTCCCTTTTTGAGACGAAGGTAAACATGAGCAGAAGAGAGATTGTCAACGTGAAACCAAACGTCTTCGGGCCATCCCCATTTAATTAAATCTTCGTTTTCATACTTGTCCTTGCCCATATAGACAATGTAATCAGGGTCTAAAAAGAAAGAAAAAGAAAAGAAGAGTATTTATATATTAACTATTATTGTTGTTCCTATTCTATCGTGCTAGACTCTTTCTTTCTTTCTCTTCTTTCTCTTCTTTCTTTACATACCACTAATTTGATAGTAAAAGACCATGTTTAGAATGTGTTATGGTGGTGGAGGATAGTTTATGATGATAGCTAAATACTCTATGTTTTGAAGTTACTTTATAGTAAGATAAAAGCTTTCTACTTCTTTTATCTGTTCTCTTTCTCTATCTTTGTAAACTAGTTGAGTGAAAAAAATTCGTGTGTATCACATCGTTTTATAAAAAAATGGAGGAGCTGCAAATTTGTTTGAACATCGGAACCCAAGAAATATTGAGTAATCGATCATCCGTCACTTCACTTTCAGTCGGAGATAGATAGATATTATTATTGTTGGGCATGATAGTTGAAAATTAAATGATTCATCATTATCAAAGAGATTAATAAAGTAATATTAAATAAAAATATTTATTTTATTTTATTTCTTTGATTGTATTTGAAATACTCTTCCCTGGGTAATTCATTGCATTATTACACTTTAGATTTTTTTTGAAAATTTCTTCTTCTTTTAATATTATATATCTTTGTGTGATTAGATAGATAGATAGAGATAGATCGTTAGATCAGCAATAAGCATATTTAGATATGGGACAAAGCATATCAAAAGAGGTACTCAAAGAAGAGATTGAGAAACTTAATATATGCTTTCTATCTCAACATCAATTAGATTTACATATTAATAATATAGCTACTGCTTGTGTATGTTTATTTGTGCTCAGTTATCATTATCATCATCATCATTACTAGTTAACTAACTTTGTTTTATTTCTTTAGTCACAAAAAGGATCGGTTGAACAATACTATAAACTATTATCAAAGAAAAAGGATAATCATTATATTGATCAATTAGTACAACTATTAGAAAAGTCAGTACTATTATCAAAACAACAACAACCACAACAACAACAACCATTGACTTTAAAGAGTGAACAAGTTGAAAAGAATATAAAGAAAGAGGAATCAGATGATGATGATGATATAGATACAAAAAAGAAAAAGAATACATTGAATCAAAAATATGAAATCAATACAAAGGAATCTGCTGCATTTGAAGGTGATGAAATACTTGTTCAATTATTACAAAAGGATTGTTCAAATCAATCATTGTAAGTATTAAAAAAGAGATTGTGATACTACTACTACTACTACGACGTTATTAATATTCTTTTTTTGTCTATTTAGTGATCCAATTATATTTGAAAGAGTATTTGTACAACAATCAGTTAATCAACAATATAAACCACAACCAAATGAATATCTAACAAGTTGGGAATACTTTGATGAATTAAATTCAACTCCCATCTTTTATCATATCAATCCATTGTATAATATGATTAATGCCGATAATTATAGAGTACAAGAAAAGAAATTAAAAGGTTATCATCATGATGAAAAAATTTCTCGAGTATGAACAAAAAAGATAATATTATTTTGATTTAATCATTTTTCTAATATCCTCTTTTCTTTTTTTAGGAATTTATAAATTTAATATTACAATCATTTTCAACATATATTAGTCCATTACCAAATTCAATACATTTTCATGATTCAAGTATACCACCATCAATTGATTATTCAGCACCGAATCTATTAAAACTTCATCCAAATATATTACCAATCCTCGAAGTGATAGAGAGTGAGGAGAACTTTTTCCTACTTTACAAAAAGTATAGTTATACATTGGATGGATTATTAAGATATAGTAGTCAATTCCTACAGAAAAATAGTAAAATATCTGCATTTATTTTATATCAATTGGTACAACTTATTGGACATCTTCATGAAAAGGAAATGGTTCATGGCAATCTAACACCATCTAGTGTCTATTTGAACGACAAGATGTGGTTGGGTCTACACGGATTCTCATTTCCAAATCAATCCATTCCCTATTCACCAAGTGACCAGAATGCATTTGATGGTGCAGTGACTCGTTGGATCAATGGTGAGATATCCAATTACAACTATCTCATGCTACTCAACCATTTGGCACATCGTAGAATTGGTGATCACATGAATCACCCCGTTTTACCTTGGGTCATTGATTTCACCAAACATCCACAACAATCATTTTCGTGTTGGAGAGATTTGACCAAAACAAAGTATCGTCTCAACAAGGGTGACGAGCAATTGGATTTCCAGTACAACAATATGAATATGGATGGACGTCCTCACCACATATCAGACATTCTTAGTGAATTGACCTATTATAGTTATATGGCCAGACGTACTCCTATCCCCCTCCTTCGCCGATTCGTTCGTGCCAACTATGAACCACAGGAATACCCATCGACTATGGAACGACTCTATCGTTGGACTCCCGACGAGTGTATCCCCGAGTTTTTCACAGACCCAACCATATTTGATTCGATCCATGCAGACATGCCAGACTTGGCCATTCCAGACTGGGCACTATCAAGAGAAGAGTTTATAAAGATACACATGGCTGCTCTAGAGAGTGACCAAGTTGGTAAAAATCTACATTCTTGGATCGACTTGACATTTGGCTATCTCTTGTCGGGTGACGAAGCCATCCGTGCTAAAAATGTTGCTCTTGTCGATACTACAGTCCCCCGTACAAGTGGTATCGTTCAACTATTTACAGTCCCTCATCCTCAAAAATTACCAAAACATCATAACCTAGAACAATCATTTACAGAACCAATTTTAAAATTTAAAGATCCTATTTCAAGTATTACTACAAGTTCTTCTTCTGTTGGTAACAGTAGTACAAAACAAGAGACTGATCAATTATCAAGTTCTGGTAATATTATAAATCTAAGTGGTGTAGTTTCTACAAATACAAGTGGAAATACAAGTGGTGGTGGACAAAATTCTACCAGTACAACATTATCTCCACCACAAAATTCTAGTAGCAACAACAATACAATCAATAATAATTCATCATTTACATCTATTGGAGGTGGTAATAGTAGTTTTTCAGCTACTTCTGGTTCAATTGGTGGTGGAACTCAAAGAGGAGGTAATGTTGTTTCAACCAACACAAAATTACCAACAAAAAGAGAAGATTCAAACAAATCATTTTCAAAATATTTACCAAATATATTTCAAAATAATCAAAATAATAATCAAAATCTAAGTTCAAGTGATCCACTTTATAATAGTAATATTATAAATGATTATCAACAACAACCACCACCACCAACATCTAAAAGTAGTAATTCAGTTCAACATGGTCGTGATGAAAGAAGATATAGTAGTATCATATCAACCTTGACATCATTTACTACTGCCAAAACACCAACAAAATCATCAAGTGAAGATGTTTTATCTCCTCCAACATCTCCAATGAATAGTTCAGAGATCAATCAACAACAACAACAACAACAACAAAATACATCTTCTTTGCCTCAAAGATCAATGACACCACCAACAGTTGGTAATGAACCAGTTCATATTATTGAACCATTACCAGCAGATATTGAATTTAATCTATACGACTATGAAAACAAATATCATCAACAACAACAAGAAAAATTGGGACTTCAAAGTAGTTTTAATAATTGGGAATCAGTTTTACGTGATCAATCTCAATTAAATCATAACAATTCAAATGATATATTTGTTGAACAACTTTGTAAATGTGAAAATACTCAAACTTTTATTCATTCTTTTCAAAATCTTTCCCCAATTTATAAGTAAGTAAAAAACAAATTATAAAGTACATCTAATTTATTAATAATACTTATTTTTTTCTTTTTTCTTATTTTTTAGACCAATGGAATTTAATAAAACAAATATTAAATTACCAGAGATTTTAAATTATTTAACAAAGAGAGAGACAAAAATGTTGGAAATATTAAAATCTGCAGATATGTTTGCGATTGGATGTATAATAGCAGAATTACATCAAGGTTACCCATTATTTACACCATTGACAATTGAAAATCATTTCAACCAATACTATCAACAACAATCACAACAAATGGGACAACAACAAAAGACACGTAATAGACATCAACAATCTGTTAGTTTTAATCTACCAACCCCCATTAGAGAATTGGTCGATCGATTGGTCATACCCGATCCAAATGAGAGAATATCACCAAAGGAGATTCTTTCATCTCCCATGTTCCCATCATACTTTAAACAAATGTATCATTTCCTCTGTCACTATCATTCATTTAATACACCAGAGGAAAAGCTTACATTTACTCTGGCCAACATTGGTATTGTGACTAGTCTACCAAATGAAGCAATGGATATTATTCTTCCATTCATTCTAGAACTATTCAATCATCCCAACACCAAAGTGTCGGCACTTGTCGATTTATTGGATCCACTCTCACAACGACTCGGTCCTCTCTTATCACAAACCTATCTACTTCCAAGTCTCATCCATTTACACCAACTACACGATGACCATCTTGTCCAAAGTCATCTAATCCAGATTCCACTCATCGATATGATAATATCTCGGTTTGGTCGTGATATTTACATTCATCACATTCTACCATTCCTATTGGAGAGTATTCGTACCAATCCAAGAGAGAATCCAAATCACGAGATATTAGTCACTGCTCTGATCAAATTGACCAAGGTTCTAGGTGTTCCACTGACCATTCGTCACATCATGTACCCTCTATTGGTAGCTCTTACCAAACCACATCTTCAACACATTAGCGAACCACTCATTGCTATTGCCTCTAGCCTTGGTGAGTCAATCATCATCAAATTCTATTTCCCTGCCATCTTTACACTCATTCAAAAACATTCGAGCAAGGCAACTAGATCCGAATCTATACCTTGTACTCTTCTTTCACTTTTACAAGAATTAATCCTTCTTGTCAAACCTGGCCTTGTCCTTAGATCACTTCTCAAAGAATCTACTCAATTGGCTAGTCTCCTATTAAATCCTCCAAACCCCTCATTATTAATCCCTCTATCTCAAACTATTTTAAGAATTTCAAGAAGAATTGGTGTTAATAATACAAAACAATTGTAAGAGAGAGAGAGAGAGAGAAAAAACAAAAAAGAAATCAATCTATTTATTAACTTTTTTTATTTTATTTTTTTTGTAAGATATTAAAATACCTACAACAATTTTTTTCAAATTATTCAGATTTATATAAATTTTCAGATGATGGATCAGAAGATAATGATTCAAACAAACAATTAAAGGCGATTTATTCACCAGAGATGACCTATTATCTCTATTATAAATTATCTAGAATCATTGGAATGGAAATTATGCGTTCTGAAATATCAGACAATGCTCTAGTAGAACATATCATGATGAAATATATTCACAGAAACAATTTGAAACCAGATCCACCTCCAACCACCTCTATTCCACCATATGTATCAGATGAAGGTTTATTTGAAGATATTGAACCAACTTTGGATGAAAAAATTAGTTCAACCTATACTTTGGATGATTATCAAGAATTTGATGATTTAATTACCGAACAAACAATTACATTGGATGGAAATGTAGTAGCACAATTTAAAGAACATACAGCAGCAATTAGATCATTGGCAGTTTTCCCATCTGAATCTATATTTGCAACTGGTAGTAAAGATAACCTTGTAAAGATTTGGTCTTTAGATTCTTCAAGATCACTTTGTACTTATAATCAACATATTCATACTACTCATTCTGTTTATTTTGTTTCAAATTTGGTTGCTTCTTGTGATAGTACTTCAATTCATGTAAGAAATTAAAAATTAAGTGTACTTTAAAAATCCTATATTAATCTTTTTTATTTTTTATTGTTTTATTATTATTTTAGATTTGGGATGCAGAAAGTAAAATTAGAGTTAATTTATTTGTTGATCCAGCAGGTAATTTTTCATGTTTTGAACCGATAACCAATAAGTTTTTGGTTGCACCAAGTTCAGAAAATACTCTTAGCTTTTTAGATTTAAATGTAGGATTGGAAACACATTCTTGGGTTTTACCATATACAAGTATTCGTTGTATCACCACATCCAATGATCATTTTATTCCATCAGATTCACACTCACTCTTGTCCAACCCACCAATGGTCTATCCAAGTTGGATTGCAGCTGGGAGTCAAAGTGGTGTGATTACCATATTGGACACTCGTACTGGAGCCATTTTAGACTCTTGGAAGACTGGAGATGGACCTGTCATCAAGTTGATTGGACAAGGAGAACGTTATCTCATTTCATGCTCTGAAAAGTCTGTCATTCAATGGGATCTTTCAACATCTCCACCTTCCATCACCAAGCTGTGGAAGGGTTTCAAAGATTCTGTAAATTCGGTCACCTTGTGGAAGAATGACATTGTAGCTGCTGCAGGACACAAATTAAATTCAATGTCTCTTACAGATGATCTTACAATGAGCATGGGTGGATACTCTGTTGTAAATACTTTCAAAAGTGAGGGTATTAAATTAAATACTCCAAAACAATCAACCATATCAAATATTTCCTTTTTACCCTTACATCATCTTTTATTGGCTGGTTCAGATGATGGTACAATTAAATTATTATTGTAAATAAAAAAGACAAAAAAAAAAAGTCTTATTATTACTATTGAAAAAATTTAAATTTAAAATTTATTATATATATTATTTATTTGCTCTTCTTTTCCTTCTTTTCCTTTTTGTCTTCAGATTTTTCCTTCTTTGAAGAGGAAGATTTCTTTTCCTTCTTTTCCTCCTTGTCGTCAGACTTTGATTTCTTTTCCTTCTTTTCCTTCTTGTCTTCCTTATCGTCAGACTTTGATGATTTCTTGGACTTCTTTTCTTCCTTGTCGTCAGACTTTGATGATTTCTTTTCCTTCTTTTCCTCCTTGTCGTCAGACTTTGATTTCTTTTCCTTCTTTTCCTTCTTTTCCTCCTTGTCTTCAGACTTGGACTTCTTTTCCTTCTTTTCTTCCTTGTCCTCAGACTTGGATTTCTTTTCCTTTTTGTCTTCCTTCTTTTCTTCCTTTTTATCCTTTTTCTTGTCTCTCTTTTCTTCAGCTTCGTCTTCTTCTTCGACGTCTCTGGATCTCTTCTTTTCTTCCTTGGCTGGTTTCTCTTCCTCTACCTCGACTTGCATTGGGACAGGTGGTTCTTCCATGTTGACATGAGAGCCATTGGAGTGACCGTTTCCTTCCTTTTGAGCATTGTTGGTTTTGTTCTTGTCGTACTTGTCTTGGTTGACGGTTCTGTTGACATTGTTGGTGTTCTTGGAGAACTTACGGACAATGTTGTTTTCAACTTCGTTGGCACGTCTTTGGACTTGACTGAGGTAGGTGATACCGTATGACTTGTCAGAGGTTTCGCAGAGGGCGTCGAAACGAGCAGAGAGGGCAGCCTTGGCAGCGAGGACACGAGACATCTTACCCTTGTTCTTGTTGGTGGCCTTGTTGACGACTTCGGCATTGTAGATGAGACCGTACTTGGGGGTGTTGCTCTTGGCCTTCATGGCACGGAAGAGAGCCTTTTCGGCACCGAGAATTTGAATGGTGGAGGCTGGGTACTTGGCCAAGGACATGAGTGAACCGGCACGACAGATGAGACGGGCACCAATGAGTTCACCAACCAAAACGGTGAGGTTTGGTGCAATGGCGTTCATTCTGCTGAACAAGTAGTCGTTCAACTCGGTTCTGTATTGGTCGATCGAGACGTATTGCTCGCACAATGATTGGATGTGCTCGAGATCTTCCTCTGAAATGTCGGTACCCATGGAGATTTGGGCAGCTTCTTGGACGGCTGGGACGAGGGTCTCTGGAATAATCTCAGAGAGATCGGTATCGGCGGCGTTCTTACGGTTACCCATCTTTAAGATGATGTTGGCGTATTGCGAGTGAGCATCGATGATCTTACCGAGCTCTGGGAAATGCCAGCCGTACCATTCACGGGCTCTCATGGCATAGATATTCAATTCGGATTGGAGTTCGTCCAAAAGTGAGATGGCATGAACAATCATAGTATCAACTTTGTCTGGTGAGAACTTGATCTTGTAACGAGAGTATGAATGAGAAAGACCAATAGACATTTGGTTCATGTCTGCTTGTGACAAACCAGTAACCAATGAATTGATTTGACCACGAATTCCTCTAACCAATTCTTGTGTAGTATCATCACACATTACCTAAAAAATTAAAACAAAAACATAATTAATATTAATTATCTACTAAATGTTTTCTTATATCTATCTATTTCTATTTTACGTTTAACTTTAATGCTTCTTTGATAGCACTACCAAACTTGTTATCTGAAACAATGAGCTTGTCGTTTAACTTTTCTTGAATGATATTCTTTTCCAAAAAGGATTGGAGTGATTCTGGGACCTTGGATTCAGCAATATCATTGGCAGCTTCAAGAGCAGCCAAAGTATCATCAAACTTGTAAAACTTCTTTAATGATACGCTAATAATAAATAGATTTGTTTGTTAATAAATGATATTCTATTTGTTCTCTATCTACTATTAGATATATTATCTCTCTCACTCTCTTTGACATACATCTTTGAAGCAGAATCAGCAGTAGCGAAATGCTTGTGGAGATCTTTGCTTGAAAGTTTGGATTCATCCAAAACCTTAAAGAGTGCAAAGCCTGCAGGTGTTTCGAATAAGACCAACATGATGATTCTCTATTTCTGTCTGGGGAAAGATGAGGATAGGGTAGAAAGAAAGATATTGCGTAACGAGAATTATTTTAGTGGGTGGGCGCAGTCGCAACCGAGCGAAAAAAAAAATTAAATAAAAAAATAAATCGAAAAAAAAAAAAAACCGAACGAGGCACAAGACGTCTCTCAGAGTCCAATTTTCGGGAACCATCCATAAAATTCATCAAAGTAAAGTAACAAACAATAAATATTTTGATTTGATTTAATAAATAATAATAATTTAGTCGACTTTTATTATTGATGTACAATTGTTGTTTTAGTTTTTAAAATACAAATATTATCTTTGTCCCCAAAAGGTTACAGATTTTCTGGTTGGCATTCTCATACGTCCAGAAACAGAGTTTTCATTTTGTGGTTGTTGGAAATCAACTTGATTTAAAAATAAATTATTATTATTATTATTACTATTATTAATATTTGAAGAGTTGTTGGTAAGACCCAAGTTTGAAAGTGCTTTGAATAACATTGTTAGAGATTGATTTTTGTTTGGTTCTATTTTTAAAAAAAGGAATGGATGGTTAGGATTATTTCCATTTAATATTTAATTGATATTATTATTTTTTTTGGGTTTATACATACAATTTAATTAATTAAATAATTAGGAAGCGTGCAAGTTTGTTGGGATAAATTATTAAATTTATAGATTGTGAGAATTAATAAACCTTTTAAAATTTTTGTTTATTAATATTTGTTGTAGTATTGATTTGATGATTTGAAATGAAAGAAAAAGTAGTCCTATTTATAATGATATGGTTTATTGTTGCTTGTTCTCAAGTTCGATCAGAAGCATGCAACAGATACGTGATTTACATTTTTAAAATCTAAGAATCAAACGGTGAGTTGTTCAAAACAGATTATCTCTTTAACTTTTTACCAGTGTGTACCTACACATAAATATTCATCCACCCCTCACCCAAACACCTGTACACCACCACCACCACCACAAAACAAACAAGTAAAACATAATATATTATAATATATTATCACTACTCCTACTATTCCATCCGTTCCGTTCTTAATAAAATCAATCCGTTCTTCTTCTTGTTGTATCCGTATCATGATGAGTGAACAGCGTTTCACCACCACCACGATTCCATTTTCATTCGTCATTTTTCTGTTCATAAGCAACAGACAGATAATACTAGACAGAGAGAGAGGAGAGACAGATAGATAATAGAGAGAGTGGTAGTGGATCGGTGGTGAATTTTAGGAGTGAGTGCGTTCACAACATTTCCAAGATTAACAGGAAGTGTACGACATAGTCTGTCACCACTATACTACTACTGTACTGTTAAATGTGTACACAGTATTGGTATTGTTGATGTTGTTATAAAGATGTTATCGTGTTGATGTTGCTATTGTTACTCTATTACTCTCAGATCATTATGTTGTTGTTGTTGTTAATGACATCCGAATGGTGGTGTTTGTTGTGAATTATCATTTATTGTTAATAAATTCACACAATTAAATCTCTATCACAATTCATAAAAATGATTATTTTGATATTGCTGGCTGTAGTAGTACAACACTCTTAATATAAACAATTTCTATTACTCATTAATTTAATATTAATATTAAGGGGTCTATTGTGTTTTTAAAAGATCATTTTTTTTATAATCATGGTATCGATCTATTATAATACAAATTGTACATTACTTTTATTCAAACTATCTTCTTCTTTTGGTTCATTTAATTTCCATTTTTGATAAAATGAACACGTCAATTTTAAAAGTAACATTTGTTAAATAAATAAATTAAATTAATAAATATTATTTTGTTGGTTGGTTTGTTGGTTGGGTGGTTAGTTGTACACAGTTGTTTTGGCTATTTATGGTTATTTGTAGTTCCAAATTAATCCAATAAAACCATTTTAAATTTGGAAACTGCCGGCTGAATGAACTCATAAGCTTGTTATGTTAACATTTCTTGACAGGACATTTTGATTTTAATACCCCAGAGGTAAAATTATTGGATTGTTCTTGAACATTGTTATCAAGTTGTCTACCCGATCCATATGTTGTATTTTCACCTAATCCATTCACTTTGAATGAATTTCCTAAACTTAAATTACATAGTGCTTTGTAAATCATTTTATGTGTTTTTTTTAAATAATTAATAAATAATATAATTGGAATGTATACAAATTTCTTTGATCTATAACAAATGGAATAGGAAGGAATTTAAGCCTTTTATATGTATTGTAACTCTGACAGATAAATAATAAATAAAATTTAGGTCATGATACTAAATTGTGTTCCACCATCAATCAATCAATCAATCCAAAACATGTAGATGAGGGTTACCTTGTGTAAACATAGAATGCCTATCTACCCTCTTCTATTTTTAAACACTAAAAGGGTTAGGCAATCATTTTTAAATCGATTTATCGAGTATTGTGGTTTGAGGAGTAGGTTGTGTTTGTGGGTTTTTTCAAACCACTCTATTTGAAATTCCAATGTAACTACTATGAACCCATTCTATCATGTCCATGGGAGATTCATATTATAATATGAATGGTTTGAACCAAATAATAGTTAAATTTTAATCTAGATTTAAAAAAAAAAAAAGAATAGGAATAATTCTTTTCAAATTTGATTGAATTCCAATCGATTGGGCATCAAAACATGATATATATATTTATTTTATTATTAATTTTGATTTTACAGCATGAAATTATTACTTAGATGATGATTATTAAGTTGCATTGAATGATGTTCATCTTCACCAAAATCATATTCCATATTATTATTACTATTACTATTTCTTCTACTTTCTTTGTTATTGGTAATATATTTTAAAACATTATTCTTATTATTTTGATTACGATTATTATCTGTTAATTTACTAATTGATTTGTAATTGATTTTTAAAGTATTGAAATAATCGATGGCACCACCAGCATAACCTCCCATGAAAAATACATCACCATTGCCAACACAGGCTGTACCCATGTCTCTGGCGGGTGGACGTGGTTCTTCGATTGCAGGAACACTCCAATTAAAATTATCGGTATCGAGAATGTAAATATCGTTGGTCACACAATGACGTGGTTTCGAGCCACCACCAAAGATGAATAAAAAGCGACCAATAGCAAATGATATGGCAAAAGTACTGGTTTGAACATCACCAGTCGTAACAGGCTTGGACCAATGATTCGTCTCAGTGTCAAACACATGAATATCGTTGAATTTGTCGGTCCATCCTTGTGATTCATTCCAAATACCACCACCAAACAAAAACAACTTGGTACCGATTGCAGTCATACAATGACCCGATCGAGAGCATGGTTTTTTCCCAGTGACCTCTGGTTGCTCCCATGTCATGGTGACAGTATCCAATACATGCAAGTCGTCAAGCACCTGGTATCTTCCATTCTCGTCGTTATTGTTGCCTCCAAAGATATAAACTTTGTGGCCAACCGACACGGATGCATGGTTGGTTCTCGAGACTGGACATTGACCACCGAGGAATGACTTTGGAATATTGGTCCACAGTTTAGTGACAGTGTTGAATACAGCCAAGTCATAGTTGGTACCTTTACCATCGAATCCTCCAAACACATAGATATTGTTACCTACCAAACTAGCAGAATGACGTGAAAAGTTAGGAACCAAGTCACCCTTGATAATTGGTTTGGTAAAGTTATGTGTCTCGGTATCATAATAAATAATCTCGTTGAATCTCTTGGTATCTGATTCCTGGCCACCAATAAATATAATCTTATTGTTTACAAATGTTGCTGTATGTTTGAATCTTTTACTTGGCAGAGATCCAACAAATTTTGGTACTGACCATTTAAAACAATCTAAACAAAAAATAATTAAATGGATTGTTAATAATCAATTATATATAAATATATATTACTATTTCTTTCTATTTTTACACTTACTGTCAGAGGTAATAGAAGTTTTTTCCAAAAAATAAGATTTAAAATCAAAGATTGGATCGAATTTGTTTGTAATTTCCCATTTGTTATCTTGACAACGTTGTTTCCAGAGAGTACGTTCATTTGCAAGTCTATTAAAATGTTTGTTGACCATTGATAGTGAGAGAATATCGGTGAAATGTAATCGAGAGATGATATTTAATTCAACTTCCTCGGGGAAGTGATTCATTAAATAGAAATTATGCATTTGTACGGAACGAAATGTTGGAGTAGAATTGGCCGATGAAAGAGCTGGAGACCCAGATCTCATATCCGAATAGAATTCATCCATACTATTGGATCTAGATGAAGATGTGGAGAATGAGAGTGGACTACCACTCAAATCATCGTAGGAAGGGGTTGATGATATGGAAACTGAACGGGTTAGACCAAACATGTCACTGATTCCACCTTGACCTTGATCTTCGTCAGAGGAAGTCGATCCATCACTATCAGATCCAGAAATTGAAATGGAAAACTTTCTACGTAATCCATTAAAACTCGAACGAAAGAATGATTGTCTGTTGTTGTTAAACATATGACTATTATTGGATGGTGATGATGATGATGTGGAAGAGGAAGTGGAGGATGATATTAATTCTCTATTATATAATGATGATGCTGATGAACGAAGAGATACTTTTGGACTGGATCCAAATAGTTTTTTTGAAGGTAATGTGATTGGTGATAATGGTGCCGATGGTGATAAATCCCCTTGTTGTTGTTGTTGTTGATCAACCTTTTTTTTCTTTTTGTGAGATGTTACTGAAATCTCACTCAAAGAACTTGATAGTTTGTTGAAAAAAGAAGCCACCTTGAAAGTGATCTCAAAAGATCCACTAGAGAAATGATTATTATTTGTAAGGATTGATATGGTGATTGTGGAAACTACAACAAAACTTGTTTTTCCACTTGTTGATGATTTGACTTTAATATGTTTTCTTTTAATTAAACAACTACTACTACTACTAAATTTATCCCTACTACTACTATTATTATTATTAAAAGTTGGTGAGGGGGATGATGATGATGATGGTATTACTATTTTTATAGAATCCATTTTTTAAAAAAAGGTTTAATGATTAATTAAATATTAATTATTATTATGAATGGGAATAAATGGTTCGGAAATATTTGATGTTAGTCAATAGTACTATTGTTTGTTTTAGAATTAAGTATATGGATAATAAATATAAAAAAAAACAATCTAATCGGAATAATAATAATAATTATTATTATTATTATTGACTAATAAAGTATGAAGAATTGTTCTGAAAATGTAAATTGGTTGAACAAAATGATGATGATGTGAATGAAAATATTCTATTGTATTTCTAAATTCTCTCTCTCTTTCTTCTATTAAACATTTTGTCTTTAAACACAACTAACTCATCACTTGATTTTAAAATTTATAAATGTAATAAATAATAAAGAGGGTTGGGAAACGTCTCGACAAAGTTAAAGTAAATCAGAGGAGGTTTATAAATTCTTTTAAATAAAAATATATATAGTAGTAGTAGTTTATATAAACTGTATTATTAAAAGTTACAACCAACAAACAACAACAAACCGAGCGAGGTTTGGATAGGGAAATAAATAAAATTTTGGTGGACTGTATACACCTCCAACCCTGTGCGCAATTACAATATCTGTATCACTACACACATTGTACAATAGCAGTAACCATCATTAATTCTCCTATTATGTTCATCCCCATCCTTCATTGATATACCATCCCTCTTCTTCCTCATTCTCCTCTTTTCTTTTGTCTTTATATAAATCTCTCTCTCTCTCTCTCTTTGTATATTAATTAAACAACGTTGTGGTGGGTGGTCAATGATATTGGAAGTTGTAGAAAACAACCGATTTAATATCCATCTCGGACATGTTATACCTCTCCTTATAGAGGCAAGATATTTATAAATAGTGTTGTGGTGGTAGTAAATAAATAAATGGTGGTGGTTGTGTGCGAGAAACAGCAGCTACAATTCAAGTACTTGTGGTGGTTGGAAAAAAAACAATACTATCCCTCCCTTTTCTGTTACTGTTTGTTTGAGTGAGTATTTTGAAATCGAATAATTAATTGGATGATCAAGAACGAATAGATTGATTGGGGGGTTGTATCAATCGTCAGTCACATAAAAAAAATAGTATTATGATTGGAATAGGGTGCTTGCTCCAAAAAATGGTGGACACTTGAGAATTGTAATAAAATTATAAAGATTAAATAAAAATATGATAGATGGAATGGAACATACCATTGACAATGAAAAGGTGTGATGATAATAGTATATAGGTTGTAAACTTACCAAATTAATAATAAGAATGGAAAAAAAACTTTTGGATACAACTAATATTTCTCTCTATGATGCCAATAAAAAAAAACCGAGTGTTAGTGTCAGGATACTCTTTATCTCTTATATTTGTTAGCTCTAGAGAGGTTAACCAACCTACAAGTTTAAAAAAAAAATCCTAAAACTTTGTTGTTTATCTTGATGATGATGATAGAGAAAAACAACTGCCTTTTTTTTCTAATGATACAAGTTGAATATATCTTTTATATTATATTCTATAATTCTACAAAGTTACTTATATATTCTCTTTTTAATTATAAATCATATATATATTTGTATAATCTTTATAAATGTTTGGGATTTTATATAAGTTTGTTTTAGTGTACTGTTGATTTTGGAATTCAAATCATAATGATTTTGTTTATCTCGTTTAAGAGTGAGATTGTCCAGCAATGGGTCACGGAATGGCACTGATAGTAGGTAGTTAAAATATTAATATTTTTTTTTCACAACTAACGTCCATTCTGATAGCATTCAGAATCATTGCCAAACCGACATTTGCCACCCCCACCACCCACTCACCAGGCAACTTACTGCCACTGAGATTTGTGAAAAAAACCTTTTTTTTTTTTTTTTTCCAAAAGTCCAGATCTAATTAACCGTCAACCATGATTTAAATTACGTTCACTTGTTTCATACTCGTTGAAACAAAGGACAGTTCCTTTTGCCGTTTGTAATTGACTTGAGAGAGAGATAATTCGACAAACTTGTCTTTCGCGCAATGGACTTGAAATCAAAATACTTTTTAAGGAATGTAATCCAAACCAACAATCTATAAAGTTGAATCTTCTTTTCTGTTCTTGTTCTTTTTGTTGTTCCTACAATATATTGTGTATTTTGATTTATTTTTTTTTTAAAATATTTTCAGGAACATCATTTGAAATTTTAATATTTTGAATTGTGATATCTTCGAGGGGTTTATCACTTTTATCGGTCTTGACCTTTTCAATATCTAAAACAACTTCCATACCTTTGTAGACACGACCAAATACTGTGTGTTTGTTATCGAGACGAGTGACGGGGACGGTGGTAATAAAGAATTGAGAGCCATTGGTGCCAGGCCCAGCATTGGCCATCGAGAGAGTAAATGGACGATCGTGTCTGAGGTTTCTATTAAACTCGTCTTCAAAGTCCTTGTTCCAAATAGAGGTACCTCCAGTTCCGTCTCCAAGGGGGTCACCCGTTTGTACCATAAAGTTTTTAATGACACGATGGAAAATAATACCATCATAGTATCCATTCTTGGAATGGGTGGTAAAGTTTTCAACAGTCTTGGGACACTCGTCTGGGAAGAGTTGACAATGAATGTCTCCAAGTGTAGTGTGAATGACTGCATTTCTTGGGAGTTGGCGTTGAGCGTGAAGGTTTGAAAGGAGCATTTCATCCTTTGTCACCTTTTCATTGAATACATCTCTACCAAGTTCTGGATTGTCTGTATCTTCAGGTTCACGTCTACTAAGCATATAGAAACGTTGCTTTTTGTATGCCAAACAAAAGATGGTTGGATCATTCTCTGCATCTCTCTTTTTAGTTCCAAGTGTTGCATCTCCAGAGTTTTTACCTTGGTACAATGCCAATCCCAAAAATCTTGTTGAATTTTCAATTTTACCCAATACTCTAACAACTTTATTTGTTACCATATTTATTACTAAAAAAAGGAAAATAAATAAAATGTTAGAATATTGTTTTTATAAATTACTTTTTTCTTTTACTTCTTTCTTACTTTTAATACCAACAATATTTGAATAAATTAAGAAATTATTACTTTCATCAAATAAGATATTATTTTGAGGTGGTGGATTTAGTTTTGTTAGATTGTTGATAAAGTTTTCAAATGAAGAGTCGATATCTCTTTCGACAGCCATTCTACGACCAAAATCAGTTGGTTCGATATAGTAGGTGGGATCTTCGCTTCTTTGCAACTCGTTGATATGATCAAATGATTCATCATAGACACGATGCAACTTTCCAGTTGTGAAATTAAATATTCTAATCTTTTTGTCGTTTGCCATAATCGATAGGTATTTACCGTTGGCCGAGATGTTTAGACTCTGTGGAGTGGCCTTTGATTTCTGAAGGTCATACAAATCGGTATCCATCTTGTATTCAAACTCAACGCCTTGAATTTGACCATCAAATGGAGGTACACATGACCAATACTCTATACCTCCTCCAATATCAATTGATATCACTGCTTGATAGGTAGTATTAAATTTAATTAAATGTACTGGTTTCTTGTGAAATGATAATGTTTGAATTGGTGTTGATCCTCCAAGTAAGGTTTTTGATGATGAAGTTGAAGATGACTCTTGTTGTTGTTCTTCTTCTTCTTGTTCACTCATTGGATTATAAATATAAATATCAGATGATTCTCTACTACTAATTGCAAGATATTGTTTACTTGAATCATTTGAATAAATCCATTGACATGCTAATGGTAAATAGGTAGTCTTGAATGAAAATGTTACATCTAAAATAAAAAAGAGATAGATAGGTTAGTAGTTGTAATCTTTATAATTCCTTTTCTTCTTATTCTTTCTTGATTCTTACCAAAATTAATAACATCAAATATTCTAACATTCTTGTCTAAACCAATACTACATAACCATAGACCATCATGACTGACAGAGATGGATGAAATCAAACCTTGGTGTGATCTAAAAGTCTTTACAAACTCTATACCTTGAGGTTGTTTCTTCCAAAACTTGATATAACCAAGAATATCGGCTGTGATGATATAATCAGTCTTTGATACCAATACATGTGAACAAGCATCTTTATGCATGTATGACTTTTCATACATTTGACTATTTGGTAAGTTATCAAGATATAATTGTTCAAATGGTAGTTCTCCTAACATAAATGAAGATGTTAACACAACTTTACTATAAACTATAACTGTGCATATATATATATACCTACTTTGTTTCTTTACATTCTTTTTATTTGTTGTAGTTGTTGAAGTTGTTGAAGTACTTGATTCATCTTCTTTAACTTTCTTTCTTGATGATTGATTTTCTAAAGATTCTTGATCTTCAACCTCTCTTTTATTATTATTATTATTATTATTACTCATCTCTTTATCTCTCTATTTTAATAATAATGAGAGCTCTGTTTGTATTGACAATATATTAATAGATAATAATATTGGTTGAAAATCAATAGATTAATGAAAAGTCATCAAAGTCGATGAATGTGGTAAAGTGACGACGAATCAAAGATGAACTTCAAAAAAGATAGATACGAAATAAAAGTGTGCAGTTTTACACTAAAATTACGTTAATTTGAATAATACTTGTATAGTGATCAATATTTCCTTTTACAAAAGATTTGTGTATCATAAGAGAGAGAGAGGGGTGATACTACTACTACTACTATTCGGAGTAGATAGACGTTTGGCGTTGGTTATGAACTGCTCGTGTTTCCTTTCGCGGATAATTATGATGCGGTGCGTAATTTTTTTTTGAAATTTTATTTTTTTATACTGGTTTGGGTTGGATGTTGCTGTCTCTCTTTGATCAAATGATTAATCTTGCTTGTCATTGCTTGTTTCGTTACACTACTACCTTTTTTTTTCTTCTGTATTTATCTTCTTCCCTCATATTTGTAACATATATATATATTTAAAGATGTTGTCTAGATCTACTTTGATTAATATGACTCGTTCAATGAACCGTCTCTACTCGACTAGCACTGTCGGTAGCAAGAGATGGTCACACGTCCAAAAGGGACCAGAAGACCCAATTCTCGGTGTCACTGTCGCTTTCAACAAGGACACTTCACCAAGCAAGATCAACCTTGGTGTCGGTGCCTACCGTGACGACAACAACAAGCCATACGTCTTGGAAGCCGTCAAAAAGGCCGAAAAGAAGATCTTTGAGGCCAACGTAGACCACGAATACGCCCCAATCGTCGGTGTTGCTTCATTCAACAATGCTGCCGCTGTTTTGGCTCTTGGTGAGGTAAAAAAACATACAACATACAATAACGAACAACACACTACTAAACAACAAGACAGATATAGATAGATATGACTTTGGAATGGATTGTTTAAGTGGATGTTCAATATTTTGATGTTTATGGACAAAATGACTGATTTCTATTTATTTTAAATTTTCTTTAGGATAATTCATACATTAAGGAAAAGAAGATTACAACTGTTCAAACCATTTCTGGTACTGGTGCTTTGAGAGTAGCAGCTGAATTCTTTGGACGTTTCTTACCAGGTGTTACTGCCTACGTTCCAAACCCAACTTGGGGCAACCACAATGTTATTTTTGCCGATTCCAAGGTTCCAGTCAAGTCATACTCGTACTACAACCCATCCAACTGTGGACTCAACTTTGAAGGTATGATCAAGGACATCCAAGCCGCTCCAGCTGGCTCGATCATCTTGTTGCACGCCTGTGCCCACAACCCAACCGGTGTCGACCCAACCCACGAACAATGGAAGAAGATCTCACAAGTGTGCAAGGAAAAGGAACACTTTGTACTTTTTGATTTTGCCTACCAAGGCTTTGCCTCTGGTTCACCGGAGGAAGACGCCTATGCCGTCCGTTTGTTTGTCGAAGACGGACATTTGATTGGTCTCTGTCAATCGTTTGCCAAGAACTTTGGTCTCTATGGTGAGCGTATCGGTGCCTTTAGTTTGCTCGCCAACTCGGCCGAAGAAGCTGCTGTCCTCGAATCGCAACTCAAGATTCTCATCCGTCCAATGTACTCTAACCCACCAGTATACGGAGCTCGTGTTGTCTCTTCGATTCTCTCCAACAAGGAACTCACCCAACAATGGCGTTCAGAGGTCAAGTTGATGGCCGACCGTATCATTGACATGCGTACCAGTTTGGTCAAGTACTTGAAGCAACACGGTTCCACCAAGGACTGGAGTCACATCACCAACCAAATCGGTATGTTTTGTTTCACCGGTTTGACTCCAGAACAAGTCGATCGTCTTGCCTCTGAATTCCACGTCTACCTGACCCGTAACGGTCGTATCTCTATCGCTGGTATCACCTCCAAAAACGTCGAATATCTCGCCAAGGCCATCCACAGTGTTACCAAATAAATAAATAGTAAACACGACACACACTCAATCCCCATTTCCTTTAAAAATAAATAAATATTATTTAACCTCTATTTTGTAAACATTAAAAAAGAAGAAGAAGAAGAAGAAGAATTGTTTTTACTGTACATTTATTAATAGTATAATATAAAATATTATTAATAATCTAATTGAGTCGTAGTGGATTGTAATTGCACCACTACCAGTTTGTGAACATGTATATGTATCACAAGGTTGTTGAATTAATTTTCCATTTTCAACTGAGCATGTTAAATGACCGGCACGACATATGATATTATCAGATTTACAAAGGATGTCTTGTGGAGCTATACATTGAGTGATTGAAGACTCTGTAACTCCATTACAATGATATCCATTTGGAGAGTAACATTCACTAATTCCATGTGTTGTACAGTTGATTGAAGTATTTCCTAAACACTGAACATGAAGTTGACCAGATGAATTTAAAGTACAATTAATTTCATCATTGTTGGAGGAGGTGGAAGAGGAAGAAGAGTTTAATATTTTTGGTCCAAAGTAGACAAGGTATTGGTGGTCTGTGTGATTTCCGATTTTAAAATCAACAATATATTTTCCACTTTTGGTAGGGTATTTATCACCAAGTGAACAAGTTAAATAATTGGATGTAAATAGTTCAATATTACGCATTCGATTCACCATTATTTGATATTAAAGAGATATTGACAATAGATTGATCATTTCCAAAATGACCATATCCATTTAATCCAATTCCATTACATTTGAAAATAAATGACGATAAATTTGAATTTGAATCTTCTTCTTTTGGTTTGGGAGGTAGATAAAAATCAAAGGATTTTGAAAACTCAAACAATGAGAATGTAATATTTGCATGACCACTTGAATATTTTAGTATTTGGCATTTGATAAGGCTAGTGGTGGCAACCATGATATGACACAAACTAGTTTGGTTGATTAAAATAGATGGTAGATCTAGTTGATTGGTTTGGAATGAACCAACAAATTCAATGGTTGATAATGTTGCATTGATATGAATATCTTTTATAAAAATACTACTCTCTATCTTTCCATTTATTATTGTACAATCAAAAAATAGAATGACTAAAACTACAAATATTATTTTCATATTATTATTATTATTTAAAAAGAATAAGATAGAACTTTAATTATTCATTGTAAATCAGGCTCATTCATAAATAATAAATAATAAATAATAAATAATAAATAATAAATAATAAATGATCTTACTATTTAGTTTATATCATTTGGCAAACCATAGTACTTTAGTTGGATAACTTTCATTCTCCATTCATATAACCTTTTAATATGTAGATTTTAAAAACAATATAAAAATATATATATATATATATATATATACTCGAACCAAACCTAAAAAAGGAATAAAACAAATACTTATTCATGGGTGTTTCTTTTTTGAACAACAAACAAAAACGAAAAAATAAAAATAATTAAAAATTTATCTTCTTGCTTTTTTGTTTATCACAACTCTGCTTGCTAGATTGATTATTAAAAAAACAGAGAGGAGAAACAAAGATAGAGAAAGAAAGCAAATATTATATGTATTGTATAGTAGATAGATAATCAGTAATTATATATATATATATTTAGAACTTTCAACATACCTAGCAAACAAATAAATATTTATTAGAATCAGAGAGAGAGGAGATTACAGTAATAGTAGTCGATACGTACGAGACATACTTTTGTATTGTACTATAGTAGTACCCTTCTTGTTTTCCTCTTCTTTTTAAAATGGGTAATTTTAAGAGTAAGAATTCTCATCAGAGAGGAGGATCGTATGGAGGTGACCATGTTCTTCAACAAAACAACAACAACAACAATGGTGTTATGAATGGTGGAAGTGGTCATCTCCTACAACTCAATGATATGATGATGTTGGAGAATCAGTTAACGTCACACGTCGGTGTAGTCGATTCGTCCGATGTTGCAAACGAACTAGCCGACTTGAGCAATTCGCATGGCTCCACCACCAACACCACTCACAATAACGCTCAACAGTTGTCTGGATCGTACGGTAAACTCTACCAACAACATATCGTACATCCAGGCATCACACCGGGAACAGCAAGTAATGGTAATGGTAACGGAAACGGAAATACATCTGGTAGTAGTAATGGAGGTGGAAGTAACAATGGTTCAAAGATATTTGGTAATCAACAACAACAACAACAAACTACGCAACAACAACAAATACCCTCACTTCATACATTCAATTATACATATAATCCCGATGACAAGAGTGGAGTCAATTCACAATTACTTAAACTAATGATGAAAAAGACTGGTGCCGAGTTGGTCTACCATCTACTCGATGGCGGACCATTACTATTGATTGACTTTTTACAATATCTTCGTGATCAGTTGGGTCACAATTCGATCGATATTCACACCTTTATCGACAAGATCAATCATGTCTTTTATCTGTCTGACAACTTTGCCATCACCAAACTCTATCTTGCATCCATCTCTAAACGACGTGCATGTCAATGTGTTTGGGGTCCAAACTCTATGTTTTATAGATGTAAAACATGTGCACTATCTCCAAATAGTTCAATTTGTAAGTGTTTACAAAGAAAATAGAGACAACTTGAAACTAATCAAAATATATATTTTTATATTTATTATTTATTTCCTAGGTTATGAATGTTTTAGAAATGGTCCACATGAAAAGGAGAAGCATGATTTCTCGACGAGTTTTGCAAGTTATGGAGGTTCTTGTGATTGTGGATCGGGTGATAGTTGGAAAGAAGAGGGTTTTTGTTCAAATCATTCACATACTGGGCCTGACGAGGACCCAACGAAAAATATGAAGCCAGAGTTGTTGTTATCTACTCATCTGGTCATTCGAAGCGTACTATTGTTATTGTTGGAAATGAATCAATTACATCTCCCCAAAATACCATCCCTCACCATTAAAGAAATATTAAATATCAAAGATCAAACATCTTTTGATAACCTTGAAACTACTTCAACAACTTCAACTACTTCAACTACATCAACGACAAATAATAGTAGTAAATCATCATCATCATCATCATCATCAACATCACCAACTTCACAACATGCGACAAGCAGTTGGGCATTATTTAACGATACGATTACAGAATCATATTCATTGGATTTATTGGATTGGTTGGATCAAATCTCAAAGATTGGTCGATCCATTTCACATGTTTTGGCAGAAGAGTTGTGTTATCAGACGTTGAACCCTGCAAACTTGTCACTGGATAATATCCGACCACTCAAGTTTACCACCAACAAGGATATAACAAAATGGCCGTTGCCAGCAGCTTTTATGCCACCTCTTCCACACTTGGTGTTGATCGACAGGGCAGAGATTAGAACTAAACTAGTGTTCCTCCTCTTGTACATTCTCTGCGAACATTCATTTAAATTTGGCTTTTTCCAAAGCTATATTCGTATCTATCCACGTTTGGTAAAGATGACGTCGATTGAAACATTGTACAGATTTTCACCACAGGTGTTTTCAGCATCACCCATTGTCAACCTCTTTACACGAAACTATAGTCCAAGTCTTTTGGACATGCTCTTTGACACAACTATTGCCACATTGGGTGAAGCATCACTCAACAAGCACCAGATTGCTGTCATCTCCGATATCAAAACAATCGTTCAACACCCCAACGTTGCACATGTCATCCTTTTTGAACGTCGTGCACAACTTTTGGCAAAATGGTGTCATATACTTCGTATCATCCAAGGAATGGATTCCATGAAACGTATCAAAACTCAACATTTAGAATATGATCAAGATGATTGGTTATATGCTTTTCAACTTGACTCTGAAATTCGTGATATTTCAAAAGATATGATTTCAACAATTACAGATAAAGGTATAAAAAAAAAAAAAGAAAACAAAAAGAAAAGAAATATAATATAATAACTAATTTAATTTTCTTTTAGTTTCATTGGAAGAAGTAAAAAGTTTAATTTTATTTATTTCAAGACAATTGGTTGGAGTTGAAGGACCCTATACATCTGAATATTTTGGTGTTAGTGTATCAGAATCCAACTTGTTTGATGGTAGCAAACCAGTTAGTTTAATATTACCATTGAATAGGTTCTATGGATTATTGTTACAGAAAGCAATGTCACTCTATCCAAACGAAACAACTCTCAAACAATTAGTACCCGATTCTATTAATCCCTTCAAAATCATAATGCCATTCCTCTTGGTTCAATGTTTTATTCATCAAGTAAATAATTCCTATTGGGTTAGAAATTCTGATGCAACAGTCAGAAGAAAATCTTATCTTTATTTATTATTCTTTTTAGAAATTGATTTATCAATTATTCAATTATGTATGTAAAATGAAAAAAATTAAATAATAATATATGTATTAATATTTTATTTTTAATTTTTTTAGTATTATCATTGGTAAATGTAAATGAATTTTTAATATTTTGTTCAAAAGAATTTGGAGCCTATTTACCAGTTGTATTAAGAAATAATAGTGATGAAAACAATCATAGATTCCATCATTATTTGAAATTTGCAATTCAATTATATCAAGAACGTTATGCAATCAATGACAATGCAGAATATGTAAAGAATTCTCTCATTCATTTACTTTGTACAAATTCAAAAACTCATAGCAAAGTAAATATATACAAACAAAAACAAACAAACAAAATGATCATTTTGTTAATTATTTTTTATTTTTAAATTTTTTTTAGATTGAATCAGTAAGGACACATTTAGATAAAACATCATTATATGAAACAATGCTAACAGAGATTGCAGATGAACAACCAGCATCTGGTGAACATCCAGCAACCTACAAGATGAAGGCAAAGTTTTGGAAACTTTTCAATCCATACTATCCATTGTTTACACCATTGGTCGCTGAAGATTCGATAACCAGTTATTTAGAGTATAAAAAGAGCAACAAGATGACCAACGTGGAATCACTTCCTCCTCCACCACCTCTTATCAAATTGGAAAAGCAATACTCGGCAGTACACGAAATCATCCACTCCGATTATCTATTCTACACCATCCTATCACTCTTGTCTCAGTTTGTAGAGTCTCCTGACCCCGATGTCACCGAAGTCATGTACTCTGTCAATGAATGTTTATATTTAATCGATCTATCAATTCAACATTGTAAACCTTTACCCATAGCAAATCAACAAGAAGAACAAGTAAATCTGGATGTAGATAATAATAATAATAATCTTGTTGTTGGAAAATTAGATTGGGATTTATTAATGAAACCAAGACAAACAGTTGGAAGTTATAATCACTCTATATTATGTATACTTCAAAAATATACATTATTTAGAGGTAAACAACCATCAACTACATCGATATTACAAATATTGATAGATTTGTTGACAAAGTCACACACCAACAATATCTATTTGGACAAGAGAGAATTGTTGGAAAAGGCAGTTGACGGACTCTGTTTGTATAGTCCAGATATTGAAAAGGAGGTTCTCTTCCTCTACCCAACCTACAAAAAGTCGATCAATGACGACGAGGCCGATCAAAAGTCCAAGGACAAGTTAAAGAGTGCCAAACAACGTCAGGCAGAGATTATGGCCAAGTTTATGCAACAGCAAAACAAGTTCCTTCAACAAACCACCGAGGATACCACCGACGACCAAGATGAATACATGCAGACTGACAAGGACGGATCGACCATTGGTGTAAAATGTGAAAGCGAGGCATCTTGTGTCTTGTGTCTCAAAGGTCACTATTCGAGAAGAGATCCTCTCTCGATGATTGCTTTGTACCAATGTTCTACACTCATTTCGTTTAGCAAGATACCCGTCTTGGCCAACCTCAACCCCAATCTCAAGAAACATCTCAAGACCTATCTCAAATACATATCGTTCCCACCACAAAAAGCTACTATCGATTCTCTAAACTACACATCATCCTTTCACTTTAGAGTATGTGGTCATTACATACACAGTGAATGTTTCCATCAATATTCAAATGCACTGCTTCAAAAAGCTGCACAAAATGATAATTTTGAAGGTGACCATATCATTCGTCCACTCAATGGAGAATTTCTATGTCCAATGTGTAGAAGAATTTCAAATATTGTTATTCCAGTCGATCACAACTCATTGATGACTAATAGTACTGGTGTCAATAGTAGTATTGGAAGTGGATCAGAAACTCCAAATAATATTGATCATTTGACACCATCTACGAATCATGAAACCAACAACAATAGTATTAATAGTAGTCCATTAACTTTACAATCATCAAATGTTTCATCTTCATTGGCAATCAATTCTTTATCTACCTCTACGACGACGAATAATAATAATAATAATGTTAATTATAGTTCAACACCTACAACTGCATCACCAATGATTTCAGATGATGCAAAGAATCAATTAAAATCATGGTTCCACTTTATATCACAGAAATCAAAATCATCTACCAACAACACATCAACATCATCATCAAAACGTAGAGATAATTTAGAATTTTTCAACTCTCTCAACAAGATTGCATTCAAGGGAGGTAATGTAGATAGTATTTCACCCTACTTTTTGTGTCAATTGGTTGCAAGAAACATAGAGTTTTTAGAGATTGCCACAAGAGAAATTCAACAACCTCACCAGCCACCAGCAAACAATGCCCCCATGTTTTGCATTGGTAATGATATCTTTCAGAGAGATATCTTGACCATCAAGCTATTGTACAAAAACATCAAAGACTATATCCAACACCACAATGAATCCAAGCATAGAGATATGGTGATTGACCTCTTTAAGGGTAAATCAGAACCAATTCTATCAATCGATCCATTCTGTGCATTCATTTTATTTATCCTCATTCTAGATGATCCAAATTCAATCGATATCGAATTTGTCACCAAAATTTCAATTGATCTATTTATTACTCAATTTATTATTACTAAAATTTATTCAATTGGTAAGTAAAAAAAAAAAAAAAAAGAAACAAACAAACAAAGAGTATTTATTTATTTGTTTCTTTTTTATTTTTATTTAGAAAAAGAAAAAAAGAAAAAAATATCATTAGTTCAAATGGTAATTGAATTCTTGACAAAAGGTATTGATGAACAAATATTAGAGGAATTGGAAAAAGATATTGCACCATTTTTAAGAAGTATATGTTTGGCGTATCACTGTTTCTTTGGAGCATCATCAGGATTGACCAATATGCAACAAGATGTAACACGTGAAGACTTGTTGATAAAGTTAAAGTTATTCAAGTGGTTGGACATTGAGTCTATCGAGAGTCTTGTATCTCGTCAGGCTAGAACCAATGTATTACTAGGTGGATGGATCACGCAATTAGAGAGAAACTGTTCCATCTCTCCCTTTTTCGTGACTGAACCACGTCGACCCACTTTTATCGACCTTCCCAACGTCTACCACGACATCTTTATAAAGTATCTCAACGTGCCATGCTCCACGTGCAAATCAGTACCAAGCAAGAGTGCCATTTGTCTGCTCTGCGGTCACTTGATCTGTGTCGACGGCAACTGCTGCGTGGTCAATGGTATGCGTGAGAGTGCCAAGCATACACGTGTCTGTGGCATCTATCGTATTGGCGTGTTCCTCGGCACTAAAAACCCATCGGTTGTTCTCATCCGTGACCATCGTATGAGTGTCATGTCCAACGCCTACTTAGATCAATATGGCGAACCAGACTCGACCCTTGATCGTGGTAAACCTCTTCTTCGAAGTGACCACAATCTCCAAGACCTTTGGTCATCTTGGATCTCTCATTCTATCGATGAAAAATATAACTCAAATTGTGATCTTAGAGGAAGAGAATATTAATAATAATAATAATAATATTAAAAATAGAAACTATTCCAACTCCCTCCCCAAAACAATAATAACAAACAAACATATGTTTAGTAATTGGCCACAACAACCAATAATAATTAATAATAATAATCTAGCTAGACATTGTCTCTTCCCCAACTCCATCTACTCCCATCCCCAACATTCTCTCTTTCTAAAAAGTTAAACTAAAAAAAACAAGATCTATTATATTTTTTTGTATCAAAAATAATATTAATAAATTTACAATATTTTAAAATTAATTAAATACATATGGATGGAAGACATTTTATGATTAACCAAATAAATAGAAGAAATGAAATTATCCTTTCTTATATACATTTATTTTCAAGGATTCCATTTCGAAATGGTAAATATCTGGTGGGGGGTGTTTAGCATCCTCTTTTGCATGTTTCCATGCAAGCCCAATGCATTGGTGGACATATTGAACAACAAGTTTGAGCAGTTGCATAATCGACTAAACAAAGAAGAGCTACCAATACTAAAATTAAAATGATTAAAAATTTGGTGTCCATCTTGAAAAAAATAATAATAATGTTTAGATTAATTAAATTATTATTTAATAAATATTAAGAATTGATACTATACTTTTTTTTTTTGGTGAGATTGTGTTGATTCAAGAATAAATCTTCTTAAGAGTAAATTATTTGTTTGTTTAGTATTTATTTGTGGGTGGAGTAAAGAAAGAAAATTTGGGAAGGGTTCTTAAATACCCTCTTTGTCACTTCTATCAGATTAAAAACAAATAACTCATTGGAAGCAATCAATAAATGGAAATAGATAATTTATTTTCCCAATTTAAAATGACCAAAAATGATGACTTGAAATCTGTTGGAAAATTAAAAAAATTTTAAAACAACCCAAACTTTCCTATCCAATTAAATAAATAGAAATAATATTATATAATTATTTAATTGATTTTATCTTTTGAAAATTTTGTTTAAAATTTCAAACAATATCTATTTTAAAAATAGATGCAATTATTTGAACAACAAATATCCTGTGTTTTTTTGAAATTGATTTGTTGAACAGGCACCACAAAATTTGTGTGATGGGTGCCTCATCGACTTCCAACCACCCCCCATCGCACAATGACCATCAATCTTTGTCGCGATAAAACTTTTACACAACAAGGTAACAGATAAAGTAGAGATAGAGAGAATGAAAAATATATTTATTCTTTTATTTATTTTGATAACACTGTATATTGGTTGTATGTAACAAGTTTGTGCACAATTACATTGATAGAATGATGAAAATTTAAGAAGAGTCAACAATATAATTAATTAAATTTAATTTAATTTTACAATATCTAATAATAATAATAGATAGTAAAGGGGCATGCCCAGGGATTCCAACAGAATGTACAGGTAGAGGAACATGTAATGGTACTGAATGCACATGTAATTCACCTTGGACATTTTCTGATTGTACAGATTTATTACCACAATTTGTCAATACTTCAAACACTGGTCTTTCTTTTGGTGGGTTGGCTGTCAAGGTTGGATTCTATATTAAAGATGTTGATTATTTCGGAGTCACCCGTAATTTCTTTACATTGTCACTTGACACGATGACTTTGTTATCCAACTCGTCTTCATCCAATTACACTGAATCTTTGTACTCTGCCACTATAGTGTCTACTACTACTCCTATAAACACCGGATTAGTTCAAGTAGCAGTTAGAAAATACACACAAGATACTGTTGTCTTCACAGCTAGAGGTACCACTGAAAACTATGTCATCTCCAAAAACACAGTCTCCTATGTCTTGTCATTTAGTGGTTACCAAACACTATCTTCAACCAATTACTTTAGAGTCAATGTATTTGCTATGATTGACTCGGGTGTTGCCATCTCCAATCCAATATCCTCTTATGATATTGAATCTGGTTCAATATATTCCTATAAATGGGCAAATATGACACCTGTAACCACCACAACGAATGGAGCATCACTTACTTTTCGTGCAATTAGTATTGGTGTCACTGGAAATGATCCTCTTTCCCAATACTCACCAACATTATTTGACTATTCCCCATCGTCCTCACAAGCACCATCCACCTCTTTTGTCTATGCTAGATATATCTATTCAGTTAAAGAAGATGTCAATTCATCAATCTCATTTGATTTTAGTATTATTGGTAGTGGTAGCTCAAGTACAACTACTGATTCAACCTCTGCCACCACCACCACATCAACTACAACAGACTCCACATCTACCACTAGCACAACGACTGGATCATCCACTAATTCAACTGGTTCAACTACAACGAGTACAACTACTGGATCAACAACAACAACTAATGGTAAAGATCCAAGTACATCATCACATTTGAATCCATTCACACCTGTACTATTTATTTTATCATTCATCGTTTCACTTTTAATTATTTAGAGTCAAAAATATTAATCTTTGACAAAGAATCACCCAAATAAATAATTGTAATATTTATATTTATATTTACCGAATTATTTATTTATTTAAAAGACACCAGAAGCTTGTGGTTGAAGATTAATTTTACCTTTGATTTGAGTGGATAGGACAACTTGGTTGGTGTTGAGATCGACGGTGGTGATAAATAATTCTTTGTTTGACGAGGTGAGAATGACAAAGTAATTGTCGCTAAACCAAAGTTGGAGAGAATTCATCATACCGGTGTTTGGAATATGGAAAGATTGGGTGGCAGTAGCCTCCTGTACATCCATGAGGAACAATGTCATTTCCTTTGGAGCCATGGTATTGTAGACTACAGTGTAGACTTGTTTGTTGGCACAGTAGAGATAGGTATCAGAGTTGGCTGGAATACCAGTGACATTTAAAGATTCGTGTTGTTGATTGTCGGCAAATGAATAGTAACCCAATTCAAATTGACTATAGTCCTTGTCAGTGATATCCATGATATAATAGTTGTTGACACCATCAAAGCAACCGTTTGGTGGATTGACATCTGGCATGGTTAAATTTAGGGCGCTGGTTGAAGAATTGGCAAAATCATAGATAAACATGCCCGGACCTTGAGTATTGGAGGCACTTGTGACAAGGTAGACTGCATTACGAGTGCTATCATATTGCAGCGAGGTAGCATACCATTCATAATCTGCAAGAATAGGTCCAACATAGCTTGGTCCAGTTACCAACTTTCCAGCTTGTGATATAGTTATAATTCCATATGCATCACGTGGATTCATTGCTAATAATAGGAACTAAATATCAATCAAATAAAAAGATAGATAGATAGATAGATAGATAGATAGATAGATAGATAGATAGATAGATAGATAGATAGATAGATAGATAGATAGATAGATAGATAGATAGATAGATAGATAGATAGATATTAGTATTTTTATACATCTTTATTATTTTTTGTTTAATAAACTATACATACATTTTGATTTGAATCAACACCAAGGAATTTAATTAAAGTAATATCATGTTGAAATTTAATTGGGAGTACAGATTTGGTGGCTACTCCAGATGCAATGTTGACAACAGTCATTTCAATCTTGTTGTTTGCATTGACTGAATACAAGTAGAGATTGCTTGGTCCAAGAGATGTTGCAGACACAACATAGTAGATACTCTATAATGTATAATATAATATAATGAGAATGTTTGTTAATATATAGATTGAAGATTGAAAAAGCAATGTCGTCACTTTTACTTACACATGCAACTACAAATAATAATATAAGCTTTAAATTCATTATTTGTTTGTTCGTTCTTTTTAAAACTAATGACCCAAACACAAACAGATGTTGGTATTGGAGGGTTACTACTAAATATGATTTAAAGGGTATTTCAACCCCTCTTAATTAAAATCTGTAAAGAAAAAGTGACGAAAGAAATAAATATCCTATTGATCAAGATCTTTTGATTGGTCTGTCCAAGAATGTCTCCGAGTATGAAAAAAAATCATGTTTCTATCAAGACATTCTCAGCTTTCTAAACTTTCATTCATTCGTCTATCTATCTAACTCTACAACAGATAAGATAGTAATCTATATCTAGAGATAATATATTCAAGAAAATAAGAACAAACAAAAAGAGTGAGAGTGAAGTGACCTGAATACTCTTTTGATGATTATTATTGAAAGGGGTGACCACCCCATTATTTGTTATTATAATTTCTGGTAGTTGAGGAACCACCACGAATAAAATTTTAATAGTTCCATTGTTGTTCTTCATGAAATAGCTAAATATCTCTCTAATAATAATAATAATAATAATAATTGTCAGAATAATAAATGAATATTTGAATGAATGGACAAATGCGGTGGATGGTGTTGTGGACATGCATGTTGGATGTAAAATATCTTTGATTCGAAATAAAAGAAGCTTGATAGTTTACTGTTAACTGAATTCCTAGGTCAAAGGGTACCCTTCGATCGTTTTCCCTGGGTTACAAGATCATGATCGAAATCACATCGTCGAGTCGCGACTGTATGTCTGTCACATAATCAAATCATTATCGTAATCTGTAAATAACATAAATATTACAAGACAAGAGTTATCAGCAAACTATAGTTTAGTAAACAACAACAACAACAACAACACAACAACAACAACAACAACATCTGACTTTCTTTATTTCTCTCTCTCACACTCTTTTATATATATTAGATACAGTAAAATGAATATACGAGTGTTATTATTATTACTTGTTTGTTTATTTTCAATAGCAACAATATCAGCCGATCAAAATGATGATGATCAATATCAAGTAATTCAATTCAATGTTAATCAAGATTGTAGTACTTCTCAATGTAGATATGGTGATGCGTCGAATTGGGTAGGTGGTCAAGTACCCAATTCACCTAAACAAATGGCTTTGATCGACTTTACAAGTCAACCATCAAACGCTGGTACTATTTTGATTGAATCTGACCTTGCTGTCGGTGCCATCAATCTTACCTCTACTTCGACTGCACCTGCTGTTTTATCGGTATTGGTTGTCATTCCAGAGATCATATCGATCAAGGTTGAAACTATCACACTTGGTTCATCGCAACTTGTACTCAGTGCTGGAGTCATTGCCAGCATTGTTACACTCAATGTCAATGGTTTGGAGAGTGGAGTGCATATTGGACAGGGATCCTTTTTGACAGTGGATACTGCCTCGTTCCACCAATCCAACATCACGTTACAAACAAACGCCAACTTTGAGGTGCTTAATGAAGGTCTGAGTATGATCGATTGTACAGTGTACGCAGACGTCTATTCACAGCTCGAGATTACCGGCACCCAGCCAAGCAACTTGACCAATGTCCAAGCAACTATCATGGGTGACTTGACAGTTTTGGGTCACCTCGTCGTTCAATCGTCGCTTTTACAACTCTATTCGCTCGAGTCGTCGCTTGGATGGTTGACCATCTCCTACTCGACTGTCGAGACACAAGGTAATGTGACTGTCGAGCAGGGTGTTGAACTGTACGCATCCAACTGGATGTCGGCCTATGACCCAAACAACAATACTACTACTACCCCAACAATCGTATTCATCAACCATATGGAGACACAGGGTGGATCGGTTGTTGTCCTCGACCAGTTGTACGCGGCCGTCTTTAACAGCAGTGACTTCACCGGGCATTTGGTGGCGTCGGCATGCACCAATGTCGTGTTGAACCATTGCTACGTACAAGTATTCACATTTGAAGGTGTCGTCCCGACCACACTCTCCAGCTACAACTCGATCATCAGTAATATGAATGGAGACAATGCTACTGCTCCAACACACATAGCCTACCAAGGATACAACGAACTGCATTCTGCCAACAGCATGAGTTTCTCTCAACTCGGTCTTGTCCTTCTCAACGCATCCACACTTAATCTAACAGGTGGTATTGTCGAGATTGAAGGTGGCTATTCTTATATTGCACTCACCGACGACTCTACCTTGGCTGCCACCAACATTGATCTCACCACTACACTAATCGTATCAGAGGCATCCAACTCTACCATCATCCTTCAAGATGGTGTAGTCACTGCCAGTAAGATCATCCTCTCCAATACCAATGTCCAGTTGGGCGGTCTCCAAATCAACGGTGATTTAACCATCACCTCTTGCAATGTGACGATATCCGACAATCTACATATCAACGGTAGTTACTTTGCCGACACGACCAGTCAATTCAACATCCTCTATCCCTACACCCTACCAACCAGTATCTATGGCCCCATTGTCACTGTAAGTGATGCCTTTTTAGCCAACACATTTTCATTTGGTCTTTCACCCAATAGTGACTCTGGAAGTATTCCAATCATCACTGTCAACACTCCATACTATCTCCTCAGTTCATCTCAACCCCTCACTACCTATTCACTATCCTTTACAACCCCAACCTTTACATCTCTATCACCTATTTTCCAAACTGCTCAAATTGGTAACAATTATTATATCATTGTTGCTTTTAGTTAAAATTATTTAAATAATAATTAATTAAATAAAAGATAAAGGAAATTAAATATAAGACATTAATTCTATTATTATTATTATTATTATTTTCATCCAAAAAATTTAATTGATTTTTGGAGGGTTGTGAAAATCAGCAATCGGAACTCTGTGTTATTTTAATTGATTATATTTAATCGTAATGAATAATTATTCATTCTTTAAAGATAAAGAAAGAAAAAGTAGAAAGAGAAAGAGAGAGATGAGAATCAAATAATAATATAGATAAAAAAAGATTATCGAGATGAAAAGGTAATAGAAAATTAAATTCCTATGCAAAGAGGTATCAATATTAGTTCCCAAAACCAACGCTTTCAAGAGTGATCACATAGACAAGTTATTTCGGGTCGACCCGAATATCTAACAGGATCACTATACACTGGAATAATCTTATTCTTTATTCCCAAGGTTGAAAACGACTACTGGTGACCAAGCTCGTCACTTTAGAGATTTCTTGATCGAAACGTGCGTCTTTTTGAAAACGAGCTCGTAAATCATTCTGACAAACCAACGAAATCAAAGGAAAACGTTACATTACTCGAGTTATTGAGAGGTAAGTCTGCTGCGAAGCATGGTCCTTATATTATATTTTATTTAACTCATTTAATTCTCAATCATATAGGTAGGCATCAGAGGCGGTGATCACTTAAACTATATAAATACGCATTTAGATCATTATTGTTGTTTAAAAAGTAAAAAAAGAAGAATATTTATTTATATTTCTATAGAATGAATAAATCAATATTATCAATAATAGTATCAGTGTTGACCATTATCGGTTTGGTATCGGCACAAAATTATCAAGTCGTTAGATTCGATGCAAGCAAAGATTGTAGTCAACAAGAATGCAGTTATTTTGACGCAACCAATTGGATTGGTGGTATCGTCCCACAATCACCCAATCAAGCTGCCGTCATTGACTATTCATTGCAACCAGGTAATGCTGGAACCATCACCATTGAGGGTAACCTTGCTGTTGGATCGATCAACGTTTCATCGCATGCATCTGTTTTGCCTGCCTATTTGGTGATTTCAGCTGTTGTCAAGACCGACAGTATCAACCTCTCGGCCGCCCAGTTGATTGCCGACGTTTCCAGTATCTCGGTTGGATCTCTCACCTCTACCCAGGGATCGACCATTCTCGTCGGTCCAGGCGCCATCCTCAACGCCGAAATTGCCAACATCCAAGAATCCAACATCACCATCTCAGAGAATGGTAACTTTTTGGTGACTGGTGCATCTGCCTATATCGCCGACAGCACATTGGGTGCCGACGAATACTCGTACTTTGAATTGTCTGCTACCACCAGCAACCTTGTTCGTGTCAACCAAGATTATGTCTCCAAGTCGTTCTTGATCGCCTCTGGCTCCATCATCTTTACTACCTGTGACTTGGCATTCTCGCGTATCAGTGTAGCTGGCACGCTCACCCTCGCCAGCCAGTCGACCATCTCCACCTACTCAAACAGCTCGGTCACCGGCACACTCTTGATCACCCAATACTCGTCGTACACGGCCACCAACCAAGGCGACATGATCTTTGTCCACCTCGCCAACATCAAGGTCCAACCAGGCGCCACCCTCCTCCTCACCGACGTCTACTACACCGAGATCGACAACGGCGTACTTACCGGTCGTGTCACTGTCGACTCTTGTTCATTTGTCGACTTTAAACAATCACAAGTTCAAAACCTCGTCGTCTTGAATGCACCACCCTCCAATTTCTATGTCCAAGACACCATCATCCTCAACGTTGACGCCAGCCAAATCTCAGGCCCACAAGTATACATGGAGTTTGTCGGCTACACCGAAGTCCACGGTCTCCAAACCCAAGCTGCTTCAGTTGTCAACTTTGTCGTCTCCAACTCATCCACTCTCAGACTCACTGGCACCTACCCAATCACAGCTGCCGGTCTCCAATCCTACATTCTCGTCCAAGACAACGGCACCTTGATTGCCAACGACATCAACCTCCAAACCACCCAAATCATCACTAACCCAAAGATCAACCAAGCCAGCATCACCCTCGGCGAAGGTATTGCATCGTCCAACGTCGTACTCCAAAACACCAACCTCCAAGTTGGTGGCATTCAAATCAACGGTAACCTTAGCGTCAGCAACACCTCTATCACTGCCTTTGACAATGTCCGTCTCAACGGTAGTGTTCAAGGTATCCAAGGCAGTCAATTGGCTATCCTCTACCCATACGACTTACCAACCAGCTCGTACAGCACCATCTTTACAGTATCTGGTTCCATCGTTGTCGACTATATTGCCTTTGGTCTTGCCAAAAACCCAGCTGGTTTCACACCATCCATTGTCAGTGGTTCAGTATACTACCTCTACAGTTCACCACAACCAATCACTACCACCTGTCAATTCACTACTCCATCTGTCACCACCCTCAAACCAACTTTCAGAATTATTCAAGCCTATAAAATTAATTATCTTACTGTTACTTTTAATTAAAAACAAATAACAAACAAATAACAAACAAATAATATAATATAATAGATAAATATGATGAGGAATATTTATAATAATAATAATAATATTTATAAATATCAATACACACCTTTGCAAACTCAATCACCAAATTTAAACAACAACAAATCAACCAACCAACAATAAAAAATTAAATAATCATTTATAATTATTTGATTCAAACGTCAACCCTCCCTAATATTCATACCATTGTAAATAAACTAAGAATAAATTCTTATTACTGTTCTTTAAAACATACATACATACGAATACCATTCGATATTACTTTTTGGTTTCTGGACAGACTATATTTTTTTTTTATTAGTTTGAACTTCAATCATTGTTGTTACAATCAAGAGAGAGAAAGAGTAGAGAGTAGAGAGAGAGATGAATGTAAAGTTCTCAACACAAAGGTTTCCTCATAATCGTAGGTAGATGTTATTATTATTGTTGATAGTAGTAGTCGATCTAGAGGTAGTTACTAACATACATTATAATCATCATATTGATCAACTAAATAGCTTCAATTAAAGATGCTAGTGGAACTATTTGGGTAAATATCTGTACAGAATGAATCAAGATAGAGAGAGAGAGAGAGAGAGATGGACTTTTAAAACTGACAATAAGCTTGTTATATTAGGGATGTGTAGTACAACCATTTAGAAATAATTATAGATGTAATGAAAATGCAAAGAATATTGATAGATGTAAAAAGTGTCTTGGTTATATCAATCCATTTGTTACTTTTGAAAAGTCTACTTGGATATGTAATCTATGTAAACATGCCAATCATATAAGTGATGATGACAACGAGGATACTTCATTCAAGTATGCAGATGTAGATCAAAGAAATATCTACCCTGAATTGACAAACTCAAATTTGGTATTACAAGTGGATCAAGAGGATGACGATGAGGATCAAGACAATCTATCTGATTCAATTTACAACAATAATCCTACCTATATTGCATTGGTAGATATATCTGGTAACAATGAACAAATGGAAGTTATTAAAAGTGGTCTTGAAGCTTTAGTACATGGTATGTAAAGAAGAAGAAGTTAAATGTGAATGTGGTCTCTTCAAACAACAACAACAAATACTTATTATTATTATTATTCGATTTTAAAGCATTACCTGATAATTCATTATTTGGAATGATAGTATATTCATACAAAATTGGAATATTTAATTTAAATTGTTCTTCACCATCTATCAAATATCTTGATGCAATCTCCTCCTTTAATAATGATATTAGTTTAAATGATATTTTACCAATCTCTGGATTCCTTGTAAATGTATGTTTATAATAATAATATATTATATTATATGTATATATTAATAATTTCCTCTCTTTTAGAAATCAAAACATGAATCAAATATAATGAGTGCCATATCAATATTATCAGATATAGATTCTACTATTAATCGTAAAAAAGGTGGAAGCATTAGAGCTTTGGGTCCTACCATATCACTTTTATTAAATTATTTACAATCTTCAAATCTTTCTCTACATGGTATGCGCAAATACAACAATTTAAACAAATATTAAAAAAAGTGATTACTCTTACTTACACTTTTATGTATTTAGTTAAAATTGGAATATTTATGGCAGGTAAACCATCAGTTGGGGAAGGATCTATAGATAAAGAATATAATACTGTAGACTCTATGTATAGTAGTTTTTCATCAAAAGATTTCTTGAAACCATCATCAAACACTTACAAATTGCTTGCTGAAAAGGCAATTCAAGTTGGTTCTCATTTCGATATCTATGCAATTGGATCAACTTATTTTGGTTTTGATACAATTAAATATTTATGTACAATCACTGGTGGTAACCTTTACAGATATACAAATATAACTTCAACTTGTCCTCTTCCTCAAGATATGTAAGTCAAAAAAAAAAAAAAAGAAAATATAATATATTTATTCATTAAATTAAATCATTTTTATTTTCTGTGTTTTAGATATAAATTAGTTTCAAATGGATGGGGATTTCATGGATTATTAAGAATTAGAACTAGTAGAAATTATAGTGTTGATAGTTGTTTTGGTAATTTATTACAATCAAAAACCTACAAGGATTTATATCACATTGAATCATGTTCAACCTTTACAAGTATCGCTTTTGATTTCAAATTTACCGATCCATCTGCATTTGAAGGTGGTGAAAATCAACCATTTATTCAAATTGCATTCTCCTATACCTATTTGCCACCAGTCGTCGAATCATCAACCGACTTGTATTCATCATCGCCATCCCTAATGGTACAAGACTCTGCCGATAGAGTTAAAAGTAATTTTAGAACATTGGAAAGAAGACTTCATGTTTTTACAGCACCAATTCATGTTGCAGACTCACCAGTAGATCTATTTAATAATATTGATTTAGAAACTACTATTTGTTTATTAACTCATAAAGTAAGAAAAAAAAAAAAAGAAAATAGTATGTAGATTTTAATTTTAATTATTTGTTTTTTTAGATTATAAAAGAATCATTAGAAAAAGGGATAAAAGAATCAAGATTATTATTATTAGGATGGTTAAGTAATTTTATTACAAGATATAATGAAAATGTTGTTATTTTATCGTCTGTTAAAAGTTCGGTTGATCTATCGTTTGGTCAAACACCACATCTCAAACCATTACCTCGATATGTTTTTGCCTTGCTAAAAGGAAAGTTACTAAAGACTATTCACAAGTCAATGGAAGAAGATGTATTGGAAAAGAGATCGGACGATTGGATTTACACACAGGTTGTATATTCATCACTCGATCAAAAAATGTTACACCGAGCAATTTATCCTGTGTTGAGTACATATGGAGCACCCAACAATTTAGCGTCAAAATATCTCACACTGTCAACCACCACCATCACATCCAATATCTCACACATCTATCTATTGGATGCATACGACACGTTGATGGTTTACTATGCCCCACAAGCAGTATCCAACATGTACATGTTCCCACCTCCACCTGACAGTCTCATTCGCCAAACCATCTCCAACAGCAAACAGGATAGACTCATTGTACCCTCTGTCGAATATACAAAGGGCCCACTTGAACAAGTTGGACAATTCCGACAATACCTAGTGGAGGATGAAAATACCGATGGTAACTCTTATATACAATTTATTAATTCTGTTGAAGAAGGTTTAAAGAAACTTTTATCTTCTACTCTTCATTAAAATAAAAAAAATAAAACTATAGATAGATAGATATGATAAGATAGATAGATATTTACAAATAATATTCTATAAAGGATTTGATTTATTTTTCATATGCAACGGTATGAGTATAAATATTGATAATAAAAGTAAGATAAAAACGACAAAACAGGTAATAGCTATTTTACTACTACCATTTCCATGTCTATTTTTTGATCCTAGTAAATAATTTAAAATGGTTCCAAACTGTTTTTTCTCTTTTTCTTCGTCAGTCATTGTGATTGGTATCCCTGGACCATTATTTTCTTCATCAATTGGAATTATTATTAATGATTCACCACTTTTTGATTGGAAATTGGAAATATTTGAATTTTGAATTATTATACAGTTATCATTATTATTATTATTATTATTAGAATTATTTAAATTATTATTAGTATTTTGTATATGATTAGTATTATTATTATTATTTAAATTATTATTATTATTATTATTAGTATTAATATTTATATTATTTTGATTATTTTGATTATTTTGATTTGATTGAATATTATTATCTATTTCAATCATTTTATTAAATTATTTGTTTGTATGTACATAGGTTGTGTTAATTAAAATAGAATTAAATTTTAAAGGGTGTGGATGGATGCTTATGCCTTACCACATCTTATGGATAACGAAAGGACACACAACCATTCACTTTAAAGTTGCTACCTTGAATTTTGCCTTTTCGTTGATTAAAATTTTAAAAACTTCACTTTTTTCGGATCAAGGCGGAATTCTCTCTCGTCTTCATCTAGAGAACTTCGATTGGAATTGTAATCAATTGATGACAGGGGCTGGTTCCTCCATTACATGAATGAGCTTACTTTCGTTCTTCATTCTCTTACCATGAAATAAAAAAGATAATTATAAATTATCTTATATATCTTTCTTTGTCTGCTTGTAAAAATACGATTGATAATCCCAAATAGATATTAATAGATTTTGATGAAAGCAACGAGAATGATGAAAAATAATAGTAGTATTATATCCCGAACACCAAAAAAAGAGAGAGAGAGAGATGTTTATATATCTCTCTCTTGTTCTACCATACAACAAATAATATTATTATTTGTAAATTATTTGATTGATTTTTTAAAAAAAAAAAGAGAAAAGAATGTATTTTATAGGTTTGTTTGTTAACTACTTAAGCACTAGAAGTAGTAGCAGTGGCCATTTCGGTATCATCCTTTGGTCTTAATCTTTTACCATTGTCAATTGGAATAACACTATCTTCGACAGAGTATGGCTTGACAAGTAATGATTTAACTCTCTTCTTGTGTGGTTTCGAAGAGGAATGAGTGTCCATGGCTGCTTGTGAAACGAAATACTTTGCACATGGTATACAATAAATTTGACCCATAGCTGGTTTATCTACATCGATCTCTTGCTTTTGTAACTTTTCTATTTTACCTGGTTGCATATCATCCCATATTTGATCGATATCTATAGATACACAGTAAAATATGTTAATTAACTTGTTCTATTTCATTCTTTATCTCTTTGTGTCTTGTTTTGTTTCTTTGTTTCTTCTTCTTCTCTTTCTTTTCACACAATTAAATTGATCGTGAGTCTTTGTTTTGTTGTGTTGCAATAAAATACCTTTCTTTCTATTTGCTGTTTTAGTAGCTCTATAATATGACTTATTTTTAGCGTGTCTTCCTCCTGAACCAATGAATCTTGCCATTTTATATATATATATTTACAAAGTATATGTTGTAGTAATAACGATTAATAATTAAAATAATTTTTTTGATTTTTCTCGTTCGTTTTTTGAGTTGGGTTTCATTTTGAATTTTGATGATTTATCGGACTATTTTCGTCTATTTATTATTTAATAATTAATTATTTCTATTCTCTAAAATGATATAGGGAGCAAAAGTAATTCTTTTATCTGAAAAGTAAGGGATATAGAAAGCTCTAGCCAAAGAGTTTGATTTACTAGCATCCAAGAATGGACGTGAATAGATGATTCTGAACTGGTCTTTTGAAAGTTTGTTGAGGTAACTGTTGTCTGGATTGTTATCAAAATCGACAATAAAACTACATTTGTTGATATCGTCAATGTAACGGTCCATCTCTTGTTGGTTTTGATCATTCATGTTGGTTGGGATGACCATCGTGCCATTTGGTTGCTGTGAGAATGGTTTGGGCAAGTGACCCTTAAACTCGGACTCTAGGAATGCCAAGTTGAAAGTGATCATTGGTTTGTTTGTCTTGGTTGAACGATCGTCTACTCTGTCATTTGGTAAAAAGAATTGGGATGGGAATCTGTACCATTCCTTGCCAACACAGACATTGACGTTGGAGCCGATACGAATGGTCTTGGGGAATTGAATGTCAGTGACATCACCAGCACGTAAAACATCGTCATAAAGGAATCCATATGCCTCGATTGACGCGTCATAGTTTCTAAAAGTTGCATAGATACGTGATACCGACAGAGCGATAAACAACAAGACAACAGCCTTGATGGAAAGATCGACCAAAAAGTTCAAGAGACCGAGGATGGTGAGTAGCAACGACGATTGACCAGCAGCAGTACTCTTTTTCTTTGATTCGTCATCTGTACTCTTTGTTGACAATCTCGATTGATATTTGTAGAGATCGGATATGAAATTAGCAACCAAGTAGAGAGTAACCGAAGCAGACAAACAAATAAATGGATAAATGACAAATAAAAATCTCTCCTCTTTGTGTGGCAAGTATGTCATAAATGAGAACCACATTACAAATGGTGACATTGCCAAAATCAATTTAAATAATGGTCTATTTGATAATACTCCTCTATTTGAATATAATATAATTATTAACTAAAATAATAGAAATAGAAATAGAAATAGAAATAGAAATAGAAATAGAAATAGAAATAGAAATAGAAATAGAAAGAAAGAAAGAAATATTATTATTATTAATACTTTGTCTCTCTTTTTTTTTTTCTTTTAACATACAGGAATAGATAATAAAGCAATGAAAAATATAACATTAAAGTTTACAAAACAATTAATAAAATAGAATTTCCAATCTTCAATACCATATAATTGAGAACCACCTTCATGATCAGAAGTGAAATTATAAAGGATGATATTCAAGATGGCAATAACAAGCTTGCCATAATACTTTTCATCAATCATAATCATTGGAGCAAACACCGAGACGGTTGGAACGATTGCCCAAACCAATACATTGATGAAACCATACTCGACAATCAATGACAATGCCATTGGTGCACCAACAACAATAACAAATGGCCAACCCATAAACACACTACATGCACATGTAAATACTGCCAAAAATGGTCTATTCAACATCCAAAAACCATATGAAAACATTATCATTGTCATTGAAAATGTATTTGGTAAATAAACTAAAATAAAAAATAAATAAATAAATAAATATTGTTTGATTGATTTGTTTGATTGATTGTTTGATTGGTTGATTTAGAATACGTACCAGTTGATGAAAGGAAGAAACCTGGTGAAAAGAACATAAATATTGCCATCAAGAATGATATTTGATTACCAAACAATTTCTTTACACCTGCATAGAAAATGGTTTGTGAGAATGCACATTGTAGTCCAAGGAATATCTTCATTAGAAAGAATGTAGTAACTTTGTTTTCTTGTGCAATCATATACAATAATTGTCCAAAACTTGAATGATACAATAGATATGCATATGATCTAAGTGCATAAACTGGACTATTCAAAAGGTGAAAGAAAGTAAGTATTAGTATATTGAAAGAAGAAAAATAGGAAGAAGATTTTAACAACGACATACCTGTATTCCCATGTTTGTAAACCTTTACCAAACATTAAATAATGAGTTGGTTCCCAATAGTTCATAAACTCATCACAATCATTGATTCTATTAAAGAGAGCTGATAGAGCCGCTGAAAGTCCTAAAAACAAGAATACTGTTTTGCTACTAGGTGAGAATGATTGATCGTCATCTGATGATGATGATGATGATGATGATATTGGTTGTACATCCTTTCCTTTTTGTCTACTACTACTACTAGATGATGAAGATGATTTAGCTTTTACCATTTCTATCTATCTCTATCTATCTATCGAAAGATAATATCTATCTCGCACAATGAATGAGAAAGTTTTTTTGAAGTTCACAAAACCACCATTTTTTTTTTTTGGATTATTCTTTTATTTCTTTTATTTCTATTATTTCTATTTACAATTTAATTACTATTTACAATTTGGAGTAAGATGATTTCAGATTTCAATTGGACTGTATTTGGAAGGAATTGGTCAAGTGGGATTACAGTTGCATTCATCCCCCATTTCAAGAGATATTGTCCAATGGTCTTCTCGGATGATCGTATTTGATAACTACAATAAATGATTAAATTCCTATTCCTATTTAAAAAGAATTTAAATGTTGCAAATATATCATCATAATCTAATTATAAAAAAAATTATTAATATTAATATTAATATAAATAAAAGAAAATTAATTAAATAAATCTTTTACAAACCTTTGGTATTATTATAAAATAAATCAGACGCAAATAAATAATCAATATCTTTTGGTAGTTGTAAGACTTGGTCGGTGAATTGAGAGTATGCCAAAACACAATACAGTGGATCAGGACCATTATAATTTGAAAATGAACTGGTCGTTATTTGTTTGTTGTAGTCTATGATTCTTTGGACATTGTCGAGTAACTCTTGTTTGTAGTCTGTAATGATTGACAGTTTACTTCCAAGTGCCATAGAAACTAATGATGGCAATCCAATACCTGCTCCAAGTTCAATTGTCGTTGTTTCATTGTTTATAAATATTGGTTTGTCAATGCAAGACCCATCATCAGATCTTTTACATTGGTCTACTATGAACCAAGACACAACCTGACTCGACTCCCAAAGTAGTAATCCAAAATCAGACTCTTCTCTTTTTTTTTGGGCGATTGTATCATTGTCGTCGTTTTTGTTGGGTTGGGATATTTGTGATTGAATTCTAGAGTCATTGCTATAAATGGAGGTTGCTTTTGTTGTTGTTGTTGATGTTGTACCACCGGATGTCGTTGGGTTGGGCGAAAATGATGTTACGAAAATCTCGACATCGCATGAACTAGGCTGCTTCTTTGGTTGTTGTTGCGTTGGCGTTGCGCGACTTTGGACAATACGATTGAGCTCGCCATCCATCACCATTCCGGTGACAGCCAAAGCAGCAGCACCCGTCAGGTTACTTGTGTATGGTAAAGATCTTCCTTTCTCTTTATCATTCTGTGTACCGCCACCATGATCGTATGCATTGTTGTTGCTCTCTCTGGGTGTCTGACCCCCAGTTTTGAAACAAACAGCCGTGATCATTTACGGTGGGTGATGATTGAAATGATCGATGACAAGGAAGAAAGGAAAGAAAGAAAGAAGACGCGAACTATCAAACTCGACAATAATATCTTCTAACTTTTTTTCTTCTTTAAATCTTTTGATTAGAACCTTGTTGTTGTTGATGATGAGAGCTCTCTCTTTCTCTCTCTCTTTCTCAATACCGAGGTTTGTATAATCGATCAGTACTCTACTCTATAACCCCATCACCAAAAGTAAAAAACAATACTTGAACACAGCAGCACAGAACGAGATGGGGAGAGAAGGGATCAGCCGATTACGATTCTGTGAAGATGATGCGCGAATTCAGACCAAGATTTAATTGGTTGCGTATTTTGTCGTTTGGTAGGCAAGGTGACGCCCATATTCCGAGGGGGCGTCTTGATCTTATTTTTGCTACTTTTTTTGCAAATATTGAATCTTGGTAGATCTGATTGCCCCTTCACTCTTTACACTCTTGATTTTTTGTTTTTTGTAGAATCTAGAAATTATTATAATGTATTTGAGAGATACAATATGTCAAATATCAGCGACCCAGCACCCAACACAATCAATCGTCGACCGAACAAAGTTAGTAGTTTTCAATTGATCGCATTCATTCAAAGACATAGACCTGTAGGTGCACCCATCCATCCATTGTTGTAAGTGTAATTCATTGTAGTAAACAAATCAATCCATCACATCCCCATCGATACACTAATTCGGTGGAAAATTTCGCGAGAGTCTGGTTGTGGAAAGGCGGCGAGAGTCAGAAGTTCGTTCTAAATGAAAGGTGAGCTCTAAAAATAGGGGAGCTCTTTCGTGTTTTTGCGAAGTGTTTTTCAAGTCACAGAGAACAGAATGTTCAGGATTACTCGATCATCAGACGACAATATCATGCAGCATGCCACCTGTTATGTGTGTTATGATAATTAATCCCTCCAAAATATTATATATAATATAATATAATCATCAGCAATATAACAAACAAGCATCATACCTTCACCATCACCATCATCATCGAACAGTCACAACATAAACATAGTCAGATCCACTTCCATTCTCAGTCTAAAGTAGTCATAGTCACCAGAAGGACAATATCAATAGTAGCAGTAGCAGTAGCAGTAGTAGAGGTATAGTATAGTATTCACATTTCTCAAAAGGACAAATCATCGTGATTCTATCGACATTGATCCATCCCAGAACTTTTTTGGCTGTTGGATGGAACACATGAAGAATCTCAAGTGAGAGAGAGTCAGACTTGTTAACATGTCAGCACCCATCTTCATACACAATAAGATATCCAATTCACTATTATCTTATATTCATCACTCATACACTACACTATATTATTTCAAAAAAAAAAAAGAGAGACAGACAGACAGAGAGACAGAAAGACAGATAAAGACACAGATATTAAAAAGGGTAAAATCAATCACTATCATCATTATTAATTTGTTTATAATAATCCAATAATGATTGATTGATTGATTGATAGATTGGTTAGTTTGTTTTTTTGCCAATCTTTCAGATATCATAGAGTAGAGTCACATCAACACTCTAAATTTATACATTACAACAATAGAAAGAATCAATCATCAGAAACAGAGGTAGAACAACCAACAACCAACAATAACAACAGATAATAATAGATCGGTTGATTGGTTAGAAATCTATTGACATTCGTTTGTCCTCCTATAAATACATGTGGGGGACAGGATCAGCTTGAGATTTTCGTAAAGAATCGATGCTCTATGCATCAACTTTACCCCCCACACAGCTATTATTCAGTCACACACACAGCTCCTCACACAATGACACAAAAGATGTGATCACCCCACTAGCAGTGGTTCTCATGAGTTTTGTTCACTTATGTGGTTGATCCATATCACATCAATATTGATACACTACTATTATCTTCATGCCGAGGACAATGGAGGTACAAAACGTCAGAAAAATAACAGCCAACAAAACAGGATAAAGAAAGAAGGAATGGTTAGTCTAATCCTAATCCTCCCTCCTCTTTCCTTCATCTCTCTTTACATCAATCAATCTTTCACACACACATATGTTCTTTTGTTTGTATATATCATATACCTTATTTATTTATTTATTTTTAATCACTTTTGTGTATGTATGTATGTATGTATGTATGAAATTTATTGTTCCAACTCAACAACCAACCCTACCAATATTGGGGCATATGCTTGTAACCTAACATCGTAATCGGTGACCCACATTTGCTACAGGCCATAGTAGGAGGGATCCCTCTTACCAGATGTGGGTATGTTCATCATTATCTGATTTTGCATCACTTTTTGATTTGGCCATGGGGCTACACTGTACGATCGGGTCGAATGAAAACCCCTATGGCAACATCATTGTATTGTTCCATGAACGGCGAAAAACTATCTAAAAACAGTTTTGGTTTGCAGTAGTCTCGAAACCACGTTTCATTTTTTAGCTACGTAGCCATAGTTGGTTTGAAGGAAGGCCATCATCGTCATTCATCATCTATTGTTTGTTTGATGTTCACCGTTAACGGGTAGACCCCAATTTGTGGATAAACAGAAACAGTTCACGTGATGAGATGATTTTTTGATCTTCTCATTTTTATTCTTTATCCTTCCTCTCACTTCCTTTCCTCATCGTTGTTGCAAAGTTAGTTAGTTTTGGATCTATCTAGATAAAAAAAACATGCAGAAAAAGTAATAATAATCATAGTAGTTTATTTGTTTGGACACTCAACTTTCAGATGCAGATATTCAACTAAAAGTCAAATACCCACACACACACGATCCTTGCTTTGTACCTGTGATTCATCATTTTCATTCAATCACCACAGGACATAGACAGATATTTGTTTTTCAGACTGAGAAGGTAACTTGTGTGATTATTATGGCCCTCTTGTGTCTGTGTGGCCCCTCACTTTCAAGTGCACAAGAAGATAATCACACTTTTTATCTCATCTTTAAATTCCAACAATGGGGCGGGGCTCGCCCACTGCAGGCACCCCTCACACTCACTCACACACACACAATTTTTTGTAATTATCTTTTTCATTCACTTTCAAGTTTGACGCCTCCCACCTCCCACGAGAGACCATAAAAATCTTTGGATAGACATTTTTCGCGTGTGTCGTTTCAAACAGCGCTAATTGACAATCAACCAACAACACAACCCCGCGGGTGGCCAAGCAGAGCAGAGAGAGGGAGAAGCTTTTATTTATCTTTCTTTCATTGCTGAACTCAACGACGCAGCGCTGCGCGGATTTATAAGGGCTTGCCACCTTAAACAGAGGTAATAATTCTCTTCATCTCGAGTATAACAGACAGACAGACACAGATTAGATTCTCTAGATTAGATTTTTTATATTTTTTTTTTGACGTTTTGTTAAGATCATCAACAACCCGTAGCATAGCATCGCTAGCTAGCGGTTCACTTTAATGAATCATTCATTCCATCTTCATCTTCATCTTTTATATCTACTCGATCGAATGTTAATTTGTTAATTTAATAATAATATTTAGAGAATAGAATCAAGTACACACAAGAACAGGACAGATAAATAATATAAGGTAGCAATCATCGTCATCATCATCATCATCATCATAGTCACCATCATAGTCATAGTCAATATCAATCAATGTTTAATGTTAACAGGTGTTACTCCCCTCCCCTGGCCTGGCAACTGTTAGATTTAAATCAGTATCGACGATAGATATCTATCTTACCAGTTTTGTTTATTAAAATAATCGCAACTGACAAGATGATATTATTAGTATGGTGTAGACCCGTGACGGGCTGACGCTGCGATTGACGGGGGTCTAGACTTTAAGCATCATCCTGTAATCGCGCATATACTCACTTTTTATCCCACACGGACGCGTTTTCATTGCAACGGCCAATAGTTTTTATTTTCTATTTTTTTGTAATTTTTTTTTGTAATTTTTGATTGAAGTACTTCCCTTTTTCGTCGTTTTCAACCTTCTTAATCATCACATCATCATTTAAAATCAAATAACCGCTTCTGGCTGATTTAATCATCAGAGATAGATCTCGAAACAATTCTTCTTCTTCTTCATCTTCTTCTTCATTTGTCGATGCGTATGTCAGATTCTCGTGGTTTTGGTCAAGTCATTCATTATTATTATTATTATTATTATTATTACTATTACTATTATTCGTCGACTGCTGCTGCTGCTGTATTCAGCAGTACTCACTCACATCGATTATTATAATTTAAATGTTTGTACTATGTGTGTGTGTGTCTGGTCTGACAGACATACGGACCAGACAGAATACTCGACCCTCCTCGTTCTACTCATTTATCAACTCAACTTTTCCTCACTTTCTTTGAGCGATGCTCCTCATTGTCGTCGTCATCATCATCATCCACATCTGCAATTAAATTAGTATGTTTTCAAAACTAACGATAGATTCTATTTTCTTTTTTTTTTTCTTTTTCATTTATTTTTTTTTTTAGATTTAGGAAATAATCAACAACAACAACTACTACAAACATAACAAAACCTAAACAAGCAATCAATATATATTATATATTTATATTTGATTGTTTTTTTGACTCCATACTTATTCTCCTATATCTTATCTGTTGTTCATATATGTGGTAAAGATTAGCGTACTACATCAATTAGTCAACACTAAAATTATTATTTCAACAAAGAGCAACATCAAGAAGAAGAACAAGACAAGCAAGAAGAAAAAGTCACAAATTCAAAACATTTATTTAACGTATTTCGTAGCACTTACGCATTGCCATTTCTATCCAAACCAATCAGCATTATTTGTTGTTTGTTTGTTTGCTTGGGGAGCTTATTAGTGCATCCACCTACCTACCTACCGATTTAATTAATTAGTTTGTTTGTTCGTTGATTGACAAAGCCGCCTAATCAAACAAACCAACAAATGGATTGGAACCCAAAGAAAAGTGGTTTTGGAGCTGGAGGTCAGTCATCAACATCAAAACTACCGTTTTCAAAACCGATCAATCTAACAATGGAACAACGATCACCTTCTCCTCCTCCTCCAACAAATACATCTACAACTTCTACATCGACATCGAACCCTACTACTTCTTATAATTATGGTGGTAGCAGCGGTGGTGGTGGTGGTCCACAGCCTAGCTCTCCCATTGTATACAATTCTCCACAATTTGTTCATCCTTCAACATTTGGTGGTAAATCCAGTGGAAATAATAGTAGTACATCTCCGTCGTTAACGGGAAGTAGTGGTGGAAATGGAGGAGCAAGTAGCAGTGGAGCTACGGGAGTCAGTACTTCCAATAGCAGTAGTGGAGGAGGACAAGCCTCTCCCTCTTATTCTCAACCATATCCCATCCTTTCTCCTAGAGTTCCAAATCAATATATCTTTAGTGCTCCGTCATCTAGCAACAATAATAATAATATTAATAATAATAATAATAGCGAAAACAATCAACCAACTAGTCCGAGTAGGATACCATCCGACAATAATAGTAATGGGGGAAATACTTCCTCATCCTCTTCACAACAACATTTTTTCCAGGCAAACAAACAAACATCCACCAAATCATCACCAACCATTGTTAATAGGAACCAAACATCTTCACCTCCACCACAACCACAACCAACCTCCTCCTCCTCCTCTCAACCATCATCGTCACATATGTTTTCATCATCCTTTCACCAACCCTTTCAGCAAAAGGAAAAGCGCAAGGATTTAAACAACTCTTATAGTGTGTTTAACAGCGAGCCACTCGGTGGCTTTAGCTCTTCACCTCCCAAAAATTACAACAACAACAATAATAATAATGAGGAACCAACCTATTCCATCCAGGCACATCATCACAACCAACAACAACAACAACACCAACACCAACACCAACACCAAAACAACCATCATCACTCTCAACCATTTTCCTCTACTAGTAGGTCAGAGCATAAAGATATTTCCATGCCAGACTCACCAACCTCATCGTCATCAACCAACTCTTCAAACAATACCTCGCCCACTACATCCGCGCCAATACCCACCTATTTCCCACCACACCAACAACAGAGTCACCAACAACAACAACAAGAATCACCAAAATATCACAATTCGACGACAACTACACCGATCCTTCATCCTTCCAATATGAATGAAAATTCAATCGATCATGGTCACCATCAACAACAACAACAACATTATAACCAAAACAATAATAATAATAATAATAATAACCATCATCACTCACAACAAATGCACCACCAATCACTTTCACAACAACACAGTGTTGTACCAGAGAGACAAATATTTACTCCGATTCTACCCAAACCAAACTCCTCCACACCCACATCTGCGTCCGCCCCAACCACTCAACCAATACTTCAAGTAGCACCACCAACCACACCCAATTCATCCTCGTCTAATCTTCCAATGTTCCCAGTCATGCCAAATGAACAGGATACATGGATCGAGATTAGAGACCTTAGTTCAGAAATATCGAAAATTGCCAAATCATGTCTTACCAAGGGTATCACTGAAGATATTTTAAATCAAATCAAGGAAAAGGGTGTTTATTTAATTAAAATGATAGAGTTGGTAGCTCAAAAAGAAACTTTGGAAAGAAAAATTGATGATGATAGAAATAGAATGTATGTATAAAAACATTTTTAAAATATGTTATTTATTTATTGAATATTAATAATCTTTTTTTTTTTTTAAATTTTTTAGACCACCATTGACAAGACCAAGAAGATTTAGAAAGAAAAAGAAAATGACAATTGTAGTTGGTGGCGAAAACTATGACTCGAATATAATGTCGAGTGATGGTCGACCAATCAATGGATTGTCACCTGGATTGGCATCCCCACTTACCACTCCTATTGGATCGGTATCACCTGTAAATCTTGGAAGTAGTGGTACCTATCCTCATCCTCCTCAATTGAGTTTAGAAAATGTACAAAATGAACCAAATAATAATAATAATCACCACCAACCATCATCTCAACCTCCTACACCATCACACCATCACCATCACCATCACCAACAACAACAACAATCACCACCACAACAACAACAACAACAACAATTACCTTTACAACCAATTCAACCTCACCAACAACAACAACAACAACAAACATCACCCCCATCGACCATTAACCTATGTGCCAGTGGCAACCAATTGGTCCCACCTCCCCTTACACCTTCATCTGCAGCCGCTGCAGCCGCCTCAGCAGCCTCTGGAACCACAACCAAAAAGAAGAAAGCTGGTGACCCACTCTACTGCACTTCTTGTGGAACCACTCAAACACCGGAATGGAGAAAGGGTCCAGCGGGTGGCAAGTCACTTTGCAATGCATGTGGATTGCATTATGCCAAACTTATGAAAAAAGAAGGCCAAGTCAGGGATACTCAAGCCAAAGACCCTCTCAACGTTGTAAATTTGCTTAATTGATTTCAATAATAATTAATAATAATAATAATAAATAATAATAAATAATAATAATAAATGAGGGAAAAGGGAAATAACAAAGAAGAATAATAATAATAATAGTATAATATAATAACTACAACAAAATATAAGTAATAATAATTAAGAATAAATAACACAAACAAAAATGCACAACCACAATATATATAAACTCTAATGCTGGACCACTCACACATTAGGGCTTGGGATTATTACTCTTACAATACAATACAATCAATAATAACAATACAAGCAAAAAAAACAACCTCTTCTTGCACATGTCAAATAAAATATATAGATTTCAAAAAGTATTAGGAATAAATACTTTATTATTAGTATACATCAATTTGAAAGTGGGATTATTTACCTTATTTATTAGTGTCAGGGTGACCAACATCTTTATGGTAATAAATTTAATAAAAAGGAGAAATATTTTAGATTGTTTTTTTTTTAAGGGAAACTTAACCTCATCATGTGCACATCTGATCTATCTATTGTAGTAGATGTACATCTACTTGTAGAATACTTCAATATGAATTCTATATCATTATTTTCATTGGTCATTCGAAACATTGTAACAAGAAAGAGGATATTTGGGTTCATTCGATTGCACAGTCACTACCGGTTGCTTACGGTACTCGATGGCAGTGAATTAAACGCAAAGATGGCGTGTATCTATTATGAAGATTGGACACGTGTCGATTTGATTGTAAAGAATGGATTCTATGGCTTGTTGGTGGACAAGTTGTCTGCGGGATATCACCTGACGGGTATTGATGAGAGGTCACTACAACTCATCTGTCAACATGTAGTAGACACCAAATCATTCTTGGTGGTGTACCAGCGACTAAAGAGTCACTTTGTGTATCGTGATCTCATCCACTATGCATGTATTGGAGGTAATCTCGAGATTGTAAGACTATTGGTACACCAGACCAACCCCATCAAACTGGATTGTTCAAGAATGTTGGAGGGTGCAGCACTTGGTGGTCACATCGAATTGATGACCTATATCATTGCACACGTGCCTGGGTATCAAGACGAGTCGTTTCGCTCTAGTTATAGCTCGGCAATTAATATATTGACCGCTGCACTAAAATCTAGTTGTCCCACCGCTGCCTTTAATCTACTCGACCATCTACTACCAATCACCACAGAGCAAGTCATCATTCGTTATCACACGATAAAGTATCAGTGTCTCATGACCGGCTCTGAAAAGGTGTGTGAACGATTCCTCGGTAAAAGTCACCAATGTTACATCTCTGCGTTTAACCATTACATCAACAGCTATATGATGCATCACAGTACATCAGTTCAAAAGCAAATGATGTACAATCTCTTGGCAAAGATTCATATGGATGACGATTCTGGCCAAAAAGTCATTGCATCAATAGAGTCAAAGGTATTTGATTTGTTTCAACGCGCCAATCACCTCGATCCATCCGTGGAAGAATTCAATCTATTTGCAGTGATTGTTATATTGGTAGAGAAAAACTATCTCATCCAAAACAGTAGTAGTGGACAAGATACAAAGATAGAAGATAATAGTGTACTCGATACATTCAAATCACTATTTAAAAAGGTTCATCAAACATTCCATAATAGAAACTCGTTGACTATTCTCACTGCCATTGTATATTATTTATCAAGTAAAATAGAGATCAGTATACGAAACCGCCAAACATACACTGAACAATTGATCAGCGTGGCAATGAAATTTGCCATTAAACGAGGTGATACTATCATGTTGGAAAGATTTGGATCGTTTGGAGGATACAATAACCTGTTGTATATGTATGCTTTGCAAATCGATAGTTTAGAAATGGCACGCTTTTTGGACACCAAGATTGAAAATCCTAGAATGTGGTTGCAAGGTCTGCGACCCAAATCAATTGCAATCCTTAAAAAAGCTCAAGAAAGGTTTGGACCTAAATACATATCATTTATACAACTATCTGATTTAGAGGGTATCCCAACCGACGTTTTACTTTACATCTGTTCTCTAATGGATCGCACCGACAGTAGAAGAATGTCAATATGGGAAAAGGCAGTTCAAATAGCCGTCGAAACTGACAACCTTGAATTAATCAAAGAGATGATTAAAAGTGGGTACCCATTTTCCCCAGCCAACTTTTACAACTTTAGGTGGGTACTTGGTGCAAGAGATGTAAGCACCATTGAAACTATTTTAAAATCTACTATCTTTTCCAATTGCACCTATCCCATGCAACGATGTATTGCTCAACGTGGAAGTGTAGAGTTGTTTGATATGGTGAGTAGATGCACTCATTTCAATGTACCAACACTACAAGTATGGCTATCCCTAGCAGCTGAATTCAACCGAATGGAATTGGTTGGTCATTTGGAACTAGTTTTATCACACAAACAACCAAATAATGGTGACATCATACTGCCTAGTATCAATGGATTTTCATTTACAACATTAATTTCTTGGAGTACGTCTACGTCAAACATTGATGTATTTAAATACTTTTTACAGAGAACAAATTGGAGACCTGAAAAGAAACGAGTCTATGACTGTATCCTTGCCAATCCATCTACTTCAGTTTCATGTCTAGAGTATCTAATCGATTCTTCTTTTCAAGATGATAAATCAGATGATTACCAACATCTTGTCTATTATCTAACCAATAGAAAAGACAAAATATCTGACATGACCTATCCCCTCTATGTCTTTTTATCCAATCGTCTAAAGATTCCAACTAATTCCATTATTCTAAATGGTTTTGATATATCTAAATACCAATAATATATGAAATAAATCAATGTCGACAGTCAGATCCATATTTTGTTGTTATTGTTATTATTGTAGGTGTTTAAATATTATTTATTATTATTATTATTGTGGAGGGGGAGGTTGTTGTAAAGAAGGAGGGGCGCCTGATTGTTGTTGTTGTTCTGTTGATTGAGATGGCGGTTGTTGTTGTTGGTATGCGTCACGTGCTGCAGCAAATAGACGTTGTTGTTCCTGTAACATTTCAGTCTTTGATAGATTTTCAAATTTACGTGCAGATCTACTTGGTTTAGAAGATGCCTCTTCTTTATGTTTATCATATGTTTCTGTAACTTTTGGTGTATATCCATTAAATCCCAATTCCTAAAATTGAATCGAATGTTCATTAATACAAGATCTATCTCTAGAGATAAGTTTGATTTGATTTGATTTGATTTGATTTGATTTGGTTTCATACATCTAAAGCTGTAATAACATGTTTTGCATCAATCATTCTTTTTCCATCTTTAAGACATATATCATTTGCTTCACTTGATATTAAATGTATAAATTCTAAAACAACAAAACAAATAGATGGATAGAATTAATCAAAATGATCCTCTAAAGAGTGATAATCTAATCTCTCCCTGATGATCAATACATACCAACGCAACATTCTAATATTAAATCTCTCGTTTCGTTTGAGCATTTTACATCTTCTGGTAATATTTCTTTTATAAGCTTTGCTACAGTTGCTATATCGTATACAATCAAGAATGAATGATTAGTATGTAGAACAAATGTATTTGTGTCGATTCAAAACAAACATACCCTTTGGCAATGAAAGATTATTCTCTTCTTTTTCTTTATCACCCATTCTATCTATATGATATTCTATTCTTCTTCCTTCTTCTTTATATATATAATGTATTTACAAGAGTTAGTTATGCGTACAACCAACTAATAATATGACTAATGACGATGATGATGACTACTAGTTATAAAAGTATTAAAAGATTAGGAGCCAAAACCACTTTTTCAAACTTGAACTAGAAAAGTCTGAGTAAATTAATCTATCAAAGATTCATGTTTCATTTTATTTAGCCTATTTATTCTTTTTATATATCTCACATACATATATACATATACATATACATATACATATACAATATGATCATTGTATTAGACAACAATCATAGAGAGGATTTACAATTCTTAAAGAATGTTTCATTAGATGGTAGGTTGAGAGACAATGAATGAATTTTATTACTTTCATCAGTAACTAATTAGTTTAATCTATCTCTACTCACATAGTTGTAAAAGAGTTTTGTTATATATCATTAGATTTCATTCGAAAAGGAGATAATAAGAAGTTATATTTAGGTGCTTCAAGTATGTTGTTTGAATCATAGCCAACCTTGGTATAAGGATCAGTAGTACTGATATTACGATACTTTACCTTTTATTTAGAGAAACTTGGAGTATCACCAGATATAGTAGAGAATGTTGTTAAAGGAATATCACATCTCTTTTCAGAGTGTTCAAGATACATGTTGAATGAGACTGATTTTGTAGATTCACTTTCACCTCTAAAGTTTGATCAAGAGTTGACCGACTACTTGAAAGATATGTACTTTGAACAAAGAAAAGATGTCAGAAATGTATTACAAGAGCTTTATCCACACCTTGATCACTATAACAACTTGGAATGGAGATTGGATGTACAGGTTGCCAATCGTAGTCTTCGTGGTCAAACCATCAATCCAATCTATATGATCAAATTAACTACCCACAATTTACAACAAGAACTCAATCACAAGAATGATGAAGATTCATCATCGTCGTCATCGTCAACATCCACCTCTTCAAAAGGAGAAAAAGTACATTATTTACAAACCGATCCAAACAATCTTAAACATCTTTGCAATGAATTGGAAAATGCATTGGCTGAAATTAGATCAAATGATTGTCGTCGTATTATGAGAAATATCAAATAGTAAATAAATCCAAACCTAAACAACCATATTATATTATATTATTATATTAACCAAACACAATACAAATATCCAATTAAAGATGTGTCGAATTGGAATAACACTTTGTTCCATTCAAAAAAGGTGGAGGAAACAATAAAATTGTTCAAATTTATTCCACCCAAATTTGCCGATGTTCAGCTGAGAGTGAGCATCATTCTTTCAATTTGAATGACCTCTAAATTAACCTACGCTTTTATCATATTCATATTATCGTTTGTTTTGTTTTATCTAACTAGTCATAATATTACAGTTACAACAACAACAACAACAACAACAACAACAACAACAACAACAACAACAACAACAGTACAAGTTCAACATCATCACAATCAGAATAATAATATGACAACATTAAAGAAGAGTTTTATTCCAGTATCGGCAGACTGTCATTTCCCAATTCAGAACCTCCCATACGGTATATTCAGTGTAGCTGGATCATCACCACGTGTAGGTGTTGCTATCGGTGACTTTGTATGCGATCTCTCTGTTCTCGCTGATGCTGGTGTTTTCAACGGACCAATCTTAGGCTCAACTAAAGTTTTCCATCAAGTATGTTGTTGTTATCATCATATGATTAGGAGTTGATTTATACTAATAGTATTGATGTTGTTGTTGTTGTTTGTTGTTATACTTATAGGATGCATTAAATGCATTTATGGAATTGGGTAGAAAGGCATGGACTGAAGCACGTACAACATTGATCAATGTATTGGACTCTGAGAATGCAACTGTTCGTGATAACGATGAATTGCGCAAGTCTGCATTCCACCTCAGATCGAGTGTAACTATGCACTTGCCTGCTCGTATTGGTGACTATACAGATTTCTACGCTTCCAAGGAACACGCCACCAACGTTGGTATCATGTTCCGTGGCAAGGAGAATGCTCTCATGCCAAATTGGTTGCACGTACCTATTGGCTACCACGGACGTTCCTCATCGATTGTCGTGTCGGGTACCGATCTCAAGCGTCCATGCGGTCAGACCAAAGCCGACGACGAGCCCACTCCCCAATACACCACCTGCAAGCAATTAGACTTTGAGTTGGAGATGGCTGCTTTGGTCGGCACTGGCAACAATCTCGGCGAGCCAATCACCATTGACAATGCCAAGAACCATATCTTTGGTCTCGTCATTTTGAACGACTGGAGTGCTCGTGACATTCAAAAGTGGGAGTACGTTCCACTCGGTCCATTCCTCGGCAAGAACTTTGGTTCGACCATCTCACCATGGGTCGTCACCACTGACGCCTTGGAACCATTTGCCGTCGCCTCGCCCGTACAAGAGCCAACACCACTCCCATACCTCAAGGAAAAGAGTGACAAGAACACATTTGACATTAACCTCTCGGTCGCCATCCAAAGCCCAAAGATGGATGCCCCAAAGGTCATCTCCAACACCAACCTCAAATATATGTACTGGACATTGAATCAACAACTCGCTCACCATACTGTCAATGGCTGCAACATGCGTGCTGGTGACATGCTCGGAACAGGTACCATCTCTGGTGCCACCGAAGACAGCTACGGCTCGATGCTCGAGCTCTGCTGGAAGGGTACCAAGACTGTCCCACTTGGCAACGGAGAAGAAAGAAAGTTCATTCTCGACGGTGACAAGGTTGTCATGTCTGGTGTTTGCAAGGGTGATGGTTATAACGTTGGTTTTGGTGATTGTGTTGGTACCATTCTTCCAGCTCAAATTATTAAATATTAAAAATTTAATTTACAAAAATAAACTAATTAAATAAATAGATACAATATATACATAAAATTAATGTGTTTTTCTCAAATGATTCCCTCTCCATGAGAAAAAGGAGAATTTATTTAGGATGATTGTTGTTCCAATAATTTTAATTCTTCACGTAATTGATTCAACTTTTCAATCTTTGTTTGTTGTACAGCTTGTGGAACTCTTTGCTTAAATGATGGGTTTGAAATGGTAGTTTCGATATCTTTAATCCATTCTTCCAATTTTTTCTTTCTTGCATTTAATTCTTGATTTTCACTAGATGCTGCTGCTGCTGGATTATTCTTATTTAATAATCCATTATTTGCTACCTTGTCATATTGTAATATCATTAAACAATTTTCATCAACTTTATGTTGAATAGTTTCAAACTATATTTAAAAAAAAAAAAAAGGATGTTAATGTTTAATATTATCTATAAGTATTCTCTAATATTACATACATTATTATTATTATTATTAATTATTGTTTGATTAAATGATAAATTACAATTAACCATTTTTTCAATTTCTTCAATTTGATTTTTCAAAGCTTCAAGAGTGATCGAATGATTGGTATTAATTGTTAGATTAATTTTGGTTTGTGGATGAATGTTTGAGGATTTTCTAGTTGATCTAACAAAGTGAAGTGAAGATTGAATCGATTCTACCAATGGTTCGGCACCTTGGTTGAGAATGCAACTATTGTGTAGCGAGTAGGTGGATGGCGAGGGATACTCTGCAATCATGATAGAGGCTGGTGCAGAGGCATGTTTGGGGAGTCTTTGCCAAAGATCTTCGGTAATGTATGGCATGAATGGATGTGCAAGACGGAGGAATGTTTCCAAAACACTTCTCATCACAACGACCGAGTGTTGGTTACTTTGCTTGATGGTAGGTAGTGATAGCGATGCTTTGGTCATCTCTAAATAGAAATCACAGTAATCGTATTGGAAAAAAGTGTAAAGTGCTTGTGAAGCTACTGAAAGATTGAGTGTACTAAATGCATCCTCTACAACTGTGGTGAGGTTACCCAAACGATTAAGAATCCATCTATCAATCACCGAAATGGAGTCGTTTGACCATGGGACACTCTCATCACCTTGATAATATATTGGGTGTTCGAGGTTGTCCACAACGACAGAGTTTGTCTTGTCGATGGTCATGAGTACAAGTTTGGCAGCATTCCAAATCTTGTTACAGAATAAACGTTGACCAATGATTCTACTGAGATCCAAATTAATGTCCTTGCCAGAGATTGGGAATTGGGAGAGTGCGATTCTAAGGGCATCAGTTCCGCATTGAGGGATACCTTTGGGGAACTCCTTTTCCAATCCCTTGGTTGCCGTATTCTTTTCTTGTTCGCTGAGATTTGATTCGCGAAGGTTCTGAACGAGTTGGGGTAGTTCAATACCGTTGATAACGTGGAGGGGATCGATTACATTACCGAGTGACTTGCTCATCTTTCTTCCTTGAGAGTCACGGATGAGTGGATGAAGGAGGACCGTTTCAAATGGAGGTTGTTGTTGGTTGTTGGCGTCGAATAAAGTACTGCACATCATGACCATTCTAGCAACCCAAAAGAACATAATGTCTGATCCAGTCTCCATCACATCGAGTGGGTAGAATTTAGAGAGATCCAATGACTTGTTGTCTGGCCATCCAAGAGCCGACATGGGGAAGAGACTACTTGAAAACCATGTGTCTAGGACATCGTCATCCTTGATCAGTTCAAATGCACCTCTCTTTAATCCAAAGGTTTTGATTGCCGACTCTGTGGCTGTCTCGAGGTCTTCACCGACCACCCATTTTTCATCTTTGGCAGTGATTCCATCGGCAATGACACGGTATGCTGGGATTGGATTACCCCACCACAATTGTCTAGAAATGCACCAGTCTTGTATATTGTCCAACCAACGCAACCAATCGGCTTGGTACGATTCAGGAACAAATTTTAACTTGTCGTCCCGAGCAAATTGAGCAGCTCTTGCTCCCATTTCCTTGCAATCGACGTACCATTGTGGTTTGAGAATTGGTTCTAAAAGATCACCTGAACGACTACACACTGCCAGTGCGGTTGGATGTGGTCTCTTTCCTTCATAAAGTCCCTTTTCCTTTAGTGCTTTGATCACGTCGTGACGTGACATGAGTCTATCCTTTCCACTAAACTCTCCACAGTGCTCGTTTAATTTACCGTCTTCACACATGATATTGATAAATTCTAATTTGTGACGTTGTCCACACTGATAATCGTTGAAATCGTGAGCTGGTGTAACCTTGACAGCACCAGTTCCAAGAGTCATGTCTACCAAAATGTCATCACCAACGACTGGGATCAATCTATCCGAGAATGGGTGTCTACACATCTTTCCAATCAAATGTTTGTATCTCTCGTCCTTTGGATGTACTGCAATGGCAGTATCACCGAAAATAGTTTCAACACGTGTTGTACTGACCACCAAATACTCTTCTTTACTATCATCATCTATTCTATACTTGACATCGTGAATAACACCAAATTCATGTGTTCTTGGTTGAGTTTTGAGTTTGTACATGGTTGGCTTTTCAAAGGTGATGTGGTCCACCTCGATATCAGAGATAACACTTTGCAGTTGTGCACACCAATTGACGAGTCTTGTCGATCGATAGATCAACCCACGTCTGTACAATGTAAGGAATGCTGTTTGGACAGCAAGTGCACGTTTGTCGTCCAATGTAAACACCGATCTACTCCAATCCAACGAAGAACCAGTCTTTTCTAATTGTGTGTTGATATTGGCCGAGTACTTGTCAGTCCATTTGAATACTTGCTCCAAGAACTTTTCTCTACCTAGGTCGTGTCGCGACAGACCTTGTTTCACCATGATCTCCTTCTCGACAGCCACCTGTGTAGCAATACCACTGTGATCCAATCCAGGAACCCAAAGTGTATCGTATCCCATCATTCTCTTGTATCTCACCAATGCATCTTCGATTGTTGTTGTCAAAGCATGACCAATATGTAAACTACCAGTTACATTTGGTGGTGGTAATACCATTGAGAATCGTTTCTTATTCTTGTTGTTTGTATCTTCAGTCTTGGTTGATGATGGTTTAAAGTAACCATTGTCTTTCCACCATTGATATTTATTCTCTTCAACCGCTACAGAGTTGTATGATGATTTGAATGCTTCTTGATTGATTACATATTGATGACTAGTAGAATACAGTCGTAATCCTCGACTTGTTACTATAGACAGTCGCGTAACACTGGCTGTTGTGCCAGCTAGACTCGTTATCAATCTATTCATTCAAAGAGAGAGACACAAATTATAACTAATAAAAGATCTATAATCGAATGTTCACATTTTCCCTCCCACCAAAAGTTTCATTTCTTTTTTAAAAAACATATAATTATAGTTATCATTAATATCTCATCATACAAGATAATTATATAGATAGATAGATAGAAACATGTCAGATGTTGATATGAACGATAGTCATGTTGATCAAGTCGATCAAGATGATGATAATACTATATCAACAACATCAACGACATCTACAACAAGCACTACTACTTCGACGAATGGGAATAACAATAATAATAATAGATATGACAACGATAGTACAATGAAAGAATATAATGAACAAGATAATGAAGATGAACATCACAACAACAACAACAAAGAGAATGGGAAAAAGAAAGAGGAGTACAAAGTATCAAATATAACAAAGACAGCACTCCTCAATAACAATAACAACAATCATAGCAATGGAAGCAATAACACTGCCTCTAACCAAGACGAAGATGGTAGAGGAGGTACTGCATACTTGTACAATAATAGTAAAGACGATATTGATCTGTCACAAACCAACTTGGACGAGCCTAGAGATGCTCGTGTCATCAAAAATATATTAAAGACTATGGGCGTGCAACAACACGACTCTCGAGTCGTCAATCAACTCATGGAATTCATGTACAAGTACGTCTATGAGGTGTTGCAAGATTCAATGGTATACAGCGAGCATGCAAACAAACAAGATATTGATATTAGTGACATTCGTCTTTCAATTCAATCAAGAGTTAATTTCTCTTTTACTCAACCTCCTCCAAGAGAAGTATGTTTTGAAATATTGAATGAATGACCATCATCATCATCATTGACTAATCAATTTGTTATTTGTTATTATTAGTTATTATTATCAATAAGCGAAGAATTAAACAAAGTTCCATTACCTCCAATTCCAAACAAATTTGGTATTCTTTTACCACCCGACGAATATTGTTTAAACTATCCAAACTACCAAGTAGACCCACCCAAACAAGTAAAAGAACCCCCACAACCATTGGTTGCAAATACTTCAAAAGGACACTATAACAAAAAGATTGCAGACAAACAAATTCCAATCAAATTATCATCTCATCATCATAATCATCAAAATGGTAATCAATAATAATTAATAATAATAATAATTAATAATAATTGATAATAATAATTAATACCAACTAAATAATATATAGATGGTCTGGTGGGATGATGAATAAATTAAATCAAAAAATTGTAAAGATAGATGATATAGAGTAGAGGAGAGTTTATTTAAATTTTAATATTTAATCTTTAAATAATAATGATAAATCCTTTTTAATATTTTGATACCATTCTCTATCTTTTAACTTGTCATAAGAGGTACCAGCAATGGTTGCAGAGAATTCATCCAATAGTTTGAGTTCACGACAACCAAAACTCTTGCCCATACGAATAAAATATTCAAATGGCAAGAACCAAATCTTTGGATCACTTTCCATTACAGAGATGACCATGGTTTTGTTCTTGGATAGTGGAATGAATCTCCATCCGTGGTAAAATATGTCAGGATAGGCAAATCCAGTTGGAAGGGGTGGTAGATCGTAATCAGATGGTCTGTTATTGGCTCCATTGTAAGAGACAATGTATGACCCATCTGGTAGTGGAAAAGAGAGTCTCCAACAATAGGCTGCTCTATTCAAAATGATAAATTTACTCAAAATAGAAATAATGGAACAAAGATAGGTTCCATCAGATGGAGTAACAGTCTTTCCATGTTGATACCATTTCCATGTATTAAATATATCAATTTCTTGAGTTCTCATTAAACAATTAATTAATGGTCTATCAATAATTTCTAAAAAGAGAGAGAAAAATAAATATATGAATTAAATAATTAATAAATAAAAGAGGATAAATATTTATATATTACAACATACTAATAAACTTTCTTGATTTTAATTGACGACCTTCATATCTATAGGAATATTCAGTAGTGTGTTCCAATACCGGATCTTTAATATATCCATCTTCATTGATAAAAGCATCGATGAGGTCATAATATTGTTTGGCTTCTCTTTGTAAAACTGCATAACATTTATTACAATCAATAAAAAGTTGTATTTCATCACTTAAATCATCTAAATATATAAATAAATAATATATTAATATTAATATTTATATTTTAATATTAATTTTTGATAAATACTATTCTCTAAATCCAATTTTTTGATTGTTGAATTAATACGAGACATCAAAATTAATGAATCAACATGTGAATTTTTGTTTTTTTTTAAATCCATAGCCTTTTCCAAAACCATTTGATACGATGATGGGTCATCCAAAGGCTTGACCATCTCCAAGAATTGGTCCATTGAAAATCCGTTGTGGAGACGTTTCCAACTGTTGTAATGGACTGATGGATAATCAATTCCGCATTGTGACTCTTTTAACGACTTTTTCCAATAATATGAAAGTGCTCCAACCATAGCAGCAGCTCCAGTAGCTGTTAATAGAAAATAATTGCTAAACATATTTTTAAAACAAAAAAATATTTCAAAATTGATGAACTCAACAATACTTTCCAATTAATTAACTAACCATTTTAGCAATTATGTATGTGAGTGTGTGAGTGTTTGTTTACACATGTATGTATAAAATAAGTGATGATGATATTCTGTCGCCTGTCTCTTCGTTCGTTGTCATTACTTGTCATTGTCATGTACATCGATATTTTCAAATCTTTTATGAAAATGTTTGTTTGTTTGTTCATTTGTTTCAACACCACCTAAAAACAACAAAACTTTTGTGTTTTGGAAAAAAAACAATTTAATATCTAGAGGAGGAAATTGGATTGGTTAGAATTCGTTGACATCCCACAAACCACAAAAAACCAATACACACCCAATTATTTATTATTATTATTTTGAATATTATTAGTGGATCGACGTCAAACAAACGATGGGAATGGAGAAACCAAATGGCAGAAAGTAAAAAGTATTGTTATCAAAATTAAAAAAGATTGATGATGGTTCTAATAATATCAGAAAAACTCTTTAATCAATGATCAAACACGTGTGATTTGATTCAAAGGAAAAGGATTTCACTCCTCATCCTATTTTCGTGCATCGATGACAATAATAATAATATTATTATTTTGAATGGAAAAATGTAATTAATTGATGATGGATTACCCTCCCTCATCATCAAAAAAACACAATCGTACTTTTTGATGACCTGTTGGAGGTGGGGTTGGATAGAGGAAGAAGAAGAAGAAGAAGAAATGAGTATAAATATACATGATTAGAAATACGTTGATTATTTGATTTAAAATGGTTTGGTGATTGATTGATGATGGATGGATGGATGGAACTACTGCATGGGTTGTGTGATGTGGAGATATTCTCTCTCTCTCCTCTCTTTGTCAAAAAGTTGGATTATTGATCCAATGACAATCTTTGCCAAATTAATTAAAAGAGTTGGCTGGCTGGCTGGCTGACAGCTGAAGTTCATAAACTAAACAGAGAGAGAAGAGATAGGAAAATGATACCCCGTGTTTGATGGGTAGGGTTTGGGTTAGAGTTACGATATTGGGGATGGTGAGGAGAGTCGCGACAAGAGAGGGATAGGGGGGTGGATCAAGGTTGACAACATCAGAAAACGGGGGGTGAGGGGGACAATTGAAACACACACACAAATATATCTCACACAGGCTGACCTGATTGATGCTGTTTGATTGTTGATTATTATTATTATTATCACCATCCCTACCACTCACTCACTAGTACTCTACTCTACCACCCAGACAAACAAACAAATAAACAAATAGACAAACAGTGCTTTTAGTTTTTAGGATTATTTGTGTTGTTGTTGGTTGTTGTTGGTTGCTTCTTCATCATCATCATCATCATCATCACGAGCAAGCAAGCATTTCCTTGCTTCCTATGCTTGCTTTTTCTTTCTTTCTTTCTCTCTCTCCTCTTTAAACTGTTTGATACTATTCTTACAGTAAGAAGAAGAATCAATCAGTAGCAGCAACAGCAGCAGCAGCAGCAACAGCAGCAGTAGTAGTAAGAAGAAGACAGTAGCAGTCAAGCAAGCAGTACTGTTCTGTTATACTATATATATACTGTTCCTGTAGTATAGTATTATATATATATATTTATATTTATTAGACGACCATCATCAGAGAGAGTAATGATTTACCGCCGAGTTGGTTGAATTTGAAGACAAGCACATCTCCATCTCCAAAGAGAATAATTCAAATAGACAAAAGACAACAACACGCAACATCATCCAATCAGTTAGTCAGTCAGTCATTAGTAATAATGTAAGAAAGGAATATAAAGGAAGAGAGAAAGAGTTTTGGAAAATAGAATACATTTATTGCTTGAAATAATAATAATAATAATTTAATATTATTATTATTATTTAATATTATTCATTTTATATATAAATAGTAAAAAGAAAATAGGGTCATACACATTCAACACCAATCTATTACGTCTATCTATCTATCTAGAGTTAATTTGAGATAAACAAATATCTTTATTTTCTATCTAAAAAAAACCATATTTTATTGTTGCTCTTCATTGTATAGAATCAAAAAATTAACCGCCCTATCATATCCTTCCTACCTTTTTTGTTTCCTTCCCCTATTATTTCCAGAGTTTTATATATTTATATATACCATTGAAATTTCATTCCCTCCCCGATCCTTTCCCCCATAAATGTTGATCACATATTTATTATTATTTATTGCTATACTCATTATATAATATCTTCTCCTCTCCTCTCTTTTCTTATTCTCTTCTCTTCTCTTCTCTCTTTTAATAATAATAATATAATTATTTTAAACATTACTTAATTTACTTACATATTTCTCCTCTCTCTCTCTCTCTCTCTAGAATTCAAATGAAATAATCATTCCATTCCACTTTATAATTTAATTTATATAACAAACCAAAATTTATTTATACATATATTCATATACATATTTATCCAAACCAAATCCCCCATCACCATATACTTTATTGATTTAAATTTAATCAATTCCCCAAAACCATCTTTCTTTTTTTTGTAAAAAAAAAACAACAAACCATTTCCATTTCTTCCATACCTTCAATTACTTCCATCTTTCTTTCTTTTTTTTTTTTTTAAAAAAAAATGACAATGTTTAATGAATCACAAACCATATTTTCATCTCTATTGGCATCTAGTTTGTTGGTTGGTATGCCAAGTGCACTGATTGTATGTATATTTTTTCTATTGTACGTTAGGGTGCTCAAGAGAAAGATGTCACCCAAAGACAATCTTCCACCCATCATTTCGTCGTACATTGTACAGTGTCTCTACTCTATCACAAGTTATTGGGACAAAATCATTCCTCAGGCCAAGTATTATAGATTCTACCACGACTTTATAGTGTTTCAATGTTTATCTGTAATTTTTTCCATAAAGTTGATCGAGTTTCTCAAGATGGGCGACCGTTCGTCCAAAGAGCTCGCCAACCTCACAAAAACCAACGAGCGGAACCTGAGCAGGCTCCTCTACCGCCTGACCAACGAAGGCTACCTGATATACAACGAAAAGGATGGACGTTACTCGATCAACAAACAGACACTGACACTCTTTGAACAACGACATTTTATGGGGATGACCTATGAACGTCCATACCAAAATATTAATCATCAGCAGCAGCAACAGCAGCAACAACAACAACCACAACGCAATAATATAATAACATCACCGATGGGTAGCGGTGTTGGACAAGGAGCAGATTGTAATAATTTGGCAGTTAGAGATGGAGCAGATATTATCAACCCGTCATCACCCAATCTTGTTGGACAATCACCATTTCAGCAACAACAACCAGCACCATCAGTTTTAAATGGGACATGGTCAGATGAACGCGATGTCTATCTCAAACGACTATTTGAAGCGGCAATGAAACAAAAGAACGAACTCAACAAGCTGCATCAAGATATTGCCAACTGCTTTAATTTTTCTCGATTTAAACATCTCTGCGACCTCGGTGGTGGTTTTGGGTATCTCGGTTTCCAGATTCTTCGACGTCACCCGCAGTGTGAAATCATCGTCCTCGAAACAGAAGAAGCCGTCAAACACGGCATGGAAATCTCTTCAAACGACCCACAGAAAAAGATTCTTCTCGATGACAACAAAATCAACTTTAAGATTGGCGATATTTTCCAACCAAGAACCGTTCCCATTGTCAGTGGTTACATTTTAATGCAAATATTATGTATATGGAATGACGACGATTGTCGACGTATCTTGTCGTCAGTGGCAACAATCATGAGGAAAGAAAAGAATCAATCTGGATCATCTCCATCTTTGATCATTATCGATTATATTTCCCAAGATCAAAATAATTTAGATTTCAACAACAATAATAATAATAATAGTAGTAATAATAATAATAGAAACAACTCGAGTAATAATAGTAATGAATGTAAAAAAAATGGTCAAAATGCAGGTAGTGCAAATGAAAATAGTAATGGTTTATCTTCTTGTCAACAACAGCAGCAACAACAGGTAATAAACAAAACAACATCTATGGATATAGTTATGATTGGAATAGTTGGATGTGATCAAAGAAATCAGGCGCAATGGGATACACTATTTAGAGAAAGTGGATTATCCATTCAACAATGTAACAAGGTTCCACATCAAATCACTGAATATTCATCTTCAACCACCGAGAATCTTTTTTTAATGGAATTGGTTGTAATTTAACTTATAAAATCAAAATACAATAAAAACTTTTAAAAGATCAAGATGATTTTAAATAAATAATAATAAATTATTTTTTCTTGGATCATCGAAAATAAAAAACTTAAGAGTTTTATATTTGTAATTGATTGTTGTTTTTAGTATTACTATTTCTTTTATTTTCTTTTGTTGTTTGTTGTCTCTTGATAATTTAAATAAATAGTAATCTTTTGAATTTATTATCTATTCTTTTGTTTTTTCGGTTTAATGATGAGGTTTGGTTTGGTTTGAAATTGTTGGCGCCCGTCTTGTTTCGTTTTGGTTTCCAATTAATTATTATTATTATTATTATTAATTATTATTATTAATTATTATTATTATTATGTCGATGTTGTTTGAAAAATAAATAAGTATGGTATGGTTTGTTTGTGCAAAGGAAAAGAAAAAAAAAAAAAAAAAAAGAGGAATGAACCTTTTTTTTTTTTTTTGATTGTTGTAAGAGTTATTAACTATTATTGTTGTTATTATTATTAATTACCCTCTTTTTTTTTTTCTTATTATTTCTTATTCTTTTTGTTGTTCTTGTTTCTTGTGAATTTTCTTTTTTTTTATGTTGTTGTTGTTGTTGATTATTTTTTCTTCTTCTTCTTCTTATAAGATTATACGACAAATTATACCATTTAATCGATGAACATAAAGTACGTTTACAGTAGTTGTTGAATTTGGTGGATGGAAATATTGGTCTAAAACGCAAACACAGTTGGACGAGATTGATTCCTTGAGGGATTGTATGGCCTGAGCAGTGATGTTGTTGTGGTTCATATGTACAGTGGTGAGAGATTGGTTATACCAGAGGGCCTCGCCGAGGAGTCGAATGTGGTCGCTCGAGATGCCGTTGGCCGAGAGATTGATTTCCTGGAGCGTTTGGTTGCCCTTAAAGGCCTCGCAGAGATAACGGAATCCTTCGTCGCCAATTTCGTTGCCACGTAGTTCGATGTTTGTGATGGTGTCGTTGTATTTCAGTGTCTCTGAGAGCATGCGTGCACCCTGTGGTCCAAAGGCGTTGGTACAGACCGACAGCGTGCGCAAGCCGCGGTTGCCGCAGATGGCCTCGCAAAAGAAGATGGCGCCCTGCGCACCCATCTGCGGGTTGATCGAAATGTCAAAGTGTGTAAGGGTGGTGTTTTGGCGGATGGCCTGTCCGATGGCCTGCGCACCCGTTGCACCAATATTGTTAAAGGCAAGCGACAAAAAGGTGAGCTTCTTGTTGGAGGCCAGGATCTCGGCAATGTTGGCCGTGCCCTTGTCGCCAATGTCGTTGCCGCACAGGTCGAGGTACGTCAACGACGGGCTGTGCTGCACCGCGAGCGTCACGGCCTTCATTCCCTTGTATCCAAACTCGTTTCGCGACAAGTCGAGCGACTGCACGCTCGTGCTCAGCTGGATGCCCTCGGCAATATGCTTGACGCCGTCGTTGGACAGCTTGGTGTCGCAAAAGTTGAGTGTTGCCAGCTGCGGATGCTTCTTGATCGCCTCGCTGATGATCTTGCAGTTCTTGTCGCCCAGGTCGTTCTTGGAGTAGTCGACGTCGGTCAATCCGACGTTCTTGGCAATCGCCTCGCTGATGAGATCGATGCCCTTGACGCCAAACCTGTTTTTCGACAGGCTCAGCATCTTGAGCGTCTTGTTGGCCTGGATTGCTTGTGCCAGCGCCTTGCTGCCCTTGAGTCCGATGCAGTTTTGCGACAGGTCCAAGCTCGTCAGTGACGTGTTGACCATCAACGCCTTGCTAATCTCCTCGGCACCCTCGTTACCGATGCTGTTGAACGACAGGTTGAGTGCCGTCAGTGTCGAGTTGTCGACCAGGCTCGTGCCAATAATGTGTGCCGCCTTGTTGCCAATTCCGTTCTGTGGCAGGTCAAACGTGGTGATGCCCTTGTTGTTGCCAAGGATCAGTTTGATGTAGGGAATGGCGTCGTAGAGTATAGGCGTCACCAACTTTAATTGCAGTGTGCGCAGATTGGGATAAGTGTTGTGTGAGAAGTTGTAAAAGAGGTTGGTTATTTTCTTGTCGGCTGGCAGGTGATAGACATAGTTGACGATGCGGTCGACCGACAGTTTCCTCCACGTCTGGCAAACTGCCGAAATATTGCTATATACAGGTGATGCGGGCTCGTCTTTATGTGCCCGACCGAGGATACGTGACATGATCGAGCTGTCAATGTCGGTTATATAGGGCCATCTCGTACCCGGCACCCACAAACACTCGGGTATCAAATCACTGGGTGACGGTGTCACCGCGGCACTGCTCCCAGCAGCCGCCGTTGTGCTTGTAGTTGATGTAGTAGGAGGTGACGCATTCATATCGCCGCCACCACCTCCTCCTCCTACAATCGAGTGTTGTGGTTGAGGTGGAATCTCATACGAAGAGGATGAAAGATTTTCAAGTTTCATGTCGATCTGGTTGTTGTTGTTGTTGTTGGAAGAGGATGAAGGTGATTGAGTTGTGGTATTGTTGTTGTTGCTGCTGCTGCTGCTGCTGCTGCTGCTGCTGCTGGATGACTGCTGAGGTGATTTGGATTGTAATTCAATGTGAAGTTGGTGGTGGCGGTGGTGGTGTCCGAGCCCAACTTGGTCGGGCTCTTGCTTGATTTTGTCTATCAGCGGGTCATATGATGGGACGTGGGGGTAGGAGGACTGTACGTTCTGGTTCGAGTCGGACAACACTGCGTCCAATCCTCCCTCTTTCTTGATCTCGTGGTGATGACTGAGCCCGTTTCCGCCAAGCTCGTCACCCTCTGTTGCCCCTTGCATATAACTATAGTATGATTGGTTGTCCACGTTGTTCATTTCTCGTTGTTCCTGTTGCTGCTGCTCTTGTTGCTGTTGTTGTTGTTGAGAATTTACATTCATAGGTTAAACGATCGTATAACAATGTATAGAGCAAATAAAGTAATTAAGATTAAAAAATAAAATCGATTGGTTGGTAGGTAGGTTGGGGTTGGGTGAGAATGAGAGTTAGAGTAAAAGGTAATTTAAATATTGAATTAATATAAAATTTGGTGGGGGTATGAATTAATATATGAATCAAAAAGTCTATAATAAGAGTTTTCTTCTTTCTTCTGACGTCGACGATTTCTTTCTTCTGCTGATAAACAACAACACTCCCAAAAACAAACAGCAAAAACAAATTTGTTTGGTTTTTAATTTATAAAAATGGTGAAGTTGAGTATATAATAATAAAAAAAAAAAAGTTTTTAGAAAAAGAAAATAAAATATAAAATAAAATTATTGTTGGGGGGAGGGCAAAGGCGGAGTGGAGAGGATGATTGACGTTAACTCCTCCCTCCTCTTTAATTACTATTGTATTATTTGCTGCTTGCTATTACTACTACTACTACTACTACTACTACTAATACTAATACTATTGAAAAAGCAATGGGGGAATGAATCAAATCATATAAAGATCAAATTGATACCCAGATTGCCGATATGCTGGTTGGTAGTTTCAAACTTGAAAATCGTATTCTCTTAAAACTATAGGGAGTGTGAAGTTGAGCGAGTTGGTTGTGGTTGTGGTTGTGGTTGGGTTGGTTGGTTGATTGCTTGTGGTTAATTAATTAAAAAAAAAAAAAAGAGTAAAATGAGACAGACTAAACAAGATAGATCTAACTCGACTGAAAAAAAAAAGATAGATAGATAAATAGATAGAGAGAGATATTGTGTGGGTGTTACAAAAATAAAATGGAACTATTAACTAAAAAAGTAATAAAAATAAGGTCCTATTCCTTTCCTCCTCCAAGTCTGCTGTGCACGCACTTGCTAAAAAAATTAAAGAAAAAATTTCGATGGATTGCATGCCCCCATTCATTTTAGAGATAGCTCCTCCCTTTTGCAATTTGATTTCGGATGAGGTCAAGGTTAGGAGGAAGGAAAAGACCCTTCTTTTGGGCATCACTTATACTGGATGAAGATGATGATGATGAGGATGGTTGTTCGCATTCGTTCGACAAAAGATAGATAGAGACTCTTTAGATTTGTTTTGTTTGTTTGTTTGTTTTGTTTGTTTGTTTGTTTAGTTTGTTTCATTTCATACAACTTACATGATGATGGTGATAGTTCATGAATATTTATAAAGGAAGATGGCGACACAATGGGTTGAGGTAATAATATAATATAATATAATATTTACGACCCCTTCCTGATGCTAATGCCTAATAATAATAATAATAACTCTGACTCTGTGCTGTTACTGCTGTTGTTGATGGTTGCTACTAGTACTCTTCTGATTTGCGTCACTAGAGATGTATGATAATAAGATATATTTTGAATGAGGAAGGGAAGTACCCTGCTGTTAGCAATGCGATGATGATATTTTCAAAAGAGAGGGGACAGGAAGGGAGGGATAAAGATAAAGGGGAGTGAAGTTCTTATAATTAGTTGGGGGCTGCTCGTCTGATGTGGCCCCCTATTTTCAAATTGAAATTGAAAAAAAATATCTCTAAAATTAATTAATTTGAAAGATCCATAGGGCGCGCGAAAAGAGTGTTTTGGTTCTTCAAAAATGTAGAGATACAATGACAAGCTAACTTCAACTGAATTATTTAATTATAATTTGTGTGATTGGCGATTGATATTTACGTTTCAAAATTTGATTTTCCGGGTGGGTATAATAATGATAATACACTCCCTCAAACTACTCTTAAAAGTATCCAGGACTGTAAAACTACTAACTAGTATGATTAAAATAAATAATTGGTGTAGGTGGTGAGGAGAGGGTGGGTTTGATGATAATGATGATCACTGCCACTGCTCTTTTGGCTGTTGAATTACCAAAAAATCTACCGTTTGGATGTTTTGAGGGTTCGACCTACCTTACCTAATGCTGGCAATGGTTTTAAAATAAATAATAAATAAATAAATAAATAAATAAATAATAATAAATATTGTTGGTTGGATTTGGTGATTGATTTGATTGGTGATTTGACTGATGATGATGATGATGAATATTCTCTCTCTGATCAGGACTAAATTGAGAATAAAACTGTCAAAATTTTGAAATGGACAAGGAAATAAATAAATAAATTATAAATATTGATTGTTGGTGGTTTCCTTTCACTTTTGTCGTAAGTAGTAGACTAAATGATGGGTTGATTTATGATTGGTGATGGATGGATTGATTGATTACAACATCAAAAAAATAATATCAATACCCAACAATAAATCAGTAAAGTCGGGACAAGTAGTGGTGAATGAAATTTGGTGGTAATGTTGATGATGATAATGATGAAAAAGAGGAGAGAGGATTGGTGAAACAAATTAATTAATTGAATCTATAAATAAGGAAAATAATTTGGATTAGAATGGATTTCAATCAGATATATTATTTTTTTTTTTGTTTTAGGATAATTTTCGGGTGTTTGTTGTTGTTGTTGTTGATGTTGTTGATGATGTATATCAAGTGTGATGGAAACAGAAAAAAAAAGAATGAATAAATGATGAATGGGAACAATAGATAGTAGATAGGTATAGGCTGGTTGGTGTTGTATGTTGCTGGCTGATGCTGCTAATCCAAAAAAGTAGGCTGGAGAAGGAATAGATTGGTAAGATGATGGATTAGGGATACGTGTATTTTATGTGAATAAATGGATGGGAACGACTAGAGCTATTAATTAATCACTGTCAATATACTTTTTCCGAAGGTGGTGGTAGTTGTATTGGTGGTGTTGATGATTGATTTAATCAACCAAAGTTGGTTCTATTAGTAGAGATAAAGTGTAGAGAGATAATTTAGGTTGTCTAAATTATTGATTATCTATTTTGGAAATAGGTAGGTGTAGAGCTGTAATGGTGGTTGGTGTACTAGTATATATGGACGGAGAAAGATGTGGTTGGTTGGTTTATATATATATATATATATTAATTAATTAATTTGGATCTCCTTAATAATCATTCCTTCCTTGCTTCGTTTTGAATGAACCTGTTGTTATAGCGCAAAACAAAAAACTAGCGAGCGGGAGAGAGAGGAGTGTAGAGTAGATTGTGAGGTGCGACAATTATCCAATTAATTAATTAATGCTGTTGAATGTATTTTTTGCTTCTGTCTGGAATTTGGGTGAAACATACCAACAACAACAATATGATGATGAAACTTGTTTGTTGTTTCAAAAAGTGATAAAATTGGAGTCTTTCCAATACAAACAACAAACTTTGCTGCTTTGCTTCCAATTGGAAAAATTGCAATGCATTTACTTTCTACCCACCCCCACTCTACCACCTAGATTTATCATACCCACCTCTCTTTCTTCTTTTGATATGTGATGGTAGAGTATATATTTTAATCGACATCATCCCACCCATCCTACACCCAGAACAGGGTAGGTAGGTAGGTGGAACAAAAAAAATACCAAACACCCAAAAAAAAAAAAAAAAAAAAGTGGATGGCAACAATTGATTAATCAAGGAAGAAGGTGGAAATTGAGGGGGTAGGGTTTTATGATGTTGGCAATAGTAGTAGTGTTGGTAGAGTGGTGGCGGTGGTGGTGATGAGGGGTATTTTCGGGGTGATTGTAGTGATTGATTCTATTATCCATCCCCACTTGTTGTCTTGGTCATCACTCCTACATTTTTGACTGCTATCAACAATTTGTCAAGGGAACTTCTGCGCATATTTTTAAAATAACAAAGATCTTTACAGATTGCTGCTACAATATATTATAATGTCGGACTTTTTGTTCTCCCATTGGTATTCCATACTTTTTGTAATGGATAATGACTTTAAGGTTTCAAATTAATTAATGTAATATGTATGTATTGTGTGTTGAGCAGAGAAGAGGAGAGAAAGAGATAATTATTATATCTTTGAGAATTGATATTGATTGGAAATGAAAAAACATTCCATTTTTAAACAAATAGATCCATCCACAAAAAAGATGTAGACACCATATGAATGAAATGTATACTTTACAATTAATCTAAGATTCTATTTCTTTTCTCTCTCTTATTAATTTATTTGTTTAATTTATTTATATAAATAACTACTTTACTTTGACCAACCCTTGCTATTATTATTATTAATACTATCGATTGATTGATTGACTGTGTTCGTATCTGTTGTTGCTTGTGACACAATGTTATTGATTTTTTATTGGAATGATGATGAAAGAGGTAGGTTGAAAAGATGGGAAGATGGGTTGTTATTGATCAATAGAGGAAACTCGGATGATGATCATGAGCGTGTGTGTGTGTGATTGATTAAAAGTGATGTCACAAGTACACAAACCAAACAAACAATTAATTTATTAGACTTTTTTGTTGGTTGATTAAAAATAAAGTGGTATGATAGGAGGTAGTGGTGGTCGGTAGTAGTAGAAGTAGAAGTAGTAGTCACTACACTTTTATTAATTAATAAGCAGTAGTCGCAGCAACAGAGCAGAAGAAGAAGTGATGGAGAGAAGATTCCAACATCTATGATAGATGCTAAAGTATAATACTAGGGGTGCACTCCACCCTCCCTCCCCAAATATGACATAAATCGATTCTTTGACCAACAAGCACCACTACTACTATAATAAATCTCAAAGTGGGTTAACCATTGTGCCATAAATGGAGAAGCATACCAACCATGGTTCTGCCAGCTCTGCACCCCCCCTCTCCCGATAGTACTAGTCGTAGTAGAGAGTGGGCAGATTTATTATAGTGGGTGATGAGCAGATTGACACCCCCTCTGCACGATGGTTGGCATTGCAATATACTATTAGGCAATTAATTAATATTAAATAAAGGAATGAATGAATGAATGAATAAAGGAAATCCCCACTCACCCATTCACCACAGTGGTGTTCCAAACCACAACCCGCCCGTTTTTGCCCACTATGATGGCGATGTGGTGATTAATCACTTTTGTTCATCCAAACCCCTCCCCCTATCAGTTGCCTTGAATGGGTCATTTATGCATACGCTGTAAAAGAAAGATACCCAGATTTGAAATATCCAAAGCAGGAATTGGATCTGCTGTCAATATTACTTGTTTTGGGAAAGAGCCCTTTGATCCATTGACATCGATTAATACAAACATATATGTCAATAAAGCAACAAACAAACTTGTTGGCATGTTCGATTGTGTGAAGGGTTACAAATTAAATGAAATGGTGATAAAAGTGTGTCTTTTGGTTAATAAAAGGTGGTGGTAGTGTATGTTTCAGACGATAAGATGTGTGTTAAGGTTAGGGCTGTTCTCTTAATCATCTTGAGGATTAATCAATTGAAATGGTAAGTGTCGACACTTTCATTCTGTAGGAACTAACCTCTACGAGATAAGATCCCTCTTTGGATCTTATCCACACAGAGAGATAGACAGGGAAATTATTCTGTGAATTCTGTGGATTCCAGATTATTTTGATGAATATCTCGAAAAACCTTTTCTTTATCTTTATTTTGTACAATGGTTGGTTTGGAGAAAAAAAAAACAATTACTTATTATTATTATTATTATTATTATTAATATTTAGGTATCAATTTTATGGTTATTATTATTATTATTATCAACGGTAGATGTATTTCCAATTTTTCCACCAGATTGAATGATAGTTGCTTTGACATCGATAAGATAATGATCGATAATGGGAAAGGTTTCCAAAAACAATTGTTTGTACATTTCAGATTTAAAGGGGACACCCATGTCTGCATCGGTCACAAACTTTTTAAAGTCATACCATTTGACCTCTTGAAACTCTGGTTCTGCTTCGTAGGTCAGATCGACACTCGCTATTTTGTCGGCTGGCATGTAAAAGAGATACCAGTGTATGGTTTGACCACTAAACTTTCTCTTTGTATTCTCAGGATCGTCGGGTGCATACGTGTATGTGATGGGGTGGTTCACCTTGGACACATAACGTAGACAATTTGAATTGATCGATAATCCAACCTCCTCTTTGATCTCTCTTACCACTGCTGCATAATAATCTTCATTCTTTTCAACTTCTACTCCTCCTTGAGGTAGTTGCCACTAATAATAATAATAATAATGTAGATTGGATTAGTTAATTGTGATTTATGTATGTCTGTATCTATCTATCTACATACTCTACCAACAGAAGTTTTCTTTACAGATGATCTCTTTCCAAGTAATACTTGTCCATCTTCATTAAAGATTAGTGCTCCTACACAACTTCTCAATTTTAATGGTTCATTCATAATTTGTTGTGTTTTGTTTTTTTTAATTGTGTTGTGTGTATAAATATATATATTTATATTTATATCTTTATCTATCTATCTATCTATGTTTATAACTCTATCTTTATCTTTAATTTAAATTATAAAGATTGTAATGCAATGAAGAATGGAGAATTAAATTGATAATAGAAATTAAATATTAAATTGTAAAAATAAATGTTACATGAATTGGGACAATTATATTGAAAATTAATAATAATAATATTATTGTGTGTCTGTTTAAATTGCAACAACAACACATGCGAAATGAAGAAATGAGGGAGTGTGCTAAACAATGTGTGAACGAGAGTGCTCACTCCTCTTCTTGTTGTGTTGACAGTGAGCTCACTCACTGCACTATCGTCTTTCGGTGTTGTGAGCACGTGATTCAAATAATTTCAAACACAATATTCAATTCTTTCTATTTGTTTGATAGATATTGATTGTTTTTGATCTATCATCTCTCTATCTCTATCTCTCTCTTTCTCTATTGACACAAATAATAAGTTATTATAACTTAACTATAAAACAAACAACATACTACTAGCAGATGTTCAGCACAAGCCACGGTAGACCAATTATGAAGTTTTTCTCTCATTTAAAACCATAAAAAGTTCGCGACGGAGAGAAGATTGATCATTGTCGTCGTTTGTTTCAACATAAATTAATAATAGAAAGCAGATAGATCGATAGATAGATAGATAGATAGAGAATAACAGTAATGTCATTTGAATATCAAGTCATTTTACTTGCAACAAAGCTGGCCAATGCCAAGCTCGAACCAATCGATGAGGACTTGCCTCATTCGATGCTCCCAGTTTGCAACAGACCACTCATTTCATATCAATTAGAGTTATTAGAAAAGGCTGGATTTCATTGTATGTTGTTGTTGAGTTGATAAAGTATTCTCTTTATTGTACTTATTCCTTCCTTCTTCTTCTTCTTCATCTTCTTCTTTTACAGCTGTATTGGTTGTTATCAATGAATTTGATCAATCAAAGATTAGACCATTCGTATTAGAGATTTACAAAGGAAAGATTGAAGTTGAATTCTTTGTATTAAAGGATCAAATTGGAACTGGTGAAATATTATATAGAATCAGAGATAAGATTAAAGTAAGACGAATAGGATGATGATTTACAATCAAATGTATCATTTATACTGATTCATTCTCATTCATTTTTTATAGACACCAAACTTTATCGTTATGAATGGTAACTTGATTGCCGATGAAGGATTTGTTAGAAAGATGGCAGACTCACATAGAAGCAACGATGCATCATTCACAGTGCTATTGAATCCACCACCCGCAGCTCCAACTCAACCAACCAAATCAGAATCTATCGATACTTCATTTGTCGATTACATTGCACTCGATGAAAACGCACAACGTATTTTGTTTATGGAAAGAGCAACTGAAATTGAAGATGATATTCCAATCTCTAAATCATTATTGAAACAGTAAGAGAGGAGAGGAGAGGAGGAGAGGAGAGGAGAGGAGAGGAGAGGAGAGGAGAGGAGAGGAGAGGAGAGGAGAGGAGAGGAGAGGAGAGGAGAGGAGAGGAGAGGAGAGGAGAGGAGAGGAGAGGATAGATAGATAGATATATAATATATATACTAATTATATTTGATTTAGTTTCCCAAATTTAGTATTTAATAATAATTTACAAGATGCACAATTCTATATCTTTTCAAGATGGGTGATTGATTTGATTGCAGAAGATCAAAAGAGCAAAAATATACAGTTTGTCAGCATCAAGAATCACTTGATACCCTATTTATTGTCATGTCAAGTTCCAGGACACGGCAACCATTTGCCAGCCACTGCACTCAACTATTTACACGATCTTGGTTTGTCCATGTCTTCGTCGGCCAGTCCCTTCAACCCATCCTATCACATCAACCAAAGCACAACGGGCACGATCAAGTGTTTGGCCTATTTGATGCCACGCGACGGTTACTGTGCCAACATTAACAACTTGCAGTCATACAGAGCAGTCAACAATGATATTGCTCGTGGTGCTTCCAGCTCTATCAAGCCACACGAACCAAGAGGCAAGAACAACTATGTCGATCCAACCGTACAGGTTGCTCCTACCTCGGTCGGTGCCGACTGTGTCATTGGTATGGCTACTGTCCTCGGTGCCAAGTCTAGCGTCAAGAAATCAATCATTGGTAAACACTGTAAATTTGGTCTCTCTGTTAGAATTGAAAATGCAATCATTATGGATCATGTTACTGTTGAAGATGGGTAAGAAGAGAAATGATAAAGAGAAAAAGGTAGTTGATAAATCACATTTTAACCTTTTTTCTATTTTTAAAATCTTATAGATGTAGTATTAATGGATCAATCATTGGTAACAATGTTTATATAAAGACCAAACTAGCTGTAAAGGATAGTCAAGTAGCATCGGGATATACTGTCAAAAAAGAATTAAAGAGTAAAGCCGTTGGAAATGAATTGGAATAAATAATACAAGTCGTAGAGAGTAATTTGTAAATTACAAATTATTAATAATAATATTTCGATACGATGACATCGTATTTGATCCACATATTTGCAATGATTGATATCTCCAACATGAATTTGATTTGGTTTGGTGATTCTTTTGGAAAAATGTTAAAGTAAATCCTCACGAAAATAGGTAGAATAGAGGAAAGAAGGGGGTAATGACTGGAAAGATACCAAATGAACAATGATTTATTTTTGTACGGATATATTGATTTTACTACTACTTTGATGGAAATAATTATATCTTTCCTACCATTTTTTGATGGTGAAAATCATTGATAACATAATTATTTTAGACATCAAAAAATGGTTGGAAAGAATATAAATTATTGATCGTTTGTTAGAGTTACAACATTCCAATTTGTTTTTGAAAGGTAACAGTAGTGTTTGATCTTATTAGGTTGTTGGGATTGTTGTTGACGTGGGTTCTTTAGTTGTATGATTGAAGAGTACTACTCTTTAGAATTTGACCTAGATATATTCCCCTCGTTGAACAGGAATGGGTGTTGCAAGAGAGCAACTATTCATATTATATCACACTTACAACTTGATCAAAAGCTAAGAATGTCTAATAACCTTTAAAATTAATCATTTTATTTTTATATTTTCTCTCTATCTCTATATTTCTTTTAATGAAATAATACATATATATTTTGAAATTTGAATATTAGGTCAATTCCTTGATGCACAAAGTTTGGTAGCAAAAATAAATAAAATAAAAACAAACTCTTTTGGTGATGATCAAAAAATGAACATGCCAAGTTTGGGAGGTCCTCTCATCAATCGAGTCAGACACAAAGAGAGACTAAAAGATATATAGATATAGATATAGGTAGACAAGATGAGAATATATACTAGCATATCATCCATATTATTGGTATTGATATCAATCATATTATGTTCAACTGCTGTATATTCAATGTATGAAGAACAATATGGTGTATCTAATTGGTATGTGTCACACACAGTGATCGGGCTAGCAAAGAAGAAGAAGAAGAATTGACATTGTTGTTTATATACATGTATTATATATATATATATATATATATAGGATCATTAATAATATAGGGAAAGTAGAGAATGCAATAGTGATTGAAGATACCGATGACAAGTATTTCTTGGCACAATCATCGGTTTTACAGAGCAACGATCCAAAAGACACTGTCAACATTATTAGTTTGTTGTCAGCTACTACTGGTAGATTGGTTTGGAGACAAATCTTACCAAGACAAGAAAAGACTGTTCAATTATTATCTTTAAAGAAACAATCATCAAGTAAGTCGAGAAAGGAGAAAGGAGAATAGAGATATATGGATCTATATAAAAGATGTGATATTAACTTTTCTTATTTTTCTATTAATTAGCATTTGTTACAATATCATCTGGTAATATTATTAGATATTGGTCAAGAAAGAATGGTACGGTGATTTGGAACAATTATATTGCATCAAATGATCATTGTGAAGGTGGTGTTGTCTTTGTAGAGGATATTGACAAGGATCATTTAAGCGAGTTGAGAGTTACCTGTGACAATAGTGTTGTATTGTTGTCATCAAAGAATGGAAATCAAGTGTGGCAGAGAAAGGCTGCTGGAGAGGGTGTAACCTTTGTTCGTTCACAATCACCAGATACATTGTTCTCGTACGATAAAACCACCTTTTATGTTGATACTATCAACCCGTTAACTGGTGAATCTACCCAAGAGAAAAAGTCAATCAAGGTGATACCAGATGGTTCAGAACACAAGTTGTGGCCAACACACATTGTTACATCGACTGGAGAGATTGTGATTATGGTTCCAGGTGCCAATGTTGTCTATGTTGGAAAGATCAATGGCAAGACAGTCGATAGTTTCCAAGCTGTCACTGTCGATGCTCAAGTTGACTCTCTATCTGCATCCGTCCAACCTAGTCCATACTTTGTTGTCAACAATCGTTTCGTTTACAAAGGTGTCAACAAAGTATTCGAGTTGGAAAAGGATTCACAACAACAGTTACTTTTAACTGGTGACAGTGGTAGTTTGGTCGTACCAAACAACAACACGATTGTATTGGTTGAAAAGGAAGACAAAAAGGTAGTTTACACATTGCCAGACAATCTTTACAGAGACAGTCCACTTGTCCAAGTATGGGCAGTTGACGCAAAGACGGTTATTGCAGTTGCCAGAGACTGGTCATTGACCGGATACCGTTTGGCCAGCAAGGACAACATTGTTGAAAAGGTATGGAAGCGTGAAGAGGCATTGGCAGCAGTTGTTGCCAGCGAACTTATCGATATCCCTCCAAAGGACTTGTCCAAGTTGCAAAAGCTCGAAGAAGAGTTCCACGGTGCTCAAGACGAGTCGACTGTCGCACACTTGCTCCGACGTTTGTCGATCCAGTTGTCGTCGGTCTTTGGATCGATCGTTGGATCGAGTGACGAGGTAGTTGCACCAAACCAATTCAAGGGTGAGGGTGACAGCATGACCGACAAGATTTTGGTCGTTGTCACACGTGCAGGTGTCGCATTTGGATTAGAGACTGGTGACAAGGGACGTATCATGTGGGTCAAGCCGTTGGCTCAATACGTTATGGTTGCCGACGACATTCGACTCCACGTCACCAAGTCTCAGCACCCAGGTGCCGAGATTGTCATCATTCACTATGTCAACTTTGATGATGTTCCAGGTGGACGTCCCGGTGCCAAGCACCACCGTGCACGTATCACTCATGTCGACGCTGTCTCTGGTAAAGAACTCTCCTACACTATCGTCCACGGTACACCAGTCCTCCACTCTGCAGTCATCCCTATCGACTCTTTGGGTGCATCCAACAACAATAATGTCAATGCGAGTGAAGGAGCTGCAACAGGAGAGAATCTCTTTATCACAGTACTCAACTACCCAGGTAAAGGTGCTCCACCCATTGTACAAGTGTCTCCATGGACTGCCGAGACACGTTTCAACTGGGAGCTCCTCAAAAAGATTTCCTTTTATTTGATCGATCATCAAGAGTCTGTTATCCGCGGTTATTCAATCGAATCGATGGCCAATGGTCGTACAGGATCATTCAAGTCGGTCGAAACATGGCGCATCAACTTTGGCAAGCTCTACCAAAAGGTTGTAGCTGTCGGCAAGACCAACCCACACGAGATTATTGTCTCACCAGCCATTATCCTCGGTAACCGCAATCTCTTGCCCAAGTACATCAACCGTAACATCATCTCGGTGGCCACCTACGACAAGGCTGCCTCATTGGCCAACATCTATTTGATCGACTCTATCAGTGGTGCCATCATCAAGGAATACACCCATTCCAATGCTGGTGGTCACATTCCAATCGTTCATCTTGAAAACAGTGTCATCTATTCAGTTTTTGATACCTCTTTAAATAAGCAAACCATTTCATCAATAGATTTATTTGAAAAGAATGTTGAATGGAACAAGTACGAAGCAAATTTAATAATAATAATAATAATAATTATTTGATTTAAAATACTAACAAATCTTTTTTGATTTCTTTTAGGGAAACAATTACATCATTTGATTCAAGTCAAAGTGATAATTTAATTATTAGTCAAAAGAGTTTTACCATTCCATTTATTGTTGAAACCTTACAATTATCACTTTCAACCAAGGGTATTACAAGCAAGGCAGTTCTTGTTGGTTTGGCTAACGGTCAAATTATGCCAATCGAAAAGAAATGGATTGATTCTCGTCGTCCCTATCCAAGTGAAGCAACCCCATACGATCAAGAAGAAGGTTTAATTCCCTATCATTCTTTATTAAATTTCCCACCCTACATGTATCTAACTCTTAATAATTCTGTATGTAATCATAAACACAAACAAATATCGATATGTAAATAATAATTTTATATGTTTCTTTTTTTACTATAGATTCCATTATTACAATCAATCAATACTCAAGGTACATCATTAGAGTCAACAGCAGTTTTAGTTGCACACGGTTTGGATATTTTTGGCTCTTTGATTGCAATCTCCACCTCTTACGATATTCTTTCACCAAGTTTCAATCATTTTGCACTTGTTTCCACTTCTTTATTATTGGTTATTATGACCCTTATCACCAATAAGATTAGAAGAGATAAATTATTAAAAAAGAAATGGAAATAATCCATAAATAAATAAATAACAACAGAGATCGACCGAATAATATACATCAAAGTAATAATAATAATATAAATTCCAAAAATAATAATAATTAATAAATACACATATATAAATTTAAATATATTTGGTTTGATTTAGGTCCATTATTATCTATTTAGTCCAGCCAATTTACTAAATAAGAGTTCATTGAATTTTTGTTGAAATGAATGACTATAGTACATTACTATATTAGGAAGTGAATCAAATACAGGTGGTGTACAAGGTGATGATCGAGATTGATCTTGTTTAGCAGATGATTCTTGATCAAGTTCACCTTTTAATTCGATAAGCTATCAAAACAAGAGAGAGACGGACGTTAGTTTTAGATCTAGTTAGCTCTTTCTTCTTTCTCTCTCTTCTTAATAATCATACACTAAATCCCTCATGCATAGACATTCGAATCAATATAGATAATGGTTCATGACATTCAATGTTAAAGAGTACAACTCCACCATCGACATCTGATCTTGGGTCTTTGTCCAATACTTTTAATTCCTTTACTCCATATGATACATCTTCAATAGCTGCTTCAATCTCCTTTTTGAAATCTATCGACATGCTGGATAAAGATTAAGAGAGAATAACGGTACTGTGAATCATCAATAATAATGGTGGTGTTGGTTCTCAAGACTGAGAAACTACTTTGAAAATAGATTCGGATGGGAGGTAGTTTGTTGTTTGGCCAACGTTTTATGAAATTTATTCAATTGCAGTCCAATTATTCAATTCCGTCCATCATTGATTAAGGTGTCCTCGCGAGTGAAAGAATAATAGTAATCATATAATAACAAACAACATATCACTCTTGTAATACTACATATATTTAAATAAACACATACACCAACAACAAGACCATGGATTCGATCATTGTTAATAAACAAGAAACCGATAAGAATAATAATAATAATAATCAAGATGATGATGATGATAGTAATGGTGTAAAGAAAGATGATAAAGCAGTAGACTCTGTTTCATCATCGAATAATAACGACGTTGTTGACAGCAACAATATAATACAATCAATTGATACAAAGGAGGAAGAGCATATTATTACAACCCCGACAACAGTTCCTACGACAGAACAACAAACAAGTATAACCACAACGACAATAATTACACCACCACAACAACAGCAACAACAACAAGATGATAACATTTTAAAAAAAGAAATCATTATACAATCACCACATAGAAATAATGATCATGATGAAGAGGAGGAGGAAGAAGAAGAAGATGAAGTACTTTCACCAACTCAATTTAAATCTCCACCTCCACCTCCACAACCTACAACTCCAACATCAATTGTAACACCACAACTACATTTACCTACACCAAGTGGCAAGTACCTTCCATTGACACCTCATCTCTCAAAGTTTGATCAATTGAGAATGATATCGGAACTGGAACACCAATCACCACATGACAAGTTGGCAAACCTCGAAGCTCTATTGATTGAAAAGAACCAAATGATACTGTCACCGGAAAAGTCTCATTTTCACGATTCCAATGGTAGGTTGACACCTCCTCCATCATTTATCGACGATCTATCATCATCTGGTGAAATTGGTAATAGCTCAGACTCGTTATTTGGTTCTGATCAGACATCAACAACCTCAACCTCAACCACTCAAACCAACATAACCTCATCGACAAATGAATTGGATACTGAAGATAAAATGAACATAGATATTGGTGGTGCTGATTCTGACGACACTGAAGATGATGATTTTGACATGTCCGCCGTAACACTAGAACTTGGTAAAAGTTTTAGTTCTGTATCAACTCATTCAGAGTCATCATCATCATTGTCTCAATCAACTGGTAGTGCTGGTAACCCTCCACCTCTTTCAACTTTACCAACAACTAAAAAGGAAGGAGAAGGAGAGGAAACATTAACATCAACAACAACTACCACCACGACCACTACAACCAAACCAGATCAACCAACATTACCAAAACCACCATTATTAGTTCCACCACCACCAACAACAAGAGTTAAAAAGGAAAATACACCTAAAAGAAGTACTTCTACTACTTCATCATCATCAACCGATATTGGAGACAAACCAAGTAGTAGTAGTAGTAAAGCAGATAAATTATTATCATTTTTAGGATTTGTTAAAAAGAAAAAGAATGATGATTCTTCTTCTTCTTCTTCTTCTAGTGGTACTACTACGACTGCAGATCAAAACATTTCAGGGTTTAAAGAAGAGTATATAAGATATCTAGACCATATGCAAGTATCTAGTAAAAATGAAGAAAAGGTTAAATTTGAAATGCCAAAGGCGTCGGTTGAGGATGGCCATGTATTTTTATTGTATGGAGATTTAACTAAATTGGTATGTGATGTAAAGATGGTACCTTGTTCGAATCATTCAATGATGCGTGTAGCATTATCGAGTTGGCTAAAGAATGATTGGTTAACATTTCCAGCCGACATTAGAAACAAAGTTATGATGAGTGTTCCACCTGAACCATTTAAACGTGGTATCAGTAGAGTTTATAAATGTCAAAGTTGGCCAACTGAATATCCAAATATAAGGTAACTAAATAATCAAAACATATTTATAATTTATTTATTTATTTATTTATTTATATTTTGCTACTTTTAGTCAACCATGGTTTACAACAGTAGTACCAAACTTTCATTATTATGAGAGGATTGGACCTGAATGGTATATAAGTGGAGCAAGAGAGTTTTTAAATGAAGTTGGAAAGGATTTGGCAAAGAATAAACCAAAACCTAAAAATGGAAGAGCAAAGCATTTGGTTGCACTTCCCATCTTGGGAACTGGTGGTGGTGGAGGATCGTCTATAGCAGGATCAATCCTATCACTCTTGTTACAGGAATTGTACAAAGCTACTCGTGTATGGAAATATGATTGTGTGTTGGTGACAAACGAATTGCCAATGTACACGGCTGCACGTAATGCAAGACGAGAGATGATGTCTCAGGACAAAGACTATTCGTATATTTACAACCAACTGTTGGGTGACCAAATGATGGAAAAGGCATCACAGTTGGCAAAGATGTTGGATCAAGGTAAATTGGCGTTGTTCTTGGGTGCTGGATGCAGCAGAAGTGCAGGTCTACCAACTTGGATTGGATTGTTAAACATGTTGGGTGAAAAGTTGGGAATGACACAAGACGAGGTGAAAGCAATGGACCAACTTCATTATTTGGATCGTGCAACAGTCCTTGAAAATCGTTGGAAAAAGGCACTTGCCAAATACTCTCCTCCGACAGTTGACGATGTGACTAAAAGGACAGCTGATAAGTCGTCGTCGACATCGCCAAATATTACTGCCAATGCTGAGGATGGAGCTGAAAACCCACTTGACTATATCTCCAATACAGTCTATTCAGAGTTACACAGAAACCTGTACAATGAAATCAATATACCAATGCAAGAAGAGATTGCCAATTTAATGAAAGTGTCTCATGCAGGATTAACCCATTTCCTAATGGCATCGACACCAGCCACCGATATTATTACAACAAACTATGACCGATGTTTTGAAATTGCTAGTACGTCTGTCGGCACATCTTGTGTGGTTCTGCCATACGAGTCATTGATCAGCAACAGCGATCATAAAAAACGTTGGATTCTCAAATTACATGGATGTGTTTCCAACCCAATGGATATTGTCATCACAAGAGAAGACTATATCCGATATGGAGATAAACGCGAGGCTCTATCTGGTATCCTCCAATCAAGTCTAATCACCAAACACCTCTTGTTTGTCGGGTTTAGTTTGGTTGACGATAATTTCTTTAACGTAATGTCTGCTGTCAAATCTGCTACATTTGCCTCAAAACAACAAAGAAAATTTGGTACAGCTTTATTTATTCAAAAGAATGATTGTATGTGTACAAAACAACAACAACAAATTATATAATTTAAATAATATATATTAATCATTCATTATTTTCTATCTTTTTTTAGTGATGAGTGAATTATGGGGACAACAAATAGACTTTGTTTGTTTGGACAAGGGAAATGAAGATATTGCAAGATGTGCAAGAAAACAGGAAATATTTTTAGAGTATCTTAGTTCGATCAGTATCAACAATACATCGCATTTGATGGAACAAAGATTCGATTGTATTTTAAAGGAAGGTGAAAAGGTGTTTAGAGATAGTTTAATCAAATTTGTTGAAGACTTGCCAGAAGAGGCAAGAGAAACACAAGTTTACAAAAAGTTTGAAACTTTTCTAAACCAAATTGGCTATCGTCACTATAGCCATCGTCGGTAGTAGTGTCAAAATCAAAGTAATAATAAACTCTCTTATTATTGTTGTATATTTTGTTTCACAAACAGACATTTAATTTGATTGTTATTATTTTTGAATCTTTGGATTTTCTCAAAGACACCCAATTTTCTACTGCATATTATTTATCTAAAAAAGATCAATCGATACTATTACTATTACTATTACAAAAGTTATACCCTATATTATGAATAGAAAAGATAGTAAAGATGAAGAAGAAAAAGAAGTAGAGAATGAAATAAATGCAACAACAACAACAATTGCAGAGGAAGAAGAAGAAGAGGATGATGATCGTCGTACATATTCATTACCGTGGCCTATAATACAACGTATATTGAAATTGGCAAGTCGTACTCTATGTACTTGTGTCAATAAAGATGCTTTGAAAAGAGCTCACGAAACTAGATCAGAAGTTAGTTTCTTCGAGCAAATATATACAGAGTATTGCCAACTTACCAATATTACCCCATCCGAAGACGATCCTCAACTCCGGTCGGTACTTCATAAAAGATTGTGTGCCCAACAAGATATCAACCAACACTCATTGACAAGAGATCAATTGTGTGCACTTCATCAATTCAATCTTGACAATGGACACCAACCAAACTTTGTATTGGTCAAACAAGACAAAGTATCAAGAGATAGTTGTAGATGGATGTGTAGTATGGCATTGCTATGTAAGAGAGTATTTGCATTTATTTCAAATCACATCTTTACCGATATTGTAATGGATGCTTCCAAAGACACTTGGTGTCATATCACCAACAACAACAACTATTGTCTCTTAAAAAAACCAAAGACACTGACAATAGTCTCTCCTAGATCACCTTCAGCATCACTATTCTTTATGAACAGTACACAAATACCCTTTGCCAAACCATTTTTCGAGAATGTTGAAAAGCTATACATCAACGAACCACTCTTATTTGCAACACCTGCGCCTATCACTTTGTTGATCAATTTGATGCCAAATCTCAGATCGGTTAGTCTCAGTGGTCGAGTTACCGAATCAGTTTTGATCAACCTTTTCAACACAGGGGCACATCTGAAATCAATCAACTTGGAAAGGGTAGGTGTAAGGAAACTTAGTACTGTGGATCCAACCGGCTCTGAGGATGAGCATTTTTATTATTATGAAAGTCCTTTTATATTTGGCAGTCTTATTCAACCGACATCATGTCTTACCAAGATTATCCTCCCCAGCCCATTCGATTGGAACAGTCTCAGTAAAGAGGTCAAAAGAAATCTTCAAGTCATTTCCTACTTTTATTTTAGTACTACATCTGATGCCGATCCTGTTCTAACGTCATCAGATTTTCCAAACCTACGACATGTTTATGTATGGTCAAGTGACAGAGTTTTCAAGCTTCCAAAGAGTGTCGTTAAATTTACCTTCTACGTCGTTGAAGATAGAAAATCAAGATACAAGTATAAATACGATCACAATCGTATAGATGGCCATTTGGACATGAGGTCTCCCAAGGCTTACAAGATTATAATTTTATCACTATTCGATGTTTGTGAATCAGAGATCAAATATTTAAACAATATGGGTTACGGTCATATTGGAACATACATGCGATCAATGAACAACAAAAAAATAGTTTTTATTAAAAGAGATAATATTCAAATTGAGTTAATAACCAACAATCAATTTAATAAATAATAAATAATAATAAACAAATATATATATGTTTATTTACAATAAATAAGAGGGTGAATTTTTATTTCTCCATTTGTTTTAATTTTAAAGGCCAAAAGCAACAGAGAGACAAAATACTTCAGATGAATTTTGATCGACTGCAGAGACGGTAGCAGTGTATTTTCCAGATGGAACAGATGATGGAATGGTAGCAGTTACAGTCTTGTTCCATGAACCAGCTTCAATTGGACATGGAGAGGTTTTGCAAAGATCATCAGTCTTGTTAATTAAAGTAATGAAAGAATACTTTACCAATAATTTCATGCTTCCTTCAGTAATGGTTTGAGCTGTAAAGAAAAATGATTCATTAATTATTAATATTTTTTCAGTTATCTGATATTTTTAAAATTAATATACGATTAACACATACTTAAATTTCCACCGATTGAAACAGTGAGTGGTTTACCCTTGACAGGTGTAGATGGAGAGATATCAACATATCCCAATTGGAAAATATCATTTGATTGGCCACAATTCTTCCAAATACCACCAACAAGGTTGTCAGTGTCAGCTGAAGCAATAGCGGCAACCAATAAAAGAGCGAAAAAGATAATTGATTTGTACATGATAAATTAAAGTAAAATGTGAGTTATTATTATAATTATATAATTATTATTATTATTTGTATCTATCTAGATATAAAAATGAATGATTATGATAAAGTAAAAAATGTTGTTTTTAGATCACTTCTGACACTCGTCTGCTGCTGCAACGACCATCCATGGAGTTTTAAATACTCGGTTTTTTCAAACCTAAAAGAGGAGGCCCAGGAAAAATAATATTGAAAAACAGACAAAAAAGTTTTTAGACAGAAAATTCAAGCTGGGAAGAACATCAATTTCTATTCACTCCTTCAATTTCAATCTTTTAATTAAAAAGTATACTCTGCAGTATTGAAATCTTAAGTAATAATACTTTTACTATTACTACTTCTTTAACTTTTATAAATATAATATATATATATACTACCTACAAGTTTCATTGTACATTAAATAATATTATTAGAGAGAGATATGGATTCAACAAAGTGTTGTGAAGATTTACACAAGGATTCTCACTATTCCCCTGGTTATTACTGGTTGGGTAATAATACACTCAAGGTAGACTTGAGTCTTCACAGAGATAATCGTGAAAGATTAGTTGAAAGCATTCTTTCAAATGGTATGAATAAATTTTAGAAAACAATCAAACAAAACATACATCACATGATCAATAACCTAACATAATACATCTATCTGCCTATCTATTTATTTATAGAAAAGGATATTCAACCAAATTCTTTTGTATTATTCCAAGGAGGTAAATCAAAATGTTATTATGAAACTGATAGAGGTAAGAAGACTTTAACTTGTTCAAGAAAGATTCAAAATGAAATTAATGTTCTTTATTTCTATTTCTGTTCTAGAACCAATGTTTATTCAGGAGAAAATGTTCTTTTGGGCATTTGGTAGTGATATGCCAGACTGTTATGGTACTATTTCATTGAATGCTGATAAAAAGGCAGTCTCTACATTATTTATTCCACGTCTCCCAGCCGAATATGCTACATGGCTCGGACAAATCCACACACCAGACTACTACAAAAAGATCTTTTTGGTTGACCATGTCGAGTTTACCGATCAATTGACCCAATTCTTTATGACCAACAACACCAACACCATCTACACTGTCCAAGGTCTCAACTCTGACAGTCAAAGCACCTCTGATCTCACCACCTTTGAGGGTATTGACCAATTCTCTGTCAACCACAAGTTGGCATACCCATACGTCGCCGAGCTTCGTGTCATCAAGACTGCCAAGGAGGTACAAGTCATCAAATACTCTGTCGAATCGACATGCAAGGCCCACATGGAGGTGATGAGAAAGATTAAAGTAGGCATGAAGGAATACCAATGTGAAGCCATCTTTTTGTACCACATCTACCACGACCACGGATGCAGAAACGTTGCCTACACTTGTATCTGTGCCGCCAACGCCAACTCTGCCGTACTCCATTACGGACACGCTGGTGAACCAAATGCCTCGACCATTGGTTCCGGTACTATGTGTCTCTATGATATGGGTGCTGAATACCACGGTTACGCCTCTGACGTTACTTGTTCATTCCCAGCCAACGGAAAGTTCACCAACGACCAAAAGATTGTATACAATGCTGTGTTGGCTGCCAACCGTGCTGTCATTGCCACCATGAAACCAGGTGTTGAATGGATCTCGATGCACAAGCTTGCCGAGCGTATCATCCTCGAACACCTTTTAGCCGGTGGTTTGCTTGTTGGTACCATCGACGAATTGGTCGAGAACAAGATTGGATCTGTTTTCTTCCCACACGGTCTTGGTCATCTTATGGGCCTTGAGACTCACGACGTTGGTGGTTATTTGGGTGATGCCAAGCCAAAGGTCAACTCTCTCCGTACCACTCGTTCACTCAAGGAAGGTATGGTCATTACAGTCGAACCAGGTTGTTATTTCATTGATCATCTCCTCAACTCTGCCTTGGCCGATCCAGTCAAGAGCAAGTTCCTCAATCATGAAGTCATTGCTCGTTTCCGCAAGTTTGGTGGTGTTCGTATCGAAGATGATATTTTGGTCACTGCTGACGGTTCTCTCAACCTTTCCTCAACCGTTCCAAGAACCGTTGAAGAAATTGAAGCTTTCATGTCAAAGAAGAATCTTTTTGATGATTAAAAAAACAAAAAAAAACAAAAGATAATAATAAACAATATATAATTGTTAATAATTAGTTAATTTAAATATTGATTTATTTTTTTGATTTGGCAAATGGATTATACTTCATTTTGTTTCCTCCTTGTTGTTGTTGGTTATTATTATTGTTATAATTATTGTTGTTATTATTATTGTTATAATTTTTGTTTCCACCTTGATTGCTATTATAATTTTTGTTTCCGCCTTGATTATTATAGCCTCCTTGGTTGTTATTGTTATTGTTGAATTTCTTATTGTGATGATTGTCATTGTTGTTGTTTTGTCTACCAACATTGAATTGATTTTGATTTTGAACTAGTTGTAAATCTTGTTGTTGTTGTTGTAGCAACATATTCATCATTGTTGACATTTGGTTATATTCTTGTGGGGTCATGTTATTTGCGCCTTCATTGTATTGTTTCATCATCAACATCATGTTGTTTAATACAGTCTGTTTTTGTTCCACACTCATATTTACAATACCTTGTTGTTGTTGTTGGTTATTATTGTTATAATTATTGTTATTATTAATATAACCACCCATGTTATTATTGTTATAACCCATATTGTTATTATTATTATTCCAATTATTCATATTATTATTTTGATTGTTCCAGTTATTACCTCCCATATTATTGTTATAATTTTGGTTATTGTTATAATTATTGTTATTATAATTTTGATTTTGATTCCAATTATTGCCTCCCATATTATTTTGATTTTGATTCCAATTATTGTTGTTATAATTTTGATTATTATTATTATAATTTTGGTTGTTATAATTTTGATTATTATTTTGATTGTTATAATTTTGATTATTATTATTATAGTTGTTTTGATTATTATTATAATTTCTATTATTACCATTATTGTTATAGTTTTGATTACTAGTATTATTATTATTATTGAAATTATTATTATTAAAATTACTATTAAAATTACCACCATTTTGTTGATTTCTATTCTTGTATTGATTGGAACCCAATTCATGGTTGATCATACGATTGGCAGAAGAGTTTTGAATGCCTCTTGTTCTGTATTGCTCCAAATTAACCTTTTGAAGAATGGCACCTGGAAGAATACCGCAGGTGGATTCATTGACAAGTTCTGGATTTTTGTAGGTGAAAACCTTGGCACTGAGAAGTGGTGGGAGACGCTTTTCAACACCTGGAATGACTGGACTGATTGTACCCAAGATTTGATCGGGCTTTTCCAAATTACGAGGTAGATCGGTAGTTGAACCGATCGAGGTGGAGTTGTGAGAGATGATTAAATCGGTACCATGACTATTTCTAAATGCTTCATCTTCGGTGAGTGAATTGTCGAGTGGTTTGAGAGCACTGAGTAATTCGTTTTCGTCAATGAATGGCAATTGACAAACACCCTTCCAAGTGGGTTGACCTGGTGCGACATCGATCAAAAACTCGTTTGGATAGAAATGAAGAATGACATCGTTTCTGTCCTCTCCGTCAATCGAGATACCCATCATGGTTCTGTATGGCTTTGGAACAAACTGACCACTGGCCTTTGGAAGTACAGACATGAGTTGTTGGAATGGTCTAAATGGAGCACCCAATTCAAACTGTGGTTCAACAATCATCGATCCATTCTCTGCCAAATCCAAAATAAATGGAGCATAATGATATGGATAATACCATCCCCATGAACAACAACCATGGAAATAATATCTTAATACCCAAGCTAAACCATCAACATATGATTGGCAAATTCTAAAAATATAAATAAAAGAAAAGGTTAGTAAATATATTATCTTTTCTTTTTAGCTCTATTCTATGTTTCTTACGCTCTAACAAGTTCATTTTGTGGTTGTTCAGTTTCAAAATGATGTTCATAATATCTTGTTCTCCAACCTTCAGAACCAATGTTGACATCTTTCATTTTATGAATAAACAGTTTCTTTTCCAAAGAATCATCTTGATCCTCTGCTGCCGATTTATCTTCAGTTTCCTTCTTCTTTCTCTTTTTGGTATTGTCATCCTTGGTTTCGGCAGCCTCTGGAGTTTGTTGAATGTCAATGACTTTGACAACACGCTTCTTTTCATTGTATTTGCTCATTTTTTGTTGAAGAAGAGCAGCGGCTTCTCTGTTTGTGGCATCGAGTTGATCCTTGGTACCCTTGCTAGTTGCCTTTGCCAAATTTTCTCTTAATTGTTGAGCTGCATCCTTGTTGGAGAGATGGTCAGTCTTTACCTTTTTCTTTGGGTTGTTTTCTTCAGTGTCGGCGGCGACTGGTTGGAAGATATCGCTGAGGATAGAGGCTGCTGCTTGTTTGTGTCTTTCGCTGACTTGTGTATTGAGTTGTTGTGAGCTTGCAGTGCCGGTGATATCGGTACGTGCAGTTTGTTGGAATCTATTGTTACGACCTTGTGCAAAACGTTCTTCCTTTTTCTTTCTACGTAAAAGAATGTCTTCCTCTTCTCTCGAGAGACGAACAAACACCTTTCTGAGACGATCGAGGTCAATCTCTCCATTGTCTGTCAGGTAACCCTCAAAAGTTGGCAAGAGCTCCTTGTAGATACGCATCAAACGATCGATGGCACCTTCGTTGATTTGAAGACTGGGAAGATGTGGAAGGAAATCATTTCCGACAAAGAAACAGATAAAGATGAAATCATCAATGATACGTTCGACGTTGTATTCAAAGGGTGGGTTGCATTTGAGTTCTGTGTCCAAGTATTCACGTAAAATGGCTAGATTGAGAAGTTGGTAGTCTTTGACGAGGAAATCTTTGACCTCGTCCTCGTCGACATCCTTGGATGGGGTAGGTGCGGGCGTGCCAAATCGGTTGCCCTTGGGTGGAGCAATAAACTCACGAAGAATGTCAAAGTTGACTTCGTGTGTCGATAGCGCCAACATAATAAGATCGGCATCCAAACCATACATGACGTGCTTGAGGTTGGGGTTGTAGTCGGGTTGAGAACGTTGGTGACGGATGTACTCCATAATCTTGTGTTCTCCTTCACCCGGTACACTGGCGTCTGAGATGATTACCTTGACGTCCTTCCATGCAGGGTCGGTCGATATCTTTTCGGCGACATATTGACGGAGAGTGAGTGCGACCAATGCCATAAACTCTGTGCCTGGTGTGATACAGTTAGAGTCAAAGTGGTACTTTTCAGCACCGTCCTTTTGGATGGCGTCATAGTCTTCTTGTGAAAGACTGCCATTGTTGAGACGCTCGATGAGGTCTCTGGCAGCTTGTTCCTTGGTGATACGCGAGTCCAAGGCGGCACGGAAACGACGGGCACGTTGCTGATTCATTTTGGCACGTGGTGCAACACCATCAATGGCCATATAGATGAGCTTACGTGGACGGATAATGGCAAACAAGAGGTCGAGGTATTCGACGATCGAGTCCATCATATCCTGAGTGTTCCTTGGCTTGGGTCCCTTTTCAGGATGTGCACAAGGATGGATAATACCGTTCATATCCAAGTATAGATTATCAAACTCTCCATTTACATTCAGCTCTGAAAAATCACATTTGAGACGTGATCCATCAGAGTCACGTGGTTCTTTGGTTGGTGTAATTACATTGCCGTATTTATCTACCAACCATCTAAAGAATGCTGGAATTCCCATTACTATTAATTAAAACCAAATATTTGATTGTGGTATCTTTTTATCTAATTTTTGGTTTGTTTTAATTATATAATAATAAAGTAGTAGAAAGTATAAAAAGGGGAAATGATGATGTTTGTATAAAGTTGTATTAATTAACGATAATCGTTTGTTGTTGTTGTTGTTGTTTGGTGCTGTAGTGCTGTTTGCAACAAGTTAAAGTACGATTGATAATTATAATATATCTCAACAAAAGATGGCGGTCTACTTGTCAACTGTGGTATCGAGTTGGTTCGTATTCCTTCCTATCTTTTTTTTTAAATATAGAGTATAAAGGTATCAAGTATCTTTTTATCGAACTATTGCTACTGTGCCGTTGATATAAAGATTCTAAAACTACTACGTACAAGTATTGATTTGATATATCAATTAATTTAAAAATAAAATAATAATAAAATAGTATAGTATAGTAATAAATTCAAATAGTAACAGATAGGTTTGTTATTATTTGATTTGTGTATATAGAGTATCAAAGGTATAAATTATCTACTTTCGTAAAAAAGTGTACACTTTCGAAAAGCTTTGCGTGAATAGTAAATAAAAGTGTGAAGAAAGAAATTTTCAGCACTCCTCGTTTGTCTCGTTTTCAAAAAAAAAAAATTAAAAAAAATTCAATTATTTTATTTATATAAAACAAATAAATAAATTAATTAAAATAATGATAGTGGTTTTGAACTGGGGTTGACATTAATAGACATGTATTCTTAATAAAATTTAAAATTAATTTATTTGTTTGTTGTGATGAAAATTAGTCAATACTAAATTTAATTTTAATAAAGCATGCTAGATTGAATAAAAACGAACAATGACCTAGCTACTCGTTGAATTTCGACAATACACTCACACTCACACACACAGACATATGCCCGTGTGAATATAATATACACTGTACTATGTCAGGTGGTCAACAGATATTAAGGATAAGTCAAGCACTTGAAAAACAGCTTGTTAAAAAGACATATAACCTCTCAACATCATTTGTTAAAGAGTTTAACAATCGATCGGGATTTGTACCATTTGAAAACCAAGATGCTAGTCTACGTGGATGTGCACTCATCGACCATCATGTAGAACCACCCATTCGAATCGTTTCCTATGACACTCAAATATTCGATCACAGCTATATCAAACGATCGATTGACGATGCACTCTCCTATCGTCAACAACTCTCCAAGAATGGTCTACTTGATATATCAAAGAACGCTGCCTACAGACTCATCAATGAAACCGGTGATGGTCTACCTGGTCTTGCTGTTGATGTATTTGGTGATTATATTCAAATGACTGTAAGTACATTGTTGACAATCAATCAATCACTATGTACCACCACCTTTCTTATTTATTATTTATTTAATTTAAATTCTAGACACATACAGAACATTGGTGCAATTATTTAAATTATATTGGTGATTATATAATGAAAGAGATGGGTTTAAAAGGTGCCTATTGGAAGGCAAAGTTTAAACATAAACAATCGTTTGCAAAACATTATATGGGTGAAAGAGTTGGGTATGACAGTCAAGGTGTGTCAGAGTTGCGGGTCGAGGAGAATGGTATGAAGGTGATTATCGATTTGGAGGATGTTATATCGACTGGTTTGTTTATGGATCAGAGAGACAATAGAAAATACCTAGCTACTCTGTTTAAAGAACGTCCATCTGGAACTATTCTCAACACGTTTGCACACACCTCTACCTTTTCACTACTACCATCGCTGTTGTGCAGGAATATAAGTACATACAATATCGATACATCTCCGAAATACCTCAACATTGCAAAAAAGAATTTTGAAATCAATGGTCTCAATCCCGATAAACATCGGTTCGTTGAAAAGGATGTGTTTGGACGACTCGAAGAACTTCCACATAAATCACTAAACTTTGATGTCATTGTACTCGATCCTCCTACATTGGCTCGTGGCCCAAAGTTTGGAGTATTTACCACCAAAAATAGATATCGTGATTTGTTGGATCTTGCCATTCCATGTCTTAAAAAGGGTGGTTTCATTGTTAGCTTTGTCAATACTCGTCTATTAAAAGAAGATAGTTGGTTAAGACAATTAGGTGTTGTAGATCATATGGCTGATCAACAACAACAGCAACAACAACAGGTTAACAAAAACAAAGAATCATTGTCGTCGTCAATAGCAGAAGAAGAAGAAGAGGATTTAAATCTTCTTCAAGAATATAAAGATTTAAATATTAAAGAGGCAAAGTTTTCAGCAGCAAGTAAAATGAATGGAAATGTATTACAATTCTCAAAATTAAAAGGATTTAAACCGTTACAATCATTGGAACAATCACCAGATTTTAGATTCAAACTTGGTGATGAACGTGTTGGTAAACATCTCAAAGGAATTGTATTAAAACATAAAGTTGATTATCTTCAATATAATAATAATACTACAACTAAAAATAAAACTAATAAAAAGAAAAAGTAATAAAGTTTAATACTTTTTACTTTTATACTTTTATGCCTTTACTTATTTTGATAAGTATCATATAAAGAAATGATTTTAAAATCATTAGAGGTTAAAATAGTTGATTGATGATGATGTTGATTTTGTTGTGATTGATTGTTGTAATTGGAATAATAGGTAATGGTGTATGGTTGATCTTTGAATAAATGGAATGCATTATCAGAGAATTCTCCACCAACATGTTGGTCACCACTACGATCAATCCAAACAAACAGAGCAATCTCTGAAGATACCAATGTCAAATGATATTTATCATCACAGCCATCAGACTTTACCAAATCCTTGATTGTAATGACTGGTTTTTGTAAATTGAATTCTTTATACTCTTTAAAAAAGTATGTATTATCAATCAATGGCGATATTCTTTGTTTCCCATGTTGAATGATTTGGTTATCCTTTTCATCAATATCTTGTTGGTTACTATCCCTTTCCTTTTGATTTTCATTTTCTATTTCCTTTTCCAATTCAATATAAATAAATTGACGATTTAATTTTTTCGAGTCTGGAATGAAATCTTGACGATCAAAATCCATAATCATATGGTTGGAATGAGCTTTACAATAGACAAGTTGTTTGATTTGTTTGGTGACTTTACCAAGTACGACATCCCAAACTGATAGGTAGATGATGGCTTGGAACGACTCTTTGGGAGCATCGTTGGTTACCCACACCTCCATTCTCTTGCTTTGTTCATTCTCGACAATCGATAGTAGAGTGGGAGCGTAAAACTTTTTGGCAAAGTATTGTAACGCCTTCCATTTTAGACGGTCGTATTCGATGGAGCTCCACGACGGTCCGACCCAAATATCGTTGAGTTGCCAGTACAGTGTTCCCTGGCAGTAGGGAGACATGCGACGCCAGTGCTCACACCCCGTCTTGATAGAAATGGCCTGTAACACCTGTGTGGTATAGCAAAGGTGTTCAAAGGAGGTAGGTACACGGAAGTGCAGCGCAGTGTGCTGTAATAATCCAATGTTGCCGGGTGTTGGAGATCGCTGTCTGTACTCCATCTCGGGTGACGTGATGTTGAGTTGGTCATCCCCACCTGCCAAAGTAGCTTTGAGTGCCTGGAATCTGGGAAGACTTTGGAACCCAAACTCGGACAGGAATCGAGACTTGGCCTTGAGGTACTGTGTAAACGGTTTGTTGGAATGCCATACCTCCCAATAATGAGTGTCTCCGCGTGTCTGGTCATTGGTGTCACCCCAAGAATTGACACCATTCGACGGCGACGATGGCCAAAAGAACGACGTGCTCAGTTGAGCCAACTCGTCCATAATCGTGTCAATGTACAGTCTGTTATAGTCTACAATGTAGCGAGGAGGGTTATCCTTCGAAGGCTTCCACACATTCAACGCCTGCTCATTCTCGTTGTTTCCACACCATAGCGCGAGACTTGCGTGATGGTCGAGACGCAGTACCTGGTCGCGTACCTCTTTTCGGACATTGTCGAGAAACTCTTTGTTTGACGGGTACAGACAACACGCAAACATAAAGTCTTGCCAAATGAGGATACCTAGACGATCACATATATCATAAAAGTCGTCGCTTTCATAGATACCACCTCCCCATACACGCAGGCAGTTCATGTTGGCGTCGCGTGCACTCGTCAAGAGATGGTTGTATTTGTCTCGAGTAATACGGTTGAGAAAGTTGTCGGCGGGGATCCAGTCAGCACCCTTTGCAAATATCTTGGCACCGTTTACCATGATGGTAAATGCTCCGTCTGTAGTATCAACCGACACTGTTCTTAAACCAACTGTACGTTCGGCTACATACATATTATTTAAATGGAATTCAATCTTGTACAATGCCTGTTCACCATGTCCATTTGGCCACCAAAGTCTACCATTTTCAATATCAACTTTAATATTTTTAATTAAAGTTTTATATTGATGTAATTTTGGTAAATTAAATGTTGCAATTGAGGAGGAGGAGGAGGAGGAGGAGGAGGTAGAGTTATTCTTTTCTTTTGAATCTATTAATGAAATGATTATTTTTAATTGATTTTCATTTTCATCATTATTCTCTTGTTGTTGTTGATCAGAATAAATTTCAAAATCAAATAATAATGAAACATTCTTGTTGGTTGGGTACCTTTCTAGATTTAATAATAAATTGGTACTTGATGATTGAGATGAATGTCTTGGTGTTGTAACTGTTGTTGTTGTTGTAGCTGCAGTTGATGGTTTGGTATGATGTTGTTGCTTTATCATAATAGATTCAATCTTTGGTACTGCCTTTGGAAAGAATTCAATCAATACTGATTTATAAATTCCCATTGGACAATAACATCCTCCCCAATCCCATCCAAAATGACATCCACTTTAAATATTAAAATATATCGTATTAGTAAAGCTTTTGAATTTAAGTTTGATGTATGTTGTTTACATACCACTTTCTAATAAAGTTACGATGATGAATACCATGTGGGTATTCCCAAAGAGGTATTTCATATCCATTCTCAGAAGCCTTCTTTTCACAATAAGAGGATGGATTTGTAAAATCAAATCGAATGGTATTGGTTCCGGATTGCAGGTGACCTTTTATATTGAATCTAAAGGTTCTAAACATATTATCGGTTGTACCAATCAATTGATCATTTAAATAGATTGATGAGATGGTATCTACTCCATGACACACCAAATCAATTCTCTCAATACTATCTTTAAACCATTTTAAATGTTGTTCTGTAACAATCTCAAATGTCTTTACAAATTGCCAATTTGATAATGCTATCCATCTATATTCCATCTTTAGAAGAAATAATAATAATAATAATTTAATCAATGTTGATTTATGTTATATGATAAATGATAGTAAAGAAAACATACTTCTCTTTCACCAAAGTATAGGTCAGGTACAATACCCTTATTCATCAAGGTGAGATGAACATCTGTTGGTACTGTCACATTACTGATTGTAATTAATTCTTTTGGTTGTGTATCAACTTCTCCTCCTCCTCCTGCTCTTGTTAATTGATTTATAGTCCATTGATCATCATCTAATAATATAGAATGATTATTTTGATTAAAGTTGACCATCTTTCTTTCTTTATTTCTTTTAATTAATTATTTAATTTATTTGTTCTCTTTTTATCTCTTGAGCCAAAAGAGGAAAATTTAAAATGAATGAAATTGAAGTTGTGTGTGTTGAGGTGCTGAACATTAATTTTAATATTATAAATAAATTTGTTGATCAGCAGCTGTAGAATACCCCCTCTCTCATCATCATCATAATCGATTATAGTAGCTACTGTGTGTTGTTGTTGGTCATGTCTTTACTAGAACAATTTTTCAAGAGTAAGATAGATAGATATCTACGCAATGAATGATCGATCATTCATTCGACATTGACATGACATATATATACTTACTTGTTTCACAATTATTATCATATTTTAGAACAAGTACTTGTATTGACAGCTGATGGTAGAAACATTGTAGGAACATTGATAGGCTTGGATCAAACCACAAATATTATATTGGAGAAATGTCATGAGAGAATCTACTCACCCGATGAAGGTGTAACAAAGTATAACTTGGGTATTCATCTAATCAAAGGTGATGATGTGTATGTACAGAATATAATAAGCTAAAGAAGATTTGACAAGTATGTTTACTAATAATTATGTGTATTAATATATAGTGCTGTAATAGGAGAGATTGATCAAGAGTTGGATGCAAGTTTGGATCTTGATAAAATGAACGCTGCTCCACTTAAATCTGTAGCGCATTAGATAAGAAAGGAGATTAGATACAATACTTTTCTTCTTCTTCTTCTTCTTATTTTTCATTTATTATTTAAACATCAACAACAAATCATCATTATTACAACACCAATGTCAATCAGGCAGGCAACCGGATCGGATCCACACCCGTTGATATAAACACAAACACTCTAACCATCCATTTGATTGGATTGAAAGGAAGGAAGGCAGAAAGCGAATGAATACATTACATTACAGTACATAAACAAAGGACAAACCCATCATCACCAAAAAAGAGAGCGACACAACGAACGAACATATTATTTATTTTATAAAACATGCGACACAACGAATAAAGGTAATCCAACATACAACTAATCAATCATCATAATCAAATCAAACCAATCAATAATATTATAATAGTAGTTGTGGTGGTAATGACAATTGACAAGTTTGATATTGAAAAGAAAGCTGCAGCATCGTTGGATCCCCCCAAACAAACAGTATTGATATGGAACAATGGATGTTACGTTGGTCTGTAAATTTAAGAGAGGGTTTAAATAACAGTCATTATTGGAACATAGGATATGACCGCAGTGACGGTAAAGACAGCTATCAAGAGTTTCAACAAATGTACTTTGTTTGCATTGATTTTGTTGGGCACATTCTATTACTTGCGTCATCGTTTCTTGACAATTATCAGTTAATGATACAATTGGTTTACATTGTCCAAAAAAAGTTAGAGTTGTATTGGTACCGGTAGTACCATTACCATTGATAGTTTTCACAATCACTGTCAATCATACAAGGTCTGTTTCGTGGAGGTGGGTGTTGACAAGATCCATGCAGACATACTAATGGGATGTTGCAGTCGATTGCTGGTAAATAACCATCCAATGAATAATAGGATGGACGACAACTCTGACCCTCAGTCTTGGAGAACACAGCCACACAAAAAGAGACTTGTAACACAACAGGGTTGGGAGGTGAAATTGGGCTACAAACAGTTCCCAATTGACACATTATACCGTGTGTGCATACTGATCCTTCTGGTTGTTTGTCATAGCAACGTCCATCCATACAATATTCTTGAAATGCACATTCACTTTGTGATTGGCACATTGTATTATTTGGAAGTTTACAAATTGAATTTGAACATTCTAATTGACCATGACATTGCATATCCGATTGACAAGTATCACCAGACACTAAACTATTAAAAGGATTACATGTACTTTTTGATCCATCAATCAATGAATAACAAATCATTCCATCTCCACAAGTTGTTGATTCATTCCCGTTACTACTATTACATGATTCCCCAAATGAAATGTATTCAACACAAATATATTTGTTTTCATCACAATAACTACCTTGTTCGCATATATTATTAGTAATATTATCCCTAATATTTCAAATGAATATTAATTAAAAGAAAAAAAAGAAAAAAAAGACTTTATTCTGGTTTCATTTCAAACTTCAATATCATTAATATTTATGTGTGCGATGAAATATTTTATAGGTATTGATTTAGGAACATCTGGAATCAAAGTAATCATTAAAGAAGAAGATGATACTATTGCATTTAGTGGTTATCATCCATTAAAGGTTGAAAGATTGAAACCGTTGTGGTCGGAACAAGTGGTGGGAGATTGGTGGATTGCATTGGACAGCGTGATGAGCAAGATGGCATTACAAGTGGATAGGGAGAAGGTGTTGAACAATGTCAGAGGTATTGGTTTAACAGGTCAGATGCACTCTGCTGTATTGTTGGATGACAAACATCAAGTATTGCGTAACTGCATCTTGTGGAATGATCAGCGTAGCAGTGCAGAGTGTAAAGAGTTGGCATCAAAAGTAGAGAATTGTCAAGACACGATCACTGGTAACATCATAATGAGTGGATTCACTGCACCAAAGATACTGTGGCTAAAGAAACATGAACCAGACGTATTCAACAAGATCGATAAAGTGGTACTACCCAAAGACTATGTACGGTTCTTATTAAGTGGTCAATTTGCAACTGATATGTCTGATGCTAGTGGAACGATGTGGTTGGATGTAAAAAAGAGACAATGGAGCGTTGAAATGATCAATGCATGTGGTTTGACGATTAATCATATGCCTCAACTCTACGAAAGCACAGATATCACTGGTACACTACACGATCACCTGGCCGAGAGATGGGGACTGCCTACAAAGACACCCATCGGGGCTGGAGCAGGTGACAATGCAGCCGGTGCTATTGGATGTGGGATCAACACGTTAAACAATAGAGCAATGGTATCACTTGGGACGAGTGGTGTGTCGTTCCTCCCAACCGACCGATTCACAAGTAACACTTCCAATGCATTGCATAGTTTTTGTCATGCGCTTCCCCAATCATGGCATTTAATGTCGGTCATATTAAACTGTACATCTTGTATTGACTGGGTATCTGAATTGACAGGATTTACAAATTATTTAGATATGATACAAACTTTGAACAAAGAGAATCAAGAAGTGGATAAAGAGGATAAAGTTCTTAAAGATCCAATATGGTTCTTGCCCTATTTAAATGGAGAAAGAACACCACACAACAATGCCAATTTAAAAGGTAGCTTTTATGGACTGACAAATAATCATAGTCGATTAGATTTATGTAGATCGGTATTTGAAGGTGTATCATTTGCATTGGCTGATGGTTTGGATGTACTCTTAGAAGATTCACCTATAGATACTGTCATTGCTATTGGAGGTGGAACCAACAATGATTATTGGTGTCAAATGTTGGCCGATATAACCAACCTTACATTAGAGGTACCAGGTTCATCCGATTTAGGTCCATCCTTTGGTGCAGCTAGATTAATACAAATTGCAACTTGTATTCAAAGTGCAACAACAAAAAGCAAGGAAGACATTTACAAAGATATCATTAGATTACCTACATCCATAACCAAAATATTTAAACCAAACTCAATCAAACATCAACAATTTAAAGAGAAAAGAATCATATTTAAACAATTATATCAATTATTATTACCATTATCTTCAAAATAGAAATAAATAAAAATATTCAAAAATGTAAATTAATTTAACAAAGATCTTCATCACACCTTTGAAAAATGAATTCATTCTTTATTAAATTTGTGATAATGTAAATGAAGATATAATACAAACATATATAATGTCAGATACAGAGAATAGTGTTAGTACAAGTACAGGTACAAGAACAAGTACAGACACCAATAATGTACCTCCTGTGACAGGAAGAGGAAGAGGAAGACCAAGAGGTAGTGGGAGAGCGAGGGGAAGGGCAAGAGGTAGAGGTACAGGTAGAGGAAGAGGAAGACCAAGAGCAACTAGAAAGATGTCAGATGATGAAGACTCTGATATTTCTGAAGAGGACAAGTATTCATCTCACCAAGACAATAATGATGATGAGAGTGAATCATCAAACTCCTCCTCATCAGCTGACAACGATGATGACGACGATACCACCAAGTCTGGCAGCGACACTGACGATGAAATATCTGGGTTAGCGTCAACATCAGATGATGATGAAGTAGATCTATCAGATGACGACGACGATGATGACGATGACGACATTACCGATGAAATAGATGATAGCAGTTCAACACTATCGTCGACCACTACAACAACAACAACACCACCTCTGATCATCAGAGGTGATGGTGGCAAAGGATCAGAACAAGTAGACTCGACAACTGGTAGTAGTGGTGATGGTAGTAGTACGGGAGACCAATCAAATCAAAGTGGTCCACGTACAAGAAGAATGCGATTGTTTAGATGTGCATCTACTAAAAAGGTGTGTTCTAAAAGACCGATTGATGGATACATGTATTGTGGCAAACACATTCTCGAAGACACAAATGCACCCTATTCTCAATGTGACTTTATCTCCAAGTCACACAAGAGATGTATTGCTGCCATTCTCTCGAGTGAACCATCGCCACGATACTGTCGTCCACATCATCAAATTGTCGACTTGATGAATCAAAAGAAACGAACCATACAAGATTCTTCCAAAGCTACCAATCCTCATATCAAACGTATTAAAACAACTCTTGCTAAACATGGTATAATGAGAGGTTCATATTATGATTTATGGAAAAAACAACAACAAAAGAAACCAAATCAAAATATATCACAAGATCATCAAACCAACATTGAACAACAAATGACAATAGAACAATCAATGAAACAAGAAAATGATCAACAACAAGATTTATTGGCGATGACGACAACGACAACAACAAATCAACCACCAACAATAGATCAACCTACAACAATATCTACAATAGATCATCTTGGATTGGTTGATGATCAAGAAATAGTAGATGGATATTATCAATTAATGGATGGGGATAGAGAAGGATTATTCTATCCATCTTCCAATCTAATAAGTGATACTATAAATAATCAAGAGATTTATGATAGTTTTAATGAAGAATATTATCTATCATCAATCTCTACATTGGCAGAAGAAGAATGGATTCAACGTAGAAGACTGTATATATCAAAACTAATCCTCCTCTACAAAAAACAAAGTATTAGATTTAAAGAAAGAATGAGAATGTTAAGAAGACATTATATTCTATCAACTAATAATAATAATAATAATAATAATAATACTCAATCAATGGAAATTGATAATAATAATAATGTAAATAACAACTCAAATAATCATTGTTTCCATAAAGAATGTATAATACCTCATTTACCATTATCAAAGTTTTGTTATGCTCGTAAGTAATAATAATAATACTACAATCACCAAAGACAAAAACTTGACAAGTTAATATTAATATCTTGAATATTTATTAAATTTAAATTAGATATATTAGAAGATAGTAATCAAAAATTATTTGTTGGATGTAATTATAGAATTGGAGGAGGACGTGATAAATGTAATTATCCAATTTTAAAATCACAAATACCAAGTTTATGTACCAATCACTTGGATATTATCAAACAACCCGATAGTATCTATGTTACAACAGGAAAGAAAAAACGATTAAAAGAGTATCTCACCAAACAACACCCAATCTTAATTGAACAATTTCATCAGAAATCAAAACTCCAACAACAACAGCAGACTATTGACCAAAGTCAGTGAATAAAAGAATTTTCCTCAGTCAGTCTCATGAGACACCCATTCATCGAAATTATTTTTTCAACGATCTCTTTTCAATCGAAAAATGGAATGGCTCAAGAAAAATATCCCAACTCGACACATTTTAATTAAATTTAAAAAAAAAATAAGGGATCAACCCTTTACAAAACCAAACCTCTTGATTCATTCTTTCATCGTCATTCAACTCATCTAAATCTTAACTTTCTTACACATATATATATACATATACAAATACTTTATATAACATAATGAGTTTTGTAAAGAATTTATTTTCAAAGCCAAAACCAACTTCATCATCAACATCAGATGTCATCAAAGGATACAAGATTGATGTACCTGTACAGGAGAGAATTGTAGATCCATCTTATTCATATTACTATAGTAGATTGGATAAGACATCACCACAAATAGTTGGACTCATCAGCAAGAATGATAGAAACAGTACACAATTTGAATTAAAAGACTTTCACATCAAGACCGAGATGACTGATGTCTCGTCGATTACTGTATTCACTCAACGCTACTTCAATGGGTATCCATCACCTGTTGAAGCCAAGTACCAGATTCCATTGGCTCCTTATTCGGCTGTATCCGACTTTGTCGTGCAATACGACGACAAGGTGCTCAGAGGTACTGTCAAGGGCAAGCAAGATGCCGCCAACGATTTCAGTGATGCCATTGCTAGTGGTGGCCAAGCATTCCTAGGTGAGAAAAACGACAAGGGATACTTTAACTTGTCGATTGGTAACTTGCCACCCGGCAAAGAGGTGACTATTGCCATCACCATCGTCTCTGAAGTTGGACTCCATTTACAAGACCTCCACTACTGTCTTCATCGTTATATGTTCCCAAAGAACTCTCTCAGTCTCAAGTTGGACATGGAGGTAGATTTGTCAACCGACATTACAGACATTCAAATCGACCACTACCAATTCAAAAAGGAGATCAATCAAAACCGTGCCACTATCTCACTCGAACACAACGGTGTCGTCAATAAGAACCTTATTGTAGTCGTCAAACCAAAGACAGAAGAGAAACCAGGTTACTTTTTAGAGTACAACAAAGAGGACAAGACCGCCGCCTTGGCACTCAACTTTTACCCACGCTTCCAAATCTCGCCAGACGAAGTCGATCAAAAGAGTGAGTTTGTGTTCCTCCTCGATTGCTCTGGCAGTATGAGTGGAGGTGCCATCACCAAAGCCAAACGTGCACTTGAAATCTTGATGCGTTCACTCACTGAAAACAGCAAGTTTAACATTGTACTCTTTGGCAGTAACTTTAAATCACTCTTTCCCGAATCGATGCCATACGATGATGCCAACCTCGAAATTGCCTCTACCTATATTCAAAAGATTCAAGCTGATCTTGGAGGTACCGAACTCTTACCACCAATTAAAAGTATTCTCTCCAAACCATATGATCCACAATATCCAAGACAAGTTTTTATTTGTATGTAAAAGAATAGAAAGAAAAAAAAAGAAATAGATAACATTTATTTATTAATTTAATTGATTTAATTTATTTTTTAGTGACTGATGGAGAAGTATCAGAAAGAGATCAATTAATTGATTTTGTTGGAAAGGAAGCAAATACTACACGTATTTTTACTTTGGGTATTGGTAGTGGAGTTGATAGAGAATTGGTTATTGGTTTGTCAAAGTCATGCAAAGGTTATTATGAATTCATCGAAGAGAATAGTATGATGGAAACTCAGGTCGTTAAATTAATGTCGATTGCTATGGAACCAACCATTTCAAACATTCGCGTTGATTGGGATGGTCTTCAAGCCACTCAAGCACCTTCGATTGTCAGACCAATCTTTAACAATGAACGTATGATTATCTACTCATTGATTGATAATTTGGTTGAAGGCGAGACCCCTCAAAAGACGATAAAGTTGACTTGTGATGGTCCAACTGGCCAAGAATTGGTCTATGAAGTGGTTGTTGATTTTAGCAAGAGTGGATCAAACAAGCAACTTCACACTTTGACCGCCTATGAAATGATCAAGGATATGGAAGAAAAGGAAAGAAAGAATCTTGGAAAATTCAAAGACGAAATCACAAAGTTGGGTGTCAAGTATCGTTTGGTATCCAAACACACTTCATTTGTTGTCGTTGCCGAGTCTGATCAACCAACCCTCGAAACTATGAAACAAGTCAATGTCATTGAACCAGAGGTCACCGCCACCACCTCTGCCGTCCGTCCAGGTTCCATCAACCTTCTCTCTGCCATTTCATCTGGTGCCAAACTCTCTTCAAGACAATCCTATTCCTATTCATCCGCTTCGTCAGGCTCTGAAGATGAATGTGATTTTGAAGATGGAGAAGATGATGATGACCACCTCATGTCCTGTGACACCCAAATCTTATTTGAAGCAGAGGAGGACTGTAAAGTACTACAATCTCAATTGATGGATTTGGATTGTCTTAGTGACACTGCCATGGAAATTCAATGTGAAGCTGAACCTGAACTCAGACGTGCTTCTTCCTCCTATAAAAAGGGTGGTTCCATGCTCCCATCATTTTCATTCTTTAGTGGAAGTTCATCACCTAAAGAATCCAAGGAAAAGGAAAAGGATAAGGATCTCAAGAAAAAGAAGTTGTCATCTTCACCACCAAGATCTAGAAAGATGGCTGATACTAGTAGTTCCTCCCCTACCTCTACCTCTACCTCTAGCAACACTGTCTTTTACAAATCATCACCAGCACCAGCTCCAGCAGCTCCAACCCCTACTCCAGTCTCTGCTCCCAAGCCATCATCAACTGGTGACTTGTTGATCGATCTCATCAGAACCCAAAGAGCCAATGGTAGTTGGGTGCAAGGTAGTGTTACCCTCACCATTCCAACCGTTCCAGATGTTCTCAAATCCGTTCCAATCGAAGTTTGGGTTACCCTTGTTGTTATTACAACCATTACCAAAAAGTTTGCAGATAAGAAATCTCAATGGGAATTGGTTGTTCAAAAAGCCAGCAAATGGGTCAAACAACAACTTGCCCGCGCATCAAATATTACTCAAGATTTTGATTCCCTATGTCTTTTAGTTAATGTTTAAAAAAACAAACAAATATATTGTAAAATAAATAAATAAAAAAAAATATATATATCTTTTTTAAATAATCCATCAATCCAAGACTATAGTATAGTATTACTTATTATTGTTGTTGTTGTTGTTGTTTTGTACATATGGAGAGGAGAGGGGAGAAATTTTATTATTATTACTATTATATTATATTGTTGTTGTTGGTTTGTTTGTTTTTGATGTTTGTTTTAATGACCAGCATTTATACTTGCCAAAAAAGCAGCCCAACCAATATTAACGATATTCATAAATAAAACTCTTTGTTTGTTTGAAATATAACGGAATGATACAATATTACAAATTGGCCAGACAGCACAATCTACCAGATAGGTTCTGAGCCAATCGTTTTTAAGTTTTGTATAGATATCCTCTTTTGACTTGCCATCGAGCACACCCATGCCCATGAAAAAGACGGCATCAAATATAGGCGCACATATGATTTGATCAAGTGCCGCTTTGATGATGACGTGCGAAAAAACCTTTTTAGGGAAAGAGGTATCCAGAATATGATACCAGAAATGAAAAGTCGGTCCTGTGATTACGAATCCAAAGACTGAAAACTTGAATGCTCGTACATAATCAAATTTCCATTCATCGCTTGCTTTTTTCCTATTCTCTAGGTGTTGTGAAATAGTATCTGATATGAAATATAATGTTCCTGTTGTTACTGCCTAAATGAATAAATGAATAAATAAATATGTAAATCATCATATGATCTGACCATGATATCAAGTATGTGTAACCCCTATTCTTCATTGTCCTAATCTTACCTTTGTTAAAATAGGTTTAGTATGTAAAGCATCTACATAACCAGAATAAGCTCTTTGACCAAATTTACTAAGTCTTGGGAATAATCGAGTGAAAAGACGATTCGTACTGCTCATGTTAATGATGATGATGATGATAGTTGTTGTATATTCTGTTTGTTGCTGTTGTTGTTGTCGTTGTTGTAGTTGATGTATGTATGTATTATTTTCTTCTTATTGTCAATAATATATATATATGATATAGCTACTTGTATTAATCAATTTAAATCTAATCTAATATCTAAAAGTACTTTTCTAATGACTAGTTGAATAATGTATTGTTGTTTGATTTGTTGTTGTGCCAGTTTTATATCTCTTTTCAATATATCATCTCAATCAAGAGGTGATATTTAATAGTAATGTTTGTTTGTTTATAAAAGTTGATCTATATGATGGAAGTAGTAGTAGTGGTAGTAGTTGTTGTTGTTGTGCGTAGTAGTTGTTATAAGTAAGTTTAAACAAGATAATAATAATAATAATTTATAGAAAGATAGAAAGAATAATTGAGACTTGATGATGATGATGATGGTTGTTTGTTGACTGATTGATCAGATTAGAGTTAATGCCACCAAAAAAGTACAACTAATCATTACAAAAAGGATGATGGCGCTTTTGACGAAATTCCCCTTTCGTTTTAAAAATTCATGCGCAATGAAACATGCATATTGTAGAGATGAGAGATAAGGCGATGGACCCTTGGTCATCAAGTTGTCAGAATTAAGAATATATTATATTAAAAAGAAAATCGTTAGTTTGAATTGTTGCTGGAAATATTGGATGTTATCTTCATAATTATTTATTGTTAAAAAAAAATAACATTTATTTATTAAACAATATTGTAAATATTATAATATCTTGGAAAGAATAGAGCATCATTATTCAAAACAAAAACACTCCAACAGCATCCTTCCATAAAAGGAATAATTCCTGTACAAGATTTCTCAACCATTTCTTTATTTTTTTTTTATAAGCAACGTGGTTGGGTGTCCTCTTCAAATCTTGTTCACCTTTCATGTAGTTTTCAAGTGATTTCATAGATATGATCTTCTTCTCTGTCTGTGCAAAAGAGAACAAATGTTTTTTTTTCTTGCTTTGAGGCACATGGTTGGTCAGTCTACATGAATCAATAATCCTCACTCTCTCTACAACAACATGTTTCAAATAAAAGAGAAAGAAAAAAAAGAAAAGATACAAAGAAAGAAACTAGCACGACAAGAACGGCTACACCAAAAAAGATTACAAAGTATTCAAATACCAGTCTATGTCACACAGATCATAGTTGATCTACTCTCTGCCGACTGTGTCATCGATAATGATAACCGACAAATATTATCATTGGCAAGTGTTTGCAAGAGATGGTTCGATCGTGTAAAGTTGGCACTACAAGCAATGCCTATCAATTCGAAACGAAGCTTTCGTATGCCAGTTTCTATTACTAGATACACATACGGTGAATTCTATGAATGTTATGACTACAATGAAATCACGCAAAAACGAGGTGCATATGCTCTATGTCAGTTGGAGAGGCTCGATTTCAGAGCAGCGACATATGGGTCTCTTAAAAGAAAAGAAATAGAGTTGGTAGAGTCATACACACCAAAGTTACGAGAATTGCATATTCTGAACCTGGACAAGTACGTGGAGGAGGATGACGAAATCGCCGACAATCTAGAATTATTGTCACTGCCAATGCCAGAGTTGGATAGTCTATGCATCAAACACACCACCGATTACGACGACGTAATGTATTGTGATGGGATCCCCTACCACAATTCAACATTCCAGATGCTACAAGACACGGACAAGAAATCACCAAAGTTGGCCAACCTCAAGATTATCGAGTTTAGATCTGCCTTTCCATCTGACGTCGATCAATGTATCAAACTATTCCAACAATGTCAATCGATTGAATTGGTTGATATATCTGATAGTATTTCACCCCAACATGATGGTTTGGACAGTGTAGTATCTGCACTTTCAATATTGCCACGACTTACAACATTGAAACTCAGTCGATTTGGGACATTTGCAAAGTCAATACCAAGTACAGTCACATCGATATGGATCTATAGTAAACGTTTCTATGGGGGAGGCGATAGATGGACACCAGAGTTTAAAGAGTATGTCAAAGAGGCAAAACAACTCAAATCACTCAAGTATCTGTTCCTCGATCGAGAATGGTTAAGAGTACTTGCACACACCAACCTCACACAGTTATACTTGGTGATACCCAAGACTGACACTATCGATGTTGGAACACCACTCGTCATGCCAACACTAGAATTTTTGGAACTAGATATGGACGACTACTTCTTTGGCATCAACAAGGACTCTAACCACATCCCCTATCTTTATGGATTTGGATTAGATCAATTGCCTTGTCTAAGAAATCTAGTTCTCATGCTAAAACAAGATAGTTGGGATTATGTAACCGATCTCATATCACATTCAAAGAGTATCAAGACAATATCAACACGTATCGTTGGCTGCACTCAAACCAAATGCAACAAACTCTTTGACACTATCCAACAGAGTCATACATTCAAAAGATTGCATATTAGAATTAACCCAAAAGATTATGAATGTGATAACCGGTTGGATCATAGTGAAATAGAAAAAAGGAGAAAACATATCACTAAATCCCTAAACAATCTTTACTCTACACTGATCAAATCATTTTATCAATATCAATTGGATCACCCAGAATCACATTTAATAGGTCTACAACTTAAAGATAGTTTCTCAATTACCAATACAAATAATCATTATTAAACACGACGACGTTTAAACAAACCTAAATAAATAAATATTAAATAAATAATGTATGTAAAGCTTGCTTGGTTTCGAATCTTCTTTTAACAATCAATGATGATCTATTATTGTTAAAAGAAGATTCGTACAAAAGTGTAGTAGTAGAATTAATAGTCGAGTGATCAATCTAAGCGGCACTCGGCCCACTCCAACAACAGCCTTCCATAAAAGGAATAAATCCCTCCGTTCAAGAAAAATAAAAATTAAAATAATATTAATTATTTTTTGGGTAGAGCACAATGCTGCCAATTCAGCGATCAACACTAAAAACTAACTCTTCGTCTAAACCCCCCAACAACAAAAACATAGTAGTAATAATATTTGTTATCAAAAACTTATTTTATGCATCAAAACAACAGCAGTACATACACTCAAGAAGTAGCAGTAGAAGATTCTATTAATAAACAACAACAGCAACAAAAACATAAGCGCAATCACAAGCGACATCAACAACAATAATAATAATAATAATAATCAAGAAATAAAGTTAGATCTCTACTCTACTCTACTCTAATCTCTACCCTACCCTCTCATCTCATTATTATATATCCTAGTATTTTTTTAAGAAGAAGAAAATAATTATAATGTTTGAATTAGAAGATGTTGGTAAGTATTTTTAAAAAGAGTTTACAAAAAGTAATATTAATATTAATTGTTCTGTCTGATTCTGTGTAGTAACAAAAAATAATTTATATAAATATACATTTACAATTCCTTCAAAGAATCAAATAGAGGCATTGCAACCTGGCGACCTTGTAAAATTGATTTTTAAACAACAGGATCCAGGATCTGGCGGCAACAGAACACCAGTCGAAACATTTGCTGGCAATGTTCCATTATCATCACCCTATTTAAACAGTTTGCGTAGTAGCTTTAATGGAGTGGTTGGATCACCTCAGTCATGTTCTCCACAACAGATTCCAGGTGTAAATGGAGCTACACCTAGTGGAAATGGTACTACTACTACTTCAGCTGCAGCAGCTCCTGCAGTCGAAAGAATGTGGGTTATCATCCAATCGATCAATCCAGACCGCACCGAATTTATTGGTGCACTTGATAATAGTCCAGTGGCTATTGGTATTGCCAAAGGTGATGCTGTGTGTTTTACAGATCGACACATATTGAATATATTCAATCAGAGTAATGACACATCCTCTTATATGACCGAAGAGACTAAAAACTACATCTCTCAGTCGTGTCTAGTCTCCAACAAAATCATTCACTATCAATGCAGTGCAGGATACATCTTTCGCGAGGAACCAAATCATGCATCGATCATTCCCAACGATAGTGGATGGCGTATATTCCAAGGTGAAGAGTCTACAGACTATATATCCAACAAACAAAATGTAACCATTGTACAATTGGCATCGGTACTCAATGTCGATGATTCCTTTATCGACTTTTTAGAACATTCTCCAAATGATTCATTCTATGAAAGAAAAGATCCATTTAAACCTTGGACAAGAATTAAATAAATAAATTAATTAAATCTATCTATACTTTTAATATTTTATATTTGCTTGGTAATTGTTTTAAAAATGGAAATATATATTCCAAAAATAAATAAACTGGAGGATTTATAAAATTTATTAGAATCTTGTTGGAAGTTGAATTCCTCTCCCTACTCTTTTCTTATTTCTTTTTGGAATAAATATTATTGTTGTTGTTTTGCGGAAAATATGATTGTATTAAAAAGGGTTGGATTGAAGGAGTGGTATAGTTACTTGATTAAATATATTTATCTAATGTACTTTAATCGTGTAATTTTAAAATTTGTTGTTGTTGTTATTTCTTTCTTCTTGAATGTTCAATCGAATAGATTTTGTTTTGATTTTGATTTTGTTTTGCTTTGTTTTCATTAGTTTTGTTTTCTTTCTATCTATTTATCTTCTATTTATCTTCTATGTAATTATTAAAATATTATTATTATGTTGAACAACAGGGTGAATCTTTTTTTGGAGTTTCCAAACTTAATTTCTCACTATAATTTAAAGAATATTAGTAACAATCAAATAAACAAACAAACAAATAAATATATATATATTTTTTGTCCACCATACGGTTTACGAGTTGCTTCATCAAAAGCATCTGGTTCCAAACTTTGTAAAGATATTCTTGAAACGGTACTAAAAGCTTCTTCGACATTAATATTGCTCTTGGCACTAGTGTCAAAATAAAATATGTTTCCTCCCAATTGTTTGACAAAGTTTAAAGCTTGTTTCTCTGATACCACTCTTGATTCTTCGTCGACCTTGTTACCCAACACCACAAAAGGGAATGTATCTTGATTCTGTACACCAATCTTTTCGATAAAATCATTTCTCCAAATAATCAAATCTTGCAATGACTTTTCATTGGTAACATCAAACACTAGTACACAACAATCTGCTCCTCTCTTTAAATATAAACATGAAAGTGGGAATGAGTCAGAGAACTAGTTTCTAAATCGTATTTACTCGTCTGTCAACCTACATAATAACTAATATCTAAACTACGGAAACGTTCTTGACCAGAGGTATCCCAAAGTTGAAGTGTAACGAGTCTATCATGAACCATCACGTCCTTGTTTACAAAATCAATTCCTATAGTTGGTTTCATAGGGACGAATCGTTGGTCTACATATCTTTTAAGAATACTTGTTTTACCAACACTAAAATATGGAAAGACGAGAGAAAATAAGTAAACAAACACAGTTACAATCTAGATTGGTTGATTCCCTCTTCTGTTTATGTAACAACTATATACCTCTTTTCACCAATGATAACAATCTTTAACACCTTTCTTCTTTGACCAGCCATAACTGCTTTCTCTTTCTTGTCTCTCTACTTGGAGGTAGTAGGTAAAGTTACTTTGAATGTCTTAATCTAACCCCTCTATTCTCTCTCTCTCTATCTCTATCTTGGTCTTGTTTATAAATGTGAAATGAGAATATAGTTTATATTTTAATAATAATAATAGAATGAATTGAAGGGAGAAGAGTTCTGTTCTGCAAAGTCAGGGCTGATTCTCTTGGGAAAAAAAGAAATCAAACAAAAAATAATTTTTATTCCACCCCTTTGGGGTAATAGGGGGTGTGAGGTTTCATGATGATAACAAATCGATGGAATGTTCAAATGCTCCTATCTTCCAACATATCCTATCGATCTGGATGACATTTGATTTATTCTTTAATGGTTGCTTATTTAATACTTTTGGACTACCACTGGATTTATTATTATTATCACTACTGGTGTCATCAGATGGGAAACCCCCACAAATAGATAAATGTGGTAATGGAATCTTTTAAAATTTAAAAAATAAATATTTTTATTAATCAAAATTGATGATAGACATGACATGGAATATTAATATGAATTATAACATACCTCATGGAATAAAGGGAATTTAAATTGATCAAGACATTTGTCAACCATTGCAATGATACGATTAACAGATTTGATTCCAGTCGTCACATTAGATGATAAAAATATTCTTGATTTATCATCATTGAAAAAGGTTGATATTGATTCAAATTGAATTGAAAATCTATAAATAAATAGATAAATATAGTTTAACTGTTAATATTATTATTATTATTATTATTATTATTATTATTATTATTATTATTATTATTATTATTGATGCATACTTTTGAATATTTTTTAATTCCAATTTTAATTGATTACAAAACAAGTCAATGTGATGTTCTCTCATTGGAAATACTCTTGATAGTGATACATGATAATGATCTACTTGATGACCAATACCCATTTCATTTCCAATATCTCGGACTTCATCTATCATTGATTCCATATCTTTTCTATCAATTGGAACTATATAAGGTATATTAATTAATATTTTCCCAACTGTTAAGTACCAACCATCCATCTGAAGAAAACATACCATCAAAATATACAAAGGTTGGGTAATTTCCTTCAACATGTTCAAATTGTCTTTTCTTTCCTTTATGTTTATCAATCTTGTTGTCATCTTGTTTAGTTCCATTGGTACCAATATCTTCATCTTGACTATTATTGACATTTGATAATCTATCTATTATTTCTAAAGGTAGATCAGGTATATCTCCATCTCTACCAACAAACGTCGATGATGTATCTATTGTGCTCTTTTGTTTCTTTTTAGGTTGTTGTTTCTGTTGCTTTACATCTTCTTGTTCACTATCACTATCATCATCATCATCTTTATATGATAGTAATAAATCCATTAATAGGATAGATGTTATCTAGTTGACTGCGATATGATATCAGATCATTGATTGGTGAATAGGAATAAGAATGAAGAGACTCCCGAAATTGAATGAACAAACTTTTTTTTCTTTTTCGAATTCATGATCATCAAACATGAGCTCATCACTACTTTCTAGTTTAATCTAAGATATCTTTTTGTAATAGAGATAGAAAAGTGAGAGAAGACATGTTGTCATTATCAAAGTTTAGATCAGTTGTTACAAAGTCGTCTGCATTGATCAATGCTGCTCGTAGCACCTCTGCTACCTCTACTACTGGTGTAGCCACTAGATCATACTATACCGACAAGACTGTTCACGTGTTGGATGGTACTGTCGACAAGAACACACCAGAGTTTAAAGAAAACGTTACAAGAATGGCAGAGAGTGTACAACAACTAAAGAGCACCATCGACAAGATCAAATTAGGTGGTGGCCCAAAGTTGAATGAAAGACATCTCTCTAGAGGAAAGATGCTCCCACGTCAACGTATCGATGCTTTAATTGATCCTGGGTAAATATATTTAAACAACAACAACAACAAGAAGATGAAGAATATAAAGAAGAAAGAGAAGGAGGATGTGTATTTATATGTATATGTCTTACTTACTTTTACTTATCTATCAATTCATTTTAGATCTCCATTTTTAGAGTTTTCACAATTAGCAGGATTTAATATGTATGGTGAAGATGTACCAGCTGGAGGTATCATTACAGGTATTGGAGTGATTCAAGGACAAGAATGTATTATTGTAGCCAACGACTCGACTGTCAAGGGTGGTACTTATTTCCCAATCACCGTCAAGAAGCATTTGCGTGCTCAAGAGATTGCACAAGAGAACAATCTCCCATGTATATACTTGGTCGACAGTGGAGGTGCCAATTTGCCACGTCAGGCCGACGTATTCCCCGATCGTGAGCACTTTGGTCGTATCTTTTTCAACCAAGCCAATATGTCGGCCAAGCGTATCCCCCAGATCGCCGTCGTCATGGGCAGCTGCACAGCCGGTGGAGCCTACGTGCCTGCCATGTCTGACGAGAGTGTGATTGTTAAATCGACTGGTACCATCTTCCTCGGTGGTCCACCATTGGTCAAGGCCGCTACCGGCGAGGTTGTCACTGCTGAAGAGCTCGGTGGTGCCGACCTCCATTGTCGTACCAGTGGTGTCACCGACCACTATGCACGTAACGACGCCGAAGCACTCGCCATCACCCGTCGTATCGTTGCCAACTTCAACCGTCAAAAGAACCCATCGGTCGTACTCTCCACGCCCGAAGAACCACTCTTCCCAGCATCCGAGCTCTCTGGTATCGTGCCAAGCGACCTCCGTAAGACATTCGATGTCCGTAAAGTCATCTCGCGTATCGTCGATGGCAGTCGTTTTGATGAATTCAAAGAGTTGTACGGCACCACCCTCGTCACTGGTTTTGCCCGTATCCAAGGCATGCCAGTAGGTATCGTCGCCAACAACGGTATTCTCTTCTCAGAGTCGGCCGTCAAAGGTGCCCATTTCATCGAACTTTGCAACCAACGTGGAATCCCCTTACTCTTCCTCCAAAACATCACTGGTTTCATGGTAGGCAAGTCATACGAGTCGCGTGGTATCGCCAAGGACGGCGCCAAGATGGTCATGGCCGTCGCTACCGCCCGTGTGCCAAAGATCACCGTCGTCATTGGTGGCAGTTTTGGTGCTGGTAACTATGGTATGTGTGGTCGTGCCTACAGCCCACGTTTCATGTACATGTGGCCAAACGCCCGTATCTCTGTCATGGGTGGAGAGCAAGCCGCCAGTGTATTGGCTCAAATCCAAAAAGACAATATGGCCAAGGATGGCAAGCAATGGGCTCCAGAAGAAGAAGCTGCCTTCAAAAAGCCAATCTCTGATATGTACGAAACTGAAGGTTCCCCATACTTCTCATCTGCCCGTTGTTGGGATGATGGTGTCATCGATCCAGTCGATACCCGTAATGTCATTGCTCTCTCACTCTCTGCCTGTTTGAATCAACCAATTAATCCACCATCTGATGGTTTTGGTATTTTTAGAATGTAAAAAAAAAAAAACAAACAACAAAACAACAAAGAAACAAACTACACAACATACAAGTTCTACAATCAGTATTTCAAACAACAACAACAACTACAAATAAATCTTTAAATTTTGAGAAAACAAACTAGGTAGGGCCACACTGCAGTCAATGTTTCTTCATCTTCATGGACAAGTCGGTGTAATCTAAAAAAGTGAAAAGGGGCAAGAAAGAGAGATAGATCATTGTATCTTTGAGAATATCAAAATTGTCGGGATGATGATACAATCGCAAACTCAAAGTCAATCCACAAAACAGCGGGATGGATAGGCTCGAGGCCAAAACCACAATTTTCAACGCCAAAATTACTTGAAAAAAAAATCCTTTGTTTCAAACAAAATAGAGACGTTGTGGATATCTATCATCTCCTCACTCTTGTTGTAGTATTACTTTTTTACTGTTAGATTATTATTATTATCATTTTTGTACAAATAGAGAAAGAGAGAGAGACGAAATTAAATTAGATTAGTATTTATTTATATATTTATATTGAAAGAGGATATCTATTATCCGTCACAGTCTCTGTTGTAGCAAAGATAGATAGAGTCAGTTGATCTTTCAATAATGTAAGTAAAAATATCTTATTGTTGTTTTTTTTTTACTACTATTATTATCCTCTCCACATAACCAAACAACGACGACAATTATCAAATCTCTCTGTTAGATTTGAATATTCCTTAAAATTGTTGTATTTTACAGATAAGGTGGGGGTGATAGAAGAGAATAAAGAAGAAGAAGTAACTACTACTATCATCATAATCATATCATATCATTGCAATAATACATTTATAAAATAGAATAGAAACAGTTTCTATTCATTCAGTTGCAGTTATTTAGTTGTATTTGTAAATAGATGAACTGTTAGATTGAAGCTGAAGAATATTATCAATCATCATCATCATTGTCTTCACCTCCTAACACTCATTTCAGAGTGTTGATTATTCTTAATCTACCTCTCACTACCACCATCCTTTTTAAAATCAACAGCTACTATCATATATTTAAAATATCTGCTCACCAATAGTGGTAATAATCAATTTTGTTCATTATTTATCCTAAATAACATTAACCCTAACCCACACACATAACCAACACCACCACCACCACTATTATCATCATCGTCATCATCATCATCACCAATAATTCATTGGAAATTATTATTATTTTATTATTAAAAAAGTATATATTTATTTATTAACGTAATAAAACTATTTTTATTATTATTATTATTATATTAGTTTTTTTTTTTTTTCAAAAACAAACAAGTTAGAGATAAAGTAAATCGAGTCGTATCAAGTAATCAACAAACAACAACAAACAATAACTTTATTTATTTGTACAAAATAACACACATTAAATATAACACCTGTAATAATATAATAATAATATTTTAAAAGATGGATGGAAAATCATATGTATCAGGATCACATGCAATATGGGAGAATATTCAAATTGATTCATTCAAAGGATGGATAAACCAACATCTTCAAGAGAGAAATCTTCAAATCAAAGATCTACAGACCGACTTTTGTGACGGTGTCATGCTCATCAATCTTTTAGAGATAGTGTCGGGCAAAAAGGTACCTCGATACGTCCGATCTCCCAAATTCCCCTCTCACAAGATCGACAATGTGTTGATCGCCCTCCAATTTATGGAAAAGGTGTTTGACATGAAGACTGTTGGTATCAACGCCAAGGATATAGTAGATGGAAACATCAAACAAATAATGGGTATCAGTTTCATGTTGATTCAAAAAATTAAAACAAATGATTTGGAACAACAACATCAACAACAAAATCAACAACAACAACAACAACAAACAACGAATGGATTACCAGATGGTGCAGATATTACTTCTGCTCCATTGACTCCAACTAGTACCAATACAAATACTACATCAACTACATCACCATCAATTAATTCAGTTAGTCAAGCATACAAGAGAGCAACTATTGTTGGAACTGCAGTATCTAGATTTGCACATAAAACATTTAACGATATTGAAATTCAATCACAATCCCCTTCTACCACGACCACGACCACGACCAATACCAATACCAATACGACTACGACTCCTACTACTTCTACTACTACTCCTACAAGAAATACAGTATCAAATGCACCAACTGGAGGAGTATCATTTAATACAATTAGATCAAGATTTTCATCTGTACCACCACAAGTTGAAGCAGAGAGAGCTGCTGCTGGCCACTCTTCCGCATCAGGTCATATTTCCGACTCTTCAGCACCAATCCCAACTAGTCAATCATCTGGATCGTTGGAACGTGGTGCATTGAGAAAGACAAAGTCGGGTGCCATTATTTCATTGTCTGGATCGATCCAATTCAACAACAAAGAGTCGACAATTGATCTAAAGAAACTTGTACTGTGCCAGGCATACGTTCGTGGCTGGTTGGTGCGTCGCAAGTGGAAAGACGCTATTGTCAAGTACCGTCAGAGACTCCGCGACTATGAACAACACTTTAAGAGCAACCCCAAGGCATATCGTGGGTTAACGAGGGTGCAAGCAAGAATCAAAGGCAAGATGGAGAGAAAACGTTTGTGGCGTCAGCATCCTCTGTTCCGCAGAAACGATATTGTCAAGGAAATCATAACGACCGAACGAAAATACGTACACAATCTCGATCTCTTGATCGAGTGCTATTTGCGAGAATGTGAAAAGATCTTGACACCTCAACAAACACGTTCCATCTTTTCGCAAGTTGAAATCCTCCGAAATGTAAATACAAACATTCTCAACCAACTCGAAAACCGTTTCAAAAAGGGTCATGAACAACAACTCGGAGAAATCTTTAAAAAGATGACAGAATTCCTCAAGGTCTACACCATCTATGTTAATAATTACAACACGTCGTTTGCAACCATCACAGAGTGTAATCAAATCCCCAAATTTGCAGCATTGATGGAGTCTAATCGTAACTTGGAAAAGTGTAATGGACTCGATCTATCGGCCTTCCTCATTATGCCTATTCAACGTCTACCACGTTATGTCATGCTCTTGCAAGACCTCTTTAAACACACAGACTCTAAGCACACAGACTATGAAAACATTAGTATTGCACTCAAAAAGATGAAAGATGTTGCAGAGTATGTCAATGAAAAAAAGAGAGAGGCCGAAAACCTCAATCAAGTGCTCCAAATCCAACACAGCCTCATTGGCAAGTTTGGCAATCTCGCCGAGCCACATCGTAGATATGTCCGAAAGGGTCCACTCAATTGTTCAGATGAAAAGGGTAACAGTAAAGTTTACTTCTTTTTCCTTTTTAATGATTTATTAGTCAAAACTGAAAATAAGACTTTAGCAAAGTAAGTAGAAAGATAGAAATAGAATGTAGGAATGAATCAATTTAGTTCTAACTCTTTTTTTTATTTATATTTTAGACAAATTAAAGATAATAAATCAGGATCAAGAGGTACATTGACAGGACCAATTGGAGAGGAAGGAAAATTCAAATTCATTTCATCGTATCATTTGGATGGAGCTTCATTGATTGATTTGTTTGATCCATCATCACCAAGTTCATTCCAATTGTTAAATGTTGGTGTTAGTAATCCCAACCTTGGTAGTTCTGGAGCCACTACGTTAATTGGTAGTCTTACCAACACTGCCCCTGCAGAGGCATCTTCATCAATCAGTCACTCCAACATTACACTGACTGCACTATCGGTGGGCGAGAAATTAACTTGGATTGGTGATATCGATGAATCGATCAGTCAACTCTTGGAAAAAGCACGTAGCAAGAAACGTTCACATATTCCAGAATTTGAAGAACTCACCAGAGCACCATACGAAGGTGCCATCAAGGATTCTGAAATGTCTGGTGTCCTTTTAAAACAAAAGAGTGATATGGTTTGGAAAGAAAATCAATTCTACCTTAAAGGTGCTAATTTATATTATCATCATTCAACCCAAATTTCTTCAGATGAATCTGATTCTGTATGTTATTCAAACAAAACAAAAAAAATTATACAACAAAAGACTAACATATATATTTTCTATTTATTTTAGAAACCAAAAAAGATGAAATGTATTAATTTAATTTTATGTAATGTTAAATTATTCCATGTTGTTGATAAACCACATTGTTTCCAATTGATTACTCCACTTCGTATTTATTTCTTCTCATGTCCAGAAGGTCAAGTTTTATTCCTTTGGATCTCTTTAATTAGAAGCTCCATTTCAAAGAAACTTGAATCCTTGTCCGAACTCGATGAACCATCTACACAGGTAAATTTCAGAAACAAACGTTATTCTCTACCTGTCCGATTCCCTTCCTTTTCCTCCTTTTCTTCCTCTATTCCTTTTCTTTCAATTAAAAAACAAAGAGATAACAACAATAATAGTAATAGTAATAGTTCCACAACAAGTAGCTCACCAGTTGGATTATCAAAAAGTGCGTCTCTTTTATCACCAATTAATTATATTAGAAGTCAAAGATTATCAGTTGATTATCAAATATCTCCTTTAGTTCAATCACCTCAACAACTTCAACAATATCATCAACAACAACAACAACAACAATATCAACCTAGTATTTATAATACAACAAAGAAAAAAGAACGAACCAAAAGAAGAACATTATCAACTTCTCTATTCTATCTATAAAATTCTATCTATCTCTCTCTCTCCTCTACCTCTTCTTTTCTTTTCTTTTCTTTTCTTTTCTTTTCTTTTCTTTTCTTTTCTTTTCTTTTCTTTTCCTTTCTCTTGATTATTTTTGATTTTGAAATTAATATTTATATATTTATTTATTTATTTTTTTTAGGGAAATCAATATTGTGCAGATTGTGGAGTAGCCGATCCATCATGGGTATCAACTAGTTTTGGTGTAACATTGTGTGTTGATTGCTCTGCCATTCATAGACATTTACCAAATGGTGTGAGTCAGGTAAAGTCATTGAGAGGTTTGTCAACATCACATGTTGATTTGGAAGCATTTAAATTTGAGGGTAATGCCAAGGTTAATGCCAAGTATGAAAAGAATATTCCTGCTGGAACCCAACGTCCCACTTCAAAGGATTCCCCATACGAAATTAGAATGTCATGGATTCACGCCAAGTATCTTGCTACCGCTCCCCCAGGATCACCATCCGAGATGAGAAAGGCTAGCATCAAGTTGAGCAGTGGATCTCTGCCACCCCCACCCCCAGTTTTCTCCGCCTCTTTATCAACCAACCACGGTGTACTTGTTAGCCAACATTCATTTCAGTCACTTCCATCAACAACTTCGACTGAAACAACAACTGCGAATGTCGCAGCAGCAACAACAACAGGCCAACAACAATCATCCTCGTCTACCACACCCTCCTCGACATCATCCACCTCCACCTCCACAACAACCTCTGTAACATCGTCACCAGCACTAGAGGATGGGTCACAGCCATCTTCACCCATCATCACGAGCACCGCTACACCACCCGACGAAGCGCTAGCAGCTGTGCCCACCGAGCGTCCCACAGAGATCAAGGGTATCAGCACAATCGGTCTCAGCGAAGAGGATATTGCCACGATCAACAACCTACCCTCTGTACCAATGGGCAACGGTACCTGGAAGTCTGGACACCACGCAGTTCCACAGGTAGAGAGAAAGAAATCCCACCCAGGGTTCCTCGATAAACCCCGATCACCCAAAAAGGAAATGGAAGGGTTCATGTTCAAAACGAGTAGTCCGTCGACCAAATCGAGCGCCGCATGGAAAAAGTATCACTTCCAGTTCAAGGATGGTATTCTCAACTACTACAAGATCAACGGTAAAAAGGGATCGACGCCTCAAAAGAAGGACAAGCCCAGAGGCACCATCGATCTATGCGACTTTTTCTCACTCAAGGTCGAACCAAAACCCAAGCAAGAACACTCTTTCACCCTTATCACCCGTTACAGATTGTATTTCTTTGCCACCGAAACCGAGGATGAACTAACTCAATGGGTTTCAACTCTCAAAGCTGCTAGTACTAATTCCGAACATTCCATCTCTGGTTAAACTCAACATAACAACAACAACAAATCAAATAATATTTTAACCAACCCAACCAAACATTAACATTTATTTAATCTAATCCCTCATCAATCATCATTGTAGTTAAAACAATTAAAACACATAACACAATTTATATGTTTGTTTAATTATTTTTCTTCAAATTGAAATAAACGCAAAACTATGTATTATAATTTATATCAAAAGAAATGAGGTAGAGAGTATTATAAATATTTTTATTTGTTTTGATTATTTTTTTTTTCTTGAACTTCGAATGTTCATATGCGTCGGGTTTGCGCTGTGAACTCATTTGCATATTCATACCCCAATTTCAAATGAATATTAATCAACAAGTACAGAAAAGAATAGAATGGTTACAAGATTTAATATCACCTCTATCATCACATCGTGAAAAGAATGGAGGAGGAGGAGATGATGCGCAGAGAAACATTTTAAAACAAAATTTGGTACAACATTTATTAACTATTACTACTCTACATCAACAACAACAACAACAAAGTCATATTCAACAACAACTACAAGATGTATCACTAGTTTCACCAAGTGATTTAGAGAACCTTTCATTGAATGATGAACAAGAAAATAGTCATAGTAATAGTATTATTGATGGCAATGATGGTGATAATGATATTGAAACAAATATCATTATCAATTCTTATAAGAATCAATTAAAAGAATGTATACAGTTATTAAAGTATAATGATGATCAGAACAATCAGAACAACAAATATGGTGAAGATATATACTTTATACAACTTGAATATGTATTTTATATTCAACATTTATTATTGGATATTACCAATCTATTGGAAAAGGATTTAAATGTTATATTATCTATAAATGTATGGTACATAAAAGTAACAAACAACAAACAAGTACAATAGTTAATTAACTTTTTTGACTTTATTGTTGTTTGTAGAGTCAAAAAACAATTAAATTAGCAATGGATATAGTAGTTTGTTGGGGAATATCACCTTGTTTGGTTAGAGGGTTGGGATTCCCTATTGGTCAACGCGGTACTCCAATATCAAAAGAAATGGTAGCACTTGGAGGATCATCACCCTATTTCAACAAGAATCAATTACTTTCATACAAGATCAATAATGGATACATATCTAATCTCTTATATATCATCATACAACAATTTCTAAGAATGCGATCAAATATTGATATCAACTCTATCATTTTATCAAGATATATATCTGATATATTTGCAACTTTGATTCAATTATTAAATATCAATCAACAATCCTCTCTAAATGATAAAGATCAAACTTATTGTAAAGATCAAATTGATAATATTTTATTTGGGTATGAAATAGATAGAAAGAAGAAAGGAAATAATTCAATATGTACATATTACTAAACTTATACTTATATCTCTTATCTCTTTTCTCTTGTTTAGTATTCATCCAGAATTAATATTTGAAAATTTAACATTATTATTATCACCACAATACGATGAAAGAGAAAACAAATCGATTGCACCACCAGTATTTGTTGTAAAGGTAGTTAATTTACTATTATCAAAATGTTTAACTAGACCACATTCGTTAAAGGTTGTTTTGGGTACCATTCTTTCACCTCAACCTGGAAAAGACCAAAAATCATCAATCGATCGTCTAGTAAATTTAATTACCACTTGTCCTTTATCAATACAACCAAAGGTAACACATTATAGATAGATTTGATTGAGAAACATTGTAAAACTTTAAACTAATATTTATTAATTTTTATAAGGAATATTATTCAAAAATATCAAAACAATTAATTGATTTATTACATGTTAAAGACAAGGAAAGAGGTAGATTAATAGAATGTGTTATAACAATCATTGAAAAAATGTTAGAATTGGAACCAAAATTAACATTAGAGTATGTGATTGATCCAATTATAAAACCACTACTTTTATTTCAACAATATCAACCTACCATTGAAACAACAACAACAAATGAAACCATGGTCGATGATGAAAATGTTAAAGAAGAAGAAACTATTATCAAAGAAGTAGACATTTTTTATTGTTTGGAAGATCTTCATAAAATCTTAACAGTCCTATCTTTGAATCAAACTTTATTAGAACATTTAACAAATGGTAAAAAAATGATTCAATCCAAATTATAATTATAATTATCCACATCATCATTTTATTAATCTATCTTTTCCTCTTTTAATTTTTAGTTATACCAATATTATTCCAATTACAATGTTTTTTATCAAAATCAATATCATCATTGAAAATATCATGTAAAGAAATCCTATCAACTTATTTTAAATTTTATAATCGATCAGTTGCTCAATTAAAACATTTAATCTTACCTGAAAAGTTACATCAACAACAAGATAGAATGGAAATTGATCAATCTCAATCATCCTCATCTTCATCAACTACTTCTCCAACAAAACAACCAATTTATTTAGAAATTAATCAACCAACGGTTGAAGAGAATGATAGTACGGCGATTAAATGTTTATCATTTGCAATGGGTGAAAGTGGAGGAGTTGTTGCCAAGTATATAGATTATTATGAAAGAGATTTTAGTTGGGAAGCAGAATGTATAGTGGATATTTTAAAGCAAATGAAGAATGAATCGTTGGCTGGCGACTTGTTTGTCGACTTGGTCAACGAATTTGCAATGGTTGAAAAGAATGTAAAGAAAAAAGACAGCAAGCGGTACTTTGTATTGATGCAACTCATCATTGTACTAAGTGAAGGTATGGGTGCGGCGGCACTCAAAAACGTGGTACAAGTGGCCACATTTGTAAAGGTCATTCTTCAACGAGAGATTGATTCAATGACAAAACGAATGAAAAAGTTGTCAAGTGGTAAAGCAGTGTCGGTAGAGAGCGAACAAGAAGAAAACGAGCAAGTCGATACTATTACCCTTGCATTGGGTATCCTTTCAACTATGCTCAGTGGAGAGGTCAAAGTCAGAAAAGAAGAGGAAATATTGGTTTATGATTTAGTTGGTTGTTTGGAACAATTGTCACAACATCCAAATGATATTGTATCAGTCATGTCATCACAATTAAAAACAATCATTGATGTTAAAAAACCAACTTGGTCAATGGGCAGCAGTGACAATGATTCATCATCGTCAAGCTCTGTCAATCCCAACGACAAATTAAAAGAGATATTAGATGATTTATCACATCCATTACTACCAGTAAGAGCTCATGGTCTAATTGAATTACGTAGACTGGTACTCTCAATGCGATCGAACAAAAATAATGATAATATTGTTAAAAGAAATTTAGATAATATTATTACTATTTTTAAAACTCAATTAAATGATGATGATACGTATGTAATAGAAAACATAGATATATGTATATATATAATTAATTATTATTATCTCTATTTTATTTTCTTTTTCTTTTTAGATTTATTTATACATGTTCAATTAATGGATTAAGTTCAATTGGAGATATTTATCCAAATGATATTATACCAATATTAATTGATCAATTTAAAGAGACTAACAAAAACAAAGAAGAAAAGAGAATGAAGATTGGTGAATCATTGGTTCAAATATCGCAACGATGTGGAGACACTTTACCCTACTATGCACCATCTTTGATGAATTGCTTCTTGGTTGGGTGTAGGGACAAGAGAGTTGGTGTTCGTGCAAGTAGTCTATCTAACCTTGCAACCATGTGCGAACTCTTAAAATCCTTTGGTATCGATCAGTACCTCGTAGAAATATTGTCGTGTCTCAACTCGATGCTCACAAGTGAAAGGGAGATAGAGGTACGAAGAGGTGCCATCTTTGTCTACCAACTGTTGCTTCGTGGATTCGGCCTAGACGCCTTTAACCAAGGCTCTAGCATGTCCCAAGAGCTGCAAACCACCTACCGACAATTAAAATATCTCGAATCGACCGATCCCGATCCAGTATGCAAGTTTCATGCACGAACTGCTCTCTCAGAGTTGGAAACCATAACAAAAGAATTTATATTTCCAAATCAATCAAATGAAAAGGAATAAATCACAAGTGTAAGGAAAACCCCTTACAAAAAGTAAAAGGACTTAAAATCACGTCGTCATGTGATCGATCGATTCCTTTCATTGCGATCGAGATTCATCTTAAAATTTATCCCCTCCTCGCGCAACACACAAAACACACATTATACTCTACCATGGTTGATAAATAACCTTAAAAAGTATCTATCCGTCTATAAATATCTATCTGATTGTAGGGAAACGAAAGAAATGAAGTGTTTGTTTGGGCTACTCGATTATTTTCAGTGAATCACTAATTTTGTGATACCCACACCTATGTGCTTGATTATTAGTAAAAGTTTTGGTGGTGTGGTTTTATGATGAAAAAGTTTGAGGGTTTAAAACAACAACTCTCTTTACTTACTTGTTTTGTCAAGAGAGAGGTGATTTTAATTGTTATTGTTGTTAAAGTAATTTAGTATTATCATATCAAATCAGTTCAATAAGGTATAATACTTTAATTAGTAGTCACTCAACGAGTTTTCACATTATCATCGTATTCTCTCAAAAGAAAGAAACGAGTATTGAAAGAATCAAAAAAAGAAAGAAAACAAGGAAAGAAAGAAGACGACGTCAAGAGAACAAATGATGGAGGAAACAATTATAAAAGAGGATTATTATTCTTCATCAGATGATGAAGAAGAGAGTGAAGATCTTACTACACCAGCAGAACCTCCCTCTAGACCAACCATGGATAAATCATTGGCTGCAAAAATGTACATAGAACAATATTACCTTAATCAACAAAAATCTGTTAGACAAAGGGAATCAAGGTAAGCATTGTGATGAAAATAAAAAAAAAAAAAAAAAAAAGTAATCAAGACCTTGTAGTCATCAAAACTAATATAATCTCTTTATCTCTTAATCTTTAGACGAAAAGACTTGGAAGTTAAAATGGGACAAATGAATATAACCCCAAAAGAAAAATCAGAAATGATGAAGGAATTGGATAAAAAAGAATCAGATTATATGAGACTAAAACGTATAAAGATGAAGAGAAATGATTTTGAAGTGGTCAAAGTAATTGGAAGAGGTGCATTTGGTGAAGTTAGTTTGGTACGTCTCAGAGAAACTGGTGAATTATACGCAATGAAAAAATTATTAAAATCTGAAATGTTACAAAAAGAACAAGTATGGAAAAAGAAAAAAGATATCTATCTTATATTAAATTATTAATTATTATCTTTTTACCTTTTCTTTTTAGGTAGCACATGTTAGAGCAGAAAGAGATGTATTGGCAAATGCAAATAATGATTGGGTTGTAAGATTATATTATTCATTTCAAGATGATAATTATTTATATCTGATTATGGAATATTTACCAGGAGGTGATATGATGTCTCTATTGATCAAATACGATATATTTTCAGAAGCACAAGCCAAGTTTTATATTGCTGAAACTTTGTTGGCAATTGAATTGGTTCATTCATTGGATTACATACATCGTGATATTAAACCAGACAATCTACTATTGGACAAGGATGGACATGTAAAATTGACCGATTTTGGTCTTTGTACAGGGTTCCATCGTCTACACTCGTCAGAGTTTTACAACAAATTGGTTGGTGATGCCATGACTCTTAAAATGAAGTTGGTATCGGAAACACCAATCACTCAAACGGAAAGAATTCAATCATGGAAAAAGGCCAGAAGAGAATTAGCTTACTCGGCTGTCGGTACTCCAGATTATACTGCACCTGAAGTCTTTATGCAAGTTGGATATGGTAAAGAAGTTGATTGGTGGAGTTTGGGTGTTATTTTATATGAAATGGTTATTGGTCATCCTCCATTTTTATCAGGTAATTTAAATTATAAATAGTGTATTTTTTATGATCATTTCAAATCCACTTACTTTTTTTCTTTCTCTCTTTTATCTAGATGATACAACCCAAACATGTTTAAAAATTATAAATTGTAAAGAAACTCTTCATTTTCCACAAAATCCTGGGGTATCAAATGAATGTATTGATTTAATTAAAAGGTAATATATACAGTTCAAGACAAAATAATAATTATTATTTAAATTAATATTAATATTAATTATTTTTATTTTATTAGATTGGTAACTGATCATGATAGATTAAAAACACCATCACAAATTAAACAACATCCATTCTTTAAGGGAATTAATTGGGACAAGATTAAAGATCAAAAGGCACCATTTATACCTGAATTAAAAGGTCCAACAGATACTAGTCATTTTGATGAATATGAACCAGATGAAGAAATTGCCTCCAAATTACCAAAATCAAAACCAAGACTTGGTAAATTGGTTAAAGAAAAGGACTTGGCTTTTATTGGTTACACGTACAAAGGTTTTGATATTGTAGATAAATCACCAAGTTCAAGAAGAAAAGTGGATCAAATATTTAAATAATCATTATTTTTATCCACTTTTTGTTTTCTTAATATTATTTGTATATAATCTCTTCTTATTCTTTCTCTCCCCCACACTTTTATTGTTGTAGTATTATTCCATTTCATAAAATAAATAAATAATTAAATATTTTCTATAGATTTAAATCAAAAATAATTTACTTTTTATTACATTTCTTTTTTCGACTTCCATTAATAGCCTCTAATTTCTGTAAATATTTTTTGGATTTCTTGTGAAGATGAAACAATACCATTATGACTATATTCCATTGTAAAAGAAGCACTACCATGTGAAATGGAACGAAGAATTGTACTATAACCAATCATTTCCTTGAGTGGAACAGTTGAACTGATAATGTGGGTATTTTTTTCCATACCAACTTCGTTGATGGTGGCACGACGTTGTTTGGTGAGATCAGAAAGGACAACACCAAGATGTTTTTCATCGACAGAGATTTCCAACTTCATCATTGGTTCGAGAATGGCTGGAGCAGAGGATTCTGCCATACGCATCATGATTCGCATGATTCCGTTTCTAAATGCCAATGGAGGAGTATCTGATTCTGATTTGTAAGCGAAATGTGTGATGACGACATGTGTATCGGTGACTGGGAAACCAAGAGGGAGACCACGCATAAAGACAGCGTCAATACCCTCTTGGATGGATTGTTTGCAACGGTCAAGTGTTGATTTATCCATACTTTCGGTTTGGGATCTCGGGAGGATAAACTCGACGAGATTACCTTGTCCTGCTTCACGAGGTTTCATGAGAACTGAGATGTTGGCAGATAGGGTCTTGAGACCTCCACTCGTTTGAATGTCAAACACCTCGAGTGCGTCAAGTTCTTCGACTTCATTTTGAACGGTGCCCTTGTACGAGACTTGCATACGACCCATACGCGATGGCACCTTGAAATGATTGTCCAAGCGATCCTTTATAATCTCTAAATGCAACTCGCCCATACCACTGATCAATATTTGTTGTTGGTCGCTGATTCTATACTGGAATGAAGGGTCCTCTTTTTGAAGGATTTCAAGTGATTCGATTAATGGTTCGTAGTCCTTTTCAGTATCTGGTTCCAATGCACAAAAGAATACTGGTGGAGGAGGTGTGATGCCTGACAACATTGGACGTGGTTGTTTGTCAATGTCATAGATGAGAGTGTCACCTGTCGACACGTTCTTGAGTCCAATGACAGCGCCAATATCTCCAGCTCGCAACTCTTGAATTTCCTCCATTTCGTCGGCGGCCACTTGGAAGAGCTTTTGTACACGCTCCTTTTCACCGCTACGAGAGTTGAATATGGTGGCACCTGATCGCAACACGCCAGAATATACTCGCGTATACACAATCATGCCTCGTTTTTTATCATTTACAACTTTGAATGCCAACGCACACAGATTATCTTTAGGGTTTGGTTGAATGGAGAGTGGCTTGTCGGTACGACGATCAATCGCAGTTGGATGGTCACGATCCAATGGCGATGGGAGATAGTCTACGACGCTGTTTAAAACTTGTTGCACACCCTTGTTTTTGAGAGACGATCCAAAGAGAGTGGGGACTGCCTGCATAGAAACTGTCACACGTCGAATGGCTGCCTTGATGTCAGACAGCGACAAGCTATCGACATTGCAGTCATTGTCAAAGAACTTTTTCATCATCTCTTCGTCCATCTCTGCGAGTTGGTTGATCAACTCCTCGCGCATCGTCTTTGCCTTGTTGACAAATTCCTCGTCGTATTCTGCGAGATCCGACTCTTCAATGATCTCTCCCTTTTCACCGTTCCAACCCAACACCTTGAGTGTAAGGAGATCGACTACATTTGAAAATTGTGGACCTACATGCAAAGGCATCTGCAATACCAATGGCGTGCATCCCAATCTATTCTTCATCATTTTTAATGTCTTTTCCATTGTTGCACCTTCACGATCCATCTTGTTAATAAATGCCAATCTCGGTACCTTGTATCGCTCGGATTGATTCCAAACAGTAATAGATTGTGCCTGTACTCCAGCTACAGCATCAAATATCGCCACGGTTCCATCCATCACTCTAACTGATCGTTCCACCTCGACGGTGAAATCAACGTGACCAGGTGTATCGACCAAATTGATTCTATGATTGTCCCAAGGAAATGTAATGGTAGCAGCAGTGATAGTAATACCTCTTTCTCTCTCCATCTTTAAATAATCCATTACTGTATCACCTCTATGAACTTCTCCAATCCTCTTGATCTCTCCCGAATAAAACAACATTCTTTCACATGTCGTTGTCTTTCCTGCATCAACATGAGCTATAATCCCTATATTTCTATATTTATTTAATTCATTTGATACTAAAAGAAGAAAAAGATAATTAGTAAAAGCAAGGATATAAAAGTATAAGTACTTTCTTTCTTTTACATACATTTCTTCTTTGTATTTAAAGTTGAATATAAATGAGTAGAATATGATTTGAAATTTGATTTTTGTAATATATTAAAAGATGATTTTAATAATAAATGATTCATCCTTTCATATTATTAGTACAATGTAATAATAAACACATATGAATGATCAAAGATGTACATCTGATCATCCAATTTGATGTTTCGTCTTCGTCGTCAACGACAATGAAAAATCAAAAAAAAAAAAAACAGAAACTAAAGTATAATATATTTCATTTTTAATTTATTATCGTTTTAGCAATATAACGAGATTGATTTCTTTTAGTAATATAAATTAAGAATAGACCAACAAAAATAGAAGCACCATTAAATGCAACAGAGATTAAGAAACTTGATCTAAAACATTTGATACCGTAACATTGGTGTTGACTATCGGCCATTGAATCATAAAGGGCACCAGATATGTATCCAAATGCCAAACTACCAGCTGCCGATGCCAATGCCATTAACCCAAAATTCAATCCAAATCTTCTTGACCCGAATCTAATCGTTGCCAATGACACCATCATTGACACTAATCCACCATACCCAACACCCGTTAAAATGGTGACTACTACAAATACTTGTTTTGCAAATGCAAATACAAAATGTGTAATTGTCAAGATTAAACTTGATAGTACTAGGAACCAAAATCTTGAAACTCTTTTTGACAATAGATCCGATAATAAACCAAAAGATAATCTACCAACTAGATTTGAACAAGCAAATACAATGACTAGATCACTTTGAATCGATTCCTTGTAGCCAAGAGACAGCGCAATCGACCCAATATTATTAAGTAACATTAAACTTGTACCAGCACCAAAAAAGTAAATCGTCACGAATAACCAAAACTCTAGTGTTTTGAATAACTCTAATCCACTAATATCTCTTTTACCATCTAAATAATTTGGTCCTAATTTAATTCCATCTTCTTCCAATGATGATGGTTGTTGATCCATTTCAGTTGCAGTGGTGGTAGTAGTAGTAGTAGTAGTACCCAAGCCCAAGTTGGATTGAGAACTACTTTGAATTAATTTACTACGTCTAAGTAATTCATAACTTGAAGTAGGTGAAGTTTCTTGAATGGATTGTTCAATTTGTTTGGTTCCAATTTTTCTAACGAGGAATGCACCAACAAGCGATACACTGGCAAGTAACAATGCTAAAAACATAAAGTAACCATCTACATCTTGATGTTTTTTAAATGTTCCTTTGTAGATACCACTAAATATACCAGAGGATATAGCAAAGAATCCTACCAAGAGACCACTAATCTTTCCATGATGACGTAATGGAAAGTTATAAACATTTGATACTACGGCAGCTGTAAATGATGCATGTGAACCTTGACCAACTATAAATAAAAAGAATGAAAGTAACAGTGGATGTGATGGTAATGCACCTTGTACAACTCCATAACACCCAAAATATCCCAATAAATAGAATCCAGTTGCTATCAAACATGTATAAAATGGTCCTGTTCTATCATATAAATATCCAACTGTTACTCCTACATATCTAAAAATAATAATAGAAATTAATAATTAATAAATAAACAAGAAATGTATATAATATAATATTATTTATATTATCTTACATTCCAACATCACCAAGTGAAATGGCTTGATTAATTTCAGTTTGAGAATAACCTAATTTATGTTTAACTTCATTGGATACAACACTGAAACCATAAAGTGTACCAGAGATTAAGATGACTAGTGAACCCCAAATCAAAGATACATAACGGAAATGATTTGGATCGCGAATAGGTGGAAAAGGAGGTTCAAAGAATTTGGTGTGTTGCTTTTGTTGTTGTTGAGAGGAATCAAGTTGATTTGATTTTTTTAAATCAATGGCAATATCGCTGGCGGTATCAGCTGGATCATCTTTGTGAAATTGGTGATCATCGGGTGATGATAATGAAGAGGATGGAGAATGGTTCTTTTCGTCGTTTTCAATCATATTTGTTAAAATACTACCTCCTCCTATTGAAGTATATATTTGTTCTATTATATTATTATTATTATTATTATTCTGAAGACTGGAAGAAGAGGAAATGGATGAATAAGGAGAAACTAAATGAATTCTTTCCTCATCTTTATCTTCATCCTCTTCCTCCTCCTCATCTTCTTCCACATGTTGACTAATACTATCTATTCGTCTACTACTACTCCTACTACTACTGCTACTATCATTGAATGTATTGGATAATAAAGAGGGGGATGAATTTGATTTGTCCTCTTCTTCTTCCTCTTCTTGTTCTTCTCCTAATAGGTGGTGTCGCATTGTATTGGTATTATTACTTTCATTGTTGTGTGTGTTTGGTGATTTATCTATACTACTATTATTATTATTCATTCCACTAATATTTATATGTATTGTATGTATATGTGTGTATGTATGATTTATTTATATATGATTCATGTAATATTATCACCAAAACATCTTCTTCTCTCTCTCTCTCTCTCAAACACACATCAACCTCCACACACACTCTATCGTCAGTTCCGCACGATCAACTTTTGAAGATTAATGAGTTCGAGGGGGTTCCATTCAAGTATGAATTTTCAAAAAGATATTTTTGTTTTCGGGGTCGGTTCAATTTTGGATGAACGAAATTTTAATTGGAGGGAATTTTAAAGGTTTTATTTTCAAGTTATTTGACAAGAAATAAGATAGATAAATATTAATAAAAAAGTATATACCATAGAAACCATGTATGGAAATTATTTTTTAATGGATTGATATTAAGATTTAAATTGATTATCTTTTAAAAAATTGATTACCTTTTCTTTGATTTTTGCTTCTTCCAACCAAACTATATACAAGATACAAACTAAACTCTATTTGTTGTTGAAAAGGTTGGTTTCAATGAAATGCACTAGTAGTACTAGTGAAGCACCCTTGGTACAAAAACAAATAGAGTTTAGATGATTAGAGGGACGATCATATCGACAAGTTATCATTGGTCACTTTCTCTGTTCGATAGATCGAATCAACAAACTATGTAACCAACAATAGTTAGCAAAGTGCCAAACCTAAAAATGATCACAAAAGGTTGTTCCAATTCTTGATTGATAATATCTTATAAGGTATTCTTTCTATCAATGGATTATTATTATGGATAATTTTAATAATTGTTATAATACAGTAGTAAAGAATTATTTGTTATACTCATTGGTTCTACCACCACACAAACTCTCGGGTTCAAAAAAAAAAAATTAAATAAAAAAAAAAAACCAAAAGGATGTATAAAAAAACGAACGAAAGCTTTATAATTTCATTTGATTCGTTGATTGTACAATATAAATAGTTATATATAATATTTATATATTTATATATCATTATCATCTAACCATGGTACATCCAAATAGTAACAATAAACAACAATCACAACAACAACAAGATCAAAATAACAAGATCAAAAAGAGAGATTTTAGAAAGAATCGTCCGCCTCCAACAACCAACAATGACGCCAAGAATAAAGATAATGTAGTTAGTTTTGACGACCAAGGAAATCAAACAACAACAAAATCAAACAACTATAACAATAACAATAACAGCTATAACAATAACAATAGAAATAATAGTTATAATAATAATCGTGGTGATGATTATTCAAGTTCATATGAAAACAAAGGAGGTTATAATAACAATAGAAACAATAATAATAGTTATAATAATAGAAACAACAATTATAACAACAAGGGTGCTGCTACAGGAGATAGATTTAATCAAAACAAATATTCAAATCAATTTAAAGATAACAATAGAAACAATAATAGATTCTCGAAAGATACCAGATCTGGTACCTCTACTACCCCATCTACCTCTACATCTACTGAACAACAAGAAAGATATATACCAAAAAAAGTATATGAACAAAAGACAGGTATTAAAGTAGACACTGCAGTAAAGAGTGACAAGATATTGGATCAAATCAATGATGAACAAGTCAATAAGAGAGTGTATGGAGAAGACACTGAAAAGGTGGTAGAGTTGGTTCCAGTCGATTTCACGTTGGATGAGAACAAGATTGTTGGTGGTTTCTCGAAATTCTTTTTGCGTGGTCTTGTAGAGAGCGAAGTTGCCGTGACTCAAGACACTGAATTTGTGATTGAAGGTACTATTAATGACGACAAGACCTTTATTGGAGACAGCAAGATTCCTATTGTCGGTGATGGAGAACACTCGGTTTTGGCACCAGAATTCAATACCTATCTCACCGAGACGAACCTCTATACACCCAATTATCTCCAACAACATCTTTGGCCATTGGCGCTGACCGGTCATGATTTGATGGTCATCTCACCACCCGGCTCTGGCAAGACTATTGGGTTCCTCCTCCCACTCGTCCCACACATTCAACATAGAATGTCTCAAAAGACGCTGGTTGCCAAGAGTCCAGTGGCTCTGATTGTTTTACCAACCCGTGAGCTTGCTCAACAAGTCTATCGTAGTGCTATCCCATTGAAACGTCATTTCGGTATCTCTGCAGTTCCCATCTATGGTGGTGTCGATCCAAAACCACAAATCGAGTTGCTCAAAAACACTCCTCACATTCTCATTGCCACACCAGGTCGTCTATTGGATTTCATTCAACAAGATATTATTAGTCTCAAAGGTGTCACTGTTGCCGTACTCGATGAAGCCGACAAAATCCTATCTATGGGTTTCATGCCACAACTCGTTCAAATCCGTTCCCAAATTCGTCCCAACGCCCACATTATCCTTTCCTCTGCAACCTTTAGTGCTAAATTGGAACAAAATTGGTTATCCTCTCCTTCAATTAAATTAAGAATTGGTAAAAATGAATTACCTGATCAATCAAATATTAAACAAGTAAGAAATAGAAAAAAAAGAAAAAAAAATAGAAATATATACTAATATTTATTTTGTTTCTTTTCTTTTTTTTTAGCATTTAATTTATGTTAAATCATCGAAAATGTCACAAAAGTTTGAAACTAGATTAAAAGAAATTATTAAACAAGGAAAGAAAATTATTGTATTTTTTAATCAAACTGCAAATTGTAAAGAATTTAAAAAAAATAGAAAAAAGAGATAAAGAAAAAAGAGATTAACCTTATTTATTATTTTTTTATTTTTAGTAATAACAATTAGTAAATTATTAAAAAAGAGTAATATTAATCATAGTAGTTTATTTGGAAAGAAAACACAACATGAACGTGATTTGGTGATTGGTTATTTCAAGAATAATGCAAGTGCCAAGTTGTTGTTGTGTACCGATGTGGTTGGTAGAGGTATTCATATTGATGATTTGGATGTTGTATTTAATTATCAATTACCTACCAGTCTTGAACAATATTGTCATAGAATTGGTCGTGTCGGTAGAAATGGAAGACAAGGATGTATTGCCTATTCCTTTGTCACTGTTTCCAACAAGACTATCCTTCCAGACCTAGTACAATACTTGGAAACCAATGGAAACAAGGTAGAGAATGACTTTAAAAAGAATATCAACCTCCAATTGGGTCTCAACTTGGATATTCCAATTAGCAAGAATCAAATTGAACGTGAAGAAATTGCTAAAAAGATTCAAACTGAAAAGAATGAAAGATTAGAAAGAAGAAAACAAAGAGAGGAAACTGAATCTGAACAAAAAATGGATATCGACAAGGAAAAAAAGGAAAAAAAGGATGAAAAGAAAGATGAAAAGATGGATGATTCAAGTGATAGTGATTCAAGTTCATCATCATCATCATCATCAGAAGAAGAAGAAGAAGATGACTCAAGTGATTCCAGCTCATCTGATGATGATTCAAGCTCATCTGATGATGATTCAAGCTCATCTGATGATGATTCAAGCTCATCTGAAGATGAATCAAGCTCTAGTTCAAGTTCCGATGACTCTAGTTCAGAATCAAGTTCATCAGATGATGATGATGATTCAAGTTCAGACTAAATACACACTTTCTTTAAAAATAAATAAAATAACAATACTTGATTCAAATTCTAGATCCCTTCATTTCAAACTCGATATCTCTTTATTTTATTTTAACTGTATTATTATATTTTTTTTTTTTCATAAGCACAAATTTGCAACCTATCGCGATAACTTGCTTTGACTGTTTTAATGCATTTGAAGTGAAATGAATATTCAAAAGCAATCTAGATTTATAAATAGATAGATAGTAGATTAATACATAATAGATTATACATTATTATATAGATTATAGATAATATAGAGAGAGATTAGAATGACATTACAATCAGCTGATTATAATGAAGATCTAGCTGATTTGGGAGAGAAATTAGAAAGTTTAACATCTTCAGATGTAGCCCAATTCTATCACTCGGGTACGAGTGGTGAAATTGCAATGCCCAAGATAAAGGTTGAAGGAATGGGTATATGTTCTTTCCCATTCCAACCAGAACAAATACAAAAATTAATTAAAGTTGCTGAAAAGGCTCCTTTTGGTAAGGTAGGTAAAGTAAAACAAAAAAGATGATAGTAAAGATCATGAACGATTGTAACTAACGACGTATATATCTTTACTTTACTCTCTCTTTGTGTTTTAGAGAGAAAAAACATTGGTCGATGAAAAAGTAAGAAAAGTATGGCAAATTAGTGGTGATAAAGTAACGATTGTTGGAGATAGTTGGGATAAATGGTTAAGTGATACATTGGTCATGATAGCACAACAATTGGGAATTGGAGATGAAGAGATTGAAGCTAATCTATATAAAATGTTGGTCTATGAAAAGGGTGGATTCTTTCTACCACATCGTGACACTGAAAAGGAGAAGGGCATGTTTGCCTCTCTTATCATTTCTCTGCCATGCCAACATAGTGGTGGCGACTTGATTGTATCGCATGGAACACAAGAGGTAACACTATCATTGGTCAACAACACTGTCAATAATGTCAAATTTGCAGCATTTTATGCAGATTGTCGACACGAGGTCAAACCAGTTGCATCGGGTCACCGTATATGCCTTGCCTACAATTTGGTCAGAGACGGCAGGCAATATGACCCAACTGCCACCAATACAGACAATTTAGACGAATTGGTCCAAGAATTGCAAAGTTGTCTTGTCTCGCTAGACGAATCTATCATCTATGTACTAGATCACCAATACACACTCAATCAAATGACCTTTAACTTGCTCAAGGGTGATGACCAATCAAAAGCCTTTTTACTATTAAAGGCGGCATCCAAATTGACCAATGTCCTAGTTGGTATTGGTACTATCAGTATCACAGAGACTGGCAACTATGGCTATGGAAACGACGACTATGAAGATGAAGAGCTTCGAGAATGCAATATGGAAAATATAGTGGGACTAATTAGCCGTAAAGCATGGAAAAACTCTTCGTTTGGACTTGAACAAGTTTTGCCCCACGATGCCTTTCAAGATTACGAACCAGACCACGAAAAAATAGAAGAACATACTGGAAATGAAGGTGCTACCTATGAAAGATGGTATAGATGTACTGGTTTAATTATAAAATCAACTGGAGAAATTAATCTTAAACCTTCAATTGTAAGGGAAATTGATGAAGTTGTTGATGAAGATGATGAAGATGAAGAAGATGAGGAGGAGGAGGAAGAGGAAGAGGAAGAAGAAGAGGAAGAAGATGAAGAAGAGGAAGAAGATGAAGAAGAGGAAGAAGATGAAGAAGAGGCAGATAGACAAAAAAAGAGGAAACGTGGTACATCAAGTAATCCAATTGTACTTTAAAAATAAATAAATACAATTAATATATGCCGTAATATAGTGTTGATAAAATTGCTCAATTTTTAGTTTATAATATTATTGTTGACAGTGAAGAGGGTGATGAGAATGGAGATTAGGCAGTAATAAAAATTATAATTCTTTCCCACTCAAGTGTAAAATTATGTTGAAAAACGGGTCCAATCTACTACTCCATATCAAATCAGTTTTTTGTAATGTTTATGGGTAGAATAACAAATATTTGATTTAAAAAATCGGGAACATTCAGTTTCCCCCATGTTCTTGCGAACCTGGCGAAGAATTGTCTGGCATGTGTTTGGGTCTTGATTATTTCGTAGGGCTGTTGGCGATGGCTGTTGTGGTTTGGTTAACCAGTTTGGCGTGTTCGACGTAGATTATACCTTTGAATCTTGCAATGACCATCTTATCTTCGTTTTCATCAGGTGAATATGTCGAGTGATAGATGGTGTTGAGGTGGTGGTGCCATGCTTTTAGAAGCATAATAGCTACTAGGGTTGAGTATCTGGTCCTTTGTTGAGTGACGAGAGGTTGAGGGCGTTTGGATCCCAATCTTTTTTGATACCCGTGATTTCTTGAATGATCGTTCCCCATCTCTCGTTTCTATTTGCCAGGAAGGGGCATAGGAATAGGCTGTGGAGGATGGGACCAGTGTTGGTTTCGGGGTACGCCTCGAGGCATAGTTTACATAGGTGTCTATCGAACGCTGGGGTCGGGGTTGGTTTCAATGCTCTTGCGAGAAACCTAATCGTCAGATCTCTCTAATTTTTTTTTGTTTTTTTTTAAAAATACAAAGGGTAAATTCCCACTTTTCGGAAATGAATTCAACAAAGGCTCCATAGTTGAATGGTACAATACTACCTTTGGGTGGTAGTGGTCTGGGTTCGATTCCCGGTGGAGCCCTTCTCTTTTTTTATCGCTCGACGTGTAATGAAGATCTCATTATCTCGGTTTTTACAAACGTTAACCTTTAAGACACGCGAACGATCATTATACTCTTTATTGTTCTAACAACATTATAAAGGTATAGTAAAGTAATAAATAAATAAATACACAACATTGTTCTAACAACATTATAAAGACTTTATTACTCTCTTTTATTCTTTCTTAAATACAATAGTGATATACGTTAGAAGGGCCCTCTACATATACACTATCATATTTATTAAAGACGCCGCGGCCAAAAAAAAAAAAACATATCCTTTTTTTTTGTGCTCTAATTTGTTGTTGGAAACAGTACTGTAATCATATATATTTAAATAAAAAAATGATGATTTATTTATTGAGTAGAATTAATAAAAGCCAAAGGACTAGAAAGTGATTTTTTAGCTCTACTAGCAATGATATTAGCCTTTGCAATATCCTTTGTCACCCTCAGTTCAAATCTAAAGTAATTGATCCAAGTTTCAGTGTCGGATGCAGCAAAGTCCTTATTTTGAAAGTAGGTTTCATAGACTGAACGGACTTGATTTGGATCGACATTTTGACGTTCTTGAATATAGAGGATGGTACGAAGATAAAATTCTCTAGAGATTGGACGGAATTGAAGAACAAGGGAATAAGCCTCTTGCCATTGATTATTATCAACATTATTCATGTATAAATAATCAATAAAATAAAGTTTAACTGCATTTTGAATATCTTTTAATCCATTTAATGATCTCATTAATTTCTATATAAACAAAATAAAATAGTTAATAATTTCTTTCTTTTTTTTTTTTTTTTTTTCTATTTCTATTTCTTTTTTACCTTGAAAAGTTCCAAAGTTTTTTTACTATCTGTTTTTAAATTTGTTTGATTTAATTTTGAATCAAAATATTGGATAGCATATTTTTCATATAATTTAAATTGTTGGGCCGTGATGGATTGAGTAGAGATGGTTGAAATGGCAACTGGGAATAATTTAGAGAAACCTTCTTCATACAAAGTTACCATATCCAATGATTCTCCACCATTTAATAAAGATTGTTTGTTTAATAAATTATTTCTAAGAGTCCAAAGAATGATAGATGTTGGTAGTTTGACGACAGATGATTCAGCCAATTTGATAGCCTTTTCAATTTGATTGGTATTAATGTATAATTGAACCAATGAGGAGATACCTTGTTCACCAAGTACACCTTGTTTGTTGGCTTGTTCATAGAGTGATAGTAAATATTCCTTTGCCATTTGAATCAATGGCCAATCTTGTTCATTACCAACATTCAACTTGTCAAATACATTTTCCATCAATATAGTTTCAACTTGAGCCACATACTTTTCAGTTGCAATATTTTTAAATCCATTATTTAAAACTTGTAACATCTTTTTAAGACGTGATTCTTCCAATGATGAAGATGAAGATGAAGATTCAGTGTTTGATCCTTCACCAAGTTCAATTGAAGCAATCATCATCCACATTTCAATTTGATTGGCAGAGAAATCTTCTTGCAATGATTTCAAAATAGCTTCAGTAACATTCTTTTCCAATGTCATTGTCAACTCCATTGTTTCCTTGTTTCTCTTTCCAACCTCTGAAAATTTTCTTGTAATCTTGTGAAATTCTTGTCTAAATTTAAAATCATTTGAGATTTCTTTAAAGAAATAAAAAGAAAGATTAATAAAACTATGACTATTAATCTATCTATCTATCTATTTTTTTTTGTTCTTTTTACTTTTAGTTGCAGCTTGATAAATAATGATTGCAATTTTTCCTTGAATGACAGATGAATTTAAAAGAGTATCAGCTTCAAACATTTCCTTTCCAAAAGTAATAAATCTATTTTCTCCACCTTTGGCAAGTTGTTCAGCCAATAAATCAGATGTTGGTTTTTTAGATACAGTTTCACCATTTTCTCCTACTTCTTCTTCATCCTCTAGTTGCTCTTTATCGTCATCACTATCATCTTTTTGTTTCTTTACATCAATATCCATTTTCTCTTGTTTCTTTTTTAATATTTCAATCTTTACTTTTTTTTGCTATAAATCATAAATAAAAAAGGATCTATTAATATGTATGATTCATTTATATATATATATATATTTATCTATTTTCATACAGATTCATTAATATTAATATTATTAATTAATTGTGAAACATAGGATAATTCCATTTGGAAAAAGTAATGCCATAATGATCTATCAGATGGATTGTATTGAATACCAAGTTGAATAAGATTACGAGCAGATGCAATTCTACTATTCACTTCAAATTCAAAAGCTGCTGCTGTACGCCACAATGCTGGTGACAATGGTAATTTTTGAAGTGCTTTTGAAAGAATTCTTAAAGAATAGAATAGAAAAGAAATATGTTTTGTTAATAAATGAAAAGATATTGATATAGTGTTTGTTTCATATTTACGTTGAAGTACCAGCATGACTAGCTCTTGCAATTCTAATATTTAAATAACTTAACCATAATCTTTCATCATTTGATTTTTCACACAACTTGTGGAATAGATCAAGTGCATGTTTAAGTGGTGATCTTAGAGATTTAATATAATGAATTTCTAAAATAAATAGTAAATAAAATTAAGATTAATATCTTTTATATACATCTATCTATTTATCTATTTATCTATTTACCTCTACCAAACTTTTTTTGTTTTGCTTGATAGGCAACATGTAAATCAGCATCCAATTGTAATTCATATTTGATATACTTCATAGTTAGAGCCTTCTTTACAACAGAGTTACCTGTCAACTTTACTTCAAAGTCTTTTCTCTTGTCCATGATGCTACGATACTGTTGTTTGGTGAAATAACCTTCGGTCACCAATTCCATAGTAGCATCTTCTAAAGATGCTAAATGTTTATTAACTCTATCCATCCCTTTTTGACTCGACTACTCTTTGTTACTAACAAACTAACTAACTATGATGATAGGGTACTAGCAAAAGTAAGATGTATCTAAAATCAATGTTTTAATTAACTTTCTTTCGTTCGTTTCGTTTGAAAAAAAAAAAAAAAAATAACGGAAAAAAAAAAGAGAGAGAAGAAGTCTTGGTTTGTAGTTAATAATCATATTAATAGTATTATTTATTTATTTATTATGATCCAAAATTAAATTTCTTTCCATTATTATTTTTAAATCTATTATTATTATTATTATTATTTTTGTTATTTTGATCAGAGGTTGATTTAAAATTTTTTGAAGAAGACATTGATGACCTAGAATCATTATTATTATTATTATTACTATCCATATTATTATTTCTACCATAGGGTTGATAACGATTATTTGGAGAGATTGAAGTTAAATTATTTTGAGAAAGTTGTTTAAAGTAGGATTCTTTTTTAACCTTGTTGTTGCCTTGTAGCAACATTTTATCTAGGTTATTTTTAGTCATTGAATGGACAGTGACTGGTTGCTTGGCCTCTTTTAATTTCTTTTTTCTTTCATTCTCCTTTTCCAATGCTACAAATGGTGATTGTGTCGATACGAATCCATTTTGAATCTTGTCTTCCAATTCACTCGTAAATCGATCAATCTTTTCTCTACCAACCATTGCTTCTTTGTCATAATCTCCAATATGTGTTGATTTTGATAACCATTTACAAATTAGATTTGATATACCTGATTTATTATTAACTATAATTGGTTTCTCTTTCTCTTGTTCAGATTCCGATTCACTATCACTTGATTCATCATCATCATCACTTGATTCATTTTCTTTTTCTACTTTATCTTGATTTTCTACAACATCTTTATCATCTGATGCTGATGATTCAATTGATGAATCATCTGAACCATATGAATAATCTGATGATGACTGATCATCCCATTGTTCTTCTGCATCAACTACTTTTTCTATTGGTTTAATGATAACATTCTTCTTTGTTGTTTCTTCTTCTGTTGTTGTTGTATTCTTTTGTTGTTGTTGTTGTTCTTTATTATTTACATTCTTTTTATTCTTTACAATGTTTCTATTTCCTCCTTGTTGTTGTTGTTGTTGTTGTTTATTATTTGTTAATTTCATTCTTTTTCGAAAAAGTCGAGAGATAATATTATTTAAATTATGACTTTCGGTCGTTTAAATTGGTTCGTTTTTTTTTATTGTTATTTATTTAATTTATTGCCAAGTGTTCAACATATTGTACAACAACAATTATTAGCTGAATGATTTTGATTTGATTCTTTTAATTCATTCAAAATTGATATAATCAAATCCAACTTTTTATCCTCTACACAACAAAAAATATAGAGAAAAAGAAGATGATTATTATTATTAAATATTATTATTATAATTATTATTATTATTATTTAAAAGATTTAGAATCAAAACCTAAACATGTATATAAAATTTTTAATAATATGTTACCTGGATTAATATTTGATGAAGGATTGGGAAGTGGGATTGGAGGTAAAGCTTCTACATAAATATGCGAGATTAAAAGATTCTTTGGTATGTTGTCAGTTTCCATTAATCTTTTAAAATGAATTGCATCTTGATTCAAGTCATAATCATCATAATTTAATATAGCAGAAGGTGGAGGATGGGTGGTTGTAGTGGTTGTTACTGTCTTTTGGTCTCCATGACCATCAGATGATGCCAATGTTGTAGTAGTTGAAGAGACTGGAGACAAATAGTACAGTCGAAGACGGTGTCTAGGAGGTATTTGAAGTTCAGGATTATTCCTAATCGAACCTCTTAAATCATCCCAAAATTGAACATATGCAAATGTTATTCTAGTAACATCTCTTCCATAATGTACCCACAAACTTAAACTTTCATGAATATCCATCAACTAATCTCTCTATCTCTTGAAATAGTAAATAAAATAAATAAAGACAAAGATGGAAAGAAAAGAAAAAAGTAAACCTGTACATACACATAGTACATTCTATTCTAATAAACCTTAAAATAAAATGAATAATAAAAAATTAATTAATATATTTTATTTTGCCTTGTCTGATTTTGAAGAAAGGGATGATTAAAAATTTCATTATGCAAAATCTCTCTTTGATGAACAACACACAAATATTTAATTAATTAATATATTTGTTTGTTTGAGGAAAAGATAGAGATAAATTGCAACAATGATAAATAATAGTAATAATAATAATAAAAATAGTACTACTTCAACTACAAATAATAATGTTGGAAAAAGAATAATAGAAAAGAAAATAGATTATTCAAAGTATAGATCTATTGGAGGAGCATTCAACATTAATGATTTACCTCATATTCTGATTAGAGAGATACTAGAGATGTATCAGATGCATGAGAATAGTGTAATCAAACAGGTTATGGTGGATGGAGCGGGAGGGATGATGTCCATGTATGACACGACCACGATCGGGATACCTTCTCGTCGAGGTAGAATGCTCAGCTCACACGTGTCACCAATGATCAATAACGTCGTACTCCGTCTATCACTTGTATGCAAGTTGTGGTCTCGTGTAATCGTACCAAGCCTACCACGCACCAAGTTTTCCATCTCTACACGTAATGAACTAGAGTCGTTTATCAAGTTGTCACATTATAGTATCACCTATCCGATGAAATTCATTCCTACATCGTCTCAGTATCTCAAGGCACTGTCTCACATGTACCCGGCCGGTAGTAGTAAGGCTGCAGCCAATCTTGCTCGTTACGGTCATTATCCCTATCAGTTCCAGACGCTCTATTTGGTCGTCAGCAGAGAGCAGATTGCATTTACACCAACATCTATCATCCCCATGCAAATATACGATCTACTCATTCCATCACACGACCAAAGTACTTTGGAAGAAGAAGAAGAGGACAGTAGTGATGTGGTGTCGATCCAAGAAAACCAACTAAAGTCAATAGTGTTTAAAACCAATGTCGATCAAGACAAGGAGGATGTCGAGTATCTGTTACGTGCCATTCTAAACAACTCGTCACTCACCAAGATCAAGATCACGGGTCCGATCAATGCCAACTGTTACTCTACATTGGCCAAGATATTGGCCAAGCCAAACTGCGCAGTGCAGACGTTGTGTCTTGCGAGCACTTTTCGATACAGAGCCGACACGAGTGGATTAAAAGACACCCGACTCGATTTTGTGCAAGCACTCGAACAATGCAAGTCGCTCACCAAGCTAGACATGTCCAAGATTGAGTTTGCAAATGATAGCGGTGCTTTGCTAAGCAAGTATTTGCAAGTGGTGACTGGAAAGAATGGTCTGGTGCACTTGTCATTGGATAAAACCGCATTGCGTGATTTACCGGCATCAGTGATGTTGGCAAGTGTTCCAAGTACGACATTGAGATATTTAAAGGGAGAGTTTGGCCAATCGACCATCACGGCGATCATTCCATACCTACAAGAAAACAAGTCGCTCGAGACACTTGATCTATGCGGCTCATCGGTCAGGGCAGGCGCCATTGAAGAGAGATTATTCAATGCGATTGCCGAACACAAGAACCTTCGCACGGTTATTCTCAGTGGACTAAACATTGTCAAACAAAATCCTCCACCACAAGAATTTCCACCACCACCACAACAAGATCTACCTCCTCATGATAATTGGGAACAACATAATAATTGGGCACAACAACAATGGCAAGAAAACAATCAAGTAAATGGAGAAATGTGGGGCAATCAAGAGATGGATGAAGAGAATACATCCACCTCGAATATATGGCAGGATTTGGCATCATACAACTTTGATAGAATGAATTTTATGCCAAAGAATGACAACTATACTCACATTTCATTGGCCAACTTTAAATTGACCGTTAAAGAATCCAAACAATTGTTTGCTCATCTCAAAACACATCATCATGGATTGGTATCGTTGGATGTCAGTAATAATCAATTGGAAGGGTGTCATCAAGAATTGATTGCCTGTATCGTCACCAATCCAACATTGCATAGTCTAAATTTGGCCAATAATCGATTGGGACAAGTGTTTCCACACTCTGCCAATCTTTTGACTGCCCTAAAGTTGAACAAGTATCTGACCAGGGTTGACATTTCGTCCAATGGTATCCGTGATACATATGGTGCATTGGTAGCCGACTATATCCAATCAAACAAAGTGGTCAAACATTTGGCAATTGGTGGAAATTCATTTGGATTGCCTACAGCTCACAAACTTCAATCAGCACTATCAATCAACAAGACACTCCTTTCCTTTTCACTCCAATCAACCGAATTGGATGTCATTGGATTAGAGTGTATTCTTTCTCCATTGGCTTTCCATCCAAACTTGACCATCGCCAATCTTAGAAATACTATCGATCAATCAAATATTGATTTCTTTTTATCAAATTTATCAATTGGTTATAATTGTAAAATTATTTATTAAAAAAAAAAAAAAAAAAAAAAAAGAATAGTGTTAGTTTAGACCAATAAATAATAATTGTAATAATAATAAATATTGGGATTGTAATAGTTGAAGAATTGGATGGTGGTTGGGAATCAGAGTCCGATGTCGATGTTGAATTTGAAGAGGATGAAGAAGATGAAGAAGATGAAGAAGGATAGATAAGATCACAAATATCACCACCAAAAGAAAAATCTTTACAACTAGGGACAAGTTGATAAAACTTGGAGCTGCACATTCTCTTTTCATATCACAAAATTCGTGTCCACAATTACTAATTGAACAAGAGTCTGGTGAATTGTCTGGAGGTTATACATTGGTTATCATTTAGACATTGATAATACACTTGATTTTGCTTGTAACATTGGAGTGTTGTAGAGTTGAGTGTTGTCATTGATTTTAAAATAAACAATAACCTTTACCAATTTCCTTTGGACAATGACATCACTTGGTTTGGGTCACAGGTTGAAAGTAAACTTGAAACTTTTGGACAATTCTCACCTTCACCTTGAGAGAAATAATTGGAAACAATTTCTCTACTATTGTTCTTTGGATAAAGTAAGCAAATTGTAAACACTGGGTTTTCAATTCCTTTTTGGCACTCATCACCAATCTTTGCACGATCCAAACAAGTTCCATTGCCAACATTACAGTTTTGTGATGGTGGACATTCAAAAATACTACTACATTTGTTTGGTATCACTCTTGTACAATTACTAAATTCTGTATCACATTTTAAAGTATTTGAAATACATTGGAAACACTTATTGTATCACATTTTAAAGTATTTGAAATACATTGGAGACACTTATTGCCCGAAAAAAAGAAGAAGATTTATGTAAATACAGATATATGAAGGTGAAAGAGATGGTGGTGATAAAGAGGGAACCAATGCACAATAGTTTTTACCACTAGTGGTTGTTAACAACCTTGGACATTAGAGACGAGATATTTTGGGTCACATGTAATTGGAAGAAATTGCAATTACTCTTCCACATTTTGCAGTGGACATTCATTGTCTATAAGGCATTCGACCAATACCTCCATCAACTTGAATTCATCAATAAAGTATATTAATTACTAGAAAACAAAAAATGGATGACAACTTTGGCTCCAAAAGGTGCAGAGCAAAAGTATTTTTATTTATTATTTCTTTCAACCATGATGGAAATAGATAACCAAAGTAATAATAGTAATAATAATAATAATAATAATAATAGATATGTTTTATTTGAAACGAGTAAAGGAGGAATCATAGTTGAATTATATAGGGACAAGGCTAGATTGTCATGTGAAAGATTTACAAATCAGATAGAGGTTGGGAGATACCAAGATACGATCATTCACAGAATCGTCAAGAATCTGTTTATTCAATGTGGGAGATACTCTATAAACTCTTCATCATTGGATAACTCTTTGATGAATAATAACGATAGTAGTAGTAATAGTAATAATGATGATAGTATTACAAGTTTCACTTCTACCTCTACAACTACTTCAATATATGATAATAATAATAATAATAATAATACTCAACCAACAAGTTTAAATTCAAGTTCAACAATATTAAATCAATTATATGTTGATAGTAGCGATGATGATGAACTAGAACAAGAACAACAACAAGATGATATAGTTTATATTAGTGATAACAAGGAATCAAATTTAACAAACTCTAAAAAAGAATCATCATCATCAAAACAACAAGAATTATTGGATAAAGATCAATTTAAAAGATTAATTAAAGAGAATAATGATAATGGATTGAGTTTTAATGAAAGAGGATTGGTGGCTATGGGATCATACAATCAAATTATATTCACATTGGATGCATGCGGTGCATTGAATAGAAAGTATCCAATCATTGGAAGAGTACATCCATCTACGATGCAAATGCTTTGCATTCTCGAGTCAACCCCAACCAATGAATCCAACTGTCCAATTGATCCAATCTTTTTGACCAATATCCATTTTATATCCGATGTTGAACCACAAGAAGATACTCCTCCATCCATTCCTCCAACTCCTAAACTTCAATCACCTCAAATCTTACCTCCACCTTCTCGTGAAAGTTCAACATCATCCTACTCCTCTTCGTCGTTGACATCACAACTTCCTCTTGAAACACCTAAAAAAAGATCAGTTGAATTTGATTCAACTCCAATCATCAAGAGATTAAAAACTAAAATCAAAACTGGTCTTATTCGTACTCCATCAAGAATATTAGATCATCAACATGCTTTAATGACTTGTAATCTTGTATATATTAAAAAAAAAAAAGAAAAAGAAAATAATCATTAATTAATTCACTATTTTTTTGTTTATTTCCATTTAGAATCCATCATCAATTAATCCATTAAATCAATCAAATATAAAACCAATGGGAGGAATGGCAAGAAGTATGTCAATGCCATATATTAATACACAAAAAGTAAAACTAAAATGGCCAACAAGATTGGTTATTATTAGACATGGTCAATCGGAACAAAATGCAGCATTGGATGTTCTCGACAGTCATACCTCTAGTATTAGAGATGCAGACATTAAATTAACCGAAGTTGGTAAATGGCAAAGTAGAGAAACTGGTAAACATTTGGCAAAGACTGATCAATTTGATCTTTGTTTTGTTTCTCCTTATATTCGTGCCATTCAAACTGCTGAAGAAATTATAAGTCAATTACCTTATAAAATTAAAATGGTAAAAAAATAATAATCTAAAAAAAAATAATATTATATTAATTTTTGTTTTAATATGGTATTTATTTTTTTAGTATAAAGATAATTGGTTAAGAGAAAAAGAATTTGGAAGAGGACATGGATTGGCAGAAAATCAATTTAAACAACAATTTCCAGAAGAATATGAAATTAGAAAAAGAGATGGAAAGTATTGGTATCGATTGGTATGTAAACATTAAACATGCTCTATATACTTGTCATTAAAATTAGTATTTGTAGGAAGGAGGAGAAAATTATCCCGATGTTGAACTGAGATGTCATTGTTTTTTGGAAAAGCTGTCAAGAGATTATGCTGGTCGTAGTGTTTTATTGGTGACCCATCAAGTTCCCTACAAGATGTTTATGGGTTTATTTCATCATCTAGATGAGCAAGGCATTTTAGGTCTCGAGGAGGTGTACAACTGTGGTATGCAGGAATACCTAGTTGACACTTCCAAATCGGTAGATGGTCGCATGAAATTAAAACATTTCAACCTTAAAGCTTATGAAATGAATCAGGTACCATTGGAACTTAAATATAGTCCTAATACCAAAGCTCATGGAAAATAAATGGAAAAGGAAAAGGAAAAAAATTGTATAATATTTAATATTAATAATAATTGATCACTCTAGAGTTGGATTATTTATTTATCAGCATTTTTGACTTGATAACGATCATTACCATTTACCAAGAGTAGGTTTGCGTATCCAAAAGATTGGAGGGATTGGAGCTTTTCGGGAAATTCGCTTAATTTGATACCAAAAGAAAGTTGTTTGATATTCGATGGATGAAGATATTTCATTAGTGAATTGTATGCGCATTCGAGTATTGGGTGTGGTTCCTGTTCATCGACTAGTGAATTGAAAGAAATAACAAAAATTTAGGTTAATAATCCCAATCTTTTTAAAATTAAATTGATTTTAATAATTACAAAAAAGTTTTAGTTTTACCAATGAATTATTTGTTTCCAATGCATCCCAAATTGGTTGATATCTTGGGTGATCACCGCTGATGAGTAAATGTAGATGTTTTATTTTGTTCTTTTTCAAAACATCAGCAATACATTGCACCATTTGTTTTGATATTTCATCATATCCAGTGGATGTGATAATCAGTTTATCGATGTTGGGACAACTAGATATCAAACCACAAATTGCTTCGGAATTGATTGCTCTTGCATTGAATTCACCCACTTTGATTGTTTTCAATTTTAATGATCCTTTTAAAGCATTACATGATTGTAAAATCTCTTTTCCATTTCCATCTAAATTTAAAAAGAGAAAGAGAAAGAGAGTTTATCCAATATGTGAGAATAATTTAATTCACAACCAAAACCTGGTTGGACATACATACAAAGTCGAGCTCGCAATTCATACTCTTCGATATGATCAACCATCGATGGAAGAATGACAAGTGGTTTGGTATTGTTTGGTAAATCAGAAAGCCAATAGACTGCATTTGGTCTTTCAACAAATAGATTATGTGGAATCTGTCCATAGATTCTATATTTAACAATTGATGTGCTTTGTTTGATATCTTCATACACCTTTTTGGTTTCATTCTTTACTATTTCCAAAACAGATTCATTGTTATAACAAATAGTGAGATTTAGTGATTTGATTGTATTTGTTTTGATCTTTTGTCTGGCAATGTCAACTTCTTCTTTAAATTTGATTACGTTGCTCTCTTCATCGTTGTCTAAATAAATAAAGATAGTTTCTTTTAGACCAGTTTTTTCTTTTGGAGGTAATAGTATAGTTTTAGTTTTTACAAAGATAACAGATGGATCTAAAGAAAGGTGAAAGTGTTAGAAAATATATGTTTAGATAATAGATGTTTAAAACATACGTTCTTCGTAATTAATGGGTGGTGGTGGTGGTGGTGGTGATATTGTCTGACATCTCTCGATAATTGATCGAGATTAGCACCAATATGAATGATATAAGATATTGAACAATAAGAGATGTGTTGTTTAAGTAGATCTTTATCATCGAGTTGAACTGCACATAGTGGACATTCTTGTTGAAAATCTTTAAAATCTTTGGTGTTACTGTGATTGACTGTGTTGTGTAACTTTAATAGTTCTATCTTTGATTGCATCGTTTTGTGTGTTGGCTGTTTTTAAAAAAAAAGAATATATATTAACCATGGACCGACCTTCACCATATAGGCCAAGGCAATAGATAAAGAACATCTTCCAAGAAATGTTATTAAGTCGATCACAACCTGCTATGTACAACACATTTTAACCTCCTAAGATTAATCGAGATTTATGTTTTTCTTTTTAGAATTGTTAAAGAATCAAGGAAGTTAATATCCCTCTCCTTGGATTAGACCAATGATTATCAAGAAGGTTTATTATTATTAGATTCTGTTAAAAACTTGCTTGTTACCAATTCATTACTTGTCGTTTTGAGGTGATAGTTTAATTTGTCATCTTTGGTATAATGATGATGGTTCGACAAGATGGCATCGATATTGTTTGGACGCCAAACCTTTGATGGTGATGTTACCGATCCACCATTATCATCATCATCGTCTTGGTGTAATCCATTTACGATTTGTTTGAAATCTCTTTCATCCTTTGGATTGGACCAATGTCTTGAAATATACTTGTCATTCTCGTCTGTAAATTCCTCTTCTCTTACCTCTTCCACAACTGGATTTGTAAAAAAGGAAGGTGACATTGATTCCTTTGCATATTTTGAATAGTGAGAGGAGGAGGAGGATGAGGTAGTTTGAATGGGAGTTGTCGTTAACAGATCCCTTGGTTCTTTTAATGGAGTTTGGTAGGTTGATGAATAACTATTGGTGTTTTCATTTGAACTGGTAGTAGTATGACCATTAGATGATGAGTGGTGTGTATTGTTTTCACTATTATTATTATTATTATTATTATTATTATTATTATTATTATTATTATTATTATTATTATTATTGCTACCACTACTACCACCAACATTGCTATCATCTTGAGTATGATTGTTAAATCTATCATTATCATCATCATCATCTTGGTCTTGATGATCTTTACCATTAAATTGATTATAATTCATTTCCTCTTCTTCCTCTTCCTCTATTTGTTCTTCTTCTTCCTCTTCTTCCTGTTGTTGTTCTTCTACTATTTCTTCTTCCTCTACCTCTTCTTCATCGTTTTGATTTTCTTCTTGAATCAATTGACTTTGATTCTTTTTTAAATTTGACAAGACAGTATCCCATTTACGTTGGAACTCTTGTCTAAGTGGAGGAGGAGGAGATGAAATATGTGGTGGATTACTTGAAGTAGAAGATCTCAAATCATCAAGACTGAGACTTGACTTTGACGATGTCGGAACAGGAGGTCTATAAGTTGATTGATATACACTTGTTGGTTGTATTTTTTGAGCCGACAATGGAGGATTTTGTTGAGTGTAAAAGAATGGTGAATTGTATTTGCTTGGTGTCAAAGCCTGTATGGTTTCTTTTGATAAAGGTTTTCTTGGTGAATTTTCAATGACAATATGAACTTTACTCAACCTTTCCTTCATGTCATCGTTTTCTCCTTCGAGTTGTCCGATTCTCTGTTGGAGTAGTTGTATCTCGCTCTTTGATTCCTCTTGTTCGTTGATGTGACGTGCTTGCATCTCTTTAATGTACGAGTCTAGTTGTGAACCACGTAATTTGAGTTGAGTGACTTGTTGGACGAGTACGGATTGATTTCTTTCATACTCTTCAATTTGATCGGTATGTATCTTTTCATTTTGTTCAAATTGGTCAATAGTTGATTCGATCTCTTTTAACTCTTGATTGGTCATGATGACCTTGTCCTTGATCGACTCTGCTCTAATCTTTTCCTGGTCTTGGAGTCTTCGCACTTCGATACGTTGTTGTTCATACAGGTTGTTTGATTTGTACATTTCTTCACGTGCCACACGCAACTCTTCCAAACCTTCATCTCTTGCTTTTTTGACGGCTGTCATCTCGATACCCAACATATTGATCTTTGACTCTGCTCGTTGCTTTTCATTTTCAAGTTGTTCAACGTGTTGGTAGACTTCTTCGATCCGTTTCTCCGATGCATCCTCCAAATCGAGCATTCTTTGATGCAACTGTACCAAATCCTCCAAGAGGCCATGTGCCTTGGCTTGACTCGTTGCCTCTTGAGCAATCGAGTGTTTGGCCTGCTCCATAGCATCTCTTTCATTTTCCTTGGAGGTAATCAGTTGGCTCTCCAAATTGAGTGCTTCCATCTTTGCATTGATTGCCTGCTTAATAGTCTCGACGTGTTGTTCGAGTTCTGAAAAAAACTCTGGTTCCACTGCCCGGTTCTCCAACTCGTGTTCGTACTCTTGGATTTGCTGCAAGAGTGATTCTCGTTCGCGTACCAACATTTCATTGTCTCGTTGTGCTTGGACGTAGGCTTCTTGGATGTCATAGGCATTGGATTCTATTTCGCTCTTGTCAGTCTCGACCCTTCGGAGTTGGTCTTTGAGTTGGACCAGTTGAAAGTTTAATTGTCGCTGCGTCTCTCTGATTTCATTCTCCACTTGAACCTTTTTGTATTGCACCTCTTCTCGCTCTCTTGATATCATACTCTCGTTGACCAATCTGCTCTTGTCACTGTTGGACCGTTTGAGTTGTTCAAACTCATCCTCTAATATATTGACCTCTGATTTTAGTAATTGCATCTCTCGATTGTAATCTCCACTTGGATAGACTACATAATCGACAATTGATCTTTTACTCGGTGATATGTATGGACCACGAGATGGTGTCATTCTATTTGTTGTAGAAGTAGAAGAATAACCACCAGTGGTGGTTGAATAAATGGGAGTCGTTGGAATATTAGGAGGTGTATTTCTGGTGACATAGTTTAAGCCATCGGGTGTTGAATAAATAATGTTATGTGTGTTGTGATGTAAAGATGAAGATCCAAATAGATTCTGTCCAGAATTGGATCTACGTAATGGTGTCGTTGTTGTAGAAGGATGTGGATGAGGTAATGAAGCCGATCCGCTAGCCCCTGATGTTGATGTACTTGTACTATAAGGATGTGTAGGTGTAGAAATAGGTGGCTTTTGATCACTGACCATGGTTGAACTACATTTTTGACAAATATAACTTGGTGATTGTTGTTGTTGTTGTTGATTTTGTCCATCATGCTAAAGTAACAATAAAAGAGAGTTAATGTCTATATATATATATATATATTATCTAATGTATTGTTTGTACTTACAACTACACATGTACAATTAGCAGGTATTAATCTCCAACGTCTTGGTGTTTTTGAAGTTGATTTGATAGGTGTCAAAGGAGAAAAAGGTGATGATGCAGTTGTTGTCTGTGGTGGAAACAGTGCATCTCTAACTTCTATATCATCAGGTATGACCTCTTCTAATACAACTTCACCTGGAGACAATGGTGGTACAATATTGGGATATCTTGATGATGGTGAATAAGGTTGTTGTTGTTGTTGTTGATGTTGTTGATGTGGAGGTGACGGTGTTGTTATACCAGGTTTGATTTTACCATATGTTGTCGAAGATGGTGCTGTTGTTGTTGTTGTTGATGTTGTTGATGTACTATTATTATTGTTATTATTATTATCTCTATCATGTCTCTGCTGCTGTTGTTGATTTAATTTACTATCATTTTGTTTCTGAGAGGATGATGAAGATGCTATAAAATGAGTAGGCAACATGATAAATGCTGCCTATCTATAGATTATCTATCTACCTCCTTCTTCTTCTTCTTCTTCTTACTTCAAACACTATCGATGTTTGTTGTATTTTGATGAATGTAATATCGCGCGGTCATATTTTTAAATAATTATTTATTTTATATATTTTTTTTAATTTATTAAATTGATATATTTAGTTGATCGAGATAAATTATCAACATCTAGAAAATGTTCTCCTAATGAATTGGAATAGGTAAATAATAGGATCCTATCTGGGAACGATTCTGGTTTGAATTTCTTCTATTTCTACTATTATTCCATGTGCGGTTTTGGTTGGATCTTCTTCCTCTTCCTCTACTTCTTGAATTCTGGTTACAAATATTAGCATACTTGTTTGCTTTTATTAATATTTCCACGACCTCTAGTTGATGATTAATTTTCTTTATAGTTGCTGCATCGAGAAGAGGTTCTCTATCTGAAGGCTATTCTATGTATTCAACCCCTTGTTCTGGAAAGGCTGCAATAAAATTATTAATTCTATCATGACTGATACCAGTTAAACACTTTCAGAGTCAGTGGTAACTGAATCATTAAAATCTTGAGTCAACTTGCCAGTTGGAGTCAATTCCTTTTTGTCATTTATGAATAGTTGTTGATTTTTTTCGATGATGGAACCAAGCAAGTGAACAGTTGATTGGAATATTTTCCTACTAATCTTTTCAGATTGATACAATATCTTCTCCTTAGTTTTTTTCACTCCAGTAAGTTGGGTTTGCAAAGTAAAGAGTGAATTAGGGTCAAATGGATTTTGATCAAATCCAGCAAGATTAGGAACACTTTCCATTGCTTTCTTTTGCTCACTTGGAGTAAAAGATTTCATTTCTCTTAAATCGCAAGGTTTTTGTAAAAAAGAACTAATGAGAGGATTTACAGATGTCATGTACTATTTTGAGAAAATTTAAAAAGTCTAGTATAGGCTGATAAGAAATGTACAAAAATATATAAGTAGAAAAGTTAATTGTAATAAAAAAATCCAATACTCTTATTATCTTTTTGTTTGTTCAAAGTAGATTAGTTAATTATTATTTTATTTATTTATTTATTTTGGAGAGAAGATCTTCAACTGATTGATTTCATAGGTTTAATTTTAGTTTTTAGATTGAGATGGAGTGGCACTCTTTGATCCATGTAGGATTGAATATTCTTGTTAACGAAATTGAGTGTCATGGCGAGTTGATAAAACTCTTTTTGAAAGTCAAGCCAGTCATTTTTGGATTGACATAAATGTATTGGATTAGGTTCAAAGCTAGAACTCATTGTATAGAGGAAGATGGTGCATAGTCGACCAGCTTCAGGTTCAATGTTATGAATGCAATGATGAATGGGAGATCGCAAGTATGGGCCATGGCTTGTATGATTGAATCTCCTTCTAGAAACTTGTAGATTCTGAAAAGGAGCCGAATATAGTCAATTTGTTTGTATTGAATTGCTAATTCCAAATACAATTGATTGTGGATAAGATTATGCAAGTTGTGTAGTTTTTCCAAAAAGTCAATGCATCCATATTCTATAAACTCTTTGTATCGGTCCCCTCCAAACCACCATTTCTCTTTGGGATCGACGATTGTGAGGTTATTTAAAAGGCTTTTCAACAACTCTGATCCAGATGGTCTAGTGATACCATCATGTCGAGGTTTATCGAGAAAAAAAAGAAAAGTAAAATAAAATTTTGGAGAAATCCTTGTTGGTTGTCACTATTATTATTAAATTTTATTATTTTAATTTTAAATATTTATAAAATAATATAATTATATAATGTTCGTTGATTTCTCTTGTTGTTTAGAGGTCACTTTGAAATATGATAGCTTCATTTCCAAAATGATTACTGCTACTCATTTTGAGTGAACGATGATGAGCGTAGGAACCATAGGGACTGGCAGGTTCTGGTAATGATTGATTGTTGGTGGTATGATTGTTTGGACTGTGATTCAAAGGTGTAAAGGTACAAGTTGATGATGTCTTTAAACTATTGTTATTACTATTACTATTAATAGTGTTATTATTGATATCACTACCACCACTACTCAATATACCAAGACTACTCTTTAAACTAGCATGACTTGGTTGTGGCATGAGTAATGTTCCTGAACTTGACAATATATTATGATGACCACTATTCCCAAGTGATATTCCAGATCCACTACTATTATTACTATTGCTATTACTATTACTGTTGATTGAACTTGCATTGGTACTATTACTATAAGTTAAACTATTTGATAATCCTTTAACTAAATTGGCTAAAAAAAAAAAAAGAGAAATGTAAATAATCAAAATATTATTATTATTATTATTATTATTTGTTATTTGTTTCGATTTTGTTTTAAGTTTACATACTCCAAATTAAAGGATCATCACCAGCACGAGGATATGTAAATCCAAGAATATTTCTATTTTTTGATTTTGAAATGATGGTACCACCAGAGTTACGACTGGTATAGGCAATACCTTGAGTACGATCTTTTTCAAAATAGGTGGTATCATAGTCATCCTCGAGGACGGGGACAAAGGGAGGTTCACCTTGGTGTAGACTACCCCATTGAACTCCTTCAAAGAATGGATGTTGTTTGATACTTTCGACACCCTTTTCTCCACTACCCATACGTTCTTTTCCATCACAAACCAATCTTGTAATTAAATCCCAAAGGTCATCTGATATACTGAAACCAGCACTAGTGACACTCGTGTTGTTTTGGTCGATTGATATGTCTCCAACTGCCAATGAATTATCTGACTGCTGTTGCTGTTGCTCTACTTGTGGTCGTTTGAGATTTGATTTCCATTTTAAAACTGAATCCATGACTTCTTCAGGCGACTCACCATCAAATGGTGGAATGCCAATGACAAACTCGTAAAACATGCATCCGAGAGACCACCAATCGACTTCGTCTCCGTAGCCCTTGGTTGCTTGCAACACCTCTGGTGCCATGTAAAAGGGACTGCCAACGACAGAGTAGGCGAGACGTGCTTGCATGGGAAGATCTTTGAATGAGCCAAAATCAGTGACCGAGCTTGACAAGACACCGCTTGCATTTAGATTAAACGATCCAAATTTCATTGGTGTGTGTTCCATCGAGCTGCCAGTTGGTGTTCCCTTGTAGTCGACTGCCTTTACATAGCGAGTGACTACATTCTTTGAGAGACCAAAATCGGCCAACTTGATGTGTCCAGTGCGGTCAATGAGGAAATTCTCTGGTTTGAGATCACGATGGCAGTAGCCGAGACGATGACAACTGTCCACCGCCTCGACCATCTCTGCCATGTAAAACTTGGCACTCTCTTCATCCAAACAACCCAATGCACCAAGAAGCGAACGCAAGTCGCCACCAGGCACATACTCCATCGCCAGATAGAGATAAGTGTCGTCTTGGAACGAGTAGACCAACGACACGATATATCGATGGTTACGTCCCTGTGCCAAGATATCACGCTCATTCTTGATGTGTGTCACCTTGTTCTTGGACCATATCAAGTCTTTGGACATTCGTTTGAGTGCTACAATCTCGTTGGTATCGTTCTTTTTGGCCAAATACACCTGTCCAAATCCACCTTCACCAATCTTTTCCAAAATCGTAAAATCATTTATAGTAATATGCGTTGACAGTGGTGTCATTGGTGTATGTAAAAATCTTCCACTATTACTTAGATGATTACTAATTGGTGTTGTTATAATATTACCATTACTAAGTGTTGATTTTAAAAGTGGTGGTTGTTGATTCGTTGAGGTAGTTGTGGATTGTACAGGTGTAATTTGATTATTTAATAAATTAGTTAAATTGGTTGCTATTATTGGTGTTGAATTTACATTATTATTATTATTAATAGTATTATTGGTATTTTGATTATTATTTTGATTATTATTATTTGTTGGCGTTAAATTTATATTTTGATTATTATTTTGATTATTATTATTTTCTTCATTATTATTATTATTATTATTATTATCTATTTGATTGTTAGTATTATTATTTTTCTGATCACAATTATTTTGGTTATGATTTTCTTTAGATGTTGATGGTGGAGATGAAAAAGGATGAGGTAAGGAAAGGGTAGGCGACATTTTACAATTGGGTGAATTGGAAGAGTTGAGTGACGGCGACCTTGAACGCGTGGGTGAATAGAGGATGGATTTAGAGTTGGATCTGCTTCGTGATGCAATAGGAGTGCCAGGTGTGGACGATGGTGACCCGCTACCATTGGTATTATTCGAGTCGTAATACGATTGGAACAAGTATTCCTTTGGTGAAGAGGTGGTACTTGGCGACAGACCGAGATTACCCATATCTTCAACCAATGGTATCAACGAATTGGGTGTTGTAGGTACTAGAGAAAACTTTTGTTGAGGTGGTTGATGTTGATGTTGAAGTGGTTGATGTTCTACTCCAAGATTAGGTGTACTATGATATTGAGGGTACAAATCCAATGATAGTACAGGTTGAATAGGTGGAGATGACTTGGTTCGATCATTTCGTACGATCTTTTGTTGGTGTTGATGTTGGGGATGTAGTTGATGAATATGAGATGGTGGAGGGGTTGGTGATATATGAGGAGGGAGGTTGTTGGGTTGCTCAGAGAGCAGAGATTGATGCGAAGTGGATCGCGTGATGTGGAATCCAAGTAGACGTGGCGATGCGGTTGACGCACTGGCCGAGTTGGATATGATACGTGACTGTGCAAGTGGTGAGTTGTTGCCACTAGAGTATCCGCTGCTATGTCCAAACATATCGCGGTATGAAGACAACAAAACAGACGATTGCGACGACTTGAGGAATGCAGGGGAATTGTATTCATCGTTTTGGTCAGAGTACATTGAAATGTCGTGATCATCTGACGACTCGTCTACACTGACATCGGGATACTCCATCTCTATAGTTGTCGACGACTTGCTGTGATGAAGTGTGTCTACACTAATAGGATTGGCCAAATCCTCCAAACTCATGTTGATACTGCTGTTGCTATAGTCAAGACTAGTGTTGAGCAACGAAGATGACGACGAGCTGTGTGTTTGGTAGAATGGTGAGGCTGTCGACCATCGCTGGGTGCCTCCTGTTGTTGTGTATGTCATGGTCGTTGTACCGTTGGTTGTACTACTACTACTGGTTGTTGAAGTTGTCGTCCGGCTAGGATGTACGGGTGTTGGTGCTGCAGAGGTTAATGGTGTCTGATGCAGCTGATGCTCCTCTTCTACTTCGTTGATAGGGTCAAAAGAGAGACTGTGTGCAAGGAGGTTGGTGTTGGAAGAGGATGATGATAGACTGCTAGGATAGGAGATGGAGTCGGATGACTCTTTGAGTGACATCTATCTGTGTGATTATTCCTACTGCTACTACTACTAATCTAATTATTACTCTGCTTCTTCTGTTGCTGGTTGATAATTCTTATATTACAACTCCTCGCGATCTGTGTATGTATGTATGTATGTAGGTTGGATAGAGATGGTTTGATTGTCGCTACAACCAAATAATGATAAATATAGAATTATTAAATTTCGACTTCTGAATTTACTCTAAATGTTGGGTATGATGATTCGGCGCGCGAAAAATGAGAAATAAGAATATTATTATTATTTGAAGTTAGCAGTGCCTGATTTGATGTGTGAGTTGTTTTAAAATATTTGTTTGTTAACCTTTTGTGTTAATATGTAATTATAATTAATGTATGTGTTGACAGAGAAAGAGAAAAGTGACGAGATGATGCTGTGTAGGTATGTTGTATGTATGTTTGGTTGGGTTGTTGGGGGGGGGGTGTAATAGTACAGATAAATAATGTGATACAGATAAATAAAATATATAAATATCAAAGTAATGTTACTCTCTTTTTTTAAAAAAAACAATATTAATAAGAATGAAACTCAATCAACCAATACCGCTTTTCATATTAAAGGAAGGAAGGCAGGTTAGGCTGGTTTGGTAGGTTTTTTGACTGACGGACGACCCGACCGACGACAAATGTGTCATATCATGTCATGGAATAAACCCAGAAGCATGGGAAATTAATTTTAGGAGAAGGCATCTTTAATCTATCAAATTGTCAACTGACACTCTCTCAAAGGAACAACAACAACAAAAACAATCAGCACCTCCTCACTCACCTTAGTGAGTACAGTTCGTATTCAAGTCTGTATCATCAAAACAAACACAAACACTCTTCGAACTGCAAAATGTGAGTGTTATAATTCTTTCGGTTTATTTTGTACCATTATTCGGTTATTTACTACTTGTTATTGTTGTTGTGAAGTTTTTGTTTTTTTCCATTTTTACTTACCAGATTTCCTATTTTGGAATTAACGTCCAAAACAAGACTATCGATACGGTTTTCATTTCATTCTCACAATTGAATTGAATTGTGTGATTTCAAAAGACTATGAGTAATTTGCTCTGGTCATATTTCGAAAAGAGATGTCAGAGATAGCTAAACAACCAAAGCAAGTTCAAAAGAATTATTATTATTTTCTTTTATTCTATGAGTGTTGCCTTTAATTCAAGATAAGACAAAGGATGTGTGATTGTCGTCTCTCTTGAGAATGTAAGACGACGGTAACTCTTGCCACAATCGTCATGGTTTTCATTGTCCGATTGCTCAGATATTTTTATTTTTCGGTTTCCCAAGACAAGATTTTCACAATGACTACGAATTTTACATATTTATTTGCCCCCAACCCAATCGTCGATTGTCAACATCAAGTACAATGGTACATGCGAGGACAGTAGGAAGAATGAAACAGTCATGTATACCGATACCTGTTTCCAAGCTCCAAAATACTCTTACACTGTCACCTGTAACCCCACCGTTCCAGAAATGACCGGTTATACTATGACCCAAGTCAGTGGCCCAAGATGCCAAGGTTGAGCTACAACCATCGGTATTCCATACAAACCAACCTGTCGATGGCACCTCATCAATCATGATTGTAATCTTTAATTTAATTTATTTATTTATAAAATATAATATTTGGAAATGTTTGTTTTATTCTTTTTTAGAGTATGACAATATTCCTATTTGTTTATTCAACCAATAGTCTGAATCATTTCATATAATTTTAATCTCGATTAATTTACGAAGCAGAGTATTTTAAAAAAAAAATACTCTCAAGAGAATTTAATTTATTATTTTTGAAAAGTATACTTTTGTAATTCTAAAGATGTTTAAAGAAAGTATGAGCACTACCAGCACTGGTTTTTTCATCAACAGACTGTGAGAATCTTCAAATCAGTTTTTGAAAATATAAATGGTCTAAAAACGGTTGGCAAAAGGCATTTTTTTCGAGGCACCCCCGGATAGCGTATGTCGTCGACTTTTTGTTGTTTTTTGAGGACCATGGTATACCCGTATGGTTCTTCTCATCGCCGTTGTTGATTTACTCTGGCCCCGTCGACGACAATAAAATTTAGAATAATCTTTTGATTTAAATTTTAAAAATAATCTTGATCACCAATTCAATTTGACTCTGTACACTTTCCGCGCTACTCTTTTCCTGGTTGAATAAAAAATGTCTGAATTGAATCACGGTGCAGTCAGTATCCAACTAGTATATAAACCTCTTCACAAACCCATTCATCAACATCACAATTACAACAACCATCTATCCTATAAATAATAAACAATAGGATATTAATAATAATATTTTCCAGGCATAATAATAATAATAATAATAATAATAATAGCAATCAATTAGATCTATCTATATATATAAATAATACTTTTAAATACCAACAACCTTTTTTTTTTAAATAATCCAAAATGAGATTCTTATTAGCTTTAATGTTAATCTTTGTAGCATTTTTTGCTACCAATGCTGAACAAATGAACATCCAACAAGAGATGATGTTGGATCGTAAGCCAATCAGCAACCTCGTCAAGTGTGACGTCTGCCACTATGTGGTCAAGGTAGCCGAAGATTTGCTCCTCAAGAACCACACCACCACCCAAATCGTCAGCCACTTGGAGACTGCCTGCACTCGTCTTCCACACAAGTGGGCCAAGCCATGTGCCAAGATTGTTCACAACCAAGCTGCCTCTATCGTTAGAAAGTTGGTCCAACACGAAAAGCCAGAACTCGTCTGCAAGCAACTCCACTTTTGCAAGTCTGCCCATCTCCAAGAACAAGAAGACTATGACTATGACTATGAAATGGTTGAAGAATCTGATGTTGACGAGTATGACTATGAATTCTCTGAAGTAGACGACGAAACCGACTATGACCAAGTTGAAATCTCTAACCTCGGTAGAAAGAAATTCAAGCCAGGCAAATTAAACCCACTCAAGCCATTGAAGAAGCTCGAATGCAAGGTTTGCAAGTCCATCGTCCACAAGGCTGAAAAGGCTGTCACCAGCGGTAGAACCGAGAGAGAAATCGAACACCTTTTGGACGGTGAATGCAACCACTTTGGTATCCACCCAGCCGTCAAGATGTGCAAGAAGATCGTTCACTCTACTCTTGGCAAGATCATCCATGAAATCAAAAAGAACGCCGACGCTCACCGTGTCTGCAAGGCTGTTCACATGTGTAAATAAGCACAAAGTGCAGTATATTAATATTCACACTATTGTTTTAAAAAAATAAATAAATAAAAATATTTGTTATTTGTGTTATTCGTTCAATGAAATACATCTAACAATCAAATGTACATTCTTTTCTTTGTGTAACTACTCTTAAAATAATAATAATTATTATTATTATTATATTCCTATTATTCTTATTACTTGATCTATATAGATATAGATATTCAAAGATTGTTTAAACTTTAGTAAAGTAAGTATGATTCATGTGGGAAGAGTTTTCATGCTTGAAAATCTCAGTCAGTTATTATTATAATAAAAAATAATTTTATTATTCTTATTATTATTACGATACTTGATTCATTCACACATCGTTGTATGTGTATGAGAATAGAGCATAGAGGATCAATTCAAATAAAGAGTTGAAGATTTGATTTACTATATGGGGTGGTATATCGATCGTGCTTCAATAAAAATAATTATTATTATGTTATCACATTATTCAATTTTCATAAGAGTGCTGTGAATGGTCAGATTACAACATCGTCAACACATCTTCTTCTTGACAAACAACGATTTTCAATTTCTCGTTATCGTATATGGTAATGGTGATATAGAACATTCATCCTTTAAATTTATTTGATCTTACGATAATGTACTGTAGCAGTAGTAGGAGGAGTAGTAGAGAGAGTCGAATCATCTTAGCTAAAAGATTGAATTATCCAATTTTCGTATAAAACAGATATAAGAGGAGCTATCCTCTTTTGGAAAACTTGAAAAATAATTTGACTTATTATCGTAATTTAATTAAATTGAATGAATTGAACGAATTGAATGAATGGGAGTGGATCTTGAGAAATGTTGCAATATCCAATGGGAAGGCGAATGAACCGAGTCAAAGACGAAAACAATAAATACCAACTAAAATCTGATACCATTTCAATACATTCAATTTATTAAACAACAAACATACTTTAATTAACAAACTATAAAAGAAAGACAGTCACACACTAGTCAATATATAATACTCAATAATAATAATATATCTATAAATAATATTAATTAATTATTTCCAACATACTTATATATATATATAAATTATTAAAAAATGACAAAAGGAGAAGAAATCAAAGAACAAGCATCCAACATTGCAACTGATGTAAAGGAAGGCACAGAGAAATATGTCAACGATATGAAGAAGGGAATGGAGAAGGGAGTGGAAGAAGCCAAGGATGCCAACAATGGCGGATTCATCCAAGAGTTTATTCACGACATTGGTCAGATGTCCAAAGATCTATGGGATGGTACCAAGTCAATGTTCCATACTGGTCAAGAAGAAGCCCACCAAGACATGAACAAGGGTATGGACGAAGCCAAGGAGAATCTCAGAAAGGCCGGTGACAAGATCGAAGAGGGTTGGGAAAACACCAAGGAAAACGTCGATGAATACATGGACAAGGGCAAGAAGAAGGCCGAGGATTTCAAGCAACGTGAACATGACAAGGAATTCTCTCAAGATCCAATTGGAACCGTCAAGAAGAACATCCAAGAAACTGCCGAGGGTGCCAAGAAGAAGGTGCAAGAATGGACTGGCACTGAACCATCTACTGGTGAAAAGGTCAAGGATGCTGCCAAGGATCTAGCCGATGACACCAAGCAAGCTGCCACTGACGCCAAGAAGAAGATTCAAAAGGAAACTGGCACTGAACCAACCTTGGTCGAAAAGGTTCAAGATGCTGCTGTCGATGCCAAGAAGAAGGTTCAAGAGTGGACTGGTACCGCTCCAACTACCGGTGAAAAGGTCAAGGATGCTGCCAAGGATCTAGCCGATGACACCAAGCAAGCTGCCACCGATGCCAAGAAGAAGATTCAAAAGGAAACTGGCACTGAACCAACCTTGGTCGAAAAGGTACAAGATGCTGCTGTAGATGCCAAGAAGAAGGTTCAAGAGTGGACTGGTACTGCTCCAACCACCGGTGAAAAGGTTAAAGACGCTGCCAAGGATTTAGCCGACGACACCAAGCAAGCTGCCACCGATGCCAAGAACAAGATTCAAAAGGAGACTGGTACTCAACCAACTATGGGAGAGAAGATCCAAGACGCCGCCACTGACGCCAAGAAGAAGGTTCAAGAATGGACTGGCACCGAACCAACTGTTGGTGACAAGGTAAAGGATGCTGCCACCGATGCCAAGAAGAAAGTTCAAGAGGTAACTGGTACTGAACCAACCCTCGCCGACAAGATCAAAGGCACTGCCAATGAAGCCATCGATACTACCAAGACCTATGCTGAAAAGATCAAAGAATCAACCGCTGAAACCTATGACTCATTGACACACCACAATGCAAGTGGAAAGAGTAAAAATTAAATAATTTAAATTATATCAACTTAAATAATAATAATACCTAAATATATAAATATATAAATATATAGCAGCACTCTTATCTACTAAAAATTGTAAATAAAACTAAATAAATCCATCCCCAAAATTTAATTTAAAATATATAATATTATTACTTCTTTTATTTATTTGTCTTTGTTTATTTTCTCTTTTTACCACCTTTACCACCTTTACCTTTGTTGAATTTGTTTTTAGTGGCAGAAGTATGTTTAATCTTGCTATGATGATCTCTTCTATCACGTTCCTTTCTGACATCATCGATATCTTTGATACCAGTACGAATATTTTTCTTTTTACCATCTTCACCTTCGGCTGCTTGTTGTTTGTTACCTCTCCATTTGACGGGGACATAGGTTGGTTTGGCAGGCATGAATCTAGCGTTTTCTTCTTCTCCGGTACGTTGAATTCTCGAGTTGGTCTTCTTCTTCCATTCCTCGTATAAGTTCTTTTTGTTTTTCGATGTGTCGACAAGTACACCAGCTTCGTTTCTGACCCATTTCTTGCGTTCCTTTTCTCTGTCGGCGTCGGCTTGTACACTGACAAACTTCTTTTTCTTTCTGTCCCACTTTTTGCCAGACGACCCTCCAGGTGTTTTGTTTTGTCCATCGTCGGTACCCATATTGACTTCATCGTCACGTGTAAACTTGTCAGTGATGGCAAGTGCACGTTCTTGATAGTAGTTGGATGGTGTCGATGACATAAAGAATGCTTCGTCCTTGGTCGATGATCTAGTCTTTTTCTTGCTATTTTTCAATTCTGCAGCCTTTGACTCTGAATCATCAATTGTAATCTTGTATTTAACTTGGTCGTCACCTTCCTCTTGTTCGTTTTCGTCGATAATATGACCCTTTTGTTTCTTTTTACCATTCTCCTCTTCGGCCGCTTGTTTAGTGTTTTGTTCCAACTCTTGTAAAAATCCTTCATCGTCTTCGTTTTTGTCTCTCTTTCTCTTGCTGTTCTTTTTGGTACTAGCAGCTTCTTCACCATCTTCGCTGTTTCTATTTAATTGATCTTGTTTCTTGTACTCTTCGATTTCAGCCTGTGTACGACGGTGTTGTTGGCCAATGACCGTCGAGTGGAACTCTCTCTTTGTCTGCATGATATCAGCGGCAGAGCTCTTTTTACCGGTCATTTCAAAGACGGTTTGGTTTGGACGGAATGCTTTGAGTGACTGTACAAAGTCGTTACGGACAGCTTCGTTGGAATTGATAAAATTGTACATCAATGGATGGTACTGTGACTTGTCCAATCCCTTGGCACGCTTATTTGATTCATGTGATGCTCCTGGTCTAGTTCTAACATATTTTCCATGTGCATTAAATATAGTTCTTTTTAATGATAACTATAAAATTAAAAATAATTATTAATATATTTCTTTTTTTTTTTTTTCTTATTTTTTCTATTTTTCTAATTTTTTTTCTATCTATAGCTTACCAATTCAACACATTCTTTAGCTTTAATAGCAACAAATTCATTTTCACGATCAATAATTTGTTGAGGGATATTTCCATAGAAAGAGTATTCCAAATCTTCGACAGTTTGACCTGGCAACAATTTGTTTGTGAGTTTCTTGGCAATGTAGAGATGGAGATCCAACATGTATGGTATTTCGTCTGGAGAGACGAGTGAGTAGGCAGTACCCTTACGACCAGCTCTAGCAACACGACCAACTCTGTGAATAAAGATCTTTTCCTTGGGTGCAAAGTCGAAATTAATGACATTGTCCAACATGGGGATATCGATACCACGAGCGGCAAGATCGGTTACCACCATGACATTGACCACCTTGGAACGGAACTTGGCAAGATTGATCTTTCTAGCAACTGGATCCATCTGACCGTGAATAAACGTATTGGCAATACGAGCTTGATCCAAAAGTATATGTAAATATTCGACATGGAATTTTGTGGCTGTAAATACAATCGTTGGTTCATCATCTTTAATAATATCTTTTAATAAATAAAGTAATGCTGCAAATTTTTCATCATGTCTACATGTAAAGAATGATAACTAAAATTTAAAATAAAAAGGTAACTAAGTATAATGATTTGTTTGTTTGTTTGTTTTTTTAATTTTTTAATCTTACAGATAATTGATCAGAAATTTTGGTATCAGTATTTAATCTAACTAATTTAGGATTAGATAAACCTGCACGAACAAATTCAGCGAGCATGGATGGAAGGGTAGCAGAAAAGAGAAGGGTTTGACGGGATGGGGAAAGTTTGGTAATGATTTCTTGCAATTGATCGGCAAAACCCATTTCAAAGAGACGATCAGCTTCATCGAATACAATGTATTGGACAGTGTGGAGACCCATGTTGACTTCGGTGAGATGATGGACAAGACGACCTGGAGTGGCAATGATGATATCGGGGTTTCTAGCGAGCTCTGTAAACTGGTCGGCCATATTGTCACCACCGACAATGACGCACGATCTGAGATCAGATCCACTCGACAATTCCTTGACGACACGGTATGTCTGGAGAGCAAGTTCACGAGTGGGCGAGAGGATGATGGCACGTGCACCAACCTTGTGAGAATGTTGTGCGAGCTTTTGAATCATTGGAATGACGAAAGCGGCAGTCTTACCGGAACCGGTACGTGCCATACCAACGACATCTTGACCTTCGAGGATGAGTGGGATGGTGAGTCTTTGAATAGGGGTGGGTTGCTTGAACCCCTTTTTCATGACGGCCTTGAAGAGGAACTTGTGCAGGTCCATACCCTGGAACCCACCCATCTTCTTCTTGCGCTCGTCTTGAATATCGGTGAGACGCGCAACCTTTTTGGCGTCCTCGTCCATCTCGTCGTCGTTGTCCATCGACACGGTCTTGCCGTCCTCATCTTCCCTGCCAATTGATGGGAAACTCTTGAGCAAGTCGTCGTCCTTTGTCTTGAACGACTGGTCGATCTTTTTCTTACGCTCTTGCATCTTTTCCTCCACCGACAAGGAGTACTGGTCTTCAAAGAACACACCACCCTCTTCGGCGATAGCCTTGGCTTCACGAGCCTCACCTTCGTGATCCTCCAATGCTTCGTCGTCATAGTCCAACAAATCAAAGTCGTCGTCGTCCAACATACCCTCGTCGTCTTGCAGGTTGAACCCGCCGACGTCGGCAAAGAGATTAGTGTCATAGTTGTCGTCCAACTCTTGGTTGTCGTCGCCGTCGCTATGATCGTCAATGTTAAAGTTAAACTTGTTGGCACTCGATTCGAATTGACTGTGTTTGTCGGCAGCCTTGCCCTTGAGGAAATCTTGGTTAAAGAATGAGCTGTGCACACTCCATCCCTTCTCGGGTGCCTTGAGGTCTTGTGTACCTTGCAACAATGTGCTGCCCGGTGCTACAGGCTTGTCCTTTTTATCGTCCTTTTTGTTGGGCAAGTACTTGAGGTTGCCAGTCTTTGATTCCTTTTTCTTTTGATTCAAGTATTTGTTTTGTTTATCATTCTTTCCTTGATTCTCTTTATTCTTTATCTTTACATTGGCATTACTACCACTACTAGTAGTAGGTTTTGGTTTACCTCCTGCCATCTAAAATAAAATAAATAAAGAAAATGTAAAAGTATAGTAGAGAGTAGAATAAATGAGGAAGAGATACTATTGTTAGCATACTTGCATATTCTATTCAACTTGTTATTTCTATATATAAACAATTTCGTACCTTTAATGATCTGTATATTTATTGTATTTAGAAATACGATAAAATTAAATCAATTAAATGATGTTGTAAGATTAATGAAAAGCGACTAGTACTAATAATTAGTATGTAGGTGCTCTGTCGCAGAGACCGCAATTTTCAATCTTTTTTCAAAAAACGAACGAGGAAAAAAAAACGACAACATCTATCCATCGCTCAGCAGCATATCCCTAACTATACTTCTACTTGTTTCGATTTCTCCTTTATATTTTAATCCTCCTCTAACTCTTACTTTTATATATATACCTTTTTGTTCAACCTCCCCTCCCTCATCCATCAATATAGAGGAGTGTTTATTTTAATATATTATTTATCTATCCTATCCCTCCACATTTCTACATTAATAGAAACCAAACAAACTCAATACAACATACATAAATACAATATACTTTTGTTTGTTTTTAGATAGATACATACATATATATATTATACATTACAACCATTTAGTGAAATAGTATAAACTACACACTATGGCAAAGAATACAAACACCTCCAAAACCAACAACAAAGGAGGTAATGTAGGAATCAAAAAGACACCAACTACGAGTAGTAATACAGCTGCCGCATCCTCTTCTTCGATTCTAACGAACAAGAAAAAGAGTGAAAGTGCACCATCATTATCACAGATGGTTGAAAAGGTTGATTCTGAAAACATCGATCTTACCATCATTCAAAATCAATACCTCGATAAACTACAATCCACCACTGAAAGTGACACTATCAATGGTATGGATATCGATTCAGAAGATGATTATGATGATACTCCCGAACAAGGTTATGAAAATAGATATAAAGTAAGATAGACAAAAAGAAAGAAAATATGACACACCCATTCATCAACTCTCATACTTATCATTATTATTATTTTTCTTTTTTTTACTTTACTATTTTAATAGTACAGAGGATTTAATGCAAAGATTGGAAAGATTGATATATCAACATTTAATAAACGTGTTGGTGATCGTATTATAGAGGTACAAAGTGACAATGACTCTTACTTTGTGATGACACTGCAACAGTGGACAGACAATAACTTGACACTACACTATAGTAACTTTAGAGACGATATCAATGCCATCACCTATATGACGGCATTACCACAGGTACTTTTGCACAAGGATGAATTGATTCGCATCATTATCAAGCATCTCCAAGTACCCAACTCGATGGCACTCAAAGCTATTCTCAGTGTGTTGGCTGCATTGTCGAGAGACCTCAGAAGTGAGTTCTACGAATCATTCCTTCCCGTGCTCCAAGTACTCATCCAACTCTTACAGATTCAACCCAACTCTGGTAAACCTGTTCTCACCTCTGAAGCAATCGAAGAGATATTCACCTCTATTTGTTTCATGTTTAAATTCTTGGAGAAATATATTCTTAAAGATTTTATTACTCTCTACAAGTATGTATATACATACATACATAGCTATAGTATACTACAAATAGATACTAATACTTATTTACTTTACATTTATTTACTTTTATTATTTAGAATATACTCACAATTGTTTACACACAAGAAACATTATATTAGAAGGTTTGCAGCTGAAGGGTTAGCATTCCTTGTTAGAAAGATTGGTGTGGAGAGTGTTGAACCATTGTTGGAAGAGATGTTTAGATTGGCACAAGACGATTCAAGTTACTCGTATGCCGACTCGTTCTCCTATCTGTTGTTTGGCACTGTCAAGGGTGTCAAGGGTAGATTCCACTCGCGTACAGAGATTCTCCTGCCTGTCATATTCCGTCGTATGGATTACGCCAATTGGTGTGGTGATGTGAACAAGTACACGGTGGCCAAGTCACTGTCGAGATTCCGGTTCATGAGAATGATGCATCGCCAGATGGTGGCACATGGCAGAAACGAGACAGACGCATTAAACCCAGTGTGGACGTGTCTGCGCAAAGAGGTGGAGCAGCTGGTGCAGATGGTAAAGGGGGAAAAGAAGCCGAGCCAGGAGCACAGCCAGCACCACTCGAACCAAGTCAACGCATACTACAATATCGTGGGTCAATGGGTGTCACATAGAAACGGCGAGCAGGTGGTGGAGACCAGCGACATTTTGACCATTCTCCAGGCCTGTTTGAACAAGACGTTCTACAAACAATACATACAACAATACGAATTCGAGATTGCAGAGATCACGTTGGTCATGTCATCGTATCTGCCGTTGATCGAGGGTGACGGACATCGCGAGGAACGCGACTCGTTCTTTATGTTGGTCGACTTGTTGTTCTCGACGGCCGACCAAACCGCGCAACACAGTGTCTTTAGATTCTGCTTGCAGTTGGATCGCGAGCAGCTCTTTGAGGCATTCTTCTTTAACCGTCTCGTCAAGTATCTAGAGCGAAACGCCACCACGCTCTCTCTCGAGAGCACCCTCTCCTTTTTGATCCGATGTTTCACCATTGATCCCTTCACCGCTGCACCCGTCAACCATCACGATATGAAGCAGTTGACCAACACCCCATCCCTCTCCAATCGAATCATCTCTATCATTTCAACATTTAATAGCAAGTCAAAGACAACATCGACAGCGCAGCTTGACGAGACTGAATTAAAATCGGTTTGGTCAGCATTGACATGTCTCCAATTTTTACCCATCGTCGATCAAGATGCCATCATCTCATCACTCGATCAATTATATAATATTTTACAAAAGCATCAACAAGACGGAACAGTCATTTACACCTATTTGCTTTCACAAACCATTATCACTACTTCCATTTTATTATCAAGATTTGAAAACATCAACAAAATGAAGGCATCAATCTCCAAGTACTTGGATTTGGTCCGTAACAATCCAACCAACTATTATATCCTCACATCTGTTTCTTGCTTTTTCGAAACATACGTCACATTATTAAATACAATCAAGCACCCAATTGTTAAGGATGATTCAATGACCAACAACAAAAAGTCGAAAAAGGGTACTACCACTGCCAACAAACCAGCAGCTGTCAAGATAGATTCTACCTATTACATTGCCAATGATACATTCAAGAATGATATTTTACCACTTTTCAAAGAGAATTTATCCAACAAGTCAACATACATTAGACGTTCAACACTCAGTTTACTTGCATTTATCAATCAATTGACTGTTGGATTCAATGCTACAAAGCCAACTGAACAACAAATGGCTCAAAAGAACTCGGTCGATCCAACCGCCGAGTATCGATTGATGGAAAAGGTTTTTGACAATTGTCTCGATGTTGAAAACACCAAATACCACACCATCGAAGGTCGTACCGTCATGCGTCGTATCGACAATGTTATGGCCGTCTACAATAGTGAAAAGGTTGTCTATCTCAACCAACACATCTACCACTATCTTTTGGGTACTCTATACATTCGTTATACCCTTCTTTGGACTGGTGTTCAAAAGTTCCTAACAGAGATTTGTAAAAAGGATCTATCAATCATTTTCCCAATCATCTTAAATTTAATTAAATTAAATAATAATGGTAAAAGAAACAAAATAGAAACAAAAAAGAAAAAGAAAATGAATAGACATAAATATTAATATTAATATATTTTTTTTAATTTTTTAGATATTGATACATTTATTGCAAAAAAGAGACAAGAAAGTTTAATTGCAGAATGTGGTGGTGCAACAGAAGAAGAAAATATAGTGGAATTGGAAGAAATTGAAAAAGATGGTGAAGATGAACAAGATGAACAAGAGGAAGAAGAAGAAGATAAAAAGGTTATAGTTGAAGAAGAAGAAGATCAAAGAAATGATGTAAAGATGGTTGAAGAGGAATCAAGCAAACAATACTTTACCGTTCAATCAATCTATCAATTATTCTTTGATTTTAATGATTTTTCAAATACTGAGTCATCGACTTTGGCCGATGGCAGTTTCCAACCACAACAACAACAACAAAAGGGCAAGAGACGTCACACCGCTGTTGGTATGAATATCATTTACTATCATACCGAACCAATCTCAATGGCCGAGACATTGATCAAGTTTGTTTCACAAAATGGCAAGCTTTTTGAGGACTATGTCAGCGACATTACCACATTGTTCTTGAGTTTCCTCGTCTACGACTACAACCAACGTCACACCCATGTCTTTACATCGATGATTGACACTATGATCAATCAACCAAGACTCCTCGGTGACTCAATCGACAGAGATGCTCCACCACGTACCTACAGTGCCATCATTGCCAGAAATCTGATGGTTGCCTACCTCGAATTCTTTGCTCAGCAATCACCCGACAAGATTGTCCATCCCGAACTCATGCTAGAGATTTTCATGACTTGTCTCGATGTCGACGATGAAAAGGTGCAATCTCAGTCCATTCAATGTATTGTGATTTGGCAACAAAAGGAAATCCTCCCTTACAAAAAGACATTGGAGCGTTTGGTTAGAGACGCTACCATGCGTGAGGAAATGACCACCTTTATCGTGTCACAGGCATCCCCACACGTCTCGGTCGATTCCGATCATCGTGCCATCATCCTCCAACTCATCACTCGTATTCTCTTGTCAAAGATCTACCGTAAGGGTACTAATCGTCGTCAACTAGAGTCACAACGTAACTTTATCCTTACTTATTTGGCCGGTTTCACAAGTCAAGAAATTAAACCAGTCATTGACAGAATTGTTTTCCAATTTACCAATTTATCAATCTTCCAAGATGGTGAAGGAAAGGAGGATCAAAATATGAATAGTATGACCGAAATTATTCAAGGTGACGTAAACAAGTTACCATCACTTGATCATCAAGTTAGTTTCCTTAATATTGCTCAACCAATGATTCGTCAATTGGGTGGTATTTTGGAACCATACATGGGCACCATTCTACACATTCTCACTACTATCTCTGTGTCTATCTGCTCGAGCAAGTCATTTGGTAATGATAGAGACCACTACAAGTGGAAAAAGGGTGCTGCTACAGTCGGAGAGGTTCGTTCGTTGGTATTCAGACGTGTCGCTCTGCTTCTCGAAAGACTACCCAAGTTTGTCACCAATGTTGTCATTGATGGCCAGTCATCGTCCAACGAGCAATACTTGGATGTCATTGTTGACATTATCGCCAGAATCATTCCAGAGGTTGGCCATCAAGGTCTCTCTGAGGGTATGAAGCAGTGTATCATGGCAATCAGCAGATCCGCCAACATTGTCGGTCAACTCGTCAGACACGAGAATCTCTTGCCCATGTTGTTTGGCTTCCTTCCAGTCAGCTCTGCTCATCACGATGATATCCTCACCATCATGGAAAATCTACTCGTACTTGCCGTCGATGAAGAATCCACCGCTGAAGATAGAGAGTTATTCAAAAAGGTTGTCGTTCCCAATGTCAATGCCATCATTTCATCCATCTCACTCATCTTGGACGATTCCAAGCAAAAGGAGAAATTGGCAGAAGAAAAACGTATCAAAGATCTTAGACAAAGAGAATCTGAAAAGAAAAAGAATCAACCAAAACCTCAACAAGACCAAGAAATGAAGGTTGATCAAGTAGTTGAAGAAAAAGAAGAGGAAAAGAAGGAAGTTGAAGGCCAACAAGAAGATAGTGATGATGAAAGTGATGAAGAAGAAGAAGATGAGGAAGAAGAGGAAGAAGAAAAGAAAGAATCAATGGATATTGAAAAGACAACTACTCCTACAACTACTGCAGTAATCCCATCAAAACCAAAGAAAAAGAAACCAACCAAATTAAAGAATTTATCCAAGAGAAAGGTTGTGATTTTGGTTGAAGTCAGTAAATATAGTTTGGACAAGGATCAAGCATGTTTGTTGTTGGAAATTATGTTACATTTCTGCAAGAGTTACAAACCATTTGGAGGAAAGGGTATTCGTATTGAAAACTTTAACTTTGTAAAGTATCAAGAAGAAATATTGTCTGTTTCCATCTTGACCATTGTTTCCAATTTGATGCAACAAATTGATGATAGTCAAGTACAAGAACATGTGTCGTCACTGTCGGTCCTCTACTATGTCTTCCAGTCAAAACAAACTCGTACATTGTTGACCGATGTATTTGTACATCTTGGAAAGCGTGTCCCCTATCTCGAACCGATCCTCCCCATCCTCGTGGATTTGAACAGCTATGCTGTACGTACCGCCAACGACACCTACGACTTTAAAAAGATGTTTGCCGCTTTTGAAAAGCTCAATAATGCCGACAGCATCTTGGAATTCAACGATCAACAAATTCTCCCATTGTTCTACAACATCTTGTATTTTGTCAATGATTCAGATTACTCTGTTCGTGCATGTGCCGTTCAATCTGCTAATATCCTCATTGACCATCTCAAAGAAGACGATAACACTGTCGATAGGAAGAATCATTTACTCTCCAATGACACATTGATCAAATTACTTCAAGACGCTTTGATTCCATGTGTACGTCAAGCATGTCGTGTATCAAAGTGTACTGCCAGAGAAGAGTTGTTGGCCTTGTTTAGTCGTTTGCTCGTCGTCACCAAATGCGAGTTGTTCTTTGAAGATTTGAAGCCACTTGTTGGAGAGACACAGGAAACCAACTTCTTCCTCTCGTACAATGACATCAAGAAGGGTAGACGTGGAGCATCGTTTGACATGCTCATCAACGTGTTGAATACCGGCCACAAGCTGTCATCCAACACATCGTTCCAGATCTTTGTGCCGTTGTTTACCACGATGATGGTCGACGAATCGGACAACCGTGACCACACTGACAATGACATGATGGGTAAGGCTACCCGTGCGCTCGCTACCATTGCCAAGCAGATGGAGTGGAGCGACTACTACAAGCTGGCCGACCTGCTTCTCAAGACGATGGACAAGAACGAAGGTGCCATGAAGTTCCTCTTGCGTTCCGTGTGCGGTGTGCTCGACGCCTTCCACTTTTACATTGACAATGACGATATTGGCGGCGACCGTGTAGCTGCCATCAAAAAGGGTACCATTGGCGAAGACAAGCTCATCAACCAGGGTGGCAAGCTCGGCAAGGTTGTGTTCCTCCATCCATCCAAGCAGGCCAAGTTGACCAAGGAAGACCTAGCCAAACAACGCAAGGAAGAGCAGCAAAAGCGTCAACTCAACGCCAAGAAGCGTACCTTGTCGCAAGAGATCCACGACACGATCGTGCACAGTCTCATGCCCCGTCTCGACAAGTATCTCAAGATCAAGCGTCGTGTCGACAAGTACGACCGATTCTCTGACGTTGAGGCCGTCGTCAACTTGCCCGTTGCACTCGCCGTATTTAAGTTGATCGAGTTGTTGCCAAGAAAGAGTTCTGGATTGTTGCGTGCCCGTCTTTTGGCCAAGGTGTGTGCCGAGCTCAAGAGCAAGACCCAAATGGTACGTGACGTGTGTCGTGAGACACTATGCACTGTGCTCGAGGTCATTGGCGCCAAGATGTTCCCAGAAGTTGTCAAAGAGATGCTTGTCCACTTGCACAGCGGTTACCAAAAGCATATCCTTATCTTTACCCTCTACACACTGCTCAATCACCTCAAAGAGACTATCAAGGCCGAGTGTGGATGCATTGACAATTCTGTAAAGTCTATTGTCACTGCCACCGTAGACTATATCTTTTTCGATATTACTATGCCCGACGATGTCTCTGCACACAAGGAACTCTACTCTGAAGCCAAGGCACCACACGTATCTGACGTTATGACACTCGTCGCCGAGTACACTACCTTTGCACAGGTCCAACAACGTATCATCGACCCTCTCGAAGGTATCATTCTCCAGACACCATCCAAACGTCTCTTGCCAAAGATTGGCATGCTCCTCGACGCCATGGACGAAGGTCTCCAAGCCAACAAGAGCTCCACCGTTAAGGACACTCTCATCCTCGCCTACAACCTCAACACCAAGGGTCTCACCAAACGTGCCGAGGACCAAAAGAAGCCCGACCGCAACCCCAACCTCAAAAAGACCTACGAGGAGACTATGACCATCCAAGCCAACCCACTCCACTACAAGGACAACATGGTCAAGCAATGGGACAGTTTCTCATACATCTTTGTCGAGTTGGCACTCCGTCTCTTGAAACGTGCCATTCGTAACGATCAGTCGCTCAAGTTGATGGATATGATCGATCCACTCGTCCCCATGGTTGTCCAATCACTCTCACACAGCCAAGTCAATATTGTCGATCTCTCTATTCGTGTACTCCGTGAAATGCTTCGTCCCAACTACCACATTCCATCGTTGGACAAGAGTTTCAAGTCAATTGTCGTTAAGATCTTGACTCGTCTCTCCAAAGACATTTCCAACCAAAAGATTACCAGCAGTTGTTTCAATATTCTCACTGCCATCTACACCAACAGACATAAGGGTAATGCTATTGGTACAAATCAAATCATCTCCATTCTTCAACTTTCAAAACAATTATTCGATGATCCAAAAGCTAAAATTGATGAAACTATTGAATTTGTTCATGTAAGTCAAAAAAAGAAAAGAAAACAAAAACTTTTTAGATTTATTAATTCTTTTCTTTTTTACTTTTTATTTAGAAAATAATTACAAGTAAAGTTCAAGTTGTAGAAATTTATGATATTATTGATATAGTTTGTAATATATTGGTTAGAACTACAGTTGTCAATGATCAAAGAGCATTGGCAAATATGTTTATCGATTTCCTTTTATATTATCCAATGGGAGAAGACAGATTAAAGACACACATTACCTTTTTGATCAAGAATCTTGCCTATGAGACTCCAGAAGGTCGTTTGTCAGTTCTCAAGATGTTGCTCAAGGTATCCGAAGCCTTCCCTCTAGAGGTTCTACACAAGTACCTCTCGATTATCTTTATCCCATTGGCCGCCAGATTGGGTAATGATACCTCTGAGGATTGTAGATCATTGGTCTCTCGTATCATCAAGACCATTTCAGGACGTATTGGACAAACCCATATCAAAAAGTTGGTCGATGTCATTGTCACTTGGTTCAACAATCCCAATGGAAATGTTGCCATGCACAAGTTGGCAGCTCAAGTCATCAGTCTCATGGCTGAAGGTGCTGGTGCATCATTCTCTGTACACTTTGAAGCAATCCTTCCACTCATGGTACAACATCTCAGTGGTGGTTTGGCCAAATGGAAACAATTGTTGACTGACAATGCCGCCTTGACCGAAGAAGAGTTGTCCAAGTCATCATCACTCGATGGTTGGCAATTGGTATATTTTATCTTTGTCGCCATGGAAAAGATCTATGCCGTCGATTCTTCGTTGTACGCCAAGACTGCTGCCTCTCCACTATGGTCCATTGCCTTGGAGTTCCTCAACTATCCACATATTTGGGTTAGAACATGTATCAATCGTATCTATGGTGGATACTTTACCGCTCAAAAGGTTGAAGAATTGATTCCACTCGTCAACTCTATCCACTCTTCTCAACAACAAAAGAAGAAGCAACAACCCACTCCTCTACAAAAATCAATCACCTCTATTGTTTTCGATCCAACCAATCTCTATCAATTGACCAAAAAGACATGCGCACAAATTAATAGTCAATTGTTGACCGAAGAATTGGGTTTACAATTGGTCAAGAATCTCATCTTTTTGTCAATGATATTTACCAAGTGTACTGGTATCAAACCAATTCAAGTTTTGGACAAGGAAAATGAAGATCATATTGAAGGTGATGATTATTCAAATTGGGGTTTAAATTTAATTCAACAACAACAAGAAGTAGAAGATGAAGAAGAAGAAGAGGAAATAGAAGAAGAATTCGAAGAAGTAAAAGAAACAAATGTACAATTAAAATCAAAGGAAATGATTGATTGGATGTTTAGTAGATTATCAAAGATTGCATCAAAGAGAGGAGAAACTAGAAGAAAGGTTGTATTTAGATGGTATGCAGTTATGGTTACTCAATTAAATATGGACAACCTCAAGGAATACCTTGGATTCATCGTATCGCCAATCGTAAAGACCTTGGACTCCAAGGTTGAAAATGTATCAGACGCTGAAAAGGAGTTGGCAGAAGAGGTTTTAATCATGCTCAGAAAGAAGATTGGAGCTGTCAATGTATCCAAATTGTACAAGGAAATTGAAGAAAAGATCATCGCCAAGAGATTCGAAAGAAGACAAGAAGGAAAATTACTAAAGATCAACGATTACGCTCAATACAAACAAAAACAAGTAGAAAAGAAGAAAAAGACAAAGGAAAACAAAATCAAAAAGAGAAAGGTTTTGTACGACGATTTAATAGATACTAGGGATAAAATTAAAGTTTCTAGAAATACTTTGGAAAGTATGGAAACTGATGAATAAATAAATTAAACTCAACAATTATATAATTATAACAAAAGAAAGAAAGAATGATCTATAAAGTAAATTTTATTTTTATTTTAATTATTATTAGGATAGAGTCATAAAGAAAGTGTCAACATCAATGAGCCGGATAAGTGCATTTGGTATACCATATTGACTAACCTCATAGGTATTAAGATTGGCCAAACAAATTTCGAGTTTATAGTCTCCGTAACCATTGATTGAAATCATCGAGAGATAACCATTGACAGGGTCCAATACAAAGCTCATTTATCCATCAATTGCACCGGCGTTTTCGTTTGGGATGTTGAAGTGTTTTCAATGATATCCACTTCAAATATGTAGGATGCTCAATCACCAGTATCACCTCTTAGTCCAGCAAAGAAATTGGAGTTGTGTTGATACAACTCGGTAGAGTAATAACAACTATCAGGAACATGATCGAATTTAATAGTGGTCGATGACATATCTCCAGACAGAGTGTTATAGGTGACAACTACCATCTGACCATATTGGTTGGTTGCTTGACTTGGACCACCCAGATATATTGTACCAGTTGACTCATTGTAAGATGATTGTATGAATAATCCATTACCTGATAAAGTTATCACATCCCTAAAACAATAATAATAATAATTAGATGATCCATAGCAAACATTGTAAAAAGTAGAAGTATGTATACTCTTTTTTTTGATTATAATCAAATTTTAGCAACACTGAACCGGCAGTATACTCGGCATTCAGGTACACTATATTGTTAATTGAATCATATGATGCAATCTGAGGACTCCATTGGTCATCTAGTTGTGGAAACTTTAAATCTATGAATGACTTTTGAAAAAGAGTGTTATTCTAAAGAGAAAGAGAGAGAAGTATTATTATTATTATGACAATCATTATTAATATTATTGTAAAGATTATGACGTACCTGAACATTATATGACCAAATAATTGGAATATAAGATTGTTATATTACCTCCAATGAGCAAAAAGTCATCACCAGATGATGATGGTTGAATAACAACACCATTGAATTCTACCAAATCACCAGGAGATAAAGGTATTGTATGTTTAAAGATGAGATCTCCATTCGTTATGTTGATAGCATAGTACACTCCATCTATATCAAATACATGAAGAATTGTTGGTACATCCTTGATTGAGGTTCATAGAGTAGAGGGGAGGCGGGGTTAGAGAGTGATATCTATAAACAATCACATATATACATACGGCTATTAATACACCAAAAAGAGACTGCAATATTATCAGCACTGTAATCACATAAAGATTTATCTGATTCGTTTGACCTTTTATTTAAAATGAGGAAAAAAGGGTCGGTCCAAAAACAAAAGAAACCATGTCCAGTCTTTCAATCAAAACCACAAAAAATCTATAGAAACCTTCTTCTGACCTTTTTTAAACTAAATATCAGAGGGTTTCAGTCGAGGGATTGCGACATCGATATATGATGATTTATCCAATTTTTTTGTTGGGGGACTTCAAAAGGAAAGATGAAGCTTGGAATCCATCTCTTGAACCTAAAATAATTATAACATGATTATTTTTAAAAGCTACTTTAATACCTACTTTATAAATTAATTTAAATTCTAATCCCTTTTGAGGATTTGTATTAATCCATTTCTTTAATATTTCAATATCCATTGAACTAAATATAGAGATGGTAATTGAATTATCTTAAAGAAATTCATTTCCTTATCAATTTGAACCTTTTTGTCCAATTGGTATTCCCCATCCCTCATAAAATCCAAGATTGATCCAAAATGAGTTCCATTTCTTTAAATTTTAAAAAAGGGTTGATTAGAACATAAAATAAATGATTCTAAAGAATATAGCTATCAATAAAAATATTAGTTAATCTATTGATATCAATTGCACAAGAAAACATCGTAAGTTTAAATCATGATGGGCGATTGATTTAAAATAATATCATAGGTTATTGTATTTGTTTTAATTAAATTATTTATTTATTTTTTAAAAAAAAAAGATTATATATATATTTTTTATTTATTCTTGAGCACCATCTGGAACACTGCTACCTCTCATACCCTTACCGGCCTTGATGATTTCATCGACTAATAAAAGTTGGGCGGCAATGACTGGAGCGCTTCTGTAAATTTGTTTGAGGACAGAGTATTGATCGTAGACACCTTCTTGGATGGGGTTCATTGGCTCGCCAGAGGTAATGTCGAGACCGACAATGTGGCCCTTGGCATGTTCGTCTTGCAACTTGATGAGGGTGTCCATTGGATCAAAGCCAGAGTTTTCGGCCAAGGTCTTTGGCACGACGAGGATGGCGTCGGCAAATGCTTGCACACCCAACTTGGTACGGCCTTGGACGGTGTCCTTGAACTCGAGTAGATCACGGTGGGCAGCCACTTGGAAGGCACCACCACCTGGGATGACGACACCATCTTCAATGGTGTTTTTGACAGCACGGAGACCATCACGGAGGGCGTCCTTGATTTGCTCGATGGTGTGTTTATTTGGTCCTTTGATGAGAATAGTACATGAGAATGGGTTCTTGACACCTTCGACAAAAGTGTATTTGTCCTCGCCAATGGTGTGTTCGTAGACGAGCTCGGCGTGACCGAGGAGGTCTGGAGTGAGGTCTTCCAACGAGTTCATGGCGGTACCTCCACATGCCAATGTGAGACGTTCCATATTTCTACGCTTGGCACGACGCAAAGCGAGGATACCGGCCTTGGCAAACATGTCGAGGCAGATTGGGTCAATACCCTTTTGGTTGATGACAACAAAGCTCTTGTCTGGTGTATCGCAAACGTGATTCTTTAATTCAATAATTTGTCTGCATCTTTGTGCAATCAATTTATGTTCACCATCAATCATTCTTGATCTTTGTTCATGATCCTTGTATAAGAAATTTGAATTTACTTCACTAAGAAAATATTAAATAACAAAAGGTAAGTACGGCAATCCAATCATAACTATCTTTATCTTCTTCTAGGTTTACGTACGTCTTTTCAAATTCCAAAGAAACGTTACAGGTAAGGATGAAACAGTTTGTTAATTTCTTTGGCATGTCTGGATGACGAGCACCGTGATCAAGGACAAGACCCTTGACGAGGGTGGATTCACCGTCGGTACGGTGTTGCATGGTCATGGTTTCGACCATAAAGAGATCGAGTGGTTCGTCATCCTTTCTGATGAGCAAGAGAGCATCGACTACGTGCTCGGTGAGTTGATCGGCAATGGGTACTGGAACCTTTGTACGCAATGAAGATCTAGCAATCGATACCAACAATTCTCTGTCCAATGTGTTTTTAGTTTGCTTGAATTTCTCGAGGAACTCTAAAACACGATCCTTTGCCAAGTTGATACCCTCTGACAATACACGTGGATGTACATTCTCTGCCAAATATCTCTCGCTTTGTTTCAACAATTCGCCAATCGTTATAATGTTTGATGTTGTACCATCACCTGTAATATCATCTTGTGCAGTTGCTGTTCTTGCAATCAATGCTGCTGTTGGGTGTTGAATTTGCTAAATAAAACAAACATATAAATATAACAAACAACAAATTGAACAGAATATATATATATATATTAGTAAGAAGAAGAAGAGAATAGATCGATTATATATGTTGTTGTCTGTCGCATATATATGTGTTCATACCATTTCATGTAATAAAACACTACCATCCTTTGTAATCTTGATGTCACCACCACCAGATACCAACATCTTGATGGTACCCTTTGGACCAAGGTTAGATTTGAGAACCGATTGCAAACCCTTGGCGGCACTGATATTGAGTAAGAGTGATTGTCCTCTCTTGGCATCGGCTGGTGTACCAGCTTGTTTAATCATGCTCAACATTTTCGATAATATAAGATATAATAACTACTTGTACTAGTTTAGATAACGACGTTTGAACTAAAGATATTATATATTTATATATGTGTAGGTAGGTAGGTAGAGGGATGATGAAGGATGATGGTGATGATCTCCAAAAAGGTGAAGAAAGCGCTTTCTCCCAATTATCGACTTCAAAAAAAATAAAATAAAAAAAGCTTTGAAAAAAACTCATCTGAGACGGATGGATGGAACTTCGAATTCAACAAAATCAAGGTTGGTATAACTTTATAAATAATATAATAGTTTTGTTGATTATTGGCAATAATACTAATAAGTTGGAGTCACCCACCAATTTAAATTGCCGAAAGATGGAGGATCGATAGATTTAATTTATTTATTTTTGTTGGTTGGTTGAGGTTGAAGGGTGCACCCTTGGAAAATTTTAGCATTATATCAACTTTAATTTCATTTTTATTATTATCTGTTCTGCTCATTTTGTATTTTATATTTTACATTTATTATCTTCATCTTTTTTAGAGATATAGGAGAAGAAGAGGGATGGATATATCACCTATAGCATCATCGAATAAAGATCATAGCTTTACTACACCTGCCAAAGGAACAGGAGGAGAGATGGGAAATGGTAATACAAGTAGTACTACTTCAACCTTTTTGACACCTTCAACACCCAACCATCATCATCATCATCATAACAATAATAATAATAGCAGTAATATATTGACACCATTATCAAAACCTTCATTCACATCGTCATCATCATCAACGACTTCAACATCAACATCATCATCTTCACAACAACCATCTACACCAACTACTACTAGTACAACATCTACTACAACTGCTGCTACTTCAAATATTACAATACCAACACAATTAAAATCATCATCATCAACTGGTAGTACAAGTAGATTTGTATTTAGTAACAAACAAGATGTCACCAGTCAAATGAAAACCTATCGATTCGAGGTTGACATGAAAGAGAGTAATATCATTGACTTTGATGTATTGGTTAAAAAGGAAGCAAAGAGATTGAATCAAGAAAAGAACAAATACAAGATATCAGACTCTTTCTACGAACCAGGTGCCAACAACAAGAACAATACATCGGCACTCAGCGATTCCTCAGAGTTTGATGACTTTTTACCTGCACTTCCCAAGAATCGGTTGACCGAAGTTATTGATAGAATTGAAAGAATTCATGCAGATGATTCAGATGATGATTCCGATCGTTATGATAGTGATGATTCATTTATTGATAATACTGATGCTGTATGTATAATTAAAAAAAAGAAAAAAAAGATCAAAATGATGGTTTGTTGACTTGTTATGTTTTAGGTTGTTTCAAAAGCAAATGTTTCAACCAATTATGGAGGATTTTTTGTACACGTTGGTGAATTGGAGACAAGGGATGAAGATGATTCAGACTATGAAAACAATACACCAATTAAAAAGAAAAAGAGAAAGGTCAAAGATACCATTGATAATACACCAACCAACCGAATCAAAAAATCAAAACCTACAGGCACTTCAACTACTTCGACCTCTACAACTGGTGGTAGTGGTACAATCGATGATAAATTGGAAGAATTACTTTTAAAATTAGAACGTGAAATTAAAAGTATGGTATCATCAAATAGTAATCATCAAAGAATCTTTTTTAAATATTAATTAATGATTTATTCATTTATTAAAGGTGAACAATTTTTACCAAGAAATGCAGGTCCATTGTTGGCAAGTATTTATGATGCTATCACTCGAACAAATAGTCAAGGTTATTTAACTGGTCCTGCCATCCAAAGAATTGTCGATTTTTGGCCTTTAAAAGAGAAAACTATTAAAGTAAGGGGGAAAAAGAGATAGAGGGGAAAGAGAATCCCTTATAACTTTTTTTTTTTTTTTTTTTTTTTTTTTTTTTTTTGAATAGATGCATCTTAAAAAAGCATGGGAAGATAATAGTGAAAGAACAAGGAACAAATCAGATAAATTGGTTGAGCAATTAAATGGAGTTTTGGAAAATCTTACTAGAGTCATAAAAGAAGAAATGGAAAAGAATGTATGTCTACAATCTATCAATCAATCAATCAATCAAAAGATTACAACATATTAATCAATATATATATTTATTTATTTTAGCCACCAAAAGATGGAGAAGAATATTATTGGACAAAAGAAGCAAAGGAACTTTTAGTAGAAGGAGTTGATTTAAACAAAGAGATTATTGAATTGAAAAATACTACTATAATGTGCGATGCTGAAAAGGAAGGAAAACCACCTGTTTTATTGATTGAAAAAACATCTAGAGCTCATCTATACAGACAGATTGTTGGATTGGTTGGTAACGATGCCTTTTTCAATGCAAAGGCAATCTCAAAGACCTATATGAACTTTACATCTGCCAAGAAAAAAAAGGAAAAGAGAATGATCAATTCTCAAAACAACACATCTACCTCGACTACTACTACTACCACAAATAATGGTTCTTCTTCTGTCAATAATTCACTCAATAGTTCATTAAATGATTCAAATGTTCTCAATTTATCATCTTCTGCAGTTCCAATGGCAACTACTTCTTCCATCAACTCTCCTAAAGCATCTAGTACTAGTAGCAGTACTAAACACTCTCATATGGAGAGTGAAGTTGACAGAGATAGAAAAAGAATTGAAAAAAGAGAAAAGGATGATAGTAGACCAAGAGACAAGGAAAGAGAAAGAGAAAAAGAAAAGGAACGATCATCAAGAGACAAAGAAAGAGAAAGAGAAAGAGAAAAGGAAAGATCAAGAGAAAAAGATAGAGGTGATAGACCAAGAGAAAAGGATAGGGAAAGAGAAAGAAGTCACAAGGATAGCAGTGATAGAAGAGATAGAGATAAAGAAAAGGGTCATAAGGATAGTAGTGGTAGTAGTGATAAAAGGGATAAGGATAGAGACAGAGAAAGAGATAGAAAGAGAGAAAAAGAGAAAAATAGAGATAGAGAAAGAGAAAGAGAAAAGAGTGGTTCTACTACTAGTAGTTCAACCAAGGATCGTGATAGAGAAAGAAAAGAAAAGGAAAAGAAAAAGGATAAATATTTGGATAAATTAATAGGAAATGATTTATCATCTTCTATTAGTTTATCAGACGATGATGAATTTGGATCAGTTCTTTTAGATAGAGTTAAAAAGGATAAAAGACCAAAACCAAGTTCTTCTTCATCTTCCTCCACATCCTCGTCTAACAACAACAACAACAATTTGTACAGCGGTTCATCAAAACATGACAATAATAATAATAATAATAATAATAATGGCGATATAAATAAGCATTTGGTGGATACACTATAGAGAATCAAAAAATAATCCAAAAGGAAATAAATATAAAATTAGATTGATATTTGTGATAGATAGTGATCTATTGCAATAATATAGTATACATATGTAAATCGAATTGATCAATTTCATATATAAATCGGAGCTTCAAATTTAATTAATTAATTAAATTATTATTTTATCTTTTTAAGAGTAATATCAGTTTTTCAAGAATATAGACAAAGCGTCAAAAGTGGGGAAAGGGTGAAAGTATCATTTAATAATTTTGTATTTTTTTGTATTATTTGTATTTAACACCCTCAGAACAAGATAGATATAAGACTCTCATTGTATATATATAAAGAAGAAAGAAAGACTTATCATATCATCAACAATAGTAGTAGAAGGAAGAATCATTAGTAGTTAGTGGTAGAAGGGGAGAGAAAGACAGACAGAGTTGTAGTAAAGTAATAATATAGTTTTGATATTTAGTAGTTTAAACTATCTTTTGTGTATAAAAAAATGGAACCAAATAAAGAAAACAAGATACCAGACTTGTATGAATACTTGGGTATATCAAATGAAGCAAGTGACGAAGAAATTAAAAAAGCTTACAAGACTTTAGCTAAAAGATATCATCCCGATAAACCAACTGGGTCAGATGAAAAGGTTTGAAATAATAAAACAAATATACATACATACATACCTATATTAGAGTACTTATTCTTCATTCATCATCATTATTATTATTCTAGTTTCAAGAATTAAATGCAGTTTATGAAATACTTTCAGATCCACAAAAGAAGAGAACTTATGATCATTTTAAACGTGTTGGTATTAGTATGCCCAACATGGCAAATGTAAATGAAATGAGTGAAGAGAATAGAAACGTAGCGATTAACTTTTTCATTGGCACCAACATTGGAGCATTGTATGCCTTTATTGCTATTGCCGTTAGCATCATATTCAACGTTCCTCTCACCACTTCATTTTTCCCATCACTTGCCGTATTTGTATCTCCTTTTGTATTAAATGGTGATTCAAAATCAATGGCTTTTGCAATTGGTGGTTTATCAGGAATGATTGTAAGTAGTATAGTAGAAAGCAATAGAGAATAGAATAGAAAAGAAAAGAAAAGAGTCTAATTTATCTTTTATTATTTTTAGGCACTTCCAATTTATGTTGTTGGATTTACAGCAGGAGTTAGTAAAAGATTATTAGAGGCACCTATAAATTATTGGAAGGGTATTGGATCGAAATCAGAGGATGGTGGTAGTAGTAACGACCATCATCGAACATCGTCGGCAATGTTGATATTGGATGAAAATGATTTTGAATTTATCAATAACCAAAAAGTAGAATACGAAAAGATTGACGAAATTGAAAGAAATTGGACATTCCTTGCATCAGAGACTGCATCCAACACCAATAACAATAAGAACACTTCAAACAAAAACAACAATACTACAGAATCGGCACACGAAGAATTATTCCAAAAAGCTATAGACAATATCAAAGAATTGGTCATCGTCATTGAAAAGCATTTTAATCAACAATACCCTTCATTTGAATCTGATTTGATTTTAAAGAAAATTCAAGAAATTAAACATGTATGAAGAAGAAGAAGAAGAAGAAGAAGATGTAATGATAGGTGTATTTTTTGATATACTAATCATAATACTTTTTTATTTTTTAGTGTATCATTGATATAGAATATTTATTAGCAATGGATATTGATAATGATGAAATGGAGAATCTAGAAAAAGAGAAAAACACCAAATTACAATTCAAATATAACAAGGATAGGTTATTCAATTCACTGGATCATTGTCTATCATTTATCAAAAATTATAAATCAACCAATAACAATAACAACAACAATAGCAATAACAACATAGGAGATAAAAACCAGATCAAATTATTACTATCACTTGTCAAAAACACCGAGATATCGCTAGAGGAATATGTTTTCAATAGTTTTGAATATTATCAAATTTAAATTAAAAAACAAACTAACCAAAATATAAATATACATATAAACACAACAACAACAACAACAACAACAACAACAACAACAACAACAACAACAACAACAACAACAACAAGTAAATATAATTGTAAATAATAATAATAATAATACCATCACCATTTTTTTATATAAATATAAATCACAATCAAAATTAACAATAATAATCATAATAATAATAAATTTATTTTAAACCTGAATATTAATTAATAAAAATAAATATAAAAAAGAAGAGAGAGAGATAGGTAGAGATCTTTTCCACATGTTTTAAATATTTTATTCTTCCAACTATTAAACACGAACACTACACCCCCTCTCACAGTGACAAACTCATTCTCTTTGACTCAAAACTTTGCAACCATTGGTTCATTATTCTTTCTTTGTTCACTTCACTACCAACCTCTCTTAAATTTTCAATTTCATCTTTGTCATTGTCGGACATATAATATCATCATCACCATCAATCACTTAATCACAATTAAAGAGAGTAGGAGAAGTGTCGAGCGATATATAATATAAATATACATTAGATATGAGTAGTATAAGTAGTGGTAGTAATTTAGAGGATTCATTAATATTACAAAATGATATCACCGACCAAGACGATGACAAGACTACTACAAGTCAACCAGTAACAACATCATCATCGACAACTACAACTATAGAACAAGATGAAGGAAATACAATCAATAACCAATTATTACAATTTTATGAAGTATTGACGTTGATATACTATGGCATAAGAGATTCCTTCAAGGTGATGCTAGCCTTTAAAATACTATTACGATCAAAGTCACTACAATCACACTATAAACACTGTATCATGCTCAATGGGATCATCTTTTTAGGATCATATCTAGTCTATCAATATTGGGTAGACCCTACACTTGCCTATCTTTTACAACAAATACCTGCTCTATCTGATATAGTTTCAATCATTTATTGTGTATGAAAGAGAGAGAGAGAGAGAAAAGTCAAGATCACATATTCTATTCAAACTAGTTTAAACTAACCAAAGGTCTCTTTATATATATTTAGTTGTTATGGATTTATCCTGTATATATATTCAGTATTGCTGCCAATTCTAAATGGTATTCTCAAATTGCAAGTGAATCATTTAGAATATCTGGATTTAGAAATACCAATGGACCAGCATCTGTAAACAGAATACTATCGGGTATTGTCGATGAAATCTATCGTAATCTAATGTTTGGTGTATTCCTTGTCATGTCTGTCATCATTGCTTTTATTCCTTATACTTCACCTATTAATTTTGTACTTGTAACTTGGTTATATTCATTTTGGTGTTTCGAGTATGTAAACAAATAATAATTATAAATATTAATAATAATACTTGATCAATACTAATTTGTTTCATTCTTTCTACTATTTAGTAATAAATGGATACTAAGAGGAAAATGGACATTAATGCAAAGAATTACCTATTTTGAATTACATTGGGCATATATGTTTGGTTATGGATTTGTATTTACTTTGGCATCATTCTTTTTCCCAATGTTGATTGGTAATGCCATTTTTTCTTTATTATATCCAATGGTAAGAGCAGATGGAACAAAAAAAAAAAACGAGAGAGATAATCAACAATGATGATCATTTAATTAACCAAATTTATTTTCTTTCATCAGTTTATTATATTATCAGTTGGTGCCAAACCAATTAAAATGACAAGAAAAGGAATACTTCCAAAACAAATACCAATATTTTATGTTTCCGAAAAGATTGTAAATATTCTTTTGAAATCATTTGTACTTAAAAAAGAACCCCAAAAATCTGTTAATAATAATAATAATAATAATAATAAGAAAACACAATAATTAAATTAAAGTTTCCTTGATGATGATGATAGAGTATTTTCCATCACCTTTTTTTACACAACCAGTTAGTTTTATTTCCAAAAACTTTTATTCTTTCCTCCATCCCATCAAGTGTTTCTTTTAAGAGATAAGAGATATGATAATTGATAGTCACCCTATTTATTTATTTTTTTCCTAGTGTTTTCACCAACAAAAATTATTAGTGGTGTGAGGGTGGGGGTGTGAGTATTTCTGTCAACTCTCGAATATTCCTTAAATTGGGTAGTAGAATTTTTGGCAGGAATGTTTGTTCATACCCCTCTTCACTTTTCATTGTAATATCGTTGTTTGTTTGTTTGGTTATTAAATAATCTCGTATTGTCACAGGAGTAGTGTGACGACTAAAAATGTATTTTACTCACTATTGGTACATCAACCACTTAATAACACACACCAAATAAAGAAAAGTTTGATATTTTTCCCTCATCACTATTATTTGTTTTGTTTTATTATTTGTAGGAATTCCCTTTTTTCTTTGATCCATTCATCTTATCTCTCTATCTCTCTTGCACTACAAAAAGGCAACATTGTCTTCAATCCAATTTACTTTTATTATTTATTATTTCCATTTTCATTGTTTCGATCAATATTACAAAAATCAAAATAATAATAATAGATAGATATTAAATTAAATAATAATAGTTAGTATAGTATAGTTTTTAGTAAAGTTTAAAGATGAAATTAAATCCCAATTCAGTTGGTGGATTATTTAATGCGGCTGGGTTATCTTTGATGACTTGGTTCGTTATGAATATTAGTACATTGATACTCAACAAATATATATTCCAAACTTTGCATTTCACATATCCATTCACTTTGACGGCCATTCATATGATGATCTGTGCCATCGGATCATATTTGGTCATTCATCACTACCAACTCGTACCACTTGTTAAAATAGATTTCAAGCAACAAGTCAACACTATTCTTCCACTCGCCATTCTATTCTCTGGCAACATTGTACTTGGAAATGTTTCCCTTCGTTTTGTACCAGTCTCATTTATGCAAACTATCAAGTCGTCAGTGCCACTATTCACAGTGATCATCCAAACCATGTACTTTAAAAAGAATTTCTCCAAAGATACCTATCTCTCGATGATCCCAATCGTAGGTGGTGTAGCTTTGGCATCGATCAATGAAGCCAACTATAACCACGCCGGTTTCTTTTCAGCACTCATCGCATCGGTTGTCACTGCCTTGTTTGCTATCATGTCAAGTGTTATGATGCAACAACAATTGAATCCAATCAATTTGCTCTACTATATGGCTCCATACAGTTTCATCATTCTGACACCTGCTGCCATCGGTCTTGAACTCGGTCCCATTATGGCCAGCTGGCCCGTTGACAGTTACCAAGGATTGAAACTTGTATCGATCCTTGCATTCTCTGGTACCATCGCATTCATGTTGAATGTATTCACTTTCCTAGTCATTAAATACACATCGGCTCTCACCTATACAGTCTCTGGTAATCTTAAAGTCATCCTATCCATTTCCATTTCCATTTTGATTTTCAGAAATGAAGTTGGTATTTCGAATGCAGTCGGTTGCAGTATTGCCATTTGTGGTGTAGTATGGTACAGTTATATTAGATACAAAGTATCCAATAACAATGTACTTCCAAAGACACTACCCAATGCAGTCATCCAAAGTGCCACTTTTACCAACAATCCACTCAAGTGTCCTAAAAAGGATGATCTTGAACCACTACTCAACACCAACAACAACAACAGTAACAATAATAATAGTATCATAAACTCTCTTTCAAACATTGATATATCCCCACCAATGCATTCATCCATTAGTATTAATAGTAGTAATAGTAATAATAATTCATCGACTCTTGTATCATCACAAGCTTAAAATTAAAATTAAAATATATATAAATAAATATAGAAAACAAAAACAAATAACTATACATATACATATTATATATATATAGTCAAAAAAACTAAACATACCCTATTAAATTTAAAAGAAGAATGTTGTTCTTATCCATCCACCAACACGATCAGATGACGTTCATAATTTTGTATAATATAATAAAAAATCTAATCTAGTGTCAGATGCATCTGCGTTGCAGTGGTATTAGTTTTTCATTGTTGTTGTTTAGTTTACTTTGGTGTGTAGTGATAAGTAAGAGGTATTAAAAGACAGACAGAGAATGTTTAAACAAGTACTTGGATTGAGAAACTCTACTTTGAGTGTAGTATCATCCTCATCCTCTTCTAAAATACTTTATAGATCTGCTGCTACATCAATAAACAATAGTTTATTTAAATATAAACAACAATCTAATCAACCTCAACAATATATACTATCATCACAACAACACCAACAAATATTAAGATACTTTTCAACAGAGAATAATAATAATAAGAATACTACAGAGAACAATAAGAATAATAATACAGTGAATAAGAATGATCAAAAAGAAGAATCAACTTCCGAAGAATCTAATAATAATAATGAACAACAACAAAATCAACAAAATGAACATAAATATAAACAACAAAGAAGATCAAATAAGGAATATAGTGAAGAATTAAAAGAAAAGAATAAGAATCTTGGTATGTGGGTATTGGCATCGATCATTGGTGTATTGGGATTATCATATGCTGCTGTACCATTATATAGAATGTTTTGTAGAGTCACTGGTTATGGTGGTACAGTAAGAGAGGCATCACACGATTTAGAGGCAGAGATCAAGAAACGTAATCTTAAACGTGACTTGTATCCAATCAAAGTATCTTTCACATCTTCCATTGGCAATAAGATTCCATGGACTTTTAAACCTGTACAATCATCAATTGAATGTATTCCAGGTGAACCTGTATTAGCATTTTATAGAGTATGTGTAGAAAGAAAGATATTGAAAGAGACATGAAATGGTGGTGGATGGTTTGGAAACTAATCATTTTTCTTTCTTTTTGTTTAGGCAACCAATCATACAGATAAACCAATTATTGGTGTAGCAACCTATAATATTACACCAATGAAAGCTGGTAGTTATTTCACAAAGATTCAATGTTTTTGTTTTGATGAACAGAGAATCAAACCAAATGAAACAATCGATATGCCCGTTTTATTTGTTGTTGAACCTGAAATGTTGGACGATAAGAATATGAAGGGTATTACCGATATTACCCTATCCTACACATTTTTCAAATCCAATGATCAAGGTGAATTGGAAGAGATCTAATAATAATCTCAAACAAACAAATAATACAATAATACAAAATATATTACTATCTATCTATATATTTTTTCATCAAAAACTTTTGTTTGTTTGTTTGTGACAACTCGTTCGGTTTTTTTTTTCTCAATTATTATTATTATTATTTGTTTGTTCTTTCTGAATCATTCTCTCTTTATTCAAATATATAGAGATAGATAATAGAGTAGAGTAGAGTAGAGTTTATAGTTTAGAATGGAAGACGACGATTTATTCTCTGTATTTGATCAATCAACAAGTACTCCACAACCATCTAAAAGAAAGGCAAAGCCTGATGATGACAAGTAAGAAGATAGAATACAGTACTGTAGATTAGAGAGATTAGAGTAGAGAGTAATGTTAACATGACATTTCATTTACATTTTAGGGAAGGTAAATGGGAGGGAGCAAAGAATCAATTATCAAAGACTGTTAGTAAAGTAAATACAGCTGAATTGGATCAACAAGTACAACAAGCCAAGAAAAAGACAAAGACAGAGATTGAAGGACGTCAATCTGATATTTCTGTAGACTCTTCAAAACCAGATGATACTTTAAAACAATTAAGAGAATCTAAAAAGGATGGAAAGGATACAGCAACAGCAGCAGCATCAGATACATCAACTACTACAACAGAAACAAAGTTTTCAATGCCAAAGACATGTACACATGAAGTAGTATTACCACCAGGTGTTACAAGTGATGATCCAGATCTTCTTCATCCCAAACCACCAGTCAATCCAGCACGTACCTATCCATTCACACTCGATCCTTTCCAAGCCACCTCTGTTGCTTGTATCGAAAGAAAGGAATCTGTATTGGTATCTGCTCATACATCTGCTGGTAAAACTGTAGTTGCAGAGTATGTCACAAACAAACAAACAAAACAAACAACATGAAAAGAAAGAAACCAAACTACTATAGATACTTTAGTTCTAACTATCCTCTGCTATCCCTTTATTTTTAGATATGCAATTGCAACAGCATTGAGAAGTGGACAAAGAGTTATTTATACATCACCAATTAAAGCATTGAGTAATCAAAAGTATAGAGATCTCAATGAAACATTTGGAGATGTTGGTTTGATGACTGGTGATATTACCATTAGTCCAAATGCAAGTTGTTTGGTCATGACTACTGAAATTCTTAGATCAATGTTGTATCGTGGTTCAGAATTGATGCGTGAAGTTGCTTGGGTCATTTTTGATGAAATTCATTATTTACGTGATAAAGGTAAAAATAATGAAAAAGAAGAAGATATATATATATAATATTATATATTAAATATTGATTTATTAACTCTTTATTTTCATAATTTTTAGAAAGAGGAGTAGTTTGGGAAGAAACGATTATATTATTACCAGATTCTGTTAAATTTGTATTCCTTTCAGCTACAATTCCAAATGCAAAGGAATTTGCAGCTTGGATTGCAAAGATTCACAGTCAACCATGTCATGTTGTCTATACCGACTATCGTCCCATTCCATTGCAACATTATATTTTCCCATCGGGTGGTGATGGTTTACATTTGGTGGTCGATGAAAAGGGTGTTTTCAGAGAGGAAAACTTTATCAAATCGCTGTCTGGTTTGAATCAACCAGAACTTGGTGGCAACAATAGAAAAAAGGGTCCCAACAATGCTAAAAAGGGTCCAAACGATTGTTACAAGATTGTTAAAATGATCATGGAAAGAAATTATCAACCAGTCATTATTTTCAGTTTTAGTAAAAAGGATTGTGAAACTTATGCTCTTCAAATGTCAAAATTAGATTTTAATAATGGTAAAAAAAAAACAAAGAAAAGAAACAAGAAGAAATAGAAAAAAAAAAAGAGATATATATATTTATTTATTTATTTATTTATTTATTTATTTATTTATTTATTTATTATTATTATTTTAGAGGAAGAAAGAAAAGCAGTTGAAACTATTTTTAATAATGCAATTGATTCATTAAGTGAATCTGATAAATCATTGACAGCAGTAGTTAATATTTTACCATTGTTAAAGAGAGGTATTGGTATACATCATGCCGGTCTTTTACCGATTCTCAAGGAAATCATTGAAATTTTGTTCCAATACGGATACATCAAGGCTTTGTTTGCTACAGAGACCTTTTCAATTGGTCTTAATATGCCTGCCAAGACTGTTATTTTCACCAATGTCAGAAAGTTTGATGGTGATCAACTCAGATGGGTGTCTGGTGGTGAATACATTCAAATGTCAGGTAGAGCAGGTCGTAGAGGTTTGGATGAGCGTGGTATCGTTATTATGATGGTCGACGAAAAGATGGAACCAGATGTCGCCAAGGGTATGGTCAAGGGTGTTGCCGATCGTTTGACATCATCGTTTTGGATTGGTTACAGTATGTTGCTCAATATGATGCGTGTTGAAGATATCGATCCAGAGAAACTCCTCAAACGTTCATTCCATCAATATCAACAGGAATCTATCATTCCTCAATTGACAGACAAGGTCCAAAAAATCGAAGCCGAAAAGGACCAAATTCAAATCAAGAATGAAACTGCCGTTCAAGAATTCTTTGGTCTCAAACAACAATTGGCCAAGTTGCGTGATGGTATGCGTGAATTTATGAATCAACCATCTTGTGCTCAACCATACCTTACTCCAGGTCGTGTAGTTAAAATTCGTGATGAAACAAATGAATGGGGTTATGGTGTTATTTTAAATTTCTATAAAAGACAAACTGTAAGACAAAAAAAGAAAAAGAAAAGGAAAATCAAATAATAACTAATAACTTTTTTAAATTTTTTTTAGAAACCAAATGGTATTACAGATCAATCATTTGAAATTGTAGTTGATATTTTATTAAATTGTGATCCAAAGGCAGTTGGAGTACCAAAACCAATGCCAGCAGGACAAGTTGGAGAACCACAAATTGTACCAGTTTCACTCAAGATGTTTGATGGTATTACATCGATTTGTCTTGTCATCAAAAAAGACCTTTCACAACAAGATCTCAAGGTTCAATTGTTCAAGGCCTTGAGAGAGACTGAAAACAGATTCAAAAAGGATGGTGGTATGCCAATGATTGACCCAATCGAAGATATGAAAATCACAGACCAAAACTTTAAGAAATTGGTTAGAAAGATTGAAAGTTTGGAAAGTAGATTCATCAGTCACGAATGTTACAATGACTCTGATATTGAAAGTCGTATCAAACTAGTTCAAGAAAAGATGGAATTTGACAAGGAAATTAAAGAATGCAAAAAACAAATTAAAAATGGTGATGAAATGATCTTAAAAGAAGACCTAAGATCAATGAAAAGAATTTTAAAAAGGTAATAGAAATAGAAAAAAGAATTTGAAAAAGAAAAGGCAAAATTTTAATTAACTATTTTTTATTTTCTATTTTTTTTAGATTGGATTATATTTCACAAGATGATGTTGTTTTAACCAAAGGAAGAGTTGCATGTGAAATTTCAGCAGGTGATGAATTGATTATTAGTGAATTATTATTTATGGGCGCATTTAATGATTTGACAGTTGAACAATGTGTAGCAATTCTTAGTTGTTTTGTATTCCAAGTGGAGTCGGAAAAGGATCTCACAGGAGCCAAGGTCAAACCAGAGTTGGCACCATTGTACAGAACCATCCAAGACACTGCAAGAAGAATCGCTCAAGTATCTCAAGAATGCAAACTTCAACTCGACGAAAAGGAATACCTCAATAGATTCAACCCCAAGTATATGGATCTCACCTTTGCTTGGGCTTCTGGTTCATCTTTTGCCGAGATTTGCAAAATGACTGATGCTTTTGAAGGTTATTTGATTCGTTGTATCCGTCGTCTTGATGAATTATTAAAACAAATGGCCACTGCATCTAAATCTATAGGTAATACTGATTTGGAAAAGAAGTTTTCTGATGCTACTCTCAAGGTTCATAGAGATATTCCATTTGCTGGTTCATTATATCTTTAAAAACAAAAAAAATAAAATAAATAATAAATCAAAAAGAAAAAGGAATGGGAAAAGAGAATATCAAAGAATTGAAAAAAGAATTTGATGAATTTCATGGTTTCATTGGCTCCAATTCATCACAGAGTTTTATTATCTTTACCCAAAAAAAAATTCAACAATTAGAATTGGATGTAGCTAAACTAGAGTGGCCACAAGTATCTTTGAGAATCTTATTCCAGTTCCAGGAGACCCAAATGTATCTTTTCGTATAATACCAATGATTATACAACCTAGTGTCAACAATGGACCCAATATTTTAATTAATTGTGTCGATGTAGTAAATACATTTAAAATTGATTTATCTGAAATATTGATCTAGACATTAATATAAAATGATTATTTGTTTGTTTGAAACCAATTGAAAAGGTAAGAAATCTACATTGTGATTTAGTTGGATAAATCATTATATGATTGTTGATTACTCTCCCATGGTATTCTTACTATTACTCCATCCTCTACTTGATCTGTATCTACTCTAATATTATACATTTGAATTGAAACAAATTAATAATAAAGACTTTTGGTAATTTAAAAAACAAATTATTTATTTACAATTTTAAAAACAAACAAAAAGAAAGAGATAGAGATTAGATCTATATTATTATAATTATTTATGTTTTCTATTCTTTCTTTTTTTTGAAGATGATATATTATTATTATTATTATTATTCATTTTATAATCTTCTTCTTCATTATCATCATCATTATAATCTTCATCAATAATAAATGAACCATGATGATCTGATGAAATATCACTAGAGTCTTGGTCATGATGACCATTACCATGACCATCTTGATGAATTTGATTAAATGAATGATGAGCATTTTCATTCATTTCGATGGTCTTTTGGATACCTTGGAGAGCCATCTTTTTCTTTCTTTCACGGATTCTCTTGTTGCCAAACCAATTGTCAATTTGAATTCTAGAGAGATTAGAGATGGATGAAAGGAGTGATTTTTCATCTTCGTTTGGTAGTGGAAAGTTAATGTGATTGTAGAACCAAGAGTTTAGTGCATTGGATGCATCTTGAGCCAAAGTTCTTCTGCCCTTGGCATTGTATTTCTTGGTTTTCTTGGTGTCGGGTTTGCCATACAATGCAATGTTGTTGGCTTTGTTTAGATACGATGGACGACCTCTCTTTTTTGGTGCGAGATCTGGTTGATCCTCGGGATTGGTGACAAGGGCCTTGGGGACACGAGACACACCAGCCATTCTACGACAATCGAGTAGTAGGTCACAAGACATACCCTTTTGATAGGCCTTTGGCAACAAGAGCTTAGAGTGTACAAACTTGAGCTTGGCTTGGTGTTCTTGTGCACGAAGAGGTCTGATCTTGACCAAGGTGCTGTGACACTGATCCAACATTGAACTAGCAGTCGCATAGCAATTGTCAAGAGACTGGACTTCATTGGTGTAGAGATCCTGAATGATATCGATACGGTCTTGAATATGCTCGTCCAATTCATCGGGCTTAATGTCTTCCAACTCCATAAATGTCTCCAAATCATATTCAATGTGGTCGCAGTTGATACCACCAAATGCATCGAGGTTTGGTTCAATCTCTGGAAAGATGTTGGTGTGTGTACATGCCATTAGAAACTGGTACATGGCACGAGCAACACTAGATGGACTATTGAGTGATTCTTGTGGACAGTTAAACTCTCCACCCTCTGACATTGGTGGACGATTATAATATTGTGATGTAATCTTGTCAACATTGACCGATGGTAATTGATCAACAAAAAAGGTTGCTTGATGTTCCAACTTTTTAAATGTTCTATAATCTATATAATTTGTAAATTCTTGTTGTTGTTGTTCTTGATAATGATTATCAAATTGTTGTATTTGTTGTTGTTGTTGTTGTTTAAATTGATTTAATTGATATTTGTGATATGGTATTGGCATGAAATGAACTGGTGAAGTTGATGTTGATGATGTACATGGTTGTTGTTGTTGTTGAGGTTGTTGTTGTGAATGATGTGAGAGATCATCATTAAAGTTATTTATAGAAGAAGTAGAAGAGTTTAATTGATTATGAATATTATTATTATTATTATTATTATTATTGTGTAGGGGAGATGGAATCGAGGAAGTTGAAGAATTTAATATATTATGTTTGTTATTATTATTGTGAAGGGGAGAAGAACATGTAGATGTAGGTGATGATGATGATGGCACTTCATTTTGATTAAAGGGGAGTGAAGTTGAATGTTGTTGTTGATATTGGGTATGTCTTATCATGATATTTAATTTAAAAATTAAAAGATAGCCTCTAGCTATGACAAACAAACAGACAGACAGACAGAACAGACAGATGTTTCTTGACTAAACAAATAAATGATAATGATAGATGATTGTTATTTTGATGAATATATATGTAAATATGTATGTATTAATTAACTATGTGAAAGAAGTATAAATAACCTACTCTATCTACTACTACTAATTTAAATAATACTTTCAATTGTACAAAGAGAGAGAATAGATGACAGTCTTTTAGATTGTGGGGGTTTGAACTACGACTACTACTACCTTAATTGGGAATAGGAGGTGATGACGATAATAGCTCCATGGTCGAGGTGGCATGGGGATCATGGGTTGCTCCCCCAATCAAAGAGGTGTGATAACAACCACCGTGTTGTTTATCAAACAAACAGAGTTGAAACCAGCAAACCAACCTTGATCCACTAGATTGAAAGCCTGCCAATCAAGAGACGAGAAGGGGCCCAATGATGGTTGTTTCGAAAGCTCGCTCATCGATGATGGGACAATCTTTTTAGAGCATCTTGCAGCCTTCGATGAAACTGTTTATTTTGACGGCCACCGAAGAGGTGTCATCATCATCTTGATTAGGAGAGGGGGTAAGAGAGAGAGGGAGAGGGTGCTATCCTTCTCCTCTTACTACATCTCTCTCTATGTGTGTTGTTCTCTCTATTGTTGTTCTAGTGACTGACCAGTTTTTTTAAAACAAAAAACTCAAACAACAAGATTTTTTCCTATGACAAACTAAAATCAAAAAAAAATCATTTATTCAATTGCGTTTGTGGGGAAGCACGTTGATCATACATTTTAGTGGACAGACACTATTGGAGTTGTGTGTTTGTGTTTGTGTGTTTGTGCTCTTTATATATATTAAAATTAAAATAATAATCATCAAAACGTTGATAGAGAATAGAGAGAGAGAGAAGGGGGAGAGAGAGGGGTTGTAAGTGAATGCAAGAGGAGAGTAGAAAGAAGAAGGAAACTAACTAACTACATACATCAATCAAATCAACCAACTTCTCATACTTTGCTTTATATCAACACGTATTCTTTTAAAAAGAGATTATAGTATAGTATACTATACAAAGAGAGAGAGAGTTGGCTACTCCACGTAAATTATCAATTGTAGGAGTTGGAGCTGGAGTAGTAGGAGTAGTAGGACATAATAGTAGTACGATAGAATCATCAACATTTGCAATGGTAACAAACAAATCAAATAGAAGTTCGATCACATTGTCATCACCTGTCATTTCATCGGTATCGAGTACAGGTAGTGGTATATTTGACGATCAACCAGACACGGTGTTTGTGCAAGCACCCAACTCATCGTTATTCTGCCCGATACATAATGGATTGTTTCGCGACCCGCTCATTGCAAAGTGTGGCCACACCTTTTGCAGAGGGTGTCTACACAACAGCAGTAATGGTAGTCGGTCGTTCAAGTGTCCGATCGACGGCCAACATCTATCAAACGACCACGACTTTTTTGCCAACTTGGCCATCTTTAATCAGATACAGGACTTGCTGGTGCACTGTCGGTACGCATTGAAACGATCGAGTAACGGTGAATGGATCACAGACTCTAAAGGGTGCTCGACCAAGATAAGGTTGGGTGAGAAACAGGAACACGAGCGAGAGTGTGAGTTTGCACTCATCGCATGCCCCAACAATGACGCGTGTCCCCCTGTTCGACGCAACCATCTCAAGCACCACCTAGCCACCTGCAACTATGTGCAGTGTATGCATTATGCCGCCGGATGTACATTCAAAGGCACGAAAAAACAACTAGACGACCATTTGGGAGTCTGCGGCTACGAAAGTATCAAAGACTACATTGTACGAAACGAAGAACAAATGAAAGTACTCAAATATCAATTAGAAGATAAACATCAAGAAAATGTTGACCTTAAAAAGAATATTACTCAACTTTGTTCAAGAATTGGTAAAATCAAATAGATAGAAAAACAAACAAATCACACAATACTTATATATTTATTTATTTCTTTCTATTTTTAGATAACTTTGAATCATTAATTAAACATTTACAAGCATCATTGGAAGCAACACAAAATCAATTATTGGATACGATCAATGATTTGAATATACTAAAAAAGAATACAAATATGGAGGGATTGGAAATTGTGGATTTAAAGATACCACAGTTAAAATGCAAGGGTACGTTTACGGGACACAATGGACCTATATGGTGTATGACAGTTACGAGTGGATTGTTGATTAGTGGGTCGTCTGATACGACTGTCAAGATTTGGGATTTGGTTACGTTAAAGTGCAAGACGGTATTACAAGGACATACGGGGATTGTACATACGCTAGCAGTATGTGGAAACCGTTTGTTTTCAGGGTCGTCAGACCAAACCATTAGAGTATGGGATCTAGAGACATACGAGTGTCTATCGGTTCTCACTGACCACGACAATACTGTATGTGCGTTGGTTGTGGCTGCTGGACATCTCTTTTCAGGTTCCTATCAACATATTCGTGTTTTCGATCTTGAAACCTATGAATGTGTTCAATCACTCAAAGGACATAATCACTGGGTACGTGCACTCACCGTATCGGGTGGTTACCTCTATTCGGGTGCCTATGACGTTGTTAAAATCTGGGATTTGGGTAATTTCGAGTGTGTTCATACTATTCAGGGTGGCTGTGGTAGTATCTATTCGTTGGCCGTCTCTAATCGTCGTCTGTTGGCAGGTACCTATGAAAATACAATCGTCGTACTCGATCTCGACAATTACCAAATCATTCAAAAATTGGGCGGTCATATCGGCGCCGTTTACACGTTGGCTGTCTCTGGACAGCGTTTCTTTTCCGGTTCCTATGATTCCACCATCAAGGTTTGGGATCTAAACTCTCTTATTTGTGTTCAAACTTTAAATAGACATACCTCATCTGTTGAATCGGTCGTTGTTCATAGTGGTTGTCTATTTAGTGCTTCTGCTGATAATTCAATTAAAGTTTGGAGATAAAAAATAACAAACAAAACAACAAAAAATAACACAACAAAACAACAACAACAATATTGTAATATTATATAAAACACAAACCAAGAGGAAATTTTATTTATCTTTTTTTTTCCCCCAAATAAAAAAATTATATCTCTTTGTATCATTTAAATTTGATTTGTTTTGTTTTATAATATTAATTAAATTAAATTATTATTATTTATTATATATTATTTATTGATTTATTTACAAAATGTATTTATCTAATGATGGTAGATTGGTTGGTTGGTTAAGAAACTGTTTGCCTTGGTTTACTACCCAATGACAATGTAGTTTTACTGTTTGGTTTGGTATTATTAGTAGTTGACGTAGTCAAGGTTATAGTGTTATTATGATTAGTATTATTTAATATTTGATTTTTTGGTGGAGTTGATTTAATTCTTAATGCAATATTTTTCTTGGTGTTTGGTGATTCTTCATTGTTACTATTTGGAGGTGATGGTGATGGAGTTGATGTTGCAGGTGGTGAAGGAGAAGAGGTAGCTAATTGTTGAGTTGGTGATTCTTGTTTCACATCCATACTATCCAACATATCATTATCTTGAAAATCAAATTCTAAACTATTATTTTGTTGTTGAGGTTCTTGTTGTTGTTGTTGCTGTTGTTGTTGAGGTTGCATTGGTACTTGTTGAATTGTTGGTATTGGTAAAACTATTTTTTGAGCTAATGGTTGTTGTTGTTGAGCAGGAGGTCGCTGAACAGGTGGAACTGCTGGTGCTGCTGCCGGTTGTTTAGCAGGAACAGTATTATTAATATTATTATTATTATTATTATTATTATTATTATTATTATTATTATTTGGAGTATAAGATTGAGAATAATCATGTTTAACAGTAGGCACATGATGAGAAAGTCCAAGACCAAATCTAGCACCAAATAGTTTGAGACATCGTTTTATACCATCACTGATGGCGCATTTCTTGCCATTGTCAATAGTCAGTTGATGTGGATCGGCCGGGTTGATTGAAGTGCGGTTGGCACTACCAATATCCTCTCTATATGATCCATCTTTTAACGTTAATCGAACAAGTGCACTACACGAAATAACTAGTGTGCCGTCTTCATGTAGTGTCGATGAACTTAGACACACATCTTTAACCTGAAATGACCATCCATCTCTTCCAAATGCTTCATTTGCATCTCTTGTAATATCATCAATCTTTACATATGATATATCACCTAAAGACAAAATAAATATTAGTTTTAAACATCATCTCTTTGTTGTTTGTTGTATTTATCTTTTGCTTACCTATTTTATTACCCCAATTATTAGAGTATACTTTTGGAGGTTTCAAATTGAGTAGCTTTGCAATCTCTTCTCTTTGTTTATCTGTAAATTGTCTGTTACCAAAAAGTGGAACATTATTCAATGCCGTTTGGTGTTGGTATACTATATGTTTGCTTGCATCTGCTCCCATATCAACTACTGTCATTTGTTGTTGTTGTTGTTGCGTGTCATCTGTTGTTGCTGCAACTTGATTATTATTATTATTAGTGTCCATGACAATGACTATGACTATGACTTATCTATTTGTACAAACAATAAATAATTATAGAAAAAGAAAAAAGATACAATTAATTCGCAAAGAGTGTGATAATTTGCAAATTCTTGGAATAAATTTGTTGGCTTAAGTTCAGTCGTAGAAGTATCTTCAAAAGAGTATACCAACGACTACAGCACTCTTTACCTTCAACTATGTATCGATCTATATCTAATGTGTGATGGTATCATAACAAACTATATAAACATGTTATATAGTTGGGAGTTATTTATTTGTTTGTCAAAGATAGAAGGTCATAAAAAAAGAAGTGTAATTTTTGTTTCCCACCAAACAGAGATGAGGGACAAACATTTAATTAAAATTACAGGTTTTATGATCATTCATCAATATATTTGTATTATTACTTTTTATTATTCATTCGTCTTTTCAGAGATAATATAGTTCGTTAGTATATATATATATAGAGAGAGAGAGAGAGAGAGAATGGGAGTATTTTATTCATTTTGTGGAGGGGAGGGAAGAAAGGGTAACGGTATCAGTAATACAGACAAGGCTGTATTGGATTTAAAGGTTCAAAGAGACAAGTTAAAACAATATCAAGTTCAAGTATGTGATGTTATATATAATATATGATTGATTAGTAAAAGTATACTTACTTTGCTTTTATTTTTAGATTAATATAGTAATACAAAAAGAAATAGAGATAGCTAAAGAATGTACAAAGACAAAGAAGAGGAATCAAGCATTATTGGCACTAAAGAAGAAAAAATACCAAGAGAAACTGTTGGATGATACCAATCAAAATCTTATAAACATTCAAGAGATGATATCAAAGATTGAGTTGGCAGAGTTCCAAGTCAAGATATTCGATAGTCTCAAGAAGGGTAACACGGCACTCAACGCACTTCAAAAGGAAATGTCTCTCGAAGATGTAGAGAATCTAATGGCAGAGACTGAAGATGCTATTGCCTATCAAAATGAAATATCAGCTGCCCTCGCTGGTCAATTCTCACCAGAGGAAGAGGATTCACTCTTGGAAGAATTGGAAGCAATGGAGAAACAAATGACTCAATTTCCAAAAGTACCAAACAACAAATTGGATGTCAATCTCGATCATATTATTCCAGGTAAGAATAATAATATTATTATCCCTTCTCTATATTACTATATATATTTATATTTATAAATCTATCTTATTTATTTATTTATACATCTCAAAATCATCATCAAACTAATCAAATAGTTAAATTACCATTATTTTCAGCTGTAGAACAACCAACTAAACAAGCAGTTCAAATTGGTGGTGAAAGTAGTACTAGTACTACTAGTACGAGTAAAGTTGAAGTTGAACCAGAACAACTTGTAAATGTAGAAGATATTAAACCAATTGATGTTGATCAAGATGACGATATTCAAGAAGAAGAACAAGAAGAAGAAGAAGAAGAGGAAATTGAAAAAGTAGTAAAAGAAAAACCAAAGAAACAATTGGAAATGGCAATGTAATATAATGAATATAGGATTGACAAAAATAAATTGTCACACAAACACATATGTACAGGTTTAAAAAGAAATATTTATTGGATCGCGATTTAGTTTGTTTTATTTTGGAGATAATAGAATAAGAGTAATTTCAGGATCACAAAATAATCTTAGTGGTGGGTGAGTAGCAAGACCACGATTAACATAAAGATTAAAAGGTCTTTCAGGTCTAGTTTCTTGTTCCAATATATGATGACCTCTTGCCCATTCCCAATTCTTTACCACTTTTCTTGGATAGGATATTCTGACTAGTTCACGTTTTGGTAGAATACGAGTCATCAATTTATCTAGTATTGGAAGAATTGGTCTACCATTTGGAAAACAAACTTGACCACCATGTGTATGTCCAGATAGTTGAAGATCAATCTCAAACTCGACCAAATCTTTTGCACTGTCTGGATTATGTGACAGGACAATACGAGGACGATTAGGTTCCTCCAACGACTCTTTGACTTGATCCACCAAAAAGTTGACACGTTTTCTACTATAATCACCAAGTCCTACCAATTGAATACGTCCTTTTCCCTTTCCCATTGGATATGCCACTTGATTATGTAATAGTGTCATATCGGTCTTTTCAAATGCCTTTGTTATCAATTCAGCTCCATGACTTGTTTTATAATCATGATTACCAAGTATATTATAAATTCCATATTTTGCCTAAAAAAACATGAACAAACAAATGTTAATAATCAATAATTATACTAATAATAATAGTTTTGTTTGTTTGTTTGTTTTACCTTTAATCTATTTAAATGTTTATCAATTAATTGATGTATTGGTTCAGGTTCTCTTTGTACAAAGTCACCAGTGATGACGATGATATCGGGCTTCAAAGCATTCACTTTTTCAATAACTCTGTCTAGGAATGCATCTTGGATACGAATGGGTAGATGGTCATAATGAATATCGGATATCTGAACCATAGTGACTCGTTCCTCTAAATGTTCAAGTTCAAGTGCCAACGTCTCTACCTGTAATCGTTGTGGAAACATCCATTTAATCACAGCTATTATATATTTTAATACAAATCTAATACATTTTTCTATTATCTCTTTCATCCTCTCCCTCTCTCTCTTAATTATTATATTACAACTAGTTAAATAATAAACAATGCAAATGCTGCAAAGTAGGTGTATTTATAATTCGTCTTTTTCAATGACTCATCTTGATCACCCCCAAATTAAATTAAAAAAAAACAAGTAAATCACTTTCATTTAATAAAAGATACATACAAATAGATAAATAGATAGATAGATTACCTGATGATCTAGATATATAAAGAAGAATACTAAGAAGAAGAAGAAGATAGTAGAGTAGTTGTAAATAGAATAGAATAGAGAATATAAGATATATAAAATGAAAAGACAAGGAGGAGGAGGAGGAGATAAAAAGAGAATATATACATATAAATCACCATGGACTATATATGGATTGAGTTGGTGTACAAGATTAAATCAACCTTTTAGATTGGCAGTTGGATCATTTCTAGAAAACTATTCAAACAAGGTTGAAATTATACAGCTCAATGAAGAGTCTGATCAGTTTGAAGTACTATGTGGCTTTGAACATCCATACCCACCAACAAAATGTATGTGGATACCCGACAAGAATGCAAGTAGACCCGACTTGTTGGCAACTACCGGTGATTATCTACGTCTATGGGAATTTCAATCATCTACCAAAGAATCTTCAAAACCTTCAATACGAATGAAAACTCTATTATCTGCTGTAAATATATAGAATAATATAGAATATAAGAAATAATAATAATAATAATAATAATGATCTATTCTAACCTTACCTTTCTATTTCTTTTCTTATAGAATAAGAATAGTGAATTTTGTGCACCATTATCATCATTTGATTGGAATGAAACAGATCCATCATTATTGGCAACATCAAGTATAGATACAACATGTACAATTTGGAATATAGAAACTGGACAACCGAAAACACAATTGATAGCACATGATAAAGAGGTATTTGATGTAGCATTTGCAAGAGGTGTTGATTTGTTTGCATCGGTCGGTGCCGATGGATCACTTAGAATGTTTGATCAGAGAAACTTGGAACACTCCACCATTATATATGAAACACCCAAATTTACACCATTGCTACGGTTGTGTTGGAACAAACAGGATCCAAACTACCTAGCCACCATTCAACAAGACAGTCCAACCATTATTATATTAGATATACGTGTCCCGTCGGTACCGGCCGCAGAACTAACCTTTCATAGGGGTCCTGTCAACGGTATTGCTTGGGCACCTCATTCAAGTTGTCATATTTGTACAGTAGCCGATGACAGACAAGCTCTCATTTGGGATTTATCATCTCTGCCAAAACCAATCGAAGATCCACTACTAACCTACGGTGCCGAAGCTGAAATCAATCAATTAAATTGGTCTTCAAGTCAACCTGATTGGATTTCAATTGCTTTTGGTGAAGGTTTACAAATTCTAAAAGTTTAAAATAAACATAGTAGCAAAGTACTATATTAATCAAAAAAAAAAAAAATTAAAAAAATAGAAAAAAAAAAAAAAGTTGATGTTCAACACACAAAAGGTGAAAGATTGATGATCAATGTTAATTTAATTTAAAAAACAAGAGAAAGTTATTATATAATAACCTTTATATATATAAAAAAGATAAGACAAGATAGAGAGAGATAATATAATTTAAATTTTAGAAATGACAAGAGATGAAACAAAAGGAATTAAATCATATTATGTATCAAAGATTGAAGAATTAGAGATTAGAGTAAATGAAAAGTCACAAGATCTTAGAAGATTGGAAGCACAGAGAAATGAATTAAATAATCGTGTTAGAATGCTTAAAGAGGAGCTTCAATTGCTTACTAATCCAGGTTCGCATGTAGCAGAGGTTGTAAAGTTGATGGGTAGAAACAAGGTGTTGGTCAAGGTCAACCCAGAAGGAAAGTTTGTCGTAGATATCGACCCATCGATCGATGTCTCCAAACTCACTCCATCCACCAGAGCTGCTTTAAAGCACGAATCCTACACACTTCATCGTATCCTACCAAACAAGATCGATCCATTGGTCAGTTTGATGAAGGTCGAAAAGATACCAGACTCTACCTATGATATGGTCGGTGGTTTGGACAAGCAGATTAAAGAGATTAAAGAGGTTATAGAGTTGCCAATCAAACATCCAGAGTTGTTTGAAAGTCTTGGTATCGCTCAACCAAAAGGTGTATTATTATATGGCCCACCAGGTACCGGCAAGACTTTGTTGGCTCGTGCCGTCGCTCATCACACAGATTGTACATTTATTAGAGTTTCTGGTTCAGAATTGGTTCAAAAATATATTGGTGAAGGTTCTCGTATGGTTAGAGAATTATTTATTATGGCTAGGTAAATAGAAACAAAGAATAATAATAGTATTAGAAAAACTTACTTACTTTCTTAATATTTGTTTATTTATTTTAATTTTTTTAGAGAACATGCACCAAGTATTATTTTTATGGATGAAATTGATTCTATTGGTTCATCTAGAATTGAAAGTGGATCTGGTAGCAGTGATAGTGAAGTACAAAGAACAATGTTGGAATTATTGAATCAATTGGATGGTTTTGAAAGCACAAAGAATATCAAGGTTTTAATGTGTACCAATCGTATTGATATTTTGGATCCAGCTCTTCTTCGTCCAGGTAGAATTGATAGAAAGATTGAATTCCCAAATCCAGGTGATGCTGTAAGGAATAGGAAAAAAAAAGAAAAAAAAATAGAAAATATGAATGAAATAATATTAATCATTTATTATTCTTTTTTATTTATTTATTTATTTTTTAGGGACGTTTGGATATTGTAAAGATTCATTCAAGAAAAATGAATTTGACAAGAGGTATTAACCTTAAAAAGATTTCAGACAAGATGAATGGTGCTTCTGGTGCAGAAATCAAGGCTGTTTGTACTGAGGCTGGTATGTATGCTCTCAGAGAAAGAAGAATCCATGTCAGTCAAGAAGATTTTGAAATGGCTGTATCAAAGGTCATGAAGAAGGATTCCGAACAAAACATGTCTCTCAACAAATTATGGAAGTAAATCAAAAAAAAAAAGAAAAAAAATCAAAACAAAACAAATCAAATCAAAACAAATCGAATTGTTTACTTTTATATATATAATACAAAATTGGAAATAATAATAAAAAATTAAATTAAATGTAAAAAAAATCAACAAAAAAAAAAAAAGAGAGAGAGGATCAAAAGGATTCTCTGTTTCACAATCATTTCAAAAAAAAAAACAAACCAAACCAAACAAATAATCTCTTTTTGTTGGAAAGAATGAATTGTTGTCCTAATAATGATTATCAACAAAGACAAAACGACTTATTGGTCCACCCATACAAGGGCAAGATTCAAACATCTTACAAGGTTATATTGGTTGGTAGTCCAAATGTTGGAAAATCAACGATTGTAGATAGATTAATTGGCAAACCTATCAATGCTCCATATACAACTCCTACCATTGGCATTGATTTTTCAAAGATCACAATACATATAGATCAATTACCAGTTAACATTTTGATTTGGAATGGTGATGTATGTAAACAAAAGGTATCTTTACAATATTTATTATGTTTAAAAATATTAATTATAATATTCATTTAAAGTCTGGACAAGCAAGATTTAAAAGTACACATCCACCATTATTTTATAGAGGAGCAGATTTTGTATTTTTGGTTTATGATTTAAATGGTTCAAATCAATCATATTTATATGATTCCTATAAAGAACATATTGAACAAAATCCACTCCTTGATCCTAAAACAAGTAGTGTTGTTATCATTGGAAACAAATTAGACCTTGTGCAACGATTCAGCTTTTTCAAAGATGGATCAATAACATCATTTGAAAAAGCTGAATCGTTTGCACAAGAAAAAGGATGTAGTTATTTCGCAGTCAGTGCCGTCAATGGTCAAAACTTTGAATTACTTCATGATCATTTATATAATAATATTAAACAAAAAATTGAAGAACAAAAGGAATTAATAAATAATTAAATAATAATAAAATATAATAAAACAATACCTTTGGGATGACTCTCTCTGTTTTCTAAAACTACTTGAGATTCTCTCTTGAAAAACTCATTCATTTAAACAGTAAAACCTAATGATCATGGTCAATTCATAATTTAAAAGATAGAAAGAAGAAGAAGAAGAAGAAATAATGGTTTGTGTAGATTGTACATTATCAACCAAGCAAATAGATCGAATTAGAACAAATCAAAACAATCAACACTTTGGTGGTATAGATGGTTGTAAATCTTCGTTTAAAGATAGATCAATGTTCAAGTTGATTTTACTCGGTGATCTTGATGCAGGAAAATCAACACTAGAGAAACGATTATCTGGTCAACCAGTCGATAGAATTGATTACACTTCAATATTCTCTCAATTCCAACTTGTATTAAATAATAATAGTCAACAACAAAAAACGATTGCTGTTTGGGATACTGTATGTCTATTTATACATCGATAAATAGATAGATTATAACTTTTGGATATCAATATCACTAACAAGTATATACTTGTATGGGTATTTATTTATATATTTAATGATATTTAATAGGCAGGACAAGAAAAATTTAATAGTATTCCACCATCATATTATAGAGGAGCAGATTTTGTATTATTGGTTTATAACATTGTTGGTTCATCAAAGAGTTTAATGTCTAGTTTGTCAATTTGGTTCGACTCTATACACAAATATCAATCTCAAGAGACTGACCCACCAAACATTATCATCATTGGCAATAAATTGGATCTAGTCAATAGCGAACAAGGCAAAGAGAGATCCATAACATTTGAACAAGCACAATCATTTGCCAACGAAAGAGGTTGTCAATACTTTGAAATTAGTGCTTTCAAAGGTGACAATTGTCAATCTATAAATGATTATATGATAGATTATATTCAACAAAAAATTATCATTGAAGAAGAGAGGGAGGAGGGTCTTGGAAAATAAATAAAGATGTCTTGCTTTCAAAAGATCATCCATTTCTTCAAAAAAGAGATATTTATATTCATAGAGAATAAAACCATGATGTTTTAAAACATCATCAAATCTATTGTCAATCAATTGATTGTAAAAGCAAGCATAAGCAACAACTAAACGAAAGAAGAAATGAGTAAAAGTACAAAAGATCAAGTTGAACAAATTCCAAAGGAAAAGAATTATTATGGTAGTCCACAATTCAAAGGTAGAACTCTATTCAAGGTGGCAATAGCAGGTGATATTGATACTGGTAAATCAACAATAGAGAAACAATTAACTGGTCAACCAGTAAATAATGCTCCCGGAGGTAGATATGCAGGTCACTCAAATCTTACACTCAATATAAACAAACAAGAGGTTAATGTTCATTTTTTTGATTCTGTATGTATTATATTAAAAGTTAATAATATTTGTTGTTGTTTTTGTTGTTGTGCTAACATATCTATCTATCTTTTATAGCTTGGACAAGAAAGATGTGGTAAACTTCCAACAGCCTATTATAGATCAGCAGATTTCATCTTTGTCGTCTATGATATTACATCAAATGTTTCATTTACCAATTTGGTTGGTTGGTTAGCTGCAGCACAACAACCACAAATAAGTACAGTCACACCCAATATCCTCATTATTGGTAATAAATTAGATCTAGTCAAAGATGGGTCTTCTGGAAGAGAGAGAGCCATCACATTTGAACAAGCACAAAAATTTGCCAATCAAAAAGGTTTACAGTATCTAGAGATTAGTGCATTCAAAGGTGATAATTGTCAATCTATTAAAGACCATCTAACTAATTACATTCAACAAAAAATGAATGAACAATAAAATTAAGAATATGGAATTAATAAATAATAATAAATTAAATTAAATTGTAAAAATCAAGATCATCAAAAATGACACAATTGCACAGGTCAAAAGCAAGCATGCTTATTAACACAACATAAAAATAATGGTGATCATTTAACAACTAAAAGAAAGAATAAGAAGAAGAAATGAGTTGTTTTGGTGGTTGGTTGAATAAAGAACAAGAACAAACAAGAATCCTAAAGGAAAAGAATTATTTTGGTAGTACTCTATTCAAAGGTAGAACCAACTTTAAATTAATATTGGTTGGAGATTTGGATAGTGGAAAGACAACGATAGAGAGAAGACTTGCTGGTGAAGCAGTATCTGAAACTTATGAACCGAGATGTTCAGAATTCTCTAATCTCATACTTCCAATCAATGATTATCAAATTAAGGTTTGTCTTTGGGATACTGTATGTAAAACTAAACCAACCTATTATTATCATTTATTAATTTATTCATTTTATTCATTTAGATGGGACAAGAAAGATTTGTAAATAGATTACCAACACCATATTATCGTGGATCAGATTTCATCTTTATGGTTTATGATATAACATCTTTGACTTCATTTACAAATTTATCTTTAAATTGGTTGAGTGCGGTGACACAACAACAAAAACAACAAGCCAATGTTAATTGTGTCACTCCCAATATTCTAATTATTGGTAATAAATTGGATCTATCAGATAAAAGAGTAGTATCATTTGAACAAGGGCAAACATTTGCACAAGAAAATGGTTGTGAATATTTAGAAATTAGTGCATTCAAAGGTGACAATTTCCAATCTTTAAAAGATCATATAATCAATTATATTCAACAAAAAATCAAAATAGAATCTGATAATTTAAATAAATAAGAGAGAGTAGTTTTTATTTTATATTTTGTTATATTTGTTTTGATTATTTGTTTTGATTTTAAATTTCAAAGTTTAATGAACTAATAAATGAACATAATTATTAACTTGAGTTGTTTTGGTAGTTAAACTTTCATGGATTAGACCAATGAATTTTTCACGAGCCTTTTCATCACTCAATTCCAACGAGAATGATTCTTGAAGATAATTTAAATCGTCCATGGATTGAAGTTCGGGGATACCTGTAGAGACCATCATGGCAAAGAGGTTCATAAAGAGTTTGGCGTGTCTTCTGAGAATGTTGTAGGCTGTGCAGCAATAGTTTACAAACTGTACAAACTTGGGACTCTCCTTGCCACCCATGACATAACAGAAATCGGGTGTAAAGACAAATGGAGCACGTTCTCTTTTGAATCCAAACTTTTTCTTGTAGTTGCCAAGGAAATGACCAAAATCAATGTGGAAGAGACGTCCCAACTTGGTGCACATGAGATTGTCGTTGTGACGATCACCAATACCGAGCACATAGGTGGCCACACAGTACCCGGCACACGAGAGGATAAACGTGTCGACGGCCTTTTGGTACTCGGCGTCGGTCTTGTTGTGCTCGTGCAGCCAGTTGGCAAGTGGGTCGAGCTTAAAGGCGGCGGTCGCGCCACCAGCCGTTTTTTGGATACGCGCGGTTGTTTCAGAGTTGAGAACGACCTCGATCATGCCAATCATGTCGCCAGTAGCAATACAGCCGTATGGCGAGAGCTTGAGATCGAGTCCCTCCTTTTGCCAGAGTTTATCCATCAAACGGATCATTTGTAGTGTCAACATGTCTTGACGCAAATCGTCACCAACCTTGAAGATGATTTCAATGGGTTCGGCACCCATATCAATATTGGTAAACGACAGTTTAAGTGGTAGTTTCTTTGAATCCATATACTTGCACTTGCTCGTGATAAGTCCGTTTGATTCAAAGCGTGGGTTGAGTGTGATCTGGAATCGCTTGGGCCAGTCAAATGCCTCGAGTTCCCTGATCATCACCTCGCGACGATCCTGGTCTTTAAGAGGTTTGATCTTTTTGGCAACTTCGGTCAATCCGTCAATCACCTGTATTTGACGCAGCAACTCCTGACGGTGCGTACCACACGAGTGTAAATACGACTCGAGGTAAAGTCCGAATCGCTCAGCAACACCTTCGACATGCAAGTCTGACTTGAGGTACCAAAAGAATGAATGACCAATCGAGCGGTTGAGAATGGCCTTGCGGAGGAGGAACCGTGCCAACATATTGTCATGGTACGGCTCGACCTTTAGAATCTGAATGAGTTGTAGTAAAATGTCGAGCAACTCTTCTTCGGGCAAGTCATCGAGACAGCTAACAGCATACTCGCGTACGTTTCTGTCAGCATGTTTGGCGTCGAGTAGCTCGAGTGCATCGTACGCCTTGAGACGTGGCCAACGGTCAATAAACGAGTGAATCTCGTCGACACAGGCTGGGTTGTTCCATGGTACACTGAGCATGAGACGTGGAAGTACCTGTGGGAACAACATGGCATAGTGACGAAGTGCCCACAATTGTTGGTACTTTTCGTGTGCCATCTCTGACAATGGATCGAGTTTGATAACATACTCGAAAAAGTCACGCATGTCCTTTGAGTTGATGGTAGGTGGTTCAACATTGGGTACATGATGATTGATGGAAGGAAAGATGACTGGCAATGCAAATTGCTCAAACTCTATAAACAGCGAGACGGCAGTCGAGCTCTGAGAGTTGGCAACACACGTTGCTATTGGATTGGCTACATCATCTGGCCACAACTTTAACTCTAGTATACCATTTCGAAGTTGATAGTTGTAATCACACAATGTAAGGTTAACCCATCCAATTGGGAAATCTTTCTTTAAATCTGGTTCCATTTCATTGTTGTTATTAGTCGATGAAGAAGAAGATGATGAAGATGAGGATGAAGTTGTAGAGGAAGAAGAGGATTTAGTTGCATACAAACTAATGCAAAGTCGAGTCTCTTTTGGTAAATTGGAATAATCCATATTTGTAAAAATAACCTGTTCATTCCATTGAACATTAAGTGTTGAAATATTTGTAGATGAAGTAGATGATGATAGTGAAGAATTTGATTGTACATTATTATTATTAGTATTGTTATTATTTTGATTATTATTATTAGTATCTAGATCTTTTAAAGATAAACTACTATTTGTATGTAGTAAAGTAGGAGGAGAAGAAGAGGATGATGAATTTAATGATACATTATTATTATTAAAGAATGAAGGTGGGATGATTGGTTCAATGCCAGTAGATGTTTGGCCCAAACATTCCAAACCATGATAAAGTGACATGGATACAATGACTGAGATATTATCATCATCCTTGTTTAAATAGGATGTTGGAATATTATATGCACCCAAAACCTTAATCTTTAATGGTTTCTTTATATCTCTAATCAATATATGTGTCAAATCTTCCCAATGTAATGATTTTGATGAATATTGTCCAACTTCAAAATTAATTGGTAATTCTGGTGCAAACTAAAAGATAAAGAAATAATTAAGTAAAAAATATATCTATTTGGGTTTATATTATCTTTTTATATTTACATTAAATCTTTGCTTAAAAGGTGGAACATCCAATTCAATTTTTGGACGTTGAATTAATACTAGTTGAGTTTTAGTTCCTTGTAATATACATTTACGAATATATTCAAATGTTTTAAGGTCATGAGGACCATGAACATAATCTGAACATCCCATTACTTTTAATATAAAATCACTAGATGTTACATTTGGTAAATGTTTTGAATAATTTTTAAAAAATAATCTTTCTAAAAATAAATCTGCTGTTTCTCCGCCTATAAAAAGAAATAAATAAATAAATATATTAGTAAACTATTTAAAATATATTTATATATTACACATACTTTCCAATTCTAAAGTTTTAGTAACTTGAAGTATAGGTAAAAATACAGAAATTAATATTTTTCCAGGAACAAAAGGTAAAGGTAAAGGTGAAAGTCTAACAGAGAGTGAATGACAAACTGCACCTTTGATATCACCCAACAGATCATATCTTAATCTTGCAGCAACTCTTCTAAACGAATCTACTTCTTCACCTTTCCAACTAGTTGATTTTGGTAAAATCTTTGTTATAATTTCATAATCTGCTCCCGACAACTCCTCCTTTGGATGTGCATCATAATAATTTGATTTTTCTACCAATTTTAATTTTGGTATTAATGATCTTGCTCTTTTTTCTAATATATATTCACATTTGTTACTGGTAAAAGGTTAAAATAATAAGTATAAAAAAAGAAATGTATAAATTATTATTTGAATATTTACAGAGAAAGAGATTTTTCCAAAGGACGATTTTCAATATCCATAATTAAATAAGAATCTGATTCAAATTTTTTAATTTTAACTGTACCATTGTTGTTGTTGTTGTTGTCTTTTGTATCTGGTGATAGAGATTGTTGTGATTGTTGTGATTGTTGTTGTTGTTGTTTTGAAAGTTGAATACGTTGTGATTCCAAAACTTGCATTAATTTCTCTTTGACAGATTCAACTGTTTCATTTCCTTTACATGGTAAAGAGACTGATGATTGATTTGGAAGGATGAATTGAATTTGGAAAGATGCTTGAAGAGCTTTCATTCTAAGTGCTGTTGTTGTATTCATCATCATCATCGATGAAGAAGAAGAAGAACCAACTGGTGGTGATGAAGACAAGAATGAAGAGTTGGAAGAGGAAGAAGAGGATGATTGGTTGTTTGAACGATCAGGAGTAGATGATGAAAAGTGTTCTATGGATACAATCTCCTTGCCAGTGTTGGAAAGGATGATATTTTTGAGATATTGTTTACAGTCGGATGAAATGGCAAGAGGTGGTAGAGTGGGTTTGGCCACCACCGCAACAGGCGACACTGATAAATAGTTTTGTAGATTAAATGTATTTGCCTCTTTAAACGATGGTAATGATTTATCATCACGTCTACGTCTACCAATAATCTTACTACTTGCTTTTGACGAAGAAGTAGTACTAGTACTTGAAGTAGTAGTACTTATAGTTGTACTAACTACAGCAGCAGCAGCATTTGAATCACCTGAATCATTCTTTTTCCATGGTGTAGTAGAACTCGTAGTGTTGTTTGGTGAAGAAGTAGAAGAGGAGGAATTGAGAATAGAGGAAACAGTTATGACATCATCCTTTTTACGACCATAGAGACGTTCACGTAGTTCATCTTGAGTACTTGACAATTCAATGTCGTCTAGTTGAATGACACGCTCTCGACGGGTCATTTCAAAGTCTGCCTTTTTGCGTTCATTCTCCTTTTTGAGGTATGCGATTCGTTCGACGATCGATTGATGTGTATGAGGGTTGATCTTTGTAAACGATGCAGTGTCGGGTGTCTGAAACTTGGCAGATATCTCCTTGACCAATCCTTTCTTTTCCAAGACCAACAACGATCGATCATACTTTTTAGATTGTGCCAATGCATGAAACTCTAGTTTCTTTGTCTTGTAGATTTGTTTCAATTCTTCATCTCCACTACTACTATCAGTACTTGAATTTAACTTTGGTGACTGTTGTTGTTGTTGTTGTGTTGATCCATTCTCTTCATTCTTACTACTACTACTTGTATTATTATTGTTGTTATTTATCATCTCTAAAGATGTAGTAGGTTTTGGTGTCATTTACACACAATACTCTATTATAATACTCTATTCTTTTCTCTTTCTTTAAATAAATAATAAATAATAACAAATAATAAATAAATAATGTACAAATGTAGGTAGATAAAGATAGATAGTATATATATATAGTAGTTTATGTTTGTGTGTGTGCTAAGAGAGAGTACAATGAAAAAACTAAGGGTAGCAAAGCTAAAGAGGTCAAAGAGGGGGTTGAAAGCAAAGGGGTGCAAAAAAATCTAATGATTGGTGCTTCATTAAAAAAAACAAAAAAAAGCTCATGTCAACGCCATCGATCCAATTCCCCCATCTTTTTTGTTTTGGATTGTCGTCGTCATCGGATGTATTATTATTTGATGAATCTAGATGTTTTTGCAAAATGATCAACAAATAATATTATTTATTTATTTATTTAATTTGGGGGATAAAAGATATTAATTATTAATATTAATGTATCTATCACACAATTTACACTGAAGTAATGGTGATTATTAAATTAATTAATTATGGATGGGGATGATTGATTAATTATTATTATTATAATTGTTTTAGTTATATATAACTATACGTATCGGTTTGGTGTCGGTTGTTTTTGATTTGTTATTTTGTTTTTGTTTATACAGTGATTGAAGGAGTAGAGGTGGTATTGGAGGTGGAAGAAGTGTCGGTGATGGTACGACCGGTAGCTTCTTGGTACTTTTTCAACAATACCTTTTTGTATTCGACTTGGTTGTCCCAGATAGAGGCGGCATAAGAGTTTAGAGGTGATTCATTGTTTGGTTCACCCAACAATGATTGGATGGACAGTAGCAGCGTTCTGACATTGTAGACTGGTGTCCACTTGTCTTTGAGAATATCGAGACAGATGTTACCCTGTACATCGACGTTGGGGTGGAAACAAGCAGTCTCAAACTTGACAACAGGTGGCTTGAATGGATAATCGGTTGGGAATTGCAATGACATCTTGTACTCTAAATTCTCATACACTGTTCCTGATGCTCCTTGAATCGTTCCCACCCAATTAAATATATTATCACTATTTGGGAATGCTGATATTCCTGTTATTCCTGCCATCTAAAAAGAAAGAATCAAACAAGAAATAGATCAATCGATCAATCAATCAATCAAACAAACAAACAAAAGTAATGATATTAATATTGATCAAGCAAGATGTATCTACATCTCTCTATCTCTAACATACCATAAGACCCATCAACTCGGACTGTAGACGTTTAGTAACTGAATGTGAATCTGTCTTTTGTGCCATCTTTTATAAACTACTATTAACTAACTAACTAACTAACTCTACAACTTAAAATGAATGACTATTTATAAAACACACTGCTGAGCAAAGCAAAGACAAACAAAGATAGGTGAATTGAGATGAAATTCATGTTTTTAAAACTTGGCGCCAACAATATTGTTAATATTAGTATTGTACAATACAATGTTACCAAAGATGGATGGCAACCGTTGTGGATGTTGAGAAATAAATAATATTAATATTATTTGTTTGTTTATTTGTTTGTTTGTTATTTATTATTATTATTATTACAAATACTTCTATTTATTTTGTTTGTTTGTTTGTTTAGGTAACTTTTTTAGTAGTTGATCTATTTCTAATATTTGGATGTTCTTGTTGAGCTCCATTCTCTTCATCTGAATCTTCTTCATCAGAATAGACAACTTTGTTCTTTGGTAAAGGTTTTCTTGGTGTATTGTTTTGACTGAGCCAAGTATTGATTGGTTTGAGTAGGTCAGTTGCCATTTCACGCTTAAAGTAGAGTGTGTCGGTGAGCTTGATGTCTAGGTTATCGACGGTATTGAGAGCCAACTTGAACAGTTTCTTCTTTTGATGCAACTCTTCGACAATGACACACGATGCACAACGATCGAGATCGATGACTATCTCGTTGCCAGGAGCACCTCTGATCACTTCGATGATGTTTCTATAGGCGATCGATACACGGTTGTTCACACTGTCAAACAGTACACGATACTCGTCACGTACATTCAACAGTCCGATGAGCATAAACATAAAGAGAAACATAAACTTGCCCAACCAAATGAACCATTCATCGGTCTGATGTATGATAAATGGTACCAGTCCAACCAATGATATCATGAATCCTAATCCCCATTCTTTAGCTCTGTCACTGTGATCAAGTACTAATCTACCTTTTTTATTCTCTGTTATTTTCATTATAATTTAGCAAGTATGTAAGTAAGTAAGTAACTTGTTAAATTATAAATATTTAAAAAATAAAAAAGAAGAAGAGGAAGAGGAAGAAGAAAACAACCACACACATCATCCTCCTCTTTTAATATTATTAAAATAAATAAAAGTGGTCTACTCCACTTATTTTTTAATCATCCATCATTCTTGAAAAACTTGTTATATAAATATGACTAGAGATAATAATAAATATTATTTGTATTTGTATTTGTATATGTATATGTTTTGATCGATTAGATTAATGGGGTTAGGGTTGATAGAACACACGAATCTTGAATCATCCAAATTTCATCGATTGGGTGTTTAGGCCAATGGGATATCTTTGAACCCAAAATATATTATTGATGAAAATATCTTTGTTTTCATTAAAAGTGGGTCCACGCAACAAGGTCTGTTTTCCACCATGGTGAACTTGAACAGCATACTTGGTTTGTTTCTTTAAACCAGAAGTTCATCAAAGATAGAGAGATAGGTAGTGTCGTTTATTATTACTTGATAGTACAACAAACAAACACACTTTTGATTTAATTAAAAAAAAGTTCACACAACACACTTTATTCATCATCATCAATCAACCAACCAAACACACACAAAGTTAGTTTATCTTTATCTTTATTATTTTTTTTTTTTTTGTATATCTATTGATTGATCAATGACCCTCCAATTATAAATCATATATTTAAATATAATATTTAGTGTAGTAATAGTAATACAACAAACTAGTCTTCTTTAGTAGTAGCCATGGGAAACCATTTAGCAAAAGAAAGGATTGATCTGTCACCTAGAACTTTAACTTTGACAAGGTATGATACACTCTCTCTTTATACTATTCCTCCTCTAATATATATATATATATTTACCTATTTACCTATTTACCTATTTACCTATATTTTTTTAGTGTTGATGATAAAGTATGGTTAGGAATACCAGAAGAGAATCTATTCAATGATTCATTTACGATTGAAAAGTATTATATGCTGCAAAGCAAGCCATTATCCAACTTTAGAGATGCCGATCATTTCAAGTCGATAGAGTTGCTCGAGGACTCTTTCTTTCCCTCTTACAAGGATCGCTATCTAGGCGACGAAGAGATCTTTCAATCAGATGGCAGTAGTGATTCTAAATCTGATTCAACTACAACAACGAATCAACCAAACTCATCTCAACAACAACAACAACAACAAGTATCTACACCAAGAGAACAAAATACTAAACCATCAGTACCAACATCTGCTTCAACCATGTCACTTGGAAATACACAACCTCCTCCTACTCCTCTTCCTCATCTTATTGTCCCTAATAATAATACTACAAATCAATCAAATAATAGAAATAATAATAATAATAATAATAGTGGTAATAGACAAAGATCAGGTAGTAATGCTACAATAAATGTAAATAATAATAATAGAGTATCAAACCAGAATAATAATAATAATAATACAAGAAATAGAAATTCAACAACTCAACCAAACAATAATAATAATAATCCTCTTCCATCCACTTCATCCAATACATCATCATCATCATCTGTTCCTCCTGTTACTTCTACTTCTACTACAACAAATTCAACACAACAAAATAATAATTCCTCTTCTTCTTCTTCTACTACCGCTTCTACTTCTACTACTTCTCAAGAATTAAAAAATAATTTAATTAATAATAATAGTTTATATACAAGATATAATGAAGAATTAAAGAATAGACAATCAATACCAGTATATTTGATTGATGAAGATCCATTTCATACGCACGAAATAACGACACAGTTGTTGTTGGAGGATTTGTATACACAATCCAATGTAAATTCCGCATACTATAGTACACTACTTCAAAAGCGTTTGGCCATTCTAAAGAGAATTCATTTGGCACTTAAACGAGAGATTGCTCGTAAAAAGCTCTACGACTCTGTCTATCACTCCAAAGCCAAGACTCGCACGAAAAAGGTTCACACTCCACCCGTATCCATTCGAATAGCGTGTCGATTGTTTATCACTACGTTGCAAGAACAAGTCTTTGAACAACGCATCTCGTTGCCAACTCTTAAATCATTCAACTCTATGATTCGTGACTTGCCACCCCTTTCCATGGCCGGTGAACCAATTGATTGTATCGATAGTCTCACCAAATGGCTTTTATCGGCCATTGCCACCAATGTGGTCACTGTTAAACGAGAGGCTATGGAATCATTAATCTCACTGGGTCTCTCCCAAGGTTCACTCAGTGCTATCCTCTTTTCCCTATCTCTAATTATAATGCCTGAAAAAATTAATCAACCAATTACTCCTTCTCATAATATTAATAATATTAATAGTAATAGTAATAATAGTATACGTAAATCTTCTGAAAAACAAACCGATAATAATAATCCTTCATCAAATTCATCATCATCATCTTTAGAAAAGATAGATGTTTCAATTTCAACATTAAGACTTGTACCATTTATAAGACAATTGGAACAATGGAAAGTAGATTTACCATTGAGCCCGCTGTCAAGAGATTTATTATTTTCAACTTGGCCAATTTTATGGAATAATATGGCCGAGGAGACTGATGATTCATTGGCCTTTTTATCATTACCCAATTCTAATATTGCAACAATTGCATCGGATGGTGAATACATTTACATTCACGATACTTGTGGTTTGGCCAAGATTGGTACTGGGTACAATGGGACACATCAAGGTCGTGTCTATGCCAGAGACCCCAATTGGTTCCCAAAAGAAAAGGGGTGGATGGCAGTCATTGGAACACACATTTACTATCGATCACCATCGACCGAACCCTATTCACTCTATGTAATTGACGCAATGAACCTTCAAGTGTTGGGTGGTGTCAAGCAAGATGGCACTGGAACCTTTCCAAGTACAAATAACCTCACTCTTCCATTTGGTCCGGAAACTACTCAATCAACTGTCGACGAAAGTATATTCCTCACACCTCACTATCAAATTACCACTCGTTCACCAATGTTTACCGATGGTCGTTATCTCTATATCCTTTCACTTCAAAGATTTCATAGTTATAATAACAAACAATTTATTGTTGATATTTATGATCCTCAATCTCAATTTAATCATATTAAAAGAATTGAATTAAGATATCCTGATACTGGTAAATAGAAAAAAATAGAAAAAAAAAAAAAGTAAAAAGAAATATTAATTTTTTTATATTTTTTTTTTAGATATAAATGAAGGATTAGTATTAAATCCAATGATATTAGAATTTGGATCATTTTATACAAATGGACATTATTTAATGGTAGTGATACCGCCATCATTGGGATCTGAAATATTTTATGAATCCAAAGTATTTGTTTGTAGAGCATTTAGTTTGAGTGATGGTACATTGGTTGGCAATTATGGTCTTGAAAATCAACCAATTGGTTTGGCTTCTTGTTATGATTATCTAAACAATGTAGTTTGGAATTATTCAAGTAGTGAATCTGAAATTGGAAAATATGGTAATGAAGGTTTTGGGCCAAAACATAATTTCCCTTCAATTGTAAAATTACAAAATTCAAACAAGTCATCAACAACAACAACAACGAATCAAACTAATCAACCGCAACAACAAAGTCAATCAAATCAAGTTGGAGGTAATAATTCAAGTATAAATACATCAGTAGTTGAAATTGATGATAATTATGGTATGGAACCAAAACAAGTTGTATCAACTATTCTTGGTATATTGTCTCGTTTGGCAGTTGATTATATGCCTTCTGCTTCTGAAGAATCTTCAACTATTCATCATCTTTATAAATTAAATGAATCTTATAGGTAGGTTAAAAAACAAAAAATAACTCATATCAAATACAATTAAAACTTTTTTATTAATTTTCTTTTCCTTTTTTTTTTTAAAGTGTGGAAGTAAATTTTAGTACATTTTCACAATTATATTCAATTTTAAAACATTATCAAAGTCAATTAAGAATTGGATATTCTGTTACATCACCAAAAACAATAGATATACTTAGATGCATCATTTATTGTTTGAGGTTATTAAAAGTCAATTTATTTAGATTGACGAGCAACATTCGATCATTGGAAAGTTCAACTCAACCAGTTCAAGATGCATCAAGGGATTCGCTACTAAAATGCATTGACCAAACCTTTTTACATCAACTCAGAGATTTGTTGCTTGGTTTTATCATTGATGGCATTGAAGGATCAACCAATGAAATTGCCGAATTTCATACCATCATTGAGGAGTCTTGTGAAGTATTGACAATTGGTTTGGATCTATTCTATCCAACTAGTTTAAACAAGGCAAACTTTGTTTTTAATTTATTAGAACAAGTTATGAATCAAAGACAAAATCAATCAACGCAAACCCAATCGACTGTCAAGACAAATAATATGAAATCTAATCAACAAAATAGAGGATATTCAATGTTATTAAATAGTGTATTATCATTATTGGCAAATCATCCAAATGCATCATTTTTTTCGTTGCCTCCACTTTGCTCAGAATTGCCATCACCATTTAGTTTATTTAATTTGGAAACACCAGATAATGGAGCTGGTGAACATCGTCCATTTGACCCAATGAATTTATTTGTACCAATCATAACTCATTTGATTGTAGAAGCACAGGCTACCATCCCCAAACAATCCATTCCACAGCTGTCACGTCAAGATTCCAGTCAACAACATCTTGGATTCTCATTGTATAGTAGTGCACCACCTCCACCTCTTTCAAACAGTTCACCGGCGATGCGACTATTATTGGCAGTCCAAAAAGACCTCATTCTTCGTGTAGAAAATTCCATCGTTGGAACTGATGCACCTAGTCAAGCTCTTGTAGCCTATAGTAGATTGTTGATGGACAAGTGCAAGGAACTGTTATTGGCAGTATTGGATTCAGACCCACAACCACATCGTAGTAATCATCAATCGATTCTATTGACTGATTTCAAGTCTTCAGTAGTTGGTGCTTTACTTCCTTCATTGATCCATTCACTCTTTTTATTTAGTTATCATATTTGGTTGGCAAAAGAGTTACTTCCGTCACTTGTACAATTGATTGGAGTCGTGGATCGTGTTAATCGTCGTCTACCAAAACTTCTTAATCGACCCGAACTTGGTAGACAACCACTTCAAAAGCGTAGTTCATTTGTAGAGGGACCGATTCGTATCAGTGAATCACCTCATCCATACCATCCATTTATGAATAGTCGCCAGTTGGTGTCTATTCCCAATGCCGTCTTTTTGTCACTTGTATTTGACGAGCGTAGTTGTACTAGTTCAAACGAGGATATGCTACAGATTTACGAGTCTGCCGATTCAAAGGAACCACTTGACCAATTCTATCTATCACAATGGCCCAAACGTAGAGTGTTGGTTCCAGGTGACACTGTCGTGTTTCAATTTGTGTCGGGTGGTATCAACCCCCAGACACCATACGCTCACTGGGGCTATAGATGCAATATCATTGGTCATATGCCCAACAGTGACAAGACTAGTCTGCCATGGTCTGCTCATCTCGAAAAGACCATGTGTTGCTTGGCCGGTCGGTTTTCATCGTGTCTGATTAGTGGCGACCCTGTCACTGAACTCGAACGTCAAAACAAGAGTATTCTCGAGAGTGCACTGTTTAGTGGTGGTTGTGAAGAAGAGTATGTTTCACATGTACTCTTTAGCACACCACAACAAGATAATAGCAATAGTAATCAATCTCATCCACATCCTCATCCACAACCACAACCACAACCATATCCATCGTCTGAATTTTCAACCAACCCATCTACTAGAGCGATTCAACGATTTTGTGTATCGTTGGCACGTAGAAATGGTGAAGTTTATAGTCAAACATTGTCAGACTTTATGTGGCAACATGTAACTGGTGAAAGACGTGCATCATCGCTTGTAGTGACCAAGGGAACCATTAGAATGGCTCAACAAGCCGTCATTGCATCGCTACTCAAACACTTGAATCTTGGTGAATTGGCCATTCAATTTACATTTGAACTCATTCAACACCGACAATTTATAGAAAATGATACCGATCCAAAAGATTGTATTATTAAACCACCACAAGTATTGATTGATGTTTGGCGTACATCTTACCAAATTCGTAATGCAATCATTCAAAAACATCAAGAAAATCAAGTACTAAATAATACAGTGGTCATCAATTCAGCCGAAGAAGAATCTGTTAAACGTCGTAGTGTAGATTTTAAAACTCATGCTACCCTTAGAGAAACTATTTATAAGGATATTACAGATCAAGTCACAGAAAAATCAATGTTTTTATTAGAACTTGATTATGCTATCGATCAAAATGAAAATAATAATATTAATAATAATAATAATTCTTCATCTTCTTCTTCTCTTAATGCAAAACAAACAGAATTATTAAATTTGATTACTAGATTTGTAGTATCAAATGTATCATTGGAAGATATGAAGAGAATATTGGTGTCGCGTAGAAGTAGAGCATTTACAAGATCGATTGGATTACAAGCAATGAGAGATATTTTACGTTGTGCATCTGATCATTCAATGAAACAAGAAGTATTATGTTTTATTGGACCTGCACTACGAAACAGTGGATTGGTTAGAAGAAGAGCACCACCATTTCATTATTTGGATCATCTTTATGGATGTGGTAGTAGATTACTTTTGGATATTAAAAAGAATTTTAGAGCTCTCATGGAAGATATTGCTATGCTCTTGCAAGATACCAATTCAGATCATACACTCAAATATTATGCATTGGATGCATTTACTCTAAACTTTACATCTGAAGATGCCGACCTATTGACTAGTATAGATATTTTCAACAAGATTAATAATTTAATGACAACCGATTCTATTTGGGGAGGTCTATGGTCAAGTTCATCAGTTGGACTGTCCAACCCTACAGGATCAAATCCCGCTGGCATTTTATTACATAGCCAAAGTTCAAGTTCAATTGGTAGTGCTGGTAGTGGTGGAGGAAGTAATCTTTTTAGTAGTAGTGCAATGATTGAAGAAGAGAAAATGGAAAGAGAAAAATTAAAACAAACTGCCAAAGCATTGTTTAAATTCCTTGGTCTTATTTGTGTTGACAATCAAATAGCTTCTAGCAACAATAACAACAAAAGTTTGGATACACTGCGAGACTCTTTTTTCCATTTTATGGAAACTCAATTAGAAAGTAGTTTATTGTTTCTGTCGGAACAAAACAAAACTTATTGGTATGGTTGTGATTTACCTCTTGGTGGTATGAACTCACCTTCGTCACCAGAATCAACATCACCACCAAATAATCAACAACAAAAGAATCGTAGATTACTCCGAGGTGGAGAAAGAAGTTTATTCAATTATGACTTTTCAGAAGGTCTATCTTTACTCTATATCCTTTCTGCTTTCAATTCAGTTAAACAAAGATTAACTTCACCAAGTTTTATTAATATTTTCTATAGTATATTACAAGTTGGTGATGAATCTCAAAGAAAATTAACTCTTAGAATATTTAGAAGAATTTTACCTTTTACATCTCCTTCAAAATTAATTTTAAAAAATCAAAATAATCAAAATAATCAAAATAATAATAATTCCAACAAAAATACTATTAATAATAATAATAATCTTAATAATAATATTGGAATATCAAGAATGAATGATTCAAAATCATTGTTGACATTATTATTTGATATAATTGGAGCAATAAGTTATTGGGGATGTTCAAGTGATTTATTGGAAACATCAAAATATTTGGATCCAAGATTCTTTATTACAAGTAGCAACTATAATTTATTCTTTAGTTCCAATTATAGTACCAAATTGGATTCAACTCATTCATTTTTCTCCATCTTCGATAAATCTATTGTTTTACCAACTTGTTGGGATGGAAAAACAACAACCAACATTGGTTCAACAAGGTTTTCAGATGATTCAAGAACTGTCACCTACCAACCAAATCCAACCAATCTCTCAACAAATCCCTCTGACAATTTTGTATTTATAAAAAGTGATGAATTTATACCAGATTCATTACCAATTTTCTATTTTGAAATCAAAATTGAAAGTGATAATGCACATTGTGTAGTTGGATTGTTTCCAGTAGAGGAGATATCACAACTGAAAACCTTAAAGGAATGGAAACATGGATATGGATACAATGGAAAGGATGGACATAAATTGTGTCATCGGTTGGGAGCTATTAGATCAAGAGCCTATGCAAACTCTTTTACTAGAAATGATATTGTTGGATGTGGATGGAATCGTAAAGATGGAAAGATCTTTTTCACAAAGAATGGAAAGTATTTGGGTGCTGCCTTTAAAAATGTAATCTATGGAGATTTGGTACCGGTCGTAATGATTGAAAGTGGTGTATCTGTTTCTTGCAACTTTGGACACAATGCATCATTCAACTATGATGTTGCATCTTTGACATCATCCCATTTGGAATCTGCCATTTCAGAAAGAAACCTCCCATCCATGGCATTGTGTTATGTATCTGAAGTAGTTTCACTTGTCAGACTATTGCTTCGTACTGAATCTTGGCGTATTGCTATTCAACGTCATATTGAAGAAGGTCTTAGATTGTTACCATCAACCATTGTACAAGTACCACCAACAGATCAACAAAAAGACAGTCACGGTGGTAAAGTTGGACCAACTATACAATCTCTATTGTCTGTATTTTCAGTTATTACATTGTTGGCAGGTCATCTTGATGGATTATGGACAGGATCACGTGTCTCTATTGAATTGGCAGCTGGTATCTATGAAAAGGGTACCATTGTCGACTATTCACAACTTTCAAATCAAGCAACCGTCCTATTGGATTCAAATATCGATCGTCTATATCGTACAACTCATCCTCTTGGTGTCATTAAACCAATCTCTGAAGTCACTATTGATTTCTCTCAATTCCTACCTCCTCATTCATCCATTATAAATTTATTATCAATTTTCCTTCGTCCAACTATCAATGAAAAGGAACATACAAATAATAACGATAGTAATAATAATAATAATAATAATAATAATAATAGTAATGCTTCTCAATTATCATTATTATTTAGAACAAATCAAAGAAATATTTATCTATTTATAAAATCTAGAGCAATGAAAGTAATGGGATCATTGTTAAAGTATTCAGAATGTACAAGATATACACTGGAAGAAATGTTGGTTCCAGTATTGGTAGAATTTGCACTTGGTAGACCAATACAATTCCTTGATGAACCAAAAATTGATACAATGGAAAGATTTTCTTTTCTTTTAAAAGAAAGAATTTATTCAAATTCTTTTAAATCTTTTCTTTATGGAAATAATCAAAACATTCAAAACAATCAAAAGTCAAATAATAATAATAATAATAGTAATAATAATCAAATTGAATCATCAGAAGAATATGGTACTATAACAGAAGTAGAATTTGATGATGATAATGATATGATTGATATTGAAGAATTTGATGAAATTGCAATGTTGGATGGTGATGAAGATGATTCATTGGATAGTATAAAAGATGAAAAAAAGGAAAAGAAATCTTCAACAACAGTGACAAGTCTAAATCCAAATTTAGAAGATGAAGATACAACAGTAGGAGAAGATGAAGAAAATGTTGTCGAGGATGAAATTGTTGAAGGTATTCAAGGTAAAAGAATACCATGGTTGGAATTACAAGTTGGAATGTCAGTTTTGGTTGCAAAAAGAGAAAAACTTGGACTATGTAGAAGTAATTGGACCGTTGAAATGGATCGTATTATTGGGCAGGTTGGAATTATCAAATCGATTGATAAAAAACATAAACAAGTATTGGTAACCTTTATCGATGAAGAAATCTTTTCACTAGTCGATTGGTGGTTGTGTTGTGAAATTTTTATCTATCCCCCCTCGACAGATAAATCATCCAAACATCCATTGTTATCAATTGATAAATATTCTCAATCTCAATTGGTTCATTTGGATGCATCTTGTGAATTGGCTCTATCCATTTTATTCTCTAGACAAGCTCTCATCTCTTTATTGGTTTCTATACCAAGTAGTCAAAAGATTAGTTATGCTTCCTTTGGTGGTGCAAAAAATTTAATCTATATCCTAAAGTTGACTCTTCACACCTCTTTACTTGGTAATAGTACAACCAATGGTAAATCTAGATTAAATAATAATCTTTCAATGATTTATAGTAGTGGAATGAAAAATATTAATAATAATAGTACTATGGATCATCTTCAATTATTACAACAAAAATTAACTTTATTATTGATACAAGAAAATAATAATAATGGAAATAATAGTAATAATAATACTAGTACTTCATCAGAATTGGAACAATTATCAAATGAACTTTTAAATTCATTATCATCTTCAACTTCAAGTATTTCTTCTCTCAACAGTAGTCTTGATGGTAAAGACAACAAAGATTTAATCATTAATAATAATAATAATAATTCTTCTTCTTCTTCTTCTTCTTCTTCTTCTTCTAATAATAATTCTAAATGGAAAAGTTATAAACCACCAACAAAACAACAACTGTCAATTTCAACATCTACTTTATTAAATAATGAACCATTAAAGAATGGATTTTTAATGAAACAACAAAAGATATTAAAACTTTGGAAAAGAGTATGGGTTGTACTGTCTGGAGATACATTATTTTATTATAAATCAAATCCAATCAATCAAAACAGTAGTAATAATACAATTGCATCTTCAACAATGACATTAATTGGATCAATAGATTTAAGAGATATAGTATCAGTTACACAAGTAAATATAATGAAACAACCGACCAAGATTATATTTACAGTTAAAAAGGAATTTTGTTTTCAAGTTACCGTGGCATCCAACAAGACACATTTATTTCAAGCAAAGAGTCAGGAAGAATTGAATGAATGGTTACAAATTATCAATAGTGCATGTATATCTAGTGCAGCATTTAGATCCAAATCCAATACACTATCATCCAATTCGTTGGTAGAAGTATTGGTAAAAGAAAGTGCAGCACAACTACGAGATACAGCTCACGAACCAATTCAACAATTGGTAGAAGAATCTGCCCACCCCTATCCAATTGGAACCAAATCTAAAAAGATTATTCGTATCGATGGTGCATTGGCATTGTTGGTAGTTTTTGACCCAAGAACTGCAACTGAACCTGGTAGTGGTAGACTTGGTTTTTATTATGATCCATGTTGTACAGATTATATTGGATCGTATAGTGGTAAATCATTTGCCCCCACACTGGTTCAATCTTGTCAATTTTGGATGGTTCAACATAATGAAGGTTCAAACAACTCTGAATGGGGTTTTAAATTTACTGTCACCCCCATTAGACTTAGAACAAGTGACATCTCACTCTTGCCTCGACCAAGTTTTGAATTTGCATGTTTTCTTTTGGATTGGATACTTCAATTGGATGGATCATTTTTTACAACCAAATATCCAAATCTATTTTCATTGGATCTTGTCGATCTTTTAATGACTCATATAGATGGTAATCAACCATTTGATCGTAAACTTAAAGTCATTACATTTTTAACTAGAATCTTGGCAAAACAAAGAGATTCAAATCAAACCATCAATATTAATAGTAAAATTGAAAATCTCCGCGAGGAAATGTTTAAATTGGTCAAATTGGAACAACAATCCAATTTAATTTCTCAATACCTCCAAAGATTAATTGAATTGGTTATTCAATATGAATTAAATCTTGATCACAACAATCAAATATTACAACAACAACAAACTACATTGCTTCAATCAAATCAAACAAATAATCCATATATTAATAATAATCTTGTTCAACAACCAACCAATGATCAAGATGAAAGTAAATCTTGGTTTTATCGTACACTTGCAAGTTATCGTGTCATTAGAAGATTGGTTCAAGGTAAAGGATTCTCTAGAGAATTTATTAAAGAATCTTTTCGTGATACAAGAAACAAAATGGCCGTCGACTCTCCTCATCCTTATCCTCCAAATGTTCGTGTTACTGCCAATGTTTTAATACCTCGTGCCTCTAGCTTAAAGATTGAATTTGATCAAAAATCAAAAACTCAAAATTATGTAGATTATTTAATGTTTTCAAAATCTACTCCTGGTGGTGATGATTTAGGTTTTTTTACTGGCGATGTAAATATTTAATAGAAAAGAAAAAGATAGAATCTTTTATTAATCATTTATTTTTATTTTTTCTTAGTTTCCAAATCAACCAATAATAATTCAAGGAGATAGATTTATTTGGTCATTTTTTTCAGATTCAAGTGAAGGAGAATGGGGATTTAGATTTTATGTATCACCAATATTTAATGAAGAAATTCAAAAGGAAAATGAAATTCAATATGATCAAGAAATTGAATATTTATTATCTCATCCTTTTACTTGGAATCATTATATGGATTTAGAATTGGTTAAATTTATTAATACTCTTTGTGAAAAATTAAAAAAAACTCCTTCTCAATTAATGTAAATAGAAAATAGAAATAATAATAATAATAATATTAGATTTTATTAACATTTTCTTTTTTTCTATAGATTTGAACAATGTTGTATTACAGAATATTTAATATTATATCCAATGTTGTATGAATTAAAAGACGTATATATATTGGGTTTAAGATTTAATATATTAAAACATTTTAATGAATGTTGTAAAACATTTATACAATATATTGATCAAAGAGGAGTATGTGAAGATTGGTCAATTGCCTATCAATTATCAAGTCTAAGAGGATTATTATTTTATGATGAAAAAATGGAATTATTTATGGATTCTCTCAAACCTTCTCAATCTCTTTGTAAAAGACCATTCCTTTCACTTAATCGTCATCAAAATATTCAAGATCAAAACAACAACAATAATTTATCCTCTTCCTCTTCATCTTCTGTACCCTTGTTGGATTCATTATTTATACAAACATTTAAACAAATTTATTATTTGGAACCAAGTAAATTAAGATTTAATGATAGAGCATGGGAAGTTAAATTGGAAAGAGAAGGAGCAAGAGATGCAGGAGGACCATATAGAGAAACAATGACACAAATTGTATCTGAATTGTCAAGTTTGGAAATGAATTTGTTTTTGCCATGTCAAAATGCTCAAGGAGATGTTGCATTTAATCGTGACAAGTTGGTACCAAACTCTAGTCAAACTTCCTCCCATTCATTGGCGCTATACGAATTTATTGGTCGTTTAATTGGTATTGCCATTAGAACTAGAAATTGTATTGAACTCTCTTTTCCTTCACTCTTTTGGAAGAGTTTAGTTTCTGCCAAAATAGACCGTCAAGATTTGGAAGCAATTGACAAGTATACAGTAAACATTTTGGAAATGATCAATCATAACGGTAGCAGTAGAAATTCAATAGATCAAGAAGCTTTTGGTGATTTATTCCAATCTTTTACAGCCAAATCTATCGACAATACAGTGGTAGAATTATTACATGAAGGTAGAAATATACCTGTAACTTGGCATAATAGATTTGAATATGCTAGATTACTCGAGCTATACAAGATGAATGAATTTAAATTACAAATGGATGCAATTATACGTGGTGTATCATTAATTGTACCACTTCATTTGTTGAATATATTTACTTGGCAAGAATTGGAACTTAGTGTATGTGGAATGCCAGGTCTAGATATCAAATTACTCAAACGTCATACTCGCTATTGTGGTCTCTCTGCAAATGAACCACGTGTACAATGGTTTTGGAAAACACTCGAATCATTCTCTTCAGAAGAACAAACACTCTTTCTTAGATTTGTTTGGGGTCGTTCTCGTCTACCACCTTCAAACGAATTTAACATTCAATTCCAGTTGCAAGTCTTTTTAAGAGATTCTGGTCAATTTTATGACGACGAATACAATGAAGGTGAAAGAATGGCCATGTCTATGATGCACGAAAATCAAGATGAATACTTGCCAGAGGCTCAAACTTGTTTCTTTACCCTCTCCCTACCAAATTATAGTTCGGCCGATGTAATGAAGGAAAAACTATTATATGCAATCACTACTTGTCGTGATATTGATGCTGATTTTATTGTTATTCCAAATGTTTAAAAATAAATTAAATTTAAATCAAATCAAATTAAATCATAAAGAAATTGATTCTTTTATGATTATATATATATATCTTTCTCAAAGATTGTAATTACTATTGCATCGACAAGCAAGCAAGCAAGCAATCAATCAATCAACCAATCATGACAGCACAACATGTCTGAACTTGCAACACACGCTCTGCTGCTGCCTAGTGCACTCGTTTGTTAGAGTAACTTGTGTCAGTGTGTGACAGACACCCAATGAACATCAATTTTAATTGGGTGGGTTGATTACATTCCCCCCTTTTTAGTCAAACTCGTTTAAGACAACATACAGACTGTGAGACATGAACCCCACCCACAAACTCATCATCATCCAGCAATGAAAATTAATTATGCGTATTAGATTTATATAAACCCCCCACTAACTAATATTAAAAATATTTAAATAATTAAAGAGTGTTTCTTGGTATACCCTAACCAACCTGCTCTCTCTCTCTCTCTCTCTCATACTCTTTATTTATCCACTGATCATCCATTTTATTTCTTTTATGAAACTTGTTTCAAAAATCGTATGATATACAGATAATAATAGTGTCCTACTATTATCTCTTTCTCTCTCTCTCTTCTCTCTCTCTCTTTGACCTTCTCATACTATCCAACTTAAACTCTTAAACTTTAATTAACCATTTCTATTTCTCTTTTTTTTTTTTTTTTTTTTTTTTTTTCTACTTACCCATCTATCTATAGTCTTACAGCAACATAATCATTACTACTACTACTACCTATCAACAATCAAAAATTAAATCATTTATTTTACATTCATTATCCAATCATGAATCCATTAATTATCATTTTTATTTTGTGTATCCTTGTATCATCTGTTTTTGCCAATATGTCTTGCAACAACCAATATGTCTTTGTCAACGACACCAATTCATTGTCATCATCATCTTTTTCATTGTTCAACCATGTTGAGCAACAATCGACTGTCATCCAAAATAAAAATATTTCTTTGTCTATGATGATGCAGCAATCATCCGTTTCTTTATTATCTTTTAATCATTTCGAACATCCAATCATTCTTAACAAAAACAAAAACAACAAAAACAACTTCGACTACAATAATAATAATAATAGCAATAATAATAACGATATCCTTTCATCTATTTCACAAACCCAATTTGATTCAAATCATATTGTTTCTCAATGTCATTTACCATCAAAGCATACTTTTATTCCTGTATATAACAACAAAAATAATAATAACAATAATTTATCTTTTAATTCATCAGTTTTGTCCCAATCCCACTTACCATTAAATCACTCAACCAACAGCAACAACATCTCATGTTTCAACCATGTTGAACATCAATTAATTTCCATCAACTATCCATGCCCAATTAGCAGTTTTCCATCTTTTCCACGCTTTAACTCAAGCCATGTTTTGTTTATCTCAAATTATTCAACAACCAAAAACCATATTATTTAGAGGAGGAGGAGGACTTCAACAGCTGTCCAATTTCAATCTCGTGTTTCAATGTTAACCATCAATCAAATCTCATTTTAGAGGAGGAGGAGTCTGTTCAATTGGACAGAAGCTGCAACAATACAATCTCATTTTCGTATTTCAACCAATCAATTCCCATTGATAATAATAATAATCAAAATAATAATAATATTTCATTCTTCAATGTCCATCAATCATCGATTCCATGTTTTAAATCTAGTGATATTTTAACTCATTCATCAACCAACGACCAGATTCTTTTAGAGGAGGAGTTTGTTCAATTGAATATCAGCAGCAAAAGCACACATTCATTAACATGTTTAGACAATGTTAAACATCAATCAATCCCAATTAATAATCAATCAAATAATAATAATAACTATTTTTCATTAATCCATTCATCATCTGATTATTTTAACTCTTCAAACACATCCACATCATCATCATCATCAACATTATATTTATTATCAAATACAATCACAATCAATTCAACAAGATCAAAGACAAACCAATTTTCAAGATACTCTAGCAACATCTCAAGAATAGAAAACAACAACGCGGTAACAAGCTCTGACAATTTAAAGCATTTCTGATACCTCTTCTTTTATTTTTATAGGTACCAACAATTATTTTGATTCTCTCAACTGTTTCGGAACCAACCATTCAAATCATACAACAATACAACAACAATCATCATCATCACCAATCAATCATGATACAATCCTCACCACAATCCACATTCACAAATCAACTCACAATCAATATTCACAAATCACTCCACCATCTTCAAATAATAATAATAACAACAAAAATAATACCAATGAATCAGCCTCACTTATTCACTCATTGTACATGTACATTCCATTTAATTCAAGTGATGTTTCGAGCAATTGTCAATCATCACCATTACTCTTTAATCATTCAACAACCAACCATTTTCTTTTAGCAGAAGAGGAGGAGTCATTTCAATTGAACAACAACAACAACAACAAAAACAACAACAACAACAACAAAAACAACAACAACAACAACAACAACAACAACACAATCACATTCTCATTGTTCAACCATGTTGAGCATCAATCAATTACTATTAATAATAATAATAGTATTTCTTTCCATCAATCAACCATTTTATTTTATCATTCAAGTGATACTCAGTGTCAATCCAATCATTCATTCATTCCTAACAATAATAATTATTTATTTTTTAATTCATCCATGTCAATTCCTTTTAATTTTCAATTACCATTAAATCACTCAACAACCAACAACCACATTCTTTTATATGTTCAATCGAACAGCAACAAAACAACAAATTCAATCCCATGTTTCTATCATCAACCAATCATTTCCGTCAATAATAATACAAATACAAATAATAAAATCAACACAAGACCAACAATTAATAATAATAATAATAATAACAATAACAATAACAACACAACAAATAATAAAAATAATAATAACAACAACAACAATTCCTCTTCCATAGACAAACAACCCCCTCATTGTTCACCAACCAATAATAATCTTAATAATATTACCATCTTTGCCAATCACTTCAATCCACAATAACACAATAACAACAAACAATAATAATATTACAATCTTTGCCGATCCACAATCCATATTCACCAATCCATCCACAATCGATATTCACCAATCAATCCAGTCACCCATCAATCATATATTCATCTCCAATCAATCCACAATCTTCAATCACAAATCACTCAACAATTTGCAAACAACAATAATCCAACAAACAATAATCAAACAAACAATAGTCCAAACAATAATCAAACAACAAAAAATAATTCAACAAACAATAATGGTTAATAATAACAACAACAATATATTATATATGTCACAATCCAACTCTTCCTCCTCCTTTTTTACCTCCTCAATGTACATGCGACCCCAACATTGTTCACCAACAAATAATAACATTACAATCTTTACCAATCACCCCATTCCACAATCCTCGTTCACCAATCAATCATTCATTCAACACCAATCCTCCAGTCAATCGCCCGTCCCAAATCCAGTGATCAAGAGTACCAGTTTCCAAGCAACAATCACCATTCGTAGACCAACATAATTAACTCTGTATCAAATGTTGATAATTAATTATAAATTTACTGACTCTTTTTTTCTTTTTATTTTATAGGTACACTAATCATTATTCTCTTCAACTCTTTTGGTAATAACAACATCTTAATAAACAATAACGAATAATAAAACAATAATGAATAATAATAATAATAATGATAATAACAACAACAATAACTAGTAATAATAATAATTACAACAACCAGCAACAATAACTCATAATAATACAACAACAATAACTAGTAATAATAATAATTACAACAACCAATTACAATCCTCTTCTTTTCTAAAAAAAGATATTCAATTACTTTTACCCAAGTGGTTTCCCTCTCTTCCTACTCTTTTCTTTTTATACATTTTCCGTAGCCATCGTCCGTGTCGGTTGTCTAGTCCATCATCGTCCATCCATGTTCCACGTCTCCCTAGGCTTTTATACCCCAAAAAAGATATTCGATTACTTTTACCCAAGTGGTTTCCTTTACAAAAAGATATTCAATTACTTTTACCCAGAGGGTTTCCCAGGCTCGCCCCCGTGTAAGTCGATTTTCTTCGCATTGGGGGGCTTTTTTTTTTTTTTGGACTGTTCCCATGGTCTAAACAACCATGGGAACAACCAAAACTATAGTTTTTCTATTTCTTTCTTTCTTTCTTTCTCTTTTTTCCCTCTCTTTTTTATTTATTATTTATTTATTAATTCTTTTACCCGCCAAATCAATATTTTTATTCTGACGAATTTAAAATTAATTAATTCATCATCAGAATTGTAATAATTATTTGTAACAAATATTTGTGACACTACAACTATAGCAATATGTGTCTATATAAAGGTGTGCACCCAAAGATGGTTTATGGGTTTGTAACTTTAATTTATTAAAATTAAAAAACTTTTAATAAAAATAAAATAAAAAGCAACCACACCTCCTCGCCAACTCTGACTTTTTGATCAGACCATTTATTTTATTTTTCTTGTATTTATAAATATAATTAATGACTTGTTACTCACATCATATCAATATATATTCATTCATATATGTACATTATCAATAGATAGATATACTAGTTGTAGCATGTTATCGAAAAGATGGTAATACTTTAAATAAATGTAAAGACCTCTCTTTGTTTTAAGAGTATTATACATATATATTTCTTTTTTAACTATTTTTCAATCATTGTTTAGCTCAATCCTCCACCAAGCATTCATCGTGGCCATCCTCCACCTTCCACTATCCATTCATTGATAATCAATCGGGCATCGCCATCAGCCATGATCCATTGCCTCTCTAATCATGGATCATTGCCCATGATCAAGGATGTAATATGCAATATCCCCCGATGAATGTTTAAAAATTAGAATTGGAATCATCAAGATACATGACAAACAAAAAAGGTAATAATATTAATAAATAAATCATATAAATATTATACATATTTGTATTTTAGAGGACATCTGTAATGTACCATGGTTGATACATTACATGATAGATGGGTTTATGATCATTGAATAATACAAGCAACCAATAAAATTATCTTTTAAATTAAAATTTAATATAAGACTTCTATTATTTATTTCAATCCCATTATCTCATTTCATTCTTGATAATTCATCCATCCACCATACATCTGTCCGTCTATCCATCTATCCATCATCCATCTATCTATCCACCATCCATCCATCCATCCTTCCTTCCTTCCATCATCCATCCGTCCACCATCCATCCCCATCTATCCATCTATCCACCCACCATCCATCTATCCATCATCCATCTATCCACCATCCATCCATCTATCCATCTATCCACCCACCTTCCATCTATCCATCTATCCATCCACCCACCATCCATCTATCTATCCATCCATCATCCATCCATCTATCCATCCATCATCCATCCATCATCCATCTATCTATCCACCATCCATCATCTATCCATAATCCATCCATCCATCCATCATCCATCATCCATCCATCCATCATCCATCATCCATCCATCATCCATCCACCCATCCACCATCCATCCATCCATCCATCTATCCACCGACCATCCATCCATCTATCCAACCGACCATCTATCTATCCACTATACATCCCCATCCATCCATCCAATTGATTTACTGTACTAATTTTAATTCATTCATTAAGTTAAAAATCCCAATTTTTTTGCTGGCTTCAAAGTGCTTCTTTTCCTATTCTCTACTTCAGGAGAGTAGTACTCAGAACAAAGTTTTTCTAATTATATCTCTAATAATAATTAAAAAGAATTATTAGATAAAGACATTTAGCTAGAATCGACTTGCAGTTTTGGATTAGTTTCAGATGTTCAAGATAGATTATAGTTTTGAATCGTTTGGTAACGATTGCTACTTTGTTTGGGTCGAGAGAGTAGTCGTGATCGTCAAAGTCGAATTGCACATCAGGTGGTGGCACCATGTGCGACGAAAGAGTATAGCAACATCATTGACATAACATCTGTGATGTGTTCTCTGCTTGGTGAAGTTGAGAGCGTGGACATTCTCCTGCACTCTGTTGTCGGTCCAGTCGAGTAGCAACTTGCTAAACAGTGGAGCTCGTGGTTGGATGTAGATACCATCAAACAAGTAGTGATGATTGGTATCACCAATCGAATACAGTGTGGTATGCGTAGCATATTGTATTGGTGTCAGCTGGGATACGTTTCATGATTCTGGCAAAGAAACGAAAGAGGGTGTCTCTTGCTGCTGTGCATTTGGCGCTTGCCACGGCGGCAAATATTTGCTCGATGTTTGTACCAAAGAGAGCCTCGATCTCTCTTTGACCGACGTCCTTTTGGTTGACCTTTAATTCGATTGGTTGGCAGGGATGTGTTTTGGAGGGTAGGGTCCAAACTCGGTGAATGGAAGGTCAATCACTATGATGACGCACTTGGCGGGGTTGACTTTGGACGCAGTGGCATCGCAAAAGTCATTGTAGATAGCGCAGTTGGTAGAGCGATAGAAGAGTAATAGAATGAGAAAAAGACAACAGTGAATAGCTACAGATATGGAGCGAGAGAGGTATTATGTGTATGTATGGTGAGTACAGAACAAGCACAGAATAGCAATAAGAGTGTTTTACCCTCTTATATAGCCAACACGAGACGGAGTGGCGAGGTACTAACTGCTCTATTTATTAGGCTAGATACGATAGTTATTATAATAAATGGGTGTTGTCATAGATGGTGACATCTTATTCCATATCGAGAATAGGAGACCACATTCTACAGTCATCGAAATGTTTATTTGTACGGTTCAGCTCGTTTGATTTCAAACGGTTCAGACAGTACGTTGTTGACGATGGCGTGGACCATGGAGCCGCACAAGAGGCAGAGGATAAGGTTGACCATGACTGAGGGTATGCCAATGTGGATTAGCGTATCTCTAATTGCCATATGGGATATCGAGTCAAAGGCCCTGTGGAAATCATAGAGGGTAATAAACCCTGGTTGTCTGGTGCGATTGTTCTAGTAAATCACTTCTTTAAGGTTTATAATGTTGTCGTGACAGGCACAAACCCAGTTTGATTTATTTATTAATAACAAGTTTAATAGAAAGTGTTTAGCAATTTTTTGCCGGCGGTATATATTTTTTTTTTTTAATAAATCTGGACTCTAGTCGTCGGACAATAGAGTAATTATGGTTTATTTGTTTTAATTTTAATTAAAATAGTTAGAGTTTCTGTTAGTATAGGGGCTTGTAGCCCCGTTGTTGGGTGTTATTGTTTCTTATATTATTATTATATTATTATTATTATTATTTTTTTTTTAAAGTAATTCTTATTATTATTATTATTTTTTTTTTAAAGTAATTCTTTTCCTGTTCTCTCCTATCGGGAAGAGTAGTACTCAGAAGTTACAAAGTTTTATTAATTTTACTTTTTAATTGACCAGCAAGAAATAAAGATTATCTCAAGAAGAATTAAAGTTAATTTGTTTTGGGGGTTTGTCCATGTCTATGATACATGTTGTATGGACGTTGATCATGTATCTTTTTGTATAGTGTCAAGCATGTTGGATTGTTTTGGATTGTTGCTTGTTCTAAAAATAAATTGGTTAAAGATATCGCTATTATTTTTTTTTTTTTTTTTTTTTTTTTTTTCTCACTAGCACTATAGGCTATAATACTGGGTTGATATAATTATTATTATTCTTATTATTTAGTGAATTATTATATTATTAATATTATTATTGATAGTTGTAGAGAGAATAGAAGAGGATGGCGGTGGTGAAGAGGATGAGAGGAATGAAGCTGAGGGTGAACGATTATAGATGAAGAGTACGCAGAGTCTTGTACCTCTCTAAATGACTAGGTAGTGCGATCTTGTAGACAGTAGGATGGTTGTAGTTGGAGGAGAATCGAAGGATGATAGTTTGTATTCGTTCTGTAATCGTATGTATTACTGATTCGTCGGTTTGGTTCATTAGAGCCAAGTGCCATCGGTTACATAATTCTAACGTCTTGTCCCAGTTTACTTTTATAATATGTCGCATATCACTTATCAATCTAGCCCGCAGGTATTGTTCAGTGAATGGTTCATCTCTTTGGTGACGTAGATCATTACGTCGGAACCATATTCGTTCTAGTGTTGCAGCGACCAAGTTTATAGTCATTGGAGTTTGTTTGAGGTTGACGCAAATATGGCACCAACTCCGAAATTACCATACTTGCGGTGAAACCTTAAGCCTTGGGTGCGTCCAAGACCGACTGCCGCTCTCAACTCTCGCGCCGATTTACTCCCCATTGTGGACACTCGTCTTTACGTGTTGCATATTGTATTTGAGATGTCAGATGGCTTTCTATCGCGACGGCCCAGTATGTCCTCCACTACCTTCCCGTTACTTGTTGCAGTCTGGCTACCCAATCTCCTACTGAGAAGGGGAAACTAACCCGGTCATCCTTCCGTGGGGGTGTCCTGTCTCTAGATCCCTAGAGTCGGATGGTTTTTCTCCTCAATCCCCCCAATTGTGGTCAAGTTAAACGTTGGCGCCAAAGGTAAAGTTCGAGGGCAGGATTCGAACCTATGACCTTTACGTTCCCGGGGTAGCACACTCCCGACTCACTTGCCACGCCATGCCCCTTATTATTATTATTATAAATACCGCAAAATTGTTTTTAGTCTCATCCAAAAAATTGGGCTTGTAGCTCAGATGGTAGAGCGCTCGCTTAGCATGCGAGAGGTAAAGGGATCGATACCCTTCTAGTCCACACTTTTTTGCCGTGTTCCAAATAGATTTTATTCCTTTTGCTATATTCTGGTTCTATTGATCAATTGGCTATCGAAAGAACTAGGTTTGATTGATTTCCAACAAAACTGGATCATTAAAACATTCATTTTATAAAATCCAGTTCCATTTTTTTTTTTTTTTTTTTACCGGCTTGTCTAGTCCACACTTTTTTGCCATGTTCCAAATAGATTTTATTCCTTTTGCTATATTCTGGTTCTATTGATCGTTGGCTATCGAAAGAAACAAGTTTGATTGATTTCCAACAAAACTGGATCATTAAAACATTTATTTTTAAAGTTTTGTTCCTATTTTTATCCACACCCTACCACCACTACCCACCAGTCTTTAAACTACTCTTGTTTGTCTGCTTGCTTGTTTGTGATATCTAACTAATCTAAATTCGTCCCTTTGCCTGTTTTGGTACAAGAGTACTCTATTCCATCCATTAATTTTTTTTGTTTTTTTTGATAGTGTTCAGATGAAATGTTCATTCTATACCATCTATCAACTATCTTTTTAACAAGATGATATGTATGCTCGACACTTATCCCAATCTACACACTCTACGAGATATCAAGAGTCGTATGTGACAAAGGAAGATGATCAAGTATGGTAATAAATGAAATGGTGACGTCCATTCATTTATAATAATGTGTCATTATTTGTTTACCGACCAACACTATCGTTAACCAACATAATGTGCGTCATTTGGTCGCTCAGTGGTAATCTTGCACTGCGACTGGGCAAGTGGTATCCAAGTCAAAAAGAACAACTATAAATAATAATAACCAACTCTTTTATATGATTAAATTATTCATCATCACAAATAACAACAACAACAACAACAATAATAGAGGAAAAAGATTCTCTATTTCATACAACCACAATGTATTGGAATGTCACATCCAATCGATTTTACAACCTCCTTTCAACTTTAACAAAAGAATCACAAGATTATCGTTACGCAGGAAAGTCAAAAACATCAAGCTATCGGCTTAACCAGAATACCGTGGTCATTCCATTCATTTCCATATCTTTTTCAGAGATATTCATAGTGCAGTCAAACAAGACTCTCCATGGCGTTATACTGGATAATGCATTCCAACAATACAACTTTATTCCAACTAGTTTTTTTCGATGTAATAAACAAAAAGAATAAAAAAACTATATATTTAAATTTTGATTTTTTAATTTTGAACATTATCTAACAAACGAGGATAAAATCTACTCATCAGCTAGTATTGTTCTTTGTGAGTTTATTATTATTATTTACAACATATATATAAAAATTAATTTAGAGTTTGTTTAGAAACACTTTCTGTGAACGATGGATGGACCAGACTCGTCGTATTCCTCCTTGGAGATCCACATTTGTTGGAAAGTGGAGAGAGAGGCAAGGATGGAACCACCGATCCAGACAGAGTATTTACGTTCGGGTGGGGCAATGATCTTGATCTTCATGGTGGATGGAGCAAGGGCAGTGAGTTCCTTGTTCATACGGTCAGCAATACCTGGGAACATGGTAGTACCACCAGAGAGGACAACGTTACCGTAGAGATCCTTACGGATATCAACATCACACTTCATGATCGAGTTGTAGGTGGTTTCATGGATACCAGCAGATTCCATACCGAGGAAGGATGGTTGGAAGAGAGCTTCTGGGCAACGGAAACGTTCGTTACCGATGGTAATGACTTGACCGTCTGGTAATTCGTATGACTTTTCGAGTTGTGAAAAGGTGGCAGCAGTTTGCATTTCAAATTCGAAATCAAGAGCAACATAGGCGAGCTTTTCCTTGATATCACGGACGATTTCACGTTCAGCAGTGGTGGTGAAAGAGTAACCACGTTCAGTGAGGATCTTCATGAGGTAATCAGTGAGATCACGACCAGCAAGATCGAGACGGAGGATAGCATGTGGGAGAGCATAACCTTCATAGATTGGAACAGTGTGAGAAACACCATCACCAGAGTCCATGACGATACCAGTGGTACGACCAGAGGCATAGAGTGACAATACAGCTTGAATGGCTACGTACATGGCTGGGGTGTTGAAGGTTTCAAACATGATTTGAGTCATCTTTTCACGGTTGGCCTTTGGGTTGAGTGGGGCTTCGGTGAGGAGAACTGGGTGTTCCTCTGGAGCAACACGGAGTTCATTGTAAAAGGTATGATGCCAGATCTTTTCCATATCATCCCAGTTGGTAACGATACCGTGTTCAATTGGGTACTTTAATGTAAGGATACCTCTCTTGGATTGGGCTTCATCACCGACGTATGAATCCTTTTGACCCATACCGACCATGACACCAGTGTGTCTTGGGCGACCGACAATGGATGGAAAAACAGCACGTGGTGCATCATCACCAGCAAAACCGGCCTTGCACATACCAGAACCGTTATCGATAACTAAAGCCTAATGGAGATAAAAAAGTAAATGATAATTAGCATGGTTTGATTAGGAGAATCTCTTGATTATCTTTTATGAGTTTACATACTTGAACGTCGTCAGACATGATTGTATTATATATATATTATTTGTTTAATAAACTGAATAGAATGAATGTCAGGTGCATTTTTATTGTCTGTCTCTGCAGATCTTTCCCATCCAAAAATTTTTTTTTTTTTTTTTACGCTGGCTTGGGTTAGAGGTTTCAATGAAAAGCAATGGAAAATTTAATTTGTGTATGATAAAACGATGATGGATGTACTTTGAAGAATCATTGAAAACAAAAGGAATTATTGTCGGCTATGATGAGCTAAATCTAGTTCAAACATGCAGAGGACGAATGAGAATCTAAAAAAGGATTGATTAGTTTACAACACACTACCCAATTAGTATAGATACTATGTAAATATATAATTAGTTTGAGAGGTATAATAATATATAAATAATTAGATTGTATCAGCGTATCGTTTAATTAGAACTATTAATAATGAATCTTCTTTTTTGAAATATTCTAATCCTTTTATAATTGTTGATCAAGACTACTAAGTGACGATAGTTGGTCGTTTTTATTGTATCCAAAATAGCCTATTTGATTTGATCCACCCATGATTGAGTTCATTGAGATATCATTGATTTTAGAAAATCTAAAACTAACAGATTCGATGAGAACTATTGGAAATTCAAACAAATAATAATTACTGTAGATTTAAAAAAATTTTGAGACGATTTAAATTTAATAAATTGGTTAAAGATAAATTTTTTTTTTTTTTTTTTTTTTTTTTTTTTTTTCTCACAAGCACTATAGGCTATAATATTATTGTTATTATTTAGAAAATTATTATAGTATTAATATTATTATTGATTGATGAAGAGAGAGTAAAAGGAGATGAAGGTGTTGGGGAGGATGAGAAGAATGAGGTTGAGGTGATCGATTATAGATGTAGTGAACGCAGAGATTGCTAAATGATATGCGACATATTATTCAGCAATCAAGTTTATAGTCATTGGAGGTTGTTTGAGGTTGAGGAGGGTGATATCCCAAACTGGTGTTGTAATGTTGTTGGCAGCAGTAACCTCTTTCAGTATCTTTACTGGTAGTGTGGTCTCTTTGCATTGAAAGAACAAATGCTTGGAAGATTCATCTTTGCCACACGATACACAGATTGAATCTTTGAAATACGGGGCTATTTTTTTTTTTTTTTAATAAATCTGGACTCTAGTCGTCGGACAATAGAGTAATTATGGTTTATTTGTTTTAATTTTAATTAAAATAGTTAGAGATTCTGTTAGTATAGGGGCTTGTAGCTCCGTTAAATTGTTATTATTATTGCATTATTACTAGATTATTGTTGATGTATCGCTTGTTGGCTAATAGTTGGTGGTGATAATTGACGGGGATATAAATACCGATTTTTCCATTTGTCGTCATGTGATTAAAGTCAGGATGGTGTAGTTGGTTATCACATGACCTTTACACGGTTAGGGTCGTGGGTTCGATTCCCACTCTTGATAATAATCCCCTTTTGCTGCATGTTTGTTTGCTGCATGTTTGTTTGCTGCATGTTTGTTTGCTGCATGTTTGTTTGCTGCATGTTTGTTTGCTGCATGTTTGTTTGCTGCATGTTTGTTTGCTGCATGTTTGTTTGCTGCATGTTTGTTTGCTGCATGGCTTGCCAATTACCGACGGTCCACTCAAAATCCTTTTCCTCCAATTCGCCGATGACTCTGCATCATTTGCAACATCGTTCAGACAGCAACGTTTCATCAACAGCTGCATTGACCTCTTTTGTAAAGCAACTTCATCAAAGGTCAATGAGGACAAGTCATCAGTCATTCTCATTGAACCAGACGACAACGGATCAAAAGTAACCATACCAGACCAACAAAACAGAGACACGTCTTACCCCATTGCAGGTATAGAAAGATACTTGGGCCTCAACTTTTCGAAAGATGGGCTGTCCTCGAAACTGGAAGATATCGTAAATGGTGCAAAGGCGAAACTGATCAAATGGAAAAAGGACTCAATCACACTAAAGGCAAAGGTCAATATTCTCAAATCCTATGTATTATCCCCCCTAGTCTACCACTCTTACCTCGACACACCAACAAATGATCAATTCGACTCACTCGACAACTGTATCGCGTGGTTCTTATGGTCATCTACAACTAACCTCTACGTAGAGGATAAAAAGTACAAGACCACCATGCGAATGGAAAGAGCCATCAGACCGTGGGACGAGGGTGGAATAGCACTATGGGACATGAGACTACGATGCATAGCACAGAAGATTTGGATTATAAATAGATACTGGAACGAAGCATACAACAACAGATACACTGCACCCTACGCAAGAGCTTGGTTAAAGCAAATTACGGAAGGAAGATGCACCTCACAGTACCTGGCTCAACTTGCAAGAGAATGGACAGCTTTCACCAACATCATCTACAAAATGAAAGGTGAAGCTCTGACCATTAGATCAAAACCTATACTATCCAAGAACGGCCAAATAATCTCCTTGGGTGAAATATACCAAGCTCTACTGGACAACAAGTACCAAACAACAGCAAAAGAACTCTTGACTAATGGGCAAAAACACTTTGCAAATAAATACTACGTCGACTACACCTCTCCACAATCAGTATTTAAAACCATCAAAACTATCCAACACAATAGAGGAAGAAACACTATATTTAGATTCTTTGCTCGTTGCCTGCCTGGACTAGTTTATGTCAAGAAAGAACATTGCCCAAGCTGCCAAGTGATCCCGGAAGATGTCTATGTTGATCACTTCTTCCAATGCCAAAGGACTACAAAAATGACGAACAATCTACAACTACTATACACGGAACTAATTGGAACCGAGACCCAATGGAACTTTCAAACTCTCAACTTTAAAATCAACAGGAATCTCTCTCCTACCCAACAAACCAACTACAATAACCTCACCTCAATAATACTCCACAACCTATGGATTGCGATAGCCTCACTCCTATTTAATGAAAACGAAGATGAACACAAGCTGATAACACATGATGAAATAAGGAATCAATATAATAGATTAAACAAGACAATAATGTACGCCAATAACAACAAGCTCTAAGCCTCTAACCTCCAACACAAATGATTGCAACTCAACACAAACAACACATATAAAAAAAAAAAAAATAATAACAACATTTATTTAAACTAATAATCTGTACAGGGACAAGAGAAACCTTGCGCCAACCAATTAAATCAAATAAATCTAAAATACACTTTTGTAGTAAAAAAAAAAAAGCTGCTGTCGTTTGCTGCTATCGTTTGCTGCTGTCGTTTGCTGCTGTCGTTTGCTGATGTAGTTTGCTTGGTTGTTGATAAAGAGTTGCAGGTGCACCAGTGGGTGCAGATGGTGGAGGAGTATCACGATGGTTTTAGTAGAGACTGCTCTCTCTTTCCAATTTGTTTTTTTAAGGATGAGTGGACGATTGCCAACATACTTTCCATTCATCTCTTTATAGGCTTTGATATAGTCTGCTGCACTGGTAAAGGCAACGAATCCAAATCCCTTTGTCTTTTGTGACTTTTTGACACGGATGACCTTTACCTTTTCAAAAGAGGGGTAACGTGCAAACGCTTGCCCCAACAACGAGATCTCACTTCATTTCCAAGTTGACCAACAAACAACCTAACCGTATCACAACTATTAAAATTTAATATGTAATAAAATGATTGATCACAAGCAATGCCAAATAATTAATTTCATTATTGTTGTTGGTTCCCATTATTGTTGTTGAACAAGTTAATTTCATATTGTTGTTGTGCCAAATAATTAATTATTTCAATAATGGGAAACTAACAAATACCCGTTGGGAACCACCAATGCACTTGTAATTTGGCAAATGTGTGTGTTTGACTGACAATCTAAAACACAATGTGGGGGAAATTTCATATTGGTAGTGTCAAGATGCTGTTCAACTTGTGGACTTCCTCAATACGGTGGTGTCGCATGTTTGTCAAATTGCAACTCAAAATGCCAAGGATCATCCATCTGGAGTGCCGGTATCCATCCATCCAAATCAATAATATTTAAATTTAGATTTAACAATTTTAACAAATCACTAATCATCGATCTAATTGATTTGGTCATATATGAAATAAAGGAAGGATACACTTTAACTATTTTAAAATTTCATTGTTAAGCAAAACAATTGATGTCGTTTGTAAAAAATAAAAAAACAATTACTGAGCCTGAGTTACATAAATCAAAAAAATATTTGAAAGATTTATTGGATTATTTGTGTAATTTAAGCAATTAGTAGGATATCTTCTTTATCGCTCGTAGTGATTGGTTTATCCTTGACAGTTGGAGATAATTTGACCATGAGGTAAAAGAGTTGATCCAAACCACCGACTGTTACGGCAGCGTCACCAAAGGTTCATAGATTTGCCATATTAACCTTACACTTTGCCATTGTCACTTTAATATTATTATTTTATAGTTCTACCAGGACATGTTAAATGCTTTACAACCAGCATTATTTAGATTGTGACCTTTTGAGGGTTTTTTTTTAGCAAAGTATTTGCCCGACCGATTTCTTGATGAGGATTTGATTAAAATGTAAAGCCTAAAATAACCGAAGTGTAAAGTTAAAGTGGCAAAGCGTAAAATAAAAGTGGAAAAGCGTAAAACTATAATTGCAAAGTGAAAAATACAAGTGGCCACTTGATTTACAGAATAATTGTTTATTTGTTGGACAGGGGGGGGGGGGGTTTCCAACTAATTCTAGAAGTAGTTTCCAGGTGATCGAGGAAACTAGCAAAAAAATAAAAAAGAAATAATATTTAAAAAAATGGTTAGACTAGGGAGGTGATTCCAGGCATTCTCGAGGCAGAAAAACAGCTAAAAGGATTATACAAGGATTGAACTTGTGACCAAAGGATTTGCAGTCCTCTACTCTACCACTGAGCTAATAATCCATGGTTTTAGTGTCTATTTTTTGGGTTGTTCCCCTATTTATAGTGCCACCTCTATACTAATGCCACGAAATGAGATGCTTAAAAAAAAAACACCTCTATACTAACAGAAACTCTAACTATTTTAATTAAAATTAAAACAAATAAACCATAATTACTCTATTGTCCAGATTTATTAAAAAAAAAAATTATAGTGCCGCACAAACATTAATATCAACCAATTTATGCAAAGGAGAGGAGAAGTATTGATATGATGAAAAATAAATTACATCTTTATAAAAAATACATTAATTAATGTAAAATAACAAGACCTTGCTCTCATGAATACATACAAATATTTGGATTAAAATCAATATGCATTAACATTTTTGAAAATACTATCAACTCTTCTTTGGGCTTGACTAGTTCAAAACACTTTTGACATTCATCCATCATAATCAATGTAGGTTTGTCAGATTTATAGTATCTATAGTTTCTATTCTTTCAAAAATCCATCTTTTAAAGAAAACAAAAAAAAAAAAACAGATTAGAAAAGAGAAATAAATACTTTTTAAATACTTACTATTAGTGTTTTGTACAGAAATTGGTAAACATTGTAAAGAGAGAATGAAAACTGTCTCTTTCTAATAGTTTATAAATTAAAGAAAAAAGTTAACAAAACTATATAAAGAGATTATTTATTTATAAATAAATATCTAAAATTACATACACTTTGTCAAAGTAAGCAGAGAGTAAAAGTTGTGTGAATTATATCGTGATTGTTATTTTCGATACAAGTGGTGTCAATCCATTTTGAATCAGGATACCAAGAGATTGGCTAACTGATGAAAAAAAAAAAAAAAGTTGTTTGTTGTAACACTGAGTCCACCCACTCGGATAAGATCTTTGACTGTTAGATTTGCACCTGAAAAAGACTGATTTTGACAAAAGAGGCTGTAAATGGTAATAATTACCTTTAAATACCATGTTTACTCTCTCTCTCTCTCTTTCTTGTGTCAAATAAACAGCCATCCAAACCAAACCAAAACCAAAGTAGTTTACTTTTCTATATTCTTTTCTTTTTTTTGTCAACAAATAAATATCATTTATCTATCTATCTATTCTCTCTCAATAATAATGAAATCCACCATCCTATTTATTGTTTTAATTATTGCCACTGTTTATTCACAACAAAGTAAGTTTTTTTTGATGGGTTGTCTATCAGAAGAACTAGTTGACTATTAATATTAATCTATCTATTTCTTTTTCTCTTTCTATCTAGTTGTAAATGTACAACAATTATATAAAACATTGTATATTCAACACACACCAGAAGATATGAATTGGTCATTCAATTCATTGGTCAATGGTGGATTGTTGATTGACATGAAACAATACTGTGACGCTGAACCAGGTATCCTTTCATGCACACTCCCCAATATCCCCGATTGTGAATCAATATCTCTTGTTGGTTCTATTGCTGGTCAAGGTGAAACTAATGTTCACATGGTTACTGAATTTAATTGTACTGTCTATCATTTAGATGAATTTTAATAATATAACAATAATACAATCGTCATTGTGATCATTGTCTAGTACCCTTTTGTAAAAAAATAGATAAAATAAAAAAAAGAAAAAAGTTCAATTTTCATTCAGACTGTGTGATCATTGATTGATTCGTTTGTTGTCTTGTATAGTATAGTAGATTCATCTTTCTTTATATATATATATCTCAAGTAGTAATAAAATAGAACAATGAATCCAACACCAACAGAAGGAAAGGTTTATACACTTGAAAAGAGATTACCAGCAGACTATCAAAAATCGATCAATGGTTATGCAGATTTTGTTGCCGAACAATACAAATTCTCTGTAAAGGCTCATGAAAAGATGCTTGAACATTCTATTTATTCTGAAATTCTTGTATGTGTAGATAGAATAGTGAGTAGTAGTAGTAGTAGTAGTAGTAGTAGTAGTAGTAGTAGTAGTAGTAGTAGTAGTAGTAGTAGTAGTAGTAGTAGTAGATAGTAGTAGATTAGACAGTAGATACAGGGTAGTTTAGTTATTAACACTATATATAAACAATTTAGACTGAATGTTTTCATAGACAAAATCAATCATATATGAAGAATTGTAGAGAATTTGCTTTGGAATATTTAAACATGTTAAACTTTTCACAAACTAAAGGTTTATAAATATAGAGATAGATAATTGGAACATGAAAAGTTGTATAACAAAAATAAATAATAATAATAATAATAATAAGAAAGAAAGAAAGAAAAAGAGGAAAGAAGAAATATTAAATTTAATTTAATTTTTGGTTTCGAGTCGATTTATTTAATTATTATTGTTGTGGTTGTTGTAAAGAAAAGATTAAGGAAACTTTATCATCAGAAGCAGTAGCAACAATGGAACCATCAGGAGTAATATCAAAATCTAAAATGGAATCTTGATGACCCTTGAATTGTTTAATCAATTGACCATTTCTTTCATCCCAAACACAAATGGTACGATCGGTCGATGAAGTATAAAGAATTGGTTGTGTTGGATGTGGAACAATCTTTGTAATATCAGATCCTTCCTTGTGTCTTAGAATAGATCTTGTTTGGAATGTTGCAATATCCCAAACTCTAACTGTACCATCTGATGATCCTGTAAATGCAAAACTAAATGAAAATGAATTAGTTTGATCTATATATTTCTTTTCTTTTTTTTTCTCTTACTTATTTAAATTACTAAAAGCAACAATTTGAACAGAATCTGAATGACCAGTTAATCTACCAACACATTTACCAGTATTAATATTAGAGATGCAGGCAAAATGATCTTCACCACCAGTGATGACTAGATAATTGTCGTTACGAATAGCCAAGGATGTGATGAGGTTTTCATGGAAACCATGACCTTGAATGACACCCATACAAGTTGAATCTTTTGGATTCCAGACACGAATGGAACCATCGTCAGAGCCGGTAACAACTCGTTTACCGTCTGGAGTGAAATTACCACAGGTGACTGGACCACTGTGACCGGCAAAGGTGGCCGCCAAATCACCCTTTAAAGTGACCCACATAAATGTACAAAAATCGGCGGCACCAGCCAAGATAATGTTGCCACGTGGATGCCATTGCATCCATTCAATAGCTTCACTTGGACCTTCCAAATTTTGAGTCAATTTTCCAGTTGCGACATCCCAAATCTTGACATAACCATCCATACCACCAGTGGCTACCAAACTACCGTCACCATTGAATTTTACAGCGGCGATACTGTCGGTATGACCTTCCAACTTATGTACCTTTTCACCGGTCGATCTATCCCAAAGATAAGCAACATCATCACCTCCTCCAGTCACAATAACATCTGGATGTACACTATTAATTGCTACACAATATACTGAATCTGTATGTTCAAAAAATCCTTGTACTGATTCATCTTCAAAATCTTCTTCCATTGATTCATCTAGAAAAAGAGATAAAGATAAATAAAGGGCACAATATTGTTTTTTTGTTTTAAAAAAAGGTTTCCTTACCTCCTTCTCCTTCTCCTTCTTGTTCTCCTTCTATTCCTACATCTTCACCATCATCGTCATCATCCATCATTTCTTCTTTGTTATCAATAATAAGTTCTTCTCCTCCTTCATTTGGATCAATAAATGCTACTTCTTCTTGATCTGTTTGTTGTTGAGTAGTAGTGTCATTATTATTATTATTATTATCAGTCTCCATTGTTAGTATATCTATTATTATTATTATTATTATTATTTGATCGCAATATCAAATTATTAAAAGTTTAAATGGTCCGAACGAAAGAAGAAAAAAAACGAACCAAACGAATCATTTCAAAAAAAAAAAAATTAAAAAATTAAAATTAAATATTTGTATAAAAAAGAAGATGATGTATGTAGTAAAAGAAGAATGAGAAATTAATGATGATAAGTTGATTATGTTTTAAAAAGACAAAGAGAGTAAAAAAGTATACTTTTTTTGTAAAATTTAAATAAAAAAATTAAAATTAAATTGCGATCATCAAATTTGGTGTTCATCGCCTTTTTCATTCATTCATTCATTTGCAAACTTTCTTTCTGTATACGATTACATATGTCATTTAATATATTTAAAGGAATAAATAGAATTACAACAACAACAAGTTGTATTGTTGGTAATCAACAACAACAATTCAGTTACCTTGCAAGAGGCTATTATACAGGAGGACATCCAAATTACTTTGCAACATATGATCATGATCCTATGCGTAAAAAGGCAACTACTATTCTATCAGTTAGACGTGGAGGTAAAGTAGTTATTATTGGAGATGGTCAAGTGACACAAGGACACAGTATAGTTAAACCAAACGCTAAAAAGATTAGAAAGTTGCATGAAGGAACGATCGTTGCAGGGTTTGCAGGTAGTGTAGCAGACGCATTCACATTGTTTGATTTGTTGGAAAAGAAATTGACAGAACATCGTGGTCTCTTGACAAAGAGTTGTGTGGAATTGGCACAACAATGGCGTACCGACAAGTACTATAGAAAGTTGGAAGCATCGATCATTGTGGCCGACAAGGACATTACTCTCAACATTGATGGCAATGGTGACGTGTTGGAGCCAAACGATGGTGTATCGGCTATCGGATCAGGTGGCGAGTTTGCATTGGCTGCTGCTCGTGCTCTATTGACAGTACCCGAGCTGTCTGCAGAGGAAATAGCACAGAGATCAATGAAAATTGCAGCCGACATTTGTATATACACCAATCATAATTTCATCATGGAAACTATCGATTTTACCAATAATCAATCATCAACCACTGTGGTTATCCCTCCAAGTAACGACAATTCAACTGTTACCACAACAACCAACTCTAGCACTCAAGGAAATAGTACAACCGTTGTTGATACCAATCCACTGTCCCAATAAACCAAAAAAAACTTAATAGTCAAATCAAATCAAAACACTAATAATGATGAATCAATCAATCATCAATCAAACCAAACCAAACCAAACCAAAAAACCTTCTACACAACACCCACACACAAACACACACAAACACATTTAATTATACACACACACACACACAAATCAATAGCCATGGTACCCCCTTCCATTGATATATTAGAGAAAAGGGGTGATTCTATTTATATGTGTTTGTTTGTTTGTTTGGTGTGTGTGTTTGTTTGTTGGATGATAGAGACAGAAAGACACCTACCTGTAGAGGAAGAATTAATTATTTTTATCCTCCAATTTTTTTTTTTATTCTTTTTCTATTCTTTTCTTTATCAACAACTACTATTGCCACAACTAGACTAGTGTACCAGTAGTATAATTACTTTTTGTTTTCATTTATTATTACTTTTTCCCAATTATATTTATTATATAATATTAAATTAAAGAAAAAAAAAAAAGAGTCTAGAATCAAAAAGTTTGGTTCATTGTTGTTTTTTTTTGTAGTAATAGTAGTAGTTTGATAGTCATGACAATTAATAATAATAATAATAATAATAATAATGATAATAATAATAATAATAATAATCAACAACAATTAGAAGAAGAAGATGAATTTAATTATTCAGAATTATCAACTGAAGAATTAATTTCAACGGTAAAAGATATGAGGGAAGCCTATTTTTATATAAAGGATAAATATTCAATGTCCAAAAACCACTTGGACGACAAGAGCAAGGAAATCCAATTCCAAAGAAAATTGTTGACCGAAAGAGAAGACCTTTTACTACAGTTGCAATGGGATCCAAATCAAGACGACACATATCTCTATCAATTGGGAGCACGTGATCCAAAGCAAGCAAACGAGATAAAGTTGCGAGCTCTTACCGATCAAATGCGTGTCATGGAGAAGGGCATTTTCGATCGTGACGATCGTATCAAAGAATTAGAGAGACAAGTAGAATTGTTGACTCTTAGTCAAATCAGTCCCATCAACCATCACAACATTGTATCAACAACTCAAAACCTCAACCCTTCCATTCAACGTGAAGGATCCATACTCAACATTCCCATCAAACATCAAATTTCACAATACCCAGCCAGTCAACTCACCCAATCATTTGAGGATATTGAATTTAGTAATAGTACTTTTAATAGTGCAAACAATTCTCCATCAACTCCTGTTCCAAATTTTAACAAGGGTCCATCTCATCTCCACAACAACCACAACAACAACAATTCTCCATCACAAAAAAAAGGTTTCTGGTCTCCTTCTTTTTTAACCAATTGGTTTGCTGATAAACAAAATCAAAAAGATAATCATCATAATAATCATAGTAATGATATTCCTTTACATGCTGTTAAATCTGCTTAAAGGAAAGAATCAAAGAAAAAAAAAAAAAAACAACAAAAAAAGTATTATTAATAAATTAATTTTTTTAAATGTAGATGAAGATCATTCATTCTCATTTGAGTTCATTCATTTATTTATTTGATTGATCGAAAAAAAATGTTAAAAAGAATAATAACAAATAACAAATTAATAATTAATCAAGTATTACAACATAGATATTATAGTAGTAGTAGTAGTAGTAATGTTGTAGACTCTACTTCTTCTACCTCTGCTTCTCCTATAGTTGAATGTGAATATATAAAATTAGAAGGAAAAGATAAAGGAATTAGTGTAATAACATTTAATAGAGGACAAGTAAAGAATGCAATTGGATCTACATTGTTGAGACAATTCAAGAGTCATTTACATCAAGTACGTTTTGACAATGAATCAAGAGTATTGGTTTTAAAGAGTAGTGTTGCCAATACATTTTGTGCTGGTGCAGATCTAAAGGAACGTTCACAAATGGATCAAAAGCAAGTGGCAGAGTTTGTGTATGATTTGCGACAATCATTTTCTGATTTGGAGAATCTTCCCATTCCTACGATTGCAGTGATTGAAGGTATTGCATTGGGTGGTGGTATGGAGATGGCCATTTCATGTGACATGAGAATTGCAAGCAAGGCTGCCAAGTTGGGTCTTCCTGAAACTGGTTTGGCCATCATCCCTGGTGCCGGTGGTACTCAACGTCTACCAAGATTAATTGGTAGTTCACGTGCCAAAGAACTCATCTTTACCGGTCAAATACTCAATAGCTCGAGAGCTCTCGAGATTGGATTGGTAGAATACGAAACTGAAAATGGTCAAGCCTATGAAAAGGCTTTGGAAATTGCTAGACAAATCACAACAAAGGGTCCCATTGCCATTAAAATGGCTAAATTATCAATAGACAAGGGTATGAATGTCGATATTGCAACTGGCATGTCAATCGAACAACAATGCTATGCTCAAGTAATCCCAACAAAAGATCGTATCGAAGGTTTAACTGCTTTTAAAGAAAAAAGATCTCCACAATATAAAGGCGAATAAATTAATAAATAATTATAATTTATTTGAAGGTTCATTGCTTGTATTATTATTATTGTTGGTATTAATATTTGGACTAAATTTGAATTAAACTTTAATTAATTAATTAATGATATTTGATTCTTTATAATAATAATCGATTCGTTTTTATGATTTATACCTTTGATTTTTAAGATCTTGTTGTTCTTTTAAAAGTTGATAATATTCTTGACTATGTTGTTCAATGATGGGACCAATCCAATCTATAAATTCACCAATCAATTCAGAGGCAACCTCTTTGAGTGTTGTTACATTTTTCTTTTCTTGTACACGTGCAACCAATTCTCTTCCGACGGCACTACTCATCATTTCCCAAAAATTGGCTTGACTCAATGTCCATGAACCATTGTATTGACGTACATTCATTGAGAAATCAAATTGCAAATCAATTCGTTTCGAGTGTGAATTGATATAGGCTACAATTGGATGTGCCATTGCATTACTAATATATGATAATTCTGGTGTATATATTGGTGCTACAGAATATAAATGATTTAATGATACCATAAAATTTAAATGTAAATTTTTAAATGGGTCTAAAAAAAAGAAAAAGAAAAAAAAAGAAAAAGGAATAAATATATAAAGTTTTGATTTTTGTTTCGATTTGATTTCTCTTTTGTTTTTAGTTTACCTTTATCAATTGGAATGATACCATGTTCAAGAGTATCAATTTCAGTTGTTAAAATATCAGATTCTGAAAAGTTTGGTAATAATAGTTTTAGATTAATATCAAAGGTACCTTCTTTAATCCAGCCAAGTGGTCCAGTTGCATTGCGAGAAAGCATTTGGATGTTGACTCCATCGATTTTTAATTCTCTTTGATCAAAACTTTTAAGATGTGAAGATGTAGTGGTTTCATATTGAGGAATGGTATAGGTAAATAGAGATCCATCAAATTTACCAACAATATTTTTACTTGACAATAGATCATATAGAATCCATTGTTTTCTAAATCTATCACTTTCCAAACTAAATACTGATATTGACAATGGTCTATGTGTCATATCTGGTAAATAATATGTAACCAATAAATCTTTAATATCTAATCTATTAAATACAAAATCTCCTCTTGATCTAAAAAAAATAGAAATAGAAAATAATTGGTTAGTATCATTTAAATTATTATTTAATTTATAATTATTTGAATTCTTTTTCTTCTTACTTTTTTCTTCTTGGATAAGTAGCAGAAGAATAATTTAGTAAAATACCTTCAGTTCTTCTATCAAATATACCACGAACACCAGATACAAGACATTCTTGAATGATTCCTTTACCTTCCAACATCCAAAGAATACTGAGTTTAATATCAATGTGTTTAATATTTAGCTGAATGGTTGATAGACGTTCATCTCCTTTTGGTTTTCTAGAGACCGTTACATTTTCCAATCTAATGTATCCAGTTTTCCATTCACCTCTTGCATGTTCAAATGTAATTTGAATGCCCGTATTATTGGTTAGATATTTTCCAATCTTTTTTGCGGTCCATTCTGAAAATTCAAATGTATTGGCAATCCACAAGATTAAAGATACCAATGTCGTAGTACCCAAAATAATAAGTGATCCCGTTCCAAATAACAGCCAACTAAATATTGCAAACATTTGATCAGATGTTATTGGTCTATGTCTGGTTAATATAAATTTAATCTTATCAATTAATTTTGTTGTATATATTATTATTGAATTTGATGAATTTGATGATGAATTAGAAGAAGAAGAAGAGGAAGAGGAAGAAGAGTTTTCATTTTTATTATTATTGTTATTGTTATTGTTATTATTGTTATTATTAGTTGCAAAATATCTATTATTATTATTAAGGTGATTATATACAAAAGGAGATGATGATGAAGAAGAAGAATAAATAGGTTTATGTGATTTTAAAAGATTATTAAATGAATTGTTTAATATAAGAGATGTTGGTAGTTTTATATTATTCAATGATCTTGTAATCTTTCTATTTATAATAGTTGTTGGTGTTGTTGAACTAGTAGTAGTAGTAGTAGCGGTAGTAGCAGTCGGAGTTATATAACTACTACTACTTTGACAAGCTTGTAAAAGAGAGGATGATGATGTTGTTAAAGTACCACCTCTCTTTAATAGATAAAGTTGAACTCTATTCATTTGTTATTCAACTTTTCTCTATTACTCTCTGTCTGTCTGTCTAACTATAACTATTTATAATTATCTCTTTGTTGCGAAAAGACAAGAAAACAATGAATGGATGGTTTGGGTTTTGGGTAAAAAAAAACAATTAAATCCGAAAAATCGCCATTTTTCATGAAACGATGCACAACAACTCGGATGGCATTGTTGGGTAATGATGATGTTGGTGATGTTCAAACCACATGTTGTGTAACGCTCCCTTTTTCGCTATTATTTCTTGCTTTCTCTTTTATTTATTTTAGTTTTAGTTTTAGTTTTTTAGGAAGGTCTATGATAAGGACCAATAGCCCCACCATGGTGCCTAATATCCATTCCAGTGAGTTCAACATCACTATCGATTCTTAATAATTGATATCTTTTTAAAATCTTGAATAAAATATATGATAATACAACACACCAAATAATCGTTGCTCCAATTCCAATCAATTGAATAAATAATAATTTAAAACCCTAAAAAATAAAAAGAAAGAAGAAAAAGAAATGTTAATATTATATCTATTCTTTTTATAGTCCTTTGTTTTTTCTATTTCTATTTCCTTTTTTTTTACTTACACCTTGAATAACACTTAAATAATTTGTTCTATTTTGATAAACAGAATCAACAAGATCCCTATTTGAAAATAAAGATGCACATATACTACCCCAAATGCCATTGGCCAAATGAACCGAAGCACTTTGGCATGGATCGTCGACTTGGTAACGTAGCAACATCTTTGAAAATGATAAATATACAATGGCAGATCCAACTCCAATAATTATTGAATAAAATGGCTCAATAAAACCAGCACATGAACTTGCCGCTACAAATCCAGATAATAATCCATTGATTACAATCTTTAGATCATATTTTTTACTTGTTATTAATGTTACAATCACTGATGTTACCATACTTATTGATCCACTTAGAGTTGTTGAAACTATAATTAAAGAAAATGATTAATAAATATCATCTATCCATCTATTTTTATCTATCTAACTTACTTGCACCTCTAGAGGCAATAACACCTTTGTTAATATCAATACCAAACAACATTGGATGTAAACCATAAAATGTAAACCAAAGTATCATTCCTCCAATACTTGATAATACTATATTATGTTCTGCCAATACTAAAGGTCTACCAGTTTCTAAATCAAATTTACCTAATCTTGGTCCCAACTAAACGAGATATTAATATAAATATATTTGTCTATTTGTCTATTTGTCTATCTTATCTCAATTACATACAATAATAGTACCAACTAAACCAATTGAACCACCAAGTATATGAACAACCATTGCACCTCCATAATCTATAACACCTAATTGATATAACCAACCAGTTTGATTCCATACCCAATGAGCAACCAATGGATAGACTATACTAGGTACAATACTATTGAGTATGAGATAGGCAATCATTTTAGTTCTCTCTGATACCGATCCATTGATAATGGTACATGCAATCGATGAGAATGCCCATTTAGATACCCATGAATAATAATCCTCTTCTCTTAGTGTAAAGAAACTACAACACGCTACAAAACTATTCGAATAGTTCTTGCCTTGATCAAATGCAAATGAATAACCCAAACCAAAAAAGAATATTGCACCCAAAGCAGTTGTAATCAAGTTTTTAAATAATATATTCTTTGTATTCTTTCCTCTAACCATACCTGCTTCTAAAAAACTAAATCCTGCTTGCATAACTAAAATAAGAGTAAGAGTAGGTATAGATTATATATATCTTTTATACTTTTAATGTTTACTTACAAATAACAAGATAAGATGATCTTAAAACCCAATTATAATCTAATATTTGATTGATTCTCTTTGCAGTTGCATAAGAGGGTATATTTGATGAATCATACCATACATTATCATCTTGTTGAAATTGACTACTAACAATCTCTATCAATGTAAATATAAATATAATTGACCATAATGTTATAACTGCTGTTGACATGTTTACTACAAACAAACAAATGTCAATATAAAAAAGATATCAGAGATCTCAAACATGTCGATTTTTTTAAAAAAGAAACATGGAGACCCAATTAAAATGATTTATTTATTTTTTAAGTGGAGGTTCAAGTTCATTAGGTTGAAAAGATGATGATGATATTGAATTATTATTATTATTATTATCACCATTAAGAATATCTATATAACTGGTATTACTACTACCATTTCCATTACCATTATTTTGATTTTGATTATTATTATCAAAGAATAATCTTTTACCTTTTGTTTTACCTGTTGTCGTCGTTGATAAAGAAGAAGTACTACTACTACTATTACTATTACTATTATTATTATTATTTGGATCAAATTGATCATTTCCAAGTGGTGAAGATGGAGTAGTTGAAGATGAAGTACTGGATGATAAAGAGGATGATGAGGTACTACTATTACTATTACTACTACTCGTTTGTAGAGATGATGATGATGGTGATTGTGGAGGTAGTTTAATGGTTGATTTTGGTGCAATATTCATATTGATTGATTTTAATTCTTTAGAAGGAGTTTTACCAATACTAAAAGACCCTGCCAATTTAGTTGGAGTACCTTGATCATTAAATGGTGGTTGTAATGGTTGTTGTTGTTGAGATGGTGATGGTGATGGTTGTAATGGTTGAAATACACCATGTTGTTGTGATAAATTTGATTGTAATTGTTGTGGTTGTTGTTGTTGTTGTTGAGATAATAAAGAAGAATTACTTGATTGACGATTTAGAGACATTGGAGATATAGTAAAATGAGTAGGTATCAATGGTTTACTTGGAGACATTATAATTTTAGTTGGTGTAGAGTGATATTGTTGTTGGTGTTGTTGTTGTTGTTGATGTTGATGAAGATTAGCCATTAATCGACTTGGGGTATTTTTAAATCTTTGAATAATGGGATCTGCCAAAGGTAAGAATATTTTGTTGTAAAATGCAACAATGTCACCAGGTGTATTATTGGTCAAAATCACCTCTTTGTAATAGACTTGTGGCGTACCAGTATTTTCTATAATGTTTTTAAATGATATCGTATGTTGATTTAATTTACACAGTGCATAGATACTACATATCACAATAATCTCCAACGTTCGATTATTCAACAAACTCGTAAGCTCTGTCACTATTGCCATCGACGCCGTTATAATATGTTGTATCATTTCCTTTGGTAAATTTAATATTGAACAAAACTTTTTACATTTTGTACTTAGATATTGTTGTATTTTTTTATATATAGTCTAAAAAATAGGTAAAGTAAAAGTATTAATATTATTGGTCAATCCAAATATAAATATGTATACATACAATAAATAATTTTGAAGGGTTATTGTTATTGTTATTTGGTTGATTATTTTTAGAAGGAGAAGATAAAACTTGATTTGTCATTAGTGGTTTGTTATTATTATTATTATTATTGTTATTATTATTTTTGACAGGAGTTGAAAATACTTGAGTTAGATGATTATTATTATTTATATTATTATTAGTTTGATGATTATTGATTGGAGGTAATTGATCACGAGATTTTTCAAATAATGGGAAAATGGGAGAACCAGTGGACCAAGCATATTTTTCTATAATCTGGTCATCAATCTTTGAAAAATGATTGATCAAGTTTGTTGGAAAGGCTCCATCGATTTTAATTATATTATCAATGATTCGACAATATGAAAATGGATGGACATTGAAAAGTTTGACAAAAAAGGGAAATTCAACACTAACCAATTTATAGGCATGCGCCACAATTTCAAAACATGTAATCAATAATGATTTATGAAATTCTCCATGCATTATAAAATTTTTAAATGTTGGTGACTAAAAAAGATAATTAAAAAAGATATATTAGTATTAATTCTTCTTTTTCTATTTTCCATTTCATTTAATTTACATTTGAACCAATTCTAGCCTTTTCAATATTTAAAATCTTTTCCAATAAATAATAATATAATTTAATACCATAAATTGATCTTTTGTTTTCCTTTTCAATTCCTCCTGAGGAACCAACTTGTTGAGATAGAAATGGTTGAGCCAAATTTAACGCATCACAAGCCATTGTTTGAATAAATTGAACGTTTTCTTCACCACAATCTTTGACAAGATCCTTTAAATCTTGACTTGGTTCAGCTTGATAGTTTTGAATCGATTTTTTAATCCATTCAATCATTGATAAACTTGAACTAATTGGTGTTTGTGGAGGATTTAATTTCATTTGTTGTTTAACAGGTGTTAAATGACCTCCTCCATATTGATTATTATTATTAGTATTATTAGTATTATTTATGTTGTTATTATTATAATCTCTAAATTTAGAAGTTGGAGTTGATATTGATGTAAAATGATGATTTGCCTTGAATGGAGTTCCAATGATTTCCTTGTCAAATAAAAACATTCTTTCATCAATATCTCCACTTGAATAATATTGTTGTTCATAATTTTTGTTTAAATTGTTATAATTTGTCATTAATAATGTTGAATTGAAAAATGATTCATTATGATTATTATTATTCATATTATTCATATTATTTGTATATTTTAATATATTTGATTTTTTCATCTAAAAATAAAAAATAATAAATAAATATTAATATTTCTTTCTCTTATTCTTTTCTTCCTTCTATTTTCTTTTTCTATTTTCTATTTTCTTCTTACCATTTCAATATAAATCGAAAATGTTTTTTCATCCAAATCTTTAATATTTGAACCAACCTTTTTAGTTAGAAAAGGTAGGATTGAATCATTTTCAATTGGAAGCATCGTTGTTGATCTTTTAAATGAATCTGGTGAATGGATATAGATAAAGTCAAGACTACATAATAATAGGTTGATTGATTTCATGAGATCGGGTACTTGATTGACAAACAATCTACTCTTGCAATACAAGTAGATGAACCATCCAATTGCCAATAGTTCCTTTGGTTCCTTGCTATCGAAATGGAACAACAAAGAGTACAACTCTTCATACTTTCTATACAATATATTCATAATAACAAATGATTGTTCCAAATTTTTAAATTGTTCCTCTACCGCTTTTCCCAATCCCATCCATGCTATAAATCTTGGTAATGGTACTTCAAAAAATTCTTTTAACCTAAAGAAAGAAAAAGAAAAAAAGAAAGAGTGTAAGTAAGGGAAGGAAAGGAATGGAATGATATTGTTTCCATTATTTCATTCATACTTGATATTTGTTAATTTTAATAATTGAGATAGGTAAACTGAATTGAATGATTGTTTTGGTGTTGATGAATCCTTTGGGTTTCTATAATAGTTTTTCAATAATACATTAAACTTTATATTTCCAGCTACAAATAATGAGCATGCAATATAATGTTTTTGATCTGAAGCATTTATCTAAAAGGAAGGTAAGTTAGAATCGATGAGTCTATTATCATAGTCTCTCTTTTCCTTCTTCATACATCTGATGATAATTTTAAATCTTCAATGAGTGCCCATGCAGTTGCACTTGTATCTTGATCGATATTCAATGTCGATATAAAGTCTTGAAACTTTTCTTTTAATATTTCTAAACTTAATTGTTGTGTTTCTCTTAGACTATCAACTGCTGCAACCAATTCATCAATTGATCCTATATATTTAAAAAAAAAAAGAGTAGGTATGAATAGATTTGTAAAATGTCAAACTACATAGTTCGTCGCGATGTTATTGTACGTACCTTGACTAGTTGACCTTGATAGTATAGTATCATCCATTTTATTAATGTATAACTAACTAACTAATACTCTCTGTTTCTTTCTTTCTTTCTCAAAAGGTTATATTAGTATTATTAAACATGTAAACTCTAAATTAATGAGGTAATGACATTGGGTAGTAAAAAAAAAAAAAATGATTTTCGTATTTTGGCGCGAAACTAAAACTATTTAATTATTATTTATTTGTTTTTCTCGCGCAAAACTAAACTATTTAATTATTTTTTTTTAGATTTTTTTTTTCTTTCTACAACTGGTGTTGATGTTGTTGATGTTGTTGATGTTGTATTATCCATTTCATTTTCCATTTCTTTTTCTAATTGTTTTTCTAATTGTTTTTCTAATTTCCTTTCTAATTTCTTTTTTTCCTTTTTAATTTTATCGATTGCAATGCCAAGTCGTTTACTTTTAAACTTTGGTTTTAATTGTCTTTGTTTACGACCATCTCTTTGTGGTTGCTGATTGAGAGGGATGAAGAAACGAGAATTCCAACTGTTGGCAGTGGCTGTTTTACTGCTTTCTTGGCTATTCAATACTCTGAGGATGGGGTTTAGGACAAAGTCGATTCTTTCATTGGACCAACCAAACTTTTCAATGGTGAGACAACGCAACGATTCGATGTCTGGGTGTGTCCAAGTGAACGGTTCCTTTGAACTATTGACCTCGGGATTGATAAATGCTTGAACCACTTGATCCGATGGGAATGTGCTAGCAAGTACAAGATTCTTTTTAAGGAGAGACATAAAGTTTGGATGATCGGTTGGCTTGCTACCGTCTAGTCCAGAGATATACTTTTTAAAATCTTGTAGGTTTTCAAACTCTGCCAAAATCTCCATTGCATTGACTATACCAATTCCATGAACACCTGGTGTGTAATCACACCCTAAAAGCAATGCCAATGAAATTAAATCTTGTCGTTCGAGTCCCATCAATCTTTTAATTTCTTTGGGTTGGTATTTTTGTGGATCGTGTTGAAATAGATTTCGATAGACTGCCATATCGGGCTGACTAGCAAATAGTAGAATATCTGAATCGTCAGTCACCACTCCATCCACAAATCCAAGATTATAAAGTTCGGCACATTGTGATTCAGCTTCGGTTGGACTAGTTATAAATGGTATACCAAACATTGACAACAATTCATGACATTCCTTTAAAATATCATTGGTAATTGAATGTACACTTCTAATTTGATTTGATATTTTTTGTTCTACACTAATTTGTTCTAATCCTAATTCCTCCTCCATTCTTTCTCTTTCTTTTGATGTAAATTGAAATGTTTTTAATGAAGAGGGAAGTGGATCGATAATATCTATTTTCTCTTTCTCTTTTTCTATTTCTTCTATTTCTTCAATTTCTTCAATTTCTTCTATTTCTTGTACTTTTTCCTTTTCAATTTCAATTTCAATATCTTGTTCAAAAATATCTAAATCATCAAATTTTGATTGTTGAATTTTGTTATTATTCTTTTTTGGTGATTCATTATTAATAGTTTGTTGTTGTTGTTGTTGTCGTTGTTGTTGTTGTTGTTGTTGTTGTTGTTGTTGTTGTTGTTGTTGTTGTTGTTGTTGTTGTTGTTCCAACTCTGCAAATACATGACCTTCCAATTCATTTTCTTTAATCATTTTAAAACATAATGGGCATTCCATAAATTGAATTTCTTTTGGTTTTTCAATTATTTTAACTACTTGCATTACTTTTTCTTCTTCTTCTACTATTACTACTTTATCCTCTTTAACTTTTTTTACTTTTTTATCTATATCTATTGGTGGTCCATTTTCATCATCATCATCATCAATTTTAAATCGATTAATTTTAAAAATTGGTGTATTTGTTGTTGTTGTAGTTGAAGTAGAAGTGGTTTTTGTTGTATTGGTTGTCGTGGTTGGCTGATTATCATCATCATCTAAATCATAATTATGAACCATATTATTATTATTACCAAAATCCAAATCTAAATCTTCCTCTTCATCTTGTTCTTCATCATTCTCAACTTCAAATTGATCAATATCAACTGGAGGAAGTATATCATCAAGATCTATATCCTTTTCCTTTTCCTTTTCTTTTATAAAAGAATTTAATAAATTATTATTATTATTTGTATCAAAACTTGATCTAATTGAAATACCACCCATAACTGTTTGATTATCTAATTGTGTCGTTATTGGTGTATTTTTCTGTTTTGTTGGAGTTGCAGATGAAAGTGCCTTTCTTGTAATAAGAGTTTCCAAACTATTGAAATGAGGTGATTTTGATGGAGTACCAAAATGTGCATTTTCAACCTTGTAAGGTGTCGTATCGCTTGTAGATTTTCTTTTCTTTTTTTGAAATGATGAAGGTGTCGTAGGTGTAGTGAATGAATTATCATGTTGTTTTTGTTGTGATAATAATACTTTATCGGTGAATGAACTTGGTGTACCAACCACCGCCACCGATTTGGTTGGAGTTGATACAGGTGTATTATTTTTATGATAAATAAATAAACTACCATCATTTGAAGTTGTTTTAACATCATCTTGCATTGAATCATAAATACTATACATCCTTCTTGTTATTTTTCCTTTTTCCAATAAACTACCCAATTGAATGGTTGAAAAATCATTTGGATTCTAAAACAAGGTAGGTTAATAAAAGCAATCATTCATATCTCTCTCTCTCTCTCTCTCTCTTTACATACCTTTTTAACTGAATTGATAACCTTTAATTTATCATTTGCTTGCTTTTCCACTTTTAATTGTGCTAGTATCTCTAATTGAATATCTTTTGGTAATTCATTAAATGATTTACCATCAATTGATCGAGTTGTAAATTGTTGTTGTAAATTTGTAATTTCTAAATATTTTTTAATACTTGACTCATCTATTTTATCACTACTAATACTACTATCAATGCTATCAATATCAATTGGTTCATTATTATTATTATTATTATTATTATTATTATTATTATTCTTTCTATTATTACTCATAATACTATTTAAAATTTGATGTTGTTCTTCTATTAATATTTCATCTTGTTCCTCTTCTTCATCTTGCACTTGTTGACTATCATCAACACCGTCTTCATCGTCGTCTTTATCTTTTGGTGGTTCATCAATTTGATCTTTATCATTAATGATTTCCAAATCATCATCTTCAAAATCAAATTCAAAATCATCATCTATGAGATCTTGATCGACACTATTGATTGTTAAATCACCAAGTAATTCCTTTTTATCTAAACCTTCCAATTGTGATTTCAATGTTTTAATCAATAATACTCTTCTTGCATTCTTTTCAATTGCATTTTGTGTCTTTTCTCTTCTTTTTCTTCTTTCATCCTAAAAATAATATATATAAAAGTTTGTTATAGTTGTACTATATTTGATCTCTCTTCTTCTTCTCTTCTTACAATAGTTTTTTGTTTTAAAAAAGGTACAGAACCATCAAATACAAAGATAGGTCTAACCTTGAATGTTAGTAGTTTCAATATTCTCCAAAAGAAACCAACTAGATGTGCATTTGGTGTAATGTCACCTCTACCATCCTTTAGCGACGACAAAAAGGTATGAATCCAAATCGATGCATCAATCGCTAGCACCTTGTCTTGTAAACTCTCCAAATCAACCTTTTCTCCACATTCTTGTACTAAATCCCAGAGTTTAGGTACTCCCATTTATAACAAATAAAAAAAGAAAGGAAAAGATAAGTGTGAAGTATACGAACTAATAATATAAAATGTAATTCTTGGAACCGTTATCATTTAATTTGAGCAAAATGTGTAAAATCTTTTTTTTTTTTTTTTTCTGTCGGAGCGGGATGAGATTCATGAAAGCGAACGATGACCGACAAACACAATCTATTTTGTTTTAATCACGGTCAAAAGAAGAAGAACAATACATACATAAGAAGGAAGAGATGTTAAACGGAAGAGAAAAGAATGGAGATTTGAATATAAATTGGAAAGAGTATGCATTGGGTGCAAATCATTTCAAGAGAAAGACTGTTGGTTTTGGAAAATATGATAAACGTGAAAAGGAATATGAAAAGGCAATGTAAGTAGTAGTAGTAGTAGTAGTAGTAGACTTTTGATTAATATACTTGTGTTAACACATTTATATATACATGTTACTATTGTCTATATAGACATATAAGAGAAATGTCAATTATTCAAGGTGGCATTGGATGTGCAATTTGGGATGCAGCTATCATATTCTCTAGATGGGTTTACAAAAACACTCAAGTGTTTGATGGTCAAAAAGTATTGGAACTTGGTAGTGGTGTTGGTTTACCTGGTATTCTTGCTTCATACTATGCCGCACATGTTACTTTGAGTGATTATTTACCTCCTGTAAGTAAAGCCTTGATAGTTATTATGATTGATCGATTGATTGACATTGTTTTTATTATAGTTGATTGAAAACCTTCAATACAATGTAGATTTAAATGCTAAACAAAAAAATGATGGATCTGATGATGAAGAGGAAGATGAACAAGAACAAGAGGAAGGAACAACTGAACAAAAAATTGATATTAGAAATAGAATTGATATTAAATTATTAAATTGGGATGAAATTGATAATGTATGTAATCCATAAACAGTACTGTTGGAATCCAAAAATATAATTAATTCCCTTTTGTTTTTGTATAGATTGAAGTAAAGGAAGAAGATAAATATGATATTATATTTGGTAGTGAATTAACATATAGTATGTTGAGTGTCGATAATCTAATCAAAGTAATCCAAAAATATTTAAAAGATGATGGTATGTTTTACGAAATTCTATCCGATGATCGAGATGGCGTGTCATACTTTATCGAAAAGATGACCCAACTCGAATTCGCTTCACATATCGTTCCAGTACCATCCCATTTCCTCGGTAGCTATGGTACCAAACAAAGAGAGGAAACCTATAAATTCTACTCTTTCTATTACTCTAAAAATCAAAATATCGTTCATCCATTTTGTCAATAAATAAAACAAAAAAGCTACTTTAAGAATCGATTCGTCTCTCGAAAAATGTGACATTTCATCACTTTCTCGTTTGCAACAATTTTATTTTATTTTTTTATTTTTTGTTTCAAAGTACTCCCTCCATCTTCGCGCTCTTCAAAGGGTTAACGAACACAAATAATTCAAATTTTTTACTCTCTCTCACAACAACTAATTAGTAGTAGTAGTCGTAGTAGTATTAGTATTAGTATTAGAGTAGAGTGTTTAGATTAGATGAAAGACATATAATACAAGTCAAGATAATCAACATTAAAAGAGAAAGAACAACGAGGGGGGCATAGTCATTGTGTAATCTTACAAACAAAGAAAGAAAAAGAGAAGAAAAGAAAAGATTATTATTTGTTTTTAATCATCATTGTCAAAAAAAATAACATACAATAATAATAGAATATATAATAATAATGGGTAAATATACAGAAGCAAACTATGATAATGAATTTATAATTAAAGTTAGAGCTCTCTTTGAAGTATGTATGAAAAACAAATAGATTTAGATTACTCTCCTCATAGAGGTTAACTTTTTGAATGTTTACACTTCTTCTTCTTCTTCATCTCTACTTCTTTACTTTTTTTAAAAAGGAAATCAATGGAAAGACCAAACATGTAAGAGAATAATAATAATAATAATAAGTACTAGAAGCGAGACAATAATCGATTGTTAACCTTCTTTTTCTTATTCTATTTGTTTTAGGGAGAAAAGAATATATCATTTGAAGAATTTGTAGAATCTTTTGATCCAAAGAATAAACATACACGTAATTGCTTTGAAAATTTGATTAGAGATACATGTAAATCGAGGTTCTATGGTACTGGCGCACACCATCACCATCATCATGGCGGTAGTGTACACGGTAGTAGTAGTAGTACTGGTAATAATACTAGCAATATCAACATTGGCAATGCAAACATTGGGATCAACCCCAACAATCCAACCAGCATCTATGCAAGAGAAGGTGTTGCTAATCCATACTTTTACTCTGGAACACTTGTGCGATCGTCACAAGACTCTTCTTCATCGTCTCAACCAATCCCATTTAATCCCTATCACAGTGGATTCAATTCTAATCGTATCATTCTTACTCCTGTCGACTTGGGTAGTCTACCTACCCTAGGTAACAATACCAACAACAATAATATCAATATCAGTAATAGTAATGGTTTGGGTGGACCATCATCATCTGGAGCCATTTCATCTGCATTGTTATCATCACCAAGATCATCGTCTTCTCCAAGACACCCTCCTACTTTAAATTTGCATCCTAGTTTGAATACTGGTTTCCTATCAACTCACATATCATCACCATCACCACCAACATCATCATCATCATCTTCTACATCATCTAATACTCTAGATTATTACAGTAATTTATTTTCAATCAATAGACAACACCTACAACATCAACAACAACAACTTCAACAACAATTAAATCAACAACAACAATTAAATCAACATACTAATAATAATAATATTAATCATATTAATTCCTCTTCTTCTTCCTCTTCTTCCTCATCCAATACCAATACCAACAACAACAGCTCTTCAAATAATAATAATAATAATAATAACGAATTATCATCACAACTTTTGTAAATATAATTAATATATTTTTTTTAAATACCTCTTTTTTTTTTTATATATTTATATATATACTAATAATAATAATAACTAGTAGTAATAATAAAGATTAATGAAAATAATTAATTAATTTTTAAAACTATAATCAAAAACCAGCTTTCGCCTTTGATCATTTTGAATTTCAATTTCATATTCTTCATTTTTCTTTCTATTTGCAAAGATGAATAGATTAATCATTCGATCATCAAGTTTACTAAATCATACTACTAGTAGAGTAGTAGGAAGTACATGCAGAGGAGGAAGTATCATTAGTTGTAATACTTCTTCTACTTCTACTACTGCTGCTTCATTCTCAAGTTCAAACAAGAAAAAAAGACAAGTAAACAAAGAACAAAAAGAACAACAACAACAAGAAAAATGGAATACAACAACTCAATCATCATCAATTGAACAATCTCGTCAACAACATCAACAAGAACATGATCATAAAGGAGGACCAACATTAAAACAAATGTTTAAAAATGTTGGAATGTTGATGGCTATTGCATTAAAGGGATATACATCGATGCGTTTAAATATGATAAAACACAAGTCTATATTGGAGAGAGCAAACTCTATTCTCCGAGACCACGCTCATATCATTTCAAGTGTTACAGGTGTACCCTATGACGAATCAAAAACAAAAGTAAAGAATTTTGTAGTCTTTGCCAAAGGTTCACCCTTGTCTGTAGCACTTCAAACTAAAGATGATCCAATCGTTATTACTATTACATTAATGGAACAACAACAAGAAAAAGAAAAGAAGGAAAAGGAAATGGAACTAAAGAGACCAAGAGGAAGACCAAGAAAAAAGAATGAACAAGAACAAGAAGAATATGATGACGAACAATTTGAAGAGGATTTAAGAAAAAGATTACATGTCGATAATATAACACTGGATGCTGTCATTATTGGTCGTTTGGAATCTGCAACTCATGATGGCGACACTAACTTCATTTCAAGATTCAAAAGTTCATCCAAACAATGGTTGGGTATTAGCGATGAATCAAATACGCATATCGACTCTGTCAGTCTTTTATTGGATAATCCAATCACTCAACAACAAAAGGAAATCCCTCTTTGGGAATCAGATAGAAATCAACAATTAAAACAAAATCAAATGGAACATGAACAAGAATATTATTATGACAATGATGATCAAGAAATTATTATTGATCAAGATGATAAAGATAAAGGTTCAAGTAATTTTAAGAATATAAAGAATGAAAACAAAAAGGATGGTGATAATGGTGATGTAATAGAGATTGAAATTGAAGATTACACTGAAAAACCAAAGAATAATAAAAGAAAATAAACTATCGATAATACTATTATATACTACTGTAACCTTGCTAGAGTATGATCTTTCTTATTTGATTGTGATCGCGCTTTGAAAATAAACCCAACTAAAGATAGAAGCTGTATGATAGAGTTTTGTTTTTTATATGCTTTCTTTATTTAAACACCTAATCTAATGCTTTAGACCTTGGTGAAGATACCACTACGATGAGAGTAGATGACCTTCTTGATTTGGCCCTTGGCGGCAAAATCTCTGATGATACGACGGGCGAGTGAACCGTTGACCTTGTACTTGTCAGAAACGTTGGCAATGGTGATGACCTTTTGACCTGGCAACTCCTTGTTGACCTTGTTGAAGGTTTCCTTGTCGAGGAGGACCAAGTTAGCTAACTTTTCCTTGGATTTTCCCTTGGACCATTTCTATTTGATAGTAAAAGTAAATGAAAGGTGTAGAGAAAGTGATAATGTATGATGGAGAGATGGTATGAGTAAACTTTGATCTGCTGTTTGGTTGCTGTTTGTTGTAAACTGCTATCTCTAACTATATCTAATCTTTACCTTTCTGGCACCCTTTTGGTTACCAGCAGCTGACTTGGCAGCTTGGATTTGCTTGCTCTTTCCACCGACTTTTGGAGGCATTTTGTCTATATCACTACAAGTTCGAAAGGGACTCTCTGTATGTTGAAAGCACAGACTTGACTCTGCCACTGCTGTCGCACGAAGCACATCCTCTCTGTCACCCAAAAAAAATCAAAAAATTAAAAGTTTCAATTTGATCTCGAGAAATGTTTGCCTGCAGGTGCAAGAAGATTAAAGTTTTTTAAAAATTAAAAAAAGTAAAAGTAAAAAGAAGAAGTTGATTAATCAAGTAGTAAAGAAAGTAGTAATAGTAGTATTGTAATAGAGAGAGAGAGAGAGAGAGAGAGAGAGAAGAGATATTTCATTTCACACAAATTTTAATGAAATATGAAAGTACCAAAAGAATTCAAGTTCTTTTATAGTTGTGATATATCATTGAAATATAAAATTAAAATGTATGTACAATATTAGCAATAGCAATATATTAGTTAGTGTAGAGATAGATTTCTAATATTATTATTACTTGTCTTTTATTATTATTATTTAGATGTGGATTAAAAGGTAAAAAGGAAAGAGAGAATGCACCTGAAACTATAAACAAATGGTTGGAAGACCCATTTTTAAAGAATTCTTCATTGTATAAAGAGTATGATGAAAAGAAGAATAATAAGAAATAGAAAGATTAAGAAATCAAATTAACATCTTTTTCTCTCTATTCTTTTTATCTATTTTCTATTTTAGTAAACCTATAGATATTTATATTTGTTGTACATTATATTCAAATGGTAAACCATTATGTTCACCAGAACAAACTATATTTATGCCATTTAGAGGAGATGATAGATGGGATCAATATATAACAATACCGATTAGACATCAAGATTTACCATTTGATACAAAGATTGTCATTACTATATGGGATGTTTATGCACCACTTCAAAAGATACCAATCGGTGGTACCTGTTTCAATGTATTTGGAAGAAGTCGTGTCGAAAGAAAAGGTAGACATAAACTATTTGTCTATCAAAACACTCAAGGCAATGATGATACAACACCAGGTCAAATCGTTGGCAAGGATGAATTATATCGTCTTGAAAAGTTAATCAAACGTTATGAAAGAAATTTAATTCCTCATGTTGATTGGTTAGATAAATTTGCTTCAATTGAAATTGATAAAATATCAAAGGTAAGAAAAGAAAAAAAAAAAAAGATTCAAAAGATCAATCAATCATACTTATTTATTTATTTATTTATTTTCTATTTTTTAGAATTCAGATTCATTAAATAAGAATTCATTATATTTAACAATTGAATTACCAGAATTTGAATTACCAGTATTATTTAAACAACAAACATGTCAATTGTATAAATCGATTATTCAAACACAAAAGAGACAATTGGTCATTGTAAATGATAATGAAATTAGTGATCATCCATGTGAACAAAAGTATCATCGTTTAAATGTTTACTCTTATGATAAAGATAAAGATCATAAAGATTTAAAACCAAATTCTTCTGAATTAAGATTATTAAACGTAAGTCTAAAAAAAAAATGGAAACAAAAAGAAATAGAAAAATAAGACTTCTAAACCTTTTTTCCTTTTCCCTTTTGTTAGAAATTAATTAAAACACCACCAAATACACATTTTACACCAATTGAATCATTGTTGGTATGGAAATTTAGATATTTCTTATCAAATAATAAGAAGGCATTGACAAAATTCCTAAGATCTGTAGAGTGGAATGAAACGATACAAAAGAATGAAGCCAATTTAATTTTACCAAAATGGGAAGCAATTGATGTAGCCGATGCGTTGGAATTGCTTTCCAATGCATTTACACAGAAAAATACAATTGGTGTTCGTCGATATGCAGTAGATATTCTTAGAAAGGCAGACGACGAAGAACTACTCTACTATCTCTTGCAATTGGTACAAGCAACCAAATATGAAATGATAGAAACAAACTATGACCATAGTTCAGAGTCACCTCTCATTAGTTTCTTGATTGAACGTGCATCAAAGAATTTCAAATTGGCAAGTCGTCTCTATTGGTACATTACAGTTGATAGTGTCTTGAAAAAGAGTAGTTTCTGTAATCACTACAAGACTGTTGGAGAAGAGTTGCATAGATCTCTTAGTAGAGATGATCAACAAAAGATTACTCGTCAAAGTCAATTTATCAGTCGTTTGGCAAAACTCTCTGAAGAACTAAAGGCAATGAATATACTTCGAGAGAAAAAGATTGAAAAGTTAAAGTATGCACTCTCTGATGGTGATTATAAGGATCTGTCTGATTTCCCTCCCCTTCCCCTACCAGTTGACCCATCGATCGAGGTGATTGGTATCATTCCCGACAAGTCAACCATCTACAAGAGTGCCAAATCACCACTTGGTCTAAAGTTGAAAACTAAAAGTGGTCCAGAGTATGGTATCATTTTCAAGACTGGTGATGATATGCGTCAAGATCAATTAATCATTCAATTGATTTCACTTATGGATCGTCTATTGAAAAAGGAAAATCTAGATCTCAAACTTACACCTTACCAAGTTTTGGCAACTGCCGAAGAAGATGGTGTAGTTGAAATGGTTCAACCTTCTGAAGCAATGGCATCAGTCCTCAACAAATATGATGGTGAAATTTTGAAATATTTCAAGGTTCATCATCCAGATCCAGAAGCTCCTTTGGGTATCACTGCCGAAGTTTTGGATACTTTTGTTAAAAGTTGTGCTGGTTATTGTGTTATCACTTATATCCTTGGTATTGGTGATAGACATTTAGATAATTTATTATTAACTCCAAATGGTAATTTATTTCATATTGGTAAGAAATAGAAAAAATAGAAAAAAGCAAAAAAAATGTTTTATTTATTTATTTATTTTTTTTTTAAGATTTTGGATATATATTAGGTAAAGATCCAAAAATTTTACCACCACCAATGAAATTATGTAAAGAGATGGTTATTGGTATGGGAGGAGAAAATTCAAAACATTATGGAAAATTCAAACAATTGTGTTGTGAAGCCTATAATATTTTAAGAAATTCATCACATCTTATTATCAATCTTTTTGCACTGATGATTGATGCAAACATTCCAACCATTTCAGAGGAAAGAGAAAAGAGTATTCTTCGTGTTCAAGAAAAATTACAACTTGAATTAACCGATCAAGAAGCTGCCAATAGTCTTTTACAATTATTAAATGATTCTGTTAGTGCTCTTTTCCCTGTTGTAGTTGAATATGTTCATAAATGGTATCAATATTGGAGAAATTAATAAAAACAAAAAAAAGTATCATTATTTTTTTTATTATTTCTTTTATTATTCTTTTTTTATTTTATTTATTTTGCTAATAATTTCATAACATAATCATTAACAACTAAAAGGATACCACCACCAGGACCAAGACGAAGTACCTTTGGAAGGAAACCTTTGTAGAGAGCAGCGACACCTTCTTCTCTGGCAACAGTGACCATGGAAGGAATACACCAAGTGTATTTCTTTGGACCGGTACCTTGATTTTGAATTCTACTCTTGACGACATCGGCAGGAGTATTCAAGACTGTACCCAATGTACCAGCAAGACCACCAGCAACAAAGTTGTTGAGTAGTGTTTGTTTTTGGCTGGTTGGTGTTGGCAAGGCAGCCTTGAGAGTATGAATAAATCCAAAATAGGCAGAGTTCCAAAGAGCATGTCTCCATAGTGTCGACTCTAAACCCTTGAAAAAGCCACCCAAACCTTCGCTTTTAGCAATCTTGACAACACAATCCATTGTATTCTTGTATTTACCTGCATTCTCTTTGGCTTGTAATCTAATCTTTACCAATTCAAATGGTACTACAATAAATGCTTCAGTTACACCTGCACCAATACCAGAACAAATTGCTTGTTTTTGTGTTAATTTACTATCTATAAAAAGTAGAAATAGAAAATGGATCATTAATATGTGTGTTTGTACAATTATTTCTATAGTTTTTGTACATACTTCCATAAAAAGCTAAAATCTTTTGTTCATAAAACTTGTTTGATGCAAACTTGATAGCTCTCTTTGGTGCCTCGACAGCTAATGGAGGAACAATACCACGATACATTCTGAAACCGTCGTGTCTGATCATCTGAACCAAACTAGTAAACATTGATTGACTTTGACCAACTTGTAATTGTGCTCTAGTCTTTACTACATCCAATGGATACATGACAAGAATCTCTGATACACCTGCTATACCACCACTAATAATATTATGCCATAATGGTTGTGACTTTGTTGGTGTTGGTGGTGATCCTGCATTTCCTCCTTCTTGTTTAGTTGCCATATTTAATAATAATAATTATATGTTGTTATTGTTGTTGTTGTTTAAATAATAATACAATGTTTCTTTTGTTTGTTTGTTTCTTTCTTTTCTTTGTTTGTTTCAAATATAAATTTTATATTATTATCCTTAAATATCTATACTACTAGTGTTTCAAGTGTGTAATAAAATAATAATAATCTTATCTTTTGTTTGATTCTTTTATCAATAACTAAAACAAACTCTTTCAGAATGGATGATGATTATATATATTATGAATAACTAAATTTCAAACCCTTTTTGGCATTGGATGATGAAGACGATTGTGCTGAACATGATGATTTGAACTTTTATTTTGAATTGAGGAAAGAAAAAAAAACAGACAAAGTAAAAAAAAAGACAAAGAACAGAAAAAAAAGAGGAAAATCAGTAAATTGAGATCAACATTATATTTTCTATCTAATAACTTACAGCTGAGGGGGGGACTTTCATATTTATGCAGGAAGGCCCTGTTAAGGTTAACTAGGTCGTGTCTACCCTCCCAATATGCACGATATCGGCAGGTAAAGGACGATAAATCCATGGCCTGTAATCTGCGGTTTGGTGTAAGATTCCCAATAAGAGAATATTCTTTGCAGCGCTCGAGTCTCTGTTGAAGAAATGATCACAAACTGGACAATATAGCCATTGCCATTTAGTTTTAAATGGCATTTCTGTCGCATTTGGGTTCTTTGACTTCCAGAGATCTTTGATCTGACTATCACAAAGAGACTTACCAAAACCATAATCGTGGGTCGAAACAGAGTTGCTTGTAGACTTGTTCCCATCCTTTTGACTATTGCTTTGATCTTGGTCCTTACAACGATCATTAGTAGTTGATGACGATTTTGACCTCTTTTTCTTATTTTTGCTAGCATCCCTTTTTTGTTTTTCAAAATTAAACTTGATGATAGCGTTGATAAGTTGGTCCTTTTTGCTGTTGGTAGCACCACCCTTACTATCCTTGTGAGAACCTCTTTTGTTTTTCCCTTTGGTTGGCTCTTCTTGTTGATTGTATTTGATAGAGTTTAGATTGCAAAACTCTATCAACTCCTTGACAGTCTTTTTGCTTAAAGAGAAAAGGGATTCCAATAGCATAGTTGGAGAAGGTGAAGTATTTTCAAGTGATATGAATACTTTTAGAGTTTCATTCATATCATCTGCCAATTGAGACACTTTCAGAGTTGAATCATTCTCTTTGTCCGCCAATTGAGCCTTGGAGCATTGACAATTGTAATCAGTCAATTTGCAACCATCACATAACTTGGAATCCTTTCCTTGCCAACGAACACCATTGTCTGAAAACGTGGAGGATATGGGTGCACCAACAACATGGGTCTTTTCAAAAGATTCTGGCAACACATTTTTAACCTTTTGGTGTTTAGCTTTTTCTAGGAACTTGTTGTTGTTGGTAGAATGAATTTTGGAGGCACATGCATTATGAATCTTGGAAAAAAAAATATTAATGAATGGCCATTTCGAGGGTTGATCTAAAAATTCAATTATTAAAACACACATACTTTGGAGGTATTAAATTCATTGACAAGACGTGCCTTGTAACCCATATTCAAAAACAGTCTGAGTAGTGTCTTTGATGTACAACCAGTTCTACCACCACCTCGGGATCCATGGAAAAAATCAGACCCTCCAATATCTATAAAAAGAAAGAAGATTAATAACAAATAATAATAAATGGTTTGAAGAAATAAAAAAAACATACAAATCACTATTCTATTTTTCGGGATTGTTGTTGGTGGTACAAAGCTCTTTGCATAGGCATATTGGGCGCGCTTCTTGTCAATGTTCCTGTTCTTGTCCATGGTCTGAAACGTATAGGACGTCACTACATGGGAATAAAGACGACATTGATCCCTATGGGTAATTCTTTCATACTCTATTCGTCTCAATACAGATTCTACATTGAATAAAGTATCTAGGAATTAAAAAAAAAGTTAGTTTATAAATATTAATATTATAATATATAGGTGGTATAGACAATGCATATTTAAAATAACACTTACCAAAGGTATTATAGGGTGGCAATTCACTTTCAAATTTGGACAGGACCGGGTTCTTTTTGTAGTTTTGTTGTCTTGCCAGAAGACGGTCAGTGCCCATGAGGTTGTAATAAGATGCCACTGAAACCACTCGAGCACGATTCATAGAGTCTACAATCGTACATTTTGACCTTCCAGGATCAATTCCGATATAAAGATAATTGCCACAGTTGTTTTCCCTCATAACTTTCCATTTGCTTCGGCGCCTTCTACACATTCCAGAGTGATAAAAATCTCTCTTTGCTCTTATATGTTTCTCTTCATCTTTGTAAACGCACTTTTCATTTTTTACAAAAGGTTTAGAGTAGGAGGAGTAGGAGAATGAGTGTGAGGGGAGTGAGGTATAGGTCAAGGATGAGGTATCGGTGGAAGAGGGTGGAGTTGAGGTATCGGATGAGGTGGTTGAGGTATCGGTCAAGGATGAGGTATCGGTGGAAGAGGGTGGAGTTGAGGTATCGGATGAGGATGAAGTGGGTGGGGCATCGGTCAAGGATGGGGAAGAGGGGAGTGAGATATCGGTCAAGGGTGAGGAAGGGGTGGGCAAGTAGGAGGACGGAGATGGGGACGAGGTGGAAGCGAGACACCTTTGCACGGCTTTTTTGAGGGTTTCCAACGTCATGAAGAACCAATAGTCTGTCAAAGGGATATTTTTTTCTCTCGCATAGGTCAGTATATCTTTTTTCGAGTTTGATTTCTCTAGATCAAACTGTTCAATTTTTTGTTCTGACCATATTTGAACCCCAAGGACCGATTTCAACAAAACACATTCCACTTGAAGACGATCTTCTTTGATATTCTCTACGTCGATTTTACGGGATGTGGCCTCTTCAACTAGATGTTCCAACGTCCATTGTTTAAGTTTAGGAAAATCTTTTGTTTTGTTACTTAGATTTGGGCGTTTGGTGGTATTTTGATTGGAGGACGAAGGGGAGGATGATGAAGAGGAGGTGGATGATAAGGACGACGAGGAAGACGAGGCAGATGATGAGGATGACGTGGATGATAAGGACGTGGAGGAGGACGAGGAGGACGGGGACAAGGCAGACGAGGAAGACGAGGCAGATGATGAAGATGACGAGGCAGATGATGAAGATGACGTGGATGATAAGGACGTGGAGGAGAAGGAGGACGAGGCAGACGAGGGGGAATTCGATTTAAATGTTTGAACTGGGTCAAATTGAGATACCTTTGGAGCCATTTTGTAGATATCATGAGCAATCAAAATATAGGCTGCTGTTATGTGCAACGCAAACATGACTGATGGATGCGGGGCGATAGCAATGAGCCTTTTAGGAATTATCCTACTTACATCCACCTCTTTGTCCTCGGTTGTGCCTTTGGCTTTATCTAAAATGGTGTGATAAGATTCTTGACTATAGTCAACCATTTCGTAATCCAAAGGATTGGCATTAAAAGCCTCTTTGGCTGCCTTGCAAGGGAATTGTCCACAAACAATAATGAGCTTGGACGTTGTCATTGAAAAATGCTTCATTAATTCCTTCACCATGATTTCATGTTTGATTTCATTTTCAAATCCGCCAGTAGACGAGTCGTGGACAAAGGGATATGCATCACGAATTCTAAATTGCATCGAGGGATCGGATGTAGTTTTAATAAGATTGAATAGGTTCCGCATGGAGGGTGCAATTCCTGACCTGTTACTGTTGAGTGCTATCGAGGTGGTGTTGAGAGCCTCGTGTAGAAAAATCTCCACGTGGGGTGACTCAGGTTGGTCAAATTTGACGAGTCGATGATTGATTTCGGCAATTAATGGTACTGGTGGAGGGAATTGATCATCCTTTGAATCAAAGGGTGGCATTTTTTCAAATGCATTCCTTTTTAGTTGAATATCAACCGAGTACAGATCCATCAGGTCACCACATAAATCCAATCTTTTTTCATGTTCCGATAGAATAGGAATGGTCGCATCACATTGTTCGCACACCATAGGCAAATCTTTAAGTGAGTGGGATGACAAACAATTGGCACAGATAATATCTCTATCCTTGACTTTGGGAATGTTTGGTTTCAACCCAACTTGTTTTGCCACAAAACAAGCATAGTGGGGATGGTTGTATGAATATGAATGGTTCTTTTCCATTTCTTCTACTTGTTTACATTTCCATGATTCATCATCATCATCGTCGTCGTCATCGGAATCATCCATGGGTGTGCCATCTTGACCGTTTTTTTGAGAGACCAAACTTTGCTCTGGAAAAGATTCTTCTAGTTTTTGTCTCTTTTTCAAATGGTATGGCAAGAGACGGCAATTCATGGATATTTGCACATCAGAAACTACTTTTTCATTTGCACCTATATAAAGATTAAAATTAAATATTAGTAAAATGAATGGGTCGTAAAAGATAATAATGCTTTAAAACAATGACATTTACTTTTTGTTTGGAACCAGATATGGCTGGGAACGTTGGTTGTCACCATCATCGCCCTTTGATTGATTAGGACCGACATTTTTTGGTTATAAATGTAACCAATATTGTCTCTTTCGTAATCATTAAAGTTGGGGTGAATTGTTTTTGTTGACCCGTTGAAATCGAATGGGTTGTCTTTTACATACGGTGATTGCAAATAATCGCAGAGGACTGATTTTCCAACAAATCCAATCGTATAGTAACGAAAAAGAAACGATTTTTTTGTTGAAGCAAGAGACTTTGGCATCCATTTCCTTGGCCCATTTCTCTTCACCTTTGGGCTGTCATTGAATAGTTTCTTGAGAGTTGCTTTCAGTGTTGGCAATGAACAGCAGTACCAATCATATTCGATTTTAATAGTGCTAGTAGGTAAAGATAACCATTTTAAAATGCTAACTTGACTGGATTTGCTGTAGTCAAAGTCTTCTTTAAAATCTATTTGCAAGCGTTTTACCATGTCTTGCCATAAAACCAATTTCAATCTTTTAATATTTTCCTC